AGAACACAATCGGCTGTCAATCCCTCGAATAATTTGTGGCCTGCTGCGCATCGTTTCAGCTTTCCATATTTCGCTCGGTGGCCTGGAAACCAAGAGAGTTGGGAGACTATCCCAATAATTAATTGCAATATTGTATATGCAATCCTGCTTATCGCAGGAATCACCCCTGTTGTTATGGCGAGCCTGCCAGGGCCCTGCGGGCCCTGGAAACCCCCTACCGAGCTCGCAACCGATCGCTTCGCTCGTATACATAAAGCTCTAATTTAGCAAGCAATGTGATGCAGGCTGTGGCTTCAGTGGACGGCCTACTAAACCTACGGGACATTTGATCCCAACGATAAATTAACACGCCTGTGGGGTGATGTCAGCTCCGGGATTCCCCCATCATGTGACAAGCAGCCTAGTCCCTGAGTTGGCCAACATTTTCGAAGCCGGAAGCCCCTCAAGGCCGCCAAAAGGTGTTTCAAGATATAATGATGATTGCAACGGCTCCTCAGCCCAACGTGTCAAAGCCAGTATTTGGAACTAGCCGTCTTTATTTCCCCCAAGAGACCACCAGACGGGTTCAAATTATAATACTTATGCCGCTGGCTACCTGCCTATAACATCCTCGAATGCTGTCATGCGCTCTGAATCTTCCACGTTAAATAACAGGGGGTAAAGCGATCGAGAAACAATAATTAGCATTTCATTCCTATCCAATACCTTCCAAACAGAAGCCATACTTTAGATTGTGTTCTCAATTACCAACGCTCTCATGCACTACAATTCAATATGCGCTTTACTCCCACGCCGCCTTCGAGTCCGGAATCTTCCGGTCGGGCAACATCTAGCGCCAACGCCCAGTCGAAAGGTCCACATATGAACACCACTGATAACCCAAATCATTTCGAATTGAGTTCATCGAACGCCCCAGGCAGAGTGAACCTTCCCGCCTCACGCCGCCCTAGCCTCATAATCGGCGGCAGCAGTGAACAGACGCCTTACCCTTCTACAAGCCCCTATACTTCTCCCTCGTTAGAAGTAACCACGAGAATTTCGGTATCAAGAATAGTGGAATTCTTCTCCCTTCGGCACTGATCCAGGAAATGTCGCTGGGGGTGGCCACCAAACGTCCACCGCCCCTCTTGGAGGCGGTCCAGCAAGTCTAAGCAGAGGCGGGAATGACAGCCGCTATGAGCGCCCTTGGATTCAAAGACTCCCGGCCCCCTCTGCCTCCGTCGGCAAGGACTTAAATAGCTTTAACCTACCAGTGTCGATATAGGTGCTCGGTGTAGGCCTATATATTGGTCTTAGTATTAAATGCATATTCTCAATGAAAGACCCCGAAACCGGAAAGGTTATAATATGGAAGTTAACATGTTATTCACTTTCTTTCAACGTGTATCTAAATTCATTTCGGCTGTGCTTCGTACAAACTATGTACTCCACTAATCCAATACAGTCGTTTATTACCAAGGTCATGGAGACTGGTATTGCCGAAATTCGATCCCTGAGGCAACCACTTCGCATTACGTCGGAGATGGCGAAAGCGGAAAAAGACTGTAATGAGATTTGCGTTGTCACAAGATATTGAAACAAGGCATGCGAGGTGAACAGTTTACTGGAGAACGTGGTGGATTGCTTGAGCAATCTAAACTATCTGCCGCAGGCGAAAGTCTATGATGGGGGGAGAGGCTGGTGATGCATGGGCCATTAGGTGGTCCAAGCTAGGCCAGGCTCGGCTTACACAAGGCAGAGAGCAGAGACAATAGGGACTGTAAGATAATAAATGACGTGAACTGGGAAGAATTCATTCGTACCTACGAGAACAAACCGAGCATGGAGATTATGATCTCGACTTGCACTGACGACTTAACTCATCTTCTGCTAATTGTGCAGCTGGAAGCACTGATGGAAGCATTGCTAATCACTATGAAAGTGAGGATTGGGTCGAAATCGGAGGGTTCGCCGCTGTTAATTCAGAAGGATAAATATAGCGGTTTGAAATTTAAAGTAAGGTCTCTTCCATTCTCCACCCTCAAATTGCACGAATATGTTATCAGTATTAACTCTTTGTTTAAAACTCGTCTAATCTGTAGGAGTTAGTATCTCATATCCTCGATCCTCGATGTTCATCCAGACTTTAAACTAGAACCGGATCGATACGGGGAAGCCAAGCTAAGGATTTGTCAGCCTGGCAGCATGACCCCCCGCACTCACTCAGGGGGTGATCTTCTGCAATTCAAGTTTGCAGACTTGTTAGGTTCCATAAACATGAACTTATATTTTGAACACTCGCCCTTATGTACTGGTGCATGCTGCACAACTCGTCTGGTCGAGTGGGCTGCCTAGGAGGTCGGCAAGATAGGCCGATCGGTTTCGGCCCGCCGCCCGGCAGGCCTATGAATTGGTCTGATTTCTGACACCCGCAGACCCAAAAGCCCGGCAGACCAGCCTCATGGCCTGGCAACTTACGGCTAACAGGTTGGGCCGCTATGGTGTGCTTGGTATAGGATGAAGTTTGGGCTGCATCAGACAGTGGATCAGACGATGGATGAACCTGTTAGAGTCATGAGGTCTTTTGTCTTGGCCGTAGGACTTCCACGCGTCAAATATTAATTTCACGCTTTCTAAATAATACCTAGACCTCGCCAACATCTAATTAGCCTCCACCCAGGTACTTGTCACCTGGTGGTCAACACTTGACCCAGGCCTATATAAAATACACTCCCGTCCTGTCTTATCGCTGTGCGTTCAACCTTTAATTATAGTTCGTATTTTCGAACTATCGATGCTATTAGCTAGTCCAGAATGAATTTATCTGAACTTGGACACCAGGTTCCCCCGCCGCCCAGTCGCTCCCACTCTAGCTCCGGCGGAATCATAACTACCCCGAATCCAACCAAGACCGCTGCTTGCCCTTCCATAATAAAAACAGACACTAGAAAATCCGCAACCCCCGAAATCTCCATACCTCAACCCGAGCAGCGTCCCGTATATCGGGGCGATTCTGATTTTTTCGTGACGCCGCTACGCAACCGACCGACTCTTACGGTGCCCAAAAGCAATCCCACTGCTAGCTTGGGATCTGGTATTACGAGGAGTTTGCTTGTCGGAAGGCGAACAGCAGCTGGGACAGGGGCGAAAGCAGCTCAAATCATAGCTCAGTCTGGCTCGTCATCAAGTCGTGCCTCCGGTGCGGTAAAGCTATCTACCTCAACTCACGTGGTCGTGAATGTGAAAACGGTTGATGGGGATAAATTCCGTGTCTTCGAATACGAAATTTCGGAGTGCTCTACGTGGAATGTACGACCCCACCTTGAGCCGCGAACTTGAGCCCCCAATATTTTTATTACTACCTCTAACTTGTGATGGCTTTATTTTAGGGACTTTTAAACAAGCTCTGGGGCGATAAATCAACTGATGAATTTCCGTCGGCTCTAAGCTATATGGAAAAAGCTCGGTTGGGAATTGCAAGGACTAATAATAAATATAGTACTGACGATCACTCAATTGACAGACTTGTCATTCGGACCCTAGGCAAGACTGATGACGATGGAAAGCCGCTGGAGCACCAAAAGGTAATTATACAGCCAGAAGAATATGCTGGGTTTGTTCAAAGCCACAAAGCCAGTGGCACGCGGAATATCCAGATTATGCTGAACCTACTGCCGGGGGAATTATTGGTCAGGCTCAAGGACCAGGACGACCCGGAAGTAATACCGATATCAACGCAATACTTTAAAAAATTGATTTTCTCGGTAAGGGAAATTTCTACGTCCTTCCTCTTGGAGTCATTTATTAAACCAAGACACGCGGACATGCCCGCGGGTCGCCCATACTCTAGCTAATACCAAGTGCTCCAGGAGTTCATGCTTCATGTTTGGCGACAGATTAGCCGTCCTGGCGGCAACCCGGGGGGAGGCGGGACGCGGAATTATATCGAACAGGCGGTAAGAGATGAGAAATATTATAACAACCTCATGGTTGGGTACGGGCCCAATCGAAAATTAGAGGCCGAATCCTGGGAAGACTTTATCGATTGGCTGGTGACGCCGGATCCGAAACACAAGGCCATCAAAGAAATCTCCATCGAGGTAGTTAAGCTCAAAAATCCGCGACAAGCAATTGAAGTTCCGCAGACATCTCACTTTCGTACACCAGCAGCAGTCGCTATTCCATCCCGCTGGGATGATTGGTCCAACCCCAGTTTTTTCTTAATTGAGAGGACCTAGAGCCTCGAACCTGATTTGAGACTTACTCGGCTGCGTAATAGTACAAAGAGAATAGTACAAAGAGGGCAAAGCCGAGAGCAGGGGCGGGGAGATGAGCCAAGGGCGGGCGGCCGGGCTTGATGGTGCTGGATGCCCAGGATCGCTCACGGTGCTCAGGGATATGCGGTGGCGAGAAGCATGGACTTTTTGCTGCGACGCATGAAGCGCCGCAAAGGGAGAGGCCGCTGGAGTCGCCGCTGTGCGGCAGTGCAGGAGGCCCGGCAGTGCAGGGTATTGGTGATTAATAGCGGCCTGTTTCTTTTTGTACTCTAGGTCAAGAATCAGGAATGCGAAACCTGCGTTGTCCATTCGAAAGGGATTGGTCTTTCGGCACGACAGCAAACATAGCGCCGGGGTGACCGGGTTAGGCCGTGGCTGGCCGTTTCAGAACACGCGTGACACCCGACACGGCCGGATTGTAAGGCGTCTGAGTGGGGACTTAGGCTTCCGAGTGTTTCACAATTATTAGGGGAAACAACCAAGTCCGAGCGGTTGCACTTGGAAATCCTTTTCCGATCAAATTATTGTGAGTTGACGCTGAGCTGGTCCTTGCGTGCGCGAGCTCGTCCCAACATTACGCAGGCCGTCAACATCGTCTGATCCGGCCTCCTGGTCTGCAAGACATCTCCAGGCTGGTTTTAGATGGCGTAGGAACTGCAACAGGCGGCCAATCCGGCGTGTCTGAGTCAATCTTCTCACACAATCAACTCCAAATATTGATCGAGGCTTCAATCAAATGCAGCCATGTCGCACATCCCCGGCTCGTCCCCACGGCCGTGGTTTGTGGGATCACTATTAAAACCTCACGTATTGTCAATCAAATCATGCGTATATATCTGGGTTAAGCGCTAGCCTTTCAGCCATATCAACGCCGTCATAATATCCAGTCGTCTTTTAAATGCCTTATCTATCTAAACTAAGTTGCTTTGCGCTATATACGTCATGAGCTCTTGGATTCGGCTAGTGAAGAGAGATGAAGTTCCCAAGGCCCCTACCAGCAGTGTCCAGTCGGTCGGGAACACCGGTGTCAATGATTTAACCTTTACGCCTTTCTCTGGGGCCAAGAGAATAGACTCCGGCTACGAACCAGGTCCTGGGAGCTCCCATTCGACGAAAAATCCAGAACACATAGCCGTATATGCCTACGACATCAGAGATCAGCGGAAACCAAGAGTCAACATGACGATCCGGATAGAACATCACGATACTTGGAATGTAAGATCATGCACATCATCCTAGCCCTTCGCCCACGCCATGCCCTACCATTAGCTAACAAACGGAATGTGAGTTTAGAACTTAATGGAGTTTCTACGCTGCAGTGTATTCCCGGAAATGATTGGTCTTAGGATCCCAGACACGATTTTCCACAATATTGAAAGAAACAGAGCCGATGATAATTACGAAATTCCCGGGCTTCTAGTCACTCGTGTCGTCAAAACCCTCAACGTCCCGACCAACAGTAGTTTTAATGATAATGGAATTCACGGCGAACCTAGCAATGAGATAAAACCGTCCGATTACAAGGCACTGATTGCTAGTTACTCGGGAGTATCTGGTAAAATTGAGATTCAAGTTGGAAAGCGAAAGCAGCCCCAAAGAGTGCAAATCAGAGACCCTACGCTGTCAACAAAACAACCCCTAGGAATGCAAACTGAGGGGCATGTACCGATAACAAAGCGGGCCCCAGGATTTCAACTCCAGGAGCCAGTACAGTCGACATGGCAACCTCAAAAAGCGCCAGCCAGTGACTTTGCTAACCTAGTGTTACCCAGCGACTTTATAATCCCGTTGTCTACGAGTGGCCATGAACGTATCCCAACACTGGACAAACCAAAGGCTAAGTTATCGGTGGGCATCTACTCAGAGGCTGGCGTCTACCAACCAGTGTGTTTAAGTGTAATGGAAATATCGCATGGTTTCTATTGCGAGATGCATTCTTTAGAGGTATGTAACTACCGTTCGTTCTAGGGCGAAAAGAGTGTCAATAGGAATGCCCTTGCTATGGCTATCTAATACTAATATTTCATTGCTCCATAGGTGCTCAAAAAATACATCTTGGAAAGGTTCCAATATGATATCGGATATACTCCCACCGAAAAGGACCTCCACGTATTGTATGATCCACCGCAACCTAACGCCCCAGAACGACCTATACCTGAAGAGAAGTTCAGGCCCTTTCTCGAGGGCTGCATGAATAAGGAAAGGGCTATTTATATTCAAATCCGAAAGTATGTACCCCCGGCCCCCGGATCACGAGGACCCACGCCTCCGTCTCTACCGGGCACTGCAACCCAGGTCACGCCGGTTCACACCGGTCGCCAAAACGCAAATACCGCTACGAATTTACATTCAAGCCAGCTAGGAAAAAGTAATCCGGCCTCGGGGAACAACGAGTTCCACGATATGTTTGCTATGCCGGTATTGACGACAAACATCGTGGATAGTATGGCTGTCTCGCCTTCATCACGCCGTAAGGATAAATAAGGAACTCTAGTTAAGCTCAAGACATGCCAATCCATGACACTCCCAGCTCTTAGACACCTTCCAACGTCGATATTTGGTGTATGTCAGATATTGAATATACGCAAGATTGTGTGATCTCAAGCCTATCCCAATGTCTTGCCTCTATGGGATTGGAAGGGTGGATCGCTACCAACCTTCAATGTAAGGCTCAAGTAGAATTTTCTGGCGTCCCTAGAGGTATAGGGTACTTTTTATTATTCTTGGAAATCATCGTGGCGCAGACAATGGAACTCGAGGGAGGAGTGGGCTGGGGCTATTCGTACGCAGTTGGAGGAATTCAACTTTATGAGAACTATGCTTACTCGGGGACTTTGGTGGGAGGGGTCCCAGATTTTATGAAATAATCTAGCCCATTCTACTTCTTCCCAGCTGTTAACCACTGGCAATGTATTCAAATTATCATGTAATCTCTACATTAGTGCTACGGCACGGCCGAACTATGGCCCGTGGTGCCACAACCATGCACTGGCTGGAGGCTTCACCTCGCAGCCCCTCTTCCCAATTAGGACTAGCCCGATTGCCCCACCACTCAACCACAAAACCACAGCCTGCAGGAACCGCAGGCTTCTTCCTTTCCTTTTTCTTTCCTTAGCTTAGTTATTTACGAATACAGCCATTCATTACTTGCAGCATTGACTCTCGTATATGCCTGCCTTCACAATTAGAAACAAGATATAAATAATGACAAGGTGGAAGTATAGCTGTCTATTACCTTATAACCCGTCTTGAATTTACCATGCTAGATACATACGCAAAGTCTTTAAAGGATATCCTCAACTATGTAGGCAGTCGTAGTGGTTTTGCAGTCAGCACTCCTATCCCGATACAAAATGCAGCGTCCAGCACTCTTACCTCTTTCCTCTCCTTCTCCATTGGGGCTAGAGTGTCGATTAAAAGGCAGCAGGGTGTCTTGCCGGAAGAGCTTGGCGTGCGTATTGAGATGCCCCAAAGCGGACGCCGTGCTGTTTGAAGGCAGTTCACTCCCCTTACGAACAAGACCAGGGCACATGACTATGTCGCAAATGCACCCCCCGCTGAAGCCCCCGTCTTTCCTTCTTGGGGACCGTTTCATGGCTTTAAATCGTAAGTTAATTCTCCACACCACCATCTCCACCACCATCTCCTCCACCATCTCCACCACCACCTCCACCACCATCTAGCCGCTCCGCAGACACTTCGTAAATGATCACCAACACACTCACATTGTAACGCATCCATTCAAAGCCGGACGTCCGTGTTGCGGATTTTTACACCTTTGCCGCCCAAAAAGCTTACCGCCCGGCCTTATGGCCCACAGGTGAGACGTCTTTGATCCGACACTGTGCCATGTGTTCAAACAGCTCATCGGAACGTACCAGGTGGCCCGTTGGCATTCCCAACGAACGCGTCTCAAGTCCGTCAGGGGCAGGCGTATAGTATATACGCCTGTCTCAGTCAGGAACTGAAGGTCTGGTCGATGGCACTTTCACCGGAAAGTGCAAGCTATCAATAACCACCAGGAGGAGCTTATCGATCTCGAGTAAAGTCAACTAGAAATTGACTCTTCAACCCGCTTGCCTTCAACCCGCTTGCCTTCAACCCGCTTGCCTTGCGTTGTGTGCAAGTAAAATGGCCAATAGGGGCCCACACTTCGTTCCCACGCGGACGAAAATGCAGGGGTCCCCATTTAGACCCGCAAACGACAGGGAATTCATGCATTGATGTGTTGAAGATTTCATCTACAATGCGGTCACAAAAGGGTGTCAAAAGCGATGTATCGAATGAAGTCCGCAAGGAAATTGCTGCTTTCCATGCAAGCCGGAGACGCTGGAACCTGTTGGCTTTGTTTTTAAACATCCGAGCTTGTATTGGTCAAAGCACGTAGTCTATACAGCAGGAGAACACCACTTGGAATTACGTTGATTTGAGTTAGCTCGATGCAAATCGCTCACGTCGTGTTTAGTTATCATCCTACCAGTCAATCTAGAACAAGACTCCTGGTGCCCGACTAGTTATATTTCACTGCAGTAAGAGCAATTCCTGACTCAAGACGTAGCTCAATCACCAAGTTCTATTAGGTAGCTATGTATCTTTGATACAGTTAGCTACGTACCTATATACTCCGCGCAAGGCGGTAATTGGGCCAAACGTGCAACGTAAACGTCGGTATTTGTCTTCTTTTTAATGATTCGCCTGATTTCCCCAATTCGAAACGTTGCATGGTTTCACCGAGTCGGCCATAGCCAACCCCCGTTTGCTCTCCGTTTGCTAGGTAAACAACCGGTTTCATCGCAACCTGTAGTGAGCGACTTTTGGCACCACCTGACGTCAGCTCCATCGTGGTGGAAACTTGGGAATCTTGGCATTGGGCTACTTAATAACCCCGCAGAGGAAACGCAGGTGCCCGATCACACCAACTCGCCGTTCCCGCTTTTGACCGCGCTCGATGCAAGTCAAATCCTCTCGAAAACATCAACTTGGCACAACAAAGCAGCATGGCGTCCATCATCGAGAATCTCGCCGCCTCGGGCGGCACCGAAAGCCCTGGCAAGTTCACCTCCCTGTTCTAGGTCTGCGAGGAGTCTTGCTTGGCTGAAGTTCAGCGGCGGACAAGCCGATGTAACCTCTTCCTGCCCGGAACCCCGCTAACCCCAGATGCATGCATCACGATGCAGGCTTCCTCAACGACCTTGTCACCCAGCTATGGCCAAACATCTGCGTCGCTGGCGGCCGCATGATCAAGGAGATCGCCGAGCCCATGTTCGCAGCCATGCTCCCTGCGCCCCTCAACACGCTCCGCTTCGAGAAAATCGATCTGGGCCGCGTGCCCATCCGCTTCGCCAACGTCGACGTGCACAGGACGGAGAACGATGGGATAAAGCTCGACTTGGATCTCGACTGGGACGGCGAGTGCGATATCGAGCTCAAGGCCAACATGATTCCGAAGCTAGTATGTATCGAGCACAAATCCGCCATCGCCAAGCGTTGAAACATGTGTGCTGATTATCCGAAACAACTCGTAGGGAGTCGAGCACGTCAAGCTGAGAGGTAGACTCTCGGTATTACTGTGTCCGCTGACCAATGTCATCCCCCTGGTAAGTATTGACACCCACCCCTGGGCTCACACAACGTGTTATGTCCCTGACACGTCCAGATCGGGGCCGCCCAAGTGTCCTTCATCAACGCGCCGTCCTTGCACCTCGACTTCACCGACGCGGGCGGGTTCGGCGACCTGGCGCTGGTCGACCGTGCCGTGCGCAAGATCGCGCTCGGCATCATCTCGTCGCTGGCCGTGCTGCCGAACCGCTTCCTCGTCAAGCTCGACGCCAACAACGACTACTTCAAGACGTACCAGCACCCGCTCGGCGTGCTGCGGCTGACGGTCGAGTCGGGCGCGAACCTCGGCGGCGGCGGCGTCGGCGGCGAGGAAGAAGAATCCAAGACGCGCCGGCTTTTCAAGCGCATGCTGCGCGACGTGCCCGACTGCTTCGTGACGGTCAAGGTGTCGGCCGAGGCGGCGGGCAAGTGGCGGACAGCGACGGTCAAGAACAACCACCACCCGGCGTGGAACCAGACGCACGACTTTGTGGTCGGCGACGACGAGCAGGACGTGATGGCCGACGTCAAGGACGACGACCTGGCGGGCGACGACGACGTCGGCCTCGCCGTCACCACCGTCAAGCAGCTGCTGGCCGCGCCCGGCCGCCGCCAGGAGCTCGCCCTGCTGCACGAAGAGCAGCCCATCGGCGCCACGCTGACCCTCAGCGGCCGCTTCTTCCGCTTCGTGCCCGACGCCGCGAGCCTGCTGGGCGACGGCATCGGCGACGGCGATGGCGAGAGCATCCGCGGCCTACTGACGGTCGTGATCGCGTCGGCGTTCGGCATACCGGGCGCGCGCCAGACGCTCAAGCCGAGCGTGCGCGTGTCGTGGGGCGAGGCGCACTTGTTCCGCACCGCCGTTAAGACGGACGCGCCCGGCGCCGACGTCGCCAACTCGTCGTTCGACCAGGCGTTCCGCGTCCCCATCGCTGGAGACGGCATTGCCGGCGCGCCGCCCGTGCGCATCGCTTTGTTCGACGGGGAAGAGGAGCGCGGCGCCGTCGAGGTGTCTCTGGAGGACGTGCTGGCTGCGCCGGACCTCGTGCTGAAGGACTCGTTCGATGTCGGCGACGGGGCTACGGTTCGCGCTGGGATCTGGCTGAGGGGCACGCAGCTGGATGAATAGCTGTCTTGTCCCTTAGTTTGCGTGGTAGGTACAAATTGGACTGGCATGAGGACACAAGGGCAACCACCTAACCTAACACTCACGAAAGTGTGAGAATTCTTGGAGTTAGCTTTCATAGCGAGGCAAATACATACGCATGGGCTCCATTCAACATCAAGCGATTATGTCCGCGTTTCCTAGAAACTAATAACAGGAACAAATACCCCATTTACACCTGACTTGCCCCCTCTTTGTCTCTCTTGTCAAAACAGACTACTAGTGATCCTAATGGTCACATAGCAGGCAATCATAACACCCGCAAAGTAGAGAGCCGGAACCGCAGTCAGGAACACGCAGCTGAGCCATGCAAACGTACCATAAAAGTACAGCGCAGCGCCAAGCACCTCGATCACGGACTGGTATATGAAGCAGCTCCAGAGACCAGACTTCTGCGGCATGACGATGGCTATCCGGATGCAATGCGAGTCATAATCTTCTTCCAAAAAACCCGTGCTTGTGGTTGAGATACGGGCTGGAACGCTACTGGCGCTGTGCCGGGGTGTTTGCCGCTCAGCAGGAGGAGGAAAGACCTTACCAGGCGAACTGAATGACGGGCGTCTCGCACTTCCAGGGGGCCATAGCCCACAGACTAACTACCCAGGTCTTCCACAGCATGCATGATGCCGGCGCATGCCAGCACGGCAAATGTCGGCGGCCACCCTGGAAGCGAACACGCGAAGACGATAGGGCACCCGACGCTGACGACAGGGACCCTCGACGCTGGCGACAGGAACGGACACAACAAACTCGACCAGTCTTTCTTTTGCCTCGCCGCCCTTGAAGTTCCAGAACTTTGGCCGGACGGGCGTAGTCGGCTAAACAGACGCTCGGGCAGGCCAATCGAGAAGCAAGCGATTGCAAAGGCACGATGCGGCGCAACCAGCCCCAGCTGAACGAGATCTAAGGGCGGCTGCATGGTGATGAGCAGGAGGAAGGTTGGGAGGAGGCCGACAACGCTGAAGCTGATGGCCATGTCGACTTTCAGCAGCTCGCCCGTATGCACGAGGAAACAATCGATAAATTTACCGCATCTGATGCGCTCGTACTGCAAAGGGTCGTCGCCATGACACAGGCAGGGCTAGCGTGCTCTCGAACTGGGGCTTTTGCTGCCCGCCCGGTACCCGGGTGATGGTCCCGGTCGGGGGGCTCTCCCATTGGACGGCGAAAACAAAGAAGAAGAGGGCTAACAATAGAAATGCCAGAAGGCTGCCTGACCACCACCTTGATGCCATCGCCCACGATGACCTGGAAAAACTTCGATCGCATAATATCTGTAACCATGAGAGGTAGTATCGAATACCACCTACGGGTACAGGGGGTGGACTTGGGCCCTGATTTGGGATACCGGGCGCTCCGAACAGCGGACAGCTGAGCAGCGGTTGCGAGGAATGAGCGGCACAGGACGGGACCTGGGGCTGGGGCCTTGGGGGACCCTGAGGGGTGCGGCTCCGGGGCAGGGGGGGTTCGTAGCAGGCAGCCATTGATCCTATCGACAAGCAGAAATGACCAATGGATGAGAACTTGGCGGCCTGCACAGTAGTCCCCAATCTTCGCTTGCAGCTTTTTTCCTGCAGCTACTGTTGAGGACGGCGGGTAACTGGTGCAACATGTACGATCTAGCCCCTTTTGGCGCCCGAAGGAGCAGCCACCAGTTTCACACGATTTTCCCACTCACACACTTTTCCCACTCACACACTTTTCCCACTCACACACTTTTCCCACTCACACACTTTTCCCATCCACACACACACCACACACCATTTCGACCCAAGCAGTTGACCACATAACAAAGCGCAGAACGCAGTCGACCATGCGGGGTGCCCGTGCCGGCAGCCACCACCGCACCGCCCACGGCACACAGAATCACGTACGATGCCGCTGTCGCCCCTGGGTAAGGTACACGTCGGAATAATCATAATATAATTCCTTATAATATAATTCCCCGGGAGATGAACATTGCCAAACGCTCCTCCCAATGGCGACCAGCTCGCGGGGCCTGCCCATCTTCGGAACGAGCAACTACACGACTCCACGGTGGGTGCCCGAGCCCAACAGCCGGGGCACGTGGTCGCTGATCCAGAGCTGCCTGCTCACGCTGGGCCTGTGCGTGTTTTCGGCCATCCACCCCAACGTCTTCCACCGCGGGTCGCGCTTGTGGACGCGGTGGCTGGTGCGCTTCAAGTGGCTCGTGGCCGCGCTGATCGCGCCCGAGTTCATCGTCTTCAACGCCTGGTCCCAGCGCCGCCACGCCGCCCGCATCACCCGCCAGCTCCGCCGCCGCGCCAGCCAGCCCGAGGACGGCAAGCGCGGACCACTCTCGAGGTGGTGGCACGCGCTGACCACGAGGAACAAGCCCGCTGCTGCGAGCAATGTCGTCGCCGACCTCGGAGAGAGCGGGATGACCGCCGCGCAGCCGTCCACGGGCGTCTTGGGGGTGAATGCCAATGGCGCCACGCAGGCGGGCGAGAGCAAGAAGGCAGGCGTGCCGGCTGTGACTCCAGAGGTAGGTAATTAAACGCGTGTCCTGCGCAAATCGTAGTTTAGATCAGTATTGAACGTGGCCGACTAACCAGGCGCCGAACCCGCAGGAAGTTCCATCCCCCGACACGACCGCCTCGGAAAACGGCGAGCAGTTCGAGCTCATCCACGGCTTCGCCATCGTGATGGGGTGCCTGGCGGTCGACATGTCGACAGACCCAGAGCGCGTGTGGCCCGCGATCTGCAACCGGCTGACCATCACGCCGGCGTGCTTCGAGGAGTGCTTCAGCCGGCCCGAGTTCGCGCCCATCGACCTGTCTTTCCTGACCAAGGACCAGATCAGCACGCGGCAGAAGACGGACCACCTGGCCAAGACGCTCGTGCTGGTGCAGGCGCTGTGGTTCTGCCTGCAGTTCGCCGCGCGCCTGTGGCAGGCGCTGCCCGTCAGCCTGCTCGAGCTCAACACGTTCGCCCACGCGCTGTGCGCGGTTTTCATCTACGTCCTGTGGTGGCACAAGCCGGGCGTCATCGAGGAGCAGTTCGTGCTGCGTACCGAAACGTCGGAGGCGCTGCGCGACATCTGCGCCGCGCAGTGGACGTCGGGCGCGAGCACCGACAGCCTGTACGAGGGCCAGGTCCTCAAGTACCCGGACAGCAGCGGGCACCACGGCCACAACTTCGGGCAGCGCCACGGCAGCTACCGCCACCGCCCGCTGCGCGCGTTCGCGTGGCAGCCCATGTTCGTGCACGGCGGGTCCGACCTGGGCATGACGCTGGCGCGCGGCCGCCGCAACCTGACGCTGTGCCCCGGCGCTGGCGAGGACTGGTACCTGTTCGACCGCCTCGATCGCTGGTTCTACTACCCGCACCTGGCGACGCCGGCCGACGGCGGCCCGCTGCTGCGCGTGCGCGTCGCCGGGCTGGCTGGCGACGACAAGAGCAGCACCAACCCGACATACCCGGCCAGCGCGCGGCGGTTCGCCGCCGGCGAGGCGGTGCTCGACTCGGGGATGCACTTGGCGGCGCAGTTCGCGTCGCTGGACGTAGACGCGATAACGCTGCGGCGGTGGGCGCGGACGTTTGCGCACGACGACGCGACGTACTGCCGCAACTACACCGTGTGGCTGCGCGACCGGCAGCCGAATTTCGCGTGGCCGCGCGGCCTCGACAGCACCGAGGGCACCGAGATCGGCGAGGAGCTGATCAAGTCGCTGTTCATGTTCCTGGTGACGAGTTTGGCGTACGGCGGCCTGCACATGCTCGGCTGGCAGGCGGCCGCGCTGCCGGCGTCGGGCGCGGCCCAGGTCTTCTGGAAGCTGTCGTGCCTGCTGCTGATGACTGTTGGGCCGGTCAGCCTGGCCGTGTGGGCCGGGCTCAAGGCGTGGCGAGGCGCCGACGCGCACTTACGGCTGAACCAGGCCATGAGCATTGGCTTTGGCTTGTTTGGGGCGCTCATGTTTGCCGCGTACCTGGTATCGCGCGTGTATTTGGTTGTCGAGATTGTCATTGTCATTCCGTACATGGATCCCGGCGTGTTTCAGACGCCCGACTTTTCGCGGTACTGGCCGCATTTTGGCTAGGCAGGGAGGGGCGGGGGCGTAGGAGTTGTTTATGGCACATAGCGTGGCTGATTAAGCGTACATGACGTGGAACGATACGAGCATGGTGGTATGATGTGAATGGCGCATGTAAATAGTTTGAACATAAAAAAGCGCAGCAGTCCTCCTCACAGCCCTCCCCACACCGTGGTCCCTTGTTTTCATGCCTTGAATCACCACAAATGCCAGATCGCAGAAACACCCCCTCACGAGTCCTGCCCCGTCTCCTTCAGCAGGGTCGACACGGTGACGACGCGGTAGCCGCGGCGCACCACCTCGGGCAGGACCTTGCGCAGCATGGGGGCGGTCCAGGCGCGGCCGTCGTGGCAGATGATGATGCCGCCGGGCTGCAGCATGCTGAGGATGTGGCGGGCGTTGAGGGACCAGTAGGGGATCTGGGGGTCGTGGGGGTAGATGTTGCCGAGGACGAGGCGGTAGCCGAGGCGGCGCATGAGGTCGCGCATGGCGGTGCTGAAGAAGCCGGAGCCGGGGCGGAAGTAGCGCGGGGGCAGGGGGTGGCCGGCGCGGGCGTAGGCGGCGTCGAGCATCTCCTCGACCTGGTGGACCTGCTCGACGAGGGTGGCGGCGCCCAGCGACCGCGACGGCTCGTCGTGCATGGCGTGGTTGCCCAGCTCGCAGCCCGCGCGGATCACGTCCTGCAGCGTCTGCTCGTGGCCCGCCACGTGCGCCCCGATGACGAAGAAGGTCGCCGCCGCCCCGTTGGCTTTCAGGATCTCGAGGATCTCCAGCGTGTGCTCCGACGGCGCGTCGTCAATCGTTAGCGCCACGATCTTCTTGTCCGTGTCGACGCGCCACAACACGTCGGGCCACCGCCGCTGGAAGTAGCGCATCAGCACCGTCGGCGGCTTGTACACAAGGTACAGCGGCGCCAGGAGCGCGAAGGCCAGCGCGATAAAGGTAAACATTGCGGTGGTGCTGTCAAATGGTGTGGCGCAGGCAATGTCGTGAGTGTGTGGTTTAGGTAATATCGCGATAGCGTTCAATTGCGGGTTGCATTGAAGGTTGATGTGAGCGGGAACGTTGACGGTGACAGTGCTGCAACCTGCATTTCAGCTGCAGTGGGCGCCTAAATCACGTGCATTGTGTGCACAACAAATACGGGCTAGAGACGGACTGGAGCCGGCAGCCACTCCTTGGCCGACACGTATCTAGCCAAGATGTGACAATTTGGGGCGTTGCATTGATTCGCACTGCAATTAATCCGCGTCTCCTTGATTGTCGTCCTCGACTAGAGTTTATGCGGGGCACGGCGATGATGAAAGGTGATGAATTGCTTGGGGAAGCTAAAATCTATCAGCCCGCAGTTGGAAAATCTATGTGGCATGGATAGGGTGGATCCGCAGGGGCCATTCGATGGACCCGGCTGGGCCTGTTTGGCCTGTGCCCAGCACAGAGTTGATGGGCGAGAAATGTCTTTCCGTGACGTTAATCCCGCAAAAGGGAATTAGTCCACTGAACAGGGGCCGTAGGCCGTTTTTGGAGGCGAAAACTTTGTCTTGGCTGTTGTCAAAAGTGTCTCGCCCGTTCTCTCTGGTCATCTCACTCACTTTCCATTTTGCGGAAAGTGAGCATAAATAAACTTAAGTTGAAGTTGGTTTCGAAACATCCAAGGAAGGTCTTGGATAAATTGTCCTGTATTACCCTCTGACTTGGGCCCTATTAATCCTCAAGGCATTGATGACAAGTGTTCCTCCTATATAACTCAACTATTGACTCGACAGTGGTATAAGCATGAGAAATTTCTATTCGTGTATGCTATGCTTTCTCCTCCCATGCCGTCTTTGAGACGGCTGCAACAGGAAGCAGGACATGTTTCTTGGGTGCTCGGTGTCTCCTCTCGTTGGGTTTCGAGCCTGCAATGACTTGACTTGTCAGCAGAATGGCCAGAGAGGTATCCGCATTGCCTGTCACCTCTCACGCTGGTTCCTGGACCGCATGGTCGAGGTCATATGCAACTGGGGACCCATTGACAGACATCGTGTCAGCATTCATACGCCGCGCCTCGTGGCGCCTGACGCTGACGTATTCGCTTTTGCATCAAAAGGCAACGGGGAGGACCTGCGAATGGTATTTTCGAGAGCCGAGGCGCCGCCGTTTGACGTCAGCGCTGTGAATGGCCGCTCCGCTCTCAACCTCGCCACGATGGAGCAGGAACCTCGGACGTGTCAGTTCCTAATCTAAGCCGGGGCTAACCCCCACGAGAAAGACCAAATCGACCAGTCACCCGTCGATCAAATCTTGAATAAAATAGGTTACCTGACTGGTCAGGAAGGGGTCAGCTGAACGGAGCCTCTTTTTTTCTTGTTTTTTTGCCTCTGGCGGGCTGCCCTCGTTTCGCTCGAAGGAATGGGTGGCTGAGGCATTTTAGGAGCCCTCATAAAGTGCTCGTTATCAGGAAGAATCTGGTCGTTCGGGCCTCTTTAGGTAGAATCGGGCCGTCGGGAGGCTGGCCACGGCCGCCTGGATTTAGCGCATCGGGCCGTGGGGGCTCGGTTGAGAGACCACACCGTAGCCATCGCGGGGGCTCGAAAAACACGCGTCACTGGTAATATATTAGTAGAGATTAATAGGGTAATAATCGTAAAGTATTCGGCGTGCCTGTTCATGGCTAGAAAGCGGTAAATCGTACGTACGATTGACTGAAGTTGGTGTATTACGAGGTTAAAGAGGAAAGTGGTTTATTTTAGCGGGGGAGCTGGCTAGAAAGTGAAGGTACCGTACGGACCCTACAACGGATTGACAGCCATTCTACCACCAAAACAAATTCTCGTGATAATTCTATATTTCGATGTTCGTGGTCCAATTGTTGGATTTCTAGGGGGCAAGGCCCCTAGGGCCCCCGCGCCTGCGGCGCTCTTGGCCTGCGGCGCTGAGCCTGCGGCGCTCCTTCCTAACACAACCACGACACAGCAAAGCGGCATTTCACAGCTTAACCTGTCCTAGGTTCATCGGATCGACCAATCCCCACCTCCCATTTTGACACGGACCCGTATTTCACGGCCGCGTCCAGCCTCGAGGCCTCGCTGAGGGTCCGTAGAAAACTTGATTGAGGACCTGTGGGGAGAAGACGGTGACTTCACCACATGTCCCTCGGTGCTTTTTGGGGCGAAATCGTGGATCTATAATCTATAGCACCCTGTGGAAGGAAAAATGCGAATCTACGGCGACCGTGACGCAGGTTGCGAGGGAAGTAGTCGTCGCCACTAACCCGGTGGGGAAACTATTTATGTAAAACCGGATACCCACTTCGGCGGCTCGGCCTGTACGAGTTACGAGCATTTCTTTGTTTGTGAAAGCCCTCTTATGTCTTTTGTGAAGTTATGGAGTCCCTTGAGGTAAGGGATTTGACAAAAGTTTGGATCTGACCAGATGATGACGAAACTTGGCGCCGCTCAAAATATTCATGATCTATGATTGCCGTCCTTTTCCATTCATTTCCACTTGCTGCATGCGTACATGCCCGTCACTTGCTGATGCTCTCTGCCATGTCTATTTTCTGTCATGGTTACGCAAGGCCGTGGGGACACGGACGCTTGCACGCGCCACCGCTATCGCAAGGTTGCGGATGAGGGCCAAGGCTCCACTGATCGACCGGAGGGTCGGGTCGTGGGAATTTCGTACCTCTCTGATGCTGAAGTAAGTGCCTGATGGTGCAGCATGGGCTCGCATATTCCCGTGCGGTCGACAAGTTCCCGGCGGCAGGGAACCGTGTAGCTTGTATACGCCGTTCTAGAGGGCTTCGTTGCACATGAAAACTTGACGCTTCACATGATACACGAAACCTGCAAATCGTTTCCGAGCTGGAAAGGGTTGTATGCACCCCCCTTCCCCAATACTAGCAACAGGTCCGATTTCATCCAAGACTACGAAGCTATCAAGCAAAAATATCAGCCAGTGGCTATGACTATACCACGAACCATGACACGCCTACACGACAGTCACAGTCCTGGACCGTCATAGTCCTGGACCGTCACACGGAGCTGCCACACTCGTATCATGTCGCGTCTAATGCCTCCTTAGTCCCCAAAGAAATCTACAGTCACAGAAAATGATAAGAGGGAGGGGGCAGGCAAACCTGGAGGTCGGTGGTCTGGGCTCGATATCTGAGATGGTCTTCTGGTCTTTGGTGGTTGCCTGACCATCAGACCTCGACAGCAACATCTACCAACCAAACACCACCACACACACTCCTTGTGGCTAGGGATCAGCACATATTGGTTAGCTTGCATGACTTGGGACAGACCAAAGGAAATCGCAGAGATTCCCTAAAGCAGCATGCAATGTAGTACACATGGTGTGGACCTGGTTAACAAGTCAGTCGCCATGGTGTTTGTTGTGTGATAATGTGCATGAAAGGCGCGTCTCGTTCAGAAGCTGGGAAGCAATTCGTCCCCGCTGACTCTACGCGACTAGGTGGCAGTCAGTCTCAACTCGGCAAATAATCCTTAGGTAATAGTACAAAACCGGCAGTTAATGTTTCTGCAGCTACGCTGCTCCCACATGCCCAAGTTTCTGTTTGTGGGACGAAGAGTTGCCGGCGGCAACAGGTCCAGTGCTCTCCTTAATTACGGCGCGTCTCCTGGGACACATTGCGGCCTTGGAGTGGGTGTGCGGGGGGTGTGCGTGATTTGTGAGGCGCAGGTCCACGGCGTGGGCGGAAACACGGAGCGTAGCTGTCGAGGTCCGACGGGCAGGCTCGGGTGCCAAAAGGACAACCTCAAAGCTGCGTGCCGAGTTGAGCCCGGGATGCCCCTTACCAAGCCTGCGCAGCCGCGTGCTCGGGGCCTAGATATTTCCATGCGACCCTCTCCCAGAGTCACAGCTGACTCTGTATATTGTGGCGGTGAGGTAAGATAAATAGTGATTATTCATGATTATACGTAGTCTGTATTACTCTTGTCTGTGGCGTTTTGCTGCCCAGCTGGTAATTTGTTACACGACATGTCGTTCGCTCTAGAAATTGCTTGTTGGGTAGAATTGCTTGTTGGTTCACGGCAGTTGACATGGGGCCATCAAGCGCGCCAACTGCATCCTTTACAGAGCTAAAAGCAAGCGCTATGGCACCACCACCGCATACGCCCAACGTTCGCGTAGGTATTCGGAAAGCGTTTGGTAATCCCCAAGGTTTGCTGCCAGCTGCCAGCTGCCAGCTGCCAGACAGCTTCTTGATGCCTGTTGGCAATCTCCGAGGACCTAGAGCGAAGTTATATGTGCCACGCTGCTGCTCCCGCGCAGTGGCTTGTCCTTATCGACCTTCCTACGAGATGCGTAGCGGGCGTTAAGCGCTACACGACAGTGGTGGCATATTGCTCCAGCGACAGTGCTCCACTGCCCAGTCACTCCTTCCAGGCTACGGCCCCCAAATGCTACGTGCCGAGCGCTGTACGAACAAGGCAAGATGCCGCCTTCTGGAAACTAGTTGACCTCGCCTCAGCGTTCCCGGCTCGATTCTGGGGTGCCAGAAGGGGCGACCGTGAAAATAAGAAAAATTCTTCTCCTCTCTGCATATGCTGTGGTACAACGAGAAGGGGGTGCTGAGTTCGCGGCAGGCAAGACCCAGAATTGCCCCGCACCCTTCACACCCCTCCAACCTGAAAGCCTCCAGGGCTCAGCTACCGCCTCTGGAAAACGCTCCACGGTTTTTTCTTGTCTTTTTCGCAATACTTGTAGCTAGGAAGGCGCTATTAGCACCCACCCTCGCTAAGGAATTCGACCCCTCTCACATTACGCGCACTAGTGCAGACGGACAACTTAATGACGTGCAGAGACTCCCCAGTCTGGGATGGGCGGCTCCTACGGGACAACGAGTCAATTTGAGCGCCACCCCACTGTATTCGGACGGCCTGGCCCTTGGCTCCCCGGGCCTGTGCGGGCAGGATCAACTGTTACTGATCAAGCGCTGGGATCGAAACGCAGGTCAGTGTAATAGTTCCCAACGTTGGGACTCAAATGAAGAAAGGTTGACAGGTCAAACTATTGCCTCACGAGCAATTGATCGACGAACCTTTTACTCATATATCTTGTTCTCGACTATCTTGTTCTCGACTTTCTTGTTCTCGACTACACTATGGTATGCCACTGAATGTCGTTTGCGCAGTCGCTTCTCCGCGCTCGCTAGACACCCCACCATAGGCCCTCCGAGTCTGGTTCGGCTGGGTGCTGTAGGTACTCGTACCCGATAGGCCTGCAGCTCTGCCCCGAGGCCCCGCTCGGACCCGACCCTGGTCGCCGCAGAGAAACACATGGTCCTCGGCCCCATCCCGCCCCGCAGAGCCGGAATGGACCGCACACGCCAGCCTCTTTGCTGGCTAATTTTGACACACCGGCGCTGTGCTGAGTGCCCGCCGCCGCCCGGGCCAGGCAATGCCACCCGACACTCGACCCCTAACTCGATATTCGTACACAGACAGGCCAGAAGCAGGCCTATCGACGCCCGAACCCATGTCCAGTCATGGACGCTAGGTCCGATTTTGATCCACGCCGCCATCCTTCCAGCAGTCCATGTGCAGGAAATAGCTGGTTGAGGCTGCCTGTCCCCTTCCCCTTGTCCCCAGCGTAGTAGGCGTAGCGGGCCGCGCCGCACGCTGCTAACCCCCAACTGCAAAGTGTGGGCCCTAATTATTAACAATTGAGGCCTTGTCACGTCACGTCACGTCTCTTGATCGACGCTAGTGTGCCAATTTGTATCGAACTTGCGTGTCAACGAATTTCGTATGGGCATCTCGACGGCCGAACCAGCGTCGAGGCTCCTCCTCCTTTACGCAGCGCACCTTCTCACACTCGCAGTGCCGCCGGCGTGCCGCACACCACACCTTCTCTCGTGGCCTTGCTGGGCCTCGGTATCACTATCTCTCATCTCATGGCCGAGCAACAGCTACGCAGTTATGCGCGTATATTATTTGTCTCGTCTGCCCCGTGTTTGTCGGCACGTTTTCATGTTATGCCTCCACACCCCAAACACGCCATCTTGGACAAGTGTCCCGCCGCAAGGCCCATCTCTGTCGCCCTCGGATCAACCCCGAGCTTCTCAAAATACCTTAACTTTTATTTCTCAACAAAGGATCTGGGCTGCCCTCAAAAGTCCCAGAGAATGTGGCGCTTTGACAGCCGCACGGCTGCCCCCCAACCCCAACCCCAACCCCAAACATACCCTCCCCCGGGAACTGGATCTCCTCCCCTGGACTACTGTGCTCGTCGGTATGCCGGGCTGCCCACTAGTCCCGTCCCAGATCTGGGGCCCCAGACCGTCGCCGCCGTCTGGACACTGGTTGTCCTGTCGACAGTCTTCCTCGCCGTCCGCGTCTACTGCAAGGTCTGGAGGCTGAAGGGGCTGTGGTGGGACGATTGGGTTCTCATTCTGAGCTGGGTACGTTCACACCTGCCGGTCCAACCACCTAGTACCACCAGGGCATTCGCTGATACGTCGTAGGTCTGTGAAATCGGCAACGCGTCTATTGTCCAGACAGTTGTCAACCTGGGGTTCGGCAAATACCCCTGCGACATCGATATCGCCAATCTACCAAGCATCGGGCTCATCGGGCCCCAGTTCGGGGGTACCGTAAACCTGATAGCTATCACCCTGTCAAAGACGGCCTTCGCCATCACGCTGCTGCGGCTGACCGAAGGGGGCTTGAACAGGTTCATATGGTTCCTGCTCGTGTCCATGAACCTCATCACCGCGGCCAACATATTCATCCTCTGGTTCAAGTGCGCACCAATCGCCAAGTCGTGGAGCCCCTTCATGGAGGGCACGTGCATCAGCTCAGACGCGACCAACGGGTTTGGCGTATTCTGGGGCGTCTACTCGGGCGTCTGCGACATCGTCCTGGCCTTTGTCCCCTGGCGCCTCGTGTGGAACCTGCAGATGCACACCAGGGAGAAGCTGGGTGTGGCTATCGCTATGAGCATAGGCGTATTGTAAGTTCCCTGGCCGTCTGCTAAAGAGAGACGCAGCGGGGCTAATGCCGGAACCCTGTGACAGCGCTGGCGCAACGGCATTCGTCAAGTCGGCAACCATCTTGACACTTGGCAAGGAGAGCTTCACCTGTGAGTTCAGCCGTTCTATCCCCGAGCACCCCCCCCCCCCCCCTCCCCCAAACAATAACAAATACTAACCCAGCCACTCCCAGACGATGGCACTGGGCTGCTCACGTGGTCGGCGGCTGAGATTGGCACGACCATCATGGCGTGCTGCATCCCCGTCATGCGGGTGCTGTTCCGCGAGATCAACGAGAAGCGCAACAGACGGCACCAGCACAGCACGCGGAGCTACTCGCCCACCTCGAAGCAGCGGAGGATGGCGGCGGCCAGCGGCGACCAGAGCACCGCAGTCGCTTCGTCGACGACGAGCCCGAGCCTCGGCAAAGCGTTGTGGGGGATGTGGGCCAATAGCCGCGACGAGAAGCTGGCAGCGGCTGCGCAGAACAACAACAGCAACAGCACGTCGCCGCCACCATCAACTTCCGACGTGAAGTCCGCCGCCTCCCCAAACAAGGACAAGATCCGTCTCTTCCCCGCCGTCGCCGTGTCACACCGCGAGAGAGCCGGGGCGAGCATAAACAACAACCCGTTCGAGCCGAGGGCTGCGAGCCGCGGCGCCGGCGGCATCATGCACACGCAGGAGTTCACGATCGAGTATCACCACCACCACCACGTGGACCACGCCGCGGACGCGGACGCGGACGCGGGCCACTGCCCTTCAGACCAGCAGAGCAGCGGGCCGTCATCCATGTACGAGATGTCGGCGATGGAGAGGCGCGGCGAGGTGTGAGCGTTGTGATACCCATTGGCTTTGATATCATCTGATTTCTTTTGCGTTGTTGTAATTGTATTAGCGACCGCCGGCCTGTTGCTTTCTTTTCTTTGTGTCTCTGGGGCGTGCTAATCAATACCGAACGGATTAAAAAAGGAGTTGGGATTTGGGTTGCCGTGTTTTCTTATGAGCGTTTGTATGATCTGAAGACAAGACATGATAGATGGGTAATGATACACGTATTAATTAATGGAGTAACGCGCTTCTGTCTAAGGAGCCAAGATACGAACACCAGGGTTCCAAGATACGATCTGCCAGCAAACGGCTAGTTGAGCTTGAATATACATGGTTCCAAGTGCTTCCGTCTCCGGTTTGGAAACCTTGAGGGCAAACCGAAAGGCAGTCAGCCCTTTATGTTTCCTGCGCTATTAAACATTTAAATGTTGGACTGCACGTGGAAGCGCTCTGTGGACGTTCTCGATAGTAAGATGCTGTGTTATTATTCATGTCGAAGCCTATTGTAAAACAAACTCGCTAATCCCTCCGCGCGCACAAAGTGAGAACTATCGCGCGGATCCTAACAATGAGTACCCCTAGCACGAGAACAGAGACACCCAACATATCTAGCTCTTCCTCCGCCGCTTGCGAGCTCTACGGCTCTGGCGCTGGTGATTTTGCTCTGAAAGAGTCGTTAAAGACTCGCTCAAGGCTCCATCTTGCGCTGTTCTTGGCCGTTAGTGGGCTCCTACCCGCGGACCCGTCGGAGCTAGAGTCTGCGCAGGCCTGTGACTTCTTGGCCGACGCTAGGTTCCCACCTAGAGACGGGTCGGAGGAGGGGATGTATATTGGGGCGGTGGGGGCGTACATGTACATTGGGTCGGTGGGGGTGTACATGTACATTGGGGCGGTGGGGGCCACATTCGCCGTTGGTGATTGACCAGACCCAGGCGGGCTAGACACGAATTCGTAACCATCGACGGTGGAAGGCTTGCCGGCTGGTGGTGACTGACCAGGCGCAGACGGGCTTGGGGTGGATTCGGTATCATCGGCGGCGGGAAGCCTGTTTGCAGTTGGCGATTTCTCAACTGCGAGCCTAAGGAGGGTTGGATCCATAAAGAGTTCCACTGGCATCTTTGGCCAAAACCCTGGCATGTCTTAGTTCTCGCGTATGGTATTAAAGCAGGACTTGGATTCACTGCTGTCGAACATGCAGCAGGTTTCGCGGCGGTGGTTGCGCGCTTTGGCGTAGTAGATCTGCGTAGCCTTGAGCTAGGAGACTGGGAACTTGCTCAAGATTTCGGTCCGCGGCGCTATGACATTGAGCTATGCCCTCCACTTCGGACACTGGCCCGACATGTCTCTGAGAAAATAATGGCGCCTGACGGTGTACCATTCTTCGTCTAGCTCCAGATCAATCTTATAAGTCCTTATAAACCCTCCCTCATGAACAATATTGTCCTGGGTCCAATCGAAGCCCTGCCTTATCAGTTGCAGGATGTCGTTGGCAATCACCAGCATCCACGCTTTCCAGTCCCCTTAGCGCGGTCGCCCGTGGGGCTGAACCGAAAGCTAATGTTGGCTGGGCCCGGAAGATCTGGGTCATCAGATTCTACCCCCCAGAGTTCGTTGGGGTCGACAAATGAGTTGTGCAGATTGCCCGATGCCGCTGCCATTGTGATTAATTGGCAGACGCGACGACAAACGATACGGTGGCGGATCGGAATTTTGCTGGGGGATGGATTGGCCGACGGCGGGAATAACTGCGATACAGATGGGAACGGGTGTGATGCTGCTTTTCAAGAAAATGCGGATGTGCCTTGGTGAGGGATAGAAATGCTAGCAAAGAAGAAAAGAACAGACCCAAGAAGCAAAGACGGGACCGAAGAAGAAAAAAGTGAACCCAAAAAGACGGGACCTAAGAAATGCGGCCCGACTCCAGCGTGCGTTCCGTCAAGGTTTTCAAATGCCCAGACGCGGGAGTTGAAGGTGGACTGACTAGCCATTCCTTCCCCAGTCTTATCCACCATGACATCCATCGTGAATTTTACAGCTCTTCTCAAAGCATCATCACAGGAATTATGGCGATTATAGGAACCCGTCAAAAGTTCCAATCTCGTCAAGTCAATTATATGCGAGCTGGTACATTCCTTGATGCCGATTCTGGAACAAGGTCTCGCCTGGGATTTGGTGTCGTCCACATCATTTCTGCTCTGCGCTTTCCTGTTGAGGCGCGTTTTGGCTTCCTCCACCGGTATCCGCCTTGGCTGCCAGTGCCTTTTTGGCCGCCGTCGATCTTTCGCCATTTGCATCCTGTAACCGAGAGCAAAAGTTAGCCGCGCAAAAATTGCAAGTGTGCAAGCCGGTGGTGGGGATCGGGGGACCCGACTCTTTCTCTCGAATGTACTGGTTTTCCAACGCCTTCTCGCGATCCGAGAGAGGATTTGGTTGCATCATTATTCCACGCCGGTGTTTGGCATTCACTGTTTACCTAGGCAGTTGCCGGGAGCACAAATATGTTTTGTTAAAATTTTTGGTTGGGAAAAAGGACAGTGAATGTGAACAAGTGTTCGTTCGCCAATTCAAGGGTTCGAGGCAGGACGTGTCATGTGGCGTGATGACGAGGGGAAGTGTAAGGGTGTCAAAAATGACGTCACCATCGCCTTCGAGGCAGTTCGCGGAGTCAACAGATTGAAAAGAAATGAAAAGGAAATAAAGACAGGGTGCAAATGTCAACCAAGCTGCACGATGGTTAGGTAAAAGAACCGGCATATCTACGGGCATCAAATCCAAGCAGCTGGTATGAATGCGCCGTGGCCCAACTAGGGTTGAAAGAAAACACGCCTCGGATGATTGACAGCCATGAGCCAGTTACAGAATACACAGGCGGGTAGTACGAGGCAGAAATATTGAGCTCGAACGGGAAACTATTCAACATGTCGCACAATACGGGGGTAATTAGCGAGACCTCGACCGCGAAACACTCCGGTCCTTGTCCTCGTCCCACTCCTGACGCTCGAGATCGCCGTCCCCGGACAGCGCGCCGTGGTAATAATCAACCTTGACCGTGCTGGTCTTGGTAATGACCCCGTCGCCGACCTTGGCCTCGGCGTCGAGGATGCTGACATCGCTGCGGTCGTCGCTCAAGCCCCCTACAACTCCCTGCTTTCTAGTATTCTTCGCCGTGGCAGACCGGCCGCCCCCGGACACGACCGACGCTTGGTTATTGCCTTTGTTACCGCCGATGCGCGTGAGCGAGTCGAGCCGCAGATGTCCGCTCCCGCTCCCGCCCGCGTTGCCCGACGATCCCCGGCCACGCACTTCCCGCAGCGCGAGACGTAGGAACGGGATCGATGCTGCGGTGATGACGACGGCCGTTTCAGCGCCGGCCCAGATGGACAGGTCGATTGCTTGGTCTAGTGGTGAAAGGGTACGAGTCAGTGAGAAGTAGAGAAACTGTTGGATGGTTACGTACAGGTCCACTCCCCGACACTGTGGTTGATGTATGCGGTTTTGATGACGCCTGTGATGCCGGACCTGGAGAAGCAAATGGTGAGTTGAGCAAATGGTGAGTTGAGCAAATGGTAGGTTGAGCAAATAGTGAGTTGAGCAAATGGCGAGTTGATTGGCGGGAACGGGTTGTTACAGGGAAACGAGGCAGAGTTCATTGCTTACAGCACTCCTAGGCTCATGGCGACACAGACGCCAATCTTCTCGACCCACCGCATGTTCAGACGCATGATGAGCAGCCATGGAAACAAGGCAAGGACAAAGTCCATCGAGGCCGACCAAGCTGCGTGTTACCAAGTCCCAAGTCAGTCGACTCGCTCCGAGTATGGTAAGCTGAAGCGGGAACGAAAGCAATACTCACCCCCGGAGAAAACGTTGTAATCCAGCAGCCTCCTGGAGTTCCAGCACGTTCCCGGCACAGTGGGATCCCAGACGCGTCCGAGGGGCGTGCACGACGTATAGATGAATATGGCCGTCGTCCACATGAGCAGGTTGACGGTGATAATGATGGTCCAGATCAGGACCTTGTGCCACGTGTGGAAGGTAAGGCGCAGCAGCGTCACCGCGAACGAGGACTTGCTAATAGCGATGGAGATGATGACAAAGAAGTCGGCCGTGCCGAGCAGGCGGTGGGCCTCAACCTGGTCTGCATGACTGATCGTCTTGAGATGCCGCCCGAGGCCGTGCTTAGTTGCCGACACGACGAGGCCGGTGTAGGCGACGAGAAAGATCTGTTGTCTTCGAGTCAGCTACCTAGCGTGGCGATATGGATTTGGAGGCAGAAAGACTCCATACCCAGGCTACTACCAGGATGTAGTCGTCGACGGCGAACGGCTTGCCGTATCGCGCCTTGCACGCGCAGCGCAGGCCGAGGAAGAGCAGCGAGACCGACACCATGACATACATGGATATCTCGAGCACCGGGGCGCGATTATCGTTTGGGTCGTAGCCTAGGGCCGAATCGAATGCCATCTTGGCGGCTCTGGCGTGTCTCTCTGACAAAGGACGTGAGGATAAGGTCGAGAGAGCTACTAGCAAGGGAGCCCGGGAATTCGAGAGAGTCTAGCGTGTGAACTAGCAACCCTCAGGGGTTGCATAGACAAGTGAAGTGGGTCATGATGAATTTCTGGGAGACTGGGGAAAGCCTGTAGGTCCATATATGGACCATGTTTGACTATGTGTGCGGGCCGCGGTGCAGACGGCGGGAGCGGGTGCAGATTATGCGAGCGATTTCCGAGCCATCCCGTAATTCTTAGTCCCCGATGCACTGCATCACAGACGCTCTTGTTGCTGGTGGAGGCGGCCGCCATTGACCATGCCGTTGGTTGAGGGGGAGAGGACCGAGCTGCTGGAACCGTGGCTCCACGAGCGGCGCATGCGGCGCAGTCCTGTCGCGTTCCAGCAAAGACAATAGGGTTGGCGCATCCAACTCCCCGGCGAAACACAAGCAGGATTTCCATGCATGGAATCGAGAATCGAAACCAATGGGACACGCGGTTGCAAAAAGGAATATTGAAGCCACGCTGCAAGGACGGCAGAGCTCGACGCACAGGTCTTTGTCTCCTCCCCGATCCAAAACATGAAGGGGTTTGGGCGGCCAGAAGCAGGTTGTCTTCGCGATGTTGGAAACCTCTGGACGGTGGAATGGAAACGCTTCGTCTTAAAACGATTATTTGCGCAAGATTAGGCTGTGGAAAGTTTAATGTTTACCGGGCCGAGATCGTTTGACGTTTCCACCTCTGTTAATCTGCACCCGCACTTCTTATCACTAATGTCTTGCGTCATAAAGGCTCAATATGGAGAAAGGCGATTGGCTCGTTCTATGAGGACTATCTGGCGAAAATGTCAGTCATGTAGGCTGGCTGAGAGTTGCTGTGCACCTACAGCAATCGCTCCCACAACATGACAACTTCCAGCCACGCCCCCGCGCGGAGTTCACGGAGCTACGAACAAACATGGGGGCTGGAGCAGCTCACAGGCCTAGCCAACGGCATGAAGAAGCCGTAACGTTAGATTCAGCTCGTGTTCACCCACGACGAGCAACTCTCAAGATCGGTTGCCAAAACAAGAGCCGGCTGCAGCCTGTCGCCAAATAGGGAACTACTTGACCAGAGTCTGCTCGGCGATGGTTCAGCCCCATGCTACGCCACCTAGAACCGAGATGCTGAGCCCTGCCCCTGCGCAAACACGGCAAGGCTTTTCGGCAGTTCATTTAGCACACCCTCTTGGCCCCCATCAATGAAGTAATGGAGCCTCTTTGCTGCCGTCCTGCTAACGTCACTCACACCACTCAACCACACACTCACATCACTCAACCACACAAATAATTGCAAGTAGCCAATGATGCAATTATCCCTATCCGGTGCCTGTGGCTCTATATTTGGCGAGTAACGATCTGAAGGTTTTTGGTTCCAGGTAGTTAAACCGCTTTTGGGGTTCGGACACTCGACAATGATGTCTGCTTCGAATACCGTATATGACCCTAACCCTGCGGAAGGGAGCGCTTGACCTCTGAGCTCCGATAGCTCAACCTAAACTATGCTCCATGACTCCATCCGCTGCACGCAACTCAACTTTCCAGTCTGCTAGATGCACGCATAATATCAAGGTATGATGATCTATGATAATACAACGCGGCAGCATTTTGCGCCGCGGTTCAACAAAGCCAGTTGTTACGCGTTAATTACGAGCGACTTACACCACTTTCAAATCAAGGTCACATGTCGATGCTCCGCTTCTGACAAGGGGGATATTTGACTTTAAGGGGGGGATATTCTAATTCGATTTGTTTCCAGGCGTAGGCAAAAGGACCGCCATTGGCAACGCTAAAAGCAGAACGACAGCAGCATCGGAGGAAATTAATGAGATGGTGCTGGGAGGGAAGGCAAAGGTGGGAGAATAACAGACTTGGCGTGGATGACCAGAAAGCAGAGACAAGGAAAATCGTAAACGGCCGTGATGAGGAAAGAAATAAGGGAGGCAGCAGCAACATGGAAGGAAACGATTGACAAAAGGAGACTAAGGAGACTAAGATGTCGAGCAGCCCCGGCAGCAACAATAGCAACGTCAAGACAGAAACCCACGACAAGGAAATGAAGAATATCCTGAAACAACCAAGCCAAAATTTGAGGAAAGCCCACAAAGAGGGAAGACGACAACAAGGCCGTAACCTTTCCCCTACGCAATGCCAAGACGCTCAGTGCTTCAGCTTCTTCCTGTGACGGCGGATATTGTCCTTGCGCCCCTTCTGGCCGCACGTGGGGCACCGGTCTTCCTCCTTCGGGACGTCTTGCTCTCTGGCCGTTTCGGGGTGGTTGGTCCACATGTGGCGGTGCCAGTCACGCTTTTGCGCCGTGCCCTGGTAGTACCCCTCGGGGCAGTACTCGCAGCCGATGGGCTTGGTGTGTTTCTTGTTGTGCTTGCTGTTTGAAGGGGAAGAGGAAAAGGGTTGGTCAGCAAGGGGAATATTGCGAGTGGAATATTGCGAGTGGAATATTGCGAGTGGAATATTGCGAGTAGTTAATTAGAAAGGGGCGGAATCAGGACAGCTTACTCGCGATCGCATTTCCTATCAAACGACCTCTCGCAGCCGGAATCGCGGCAAAGAAAGGGCGGCCCGAGAGCGCCGTCAGAGAAGTCGCTGTTTTCTTGCTGTTGCGTTTCGTACTGGGCGTCAAGCGCGGAAGGAGTGCTGCCGGCGGGCGTGTAAGCGTTGACGTTGGTGGTGGTGGCTAGATAAGCCGCTGTCGAATTCGGGTCTGCCCATGGCGATACTGCTGTCGAAGGGCCCGCGTAATGAGTGTCGGGGTTGCTGGGGGAAGGAGTGTACCCATAGCTGTTGTCGGTCAGGATGCCGGGAGGATGCGCATCCAAGGAGAGGTCGGAGAAACTTTCGAGACTCTCGAGATTCGGGTCAATGGGAATGTTGGCCGAGCTAGGCAGATCGTTTCCGCTCATTTCTGGAGGACTGGTGCTCTAAGAGCTGTTTGCCTGCAGAGTCGATGAGAAACTCTCGGAATAGTCGTATTCGTAACCGAGCGCGTTGGCGGTGCTGTCAAACTGGTAGTTGTGGAATGCAGAGTCCTGGAAAGACGACTGATATTCCAAATTCGAGCCGTAGGCGTATGAGGCGGCTGCAGTGTCGGAGACAGGGGGGGGTTCCACCATGGATCCGGCTGGGTGCGGGTTGCTCATTATGTGCAGCTGCCGGGGGTCAATAGTGCCGTCGTTACCCCCATCAGCCGCGGGGTGTGAAGACGAAGCAGCACGGAGCGACTGGCTACGAGCCTCCCGCCTCGAGGACGAATGCCGAGGCATGGTATCGATGTACACCGTTGGGTCGGCAACCCCCCAGAAGCACCCGAGACCAAGGTCTAACTCCTGTCGAAATCCGAGATCGAACACTAGCTGCTCTCTTGGAAGACTGGGGTGTCAAGGTCACAAATTGCTCTCTTTGGTCGGATGAATGGCAGCCGGCGGTGGGGTGGGGAGCACTTACAAGCTGCTGCACATCGTACGGCGAATCGTTCTGGCGAGACCCCCCTGGCAAGAACAAGTCGCTGTATGGAGGCCCAAGGTGGCAGGATCTGGCGATGGATGGCGACGGCAAGGGAGCCGTCAGGTGTCCACAGGGTGTGCCGTGTGTTGGACCCAGAGCTGCCGAGCAGGTTGGTCCTACAGCCGGCGTCGTGCAACGAACAAGAGGTCAGAGGGGGCTGGAAGACGGTTCCTAAGCACGAGCCCTTAGCAGGTGAAGAAGACGAGCACTCAATCTGGGGGCAAAGTCCTTGGTTCAAATACTAGCCCATTTTGTCTCGCCGAAGCTGTCGTGTTTGCGCTGTAGAGACCAGGGGCAGGCCATGAGCCTCTAGCGCTCGTAGCAGGCCAACACCGTCGAGGGGGCTCAGCCTGTGAGCCTGGGAAGTGGCTGCACAGAGGCCTACGTCCACGTGTGAGGCCTACCACGGCGAGGCCTTCCGTGGTGAGGCCTGCCGACTGTGCATGACGGGACCGGAAAGCTGAGGCAGGATTTGAAGGCGGCCACCCTATTGGCCCGTTCCGGCCAATCGATGAGCTGATGGTCACGACGGTCCGGTGTTTGAGGGGCTGTCATTGGCGACTGGAGCTGGGCAGCCTGTTGGGCTTGGACTTGACCGAAAAATAAGCAACATGATTTAATCTGGCGGTGTCTTCTTCTTTTTCTTCCTGCAAACCGGTTCGCAAACTGGTTCGCAAACTAGATACCCTCAGGGGGTCGATTGGAGAGGCGCAAGAGCCTTATCGCGCTTCTGTGCTAGACGCCTCGTACGCCTCCCTACGGCCTTTAGTTGCCTAACCCCAGGTTGCATTTGAGGCAGGAATTTTGTGAGCCTCCGGCAGCAAAACAGCACGCCGGCATGGAACAATAAAGAATCGCACCGGCAGCTTTGGGTTAGGCCCTCTCGCTCGGGCAGCCCTGACGCGAAATGGCCAGCAACATTATTATTTATATGCCTAAATGACCTCCACCTTCTCGTCATATTGTTTACTCCTCATCCCAAAGGAAAATCTCATTCATCACCTAAACATCTCGGCAACATCTCGGCAACATCTCGGCAACATCTCGGCAACATCTCGGCAACATCTCTGCATTAATCTTGTCTCGAAAAATCACCACCGGTTCCGTCTTGCCTCTTCATTCATCTTTGCCCCACCATTCCAAACCTCGAGATGGCTCCGATTTCCTCTGATATTGTTCCTCTGAACGCTGGGCGGATCAAGCGACTGTATGGGCCCGTTCGCTTCCAAGCAGGCCTCACCAATATGCTTGTTTCCCAAGGCAGCACGACGGCATCGGATCTTGACACGACAGAGGGTAAATCTTTCCAGGGCATCTATTTCTGCTTCGTCAACAAGCTGGGGCAAATCTGCGACTTCAAACGCGGCGGCGACACGGTCACAGCCTTTGCCGTGCTCCAGCCGGGCTCCATCGAGTACCATTTCACCATGAACAAAGCATCAGCCGGGATTCTTCAGACTGTCACCACTTACGTTGAAGGCATACTCGAGACTCTGAATAGTACCTCAGATGAAGTTGTGATGACGGCCGACCAGAACTCGCCAATCTTCATAGACATTCGGCGAAGGGTCATCCGCTTCAATCGTCCCCGGATCAGGTGGTACATTAAGCAGATCAGCAAGTACGTTGGGCTTTGCATCAACAGCTCCGATGCAGACGGAACCAGCGATGGTGCGTAGCATGTTTTGCGCCTCGTTTTGTACTAGCCGCAGTCAAACATTTGCTTACCGTGGATTCATGAACAGGCGCGTCTGTCTCGCGGCACCTCAGAGTCCTTCAGCAGCTGTCCGCATTTGTGCAACAGACTGAAGAGAACCTCGATTGTGAGCAAGATGTGCATGCTAGATGCAATCTTGGATGCAAGCTAAAATCTGCCTAGTTGTTGACCACGGCCAGAAGCTCCTCGAAGCTCTGCGCGAGCGCTATCGTCCGCTCGATCGGTATATGCGTTCAAAGCTGAGTGTAAGTGAAGACGACACAGCCATCAGCGACAGTCCATGGGTCAAGCTTCGCCACCCGATTGGCCGCCTCCAATCATACAACGTGGCAGTCAAGGTCCTGATCTCGGTCCGCCACCAACTGCCCCGGCTGTTTTCCCAATTCAGCGTCGTCGCCGTCCCCCCGGCCGCCGAGACCGAGGCTCCGAACATCAACGTCCAGGCAAACACCATCATCGGGAAAATGACAAACGACAAAGCCAAGATCGAGAGCCATCGCCTCAACGCCGAGAAGCTGCAGGCCATGGGACTGGACAGGAACATCAAGGAGGCCAACGAGAAGGTCACAAAGCTCAAAGTGCATGCCGAAGTCAATCTCCTCGACTCCATCCTCCGCGACAGCCGCGAAGAGCCCGTGCCGTTCTACAACGAAGGCAGGTTCGGCCGCTACATTGGCTGCAGCAAGCCGACGTGCCAGCTCTGCCATCTGTATTTCGGGGCGCATCCGGCCCGCGTCACCGTGCGGACCACACACCACAACCTGTATCCCGGCTGGTAAGCACCCCCCCTATTACCTTAATACATATCACATCGCCCCTTGCTAACGGGGAAGTACCAACTCCACCTCGCCTAGGCGCACCCCCGACGTGTACGTCTCCGACGGCCCCGCGGCCGCGGCGCGGCGCGACAAGATCGTCGAGCAGATGATCCTCGGCATCCGGCAGGTGACGTTCGACTCTATCCAGACCATGGCGGCGCCGTGGCGCCACAGCGACTCGGGCGACACGGCCACCAACCCCTTCGTCAGCACGCTATCGACGGCGGGCTCTGTGGTGCGCACCGCCACCCGGATGTCGCAGGCGGCTACACCAGTGCCAGGCCGCGGTAGAATTGATGAGCATGAAGATGACGATGTCTTTGATGACCTCGCGTCCAAAATGGGGCAGCTCGATGTGCAGTCTGTGAGGGATCTTAGCAGCGAGTCAGAGGAAGAAGGAGACTCGATTGATCGGGATGAGGATGAGGATGAGGATGAGGACGAGGGGTGGGACGAGGTGACCCAGGGCACGGGTAGCCATGAAGAAGACGAGTCTGACCCGACGAGTGACGACGAGGAAGGCGGCTCCGGGTTGTGAGGGCTTGAAAGTCCGGGAACCTGAGACTATTTGAGTGGTCGCATTTGAAGTTACATTTTGCGGGTTCTCTATAATTCGTCTGGCCGGGTCTTACCTGGTTAGAACATCAGTACGTAAGGTAATTAAGGTACTGATCAGACATTTACATATATTTCATCCTATATTTATTCCTGATCTCCTCTGTATTTCTCCACTTCGATGAGCGAGCTCCTGTCTTGTTAGTTAACAATATAATCCTGTCTTACTCGACTATGCTAGTCACTACAGCCAAACGTGGCAACCCTCTTATACTCGGTCAACTACCTTATGCTAACGCTCTCCACCTCCGAACTTTCTCCGCCAATCTCCTCGGGCGGCGGATAATATCGAACCGCGGAAACTCTCCACCAAGTTCAAGTTGAAGGGCTTCCACTCTTCGGTCATCCGCTTCGATGGGATACAGACTCCTGACCTCGTAATCCAGGCCGGGGCGCCCTAGAAGTCTCATGCTGTTTTTTTTTTTAGATCCAAGAGCACAAGAGAAGCTGGTAAAAAACCAGCAGCCCGGAAGTCAATAACCCAGAGCGTTTCGTCACCCAAGACGACGAAGTCGGGGTCAGGCACGTAGAAATACAGCTTGTCCATGTTGATATTTTACCAAACTCGTCGTTTCCAGAGTGTCTTGACCTTTTTTGCTTCGTCTTCGTGGAAGAAGCGGGTTTTATCCGGAGCCCAATTGGACGACCGGAGAACTACTAAATCGTTAACTGCCGTCTGGGTACTTAACACGCTGCATTCATTGGCAGGTAGGTGCGGCGTCTGCAGTGTAGGCGTCCTACATGTGTGGAATCACCTACATCGTATACATTATGCTCGAAACCTAGTCCCTCGAACTGATCGATAACAGTCCAGAATAGGTATTCAGCCTGGCGCCATCTTGCCCAATCCCGGTCTTGGCTTTCTGACATACTTCGTGTTGGGGTCTCATCAAGCAAGCGCGATTGTCTCATCAGCTTGGGAGGCGGCAAAGCCAAAAGGAGCGCAAACGCCTCTGATATTTGCTTGATTAGCCCGTCACGCTTCTCTTTGTCTCGGCCGAGCATCGGTTCCATATCGGCCAATTTCTTTCCCTCCAAATGTTCAATAACAGCCCACAGATCATCAAAATCGGCCCTACTGTAGTATATCTTCGGGGTTCGGATTTTAACCACATTTCCGGGGTTGCTAGTGTGGAAAAGCAGGCCCCGTAGTCGAGAATCAATTTCCTCCGGTTGTATAGGGTATCCCTGACTTCTATTTTGCAGGTTTCCTAAAGCCTCAGTCTTATTGTTAAGGTCGGCACGCTTCTCCAGGTGTTCTAAGACGTGGTTGCGAATTCTATCGGCGCCTTGGATTGTGTAGGCTTGTTGTAAGCTTTCGAGATACTCACATACAAATTCATGTGCGTAAATTTGGAAAGCCTCGGTGGAACCCTTGTCCGTCACGATGCAAGTCGCCAGAGGAGAACCTTTTGGTGATGGCGAATCAGGACTGACATTGAAGATAATTTCGTGTCGGAATTGTTCCAGCTTCCCAGTTCCGGATAAATCATTGTGGAAATTTCGATATTTTATCGCATAAGAGAGAAATAAATTGGAGGGCTCCGTGTCCCGGACATCCAAATTGCCGATAACTCTCTTGTCTCTCCACCGTCGCGCCTTTTCAGCGAGGTACTACCCGCACACGTCTCTCATTCTGTTGTGCGCCGCATCCACCTCAAGCGAGCCTTGCCATTTTGGTCTTTCTGAGCCTAGGTCTGGGTTCGATCCAATTAAAAACCCCTTGCCGGTCTGGTGGATGAACTGCACTTTGTCCTCGTAGATCTGGACGAAAAATCCGCAGTTGGTGTTGATCCACGTGCGAAACGCGGCGTCGCTGTCGATGTACATCATGCTTTAGTTCATAGTACCTGAAGCTACCCTCAGCGCAATATTCACCTCCTCGGCAGTCAAGGGTGTGGCGGCGCAAATCATGATAGACAATAGTTCTCTGACGTAGAACTTCCTCTTCGCGTCTACACTTCTGAGGAGCTTCTCGTACGCGCCGTTTACTGTTGGCGGAAGTTCTGTGATTAGAGTGAGCCAATCCTCGTCAGGGAGCGCGGGCTCCTTGTCGAGCAGCTCAAAGATGAGTCGCAGCCATAGGTATGTGTTTTGCGGTGTGCCCGTCCCCCTCAGCGACTCCTCAATGCGAATACGGAGCTCGTTGCTCCATCCCTTTTCCTTGGCCATGGTGCCTACCCTCATTTTGATGACACTCTCGATCTCAGAGGCTAGAATGGTAGAGTCATTCGGGTTCAGCCCGATGTTTGGCACATTGCGAAACTTGTTGATAATCCGGTCGATTGGCCGCGTCGTGGCTAGGATCTTCAACTTCGGGTTTCTTGTCTCTTCGGCATTGCAGAAGGTCGAAAGTCTGTCAAGAAGCATCTGTGGATGTTCATCGTCGCACTCGTCGAGGGCATCGAAGATGCATATGATAGGTTCCTTGACAAGCAAAGTGACAACTTCAAGCAGGTTCCATAGGTCGGTCATGGAGCCCGGCAGGCCTTCACCTCCCTGGTTAATTTCGTTCTTCACTTTTAGCGCGAGTGACGGATCCTTGGTGAGTATCTGATGAAGGATAGCGCACAAGGCCATGTCGGCCCTCTTCTGAATGAGGTTGGTATCTTTGAAGAAGTGGCACACAGTCGCCTGTCCACCATTGCGCCACTTCTTCACCAGCGCTCGTGCCAGCACAGACTTCCCCTGCCCGGGCATGGCTTTGACCAAGAGGAGTTTCTTTCCGCCTTTCTCCCAGTCGAGGACTCGGTCGTCTTTCAGGAACCACCCACATGTTCCTTCGGCCGGATCCGGGTTTCGATCCATGAACTCCTCGTACGACAAACCCGAGACCTTGAACTTGCCAATCAGCTTGTAGGCCTCATCCAATTCCTTCTTTTCGGCTCCTGCTCTTTGCACCGCCAGTAATTCGGCCTGGACCCGCCTTATCTCGCCGAGTTCAGCGAGCTGCCTCGTCATTCCAGCCTCGAGACTGAACGCCGTCCTCGCCAAGTCGGAGAGGTGCTTGATCTCTGTCCTATTGTCATACTGCTTCAGGCACTCGCGTAGACCCTCTTCACAGTCTTTGATAGCGCCGAGGTCTCGAGCCCAGTCTCTGGCACGGAATGCGTTGCAAATAGTCACAGAAAGTTGACTGCGGAAGTAGTCGCCGACGCTGCTCATCTGGTATGTGAAGATCTTGGCGAAAAGGTCAATCGCCATGGCTTCCAGTTGCTGTCGGAGTTCACCCAATTGGCCGCCTGCTAAGCTGTCCAGGATGGAAAACAGTTGTCGGTACCACCCAAATCGCGAGCCGACGTAAAGAATGCCCTCACGGTTCGCAGCGGACTCCCCAGCAGCATTGGAAAGGCCCTTTAGCAAGATGGAGACACCCATCCACGCTGCTCCAGCCTGTGGAACCGACGCGGAGAGGGTGCTCTGGATGATGTCGCCGACAGCCTTCAGAACGTCGGACACAGTGCCAGCTTTTTCCATTGCCTTTGCCCATTTGTCGGTTCTTTCGAGTCCATGTTGGACCGCAGTTTTCAATAGACGGACTCTGTCATTGCCCCCACTTGGCATTTCGGGTTTCAGCGTCGCAGAATCATCGCTGAGGTCGAGGCGAAGCAGTAAAAGCTCAAAGGCCTCCACTAGCTCACAGTCCGTCTCTCGGAGCTTTTTGTACGCTGCGTCCCAAAGCGACTTCGAGGGGGTTTTCGGAAGGACAGACTGGGCACCTTGTCCTTGGGAAGAGCTGGTTGGGGACTTGTTGGGGTCGTCGGAGACAGGCGATTTCGCAACTCTAGGTGAAACCGAAGCGATGGTGGTAGACTCTGGAGGATTGGGTGAAGGCTCAGGGACAGGTGCGGGCGCATGGACAGTGGGCAAGGACTCGAGAAGAATTGCGGCTAGAGGCGGGGTTTCTGGGGACTGAGCCGTGGCGCGAGGGCTTTTGGTGAGACACGACAAGCAGGCCCCCATTGCGCAAATACGGCTTGTCGGCCGAAAAAGGTCGGAAAAGGCCGAGGAAGTTTGCGTGCGACGATTCCTGATGATCTTGATGTAGGACAATGCCGCGAGTAGGAGAGCTCATGCTACTTAGAGCTCATGCCACTCAGAGCTCATGCCACTCAGAGCTCATGCCACTCAGAGCTCATGCCACTCAGAGCTCATGCCACTCAGAGCTCATGCCACTCAGAGCTCATGCCACTCAGAGCTCATGCTACTCACAGTCTCACAGAGAGAAAACTGCAGGAGCGCCAACAACCAGGGAAAATTGTGAAGGGGGGCAGCTTTGCCAGCCCCCAAATCTCATATCTCCCTCCACTCGTAAACCTCAGCCTCAGCTGCCTGCATGACCCACCGACGTGGTGGCACTGCACCCAGTCACACCAAGGGTGGCTTGCATGGCCTGCTTGTGAGCCTAATCGGAGAGGCCTCGAATAGCAAAATAGCGGCAAGATCGGCTGGGAATAATCGCCTCTGCCAATTTCAGCCCCAGCTGCTGAGGCCCCGACAGAGAACAACGAAGATCCAATCAAGTAACTCCAAAACGAGAGGTAAAGACGGGCGTCATGATGGCCGGGGGACACGGATCCGGTAGGAACAAGAGGAATATGTTGGAGTGGAAATGTGTGCATTGGCTAGCTAATTCTAGGAGGAAATCTCCCTGCAAAATGTGTGGGCGAAATCTCCAAGGCGGGGCTAATGCCCATGTGATTCATCACGTGTGGTGCAACCCCGCCACAGAATATATCTCTGGCCCAAGAACGTGGCAAATGAGGTTGATACCAAAATAAACACGCTTGAATCCCCGAAAGCCCAAACGCTGAGTGCAAGGCTATGCCTCCCTTCTCAGAAGCCATAATAACAGGTTCCCATCTCAAATGCTGGGGAACCACAGTTCAAAAGACAAGACGCGATGCCCTGAACACCATTGGCTCCAGCGTCCCGGCAGCACGGTAACCTGCGGGCGCACTCCACTCTCTCTGGCACTACCTTTCCCTTCGACGAGAATGTCGGTGAGCAAATACCAGCAAAAAGTTTGTGTAGATCTAGAAGTCGTCTTCAGTCTCTTTTTCTAGGTGATCTGAATTTTCGCGCTTATTGTCTCAAAACCTCGACGCACCATGACGCTCAGGTTCTCCACCTGTTCGGTGCCCGAGTGCGGAAAACCCGGTGTCAGGGCGATTGGCGGATGCGACAGCTACAACCGCCAACTCTGCGCCACTCACCTGTCACCATCCTTCCACAAATGCAACCAGGTATGACATGGCTCAAAGTCCCTTCCAATGATGGACTATGGCATAAATCCAGACTGACATCCCGACGCTCATGACAGGAGCTAGACGACGCGATCTAGAAGGCACAGACCATCGCCGAAGTCGACCGCCTCCGGGCTCTTATCACCGATGGGGCAGTCTGCAAGCTGGCCTCTAGCCTCAATGGCGGAAGAACCTGCAGCGTCGAGCACCCGCCACAGATTGGCACCGGCAGTCTCATGGGATGCGCAAACTACCACACCCGCATCCGCTTCGAGGACGGCTTGCACTCCTGGCTGCTGCGGGTTCCGCGCGTCACGAGCGTAGCCACGAGCCTGCCCGACGAGTTTGTGGCGCACCTGATACGCAGCGAGTACGCGACTTTGAAGTTCCTCGAGACCACTGCCGTGCCTGCTCCGCGCGCATTTGCATACGGCGTCCGTGGCGGCGGGGCGGAGCACGGCGTCGGCGTCGGCTTCATTCTCATGGAAGAGCTGCCGGGCAGGCCGTGGACCAGGTTCGGCGTGTCTAGCGACGACGCGACAAAGGAAGAGAGGGCCAAAGTGCGGAAGTCTGTCGCAGACATTCTCGCCGAGCTTGCGAGACATCCCTTCCCCGCGGCTAGGCCCCTGTTACTCGCGCAAGAATCTCACGTCGAGGTATCTGCCACGGCTAGCGACAGGTTCCTCGTGCTCAGCCCCGAGGGCCCGTTCGACAGCGCGGTCGCCTAGTACACGGCGTTTGCCGAGCAGCATTTGGCGCTGGTCGCCGACGGGCAGCTGTACGCCGCCTACCCCGTCGACGCGTACCTCGTGTACCGGTTCCTGAAGGACAACGCGTGGCAGCTGGCCGAGCACGATGCAGGCCCGCAGGAGTTCTTCCTCAAGCACGCCGACGACAAGGGCGAACACCTGCTCGTCGTCGACGAGAACTTCAACGTCACGGGCATTATCGACTGGCAGATGGCGCGCGTCGTGCCCCGGCAGGAAGCGTTCGGGGCGTCGCCTGTGACTGCAAGCATGAGCTCGCTGTGTCGCGGCAAGGTGTCTCTCAGCAAAGACGACGTGGCACTTGCGGCCGCGCTGGAAGAACGGGGCTCTCCGGAGCTGGCGAGTTGCATGGTGGATGAAAAGGCAAGGCGCTTCTTCTGGGGACTCGCGTTAGAGCCGAAATGGTCGCACGCTTTGCCGCTTGCGAACGCCATACTGGAAGTGTTTAGGGCCAGGTTGGTCTGGGAGGAGTAGCGTGAGGGGGCTTTAAAGAGTTATGAAAGGGACGAGCGCTTGAGATTGCTTTTACAGCGCTCGGATACATAAGGCGAGCAGTGAAATGGCAAAGTTGAAAGTCTTGGATTCATGAACATATGAAAATATTAAAATGTCCAGATGTTCCTCTTATCCAATGTTTTTCTCCACGTGTTCGACCGCAATTCCCAAGACCTTGAACCCCGGTTCAAGCCCAGATTCGCTGGCGATCTTGACCTTGGAGTCCTGTTCCGCCTTTTGTTTGTGGAATCCAAAAATGTCGTAGTCACTGACAAAGAGAAAGGAAAACGTTAGCCCTTCTCCTAGTTACTCCCATATCAAAGGGGAATCAGACTAATTAGTACTCACAAAACAAAGGAGTCGACAAACTCCCTGCCCTCGGCCGCGCGGTTCACCCAGACGGACACGCTCCTCGACGCCGTGGGGAACACGCCCCAGCCGCGAGGATCAATAACAACATGGCCGGGGCAGCGGCGCAACACGTCGGTCCAGACCTCGCCGGCGTGGCGGGGGCCGACGCACATGCGCTTGGCGGCGTGCTCCCAGCTGTTGGTCATGACGACGGCGAGACCGTGGCCAGCGGAGCGCGACGGGTGGCCGAAGCGCGTGAAGCCGACACACTGCGGGTCGCCGCCGTTCTCGCCGTCGAAGAAGTAGTCCATCTGCGTCCCATACGCCCAGAGCCGGCGAGCAAGCATCAGCCGCGGCAGCAGCGCGCCGCCCGTCGTCGGTGGTACGAAGTTGCTGCGGTCCGGCGCCGGGTGCTGCCCGAAGGATCCGTACAGGTCCGACCAGAACACGCACGGCAGTCCCGCGTTAGCGCGCAGCAGGATCAGCGCGTATGCGAGGGGGATGAAAAAGGGTGCCACAGGCGTCTAGGGAATCGTCAGCGGGGCTAGGCATCAGGGGTGAGGGAGAGGGACTGTACCTCTAGAGATTGCCCGAGTTGCTGGTCGCACATAAATCAGTTATTAATTTTGGACTTGTTAGCCTTTGGGCTCACTCACCGTATCATGGTTGACGACAAAGGTCTGTAGGTAATGTAGCCGCAACGTCAGCCGACAATACTTCTCGCGAATCAGGCCTCGGCGAAAAGAATTTCAACGCACCACGGCATTATCCGGCTTCCACACAACAAGCGCATCGTCAAAGACAGTCCTCAGATCGCCCTTCTCGCCCAGCAGCGAGACCCTGCTGAAGTTGGTAACGAGCTGCACGTCGAACAGCGAGAGGCGGTGGCCCATGAACTCGACATAGCGGGCCAGGAACTCGGAGTCCTCGCGCCAGTACTCGCCAACAACGAACCAGCGGCGGTCGACGCGCGCGTCGATGTGCGCCAGGAAGTCGCGCACGAATTCGAAGCTGTAGTGCTTGATGGCGTCGAGCCGCAGCCCGCCCAGCCGCCCGCCCATCTGGCCCGCCAGCCACGCCGCCCAATGGAACAGGTCGCGCCGCACCGCCGGGTGTCGGTGGTCGATGTCGGCGAACATGCTGTATGCGTTGCAGGGGCAGTAAGTCACAGTTGTGCCAATTTGTGGAGGGAAAGGGGGTGAAGGACGGAAGGAGACACGGACAGATAGTCGTAGTTGCCCAGCTCCTCGTCGACGTCGAGCGCCCACTGCTTGCCGGCAAACCTCCAGACGCCCTTCTCGCCCCGCTTGCTGTCGTAGTCGATGCCGGTAAAGTGCTCCTTGCGCCACTTGAGCGGACTGTATGTGCCGCCGCGGCCGGGGAAGGTGTAGCCGGTCCAGGCCTCAATCTCATAAGGCTCGTTGGCGCCACCATCTGGAGGCGGCAGGGGGCGGGTGCGGTTCTCGGGGTCGATGCGGGTGGCAAGCGCGGACTCGCTGAAGTCGGCGGCGGCCTTGTGGTTCAGGACTGCGTCGAAGATGATAGCCACGTCGTGGGCGGCTGCCGCCTCGACGAGGTGCTGCAGCTCGGCCTTGTGGCCCCATTTGGTGTGGCGGGCGCCCTTCTGGTCGAACTCTCCTAGGTCGAATAGGTCGTAGACGTCGTAGCCGTTGCCGCGCGGCCACGCCGCCTTGCACGCCGGCGGGATCCACAGTGTGGTCACGCCCAGCGCCGCCAGCGACGGCACCGCCCCGGCCAGCCGCCGCCAGTGCGCAAAGTCGGCCGGCAGGTACCACTCGAACCCCTGCATCATGGTGCGGTTCTCGGGGCACACGGCGCCGCCGTCCTCGCGCACGATGAGTGGGCTGGGCATCGTCGACCCGAGCCGTCGCTGGCGGTGCGGGCGCAGCTGGCTGGAGTTTTTGACCACAGGGGGCGGTGCTGCTGCCGAATCTGACGAGGCTTCATGTCGGGTCTCAGGCTTTCCCGCGATCGATGACGTCGACGACTGCCGCTGATGCAGGCCGAGAAAGACGCTCATGGTGGATCGCGCAAGAAACGAGGGTCGATTGACAGATTAAAATTGCTATGCGTTAAATGAGATGCGAACTGAAGCCATATTGCAAGCAGTGTTGAGAAATGGATGCCATCAAACGAGCGTGCGGGCTGTCGTCGTTGGCGGAGGGGAAAATTGCGGGCCGTTCGTTTCAGGGGTCCAGTTGGGCTGTGCTTGCATCAGTGCACGGGTGCCGTCGAGCGGCGGTGTGGGTTGAGACACTCCGTACCAACTGACCCGACAAACTCCTCCTGCGGCATTTCCGGGCTAGCGGGATTTTGTGTTTTGAGGTAACTAATCAAATGCATATTAAATTCCCCGTGAAATAGATGGTTTTGCTCCAAAGGCTGTCTGTCGTATGTCGTAGCCAACCCCAGCCGTAGTGGGGTTATTCCAAGTAGGGTTATTCCGAGTGGGGTTTGGTGACAGTGACGAGGGAACTTTCGTTCAAACCTCGAAAGATCGGTTCTTGACCCCATCCAAAGACAAGATAGCGAAGCTACAAGGCTTACTTCAGCGGCAACTCAGAAAGTAATTGTTGTGCTGACATACTGGTCGCGATAAACGACCGTCTTCTGGATTTTTTTGAACTGTAAAAGAGGGGAAACTGTTGGAACAACGCGCCGGTCAGCCACAGAGGTGGCGGTGGTGGCGCAGGCCCCCGGATTTCTTCTAGATACAGACATCAACAATCAACACTTGAACCACCAGTTTTTGGCGTGCAGCTACGCCCTGTTGCTTCCAGTACCGGTACCTAGTAATTCCAACAGAAACACTACCACAGAATGTGTAGCATCGTCATAATCAATGAGTTGTGGGAAAAAAGTCCGCTGTCTACTGCAAAAGCAGGGAAAATACTAAAAGGAGAAACAATACAAGGGGGGAACAGAGTTTTATTATTTCTCCTGAGTCTATCCATACCTTTCTTCTCTTCTTCGGTGACTCCTCCCCCTCGGGTCTCTCGTGACGAGGTGCCTGTGGCCTTGTATTGATGGCTTCATCTGATTGCCCCTGCGGTGGCACAATCGTCCAGCCGTGATGGATTAGTGGATCAAAGGCGTCTGCATAGATGAGGCAATCCTTTGCTGATGCTGCAAACCTGAATGTCAAATCCGCGAAGTGGAACAATCCGCAAATCTCTCCTAGGGCAAGCATATCCTTTACATGTAGATGCTTCCTTTCCGACACAAAACTCCTTACCAATACCGAATCACAGGCCCTATCACGTATATACGGAGTCTTGGTCTGAATGTTGTCACTAGTGCCGCATACTCCTTGCTTTCCTGAAATATAGAAAACTCCATCTCTTGGTAGAGCCACATCAACCGCTTTACCAAACTTATTGAATCTCTTTTCCATGAGGCGACTGTGTGGCTGGCCCTCCGCTCTCTCTGCCTGAAGTCGTGTACCAAGAGATACCATTGTTTGCCTCCCCGTGCTGAAGCTGTCGATAAGTAAATGGTCATTTATATCGACTTGCTCGCTATAAATGAAGGTCTTCGTATTAGCCTTGATATCCATAAAGCTATTCACGAACTTTATACCGGGATCGAGTTTGGCCAAGGCGATGTCCGTTTCTCTTATTCTCTCTGAAACTCGGCCCACTTCAGTACCGCCCTCGCCTTGGATAATCCGGAAAACTTGGCGTGCTTCATCGTTATCCTCTTTAATGAGCCTAGGGTACTTCTTGTCACACTCCTCCCAACATTGCCAGGAACAAATTAACCGCTTTTCATCCCCTTTATGGACGAGCACGCCTGCTGATACGGAGGAGAAGGTATCCCCTTTTCGCCTACCGATGATAGTATTGCCCCGGGGTAGAATCGGCCATCTCTGGTAACGTAGTCTGTCTCATCTGCAGCGCAGTCCTCTTCAGCAAGCTGTGGCTTTGGCTTCTTGGCCCGCCTGAGTCGGCCCACGTTTGCCAAAGGGACATTGTGGTACTGTAAATTGAACGGCGCGCCTGCAATTATAAGTGGCATGTCCTGTAATGTCTCCTGGAACACGGCTTCCTCGCTTCTGGGGAGTTCCACAATGACGGTGCCGGTAATATAGGTCATTGCGATACATGTGGGGAAAACGGAGCCGATAAGGCGAGCAATGGCCTCCTTCCCTGGTATCTGGTTTTCCTGGAACCCTTCTAAGATAGACGCGTCGACTTTCATCTCCTCATCTCCTTCTCCAAACTCGCCGATCAGGGGGTTGAAATCCATATCGTCAGCATGGCGCCAAATTGCGATCAGACCTCCAACAAGTTCGGGCAGCCGCCCAGTAGGGACCGAAGGTGTACAACCTAGAACAATCCAAGGTTCGCAATAGTACTGAGAAGTTGCCCCAAAAGCTTGTACTAGGTGGTGTCTCGCGGCCTTGTTCTCTTCATGCGATGCATTCCCTCTGCGAACGGAACCGTCTGGTACAAGAAAGGATATGCCTATGCTGGCGAGGGCGTCATAGTGTCCGCCGACGTAAGGTTCGTCGCTTGTACTGAGAGGCGACATGCTGCCGAGAAGTGATGCGGTGTCGCTCGAGCTTTTTCCGTGGGTACGTATCGGTAGCTTGAGGGGTGCCTGAAGGACAGTGGTTGTAGAACTTATTCGTCTGTGTGACATGGTGATGCTTCGTAATTTAAATTGCTCGTGGGAGCTAAAATTTAACTTTTGTTAGAAAGTGCTGCCGCGGTTGCGTGGGAAAAACTCTAACCTTGAACCCTATTAAAGGACGTCCGTTGAGAGGAAGGTTTCTTCGGCAACGCAACACCTGACTTGATGACCGAGGTCAAGAAGAAAAATCGAACCCTCCGGGAACGACTTGGTGTGCGACGCTGAGACCGTCGGCTAGAGAGAGGGAGCCAGGCGTCTCTTCCACAGCCACAGCTACGCAGGCAAGCCTTTAATCGACACTCTCTCTCGGTTCGCAGCGCGTTTGGAGAAACTCGAAAAGAAATTCGACGGGAAGATTTTGCACCTTTGCACCTTTGCACCCGTGAAAGAACTTGTCGAGCGCGAGACTGACTGTGCGGTTTAGCTGTGCGGAATGACACGCTTCTACTCGGCCATGTCGTCGAAACCTTTCAGCGGCCCAGCGCTCGTGAAGCTGGCTGACACGTGAGTCCCCCGCAATACAGTCGTGCGTGCATGCATCCGCGGGAGGCCGTGATGCCTCGCCAACTATTCGTTAGGATGGAGGTCTCCAAGCTAACAAGATCTAGATGGCCATGGTGCAGGCGGGCTCCTTCCAGGAGCGGACGCAGATGTTGCACGACATGCAGTCGCGAGCGGTGAGGGAGGGCGCGCCGACGAGCCCGCCAATGTTGTACAACCAGGCCCTGTGCGTCATGTCGTCCGAGGGTGAGCACGCGCTCGACACTTCAATCAAAAACCCTGTAATTGCAGCCAAACTGTCAGGCCCGCACAGCTAGGGGACGGATTCCCTGCTCTTTTTAAGCAAGAATCCAAGCCCATCCCAGATTTGTCCTGACGCCTCGTAGGCGAGTTTGCAGCCTCCCGTCGGCTTCGAATGCCCATTAGTTTCAACCCCGAGGACCGCATTGTCGTCCATCCCTACATCGAAGACACCCTACTCGACTTGATGCGGACTGGTGCCGACTTTCCGCCTGCGGAGCTAAAGAAGGTCCTGCAGTATGTGGGCGAGGCAATCCAGGAATTCCATACCAAAGGTTGGCTCCATCTCGGTATGCTCTCTACAACTCGGAAATTGGAACATGAAACCGATGACTGTACCGCTTGCCGGGAGGAAGACTCGTTATCTGAGCCACGGCGGAACATGTATAGGAAGGTGATGGTCTGGATGAGTGGAACCCATACACCTGCTCAGACACTTGGTAGGCTATTGAGCGTTTTCCGGCCCTCCAGTGCCCTGCTGGTCAGTTGTTGGCCGACTAGGGCACTTTCCGTGCCTCCATTCCGAGCATCTTGAGCCAACACTCGCGGCCACTCGCATTCCAGGTTTGTCCCCAACGCCATTACCAGACCTGCCCACGATTACAACCTAGTGTCCATTTATCCACCATCTCCATCTCGTCCCAACATGTCCAATATGCCTAGTGCGGAGCACAAGTGGTTGGATACGTCGTAGAACTGCTATCTACGTAGTTGTGACGGCGCCAGCTCACAGCACCCACTACCGCTGCGCTAGAACCCCCAAAAGGATGCCAGAATTGCAAGTCGACGACTTGCAACCTATAGTGGGTTATACTATGCTACGGCCGTTGGCGCCATGACAGTAGTCAAGTTATATAAATACACTCAATTTTCCTTTCTCTCCTACCCGTTGCCCGCTACCCTTCCCTGTCTAATCGTCCTCATCTTCGCCCTCACCCTCATCTTCGTCCTCGTCCTCATCGCCGCTGCTGCTATCGCCAACTTCCATGCTCTCGTCTCTCTCAGCGCGATCGATCGCCTGCTCCACGGCCACGTGTACTCGGCGTGCTGCCTCTTGTGTCTCCTCCTCGGTTAACTTTAATAGAGAGTCGAAACCTTGATCCTTGATCCGGGATTCGACGACGTATATATCGGCCGTCCCAAAATAGGTGGCTAACGCGAGTAACATTCTCTGTCGCATATAGTTACCCAGTATGGGAAATGGGCGCTACTAGTAGTATCGGGCCTAAATATCATGCTATCTATATCGCTTAACGTCCTTATTACGGACTAGCGCTATAACGAAATAGAAATATATAAAGCGTGAAATTGGACGCTTCTCGTCATAAAACGTTAGTTCTTTCCCGTCGAGATCCCTTCCCGACCCTCCCGAGCCGAACGACCACCGATCATTCTTAATCCTAGATAAGATAACGTCAACCCGCCAGCGTATGACTAGTAGCCTTACTCGAAATCTCTCTATGAGGCACCGTTTTCTCCCGGCACATCTATATCTTTCATACTTGTTCGCCTGTGGAGACTTGTTCGCCTGTCCAAGGTCAAGTGCATGTATGTAGCAAGCGCCATTTGGTTTCGCTGGCCGTCCTTACCAATCCCAGGCATACTTTCTATTCGCGTGCGTTGTGTTCCCGAGCCGCATCAGCACCACATTTTCTGTTGGAGCATCAAGTGCATGTGTGTAGTGTCGTTTGGCGACCACGGCATCTAGCGACACGGTTAGCTGCGATGCTTCAAATTCCGACGTTGGTTTTTCCTTTTGTGCATGTCATTTGTTGACGCCATTATTAGTCTCGCAAACGTCTTCAGAGAAGAAGCACTTGCCCAAACTAGGCGGGAACGAGACGACGCCATCCAAGGCCGTCAAAAGGTTGAAGCGGACAAGTCGAATATCACCATCGAGCTCAAGAATGCAAAGGCTGAACGGGACGCCACCAAAGCCGAACGAGACGCCGCCAACGCCGAACGGGACGCCGCCAACACGAGGGCTGCTTCGGACTCGGACGCCAAGCTAAACTCGGCAACCAGCTTAAGGACGTGTCGGCCTCTCTCGAAGGCACCAGACAGAAACTCGAACGGGTTGAGAAAGAGCTTGCCAAGGCAGAGGAAAAGATTGGCCGTTTCGAGCGTGACCAGGCTGGTCGACAAGAGATGCTAATGCGTCTCGATGACCTCGGGAAATCGTATGAGGGGGTTGGAGGATGGTGCCGCAATCGTGGCAGAGGAGCAGGCCACCCTAGCATCTGGTGATAACGATGGATGAGCGTTGAGAGTCGGATTGGCACTCGATTTAAGAATAAGGAGCGTTTGGGGAGTGTGGTATTTTTGGGGTCCGTTTCACAATGATAAAGACATGCCTGGTATTCGGTTTTCGTGAGTGCCACGCCAGCCACCACTTTAGCCCTCGTAAAACCGCAATCGACAAGAAAAAGATCCCGGGCTTCGGTAATAGTTGATACAGCTCTTGTCTCTGCACAGCTTGTTCGGCGGCCTTTGTGGTTGGGATAAGTCGGGGTCCACGGCATGATACCAGTCGCGCCAGGGAGTGACCGCCACGACGCTACCGCCGTTTACCCACCTACAGACTACAATCCCCCGACGGTACCTGGTGATCAGACAAATGGAGTCATCTCTGGTGTTGGGCGGATGTCTGTAGATATACACCGACTCTCTATTCCCAAGACATCCGTGAGATCTAATGTAAATGTGTGGTTCATTGGGGGAGTCCACAAACCCGCCGAAAACAAATTTCTTCCTATTTGCTTGTATAAGTCCGTAGTACTGGACCTCTGGTCCCCCCTGCCTCGTAGTACAGACACTGACATTCGGTATGGCTGATGCCATCTCGGGGAGAGGAAGTTGGGGGTATGAGGGGAATAGAATATCGGCTGCGCCTTGCCGATACCTCTGGAGCATGCTCTTCATTTCCGATACGGGCGCCTGCCTCTCCCGGGTGATAGAAAAGACGTCGGAACCGCTATGGGGACTCCACTCAAAAGTCAAGACCACCCTCGCGATCGGCTTTTTGACCTTGAGGCTGGCTCGAGGCCAAGTTGGAGCGTCCTCGGCTCTGCAGCGGAAGTCGTGGCTGGGGTCGCGGCACTGGACGCTGAAGCCGTCGAGGCAGGCTTGGCCGCCGTCATTGTGGGGATCTTGCCGCTGGTGCCACTCGGACAGGTAGGGTTCCATGTCGGCCCACGAAATGTTGACGTGCTCGCACAGACGAACGGAGCCATGGCGGCCTAGGCACGGATGCACATAATCATGGCCGATGCCGCTACTAATACAGCTGCCGCAATGAAGTCCGAGAGGAGACCTTGATTTGGCTGGGCACCTATAAGGGCTTCGACGCCAGGTGGCGCCCGGGTTGTCAATGTCGAGAGCACCGAGCCGGAGCATACGGCATTCGTCGCACATTCCATCTCTTTGGATTCGCCGCCAAAGTTCTTCCTTCAAGTCTTTCGGCATGCGGGACTCCTCCTTGGAAGAAGAATCAAGCTCCGAGTAACGGTTGCCGACACGCCTAAAGCTCCAGATTTCCCGGTCGTAGATTATCCGCCGAAACCTCCTTGATACGCGCCGGAGGCAGAGCATAGTAAGCGGATCATGGTCGAGGCAGTGAAGAATATGAAGCACGAGCTCGTCGGGCAATCGGTTGATGGGACTATGGTTCATGTTATGCAAATGGGCCGCTACTAAGGGGTCCACAACCACTGCGGCACTCTCCGGCTCTCGCAGGCGGATGGGCGTTTGCTGAGTGTAACGGTGGTGGTGGTGTTCGTGTTCTTTTTCGACTTGTTGACCGGCGTCGGCTCGTCCCCTGGTGGTGCTGATGGAAGAAAGCTTCGGCGGTAGCTTGACTCTGCCGGCTGCCTCGCGATTGTCGGCTGCCAGCAACACGTCGGCTGCCTCGCGATTTTCGACTGCCAGCAACACGTCTGTCGCTCGCTGGATGCCATCCGGGTAGGGGTTGAGTGTCTCGTCGACTGCGCCATTTGTGTTGGCTACGTCGGCTGCGTCGTCCTCTGCGTTGGCCGCATCCGCTTCATTAATCTCATCGCCGCTGCCGGCTTCGTCCTCTGTTTCAGCTTCTCGGCGTCCACGTAGACAGGCCTTTTTGATTCGTTGATCCACGCCATGAGAGTAGCCATTTTTTGCGGATAGGAATGGGCTGAAATGGTGACGGTCGACCTGGGAACGTCCGCACCGGCAGAGGCCGGTATGGTACCATGGTGTTGAAAATTTAAAAAGACGCGCCAGCGTAAATGTACCTAGGCTATCGGGTCAGGCTTCGGCACACCACGGCTATACGATTGTTGTCGCACCACCAGCCGGCTCACGAACCTTGCCACCACCACCATGCAAGATCAAAGCTTCGCCCTGGGCACATAGAGCACACCAAATGTCTTTCGCCATCTCCCTGGTCCGATCAATCCACGCCTCAGTCGGCTCGCGCGAACCTAAGCACCATACCAATCAAGGCGCTAATCGAGCGCTCGCAACGGCAGAAATGGGGGGCCCAAGTCTGTTCCCCGGTGCAGGTGCTCCTAGGTTGCCCGTGATTGCCCAGACCCACTTCAAATGGGTCTTGAAAGACTCGAGGATCAAGAAGGAACCGTCCCTCATTACCTTCATGAAGAATTCCGGCATGTTCTTCTACGACGAGATCGGGCAATGGATGGACGAGATGGTACTCCTTGCCCTTTCGAATACAAGGTGCTACACCTTCTTGCTCCGCAGACCCTAGAAGAGAGAGATGGGACACTGCAGTACTAGGCTCCTCCTATAGTGGGCTCACACCCTCGGGCTCGATCCGTCTACCAAGGACGAGAGCCGTCTTTTTGTTGGAGATCTGGACTTGATGTGCTAGGCACAGGCCAAGCCTGGCCTAGCTTGGACCACCTAATGGTCCATGCACCACCAGCCTAGGCCCCCACCATAGGCTTTTCGCCTGCGGGCAGATAGCTTAGGTTCTGCAAGCAATCCACCACGTTTTCCAGTGACTGTGCACCTCGCCTACTTGATCTTGGGCCATCACCTGGTACATTGCAAAAACGTGGACGCGCACCAAAGTCTCCGAGTGCAGCTGCTAGCTAGCTGCAGCTCTGGTTCTTGCTGGAGCGACATCATCGCGGCCACGAGCCATCATTGAGCACTTGCGGTACAAGCATGTCGAATTCCGGCTCTGCCCTCGGCATTTCAACTGCTCGGGCGCCCTTCTACGCTTCGGCGGGTCGTTACCTTGCGGAAGACGAAGAGATCCGAGGGGGGAGGCTAGGAACGACCCGTCGTATGGTTTCCACAAGGAAAACATGCTCCGGCACTCGATAGGGCCCAGATTCGAGAAGACTTGGTCTGGTTTTTACACGCCGAATAATGTCGTAGCTGACTTCCAAGCCATCATTTTCGAGAGCATTCCGGAGACCGATTCCGTACAGCTGATGGACATTTGCGTGGGTCTCATTACCGCGCTGGCGCAGCTCTGCTACGAGAAGGAATCCAAGAAGCCCACGTCCACCCAGAGCACCAAGATGAATGCCACGAAAGCGAAGCCCAAGGCGAAAGCCCAAACCAAAGACAGCAGATCGATCCTAGCCCCGAAGTGACCGGGGACACCACCACAACCACGGCAGACAGCATCGAGCCCCCACGGCCACCATCACCACCACCATTTGCTTCTAGTGCGCCGTCCTGGGGGCGCTTATCCTCGTCACCCTCGGCGGAAACATTGCCGGGCCTGAGGTCCTCATCATTGTACCGCTCGTGTTTGGCGGGTTTGTGGCCGCCCAGGCCTTTGAACCAGGGACCACCCGCCTGTTTGGGGCACGGCAAAAGATGCCGCCAGGGCTGCGGACACTAGTCATGTTGCAGATCCTTAGCGCTCTCGCCGGCTACAGTCTCTGGTTCTGGTGCAAGGGTCTCGACAGCATCTTGCCCGTCGCCGATGCCGAGGCGGGTGCTGATGTTGCCCCGTGCACGTATTACGCCTTCGTGCTGTCTAGGGCTGAGGTCTCCCGTCTCCGCGTCTTTGGGATCCTCATGAGTGGTCTCGGCGGCATATGTTTTGTCGTCGCCGACTCCCTGTCCCTAATCGGGCCCGCTCTGAGCTGCATCCCGTCGGGGCGGAGGATTGCTGTCTGGCACCTGATGGCGGCGGCCCTGGGCATCGGCAATGCGCAAGATACGATGGACACGCCGCCATGGCGAATCTGGGCAAAGATGATGGCGAGTGTCGCAGCAGTTGGCTATATCGTCGTCACGGTAGAGGTGACACTCGCTTGGAATCCCATTGAGGGTGCCAACGACATGGACAGCGTAGGCCAACCCGTACCGCTCATCATTGGCGGAATGGGTCTGGCTAGGATGGCATATCTCTTGTTGAGAGAGAGGCTACAAGCACATGGCGGATCGCTATTGGCGAGCCGCAGTGGTTCTGGAGGGCTCGAGCTCTCTGGGGGTATCGGTCACTTGCTGATTGAGGCCGTCTCGCCTTCCGGCTCATTCCGACTACGACTTTCACTCAACTCATACCGTAACTCCAGCTCGAATTTGCGTTCGTCAATACTAAGCGATCAAGTTCCGCCTGACATCTCACCTCGTTCATCCCCTTACTCCACCTACCAGGGTATCCCCCCTTCGTCCGTGGGATGACTGCGTATCTACCTAGTAAGTCCCTTATGTAATCTGCAATACACGCAGCTTCTAACCACTCACAAAAATGCCGCAGTTATCCATCTCGTCCAGTACTAAAATAATAGGAGGCCTCCTCGTCGCTTAGCGTATTGGGGACGTCTCCGACTATGGCTTAGATAATCCCGTTAGGCATATTCGAACCGAATGTTGGCGTAGCTTCTGCGGGGCCTGCATAAGGGTAGTTATAAGAATGGCACATCCGCGTCCTGATTCGACTACGATCTATTTCTAGGTCACGCCGTAATTCAGCCTATAGAGGACGGGGATAGGAACACCGAGCCAACGACGGCCCCTTAGCGACTCGGCCTAATAGAGACCAGTTTCAGAGCAAGAGGAAGGCGGTCCTGGCGTATCAAGGACAGCTAGTTAAACAGACAAGGGGATGAGGCCCCAAGATGACGTGGCATCTGAGCTGCTGATTAGGACTCCTAGCGCATGGTAGGCGGATCCTTGCCTTCTTGGGATTGACGGCGAGGCAAACACGGTGGAGGCGCAAGCCCATATAGAGGGGTGGGTAAAAGGGATGACACGCCTCTATCACAGCGGCCGACCTGGGCGACCTCCGGCAACGCCCTAGATCATGCGGCATCAAGTCAAGTTCGTAATTCGTAGCGATACAATATCCTTCCAGGGTTCCATTCTCCGGCCGTCTTCTTTCTATCTCGGCATTTACGTGATTAGCAGAGGTACGAGAGACCGGTGAATCGATGTCTCGTACCCTCCAAAGCGTATAGGGACGAGGCGTTTCACGACTAGGCACGTTCCTCACGAGCCATACCGTTGGGATTGGCAAAGCGGATAGGAAGTTGGAGGTTGGGTCCGGCTCCTTCCTAGTTCTGTGGTCAATCTCCAATTTTCGCGCACGCAGATATATTTCTCTCGTTGCCCCGTCCTAGAAGTACGAAGATGACCAGCTTATATACCAAGTACTCCCGGGAATTGTTCTTCCCGTAGCCTTTGACATCTTCGCAAATCAGCGGCGCAGTTTTACTGGCAGCGCGATGGCAATAGTCTGCCTCAACGGCCAGATCTTTTATACCCCCTCTGTGGCGGCGGGCTCCGAGCCAGCGAGTCGCCGCCTTCTGGTTCGGAAGAGGGATCCCTCTATAGCTATTCTTGAGGCTCCCTTACATCCGCCGCTGCCGCAGGATGTACACGATGCTCGACGTGGTAGTACCGGGAATTCAGTAGACGATACAGTCCTAATCAGCGATGGCGAGTCCGATTATGGCGATTCCGACGACGGCCGGTCCGATACTACTTTCCTCCCACTAGAGGAGTTTCCGGCTGCTCTGCGCTACAACGCTCAATCCAACTACGCCGCTGGCACTGGCATATGCCTAGTTTTCTGTAAGAGAAGGCAGGTACGCCGGATCAAGGTGGTCACAATGAAGTTAACAAGAAGTGCGAGTAATGACTGGTATTGGGGTAAGACTTCAACCTGGCCCTCGCAAAGGAAGGGGGCGAGGGCCACTGTTTATATACATGCTCAGGGGTTCAGTCTTGCGTGTGCTTGTGAAAGCTTGTGGGGTTGTGGCGCCGTAGTGCGGCTTAGTGACTTGTGCCAACGGGCAGTGGCCTGGCCAGTTGGTGCTCTTTCCTTCACAACTATTTACTCACGCTGGCCTGACCGACTGAATCTGTAAGGGAAGCTTGACGGACTGAATCTGTAAGGGAAGCTGATCGTAAGTAATGGCCGTCTTGCCCCCTTTCCGCTCCTACCAGCCGCGGCGGATGCTCTCCAGTGAGCAGAACGCGATGACGACCACGGGTTGCTCCGCAGCCGACACGCATCCAGCTAAGCGATTTGTAGTACACGTCCAGCCTCGGTCGAGCCCGTGAGTAAGGTACTATGAAGTAATACGAACTATAGGGCTATATGGACGTCGGCATTCCAGGCCGTCTCAGACACGTCCGTCACATCGTACTCGATAGAACGCGCAAAGCAGGTCCTTGCCGTCTTCCAACCGACGCCGCAGCACGGTAGCATCTCGGCATGGCATGGCAGGACGGTGTCGTCGTCGTCGTCATCGTCGTCGTCGTCATCGTCGTCGCTTCGTATCTAGGATCTGGGACTTGGCCCCACCGCCTCCTCCACCCTCATCCTCTAGATGGATCAAGGGAGCGCTCTCGGTGACCTGTCGCACGCAATCTTTTCGAGGCCGCGAATTAACGTCTTGTCTATATCGGAGAGTGCGGAGGCGGAGGCGGAGACGGAGGCGGAGCGGACGGTGGGGAGGGCGGCCTCACAGCGTAATGGGCTTGGTCGAAAATCGGAGATCAAGCGGCGATATTGAACTTATAAGACGTACAGTACTTAATTAGAAGGACTACATAGGGCCTGTAGACCTACAACACCACAGAAAACATCACCATTTCCTGATCGGGTAATAAAGCGGGTTACGGCGACTGCATACTCGTACGACGGATTAGTCCTTTATCGGCAATGGCCATTGTTGAGTTATACTATATCTATATCCTTTATAAAGGAATCTGATAACTCAACCCAGTCCGATACCAAGTCCAGGGACGTCGCCTGCCCTCAAACTCAAACCAATGGGTTATACCTCTGATTGCCTTTGTGAGGGTCTGAAGAGGACGGCTACAGACGCCTTCCGGGTAATACGGCCCACCTTCTCACCACCCTTCTTGGCAATCGAGGCTGTTCCCCTGATTGACTTCTTTCCCCAATTCTCAACCTTTGTCGATATAAGGCTCAGCTTTGACGCCTTCTTCCCAAGTTGTAGAATCTCCCCGCTCCCTTCGTCCTTGCCAGTTATGGTACCACTAGGCAACTGCCTCTTGAGGGTAGCATACAAATCTCTAGACTCTTCTTCCTTGGGATCGCCCGCAGTACTCTCGCCAAGCTTGTCGGAGATAGCAGATTGAGCTAGACCCTTACCCTTGCCGCCGAGGTGATTACCGGGTCCTGAATCCTATTCCAGCACCGTACGAATGATACCATCGTTACCAATATTATCGTCTTCAGAGTCAGCTTTCCCAGCGTCTTTATCTTCATCGCGCATTGCCAAAGTGGTCTGCTTATGAGTATGTAGAAAGTCTTGTACCAACCCCGGGAAGCGTCCGTCTTCGTTAAGGAATTCGGGTTTGTCCGGCAGGTCGTCGAGCGCTTCGGCCCCTCCAGCCATGGCAATGAGGCGATTGATCGACTGCTGTATATCCACGCAAAGCTTCATATTCATGACGTACTTCTGCTGGATTCTCGCTTCAAAGACCTCGCCATGTTCAATATTCCACCCGGTGGCGGGCCGGCACATGGCAAGTAAGGGATATGGGTCGGGTAGGGCTGGGTTGCCGCAAATGCGCATCATCTCGGGGGCCGAATAATCGGGAAACGCCGCTTTAATCTCCTCGGCTGTTCGCCCTAGCTGCCCTGCTGGCTTTCTTTCACCGACGGGTCTTGCTCTCCACATCAACCACTCGAACTGAAGAAGGACGGTCTGGATTTCCTCTGGGTCGGCGGAACGAGGAGCAGCCAGCCCAATCCACTTGAGGCCGAAGCAACCCCGCGACCACCAGCCATGTAGCGTTGGGTTGAGCGAGAGCATATTCCACTTCCGATCGCTCACTCCAACGCTGGACGAGAAGACATGGCATATATTGGAGGAAATCTGACCCAATTTTCCGGTAAAGAAAAAAGGGACGGCCCTACGGAGCCATTAGTCGATATTTGCTCTGTTATCTTCCGTACTGTTAACTGCGTAGCCAATAATATGACAGGCGTGCGGGAAGCTCTGCTTAGTAAGGATGCATCGGTGGTCGTCGAGCATCTTCCGTGCATCAGCTTCTGCCTCGTTCCGCTTGGCCCTTCCGGTTTGGGACTCGAATCTCGGCGGGTTGCTTTGTTGCGAAAGTCGACGCAAAGGCGCAAGAGCTTGAGAGGGAGGCAAAAGGATTAGATCAGGGACGTATGTCGCCCTCTCAGCCATCTCAGCCTCTTCGTCGCTCGTCTTCTTTCCGGTCACTGTAGATTGGTTAGTAAATAACGTTCCTACTAAAATGGTAGGAAGACTTACTTAGTTTGACCAAGGCGGGTACAGGCTCTAGGCATTCTAGGAGGTAGCAGACGTCGCGCTCATGGGCCTCCCCTGTGGCGTACCTCTTGAGCTGTTGGAAATCCATGAGGTAAAGGGCAGCGAACTGGACATCGCAGAAGCGCTTAACTTTGGCGCTACTCTGCTTGGTCAACTTTTCGAAACTGAGGCGCCAAAATTCCTCGAGCCGATTGATATATTCGATGCGAAGTTCCATATCATCTATCGGCAGGAGCGACGTGCTCCGAATGTTGCCGGGGAGGCCTTCAAGAACGCGCCGGAGGTGATCGCGCGCAAAAGGTCGGCTGACAGTCTTGTCGAGGAAGGTAGTGAAGAGGGTATGGAATTCTTCGTCCTCATTTTCGGGACCTGCGTGTTGGGTCGCCATGGTTTCTGAGGTTTTTCTGGTGAGTGGAGGAAGTTGGTTGAAGTTGGTTGTGGTAGGAGTTAAGTTTTGTGCAGAGGGGACCTGACAGGTACATGATGTGGCCAGAATGGATTGATGCGACCTGATTGGCCGCATCCTATTCTGACTATGGTCCGTGAGTGGCCCTCACTTCCTTCTCTCAGGCCCCTACCTCTTTTGGGTCTACTATGCTGTGATATCGGCTAACTTTTGGCCATGACAGCGCGCCTTAGGAACTTCTAGGAAGCATCTATAGAGGCCACGGAAAACAAATTAGATTGGGCGTGGCGTTCTTGGTGAATCGATACGCTGTCCATTCATCCTTTCGTCGTGAGCTCCACTATAACCCTAGAGCAGAGCAGCCAGCATGTGATGCGCCAAGGCCAACTCATTGTTTTGGGGCGGTAGCCGGTGACTGTATTGCTTGTAGGAAGCTAGCTGGGTAATGGCCCGGAGTAGCGGATCCCATGGATCTACCTATGTCTCGGCCGCATTCGCGACCCGGGCCACAATTGTAGGAGCTCGTCCAGGAGTTACTTGACTAAAGACTTCTCCTTTCCCCGACCACTCTTGACAAGCAGGGCGGGCCGCGCAGGCGCACCCAATTACACACTCTTCACATGCAGGGCAGGTCGCGCAGGCTGCAGGCCAAATCCACCACTTCTTGCAGCAGGACGAAGCCAAACGCATTCCAACTTCAGACCAGCACCACAATTACAATTACACCATCATTGATACGTATGTGTTCACATCTCGAGTCTGTGTTGACATCTTCTCGCCCACTTTTGTACACGACGCACATGGGAGTCCTAGTGTAGGGGCACTCGAGGTAGAGCCTATCACCGGGGGCGAAGAAAGCCCACAAGAGGTCGAAGCGGATCTTTCCTTTTCCCACAACGGCGTCCAGATCCTGATTAACTGACTTGTGATGATTGGCAGCCCAGTGAATCAGGAATTGGAGGTCTGCCGAGAGCACCTCCTGCGGTCTTGTAGCTCCTCTTTGTCTCGTGGCTCCTCTTCGTCTTGTTCGTCTCGGCCGTTCTCGTCTCCTTCGACTTGGCGACTCTCATCTCCTTCGACTTGGCTGGTTTGTTGGTCTTGATCACCTTCCTCGCCCTCGTCTTCGTCCTCATCTTCCTCGTCTTCGTCTTCGTCTTCGTCTCCTCTACCGTCCCGATGGCGTAGTAGCAGGTAGATGTAGTGGAAAAGGACCTTTACTTCCACCTGCGTTACGGGTGTTGCGTCAGCGCCGACATGACCCCAACTCAGTAGTAGTAGTGAGTAGGTGGTAGGGTGTTTGGAAAGGCTGGCCAGAACGTACTGTAGCATTGAGCACATCCAGATTGATGTTAATGATATTGCCAAGCACCCCCTTCAGCTCGGCCTGCGGGCTTCGGTCTTTCAGATCCAGGAATAAAGTCTCTGAACCATTCGCCACTGTTGGATGTCATTGTTAGATGCAATCAAGCTTTCAGTGTAGCCAACGCATCATTCAGCGACCCACAGATTCTAGTACGAATAAAAAACGGCTCCTTCTTGGAGGGCGCTCTGTCGTCGGTGGGCTTGACGATCACGAAGCGACGACTCCCAGCGTCGAATCTGCAAAGAAGTTAGCCTCTACATGCTCGCCTTTTGGGCTTCTGAGGGATCCTGCTCTTACTATTCTGTGATCTGGAAAGATTTGAGTCGATGATCTAGTCGCACGGTATAATCACCGTCGTCGTCCTCGCCGTCGCCGGGGGAGGGGGGGGAAGGGTTTGATTTTTCCGTCCAGCATTCGTTCTAGGGTTTCCATTTGGCTCCTCACTATCTTCATCTGCTGCATAAGATCTTCGAGAGCTGACGGTGAAAGTCCACGGGGTTCGGCTATCGTCTGTGCTTTTTTGGAGGCCCCTTTTTGGGAGGTCTTTTCAAGGGCGCCAAGGGCGCTGGCTTTAGGCCGGCCACGGAGTTGACTCTGGCCATCTGGGTCGCCCATGGTCGGCGAGGAGAATCTCCCTCCTCAGGAGATTAGTCTCGCGAGAGCTGTACTAAAGAAAAAAGGAGGGAACAAGTCCAAGTTGGACGAAGCGCAGTCAGACACGCAGAGCGTGTAATGTAATACTCTTTCATTCTAATTAGTGTCATTTTTTTCTCTGCTACCTATTGGCTTAGGTTAGCGTCCCAAGGACCTTGCCGACGACGGACGGGCGCGGGAACGACGCCGGTTGCGGACGAATTTCCCGAATTTCCCGCATTGACGCACCCGATGACCGGCTATCGTGCAAAACGCGTCTCGCCTTGTTTTTTTCGACCAGCAGCCACTAGCATGCGCCCCTTTGCGTGATCTGACAAGGCAAAGAACACGCGTTCGCTGTTCCCTAGCATCGCGTTCCGTTGCGTTGGACGCGCCAGAGCCAATCACGCCACAGCCATGGATTAACGATCCCGACTTGATGACGGAGCGGCAGAGAAGCAAGCCCTAAACTAAAAAGCAACGTCCAAGGCCTTTAGCTTTCCAAGGCAGCGGCGAGAAACCCATAGAACCCTAACCCTGGATATCAAAACTTGACAAAGCATCCATAGCGCATGCCACACTAGAGAAATGAAAGCAATCCAAACTCCAGGGAATATCATAAAGCTGAGGCTCGGAAGCTCCACTTGGATTGCGTCCTCTGGAGAAATTCCTCCATCTGGCGATGAGTCAGAAAAAAAAAACCCCCCAGACTTCGTGATTACTGGAGCTGACCACGCAGCGAACCGTCTCCACCTTCCATTTCTGGCGTGGCGAACAGCAACTCAACAGTTACATTAGCCAAAAAGTAGGGTCATCGCAAATAATCTCACGCCAAACGCACCATTCGACGGAACCCGTCAATCCAGCTCCGATCAGTCCCTCAGTCCATCAACGCGACCATGCCTGCACACGCCGAGTCGTCGCCTCTCCTGGGGAGACCCCGCACGCCGCCAGCCGAGCCGGGCGTCGAACGGGGGCAATGGGTGTCGTCGCCTCGGCTGCGGCCCGCCATGATCAATCGCGTCTCATCATCGACGCACCTGCCCGCGGCGGCCGCACACGTCGAGCGGCACAGCGGGGGCTACGACGCGGTGCTGCGCGACGTGATCCTGGGCTTCTCGGACGGGCTGACGGTGCCGTTCGCGCTGACGGCGGGGCTATCGAGCCTGGGCAGCACGCGCATCGTCATCATGGGCGGCCTGGCCGAGCTGTTCAGCGGCATGATCAGCATGGGCCTGGGCGCGTACCTGGCCGGCGTCAGCGAGCGCCAGCACTGGGAGGCCGAGCACGCCCGCGAGTGCTGGGAGGTCGACCACGTGCCCGACGAGGAGCGCAGCGAGATCTACGACATCCTGGCCCGCTACGGCGTCACCCGCGCCGCCGCCGAGCCCATGGTCTCCCAGCTGTGCGCCGACAAGACCACCTGGGTCAACTTCATGATGGACTTTGAGCTGTCCCTGCCCGAGCCCGACGTCAGCCGCGCCTGGGTCTCGGCCGCCACCATGGGCCTCAGCTATTTTGTCGGCGGTCTGATTCCGATGCTGCCTTACTTCTTCATGGACCAGGCGTCCCAGGCATTGCTCGTCTCGGTAGCCATCACAGTTGTCATTCTGCTGCTCTTTGGCTACGCGAAGAATTGGTATGTCGAAAGCTTGGTGTCAAGCGGGATGCGATGATGCTAACACACGACTAGGCTCACCATCCGAACCAAAAAGGCCGGCGTCTGGGGCGCGCTGCAGACGCTCGTCATTGGTGCTCTCGCTGCAGGGACCAGCTACGCCATCGTGCGTTTACTCGACACAAACTGAGATGACGTAATCTGGTCACCACTTGGCATAGTAAAATCGGCACCGAAGTGTCGTTGTCTGGGAGGCGGCTGCCGAGCGCTCTTGTATTATAACAATCGCCATCATTCACAGTCTTCAGCCAGCGAGCTGTTTTGTCATCCTTCCCATCCTTCCAATCGGTGTGTGGCATTTAGAATTATTTCTGTTGGCACGCGCCACTCTCATGACCCCATTCTCCTGCCCACCACGGATACCTATATTTATCGATGAGTTCTGGGGAGCAGACTATTTGAGTTTAGTTGTGGTGCGATGTTCCAGCTCGACTTAAATAACATTAAGAGGCGTGGGGAGTGGAAAGACTCGTGAATTCCAATTACAGACTATTATGGAGAGTGTTAACAAACTATAAAGTGCCGTGCAAAAATAGAGGTGCGGACAATAAAAATAAAAAGGGCGTGTAAAAGCAAAAACACAAAAGAAATTTCGGATACCGGGAATCGAACCCGGGGCTAGTGAGTGAGAGTCACTGATGTTACCGTTACACCATACCCGATGAAATCGCTTGCGGTTGCTGATTTGTTGGAGAGCTGTGCGCAGTGGAGCCCTATAAAGGCGACCGCCAAGTGCCATCACGCACTTACCTACGCCATGCCAGAACTCTGACCCCCTTTCAACGCCTTTAATCATCGTGCAATCTCCTGCTCACATTGAAAACTGCTGCCACTGGAATGAGTCACTGAAATGTTCGATCTAAATATCTGTCAAACAAAACTAGACTAGGGTGCCTGCAACTTGACCCCTATCATCGAGAAGCCTCCCGCGAAACAGTCTCCCACCATACCAACACCTTGCAAGCATATTTCCAACACCAATTCCTTCCACACATCTCAGTTCCCCTCAAGACCAGCTAACGGCCGCAACATTATCGTAGCAGCGGACGGTGCGCGCAAAGTCGTGGCCGTAGATGGCGCCCGCCGGGACCTGCTCGAGGGCGGCGCACTGGGCGAGCAGGCGGATCGGCGCGCAGCCGTCGGGGATCTGCTGGTAGGCGACGCCGTCGACGGTCTGCACGCGCGCGAAGCGTACGGGATACTGCGGGCGGCCGTAGGCGGGCTTGGCCTCGAAGCACACGCAGAAGGTGCCAGCGTCAGGCCCGTACGCCTCGGCCCACGTCTCGGTCCCTCCGCTCGCGGGGTCCTGCGCTACCTGGGTCGATGGCGTGGATGCCGGGGGCGGGTCGCGGATCCCGACGCCGCGCTGCGCCGTGCCCACGTCGATGCCCACGTGGTCGACGTAGTCGGCGTCGTCGGCGTCGCCTGGATCCTCGTCTTCTTCCACCCCTAGCGGGATTGGGATGATCTGCATGCCGTACGGGTAGATGAACCCAGCGGGGGCGGCAGCTGTGCTCAGGCTGGAGTCGGCCGCGATGCCGTAGCCCTCGACGTCGGTGCCGTTCTCGTACAGCACCCGGCCGGCGTCCGGAGTCAGCACGGCCGTCTCCAGCCCCGCGCCGACGTGCACCCCCACCAGCTTGAAGTGCTGGATCGACGGCGTCAGGTCCCGCGACAGGTCCGTCACGTTGGCCACCAGCACGAAGCCCTTGGCCGTCGACGTCGGCGGGAACAGGCTGCGCCGCGCCAGGGACAGCGGGGTGCCGGATGTAAGGGCTGCGAGGCCGAGAGGGAGGAAGGTCGAGGGCCGCATTGTGTTGAGTTGAGTCGAGTGGAACCTCTTGGTGACTTCATGTGAAAACAACGAGGTAGGTTTTGAACGTCTTGGCTGACGAATATAGACTTCACCAATATTTGCCGTCAAACTCCTGTTTATATGCACGCCTGGGTCTGCAAACATGCCATATGTTTGCTCGACATGGTGGGCACTCTATGGGTGTACAACTCGAGTCTGCCCGTGTTCGACTCACCAGGCACGGGCTAAACCTGCTGACCCGCCAGTCTAGCGGTGACTACACGGACGGCAAAGGCGAGAACCACAAGTGTCACCCTCCCCGGGCCCGAGGCCGCGCCTGGGGAGGCCACCGTCACTCGAGCCAATCTTGACACCAGTGTCGGACCGAGCCAGCGCGCGGTCCTGAACTCGCCCCGAGACCGGCAAGACATATAGGGGGTAGATGACACTCCAGAGTCTCATCAACGCGGTTCAATGGAGTAATTCTTAGCGAGTCTTTTGGACAAGGAGAAACCTGGAGCCAAAAGCCAGGCCGGAAATTATTCTCAAGTTCTCAAGTTCATTTCAATGGTCTGGTGTACGTCATGTCGTAGCCGAGCCCCTATCCCCGTTGCCTTTTCAGGGGTTGATCATTGGGTTGGCCCTGCAGTTCTTACCACCCCGTGCGAGATTGTGTAACCAAGGCGTTGGAGCGTCGACACACAGGCTGGTCGCGCAACAGAGTTGACGTGAGAACAAAGACGTGATTGAGTCGTACCTGTGATGCCGTATTAATTACATCACCGTGTCTCGACCCGGTCCTGCTCTGCAGAATTCATCGGTTCGAGAACGCAGCCTCGACCCTGTGTGCATGTCTGTTCTCGATGGCGCGCCCCCAGGTTTCCACGCATCTCGGCAATCACACAATTCTGCTTTGCTATCAGTCCCAAACACGTTTCTCGGTGCGATATTTGTCGTGACAGCAAACACTGACTGCGAGCAAAGACTGGCAAGACGATTGCTTGGCAGAGCCTACCTCGGGTGGCACCCGAGATCCAGGAACCGTCCGAGTACGTCGAAATGTCTCGGCAGAATGCCACTCGAGCCCTTCATTGCGAAGCCAAGCCAAGGGACCGCGAAGATGCCCGTCGGCCGCTCTGACCCTGGATAATCGCCGGCTAAACATTTCCGGTCCGACTTGCCACCCCTCACCTACGATGGTGAGGCGCGCTACCTTGGCGGCGAGGCGGGTCCACAATCTCGTTTGCTGGTCTGCTTGTCTCGCTCTCTGTGTTGGGGCAAACAAGACGTGTTTTTTGCAACTAAATGCCAGATTCCAAGACTCTATTGACCATCCAATCGTGAACCATGGAGTTCCCAGTCAGAACCGAAGCGCTGGTCGTGGAGTCGGCCGGGGCAGCCTTCGAGATGACCCCTATCGTAATTGACGAGCTGCGCCCCGACGAGGTTCTAGTCGAGATGAAGTATTCGGGCTTTTGCCATACTGTAAGTTGATAATTCCTTGGCATCATCCATCATTCTTCGGCGCCAGGAAGAGAAGGAAAATCTGCGGCAGGAAAAGAAGGAAAAGAGAGACCAGCTAATGACAGCCGCAGGACATACTCGTGCAACAGGGCGTGCTACCGGGCCTCGAGCTGCCCGCGATTCCAGGCCACGAGGGCGCGGGCATCGTGCGCGCCATCGGCTCGCAGGTCAAGGACAAGACGCTGCGCGTCGGCGACGCGGTGCTGCTGTCCTTCACGGTCTGCGGGCAGTGCGCGCCGTGCGGCGAGCAGCGGCTGACCAAGTGCGTCGTGCACCCGGTAGTCAACTTCCGCGCGACGCGGCTGGGTACGGACAACACGACGTCGGCGCGGCTCGCGCGCGACGGCCGGCCGGTGCGCAGCCAGTTCTTCGGGCAGAGTTCGTTCGCGCGCCTGTCGGCCGTGCACGAGGTCTGCGTCGTCAAGTGCCCGTACCCGGACGACCTGGCGGTCTACGCGCCGCTGGGCTGCGGCTACCAGACGGGCGCCGGCACCGTGCTCAACGTGCTGAAGCCGCGGACGTACGACAGCATTGTCATTTTCGGCATGGGCTGCGTGGGGTCGGCGGCGCTGATGGCGGCTGCGCACCTGCAGGTCAGGCAGATCGTTGCCGTGGACGTGGTCGAGCGCAAGTTGGCCCTCGCCATGGAGCTCGGCGCCACGGACACTGTCAACCCTGCTGGGAACACGGCGGGTCTTGCGGAGCAGATTAGAGCGCTGACGGGCGGCGGGGCCAGCTTTTGTGTCGACACCACAGGGGTTCCGGCCGTGATCGAGCAGATGCTCGACTGTCTCGCCCACGGCGGCACGGCCGCGTCCATCGGGGCGCCGCCGGGCGGTGCCAGGATACAGGTCGATGTCGCGGCGTTCCTCTATCAGAACAAGAACTGGGTGTCCATCATTGAAGGCGACTCGTTTCCCCCAAAGGTGATCCTAGTCAAGAGTCAAAGGATAAGGGAGGAATATTGCTGACAGTGAACAACGTGCAGTTCATACCGGAGCTGATGGAACTTCACCGGCAGGGCAGGTTTCCGATCGACAAAATCTGCAAGGTGTATCCCATTGAGGATCTCGACAGGGCCATAGCGGATATGAAGTCGGGAGAGGTGAGTCCGATGAGTGTCGATAAGATTGTCCTTTACTGACATGCGCAACTCGCAGGTGATCAAACCAGTCCTCCAGTTCAGTTAAAAAAAATAAGAGGCTGACCATACGATGTGGACCGCGAATAATTTACTCAGTGTTGAGCATGGTGTTTTGCATGTACCATACTTCAGTCCAGTGTTCCTAATTATTCACTTTCGTATGCTTTCAGGATCTTCAGTCGCGTGATTAATAGTCCAAGTTTATTTTGTCATCAGAGTGTCAAGCTTCAACTCAACGTTTGCAGGCCTCGGCAGCCAAAGCACGCACCTCGTTCAATCAGTAAAGCAGGTCCAGCCACTCGTCCAACCGGCGGTCGAAGCGCACCACACTACCGTGGAAGCCAGAGCACTTGCTCTCCGGGACGTCGCCGGCGCGGCAGCTGCACGTAATCTGGCTCGCGCCGTAGCGGATAACCCGCGGCGACAGGTACCGCTCCTGGTACGTCCACGCGCGGCGGTCGAGGACCTCGTCGGCACTGGGCAGCGTGTGCCCTGTCGGGGGCCATGTACGCGGTAATTGGGTTAGAGTTGGGTTGATTTGATCACGCGACGCCCCCAGCAGTGGCTCAGCGCCGCGTACCGCCTGTACAGGCCGGCTGAGTCAGCAGCTTCACTGCGCTCAGGTCAGAAAAGTCGAGGATGTGGGTGGGGAGGAGGGTTGAGGCCGGCAGGCATCCGGTGTGGCCCTCGTCGCAGGTCTGTATCCAGTGCTTGAGCTGTTTTACAGTGAGCGCAGAAAGTGGATTTTGATGGACGACGACATGCTCGAGAGATTCGGCAAAGGGGATATCTGCAATGGGGCCGCAATTTCGGTTTACTTATCAGACATCTTTCGGCGTATCGAGCGACCACCAGTCAAAATTCTCACCATGTTCTGCATTCACAGTCCACCTCTCCAGCACGCCCTTGTTTCTGTCGCTGCACAGCGACAGACCAGAGAAACCCGGCAACTGGGATACATCCGGCAATGACGTTACTTTGTACGCAAACAACGCCAGAGCGCACGTATCAGCCCATATTTTCATCTCGGCGTGCTAGCGCGGACCAACATGCAATAACGAGTATTCGACGGCGGGTGCATTTGGGCCGACCTGTGCATCATCAAGGGGCAACGACCAGCAAACGGGACATTTTGCTAGCAAGAGCTCCAAGCCGCCTTCTGCGAGTTGAGACATCGAAGTCGATTCCAGCGAACCTTCGGAAATGGAGTGACCAGTTTGGAATGCTCGAATCTCGTGCAGTGTGTTCAAGATTACTTGGGAGGGGTGGTCGTTGCGCTAGTAAAACTTGCGCAGCCCTTCGTGGTGAGTATCAGGCGATATGGTGTGCTCGATTGTCGCTCCTAGTCGGGCAGATATCTTTTCGACCACCTATTTTTGTCATCAAGGTGTCTGAAATTAGTCCACTGGCGTTTGTCTGGACAAGATGCAGGAGATTTATGGTTTCTCACCACAGACCGGTACCCTGCATGAGAATTGCCTCGTGAAAGCTGTAAAACGAGTAGTTTGGCAGCAACTGCCAGCGACTCGACAGTCGCGAGAAGTCATGGGCGTTTAGCTCTAGGCAGCGATATAAACTTGGCTCGGCAAGCACCGGGGCTACCAGGGGTGGCACATTAACCTCCAGGCAACCGACGACGTTGACCAGCACTCGTGCGTAGCTCGCATGCACGCTTTCCCAGTGTGGGGTCCCGAGGAAGACGAGAGCAGCGGTGTTTTGGGTGATGCCCGTGAATTCCTTGTGCTTTTGGACGGCTCGGAATACGACTTGAGAACGATTGAGCTGTTACTCTTCCCAGGAAGATCACGGCCACGGAGGCTTCGTAAATATTTTCCGTCCACTATAGTACCAGTTGGGCGACATGATCCTGGTGTCAGACGTGTCGTTGGCGAGCAATGTTTCGAGCCAATCACTCCCAGGCATGTGGTTTAAGGAGTGTGTGGCTCCTCCGCCTGGGCTGGAATTGAACCCACCTTGGAGAGTAACAAAACTAAATAAAAGTCGTTTGATCAGAAGGGCTCTCAACCGTCCCGGTCTGGTATGTAGAACTGGTTCGCAACATACTCGACGCGGACCGAGTCCCGACACGCCGCCCCGCTCGTGCCCAGGGTCAGGACGTCTAGGGAGATAGGCATGAAGTTTAAGTAACAAGTTCCCTTTAGTAGATCAGCGGTAGACTCCTGTCGAAAAAGTCGGGTCAGAACAAAAGATCAGATGTTGTCCGGTAACTGATTGTCATTATCTGAATGAGAAGAAATTCCCCGCTTCCAGGCTCGAAGAACTCCCCGCTTTTCAATCTAGCCCTAGCCAGGCATTAGTCTGCACTAATATTGTCACTGATATTGTCCTTTTGATGAACTCGACCAGTCCAGACCCCGGCAATGGAATTATTCGTCAGGGCCGCTTCAACGCTCCAGGCCCAGGCAGCTGCAAGGAGCGGGCGAACTGGGCGGCCTACCTATTCAGGTGGGAATGGGACACTCGAAGAACCAAACCGAACAAGGCCAACCAAAAGAACTTCCCAAAGCCTATTACTAGGAGGCCAACGAAAACAAAAACTAGAAAAACCGAAAGTTGGAGTTTCCAGCCTGTTTCCTCTTCAGTAATAGTAGGCGTCCGAGGTAGCGTCAGCTGTTGCAGCTCGTAGATAGTTGCTGTCTGATGAACAGTGTAGGCCTAATTGGCGACGTGGTCAACGATACGTAGCAGTTGCATCATGTCGCTGTGGTTTGTAATGTCGCCTTCCTACAGTTTTGCTATCTCCTGCAAGTCTTTGTTAGCCCGCGTGGTTGGTTCGTGTTGAGCTGATGCTCACGGGAGCGGGCGGCATGCAATTCGAACGTCTTTTCTCACTTCCTCCTTTGGCTTGTAGCTGCAGCAACCCTCCATCTAGATCCTCTGTGCGTGAAACACCAAATCAGAGAACCGGGAGCCCGGCTTCTCTTGTTGCCGTTGGCCGAGCGAAGTTCTTCCTGAGTCGCAAGCATTTTTTCAGCAACAAACGCAATCTGGTTGTTGATCTTGTTGAACGAGACCGTGTTGCTGCCCGACTTTGACTCTAGGAGGAGGAATGGGAAAGACACGGGCCTCTCTTTCTTTGGGTCTAGCGAATACGACAAGCTCGTATGGAGAGTTTGGTTTTCGTGACCTTCTCGTCCATCCTTCTGGCCAAGCACTTGGTCGAGGGTTGCAGCTCTCCGCAGAGAATACACCCGGTCTGGTATTTCGTACGACTTGTTGCCGTCCAATGCAGTCACTATATCCTCATCAAGCGGAGCCCACTTTCCTTGTACAGAGCTGAAGAGCTTGGACACAGAAGACGACCTAGGTAGGTAGACACGGTGAGCAATTAACAGAACAAATTAAAGACATGCAGCCGTCAGTTGGGCCGGGGAGCTTACTGGCCGCTCCCGTGGTGACACTGGCACGTGGCTCTGGTTTTCGGTCCTGTTGATGCGGCAACAGCAGAGTCTTTCCTCGGGTCGAGGCTAGCCTTGATTTGCGATTCCCAGAACGTCCCTCGACAGTGAGAGCTAGAACTTAGTGGCGAGCAGCCAAGTCAGAACAGCGTCCCCAGAAGCTTTGCCGAAAAAAATAATCTCGCGAGGATGTGAATCGCAGCTCACCAGAGAATTTTATCGTCCAGCCTCTAGAATATGAACGGCTCCAGCTGCATCCTCCACTCCGTCTCGTTCATTTCGTCGTTTTGACATTCTCATGCTCGCCGTAGCAGGTATCTGGCTCGCCCCTCCAATTCAGGGTCAGAATGGACGGTCGATCCCAGGTCTTGGAAGATGCTAAAGGTTTCTCGGTGTTCCTCGGGCCATCTCGACGGCTCAAAGTTATTGAGAAATCTTATTCCTTGACTCTCTATGGTATTGCGCCGTTTGATGGCGGCGTCTTTGGTTTTCGCCATGGCGTGGGCAGTGGATGGGTAGATGAGTGGTGAAAGATCAGGACACGGCAATGGATGGCTGGCGATAGACCAGGACACGGCAATGGATGGCTGGCGATAGATCAGGACACCGAAATGTTCTGTTCTGACTTTACGGGAATGAAGGGTTTACTTATAGAGAATGATCACAGCAGCGTACGCACGCCAAAGACTGGCTACATCCAAGAGCGACCTGGGTGCCGCGGTGCCATGTGATCAGCAACCATAATAATCACAGGATACAGGGGAAGCACCGTCTCCCACACCCAGGTTTTGCCCACCGCTCTCGGCCCGTTCTGTTCCAGCAACCTGTCTCAAGCCGGTGCGGTGGCGTAGAGGGACGCGACATGACTTGCTGGCTTAGACGCCGACGACATCCAGGCTCCAGCGCACCGTGCTGCGCTCTCGAGGTGGCTGGTGCCCGCTGAGCCGACCACCAAGATCGAATACGCAGCGCCCATTTCGCGAAGGCCGAGTATTGTTTCAAGCCTCGAAACTTTGAAGGATCGCGAAATCGCCGCAGGGATTTGTCGTGGCGGCCCCTTTGGCGCCGCGGCGTCTAACTCGGGGCCGGGACTGGGCTGGACTGACATGCGTGCCGGGCTTCACGACGCGGAGGAGTCTCCGACGCGGCACGGACGATTTCACGACATGAGCAGCCACTCAGCCGTGCTCTGCGGTGTTGCCAACGGGCCTGAGTGAGCGCCGCTCGTGAACTGAGCAGCACAGCTCCGACTCGGCCGAGTGTGTGGCCTACTTAGGTAGCTTTATAGACAGACTCGCGGCGTCTAACTACTGTGCCCTGCGTGCCCTGCGTGTCCTGCGTGCCCTGCGTGTCCTGCGTGCCCTGCGTGCCAACCATTTGCGCCATACTTATGCGACACGTGCGGCGGATGCGGGCGTGCAGCTGTCGAGGGGCGATCGACGATCGACGATCGACGATGCACTTCGATCGCCCTGGCGCGGTAGAGCTGAACATGCCCCGGGTCGAAAACATCGCAACCCACTGAGGGTGGCGTTTTTGAAGTCCTTCCGGGCCCGACGGGTCCCGGAATCGACTGTAGTGTGCTAGCGACGGATCCTTTGCCCTCCAAGGGTGCAGCGACCTGGGCGGCAGCTGGGCCCCTTACATGCCTTTGCTATTATTAGATCGATCAGCTCAGCTGGTGGCTTGAGATTGTGCCTTTTCAACAACCCATCACGAGTATAGGAAGGAAGAAGGAAGAAGAAAGCGATTGTTAGTTATCTGTGGAATGAAAGCGCCCTCTTCACGTTCAGCTCGTAGGCCTTGTGCCGTAGTTGGTAAGACTCAACGCCACCAGATACCGCCACTTGCGCGGAAACATCCCCTCGGCATGTCACGCGCCCTAGACAAGTTTCTTTCTACCAACCTTGATCTTTTGATTGCCGATACCCGAGATACTTTAGATGATTCATAATACAGGCAAGAAGCGGGAAAAGGAGAGAAACAAAAGAGAAGAGCGGCCAGAGCATCCACGGGTCTAATGAGGTGTTCCGATGATGGGAAGATAGGACCCGAGGTGAGAAACTCATTCACTCCCAACCAACCAACGAACCAACATCCGGGTATTTGGATGCCATGACAAAGGAGAAGCGCAACAAGAGCGCAAAGAAAAGAAAGAAAGCCGTGGGCGGCGTCTCGCCAGCCCTGATTCCCAGCTCGGTAACAGTCTCCCTCTCGTTATCTCTTGACGAGGTACTAGTACTTACGAACGCAAGGAAAATAAGGAATGATCAGTCACCATGATCTGCCATGTTGAAGCGCATCGGGGACAAGACAAGACGAAACCGTCTTGTTCCCCAAGCGTGGCACAGAGAGAGGATCATTACCCACGCCCCCCCCCCCACGCCCCCCCCCCCTACACGACCTTGCCGTTAGACTTCAGGTCGGCACCGCCGCCGCGCTCGAGCTGCGACATTTGGCCAGCGAGGCGGCCAAACTGCCACTCGGGGAGGGTGATGCCCGTCTGCTCGTTGATGGTGGTCATGAGCGGCGGCAGCATCTGGTAGATGTTGCGCATGGCGGCGGTGCTGCTGGGGCCGCCGTCCGACCCCGACCCGGAACCGGCTTCGGGCCCCGTGTTCCACACGCTGATCTTGGGCTGCAGGCCCTGGACGGCCTGCGCGTTGGCCTTGGCCAGCTGCACGTACGTGCCCTTCTCGATCATCATGAACTGCAGCAGCCCCGCGGGGCCGCCAAAGGCGTGGCTCAGCTTGCCATAAGCCTCGGCCATGGCCGCCAGGCCCTCGGCCTCCTTGAGCTTGCGCTGCAGGTCGGCCTCGGCCATGCGCAGGGCGGCGTAACTGTCGGCCTCGGCGTCCTGCTTGGTCTTGTACACGGCGGCGTCGGTGTCGACCTTGATCTTGTAGGCGCCGGCGTCGGTGGTCTGCTTGTTCTTCTCGAAGTTGGCCTTGGCCTCGGCCTCGATCTCGTAGGCGCGCGCGTCGGCCGCCTGCTGCTGCGACTCGCGCGCGATGGTGGCCTTGACCACGTCCTTGGCGCGCAGCCGCTCCATCTCGGCCGCCGCGCGCTTGATCTCGACGTCGCGCTTGAGGTCCTCGTCCTGCGCCTCCGTGTTGCGCCCCGCCGTGATGCGCGCAATCTCGACGTCGCGGTTGAGCTCCGTCTTGCGCGTCGCCAGCACGGCCTCGGCCTGCGCCCGCTCAATGTCGCGCTCCGTCTTCTGCACGGCCGTCTCGGCGTTGATCTTGGCCAGCTCCCGGTCCTGCTCGCCCTTGCGCTTCGCCTCGCCGACATTGCCGCGCAGCTGCGCCTCGGCCACGTCGATACGGGCCTGGTTGGTCGCGCCCTCGTGCGCCTTGCGGCTGAGCGACTCGAAGTAGATGGAGTTGGGCGCGTCCTTGAGTTCTTTGACCTGGGAAGCGTCAGTGGAAAAGGTTTCAACCGTGGACAGCTGGCCGAGCACGTACGTTGGAGTTGTAGATGATGAGACCAAACGAGTTCAGCTCGGTCTGGATGTTGCGGAAGATGCGGTGCTTGAACTCCTCGCGCTCCGTGAAGATCTCCTCCATGGTCATGCTCGACACCAGCACACGGGTCTCGCCCTCGATGATGCCCTTGACGATGTTCTCGAGGAACTGGTGGTTGTTGGCCCCCTTGACGTGGTTTCCCGAGTCGGCAAGGAGCATGGCGTACTTGATCAGCGCGTCGCCCTGGTCCTCGCGCCGGTGGTCTTGGGCGTGCTCGCCGCCGCCGGCTGTCGTGGCATCGCCCACGAGGACGCCCTCGGCGGGGCCGGCATTCCCGGTACCTTTCTTGGTATTTGCGCCTCGCTGGTTGACATCGGGGCCGACGGTGAAGACTACAGGCAGCAGGAACTGCAGTTTCTCCTTCGTCATGGCTTGGAGATTCATGCTGTAATCGTGGGGCTGCACACTGAAGCGCATGCAGCGCTGAAACGGCCATACCCAAGCCGCCTTTGTGATTTTGACTGTGTGTTCTGGTCAGTTGGTGCCCTGGCTGCAAGTGTCCTCACTAGATCGACACCGTTGGAAAGGGCCAACGCACCGGACTTGACGCCCATGCCAGTGATGGCGAGGTACTCATCTGGGGCGGCGATCTTGTAGGTGGCCATTTTGACCGTGGTTTGTTTGCAAGCTCTGGTGGGTTTCGGGGCTCGTTACACAGAATACGTGATGTGTGTGATGTGTGTGGTAGGAGAATAGTGTAGTAGGATAATAGTTTAGCAGGAGAATAGTGTGCAGACGAGAGCCGGCAAGTGTATTTGTATTCGCAAACGTCGGGGCAAACGCCAAATTTTTGAAACGTTGGGGCCGAGTTCTGGCGACGCCGAAGTCCGCGTGATACGGTTGTGTGGATTAGATTTAGAGAAGAGGTCCCAAGGTCAGTAGGCTAGAGACCTGAACTCTGATTAGGAGCGCGGCCGTCAGATATAGCGTTTGGGCGTTTGCTCGTTTGACAAACGTCGTGACTTTCAGACATCGAAAAGGGCAAATGGCGGCTGGCTGCCGTTCTAGATAGATATATGTAAGTGCGGAGTATATCCTGACATTTGACAGTTGGCAGCTTCGCCCCCCGGCCAACAAGAGACTCCTCTAGGTATGGCCACCACGGCTCTAACGTCACTTGCACGGCTAGGACGGAAAAAGAAGCGAGCCTATCATGTCTGCCTTGCCTCGCTGCCAAGTTTGATAGTCAATAAACTGGACTGAATGAAAGGGCTGGTTGAGGTCCCTTGTGAGTGGCAGTGCAGCCGTGCAGCGCCGGGTCATTTTGGGGTCTACGGATGGGCTGGTCCAGCCAATGAACTGCCCACGCCTTCTCAACAACTGGCGCTAAGACCTTCTGGAATGGTTCCCTCAATCGGAATTTGCGGGGCAGCTCCACTGCACCCACTTCACCCCGCAGCTTACACCTCGTGATGCGCTGCGCTGTCGCCGATTCCATGTCAACACGAATCCATTCTAGGTTGCATCAAAGTTCTGCCCTAGGAATCACCAACATGTCTTATTTTTTTGCTTGCCGGCAAGAAGTCACTTTGCTGCTCTCTAAAACAACATTATGGTTCAGGGAGTCGAGCATACCTAATAAGGCATTGTCGACCCATTCATAAGACGGAGGAATTAATGCCACGAGACGTTTATTCGCGGGGTTCCACATTTGGATGGGTCACCGAGGACTCATTCGGGACCGACACCACTGTAACTAAAACCTTAGGCTGCCTGCAAGGCTGCGCTTCTCTGGCTCGCAACCCCCACTACATCCATCCAACCTAAACATCCAATGTTGCCTTCCGGTGAGCCAAACTGGCGAAACCGGCGTAGCAGACTGTGCCCTGGCTACCTGTACATGCAAGGCCCCTTTCTCAGACGAGAGATGTAGCGCCTGAGTTCTGTGGCTCAGGGCAAGGCTGACGGGGGTTGAGAGGCGAGGTTAGGTTGTTGGGACGTGTACTTGGTAGTGTGAGGCCGCATTTGAACATGTGGGCGGCTGTGGTCTCTTTATCGGCCCTGGGGTTCAAGTTTTGGGGGCCCCTAATTTGCCCTTCGGCGCTAGGTTGCCCGTGTCGCGCGGGAGGTCGTGCAGTGGTCGGGGGGGCACCTTTTGTGGCGCTACGGCACAACACAGCCGAAGGCACACACTCCCGCCTGTCAAGCCAAGCCGATCACGTTCTCCCTCCGCCGCAGACCGCAGCAAGCCTCGAGACAGCAGGACTTCCTCGGACGTCGTCGCATATCCGCGGAGCATCCCAGGGCATTTCCAGGACTACACTGCACACTTGCTGAGCTGCCTCCCGGAGCCAGAAACCATCAGAGCCACATTTCAGTTTGCCTTTGACAATCCTCGCCCGAGTGCACCAAGTAGAAGCTTCCCGTCTCTCGGCTTGAGTTCGAGTTGACCGAAGCGGGGTCTTTTGCAATCACGCTTCCCATTTAGCTTCACTATTTTTCTGGCACCGGCCATCCCGAGCAGAAACCTTGACCTGCAGACGTGATTTTGCGTGTCTTTGACCGCGGATAAAGAAAGTAAAACACCGACCAAAACCAAGCCATATCAACCCCATTACAACCAACGCACCCATCGTCCATCGTCTTCCCAGTTCGGATACCTCCCCGGACAACTAGCTGGCAATAGGTGAGTCCTTAGGTAACCAAGCACACATATCACATCACCGATAGCATCTAATAACGAACAAAAAAGGGGAGACACATAAGCAAAACAAGCAACACCAACTGCAATGTCCAAACCACTAGCGGACGACGACGACTTTGTCGACCTGCCCCCGCCCTACACACCCAACCCGGCCACCAACGCCAACACAAACACCAACCCCACCCCTAGGAACACCAACCCCAACATCCATGCCTTCCCACCGCCCGCACCGGCACCAGGCCCGCACACAGCGCTCGCAGCATCATCACTGACGCACCACCTGTCCACGCTCGGCGCGCGTCTCGCCTCAGCCCAAGCAGCGCGCGCAACCGAGCAGGCGGCGCGCGACCTGGCCATGATCAACCTGGTAGTGCCGCACGTGGAAGCGTTCCTGTCCGAGCTGGCATGGGACGACACCGCGAGAGGAGGGGTAGGCGAGCTGGTGCTGGTGCCGGCGGGCGCAGTGGCGCGGGGGTGGGCGCTGACGGGGGCGGCGGAGCGGCGGCGCGGGGGCGAGTTCCTGCGCGTGGCGCGCGTCGGCGAGCCGCGGGTGGGCAAGTCGGAGAAATCCGTCAGCGGTGGTGATAGCGGTGTAGTGCCCGAGCCTGTCCGGAGCGGCCGGTTCGGCGGTGAGGGGTACGACGACGACGACGGGGACGGGGACGGGCGGCAGCCTGCTGACAAGGCCGGGTTCGACGACTGGGGCCGGTTCGACGACGGGGAGGGCAGTTCGTCGCTGGTGGACACGCCGACGGCGAGCTGGTGGTGGTTCCGCGACGCGCGGCTGGCGCGGCGGCTGGCGGCGTACCTGCAGCCGCGGCCCGAGGTCAACGTGGAGCGGCGGCACGTGCAGGCCGCCGTGGTGGCGGCGAAGGCGGACAAGTTGCCGTCGCCGTCGTCTGGCGGGGGATGGCGCTGGAGCGGCCTGCTGCGGCAGAAGAACAAGAAGGACGCGGCGTTGACGTCGCCGCCGCTGTCGGGTACCCCGGGACTGGCGGATGTGAGGACACCGCAGGATGACGGCATTGGCATGACGGTCCGCGCCGAGGAAATGCGGTTTCGCAGGGAGAACGACTTTGGCGTGTGGGAGAGCCTGAGCGGCTATGCCATTGCGGTGACGGTGAAGACTAGGGCGCCGTGATGGCGGGCACTGAAGGCAGAATGAAATGCGTTATGCTGGTTGCTATGTGCTTGGCTTAGTGCGAGATTAGAAACGATGCTCCAGGGAGATGACGACTTGACATGGTTTCCGTGATACGGTACCAATACAAGAGCTCAGGGGGATCTTGGGTGACAAATTGGATGTTATCAAGCCCTTAGTCAACATTTCTACATTTTTTACTTCATTGCAAATAATTGTCGGGAACCGCGTATACACGACGTGAAGGCTCTGCCTTCTGCTCTTCCAAGTTTACAACCCCCATCTCGCGCCCAACGACATTGCGATAATACGGCGTTTGGACGGAAGCAAAATGTGCAAGCTCAAACGAACCTCTGCGCCGGCTCTCCCCACGCTAGACCTCCTCAGCCAAACCGAATCCCGCTATTTGGGTCCCATGTCTTCTTCATCGGGACGTTGCCTCCTTGTTGACCTCCCTGGGGGTTTCCGCCCGCGACAGGCGACGGCGCAAACTTGATTCCCATGTCAGGTATCCACGCCCCTTGCATGGGGGCCATTGGCTTGGGTTGCTGCTGCGGGACGTTGTCGGCCCAGCTCTGGATGTGCGCCTCGGCAGGGGGGCTGTGCACGACCTGCCGGAGATGCTGAGGCTGTGGCGGGCTCGTGTAATAAGAGGCCGAGCCTGGTGATTGGTACGGCTGTGGAGATGCCCGCGGTTGCGAGATTGAGAGCGAGGACAGAGGTGGCATGGAGAGTTCGCTGTTAAGGTTAGCGTCAAGTGTAAACAAGAGTACCAACACTGGGTACCAGCCACGAAAAGGGGGAAGGGGGGACCCACTTCTCCAAGCCTCGTGCCTCCTGTCGCCTTTGGTTGACCCACTGGCGTGCCTGGTTTCGAAACTGCTCAACAATCCTGCTAAGATCGTTGTAGAATTTCCTCCCGACTTCGACGTTGCTGACAATCTCCTTGTACTTGTAATAGGCATTGTCCAGCTTCTGCAAGGCCTTTTCACGGTCATGGTTGCCCTTGTCACCAACACTCCTCTTCTGCGCCTCGAACTCCTGATTCGCGCGCTGGAGATCGGCCAACAGCTTTTCCTGATCCGCACCTTCCTTTTCGAGCCCGTCGATGTCCGCCTCGTAGAGGCTGTCCAGCCGCTTCTCGAAAAAGTCTTCAAAGTGCGCCGTGACAATGGGCGTGCTTGGGTAAGTCCGCTGGAGCCGCGCCGTCTCGGCTAGGATGTCAGGCTTGATGTCATCAGCGCGACTTCGGGCCATCAGCCCTTCTACGCGTTTTCTCCGCCTCGATTCCATCCGAAGGACTTCGTTGTAGGCCCCTCTCAGTCTCCCTATCGTGGGCTTCAAAGACTCGGGGATCTCGACTCGCCTGCTGTTAGGGATGAAGTCCAACATGTTTCGGTCGGGGCCGGCTAACAGAGCCAGCGTGTCCTGGACAGACGCATATTTTTCCCGTACCACGGCATCACTAGACGTGCTGGACGCAAAGTAGCCCTCAGTTTCGGCAACCTGGTTCCAAAGCTTGGCGCCGCCATCGTGGCTGGGATCAGCGCGCGACTCCGGCCGCGTCCAGCGTTGTTTGCCAAATTCCAGTCGCAGGTTCATGTCCTCTTCTTCTTCGGCCGCGAGAAGCGCCTTTGCTTCCTCAAACACGGCCCGGTCGCTGGCGCAGAGCTTTTCTATGTCGCCGAAGCCCCGCTGAAGCCTGTTGAGCGCGTCCGCCTGTCGAATCTCGTCGGCATGTTGGACAAGTGTGCCTGGTAACCCGAGGGGTTTTTCGAGGGCCTGCAGCGACCCAGGTAGGTTCAAGCTCGACAGGATCTGGTGCAGTTTGTCCGTCATGCTTTCAAGCTCTGAAATGATGTTATTATTGACAAGACGGTCCCGCCGTTCGTCGTATATGGAGACTGCAACCTGCACGGCAAAGGGAACCAGCCTCGTGAAGAGGGCCGGCCCAAACGCTGCATGGTCTCCAAAGTGGTCGTACGGCTTGGCAACCTCGGGCGGGATCCGGGCGACAGCCATGTTGGCTCTGTCGAGGATCTTCAGCTCTGATTTTGGCGGAACAGCCTCTGCCATGTGTTAGTGCGCGGGCAAAGCAAGCGGGTCTCTTGGGGGGGAATGCGCAGGGAGGCAGGCTTACGGAGATAAATCAAGTCGTTGTCCTTTTCGGCTCTCTTTAAATCCTCCTCGACGCGCTTCTTCAGGCCGTTGAGATCGTCAATAACTGCCTTGTTGAGGTAGCCGCCCTTGCATTCGCGCAACCCTTCATTCACGCACGCCCCAGCGTCACGCAGGCGGGCCACCTCCTCGCCATATTTCCTCTTCTCGAGACAGTCACAAGCGGCGCGATACTGGGCGGCGGCCGCAAAGTGGTGGTGTTTCGCGCTCGTGTGGTGTATCCAGGCCGAGCTGATGGCCTCACTCCTCATGGCAGCTTCCCCGGCTAGGTTATACAGGTCAGACACGCGCGCGGCGAGCTTGGCGATGGAGGCGTCTTTGTAGCCGTCCATAACGGCCTTTTGCCAGAAGCACTCCTGACTCTGCGCCAGAAACAGCTGGATCAGGGACTCGAGCGTCGTGTCGTCCATATCGTCGGGCGGGTTGTCCATGCGCAGCTCGGGCAATATTTCCGTCTTCATGTGTGTCAGAACCCCTGCCGCCTGGGAGAAGCAAGTCGCGGCCGTCTTTAGCCCGTCAGTGTTTCCCCGGTTGGAGGCGATGGCGAGTTGCGAGTACAGGGCGGCGAGGTTGTAGAGGACGTTCATGAGCTCGTACTTGAGGTTATTCTGCACTAGCGGGTGCTCGGTATGATAGCCCAGGGAGGGGTACCAGGTGAAGTCTGCGCCAATCTGAGCCCACACCCAAGCCAAGCGCGCCAGGTCAGCGATGCGCAGCACTGGTAGTAGTCCATAAGGGGCCAGTGTTTGCGTACGTCAATTGGAAACTTGCCGCCTATCCACACCAACTGCCCCGCGTAGGTCTGCAACTTCTTGATGCCGCTCGGGTGGGCCTCGTGAACATTGACGGCGTCGCGGCGCAGGGTGTCGATGGCGTCGAGGTCATGACGGAACATGTCGGAGTGCTGGTCATACTTCTTAGAGATGTACTGCTGGATAGAGTTCGAGAGGGAGATCTGCGTCGACTTCCGGAATGGAAGCGACAGGATGTTTGAGCTGTGCGGCGCGTCCCATCTGGTTAGCTCACGGCCGTTCATTCGTACGGTACGGTACGGTACGGTACACGCAGACCCAGCTCGCGCGTCGCGCGCTGTCGCATCAGAGGGTATTACTTACGTCGTCATTTTTTCAGGTGCAGCGCGGTGCTGGTCGTGTCTAGCGACGGAAAGGTCGTGAACGCGCCCGCCCAGACTTGTGTCACGGCAGATGACATCAGGCAGGCAGTCGAGCTCAAGGTTGGCGCCAGTTCTGGATTTTGGCGGGGTTGAAGCTTGGAGTTGCTGCCTCAGGCTCAACATTGTCGCTTAGCCGTCTAACTGCCTTACGTACCAAGCTACCCGAACGCTACCCGAACACTGCATCAACTTCTACACTGTCAATCCATGGAATGTTCAAGTTAAACTCCGGGTAGAACCCGACGCTGTAACCGAGTCCCCAAGCCATCCATGGCCTATTGGCGCCGACTTTTCGAGCTTCCATCATCCGTCTTCCATCATCCGTCTTCCATCATCAGTCTTCCATCTTCCATCTTCCATCAATGGAACTAGGAAGTCGCGAGCGAGACCGACGGTAATTGATCAGTCAGGTGCCAAGAACCACCAAAAAGTAGCTGGCAAAATCGTATTTCAACGTCAAACAACCTAACAAAACCGGCTGCCTGCAATTGCATCTCGAGTTGCTCTGGAGGAGATTTCCCCTTTTTTGTGTCAGCGCACCGAATGCCAGCTCCCTTGCGCCGACCTCAGCTTCTCCTCTCCTTATTAGACTGGCCCTAATTTTAGGATGGAACACGAATTCGCGGTGCCTGTGCCTGCCCTGTGCCTGGCAGCGGCCAACATCCCTCGACAACGGACTCCTTGCGTGCGGACAAGTGCCTGCGTCCTCCTCCTGAACTCGCCATCCCACAGCCCCTGGTGCGCTTCGTGATTTGTGGCACGCAAACGTGCAGGCGACGGGGGACGAAGGGCGCTGCAAGGCGACTGAAGGATAAAATCGCCGTTGAACGCTGCGGTCATTGGGCGGCCGTCGAGCTGAGCAGTGAGACATGCCCGAGGTGGGACACCCCCCATGGCGTCGTACATATTGTACCTCGTCATTCATTGATGGAAACGTCGCTGCAAGCCACTCGACAATCCCAAGACGCCGCCGTCGGAGACCCCCAAGCCCCGCGCCGGGCGCCCACAGTTGGACGCCACGACGATGTCGGTCGGCAGAATATCTTCCATCTAGTTATCGTCTAGCCGACTGACACGAGGAGAGCAAAGGCTTGGGCTTTAATACTGCCATCTGACTCGCTCGGTGCGAAGCCGCCTCGGCCACTTGATGCGACTCTCGGTCCCGATCAGCAACGAGCCCACAGTGACACTGGCCTTCTGCCCTCCTTGCACCGTTGTGGTTGGTGACGACGTGACAAACCGGTCAAATGCTTGAGGCTCGTTGGCGATCGGCGGCGGTGGGGTGCATGAATGCTGCCGTTGCATTGGTCCGAACCCGCCCGAACCGGCCCCCGCTCAACCTGGCTCAGGCTTCCCAGCGTCGCCTCCTCCTCTGTCGATCTATTGAAGGGACGTGGTGCAACGGGATTCAACAACAAAAATCTCTCCAATATCCAACACGCGGAAACACACAGTGTTTGCAGCTTGTGCGCGTCAAAAATTTGTTGCGGCACCGGCGGTCAGGGGGAGTTTGTTGAATATGTTCTTCCCAATGCTCAGCATCGAAATCGGCCGAACCTAGAAGCGCCGGAGACACAGGCCACAATCACATCAAGACACCGCTAACCGCGCCTGTTTGCTGCCCGATCCCTACAACCTGGAACAGATTTACGGTCGGCCGTTGCATAATCCCGACACTCAAGTACTCACTCAGCACGCACTCGAACTCCAGATGAAACCAGAGAATTAAAAATCCTGTTTGCGCTCTGCTTCGATCCGGATTCCAAGGAAAACATTTGATGTCGCTGTTTTGCCCGTCAAGCGAGCAGCTAGCACTTGGACTGATCTGCCTTAGCTCGGGATTAAGCACATGTAGTGGAACCTAAGGTGGGCTTTCGGTTGACATCCGGATTGCCATGCTGAGCACTCCAAAACCCGCATTTGCCTGAGCCTACCCACCACGCAACCAGTGGCACACACCATCTCTATCTCGAAGTGCTCGCCTAACCGACCCAAACGCGCTGTATTGTACGTCTTATTACGCATCCTTGGGGAGGTCACGTGCTCGGAAAAGCGCATGATGGGCTCACGGATGTGACGGCAGGCTGCCACTGTCACAATAGTACCAGTGTCGGTGGCAGCCAGCTCTGGCATTATCGCATCATTTACCCGCAGGAACAGGCAGGACGTCAGAAAGTGACTGGCGGAATCTGCTACCCTGCTAATGATCACAACACTTCGCCCTTCTCCTGGCCTCTTCGTCTTGTGTCGGTGGGCTCGCCGTGGCGTCTTGCTTCAGGCTGCCCTATCCTCACTAGTACGTGGAATGGCGCATAGGTTCAAGGGACATTTGCCATCCGGACGATCTTGCTCGGCGTGGCTTGCCGCCCTGCAGTTTTGTTTCTCTTACTTCCGAAGTAAAAGCGCCGGCGCAGCATCGACCAAAGCCGTTCTTTCCAGGTTGATCGCAGATGCAGATGCCAGCATGCTCGCCCGGTACATGCTTCGTATCGGATTCGGACCCGGAATCTCCGTCCGCCCCCCCCCCCCGCCCCCCCTCAGAGGATGGAATCGATGAGCTGTTGCTACATCAAGTGTCTGCCAATTGCCAAAAAGGCATCGCTAGCCGAACGTGATAAAGAAGCATTCGCGTCCCAGCTGCTTGGGCATGACGTCCTGTCTAACTCGTGGGTATTCGCGTGCCCGTGGCCTAGGGATGCCAAAGCATGGGACAAATCAGCGGCGTCTATGCAAAGGGGTGGCCGCCTTTGGCTTGTCAGCCGACCTTGCTTCTCCGGACGGACATCCCCAAACCAATGTCCAGACAGTCCCTGCCCCACAAAAGCCTTTTGTCATTTGCTCGCCTGCGGTGAGACACAGGGCTCTCACGGACGCGGATATTGTCCCCGCATTCTGCCGCTCTAGCGCTCTTGACATGGAGCACACCAGTCATCCCATTGCAGTCAAAGGAATCTTGCAACGCCGCCGCTTCAATCCTCCCGCGGCAGTTTCCATGGCCATCCCACAAGCAGCACGTTTGTGGCTAGCCGTTGGGAGCGGCCTGCGACGGTACGTTTACATCCCGTTGGGATGGATGGCTAGATCCAGGGCGTAAACGGCGCCGCGACGTTCCCTCTGCAGGTGCTCTTGGCCCCCCCCCCCATCCCCCCTGACTGCGAAGCTCTTAAAATGGGGCAATCAGAAAAAAATCCCCGGTTGTGCTGAGAGCTGCTTTGTGGGGGACGGGATGAGCTCCTTGCCAGAGCTCGGAGAGAATGGCATAATAATCGGGCTGGGTGAGTCGGGACAATAAATTTATTGCACAATCACTGCCCGTCCATGCCCGTGCATCTATCTATCTATTCTTGGATGGCATGTGGGTTCCCTGCTTGTCCTGCTTGTCGTGCAAGTGCACTGTACATAGACGGCTCTGGCTGCAGCCCTCATTATAGGCTGAATCAGCGTCTGGTGCACGCCCACTTTGGCAAATAACCTCCTCGACGACCAGGGGCTAATTAACAAATTAGAGCTCGCCGAGAGACTTCGGATGCTCGTCGACCCCAGCACCGCTTGCCTTTTGCGGGGCATTCCCACAGACCAGGATACATCTCCCCACTATCTCAACAGGCTGATGCTCGAGCCGCCATTACGGACTCTCTCCACGCCTGGCTCCAAGCGTAGCGGAGGAGACAGGTGACGGCTGGCCCGACCAAGACATTCGACATGTTAGCCAGCCCCCTGTACGACGTGTCCCGGGATGCCGGCTTTACTTATTACGGCAAGGACTCGTGCACCGCAGCTAGGGGCCTGCCTCGGGTGCCGGACGAGACGAAGACATATGAGACAGACATAAGCTATGTCAAAGACATATCCCGCTCTCCTGGGTCTCTCCCTCTTCGCTATTTAGGGGGCAAGCCTAGCCAGGACTCGCGACTTTGTTGTTATTGCACACTGGAGATCTCACCCCCCGTCCAGACCCCGTCCCTCACCTGAACGCCCTACGACCATCGCCCAGCGTCGTCTTCGCCTCCCAAGATGGAGGGCATCACTCTGGTCCTGCTCTACGTTGCCATCCCCAGTCTCCTATTCTCTGCCATCCAACAAATACTGTCATGGAGGAAGAAGACGCTCGGGTCGGAGCCCAAGTTCCCCGGACCGAAGCAGTACCCCATCGTTGGCCGCATCCATGACCTCCCTAGATTCTCCATGTGGCTGAAGTTCAAGGAGTGGGCGGACGAGCACGGCCCCATCTACCAAACCCACGCCCTGAATCAGACCTTTATCGTCGTGTCGGACGAGAAGATTGCCGAAGAGCTTCTGATCAAGAGGGGCCATATCTACTCGGGCCGTCCACAGATCAGGTCGCTCATCAAGCACAAGGATGGACCGGCATACTCTGCTCTCATGGACCGCCACGGTATGTATCGTGTGGAGCGCTACTAGACTCTCACCTTTTACTCATGCCCTACGTGATAGACATATGGAAGACGCAGCGCAAGTGGTCGCATGCCGCCATGGCCGAGGCATATAAGCACCACTTCTACGGCCACGCCGAGAAGGAGATGAAGCGGTTTCTAGGCCTAATTTTGCTAGATCCGGCTCGCTTCCTGGAGTACACCCGAGAGTATTGCGGACGCGTCATGTCCAGGCTGGCCTGGGACGATGCGACACAAGGCAAGGCCAATGGCGACAGCGCCGACAAGACACTACACTGCATGAGCGTGTCGGGGCCCATCACCAACACCGTGACGCCGCTTTGGTACATCCCTTCATTCATTAACCCGTGGTACAACTACGAGATCCAGCGGGAGAAGGAGCAGCGCGCATGGTGGGTCAACAACTACACGCTCGCCAAGTATCGAATGCAGCAGGGCGAACTGCCCAGCGACACGTGGGCTTACCGGTACTTTGAGCAGCTCCGCCGCGAAGGGAACGAGAGTCTGGAGCAGGAACATGAACAAGAGGACTTTGCGAGCTGCATGATCGGCTTTCTGAATCTGGTGGGCGTCGTCACCATCAGCGGCCCGCTCAAGTTCTTCCTCATGGCCATGGCGCTGCACCCGGAGTGGCAGAAGAAGGCGCAGGACGAAATCGACAGAGTTTGCGGCGACCGGATGCCAACAATGCAGGACTTTGCCGACCTACCAACGGTCCGCGCTTGCCTTAAGGAGACCGTCCGGTGGAGGTCTGGGGTTCCGCTCGGTACGTTTGAAGGCTTCCGATGTTGATTATTCTTGTAGCTGACTGGTTGCGCGCAGGTGTCCCACATCAAGCAGAGAGAGATGACGAGTACAGGGGGGTCAAGATCAAGAAAGGCACAATCATTCTTGCCTGCGAATGGTGAGTAACCTAGACCACTCCAGCAAACCGTCTCATCTTCCACAGCTTCTAACACGTATGCTCTCAGGACTCTCAACCGCGTACCCACCAAGTATCCCGATGGCGACAACTTCCGCCCCGAGCGCTGGCTCGAAGCTGGCTGGCCGACCTATCAGGAGCCTCTCACCCGGTATCCCAACTTCCGCGAGGGCCAGGCCATGCACACCTTTGGGTGGGGCCGGCGGACGTGTCTGGGCCAGAACATTGTCGACGACGAGACGTTTGTGTTTGCCGCCGGCACGCTGTGGGCTTTCAACTCGGGCCCCAAAATGTGCCCGCTCACTGGCAACCCCGTCCCAATCGACACGCAGGCGACCAACAGCCACGTCATCCTCGAGCCCAGCCCGTTCCAGCTCTCCTTCAAGCCCCGGAGCCCAGAGCGTGCGAAGCACATCTTAGACGGATATCACTCAGTGCTCGCAGAGCTGAAGCTCTGAGACAGCTGCGTGGTAGAGGGAGACTGCTAATTAGAGTGTAAACCATAACACCACCGGAGAAAATGAACAGCGCCCGCAGGAAATTGCGCGCAGACAGATTATCCCATTTCTTTCTTTACAGTTTCTAATTATCTGATGGTCAGCGCGCTCTGGGCCAGTTTTTGCCCCTTAACTGCTCTTCTTGTTTTTCTAGCCTTGGGGGACATCGTAGCCGGGGAGTTGGGCAGAGTGGTTGTCATCCAAATCTTGCAGCACCTGTTATTAGTCGCATTTTACTTTTTGAAGTCTAGTCACTTATATTACCCCCATTCCAGGCGTACTTGCTGCGGTATTTTCACTGAGATTTTTACCGTTCGTATGTGAGGCACTTCTCGTTTTTTACCCTGGTTTCATGTTGCAAGCACAGTCGAAAACGTGCTCCAGCTACAGGCCCGAAGAGAAACTTTCAAGCGAGTATCAGCATCCTGGCCTGTTGAAAGCCGTTTTCACGAATACAACTAGGCAGAGTAGGCAGCGCCTAATGCGGCATCCTAACCAGACGTGCGGGAGAGCCTGACGTGGGATCCGAGTTTTCCCTTCGACCGGGCACATATCCCAATTCCCAGAGGTCTGTCTGGCTGCAGATTGGAGACCCGACAGAAAAGAAAAATTCCCGAAACTTTACTGGGATTCCTTGCTCGCGCGGTTGGCTCGGAAAATTTGCTCCTGTTGGGGTCTGCCTTGCCTGGGCCTGCTGCTCGCTCGCTCGCTCGCTCGCTCTGCCGGATCTACACCGTGCTTTGTGTTACCGCACCTCTGGTTTTCCCGGAGACACGGCCACCCCTCCCTCAGAATCAACTATTAGCTCGCGGCATAATCAATCCCCAAGCTTAGCGTATTTATGTATGTATGTGTGTGTACCTCTGTGCTGCTGTCATCTGTACCATCTACCTCGCCCGGTACAGTACGGAGCATCAGTCCAGTCCCACCCCCCACGCTCGTAAACTCGATTGACGGGCCGTCGGCTGCCTGGCTTGCTTCCTTGCTTGCTCGTCAGACGACTTCAAACGAGCAAGGAAGATGTCGTGCAATACCCCCCCATCGACTGTCCGGGCGCGAACAGCCATCAATACTGGCGGACCGTCTCACCAAATAGTATTACTGCTCGGCTGCGGTGCTGTCGATGAGGCAGTGGCTTTGTACACGTATGCCCAGCACGCAGCCGGACTTGACGTGCTCCACCGGATGGCAATTACCGTTACTTCTCCAATCATTATACTCTCTCTCTCTACCCGGAACTGTAGTTGGCTGCATCCCTTTGGCGCGCGCGCCGCCGCCCATCTGTTTTAATTAGTATGACTGGTTCAGCATCCAGGCCAAGATAAACCGACAGCTGGCCCTACCCACCGCTTCGCTCAGCAATAGGCAGGCATCTGAACCGACGAGTCACGTCGCGCCCTAGCCGAGAGCCAAGCATCGACCCAATCTATTCCCATAGTGAGCTGTTCGTCCCGTCGCGCCGGATCGTGCAGCATTACCAGCGCCAGCGCCAGCTTTCCTTGCCGCCCCTGTGCCGAGGACCCGCTGCCCGCCGTGGGCAGGAAGCGGGCTTTGTGAATGGCGGCAGGGCGACTGGGTGTTGTTTGAGGAGGCGAATTCTCCCAGAATTCATCCCCTGCCAATTGCCCTCCGCCGTCGCCAGAAATTTTGTTGTTGTGAACAGGATATGAATGTGGACGTAGATGTGTGTACCCCCTTGCCGATCAATCGTCGAGCAAGCGTTCGGAGAGTTTTGCCTATGTTGGCTTGTGGTGGTGTGTGCGCACTTTGCACTCATCCCTCTTATTTTGCACATTGCTCGCTCTATCCGTCATCACAGACCGAATCGACCTTCTCAGGCGGAAATGTGTTCCGAGACTTGTGGTAGGAAAGGTAATCAAGTACCCAGATAGATCCCGGCAACACCACTCAGATGAATCGGATACGCGATGACCTGGTGCCAGCGTTTGGCGAAGACCGAAGCGGACAGGATAGGCGGCCAAGGCTATGCTACGCAGATTACGATGAAAAGACCAGAAAAGAAAATGCAGGCGAGACGAAACAGCGGACACGCACGCACGCACGCACGCACGCACGCACGCAGCACCTGGGTCCGGCACGGTCGGGTCGGTGGCGGGCGGGATGGGGTTTCCGGTAAGAGATTGTCATCTGCACTCTCTTCACTCTGCAGAAGATGGAATAATAAATAGGATCCCAACCCAAGTCCGAGCGAGCAAGGGGGCCCGCTCGCTCGCTCGCTCTCGCGTGCGTCCGTACCCGATACCATGGTCTTGAGCCTGGGCCAATTCATCTGTCCCTGAAATTCCCCCCACCCCCAGTGGGAAGAAGGGGAAGGTGGTTGCTTGCTGCATTTTGCCGGATAGGATATGTGTGGGTGTGGGTGTGTGTGTGGGCTGGTGAGTGCTGGCCGGACCGACAAGCACTGATTCAGCCAGGCGAGATACTGATGGCGTGGGAAAAGCCAAGACTTGTTATCGGGAGAACTGGTAGCTTGTTGTGATGCTTGAACTTTCTTGGTTTTGTTCTAGTTGAAATGTGAGTTTTCCTTGACGATCAAATTGAAATCCACTGTGGACGAGCATAAAATAAAGTAATAGAAGGTGAAAGACTCTTGTTCCTGCGATATTTGACCAAAATCAAGCCGCGCGTTTACCAGACAGAGCAATAGTAACAATCGAAGGAGTGAAAATCAGTGTAAATTAAATAAAAGGTTTGTTAAAAGGTTTAATACACTCACTGTTGCGTGTTGGCAATAGCTGCCTAATTACTTTGCTATTAATTAGAGGCCTAGGGGGCAGTCAGCGCACCTTTGATTCAATGGATACCTCCAAGCTCCAAAGACATACCAAAGCAATGATTAGTATTGCTGAGTGACTCCAAAGTTAACCCTACTTCATGAGTGCACCGCGTGGCGATTGTTTGCTGTTTTGGTTTGGCCATTAGATTTCATTCTTTGTTCAGAGACAGCGGATACCGCGGAAGTGTCGTGCGTTGCCGGAAATGACTTAGCCCTCTTGTAACTGCATGCCGCCCACAGGCATCAAGTTGGATGATAGCTAAGCAGGTAGGTAGACAAAGAAACAAATTAGAATGACTTGCAGCAAGAAAAAACTTTAAGTTTCTAGGTCCTCCTTTGTTTTTCTCAGCTTGAGCAATTTTCTTCAACTTCTTTTGATCTCTTCAAGGCAGCAGTTTCTCTCACGTCGCTCCTTCTAGTTCTTTTTCTTTGCCATCTCAGACTTCAGCCCCGGCCGACACTTCTGTTGTTCCGCGTCTTGACTCTGGCCAGGATGAGTGCAGCTAATCCAGGTGAGACGTTCTAGGAGATCTAGTCCTTGACCTACACCAGCTGCAACTAGACAAAGATGGCGCCCAACCGTTGGTTTGACCAACACGGGGTCTACTGGGACGACAAGAGCGACTCTAGTGAGGATGTTTTGGAGCAGTACCACCCGGACGATGACGATTGGGACGAGGAAGAACCGCTGTCTCGACAAGACATCCTCAGGCGGAAGAAACGCAAGGGCGTGACAAAGAAAAAGCTCAACCTAAACGAAGAAGACGAATCTAATTGGAGCGACAATGCTTCTCTTGAGCAGGCAGCCGACGCAACGCGCAAGAGGAAACGAAACGCGGCGGCGCCGACACAAACACGGAAAAAGAGGTCACATCCACTCCCTGCTGAAGCTCTTCCATCTACGTCTCGCAGTCGTTTAAAGAGAAAAAAGGAGGACTCAGCTGCTATTGTGGCGGACCAAGAACCATCGCCATCGGAACAAGCTGGCACATCACCCACAGAACGCCCGCCTGGTGCCGTGACTCAGCCCACCAATCGGCTCGGCGCGACATCACGCCAGCCCAGGAAGAGGAAGAAGGCCAAGCTACAGGTTGAAGCCCCAGCAGATATCCTGGCTACACCGCCGCCGACCACTCGGCCCAGTCGAGCGAGGGCACTGCCAGCTCCCATTCAAGAGGATACCGGCATGCCAGTGATGGAAACCGAGCCTAAGATGACACTCGGCCGCCGCAGAGGCACAAGACTTGGCCCCATCCCGTTGGAATCCGCGGCTCCTAATGCTGAAAATGTCGAAAACATCGTAATCGACGTCATGCCCCCGACGCCCGAACACTCGTCACCCGACGACCTGGAGCCTCCCTACCATCTCAGCCCGCCAGGAGCCCACTACGCCAACTTCAGCCCGCTGCGACCCGCATCTGAAGAGCTCAACAGCCCCACCGTGCCCGAGGTTCCCGAAGAGTTTATCGGGCTAGTCGACTTTAAGAACATGTCGTCCATTCCACAGTCGCTAGACTTCAGCGGCTCGTCCTCCTACCCGTATCCTCTCGACCTGGGGTTCCACTACATCTCGCCCGGGCACGGCCGCAATCCTGGATCGGCTCGCGCCACTGCCGGCGCAACCGTTGCCCCAGTGGACATCAACACGATTCCGCCGGCTACCTTCTCAGATAGCGACTCTCCTCCAGGCCGCAGCAGCCGCAAGCCGATCGACCCAATCCCCTGGACGCTGCTGTACGACATCCCGGTCGGGAACGAGCCGGCTTCGAACGGAGACGCGGGCGCCCCCAAGACGTCGAGGCTCCTGCGATCGACAGACGTCGTGGCGGGGCCGCTGCGCAGTGCGGAACGAACAGGCCACAGGGACTGGGCCCTACGTAAATCGTCCCTTAGCAGAATGACGCTGGCATCCCCGCCAGAGCCGGATCCCCCGCTAGCATTGAACGAATCTGTCTTGGGCGCGAATGACTACATCCCCCTCGAGTCGCCAGTGAGTCTCCGCCGGTCGGCCCGGGGTAGCAAGGCTGGGAAGGGAAAGACGAAGGTACCTGCTGGTGGCCCAGAAGTACGCGGCAAGCGTGCACAAAAAGGAAACAGGGCATCACAAACACCCGGAAAGGAAGAGACCGACAACAGGGTGTCGGCAGTGTCGGCAGAGACTGAAAAGACTCCATTGCGAGTATCAGAACCACCTCAGCCCCCGCAGATGCAATGGGAAAGCATCGCCCCGCGCCCCCGGCCGGAGCCGCGGCAGCACTCGGCGTCAATAGTAGCCGCGGCGTTGTGGAGCAAGGCCATCGACGAGGACACTACTGCCACAAATCCCGAGCCGCCCGCCCCGCGACCTCGCGGGCGGCGGCTGGAAACATCTCCGGAGCGGCCGCGCTGGCCGCCACACCCGGGACACATCTACTGCGAGAGGTGCTTCCGCGACGACTGCGCGCGGTGGCTGCGCATCCAGCACAGCGCGCTGGATGCCGTGGAGACGCTGGGCGGCGATGGCGTGCTGCGGGACCTGCGGGCCATGGGACGGCAGCTCGAGCAGATGTGGCGGGACACGGTGACATTCGCGGCCAGCAGGAGTCATGACGTGGTGGACATCGAGGAGGAGCTGCGCAGGGCGCTCAAGGACTTCGAGTACGAGACCGCGGTGAAGTCCGTTCCTGTTGCTGCTTCTGCTGCTGCCGAGAGAGGCGTGAAAAGAAAGAAGGGGGAAGAGGCAAGGCAGCAGCAGCGGCCGGCCCCGTCGTTGGCAGCGGCGACTGCTGCCGAGGCCGCTGGAGAGAGGGCTCGCATGAACCCAGTGCCCGTGCAGCGATCCCCGGCTGATGTGTTCCGCAACCTACCTGCCGATGTTAAAGGGTTCTTGCTTCTGCGCTATCTGGCGGCGGCACGGCGAGAAGAGAACATCTGGGGCAGAAACGCCGCCCGCCGGGCTGCCGCGGCCACCGTAAAAAAGAGCATCGACGCGCTGCAGCGCCATATCGGCGTGTCGACGCCAGAGCTGAAGCGGCTCGAGGTGCATTTCGGAAGCTTGCTTGGAGAAGCGAGGGCTCGCAGCTACTCCGCACATGACCGGCAGTTGCGAGGACACAGCTGGTGGTCCTTTGACGACACGCTGGTGGTAGCACACCGGCAACTAGAAGCAGCAATGTCGGGGCTTCCGGGACTATCCTCGCCGGCACGCTCGTCACCAGCACGCTCGTCGTCGACTCCATGCTCGACGCGCGTCGAGGCGCGTTCGTCAATGAGCGCGCGCAGCGGCAGCCCCTTCCCACCGGCTTCGTTGGCGTCAGCATTTGATAACACACTGGCGAGTAAAGCGCGCTCGGTCATGATTGGTGCGTTGAACAAGTCGGCAGCTGTTGCGCGTGAAGCGGCTGAGCGCCTGGGAAGAAACATTTGGGGCGTGGACAAAAATGGCGCCGGTCCACGGTCAGCGGGCGTGAACTCGCGAAGCATGTTCAATTACGACCGCACCCACGACGAGCTGGACGGCCTGCGGCGCACGGCGATGGCCGACAAGTCCGGGAGCGCAGTCCTGTTACTGCGTATCGGCGAGGCCATTGCGCATGTCCGCGCGAGGAGGCACGAGCCGCGGGGCGAGGCAGAGTTCTTGGGCAGCGACACCGTGTCTGTCCCAGCAATTTATGAAGAATATTGGAGCGGAGATGTTGATGCCGAGGCCGGCCGTGAAGGCGCCCCTCCCTCTCCACCAGCACGGAAGCGGCGGCGATCAGAGCGATCTACTGCTGCCACGACACGATTCGCTGCAAACGGCGACGCAGACCGTGGCGGCGACGCCCCGGTGCTAGCGTGCGTGAACTGCTCCGAGTCTAGGGCGGTGCACCGGCGAGCAGCACGGCAAACGCAGGTGGCCAGCGACGAGCGCATGCCGTGGATGAAGCCCCTGATGTGGGCATACGGCCTTGACGAAGGGACTGCAGCGCGAATGGCGCCGGAGGATTTGTTCCGTCAGATTGCGCAACGGCCCGGGACACGGACCGTTCAGATTGCGGGTCTCCTTTTCCTGATCGATGTGACGGGCGGCGAGACCCGTGTCGTGCTGGTCGAGATGCGCAGCATCTTTGACGATATCTGGAAGGAGAGAGCCGACAAAGCCGTGCCAAAGCAAGAGAGCCATCACGGCGAGGACGACAACAGCAAAGTTGCGACCCCCCCGTTGCCGATGGGCTTGTGGGAGAAGTGGCAAGATGGAGAGTTGACGGGGTATAGCATGTTGTAAGTTTGGCAAGGTGGCAGTGGTTTCTGGACTCGTGTTGGGTTTGCCATGGAATGGACCGTTTGAAGCACCGGATACCTCACGACATGCAAACTGGATGATGGTTGGTGGTGTTGAGATAATACCCCCACGGCCTCGAATTCTCCTTTTAGATTTTTTGGGGTTCCTTTTGGTGCCTCTTTTACTGGCGTCACAATTTCCTCGGGTTGTCTGTCATCAGCCCCTTTTCATTGCCTTTTGAGTAACGGGCGAGTTTAGTACGTGCGTGCTGAGCTGTAAGAAACAACGACATCAGTCGCGTACCGCATTTAGAACACAACAGAAGCTTCGGGTTGAAGCATTGTCATCTCGGTCGGAGGTTTCCATTTCGGGCCTTCGGCGAATACCAATGTGCAGAAATTAGGCTGGTGAGAAACCTAACTGCAAACGGAAAATGGAAGGCACAGAGGGCAGGTAATTAAGACCAAGACTACGGGTGCAATGTCAAAGGTATTGGCAGGACGCACAAGGACTCTCCGTACACCTGTCTCAGACACTGGGTGACTAGCCTTGAGACTCGTTCACACGGTGCTCAATTGGTCTGGCAATTTGGCATCCGCATTTCGATTGGTAGGGGCAGAAAGGGGCAAGAGTTCAGACAGAAAGAGAAAAAATACATACAACTAGCAGCGGAAACTGGACGGCACCAAATCAATCGTGACTCGGAAAGTCGGAGATGTGCAGAGTTTTTTGTTGCGATTATCTTGAGTTGATCTGCAAATGGGATTGTCTCTTGGTCGATGCAAAAAGTGGGTTTAGCTTCGAGATTCGAGTGCGTGTCCTTGCAAGTCGGGGCCGATTTCTCAAGGGCCATATTTCCAATCGAGAGCAGCGGATAGCCACAGGTGGCAGGCGCTCATGGTTAGCCAGAAGTGACTGGCCCCAAACGCCAAAGGCGCTTGATACTTCATGGGACCACAGTCAAAAATTTCGCTGGATATATAGATATATATCCCGCGATAACTTTATTCTTCCAGGGTTTCGGGATTCTAGGAGTCGGGATGCCACTGCTTCTTCGGCGTAAAGCCCCCAAGTTTAAAAGCCATGCAGAAGAGGCGGGTTGGACAAAGTTCGTCTCGCGAAGCGCGAGATATCTCGTAATGCTAGGTGGAGACTGCAAATTGGAGCTCCAAAGAGCACGAGTGTCACGTCACAAAAGGTCTGGACCCTAGGTGGGCCTTTGATGCAGGTACAAGATCCACCCTAGGGAAGGTGCTGTCTTCCCGGGGGGCAGTCTGGAAGCGTCCGAGTCGGCAAGTCGAATGCGCCTTCCCAGTTTGCCACGGCTACAGACAGAATCTCCGGAACCTTCCAACACCTGCCTAATACCTACATACTTGGGGTCGTCCAATAGCCTCCTGCCTTCTGATACGACTTGAACTCGGGAACTGTCCGATATCCAAACACAAAACACAGGGTTGAAGAGACGTGGAAGGTTCAACGCTTCATCGGAGTCTATGTTTACGGCCTCCTTTTCCGACCACGCAAGGTGTTCCATCAACTCCGCGAACTTCGATAATGGGGAGATCAAGACGTGGTTGTCATATCGATTCTCAGAGACGATGTGCTTGAAGAGGTGGACCTGGCTGATGATGGTGGAGGCGCGACTGAGACCTGGGTCCGGCAATGTGCGAGCCATGTCAACCATATTGAGTTTTGCCGGGCTGTCCTTCCCAACACGGTGACACATGGTTTATGTTCGGTTCTGTCAGGCTGTTCCTTCCCGAACTCGCGTCCTCCTCCTCGCCCAAGATCAGTCCTAAAGTCCTGCACGAAGGGTGCTGCAAGCAACTGGACATGAGTTTCTGATATGCACTGGCTTCTTCTCTCTCCGCACAATCTCCATTCAACATCCCAGTGGGTTTCTTATTCTGCAAGACTGTTTCCCCGTGATGTAATGGCTTCCATGGCATGGTCCTGCAGCGCGGTTCTCCCATCCACGCCTCGCGGGTACCTGCTTCTGGGCCTGTGAATTAGGCTCGGTGGCTGCTGCCGTCAACCCTCGTGCTCCCCTCCTTCTTAAGCCTGCGACCTTGAATCGTAGTTCCTCGCCTTGCCTTTGTACTCTCGCACCCTCTCTTGCTCTGTCTTTTGGCCATCCCGCTCGCTCTATCCTCAACTCTCGTCGCCACTCCTCTAGCCCTTGCCGAGCCCTTGCAGAGATCGATCTTGGCTGGCTTTGCAAACTCTCTGCATTTCCCTTCCTAGCTATCGAAATTTCGCTCTCGAGCTTTTGTCGAGGCTGGTTCCTCAACTACCGACTACGCCCTCCTCGCACTCAACCCAGCCGTTGTTGAAGTTTGGTCGTGGAGGCCATCCAGACGTGACAGCATCCCATTGTCTTGGTCAAACCATCAAAATAGGGGAAAAGGGGACCGGAGAGATGGGGATGGCGTCCGCAATGCCGGCGCTAAACCATCGATGCTTTAGCGCGCGGAACCCGTTGGCGAAGGCCCTTGCGCTTACAGCTTGCATCTTCATCATGTGTGCGCTACTCCTGCGTTCCGATACAATCGATGTCCGGAAAGCCATCGCGAAGTCGGCGGCCTCGGCCAAAGAAGCAATATCTTCCCAGCGGCCGTTGGGGAATTACTACGACGGGGGATTGGGGGCCGACTGGAGCGCACCGGTCGAGCAGGACAGCAGTCAACCGGCCCTTTCTCCCCCTTCGACAACTTCCAATTCATCGCACGACATGACTTGCGACTACGACATGGGACGGCTCAGAAAGTGGCAGGAGAAGTACAAGATGCAAGAGGTGTTCGAATACACGAAGAGATATGTGCAGGTGGAGCGTAAAGACATTCCCAGGAAGTCCATAACGAGGCTAGAGCAAAAGTTCTTGCCCGAGCAGGCCAAGGTGGTGGACATCAACAAGCAATACCAGGCTGAGACATGTCCGGAGCCGTTGGTAGCGCCCGTCCCGCGGTCCCCCTTCCCGGCTACGGCCAAGGCATCCGACTTCATGTTCGGCGTGTCCACCACCTACAAGCGATTCACGGACCCAAAAACAAGTCCGGTCAACGAGTGGACGTACTGGCTGACAGATGGCAATGGCACCTCGAACGGGGGGAAGCTGATCTTGATGCTGCTTGACGCATCTGACGCCGACTTGGAAGATGCCGACGCCCAGCTGCGCAAGGAGGGCATCGACGTGGATGTGTACAAGTCGGATGCAACCTTGGAGATGGCGGTGCGCTACCTGACACTGGTGCCCACGTTGTATAATCACCCCGAGCGAAAGAACAAGAAATGGCTCGTCACCTGCGACGACGACACCTTCTTCCCCTCTTTCCATGCGCTGGCCGAGAGATTCGAGCAGTACAACCACGAGGCGCCCATGTATATCGGCACGCTTTCCGAAGATATCAACAACGTCGCCCGTCACGGAACCCAGGCCTTCGGCGGCGCCGGGGTATTTCTCAGCGTTCCCATGGCCAAGGTGGTGGCGGAAAAGTACGACTCGTGCCGCACGCAGGAAAAGATCCGCCAGTCCAACTCGGGCTGGGGACCGCAGGGAGACATCCTGCTGCGCAAGTGCATCTACGAGAACTCGAACACGAAGCTCACGACGCTGTGGGACCTGTGGCAGATCGATCTGTACGGTGACCCGTCAGGCTTTTACGAGTCGGGCATCAAGCCGCTCTCGCTGCACCACTACCGCGGCGGCGGCTGGCACATCGCACACCCCTGGCACTACACCAAGGTCGCACACGTGTGCGGCGAGGACTGCACTCTGCAGAGGTTCCAGACGGCCGACAACTTCATCATCTCCAACAGCTTCAGCGTGGCCTACTACCCGCGGGGCATCGACTTTGATCTCAACCAGTTCGAGCGCACGTTTAGCCCTGCGCCACAGGATAAGGGCTGGAATCTAGATTATATGCTCGGCCCCCAGCGGGATTCCCTGCATCGGACGGGCCGCAAGATCTCGTGGGACCTGCAGGAAGCGACGCTCAACGACGACGGCACCGTCAGCCAGATCTACGTGCGGAAGCACGACGACTGGCGCTGGAAGATGCCCGACGGCTCCGCCATGAGCACCCTAGACGGTCTTGTTGAGCTCATTTGGTTACCAGAAGGGAAACCGGAGTGACGGGACAGCTATGTTCAGCACGCTTTCCGTTCGAGGTTTTCTGCTATTTCGTCTGAAGCGGCACTATTGATCTTATTTCCCGATCGCCCGTAATGTTGCCAATTGGTACAATCCATTGTGTCTAACTAATCACTGCCAGTTGGCGCTGGTTTGCTTCGCTCTTAGAGGCATGGGTTACTTAGGCGTATTATCGTTTCAATCCCCTTGTATTCACATGACTACCCATCTCGTTTGGTCGCTACACGGCCACTGTCTAACCCCTTTTCTCGACAGTTGCTAACAATGTCGACAACTGTGTGGCGGAAAGAAACTTGGGCGAAGGCAAGAAAGAACCACAGGATTGGGCGCAAATTGGAGGCATATACAAGGCTGTCTGTTTGTATTGTCATTGGTTGTATTACTCCCGGAATTTGGCACCGTCATATGGTAGGTTAGGAACGATCGGGATGGGTTAGTTTAGGACATTGTTCTCTAGAAGTGCTCTGCAGAGCAAGACGACTGCCAGTAGAAGACCTTTCCAACAACGGAGAAAATGCGTGTACAATGACTAGGTGTGGCAAGTCGACCACTACCAAGGTAGCCGCTACTCCGTACGTAGTCACAATATCGTTGGCAAAGGGCAAGTCTGCAAACGGGGCAAGCTTAACAATGTGTTTTGTTCAGAGCTATCGCAATGTCATCGTGTCTCTAATCAATTTCCTACCACTCGATCGAGAGTATTAATGCTATCCTGTCATAGGGGTCTCATCTCCCTCGTCACTGCCGTTGCTCCCGAAACTGTCGAAAACGCCTGCTAATGCCAATCTGCCCTGCTTCTACCAATCTGCCCTGCTTCTACCAATCTGCCCTGCTTCTACTACCCAACATCTCGTTCGTGATCCGGCCAACGCGCTTCCTCAGTGCTGCCCAGTCTTAGAGTCTGGGTTGCCCGGGCGGGGCACCCCATCATCGACATAGGCGGGCGGCAGGTCCCCTCCGTGCATCGGCTCAGAGTATGCCGGAGGCGCGGTATTGAACGGTTCCGCATGGGCTGCCTCGGTGGCGGCTTCGGCGGCCTTGGCGTTGGCTGCCGCGGACGGCGGTGCGGTGTCATGCGTAGCCGAAGGCCCGGCATTGCTGCTGCTGCTGCTGCTGCTGCCGCCGCCGCCGCCGACGTGCAGGTCTCGCATGCCAGCGGTGGCTCCGGAAACCCCGGAAGCTCCCACCACGCCGGGCCCCGTGGCCACGCCAGGACCAACATTCACGCCCGGTGCGTGCTGGCCTGCGTAGCCGGACTGGCCGTGCCAACCCTCGGCGCCCTTCAGCACATCGTATAGGCCTCTCGTGGCGGCGGGCCACGCGCCAGCCGGGCTGCTGGCGGGGATCTCGCCCTTGAGGATGTTAGCGACCGAGACGGGCGCGCCGTAGAAGGCCGCGTTGGCCTCCTTGCGCTCCGTCACCACCGTACCGTCGATCTGGACGCCTGCGTAGAAGCCGCGCGACTTGACGTAGCTGTACACGGGCTTCTTGAGCGCCTCGCGGAACGGGCTCGGCTTGCGGAGCTTGCTCCCCTCGGTCGACCCGGCGGGGCGTGTGGGATCAGAACTTGACACGATCGGTGCGGGAGCTGTGTTTAGGCCTGTCGTGACCTCGGGCTGGGTAGGCGGCTGAGCGAAGACGGTTGGGTTTTCCTTGCTGCTGCTGCCGTCAGCGGTGGCCACGCCGCCGCCCGCTGCGGCTGTCTTGCTCTTCTGCGGGACGCCCCAGTCCAAAGCCCCGCCAGCGCCCCACGGTCCAGCTGTGACAGCCAAGTCCGAGCCCAGGCTCATGCGCGTCGACGTGAAGGCCTCGAGCGCCTCCCGCGAGTTGATCACGACGACGCAGTCGTAGATATCTAGCCCAATGACGAGGCCCGCCCCGATGCTGTGCACCTGGATGCCGCTCGGCGGCGACCAGCTCCCGTCCGGCAGCCGCGCCACGAGGATGCCAGAGCCGCTAGCGCCCGCCACGTGGAACCCCGCGCGCACCGTCGTGAAAATGGCCAGGCCCTGCGCGCGCGCGATCACCTTGGAGGGAATCGTCAGGAGCACGCGCGGCTTCTTGCCCTTGGCCACGTCGCTGCTGGCCTTCTCGGTCGCAGTGGTGGGCGGCGAGGGGTACGAGGTGGTGGGGGGTTCGGTCGGGCCCGTCGTCTGGGCGGGGGGTGTTGGCGGCGCAGCATCGCTGTAGATGCCATCTTCTGTTTGTGGGGGGGAAATGGTTAGCATGGGAAATTCCGTGCATCAGCGACAAACACTGGTCGACGTACTGCAAAAGCTCTTCAATATCCGCGCTGCCTTTTCGGCCTCCTTGTCCAGCGTCGTGGGCAGAAACGCCTCTGCTCCGATTTTGTTGGCCAGGGCGTTGAGCGGGGCGGCTGCTTTGGAGCCCCAGCCGGAAAGCTTGCTGCCCCAGCTTGCCTTGGGGGTGCCAGTACCGCCGTTGCCTGGCGAGGGGAATGGCGGCGGATGCTCGCCGATCGGCGTGGCACCGTAGATATCGTTGGCCTGCGCGGGGTCATACAGAGGGATGTCATATTCGGGGATCGGGGTCTCGTCTGGGTGGTGAGGGACTTGAGGTCGAGGAGGATGAGGAGGGGCCTGCGGAGAGTGGTGCGCTGCTGCGAGAGGCGGGTGCGCTGCTGCTGGAGGCGGCGGACCCGGCGGGGGTGGAAAGAATTGTTCTTGCTGGGCGACAGCCGGATTGACCGGCTGCTTGCTGTTAATGTCGCTCATTATGTGATTGACCTGCTTGATGTGGAAGACTGTCGAGAGAAATGATGATACGGGGGGAAATGGTGTGGGGCGGGAAATAAGGTAGCTGAGGTTCTGGGAAAGATTGCTGCTAAGGTCGGGGTAAGGGAGAGGAGAACAAATGGCGAGAATTGGGCCGGCGGTTGGCCTTTTTTCTTCTTTTCTTGTTTCGGATTTCAGGTCGTCCTACGGGTTTGACATTGATGCCAACGCAAGATTCCGTTTCCTGCACACGCGTCCGTGGCTGCTGTGGACGGTTTGAGTGGCTTAGCCAACTTGGCATCTCTCCGTCGCAGCCGCCATCTGTTGCGAGTGTGTCTGGGGGGGGACCTTCTGCATCATCGCTGATGTCATTTCGTGGCTGAGCTCGATAGCCTGTGGCGACAGTGGCTGCCCCATATTAACACGCCATCTCCAGCTCCACACCCCGCATTCAGTCGGTTTTGGAGCGGATCGCCGACAGTCAGGCCGCCGACGGCCCCAAAAGCCGTGACTCACTGGATTTAACCGTCCATCGCTTGAGGAGCGTCAGGCTTTCTGCACCTTCAATTCGCTGTGTAGCTGGAGGTGCAGTCACAATTACCGAGGGGGCCTTCTATATCGTGTATATAGCTCAGGTCAAGTGTGCTCCCAATAAACCAGATACACAAAAACCAGCGACCATTTTTTACTTCCGTCCAGGTTATTAAACAGAACTTCCTTTTTAGGTACTCTGATAAGCCCGCATCACCCCCACTTGCCACACCCACGCATCATGAATACCCCTCCGCCGACGATTTCGTCTACTCTCAAAATATCGTCAAACTTTTGCAACACCTGTAATGTCTCATTTGATACTGCCGAACTGCGCCGGAGTCATGCCAAAAGCCCTGTGCAGTGAGTTTAACGCGGGTGCATTGGCAGGTTGCGGTTGGACGCCCACTAATGTCCCTTCACAGCGTTGAGAACGTTAGGAGACGCGTCGTTGGGCTAAGCCCCCTTGACCCCACTGCTGCTCAAGAAGTAATCCAGAAGAGCGCTTCAATAAAATTGGACTCTTGTTCAGACGAAGCCGATCTCTCTTCAGACGAATCTGCCGAAGATGATGTCGCTGAAGAGGCTAGCCCCGAATTTGTCGCCGAACAGTGTCTATTCTGCAACGAGGAAGCGGCGGCATTCGACGACAACATGGCCCACATGCGGAAGGCGCATGGACTATTTGTCCCAGATATCGGCCATCTTGCTGTTGACCTGGAGACCCTGATGCAATACCTTCACCTCATAATCTTTTCTTATCACGAGTGTCTTTTTTGTCACTCGCAGCGAAGCACGGCAGAAGCCGCACAGCACCATATGCTGGGCAAACGGCATTGCATAATCGACATTACGTCGGACGACTCTGAATATTTGGACTTTTACGACTTTAGCGATGGAAATGGCGACGGCTCGGGGGAGGAGGGAGAGGGAGAGTCTGCATCGCGAACCTCTAATGTTCAAATTCTTCAGTCTGACGACGGTTCGACCCGTTTGCCTTCGGGCAGAATCATCACCAACCGATCCACTGCAAGCGCTTCACAACACCGCCAGAAGTCGTCTCGAGTGAATGCGCAACAGAATTCTGCTCAATTAACTTCGGCTCCCCTGCCGGAGGCGCAAAAGCAAGAGTCCAAGTCGGATTCCGACGCAGCTGCCCCTTCGGGTCAGCTTACAAAGAATCAAAAGCGCGACCTCGCCCTGGTCAAGGGCTTGGGGGCGCTCAGTCTGTCTGACCAGACCATGATGAGTCGGTTCTCGGCACCAGAGCAGCGATCCATAATTGCCGCGAAGAAGCGAGAGACGGCCACGGCGCGGCGTGCCCAGACACGGTACCTGAGGCGGGTTGAGATGCTTGGGAACCAGACGCTCATGAAGCACTTCAAGAATGATGTTCCCGGGCCCAGGAATGGTTAGTCTGTGGTTACTCGGGGACCGCCGGTATAGAAACAATCCCCGTGCAATACCCTGGAAGTATGTATATCTTTCATTGGAGGAGTACGTGAAACCGAAACTGTGATGCCTGCTTTCGCGAATCGCTGTTGGAAAGTGATTAATCGACACAACGGTAACTAGGAGTTCAATAGAACCTAACCACAACCGCAACTAGTAGGACTCGAAGCGAGGACTGAAACGATCAAATAACCCCGAATCCTCTGAACAGAGAGCGCTTCTCTATCAGCCACTACACATGAGCCAGATAATAAACTATTCCGAGGCCCTCGTCTTCAGCATTGTCTATACCATCTGGCCGTTTCGTTATTCTATTCTGTTTCCATTCTCGTGCTCCTGATCACTTTCCTTACCTGTCTCTTCGCAGTTGCTCTGAGGCCCAGGGCTGCGCATCGTTTAGGGTTTCGAAATGTAAAGCGCTTTGATCAAATTCTCTCTGGGATTATGGACAGTCAGGAAAAACCAGACCATGCCGTGTTGTTACCCGTATGTGCCAAAGTTACGATGTGAGCTATGAAAGTTGGTACTCGGCATCTTTTGGCCCTAGATCCAACTTCTCAGAACCGGAATTGTATGTCTTATTGGGCGCGAACCCGGCCTAGTTGTCGTGTTATTTGGCCCATCTTGCCAGAAATCGCAGGCTTAACATCCGATCTATCATATCGGACGAATAATTACACGCATTGTTTCTTATTCTGGCAATTCCGCCAGATATTCTCGTTCCAACTGCAGCCTGGTTTTCCCAGCAGGCACAGCCATCATCATGTCTAACCCGCAAACGGCTCAATTAGGCACAACCTACATTCATCCATGGGCCGCTCTCTTCGATGAGCAAGTTTTCCCACCAATCGCGGAGATCATATGGGTAAGCGCTGGCAGCACCACGGGAGTCTCCTTTTCTTGGCCTGCACAGTGGTTCTAGAACAAAGCTCTAGAAAACCCAGGTGATTGGTAATTGCCTTACCCACAACGCTGTGATGGTGTCGCGGCATAGGTTATGCGTCCTGCGTCCTGCGTTTCCCGTTTCATGCACGACCGGCTGGCGAACGTCAAAGGGGATGTCAGACGGGAAAAAAATACCCGGTTTTGCTCGCTCGGCTAAAAGGGACGAAGGTGTAACCGATACCAAGATCGCCATATATGGTGGTTCGGGATTTTTGCAGTATTACCTTCTGGCCACGGCATTGATGGGCGCGATCGGCGCTGTAGGTTGCTGTTTTTTGCTCGACGGGCATTTTTGCAACACCCACATAGGAGAAAACTATCAAACTGTCAGAGTGCGTACCGACCCGGCGCACCGGGATGAGCGAAGTGACTCTGAAATAGAGACAGATGTCAGTATATTACTGTCGCATCCGGAGGGTTTGGCTCCCCCTGGCTAGTGCCAAACGTCGCGCGACTCGCCTATCGCTCGCTTGTCGCTTGTTCGGGACGGAAGGTGCCTAAATACAAGTAGTGAAACAAAGTGACAGCTGTCAAAGTTGTTTGTAGCCGCATTCGCTAAATTAGAGCCCGACGTCATTTGCACTTTGAGGCCAGCCAATCTATCACTTTCACTCGCGAGGGTCCAAGACATCGAAGGGTTGAAGCCACTTTTTTGAGTCTCAAGCTCCCAGCAAGACCAGCGCAGCAGCCACCCATGACATGATCATGTCTAGTAAGTAAGTTTCTTGTTACCCTGTCTCGTATTTTCTTGCAGCAGATTTGGGAGCTCGCAGATTTGGCGGCGATGTGCGGACTTTTGCCGACCACGAGTCGGGGCCTGCAAATGCCCGAGAGACGAGACAGAACCTGGAGCTGCGCCAAATTGGCACGAGACTGGACATTCAGGCACCCGTCTTCTTTCCGCTAACCGACGTTGGAGTTTTCAGATTGAATCCGCGTGGCCAAGTTGCGTGGCCTTCTCCAGTCCAGACGTTCGACATCCTGGGTTCGTTCCTGAACGGGCGAGCAATCAACGGCCATTGGCGGCCAGATCCATGACTATACGAGGCAGAAGTCGGCAACACTTGTTCCAAGCGACAATGACAGGGCGCAGCCGATGGAAGAGAAATTGGGCTCAAGCGGTGAACACGAGGTGTTGAGACGCACACCTTGGCGGCCTTCCTCTTTGATTCTCGCATTCAGACCCGAGTATGCCGTGGCTGGGGCCCAGAACCCATATCACACGCAGCTATTGACCGGTTACCGGGCTCCGCGCAGAAGCTAAACCGTTCGAGAAGGGAATGTCATGCCACCTAGCGGCGCGTCGCGAGATTGTGTGCGGCGCGGCGTGGAGTCATGGGGGTTTGGAAGGAAGGGCGAAAATTAATTGACACCGAAATGATGGCAAGAGGGCGGCCCCCAGGGCCCAGGAGAGAGTCATCAATCCGTCCGCGCATCGACGGACGGATTGTTCGCCCCGGCATCCCGCCGCACGTGGCAGGCAGGTGTTTTGCGGGTGCGTGTTCTGGAATACCGAAGCAGAGGGGATGGTGAGAAGTTAAGCCGGTGAAGTGGCAGCGGCGCAGTCGGTGTCACCGTGCCAGCGTTGCACTCCTACCTTGAGCTTTTACTCGCCGGCTGACAGCGTCGCAAGCGAAGATTACTGGCCACTGTGGCCAGGGAGGGCTCCGCGCTGATGGCAGGTAGGTAATTAGGTAACCAGCAACTGACGGGATTCGCACTCGCTACGAGCCGGGCGGTCAAATCTTCGGCCGGGATGGACTTGATTCTGATGGCTTGACCCATTGCTGGGGTCTCGGAGGCCGCGGAAGAGAAGTCACGAACGCCTTGCCAGGTCTGACCGTTGGATAATCGGCACATGGGGCCGAATCGAACTATTGAATTTGAGTAGGTATGCAGCACACCCTTTCTTGCAAGTTGCAACTGGGGGGCCCAGCCTGTCCCACCCCCTCATTCGAGTAAGGTGGGGCACACCTTTGATTTTGAAGTCGTGCATTTTGAGTGAAGCTATTCAACATTGTTTGGATAGTTGCAGGTGGTGGGGGTTCGCTACATCCATGCTCACCGACTAACGCCACACTCTACTCACCGAGCTGACTACCTAGGTAGTTAGGTAGACTCTAGAACTAGTCAAGTCTAGCAGTCTGAATCTGCACCCTCTTCGGCATCACTTCCCGTCTTCCCGTCACCCGCAATCTGTGCTCTTTCAGCCCAACGTAAACCAGAAGCCAATTTGGCTCCGCATCCCCGAAGCCTGTCTATCGAGTCGGGGATTACTCTGCCGCAGCCACTAGGCCTAGAGTCTATTGCTCTCGTCTGCGCTGCTATTTTTTGTCTGATATGTCCCGCTTGTCGCTTAACTAATTATATCAAGATCCTGTCGAGTCGATTGCCTAGTTCAGGGTCCTGCATGATTAGTCCCAAGGACATGACCCCACGTATGGTCCCCGAAATAGGGGCTACCGGGCGCGTCTCACTAGCTTACTTACTCCATGATTCGGCTCGATCTGTCGTGATAGGTAAGATAGTAAAAGCCGCACCCCGTAGGTAAGCGACTCGACCCGCCCACTCTCCGCTTTACGCTCCTGCTGCCAAAGGCGGTTTTTAGTGCATCCTTGCTGCCACGCGCGAGGCGAATAGCGTGATCTGTACCGGCCAATACTTTTGCTTGGCGCCAGATGGATAAGGCTCCTCCCGTGGCTATACTTACATTACCCCTTCCAGACCCTTGGCTGGATTGCTTGCTTGCTTCCCCTCACGAGCTGAGATAAGAAGAGCATGGAAAATTTGGTGTACGAAATACGAGTATCGTCGGACCTAGACCCCGGTTTGCAGCCGCCTGCAAGCCACAGCTTGTTTCTTTATCTCTCCCCATGACGCCATCAACGACTCCCTGATCCCGATACGGGCGAGAAGGACATACCCCTGAGCAATGGGCGTGCGCATGCGAGCCCCTTTGTACGCTGTTACGTTGTACAGCACGTTCCCCTGAACATAGCCCGTCCCAGCTCTTACGAGCGGCCCGTCTCCAAGCTCAGCCGCTCTTCCCGTCCCCCGCTCTCTCCACTTCACACAAAGTCGATGCAGCTGTCTGCCGATCTTTCCCACATTTGGAGTCAGAGGTGTATCCAAAAGTCAATAAACACGTGGGTCGCGTACAACGAGGCAAACCTGAAGACGGTAACTTCGTTTTTAGCATGCTCTGCCGAGGGGCACGCTACAACCCTTTGCCGCCAGGAAATAGAAAGATGTAGGTGACGAGAAAACAAGATGTGGGGGGCGTTGACACCAGCTACATTCTTTATCAGTCTATCTCTTCTCCTCTTCTCCTCTGAAACAGTACACATACACCGGACCAAAGGCCGAACGCAGCAGGAACCCTGAATCGGGTGGCCGTGAATATCGTCCATAAATACGCAATTTGCAACCTTACAAGAACCGCACGAGCAGCACACCTGTCTTGGGCCACCAGGTTCAGTGCGGAAGATGCATGCAGGGACGGGTTGAGACTTGAAAATCTGGCACCTGTCGGATCTCGGATCCCAGGAAGGACGCTGAGAAAGATCATCGTAAGTCCGACTGCCAACTCTATTGGGTAGTGCGGCATCATGGGACGCATCGGTCACTGAGTTAACATATTATGTATCCAAGAGTCTTGGAAAGGCCGGCCGGCTACGGGATAGTACGATGCTCACCTGGCCCGGATGGCTCGGGAAGAGACACACAGCAAGCGAGTTGGCCGCATTGGGTGGCATCGCGCTGAGATAGTGATCTGGAACAGTGTTGCAGCTACGAGGACTAACAGTGGCCGAGAAAAGAAATAATGGACAGGTGACAATGCCTCTTCTGGAAGAACGAGGATATTTCAGAACTTCATGTTTCAGTCGTAATTACAACACTGCGGTGTTGTAGTTAATGGGGGATAGGCACGACGGGACCGCGGGTTCACAATGTCCCGCTCGCGGCCCCATTGTACCAGGAGGAAGACCTGATAGTCTTAGTATAGAGGTCGTAGAGAAGGAACGGTCACACGTGTGCCACCACCTGCTGCTTGCAGCCTGCCTGCCACTGTGGCCCGTGGCTCCCCACAATCCGGGCAGCAAGGCAGAGGAAGATGCCGAGCCGTGCCTGGCGGTCACCGCACAGTAACTACAGAGACATACTCTCAGAGCCCTTGCTGAGAATAGCCGTCTAGAAGGTAAGCGCATCGGTTGCGTCTTGTGTGCATGTTCCGTGCTGCACGCCCGGCCGCGGTGTATGTGGCTACTGCGCGCCAAGTTGCCAACCAAAGATGCCGGGTTGCTGGTGCCGGCCAGTGCATCTGTCTGCTGCCTCGACTGTGAAGACGAAGAAAGAAGTCAAGGGGCAATAAGGGGCTTGCATTGAGAGCGCTATCTCCCAAAGCATCATGAAAACGAGCCAGCAGATTTATGTACTGGTTATTATATTTCTACGCCTGCATGCAATTATTCGTGAAACAACGGGCATGAAAGAAAGCCTAATCTATGTTTCGTGGGGGAATAAACATTCATGGCAGGGTATCCATCCGTAGGGAAGGTAAAACTCCCCGCTTTTTTATCTCGTGTCGTCCCGTCTTTCTCCAACCCAATCCCATGCCGGACGATTGGGCTAGCCACCCACAGTAGCGTTTAATTTCGCTCTCTCCAAGACGGCATCTCCTTAGCTAATGCCCCATCTGCCGTGTCTTGCCCGGCCCAGAAAAGCTTGGTTCCTGGCCCCTCATTGGGCAGGCAAGCGGACGGTCCAATAGACTGTCGATAATTATAAATTTAGAAGCGGCTCGGGACCGACTTTCTTCTGGAAGCGAGTCCGCAAAACCTCCTGTTATTTCCCTCAAGCTCTTGTCGCATTCGCCAGGCTCCCGTTTGTTCGCCGCCAGGCTGTGGTCCAAAAAAATGATCCTGGTTTTTCGTTGGAATCAGTTCCCCGGGGAGTTGAGGCCATAGTCGGGGCAATATGGTTCTTCAGGGTCGGCGGGGTGTGCGCGCCCCCCAGCCCAATCACCTACCTATGCATGGGGGACGAGGTGCGAAAAAGACCCGACACGGCCAGACTTGACAGGGCGGTCTAACGGGTTTTCCAGGGCCTTCCCATCCACGGATGTCAGAAGAGTAAGCCCGATGGGTGCCAAATGGCGGGGTGAAAGACCGCCTGCAGCGCCCTCCACACCGAAGCGCCAACAACCTACAGCACCCACAGCGCCCCCATCACCAACGACATCGAGTGCCCTGGAGGCACGGTCGACAGGGAGGAGACAGGCCCTACCTTAAACGGGACGAGGAAATTTGCAAACAAAGGTAGAAACAAGACGCCACCAACAAAACGCCGTTTTTGCTCCATGTTTTTTGGGTTTATTTCGCCGACATGGCCAAAGGTGCATCCCGATCTGGTTCGCAGTATGACCAAGCCTCACCGGTTCGGATGATGCTAGGCAAGATTAAGAGAGGAACAATCCTGAGCTGAGATTTGCGCCGAACCTAGCTTGCAATCGCTTGCGAATGGAATAAGCATCAAGCCACCATACGGCGGTGGGGTGGCACGAGACCCGTGGGAACGCGGGTGGCTGCAGGCGTTTCTTTTTCAGCGCGCCTGCTCTTCCGCTGCCTCTACGGCCATACACGCGTTTTCCCCCTCCCACTCCCGGGCCGGAGCGAGGACCTGTCGCCCATCAGCCTCCCGACGCACTAGGCCTCAGCGAGTTAGGGTGTTGCACTGGCCGGCCGGTTATTATTAAATTTTTGGTTTCCCGACCACAGGGCAAGCAATCCCCGCGGGACGGAGTACATTGCCTCCTTTCCTCTCGGGATTTTGTTGCTATTTTTTGGTGCCCATTTTTTTTTGGCTGCATCCTGCCCTTCTCATTCCGCGCTTTGAAGCAGCAAGGCAAAGACAACCAAGACCAGTAGCCTGGAAATGACGGCTTCTCGTCCACCTGACTCCCGCGTCCCGTCTCCCGCCCACGATACCTGTCGCACGAGTCGCAGCCGAGGTGGACCCGCTTCCCTGCTCCCCCCGAGAGCGCCGCCGACCACGACACCACTTGGCCGGTTTATGGTGGGTGCCTCACCGCGGCGCGGTCGCCCTGTGCCTCGGGAGGGTTGCGGTGGAAAGTCAAGTCATGGTCATGGATGGGTCATACGTTGTCTTCCCGCGGAAGCACTCTGTTCCATTGTGCCCCCTAGTTTTGAGCTGTCGCCAAGCACCAGCGCAGCCAATGAGTGCCTGTCCCAAACGACTTCGCAGTCGAGCGGCAAGCCAATTTGCAAAACGATATCGGTAGGGCAGAATGCACTCTCCAAGTGAAAGTCAAATCCCGAGATTTGGCACCTGAAACGCGACATCTTATCAGCGCTCCTCTTGCTCAGCTCAGCTACAGCGCCTCTTCCCTCAGCCCGTGGGCCGGGTTTTCTTTCCCGTTTCCAATTTAATCCCCTTCCCCCTTTTCTTTCCCTATTGCCTTCACGATAGGGACGGATTACGCTGGCCCCTTCGATGAGGTCGGACTTCGGGGGCGCTTGGCAGATGGACGGGATGACACTTCCCCACACACGCTACGACACTGAGGCGCGGCTGGTGCGCTTGGGGCAGGGTCTTGATGGCTCTGGCGATCCGCGATCCTGTTTAGCGATCCCAACTTTCCCGAGTTCCTCCACTTTGCTTTTGTTCCTTCCTCGCTGCCGCCAGCTGCCCGGAATACTTTGGTCTCCTCCATCTCTTAGCTCGTGTTCCCGGTAAGATATGTCGCAAGTTGGGCAAGTACGAGTGAGGGGCCTGGTGCCGCCAAGCCTGACCTACCTCCACTGGGCGCTGTTCCGACCAAGGAAGGACCTGCCTGCCCTGAGGAGTGACCTCAGCCCGAACCGTGCCTTCCTCGACCAACACCTGCCATGAATGTCACCAATGCCACACTCGAATCTCTCGGGCGCTCCTGCCGGCTGCCATCATACTGGCTGCACCAAGAAACTCGAGTGTCAAGCCTTACCAATTCTCGTATCGCAAACACCTTCTCCCTTGGAAGACAAGTCCCGAGCTTATGTCAGCCCCTGCCCAGGTCAGATGCGACGGCCCTTCTTCCTTCGCACCAGCGATTGCCCGATGCGGCCGTGTCCAGGACAGAACAGCTCAGCAGCGAACCAAACATTCACTGCACCGTGCTGTAGCCCGAAAAACGGGCACTGTAGCACCAGGCAGCAAGGACTGCATTTCTTTCCCGTCTTGCCCTGCCTGCCTTCCATTGCCCTGCCATGCCCTGTTGGACGGCACCGCCAGCGAAGGAACCTACGGTATGGTCAGTGCTGCCGCTTGTGCTTTCCTGGTCTAGTTTTGGTGGTGCTGCTGCTGCTGGCTGCCGGTGCTAGGCACCTCACGGCGCTCCCCTGCCAAGGACGTGCCGTCCAGTCACGAGATCGTGGCCCATCAGGTCCCATCTGCTGCCCTCCATGCACCCGACCTCATCCCGCACCGCACCGCATCGCACCGCGCCTCACCTCACCCCACTTCTGCAACGACACCTACCTTACATTACCTTAAGGCAGGTAGGTACCTGTGCAGTGCTCCGCGTTGAGGCGGTCCCCCCCCCCCAGACGCGCCTGTGGCCTTCCTATATCCATCCCTCTGCAGTGCCAGGTTGCACACGAAAGACGGACAGAGACAGGAAACCCCCTGGGAGCTGGAACCGCGCACGACCTCGCTGCACCAGGCACGCAGCGCAGCGCAGCGCAGCCAGTGCTGTTACCGCGTATCCATACCTCTGCCAGCCAAGCCAATACTCTGCTGCACACTGCAGCATCGCTTATTAGAGCTACCTGAGTCCTGTCTTCAGTCGATGGATGTTAGGTGATGGTCGTCTCCTGGTTGTCCTCTAGGTACCTTACTCCGTAGCTGTGCTGCGCTGCGCTGCGCTGCTGCGTAAGGTAATGGCCGTCCGTGGTGGGAGCGAGCTACCAGTGACGATGCAAAGCTCAGGGACCCGTCATCTCCATGTCCGTGCTACTATCGCATCTCAGTCTCGCTTTTCCCCCTTCTCGAACGCCATGCAGCTCATATGCAGCAACATCACCACACTATCGATTTCGGCTACAGCTATCCGCGCCGGCACGCCCCAACATCGCCTACCTCTCGCCGCCCTCGTGTCTCTCAGACCTCGAGCACGACGCCCACTTCTTCGGCTCTCCGGCGGCACCCGAGTGCTATGCCCGATCGGGATATCAGTTCATCGAGTGTGCAAGGCGGACCATGCTCTCAGCCAAGCAACACACCTGTTCATGCTGACGGCGTCTCGACGGGAAGCTCGATCCCCGAGGGCGTCTACACACCCGCGGAGCCTCCGCTCCTTGCCTCTTGAATTCTGAAATCACGAAGTGGACTAGCGTCCCCCCTCTACACCCTCATTCCCGTTTCGACCCCCCTTGGTGGTGCCGGAAGCCATGGATGCAAGAGCATCACCGGTCACGCCCGGCAGCTGTCTGCCCACGGAGAGTGGTTCCATCAGTCGAGACTATCGATTCCTCGAGCACTCAAGCCCCTCTCGGTCTACATGACCGGCCGTACCGAATCCATCACGCAAGTGCGTACCGTACCCTACTCACCGCTGCCATTCTTCACCCACTTGGTCTAGACCAGGGTAGCACTTCCAATTTCCCAGACAGCCTTCCCTTGGGGCTCATGGCTGCAGGGATCATTAACCTTCATCGGGACTCTCCCTAGTTCACTCAACCATGTCGACGAGTGTCAGACGAGATTCTCTATAAAGAGATCGACCATCCGGTCTTCATCGTCTTCATATCTTCATCCCACAGCAGGACATCTGGCAAGGTCGTCCCCCACCACCGGCATAGTTAGTTTTTATTCTTCTTCTCTTCGTTCAATCCCGCTGCCATTCGTTATGAAGTCCATCATCGGCGCGGCCGCCCTCCTCCTGGGCCTCCTTGCCCCGAGCGCTGTCCTCGGCGCCCCTCCCGTGACACCAATCCAGAGGGATCTACTCACGCCCATCGAGGAGAGAGATGAGTCGGGTGTAGACACGCTCCGCCATCGCGCGTCGACGTGCAACACGCCCAGCAACCGCGCGTGCTGGTCTCCGGGTTTCGACATCAACACCGACTATGAGGTGTCCACGCCGACCACCGGCGTCACTCGTCAGGTACGTGCTTGCTTGCCAAGAATCAAAATCAAACAAGCGCTGACCCCGGCTAGTACACGCTCACCTTCACTGAGGTGACCAACTGGGTGGGCCCAGATGGCGTCGTCGAGCCTATTCGTATGCTTGTAAATGGTTAGTTTGATTTCCACCTGCCTGTCGTGATGTGATTGGAGCATACTAACTGTTTCCCCTTTAGGAAAAATTCTCGGTACGTCCCTGCACCGGCCTATTACCCCGTCAGCCCTGCCACCACGGTCTGCTCTCGGAGACTAACCCGGCCAATTAGGACCTACCATCGTCGCCGATTGGGGTGACAACATACAGGTCACTGTAATTAACAATCTGGTGACCAACGGGTAAGCAGCCTTTGTGTGCGAGTTATACATACGTCCTGGATAGTGTGCCATACTAACAGCAACAGCACGTCGGTCCACTGGCACGGTCTCCATCAGCGGACCTCAGTACTTCATGACGGCGCCAACGGCGTCACTGAGTGCCCCCTCCCGCCCAAGGGAGGGTCGAAGGTGTACAAGTTCCGGGCAACGCAGTACGGCTCGTCGTGGTACCACAGCCATTTCTCAGCGCAGTACGCCAACGGTGTCGTGGGAACGATCTTGATCAACGGGCCGGCGTCGCTGCCCTACGACATCGACCTCGGCGTGTTCCCGCTGAGCGACTATTACTACCAGTCGGCCGACGACCTTGTCATCCAGACAAAGACGCAGGGTGCGCCTCCCAGCAGCAACGTCCTCTTCAACGGCACCGCCAAGCACCCCGTCACCGGCGCCGGCAGCTACGCCAACGTGACGCTGACCCCGGGCAAGCGCCACCGCCTTCGCCTCATCAACACGTCAGCCGAAAACCACTTCCAGGTCTCGCTTGTTGGCCACAGCATGACTGTTATCGCAACGGACCTCGTGCCCGTCAACGCTTTCACCACCAACAGCCTGCTCCTGGGCGTGGGCCAGCGCTACGACGTCACCATTGACGCCTCGCAGACGCCTGGCAACTACTGGTTCAACGTGACTTTTGGCGGCTCCGGCTTCTGTGGCACCTCGGCTAACCCGTTTCCCGCCGCCATCTTCCACTATGCTGGCGCACCCGGCGGCCTGCCTACGGCTCAGGGCACCGCGACCGACCATAATTGCCTTGACAACCTCAACTTCAGGCCCGTCGTCCAGCGCAATGTTGTCGTTAGCAACTTCACCAAACGCCCTGCCAATACGCTGCCCGTCACCCTCGAGGGTCCCCCCGGCCAGCCCCTGTTCGTCTGGAAGGTCAACGGCAGCTCCATCAACGTCGATTGGAACAAGCCTGTCGCCGAATATGTCCTAACCGGCAACACGAGCTATCCCACGAGCGAGAACTTGGTTATTCTTGATCAGGCTAATGTGGTATGTGTGCTCGCGAATGAATGCATAATGTCCCCCGCTAACACATCGCAGTGGACCTACTGGTTGATCGAGAACGACCCAGATGGCGCCTTCAGTCTGCCGCATCCCTTCCATCTCCACGTAAGCCGATGCCCAGTCTCTCGGCTTCTTCCTTCCCCCTACTGACAAATACAGGGCCACGACTTTCTTGTTCTCGGCCGCTCGCCCGACGTGACCCCGGCCTCGCAGACGCGCTTCCATTTCAGCCAATCCGACGTGGCCAGCCTCAACGGCAGCAACCCCGTGCGCCGCGACGTAGCTATGCTCCCCGCTGGCGGCTGGCTGCTGATCGCCTTCCACACCAACAACCCCGGCGCCTGGCTCATGCACTGCCACATCGCCTGGCACGTGTCGGGCGGCCTGTCGGTCGACTTTTTGGAGCGTCGCGCTGACTTCAGGTCGCAAACGTCGGCCGCCGATGCCGCGGCCTTCAACACCAACTGCAACAACTGGCGCAACTACTTCCCTGCGCAGGACCCATTCCCCAAGATCGATTCGGGGCTGCGCAAGGCCAAGTACATGCGGGAGTGATCTTCTTTTTGGACATAATGATTTTTAATGTTTGTTATTTAAATTTAAATTTTCTTGTCAGTCTTTTCCGGTCTGCCCATGTTACCTTATCATGCTTTGATGGCTGCTGTCTGTGGGACGAAATATGGAGACGGCTGTGCGTCAGATCTCTGCTCAAAATTTATCGGAGGAAACGGTTTCGTTTGTACAAGTATAAACATTAGGTGCCTGTCTGTCTGTTGAACTGTAACTAGTGAAACGGAACACTTGGAGTGGGAAATACACAAAAGGCCCAGTTTGGCAGTCAAAATTGATACACACAAGCTCTCCAGTTCACGTTCATTCCGCTGCCATCGAGTACCCGCAACAGGTTTCGTGTCAGGATATTTATTCCATCTAGGTTAGTACCTAGATAATTTGTCACGTATTACACGTAGTACCTCTTATGAAGTCGGCACAAGCGAGCCTCAGTGGAGTTTGAGAATCGCATTCTAACAGCCAGCTCGAGAAGTAAAGTTCTCACAGAGAAACCTACTTTTCGCTCCACACATCCGAACTTTGAAGTACTCAGGCGTGATTTAGGGATGACTTTGCCAAGAGCTAAATTCGTCCCCCTGAGTACAAATAATAAGAGCAAGAACGCTGCAATTAACCCAAAACTTCCTCCACCACTCAACCACAGTTATTCACGATATCAGCCACATATACACGACGCGGCCAACTGACAAAGTCATTCATCCATCGCCAACGATTCAAACGAAGACCACCGCAAGTTATATCGTGAAGCTCACTCGTGCCTCTAAAAAGGGAAAGGCTGGTAATTCCTCCAATCCATCGCAACGGCTAGTCTAGACGAAGCTCACCACAAGCCAGGCCACGCGAACTTAAGAGGGAACAGAGTGTGGGATGTCTATAATTCCCTTTTCGGTAACAAACCCACCTTCTATTATCTACTGTCTCAAATCCCCGCTTATTAGGGGGGGCGGCCGAGAATAAAAGTGGCAAAGCGGGTACTTCATCTCCAATTATGAGATTGTGGGGTGGTCGTTTTCGTAAGTGGCTCTTAAGTGGCCGCGAGAGAAGCGCAAAGTGATGGGAAAACAGCTAGATTGAAGGCGTGGGCTAATACGGACTCGTTAGTACTGTTCAATAACATCAAAATGAGAAAGAGATAGATGATTATTTTTCAACGACACGACCACAACTCAGATCGTGCAGGTTATCATCCCTCTTTTCCGTACCCACCAACCTTAGTCAGTATCTTGTGTTTCCCCATTATTCCCTAAATATTCATCGTAATATTCTAAGCGTCTTCACCCCCATACTCTAAAAGTGGATACCCTTGCTCTACACGTGTATCCCTATGCTCTGGAGGTGTAAAGAGCCATTGCCGCCTCTGCTCTTCCTGTCGGATCTACTCTTCCTGCTGCTTCCGTAATGGCTTTGCCTGCCGTATCTGCTCTGCCCCTTCCTTGGACGTTGCCACATCTCTCTGCAGGCTTTCAACAAGGTCGAAAACCCTCTTGACTCTGGCAGCCGTGCCCTGAAGCTCCCCAAGGACGGTTTCGCGAACCGCGGCAATGCGTTTGTCCATCTCGTTGACCATCGTCTTGAGCTCGTTCTGGACCACGTCTTCAAGTCGTTCCGACCTTTCTGCCAGAAGCTTGATCGACCTTTGGTGCTCATCGATGCTAGCTGACGTGCGCTCGAGTTTCCGAGCCACGGTCCCTTTGTCGGCAATGGCGGCTTCCTCGATCTCGTTGATCCTCTTGACCATGTCGTTCCCGGCTGGCTGCTGTTTCTCACTCGCCAGGGTACTGAACATCTCGTAAAGCTCTTCAATCATGCTCCTTTTCGCATCATCGAGCTCCCGAGGCATTTCGGTTTTGGCTCTCTGTGAGTTCCTTTCGACCTCTGCAGAATTTTCAATAATTTTCTGTTGTATCCTAGACAGTATTGTTTCCTGGTTTTTGTTGGCTGCCTCTAGGTCATCAATCTTCCTCGTCATATCTGCAATTGATGTTGGCAGATGCGCCTGTTCGTCAGTCCTGGACTCCAAAGCATTGAAGCGGCTAGCTAGGGTATACGCCTCAAAATCACTGATCGCCGGCAATGTCATTCCTGATGAATATGCGCTGTCTCGTCCCCAGTCCAGGCCTGTCACCTTGCACTCTCCTTCGAGCGTGTCGAGTGCCGGCTCCTTGAGCAGCAGATTGCCGGATGTGGTAAAGCAGACGAAATTGCAGCCCGGGATATTTTCTAGGTGATCCCAGATGAGGACGGGGAGAGATATTATAACCACAGTCGACAGGCCACGGTAGACGCCCTCGACACGAATCTCTTTCGTGTGTAAGGGGAACGCGGATAGCCATCTCCTGCAAGCAACGGCGTCGTCAAGTCGGAGATCTTCGGTCAAGATGAGGCTCAGGATTACGCGCGGCGACACAACTGGTTGCGAATCGACCGTGGGCTGCTGTTCGTGGATTACAACCACGTCGCTGTCCTCGGTTGCCAGGGAAGACACGACGACACTCGGCGGGCATCGGTCGTTTGATCGGATGTAGTGAACGGGCGTCCTCCTCCACTCAAAGGACGAGCCGTCGGACGAAATTTGCTCGGGCGGCATTTCTTTCAGGGCAACGAGCAGCTCGTTGTGCAAGCGAACGACGGAGAACTGGGTGCGGCACCATTTTCGCAGGACCCGGGTCAGAGCGTTTGTGAACGAGTGCGGCCCGGGAGGGGGCGCAACAGACTCGAAGCCCGAGGCTGCTATAGTCTCGGAAAATCCCTTGAGGGGCCTCGAGGCCGAGCCGGCCGCACAGCAGCAGTCGAGCAGGAAAAGGGTATCAGATACCGCCTCGTGCAGGATGTCCTCACAGCCGTTCCACTTGAGCTCGGCAAAACGCTCGTTTTTGACGTCCCGGAGGCTTCGATTTGTTAGCATACGCCCTATAGAGGCTAATGAAGGCCACACTCACTTGCGCCACACGACCTGCCTCCCCTCGTCAATCACGCCGTGGCCAGCGTAGTACAGGATGAAGAGGTTGTGCTCGCTGTCATGGTCGTCAACCCAATTAGAGATGGTCTGGGTCAGCTTGCGAATGGGCCGCTCGACGGGGATGCGGCACTGCTGGACCTGGAACCCGTAATCGCGGTCCAGAACCTGGGCCAAGGCTTCGACTTCGCCGCCCACGCCAAGGTCTTCGTATTCCCACTGGAGCAGCAGCACGTTCACGGTTCGATAGCGGCAGACTGTGGAGTTGGAAAGAGATGACCGGCTGGCAGCCTGAGAATATAGTCAAAATCGGATCAAAGAGAGAAATCGAGGGCAAACCCACGCTGTTCAGAGCGTCGACGATTTTGTCAAAGGCCCGATGGTGGCATGCCGCAGCGCTAATGTCATGCGTCGACGACGCCGAGGAGGGTGGGGTAATGGACGCCGCAAAACCACGACTTTCGTCAGTCTCATCCGAGCCGCTCGACGTCGACGACGAGCGAAGCCGCTTGAGGGAGGGCCGGCCGCTCATGGCGCATGTGAAAGATCCAAGACGGTTTTTGCGACAGATATCGACGGCAATAAGCCACTTGCTTTCATCCGACTTAGCGGAGATTGGTCTGGACAAAGAAGGTGACAAGGAGGAAGATCTGATCTGCGGGGAAGCAGAATTCAGTTCAGCTGAGTACGGGAGCTGCGCCACCCCCCACGCTGCTTCTCGGTGCCGCATTGGTCACCGGGCCCAAGTGGTGGCGGCCAGAGCCTCGCGCTTCCGCTGAGACATTTCAGAGACGCTCCTGTACTATCGACCTAGGGACATCAAATCACACGCCTTGGACTCCTCTCCTTTTCCCTGTCTTCTCTCAGCTTCCTCTCCTCACCCTGCCTCTCCTGCTCTTTCTCGAAGCGCTGGTACCGCTCCTCGCGCCACTTGGGCCCGTGCTTCATGACGATCCAGACGGACGGGCTTGCGGCCACGACAAGAAGCCCGAAAAACAAATAGGTAAGCCCATAGCCAATCGCATCGATCAGGTACTGCACAATGGCGCTGCCGACGGCGCTGAACGCCGCGCGAGCGAGATTCCAGCTCGACGACACGCGGCCGGGGTTGTACGGATACAGGTCGACGAGCAGCGTGGTAAAGATGCTGACGGGCCCGGCGAGGCCGGCGCCGGCGAAGAACAGCACCACGAGCGGCGCGGCGAGGCTGGTGCCGGAGCTGACGACCCAGCCCCACGACAGGATGGCGGCGAAGGCCACGAGGGCCCAGGGCCAGACGAGCCCGAGGCGCGCGCGCTCGATGGGGAACCGCCGCAGGTCGTCGCCGCGCTTGCGGTCCGGCGACACGCCCACGCTTTTGGCCACGCGCGCGTAGTTCCAGTTCAGCAGCCGGCCGACCACGGTCGCGCCCGCCACGGACCCGGCCGCGAACGGGATGAAGCAGAGGCCGACCTGGAAATGTGTGAGTTTCATTTTTCCTCTCAAGGCGGTAAGGGGGTTCATACCTGCACGTCGTTGAAGTTATATCGCTTCCGGATCACGTCCTGCAGCGGCACCAGCATGGCGTAGTTGGTCATGACGAACAGCGACATGAAGAGCATCAGCAGCCCGACGTCCTTTTCGAAGATGATGCGGATCGCCGCGAAGATGTTTGGTATCGGGATTTTCTGTGACCCGCGGGGCGGGAGCTGCTGGGATTCGATGTCGTTGCGACGCTTGTTCCGGCCTCCGCAGCCAGATGTGAAAGACGCGTTCAGTCTAGGAGGGGGGATGGAGCCGTTGCCGACGATTTTCCTTGCGGTCTAGGAGTAATAATTAGTACATGTTCAATGTGTGATTGTTCAACGTGTGATTGTTCAACGTGTGATTGTTCAGCGTGTGATTGTTCAACGTGATTGTTCAGCATGTGATTGTTCAACATGTGATCTTAATTTGAAGGTCGGGGCAAGAAGACAAGGATGCGTCTGCACGCACCTCTGGCACAAAGGGAATGTAGATGGACAGGAAGAGGCCAGCTCCAATGGTAAGAAACCAGAACGTAGAACGCCAGCCCAGGAACTGCGTCAAGATGCCGCCGAGCACGGGAGCCAGCGCTGGGGCGAACATGACGGACGCTTGCACAGCCGTGACGAACCCACCCCGCTCCGCCGACGTTGCAAAATCCGCCATCACGGCGCTACCAATAGCCACCGTCGCCGAGCTTCCCGTGCTCTGCATGGCGCGCAGCACCAGCAGCGCGGCGTAGTTGTCCTGCAGCGCGAGCCCGATGTTGGCCCCGAGATAGATGGTGAAGGTCAGCAGGTACACCGGGCGCCGTCCGATGCTGTCTGAGAGGTCGCCGAAAAACAGCGGCGCAATGGCCTGCATGACCTGGTACAGCGTCACGGAAAGATTGATGTCTGTTTCCACCCGCGTTGTGTCAGCGTTGCCTGGCCAACATGGGGTGGCAGTTAATTACGTACCGGCTACCGACCGCCCGTACTCCTGCGCGATGGGAGTGATGCCGGGCAGGTAGATGAAGGAAGAGAAGGGCGAAAACAGGGTGCCGAAGGCCGTCATGACGACAAGGAAGATCTTCATGCGGCTCGAAAAGACGGTGTAGACCGGGCCGTCGGGCTGCTGCGGGGTGGCCGGTGTCTGGCCGGCGCCGTTGCCGTTGCCATTGCCGTTGCCGTTGCCATTGCCGTTGCCGTTGCCATTGCCGTTGCCGTTGCCTGGACCGGCCGATGATATCTCGTCGGCAGCGTCGGGGTGGGCTGTCTCGGCATCGCTCTTCTGGTCCACTTGGGTGCCGCTAGGCGAGACAGATCTTATCGAAGCCGCATCCGGCATTTTCTCGGGGGGTTCACTCATGGCGCGGGGGCTGTCTCGAATGCAAGATACAAGAAGGGGGGAAAGGAGTGTCAATGACGTAACGAGCGGCTTGCAGATATTTCTCTGCGCACAGCAGTTAATCTCGAGATATTCGCAGTGAATTCGAAAAAGGAAGAAACGAAATACTTGGCAATTATATAATTTGCTTCTCGATCAATGGCAGCAGTTGCCAAACAATCAAGGCTGAGGCGACAAGGGGCCCGCTGGAGTTAAGGAAGCTTAATCGCCGCCCGCCAGCGGCCAGTCACGTCACTGCCGAGCTCGGCGCCGATCAACAAATAGCAGGGCGCTATATCCGCAGTTCTCCCGCCACATTCCCCGGAGAGATGGTCTTTAATATCCGTACTGCTCTGGGACCGGGTTGAAGAAAAAGTGTTCGAACCCTCAGAAACACGGTCAACTTCGCCGAGAAATCCAACGCCTGCCAAGTCCTCTCAAGCCGCCTGGGTCTGCATCTTTGTCAACTGCCTACCTGGTCAGTGTTGCTTTGTCCGTCCGTATCTTGGCCATCGCCAAACTTATCCCCGTCTTATTACCGGGCCGGCCGAGCTCACCGTCACCGTCACCGTCACCGTCACCATCACTAGAAAGCCACAAAGACAACCAAGATGGGCAAGGAAGGACCCAGCGTAGCGCAGGTCCTAGCCGAGGCGGGCACATCTCCGACGCTGCGCATCCTATTCCCGGACACAGCAGTGACGCGGGCCGGCAGCAGCATCAGCAAGGAGGCGGGCGCGCCGGCGCCGACGCTCGCCGTCGCCGCATCGGCACTGGGCAGCAAACCACCGGCGACAAAGTACCTTGCCATCTCGCTGGACCTCGACGCGCCGTTCGTGTCGTTCGCGGTGCTGGCGCCGGTGCTGCACGGCATCGACGCCGACCTGGTCGCGGCGTCGTGCCCGATGCCGACGGCTTTGTCGCGCTCGACGCGGCCAGCCCCGACGGCGCGTGGAACGCCATGCCATGGGTCGGCCCCGGCCCGCCCAGCATCAGTGGTCCGCACAGATATGTGTTTCTGCTATTTGCGCAGCCCGACGGCTTGGACGCGGCAAAGGTCAAGAGCCTGCTCGGCATCAACGGCACGGGCCTGTGGCCGCGCGTGCGGTGGGACGAGGAGGCTGCTGAGAAGAAGCTTGGTGTCGGCGAGCTTTTGGCTGGCACCTTCTTCACTACCAAGGGTTAGGGGAGGTTAGGGGATGGGAGTGTTGGTGTTTGGGATTTCGAAGTTTTGGTTGGGTTCAGACGACAGCTTGTGTGGATACCTAGATAATTATTTCTTTCAGCTAATTGACCAAAGACGAGATTGTGGGATGGAAGCGGCAGTATACCTGGTTTCTCTTCAACATCGTTCAGCCCTCTTGGGCAGTCTCTCACTTGGTATTCACAGTTTCCAAATTTGCAACATAATTCCGCTCATGGCATGAAGTAATCCAGGCCAGCGACAGGTCTTGCGCAAAAATGAGGGGCTCAACTGAGAGACTGACTTCGAGATCGAAATAGGCTGTCCAAGATAACTAGACGCTCATTCGGCAAGTGGCTCTGTTCCGTTCAACATCGGCTCCACTTCCATTGCTATTTTCAGACTATTCTACTCCAACAAGGTGTCTTTGTTCCTGTCAAAGAACCCTCGACTAAAATCGGAAGTCGAGTCCTTTTGTTCCCGAAAACAATGACCCTGTGCAGTCTCTCTACGGCTGCAGACATTACAATAAATTCACAGGAGCCTCTGACTCAAGACAGTCATGTTCCAGTCCCCCCTATCGATTGAAATTTTTCCACATATTCTCGCCCATTCCAAACGGGGCACCAGATACAATCCATTCAAACACTCACTCGCTCACTCACTCGCTCACTCACTCACTCACACGCAGCAGGACAGCCTAATTAGCCAAGGCAACCATGGCAGCAGCACAACAAGCCGCCGTCTCGAACCAGCAGCTCACTGACGCCGTGATAAAATCAGTTCTCGGCAAGCTCGGCGTCGGCGACGGTCCGGGCCAAGACAGCCTCGACTCGGAAAAGGGCGAGCTGATCGCCCTTGACGTCAAGACATACTGGAACACCGTCATCAGCAAGTACCCCGGCCAGGCGAACATCCTCTCAACAGCAAAACCTAAGCCGTCGCCGCGCGCTGCCCACGGCGGCAGAATCAAAAAGGTCGGCTTCGCCAAGCCCATGACGCGAGTCCACCTCGTCGCCAGCGACGAGCTGGACTACAGGTCGACCGCCGGCCGCGCCATCTCGACCAGCCACGCGTACGTGCAGGTGCCGAAGCGCGCCGTACCCAAGCAGAACACGAGCGCGGGGTGCGACGCGTGCGGGCCGCAGCACGGCAATGGCATCGCCGTGTGCCCGTGCCTGCCGCACGCGGCGGTGCTGCCGGCCGACGGGTCACAGATGCAGTTCATCGCCATCGTCTGCAACGTCGCCAACACCATGCGCACGTGGCTGGCGCGGTACCCGCCGCAGCGGGCCAAGCAGGACGGCGACGGGCTGAGCGCGCGCGACCGCGAGGCCGCTGACGCCGCGTACTTGCAGCTGGTGCAGGTAGGCTTCGAGCTGGCCGGCATGGACCGCGGGGCGCGCGGCTTCGTGGCCAGGCTGGCCGAGCTGCGCGCCAGGGCGCTGCGGCTGGGCACGCCGGCGGTGCACGCCAACGACTACGCGGCGGGCTTGGTGTCGCCCGGCGGGCCCGTGTGGCGCATCGAGGAGGTGCGGCTGGAGCTGGCGCGGCACCAGGCGGCGCTGCGCAGCGCGAGCGCCGAGGTGGCGCTGGGGTTGCTGGCGATGGCGGCCGACGTGAAGGCGGTGGCGGACGGGGCCATGTTCGAGATGCACCGCATGCGGGAGTTCCTAGAGGGCCCGGGGCAGGCGGCGCGGTGGGCGCTGCGGGCCGTAATTTGCCCGGCGGGCGTGCTGCATCTGATGGAGTTGCTCGGGTACGTGTGCACCGATGGGATCGACTTCGCGCTGAGCCTGGCACAGTCGTCGGAGCTGCTCCAGGAAGAGCAGAACCCTGGTTGTTTCCCTATCCTATCCCGGTCCATGCTAGCCGTCGGGCCCGACATGCTGCCCCAGGTCAAGCAGGATACTCAGGAGCTGTTGGATGTGGCAGAGCTCATTTATGACTACCTAGGGACTCTGCGCGAGACTGACAATATGGTGCGAGCAAATTATCAACGCTGGTATGCATCGTCTGGAACCAAAAAGGCGATGCAATTTGCGGATAGCTACCTGTAATACGTTATTAATTGATATGGAATATAAATATTTGCTTCATTTACTGAGATAACGTCCTATTCCCCGTGATATCTAGCACTATTGTCTCTTGATACTCTAAACCATTTCCACTTTGTAAAGTCTTGAGAAATTTGTACACTAGTAATTTACGTCTACTTTGAAGGCTCCACGGTAAACCAAAGGAATCCAAGGTAATACTCCATATACAAAGACATAACCAGCATACAACAAAGACGGAAAAAGGACACATTTTAATAATGACACAATAAAGGAAAGAGACATGGACAACGGTAGACGTGATATTGATTGTATTCGATTAACCCTGCCAACGGGAATATCCCCCTCCTTCAGCCCACAGGCCACCCGCACAGCGCCATCCCAACAACTACTTCAAGTTAAACTTAGATATAATCGTGCCAAGACAGCAATAAACAAGAATAAGTAGCCGTCATCTTTCAGGCTGGCTGGCTGCCTACCTGCCTGCTCGCTGACCACAAGTCACGGAGACAGCCTGCAGTCGCAAAAAGAAAACACAAAAAAGACTTCAACGCCAGTGCGCCGGCCCGCTTCCCGGCTTCTCTTTGCTTCGAAACGCCAACGCAGATGATTTCAGGTTCCTGGGTATCCCCAGACACAATGAAAGTACGAAAAAGCCAACCAAAGAGAAAAAAAATAGTCAATATAGGACAGAAGAGGATATATGAGACGGAAAAGTAGTAGCAAAACGTCGCAGAAGCAAAAAAAAAAAAAGTGCCCGCTTCCGCCAGTACATCATGCCTGCGTGTATGCGTGAGGGGGATATCATGGTTGCCTTTCCTCGCTTTCCAAAAACAAAAACAAAAATGCCGTAAAATAGAGAAACACGAAGAGAAGATTTTATCCAACAATCGGGGACATGCCCGTCTTACTAAAAACACTATTCCGTTCTTTTTTGAGCGACTTCTTTGGCGAGTCGGACCCGTTCTTGTCGAAGAAGCGGGTGCCGTTGTTCTTGGGGCTGACGGCCGTCATAGGGCTGACGAGGTCCTCCTCCTCCCGGATGACGGGGCTGCCCGGGAGGGGCGCGACAGGGTCCGTCTCGTCGTCGCCGCTGTGGTTGCTGCAGGCGCTGCTGCCGTCGGTCAGGCTGTCGGCCGAGCTCGTAGCGCCGCGCGAGCTCGTTTCGCGCACCATCAGTGCCACCACGCTCAGCATGTCCGACTCCTCCTCGGCGATGCCCTTGAAGGCTGGCAGGTGCGGCAGCTGCGGCGGCTCGCGAGGGATCGGACTCGCATTGCTCCGGACGCCAAAGTCGATACCGTTGTTGGAGCTGTTGGGCACGCCGGCCCGGTTGCTGTTGGCCGCAATGGTGTTGAGGCTGGCGCTCATACCGGCGCTGATGTTGGCGGTGATGATCTTGGGAGACAGGGGGTTCACCATCTCGGCCACCATGGCCGATGCGATACCGATGGCGACAGGCGTCGTCGAGGGGATTGACGACATGGGCGCCAACCCGGTCCGCCGCGATCCGGGCCCGTCAGATCGGCCGACGGTGCTGGCGAACCGGCGGATGCGGCTTCCGATGGCGGCCGGGGACACCGACACGTTTATGCTCGGCTTTCTACGGTGCATCTGCGCCTGGGCTCTCGCATCTGCCTTCTCCCTCTCCCCCTCCTTCTCCCTTTCCTTACCCTTTGCAGCCTGGGTCGTCTGGGCCTTGATCTTGGAGGCAATCAGCTCGAACTGCTTGAGCATGGTCGGGTTGTCCACAATCTCCTCCATTGTGAGCTTCAGGCTCCCTCCGTCGATGCCCGCGAGGTTGATCCTGGGCAGCTCGCGGTTGAGCTGGGCCGTCAGCTGGGCGGCGGGAATGAGACTCCCCCAGAGGTCGAAGAAGGCCGCGTTGTGGACCTGGGCTTCCGGCACGCCCAAGGTTCGAGGGTTGAGGATCGGCGTCCACGTCTGCGAGATGAGGGACTGGATGGCCTTGGCTTGGTCCGCCGAGAGGAAGTTGACGGCTTCCTCTCCCGAGATCATGCCGGGCGATGCTAGCGCCGCATTTAGAGCGATGGGAATTCTCTTCTGCATGGTCCGATACTGGAAGCCGTTTGGGATGATTTGCTGCATGATGCTGACGCTAGTGAGCAGGCTGACGGTCGTGTGCAGGTTGCGAAGCGCGTGCTCGGCAAACGGCTCGGGGATACGGTCCGCGCAGAACGTGATCGAGAGCTCTACTCGGCCCGCGCCGCGCACAATCGACCTGACGAACAAGTCGGGGACGTCCTGGGCCTTGGACTCGACGACGGTAAACTTGCACGAAGCGGCGCCGAGATGAAACGGCTTGGGCTCGTTGGGGTTGACAGCCGTGTCTTCGTATTGGTGCTGCACGAGCGTGCTGAACCGAGTCCAGTACGGCCACGGCGTGCACTTCTCTACGATGCTGAGCGTCCCGAGATTCTCGTACGGGATGCCCGATATGCGCTGGGCGTGTACATGCTGGAGCAGGGCCAACGGGGTGAGTGCGTGCTCTTGGGGGAACTGCACGCGGACGGGGATCGCGTTGACAGTCGGCCCCATGACCCCGGCAACCGGGTGGCCGCCCAACAACCTGACGTGACGGCCGTCGATGAGCTCGCCAAAGACGACATCGGGAGAGGCAGACAGAGCCGCGAGAACCATTGCCCAGGCGCCCTTCAGGACCGTCTCGAACGAGATGCCGAGGCTAGACAGCGAGCCAATGTTCATCGAGTGTCGGATCGTCTTGATGTTTGTCGACAGCTGGTACGGGTGAGTATGTGCGACAACCTGCGTCATGGCGGCGCCGTCAAGCAGCGCCCGCCAGTGCTCCTCTGCCCCTTGCGCGTTTACCATTTGCGACGACCGTATAAAGTCGCAGTAGGTTGGCCTTCGGGGCGGGTTCTGAGACCCGTCGTACAACCGCTTGAGGTCCTTGACCAAGAGCGCGATCGAGAGGTCGTCGTATTGGGCCTTGGTCAGCCGCATGACCAGGATCGACTGCTTGGTGCCGTCGAGGAACATGAACTTGGTCATGGGCGAGCAGAATGCGACTGGGGACAGCTGGTCTTTCCGGATCGTCTTATCCATCACGCCCGTGAGGCGCCACGACGGGCAGGTATCGCGGCGGAACTCGATGTCGGGGGACGCGAGGACGGCCTGGTAGACTCGGCGGTTGTACGGGACAAACACAGTGCGCAGGATCGGGTGGATTGCAACGAGGTTGACGCACGCGTCCTCGAGCTTCTTCGCATCGACAGCTCCAGAAAAGTTGAAGACGAGGTAGTTAATGTTGGCACGCCCCCGAAGCATGCCAGTCTCGATGTATCTGATCTGCACGGAAGACGCCTCGGCAACGTCCTTGATCACGCTCCCGTCGACCCCGATCTTGGGAGCGATGACCTTCTCGATGAACGTGACGGCATTATTATTCGGGGGGACCGGCGGTGGTGTGACAGGAATCGGGGACGAGTCCTGCACCACCTGTGGGGACTCGATAGTCATCATCGCCCTGCAGAGCTCGGTTAGGCTCGCGTTGCGCAGCACGTCGGCGATAGACACGGTGATTCCGTCTTGGCGGCAGGCGGCAATCAGCTGGGCCGCGAGGATCTCGTCGCCGCCAGCACCAAAAAAGGGGTCGAGCGCTCCGATCTTGGCTTCTTCGACGCCCAGAACTCTGGCCCAGACGGCCCTCATGCGCTCTTCGTTGTGCGTCAGAGGCAAGGGCTTGAGGGCGTTGAACTTGGCCTCGTTTGTGTTTGGCACCGCGGACAGGGACAGTAGCTGCTCTTTCGACATGCCGTTTATCATCTTCTGCAGGCGCCGCCGGTTGACCTTGAGAGACGGCGTGATGGGGAGATGCTTGACGGGGATGAAGATTGACGGAATCATTGACGGCGCGACGGCGTTCTTCAGCCCCACTTCGACAAGCTGCTTCGCCATAGCAGCCTGCTCTTTTGTCGCAGGACTCAACGATGCGAGGTTTTCTTCGCCGTCGAAAAGACTATCACCGAGTTCGATAAAGGCAGCAAGCACGGCATCAGCCTTGGTCCCCCGAAACGTCATCGCGTCGACAATCACGTCGACTCCCTGGCCGAGGCAGCGCCGGAGATACTGCTCGATCTCGGTCGTGTTCACCAGCTTGCCGTCGATCTCGGTATCTTCTCGTTTGCTGGAAATGAACTCCATCAGCCCGCCCTCGGTATACCTCGCACGGTGGCCCGTCTTGAAGTATCGAGCCTTGCGGCCGGGCGTGGCCGCCAGTGGTGTCATCGGCAGCATCGTCGACTCTCTGTTGGGGTAAGCACATCCCAGAGTCGGGCCTTCCACCACGAGCTCACCAACCGCGCCGGTGGGTACACGTTTCTTGTGGTCCTCCGGGTTGACAATCAGCAGATTTCCAGAGAAGGGCCGACCAATACTTCGCAAGTGATACGTGCCCAGAGCCTCGAGGAAGGATATGCCTAGGGGACAGACATCCTGCGGCCCGTAGGCCAGAATGACATTGACTTTGCCGTGCCAGGGAGCATATGTGTCATCGTCAAGACTTCGAGTCCGGAAGCAAACAACTTTGAGAGACGGCAAATTGGACGGCTCCAGCTTCCTCGACAGGAGGGGAGTCATGTACGTCCAGTTAACCTGCATGCGGTTCACGGCGGCAGCAAAGTCATGCAGCTTCTCCGTAGGCAACGGGATGCAGACACACCCGCCACAAACAAGAGTAGTAAATATCTCGGTAATACATATGTCGACGTTAAACGAGGACAGTTGCATGACACGACTGAGGGAAGTTATGCGGGCTGCGGGTCCTTGCCCCGACAGTGCCGTCGATAGTGCCGCGTGGCTAAAGGACATGCCCCGAGCCTCGCTAGACGACGTCGGAACAAAAAGGATGCAGGCGGGGTCCGCTGGCGCCGCCATCGAGGTCAAAGACCCCTGACTGCGCGGAAGCCCGTTCATCAACTCGTCGGTCAGCGTTACGACCTTCTCAAAGAGATTTCCGAGGACCGGGGCCGCGTGTTCCGAGGCAATGGCGACTCTCGAATTGAGGCGCTCGAAGATGGGTTGGATCATGCTGAGCTCCAGAGCGTCGATGGGGACAAAGGCCGCGCCGGATCTAACAACGTATGAGCATTAGGGGAATCATAGCAAGAACGAAAGAGCGGCTTACTTTAGAACGGCCAGCATAGCCACCGGGGAAAGCCGGGACTTCTCCATCACCACTGGAACCACGGAATGCGGCCCAACGCCAGCGTCCACGAGATGGTGCGCCAGCTTCGTCGCCTCTTCCTCGAGCTGCTCGTAGCTCAGATTACCGTCCCAGGAGCAAATAGCCTGTGCGGTCGGCTGCAGGGAAGCCTGATTTGAGATGAGCTCGTGAATCAGGTTCTGGGCCTGGCTCTCGGCGGCTGCCGGCGTCTGGGAGTCCCAGGCCAAAATCTGAGCATAGTCCCGGTCGCTGCAGAGATCAACCAACCCGATAGACGTGTTGTGCATGGTGAGAACCGCACGGATGGCTCGTCCAAACGTATTTGCCACGTTGAGCGACTGCTCTGGGGCCATTACTCGCTGTCCCATATCCACGACCAAATTGCCGCCAGAGAAGCGCGTGTTGACAACGACATCCGCGTCAAATGTCTGCTGCAGCGACACAGGCTTCAGCTCGAAGCTCGATCTCGTGGTGAACTTGCTGTTCAGCCCCGCTGGCTCTTCCGTGAACGTCAAGCACGAGTTGAACAGACGGTCGCCACCCCTCATGCCCATTGCGTGCTGGAGCTCGGCCATGGTGAAATGCTGGTGGGGCAGGCTAGTCGCCATCTGGTCCTCGACCAGCTGGAGTGCGAGGTTCAACGGGGTATACGACGAAAGCTCGTAGTTGCACGGAACCGTGTTTGCAAACGAGCCGACGGCGTGGCGCATCCCCTCGACCGAGTCATCGCGTCCCAGTGTCTGGTAGCCAAAGCACACTGTATTTGATCCGGCAAAGCAGCGCAACACAAGGCCCCACGCAAGGCGGAGGACTGCTCCGACCGTGATCTTGTGAGACCGGGTGAACGCGGCCAGTTCCGTGGCAGCAATCTCGAGATCGAGGTTGGCGTTGGTAAACTTGTGCTCCTCTGGCGCCATGCTAAGCCGGGGAAACAAACAGGGCGAAACTTTGGCAAGTCTCTCGCGCCAGTAGCCAAGACTCGACTCTTGACGAACTCCCTTCAGGAAATCGAGATATGAAGGATAGGAAAACTGGGCGGGATCCGAAAGCGCGCGCTCAGTGGCGTAGGCTCGTCTCAGGTCGTGGAGGAGTATGTGTATGCTTATAGACTGTAACTTGTTAGCATCAGACATGGACAAGAGTAGGCAAGCTTACATCGCAGAGCGCAGTGCTAATATCCAACTTCACAAAGGTCCTGGACGGAGCCTTGCAGACGGTGAGCCTGTGAAGCGGCTTTTTGTCTGTCGGCCTCAATTTGACGAGGTTGCTGAGTTCGTACACGGGGTCCTCTGAAGGCGCTGTGTCGATAAAAAGCATCTCGGGAGAGGTGCGATGGAGGATGATCTTGTCCCAAAGGCCGGTCTCGCTGATGCTCTCGGTGAAGACGGTTCTCAGCGCCGCATGTCGCATCGTGACCTGCTCCCATGCGGTGCAGATCTTGGAGTGGTCAATGGATCCGCCATTGGGAGCAGCAAACTCGTAGATGGCGTGCAGATAGCACGCGTCGGGCCGCTGCGCCTGGCTGATCAGTATGCTTTGCTGCACTGCGGTCACTGGGTATATGGTTTCGAGCTCTCGGACGCAAGTCAGATTCAGAGCCGCGAGCCGCTCCTTCCTGTGGAACTTTGCCAGGCTTTCGTAGGTGACGTCGAGGTGCGGAACATCGGAGAGCGTGATCTCATGTTGGTGGTATCTTAACCGCCCGATAGCCTCGAGCAGCAAGTGCTCGTAGTTCTGTATCCACTGCGAGATGCGACTCTGGTCTTTCGAGAAGCGGCTGTACAAAAACTTGACCTTGGCGGCTCCCTGGTCGATCATCGCGCTGACTTCGAACAGGGCAATGCGGCCGACATTCGGTCCGATATCCGACGTCGGCGAGGCGAGCGTCCGGCCCGGAATTGGAAACTGCTCCATGACCCCATTGTCGCGCTCCAGGTGTTGTAAAGAGCCCGCGTAGCTGAAGATGATCTCGAAGGGCCAGTCATGTGAAAGGTCTGCTTTTTCGTAGTCGTAGAATCTAGAAGCAAAATATTGGGCGCCCCTCGTCGGAATCGACCGCCGTATATCCTTGAGCCGCCGGAGGACGGCGATGAGGTCATCCGACGTGTCGACCTTTTGGTTTATCGGACATAACGACGTAAACCACCCGACAGTCTCTGAGATATCAATGTCGGTATTCCAAGGCTCTCTCCCGTGCTCCTGGTTCCACACGACTGGGACTGATCGGTCGTGAAATGTTTGGGCGAAAGACAGCATGAGGGCGGCAAGATAGATATCCACGCAGTCGGTCCTGAAGACCAGGTTGCATGACGTCTGTAATATCGAGGTAAGCTCGTGGCTCAGCGAGAAGCTGACCTCGAGAGCATCGCCATAGGTGTTTGGGGCCCCTTGCAGGCCCCAGTAGGCATAGTCGCCCGGCTGGACGGGAAATGGCAGGAGATCTTGCGGCTCCCGCCCTTGCGCGTCGGCTTTCTGGACATCTACCCAGTTGTGGAAAGGCATGGACCTCTGCGACAGCAAGTTCCCGTTCTCCAACATTTCGTCGAGGTCGTGGATGACGATGCGCCACGAGGGAAGGTCGACTGCGAGGTGGTGTGCCGCAAGATAGACCATCTGCTGGCCGTCGTGGGTGGTGAGGTAGTCGACAGCAAACACGGGGCCGCTCTCAATGTCGATCGAGTATTGCGTCTTCTCGAGAATATCTTCCAGTTCCCGGTCAGACCTTATCGCGCTGTGGCAGAGGGAATAGGAGCCCGCCACCTCTGGCAGTATCCTCTGGGACCACCCAGCCATGCCGCGACTGAAACGTGACCGTAGCATGGGGTGGTGACCGACGACGGCTTCTATCGCGGCGGTAATGCTCTCAAAGGTGAAGGACTTCTTAAAGCGAAGGAGCAGGCTCTGGTTAAAGCGATAGCTCCCCTCACCACCCGTCCTGAGGTCGAGGTCACCCCCCATGGCCGTCTTGAAGTAGAGATGCTGCATCGGGGACAGGTCGAAGGAGTCCAACGTCTCCTCGTCCCACTTTTGGGACATGGCACCTCGCGATGCCGCAAGCACGGCGAGCTCGGATAATGTAGTCGACCCGAGCACCTCGGCAGCACTCAGGTAGATGGATTCGTGCTTGCAGCGCGCTACCAATTCGATGGCCGTCATCTCGTCCCCGCCGAGTTGGCAGAAGGTGAAGTTGACGCCGATCTGACCCGGGGGGGCATCCAAGACCTTGCTTACCAGTATCTGCAGCGACTTCTCCATCGCCGTCTGGGGCAGCTCAAGCGTCTCGTGGCTGCCCAGGCCAGTGGCTTGTTGGTAGATGTCCTCGTTGATGTTCTGGGCCCACGTGCGAAGACGGCGGATGTCGACCTCGCCCGACTCGGTGAGGGGCATCACGTCCAGCACGATCCAGATATCCGGCACGGCTTCGGACGGAAGGGCGGCCTCGGCGGTCTGCTTGAGGACGGCGACCTGGGTCCCGGCGAAGAGAGACTGAGACTGGGGGATGAGGTTAATGGCGGGAGGGCTGTCTTCGGCGGACGGCAGGGCCCCCGAGAGGGTGAGGAGGGCGACCAGCTTGCCCTCGAGCAGGCCGGCCTTTGGGCGCACGGTGGCTATCCGGTCGACGGCCGTCTGCGTGCCGAGCGCCTGCTCGATACCTGTTCTCTGCACGATCTGCGAGCCGGAGCTGGACTGGCTCGAGTTGCGCGAATGGCTCCCCTTGGCTTCGGATCGGGCGGAGAGGCGGCTGGCTTTGTGAATCTCGAGGGGCGCAATCATGACCGGCTCGAGCGTCTCTGCGTACTGTGACTGACGGGCACAGGGCGAGATGCAGGTCTGGAGCTCGGCGATGGTCGAGCAGCGGAGAATGTCGCGTATCTTGACGTCAATACCAATGTCCATGCAGGCCTTCCGGAGCACGGCAGCGCTCTTCTCGTCGCCTCCCAACTCCCTGAACGACTCTTGCACGCGTATTTTTCCCTGGTCGACGTCGAGTACCTGGGCCATGGCGACTAGGAACCTGCTATCGATCGATTCATCCTCCAGAAGCAGCCACGATGTCGAAGCGTCGATGCGCGGGGCGGCGAACCTCGGGGCGGCGTCCATGCTGACTAGGCAGCGTCGGAGGCGGACCACACGCAAACACACAAAACACGCACGAAAGGATGAAACGCAAACGATTGATGGGTATGGAAAAAGAAAGGCAGCCTGAGAAGCTTCTCAGGCGCTGGGCCGCATGGCACAGCAGGCAGTTGGCACGAGGTTCACGGGTCGAAAACACTGTGGCAAGACCATGGGGAGCGAGTGCAGGGTTTCGAGGGGAGGGGGGGGTACAGGACGGGTCCGTAGGGGAATAAGGGGGGGGCAAAACGAGAGAGGGGGGAGGTGTGGGAGAGGAAAAGCAGAAGGGACAACAGCGGCCAGAGGGACAAAAGAGAGAGCAGCGCGTGTGGAAGAGCTCGACCAAGCCAACACCAGTGTGGTGTGTATCAGAAAGTGCTGGCCGCAGGGTTGCAGGCCGACGGATGCGCGAACCAGATGGACTCGACGTCCGCGCCGCACCGAGAGCCTTGGCAGCCGGCGACGAGTGAGCTTGCCCAAGGGGCCGAAAGGGCAGGACAGCGACACGAGAGCGTGCACGCAGTGACGGCGAGTAGGCCAGGAAGACGGGGAGCCTTGCGTAGCTCCCGTCATCAAAGCCTCGCGGCCAATCAGGGCACACACATGGCCGAGCTCTGCCGCGCAGCCGCAGGAGACTTTTCTGGCTGATCGCCAGATCTAGGCTAGACTTTTCTGTTGCACAGTTGTACTCGTAGAGTCTGCGCACCTAGGTTGGTACCCACCACTGCCTACCACCGCCCGCCCGCCAGCCATTCATCACAGGCTGTCCAGGCTTGCTGCGAAGGATGCCAGTGTGTGGTGCGCGACATGCACGACAGGCCGCAAAGGATCAAGCGGGTTTTCGTTGCGTCGAGATTTGCTTGCAGTTTGCAGCCCGGCCTGGGGGCTAATAAGCTAAGGTAAGGAGGGCAGTTGGACCGTCGCGGGATGGAACCAGGCTTGCTTTGCGCCCAGCGTGCTAGCAGCAACCAGGTCGCCCCAACCGATGCCACTCTCGAGCCTCGACTCGCGGGCTCTACTGCGTACGTAACTGCCAGTGCAACGCAGCCGCAGCAGATAAACAACCGCCATCGTATCGTCGTGTGTGAGATAGACTGGCAGTGGGAAACTTACCTAGCAGGGAACTGAGGCATGGACTGCCGCTGCTCCACCCCAGGGGCAACGGCGAAGAAGGGACTGCACGGTACGGAGCACACCCATTCTTACAGTTCCGGGGCCGTCCGCTCTGCGATGGTGCGGCAATGCTGCGGCGGCGCGATGCAGGAACTGAGTCTAGATGGCTGCGGCAGCACGCCCTGGCAGCGAGCTGAGTGCAAGCCAAGCTTCGAGGTCTGACGAGCGAGGAGCAGCTGCTAAATTTCCGACCACTTGAGCGACTGCAGGCGCAACGCAACATGGAAAGCTTTGCTTGGTGGAGTGTGGGCAGCCACTCAGTTGGAGTTGGGGACGGAAGCTGCGTTGTAGGCAGCTGCCAACTTCACGGTGCCAAGCCTGCCTGGCTCGTTCCTGCCCCTAGGAGGTTGTATAGTGTGGGCGGGCGAGGACCTGAGTGGGGAACGCTGCTGCAGGAAGATTTCCACTTTGGTGGCTGAGGGCCCGGGCTGCGCATTTTTTGACAAAGCCCTTTTTGTACAAGCTCCATAAGCTTTAAAAAGAATTCGACCATTCCCGGCCAGGCGTTAGCGTCCAGCGGCTGGCGGCAGTTTCGATTTTCGACCCAATGGATCCCACAAAATGTTTACAGGTTCCCAGGGAATTCCCGAGGGCCGTGCCTGGGGAAAGGAGCAATCCCCGCTTGGCACTTGCACGCCCCGTCATCCCCGCCAGGATCGGACCCGAGGGGTGAGCGGCCGATCTGGATTCCCCTTCCAATTGAGGTGAGGACTAGAGAGGTGAGGGCCAGACAAAGAAAATGAGCGGCTCCGACTTCGAAGCATGGATTCCGGACGTTTCTCTCTTGCTCTCAATGTTTTTGCTCGTGTTTTAGTGGATTACGCGCTGTGAATGCGGCATTCTACGCAACTGTCTCGTTCGTTGATCGGCGGATTTTCAGACTTCTGTGGAAAACCCCCCGTGGCCCCCGCACTTCCATGATGGCAAATCTCGCGCGCGACCAGGCTTCAAATGCTTTGGTAGCCCAGAAAGGAAGGACGTTGTTCGACCTTTTATCTCTCGTCCCAAAACTCCCGCCCATCCTACGTTCCAGTCCTGCGGGATGAGTGAGGTGCCGTGGATTGCTGGAACGTGGTCGCAATTTCAGGGCAGTTATGTCGGGATTGTTCCCAGGTCTCGGGCCTTCAGGCACCACGACATCTAGATTCCACCGTTACACCAAGACGTCGGTACCGCCACATCATCATCCGCCCGACGGGCTTTCCGGTTTGCATGTTCCCACTTCCTGCTCCGGTAATAATCCGCATCACTCGTCGATCTCGATTATCCGTGTCGTTTTGTCGTCTGTTGTGGTGCGTCAGCGCCCGGTATACCGAGTGCGGTGCGGACTGCGATTCGGATAAAACGGCGCCCCCACTGTCAGGCTCCCCACCAGAGCGTCGTCACCTGCCCGGCCAAAAATGGAGCCGCCGGGACGCTCCAGGCCCGCCCGAAAGCCGCCTAGAAACCTTGTGGTCCAATTCCCCCGATGCCTGCAACTTGGAAGGCGACTACCTACATAAACCACCGAGTGTGATGAAAGTTCGAATTCATGCACGAGCTGGAACACTTCTCTAAACGGCACCCTTTTGCGTAAGACTCTGTATTCATTCTTTCGTAGAGAGAGAGTTGATGATTTCTGCCTAGAGGTTTTCGTCACCTCTCAGCTCAAAATGTTCGAGTCGAACGGCTACAGCACCTCGCCACGCTCAAACGAGCAGCCTCGGCGTTTGTTCAACCGCCAGCGGTAGGTACGATGTTGCATCGCTCCCCCAAGGCCATGGGACCGACAGCCAGCCGGCGCGCTCCAGCACGTGGATTCCGGTACCTAGCCTAATGCGGGGTGAGCCGAGCGGCGGACTGCCCCGGAACCGAGACGCGGCCACCTCAACCCCACCTCGTTCCACGGGCTCCAATACATTCTGCGCGCCGAGCAAAGCGCTTCAGGCCTTGCCTGACCCTGACAAAACCCCACACACAGACCTTCACGACCCCCGTAACCGATTCCTCAATTCTCCACCTGATAACCGTCCGCAGCAGTTCTGGTTATCATTGACTGGTCGGATGGTGTAGTTGGTTATCACGTCAGTCTAACACACTGAAGGTCTCCGGTTCAAGCCCGGGTCTGATCAAATGAGCTTCTGTTTTTGGGCGACTCCCACATCTCTTTTTGCCGTCCCGCCACTTTGTTCTCCACTATGTCGCTTTTTTTCTCGCCATCGTTATTTGCCTGGTTTGGCAGCCTGCAAATATCTTCCTGAGAAATGACTCATTCTAGTTTCTTTTTAATAAGTAATTTTGTTCAGAACAAATCTCAACCTAGGATTAAAAGGGAAACCTTCAACTTCACACGGCGGTAAAAGACCAGTTGTTCGTGCTCCTTGAGGTTGGATATTCCCCTTGTTCGCTTGTATCTCATACTATATATAATACAAATCACATAGAAAAGAGATGATTAGATCTTCTCCCTATTTCAACCCCCCCCCCCCCCCCCGGGGAGTCTTTGAGTCACAAACTTAATATCTAATTATCAGCTGGCAGCCTGTGATACTCAATCACGCACTGATCACAGAGGTAGTGGCCGCAGTCAGAACAAGACACATTGGTAGCATAATAATTGACCTCACCGCAGTTAACGCAAGTCCAGATACATATGAGGGCACGAGAGTTTTTCTTTGATCTCATTTTCTTCTCACTTTTGCTTTGTTGCGGCACCGGCTCAACTTCGCCGTGGATAGTCGGGTCTGGCGGCTCTTCCACCCTGGCTTCTGGGGCTTTTTTTGATATGTGTACCCTTATTGACGAATCGCTCTCCAGGACGTTGTCCAAACTCCGTACGAAGATATGCCTCGAAGACCTGCGCCAGATTGGTAACAGGGTTAGCCAAGTACTAAACTTTATTGACCAGTGTCATGGAATTAGACAGCCCAAGTTGAGATGCTGCAACTTACGTTCCAATGGCGAGCCATGCTGTACTGAAGCCTGTAGGTGTTGCCCAACATATCCTCAAAGTGCACACAATCCGTTGGAAGCAGCATAATACTCCTCGGGACGCGCTGGAAGGCCTGCGCTGCCTTGAGCAAGATGTAGACAATGCACCCCCTTTAAAGTCACTGGCAAGTTGGCACATCGAATAATCGGGACACGACGAGGTTAAACACCACCCACAAGAAATAGCCGCAGATTCTAGAAAAACCCATAAGAACCATAGAGAGCTGTGGCTCGGGGGAATCGGTTCCAGGTGATGTTTGTAGGGGCCAGGCGGTGCGCATGATATGGTGGTCCAACCTTTGAATGTCCGCTCGCATTTGTTGAAGCTCCGTGCCTTGAGATCGCACCAAGGTCCCGGTTGCAAGATGCTCCTGCAAAGCAAAATTCGGCTGCATTGCCGACCTAGGAGCAATGCTAAGCATGACACGCTCGACCTCCTGTATGTCGACTTTAAGTTCTCGGAGACTTGAGCTTTGGGCGTTAACAACCATATCTGACGCTGATTGTCTCTGCAGGGAGATATTCTGTAGCATTCTAAACGGAGATGCAGGGCAATGTGAGCTTCAATAATGTGGGGGTTTATTAACGGTTGGGGAGTGGTCAGTCTCACAGATTGAGAATATCGAGTAGAAACTGGATCCTGGACTGGACGGCGTCCAAGTTCTGGCTGATTTCGGCGAGCGTGTCCTTTCGAAGTGGGTAGATAGACCTCTTCACCGCCCGGTTCAGGCGCTTCCGAATGGAGAGGGCAGATATACCGCGCGCATTTGCCTCACCACTTGTCTCAGCGCCGGTTGCGGTCGAGGTTGGTACCACGTCATCAGATCGTGTTGGGGCTTCCCCTCCACATCTCTCTAGATTGTCCAGCAGCTTCGATAAGCCAGTAGAGCATTGTGCGACAGTGTCCTTGAGCCGCCGCAATATCTCGGCCCTGTTATTGGAAAAGAATGGCTCAATGCCCTCGAGGGCACTTCCGAGAAGAGCAAGAGAAGATTGGAGGCCTTCCAGTTGTGCGAAGACCTCCTTGGCGTCCTTATCAAAGTCGCGATAGGCAGAGACGTACTGCTTGAGGCCTTTGCATATATCGATACCGAGACTCACAAAGCCTGCTACGCCGCTGGCGATGGAGATGGGGTCTGCCATGTTGGACTGCTTTGGCGAATGAACGAGACTTGTCGCACAGGTGTGAGATTTCTAACTAACGGGATGGAGACAGGCGGACGAGGTGAAATCCCGAGAAAGCTTTGCAGCCCATCCTCCCCTCATGTGGCGGTTGCTCAGCCCCAGTATGGCTCATCCAAGGCTTTCTCAACACACCACCCAGAATGGGAAGGCCTGATTGGCGAAGACAACGGCCGAATCACATCGCATCAATTCTAGAAATTTTTAACAGCAGATTGGTGAAACTCTGGAGTGGACAACTACCTACCCTACTATTTTGCTGATTGCTTAAGGTCACCACTTGGTCACAATGACAAGAGACAGACCAGAGCCTCTTAGCAGATAAAATGTTCCGTAAACAGCGGCGCGCGTTGTCAGTAGGTCCTGATGTTTCCTAGATATTGTCAAGTTTCATAAGATTTCGGTGGTCGTAGGCCATAATTACACATAGGAACCTATCCTAAGGAGCTAGACATCGTCAATCTCAGTCCTCAGCTGCACAGTCACGTGTATGGCACCGCCGCCACTCGCCCCTCAACCTCTCGACCGGCTCCTGGAGCTGGAGCAGGAGGAGGAGGGGATCCGGCGGCGGCTTGCGGCTGTGTGAATGAATGAATGATTCCGTTGGCATTTGAGGCGGCTGGTCGATTCGGGTGGAAGGTTAATTTTGTGCTAGTGATTATTAGTCGAGCTAGGTTGGGTTGATACCATAGCGGGAGGAATGATCGATCGGTATTTAAGTTGGAAATAATGGAAGCCTCAAAGAGTGAAAACTGCCAGAGTTTGGGGAAAGGTCAACGTACTTGATTTCATTATTTCTTAGTTGATGAGGGGGTAATCAACAAAGTGGCGACTCATCTCTTGAGGAGAGTGAGCGTGGATCCGACGCGGTTCGTTGTTGGGAGCGCCCCTTGGTATTGTGTATCAGTAATGACGCTCAAAATTACCTTAGTGGTTTTCTTTGGAAATACGGCGACTGATGCAAGGCGTAATTACTATTTAGGATGTACCGGTCAATAAAAAGAGCTTTGGGCTGTTTGAGCTGCTTTAGCCCAAAATTGCTCATGGTTTTGCCGATATTCAAGTTAGGGATATCGCAGGCCGGACCAGTACTAAATACCACTTGAGCAGTCAGATAGAAACTGCAACTGACAACACAACATGTAACTTTCCTGCTTGTTCAGGCCATAGGTATTGTCATGTTCCAATGGAAGCCCGACAGCGATAATACATGTCGATTAGTGCTACTCTGTATTCACAAACCTAACTAACGAGACCCCCTAACAACAGTGTACCGTCGACAATTGTTGCCATGCTTTGGAGAAAAGAAACTACTCGTTACGGATCATACAGACTAATTTTCCTGCTCCATCCTCGAAGCCAAACATCATAAAGTCATGTGCGACTCCACCCTTTACCAGAAGCCAGTGCCGCTCGGCTTCGGCTGAGCGTCCTTGTTGAAGTACGAGCTGATGTCATTGTCCACGCCGCAGTTGTGGCACTTGTGCACCACCTTTGGTGCACCGTCGCTGCTGGCAGTATCATGAGGGGCAGCGCCGGAGCTGGCGCCGGCCGATGTTGCCCATGCCCCCGTCGCCGCAGCCAGTGCCGGGGCCATGCCCTGTCCACTGGATCGCGCCGTCTGATATCTTTCAGAGAAACCTTGAGCCCCATGCTTCGGAGGAACAGGGGTCGCACTGTCCTTTTCGCTCGTGGTAGGTGAGGGTGATGAGCGCGTTACCGGGACTGCCGTATCCTGGGATGTTCCAGGCGCGGGCGTCGAGCGAGGGGTAGTAGCAGTGTATGCGACCGGCATCACCTCAGGGCTCATCTGACTGGAAGAGTGCTCACGAGAACGAATCGCGACATCATTTCGCGCTCCCATGTGGGACGTGTCGAGCAAAGGCTCCTCTGGAGTGCTCTCAGTGCGGGGCGATGTGTACGGAATGGCAGCAATGTGTGGAGCATTTTGGGCGACTCTGTTGCTTCCGAATCCGTGATCGGTGCCGGACTTTGTGCCGGTTGCCTGAGTGTTGGACTCGTCCTGTCTTTGCGCGTATGTGTCCTCGCTGCGGCGGCGTTGGCTTGGCTGGACCTTGACGCCAGAAGGGGTTCCAGAGGGAAGCACGTTGTAGGGACCGGTAGAGCGTCCGGTCTTGTCCTGGACTGGTCCGGAATCTGAAGCAGCCCTATCCTTGTCGGCTGCAGATCCAAGAGCCGACGAGCCAGTCTTCACGCCAGACGATGTCCCAGAGGCCAAGGCCTTGTAGTTGCCAGGTTCGTTTGTCGCGCCGTCCCGGGTCTCCAATACAGCCGTGTTGCTCGAATCGGTCTTCAAGCCGGATGGTGTGCCTGTGGCAAGCGTGTTGTACGAGCCGGATTCGTTGCTAGCGTTTCCGGACTGTGACTGGCCGGTGGAGCGGAATGGGGCTGAAGGTTGCTGCTCGTGTTCTCCCTTGGCCTTGGGCGACCCCTCTCTGCGCGAGTGCATGTAGGCGCCAGCCGCTGCTGCGCCCGCTCCAGCCGCCAGGAGAGGTTTGGCCCGAGAACTTTCGTTGTCTTGGGACTCCCGAGAGGTCTCTGCTTGACGGGTTGTAGCCGGAGCATGGGCCGGGCTCCCGGTTGAGTATGTGTCTGGCGATGGGAGAGATCCTGTGTGCTGAACGTGCCTCTCAGCGATGGGAGCAGCGATCGGGTCTGCTGCACCGACACTGCTTCTCATCTTGGCGTCATAGGGCTTCGTGATGGATCTGTCTTCCTCGCCAAGAGCGGTTGCTTGGCCTCTGTAGTTCTCTTCCATGCCATCATGCTTGTTCCTGAAAGGAACGGCCACTGGGTCTACAGCGCCAGTGCTGCTTTTCATCTTGGCGTCATAGGGCTTCGTGATGGACCTGTCTTCCTCGCCAAGAGCGGCTGGTTGGCCTCTGTAGTTCTCTTCCATGCCATCATGAATGTTCCTGAAAGGAACGGCCACTGGGTCTACAGCGCCAGTGCTGCTTTTCATCTTGGCGTCATAGGGCTTCGTGATGGACCTGTCTTCCTCGCCAAGAGCGACTTGTTGGCGTCTGGAGTTTTCTTCCATGCCATCATGCTTGTCCCTGGAAGGAACAGCCACTGGGTCTACGGCGCCAGTGCTGCTTTTCATCTTGGCGTCATAGGGCATTGTGATCGAGTTGTCCTCATCGCCTATAGCAGCCTGCTGGAGGCGGTAATTCTCGTACACGTCGTTACCCCTTGGTGACGACCCGGACTGCGGGCTTTTGTTAGACTCCTTGTCGTCTTTGCTGTGTTTGCGCAGTACGCTTGCGCCAGTGGCACCTGCAGCTGCTCCGGCCGCGATCTTTTCCTTCTCGTGCCTAGACTGGGGCCCAGCAGCGTCATTCTGGGGCTCGGATGCCAAAGTTTCGTCGCTATCCTTGTCATCCTTGTGGCGATGGAAAATCCCGAGGATTCTGTGGTGCCTCTTCTCTCCCTGGACCTGGGGTGGGTTGTCCTCGCGGCTCTTCTTCTTCTTCACAGGAGACGCCTCCTTGGGTTCCTTCTCCTGCTTCTGGCGATGAGGGAGCACACCAGCGATAGCACCTAGCGGGCTGTGCTTGTCCTTTGAAGCAGCAGCGTCCTGGCTGACACCGCGGTTCGCGATGGTGCTGTCTTCATCATTTCTGTGCCTGTGCTTATGCTTGTCTGCCAGTTCGGATGCAGCAATTCCAGTTCCAGCACCAGCAACACCCGCGAGAAGAGCCTCCTTGGTGTGCGAGTCAGATCTCTCAGACGTCAAGGTCTTGTCGGTGTGCTCTTTGTCGGTTAGAGGGAATGCTCGAGGGGCAGTCGAGTCATTGTTGGCAGGGACACCTGATAGTGCAGCACCAGAAATGAGGGTGCCAATTTGTGGAGGGGAAGATGCCTTGGGACTAGCGATGTCCGAGCCGAAGTCATTCACCAGAACATCATTTTTAGGAGACGTCGACTGATGCTCAGGGACGCCTGGCAATGGGGCAGCAAACGCGCGGCCAGAAGAGTGTTGGGCGTGCCGCATGCTCTCCTCATCTTGGCTTCCGTGACCGATGACACCGTTATGCACACCGGTCTGCGGGTAGTCAGCCGCATTGCCAGCAACGTGGGACGTCTCGGGTTCTGTTGGACGTGCTGGCAAGCCGTGGTGCTGGTCATGGTCGTCTCCCGGGCTACCATGGCCCGTGACCGTGTTGTAGATTCCTCCGCTCGCGGCCTTGGGCAAGCTGCCCCAGTAAGGGGGGGTGTTACTGCCAGAAGCACGGGGCTGAGCTCTCGGCTCGACGTTGTCGTCTGCAGCGGTACTAGTGCGCTGCTGGCCAATGGCGGTGTTATCGGCAGTGAACGCGCTACCGTTTTCGCGCGGAGTGTCCTGGGAAAATGCGCGCGGTGTGAGCTTTTGGGCCTCTGTCTCGAAAGGGGCAGGAGCTTTCTCTCGTGAAAAGAGGGCGCCGACGGTCTCGGGAGCGTAGGCGGCACCATTGAGAGACTCGCGAGTCGCGTCGTGGGAAAGTGCTGGCTGCGCAGCCGTCGAGTCATGGCTGTCGAGAGGGTTTTTCTCCCGAGCGTAGAGACCGCCGCCGACGGCTTCCGAGTAGTCGCCGCGCCGTTGGGACTCGTCCCCAATGAAGGGGCCAACGCGGTCGCGCTCAGTCAGGCCTACGCCAGAGTCGGAGTACCCGTGGCCGCGCTGGTCTTGCGGCGGGTCTTGCGGCTTGTGCAGCTTGTTACGCTGGTCTTTGTGCATGTTGACTTCGTCGGGGGTTGCAACGCCTGGGGTAATTGGATATTGGCCAGGGAGGTCGTCCATAGCGCGGAGTGACTTGCATGCACCTGGCCTCGTTGGTGACGTCGACGTGTAAGTGCAAGTATAGACTAGGGTTGTCGCACCGTGTAAATAAGCTTAAGAGATGGAATTAGTGCAAATGGGATGGTAGGATGCTAATTGAGTGACAAGGGAAGAAGAAAGAGCTTTTGAACAGAGCAGCAAGACGGGAACCTTCATTAATAGGTATGCGATGCGCTCCTGGCGTGCAGCAGCTCTCGTCCATCGGCCGCAGCTTCCTATGACTTCAGCTTCTTGATGGCTCTGTGCGATGACCGCCCACATTGACATCATCGATGCGTAGCGAGCTTTGCTAGCGAGTCAACAGGCCAATCAAGCGCCGAAATGCTCCGCTGAAGCGCCAGAAGCGGGGCCACTATTTAACGTTTGGGCTTGGCGTGGGCCAATTAGCGGCCCGGTTAGGCCCTGGGGAGTCGTGCACACTCGCCGCTGCCGAGTTCCTTGATTCCACAAAGCTGAGCGGCATGTCATATGCGTCAGCGGTGCCGGGGGCACTAAACCCTGGCCCGTTTTGGAATGGATTTAGTCTCTGAAGTCACTTCACGCAAGACTTCGTTTTACTTCCATTGAACACAACGCACACAAGCCACTTACGCAGTGGCGCACCCGTTTCGCACCTGCTTCCATCTGTTCGGGCAGTCGCGTTTGGACTAAAAAAACAGCCGCATTAAAGCAAGTCTTGCAATGCAAAATCAAGACATCGCCTAATCAACAAGTGCTCAGGTCTGATCAATATCTCGACAAGGTTTTTTTTCTTTCGGGGGCTTTTTTTTCATTATAGGCGGTTATCACAATTCGATCATTACTTCTGTGGCTTTTATTCCGAACGGGAAAGTTATCTGTTACGTCAAATTCTTCGTCCCAACCTTCGGTTCACGTAGCTTCAAAACCTAATCAGTGCTAATATTTTGAGATCAATCGAATTGTCTTTAAATCTCATGGATACGTCGCTATTAATATATCTATATTGCGGAGGCTCGCGAATCCTGAACCATCATTGGGATCCACAATCGCTAGATGGTATCGGAACTTTGCGGGCGAGGGGGTGATTTGGGAAGCGACCGGCTACCAAAGCGAATACCGTTCATCTTCTCCGAAGTCGTAATCCGTCTCATAGTCCTCTCCAACCTCGGTGATTCCGTCTTCAGCTTCGCTGTCGGGTTCAATATCCATATCCATCCAAATGACTCTGCGGTAATTGTACTCTAGAGCCTCGACATGTTCTTTACCGCTGCTGTAGTCCCACTCGTTGAGGTTATTGGCGTCGCTGTCTTGAACAACTCTCGATATCTTATCAGCCCTGTTCAGAATACGCGCCAAAATCCTCTTGGCTCTTGGACCGAGCCGGCTTTGGTCGGCGCCGTATTTGACAAGCAGCGTGACGAGTTTCCGGTTCCGGCCCCTGTCCTTTTTTCTGTACAGGTCGAATGCGTTTTCAGACCCCGGATATGTCTGAGGGGTCAAGGTGAAAAGAACATCGCTCAGCAAGAACCAGGCCTTTGGCCAAGGCGCAGTATCACTCTGTTGGACAAAGTAGGGCACGTTTGGATCGGCTCCTGCACTGAGCATGGCTTCGGCAGCCACCAAGTCTCCCCCCCAGCATGCCCGGCCAAGAGCGGTGACGCCCCCAAAGTCGCGGGCTGAGGCCTTGGCCCCATTGGCCATGAGCTCGTGGATGACTTGTTTTTGGTATTTCCGGAATGGTTTGGGGACGTCAGAAATTACGGGACCGACGCAGTCGAACAATAGCAAGTCCGCCCGTGTTGTCTTCGAGAATGTCCGCCATTCAGTCCCAGTGCAACGTTCTCCGAGATCATCCAGTCGTTCATCATACTGCTACGACATCAGGTCTTCCAGACCAACCTCACTTAAATGCACCATCTCATGGGAGACCATGGTAGGGCTCGTGGGTGTGCTGATCTGAAGAGACTCGATCGACGGAGTGAGAGTTCCGTCATCGGGCGGTTGGCTCGTCTCGTTTCCCAGGCTAGCGCCTGCGCGAATGAGTGCCAGCGCGACTTCAAAGTTCCCTACCGAGCATGCCATAGCAAGTACTCTACGCCCATATTCGTTCTGCCAATCGATGTCGGCGCCGTGACTAAGGAGCATGTGGACGGCTGAGAGGCTTTTAGCGGACCCTTCGTAGGCCGCCGTACAGAGCGGCGTCAAATCCGAATTTCACTGCGGATCCCCAGCAGGTACATGATCTGGATTAACTTGGCGATCCGTGACAAGATACTCGACAATGTCAGCGTGGCCGAATATCGCTGCCGTTTGTAGCGCACTTTGTCTTATGTTGACATTGTAATCTTGATCATTCTGAATATTCTTGACACCGGTAACCTGGTCTATACTGGCTCCCCTATCGATCAGAGCCTTTACGATGTCTTTAAAGCCGTGGTAGATGGCCACGAACAGGGGCCACCGAACTTCCAAAATGTGCCTGTAGCCTCGCACAAACTCCAACGTGTCGTCGTCGTCGTCGTCGAACTCTACAATCCTTGAAGCCTGTCGGCGGTACCATACACCGTTTACGTCAGCTCCTTTCTCGAGGAGAAGCGTGACTATTTCTTTGTGGCCTCCATCGATGGCGGCGTGTATGGGCAGCCAGTCATCATAGAAGCGACCCTTTCGTAGGCTGCTTACGAATCGAGTGTTTACGTCGGCTCCGGACTCCAGTGCACGCTTCCCAAGTTCAAGGTCTCCGTCTCGGGCACCCCGATAGAGAGCATGCCGTCCGAAAAATGTAAAGAGTCCTTTCTCCACGATGTCGTGGACGTTTCGACAAGTATGCCCCAGAGATGCGAGACCCTCTACCCTGTCGAACTCCCCGGCGATAGCCAAGACAAACTCGACAGGAAGATCCGCGAATCCACTTATCCTCGGTGGTGAAGGAGCCATTGTTGTAAGTATGATGGCGTTTGGCCTTGCGTCTCTGAAGTGAATGTAGTCTCTGATTGTTTGAATGTTGGCGAGTAGCGAGTTGTCCGAGTTTTCGAACCTGGAACGTGGAGGTAGCGAGTTGTCCGAGTTTTCGAACCTAGAACGTGGAAACCCAAGATTTTCTTATAGCAAAGATTAGCCTAACCGCTGGTTTCTTAAAAAACCCACTAGTCTAATTGTCAAGGATTCTATTTTCCGAAGCTACAGCAACCTCGCATACAAAGCCGCTGAGCCTCCCGCTCCCGGCAAGTAATATGATCCTTTGTGATCGCGTATCACTCGTTTCCATTGTCTTTTATTACACTTTGATTGGCACTTCGTTGCAATTACCAAACAATTGTCCAACAAAGTAACACCATTCGGGTAATAAATTAACAAGTCTTCACGTACGTTCAAGAGCGGTGAACAAACAGCATTGGAGTCTTATCGACTTTAGATCATTTGCACCACATTGCCTCAGGCCAGGGCGCGAAATTGACATTGTCCATTGAAACACTAAAATTTAATTCTATAGCAGGGATAATGACAAGCCACGTTTTCCAATATGCGCCATTGACCAAAACCTCAACGCCTCTCCCAAGCGGGACCTGTTCTCTGTCTAAGGAGTATCTAACCAATCAAAGTCTAACCAACCGATGACCACCGCTATGCCCGGATGAAAGACGAAAAAAGAAATATGAAACGAAGATGGAAGAAAATGAACAAAGTTTGAAACAAAGGAGAGATAATCTCGGACAGCTTGCATCAAGGCAAATACTGAAACAGTGACGAGTTACTCACCAGAGGCCGGCCAGATCACGAGAAATGAAGATTAGCCATACCAACGTGGTACGACTCCGACTGTCCCCACTGCGACCACGAGATGGGAATGGTCTTTCCGGTCGGGTCGTAGTTGCTATACGCGTGGAAAGCATAATTGTACCCGTCAGCGACGGGAGGGAGCTCGTAGATGGGGACGGGCTTCGACCAGCCCGACTCGAGCTTAGTGCTGAACGACATGTAGGCTGCGCCACGAAAACAAAAACCAGTTAGCACCACGTTCCCACTTTTTTGTTCATTTTTGCCGTCTCCGCCACGGCCTCACGGCTGACGATCGATCACATGACAACCACCGCCAGCCATCATCGCATCGCGTCATATTGATCACATAAACAAAAGACAAACTCACCATGGGCATCCAGGGCCGGCGCACCCGACATGAACAGCAGGACGTACTGGCCGTAGAGCTGGCTGTAGAAGAGGTCGCCGCTGCCGGGGCCGTACTTGACGCCGAAGCCCTCCCAGCTCCAGCTGAGGATGTTTGAGTGGCCGCCGTCGGCGAAGGGAGGGATGGCGGGGGACCAGGCGGCGCCGTCCCAGTACTGGTACTGGGAGCGGTCGGCGAAGGCGGCTTGGGGCACGCGGGCCATCTTGAGGCCGTGGTTGGCGTCGTCGGCCGTCTTGGAGATGGCGGCGAAGGTGTACAGGAAGCCGTCGACGCCGACGAGGGTGCCGAAGGAGCCAAACAGCGGCTCGCCGTTGTTGAACAGGGCCTGCGTCGGCCGCTCGACCACGGGCTCGTACCCCGTCAGCGAGATCTTGATGGCCGTGTTGTACAGCAGGCTGGCTAGCCCGTTACCAGGGTGCTGGCGGTCGACGACCTCGGGGAACGACACGCCGCAGATGCCACCGCACAGCGTGGCGATGCCCTGGTTGGGCCAGATGCCCGTCTTGTAGTCGTCCTCGCCGCCGGCGTAGAAGAAGGGCACCATCTGGTTGGGGCCCTTGTCGGGCGTGCCGAAGTCGGACAGCTTGGTGACGCCCTCGCCGTGCCAGTCGGACACGGCGATGGAGTTGGACGAGAAGTTGGCCCAGTTGGAGAAGTCTTCGGCCGGCGGCCGGCCGTCCTTGGTGTAGATTCCGTCCGAGAAGATCATCATGTTGAGGCCGTTGATCCTGCCGCCGCCGCCGCCATCGCGGAACACGTTGGGAAAGTTGGATGTCGTCCTGCCGAGAAACTCGACGCTGGGGGGAGGCACTGCTACCGCGCGGGGCCTGGGAGCTGAGGAGGAAGCAAGGGGCGTGCCGTTGGAGTGCGCAAAGAGAGCGGCGAGAAACAAAGCGCTGCTAAACATGATAAAGGAGGGTGGGATTTGTGCACGGCGTTTCAAATACGGTGCATAATCCAATGTTTAGCTCAGACGCTTGACACAATCATGGCGAGACCAGCTCGCTGTATGTGTCCACACCCGAAGTGATAGCCAGGAGGCCGCAGCTCACACAGCTCACTCAGCGCAGGGAGGACTATGGCGGGATGCTAGCTCCCTGAATGCCTGCTAGGTCGCTAACAGGGCTGTGGAGGGCAGGGATGGTGCGTAGGGCTGCAAAAGAAAAGAAAAAAGAAAGAAACCCAAAAAAAAACACTCGAATTGGGCCCCAGAAGAAAAAACGACCAGGAAGAAACCAGAAATAAAATATGAATATGCCAGAAAAACAGAACAAGAGAGGGGATAGGACGAGGAGGGCAGAGGGGAAGAAGAGTGGAGTCTCACTTGTCGAACCCATGGCGGGTCTGTGTCGCGCCGTTGGTCTGCTGTGCCGAAGGCATTCCAACGTTGGACAGGGGCCGTGTTTGGGTTTGGGATCCAACGAGCCTCAGCGACAGGGGTTGGGGCCTGGGGGTGGTTCGGTAGTCAGTCTGCGGGAGTTGGCGATCCGAAACGTGGGATCCACTCCCAAAGTTGCATTCGTCCCAAGTTTGCACGCTTACACCAACCATACTTTGTGTATTGGCTGTAATACGGAATAAAGTAATCAGGGTCAACCCATTTGAACATCCAAGTCCGCCCTAACCCTGAGAGCCAAATTCCAGGTTCTAGCTCAGTGCACACAGCAGTTTCCTAGGTCTTGGAAAATGGTTACTTGTTGGTTATAAGGCTATTGCCCGGCCTATCACGCTGAATCGCGGGGAATATGTTACACCAGAACTGCAATACTGCGTGGGATATGGGGGGCGGTTGGTGACACCTGGGGATCGAGGTGGTAAATGTGGGTCTGGAAATGCGTTTGGGGCGTATTCCCTCCGTACGGTAATTTGCTTGCGAAAGGAGCTATTCTAGTCAAACACTGCCCAGACTTTTTGGGCGGCGTGAACAAGTTTGTTCATTAAGGTTTATTAGCGCCCCGAGTCCCGCTCGCAACCAGTGCCGGAGCGGCCCTCTTACTCGCTCCCCCCCGGCCTCTCTCTCTTTCATGTCCCAATAGAGATTGCGAGCAACTAATCAGCCTACTGTACGCATACGCGGCGCGCTGAGTCTGACAGTTTGGCCACGAACGCGTTTACCAATCGTCATGCCTTCACTAAATTAGTTCTAAGGTTTCGGCCCCTTCCCCCTCGCTGAGTTATTAAGGTTAATCTACTTTCACAACATCAGGACGTTCCATTTTGGCAACTTGGCAAGCTCCTCCCACTGCCCAACGTGCATAAGATACGCTTTCTATTGCCGCTGCAGACTGCGGTTCAATGAATCCACCATCAAATCCACGGATACCGAGCTAGCCAAGAAGCTCCTGCCCCCAATCCCATCTGCAGCCGCCGACTGCGACGGGATGTCGAGTCAAGTGCACCAACATCCCCCCGACCCTTTCCCTTTCCCGCACCCACCCCGACCCCGACCCACCCCGACCCCGGGTGGCCCGACCATCCCAAGCCACAGCCACGCCGCCGCTAGTGGTTGTCGTTCATGAACCGCTGCAGCCATTCATTGCGCCCCGTGAAGCTGCGGCACTTTTTGCCAAAGACCCTACACCCAAGCGCCAACCGGCTGCGTATCAGTATGTGGAACTGGGAGGAGGGTGGGTGCTGAGAACAAGACTCACCACAGCGGGATGGTCAGCAGGCACACAAACAGGAACAGCGACCCGAGGATGCAGAAGACGACGAGCGCGCCCTGCTCGGCCAGCCAGTCGTTGACAAAGTAGGTCAGGCCAAAGGTGAGCAGGTTCCGCGCGTTGATGGCCACAAAGGCCTCCTCGTTGTGGCTGCGGTAGCTGTCGACGACGTACCCAAAAACGCACGTCGACGCGAACACAAGGCTCATGTTGGCGAGCCCGAAGCAGAGCACGGGGCCGAGCCAGTGCGTCTGGTACTGTACCGTCGCGCCAAACCCGAAGAAGCCCACCACGCCCACCACCGTCGCCACCACCATCAGCGGCAGCCGGAACTCGGGCTCGTAGACGCCCCGGTTCTTCTTGGTCAGGTAGATGCAGATCCAGTCGTTGAGCGGGCCCGACACCAGCTCGCCGATCACCGTCAGCAGGAACGGCGACAGGCTGATCAGCCCCGTCTGGCTGATGGAGAAGTTGTACGGCGGCCCCACGAAGATGACGCCGTTGACCACCGAAAAGACGACGATCCACGTGAGAGTTGTGCCTGTTTATCATCTCCTGTTGTCAGTCTCAGTGATTTCGTAGTCGCCTGTCAAATAATCACGCACCGTAGATGAGAAAGCCCCACATCACGGCCGGGTAGAACAGCATGACGACGGGGCGTACAAAGACCTTCCACCCCGGTGCATACGAGTAGCGCCCCGAGAAGACGCGCAGCGACTGCCAGTACGTGTGCTTCTTGTCGGCGCCGGCCGGCGCGCCGGCCGGGTACGACGTGTGCATGTCGGCCTCGCTGACGTGCTGCGCGTCGTGGTCGTGGCCGAGCTTCATCTCGTGGGTGCTGCTGCTGCCAGTGCCACCCTCGACGTCATGCTTCTCGTCGTCACCGGCCGCTGCAGGCACGATCACGACCGAGTCGCGGCGGTACGCCGTCTCGGGCACCAGGAACACGACGCCCAGCATGAGCAGGCCGAACATGATGGCGCACACGCCAAACGTCCAGCGATAGCCGTCGCGGTCAATAATCTGCCCGGCGATGAGCGCGCCGCCGCTGATGCCCGTCAGCAGAAACAGATTCCACACGGCGATGCGCGTGGCGCGCTCGTGCACAAAGTACAGGTCGCCGATGGTGCACTGCACGAGGACCTCGTAGGGGGCCATGCCGATGCCGGCGATGACGCGGCTGGCCAGAAAGGAATTGTACTCGGACACGGCGGCGCCCCACACGCTCGTGACGAACATGATGACGATGGCCAGGATGTACACGGGGCGGCGCCCGATGATCTTGGCCAGCGGGTTCGTCAGGAACAGCGCCAGCCCGATCATCAGGATCACCCACGCCGTCGACTGCGCCAGCACCTCGACCGTGATGTTCAGGTCCGCCGCCACCTGCACGAACCCTGGCGACAGCATCGGCCCGTAAGCCCCCACTACTGCTGCCGACAGCCCCACGATGAACAGGATCAGTTCCTTTTTCCTGTGCGCCCCGTCAGTCGGCCGAGATCCAGGTGTTGGTGTCAGTCAAGGGGCTCACGCACCATTGGGGCCACTGGATTCACGCCATGTCAGCACGCCGATTCTTCTCGCTGCGGAGGAAGGGAATTACTCGCATTCAACGGGTCGTTGGGGCTGTCGGACGGCTGCGGCACGAGGATCACGTCCTTGAACCGGCCCGTACCGTGCTTGAGCAGCTCGCGCGGGAGGCCCGACAGCTCGGGCGGCAGGTCGTCTTGGTCGCTCAGGAAAGCTTGATCCCTCTCGCGCACACTCGCCCCGTGGGGCGAGTGTTGTGTCTTGTCAGCTCATTTGTCTCGTGGTTGAAATTTCACATTCGAAGTTGGGAATTCGGTGACGCGACGCGACGCGACGCGATGCGACGCGATTCATTTGCCATTTTATGTAGGATATGTAGGATGGCTTTCACCGGGGGAAGGAGGGAGGGATTCGAGGGGACATACCCGTGCCAGGCACGACTTCCATCTTCTTGTCGTCCAGAATTCCGAACGGCATGTTGGGCGGGTTGGTTGGAGGATGACGACAGGAGATAGAGAGACACCCGACGGCTTGATAACGAGGCGTCTACTGTCTAGACGCGTGCACAGCAGATGGATGGCATATATACCCACATACACAGATACACAGACACACAGACCGGGGCGTGCAGGGCCCGTTGGTGCAACATTCATTAGTAGCGAGCAGTTAGGGGCCCGCGCGGATATCTACCACCGAGGAGTGTGTAACACTGCCAATAACATCAATGCCTCCGGCTTGTAGATGTGCGACCACGCTGCGCGGCTATCAAGTGAAGGAAGCTAGTTCCCATTTTGCGAATTGGGTTCCGCCGACGACGGATACCATGAAGCCCTTCCACAGTGGCAATGGTTATCCGTATGCTAATCAACACTAGACTCACCACCGACTCCACAGGTGGATATCCTATGCTCAACCGGCGGTGTGCCCCCTTCTCCAAGCAACCACCAGATACTAGCAACGACCCCGAAAGCCATGTCACGCTCATGCGGGGTACCTTAGCCAGATCGCCCCCCCGGGATGTATCTCTGTCGGTAGTTGCGGAGGTGCCAATAACCACTATTATACCCGCCCGAGGCTAACAAGAGTCGAGATTGGTATGTCTGCCTTTGGTGGCACGGCTTGGCGGCTGCAACGACCAGGTCCCTGTCGGCGGGTCCATCGCTCGTGGATTCATTGGTTCGACGGGCCGGGTCTGGGTTGATGTTTCTAACGAGGACTGGTTCATATAGTTGTTGGGATGGCGCACAGAACGTGTGTCATTATTACTATTTCCACCTCATATGGCGGATAATATGGAGCAGGCCACGAGGCAAAAAGAGGTCCCAAGTCTGGGTGCGGGCCCTTGTGCTGTCTTGTCGCTGCGTGTCCAGCGTCAAAGCCATAACAAGAGTCTATTCTAATTTGAGGTGCGACGGCGGCCTGTGGTTTGGCATGCAGGATTATCGTGGTAATCAGGGGAATTAGTGAACCAGGTTTGTTTGTAGGTGCCTGACTTGGCCCTGTCGGGTAACAGATGCCGAGGTTGCATGGAATTACTCCGCACCGAGTTCGTGGTCAAGCCGGACGCTAAGGTACCTTCGGGATGTGGGGTTGTAGGTGTCCACCGGGGCGATGGATAGGACAGCAACAGCAGTAGCCTGTACTGGTCTCCGGGAGAGAGGGGGTCAACAAAGGGGCAAGGGTTTTGGATTTGGGGTCGTCGATTTCCGTGACTTGTAGTTATCGAGTAATGATGACCGGTAAACAGCTGTGGATATCTCAAAGCTCTGCTAAAATGCATTATTCCAAGCTTTTTATTGACAGCCGAAGCCCAACATCTACCAACTCTCGCGACCTCCCCAGATCTGATAAAAAGCACGGACATGTCCACGTCCTTACAAGTGAGACACCGTCTGGAGCCACGAGGGCATCCAGTACACGCCGACAGGCAGGGAACGAATGCTCAGAAACGACTCGACAATGATGAAGACGTGGGAAAAAGCGAATGCAAAGAATACAAGGCCCACGAACTAGCATTTCAGCCCAATGTCTTTGGCATATCGCCAAGAAACCCTTTCAGCCTTTGAAATACCCCGTCCTTCCGTACCTTAAATAGAACGAGCCCAAGCCCATTAGTCAAGATGTGAGAGTTATAATGCAGCGGCCCAGAATAATCGAGCTCGGGATACCTATATAATAGTTGGGAACCTTGAAGGTAGAGCTGCGGCTGCTGAATCGGACCTCCGTCAATCTCCTGGATCATATTATTCACCCTCTCAGCGCTGATCATGTCTTGAGGGGATAGCTTCTCGAGGGCTGAATTTTTGGCCACTTCAAATAAGCCCTGAAGGACGAAGAACTGATCACTGTTCGGCATAGAATTTATAAAATTAGAGATGCGTTGGATTTTCGGAATATCCAGGCCTAAATTCTGTACAGCTTTACCAGCTGACATCAGGCGCGCCAAAACATCCAGAGTAAATACCTTTCCTCGGCGGATATCGTTTGCGAGCAGTCCTCTGACCGGATACTGTCCAACAAAGAAGACAACTGGGCTCTCCAGTCAAGAAACCCGAGATAGGTTTGAAGGGAAATTTCAGGGTTATATAAGCCCCATCCACAAGGTAGGCGTTCTGTGTTCTCTTTATGGATATTTGCAGAAATATCGGTGTGATTGCCGCCTGAATCAGAGGGGTATAATACTGTTGCGTGGTTCTATTTGAGGCAGAGCTGTTCCTGAACCGTGAGAGCCAATGCGTCCTGAAAGGGTTCAGTATCAACCACCTCAGGCTCCCCGATATTGGCTGGTTTCTTTTGTATCTGCGCTAGAACTGGGACTTGCGTAGGGGCAGGAAGAGACGTGGAGGGAGGGAAATAAAACAGGTAGTATACCTTAAACTAGAAGATATACATAGCTAGGGTACACACAACATGCACCAGGGTATGGATTTCGAGTAGGGAGATGGGCAGGCCCCATGCCGCGCGAAAGGCGCACTGCACGGCCATCCAGGTGACCTGGATTACAACAAGAAATTTCTGGATGATGTTGGCCTTACTCTTGTCGTCAATCTCGGCCTCGGAAATGGTAACGAAATGGCTGGTCCGTGCGAGTTGCAAGATACCAAGGGTGGATAGAGAGAGCAGCATATCCGGGGGTTTCACCCATTTGCCCACTGTACCCCGGCTACGGTAGATGTCTTCGATGGAAACCTGAAAGCCACCCATGACAGCAAAGAAGCAGAACTTCAACGAGTAAGTGCTCTGAGAAGAGGTCAGCAAACGATAAGCTACGTGTCTCTGTTAAATATCGAAAGCAACCAACTTACCTCATCTAGATCCCCCTCACGGTAGCCCCTTTCCTGTAGAAGCTCTTTCATGTCCCTCAGGAAGCGCCGGGCCTGAAAGAATTGGTCTAAGGCAATATAGAGGACTAATTCGGGCGCAAATAGGGCGATGACGGTCCATTTGGCCTTGTGTAGGAACCTGTTCTAGGTGCCGCTTACTACAGGGATATTGAGGTGTAGAGCCGTGTAGATACAGGCGACCAGGGTGACAAGACAGGACCAAAGAATGGCCAGGGTGCCGCGAGTTTCGGGTGACGCCACCCATGCGGGCGCCGCGATGTCGCGCAGAGCTGTGCGATTATCCCGGTTTTGGTCAACGATGCCCTGGACTGTCGCGGTGCTGTTATCTTGCGCTAGCGCCGGTACGGCGAGTACAAGCGCAGCCGCAATGGCGAGGAGATCAATGAAATGCATCGTGCTTCTGGCAGCAGGATTCGTTGCATTTGGGAGGTTGGGAGTTTGTTCAGGATTGTGTCACTGCGGCTGAAAATGTTGGGCGCCCTCCACGATCTGCTCTTTGGCCGTGTTGCTCTTTGGCCGTGTCCAATGGGATCATGAGGAACAACATTCTACCGGATCAAAGCCTTCCCTAATTGCGGGTGAGAAGTGCAGAAAAGAAGCCCCAGAACAATGTGAGCTTTCCACAAATTGCGCGTGTCCATAGAAGTATAGACAGACATATACCGTCATTGTTCAGGTAAGTGGCTGAATCGACGCTCACACATCCATAACCATGAGCATTGGGTCAAGTGTTATGCTTGCACTTGTCTTTTAAACGACAAGAGAACTCTGTGTCACTTGGTGCTTAAAAAGGCAAATCATAGGTGCGCCTTCCCTCCATCGTTTACCCTAGGCGCTTCCAGCAATCGCAACTGCCATCAACCGTAAACGGATCCCATTTTAGCGCTCAAAGTCAGGCACGACCCAATACAGCCTCCAACCCACGATCACGCATTGCTCCTGCCCAAGAAAATCGCTAAGTTCGGCACAACTCACAGTGTAAATGTTGCTGATTCCCAGGATCACATTCAGGCTGTACCTATGTATGCGCGCATACCTCAACCCTCTACGTAAATAATTGTCGCGGTGGCTTCGGGTATGTATGTACTCCATGTATGTACTGTACCGATACAGCGTGCTGTGTTTTAGCGCCTGGAGTCTTGGGTAGCGTAAGGTAGGGCAGGTGCCCCACCCTTTCCAGCCCTTCCACCTTCCACCGCTACCCGGAACAGTTTCTTTGTCCGCGTATTCCCACAGCTCTCCTGCAACGACGACCGATCTTTGTCCATGCCCAACAAAAGCCACCAACAATCGCATACATGCCCACCGGCAGTGGTGATACCACGACAGAACTGCGATTAACTTCATCAATTACGTTACGTACTATTTACTAACTTTTAAGAGAAGAAAACAAGCAAGCAGAATCACTGCCAAGACCCGTCTAGGCCCTGATACGCCCGCGGGGGGTGCGCTGGGTACGGTATACCCCCGTAACCCTGCTGCTGCTGCTGCTGCGGCTGCACCGCCGGATACTGCGGTTGTTGTTGCTGCACTAGATACGCCTGCGACACCTCCGCCGGCGGCTGTGGCTGCACCGGATATTGCGGTTGCTGCACCGTATACGCGTGCTGCATCTCCGGCGACTGCGGCGATGGCTGCGGCTGCTGCGGCTGCTGCTGCACCGGATACTGCTGCTGCATATGCGGCGGCGCGGTCGGCTCCTCGTAGTGCACGGGCAGCTCCTGCGACCGCGTCCAACCCTGTTGTCCCTGCCCTTGCGTCTGACCCTCGTAATGCTGGTAATACCCCTGCCCCGGCCCCTGCCCCGGCCCCGGCCCGGGCCAGCCCTCGTACAGCGACGCGGCCAGACTCGGCCCGTCCAGCTCGGACCCGCGCACCGTGCTGCGCTCCTCGAGCTCCTGCAGCCCGGGGCTCATGCGGCCCGCGCGCTCCTCGAGCTCCGACACGGGGCTCGTCGTGCCGCCGCGCCCCGCGCCCGCCGCTGCCGCCCAGCTCTGCCGCTGCGAGTTAGAGTGCGGAGACAGCGGCTGCGGCTCGGGCGACCCGGGCGTGCTGCTGCTGACGATGGTGCTGCTCGCGGCGCCGCCGTCCAGCTTGGCCGCGTTGGCCGCGTACGCGCCGTACACCACGCTGCCGTGCGCGCCGCCGCCGCCGTTGGACATGCCGCCGGCGTGCAGCGCCGAGTTGAAGCCGACGGTAGTGTTGGCGGTCGCGTCGTCGCTTCTAGCGCTGCCGCTGCGGTGTTTGCGCCAGAGAATGTACGCGAGCAGCAGGATCAGCGCCAGACCGCCCGCGGCCGCGCCCACGCCGATGCCGATGACTGCGCCTGTAGGGAGGCCCCCCGAGTTGCTGTCCCCTGTCGGGTCGGGGCGGTTCGTCGCGAAGATCACGATGGCTGCGCCGCCGGATGTTGTTGTTGTGAGGACGACGTTGCTGTCTGTCGGCGTGCTCGAGTAGCTGGGCGTGAAGGTCACGGTCACGGGGACGGGCGGGGGCGCGCTGCTGCTCGGGGGCGTCGGGGACGGCGGGGTGCTGCCAGGGCTGTTGGAGACGGGCGACGGCGGCGTGGGCGAGGTGGCGGGCGACTGCGGAGGCGACGGCAGCGTGGGCGAAGTGGCGGGCGGGTCAGGCTGCGAGGGCGGCGGCGGCTGCGTGAAGACGGTCGTCGTCGACGTGACGGTTGTGGTGGTGCTTGCGCCGTTGAACACGATGGACGTGCTGGTGGCCGCCGAGACCGAGATGCTCGTCACGTATCTCCAGTACGTCGACGTGTAGTAGTTGTACCACGTCGTCGTTACTGTTGCCACGATCGTCTTCCACGCAATCGACGTCCGCTTCTCGACCAGGCCGGCCCGCTCGAGTGCGCGCCGCACCAGCCCCGGGTGGTTCGGCGAGATGCTCATGGTCATGGCCGCGAGGTCTTCGGGGTCGACGGCCGGAGGTGAAGTCGTCATCGCGGCAGGGGGCGCCAGCAGCGCGCGGCGCGCGGCCGCTTTGGTGACTGTGGCCCATTCCGTCGATGTGGCAACCCCGTTCTTGCTGTACTGGGTGACTGTCACGTAGTCGAGCGACACTGTAACATATATTGACGTCTGCGTCGTGTAAAACGTATATGGCACGTATTTGGTGCTCCACCACGTGCTCGTGACGATCTGGGTGATGCTGCAAAGCAGTGTCCGCATTAGAGCCCAGATGGAGGAGAAAGGGGCTTCGGAAGCAAGGGCACCTACACGATGTCGGTGTAGCAATAGCCGTCGGGGTAGCAGGCTGCTCCGGGCTTGCAGCAGATATCGGCCGTGCAGCAAGTGTCGATCAGTGGGCAGCAGACGGTTGGCATGCCAGCGCCAGAGCACATTAGCTGACCTGGACAAGCTCGCTTGACGAGGGTAGCGTCGTGTTCATCGGGGCTCCCAAGCAAGCGGCGACGCAGGTCCGGGGAAGCGTACCGGAGCAGGCCGACGCCGCTAGCTGGGCTTGTATCGGGCAGCTGCGCGGTTGCGTTAGCGTGCTGTGTGGAGAGCGGCGACGCGTCGGCCAACAACACCAGCCAGCTTGCCGCTGCGGCCGCGCCGAGAACGAAACGCAGCGGGAAACGCATCCTCGTGATCATGTTGGCTTAAGAGGACTCTGGTGTCGACTCGATATGCGACCGAGTTTGGACAGCAAGAGAGCAGACAGCCGAGGGCGCGCGCACGCATGACACATGCCGCCCTCTTTATGGCGAACGGGGAACCCATCAGTCGCAACCACAGCGCATTTGCATTTTCCCCACCCATCTCGCTGCTTGGAACAGGTTGCACACCCGCAGGTGGCTTGAAATGGACCCAGCCAGCCTTCAGAAAGACTGCTGGCAACAGACACGCCGGGCTTGCGCCTGGCCCGTCTCGGCCCACCGACTTTCCTTCTGTGGCCAGACCGTCGCCAGATCGCAAAGTCCAGCCAATGGGAAGCTCGGCGGGCGCTGGATGAGGCTGAATATTTTTCAATAGCGCCATGTCCGGACTGCCAGCTTCGGTACTACCGCGTCTTGGCGGGCGCGGGGGGTGGTAAACTTGTTGTTGATCACTCGACGCCTGACCCCCAAGCCTATCCTTGGGAGGGTGGTGTGCCAGTGGCGAGGCTCCAACAACAGCCCGAGAGCTCTCAAAGCGGGCCTGCGGTTGTCTTTGTAACCCGAACGCAACGAGCCCCCCTCAATAGGGTGATGAATTGTTATTGGACAATGGACGGCGTTGAACGTAGAAATAAAGGAGTTCTGTAATAAACAATTCTTTGAACTGAGACTATCTGTAAAGCCGCGATCTTGTTAATTACACTAATATACGAGTATAAAATAAATACAATTCCCCAAATATCTAGGCTAGAAAGTTGCAATTCAGGCAATTCAGCTATCAAGATTCGAAACTCGAAGGCAGAAACTCGAAGGCTCTGATATACACTAAACAGGTATTGCCAGAGTGAAAAATAAAGGTACCTTAGGTAGGTGCGCGTACATCAAGCAAAATGACAGACAGGAGCCGGCACTTTCCAACCCCTTTTCGGACTGGCATTGCCACCCGTAGGTCAAGCTCAAGATCAACACCACCGGCTCTCACACAAGCAGGGCCGTCGGGAACAACGGCTGCCTCGGGGCCGGGAACGGAATCGAAACGATTTTTGGATCTGCCAGCCGAAGCCGTCTATAACATAGCACACCATCTGGACGAAAAAGATGACCTCGGAGCCTTTGCGGCCGCCAACCGCGACATATACAAGCTACTGCGCGAGCCTCTCTACAAGTTCCACAGGCAGTACGCCCTCGCGTGGGGCGTTCGGCACGGCCGGCTAGACATTGTGCGCTACGCACTGAGAATGGGCGCCGACGTGAACAAGGCCTACCTGTGCAGGCCGGCGAAGATGAAATTCGGTAAGAACGAGGGAACGACCCTGAGCGGGAGAACGTGGTCTAGAATGAGAAAAAACCTGAGCCGAGCCACGATCTGGGAGGAATGGTATCCGATCCACATGGCCGTCGAGACGGGCAACCTGGAAATGGTCCAGCTGCTCGTCGAGAAAGGGGCCAGCCTGCGCTCGTACTGGACCCGCCGGGTCGGAAAGCGCGCGGCGAAGCTGTGGGCACGCGAGCCAATGGACCACTTTCACGACATGCTCATTGCGTCGTACCGGCCGCTGCACACGGCCCTCGCCCTCGGCTACGACGACATCGCCAAGTTCCTGATAGACACCAGCCCCCAAATCAAGCGGGTAGCTGGCTGGGTAGCGAACGACGACGTTTTCGAGGACGGAATAGATGAGAAAGACGGAGATGAAAACCGCGGGGGCGAGTTCGGGTGCGCCTTCGACACGGCATTCCACGTGGCGGCGAGATTCGGCCGGGCCGACATGCTCCAGTACATTGCCGACAAGACCACCGTCAACGTCAACATCCAGCAAGCGCACCACGGCTCGGCGTTCGGCGCCGTTGCCGAGGGAGGGCGGGAATTCGGAGCGAGGCTCTGCATCCCCGTGCTGATCGGTCTCGGGGTCCGAATAGACTGCGAGCCCAGCCCTCTGCTGACGGCGTGCGAGCTCGGCAACTTCGAGGCGGCCGTAGCGCTGCTGCGCCACGGCGCCTCCATCGACTGCCCAACCTGGACCCGTGGCGAGCCCGGCCCCGGCACGCCCAGCATCCTGCACTTCTGCGCCCGCGCCTCTGTCTCCCGAGACAACCAATACGCCCAGCGGGAGTTCATCCGCGAGGCAGACAGGAGGGGCGCTGACCACTCGAACTACTACCGCGGCTTCACTCCTCTCGGCGAGGCATTCAGGAGATCGGACGCGGTTGCCATGGACGAGCTGATGTCCTTTGTGGGTGTCGACACAGAGCAGCCCTTTAGAGTTGAAACACCAGACGGGGACCCGCAGGACACTCCCGAGACAATCGTGGAAGCGATCCTCGAGGAAGTCATGAACCCCGCCTACATCAACCCCAACTACATCTTGCCGTTCGACGAGATCGCGCCTCCAGCGGACGAGCCGTCAGGGCTGATTTTCAGACGCGACTTTGCGCTCCCGCTGATGTTGAAGTACTTGGCAGACACCGGCCAGCTCAGCCCTGCAGCCCAGAGACTGGTTCCTCGGCTCCTGCGCGAGGCAGCCAACCGGTGGGGCGACAACGACCGCATCTTCCTGGGCGACCGCCCAAACCCCACGCCTTACACCTTCCGGTCCAATGTCTCCAACGACAGCCAGTGCACCGAGGTTCTCCCCGGCCACGAGGCCCGGAGAATCCACAACGAGCTCAAGGCCCTGATGTTCAACGGAACCCGTGGAGCGGACGGTGACGGCGACAGCGGGGTCGCCAGTGGCTCGTCGGATGAGTCCGACGGCGACTAAGGAGGAGTTGCTGCGTGAGTGTCCATTCGAGACATACGAAATATTCGCTTCTGCTTGGAGTGCGTGATGATGAAATTACTATAATGTTAATGGTAAGATATCTTAGGAAATTTACGACACGGATAATCGTGTCAAACTTGCTCTGTTTTACTTGATATTTGAACTGCCTGCCAATGTGACTGTGACAAGGGGAATCGCCGAACTGCGCATACTTACTTGACACTTTGTGATCCGAGTACCAGATAATAGCTCTAGGTTCCCAGGTTCCGAAAGCGCCGAGTCGGCTTGCTGGAGATTTGGTCGCTCTAATTAGCATGAGCTCTCCAAACACACCCAAACATATCCTCTTGGTCCTGGCTTCAGCGCATCATCCTCCCTCTCCCAAGATTCTACTTTCCGTTTCAGCGAGCCTTGCTCTGTCAACTCCCGAGCCTTTTTCTTCTGGCCGTCGCCCAGCTCTCGGAAAGGCTGCTGCTGGTTTGTTGTTGTGTTCGTCAGCAGTTCTTGGGTTCTGCGTCCGTGGCTTCTTGGGGAGACTTGGTATTCGGCATTACACGTTGAATCTCCAAAACCTAATATAGTAAGTATGACTAGGCCTTGCTAACTACCAAATAATAGGCTTACGCTATCCGATCACAAACGCCATTCTCCTGAATCATCTGTGCTACTACTACAAAGCCCCTAATAGCAGGCACGCTGAACAGCTCATATATGGCTAGTCTCAGGTACTGCTCCTTGCTTGCCCTTGTCGGCTCCTCATATAGCCCCTGCCTGAGCTCAAACATTCGATCCCGAATCCCTGACCATCTTACTCGTGCCGCCTCGGTCTCGTTCTTTGCCGTCTCAATGGACTGAAAGGCTTCGGCTACTGCTAACGCAACGTGATCAATCGCATGACGTGCGCGAACTTGCCGAGGAGCGGCACTGCAAACTCCAGGGCGTACAACCTGGACTCCAATCCCGGCAGTAGGTCTCTGGCCAGCTCCTTCCTGGCGATCCGGTACTTCTTCGCCTCGCCCCGCAGGTGCAGGCGTCGGGATATGTCACCGCCACCACTGTCGACGAGCTCCGTTAGGAAGCAGCCCGAAATAAGCCAGACCAAGACCCGTCCCCCCAGGGCCGAGCAGCAACTCTTTCATATCCGACGACTCGACGATGAACATGGTTTGGTAAGACGGCCGCGCCAGGTTGCCCAGCAGATTGATGGCCGACACGAGGACGTACGGGGTGACGGTGAGACCAAACGCAGCGTAGCCGAACTAGCTCAGCTGGTCGCCCCTCGTTCGGTAGAGCGTGATGGCGGCGTATACTGTCTGACCCAGGGATTAAGAATCTTGACCACATTGTAGCTCGACGATATGGCCGTGGAATTGTCCGCATTTGCTTCTGGGACTTGCCCTTCTCAGGTCTTGTTTAGAAATAGAGCTTCCATGAGAGTCTGCCAGAGCCGAGAGTGGAGCGCCATTTGTTCCTCGCCGACAAAGCGCGAGTTTCTAGCAACGACCCGAAAGGCGTAACCGGGTGGGAGTGTGCTGGAGTGCTTCCCGTGGAAGGTTCCCTCAGGCTTGACTGTGTCGTGTAGCTCATTGTTAGATGCTGGATATCACTTCAAGGTGTCTGTAGACTTACACTCGGTTCCCTTCTTGTCCACCATGTAGAGCGCTTCCGAACGGGCCGCCACCTCCAAGCTGTTCTGTCCGAAGACGGCCATGCTACATATAGCCTTGACACCACGGATGACACCTGTGGCAGGAAAGAAGAACGCAAGCACAGCAGCGAGAAGGCCGCTGAGGTGCTCTCCCCGGACAATGTCACCACCGTTGCCGCGTAGGCGGCATAATTTCCAATAAAAAACAAGGCCATGTCGGTCCACCTCGTAGGCCGGCAGAGGAGGTTCTCGTCGCCATGGTTGGAAGCGCCCGGCGGGAGGACCACCGTGGTTGTTGGGTTGTTGCTGACGGGCGCCGCGGAAGCTAGGGAGGCAGCGACGCCCAAAAACGCCAGCGCCACTGAAATTCCGAACATTCCTTTACTACCCCTGTTTCAATAAGATGTCGGAATAATGCTGCAGATGCACGCCCCGAGTCGATAGGAATGCCAATAGCCATTCAGAAGCCTGCAACCGGGGAGGTCGCCTACTAGTCAATTGTCAAAGCCTGCCACAATGAGCTAGCACCTTTGCTAGTAAACGGATTGACAAGCTGTCACTCGTACGTTTCCAGATACCTCTAGGTAGGTACCCACTGACACTCCTTGAGCAGATGAAATAACACATGGCCACCTTAGGTAGGTCCTCACTGATCCCACCACCAGTCTGGCAACAAGCCCAGCACATCCAGCGGGACGCTCACATTCAGCGTCAGACAGCTGCCCAGCTCCGGCAGCGTCAAATTCGCACTCGGCACGCCATCCAACACATTCTCCAGAAACGCCAGCGTGCGCAGGCGGCCGCTCCAGAGCTCATCATTGTGGCCGCCCAGCACATTGCGGTGGTACAGCACGGTCGCGCCGGCCTCACAGTACCGGCTCACAAGCTCATCCGTCTCGCCGACGCCGCTCATCTCGTCCTGCACAGCCTTGTACACGAACACCGGCACGCTTCGCGGCATCGACAGCTGCTGCGGGCGGGCGCCCATGACGGCGTCGGCGTCGATGACCTGCTGGACGAGGGGCGACCAGACGTCGCGCTCGCCGCCCTGGAAGTAGTCATACACATTCTGCATAGCGTAGGCGACCAGCGCGTCGACGCCCGACATGCGGCGCACGGCGAGGAAGGCCGTGGCGTTGCGCGGGCCGGCGGCGTTGAGGCGGGCCTCGAGGGCGGCGCGCGCGGGCGCCTGCTGCGCCGTGACGCCCACCAGCGACGCCACGAGCAGCCCCGCCGTGTCGCGCGCGTTCATGTTCTGCGCGACTGTCGTCAGGTTCGGCGCCGGCCCGCCCACTACGACGCCCGCGAGGAACGGGACCAGGTCGGCCGCGTATGCCGCCGCGCGCTCCAGCGCGAACGCGGCAGCGAATGCGCCGCCGCTGTACCCCCAGATGGCGACGCGCGGCAGCGTGCTGTTGGCGCCGTAGCCGCCGCCGCCGTGGAGGCGGTATGGAATGGCGGGCGCGGCGGCGGTTGAGTGGTTGCTGGTGGTGGTGGTTGTGATGTTGGCGGTGCTGCCGCTGGTGATGGTGACGGCCAGCACGGCGCGGATGCCGTCCAGCGTGGCATAGGCGGCCTGGCCGCCGGCGCAATAGCTCGCCTGGGGGCCCTCGTAGTCGGGCGCGGCGACGAGCCAGCCGCGCGCGAGCAGGTCGCGCAGCTCGCCGTACGGCTCGCGCGACTGGAGCAGCCAGCTGGGCGAGGCGTCGACCGACACGCTGTCCATGGGCACCTGGTACGAGACTAGGGCGTGGAAGTCGTCGCGCTGCTGGGTCGCCGGCGTCGAGGCGGTGCAGTTGGCGCTGGCGGGCGCGGCGGTGCAGTTGGCGTATTTTTGCGGCACAAACACGGTCGTCACGGCCCAGCTGGCGTTGCCGTGCGTGTCGCTGGACCGGTACAGGACCTGGAACACGTCGCGACAGTTCTTGATGTTGAGAACGGCCGGGTTGTAAGCGTGCGAGCGCACCCTGAGCGGCGTCCCAGGGGCCGCAGACTCCCAGCCAGCTGGCGCCTTGTACCACTCATCTCGAGACGGCGGAGGATTGTAGGGGTAGTACGGGTTTGACGAGTTTGATGGGGTCGAGGTCGTAAGCCGGGCGAGAGAGCTGGGAAGAGAAAAGGCGAGACATTTTCCAGGCACTAAACAGGCAACGCCTCCCACAAGGACAGGAATATGAGCCCTCATAGCTGACTACCACTAGCAAGACACAACCAAGTCGAGTTGCTATCTTCCCTGGCCACTTTTTGTTCGTGTCATGTTACCAGGCTCTGAGAGATATGTCCACCTGGCGTTCTGGCTGCTCGTCCCCAGGCCCCCAAGACCGCTCATCTTGGCCCGCAAAATGCGTCGAGCATCGATATATACCACCGGTCGATATCCCGGCTCTGCTTCCCGGCTCTGCTTCCCGGCTCTGCTTCCTGGCCATCCAGTTGACTCGTCGCTCGGTTATTTTTGTACTTCTGCCCTTGCTATTTCACCATTGGCGCGGCATATATCTCTTGGCTGCGTGGGTGCCAAGCCTTTATCCAGGGGTCGCCAGGGGTCGTATCTCCCGGCTGTCTGCCTCCGAGGTGATATAATAGGACCCGGCCCTTATGATAGCTCGGCTCACGCCTCGGCAATCCAAGCAGCCAGGGCCCTGGTGACGTTTGCACTATATACCATACGGCATAGCGGGATCGATTGATCTAGAACCCTTCCCATCCCATATCAGCATTGCACCACGTAGCTACGAGTAGGCGAGTGTGGAGAGGAGATGCCTCGCTAAGCTCCCAATGTGGCCTTTATCCTATCGTGCGTACAAATACTGGCCCCTCGCTGCCGTGTGCAGTACCCACATCCAGCATGAGGATGAGAGGGAATAATAAAATAAATGATATATCCAAAAGAAATGCAAAAATATTTGCAGCCTGGGCATCTCAGACCAAAACGGCCGTTTCTCATAGGTGGCTTTTTCCAAAAAGACGAGTAAATAAATTGGGTATTGCAGATTAAATGCAGTCAGATAAACGCCACAACGTGACAACCTCACCAGTACTCCACCTCAGTTGAAACGTTGTTTCTCCGCACGTGGAACGAGATGGCTTCTTTCGTCGCCTCAGTCCCCGGCAGCTCGGGAAGCTCAAACTTGTCGTACTGATCCAGCAGCTTCCTGGTGCGCGGCGAGTCTGGGTCCGTTGCCACGATTGAGTTGCCAAGGTCTCTTGCCCGGACCCGGGGGACCTGGAAGATTTCCCCCTCCCGATCCTCTTCTCTGTACGCAAAGTCGAGAGACGGGTTGTGGCGCGTGGCCTTGCAGATCATGACGGCTGGAACAGCGAGATCTGCCACAACCTGCTTTACCGGGTTCCAGTGCCGGTACGAGATGACGGCCGTGCGCTCGTCGATTTTGAGGAACAGCTCGCCGTTGGACTCGACTAGTACCACGCCCGCCTTCGCGAGGACCGCTGTCTCGTGGGGATTCCAGGTTCGCTCGATGTCGATTTCCGGCATGTAGATGGGTATGCTCTCGTTTCCCTGCGTCGTGATGGTGGTTCCGTCGACGTGGCTGTCAGACGCCGGGCGGTGGTCGTGGTCGCTTTGGGCGCCGCGGGAGGCGAGGATGAGCTCCCGCAGGCGCGTGGCCATGGCCAAAATGAACATGGATCGCTTGCAAAAATCGCAGTCGTCGCTGAGGCCGGCACTGTAGAAGAAGACGACCTTATCGACGCTCTTCAGTGCCTCGCTGCTCTCGGTTAGAGACTCTGCAATGGCACGCCACTCGGCCGAGGCGGCAACATTGGCCCGGTACGCCTCGAGACGTTCGGTGAGTTGGTCGGGATCGAGCTGTTCGTCTTCCTCGCCATAAATAGTAAACATTTCGCTGCGGGCATTTCGCTTGCAGACATTGATGGCGTTGTAAGCGACGGAAGGGCGCCACTGGCACGCGACGAACTCTTCACGGTCGTTGTCTGGGTCGGGCATGGTGAGCTCCTGGATAGTGCGGAACTCGACCTGCGAGCGGCCGTATCTGACAACGCGGCCGGAAGACGTGTGCATGGTGGCGCCGGGTATCCACGTGCCCAGGTGCTGCACGACGCCGTCGAAATCTGTAAACTTGACCCACGCCGTCTGCGGAGCTTCGCAGTGCGACAGCAGCCTAGTCACTGGACTGTTCTTGCTCTTGTTCTTGCCCTTGCCCCTCGCCATTTGCTGGTCACTCTTGATCTTGTACGCCTGGAGTTGGTCCTCGATCTGACGGATCGTGTCCCGCGGGTATAGGGCCTTGCCCTCGTCGTACATGAAGCGCGTCGAGTTTATGACGAAGTCCTTTCTCTGTTGTTGTTGCTCCTCCGACATTTCCTCCCATGGGCGCTTTACGGGTACCACGTCGACATAGGGCAGCGCCTTGTAGACCTTGCGCCAAAAGGGGTGTTTCACGGCGCGCCGGATGTCGAGGGGGGGGACATGACCGTCCTCGGATTCGCCATAACCATCGAAATAGCCGTCTTGGTATCGTTCGTGGCGCTGGATCTTGGGCGTCCAAGCCCACCACCAAAGCGCCTGGTAGGGCACAAGCTGCAGCTCCAGGTCGCGGAGGTACCGCGATGCGAAGTCGATCGGGGATCTGAGTCGCATTTTCCGGCAAGAAGGCTCGAGGATGCTGTGCACAGTAGTCCTGCGTTGGACGATGGTGCTATCGGGCTCGGGATGTGCACCCCGAGGTGCGGGTTGCCGACTATCGCGCCACAGCCAGCTCGTCTCCCCCGCAGCTGTTTTTCGCTGATGTGAGCCGAGCCGAGTTGGAGAGGGCGAGCGATGGCCAGAGGCGGCGTCAACGGGAGGGCGGTAAGACGGCAAAACGGCAAGGCGCGGAAATGGCAGAACTCTTCGTCGTAGAGGGCAAGAGAAGGAACAGAAAGCAATGCCCTGGCGCCTTGAAGTTCTAATGACGAACGCCTTTAAGACGCGTGACACAGAAGCGTTCTGGTGGCAAGAATGCAGAACAGTGCCTCATCGACAAGGTCAAGGCGCAGCGGCGCAGAGGCCCCCGCACCGCAATTCGCGACCCAAAGGCTAGGGGATGTGGGGGGATGTTGGAGCGCGGGATAAGGCCTCTTTCGGGGACCATAAATCCATCCATTCGAATCCAATGTGCATGGAGAAGGCACGCTGCGCCGCGGCCGACCCAGCGGCGCATGCCTGAAAGACGCAGAATGTCGCCTGTTGGTCCGCAGCGATCGCGTCCGCCAAAAAGGGCCTGACCAGGCCCCATCAGGAAGGCACACGCTAGGCAGCAGGCCGGGATCAGACAAACTTGGCCTTGGCGCACAGTCAGCCCACAAACAACCTTAACCCTGGCCTGACCTGGCAGCTTTTCTTCCGCCACTCACGCCGTGACCAATTACTAACACGACAGCGACTGATCAAGGCTCGAGCATCTCAATCAATTCTTGAATGCATAAACATTTCGCAAACCGGCCCAAACATCTTGATACCAGATGGCATCTTAGCGCCAAAATCCCACCCAGTCATCTACTCGTACAGACAGATCGTACTATACAATACAATACAAAAACAAGAGACTTTCACTGCACCCGACAATGTCGATCCGCGATCGCAACGTGCCGCGTGACAGTCCCTTTTCCTTCCATACCCCCTCATGTTCTTCCTTTCAAAATTTCTCATTGCCTCTTCTCAGTTTCCATGACAAGATGGTACCGCGTCATCCCCGCCCGAACCAATGGCGACCACATACTCGTAAATCCTGTCTGGCCACACACTCAAGATCTAGGTCGACACAAGAAATACAGGAACCTGGCGACTGCGACTGTATTCAATGCCACCACGGCCGGGAGACTGACGGTGAATGCCGAGCGAGGCGGCTCTGACGGCGAGGCGGGAGGCTCTTCGCAGGTGCCACAAGCAAGAGAGACATGGCTGGGCCTGGCTGTGGTTCTGCCCGTGTTCGGATCGCGGCGGTGGACGGTCAGAGCACACACCTGGCAGCGACGACCTCCGTGGCGGTTGATGTAGTCGGAACCAAAGAGTTCCGACGAATTGTGCTGGCTCCCGGCCGGGAAATTGTCCCCGCCATGGGCTGAGGAATTGTGGTCCTGGTTATGGGCCGAGGAGTTGTCCAAATCATGGGCCGAGGTATCGTCCAGATCATGGGCGGAGAAATCGTCCTGGCCCTGGGTCCAGAACGCAATGGTGGCAATATCCGATCCGTTCCCGCCGTATCCGTTCTCGCTAGCCAGGGAAAGTATGCCGTCCTCGGCGTCGTCGAGCTGGCCGAAACGTCGCATGTGCTCGGTAAACAGGGCGAGCTCGATGGCGACGAGCGCGATGCCGGCGGGGATCTGCGACACATTGTGTAGGATCCAGGTCGAGAGGGCGGGCTTCTTCTGCTCGAACAGGGAGATCTGGCCGAGCTCCCAAAGCTCGATGTCGTCCGCGGCTCGGGCCAACGCGCGGATCTCGTCGAGATCGAGCGTCACGCCCCGGCCCCGCAGCCGGAGCCGCTTGTCCCTGTCTTCGCGGTACCAGAGCCATTTCCCGTATCCGAAGGCCTTGTAGTACTGGTGGAACGTGGGAAGAAAGTAAGAAAAGGCCCCCTCTGCGCATACACCCTCTGGCAGGCGGTCATCATTGCAGGAGACGAGACTTACGGCTAGCATGCGCTCGACCATGCCGTCGTGATCGCCTGGAAGATCGCCAAACTAAGCAGTAGGTCTTGTTAGCTGGGAACTGCTTTGCTGGTTATGGTGGATCTCAAAGGAAACATTGCATCGCTTACCTCGTGCTCTTCGTCTTCATCCTCCTGCTCGTCCTGCTCCTCATCTTGCTGGTGCTCTTGCTGCGCCGGCTCGTCATCTCCGTCTTCTGCATTCGCATACATGGTGCACAAGGCACAACGGCACGGCTCGCCTTCATCGTCGTCCTTCTCAACCCTGGGTGGCGGGGACGGGAGAAGAAGCTGGGTCTAGTTCTTTTCACTTTTAGTATCTAGAGATGGCAGGTGTTTTGACTGTCCGTGGGCGAATTTGTAGCTATTCCGAGTTTTCGGTTCGGAGAGAAGACATGGAATATCTGGTAAGTGGAATTCGGGAAGGGGGGTGAGAAGAGAACAAAAGCAGAGCGGGGGGTTGAAATTTGACGCAATAGAAGAAAAGAGCTGACCATCTTGGCAACTCAAATTGCGCTTTACCAATGTGGTATGTTTGGTGATTTGGCGAGTTGGTGTCGCTCGTAGTAAATCTGTGATGAAGAGTTATCGGTCGGTAAATGGCTACAGAGCGGTCTCGGCGTTCAGAAGCAGAAAAATACAAAACACGGTCATCGGCACACCGGGTAACTGGGGGTCGCGGGGCGCGTTCAATATCGGTGTGCTCGCACAGATCAAGTGAAGTGAGCCGAACAACGGAATGTTTATTGACGATTTACCAAAGGCTCTCAAGGTCAAAGCTTGGAAGTTCACAAAAGCAGATGATGAAAGATCGAGGAAATGTAAATAGCTTGTGGAGTTGGATGAAAGTCAAGACAGTAAAAGGGCGCGCGAAAAACAAATAAACCCCTTGGTACACAGTTGAAAGGTGAAGTCAAGGTGAAGCCAAAGTGCGAAGAAGCTGAAGGAGAACTGACATTGAGCTTCGAGGCAGGAGAAGTACACGAGGGAACAGTGGGAAATCTCAATACGATATGTTTTAAAGCTTCTTTTAAAAGAATAATTAATCTATCGGTTTGTAAGGAGAAATAATAAGGTATATAATTAGTCACCTTTGTGCTCCTTCACTCCTCGCTCACTCCTCGCCGTGTTCTATTCACTCTCAGGTCTTCGTTCATGATCTAATGATATAAATGACAGCCCTGTAGCCCGAAATATTATAAGAAGCTCGAGGTATTGGTTTTATTTCGAAGAACTGGAATTTCGACGCCACTTGCTCAAGGTTGCCTTCTTGCTGGTTGAGGTTGAACCCTTAATTTCAAATCTCAGTATAACGAATCTAACTTAGGAGAGGACTTAAGTCATGGATTCAACCAATCCTTCATTGTATATATCAGCTAATTTCTCGTCTTTATCTTGTAAGGAAGCCACGCGGCCATATATTCTTGGAAATGCAGACGAGGCGGCGTTTCATGGTGTCTCGTGACAATACTGGAGAGTTGAGACTGACAGCTGTGGGTTAGGGTTACAGGGTAACTCGAAGTGCACGGGCTACCGGCTAATTAGCTGCTGTGATCCCGGCCTTGTCCCTACACTTCCTTCCCCAGGCCCACGCCCCACATCTGAATTGAGTTCGCGCCGCTTTTAACGCGCTTCTTTCGTGCAAAGTCGCGTCTCGGTTTTATTTCGAAGCTCGTCGGCTTTTGCTGTCGCCCTGCATTGGTCTCCGACGGCGTTTCTACACATTAGCTCGTCGCTGCAGAGGCCATGCCGCCCAAAAAGGTAACCGACAAGGCGCTCGCGGCCGAGCTTGAGAGGAGCGTGCGCCACATCTACAGCACCGACAGAGACAACTTGACCGTCAACTATACGCGTCAATTCGTGGAAAAGAAGCTAAACCTGAAAGATGGCTTTCTGAAGGAAGGCGATTGGAAGGCAAAGAGCAAAGAGATGATCACGGCAGCTCTGGTAAGTGGAGTTACAAGTTCCGAGTTCCCAAACCCCACTGCTGACCATTCGTTTGTTAGACCGAGATCGAGAACGAAGCTCCTGACCCCTCCCAAAGCGCCGCGACCCACGATTCCGAGCCTGAGACAGGTGCCAAGATTAAGACGAAGCGCATAGAGAAGGATGCAGACGAGCCGGCGCCTGCCGCGACATCTAATGAGCTCGACGAACTGTCTGAGAAGCCTGCCAAGAAGCGAAAGCTCAACAAAAAGGTCCCGAAAAAGAAGGCTGTTCGATCTGATGACGAGTCTGAAGTGTCAAATGTTACCGGTGCAAGTGACTCGGAAGAACCACCAACGAAGAAGTCCAAACCCGCCACCCCGAAAAAGAAGCAAGCGCGCAAGGCATCTATTAAAAAGGTAAAAAAGCCCCCAAACCCGTCGCCAGACGAAGATACCAGCGAACTGTCCGAGATACCGGAGGAGCCCCAGGAGCGGAAATATAAGCCAACACGATCTATACTAGACTTGGAAGAATCGTCCAAGTTGTCCGACGAGCCTCAAGAGCGCAAGTCCAAAGCCAAGTCAGGTCCAGCCAGAGCTGATGAGAGTGTCGAACCTTCCGAGACTCCCAAGGCGAAAAAGGCTAGTGGCAAGAAAGACGGCAAACCGAAGGGCAAAGGCATGGAATACGACGACGAAAGCGAGTTGTCCGAGATCAATGATGAGCCTCCCAAACGGCAATACAAGTCCAAGGCGGAGTCGAAGCGAGCATCGGTCAAATCATTTGCGAAGCTAGATGGCAGCGAGGACGATGTTAGCGACTCGTCCATAGTAATTGACAAGTCCCCCAAGCGAAAGCGGAAGTCAAAGGAGCCTGCGGCTAGGGGCGAGCGAAAGGCCAAGTCCTCGGCCAAAGCCCCAGCAGAACTTTCTCCGGACGAGGCTCAGATCAAGCAACTCCAATCTCAGTTGGTTAAATGCGGGCTTCGCAAGGTCTGGGGCTTTGAGCTCAAACAGTACGGCGACGACAGCAGGGCCAAGATTAAGCATCTTAAAAATATGCTGACAGATGTTGGCATGACCGGCCGCTTTTCCGAGTCCAGAGCAAGAGAGATCAAGGAGCAGCGCGAGCTGCTGGCTGAAATCGCGGAGGTCAAGGAGGGGGATAAGAGCTGGGGCGTTGGCAGTCGGCCCTCGAGACGCAGGGCGGCAGCGAAAAAGTCGTTTAAGGAGAGTACTAACGACGAGGACGCAGACGCCAAGGAGAGCGGGAGAGACAAGGAAGGCGGAGGGGCCGCTAGCGGCGGTGATGACAATGACGACGACAGCGATGATGATGATGAAGCCCAGCCAAAAGCCCGCGCGAGAGCTTCGGCTAGGCACAGAGCAGACCTGGCATTTTTGGGCGACGAGAGCGACTCGGATTAAGTTCAGTTTGCGAAGGCGAGTGCAGATATCTGTCGATAGCGTCGAGGGGTCTGGTATTTTACTGCACAAAAAGCGAGCACCTCGGGTTCTTTGCGAGTTGTACGAATATGTGAACAATGAGTACGGATAGGGTTATGAGGACACCACACTTTATTTGGCAGCGTTCATTCTTTGAGCGATCAAGCTAAACACGGCGACGGAGCCCATGAAGAGCACGGCATTGTAAAACTACAGAATGATGAACTATATTAGCTATGCTGATAGGGCATACGTGCGTTGAGCTGGGAAAAAGGCATACAGCTTTCCGGGAGACATCTCTTTCTTCGTGGTCGGTCCTGGCATCGATGAAGAGACGACGGAGATTGGGAAAGTTTGCCTGTCACTCGTCTCATCAGCATCTGCCCGTAATACCGTCGCCATTGCTGCTATGTCGTACCATGGTAATGTAATCTGTACAGAGAGTGCACCCGGTAGAGACAGCTTTTTTCTCAAAGTTCGGCGTTCTTTTTGTCAGTTCGAGGCTCATGCCGTTCGTTTTGCGACACTAGCGGGAAATGGAGTGTGCTGTGGACCCACAACGCGGCCAAGCCACCTGAACGGGCACCCAAATCTGTGGCTGAAGCTTGGGCCACGAAGCACCCGTGCCTGAGCCACAGCAAAATCCCTGGGCCTAGGACGTTGGGGGACTCGCTGGCGCTGGTGCCCTGGAGGTGTCACAATCTGGCTCGACATCATCTTGCGACCACGGCGCCCCTCTGCTTCCTCTGCCACCCGCCGCCCAGCTCAGCAGCCGGGGATCTGTGCATGCATTGGTGCACCTTAATCTAGCGGACGCGCTGTCCCTTGCCTGATTCAAGCTTTCCAATATTTCACCGCCCCTCGCTGGCCCCGACCCGACCTCGACCTCGACCCCCTACCCAACCCCTACCCCCGACCTCGGCCATAATCCTACTCTTGCCTCCGAGGCACGACGCCAGCCCTAAATTCACAGCTTAAAACCATGTCTTCAGCAATGAACCGCATCCGCGGCGCCTTTGCGCCCCCGCGCAAGGGCGAGACGTTCGAGCTTCGCGCTGGCCTGGTGTCTCAATACGCCTCCGAGCGGAAGGAGTCCATCCAGAAGACCATCATGGCAATGACGCTGGGAAAGGACGTGTCGGCCCTGTTCCCAGACGTCCTCAAGAATATTGCCACCTCAGATCTCGATCAGAAGAAGCTGGTTTATCTGTACCTAATGTGAGGCTTGTGGTTCTCCATCGCGGCTCGAGTCTCGGCCGTTCACTCCCCACCGACACTCGGCTTGGCGCAGACGCTCCATGCTAACTGCCCGGCTAGGAATTATGCGAAATCGCACCCAGACCTGTGCATCTTGGCCGTCAACACCTTTGTGCAAGACTCGGAAGACCCGAACCCCCTGATACGAGCGCTGGCGATCCGGACCATGGGCTGCATTCGGGTCGACAAGATGGTGGACTACATGGAGGAGCCGTTGCGGAAGACGCTGCGGGACGAATCGCCCTACGTGCGCAAGACGGCGGCGATATGCGTCGCCAAGCTGTTCGACCTGAATCCGTCCATGTGCCTCGACAACGGATTCCTCGAGATCCTGCAGGAGATGATTGGCGATCCGAACCCCATGGTCGTCGCCAACTCGGTCCAGGCCCTGTCGGAAATTGCCGAGACGGCGCCCGAGACCAAGGCCCTGGTCATCACGCCAGCGATCCTCAAGAAGCTCCTCATGGCCTTGAACGAATGCACCGAGTGGGGCAGAGTTACAATTCTTAGCACGCTGGCCGACTACTTGTCGGGCGACATCAAAGAGTCGGAGCACATCTGCGAGAGAGTTGCGCCCCAATTCCAACATGTCAATCCTAGCGTAGTCTTGGCGGCGGTCAAGGTTGTCTTCATCCACATGAAGTTCCTGAGCCCCGAGCTTGTCAGGCAGTACCTCAAAAAGATGGCCCCTCCCCTGGGTAAGCAAGCTGGCGCCCGTAATAGTTGCGGGGATGCGCACTGACAGCAAACCACAGTCACTCTCATAGCATCTGCCCCCGAGGTTCAGTACGTCGCGCTGCGGAATATTGATCTCCTCCTGCAAGCAAAGCCCGACATCCTAAGCAAAGAGCTAAGGGTATTCTTTTGCAAGTATAACGACCCGCCATACGTCAAGCTCCAGAAACTCGACATTATGGTAAGGATAGGAAACGATAAGAACTTTGACCAGTTGCTCGCCGAGTTGAAGGAGTATGCTCTCGAGGTCGACATGGACTTTGTCAGGAGGGCTATCAAGGCCATCGGGCAAGTGGGCATCAAGATTGAAGCAGCAAGCGAAAAGTGCGTCAACACGCTTCTCGACCTCCTCAGTGCCAAGACAAACTACGTTGTGCAAGAGGTCGTCATCGTCATCAAGGACATCCTCCGAAAGTACCCTGGATACGAAGCTGTCATCCCCACTCTCTGCAAATACATTGACGAGCTGGACGAGCCTGACGCACGAGGTGCCCTGATCTGGATCGTGGGCGAGTATGCCGAGAAGATTAACAACGCCGACGAAATATTATCGGGATTCGTAGATGTCTTTGCAGAGGAGTTTACACAAGTAAGTCGCATCCCCTCCGGCGCTTTCTCCAGCGCGAGACCGGAACTAACTCGCGGCCAGACCCAACTGCAAATCCTCACTGCCGTCGTAAAACTATTCTTAAAGAAGCCGAGCAACAACCAGGGGCTCGTGCAAAAGGTGCTACAACATGCCACGGCGGACAGTGACAACCCCGACATCCGAGATCGTGCATACATATACTGGCGCCTCCTTTCTGGGGATCTCGAAGTTGCGAAGGTTTGCATCCGCCCACTCTGCGTACTTGGCGAAGGCCATGTCATGCTAACCATCGCTATAGAACATTATCCTCTCGCAAAAGCCGCCAATCACAACAACAGTAACGAGTTTGCCAGCGGTGCTTCTCGAGCAACTGCTCTCAGAACTCTCCACCCTCGCATCGGTTTACCACAAGCCGCCCGAGTCTTTCGTCGGCAAGGGCCGCTACGGAACCGACGAGATCCAACGCGCCGCCATCCAGGAACAGCGGGAGAACGCGGCCGAAGACCCGATTGCCGCGTCGGTCGCGGCGGCTGCGGCAGCCAGTGGCGGTGCGAACAACATCGAGAACCTGCTGGACTTTGACTTTGACGGTGCTGCGCCAGCGAGCGCGCAGCAGGGCACTCCGGACCGTGTAGCTAGTCCTAGCACGGCCGGCGGCTCGTCGAACGCCCCTGGTGGAGGTCTGGCCGACATGATGGGGCTGTTTGACGGCCCCGCACCGGCGGCATCGCAGAATACCCTCGGCGGCGGGGGAATGGGCGATATGATGAGTGGCTTTGCTGGAATGGACATAAGTGGCACCAGTGCTCCGCCGCCACCCGGGCAGCAGCTCGGCCACAAACCACTCGAGCCAAAGGGCGGGAGCGAGGACCTGCTAGGGCTATTTTAACACTTCACTAGTACCGGGTAGAGCTAGACTGCGGCGCTCGGCAAGCGGCCCCTTGCTGTTAGATTCACGAGCGGCGCGGAGTACGGCGAGTACGTTCGACGACGGCTAGCGAGCAGCCTGACAACTTCAAGTATGATAAATAAGGCATGGTGTAAGGCGGGAGAAAAGCCCTGCTTTTTTTTGCCTGGGTATGTTTTGAGGTACTACTATTTTGCAGGGAGGGAAAATACATGGTTAGATGATTACAAGATGCAACCGGCGCGTCTCATGTTCTGCTATTTGTCGAAGTAGTCTGGCTTCTCTCCTCGACTGGACCAAGCCCCCTCGTGTTCCCCCTCCCCGCCACAAGGGGCACAGTAGAAAAGAGGTATTGGCGGTGATATGAAGTTTGGTCAAGGGGTGGCTGTACAGAACTCACAAGATGTGTAAAAGATGGGAGCGAATTGCAGCCAGCCCTACTGGAGGTGAGTTACCTTCAGTTTCACGTTCAATGCATCAAGTCCACCACGTTTTGAACGACACGTCCCTCGCCAGCTCGAGCTGAGCCAGCCGGATCCGCCTGTCGTCATCACTGAGCAGCCCGGCAGCAGCAGCAGCCTCCTCTTCCATCTCAAGATTACCAAAATACGGATTCCCATCCGCCTCGCACTGCGCGCCGTCGTCGGGCAAGACCCCCTCCTCGAAATACCGCCGCACGTGCCGCGCCATGCACAGCGACGGCACGCTGAGCGTGCAGTGGCCGTAGCCCTTGACCTCGAGCAGCCGCGCGCCCACAAACGCGTCGCGCGCCGACCGCGCCGACACCAGCGGGCACACGGGGTCGAACGTCGTCGAGAGGACCAGCAGCGGGTGCGCCGTCGTGACGCCGCGTTTGGGAGTGTACGTGTGCGTCCGCGCGACCCCCCACGCCTGCTTCGCAAAGTACAGCGCGAAGGCGAAGCCGTCGGCGCCGAAGGCCGACGCGTCCGCGTACGGCTCCAGAATGTCGAGCAGCCCTTTTCGGGTGCGCGGCCAGTTCCCTGCTGCGCCCGACGCCCCGTCGTTGAGCGTGATCACCACCTCTGCGTCGCGCTTCGCGCTCGGCCGGTCCGTGCCCGGCTTGCCGTACGACAGGAACGCCGCTGTCGCGTTGCCGCTGTCGAGCATGTCGCTGACGCTGAGGCTGACGCTGCTGGTGCTGACGCCGCTGGTGCTGGAGTTGTTGTGGTTGCCGATGCCGAGAAGGGCTGCCAGGCTGTCGGCGAGCGCGCGCCAGGTGGCCGGCTTGCACAGCGCGGGAAACACGCCGCCGTACCACACGTCCCAGTAGTCGAGCGTGCCGAACAGAGTGCTGTTGACGTAGACGCCGAGGGGGTCGTCGCGGAGCCTGTCGATCGCGGCAACCAGCCTGTCCGCGAGCCGCGCCGGCGTGTCAGCCAAACCAGCGAGCGCGCAGCCGCCGGGGCCCGCCTTGACGCACTCGTCGGCGAACCCAGCGAGCGCGCGCTCCGAGTCGGTCATGACATCGCGGTCCAGCTGCTCGCCGTACCAGTGGAACTGGTTCGCGACGCCGTCTATGGCGACGCGGCGCGCGCGCCCGGGGAACAGCGCCGCGTACGTCTGCCCCAGCAGCGTGCCGTAGCTGAACCCCAAGTAGTACATGTCGGGCTGGCCCAGCGCGTCGAGGATGCTGTTCATGTCGGCGGCCGTCTGCGGCGTGTTGAGGAACGCGCCGTGTTCGCCCAGCTCGTCGGCGCACGCGCGCACGTACCCGGCCGCCCACGCGAACAGGTCGCCGCTGTCGGCGACGAGCCGCTTGGCGCGCACTGCCCCCGCCAGCCGCTGCCGGTCGGCGTCTGACGCGTAGCAGCTCGCCGCCGGCCGCGACGCGTTGACGCCCCGCGGGTCGAAGCCTACCAGGTGGAACCCGTCGCCGACGATCGCGCCGATCTGCGCCCCCAGCCGGTGCACGAACTGCGTGCCGCTGGCGCCAGGCCCGCCAGGGTTCAGCAGGATGTTGCGCGTCGCGTGCGCGCCGCCGCGCAGCCGCGCGAGCGGGATGGTGAACTTTCTGAGGCTGTCGGGCGGCCCGTTGTTACTCGCGTTGAACTGGTCCATCGGCACGTCGATGCTGCCGCACTCGAGCGCGCGGCCCGCCACGCTCCCGCACGCTGTCCAGCTGACGCTCTCGCCATCGTAGGTCCTCTGGTGAGGCGGTGGTGTGCAGGTATGATAGTGGCGATGGCGTGATATGCGCTGGAACGCAACGAGGACGCACCCCAGGACGAGCAGCGAGCCTGCCAAGACCTTTCTCCAACACGCTCGGCGGCCGTTCCCCCCCTGTCCTTGCCTCGGGCGCATCAGCGTCTGCTTCTCGTTGTCCATGATAGCGAGGCAACCTGTGGTGGTTGCTGGTGCCAATGTTTTCCGGCGCCGTGACCATGTTGTTAACTTTTAAGGACCCATCCCGTGAACGGTGGAGCGTATTCGTGCGTATTTGGGATAAATAGCTTACGTCGCGAGGTGCCGCTGGATGCCCCTCTCCCGGACCACCTTCCTCTTCGACCGCTATGACGTACGCGCCTTGCGTGGGCGGTGGGTATGGCAATTGAAGTGGTCCGCGGTGGCCAAACTGACAAGCATTCTCATTATAAGATGCTATTTAGAAGAATATGTTGTTAAGTTTGGTTCTCTGTTATTTTGAAAGCCGCCAGCCTCATCTGACCAAAACACTGCAGTTCGCAGATAATTGCCTGGCTTTCTTACAGTGTTACGGATGACGTCGAAAATATCATAAAGGACAAAGACTTGTAATACATGTTCTTTGCTTGTAGCTAGGTTTGTCTTGGACTTTTGACCGAGATGGGTTTAGTAGTACGGATTCCGCCTTGATCTCTTGCCAAGTTTTGAGGACAAGTTCAAACCGTCATATTCCCAAGGTCAGTTAGCCGTCCTCAGCTTGTCTACAGATTAGGATGAGCTGCGTCAGTAGCGACCACGGCGATAACCAGACTCGGGCGAGTCATCGGAGCTCCTAGCGTATATCCGAAGGGGCGGCACGAGTATGAATGCAAGAGTTCCCCTCATCCCGAGCCGTGGAGCAGTCTGGAGGTAGCTACCCCTCACCACTTACACACACACACAAAACCTACCCCGCGATGTCGTCCAAAGCGCCCTGGGGGTCGCGACTCGCCAAGGAGAGCGGCTTCCGCGCCATAGTGCAGTCGGGCCGCGACACCAAGCTGCTGTGCCTACAGCGCTTCGTGCGGCTGTACGCGTACGGCGCGTCGTTCCTAATCCTAGCGCACTTCCTATCGGGGCTGGGCTTCGCGGACGAGCGCATCGGGCTGTTCATGACGCTGACGCTGCTGGGCGACGTCGTCATCAGTCTGGCGCTGACGGCCGTCACGGACAGGGTCGGGCGCCGGCGCGTGCTGGGCGCCGGCGCCGCGTCGCTGGCTATGAGCGGGCTCGTCTTCGCCGCCAGCACAAACTACTGGCTGCTGCTGTTCGCGAGCGTCGTCGGCGTCATCAGCCCCAGCGGCAACGAGATCGGGCCGTTCCGCGCCATCGAGGAGTCCGTCCTCGCCCAGCTCACCGCCAAGGACCAGCGCAGCGACATCTTCGCCTGGTACACCCTGTTTGGTACCGCCGGCGCCGCCCTCGGCACCCTGACCTGTGGCTGGGCCGTCCAGCTGCTCGAGGACAAGGCCCACTGGTCCACGAGCAGCGCGCACAGGGCCGTCTTTGTCATTTACGCCGTTCTGGGCATCGTCAAGCTCGGCCTCGTGTGGTGCCTCGGCCCGGCCGTCGAGGTGGACGCCCCGGAGACGCAGTACCAGGAAGTCGCGCTGGAGCTGGAAGACAACCCCCTGATGTCGGACGACGACGACGACGAAGACGAAGCCAACACCCGACCAGCTCCGGCTGCACCGCCTCCACCTCGCCCAATCAGCAGCGTGGCACTAGTCCTGCAGAGCTTCCGCGACCTGGTGCCGTACATCTCGCCGCTGTCGCGGTCGATCCTGTACCGGCTGCTGGTGCTCTTCTCGCTGGACTCTTTCGCGTCGGGCATCGCGTCGCCGTCGTGGCTGACGTACTTCTTCACGACGGTGCACTCTTTGTCTCCAGCAGCACTAGGCACGCTGTTCCTCGCCACGAACCTGCTCGCAACACTCTCGAACCTGGCCGCGCTGCCCATGGCGCGGCGCCTCGGCCCGCTGCGCACCATGGTGTTCACGCACCTGCCGTCGGCCGTGTTCCTGGCGCTGATCGCGCTGCCGCCGGCCTCGCCGCGCGGCACCCCGCTCGCCATGACTTTGCTGGCCCTGCGCGCCTGTACGCAGAGCATGGACCAGGCGCCGCGGCAGGCGTTCCTCGCGGCGGCCGTGCTGCCCGCCGAGCGCACCGCGGTCCTCGGCGTCGTCAACATCACCAAGACCCTCGCGCAGGCCGGCGGCATCGGCTCCTCGGGCGTCTTTGCTGCTAGGAAGCTGTGGGTGTTGGGCTTGGGCGGCGCCGGGTTGATGAAGGCTGCGTACGACCTGCTCATGCTGTGGATGTTTCTGGGCCTCAAGGAACGCGAGGCGGAGGCGACGGCGGCGGCGGCGGAGTCTCGCGTGGATCCGGGAGACCCTGAAGAGGCTTGAACGGGGTTTGTGGGGGATGGCTCCCCTTTTAGGAAGATGCTGTTTCTTGGCAATGTGTGAGTGACACAGTGCGGCGCTAAAGGTCGCTGCTCGGATATAGCATATGGCTTCCAGTTAATGGAAGATTTCAGAGTTTTGGTCTTTTTTTGGCCATTGCTCATTAGTTGGCTGGGGCTTCTCGTTTTTGCCATTCTGTAATTAGCCGTCCAGCCACGTTCAAGAAACATGCTCATTATCCAAAAGTTAATTATACCTTTCCTGACAGTAGGCTATTTCTGACATGGTCCCATCATGTGAAAATTGCACCGAATGGCTGTTCTAGTCACTCTACCCAGGACTTCCCGTATCCACCGGAGCGTATCCGCCAAGGCCATGCTGTTGTTCTCGTCAGGACGTCCAGGCCTCTCCCAGCTAGCCACGTTCAAATACCGGCGGATAATGTCCTTCACAGACCTTCCGTCTTCGTCTCGAAGGTCGAGGCGGCCGCCGGCATCGACTAGCCGCTTCAGTACCGAGCGGTGGTGTTTTTCCACGGCGTAGTTGATGATTTTCCAGGTGATATTGGCATCATCAGCCGCGCCCTGTGCGAAATTGGCGAAAGTCAGAGCCCAGCAGTGCAAGGGTGTCTTCCCCGTGTGCAAGGGTGTCTTCTCCGTCTTGTCTCTAGTGTTCACTGGAGATCCATAGACTAAATTCGCTTTCACTGCCTTGAGGCCCGGCGTGTTGGTGTATGCGCCTGCATCCCGTTCATTCTGTGTTGCTGATCTCGCTCTAAAATTCTTGTGGCCCATGATTACCCAGAATAGCGGTGTCCAGCCATTTGAGTCTTGCGCACGCACTGAAGCCCCTTTCACGACGAGGTCATGTGCGATGGCGCCTGTGGCCGTATGCAGCGGAGTGACATCTGTTAGTTTCAAGCCTGTATGATTATTGCACCATTCGCTAGGGATTGAAACATTTGCGCCCCGAGACAGATTTTTGATTGCGATTTGCTCCAGCACCAAGGAGGGACTAAGACTGGGTGGAGCCAGACTGGGCTCCTAGGATACTTTGGATGCTGACCGGCGTGGCCAGATTGGGTAATACACAGATATAGAGGGCCACATGCGCAGTCAGCGCCAATCATCTGCAATCAGCTGCGTAGTTAATACCATCATCTTCGCAGGCTAGGCAGAGTTGTCGAGTGAGCCGGGTTACTTCGTCAGAGATCCGAACCTTCTCTTTAGATAGAGCCCCACAGATAACGAAATAACCCTCGATGCCACTGACGACAGGAAGGAGGTTTTTGGCTTGGCTGGCGCATCGGTAGAAGCTTCTACGGTTTGTGATTTCGCCTCGCTCCTTGTTGAGACGACTGTCGTGGGAATGGCAGGGATCTGGCTGCTGACAGCTCTTGGGGAAATATCGCTACCAGTTGAATGACTGGCGTTGTTCTTTTGGTTGTCAGGGGCTGGACCCCTGCGCTACGGCTGGTGCGGTTGCTCGCCGTCGCCTTCTCTTTCAGCAAGGATCGGTATTGAGCCAGATATGGCCCACTCCGCACCAGCTCCTCGTTAATTCCGAGCTCAGCATCGAGGTATGTCCGAACGTCTTCACTACGCTAGAATGAGACGCCCATTTTCCAGGGGCAGGAACCTTGGCTACCCGTTATTCCGTACATGCATTTACAATTAGTGAATGCAACTCTGTCCTGCTCGCCCCGCTTAATTCGGCAATGCTCTAACGCTCACTAGTGCAAAAGACAAAGCCCGTGCACGGACCGCTGCGCTAAATATAAATACTTTGCTCTCCCTCTCGTTCTCTTATCCCTTTTTCCTTTTTCCTCACGTTTATTTTTTTTTACAAACATAACAATTAACCATTCATATCGCTTTACCCGTTCCCACCGCCCACCCCCACCTCAACTTTACTCCTCACCACATACCTTTCACCATCTCATCACCCCATTTATTTACAGAGGCAAGTGTATACAAATACCGGTCCATTAATACGTCATGGTGGCGACGACCGTTTGTGCGATCCCCATCAATCCTAGTAAACTCATCGCTACGCAATGACATCTGGTGCAAACCATATTAAACCTACTTGATCGCGGCAACTTTTGCGTAAACTCTCAATAATACATCACCACCGTAGCGTGTCGTTATCTAAACGTCTACTAGTGCATGCCGTCTATTTAATTAAGGTAGCAAGTATTTCCACCCCGAAAATAGAAGGTACGCGAAGGAGTTCAAGTCGCTGTGGCTACAGTGCTCGCCTCAAGTTGGCAGTGGTCGTTCTCCCCCAATTCTCGCAACACTAGCTGGCCTAGGCACCTGCCATCTTTCGTCCCACCACCCCTTAGTCACTACCCGTCCGATCGAAATCAATCCGCACTACATACTACATGCACACTCTTTCGTTCCTACCGCACTAACACCCACCTTCAAAAAGAGCAATCAAGTCGAAGCGCAGCTCGTTTGTGTGCAGCCAAACATCCTCTTCCCGCCCATTTCCTTTTCACTTAAGAAAACTAAAGCCGTTTGGTTCGATGCTTCCCGTTACCCATACTCCAAGAGTTAATTAACCGTTCACGACTATCCCAGCCGCGATTGCCCCGCAATCGGCTACCACAATGTCAAGTCTTCCCAAAAAGTATCCTCGCCATAAAGCACGGGTCGAAGACAAAGTATCAAAGTCGCCCGCCCCAGCGGTAAGCCCTATGACCCTACTGATCGCGTATCTCGCATTATTCTAAGAGACCTTCACTAACCTTTCCCAGAACTCCACACCCAAAAGACTGGGCGATATCGAAAATGTGGTCATGCCGCCCGCCATCAAAGTCGAAAAAGAAGAGCTATCGCTCGCTTCCATCCCGCGACAGGAGACCATGGACACCATGGACACCACAGTCGGTGGTGACAATCTAGGTACTGGCCAGCTACGCATGTGGGTAGGAACGCTATTGGAAGCAAAGAACCAGGCCACGATGCTCGTCACGACCTACAAAAACACGCCCAATCCGGACAAGGACGGCAAGATTAAACGCCGCGTCCAAGACGTGGAAGCATTTCTGTGGTGGCTGGATAATGAGGTTGAGGTCAATCCAGGTCTAAAATCACCCCGCGGTCCAGTGGACCAGATTCTCGGGTTGCTGAAGAAAACGAATTTTATCCCGGCGCATATCACGATATGGGCGGGAGATATCCTGGCAAGATTTGAGGAGGATAATTGGGGAGCCGACGACGCCGGTCAGGCGTCCGACTCGGAAACAGTCATGGGAGAGCAAGAGCATGAGCAAGCTCCTGAGCCTCCTCAGCGAGCGCCAGCCGGTCCATCAAGCGCGCCGATGGCGTGCGTCGCATCAGACTCTGGCACCGCCAACCTCCCAATTCCTCCTGTCAACCACCCCATCTGGGGTGAGCGAGGTATTATGCATGGCCTCTGCATGAAGCGCGGGAAGACTACCTCATACTCTCTAAACCCAAACTTAAAGGACAAGAAAGCCGACGCCAAGGTCTTTGGCCATAACAACCTCACGCCCGGAGACTGGTGGCCCATGCAAAAAGCTGCGCTCTTCCACGGCGCCCACGGCGCCCCTATCAGCGGCATCTCGGGAACGCCAGAGCTGGGCGCGTATTCAATTGTCACTTCTGGCCGGTCCACTACGTACGGCGACATGGACGAGGACCACGGCGACGTCCTCTACTACAGCGGTGACCAGAGCACCGACAATGTCAACCCCACCCGTGTCATCATGACCAGCAGCCGCACGCAGAGCCTAGAGAAATCCATGCAGACGCGCCGCCCGGTGCGCGTGCTCCGCAGCTCGGGCGGAAGCGGTGTCTTCCACCCCCCTGTCGGCATCCGCTACGACGGCCTCTACCGCGTCACGGAGCGCCTGCAAAAGTTCAACAAGAAGGGTGGCATGTACTACCAGTTCAAGCTGATCCGCGACCCAGGACAGACGCCGCTCAAGGACATTTGCAAGAACTCTCCCGGCAGGCAGCAGCTGCTCGACGAAGCGAAGATCCGGGATGGATACTAGTTTTGGTTTGGGCGAGCGTAGGTGTGCGTGTTTGGGCCCGGGTTGACTCTTCAGGGAGTGGATATCAGTGGGGGACTTGGAGAGGAGGAGGATGGCTGGTTTTCTAGGAAACTGGGAAACACCTGATTACAGCTGCGATTCTCTTTCAGTTTGCCCCAACTTCTTTTGCTTTTCTCTGCCTCAATACCCTCCACATCTTCATAGATGGGCTAGCAACTCGCTCGGCCTGTCTCTTCCTTTTCTCTTCTTTCCATAGATCCTTATACCACCGAGGTATTGGACGAGAGAGAGAAATTGAAGATGATTTTTGCCTCCGTTTGACTTCAATTTAATCAACTTCGTGTTATAAACCGAATAAACAAGAATGACCAAAACGCCGCTTATCGTAGATCAGAGATGTGATATCGTGACTTCCCTCCTCGTGGTTTATTTGGAAATCTTGTACGTGATCGAAGCTCACAGCGCATTGAATTGTCTGGCCAAATGGATCTAAAAGTACAGAAAAGAAGGCTTCCTTATACTCGTTGAGAGAAGGTAGGGGAAGTGTTGTAATTAGCCCGAAATGAGGGCATTCCGAGGCTAAGAATGGAGGAGAAATAAAGAATGAAGGAAGTACAGAGGCATGCCAACCAAGGCCTGGGAAATGTGGTTCAATTCCATGAGAAGTGGGTCAATTCCAGGCGACAGGAAACGTGACGTACGGCGTAAATCTTTCGTACGAAGAGAAGATAACATCCACGATCATTACCTAGACCCTGGGGTTTCAAATAGAGCGATATACGTAACGGCCTTGAAAATGGACAAGCCCATGTCCGTAGATTTGAACTGATGAAACTTTTCTCAAATTTAAAGACGAGCTGCCCAGTGCCCGGTGCCTGTAATCGGAAGACATAGGGACTGGCCCAGGTGGCCTGACTGGCCTTATACTGTACAACGTAATCACCTCGCTTCTCTCCTGCGAGCAAATGGCTACCGCAGTGCCTAACAATTACCAGCAGGTGTCCCCTCCCTTACTAACAAATTCCTTCCAAAGCCGCCTCACAGTTTGCTCGCTACAGCGCTTACAGCAGCAGCCCCCCGCACCTCATCCGCGATCGCGCGGCCCGCGGCTCTCCCAGAAAATATGCACCCGCCCAAGAAGGTGCCCTCGAGCGAGCTGTACCCGTGGACGCCGCCGCCGCCAAAGCCCGCAACCTCGCCCGCCGCGTACAGCCCCGGGAACGCCGTGCCGTCGGCGCGCATCACGTTGCTGCTCAGGTTGGTCTCGATGCCGCCGAGCGTCTTGCGCGTGAGCAGGTTCATGCGCACGGCGATCAGCGGGCCGTGCTTCTTGGTGTCGAGCAGCTTGTGGGGCGCGGCGATGCGGATCCGGCGGTCGGGCCAGTAGGTGCGCGCGCTGTGGATCAGCATCACCTGCGCGTCCTTGGAGTACGTGTTGTCGAACTGCCCGTCGCGCGTCTCGACCACCTCCCTGACCTTGGCCGGGTCCAGCTGCAGCCCGCCCGAATTGGCCGCCAGCTCGTTCATCCCCGCGACGAGGTCCTCGAGATTGTCCCTGACTACGAAATCCTCGCCGTATTTGGTGAAGTTCTGCACGGGAGTCGTGCCCTTGGAGCTGAAGACGCGCTGCATGAAAAGCTGCCACACGCTCTTGCCCGTGAAGTCGGGGTTCTGCTCCGAGCCCGACAGCGCGAACTCGCGGGCCACGATGCTCTGGTCGGCTATGAACCACGTGTAGTCGTATCCCGTGCTGCAGATGTATTTGAGCGTGGCAAGCGTGTCGGACCCGGGAAACAAAAACGGTGGTAGTCTCTTGCCCGTGGCGTCGAGCCAGAGTGACGACGGCGCTGGCAGCACGCGAATACCGTGGGCCGGCCAGATGGGGTTCCAGTTTTTGAGCCCCTCGGTGTAATGCCACATCCTGTCCCTGTTGATGACGTTGGCCCCCGTCTTCTCGGCAATGTCGATCATGCGGCCGTCGACATGGGCAGGCACGCCAACCACGAAGCTCTTGGGGATGGCGGGGCCGAGTCGATCCACGGGCCAGAACTTCTTGACCTTCTCCACATCGCCGCCGATGCCCCCAGACGACACAAGCACGGCAGATCCGGAAATCTCGAACTCGCCAACGACGGTCCTCGACGACTTCACACCCCGCGCCGTCTCCTCGGGCTCGAGAACGCGCCCTTTCACACCGACTGCGCGGCCCGTCGTCTCGTCGACGATTATCTCGTCGACCACGTGCCGGAATTTGAACTCGACGATTCCCTTCTTCTCGGCCTCTTTCACCGGCTCCGCAAACACACGCACGACCTCGGGACCGGTGCCCCAGGTGAGATGGAAGCGCGGGACAGAGTTGCCGTGGCCGTCAGCCCGGCCGTCGCCGCGCTCAGCCCAGCCCACGTTGATCATGAAGCCAAGGCCGCGCGCCTTGACGTAGCTCTCCATCTCGTCAGTAGCAAAATTGACAAAGGCCTCGGCCCACTTGCGCGGCCAGTAGTCCTCCTTCTCACGGTCGAAGCGCGCCGAGCCGAGCCAGTCGCGCATGGCCAGCTCGCGCGAGTCCTTGATGCCCATGCGCCGCTGCTCGGTCGAGTCGACGCAGAACAGGCCGCCCAGCGACCAGAACGCCTGCCCGCCGAGGTTCTCCGCGTTCTCCTGGTCCAGCAGCAGCGTGGGGATGTTCTGCTGCGACAGCTCGAACGCCGCCACCAGCCCGGCCAGCCCGGCGCCGACGATGATGACGGGGCCCTTGGGTCCACCACTGCTTGCCTCTTGCGGCGTCTGCGCCGCTCCCGAAGCCATGGTGCAGTGCAGGTGTCAAGTCCAAGATACGGAGCTCCAAGCGGGACAGCACGGTGCTGCGGGGTCAATTCCACGGGATGGAAGAGCAACAAATAAACGCGAATTGATCACCAGCAAGACGGAGGCGTTCAGGGCGAAAAATGAGGGCGCGTTGCTGCTAGCCGTTAGAATCTCACGATCGTCGCACCACCATCGCGTGTCGTCCCTTTTAGGCCCGGGAGCGGGGCAATCTATTGTTCCATCACGCGCTGGCGCTGCTCGTCGCAACGCCATGCCTCGGTCCGCTAACGAGCCCTTGTGGCGCAGCCCCACACCTCCAACGTGCCCTTCGCCGAGCTAAAAATTGCAGTGTAGGGTTGCCTTTTCTAGCCCGTGATCAAAGTTGACAGTAGCTTAAAAGGTCTTGAATTGTCTGCCTCCCCAAGGTCTAGAGATGTAGAAAAGAAGCCACTATTTATACCCAAAAAATAAAACAAAGGAAATCTTGTGATGTTAGGAAGTGAGCGTCATAGAGGGCCTTTTAAGGTTCAACTCGGTTATGGCTCGGATGTGGCTCAATTTTCAGGTGGCACCTTTCGTTCGTGATGGAGGGTGTTCTGGCCATTTTCATTGGTTTGCCATTAGATAACAGATCTTGGCGCGATCCTGGGCTAGGAACGTTCTGGGGCGAAACGATCGCTCGGCAGAATTCAATCCCTAGGAAGTTCCTGAGCCGGGATTCTTGGGAAAAGATCATACCGTAAAACGTGCTATGAAAAGCACGTCTCGAGTCAGAATTATGCAAGTAAATATCCCATCACATTGCAACGTGTAAATTGCGACAAAGATTAGCGATCATGTCCCGGAAGATTGATCAGCCCCGCCCGGAAGCGCAACATAATACACACGCCGATGCTCATAATGGGCAACAATCACAACGGGCCCTGAATCGCCAGTCTCGGACCGACATGTTGTCAGCTCTCGGCAGTACCGAAAATAAGCATAAACTTCGGGCCGTGCACTGCTGCAGCAGACAGAAGCAGATCGCGTCGTGCACAGTAGAGCTCGTTCGGCACTCGAGTCCGAGGCAGCAGCAGCGTCATGCCCGCAGCCGACCACTCAATCGCACACGCATCAACGGGCAGTGACGGAATACTTCAAAGGCGGCATGGTTTTACTCCCATGTTTTTGCGGGCGTGCAGATACGAAAACTGTGCGTTTTGGTCAACGCCTGGATTTGTCGCCATTTCTCAACTCGACGACCCGACGATAATGAGCCGCCCTGCACTCCGACGAGAACGCAATAGGTAAACAATATTTGACCGTACGGCCTTCCGCACCGATACTCCGAAGGAAAGAAATCCCCCACAAAGACCTCCAGTAGGCAGGGGAAGGCTCCGCGGCTAGGCTCTCTGCTGCAAACGAGAAGGATTCGAGCCAATACAGCCGACGAGACGAGGTGGGACCCGTGGGTATTCTGGGTTTCTCCCAATTGCGAGCTTCTGTTTTTTTTCTGCTTCTGTTTTTCTCTTGCTGGCGATCTAATCATTCCGTCTCGGAGGTAGTACTGACTGCCGATCGCGCCCCAGCCTTTGGCCCTTTGATGGCAACCCACCCCCCCCCCGTTTACGGTTTGGGGTAACACAGGAGAGGGGGGCCACTTGTCTCCACTGTCCCGGCCTCCGTTCCCAATTCGAAATGCCACATCAACACAGAGGCGAGCGAGATGCGAGCGAGCAGCCAGCCAGACTGGCAGCGGGATTGATTTGGAATATTCCTGGGTACTGCTGCCGTATTAAATCGCCAATTATCACCAGTGCAACGTCCCTGCGCGGCTGGGACTTCCCCTTCGCAATGTCCGGGGCAGATCCCCTCGACTCTGCGGGTCTGGGTAGGGGTTTGGAGTGTTTGTATCCTGTAAGCTGCCATTGACATTCCGCCGGTGCGAGCCGCCCGCCGTCCAACCAGGGAGGGAGTGGGAACTGGTCGAGACACCAAGCCTCCCATGTTTGAACGTCTAGGACTCCTTCTGTTACACAATGGTTGTTGGCCCCCAGAATGGACCCTGACAATCTGCTTCCGCCTCGGCGCCAATACTCTCCTTGTATATATGAGCCCGCGTGGCTGTTGGCGCTAGCTTCGAGGCTGCATCCCTGGAAAACGTCTTGGCTGTTAAGTTCGAGTAGATTACGGTATCTTCATTCCGGAATCGAGAAGTTTGCCTGTATCAAAGTCAAATCTGAATATTTCGACGCTGTCCTGCCTTCAATCCGAGCAGTTCGTCGCCGCTCAGTGGAACGCCACCCGCAACCCCAGAGCTTGGCCAAACACTTCCCCGGGTGCGTCTCGCGGGGCAGATCGGCACATTTGCGGCATTGAAATCTTGGCAGAGACCCGCAGGCCTGGCTGCCGTGTTGGTCCGAACGGTATATATTGGGGTGCAGCAGCACTAGCACTTGTGCTAATATAGCCTGCTTGCTGTACACCGGCCGTTTCGTGAGTCGAGTTCCAATGTGTTCTCGACCAACAGACCCAAAGCCACATTTACCCTCCGCACCCCTCGAGCACCAACACAATTACCTGCTGTCCCATCTACCGGCTTACGAGATGATTGTCAAAAGCTGCAAGCCCATACAGTCCGACGGGTGAGGTTTGTTGTTGATTGGCCTTGGAAATCTCCGGCCTCAACTCAGCCAGTGCCGGCCGGACGTACGTGAGGGGAAGTCGTCGCGCGAGAAGGGCACACACAGGCGCACCGGTTGCTGTTAGCCTTTGCCAAGCCGTGATACCAGTCCCCTGCCATCTGCCATCGAGTGCCGTCTCGCTAGGCATGTATGTATGTATATCTGGCCCGATTCGGGCAGGGAGGTGACCCTGGCAGGCGCGCGTGGCGTCTGCATGATACGTGGTATAAAATGTTGCCAAGGAAACAGGGGGGTTAATACAGACGACCATTTGCCGGGCGAAGTGGTGATTGGCAGCACAGGTGGTGGTGGCACTCGATTAGCCTACCCCGGCGCGGCTACTATATGAATTATACAGTACCAGGCGCGCAGACTGGAGCACCCCGCAGCGGATGTCATTTGCCATAGATTCGACACTTGGCACCGTGCCTCCCCCGACCTGGTGTCAGGCTCGAGTTGCTGCGCGAGGGTGAGGTATCCTTTACTTACTTGAACCCCATGGGACGCTGCATCGGAGTCATATTGCGCCCCTCTTGGTCTTGTCTCTCGTCCTGGCTCGCCAACGATTCTTCTGACACAGCCCAACTGTCGTGTCTCTGGACTTGCTAGCCAACATGGCGACCAAAGTCACTCATGATTTCCACAGGTCAGTGAGAGACGGCCGGGATGGTTGAATGACATGTTACTGACACCGAGATTATCTTAGCCATGCACACGAAGAGGGAGTCGCCGGGACGGTCAACCTCAAGGCCCAAGAGGGGGAGGAGACTCACTACGGCCAGGCACTGTACCCGGTGCCGTCGGCGGACCCCAACGACCCGCTGCAGTGGAGCGGCTTCAAGAAGGGCATGATCCTACTATGCTGCTGCCTGTACTCGTTCCTGGGCAACTCGACGCTGATCGGGCCGTCGGTCTACATCGGGCTGTGGTCGGGCGAGTTCGGCGTCGACCCCAACACGGCGGCCGGGCTGGTCAACTACCCCAACCTGGTGTTTGGGCTCGGCAGCCTGTTCCTGGTGCCGCTGTACCGCAAGATCGGCCGCCGCCCCGTCATGCTCGGCTCCATGATCTTCTACACGGTCGGGGTCATCGCGGCGTCGCAGGCCACCACCTTCTCGGGCCTCATGGCCGCCCGCGTCGTGCACGCCTTTGGGTCCGGCGTATGCGAGGCCCTGCCCGTGCAGCTGGTCAACGACATCTTCTTCCTGCACGAGCGCGGCAAGAAGCTGGGCTGGTACACCATCGGCCTGTGCCTGGGCGCCACCGGCCCCCTGTTCTCGGGCTTCATGCTGGCCGGCGGCTACTCGTGGCGCCTCTTCTTCTACGTCGAGTTCGCCTTTGCCGGCGCGCTGCTGATCCTAGCCTTCTTCTTCGTCGAGGAGACTAAGTACAACCGCGTCGTGGCCATCGTGCCCTCGCCCGTCGCCAACACCACCGACACCCACCTAGACCAAGAAAAGGCCGAGGCGACGACCGAGGAGCACGCGTCGTCTGAGTCGCCGCGCGACGTGTCGGCGGCCAGCCTGCCGCCGCGCAAGACGTTCGCGCAGCAGCTCAAGCCGTGGAGCACCGTGGATCACGACTCGGAGTTCTTCATGATGATGGCGCGCGCGTTCACGTACCTGCTGGTGCCGTCGACTTTCTGGGTCATCACGACGTACGGCATCTACATCGGGCTGTGCGGGTTCGCCTTCAACTTCGTGTTCCCGCTCAAGATCGTCGCGCCGCCGTACAACTGGCCGCAGACCAACTCAGGGCTCAACTCGATCGCGAGCATCATCGGCTTCGCCCTGGCGCTCCCGCTGCTGCCCGCCAGCGACCAGCTTGCGGCGTACCTGACCAAGCGCAACAACGGCATCCGCGAGTCCGAGATGCGGCTCGGCATCCTGCTGATCCCCGCGCTGGTGGCGCCGGCGGGTCAGACGCTGTTTGGCGTCGCCGCCGCCCAGGACCTGCACTGGATGACGTACTTTGTGGCTATCGCCATGACGCAGTGGGCCGGCTACTTCTATTTTACTGTCACGCTTGCGTATGCGGTCGACTCGTACACGGCCAATCTGTCCGAGATGCTCATCATGATGAACCTCGGCAAGCAGCTGATCAGTTTTGGGCTGAGCGTCGAGGTGCTCGACTGGATCCTTGAGAACGGCTACGTCAAGGTCATCATCGGCGCGTTCATGACCGTGATGCTGGTCAACAACCTTGTCGTCATCATCTTCATGGTCTGGGGCAAGCGCATCCGCGTTGCTGTCTCCAAGACGTGGCTGGCCCGACTCCATGCGCGCACCGCCGTCCGCGGCGAGATGCATTGAGGTGTCTGGCTAGGGGGAGGAGAGTTTTCTAGACGAGCTAGTCCTTGTGTGGTTGGATAATACAGTGTCGAGTTGAATTGGATTTCTGAGACGTAATTGGGTAGTGGCTAATGGATAAATTGCCAAAGGATATTCTCTTTTCACTGTTTGGCCCTGCTCGGGAAAGGCCTTGGATGGCCGGTTGAATGAGGAAAATTGTTGGATTCACCAGGGTACCGGTACTGGACTCAACAGGGCGTGGCTGCACGCCGAAAACTGGTGGTTCAAGTGATGGATTGTAGATGTCTGTTCTTCTCTCTAGCTTTCTGGCAGTGCCAGAAAGCCCGTTCTTATACTACTATTGTGGTGGCGAAGTTGGTGGCAAAGTCTCTATCTAGAACCTTCGAGGCCCTTCTGCTTGACAAATTCCAACAAAAATATCACTTCATTCTCGCCTGAAAGTCACACGGCTAAAACAATCATACTGAAAAAACAAACAAAACAAATCAAAAAATGGATTCTCTCACGAGTAACCTGTTATACAATAAGTGCCCAAGACGCCACACAACCGTGCGCACTACAAGAGCAGCACCTCACGTGGCATCCCAGCGACATAATCACCATTCCCAACACCCAGCGCGCCCTAGGTAATGACCACGCCCTCACATGACAAAGACACGGTGCAACATCGCACAAATAATTACACCCTGCAGTCAGCCTCGCCACCGGGGTGTTTTGTTTGTGCGACGGAGAGTCAGGGCGGCGCGTTTATTTGCACAGGGCAAGGCATGTCAACTGGTACGAGGGCTTATCACCAATTTCGTTCTAGAACGGAACAGGGAACAGGGGAGTCTTGGCTCCTGGGGTGAGAGAGGGTGTGCGATGGAAGCCGGGTCTTTCTGCAAAATCTGCAGGCGGTGAAATTACTAAGAGCGGCCGGTAACAGCGCGCAGGGGGCGCGGCTGCGTGGCGTGCAGTTCGTGTGTTTCCCCAGATGATATTGGGGGCCTTTGCCAAGGTGGCGAATTTCCCCCTGTGGCATGCTTTGAATTGGAATGAATTTAGGAGAGGGACTGATGTTGGGGTGTGGTGTGGTGTGGTGTGGTGTGGTATGGTATGGTGGCGCGATTCAAGGCGAAATGGAAACGGGAGGGGATTCACAAACAAACAAACAGCTCAGTTCCTCCTGGTTGACGTGAATGAAGGCTCAAACACCGCTGACTTTCAGAGAACAGCCGATTAATTCGAATTAGATTTAATCTGATGCCATCTCTAGGTAGATATAATTAATCAAATTTAATTACTGAAGAAAATTCAAAACAACCACCTCCTGCACACCCCAGCACGTCTTGACAACACCTTCCAACGTCCCAAACACGACCGCTCAGTTTGGCGAGCACTTGACCGAGCCCCACTCGGCCCTCAGCGTGTGCGGGAACACGGCGTAGCCCGGCTTCGCGAGCGTCAGGGTCTCGCCCGACGGAGTGCAATCGTCGGTGCTGTGAAACAAGTCAGCCATTGATTCCCAGACAGATATGAAAGGAGAGGGAATTCATTGTCTGCTCACCTGTACAACACGCATGTGCCCGTGTCAGGGCCCGCCGACGCGATGTTGTGGTAGCTGCAACGGTTCAATTAGAGTTTTATCCATCTCAATCTCAAGGGGGTTGGTTGGTGGGAGAACTTACAAGTCCGGAAACGCCGGTCCCAGGCTCACGCATGACGCCGAGTGGTAGATGGGCAGCACGTTGCAGGGGGCGTACCAGTTCGCCGACTGGCAGACGAACAGCTGTTTACACGCGTGAGTATATGAAACTGTTTTCGAAGGGAGAAATTGGGGGGGGGGGGGGGAGGGGGGTACATACCTTGGTGAGGCTCGTGGGCACGGGCTGCAGGGCCTCCATGTCGTCGTTCATGATTTGCATGTCTCTCTTCCCCAGGCTGGCGCCGGCTGGGCAAGCCACTCCGCCCGAGGGGGAGGTTGCGGCAGCCTTGGCAGTCGACGACGTTGACGACGAGGCGGCTTTGCTTGTCGACGACGAGGATGAAGTCGAAGAGCTGGTCTTGGAGGCAGACGAAGACGACGAGGAGGAGGTAGTCGTCGCGGGGACAGCCGGGGCGGCCACATTGGCGGGGGGCGACGGGCTGCTCGCGCCGGCGATCTTGCTGTAGACGTTCATGCGCCCGCCGTTGCCGCACATGACGGTCATGTCGCCGGCGCAGGGCATGCTGCAGTCCGTGTCGGGCATCTTCTGGGGCGGGAGGGTGTTGCCGCAGAAGCACTGCGTCGTCCACTCGACGCCGGCATACGCGTAGCCGGCGCAGGCGGCAACGCAGGCGGCCGGCGTGTTGGGGCCGGAGAGGCTGCCCGACTTGTCGACGGGGAGCACGCGGGCGTTGGAGTTGTCGGCGAAGCATCCGGCCATGGCGTAGCCGGTCGGCGGCGGCGTCGGGGGAGGCGGAGAACCCGTCGCGCCGGTCGAGTACAGCTCGACGAAGCCCGATCCTCCGCACGTGGCCATGGAGCCGGTGCAGAGCGTCGAGCACTGCGAGTCGGCCACCTTGGTGGTGGGCGCCGCCATGCTGCACCAGCACTGGTTGCCGTTCTCGAGGCCGGCGTACTTGTAGTTGCCCTGCTTGCACTTTGCCACGCAAAAGTCGGGCACCATGCTCTCGGGGATCTGGGGGCTGAGGGCCTGGGATTGGAAGCCGGCGTCGGAATAGCAACCCACGTAGCCGCTGAGTTGGGCGACGACTTGGCGGGCCGGCGTGTTAGACTCTGATCCCACAAAGATGTCGACCTGGGCGCCGGGGTTGAAGCCAAATTTCCCGCTATACGTGGGCGTTCTGCCTCCAGGCGGTGTGACGTTGTCGACGCCCTGTGCCTCTACAAACAAGAGCATGGCGTGTCAGTTCACTTGGATGAATCGAGTCGGGGACGAAAGTCAGGCTTACGGTTCCAGATGATCATCTGCTTCGGCCCCTTGACGCACTTGGTCAGGTCGTCGCCGCACCAGACGGGCGCCTTGGCAGGTCCGATGGTCTTGGTGGACGTGCTCCCAGTGACATGGCATCTGAGGTTCTGCATGTACACGTTGGGTTCGCCACAGCCCTGGGGCACCCACAGGAACGCGCAGTAGCAACCACCAGGCGGGCAAGGCGGGAGGTCAGCGGGGACATCGTACCAAGCTTCGCGTTTCCAAGGAGTGCTATGGGTGGGCGGTGCCCGTCAGCGTCAACCCTCACTTGGCTTCCTGGAATGTCCGACTCACTTGGCCAACACGCTGAACACGACCAGGTTCTGGAGGTTGACCTTGGAGATGTCCGAGTTGTACGAGATGGCGAATGCAGTGCCGGCGGCAGTCTGCTGGCCCTGGGTGTGCATGGCGCCGTCGTTTTGGATGCACTCGCCGGGAGACGGCCCAGACCAGTCCTCGGGGTGCTGCTGACCATCTGGCCACGGAGAGGTGAATTTCCCGCCGAATGACAAGGTTGTCTGGCCCTGGTTGTGGGCGTGCTCGACCATGAACTTTCCTCCGGCCGGGAGGGCGAGGGAGGCGTTGCCCGGTGGCGCCGCGGCATCACACCCGCGAGCATGCTGCATCCAGAAGTTGCTGAAGGTCTGCTGGTAGATGGGCCACACAGGTGTGTTGGAGTTTTGGTTGTAGACGGTAGGATCAGGGCCACCTTCGCAGTACATGCCCTTGACAAACGAGGCCGTGTGTGCCGACGCCCCCCAGGCCAGGGCGGCCACAACGGCGGCCTCGACAAGCATGCTGGGCAAAGAACGAAAATACAGAATGAAAATAAATGAATGAGTTGCGTCACACGCAAATGGACGAGTAAACAAGGGAGCGAATGGTCCAAAACACTGTAAAGTGAGCGCGGCTGAATGAATGTCGTGGCAAAGCGAATGCCCGGGCCAAGAAAGAAAACGTCGATCGATGCCTTCGAGAAGGGCACCATCAACTGCGAGGTGGGCGCCATCGTGACCTTTATTCGGCGTCGACGCCTCGCTCTAGCTTCCACGCTCGGCGGCTAGTAATCAATCATGCATCTCATTCGAGGCTAATTGTCAATTGAGTTGAGTGATTGCAGGCAGCACAACCCCGGGGGCTCGCCTTTGCTGTCTTTTCTCGCTTGACGTCAGTAAGCGCTACTGCGATAACGTGGGGCGTCGAGAGCAGACTGGCCTCGTTTGGGGAGAACTTCCCAAGGCAGCGCAGCGGCTTCCCCTGCTGTGCCGTTTTCCCCTCGTGTTTTCGACACACTCGAGCGGCCTGATCGGTGGGGTTGTTCTGAAGGCTTGGCGCAAGTGTTTGTCAAATTGCAACGACTATTTTATTCCCATGTTATTCCACTCGCAGGCGCTGGGGACTTGTGCAGCAAGATCTGTAATGATCTGTAAAAAAAAAAAAAAAAATCAGCAATAATCTGTCAACAGAGTCCAGATGCCACAGCAGTTGGTGAGGTGTGACAAGATGACATGAGTCGATGCTCATCATCACTGCCTGCCTCTGCCCCACAAAACAACAATTATCGGCTCCATCCAGTCATTACGACCGTCAGCCCCTAATCAACAGTGCCTGAATAATTCTCGCCGAGCATTTCAAGACGACGCTGACGACCGCTTGAGAGCTGAGACGCGCCCCCTAAAGGTGAATGCTTCTGGAAAACTGAAATTTCCAGTCGTACCCAGCAGGGGACCGCATGACAAGTGCTTATTCAGTGCCATGCTAATGCTTGAAGGGCTTTCTACCGCAGCTAAGCACCCGGGGCGCCGCAGGAACCCGCCGCGCCTGCATTTCCGCCTCGTAGCGCCGAGCGCCGATTGCCCGGGTAATTCTTCTGCTGACCACTGTGGCATTTCCCGCCCCTCCCCCTTCAAGCCACAAGTCTTTTTTTAACCCCCGATTGCACACTCCCGACTCGTTTCAACCAGCGCAGGGGAAATTGCGGGGAGACGGTGAGCCACAGAACAAAATGGTTTGCCTGGTCCGGAAATGACCGGCTCTCTGCTCTATAATTACATGCCAAGACAATTCGCGCGTTACTAAGGGCATAGCAAAGCCCATCGACCCCCATTGCTCAGGCACCAATGATTTGTGTGCCACGCGAAAGTGAGGTTTACTTGCTGGGGTGGTCGTGAGTGAGCTGCACCCCAAACAGTCCCCGTGATTTTGTTCTTCTCTTTTCGAAGCAGCGCCCCAAGCAGGTAATCAGGGCGAAGGAGCACCGTATACCTAATCTCTCGAATAATAGAAATGTCGGTGGGTCACTTCCATCATGCAATCAACAACAGCAAAGATTGCATAGGTAAGAATCTACCTAGAGCAATGTGGGTCTGGCTAAGTTACTCATTGGATATTCAAGAGCAAAAGTGATCCACCGTCGACTAAATATATCCTTATATAGATGTATACTATAACCGTGACCACGGTGTTAGATAGAGCTTACTTGGTTCCTTAAGCAGGCAATATACATTGAGTAGCAATCCAGAACGACTATATTACCCGTGCATTAGGAGCTTGCCCTTTGTTCATTCATCAGACGCCCACACCCTCTGACCACAGGTGCTACTACGCCGTATAGACAAACGACCAACATAGTCGAGCGGAGCCTACTAACGTATTTGATAAGCGAGTTAGCCATGATAAGCAAGTTGGCCACCTTAACGAGACCGGGTAGCGTGCGCAGCCAAATGCGATAAGAAATTGATAAGATCACTAACAATTTACTAACATCTTTTGCTTGTGCCCCACCAAATCTCGTTAAGGTGGCCAACTCGCTTATCATGGCTAACTCGCATATCATGAACGTTATTATAGTTGTGAATAGTGGCAAAGTTGGTGGCAAATGGTGTGCGTGGCTGTAGCCACTTCTAACAAATCCACAGTTCCAGCAACTTCCAGAACCTCCTTTCTTTCTGACAGTTGTCCATCCACCCTCAGCGGAAGAACTCCCCGTTCCTTTTTGCTTCCCTCCTCCATTTTCTCCCAGGCTGCTGATATATACTAATTACAAAAGACAAAGACGCCTTCGTTTTCTTTCTTTGGGCGCGACAGAAGGGTCGCCCCGCCCCGCCCGCCGATGCTGTTGTGTTGCCGCCTCGCTAATCAGAACCCCCCCCACCCCCCCCGTGAAGCGTCACTGCCGACCACTCCAATCGCTGCTCCATATAAAAGTTTTGCATCGAAACTCGGTGCCCTGCTCCTTGTCTCCGCTCGGGCCCAGCGGGCGGGCACACACGTAGAAGAATCGGCCTAGATAAAGAAGGGAAGCGTTTGTTAGTCGAGGCAGAGTTGACAAGGTTGGGGTGGTGGTTTTCAGGGAGCCTCGATTTTGGGATCTGGCTGTGAAAAGGAGCGGGCATTCAGGGAGAAAAACCAAAAGGTGGTACTCACCACAATTAACGCCGGGCTTCTTGGTGACCAGGCTCTCGCAATCGTCGCCATGCTCACACTTGGGCACGACTCTCTTGCCAAGCAGCTTGGACCACGACTCCTTGGACTCGATGGGGTCGAATACCCTGTCTGTGGACGGGATAGGTCCAGCAGTGCTGCTGGGACCGGTGTCCTTCCTGCCCTCTTCACCAATGCCAGGCATGGAGCCCCATTCTTTGTCTTGGGCGGAGGTCCGCGTAGCCGCTGACTTTGCGGAGTGTAGATTGCTCGCTTGCCAAGTCGGGGGAGAAAGGCCGCCACTGACGTCTTCGGCCTCTTTGTCCGGACTGGTGTCGGAGATGGGCGTTGTCGCTGGCTTGAAGAAGCTCGCTAGACTCCGCTGCGATAAACTGGCTTTCGATTTCGCTGCATTTTCCTTATCAAGAGATGCCTTTGTCTTCTTCGGTGGCCTGCTCGAAGAGAACGGGGGAGGCTCGGCTTGGCGTTTGGAAATAGAAGGCTTTGTCGACAGAGCTGGGGCACTGGAGGCCGTGTTTGAAGAGGCTGGGTCGGAGGACTGCGACGTAGAGATTGAGCTTGGGTGTAGTTGGGTTAGGTGTTGCGTGAGAAGAGTGGCATCGTCAAGCTTCAGCTTGTCTGGGCCGTCGATGCTTGACGATGATGCTGGGTTCGCTGCCTTGCCATTCGGGTTTGCTTTCTTGAAGAACATATCGCGGATGCTTTGCCGCCGGTCAAACTCAGGGATGAGCTTTGCTGACGTGGGAAGAAGGTCCTTGGGCGACCACTCCCGCAACCGCTTGCCATCTTTGAACATGCCCTCGGGGTTCATCAAGTCTTCTATGTGTGTCTTGCTATTGCCGTCAAAGCCGACAGTGTTATCGATTCTGGCGTAAACAGGGCAGTGATCGGATCCCAAAAGACCTTCCTGGATGTTGGAGTCGACGAACCAGTCTCTGATGCCGGACGTACACAAGACGTAGTCGATACGGCTTCCATAGTTGCCTGGCCTCGCGTTCTTCTTAGTCTCCCAGCAAGTGTACATGCCCTTGCGGGCAGGATGGAACTCTCTGCAGAGATCCCACAGCACAGGCTCCTCCCGGCCTTCATCCCGTTCGCCATCGACGCGGCCTCCAAAGACGATCTGGTTGAAGAAACGACGCGAAGGCATCGAGAAGAAGTCGTCGAGAGACATGACCTCCTTCCGCAGCCGTTCTAGAAGACCTGCGGTGTCCATCTCGGAGCGGATGATGTTGAGATCGCCGCAAAGAACGACCTGCTTCCCGAGCGCAGCCAGGTTACGGACCCTGATATCTAGGGCGTCGATGAAACCCTGGCGAAACTCGGACCTGGTCTCGTCTCGTGTGGCCGGGCTGTATACGCCGATGAGAACAAAGGCGGGGAACTCGAGGATCATACAGCGGCCTTCGGAGTCGAGCGTAGGCTCATCCACGAAGCTCGAGAGCTGACCGGGCCTTGGGTATCCGCCAATCTGCTGGTCGACGGGGAGGTCGCGAAACCTGGTGGTTGAGTTGGGAGGGCAAAGGATGCCGGTAATGCCTTCTTCGGCGCGGATGGGCGAGCATTTGGAGGAGCGAGTGTAGATGGCCACGCCAGAGTACCCTGAGCCAGCATTAACAGGTGGGCCTCACGAAGAACGCGGTGACTCGGCGCGGGCGCGGATAGAGGCACGAACCTTTCTTGTACTTGGGCAAACTGAAGTGGACATCCCAGCCGGGGACAAGCACCATGTCGTCCTGGAGGTCTTTGCGCTGGATCTTGGTCTCCTGCATGATCACGATATCGGCCTCGAGCGTGTCGAACATGGACTGAAGCGGATAGTGTCAGCGGCGGTCATTGGGTCTTAGGATCTCGCGTCTTGGGGCACCGACCTGGAACGTGCGGTTCTCTCGCCATGGCTGGTAGCTGAAGGGGTTCCTGGACAAGGCGCAAAAGGTGCCGATTTAGCCCCGGGCGAGGAAACAACAAGACATGACAGAAACGAGGCACGGGCTGGCACAAACCTTATGCCATTTACTGCGAGCAAGTCAGAGACACGATGCACTGGGACACGGGAACGCGAGCAGAAGGAGCGGAATGGGCCTCGTACCATTCCACGTCGTAATGCGGAGCCCCATCTTCCCTCAGCCCTGGGGCCTACAGCGCCAAGCACGGGCGGCTTCTTCGCTTTGGGGGGTTGCGTGGCCCGCGCATGTACGGCAAGCTACCTATCGTATCTTGGAGATCTGAGTGCCGGCCGCCGTGTATAGTGTCGAGCGTCGGGCGTCGAGTATCGGGCGTCGAGCGACTAGACAGAAGCGACTTGACGAGAATCGAGACGGCAATTGCGCAGCGCACGGCTAAACCACGTACCCAAGTTCCCAGGTACGCAGTCTCGGGTGCTCACTGCACACACGCACTGCTTCGCTCTGGGGGTATCTGTATTTGCTGCCAATTCAGCAGGAAAGCCCGCAGCAGCATGGAATCACTCCCCGTCTCCTTCTTGTCTCACCGCCTCACATCAGAGCGTACTCACCCTTGCGCGGCCCGCCACCCGCCGTGGGCCATTCCTGCCACTGCCACCCTTGATCCGCGAAGTCACATGACCCGCCGACCCCTCCACTCCTACCCCTCACTCCTCAATTTTCTTTGCCACAGGCATACAACATACCTCCTTAGGCCTGGAGTATTAGGGCAGGTATTTGGCCACGGTTGACTTGTTGAGTTTTGATCATCACAACATTGTGTTAAAACCCAGCGGATATCGCGTCTTCAATTAACAACCACCAATCGATAGTTGACTCAACGCTCTATCGTAACGGTACCTTCCCCAGCACCGTCGGTACCGACAGCCGCACGCGATGTCCGAACGCCACGAGATGGAGCGGCTTCGGCGTGAGCCAGAGGCAGCAAAGGCGCGAGAAGAGCAGGAGCGACGCGAGAAGAGCAGTTCATGCGCGAGAACTAGATGACTACGCTTGAGGAACACCTACACAACTGCCACTTCCACCTCTACACAAAACTTACGTTCGCCCACAAGTCTAAGTTCTCGACGGGATTTACAAGGGTCGAGGGTAAATACTACCCAAGCGGCTTCGTCCGGCTTCGAGGGCAAGAAAGGAGGGTTCGTCCATGCCAAGACACTGCCTCGCTGCCAAAGTGCTCCACTACCCCAGCTTCTCAGCGGGGTTTGGCAGGGCCTGATTGGGCGCGGCGCGACGTTGGGATGCTCTCTGCCTGTGCTAACATTGCAGTGCAGTGATTTGTAGTACAATTGGGACCAAAAGTCTTGCGCTACTTACACACTAAAAAAGCCATCAAATCCATGGTTGGCCAAAATGACCCTCTACCTTCAAGGTGGAAAGTCTTCACCATTTTTTCACCCTTTTTCTTCCTTTTCAACTGAAAAATGCTCGGCATTTCAAAGAGCTTCAGAACAGAGCTTTCAGAAGAAAAAAGGGCCCAGATTTGGGCTCTCCACGTCTTCGGAGCGACCGCAACCATCATTTCGGCGCAAGTGGGGATCGGCAGGCTTACTATCAACAGGACTATACAAAAAGTAACGCAAAACCTGGCCAATGGCCTCGAAAACCTATTCGGCTCAAAGCTTAGAAGCGGGCGCCTAAAGAACCTCGATGACCGAGCGAATCGAAGGCTGATTCGTACAACGCTGTCTCGAATAGACATCCTTGTAGCCCTCGGGACGCCCTCAAAGTCTGGGTGCAAGATCAACCGTCTTAACCGTCAGGAGTATACCGATCAAATCTTTGTTCCTCATTTCCTTCCTTTCTATAACCGAATGAAGGAAAAGGACGGTCACGGCGTTCAGATATAAGAGGATGGAGCTTTCTATCACACAACGGGTTCCTATGTAAGGAAAAGTACACGCACCTCACCAAGCACCTGTCAACGCGCACTCCCTTGCACGCGTTGACCATCTGGCACCAACGGGCCAGACCACTGCCGGCTGGCATGAGCCGCTAAGCCAATACCGGGCGCCTTGTGCCCACAAGCACATTCGGGACCGAGCCCCTGAGCATGTATATGAACAATGGCCCTCGACCTCTCCTTTGCGAGGGCTAGGTTCAAGTCTTACGCCAATACCAGTCATTGCTCACCCTTCCGTTGCCTTCATTGTGACTACCTTGATCAGGCGTACCTGCCCTCTCTTACATCCTAGGTCATTTGAAGAAGGCTTTCGACGTCAGGACCTTTAACTGGCCGCCAAAAAACCCGGATCTCTTGCCCATTGAGAATCTATGGCACTGGATGAAGCTCAAAATAGGGGCACGAAGGCACAGGATTAAAAACGTCACGCAGGTGGCGCAGGCCATTGAGGAGGTTTGGGCGGAAATTACTCCTGAAGTCATGAACAAATTGGTGAATTCTATGCCTGAAAGGATGGATTTACTTGGCAGTCAAAGGGCGGGCCGACCAAGTATTGAATGAGGATCATTTTGGTATATTTTACACTTATTTTGGCCTAAAATTGATGAAGTTGCGATTTTTGGAAGAAAAGGGGATGTGTAAGTGGGTGGCTCAAGACTTTTGGTGCCCCATTGTACACGTGTAGGTATCGTAGCTTAGTGGTTGTCTGTGATGTTATTATGGGGCTCTGTTCGCAGAATCACACAGTTACTGCAGTTGATCCGTAATCATGGCAAATAGTGTTTACCGATTTTCTCCTCAGTGACACAGGTCCTTGAGAAGGTTCGACATGCAATCTAGAAAAATGATGCGTCGATCAAGGCTAATGCGTGTGGCACATCGCGGCCGCCCTCTCAGTCTCGCGGTCCAGTGCCTCTCCACCTCAGAACCCCCCACCGGCCTTTCAGCACGCACCTCCACCATGGCATCGCCTCCCCAACCTACAGTCTACACCCGCCTGCGAAACTCGACCATGGGGCCGTCCTTCAAGCTCGTAAAAGTGTCGACGAGCTGAAACTCGCCCTCGCGATGCCTTCCCCATTCCGCGCCCAGCTTCCCGCCCTCGCCGACGCCCGCCCCGTCGCCGCGCGCGCGGCGCAGGTCGTACACAAACAGCACGCGCGCTAGCGTCATGGTCATCTCGACGTAGGCGAGGCCCTTGCCGATGCAGCCGCGCGGGCCGACCGAGAACGGGCAGAAGGCGCTCTGCGCGAGCGCCACCTCGTTCTCGGCTGCCGTCCACCGCTCCGGCACAAAGTCGAACGGCCGGGGGTAGTACTCGGGGTTGTGGTGGATCGTGTACGTCGGCGTACCCACGACAGTGCCCGCGGGCACCTGCTCGCCGTCGATGGTGGTGCCGCCCGCCAGCACCTCGCGCGGCAGGAGCCCGCCGACCGACGGCGACAGCCGCATTGCCTCGTCGATGCACGCGCGCAGGTACGTGCACGTGCTGAGGTCTGGCCCGTGGATGGCGTCGACCGTTGGGAACCTGGAGCGCACTTCGGCCGTCGCCTTGGCCAGCGCCGCGGGGTGTCGCACGAGGTAGAACAGCGTCGCGGCCATGGCCGTCGAGGTGGTGTCGGAGCCGGCAATGATGCTGGTTTGGGGTTACGACAAGGTTAGCATTGGACGACACGGTGGGAGCAGAACAGGACGGGATGCGCGAAGTAGGGAACGCACAGCAGGTTGGATTCGCCCCAGAGCTCCGGCGTGCTGAACCCCTGGCCGGTCTCGGGGTCGCGCGCTGTGAGCAAGTGGTAGAAGAAGTCGCGCCGGTCCGAGTCTTCGCCAAGCGCGGTCCGCTCCACGAGCTGCGCCCGGCTGTACTTGATGTAGCGGGCCCTTCCGGCCGCGATCTTGTGGAACAGCACTTTGTCGAGGCCGAGCCTGTCGATGACGGGCATGGTTCCGCACTGGTACCAGGTCAACAGCTGTTTGGAATGTATGCGTCTAGCCTTTCCCCGCGCAAGAACTCACAATTAGATGTCTCTGCGCCGCCACGCCGACAAGGTCGACGGCGTAGCGGTTGTCCGGGCGGTCGAGCATGTGGAACGCCTTGCCGAAGCAGAGGTCCCCCAGGATGTCCATGGCGAGCCAGTTGCACCAGTTGGCCATGTTCTTAGGCGCCGACCAGCCCCTCTTCTCGTCTACCGCCCGGCCGAGGTCTCCCAGGGCCTCGCAAAACTTCCTGACGTTGGCCACGACGTAGCGCTCCACCTCTTTGATGTTGCTGTCGGAAAAGGCACGCGAGAGCACGCGCCGCTTCCGTGCGTGCACTGCCTTGTCCCGGGTGTTGTGGGTATTGGGGGCGGGGTTCACAAAGGCGTCGTAGAACTCGGACTTGCTCACGTTGGCCTTGAAGCCGTAGATGTCTTTGAGGCCCGTGTTGGAGTTGACCGACAGCGAGCTGGGGCCGAAGCGTACAAACCTGCCGTACTTCTCGTGCATGCGCCAGAACTCCAAGTGCCTATCGCCTTTCCAGGCATGGTAGAGCATGTAGAGGTTGGTGACCCTGGCGAGGACTGGCCCTGGGTATTTCGCCAGCGGGTGGAAATAGAGACGGTAGACGGCGACACATATTATCTGGCAACGGGTTTGTTAGCCTCGTGGGCTGTGTTGACTGCTGGCTAGTGCTCAATTCTTTTGCAAGCGTAGGTATCACACAACTCACGTAGATAAGCACTCCCGCGGCCGATGCCCCAAGCCAGAATTGGAGATGAGCCACACTGAACCCCATGATGCTGGAGCTTTAGGTACTAAAACGGGGTTTCAACGGGCTATGTCTGTCCAGATATGGACGGCGCTGGATATGTGCCTGGTTCGAGCAGAAACGAGGAGGTTCTGCAGCCTACGTAGTGGCATTGGGGCACTGGCGCTGTTTTACACAGCATTCGGGCTTATCCTTCGTCCGGAGAACATGGAGGGTGTGTCACGTCTGGTGACTCCATTGGGTCCCCTCCCTTCATGTTGTGGACAAATCGAGCCAGTCGCTGCTCGAGCAGTTAGCACAAGTGTGTAAGTCCCCTGCAATGAGGATGCCCACCGCATTGGCAAATGCGAGTGCTAGACTCCTTGAGGGCGGGAAGCTCGGCTTCCGGCGGCATAAGCGGATTGTCTTATTTGCGCTGCTGACATGCTGACATGCTGCTCTGCCCGCACAACAATGATGTCGACATTCCTCTTACGGACGAGACTAGCATCATGGTTTGGACGGTTGCGAGGCCGATCGAACTCTATCCGGCTCTGGCGCGGAATGTAGAATGGAAACAGCGGGTCTTGATTTTGGGGAAGAGCGCTGAGCGGGTTTCCTCGGATTTGTTGGCGAGACACATTTTCGTAACCCCGAAAGTCACCAGGATTCCAAGGCAAGAATATTCCAGGAAATGTCCAAATCATTGACAACGCAACGGATTTTGCAGGATGATCTCCAGCGCAAGTGCCACAAAAGCATTGGGGTGGATTGCCCAGTACGGCATGTTTGACTGGAGAATCGCTGGAGAATCGCTCTCGGGCCCCTGCAAAGGAACTAGCCAGGTCTGGAGGCCCGAGACAAGAGACTAATGGAAATATAGTTGACTTCGGGGTTCGCAATCTAGCCCTCGCTTAGACGAAAATCCGGGCTGCGATACACCAAAGAGAGAGTTAGCTTTGTTGTTTTCTTTTCTCGGTTCAACGGGGCCAAGGATTCATCGGCGATGATTGGTGGGCCCGTCCGTCGCAGTTCGCTGCAACTGTGCAGCAAAAGGCCGCCCCACTTTGGACCCAAGATCTGTTTTCACCTCTGCAAGGCTGAGAGGCTGATGGACACCGACCCCAAACGGGGCCCCTTCGCCAAGTCGCAAATCCGCCTCAACTTTTGGCCCTCGGCCAAGCGCTGCAAAGAGTCGCACCCCGACTGACCACGACCGGCTCGCCATGAAAATAGTGCGCCGCTGCATTCGAACCAATTCCGGGCGAAGACGGGCGACAAGATGACGGTCTGCAAGTTTTGGATGCAGGGAAACTGCCGAAATGGATGTACGTATGGATACAAAGACCTCTTCCCTATCCCCCTCCACTCCTCCGCCTATCCCGCGACGCCGATCAATTCTCCCAATTCTCCCGCTTCGGGAGACGTTTTGCGCTGACCACTGTGACTTCCGTCGACCACAGCAAACTGCCGATTCGAGCACCCCGCCAAGTCCGCTCCGCAACCCGCCAACCGATTCGGCGCTTTCGGCGGACAGCAACAAACCCAGACAATGGGCGCGCGCCACCCAGGTTCGAAGACCCCACCGCGATTGCTCTCTCCTCCATAAACACCTGCGTTGACAGTGTGGCTTTAGATCCTGCGCCGCCGTACAATCTCAGGGCAGAGACCATTGTGACCGACCTGACGACCGAGCTTCCGCCATGGATTCTCTCGTGCTACGGTCCCGGCAGAGACGCGCCCGAGCAGCTTTTCGGAGGCTATCCGCTCGAACAGAGTTTTGAAGAGATCAGGTTACACTATACACAGGCTGCAATGTCGGGAAACCCCCAGACTGCCGTAAGTTGAGCTTTGCGCGTCCAGACTAGCCAAGAAAAAAATTTCGCTGACTCGCTCGCCAGTTGAACGAGATCGAAGGTCTCTACCAAAATGCCCGGCAGCAGATACAGCACACGACTAGCAATGTTGGCGCAGCAATACAATTTGTGATGGACGGCGCCAACAAACATCCCAACAGAATTGACATATGTCGGCAGGGGACACAGGTCGGAGCGGCAACCGGAGAGTTTGGGAAGGACAAGCCGAGAGCCGCCGGCGCGTTTGGCGCGCCCGCAAATTCTTTTCAGAATGCGGCCCCGACTTCGAATGTGTTTGGTGCCCCCACGGGCCCTGCGGCTGGTGGCGGCGGGTTCGGACAGCCTGCGGTGATGGGTTCGAAGCCCAACCCGTTTGGCGCCCCGGCTTTTGGCCAGCCCGCTCAACCGCCAGCACAGTCAGCATTTGGGCAGCCAGCTCAACCAGCACAATCAGCATTTGGGCAACCAGTTCCACTTGGTGGAACATCGGCATTTGGGCAACCTGCTCAGGTGACATCAGCCTTTGGACAGACTCCTGCATTAGGGGTTAAACCCAATCCGTTTGGAGCGCCAGCGTTTGGGCAGCCAGCGCAACCGGCAGCCGGGTCGACGTTTGGTCAACCATCAGGGACGGCATTTGGGCAGGCGAGCCTCCCGGGACAAGCCAGTGGTGGTTCGGCTTTTGGGCAGCCTGCGTTCGGACAAGCGGCACAACCCAGCAGCGCCTTCCGGCAACCTGCACAGATCGGCGTGAAGGCGAACCCATTCGGAGCTCCCGCAGCAGGTGCCTTCGGCAATACACCCCCAGCGGCGGCAAGCAATGTATTTGGGCAGCCGGCCCAGCAAGCAGCAACTCCCTTCGGACAGCCAGCGCAGCCGACGCCGGCTTCAAACCCTTTCGGACAGCCTGCCGCACCGAACAACACACCTGCAAGCAACCCCTTCGGGCAACCAGCAGCAGCACCCACGAATAATCCGTTCGGACAACCAACCCTCCCGTCGGCGAGCCCCTTTGGAGCGGTAGCAAATGGTACGCCCAACGCAGGCGCGTTCGGCCAGCCGGCTGCTATCACATCGGTGTTTGGCGCCCAGGGGGCCCAAGCCTCTGCGGCACAACCGGCTGCCAATGCCTTTGGGCAGCCAGCGGCGCCAGCGCCTGACGCATCAGCATTCGGCGGCGGCGGGTTCTCGTCTGGAGCAGCTCCGGCGACGTCCGCCCCCAAAGCGGCGCAGGGTCAGGGTCCCTACGCCGCGGGCGCGACACGCCAGCATCCGGACGTCAACTCGTACAGCTCCAAGGGCCCAGACGGGCGGCTGCGCATGTTCAAGGGCAAGTCGGTGACATACCAGGCGCTGCGAGGCGGTGACAAGCCTGTGCCTGTGCTACGCAACTTCAACGGCACCGTCACCAAGGTCTGGTTTCCTGACGGCGCCCCGAACTACACAACCGAGACAGAGGCCGTGAACCCCGAGGCCACCTACCGGGATCCGGTAGTGCAGCAGCAGTGGAAGGGGTTCCTGGAGACCGGCAAGTTCGAGGCGGGTCTTATGCCCGAGGTCCCGCCTAGCAGGGAGTATTGCACTTGGGACTTTTAGGGGGCTCGGTAACGTAGGAGGGCTTGCAGGATGTCAAACTATTATCTAAAATCGAGATTGTCTTGTATTGTACTAGATCTAGGAAAGGCGAAACCAGGCAAGAGCGAAAAGGTGCATTTGGCATAGTGTAGCGTTCACGGAGTAAATGTTTACTGTATTATCTGAATAAGAAAAAACTAGAGGGGGATACTGTCGCGTCTACGGCATATTCTGCGAACATACGAAATAGGATCTTGTATATGCAAAATTGAAGGTTTATTTAGTCGTTGAGATAGACATCTAGGAGATATATTTCAGAAACAAAATAGTGAATAATGAGCGTCGCTGACAAGATCGGCCGCTCTTCTACCATCGATGATTTTACTCGAGAGCTCCAAGCGCTGAGCAAACAAAAGCCTATGTATGATCAAGACAGCGCAGCAATCTGCCAATCTATCGCAATGTATGCAAAAAACAAGACCAGCATCGCTCTAATGTCTAGCTTATAGACCGCCTCTAGCCATCTTCCTCGCACGCTGGTCGCGGCGGTTATGATTTGCCCGGCTGCCCTTATTGGCCTCCTTCCTACGTCTCGCGTGCTCCGAGTCTAACGGCGCCAAAGGACCTCCTCCGCCCCCATCGGCTCCTCCTCGTCCCCTTCCACGCCCGCGTCCTCCACCTCCGCCCCTGCCACCACCTCCCCGCCCACGCTTAGCCCCGCCCGGCCCCTGCCCCGGCCCCACGCTGTCGCTCCCCTCGTCGTCGACGCCCGACTCTCCCGCCCGCCACGCCGTCGACTCGATCGCCTTCTGCTCACCCATCCACTCGCCGTACCGCACGTGCAGCCGCCGGCGCACCTGCGGGCTGCGCCCCAGCATCACGGCCCAGCCCTCGACCGCCTCGTCCGTCATGCCCGTCTCGTCGCGCAGCCGCGCCCGGTCCACGCCGCGCCGCGTCGCGCTGTCGCGGTCGAATAGCCGCGGCATCGCCAGGTACGCGCGGTAGAGCGCGCCTTCCGTGGTCTCGTCCAGCGAATCTCCGCCGCCGCCCACGCCCACGTCGACCGTGCCGCCGACGTCGGCCGCGTCGTACGTGTCGTCGCGCTCGTCGTCGTCCGAGTCGAACGCCGCCAGTGCAGACAGGATCGCCGCCTTGTGGACCGGCGCGGCGGCCGTCCCGTCCGCCAGCAGCGTGTCCGCGTCCACCCCGCGCCGCTTGCCCAGCTGCAGCCGCGGGAACGCGTCCGCCGACAGCCGGTCCAGCTCGTCGTCGTCGAATACGTTGTGCCGCGTCGGCAGCAGTGGTGGGGTTGCGCGCGGCGCTAAGGCATCGCCGGGGTGTGGTTTTAATGATGTAGGGGCGGACAGCTGCTCGCTGCGGTCTGCAGACTGCAGGAGCGCTGGTAGGGAGTCTTCGAGCAGGTGCGCGATGACCTGCTCTGTGCCGTCGTCGCCGTACTCGCCGAGCAGTTTCGCGACGAACCCGGACCCCAGCTCGGGGAACAGGTCCTGGATCTGCGAGATCTGGCTCATCCGGTGCACGTGCATCTCCTGTTGCGCCTGCGCCTCGTCGAACTCGGCCAGCCCCTTGCCCTTGTCGGCTTTGCGCCGGTTGGCCGCCCGTTTCGGTCGCGCCATGCCGCCGCCGGGCTTCTTGAAGGCGGCCAGCTCGGCCAGGACGGACTTGGTCCGGCTCGACGTGCTGCCGGATTCGTCGAGCTTCCTCTCGAGCTGTTGCAGCAGCGGGGTGGATGTCACCAGCTCGGCGACAAGCGAGTCGTTGACGTTGGTTGGCCCCGCCTTGTGTGTGTCGGCGGCGGCTTTGAGAGAGTAGAGCTGGTCGGTTAGTGTGGATATCTTTTGCCCCTCCGAGAGCCCGACGAGGCATAGATATGTCGTGGCGATGAGGACCTTCCGGAGGGGCGGGTTCATGATTGTGTAGCAGCTGATGAGGCCGTCGAGGAAGTCGCTGCCGGCCAGGAAGAAGGCAGCAACAGCCGGAGAGGCGTCTATCAGGTCGTTTGCCCTCTCCAGCCGCTCCTCGATCGCCCTGAGGTCGCCGCCCCGTAGCCCGGCGTCCAGGTTCTTGATGAGAAACTTCTTGAGGCCGGAGAGCGAGGTATCAAGTTCTGTCTGAGAGGGCTCTGACAGGCTTGACAGAAGCCCGAGCGCCTTCTTCTTGCCGTAGACGCGGCTGAGGTCGGCGAGGAACTCCCATTGTGCCAGTCCACTGGGTGGCGAGGATGACTGGAGAAGTTTGGAGGTGAGCAGGAAGCAGTCTTTGAGGAGCCGTTTCGCCAGCTGAGAGGGACCAAGAACAGCCACGCCCCCAAAAACGACTTCCCGCGTAAACGAGGAGAGAAAGGTCGAGAGGCTCTCGTTCTTGGCCGAAATAGCCAAGAGATCTGCATCCGAAAGGGAGAGATGGCTGTCGACGAGGGCTAGCCACGCCTGGAGACAGGCCACCCATTCATCGGCGGCGAGCTGTTCCCTCCAGGCTGCTATAGGAAAGAGCGCAAACGCGGGGAGCTGGGATGCAGCACCCGCAGCAGCAGCCATGATTGCAAGTTGCTGAGAGTTTGCGAGTCCAGAAACCGCCAAGAAGTCTGCAAAAGGTTCAGGCAAAAAATGAAATAAAATGAATTGCGGATCACACTATGCCCTGCGTTAAATCGTGAGAAGTGCAGAAGAGTGCGACAAAGGAGCGCGGTTTGCAATATCTGTTGGTTCGTTCAGTTCAGAGTCGCCCTCCAAGCACCAACCCACCTTATATCCAATTCATTCATCTGCAGCGAGCGACAGGTTGTCGCTCTGCGTTTGCCCCTCCATGGCGGTCCGCTGTGGGAAACCTTGTCGCCGAATGTGTCATGCCGAAAGTTGAATGAACAAAGCCACAGTTTCCCCACACACAGCCACACGCTCCAGCCAGACCTCAAACGGTGGGGCTGCTGGACCGAGCCCTGGCCGGGCCCCACAGAGCGCACCGCTTGGACAACGGAAAAAAATACCAGTGTGCCTCACTTTTTGCTGCAGCGCCGAGTGAATCGCGTTCGAGTCGTTGAGGTCTTTCCACCGAGCATCACCGCCTAACGACACTTCCCCCAATCACCACACCCCCGAAAAACCGTCAAGATGTCGTATAACAAGGCTGAGAAGGACTTTGGCGAGGCGCCGGTACGTCTGCCCTCTTGTATTTTCCCGCCAGAATCCATTTCTGGCTCCGTGAAGCCCGCCCGCTGACATCTCTAATCGTTTCCCCGGACTACAGAAGACGCACAAGATCCGCATCACCCTCACCTCGCGCAATGTCAAGTCGCTCGAGAAGGTCTGCCAGGAGTTGACCGAGCGCGCCAAGACCAAGGACCTGCGCTCCAAGGGCCCCGTCCGCCTCCCGACCAAGACCCTCAAGATCACCGTATGACGCCCTCACCTGCAATTTTGCACAGTCGTCCATCCATCGCCGCCAATGAGGAGGATGGGGGATTTTTAAAAAGAAAGACCAACATCAGACGGCTAACTTGAACTTTCTTCTCTCTACAGACCCGCAAGACGCCCTGCGGTGAGGGTTCCAAGACATGGGACGCCTACGAGATGCGCATCCACAAGCGCCTGATCGATCTGACCGCGCCGACAGAGATTGTCAAGCAGATCATTGTCAACATCGAGGCCGGTGTCGAGGTTGAGGTCACGATTGCCGCATAAGCAGAGGTTGCGATATCGGGTGGTGGTGACGGACGGCGAGAGGAAGGCGATTGCGATGATACCGCGAGGAGGCGGGCGGCTCTGGCTACGCCGCACAAAAGAGGTGGCTGTGGCAGACGATGCTGCCTCCGTTGGCCCACGAGGGAGAAAATAAACCAAAAAAATTGAAGGACCATGGTCTTTGTCGTCATTTGGTAGCGAAAATGGCCGTGGCAGATTCTCCCATTTGTTCGTCCTGGAAGTCATGGTGTGATTCGTTTGCGGTGACTACGGCGTCTGGATTGAAAGGCACAGCATTACGGCCAGCAGCTCTCCCGTCGGTTGGTGGGGATGGCTGATATTTCTACAATCGAGGACAATCGAGGGCTTAATTGAACCCAGTGGTCTCCCATGAGCTTTGAGTACGCCAGGTCCAACAACGCATGCTAATATGACGGAACTGCAGAACAAGAAAAAATGTAACCGCCGCGTATCTATCCTCCTCCCATCTGCCTCTGACCCGGCTCAAGGTCGTCAGAAAGTCGTCAGTCACCCTCTTCCGGGGGTCTTGAGCAGCGACGCAACTCGATCCATCTCCTTGCTGGCCAATCGACTCCTAAACTTGGCAATGTCGGGTAGGACGTTGCCGTTGCGTTTCTGGAGCCGGTCTTCCATGGCCCTGTGAACCTGGTCGGAAACATAGGTCCCCTTGAGCCACCGCGACCCCTGGCCCGTGGCAAACTCTCGCCTGCCGTGGTGCACGCGCCAGTTGTCAAACACGATGCACTCGCCCGGCTTCAGCTTGGCCTCGACCATGTTCTCGGGCGCCTCGAGGCTGGCTTGGAACGCCGCCGCCGCCTGCTTCCACTTGGCCAGCGTGTATTTCTCATCCGCGGCGCCGCCCGCCGGCTCGCGTCTGAACGGCGCCTGGAAGGGCGGCGACCAGTGCGTCAGCTCGGTCAGCCCGCCAGCCGTCTCGGCCACGGTGCTCCGGACCATCTCGTAGCGGTGGGGCTCCTTGTCGTAGTGGAAGTGGACCATGGGCTGCGTCAGCACGTCGTAGAGGTCGGGGCGCGCCAGGCGCAGCTCGTAGGCGGCGCGCACGCCGTCGCTGAAGAGCGACTCGCCGCCGTCGCAGCTGTTGGCCAGGCAGTGCAGCAGCTGCAGCCGCGGCACCGGCACGTTGTACATGAGGTCCTGGTGCAGGCACAGGAACTGGCTCGTGTACGCCACGTTCTCCGCGTGCGCCTTGGACTTGACGTCCCACGTGAACCCGTAGAAGGTGTGCTGCAGGATTCCGATCTGGTTCGCCACGTGCTCGACCTCCTGCTCGCCGTCGGGCACGTCAGTGACAAAGATCAGTCCCGTCTCGCACAGCGCCGCGAACGCCCGCCAGAACGCCCCCGCGTCCTGCGTCCACTCCCGGTACGACACCCGGCACTCGCCGCGCGCCAGCAGGCCCTCGTACGCGGAGCGGTCCCAGAACGTGCGCGCCACCGGAAGCGCGTGCGGCGTGCGCACGCCGCCGTGGTCCCGCCGCCACCCCTGCACGTCCTGGCGCGTCCACGCCGACGCGTGCGTGTCGCCCGCCCAGACCACCCGCAGCGACCCGTCCGCGGCGAGCTCGGCGCTCTGCACCGCCGGCGCGTCGGGCAGCTCCGACGTCGAGAAGCTCTTCTGGCCCGAGTCGGCGTCGACGCACTTGGCGCACGCGCACACGTCGCGCAGCCACAGCAGCGACACGTCCAGCGGCGTCTGGTCGGCGCCGCCAAACTCGAGCGACAGCACGCCGTCCCGCACCGTGGCCGACGGGGCGGTCGTGCTGGCGCTGCCGTGTAACTGGCGGGCATGGCTCGAGCCGTGCAGGTTCCGTCTGGGCGCGTGTGGGAGGCGGTTGCTGCTGACGAACAGCTGTCGGACAGCATGCGGCTGGGTGGAAAGTCGCGCATCACGGAGGGCAGAGACGGAGACGGAGACGGAGACGAAGCGTCGTCCGAGGGTCGAGGGCGTGCCGCGCCCGAGACAGGCTCCGAGAAGCCCCGCAGCGGCCAGGGGTGCTTGCGGCGGCCGAGGCATGGTGGGATTGGGTGGTGTAGGGATAGAGGAGGAAGGCTGGAAAGGCGTTGGCAGCCGTGCTTAATCCGACATTCTGAGGGTCACGGAGAAGGGGAGAGGAGGCAGACAGATGATGAGTTGCCGACGGCAGCAACCCAGCCCATCGACAGCTGAGGCCAGCAGCAGGCCATGTGGAGGTGGGACGGACATGTGGACATGTGGGCTGGTGCTGGTGGGCTGGTTTCCGCAAACAAATTTCTCGCGATGGAGCTGCGGCAGGGAGCGCAAATGCGGGGTAGCTTCGGCTGTACGGAGCGAGCGAGACAGCGCACCACGCCTGTGATCGCGGCTTTCGCAGGAGGCGTAGCGTGTCTTGGCATGGACGACGAACCATCACTTACCCCTGAAAACGCACCTCTGAAGTCAACCGAAATGGTACAATCTACCACATACCACTGGGTTGATGTTTGCTGCTACCGACTGCCACTCCGTTCTGTGGTGGTTGTTAGCGCGTAATTACCGTGACACCTGAAGCAGAGCGTGTTAGAACCAGCTCCTGATCGAGGAAGTCCTTCATCAGATCTTGCAATGTCTCGTCCGCAGCTCGAGTAACGCCGGCTGTCAATATTGAATGCGTAGAGGGACGTACTGCGAGAACGAGTCGGGCGTGGTAGTAGTGCTTACAAGGGTAAATTATACTCTTATCACGGTATTCTCTATCGTCGATGAATTGGGAACCAAAGATAATGAGTAGGAAATACACAATCTTTGTAAAATATTAACTGGAGGGTCTCATAGACAGCACGTTACTTCCAGATCGAAAGGTGACCTTCTAGTGAGGTTCCTCGTCGTAACCAAGATTATTACCTACACCATCAAATAACTTCCGAAGTCTTTTTTTTATGTACTAGTTAAAACCACTGGCCGAATGACCCCAAGCACGCGGAGTGTTTGGCTAATGGGACGCGTTTCTCGAGGCCTGACTATAAACCAGCTCCAAGGAACTCTGCGAAGCCTAACCTTTCCGAACCGATGAATAATTTAGAACGTCATACTCATAGTTCCAATCGCACTTTCCTCATCCTAGCCCACTAGACACTGAAACTACCTTACGTATCCGGTACCTATATGGGATATGGAAACGGCACTAAGACGTTTGCTCTTAGCCTGTTAAAACACGTTATATCCGATTGCCGAAAGGCGATTAACCGCATGATGAAGCCATATTTGCTTTTTCCACCGCGACAAGGATGTTACGATCCTGGTTCAAAGGTGCAGTAGGCGTTGCCCGCTCGCGACAGATTGGCTGGAGTGGCATTTAGGGCGGGGCTCTCGGCGAAGTGGATGCAGCCAATCAGGGAACGCTCAGTATGATCAGTACGTCCAGGCGGCTCAGTTGGCCTTGGAGCGCACTGAGCATACGGAGTGCACTGAGCAAGACGGCTGCAGCCAATCAGGGAGCGCTCAGTATGGTCAGTACGCTCGATCGGCTCAGTTGGCCTGGGAGCGCACTGAGCATACAGAGCGCACTGAGCAAGACGGCTGCAGCCAATCAGGGAGCGCTCAGTATGGTCAGTACGCTCGATCGGCTCAGTTGGCCTGGGAGCGCACTGAGCATACGGAGCGCACTGAGCACATAGGATAAGGATTCTAATTGGTTGTCATAGTTCTATATAGGAGCTGGCAGAACGCTCCCCCTGGGAGAACGGTTCTGCAGCTATCAATGCATCTGGTTAAGCATACATTGGTTGTGTGTTGAAAGCCTGTCTTTCGCAATCTATGCACGATACTCCTTGTCTCCTGTCATCTCCTACCTGCCGTCCAGACCCCCACAATCCTAGGCTGGGCCTAGCTCCGTGGACCTGTTGTCCAGATTGTAACAAAGGATAGTCGCCTAAGTCTAGGCCTACGCTCTTCTTTTTTATGTCTGTTCCGTATGGTTTATATCAATTTATATTATATTGTAGTAGGAGTGCGCCGGATGCCTGCTCATTGGTACCCGTGTCTTGAGCTCCGATGTCTGGAGCTCCGACTACAAACCAACCTGGAAAGTGTCTATACGATTTTAATTTGATACGGAAGTCCCGGGGTTCATTCCTCTTTGAAAGCAAGATGTTTCGGGCGATCTAGTTTGTTGGGAGATTGAATCTGCACCCCAATTGACTAAGGCCATTCTCGTAGTTCTCCTCCATTGTTCCTCACAACAAAGCGAAGTCAACCTTCAAAGGGAAATGCCGAGACCACCATTTGCACTATCTTCCAACCCCCTGCAACTAGTGCTTCGTCGTTAACCAATTCACTGAGAGGCTTGAAGCAACCAGCCTTCACTCCTGATCCAATTTGAAGTCCAGAGCTACTTCTTTGGCCAAAGCGGCACATCTGCCAAGCAATTTTCCCGCCAACCCTCACCTCGGCGCCAATTCAGGGACCAGAGCGCCGTGGTTGGCCAAAGCGGCACCCATCGCGACCCATTTATCACTCAGACTCTCGTCCAGCGTGTAGTGCAAAAGAAAGGACCTTGGGTTCCAACAAGGGCAGAAACCAAAGCCATCCAGGCAGTCCAACGAAGTAGAGAGCTATCCTCCTCTTTTCCAGCTGGTAGTGCACCAAGTGCGATGGAGTCGCGATCCCCTTGAAGTCCAAACACCTCAAAAAAAAGATACAGGGTCTATACTGGGCGGCATCATGTTACTTGAGAAATACGGGGTTCCTAAAGAGGCCGGAAATGTCTTCGAGACAGGAAAATGGCTTGCCGGTGGCAGTTCCTGCTCAGGAAAGCGCGAAACGATGATCGACAGTATCCTGGTGAACTCCAAGCTCCAAGACACTGAGGCGGTTAGCGGCCAACACGTGCTCGATGATAGGATCAAGAAGGCGGGCTGGAACAAGAGGCGCTAAAGCAGTTTCCACTGTCGTTTCGCCAACCGCGCCCGCCATTGCGGAAGATCTGCTCTTTCGCCAGTCTTCCAGTTCACCCTGGTGAACCTCACCGACACCCAGGCCTCTCCCACCGTGATGATTTTTGGCACGAAGCTTAAATAGGCGGTACACTTTACTCTCTCAGTTTGTTTTCGAGGTTTTTTGCTTGTTCTAGTAAACTGGCTTGGCTTTTTCTGGTAGTTTCTTTCAAGGGCGGATTCACTTTTTCTTTCACAATCATTGGCTTCAACCACACCTCACTCTTGTTTCCCATAACACATTCCTGCTGTTTTCTCTGTTCTCTTATTCTCCGCTCCCCCCTCTTTGTTGAAATCCCCTTGATCAAATCACTGCCCGCGAGCGGTCATGTTACTCGCTCTATTTCTCCATTCTGGTCTACATTCACTCCTAGAAGGGTTATTGTTAGATATCTAGTTTCATTTGCCTTTCCAGTCTGGCTGCCATGAACATAGAGATTCAAGTTTCCCTTCCATCAGTCTCTCATTCATTTGATATGTCGGTGTCGAGTGTTAATGGTAATTGCACCCGCACGCCAACACACCGGGAAGATATCTAGATCTACAAACCCCACTTCCGGCTCATCCATGTATTCCTATACGCCTGAGATGGCCACAGGCACTGAGGACGACGTCATCACGTTCCCAGTCCCTGCGCCTAGCCAACCAGCCCGCTTAGAGCCCCTCAACCCTGCCCCCGGACCCGGGGTCCCGCCGGACCTACAGAGAGAAGTAGACCCTATGACTTGGGGCGAACTGACCTCATTCGATTAGCTCGCTTCGCCAACGATTAAGCAAATCAACGGCCACGTGCACTTCATCCTACGTTGCTGGCAGGGTAAACCCCTGACAGGAAGATACGCCTGGGTGCAGTTCAACGAGGAATTCGAACACTGGGACAACGCCGCCTGGGCGAAGGTCCCCGACCGAACGCAGACTACCCTACGCAACTGGCTCCGGGGCAACGGAGTCTTCGTGGCTATGGACGGTGATAGGATTCACAACAACCTACACCGGACCGCTACGGCCAAGGAATTCCACGTCTGGTCCGCCACGGACGTCAAGTACGAAAAAGGCCGGAACAAGGCCCTCAAAATCGACAGCCTTGACCCTGACTTCCTCAGGGATATCCAGGAGCCTAATAACGGCCCGGAGGAATCAGAAAAAGCAACCACGCTACCCCGGGAGCCCCTCACCGAAAGGGACCAATGCGGTCCTGCAGACGGCCCTCACCAGGGCTCCCAGTACCCTCAGCAACGCAGGCCTGCAGACGACCCTCACCAAGGCCTCCAGCACCCTCGATCCAGAGCTAGCCAGTTTGAGTACCCATTCATACTGCAAGAACCTCCAAACCCAAGGCAGCTTACCGACCTAGCCAAGATCTACGACGACATGAAGTACGGCGGCGATATATACGATATATTCGCCTCCAAGCTAGTCATGTCCCAGGACTGCTGCCAACGGCTCGGCATTAACCAGGGCCAGTACGCCGCAACCTTCCCGACCATGTTCAAGAGCCGGGCCCTGACCTACTACTACGACCGGCTCTACGGGCGCGGCTACGACTTCGCCGCACTATGGCCCGGACCAAGGCCTAGTTCGAGAGCGAAGAAATGTAAGTGAAGGCAGGTACGCCTAATAAGGTGGTCACGATGAAGGTAATGAGTAGTGTCACGACCAGGGCAAGGCATTGAGGTGAACTCAGTCCATTGGGTGCTATCGACGAAGATTCTAAACTGAGGAAGGAAAGAAGGAAAAGTCCAACAACGCGTCGCGTGCTCGCGAATAAGTTTTCATCTATCAGTGGGGTAGGTGGGGCCTCGAGGCGGCTTCTGATAGGCCCGGGGTTCTGGGCGGCTCTGGCTGCTTGAGGGCCAGTTTGGTGGACGGGTCCTCACAAGTAGAGTGAGTAATGACTATTATTGGTATCACGGCTCAGTCAACGTAAGGAGACAGGGCTGCAGTAATCATCGCTGAATTCGTAGAATCTAAAGATGAAGAAGGAAGCTATGACGGGGACCGCGCAGGGCGCGGAGAAATGGGTAGTTGTGGGCCACGTGATACGTCAGGCACGGACCACACTCCAAACAGGAGCCTGTCCAGGCCATGCCGTGACAATTGGTGTGAGACTTCAACCTGGCCCTCGCAAAGGAAGGGGACGAGGGCCACTGCTTATATAAATAACGGAGTGCTTGGGCCAGCGGGTGAGAGGTTATGACTAAGGAGTGAGGTCTCGGCCCGCTGGTCGTGTGTGTAGGTTGGGGTAGCACTACGCTACGTAGGGTCATCGACGAAAGCCCAGGAAAGTCAAGGATCGAATGCCTAGAGCTTCTATTCGAAAGGCTCAGCAGGGTTCAACACGCCCTGCCGGCTACCCACCAGTCAGAAGAGCTGCTTCGTGTGCAAGTCATCAACGCCTGCTGAGGGATGCCTGAATGCACCCTCTGCCTGTACAACCCAGCCGCAACCTACAAGGTGTACGCAACCAACTCCGGTCGGCAGTCAGTATTGCAACTGAGGCTCAGAGCCAACAGTTCAATACCCAGTTCAACGCCGCCAACACCCCCGCTCCTGAGGAAGCCCGGCAGTACAGGACTGACTGAATGTTCAAGGGCAACGGCCGAGAGGCCCGCTTCGGGCGTAAGGACCAAGGAAAACCACGTACCTTTCCGGCCCGAGGACCTTCGCCTAGTAAGAAGTGTCTTGTACGTGATCGAAGTTGACAGTGCATTGAATTGTCTAGCCAGATCTAAAAGTACAGAAAAGAAGGCTTCCTTATACTCCTTGAGAGAAGGCAAGGGAAGTGTTGTGATCAGCCCGAAATGAGGGCATTCCGAGGCCAAGAATGAAGGAAAAATAAAGAATGAAGCAAGTACAGAGGCATGATAACCAGGGCCTGGAAAATGTGGTTCAATTCCATGAAAGGTGGGTCAATTCCATGAAAAGTGGATCAATTCCAGGCGACAAAGTGCTAGGTATGCGGCAAGCCCGGCTGCTGGTCGACAACTCACACGACAGAAGAAAGGCGCTAGGCCTACGATCGATTCAGAGACAACAAGCATATACGAAGTAGTCAACGGTCGGCCACGTACGCTCAGTTCCTAGCCTGGTACTAAGGAACCTAGAGCTTCGATGACATCTGCGAACGATGGAATATACCGCCGTTGACGCCAAGCAACAATACGTCGAGCAGCGAGCCCGCGGCGCCTACATCGCTTCCATCTGTCAACCTGAAGCCTGCTTCGACCTATCAACCGCAGCGCAGCACCAAGAACCTACGCCGGATGACTTTAGGGCCCTCAGCCGACGAATTGAGTGGCAGATCAACAACCGAGACCGCGGCCTGGCATTCGTCCCTCTAGACCTAACCAACGCGAAGCTCTTCATCTTCGTCGACGGCTCCTTCGCTAATAACCGTGACCTTACCTCGCAACTCGGCTTCGTGATCATTCTAGCCAACGAGACTACGATAGATGGTCAATTTACCATTCGTGGCAACCTCATCCACTTCTCTAGTACCAAGAGCAAGCGAGTTACACGTAGTGTACTCGCTTCCCAAGTCTACGGCATGGTGGCAGGAGTAGGCATGGCCTACGCACTAACCTCCACGATTCACGTCATGACAACACACCTCAACCTTCCTTCGATCCCTACGGTCGTCTATACAGACTCGTACTCGGTTTACAAGTGCCTTGTCAAGCTAGGGACAACGAAAGAGAAGAGGCTGATGATCGATATTATGGCCCTACGGTAGTCGTACGAGCGTAGAGAGCTACACGAAGTCAGGTGTATCCAGGGCAACGACAATAGCGTCACGGTCCGTATGGAAGGATGGGTCTCTCGGTAAGGTAGGCCCGGGTAGATGCAGTATATCAAGGACCCGGGTAGATTCAAGGAAAAAAGGTGTAATTTAGCAGCCTTTTACGCGTTTTTCTAGCCTTAGGCTTTTCCGGCCTCAAAATAAAAGATGGCCAGTGTTGGAACAACGCGCTAGTCAGCCACACAGAGGTGCCGGCGGAGGCGCAGGGTCACGGAGCCTATATAAGCTATATAAGTGGCCTACGGCCACCTCTTTCTTCCAGCCACAACAACAATCATCACTTGAACCACCAGTTTTCAGCGTGCAGCTATGCCCTGTTGCCTCCAGTACCGGTACCTGATGAATCCAACAGGTAACTATCCACGAGGGACTGCTAATGAGAGGAGAATAATAATTAGCTTCTTTCCCTCCCGTATTACAGCAGGTAATTACATGCCTACTTACCTGCCTACCTTCGGTACAGGGCCCGTGGCAGATACCAAACGCTGGAATTGCCCTTCTGATGTTGGAAAGTGGGGCACCGCAGCTAAGACCAGGCATGGATGCTCCGATCCTCTTGGGGTCTGGAGGTGATCAAATTACCGCTGACCTGCATCGAATTTACCCTAGACATTTTACCTGCTGGGGCATGCGGAGCCGCGATTCTGCCCTGGCGGTGGTCTTTATTTGTCGTCAGCCCCAAACGCAAGAAGTCGTCGCTATTCCCAGGAGATACCTAAATGGCGGTAATAATTAGTATTTTCAAATCAAGTGCCCATTTTCAAGAAATCACACGGGTGCGCGCCCTCAGTGTCGATGGCGCCCCATCCCATTCCTCCCCTTCGAAGATTTCCCGGCGCGTTCGCGGATATAAGACTTTCCCCCCAATCGAGAAATCTTCCGGAACCCCCAATATAGACAATAATTTATCAGCGTCTTAGTCACGCGGGTCGCGGCTTATATAGTCCGCCATGATATCTCCATGCACCCATCCCCGGTTCCACGGTCGGCTTTCAGAATCAAATATTCGAGCGAACATGAAGCTCAATGCCGCCATCGCCGCCCTCGCCGGGCTCGCCGCCGCGGCTCCAAGCGCGGAGCTCGACCGGCACAGGCGCACGCCACTCCTCGCGGGGCGCGCCGACTGGCCGAACGGCCCGCTCGTCACGTCAGGCCGCTGGGTGCACGACGCGTCGGGCAAGAACGTGACATATGCCGGCGCCAACTGGCCCGGCGCGGCCGACGTCATGATCCCCGAGGGGCTGCAATACCAGTCGATCGCGACCATCGTGTCCAAGGTCAAGAGCATCGGCATGAACGCCATCCGCCTGACGTTTGCCATCCAGATGGTCGACGAGATCTACGCCAACGGCGGCAAGGACGTCACGCTGGAGAAGGCCTTCGCGCAGGCCCTCGGCCAGGCCAACGGCGCCAAGGTGCTCGCCCAGGTCCTGGCTAAGAACCCGAACTTCACGGCGGCGACGACGCGGTTGCAGGTGAGTTGCTCGATAAAGCTGACTTCTTTGCTCACGTCGGCTGTCGTCCCGAGGCAGAATCAGAGCGCGCAGGTAATGATGCTGACCTTGACGCACAGGTCTACGACGCCGTGGCCGCCGAGCTCGCCAAGCAGCAGATCTACGTGCACCTCGACAACCACATCAGCAAGGGCATGTGGTGCTGCTCGACCGACGACGGCAACTCGTGGTGGGGCGACAAGTACTTCTCGGCGGCCAACTGGACGCGCGGGCTGGCGTACATGGCGGACCACGCCAAGGCGTGGCCGGGGTTCGTGTCCATCGGGCTGCGCAACGAGCCGCGCGAGCCGTCGAGCAAGGGCCAGAGCGCCGCGTACAACTGGCAGACGTGGTACGAGTACATGAAGCAGGGCGCGGCGGCCGTCCACGCAGCGAACCCGGACCCGCTGATCTTCCTGTCGGGGCTGTCGTTCGACACGTTCCTGACGCCCGTGGTGCAGGGCACGGCGCTGAGCCCCGGGTCAGGCAAGTTCAGCTTCGGCGACTTCGCGGGCTACGCTAACAAGCTGGTGCTCGAGATCCACAACTACGACAACAGCGCGACGAGCTGCAGCAGCCTGCAGAACAATTTGTACCGCAACGGCTTCCAGGCGCTGACGGCCAGCGCCGTCAACGTGTTCCCCGTCATGATGACCGAGTTCGGCTTCCAGATGGACGCCACCACATGGAAGGGCGTCTACGCCAGCTGCCTCGCCGCGTATTTGCCCGCCCAGAAGGCCGGCTGGACCATCTGGGTCCTCGCCGGGAGCTACTACATGCGCTCCGGCCGCCAGGACTACGACGAGAACTGGGGCCTGCTCAACCACGACTGGAGCGCCTGGCGCAGTCCCAGCTACATCGACGGCGCCCTGACCGCCATGGTCAAGAATACGCTGAGCTGAGGGCGCACGCAGAGTTTGGGTGGGTGTAGGCATTCGAGTGTAATTATTCAGATGCAAATACATTATTGTGGGTATTCAGGAACAAGCCTTAGTGTTGTGGGTACGCGTGACGTCCCGCCATGATGATAGCATCTTACTTGCAAGTTGCAACCATGTTAAAGGTGGGATATCATTGCGTAAACGCCCAACTACGGTTTACGGAAAGAGAATAATTACAAGCTCTTATGTCTATCACACTCGATAAGCTAACGGGTATCAGCTGGCTTCTAAACCAAACACCACATGTCCATCCCCTCGGTTTTTTACTTTCTTGTCTCTATTTTCCTGTCACATCTGTCCAGGACACACCAATGAATGGGTATTCACAACTAATTCAGACCACAGCCGACCTGCTCTTCCGAAGCAGGCGCGCCATTTATGGAGCTCGGGCCGCTGCTTGTGCTTGTGCTTGCGCTCGACCTGGTCGGGCTTATTGAGCAGCAGACCCACAAACGGGCCCGTGGCCTGTAGGGCGATGAAGACGAGGAGCACGGTGTACGAGACCTTGCCGGCCTCGTCGCGGCCGGCGTTGAGGCCCAGATTGATGGCACCGCCGACGATCTGGCCCGCCAGCCGGAACGTCAGCCAGTAGCCTAGCGCCTTGCCGCAGTTCCACGACTCCGGGTACGCGATGACGACGGCCGCTTCCGCCATCCAGAACACGCCCGCCGACACGCCGCACAGCGCCGCCCCCAGCAGCACCAGCCACTCGTTGCCGAACCGGTTGTTGACGTACAACCCTGCCGCGTAGGGTGCGAAGCCGACGCCGGTCGGGAACCGGGGTCAGCTTACTCCTTTTGCCTTTCATGCCTCTCGAGTTTATGGCGCCCCAGATGCCCGGCGCTGCAAGGTTGCACAGCCCCAGGATGGTTATGTTGTAGAAGGTCGACCGGTTCTATCGCACTGTGTGTGGTTTAGGGTGGCTTGTCAGTGGCGTGGTTGAGGTGGTGGGAACCGGGTTAGTGACAGACCTTTGTGCTGCTCGCTCTTGGGAGGCTCGACCTCCTCGGCGTTGTGGTTGCCCATCGTGGCGAGAGTCGGTGACGAGACTTTGGCGGCACCGGGTTGTCACTGTTGGAAGATGGCGTGAATGGTTGGCGGTGGACGAGGACTGTGATGCAGACGGCGAGCAGGAGCTACCGTTTTGTATTTAGAGTGGCATATGGCAGTCCCCGGTACACCTGTTGCGTACAAATTTGTGTACCGAAACGGTGTTGTTGGTCTCGGCCTCCGCCGCGAGTGGAACGGCAGCTACCGGCAACGAAAGCGATGGTGTCTATGTTGCTGGCCATTGCTGGCCATTGCAAGCAGTGCCGACGGAGAGTGGGTTGTGTAATGGGGGACGAATTGCGGTCTAGAGCAACGTCATGGGCAACGAACCGATCCACCTACTCCGCTTTACAGACGACTTTGGACGGTGGTTTTACACTTGACTGCACAAATTAAGAAGTGGACGGTTCGTTTGGCGAAGACGACAAAGTTGTACAAGAAGATATCAAAACATCCCCTAGAATAATAAAAGTAAATCAATAGTAATATGATGGCGAGGAAGTGGTGGCAACGAACTCAACGACGATGTTACCAACGCAACTTGGCATTCCATTGGCCTAATGGCAAAGTAATATAATTACGAACTCCACCACCAACATGCTAGAACCCCTGGCCAGACCCGGCTGGACCCCTGAATCTACCATCACGAGCCACCACGCAGCCGACATGCCGACCAGCCTCATGGCAGATCCCACCAGCTCTCGTGCAAGTCGCGCAGCGGCACCTCGCCCGGCACGCGCAGGTAGCTCGTCATGTCCGATTCCGGGTCCGCCTCTTTACTAGTCCAGCCACTACCAAAGTACCAAGCAAACCTGTTCCCGCTATCACTCAGATACGTGTACTCCCAGTCCTCCCAGCGGGGCTCGCGGCGGACGGCGGTGATGTGGCCGGCGCTGCCGGGCCAGACGCCGTGGATCCTGCCGCCGGGAATCCCGCCGTTATACCACGAGGAGCACGCGTCCGACAGCACCGTCGACGCGAAGAAGGCGTCCGAGTACTCGACAAAGTCGTCGGCCGCGCGCGCCGACGCGCTCATGGTGCGGATCCCCTCGCGCGCCATCTTGCGCAGCACCTTCCCGAACAGCGTCAGCTGACTCTCGACGCTGTGCGGCACGGTGCCCGACGGGCCCGTACTGTGCGGCCCGTGGATGAAGAACAGGTTCGGGAACCCCGGCGTCGCCAGGCCCAAGTACGTGTAAGGGAACCCGCGGCCGCCCGGCGCACGCTTCTCGGACTCTGGCGCCCACACGTCGCGCAGGTCGTGGCCTTCGGCGCCGACGACGGGGAACGGCGTGACCATGTTGGTGTTGGCGCCGGTGGCGCAGAAGACGGCGTCGACGGGCCGCTCGACGCCGTCGGCCGTCACGATGCCCGCGGCCGTGAACCGCGCGATGGGCGTGCGGATGTACGCGACGTTGGGCGCGCTGATGGCCTCGAGGTAGCCAGGCCCGGGCGTCAGGCGGCGGCAGTTGGGCGAGAAGTCGGGCACCATGTGCTCGAGCAGCTCGGGCTTGCGCGCGAGCCGCTCGCGCATGATGGCCGTGAACTTGGCGCGCAGCTCGACGTTCTCGGCCGACCCGCGGAAGAAGGACGAGAACCGCCGCCAGTACTTGTCCTCGAGGTCCTTGCGGAACGCCAGGTACGCGGCCGGGTCGCGCGCGAACAGATGCTTCTGCGCGTCCGGGATGGGCTGCGGCTCCAGCGTGCGCTCGTCGCCCGCCCAGCTGGCGGCGATCCATGTTCTGTTGCGTGCGTAGTGGTCGAGCTGTCCGCTTTCGCCGACGAGTTTTTGCACGTTGGCCACGAGCTGGATGCCCGACGCGCCGTTGCCGATGACGGCCACGCGCTTGCCGGCCACGTCGACGGCCGGGTCCCAGTCGGACGCGTGCCGCAGCACGCCCTGGTACGAGGCGATGCCGGGGTACTCGGGCAGCTTCCACGCGTTGAAGCGGCCGATGGCGGTCAGCACGACGTCCGACTCTTCGGTCGTCGTCTCGCCCGTCGCGAGGTTGGCCACGGTCACACGCCACACAGCCGCGGCGGCGTCCCAGGCCAGCCCGTCGACGCGGTGCTGGAAGCGCGCGTACCTGTACACGTCGTACTTCTTGGCCACGCCCTGCCAGTAGTCGCGGATCTCGGCGCCCGGCGCGAACTGGTCGGACCAGTCCAGCTTGCTCTCGAACGTGGCCTGGTAGACGTGCGAGGGAATGTCGCAGCGCACGCCCGGGTAGACGTTCTCCAGCCACGTGCCGCCAAAGTCGCGGTTCTTCTCGAAGATGGTGAGCTGGATGTTGGGCACCTTTTCAGGGAGGAGGATGCCGGCCAAGATGCCCGACAGCCCGCCGCCGATGACGGCTACGCGCAGCGCTCGCGGCTGGTCGATGAACCTGTCGACTAGCGAGATGCGGGATTTTGGGTAGCTTGGCACCCGTTCGAATGCGCCTGTCGTTTTGGGGGAGGCCGGCGCCGTTGGGCTGTCCGTGTCTGGTGTTGTGGCGGCGTGCTGCGAGGCCGAATCACTCTCGGAAGAGCTGCTGCTGGCAGGACTGGGCAACACTTCGTGTTCGGAGATTGAAAGTTCCTCCAGTTTCTCGCTCACGGCAAGCTGGCCATCGGCGATGTGTGTCGCCATTTCCGGCACTTGACGCTGTGAGCCGGCTGTTTAAAGCGAGCTGAGCCGTAGATATATGATGCCGCTGTGACCGTCTCGGACAAAGAAATCGGGCAAAGGCAATACGGCCAACACACTATAACGCATTCCGCCTCTCCTCTCTTTGTGTAAAGCGTAGGTGAGTAGACACTCGTCAGGCCAAAAAGCCACGTTCTGCAGTTAAATACCGGCCTTGTCGCATTACTTGTCGAATGTGCATTACTTGTCGAATGTCAAGCAGCTGGCACGGTCGTGCCGAGCACGGTGCGGTGCGGTGCGCGCCGGAGCGTCAACTCGCCCAATAATGGCATCATCGGCGGGGTGCATGCCGAACACATCAACGCCTCCCCCACAAACGAGACTTGGCTTCTTCTCCAACGGCCCTCCAACCAGCTCCTTGGCGTAGTCGGGTCCGGGGCCAATGTGGAGATGGTTCACAATCTCCGATATCCGCTACAGCTGGAGGCGAAGGCGGTGGTAGGTATTTTTAGTGCCGCTGGGCTTAGGGCGAGTGACACGAGTGTGGCTCCCGATGACGCCATGTTTCGTGCTTCACATATTTGGGAGTTTCGTTCTAATCCGACCAATGCGAGAGCTGGGTGTGTTTCGTCGACTGATGGCGCCGCCGCCGGACTTGCTTTCCTATCTTGAGCTGCGTTTAACATCCAGGTCCATCATGCAATATGGCTTGCACGTTTATCGGCGTCTTGGGAGAAGGTCTACTTGTCATGCATGTAAATATGAAAATGGGGCCCAAACACCAGAACTCGTTGATCCTGAGAGGTGCCGGACGATGGTTTACACAGAACCTGTCACATACAACGCTGCATTAATTGAGGGCGAAAGAGTGCTTGTATCCGGAAGGTTCAGAAAGGTGGGCATAGCCTAGATACCGTAGTTATGTGGCATTCGGCTGACACAGCCTAGGCTGTAAATGGTCTAGCATGTGCGCCACCTGCGCCCATATGTGGCTTAGATGCGGCTCCTTCCGACAGAACCCAGGGAGGATCCATGACTTGTCTTTTGTCTTATATCATCCAACTTGGGCCCCAACAAGACGGAAGAAACGCCATACACCCGTCCAAGTCGCTCGTTACCCTTCTGACGAAAGACTCCAAGAATTTTAATGTGAAGTTGTGAGTTTTGAAGAGGTCTTGGTCTAATCTTTTGGTTTCACAATTATGAAGCCAGCCGTCGTCATTGAACTTACAAGAGGAGGTCAACCACGCTCGCCCGCGACTCTCTCAGTTCAACATTGAAATACGTACATTGGAAAAGGTCCATCGCATACTATCTTGGCAAAAATGCACCTCATTGCGCGTCATTCGTGGGAGATTCGCTATTGGCCGGCTAACTCGGCTCGCACTACAGATGACACCATCGCCATGTTCATGACGCGACAATCCCCCGCCAATTGCCAGCATTCCTACTAGAACACTGCGATATTGTTGCATTACGCGGTTACAACTAGCTCGGTATTTTGGACAGATTGATATAAGGCGTCGCCGCCAAACAGGCAAGATCAGGCAGGCGGTTCTGTTAACACGTTGTGGACACTTTTGGCATTTCTTCGCGAACGTAGCTCTGGCCACCAAAACCTGATTTCACAGACACACATTAGTTGTCTGAGGATAGCGAATTTCTGAAATTCCCAGGCTACTAAATGGCAGACATCGAAGCCCCGCGTGCCGGCAAAGGCAACGAGAAGAGACGCATCTTTCTCAACGCCTTTGACATGTGCACAATCGGTCACCTGTCGCCCGGCCAGTGGAAGGTAACGAGCCACTCCACTAGTTGCACTCGACACAGAACCGTCGAACTGGCTAACCCCAAATTCAGAACCCCACCGACAAGTCCGCCACCAAACGCCGGCTCGAGTACTGGATCGAGCTGGCCAAGCTGCTCGAGCGCGGCGGGATAACGGCCCTCTTCCTCGCCGACACGTACGGCGGATACGACACCTATGCGCAGAGCCTGGACGACTGCATCAGGCGCGCGGCGCAGTGGCCCATCACTGACCCGTCAATTGTGAGTCGCGGGTGAGAGCTTCCGTCTCGCGAATAACCTCGCTTTTCCTCCCACGGTGCTGACCAGACCCAACCCTACGCAGCCCATCTCAGCCATGGCGGCAGTGACAAAACACCTCGGCTTCGCCATCACAGCATCGACCTCGTTCGAGCCGCCGTACTTGCTCGCCAAGCGCTTCTCCACTCTCGACCACTTCACTAGGGGGCGCATCGGCTGGAACATTGTCACGTCGTGGAAGAAATCGGCCTTCAAGGCCATCGGGCTGGACACACCCATCGAGCACGACGAACGGTATCGCCAGGCCGATGAATACCTCAGGGTCCTCTATAAGTGCGTCTCTCTCTTCCACCAACCCAACACCAAGATACGCAGCACTGACCGCGCTGCGCACGCAGACTGTGGGAAGGGTCCTGGGCCGACGACGCGATCGCGCCGGACCCAGCCAACGACAGCTACGCGGCCCCGGACAAGATCCGCACGATCCGGCACGCAGGCAAATATTTCTCGCTCGACACGAAACACATCGTCGACCCGTCTCCGCAGCGCACGCCGTTCCTGTTCCAGGCGGGCACGTCAGCAGCCGGATCCGAGTTCGCCGCGACGCACGCCGAAGCCGTCTTCGTATCCGCACACTCGCCAGCCGTACTAGCGCCCAAGATCGCGCGCATCCGCTCCCTGGCGGCCGCCAAGGGCCGCGACCCGCGGTCCGTCAAAGTGTTCGCCACGTTCACGCCGGTGCTGGCGGTGACGGACGAGGCGGCGCGCGCCAAGTTTGTCGACCTGAAACGGTACGCGTCGACCATCGGCGGGCTCGTGCTGTTCAGCGGGTGGACGGGCATCGACATCTCGCGCATCCCGCTCGACCAGGAGATCACGGCGGCCGACTCGACCGAGGCGCACAAGGTGCGCAGCATCCTGGACTCGTTCACGACGACCAGCGAGAGCATGCCCAAGTGGACGCCGCGCGCCGTGGCCGAGCACGCGGCCATCGGCGGGCTGGGCCCTGTCGCCGTCGGCAGCCCGCAGACGGTCGCCGACGAGCTGGAGCGCTGGCAGCGCGAGGCCGACGTTGATGGTTTTAATATCGCCTACGTCACCACGCCCGGCAGCTTCGAGGATGTGGTGGATCTGCTCGTCCCAGAGCTGCGCCGCCGCGGCCTGTACCCCGACCTGCCGGCCGACGACGACGACGACGAGGTTACTGTGAGGGAGCAGATCTACGGCCGCGGCGCGCACGCGCTCAGGGATGATCATCTGGGGAGCACTTACAAGTATGACGTCTACAAGGAGGATCCGCCGTACAAGCCAGAGCCAGGTGGCGTGGAGGAGGTGAACTAGGGACATTCTGTTGAACCGTTACCGATTATACTAAGCGCTTCTGGAACCCTCTTGGACTATCTACATAAGCCTTTGGAAGGGCTAAGGGTTTATTTATAAAAATAACATATATACTCCAAACGCCTTTAACGGACCTTAAGACAGTCCCCCCTGTAAAGAAGGGAATTACTGCAGGTGAAGATGCCAATCCGGCTCTTAAATTCCTGCGAAAGGGGATTTCACACGTCAAGACTTCGACGCCTCTTGTCGGTATCACGGACGAGATACAGTTCGTATGCAATCGACTTGGTCGTATGCTCATCGATCCAACCGATTCCGGGTCTATTGAGCGTAATTATCGCGACCACCGCGACCACCACGACTAATCAAATTCCGAAGAGACTTAGCTAGAGTCCCGACCTTGTCCTTCTTCTCGCCACCACCACCACCCTTAATGTTAGTGTCGACGTCCTGTGCACGCGGCTCAAAGTTAGGGAACTAGGCGCGACTGTCGACAGGGGCAGCTTCATTCGCTAGGCTCTTGGAGCCCGAGGTACCGCTCACTCTTTCTGCGCTCAATTTTTGCGTGCTTTTGGAAGAGTTGAGTATTTCTTATAAAGTTCAACGTATTTGTTCTAAATGTTGACAATACACCTTTGAGCTTTTTAAGTAAGTTCTTAGAAAGTTAACGTTCATTAGTGAGTAACTTGACCAAGGGTGCTCGAGTATGTCTGATGCCGAGGGCCTTTCCCCGGGATCATAGCGGAGAATCTGGTGGAGTAGCGTCACGATGACGGTTTCTTCCTCGTCCCCGATGTCAGAAGGCTTTCTGCCGTGGAAGAGCTTTTCCAGTGAATCTACTGGCTTTTGTGTTTCCTTGGAGGCTGTTATCTTCTTTTCAAGCGACTAGTGTATCGCTCGACTGTGTATTTTTCGATCGGATTTGCTTCCGGGTTTCGCTGTCCATTAGATTCAAGGTATCGACCTGCGTGAGGCTGAGCTTGGTAAATGGCGGGTAGGAGATGGCCCAGGACTTTGGGGAGCTGGATCATGTGGTCGTCTTCAGTGGCCTCATCCGAGCCGGGGCCTTTGGGACTTGGCAGAATGGAAAATAGAGGAACTCCGACGAGGAACTCGAAGAGCAGACAGCCAAAACTCCAGACGTCGATGGCGGGACTTAGATCTTGGTGCAAAATGGTTTCGGTTGCTCTGAGGCTGGGGGAGTTACCACCCGTTCGGGCTTTGTGCCAACGACGAAAGCTGCAGGGCAGTGTCAGCCAGAAGCAAGCGTGTGCAAGTTGGCAGCTAATTAAGAGGATTGCTGCGCGCACCCACCCTTTTTGCTGTGCACCCACCATCTCTAAAACCTTAGGCCTGGCACCTGTCATCATAGATCCACCTCTTTATACATAAAAATGCGTACTTTCAAGGCAACTAGCTATGCAACTAGCCTACCGTATGACAAGGTCAACCTTGTTAATTATGAAGCTATTCGGAAGCGAGCCGATACTCCCTTGTCTACGAGCACCACGTACGACGACGACCTCTATAGTAAAGATGATTTCAAGCGTACGGCGGTAGTACTTATAGTTCGAACTGAATAAACCGAGCCTTGAAGACTGCGGTGCCGAACCCACGTGTTCTTCACCAGGCTGTGATGCAGTGGAGGCACGCAAGGCCGAACGCGTATGCCTACTCGCCCTCGAGTACGGTGAAGATGAGGATTTGTGGATGTTTCCGCTAGACGAAGATGACCCTGATCTATGGCGTCTTGAGGCTCGGAGGCTTGAGGCTCTTGAGGAGGCTTAGCGGCTAGTTCGCCGGGGATTCCTTTCGTTATTGACTGAGGGACCACGTTAAGGCTCTACGGGGACTAAAATACGGCTCTACAACACACGCAACACCAATAGAAAACATCACCACTGCGGAAACCTTGTATTCTACGGCCTCAACTATGATTCCTGGGTCTCATTCGTATATCTGGTGACTAGCAAGATTATTATAGGATTTTCCGCCTCATTTACGATACTTTTATAGGAGCCCGCAACCATACTTGTTTGCCCTGACTGGCCCCACTTTGACATGTTGTTCATCATTGCGGTGACCTTGGTTGAGGCTGCAGGTCGCCGTGGACGACGCCGTTCCCGTGGAGGAACCGCAAGCCCTAAAAGAAGTCAATATCAAAGGCCCTGTGCCCAAGCTGCTTATTCGTATCGGAAAGGCGGCCTAAGAAGGCGGTTATATCCTCACGACGCTGGCGTTTGGGGACCTGGCGGCAATGTTCCACCAACGCACCGCATAGCTCGTGAGCCCATTTCTTTCTCTCTTGGTTTCCCCACTTTGTGAGGGAGTCGAGCGCATCTCCCCTCGTAGCCGGACTGATTGGTGCGCCGTGTCGAAGCAACAAGCGGACTACTTCGAGTTGGGCCGAGGCGCCCTCTTCGTCCTGGTTCCTATCGTAGGCGCTCGCTATGCCAAGGGCATCTTTAGCGGTTAAGTCCATCCCGGCTTCCAGGAAAGGGGGAAGCAGCGTCAGCAGAGCAGGAAAGTCGGAAGTGGATGAATCGAAAAACTCGTGGCCCACGTCGGGGTCGGCGCCTACGTGGAGCAGTCGGCGGATTACCAGGTTGGCGCCCTGCGCTTTCTGCGGGTTATATCGGAGAGAGGAACAGGCGCAGTCCAGCAAGGCGGTGGCTGTGGTGCGAGATATCCGATTTCGGCGCTTCTTGGCTTTGAGTAGTGCTAATGCAGACTGCCATTTAGAGGCGCACAGAAAGTCTTCAATCAACGAATTCGGGAAACCCGCGTCTCTGGTGAGCAGCTCGACGACGGCCGGGGCGTCTGGCCGGGAGGAAACATCAGTGCTATAGCATTGCAATACATCGGGAAGGTCTGCTGGAACGCTCCCCGTCGCCAGGAGCTGCTCAGCCAGGCTGGCGTAACCCATCACGCAGGCGAGGTAGAAGACGTTGAGAGAGTTCTGGGAACCTCGTCGCACAACCGGGCTGGCGCCATGGGAGAGAAGAGAGAGCGCCGTGGACGCTTTGTCGTTCAAGACAGCCAAGTAGAGCGGGTTGATGGCGCTGGATTCGCAATTCACGCTGGCGCCAGCCCGCAGCAACCACTCGACGATAGCATCAAGCCCTTTCCATGCGGCAAAGTGAAGAGCCGTTAGCGTACATAGGTCGTCGACGAGTACGAATGGGTGCGGAGGTTGGATGTTGATATAGTTCTGTTCCGGACTGCAGAGAAGATCGAGGGCACTAGGAGTGAGGTCGCAGAACTGCTTCACCTTGTCGAGAATGGCGAGAGCCGTTGTGCATGTCTCTGGCTCGTCCAAGTCAGCCATATCGACAGCCCACATGATGGCAGAACCCCAATCCACGATAGCGTGCCGACGGTAGAGGAATGGCTCGACATTGCAACGAAGCAGGCGGTTCGTACGGGCAAGGGCCTCGAGATCGCACGCCGAGAGCATCTCCCAGAGAATGCTGGACGGTACGTAGGGAAGCTTATCCATGGCTGTTCTCGATTGGTCGTGATGGCGTCTTGGTGCTCCTAGATAACATTCGCTTAGCGAGAAGAAGCGAAAGGCGGCTCGAGCCGTATGGGAAAGGGGCAAACTGTCAAAAGCTGCCTGGGGCAGCAGGAGCGGGCGATCCACATGCCCCACCAGAACCCCACAACGGACAATCAAGATTCAAATTAGCACTGGAAAATGCCGGAAAGGAAAGAATGGAAGCGCCACTCTTTCGATAGTTCTGCTTTCGCAGCACACAGAGGGAAACGATACCTCAAACATGTTTTATTTTGTCTGCTTCAATGAGGCTCTGCTCAAGGGGGGACTTCCATAGTTAGATTTATCACAAAAGTGAAATGGCTCATACCCATCACCACGTACACATTAAAATAAGCTACCTGGCAAGTCAGGAAGGGGTCGCTGAACGGTGCCTCCGGCTGCCCTCTACAGGCGCCTGCGGCGGGCTGCTCGCTGCGCTGTATTCCACGGCTTAATAAGGAATCCATTTCGACACGGACGAAAACTAGCAATCCCTGTGCGAGAAACTTTCGCCACCTTCACACGGTAAAGTAGGAGAGACGGCCTCTCTACGCCAACTCCGGCTCGCAAGCTCGCCTACGGTGGTTCCATTCAGCTGAAAAAGGTTAACATAGGTATTTACCGCGGTACAGCAAAAAGTCAAACAATTGAACGGCAGAGTCATACCGGCCGACTCACGAACGTTACCACCGCCATACAAGATCGAAGTTTTCGCCCAGGGCACATAAAGCGCACCAAATGTCTAGCTACACAGGGTCACTCAGGACCATTCCTCACGAACGAGCCTTTCGCGCCGTCTCCCTAGTCCAGCACACACCCATCAATCCACGCTTTAGTTAGCTCGGGCGACCTAACACATCAACTAACGCGCTAATCAAGCGTCTTTCAGGCATGCTAGCAACCCTCGGGCTCTGCAAGAGTCGTCGTATTGCTAACATCTACTCCTAGACTAGTGTAATAGCTAGGCTCACGTAACCGGTTGTACCCCATAATTGGGCCGCTCCTACCAAAAGAGAGAAGGGCCAATATATCGATCTCCCCAGGGAACCCCCTAAAGGGAAAGTAGTCCTCAAGCTCGATGGACAACAACGTATTACCTTGTTACGGAAAGACCTAGGCCTGGCGTTGGTAACCGCTAGGAACAAAGCGAAGTGGTAGTATCTCGGTACATAGTAAAGCGCTTGGTCCTCTATTTACATGAGGAGGCAGACGGCTTTGAGCGCAGGCCTGAGGCTGAGGAGGGCCGGCCTATCATGGGTCCGGAGGAACTCAGGGAGGTCCTCGCGAGCGAGGAATACCCTTCTTTCGAGAAACTTGGGGCAAAGTGGAAGAAAGTGCTGTCATGGCTGGATGCGGGCCTGACATTCTGGAACAAGGGGCCCTTCCAAACGCGACGAACAGTCCCAGGGCAGCTGCTTACTCCTTCGCTACCGTTCAAGCGCTGGCAGCTGGCTCGAATCTAATAATCTAGGGGATTAATTCGTGCACCCGTCGCAGCTGTACTTGGAAGAATCGCGGTCTGCTGAACTAAAATAGGTTACCTGACTAGTCAGGAAGGGGTCAGCTGAACGGATGCCTCCGGCGGCGCCTGCGGCGGCCTGTCCTCGCTTCGCTCGAAGGAATCAGCGGCTGAGCCATTTTACTAAGAAATTAGTAAGGACAACCCCGCTTTGTGCCATAACTCGTAGCCAAAGTGTCACAATAATAGGATTAGCGAGCAAAAGGAGGACCTAGAAGCTGCCACTTGATCTTCGCCACCAGATTTTGCCACTATTCATAACTATAAAAGAGAGAGACTCTTGGCCCTCCCAAAGGAAACAAAAAGATAGACCTTTTCAGACAATTTAAGCCTTACCTCCCTGCATCAAATGCTCCAATTTTCGTTACCCTGTGAATGCGCGTGAGACAAAGGTTGACTCAACTGTGTCAATTGTGTCAACTGCGTTAAAAGTAAAAAACATAGGAGATTCATCACAACGTAAACAGCATGGTGTTGAGGCAGAAAAAGTCGATTCTGCTATCTAGGCTACACCCGGAACCAACACCTCGACGGCGTCAACACGGCGCTGGTAATCCGCCGCACGTAAGGCACCTGTGACGTCATTCTTGACCTGGATTTGGTCCAGGGCAAAAGGAACGTCAAACATCAAGCCCTGTAGACTAGCAACACGTGAGACAGCCATATAAGTAAGCCCTGAAGAGAAATCCCGCTCAGAGATATCAAGCACAGCCCTGTCAAGCGTAGCTCCCTGTGACATGTGAACCGTGATGGCGTACGCAATAGTAACGGGGAACTGACGGCGAGAGCAGGCCGCATTACCGCTCTGGAAGTCCCGCAAGGACTGGAAGATGGGCACTACATTTCTCGGAATAGCCTCATCGTCAGGAAAGCAAGCCGGGCCGTCATAATTGTCCATCTTGACAAGCAGGACAAAGGGAGCCTCGCGGCGAGGGTCTTCCACGTCGGCAGCCCAAGCGATGTCATAAACTTCGGAAGTAAGGACTCTGCCCGGCTGAACTTTGGGGCAACGGATTTATAGCTATTCTAGGCCCTCAACACTAGAATAAATTCTCGTGATAATTCCATGTTTCGATGTTCATGGTCTAATTGTTGGATTTCTACGGGGCAAGCCCCCTAGGACCCCCAGTGCCTGCGGCGCTCTTGGCTGCGGCGCTGTGCCTGTGGCGCCTTCCTTCATGCAGCTTACGCGTTATATCTACCAATTGGGAAATTGCTCCTTCCTGACACGACCACGACACAGCAAAGCGGCATTTCACGCCTAAACCTGTCCAAGGGTCATCCGATCGACCAATTCCCACCTCCCATTTTGACACGTACGTAAACTGACCAATCCCCATTCGAAAAACACCCGGCACCCTCACGGTAAAGTAGAAGAGATAGCTGAACGGAACCACGGTAGGCGAGCTTGCGAGCCGGAGGTGGTGTAGAGAGGCTGAACAACGGAAGGCCTCTATTCCCTTTCCGTCCCCTGACTGTCGCAGACCCTAACCCTAGCCCGCTGCCTCCTCCCAGTTCAATGTTGTGTTGGGCAGCAGCGGGGTTTGATTCAAGATTCTTCATGATTGTTACTGAATCCCGACCTACTCTCCCCTCAACTAGCAAATCGCCATCTGCAAAATCGCCATCTGCAGAGCGGCAAAGTGCCAGACGAGATGAACAGCGCCAGACGAGATGAACAGCGCCAGACGAGATGAACAGCGCCAGACGAGATGAACAGCGCCATGGAAAAACCTTTTGTACCTGTTTGCATCCAAGGCTTCTGCCAAGGTTGCCAGCTTCTTGGAAACCTTGGGGCGAACGAGGTGCTCCGACTCGGAGATGTCCAAGACGTCCTCAGCCGTGATCCATGCCATGTCTGTCGTCTCGTCTACACGGTCATGCAGAACTACCGACTTAACCGCGCACACCAATCTGGAGGAGACGATTCGCATGAATTGCTCACCATGGCGGTTCACGGTGAGCTGTCGACCGCGCGGCGGCACGGCCATGGCTGTATCTGCGGCCGCATCTTTCGTCTAGGCGCCGGCCCCGCCAAGTCACCGAGATCGGTTGCTACCATTCGAACTTCATCGCAAGCCCCCGATGATGATGGAAAATCGAGCGACGATGCCGCAGTAAGTGTATCGACCCTTACGTCATGGCTGCAACATTGCGAGGCCGAGCATGACCACTGCAAAGCCCAGCTGTCTGCGGTGGCAACCTTATTACCCCGCCTTCTCGTTATCGACGTGAAGGAAATGCGCTTGGCCGAAGTTTCGACGCCTCGCTACTTTGCTCTCAGCTATGTTTGGGGGCCCGCCAAGGTGTTCATGACGATGCGGTCGGAATTTCCCTCGCTCTGCGAGCCAGGGGCGCTTGCGCAACTGGGAAACAAGCTTCCTCTCCTGCTGCAGGATGCTATCTTGCTCGTTCAGAGACTCGGAGAGCGGTACCTTTGGGTCGATTCTCTCTGCATCATCCAAGACGCCACGGAATCGAAGCAGGATCTGATCGGGAAGATGGACCTCATATACGCCAACGCCGTCTGTACCATAATTTCCCACGGTAGCGTCGACGCGTCTTCGCCGATCCCCGGAGTTCGAGCTGGTACACGGCGGCCCATCCAGGTGGCGACCTCCGAACTGGGTCCTGGCGACGGCGTTCGACTCATTGCCTCTCCATCCCACTACCCTGCCTGTCCTTTGGTGTACGACACCCGCGGCTGGACATACCAGGAACAACTTGTCTCGCGACGGCGTCTGATCATGGGTGCCGACCAAGCCTTCTTCAGCTGTTGCTCGCAACGCGGCGGAGAGCTGAGCGAGGACCCTCTTACCTGTACTGGGACCGCAGCCGAGCCGTCCAGCATCCGCCTGTTGAACCAGGAGGGAGAATGCATTTCCATGCTGTGGAATCTCGACCCGGATGCCGTGGGCGCCACCGACCTCCAGAGATCGCGCAACGCCATTCTCAAGCTCGGCAGTGCAGATGCCCAGCTTGGCACTCAGCAAGAAGTCAACGAGCTGATCTACACTTTCACCTCCACTGTGACGCACTACTCCAGCAGGCGGCTCTCGTTTGCGTCCGACATCTTGAACGCCTTTGCTGGCGTCATGGCGTCGATTGAGCGCTCGTATGGTCTTGCGCCGCGGTCGTCCATCTACGGACTGCTCGGGAAGTACGTACACTACAACCTCCACTGGACCGCAAAGACGCCTCTTCGGCGTCTTGGCTGGCCATCCTGGTCGTGGGTTGGATGGGAGTCCCAAGTCCATTGGCTCGGCCGCGACAACATCCAAGCACTGCAATTAAAGATCCGCGCCATCCATTTTTTGTGGCAGGGAGCATTACGGACAATACCGCCCCTCGGCAGTGCCCTCTCAGCTGTCTCGACTGACGACGAGGAACCCGCTCCAGACGTCTTCCCACGCGAATCCCAGCCGGCTTTACTCGATCTGAGCCACAGAGCCCCTCTTCTCGCTTTCTGGGCGACAGTGTCGAGACCGGGATCGCTGCACGTCTGCCCCCATCCCATCCGCCAGACCAAGATCCGGATCTACGCGTCCCCCAACTACGTGGGCGTCTGTGGACACTTGTACGAGGAATTTGACTGGGCGCTGCCGCAGAGGCCGACGGCCGAGGTCTTTGCTAGGTTTCGGCTGGTCTATCTCTCGTATAGCTCCCGCCGCTGTGTATTTCATGTCTATGATGATAGTAAGAGTTGCCGGAGCTGTAACGTCATGGTTATTGAAACGAGGGAAGGCGAGGAGTTGAAAGAGTCGGGGTGTCTTTATGCGGAGCGGGTGGCGTTTGGCGAGGTTTGTGGCAGTTATTGGGACGTCACCGAGACGGGAAGAGAGTTTGTTGTCCTTGCGTGAGGCTATGCTCTTTGAGCGGCGACGACGAGGCTCGTTGACACCGATAGGGGCTCTGTTCAAGTTGTTGATTTAAATGGCCGCTCTTGGTCTGTTTCGGCATTATATCCCATACGTAGGTAATTTATCAGGTTGTGGTGGGGTGCAGGGCTCTAGAATCGCCGCCTAGTCAGATGGACGGCGCAATTATTTCCTAGTTGTGTTGGGAGAACTGGGGGTTGTACTGGAGTCTGAAGCCTGCGGTGGCGAGGCTGACGCACTCCAATTCCAACTTGTTCCATCTTACAGTTCTGCCCGAAGGCCAGAACCTCTTCCTTTCTGACAAAATACTGTAAGCGATCCGTCTAGGGCGGGGCTAACAACGAACCGATAGCATGGCGGCGTTCGCGAAACGTACCACAACACTAGAAGCAACAGTTACGGATGACGTATGTCGAACGATCAAGGCCGGTGGAAATGTCGTTGACAAACAAGCCTTTGGAAACAAGCCTTTGGGGGTGACTCATTGGAGTTCTTGCGCCGCCTCCCGGGCAAGAAACTAATTGATGCCTTCTACGGGACCGTCGACGCCCGAGTCGACGTCAACGGCAACGCCGACCTCCGTAATCTTGGGGTGATATTTCATGCAAAGGGCGAGACGGAAGCTGGAAAGTGGACTCGAGCAGTCACACACATTCCCTTTGGAGAGATGTTGCCACAAGCCAACCCCAACGTCGTGTCAGCGGTCAAGTTCACGCTCCAGTTCTCCTTTCTACCAAGGCATCGATACTGTCAGATGGAATGGCCTAGAAGGTTCTGGAATCTATGATGCGTAATCTTCGCCACTGGGTTTCGTCATGTAATTGCCACATAAGGAAGTATGAGAGAGAGTCTTTTGTGGAAAGACTGGAGGACGAGAATAAGAGCAATTCACTCTGATGCACGCAATCCTAAAGGTGCTGTTGCAGTCTGACAGATACCATGATCGTTTTCCACCCCTCAGCCACAATTTGCAATGGTCAAAAGAGAAATCTTCTTCCAGCCCGACCATCAACAGCAGGAGGGTCCTATGGCTACCAGCATCTAACAAAGACATCCTCATATTATTCGCAGCCGGCGAACGCATCTGCGTATCCCCCATATGCGGCGAATCTGACGGGCTATCCTTCGCAGCCAACGTACCTGCCCGATAATACAACAACAGGCTATCACCCCCAGCCGACATATCCACCGAATGCAGCGAGCTATCAACCGCACTCCCCGGCGTACTACGCTCCGCAAGCCGAGGGCGCAGCTCAGCCCTGGGCGACGGAAATGGGAGTGGATCAAGGACAAGGTGAATTTCTGCGTGACGTGCGGCTGCTGTGAGTGTTTATGTTGGAATTGTTAGTTCGGATGGAATGTTGAATTGCGGTTCAGAGCCGCATGGGGGGGTCTGGAACTATTAGGCGGAATCATGTACTGAGCCGGCATACGATATTGTCAAGTTGTACGCTGTTTCAGGCCGCCCTTGTCAACACTACCTCTTGAGGCGCGAGCCTGGAGTTCAAGGAGCGCTCTCACTTGGGACAAGTGTTCGTATTAATGTGATCACGATAATTAACTATGCAATAACAGTAAGTAGAGGGAAAGTAATATTTTGAGAGCCCGTAGGTCGCCCGCCGGGGGAGTTGGGAGGGACGCTCAGAGAAGTTCCGAGATTTTTCTTCTCGGTCTTGGGTCGAAGGTCTTCACAGGGCTGATGTTGATAGGTTTTGTAACGACGATCTAGGGGTTAATTACATGTATGACGAGGTTGAAAAGCGCGTAGACTGAAGTTATTGTAAAAAAAAAAAAAGATTAAATAGCATAACCTCGCTCCCTGCCAAATTCAATCAAGTTCACGCTCACTGTGCCGCCTTCTCGGAGTTCTGCGGCTCACTTGCCTTTGGCGCCGCGGAACCCCTCTTCTTCTCCATCCGCAGGTGCCTCCATCGCAAGCCCAAGCCGACAACCGCGCAGAGGGCAGAGACAGATCCCAACGCGATTCCGATAATCTCCCCCTTCTGTAACCCAGAGCTACTCCCCCGCTGGTCCGAGTTAGTGGTCTGGATGGTGGTCTGAGTCGGTGACGCCGCCCCGTTGCCAACTGTTGAGGAGCTTGCCGTGCTTGGTACTTGCGGGCCTGTTGTACTACCACTTGACAAGGGAGTATCCGCTCCTGTGGTGACATCTTTCATCAACGGGAGTTAGTGACACGCCTGAGCCGAAATCTGCGGCTGCGGCCGCACACTCACCAAAGTTGATATAAGAGTACCCAGCAGGCGTATCAGCCCTCGAGACGGGGTTTCCGTGGTTCGCACAGTTCCTCAGGAATTCAGCCCAGCTGGCCTGGCGGTCGGCGGCAGAGCACGACGTCTCGACGCACCCGTACACGAGCGGGATCACGGTGGTGGCCGTGGAGCCCCGACAGCAATTGCCGTTGATCTCGCAGTTGTGCGAAAAGCTCTCGTTCGAGTCGACGCATCCGAGACAGGATCGCGCGCATTCTGGATGGAGTGCGTAGAGTGCCGAGATGGGCGTTGTGCAGGTTGCCGCGCTGTTGGCAGACACGGCTTGGATGAATCCCGTGGCGGCCACAAGAATAAGAGAATCCGTGCAGAAATGCATTGTGAAATCCTTTTTTTGTCAATTATGTGTCAACCCCTCAAAGCTCTGGAGGTGTGTTGCCTCCGCACTCATTTTATTCACTCCGCCCCGCCGCGACAGAAGACTTGGCCAAGTCCTCAATGGTGGAAATTACATGCTAACCTACTCTGGATAGGTCGGGAAAATATTGAAAGTTAGCCACCCAGTAATCTCTTGTGGGTTTTCAGCTGCCAAGTCTCGGGCTGTGGTGGTGGGCTCAAGGATGAAGGGTCTGGCCTAAAGTATACAGCGACGACCATACCATTGCCTGCGCCGTCGAGATTTTGCTTTTGTATTGCGTTTGCCAAGGATATCTCGTCAGCGATTAGAAGTCGGCTGTTTTCAGCCCAAGGTTGGATTGGATTCTGCAAGCACATTATTAGAGATCATGGCAACAGCCACCCTATCATCCCGCGGCCACGGTCAACTGCAGGAACATTGAATCACGAAGCCTTGCTTCCACAACTGCGACCCAACGAGACTTTGAAGCCGCTCGAGGTCATAGTGCATGCCTGCCAGATGGAGCAAAGACGAGATGACGTTGAAAAAGCTCGCAGCTGAGCGCATAAGTAGCTGTGACTATTATCCAACGATCTGCGCAAGGTGATGGACAATCTGAAGGCTAGGAAGTCGAATTCGAAGCGGACCATCACACGGGCTACATTGCGTGATTCAAGGAGGAAAGACGGGAAGACGTCTCTGGTCGTTCGATATGGTCAAGAATGAGGACGCCTGTTGCCATCCAATAGGTCGGAGTCACCATTTGTACCACCAAGTAGCTGTTGGATAACTATAATAGATTAAGATTCACTGCTCATAGTACGATTGTGGCGTCCAATGTTTTGTGAGTAGTGCTGTTGTTAGAGTCACATGAGATTCCCTCTACGATAAGGCTCTCGGCTTGTTATATACCGACCTCTGACATGACGCAGAATGCCTCGTGGCTAGGGAACGGCGTAATAAGAAGCGATGGTTCGAGCAGGAGGAGAGCATCGTAACCCAGGAGCCAGGAGTCTATATTATGTAAAAGCCGTATTTCCTAATTATGTCTCTGGTACGACTTCAAAAGCGCGAACCCTGATTGCTTTCGCTGCAGTCCCACAAGCCCGGCCCGGAGTGTGTTCTTCAGGGCCAGTCTTTAGCGGCCCTATTACTGGGCACACTGTGATTGTGTTGGAAGCACTGGTGCAAATGATGTATGGAAAAGAGATGATTGATTGATCTATTTTGTGGCCAGTTTTCTGACGGAGCGGGTACCTTTTACACCTTTCCATGCTCGCCAATTTGTCCTTTGATCTTCCATCGATGGCTTCATTGTTTTCTCAATCTTCCGATTTCTTTCAAGATTACGTTATTAACCTTCTCCACATGATTTCATCCTATCTGTAACACCTAGCTACCAGCATTACATCTGACAGATTGCAGGATCATGTACGACGGGAGGAACTGTGAGCAATAATTTCAGGTAGCACGGAGGCTGTCAGATGTAACAATTGCCTGGAAAATGCCACAAATAAAGCGAATCCCTGCATGGAATCACAATACGCACACTGGTGAGATGTTTCAATTGCAAGGTCGTACGACAGGGGCTCCTAGGGTTGAATCGCGTAGGAGGGGTAAGCTCATGAACTAATAGTGCTAGGCACTCAATGGTGGAATGCCGTCAGAAGTAGTAAGGTCATAAATTGTTGAATCTCGTTAATTCACTGCTGTTGTGTTTGGGCTAGAAAAAATCCTCTTCTTTTTGAGAGACCCTCGGTAGCGAGAAAGTTTTTGATAAGCACCCAACTCTGGCGCCAGCGCCATCAAAAAGGCATGCTAGTTTTGTGTATCTATCATCCTCCGGAGATGGCGGGAAACGGCATGCCCAAAAAGCTAGGGCGTTTTGTTTCGCACATGATGTACCGTGTTTGTGGAGGTAAGGCCGGTATCAACTCGGCGTTTGCGTTTGCTGTTGTGGGAACAGGATATAACAGGATACCAATACAAGCCCTGGGTTGGTTCTTGTGCCGATAAACATACTCCCAATATCCGTCGGGCTTCCTGGGCCACTTAGCACCCACTTTACCCTCTGTCGGGGGCGTCCATCCCGATTTGCACTGTTCCCATCCGTCCGATGGAGGCTCGCTCCGGTCGTAGTCCATCCTTCGAGTTCGCTCCGCCAGCCACCAAGAATCAATGCGGCGCCTTGGCAAACCTGTTGGAGCGCTGCTTGTAAACCATTTAGTAATGGAGATGTTCTCTTCTCCAAAATGCTGTACGTTCTCTGGCTCCGTCCGGTCGAACAGTCCCAGGCCTTCCTCTTATTTCATGGCAAACGGACCCTCCCACCCAAGCCAGGACCAGGAAGGGCCCGAGGGATACGCTAGGATGCTTGGTCTGCCAGATAATGCCGTCCTCCTTCTCATGCTGCTACCCATCCAATCATGTTCAGGAAACTAGAAAACTAGGCAACCGCCACATCAAAGCACATTTCTGGCAGACCGTAGAGAAACCCGCCAGCGAATTATCGGCTGAGGATTGCGAGAATGCCGCAATAGCTGGAAGGGCGTCCTCGTCGTGAGTCAGGACCCTCCTATTGTAGCTACGAAGTAGCCAATTTGTCGTCTGAATGTCGGGCAACCCACTGTACGAGGGCAAATGCGGAGAGGCAGAAGACAAGGGGGAGGCGGGTGGAAATAGCCTCCCTGGGAGGGGAAGGTCGCGGCGGACCTCGGTGAGGAAAGATCAGGCAGACCTCGGCCGGCGATGAGAGAGGTGTTATTAACAGGGCAAGGTGGCGGCGCATGGGCGCGTCAGTTGTGTGTATACGCTGCGTTTCCTATTGGCCGAAGCAAGACTCGGAACAGTGATGCGGAAAGGAAAAGGGAGAAGTGGAAAATGAGCAAGTAGGTGAGGGTGCGGTGTATTTATAAAGATCTGGCGACTTGATCAGTGAAGGAAGGGGCTGGTACCCAGGCCCGTCGGTTGAGGTACAAGATGGTGGTCCAAGCGATGCCACTTTGGCTGTTTGTTTATAGAAGTCCCGAGGCACCCTTCTTTTGGGCCTCCTTCAACCACCAAGCCACTATTCAGACCACCACATTACATGCTCTCCAGACTTATCCTTACTGGCGCGGCCCTCTTCGGCGCCGTCGCCACGGCCTAACCCCAAGTCACGCGATCTGTACAGGCCACCTCCAAAGCTGCATCCGTCACAGCAGCATCGCCGCTACCGAGCGCCATCACTACGGCACCAGGGTTAATCTGCACCGACGGCTCAACGGTCTTGTACACCAAAGAATGCACCTACGGCTTCCCCATCTGATACTGCCACAAAGACCCGCCGCCGCTCACTGCGACACGAGCTCCTACCTGACCGTCATCGGGCTCGGCCACTGCGATTATGCGTCGACGTGTTTCCCCGTCGGCGCGCCGCGGAACACGACGACATGCGCCTTGGGCGGCGGGCAGTAGCCGTGGGGCACTACCACCATCTTCGACGGTACTCTGGCCGGCGGCGTCAGCACCGTCCTCTCCATCGTCGAGTGTGGATAAAATTTCTGGGTGCCCTGCTTAAAGAGAGGTGGTCTAGATTTGGACGATACGCTCGCGCCGGGTGGGCCGCGCTCCTGTTGTCTGCTGCGAGTACCACTTCTTGGCTGCGGACTTGTCAGACAGGTCTCGCTGGGGACAGGGATGAGATAATTCCTACCACCGATATGTAAATCGTCGGGTTGTTAAAGTCCGTCCCCGTCCAAGCGCAGTTCTGCGTTGCCACGGGCGACTGTCCTCCGAGGAAGAGCAGCACCCCGCTCGGCCCAAAGGGAAGATACTCGGCAGCACCACCAACCAAAGTACCATATGGGCCGAGGCCCTCAGAGGACGAGTTCGCAAGCTCACCCGTCACCATATTATACGACAAGAGCCTTGGCAACGCGAGACACGTATCGCCCGTGACGCTCGTATCCGTGTACTCACTGGCATAGCCGCCGAGGAAGTATCCCACGTCTCTGCTCTGCGCCCACGACCCTTGGCTGGCCCGCACGGCCTTGGTCAGCTCGACAACGGCATCCCCCCGGGGAGTCTCCTCGCCCCACGACCCGCTGCCCGATCCATCGGTAGAGAACTTCTATATGGTGATGGGCGTGGGCTCGACAAAGTATGATGTGACGCCACCCCAGATGTAGAATGCCGATTAGGACGGGTCACGCCAGGTGCCTTGCTGTTTGAAGAGCGGGGCGGATTTTGGGGATTACTTGAAGGTGGCGGAGCGTTCGTCCACGAGGTCTTGAGGGGGATGGAGATGGTGCCGTTCACTGGTGGTATGATGTTGAGCTACCTATAGAATAGGTAATGGAGTGGTAGCGGGTGGAGAAGGGCGGAAAGACGTACTCGGGTATGAAGGATGGGTTGCTGACGCATTCTGCCCGCTGTAGAGCTGGGCTACTTCGCCTCCATCGACGTAGAGATAGTCGCCGAGGACAATGACTGCACGGTTGGATTAGCTCGCTGCGACTTTGGGCTCGTGGCTGGTGGGGTTATCGACCTGAGGGGAAGGAGCGCCTGAGGAAGTCAGAGGTCGAGGGCGCATCGTCGGCGCAGACTAGTAGTGACAGAGAGCAGAGTAAGCGACAGGGACCGGATCGGCAAAGACATGCCCATCGAGGCGAGTGACAGCGCCCTGAGAGGACGCACAGAAGGGAACTGGAAATGCGGCTCGAAGCTGAAGCTCTCGAAGTCAAGTCGGTCTGTTAAGTCAAGTCGGTCTGCATCTCGCAAAACGCGCTTGTAAAATTGCTGGGGTCAGACGGCCGAACCCTTCCCGGTTATTGGCGGGCCAGCCACCTGCAGGGGTGAGCTTTCGTCCATTCGCTGGAGTGGTCCGGCTGCCTTTCAGCGTCTCTTCAGCTGTCATTGAGCGGGAGTGCCCTGAACAATGCTCCGAGCGCAAGCGGGCTCTCGCGGTCAGAATCAGGTTCATGTCTACGCAGTGCGGGGAGTCTTGGGCCTGGTCGGACAAAACCTGGGCCAACGGACTGGGCTCTGGTCGCAAGTTTGCGATGGGTTTCCCCGGTGAAGACCCCCAGGAATTCGCCAAGGTCCGTATGAGGGCTAACGGCTGGATGTTTTGGGTATGCTTTGCGGCAACACGAAGGGTTCTTTGTTGGTCTGGGAAAACCCCGGGGGAAGATCAACCCGGCTACCTACCAGGAGCACATTCTCCCTTTGTTCAGGCAATTCTGGGTGCAAAATCTTGGGTTCAAGGTCTAACAGGATAATGCGCCTGCCTAATGTGCCTGCCTAATGCGCCTGCCCACAGCTCCAAGGCGGCAAAGGTCTTCATGCCAGAGCATTTCCCGGGCGCTAATCACGTTGCCTGGCCTCCCCACTCTCCTGACCTCAACCCGATCGAGATGTTTGGATTTTTATGAAGCGGTGGATTGAGCGCCACTACCCTTAGCGGCCTACCGGGCTGGCGTTGAAGGCCGCTATTCACGCTGCTTGGGGGCCTGTTCCACCGGAATTCCTGCTAAAATTGGTCCATTCGATGCCCAGGCGCCTGGAGCCCTGCATCCGGGCCAAGGGAGGTTATACTGGTTACTGCTTTTTTCCTTTCCTTTGTTTACATCACCAGATTCTTGACCCCTTTTCTTTTGGTGTTCTTGCGCTTGCACCTGGCATCAAAGCGCGCAATATCTTCACTCGAATATACCAACACACATGTTACTTTATACCTAATGTGATAAATAAAATAGGTTTCTCCGCCTCCCAACAAAATGGAGAAGAAGAAAAAGAAAAAGAAAACCCTTCCGGCGTGCGGTCGTCTTATGAACTTATCGTCGTTTCGCATGTCCGCCTACACCCCAGCTGATTGAACCAGGTCAACCATCTGTGATCTACATCGCCCGACGTGACCGAGAAGCCCCAGGAAGCCTTAGCAGTCAATCGCGAAAATTAGCCAAGATCACGAGGGCGCCCCGGGGGCTAGTATACTAGGGACGACGAAACAAAAATCTTCGGGAAAAGCCACTCGGTTGCCAACGAACCTGAGCCATACCGCTGATCCCCTGGTCTATTGTAGGGCTTGGGATAGGCTAACACGGACGCGAAAACCGCCACCCCTGGAACCCCCCAGCGCGGCGTGGCGCCTCTTGCCTGAAAAATCTCTTGGAAACGTTGCGGGGTAGTAGCAACGCCCGGATTCTGCTGCGATGTTCACGTTTCTCTACATTACCACCAAGATACCTGTGCTAGATGCTGTTGAGCGACAAAGATGGGGGCTAATTCTCGAGGAGCAGCTCGCACAACCGTCCCGAAGAAGCCTGCTCCAGGCTTGGTGGGTAAGCAGCAGAGCATCCTAGGATTTTTCTCCAAGGTCGCTTCTGCTCAAGCTAATGCTTCCCCGTCATCCTCCCGTTCGACTGTTACGCACGCCCCAAACACAGACCAGACGGAGGCACTCAAGGCCAGACCTCTCTCAGTCTTGACGCTTGCAAGCAGTCCCGCCCGGAGGGTATGGTTCCGTTTAGTAGTCACAAACGCCATTTCAGCTCACTAACGGCTGTCTCTTTTAGGAACAGGCTGCTAACTGCACCCAACCATTGCGCAAGGACGAGCACCAGGATGAGAGACACAGATGGGATAGGACCGCTCTTCCCGAGGCCGAAGACGACGACGAAGACGACGACGACGAAGACGACGACGACGACGACAAAGAAGAAGAAGAAAGCGGAATCAGGAACAAGAACGTCAACAGCGATGACAACCGTACGCCAAGCGGATACCTATCCCCAGTCGTTCATGGCATGGAGGACATCGCGGTCTCCGACGATGGCGAAATGCAGCAGAAGGAAAAGAAGAGGAAGCGGCAGCCTGAAAATAACAACCCACGCAAACGGTCGACGGTGCCTTCCCCTTCAGGAGGCCAGGATGATCATCAAGAGGGCCAAGCCATGTGCCAATGGCGATACGACCCGAACAGCGCTGGGCCCGCCCGGCCCGCCCAGCCCGGCCCGGTAACGCTGCAACCAACTCCTACAGCATTTCCTAGCAAGGGCAAGGAAAAGGCCCACAACATCAAGCAACCGCGAGGGAGAAGCGCGTGGCTGGCGAACGTCATGGACATGGAAAAGAGGACGCCGGACCATCCCGAGTACGACAAGTCGACCCTCTTCATTCCTCCTCACGTCTGGAACAATTTCACTCCCTTTGAGAAGCAGTACTGGACAGTCAAGCAGAGGTACTGGGACACGGTAGTTTTCTTCAGGAAGGGCAAGTTCTACGAGCTGCTCGAGAACGATGCAATCCTCGGCCACCAACTCTTTGACCTCAGGGTCACGGAACGTATCAACATGCCAATGGTTGGTTTTCCTGTGACCTCCTTCGACACGTGGGCGAACCAGTTCCTCTCCAAGGGCTTCAAGGTGGCAAGGGTGGATGAGATGGAATCCGCTCTGGGCATGGAGATGCGGGTGCGAGACAGCGCTGCCGCTAAGAAGGACAAGATCATCCGACGCGAGCTTGGCTGCGTCCTGACTGGTGGGACTTTGGTGGAGGAGGCCATGCTTCACGATGACATGGCAACCTTCTGCGCAGCTATCAAAGAGTCCATCATCGATGATAAGCCAGCCTTCGGCATTGCTTTTGTAGATGCTGCCACGGGTCAGTTCTACGTCTCCCAGTTCAAGGACGACGCGGACCTGACCCAGTTTGAAACTTTGGTGGTGCAGACGTCGCCGCGAGAGCTGGTTCTGGAAAAGTCGCATCTTTCGGCCAAGGCCAAACGTATCCTCAAGAACAACACGACGCCAATGACCATCTGGAATCACCTCAAGCCCGGTACTGCCTTCTGGGATGCCGACACGACGCGGCGGGAGCTTGATTCTGGCGACTATTTCGGATCGGAGGGAGGGGCAACCTGGCCGGAAACATTGGCCCAAGCCCGAGATAGCGACTTGCTCCTGTCTGCTTTCGGCGCTCTTGTCCACTACCTTCGTACGCTCAAGCTTGAGCGCAGCCTCATCTCCCGGGGCAAATTCCAGCTCTATAACCCCATCCACCGCCACGGTACTCTCATCCTCGACGGGCAGACCCTCATCAACCTAGAGATCTTCGCTAATAGCGTAAACGGAGGTGGCGAGGGGACGCTATTCAAGCTGCTCAACCGTTGCATTACGCCGTTTGGTAAGCGCCTTTTCCGCCAGTGGGTCTGCCATCCGCTATACAATGCCCAACAAATCAACGAGCGTCTAGACGCGGTAGACACCTTGAATGCCGATTGCAACATCCGAGACCAGTTATCGTCCGGGATGACCAAGATTCCTGACCTTGAGAGGCTCGTCTCCCGGATCCGCGCGGGTAGCTGCAAACCCAACGACTTTATCCGCGTTTTGGAAAGCTTCGAGCAGATTGAGTACACCATAAGCCTACTGCGTGCGTCTAGCGGCAGCGGCAGCAGCAGCAGCAGCAGCAGCAGCAACGGCATCCTAGGACGGCTTCTGGCGTCTATGCCCAATCTGAGCGAACCTCTCGATTACTGGAAGGGTGCATTTGACCGCGAAAAATCCCGCCAGGAAGGGTTGTTTACCCCCAACAGAGGAATCCGGGACGACTTCGACGGCAGTTCCGATAACATTGGCCGCATCAAGAGCGAGCTTCAGGCTCTTTTAACCAAGCAGAAGAGCGCCCTGAAGAATCGGAGCATCAAGTTCGCTGATGTAAGTAAGGAGGTCTACCAACTCGAAGTCCCGAAAGCCGTCAAGGTCCCCAAGGACTGGCGGCAGATATCTGCCACAACAACTGTCAAAAGATATTACTTCAGAGAGCTAGACAGCCTTATCCGGGAGCTGCAGGAGGCCGAGGAACTCCACTCGCAGACTGTCCGTGACATTACCTCTAGCTTTTACCAGACTTTCGACGTGGACTCGGAGACCTGGCTCCGGAGCATCAACATTGTTGCGCAGCTGGACTGCCTCATGAGCCTGGCAAACCTATCGTCTTCCCTGAGCGAGCCACGCTGCCGCCCAATATTTGTCGACGAGAAGCGGAGCGTGGTCGAATTTGAGGAGCTACAGCACCCGTGCATATTGGTCGACGATTTCATTCCCAACGACATCAAGCTTGGCGGCAGCGAGGCCAAGATTAATCTGCTCACTGGTGCCAACGCAGCCGGCAAGTCGACGATTCTAAGGATGGCAAGTGATGATGTCGTGCTTTGTATGTGGCCGCTGTTTACCCCGTTCTGACCATCGATAGACTTGCGCTGCCGTCATCATGGCCCAGATCGGCTGTTACGTTCCGGCCGTCTCCGCTCGCCTGACGCCTATTGATAGAATCATGTCTCGTCTTGGGGCCAATGACAATATCCTTGCTGCCCAGTCCACATTTTTCATCGAGCTGTCCGAGACGAAAAAAATCCTGGCCGAAGCAACTCCTCGCTCGCTTGTTATCCTCGACGAACTTGGTCGAGGTACTTCGTCGTATGACGGACTCGCTGTTGCGCAGGCAGTCTTGCACCATATCGCCAGCCATATCGGCTGTGTAGGCTTTTTTGCAACTCACTACCGCTCTCTGGCCGAGGAGTTCGACAAGCACCCGGAAATCCGGCCCCGACGGATGCGGGTTTACGTTGACGATGTAGGTCGCCGTATCACGTTCTTGTACAAGCTGGAGGACGGGGTTGCAGAGAGCTCTTTCGGCATGCACTGCGCAGCTATGTGCGGCATCCCGAACAAAGTGATCGAGGGAGCCGAGGTTGCAGCCCGGGAGTGGGAGCACACGGGCCGTTTTAAGAGGAGCTTGGAACGCGCCAAGGCTGGGTGTTACATCCCTCTAGGCATACTGAGCGATGTCTCCAATATGCTGCGAGACGACGGGGATGGTATGACGGAGCACGACGTTGACGTGTTGCTGCGAACTATTGAAGCTCTCTGAGGGCATACGCCATTTGTTGTATTTTGAATTTGGCGTCTGCTGTCGAATCCTCATTGTGAGATAGTCCTGGGAGCGAGCCGTACAGGTTCAGGGCTCCCCTCGAGGGAACGCTGCTGTACCGACTAGCCCTATAGTCGACTGATCACGGCCTCATCGCCCACGTACTTAGTTAATTTAGACATTGGCACGCACAACCGGCAGCGATCAGGTAAGAAGCGTCCGCGTCAAAGGCGTACGACCGCCGCTCCACGACAAATTGCTTCATGTACAGATGAATTTTTTAGCCACCCTTGGACCCTCTCGAGCAGTTGGGGGCATCGACAGACAAAATCCTAATAAGAACGAATATGGACACATACCGGTACTGCGTCATCACCATGTGGTATGATCGCTATGCGGCCAATATTTTTCACACCCTGGAGGAACCGAAAGGCATTCTCGAGATCAGGCAGCCGAAACAGGTGCAGTGGCTGTAGCGGCTGGAGGTGCCATCGGCCAGCAGCCGCATCGTGTTCTCGAGCAAGCCAGCCGTGACATCGGCGGTCAGCCACATTAGGTGCACTGCCCGGAAGGAAACATTCTTGGAGACACATAGATGTAGGCAGTCCAGAATTGGCGTCGATGTCGGCAGAGCCAATGCCGACAAATCGCCCAAAAGGCGCCATGCACTCTCCCACGAGGCTGTAGTATGCCGTCAGTCCCGGGACGAGCACAGACGCAGCGCTCTCAAACGAAAGCGAGTCCGGGATTCTCGGAAAGCGCCCCTGGTGTGCACGCGGGAACTGGCGCATACAGCCCTCAGCTGCCATGCAGACGCGATCTCCGGGTCGGATGGAAAGACCGGCAGTCCGCCCGACACGCGTGACGATACCGGCGCAGTCGGCACCTAGGCCGTTGCCTTCCTCACGACCGACCGAGTGCAATCAGCACGTCGCGGAAATTCAGCCCCCATGGCTTGGCCTCTATCTCTACCTCTTGCGGCCCGAGCTCGTTCTCATGCTCGCTGTCTTCAACGAACTGCAGCGAGTCAAGCGTGCCTGGCGCACTGACATCGAGCTTTAGTGCTGACGGTGCGTCTCGCCAAGCCTGGTGCTGCAGCTGTGGCACAAGTAGTGAACGCGGTGTGTCATTGCCCTCAGGGCCCTTGACTGTACGGCCCGTAAGGATCCGGGCCCTGGCGGACGACATATTCCACGACATATCCCACGACATATTACACCTCTGGGCACGAGGACTCAAAATCGTCACTGAAGACGGAGGCAATGTGCTGTGCATTGGTCGTGGCGTTGAACTGCCCTTCTGTTGCGGGGCTTAGCCCTGGTTGAACGCTTGGGCCACCAGCCCGCACATGGGTTCTCGCCCACACATTTAGTACGGGGATTAGCCCGTGCCCATGGCGGGAGCGCCCGTCTCTTTGGCTCGCCCGAGGTGACTTCCCTCCTCCTAGAGTCAGCCTGCCAATGCACTTTCTACACATTTTGTCACCACAACACCTTCGACAGTCAGCGTCACGGATAAGCTCCCTGGTCATATTAATGTAATCTCTTCATAGTCACAGTTCCCTTGGAGTACCCCATACAGAGGCCAGCGATTGGACCGAGTTTTTTCAGCCTGCAGTCTGTCAGCAGAACTAGTGCTGACAACACAAAGCGAAGCAGCAGGCCAAGCCTTTGGATGCAGCTTAACTAGGATCGGTGGCCTGTGGTGACCCTGTCCTTTGTGCGGATTGCATCAACAGACGCGCCAGAACCATCGAACACGACAATGCACACAGCTGGGCTGATAAGACAGGGCCAAGCCCACGAACACCCAAAGCTTACCTTCTTATCTTACGTGAATTGGTACCCCAGAGATTCTCGAGCGGGATGGCCCTCTCTTCACTTCATCCTCGCAGCGTCCGCTCACAGAATCCTCCACTGTGCCCAAACCGAGTGACATTGGATGTTCGCTCTCAATGTGCACGGGCAAAGGCCCTGGCTGGCCGCAGCGACGCTAGCATTGTCTTACTTGCGGCTGGTGGACGCGGCAGACGTGTTTCAAGTCCCCTTTACTACGGATATTAGTTACACCTTTGATGGGAGCCAGTTCGACTACCTCAAATTCTCCATCAACGGCACAGGACAGATCGGCCCCGACGGGCCATGGCAAGCCGCCGTTATCATGCTGGGCAGCTACCAGCGCGTGTCGCTGCTGGAGCAGTGGGTTGGCGGGCTGCTGGTGCCCATGTGGCCGACAGGGTCTGTGATCACGCAGCTGCTGACCACCGAGGGCGGGGGATACTACAACAAGAGCGCCAACGCGACGCGGCCGTGGATCGAGTTTGGCGACAACAACGAGATGGTGCTGTCTGATTACAACGCCCGCGAGCTGTCGACGGGTCAGGGGATTCTAGATATGGTCACCATGATCAACGCGCGGGCTGAGCAGCCCGGGTACGCCAACATCAACGCCACCATCTACGCCATGAACACCTCACGCATCCTGATGCGCGACCCCCTCAACACGACATACACACCAGAAGTCGGGAACCTCGCACTGGGCCGGCCGGCCGATGTCGATCTGCAGAACACCACGTTTGTGGGCACGAGCATCATCGAGCAAATGAAGAGCCAGGGCGTCGTCAAGACCAACTCGTTTGGCCTACACCTCGGCAGCGCTCCGCTGAACCAAAAAGGGTCTCTGCTTCTGGGCGGCTACGATGAGTCTCGGGTCGTTGGCACGGTGGCCGCCTTCGAGATGCAGCTCGGCGTTCCCTTCATCTTCCTGCTCGACGTGTTCCTAGGCGTCGAGACAGGGGCCAAACACTTCACGGCACCGCTCGTCGACGCCGGCAGCAGTATCTGGCAGGGCGACGCCGTCGACGACGCTGGTGAACACTTTGGCGGTAAGAAAGGGTCTGTCCTTATCCTGCCCAACCCGGCCGTGCCGGGCCTGCACCTCCCGGACCCCACGTGCGCCAACGCCGCCAGGTACCTACCCGTCCACTTCGATAATGCCACGGGATACTGGCTGTGGGACACGACAGATCCGGGCTACGCGCCGCTGATTAACTCCGGCGCCTATATGTCCTTTGTCTTCTCCGACATGGACGCCCGCAATGTGACCATCAAGATCCCCATGACGCTGCTGAACCTGACGCTCGACCAGCCCATCGTCCAGATGCCGACTCCGTACTTTCCGTGCCACGATGTCGATAAGAACAATGGATACTGGGAGCTGGGGAGGGCTTTCCTGCAGGGGTCATTTTTTGGCATCAACTACGAGCAGAACTTGACCTTCCTCGCCCAGGCTCCCGGGCCTGCGATGGGCCAGTCACTCGTGCACACGATCCAGGCCGAGAATCGCACGCTGAAGTCGCAACCCGATTCCGCATTTCTCGACAGCTGGCGCGCAAGCTGGCCGTCGGCCGAGGCGGTTGTAGCTGACCAGAATAATAGCAAGAAACCACTCTCGGGGGGAGCCATTGCTGGCATTGTGGTTGGTGCAGTAGCAGGGCTGAGCGCCGTTGCAATATTAGTGTTTCTCTGCCGGAGAAGGAGAAGTGGACCCAGACGAGGCACGGCAGAAATGTCCGAGTTGCAAGTCAACAGCGGCGGGCACAAAGATATCAAGGGTCTGGCGGAAGTGGACACGCACACGGGCGTGCACGAAGCGGCCGAGGCTGGATTGCAAGAGGCTGCTGACACGGCCGTCCTGGAGCTGGACTCGCCTGACAAGACGCTCAACGAGGCGCCAGCGTCGCCGGGCGTCTACGAGCTCGAGTCGTTTGAAAAAGCGCTTGCCAGGCATACGGAGAGCTCGCCGCCGGTGCATGAGATGCCCATTCGGTGATGGTGGTCGTCGGGCCGAGGGCAGGAGAAGCAAAACAAATTTCTCTTACATCTTTCATGATATATCATGAATTTACTAGCCCGATGCAATTTCATCATGTTACTCAATTCAGCTCAAAATATTCATCATCCTTGTTACTAACATCCAATTACCTACCTTTGCCTGATTCCAGCATTGTATGCGTTCCGTCCTCCAGATCACCACCTCGACAGGAAACCACAAACCCAAATCCCTCCCTAGGCACCTACTCTCCTTCACACCCCCAGGCGCACCCAAATTAACCGGCCCCTTCGCTTTGACAAGCTCAAGATCAACAACCTCATAATCCCACGTGCTCAACGCCGCCGCATTCGCCGCCGTCAGCCTTACCCACCACGGCACCCATCGATTTACACCCGCCGGCGTCTTCTCATAGAAAGCAGGATACGATGAATGGTCACTTCAGGATGCATGTCTCAAGTGCGTGACAGAAAACGGGCGGGCTACTTTCCCGCTAGAATTCACCTGGCCCTCATGCGCCAAACACGGCAGTGGCTCAAGGGCCGCCGACAGCCGTGGACTTGTTAACACGACGAGAAAACGCAACGGGACGGCGGAAATACGGCTACCGAAAGTTGCCTTCACGGCGGATGAAGACGCTTTGACCGTCGAACTCAAGGAAGGACGCCGGCTACCGTGGGGGGAGGGGGTTGCGGGTAATTAAGATTTTGTTCGAAGCTAATAAAGGCAACGGTTTCAGGCGGGACTAGCAGTAGGTAGAACCAAAAACAATTAGCGAGGCCAAATTAGCCCACTTCGAGTTCTACGAACAGTCAGTCCAAGTAAGTTCCGCATCTCCCTCACCCACGTTTTGTCGACATTTTCTGGGTGGTATGCCGGCAGCGCGCCCGCCAGCAATAGCACTCGCGCCCCCGCATCCGAGTCTTTGGGTCGGTAGCGGCGGCGCGTCCTCTTCGGGTGATTTCGAGTCATGCCGTCGGCGGCTTGACGAGGAGCAAGCGGACAGTGGTTCGGGCGGGAGAAGCTCGTGCGCGACGTGCGCGACGTGGAATCATAGTCGTAGGCTTCCACGACGGGAATCATCGGCTTCGAGGCGGCACTGTTCGACGAGTCCATGTCTGCAGCGCCGTCCTGCTCCAGGAGACGTATGGGCGCACCACAGTCGAGGGCTGCGTTTGCGAGGCGGCGGCGCTGCGGGGCCCGCTCAAGTGCCAGGCGTTTTGCTACGAGGGACTGATGGACATGGACTTTTCAGGCCGCATGCACGACGACTATGCGAGAGCTGGTACCAGGGCCGGGCCGATGTTTCTTCTGCTGGCTGGCGATGTTTGAGAGGAGCAACCGGACAAGGTGGGCTAGGGCGTGTTTGACGATCACGAGCGGTCGTCGGGTCGAATGTGCTGTCTTGCGCTGGCGCACTAGCGCGTGTAGGAGGGCTTCGCCGACTCGCGCGAGCAGTTGTTCGTTTGGATCCTGCTCCTTCAGCCTTGCGACGACAGCCTGCCGGGACACTATCGGCGCGCCGGCTGGGGCATGGTCCTGGTTCGCTGGTGGATGGGCGTGTTTGACGAGAAGGGAGCCCACGTTCGCCAAGTCATATTGATGTGACCAGTGTATGGCATCATACCATGTATCACAGTACACGGTATCACAGTACACGGTATCACAGATACTCACAGACGAAACTTGGGCTCACCAAAATCCCTTTTTGGACTTAGAGCTGAGCTCCCGCTGCGTTAAGGCTGAGCTGGAGCTGAGCTGCCTGGAAGAGACCACTTTCGGGACCACATGTTCTATCCAGGGCCCAATCTTGTACCTGGGCCCTGTTTTTGGCCCCGGCTAGAGTTTCCCGCGCCCGACCTTAACTTGACCCCAATTTTAGCCAGCACATCCAAAGGGCCTTAGATTTGCCGCATGTTTATCGACGCTCGTGTGGGTAGACTTTTAACTCAGCTCTTGCACGGTGTGCTATTTTTAGTGGTGTGTCGGAGACGGGGTCGGATAAGTATCTTGGCATGAGATTCAAGCCTCAATCTACTCGTACATGTATGTAGACGTGTCAGAAGGAACGGTTTTCTGTTGGTCAGAATGTCGGATTTTAACCCTGTAAAATTAGGTCAGCAGGACAGCACTTGACAGCGCCCGTGGCCATCGAGATGCCCGGTCACGCAGCGCCCTACTTTTTCCCTCGAGCAACAACAATCGAGCACATCAGCACATCAGCACAATCATCAACAACACCGTCAAATCATCTTATTTGCCTACATCAGTACCAGCGCACTAACAGCTTTTCTGTGGAATTTCTGACAAGACGTCTCTTTCGCTCTTTTGTACCCCATTTGCTCCCCAGTAGAACAAATCGTGACAAGGCACTAATATCGGCAAGCCCTGCCCGCCAGGCCCGGGATGGACCGCGTGCGGTTATGCGATCTTTGTTCGCGCATCGAGTGGGACTATCTTCGAGTTCCAACTATTGGGCCGCTACGGCTGCTGTTAGCCGGCCACGATATCTCCGGGCATCGGCCATTCAAGCGTGAGCCAGAAAAGCGCCTCAGTGATCAGACATGGGAATTGGGCTTGGCAGAGAGAATTCTGCGCTCAGCCACTACCTGTTCACTCTGCGATGTTGTTTCGCAGATGTTTCACGATTTCAAGCAAGCGCAGCCAGGCCGGCTTGTCGAAGGGATGAGCTGCTCGGCTACGCTAGACCGCATTTTCATGAGTTTCCGACTTACAGACACTTCTAGACTGCACGAGAGGGTAGTAGAGGCTATGAGACAGGCAAAGGCCGAGGAAGTGGTCTTTGTACTGTGTGCCTTGACATTTGACTGGGCCGCTGGGACCTCCGCTGAGAAAGACCTACTATCCGCTTCGTGAGTACCTCTTGGCCTTCGACCCGGACACACCAACGAGCATTGAAGCCCATTTTGAAGGCCAGGCTACTACCCGAGACGAGATGCTGATTCTATGCGGTCGGAAGTCTTCTTCTATGGTCTCCACGAAACTACTCGGCTCTTGGATCAGTAGATGCTCGTCAAGCCACGGCGAATGCGCCATTCAGAGTCGGAAGCCAAAGATGTTAGTCCTAAAACTGCCGAAACAAGATCCCGTTATAATCTTATACTGACTGTATTTTCTTTCCTCGATAGGGCAAAAGTGTTTCGCCTCATAGACGTGGCGAACAAAGCGATTCAACGATTCGAGGATATCAATATCACCTCGCTTTGGTATTTGGCCCTGAGCTACGTATGGGGCTAAGCTGAAAAGCTCTCCACAAAGCGCCAGAACAGCGCAGAGTTGGGTGTTCCCGGCTCTTTGAGCGGAAAGGTATCGCGGACTATTGGAGATGCCATGCTCCTCACTCAGAGGCTGGGTGTTCAATATCTTTGGGTCGACGCGCTTTGCATCTTGCAGGATGACACCTCGGACAAGGCCACCCACCTTGCGTTCATGGGCGATATTTGGGAGTCCGCCCTGGTAACGGTCATTGCCGCAAGCGGCAGAGATGCGTCCGCTGGGTTGCTAGGAGTTAACTTGCCGCGAGCTTTCCACCAGCGTTCCATGAAGGTTCTAGAGCCTTCGGACTGCGCGCCGGCGTTATTCGTCGTCACCAGCCAAAGTCAGAGGCCTGTCGGCCGATCGTGTGTCGCTGAAACGATTTGGACCACTCGAGGCTGGACGCTGCAGGAGAGGGCACTCTCGCGACGAACCCTGGCTTTTACGGATGACGAAACTTTCTGGAGCTGCCAATGCTGCACTTGGACAGAGGGAATCGCCGCAGAGACGGACCCCAACCTTCTGGTCCCGGACTTGTGGTCTTTCCGCAATGGCGAAGGCTTCATAAACCCTGACAGCCAGCGGCGATCTGGCTCGGGAGATGATGAGATCGATGCGTCGTGGGCGCAGTTCAGTTATTTGATAGGAGAGTACTCGACCAGGAACCTGACGGACCCTGGAGATGCTTACGATGCCTTCAGTTCCATAATCTACGCTTTTGAGAGAAAAATGGGATCTGCGTTCCTCTGGGCCCTTCCAGTCGCGAGGTTTGACCTTGGCCTCTGCTGGTTGAGGAGTTTGCATAACGGACAAGCCAGACTCAAACGAAGGGAGAGTTTGACAACCTTGCCCATGACAAGCTTGGACTGCAAGGTTCCGTTTCCGAGCTGGTCGCCCCTCAGATGGATTGGGAAAGTGGGATTGAGGATCGCGAACCAACACACAGAGTTAGGGTAAGTGTGAGCTTTAGGAACAACGGCCAAGACCGTCCTTGGCTCGAACATGGGGCGACCTTCTAACGCATCTGGAACCAGTCTCACACCAGAACCTATGTACCATGTTCTCCGGAACTGCCCTCTAAGAGTTGTCCGGGTGGCCATGATCATCAGCAATGACACCGAGATCTCGCTACCACCACATCCAGGTAGCATTTCCCCAAGCCCGCTGGCGGTCACCTTGGACTCGATTGCAAATGAGCTCCCACATCTCACAGCGAAAAGGCTGTCAAGAATCGCTGACAACTAACTTCTGTTCTTTTGGACCGAAGTTGCCGTTTTTACCGTCTCTGGCCCGGTGCAGAAAAACACAACCTACCAGGCACCCCCCTTCCACTTCGAGATTTGGAATGTTCATAAGGGAAGCGACGGTCAGCAGCAACAGCCGGTAGGCCATACGGACGTCTGCGTCCCGAGCGATGCCGATGACGGCACTTGCTCCGCCGGGGAGGGCGACTACGAGTTCGTTCTTCTGGCCACGAATAGGCCCATGTTTGGGGATCACCCGGCCGAGAAGATTGTGCTGCAGGTCATGTGGAGGGCCGGCATTGCATATCGCATCAGCATCGGGGATATCCTTGAGGATGCCTGGAGCAAGGCGCAGCCGAAGATGAAGCTTGTCGTGCTCGGCTAAGGGTTGAGTGGACTGTCGAGGTTCATTTTAGTTCTGCTGTGGTTCGGGGCTCTCATCCGTTTACGTCTGATACTGGAATTTATGATGACGGCACAACAAGGCTCGTGGTAACAGCTTATCTACCAAGCCGGTCACGCAAAGGCATGCCTAAACGTGATGAAGGCTTTCTATGTTCTTCTACGGAGATCCGGGAGATTTTCTTACGTACGTGCAGTCAGTTACATCTCGGCGTATCCCGTACAACATGCAGAGTATTGGCTTCCTCTCCCTATCTTCAAACCGGCTGCTGGATCTTCCAAGGACGCAATTACGGGAGCAGCGGTAGTTGTCTGTAGCGCTCGCGCTCCTCGGAGAAGCCCATGTGGCTCGTATTCTCTAGCTGGGCCCACTTGACCTTTGGGATCTCCGTGAACCATGGCGTAAAGTAGAGCTCGGTAGTCTCGTCGTGGCGCCCGTCCAGAAGCAGCACCGGCACGTCGATCTCGTGCGCGTCCTGCCACAGCTCAATGTCGCGGATGTTGCCCGTGATCTGGAACTCGGACGGGCCGCACCTGGAAGGCAAGCCACGCGTCAGTAACCCATGCATATGGATGGATGGGCACAGCCGGAAAGGTGACGGGAGGGGTGCAAGTTGAGTCCTTCGGCGTGGGTAAAAGAAAATAGGCCTTTTAAAGAAGTCGACCGGCGCCCAAGTCCAACGTCCAAGGTAGGGACGCCTTTTAATGTTGCCTCTCGGCGGGGGTCGGGGCTCTCTGTTGGCTCTGGCTGTTGTAGTCAAAGTGGGATGTCATGGGTACGCTGTACGCGTACGCAATCCTGCTCATCTATCCGGCACACACACACGCCCGGATGTATCATGGTTACAACCAACGGGCCTATCGCTGCCGGACCCTCGACCAAAAAGGCGTGCCGGGCATTGCCCCGGAGTAGGGGCAGCCAGGTGCGAGCTCTGAAACGCCGCCATATCTTGAACTCTGAATGGTCCCAGCACGCTCAACCATCTGGTTACTACGGAACGCTAACGGCCCTCCTTCGAAGGTAAACACGGACGCTAAGTTCAATAGTAATTAAAAAGCCAACCAACATCCGTCCCTCAACCACTTAACGGCTAGGGCGTCCGACCCTTGCGCTATGTCGAGCGAGATATTCCTTGGAGACTTTCGCCCACGCCGCCTGGCTCGAACGCCCAAGGCGCGATGAGGGCGAGCTCTTCCATGCGACATTTGAGCGGATCATAGCCCCTTAGCTCCCACCAGCCCTTCTCAGCAAGTAGTATCTTCTTTCTCAGCTCGGCAAGCCGTCTCACCCGCGGGTCCTTGGAATCCGGATCCCATTTGCCTTGTCGCACCTCCAGGACCCGCTTGTCCCGCGGCTCCCACTGGGAGGTGACCGTCATTAGACTTTCCATAACCATGGAGTTCTCCACCGTCGTCAGCCAGTCCTTCTCGATAGCTTCGTCAACTCTGAATTTCCTTTTGCTCTCCGGTCCTGCCTCGGTGTCTGATTCTGTTTTAGCCTCAGATTCTGTCTCGTCCTCCGCTTCTGACTTGTTCGATAGTCTCTCCTCCAATCCCACCCCGGCCTGCGCTCCCGCCCTGGGTTCTTGTCTTGTTTCGGTCTCTGGTCCCACCGCTGTCTTCGGTTTTGTGTTGGCCTCCGATCCAGCCTCGTTGTTTGGTTCTGTTTTGTTATCCGCCTGGGCCTGGTTCTCCGCGTCTGTCTCGTCCCCCGATTCTCTCTCGTCCTCCCATCCCGCCTTGGCCTCCGCTTCTGCCTTGGCCTCCTCTCGGGCCTTCTCCTCGTTGCGCGCCTTGAATTTCTTCGCAAGCTTTTGAAGCATTCGGAAGTGGTCTTCCTCAGCCGCAAATACGATCTGGCGCCCCGTCTCGGCGGCTGCCTTGAGCTTGTACCTATATACCCGAGAGAGGGCGGAGAAGTCTTTCGCCTGCCTTCGGATCTACCAGGAGGCGAGGAGAGTGACGCAACGAAACTGATGAATGCGTCCCCGAAGCTTTCGGTAGCCCATGCGCCGTGCGCCGCCAAAGTGCCACCCGCGGACGCGGACCATCTTCGAGGGATTAGCTCGGCTACTTGGGAAAGTCTCGGTGGTGGAGCTGTTTGGTGGGATTTGAGGGACGGCTGGGGTACATGCGGGCTTGCGGTGTTTGTTCGGCCGGTGCCGGTAGACGCTGCCACGCCGCCAACCGTGAATGTATGTCTTTGTGTTTGGGTGGATGTTAGCGGGCGTAATCGACCAAGCCGCGGTGGAATTGTGTGTTCGATTGCAGGACTGGACAGGTGCCTACCTCGCCAATGTCTAACTTTGTAATTCTGTGTTTCATTGGTACTGGGTCGCCCTGTTTCTCGTCCATCTTGTAGATTCAGATGAAACGTGATGATGATGTTATTGTTCGGTTAGGGCTAATGACAAGAAACGAGCGAGGAAATCCTACTTCCCGAACGAGACGAGGGATCAGTGTGATTTTTTAGCAAGTTGCCCATCTAAGTAGGTACCAAGGTAACTGCGCCCATCGCCTGCTCGCTCCTTCCCGTTTACCAACAGTACATACGAGGCGAGAAAACCTGAATTAAAGATTGAACCGTGCCTTTGGGCAACGGAATTGAAAGACAAATAAGGAAGCGACGAGACGAACAAGCCGTGAAGGGTTTCCCACTCCCCTTTCCTCGCTTAGTCTAAACTCCAATACCACATCTCACTTTGCCCCCCCAAACACAAAATACTTGCCCGTCGCCGTATCGTGGGTCAAATTGGAAGCGAGCGTCTTGCCGCGCTGCAGACTCCCCCTCTCGACAGCGCCCGTCGACGAGACCGTCGTGCCGTCGCCGTAGCGGTGCAGGCGGTTTTCGCCAGGCCTGACGGTGAAGTTCGCGAGCGAGATCTCGAAACCATTACGGGTGGCGAGGTCGGGCAGACCAAAGAAGGCGGCCTGCACGGCGTCGTAGCCAATGGTCAGCTCGAAGTAGCCGCGGTAGAACAGGTCCTGCCACTGCAGCTCCGGGTTGAGCGCCGTCAGGAAGCCCGAGGCGAGGGCCGTGGTGTTGAGCGTGGCGTTCTGCCCGATGGGGCACGGCGAGCTGACGGCCGACCCGGCGAACTCGACGCCGACGGACCCGTTGCCCGACGTGGCGTTGTAGCCGTGCTCGCCGAGCCACACGAGGTCCGACACCCACGACGCGTGCGAGTCGCCCGCCAGCATGATGTTGTTGTCGATCTTGTGCTCGTACATGTTGGCAAACGTGCGGTTGCGGTTCGCCAGGTACCCGTCCCACTGGTCGTAGTTGAACAGCCCGCTGGCCGACTGCGAGATGCGGCTGAAGATGATCTGGTTGCCGACGACACGCCACAGCGTCTTGCGCGCCTTGCTCTCGCGCATCGTGCGGTAGAACCACGACTCTTGCCGCGGTCCCATGAGAGAGCGCCCGTTGTCGTTGGAGATTTCCTGGATGTATTCCGTGTTCTGGGTGTGTCAGTGGAAAATATCGGACCAAAGGGTGAGAACGTACCCAGTAAAGATCCGTGATGCTCCGGTCATACTGCCTCGTGTCGAGCATGATCAGGTCGAACAGGTCGCCAAACTCAAAGTTGCGCCAGATGCGCAGATTGTCGTCCATCTCGACCTGGCGGATTGGCATCCACTCAAAGTAGGCGCGCACGGCGTTCGCCTTGCGCTGGTCAACCGAGATGCCGCCATCGTGCACAAATGACTCCTCTGAGTTATTCAGGTGCGCCATGCCGTCCTTGTACGTGTTGTCAGCGACCTGCGATGAGTTAGCATGACGGTTCATTTTCTGTTGGTTTATTTAGGGCCTGGTGATCACCTCATGGTCGTCCCACACGGTAATCCAGGGGAAGTTTTGGTGGCTGGCGTAGAGATCGAGATCGGTTCGGTAGGTGGCGATTCTCTTCCGGTAGTCATAGAGGCTGTCAATGTAAGCTTGTTGGTCAGGTCTATGGAGCGATGGGTACCGTATTACGTGACAATCTCTCGGTTCGGGAGAGGGATTCGCCCCAGCGAGTCTCCCCAGCCGTACGCCCCGTTCTGGTACTCGTAGATGTAATCGCCGAGATGCAGCACGTAGTCGACACTATCTTTTCTGACCGGGTTCCCGTACGCGTTGAAGAAGCCGAATGCTGGGAAGGTCAGATTACGCTGTGCGGGAAATTCCGGCCGAACTCACGGTAGTTGCTGCACGAATACACGGCCAGCTTGATGGGCGCCGACACCTTTTTCTTTCTTTCCGGGAGCGTCTTGGTGCGGCCCAGTGGCGAAGTGTTGTTGGAGTTGCAGATGGAAAACTGGTAGTAGTAGGTGGTGAAGGCCTTTAGTTTCTTGGCCTCGACCTTGACCGTGAAGTCGACGTCGGAGCTGGTGTACGTCCGCCCGTTGTTGGCAACCTTAACGAAATCTTTGGTAGCCGAGATTTTCCAGTCGACGCACACAGTGGCCTTGCTCGCCTTGACAAAGCCGTCGTTGTCGTGGGTGAAGAGCTCGGCGTAGCCGCTCACAGTAACGTTGGACTTGTCATTGTCGCTGCCTGGTGCCGCTCGCGTCCACAAGATGATGCTGTCGGAGTATGGGTCGCCGGATGCCACACCGTGTGTAAAGTTGAGCTGCGCCGGTGTCCATGGCGAGGTTGCATATGTGCGGGCAACTACCTTTCTGATGGACACGCCGAGCGAGGGGTGATGCAGCGACGGCGACTGATAGTTGAGGTTGCCCCCGAACGTGGCCGAAGCCCCGGCGGCCAGCGAAACAAGACCAATGAGCTTCATCGTAGCATGGCGGCAAAGAAAACCGAAGGGATTCTACAACTCGGCCGAAAAGCAGACAAAGTCGTTATATTACCGACATTGGGCACAGCACGGCGGTCACCATCCATAACCTTCTTCCACATCCGTCGCTCCGCCCCGATGCATGGCTGGAACTTTGGCTAGCCCATGGGTTCAGCTGTTGGTCTGGACTTTCGCGTGATCGCGTTCCGACAAGGTCTTGTAGCCTAGGCTCGCTACAGCAGGTCGTGCAGTTAGCGAGCGTCGCGATTGGTCGGCCGTGGCCTTTAGGCATGGTGTTGGTGATTGTAAGCGGTTGGGTGCTGGGTGGCCCTCCTTGATCGACGCTTCCCGGCGACGGAATTCCACCGCACAATGCTGGCTTCGAAACCCCGCTCCGATTAAATTTCACCAGGCGTTGAGAACGTGTGGAATGACAGACCTGTTATTGGCCCCTGGTCTTGGAGAAATGGAGTTGGAGAAGCAACCCCGCAGAAATTCTATCCCTACGTTATTTCCAATGTGTGAAAAGTGCGCAACCCCGGATTAGGGAGGTCCGGGCAGGCGCGGTTTCCCGGATCCACATAACCGCCTGCCTAGGCACCAAGTGTCAGGCCATGATCTGGGCCCCCGATTTGGCACGTGTCTCCGGCACTAGAGTTACGTTAGCAAGAAACTGGCTCCAAACTTCCAAGTGCGGAAAACTCGTTCATATTTCTTCTACGAGGAGGTAATTACCGAATCTAGCGCTTGATAGGCTAAGGCCGATAAACCACGGCCAGCTCAACCGAACGGGATATTAACACTGATCCACTTTCAACGTATACAATTCCAGACACTAGATTTGGAGCTCAAGTCCGAGTCCAGTAAGCCAAAAGTACCGGTATTCCTCGACACTCCCATCCGCATGTCCCAGTGAAGCCGTATGCCTCCATTACACGTCTCGAACGGGCTCGCCAGATTTATCCCAGACAAATTGAATACGCGAACGATCTAAAGAGCTGAGACTTTTAGCATGCTAGTAATAGTTAGTCCCGGAGACACAACAGCTCGGCGCGTAGCTTAGCCAAGACTTAAGGGAGGTAAAGGTATAGAAAAGAATTATCTAGATTCGGTTGGAAATTTTTTTTTTGCGCCAGCTATTCTTTGATCCCCAGACGTAGTTAGTGCTTAACATGATATCCTCCAAAAGCTCCTTGATGAGATACACCGAACAAAAGAAGACAAATAATAACTGAAGACCCCCTGGCCTGCCGTAACAACAGCTTGTTTGGTTTGGCCCCGCTCTTTATAAGCCTCAGGGGAAAGTAGCAGGATCCGAATCGATTGCCGACTGATTGACGGGAGCCTACCACAGCGAATGGGCAATGGACTACATGGAGCCAAGAATGGGAAAGCTAATGGAGATAAGGAAGGGAAGACTAAAGAAGAATGGAGGGAGAATATTGAACGGTGAATAGGGTGAGAACTTACATGACGAAACCCCCAGTCCCATTCTCGGTACGGCTTATCCCCGTTGTGCGTGACAACGGCCTCTTCATATTGGTCGTAAGTACCCAGTACGACCTCATCCCCAAGTGTCCAGAGGCCTATTTCCCCACGAGGGAGTTGTTTGCCGGCCCTCTAGTTGTCGATGACTTGGTCGAATCGCGCCGCGTTTGTTGCTTCCCGTCATTCCTGAGGCCTCGCAGCTGTCAGGTCCTCGATGACTTGCTTGCGCACTTCAATCTCGCCAGAGGCGGTAACTGTGGAGACGTGGGAGCATTCGTTCCTGCGATCCTGGACGGCGGACATGGTGGACTAATTCGCGGCGTTGAGTGGAATACAAAGTCAAGGAAAGAAAGGGAAGGAAGAGGACGGTCAAGCTCTCGTTGGGAGCGAGGGCGCGGGGAAGTTGGTCGTGACACTTGTAGGATCAGAGCTAACTATTATAGGTTTTGGTGTCTCTGCAGATCAGGAAGAGGGCGCAGAAGAGCAATCCTAGATGAAACTTCCATCTCACATGGTGGGGACAATGCTCGTAACTCGACCTGGTATAACTGTATCATTACCGTTTAATTATTAACTTTTTACTAGTCTACACCGCGGCAAATACATATATAAATTTTAACATATACCTGGCGGTGGGTAATTATAAGCTATTTTACTTTTATGATAAATCTTACTTTTATGATAAATCTAATTATGGAAGCCCCTCCTCAAGCGGAGCCTCATTGAGCAGACGAAAAATAATATCCTGATGGACGGAGTTGGGGGCCGGGCGGCGAAGCTTCACATCACGCACACCTAGCCTGTCGGTCTAGGTTGAGAGGGACCAGGTCAGGACATCTGTGCTAACTATGTATGTAGAGTGACTAAGTAAGTGACAAGGCTGCGTTCTCGCCAGCCCTTTCCCTCGAAAATACACAGTCGGCCAGCGAGAGTCCCGAGACGTAGTTGCTCGAGCAGATGCCAACAGCATTCCTTCCCGCGGCATACGATCCCGGTATTGTCTTGACGGCCTCATTGAACACCAACCTGATGTGCCATCAACACGAAGGCCCCCGAGGTTATTGCTGGAACGAGAAGCATCTCATCGTCTCTCAGAGATATATCGATGCCGTAGAAGGGTGCAGCCACGATTGGAAACCGAAACTCAAGTTTTCTTACCGGGCCGGGCTGCTTGTTTGCGAGTGCGTCGTTGTACGCCTTGATGGTCTCCTGCATGGCTCCCGGAACAACACCGAAGCCTCGGGCGAGATCGTCGAGGGTGGCCGCCTTCTTGTAGGCGAAATGGGTCAAATACCAGACATATGTCCTCCACAGCCCATGGGTCTGGTCGTTTATGTTGTTCTTGACCTTGTCCCACTACACAGAGTCAAGAATAAGGTATCCTTTCCCACCAGCGTAATAGTGAAATATAGAGATTCACTTTAACCACAATTTCGGCCGCTACCGTTCTTGCATTACGCTTATTTATTGAACTTGTGAATGAAGGGCATAATGCTTCACCTTTCCGATTGGCCCTTATCCCTCCCGTTGGTATAAACATACGAATAATTATCGAAACAAGATGGGTAATTTGTGTTGCTCCTTCATTTCGGACCTTCTACTCACCAAGCTCCTACGCCTACTCAAGCATCCCCGTCTTTCATCTAACTATCATTCTGTTATCCATACAAAGCAGGGTGAAGCAGAAAGGAGAGAACAGGCTTGCCCCTCGCCAACTAAAACGGGACAAGCTCATGCATGCATATGTTCAGCTCACACCAGGCGCATTCCCCATTGAAATTGGACTAGCGCCTTCGGGTTGGCCAGCTGAACTCGACCACCACAAGCGCTCATTGGTGGCCAAGTCATGCCCGACACCACTATCAGAATAAAGTGTGCATACACTGTCTGGCAACAAGGTGGTCGAGAGAGTCGACTGCAGCGCAATATTGGGTCTAGAATCCGACTTTATCGCGGCATGCGCGCTTGAAGCTTTCGACTCAGCCTGGTCTATGAAATAGAAGAGGGAGAGAGTAGGTGTATAAAGCTCGTGATGGGGCATTCTTTGCTCGTCTCCTGTTCTTCATGTGCATCTAGATCGTTTACATCCACGCGTGCCGCCACTAGAATTCCACGGCCAATTTGAGGACCACCCAGAATACTCTTTACTTATCTGAGGTAGCCAATCATCGACAATGGACCAAGCGGACAAGGTCGACCCAAACGAAGCAGCTGAGCTCTTTATCTGGGCCCTAACAAGACCCGACGACGAGGACAAGAAGCAGCAACTGGTGGCTGCCTTTGAGAAGGACCCGCAGACAGTCCTCGATGCAGTCGACGCAGTCGCAAACAGGCTCAACCTCTACCCTCCCCACTTCGACTTCCTGGCTCCGGCGGGCGCAGTCGAACCTTGGAAGAACTGCATCGGCGAACAATCGTGCATCCCTTTCGATCGCCGCTGCCCTACGTCGTTGAAGGAGCTAGTTGGCGTCATTGCCGAAGCCCGGGACGAGAAAGTCGCAGTGCGGGCCATCGGGTCGGGCCACTCCTTCTCGGATATCACTAACACGCAGGGCGCGCTCCTCGTCGACCCGCACGACGGGCTCAAGCAAGTCTTTCCCGTCGACGCATCCATCCTGCGCGATGGTTCGGATCCGGCCAACATGATCAGAGCGCAGTGCGGCATCACCGTCGCGGACCTCAACAAGGCGCTCGATGCCAAGAAGCTGGGACTCATCAACATGGGCGCCTACGACGGACAGACCATCTCCGGAGCCCTTTCGACGGGCACGCACGGTTCCGGGGCGAAGTACGGGCCCATGGCGGATTTCCTGCTCTCCATCGTGCTTGTCACGGAGAGCGGCAAGGTGTACCAGATCGAGCCCTCGCCTTCGTCGACCGAGACTCCCATCACGGATCCTGCCAAGTTCCCCGGCCACCTCCCCGAGGCGCCCGACGTCCCCGTCGAGCTGAAGCAAGACGACGAGTGGTTCCGCGCCGCAAAGGTGGCCATGGGCTGCCTGGGCATCATCTACAGCTACACGATCCGCGTGCAGGAGGCCTTCAGCGTGTCCGAGGTGCGCAGCATGACGACGTGGGAAGCAATGAAGCCGCTCCTGTCCTCCTCGTCGTGGCCGCCCCCGATCCTCCAGGACATTGACCACTTCGAGCTGCTGATCAACCCGTACGCCGAAGACAACGCCTCGCACAAATGCATCAAGGTCGAGCGCATGCGCAAGAAGCTGCAGAAGCCCAGCGGCGAACGGCTCTCCGGCTTCTGGAGCTGGATGGAGAAGCTCAGCGTGAAGAACTCGTGGGCGCTCGTGACCGCACTGAACAAGGTCCCTGGCCTGCTCAACCGCAGCGCCATCAACACGGCGCTCGGCTTCCTCGTCGACATGGCCCCGCCGTACGTCGACGTCAGCCACGCCGTGTTCACGCTCGGCGTCGAGAACACGGTCAAGGCGTGGGCGGTCGAGCTGCACGCCGACGCGGCCGAGGACTGCGTCACGGCCATCGACGCGGTGCTCGCGGCGTTTGAGACGCTCGGCAGGGAGCAGAAGTGGTACATTGCCGGGCCGCTGGGGATCCGGTTCATCAGGGCATCGGACGCGTTCCTGGCGCCGCAGGCGGGCAGGTTCACGTGCGCCGTCGAGCTCGACATGCTGTACGGCATCCACCACGACCGCGAGCTGCTCGGCAAGGTCAAGGAGATTATCTGCTCGACCGTCGGCGGCGACGAGAACCACAGCGTGCGCGTCCACTGGGGCCTCGACTGGGGCTATACCACCCGCGACGACGTGCGCAGGTGGTATCCCGACCTCGGCCGGTGGCAGGCCGTGTACCGGGCGCTGAACACGACGGGCATGTTTGACAATGCGTTTACCAAGCGGCTGGGGCTCAGGGAGTAGGGGAGACGAGTCGTTGACGTTCTTTCGGTTTGGTTGGTGTTGGGGGTTTCATTGCTGTTTGATTGTTGGCGGAAAGTGATAACACGGGGAGGGATTCGGTTAGTTTTTAAGGTACTTGTACGAGCCATTGATTTGATGAAGCGGGTTGCGCAGGAGAACTAGAGAGAAAAAAGATTGCACTGCATACATCAAGTACCTAGGTAACAGTGTAACTAAGGGTTCAGGGTCGCTCTTTGGTAGGCGGGGGCCCGTGAACCGTTGATCGACGCTATCTGGGCTGGGTACGAACCGCTGCGGATGGCTCGGCCATTCCTTTTTTGGCTCAGCACGCGCCTAAGTGCGTGGAAATTTACAGTGTGAGATAAAAAGCCAGATGTGGAAAGATTACCCTCTCCGTGTTCTCTGACGTGACTGCCAAGTTGTTCGTTGACGAATATTACGGGACGGCATGTTGATTAGAACAGAACGCGGCCGAAAGGCCATTACGCATTGGCAAATTAGAACAGAACGCGACTCAAAGACCATCACACATTGGCAGCATGTACATGTTAGAGCATTGCCAATTACCATCAAAGCCATCAAAGCCTGGAAATTTTGGTCGCGGGTCTCCCGCCTCTGGTTGTGTGATAGAGATACAGATAGGGATACGGACACAGATGTACGATTTCTAGGGGAGCCAACACCTCAACTGGAAGCTCGGTGTAAACCTAGAACTCCCTAAACCCTAGTACGTCGACCCGATATCCCCCCACTTGATATTGGAAAAAACAACCGACGTATCCGGGGTCGTGGCCTTTATATTGTCGGGGTTTCCATCCGTGGCGCTGCACGGGCCGTTGCTGCCACCATCAAGCCAGCCCATAAACCCGTTGGCGTCGTTCCAGATGCTGAACACGAGCACCATGCCGCGGGCCAGCGCCTCGCCCATGGCCTTCATACCGCCGTGGCTGGCGAACGCGGTGCCGGTGCCGCAGAAGGCCGCCGTCAGCGAGTCGCCCTTGCCCGACACGGCCGGCGGGTTTGGGATCACTTTCCCGTCCTGCACGTACAGCCGCCAGATTTCGACGAGCTCGCCGCGTGGTGAGTTGTCGGCCGAGACGAACTGCGTCACGACCGTGAACGGCCGCCGCGTGTCCACGGTGCCGCCCGGCGCGTAGAACTCCTTGTGCCCTTGCACGTACGTGTTGAAGCCGCACCCCGTGTGTGCGCACACGCCCTCGACGCCGCAGTCGTCGCCCGCGCACCGGTACAGCCCCGACTTGGTGCACGTGTGCGGCGTGTATTTCGTCGCCGCGCTGTTCGCTTCCCAGAGGTCCATCTCGCTGCAGCACGCGCCGGTCGAGTTGAGGTTTGCCTGTTCGGGCTGGTTAGCTTCTTGACTGCCAGCGCAGTCACCTATAGACGAGAAATGGCCGCTTTCAACTCACAATGCCGTTAATCCAAGTATAGCCCGTCGGGCACTGCGCGTCGCAGTAGCCAGTGCCCATGGCCGCGCCGGCCGGATTCAGGTCGCCTCGTCCGCCGGTCATTTCCATTTCGGACAGATACAGGGCGCCGTTCATGCCGCAGGGCAGCTTCGACACGTCGGCGTCGAACGCAATCTCCTGGCTCACCAGCTGAAGGTCTGCGTAGTCGGCTCCATCGGCGCCGAGCAAGTACACCCGAGGACTAACCGGGACGTCGTCGACGTACATGTTAAGCGTCAGCGAGCCGGCTTGGCCATTGTTGTTCGTGGTGCGAACGCCCATTGCCGTGTAGTTGACGCCTTCCAGTGCACAGTTCCGAGCGCAGGTAGCTGCATCGGGACAAAGAGTCTTGTTTAGGCCTCCGACGAAGGCGGGTTCCTTGCAGATGCCGCCATCGGCGCCCACGGCCGTCACCAAGCGCCAGTCCGGGTCGATGACGACTGAGGTGTTGTGCGCTGTGCAGCCGCCGGCCTTGGTGCACTTGTAGGTTGTCAGTTTGGGGTGCACTTCTGGGATTTTGCTGCCAATTTGCTGGGATAGCGCAAGGCTGAGCAGCCCGAAGACTATCAATATGGTTGCTAGAGACATGTTGATAGCGTGTGGCAAGTTGATATAGCATGTCACAGAGGGTCCAAAATCTAAATGCTGTGGGCGAGAAAAAACTCAGCAGCTTTCTTAGAAACGAAAGCTCGTTGGGTTTCTGTAGGCGGCTAATATCTGTGCTCATGTTTTAGGCGATTGTCTGGATAATAGTATCCGTCCAGAGCTACATTTCTCTCATTGCATTGCGCCGGATATATCAATTTTACACCAAAGAAAAGACTGAAATGATAGCTATTAAGGACGGTATGAAGCTTAATATCCCCAAATAGATTGAGGAAGGTTCCTTGCTGCGCACTAATCTCCTGTGGATATCGTCATTCTCCCGAGATTTGGCGGGACGGGTATTGAGATCTGGCCGGGTTCGTGCCGGATACCGAAGTGACACAACCCGGTAGATGAGCCGGGAACTTTGTATCCCGCCCTCTGAATATTCAATTTAGAAGCAAAAGCGAAGAGAAACCAAGGGCCGGACAAGGTCAATTCGAAGGCGCTCGTTGTTCTAATTATAGGAGTTATAGTTACTATTAATTGCTTATTATTTTTGAGTCTTTTTTCGAGTGTATGCTTTGGCTGTGAAAACACAGACTCTTTTTTCTGACCGTAGCTCAGCCTCCAATGTGAATGTGAAGGGAATTTATCTTCTGTTATACCATGGGAAGGGACTTCGTAAATATATGGTAGTTTCAGATCAAGCGGTGATTCCTTCAGGGGCGATACCGCCACAGAGTAGTTCCTGGAGGGGGTCGCGGTGTTCTTTTTGCACACTGAAAAATGACTCTCTGTGTTACAAGAAGCAGTGACTTCCGGAAGCCAAGGGCGGTGACAGGGAAGACCATCTGCACAAGCTACATTTTCTGCCTACTTCATTGTGCAGCTGCCCTTCTGCATTCCTCCCTCTGCAAACGCTATCTTCAGTCGGCATTTATTGCATCTTCCACTGGAAAAGCATCTTCTATTCGGCTTCAAATCGTCGGTATAGCCAAGTGTCAGTTTCAAAACGTAATTCAGCTGAGTGGAGCCACCGTAGGCGAGCTTGCGAGCCGGAGGTGGCGTAGAGAGGCTGTATTCTATATTACCGTGAGGGTGCCGAAGTTTCTCGCATCGGGATTGGCCAGTTTACGTCAGTGTCGAAATGGACAACGGGGACTGGTCGATCGGATAATCCTCGGACGTATTAAGCCGTCAAATGCCGCTTGCTGTGTTGTAAGGCAGTCTAAGGAAGGAACGCCTTGGGGGGATTCCTAATTGGTATCTGGGAGGAGGACGGACCGCTTTGTAAGCTATGAGTGCGCCGTAGGCTCCAAGCGCCGCAGGCATTGGGGGTCCTAGGGGGCTTGTGTGAAGGCAGGCATAAACGAGAGTCGAGGCTGCAAGTAAGAAATGACTGGATTCGTAAATAACTAAACTAAAGAAAGGAAAAGGAAAAAGGAAAAAGCCTGCGGTTCCTGCAGGCCGTGGCTTTGTGGTTGGCAGGGGCGGTTAGGCTAGTCCTAATTGGGAAGAGTGGGGCGACGGGGTGGAACTGTCAGACTGCAACAGCACTTTTAGGATTGCGTGCATCAGAGTGAATTGCTCTCTTCTCGTCCTTCAGTCTTTCCACAAAAGACTCTCTCTCTTATACTTCCTTATGTGGCAATTACATGACGAAACCCAGTGGCGAAGATTACGCATCATAGATTCCAGCACCTTCTAGGCCATTCCACCTGACACCCCCCCAGATTCAAGCCTGTATGTTGGATCTGACTGCCAGCCTTTCTGTGATATCCACAAGGTGTAGTTGGTGCACGAAATTCTGGTGTTTCTGGGGCGTAAGGGCCTTTGTTAAGCCGTCGGCTATCATGTCCCCTGACGGAACATAATCTACCTTAATCTTCTTTTTCCTTGCTTCCTGGCGCAGCCAGTGGTTGTGAATATCCACATGCCGTAGCCGGGTCTGCAAAGTAGCCACCTCAGCCATCACTAGGCGGATAGTTTGTTTGTTGTCGCACAGAATCTTGATGCTGCTATCGTCTAGTTGGACCGCTAGTTCTGTAAGTAAGCGACTCACAAAGAGGGCTTCTTTTGCTGCCTGGGCTAGAGCGAGGAGCTCAGCTTCTATGGTAGACGTGGTAACGGTGTCTTGTTTGTTGGCCCTCCAGCCAATTAAGCCACCAAACAGTTCCATGGTGTAGGTTTGTGAGCTCTTTCGATCGATGGAATTATCGGCAAAGGAAGCATCGCTTGCTACAACGAAGTCGTCTTGCCCACCTAACTGCAATGCCAGTGTTCTGGTATGGTGTAGGTAGTGCAGTACTTGGTCTGCGGCTTTGTGATGTGCTGGGCCAGGATTGGCGTTGAATCTTGTTAACCGTGATGCTGCAAAAGCCACATCTGGCCTGCTAATTACTGCAGCGTATAGAATAGACCCAGTTTTGCGTTGGTATTTCTGAATTGATGATGCCTCAGCCTTGTATTTATATGGCAGAAGTTCTGTAGTTGCCATTGGCACCGTAGTCTTCTTCGTAGGTGTGGTATCGGCCAAGTTGACAATTTTGTCATGGTAGGCTGCTTGAGATAGCCAGAGTAATTGTCTTTTGCGATCTCTATGCACCTCGATGCCCAAGAACCACTGCAAGGCACCACCTCCTGTCAGTCTGAATCTTTGCTTTAGACCAAAAATTAGGTCTTTAGCCAATACCTCCTTTTCTTTCCGGTAGGCAAAGACAATGTCATCCACGTAGAAAAACACTACAACACCGTCTTTCATCAAGATACACGGTTCGTGTGGGATGCTCTGGAAGCCCAAGGTCTTCAAGGCTTTTGTAAGTTCTCTTTGCCAGAGGAGTGGTGACTGCCGTAGGCCGTATAATGCCTTGTTCAGCTTCAGGATGGTACCTGGCTTCCGGTATCCAGGTGGCATCTTCATGAAGATGTCGTTTTCTAGCCGAGCATTGACAAATGCGTTGATTGCGTCGTGCTGGATGAGATCGAGATCGAACCTAGCCGCAATCGCCATAAGTGTTCGAAAGGATCGACCGGCGAGGGTGGCTGCGTAGGTTTCTTCTTCGAGTGATCGTCTTTGTTGATCTCCTCTAACGACTAGTCTTGCCTTGCATTTCTGAAAACGGCCGTGCTTGCCGTACTTATATACATACACCCACATACAGTCTAGAATTTCTTGGCCTTGTTTGGCCACTTCTATCCACGACTGCATTTCTGCATACTTTGCAAGTGATCTTTTTCAGCTTGCAAGAACTGTTCTCTAAGCACGTGTGTGTATAACTGATTATGTGACTTTGGCACTGGTGGTAGATCTCGACGATATATTCTTTGTAAACCACCTGGTTGTTTTGACAATCGTTGTATCGTAGCCTTCGTAATTGTTTTGCCATTGTGGTTAACTGCCTGTACTAGCCGCCCTGCGGCAAAGGCTGCCATCCAAGGTTTGGCGTCTGATTGGCTTGTTTTTGAAGGTGGGATATTATCGATTTGTCGGATTGATGCTGCCAATAGTGCTGCCGGTGAAAGAGAGGGTGTAGGATGCGGTGCAAAGCGTGCACACGTATAACCAAACTCTTGATGTGACTCTTGATCTTTCACTTGGTCTTCCATAGGCTGGTCTTCGTCATCGGGAATAAAAATGACCCCCTCATCCTCTTGTAATACAGAGGGTTGTATGTCATCTTCTGGCACTACAGTCTCTGTTGCTGTAAGAAGGTGGCTAAGCTCGTCTAGTCGAACGTGAAGAAGATCGTCTTTCAGACCCTCTACGTTGCCATTGAAGATCTCGTCCTCGTTAAAAACCACGTCTCTTGTATTGAATACCTTGTTGGCTATAGGATTCCAGATCCTATAGATATTGGATGAACTGTATCCCACTAGGTATCCAATCCAAGCCTTTGGGTTAGTTCGTTGAAGCCGGTTAGACTTCTTCATGGCGTTTGCTGTCATGGCAAAGGCCTTGCAACCGTAGGCTCGAAGGTGGGTTTGATCTGGCTTCTTGTCTTCAACTACAATGCCGTCTTTGTGGGCTAGATGTGTATGGAATCGATCGTATGGGGTTTCCCAGTTATAGATATACCGTGGAATTTGGTTGTGTAGGTAAACTGCAGCTCTGGCTATTTCTGGTCAAAGTGTAGCTGGTAGGCGTGCCCCTGTGCGCATTGCACGAATCTTATCCTTGATCACACCCCCCGAGCGCTCGGCGCCTCCATTCTGGGCTTGTGTGTATGGTGCCGAGGGCTCCGTTTTGACAAATCGTTGGCCAAGGAAGGTCTGGATCTCGGCTGCCTTGAATTCGTTATCGCATTCCACAACTTGTGGTCGTATCTGGTATCTGTGATCCAGAGTGCCAAATAGGTGGGTTAGGCATGTGATGATGGAGTCTGCTGCTCTGTCCTTAAGGTAGTAATCCCAGGCTAAGCCAGACCACCTATCTGTGATTAAGAAGAGGTGCTTATAGCCATTGTAGCCTTCTTCGAATTCGTGGAGATCCAGTGCTAGCCGTAGTCCAGGGCCTTCATCGTGTTTTCTTGCCCGTCGTCTGACTTGCCGCTGTGCCTTTGATATGCCACATGCATCGCATTCAATAGTGGTGGGCCCTTTGATCTTCACACCGTACGAGCATTGCACGAGGTGCTCCAGTGCTTGTGGGCCAGGGTGGCCAAGTCGTAGGTGCCAGAGCCTTGCAAATGCTTTATTGGGTCGTCGTTGGGTGTAGGAATTGTACAGATTTCGGTGTGCAAAGAAGGCAGCTTTGGAATATTGTACTGGAAGGTCTTCGAGGACGTACTGGTCGTACCGATCAAGTAGGTAGCACAGAACCGAATTGTTGGACTTGCGTACGCAGTTATTGCCAGGACTATTGTCCCACCAGAATCCTTGCTTTCGTGGTTGCGGAAAGATACTAGGTTGCATGCAAATCCAAGGCAGTAGGCTACATCTGTAAGCCGTAGGAGTTGCTTTCCTCTTGGCCCTTGGATCTCGACGTAGACCGTTCCGTACCCATAGATTTCGACAAGTTGCTCCCCAGCCCACACACAATCGCCTTCGGGGGCCGTTTGGAAGTTGAGAAATCGTGTAATCTGGTTAAATATGTGAATAGTAGTTCCGGAGTCTAGGATAGCCGAATTCTTCAAAGGGTACTCAGCTGTATTTTTAACCACAAAGCTTCTAGAGCAACTGCCGATCTTACGGCCTAGTCAGCTCTGTTTTTGAAGCTGGATTTCTTTGATCTTCTCTTGTAGTTGTGGGTCTTTGAGAGCGTTGTTTACCCTGTTACGGATATGCTCTCTCTCCACAAAACTCTCAGGTGCCAAATTTGGAAATGCATAAAAGCATCTTGCGAGACGGTGGAACTGGTCGCACGCAGGGCATATATTAGAGGCTGTGCCCGAAGCTTCTTGCTTTTTTTTAGGTCTTTGCCATCTGGGATACCGGCTGTGCCCGAGGCTGTATTTGGTCTCTTTTTAGGTCTTTTGCCTTCACCAGAACCAACCCTTTTGCGTTTCTGACCCTTTTGCTCCCCCACATCCCCATCGGATACGATTTCGCTATCAGAAGCGTCCTCCTGATAGGCCTCTTTACCACGAGTTATGGCGGCAAAGGAAGGGCCGAACGAGCCTTTACCTACACGGTTGCCAACCGGTACGCGGGCATTCGCCAGTCGCCGTGCTTCCTTTCGAAAATCGTGGGCAACTTCCCGATAGGTAAGAGTTAACTGCTTGATCTTTGTTTGTTGCACCAGCTCGTAAGCTGTAACCCAGTTGCCTAAAATAGGCTGTACAGCTTTTATAAAGTCGTTGAACCAGGATCTTAGCCGTGTCGCTTCTGGTACGCCTTTGTCTTGTGCTATAGATAGAGCATTCTCCCATTGTTCTGACCATTTGATTAGGTCTTTAGGGAGTCGTGTAAGTGGCTTGATTACTAGCTGATAGGCTTCTCGAGCGTCTTCTATCGCCTCGTCGTCGCTAATACCTGCTTGAGTCTGCAAGGCATTGTACCAATCTAGGATTGACTTGGTTGGTTTGCATGAGGTACGTTGATAGTGCGTGCTCACTGTTTTCAATACCCACTGCTTCAGTCGTTCAATCCTGTCGAATTGCTGAGTATAATCCTTGAGGTTGGCTTGGTAGATAGTCCATTCCATCTGGTAGGTCTTGAACCCATCAGTGGTTAGGTCAGCTATCGTGATTGGAATACTAGCTGGGCTAGCTTCTTCGTCGTCAGCAACCGATACGCTGGTGCCGCGGACCGTAACCGACAATTGACTAGGGGTCTTGTGTTTGTGTCTAGCCGGATCAGGGGCGGTAGGTTTGCTGAGAAAAGGAGTAAGCCCCTGAATCTGGGGCCAGATGTCTCCGGCCACCGCCTGGGCTTGGAACTGCAAATTCCAGGTTTCCCAGTTGTCCGAGCTGTTCAGTGCGACAGTCTTGTCGTTGTTGGTGGTGGTCATCTTGACTGTTGGTCTTGGAAAAGAATGTTGAAGAATTGCGTGTCGGAAGCGCTGTTGACTTCGCAGTCCTGATAGTAGGTGGCTGACTAATCGGCTGATTGAGCGGATGAATAAGACTCTTAATTATCAGACTACAACAGCACTTTTAGGATTGCGTGCATCAGAGTGAATTGCTCTGTTTTCCTCCCTCAGTCTTTCCACAAAAGACTCTCTCTCTTATACTTCCTTATGTGGCAATTACATGACGAAACCCAGTGGCGAAGATTACGCATCATAGATTCCAGCACCTTCTAGGCCATTCCATCTGACACGATCTCGGGGCTTCACCAGCAGGCTCGCAAACATGCCGAAGCCGGTACCGATCAAGGACGATGACAGCGGGAGGTACAACGTGATGATTCTTGACGGGCTGCTATTGAACCCAGCTACCCGATTTGAGGGGCTGTGAATGACTGACTGACTAGCTAGACTAGACTAAGATAGGAGAGAAATAGAGACTGAAGGTCTCCCAAGATGGAAAATAAATAAAGACCAAATGTCTCCCAAGATAGAAGAGAAATAGAGACTGAAGGTCTCTCAAGATAGAAAAGAAATAGAGACCAAATATCTCCCAAGATAGAAGAGAAATAGAGACTGAAGGTCTCGCATACGAAACGTTCGCACTGGGGTTGCAAATAGGCAGTAGTTATATGACACCAGCCCTGAAAAGAGCAGCCTTGAGGTCGTCCACGTTCTCTAGCTTGGGATGAGGCTTGCCTGCATTGAAGACCTTGTGGTTTCCCTTCACCATGGCCGTATGCGTCTCGTTTGCTTGGTAGACGCGGGGCTGTCCGTTGACCGTCTCAAACGTCCAGCCGGTGACACGGGCCAGGCGACAGTTCTTGACAAGAGACGTGTCCAGCATGACGGTGCCACTTCGTTCGTCGAGGATGAGCTCGGACATGCTGCGGTTGCTGCAGCCTTCGTGCCCTAGGACTTGGAGGCCAATGAGCCCAGTAAGATTTTTGGCTACGATGTAGCCGGAGAATTCCGCAAGAAAGTTCTCGTCGACGGCGGTGAGGTCGGGTAGGGGCCCGTCCTGGAACTCGTAAGCGCGGAAGCCGCTGTCGGTGAGGACGAAGATGTGCCCGTGGATGGAGGAGCCTTCGAGCTTGTTGGAGTCTGTGGGCTTGGCCCAGCGCATGTCGGGGTTCTGGAAATTGGTTCCGACCATGACGGTGCCTTCGGCGATTTAGAAATGGCCATGGATGAGGTGGACGCCGAAAACGTTCTCGGCGTTGTGGCGGACGAACAGGGCTGCAAGGTTCTGGATGTGCGTGTCGTCAACATAAGGCTGGTCTGCATCATCCTTGAGGCTGTTGTACCTGGGTGGGGAAAACATGTTAGCTAGGCAGGCCGTTAAGTTTACTAATTATGGATGACTTGGGGGTGGACTTACAGCGCCCGACTTTCTTGGAAGTCGTGAGTGTTCAGAGCCTGGTCGAAGGCTGGAAGCCTGGGAAAGGTGGCTACTAGAGCTGCCATTGTGCTTGAGGAGATTCACAAGAATCGACTTTCTTGGGGCTTTTGGGAGACTTTTCCAGCTCAGGACGAGGAGGAGAAGAGAGTTGATTGAATGGTCTTTTGCTGTCTGCGGTGAACTTGTTTCGTGATGGAAGATGAAGGCGTGCTGTTGATGTGTGATGAATGAGGTGCTTGAGGTGTGATGATGGAGTTAAGGAAGGGGAGTCCTTTGAATTTATACTTATCAATATCGACGGCGAGGCAGACTCAAGGTCGGTGTAATACTTCATGGTGGCCCTCTTAAATGGCCTCGGGTTGATCATCATGACCGTGAGTCATCGGTAGTGTTGCAAGCCAGCCAATGCTGATTGTGCCAGGAGGGGATAATTCGAGTTCACCGTCAACTACTGATCATGAGTTATATGGCCATGGCCATGGCTATGGGTGTGGCGAGGAAGTGAGGTTGAACTCACGACCGTCACCGAGGTTGAACTGACGTCAACGACCAGCATGTAGCCCATCACCGGCGTTACGTGGCCATGGCCATGGGTGTGGCGTGGAAGTGAGGTTGAAATCACGACCGTCACCGAGACACAACAACCGTACGTACCCACCCCCAAACTGTGTCCCCATACTATCCATATGAAAGCCTTGATGTAACTGACATCTCACTGTAACCAGAGCACGTCGGTGTATGTCACCACGACGACGAGCACATCCATCTACGACACAACTGAGTACTCGACCACCATCTACCCGAGCACCAGTACCACCACGTCAACCTCCATCTCGACGCCTGCCACTCAGTACGAGACTTGGACTTGCCACAAGGTCTAATCTCTATACAGTGTTGGTTTTTGGGTGGACAGACAAGACATTGTTAATAAACGGTTAAAGGGAGATTCTATTTGACGGAGGATATAAGCAATATAGGGGGCTGTTGAGTTGCTTCGCTAATAATGTTACGAGTGCCATAACGTAATGTTAATTTATTGGGTTCACAAAACCAGATTGCCAGGCAGAATAACACCTCTTTATTGTTGACCATGGGGGAGTAGAAGGACAAGAGTCTCACAGTTGATGGGATAGTTAGTGCAGATGAAAGACTGTATATAAAGATGTGCTTGATGAATCGACCTAGGAGTGAGACCTCCATAAGTCTTTGCTTAACTTATACTCGTAAGATCACGCCACTAATCCACACCGCTTACGTCGGTAAATACATTAGCATCTGCGGCTCTTAAGGATCGAATTCAGTGGATGTTTCCGGACTTGTTTTCTAACGAGAAAGGTTATTGGTGGAGCTCAACCGTAATGGCTGACCCGATGGTCCTATTTGCTCGCTGTGCGGGGTATACGAATCGCGCGCATGAGCCCTACTGCACTGAGGCCCTTGGCATTTGGTCTCGGCCTCCATTGGGCGTGAGAATTGAGAGGGGGGAGGGAGGCCTCATGGTGATGTGATGAGGCCTACCGTCGATTTGAAGGTATATTGCGGATTGACGTCAGCGTGGTTGGGGTGCATGCGACAAGATATAACTAGGAACTGACAACATCCCCCATCACATTTTTTTAACTCACTTCCTTCTTTTCCTGTTCAGCCCTCCTCTGCTTTTGATTCAGCCTAGCATAAGTAAGAGAAAAAATGTCCGAAGAGTGCATCGTCTGCCTCGAACCAAAGGCGGCATCCGACTTTCCCACAGAGCCGCTGACAAGCACATGCGACCATTCCCCGTGTACATGTCTGGATTGTATCCGGATTGCCATAGCTGTCAATATTGGCGGCAATCTGTCGTCACGCATTGCTTGTCCAGAGTGCGAAGAAATCTTGAGCCATGAAGCAATACAGCGGTATGCGGACGACGTAGCGAGACGAAAGTATAATGATATGGTGATTCGCCAGGCGCTGGAAGGTTTTGAGGGGTTTATTTGGGTATGTCACTATGTCTCTCAGTGATACTGAATTAGCAACCATGATGTTGATGTGATTAGTGCGCGTCGGGCTGCGGTAGCGGACAGATCCACGACGGTGGCGTAGACCAGCCCATTGTGAAATGCACCTCATGCGGTGGCCAGACGTGTTTCCAGCACAGATCGCTTTGGCACACCGGTGTGTCATGTGAAGAGTGGGATCTGATTCGATCTTTCCCGATGCCGTCAACTGTAAGTGATGGCCTGAGCAACGGCAAGATCCTCGATCGGATCCGGCGTGCACGAGAGATCCAGGCCAGCGAGGAGGTCATCGGGAAGATTTCCAAGCGATGCCCAGGCTGTGCGAGGAGTATTGAGAAGAATGGGGGATGGTGAGTCTCTTCCGTTTCCAAGACTTGAGCCTCTGCTGATTCAATACTTGCAGTTCCCACATGACATGTGAGCACAGATTTCTTTACTGCCTTGACGTTTTAATAGAAGGTAAAGGCTACAGTTGACCACTCCACCAGGCTCTGGTTGTACTCACCAGTTCTGCTGGCAGTGTGGTAGGCCGTGGAACGGGCATACCCGCTGCGAGGGTGGCTTTAACTACGCCTAATCGGCCTAACCAAGGATGTCTTGATTCTTTTCTGATGGTCAATACACCCACTGACAACTTTTATGGAAAATGGAGCAGGTATAAAGTGTCAGTATCAGTTCTGCTGGGAGTGTCTGGCTGATTACAAAGAGATTGTCAGGACAGACAATAGTGTTCACGAAGAGGACTGCCCCTTTCACACGGATAACCTACCGTAATAGCCACTTCATGATAAGCAACTTATGGGACTATTCACTGCATGGACGAGACAGTGTTTATTTTCAGCAGAACAACATGATCTAAATTGTTAGTACTCTAGCTAATAACGTGCATCTATCAGGCGGTATGCTGTTCATCCCGTGTATATGAGGGTTTAGCATGGAGGCACAGTGAAACGCTGAGTAATAGAAGTCCGCGGCCGTGAAGTCGACTACCTCTGGTGGCTTGCAGGGGGTATGTGATTGGTACGGGGGACGCTACCCCGAGCCCTCGGGATATTTTAAAGAAGCATACATAGTAGACGAGGAAAAGAAGCATCTTTGTGCGATGTCGTCTCTTCCCATTTTATAGGAATTTCTGCCTAGATAGCTACCGTTGCTTCTCAAAATCTCGCAAATAATGCCTTGGATAGTCTGATACCACCCCCCCCCCCCACAAACCCAAAACTCAGTGTTGACCTAACTCGCTGGTGTATTCAAACCAGCCCAGTAACCTGGAGCCTCTTTTCGGAATAAAACTTGAGGGCCTCGTGGTCAGTGATGGCGAGGAATGGTTCCTGGAGTCCTTGCAACATTGTCCTCCAGTTATCTAGACCCTTCACGATCGCGAGCAGTTCTTTATCCTGTATTGGATAATTATGCTCTGCTCCCTGGAGGGTTTCTGAGTAATATGCGACTGGGTGCCACTCGTTATCCTCCCCCTTCTGAGAGAGCACTCCCGCTGCCACTCCGTTCGAGGAGCCGGTCTCTGATACGGAATGCGTGCAGCCTTTAGAAGGTGCACGCCTTCCCCACCTTGCGAGATTAGATAAGCGTGCCCAGGTGGGGTCACTAGGACTACATAGCCAAGCCCTGCATCCTGCCCACACTTTGAGAATAAACAAGCCTTACAACACTACTTTTCGTGCCACATGCAGCGTGCCCGCATCAGACCTTCAAGTTATATCAGGTAATAGAGGTAACGAGACAGGGGGTATATAGCGAGCTGGACTAGAATACTAGTTAATCTCATAATAGCACGCCCGGATATCCCTTTGACCGCAAGAAGACCCCACTCCAGGATTATTCCCGTACCAGACAGGGATTTGAACCAACTAAAAGTCACCATTCAAAGGTACATCAATTCCCTATCTATTTTGCTGGTGGAATAAGTACCAACAATCGTACTTGTTACAAAGTGATACATTGCACTGTCGGCAGCCCGACCGGGTCTTCCGACGAAGCCGTCGATTTCCAGATATTTCCCCCAGAACCGTGCGAGGTACTTTTTTGTTCTGACTGCATACAACGCAGGGTGAATTCGTGCCTCGAGATACCCGCTCGTGTTACGAAGCCGCCGGGATAATATCTCGAAGCCGTCGCGGGTTATGAAGCGGCAGAATGAATGCTTCGCGCTCCTATCTTCGCCGGAAGCCTCCCAGTAGCTCTCGATTGTGGCTTCCTTATGAACCCCCATATAAATCAGAATACCGAGGTACAAGTAGACCTCTGCCACAGATGTAGATGTCCAAGTAATTTTCCTTGAGTGCTCTTGCGGCGGCCCCGCAGGCCCGGATATATTCGACTCGTTGGTCCATTTGACCCATGATTCTACCAGTATTTTGGGCACGAATAGCTGGAAAAGCTGTAGCGGCGTGTCTGGCAACTCCCGAACTTCGGGATCGCGATTGGGCACAACAAAGGGCTCGAAGGTCGTGCCGGCCTCGGTGGTAGCCGGCTCGTCAGGCAGGTAGGTGCAGCCTCCAACAGCCTCGCGCTCGCATGCTGCAGTGCATGCATTAGTAAGGTCATCAGGTAGAACAGCAACAGTAATAGAGTCTAGGATTGGGTCGGTTGAGTCCATTTGAAATGTAGGGGAGTGTCAATTACCGCCAAAACAATAGACGCGATGCTTCTCGATGTTTTTATTGTACCTTCACGTACCCCTGCGATGACAGGGGTAGTGTGGGGTTGATACAACGTGGGGTCTTCTCGCGGTCAAAGGGATAATGAAAGCTGTAAGCTAAGTAGAATAAACTCTAATACGGGAAGCGGACATAACAGTTCGGGATTATCCTAATAGTATTGAATTGCTATACCCTCAGCTTTGCTCTATGCACGCTCTCTGTCACGGCCGGCTTGGAATGAGGGCGGAACTCCTCTATTTGGGCGCTATCGACGAAGATTCTAAACTAAAGGGAAAAGGGAAAAGAAGCTCAAAAGTCTCCCCTCGCGAGATTCTTCCAGGGTGTCTCAAGGTGGGGCTCTGGTCGGGCTTCCATTGGTCAGTCGGGTGGATCCACCCGACTGGCGTCTGATTAGTTAGAGCGTCTGGGAGGTCTGGAAGGCCAGGCCCTCACTGTAAGGAAAGGACAACCCGAACACCAGCCGCGCTCACCACCTGTTACCAACTGGCTGGAACACTGCCAGTTGGCACAAGCCACTACGCTACGCCATGGCGCCCCGGGCCTGAGCCCCTGAGCACGTATATAAACAGTGGCCCTCGCCCACCTTCCTTTGCGAGGACTAGGTTGAAGTCTCACACCAATACTACTCGTTGCTCGCCCACCTTCTTACCTGCATTGTGACTGTCACGGTCGCCACAGGGCTCATGTGACAGAATTGATTCTATTGGCTGCATTGTGCTTAGGGTGTGGCCTGTGCGCACTGAGCACCACTACGTATTTCTCCGCGCCCTGCGCGGACCTGGCGATAGATTCCTTTCTCTTCTTTAGCTTTAAATCCACATTCGCTACTGCCTTCAACCATTGACATCCCTACTGCGTAAGGCGGGCCGTCACAGTGACTACCTTGATCCGGCGTACCTGCCCTTACACTCACACTCTCTATATAGTTCTTGAAACGATTCAAGTGCTTGAACTCCAGCGTCTCTTTACTACACTTGGGATAGTTATAAGAGAGTTACCTCGTACTACATAGTTTCTTTATATACTCCCTATGAAATAGTCATATATAACCACCGGCCTATAGTACCCAAATATCCGCTCCTTGTACGACTATCACTTACTTGTGTGAGGGCCTGGCCCTCCAGGCCTCCCAGACGCTCTGACTAATCAGACGCCAGTTGGGTGGATCCACCCGACCAGCCAGAGCCCCACCTTGAGACGCCCTGGAAGAATCTCGCGAGGGGAGGCTTTTGAGCTTCTTTTCCCTTTTCCCTTTAGTTTAGAATCTTCGTCTATAGCGCCCAATAGAGGAGTTCCGCCCTCATTCCAAGCCGGCCGTGACAATATGCATATCCGGGTTGTCGAACTGAAGGTAGTCCAACGTCTTAACGACGGCGAGCTTGGTAGCAGCATAGGCCCAAGTACCGCCAGGAATAGCCCGCAGATGGGGGATACCTGATGAAATGTTGAAGATGGAAACGTTGGGTGCAGCATATGGCACGGCGGCTTCAATGAGATTGAGAGGACCGAGAATGTTGGTTTCGAGACCTTTATGGACTTCAGGCGCCGAAGAGCCAAGGACGAAGCTGGGTTGGGGCAGAACGCCGGCGTTGCTGATCAGAACATCGATCTTGGCTCCCGTCTTCCTAGCGAAGCCGCCGATAGCAGCGGTCACACTGTCGCCTTTGCTGATGTCGGCAGTATCGAAGAGGGCATCGGTGGTGCCTTCGGGGTTGGCGGCGCTAATCTGCTTAGCGGCGGCCTCCAGCACTTCACGGCGGCGACCGAGGATGGCGATGATTTTCGCCCCGGCTTGAGCGTAGGCAGTGGAGATGGCAAGGCCGATGCCTATGCCGCCACCCGTAACCACGACGAATTTTCCGGCGGCACTGAGTTCAGGGCGAGAGGGAGAGATCTGGGCGTATTCCTTGGTGTGTTAATACACGTGTACGTTGTTATTTGCAACTAGACCTGTGTTTGCCAGCTCATATAAGCACACCCCAGGATTTTCTTGGCATAACTCTCTCAAGGGAACTCGGGGTTTCGCGGTTGAGGATAGTTTGGCTGCGGCGCGCAGTTTCATCTGCTGCACCTCATATACGGCACGTGGCGCATGATACTTGACGACGAGTTCAATATTCGTAGCAAATTACAATCGCGACTCAAACTTCAAGAGGAATCATGTAGATCTATGTACTTAGAAGACGCTATAGTTGCTAAGCTCCATGGTAAAAGTCTCATCCCGTTTCCTCAACGCATAGTGATTTAGCTCGAAACATGCGCTGCGAACCACCTGCAAGTGTTCGTTTTCCCGCATAGGCCCCCTGTTTGTCAGATCATCAATAAATTTTACAGCGTTATTGATAAGCTTGACATCCGTGGGCACCCGGTCGTCAAAAGGCCGAGACGCATTGTTTGCAGCCAGCAGTGTCGCTGCTGTTAAATACGAGCAAGTCGTCTCCCTATTATCCATGGTGCTTGATTAGCTTTTCTTATTTCTAAAGAAGCAAGAAAAAAAAAGGACAAGATAAGAGCGCCAGAGCAACGAGTAGCGAGCCGGCCCTGTTGGTACGGAACACCTACATTGACTTACCATATCAAACTATAGCCTCTAAGCGGGACCATCTCAAACAGAGCTACGAAATCGCGGGCATCGTGTACTAGAGGCTCCCGGCGAGAAGGCAGCCGCAACTGGCTAGACTGCTTGTAGTAGTTGCGCAGATTCTCCAACCACTTCTCGTTCCAGGCGTGTGCCTGGTTGATCGTGGTCGTGCAGGCGAAACTGGTAGCGTGCAAGACGCAGAAGAAGGAGAGCGACTCGGGAGACAATGTTTTGGGTGCCAAGATAGCACCGAACTCGGGCGGGATGGACAGCCTCCATTCGTCGAGCGCGTTGACAAGGCTCTCGAGTGCAAAGGCGCGCTTGTATGCGCTCCGTGTCTGAGCCCGCGCCGAGTAGAGGTAGTCGTAGATTCCTCCCTGTATGTTGGCGAACCGGATACGGGCCAGGAAGTAGTTCACCCTGGCGTTCCCAGACAGCGTAGTGACCACACCCACGCTTTCGTTATCTGCGTCGTCACCTGGATGATCACCAGGGTTCAGGGAATGGTGATGATCGGGGACGGGCGCGGGCATGTCAACGTCAATATCATCGTCGTTCTGGATGGATGGCTTGCGAGTGCGCATGCTCAGATCTTTGTCGAGGGTATACGCGATCTAGAAGACGTGCGAGTGCTGCCTGGCGACGTCGGGTTTAAGGTGGGCTGCGGCAGCACGAGTATGCAGTCCAAGCTCGTGAGCTAGACGCAGCACCGTGGCGATAAGGATCAGAGACGGCTTCAGGTCTTTGGATGCCTGGAGAAGCACAGTTATCGCCATGAGGACTTGGACATTGAGCAGCGCCGTGTCGCCAAGCATGACGGCTGAGATGACCGACTAGGCATTGTTGATATGCTCAGCTGCCTGATCGTCGTCACCCCGGAGACCAGAGTTCACCGTTAAGTTCTGCTTATAAGCCAAAGCCAAGACAGCATTGATGGCGGCCCACGATACTGGGTCTCGCTGATGCGGAAAGGCTTAGAAATCATGAACCAGTTTGAGTAAGGTCTTGAGCTAGAAGAGGGGCATCACCGTGTTGAAGGAATCCAGAAATATGTGGATCATGGGTATGACCTGGTGGAACGGGGGAGAGTCATGCTGGCCGAGCCCGTGCTAAACACGGGGTTGTCCTCCCCATCAACTTGGTATCCAGCTACGGTTGTGAAAGACGGCGTTGGCAAAGCTATTACGGAGGGTGCTATAATGGGCGTCGTCGTCACCGGGGGTTGTTGCTGCTGGACGTTCTGGCCAAGTCGCTGGGTCAGCTCGGCTACCTGGCCCTGTAGTTGCATGACAAAGGCATGCAAATTGGCCATATCGGGAGCGGTCGTCGAGGCGCTAGTGAAGGGCGATTGCTTCTTCAGCCGAGGCCGAGATGGGCGACTCGGAGCAGCGTATGTGCAATTTGTGGCGTAAGTAATGCAGTTAGAGCAGCGCAGCCGCTGGCGGTCGCATTTGATCCTACGCAAGTAACACTTGTCGCACGTCTTTTACCCAGGGGCTGCCCATTAGTATGGATTACGATGCAACGACTATACCGCTGCAGTACAAGGGAGCGCGAGTTCGAACGCCTCACCTTTCTCGGAGCCACCGGCACCTCCATTATTCCTCGGTGCGGTGACGTGCTTGCTGGTACAGTCTCCGAGGCCATGGCTATGCATACGCTAAGCTGGAGCGATAGTCTTGAATAGAGCGAACGCGGGCACTGCGCGTAAGGTGGTTGCAGTAGGTGGGACTGTATTCCAAGGAATTTTGGCGACGGAAGTGTTTTAGGCGGGCTCCCCCTTCAGATCGCCGAGCATTTGTAAACATCCAGGCTCCGCGGAACCAGCCATTACTAATATGGCCGCCAATGAAACAGCGACCTCGATGCCTCTGGCCGTAGCCCACCAGGAGGCAAGGATTTCGGGATTAAGTGGCCCGCCCATGCGTGACGCAAAGTCATCCGGTCTCGGCATCTTCGAATGCACTCCTGCCACCCTGCCACCCTATCAGTGCGCCCGGCAAACAGATACTTAAACCTACTTTACCTGACGATTAAGTCTTCATAACTGCCTGATATGCAATTCACATCCTTCTCTGTCTCTGTGCTACATTTAGCAAGCTCTCCGAATCGATAAGAGTCCGTATCTTGGCTCTTGATATTTTTTCACCTACACTGTCTTGTTAGTCGTTGAGATTTTTTATTTGGGGAATTTTTCTGCTTCCCGACACGCGCGCAGCAAGATATCCCATCTCAGACTCAGGCCGCCCAGCCTTGTGTGCTGCCCCCAGCTATTTACCGTCCTTGTAATAAGCGCTCAGCGAATATCACGGCTGAGCCAGGAGGGCTGAAGCTACGGACGGAAAAGGCAGCAAAGTCCATGCGAAACTTCTCCGTGCCGTTGCATATAAAACCTGGGCTTGGCAGCCTACTGGTTTCCGCATGTCAAGTTCAACCAACAAATTCCGAATGCCAAGTATGCCGCTCAGTTGAGCCGTACATGTACGCAAGTTCAGTAAATAGCCAACATGTTCATCAACCACGAGGCCTTCCTCCTTCCTCAGTGAGCGGGATCAACCACCTGAAGCGCCCACTCGCATGGTGGATCCTGGGGGTGCTATGCTTCTTCCTAGTATGGATAGACGTGATGATAGCCTTCTAGGCCGACTTTATCACGCCGACGGTCGGGCTAGGCTGCTGGTCGTTGGCCTTTTTTCCTACGGTTTCGTCAGCAGCGCGACATGTTTGCTCCAGTTCTGGGCGCGCGCGCAGGGTCCGCTGGCTCTCGCACATGTGCAATTTCGTGGCGATTCTGCTCATCTTGGCCATCCTCATACTGTTTGTGAGTTTTTCCCTGTCTTTATCTAGTCTTGGGTTTAGGCAAATATGCACGGAACAGCCAGACCCCTCGATAAACCGCTAATTCTCTGGGTTGCCAGAGCGCGAAACCTACCGGGGTTGCCGTGTGACAAGTAGCCAGGATATTGGTCTTCAATGGCTATATAATCTTAACCTTCTGAACTCGGGCATCCTTGAACAAGGCTAGGTCTAATTTTGACCGGCGCCACCTGGCCACTTGCTCCTCGTATGTTGGCTGTCCATCGTCAGATCCAGAGTGACGACTATCCGTTCCTCGCCTTTCTTCTCGTCTTCGTCTCTTTTCCCGTCTCCACTCTCGTCTCAGACGGGCGTCGGGGTTTGTTTCCACAATTCCTACACCCACACGCTCCCAGGCCGCTTTTTGCTTGGAACGTTCTAGCACAAGGAAATAGGTCGCTGTCATGATTGACGAAAAGAAAGAAGCAATCTTCAAGCAGCCATGCTCCACATCGTTCCAATATTTCTTGTGTGGACGGCATTTGCGGCACCAGTGATCTTGCAATGTCCAGCATCCATGCGCGGCGTCGCCGACCTTCAGCTGTATGGGTCGTGCGAAATCGCAGAACACATCCTCCATATGGCCGTTCGGCCCACGGACGAAGCTCCGCCTCCTGCTCCGCGCGTCCAGGGTGGATTGGCCTTGCGTATTTATTGGCAGCTCCGCTCTTGTCATCAGCACCACGGGGACTAAGGCTCCCTCTATCATCAGCTGCCCCGAGACAACGGCCCCAGTCTGGTCGCCCTCAATCCGTGGCTCGCAGAATGTCTCTGTGCCGTGCCAAACAATATGCGATTGTCGGTCTTTCAGTAGATCATATGTGACAGGGCTATCGATCGAAGCCCAGCTCCAGGTGGGGGCGCGGTACGGAGGGCGACCTCGCCCGGGTTCGGGCTTTCCGCGGGCCTCCGTGAAGTCTGCGGCACACCACAGAAGGTGCCAGGGAAGCGCAGAAGAAAATAGGCCAGCGAGATACCTAGAATTTACCATGGCGCCTTGACCGGGCGTCGTTTTCTTTATGCCGTTTCCTTATCAGCATGGCATTTTACCCGGACGGGAGAAGACGCTTACCTCTGCACCGCCCGCAAAGAGGCATTTTGCGAGTCCGGAAACGGCGACTAGCTTGTCAGATGTCCGGGAGAGGCTGCGCCTTGTATACTCCTCGACAAGTCGTAACCAGACGGCTTCTGGGAACTCTTCCTGCCAAACTGAGCCGCCCTGCAGGATATGCGTCTTGAGAAGCGTGGTATTCTCTTGGTCGCGTTCGACGTGCCCGCACTCACAAGTGCAGCTACCGACACACTCCCAGGCCATCTCCTTTTCCGTGTAGTGGATGATACGTTGCGGGAGCAGACTCTCCTGGAGCACCCAGCCGCGGCGCATTAGTGCCGAGGAGCGCTGGTCGTCAGCCGCCCTGGCCGCCCAGCTCCTCGGAGAGTTGTTCTGCCGCAAAAGCATCTTCGTTTGGCCCGGCTTTTGGCTATTTCTGGTGCCCCTAGGCCAGAGCGTGGTGGTGAATGTCCGCTGCCAATCGGGCTGCCCGTAGACCTGTTCACCCAGGAAGCCATCCCCGCACGAGGTGGCCCGGTGCGCCGCGATGGTTACATGCGAATTGATGTAGACGGCGTCCATCTGGGACGACTCGCGTCGCCAGTCGTCCTCGTCGTCTTGCACGATGCAGAGGGCATCTACCCAGAGGTAAGGGATACCGACGCCTCGGCAGACTAAGACGGCATCCGCGATGGACTTGGGCAAGGCGTCCAGCGGGATGCCGCGATAATGTGCCCCCACGGTCAGCTTTGTTGTCGTGACGATGCCTGTCAGGTCCCCGCCCCAGCAATAACTCAATGCCGCATACGGTACCGTGCTCTTGCGTGGTTGTGCCGTTCCGAGTTCGACGAGGCGAACGAAGTCTGGTGCTCCTTTGCCCACTTCCCCAGCTGAGCCAACATCTAGCAGTCGCTTAGGTATGAAGTTTCCGTCACCCGGTGTTCGACACATTGCATGGTGGGCGGAGCAATAGGCAAGCCAGGCTGCGACTCGCTCAAAGGCAGCGGTGGTGCCGGAGTGTGGCAGGATGCTGAGGCATGACGGAATTACGTCCTCCGAGAATGAGGCATTAGGATCGTCTAGAGGGGTGAATAAGCAAACAGAAGAAGAAACAGCAAAAAAAAAAAAAAGCAGGGGTAAGACAAATACCTGCTTCCCAGAAGATGTCAGGCCACCCTCCATTTACGCTGGGCACAAACAACCTCAGCCCAGCATCGCAAAGCGCGAGCGTCACTTTGGGGTTTTCCGCGCCGTGCTCCTTCAAGAAAGTAGGGCAACCACAGTCAATAGCGTCAAGGAGCATACCGCATCCAAGACAACCTTTTTCGCTCCGTTCCAACATGTCGGATACGGAGAGAGTTACGTCGCGGCTTCTCTTGAACGCGAGGTCTTGGCAAGCGGGACATGCTTCAGCATCGAGGGCCATGATCACGGATGATATGCGGTGCCACTAGATATAGCAGGTAATTCTCGATCCCGATTGATTTCAGCTGAAAGAACAGTGTCCTGTCGTGAGAGGCGTGCTGTTGCGCAGTCTGGGACTAATACATCCACGCTGCGAAAACTCGGGAAAAATGATCTCGTGGTTGCGGATAGCTTCGAATATTATGTGATGAACTTTTTGGGGCTTCAATGCTCTCAGCTGTCTCCCTCTGGGAGAGTTGGGGGCCGACTTTGCTTCACCCAAACGGGGGCAGTGGGAAACAAGAAAGAACTGACCAGAAGAAAAATGGGCAAAGGGCGGGGTAGCGCGCACTACCCGTGCCTCGCCCCGCCTTTTTTCGTTCAGGAGGGAGCCTTAGTCCCCGTGGTGCTAATGGCAAGAGCGGATAGAACTAGGCAAACATGCACGGAACAGCCAGACCCCCCGATAAACCGCCATGAACCCGTAAAAATAGCGGGGCGGGGCACGGGTAGTGGGCTTCCGACAGGCCTTGGCTGGCCCATTTGGTTGCCTACTGTCAGACTGCAACAGCACTTTTAGGATTGTGTTTTCAAGGGTGAATTGCTTGTATTGCCTCGTTCCAGTCCTTCCATAAAAGACTCTCTCTTATACTTCTTTATGTGGCAATTACATGACGAATCCCAGTGGCGAAGATTAAGCATCGTAGGTTCCAGCACCTTCTAGGCCATTCCATCTGACAGATTGTCGACATCGTCCTCCGCCAACAGAGAAATGCATTGGCAGGATATAGAACCACATAATCGATATTGATCGAGACCTCGCCGGAAGAGCTATCAAAACAGCCGAAAACACAGCCGTTTGGAAGCGCTCGAAGAGCTCTGCCTAACTGCACCCACTGCAACTGCGCGCAGGGCGCTGCGCGGCTGCATTCGGTGCGGGAGAGGAGGTACTTGATGTATGCGTATTGAAGTTCCGGATTTCATTACGCGGTATGCAACTTTATATGGGGCCAGGAGACATCTGCAATTTTAATGATTGAGCAAAACTTGATTGACAGAAATATAACAGAATGTGGCCCTAGCATCAGTCGTCACCATCCAAAAGAAAGACTCGTATTCGGCGGTTGTGCCCACCGTTGCCTCGTCCTAACCCGAGCCCTATTGACGGTCTAACAAAAAGCTTAAAAGAGAATTAAACGGAATAGACGACAAGTATTTAATCGTCACTGTCCAAATTGAGGTCCGTTTCCACGTGTCCCTGTCTCTGCCTGAACCCCGTGTCCCGTCCGAACTGATTCCCACCTTGGAACTCCTGCCCGCCAACGCTCGCACCCCAACCTCCCGATCCGTGGCGAGCCACTTGTCCAGACAACCCCAGCCCGGTATCCCGGGGGGAATGGGACAAGTTTCCGCCTCCGCTGCCGCCACCACCACCGGCAATGTAGTAATCAGGTCGCTCATACCTGTCCCCTTTGCCCCCCTGCGGCAGGCTGCCGGCACCTACAATATCCAGCATAGCCGGGGAGGCACCTCTCGGAGTCATGGAGTTGGGAGTTCGACCTAAGAATTGTGAGCTGCTATAGATATTCTGGGGATACGCGTTGTTGGTCTGAGACTGGTATCCTCGCAAGGACGAGTAGTTTGTAGGGTCTGGCCCGCTACCGTCGCCCGTATTTATATCTCCCATATCTTTGGTAGGAATTTGCCGCGGCGAGTTGGCTGGAGCAAACTTAGGCTGGGGCGGGTACATCTGACTAGGGTCATATCCCAGCATGTTGCCGCGAGTTGGGGGTGACCCGGCCTGGGCACCAAGGTTGGATAGGGAGCTGTTGCTGCGGTGGCGGTTACTTGAGCCCAGTGACCCGCGGTGTTGGTGATGGCCCTGAGGCATGTTGCCTCCGGGAGAGGGCATGTCATCTGCTTCGGCGAAATTGTGCTGCTGGTGTTGGTGATGGTTTGGATGTTGGTGTTGAAGATGTGGCCTCTGCTGCTGTTGAAGCCGCGACACTGGGAGGCCCCTTTGAGTTTCGGTCACATTGACAGTAACTGCCGTGACCTTTCCAGTGGCGCTAGGGTAAGCCTCATCGTTGCCCCCATTATCATCATCAGCAACCGTCGAAGGTGCGGCTGTGTAATGGGCTTCGCGGTATAGGGCCTGATTTTCCCTCGTCAAGGGGTCCTTGTGGTCATCGTCACGATAAAGGGCTTCGCGAGCAATGTCGGCGTTGGTACCACCCTGAATAGCATTGAGGTAGGTCTGGAACGCTTCGGTAATGCGGTGCATGGTGTGAAAGTGGTGAACGATGAGGGTCGGGACAGAAGCGCTGATCCCATCGCCTGGGTCCACCCTACTGCCAGCGTCCAGGTCAGCTGGCGCGTTCGCAAGTCTTGCTCGTGCAAGGCGCTCTTGCTCTTTGCTGTGGTCGTAGTAAGCCAGATTACGGGCAACCTGGAAGGCATTGCGGATCTGTCGACCATTCCAGCGCCCGGGTCCCCCTTGCCCGCCGCCCTCGTGATAAATATATCGGGCAAAGTCGACGAGCTCATTTTCGTTAACCCGCAAAGCACCGCGCTTCTGAACCTTAGCCAATGGCTTGTCGATTTCCTTGACACGTCGGATGTTATGCTTCCAGATGTCAATTGTTTGCTCCAGAGTGAGAGCGGGAAAATAGGCGGTGTAGTTCAGCCTCGAGATGAATGCTTCGTCAAGAACTCCGGGTCGGTTCGTGGTGAGAAAAAGAACCCCGTCATAATAATCGAGAACTCTCAGAAATACTGGCAAAGGTTAGTAACTTCAGATAAAGAAAAATAATAGAGAACTGATGAAGAACTCACCTGACACCAATGCGTTCCTGTTTGTGCTGTCCCCGCTCTTTGTCCGCGCTGCGAAAAAGGTATCGACCTCGTCCAGCAGCAGAATGCAATTGAAACAGGAGGCCAAGCGGAATATGTCGCGCAGAGACGTCTCAAGTTTCTCGGGCGTCATGCCCAAGTCGCCTGCTGTGATCTTAAAAAGGGGTTTGCCGTTGGCCTGGGCAATCGCTTCAGCTGTAGCTGTCTTGCCGACGCCGGGGACGCCATGGAGCAGGATGAAAAGGCCAGTGCCCTTGCCTTGGATCATGTCCATTGAGGACCAGTCTTGGTCGGGGTTGTTCTCGGCAGTCTCCTTTTGCAAGAAGTGCCCATGGATCGCTCCCTGCAAAGTGTCCTTGACATTCTGGAAGATCCTCAACGAATCCAGTGCAAGTGCCGTCTTGGGTGCCAAACGCAATTTGGCCACGGCAAGCTGGGCGAACTTGCGCTCCTGGAAGACGTAGGCAAAAACACGTCCGGTGAGCAGCACCTTCGCGTCGTCGTCCAGGTCCTTCTCCGTCGTTGGGTTTATGTGCCTATTGTTTTTGGCCATGGCTACGAGGAAGGGGTCGTGAGCCACAAATTGATTCCGCTCCTTTGCGGCAATACCACTCCTCACCGGTATCTGCTCCATCGTCTCTCCCAGGAGCTTGGCGCGGTTGCGTCCGGACCACCAACGGACGCGGAATTCCTCTTGGACGTCCAGAACTTCTACAGACTTCTGACGCATGGCTGCTCGCTGGGGCCGCCATGCTGGACACGCCTGAAACGCTTCCTTGAAGTCCACAATGACCTCACTGTTCACGTGGTCCGGCTGTTGCATTTCCTTGCCATCAACGTCAATGGTTGGGTCGCCGCTGGGACTTTGGATCAAGGTCCAGCCGTTGTAGGAGCAATGTTTGGCTCGTATAAACTCGAGCAACTGATTTCCCATGCCAAGGGCATGCTTCAGACGTGCCTCCCAATCCAGACAGAAGCGCATGGGGTAGACAGGGAGGGCACTGACGGGCCTTTCCCCCGTAAATTGATCGATCCGGATGCGCTTCTTGACGACGCAGAAATCCTCCCCAGAGTGGTCCACGTAATACATGCCAATGGTGAATGCATGGTCGTCGTTCACTAAAGCTGCGTCTCGCTTGTCCAAGTTGTCGGTGACGGCGGCCGAGGGCCGCTCAGGAACCGGGTCGATATAGTAGGTCTTCCATATGCGCTTGCCGGTGCGAAAGTCTCGCCGATCGGGGAGCTCACCATCGACCTGTTGGTACACGAACTCGCCCGTCCGGAACAGATACCACAGGTCGGAGAAGCGGACCCGGGCGGCGGACCTGACGTCCAGTTTTTCGAAGCGCCTGTAGTCTGGTATGATCTTATTGTCCATGTATGTCATGTATGCACGTAGACACCGCAAAGCCAGGGGCGAGTCTTCAAAATCGTCACCGTCTTCCTCTCCTCCATGCTCCTCATCCTCCTCCTCCTCCTCATCGCTAGACTCCTCGGTCTCGCCGTCCGAGTCTTTATCTGATGATTCGGTCTCGAATAAATCGTCGTCGGGGAGGTCGGATCCATACCTGCCCTCCAGCTCCTTCAACTCTTGCCGCATCCGCTCGTGCTGGTAGATCAGCGCATTGAAGGGTCGGTAGTATGTTCGCGGACGGTCTGTCAGGTTCTCCTTGCTTACTCTGCCAAGAATCCGGAGCAGGGCTGGCGACTGAATACGGATGCGCCGCGGCCACTTCTCCTCGGCTTGGGCTTCCTCGATGAGGTCGTTGAGCAAGTTCGCATTCTCAACCGCTTTCGCCTGCGTCTTTTCTTTGATGATGGCTGTCGCGAGCTTTGCCCCCCCGTCGGCGAACAACTTGTCGCGGAGCTTCACCTCTTCGGTGATCTCTTGGTTCATGAACTTGCCAGAGCAGAAGACGTCAAGGGCATAGCGGCCGTCCTTACCCCGAGGATGGAAGCGGTTTTTGAACTTGGCAAAAGTGCACTCGCGGACCTTGGGGATGGTTCGCTTATGGGACAAGACCATGTAATCCTGAGAGATGTCGGTGTCATCGGTCTGCGCATCGGTAAAGGCTGGCTGCACCGTCTGATCCGCGGCCGAGAAAGAGGTCCGTTGAAGGGCGCCAAGAGGCTTCTGGTTCTTGGCGTCCCAGTCGTTGATCTTGGCTCTATTGTACTTGACCTCTTCCTCGAGAATTTTGAGCTTGGCGTAGAGGTTGGTGATGTGCGTATCCTCGTAGCCGTCGTCTGACTTGGCGCTCGCCATGACGAGAGAATGGCGTTGAACTGGGTGGGATAGTGAGAAAGGTATAAGGAGGAGAAGTGATTGTATTTGGTGTTGAAATGACAAAAGATAGATAAGTCCGACGAGAGTCAGGGAGCGATACGCGTATGAAGCGGGGTTAAATGATAAAATTGAATCACCCCTAGACTGGGGGAGACAAAGAACACGCAGTTGATGAGGGTGGGTGGTTGAGATGCGCAGGCCAGAGTAGTTCGTACTCAGCATATGCAAGGCTCGCACGGGATGTGTTTTGAGCTTCACCGAAATAGGTTCAAAAGTGCGCCATCAGATAATGGTTGATAAGACGGATAAGTGGGATGATAATGCGAGCAAATCCACGACCACTAAGAGATACCGAATGGTTAGACGCTGCTACCCGGTGTGCCCCCCTCCCGTCGCGGAAAGCGCTTGACGATGATGTCGTGACTGCCTTACGAGACGCCCCGACAGCCTCACTTGACATAATTGGCTAGGCGAGCTCCTGCCTTGGTGAGTTCTGTCCATACCTTCCTGAAATGCTCTCCGCAATTGGTTCCCCAAGCCATTCTCTGCATAGGTTGGTCGAAGTGGGTGGGGGTGACGTGGCACTGCTGCATTTTCACTCCCACGCACGTTGGAGATGGAATTTTCAGAGCCTTTTTGCAACAACGATTTGTCTCGGCTCCTACTGACCCCTCCAAGAAAAAAAAAAACAGGATGCCTACTAGTACCTACTTTCCCTCCTTTGCCACTTCCGAGGCAGACTCAACATCGCCGATTTATCCCCGCTGAGCGATAAGGCTCGCAGCCTGAATGCAAAATGGCCACACAACAACAGCAGAAGGCGGCGCTGGTGGCAAGCTTCATCGACACCACTGCACCCAAGTTTCATCCACTATTTGCATCCCCTTCCGAGCTCAACATGTCAACCGTACAATATGAAGTCTCAAGCGTTCAAGACTTGCGAGAAACGCTGCAGTGCGAAAAGCTGATCTCTAAATTTGGAACTTTTACGAACGACTTGATCAGTTGCTCTTGGGATCATGTGCATGAAGAGTTACAAAAGGCCCGAGTCGCAGCTGCTGAGAGCGAAAGCCGCGGCGAGAGGTTTTTCAAAAACCCCGTGAGGTGGATCTGGCGAGGAATAGGAGCTACAGCGAGCGTTCTTGAACCAGGCTTGGCGGCTTTTCCTGACGAGTATGGCTTGAACGTGTTGAAGGGCGGGCTGGCTTTGATATTTAGTGTAAGTTTGCCACGTCTCGACAAAAGAAGCAGAAGCACTGACACGGCGGTAACGCAGCTAGCCCGGCACAGTGAGCTAAACAGACTCAAGATCCTTGCGGCTTTTGAGAGGCTGCCCAACATCGTTGAGATTGCTCGAAATAAGATGAAGGCATTTCCGTTGGACATCGGCAACTCAAAGAGTATTGAACTTCACCAAAAGATTCACAAGCTGCAGACAACACTCTTGGCTACTCTACCTTTGTTGATTGATAAGCTGGTTCCCGGCTCTTTCCGTATGTGACGAGCAACCGCACCGGCCCTCTCGGGCTGTTCGTTGTCATACACTCCGAGAACTCAAGGACTGACTAAGTTCACACAACAGGCAATGCGTGCAAGAAACCCTTTGCTGGATGGAAGATTGATCGCCTCCTTGACGAAGTGGCCGCATGCACTGAGTCAGTGAGGCAATGTTCTGAGGCCCTCGTCGAGGGCATCATCATCGGCACCTATGAGGGGACACAAGACATTAAGTCGATGATGATCCAGCTAATGGAACAGAACAGAATGATGCAGTTGCAGATTGATGCGGCTGCTGGCAAGACGCACCTACTCCACTTTCTGATAGAAGGGATGAGTATGTTTAAATCTTTTGAACCAAGAATGTGCTTTCCAGTTAACCAGGAACCCTCGCTTATTTCCAGATGCAAACTTCCTCATGGATGGCGACCGGGGTGACCTCTCCGAAGTGGGCTCGACTGCACTTCCAGGCCACACGCCCAACGACTTGCTTGTTATTATCGATGTCAGCCACCTCCGCGCTGGCGCCGACGCGGGTCATGTCTTGCACAGAGGCCCTGCGTTCGAAGTGACGGACAACGAGCGGGCAGCGTACATAATCCGGGCACCACAAGTCAAGGCGTTGCTCGGCGGAGCCAGCAGCCACAGCATAGTCGCCGTCGATGGCCACTTTGACCACACGCAGATGGGACAGATCAGCCCTCTATCGTACGTATGTGCCACACTCGCGCAGCTATTGAAGCAACAGTCCGAAAACACGAGCGTTGCTGCCATGAGCTCGCCTGTGTCGCCGCAATTCGACAAGAGACAGCCACCACCACCACCACCGGCACGAACCGTCGTGCTAGAATACTACTGCTCTCTCCACATTGGCGAGGACGACAACTTGCAGGGTCCCCAGGGCCTGATACGCTGTCTCACGGCACAACTTATTCTGTCACTTCTCGCTAACGGCTGGATGGGTCCTGACGAGGCAGTTTCTCTGCCGCACCTACGAGACCACGGGGAGGAGGAGCTTCTGGAGCAGCGGGACCTTAGCGCCGTGTACCGGCTCTTCATAGCACTCGTGCGCCTCGTTCCGCAAGGGGTGCCCATATACTGCATCATTGACGGGATATCCACCTATGAGCGCCAGGAGCTGTGGCAGGCCGACTACAACGACGTGCTAGGGACTCTTATTAAAGCTGCCTCTATCTCAAAAAGTCACGACGGCCGCCCAAGGTTGAGAATTATCTTGACTAGCCCGACAATGAGCCGTTGGCTGGGCAACTTCGTGCCCCCGGGGCAAAAGGTGTCGCTCCGCCATCGCGACGGGGGCGGTAGGAACTGGCGCGGCATGAGGGGCGGTTTGATGGGCGTGGCTAGAGCAGCGACCATGTCCAATACTGGGTTCGTGGGCGGCGGATTCCAGTCAGATGGATATGGACAGTTCTCGACGGGGGAGAGCCATAGCCGGAGAACGTCGACGTAGATATTTTCTTTTAGTCAGTTTACACATGAAGGGAGAGAAACTCTGTTCGCACAGCGAGGAGGGATTCAACATCAAACCTATCCCTTATTCAATTTCATTCTAGGATAGAGAAAGAGAGACACAATGTTTTCTAGGGCGCTAGGACTACTGTGTTGATAGTGACTTGTCGCAACTGAAGGAGATGGTCTGGGGCCTTCCATCCATGCGATCTACGACAAGCAACATGCACATCAAACGGAAGAAACATGTCCTAGGGAATAGCCATAGAAGGTCATTTACCTGCGAACTAAACATAAATTATCCCTGCAGGAAATCAATTAGATATCAATTATACATAGTGGTATATTGACTCTCCTTGAGTCTCCTTCGAACTCGCCTCAACGAAGCAGACGTATCAAAGGTCGCGCCCCCACTCCCAAAAAAAAAAAAAAAAAAAAAGAAAACACTGGTTCGTCGCACTAGCTATCTCAGCCTCTTCTCAGAACACAAACATACCACCCTATGCACATAAGGGCTTTTTTCTCATCAGCCCCCTCTAAAACCCTGCAGCTATGATAGCCCGGTAACTCACTCGATTCTGAGATAATCTTGGGGTGCATCTGGGCACACGTCAAGGTGGTGTCTGTGCAGTTGGTGCTCGACAACCACAGCCCCGAGTTGCAAGAGAGACTATCCTTGCGGCCCCGGCCGTTGAGGCACAACTCCTTGGTGATGGGGTCTACGGCGCCCGTAGGGTGGGCGAAATATTATCGCTGGGCAACGATAAATATCGCTTATCGCCGATAATCGTGCGATAACGTGCGTTATAAGCGAGCCGGACATATAAGCGAGCCGGACATATTTTGAACGCCCTGACCGCGGAAGATGTGTTGCGCAGCTGGACGGTTGCCCATAGACGAGTCGAGTCCATGCTGACCGGCGGCTGCTGTCGTCGTGGAAGGCTGCGGCAGGTCCACATACGAAAGGAGCTCCTTAGCGCACCCGGCAGCCGCAGCCGCAGTATAATGCTGCCAGGCGTCGTTCTTGTGTGAGTCTGCGTAATCCGAGACGCCCCGGACGGCGATGCACGAGTACTGGGTCGCCATGCCCGCCGCCTCCATCTCGAAACACAGGACATCGCCAACCACCCTCCCATCCATTTCGGCCGCGTTCGGGGCGCTCCGCATGACCTGGTCTCCAGACGCAATAAGCCCATAATGAATCTTGGGGATCGGTTCACGCAGCGGACGCTGGACCCGTTTTGTCTTGTCACAGAGCTGACAGGTGGCTTGGTTGGGGACATGACGATATTCCAACTGGAAGAGCTCATCCGGCTCTACATATGGACTATCGGCATGAGGCTGAGTGCCGACGCCTCCGACGACAAGATCAACAAGGCCGTCGACCGCGCATTGGAACCGATGCAGGCCTAGCTCGACGTCGCGAACGCGTGGCTCAGCAAGGCGAGCGCGGTGGTGCATAAGCTCAGGAAGGCGGTCAAGGCCGCAGCCCTTTCTCTTTAGCCTCTCCCGTGGCACTGTCGAGGCAGCTCTTCGGCTTGCCACAGTGTTGCTACGAGCGCAGCGAGGCTAGGGGGTCTGGGGGCTTGCCCCTAGGAAGAGTAGACGCTGTAGTGTCGGCGATCTGGAGATGCTGCGGCGGCTGCGAATGGACTGTCTTGCTTCACCTTCGAGTTGATATCAAGACTCCTAAGATACCTTGCCTCCCGAATCCGGTCCCTAGACATCTTATTGCCATCGGATCTTTTGTGTGCCATTGCGTTTATGTGAAGCCATGGTGGCAAAGGGCGCCATCTCATCGTTAGCTCGAAGCATAAAATAGGGGGTTATACCGTACGAATTGAGCGAGAAAACAAGCAACGGCAGCTGGCTACTTCAACTCGGCCAAGAAGCAGCGAGCCCGCCGGGCCGCATAAGCCGGCCACATTTCATCATATTAAGCTCTGCTGAGGGACTCGGCAGCTTATTGGCTTGATCGGGTATTACGGGTGGTCCGCATGCTCTAGACCTTTATTGGGGACGAGATGGGTGATTTCTGCAGAACTTTTCCTCCGAGCCTCATTTGACTTGCCGTTGTCGTACAGAGTAGCTTATAGATGCAAATTTAGATTGCAGATATGCGTTTATACTGCAGTTAGTTTCTCACCTATACTGCAATTGGTTGTGCACCACACCTTGAAGTGGAATGTGTGCGGCTGCACGGGTTGAGTCGCGCTGAGCCTCCTGTGACTTAATCTCACACAGCCCTAATGTGCGGGGTATTTGGTGGGAAGAAGCAACTTCCCACCAACCCGTCGAGTCCCAGAATACTTCAGAGTTCCAAATAGCGTATCGTGCGCAGTCCCAGGGCCCTCAGGAGCTTCGGAATTCCCTGTAAAATTCAATAATAAGCAGGGAACGAGACGAGGAGAAATAGTTCGTGTACTGAGCAATATGGCTCCTGAGGACGGGAGTCTAGAAGAGGGGACGCCATGTCAAGATCACCACCAAGGGAGATGTATCTAGGGAGGGGAGTACTAACCGCGCAGGGCGTACGCCGTTCGGGCCAGGCCTCAGGCGCAGTTACGACGCTAGTGTGTTGCTAGTCACCCCTCTTTCTAGTGTAGGATCAGATATATAGGGTAGCAGGCGGGAGTATTCGGAGGAGCAGCGTAGAATTCAGTAGTTTTTCAATCCCATTCACTATTCGCGCATCTTCCGCGCAGCGTCTACACCGCGCACCCGCTGCCCGCATCTTGCCATTCTACCTTTCTCCTAGTGAGGCCATTGATAGTTGTCCACATGGCTATCGTCGTCCCACGAGGGATTAAGGCATAGAGAGAATGGCAAGCTTGTTGTCAGCTGGTTGAATTGGCTGGGTAGGGTGTTTGGGGGTCCCTTATTAGCCAGATTCAGACAGTGGCAGCTAGCAGATGTAGGAGACGCAATCACGGCTATTTGAACGGTTGCCCAGAAACATCAAGGAACTATCACGAGATTCAGCTTGCAGTAATAGGACTAGCTTCAAGCCGAGGGAGTGTTCAGATTTGTATTAGTTAGAGCGTGCTCCGAATGAGATGTCCCGATGTAAAGCCGACCACCTAAATTAGGTTGCAATTCTTGCAGCCTAACCTCCCAGACAGAGACACAGACAATTGACTGCTTTGACTCCCCTTGGTCGGACAAATGTTCGACTCCTCTAAAATCCAGCAGGGCCCTCATCTCTCTTTCATAGCTGTCCGAAACCTTCCTAAGGTGCTCATCCTCTGTCTGGACATCTGACAGTGTAGCCCCGTTCTCAATCTTATGATTGTCGTTGCTTTCGTCGAGTGACGGTGTAGTAGGCTGGGGTCTCTCAATCATTGAGTCCCACAATGATGAATCATCCCCGTTATATCCCTTCGCTCTGTCTAGCATCTTGTCAAAAAGCGCTTCAAGCTCCAGACCCTGCTTCTGCGCCTCTTTAACCTCTTTAATGATCCCTTCCATCTGAAAAACCTTTTGCTTGCGTGCCCAGCCTAGCAGAGTATTCCCATGATTGTCGACAATATCGGGCTGCGCCCCAGCTCGTAGCAGCATGATGACGATAGACAGCTTTGCAGAAGCTACTTCATAGTCGAAATGATTGTTGCACGCACAGAATAGTGGTGTTCGTCCCTGCTTGTTCGCCTTATTGACGTCCACGGCGCCAGACTCCAATAACATACGGACCATTTCTGTTTTCCTGTGACGAACGGCCATCATCAGAGGCGATGATCCCCAGTAATCTGCTGTATCCAGCAGGGTCTGGTGTTGCAGTAAAGGCTCTAGACTCTCAGCATTGTATCCAGAAACGACAGTGCGGCGAAGGTCCGCGGTTAAGCTCCACTCGGTCTTCAAGGAGACAAGGCGCTCTTCCTCGTACAGTGGTCTCAAGATTCTCCGATTGCCGGACGAGGCGTCCGTAAGACAAACTTCATCGCAGATGGCCGACTCGACGTCACAGCGCCTGCTTCTTAATAAAAGGTTCATGAGCTGGAGCGCCCACTCCTCGGAGGCGGCGCGGTCGTTCTCGGTATAATCATTATCCTTGTCGTCTGCTGTGGGCGGCGTCCTCCAGGGATTCGGGGGAAACTGGTTGAGACAGTAAGTGGCGACCGCCGCCCTGAGGAAATCCTTTGTGATACGCAAGGCGTCTGGCCAGTGCTCGAAGACTATAGCCAGCACTTCGACTTCCTTGTATAGCGCAGCCCGGATGCCGAACTCGTCGGTCAAGCGAATGTCGCGGTCACCCGTTCGAGAAGATATGGTGTTGGCATCTTGCAGGACCTCGCGTTTCCAACTCGAAAGCGGCGGCTCCAACAGGTTAGAAAGATGCCGGTACTCAGTTTCCGTGTCTTCCACCTGAATTTGACGCAGTACATTCGCCACTCCCGCGGATTGTCTCGAATTGGCCTCCTGAAACACTCGGTCCGAAACGGAAATCTTGTTCCCAATTCCAGTAACAAGCAGGAGCCACAAAACGCAACGGTTGTTGAGCGTTTTCTTCCACCGCTCCATTTCCGGGCTCTTCTCGCCATAATACAGCATCACCATTCCTCCGTGTTCTTCTGCTGGTGGCCCGCATACAAGATGAAAGACGCACTTCTCACTACCGAGAATTACGTCACTGCGGGTTTCAACAAGGAAAATAGCCAGTGCGGCATTACTAGCTAGGACTGCTGCCACGAACACATCTTCCGTCTTGATCCGCCGTGGAGAGGCCTTAACCACGAGGGTATTGAAGGAATCTACTCCCAACCATTGACCTGCCCAACGGGTGACCTCGTCGTCCACAACACCACTCAGATCGTGGCATTCGCGGAGCAGCTGCGATATTGCCGTCTCTCCAATGTTTGGGAGCCGTTATTTCCATTTTCGACCGTTGGAACGTGGCAAAAGCTGACTGTAATCTTCGGTGTAATAACTCCAACCGACAGTAATCTTCACGACGCTCAGGAAGGTGTCGGTCCAGCTGCAGTCTTGCCGCGACTCTAACGCGTATAGCAAAACAGCGGGGTCGAAAGACACCTGACAGGTAAGCAGCATGGCCTAACCTTCGGGATCGAACTCGACAGCCTCGCTCCGCACAAGAACTCGTAGCACTTCAGATAGTTTATCAGAGGCGCTCTGCTGCACTTCAACCATATATTCGAAATCAGGTAGTATATATTCGAAATCAGGGTTGTTGCGGTATAAGCGCGGGTCGTTGTAGTAGCGTATTAGGGAACTTGAAAAGCTCGCGTCAACCACTAGCCTAGTCAGTTTGCGGTCTTCATTTCCCTTCGACATCTCTAAGAGGTAACGAAGTATGGGAACGGGCTCTTTATTATCCAACGCGGCGAGGTATAGCGCTTGCGTCTTTGGCAGGTCCCAATGGGAGTCGTAATAATAGCGCACCATAGGCTGGTCGAAACGCCGGACCATCTCGCAGACGGCGTCGTCCGTGAAGATAACGCTGGCGCGCCGTACGAGGGTGAGCAAGAGCGCATAGCCCTGCGGCCCCCTCCCCGCGGCATCAACCACCTGGGCAACGTCAACGCCCTTGTCGGGGACGTCAATCTTGGATTTGCACAGCCAATCGATATTGGCCGCCATCGCGATGTCCCAGGGCCCCTTAGCATTTTCGAGACCGGCCAGGAGGCCGGCCACCCTCGCCCAGCGGCGTAGGACCTGCGATCTGGGCGCCGTGACGCGGGCGATGAGCTCGCCGAGGCTGCCGATGCCGCTATCCGGGTCGCTCTCGATGTGGCGGTGCCAGTTCCACGCGGCGTACCGGAGGAACCCCAGGCGTCCGTCGTTAGCCGGGTCCGCCTCCGAGTCAGGAAAACAGAGAAAGAGCATGCAGACCTTAGCCAGGTAGAGATTAGGCTGCAGGCCGCGGCAGAACTCGGCGCTGGCCAGATGGCTACTGCTCACCAGAAACTCCTTCACCGACTGGTGAGCCAGGTGGACTTGATTGTCGTCGCTGATATTAACGATGACGCCGATGGCACCCGAGAGGCTGTTCCTATTCTTGCGGAGGGGGAGGCGGTGCTCGAGGGTGGACTCTATGGATGCCGATTCGTGCTGGACCGAGATGGCCTCTTCCAGCTCGACGAGGGTGAGCGGTCGCTGCCAGTAGACGGCCCAGAGCAAGAGCTTCTTGGGAATGTTCCCGTCTTGCTGCATTATATCCGTGACGATGCTGTCATAGAACTTGCCGAGTTGGGAGGGGCTCTCGGATATGATGACCCCGATCTCGGCCGTGGTCAGCATGGCTGCCGCTTTGAGTCGCCTGACCACCAACGAGATCCATAAGAAGGTCTGTCCGGAGCGGCCGATCAGCATGTCGACCGCCGTAGTATGTTGCTCGTCATCTCGCTGATCGCGGAGAAAAGCAAGCTCGTGGTGGACGAAAGCCTGCAGATCGTGGGGATTGGCGGCGAGGCCGATGGTCGTACACTTCTGGAGCTGGCGGTCAAGGTCTACGGTGGGTCTGCTAACCATTAGAGTCTTTAGGATAGGCGACGGCGGCGACTTGGCCCCCGATGATGCTGTCAGCCTCCGGAGGAACTTAATGAGATCTTCCCGCTGGCTGATGTCCGGAAATTCGTCGAGGCCGTCGATGACGCAGAATACCTTCTCAAGCATGGGGGTCGTTAGAAGCAGCTCTAGAACACCCCAGAAACCTACCTCGTTGATTTGTGAGCCGTCAAGATCGACCTTTTCCGAGGTGGTACGAAAGGTCTCTACATCTCTCGCGGATAGCAGTTGGCGTATGAGAGCTCGCAGTGCTGATCCGATGGTCCGCAGAGAACCGTCCTGCTCGTAGAAGAAGAAGTAGATGACGGTGGTGCCGTTGGCTTTGGCGAACGCGGTCTCGAGGTGGTCGAGAAGAAACTTGGCGAGGATGGTCTTGCCCTGGCCGGCAGAGCCCTGAATCCAGAGAAGCGACGATGCCTCGCTCTGCTTCCAGGACGCAAACTCGGGCTTTTCCAAGAACCAGCCGAGCGTGTTTGGCGCGGGATCAGCGATCTTGTACTTGCGAAAGGCGGCGTAGTCTAGAGCTTGAAGTAATCGGATGTATTCTCTCTCCTTCTCCGATAAACCTGTGACCCGAATCAGAGATGTGTTTGTATACTACAGCTTAGCCCCTCATGGTGTCTTACGCCTTCGGTGCTCTGCCAGGCGGTTTGCAATGATTTCCGGACCGAGAGCTACCAGCTTGCGAACCCTCTCTGCAACCACTACATAGTATGGGTTCGAAGGATTATCAAATTTGACAATTTCAGAGTGATCTGCGTCAATCGACAGCTGATCGTAGTTTTTCTCATTGGGCCCTGCGTGCGTGGCAGACGTATGTTCGACCAGCATGCGAAACTTGTTTGTTTTCTCGAATGACCCCGTCTTCCCCGAATACTTGAATCAGAACCGTCACGTCAGCGTTTTGGAAATGGCCCAAAGGCGATAACCAAGATAGAACAAGCATACTTCGATTGTGGCAGTTTCCTTGGTTTCTGTTGGCTTCACCAGGGTACCGGTACTGGACTCAACAGGGCGTGGCTGCACGCCGAAAACTGGTGGTTCAAGTGATGGATTGTAGATGTTTGTTCTTCTCTCTAGCTTTCTGGCAGTGCCAGAAAGCCCGTTCTTATACTACTATTGTGGTGGCGAAGTGGGTGGCGAAGTCTCTATCTAGAACCTTCGAGGCCCTTCTGCTTGACAAATTCCAACACTGGCAGTTTTCTCTTTTGAGGCTGGAAAGCTGCCCTTATATAACTGCTACTATCTACACCCCCGGGATCACTGCTTCCACCCGGGTCTTCCTTACCGGGAGACCCACCCTTCCATACGGACCGTAAGGCTATTACCGTCGATGAACCGTTCTAGGGCCCGGTTCGGTACTACCTTGGTCAGGGCGTCGGCGGGGTTATCGTCGCTGTGGATCCACATGACCTCGTGTAGCTCACGGCGCTCGTACGACTGCCGTAGGGCCATAATGTCGATCATTAGCCTCTTCTCTTTCATTGTCCCTAGCTTGACAAGGCATTCGTATAGCGAGTATGAGTCTGTACAGACGACCGTAGGGACTGTTGGTAGATTGAGGTGCGTAGTGACGACTTGAATCGTAGAAGCTAGTGCGTAGGCCATATCCACTCCTGCCACCATGCCGTAGACTTCGGAAGCGAGTATACTACGTGTGACTCGCTTGCTCTTAGTACTGGAGAAGTGGATGATATTACCACGAATGGTGAATTGAGTATCGATTGTGGTCTCGTTGGCTAGAATGATTACGAAGCCGAGTTGTGATGTGAGGTCACGGTTATTAGCGAAGGATCCGTCGACGAAGACGAAGAGCTTTGCGTTAGGTAGGTCTAGGGGGATAAATGCTAGACCTCGGTCCTGGTTATCAACCTGCCACTTAATACGTTGGTTGAGGGCCTTAAAGTCATCTAGCGTAGGCTCTTGGTGTTGCGCTGCGGTTGATAGGTCGAAGCAGGCTTCAGGTTGACAGATGGAAGCAATATACGCGCCGCGGGCTCGCTGCTCGACGTATTGTTGCTTGGCGTCAACTGCATTGTAGCTAATAGGTCGTAGCCTACCGGCCTGGCCTTTCTGCCGTAGGGTGATCGTATCGTTGGTAAGCGTAGCGATCCCGCCGTTGAATGCTAGTGGTTCCTTGGAAGTCAGGATCTACTTAGGCTTTGCACTGAATGCGGCCTCTTTCAGTTGTTCTTCCTCAACACGGGAAAAAGCCTTAGTTGACAGGCCGATCGTATCGTCGGTTTGCATCCCGATGCAGGCAAATTCCGGGTTCTCCGTATTGGAAATTAACAAGCAGGGGTCGTACGTAGATGTCATCATCTGGAGCCTTTCTAAGTGATGCTTATGATAGGTAGCCCACCAGTGGGTCCCTGCCTCAGCCAGGCCGTATAACGGCTTGATTACTCGCATTACGGTGCCTTCGGGGTACTGGTCCTGAATCTGCTTAGGTAGGTAGGCTAGGATTTCGCGGTTGAGGTTGGTTCCTGATTGAACGTAGGCCTGCGTAATGTCCCGTAGCCAGATAACCATACTGCGTTGCATGAGCGAAGGAGCTAGTGCCAGTATAAGGCGTTGGCTAGCCCGTTGGATCGTTGGCAACTGGGTTAGAATAGACTCCTTCCCGTCGTCTGCGTAGCTTGGATAACGAGGCGGGATTCTTCGTAGGGCGTTGTGGTATTCTTGCCCTTGACTTCGTTAACGATGCGGGACTTGAAGATGCGTAGGCCTCGGTTGTGGCCTTGCTTGACGAATTCGAATACTCCCCGAGCGATTAGACTGTCGATCTCGTATTGGGTAGACTCTTCGAATGGTGCGCCTGGCGTGGTGATCTTGCCCTCGGTACGTAGTCGTACCGCTAGTACGGCGTCGGCCTGTTCCTTGTTTGTTATAAAGCTCTCAGGGGTTCCGGTTTCCTGAAGGAAGGTGTCTTGGGGCGAGGCTTTACGGGGTCGACCGCGGCGTCGTGGTCTGACAATGATCATGTCCTCTGCTTCGCTTTCCGGGGCTAGGCCAGCTTCCGATGCCGTTGTGGTTGGTATAACCGGTATAGCCTGCGAAGCTGGTGCGGTCGGTGTAGCTGGTGAAGTTGGTACGGCCGTCGGGTCTTCGTAGTAGGGCTTAACTACGGTTGATCGGAAGATGCGCGGGCCGTTATTAATTTCCAGGGTACAGGTTTCTCCGTCAACTGCAATCAGTTTGAGGGGTCCTTGCCAACCGGCTTTTTTGCGCCATACACGGACTAGAGAGTTAACCGGTAGTTGAGTGGTTCGTACGGTGTTTGGGCCGTTGCGCGTTGCGAGGGCGCCGTTGACTTGTCGTACGGCCTGTAGCCGTTTGACTGCGTCGGTGGCTTTCTTGACTGCTAGGGCACGTTGTTTGATCGTAGGGGATGGTGCCGAATCTTCGGTCAGCCGGGGGTAGGCGCCGAAGACTAGGAGCGTGGGTATAACGCCGTCCGGGCCGGCCGTATCGTTGACTGCTTTGACGGCCATTTGTAACGAAGCTTCCGGGCTTGCTTCGGGGTCCTCGGCCCTGAAGATGTTATATGCCCGGCGTAGTGGTGTGTGGTATCGTTCAACCTTGCCAATACTGTTGTGGGCTTCAACGGGTATTTCTTTGATCGAGATCCCCATCTCCTTAGCCGACTGCCGGAACTCGGTAGATCGGAACGAAGTGCCGGCATCGGTAACTAGCCAGTCGAGGGGTCCTTGGTATACATTGATCCAGCAGAGGCAGAGGGCTTCCCATACGGTCTTTGACGATATATCCTTGAGGAAGCAGGCCGCTGAGAAGGCCGTAGCCGTATCGACGATGTGGAGGACAGGACGGCTATCGATATATAGTATATCGACGATAACCTCGTAGTTGAACTCGCAGTCGTCGTGGAGGGTGAATTTGAACCGGGCTGGGCGGCCAGCGTTCATTTGGCACTGGTGGCATACCCGGCTAAGGAACTCAAGGGCTCCGATTTCCACAGGGTGCCCAGCCGTCTTCAAGACTTTATGTAGGCGGGCGACCGACGGGTGGCCGAATCGGCGGTGGAGCCGGCGTAGCTCTGTGTCGGTAAGGTAGTTATATGCGAGGGTCTTCTCTTTGGTTAGTTGGAGCCAGGGGTGCCCCCACTTCCGTACGACGGGGACGGTTAGGTTACCCTGCCGTAGTTGGTTATGTAGGTTGTCGAATTTCAAGCCCAAGCGATCCATATCCTGAAGGCATAGCAGGAACGGTGTGTTTGCGGGGACTACGTGGAAGTCAACCGAGCCGAAGGGGGTAGGTACGGTGATAGTGCCCAAGGGGGTGAGGGTGCCGCCCTGGCCGAATTTGATCGCGGCCTCCGTAGTTGGCGGTCCGAGCTGTAGTGACGGTAGCTCCCTTTGTAGGGCACGGAACTGTGGGTGCCCGGCCGTTGAAAAACCGGACGCCCCTGTGTCGGGCATGATGCCGTGGAACTCCGTAGCTGAGTAACGGCCTTCGAGGGTGAAGATCGAAGCGGGTTGGTGGTCCTGATCCTCGGCCTGTAGGAATGGGTCTTCTTTGGTTAGGCCGTGGCGAACTGACCTATCGGCAAGTAAGGTAACGATGGCGTTGCCGTCGGTTGGCATGTAATCGTTAAAGAAGGTACTTTGGAATCCCTCTTCCTCACTACCTTCGGACTGGTCGTCTTCGTGGGCCTGTAGGAACTGCGAGATGTTGTCGTCTTCGTCGTTATCGTCAAAGCTTTGGGTTCCTTCGTACCAGGCTAGGAATTGGGCGTATGTAGCCGACGGTTGGCTACTCTGTATATGCTTGTTACCCTTGAAGCGGTCGTAGGCCTGGCGTCTTTCTTCCGTCGTGTGGGTTGTCGACCAGCAGCCGGGCTTGCCGCATACGTAGCACTTTTTACCGGGCGAGGGTCCTCGGGCCGGGAAGGTACGTCGTGGTTTTCCCTGGTCCTTACGCCCGAAGCGAGCCTCTCGGCCGTTGCTAACTGCCGACCGGAGCTGGCTGCGTACGCCTTCGTAGGTTGCAGCCGGGTTGTACAGACAGAGTGTACATTCAGGGATCCCACGGCAGGCGTTGAGGACTTGTATGCGGAGTAGTTCTTCTGACTGATTGATGGTCGGGAGGGTACGTTGAAGCTTGGTAAGCTTATTGAGTAAGAGTTCGAGGCACTCGGTCCTTAGTTTCCCTGGGTTCTCGTCGATGACCTTACGTAGCGTTGTGTTGCCCCACTCTAGTAGGCGTAGCTGGTTGCTTTCTTCGCTTTCGAATTGGGCCTTAGTCTGGGCGATCAACGTAGCGAAGTCGTATTTACGCCCACAGAGCCGGTCGTAGTAGTAGGTCAGGGCGCGGCTCTTGAGCATAGCGGGGAAGGCTACGTCGTACTGGCCCTGGGTAATACCCAGTCGTTGGCAGCAGTCCTGGAAGATCACTAGCTTAGAAGCGAATACATCGTATGTATCGCCGCCGTATTTCATCTCGTCGTTGTAGAGCTTAGCCAGGTCTGTAAGCTGCTTCGCGTTCGGGGGCCCTTGTGGTACGGGTGGGTACTCGAACTGGAGTCTAGATCGAGGGTACTGGAAGTCCTGGTGAGGGCCATCTGTAGGACTGCGTTGCTGGGGGTACTGGGGTCCTTGGTGAGGGCCGTTTGTAGGACTGCGTTGCTGGGGGTACTGGGGTCCTTGAGGTGGTTCCTGAGGTGAAAATGTCGTAGGGGGTTTTTCGGGCTCCTCTATATCGTCGTCGGGCTCTTGGATCTCCCGGAGGAAGTCAGGGTCTAGGGTATTTAATTTGAAGGCCTTGTTCCGTCCTTTCTCGTACTTGACGTCCGCTTCAGACCATCTGTGGAACTCCTTCGCTGTTGCTGCTCGTTGGAGGTTATTGTGGATCCTGTCACCATCCATAGTAACGAAGACTCCGTTACCCCGGAGCCAGTTACGTAGGGTAGTCTGTGTTCGACCCGGGATCTTCGCCCAGGCGGCTTCATCCCAGTGCTCGAATTCCTCAGTAAACTGTACCCATGCGTATCTTCCTTTTAGGGGGTTTTCCTGCCTGGAGCGTAGCAGGAAGTGGATGTGCCCATTGATCTGCTCATTTGTTGGCGACGGGAGTCGATCGAACGCGCTTAGCCGGCCTCAAGTTAGAGGGTCTACCTCCCCTTGAAGGTCGGGAGGGACCGAGGGTCCGAGGGTAGGGCTGCTGAGGGGTTCTGAGCGCGCTGGTTGGCTAGGCGTAGAGGTCGGGGACATAATAACGTCGTTCTCTGTGCCCGTGGCCATCTTAGGCGTGTACGAACGAGCCGTTGGCTGGCCTGGAAGGTCGGAAAGGGCTGCTGGCTGGCCTGGAACGTAGGGATGGGCTGTTGACTGGCTTGGAAAGCTGGGAGTCGAAGGAAAGTGCTGGAAAGCGAGAGAATGCGAAAGAATGTTGAGAAGGGCCGAAAAATGAAGGAATGTTGAAAAGAAAGACCGAAGACTTGAAGCCGGATGGATTATGGTAGAATGGAATGGTTGAAGGTCGAAAAGAATGAATGAAGGTAAAAGAATAAGGATTCAACACGTAGGTCGTTGTTGGCCTGGAAGGTCGTCTTTCAGGGTTTGTTGCGTGGTAGACGCTCTACGGCTAGGTGACGCCAGGGAGACGGTCACGGCCACTTCTTCCGTAGATTCGAAGGTCCTTGGGCTGCGGTTGAGATTCGAGGCACGAATGCTCCGTTATACCGTCTCTTCCGTAGTTAGGGAGACCTTCCTTAGCACAGGTTCGTAGAGAGGGCCGGCCTTCGGGTCCGACCGTTCTCTACGGCGCTGTCTCTTCTGTTGCTCCTTACTGATCTGTGGCGGAGGACTGTTGTCCCAACAGTGGTGAGTTAACCACTGATCAGTGTTGGATTCACCAGGGTACTGGTACTGGACTCAACAGGGCGTGGCTGCACGCCGAAAACTGGTGGTTCAAGTGATGGATTGTAGATGTCTGTTCTTCTCTCTAGCTTTCTGGCAGTGCCAGAAAGCCCGTTCTTATACTACTATTGTGGTGGCAAAGTGGGTGGCGAAGTCTCTATCTAGAACCTTCGAGGCCCTTCTGCTTGACAAATTCCAACAAGAATGTTAGCGAACCCGTAGCCCGAAATGCTTTTTTTTCCAACATTGAACTGACCTTGACCTGCTTCCTACATCATAAGTGGTGCAGTTATCGAATAGTTGGGCCAAGACCTGGGCCACCCTAGGTCGCTCTATGGGTAGTGTCTTGAGCGTCGATTGCACGAGACGAAGGACGAAAGGCAAAGCTTCCCGTTCTCTCTCGAGCGTCCACTCGAGCAACTTGCACAACTCGTTGCTGAGGCTATTCTCCTCGTTATCGCGCCTGAGCTTCCACAGTTTTAAAGCGACTAGTCTTTCCGGCTCGAATTTGGCGCAAGTCGTTCAAGGCACCATATAGATACAGCGGGATCCAGAGCCAGGCCCTGGTTCGTGGAGGTCCTCATCCACAAGCTTGCGGGTACAAGACCAAATGCATACACATCAGCCAGTGTCCAGTCAATGTTTTCATCCCCGAGAAGGCTCTCGGGACTGTCCCAAAGCTCCGTATGGTGTCGAGGTCTGGCTGTTGCATCCGCAACCAACACCGACCCACCAAAGTCGGCCAGCTTGGCGACGATACGTCGGGTAGGGTGAAGAAATACCAGCATGCTCTCGCATTTCAGGTCGCCGTGCGCAATACCGCACGAATGCAGAGCACGCAGGCCTAGTGCCATGTCCACCGTAAGGTGCTCCCTGTCTGCAACGGACGGCCCAGGTCCAAGACAGCGCAAGACAAAGTCCAGCGAGCCATGCTCGGCGAGCTCTAGGCCGAGAATCGGCATCTTTGTGTCGGTCAAGTAGCCTAGAAATAAAATGGCCGTGATGTTCTCGTGCTGCCGGAGGGTACTGTGGCAGAGAATGTGTATCTCCTGCGAGAGGACCTCGTAGGCGGCAGATTGGGCCTCTCCATGTAGGCCTCCAGCATCATTGCCATCAGGGCTGGATGGGCGCAGATAGTAAAGCTTGAGGGCAACAACTGTGTTCTGAGCGATCGCCTTCGAACCGTAGCTGACTGCGCTTTCGAGCTTGTGGTGCACGGCAACACAAGTGAGGCCGTCTCCGATCTAGTAAGGAGTTGTTTCGCCGTCGTCCAGCCCTGTTCTCACGCCCACCGAGTCAAGGTGAGCTGCCGGGATGTCCAACTTGACCGTCAGATTGACAATGTCTAGGAACCCAGCGCTGGACTTGGGTTGAGATGCATGTAGTGGTTCACTTGCTTGAGCCTGAGGCTCTCCCGCCAAGTCGCTAACGGCGCTCGGGGCCGGGGTGTTGTTCCATGATGATCGTAACATTGTCTTAGTGAGAGTTTACTGTCCGTTAATAATGTCGTATTTATAAAGTCTTAGTAGCCAGGGCCAGGCCTCGCGGGGACTTGCAGAGTGAATATTATAGTTGATTGTTCGTTCTAGGCTCGGTTGGCGGGGCTGAGTTGAGCAGAGCGTTACAGCCAGACTCGTAGCCGGGTTGTCGGACTTGGACACCTCGGCGCTGCTCAAGCTCAACCAGGCGAATTCGACCAAGTTGACGCCGCTCAGCAAGCTGGTGGCCCGGATCAGCGAGCTACAGGCTCTCGCGGCGAGTTCGCCGATACTCTTGAAGAGCATGGCAAGGGCGAGGTTGTCGTGGGTCCCGATAACTTCACCGGCGAGGCGCGAGCGATTCCGGGCTACCCTCTCGGCTGCCCCGTGTGGATCGAGTGGCGGTATATCCCGTCGTCGCTTAGCGAAACCGCTGTGGAAAACCTGACAGAGCGAGTCCAGTTTCTGGGTAATATCCTCAAGACGACGAGCGACGGCCACGAGGCCGTGTTCTGGATCCCCAAGTTTGTAGGTCTGTACGAGGACCTTCAACACGCCAAGAGGTTGAGTGGCCAAGATTCGCGCTGGGGCTTCCTGTACACTGTCCCCGAGATTGCCGACTACGACTTGGACCCGGTGCTCGACATGGACTTCCGACAGCACGATCCCGACTTCGTGCCCAACCCGATTTCCCTCCGGGACATGATGAACCGCGACACGAGGCTGAAGCGCTCGAGCAAGACGCCGCCCCCGGAGCCCGGCGACCGCGTCAAGCTAGCCATAGCCCTCACCGGCACCTTCGCGCAGCTACACGCCGCCGGGTGGCTGCACAAAGGCTTGACGAGCGACAGGATCTGGTTCTTCCGTCGCAAGAATGCTCCGCCTCGCGAACTGCCCGACATCTCGCGCCCGTTTATCACCGGCTTCGACCTCTCGCGCCCGCAGGCCACGAGCTCGCTGTAGAAGCAGCCGGCGTCCGGCGTCGATAGGGACTACTACTACCACCCACTGGTCGCGGAGGACGGATATGCCAAAGTGCGGGATCTTTACAGCTTCGGCGTGGTCCTATACGAGATCGGACGTTGGGCGACAGCCGTCAAGGGTTTTCCCGAGGAGCACCTCGTATCCACCAAGTTGTTCAGCCGTTTCCTGGCGGACACTGCAGTGGAGGATCTGGCCTGGAGAGCTGGCGCTCGGTATCGGGACGTAGTGGCTACATTGCTCAGGTGTGAGCTCCCGAGCGCGGATGAGAAGATCACACGGGGGTTCTTTGTCAAAGTCATCGAGGAACCAGCCTCCATTACGGTATAGATTTATCGTCGACTGATATCTAGACAACAAGGTTCCAGTCGGGGAAGCCATGCGATGTGCTACATTACCCCTCGTCGTCGTCGTCCGTGCCGGAGCTCATGCTCCCCCATACATAGTCACCGTTGTTCATGAAGACATAATAATAACACCCGCCGGCAGCGTATGTGCTGTTCAGGTCCGCGAAACTCCCCTCTGCCATGTTCTTCGGGGTACAGTGCCCGCCGGCACCGCCGGACTTTGGCAGACTCGATGATGGGCGGGTAGTTGTTCCTGACACAGAAGGTATTGTCAGAAAGACTATGCCAAGTGGGCTACGGTTTAGGGCTGGGCTAGTATAGGCTATAATTAAGCAACCTGTTCCTAGGGGCATCAACACAGGACGTGGCGACGGGCCGCGGCCCACTGTACCTGCGCGTGACGGCGCCGCCGAGCTCCGACCGTGCGTGAGTCGACTTTGTCAAATCGACCCGCGCCGTGACGCTGTTCGGCCGCGGTTTCGGCGAGCTGATTCGTTCCGCTGCGACGTTGCCTAACCCCTCGGGCGCCCTCGGGCAGTCAGGCCGTTATACCCTCGCTATGGCCGGCGATACCAACGGGGAGAGAATTCCTTAGCGCCTGCCTGCCTAACTTTGGAGAAATTATCCGCAGCAAGGGCAATTTCACGACGAACACGCTCACCATCTCGTCGGGGATACTGTGGCACAATCCACCCCGGCATAATATCTTTGGCGGCGGGGACGGTGGTGGGGCCTCAGAAGCGTGGAATGCGATGCAGAAGCTGCTGCCAGCGAGTGCGAGCTTCAGGAACCTGCTCATGCGGCTCAGCGGGCTAGGAGAGTCGATCTCGACTCGTGCCAGCACAGGGCGGTCATCTTCGGGCGCAGCAAGTCGTCCAGGCTCAGCTGGCCTGACGCAGGAGACCCGGTCGTCGTCGACGTTGCTGCTGCTGCTGCTGCCTGCTGTGTCCAACGAAGGTGCAGAAAACTGGCATTCGCCGATGCAGATAGCCAAGGTAGGCAGCAGCGGCAGCAGCGACTGTTCCAACACCGGCAGCGTCCCGACCAGCGCTGACTGGGCCATATCGGACAGCGATAACACACAGACTACGTCGCCAGCGCCGTCTCAGGCTCTTTCAGACTCGTGCCCGTCGTCGACTGACAATTCCGTTGGGACGGGCACTGGAGACGATGTCCCGCGCAGGCGCGGAGCTGGCGTGGCACCAGGAAGCGCGCTGCGGGAGTCCTGGATGGCGAGGATGGACCGCAGACTGAGAGCGGGAGAATAACCAAGAGGCTGAGGGTAGTTAACCCGGCGGCCGGGCTGATGGCGCTTCTCGAAGGAAACAGTAGTGATCGTAAACGATTACGAGCGAGAATTGCGGCGATAGGGCCGTTTTCCCTGCGACATCCCGTTGTAGCAGTGTCAAAGATAGCGGCCATGTGGGGCGGGCGGCCTAGGTGGTCGAGGAAGGCGACGAGGTATAGCTTGCGCATAGTGCCAGGGTGGTATAGAAAAATTTAGTGCTGACTATCTCGGTGTCCGTTCAGGGGACGGGCCCGGACAGGATGTGGTTGTAGAAGGGCCGGGTGCTATTTTAAACACGTCAGATAGTTAGCGCAACGTGGCAATGGGAAAGATGTGCCACCGCCACGGGCGTGCAGGCTTATGAGACGGGCTGCGAGGCGTAATTACATGCATGCAATCATGAACTTCCCAGTGAAGGGACGCCTGTCTGATTATTTGTGCCGTTCGCGTCAGGTGTGGTCGCTTGACTGGTTGTGATCAATTAGTCTACCCCTAGCAATATTACCACCCTCCTAGAACTAGTGCCTCACAAACGAAACACGAAGACAACTTCGACACAAGAAGACTTTCGTTCCACTCCTAGTTCTCACCCTCAGTGTGGCACAAAACTCGGGTCTTCATCATTTCCCAACACTCATTTCCCAAACACTAAAGCCTAGGATGTTCTGAGAGCTGGCGGCCAGGCCGTGGCTGCAGCTTCGTAAACTGAAACTTGAAGCAACACACCGCCTCCGTAAGCTCGCCATCTACTCTATCTGAGTCCGTCGTATCATCTCACGCAACAGCACAAACGAAAACTTCCCTCCTCTGCGTGCTTTGCCTTGTACCAAAAAACTTTCTGGGCCAACAGTTGGCAGCCTTTGACGTTGGGCGCATGGCTTGAGATAGACTCGAATAATGGAGATTCGTCAAGTATAAAGGGACAGACCTGTGTGACTGTTTACACTACTCAAATCAACTACTCATCACTTACAATTACTCTTCTGCTCTCCTTCATCATAAATCACATTTTTTGACCTCGAGCACCTCACCCATATAACTCACTTCAAACTCCAAGCAAAATGCCGATCCAAATCAAGTGCTGCTCGGTCTGCAGAGACAACATGAAGAGTCAACTGGACAATCTGAGCGTCCCTTATACCGAGCAGAAACTCCGCGACGGCAAGAGAGTGTATACCATCAACATTGCGAATGCCACGGATTTCCCCAAGAACTCGCTTGCCGAAGCATGTTGGAAATCGATCACGTTCACATACCACCACGCTATTACCAATGGAAACATGGTCCGCTGCTCAAACTCCTAAGCGTCTTTTCGTGGCAGCAACCCCCCAGACTTTAGGGCAGCTATAGTCATAGCTGTGGCAGCTAGCCGCTGTTGAGGGTCAACATGACACGTGCTGGCATGTAACGGTTGACCCGATGTTTAGAAGAGCAGGCGGAGGGGGAGGGAGAGTAATGACGGCTAGGGAAGGAGGATCTAAGTTTGGTTGAGCTGCTGGTAGCCCAACTCAGACACGGTTGTTCATTCTTTTTGTACTTGATAGATGGTAGTCAATAGAGCAATGGTTCGACTTCAGACAGTATTCAAAACAAGAACCGGAGCCTTGCAATGAGACCTTGCTGTTACTCAGGTAGCATTCCTTCTTTTCTTCATTTCTGCTGAATATTCAATTCATTTATTTCATCTACGCTTCTAGTAATTAGGGAACAGGGGACCGGACAACTAGGGGTTTATTTACCCCCATACTAAAAGTAATCTAGTGCAAATTTTTCCTTTTCTCTTGGCCCGCGCCCACTTTACAAAACGGTGGCCGGCCCGCTCTCCCCCTGATTGGAGGAGGAGGCATTGCTCTTGGACTTTTCCTAGTTTTTCCAAGGAGGACCACGCTTTTTACTTTGAATTGAGACCCCCCCCCCCCGATCAATGCACGCGGTAGTGCTTTTCCTTGTTGTATTGCATCACCTAGTTATGGCCCTCTGCATTGCCGCCCATCCTTGGCTCGACATCAGCATCGGCAGTGACGGTGGGTCCGGAACTGAGCCCCATCTCTGACTTTCTATATTCAACTAATATGAACATTGTCAACCAGCGGGAGGTAGTAGCAGAGACCTGGCCGTCGTTCCACGGTGTCTTTGGCCTTCGCCCCTCCCACGACGGCTCGGAAGAGACATATACACAATGGTCAACTTTGGGCGACATTGGCTCGAGGTGAACCACTTCGCCAATTAAGCAGGGCTCCATGAAATTCGTCACATCAAAAGACACTAAGAAGCCATTGTTCAGTTCCATCGACCCAAGCGTGTTGTCCTCATTGAGGAATATGCCTCTGACAGAGAAGATGATCAAAAAGTGTTTCAAGACTCAATCTCGCGCCTATGCAGCTGGCTCGGCGTGAGTCTCGTCCGAATTTCCCTCGACTCACTCTGGAAGGCAAGCGGTCCGGCAGAGAAAACGGACAAATAGCCGTTAGAGACTATTTCAGAGAGGTAGTAGCCTCCGCATCTTCAGGAACTGTCCCACCACGTGTGAGTCTGTCAATTAACAAAGCCTGCAGACATTTATGCAAGTGCTGGCGAGTGACTACTGGGCCGGCTCTGCGCAGTTCAGAAGCGACTACCAGAACCGATTCGGAGCTACACCATTTGTATGCAAGGTCACCCAATAGTTATGGTAAGACAGAGAGACTACTGTAAGATGCTCTAAGTTTGCTAGACGGGCCCTAACCCTTTTCTTGCGGGGGATTTAGGGCTTCTGTAACACCAGACCGGAAAGATCGCGCTCTTGAAAAGGTCGACAAGCATAATGCCTGGGTTACTAAACACGTTTTAGAAGACAGCGACACCATTCTGGTTCTGCCACGCCATGACTCGAACTGCCGTGACGAGTATCTCCCGTGCGTGTATCTAGTAGGAGAAATAAGTTTGATCAATTCACTGACCTTTGTCCTTGGGTAGTTCGCCGAAAGACCGAGAATACTTCGGATTCGACTCTAATCCGCATGCCACCGTTGCAGAATTGCCCAACATCATGGTGCCAAGTTTGTGCACCATCTTCCCACTCACAAACCAGAGTCCCCTATATCAAAGAAACCAAACTAATTGCAATTTTGCTAAAGTCGGGTAGTGCCCTTTCGACTCGAGCGCGTCGAATCGCCAGGAATTCTTTCCAGTTTCCCTTGGGATCACAGCGCCAAAAGGTTCTTTTTCGTGTTAACTATCCCAGAAACAAAGAAGACAATAAACACCACACTTGGCATTCTCGCTCACATACACTAATGCGAAACAAGATTCCGAATAGGTACTGATATGGGTCTTCTGCGGTTGGTAAGAGACTTCCTAATGGAAAATGGGCCCCAGAAATCGGTTGCAACGGGCGAGACTGCTTTTTAACCACTCAGCTGGGAAAGAGCATTGGTTTGATCATAGATTCATTGTTTCGGCGGCCGGTTTCGACAGCTTCTGTGATTTACTCACCCAAGACACGTGTGTCGGTGCACTAAACTGTGGCATTCAAGGACGAGTTCTAGGGTTGACAAAGTATTTGCCTTCATTAGCGGGAGCAAAGTGAAACCACATGACAAGTGAACAAGATAGGTAATTAATTGCGTGTCGACGGCAATCATGTATGTCCAACGACAGCAGAGAGGGAACAGATTCCAGCCATGAAAATCTGTAATTGCGTACTCGCTGGCAGGGGAAATAAAACCCCTAAGATAACAGGGCGAATATCCTTCAACAAAGAGCGCTGTCCTGTCCAAAATCCTGTTCTGTCCAAAAGGTAAACCAAACCTCTGATCATCCGATCACCAAATCCTCCTCCCAAGGACCCAGATCCCATCCCCGCCCTCACGGCATAAAGTATCCCCGGCGCGCATTAACCTGCTCCAAATCCCACCCGGCGCCGCCCCAATAAGACACCAGCGCGGCGGTGGAGACAGGCACGTCGGCGTACCCCAGCTCGTCCAGCCGCTCGCGCAGGTCGTCGTACACGTCGGCGCTGTCTTCGGGGATGAATACCAGGCGGGAGCGCAAGGTGTTGTCGCTGCCGGCGGCGGCGGACGAAGCAGCGCGGCTGTCAAAGTACGCGCGGTGGTCCTCGCACGTCTTGGTGCCGAGGCACACGGGGCACGCCAGCAGCACGCCGGCGGCTTCGAGCAGCGTCAGGCTCCTGGCGCGCTTCCTGTCAGGGTGGTCGTCGCCGTTGCTGTCGTGACAGGTGCGCTTGCGCTTGCGGCCAGCGTCGCGGTTGATCAGGCTGGCGCCGACGAAGCGCGCGCCGTCGCACGCCCCGCAGATGCCGCCCTCGACGCGCGCGATGATGTCCGGGAGGTCGATGTCGCTGTACAGGCAGGTGAGCTGTGGCGCGGTGCTGGGTTGCGCGCGGTTGGCGTGGCCCATAAGGCACCTGCCGCCATTGAGGCGCGCGACGGCCGCGCGCAGGTGCAGGCCGCTGTCGGCGCAGCAGGAGAGGTTCTGTGGCGGCTCGTCGATGCCGATGAAGAAGATGACTTTGGGGTTGACGCCCGCCGGGTCGCCCAACGGGGGCACCTGGCGGAAGGCCATGGCGTCCTCGAACGACTGGATGGTCTTGGCGCAGCGCATGGCCCCGAAGCTGTGGTCGGCTAGTTTGGGATGTATTGGGATGCAGGCTAGGACGGCGGGGGAGACGGCGGGGTCGACTTCCGGGTTGGCCAGTGTGGCTTGGGTCAGGATGAAGACTGGGTTGGCGTCGGCGTCGGCGGCCAAGATGTCGATGATGTGGCTCCAGACTTTTGCTGGGAGTGTGGTGCCCTGTCCTTGGCCCTTGCTCGTGATGTGAGCGTGTCCGCCCTTCGAGACCAGGCGCTGCATGAAGGAGGCTGTGGCCATTTGCGTGTTCAGCATGAGGACCATCGGGTTGTTCTCGGACCAGTAGTAGGTGATGTCTTCAAGCTCGAAGGGCCTCATTGTGGATATGTGTGAGTATTGAGTCTTGAGAGGCTTGCTGGTAGTGCGCAGTGGTAGTTGATAATTCAAGTGACTTGATGGTGAAGAGACTTGATGGTGGAAGAGGCTTGATGGTGCAGGAGACACGTAAAGTTTGCTGGTAGGCTGCACTAGTAATTGAGAGTGCAAGAGGCTTGAGAGTGATACAGAGAGCAGAAATCTGCAGAGGCAAGAGGGGAGGATAGGCTACATTATATACGTGAGAGAAGCAGAGCAGATCCAGTCAAACGAAGGTTATCTGACGGCATCGAAGAGGATACTTCGAAAGCTAAAAAAACGTCGTGGCAAACTTTTCAACGTTTTCCGCAATAGTCTTGACAGCATGTTTAACTCTAACAGCTAAACTGTAACGACCATCAACTCTGGGCGGGATATTGAGACTGGCTGTTGGCTGTGCAACGAAGACTCAAGAGGAAACATGATATTATATCCCCATGGTAGATAGTGTGTCGTCGCTTAACCGTCAACCGTTGCGCTGCACGAAGGGTCGGGTACCTAGGTACATGACTGGACGATGACGGGGCGCTAGGGGTGAAGGTCTCGACGGGGATAACCCAAATGACAATCTTTTGGCAAACTTTAGCGCTCCACCAGCAGCGATTTTGAAAATGCTCTCTGAAGATTTCCCGGAGAGGATTTGGTGTCGTAGTCTCTTTGGGCGAGAAGATGGAAGTCAGGAAAGAGGGGACCACGCTCAACGGCGTTATAACCTTAATCGTGAAGGTTTGCTTTTCATTTTCAAGTCACATGACAGGAGAGTAGGAGCGATTCACGGGCCGATGCTTGATCCACCTCGCAAAGTGTGCGGCTCAACTGTTTATTAAGGTTTGGTTCCGCGAAACGTGTTCGTATCACCAAGTTCTGGAAGTTTCCAACTTTCACAAGGTTCACCGTTCAACTAGAATAAAGCAGAACAGATAGAAGAAATCATTTTTGACTCATCGCACCGAGATCAGATTACCACGAAAAGCTAATTGATTTCTTTTGTGCACGTGGAAACGGTGGAGGTGATCGGGGATCCTAGCTTCACTCTAGTAGCCGGAGGCCCCTAAGTCTGCTAGCCTTTCGTGTGAACTCGGGTTTCCGCATCTTCCCCGGTCAGCAATAATTACACGCAAAAGATAGCACAACAGCTAACCGACAGAACCTGAGTTGGCGCTATCCGCGTTCGTCAAAATTGGCTTGGGTGGCGCATGTGTTCGTAGCACTTGTCGCAGATAACTGGTCGAGAACTTTGAGCTAGACTTTGAGCTAGTTTGCGGCTGAGGCAACCAGGAATCAATATTCTTTTGCCCATCTTGTTGCCGGTTGCGCCGGTTGCGCATTTCGTTGCTAATCGTGCTTGATATACGTCTAGAGAAGGCGCTACGGAGTAATTCCGTCAACTAAAAAAGATAAGACGGGTCCAAGATCAAGGGCTATGCCAAGAAAAGGAGTAAATGCGGTTTAAACACGACATTTTGACCTGATTGGGAAACATAAATCCAGTTACTACAGTAGCAATCTCGGCCGCCGTCAGAGGCCTTCGAATGCGGGGTCGCCGGTTAGCTCGTCTGTAGGGCTGGCTAAGTGCCAAGGTTGCCTGAGGCGGGCTGAAACCAGCCCAGGGGCTGCTCTGATTGGCTGGGTAACGCACAACTCAACCGCCCGTCAGCACAGGGTTCCAACTGCAAGTGCGATTCAGCACGCTGACGGATGTGCAGCTGTCAATTCCTTGCCGAATCCAGCGGTAGACTGCTGCGACTCAGCCAGCCATGGCCAGGCTCCCTCAATGATTGAGGTCAAGAGGGCTAGTGCCAAACTACTCCCCAAGTGGCCGAATATTGGCAGCTGGTGTTGATATCCCCAAATACTTAAATCCCCTCTTGCACGACCTGACATCGTGTGGGTCGGTCCGAGCCATTCTCTGTCTTCGACAATCGAAGGCACATCCACTCCAACTTGCCCAACGGCCCATGAGCCGTAACTGACCACCAACCCATCACCGCTTGCCCTTTGGTAAAATCCCGCCATGAAGCTCACGGCCTTGGCGCTCTTCGCCGGCCTGGCGCTAGGCGCCTTCATCCCGCAAACCGTCCTCGACAATGCACGGGCGGCTCAACACGGCTGTCTCGATCGGGACAGCTTGTCGCTGAACGACACGGTGGGCATTCTCAACTTTGTCGACCCGAGCATCCTCTACGAAGACACCGACAACCCGAACAAAAAGCACTGGAGCGGCTACCTCACAACCACAAGCCACAAGGGCATTTTCTTCTGGTAGGTAAAGCGTGCTGCAGCGCCCTTCCTTCTCCTGACTCGCTCTCTCTCTCTTCTCTGACAGACACGACTTCGCAGGCTGCAGAAGAGCCAGAAGAACCCCAAAACGGACCCCATCCTGGTGTATCTCAACGGAGGTCCTGGCGCCTCCTCCATGTATGGCATGATGATACAGTGGGGGTCTCGGATCGTCCCGTACGGTGTCGACGGCCTAGTGTGTTTCCATCCCATCCTGGCCCATCCTGGCCCCCCATTCATTGCACAAGATCGTCCCGTGCTGACATGGTAACCGCGCCAACCAGATACCCAACGCGAACAACCTGAACGAGCGGGCCAACGTCATCTACATCGACAACCCTCTGGGCGTGGGCTTCTCACAGCCCCCACGTGCGGGCGAGGTCGGGACCGTGGAGCAGAGCACGGCGGACCTGATCGAGTTCCTGCTGGCGCTGCGGGGGACCGACTTCAAGGGCGAGACGTTCGCCGACCAGGCGCTGCACGTGTTCGGCACGTCGTTCGCGGGGCACTACGTGTCTGCGCTGGCGCTGGCGGTCGGGAGCGCCGACAAGCCCACGCGCGACAAGCTCAAGCTAACGTCCATCATCCTCGGCAACCCGGCGCTCGACGACCTGCAGGCCGAGGACGGCGTGTACCAGATGATCTGCGAGAAGTCGCTGACCTTGTCGCCCGACTGGCTGCTCTCCGACGCCGAGTGCAAGACGTGGCACGAGGAGTCGATCCCAAAGTGCCGCGCCGCGATCTTGGCCTGCCGCGCCAAGGTTTCCGAGTGCAGCAGCCAGAAGATCACTGTCGACGGCTGCAGCGCCAGCTCGCCGTTCAACTACTGGCAGGTGAGCAGCCTCCGTCTCTCCTTGGGGTGCACAAGCTAGAGACTGATAATACCTACCTCGCCAACAGCAACGGGGACTGGACCCGTATGACCTGTCCGAAAAGCGCCCGTGGCAAACCGACCGCAAGGAGAACATCAAGTGGGTCGACGCGTGGTTTAACAAGTTTGTCAGTCAGATTGGCGCCGAAGGCACTTGGGCTATCTTCCAACCTAAAGTGCGCGACGCCTTCCGTGCCAGTGGAGCAGCGTACCAGGACTCGAGCGTCAAGCTGGCCAGGCTGCTCTCACTCGAGGGAAACACCATCAAGGTGCTGGCGTATGCGGTGAGTTTCTTCCCTTGACACGCATGTGACAGCTTCTGACTCGGGAACTAGGGCGACTTCGACCTGATGACGCCGTTCCTGTCGCTCAAGAAGATCATCCGCGGGTTGCACTGGCCGCGGCAGCAGGAGGTGCAGGCGCAGCTCGACCGGCCCGAGACCAGCTACCTCCCGCTAGAGACGACGAACCTCAAGAAAACGTTTGGAAACTTCATCGAGGTCGGACCGCTCAGGTATGCGCGCATCTACGGGGCCGGTCACATGGGCAACGAGAAGAGGGCTGCCGAGATCAAGGAGATGGTCTACAAGTTCATCGGCGCTCTGCCCATTGGGAAGCTCGACAGCGACAAGCTCGAAAACGACTGGGATCTGTAACTAGGGTGGGATGGCGGGGAATGGTGTTGTAGGTCGAAGTTCGAGGTTAAGGGGTTGAATCTGAGCGGGAGAAGAGAGGCGCGGTTTTTATGGGAGATGACAGCAGCAGTTACTGAATGAATAATTGTCAACTAAATTGTGGTAAAGTGGTAGTTTCTATGGTGGTGAGACTGTAAGGTCGACTTCTTACTGGGACTATAGTCAAGTGACTTGATTAGCCACGCCACGCTGGTAACTCGTCACGCGTTGGGAATTATTAACAATCAGTCTCGGAACCGATTACGTCCAACATCTCCACATCGCCAAACAACTAAAAAACAAATCTGAAAACCAAGGAAGTTTGTAATGTAGATATGAAAGGCCCCATCCGTGAATTTAAGTGTGACGTGGGCCACCATTGCCATTGAGTGTCGGTGGAGCTATGAGGCGCTTGGAATTTTCTCGGGATTGCGAACGGTCCCGCACCCGAGGGAGAAGAGAATGAAAATTAGGGGGGTCGGTAAAATCACAATTGGCATTGGTACTCACGAGTCTAATTATGGTGGTTGATGGGAGGCGAGGAGGGGTGGAGCTCTTCCGGGCCAGCCAGGAGATCGGGTTATAAGGGCGAAAGTCGAGGTGCTGCCTGCTGGTCACTCCCAGGGTTCCGGGTAGCTGAGCGGCACCTAGGTACATACATACATATGCGGCAAAATACGCGTGCTGGCTCATTACGTCATTAACACGGCGCGAAGTGCAGCGAAAAGGCTGGCAGGATCAACTTGCAACATGATTCGTGGATCGCTCTATGGTCTGTATGGAATATAATGCATGCAATAATCCCACTCGGTGCGTTGACTAATTCTACGTACGAGTTTAGGAGATGGAAATGTTGGAATAGCGGCATTCATGACCGTACCTTTGGTGCAGGAGGGAGGGAGCGCAAGGCACGTACCGGCTCACGTGGCACGTGAGCCCACGGGGGCTTGCGTGCCGATCCACCAAAACCAAGCCCACCCAGAGACCTTAGTTACTTCTACTTCTGTAGACAATCAATGAACACCCATTCCCCCCCACAGTAGTACTACTACAAACAATTTCCGGAACACCACGAACAGGAATGAACTTAAGCTGGGGAACAGTATTTAGAAAGGAGTATAATATTCCAATAGAGTTCTATAGGTACAACCAAGGTCAAGCTCGCAATGCCGACGCCATAGAATAGACCCGGAACGCCGGGGTCGTGTAACCCGGGTAACCCAATGGGACAAAAAAATAGTGCCTCTCAGACAGGTAAATAAAACAAATAACAGTAGTATGCGCCTATGTGCAGCCTTGCAATGCAAACACACAGGCACAGAAAACCAAGAACGAAAGAAAGCAACCCGCAAAACTTGAGCGTCACGAGCGCCTCGCCTGCGTACTGCTTGTAGCTGTCGACGCAGAACGTGATGGCCGTCGTCGAGCCGAGCGAGCAGCCGAACGAGACGACCCCAAAGAAGACGGCCGGGACCATGTAATTGTCGCGCACCTGGGCCGACCAGCCGAAGCTCATCAGGCCGATGACCGTCGTGAGCGCCACGGGCGCTGCCATGACTAGCCGAACTCGGGCTCGTATAGCCCGCCGTTGCGGCGCGCCATCGCCTTGACGATCACGTCCGAGACCTTGCCCGCCACGGCGGTACCGAGGATGCCGCCGATGAACGGGCTCAGGTACACCAGTCCCGTCTGCAGGCATTGAAGTCATAGATTTCTTCGTGGTAAATCACGGCTACCGACTCCGAGATGACGATCAGCCGCCCGACGGAGCAGGCGTAGACGACGGCAGACCAGAGCACGGCGGGGTAGGAAAAGAGAATTAGGGGCCGGATGGCGACTTTATACCATTTATCATTATTGAGACGCCCGTGGAAGGGCAATAGCAATAAGTCTAGTGGCTTTCTTCTACGTGATCTCGCGGCATACCTGCGGCACCCTAGTCTCACGACTGGTGCAGGCCTGCAGGGGTGGGTATCTAAATGTCTGGCACTGCCGGAGCGCTAGTGGAGCCTGAGCCACCACAGTGACAGTGACAGTGACAGTCTTCTTCTTCTTCTTCCTCTTCGTCCCCTCGTCTCTGAGCTGCAATGATCTTTGCAATGGCAACAAGTCCAGCCTCGCCGTCATCTTCGTCTCCTTGAGGTTGGGTATCGTGATCGGTTCCGGGCAGAGGCGGGATGTTCTCTGGGAATGCTGTATCATGGCCGATTTCGTCGGCGAGAGCGAGGAGAAGCGCCCGGTTGAGATATCTTTCTCGCGTTGCCTAGAACCCCTTTCCTAGCTGGAGTTTCAGCTTCTTGGCGGGATCAGTGCGGTATTCGTGTCTCCATGCCATCTTGAGCTGCGCAAAGACGAAGAGGAAGTATAGATATCTTGCTCTTGGACGATCATCATTCTTGAATGACAGCCTCTGACCGTCCAGGTTCCGAATGGTTATATCTTTAGGTGCACCGTGGCCATCTTCGGGTGCATTGTGGCCCTTGGGGATAATAACCGTATTGAGCGATTCTGCGTCCTCGTCGATAATACGCCATCGGTAAATCTTTGGCTCGTTTCTCTCCCAGTCTGCTACTTGTTCGGTCGTGGGGTTGTCGGGTAGGTCGGGGACAATGGAGATAGCACCGTCGTCAAGAGCCGACTCTACATGAGGTTGAAGTGGCAGACCATTTCGTGACTAGAGTAAATAAGTCAATACTCTATATCATCTCGAGGCTCTCCAATAAGATACATACCGTCATCAGCTCACTTTCGACATCCTCGCCAAAAAGCGCAACCAAAACGTCAGGACCAAGCTTATAGGGAAATAAATGTGCGGCGGTAACACCTGACTTGATAAATTCGTAGCCAGTAGCGGAATCGTGGACGGTTACAATGATTTTTGGTTTGTTCGGTTTTGTTGTAGCGGCACCGTAAAATTGAATAAGATCATCTTTGAACTTTGACTGCTCTGATCTCTTGCGTGCGCCCATACCAACTTTGTCAGCGCAAATGCCAAGTTGGCTTGTTGAGAACATGGCTTGGAATGCTCGTCTAATAGGACAACTTCGCTTGACCCTCTCGACTTATTTCGTGTAGAGCGTCTTTTCCAATGTGCTAGCTTTTATCTCCTCGATGATGCGGCGTGCTTGGGTAGTTGCCCACCATGATGTAGCAGGTCCTTCCCCGCCATCGACCCAATCTCGGACGGCGAGTTTGGTCTCGGCATGGAGATACGCGACCGATGCGTCGCATGCGGCCGCAGCCGATATCTAATATCGAGCGTCAAAACTAGTCGTCGGCCGAACTTGCTTCTTAGATTTGATGAGCTTAGCGCTGAGATAGTAATAGTCCTTCTCGGGATCCGTTCTTGCTCGCTTGCTTGATGTTCTCTGGGGGACTTGCGGCGGGCCGTTTGGGGTAGCTGATTGCGATGCCATGGCCGGTAAATGCTGCTCGAGTGTTGTATTTTTTAGTAAAAAGAGCGAGGTGTAAAGAGGTGAGGCGAGGGGAGGCGAGGCGAGGGGAGGCGAGGCGGCCGAGGTTAAGTAGGTGTGGTGCGGGTCACGTGAGGAGTAAGAACGAGAAGCATGGGTGCTCCTTGCCCCGTAAGTAAAGTCTTTGAGCCAAAACTACATCCTAACTTATCTTAGTAAACTCAGACGTCTTTTTCTAGGCAGGGGGGTGGCTTCGCCACCATTCCGGGCAGGTATGGATTGAATGGCCCACTTCGTGGGCCGCATAGGCCGCTAGACAAAAATTCACCTAATTTGGGTGTAAATCTGTTGTCACGAATCCCTATGGATTCCCTGTGGATATGCACAAAGGTGGGGCATGCTCTTTTTGGCGCGGGCCAATCAGGAGCGTTCCAGGGTTCCGAGCTCTGGAGCTCGGGGACGCGGGACAGTTCTGGTCGGGCGGTGACCCGGACGCGGGACCACGGGACAACGGAACCACTGTTATTGGTTACGTAGATAGATATATACGACGACCGTGACCACGGTCTTAGATAGTTCTTGCTTGGTTCTTCAAGCAAGCAATACACATTCACTGCACTCATACACTTTGAGTGGCATTCCGATTTGTGTTACGATCCTGGTTCAAAGGTGCAGAGGGCGTTGCCCGCCCGCTGCGGATTGGCTGGGACGGCACTTAGGGTGGGGCTCTCGCTAAGAGAAGGTGCATCCAATTAGGGAGTGCTCAGTGGGGCCATTGCCAAGGTGCACTGAGCATGGCTGAGCTCAGTAGGATCAGTGCCGAGACCCACTGAGCGCACTGAGCAGGGAGCTCAGTGGGGATCAGTGCGTCTAGGACTGAGCACGACTGAGCATGTAAGGCAGGAACTCTGATTGGTTGCTCATAGTTCTATATAGGAGCTGGCAGCACGCTCTCTCTGGAGAACGGTTCTGCAGCTATCAATGCATCTGGTTAAGCATACATTGGTTATGTGTTGAAAGCCTGTCTTTCGCAATCTGTGCACGGTACTCCTTGTCTCCTGTCATCTCCTACCTGCCGTCCAGACCCCCACAATCCTAGGCCGGGCCTAGCTCCGTGGACCTGTTGTCCAGATTGTAACACTCGCCCTGCTTGTTGCTCCTATTGTGACCACCTTGATTAGGCGTACCTGCCTTCTCTTACAACAGGCAAAACGGTACTACAGAGGAAGGGAGGTTAGCTACGAAGAGCGGGTAGATTGTAAGGTTCGTCGAAGGTACTACGGTACGACTAATTATTGGAAAAAGGAAATTATGGGGTGGGCGAGGAATTTCGAGGCGGGTTGAAGGGCAATTCGCGTAGTGTAAGAGAAGGCAGGTACGCCGGATCAAGGTGGTCACAATGCAGGTAAGAAGGTGGGCGAGCAATGAGTAGTATTGGTGTGAGACTTTAACCTGGCCCTCGCAAAGGAAGGTGGGCGAGGGCCACTGTTTATATACGTGCTCAGGGGCTCAGGCCCGGGGCGCCATGGCGTGGCGTAGTGGCTTGTGCCAACTGGCAGTGTTCCGGCCAGTTGGTAACAGGTGGTGAGCGCGCACCCTGTGCGCGCGGCTGGTGTTTGGGTTGTCCTTTCCTTGCTATTACGAACCACTCGACTGTTAGGGTCGTCTGTCTGTAAGGGAGCACGGGCTCCACAGAATGCTGGGGTTGGTAATTATGAAGATAGAACAAAGGGCAAGCTCCTATCGCACGGGTAATACAGTCAAATCGGAATGCCACTCAAAGTGTACGAGTGCAGTGAATGTGTATTGCTTGCTTAAAGAACCAAGCAAGAACTATCTAAGACCGTGGGTACGGTCATCGTATTTATCTAGTTGCGCAACCAATCAGCGTTCTCCCTTACAGTGCTCAGTGCCTCCGGGGCGCTCAGTCTTCCAAGACGACTGAGCTCTCAATGGTAACTGAGCACTTTCCTAATTGGCTGTTCTTCCTGCTCAGTGGGTCTTCCCAATCTTGGCGGCCGAACGCACTGAGCGCCGCCTGTTTGGCCGCACCGAGCTCATGTGGGGCCCGTCCTGCCCACCAGTGCTGCCCAATCAGCAGTCGGCTTCCAGCGCCTCCTGCAGACTTGAGCCAGGATCGTAACACTTGCACGTAGTCACGTACGCAAAGCCCACCCTAGCATTAGCACTACTTGCGCATGCCCCACCACGCTAGAAAACATTTAAACTCTTATATCTCAGCCAATTTCCATTATAATACGAATCGGGCTTCAGATTCAAAATTTCCGTAGAGTTATACACACAATAATACCAGTTGCATCAATTTTGGAAAGTATTCTGACCGAGTGGCAGATAGGCACGTGATAGGGGCTGCCCATATTGGATGTGACTGACAAATCGGGTCCACTTTTCCATATAGGTTAGCCAATCCAGAAAGGCGATAAGGCGTCTTATCAATTTCACATAGTAATTTTTTCAGAGTTTCGCAGTAATATTGTGTTACGAATCACTGCGTAAATGCGTGAAGGTGGGGCACTCTCTATTTGATGTGGACCAATCAGAGGTGTCCCAGGGTCCCGAGCACTTGGACCCGGGGACACGGGACAGCCCCGGAGGACCGGCGTCCCGGACGCGGGACCACGGGACAGTGGGACCATTGTTATTGGTCTAGTAGATAGATATATACAACAACCGTGCCTACGGTTCTAGATAGCTCTTGCTTGATCTCGCAAGCAAGCAATACACATTCACTGCACTCATACACTTTGAGTGGCATTCCAATTTGACTGTGCTACCCGTGCGATAGGAGCTTGCCCTTTGTTCTATCTTCATAATTACCAACCCCAGCATCCTGTGGAGCCCGTGCTCCCTTACAGATAGACGACCCTAACAGTTGAGTGGTTTGTAATATATTGTCCTCCGGCCAGGATGAGCACGGAACGGTGTTTCAAGCACGGGGCGTATAAGTCCCAAGTGCTTGGGGTTTCACAGAATTGCCTACCTTCCCCATGTCCTGATCACGTAAGGTAGGTGATCATGGCCCAAATGGCGGAAAAGAGCCGATTTGTTTTTCTTATTTGATAGTTAATTGCTCCGTTGATTTCAATCGATCGCTGCTGCTTGGGACAAAAATTACCGCACACCATCTGTTGGAGTGTGTCAAGCAGAAGGGCCTCGAAGGTTCTAGATAGAGACTTCGCCATCCACTTCACCACCACAATAGTAGTATCAGAAGGGGCTTTCTGGCACTGCCAGAAAGCTAGAGAGAAGAACACACATCTACAATCCATCACTTGAACCACCAGCTTTCGGCATACAGTTACGCCCTGTTGATTCAAGTACCGGTACCCTGGTGAATCCAACACCATCCGAACTGTCCAGCTAATCAATGTTACAGAGAGACAAAACGTTGCAACATGGAACAACTAAATAAAAAAATCGCCGCCGCGTTTGACTTCAGGACCTGCCTGGCTTGGGCCGGCCAGTTTTCCCAGACTAGTTTCTTCTTCCGACAAGGGATGGGCGGGCCCGCGGCCCGTGTAGTTAATTATTGACCAGTTTCCTGCATGGCCTTTCTTTTTCTTTTTCTTCAAAAAGAGTTTCTTACACCCTTTTCCCCCAGTTGTTGTTGTTCCTGCTGTTGTGAGATCCTGCCTCTCAGGTTCCAGCCTGATGTTTTTTTGTTCCGAGGTCCTGCCTCTCAGTTTCCAATCTGATCTTTCTCTCGCACACACGCACGCACGCACGCACATGAAAAAAACATTGCGCTCTGTTTTGAGAACCCCCGACAGGTACTCTCCCTTCCCCACCAAGTTCATCATCCCGGAGGGAGGGAGCGCCGCGGCGTGTCGAAATATAGCCGCAAGACTCGGGCGACGGGTTAAATTACGCCATAGGCAGCCTCCTCGGGACCCTGTTGATAGGAATACCACGATGTGCTAGTTTAAGGAGCTCCTGCAAGGACGCGCCGACGGCGTGCTGCCAAATAGAGTCGTAGTGCTCCTTTGATATATCCGCGTCAAGGTAAGCCTGCTCCCTCACCTCACTCGCTTTGATATCTTCCATGACATTCGCCTTGGTCGCATTGTATTCCTCCTCGTTGAATGTCACACCCCACTTGAGTATCTTGGCAATCGGGTGATCTCCAAGCTCCTTCCACCATGCGTGCAGCGCAGCGCCGTCTTGTTTCACCGTCCGCACTTTTATGCCGTTCTCGTCGTGCCTGAGATAGTCGTACAGCCCTATCTCGGCCAGGTGACTCTTCAAGTGCGCCAGTCTGGTGTTGAGGAAGCCTTCTCTTTCGGCGTTGAACTTGACCTCTAGCGTAGACAGATGGTCCTCATTGGCAGGGTTACTCAACCACGTCTCGTGACCTTTATTGTCCTTCTTGTCGGTGGTCTCCTTGGGCAGCTCGTTGACATGTGTGAGTTCTGTAAATCTCGGCTGCTTCATGCTGGGATGCCACTTGGCCACCGGCCCAAATTCCAATCTGTGGAAGTCGCCGCCAGCCTTGAAAAAGCCTTTCTTTGAATCGTTGAGCATATGCTTGGGCGTGAAACCATAAGCCGGGAGGGCCATGTCGATCAGGGCGTTTTCGTTTATTTGAAGCCCGGCATCGATGGCGTGCCCGGTCATCCAAACCAAGGTGAGCGACTGCACTGGGTCGTGGATGCCGGCGCCTCCACCAATCGATGTATGGTACCCCGGGAAGACGGTAATAGAAAGCTTTGTCGTGTTCGCGTTCGTTGCGGCGGCACTCTTGTGCGGAAGAAACGGCTTAAAGCTTTCCCGGTGCTCCGAGTCCGAGACGGCCACGGCCACCTGCCCGATTGTGGAGAGGCCGTCAAGATCCAAGACGAAATCAAGAGTGTGTTTTTGGCTGTCCAATCCGCCGACATCCGGGAATCCGAGTGATGCAACAGGGTCGTAAACGCCAACGAAGTCAATCTTGATGTTTTTAACAATGAAGCCGTCAAACGGGGCAGGGATTGCCCCCGAGCCCTTGCAGATGATGAACTTCTGTACCATTTCCGTGATAGCGGTGTCGAGCACGTCGCCCTTCACGCCATCTCTCTTGTATGGTTCTTGGTGGATCGCCCGGAACTTATCCATGTCCAGGGGACCCCAGCGGGCAAATATCGCCATCAATATCAATGCGGTCGTCGAGCCGCGGGAGAAGCCGATGAGGGAGATTGCATCCCCTACTTTGAGGTTGAAAAGAGACGCGGCCCGAACCAAGGACACCACGATCGGGACGATGTGCCTGGCGCTCGCCAGATCCAAGTGTTTGTGTCCTCGTCCGTCGTTCCCCAGCCCAGGTTGAATGACGATGATCTGTTCCCAGACTTTGCTATTATCATGCTTGTTTTGGACCACGTTGTTGGGTACGGCTGGTTGGGGGCCGTCTGACCGACTTAGGAACATGGAGGCCATCCTGCCGGGGTTCGTCGTGTCAACGCCGGCGTCCTTGATTGGGTTGTTGCTCGTTCCATCACAAATGAAGATGAGCCTGCGGTGCACATCCGTCTTGCGAGGGTGGTCCTTGTCCGTGAGGGTATGGCAATCGTCGGCGAGTGCATGTTCGTTGTTCGAGGCAACGAGATAGGTTCCAATAAAATGGGGGTGTGCCTCCGTCATTGTGAAGGTAGATGGAAGTGCTTCGCCAATCTAAGATATTTAGGCAGCCCGGTGGATCAGGGCACGCGAGGGTCAAGCAGAAGCGAAAAATAGATTTCAAAAGAAAAAAAAGACCAGCTGAACACAAGATGAAGTGCCAAACCAGACCAGCAGTGGGCAAAATCAAGTGTGATATCAGAGATGAGAAGGTGAAGTTGAGAGAGTCTGTGATGCGAGAGATAGAGAATCAAATCTATCTTGGAGTAAGAAACTCAGAGACCTTTATAGTCAGTTCAACGACCAAACTTGAGGGCGCCTTTGGCGCTCTGGTGGCCAAACCTCTCCATTCTCGCGCCGCCAACGTGTTAATTACATGTCTGTTCTGCCTGCATGGTCTGACAATGGGGCACATTCACGGCCGAGTTGTTGCAACTCTCCACTCTCCTGGGCCCCTGAGCATGGGGCACAGACGTATTGCTATTCATGATGAGCTTTGTTTGGGGCTGTTAGACTAAAGTCGAGTTTCGGCAGGCTAGCAGACGGCGCTGTTTGACTGAAAGACATACGAGCCGACAAGTACAGTCTCCGAATTCGAAGCGCCACCCTTGGCAAACACGACATGGAGAGACACATGTATAAGCTGACAGGCACAGCTAGAGAGAGGCAGAGGGAGCCAGGGGGTAGGGGTGGGCCGGATGGAGGAAGGGAAAAAGAAGGCATGTGTCAGATGGGCAGCCTAGTCTAAGAGGCAGCTTGGCCAAGTGTTAAATCTAGGAGCGTTAATGTTTGTGGGCCACTGTATCTCATTCTCCTCGAGATCACAGTCCCAAACACAGCACATCAGGTGCATCTTGGCTGTCAGCCGCGACGTACCGGGGGGGGGGGGCGCGGGGAGCGTGGCTCTCCGCCGCATGTATTTGTAGAATTGTGTGCTGACTGCTGTCAAGTGAACGGATGCAAGGGTCCAGGGGTCCAGAGGTCCAGAGGTCCAGGGGTCTTCCAGTAATTGTAGGACAGCCAGGTCGGATCTCGGATCCGCCATCAGATTCGGCCCGTTCGTTGTGTTGTTGAGCTGTGGGGTGGGTTGAGGGTTTCCCTAGATTGTTGGATGCATTCAGCTACGACACTTGCTAATCACGGCAATCAGTCCGTTTTGAGTCGAGTGTGAGGTGCGAGGGAGGTGCCTTGGACTGCTGACTGACCTGACTGACGGAGACTTTGGCCCGGACCAATGGGCAACGACTGCTGACCTGACAGACGGAGCAACTCCGAAACTTTGGCTCGGCAATGGGAGTTGTCCAATTTGCCAACTTTTGGCTCCCGAATTCCAACTTTTGGAACCTTTAACCCCTGTACCTCGTAGCGGGTGCGGCACACTTCGAGTCAAAGGTGGGGGCCGGGGGCGCGAGGCTGCAGCCTGGCAACAAGGCCGAGTCCCATCGGCGATCGATGACTAAACCCTCGTTGCGGTCTAGCTAGGGTGGGGGGGATTCCCTGGTCGCGCTTCCACAACGATAAATGGTAATTAATTATCGGTAGTTCTGCGCCATCTTTCGTCAGCTGCCATGAGCGTCTCGACTGAGTCAACTCTTCATAATTGCCTTACCTACTCTCATTCAAAATTTTGATCCCTGACAGACCATGCCTGGATGCATGCTGTCAGGCTGAGCTCACCTACTGTCGTTCCGGATCCTTTTGCAGTCAAATTTCCTTCAAAACCCATCAACTGCCTGGCATTTCTAGAGTCTGGGCGTCTGGGCGCCTGCGAGCCTGTATCGTGAATTGGCCTCCCCGCCCCAGAACTCCTCTTCTAGCGCCTTCTCGTCGAGCGCAGCGCAGCATGAGTGGCCGAATTGAGTCTTGATCAACTCTCGGCGTCAGGATCACAAAGTCCGGGCATAGGCATGACACATCGTGATTATCAACCACAAATCCTCCGCACTCTGCACCATCTCGTAATTACGCTCGACTGGCATCGAGCTAAACCGTCTTCACGATCGTCAACCTGCAGGTCCCAAGAGCTTGCTAACCGAGCCCAGGCCCTCAGGACCGAACAGAGTTTCAGCACACTGCATCTAATTAATGCGGGAATAATAATGGAAGTCCAGACTGCTCCCCGCATTTCTGTTCCGGGCTCGGCCCGGACCGTTTCAAGACACGCTGTGCTGGGCACCGAGCCTCTAAGGCCGAGCAAACCCCTCGCAGCAATGCATCAAGTTTCTGTTGGAATAACATACTGGAATGACGCGCTGATCCAAGGAATGCGGCTCCGCATTCCTGGCCACAGCAACGTCTGTGGAGGAGCGGGCCTGACAGATGCATATATATTGGCCTACGCCCACCTGTTCAGATAGATAAAAAGACAGACACAAACGAATCCATCACTTGAACCACCACCTTACGGCGCGCAGCGCGCCATGCTGTTTCCAGTACCGGTACCCTGGTGATTCCTACAGTTTCTTTATATCTCTCTCTAGGCCGGCGTACTGGCAGTGCCGCATTTCCAGACCCTCAATGTGTCGCTGAAGTCAAGTCGAGTCGAGCACGAAACATCTCAGCGAGGTGTCCGTGTCGGCTCAAGATCAGTGCCAAGGCGCCATTGTGGGCCGTGGGCCGTGGGCCGTGGGCCGTTGGAAACAACTCCTCACGCTGACCGTGGCCCGCATCGCACGCTGACCGTGGCCCGCATCGCACGCTGACCGTGGTCCGCACAGTATTGGCCGAGTCGTACCGAACTGGAATCGGCGATTGGGCAGGTCTCGATTTCATCCTACGATTCCACTTGTCTGTTGACCGGCAAGCGCAACCGACTAACAATCTGCCGAGGGAGCTGTTGCGGGTTACAAAAAGCCTGGTCGTGAAGTTTTAATTGGGTGTAACCATTCCATTTTTCACCACTGCCACACAGCCCTTGCAGTAACGATTCATGTAGGTTGATCCAAGTCACGGGTTACCTGTGCTCTATCGCTTTCCGCTCAACAAAAAATACAGTTGAAGTCAAAACCGGGGCCCCGGTCGTTGTGCCCACTTTTCCTCTTCTGTATTGGCCTGCTTTTCAACTGCCGATGATAAGATTGATCTTATCGATCTAATCGACGCGCTAAGGAGACTTGGGCAATGAAATCGACGAGCTGAAGAAAGAACGGGTATAACGAATTACCACGCTACGAGTCCAGCGTTGTGCTTCCACCTGTCAAAATATTTGCATTTACGCCTCGTTTTCCCAGAACCATGCATGTCATCCCTTCTTAAACCGATCGAAAAACACAACAAAAACAAGCTAAACACCCCCGGGTGCCAGAGAACTCTTGCTTAATTACCCACGCTAGAACGGGCTGACCCAGGGGCGACACTTGTTGGCGGCGCAGAAGCCGTTGCAGCACGGGCCGACGTACTGGCCTTGCGAGTTGTAGCAGTCGCTGTAGGTGGCGACGCAGAAGCCGAGGCAGCGCACGCCCGTGACGGGCTGCGGCGGGCCGACGAAGATCTCGCCGACGCCCGTGGGCGAGATGCTGCTGGCCAGCGTCTTGTCGCCCGGCGTGTAGAAGGTGCACTGGTAGAAGGCGTTGTAGTCGGGCGCGTCGATGATGTTGACGGCGATGTTGTTGTCTGGCGGATGCATTGTCAGGAAGAGCAAAGTCGGATTGAGAAAAGGGGGGGGGGGGGGGGGTCGCTTACTGGTTGGGTATAGGTTGCCGTCGGCCGGGAAGGCCATCGAGTACTCGGCCGGCCCGCCGTGGAAGGTGAGATGGACCGTCTGCGGAGCATCGCGGTCTTCAAGGGGAGCCGCAGACGCGAGGGCTGCAAGGCCCAGGGCCAGAATGGAGGCGAGGCACTTCATGGTGAGTGAGGCGAGACTGAGATAGGGTGAGGTAAAGTTTAGTCAACTTGTCCATGTTCATGATGCGGGCAACGCTTCAGCTTTATACTGCTGGCGGGCAATTCATAACCTCCTCTCACGTTTCACAGTAGGATAACCTCGGGCCTGAATTAGACAGGTGACGGTCACGCATTCGCCAGTAGTCAACCTGTGCCAAGACAAGCCGGATACGATGCACTCTTTTGTATGGTCGTTGGGGTGCCATTGCTCGCCTGTCGGCTGGAATACGAAGTTTGGTCTTGGCGCCAGTGGAAATGGCGCAGAGCTTGGATGCGCAGCTGACCACGGCCCAGTCGAGACGGGGCGACGCCGGGCGGCTTACGACTTCACTAGAGAGACAGCTCCAACCGCGCTAAGCAAGTCGCCAATAAGAAAAGCGACAATGATATTTTTCAGGATAATTATAGGCGACTTTCTGAACAAGGCGGCAACCACCTCAGATGAAAAGTACTCTACCTCTGCCTACGGTTCTTGCAGAGAAAGCCGCCTGCCTATAATCGTGTGAGTGAGACGGTGGCTAGCATTCTAAAATAAGGACTCAAGTTGAAGGGACCCCTTTGCCGTTCCAAAGGCCCCACAAAGGAGGAATCTCGCCCAAATCCTGCTGTTAATTAGATGAGATCGATTTATAGTCCTACCGGGCCCTCTACTCGTCAGGGCTGAGTTGCGACTTGGTTAGGGCGTTTTTGTAGTCCTGAAGAGCATATCTTGGAAGGTCCCTCGCTAATAAACACTCTGCAATTGGACTAAAATATGCGGAGAATTGGATAGCGCGTCGTTTGCCTTGCTGCAGAAGTGGCCTGTTGACACCAATGGCGGGCGCTAGCACTAGAGTCCCGCAGACGTGGCGCCCAGAACATGACGGCTCGGAGCTTATTTTCCGTCCGCGCCGCATCAGGCCATGTGCACTGCTTCCCAACGCCACCTAAAGACGGCTAGACCAGGACGGGTATCCCGCAACTACCCGTTCGTAAGACGGGATATTATTCTCTTCTGGCGAGCGAGTATAACGCCCACTGACAGCTCGGTTGCATATGATTGGCTGTTGATCACTGAGGCAACTTGCCTCCAGCCCAGTCAACACAAATTCTGATAATTAATTACTTGTAAGAGGGGAGCACTGTGTCTCAGAGCATATATCTCAGAGCATATATCTCGGCCGATGTTAGCGTAGTTCTAGTTCCGGACTGGGAATGACAACCGCCTCGTCGCAAAGGATAGTGGCACGCTATGAGCGATGAGAATACGATGGCATGACGAGGGATTGTGAAATCCGGAATTGGGGAGATGCCATCGGAAGCGGGCTTATCTTCGTACTTCGACAAGTTCTGAGACACATCCAAGTTGCAAGGTCTAGCTGGTCTTAGATTCTCCCCCCTCCTAATTTTTGAGTTCCTGACTAATTAGTGATGTCAATGTCAGTCCCGAATCCTCGGCCATGTCTAATACTCGCTCTCGAAATACGCCGAGTTGACATCTGCCGAGCCGCATCCGCACCCCGCATGCTACAGTTTACCCGATATCCAAACCTCACCAGACCAGGAATTTACCTCACTGCCTCTCACTATTCCGCGGTCAAAGGAACGAGGGAAGGACAGAATATCGACCTCACTACAATCCAACCTCACCTCACCCACAAAGAAACACGACCCCACCATCCCAAAATGTCCCCAGACCAGGACCTCACCTCAGGCTTCACAAGCGAGGCCTACATCGCCCACGCCGCCGGTGGACCCATCACACTCTCACGCGTAACCTACAGCGCGATTGCAGCCAACGAGATCGTCGTCGAGACGGCTGCGACAGCCATCTGTGCGACGGACCTGAAAGCCGCCGCGGGCAAGTTCCTGTGCGGGCCGCCGCTGATCCTGGGCCACGAGAGCGCGGGCGTCGTGCTGACGGTCGGCGCAGCAGTCCATAACCTCGCGCCCGGCGACCGCGTCGTGCTGTCGTTTAGTAGCTGCGGGGCGTGCGGCGAGTGCGCGGGGGGCGCGTCGGCGTACTGCCGCGAGCTGCTCGCGCTCAACATGCGCGGCTGCCGGAGTGATGGGACGCTGGCGGCAAGCGTTACTGAGAGTGGGATGCCGGTGCGTGGGCACTTCTTCGGGCAGAGCAGTCTCGGGCGGCGGATTGTGGCGCGGGCGAGCTGTGCGGTGCGGCTGCCGTCCGGGGGGGACGAGGGGGAGCTGCGGGTGCTGGCGGCGCTGGGGTGCGGGATCCAGACGGGCGCCGGCGCCGTGTTCAACGTGGCGCGGCCGGCGCCGGGCAGCAGCGTGTGCATCTTCGGCGCGGGGTCGGTCGGGCTGGCGGCGTGTCTGGCGGCGCGGCTGACGTCGCCGGCGCGGCTGGCCGTCGTAGACAATTCGGCGGCCAAGCTGGCGATGCTGCCGGCATGCGTCAGAGACGCGGCCACGCACCTGGTGGACTCGTCTGCCCTGGCTGGCGGCGGGGATGGGGAGTTCGTGGAGAAGCTGAAGGGGCTGACGCCCGGCGGGCGCGGGTTTGACTTTGTGCTCGACTGCGTGGGGAGCGGTGATCTGGTGAGGGTAGGGCACTTGGCGCTCAAGTCGAGGGGGACTATCATTGCCGTCGGCGGGTCGCAAGATATGGCACTGCAGGTGCCCATGAGGGACCACCTCACGAAGGGCATATCGTTCAGGGGCACCCATCAAGGCGACTCGGTGCCAGCCGTCGTAGGTTCATTTCATCGCGACCCGGAGAGCCAGATGTTTGCAAAGTTTGTTGAAAAGGAAGGTGCTAACCCTCACCCGTCTTCCAGTCGATCCCGTTCATGATCGATCTCTGGCGTCAAGGTTTGTTTTCGCCTTCGCCCTCCCTTTCAAGAACTCCGTCCTGACTAAGAGCTGACGACCGTAGGAAAATTCCCCTTCGACGAACTGTTGACGTTTTACGAATTTGACCAATTCTACCAGGCCGTGCAGGACATGAAAGACGGAAAGGTTATCAAGCCGGTGCTCGTCAACAATAACAGAGAGACCTAAACAGACGAGAATGCAAACCAGGCAGTGAGATGGTAAAAAGCCCATGAAGACGAGGCGGTGAAATTAGCAACTGTCAGAAATCCCGAACCCAGCCACGACAGGATGCCATGCCCAGTGCTACGCTATGCTCCGCGCGTATGTGTCTGATTGGGCCCAGCCGTCGAGCTGTCACGCCCCAATGCCACGCCGGGACGTAAGGTTCTCCAAGCGGCGAGCGTAATGTCGTACTGGCAATTAATATAGCCCTATGCGTATACGAAATCCACCATATCCCGGCACGCCTGCGCCGCGGTCCGACCCTCGCATCATTGATTACGGCGTACCGGACAGAATAAGCAAGCACAGATCTACGCTCAAAGTCCGAGCCGGCCTCTCTTATACACGTCCCGCCAAACAATTTCGAATCCGCATTGCCACGACCGCAAATAGCAGCCTATCAGGGTCGACCCCTACCACTTAGTTGCTGCCTGCCGTGCGTCTGCGGGCAGGATTGTTGCAGTGCATTGATCGGAAGGATGGCGCCCTAGTTTGAGAGTCTCACAAGCCACCTATGTCAGACTAAGCGCAGGCTCGAGAATCCGAAGGGAGGGAGCACAGCTGCAGGTGTCCTCTCCGCGATTATATGTCGCGCTAGTGCTTGGGATTGTCTCAAATGGCACTAGTTTCCCACCTCCAAGCTACACCATCTCAGTGCCTCGACAAACTCTGCTGCAGGAGTCATCTCAAAGACAACACCCTGTCACCCAGCATGAGAAATTCCCCCGACGACGGCAGCTTCGACGACAATGGATCCGGCAACCGCCTCTTCAACACCAGCACGGCCAGTCTGCCGCAGGACCCCTTCCTGTCGCAGCAAGAGCCCCTGGTGCCGACCTTTCTCGACACGCAGGGATGCTTGTGCCAGATGCAGACAGACCCGAGCAGTGCAGACGATAGCGGCTCAGGCACGGACACGAAGCCGTTTCTCTGGCAATGCGTCGGCAACCAGACCGGAGCGGTCACCATGGAGCCGAGCGGGAAGTGGTACAAGACCCGCGACGGCGCCGAGGGGACCGAAGCCGACCTGCTCAGACTGCCCGTCAACTCAGCCGCCCACCCTCTCGATGCGGCCACGCCCATGACATGGGATCTCCAGTCAAAGTCGTTCGTCAAACTTTCTGACGGGAACAGCAAGGACAACAGACTCGGCGCGTGGGACGCGGCGTGCACGGGCGAGAACCGCACCCAGTTCTCGACGTCCTTTTACGGGGCAAACGAGCAGCTGAAGAACAACCAGGACCCAATAGCTGCTGCACCATGTTGGAGGCCGGGTGCCGTTCCCGTCCAAATCCAAAATGTGTCCGACTGGCAGACGACGGGGTGTCTGGAGGGGTTCATGTGTGCGTACCCAGAACGAACCTGTCCGCTTCCTCGGCCTCCGAATTGCTGACCGAGACCACGCAGGCGTGAACAACACGGCCAACTCCCTCCCGCAATACTGCCCCCCGATCCAAGAATGCCAGCTGGCGCGGCTCGCCAGCACCGTGTGCCAGCTCAACGGCAGCAACGTGGGCATGGGGCCGTTCGAGCCCGTGGTGTGCCAGGCGGGGCGGTACTGTCCGCCGTCGGACAACGGAACCGTGACGCGCGAGTGCCCGGCGGGCACGTACTGCCAGGCAGGCGCGTCGACGCCTACACCGTGCATGCGCGGCAGCAGGTGCCCGCCGGGGTCGACGTACCAGCTGTTCCTCGTGCCCGTCGGCCTCCTCGTCGCGCTCGACGTGCTGCTCGTCGTCGGGACCCTACTGCTGCGCCGCCGCCGCCACCACCGCCGCCGCCTCAAGGCTAACGCGCGCGGGCACGGCGTGCCGTCGCTGGGCTTTCTCGAGAAGCAGCGGGTGAGTGCCGGCAGCAGCATCGCGGCCGTCATCGCTAGACACAGGTACAAGCGCGTGCAGGACGAAACGGACCGTGTGGACGAAGACTGCGAGATGGCACCCGTCATGGATGCCACCTACGTGCCGGGCCGCCAGGATACCTGGAACGGCTTCGAGGCGGCCCTCGATATCCCCGAGCAGCTAGCCGGGAGTCCTATAGATGTCTTGAACAGTCCGGAGGCTGGTCTCACGCCCGAGATCCGCGCGTTTGTGAGCTCGATGAGCAAGGCTACCGATGCGACTGATTTTGGGCTGTCGTTTGGGTTCTCAGAGCTCACCTTCCAACCTAAAGGGAGCCAGCGGCCGATTTTGCAGGGCGTCATGGGGGAGATCAGGCGCGGGACGCTGACGGCCGTCATGGGCGGTTCAGGGGCTGGCAAGTCGACGTTTGTCAACGTGTTGATGGGCAAGAGCGAGTACACGGCAGGCAGCGTCACCATCAATGGCGCGCCGGGCAAGCTGCGGCAGTATAAAAAAGTGGTGGGCTACGTGCCGCAAAACGACGTGGTGCTGCCTGAACTAACGGTGCGCGAAAACCTGCTTCACTCGGCGCGGGTGCGGCTGCCGCGGACCTGGAAAGACGCGGACATCTGCGCGCACGTCACGGCCGTCGTCGACTGTCTCGAGCTGAGCCACGTCAGCGACAGCCTAGTGGGCAGCGTGAGCAAGCCGATACTCAGCGGTGGGCAGCGCAAGCGCGTTAGCATCGGCATGGAGCTGGCGGCGGCGCCCATGGCCATCTTCCTCGACGAGCCGACGTCGGGCCTCGACGCGACGGCGGCCACGTCCATTATGCGCACGCTCAAGGCGCTCGCGCGCCTGGGCATCTCGGTCATCGTCGTCATCCACCAGCCCCGCATGGAGATCTTCGACATGCTCGACGACTTGATCCTGCTGGCCAACGGACAGCTCATCTACGCGGGCCGAGAGGCCGACGTGCAGCCCTTCTTCGAGCAGCTCGGCTTCCACTTCCCGCCCCACGCCAACTACGGCGACGTCGTCACCGACATCATCACCGGGAACGGACGCCCGTACAAGAAGACGGGCGACATCTCCAAGGACGCGCTGATCGGCCACTGGTCTGCGTCACGACAGGGCAGCCATGGCGACGAGAGAACCATGGAGTCGGCTGTACCGTCTTGGCCGCAAAGTCCCGCGTCTTTATCCTCGTCACACACCGCGGTCCCAGCCACGGGCGCCGAACCACAACCCGCCCACCCTAACGACAGCACCAATACCACGACCGCCAACCCACGGTTCTCGCTCCCTTTCCCCTTCCCATCCTCTGCCGCCGCCCGCACTAGCACCAGCCAAAGCCACGCCAACATGCAGCGGCTGCTACGTCGGCGCGGCGCTCCTCTCTGGCGGCAGACCCAACTCTGCTTCGCACGAGCAATGCTCCAGCAGTACCGCGCCCTCGCGACCTTCTGGTACGAGATGTGCCTCGCCACGCTCGCGGGGTTCCTCCTAGGCCTCGCCGAGCACGCGAAGCAGGGCGTGCTGTTCACGGGTAGCTACCGCGGGGCGTACTCGATCCTGAGCGTGTCATCGGACCTGCGCTCCGCGCCCGAGCTAGCGCTGCTGGTAGCTATCGCGGTGGGGCTCGTGGGCGCCGCGCCGGGCGTGCGCGTCTTCTCCGAGGAACTGCTGCTGCACCGCCGCGAGGCCGAGGCCGGGCACAGCCGCCTGGCGTACTTCGCCGCTAAGTCGGCGGCGGCTGCACCGCGCATGGCTTGCGCGTGCCTGCACTTCTCGACGCCGCTGCTGCTGCTCTCGGCGGCCGTCGTGCCGTGGGGTGTGGCGTTCCTGGCGAACCTGCTGTACTTCTACTGTGTGTATGGGCTTGCGAGTGTGGTGAGCATGGTCGTGCGCCGTGAGGACGCGCCGCTGTTTGCGACGATGCTGAGTCTGATTGTCGGGGTCTTGTCTGGTGCGGCGCCGCCGCTCCGCACGGTTAGGGGGTGGCATGTCGAGTGGCTGTGGCGCGCCAGCCCGGGCGTCTGGCTCGCCGAGCTCTACTTCGGCCAGCTCGTCGGCCCGTTTGCATATCTGTACGACGTTGAGCAGGCGGCCGATGCTGCCGGCTTCGCGCTCGACCACCTGTGGCGCAACTTGGGTGTGCTGGCGGCCATTGGCACGCTGTATAGGGTGTTGGCATTTGCTGGTTTGTTTGCGGGCAAGAGGATTCGCATGTAGCTGTATTGCATTTGTGGGTAGCATGTAATACCTAGGGGTTCAAAATGCATTGTTGGATAGGCGGAAGGACTGGGTTTAGGTTTTTGCAGAGTAATATTGTGGTAAAACGGTGTAAATACAAAGACAGTTGGACGAAAGGGCAGCTTACCTTTTGACGATCGCGAGGTGGTGATCAGCGGTGCTCAGACAGTGCAAACTTCCATCCAAGTTCAACATAAAGCACTACTATTGGTTGTTGGTTGATGGCTAATGAACAGACTGAGGGGTCTCGGGGCACACGCACCGTGTCGAAGATGCTCACGCCGAGCGTCGTCCAGGTAAACGCGGGGTGCGTCTTGGCCTGAGGGTTGTGTCAGTGCGCGAACTGGTGCGGCTGATGATAGGTGTGAGATTTGCGCTTACACTAACGACTGCGACAGTCTTGATGGCCATTGTGTTGAGATATTTGTCACGGCAGGTGCAGACAGCTGACCAGATTGGTGCGCTCCGTCGTGGTCACACCGGATTTAAGCGGTGGTCTATGCACCCCACAACCACGTGACCCACACTACAGCCTACTTCCCCCGCGCCCTGCCCGAGCCTTGGAAGCTTTCTTTCCTTTTTCCTTCTTTAGCTTTAGATTCTACGAATACAGCAACCAAATTGCAGCCCTGCCTCTTTACAGTTGACTGTGCAGTGACAATATTGTTATTTTTTCTGTACTCAAGCTATTGGAATTTGGCTGAGATGATTCGATGCGGAATAGCAAATCTTGCGAGATGCAGTGAGTGCCAGTCCATCGAGACATCTTTATACGTTGACAACGTGGATACTGTCCGTGCATGAGTGAGGTTCTGTGCCAAGAGTCCAGGCCGTGCAAAAAAACATTCGGACGGATTTGTGAGAGTCGTAGGTTCAAAGCCAACAATGGCTCGGCCCAGGCTTGTTTCCCGTGCTGGTTTTCCGTGCTGACTTTCTCTTCGTTCAACCGGCTCGGACCACAATCTTCTAATCACGCTCGCCGAAAGTACCTAGTTATGCAATGAGTGCAGCCACATAACCAAAGCGTAGTCTAATTAACAATGTGGCATTTGTAACGAGTGTTTTGCAGCACGGCTCACTGCATTACCTCAACCTTCGGAGTTCGGAGTTCGGAACTCCACCGCACTCAAGTTCCGTCCGTCGGTCGGCCGTCCACATTTTGCCGGTGGATTAGGCCGCCGGGCGAGTTATTCCAGGCTGACAAAGGTCTGAGAGAACGGTCCTGCCTCTATTAGCTAATTCGCATAGCTCGGAGACAAAATACATCCAACTTGGTGGGAATGCCCAAGTAGCCGCTCCGCTCATGCGCTAACTTCATCGTGTCGTCTGTTACCAATATACGAGTTTCTGGATTTCCTTCGAATCGACAGAGAGTAGCAGCAATGCTTGCAAGGGTGGATTCCATGGTTCGAGGAACCGAGCTGATCGGGTGAATCATCCTAGTGTGTATTGGGATAACCAGGAATCGAACCTGGGTCCTCTCGGGTGTTGTTCGGCAGCCACAACGAGAAATACTGACCATTATACTATTATCCCTAGTCTGATTGTTGATATATGTGGATAGAGTTCAAGGTCATACAGGGAGGACCCGTCAGTGATTCTGTTGAGTGTTGATGGGCCCGGTGGATCGGGAACCCGCGACCCGGGACCCGCACTGCCGAGGTCTGTTGTCAGTCAATGGGGTGCACTGCAGGGCAAAAGCTAAAGGTTTGACACTGTCACAGGTGATTAAATCCTCGGAACCTTGAAAAGCAGCAGTGGGCTGATTTGCGAAACTGGTGGTGCCATGTGACATGGAGATATGGCCTAGTTCTGTCTCCTAGGAGTGATATTCAGGGGTCGCAAAAAGATGTTGTCAACAGTGGGTATGTGTACATTTTGGCTTGACCAGGTGCAGCAGTGACTGCCTATTGTTCCGCTTGAATCAACATCAATCACTCTTTCATCTCTTCTCAGGTACTGTTGTGGTTGGAATCCTGGGTAAGCTCGGACACTCAGCGTACGAGATGATCTCCGCGTTCTACCAAAAATTAAGGGGCCTTTCATTTCATCACCGTACTCATTCTTCATGATATCACCTGAGATCTGCAGCTGGGCCACCGCAATCCTGCTGTCCACCAAAACAAAAGAAAAGGGTGGGGGCAAACACCAAACCCTGATGGACACAGAGTGGAACCAATGGCGTCCACAAACTCGCGATACTTTGTGCATAGGCCTTGCCGAGTGCCGGGAAGGTCCATAACCGCAGCTGCCAAGCCTCTTCAAGACGTAGCGAGAGCATAAGTCAACTGTCCTAGTCCCCTGCACCTCACCTGTCCTAAAAAAGTGGGGTGGGACAGGTGAGATGCAGGGGACTAGGACAGTTGACCTGCACACTGAAGACGCAGCATACTGGAGATAGTCTTCAACAAAATCCAAGGGCCGCTGGCCTAGTGTATGATCCTCGTAAGCCAAAAATCCAAACAAGCTTCACCTGCGGCATTTCCCTGTGCAAACTGTCTCCACCAGGCTTAGGGTACAAACCCCAGAGAAATTCTACGAGAGGTCCTAGGTTCAATTCCCGAGTGGTCCCCGTCGTTTTGTCTATTGCTTGTCGGTAATGGCGATCGTTTGCAGCTTGTTGCGTTCGTATGCTTTTTGCAACACGATTATGGTGACGGAACTAGGTACTTTGCATGGCAAAGTCACTTTTGTCTAGCGCATTTTAATGTAAAAATACCTTTGCTTCTTTTTTGCGTGGAACTTAGGTACTGAGGCATTGTCTGAAAAGAGACCGACAGGCAAAAATTCGCCAGAACGAGTTGTGAATCATAAACTCTGTCATCAACTCTGTTAGACCAGCTTGCAAAAATATCCCCGAAACTCGCCGACTTTACTTGGCTGACAACACGTGACTTGAAAAACGACAAGCTACTCGTTTAAGCTTCCCCGTCTCGTTCCTGCGGGCCAGGCTGTCTCAACCTTGGCCTGCCACTCAGTTGTGGCCAGCCAAGGCGGTCGTCCAGCCTTACATAAGCCTCGCTTGAAACGCCAAAACGAATGATGAAGCCTCAACATCAGCTGATTGTCACAAAGCTGTGAGTAAACCACATTGCAACGATCCGGTGGTGGTAGTTGTGGGTGGTGGCTTGACAGCGAAACACGACTGCCGAAATAGTGCAAATGAGCGTTTGGTGCAGTGTTGTCATATGCCTGTGTTGCTGGTTGTTGATGTTGACAGCAGGACTAAACAAGCGACCCCGATTGGCTCGGCAACCCGGAGTCAAGCGACCAAAGTGGTCAGACCGATGCATCGGGGGACGAAGACGGAAACACGTCTTGGAAGATTGTCGCTCCAACTCCCGGCAGGCTTCTCGCGATATATGTCCTTGAACGGCGCGGAGCCCCGCAGATAAAGGGGCCGCGGGATGGGCCGGCTGGCCAGAGCTTCCGACAAGCGACGGCACAGCGACCAGCGCCGGGGCCACCCTCTGGCGCACGACGTGATACATGGGCCACAGGTCCAGATTTAGGCCCCTCGTCAGCATGGCCGTCCGCAGATCGAGATCTGCGTGTTGCGAGCTGCCGAAGACGTATAATAATTGAACACCCACGTCCGTCCGCATCCACCCCTGCCCCCCTAATCAACCCTTCCCGAAAAACTGACCGAAGCCTGGAAATAGCTCCGTAGCCCATGGGGGCAAGACCTGTGTGGAGACTAGGATTCACATCCCAGTGCCTCGGCCTTTTGCAGCTCTGATATCGTGCCGCGCTATTATAAAAACAAGCCTCCAATGCATCGCCTCCTAGGGCTCGCCATCGCAGCTTCTGCCCTGCTAGCCCTAGCGCAGGCCACTCCGGCGCCCGTCGTCGGCGGCGGCGGCGGCGGCGACTCAGCCGACAGCGTGCCAGTATTCCGGCGGGCCGACGACAACAAACCAGAGAAAGACTGCGGCAAGTCCAACATCACAGACCAGACGTCGTTCGCGTCGCCGCTGGCCCGCGACTGCATGCAGCTGGCGGCCAACATCCGCAGCGGCGGCGGCTGGTCCATCTTCGGCCCGTGGCAGAAGGAGATCGCGCAGTTCGGCACCTGCGCGTTCGGCGTCACGGGCATCTCCATCACGGGCCGGCTCGAAACGTTCTACGTCGGCAACCAGGACGTCATCGACTCGATTACCGACTCGGTCCAGCAGTTCCAGCACCTCGGCCGCGACGGCAACCCGATTATCGGCTGCGAGGGGAAGATGGGATGCAGTAAGCCTTTCCCTTTTTGCAATCTCACTGTGCGGTGCTGAAAAGACGCGAACAGATGCGAGGATCTCAGACGACCTGATTGTGACCTGGGGAATTTACCACACCAAGTGATGAACGAACCAGCCGGTTGCAGACCGGGCGCTGAAGTAGCGAAGCACCCAACCAACCTAATTGCTACTGCTAATGTGTTTATAATCGATACCATATATATCAGCTGAATGAAGAGCCTCACGTGGCAGTTGAGTGCTGGAGGAGGGAAGGAAAAGGCAATGGGGGGTAATGGAGGAAAGGGGTACAATAAGGGGGGACAAGACGATTAGAACTAGGCCGCTGTAGATACAGACACCAAGGCTTTCACAACAGGTCACTGTGCTCCCACCCGGTAAAGTGAAGACTACAGTGCAGTGAAGACTACAGTACAGTGAAGACTACAGTGCAGTGAAGACCACAGTGCAGTGAAGACCACAGTGCAGTGAAAGAACACAGTAATTGCAGCGAAGAAGCGTTGAATGCTTAGAACTAACCTTACCACTTCATTTGCCTCGCCTGCGGTCTGTAAACGTCAAGTCCGTCATTTTGCCCTTCAACTCCGAATGCTCAGCAGCTCCCAAACGATATCGCTAAAACATCATCATAACGCATCGCGGTCTTGATGCACAGAGACAGCCACCCTCCCTAGGTACATACACGTAAAAGTCCAATGGGCCGACGCCCACCAGCTCATTTTCCTGACAGATACTCCCTCGGCAACATCTTCGTCACTCCGCTCTCCCCGTCAGCCAGGCCTGTCCCTTCAGCTCCTCGATGGTGCTGTCTTTCAGCCACCAGCCGACATCAGTTTCTGCTACTTCAGGTTTGGCATCTCTCGCGGCCGTGTCCTCGGCATTGGTCTGCACGGTGACCTTTTTCTTTCCCTTCTTGGCCTCCGGAGTCTTGGCCACGGCCTTCGCCTTCCCTTTCCTGGCTCGTTTGTTGTTGCTAGCAGCGACCGAGCTGTCATCTTGGCCGGCATCATCTGCAAGGCCGAACAACCCAGTAGCAGCCGCCTTTTCTGCGGGCCTGTCAACGAGCACTGACCGCCGGTCTGCCCACTCAAATAAAAATCGTAGTCCCAGCAACCTATCGCGAGACCAGCCCTCTAGCCCGCTTCTAAGCACCAGCCTGGCGTCAACTGCCGTGCTTGCTCCTTCTCCCTCGCCAACGCCCCCGCCAGAGCCAACACGGTCAAGCACCAGAGAGCGCTCGGCATGCGTCAGATCTTTCAGTGCGTCCAAAGTGAAGAGCCACTCTAGCGGATCGCGGGCACCAAGGTTCATGCCGGCGAGATCGCTGCCACCCAACGCGCGGAGTGTGGCTGGGAACGGGCTTTCATGGGCCGGTCGGCGACGGAGGTACACGGACTGGTTTTTGCGAAAGTCTTCAATAATATGTGGGGAGCTTTCAAAGTCAATGGTAATGTTCCAGAATCCCATAGAGCTTGCGTCTGTGCTCACGTGCCGCACGTCTTCGAGCGGAGGAAGTAAGCACGGAGTCTGTTTACGGAAGCTGACGGCCTCGCGGGATGTTGAAGATGAAGTCGTGTTGCCGACAGTAGCAACGGCGGTGGGAGAGTTCGGCTTCAGCTCTATGAGCACGGGGACGTTAAGGGGCTGGCCAGTGACAAGATCTCTGGCCACGAGACAGCGAGGGTCTGTTGCTAGAACCCAAAAGTGCCGGAATGCCTGGAGATGCGACCGGTTATCTTGCACGCTTGCCGGGAATAGGGGGTAGAACGAAATGATGAGAGCCGCAATGGCGAGGTTGCTGGTGCTGAATGTGGCTGTACCACAGCCGAGAAACAGGGCGCCGATGGCGAGGTGAGCAGCGAGGTGGCTCCCATACGTTGTATTGGGATCGTCCCGGCCGTGCAGTGCGCGCAGTCGCCGAAGCACAACAAGATCCCCCGTGCCTGCCATCACAGTCGCACATGATAATGCCACCGTGTCCATGCACATGCGTGCATTCCCCCGAGCCACTTCACTGTCGAAGTTGCCGGCCGGGGTTCGGACAATACGCATGAACTCCTCCAGGTAGTGCACGAGCAAATCGCGCACTTTGGTATTGGCCGAACCAGCAAAGCGCAAACCTAGTGCGAAGCAGAGACCAGCTAGAATGGAGAAGAAAGGCATATCCTGACTGCCGAGCTTTGATACGTTTGTAAGACGCGACCTGGGCCTGTATGCAGCGGGCAGCGCGTCTTGTATCCACTCAAATGTTGGGTTTATCTCGTCCCACATAATGATGTTCTTTGCAACAGTTCGCAGCAACAATATGTCGGGGCGTACGTAGTCGAACTGCAAAATGGTGTTGGGAACATCAATCTTACGTGCAACAATATGATCCCCGGATTTCATGAAGATGAGCGCGATGGCGACGACGGCCCCGGCAGCAGACCTGTCGAGCACATGAGCTAACTCGACTCTCTTCGTAGACGTCGCAATTGTGAGCAGTTTCTCGGTCAGACGCATATCCCGCAGGCCCTTCAAGTCATTACCCCTGCCGAGGTTGATGAGGCCCAACGAGAAGCCGGCTGCCAGACGGTACCCTTCATCACGAAGAGGGTCCTCTTCCTCTCCGTCCTCAATAAACTCAATCTCAGACATCATGATTTCGCTCATGCGTCGGTGTTGGCTGTTGCAGTACAAAAGCCCGATGCCCATGATACCCGTGGTTTGGGTGTGTTTGGACAGGTTGAGTTCCGCAGCTCCGGGGGGCAGCATGCGAGTGACATGGACAGACAGAAGGCGGGTAATCAGCGAATCCATCGTCCCGATGTACGATGCTGCCAAGCCCAGAAGCAGCCCGATTGAAGTCATAGTATGCTTCGGAGTCAGATACTTAAACGCGACCCATTTGGCAACCGACTTGAGATGGCCGTTCAGCCCCAGCGCGAGCAAGAAGCCGGCGTGGCGATTGCTAAGGTCCTGGCCTGGTTTGTTGTAGAGGATCCACGACGTGTCGATCCCTTTGGCGTTCGGAGATATAGCAAGACCACCAGCGACACCTTGGTGAAAAAAGGCCCAGTTCATCTTCTCCTCGGTGAACAGTGATTTGTCAACTCCGACCGTGTTATTTGCCGGTTTGATGATGCACGTCAGGTTGAACCCGGCAATGTGGTACTTTTGCGTGAGAAGCGGGTGCCGGAGAGCATAGTATAAAAGACCTCGGCCTGCCGGAATGGCAAGGGTGCTAGTTGCGACGGTCGCCGCCAGATCCTTTTGCCGCTCCAAGTATTCAGGCTCCGTCCAGTCTTTCTTAGCGTCTAGACGGAGAACCCGAGGCTTGGTAGACGACAACAGATGTTGTGCTTCGTTCAGTCTCCTGTCATCCCTGAAAAGCGAGCGGACGACGGCCTGCCGGTCTGTTTCGTTGGTCTCCTCGACCTGGTCGTGGAGGTCGTCGAGGTGCTGGCAAATCATTTTGAAGTCCCATTTTGCAACATGGGAAGGAGCCTAACAAAGAATGAGTCCCCAGCCCTCAAATGAACATATGAACGAATCGGATACTCACATTGATGTCGGAGCCCAGGGCCTGGCCAAGCTTTGCTGGCTGCAATACCGCACTGATGTCAGTACGGTTCACAAGGGCAAGCAGGCTCTTCGACCAAGTTGTCGGCGGATGTGGCTGGCACATGTAAATAACATCTTGCAAAGGCGTCAAGACTGCTTCGGGTAGAGTTTCGAGAATCTGCGGAGTGAAGCCGCAATCATGCATAGCCACAACCATCTGGAAGGGGTTGCTTGTTGACTTGAGTAGGACAAAGAGCTTCTCGAACATGAGGGTACGGGACGTAAGGCTCCCCCACAAGTCCCGCCGGGGGCTGTCGGTCCAAAAATCCCGAGTGGCATTAGTGTAAACTTGTAGCAAAGTAGGGAATTCAGAGCCGTTATCAGTTGTGAGATGCGACTGAATCCAAGTCAAGATGCAATAAATGGCCGGGGGCTGGGCGATGCTTGTGTGGACAAACGGGGCTGCGGATACGTCAGTAATACGATTACATCTACTCGAGGGTCGTTTGGCATACCTGAGTCGCGGGTTTCTTCCAGTTCGACCTGCATTCCTAGAGCGTAAAGAGCCTCGTATCCCTTCCATCCCAGCCACCGAGAAAGCTGGCAAAGCACCGCTTTCAGGTCGCTCGGGCCAGGCGAAACTTCCTCCGGGGACAGAATGCTGAGTTTTTGTTCCTCAACAAGAAGATGCATGGCAAGCATCGTACTCCATGCTGCCATATTCCGAGATTCTCGGTCCCTGCTCACCGCCGTCGGAAGATAACCCTCGGACCCAAACGCCGAGAGACCACCGACTGACGACATATACCTTTTGGCGAGTCCTATATGAACGGCCATGAAGCTACCCGACCCCGAGTCCTGTTCCGCGGGGCTCTGTGGTGTGTCCAGGACGCCCTCGTCGAGCAGCCAGGACCACCCCTTCTTACGCATCCAGGGCGGACAGGCAGCCGAGTTTGGGGTTTCGTGCATCATCATAAGTTCAAAGTTGCTCTTTGGGGCCAACCGCGGGGGAGCACTGCTGTTAGCCCTTATGGATTTCTCGTCGGAGCACTCCAAAACCAGGAAGCTGCTCAAGAGTAGAATTACTAGAGACGACCACTCCAAGTCTGTTGGGGGAGGGTCGAGCCCCTCATCTTTCAGCTCCTGAAGCCACTGCATAATGTGCCACCACCCGACAAGCATTTTTTCGGCATGCGAAGAGGGCAGGACGCTCCGGCAGGTCGCCAGTGTTCTCCGAACAGAAGGGGACAACGGCTGAAGCCTGACTCTGATGCGATGAAACTTGCCATCTTTGTCCCGAAGATCAATGACGCCACGGTATTTGGGATGGCAGATGGAGTCAATCTGGGTGCCGGTGACCCGGGCACGTACTTCTCGATTCACCCGGTGGCTACCAACAAAGCCGAGACTGTTGATGTTGTCGACGAAAAGTAGCGGCAATGCCACTGTAGTCAATGGACGCCATGGCGATTGCAAGCTTAACTCCCGCCTCCCAGACCTGTCTTCGGACAGGATTATGATAGTCTCTTCACCATCAGAAACCTTGCACGAGTCAACTACACTCTGGACTCTCCGGACTTCGGCGAATGTAACGTTCACGTCGGGCGAATCTGTTGGTGGGGATCTGTTGCTCTTTCCTGGGGTTTCGTCTTTCCGCCTCTCGACAAGAAGAGTAAGAAGCTGCAGTCTTTTATCAACCGGGTCCTGGATGCCAACCAAAAGCAGCGTGCGACCCTGCTCATCCGTGGCGGTGGGTGGACCGACTAGAACAAACACCCTAGACTGGCTCCTTGCGGGCTTGCTGGAGGTCGAGTATCGAACGTTTGCATTGTCCATGGTGATACTATGGACCTTGGTGAAAAGCATCTCGTGGGTAAGACCGTCGAAGTCGTGATCTTCGAGGCCCATTGTGTGGAATCCTCCAAAATCGCCGTCTACGCGCAGCTCCTCGAGCAAGCTGTCTGCCTCGCTGACCACGTTAAGGTTCTGATTCAGAGCGCCGCCGAAACTCGGGCCACCATATCCGCTGCTCATGCGTGGTCGCTGACTGGTCTGCGACTCGACCCTCCTTCCGCTAGGCCCGCTATGTAGCGGCGGTTCGGCGAAGTTAGACCTGTCCTGGGACGCGGAGAGGTCTGCTCGGGCCAGCAGCGAGCTCACTCTCCGCGACTGCCTACGGGTCACATCGCTGCCCCTCTCGGGGTCCAAGGCGCTCAAAGCGTTGTCCAGAGTCTTTTCGAGAATCTTGTCCTTCTCGTCAATTCTCACGCTCTTCCTTGTCTTCTTGCCAGGAAGGGGCGCGCCAAAGCTTTCTCTCATCGCGGGGTGCAGCGGGGTTACAGCACCGCTTGCCAACCCAGGTGCCATAGAGCTCCGCCGGCGAGATACTTTTGGTGCTTTGTCCTTTTGCCGTCCAATGAAGGGGTCTTCTTTCCGGAGATAGCTGAGTCGCCACACGCTGTACATACTCGTTTCACGATTGACCGTCACGGCGATGTTCAACCTGCCTTCCCCGGCACTGGAGTCAAAGGGAATCTTGATCGCCTCGATGTGCACAATTTCCTCGCTTGCATTGAGGAAAATGGCGCCGACGGAGCTCCTCCGCCCTCCAGCAGGTCTGGGCTTGTCCGTCTGTGTGACCACTAGGCCAATCTCGAGCAGGGGGTCCGTCAGACACACCAGACGGGGCCAGTGGCTCTCACTCGACTCAATTGGCTGTTGCCACATATTTTCCAGCGTCGAGCTGAGACGAAGCGGCAACACTTTTGGGTTCCCCAGTCCTTCGGTCGAGAATTCCGTGACCTTCTGGTTCCGCGCTGACACGGGCGAATTTGACGAAATAAACGAGTTGGGGGGAACCTTGGGTAACCGAAGCGGCACCAACACCGTGTTATTTGCCTTTGCTTTTCGTTGTATAATGACGCCGACTGGCGCTGCGCAGGCCGACTCGACCTCGAAAGGCATGTGGACGACATGGCTTGTTCCGGAGAGGAAGAAGATGTGGGCTTGGGTCTTGAGGAAGACGACAAGGGCCCTGGAGAGGAGCGATTGGTCGTCGGGTTTCTTGCTAGGCTGTCCGATTTCTGGGGGCATGTGTTGACTGTCGGACGAGGCGAGGAAGTAGGTCAAGATGGCCTGCGTGATGGGCTCGTTCTCGAGGTCAAACTTGAAGCTCTTGCGGAAAATGCCCCCCCGGGACCAGAGCACGCAGGTCTCGGTGGTGAGAAGCTCGTCTTCGCAGTCGAAATTGGCCTCGCTGTCGGTACTAACCTCCCACGTGTAGGAGGAGACCGGGGGGTTTGGGGGGAGAATGCCCTCCTCGATCGCATGTCGCAAGCTAGTCGGCTGGTGCACTCCCAGCGACGTGACCGACGCCATAGTGCCGGCGGGGTCGGCGGGCGGCGGTCAGGTTCTAGAGTAGTGGATTTGGCAAGTTACGCCAAAATTGGAGTTGAGGGTCTCGATAATAAGAGAGCAAAGCGAGACATGTCAAAGATTGGGTTTTGCAGACAACTTGAACTGGCGTTTGTTACCTGGCGGGATGGAAGGTTTGGCAACTTTCGACCCCTCTCCTCTCGTCAGTGCTGTTCAAAATGTGGTAGGCGCGTTCAATTGCTCGACGCGACCGGCAACCGACCCGGCAAGGCTGCAGCGCCCCACAAATGTGAGAGAAACAGCTGTTGATTGGCCGAAGCTTGACACATCATGCAGGGCAGCAGGGCCACCTCGGCCTGTCCTTTCATTTGGCGCCATAGCTCTGACGTAGCTTTCGGTCTCGCTCGTGCAACTGCTACCTGGAGCTTCGACAGCGCACGCCGACCGACCTGAAGCCCCTCCCGCGCATCGCACAAACGCCATGACGCTGCTGGCTTCTCTGGAATCAACATGACCGAAGCCTCGCCGGACGCCGGCGACAGAGAGACGCAGCATGCAGTCTCCAGCCCAACGCCCAACGACGCCGGCCCAACAGCGACAGACCAGCTTGCCGCCGACCATCCCGCCGACCAACCCACCGACGTGACACGGCACGCCGACGACAGTACCTCGGCCCTCACGAGCGATGGCGCTGGCGGTAGCACTAGCATAAATACCGGCGACGAGGCAGAACAAGCAGCTCCCAAAGCAGCCGATAAAGACGAGGGTAGAAAGGAGGGAGGAAACGACGGCGCCAACGATGGCGCCAACGACGACGACGACGAAGAGGATGAGGAAGACGAAGACGAAGATGACGACGAAGACGAGGATGACGAACCGAAGCTCAAATACGCTAGGCTGACACAGCATTTGGGACCCGTCTACCGGAATGGCGACGCCACGAGCTCCTTTCTGGTTTCTGGAGACAAGATGGTCTGGCGCATCGCCTCCGTATCGCCGGCTCACTCGCTAACATGGCTTGGCAGATCATGGGAACGCACAACGGCAATATCGTCAGTGGCCCTCGACACGCGCAAGATGCCCCATTTGCTAACTAGTTCCATAGCATATTATCCAACTGCCCGTCTTCCAGCCGCTCCACGTCTACCACGCCCATTCTGCATCCGTGACATCTTTATCGATATCTCCCTTTCCCGCCCCGCTCCCAACTGTCAAGTCAGAGGCAGCCGCGCGGGGCATCACCCAGTCTGGGGCCAACACCCTCCGACCGGGCACAGGAACGAGCCAAGCTCCAACCTCGCCTGCCGCTGCAAGGAGGCCGAAGGAGCGTCCCGCTGTTCCAAACACCCCGGCGAATAACATATACATAGCAACGTCATCGATGGACGGGAATGTCTGCGTGCAGTCACTGATTGATGTCAAGGATGTGCAGCTTCGAAACTTTGCTCGCCCGGTACAGGCAGTTGCCCTCTCACCAGAGTACAAACACGACAGGACTTATCTCTCTGGCGGGCTGTCTGGACAGCTCATTCTGACCGTCGGTGCGCCTGCGGGCCGGAGCACTGCAACGACCACAGGCGCTACTGCGCAGGCTGCTGGCTGGTTGGGCAACATGGTGGGAGCCACTAGCGGCAAGGATACTGTCTTGCATTCGGGCGAGGGCACCATCAATACTATCAGGTGGTCATTGTCGGGCAAGTATGTGGCATGGCTGAATGAGCACGGCATCAAGATTATGCGCACAAAACTGCACCTCGAGAGTGCCGATGCAGAGGATGCCTGGAAGCGCATTGGCCATATTGACAGGCCGCAGACGGACGAATGGGAGACCATGGCCAGTGTGTGGAAAGGCAGAGTCGAGTGGATCGATGAGCAGGCCATCGAGCCCGACGAGACTGACAAAGATCGCCAAGCAGCGCCATTGTCACCCGCAGCGGAAAGGCTCAAGCAACAGCAGTTGAAGAGCACTAAAAAGATTGAGCGCTTGCTCGTAGGTTGGGGTGGCACCATCTGGATCATCCACGTCCATCCCGGCAGCATTGGGTTCGGCAAAAACGCCGGGGAAAGGTCTGCTGGACGGGCAGAGATCGTAAAGATGTGAGTAGTGGCCCCTGAACAGGCCTTGAATATGTACGACACGTTGCTGACCTGTTGCAGACTTCGCATGGATTGCATTATTTCCGGCATCTCGTTATATACCCAGAACCTGTTATTAGTACTTGCTTTCTGTTTTCCTGATAAGGAGGAAGAGGAGGAGAGCGGAGAGAGCAGCTCTCGCGGTCACAAACACACATTATCCACAGCATCTACCGGGAGCGAGCCGTCGGGGGGCATACGCCGCAAGCAAAACAACCCGCCACCGGAGTTGCGGCTGATTGACCTCACATCACAAGCTGAGGTCGACAAGGACGGGCTCAGCGTGAGCCGCTTCGAGCGGCTGTCCTCGAACGACTACCACCTCGGCGTTTTGCCAGCGCAGACTGTGGCCGCGGTGGCATCGACTCGCGGAGCTCTAGAGACTCTAGCGGGGCTTGGTAGCGAGATGCTCAACGTTGCCTTCAACCCCAGGTCGCTATTCAACTCGGGAGCCAGCGTCAAGAGCAACGGTAGCAATGATGGGGGTTCTGGGTCCAAGATTACCCCTACGTCGAGCAACGTAGCGTCCTCACTGCGCAATGGGCGCGGCTCTGTCCACCCGAATCTGGCCAAGCCCGGGGTCAAGATCTTCCTCCACAGCCCGTACGACTGCATCTTAGCAACAAAACGTGACCTAGGAGATCATCTGGCGTGGCTTTTAGAGCGCCAGCATTATCAGCAGGCCTGGGAGTTGGTTGACGAGTACCCGGAGGTCATGTCAAGCGTCGAGAAACATTCTGACGTGTCCCCCGCGACTCCAGACCGGACACAGACCTCAGACGACTTCTTCGACGACACTTCGTCGGTCATGGACGGCATGCGGTCTTTCTACTCGTCGGCGGAGAAGGAAAAACGCCGAATCGGAGAAATGTGGGTGCAGGAACTCATCGAAGCTGGCGACTGGGCTCGTGCAGGTCGGGTCTGCGGCAAGGTTGTAGGCTCACCAGACCGATGGGAGAAGTGGGTGTGGACGTTTGCTGGCGCGGAGAAGTTCGACGAGATTGTGGACTACATCCCGACCGAACCCACCCGGCCTCCGATCCCAGGGACCATATACGAGGTTGTGCTCGGGCACTACCTCGAGTTCAACAAGCCCAGGTTTCGCGACTTGCTAGAGAGGTGGCCAACATATCTATTCGGCGTCACGTCGGTGACGGCTGCTCTCGAGCGGCAGCTCAAATACCGCGATGTCCAAGAGGACAGTATCGAGGACGGTGAGGTCGGCCGCGATTGGCGTATCGTGATGGAGAGTCTTGCTAAGCTGCATGAGGCCAACGGCCGAACCAGGGAAGCTCTGAGATGTTACATCAAACTCCAAGATGCCGACTCGGCGATGCGGTTGGTCAAAGATGGCCACCTCGCGGAGGCAATTACGGATGACATTCCGAGTTTCATTGGGTTGCGCGTACCACAAGACCGCGTCAACAAGATGACCCGCGCCGAGCTCGAAGAGGCAACCTCGGAAGCCATCACGCTGCTTGTCGATGAAGCCCAGCACGGACTGGTCAAGCCCGACGTTGTTGTTAACCAGCTGCAGGAGAAGAACTTGGCTGCGTATACCTTTTTCTACATCCGAGGTTTGTGGCGTGGCCAGGGCATCCACCAACACCATGGCGAGTCCCACGATCGTCTCGTCTCGGACAGCAAATCGCTAGTCGACAATTTTGCCGACCTCACAGTCCAGCTCTTCGCCCTTTTCGACCAGTCGCTGCTTATGGACTTTTTAAAGACGTCGACGGCATACACGTTCGAGAAGGTGAGCTTTCCTTTCTGTAAATCGCCATGGGGCATCCAGACCCATATTAACATTCGAAATAGGCTGTCGAAGAATGCGAACACAAAAACTACATCCCGGAACTTGTCTATCTGTACTCCAAGACTGGCGAGATGAAGCGGGCGCTGTATCTCATCATCGACCGGCTCGGCGATGTCAGCCGCGCCATCGCGTTTGCCAAGGAGCAGGACGACCCGGATCTGTGGGAGGATCTGCTCAACTACAGCATGGACAAGCCGCGCTTCATCCGCGGCCTCCTCGAGGAGGTCGGCACAGCCATCAACCCAATCACCCTGGTGCGGCGGATCCCCCAGGGCTTGGCCATCGAGGGCCTGCGCGAGGGCCTGAAGCACATCATGAAGGAGCACGAGATCCAGTTCAGCATCAGCTCTGGCGTGGCGCGCGTGCTGCGCAGCGAGGTCGCCGCCGCCCAGAACCTCCTGCGCAACGGCCAGCGCCGGGGCGTCAAGTTCGAGGTTGAGGTGCACGCCGCCGACCACGTTGACGTCCAGCCCAAGGACGCGCCGGCACTAGATCCGCACCAGGCGGACGGCAAACCAGCTGCCGGGGATGAGGTGCCGGCCTCCGCAGAGGGCAGCGCTGCCGCTGCCAAGCCCCCCGGCGCGGCCAAGAAGTGGTCGCCGGGCCACTGCGCGCAGTGCTTCGAGCCGTTCGCCGCGTGGGAGACGGAGACGCTGGTCGGCTTCGCCTGCGGCCACGTCTTCCACCTCGCCCACCTGCTCGAGGCGCTCCGCCCCGGCCAGCCCGTCGACCGCGTCCTCCTCGACGGCGTCGCAGAGTACCGCTCCCACCGCATCGGCGCGAAGGTCACGCACGCCCGGCTGCTGAGGGACCGCATCATGGGCGGCTGTCCGGTGTGCAAGGTCAAGGAGCCTCCTGCGTGAGCGGGCGCTGACTCCTAAGTAATTCCATGGAGAGGAGGGGATGGTGGGTGGGAGTTGGAAGTTGTTTGGGGGCGCGGTCTTGGCTGTAAATACTAGTTGGTACTAATACGACACCGATACTTAGTAGTGCGTAATTAGCCTCGGCCTGCGTAATTGGTCTCGGCCTGCGTAATTGGCCTCGGCCTGCGTAATTGGCCTCGGCCTGCGTAATTGAGGGTCGAGCTGTAAATTACCGTTTTGCCTTTATTTTCCTCGTGTTTTCTCGTAACACTGTGGGTAATTGTCATGGCACCTGCAGTTGAAAGCGTCGCGGAATTCAGTAAGCAGTACTGCCGCCATATTCTGCGGTTGCCTTGTTGTACTGCACAGTAAACGCATGGAGTTCATGGTGCCGCTCTTGCTGTTGCCCCGCGAGGTCATTGGCTGAGCAGGTTCGGCGTTTCGGTGAGGTGGTGTGGTGTAGTCGTGTCTGCAGTCGTGTGGTGGTGTGGTATCACCGTGACGTGGAAATGTAATTCTGTACCATCGAGTACCAGCGCGCAATGACACGATCTTTGGGTCTCCCTTTTTTGTCCTCTTTTCCTTTTTTCCTCCTTTCTTCCTTTCCTCCTTCCTTTCTTTCCTTTCCCTCTGTCTTTTGTGTCTGTCTTTCTTTTTCTCTTATCTCTTCTTTCTTCTTCTCTTATCATTTTTTTCTTCTCTTATCATTTTTTTCTTCTCTTATCTTTTTTTTTTCTCGTATCTTTTTTTTCTTCTCTTATCTTTTTCTTCTTCTCTTTTAATTTTTACACGTATCTCCATCGACAACTTCTGATACTATACCCACCTTCTCCCGACACTCACAACCGACTAATCTGTAGTAAAGCTCTCGGAACTCGCGTAATACCACGATTTAAATTTCCGGCCCTGTCCCACCTGTAGCCAGTCTCATGGTTCAATACGACGTGCCTGACTTTTCACCAATAACAGGCGTCCACACTATTTAGAATGGGTTGGCCTCGCATTCCTTGGCGCGTTCTGGTGGAGGCGGAGCATCTGGACAAGGCTCTAGGTCGAGCTCTCTGCGGGGGCGGACTCGCATTTATCAACCAAGCCATGGCCGATTCTTGTTATCGCTCCCTTACCTAAAATCGGTTCGTATCAGTGATGGCTAAGTCACCGTAGTTTCTTTGGCAATCTGGCTTCTCTCTCACGCTTCAGTCGCTCGACTCGCTCCCCAACATGGGGAATAATAAAGCCAAGACGCACCGCCTTGAGGGGGTCATGGTGGACGGCCTCCAGGTCCAGATCACCATCTTGACAATCGCCAAAGACGATCCCCCGGTCGCTCCCGTCTCCCCGTCGGGTGCTGGCATCTATAGTTGCCCACGAACCACGCAAGAGTTCTTCAATGAAGCCAACGTTCAAAGCCTGCCGACTTTTGTGAAGCGGGAGCTTGCCACCTCGACTGGGTCTTTGTTATGTAATTACAGCCCAGCCCTGCGATTTGTTTCATTAATAATGACTATCGTGAAGCTTGGAAATACTCTGACCTGTGAATTTAAGCATTGTCGAGGGCTGGCATCCTTGGGCCTTTGGTCCTATGCAAGAAACCTTGCCCACTTTTGATCTACGCAAACACGAAAGTGAATGGAAAAGTATTACCGGAAAACAACCCCGATATATTGAGTCCGACGAAGTCCCAGGTAGCTACTGCCATTCTTTCGATACCTAGACTCCGAAGCATAATCCGCACTCGTCACTGACAAAAGGTTTGAACCTCAGAGACAATGACCTATTCGGACAGCTATCTCAGATTTGAAAAATATAAGGACCAGGACTATCAAACGATGCTACCATACGTGGGTTAATCGTGCTTCACCCCAAATTTATTGGGTTTTTTTTTGGTTTCTGTTAGTAACAAGCATGGAATATTAGATTTTTACATGGATCTGTCGAGCCAATGCATTTCCCGAATCCCCAGATCGGGAAGTTATCGCCGTTTTCTACACAAATGTCAGCGAGCAAATTTTTCCCCTTACCAAAACACTGGTAGCCATTTTCCACAACTCTCGATACTGGAAGGAACTACAACAATGCCCTTACAACATCTTTATCAACATTTGGGTAGTTCTAGCGAATTGGAGAACCGTTCTAAACGCATTTGAGCAAGAGCGGGAAGATGCAGAAAAGGCGAGTCTGCTGATTTTATTGGGTCTCTTTTTAAGCCTTTTTCCATGAGTTGAGATGCGGTTGGGTCATCCAAAGCGGCTAACAACGATACCGTGCACAGAAATTGTTTGGTAACAGAGGGCATAAAGGATGAATTGTCATACAGACAAAAGATTTATATCACAAGGCGTCCAAGGTTATGAGATATCAGCAGTTAATTCGTATGGATGCGAGATTTTTCAAGTGCATGCAAGATCTGGTGAGAGCTAGTCGCGATGCTCACAGCCAGCCATTCAAGCGTTTCAATTCTGGGATCGGTGACTTGCTCTCCAAGATTGAGAGTTATAGGGAAGAATTCAATGCTCTTCTCAGTCGCTGGAATAATCTGTTGAGTTTGGTGGGTGCCACCGAAATCTGCAGACGAAGCATTCCCCCCCCGCTAACGCCAGTCAACCAATAAGTCAGGTGGGGGACTTTTGGAACACCCCTGCCTATGGAACAGCCCCTGAATCGGACCCCGCACAACACCACAAACTTCAATTGCCAACAACTTCGTCAATTAATTAGCTACAATGATGAAGTCTTCAGTATCGGATTCTCCTGATTCTTCTCTTTCAGAATAACTAAGGTCCTCTCTGCCAGCCTCTCTCTGTGAGGCACGAACCTCCTCAATTCCAGCGAACTGCGTATTAGGGTCGACTTGGACCTTCCTTCTCTTTCGGCCTCTTGTGCGTTCTAGGCTTTTTTCTGCAGCCTCCAATTGATGCGCCGTATTGGCTAGTTGGAAAACCACGTAATCGAAGGCTTTTGCGGCCTTGCGTATGAAAAGTCGGTCGTTGGCAGTCCGTTTCTGGCCGGCTAGAAAAACCTGCCCCTGAATACGGAAATCCTTCGGCTTTTTAGGGGTAAACCATATAGGCCGGCCCTCCGAATTCTTATTTAGAATGGGGTTATGGACCTCTTGAAGGTCTATAGAAACCGTAGAGGTCAGTTGACCAACGTCGCCGTTAGAATTCTTAATAACAAGGCCGTTGCTTAGGGGCTTCCTGAGGCTGACCGGCCAGAGGCCTGTAGCTTTCCAGCCGGCTTTGATATTAGATTCAGTCATTCCATAGACCCTGGCTTGCCGGTAGCATGCTAGGAAGGCCCTCTTTTCAGCAACAGTGCCTTCGTCGAAGCCGGAAACAACCTCATTATGCTTGGCTCTGTACCGGGCTTTTAGAGGGCCGAAAACCGATAAATCCAGGGGCTGGAGAACGTGGGAGGTGTGGGCTGGTAGAAATAACAATTGTACGTTATTAGAAAAGGCTAGCCACATGAATTTTTCGGTGGTATGACTACCGTGGCCATCTAAAATAAGGAGGCGCTTCTCCGAGGGGGTAGCTGGCCGAGTCTCTGGAAGAAAGATATTGCGGAGCCATGCGACGGCAGTATCATCGTCAGACCAGCCGTTTTCAGTGGATTTCCACTTCCAGCCCTTAAATGGCTGTAAATCGCGTGGATACCATTGTTGTTGAAGGCTTCCACCTTTGAAAATGACGACTGGGTTCAAATACCGGCCGTCAGCGGAAATACATTCGATAATCGAGGTCCAAATTCGGTCTCCTTTCTTCTTTTTCTGGAATTTCTTTCTTTCCTTAGATCCAACAACCAGGCCGTTATCTCCAATGCCAGAAGCAATGCCAGTTTCATCCATATTATACCTATGCTTGGCTGGAATAGCCTCCACGCCTGGAGGCTTCAAATAGTCAAACCAAGACCGGATAACGGCCTCAGAGGCTCGATCAGCACGGTTTGCATGGATTCTCCGAGGCCTAATTGTAGAAATAGATGGATTTCTAGCCAAAAACCGGCTAGTCCAGCGTTTTCCGAGGGTCTCGTTATCTTCGAGCATTCTTCTAGCTAGTTTCCGAATTTGGGCGTGGGTTGGAGGGTGACCGAGCGACCCTTGGAATAGAATCCATTCGGTTAAGCGTTCTTGCATAGCCGGAGAAAGCTTTTGATTAAGAATTTGGGCCTTGGAGGCTGGCTCGGAACCACGAACCCGATTAAAGAGAGTAGTAGGGGGGATGCCGTGATTTTCAGCAGAGCTACGGAGTAAGCCGGTTTCTGCATACTCTCCAGCGCATTCTGCAAATCCAACTGAGTATATCGCTTCATCTTTCATTTCTCAATTGAATAGAGAAAAGAAGATAAGTATTGAAGCAGAATTGGTCGAGTTGCAAGCGATTGAAATAGGTGAGTTGGGTGGCGAGCGGCAAGTCCTTGATGACAAACCTTGTTCCAAATCCAGGGGTGTTCCATAAGCAGACCACCTGACTTAGAGGTTCAATCTCGAGACCGTCCACCAGACGCAGGCAGTGGCCCGGATTAACGCCCTCGCCTTTGTGTTCCTTCCATTGAGCTTTGTGGCGGTTCGTTCCCCCGTCCCCTATGATGCACTCGTTTCCGAATTAACAGCGAACCATATACAGTCGATATTCGGCATGACATCTTTCGAACTCGAGGCACGCTTCTATCCCGCCGTCGCCTTGCCCACTGTCGCCTTGACAATCGGCCTGGTGTATGTCGTCAGACTTGTTACAACACCTCGAGTCACGGCACGAGTAGGGCATCGGAATTAGCCGTCGCCACATGTTTCCTAATGGCCCAGCAGTCTTTGTGTTAGGGATAGAATTCATATCAATATTTCCTCGATATTTCGTTTGTGAACAGGGGTGCAATGATCTCTCCGGGCAGAAAGCCACTGGTGTTGGAGTAGTCATACTTGGCACGCATGTCATCTATCGGGAAGTGGAGCATGGCTCAGCTGAAGCCGATAAATACAGGCACCTGCATCGATAGTGCTGCTTGACACAAGCTGAAGATTTGCATTGGGCTTGACTGAGATAATGAATTCTAGCCCGTCTTTGCCGTTTATTGCTTCAACAGAAGGCCTAGCCATGATGCGCCTACAAATTCTAGAAGACTCGCTCTCTCCTCTCGTAGCTTTACGGGCTACCTTCAATCTTTCCCACGTCACCTTACAAGCCACCGAGCAACTTCTCATACCACACGCCAATACACACCCCTTCGCACGCCCAACATGACGACGTCTGCGGCTGTCATCGCCGCCCTCTACCAGGACATGGGCGGACAGGTCCGAGAGTCAGTCATCAACGGCATCTGGTACGAAGCCCTCCGGATCCAATTCCCCTCGCCGGCCTTCATCATCGCGCCCGAGTACTACACGCCGCTCGGCACGCGGGTCGACCTCTGCGTGCTGGAGAGGGTGCCGGGCGGGCCGCGGCCCGTCTTCGCCTTCGAGGGCAAGCAGGGTCCGATGAACCAGACCCAGTGGACGGCCGACGTGGGACAGGCCGCCGGCTACATCTCGCAGATGACGCCGCTGCACAACGGCCGGCGCTACGGCATGCTGGCGTCGGGCGACGGCTTCATCATTCTCGAGTACACCCCCGGCGGGGGGCAGAACCAGGTGCTCAAGGTCACCGGCGCCAACTTGGCGTCCGCCTACAACACGACGCCCTGGGACGCGTACGCTCAGCGGGCCAATGTCGACGCCATCGTCGGGGCGATTGCTCAAGTGGTTGCACACACGGCGTAGTTTAGTTTCCCGTAGACGTTTGTTACTTGTGGATGTCGCACGCAATGGATGGCTGCCTTTGTCTTGTTCTGCTAGCGCTCAGTAAATAAATATTACTCGACATATCACCATCTCTTGGATATCGTTATGCACCAACGTGGAAAGATTGGCCCCTTGAAGCTGACAAGACGCCATACTCTCTTGGAAGTGACTGACATCAGCCAGCCGCAGGATGTCGCCCGCCCTGATCAACATGCAAACCGCCAGCTGAAAATGTCGTTTGTGTATCAACATTAGCCCTTATCGTGTATCTCGTCTGACTCATCTGCAAAAGCCCAACCCGTGGCTGGCTGGCCGACAAAAGAACTGTTTCCCCATTCGCGGTCTCAAAGCTGACAGTCCTCAGCTAGCCACGTAGCAGACCTCAACCGTCCCCCAGCTCAATAGCCATCAATCACCACAGCCAGCCGCAATTCCGCAATTCTTCCCCACACTCACCAGACAATACACACTCCCACTCCCTCCCCTCCCCTCCCCTCGCAGCGCTAATTAATACTCACCGGCAGAAACAGCCCACCTCCCAGCACCACCACCAGCTCCAGCACCACCAACAACCCTCGCCGCCGCACCCTCACGCAGCGCCTTGACGCGCAGCGCAACAGCCAGCGCCTGGTCGAGCCGCGCCAGGCGCAGGTCCATCTCGGACGGCGAGCGCGCGACGCACGCGCGGTTGAGGCACTGCGGCGTCACGGTGGCGTTGTAGGGCCCGTCGTGGCATATGGGCTGTTTTCATCTGTAAGTTTCTGTTTTGGAATTGTGAAGAGGGACAAGGGGTGTTGGAGGGGGAGTGGAAGAACTTACGCAGTACCACAGAAACAGCCGGTGCGGCTCCCGCGAGCTCATCATCTGCGCCGAGAAGAGGCGGCGCGGCGACCGGCGCGGCTGTGTTGCTCTGTTGCCGTCTGGGCTCGTGGCTGCGGTGGTGATGTTGTGGTGGTTGGTGTCTGCTCTTGCGGTTCCTGTCTCCGTGGAAGCTGCCGCCTGCGTCACGAGCTGCAGCCCCTTTTCTGCCATCCGCTGGCGGAAAGCACTGGTACTCGCTGGCGTTTCGCTAGGCTGTGGAGGGTTCGGCGGCAGGTGAGCATCCTCGGAGTCATGGGCGAGAGCGGCAGCGTTTGCCTCGGTGATCAGGGCGTCGTCGTACAATTTGAGTTCGTCAAGGTCGCCCCTGGGTTTGTACTCGTACTCGTCCAGCCCCGCCGAGGAGGGGGGGTTTTGCGTGGGAGACGAGCCCGAGCCGGTGGGCCGAGACGAGCCCCGTCTGATCTTGTTCATCGGTCGGGCACCTGATGTTGATGACCGCCGCTTTTGCCTCGGTGTAGGCCTCGTCGCAAATTTGCTTGCGTGTCGGTCCGGCCTGTTGTCCGCCTCAGGCTGCTCTCTTAGGGCCGAGAGCTCGGCTTCGAGCTCGTCCAGGGCGTCCAGGCAGTCCTGTTCCGGCAAGCCGTAGATGTTGGACAGGTGTGCGGCCAGAATCTCGGCGTCTTGGAAGTCCTGCATCGTCAGCTGTACCCCTTTCCGGATGATGGCTCCCGAAGGGTGAATTCGGAAGATGGTGTCGATGAGCTGGACACGCTTGTAGCTGCCAATCTCTTCATCGGCGGGCTTGGGAGTGCTGGGTGGTCTGGGCCGTGGGACTGCTGGGTATCGAGGTTCTGGGGTGCCTTTATTACGTATAGATGCGTTCCTTCTCCGCCCCGACGTGGGAATGAGCGACGTTGTCACGTCATCCTTCTGAACCTCGATGTCTTGGACTTCCTCGGCCCGGCGATAGGTGAGTCTGCATCTGGAGCTGTGATGCATGCGATGTTACTAAAGTGCAACGGGCAACTAGCAAGAGTTATTGTGAGAAGACTAACCATGTGATTTCGTCAGTCGTGCGTCCTGGGTTTGTGAACTGGCACGAAGGGCATTGCTGAGCGGGCAGTGAGCTGCGTCGTCTGAACACCATGCTCATGTTCAACACTCTCCCGGGCTGCAATCTTTGTCAGATTCCTGTCATCTCAGTTCCATCTTGCAGACTCACCTTCATGATCGAGCTCCATGGCCTCGAAAAGTCGACGGCACGTCCGGTATCCTGGTCTTCGAGAAACCACTCTTGCCTCTCTATCTTGCCGCAGCCTATGTCCTGAAATCGGTCTTTCAGAATAAACATGAATGCCTGTGTCCATGGTTAGCTCTTCTCTCTCGGGCCTGAATTTGATCAACAAGCCAACCTCTTTCGACGTGATGGTCCCCAAGTGCACAATCATGCATTCTGCACGAGCATCGACAACCCGCACAGATTGGTCCGAGAGCTGCGGCACTAGCCTCGACTGCAGGCCCGGCTGGGCGTGGATCATGGCAGAGATATTGTCCTGCAGCATCGCCACTGTATGATGGAGCATTCGGTTTTCCCCTTCTAGCCTCGCCATGGCTACCGCAATTTCGTTTTGGTAGACCATGTTTTGCAGTTGGCGTGATGCCCGATGTTCTGTTGGTGTAATGGTAAGCAAGATTCGGTAATTACTTTTCATGTCTTCCCTCTGAAATCACATGAAGAGCTCTGTCTCACCATCGATGATCGATAGAGGCGGCGTCTCGTCCGCCCGCACGCGATACTTCAGCATGCCCTTCATGACAGATGCCGCGGCGGCCGATGCAAAGCGCTGCCATATATCGTTCTTGTGGCAATCGGCGTAGTCGCAAACCCCTTTCACCACAACGCACGCCACGTTTTGCTGGTCCCAGACACCGACGGCTTCCATCTCGAAGCCAATGACATCGAGGTCCCGGGCGATCTGGTCGCGAACCTCGGCCGACTTCATGACCGTGTCGCCGGAAGCGATGCTGCCGATGTGCACTACCGGGGCCTGGGCCTCGAGAGTTTCACCTTCTCCCTCGAGTCGGCGCTTCTGCGCGAGTCGTGGCCTCGATGTGGTGATCTCGCTCTCCTCGCAGCCGACCGTGTGGCAGGTTGCCGCCGCGGCAGTCGCGCATGGCTGCCGATCGGTACACTTACAAGGGCCCATCCTGCGATGGCGGTGGCGATAGGTTGAAGGATACAGCCTGTCCAAAGCCGTGCCCGGGTAGTCGTACCGCCTCGGACGCCTCTCCTGCAGCTCACTCAGGAACCGAGCTGCGCGCTCCTCCAGCCTGTCTTTGTTCTGAGGGATGCCCAGCGATCGCAGCTGGGCGCTGACACTCGCGTCCGCCTTGCCGAGCCGGTCTTGGTTCGACGTCTTGATCTCGAAACAGTCGCCGCCCCAGCGGCTCCCGAAGTCGGATTGGACCACGGCGCTACTGATGATGACATCACCGAGCAGTATCTCGGCGCCGGTGTCGTGCGGCTTGGGCCTGGGAACACCGCCGCAGATGCCCACGACAAAGGCGCGCTGCACTTGGGTGTAGCTCCACTTGAGGGACGAGATTGCAGTGGCAGCTTTCGCCTTGCCCACGCCCGTGATGCACAGCACGACGTTGTCCTGGCCGATACGGCCGGTGCGGTAGTCGTTGGGGTCGTTAGTGGCTTTTCCGTACACATCGCCGTCGTCGTCCCAGAAGCAGTCGAACAGGTCGAGCACGGCCTCGGCCTCAGGCGGCAGCGCGCAGAGGATGGCATCCCTGAACTCGTCTCGGGACCGTGGCCGAATGTCGCCCATGGTGCACAGCCCCAAAATCGGGCGAGGCTGCGCGTGGTCTCGGAGCAAATGGGCCCAAAGCGACGGAACACGTCCGCTTTATCGGCTGCTCAAACCAAATAAAAGAAAGGCGTCTCGGGTGATTCTCTCAAACAGTCAAGCTGAGCAATTGAGACTTGTTTCAGGGGAAAATATGGTTGAAGAGCGAAGAAAGGCTCTGGTTTGGTGGGCGGGCGGCCTAGAACCCGCCGCTCCCAGGCAGATGCGCGTGGGACGAGAAGGGGGCGGCGGTGTCAAGGGCTGCAGATGCGGCGCTCTGGGCACACTGCAGGGAAAGATAAGAGACGGCTATCTCCGAACGGCAACATGAGCAGGACGCCCGGCCAAGGCGTCCCTGTTTGCCCGCCAAGAGGGGCTGATGGAATTGTGAGGCGCCCCTGAGTTCCAATTCGCCATCACGATACTAATTAAAAAACACCTTATTCTCACCCGGCTAGTCAAGGCTCTCATACGGCTATTCAAGGCTCTCAGATTACTTCACACTTTTCAAGAGTGTTTGTGTCGCGTGATATCGGTGTTCCTGAGAATGATGAGACATTTCGCTTTTCTACATTTCGCTTTTCTCATAGATTATTGCTGGGGGAATAGTAAGGATTCATGACCAGGGTGTCATTCTAGTTTAGAGAATCAATAATTACAGTTCGCATAGAATAAAAGAATCCTGTCAATGTCAGGGAACAAAGAAAGGCGTCGTGAATTCGTCTTCATCGTGAGCCAATAACTAAAGTAGATATATGTGCCACAACAATTCTCGTGATTGCTGTCAAATAACCATCACTCACTTATACCTCAGCCAAGCCACCTAATTACCTACCCAGACAACTAAACACCTAACTCCTTACCCGAGGTATACAACGCCGTCACCTCACAACCAAACACCAACCTCCTCCTCATCCTCCAAGGTCGGAATAAACCGCAATTCATCCACATCATCCCCATCCCCATCCTCATCCATCCCCTGCAAAACCAACACCCTCCTAGCCCAAAACCTCGCGTCCTCCTCCCCAACACCCAACACCCTCAACAAGCCCCAACAAACTCTTTCCCTTCCCCTTTTCCCACAACCACCACCCCCATCACAATCACCATCGCCATTGACCCTAACCGCGACAGCGCGCAACACTCCCACAAACCCCTCCAGATCACCACACCCCGCGGCGACGACCGCAACACACAGCCGCACCCACCGCCGCGCGACCCCCGGGTCCAGCGTCGCCTCCAGCATGCGGAACTCGAGCGCGCACGCGCACCCCGCGCCCAAGCCCGTCTTGGCCGCCACCGCCGTGCGGAACCCAAAGTCGCCGGCGAGTAGCCGAGCTAGGGCTTTTGGCGAGGGAGCGCGCCACAGCGTGTGGAGTTGTTGTCGCTGGAGGGGCGTGAGGGGGATGTCCAGCGGGATGTGGGCGGAGAAGGAGAGGTCGACTGTGCTGTCCTCGGGGACGGGGTTGTTCTTCACTTTGTTGGCGTTGTCGTCTTTGTTATCTTTGTAGTGATCCGTTGCGGTGGCGGTTGCTGTAGTAGCCGCGTCGGTAGATGTTGTCATGTTTAAAGGGGTAGCAGTAGATATAGTAGGCGCAGCCGGTTCCGGCGGCGGTGTTGGCGGCAGTATCGTCTTGTTCTTCATTATTTTGGGTAGCAGCCGGCACCCGGAAAGTTCCGCCGTCACGGTCGCTGCCGGCTCATAGCCCGTAGGCCGAGCCAGCTTGCTCGCGACCGTGGCTGGGCGGCAGTAAATAGCATCTGCCCGGCGGCGGTGGGGTGCGCACAGGGCGAACAGCAGCGGCTGCTCGAGCAGCTAGACGAGGGCGAGGGCCTTCTTGGCGGCTAGAAGGTCGAGGCCGACTGGCTGGGCGCGCGACACGGTGACGTGTAGGGCGCACGACGGGCTGAGCTGGGTGCGTAGGGCGGCGCGTAGGCCGCGGCACACGCCGTCGAGCTCGGTCGTGTTGTTGGCTGGCATGGCGCGGCTGCGAAGCTCTACGCCCAGCCACTCCTCACCCTCCTGCGCGCGGCTCGGCTTGATGGTGTTGTCCGTCGTCAGCGAGTAGCCCTGGTGCTTCCAGTCGACGTGGGCCGTCGGCGCGATGCCCGCAGCCTGCATCTGCTCGGCCACGTCGCGCTCGCGCAGCGACGCGCTCGTGTCGTTCTGGAAGAAGAGCCCCTGCCCCGTGACGATGTCCGCCACCTTGGCCTGCACCGCGGCGGGGACATCACCGGCCCAGGGAGACGAATCGAACTCCTTGCTGAGGAGGGTGGGTTCTTCTGTGTGGGCATTGTTAAACCACCATCGGAGGTCGTCCGGGTAGTGGTCCTCGCTTCCGGTGGCGATCATAAACTCGAGCTCGAAGCCTACAAGGAGGCCTGGCTGCTGCTGCTGCTCGCCAGCCATTGTAAGCATCCCGCGACGCAGTTTGCTATTTGCCTTGATTCCTGCCCAGGGTAATATCAAATGAAATTACCGCACCTGCAGCTACTTCCTTCAAGTTCTGTGAGGCGGCAGGATGACGGAGTTGGAGCTTGAAGACTCTCGGGCAGGTTAGTAATGGTGGTCACGAGCACACCGGCAGACTGTTCAAACCCGTGCTTGTGTTCATACAAGAGCAACTCTGTTCATTACTTACGGGGAGGTGGGCCCGAAGAGTCAGGACCTGACATCCGAATATAACGTGGCGCGCAAAAAGCGATTTTATCTAGGCTATATACCAACCTTGACAGGATAGCCATTGTTGTTTATTCTCATTTATGTGAACAACAGGTGAGTTGTGACAGCCTTTTGGTCATGGTGGGGTTTCTTTGTTGTGAACAACTGAAGTGATTCATCCGTTGGACTCCCGACTAGTTTTGTGTGCTTTAATCTTGAATCTGAAAAGAAAATTCTTCTCCCCAAGTTTCAAGCTTACTGGACTACAGGGGTTATGATTCAGGATCCGGTGAAATATACTGAGCATGACTCGTTGATTTTACTTGTTGAAATATGTTTGGCAAATCTCAGTTACATGTTCGTCCTATTATTTGAGGGCATCCTGGTTTTGGCCAGTCATATTACCAACTTGGTCCCCTAATTACTTTGATGAATATAAATGAAGCCCATGACTGATGAGTTTATCTTGGCATCGGCATCGGCAAATTCGCGACTTTCATCATCTGACATTGGATTTAACACATTTAATCTTATTGGCATAAAACAGGAAGGAGAAACTTTCAATAGGTAGAAGTAACCACCTACATTGTCAAGGACAAGATCACAGTTCCTGGACGGAGTATGACTGTTGGAACGTGGGCCTGGAAGGAGCTAGGCAAAGGATTTGCAGCCTACTTCGCGACCTACTTCGCGACCTATTTCGCCACCACAATAGTAGTAGTATAAAAAGGGGGGGCTTTCTGGCACTGCTAGAAAGCTAGAGGAAGAATATATATACATACACAATCTATCACTTGAACCATCAGTTTTCGGCGTGCAGTCACCCCTGTCGATTCTAGTGCCGGTACCCTGGTGAATCCAACAATGACGTATCACCGAGACCAAGGGACGAAGAACATCACAAGCCGGCAATGTTCTGACATAACAATCGTCTCGGAATTCTCAATTAACTGAGCTACCATGCAGCAAGACTCAAAGCCAACGATAACCAACCCTCGCCGATGCTCAACTGATAAGAGGGCCCTAGTTTGCCTTCATCGAGGAAAAATGAGCCGTTAACCATTTTCATGCGCTCTTGAGGAGGTATATTACATCGCATTCAACGCTGCTTTGGCAGTTTGGTTGAGTCATGACGAAAACGCCCACCACCACTGCCTATGCTTTCACGCTCCTTCTCTCCGCATGTCGCGATACAACCAAAAGTCTCACGAAGTCAGGCTTCGCGGATCCGTCAGTGACCCCGGCCTGCGTCTTCGTCTGGGCTTGTACCCTGCACCACAGTTACCCGCACTAGCCTCGTGCAGTTGACCCGCAATGATGCAGTGTCTATTTGTGTCTTTTTAGTTGGATTGTTCTCACGACTATCTGGCAACCGCTGCACTCAGAACCTGGGTGCGGAAGAAGCCGCCCTTGGTCCGTTCTATCACCTGCTGGTACACGGAGCTCGGGGGGTGGTTCATAACGACTGTGCCCTCCTGGTAGTCAATCTTGGCGTCGAGCCTGGTGTCGCGTATAAGGTTGACGATCCACTTCTCTGCGTCATCCTTGTTCAGGCCCAGCCGGGCGCTCAGGTCCTTAAGCGTGATACGCGAGTGGATCTTGCAGTAGCTCTCGAAGATCAGATGCCGGGCGGCGTCGACAAAGTCGTCGGCAGTGCCAAGCAGGAAGAAATCGCGGCGGAGGACCTCCTCAGCCAGTACCAGCTGGTGCTGCGCCTCCTCAAAGTCGAAGTCGACGCACAGGGCGTGCACGAACCGGGTCACTGGGTCCTGGTACTCGTACGACTCCTGCTTGACGATGCGAACGATATCCTTCATCTGCTTCTGCTGGATGCCCTGGTTCTTAGACCGGCCGCGGCCTGTTATGACGGCGACGGCGAGGTAGCGCAGGATCCAGGGGCAGTTCGCCTGAATCGTGTTGATGAAGCCGGCGTTGAAGAAGAGTTCGAGGATGGGCTCGCGCGCCTTCTCGAAGTTGAAGAGCGGGAAGAGCGCCCAGTGAATGAGCGCAGTACGGTGCTCCAGCTGGGCGAGCGGGTTGTTGGCCAGCCTCGAGTCGATGCTCTCGCGCACCTTCTGCACTTCCTCCATGGCCGACTCCCAGTTCATGGTGAGAGTCTCGCACGCCAGTCTGCCCCATGTCGCATACGCAACCTTGTCGTTGTCTGTGGAAAGCACGCGGAACCGGTGCAGCACCTCGGACGCGTCGGCGTAGTTGCCGCAGCTGTATTGCAGGTTGCCAAAATCGTAGAGTGCGTCGACCATCTCGATTGTGACCTAGCGCAGAGGGGAAAATGACTTGGTTAACGACCAACTCGGCGGCCGAAATACGTCAGCTTCCCAGACAAACAACTCACCTCGTGCTCACGCTTGAGGAACTCCAAGTTGGCAACTTTGTCGCTCCGCAGGTTATTAATCACGTCGTCCCGCTGCAAAAGCTCTGTGATCTTGGCCGTCTCCTGCTCGTACTTCTCCAGCTGGCTGAAGACCTTCTGCTTCTTGTCGGCAAACTCGACCGGCGGCTCCTTAAGGCCCTCGAGCTCGCAGTATAAGTTGGCCACGTAGTCGGTCATGTCCGTCTTCTTCAGCAGCTCGAACTTGGCCTGCGTGATCTCGCGCATCTTCTTCTCATCCTTCACGACATTTGACTCCTCGTCGACAAGCTGGCTGGCGGTAAACTCGAGGAGGGGAAAGACCATGTGGCGGTCGAGGTTCGCGGCCAGCTTGGGCATCAGGTCGTAGCTGTCAATCGAAACCTCGCCATTGGAGGCAGGTTGCGCGTCGGAGGCCATGATTGCGGTGTGGTGGTGATACGAGCTCGTCGACGGAAAGGATAAATTGCTTTTGGAGTGCGAAGTGGACGAGATTCGACGACGGAGAGCAAGAATGCGGCCGGACCGATCGAGCGTGGAAGTCGGAGCTTGGATGCGGAGGGGAGGGAAGAAAGAGAAGCCCAACTTGCACACACTTCAACGGCCCGAATTTGCGTGAGGGTATCCTTTTCAATCTTTGGTGGGGTCAAAAAATGGAAAATGCGATTTGGCACGCTGCGCACAGTGTGGATCCACCACCAACAAAGCGGGCGGTGACCTAGGTACACGTACCAATGTACCCTGGCCGGGGGAGGCAGCGTGGGGTGCGGCAGATAGTTCTGCCGACAGCCGAATTTTTTCTAATCGACGTTTGGGCTTGATAGGTGCTGTAGGACAGTGAGCTTGCCGGTCCACGTTCGATGTCCAACTGTTGCGCCGCGAATTGCCTTGCGCGTCAAAGATAATTCCCGACCCGCGGCCTGTCGCCCACCTGCAGGAGCCATGCTGCGTCCGACTACCCTCCAGCGGGCGGCTACCCCCGCTCGGCGTCTCGTCGCCCTGCCGCTATTGACGACAGCCTCTACCACTAGATGTCTCACAACATTCCGCGCTCCCACAATAAAGACCCCCCCGAGGCTTTCTCCAGCGATGAAGACAAAGGCACAGTCGATGTGGGCAATGGCCGAGCCCGCGGACCCGGCGGTCCTGGCAGCACAGCACGCCCTCGCAAAGAGGCTGAAAGAGGAGGCGCTAGCAAACTCTGTTGCCCCCGTCGCCGAAATCGAGAAGCCGCCGTACAGGGTGTTCAGGACGGCGTCGGGCAACCTGCAGGTATACCAGGAGAGAAAGAACCGTCTCAACACCTTCGTGACGGAGATTAGGAAAGTTGGCGGGGACCCGATGGCCTTGAAGACGGACCTGATAGAGCTCTTGAAGCTCGAACCCAAGCGCGTCACATACAAGAACGTGTCGGGGAAAGTTGTCGTCTGGGTAATTCTCTCTCCCGCCCCTTTCGATCTCAGTTACGAGGCCCCATGAGGCCCCATGGCGATTCACATTGCCTGCTAGGATATGTTGCTGACCAGCTTGTCCAACAACAGGGGGCCCACAAAGAGGTGATATGCAAGTTCCTCGAGTCCAAAGGGTGTTGAATTGCAAAACCTATAAGCATTTCACATATCCAACGAATCACCTAGAGATGAGAAATGGCAATATAAGAGTGAGGACGACGACAAACGACAGCGCCACCATTATCTGTATTCCAACGTGAGGGGAATGGGGCATTGGCTTCCCTGAACATGAGGCGGTTCGTGTCTGTTCGTGTACGATGCAATATTACGCCTTACTGTAGCAGTTTTGCCTCCATTAAACTAAGCCCGGGCAACGACGCCACATCTTAGGTCTTATATGTAAAGTAGAGAAAGAGATGGCGTGAACTTCAGAGCCAAGTTCAGAGCCAAAATGTATTATATGCCCACTAGCAACTTTGCAAGTTGCAAACTCTCTAATGCACGCATATGCTGTCCTATACGCAAGCACGAAACAGAATTGACCTTCCACTGTGGTCGTAACTAAACCATCATGGCGGTCATCACTGCGGTCATCACGGTTGACTACCAACAGTCTTCAAGATGCAAATGTAACGCAACAGTTTCAAACCCCATGCTATTCGAACACTAGATGCAAAAAAATGAAGAAAAAGAACTATACTAAGCTAACCCGCCTGCCAATGCGCCCCTGCAAGTAGAACCGCTACTTTATGACAAACGCGCTTATCCTTAAATTTCCCGTCGCCCCATAACCGTAAAAATGAAAAGCCCGCAACGAGCAGACCGTGAACATTTGCGTGTCCTTCTTTCAATTCTCGACTCCAGAAATTCATCACGGGACAATGCAACTTGGTGATCTGCCTTGTTTCAACCTCGTCGACCTCGGGCCACGTTGACCCCCCCACGGCCTGTCAAGACAAAGATTGCAAGCTAGATTTTAGGAAAGAACCATCTGCTCAATCTTCAAGGCCAGCATACGCCACCAAGTCGGCCAACATTCCTTTGCTCCATTCCTGCGCCTGCATCTGTAGCGCGCCCAGAAGACTGTCTCTGCCAGGGAGGACATTGGGTGGTATGCTACTCTCCCCTGTAGGATTGTTCGGATCCCGCGCTTTCTCGCTCAGCCGTTTCAAAGTGCTCACGGCAAGTCCCACAATGTACACAAGCTCCAAATCCTTCTTGGCATGGTTCCTATGCTGTCCACCTCCGGACCTGGTAGGCTGACCCTCAAACTGAGCGCTGAGTTGGCGAACGAGGAGAAAGAGGTTTTGGGCAAAGCCGTTGCCTGACGCAAGCCACGCGCGCGTTACACCACTTTCGAATCCAGGTGCTAGAGCAGCTATTATGTCGGCAGCAAGGAGACCTTGCATCAGGAAAGGCTTCCGCGCCTCAACCAATGAAGGTAGGTTCGAAGGCCGAGCGTCGCGAGAATGGTCGGGGATCGGTGAGATGGCAAGTGCAAAGGCTCGAGTAAGGAGTTCGCCGGGCGGGATTGCCGTGATTGCAATATCGGAAGCAAATATCGCCTTGTAGAATGTCCGATTCGGCTCATCCCTTGCTAACAGCTTCGCCAGCGAGTCGACGGCGTGAGGGAGGTAAGGATGAAGAGCCGGATCGTATGATGCAAAGTACAGTTTGTCGCTGGAGAGTGTTGGAATCGGGGACGGCGCAAAGGCTAGCAAAAACTGGAGAAGACAGAAAGCCTGTTCTCGACCCGGAATCTCCACTCTGCTGGTGATATTCGAGAGCAGAATGACCAGATCTTTCATCAAATCCAACGTGTTCACCTGGGTCCTAAGAAGCATCTCCCGGGTGCCAAGATATCTTATCACCACGCAGATGAATTTGATGACGGTGTCCTCCGCGAGGCACTGCTGGTTGTCTTCGCGGCAAGAAAGATTTCGGAGAATGGTGGTGATACATATTAGTCGGTCGACAGCCCGGTCGAGCTCGTACGCTTGAGAACCAAATAGCGGCACGTTTCGCAATGCGAACCTCTCGGACCGGCATGCACGAATGACGTCCTCGTAAAGAGGAATAGTGACCTCATTCGATGCCTCCTCCGAGTTTTCAGCAAGCTGATCTGCTTGCTCCTCAGCACACTCGACCAGAGAGTCAACTAGGTCGTCGCATAGCCGGAGATCGATTTGCGGAATCGAGATGCCATGGTAAGACTCGATGCAGGTCAAGGATGCCAAAGTATCCAAGGCAAGTCGAACCTCACCGTGTATGCCGCTCTGAATACTCTTGTTCAGGGCGTGTACGTCGACGTTGCCCAAATCTATGGGAGCAGGAACGTCCGGCTTATACTTCAACAGATCATCGGCGGTTTTCACAGTTGCGACCAAATCCACGCCGCCAAATGTTGTGAGCTCCCTCGAGCAAGGCATATATTCTTCCGCGTCGGTTGCGAATGGTGCCGGGAACTGCATGGAGGCCATCCCTTCATCCTGCATTCCGTGGCTTTCAGGATGAGCAGAACCGGGTAGGGACATGGACCCTGCTTTGCTCTGCGCCGGAGAGGCCAATGGGAATTCCTCGGCCGTGGGCGTCGGCTGCACGCTCCTCGAGACGCTGTTCCGATGACTATGCACTGAGTTCATCGGATGCTGGCCAGGATGATGTTGCGGACCGGGGAACCCGTTCATGCCTTGCGGTGGGCCGGGTGGCTTGACAGGAGATTGCATCGGACCTTGCTGGAGCTGTTGCGGCGGCTGCCCCGGCTGCATCATGTGCGAGGTCTGCATTGGTCCGGGTGGCATAGCCTTGGGAGTTCCAGGTTGTACATTTGGCGCGTTTGGAATTCCCCCTTGCTGCTGCAATCGAACCTTCTGTTGTGACGACCACACCTCCTCAAACCTCAGGATATTGTGCTCGTATATATTTTTCAGCTGCTGGGGAGCCGAGTGGAACTGCTGTGGTGGAAATCCTAGCGCATGTGAAGCTTGAGGCCAGTTATTAGACTGCGAGATGTTGCGATAACCGCCAAACTTGTGATACACGACCTGGAAGAGGTTCATCAGGTGAACTGGACGCCCTTCGACAATCGGATTCAAGTCTAGAGGCATATTTTTCGAATTCATGAACATTGTAAGATTCTTCATGAATTGGTCCGGTGCTGGCATCCTACCCATCGGCTGCTGCTGCGGCTGTTGTTGCGGCTGGTGCGGTTGCTTCGGATGTTGCTGTTGCTGCTGTTGCTGATGTTGCTGCTGTTGCTGAGGAAGACCTGGCTGCTGCCTCATCGCTCCCGGTGGCATCTGGCCATTAGGCATGCCTTGCCTTGGAGCCATCATGTTCCTGTGCACCTGAGCTTGCGCCTGAGCGTGTGCTTGCGCCTGGGCTTGCGCTTGTGCCTGTGCTTGAGATTGCGCTTGGTTTGGACTAGCTTGCGGATGCATCATGTTTTGTGGACCCATATGCTGTATTTGCATCCCACTCCGCTGAGCTTGCTGCTGCTGGAGCTGCATCTGGTACATCGCTCTTTGCTGGTCTATCGTGTTCCGAGCCTGTGGCATTTGTTGGGGGAAGATGGGATTCTGCATCTGACCTGCCATTTGGTTGTGTAGCTGGCCCATTTGATTTGGCATCTGGCCCGGCATTTGCGGGATTTGACCTTGTAACTGCATCTGCTGAGGCATCTGACCCATTTGCTGCGCCATCATCTGTCCGCCCATTGCGTTTGGAGTCGGTGACGGCCGCGCGGGCGATTGCGCTTGCGCGAACTGGGGGTTGAAGTTGGGCTGGAAGCTATTCTGTTGCATGAAGGGTTGCGGCGTGCCGCCATGATCGGATGGAATTGGGGATGCCTGGGGGAATTGTTGTGTCGCGGGCGAAAACGGGTGAGGAGAGGTTGTCGAGACTCTTTGAGGAACGCTCCCAGGTCGCATTTGGTTGCTCATGATGGGCGAAGGCGTCGCATTCGCGGAGCCATTCGTTTGGAGATGAGGATAGGGGGAAGGCTGGCCGGAGGACTGTGGCTGCATCCCCGGCTGCGGGAAACCCGAGAAGGGTGACTGCTGAGGAGTGTCGGCGCGCGAGGTCGGCAACATACCAGGCGCCTGTCGCGGCGACTGCCCCAAGCTGTCCTCGCGCGGGCGAGGCCGCTTCGATGGGATGACGGGGTTCGTCTGATACATTGGGTTCGGGAACGAAGGCGAGGCATTGCGCATGGAGCCATTGTTCATTACTATCTGCTGCGGGTTCGCGAATTGCGGATTGAACTGGGCGGGATTGCCCATGTACGCGGAAGGGTCCATCATGGCTCCGGGGACAGCAGAGTGGTCGTTGATGTGAGGGAAGCCGTTGCCATTGTGATTCTGGACAGCGGCCTCGTTGATCCAGGAGCTCATGTCGGTCGGGAAGCGAGGGCGGCAGTGGCAATGGTCGAACCCATCAGGTTAATTCCTTGCGATACCGTCAGCGACAACAAAAAAAATGCCGAGCATGGTCTGTAGACACGGGATCCGACAAGATGGAGATGGGCAGTAACACGGCAGAGGCTTGTCGCGATGGAGCAGTCGCGTCGCGGTGTGTTAGGTAGGCAGAGGCAAATGTGCAGTGCAATGGGTCAACGGGGCAGAGTGTTTCTGGCTGGTGCGCGCTGTGCGATCGGGGGGGGTTGGGTCCACTCCCGAAGCGAGCAACAGTAGAACCGAACCAGGACTAGGCGCTGCGGAGGTGGGAAATTGGGGCGGAAACAAAGTGGAATGCGCCCTGGGCGATTGCGACTGCACGCAACAGCACACTTGCGCCGCGTGGGATACAGGTGCAATACAGAATAGCAGCTCAGCATGCGCGCAAGCAAGCCAACAAATGCCTAGCAGCGACAGCGAGAGCGAGTGAGTGGATGCGACAGGCTAAGGTTGACGTACTCCGAGGGCTAAGGTCGGGGCTGGCCGACGGGGGGATGCGAGCAGGCAGCCTAGGCAGCGTGGAGTGAGCCGCGAGAAATTTTCGCGGGCAATGTCCAGCCCAGCACGTCCAAGGTCCAGCCAACAATCAGTGCTCGCGCAACACCGACAGCATCGAACCGTGCAGCTCGAGCGTCGGAAATCACGAGACTGAGTATATATGGGAACCTAATCGGAGGGCCGGGGTGGATAAGGTGGGAAAATGGAGGAATGAAAGGGCAGGTCTTACCTCCGTACCGAGCGCGTTGCTTGTCGGATGGTGTGTCCTGTCCAGTGTGCTTCGAGCGAGCAGAGCACTCATGTGAGCTGGTTGCTTTTCAGCCGGGCCAAATCATCCGCCCGAATTAGGTTTAGCCCAGTGGGTCACACGGCGCAAATCAAACCAATCAAAGCACTACTAGACAGGTACCTCGTACGAGGCTCAAGATTCCGCTTCCTGAAAGTCCACCGCTACCAAGGAGACGAGGACAAGAGCACGGGCCTCGAGTCTCGGCCAAGCTGTGACCCACCCGTCGATGCGGTTGGGGAATCTACAGCCAATGAGCCAGGCAACCATTCTCAGATGCTATTATTGAGAGAGCCTGCTTTCCAGTGTTTAAGGGATGATGCGGAATCCCTAAATTGGCAGTAGCAGGCAGTTCATTTATCATGTTGGCCGAAACATAGTTAAGCCGGTTGCACAGAACTCTGTTGGGTTTAGTAGCTTAGCGCCAGAATGGTGAAAGGGTGTGCTTGGCAAGCCCATCTTGTCGTCTGCAGGGTGGCTGCGGAGCCATCTTGGGTTGGCGAATTCACAACCTCTTTCCAAGATGGAAAACCAGTAGCCGATGATCGCGAAGTTGTGATGGTTTCCTTTGGTTCTGCACTGCTGGGATGCAGCGTCGTTGTTCGGATATCGGATCTATCGACGATGTCTGTTCAAAATCGAGCCGCTCAGACCAGCCGTGAGTCCTGAGCGGATGACGGCTCGCGGTATCTGGTAGGTTTCCGGGGTTGCGCCTATCTGGCTGCCCTCTATCGGTCATCCCGTCTGGTTGTCCTTTGTGACAGGGAAAGAAGGGACTCCATGAAGCCAACATGGTCCCGAGCTCTCATTATGATCAAAGTCAAGCCATCCGAGAGTGTTTTGGTCGCCCGAGGTCCGACAATGCCTGGGTACGGAATACCTCTGCATTGCGTTTGTTGGGATTTCTCCACGGCGTAGTCAGATAGACCTGACGGATAGAGCTGAGTGACTTGAATATCGAATCATCCAGGCCTTTCTTCGTGGGATCGAGGAGCGGGCGATCCTATGTGATTGGCGTTGGTAGTGCATTGGTGTGCGGGACTCTGTCATTGGCCTCGAGAAGTGGCTTCTGAGGAGGTAAGTCGACAACCGAATACCGCTACTCCTAGAAGGTCGCCGAAGTTGCCATTTCAATCCGAGGTTATGTTGACGCACTAGGGCGACAAACCCACAAAGTCGAAGATAATGGTGGTGGCCGGGCCAAAGACTCAAGCAGACCTCGGGGACCTAGCACGGGTCGTTCCAGGGCTCTAGGTGCGCCTGCAGATTTGCGCGAGTCGGTCGCTTGACCGCTGCAACTGCCCCCCGTCGTTCCCGCTGGATTGCCCCACCCCGAAATCGTCAAATCACCACGGGATCTGAACTGCCAGCCGGAAATGGATTGAGTCTGCCACCCATTCTAGCTGCGGTCTTGGCGGTGCGAGGTTTGAACCGGGTGCAAACGGAATGTTGAAATCGCATGGATTGACTTGACGGCGATTTGGGGACTTGCGTGGCTTTTCGGCTTTCGTCCTGGGTACTTTGGAAGGACGTAATCGTATGGAATACGTATCATTGGTGGCGCGTTATGTCATCATGGACTGGCTGCTGGGTGATAAACCTGGGTGCGCCCATCTGGAGGACACCCTTGTCGCCCACATTCGCCGGGAACGAGCCGCGACATGAGCTCAGCAGCCCAGGCACCGCCGCCGCCCTCATGCCAAATGCCGGAAGAAAACTCAAGTCAGTGACCTCTGCGACATTTTCAGTGCGCAGTCCGAAATTGAGATTCTCCTCTCGGTCGCTGTTCGAGACGGCCGTGTTCTTTAGCAGTCGCTTCCATCTTGAGTGCTGGAAGACCCTGAGGACTGTTTGCACTAACACCCCCTGGGCCGCTTCTGGGACAGGAGCGACTTAGAGGGTGCTAGTGCCGGCAGTTTGAGAGCCCGACAGGAACAACAACAATGGAATCTGAAGGCTGAGAAAGGGGGAAGGGAAAGAAAGCGACCGAGAGTGAAGGATAGAAGGATGTAAAGGGGAAAGAATCGACGGGGGAGGTGGGCAGTTGGGCCATTTAATGTGAACGGCCTCCAGCAGCGAAGTCACTTTTACAGGCGGCACTAAAATTCTCCGCCCGCCAGGCATTTTGCATCTGCCCGCCCACCCATTCCAAAAGCTAGCAACCTACCAAAGTCAAACGCACCTCAGCAGATGGGCTGCAACCCTGAAGTGCCTCATTCTTAAACTCCCGGCTCCGAGGCGCTAGAATCGCTTATTGGAAAGCTCGAGGCACAGCGAGGACCTGAGACGTAGGAGAAAACGACGACGATTTCGCGGAAGCAGGATCTCGCGGGCTCAGGAAATGACGGGTCAAGAAAGCGTCGCTCGGCCCAGCCCCTCTGATGAGGGCTATTCAAGCCTTGTCCTCATTGCCTCCTGTATGTATGTACATACATACCTCTACATGTCCCCATCCCTCCTGTACATGTCCACATCCATAAAAACGGATAAGCTTCCGCATGTCCAGCGTCACAAAGATGCCTTGTCCACCGGCCGGGGTTCCGTGCCTCGCCTGACGGCTTCACTTCTGTACACCATTACAAACTTTGCCCTTTCCTATCCCAGCCATGGAACAAGTAACCAGGGCAGTCTCCTTTCTTCTTGCTGGGTTGTTTTCCCAGCTCGACTTGCGACGAGACTGCTGATTGCTGTGGAAATTTGGAGTTCCAAATTCCCTCGTCTTCGAGCTTGTTTAACTCTAGTCGAGCTTTGACTGACCGAAATAGCTGCAGTGTCGCTCCCTGCCTGGCAGATCTGTCGTGTCTCGCGACCCGATACCACAACCTGCTGTAGACTAGACGTCCAGCCTTTAATGGGTGATCTGTGGCGCCAGCTGCTGATAGGCCCCCTCGTCCTGAAGCCGTCCTGCGCGTTGACTGATCCCCGGAGCCGGCTTTGCCAATCTTTTTGGACCCCTGCTCGTTGCCACATCTGTGTTGCCGTTGGTGTTTCCATTCGACGAGCGCCGCTCACGGCCGCTCGCTCGACGCCTGTGAAAAATTGGGGGTGGATTTCTCCTCCGCCCCTCCCATCCCCTCCCCCGTAAACTCGGCTCTATTTCGTAATGGCTCGTCTCCTCTTCTGATGTGCCGTGCATGTGTGTGTCTTATTGCCTTCTTTGCGTTCCTGTCCGGCAAGCACCCTCGAAAGGACAGCCACATCCCCCAGGATAGCTGGGAGTGCAGCATGGGGACCAGAGTGGGGATGGCGATGGGATGCGGAGGCTTGAGGAGGGGCCGGTTAGGACTCATTGACTCCGCCGCACCCCCCGAGCCATCTCAGTTTCTGACTCTACAGCTACAATGCAAGTGAAGTGCTATCTACATGGCCGACACCGAATTCCTGTGCGCTAGCATTTCCTAGCACACCACAGAAGTCACCAGCGGCAGCGATGAAGAAATGAATTGGCTGAAACATAATGTTCACGCGGTTGCAGATCCGCCTTGCAATCAAAGCGTCCTGGGGAACTGGGGAAAACCAGGCCGCCGCCAAACCTTTGCGCCTTTCAACGCCTCATTCATGGAATCGCCCGAAACAGAAACCCAAGGCCGGTGGAATTCGCATCCCCTTTGCATATACTTCGTTTCTTTTGCCGTCTTTTCCGAGAGGGCAAAAGCCATTCTTTCCGTATCGCTGCCTCGAACTACCCAGGCGGCCCGACCCCATGGGATCACCGACATGCCCATTGTCACATCCGTCTCCAGACACGTCAGATACTCCCACGTCGGTCGTCACGCCGAGCTCTGCCGCTGCTTTATTAGTGGAGCACCAGGTAAGAATTATCCGGATTCACTTCTGCTATCTATCACGGCCAATAAATCAGGCTCTCTGCTCTGTGTCGGTTCACCTGTACAGTAGGTAGTACTACCCCAATATGATTTAGGAGCCTTTTATTTCTGCACCCAGAAGAGCGATTATTGGGCCATTAAAACCGCCACAAACATGCTAACAGCTCAATTTTCTTTTTAGATTGTCCGTCGATACCCATTTATTGTAGATAAAACAAGAAGCTTTACGGCGTGGGAGTCTCTATGCTGCCAATCCATCTGACCAAGTACAGTACAAAGCGTCATCCACAGCGCCCATACCTACATGATGCATGAGACCTGCCGTGCAGGACACACGTCGACCGTACCCCTGCGAAAATGCACAAACAGCAGACCTTTTTCGCAATCTCGTCTCTCAAGTTGGCATTATGGTTCGTCTGTTATGACGAGATTGATGGATTTGAACCAACCTAAACAAGTTCCTGTCTTAATAAACCCACACGCCTTCCTCATATAGATAAATACGTAAAGTGCCTCATGGAGAGCGCCATAAAGAGCCTGGATAGGCCCCGAGGATACCCAGATATCGTGCTAAAGAGATGGTCGCCTGACTTACATTTTGAGTTGTTTGCCTTTTCTTGGTACCACGATGACTAGTCATCAAGTTCGCACACTGAGAAGCCACAACCTTCGCACCCGAGATTGGGCTCCTGCCCCCAAATGCAACCCCTCCGGTGCTTTTGGACGTTTTCGAGATCATTTTCGACTCAATCCGTCCTGCAGTCTGGAAGAACAGAACCGCCATTGGACGAGACGTAATTGCTGCGCCAGTCCCCCCTCTACTAGATTATTCCTGTTCCATGTGCTGCAAACAATGGTTCCTTTGCTAGCCTAACGGCATCCGCGCGACATTCATCCCGTTTTCGCTTCCCTGCTTGTCCGGGCGGGTTTCCCCTCACCTGGTGGCACTTGCCGATACCCCGGCGCATTAGTACGGCCCGTAGTAAGTCGCCGCAATTCCGGCCCAGCTCTCTCACCTCGCAAAGTCTAGTAGGGTGGTTTGCTTGTCAGGGGAGTCGAGCAACTTTTGCGCCTTGACAAACCGACAGACAAAGATATTGATCGGCTTGGCTCTAAGTAATGGCAGTGACGATCTATACATCTTGATATACTTGCTCCGTATTACTGTTTGGATGGAATTCTCTCAGAGACTAGAAGAACAGGAAAGGGCAACACACGTACACAGTGTGTATTAGCTTTACAGTGCCTGTTATACCTGGATTTCGCGGGCAAACGATTCCAGTTGTCTCACGCTCAACACTGTGCTAGTTTCGACGGGGGGTCGGTCACCTAGCCCGAAATTTCAATCAGCGAATACAAAATACGGCCATAGCAAGCACGCTCTTCCCTTGCGAAGCGAAAAAGCAGCCATCATACGAAATCTCTCCCTGAATTGAGCAGACTTGGCTACTTACCCAATAGCGTTCCCAATTTTCCAACCATTAAGTATATACCGCTAGTCTTGTGGCATTTATCATGCCGAAAAGGAAGTCGACAGCAGGGGCCGAGCCAAAGTCAGCACCACGGCGCTCGCTGCGGAACAGTTTGGCGTCAGCACCCGCCGCGCAAGAAGACGCGACGCCGGTGAAAACAGCGTCCAAGCCAGTGAAAAGGGCTGCTGGCCCATCACCCGCAGCAGCAAAACCCAAAAAGCCGGTCGTCGCCGAAGCAAATAAAATAACAATTCGGAAGTCTGCTCAGAAAGATACTTTAGAGGTACCTTATCCCTCGTCAAACAGCACTTCGAAACAGTTCTGCTGGTTCTGCCCATTACCCACATTCTGCCTTTGTCCGCACTTCAACCTTCCGTGACAAAAAAAAAAGCCAATACCTAAGAATTTTCTATAGAAAAACAAGAAAGCAGACCCTGACGAGACTGAATCTGAACCTCAGGCCGAATCTGAGCCTGAGGCCGAATTTGAGTCTGAGTGCGAGTCTGAACCCGAGGCCGAATCCGAAGCCAAGTCTGAACCACAGGCAAAGAGGACGCGCTTGGGTAGGCAGGCGCCCTCGACTAAGGCGAAACTTACTGTAGCTAAAGCTACCGCAGCAGTTAAAGCTCCTGTAGCCAAGGCTAAGACGGCTGCCCTAGCTGCGGCGCCCAAGTCATCAGATGGTAAGAACTTCTGGCTGATGAAAGCCGAGCCCGAGTCGCGGATCGAGAAGGGCATCGACGTGCGGTTCTCCATAGACGACCTCGCGGCTAAGAAGAAGCCTGAGCCCTGGGATGGTAGGTTGCTTCACGAATTCCGACTTGACAAGCGAATCTAATTAATACTCAACTCTCGCCCGCCTTGTCTAGGCATCCGATCGTATCCGGCTCGCAACAACCTGCGCGCTATGAAGAAGGGCGACCTAGCTTTCTTCTACCACTCCAACTGCAAGGAGCCGGGCATTGTAGGCGTCATGGAGATTGTGAAAGAACACACGCCTGACTGTAAGTTCTTTGTTTTTCTTTCTGATCTCACCACGACAGTCGGCTGCATAGCTTGTTGGAGTGTTCACGCGGCGGCAATGCCCTACGCTTTGGATTTTATATTCCATTGCAGTAACTCGCAATGCTTCGGTCTATCTCTTGGCCACAAGGCATACACTTCATAAAATGGGCAGACTAGCACCCTACATATGAAGACCCCCTACTGACCGTCCGCCTCTCAAAGTAACCGCCCACGATCCCAAGCAGCCATATTACGACGCCAAGTCGGACCCGGCGGACCCGAAATGGAGCGTTGTGCACGTCGAGTTCCGCAGCAAGTTCGTCGTGCCCATCGGGCTCAAGGAATTGCGAGAAATGGGCGAGGCCGGCAAGCCGCTCGCGAACATGCAGATGCTCAAGCAGACGCGGCTTAGCGTGAGCAAGGTCACGGCTGAAGAGTGGCAATACATCATTGGTGTCGCCAAGGACAAAGTGGCAGGAAAATAAATACCTATAACGGGTAAATAAATTCACGGTTGCGCCGCGTCTGTACAGCTCTGTAATTGTAATATCACGTAGACTTCTTGGAGTGGTCCCTTTTGAGGGCGCGGGCAAAGTAGGGCAAGTAATAGCGTGTTGAGCAATGTCCATATTTTATATTGTATTATAGCTAGCATAGATCTGCAAATAACGAGGGTATCAACTGAGCAACTCCTCCAGCGACTTCTTAGTGTGCTCCAGCACGGTCTGGATGGCGGGGTCGAGATCCGCGACCGCGAAGGTCGTCTCGAGCCACGCCACCAGCTTGCGCGCCAGGGCCTTCTTGTCCGTCGTCTTGCGGAGGCCGGCCTTGAGCCTCGACAGAGACTCACGCACGGCCTGTGGGAAGGCCGGGGTGTGCACGTCGACGCCGATGAGCGGCTGCCGGATCTCGCAGCTGCACGTGCACGGGCTCGCCGGGAACAGCTCCTCCATGGTGCTGAGGACGTGCTGGACGATCTTGCCCTGCGACGAGACGCGGTCAAAGGTCGCAAACATGTCAAAGAACTCCTCAGCTGCCGCCGCGCCGAAGAAGCGCTGCTTCTTCGCAATGTCGAAGATGGCCATTGGGATGGCGCCGCTCAGCGCCGGGCTCTGCTCGAGCTTCCTGGTGGCCTCCTCGTCAAAGACCTTGGGCTTCGCCTTCACCATGGCGCCCTCCTCCTCCGCGTCCGGGTCTGGCAGCATCAGCACGTCGTCACCGTCACCCTCTTCGTCGCTGTCGTCATCAAAGGCGATGTGGTCGCCGTCCTGCTCGCCCGCCTCGGTGGCCTTGATCGCCTCCATCACGTTGACCGCAGGGCCGCCACCGCCCTTCCGGCCGCCGCCGTTCTTCTTGGCCTCGATTCGCGCCAGCCACTCCATCTCGCACCGCGCGTACTCGACCCACAGCGCCGGCCCGGCCGTGCAGAAGCGGCAGCCGCGCAGGAAGTGGCCGCGCGCGCGCTCCATGTCGCCGTTCCGCGCCGCGCGCCGGCCTGCCAACGTCCACAGCCCGACGTCGGTGGGGTGCAGCCGGATGGCGCGCGTGACGATGCGCCGCCACCGCTTGGTGGCCTTGATCTGGGCCGCGAAGTCGAGGTAGGCCCTCCACAGCGGCACGCAGCCCGGGTGCTTGGTGACGCCGCGCTCAAAGATGCCAAACGTGCGCGCCTGGCTGGCGTTGGAGCTCGACGACCGCACCTTGAGCCGCCGGCACCGCTTCGCCCGCAGCCGGTCCAGTGACTGCTCCCATTCGACGTAGGTCAGGAAGTCTGTCGGCTTGGTGCGTGGCCCGAGGACCAGGTGTTCGTATTCGGACCGCTTGTTGACGAGGGATCGGATCTCATCCTATTTTGCCGCCGGCAAGTTAGTTGGTTGAACCTCCTGGCTCTAAGGCATTTTTTTCTGTCTTTCTCTGGAGAATTGGACAAGGGCCTGGCGAGACATGCCTTGGAGAAGATTTCCTTGTCCTCAAACTCGCGCAGCTCTGGCGCTGCGCGCTCCAGATAGAAGCGGGCTTTGTCGGACACGCCAGCCATTGCAGCAGATCACGGTACGAGTTGCCGTCGTGAGTCGTGAGAGGGTTATTGTTGTCGGACGCAGAGCACCACCAGCTTCGAGTTTGAGGGCCCCCAAATTCCAGCTCCATTCGGGATTTGGGGGTTTGAGAGGTGGGACAGAGACTTTTTAGTGGGGCAAAGGCGCCCGTTGAGAAGATGGCCCCACTTTTTGTCGGCCCGGCATCCGTGCGTTGCCGGGCTTGGGCAACTTAGCCTTTCTAAACTAGCGCTCATGACCCTGAGCTACCCCACCGTGATTCGCGAATCAAGCCATTTGCGGGTGGCTTGGTGCCTGGAAACCACGGACTTTTGGGGGGGAGCGGCGGCCGGCTCGGATGACGAGATGTGGGCGGGATTCCCAAGGCATGGTGGGTTTTTAGTGTGGGAAGTCGCTGCGGCGTGAATGCCGAGGACATTGGTATTGTTTGTTCCACTGCGTCTTCACATTCATTTTCATCCCACACTTGCTTTCCCGTGCCCCTTCCATCTCGTTTCGCCTTAAAAGACCGGTTAGTCGCCGCTGCTCGCAACCAACGATTCCAGGCTGCTATGTCTTTCTCTTATATCCAGACATTGGTGACCTCGGCAGATACTCTCCGGTGCTAATTTCCGGCACGCTCAAACTTAAGGCGCATCATCGCAGAGAGCGCCAACACAGCCAGCGTGCGAGAGCGCCATGGCATCACGGTACAAGGACAAGGAAACGGGCACCGTCCTGCTATCTTTTGGAGGCCAATGGGTTAGCTGGACGCATACCGCCGTTGCATATGGTGAGTTTCTCGTCTGCCGCGCAACACCCATGCTGGGATCGACCGGATTATAGCATTGTCAGACGAGTCTACTGTAGAGCCAGAGTGCTAACTTCCAGTGCGAAAGCCGCTTTCCTGAGCGCCCTCATCGTCGGCGTCTCGCTCCACTTTCACAAGATCGTGCAAAACGAGTGGTATGGCTACCCCGAGGAGTGGTTCCCTTCTGTCTCCGCGACTATTGGCGATCGGTACCCCGAGCGGTCCATCTTCATGCTCTTTATTGCCATCACGTCAGGTGCGATATCTGCTCTGTTCCTCTCTATCCGCGCCCAACAATATGCGGCACTGACTGTATGATGTCTGCCAGGCCCGAGATTTGCGCTCGTCGGACTGTGGTATCTCCTGACAGCGAGGCCTGGGCGGACACTCCCAAAGGCCGTTGCCATTGCCGGCCTCATTCGGACGCTAACGTGCGGGGGGTGGACATACATCACGTCGACCGACGACCATGACTGGCACGACATCCTGATGATCTCGTACCTCGTGTTTACCATTCCTTGGACCGCCGGCTGTCTCGCGCTTAGCCCTCCCAACGCGAAAGCGATCAAGTACAGGAAATACCTTGCCGGTGCATTCTTTAGCACTTTGTTGCCGTTGGTCTACTTTTTTATCCAACACAAGGTCCACCGGGTCCCGGGAGGTAGGATTGACCATTCCGTCCCGCCGTCGGTAGTTGCTTGCGACGTTTGGGCGCGCTAACATGCCCCTATTTCAGCATATACCACATACGCCTTTTTTGAGTGGTCGCTGATCCTGTTTGACGTTGCCTTCGATGCCGTGACGGCGCTGGACTTCAGCACCTTCGAACTGGTTATCCGGGATGTCAATGGAGCGAACAAGGGGTACGTGACATGGCTTCCAAGATAGCCCTAGCCTCCGTGCACAGTGCACAGAGGCCGTGGGCTTGTACGTATCTAGACGGTGTTACAATGAGACCACGAAGTCAGGTTCTAAAACTGTTTGTCAATAGCTCCAACAAGTCCTCCGTCTCTGCTGCCGTGCCTGAGAAAGAGTAAGCTGTTCCGCCCTACCCTATCTTTTGCTTCCCCGGTTTCTCTCTGTTCCCCCACGCCGCCGACGAATGAGAGAGAGGTTGACGTTATAATAGGAAAGAGAGCGCCGCACTAGGCGTATTTTCGGCAGGCTTCAGGCTTGGCAACGCCCTCGATATTGCGGCTGATGCGTATCATGGCGTATGTATTGTCCGACCCGCATCCACCAGCGGATAATTGGTCTAATGAGGTTTAGTTCGTTTTTTGGTCCGTCTTGACCAGTTTGGGCGTCGTTGTCTGGTGTAAGTCGGCCATTTTTTTGTCTTCTCTCGACTGAACTAACCAAACATGTACAGACTTTCCACTATGGCACATGGGCATCTCGGGCTACGAAGCATTCGTCATGTCGACCATCAGTCCTGCTCTGCTGGGGGTAAAGTCCATACGCTCCTTTGTTATCAGCAACCAGCGCGTGTTCCATCTCCTTTCCCTAACCGGTCTGCTGGCGTACCTGGTAGTCAACCCAGCCATTCGGCTTTTCATTGTCAGCTTCGGCGTCTCAATAGGCTGCCTTGCGTGGGCTGCGACCTGGTTTTCCGACTCGGTCCATCCCGCCAGACTAGAAGCTCGCATTCTCGCGTGGATGGTCGGTCTGGTCATGTCGTCCGTTGCCAAATTTGCTTGGTACACCAACAATCCCATATGGCCCATTATGCACGGCGATAACGGTGGCTGGAATGCCACTGGCCTTGCTCTGGCCTTCTTTGCGGCTCTGCGGTTCACCCGATGGGCGTCTCTGCAGGCTGAAAATGCTGTTGAGAAGAAGAGCGGCTCGGCAGTGCTTTCTGCTTTCGGTATTGGTGGTTTGTTCTTCGCCCTGCATTCCTTGTTGTCCGACACTAGCACCATGATCCTTTGGGTTTGGGACGGGTACCCGATCCGCGGCCCGGTGTCGAACGTCCATGCCTGGTTCACCATTGCTGCCATGACAAGTGGCTTGGTGATTGGGACCTTCAGGCCTGGGCTCGTCGCTACCTGGACGGCGTTCGGGGTTGGCTCCATTGGCGCCGCCGTGCTCACCCTTTACCAACAGTGGTTTGGCTATTATGGAGCCTTGGCCTTGGCGACTTATCTAACGGCTATTTCGGTGCCTTTGATCGCGAACGCCTCCAAGAAGAACCCTGCCACCGTTTTTGGTCTCGGCTTCTTTATCTACAACTTTCTAGTTCTCTTCCATGTCTGGGTCGTTGCATATGCTTTTGTCCCTGGCGGGCCTCTAGTCCGCGAACATACCGATTGGATTATGATCACCACGATGTTCTTCATCGGAGCCGGTGTCTTTGATCTGATCTCGGAACAGGCGAGTGCTGGCAAGGCAAATATCCGTCGCCGCCTTGGCGCTTCCGGCCATAGGAAGTACCACGTTGGCATCCTCGGTCTTCTCAATATTTTGTTCCTCGGCGCAAACTACCTCCGCTTCCCTACCAACGACTATAAACCGTATCACGCCGAGGACCGGCTTTTCACAGCTGGTATCTGGACCATTCATTTCTCTCTGGACAACGACATGTGGTCTTCAGAGTATCGGATGCGTGACCTCATCAAGGAGTTGGAAATTGATGTTGTCGGTTTGCTCGAATCGGACCTGCAGCGCGTCATTATGGGCAACCGCGACACGACGCAGTTCCTTGCCGAGGATCTTGGAATGTACGTCGACTACGGCCCGGGGCCCAACAAGCACACATGGGGCGCGGCGCTTCTGTCCAAGTTCCCCATCCTCAACTCGACGCATCACCTGCTCCCAAGCCCCGTCGGCGAGTTGGCGCCCGTCATCCACGCGACGCTGGATGTTTATGGCACACTCGTAGACATCTTCGTATTCCACTCGGGGCAGGAAGAGGATGAAGAGGACCGCCGTCTGCAGTCCGAGTACCTCGCCAACCTGATGGGTAGCTCGCCGCGCCCGAGCGTCCTGCTGTCCTACCTTGTCACAAACCCGCTCAAGGGCAACTACAACACATACGTCTCCGAGACCAGCGGCATGCACGACGTGGACCCTTCTGACTGGGACCGCTGGTGCGAATACATCCTGTACAAGGGCCTGCGCCGCACAGGCTACGCCCGCGTGAGTCGTAGCACCATCACCGACACCGAGCTGCAGGCCGCCAAGTTCGTCGTTCCCCACCCAGGCGATGACAGCGCCCGCGTCTGGGTAGCCTCGCCTAAGCAGCGAGACAAGAAAGCTTCGGAGTCGGACGTCCCTCCGGGTTGGCGCTTCCCCGCTTTGTTCAACGGCAAGGGCGTCCGAGGCCACTTTTACCACGTCTTTAACGAGTCGCGGTATTACAAATACTAACTAATTAGCTGTCTGCCGCGCGGCTTTTCCTTCTGTTTTTCTTTCGTGGGGGAGGAAAGGGGATTATAAAGTTGTGTCTGGAATGGGGTAACTAATCGGTGTATCTGGGGGCCTAGGGAGGAATAATAGGTAGACAAGGTACGCATTCTAACTACGACATTGACATGACACGGAGGTAGCGGAACGGTGGTGGGTGGGTGGGGGTGGGAGGGGCGAGCGGTGTCTTTCTTAGCTTTTTTCTCTCTTGTTTTGGTTTTGGTTTTCGTGTCCCCTCGTCTTCTGCAGCGTCCCGTGTATATATTCGTGTACTACATCAAGCCCCTTGGCGATCTCGGGTCTGGTTTCGGTGTATCCCCGGAACCTGGCTGGTAGTGAGAGGCTTGTGCTGTGCAAAGCAATACAGAGTCAAGTTATGATGTGATACCGCACTGGTGCTTCGCCTTTTTCGACACAACGTTCGATATTGGGATCCGCCGAGGTCTCATATGTTATTTTGGGTCGCGCCCGTAGTCCTTGGTCCCTGAAGTCCTCGCGTTCTTGTCACCTGTTTCATTCGATTTTTTGCCCCTTTCTAGCCTTTGGATCTTCTTGTGGCTCCCACTTCCAGTCGTCTTTCCGTCCTCGAGTAGTCCTAGAGTAGCTAGTGTGCTTCGCTGAGAGTACGAACCATCTTCCGAGTTTTGGTCCTCTTTGAACACAGCCGGGCTATCCATTCCAAAACATCCATGTTGGTACGGATGCCCAAAGATGGGCCCAATCAGCGTCCTTTCAATCATTGACGCCACGGGGAAGGTTATCAAAGTCTTGAAGAAGTACATCCCGTCTGTCCGCGATGCTCCGCACGAACTTCAACGCATTCTCATCGAAACCTCTGCTACCGAAGCCGTGCTAGGCAACCTCAGCTTTCTCTTAGAATGCAGTGACAAGAGAGGACGCTGCACAACTTGACCGACACCATCAAAGGATGCAGCAAAACCATCTCCGAACTCGATGCGCTCCTCCCCGACATTGAAAACACGGATGTCCCGTCCCCCGACACCCAGGCGAAAGGGAGAAGAATAAATGTCAGGTTGGCGGCCTCGGCCTGGCCTTTTAAGGAGAGAAAGGCAAAGAAACTGCTGGGCGAGCTGAAGCAGTACAAGGACACGATCAGTTCAGCTTTGACCACGGAGTCCGTTCGGGATACCAAGGCAATCTTTGCCGCTTTGACAGGTGAGAGTGATAAAAGTGCAAGTCCGCCACTCAATGGTTTCTTAATTGGTTAATCCTTGAAGAAAGAAATGCAAAGACAGGAAATCTACGAATGGCTCCACGCAACAGACCCGTCTACATTGCATCACCAGGCCTGCGATCGCTACGAGATCGGAACAGGGGATTGGGTACTTCGCTTGGACCAGTGGAAGGCTTGGCTGGAGGGTGGTTCGCGTTCAATTTGGATCCGCGGAATACCCGGGGCTGGCAAGACCATCTTAGGGTGCCCTGACCAAAGCTCTTTAATTACGAGTATTTCGTGTTCTATCGTCTGGAATTGACCCACTTTTCATGGAATTGGACAGGCCCTGGTTGACATGCCTCTGAGCTTCCTTCATTCTTTGTTATTTCCTTCATTCTTGACTCGGAATGTCCTCATTTCATTCGGAATGCCCTCTTTCGGGCTGATTACAACGCCTCCCTTGCCCTCTCTCCATGAGTATAAGGAAGCGTTCTTTTCTGTACTTTTAGACCTATTGAGCAGAAAATTCAATGCGCTGTCAACTTCGATCGCGTGCAACATGTTTGCCATCTAGGTGCCTTTAGAATAAACACCTATTGTCTCCACAATCCTTGCTATTAATAGCTCTGGCAGCTCCTGAATTGCTTCACACTCTCCTTCCAGAATTGATCTACTAGATCTAAGAAACCTGTCCTTAAACAATGCCCAGAGCCTTTCGTCCTCGGGACATTTGCAGTTTGGGTTGGGGTAGAATGGATCATTTCGCCAAAACCGCTGGGCAGCGACGTTGACACCGGTCTCGTTCATGTCGAGCTCCTTACAACAGTCGAAATCGAGGAGCCACATAGCATGAGAACCGAGAATTCCCGTAGCGAGCTCCGCCGTTCCAACGCTCGGGCCCGGCGCTGGTCTTGTGTTCCGTGAATGCGACTCAATGGTTGCAATTGCTGAGGTTCGGGGGCGGGCGAGAATGAACTCGACATCGTTAGCATCAACCCTCACGGTCCAGAGGAGAAATGCCAATGTATCTGCCATTGCCGACGTGTACTCGTCAATCGGAAGGCCCAGTTCTTCGATCTGGTCGGCGTAAAGGGGATAATTGCGAAGGCTAATCGATTGCAGGCGACTTTGTCGCGCTCCTTGCCGGCGACGGCCAAGGTACGGGCGGATGAGGCAGTGCTCGTTTCGTTTATCATTGACTACCGAGTCAACATCTCCATTCCAATATCTTTGTACTAGGAGACGACGAGTTTGACGGGGCATTGGCAAGATGCGTTCGCTGACAAGTGCTTCACACGCCATAAACCCTGTGGGAAGCCGCGGAAGAATCGTCTTCCATTTGTCGGATTGAGGAGGCAGAAATTCGATGGCTGACGGAATATTGACGCAGAAGAATGATAGGTTGTTACCGTGCATCTGGATCGCTGATAGAATCTGTTGATGAATATGATTTTTGTTGGAGATCGATCGATCTGGAAGGCCGTCTCCTCGCTTCAACGCGATGGCTGAGTGTTGCGCGTCTATATCGACATCCTCGAACGCATCGGCCCAGACGGTCCCACAGGAGCCGTAGCCAATTCTCTCAAGCTGAGATATAGGTCTCGCAGTCGTGATATGCTCAATATGATTGTCCATATTGAATGTAAGTTATTGTGGTACTGCGAATTCGATAAAGTACACACGAAAATTAGGATGCTAATTAAGTGCCAAGTGGGATAGAGAAAAGAAGAGACGGGAATCGCCCACCTTCCTTTATATGCCCAGTTGGTTCCAGTCAGTTAGGTTGTTGGAAAATTTATTTGGTGGCTTAGTAAAAAGCTAAAAGGGTCTTATCTCTACATGCACAACCTCTGTTCCGAGGGCGGGTGCGTCACTACCAACGAAAGCCTACTCTGTCAGGGCTAAAAAAACGCCCTGACCAAGGAGCTTGCGAGTTGGTCAGGCCCAGTGATTAGCAAATCCTTTTCTTAGGGTTAACTATACGCTTTAGGGTTATTACATATGGCGTCGGTCCTGATTGGTTGGTTATGCCAAGGAAAAAGAGGGGTCTAGAGGGGAAACTTTGACTTCTTGGTTAATTTGGTGGTGCGCAAAGTACCAACATGTTGTTTGCGAATCAATGGACTTTGCGAATCACTGGGCCTGACCAAGGGCTTGCGACTTGGTTAGGGCGTTGTAGCCCTGACGAGTACGGCTTTCTCGTGTATTAATTTTATCTCTGCAAGCACGGCCTCTTTTCCGTGGCGCTAGCGCGCTTTGGCTTTGTATATGGGTCAAAGTGGGCTCGAATCTTTTCCCCGGAAAAGAGTCTGTGATTTGAGCGAAGACGAGTTGTCTCCGAAGCCGTAAACCCCATTCGAAGGTCTACTTTTTAACCTTCAAAGTAACCACTGATGTCACGGGGAAGGAATCTAAATTTCCAAACGAAATAGCTTAATTCCCGTTCAGGCGGTGTAAAAAGAAGATTTACCAATTCCAACTCTTCTGTATACAACAGCTACGATCTGACGAGCAACTTCTTTCAGAATAGGACTATCTACTCGGGCTATAGGAAAAGTTTTCCAGACTGTAGGCACGCTAAAAAGGTACATTTGGCCACTGCGCCAAGCCAGTAGCCTAACGAAAATCAGAATTCTACAGTTAAAAAGGCCAAGTTCAATGGCTCGCTCGCTTTTTCAGACGGACTACGTACCTAGGCCAGTCGCCCGGGTCTTGCAGTCAACTCGGCAATTGGCCTACGAATAGCTTCATCTCAAGAATTAAAGGTTGTGTTTGGCGTTGCCGATTTCCCCCCTCCCCCTTTGCCGATCCTCTCTTGATTGCTGGAATGAGAGCGGCGTGTGGATCGTTCTTCGTGATACGGCCGACCCGCCACTTGTCGTACACTCCTGGCCGCCTAACCTCCACCTATTAAATTAGGTCGCTCAATTAGATTCAAGTTTGCTTTTACGAGGTACGTATCTAGGCCATGTACTGTACAAGGTACACCCGCCCATCCATTTCCAACCTCACTCTCGCAGGATGCCCGCCGCAGCCGCCAAATTCTTGCAGCTGGAGAGGAACCTCCAGCTCCGGAGACAGTTGTACTCACCGCTCAGCTAGGCGAACTGGGTCTGTTGGTACCGCAGCCGTCCTTGAGCAGGATGCAATCGAAGCCCTTGAGACTTGCATCCTGCAGCGTGCCCATGACGCAGAGGCCCGCGAACAGCAGCGTGCGGATGCCCTGGCGGGCGAGGAACTGCGCCAGTACCGGCGACGACTTATCGCAGAGGCCCGAATTGCGGTTCTTGTGGAAGCGCACGTCGGGGCGGTGCTACACGAGCTGGCCGGCCGCGAACTGCTGAGCCAGCGGGCCGTGCAGCTCCGCGTTCCATGTACCCTGCACCAGAACGCCACCGCCACCAACCTTTGCGCCATTCGCCAGCGTTACCGAGCCCCTTCTTGCTCATCTTCTCGCCGTCGTTGTGCACGCCCTCGCCTGGCCGCGGTGCCGGGGAGGGGTGTCGAGCTGCACTGAGTGCTAGCTAAACGTCTGCAGGACGCTGGGGTCTATCTGCTCTAGCTTTGTGTCGGCTAGGCCCCAGGTCGACCAGATGACCTAGATTCCGGCGTGACGGGCAGCGGGGAGGGCGTGCGCGAGGATGTTGGCCTCGTCGTCGCGGTAGGCCTGGACATGGTTGCCTAGCGCGCTGGACATATTGTAATTCTGCATGTCAATGATGACCAAAGCAGTCTTGGCTGGGTCGATGGCCACGGGGGTCAGCGCGCACTGCAGCGTGAGCCGCGGCTGGACTGGCTCCGAGGTCCGTGTCGGCGGGTGCGTCAGGTCGAAAACCGACTGCGCATCCCAGAGCCAGAAGTTGCCCTTCGATTCCGAGCCTAGAACGGCCGCGGACTGGTCGCTGGACCTGAGTCGGAAGGCGCTTATCCGGTTCGCGGTGGCGCCGTCTACGCCAGCAGCCGTGCCTGTGGATGCGGTCGCGGGAGGAGCGCTGTCGGAGTTGGTGCTTACCATTATTCTTTTGGTGGAAAGAGACTTGGGAATGCGGTTAGCAGTGCGGGAGGGACGATGGTCTGGAGAAACTGTAAACAATTGTGTGCGCATGAAGAGAGAGAAGGGAGGGTTGAGAATCGAGCGAGCTCGGGCGAGTTGGCGGCCCGGGCTTGAGTTCCCAGAATGAAAGGGAGTGCTAATGAAAGAAGGGGAAAGACTTAAATGGAGGATGGCGTGGTACGCGCAGGTGAAAGTTCTCTTGATGTTTCTGGTTTCCTCGAAGTGTTGTGCTAGCGAAGGAGTTGCTGACGAGTTGGTGCAAGAGGAGCGAGAGAGGATAATTGGAGTGCAACCGCCATTGGCAAAGTGGCCTTTTCCTAGACTTTCTGACTGCAGCCTGGAACGCACGGGCGGGGGGACTTTTTGTTGGATTGATGAGATGGAATTGAACGCGCGCCTTTTGGAGCAAACATTTGATGCGCTCCCACTCAGTTTCACATGGACCAAGCCAGGGGCGGTACCAACCATACCCAGGTAACAAGGTTGACAGTAATGTGAGTATTTCTAACACAGCTAGTGTGGCTCTTCACTGACTACTCCTCCTACTCTATGAAATACGAAAGATGTAATTAAGAGGTACTCAAGTAAGGAAATTCATCGGGGCCCTACCTTATCATGTCATCATCAACTGACGGCTTTTTGGCAGTAAAACCAAGACTTGCAATGCAAGATACCAACTTTACCGCCAGAAAAAAGGCATCCACAATAACAGCTGCTATTGTGGATTGATGGGTGTAAGTAACGACAGGGTGGGAGCCCCGATGAAGTATCTTAATCAAGACCTAGGGGCGGGTTTGGAATTTGGAATTCACGATTCCTTCTGTACCAAGCCTTAGGTGCAATACCACGGCGGCTGAACATGACCCTGACCCTGGCGCTGGCGCGAGCATTGGGTGAGCCACCTGATACTGTTGTATTACGTCTTTACTGCCCTCACAAAACCCAGGTCAAAGATGACCAAGGTACGCGATTATGTGTTGCTTAGATTTGCTTACAACTAATTTCTATTAACTATTAGTGGAGTTTTCATGTTGTAATTGAGTCACTTATATTCTCTTTAATAAACTGCCAAGTTAAAAAAGGCTGTAATATATCACACTTTGTTCTACGAAATAACACGACATATCAATCAACTACCTCAAACACTCCGAGTCACTTTACAATGTACTGCATTAAAGCCGTAGCCGTTGCCTCATTGACCGTCAGCCAGATCCTGGCGTACGAGACAACGCTAGGTTTAAATTCCACTTTGGCAGCTGAGAATCGCACTCTCGACGAGATCTACCAGGCCGCGCTGGCCGAAGGAGGCACTGTTACGCTCTGGCACGGCGGCGACGAGGCAAACCAGATTGACGGAGGGCCTGGACCTTCGAATAATAGGTACAATGGGCTAACTCATTAAGAAGCTTTCTTTGGCTTTATAATATGCTGCTATTTAAATTTCTATTCAGCGACGGGAAAATAGCACCCGTCGCTAATTCGTTTGCGCAACCAGGCCCTCAACCCGCCATCCGCCTCCCTCACCGCCAACTGTTCTTCCATCTGGCATGCCATCAAGTTGGTGACGAGCTCGCTAATCTCGGCCTTATGCAACCAAGCCAACAGCCCACCCCCTCGTCGCTGACTGGACCCCCGTATCTCACGCGGCAACCTTAACAACAAGTTTCCCGCCACTAATCTCACCCTTGCGCATCCTGTCGAGCGCGCCGTTGACGCTGGCGAGGCCGTGCTCGACGTCGATGATCTCGGGCGGCGCGACAAGGCCGCTGGCGAGCAGGCGCTCGAGCCAGGTGGCGAGGGCGTCGCCGACGGCCGACAGCTCGTGGAACAGCTTGATGGGCACCGTGTGGAAGAGGGTGCCCTCAGGCGGCGGCGGCTTGGGAAGGCCGGTGAGCCCGATCAGGTGCGCTGACAGCAGCGTCGACGCGTGCGGCGTTGCCGGCGGGGTTACGGGCGGTGAGCCGTCGCTGGCGGCGGTGGCGGCGGGGGGTTTTGTTGTGGCCGAGGATATCGGCAGCGTGCTGGCTAGGTTGCTTGGTGACAGCGCTTGTAGTAGGCTCGTCGCCGTGTCGCGGCCGCGCGTGTCGATGCCGAACCGCACTTGGCCTGGCAGGTTGCCGCGGATGATGGCGACGGCCCGCTCCGGGCTGTGGCTGTCGACGAGCAGGTCGGGCCGGAGGACCGTATGATTGGCAAGCCGCAGGCCGTGCTTCGCCTTGTCGACCACGACGACTGTCTTGATGCCCACGAGCCGCGCCAGCTGGATGGTCAGGTTTGCCGACGTCGACGAGCCTGTGGTGCTTGTTAGCTGTGCCCTCAGTTGAGTGGATCTGAGCTTTTCGTACCACCCCAGATGGCGAGCCAGTCGCCGGCCTTAGCTCGCTCGTGGCTCTGGATCCCGTCGAGGCACTCGCTGCGAATGTCGCTGGCGACAGCCTCGGGATCGACTTGGCGAATCAGGCTGAAGAGATCCGGGCCGTCCAGCACGCCCGAGAAATCGACGCCCATGCACACGCCCAGCGCCAGCGCGGCGGCCACAAACGCGACGCCGAGCGTCGAGCCCTCCTCTACCGAGAGGCTCGGCGGCAGCCGCACGATGTTGTAGTCGAACGCTACCACGTATTCCTGGTACGCGGCCTTGCGGAGGTCCCGGTAGTCTGTGGATATTACTAGGACCTGGGCGGGGTTTTAGATGCAGGACATGCGAGACGGAAGGCTCGGACAACAACGTAGTACGTACCTTGTCTCTGGATCTAAGCCGCGACGGACGCGTCGACGTCTGGACCACCTCTCCCGCCAGCTCCCTCCCGGATATGTAGGGAAGCTCTGGTAATGCGAAGTTGAAGTCCCTGGGCCGCCCGGTTAGATGGACACGGCCATGATGGAGCTTCGGGGCGTGCACTCACGGTGCCTTCCAGTCAATTGGGTTCAGTCCAATGGCCTGCACCCTCACGAGGACTTCGCGGTCTCCCTGCAGCTGGGGCACCGGGTAGCTGTCGGTCAGCTGGTAGGGCTGCTTGGCGGCGTGCAGCAGCAGCACCGTCTGTGTCTCTGGGGTGAAGAGCGGCTCATCGTCGACTGGGGCGAGGATGTCGACGGGGGACGGCTGGTCTGTGTGAGAGCTCGTGGATGACTTGCGGAGCCTGTGCAACGACATGCGCCGAAAAAAAGAAAGGCCGCTCATGGTGGTGTGGGCGTGCGTACTGCGTATATGTGCGTAACACTGGGCCCGATATTGAGGCGGCCTTGAGGTTATAAGCCTGGCAGCGAAACAGGGGCCGAGCGGTCCTGAGTGCGAAGAGGGTGGGTAGTTTGCACTCACTCCAACGACAGATTTGGCCGGCCGTACGTTCGCTCTTGACGCTCCGGGATGGACGGGGCGGCGGCACCAACTGCTACATACCTACGTTGGATGTGCTGCAGTGCGGTGCGGTGCGTTGCAAAGCAGGTCAGCTCGTTGCCACATACCCGTCCCCACGGGGTTCCAATTACAAATCAGGCACGCATTGCGCCATCTCGAGCCATTCCGGCTCATTGGAATCTACTGGCCAGCACACGACCCCAGGCCCGCAGGAACACTAAGTGCAGACTACTCACTGCTGCTCAGACGCATCGACATGGCTGCTGGGCCCCCCACCCAGGGGTGTGTCTGGGCCTACTTCGTATCGGAGATACCGTAGATCCACCGCCCGATCATCGGGGATGGTGTTGGCTTTTATTTCAGTGCGACGCTGCCTCGTCTCTGGACCCGAGTAGCGGGTGCTTGTTCCGCATCGGGGCCTCGAGGGTGGGAAATGCTTGGCGAGGGTCCGGCGTTGATGAGCACATCCCCACGTTAATCACGCCATCGCCAAACAATCCCCCCCCCCCCCGAGGCTCGGACTCGGCAGACCAGCGCTGCGAGCTGCCGACTAGACGGAAAGACTGTGCCGAAGACGAGAGGACCCCGCCGCCGTTAATCCCCTTGCCTACTTGAGGCGGCGGCCTTTGGGTCGTGGCCCGAACCGAACACCATTCAAACCGTCTACACACCAACTTCACCCCTGACGGCCATTACTACCCCCACTCCGAACAAACAAGACAACTGCAGTGCAGCCGCTATCCGGTGACCATGGCGTCTCAAAATGTCAATGACGAGACACGGCCAAAGAAGCGGCTCATAATCAATGCGTTTGTTGAAATGTGTAAGCGTCGCTCTCCGAGTTTCGTGGCTTACCTCGGTCGGGCAAGGGTCTGGTCGGGCGAGGGCCCGGGGTGCATCTTAACGCCGAAAGGCGGCAGACTAATCACGGGCGACCTACGAGCGACCCAATGAAAGAGAGCGACTAATCATCCTTCCGACCCTGCAGGCAGCGGCCACCAGTCGCCGGGACTGTGGCGGCACCCGGAGGACCAGTCGTGGAGATTCAACGACGTCGACCACTGGATCGAGCTCGCGAAGCTCCTAGAGGACGCGAAATTCCACGGCATCTTCATCGCCGACGTGCTGGGAGGATACGACGTGTACTCACAGTCTCTGGATCCCGCCGTCAGATCTGGCGCGCAATGGCCCGTCAACGAGCCGCTGTCTGTCGTGCCCGCTATGGCCGCCGCCACAAAGTCGATCGGCTTTGGCGTCACCGTGTCGACCACCTACGAGCAGCCGTACCACTTGGCCCGGAGGCTGTCGACGGTTGATCACCTCACCAAGGGAAGGTAAGCAGTTCGCTCTCCGATCGTTGAAACGAGTGTCGCTGACTTTCTCCGCTAGGCTTGGATGGAATGTGAGTTGCCGCAACTATTCCGAGTTAGGTCCTTTTAACTGACACGGCCAAGATTGTGACAAGTTATCTAGACTCCGCTGCGAAGAACCTCGGACGGTCCGAGCAACTGCCTGTAAGCAGGACCAACTTACCTCGCACCTGGCAACGACTCGCCTGCTAATTAACTGTTGACTACCGCCAGCATGACGACAGATATGCCCTGGCGGAAGAGTACATCAAGGTCATGTACAAACTCTTCCAGTCGTCGTGGCGCGACGACGCAGTACAGCTGGACCGCAAGGCGGGCATCTACACGGCGCCGGAGCTGGTGCGGCCCATCAACCACACGGGACGCTTCTTCACGGTGCCGGGGCCGGCCATCACGCAGCCGAGCCCGCAGCGGACGCCCCTGCTCCTGCAGGCGGGCACGTCGAAGGCGGGCAAGGTGTTCGCGGCGCAGCACGCCGAGGCCATCTTCGTGTCGGCGCACGCGCCGCAGGTGTGCGCGGGCAGCATCGCCGAGATCCGGGCGCTGGCGGCCAACGCGCACGGCCGCGACCCGCGCAGCATCAAGGTGCTCGCGCTGGTGACGCCCATCCTAGGGCGCACCGAGGCCGAGGCGCGCGCCAAGCTGGCCGAGTACCGGGGACACGCGTCAACCGAGGGCGCGCTCGCGCTGTTCGGCGGCTGGACCGGCATCGACCTCGCCGCCTACGGCGACGACGAGGAGCTGCGCGAGGTCGAGAGCAACGCCGTCAAGTCGACCGTCCAGGCCTACGCCCGCTTCATCCCCGCCGGCTCCAAGTGGACCAAGCACACCGTCGCCGAACATGTTAGCATTGGCGGCAACGGGCCGATCCTGGTCGGCACCGCGGGGCAGGTCGCCGACGGGCTCGAGACGTGGGTTGCCGAGGCGGATGTTGATGGGTTCAACTTCGTGAGTTTTTTTTCCCTCTTCTCTTCACAAGCGAATTGTAGCTAAGTACCGATTTTCACAGGCGTACGCGCTCTTCCCGCAGTCGTTCAAGGACATCATCGAGCTGCTGCTGCCCGAGCTGCGCAAGCGCGGGCTCTTCTGGGACGACTACGCCGTCCCCGGCGGCACCTACCGCGAGAACTTTTACGGCCAGCCCGGCCAGAAGCACCCGCCCAGCGAGCATGTCGCGTCGAATTACCAGTGGCGCGCCGGTGTCCCGGCAAGCGAGCACACGATCCCGTCCGAGTAGATAGGCCGAGGAAAGAAGAAATTAAAATAGCAGGCCGTCGAAGTAGTCGAATCTCAATTGATCTCGCGTTTCGCGATGCTATTTGTTGCTCGCTCGGCCGTGCCGCTTGCGTGGCTGTTTTGTGCGACTGCGAGTCGAGTGACATCAAACCTGATAAGCTCAGATGAAGAAGGCGATACGGGTGACGATTCCCCCCATTTCTCCATATCCTTCGTCCAATGAAAAGGAAGGTGCAACGCGCGAGCAACCGAGATCGGAATGAGATCCGCGCCACCCCACCGCACAACTCCAAAAATAAAAGTTGGAGTGGGTGAGAAGCACAAGCGAAATAGAAAAACCCACTGGGTCTCCCGTCTTATCTCTAATTCCCGCATTAAGTCCTAATCAACATCCAGGCAAGATGGCCGAGCGGTCTAAGGCGCCACGTTAAGGAATCCCAAACCCTTAATCTCAGGTATCCGTGGTCCGAAAGGGCGTGGGTTCGAATCCCACTCTTGTCATAATGTTTTACATTTTGGTACCGCCTTCCGCATTGGCGGGATTGGGGTCTCCATTTTTGCTTCGCAGGTTGCCTTCTAGCCCAGGACTTTATCGTGGTAATCGTCTATTGCCTTAACTTATGATAACTAATTATAAATACTTCGATAGATAAGCTATCTAAAAAAGTGATAACAAACCGGAATCAACTCGCTGGAGCCTCCGAGCGTCAAAAGAGCCCCATTTTCCATTTTATTCTTCAGGTATCTTCTTCCCTTCTCCGTACTGGAGCGTGCTGACCCAAGTCCAAGCTGGGATTGCAGCCCCTAATTTCCACTTCACGCATTATGCCGTTGAATTACGGCCCAATCATGCATGCCCGGTCACCTGACAAAAGTGTCAACACCGATCAAATGCGGCTGAGACTCGCGTCCTTCCACCCTCCCTCCACTTCGCAAATGCACATCATCAACCGTCGAGTCCGGCTACAATCTACCGTTCCTAGAAATGGCGCCGAAGCGAGTCATGAGCCTTTGGCTGTTCGTACATGTCAGCCAGGCCCTCACGTCGTTCAGACCCGAGTGTCCGCTGCCCTCTCCCGGCACAGAATTCGTCTCGGGGCCCAATGTTCGGAGCACCCTAAGCATTGTCTGGAACTGCCTCTCAGTCATTTTTCTCTGCACTTGGAACATCCAGCACTTGAATGTCCCTGCCCTCCGACGTCGCCCTAATGGCTTCCTCCAGAAGATGTGGTGGCGAATTCTCGACTCAAGGACCAAGCTCAAGTGGATGATCTTCACCGTGTTGGCCCCCGAGTACCTGGTAGGGAAGGCTTTGGGTGAGAGATTGGCAGTAAGAGGGACGGACTGGTTTCTCAACGGCAATGCCCTGGACAATGCTCCATTCGAGTCGATACATGGCTACTTGTGTAATATGGGGTATTTCATACTCGACGTTGACGACTCTATGTTTCCAGCAACCAACCAAGGCATGACCCCAACCCCTGAATGCCCAGGTAATTATATCAGACGTCTCCTTACCCATGCTCTAGTCCAGGAACAAGAACCCAATAAAGATACGATAACTAGCTCCGCTCTACCGCCTCAGACGACTCCAGGCGAGCCAGAGAAATCGCCGCCAGGTGAGCAATACAAGGAGAATGTCGTGTCAAAATCGGACGAAATTAATCTCGGCCGTCTCAACGGGCGATACTTGGCGCTGAACCTGAATCAGTGGCATTGTGCCTCGAAGATGGGCATGGGCCGAGTGCCGTTTATCCCATCGCAGCAACTGGAGAAGCTCGACAGAGGCGGCGCACTGGTCAAGGGTCTCGCCATCGTCCAGGTTGCCTATTTGATAGTACAGCTCGTTGCCCGCTGGGCCTTCGGATTGCCGTCGACGCAATTGGAAATCGCCACGCTAGCGTTCTCCGTCTCGAGCGCCATCACTTATGTGCTTTACTGGGACCGGCCCCAAGGCGTCGATACAATCCACATTGTTCAGGCGAACCCTAGGAGGCACAATGATCCCTCCGTAGGAGTTGTGCCATCCGATCTTCTAAATGTCTGGCATCGGCCAGATTGGTCCTTCGAGAAGTGCCGCGCCTGCCTTGCAAAGTTTGGCCCCAGCTACCTCTGGCACGGGCCGCGAAGCTACTTCCACGAGCCAGACGTCGGCCCAATCCCAATCCCCAACGATGCTAGTAATCCGGGTGGGACAGACTACATGCGCCTGATACGCAACTCCATACACGGCTTCTTCGCTGATAATGAAGATACGCTCCCGATTGTCTTCGGTGCAATCTTTGGCGGCGCCCTGTTCGGCGCTCTGCATTGCCTGGCGTGGAACTTCGAATTCCCCACGCGTGGCGAGAGACTTGCTTGGCGAGTCTGCTCAGTTCTGACCACGGTATTGCCTATCGTTGCTGCGTTCCCTATGGTCATGTGGATACGCCTCAATCCATTTGGCGTAGACCCCAAGAAGGGAATTATTCGGACTGCAGTCAGCCTTGTTCTCGTCTTCGGCATCTTTCTGCCCTATGTGCTGGCGCGGCTGTTCATCATGGTCGAAATCATCAGGTCGCTGGCGTTTCTGCCGCCCGGAGCCTTTGCCGATACATGTTCTGGGTCGTTTCCGCACTGGGGCTAATTTCGCATCTAATAGTGATATCCTCGTCTTTTACTGGCTTAGCTTGAAACTCTTGCCCAGATATTTACTATAAATATTTGGTTTCGTCTGCTTGAGGCTCTACTGAACGAGGGGCTTCCATAGTTATATCATGCAAAACCGAAATAGCTTATACCCATTCTTACGCACACACTAAGATGAACACAGTTAAATATTTCCTAGGTGCAGCGAAATGTCAAACAATCGAGTGGCACAGACAGAGTCATACCAGCCGACTTATGAACCTTGTTGAGCTAGAGACAGTACCACAATCGCAAGCGTAGAGCGACACAGTTAGGGTAGTTAAGGTTGTTTTTAGGGTCGATTTACTATATATATATGTCGAGAACCACTTGAAAGATGTTATTGTATGAAGAAAACGCGATAATTAAACATTAACATTTATTTTGAGTGGATTATTTTTATTCTTCCCTAATGAAGTAACGTTACAGTAGAAGGCGAAATGGGTGTCGCTGTTTTTTTCATTCAACTTTTTTAAGGACCGCGGGGTAAGCCTATGGTTTATGTGGCTTTGCAGGGGCGCATTTGTAGTAGAGAGGTACTAAAGAGCAGTGCCTAACAAAGCCAGAACCGGCTCCACAAGTATGTACTCCGTACATCCCACTGAATATTCATTAGCTACAATGAGTCAGAATTCCACCGAGAGTGTCTGTGTCGTTGTTTGAGCTGTCCTTTTTTTTTTCTCCGCTAAGTATTAGTACTTCAGCCAGCAGTACGTGCAGGCGGACCCCTGGTGAAATGCCTCCATTAGCGGCGACTAGCATTTCACGTCAATCAGTGAGATATGCTCAGCCTAGCCCTTCTCTACAACCTGTCAGAAATTCTGACCAACCGCAGGCATCCCTGAGAAGGTGTGTCGCACAAGCACTGTAGCAGGGCGTCATGTGCTGGCCGTTAGGTGCCGCGGCATTGGTAGTCGGACATTGGGCATCAATCTCATGTAGCATTGCTAGATATACGTGGGATCCTCGTGGTTGAGGGGAGGAGCAGAACCGCCTTTAAGCTCAAGCAAAAGGGAATCGTTGCCCAGCCCCCAATCAGGTACGATCCGCGCTCACGTTTATCACTTTCATCTCGCCCGACACCACCCAGAGTCGTGAATCTCGAATTAAGTCCACTTCCAGCGCCTCCTCGATTCCACTTTGGCAACGTGCTTTCGATGGAGCCAGAGAAAGAGCTGACCCGAATCGGCAAAGAGCTGCAGGATCAAATTCAACCTTCGCGAGAATGGAGCCTAAACATCCAAGCTGGCCCCGAATGCGTCGTTGCTATGGCGCAGGTACTATTGATAGTCTCTACAAAGGAAGTGATGGGTATCCCCCTCTCCGGCGAGGGACTAATGTGGGTGGTCTCGAATTAGCTTGCACCTCCTGGCCCCACTGGGGTGGTCATCTAGAGATCTTTGACTCACAGAACTGCCTGAAGATATGAAAGTCTCTACGCCAATGCCAAAAACTGCCTGGCAGTAGGCGTAGATGCTCTCAGACACACGGGGGAGCGCATGAGAAAGGTTCATCGCTGGGCGAATGAGATGGGTCGGCCCAGAGGCACGGTCAGTGTTGGAAGCTTCACTACACTCTTTGGACAGAAACTGATCAAAATTCTGCGTAGGTTGACCAAATGACGAAGTATCTCGACCCAAATCAGTCTGCTGCCAGGGACCGACACTTCAAGCGATACTTCGACTGCGGCCAAGCCATGGCGAGCGACTCGGTGCAAGAGATTTGCAATATCAGAATTGAGTTCGGGAAGTGGCGAGAGCTTACAGCCTGCCTCTTGCGAGCACTGGAGGAGGCAGCCAGTGCGTGCGGAGAAACAGACTTCAAACCACGAGGGAGCGCACGGCTAACGCGTAGTAGCACAGAACCTGCAGCAAGAACAACGTACCAAGAGCGAACTTGAGAAGAAGGAAATGGAGAAATTGCAGTCCGAGAAGCTGCTCGAGCAAGAACGGAGACTCCTGGCCGAACTCACGTCGAGGTTCGAAGGGGCTCTCGGCGCCTACGAGGCTGCTGTCAACAACATCCCTCGTACGTTGTCTTCATTCCGTCGCTCCAGCGTGATGTGATACAGGATGCTAACAGAATTGGGTTACATAAAGCCACTTTAGCCGGGGCCGGAGCTATTGTCGGGGGCCTCGCGGCGGTGGGTGTGTCTGTTCCAGCTGCACTCGCTGGATTACTTGCTCTAGGAGTGCAATACTCAGTCATTGATTCTCGTCGGCAAGAGAAGACGGAGAGGATCAACCGACTAGAGAGGGAAACCGCCAGTCTGAAAGGGACATTAGCGGAACTCGCTGCTCACGCCCAATCCCTCGTAAGTGGATACGAATGAAATATCCTCATGCAGTCATTGAGAGAGAATACATGTGTATCTCGGCTGACTGCATAGAACTAACAGTCCCACCTAACCGACATCGTACGAAGATCAATCAACTATTTGTCTGACCTACAGGACAAGATTGACATGTTCATGGAGTATCTCATCAACATTCAGAACCTATTGGATATTGGCACTGAAGCCGGAAAATTTGTTTTCGACCCGACAATTGGGCTAGAGGAACGTCAGGACAAAGATATAAAGAAGGTTAGTGTCGCGCCGCCTCTGTGACTAGTAAATATATTGTGTACTTCCTTGGCTAACAATTTGGCACTATCTTCTCGGCAGAGCATCTTCGAAAAGTCATTCCAACTGAAGGCTAGTTTCCTCTTCGCGGCCAAGGCAGCCAAACTGTACAACGATGTCTCGTCCCAGTACATCATTCCCGGCATCAATTGGTTTAGTGGGCTTCGCCTCCTCGAGGGTCCAGCAGCGGGTGGTCTCGAGGCTACGTTGGACGATATAACGAGGCGGAGAGAGAAGATATGCTCTGGAGCCGAAGAACTCGCTGAGAAGGCTAGTCATTCTCTGCAAGAGCCCTATCTATCGCTTTCTGTTCTGCTGCCTATCATGCTTGCTTTGAGCGGAGCGTTCAATTTCTAACTCGGAACTTTAAATAGATGAATGCGGACTTGGACAACTGCATGGAGACCTTGATCCGTGAGACGGCGAAGTCGTTTAAAGAAGCCGACCCGGAACTTTGGTCGGATGCTGAGAGTTCGCGAGCGATTGTGGGCACATCATGATTTTCGGAGTCATTCCATCAGGCAATTCAACTCGATCAATGTTGCCATCATCCCAGTTTGACTCCGGGTTTTGTTATTACATTACTCTACGCTGTTGACCAAGGAACACCTTATGTTGCCAACCAAAGCAGCTCATTGATCAATTGGTGGATTCATGCTCCGCCAACTCCTGCACCCCCCATCTTCTTCTCTCTTCCCTGTACTCTGCCGCTAAGAATAGACGGTATCCACAGCAGGCTCTCGCCATTATGCCTGATCCCATACGCCACTGTCGCTTACTTGGCCTTCCACTGATTAGGAGGCTAGTCTGGATGGGTGGTTCCGCACCAGGATACTGAGTCTTAGTTGCAAGAATAATTGTCTCGTCGTGCCGGTCTCAGCTTTTTCAAGTGACTATGCATGGCGTGGAGAGTATGAGGATGTTACCTCTCGCGCGGCAGCACTAAAGCGTTGGCCGGCGGGGATGAAAAGAAGAGGAAGAAGGAAAGCGGGAGGGCAGCCACCAGTTTCTGCTCCTGTTAGGCATTGCTCCCTTAGTACTTTCCCGCTACAGGCGCATCCCGCAAAGCCAAGACTTCCCCCGCAGTCACTAAAAAAGTTAACTAAAAATCCAGCGACACCCGTTTCGCCTTCTACTGTAACTAATTACTTAAGATATCCGTATAATTTAGTATATGGTTGGGCGAACCACTTTTGTTAGTGTACTCGACTTTTAATTCGTTAACCACTAGCGCTGTCATCTTCCACACTTCAAGAGACCTGGGACATGGGGCTGTCAGGCAGCAGCGCCCGACACTGTCCGTCCCCGCACCTCTTCCCCCAACCTTGAACGGCAAAAGTTTGGTGATGGCGGACCCTCTATCTGTCGGGGCGAGTCTCTTGGCCTTTATCGGGCTTGCGGACCGCATTATTCGGCTAAGCAAATACTGTATCGATGGGCTCAAAGACGCGCCGAGCGACTTTCGCATGATTCATGGCGAAGTGTCGTCCCTCCGAACAATTGTTGACGACCTAACAGGAATCGACCAGCTGTCTCTCTTCGCCAAGGGCGGCCCCCTTGAAGCTTGTTACCGCTGTCTCTCTAACCTAGAGGGCCTTCTTCCTACCGACGCGAGCCAGGGTCAGGGTCAGGGTCATCGCCGCCGCCTCACTATCGCCGAGCTTGCTTGGCCGCTGAAACAGAACAAAGCTAGGAAATTGCTAGCTGAACTCTCGCAGCACAAAGCTACTCTACTCCTGATGATGTCCGGTGACATCATGTGAGCCGCTCATGTTGACGATCAATCGTTAGTACGGATTGCTCATTTTGTTCTATTAGTCACGAGCTGCAAGGTATCAAAACAAGCATCCAAAAGTTGCAAATCGATGTCTCTGGTAACTATGGCTTCTTCACCCCACCCACACCCGCTGCTCACCTGGCTAACCTGACCGGCAAAGAATCCGAGCGCCGGGATATTCACACTTGGCTGGAGAGGACAAATCCGTCACGGCTACACAATGCCGCAATCAGCAAACATGAACCGTACACATGCGCCTGGCTAGCACGGTCCGCCGAGTTGGAATCGTGGATGTCATTAACATGCCCCGACCGAATGCTTTGGATCCATGGAATCCCTGGCGCCGGCAAGACAGTTCTGGCATCTTTTGCCATCGAGCAAATGAAGCTCTACTGTGAAGGCACTACGAACCAGAAGTACGCCTACTACTACTGCCATTACTCGAACGGCCAAGACGAATCCCTGCCGCTCCTGAGTTGGGTTGTTTCCCAGGTATGTCGGCAGTTGAGCTGGGCGCCCTCCCAACTCAAGCAGCTCCACGATCGAGGCTGTGAGCCCACCCTCTCTGAGCTGCAGTACGTCCTGGAGCTTGCTCTAGTGCGGCTTGAGAGCCTTTTCATCGTTGTAGATGCGGTCGATGAGAGCACACCTCGGGACGAGCTGGTGCGTTTGCTTGCTACCATGACCCTGGATAGCCGGTTCCAAAAGGTCCGTTTTCTCGCTACGAGTCGGAAATACTGGGATATTGAGCGCTTCTTTTCCGGCATCTCGATATCCATATCGATGAAGAACCGATATGTCGATGCCGACATTAAGCGCCACATTCGTTCGAGGCTCAACTCCAGCTTCCGTCTCCAGCGGTGGCGGGACTCTTTCCAAGAAATTGAAGATGCGCTGGTAGTAAAGGCTAATGGCATGTAAGTTGAGCCTTGGGGAACTTGAATGAGCTTTCTCCGACTAAATGAACAGGTTCCGCTGGGTCGATTGTCAACTCCATAGCATCGAGAGGCTTGGTGATAAGACGAAACTCCTCTCCGTGCTGCAAGACTTGCCCCCAGACCTGAGCGAGACCTATGTCAGAATATTCGACGCTATCCCAGACGCCGATCGGCAATTCGTTTCTCGTGTCCTCCTATGGATCTACGGTGACTCCAGAGCACCTTGGCCAGCCCGTCGAGCTATCAACGCAAAACTGCTACTCGAGGCAGTCACCTTTGACTTGTACGGCAGTGTCCCAGCCGGCGGAAACGGCGTCTTCGACTGGGATTACCTCCAAGACCTCTGCGGCTGCCTCGTCACCGTCAAAAGCCAAGGCCGCCTCACCGATGCCGCCGCTTGCTCCATCACACTTGCCCACTATACCGTCTGGGAGTTCCTGACTTCCTCGTATATACTTTCGACTCGCGTTTCCCAGTTTGCAGTATCGACACAGGCCGTCTACCGAGATTTCGCCACAAGCGTGCTCCGTCAGGCTCTTTCGGCGGATCCCGAAGGCGAAGGAACGGACTGGCGGCGCGACCGGGACGCATATTGCCTGGTGCTCGGATGTGCACTGAAATCGGACAGGTACCTCCAAACCCCCGAAGACCTAGAGCTGTACTTTCGCTTCTTGGACCCCTGCAACCCACATTACCGCCGGTTTCGAGCCGTCCAGTCCCGAGCTCTTCACAGCCCTTCGGACCGGGCATACCGATTCTCAATTTTGAAGATTCCCACCGAGTTCCGGGCACCAGAGGGTGCTGAAGAGCGAAACCACATGGCTGAGGTTTTGCTCAACGCTCGCCTGCTCAACGATTGGATGCCCGGGGAGCATGCGGCGTACACGACTCATCTACCACCGGTCGGTCGACTGCCGCAGCACGAGGTCGAAGAGCTTGGAAACCAGCGGGTAGCAGGTATCTTCTTGGGCCCGGATGAAAAGGCGCCTGAGCAAGAATTTAGATTTGATGGAAAAGTTTGGGATATCAAAGCTCCTCGTCGAGGAAGTCGTCCAGCATAATTAGACTAGTACAAACGCTGCGACCGCGAGTCGTCGAACCCAGGGGTGGTAATGAGATAGGCCTTTTTGTCCATAAAGATCACCTCGTACCACTCACTCCAGCTTGGATGTGCATGGATCCAAAATCAGCTTCCGCCTTGGTCCACCAGGAAAATAACGACTTAATCGACTCAAGCCCGTGCCCAATCACCGGTGTTACGCCGCCGCCAATACTTGTCCCACCAAGCGTGTTGATGAAGGTGCTCTTGCCGGCGCCAGTCTTGCCCATGATGGCAATGATGGGAACCGAATGGTCGGTTGATCCTACCTACTACACCTTTTTTCCGACTCATAAGGTCAACCACCAGCAAACCACAAACCACAACAAGTACGAGAATAGCCCAAACCGTGTATTTTACCCACAATGATATACGCATCGCTCTCCACTGGAGCGGACTTTAACACCTAAGCGGCAGCCCTTTATTTCAACCTTTAAAAAATTCATCTTCAAGTGCAATGTTAAATACGACTTGAATGCCCTTCGTTCTGTTCTGTTCTTGTGCATAGGTAGGTAGTCCAGGTGGGGTAAGAACCATGAATTAGCGCCGTAACTACTCCCAGAAAAGGGACCCCGGTTTGGTGGCGTTGGGTACAGCACAGGGTGCTTTTCAGCTTGCCCGATCCTGGCTCGTACTCCTAAGGTCTCGAAGGCGTCTTAATTGCTGGATTAGCTACCTACATAATTACAAGTTCAGGGCCCATCTAATGCGTCTGCGTGGCTGTGGGAGCCTCGATTTTCCCATGCCAGCAGTCGCTGCAGACATCCCAACGCGCCGTCAACTCATCAGGCGCAGTCGGCTCCGGAGGCGGCGGGATGTTAGAGTAGACAGCTGCAAACGCGTGTGAGGCTACGCCGGGGACATTGTAGAACTTCTCCGACGCCCTCGGCAGGTGGCTCACGAGTCTGGCGTTGAGACCTGCGGCCTGCATTTCGTGGATGTAGCGGTGTACATGTTTCTGAATCGGATAATGGAGGCTGTTGGACCAACCGAAATGTATCACCTAATGAAGCTGGTCAGCTGGTACGAGGAGTGGGCGGCAACGCAACTGTTATAAAAGCCAATACTTACATTCGATGCCTCTGTTGTTCCTGGCAGGGGCCTAACGATGTTGTTCAGAAACTGGAAAATCTGCCCAAGTTCGTTGGCAGGTTGGGTCGACTTGACTCCGCTGATATCACACTCTATCTGGGTACTATTGTCGATAAGGTCTGGCGAGTGAAGGGGGAATTTAATGTCGTAATGTTCTGGCTCCGAGCCAGCAGAGCCTTCAGCAGATAGTCGATCTCGCTTCTTTGCGTCTCGAAGAATCAGTTCCCTGGAGCAGTAGTCTTGATTAGTTGCGGAGGATAATCTCAGACACACGCAAGATAGTCTATAACTTACCCGTAGACTAAAACCCTGGTGTGATCAATCTGTTCGACCAAGAATGGCCTAGTCCCTACTACTCGAAAGACCGTCGCGGTAGCACCGCCGGCTTCAAACGACAATGACAAAATGTAAGACCCCTTCCTCAAGCCAAGGCACCGAGAGTAGTTGTTATAGGCAAGTACCGCCCCATATAGAGAAATAGTGACCGTGTGAGGGATGTCTTTCAAAAGCCGCGTATAGGCGTCCTGAACCCCCTGACCCATTTCCCGTAGCTCAAATGGCCAAGCAAGATAGCTTTCGTAGGGAACATGGCCCTTGAGTCCCTCAATAGCGCACACTTTCTTGTGCACGAAATCCTTAACCCTGGCGAAGAACTGTCGAAGCATGTCATAGTGCTCCGTATACTCCGACGAGAGGCCTCTTCGAAAATATAGCTCCCTGAAACAAGAGAGGGAAAGTGGTTGTATGGGTGACTCGGTGACTTGACCCGGGGACAAATTGCCCCACATTATGGAGGTTTTTCTTCGTCCACTGGTGATTGAATATTGGTTTGTGACCTAGTCATGGGTACCAACTTAGCTTCAAGCGCTCGAGAACACCAAGACGGGAAACTTACGGCGCTAGACTCCGCTAGACTCCCAGGCTTTCCGAACTGAGGCCAGTGTTTAAATGGTCGGGCTTTTGTGAATTTCCCAGAACCATCGACCACGGTGAATGCAGCAAAGGTCTGAGTGGCACTCAAAGCAAACCCTAAAATAACCTTTGGTCTAGTTTGGTGGTCCACGTTGTGAAGGACTGATAATGGGGGGTGAAGCTGGATATCTAGCCCGGTTTGGTGCTCCGCACTCCGTAGTACTGGGACTAGAGGCTGAACCGACGCATCAGGCTCAGTGTTGTCCTCCACGTGCTCGACCACTGGAATAGCAAGCCCAGCCGGGACCACTGGGTTGAAAATTTCGTCATGATCCGAGGACATCAGACCCTTGACTTTGGGCAATGCCCCAGGCAAGTCTGTGTTTGTAACTTGTCGGGTTATTACCTCCCCTTCTGGCAAGGGGCCGGAACCGAGGGCCCAGTCAATGTATTTTGGGATAGCCATTCCAGGGGCTTCGAAGAAGAGCTCGTAGACCTTGCCCGTGGGAAGCATCTCTCGGTAGACCTCCGCACTTACCCTATCCCCTAGAGAGATGCTGATGGCGGACAGCAGGGCGAGCGAATAGTTGTAGGAGTCGGTCGACTTGCCAAAGAAGGTCTTCTTTCCTTTGACTGCACGGCGGCAAAGCTCAAAGGCCGTTGTGGCCTCTTCCTGGGCCAGGTGATGAAGAGCTGCAGCGTGGAGGAGGTGAAAGTAGTGGTGAACTGCCACGGGATCGTATGACGGACAGGCCTCCGGCAGCAAGACTGACTGGTCCACCTCTTGCCATTTACCTATGGATGCCTGGCTAATCGCCAGCATGAGTCTCGCCGCCGTGTCCTCGGTGCCTCTGGACGAAATGAGCTTAGCCAGATAGCTTGCAGCAGCATCGTACTTGCCTGCCGAGAAGCTGTTCAGCGCCAATTGCTTTAGCTTTGGAAGAACTCATTGTCGATATCGGTCTCGTCGCTGTCGTCAACGGCTGTCCGAGACCTGTCAAAGCTTTCGGTATCCTCAGAAATGGGCGGTGGTATCCAACCCAGAATGCCTTCTTTTTTGGTCTCGCTCAGGCGCTCGCCGTGAATACTCGGGTTGTAGTGGGATGACGTCGTTGACCTGCCCACGATGACGCTGGCATTGGAACAGATCGACTCGGCAGCGTCCACGAGTTGCTTGCGGTGAGTCCCAGGACGGGCCCTGCTTGTCCCGCCAATCTGCGCTTCCAAGTTGTGAAGGCTCTGAAGGATTTCATCCGAATTCGCTCTATCTTTGAGTTGAAGGCAACTAAGTGTGTGGGTTGAGTTAGCCAACCTTTAACCCGTCAGTTCCTGTGTATCGTGAAAGGAACTTACATGGATATTACACCCAGACTGAGTTGCATATCCTGTGTATGAGATTTGATCTGCTGTCGGTACTGAGCTATATCTTTGGCCTTGAGCGACAGGCGGATCTGTCGGCCTGGCCGACTCGACCACAGGAGACTGCGCGGTTTGTTGAAGCTTGCAAGGGCTTCGGCGAGCTTCTCAAGGCTCCCTCGACAGTCCCAGAGTGACTCGTGCAGACTGCTCACCAGCTCTCTGCCAGAGTCTCGTGAGGCAGCTTCAATATCTGAAGAGCCAACTTTGCTATGGCCGATGGCGTCGAGGACGCGGCCAAGGCCCTCCACCTCGCGCTTCATGCCGGCAAGGTTATAGTCGACATTTGCGGACCCGTCTATGAAATCATAAATCAGGATAGAGACCTGCGCATAGTTGTGTCGGCGTATTTAGTAGCTGGCAACGAGTGAGAGCTGTGGAAGAGAGGGATCACAAACTCACCTTGCCGCAGAATTCGGCGAGGCTCGCTGACGAGACAACAATCGATAGCGGGTCCATGACTGACACCTGTCCACAATACAATCATTGAAGAGGTGAAAGACAAGTACAGTGAACACCGCAAATTGTCTCTGGGCACAGTGGAAGAGAGACTCGAAGTGCGGTCAGCTTCCGAAGAGTATCTTGGCCCTAGAGAGAGCCTCATCTGTATAGGCTAGGACGAAGGAGGGGCATTTCGGGTTGTCTGTCAAGTGACCGGCTAGCTAGGCTGCTCTGCAGGTGCATAGCCCGGGCGCCTCCTGCAAGCCAAGCAGAAGATCAAATGTACACTCCAATCCCTGAATGGTTGTTGCCGTGGTACTTCGTACTTGGGATGAAAGAGAAGATTATCGTAAATAAACCGGCTAGAAAGGCCTTCAATAGGTGGTTTTAGAGAAGTAATATGCGACGAGGATTCTAAAGCAGAGATTCCAGTAGTTATTACCTCCCCTGTAAAATTCTTGAGGTCGAGCCATATAACAAGCACCCAAGGATTTGGTTGTAGAGCAGAGCTGAAGACTCAGCGTAAGTGGCTGGGTAGTGTGTGCCAGCACCTCGAAACCGGCAGTGTCTTGGGCAGAAAGAGCCTTGACCATGTTGTCAGTTGTCTGGTAGCAAGAGCAAAAGGTCGGTTGTTTATCTTCGGCAACTCCTATTTCTAATAATTATCCTCAAGTGTTGACGGGAAATTGCTAAAATTGACAAACTTGACAGAAACCAGATCTGAGGCCGATGCGTGTATGCGAAAACGGAGAAGAGATATCCAACCACATACAGTCAACTCTGATGGATACGTCGACACGATCTCCAAACCACGCTTTGCCTACCAATGGTATATAACCAATCAGGAAACGCTGTCAGCAATAACATTGGCCATAAGCTCATAGTTACGCGAATAGTCAATGGTGATGTCGACGACGCAGACGCCCTTGTGTGCGAGGGCTTCCTTCATGGCCGCCTCCATCTCGGTAGAGCTGGTGACTTTGATGCCCTTTGCGCCAAAGGCCTCGGCATACGTCTTGAAGTCGACGCCGCCGAGCTCGACGCCCGAGCTGCGGCCGTACTTGTCGACCTCCTGGAACTCGACCATGTTATAGGCACCATCGTTCCAAATAAAGTGTGTGATGTTGCAGCCATGCTTCACAGCTGTGGCGAGCTCCTGGCCGCTGAACAGGAAGCCGCCGTCGCCGCTGATGCTGACGACTTTGCGCGCGCAGGGGACGGGAGTCTGGGCAAACGACGCGCCGATCGCCCACGGAAGCGCCACGCCCAGTGTCTGCTGCGCGTTGGACACGAGGAACGTTTTGGGCTCGTACGAGTAGAAGAACCGACTCAGCCAGATGTACACGCTGCCGACGTCCGAGATGACGGTCGTGCCGGGGTTGATCAGGGACTGCAGCAGGCAGATGAAGTACAGGGGGTGGACGGGCCCGCCGTTGGGCTTGGGCGCTGCGTCAACGTCCGTCTCCCATGCGTGAAACTCGGCGAAGAGCTTCTTCGCGACGTCGGTCTCGTGCGGACGAGCCAAGACAGAGGACGGAACCCGAGTGCCGAGGATGGTGGCCAGAGCATCAATGTTTCCGGTTAGCGATCCCACCAGCTCGAGCTTTGGGGCGTAGTTGAACCCAAGATCGGCCGGGCCGGTGTCAAGGTGGATGATATCAAAACGGTTGGTGGGGTTCCACTGGTTGGCATCATACTCTGCCTGGTCATAACCGACGGTGATCACAAGGTCGGCTTGTTGCAGCAGCTTGTCGCCAGTCTGGTTGCGAAAAATTCCAATGCGCCCAAAGAACAGGTGAATCAGCTCCTTCGAGATTGCTCCGGCCGCCTGAAATGTCTCGACGACGCGGATAGGGTGCTTGCGCAGGAAGGCGTGCACTGCTTGGACCACGGGCGCGTCTGCAGCGCGTGCGCCGAGGAAAAGCACGGGAAACTTGGACTGCGCGATGAGGTCACCTGCTTTGCTGAGAGCCTGTTTTGGTGCACAACCGTATTCCGGTGGGACAAATGCACTGGGTGGGAAGGCGGGAATGGACGACTTGATGCCGGCCGTCATGACATCGATGGGCAGGGTTACGGCGGTTGCACCCCGGTGGTGGGAATTGGCCACCCGGAAGGCCGCTACCATGATCTCGGCAATCTGGTCGGGCATCACGACGTCGAGCACCTTCTTGGTGACGGGCGCCAGCAGTTCTGTGGCACGCAAGCTCTGGTGGGTCCGCTTTGATGCCTGGGAGCGCTTGACGGTTCCCACGATGGCGACCATTGGCGCGCCCTCGTCCGTAGCTGTGATGAGACCAGTGACGAGATTGCTTGTGCCCGGACCCGACGTAGCGATGCACACGCCAGGCCGGTCGGTGAGCCTCCCGATAGCGGCGGCAATGAAGGCGGCATTCTGTTCGTGGCGGCAGACCACGAGCTTGATCTCGGGGTGGTCGATAAGCGCATTGAAGACGGAGTCGATCTTGGCGCCCGGCACGCCGAAGACGTATTTTACGCCGGCAGCGAGAAGCGAGTCGATCACAATCTGCACGGTTTCTGTTTCGGCCGCCATTGTCAAAGAAGGGTTATTGGATGTAGTGACCGGACGAGACAGGGTTTGAGTGGTGGGATGGTGAAGTTCAATTTAATACAGAGCACACATGGCAGCCGGTGCCAGTCACTGCAGAGCGGGAGGTGTTCCTGCCGGTTGCATCCGAAATTTGCCGTGCAAGGGCGAAACCATGAACACATCGTGCAGCGGTGGTGGACACTAGAAATCCGCAATCCACAGCGCACATGCGGGAGTGAGTAAGCGGGAGCGGATGCAGGTCAAGGCCGGCTTTGTCGGGGCAGATAGGCGGGGACACTGGGTACATACAGGCTGCAGAGTGCCTAAGGTAACCAACAGGGCCATCAATTGTCCTCGAGTGCAGCAATCCTGCCAAGAAAAACACAGCAAAAGACTGCATCAAAAAATACCACCAAAACATCCAGGCAAAATGACACAGAATGAAGTCTTCCAGTACTCCACTATGTCAGCCCTGATGGCCGGCATTGCGTCGCACGGCGCAGCCATCTCCAGTGTGCTCGAGCACGGCGACCACGGCCTCGGGACGTTTCGTAACTTGGACGGAGAGATGATCGTGCTCGACGGGGCGGTCTACCAGATGAAGTCGGACGGGTCCGTCGTGGCTATCGAGTCGCCGGCGGACGTCATCACGCCGTTCGCGACTGTGACGCGCTTCAAGGCCACGGCCAATGCGAAGACCGCTGTCGGGAGCAAGGAAGACCTGTTAGACCTCCTATCGCGCCTCTTTCCTTCGGCGCGCAACCACTTCGTGGCGATCCGCATCGACGGCGTCTTCAAGAGCGTCAACGTGCGCACGGCAGGCGGGCAGCAGTCGCCCCGCGAGTCTGCGACGGGCGTAGCCAACCGGCAAAAGGTGAACACGTTCCGCTCTGTGCGCGGAACCGTATTCGGCTTCCGCGCGCCAGACTACTTCATGGGCATCAACGTGGCTGGAATACACATCCACTTCATCAGCGACGACCGGAAGGAGGGCGGCCACATCCTAGCGTTGGAGTCGGAAGGCGAGGTGGATGTTGCGGCCGCGCAGCTCTCCAAATTCCACCTAGAGCTGCCGACTGGCGACGACGACTTCAACGAGGCGGAGTTAGCGCCAGACGCAAAGGGCATTGCGGCCGTTGAGGGCTAGATTCCAAATGCATTTCTGGCGTTTGTGCGTGTTCGGACTTAGAGAGCGATGTCTAGGGCAACCAACCAATTGAAGGACAAGAGAAGACAAAATAAGATAAAAATAAAAATAAAAAAGAATTCGTCCGCACACTGGGGCTCGCAGGTTCCGTGATGTTGACAGGCCAACACCAAAAAAAAAACGTGTCTCCCTCGGTTGGGGTCGAACCAACAGCCTCCAGATTAACAGTCTGACGCGCTAGCCAATTGCGCCACGAGGGATATTACCGAGGTGCTAGTTGAGCACCCGAAGGTTCTTGTTTCAGATGCCCGATTCCGTTGCTTATCAAGAGAGAAGGTTATGAGCATTCAGGGGGTTGACTTCAAACAGTGGAGAGCGGTGGATATTCCCGACATCGCGCCGCCAGCAAGACGGGGCCGCATTGAACGCTGCCAGGAAATCCCCAGTGGAGCAGTGGGCTGCAAGAGGTGAGACGAAAACGCTGCTGAGACGAAAATAGCTCGTGCGTTGTGAATGGAAGAGTTAGCGGCAGGCACGCTGTGGGCTGCTTCAGCTGCGCGTCGCTCGATGTCAGTTAGGATTTAGGGTCGGCATAGAGGGCCAGTCGTCTCCGACTGTCAATGCGATGTCCAGGTGCTCGAAAGGGCACGGAAAAATCTCTGTGAAATAGAGGATGGCAGATAAGCGCATTCGCTTCCTGTTGGCTGCCTAAGTTGCCCATTCCTGATGGCCGTCCGAAGTTGGCAAGTGCGGTGAAGACAATAGTGGGTGTCGTGATTTAACCTAGCGAAACCCCCCACTTCCCACAGTACGGAACGTATACCACTTGGCCACGAAATCCCGCCGTAATATCGGAACAGTGCGATCGCTCTTTCCTTCTCTTCGCTCGACACTTGATACCAAGTTCGCCTTATTTGCAAAATTCTCACCCGAAACTTAGCCAGCTCCTACTCTTTTGCCATGAAAAACCGCCCGGTCTTGCAGCATTTTGTAGCGGGCTTGGCGGCGGTCACCTTCCTGATCCTCTGGGGCGCCGCGTCAGCCGTTAACGTCGCCGTGAACCCTGCCCCAGACTTTGACTTCGGACCCAGCGAGGAAGCGGCCCGCCAAAATGGCTTCCACATTTTCAACGCCGTGCACTCGGCGCTGCGTCAATGTAAGCCATTGTTAATTCTTATGGTTTCTAGATCTTTAAAAGAATTATTGACAAGCTCAAGGGGGGTCTTCACTGAACCACAACGGCCTCTCGCTGTTCTTGGCTACGGTGCCCAACGGTGTCCTCCTCTATCACGGCGATGACGTGCCAGACCAGCCGCCGAGCTTTGAGTGGCTAGCCTTCGAGATTGAGCATGCTGAGCAGTTTGCACGCCCGAGGAGATCTCGGCGCATGCCCGATCCTCCACTCGGCCTCCTCAACCAGCATGCACAGGATGGGCAGGCCAAATCCGCATACGACGACGGTGACGAAGAGCCTCACGAGTACCCCGGCTATCTCCAAATCTACCGAGTCACAAAGCCCTTCCGTGTTCTCTACGTCGACGGAATGGGTGCCGGTAAGACAGACCTCGGCACGCTAGACACGCAGGACTTCCTCCTCCGCAACAGCCGGTCAGAGCATCCGATCAGAGACTACGAGCGCGGCCAGGACCTGTGTGACATCGCTGTTGCCTGGGGGCTGCAGGGCGTGCTTCGGATGGAGGCAGGCTTTGAGATAATCAAATGCAACTTTTCCGACAGCATCGAACTGGTTTCTGTGCGCCAGCGGCCCGCCCTCGCCGACCCGGGGTCAGAGGACTACTTTGAAATCTCCCACCTCGAGTACATGAGAGCCGTCTCGCAGCGCTATCACGGCATCGGATCTGGTCGCGCCGTGCTGGACTTTTCCTCCATGGTCTCGGCGCTATTCTACCCCGTCAATCTCACCAACCCGGATCCCGAGCGCCCGGAGCTACTGCGCTTGGCAGGCGCCACCGAAAAGCAGCTGCATGCAATCAGGCTGCGGCTTGCAGAGGTCGTCAAGGCGCGTGGCGGGGACACGCCCGCAAGCTCCATTGATTGGCAGGGAGTCGTGGACATGATTGTCGCCCGATACGCAGACAGGCTCAAGAGCATGGCGGACAAAACCAAGTCTCTGGGCGCCATGCGGGGCGCCATCAACCAGCTCCTGAATCTCCATATCGACTATCCTCCGGAGGGTAAGAAAGAGATAGGAAAGGTTGAGCTCGAACGGTGCACGAAACACGACACTGCCCTTCTTGTCCCACGGACACAGGAGGATCACTTGATCCTTGCCGTGATTGAACACGTCACGTCGAGCATATGTTCGGCGCTGTTCTCCGTCCGGAAACTCGTCGTGGCGGATCCCAACGCAGACGAGGTTTCGCTTTCAGCGGCCGTGAAGATTTTTCAAGATTTGGTAGATCGCCTGCAATGGACAAGGTGGAAACAGTGTCCTCTCTGCGAATACGACGAGGTCTGCTTCGTGGCCATGTGGCCCTTTGGAGACACAGAATCCCACGAACAGCCTTCGTGCAGAAATAGCTCCACAATTGGGGACCATAGCTTAGGCAGCTACTGGCCGCACTGGTCCCAAAGGCCTGGATCTGGAAACAACAATCGTAGTTATGGAACAACAGATGGCGATGGCTCGGGTCGGCGAGATTTATGATCGGTGCAAGGTCGGTATTTACTTGCTCAAGGAAGAGGCGCGGTGACGGTTAGAATTCTCACGATACCCCACGCTATATAGACTCGTCTCTTGCTGTGTGGCGCTGACGAATCCATTTTTTCTTGAATTTCTTTTTGGGGGTGTGTCAACAAGCCTGTTGATTGCCCTAGTCAGTCTGACTGCCCTGCGCAGGAGCCTCTCCTGCAGCACATGTCAACGGAACGCGGGCTCACAAAGAAGGTATTTGATGATCTAATTACAAATATTCCATATTCGCCGCCTAATTAGGTTATACTGGTTACCTTAATATCCATGGGGCCTGCATTTTTTTTCCTTAGAGATTAGTTTATAGTAGAATAGTTGTTACGTCGAAAAGTGGCCTTCTACGTAAGATATCTAATTAGAGCGCCCGCTTTTTTCCTGTACGAAGCACCCAGCTTCTGATCAGAAATGGACATTTCTTCATTTTTACCCTTCCGGGGGGAGGCTTGGTGTTGAGGGTGTGATTCAAGCCTAGTACGTCCACGGAGCCTCAGGCTCGGCTCCTGCTTCCCCGGGTTGCACTCAGCCCCAGATAGTCGGGACGGTTAGTGCCAGGGTTGTTTCGCTACTGGCATCCACCCCGACCGAAGTCTCTCGTCTATCTACGTTGACATGACTCTTTTTGCGGGGGACTAAACTCCGCAGGCTCATTCGACTCTGGACGACGATGCTGCATTGGTGGAAATGCCAAAAACAGCCGATTTCAAACAAACTAGGCTCTCCACATCTACCGAGTACCCCGGTAGCCAAGCTGGGACAATTATCTTTGCAGCCGCAGTACGGGCAAATGCTACCTCAAATCCGGGTTGCACAGGGAGTATAAGAGCAGCTTATACCCCCCGATAGATGTTGTGGCTGCATTGGAATCACGACACCGACAGCCAGGTGTTACTCTTTCGGGTTATCCATCTTCGACAACCGAGTAATTAGAGGCAACCGCGAGGATGAATTATTCTCTGCTGGGGTTGGCCATCGGCCTGTGTTTTGCCATCTCAAACATCCCAACGGCAGCTGCAGATCTCACCACGACCATCGACGCCAAGTCGAACCTCGGAACGTGGGAGGGATGGGGCACCTCGCTCGCATGGTGGGCTCAAGCCTTTGGCACGCGAGACGACCTGGCCGACATCTTCTTCACCACCAAGACGCAGACTTTCAGAGGCAAGACCGTGCCGGGGCTGGGACTGAACATTGTGCGCTACAACGCGGGGGCGTGCAGCACCAACAGCTACAACGGCTCCAAGATGGCCGTGTCGCCCAAGATGATGCGGTCGCGGGAGATGGAGGGCTTCTGGCATGACTGGGCTAGCACCAACCCGTCGTCAAGCAGCTGGAACTGGAACGTCGACTCGGCGCAGCGCAACATGCTGTGGAAGGCGCGCGACCGGGGCGCCGACGTGTTCGAGCTCTTCTCCAACTCGCCCATGTGGTGGATGCTGAAGAACAAGAACCCGGCGGGCTCCGACGACGGCGGCAGCGACAACCTGCAGTCGTGGAACTACAAGGACCACGCCCTCTACCTGGCCACCGTTGCCAAGTACGCCGCCGACAACTGGGGCTTCAAGTTCCAGGCCGTCGACCCGTTCAACGAGCCGTCGGCGACGTGGTGGAGCGGCAAGACGGGCACGCAGGAGGGCTGCCACTTCGACGTCGCCACGCAGGCCACCGTCATCGGCAACATGCGCGCCGAGCTCGACAGCCGCGGCCTCGCGGCGACCATCATCTCGGCGTCGGACGAGAGCTACTACGACCAGGCGGTAACCACACTCCAGGAGCTCGGCCCGGCCGCACTGTCCAGGGTATCCCGCATCAACGTGCACGGCTACCAGTACGATAAGGGCGCGCGCGACAAGGTGCGCAGCCTGGCGACGGCGGCGGGCAAGAAGCTGTGGAACAGCGAGTACGGCGAGGGCGACGCGACGGGCCAGCGGCTGGCCAGCAACCTGCTGCTCGACTTCCGGTGGCTCCGGCCGACGGCGTGGGTGTACTGGCAGGTGCTGGACGGCGGCGGTTGGGGGCTGGTCGACGCCGACAACGATGCCAAGACGGTTGCTGCCGTCAACCAGAAGTACTTTGTGCTGGCGCAGTTCACGCGCCACATCCGCCCCGGCATGCGCGTGCTCGACGCCGGCAGCGACTACGCCGTCGCCGCCTACGACGCGGCTGCCCGCACGCTTGTAGTTGCTGCTGTCAACTGGGGCGACGCACAGTACCTCAACTTTGACCTCTCGCGCTTTGGTACCCCCGGTGTGGATGGCGCCCTCGTCAAGCGCTGGACGACCAAGATCGGCTCCGGCGGCAGCCTGTATGCTGCGGCCAGCGACACGTATATCAGCGGGAAGAAGTTCTGGTCCAAGTTTGAGAAGAACTCGGTCCAGACGTTTGAGATTGCCGGCGTGGTGTTGTGAGCCGTCTTGTCTGTTCTAGAACTCGTCAGGGCCGCCAAAACGCCCTGACCAAGGGGTAAAGGTGCTCCGCAATCAAGGTGTTTTTGTAACCTGACGAGTAGCTGTCCGACGGCCGACAGATGCAATAAACATTGTATATAGCGGAGGGAAATAGTGGGATGTATGTACATGCGTCTTGAATCTCAGCTGTTTTCTATCTTTGGTGTATTATGTCAAGGATAGTGGATATGTCGTGTTGTGATTTAAATTCTTCGGGATATTAACGTCGCGGTAATTATGAAGAGGAACGGACATGAAAATGACTAATCACAATAACAAAAGGTAAGAAACACACCACTCCAATACACGTGTCAACATTGTTTTTACATTAGAGGTTATCTCGATTTCTCTTTCGATACTTGGTTGTTAATAATAGAATGGGCTATCCCTATATCATGGGCTGATCTTGGATAACTTTGCGTCTTAAATCTGAGGTAATCCGAAGTAGTCCGAAGCAATCCGAAGATGGAAACCGTCTTCATCATTTCGTCGGGGATGATGATTAACAACCTGACCTTTTGCTTCCGTCCTTTTCTCGTCTTTTTAGTACCACTCGTACGAGGACTTGTGGTACCCGATCCCCAACGACGAGAGGGAGCAGGAACGCGAAAACATGAGGCACGCCATGATGCTGGAGTTGACCGAGTCAGTAATTACTGTTCCGCCACCGCTTGGTGGGAGCCTCTTGCTTCATGTTTGGAGGAAACCCCGTTCCTTTAACTCGTTCGTGCTCTACATGCAGGGGGAAACACTTCTTTGCGCCGATAGGCGACAGTCCGCAGAAGATCATCGACCTAGGTACCGGTACAGGCATATGGGCGATTGAGGGTGTGTATAGTTTCCTTTTCCACTCCCGCCAGCCCTGAAATGCCGCACATGGCCCACATACTAACGGCCCCCGTCCAGTCGCCGAGAAATTCCCCTTAGCCAACGTGTTGGGTATCGATATCACGTCAATACAGCCGATCTGGGTACCGCCAAATCTGGGCTTCCTTGTCGACAACATCCAAAGGGACTGGCACAACGGCGAAGACTTCGACTTCGTGCACGCGCGCCACATGTTCCCGCTGCTCGAGAGGCCCAACAAAGTCCTCGCCGAGTCTTTCGCGTAAGGCCCACCCCTTTGCCTGCTGGTCTTGCCACCCGCTGCTCTTGGAGCGCCTTCCCTCGGCCTTGCCTGCCCGCCTGCCGAGGTATGGAGTTGATAGATGCTGACGCCGTGGCTGTTGGACGAGCAGACACCTCAAGCCCGGGGGCTGGTTCGAGTGCCAAGAACTCGATGCTATCGCGTTATGCGACGACGGGACGGTCCCTGCCGACTATCGCTTGGGCAAATTTCTGGATCTGGCCGCGCATGCCCTGAGAATATTCGGCTACGACATGCAGATCGCCACCAAGCTCGAGGAGCCGATCAAAGCCGCCGGGTTTGTGAACGTAACGTGCAAGAAGTTCAAGGTGCCCGTGGGCACGTGGCAACAGGTAAGGAACTCCTCCAGGGAACGTGTTAAACGACCGGCACAGAACAAGACAACGGGGCTGATAGCTTGCGTGCAGGACGAACGGTTGCGGTCGGTTGGGCAGTGCCTCCGTGACGCCCTCGAGCAGATGCTGGGCGCCTTCGGGGCGAGGCTGTTCGCCGAGTTGGGCATGTCTCAGGCCGAAATCGAAGTCTTCTTCGTGGGCGTGCGCCAGGATCTGAGAAACGACGATTACCACAGCTACCTGGAGTACATATTCTGGACGGGGCAGACGCCGGGCCAGCCCCACGCAACGACGACGCGACAAGCCGTAACTAAAACTTGCCGGTTACCGGACTCGATGCATCTTTCCTCGGTTGGTGTTTCGTTATAGAGCTGTATTTATTGTTTTGGCGTAGAACAAGTTCTTGGGGCGTTTTTATATGATGTAACGATCTAGACTACATACTAATGTATATATTTGATATGAAATCCAATTTCTTCAGCAATGGCAAATACATTTATCTATTGACGGACAGGGTTCAAGACCCCAGTTAAAATTTGCAAGAAAAAGATTGCAAATAGTCTTTACAACACAGTTGAAATCTCACCTCATTACTTCGTAATATTTACGTACCTCTCTCCACACACACTCTTCTCATTATAATTTTATAAACGCGCCAGCAAGCTAGGCTTTTGATTTTAGACAAACTTTGCTGCCCGCCTCACATACTGTGATTATTGAGCGCTGTTTTTAAACATTCTAACCGCCAAACCAATCCTGGGCGGCCCAATCGGCTGTAGCAGCTGATCCTATGAGTAGAGTGTTGGTTGCTCAGCTCGGGAGAAGGATTTCAAGGCGCTTGCCTGAGATTGAATGACGGGCATCCTCGGACAATCACGGCCTGCTGTTGCTACCCGACAACAACTGGCCAAGAGAAATGTGGATGCCGGTTTTGGGCTACGAGACGTGGCTGAGGCGTGGGCGGGCAACGTAAGCTTGGGCACTATCGTCGGGTCGTGTCGGCGACAACGACAATGACACGGCTGTCGACAAGATGCACGCTTCGATGCTCTGCTCTGAACGTTACACACGTGTCCACTGCGTCTGGGTGGCCGCCCGGCTGGCGAATCACACGTGCGTATGCGGGCGGTCGAGACAGGGAGGCATGCGAACATGAAGAAGAGGGGTGATTGATCTGGGTGAAGTGACGAGAGTGGGGCAGGTCGAGATAACCGTGGTGGCCAGTCTGTGGTGAGTGGGGTTCGAGAGGCGGCCGGTCCCTTCCCAGCGACCTACAAAGTTGAATTTCCAGGGCTACTGTGGCCGCCTCGTTTACGATTCAACCGACAGCCAACAATCGGCCTCCTGCCGTGGCATGCAATTGTCGTCAACGATCGGCCACCAAGCAGGCCACGGCACACTCCAACAGGCTGCAAACGAGCACTTGGGTAAAACACACGCGACCTTTGGGCAGCTTCCAAGCTCTTTCTAGACATCCATTTAAGCCACATTCCGCTCTCTCCTTCGCTTCTTATTACAGGCTCCATTCCCGCTATTAGGCCGGTGGAGCTCCAAACCTACCGTAATCAGATCGCCGCGGGCCACCTCTCCGCAGCCCTGTGAAGACCACCTAAAATCTCCCCTGCTCAGCGGATCCAACAGCACTTCGACAACCTTGACGATTGATCTCGGCACTACATCCCGGCCAAACAGCGGCGCCTTACGGAAACCGCAATGGCTGACTCGCCTCTTTCGACGCCCAAGAGGAAGCGCACTCCGCCTGACGATGTGGCCGAGCTAGACACCACGACGCAGTTCACATTTGACCTTCACTCGCCTCTGGACGACGGCAGCGCGAGCCCGCGCACTCGAGTTGCACACCGGTTTCGCGGCTTGGCCTTGGATGGCGGGGGCGGGGTCAGCCCCCCCTCCGAGGGTGGCGGCAGAGCATCGCGATCCCCAGATCCGATCCGCAATTCTTTTCTTTTCATGCGAGGCGACTTGACAGACGGGGCGCGGAAGCGCATGAAACTACCCGAATTCGAAGTTCCGGAGGGTGAGGGCCTGCAGACGCAGGCGCCCGCCGCCGACGGCCCGGCGAATGGCTCTCGAACGCCGCCAAAGGGCGAGCCGCAGCAGCAGCAGCAGCAAGGACAAAACCCTAACGCAGCCGGGAAAAAACCTGGCCAGCGGGAACGCTCCCCAAAGTCGGTCAAGTTCGCACTAGACACCGCAGTCGTCGAGCAGTCCGAAACGATAGCCAACACTTCTCCCCCCTCCGGCACCGCCGCCAATTCCGCCGCCAACAGCAGTTCGTCAGCGTCAGCTCTGAGCTTCCCGCACGGCGGCGGCAAGTCGCAGACGCCCCCGCGCAACAAGCGAGCCGGCACGCCGCCTGCGCCAATGTTTAGCCCTCAAAGCTCATCATCTCCCAGCCCGCCCAGCTCGGAGGGCGACGCGCCGGTGATAACAGACCCGCTGCGAGCGAGCCTGACGTGGCACGACGACGAGATCACCATCTACGACCCCGACGACAGCGACGACGACGGCACGGGGATCAACGGCATTGGCTTCAAGCCGACGCCGGCCATCGCGCACGCGCGCATCCTCAAGCGCCGGCAGCAGCTCGCCGAATACCGCAAGCGCGAGGAGCGCGAGGCCCGCGCCAAGCGTAGCCAGCGCCGCCGCGGCAGCCCTTCCGTCACGGCGACGACGGGCCTCGTCGAGCTCAGGGGCAAGGTCGAGCGCCGGCGCGTGCGCTTCATGGAGAGCGCGACCGAGCTGATCGGTGTATAAAAGCCAGGTATTTTCCCATCCTTGGACATTATTATTCTTTCTGTATACATTTCTTTTTCGTGGTATTTCCGGGGTATTTTCCTTTCTTGCGGTATTTTTACCTCCTCGGACCTGGCCTTGAGTTTACGGAACGGAACTGGGTAAATTCTTAGACGTCAATCTCTTGGCATTTCTCGAGGGGCTTATACTGGTTCCGATGGACTTTCCTTGGTCGAGAGCAACCGAATGGGTATGTAGGCTGGCGGCGTTTTGCGTAAGCGGATTTTCACTCTGGCAGGAAAAAAGGAAAGTGAAGCAAGGGCAGCTGGCGCTAGGAATACTCTTTTTTTAATTCTTTTTTCTCCTTCTCGTTAGCATAACGGAGTCTGGATGGAGGACGGACAGGAAGGGTAGGGGGGGCTTGGGGCACATGGGTCGGCTTTACCGATGGGCTGCTTGACAAACAAGCCCGCACTTGCCACTCTCTTTATTCTTCTTGACTTTTCGGGGCTAAAACAGGTCCCTTCTGGGCGGTCGAGTTTATGAGGTGGCTAGGATGTCTTTCTTCAACATCTGATACCAAGAACGTTATGGAACGGCTTCAAGATGACTTGTGAACTTCCATCGGACCGTGTGTGGCGAGTCGCACTGCTTCACCCACCAGAAATGTGGCTCGAACGTTGTACACGATGTTTGTACATTCCCTGTGTCTCGATTTTGTACATCCCCCGAAGGCCGAACCCTTTCCCCAGACGAGGCTCACATTGTCGGCCATCTAATTACCAGAACCTATACCAGCTCTTTGCACCGCTCTTCGGCGCCGCGTCCGCGACCGTCTTATCCTCCTGCAACTGCCGCTGTTTTGCAGCGGCCTCCTCGGCAGCCCGCACCTCCGTCTGCCGGCGGTCGTACACCTCGACGACGCGCTTCATCTTCTCGCGCTCCTGCCGCCGCCGGTACTGGCAGTACTCGAACTGCAGCGTCGCGGCCGCGACGCCCGCGCCCACTGCCCAGTTCGCCGCCCGCGGCACCGGCATCCCCATCACCCACCGCACCATCCCCACCGCCGCGCCCCCGCCGATCCCCGTCAGGAACCCGTCCCGCGCGCACGGCCGGTGGTGCACTGTTAGCAGGTCTGCCGGCTTGATTGTTTTCACTGCGTCCGCGATCGACGCCCCCGATCCGTTGCTGTGTGACTTTGTTGGTGGAGTTGTTGGCCGTGGTAATGTGCCTGCCCCGCTGCTGTTGCTTTCAGGTGCCGATGGTGTCGGTGGTGGTTGTGCGGGTGGCGCGTCTTGGCCTACCAGCCAGGACCGGCTCGGGTCTGTGGGATTCTGGTCCCTCGAGGGGCTCGGGCTCGCCATAGTCGCTTGCGGTCGAGTGGCAGGAAGGTGTTGAGAGGGTAGTAGCAGCTGTCAAAAGGAGATAGGAAGGTGGTTGGAGGTAGGTAGAGACAGTCTGCGCGAACAGATCCGGTTGTATGTCCACGCCAATTATGGTCCCATAAGATCTTCTCGTTGCCAAGATTTTCGATGGCGATAACGGGCGGCGGCTTCCTGGCTGTGACAGCTGTGGCATTAGTTATTGGCTATTATCTTGATAGATGCGCACTATTCTTGGTGAAGTGTGAGAGCGATGGATGCGGATGCAGTGCTTACCCTTGGCTCAGAGTGGTGGCTGATAGCAATGTTGTCGTTGCTGAGAACCTCCAAAGCTTCTCTTTCGGGCAGTTTAGAGCTCAACCCTTGCTTGCACACCGTGGCGGGGCGGAAGGGTTAGCGTGAAGGGTTAGGGTTAAACCATCGTCAACAAATTTGCCCTGTTGGACCCCGCTGCTGTTGATTCGCCTGTCGCGTCTCGCAGGGGAAGTCGCGGTCGGCGCGTCTCGTTGCCGCACCCAGTTTAATGGATTTCTGGCGGACCCCAGAAGACATAAGCAACTCGACATCCACTCCATTCCGGCACACCAATTCCCTACAATCGCCCCCAGGGCAGACTCCCTGTACATTCGCATTGCTTTTCAATGTCTGGATTTCGACGAGGCATGCGATATTCGAGCCTCGTTTGCGACACCCGTTCCTTTTACGACAGCTTGGCGCAACAATCCGGCGCGTAAAAGGGGCCCGCGAAGGGAAAAAAAATCGAGAGCCCTCCTTCGACACCTTCCCATTGACCGTATCCCCCACGACACACCACGATGCCCAATACTTCCCTCCGGCAGCCCAAGCAGGGCTTTCGCCGCGGCGGCAAATCTGCCTACCATGGGCCCAGCCAACGGACGTTTGCCGCGACCACCAGCGCCCGGGGAGAGGCGACGTCCATGGACGAGAGATGGGAGCGGACAGCGCTTGCGCACCAGATCGACGAGAACATGGGCTTTGCGCGCTACGACGCCGGCCGAAAGCGCGAGGGCTGGCTTGTCAACGTGCAGCCGACGTCGATGGACGACCCGCGGGTGCCCGGGGGCGCCGGCAGGTCGGCGCTCGACTGCTACTTCATCGAGGAGGACGGGTCGACATTCAAGGCCACGATCGAGTACGAGCCGTACTTTGTCATTGCCTGCCGCAAAGGCCGCGAGGGTGAGGTCGAGGAGTGGTGCAAGCGCGTGCCGGGCGGCGGCGTCGTCAAGGGCATCAAGCGCGTCGAGAGGGAGGACCTCAAGATGCCCAACCACTTGCTGGGCTACCGGCGCACGTTCCTCGAGCTGAGGTTCTACAACGTTAACGACCTGCTGGCTGCCAGGAGGGATATTATGCCGATAGCAGAGAAGAACAAGAAGGGCATGGATGCCATGGACACTTATGCCGAGGTCGCGACGTAAGCCCACCCCCTCCACGATATGGTGCATGTTGGTGTGGGGACTGGACCGAAGTTCTAACGATCAGTGCAGTGCGAACACTGATTTTGATCTTTTTGATAACGATTCACGAATTGACGAGCGACAAAATGCCACTTTCGCCGAGGCAAGCGATTTCATTGTTGATATCCGGGAGTACGACGTCCCGTACCACGTTAGAGTAATGATAGATTTAGGTAAGTGGGATTGTATGCCCAAAACTGGGAGATATAAGGATCAGCGGGCTGACATCCTACAGACATTCGTGTTGGAAAATGGTACTTCGTCGAGGCCAAGAACGGGGTCACGACTGTCATTTGCAACGAGGAGCGCCTGGCGCCGGCAGACCCTGTCGTTATGGCCTACGATATTGAGACAACAAAGCTTCCCCTGAAGTTCCCAGACGCGGCCATCGATCGGGTCATGATGATATCCTATATGATCGACGGCCAGGGGTTTCTCATCACCAATCGCGAGATTGTCTCGGAAGACATTTCCGACTTCGATTATACCCCCCGACCAGAGTACCCGGGGCCCTTCATGATCTTCAACGAGCCAGACGAAAAGGCCGTTCTGGAGCGCTTTTTCCTGCACATCAAAGAGGCGCGGCCGACTGTCATCGCTACCTACAACGGCGACTTTTTCGATTGGCCATTTGTCGAAACCCGTGCTAGTGTGAACGGAATCGACATGTACCACGAAATTGGCTGGAAGAGGGACACCGAAGATCAGTTCAAGTGCAACTACAGCGTCCATATGGACTGCTTTCACTGGGTCAACCGTGACAGTTATCTGCCTCAGGGTAGTCGAGGCCTGAAGGCCGTCACTGTCGCAAAGCTTGGATATGACCCCGACGAACTCGATCCCGAGCTCATGACGCCATATGCCGCCGAACGACCACAGACTCTGGCAGAATACTCGGTCTCCGATGCCGTGGCAACTTACTACCTGTATATGAAATACGTGCATCCCTTCATCTTCTCCTTGTGCACTATCTTGCCTTTGGGCCCGGATGACACATTGAGGAAGGGCACGGGAACCCTTTGCGAAATGCTTTTGATGGTCCAAGCATATCAGAAAGGAATTGTGTTACCAAACAAGCATGTTTCCCCGAAGGAGTCGTTCTGGGATGGCCATTTGCTGGATTCGGAGACGTACGTCGGTGGCCACGTGGAGAGTATCGAGGCTGGTGTCTTCCGTGCTGACATTCCAGTAAATTTTGCTGTCGACCCCGGAGCCATTGACGAGCTACTCCGCGACCTGGACGCGGCTTTGATCTTTAGCATCACAGTCGAGGAGAAAAAGTCCATGGATGATGTCGTCAACTACGAGGAGATCAAGGAGCAGATTGCGGCGAAGCTTCTAAATCTCAAGGAGACGCCGAACAGGAGCGAGCGCCCTCTGATCTACCATCTTGATGTTGCTTCCATGTATCCCAACATCATGACGACGAACCGGCTGCAACCAGACTCTATGATCTCGGAGTCAGACTGCGCAGCTTGCGACTTCAACCGTCCAGGGAAAACTTGTGACAGGAGAATGCCATGGGCCTGGAGAGGCGAGTACCTACCTGCCAAGCGAGACGAGTACAATATGATCAGGCACGCGCTGGAAAACGAGCGGTTTCCTGGAAAATACGCCAACAGCCCCATACGCTCATTCCAGGAGCTGGGCGCGGACGAGCAGGCAGCTCTCATTCGAAAGAGACTGCAGCTCTATTCGCAGAAGGTCTACCACAAGATTCACGACTCGACCACGATTGTCCGAGAGGCTATCATATGCCAGCGTGAAAATCCATTTTATATCGACACTGTTCGCGACTTCCGTGATCGTCGCTACGATTACAAGGGCAAGGCCAAAGTCTGGAAGGGGAAGACCGAGGCGCTAAAAGGATCTGGCGCCTCTGCCACCGAAGTCGAGGCCGCAAAGAAGATGATTGTGCTCTTTGACTCCCTACAGTTGGCCCACAAGGTTATCTTGAACTCCTTTTACGGCTACGTCATGCGCAAGGGGTCAAGATGGTACTCGATGGAGATGGCCGGTGTTACCTGTCTGACAGGTGCGACCATTATCCAACTGGCCAGACAGTTGGTAGAACGCTTGGGGCGCCCACTCGAGCTGGATACGGATGGTATCTGGTGCATGTTGCCTGCCACTTTCCCCGAGAATTTTGCGTTCAAGCTGAAGAACGGCAAGAAGATGACCATCTCGTATCCTTGCGTGATGTTGAACCATCTTGTCCATGCCAAGTTCACCAACGACCAATACCAGACCCTTGTGGACCCCAAGACGTTCAAATACGAAACACACAGCGACAACTCCATTTTCTTTGAGGTTGACGGACCCTACAAGGCCATGGTCTTGCCGACCTCGAAAGAAGAGGACAAGAACTTGAAGAAGAGATATGCTGTGTTCAACGACGACGGCAGTCTGGCGGAACTAAAAGGTTTCGAAGTAAAACGACGAGGCGAGCTCAAGTTGATCAAGATATTTCAGCAGCAAATCTTCAAGTTCTTTTTGGAGGGCACAACTTTGGCAGAGTGCTACACTGCCGTGGCAACCGTTGCCAATAGGTGGCTGGACGTTCTCGATAACAAGGGGCTGACGCTTGCTGACGAGGAGCTCATGGAGCTCATCTCCGAAAACCGCAGCATGTCCAAGGCCCTGGAGGAATACGGCACGCAAAAGTCAACGTCTATCACGACAGCTAAGCGTCTCGCGGATTTCCTCGGCGAGCAGATGGTCAAGGACAAGGGTTTGAACTGCAAGTTCATTATCTGTGCAAGGCCAAAGAACGCGCCCGTCACGGAGCGTGCCATCCCTGTCGCCATCTTTTCCGCCGACGAAGTCACCAAACGCATGTACCTCAAAAAATGGCTGAAGGAGGAGCCAGCCGACACGGATCCACGAGCGCTACTGGACTGGGACTACTATCGAGAGCGTTTGGGGTCTGTGATCCAGAAGCTCATCACCATTCCTGCAGCCCTGCAGAAAGTCCGCAATCCGGTCCCGCGGGTACCTCATCCGGACTGGTTGCAGCGCCGGATCAATATCAAGGACGACAAGATGAAGCAGAAGAAGCTCACTGATCTCTTTGGGCCGACAATCAAGGGGCCGTTGGGGGACATTACCAACATAAGCACCGGCGCCCGTGTTGGCGACATGGAGGATTTTGGTGACCTTCTCAAGCCAAGGACCATCAGTTCGGCCATCTCCGCCTCACAGAAGACGCCAGCTGCACAGAAGCGGAAGTCCCCCGAGGCAGCTCCATCCGAGAACCAAGACCCGTTCGCTGCACTTCCCAAAATAATGCCATCTCCCAGCGATGACTACGCCGCCTTTCTGGAGTATCAGAAGTTGAAGTGGAAACTCCAAAAGCAAGCTCGCGCACGCCGGCGCCATCTCTTTGGCGAGAGACGTGGGAACGTCCAGAGCAATATCCAACAGACCTTCCGGAACCAGGCCGAGGTCACCTTCAGAAACACCTGGCAACTACTCCAGCTTAGGCCTTCGGAGAGCCCTGGAATTGTCGTTGCCCATGTTCTCATCGACGCGAAGATCCACACCGTGAAGATCAACGTTCCCCGGCAAGTCTTTCTCAACCTCAAGAGCAAGGAGCTTCCTGATATCGAGGTCGATGGCTGCCATGTAGAGCAGGTTAACCACACGCTCCCCAACGGCCACTCGTCTGTGCACCTCTTCAAGCTTAGTGTTCCCGAGGAAATCTACTTTGCCGAGGCTGAGAAGTTTTCCTTGCTCTTCAATCACCCAAGCGTGGAGGGCGTTTACGAGAGGGAACTCCCACTCAACCTTCGGGCCGTTCTCCAGCTTGGCAATCTTTGCACCATCGACGAGACCCAAGCGGGCGTGCTTGGCAAAGGTCTCGACCAAGGCTTCGACTTGTCCGGTCTGAAGAGGCCAGCCAAGCACATAGGCTACCTTGAAGGCACCCGCATGTCTTACATCTACCTTTCACACATCAGTGCAGGTGATCGCCAAATCTTTGGCCTGTTTTCGACGTCGGGTGATCAAGCGCATGTCATCATCCAGCAGAAGAACAAGGACGGGGGCCAAGACTTGCCAAACATCACTAAACTATACTCTGACCTTTTCGCGCGGAGGAGCAGCGATGAATCGGCTGACCCCACCTGGAAAGACTGCTTCCCATACCAAGAAAAGCTCAACTTCAAGACCACACAGGTCACCACACGGCGGAAGGCATTCCTCGAGGTTGGAGACATTGTGAAGAAGATGAAGAAGGAAGAGTCTGGCCCCACGTTGATGGTAATTCAGTCTTCGCAACGCAACCTCCTTGTCCACGACATTCCCGTTTTGGGAGAGTTCCCCGTCATGCCCCTCCGATACGACCAAGCCGACAGCTCTCTGCCTCCTTTGGGGTGGCAGAGCGTTGTCGCGCGGCGTTTGGTGAACCACTACCTCAGTCTCGGCACGTGGATTACGCACTTGATCGCCCTGGCAAAGTACGGCGATGTTCCGTTGTGCAACTTGGAGCGGGATGATCCCCGGTTTTTGATCGATGTTGCCTATGCACGCCGATTGCAGGCGAACAATGTCGTCCTCTGGTGGTCGCCCAGCCCACGCCCAGACCATGCGGGTTACGAGAATGACGACGTGGTTGGGCCTCTTGACCAGGTTCAGATGCCATCTGTCAATAATCCCGGGACATACGCATCTGTTTGCGTCGACATTGAAATTCGAAACCTCGCCATCAACACGATTCTCACCTCGTCGCTCATCAACGAGCTTGAAGGTTCAGACAGTATCTCGTTCAACCCCGCAGCCGATGCTCAGGGCACGGCAGACGGCGAGGACACTCTGTTCGCCGACAATGCATTTGCCAACGCTGCAGTTCAGGTGCTCAGAGAGATGGTCAAGTCGTGGTGGACCGAGGCTTGCAAGGGCTCGACCATGGCCGACGTCATGGTCCAGCACCTTGTCCGCTGGGTTGAATCGCCGGCCTCGTGCTTGTACGACCGAGCCCTGCACTACTATGTGCAGATGATGAGCCGAAAGGCCCTCCAGCAGCTCATGGCGGATTTCCGTCGCGTCGGATCGCAGGTCATCTTTGCCAGCGCCAACCGCCTCCTGCTGCAGACCACAAAATCCGAAGTCGGCAATGCCTTTGCATATTCGCAGTACATTCTCAAGAGCATCAAAGGCAAGCCGCTGTTCCACTTCATCGACCTCGAGATTAAGGAGTATTGGGATTACCTCGTTTGGTATGACGAGTTCAACTACGGCGGCAAGGCGTGCCAAGAGGTCACCGAGGAGGACGAGCAGGACCTGCAAATGATCATGCACTGGCAGATTGGCACGTTTTTGCCCGTGCGGCTGCAGCCGATATTTACAGACTGGGTGGTGGAGTTCATCCAACTCATGCACAGCATCAAGCGACCGGCAACAGGGAGTGATCCTACCGCCACCCCGCGGCTCACGCAGCTTCCAGTACGAACTGGCAACGCTGCACTTGGAGAGGGCGAGACGGGCCAGATTATCCTGGGCAAAGTCTTTGAGAAACCGCTGAAGAAGGAGATAGGCGCCCTCGTCAACACTCAGAAGCGCGAGCTGCTGCATCCCGAGCTGGCCGGCGACTACACGTTCCCGGAACTTCCGGGCTCGCACCTCGCTCATCTGTCATCAAACTCCAAGTTTATCACTGCGGAAACCAAAAAGTCTGGTGGCAGGACGTCGGGTGACCCTGTGCTCGAGCTTGTCAAGGCCTTGATGCAGGTCCTCAGCCTCGACAAGAACATTTCGCTCGAGGCGCGCCTCCTCCGCAAGGAGCTCCTCGCCATGTTCGACGTGCGCGAGTTCAGCAAGGACGGGGCGTTCCAGAACCCGTCCGAGAGCCTCAAGATCACGCAGCTGAGCTGCGACAACTGCACCATGGCGCGCGACATTGACCTCTGCCGCGACGAAGACCTGCTGCCGGACGCGGCGGGCGACGGGGCGGCCAACCCCGGCGGCCGCTGGCGCTGCCTGTACTGCGAGGCCGAGTACGACCGCAACGAGATCGAGGAGCGCCTCGTCGCGGGCGTCGAGGCGTTCGTCGTCGAGTGGGCCACGCAGGACCTCAAGTGCGCAAAGTGCAGCGCCCTGCGCGTCAACGAGTTCATGGAGCACTGCACCTGCAGCGGGCCCTGGGTCGAGAGCGTCAAGCGCGACGACGCCCTCAGGAAGCTGCGCGTCTACAGGAACGTGGCAAAGTTCTACGGGCTTAGGATGCTCGGAGACGTGGTCGAGAGCGTGTTTGAGGGGCTCTAATATGTGTGTTACATGGACCGAGGTATTGAGGTGTCTTGGGGTTATTTATTTTAGGGGTAATTACCAGCATGCGCGGCGTTTTTGTGGGGTGGGGTCTTGGTTGCTCTTTTGCATGTGGCTATATATCGCACCGAATACATTGTAGAGTTTTATGAGGACGGTTGTTATTCTCGCGCCTAGTTCCGCTGCTTGTGAAGTAGTTTTTTCTTCGATGCTAAAATCATTCCTCTGCCATTCTCGATTCGGCCACGGGCGACTCCAATGGTCACGGGCGACTCCCATGGTGCCAGAATATATGTTGTCATGGACGTAATCGACGCCTGAGTTGGTACTTTTCTGAGTGTCTATCACTAACATTAAGCTATTCAGGTTAAGGTCGACATACAAATGACAGGCAATCCCGCGAATCATCAAATGAATTTTCATGAAATATTTCTCCTTTTCTTTCTCAAATTGAACACCTCTTCAATGTAAGCACTGAATGGTACCCAGTGTATTCTCTTCAATTCACGGATGTATACTCCATAGGGTGCGAATGGTAAGACCAATTTGTAATATTGTGTCAGATCTTGTTGTGAATAGGGTGTGTCCCGTGGTTTACTTCAGGGGCGGAAAGCGGGAAGACGCATGCACAGCAACCGGGTAAACTCTGGCTGGCCTCTCTTTTCATCTGATCCTGTTTAACCACCACCTTCCTTTCTGAGTAATAACTCGAATACTACAGCAACGGGAACAAAAAGAGGGGCTGTTTTCTTCTTGGCACGCCACCGTCCATCTCAACACCGAATTAGGCAACGACATTCACATTCTCTTTTCACCACCACGCCTAAGCCGCAACAGAAACTAAAGAAACAAAATTCTCCAACCCACAAACTCTAGCCAAGAATTCACACTGCAATCACAAAAAGAGAATGGCGACCGCACCCAGCACCGTCCGCTACTCAACAGCCAACGTAGCCAACGACTCGGCAGCCCAGTCCTTCGCCTGGGAAGAAGGCATCCCCGTAAACAAGTTCTGGGACAGCCTCAGCTTCTGCACCAGCCGCAACTTCCTGCGCAACTTCTCCGCGGCCGAACTCGCCGCGCTGCCCATCGACGCCGCCAGCAGCGCGCCCGACACGGAAAAGCTCGAGCTGCTCCTCCGCCTCCTCGAAACAAAGCTCTCACACAACGACGTCAACATCACTGATGATGATGACGATAATAAATTCGACTGCTGGAACGATACATGTCTAGCTATGGCATCGATCCAGTCCGAGCTCGGCCGGCTGGACGCCGCCGAGACGACCATCCGCGCCATGGCCGCCGCGCGCCGTGATAAAACAAACCTGTCGCCGCTGCACATGCTCGCCGACCACCTCGTCAAGATTCGCAAGTTCGCCGAGGCCGAGGCCACGGAGCGGCCTGTCGTGCAGTGGATGGACGCGCATCCCCGGTTGGGGAAGGACTCGCCGCAGGCGCTCAGCGCGCGCCGGGTCCTTGTGCGTGCGCTTTGGGGGTTGGGGTGTAGGCATGCGGAGGCTGAAGGGATGGTGCGGGAGATTAGGGAGATTGTGGAGGGCATGGGGGAGGGCAGGTTTGGGGTGTATCAGCAGGAGGAGGGGGAGTTGGTAGAGGAGTTGGTGGCGGGGCTTGGGATGGAAGTGTGAGTAGATGGGACTTGGTTTCTTGACTTGGGTTTTCCTTGTTGCTTGGATTATGACTAGGGCGATGATCACGAGGAATCTGCTGCATTGGGACTGGGGTGAGACTGTGGGATGAGCTTGGTTGAGTAAAAGGTCTATATAGCCAGGTGCAAAGGTGTGGATATCGTGAAGTGGTGGAAACTCCGCCTGAAGTGGAAAGAGTACTCATCAGTTTGAATTCTAGGATGGATGGTCAAGGTCACCTACGTAATTAGGCTACACAGATTCCAGGGGGGTCAACAAGCCAAGGTGAAAAGCAACGAACAACTTCTACAGGTCCGCTAGGAAAAAGAACGAATGAAGCACACCCCGCTAAGCGAAAGAAATCCAAAAAGTAAATAAAGCCTAAGTGAATGCAGTTTCTTAGTTTCCTTGGGCTATTTCTAGCGTGACACCCCTTTTTCCATATGCCCACGTACCTCCTCTTCAATAGACAAGGCATCGATAGATATCCAGCGGCGACCTATCAATCCGACCATGACGACTAGTAGAAACAGAAACACCCTTAAGGCAACCAAATGCCACCCACCCAGCCAGACAGCACAGCGAACTCGGAAAACGGCCTGCACCTCGTCGTTTAATTTTCCGCTAGCCGGTATGTATAAGTAATCTAGCCCGTTCTCCCTTTCGTCCCGCCCTCAAATCTGTTTCCGTTATTATTACCATCATCTGCCTCCGCCTTGCCACCACTCGCTGGCGTCAGGGGAGCAATGGGATGGTGCTCGAAGGCCGTGGAATAATTAGATCGGTGGCTGAACGATCGTCAGTGTAAGCGATTTTCCGCTCATTTTTTTTCTCCACCCCGCTTTCCACTGCTGTTCCCCTGACGCCTAGAAGTATCCGGACTTCCGCTCGCGTTTCCTAAGTCACCCCTCAGCCGTGAGTGGTCCTAGGTGGTGGGGGCATCGATCTGCCGCCTCCGGTACTGCCGCCTCGAGCCCCTTGGTGTGCGATCTGCGACGGGTTTGATGAGATTCCGCTGGGATTCCGCGGATTATTGACAGGTAGAAACTTGTGGCGTCTGGCTTGGGACTGGGCCCTGGTGGACGAGGCTCCTTTCCCTTCGGCCTTGTTTTTATTTTTCTTCTCGAGATTTTCCCTCTGTTTGCGCTGATCCCGTTGCATTTGTGTGAACTCCTCCTCCCATTGCTGAGGGTTCATTGTTGAAAATGGTAAAACGGAGTCGTAATTTATTGTGCTGGGTTGCCCGGTGCGATGCTTATCGAGATGTGTTTTTTGTCGAGACGTCGAATTAATTAGAGTGTTGCCGAGATGGAGAGAAAGATGGCGCCGAGTGAATTAGAGGATCACCAAAGAAGAAGGAGATGTGGGATGTTTATACTTGGCTTGACGGCCTCATAGCTCCCGGTCCTCGTGATGCCGAGCCATGAGACGAGGCGTCAGGTGCGAATAGACTTCACACGGATGGCCTTTGTGATGAGTGGACGGACGAGGAGGCAGCCTCCCCTGCGCACGAGAAGCGTGCCTAGGCCGCCGTCAGTATCAAATGCCATCTAGTGGACAGTTTATGATGGCATAATGCATTGGCGATGGCATAATGCATTGGCGATGGCATCATGTTTGGTGATGAGGTCAATCTATGATGTTCCAGGGCCAACCAGCAGACCTGTGGCCGGTTTCGTGACGTTGTGTCGTTACGGCGTGGTGGGAAGAGGTGTTTCACCACGGTCTGGAAACAGTGGTTCCACTGGGGAACAGGAAAAGTTAAAAAGGGTGCAGAACCCGAGGTGATGGACTGCTACCGACAATGGGTCCACGGCTGCACCATCAGGTCAAGTCTTACCGTCATTGTCGCTCTTGTTGTCCGGGCCTGCTGTTCTCATCGGTACAGCCACAGGCGGTATCGTTCTACTTCCGCCTCGACAACCTCCGCTTGTTGAACACGTAAAGCATTCAGCCATTTGATCTTATCTTCCGAAACACGGTGCGCCTCGCGTGTGAAGGATCATAAGTTTTGACCTTCAAGCTTCCTCCCTCTTCTCTCACCTGTAAATAAAAGCTAAAAGAAATGTAACAGAATTCTTAAATTAAAGAAAAATAGCACGTATCATAACCATCCCAACCCTCTATCGTAGGTCTATCCAAAGGCCGTGGGATAAACTAATAACCGGAAGGCCGTTGGCGTAAGATATCTTATGTTCGTTCATATTCTTCTTCCACCAAGCCTGCCTTCCGTGCTACGACCAGCAGTTTGCTTCATTCTTTCTGCCCTCCAGAACTCTTTGATTTCCGCTCTCTTCTTCATCAAGGCTCCCCTCCGCCGGTGTGGGATTAAATATCGGGTTCATGGCCTCACCAATACCGCGTTGGGCCCGGTATGTGGCTTCTAGCCTCATTTGTCAAGTCCCACGAAAACCACGGTGAGGGTATCCAAATTTTTCTTGCTTCGGAATCCCAAAGGCCAACTTGACCAGACCAACGAGCCGGACAGGTTGGACCTTGATCGAGTCTGGGCTGCGTGATGGCCGCTGGAGAGCGCCTATTCCACTCGACGTTTGTTTGCAGTTGTGTGGGCGCTGGAAGCGAGATTTAGAGGGTTGGAGCAGGTTGTTGCTGCATCGCGTTTAGTTGCTGGCGGGGATCGTGACTATAGGGATTGCCCAGACCCGATGGTGCCCATCTAGGATAGATGACGAATGGTATTTGGTCTTGTGTGATGTCAAGGCAAACGGGGCATAGTGCCCTCATAAACCCCCTTGTATGTCGGAGCTCAATTGCATGCATCCAGTGAAACTGCAAGGCGCCACCTCTGTAAGAATTCGACATCCACACGAATATGAGACAATCGAATGCTGGCAACGGCATGTGGGCAAGTTAAGAAGGCGAGGACGATTAACCGTTGGCTTGTATGGCTGTTTATTACTCACTGCTGAAAATGTAAAGCGGTGGGAAGTTACTATGTATGGTCAGCTCAGTGCGGTGGTGGTCACGACGCTGAGTTCTTGCATGAGCTTGTTGGAGCAAGGCCAGAAAGGAGAGGCAAATGTAATATATGTATGCCAAGCTTGTTGGCCTTTTAACCTGAAATCCTCGTGAGGTCGGCACGTGAAACGAGGCCTGGAGTGCCGATGACGTCGCATGGGTGGCCCTTATGACACATGAAGCATCTTGGGCGGCACGAGCTTCACTTAGCTGTCGGTAGCAAAGGCCATCGAGGCGGGCAGTTCGGAGTTACATAGACCATGGTATGCGACGGGTTTGATGGACGCTGTTTCAGGGTTAACTAGCAGACCTCTAGTCTTCTTCAGTTGGTCACAGCTTATGGGCGGTCTTGTTTCATGAAGATCAACAAACGGTGGTTCCGCCAAGGAGTAGAAACAATTTAAGAACGGATGAAGAAGCCACGGGGATCAGGGATGGGCCGCTGCCCCTGCGACCCTTGCACGATTGAGTGCACGCTTACCCTGCGTATCGTCCTTATTGAGCGGTCTGTTGCTATTTGTCTTGAGTATTTGCCCGCCCTGAGCTATTCAGATAGAAGTGCTAGGTACGGGCGACATTGTTTCGCTGCCGCTCCTTGAAAGGTTTGCGGTTTAGCTAAAATTTGCTATTTCGTTCTTTTTAATTTAGTGGATTTCTGAGGCCTAATTTCCTGGCCCTCGAGTTTTCTTATTTTGGGCCTGTTCAACTCTTTTCTACGAACAGGGAGCCCAAATTTGACAACCACCAGACTCGGCTGTATCGTTCACTGACTAACGGTTGCTTCGCGCTCGAGCCTCGAGAAACGAAAATGACGTCAGTGCAAACGACGCGTCGCCACCACCGCCAGCCGGCGGTGGGGAGAACAAGCCTGTGGCTCGATGGTGGCAACTCCAATGTTTCCGCTAGACTAGGCTGATTATTTCCGAGTTTCTTTTCGCACCTCGCATCTCGCATTTCGCACTCTACCCCACCCAAACGGTCCAAACCATCTGCATTCGACTCGTAGCTAGCTAATCACCCGCCAACAACACAAGTGACCACAATGCCCGTCGACAAGGTTCTCTACGACCGGCTGGGCATCCACCACACCGCCACACACGAAGACGTCAAGCAATCATACAGGTAACAACCGCCGCCAAGATAATGCCACACACGTACAATCATTCCCTGTCAGCGACGCGACTGACAAACCCCCAGGAAAGCCGCCCTGAAATGGCACCCCGACAAAAACACCGATTCGCAGGCCGAAGACAGGTTCAAGGAGTGCTCAGAAGCCTACGAGGTCCTCGCCGATCCATCACGGCGCCAGGCATATGACCGGCACGGGCTCAGCGCTGCCACCTCGTCAAATCCCAATCCCGCGGCGAGCAGCACTCCGGCCGCCTGGCCCGCGACCGGGACCGGGGCGACCACGATCCCCGTCCGGAGGAGCGCGAATTACAACTACAGAGCCCGCGCCGCGCCGTACTACTCCACCGCCCCTCAAGCGCCCCCCGCCGCCACAGCCGACTACAGAGCCACTGCCAACGCTCCGACGTTTTACCCCACCGCCCAAGCCACTCCCGCCAACGCGTTAACGTCATCGTCGTCGTTTAGTTTCCAGGCGTCGTTCTCGTTCAGCGCGGGCGAGGGCGTTGGTTACTCGTGGTCGCGGTTCGTGTCGACTAACAACGGCGGCCGCACGTCCCAGACGAGCGTCTTTGGGGGCAATGTTTGAGATACGTACCCAGTCAGGATGGGATAGATGAGACATGATTGATTACTTCGTGAGAGGACTAGGCTATCCGTGACTGCGAAGATGGACGATGCTTGCATTGACGCGTTTGATTTATTTATTTTAAGGAGGTTTTTTCTGCATTTCTTACAAAGTAGGTTTGTTTGTATGCATATAAATTGATAATTAAAAACACAGGAAAATCTATTCTACCGACCTCCGAACACCTGGATAATGCACCAATCGTCAGCAACCCAAACGCCAGACTCGACAGAATTCATCGCCCGCCCCCGTCGCCCCCATTTTTTGTCTTCAGAACCAGTCTATTCCGGTCAAACAAGCCAAGGAATAATTAGACGAATTACACCGTATGCTATACATCGCCGACAAGCACCAAAAACACGTCAGTCACTGCTCTCGCCCCCGCTCATCTCACTCGGCTCAGGACCGTGAATCTCGGCAACGACTTTTGCCTCCCACGTGCGGCGGACAGCCTCCCAGTAGACCTCTGCGTTCTCGCCGCGGGTGTGGCAGCAGTGCGGTGTGGCCTTGAAGCGAACGAGCAGGCTCCTGACCCCAATACCAGGCGCTGCGCTGGCGAGGCCGTGGGCCTCGACGTCGCGCCAGCAGATGAGGTCGTCGGCCTCGCTGAAGAGGTACGTGCGCGGCACGTCCTTGACGTCCCACAGCGCGGCGTCGTTGAGCGCGCGGCGCGTCTTGCTGATGAGGTTGTTCTCGTAGCCGACGAACACGCAGAACAGCACCCACGTGACGCCCAGCACGCCGGCGCCGACGGGCAGCCCCACGGCCTGCGCCACCGGGTGCTGCGGCAGCGCCCGCCGGAACGCCGCCACGTTGCTCGCGTACCGCGGCGTGCCCGGCGTGCTGTCGAAGATGAAGGCTCCCACCGGCAGCCGCGCCGTCCCGCCGCGCCGCGCCTGGTACCCCTGCGCCAGGCACACGGCCTTGTTAGCGCCGCCCTCGGAGAAGGCGTGCAGCAGGATGCTCGGGTCGTCGTTGGGCGCAGGGGACGTGTCTTCTGCTCCTGCTGTCTGAGACGACATGGAGTAGCGCGCCGAGTCGAGAAACGAGCACAGATAGTCTATGGCCGGGGCGAGTGCCTTGATCTTCTTCTTGGTGGAGTGGAAGGCGAGGTCGGCGATGGCCGTGGTGATGAGCAGGATGGACGTCCCCGGGTACATGGCCTTGTACGCCTCGGTGTACTTGACAATGTGTTTCGAGATTGCGCCGGTCCACGAGAAGATGATGACCAAGTCGGGCGGTCTTCGCGTGCTGCTGGGCGGCGATGGCGGCGTTGACGAGGAAGATGCAAAAGACGCGCTGGCTTCATTGCCCTGGTGGTTGCATGTGCAATATTGTTGCTGCTGCTGCGGCTGCGGCTGCGCCAGGCCCTTCTCTGGGTCATGTTCCTGCTGTTCCAGGTGCGTGTGCTGCGGCCTCTGCAGTGGATACCCCGGCCTCAGATGTTTGGTGTCTCGGACGTGGATAGATGGGGCGAGACGCAGGAACCCGGGGAGGAAGGGGCCCGTGGCTGGTTTTTTCTTGCCCATGATCTCTGCTTTTCGCGTGAATCTGTATCGGCAGCGGAGTAATTAAAGGAAAATTCAATCACGAATCAAAAGGTGAAGCAAGAAATGGTTGACTCAAGCGAGCTCGGGCTGGAGAGACAAGACGGCAGAGGAATATGCCTGGCGGACTGTCTGCTCGCTTGTTGGTGTTGCTCTTGTTGACAAGGTTGGCGTTCGGTCCGCGCAAGGCAGGCCGCACACTCAGTGGTACAATTCAAGAAACTTGCTCGACAAGGGCGCGACTGGGTTCTGGGTTCTGGGATGACTATTAATTAGCAGAGTAAGTTTTACTTGGCTGCGTCCTGTAAGTAGCATAACAGCAGTGTTTCATGAGCCATCTAGACGCCGAGCTTCATCCAACTGTCTTGCGCGTCCATCAGGCCATGATAAGTCAACGGGCAGCAGCAAGTATGCAAGCCAACTGAGGAGAAGGAGGGAATCATACGTGCCTAGTGCGCGAGGGCTGCCAAGTACAGACACAGAAAGTGTACTAATCATCACCCTCGATGCCAACCGCCTGAGATGACACCCAAGAGAATCCTAACTAGAACGAGGAATTACCATTGGTCAAGCGAGTGCGGAGCAATGTGACCGCATTATGAGTGAGGCCTAGGCGTGGAAGGCGGTCTGCGAAACTGCGGGCGGGCTCACTTGGCATCATCCTGATAATATCGCGAGCACCCCACCCTGCACGGGTTGGAAGATGACCTGACCTGATGCATCTGGATCTGGCAAGCAATTGCATGTGTCGAGATCGGCCGGGCTTATGCCCGATTCGGCCGTAGACGTCTAGGGGACGATGCAGGCAAGCCAAGCAGCAGGAAGCTGTGTGTGTAATGCGTATTCCGTTTTTAGAGGCTGCCATGTGCCTGGCTCGATCGGCCGGCACTGAGCAGATTGCAGCTTGCATGGTTGCAGACTCGCAGCTGGGGAGGGAGGTGGGGGCTTGCAGCTGCAGCAAACTATTGGAGATGGAATATCCAGTGCAACCCGGCCACCAACGACTCCATTGTTGGTGACTGCTAAGCTGATAACGAGCCGATGGCAGGGGACGCGGTGCCGGGTCGGATTGATCTTGGCTCTTGGCCCAACGGCCGCGTGGACGCAGAGTTGCAATGGAATTGACGACCGACGTTGCCGACACTTTCGTTGGGCGCAGGAAGAGCTATGATAAAGTTCCCGACACGAGAAGTGTAAAATACGGGCTGCGCGACGAGGGGGAGATAGGGCAGGAAATAGCCCAAGAAGTGCCGGCTCACAAGGCTGTCTTCTCCGCTTGGACGGGCAGGCTAGCATCGACGGCTTCTCTCTAGCAGCTACCAGTTTGGGCGACCCAGCACCTAGCTCGTCAACGCCAATTGCCACCAAGTAGTGTAATTCTCGTTCCATGCTCTCCACTACGCGGCGACAGAACCCAGCCACTGTGTTTGTATAGAAGTGCTGAAGGCTTACAGAGGTAAGCACCAGCGGCGAAAACAGCGAAGACGAAGACGGGATTGGCCAAATCCCGTTCCCGAATGTACGGGTGAGGCGGTGGGCGGCTGACATGTTGAAGTAATCAAATCCGTATTTTATCATGCAGAATCATTTGTGGGGGGGGGGGGGAGAGGGGGAGAGGGCTTTGCACACCTTCCTCTCCCGACAGCAATTGGATTTTAGGTTCGCGGCGGCACTTTCCCGGCAAGGCTAGAGGCCAAGGTGGAGACTGGAAAGCAAGAGGGGGAGGGGGAGGGGGAAGAGGAGGGGCATGGAACAGAAAGTAACTCTCTCATCGGTCTCAACGGCGGCGGTAAGGAAGGCGCACCCTATGAACCTTGGTAAACCCGACAAGTTTAATCCGTTCAAGGCCCGCGCTTAGCAGGGCGGACAGCTTCAGCTGGAGCCGAACCTAAATTCCTGAAACAACAGACCTGCGCGCCAAGCAGACCACGAACAACAACGGCGGCGCGCGCCAGGCGACAGGACTTGGCAATCCAGTGGAAAGGATGCAGAACCCTCTGGGAGGAGCGCCACCCGCCGCAGAGCCGCATCGAATCCCGGGCAAATGCCGGAGACTTGGCCGTTACGGGGGCGTTGGGGCTGTGCAGGGCAGTCAATCGGGTGTGTTGCAGGCGCCAAGGACGTCGCTGGCTGCTGCGCCGTTGTTCTTTTTTCCACCGTTTTTGCGCGCTGCTGGGAACCATCTGTGGCTGTTGGGGGCCGGCCTCTACAGTCGCATTCAGTGCCGCGAAACTCTACCCACCCTAAGCTCGCCCGGGGTATGGGTAAGGATGGTGGCTCTCGGCGCCGCATCCGCGCTGCGGCGCTGGCCACTTCTGACGGTCCTGTCAGCCCGTTGGATCGACTTTGGCCGCGAGCCTGCAGAAGTAGCACTCTATCGGCCGGTCTCTTTCACCCTGGAGCTTGGAACTGGGCGGCGGGCGTTGGTGACAAAGTGCGACTCCGGATATCCGGCCACGCCCGCCAACCCCCCAGCAGCAAGCAGCCCAGCTCACAGTTGCCTACGCTGCCTGTGCGTGCCCACGCTTCACTACGCTGTGGGTGCGGTGCTGTGGATACTGTGTTGTGCTGTGCCTGTGCGTCTCGGCCCTCGACATGGCATGCCGTCATCCATCTGATGAACCTTCGTTCCCGCGTATCGATTGGGAGTGGAGAGGGCGAAGGGAAGGAAACATGCTTGCTTAGCTGTCCCGGACCAGTACCAGCAGAAGCAGCAGCAAAAGCAACAGCAACGGCAGCCGGCTCGCCCAACGCCACCATATCCACCCCCACAGTCTGGCTTGCCTCCCTCGCCGCTCGCGTCTCCCCCATCAATACAAAGGAAAAAGAGGCCCCCATGAGATTCCCGCTCAGCGATGGCCCGTCCTCTCTCTGGACCACGCCACACAGACCCAAGTCGATGAATAAGCCCCTGACGTCGCAACATCAAGACACTGTGCCGCCGGTCCACCACTCGCTCGCCTACTTGAAGCCGCGCCCCCGGGGACGGGCACCTAGTCGCCTGTTGTCCTCTCGCACCGGCAACTCGACGTGCTGCCGCACCGAGAAGACGACCACGACGACGCCGACGACAACCACACATCCGCCATGACTCGCCGCATCGAGGTCGAGGTCACTGACGCCCCCCATCCCGACCCGGCCGCTGTCGATGTCGGCCAGCTCGAGCAGGGTGATGTCGGAGACGCCAAAGACGCAGAATGGAGGCCCGGGAAGCAAGAGTGGGCCGTCATGGGCACACTGGCCGTCATCTCCTTGATGGTGGCGCTCGACGCCACAATCTTGGTGTCGGTGCTGCCGGTGAGTTGGGAACCAACGGTCCTCCTCTGGACGGACAAAAGCGAAGATGCAACAGACTTTCATGAACTGACACGCGCGCAGACACTCGCCCTCGACCTAGGCGGCACATCTACAGACGCCTTCTGGGCCGGCACATCATACCTACTGACATGCGCCGTGTGTCAGCCCTTCATCGCGGCCCTGTCCGACATCTTTGGCCGCAAGGAGATGCTCTTCGTGTCGGTGCTCTTCTTCACCCTCGGTACGGTGCTGTGCGCGCCCATCGCCAAGGACTTCACTGTCTTCTTCGCCGGCCGCTCCGTGCAGGGCATCGGCGGCGGCGGCATCATCACCATGGGCCAGGTCATCTTTGCCGATATTGTGCCGCTGCGCCAGCGCCCCAAGTACTTCTCCCTCGTGCTGGCCGCCTGGGCCATGGGAAGCGTCCTGGGCCCGCTGATCGGCGGCCTGTTCGTCGAGCACGTCATCTGGTCTTGGTGCTTCTACATCAACGTGAGTTGCGCCGCCGTCCATTCCCCGAACTACACCTGCCATGAGAAGTCGAGACAGCGGGGAGGGGATCAGATGTCGAAGCAGGGCAAGCGGAAGCCTCATTTTACAGGACACGCGCTTACATGTTTGGTGCCTCTCAGTTCCCGTTTTGCCTCTTGGGTCTCATACTCGTTCCAATGTACGTGAAGCTCTCGACGGAAAAGACGTCGCTCATGTCCAAGCTCGCCCGCGTCGACTGGATCGGCGGCTTCCTGTTCATTGCGGGACTCACGAGCTTCCTCGTGGGCATCTCGTGGGCGGGCATCCAGTTTGAGTGGAAGAGCAAACAAGTCATTGCGCCCATGGTTGTTGGCGCAGTGGGCGTCGTGGCTGCCATTTTCTGGGAGCGCCACGGCGCGCGGGAGCCCTTTCTGCGGCCCTCGCTGTTCTACTCGACTTCGGCCGTCGCCACGTACGGCTGTGCCCTATTCCAGGGCTTCATTGTACGCATAATCCTCTCCCGTCTCACTCGCCTCTGAATGTTATGACTAATTTTTTGAATTTCCAGCTCTTCTGTGCGCTGTACTACGTGCCGTTCTACTTCACTGCCGTTCGCTTTGTCTCTCCAACCCAGGCCGGCCTCGATATCTTTCCTGTTACATGCTTCCTCCTTCCGGGCAGCATCGTCATCTCGTTGGTGGCGTCGCGCATCGGCCGCTTCCGATGGGCTATCTGGAGCGGCTGGGTGCTTACCGCCATATCGTGCGGCCTGTTTGTTTTCTTCGACGAGGACACAAAAACCCCTGTGTGGGCTGTGATCCTCGCAATCTTCGGCATCGGCCACGGCATGCTTCTCACCAGCGTCAACGTTGGCATACAGGCCATAAGCCGTGTCGAGGACGCTGGCCGCGCCGCTGCCATGTATGCTTTCATGCGGACGCTGGGCATGTCGATTGGCGTGGCTGTCGGAGGCACCGTGTTTCAAAATGTCATGGTCCTCAAACTTGACGAGTTGGGGCTACCTGAGAGCATTGCTCATGAGTCGGAGGCTTATGTCCCCACCATGGCTGCCATGTCTCCCACGGACCCCACCCGAATTGGGGCGTTGCAAGCTTGTAAGTTGACGGCGGCCTGAACAATCTCGGTGCATGGTGCTAACGGTGGAATACAGATGTGAAGGGTTTCCATGGCGTTTACTGGACCATCACCGGGGCCGCATGCGCCGCCTTCCTGCTCAGTCTGCTCATCAAGCGCCACAGCATGGACAAGATACTGGAGTCCAAGTTCGTGCTGAGCGGAGGCAGAGAGCTGAATGTGAAGGTCACAACCACACACGGCGACAAGGTTTCGGAGAGTACCCTGATCGCGGCTCGCCTGCCAAGATTATTCAAGCCCACGCCTGTCACGCCCACCACGCAGTCGGGCTCCGACACAGACAGCACCTGCTCCATGTCTAAACAGCCAGACACGCCGGCGAATGCCGTCCGGGAGAAGGATCCCGAGTCTCCCGACTCGGACGATCAGGCTGCAGTGCTAGTACAAGCAGTCGCATTCTACGTCGAGCCCGGCGGAAAGATGACTCCAGTTGAACTTTTGTCGAAAAAGAGCAGGACAGAGTCACCGCCCAGGGCGGAAAGCCCGGAGCCAGACATTCCAGAGGCCGGCGCACCGGAGCAAGACGCTCCACAGCCAGAGATGCGAGAGCTCTCGCCACAGGACGCGAAAGAGCAGCAGCAAGAGACATCCGACGAGGCGACACTGGCATCGTCGGTGCGGGAGAGCTCAGAGTCGGTCATGGAGACGGCCGAGCAGCAGGAGCTGATAGAGAACCTCATGCCGGTGTGGCTGTTCGAGGAGAAAGAGGAAGATGACAACGAAAACGAAAATGACGACGGTGACGACGAAGAAGACACAGCCTCGACCAAGAGCAAAGACACATAATCGGAACTTGCTGCAACGTGTATGCAAATTTGTACATATATACCCCATCACGTCATGTTTTCTTTGGCATGTCGACTGTACCTACCTACCTACTTAGATTACCGCTGCCATTTAATAGATGGAATTGGAGTTTCACATATAATTAGATGCATCAATACTATGACAGGGTTTCATTGCTCATGGCAGATAGTACTTGCTTAAAAAGGTGGGTATGCGCTGTTCCCTTGAGTGCAAATAGGCCTGTTCCTGTTACACTTTTGGAATAGGGAAGTTGCATCATGGCGATTGTTCCGGGGCCCTGCCATTTTAATTCCAACCAGCCTGGATTCCAATAAGAGAAGGCTGATTAGCATAATAGTGGGAGAACTACGGTTTTTTTTTCGATCAATTACTCGTCAGGGCCTTTTTGTAGCGCTGACGAGTAATTAGACTGGGTGTTCCAGAGACCGTCTATAAATTTACGGATTTTCGAATCTTCCTCCAAGCAAATTCCGTCGCTCCATATTTCGTGCCACAACTTCTTCACACACCCTCCATTTGCGGCCGGCACCTCAGTCTTTAACAATCACGAAACTCCATTTCCAGACCACGAACAACCACCACAGCAAAGATGGCCCAGATTGATGCACCAGTTTCTCAAAAGTCTGAGCCATCTGGTCATCATTCCATAGTATGGACGACGACGCCAGGACTCTCGCAGATGACCTCATTGACCTACTCGGTCGCATGAACAAGACTGCAGATGCGGAGGTCAGAAAGCGATTCTGGGAGAAGCTTTGTTTTGCCGGAGGCTGGGACTCGAACTGCACTAACAACTAACCTCGGGGTCAATAATTAATGATCCCCAAGAAAAGGCAGATCCAGTGATTCGCTGGAGCTAGGACACGACAATAGGGAGACTTTCTAGGATCTGAACGCTTCGGTATCTAGCGGCTCGGCCTAAAGGATATCGCTAAGGGCGGCGATAGCTATTAGAGCCCCTATTTCTTTTCTCGTAACGCCTTCCAAAGAAAGACCTTTCCTGGCCGGGTTATTTGCTTCATCTTATCGAGCATCATCTTGTAAGCTCGCAGCGTCTCGAGCTTCGTGTGATCCTCGGCACTCCAGTCTTCCTCATTGTCGGACGGTTGCCATCCGTGTCTGTGGCGCCAACGGGCATATGGTCGAACTTTCATCGAACCAGGCGGGCTCGAGCCCAGTAAACATCCTATCAAATGTTATGGTTGTTGATGCGTTGGCACTCCGCTTCGTCCCAGTGAATCACGGAGTCGGCCCTGGGCGTAGGACAAACTTCGAATTTATGGCACCTCCTACACTATCGCACCAAAAGAACGTGACGTTCTCGTCCTCCCAATTGATGTTGTTTGTTGGACTTCAAATAGACGGCGGCGCCTGGAACTCTGTTCGCCCGAGGGCCGCCTTTCGCCAGCGCGTTCTTCGTGATTGGAATTCCGGCCTTGATAGTGCTGACCAGTGTCGTGATCTCCGCCGCTCGACGCTTGGCCATATTTACCGGGAGGCTGTTGGTACAGCTCGAATCCCAGCCTCCAACGAAATAAAACTTCTAAAATCTCTTTCTGACTTCCGTATCTACAACTAAGCCAGTCTTGTTCACGCAACCACCGGGCAGGTCGATCAGGTCATCCGCAAGAGTTTAGTAATTCGGCTAGGGGATGCCTTTAATTAATAGGCGTTTCGAGAAAAGAGATGGGCCTCCAGGATTCCAAAATAGGGGCTCTAGTGGCTATTGCCTACCTCAGTGAGAAACGTTTAGGCCGAGTCGTAGGATATTGAGGCGCATTAGATCTTAGAAAGTCCCTCGCCGACAAACATTCAGGGTTTAGACTAAAACTTCCATATCAAGCCTCATCACCGCTACCAGATAGCATCTCTCCACCTCCTGTGATCCACACAAATCCAGCCCGCCTCCCCATCACAACAACATAACCACCGTCACGCCCACGCACCGCACTGCTCAGGATGCGCATGAAAGTAATCAAACGACGCGACCACGCCGGCGCCATAGCACAGCCCGGCCACCAAAATTGCGATATGCATGACCTGGTGGCTCGCCCCGAGCACATCGAACCGCCGCGGCCACCAGCGCTCGGGCACCCGCGCGGCGTACGCGCCCGCGCCCGCCACATTGAACACCAGCGTTGCGAGCACCCACGGTAGGCCGACGCGCTCGCTGTGGTTTGCCGCCCCGTGTGTCAGTACCCCGTGCGCGACGGGCAGAAACGTCGACGCGACGCCTAGCAGCCCGAACGTGGCTGCCCGCAGCACCGCCGTGCCGTGCTGTTCTAGAACCACTCCTTTGTCTAGCTGAGGTGATGATATTGGTGGTGTTGGGGAGTGGAAGGCCGCCCGCCCCGTCGCCGCGCCGCACAGGCCCGCCATCACCGTCGTCAGCGCCCAGTAGCGCGCCTGCAGCGCCGGCGCGCACGCGAAGCTGTAGTAGACTAGGGGAATGTTGGCGCCCCACATCAGCAGGATTATGCCGTAGAAGTCGAGGCGCTGGCCGGCGTGGAGGGCCGACGGGCTGTGGTGCATGAATGTGTGGAACCTGTTTGTGTTGTTGTGACAGAGGGGTTGTTTGTTAGTTGGGTAATTGGGCAATTAGTTACGGGGTGTCGGTAGTTGGGGTATAGGGGTTGGGTTGGCCTGTGGCCCTCTGGAGAAGAACGGGAAATACGCACGCAGCTGAAAAAGCAAAGCACACGGCCACGCCGACAAAGTAGATGCTGCACACAATCTTGTCGGCAGGCGTGGCCACGGCATCGCGCGGCGGGGTTGTTGACGAGGCGCTGAAGATGTATATGGGCAGGGCCAGGAAGACGAGGGCGCCGACGGCGTGGGAGAAGATGTTGACTGTGTGGGGGTTTGACAGAGTGATTGATCAGTTAGTGGGTGAAGACGGGGCAAGTCAGGGGTAAGGAGGCTGTATTGGTTACCTGTCTCGTTGTGCAGATACCGCCAGCTGTTGAGGCAATCCAGCAGCGATTCCGATGCGGGCCTGCGGTTGTCATGTCTCTCAAGTCAGTCATGTTACATACTCGGCGAGGCTCTTGGGTACCTACCTCTTTTTGGGTAGAAGATCTGATGTACAAAGGATGGTAAATCCGTACGTGTAACGTACCTGTATCCGGTCTCGATATGGCCACTACCCTCTCTGTGTCGCGGTTCGTTGTTAGGAAAGTTGCATGGTCACACGCTTCATAACCAGACTCACTGCTGCCAGGTTGCTGTCGTCGATTCGTAGCCCGTGGTTAGCTCTCACACGAGGCTTGATATGATATGCACGGTTTGGAATGGACAAGCCTTACGCAAGTCGCGCCAGAGAACGAGTTGAACGGCGCGAGGCCGAGCCTCCGCTAGCCGTAGATCCAGTGATCTAGTCTCTGCCCCTTTTGAAGTTACAGCCCGCCGTCGCGTGGCAGTCTGCCGTCGCGTGGCAGTCTCAGCCGAGTGAGTCGCAGTTCGTGTCGTATCTGCCATCTTAATTTCTCGTTACTTCACATACCTGACGTTGGAAGTAAATTGAGAGTCGAGATTTGTGGTCGAATTCGCCTGGTTCTAACTTCCTGGAGTTTGGCCCACGTTTCATCGGCCCGTTTTGGGCAAGCAAGAAATGGCGCCCAAGCACCAGGTGTCCCATTTCAGTCACTTGCAACTCCGAATCTTCATTTCAACCGCTCCGGAGTATTTTGATCCGACCGCGAGCAGCTCATATTCACAATTGCAAGTCAGGCCAGAAATTGCTACAGAGTCTAATTGCGGTTGCTTCAATGCTGCCCGACTGCACTCCGTGGCCGGTTTCGGCCGCACCCCAGGAAAGGCCAGCCCAGGTAGGAACCAACGTAAGCGGTTAGCCGCTTGGGGGCCGAGTCATGAAACAGGAGTCTGCGACCCGCTCTCTGTCATGCGAGAAAAAAAACACACCAGCGTCCTCACATCAGCCGGTGTTGCCCGGTTCCCCAGAGTCAAGTCAACGATGCACCTTTTGTTCCCAAAATTCCAGCCAAAATGGCCGGGAAATGACAGCGAATCAGCAGCGACCAACTGTTTCGGTTCAAGCGCGTTTGACGGGGGTGAAAAAACAAGACAGGTTAGCGATCCACGGATTGCTTGCTGCTGCTGCTGCCGCCGCAGAGGACGGCTGTGCCTCTCGACTGCCTCGTTTCTGGAAGCAGGACGCCATCCTTCGTGGTGCCATCTGCAGCCGTCTGGAGAGGATGCCGATGCATGTCATCCTGAAGATTGTAAGAGGAAGGTGGTTCCCGTTCTATCTCTGGCTGGGCCGCTCTGGAACTCTGGGCGTGGATGTGTGGGATTTCTGCCACCGCTTTTTCGGCCGGCGATACAAATGTTCACACACGACGTAAGTCTGGAAGATAAACGGGTTGATCAATTAGGTGGCTGCCTAGTGCGAGACCAATCATGTCGCACGCGCAATAATACGACCAATTGCCCAAGTACCTCTCTAGCATGACGTAGGACAGCAAGAGTGTGGCCGACGACGTTCTTGCACACGTGACTTTTCCTACTTTGATCTCACTTTGCCCCTATGGCGATGTGCAGAAAGAGATATGCCGATATCTAGCTGTAGTTTGTTTCATTGTTGATCAGAGATCACTTGTGGCTAATTAGGTAACGCGTATTACAGACTTTTGTAATGCTGCTGCTCTCAAAACTGGGCAGTGCCTTGAGCACAGACAGAAGCCATAGAATGTTTTCAATGCCCGGTACAGTTCGGATTACTCCGAGCCGGGTCGCCCACAAGGTTTGGAACGGGCCAAGCGCATCCCAGGTGTAAATCGAGGTCGCCAACCTTATCTAGATTCCTGGAAATGCATTTTCCAGGAACAGTCCGCGGAATAAGCGTCCAATCCCAGGCTCCCCAGGCACCACAAACCCGGGAACCGTCCCCGGCAGCAGCCGCATAACAACACCGGGCCTCTGAGGTAGACTGTCGCTCGTGCGTGTGCCTCAGGAACTAGGGGCGCATTGAGGAGGAGAGAAGAACAGACATGAAAATCAAATCGAGGCCCTGATTGGCCCGTCGCGCAATACGCGCAAGAGCTGTGTGTCCTACCTCCCGGTGCCTAGTTCATTCAGCCTCTCGCTCCCCCGCATAAATAATAAAACATGCGCCATTGAATGATAGGATAGCATAGCCGCATGTCTATGTGATGTATCTATTAGGCTCACTCACACAGACCAAGGTGAGCGGCTGTAATTAGAACTGGAACCAGACATAGTGGGCAGACCAAAATGCTTCTGAGAATAGACGTCCAGCCCCTGGCACGCGGCTCCGGCATGCGCAGTACTCACTTGCCAGCCACGAGCCTGCAAGGTTCCCGACAGTGGGCGGGGTGCGGATACCGGCGAGTAGAGGCCATGAACAACGGACGAAGGATGTCAATGGTGGCGACTAAGCCATGCTACTATTGTCGACAAGCCTCGTGCGTACGGCTGGCCGAGCCTGGGACAGTCGGCCGCCCTCACGCGGCTATGTCTCGACGCGCCACGTCCTATTGTCGTCCTCCTCGCACTCGCCTCGCCGTCGTGATGTATAAAGGTGGCCGGATGGCGCTGCCTCTCGACTTGCATTTCCATCATCACTCACAGTCGCATCAGTCACTCACTTCGGCAATCGACCAATATCCAATTCACCCGAGTGAACACACTCAGCACCGCCAACAATCGCCCGTGCCCAACTCTTCGAGATGAAGCTGACGGGCTCTCTCCTCGCCGTCGGACTTGCAGTCCTGTACGGGGCGTGCCAGGTCCAGGCAGCCGCCGTGTTCGCGCACTTCATTGTAAGCTCACCGCCTGGCTCGGATTCCGGCGGCCGCGGCATCGCCCGCCCGCCTCGGACAATCCTCCCTCGCACTTTCGGTCCCACCGCCTTGCTATTGAACAGTGAACAGCCTCGCACCATGATCCGCAGCTAACAGTCCCCAAAACAGGTCGGCAACGCGCCCAACTACAACCTCGACACGTGGCGGCGCGACATGCAGCTGGCGCAGGACGCGCACATTGACGCCTTCGCCATGAACGTGGCCACGGGCGACGCCAGCATCTACAACTCGCTGGCGCTAGCCTTCGACGCGGCGCGGCTGCAGAACTTCAAGCTGTTCCTGTCGTTCGACTACCTAGGGGGCAGCGCGGGACCCTGGGGCAAAGGGCAGGTGCTGGACCTGGCGTCAACCTACTTTGCGCGCGGCGAGTACCTCAGGTACAACGGCAAGCCGCTGGCGTCGACATTTGAGGGCTCGGACCAGGCGGGCGACTGGGTCGACGTCAAGCGGCAGACGGGGTGCTTTTTCCTGCCGGACTGGTCGTCGCGGGGGGCGCGCGGGGCGCTGGACCTGCAGGGCGGCGTGGCCGACGGGCTGTTCGCGTGGACGGCGTGGCCGTGGGGCAACCGCGACATGGACAGCAACACGGACGCGTCGTACGACGAGGCGCTGCGCGACCAGAACAAGCCGTACATGATGGCCGTGTCGCCGTGGTTCTACACCAACCTCCCCGGCTGGAGCAAGAACTGGCTGTGGCGCGGCGACGACCTGTGGGCGGACCGGTGGAACCAAATCATTGAGCACCAGCCCGAGTGAGTCTCTCTCACACTCTCTCTCTCCCTCTCTCTCTCTCTCACACACACACACACACACACACACACACACACTCTCTCTCTCTCTCTCTCTCTCTCTCTCTCTGTTGGACACAGCTAACCACGGCCCAGATTCGTCGAGATCGTCACGTGGAACGACTACGGCGAGAGCTCGCACATCAGCCCGCTGTACGACAACGCCATGGGCCTCTTCAACTACGGCAAGGCGCCCTTCAACTACGCGCAGGACATGCCGCACGACGGGTGGCGGCAGTTCCTGCCGTTCCTGATCGACACGTACAAGGGCGCGCGGCCGGCCATCACCAAGGAAGGACTCACGTCGTGGTACCGCACGTCGCCGGCGGCGGCGTGCAGCGACGGCGGCACGCCCGGCAACACGGCGTCGCAGATGCAGCTCGAGTTTTCGGCGGCGCAGGTGTCGCAGGACCGCGTCTTCTACTCGGCGCTACTGGCGTCGGACGCGCAGGTGGAGGTGACCGTCGGCGGGCGCACGCAGGCCGGCAGCTGGAAGCACCGGCCCGACGGCGGCGTCGGCGTGTACCACGGCAGCGTCGAGTTCGGCGGGCGCACGGGCGACGTGGTGATTCGCGTGTCCCGCGGCGGCAGCACCATCGCGCAGATCAACGGGCGCTCCGTGTCGCCCGACAACTGCCGCAACGGGCTGAACAACTGGAACGCGTGGGTCGGCAGCGCCATGTCAGGCGCCAGCATCCCGGCCGCGAGCGCCCCCGGAGCCCCGGCCAAGCATCCGTTCCGCTGGAGCGACGGTGACATGCCGCAGTACTGCGTCGAGGGCCACAGCAGCGGCGACGGCCGGCTCGACGGCCTGTGCCGCTGGAGCTGCGCGCTCGGGTTCTGCCCCATCCACGCCTGCACCTGCACGCGCCAGGGCACCAGCCAGCCGGGCGCCCCCGGCTGGGTCAACGTGCCGGCGACTGGCGTCGACGGGGTCAGCGACTTTGGGCTGTGCGACTTTGCCTGCCACCACAGCAACTGCCCGGGCGACGTGTGTAGGCGCTTCTGAGGCTCTGAGCGAGTGCCAAGAATCAGCTGTTTCCTACGGCGTTTTGTTTTCCTTGGATTAGATATAGATTTGGGACCTGAGGTTTGGGAGCGGGATTCACGTTGGGCTTTGGCCCGGGGAGCCGGCCTGTTCTGGGGCATTCTCATTTTCGTGTAAATATTCTTGGAAGGACCTGAGGTTGAGGTTTGGGGCCGGGGATGCGTAGGGCGGGGTAGGGCTGAGCGGGCGGGTTTGGTTCCATGGGGATTTCGGTAGATCGCTGGCCGCTGCGCGCATCAGCGGGTCGCACTCTGTGCAACACATCCAATGGTAGACTGGGGTAAATCATCAGATCATAATCAGTTCCATGATTACAGAAACTTTTGGCGCGGGCGCCGAGCCGCTGGTGACTAGCGGCCGCATCAACTGCAGGGTCGACGGTCGGCGGGCTATGGCCATGGGGATGACGGCCTGAGGTGGCCGTGGATCGTTTTGTGTCAGTGCTTGGCCAAGCGGGTGCAGACCGCGGTTCAGGTAACCGATTGATTCGTTTTGTTTCTTGTTGCGGTGCAGGTTTGGGTGGCCGTTTGCATTTCTCTATCGGGTCTCTTTTTCTTTTCGTTTCTTGATTGTGAAGGTCTGGCCGTTCGTGGAGAGGCGATTTGAGATGGACTTGCCGTTTTTCTAGGGGCTAGTGGGCAATCTCGCCTCGTAAACAGCCCTGGAGCGTTAAGGTTAACAGCCTCCAGGCTGCAGGGGATCCGGTGGGATGGGCATGGGCATGGATCGCATCGTCAAATGACCCCAGCGGGGAGACCCTGGAACCCGCTGTAGCAATGTGAACAAGACTCGACGCGGCTTCTCTAAACACTAAACATGCAACGGACTGCCCATTTTCTTTAACAATCGAGGGCCGCGTCTTGCCCGACCGCTTTTACCCCCTCAGCCTTGCCATCAGCAAAGGGTGAAAATTACCGATGGGTGTGGTGATGGATGGCGCGTTGGCGGGCCGCCTGAAGCGTGGGGCTGGCCGCCCTCGTTTCAGCGCTCGCACATCCTCACATGCACACCCGCGGGGCCATCAGGTCGCCTAGTGCAAGCCGCTGTGCCGGCACACGACGGACCCTTTCTGGTTCATTGCCGGCCTGGTGTTCTTGTTTCCGTGCTGCCCCAGCTCTTGTTCGTGCCCAATGTGCTGGCTTTCCCATGTTTCCGCTTGGTGAATGGCGACATTGGCACTCGGGTTCGTCCCAAGCCCGTCGCGGGCCCCCGCCGTTTCGCGGCCCGGGGCTGTTTTGACTCCCGACACAGCACCGTTGCTTGGCGTTTCCCAGCCGGCGCACAGCGTATTCTTGCTCCCTTCCATCTCATCTCATGTGTCTTAGCATAGCAGTGCTTCATGACTGTGCACCTTCTTAAAAGACCCCTCGTTACCCTGTCTTCTTCTGGCCGAGACGTTCTGCAGCCTTGCAGATCCATCAAACAGATCAACCAAGCACAGCGTCAAAACGAAGACTAAAGACCAAAACAGAGCCAGCTCCCGTCCCCGCCGAAACAAGAACCCGCACCCATTTGCGCAAAACACTCACAGCCCACAACACAAACAACAACAGCAACAACAACAACAACAACAACAACAACATGCGTCTCAGCAGCGCCATCCCCCTCACCGTCGTGCTCCTGTCATCGGCCGTGCAAGCCAATCCCAATCCCAATCCCCTCTTTGGCTTCGGTTCAGACGATGACGACGGCGAAAGCGGTAAAGCCTCCGGCTCAGACCTGGTGAAACTGATCAATGAGCTGCCGCGTTGCATAATGCCATGCCTCGTGAAAATAGCAAGGAAGAACCAGTGTACGGCACCTGGATCAATCGCGGTAGGAACAGGAACAGGAACAGAAACAAGGGATATAGCAGAGGAATCATTGAACAGGCGCCAAGCCGGAAACGCCAACGCAGTCGCCCCTGGCGGTGGTCAAACGTTTATCAACGTAAGATGCGTGTGCGGCAACGGACTCGCGTCAATGATAGGTCTTCCCAGTCTTTTCACCGTGGTCGGCATGTCCGACTGCCTCACAGACGACGTCAAGAACACCGACACAGACGCGACAGACTTGAGCTGCGGGCTCGTCAAGACCGGTATCGCCGGCATCAGAATATGCAGCGCTGCCAGCGATGCTAACACGCAGCAAATCACTGAAGCTGGAAACATTCTCAAGGGGGTATCTAACTTCCAGCTTAACCTCCAAACGGCCAATCTGAAGATTGACGGAACTGGGAATGTCACGTCAATTACTCGGAAGATTACCAATTCGCTGGGAATCACGAATACCAACGACCCGTCAGGATCCACGGCGTCGTTCCGCTCCGTTCCACTTTCAAAGCGCGACTACGTCCTGACGGGGACGCTGGTCGTCTTCGTAGGCTATGCTCTGGCTTTCATGTGAAGCTCCAAGATGTAAAAAAGACGGAAAAGTGGGAAGGGGCGCCTCATTCTTTTTCTTATCTTTTCTTTTTCCTTTGACTGCCCCTGCCTTTCGTTTTGCATCACTCTCAGTTCCCCCGTTCTTTGCCTCAAGACGCGACAGTCCCGAAAACAATAGATGCACACGAGAGTTTTTTGTTTCATTTCCTTTGTTTTTGCATGGAGTCGGTGGGCCAGCAGGAGGCGCCGGTACGCCGATCCTCGTGCGTTTGCCAAAGTAGTCTATCATCTGGGTTCGGATCTGGGTTCGCTGGCTGAGGGGCGGTGTTGTGCGACTGTACGATTTTAGTATACTCTGAATAAACGTTTCTCTACGCACCTGCTTGAGTGACTTGGCTGAAGGTGTCTTGCGATTACTACGTCGGCAACAACTAGTGACCCCTAATAATTGTGACAAGCTGGCTGACAACTTTACACTTCGAACACCCTTTGTTCGGGTAATTCCACGCAGCAACCCTTCCTTGCTTGTCAATAACCCTTCCTTGCGTGTCAATATGTTGAACCAGGTTATCAATATCACAAAAACACTAGCTTAAATGAAAATAAAAATGAAAATAAACGCCAAAAAGGAAGCCCGCCGCGTCATTGCTTTGTTATTTTTTCCCAGGCGTGACCTTCTGCGTGACTACCGTGGTAGTCTTGATTCCGCCTCCCCGCAGGCCGCCCTGCCCAGGCCCGCCCCAGCCCGCCCCAGCCGCAGTGACATGGACACTGTAGGCCGATCTGCGCCCAGCAGCAGCATCGTCATCTCGCTCGTCATCATCGCTCCTATCCAGCGCGCCAAATTCAAGATCATCCTTGTGCTCGACCCCAACACTACGACCATCTCCACGCAGCTCATCGCCACTGCCATCCGAATCCGTCGCACCACTCCGCCACGCCCTGCCATCGCCGCCGTTGGCCGAGCAGTACCGTAAGCCCCCGCCACCGCTGCCATGAACCGACGACAACGACGAGGCGCCAAAGACGCGCGGCAGGGCGGCGACGAGGATGGGCCGCAGCGTGGGCAGGCACGCGGCCACGACGGCGACGCTGAGCTCGAGGAACGACCACGTCGCCGCGTCGACGTTGTCCCACAGCGGGTCGGCCGTCTGCGTGGCGATGCGCAGCGTGCGGATCCGGTAGATGGACACGGCGCAGGGGCTAGGGAGTTACTTTTGTCAGTTGCTGTTTGTGTAGTATAACTCCCTAGTCATAAGGCAGATATCGCATGGGTGATGGGGAGACGAGGGGCGAGGAGGTGGAAAGGGGTGGCCAGGCACTCACAAAACACCCAAGCAAAAGACGCCGATCAGCATGTTCTTCTGGCGGCGCGGGAGGTGTAGCGAGCGTAGCACGGGCAGCGGCATGGTGAGGATGGCAAAGTCAGTCACCAAGTTGACGCCGGCCATGGTGTACCAGATGGTCGGGCCGTCGAGGCAGCGGCCGCCGGCGCGCGGGTCCCAGAAGGCCGCCACGGGGATGCAGACGAGCGTGAGCAGGAACGCGAGCGTGACCGCCCACGCGCACAGGAAGCACAGCCCCGCCTGCGTCGCGCGCTGCATCAGCGCGTTGGAGAAGATGCGCCGGTATTGCAGCAGGATCGAGATCTTGGTCAGGCACACGGCGATGTTGTAGACGACGATGGAGCTGTAGAAGGACTGGATTTGGGTGCAGTGTTAGTCTCGAGACTGGGATGCCGTGGGCTGTTGATTGGGGGGCTTTCCTTCATGTACGGGATGAGGTTCTCTGGACGCATCGTCCACGTATGGTGGCCGAGGCCTAGTTGCGCCTCTGTTTGCCAGCCACGACAGGGTCAGTATCTCGCTCTGTGCTCCCATGTTTCCTGCATGTTCCTGCTCTTGGAAGGTGCGTACCAAAGCCGATGGCAATAGCAGATCCTATCGTGAGGACCTGGAGTTCAGAGATGCGGTCAGATTGATAGTTCTCAACTGAATATCCAATTCAACGCTTTCTCATACCTGGGCTGCGACCATGACTCCGTCGTCACGACCGAAAAATCTCAGCAAGAACACGCGCGCATAGCACCGTAGTGACAGAGTGACGGTTGACAGTACGGATCCAATGATGAGGATGGCAACGATCTCCCCGAACCTCGACTCCCGGTCCAAGGCGGGATCTCGGCCCTGGCCAGACATGGTGACTGTGGTTCACAAACAACAAAATCAAAAAGAATAAAGCCTACATTGTCGTAACAACCCAGAGTTGGGTTCCCGTCAGCCTGCGGTCTATATGTACATACGTCCGTTCCAAGCGTGAGACACCGACAACTGCCCAAGCGCTGCCGGGTGCATCCCCGAGCAATTTATCAAGCAGCACACAAAGAGACTCTTCATAATTAGCAGTCTGCAGAAATAGGTATTTGTTTTAAACAGCAATGAAACAACCGCTGCTCGAGAGAACCCTAGCGTCTAGCCCGCTTCGGAGGGCGCCCGCTTCAACCACCTGGCACTCCAGGCGCACGGCCGGTCTGGGCTGACGCCACCCGCCTGGGGGGGCTGCCGAGCGAGCTCCGGCATCCAGGTCGGTGGCCGACGCAATTGGCCCCAGTCGTAAGATCCCGTCCGTGCGCCCGACTCCCTGCTCATCACTTCCCCACACCGAACAGTAGCTGTAGCAGCTTGTCCGCAGCGTCCGAGGCCCGAGCAACTGGGGCTTTGCCGTGCCTGCTAACCCATCAATGTCAAGCCAATTGGGCTGGGCATAACCCGGTGAGACTTCGGACGTGCTGGCGCCCGTTGGGCACCCCAAAGGGTGTGATCTTGCATCGGGCCCGTGGAATGAGCATGAACTCCAAAAATAGCATCAGATCGCAAAGACTCGGGACCGCACGAGAGCGCGGGCGGTACTGCCATCCTCCCCACGTGCGACGGTTCCATTCTACCACCTCGCAACAAACGGGCATCCTGCAGCTGCAGATTCAGAGTGTGGTTCCCGGGGGAGGGCATTTTTCCGCGTTTGGTTTGGCGGGGGATCGCCAGCAACGGTGACGGTCCACGACAGGAGCGTCGGCTGAAACTGAAACGTTCGACATCCATGGCGCCAAGAAAACGCCCGCAAGGAACGCTGTCAAAGCGCACCATGTACCGCGGCGGCACGTATGTACCTACATACTGAACATTTGACAGCCGGGAAAGTTGTTACCTGCTGGAAACATTCGCGCTGGGATCGGTGTTGGCTCTAACTTTAACTAATAGACGTTAGTGGCGCGCAGGTGTAACAGGGGTTGCGGTATTGTCCTCCGGAGGTGTGTGTCCCTAGAGGTTCTCGCTAATGGGGGTGGGTGGGTGCATTTTGATCTTGTGTTCTTGTCGCTGCCGATAAGATTCGCTGCCATGTGGAAAATTTCCGCGTTTTGGTCAAGTTTGAGTGCTTGAGTCGCTTGCTTGACGTTGAACCTTAATAAGTCACGGACCAACGGTTGATGTGCTGAGTGGAACCAATTTGGCAGGAGCATACCTACCCATTCGTACGTGATTGACTTGGTTCTACTTAGGGTTTAAGGATAGCGAGTTCGTGGAGAGTACGTTCGAAATAGAATAGGCACAATTTATCGCGCAAAAGCTGGCCACCAGCTAACCTACGACGCCGAAGGCAGTATGCTTCGGTACAAGTTGTGTCGCTGAACACGGTTGAGTACACTAGACAGGGCGGCGAATATTGTATTAGTAACAGGAATAACAGGAGAGGATTAGACTCTTGTAGGGAAGGTTGTCGGCCCGGCTCGGGGTTGAAGGCGGTAACATGAAGACCCTAGAGGCGTAAGGAGTCATCCTTTTAGACCTGATCGACGAATCCTTCTATTCCTGGTCTAGGTATACCCTCAATTTAGTGAAGGCCATGATAGCGAGTACTGCCACGACCTTGCTACTCAAATCTGTACTAGTGGGCTTTTATCAGATACTTCTTGAAGAAGTACTCAAGGAATACCTTCAAGCGGCGGTAAAAGTGGTACGCCGCGATATTGGGGTTCTCCTTGAGGTTCTTGCGGGGGATTCGGGATTTGTTAACATCGTCCGCAGCCAGCCAAAGAGGGTAATCTGGCATGACCTTGGCGAGGGATTCCCAGTGCAGACCAGCAGCCGAGGACGTTAGGAATATGTGAGGACAGTCGAGAGCATACCACATAGCCTCAATGTTACGACGTTATTAGTTCCAAAAAAGGCCGGGTACCACGGAGGACATTAGAGGACTCACGATAGAGTTCAAGAGGATCTAGCCCTCAAGCGTGTTGGAATCCAGGGCTTCACGAAGTGATCGAGGGACTCAAACCGATCGCGATGCCCGCCGCGATTAACCAGCCAACTGCCCCGCTTATTGACTTGTGCTCGCATAATTATATTGAAGACAACGTAAAGAAAGCGAGGGTAGCGAGCAAAGCGGCTGTCATACTACAATAATGCATGCTTTACCTAGGTTGGCCAATCCACTGCTTGTAGGCGAGGTCGGGTATGTTCGCCGAGACCTCGGGGCATAAGAGTAGGCATCGCTAGACTACTAAGGGCGAGGCGGCTGTTGAGGTCGTGCAAGGGGGTCGAACTAACGCCAGGAAGCTAATACAATTACGGACAGGTGTTACGAATCCCTGGAGGATGCACGCGAGTGGGGCACACCCGGCTTAGGCTTGATCAATCAGAATGGCCCTAGAGTCCTGTGGAGGCTCGGTCGGGGCGCCGGGACACCTAGAAGTGTCGGAAGGAGCCGCATCTAAGCCACATATGGGTGCAGGTGGCGCAAATGCTAGACCGTTTACAGCCTAGACTGTGTCAGCCGAATGCCGCATAGCTATGGTATTCAGGTTATGCCACCTTTCTGAACCTTCCGAATACAAGCACTTTTTGCCCTCAATTGATGCAGCGTTGTATGTGACAAGAAGGTCCCGCAGTCCCGGGCTCGGGACCTCGCAACCATGGGACGTCTCTTACTGGTTTTGCCATATGCAGATATATACCGTGATCGTGTCCATGGCCTTAGATAGAGTTTGCTTGGTTCTTCAAGTAAGCAATACACATTCTTTGTACTGATACACTTTGAGGAGCATTCAGTTTGACTGTATTACCCGCAGTAGGAGCTTGCCTTCTGTTCATTCCCTCCCTCTCTCTCTCTCTCACCCTCCATCACGGAAAGGTTCCCAGGGGGCCTGCCCCACACAGGCAGATTGACCCAGCCAGTCAAGCGGTTTGTAATACACGAAGCTGTTCTGTGCGAGGGGCGTCAAAGGAGTGTGGACTTGCTGACCTTTCTGTAACATTAGAGTTGAAATACGTGCTAAACAATGGGTTTTTGGTAGCATTTCTTAGCTCTTCTGCATCAGCATCTTAAAGGGACGATAAGATAGGCCAATCTCTTTGGCTAATGCGGCAAGATATGCACGGCGTGCATATGGGGGCTGCAGTAGGTGTATAGCGATCTACCAATAAACTGCCTTATCATGCCGCCCTGTTGAGACAATAGATACGAACATTGCCATTGAGATAGGTGTTGGATTCACCAGGGTACCGGTACTGGACTCAACAGGGCGTGGCTGCACGCCGAAAACTGGTGGTTCAAGTGATGGATTGTAGATGTCTGTTCTTCTCTCTAGCTTTCTGGCAGTGCCAGAAAGCCCGTTCTTATACTACTATTGTGGTGGCGAAGTGGGTGGCGAAGTCTCTATCTAGAACCTTCGAGGCCCTTCTGCTTGACAAATTCCAATAATAGGATATCCTTACCTATCTAAATATCTCACCTGGGCCCATCTACTATTATGTCGGGATTTGATACCCTTTGCGCTCTACCCATCCATCACTCAAGAGTCAAGCTGTTGATTCTCCCAACTTCACAAAAATTGCATAGTCTCATAGTATTGATCGAAAATTTCCAGACGCTCGGCCCCATCCTCACCAGCAGAACGAAGACAACCCTCGATCACATCGCGTCCTTCGGTACGGCGCGTACTTCGAAGCACTGTTATAATATGGGGCTGTAGAAAATATCAATTTACATAATGTCGTCACCCACAATGGCGCCGCTACAATGCCTCGTGAGGTTCCTTTGGCGGCCAAGCGAATCAATCGCAGCTGCACACGGGACAACCCCTACAGGGCAGTCAACCTATAAGGATGCCGCATGACCACGGTAATTAGGCGGGAGGAAAATGAGTGGCTAAGAGTCATTGAGGAAGCCTACGTGGCTTGTGAGCTGAACCCGACACTCCGTATGAAGCAGAGTGTGAGGACGTAACCAATCATAGAAGATAGGTAGCCGCCCTACCAGGCCAATAGAGTAAGTGTGCAAGTACTGAGGCCAGTCTTCCTTTGGGCGTCGGAAGGCTTTGTTCCCTGCAACAAGATTGTGAGGAAGTAATTAAGGACCTTGAGGCCAAAGAAGATTATTGCGTACCAACACTTCACTCCAGGCCATTCCGTCCTAAAGGCAGAATCTCCTCGTCACACAGCGATCGGTTTCTTCGACTTCGCAACAGCCACGCGATAACCGCGCAAAAAAGAAATTTGTCGATTTCTCCATCAGGTGGGATAGCGAGCCGCCAGCCATCGTGTGTTAAACCTCTGCCGTATCTTACAAGTTCTCCACTAATTACCAACGACTCTAACCACTAGGAATCCTACCAAGGCGTTATTTAGTACGTCACACTCGCGTCACAGAAACCAATCAAGACGACGAATAGAGCGAACGCATTCCAAAACACCTCAGCGCGAAAACCTTCCGTCGAAACCACCGACTTCCCACGATGACGACGCGTACAGCTCTGGAGAGCCCGGATCTCTACACCATCGGGGTGGATCGCGGCCCTCCCTGTCGAACGCGCCGCAGCGACTGCTTTGCTCGATGAGCGCCATGATGAGCCGCATGACTTTTCGCAGCACCCGAGCGATACGAACTCATACACCTGGGGCCGGATGGGAAAACACAGTGTCGTAATCGCCTCCCTTGCGGCAGGAGTATACGGGGCCACGTCCACTGCCATCACGGTATCGAGCCTGCTTTCCTCCCTCCCGCAAATCAGAATCGGACTCTTGGTGGGGATCGGGGGCGGCATCGCTCGACCAAATGAAGGTACGGACATCCGGCTTGGCGACGTCGTCGTAAGCCAGCCGCACGGAGTCACGGGCGGGGTGGTCCAGTATGACCTTGCAAAGGCGAAGCCCAATAGCACGCACGAACGCAAAGATTCTCTGAACATGCCACTACAGGTGCTCCTAGATGCGGCAACAGCCCTACGGGCAGACTACTATATTGTTGGATCCAAAGTCTCGGGTCTGCTCGAAGAAATGTGGAAGGCGAACCCTCGAATGGCGAAACCGACCAGGTCAGCCCCGGGATTTGTTCACCAAGGATTCGATAACGACCGGCTCTTTGATACTTCCTGCCACCATGCCGGTGGCCGCAACTGTGGCAGCTGCGATCCAAACGGTGAAGTCCATCGCGACGCGCGGGACTCGGCGGATCCCGAGGTACACTTTGGTATCATCGCGTCCGGAAATACGCTAGTAAAGGATGCGGCTACTCGGGACCAGATCGTGGAGTATATCGGAGGGGATTGCCTTTGTGTTGAGATGGAAGCTGCCAGGTTGATGAACCATTTCCCGTGCCTTGTCGTCCAGGGCATTTGTGACTATGCAGATTCGCATAAGAACGATCGCTGGCAATGCTATGCTTACGCCACGGCAGCCGCATTTGGGAAAGAGCTCCTTAGTTACGTTCCGGTCAAGAAGCTACAGGAGACGCAGAGGGCTGCTAAACTCCTCCAGTCTAGTAAGTCTTCGTTTACCTCTAATGGACCTTCGCTAATAGCGACGTAGTCAAGACTAAAGTGCAGGATATCCACTCCATGATGAACCACACAAAAGCAGGGGTTGATAGTCTGAAACTGGATAGCCATCTCGATAAGCTTAAGAAGTGGCTCTCTCCCCCCGATCCCTCGACCAATCTCAATACGGCGAAGGAAAAGCGCCACAAAGGCACTGGAGATTGGTTTATTAATAGCAACGCTTTCCTTGAGTGGAAATCGGGACCCCGTCGACATCTATGGCTGCACGGGTTGGCAGGCTGTGGTAAGACGGTCATCACCTCGACCATTCTTGACCATCTCCACCTGCAGGACACTCAAACAGACTCATGTGTGTGCCTGAATTTTTTCTTCGATTTTCGCGACAAAGACAAACAGCGCCTAGATAACCTATTACGTTCGCCTACTTTCCAACTATACTCGCGATGTATAGATTCACAAAAGGAGCTCGATAGCCTATTTACGTCGCACGAGGACGGCCAAGAGCAACCAACAACGGAGTCACTATCTAAAACTATCCATCTCATGATGCAGCGTCCTGAAAAACTTCAAATTATATTGGATGCTTTGGATGAGTGCACTACTAGATCCGAATTGCTCAAGTGGATGGAGTCCAGTTCCGAGCTAACGAGCGTTCACCTCATCGCTACGAGCAGGCGAGAGGACGAGCTGGAGTCTGGTCTTAGCGGATGGATTGACAAGGAAAACGTGATCTCTATGGACAGGGACCTCGTTAATGAGGATATTCGCTCCTACACCAAAGTAAGACTCCAAGTTAGTAAAGAGTTTCAGAAGCGATGGGACTCTAGACCCAACGTGCTGGAAGAGATCGAATCCGTGATTGGGAAGAAATCCAGTGGAATGTAAGTCTCAGTTACATCTCTTTTCTTCTGTGTTACAAGCGCGACGTGTCGCGTGTGTGCGGACGTTAACCCTTTGAATAGGTTCCGGTGGGCGGCGTGCCAACTCGACGATTTGGAGAAATGTTCGAGTTATAGAGGTCTAAAAATTGCTCTCAACTCACTACCTAAGACCTTAAACGACACTTATGCTTGAATATTAGCCAATATCCCGGACGAACATAGGGAAGAGACAATCCAACTTCTCCAGTTCCTTGCATACTCGGAACGGCCCTTAACGATTGAAGAGGCTGTGGATGCCATGGCGGTGGATCTTGAAAACGACCATCAATTTGACGCCAAAGACAGACTCCCATGTCCGATGGAGATTACTAGGTTCGGCTCAAGCTTAGTGTCTCTTTTCGAGAGAGAATCTAATATAGAGCTGGAGCTAGCCCATTTTTCCGTCAAGGAATATCTGACAACTAAGGCCCTCCCAGAGCCTTTCCAATACGAGATGTCCGAAGGGATTGCTAGACGGCGGATAACAAAAATCTGCTTAGCCCACCTTTCTTGTCTAAATAATAGACAGTCCGTTGCTGAAATTACTACCCTATTTCCGCAAGCGAGGTACTCGGCAAAGTATTGGATGGACCACGCTAAACAAGCGAAGACTTGGAATGACGTTCGAAAGAGCATTATGGATTTCTTCAAAAATGACACGGCGTATACGACCTGGGGTTATTTATTTAACCCTGACAAGGATTGGGATAAGCACCCGATACCAAATACGATACGCCCGCTTTATTTGGCATCCTTAAAGGGTCTTAATACCGCTGTGCAGATGCTGCTCAAGAAGGGCGCCGATGTGAATGCACAGGGCGGCAAGTACGGCAACGCGCTGCACGCCGCCTCTGCTGGAGGCTACGATAAGATCGCTTGGATACTGCTCGAGAAGGGCGCCGATGTGAATGCACAGGGCGGCGGGTACGGCAACGCGCTACAGGCCACCTCTATTGGAGGCTACGATAAGGTCGTCCAGATGCTACTCGAGAAGGGTGCCGATGTGAATGCACAGGGCGGCGGGTACGGTAATGCGCTACAGACCGCCTCTTCTAGAGGCTACGATAAGATCGTCCAGATACTGTTTGAGAAGGGCGCCGATATGAATGCACAGGGCGGCGGGTACGGTAACGCGCTACAGGCCGCCTCTACTAGAGGCTACGATAAGGTCGTCCAGATACTGCTCGAGAAAGGCGCCAATATGAATACACAGGGCGGCAAGTACGGCAACGCCCTACAGGCCGCCTCTACTAGAGGCTACGATAAGATCGTCCAGATACTACTCGAGAAGGGCGCCGATGTGAATACACAGGGCGGCTGGTACGGCAACGCGCTACAGGCCGCCTCTACTGGAGGCCACGACATGGTCGTCCAGATAATGCTCGAGACGGGCGCCGATATGAATATACAGGACAGCTGGTACGGCAACGCGCTGCATGCCGCCTCCGACGTTTAATCCATTTCAAATCTCTCTTCACCTTCTCTATGTTTCTTCTTCTAGCGTGACACCAGAAGGGACTGGGAGGATGGGTGAATTTATGGGAATTTCATATCGTTCTAGCACATTTTATGGACGTAGAGGTGATCATTTACTTCGTGAAGGCAAGGCCCTTATATCAGGGATTCTTCGAATTAGGTAAAACAAATTATACATAATATTTGCTGAATGAGGACACGTGTCCTCTGTGACTCATCTTTCCCCGAGGACAAACAATCGCCACTCGTAGCAGCACCCGTCTTCCCTTTAGCATTGGCGAGATCGAGTTTGACAAATGGATCATGAGCGGCTAGCAGGTAAGTGGGGGACAAAAAAAAGCCGGACTGCAAAGTCCACGTCATGGGCACCGCCCAGCACCTCAATCTACCAACCACCATAGCTTCTTCATTTCAAGGCCAAATCAATTGGTTAATATATCATTTTGAAGCCGTTGAGATGAACTTCCAATACCATAATATGCTGAAGAAATCCTTAGTTCAGGGCGCATACGATTTTGCCCGATACTAAGAGCTCCATTATGGTGCGCCATAGTACAAAAATGACATTTTCCGGGCGGCTAGGGTCTCGAAAAGCCAGGGATACAAAATGCTTGGCGATTATGAACGCACTTTTCACAGCAACCCTTTCGTTCATGAGATCCGTGGCCGGAAGAAGAAGCTTACCGATGATAACCTCGACAAGATAGAAAAAACGCTGTGGGAGAATGTCCTTAAGGGAAGAATGCTATCCTATCAAGGGCTCCTTTTGGAATCAGGGGTTGATGCCGAGGTCTGTGGCCGTACGATTCGGCGGGCGTTACACCACCGGGACTAGCGACGATGTATTGCATGCCAGAGGTCATTTCTAAGCAAGGAACTCGCTGAATGGCGAGTCGAAGAAGCCAGGAAGCCCCTCGAATTCAGACCCTATAAGGAAGACTGACGAGATATGTACTTCAGTGACGAATTCCGCGTCAGTTCAGGTATTTTAGGGAAAGTCTGGATACTCCGTAAGCTAGGGGAACGGTACTGCCGTGACTGCATCGTCGAATAGCCAGGTAAAGAGCCTGAGAAACACACAGCCCACTCCTGGGCTGTAGTTGGCTATGACTTCGAATCTAAGCTCTAAAACTACGAGATCCCTTCAAACAGCAATGGAAAGATGACAAACCAATTCTATCGTGACGGTATAGTCGACCCTGTCGTCAAACCATGGCTCGAAGAAGGAAGGAACTTTATCCTTGAAGAAGATGGCGGTTCAGGGCATGGCCCTTCGAAAAAGAACATCATCAGAGACTGGAAGGAAAAGCATGGTCTTCGCCAGAGTTTCATCTGCCCTAGAAGCCCTGATTGATTGCCTATGGTGAAGGCGTGGCAGGCTCTAAAGAGCTGTGTAAAAGATATGTTGTGTTTGACCGAATGAGATTTGTTGGAGGCTTGTGGAGAGGGATGGCAAACCCTGGAGCAGTCAACTATCAATGGCTGGATTGATTGCATCCCTGAAATCGTGCAAAGCACCATAGACTCGGAAGGCAATATGAGCGGGGTTGAAGAGCTTCATTTTAGTGCAAGTACTATAGCAATTGAGCTGCATTTGGCCCTAATGTGGTGATTTTTATGGTGATGGGTGCCGGAAGGAGCCGCATCTAAGCCACATATGGGCGCAGGTGGCGCACATGCTAGACCACTTACAACCTAGGCTGTGTCAGCCGAATGCCGCATAACTACGGTATCTAGGCTATGCCCACCTTTCTGAACCTTCCGAATACAAGCACTTTTTTGCCCTCAATTAATGCAGCGTTGTATGTGACAATGGGTGGCCTTTGCGGTCCGGCTTTTTTTGTCCCCCACTTGGCAGGCCACACTTCTATCTATGACGGAGAAACTAACATTGAGGAGCGTGGCAATACACAGATCGGCAAGCTCGAGGCGGAGGTAGGCGTGGTGGTGTAGCTAACTGTGCGTGTCACGGTCGGCACCAGACCCTTTGGTCCAGGCCCCTAGCCTGCAGCCGCACCCTTCCAAATCGGGACTAGCGTATTATCCCCTCACCACCACAAAACCGTCGCCTCCAGGACTCGCAGGCTTCTTTCTTTCCCTTTTCCTTTCTTTAGCTTAGTATCCTTACTTGCAGCCTTGCCTCTCATACTTGCCTGCCTTCACATCTCAGTTCTATTCGTAGTCCAAATTTAGGGCCGAGCTCTTGTTTAGCAGTCTTTAATATTGAACCTCGGACGCGTTCGTCGACCTCGGAGCCTTGGAACCTGAAGTATTGTACCGACAGATCTTGAAGACATCTGCGGGGTATCGCCAGGCTTTTGATTCCTGCTCCTTTTCTGCGCATAAACTAGCGAGCAAATATATCAGTAATGCCCTTCTCATTCCAACAAAGTGCTCGGAGAAGGTATTTCTACCCACGACCTTGGGGGTCCTGGAAGAACTCGCAAAAGCTGTGCCATCGTTCTTCCGTATGAACGAGGTTGACTATCGTGTTATCGGCACGATCAGGTGTCAGCGGGCGTCGCTCATTGCCACGATTATCAATATTGTGAAGCTCAACGGATGTCAATAGCACCGTAGCCGGGGTTGGCTACGTGACGAGCTAGGCCCGCGCTCGTTCCGCTGCAGTGTCCATTTTGGTTTGGCTAGCCACACTATATACAACAACACTGTATAATCTGTTAACAGCCATACTAAGTTCGATCGAAGTCGCTTACCGAAAAGCTGCCGCTGATTATACGCGAATGGTGCCGAAAGGCTATCCGTGATGAAAATGCCAGAGGGTGCAGGCATGCCAACTTTTAAGCCAGGCTCGTGCCCTTCATCGCCGCAGGTGTGAACCGCCATAAGCTCGGCTTCCCGCTAACCTGAAGATTAGAGTGTGCAGTGCTTGCGTGTGCGCGAGGGGTTTAGTGCTGTGTGGGTACTGTTAACTCCGAGAGGACATGTGCCCCGCCCGACGTGCACTTATTGAGGCAGCCTAGACTGCTGAAGCTTGAGGCCACGCGCCCGCCAAACAGCAGCCCAGACTGCGGCACATGTGGTCTGTGTGGAGAAGCAGTGCTGGGCGCATCTCCTCACCTACTTCTGGACTTCATACCGCTTCGCAAGCTCGCTTTTGCCGTTTGCCTGCATTAGGCAATTGCGTCCCGCCTATTCCTTACAATGCGTCCCCCCATTTCAACGATCCTCTGTGTCCCAGACGAGCTCCTGGCGCAGATCCTCGAGCTGGTACTCGCCTACCCCACCCGGTTCTGGTGGGCCCCAGATTTCGACAAGTTTTTTAGGACCTCGGTTTCGGTCATGCTTGTCTGCCGTCGCTTTCGGCGCCTGGCCACCCCGTACCTCTATAGTCATGTCGAAGTTGCCGCTGGATCGGTGGGCCCCAACTTTCCCGCTGCGTCGCCGAGAGCCACTAGGCACTTGCATCGAACATTTAGTCAGGATCCGTCGCTCCGGCGTTACTGTCGGACTCTACATGTTCATTTTGCAGCCTCTGATAGCGAGGCCCCATGGCGGATTGTGGACGACCTTGCCGCCTGGCTCGTAGGGACCCGGCATTTACTCATCGACGGAGCCTTCGCTCCTGGGGACTGGGACGATAGACCCTTCAGCATCCGGCGCACAGTGCGGTCTGGACACAATCTCAAGAGAACTTGGGATTTCATCCATGCTGCATTTCGTAACATGGCATCCTTGGAGGAAGTATCAATACGGACGGGAAACGGCCTGCTCTCCCTGTGGACCATCATCCATAATCTTCGCCATGCAGTTCGCCTGCGGGTTGTGAGCCTTACCGGCGTCTCATGTACCGGGAGCACTCTGCCTGATAACGCATTCCAGGTATTTATTTACATCAAGACTTATAAATCCCTTCTCTATTCGGGATAGCGGCTAATTCTAGGCCCGCTACGTCAGATACGGTCTGCATTAATAACCTCGCTGAGATTGAGTAACTTCCAAGACAGCCCGGAAAACCTCCGACGTCTTCTGCTCTTCCCCGCCAAGCTCGAGGAGTTCAGCTTCGCCTCCTTCCGACTAGGCAGAACCGGGCCGTGGAACCTGTCAGTCGTGGCTGGCGCGCTCTCCCCGCACAAGTCAACTCTCCGAAGTCTTCTTGTCGGCTCACTTGGCCAAAAAAGTGGCAGCCTAACAGGGTTTGACTTGAGCGAGTTCACCAGGCTGGAGGAGCTCGGCCTCTCATACTGGGCGACAGGCTCTGAAGCTGGAACCGAGGCTCAACTTCTCGCACCGAGCCTTCGAGCATTTTCCTGGTCATTCCACGTGGAGGACCAACATAGCGAGAGCTATTTCGACTTCCAAGAGCCGCAGGAAAAGTGGCTCCGTACACTCGTCCACGCTGCTGTTGAAGAGCGGGTGCCGCTTCGCAAGCTCCAAATTACCTTCGTGCCTAGCGACTATGGCAAGCCTGGCGAGGCCCGGCCGAAGGAGTGGCCGTGGGACTGCATGGATCGTGTTGTCGGCAAGGAGATGCGAGATTTGGGCGTGACCTTATCGCACGGTGAACCAACCATTTCCCGAAGAGACTTCCTAGAAAGGGGCGTGGAAGTAGAGGAGTAGAAGGAGGGAATGGATTGAATATCCCGGTCGGCCCCTCAAGACTAGCGCCAAATCTTCATCACAAGATCCGCCGGCGGCATTATGATATTAAGCAAGGCCTGCCTCCCGACAGGCTTCCCAGCAAGCTCAACATCGTAGACCCGTCTGCGGCCCCAAGCTGCACCGGGCTTCGTCAACTCGGGCACCATACAGGCGGGTTCATCAAGTCCCCTAGGCTCGTTCTCTTCATCTCACCCTAAAATCGTCTTCGTCGGCAGCAAGGTGAACGGTGCCAACGCCCCGTCCGAAGAGACTACTCGCCATTTCTTCCGGCTAGCTCTGAGCCACGTGCTCAACCACGGTCATCTTGGACAGCAGGCCCATCCCTTCCAACTCTGCCCTTGCCCAGATGACAGCCCAGGCACTGGCAATTTACATCAGCAGTACAAGCGTCCGGGCCGCCGAGGAGACGCAGGAGTTGCAGGAGTGCCAGAAGTGTGTATTCTGTCCCGCGTCTTGCTTTCCTCCATGGTTGTGTAGTTGTGGCAGATACAGAACACCTATTCTAGCATCCTTGTGGTCTTTGCCACCCAGCAGCATCTCCGGTTCTTCGACTTCAAGACCTCGAGTTCTTATATCGATTCATTTGCGGCCTAGAGACCGGAGGTGACAGTGCGGTCGGGGAGGGAAACTGCCTTGTGGTAACGCGCACCTTGTCGCTCGACCTTGACGAGCACACTCACAGGCAGTATTTCGTGTGGAATATGTCGGCTATGGCCAAGCCTGCATTGGCCACGATGTCGTGAGTTCGGCGTGCGAAAATTTCTTAACCTCACATGCAGCTTGGATATCACCATGTCGAGATTAAAAGGAATCAGACCGCCACCCTTGAGCCCTTCCTTGATACTTCTCCGTATCACGGTGAGGTTGACGTGCTTCTCAGAATGTCTAAACCATATCATCCATCCCAGCCAGACTTACGGGTCTCGGGTCCACGGCCGATAGTCACACACCCTTGGATGCCGCGCGCGGGGGTAAGTAATTACCCTGGCAATAGGATGGGTATATTTATATGCATAGGGCTTCGGGCTTCACCCCGCGTGGCGCTTTAGCCGAACGATTTGTGGTGTCTGAGGGCGACGAACCCTGTGTTCAGCTCCTAAAGCAAGAGCCAGAAGCGCCATCTGCAGTGTGTTTTCACGAGAACAGCCCGCTGTGGTTAAGAGACCTGGAGGCAACCGACCCGGCGTTGGCCCAGCGGTGGAAACATTGGTCCAGGGCAATGGCAGCATCACCAAGGTTGCTGAGGAGGCGCCATAGCGGTGCCGCGTACGGTTCATATGGGATGATCTTGTGCCAGATAATCAAGGATTCTGGTGTGACGGGTGGGGTTCGGGCAATCCTTCGGAGAAGATAGGGGAAGCCGAGCTGGCGAGGAAAGTGCGAGAAATGTGGCCTTCGGGAAAAGTTGAATTCTCATTGACTGATTTGCCCTGAGTTTTCCCTGATTCTTCCCTAAGCTGGGGTGAACCCATACGCGGCAGCTGCACAGCCGCCCCAGAGGCCCGTTTTCTGTCCGCTCGGCTAAAATTGCGTCCTGAGGAAGCCCAAACACCATCAATGAATAAGCATCTCGCTGCCGCCGAGACCTTTTATATCCGTCTAAGCGATATTGCGACCCACAGCACGCCTATGGCATCGTTCTATGATTGAAATTTGTCTGAACTCCTCTCAACCTACAAGTTGTGGCCGGTGCTGAAGGGCGAGAGTAGGATACGGACAGCTTAGAGATCCTGCGGGAACTTGAAATGTGATTGGTGGAGGAGTAGTCATGCGCGTAATTGTGCACGGAGCGGAGAGTAGATGCGGCGTGAGATGTCCAGGCAGGATGCAACTGACCGACCTAGGTCTGCTTGGCCCTTTGCTCTGTGGTTTGTTCAGGGCTTAACTCAACCCCGGCCCCGGCCGGATTACATCTTCTACATCGGATCCGGGGACTAGGAAATGCGAAGTCCCCGCCCCTAGCTACTTCCAGGAGGTAGGTACCCAATCAACCGCAAGCAATTAGCAAGAATCACTTCGGATACAACATTAGCCAGCATAAAAACGAAGACGCTTGCGCGGCTATATGCACACTTCGACGTCAATCTGCCGCCCCAATGTCGAAACGAGTTTGGCTTCCCGAGTAGCCATATAAGTTAGAGCTGGTTTCGTGAATTGCCCCAATCCAGGGCAGGTCAAACCTTTGCATCGTTCGCCTTGACCATGAGGCTTGCAGCGTTCTTTTCTGTGGCGGTAGCCGTTGCGGCCATCAACACAACCCAGGACCCTTTTGAGCAATGGCGTGGGCCCGAGGCAGGCCATGGTATGTCAAACGGTCTTTCCCAGCGCCAATCTCCAGCACTTAACTCACACCACGAAAGTCCGTGGGCCATGCCCATTCCTCAACACCTTTGCGAACCACGGCTTCTTACCTCGTTCCGGCAAATACATTACCCAAAAAGACCTGGCTGACGGTCTCTTCAACGCCGTCCATTTCGATGCGAACATCTCACATTTTCTGTTCGGTTTTGCTGTCGGGACGAATCCAGAGCCCAATTCCACCTGGTTCTCGCTTGACCACCTGAGCCGTCATAATGTGCTAGAGCACGATGCCAGTCTCTCGTATGTCTAATCTCCCCCTCCCACCCCGCCATTTAGCCAAGGGAGCCTCTCTCACATGCATATTGACAGCCGCGTCGATGCCTACGTGGGACACGCCGATGTCTTCAACCAGCAAGCCTTTGATGAGACGCGGTCGTACTGGGGCGACGTGGTCAATGTCGAAAGCGGCACTGCTTCCATCATCTCCCGCATGAGGACGTGCAAGGCGGCTAATCCAAAATACTCGCTGTCCGAACTTGGTGAGGGGTTCATTCTAGGAGAGACAGCTGCCTTTATCTCTATTCTTGGAGACGCACAATCTATTACCGTGGACAAGAAGCTTGTGGAATACCTGTTTCGTACGTCGTTTGGGTATTCCTACACTAGTGCTTCTCGGCTAACCCCTTGTTAGAAAACGAACGTTTACCTACCAAGCTAGGCTGGAAGAGATCTAGCACGCCGTTCACTACCGACCTCCTGTTGGGAAACCTGGATAAAGTCCGTTTGGAATACAACAAGCAACTGAAATCAACATTGCAGAGAAAGCGAAGCGGGGGCTTTCACTTAAATGGTATGGTCCATCATTGGCGCTAAGCTAGTCACCACCTACTTTTTACGCCCAAGACAGGCCTAGTTGTTCAGCCAAGTTCCTCATTTGAATAGCAGCCCCGCCACTTGTAGCCAAGTGCACCCAGCCAGCTGTATGTAGCCAAGTGCACCAAGCCAAGTGCACACAACGAAGGCAAATGCAGCCACAATTGAAGCTATCGCCAACTACAGCGCCACAACAACTACGTCAATCCAACAGTCGATCACCACGCACTAACAACGCAGCTTTCGCTGCAAGTAAACTTCTTTCCTTTTCGCTTCAATCGACTGAGCTAGCCCCCTCCGAGGTGCTTTTTCAGAGGATCCTGTGTACAATATCCAGATGACCGCAATTAGAGAGCCATCACAAATCATCTGACCGCACCGACGGGCACGTAATCTTGTGTTCACGATGGCGCGCTTCCCCGCTTCTTGGGCTGACGAGTCCCCATAGACTACTCCTTCTCTGTTCCGTTAGAATCGTATCTGCCACGATACCGCATCTTGAGGAGCTCCCGACTGAGATTGTGGACGAAATGTGTGCCAAGTTGTGTGCAGTTGGTCAGCCAAGCTGGTTTGTGCGCCAGCTTGAGGATCCAGAAACGCATCTTGACACCCGCGACCTGGTGGTGCTCTGCAGCGTATCCAAATGCGGGGTAGGTCAACCGGCTCTGCAGAGTAGACTGTAGGAACGTGTGCACTACGGTCTAGTACAACAGTGCTCTGTGCTCTGTGTAGGGCACTGAGGGAAGCAGGCTGACTGCCACATGTTTGTAGAGCTCTGCTACAGGCCTGCCACTTATACTGTGAGGACTCTGCTCAGCAGTCTACATCATAGACTGCAGGGGACTCTGCCCTGCAGTCAGGGCTTTAGGAGGCAACAGAAGGCGCTGTAGCCTAGTTAACAATTTAGGTAGCCACGCCGCTGCCTTTTCCTTCTTATCCGAGTTCTAGCGCCTAGTTACCTTCTATCCTAGCTTCGGATACATTTTCTCCAAGAAATTCATAACGTATAACTGGAATCCTAGACTAGCGCATTCGAAACCACCCCGAGGGAGGAGTAGGATACGTGATATCGAATAGAACCCTATCCAACTCTGGGAATTGCCTCCTGCCAAGTTTCTCGGCCAGTATGCTATGAATTCTTACAATCACTCGTGTCATAATCTCAATCTTTTCTCCGTCGAAAATCTCGAACAGCGGGGCATGCGCGAGAGCCTTACGTCGTGGGGGGAAGGTCGAGGCAGATTCTGTCTGAGGCACGGGTGCATTCTTCTGCCTGAGGCACAAGTGCATTGGGACAGAGTTCCCCTCTACTCCGTGCAGGCAGTGTCTTTTCCCTACCTAGGCAGTAAAATCAACTTTCTTTTTCCCAGTCGCGCGGGAAAATCCTAGCACCAAAATAAGTGCCCAACGTGTTTTCATTCGACATGATGCCAATACAGCAAGTGGATCCCCGTAGATAGCATGCTTAAGTTTGCAGCAGCCGGAGGGAACGAGGAGGAGAGCGAGGAAGGGAGATGGTATGCCCAAGCCTGCAGCGACCAGAGGGAACTAGGAAGCGAAGACGACGTGTCTGCAGACGAGGCGGTGCCGTGTGTCTTATCGAGTCCGTACGGGGACTTCTTTTGGGCTGGACCGATTCTGGTTCCATCAGGTAGAGTTGAAGCAACTCTACCTATTGCTGTATGGCCCTTGTCCAAAGTGATGGCCAGGGTAAACACTTCCTCATTCCGCCGCATTTCCCCATTCTGCCAATGGCTTCGAACCAGGCCGGGATCCATAGTGCGGACCGAGTCCATGCACTTAGAACTCAGTGCAAACTCTGGTCGTTCTCAGGTTCAAGGGCGTGCTTTACGGAGGAGATTATACATGAATCAGGTGTGGTGGAGGTGAATGCCGGGTTTAAAAAGTTCGTTCTCGGCTGTGATTTCATGATTAATAGCACGATATAAAAGACAAGGCTCACAATTCTGTTGGGTCACTGCAAAATGCCTAAGCTAGAAAGAGCCGAGCTAGCTTCTACCCTCCAAGAATCTCCAATTCCCTTTACTAGACTCGCTGCACAGCCCCAACCCGCTATCCTATCAGGACCGGACGGCCAGAAGGGGCGGCCGATTGCTCTCGAGTGCAGTTGCTCGCCTTGAGCCGCTAGTATTGCAGCATGACTCGGTGAGCATAAGTGCCTGCCATGCAATGCTGCTGCATTTGCATCGTCACCTTCCCACGGAAATGCGCTGGTATGAGGTGACCGATTCAACATCTGCACTTTACATGCAAGGAATAAGAGCTCGGGCGTCAAATCGCATTCAAGAGGTTTGGAAAGTGCATTCTTATAAGTAAATCTAATAGTTGGAACCCATCATTGTTAATCTTCACCGGACTACCAGTCTTAGTCCGGCCGCTAAGCAGTACAATCCACACCCCCGGCAGTGTGGGCGTCGGCAACTAACCGTCTGCTTCCTTTTATCAAAACACCTTTACCAAAACACCTAATCGCGTAGCACCCGAGAGGCTGTCGAATATCCATACCGTGGCTACGCGTCCACGGCGCCCCAGCATGGCAAATTCTCCTAAACGCCTGAAAGTTTCAGTCGTACCCCGACGAAGATGTCGAACATGGCGATCCCGGAAAAGATCAGAGACACCTTCAAGACCCGCCAATGGCTGCTAGGTCTTCTGAAAGAGAATAGAAATGGCCAAAGGGTTATAGCCCCGCGACCGAAAGGCAAGCCAAAGAGCTCGTTGCTCTCTGTGACCAACTTCCCTGCCGATACGGTACAGCTCGTCCCTCCACCTGTTCGATTCGACCCAGAAGCGTAGCAGTTCTGTATGTCACAGCGCTGGACCGATATATGCGACAGGCTCGGTCGAGAAGAAAGCGCGTGGGGGGTACTGGATGCCCCAGCAGACCCCAACGTGCGCCTAGTACCCCTCATCCGACTACTACATATAGTTGGAGCGCTAACTGACCAGAACGCAATTGAAATCTATGCTGTGATTGGGGCATACGTAAGAAGGAAGGAGGCTTCCATAGCCCGTTTGAGGACTATGCGGAGCAATGCACGGGCAGGGAGATAGAGAATGAGCTAGAGAAAGACCTCCGCGGCCTAGCCGCGGCACCACAATCACTCAAAGGCGACGTACCGGCTATCAAGGCGGTTATTCTTCTAACCGCCGCCAAATATTTTGATCCTTTTAAATGGGACGAGAAAAATCAAATGGACACATACACAAGCCCAAGGCTAGAACCCGAGACCTCTGCCGACGATGACCTTGGCGGAGAAGAACAATAGGAGACAGGAAAATGGGCTCTTTCATTTATTGACCGCGTGTGATGTGTGGCCGTAGGGCGTTCGGAAGAAAGATTTACGTCTACCAACGAAGGGCTCAGCGCTAGAACAACAATAGGAGGGACAACAATAGGAGGGACAACAATAGGAGATAGAACAATAAGGCGTATTTGCTAATTAACCACGTGTAGCATATATAACCACGGATGCTTTCAGAAGAAAGATCTAGGTCTGGTTGCTTAAATAGCCAGGAGTCTTCTACACCACCACAAGAGATGGAATATAATGGCGTTCTTGCTTTTTAACCACACGTGGCATAATTGCAGCCATGGAGGCGTTGGGAAGAAAAATGATTCGTCTACACGCTTGGAATGACTTCCACAGCCTCATTTAATAACGATGCAGGGCCTAGACTATACAACAGACCTGTTCGGAAGGAGGATTTCATCACGTCTGCTCCCTTGAGTAGCCAGGTGTCCTCTTCACCAGTCACCACCTCAACCTCACACAACTTCTTTCACATTCCCGTTCGACAACGGACCTGGACCTGGACTCGACAGCAAACGCATTAGAAACGAATCCAACCACACCGCCGACAAAGATCACAGCCAACATGGCCATGGCACACAATGGCACACCTCTCTCCCAGAGCTCGAACCCATTAGGCCCCGTCTGGTCGTCGTTTGACAGCATGGACGACGACGCCAAATCTCTAGCGGACGACCTCATCGACCTTCTCGGCCGCGTCAACAAGACCCACCAAATCGTCGACGCAGACGTCCGCAGGCGATTCTGGGACAAGTTCTGCTTCGGGTGTAGTTGGGACACCAGCCGCAGCAACCCCGAGCCCGGCACTCTTCACAACAGCCGACGTGCCTCCGCGGCCACCTCTGCGACCATGACCCTCGACGAGGAACCCCCCTATCGTCGGTAGCTACAACGCTTATGATAACGATAATTCCCACACTAATGTTGCGCAGACCAAGGCCGAGGCCGTGACGCGCTTCGATGAGGCCGAGCGCGCCCGCGTCCAGAGCCACAACCTCGGCTGGGTCGTCTACTGGGCTCGCGGCCGCCTGCTCCGCTGGACGGCCCACTCCCGCCCCCCTAAGCTTGGTTACGGGGCGGGTGGTGGTTCTAGCATGGTTGTGGGGGGTGATGGGATTGTGCTCGAGCAGGCGCTGCGCGAGGACCACGGCGTGCTGTGGACGCTGCGGGGCTGCAGGGATGTGTTGGATGACTTGAGGAAGCTTGCTGAAGAGGTTGACGCCGTTGTGGCTAGCCGGGATTGCTGTGGCGAGATGCGGATTTGAGCGTGCGGGCGGAGGACGTGGGTTTGCAGGGGTGAGAGGGGGAGAGGGAGGGTGAGACGAAGGAGGTTATTATTTGGATGAAGTTAGATCTGGGATATTTGAGAATAGGGCTATTTTCTTGCGAGTCTACTCCGAATAACGGCTTTTCTGAGAAATCTGGCTGCTTATTTCAGCTGCCCTGATGCCTGCCTGAGCTGTTCGTCCACATCAACGCTGTCTAGAGGGCAGAAGCCATGATAAACAGCAACCTACAGTTACCATGATCCATATGAGAACACGTAAAATATATCTCGTTCCCTGTATCATTGATATTACGAATACAATCTCCAGTCATTATGAAAACCTTCTCCAACCTAGCCAATCAACACACAAGCCAAGTACCCAGATATCCGGCCACTTACGTCGCGGCAGTTCCCCCCTCCCCACCCCGTAACATTAGTTTAACTCATCCGCCCCATCACGGAACGATGCAGCAGCACGCCTTCTTGAGCGGGTTCCATCCACACCCGTCGCGCGTCATGTGCGAGAAGCCGCGATCGTCGCACCAGGACTCACACTTGCCGCTCCAGCCCATGCCGCAGTCGCTTTTGTCGAAGCAGTTGTCGGCGGCAGCGGCCCTGCCTGAGAGGGCCCGGACCACGCCGATGTCGTTAGGTGCTGGGGCCGCGCGGGCCGCAGTGGCGGCGGCGGCAAGGCCGAGGGTGAAGGTAGCGAGTTTCATGCTGATTGGCACCGCGAGGAGTTTGAGTTAAACTTTGAGTTTGTTTGGTGGTGTTTTTGCTGTTTGGGGCTGGTGTGGATGGTAAGAGAGGAGAGGCTGTTGCTTGCTCTTTGCATGACAAGGGGACCACGAGAACACAGGGAAGTATGTCACATATTTATACTAAAATCTAACCAGACTTCAGACTCGCTCAGCGGTCTAGGACATGATCAAGATTTCTTCTGCTACGCGGCCAAAAGACACCCCGATGGCAAATATCCTTATGGCCTTGAGCCTTGCTGTTAGGGCTAAGTCGAAGCTTCTCCTTTCGCGATTAATTACCGATAAATTGCATTTCAATACTCGACAACGTTGACTCTAATAATTCATTAGTCTCGTCTATTCAAAGATGAATACTTCGACGCAGCAACAGGGTAAAGATCCCCCGCCGTGGAACGTTGTACGTGTGCTAGGCCCAGGCCTAGCCCGGGGCACTGGTTGGCCCCTGCAGATCCAGCCTATCCCCCGCACATAGATTCTCCGCCCACGCGTAGATAGCTTAGCTTCCATAGAAAGCAATATACACACATACATTCCCTACGTGCCCTCGCACAGTACGCATATAAATGGCGGGGATATATTGCTTACGCCTAGAACCGATGCATCCTAATTTCAATCCCATCACAGGTAAACCTGTATCAACGACCGGCACTCCAACAGTGTAGTCTTGGTCCCAGTTGGAAAATTACTGTTCCATTTTGCCAGATTGCTTACGCCCCGAATCCTTGGCCTCGTCTCCCCCAGCAGGGCTGTGCAACCGGGGTTTCGTGGTCTACCGCAGGGGCGGTATATTAATTAGGGGGCTGCGCAGAGCTTTCAGCTCTCCCCGGCAAATCTACCGCCACGTAATAGGCTACGATGGTTAGCTGTAACTCTGCGTCGGTTATGTTGCCGCCCTGATTACTTCTCGGTCTGGTATTCCCAAGCCCCTTGCTCACCGGCACCATTGGATACATGTCATTGCTAAACCTATACGTCTCGCCGCCATCGCCCCGGCATTTTATTGTATTTGTTGTTGAGCCCGCTTAGCGACGAATGGTCGAGCTCTAACTTCGAGTAAACTTGCCCAGGCCCATGTATGTGGCAGACTGTTGTCCTTTCTTCCTGTTCCGCGAAAAAAAAAAAATTGGAGTCTCGTGATCCTCGGTTCTTTAATTAGACAGAGTTCTACCCATGAGCAAATACCGGGGAGGCTATGTTGCTCAGCCGTTGTTCAGAGTATAGGACTCGCCTATACCTGAGGTAGTCGAAACCTAAGCCGGCGTCACTTCTGGTCATGAGCTCGGCTCAGGTGTCTTGTGAATATTCATGGTCTTATGTAAGAAGCGAAGTGGTTGTGAGAGTCTTTCCTTTCTCGGCCGCTGTATGCAGTAGCTGTCCGGAAATCCGATTACATGTTTTCGACTATATTTTCGCTCCGTTCAGAGTTCTGGCATAAACCGTTACCGCAAGAATTACCGGCACGACAAATGAATAATAACTGGAATCAAATCATATACAATATTTAACTGCCGGCTGCGATAGGTGCCCCTAATGCCGTGCGTTTGACGCACCTCGTATGCATTCATCAATGGACCTAATTAGTGCCCGACATAGTCAATGTTCCCTATCCCCGTGGGCAGCCATGATTAGCATAGCACCCATTAACTCCGCCCTTAAAAACAGCCCGGCCACCCATCTATCCTGGTCATCGTACATCCAAGTATTCATAGTCTTTTTTGTTCCGTCCCCGTGAGCACAACTTCTCCCGGTCTAGTACGGGCTCTTGGCGGTTTGTGTCAAGTATTCGGCCTGGTCGGCGAGGACTCGCCAGTCATCGGCCGCTGGGGAGCAAGGCCACCCGAGTGATTCGGCCCCTCTGACGACTGATACGAGGCCGTGTCGTCGGTATCGGCTACGAAGGGGTTCAGATACCCCCTTGGCGCAGCTGCTGTGGGCTTCGTCGGTGTTCTTCCATCGGTTCTAGTCGACTCGTCGAGCGACCGCTTCGGTGGATCGGCGCGAGCCTTGGATCGCGAGGATGGCGCAACCTCCACGCCGTAATCTTCCATGCGGAAGCGGTCTTGGCTGTCCTCCTTCGCGTCGCGCTTCTTCCGCCTTAGATGGAGAAACAGCAACACGGAGAGGGTGGATACGACAAAAACGCCGCTGCCATGCCCCGATCGGTTAGCAAGGCGCATAAGCTGGACTCGGCCCATGCATGCATCGGACTGGGGAGTCTCGTGCTTGTTGGACAGAGTGTGGCGGGCACATTAAACTTACACCACAGTGCCGACAATCGCCCAAGTAGTTCCTTGCGACGCCGAGGCGGATTTCTCGCAGGGGTTCCCGCCATCTACCGGGTGGCATTCGTCGTCGCGCGCAGCGAGGAGAGTCCGAAGCATGCTTGCTGCCCGCGCCACTACTGCGCGCCGAGAGCTTGGCGGCGGCGACTGGGACGACGGCGCGAATGCCAAGTCTCGTTGTGACTGCAGGAGTGGCGCCATTGCAGCGAGACTGGGAGAAGATTTGCTCTTCGGGGACCGTCGAATTGAAGGAGAATGGGAAAAAACCCGCTGCCCGGGGCTTTGTGGTTGTCCTCGCCAAGTTGTATCTCTCACTCCCGCGCTACGGACTTGCCTGGGCTGCTAGGCAGTTTCCGGATCGCTGCAGAAAGAGTGCCAGAGGCGCTAATAAATTTGGCTCTTCCCCTTAGTCCCAAAGCTCGAAATCCAAAAAGAAAAAGATCGAGTGCGGATGCTGCGTAATAAAGGGAAGACCCAAAAAAGCTTGCGCTGGAGTTCGATGCGCAGATGCGTTGGTATTGCGTATTCGCGTGCAATAGCGGCTTCAGGTGCGCCCCTTCGCCGCGGCCTAGGCTCGTCGGGTGGTCAAATGATGGTCGGTTTCTTGCCGGAAGGTATGCTGCAAAGCTGTCCGTTCTTCCTTCAGGTTGGGTTTCTTCCGCCGGTCGTTCTCGGGCTTTGCGACGCAAGTACGATGTAGAAGAAGGAAGTCGATGCCTTGGAATTCTTGGAAGTCGATCGGCAGGTGACGTCGCGCCGGGGGGTTCGTTCCCTCAGTGTCAAGGGATAATTGCAATATGGAGCGTGAAACGTGATTGGTGACTAAAGCGGCCAACTGAGGCCCAATCCAGACGCCATCCGTCAACGTTCATGCTCTCATTGGCCGGGATCGGCTCGATCCGATGTCTGGCATGTGTGGGGTGGAGGCCAAGTGGGGTTTATGCAAGGGCACAAAGGTGGCTGTTTTTGTGCCCGAGGACAGGCTAGCACGTGGCTGGCATGGAAGGTCTCGAACTTCGTCGGAGCAAAAAGGGACCATCTGACTCTTGGAAATAGCATTGTCTAAGTGTCTAGGTATCCAAGATTGCTAGCATGTTTGAACCCCGCATTCGCCATTGCCATGTATCTCCTACGTTGTGTAATTGTCTTCCACATTCGAAGCTTCACGTTGTTTCTGATGTTTTCACATCGGAGGGGGAAGATTCACGAAGAACCGTTAGAACGAGGATGAGAAAAAGGGGCGAGAGCTATGGGGCGTGTTGGAACAGTTGTACATACAAGTCCAGCAGACATTTAAAATCGCCCCAAATCCACTGATGGCTCACGCACGCTGTGTTACCTTGGATATTTCAGCGCAGATACTTCGTCGACCGAATTGGTGCATAGGCGAAATAGTTTCCGTCTTATCGGGTTTGCATGCTACCAGAAGCCGCGCACAACAAATCACTGGTAGCTATTCGTCTGGTTGCACGAGGGGTCGATGGCTAGTAGCATGCGGCAATTTTATAGCTGTACGGGCTTCGTCTGGAGGGTGACCACGCCTTCCTTGTAATGATGCTCGTCAGGATTCTTGTGGTCTGCAGCGCCGCTGGCTGCTTGCAGATATCGTGCCTGCACTTTGATATGGGCATGTCATGAATCTCAAAACACGCAGCATTGCATCGCGAATTTGGCGTGAGCGTTGGTCCACTGCTAAAATGGCACCGAACAGAGATTAGGGCCCGCGTCAATGGGGCGCGATAAATCAGGAGAAGCACGTAGACGAGAGGCTCCTCAAAGTCGAGCCAAGACGACACTTGTAACCCAGAGCCTTGCTCACGGCTGCAGAGGTGTGAAAGGCGGGCGAAAGACGCGGGGCAGCTCCGACTTTTCTCCCCCCCCAAAAGCGCCCCAGCTTTTCGCAGCTTGGCGGGGTCGTGACCGGCAGACAGCTGCCAAACCATCAAAGGTCCGTGCATCGCCGAGCCAACGATTGTCAAATTTCCACGCATGTTTTTCCCTCGTGCGGCCGAAGCGATCATCTGATCTGTTCATTGGACAGAGACTTTGCATCTGCCTCCAATTCAGCACGACCTTATCCAACAAAACCTGCCGACTGCACAGGGACGGACGTCGTTGCAATAAAGTCTCGTTCAACCCAACTCACGATTCTCGCAATCTGCATCTGATTCCGAACGCAGCACCCAAGAATGTCGGCTAATCCAGGAACCGTGCGAGGCACGCCTGGTCGTGGCCAGGGCCGCGGCGCCATCCCCTTCACCAACAGCCCGTCTGCCTCGGCAATCCCCAGACCGGTTCTCGAGACTACCCATACGTCAGCCGCCAGCGATGCGGGCGCCGCCGCCGCGTCGTCGCTCAGCGCCAGCAGGCAAAAACAGACCAAGAGAGATGAGGTGCGTTGCTTGTGGATGGACACTCGTTCTGCCCCGAACCCGGCCCCTTATCGCGGCCTCTGTTTTGTGCATCGGGGAGCCGTCGGTCCAACATGGGATTCTACGTTATCGGCGAGATGTCCCGAATTGAAGACAGCATGGACTAACTGTGCACTGCTAGGCAATCCGTCGGAAAATGGAGAACGATCTCTCCAAGAAGAAGCACTTGACGAGCCGTGCCCGACACTCTCGCAAAGCCCCTCCTGGCACCGTCTTGGCCCTGAAGCCGAGCCCTGCCCTCCAGATAAAGCCCGCGACCACGGTCGCCGAGGCCGCCCAGCTCATGGCCGCAAAACGCGAAGACTGCGTGCTGGTCACCGACGACGATGACAGGATTGCGGGAATTTTCACCGCCAAGGATCTGGCCTTCCGCGTTGTCGGGGCGGGGCTCAAGGCGAACAGCGTCACCATCGCCGAAATCATGACGAAGAACCCGCTATGTGCTAGAACCGACACGAGCGCCACCGACGCCCTGGATCTGATGGTGCGCAAGGGCTTCCGCCATCTGCCCGTCATGGACGAGAACCAGGACATCTCGGGTATTCTGGACATCACAAAGTGCTTCTACGACGCCATGGAGAAGCTGGAGCGCGCCTACGCGTCGTCTAGAAGGCTGTACGATGCACTCGAGGGCGTGCAGTCGGAGCTCGGTACCAGCCAGCCCCAGCAGATTATCCAGTACGTCGAGGCTCTGCGCTCCAAGATGTCGGGACCGACGCTCGAGTCGGTGTTGAACGGCATGCCCCCGACGACTGTCAGCGTGCGGACGTCGGTGAAGGAGGCGGCCCACATGATGAAGGAGAATCACACCACGGCAGTCTTGGTTCAGGATCAGGGATCTATTACGGGTATCTTCACCAGCAAGGACGTCGTTCTCCGTGTCATTGCGCCTGGGCTCGACCCGGCCACCTGCAGCGTTGTTCGGGTCATGACTCCCCATCCCGACTTTGCGCCCATAGACATGAGCATCCAGGCTGCGCTTCGGAAGATGCACGGTAAGCACAGCCCTTTCCCCGGTTTTAGGAAAGCACATGACTGACAGATGTCGGCAGATGGTCACTACCTCAACCTGCCCGTCATGAACGAGGGAGGCGAGATTGTCGGCATGGTCGACGTGCTGAAGCTTACATATGCCACTCTTGAGCAGATCAACACCATGGGCGGCAGCGACAGCGAAGGGCCGGCCTGGAATAAGTTCTGGCTCTCTCTGGACCACGAGACCGAGTCCATGGTCTCTGGCGATGGCTCGCACCAACATACGAACCCCGGCCCGCGGTCACTCATGTCGCCCGACATGTCGCGCGAGCGCATTACCGACAGCGTCGCGCCCGGCGACTCTGCCAGCCACGCCGGCGTTGACTCGCCCCCGCACAGCGCCCTCGGCATCACGCCGGAGCTGCCGCCCGGCGAGCTGCCCTTCACATTCAAGTTCAAGGCCCCTAGCGGCCGCGTCCATCGGATGCAGGTTACCGCTACGCACGGCATGGCCGAGTTCGTCGGCAGCGTGACCGCTAAGCTCGGCTCCGAGGTGGATGCGATCGGCGGCACGCCCGTCGTTGAGGACGGCAAGCTGTCTGGCGGCTATGCGCTCAGCTACCTCGACGACGAAGGCGACTCCGTGTCCATCACGACGGACCAGGACCTGCTGGAAGCGATCCTGCTCGCTCGCCACGGCCACCGCGATAAGGTCGATCTCTTCGTCCACGACCCCAAAGAGCCTCCTGTTCCCGCTGTGGTCCCGCCGATCTACGTTGCGCCGCCCGAGCCGATCGTGCTGCCCACGCCGCCTGCATCGTCGGTCATCCGCGAGCGCCGCAAGGTTATTGGTGACGACGAGGACGAAGACGGCGATGCCGAGGAAGAGGACGACGAGTCTCCTGCGCCCCGTGGCCGGCAGACACGCACGCGCACGGCGCCGCACCAGCCAGACCAGGTCATTGCCGGCGTGCCCAACGAGCTGCTGCTTCCAGGTGCAATTGTCACGCTAGCAATAGTGATTGCTGGCGTGTTTTCCATCTCGAGGCTGTCGAGCAGGTAGATGGCGAGCAAGTTTTGGGAGGAGGAGGGGTGCTGGATGGCGATACATATAGCCAAGGAGATGGATCTTAATATCACGTACGAAGGAGCGCTCGGTTTGGAATTGCCGCTTGGGGGGGGGGCCATCATGGCATAGAAATGCGCGCTTTTGAGAGGCCAAGCGGCAGGAGTCTGTCTGTCTGCTCTGTTGTAGTAGATTTTTCTTGTATCAGAACTTTACGACCTTTGGCATCATCTCTCTACCCATAGATATTAATACGCAGTGGCCTTGTTCTGTAAGCGGCTTGTTTGGCATTTTGCTTCGATCTCTCATGTAGTATGGTGATTTATATGGTGATTTATACTTGTGATGTATTGTATTTGGTATCGTTAATGTTTTAGTAAAGCTGGTACCGAGTGAGGTGCCGAACGATACAGGTCGCCTGTAATAAGCCGGGGCCCCTGTAAGTTAGCGGCTACAAAATAATGCCGCCCATGCAATTTGGGCTAGCCGCACGGACCATGTCAGGGACGTGAACCTTGAGAAAAGTTGCTGCTGGTGACAACGTCCTCTTCCTAGCGACCAGCGAGCTTCGCAGCGAAATAATACCTGCTATGATAATACGGAATCTGGCCATCCGGCACGGCAAGTAGCCAACAATTGACTGCTGCTGCCTACATCCTGCTAATTGGAACCCAATCCAGGCCGGCGGGCGTTAGCCTCGCCCGTGTCTCGACCATGGCTACGACTCTTCTCGACCCAGCCGACAGACATGGCAACGGCGTTTGCCCCGGCCCCGGCCCCGACCCCGGCCCCGGTGACCACTTCTACGAGCTCGACGGCGGTGACTCAGCAGTCCTTGGACGAGGCCGAGGCGCTGAAGGAGGCTAAGCGGATCCGCGAGCTGCAGTTCAAGAACATGCCCGGCGAGTTTAGGGAACTGAGACACCTCGAGAAGCGCACCAAGTCGCTCGGCTCCGAGATCGTGCTGGACGCCTACGTGCCCGACGAGTCGCTCAAGAACCCGCCCGACGACGCGTCGCTCGAGATGCTCATGGCGTCGCAGGCGCACATGGGCCACAACACGTCGTCGTGGAATCCGGCCAACTCGCGCTACATCTACGGCGTGCGCGCCGGCATCCACATCATCAGCCTCGAGAGCATCGCGTCGCACCTACGGCGCGCCGCGCGCGTCGTCGAGGAGGTGGCGTACCGCGGCGGCCTGATCCTGTTCGTCGGCACGCGCCGCGGCCACATGCCCGCCGTGGTGCGTGCGGCCGAGCTGGCCGGCGCCTGCCACCTGTTCGAGAAGTGGACGCCGGGCACCATCACCAACCGCGACCAGATCCTCGCCTCGGCCCCGCTGCTCATGGTCAACCACCAGGACGAGCCTCTCAACGGCTTCGTCGAGCACCTGCAGGACCGCCGCCCTCTTGTTCCTGACCTCGTCGTCTGCCTCAACCCCCTCGAGAACTACACCCTGCTCTACGAGTGCGGCCTCGCCAGCGTGCCCACCATCGGCATCATCGACACCGATGCCGACCCCACGTGCGTCACGTACCAGATCCCGGCCAACGACGACAGGTGAGCAAATGCTATACAATCCTATTTCCTTTTCACTTCTTTTTGCAGCAACATTCACTGACATTCCCCCAACAGCTTGCGGGCCGTGAGCCTCATCGCAGCCGTTCTTGGGCGAGCAGGCCAGCGCGGGCAGAAGCGGCGGCGCGAGGCGGCGGTTGAGGGCATCGTGACGTGGGAGACGCCCGACGAGGACCAGCGGTTCATCGACCGCAAGATCTACCTGGATGAGAAGGAGAAGGCCGAGATCGAGGCCGCGCGGCCGCAGATGCAATCGGGCCCGGCCGCCGAACAGGCGACGAGGGAGGACTTCAACACCGAGCAGAAGTTCGCCGAGGCGTTCAAGAACGGCAACACAGGCGGCCCCCAAGGGCGGCGAGGCCCACCCAGGGCTTCCAGGCGGCGCTAAGACACAGTGTATTCGTATGTTAGTTATTTGTAAGATAAATTCACCTGTGCTCGCGTGGATGTTTGATTGGGGCCAGACGGCTGGTCGTGACAACCTACCTTACCTTGGTAAGTGAATGTTGCACAGCTTCGGAGCTACGGGAGGCTGTGAGCCGACTAGGAACGTATCACTTGAGGACTGCAGTAATGTCCACCCATTCTACTAGGCATAGGGACAAGTTAATTTTAGTGTGTGCGTGGTTACAGGTATAAGCCATTTCACTTTGGTGAAAAAATCTATCTGTGGAATTCGCACCTAGAGTCGACGTCGGAGATGTGGGGGTTATGAACCGACCAGGAACGCATCACTTGGGGACTGCCGCGATGTCCACCGATTTTACTACACCATTCCACAGTAAATAGTTTTACCGCAGCCACTTGACAAGGGACCCAGCTCGCGACTTTCAAGGTTCTCTTCGCTTCAGTCCTTGAAATATTTATTTGAGAATTATAAATACGTTGTAAACCTCGTCTCGTACCCTTAAAGTCGATCGCAGAAGTCACAGGTAGGGAGGGACCTTGCATTGCTTTCTGTAAGTAGTGCAAGGGAACTGTTTACGGAATGGTGTATACATGGAGATATATTTAAAACCTATCTAAACGTCATAATCCGTCCTCGCTGGCAGCAGGAAGGGGTGTCACCATGGCCAGACCGTCTATGGCCTCGCGTCCCGGGGTGAGACGGTCCAAAATGAGTCTGAAAGCTAGATACCGCACGCTCGTACATGGCCTCGGCCTGTTCAATCCAGTTCTGCTCCCTGTAGATGGTACCCAACATTACAAGCGAATACAGAGTCCAAGTGTGACCCGGCCCCATCTCTTTCTCATAGCCCCTCAGCGCCCTTTCCAAGGCCGACTCGGCTTCCTTCCAGAGATGCTGGCAGTTGAAGGCCCTACCGAGCTGGTAAGCCGTGTGGCAAACCGATATGGAATCGGCTCCAAGTTCTTTCTCGAAAGCTCGGAGGGCTCTCTCAAAATTCGATGCAGCGTCCTTCCAAAGGCACTGGCTAAAATAGGTCCTGCCGAGTTGGTAGTAGATCTCACCAAATTCGAGAAAGCCTGGCGTTCCAGGATCATTCTCCTTACTCTTTAACGCTCGTAGAAACAACATCTCCTCTTCCTTGGGTTGCATTAGGTCTAGTTTGGCACACCCGAGCCAGAAAACCGTAAGGATGGTCTGCGGATGGTCAGGCCCGAAGACCCTTTCGTAATCTCCCAAAGAACTCTTGAGCATAATTTCAGCCTTAAATAACCACCCACGTCGACTATAAAACATGCCTAGGAAACGAATTGTGTGTAAAGTCGTCGCATGGTCTGCTGTAAGAGACTTCAGGTTGGATTCTATCATCCGCTTGGTTCGCGTTTCCACTTCTCGAAACAGGCCGCGGCTTTGATGTACGAGGGTTAGGGCGTGTTCTCCATGAGTGGTATCCTTTTGATTTGGTCCGAGTTCATTTCCAGGATCTTCTGTGGCTCGCCGCAGGACCGTTTCGGAGTCCCTTAGCAGGGCCAGTCTTTGATAGATGTCCCCCAGCTCAATAACGGTCTGTAAGGTCTGAAGATCATTCGGTCTAAATGTCTTCTCAAAGCCCTTGTGCGTCAGCTGATATATAGCCGCAGCCTCTTTCAGCTTGTCTTGTCTTTGAAGAAGCATCGCCAGTGAAGCTATTGGGCGCAAGCTCAGTGTGGATAGAGTATCTTCGTAGTTCCACCTAGCTCTAAGACCCTCTTGGATCCACCATGAACATCTTTCCGCATGCGGTAGAAGGCGTCGCTCGAGTGGCAAATTACGTGTATCGTTAAAATGATGGGGTCGAGGTAAAGAGAACCCAACTACTCCGACCGCTAGCCAAAGAAACTCTCTTTTCTCTGCTGGATGTTGAGTGTGCGATGCTCATCTGTGTGCTACCGGGTGCATAGCGTAGCTGCCTGGCATGGATTCCTGGGTCTCAATCATTGAATAACGGAGAAGAAGTCGAACTGCTTCCAATAACATGACCTCGTTACAAGCCAGATCGTTGAGCCACGCGGGCCACGTAGCTGGCGCATCCTCATTTCCATTGACCCCGAGTTGCAAAAGATCGTGCCGGAGGTCTTTGTTGCCAATGAAGGCCCAGAGGCGGAGCAGGTTGGTGGCCTTCTGGTTCCTGGCTTCGATTGCCTTGAACGAGATGGTCCAGGTTGTCCCTACATTGTGCTGCCCGTCAACTGTCTGGGGTAGGACAGGCTCGGCATCGGCGCTCATCAGGTGGTCCCACTGTTGCTTGTAGAGCCGGAGGTATGACGAAGTCCCGAGCCCGGTTTCGCGGAGATACGAAGCAGCCTGTGCTAGAGCAAGCGGCAGGCCATCCAGCAACTCGAGGAGCTCGGTGCTGCTTTTAGTGATGACTGGACATGGGACGTCAGCTCCCGGTTTTGGTTATCTACTAGGCGGATGTCTTACCTAGCTGCTGGCCGTACCAAGATGTAAAAATAGCCTTGGCTTGGTCCTGGTCGACCTTTGTCAAACGCTTCGAGTCGCCGAGCTGTGCCAGCTTCAACAGTCGGGTGGTGACAAGCACCGACCCATGATCGCCGGGAAGATAGCGTTGAATGTCATAAGCGCCGGCTACGCCGCCTCGTTCAAAGTCGAGGTCGACGTTGTCGAAACACAATAACCAGTCGGTATTGTCTGGCCGGGCAAGCCATTCCAAGACGTACGTCACCGCATCATCGAGATCGGTCCCACCCCTGGCAACTGGATATTTGTTTCCGGTTGAGAGCTGGTGGCTGGGGATCCTGCCCGCACAACCAGCAATACTTTGTCGGAGCCGGTCCTCAGACCTCCCGTCCAGCCAGAACACGGAGCTGAACACGGCTTGGTGGCGTCGAGCAAAGTCGACAGCCAGCTGCGTCTTGCCGATGCCACCGAGACCGTGCAAAACAAATATCCGTCGCCCCGTATGTCGCGTGCCGGGTCGTGGAAGGAGGCTCTGCTCAATCTCGGCCGTGTCGAGGGGTCTGGGAACGAACTGCTTCGATACGGGGACGCCCTGCAAACTGAACGGGGTTTTGTATTCGCCGTAGTCTAGATCCACTGCGCGTTAGCAAGAGCCCAAAGACCAAAGACCAAAGAGATTGAAGCTCCCCAACGAATCAGATGGAAACGGGAACGCTGACATTCTCTCGCTGCCAAGCTGTTTGCGCATGCTGTCATCTGCTGGAACACGGCCTGGGAAGCGACATAGCTAGTGGTTGCTGCCGCAATCTCCTTCTTCTTGGCTGACTCTTGCAGCCGGACATCCTCGAGCCCGCAGTCGACATTGAAGCGGTAGTAGTGGCCCTCGCGGTCCAGGCTCCGTTTATCGCGCTGGAACTTCTGGGCTGTCTTTTCCGTCTCGGTTGCGAGCTCTTTGAGGGTGGACGTGATGCCCAGCACGTCGTCGCGCACGGGATGCCAATTGACACTAGGCACCTCAGCCCAGGCCCACTGCTGCCACCCCGCAGCAGCAGCTGATCGCCCCACAAATCTTGGGCCTCAGACCAGAGAGCGAAGACCGGATTGTTTGCCCCGAGCGCCGTCGACAAACTCTTCGCCAAAAGGTCCGATGGCGATGGGGTCGAAGAAGGACGTGGCGGCCGAGGTCGCGCGGCAGGCCTGCCATATGGTCGTCGACTCCAAGAGATGTCTGCGCCCACGCGGGGACAGATAGCTCGTCAGGCAGACAGTGTCTTTGGTCTCCTTGCTTGTCGCGCAGACAAACACTTTGCAGGGAGCTTCGGGCGAGTCTTCGAGGAGTAAGGTCTCTTCGTCCAAGCCGCGCTCAACCAGGATTCTTTTGACAGCTCGTTCAAGTTCGGCCGCGTCAAACCTGCCCTGCAGATTGCCTTTGATGTTGAACCGGTGGTGTTTCTTTTCGAAAACGCGATCCGACAGCGTCGTGTAGGCGTTAATACACTCGTCGACGGTCATCCGAAGACGGCCCAGCATAATTGCGATGAGGCCGCCGGTGCTGGTGCCGCCGACCTATCGAAATAGTCGCACGGCTTGGACTCGGGGCCGACTCTGGCCATGAGCTGCTGCAATATCATGAGCGATGACAGACCACGCACGCCGCCGCCATCGAGGGCGAGCAGCCGGAGCTGGTGGTCGCCCGCCATTGCGAGTTTGCGTTACAATGGCAAAGGAGATAGCTAACTATAGCGTCCGACATCTCTACATAAAGCTTCAGACAACTCGCCAGCCTCGTTAGAGCCCAGGCTGATGTTCTGATTGGTTCACTCGTGTACGTCGCCATTTCTTTCCCCAGCTATAGAGATTTTAGTACCAGGTTGTGTAAACGTGTCTATCCGTACCGAGAACGTAGGTAGGAAAGGTAGAAAGGTAAGGAAGGCACTAGTTAAGAGGTACATTCTTGAAAAGTTCAAGTTTATTTGCCTCCTCTCGAGTTCTCTCAACGTCGTTAGAGGTTGAGGTTGAGGCAGCGCACCGTGCAAAACGGTAGGTAATCATACGGAGTGGCAAGTGCAGACCCTACGGAATACCTTGCCCCACTTTATCCAGTCGGGGCCGGTACCGGGCTGCCAGCGGCCCCAAAACTTCGCCTGCGAATTTCCCCTCACCGGAACAAATCATCACCACGAACATTTCAGCACAGCGTCACGCCACCTTGCACATACCTGCCTGCCTGCCCAGACGTGCCCGTCACGCCACACCAAGCATTCTTGTGATTGGGTGTCGGCGCCGTCGCTCGCCTATCGGGTGTCAGTGTGCGAGCGAGCAGGGACGGTTCGGAGCTGCCCGCACGCGCGAGCGACCCGGGCAAGGCCGGGCCAGGGACACTTTGACGGACACCTCGGTTTGCGTGCAGCGGCCGTTCCAGCAGCCGCAGCGCATTGTTGTTGGTATGTAAATGCAATATTCCGTCCGTACAGTGCTGTTTGGTTAAGTGTAGCTGCTGCTGCGTCGCCCCTGCAAACCACCTGCTACCCCTGTCCAGTTGAAGAGCGCCTCCGGGCTCTTGCTGAATCATGACGATCGGATTCCGGAAGCTAATGCACATCGTACATCGTGCAGGAGGCGGTTTTGGGTCTCCCAGGGGCTGGTTGACCCCTTTTTCTTGTTTGGCCGGCCTGTGCGACCGATCTGCGTGGCGCTCGGCCGCCAAGACAGGATGCCGGCCATGCTGGATGATCCGGCAGCCGCCACCATCTACCGTGTCTCGGGAGACGCACCCTATCCGGACCCTGCCCACCCGTCTCTGCCGCCCACCATCCTCCCCCGCCGTGTAACGTTGCGGGACCGGCAGACGGTGGCCACGGTCGTCCCCTTTGCGTCCCGCCACCAGGTGCCCGAGTCCTTGTTGCGCTATCTCAATGACCAGTTCAACAAGGAGATTGAGGGCGGGGACACGTATCCCATGATGGACCCCATGCCCTTTGACAAGTTCGCTTCTTACTGGTTCCAGAACTTTGCCGGCATCATGCTGCTTGGCAGCATCGAGACGGCCGACGACGTTGAGGACGGCAAGGACTGGTCCAAGGAGTGTCTAGGCACCTTTTATATCAAACCCAACTACCCCGGCCGCAGCAGCCACGTGTGCAACGCCGGCTTCATCGTCACCGACGCCTCCCGCAACCGCGGTGTGGGCCGGCTGATGGGCGAGACCTACCTAGAGTGGGCACCCAAGCTGGGGTACACGTACTCGGTCTTCAACCTGGTCTACGAGACCAACGTGGCCTCGTGCAAGATCTGGGACGCCCTAGGCTTCAAGCGCATCGGGCGCGTCAAGGGCGCCGGCAATCTCAAGAGTTACCCGGACCGGCTCGTCGATGCCATCATCTACGGGCGAGACCTGGGCGAAGCGGCGGGTGGCGCCGGCAGCGAGGAACTTGTGAGTGAAGAGCGTTTCGACAAGATCAAGTTCTACCTCAAGTACGGCCGCTATCCGAACGGGGCTGACCGCGCCGAGAAAAGCAGGCTGCGTAGCGCCGCGACCCATTACAAGTTGCTGGACGGCGACATCCTGATGCTCAAGGACAAGGAGGTCATCTCAGACCCGCAGCGTCAGTATGACATTGCCAGGACTGTGCACAACCAGGCGCACGCGGGCATCAACAAGACCACGGCAACAATTGCCGAGCGCTATCACTGGAGCCGCATCAAGGAGACGGTCTCGGATGTAATTAGGAACTGCCTTGAATGCAAAGAACTGGGCAAGGCCTCTTCGTCCTCCCAGACCCAGGCCCAGCAGCCCTCCCCTTCGCCTGTCGGCAGCAGTGCCGCCGCGGTGGCGAATGTCGCCGGTGTAAAACGTCCCAGCATGAATACATTTTATGGTGCCAGCTCCAGCTCCAAGCGCTCGTCTCCTAGCCCGTCCGCCTCCGCCTCCAGCGCTGCTGCCATGGATCTGAGTCCGGTTGCTGGGGGCCAGCTGCCTAGGCCGCTGCTGCCGCCGCCCGTGTCTTCCCTGCCGGATTCCTCGCACCTGGCCCCGTTTAACGTTTCATCACATCACCCACAATACACTGACCCCAGCGCCATTTCCCTGGTTCCTCCTCCATCTCACCGTCACAATACTCTCCAGGCAGCCGTCGACACGGCTTTGACCGGGATAGTTGGGGACGAGGCTCACGATCCTCTATTGGCACAGTCCTCTCACGGCACTGCGCACGGCACTGGCTCATCTCTCCACCATCACCACCAACCACAACAACTCGCGGCGGTTACCGCACACTCTCGGTCGATGACCCTGCCTTCACTGACTACCGCAACCTACCAGCCCATCGACCCGCAAATCATCAGCCAGTCGCCGACCGGCGACGCTCTGCATCACAGCTACCACCCCTTCGACGACCACGTCTCACCACAGCACCAACATCACCACCACCACCCCCACGACCCAGATGCAGACACCTTCCAGGCGCTGCTCAACGCAGCCGACGACGACGACGACGACGACGACGACGTCGACGAAGACCACAGCCACAACGATCACGGACATGGGCATCACCGGAGCGCGCACGAGCCACGGGAAGACGAAACAACACACCACCGCGAAGACGAGGACGAGCAAGCGGCTGTCGACCGTGACCTAGAGATGCTGATAGAGCCACAAGACGACGACGACGAAGACGATGACATCCATCAAGGCCACCCACCCAGCCGCGGTGATGCCGGCGACGCCTCCTCTGGTGCCATGGACGTCGACGACATACCCGGTCCCCCACCGCTACCGCCACCACCACCACCAGGAGACGGAAACGAGAAGCCCGCCGCCTTTTCTCCCACCAATATCAACGCCCAGACCAACACCAATACCTTGAGTAGCGGTTCGAATCCGGATGCTAATGGCAATATCGTTAGCATCAGCAACAACGGTAGCGGAGGAAAGATGGACGTGAGCAGGCTGCTGTCTACGGACGTGGAAAAGGGGGAAGCCTCCAGTGGGAAAAACGACAGCGAGGTGTCTGGCAGCGGTCACGAAAAGGCGAGGACGATCTACGGCGTCGAGCCGTTCGTTGCTGACGGCCAGAGCTAAACTAGTACTATTTTTACTGAACTAATATAGGCTGGCTGGATGGCTGGCACAGGGCGCAGAAGTCTTCACAGAGGCATCGGATCCTTTAATATATATTCTTTTTGCATAGAAAATGAGGAAGGGAAGCCGGAAGGGGTTTTAGATCTCTTCACACTCCCGAACGGGTGAAGTTATTCATCTGCATATCACACACATAGAAAAATAGAAAGAGAGCAAATGGAGGCGGGGAACGAGGTATGACGGACATAAACTTTTATTTATTTACCCCCCGTAATGATCCGGGTTCCACCTTTTTATGGTATAGAAAGAAGAGAGAGATCCCTGGGATAACTTGGTCTTGGTATAAACGGGTCCAAACGCACACACCACGAAATGACATTACCGTGTGCCGTCTATCTATCCTCTTCGGTTCTTAAAGGTTACCCCCCCTAAACATGGCCCCCGTTTCACCGTCTGGGCATGCCCCGGCCTCGGCCGCGTCCGCGCAGCGCCCGCTGGGCAGCTCCGGGCGGCAGAGCCTGGCCCGGCGCCTGAGGCGCCTGGCTCTCCTCGTTGCGGATCGTCTCGTCGACGCCCAGGATCAGGCAGCTGGCCTCGGTCGCGGCCTGGATGGCGTTGATCTTGACGAGCGCGGGCTCCCAGACGAAGCGCTCCATCATGTCGGCGACGCCCTCGTTGACGAAGTCGACACCGGCCCAGGTCTTGCCCTTTTTGTGCTCGACGCGCAGCTTGTTGAGGATGTCGGTCGCGTCGAAGCCGGCATTGTCGCACAGCTGCCGCGGGATGACCTCGAGGGCCTTCGCGTAGCTCTTGATGATGGCCTGTTGCTTGTGCGGGACCTTGTCGTCGGCGAAGCGGTGCAGGTAGGCCGACAGCTCCATCTCGACGGCGCCGCCGCCGCCCACGATGGTCTTGTTGCGGATGGCCCGCTTAACGATCATGATGGCGTCGTGCAGCGACCGCTCCACCTCGGCGATGAACTGCTCGGCACCGCCGCGCAGCACCAGCGTGCACGTCTTGGCCTCGGGGCAGTCCTCGAAGAAGTTGAAGCGCTCGCCGCCAATCTGTCGCTCGTCAAACGACCCGCACGTGCCCAGGTGCTCGTGGCGGATGTCAGAGCATGTGCTCTGGATGGTGGCGCCCGTCGCCTGCACCACGCGCTCCATGTCGTCGGCAGCCACGCGGCCGGCGCAGAAAACGTCGCGGTCGGCAAAGTACTGCGTGGCGAGATCGCCGATGGGCAGCTTGGACAGCACCACCTTGGCGCCCGTCGCGTGGATGGCCTCGAGCTTCTGGAAGATGATCTGCCACTCGGCGTCGACGATGGCCTGGTACTCGGACACCTGCTCGACGCGCACCTCGGCGTTGTCCTTCTCGGCCTTGAGCTCGAGCTCGACGTTGAGGCACACAATCTTGGGCTTCTTGAACGTCTTGGGCTGCTGCTCGAACCCGGCGTACGAAAACGTTTTCTTGAAGGCCACGCCGTTTACGAACAGCGAGTCCGTCAGCGAGCCGCCGGGGATCTTCTTGATGCCTATTAACTTCTCGTCCAGGTCGTCTTGGTCGAGGGAGAGGACAGCGTCGACAACCACTGCGGTCGAGATGTTAGCGCCATGGTCATTTTTCCACCAGCTTGCCTTCTGAATGGCGCGTGGGGGTCTTACTCTTCGTGAAGAAGGTCGTGTTCCGCTTGATCAGCTTGCTTGTCATGGCGGTACCAGCCAGCTTCAGTAGTGTGTCCCTCCGGTTCGATTCGCTGGTGTTGACCTGGATCTCCTTAATCTTGTTGACGGCCATGGTCGCAGCTCTCCTCAGGCCCTTGATGATGATTTGTGAGCTGACACCCTGCTCGACGTGCTCTTTGGTCTCCTTCAGGATCTCGCCAGCCAAGACAACCACCGACGTGGTGCCGTCGCCCACTTCGGCATCTTGTGACCGCGCAATGTCGACGAGGATTCGGGCGGCGGGGTGGACAATGTCCAAGAGCTGTGCAAAGTCAGCACGAGTGCAGAAGACCGCGGTGGCACGGCAGCGCGCACCTTCATGACGGTTGCTCCATCGTTTGTGATGGTCTGTCGGCCGTTCGCATCCACCATTAATAGATCGCCGCCATAGGGGCCCAAGGTGGACTTTATCGTGGCCTGCACTGCTAGACAGGCGTTTATGTTGGAGATGATCTGGCCCTTGCCCTGCGAGGCATCGGTCCCTGCGACAGAAGCCGAGTCAGTACGGGGCTGGCGGTGCACAAGTGCTCACACAGCACAGGTGGGCATGGTAGGGGCGAAGGCGGGGAAGGGCTGTTGCAGCCTGCTGACCCTCTTTTAGGACGATAATCGTCGGTGTTTGGCCTCCGAAAGACATTTCGAAGAAAGGTTCGGACTGGCGGAAAGCTCCCCGGATTACGACGAAGCTTCGGTGAGTTGTCTGGGTGGGGAGGTGCTGTTTGCGGCGTGGTGGGTAGGTGTGCTGCGAAAATGTCGTCGTCGGTCTTCGAGCTTCTAAAAAAAATATTGGACGCCGTTGCCCGCCCCTAGCTAGCCTAGCGTAGCCCAGCTGCCTGGAGGCCGATCGCCCACTCGTGCACGGGCCATTTCCCGTGATTGCGCACCTGACACCCCTTGTCGTCACCCCAACTTCACTTGCCCACTAACTCTCTTGCAAACCCAGCCGCAATTGGTTATAAGGTTTCAAAAAAACGGAAATACCGCAGCAAAATAATTCATTGAACATATCGATTATGAATTAGTGTTCTGTATTTGTTTCAATCGAATCCAAAACTCGATTGTCTGATTAAGGAATCTCCCCATTCTGCTTTTTGCACGAAATTATTTTTGCGTTTTGAGTCAACAGTGATTCTGTATCTTACAATTCCGTTTGAACCCAAGAAAAACTAGCTTTTTCGTTACTTCTCGTCGTCAGTCTTCCAGAAGTGGCGATGCGCGGTCCAGAGACGCATAGTTGAATCAATACCTTGGGCTTTAGTGATTAGTCATTCTCTGAAATTAACCATATTTGTGGAACCCGAAAATCGGTGCATATAAATCCCCACCTCATCAGTCTAACCGTATCAACCGTATCGTGCGTAAACTGGACCAAGCGCTCTTGCGCGAACGAGCAGACGGTTCAACGAATTCGCAAATGCGCTCCTCTACAAGGTCGTCATCCGGGATAAGGGAGTAGCGCAGCGGGCTTTGTTCTACGCAGCCGAAACCGGTTCCACTTTAATTGCCAACAAGGTCTTGGGACTAGGGGCCGATCCAAACAGTCGACACATGTCACCAATTCCGCGATGTCGCGTGCTCAAGGTGCTCGAGGCTCAGGGCCGCCGACCAGGGAAGCTCTCACTCCTCAACCAGTGCTTCCGCGAAGAGTGCGCAAGAGAGCTTTTAATTAGGAACTCTTCCGACTTTAACCCGGTTCTGTTTGGTTGGCGTGAAGTCATGCGGCATCGCCATCCGACACCGGTGAGGATATCTAAAGACTCTCTGCGGCAGCTTATGAATTTGTCCCCCTTGGAACCCTCCCACATACACCAGCGCACATCCAGCTCCACGTTCTGGTGGCTCCCAATAAATGTTGCGTCCCAACGAGGCGACACGGAAATGGTGGTTCTGCTCTTACGCCACGGCGCAACTGTTGGCCGGGGTTTCGGATGTTGCAACTGTGTGAAGAGAAATTAAAGCCCCTTTGCCTCCCAAATGACACTGTCTACCACACATCCATTGTCCACGAGGCATTGTGTGGTTCCAGCGGCGTGGAAGTGGCAAAGCTCTTATTATCGCGGTATGAGAGTGCAAACAAGGAACCCCTTGATGCCTTCGACTTGAGTCTCTGCGTCGTCGATGCTGCCGGCTTTGGTTTTCTCGACCTCTGCAAGTTCTTGACGGAGAAATTGAAACTCTGGCGCGAGCTAAAGAAAACCGACTTGAGAGTTATCTGGAGCACTGCATTTCGGGCGGCCAGCCGCGCCGGATATATACAGAAACTTGGCGACTATTTTTTGAAACAAGGCATGGATATCAAATATTTCACAAACACCATATTGACACACCTTTTGCGAAACCATATGTTCGACGATGCCTTTTTTCTCTTAAGCCGCTGCCAAAACTTGCCTTGTTTGACAGTTTCCGTGGGCTCTCGCCCCTCCAGGCTTGCCTCATTGCCCCCAATGCAACCAACTGTGGAGAGATCTTCCCCCCTACCCAACCGCACACGACGAAGATATAGCGATACATTTTCCTACAGAAAATGCACTTCACTTAGTTGAGGACAACAAAGCTGTTGCCATAGTGAAGCTACTCATTGCCGCTCGCGAAAACGACAGCTCTTACATTTCAAGAAGAATTCTTAAGATAGCATCGGTGGGAGGGAAACCTAGGATCCTGAAAACGCTGCTGGAAGCCTCGCCAGACTCTGTTCGAACTCCTGATATTCTTCGGTCATATATCTTATCCGCAGCCTTTGGCGCCACTTGCAACGATGGCCTTGAAACTGTCAGTTATCTGGTGGACCGCGTTGCTTCTGTGGAAGGAGCCCCTCTCCCTCAGTTGGATATAATACTCAGCGCACTTGGCACAGCTCACCGCTTCCATGACACTTGCCATCAGGGTCTCCTTATTGAGCTTGATTATGGTGAGAACTCAGACTCTCACATTCATGATTTGGATTCGGATTCGGATGAACACGGCCACAATATCTCAGCATTGCAAAACGCGTTCATCAACACCTTGAGACGGTTTCGGGGGGGGTTGACGGGCGGAGAATTGTCTGCCGCACTCCGAGAAACTCACAGTTCGGCAGAATACAATTGGCTTGCAGAGCTTAGAGCTTTTCAACACCTTAGCACGGAAAGTCTAAACCACCTGTTCCAAATAGCAGTCAATCGAAACAGCGTATCTATAAGCCAGAAGCCTTTAACCACCTCCGGCGAATTCAGACAGCCTATTGTCGCACCCTTTGTGCTGTTTATGCTTTTTGGTATTTCGAGTTGTGGTCGAGACAAGCGAGTGAGACAAGCGAGAAGGTCCTGTCTGACGATTTTCATTGACTTGCAAAGAAGATCAACATCTTGTGTAATTTCATTTTTCACAAAAATGGTATATTAGGGAAACCGATCTGAGAAGTAAATAGAAAGCGAAATGTGGCGTAGTTGTCCTCATGAATGGCAAGCTGCGCGAGGAAAAAGAGACGGGAGAGTCAGTGTGGCCTTTCACCTTTTAAGCCCTTGGCAGCTGGCACTAAACTGCTATCAGGTGGCACTCCCATGTATGTGCAGGCAATGTCGCGACTTAAAAACACAATCTAGTATATTTCGTGAACTACGACATTTCATCATTAAAGATCTGGCTTCGTCGTGTACGTCGTGACGCGGAGAACGGCGCCAGGTTCAACGCTGGTGTCACCAGCAGCTGCGAACGGCCTCCGCTGCGGCAGCTCCTCAGCCACACTGCGGGGCAATGATTGGAGGCCAACACGGCTGAACCTAACCGCTCCAGCTGCGTGAAGCTAGCACCTACCTTGGATAGATTTTCAGCTCCAAGACGCCTCAGCCGCCGATTCTTTAATCTCTATCCGCGGAATTTTCTTGGCGATTTCGTTCTGGACGTACACAGGTGTCAGCTAGGTCCTTGTTCTCTCCCTTAGCCCTAAAAAGTTCAGCGGACAAAGACGAAGCAGCTGTCAGTGAGTGGAGCTATTGAGCCCCGCGCCCCGTAGAAGCCCCTCCTTACGGATGTCCGTCACTCCAACCCCTGTCTCGAACAACACCCAACTTTGCCCAAGCCGCCAAGCTGTACCTATCCGAACATACATAAAAGACTCTATATGCCACTCGCTAGAAAAGTACCCGTTTTTGCCCTTTTCACGGTCCCTCTAGCTGCCCTGCTTCTCGGTGCTCTCCTGTTCTCACCCACAGCTCTCCCTTCATCGCTGCTTTCGGCGCTTTCGTCACTGACATCAACCCCGCGTCCGCCCCTCCAAGGCCAACAACCAACACTCCCCACCACCACCAGCACCACCACCAGCACCACCACCACCAGCCCAACCAACGAGATGGGCGGCGCAGGGGGCTACCGCTCCGTGGCGTACTTTGTCAACTGGGCCATCTACGCGCGGGGCCACCGGCCGCAGGAGCTGCCAGTGGAGAAGTTGACGCACGTGCTGTACGCGTTCGCCAACGTGCGCGGGGAGGGGGCTGGGGCCGAGGTGTTCCTGACTGACTCGTGGGCCGACACGGACATCCACTGGGACGGCGACAGCTGGAACGACAGCGGCACCAACTTGTACGGCTGCCTCAAGCAGCTCAACCTGCTCAAGCGCCGCAACCGCAACCTTAAGGTTCTGCTGTCCATCGGCGGCTGGACCTACAGCAGCGCCTTCGCCGCGCCCGCCTCCACCCCGGCCGGGCGCGCCGCTTTTGCCGCGAGCGCCGTGCAGTTGGTAAATATCTCTCCTTCTCGTCGTCGTGTCCTTTTTGCTAACCCATCTGCCTTCTCTCGCAGGTCGCGCAGCTCGGATTCGACGGGCTGGACATTGACTGGGAGTATCCGCAGTCGGCGGACGAGGCGGCGAACCTGGTGGCGCTGCTGGAGGAGTGCCGGGGGGCGCTGGACCGGTACGCGGCGTCCGTTGCACCAGCTGGCACGGCACCGTACCACTTCGAGCTGACGGTGGCGTGCCCGGCGGGGCCCAAGAACTACGAGAGGCTGGACCTGGCGGCGATGGACCGGGTACTTGATTTTTGGAACCTGATGGCGTACGACTACGCGGGGTCGTGGGACAGCGTGGCGGGCCACCAGGCGAACCTGTTCCCGTGCGCGTCGAACCCGGCGTCGACGCCCTTTAGCACTGTCGCTGCTGTCGACTACTACGCCGCGCACGGCGTGGCGCCTGACAAGATCGTCCTGGGCATGCCGCTGTACGGGCGCGCGTTCGAGAACACGGACGGCCTCGGCAAGCCCTACCAGGGCGTCGGCCAGGGCACCTGGGAAGCGGGCGTGTACGACTACAAGAAGCTGCCGCACGAGGGCGCCGCGGAGCACTACGACGAAGAGTCGGGCGCGAGCTACTCGTACCATACCGGGACCAGGACTCTGGTGAGCTATGACACGGTCCGCATGGCGCGGCAGAAGGCTGAGTATATCAAGAGCCGGGGGCTGGGCGGCGGCATGTGGTGGGAGAGCAGCGCCGACAAAGCAGGACCCGAGAGCCTGATTGGCAATGTTGTGGACGTGTTGGGCGGGCCGCAGTCGTTTCAACACTTGGACAATTGCATATCGTACCCAAACACAAAGTACGACAACCTGAAGAACGGGTTTCCCAGCAATTAGCCGCAGCATAGCAAAAGGTCTTGATAATACCAGACTACCCTCAACATCCACATAAAATATAGCACGTCAATGAAGCAGAAACAAAGTATGTCGCGGCCATCTCAAATTGCATTTCCTCGCAGGTAACAGACCCAACGTATACCGATGTCTAAATTACATCATCGCTATCCGTAGATTAGGCTGTCCTAGCTCAATGCTATTTTCCCGACTCCAAATACAACTCCGTTCCGCGCGAGATTTAGGCGGCCTTCTCGAAGACGTAGGTGAGGTGGCACCGTCCGCAGTACTGGCGATCCTGCATGGCGGCCATGAAGACACCGGCACCGCACTAAGAGGTCCATGTCAGCAATCCAATTCCAATATTCGCCACTGGCCAGGCAGGGCAACTCACGGTCTCGTTGGGGCACTCGCGGCGGAGACGCTCAATCTTGCCGTCGCTGTCGACCTTGTAGTACTTCAATACCGCCAACTTGGTCTTCTTGCGCTTGTGCTTGATCTTCTTGGGTGTGGTGTACACCTTCTTCTTCCTCTTCTTGGCGCCACCACGGAGACGCAACACCAAGTGAAGGGTGCTCTCCTTCTGGATATTGTAGTCGGAGAGGGTGCGGCCGTCCTCGAGCTGCTTGCCGGCGAAGATGAGGCGCTGCTGGTCAGGGGGGATGCCCTCCTTGTCCTGGATCTTTGACTTCACATTGTCGATAGTATCGCTGGACTCCACCTCAAGGGTGATAGTCTTGCCCGTGAGGGTCTTCACGAAGATCTGCATGATTGCCTGCTGAAGTGTGAGGAAGTGTGTCAGACGCCAAAGGAAATTCTCTCCCGAAACGAAAATGTTGCGTGGGGTGAAGTGTGGAAAGTTTGGCAAGCGCCCGCGCTCCAAGCTTTCCCGGCCACAACGCCGGAAAACTCGTGCTCGGGGGCGCTGCAAGCTCGGGAGAACAAGATTGGGCATCGTCAGGGAACAAGTGCAAGGAACTGCAGAGCACAGCGAAATCGCAACATCGTGCAGACGTACCTAGACACAAGTGTCTTCCTCAGCAATCTGTAGATGGTGTGAAGGTGGTGCTTGAAGGAGAGCGGAATGGTAGGAATTTCGAGGCGCGGGCTTGAAGTTGAACTTTTGACCAAGCCCCACTCTCAAAGCGTGAGTGGGTCAGCTGACTTGTGCTCTCCTTAGGGCTTCTCTAGGGGCTTGCCCTGGACCGAGCTTTGGCCGGACCGCAATCAGCAGCTGGGCAGAATTAGTGGGGCTTTGCTGCACGCCAGTCTTTTGGAGCAGCCGCCGAAATTCTGAAATACTCGTCTCTCCATCACACACTTTTCTTGAGATTTCCCAGAACACTCAAGAAATCGCCAAGATGGTCAAGAAGAGAAAGAATAACGGCCGCAACAAGAAGGGTGAGTCCGATCAATTATTATGCGCCTACGGCATCGCATTTCGCTGTCTTGAAGACTGAGCTCACCGCTAACTTCATCCTTTGCAGGCCGCGGCCACGTCAAGCCTATTCGGTGCTCCAACTGCTCGCGATGCACCCCCAAGGATAAGGCGATCAAGCGCTTCACCATCCGCAACATGGTCGAATCCGCTGCCATTCGTATGTTTCGATGCCAATTCCAACCACCCGATGACTCTTGTCCCGCCATTGGGCTTCGAACAAAACATGGTGGCGACATTTGCTGACGTGGGGTTGCGTTCCAGGCGATATCTCGGACGCTTCGGTGTTCGCTGAGTACACGGTTCCCAAGATGTACCTCAAGCTGCAGTACTGCGTCTCTTGCGCCATTCACGGCAAGATTGTCCGGTACGTTTGTCCTCCTGGCGAGGACAACCGCGTCTGCCTTTCAGGCGACGCGGGCGGCTGAGAAGAACCTTGGTCGAACCTCGCCAATACTACATACCGCCCCCCGGGGTCCCATACGCGCCCCGATGCCCGAGAGCGGCCTTGCTGACAAAGTGTGCAGTGTCCGATCCCGCGTGGGCCGCCGCAACCGTGCTCCCCCCCCTCGTGTCCGGTACAACAAGGACGGCAAGAAGGTCACCCCTACCCAGGGTGCGAAGACCACCACCGCTTAGTCGGCGGCTGAGTAACGATCTTCGGGGTTCTAGGGCGTTCGCGTTGGTGGCATTCGGTTATTCGGATGATTGATGGTCTTGACAAAGCGACATGATATGACGACTGGCTTCGCCTGGCAGATCTGGCAACACGGAAACGGATTGGCATTGGGGTTCTCAAAAGTCAAAGGGATCATAGAGCCGTAGTCACCAATTCAGCGCACTTGTTGTGTAGATGAACAAACATGCCATGCCCAATCGTGCTTGATGGGGTGCCATACTTTCACGGCGTTAGTGCCATATGCATCTAGCCTTTGATGCGTGACTTGTCTTGGAGTGGAACCCACTGTGTCACCCTCTCGGTCTGACACGAGCATACTGATATGATGCTTTGGCCTTTCACAAGTGCCTGCGTCTTTGAAGCCACAGTTTTTTGATGGTGTACAAGTCGACTCTTGCTGCCAACATGTCGGTTGTACTTGAACAACGAAGGTCGACTTCACAGCGCGCCCAGAGCATGACACCGCTTCCCCCGAACCATAGAAGTTAGTTGAACCGTTATTCTGTTCTAGATACTGAGCTGAGGAGGACAACACGCCCGACTATAGTTACCTTTGAGGCTTGTTCTGTGCATCAAGGCCCGGGGTTGCTGGTCCTTTCCCGCGGTTGATGAGTTAACTGTACAAGTCGTCCGGCAAGACGCCGAACGATACAAAGGGGGGCAAGGAGAGCGTCATGGAAAGTCTATAACGTGGGTTCAAGGCAGCAAGAAGTTTTCGTCGAGTTACAAGAATTGATAATATTTACAGGCAATATACTCCAAGCCCAAACCCCCTTGGCCGAAAAACTGGGATTCGTGTTCATCTTTGGTCTCAAACGTAAAAGTCTCACGGGATATGCATGCGCAAGTTCACAGGAGGCTGACTTGTGCCGACCAGGCACAGACAATAACACCGAGTTTATTTCGGCAGCGGGGTATAACTGTGTTATTTACTAGGGACATGTTTTCTTTACTCACCCAAAGACTAAGAGGGACTTGGAGCGTCGACCTGACTACCTTGGCCTTACCTTCCATACTTCCCATTACCATGCCCTGAGTCATTACCACGTCTCGCAGAATTGCAGGATATTCTCGTCGGGGCCCTGCTCCAGGTAACTCCACACCAGGCTGAAGTTGGTGTCTACGATGCGCACGATACTAGTCGTGCCATCAGGTCCCTGCTGGGTGTAATAGGTCGTATAGCCATCGGTTTCGTCTTTATTCTCGTTAAAGTGGCGGCGTTTCCGTTCCAGGTCGTTCCATATCGTGCTAAAGTCAGTGTTGACTATGCGTACCAGAGTCTTGCTGTTGTTACTATTATTGATGTTACTGGTGTTATTTGATGGCTCCCATACTGTATACTGTGTAAGGTCACCGGCTTCGTCATCGTTCTCGTCGTGCTGCAGGTGATTTTTTTGTTCCAGATAGTTCCAGGTCGTGCTAAAGTCAGTGTCGACTATGCGTACCAGGGTCTTGTTGTTATTATTACCTTGTTGATGTTCTTGTTGTGGGACATTATTGTTATTGATGTTCTTACTATTGTTATTTGGTAGTTCGTATACTGTATACCGTGGTTGATGCTTTGGGGGGATGTTTCTCGCGGTTGTCGTTTCTGCTGGCCCTGTCCCAATGATATGGGCTTCTGCGGACCGAGAAAGGTGGTGTAGTGGGCGAGAACTATGTTGTATTTGGTTCTGTAAGAGAAGTACCAAGTTAGCACGACCGTCTCTTTTTGGATGGGGGTGGAGAGGGTCTCTTTTTTGAAGAGGACGGGGAGGGTCACTTTTTGGATGAGGGTGGAGGGGGTCTCTTTTTTGAAGAGGGTGGAGAGGGTCTCTTTCTAGAAGGGGGCGGTGAGGGTGTTTCCTCCTCCTCCTCATCATCATCATCCGCCTCTGGGATGGGATCATGACTTACCTCGTTCTCAGACCCAGCGGGTCCATGAGCGCAGTAGCACTTCAGCCCGTGGTCGTGAAAGAACTCTATGCCGTAGTGTAAGGTGAGCTCCTCGCCGGCGTGGATGTCGCGCGCAGCTTGGAATGCGATAAAACGCATCTTGCCGACCTGCTCGGGCGAGGCGCGCATGTTGGGCATGCAGTCGTGGTTGAAGAAGCGCGCCATGCCGCCGTAGTACCGTCCGTCAATCTCGAATCCAGGAGCGCCGCCGCGCTGCGTGTCGCCGTTTCCGATGGCCGGCACGGTGAAGCTGTACATGGATTTCTGGCGGCTCTTTTCAGTCTCACCCTCGGGGATGACCTCGCCAAGGTACACAGCAATCCAAGTTCCCGCAAAGATGGTCTTTTTGTCCTTGACGAAGACGCCATGGCCCACCTCAGGCTGCTCAAGTGAAACCTGCCGGATCTCGAGCGACTGGCGCACGTGATCAAGCAGTTTCTTGAACTTTGGGTAGCACTTGTGAGCATTACACTCGTACTTGTCGGCCGAGGGCCGGTGGCTGCAGGCAAGGCAGTCGAACTCGGGAGCAGGCACCTTGGTGGGTGGTTTGAGCGCACTGAGGGCCCAGTCAGGCACTCCGGCTGCTCTATTGCTGGCGATCTGTTGGCTTCGGCTTCGAGTCGCTCGCTGTTGGCCCCAAAGGGCAGGGTCGAAGACTAGAGTGTCAACTTCGCGGCTGTCGTCCATAATCTGGACGTCCCAGCCCTTTCCTGGTCCACCAGCTCCGCGAAAGAAGCGGGCGTTGCTTGGTGGCCAAGACATGATGATGGCTGAAGGCGCTTTTTTTTTGCTTGGGTTGGTTGCGTAACTATACTAGCTCTCAATCGTGATCGCCTGTATATTATCACAAATACGTTTTCCCAATATCTTCCGGTCCAGTTTCCTTCCGCCTTTGCCAATGAAAGTTAGTTTCGTTCTGTTGGCGCGGGCGTTACAATTTGTAGTCGCAGAGGGCACACTTTACAGTACGCCTGGTCTTGTAATGTTTCTATTTGTTGAGTAAACATGATCATCATAGATAAATAAGACATTGGGCTTGTTGTGGAAGGGGCTGGCTGTCTATAAACCAATCCTGGAACAAGAGAGCAGGTTCTCTGCCTACCTTTTGGAAACAAGGAACGTGGGCGGGAGACAATGAGACGAGGCCCGACAACGCCTTGTTGGGACTCAAGTCTATCATTGAACCACGACAATGGGGTTGTCCCATATCTTTCTCGAACCGAAACAAAGAAGGGACTGTTCCAAAATTAGCAGCTGTCAAAGCACACCAACTAGGATAACACCAAGTCTTGGGTCATCTGTAAGGATGGAACCAGTTCAGAGTTCAAGTTTGGCCCAAGCAAGATCATATCGAAACTCGGTAGCGTATTAGTGATAATCAGCCCACAGGATTTGCCCCTGCTTCTCTGTTAGAATTATTTCCAGCTTCTCGCCCCAAAACTGTAGAATGACAAGACAACCGGTACCGGAACGATCACAACAGCGCAGATCAGAGCAACCACCGTGTTTGCCCACTGGACGCCGAGCTTTTCAAAGACTATTCCAGTCCAGAGCGGAAACGAAGTAGCGACTAGACCGCAGACCGCAACCTCCAACAGCGCCACGTAAGCTTTGCAGCTGCCATAGGCGTCGGCGAGATATGCCGTCTCGGAGACAAAGACCAGCCCAAGCCCAAGCCCAACAAAGACGCTTGCCGCCACCTGGGAAGCCCAGTGCGTGTTGGCTGACCAGCCAAACCACAGAAATGCCGGTGGGAGGATCAGCGCGCCGACTATCCACAGTGCGAGATGGTCCTCGGGCTTCTCGCGCCAGAGCCTCCGCTTGGATCTGGCCACGGTGAAGACGGCGAATACACCGTAACTCGTCGCGAGTCCCAGGGCTACTGCAAGGAGAGGCAAACAGGCTGTTTTGGCCGGCCAGTCGCGGCGCTGGAACGCCAGCGGGAGCCCCTGGACCACCAGGTACAACATCCCGTAAACAAGAGCCGAGCTGACCATGACCACGGAGACGACGGGCTGTTTGCCCAACCAGGCATAGTCGAGTTGCTTCTCCAGTCTTCCAGCTGGCGTCTCGCTCTCGGCGTGCAGACTGTAGATTTCCAACACCAGGCGTAAGCGCCTGGCCTTTCGCTCGAGAAGGACGTTCGACGAAACCTCTGGCACGGCAAAGGCAGCAGCACCGAAGCAGCACGCCCCCATTATGACCGTCGTCCAGCCCACCCATCGCCACGAAGACAAAGAAGAAAATGGGGCGTGAGTGTTGGAATACGAAGCCGTAGCGGTGCCCTGGTGGACAATATAGGCACCAGCAACAGGCGCCACGACAACCCCAAGGGCAGCACAGGCCGCCACGGCGCTCATCGCCACGCGCCGTGCAGCAGCCGATTTCTCAAATAGCTGGCTGCACACAAAGGGCGTGACAACCCAGACGCCCGCAGCGGACGCGCCGGCAAAGAACCGAAACACCAGCAGGCTCTGGATGTCGCGGGCGAGCGCGGCGGGGATCGACCAGACGGCCAGCCCGAAGAAAGCAAACGCGAGCGGGCCGCGCGAGCCATAGCGCCGCAGCAGATCGCGGAACAGCACGGCGCCGCCGGCGGCTCCGGCGATCCACAGCGCGACCGCGCAGCCGGCGGCGGTCGCGCTGGTGCCGAACTCCGCAGCCAGCGCCGGCTGCGCGGGCGAAAACACGCTGCTCGCAAACGCCGCCGCGAACGCCATGCCCTGCGCCGCGCCCGCGACGAGCAGCTTCGTATCGCGCCGCCAGTCGCTCGGCCGCTCGGCGTCTGCCGGCTCGCTCCAGCCGACCAGGAATGACGGGTGGCCTGGGGATACGCGCGTGCGCCAGTAGGCCAGCTCGTGCGCGTCGAGCGCGGCGATGTGGCTCGGCGACCAGAGGTTGTGGGTTGTCGCGGCAGCGGCGGTGGCAGCGGTGCGGTCTCCTGAGCCTCTGCCGCTGCCGTTACCGCTGCGGGAGCCGTAGATGGGATCCCCGTGGGAGGTGGCGTGGGTCGCCGTGCGGAGCGTGTCGGCTTTCTCGTCGCCGCCGTCGACGCTGCCCTTGCTCGTGAAGATGGCGGCTCGTTTCTCGTCGTCGATGCTGTCGTCTGCTGGTGGGGGCGCCAGCGTGCTGCCTTTTGATGATGCTGGGCGGGCCTGTGGAAAGCTCATCATCGAGCCCATCAACGTCGCCTGTACTTCTTCTGGATCTGGCTCTTGCGGGTGGTCTGACGTGGCGAAATCGCCGTCGGCCTTGGAGTTGTTCAGGGTCGTCATATCCGGAGGGTGGGACGCCAGTGGGAGCTGGGGCGTTCTCGACCGTTCTTGGCCGCGCGCCGACTGAGCCATCGCCGCTCGGATTTGTGTGCCTTGACACTTACAAGAGACGAGATATTTGTGTGGCCTCTTGCTGAGAAGCAAACCCGGTGAGATTATTCTTGATTCCTTGGGTTAATTATGTGCTGGCAGTGGCGGGCAGACGGAGAGGGCGAAAAGTCGGACGACCCAGCCGTGGAGCGCGTGTCGGCCGCGGGTTGCCCAGGAAGTGTTTGGCCATTTTAATCTGGATTGGCGACGCCGGTATAGCCCCAGGCGCGAACGCGTCCCAAACGGGAAAAAGTCATCTAGAGAGTAATGTTGGAATCGGCTGCTCCATTGGGAGGGTTCACCCGCAAGCCGATTCGATGGGCCCAGGGGTGTCGACTATGGCTAAACTCGAGCCGCTGCCCGCCCAATTTGTCGGGATTACAGATTGAAACCAGCTATCAACAAAATCTTGGGTAATAACAGGCAAATGGGGCCTTGGGGCTCCAAACTCCCGGCTGGTCCTTGGTCAGCCTTGCACCAGTCGGTTTTCAGCGTTGTCAGCCTTGGTGTTCACCTGGGTCGTGACGAGAAGGGCTGTCGAAATTCTCATAACTAGCTACTATAATCAGAATGAATAATTGTAGGTGTATATTGTAAGCGGGAAAAGGTGATGGGAGAGAGACACACACCTTGGACCGCTTTGGCATAATTGTGGACAATTGTGCGGGAAATATTTGGTTCAAGGCAGCCAGGTTTTCACTGAGGCTCTTGCCAAGTCTGACAGCGGCAAGTTGAATTGTTGAGCTGATGACGCGCTGGTCACAAGAACGCTCCTTCTTTCTTGCAATGGCTAGAACTAGATCCTTGTGAAACCTGGAAGGTGCGGTCTTCAAAGGGTGGGTCCGTTCCGTTTTTTATCCCGACTTTTCCTCCAAGTTCTAATTTAATAATCTGTGACCTGTGCCCTTCTTTCTCGTGCCGAATACACTAAATTCAGCCTATGCTTGAAATAGCCCTACAACTCCTCGGCTCGTCTAGCCTGGCAGCCTAGCAGCCCAGATATTCTCGTTACTGATCTAAGAAGGTGCGGTGCCACAAACGGCAAGCCTCGTGCATTTGAACGCCATTTACAATTCCCCTTTTGGGCGCGTTGGCTGAACCGAAGCTAATGATGGGGCTGCTTGAAGTCCGATGGGTTGTAGATGTCCTTAGCTGGAAGATGACAAGGACTGAGGCATTATTTGTCGAACTGGGCCACTGAGGCTTGCGGAGTGTTTTCTTTCTGCTTACCGTCGAGCTTCTTTGTTTTCCGCTGACCCAGTGAATCAAATTCTGTTTCAGAATCGGTATTCTTTCTTGTTGAATTGTAATCTCACCAATGTCGGCTTTGTTTGCAGCCTTTGTCACCTGGCAACTCCTGGCGCAGCCTGCTTCGGCCGCGGCACCAGGTGCGCTGTCAATTAGGGACCAGGCCGGCTTCATCGAGTCCCGGCATTGCGTGAGCGACGCCTTCATCATCTGGGACCGTGGCGGTCTCTGGAACGGCGCGTTGAAATGCAGCAAAGACGAGTCTGGCAGTTATCTTGACTTGTGTGTCTGCCGGTGCGACCTCAGGCCGGTAGTTGAGGCTTTCGTGTCTAGCTACACAAATCGGCATGCCAGAGCACACCGTCGATATCCAGAGCGCGCAGCTGCTCTACAATGCCTATTGTGCTACTGCCGTGACGGCTCCGTGTGCGGGCTATACTCCTGTACAGGTCGCAGTGACGCTTCCCACGACGGCCCCTGCGACTTTGTCCATCTGGTCCGCAGACAACCACTTCAGCGATGCTCGTTCATGCGTTACCGGCGCCTTTGTCAACTGGGGTAGAGGAGGCCTTTAGAACGGTCCCCTATCGTGCAACAAGAAATTAGACGGGGCTTATCTAAACGATTGCGTCTGCCGGCCTGACCTCCTCGCACTGGGAAGGTCTTTATTTCTTTATTTCTTTATTTCTTTCTTACTTTCTTGCATCTTCCTGCTCGTCTAACTTGATCGACATACGGAGCGGGCTTGATTTGTACAATGGCTACTGCTTAACTGCGGCTGAAGCCGCCATTCCGTCCTCCACACCTAACTCACGGGACTCAACTCCGACCGCGAGTGGTGAGTCTCGCATAACTACCACAACACTCCACGGCAGCCCGACTCTGACATCAAGTGGCGAATCTTCCGCAGGCTCAACCTCGAAAGATAGCACAAGGCCTCCAATCGCAAGTAGGTTTTTTGTTCTAGATGTTGTCAGAGACCACTTCAGAACATCTACTCACGCAAGTCTCACAGCGGGTGCCACAGGCAGTCCTCCTAGTGCGGTAGCTCTACAAACGACGGCGGGTTGAGCTAGTCCGATAAGATTGCTCCGGGCCTCGGGATCGGTATCGGTCTCCCAGGAGCAGCTGCCGGTGTGGTGGCATACTGCTATACTATTCGGCGGCGGCTGAACTGACTAGGAGTTTAGACCTATATTATAAGTAGAACGGGCACAATGGGGTTCGAGCCACGGCCAAAGAAGCGAAAACGCACAGAGATACCTATCAATTAATTACAAGCTGTGGTTTTAGATCATCATGATATCGAGCTCAACCAAGGCGCATTCCGTCGACTCATAATTTCGTCTCATCATAACTTCTCAGGGGAAAAGAGTTCCGGATGCTCCGCCACCCAGCGAGCAACCTTGTTGCACGGCGCGCACCAGATATCCGGATCGGCGCGAATGCGCGCCAGCACCTCGTCCATGAGCGCCAGCTTCTCCTCGCTCGTCTGCAGAAAAGGGTGGAACAAGATGGACATGAAGCTGTTGTCCCGCACCACACCATCGATCTTGGCCAGCAAGAAGGCGCGGAACTCAGCCGGCGGCAACACTGTCTCAGGCGCGCCGTGCGCCCTGCGGATCCCCGCGAACTTGTCCATGTAGTAAAAGGCGTCTACGGCACGCCACTCGAACGGCAGCACAACGACACCGTCGAGGCCTTCCAGCACGCCAAACCGGCCCTTATCGTCGTCAGCCAGCGGCGACGCGTACCGCACGCCGTGCCGCGCCAGCAGCGCGTACGTGCGCCCCGCGTCGGGGACGGTGCCGCCCGGCGGGCGGAACCCCTCGTACGCGTCTATGCCCGCTGCCGCGGCGGCCGCGAAGCTGCGCTCGAAGCTGCCCGCCTCGTCCGCAGCCGACAGGCTGCTCCACGTCTCGTGCTGGTACCCGTGCCACGCCACCTCGTGCCCGCGCCGCCGCAGCTCCGCGACCGCGTCTGGGTATACCGCCAGGCTCCACGCCTCGGCGAAGTACGTCGCGCGCACGCCGTGCTGGCCAAGAAGCTCTAGCATCCGCGGCAGCTGCTCGCGCACCGACGGGTGCGTCCCTACCGGCCCCCGCCACGTCCCCTTGTTCACGTCCTGCGCCTCGCCTAGGTTGTCCATGGTGAAGCTGATGGCCGCCTTGGCGCCGTCGGGCCAGCGCGGTGGCGATAGTTCGCTGGCCATTTGCTTGTTCTTGTGTTGAGGATGTGCACTGCGACTTGTGAAGTGAGTTGAGGCTGTCTGTCGGCTGTCTGGTGAGAGTGGAGTGGAGGACTCGGGAACTACTTAGCCGGAGCTGAGAGGCAATGAAGGGGTGTTGCACCCCGCTTTTGGGGACGCAATATACCTAGGCTTGCTCTAATTCGACGGCACATCATGGAGCCTGTGCACATGGTTGATCGTTGGGTGAAACTGAGCTTGCTAAGGTCCCTGATATGCTGAGTCTAGGAAGTTCTAGGTCGCGAGCAAATGCACAGATGGAGAACAATCCCAAGTATTCTGACCGCAACATTTACAGCACCTGGAGTCCACACCGTCTTCAAGATCCCTTGCGAGCACATGGCCTATATTCGAGGAGGCCGTTCATTTCCAGGTGCCGCTGCCCCAAGCTCCGCCAGCGTTGGCGCCGACATTGAAGGCGTGGAAGGCCGCAAACTGGCTGCCGCCCCTGGAGAAGTTGGCATATAGGTACCCCTGAATTTGGTAGGTAGAGCGCCGCAAATGTCAGTCTCGTCACGCGTGAGCAGTCACAGCTGCGTAGAAAAGGAACAGAATACTCGCTGCGTACCGGCGTAGCCCCAATGTACATGTCGCAATCGCCCTTGACGTCCTCGCTGCTGTTGTAGTACAACGTGCCACTGAGAATGATTAGCGGCGGCCCGCAAAGGCTTCAGCCAGAGACGAGCGAAAACTACATACAACAGCGCGCCGCCAGGGAGACCGGCGACGAGGCCAAACGACTTGCCGTCGAAGCTGCGGCCTAGGCCGTCGGCCTTGACCTGCAGCTGGTTGTAGACCCAGACGTTGAAGAGCGAGCCGGCGGCGCCTGTCTCGTTGGAGAATCCGGCGTCTTTGACGGAAGCCGTCGTGAGGGCTGCCGTCTTGGCCGGGCTAACGATGCTGTCGAGGATCACGGACCCGTTGGGCTGCCCCACGATGAAGTCATAGAAGGACTTGAGCTGGTTTAGGTTGGTCGTCTTGCCGTCGATGCTGCCGTGTTCGGCTTGCAAGTGCTCCACGAAGGACGAGAACTGCTCTGACTGCTCCGCGGAGACGGCGACGTCTGCAACGGCCATGGTAAGAGGTGTGTGTGTGTGTGTGTGTGTGTGTGTGTGTGTGTGTGTGTGTGTGTATGTGTGTTTGATCTCGAGATTAAAGGAGTGAGGCAATAGAGGGTGATCCAGATGAGCAAAAGCTCTCGGCGGGCGCCAGCCTTTATAGATAATCAACCATCTAGTCGGGTTTGATCCCTGTAGACAGCATAACAATACCATGACATCTCCCTCCAGCCATATTCCCTTTCGGCCATGCCTCCGTCCCCATATTGAGCTGAAACCGCAATAGCAGCTTCTAGAACCTTGCGCCTACGATGTCGCGTACATAAAATAACTAGACTATATCCAATAGCCCGCCGCCGTGTATTGATTTCGTCTCTCGGGGGGGAAAGGAGGCTATCGCAATATGAGCTGAGGCGGGGCGGTCGGGTAACACGGAGGTGCTCTGGCTGGTCGAGAACATCGGCCCTGCAGCGGGCGACATATATTGTCGACTAGCGCGGCATAAGCGCCAGTGGGGATTGCCCGGCTCGAACTAGATGCGGCGAGGGCTGGCTGAAAAGACGGGCGCCGTGCAGGACGCTGCTGCAGGCTAGCTCTAAAGTGGGACTTGGGTCGTGAGGGGAGGAGCTCGAGATCGAGATCGAATACATATTTATTGTTTTTCTTGTGTGCCGGGAGTCGGTCCTGCTGGACTTCTCGTGAGTAAATACGACAAAAGTGCATGGTTTCTCCTACTACGGGATTACCTCGAGCTTCATAGGAGGTTGAGAGCTTACCTTGCTAAGCCCGACAGAAATGTTGGCCTAGTTAGGAGCGTAGCAGGGGGCGAGGAGAAATCCACCCTTGGTTGCCGATGATAGCGCCTCAATTTCCAGGTGATGGACCTTGGGAAGAAATCAAAGGTACATATCGACTTGCTTTGGGAGAAGCGTTGGACCACTTAGCTCTTGGGCTTGATAGAAAAGCCCGTGGCGCTTCGAGCGTCAATGGCAGGAGGTGCCGGTTTGAAAGGCTGATGCGGCTCTGGTAGTTTGTTATTCTCTGGCTTCGTAGGTTGCGTACGATATGTTCGTGCACTGCACGTACTCATCCATAGATGCTTAAAGCTTTCCCTCGAAAGCTGCAGGCACTGGCCTCGGGATTACAGAATAAACAGGCGACCAGGGCGGCTCTTCCGTCCGCTAGGTTGGCCTGCTGCCTGCCCTATCTGTCCAAGGTCGGGTACCTATATCATCTGAAGGGGTGCCGTCACTGGGCTTAGGGCATATAGGCTTCTATTCCGCAACACCTTTCAACCTTCGGGGCCGCGAGGGGTAGAGACCCTACTTACCTGGTCCCCTACTCGTAGTCAAGCGGCGAGCCTCATCCCCAGGGGTAACGACCCGCTTGGCGCCCCTCGCCTTTTGCCAGGTCCATGGTTCGAGTCTTGGCTTTGTTGCCTTGTTTCTTTTTTGCTTGTCTCGATTGATTGTTTACTTTCTACGGGATTTTCTTTCTTTAATTCCCAACCCCTAGCATACCCCATCTTCTCCAACATCCCTTGCCTTTTATCCCAAGACCTTACGGCAGACGCGGATCCGACTCCGCCGCTGGATACGGCCCACCACGTGCAGTTCGTTGCCAAGGCAGTGGATCGTGATAGCAAATTGGTACCTGATACTCGTCACGTAGCCTTCCTCGCCTGCGAGCCTCTTCTGCGCGGTCTCAGATTACGGGCGTAATGGGTTGCCAATAGAGGAACCGGCCACGACGACACGTGTGCTGCAGGGAGGATCGGCTATTCCAGGTACTCGCCGTTGTGTGGTCTCGATGTCTGGAACCGAGTCATGGCGGCAGCTACTAAATGCCGGACGAGGTAGTATCGGGTCACCACCTCTCCGCGGTGCAGCCTTTACTAGGCTCCATCTCTCCACTCGCAACGGGTCTCGGGATGCGAGGGTTACATCCCATGTGCAGCCGCGCCCTGGTTACTCCATTATTGGAAAAAATAGACGACCTAAATCTCGCGCCTGCTCGTTGTATTTTGAGGGTTGTTTTCTGTCCAGCTTCCTATTTCAAAGCGCCTGCGTACCTAATCTTTGACGACATTCCGCTCGCACCTCTGTCAAAATGGTCTTGTTGCGGCTTGCCTGCCTGGCTGCCCTTGCTGCCAATCTCGTTGCATCTTACTCGCCAAGAATTTCCAGCATAATCAAGCAGGCAAAGAGAGGTAAAAATTTCAATGTTCTACTCCTATCTCCACTGCACGAGCGACGAGGCTGACAGAAGCTGACATTGAAAATGTTGACACCCTCCAGACGGCATCACTTGGCGTCTCTCCCGTTCGCATCCGCAGCTTTCGTCTTTATTGATACCATCCCCAAGTACAACTATTCAAACCTCGACTTTTCGCACGCGTCGCGAGTAGATACCCATGGTTCGCAACATTTCTCCCTCGGCCGTTTCCTACTGAATGGCGCTGACAGTTTCTGCCTTCCTGATTAGTTCACGTCGTCTCCGATTCCTACCTCGGGCTCGTCCCAACGAGGGGCTGTATCTCAGGAACGCGGCGCTGGCGCCCTTCGTCACGGTCCTCAACGCCACGGCCGGCGGGCCTCACGTGTGTATGGTCCACCCCAGCGAGCCGCTGATGCGCGTCAACGGCAATCTCGTCGTTGCCAATCCGATCTATAGATTGGCTCTTCTTGATAATAAAGACGCGGTCTTTAACGCCGAAGTTAGATTCTCGGTAATAGTAGTTAGCCTAGTCTATTTATGCGATATATAGATTAAAGCTGTTCACGGAAAAGTAGCCAGTACCCGGCGGAAGCACGAAGCACAAGTCCAACACGAAAGGTTCTCGGATCCGGCTAAAACTAGCGCATCACATGCCGGCCGCTCCGCTCCACACACCCGAAACTTGAATGGCCCGGAGCCGTCAAGGTTCGGCACAAACATGGATTTGCCGATAACACGTACACCAAGAAGACTCACTGCTTCCGCATATAAATAGCGTGACTTATTCCACATAGATAGCATATGCCGCAGTCTGGGCTGCTGTTTGGCAGGCGCGTGGCCTCAAATTTCAGCAGCCAGGGCCGCCTCAATAAGTATCTACATGTCGGGCGGGGCACATGTCCTCTCGGTGTTAATAGTACCCGCACAGTACTAAACCCCTGGCACACACGTAAGCGCTGCCCACCAATCCTCAGCAGGTTGGCGGGAAGCCGAACTTACGGCGGTTCACACTTGCGGCGATGACCGTCAGCCCCCACGTGAGTAGCCACTCGTCAACATGTAACCCAGCGAATGATCCCTGCCCCTCGGAGAGATCACGCCACGACAATAGTTGAACTTGTGCGGCATCTGTGCTCAGCTTGCGAGTCTAACACCGGTCAGATCCAACTGCGTTTCAATATCTCGAAAGACAGCGGCCAAGGAAATGACGCAAGACACATCTGGAATGGTGTTCCACCCTGAGAAATACAATCCTGTTGCCTGGCCCTCCCTGTCGAACACCAATGACCCAGAGTCTCCCTTAGCGCCAAAGGGAACGTCAGATGGAACGCCCAGAAAACACCAGTACAGACACCACGGGTAGTCCGAGTAAGAGTGTTGCCACGGGCCGGATGGATCCGTGGCGGTGCCGGGCGCCTGTCGGCCGGGATGTCGCAGCGAGCCCTTGTTGAACACCATGGACCGGCACGGGTTGTACTGGCCGGCCGTCCAGCCCGTGGTGCGGCCGACCTTGAAAAAGACCTCGTTGTGTTTTGGCGGATCGCTACGCAGCTGCGAGATCTGCCCTGGAATGGTGCCGGGAAGCAGGCTCGCGGACGGCCCAGGACGGCCGAGCCGGAGTCGTATTGGCGGAAAGCCCATCGCCTTCTCTATTGCGTTTATGACAGTGCCGTTATTGTTTCCTGAGAACTGGATAGGTGGGAGCTAATGAAAGTTTCGTCAGCCACGATAACTACAAAGACGGGCACTTTGGGGGAGGGACGGACCTTGTTCAGATCGCTCGGTTGCAGCTTCAAGTCCTCCAATACGACGGCCCAATCCATAGGCATTTCGGTCGGTGTGTCTAGCCGGGAACCACCGGTGCCGAAGACATCGCCAACCTTGCGCTTTGCCGAGAGAAAATCCTGCAGGGTTCTGTCGGCCTTGTCTCTCGCTTCTTCTAGCTCGCGGATAGAGCTTTCGTCGCCGCTGCCTTGCAACGCGATAACGTCCGCGTCAGCAAGAGCCAATCGCTCTCGCATATACTGTTCCGTGGCGTCGGCGTCAGCGTCCGACGGTGCAAGCATTGCATATCGATGAGCCGAGGCTTTCGTCATCTTGTACGCCCGATCGGCGAAGAGATTTGTTTCTACTTCATGTGAGTAGGGCGAAAACGCCAGGAGACATGGTCGATGCCTACCAAGGTAATTTCTCTCTGATGTGAAACAGACGTGGTCGCACGTGAGGGCCATGATAACTTCGTCATGGAATGGCGGCTTTTGTCGCGCCACGACGTGTCCTCCGAATGATCCGCTGGAACCCCAGGCATTGCTCCACGGCGGTCCGATGGACGCACCAAGGTAGAGATTCCTGTCAAACGGGCCGTCGAGCACATGCGGATCGCCATGGCCTCCAGCCCTCTCACCAGCGTTGTGAGGTTCCATCATCTCGGCAATCTCGACTTCGACGTCGGGCAGTCCACGCGATCGGCACATGTCCTGAATCTGTGTTGCGATGGATTTTCCCTCGCCAACTGAGACCGTGTTTGGCTCGGCAAGGACTAGTATCGTGACGGGATTGTCCGCCGCAGCCATTCCAAGTCCAATTCGAAGGCAATCCACAGACAAGAAGTGGTCCCCCACGTTCAAGTTTCTGATGGCTGGAAGAATATCCGACTCCCAGATGGGCACAATAGAGTGGCTGCCTTCGATGGTGAGCAACCGTTTTTTCAAGACAAAGCCGGAATCTGTGGGGTCTCGGGGCGGCTGGCTCTGGGGGACTCCGTTTGCTGCAGTGCTCGAGATCAGCTTCAGAGCCGCTTTGAGACCGTAGTAATAAGTCTCTGCGTTGAATGGCGCTGCATCGTTGGACGCCATTATTCGCGTAGCTGTAGCAAGTGGTTCTTCAGGCTCATTATCGAATATGCTCTCTCCTTCACCTGACCAGTCTGTTGACGTGGTCGAGGTGCTGAATCGATGGACGTGGTTCCACGGGATCAACTCTGTTTCTTCTTGTACGTTGGTTTCTTCGAAGGCTGAAACACTGTCGACGTGCAGAGACTTTGCCGATGGGTAACCACTTTCCCAGATGGCAACAGCAGCGTGCTGCTCGTCAGCTTGCGCCCCGGGGACTTCAATGACTCCATGCGGGGCAGTACTGGGCTCGGTTGTGGATATGGGTGGCGCTAGGAAATCTCCACTTTTCAGGTTTGTGGGCTTGAATTTGAGAAGTCGAATAGCGAAAACGAATTCAGAGCTGGAGCTGAACGCTTGATGAGTGACGCCACGAAAGTCGGGCCAAGTCTTCTTCGACGAGAGAGAAGCGCCTCGCGCAATCTTGACCCCAACAACCATGTATATCGTAGAAGAGGGCCATTTTAGTACATATTGCCTTACCTCGGCGGATTTGAGCGTCGCCTTCAAGTCGGCATTTGAAGGATAAAATTCTTGGGTGACTAGGCTGTCGCACCGAAGGATCGCAGAATCTTCAGTGTTAACTGATGGTGATAGATAACTAACGAATTTCGAAAATATGCTCGAAGCCCTTTTCGCGGAATTGAGATCCCACGTGAAGTTTGTCGCCTGGGATTCGTGCAACCTCGTAGCCGGTAGGTCCAAACCGTTCGACAAGGTTTGTAATCCAGGATAGATGACCACGGTACCGAGGCGGAAACGCCCGCCTGGGGTGGTCGTGTAGTTGGGCAATAGAATCCATGTCTTCTTGTAATCCATGGTCTGGGCCATATCGGGGGATGTCAAGCTTTACTGGCCGGCTGTCCAAGGAAGAGCCAAGAGATGTGTGGAAGGGGAATATGGAAATGCTGTTGTGAGGATCTGCGCTCGACTAAGGTGGGAATCGTCCAATATCACAATAAAAGCGGGGTATCAGCGCCAACGTCTTCATGCCTTGAATTGAAGGCATCAAATCTAGCCCACTATATCCGACACCTTAAAATAGTGGTCTGGGCGCAGAATTTGATTGGCTAGCCTCGATAGATCCAGCGTCCAGCGGGGAACATGGGAGCAATCAGAAACGGCAGTCTGAAAGGCAAGACGGCAATCTCAACAATGCAATAAAACGGTGCAACCCAAATACAAGCAAATATAGCCAAATAAAATAGGACCAAAATCCCGCTCAAATAGAGCAAATAAAAAAGCTTCATATTTGATTTGCTTTGTTTCTATTTGCCAAAAGTGGAGCATTTTTGGGGCCAATTTTTCCCAGATTGAGGGCATCGCCGGCAAGTTCCGCCGCCATGAAAATCTGGATTTTCAGGGCCAAAAGATTGCATTTTCCCTATGACTACTACGTTGAGCCCGCTGCCGACCGCTCAGAGCTTCAAGAATACCTTCAGGAAGTCGTCAAACCTGTTGATGCCATACTGGCTCGGTGGGTTAACAGGAAAGACGACTTTCCACGCCTTGCGCGCATGGCTTTGGACATCCTCTCGATCCCGGCGATGTCAGCCGGCTGCGCGAGGCTATTCAGTGTGGCCAAATTGGTAATTGGGCTTCAAAGACAACTTCAAAGCGATACCATCAACAAGCTGCTCTGCCTGTTGGATTGGCTGCGGAATTCGGTCTTTTGGAGCATGGCCTTGGGCATCACTGGCTTCCGGCGTCCCGGCACGAAGATTTTTGGTCTTCCGATCTTTACCCGGGCCGGATTAATATTCTTCAGTACCGGGTCAAATCAAATCAATTACACATATTAACTCAAATTGGCATTTTTTGGCTTCAAGCATAGCCTTGTATGGACCAAATAAAGCAAATATAGACCCTGTATTTGATTTGTTTGCATTGTTGAGAGCGCTGCTTAGACAAGATTTGGGGTGCTAGGTCTCCATCATTAGTGGGAAGGGCCACGGCACATGCATTCCAAAAGAAATCGCATCTCATGTCAACCGCAAACCACGCCTCGACTATTGAAGACACAAATTTGAACACTTACCTCTTCCTCTCAATCTGTCCAGTCTCTCTAGTTGAGAACTGGGCCGTTAGAACCCACACCAATGCACCGCCACAAACAGGCTCGAAAACCGAAGCCCATGCCTACTCGGGGTGCTTAGGCACTAAGCCTTGGTTTCCAGGAGTATAGGCCTTTGCTTGAGGGTAGTAGTATGACTTGGAAAACCCATTACACCCGTTCACGCAATGTGGCGGCGTATAAGGGTCTTGGTATGCAACGTCAAACAGGGTGCCATCCTCGGCATCGTACAAGACGCGGACCGGACCAGGGTTGCCTGACCTAGTGACCCAAAAGCGGCCTGGGAGGAGGGGAAAGGCTTGAATTGAACGCCAGGCTTGCAAGCGCAATTTCTCGTAGTTTTTGAAGAGTTTTGGATACTTCGGCTTTGGCGGTTGTATTTTTCGTGCAAGTTGAACTTGTTTTCTCACGTGTGCAGCGCCGACCGATGCGAGTTCTTTCTGAGAATCAACCAGGTTATGGCTAAGATACTGAAACTCGCCTCAATCTCGGTTAGCTATGTGAGGTAGGTAACAAGAATAGGGAGGAGGGTAGGCCGGTGGGCATCACGAACGTGAGATTCGGCGCTTGATACACGGCGAAGGGGGCGGAACACGGGTCGCGAGACAATACAGTCATCGCCCCACTTGACTTCTAGGTCAGTAGTCTCTCTAGCAACAATGTTCCACAGAGACTTTAGAGGTAGAGAGGCCTCCGTGTGTAGAACGTTGACCGCCTGGTCATCTCGAATTGGAAGAAATATAAGGGTAGCAGACTGTTCGGTGATTGGTACGGGATTGGTCACGGCTGTTGGTTTTGTTGTTTTTCAAGGATCCAGGACGAGCATTAAGGGGTAGTAAACACGATGAACTGGCTATCCCCTGCACAGTGACCTTGAGCCAGCATGCTAGCTACCTGTGTATGTACATATAGTTTAGCATTTCTGATAGAAAGGAAAGACTCAACGATGGACAGCGATACGGGAGAAGGGGGCCGTTCAAGGCACCAGCTAACAAGCTGGTGTCAATCGGTAAGGCCGCCCATGTCTCAGCAACAAACGATCTCCAGTCATCAGTGTCACTCCATAGAGAATTGGATAACTGGTGGCCCAGGTGAAGTTAAGCTGAGACGATAGGATACATATGACGGCCCAATACTATTGAGAAACCAGGCCGCTTCCAAGGCCTTATTGGGATGAGATGTTGATATCGGCCATATTGAGTGGATAAAATCGGACCGCATTGAGTGGATAAAAATCGGACCGGTCATTTATTGAGGCAGACCATAAAGTCAATTCCAAACGAGGCTTGTGACGCTGATATCCATGGAACTCAGAAAGATACACTCATCCTTTTGAAAGGACGTTTGGGTCTGGGCCTGAAAGTAGAGCAAAGACAGGCGATTACTCGCCTTATTGTGTTCTGAAACTCGACTGATATCTGACAAGTGACAGGCCAACTTCGGCAGAGCCGAAACATTGGTTGCAACTTGTAAGTGTTTTATCCAGATGCAAAAAAGAAAAAAGAATTAAGTAGGCGGTGAGGTTTAAAATTGTACCTAATTGGAAGCTGCGACATAGGCCAACAAATCGGGTCACGGGCAGTGTTAAAAAGATAGGTTGCGGCAGAGAGTTTAATTTTTGATCTAATTTGTTTTTAGCGCTTTGTTGTTCGCGAAAAACGATAGGGAGGGCGGCCAAGACCACACTAATTCGAGAACAGTCACAAACACCAAAACAATGCTGAGCTCGAAACGGGATTGTGCAGCTCCCAGACCAAAGGCAACTCTAATTCCGCTTTGCTAGTTCCCGCTTCGCTCCTTTTCGTCCATTGCAGTCGCGTCATGACCTCATCCAAGCCAATCCGCTTAGTCATCGCCCAACCGCGCTCCATTCCAGACTCGAACCCAAAAACGGCAATTTCAACCTCGTCCGGTCACCCGCGGTTTGCAGCCCAGATCCCGCCTCAAACCACCAACCCGTCTCAAACACCACTCACTCTCACACCCACACAAAGCCCCGCCCTTCCAATCTCAAATGGAAGAGCTAGACCTCCTGATCCTGGGCGCGGGCTGGACAGCGACGTTCCTGATCCCACTGCTGCGGGCACGCAACATCCAATTCGCGGCAACGACCAGCGACGGCCGCGCCGTAGCAGGCAGCCCGACGATTGCGTTCCGCTTCGACGCGGCGGCGCCCGACCAGAGCGCCATCGCGGCCCTGCCGCGCGCGCGCTACGTGCTCGTGACGTTCCCGCTCGTCGGCGCCGGGCCCAGCCGGCTGCTCGTCGACTCGTACGAGGCCACGCACCGGCGGCACCACCACCCTCACTCTGGCACAAGCAAGTTCCGCTTCATCCAGCTCGGAAGCACGGGCGTGTGGCAGCAAGCGGGCGGCAGCGGGCAGGCAGCGACAGCCAGCGCCCCAGACGGCCCCTGGCTGACGCGGCGCTCGCCGTACGACGCCGGCGACAAGCGCGCCGTGGCCGAGGACGAGCTGCTGGCTCTGGGCGGGTGTGTGCTGGAGCTGGCGGGCCTGTGGGGCGGCGCGCGCGACCCGCGGCACTGGGTCGGGCGCGTCGTCGCCACCAAGGACGCCGTGCGCGGCAAGACGAGCCTGCATCTGATTCACGGTGTCGATGTGGCGCGCGCCATTGCTGCTGTCATGGCTGGTGGTGATGATGCGTGGGCTAGCGCTGCTGCCGGCCAGCGCTGGATGCTCACCGATGGCTTTGTCTATGACTGGTGGGCGCTGCTGGCGGGTTGGGCGGATGTTGCTGTGGCTGTGCCGGCTGGGGAGGGCGAGGGAGAGGACGACAAGCAGCCGACGGAGCAGGCCCGCTGGGTGTATGAGTTGATGGTTGAAGAGGGCGTGCGCGCGCTGCCGAGGTCCATGGAGCGCCTGGGTCGCTGCTACGACTCTCGCGAGTTCTGGGCCACGTTTGGACTGGCGCCACTCAAAGCCCGCGTGTGATGTGGCTTGGGCATTGGCTGTTCGAATGGGCTGTTGGTTCGCGGGGGTGGGAAATCACTTGGTAGTATTGTGCCGGTTATTACAAAAGAGACATCTCACATCTTCATAGCGGAAGTTGAAGCACGATTAAGAATCAAAACAAATTTTCTCAACTGTTATAGTTATTTCATTTCAAATACCGAACAAACAACAAAGTCGCACATGCCGGCGATGTCTACCAGCACATTCTACTTTGTCAGCAGGCCAGCCAGCATCGTGCGATCACGCGAGGAGACAAAAGGGGATTTCGCTTACCGGCAAGGCCAGAGCCATCCGTACCGAGTTCCCTCCTAGAAATCCAGCGGTCTCCGTACATGTCCTCGTACGTGGCCGTGTCGTCGTCGGCATCGTAGCCGATCTGGCGCAGGCCGTTGGGCCAGTCCCTACGCCCACGGGAACTGTTGTCAATGAAGATGCGTCTGCGCATGCGGGGCTGAGGGTTGTCCTCCTCCTCCTCCTCGTCGGGCTCCTCGGGCTCCTCGGGCTTCTCCTCTGGGATCGCCGGCATCGAGCGTGCATGGCTGTCGGGAGAGGAAGCACGCGACACGACCTTCTTGACCTCCTTCTTGACCTCCTTCTTGACCTTGTTCAGCAGCCGCCGAGCGGGGCTGGGCCTGGGCGAGTCGGTTTCCGGGTTGGGGCCCATCTCGGCCAACCGCTTGAGAATGTCGTCGAAAGTGTCCCCGCGGGTTGGGTACTCCTCGTTAGCATCATCGGTGGAGGCGAAGTGCTCGTCTGTCTGCACACGTTGAGAAGACGCAGCAGATTTGTTAGAGTCATGGCATGAGTGGCTCGCGAGAGCACGGTTACCGAGAGACCGCGTCGTGAACTTGGCGTCGTCGCCCGGCGTCCACTCTGGCTCGTTGTCGAAGACCATTGGGGTGGGCTGGCGAAGGTGTGCCGGCTGGCGAAGGGGTCGAGTAATGCACTTGGCGTCGTCGCCTGGTGTATACTCTTGATTGTGTGCGATTGCCCGCTGTGAAGTTTGTCAGGGTGATGATGATGGGTCAGAGTGATGATGATGGGACAATTGGCCCAGGCTAGGAGAAAGCTTGAAGTCTTTTATGGCTCCAATCTAAGGCCCTCCTTAAGACTTGGATATGAAGCCATTTGGAGATGGGCTCTGATGTTGTATTAAACCAGAGAGGCTGCGTTGTGAACATGAACTAAATATTACTTACACTAATTTAACACAGGCAAAGAAATAGGTCTATTTGTATCGAGTTCTGGAACTATCTTACACAATCTCGTTCCGGGCTAAAGACAGATACATGTCCTGGATATTAAACTAATAAATATATTCAGACACCAGACCGGCTGCTCCATACCGTCTGGGCTGTTGTTCCAAGAGGAACAAAGGCGGATAGTATGACTCCGAGAACGGAGTACGAGTGGTGCCTATTCCTTTGTAGGCCATTAGGTACCTGAGTGATCAATTATTCATCTGTTATCATAGATTAATCTCCTTTGTTGATCAGGTGCCGTCCTGTTTGGACACGCTTCCGTTGTTCCACCCATAGCCTCCACCCAAAATCACAGGGCCTGTACTATTCGAGCGACTGCCGGATTAGTGACACGAAGTCTGCAACAGCGCCTCGGCATTAGCAGGAAAGATGGCCTTTATCGCCGCAAGTATAAACCGCTATAAGCTCGGTTTCCCGCCAACCTAAGGGTTGGAGGTGTATAGCGCTTGCCTATATGCGAGGGGTTTAGTACTATGCGGGTACTATCAATACCGAGAGGATATGTGCCCCGCCCGATATGTACTTGTTGATGCGGCCTAGACTGCTGAAACTTGAGGCTACGTGCCCGCTAAAAACAGCAGTCCAGACCCCGGCATATATTGTCTGTGTGAAAAGTAACCCGAATAGATATACGGAATACGGAAATTGGGGGTTTGGTGAACAGTATGTGCAGTCTCGCTACACGAGAAATGCTCGTAGCCAAGAATTTATCGTCCAAGTAGCTTAGACCTAGTAGTCCCGGTCCTCTAGTTCCAAAAGTCAGTGTTGGGAAACATGCATCAGCTACTACACGCAGCAGATCCCGCTAAGCCGACTTTACGGGCCTTGTAACATATTGTCACGGATTAGTCTAGTACAGACCAACCCCCTAAACTGCATTCGGTATCGATGTATACATAAGGGCGCGGGGCGGATCTCACATGTAACTATCAACCGCCCCAGTTACGCATATAAGGCCTAGCGCTCCAGGGCTACATCTTACGTCCAAAATAACACCACCATCCATCAAAGCAATCTTGAGACGAAAGACACTTCCGTGTTCGTTCATTGACACTCCAGCAAGATGCCACCTCCCCACACAGTCCGGTTCGCACGGTCAGCAGGTGAATCCGACTTCCAACAGCCAAACAGACTAGACGCCACATCACTAACTCAGACGCAGACGTCCCCACGATCCTATCCTTCATCATAAAAGCAGCAGCCGAACAGGCTCCCGACACCGTCGTCGAAGCAACCGAAGCGAGTCTCAGCTCGACGCTCCACCTCGACACCTCCTCCCAACCCTCAGCTACAACAACCACCAACCCAAACCCGACTCCCCAACCGCGCTTCGCCTGGCCGCTCCTGATAATCTCGCCCGACGGCACAACCGCAGGCCTGGCCGTCTACCTGTACAACTTCTCGACGTGGCGGGCGCGCCCGGGCGTCTGCCTCGAGGAGCTGTACGTGCTGCCCGAGTACCGGCGGCTGGGCTACGGCAGGCTGCTGGTCGAGGCCATGGCGCGCGAGGCCCATGCCGCCGGCTGCGCCAAGATGGAGTGGGTGTGTCTGCGGGACAATGTTAGGGCCTTGAGGTTCTACGAGGGCCTCGGCGCGGCGCGCATGGACGACTGGGTCGTGCTCAAGGTTGGGCCCGAGGGGATTCGTGGCCTTGCGGGGAGAGTTGGGGGCTTGAATTGATGGCGTGTGTGGCTGGGTGCTGTGGATGGAGATAGATGGCTTGACGCACTGAGAGAGTGGTACAGGGAACATGTATCTCCTCTCGCTCGCTGTACTACCTGCACCCCTTAGCCCAATACAGATTCTATAGCTTCTCTTGTTTCCTTTTATGTGATTGGAAGCCTTGGCATCGAGCGATGTAGGTTGTTAGGGCTGACCTGTTCTACGCAAGCCGTTGCGATAAGGAATCCCATAAAATACCGCGGCTTGTGCCAGAGCCTAATCCGTTCAGTTCTCTCAGTCTTCTCCCCGAGCGCCATAGATCTTGTAAAATGAAGCTATTTCGTCGAAAGACCCTGCTCCGGATAAGGAGGTTTCAGTGACAGACCTGTCTCCTATCAGTGAGAAGTTTGGTTCGAACAAGAGAATCAAGGTGCGTTATCATACCGCCAAAGTCTTGGGCCCTCGGTCAATAAAGGAAGCTCACTAATAAGCGGTAATAAGCGGAAATAATTAGGGCCACCTGATGCTCATGCGGATATTCAAGGAAATTATCGCCTATGCGAACTCTGAATCACACGTTTCGGAATTCCCAGAGCCTTATTTCGGCATCTCCGAGGCAAACGGGGCAGCCCAGTGGAGGCTTCGGTGCATCCTCATAAGCGCCGAGGTCCGCTACTCGATGTACCTGAAACTATTGGCAACTTGGATGGCCTCTCGTGGCCCGAATGTGCCAAAGAAAGAGTGGCCGCTGCCACCATGGGTCGTATAGTTGGAGTCCCCTTGCTTAATACCTGGCTTCATAAGTGAGTAATTGGTTATGGCCTGACAGTGCCTGGGCAGGGACGTTGTCATCATATTCTACTCCCACCTCCTTTCGCCGTTGGGTTTCAAGAGAGACATCACTCCCCATTTCGCAACCCTTTGGGATGAAGGGATTGAGTTTCCGCTGGCCAGGATGCGTATCAGGACCAACGACACACTTTCTGAGCGTGAATGGGAGCAAGCGTATCCTAGTTCGACTTACCGAATTGTTGCCATACGGTTTAACGAGCCGTTGGTACCCACCGTCACACTGTCTTCTGCGTCTGCAGACAAAATGGACATTTGGGTATATAAGTGCTTGGCAGATTTTGACACATCGTATTCCACCCTAATGAAGGAGTGGGCCAGGTATCGCCCTGGATACAAAGCCCTCGTTTGCCCAAGGTGCAAATCAAGGTCACTTAGACCATACCCTATAAACGCACTCACATTCCCCATATTCAACCTATGGACCAGTTCTATACGCCGAGTCTGCCGCGGCGGCTTCGTGGCTGGGTTCATCGCCTTGTTCACGACAGCTCGCCTTCCGACGCGCCGCCCAATACCGTTTCGCGCTATCTCCGGTTCCTCTATCTCATGAAGGAGGGTGTCGGGTCCGTCTACGTGCCAACCCTTGACATCGACCCTGTTTGGCACACGCACCAGCTTGCTCCTGTCGCCTATGATCGGTACTGCATCAGGTACATCGGGTCCGCCATCAACCACGACGACACGATTCGCGGGGTGGGCCGCTCTGTATGGCAGGACAACACAGCGCAGCTGTGGGCGTTGAAGTATGGCGAATCTTACTACGACCCAGCCAATGCAGCCGAGACGGCCGAGATTCAACGGCGCAGAGCTATTTGGAAGCTCCAACACACCGAAGTAGCGTCCCTGGAAGCCGCCCAAGAGACTGTCGGAAGTTTCGGGACAGAACTTGAGACCTACAAACAGCAGTTTCGGAAGGCCTCCGACACGTTCTATGGCGCGGAGATGAGGCTAATCGCGCTCTCTTTCAGGCTGCAAACGGTCAAGTCAACCAAGACAAGCCACCACCACCACCACCACCACCACCACTTTAGCCACGACGGCGGCGGCAGTAGTAGTCACGACAGAGGGGGGCACAGTTCTGTCGGTTACGACGGCGGGAGAGACAGCGGAGGCGGCTGCGGCGGAGGAGGATGCGGCGGCTGTGGGTAGCGTCTGTTTTCGTTACGTATCAGCACTGCACAGCACGTTGACCTTGGGTGTTCTTCATGTTTCTCTTTCGATATAATGGCCTGATAACACAGTCCAATGCCTGATGAGAGCTCGAGCCGTAACCCAACCATGTTTCACGCGTCGTGGGAAGTCCCGCAGCGTCAATCATTTGGATATGACTATAACTATGGGGGCTGCAGCGAAAGCCAGAGAAGATGAAAGAGGTCCAGGCTCTAATAACTTGGAAGGTAATAACTGCCAAAAAGGAAAGAAAATAAAACAAAATAAAACAAAACAAAACAAACAAAACAAAAAGAAATAGAAGAAAAAAAATAGAACAAAATAGGAGGTAAAAAATAAGGGAAAGTCTGGAAGCAGCTGCCGTAGTAGTATTTCTTGTCTACGTAGGTGTCCTTTTTTCTTTTCTTTTTTCTTGCAGATTGTTTCCGTCGTCGTAGCGTCGCTGCCTTGTTTTAGCCCCACTGTGTCTGATTCCCTCAATGTAGAATCCACACTGTATGGCAGCACTGTGGGGGGAAGGAGGTGGTCCAAGCTCCTCAACGCGCTCCTAGAAACGGTGCCGCGAATTTCGTAGCTTCACGTCGGCTCAGCTTCGCCTTTCCATTTCTTCTGCACACCAAAAAATCCGTAACACTTCCCCTCGAGCATTTCCACGCCGAGCACCCTCGCCACATGGATTCTGCTTAGATTTTGCATCGTAACTGCTCGTCTACTCCGAAACCTCTCCCTTCTGCGCTTCAAAATTGCCGACTGCGATGCAGCCCATTCCAAGAACGCGCCGCACGGCGCAAAACACGCAGTACACGTATGTCAATCCGCCCTAAATGCACTTTCGCCAGTTCCGTGACCTTTACTGACTTTTGTCCTCTGCAGTTATACTCTCGACTACCGAGTACACGACGTAAAGACCTATCCTGTCCAATCGCCCCAGGGAGCCTCGGTGCTCATCTACGGCCACGACAATGGAATCACGTTGCTTTGGCGCGGCGGCCAGCGGCTCAAGGCCCCAAAGCCAAGCACAGAGGGCCACAACGGCTCGAGCTCCCAGGATGCCGTCATGATACTAGACTCTGATGATGATGACCCCAGCCCCTCCGCACCCACCGTGTTTGTTGACAAGCCCGAGTTCGAGAACCCCGCTGCACCTTCATCCCCCCTCCCCGAAATCACACAAACACTCGACCTGGCATTTGGAACCGCTATCCTACAAATCGCCGTCCTTCCCATGTCCCCCTGCGGCGCCGAAGATGCCGCCTGGAACGGTGCAGAGATCCTCAAAACCAAGCTTGTCTTCGCCGTGACGTGTGCCACTAATGACACCTACGTCGTCACGCTGCCCCTCACTCCCCCTTCACACGAGAGCAAGCTCAGGCCAGAGCTCAGGCAGGGTCTACTGGCCGGTAGCGCAGGAAAGGGCCTGTGGGGAGAGACATTGACCCTGCTGGGAGGACAAGCTCGGCCTTCAGAAGGTATCGCCATGACCTTGGTGAAACAAAAGCCTGGATCGCGCAGTAGGTCCCTGGAACGTGCAGCAGCATCAAAGGGCCCAGTCACCCGTGCCATCGTATCGGCATACTCTCGCGAGGCGAGTGGCACACTGCGGTTTTGGGACGTGACGTTGGACTCAACGCCTGGCCACGTCGCCCACGTCGACCCATTCCAGACAGAGTATCTCCCTTCGCCTCTGGCCAGCATCTCCTTCAACCCGTTGAATGTTACTCAGCTTCTCACAATTGCCTCACCCCACGCCGTGCGCATCTACGACTACTCTATCCCCTCACTTCCTTCTGACGACACCTCCGAAGGCCCATTCCCGACCCAGGGCTCCTGGCTGGTCTCCCTCTATCCCCCCTTCACCCGCGGCTCAGCCATGTCGACTGCCCGGAAGCCAATCATCGCGGCTGACTGGATCGCCCATGGCCGCGCGATCCTCACGCTGCTTGCGGATGGGCAATGGGGAATCTGGGATATCAATGGTGGGGGTCCGACCAGTAGCTCCGGCTCTGGCGGCAGTCTTTTCAGCAAAGCAGGCGCGGGCCTTCGCGGCTCGGCAATCACGTCCTTCAGCGTCTCTGGCCACATGGAGGGAACCAGCCCATTGCGGAACCCCGCAGCCCAGAATGCGGCGCCAAGCTCTGGCGAGTTCGTTCCTATGACGCCCCACACAAGACGAGATGCCATCGCCGCCTCCATGATTGGCGGCTCGGAGAAGCTCGCGGCCGTTCGAGGCGGCATCCATGTCGCCAAACTTGCTCCGAGACGAGGTGCTGAACCCGGCGACGAAAGCGCCATCCTCTGGTTAGGCGGCGCAGACCCCATCGTCTCCGTCATTCCGGTGATTTCTCGCTTTTGGGATGCACAACTGCGTCGCGCTGGTGGCGGCGGAGTAAATCTCTGGAGCGGCGCTCAGCCCACCCGCATGATTCGTCTTGCGGACCTTAGTGTAGGACTACTAGGCGAGCGGTGCACGGGTGCTATTGCTATCCCCAAGCAAAGCCGCAGTGTGTTCGGAACTAAGCGGCCGAGTTCGCCCGGAGAAAACGGGACACCAAGCCCAGAAGGGCTGCCAGTCGAAGTACTCGTCCAGGGCGAGAGCCGCATTGTCGTCGTGCACGAGAGCGAAGAAGCCACATCCTCACTCACCAGTCGCCTCGTCGGCGCCCGCAAAAAGACACGGCCCGACAATGGCACGGCCAAGGCAATTCTTGCATTCCCAAGACCCGAAAAGCCCAACAGTGTTGCATTCAACCTCAGCGTGTCCCGAGCCGGCGCCGGGCTGCTGCGGCAACGGCCACGAGGATCCGCCAAAGGCCTGTTTGGTGATGTCGACGAGCCAGTGGACATCCGTCCTTCAACCGAGGCTCCCGATGCAGAGGGGCAAGCACCCAACCGGCCGCGTGATGCCGGACTAATGTTCATAAACGACCTAAACTTTGCAGCCGACGTACCAGACGACGAGTCCGAGGCAGCAGAACGCGATATTGAGCAAGAGATGAGGGACATTATGGAAATCGACCGCGAGCTGGAGCAGATGGAGAGCGACCGCGAGCGCGGAACGAAGCGTGTTTTCTTTGAAGAGGGATAGTGTCCTGAAACAGATGATGGCCACTCTTTCGCATCTAAGCGGCAGTGTCGCGTCTACGGCTCGCCACTTGTCTTCTTTGAGCAGTGGCAATGATCCCCGGACTGTGTCACGGGTGTGCTTACCGACTAGATAGGTTGCTGCCTTGGACGAGAAAGCGGCGCCGAGGTCTTCACGCCTTTATTATACGACGATTCGCAACACTTGTGCGCAGGAATGAAATACTACTGTACGATACCCGACGAGCCTTTAGCGGTCTCGGTCCAGCAGAACATGAAACGAAGCATGAAACGAAGCATGATTGGCATTTATTGACTGTGCTCCCGTTCCTTTGTCATGAGACTATGGGGGCGAGGCTCGGAAAGGAAGTATTCTTTCACGCTCCCTCTCCCTTCCTCTCGAATCACTTACCCTGAGCACAAACAAAACAAATTTGCATTTATGCAAGCCCGCTTATAAGGAGGTTCACAAGGCGAGTCCAATCCTTGATGTACCAGTATAACGGCGGGATATCAAACATTGCAGACGGCTCAGCCCCAGAGTTTCTGGCTTTGGGGGAAGGAGAGACTGTCGGGGGGACCAGGGCTGCGCCGTGGGGAGTCTCGGGGCTTCATGCGCGTGTGGTTGATGGGGCCGGCTGTACTACTCTGGAACCCTTGGCCGCAGTTTGCAAACCGCACTTTCAGGTAGAGCACAAAGGATAACCACACGACCTTGATGCTCTGTATGACGTTCGGCACATTTGAGAGACGGAATTGCGAAATCCCGCTGCCAGGGAGCGCGCAGGGCGAGGACTATCCCTGACGCTTATATATTGGCGGGAAGAGCAAATTACCAACCGGCGCCACCCGGAGTCAACGGCGTGGCTTCGGTGCGAGCAGCAGGCGAGCCTAGGGTTCGCTTGCAGATTGACCATCTTGCTCGTCCCGGTATGTAGAGACCCTTCAGACTGGGCGGTGATGTGCGCCGGCACATCCATTCCCCTTTCTATATTGTGAACAACGTTCTTGGCTGTGTTGTCTTGCATGTGTCTTGGGGGTTGGTATTATCTTGCAATCCGAGTGGTTGGCCAGGACCTGTTGGCAGCTGTGCAGTACTGGAAAATCACAATGTGACGTGGCATTATATTTCGTTCTCGTCACGCATGGGTAGTGGTATACTTTTCACGGCAGCACAAGAATCACGGAATAACGTTTCCAGTCTGTTCTAACTACTCTCCACCGCCCGGCGTGATCCCTTAATACAAGCAACTCGCAGTGTGATGTAGCTCAAGGCAGCAACACGCGAGCCGATAAGTGAATATGGTACAAAAGGTAGGTGGTACATGAAGAGGAGCGGTAGAAGATACCAGTAGCATCTAGTCATGCTTCTCTCCTTCATCTCGTCCCTCCCGCGAGTCATGGCTCGTTATACGGCACCTCCCCGTCCGTAAGCTCCATCCATCTATTCACATACGCGAGGTAAGAGAGTAGAAGGCATTCAGAGGCTCCGCTTCGCCTCCTCGGCCGCGCCCTTGGCCTTGCCGGCCGCCTTGGACGCCGCCCCCGACGTCTTGCCCGCCACCTCGTCCGCCTTGCCCTGCGCCTTGCCCGCCCACTCGTGCACCGCCCCCTTGGCCTGCCCCGCCGCCGAAGCCGCAGACCCCTCCGTCTGCCCCGTCGCACTCTGAGCCTTGCCCGCTAGCTCCGACGCGGCGCCCTGCGCCTTGCGCTGCAGCTCCGACGCCGTGTCGGCTGCGCTGCCCTGCCGGACTTGCTCGGTGGCTTCTTTGACTTTGGCGGATACGTTGGCTGTGGCGGGGGGTGTTAGCTGGTTGTGTTTTTATATGTATATGTGCATATGAGGAAGGGTTGGGATGGGATGGGTGAGAAATGGGCGTCGGGGACGGGAAGGATGGATGGGGGAGCGGCGTACTAGCAATGTCGATCCCGTCGACCAGCTTGTCGCTGACGGCCCGGTCGACCGTCTTGAGCGTGTCCTTGGCCGTGTCCATGACCGACTTTTGCATCGTCACGCTCGACGAGAAGGACGCCCGCGGCGCTGACGCGGCCATGGCTCGCGGCACGCCGAGCGTGGCGACGCGGCGCGCGGCGGCTTCTGTGAGGAACGACATGTTTTTTTGTGATTTGTGTGGTGGTGTAAGTGTGGTGTGTGTGGTTCTTGTTTGCGAAGGTCTCAATTGGGAAGTTGGTTTATTTTTTTTGGTTCTGTTTGGTTTGGTGAGTTGCTTCTTTTTTGGTCTCGAGGCGAAAAGGGGGCTTGGGGTGTTGCTGTTTCTTTAAAGGCGGCGAGCTGGTGTTTCCGTCGTGATGATGTCATAGCTCTTCAGCTGCAGCTGCCCCGGGTGGTGGCGTTGTTATGTTTGCTGCCCCCCCCACTGCCCAGGGGCCCGTCAAATGACGTCTAGCAGCAGCAGGTGGGGTAGCTTCCCACTAGAGACGGAAGGGCGCGATCGCGATCTACCCTACGAATGTACTTTTCTTACACAGGTGGCCCGATACGTGCAGAACGAGTCGAGAACCGAATAGATAATGTGGGCGAGAGCCGCGTCGAGAATAAAAAGGGAAATAGCAGCAGTTCAGGGCTGAGTGTCTGTGGCTGTGTGAATGCAAGCATTTACAGCGTCTCCCCTATGAGCGCGACAACTCTCGGGTTTCAACGCTCCTTGCCTGTGTGAACCGGACTCCCACTCAGCTTCTACCGCCGCTATAGTCTGTCTATCAGCTACCGAACGCCCGATGTCCGGGCCGGACCTGTCCGTTGATCGCAGACCACTGGCGGACCACTGGGATTTGCTTCTTCGAGCCTGCGGCTGGTTCCTGTTCAGAGGGGATTGGGGTTACGAAAAGCATCATTACACCGTACGTGGAGTGTTTGGTACATCTGTCTTGGGGTTCTGGGCCTTTTCCTTTTTTAATAAGGAAGAAAGAAAGAAAAACAGACACGTGCATAAACCGTTATTTCGTAGCAGTTCACTGCACAGCCTAGATATCTGTAGAGTAGTGCTTAGTTGCCTAACCGCTATATGCTCAAAGTAGAACCCGCCAACAAGACGTGCAGCTCAGCTCAGTCCGGCATGGATGTCATGGGCCATTTTCTGGTCCTAAGTCCCAACACATCGCCAGCAGACGAGGCTCCGCGGTCCTGCTCATCGTGGCCGGGGCACGACTAATGTAGCCAGCTAACCCAGCCTCTATACACAACCTCTCCGAGTCCGACCAAACACCCCCAGCCAGACCTACACGTTCAATAAATAGCCGCGCCGCAAAGCCCGAGGACGCCGCCGAGCGCGAGATGGGGTTCCTTCACGAACTGGAACTACAACGGCATGAAGGAGCGGCTGCGGGGACTGCACGCGCAGATCCACAAGGCTGCGCTCGTGCGGCACGCCGAGACCGTCACGGGACAGTAAGTCCGCATGAGCGAGCCGTTCTCGGCGGGCGAGTACTGGATGTGCTTCGAGATGGTTGCTGAGGACCTGGACCTAGCGCAGAGCGGCGGCTGGGATTTAAATCTTTCGCGGCGCTGATCTTGGTGCATGTTAGAGTACGGAGCACAAGTGGGCTGGATGACGTTGCTGTCCGTTTTAACGCTACCCGGGCGCAACTTTGTGTGTTCGTTTCCCAGGTTGGTACACGATTGTTCCACTGCTAGATGGCTTATTGAACACTTGCGAAGACCTACACAAGCCTCACCCGTGCAGGGCTGCATCCAGCAGCGGCGGCCAAGATAGCGACCACGCAGGCATATCACTGCGGTTTTTGCATGTCCACCCGCTGCACGCAGAGCAAGGCGCGGTTGTAATTATTATTTATTATCGTGGCCGCAGCCTCTCTCTACCTGCCCTTGAACACGGGCTTGCGCTTCTCGGCAAACGCCCTGAGGGCCTCGTCGCGGTCTTCCGTCCTGACGACCCTGTCGTACATGCTATTCTCGACGCGCTCGCAGGGCTCTTGGACAGCGCGCAGGGCAGCGCGCACGGCGAGGGGCCCGCCCTCGGCGATCTCGCCAGCGAGGCGCACGGCCTCGCTCAGGGCGGTGCGGCGGGCCGCGGCCAGCATCTCCCTGTTCCGCGCGGGCTCGTCCAGTGCGTCCCACTCGGCGGCCTGCGCGTCCGTGTCGGGCGCCACCTCGACCAGCCGGTCGGCCAGCCCGATGAAGTAGGCCTCGGCGGCCGACACGCGGCGGCCCGTCAGCACCAGGTCGCGCGCCCGCGGCACGCCCACCAGCGCCGGCAGCCGGAACGTGCCGCCCGCCCCCGGGATGATGCCCAGCCGCGTCTCGGGCAGCCCGACGACCGCGTTGGACGTCAGCACGCGGAAGTGTGTCGCCAGTGCGAGCTCGAGCCCCCCGCCGAGCGCGATCGACGAGATGGCTGAGATGGTCGGGATCGGCAGCGTCGATAGCGCCGTGAAGGCCGTGCGCAGACTGAGGAGGAACGCGTCGGTTCTGTCGGGGTGGTGGAGAAATAGTTCGTCAGCCCGAAGCACGCACCAACTAGGCCTTCTCTCGCCAGAAACGCACACGCAGATAACTGCCAAATAGAATGGAGTAAAATGGGCAGACCTACTCGTCTTGCGAAAAGCCCCTGCGCTCCTTGAGGTCGGCGCCGGCGCAGAAGGACGTGTCGACGGCCGAGGCGATGACGAGGGCGCGCGTGGGGCCCTTGTCGTCAATTCCCGCGGCGCCGCCGAAGCGCTTGTTCCACGAGGCCGTCGGGACCTCGTCGCCCGTGGCCGCGTCGTACTGGGCGTGCACGGCGTCGACCTCGCTGCGCAGCGACGCCAGCAGCGCCCGCGAGATGGCGTTGCGCGCCGCCGGCCGGTTGAGCTCCAGCACGCGGATGTGCCCCGACCCGGGCGCCGCCACGTCTGTTACGCGGATCAGCGGCTCGGCTGTGTTGTCGCTGCCTGTGCTGCTCGAGGAGTATCGCGCGCGCTGGGCGATGGCTGCTGCTGCCGAGACGCTCTGCCGCGGCGCGGCTCTCGCAGCCCGCTGCAGCGCGCTCGTCGCGAAGGCCGACAGCACGGTTCTGGGAGTCATGTTTTTTGGGCGGCTGCTAGCTAGCTCTCGCCACGTAGTTCCGGGTGCGATGGTGGTTGCGGATTGAGTTCCCCACAGGAGCTATTCAGAGGTGAAGCAGAGCTCGAGCTCCAGGCCACAGCACAGCAGGATGACGTCCGTGGAACAGTGGCTCGGCTAGCGTCGGCCAGCCACACAGCGCAACGCTCAGGGGCTAGGGGCTCTCAGGGGCGTGGCGTCAAATTCTTCGGCTAATTTTTCCAACACCTTCTTCAATGTTTGCAAGAAGTAGAGTATATTGGGTGTAGCTATATTTCTCCTAGTAATCGTTCTGCTGTTATCCTGTTTGTACCAAACTCGCAATTAAGCCCTTGTTTGTCTAGCACTTTACGATTACGGTATCGTCGTAACATAAAACTCAAGAACTCGATAATCTGCTTTAAACAGAGACTTGTTGAAGCGGAACTAGTAAAATACCCTTTGCGTATTTGTGTAGGAATAACCGATCAATCAGGTCAGCGCACAGGCTACACCCGCCCAGCACGTGGTGCAGCACGTGACCGCGGGGTGCTCGACGACGAGCTCGCCGTGGCGGCAGCACCCTGACTGAGCGCCTTCGTGTCCCCATAGTTCGTGATCCTTTTGGTAGACATAGAAGAATACGAGCAACACAACCACCCTACCCTTTCGCAGTGGTTACTATAGAGACTAGCACGAATGACCTTGTCATTCCAATAATTTGTTGCATTGTTTTTGCCGTCGAAGGACATGTCATGGTTTGGAAAGAAAGATACGAACCTGTAATTCCGTCAAGGGACCCTTTTTTTTCAATATCGAGAGCTTCCATAAAACCCGAGATGCTGTCCTGACTCATGTACTGAGTACCCTGTGGGTGGTAAGTAAACAGTCCGTCTTCTAGGCCTTAGGCTAAGTAACCAGTACTATCATCCGAGACAACCTCACATCGTGATACGGAAGCTTCATGAATCATTGCAAAATGTCTAAAGAAGCTCAAGCGGAAGTTACACCACATCTCTGGTGCCACCAGAGTGGCGTTCAAAAATTGTCTGAGTATGTTTTATATGTTCTAGACAGAAGACACGAAGAGCAAGTCATCCTCGTGACACAATAAACCTCATCACCCTGGCGACAAGGCGAGTCTCCTTATATATACCAATTTAACCCGAGTCTTAACGCCCTCTCGATCTATACACAAGTCATCGAACCCCTAACTCTTTTCGCGAGGATGTTGATCGCAACACAACCATGTCGCTTCCTTGTCTAACCTCAGCCGTGATGCGTTTTTGAGGCCTTCTATAGAAGTAAGTGTTCAGGAATGCCGCACAAGTGGCACAATTCAAGACTGATTTACTAACTTGGGTTCCAGTGGGTGGTCGAGCTAGTCCCTCGCCTTAATTTGCCCGGCATCGACTCCCCGCTCCTTAAACAACTCTGCATATACGAGGCGGCTCGGATCATGCTGGCATAACCATTCAATCGCCATGCCTGGGTGGTGGAGCCGCCGCAGTAGGTTCGAGACTTCAGCAGCGAAGACAACCTGGGAGACCGTTCTGGACCTATTTCCATATATGGATAAGAACACGTCGAAATACACCGAGATCCTGGGTCGAGCGGCGATTGGTGAACCGGCCGCGTACTGGAACCAGAAATACGAGAGAGCTCGGGAGTCTATGGAGAGCATTGGCTGTTCGAGCATTGGCTATGCTGCCAAGTTGGACGAGTTGTTGTTCCCTGAGCGCGCAGCCGAGCAGGAGGCGCACAAGAAGCCCGCTGCGCCCGCCAATCCGGATAAGCCGATCCCTGAGAAGGTTATAAAGATCAAGAAGCCTAAGGCTCTGGATATGAAGCTAACTAAGAAGGTATCTATAGAGATGAAGGCGAAACGCAAGAGGCAAGAGAGGGAGGAAATACGTTTGGCTCGAGAGCTCCTCGAGCGTCCACTCGCAATCCAGGCTTATCCCCAACGCCCTTACCAGACTTAGACGATTATAGTCTAGTATCCATTTATCCACTATCTCCATCTCGTTCTAATATGTCCAATATGCCTACTGCGGAGCACAAGTAGTTGGATACGTCGTAGAATTGCTATCTATTTTACGTAGTCGAGTTATATAAATATACTCAAATATTGCTTCTCTCCTGCCCGCTGCCCTTCCCTGTCTAATGATCCTCATTTTCGCCCTCACCCTCATCTTCGCCCTCACCCTCATCTTCGCCCTCACCCTCATCTTCGCCCTCACCCTCATCTTCGCCCTCACCCTCATCTTCGCCCTCACCCTCATCTTCTCCTCGTCCTCATCGCCGCTGCTACTATCGCAATCTTCTATGCTCTCGTCTCTCTCAGCGCGATCGATCGCCTGCTCCACGGCCACGTGCACTCGGCGTGCTGCCTCTTGTGTCTCCTCCTCGGTTAACTTCAATGGAGAGTCGAAACCTTGATCCTTGATCCAGGATTCGACGACGTACATATCGGCCGTCCCAAAATAGGTGGCCAACGCGAGTAACATGCTCTGGCGCATATAGTTACCCGGTGTGGGAAATGGGCGTTGCTGGTAGTATCGGGCCCAAATATCTTGCCATCCATGTCGCTTGACGTCCTTGATGCGGACCAGAGCCATGACGAAATGGAAATACATGAAGCGTGAAACTGGACGCTTCTCGTTACAAGACGTCAGTCCTTTCCCGTCGAGATCCCCTCCCAACCCTCCCGGGCCGAACGACCACCGATCATTCTTGATCGCAGATGAGATAACGTCAACCCGCCAGCGCATGATAGGTGTCTCTTTCGGGTTGACGGGAACGATAAGAATATGGTATGAATCGAACCATTTCTCAATCTTATAATGGAGTAGGAGCGAGTTTCCGGCCCGTCGGAGATCTGGTGCTCGGCTACCGAAGAGGATCTCGCCTATCTCATCGCTATCGAAAAAGAAGGGCACAATATATGTAGCGATTACGCTGGAACTATTGGTCCAACTCCCTACTACATGACACCAAATGTTCTTATAGCCATCGTCTGCTCCGTAGTATTAATCGACCCTTGACGAAAATCGCTTGGCCGTTTTTTTATCTTCTCAAGACCGTCGCATTTTTTATAAAGGGTAAGGAAGCATTCCGAAACCCCATCACCGCCTGGCTTCAGTAGCCGGACAATACCAGGATCATCCAGTCTTGCTTTCTTTTTATAGTGTTGCCACAATATATCACCAGCCGATAGGTAACGTTTACCTACGTCCCGGATTCGGATATTGGCGTTAGAGGGCTGGATAATATTACCGTCCCGCTCTTGGAAAATTGTCTCGCGCTCGGACCGCAGCTCTTCCTGTTGCTTAAGCGCAAGCTCAATTCCCAGAGACGCGTGTTTCAAACTCGATTGCCGGTCTGGCTCGATGCGCTCCTCATCTGGTTCAGTTTTGGGGAAGAGTTCCTGTTGGGTTCACCAGGGTACCGGTACTGGACTCAACAGGGCGTGGCTGCACGCCGAAAACTGGTGGTTCAAGTGATGGATTGTAGATGTCTCTTCTTCTCTCTAGCTTTCTGGCAATGCCAGAAAGCCCGTTCTTATACTACTATTGTGGTGGCGAAGTGGGTGGCGAAGTCTCTATCTAGAACCTTCGAGGCCCTTCTGCTTGACAAATTCCAACACTGGCAGTTTTCTCTTTTGAGGCTGGAAAGCCGCCCTTATATAACTGCCACTATCTACACCCCCGGGATCACTGCTTCCACCCGGGTCTTCCTTACCGGGAGACCCACCCTTCCATACGGACCGTAAGGCTATTACCGTCGATGAACCGTTCTAGGGCCCGGTTCGGTACGGCCTTGGTCAGGGCGTCGGCGGGGTTATCGTCGCCGTGGATCCACCTGACCTCGTGTAGCTCACGGCGCTCGTACGACTGCCGTAGGGCCATAATGTCGATCATTAGCCTCTTCTCTTTCGTTGTCCCTAGCTTGACAAGGCATTCGTATAGCGAGTATGAGTCTGTACAGACGACCGTAGGGACTGTTGGTAGATTGAGGTGCGTAGTGACGACTTGAATCGTAGAAGCTAGTGCGTAGGCCATATCCACGCCTGCCACCATGCCGTAGACTTCGGAAGCGAGTATACTACGTGTGACTCGCTTGCTCTTAGTACTGGAGAAGTGGATGATATTACCACGAATGGTGAATTGAGTATCGATTGTGGTCTCGTTTGCTAGAATGATTACGAAGCCGAGTTGTGATGTGAGGTCACGGTTATTAGCGAAGGATCCGTCGACGAAGACGAAGAGCTTTGCGTTAGGTAGGTCTAGGGGGATAAATGCTAGACCTCGGTCCTGGTTATCAACCTGCCACTTAATACGTTGGTTGAGGGCTTTCAAGTCATCTAGCGTAGGCTCTTGGTGTTGCGCTGCGGTTGATATGTCGAAGCAGGCTTCAGGTTGACAGATGGAAGCAATATACGCGCCGCGGGCTCGCTGCTCGACGTATTGTTGCTTGGCGTCAACTGCATTGTAGTTAATAGGTCGTAGCCTACCGGCCTGGCCTTTCTGCCGTAGGGTGATCGTATCGTTGGTAAGCGTAGCGATCCCTCCGTTGAATGCTAGTGGTTCCTTTGAAGTCAGGATCTGCTTAGGCTTTGCACTGAATGCGGCCTCTTTCAGCTGTTCTTCCTCAACACGGGAAAAAGCCTTAGTTGACAGGCCGATCGTATCGTCGGTTTGCATCCCGATGCAGGCAAATTCCGGGTTCTCCGTATTGGAAATTAACAAGCAGGGGTCGTACGTAGATGTCATCATCTGGAGCCTTTCTAAGTGATGCTTATGGTAGGTAGCCCACCAGTGGGTCCCTGCCTCAGCCAGGCCGTATAACGGCTTGATTACTCGCATTACGGTGCCTTCGGGGTACTGGTCCTGAATCTGCTTAGGTAGGTAGGCTAGGATTTCGCGGTTGAGGTTGGTTCCTGATTGAACGTAGGCCTGCGTAATGTCCCGTAGCCAGATAACCATACTGCGTTGCATGAGCGAAGGAGCTAGTGCCAGTATAAGGCGTTGGCTAGCCCGTTGGATCGTTGGCGACTGGGTTAGAATAGACTCCTTCCCGTCGTCTGCGTAGCCTTGGATAACGAGGCGGGATTTTTCGTAGGGCGTTGTGGTATTCTTGCCCTTGACTTCGTTAACGATGCGGGACTTGAAGATGCGTAGGCCTCGGTTGTGGCCTTGCTTGACGAATTCGAATACTCCCCGAGCGATTAGACTGTCGATCTCGTATTGGGTAGACTCTTCGAAGGGTGCGCCTGGCGTGGTGATCTTGCCCTCGGTACGTAGTCGTACCGCTAGTACGGCGTCGGCCTGTTCCTTGTTTGTTATAAAGCTCTCAAGGGTTCCGGTTTCCTGAAGGAAGGTGTCTTGGGGGGAGGCTTTACGGGGTCGACCGCGGCGTCGTGGTCTGACGATGATCATGTCCTCTGCTTCGCTTTCCGGGGCTAGGTTAGCTTCCGATGCCGTTGTGGTTGGTATAACCGGTATAGCCTGCGAAGCTGTTGCGGTCGGTGTAGCTGGTGAAGTTGGTACGGCCGTCGGGTCTTCGTAGTAGGGCTTAACTACGGTTGATCGGAAGATGCGCGGGCCGTTATTCATTTCCAGGGTACAGGTTTCTCCGTCAACTGCAATCAGTTTGAAGGGTCCTTGCCAACCGGCTTTTTCGCGCCATACACGGACTAGGGAGTTAACCGGTAGTTGAGTGGTTCGTACGGTGTTTGGGCCGTTGCGCGTTGCGAGGGCGCCGTTGACTTGTCGTACGGCCTGTAGCCGTTTGACTGCGTCAGTGGCTTTCTTGACTGCTAGGGCACGTTGTTTTATCGTAGGCGAGGGTGCCGAATCTTCGGTCAGCCGGGGGTAGGCGCCGAAGACTAGGAGCGTAGGTATAAGGCCGTCCGGGCCGGCCGTATCGTTGACTGCTTTGACGGCCATTTGTAACGAAGCTTCCGGGCTTGCTTCGGGGTCCTCGGCCCTGAAGATATTATATGCCCGGCGTAGTGGTGTGTGGTATCGTTCAACCTTGCCGATACTGTTGTGGGCTTCAACGGGTATTTCTTTGATCGAGATCCCCATCTCCTTAGCCGACTGCCGGAACTCGGTAGATCGGAACGAAGTGCCGGCATCGGTAACTAGCCAGTCGGGGGGTCCTTGGTATACATTGATCCAGCAGAGGCAGAGGGCTTCCCATACGGTCTTTGACGATATATCCTTGAGGAAGCAGGCCGCTGAGAAGGCCGTAGCCGTATCGACGATGTGGAGGACAGGACGGCTATCGATATATAGTATATCGACGATAACCTCGTAGTTGAACTCGCAGTCGTCGTGGAGGGTGAATTTGAACCGGGCTGGGCGGCCAGCGTTCATTTGGCACTGGTGGCATACCCGGCTAAGGAACTCAAGGGCTCCGATTTCCACAGGGTGCCCGGCCGTCTTCAAGACTTTATGTAGGCGGGCGACCGACGGGTGGCCGAATCGGCGGTGGAGCCGGCGTAGCTCTGTGTCGGTAAGGTAGTTATATGCGAGGGTCTTCTCTTTGGTTAGTTGGAGCCAGGGGTGCCCCCACTTCCGTACGACGGGGATGGTTAGGTTGCCCTGCCGTAGTTGGTTATGCAGGTTGTCGAATTTCAAGCCCAAGCGATCCATATCCTGAAGGCATAGCAGGAACGGTGTGTTTGCGGGGACTACGTGGAAGTCAACCGAGCCGAAGGGGGTAGGTACGGTGATAGTGCCCAAGGGGGTGAGGGTGCCGCCCTGGCCGAATTTGATCGCGGCCTCCGTAGTTGGCGGTCCGAGCCGTAGTGACGGTAGCTCCCTTTGTAGGGCACGGAACTGTGGGTGCCCGGCCGTTGAAAAACCGGACGCCCCTGTGTCGGGCATGATGCCGTGGAACTCCGTAGCTGAGTAACGGCCTTCGAGGGTGAAGATTGAAGCGGGTTGGTGGTCCTGATCCTCGGCCTGTAGGAATGGGTCTTCTTTGGTTAGGCCGTGGCGGACTGACCTATCGGCAAGTAAGGTAACGATGGCGTTGCCGTCGGTTGGCATGGAATCGTTAAAGAAGGTACTTTGGAATCCCTCTTCCTCACTACCTTCGGACTGGTCGTCTTCGTGGGCCTGTAGGAACTGCGAGACGTTGTCGTCTTCGTCGTTATCGTCAAAGCTTTGGGTTCCTTCGTACCAGGCTAGGAATTGGGCATATGTAGCCGACGGTTGGCTACTCTGTATATGCTTGTTGCCCTTGAAGCGGTCGTAGGCCTGGCGCCTTTCTTCCGTCGTGTGGGTTGTCGACCAGCAGCCGGGCTTGCCGCATACGTAGCACTTTTTACCGGGCGAGGGTCCTCGGGCCGGGAAGGTACGTCGTGGTTTTCCCTGGTCCTTACGCCCGAAGCGAGCCTCTCGGCCGTTGCCTTTGAATGTCCGGTCAGTCCAGTGCTGCCGGGCTTCCTCAGGGGCGTAGGTGTTGAACTGTTGGTTATGGGCTTCAGCTGCAATACTAACTGCCGACCGGAGCTGGCTGCGTACGCCTTCGTAGGTTGCAGCCGGGTTGTACAGACAGAGTGTACATTCAGGGATCCCACGGCAGGCGTTGAGGACTTGTATGCGGAGTAGTTCTTCTGACTGATTGATGGTCGGGAGGGTACGTTGAAGCTTGGTAAGCTTATTGAGTAAGAGTTCGAGGCACTCGGTCCTTAGTTTCCCTGGGTTCTCGTCGATGACCTTACGTAGCGTTGTGTTGCCCCACTCTAGTAGGCGTAGCTGGTTGCTTTCTTCGCTTTCGAATTGGGCCTTAGTCTGGGCGATCAACGTAGCGAAGTCGTATTTACGCCCACAGAGCCGGTCGTAGTAGTAGGTCAGGGCGCGGCTCTTGAGCATAGCGGGGAAGGCTACGTCGTACTGGCCCTGGGTAATACCCAGTCGTTGGCAGCAGTCCTGGAAGATCACTAGCTTAGAAGCGAATACATCGTATGTATCGCCGCCGTATTTCATCTCGTCGTTGTAGAGCTTAGCCAGGTCTGTAAGCTGCTTCGCGTTCGGGGGCCCTTGTGGTACGGGTGGGTACTCGAACTGGAGTCTAGATCGAGGGTACTGGAAGTCCTGGTGAGGGCCATCTGTAGGACTGCGTTGCTGGGGGTACTGGGGTCCTTGGTGAGGGCCGTTTGTAGGACTGCGTTGCTGGGGGTACTGGGGTCCTTGAGGTGGTTCCCGAGGTGAAAATGCCGTAGGAGGTTTTTCGGGCTCCTCTATATCGTCGTCGGGCTCTTGGATCTCCCGAAGGAAGTCAGGGTCTAGGGTATTTAGTTTGAAGGCCTTGTTCCGTCCTTTCTCGTACTTGACGTCCGCGTCAGACCATCTGTGGAACTCCTTCGCTGTTGCTGCTCGTTGGAGGTTATTGTGGATCCTGTCACCATCCATAGTAACGAAGACTCCGTTACCCCGGAGCCAGTTACGTAGGGTAGTCTGTGTTCGACCCGGGATCTTCGCCCAGGCGGCTTTATCCCAGTGCTCGAATTCCTCAGTAAACTGTACCCATGCGTATCTTCCTTTTAGGGGGTTTTTCTGCCAGGAGCGTAGCAGGAAGTGGATGTGCCCATTGATCTGCTCATTTGTTGGCGACGGGAGTCGATCGAACGCGCTTAGCCGGCCCCAGGTTAGAGGGTCTACCTCCCCTTGAAGGTCGGGAGGGACCGAGGGTCCGGGGGTAGGGCTGCTGAGGGGTTCTGAGCGCGCTGGTTGGCTAGGCGTAGGGGTCGGGGACGTAATAACGTCGTTCTCTGTGCCCGTGGCCATCTTAGGCGTGTACGAACGAGCCGTTGGCTGGCCTGGAACGTAGGGATGGGCTGTTGACTGGTCTGGAAAGCTGGGAGTCGAAGGAAAGTGCTGGAAAGCGAGAGAATGCGAAAGAATGTTGAGAAGGGCCGAAAAATGAAGGAATGTTGAAAGGACCGAAGAATTGAAGCCGGATGGATTATGGTAGAATGGAATGGTTGAAGGTCGAAAAGAATGAATGAAGGTAAAAGAATGAGGATTCAACACGTAGGTCGTTGTTGGCCTGGAAGGTCGTCTTTCAGGGTTTGTTGCGTGGTAGACGCTCTACGGCTAGGTGACGCCAGGGAGACGGTCACGGCCACTTCTTCCGTAGATTCGAAGGTCCTTGGGCTGCGGTTGAGATTCGAGGCACGAATGCTCCGTTATACCATCTCTTCCGTAGTTGGGGATGCCTTCCTTAGCACAGGTTCGTAGAGAGGGCCGGCCTTCGGGTCCGACCGTTCTCTACGGCGCTGTCTCTTCTGTTGCTCCTTGCTGATCTGTGGCGGAGGACTGTTGTCCCAACAGTGGTGAGTTAACCACTGATCAGTGTTGGGTTCACCAGGGTACCGGTACTGGACTCAACAGGGCGTGGCTGCACGCCGAAAACTGGTGGTTCAAGTGATGGATTGTAGATGTCTCTTCTTCTCTCTAGCTTTCTGGCAATGCCAGAAAGCCCGTTCTTATACTACTATTGTGGTGGCGAAGTGGGTGGCGAAGTCTCTATCTAGAACCTTCGAGGCCCTTCTGCTTGACAAATTCCAACAGTTCCCGAGAAAGATTGTCATATACCTTCTGCAGTTCATGCGAAGTACGCCGTACGCTTTGGTGCTCGTCTTTCACCATAGCGAGGGAGGGTGGCCGAAGTGATGGTAATTTTATATCGGGATCTGGCGATACAGCGCGAGCCATTTTGTTTTGTCAACGTGGAGCGGGCGGAAGATGATGTGGGGGGGTTTTTTTTTTGGAAAAGGTGAAAGGTTTTTTTTCGAAAAGGTGAAAGGTTGAAGTTCGGTTGAAGTTCGAAGGTTGAAATGGTGTGCGTATCACGTGATCCGGGGAGGTTGATCCGGCATTCGTAGCTTCTGGCCTTCGGCCTAGGAACTTAGAAAAAACAACCTGTTCTATCGACAGTTTTTCAGGCTGCAGCTATTATCAAGGGCGGCCTTATTCACTATATCACTGCTGGGAGTGGCTATAAAGCCATCGACCTTTTATTAGAGCATGTTAATGCTTCTTACGCCTTTGACATCAAATTCAACAAGAATTCCACCCATGACATACATGCTACCTTCTCGCGCCTTGCTCTCAGCGGCACGTACCTTCTCACTATTCGCAAGGCAGTAGAGAGCCAATTCCAGAGCAAGCAAAAGGGCACGCATACCGGAGGCGACGCGCAGGCTCAAGACAAGAACAGGTCGGGGTGCCAGTGACCGATGATACGGTCGAGAACAAAATGTCAAGTATGTGAACACGACGATACTACCTACGTATCGAAATTCGATGGCTAGCACTGGCGTCAGTGGCGGTAGTGTATCTTGATAGATCGAGTCGGTACAGAATAGGATTGCCGTAGAATAGATCCGCATCTAGGAACGGGAGAATGCTAAAGATCAGCAATGCATCCACGGCCCGGATTGCGGCTTGTCCTGAGAGGCCTCGAGAGGCTTTATTGTTTCGTCGGTTGCAAGTCACAGATCAAGAAGCTAAATTTGAATCAACCTTTAAATGGCCCACCGGCACGGTCAAAATGTCTATGTTCATTGTATTATCCAAAATATTCCCCGAAAATAAGTATAGCGTGTCCATCTAAAGAGTGCTCCCGTCTTGGGACTGAAGGCCGAAACTCGTCCGAAAAAGTCTAGCCCCGGTCAGCCCAGGCGTCAGGGCACTCTAATATCTGGGCGTGGTTCAGCCAACCAAGCTAATGTACAGTCACAGCTATTCCCCCAGCCTTCGACATCTTGGAAGCTGGGCAGCCAAAGCAAGAACAAGATTCGGGTCTCCTGATACCTGTGCATTCAAGCAAAACCGTTAAAAAAACCCACATGTCCTGCCCGCAGAAAGCGGGCGGCAACTTCAGAGACCCGGCAGCGCGTCGTTTGCGAGCCCAAAGGTAGTACGTAGAAAAGAGTAAGGAAAGAATAGCGCAAGGAGCTGGCGGAGTCCTTCAGGGAACACCAAGTTGTACCCACGTTCCCACACATGTTACCACCCTACACACCCAAGCACGCCAAACAGGTTCGTCGCGAGATACGTCTGTCAGTGACAAGGTTGTGAATATCCCCCAACGCCAGGTATGCTGATATAATAAGCGAAATACAGGCGAGTCGTTTGTCGTCGTCAGTAGTGTGGGTGGTTGATCATGCATTGGTGACCTGAAGCTCCGAGTCAGTGACACAGAATCAAGATTGGGAATCCGGGGAGTCGTACGCGAAGGATCTTCCTTGTGTAGTCATGGTTGTCGGCAATGCTGCCATCGCTCATTCTTCTCTGGGCCATGACAGGATCCAACCGAGCATCCGTGATGGACGTGCCCCCGCTGGTGCTGCCGGGATTGAAGGAGCTCACGGCGGCGTTGCGACGGTATTCTTCCTCAATCTCCTTATTTCTCCGGCGACGGAGGAAAAAGAACATGCCGACAGCAGCTGCTACTAACACCACAACCGCCACGACGACACCGGCTATAATTCCGGCCGTGTTGGTGCTGCTGCTGCTGCTGGGTGCTTCGGTCTTGGCCGAGCTGACTTGGGTGACAACGACTGTGCTACCGGGCTGGGTTATAATCGCCGTCACCTTTCCTGACCCGGTCGCAGTGGGATCGGTGTCGGCGTTGGCGGTGCTGTCACTATCTCCAGCAGCATTTGGGGTGTTCTGGACGGATATCGACAGGCCGTTGTTATAAACAGTCCACACACTGGCGGCGCCGCCTGCGAGTAGAGTCAGCACATATCTGCAAATATTGTTCACGATAACTTACATGGTTCGCTGGGGAATCCGGGGCAAGGGGTGCTGCACTTCGAGTCGTCCACCAACGAGCTCTTTGGCGGATATTTCTGTCCACAGAAGCACTGGGATCCGGAGAGCCCCGAGACGGGAAACCCGCCTTTCTGACAGATGGCACTGGCACATGATCCTTGAGAGTTCCACTGAAGAGTAGAGTTGAAGACGAGCTCGCCAGCTGACTTGTAGCATCCCGCGATGGTGTATTGGTTGGGTACTGGCGCCGTCGATGGCTTCTGTAAGTTTGCCCGGGCGACCTTGAGTCCGATATCCTCCAACGTCCTTGTCCCGAAAGCGGCTGTCGAGGCCACTAGGCCGGCGGTCACGAGGGCGATAGACTTCATTGCGATGTTGGTGAGTTGTCGTAAGGCAGATGTTCGCTTGCACCGTTCGTGCCAATCGAGAAAAGTTCAGGCTCCCTGGTGTGTCGGTCTAGCAAATTCGGGTACGTTCGTTCGGATGTTGATGATGAGTGAAGAGTTCGACGGTCTGCACGGCAGCAGTGGACGAGGGTTAGTTGTTCGACGGACCCGAGACCAGCGGACCTCCCAGATGGTTCCTGACAGCCCCAAGAGTAAATAAAGATCGAGCCTCCCGAATGTCGAAAAGAAGCGTAGTAACGAGTGGCGGGCGAGGCAGATGCCCTTGGTCAGAGTCAGAGTCAGACCTCGTCTCCCTTCGGTGGACGGGTCACAGTCGAGATGACATTTCCTTTCGCAGTAAACGGGGATCCAGGGATGGATGTGGCGGGCACTGGAACGCAACGAGAGAGCGTCCTTGATGGCGAGTGGAGTGACGATGCAGCGGCAAGAGCTCGCGACAGCGGAAAAGAGCGACTGGTCAAAGGAGCGACAGTAGTTTTGTTGCAGAAGCAAAAGACAGATGCAGGCAGAGGAGAGGGCGGAGGCCGGGCTGTCTGTCCACAATGGAATCACGCTCCCACCAAAAGGAAATTGCGCTGAGCATCGGGATGACACCTGGACGTACCTGCTTCCACCCCTGCACCGTCGGCTGTTCCTGGCCAGAGAAAGTCTCGCTTCGATCCCCCACCCCCAAGGCGGCCCCACTTTAGGCTTAGCCGGACGGGTCCAAACCGCAGCAACTGGACCAATCGAAGCCAGTTCCCGCCCAAAATATTGGGCTGACGACCGGCGATTGGCCAGGACCATGGCGCCGAGACGGTGGGGCTTGATGGACCCTGGGAGAACGGCCAGGCACAGAGTTCAGGGGTTGCCAGATTTTCCGGCGATCCCCTGAAATTGGATGGTTCCTGCGTCGGCCAGCGTTAGCCAGAAGCTGCCTGCGTTAACCCCATCAAACATTAACGGTGCAGACACTACCGTTGCCCATCAAGTTTGCAACACGCGGTTGACCAGGTACCGCTTATCATAACACAATTTATCCTTTCATAATCCTTGTGCCAACCCGGGTCTGTGTTGCACCGTCAATTGAGGTGACCTCGGTGTTGTCAATCCCGTCAGATCTGGTTGTCAGTTCGAGTCTGTGTGATGGGGGCCTGCGGTGCAGAGGTACGCATCTCGAACGCGTCCCAGCCACGAGCCCAAGATTTGGCGAGCGGCGCGGTTCAATATTTGCGTTCTTGGCAATAACGGTTTTTTTAACGGGCTAGTAGTGGTCTTTGGGCTAGGACTCCCGTTGCGAAGCCTTCACTGTTTTCCCTCTAGTTGCCGGCAGTAATTCCGATGTGCCTACTGTGTGAATCAAGAGCAGCTGAACCGCGCGCAATGCACTCAGGGCGGAGACTGGGATCGCTTGAAACAGGAAACACGGGGCCCGCAAGCCTCGGTGAAAGGGAACGGTGCGCATCGCATCCCGTCTCCCCTCTCCCGTCTCCCCTCTCCCCTCTCCCTCGAGCCAAAAGGCGACTCAAATATTGGCTTGAAACCTTTGTTGCTCCTGTCTGGCGTGTCTCTTGCGTCGCCTCTCAGGTCCGTGAATGTCTAGAAAATATCGCCGTTGCTGCCCCCATCCAACCTAGCACGGTGTCGCACTCGAGCTTTGATGGGAAAATGGCAGAGGGGCCGAAAGCGAAAAAATACGAAACCGCCCCACAGTTACGCCCAGCCCGAAGGACGCACGCGGGTAGCTGCAGGACAAGGTCACGAAGGACGGAAGATCAGCTGGAAAACGGCTTGCGTTGCGTTACAAACGGCGGCCAGCTACACAGCCACCTTGCCCTGGACCGGAGTGGTTTTTACCCTCGAGACCGAGATGCAAGATGTTGACAAGACGCAACGAAAAGCGCGAAAATGTTTACTTTTTACGAGGTGGTGCAAGAACGCGTGCATTCGTAAGTCTTGCTAAGCAGCGGGCCAATTCAACCTGACCTGATGACACGAAATTCCGCCACATCCGAAGTTCAATCCGTTACCAAATCGCAATCCGCCCGCAAGTGCATAGTCTGCTGCCGAACCCAACTCTACCTTTGAGTTTTTTTCCAACCGCCCATTCCGGTTATCACTCCCGGCTCGAAAACTGTGGGTAGATGCCGGGTCTGATCGTATTATACACCTCCTCCAGGGTAATACATGTTAGCGTGGGAAGGTGGCAAAGTTAGTGATTAGCGAGATTTCCCTGGAAGATACTAATAGAGACCAACGTACCAAGCTAACATGTATTTCCCTGGTGGAGGTGTAGAATTTTCTGGAGTCTAGGTGGTGGACGACCCCGATCGAGGCCTGCTCGGGCGCCCGAAATTCACACGCTGTTTTCCGCAGGCTCGGCCCCCTAACCCTGCGCTGCCGAAAGTGCGCGGAATCCCGTGCAATCCCGTGCAAGTGCAAACCCCTGAGCGATGGCGCCCGTCCCTCTCCAAGGCCAATACCTGGACGCTCCGGATGAATTGCCAACAAGATGGATCATGATTATATATAAAAAGCATCTGTGTGCCAGCGAAGCCGCTCGCCTCCGCTCAACAAGTGGAGTCTTGTTTTCCTTTCTAAATTCTAGGTCTGCGTCGACGCCGTCGAGCCGCGGGGTCAGGTGAGCAAGCGCTAGGGGCAACCGCCCAAGCGCCAAGCTACGCCAATTACCATCCACCACAAGCGATGTGAGTCAAAGACTTTGAACCTGACGATAGGCTCTGCGTCTGCTGGTCCGGGGTAGCAAACATTTTTGCCGCCGCTTAACCAAGCCGGCATATCTCATATGCTATGACATACGACATGGTGCTTTGCACGGATTGCAGCATTCACGTGAATATCTCAAAGTATATCGTCGCCATCGCAGAAGCTCGGCTGTTCGTGCCGTGACGATTGATCCCGGATGGGGGCGACGGTCCCCATTGCCAAAATGGCATGACAGCCTACAAAGAACTTGAAGCCGCCTTCGACATCCTAATTGTAGCTTTTTGTGATGCCTTTCCAAAACATGAGGCCTGGATTTGACATCCCTAGAAACCTTGCGCTGCTCGATGGCACCTAGACGTTACCCAGTAGTCAGAGTGTGATATTTTTCTCTGATTCTAGCTCGCGAAGAAATGTGAATTCAGCGCCAGGACTCGAGTCACGAGTGCCTTCAGAAATGCACAGTTTGTTTGGGGAACGGGTTCTTTCCGCCTTTGGAAGTAGGCACTCCCAAAAAGCCCTTTTTGGACCAATAATTGGCCACAGGGGCCTGCCCACCACGTGACTCGTTCCTGGTTTTGGTTCTGGGAACGTGCCACGACTCCTCACGTCGCGAAACTCGCGTTCCTCGGTCCTGCTCTGCACGCGACCTTGCCATTCGCTCACGATGCCGGTCTTAGACTTCGACCGCATCGCGGTCAAGCTCTCATCGCGGTAAGTTGAGTCAATGCAATCGCCCACACCTGAGGTGTCGGCCAATTCGATTGTTTCAGCATGATGCACAACATCTAACATCCGCCCTTATTTGAAGCTTCGCTCGGCATGGTCGGATCAATCCTTGGCCCTCAATTGACCATTCTCTCGACTGCTCTTCTAGAAGTCGAGGAGCCATCCGGAGATTTTCGCTGTGCAGGCTGCCCGGTTCTCAAATAAAAACAGCTCGACACAAGCCGCACTACATCCGACACCTCATACACCACTTCCAGCCCCTCGATGATTATGAAGAGAGCAACATGAAGTTCTGGATAGATCATCCTGACAAGGGCCTTAAAATGACTGTGGTTCTCCGACACTTGCTCGGATATGACAACATCAAAAATACGGCGGCATCACCAAAACCTTCGATAGCTAAATTCCTCGGCCATGATATTGGCAAAGGGATCCCCGAGTCCAAAATGAGAGACGTGAGATTCCTCAGTATCGACGTCGACGGTCTTGATGGGCATGGAAGAATTCCTGGGCATTTTTCTCTCGGAGTCTCCATTCTCGATACTCAAACTTTACATGCCTTGGCACGTGGCTCCGGTACCGCAAAACCAGAAAGTCGGATAATTGAGTCTCATCATTTCGTTGTTAGATGCTGGGAACCCTCTTATCAGCCCGCCAAGGACAAATTCTTATTTGGACTGCCCGAAACAGTCTCCATACACGAACTCCGGGTGAAATTGGGAGAAATGATTTCACATCGAGATGTCGTTGTCCTTTGTCATAGTTCCAAAACGGAGTCTAAAATCTTGCGGGACCTCGAAATCGATCTTTTTCCGAAGTATACTTTGGATACTGCTGAACTCTACAAGATGCAGGATGGAACATCAACCACTCTGGGGAATTTGCTCGACACGGTTGGTATGTTGCATGCAATTAAAGACCTCCATGTCGCCGGGAATGATGCCAATTTCACGCTCCGGGCTCTACTGCTGCTTGCAGTCCGTGATGCGGAATACCAGTGCCAGTTGGATGCCGATTCTGTACTTCCGTATTGGATCTCGACATTTGAGGCCGTAGCCTTATGGCTATCCGAAGACGAGATAAAGCGGGGCATACGCAATCGCAGGGAAGAAAGGACTAAGGAGCGGGAGTGGCAGATGGAGTTGCGACAGCAATCCCGCTCCCAGGAAGGTACGGGAGAGTCTGCGTGGATGGATTCCCGAGGCGAGGATGAATATAACCGAGAGCCAAAGCAGGGCGGTTCGAGCGTGAAGACAAAGGCGGAGCTGACGAAGACGAAGGCGGAGCCGATGAAGCCGTCTAGGCGGGAGATTTCGCTGGAGGTGCAGAAAGAGCTCTTGCGGAGGAGAGAGAGCAGGCGGAGGCAGAACAACCGGGAAGCATGGGTACTGCAGCAGTCTCTAGCTAACCACCAGGAAGTTATCGGGGGCCCTGCTGTGACGCTGCCGAGTGTCGAGGATGGAAACATCCTTTTTCCAGATCCATCCTCTTGGAGCATGGAGCTGGAACAGCAGTTCCAGATGGAGCTGGGGCTGCGGGTAAATGCCTTTCTGAAAGCGTTGGTCAAAAGGGGACTTGTCGGGGAAGCTGCTATAACAGTGCCGACCGGCGAGGATAGAAACTACTACCTCCGAGATCCAAGATTTAGGAGAATAATCGAGGGGCAACAGCAGGGGCTGACGGAGACGTTACGTCGGTCGAGGGCAGAATTACTACGACAGTTACGGTTCGTACCTAATCTTCAGCAAGTTGCCGGGGAACCTTCTGTAACGTTGCCGACTGGCGAGGATGGAAACAACCGTACCCCGGACTCGAGCGCTTGGAGCATGGAGCAGGAGCAGCCGCCTCAGAAGCAGTTGAAACAGCTATGGAAGAAGCAAGCGGAGTTACTAGAGCTAGCTAGCTTCGGGGAAGTTACGGCTGAGCCTGGCGCGACGGTGTCGCACGCCAAGGATGAAAACAGCCATGACTCAGGGCACAGTACTGAGAGCATGGAGCTGGAGGAGCAGATACAGGGGCGCGGCGAGGGGGTAATGGCAATGGCAATGGCATCGGCGGAAGCGGAAGCGGAAGCGAAATCAGCGGAAGCGGCAGCAGCGGGATCAAAAGCCGGTAACGACCACGACTCAACACCTCCCGATGATGCACAGCAAAACGTGGATATTATCTTGCACGGAGCGAGTTTCTGATCATCCCCTTAGTTACATCGCGTTTGGTGGTTCGACTGGTCTGCTCTAGTTAGTCCCGGACGGAGAGGAGGAGATTTGCTAGTGCTTGCTTCCCTTGATTTCATTGCTAGAGACTCAAAATCTGTATCGTATCAAAAAAAAAAAGCTTGGTATTTATATTATTTTCTTTAGCTGCCGGGATTAAACTCGCCATTTGTCTGTGTCTCTGAGATTTGTGGCTGTTCTACTACCAACGAGCTACGGAGGTGATTAATTTGCAACTCTGTCCCTATTAGCTCGTCCCTCTTCCTCTGGTTCTCCGGCTTGCTGGCGCATACAAGACGGACGTGCCAGTTATTCGTAGCCTTTATCCTGCTTGGTAGGTGGCCCCAGCCCCGAGCAGAGCAACAGGACTAAGTTAGGTGGGGGGGTAGGCGAACACTACTGATTTAGAACATTCTGTATAAGCAGGAGTCCCAACTAACCCTCCAACAAAAGAAAGGGTGATCTTTTTATTTACAAAACTTCAATACAATCTTTGATATCCTCTGAATCATCCGCTTCTTCCGCATCTTCTAAAACCTCTGCTGCACGCCCTACAGCTCTCTGGGCCTCACGAATAGTCTGAATATTCGCAAAGGTGGTATTTGGATCTTCTTCAACCTTCTTCTTCTTTCTGGCTCTTATTGATTCGAGAGTGTGTTCTAGACCTTCAATCTTTCGCTTCCTAATAGCCAGTTCAAAGGCCTGTTTATCCAAAGCCTTACCAATCTTTCTGAGGAAGAGCTTATCCGCTGGCATTGCTTTGATGATGCGTGCGAACTTCTTTGCCTGTTCAACGTAATCACGTGCCTTTCTAGGAGTCCTCCACTGCACCCGATCGTCTCCATAATCCTCCAGGATTGGCATACGGAGTGTGCGAACCTCTGGGGTAACTATAGTAGTTCTTAAGGGGCGTGAAGTATTAGAATTCTTGAGGAGGAGTGGGCTTCTTAGCGGTTTGTTGACATTCAAGGGCCAAAGGCCTGATGCCTTCCATCCTGACTTAGCATTACTCTTAGTAATTGCCTCTGTGCGTGAAATCTGGTAGCATTCCAGAAACGCACGTTTTCCGGCTACAGAAGAGTCGTCAAAGGCGTTAGCAAGAAGGTCCTCAAGCCGTCTGCGATAAAGTCGTTTTAGGGGGCCAAATATGGCCAAATCTAGGGGTTGGAGGACATGGGAAGTATGGGGAGGCAGATAAATAATGTGAATATTGTTTGTGAATGCCTCCCACATATAATCGGCAGTTGTGTGGCTGCCATGGCCATCAATAATAAGGAGTCGTTTCTCAGAGGAGTTTGCTGGCTTGGTGAGAGGAATGAACACATTTTTTAACCATTTGAGGCTTGTCTCATCGGTAGTCCATCCTTTCTCAGTTGCTGTAAAGAACCAATCCTGAAATGGCTTCATATCCAAAGGAAACCATTGTTGTTGAACGCTTTTCCCCTTAAAAATGACCAAAGGAGGAAGGCAACGGCCAGCTGCTGAGATGCATTCGACAAAAGTGGTCCAAGTGCGGGTTCCAGGCTGTTTTTTTTGAAGCGCCTTAAAGGCACGGCTTCCAATGACAAGGCCGTTGGTTCCTCTGCCTTCCATAATACCAGATTCGTCCTTGTTCCAGCGATTCTCTGGCTTAATCGCCTTGATAGCTGGTGTTTGGAAATGGTTGAACCAAGGTCGAATTGTTGACTCTGTAGCGCAGTTGACGCGGACCGAATCGACTCTCTTGGCCCTCTGAGTCTTCAAAATTCGATTGCAGTTAAGAAAGGCACGGCACCACCCCTTTCCAAGTGGTAAGGAGTCCCCCCTTTAAGCTAGAATACGGCGTGCAAGCTCCCTGATCTGTGCATGTGTAGGGGGCAATCCTAAATCTTGTTGAAGAAGAATCCATTCGACTAAACGATCCTCTTGGGTCTGTGTAAGCCTTTGCTCATCTTGATGAGCAACATTTCGAGGTAGGGAGCCATGTAGACGGCCATAAAGGGTGGAGGGTGGAACGTTCCATTTTCGCGCGACTTTGCGTAATCGATGTGTTCTGACGGCTTCCTCGCAAGCCTTGCGGAGGTCTTCTTCTGTATATGAAACCATTGTCAAGAGAAGAATAAAACGAATTGAAGATGAAGAGAATTGGAAAAGAATTGGTTGAGTTATGGGCTTTTTATATAAGAGGGTTGGTTGTGTTCCTCGCTTATCTAGAATGTTCTGGATCAGTGGCGTTCGCTTACTCCCCCACCTAACTTATAACGGAGAGCCTACCTACCCGGACTGTAATTAGGCATACCTAAAACGAGTCGCTTATAGTCCAAGTTAACGCTCTCTGTTGCAAGCTAGTATTGTCGTATTTAATTGCCAAAATGGTACCTGCTAAGCCGACCCGACACTCCACCTTCCCCTGATGGTTAGGAATAATAGGCGGACCCATGAAATAGTGGATGCTAGGTATCGGGGACTGTGTGCTCCCCACCTCTCCCTTTCTGCCACAACGAGGGTGTCGTGAAAATCTTCGATTCCCACGGATCATGACAAAACTATGAAGCGTCTTCGTTTTGGACTCGGTACTGGTCTCGACCTTCACGGCAACCTGCTCCAACATCATCAATATCATCCTTGGTGATGGCACAGGGGATGTGGTAAGTGCTCTTGTCCTTTTTCGACAAAACGACCACAACGCCTTACGATTAGCTAACAGATTCTAGTTCCGGACGAAGAGCTTCCAGATTTCGATCCCAGGATCAGGATCCGCAACGCACCAGGTCCCACGCTTCTCTCTTATCTCCGACCAACAAACTCGCCCATGCTTGAAGACATCAAAGACTTCATCGCGAGTTGTGAGGACATTGTCCCACCGCTCCATTGCCTCCACTAGTGCCTTTCACAGCAAGCCTCAAGAATGGCCAATAGGCGACGCTCGCACCAACTATCGGGGAGGTTGGCAGCGGCGGGCTTACTATGCTGGTTGCCGTTGTGGCTACGCGTGATGCGAGGAACTGTCTGTGCCTCAAAGCCGCCCTGATTCTCGTCTCCAACTGCCGTGCCCCGAAGGGCGGATTTCGTCTGTTGTATTCTGAGGTCGGGGCCCGTGTTGACCTCGTGGAAAAGGTGGTTTAATTACAGTGGCCTGTGCAGGCCCTATCCTGCACCATACCCGATTTAGGTGCGTCTTTCTGACACATGGTGTTTGAGAATTTCAGGTCCGTATACTTAGTGTGGTATGAAACCGGCAAACTCAATGACTACCCTTGGAAGCAATGAAACCTGACAGGAAGTTGGCGGAAATGGCCATCGCTATGACGGCGACGAAGATTTCAGCCAAAACAGACTGCCCTTCACGGTCGGACTGATTGTCAAATCCGGGCTTGATGTGAGGGCAAACATGCCGGGTTCGCTATACGGGACTGCCCAGCAGTTTTGTCAAGATTCGGGGGATAGAAGTGGCCGGTGAGTCAATTGACCGTGAACATGGGTAGAGAGGAGGGAATTACGTAGCTTTTATGCGTGGTTGAGGAGATGACCCGATAATTACTGGACGGTTGTAAGGGGACTCACATAAAGAGACCAGTCCCGCTTACTCCAAGTACCTATCTAGTCTAGGTTATGAGGGCATAATTACTAGAGAAATTCAACACAATTAATATCTGAATTTCTGAGAAATTTGATCAGCGGGGATGGCGCCGTTAATTAAACGCCACTGAGCTGAACTTGATTCCCTGAAAATCCCTAATCTGCACCTATACTCCTTCAAAAATCATCAAGCTAAGTGGAAAACCAATATGGAGTATGTCGTAGGATAAGCACTCGAAGTCCCCGCTATCGAATGCCTTAGAGTCTGGGTGGCGCTTGAGATCACGCATGGCGCTGGATATCGAGATGAGGTGATAAATGACAAGGCGTTGCACCTGTTGAGCCATAAGACTGACGGGCCTGCTGAGACGATTACGCTGATCCCTATTATGGTTAATAGTAAGCAAGCAATTGCCAATGATTGACCCAGGCTGTGGTTAAAGCGGGCAAGTTGCTGGCCCTAAGTTTTGTAGTGGTAATTAGTAGAGAGAAGAGAGAATACGCAAGAAGACGACTGGTTCATCAAGTCAAACCACCGAGAGTTTTGGGCTCGTGTACACGCTGGGATCTTCGGCAGCACAGTAGATCAGCCCAGACAGTCGGCGACATTTCTTCGGGAGAATATTAGCTCCCTGTGCCACGCAGCACCGCAGCGTCCAGCATCCCGAATATTTACACGACACAGTGGATTTACCTGGTAAACACGGCAGCTTGATTTGGACGCAAACTGCGCCACGCCACACAGCGTGAGCTGGAAAGTTGAAGAATTGTGTGTTTTGTGCAATATTTGACGGCCGTGCTAATTACTAGTTACAACTAGTAATGGCCCCATCAAGTGGAGGAGTAAAAAAAGGAAAAGAAACTATCACACTCGTCCCTTCCCCGTCTATCATGAAGTTTTGGGTTGGGGAAGGCGTTACCACGCAGCTTCCGTGGCCAACGCCACGGTCTACACGGACTCGTAACTTTAAAATAAAAATTTAAAGAAAAATAAAACACTGCACAACACAAAGGTGACACAACCTCCTGCCTCATGCGGCGGCGGCATCCTCGCACTCCATGCGGTGCTTCTTCCAATCTTTCTTCTGGCACGCGGCCGTGCAGTATTTGACTGTACGGCAGCGGCCGCACGCCTTGAGCGTGGCGTCGATGCGCCCACACGCGCGGCACGCCTCGGGCATGGCCAGCGCCGGCACCTCGACGTCGCCACCTTCCTCCTCATCCTCCTCCTCCTCCTTTTCCGCGCCGCCTGCCTTCTCAGCAGCTATAGCCGCCTTCGCCGCCGCCTTGAACGTCCTGGCCGTTTCGCCATCGATCAGCTCCTCGACAAATGGCGTCGCGAACACGGGGCTGATCGCCACGCGCGTCGCGAACTGCGCAGCCACCTCCCAGCCCGGCAGCGCGATGAATCGCTCCGGCAGCTTGCCCGCGCCGCACGAGCACAGCACAGACTCGCCCGCCTCCAGACTGACGGGAGCTGCGGGCTTGCCGCCCCAGCGTGCGGAATACTGGCACCGCTCGCCGTGCTCCCACGTGCGGCAGCGCTCGGCCAAGGCAGGCAAAGCACGCTTCCACAACCTCAGCTCGCCCTCATCGACCATCAGCGTGCAGCACTCGAGCGTGCGGAGCACGAGCAGGAACGCCTCGAGGCGGCCTGATGACAGGATCGCGTGCGTGAAGGGAATCACAGCTGCGTCTAGAACCACGCTTGCCGCCGCACCGTCCAGCCGCACCGCGTTGACAAACACCAGCATGTGAATACCGCCGGCCGACGGGTTGTGCAGCGCGAAGAGCCCGGTGGCGCCGCCTTGTAGACCCGCCGCCACGTTGAACATGGTGAAGAGGGACTCTTTGAAGTTGAGGCGTGCAGAGTCTGGTGCTGTGTCTGAGGCTAGCGCGGCCTCGCGCAGCCGGCGCTCGCGCGCCGAGAAGATCAGCGACGAGAGCGTCGACAGGAACTTCAGTCCCGATTTGGAGTCGACGGCAAGGATCGGCAGCGTGTCGAGGCTGACGTGCGGCACGTTGAGCGTCGCGGGGACTGTTGCCTTGTTCGCGTCGTCCTGTTTCCCCGGCCACTCCATCAGCGCCGTCGGCAGCAGGTACGCGTCCATCTCTGGCGACGGGACGGCGACTGCATCGGTGGCGGGCGTGGCGACAATGACCTCGACGTAGCCCGAGCGGCGCGCCACGCGCGTCTTGGTGTGGTGCAGCTGGATCGGCACGGGGGCTGTGAGGGGGAGCACGAGCGGCTGCAGCCCGAAGATGACGCCGCCCGGTTCGCCCAGGACCAGCTCGACGGTGAATGGCGACGATGACGTGGGCCGCAGAGTGATGGGCGACTTGATGTCTGCCAGCAGCCGCTTGCCCTGGTCTGACGTGATGTTCTGCCGCAGCGTCACCGACACGATCTCGCCTGTGCTGCCGTCGATGTTGGCCGACAGCTCGGGCTCGGGCTCGGGCTCGGACTCGGGCTCGGGCTTGTTTGAGGCTGTGCCGGTGCCAGCTTGAGGTGTCTGCTGCGGAGCGGCTTCAGCAGACAACGCAGGCGGCAACCCGCCGACGATGTGATGAGGACCCTTCTGGCCGGGGGGGTTCTTTGTGATAAAGACGTGGTCCTCGTCGAGGACGTGGGCCTCAAAGAAGGGCTCCAGGGGGTAACCTGATTCGATATACGCGGCGACGCTCTTGTACGAGATGATGGACACGTGCGTGTCGTGCGCCGTCAGCGTGGCCGCCGCGACGTTGAAGGTGGCGACGAGGGCAGACGACCCCGAGAAGCCGGCTGGGTCCCCGCGGGGGAGCGTCACCAAAAAGTCGTCGTGATCGTGCGTCCCGTGTGCCTCGATGGCGCCAAAGGCCACCTGCATGTTGCTGTACAGCGACTGGCGCGTTACGTCCTGCCAGCCCATCTTGTTGGCGGCCCGGCACCGCACGAGGCCCAGCAGTACGAACCCGCCCGTGCGCCGCAGCTCAGCCTGCCACCGCTCTGGCGGCACAACGAGCGTGATAGTGACGGTGGCGGGCATGGCCGCCCACTTGCTGAACGGAGCCGATGGGGGATCGTTGCTACCGGGGTCGAGCTCAGGACTCGAGTAGAGCCCCAGCTGCGCCATCTCGAGAAGCAGGTCGTGGCGGTGCAGGCTGTCTGCCTCCGAGGCATCGGGCCTACCGAGGCTCTGGGTAAGCAGCTGCGCGACGAATGGCGACTCGGACCCTGCCGGCTGCACCGCGACCGTCTTGCACATAGCCTTGAGGAAGGCCAGGAAGCTCACGCGGTTGTACTTGGGCGCGCCAATGGGAGCTCGAGTGTCGGCCAGCATGTTGCGGTAGATCTGGTACGCCACGATCTCGAGGTCCTCGGACTTCACGGCCAGCTTCTGCGACGGCGCCGACGGGGTCCGGCCGGAGAAGAACCGACTGTGCTTCCACGCCAGCCGCGAGTGGATCTTGAGCCCACCCTCGCTTAGCGTCGCTTCGTCGCTGCTGGCAATAGCGGCCAGACACTCGTCGACGACGGACTCGGTCGTGGCGTTGGTCCAACACTCGACAGGGGCTAGGCCGAGGAGGATCGAGACGGTCTTGGTGTGGCCGCAGAGGAGCGCGCCGAACTTGGCGCTGTCGCTCGCGCCGCCCCGCGTCATGATCTCCGTGTAGAGGGTCGACGACGGCGCGTCCTTGAGCAGCGGGCCGGCCGAGACGAGCAGGTTGATGACGCCGCAGTAGTCGGCGATGTTGGACGTGTCGATGACGTCGAACTTGGTGGGGGCCGTGCCCTCTTTGCCGTACTCGCTCTTTGCCAACTCCAGGGCCTGGAATCCAAGCCTGCGACGGTACCAATGAGCACACATGGCGCCAGTTTCAATGTTGTGCTGGAGGGTGTGGCACAGGGCCAAGCCGTCCGCCGTGATGAAGCGGATGGTCGTGCTTGAAGCGGACGCGGCAGCCCGGAAAGCGTCCACCCAAGCCCGGAACTGCATCTGGGCTGCCTCGAACAGCCGCGAGGTTTCGGCCGCCTTGTCGTCGTCGAGCCGCAGAGGAGACAGCTCGGTCAGGTTGGCCTCGGCCGTAGCGAGGTGGAAGGAGAGGAGCGGATCGGAGGGCCAGGCCAGAACGGAGCGCTTCGACAGCGCCTCGGAAAACGTGGGGTTGGCATACAGCTTCGTGGCAGGCGGCGCGGCCCTGGCCAGCCCGGTCTGCCAGTAACGTGCCAGGGCTTTGATCAGGTCCTTGACCATGTCGCGCGAAAGGGGGGCGGCGGAGCGCGACGTCGAGTGCACGTTGAAGCCCGGACCGCACCACTTTTCCTTGAAGCGCCGCGAGGCGCCCAGCTTGTCGTCGAACTGCGACTGGTACGCGGGCGACTCTTTGGCCTGCGCCCCCCGAACGTACTCGGCCCAGATGCCGCGCACGTCGGCGAGCGAGTCGGCGTCGCAGAAGCGGATGGTGGTGCCATAAGTGCCGGCGTGCCAGTCGTCGAGGCTGCCGGAGAGCCCCACGAGCTTCTCGGCTTGCGCTTCCAGGGCGTGCATGTCGTCGGCGTCCACGTATAAGTGGTAGTAGATGTTCCAGATCTGGGCGGGCGACGCGGCCGCGCCCCCGTCCAGAACCAGGGTCAAGAACACGACATTCCGCGCTGCTAGCATCAGTCTCGGGGTCCTCTGGTGAGTCGGTCAGACAGTTGATATTAATTACCAATGATGTGGGGGTTGAGGTCGCAGGCCGTGATGTCGAGGCGGCGCGCGGGGAAGCCGAGGTTGGCATACGCCGTGTAGAGGAGGTGGCGCACGTCTCCGCACCCGACCAGCAGCACGTCGGCATCCAGGCCCTGCGGCAGGCACCGCGTCAGGCTCATTGCCGGCGTGTTGCCCACGGCGTAGAGCGGCCGCGTCGAGGCCTGTAGTTCGGGCGACAGCATCGCGCCGAGTGTGCCCCCTGAAAGAGGGTAAAATGCGCCGGGGTATCTCGGCTTCTCTGGGGACGCGTCAGTGACCGAGTCGAGTCCGGCCAGGGAAGTCGGGCATGCTCACCTGAGAAGTTGCGTGCCTCTTCCTGTGTCCTGTCTGCTGTTTTGTGTGAAATTGTGAGGAGCCGGCTCAGGTTGTGCTGCTGAGCATGACCTCACGGGATTTTATAGTCAGGGTGAGAAATCGCACCGAACCACTGCAGCTGCGGAGACTGTGCGCCTACAGTGCCTGCACGGAGGAGAGCCGGCTACCTATTGTTCTGCGCGGCAACGGGGGCGTTGTGAGCGGACTGAACAATAGGGACGCTTTGGTTCGCTACTAGGGCTGAGAGGAGAGGACAACAGCTGAGATGGATCGATTTAGAGGATGAAACACGGGGGGCTCGAGTCTTATTGTTTGGTTATTGGGCTAATATTCTTTTTTTCTTCTTTAGTTAATAGAAAATATTTGTGTGTCATTTTTCTGAATGCTTAGCCGAAACAGACGATGGTTCGGAGACTGGGTTGATTCGAATGAATGCATCTAGTCTTGGCTCATTTTCGGTGGCCATAGTGTCTGCTCGAATCATGCCTGGGAAGGTTTGGCAATTGACATGCTTTAGGTAATTACTGGATTGCAAAAGTATGCAGGACTCATGATGAAGGCGAGGGTCTGCTCGTGAACTGTCAAGGCTGCCTGATATAGTGTGTACATGGTAAATGTAACCCAGTCCCAGTTCACTTTGGTGATATATCTAGCCGTGGAAGTCGCCCCTAGAGAGACGAGAGAAAACACCTCGGCAGGAGTCTTGACTACTGGACATGGGACCGGGCTACGGTACCCATATGTAGGATGCGGCTGGCTTTAGTTGTTGAAATAGACATGGGATGTTACCGTCTGAATTTCACAATCGCGGCAACGATTGGATCGATTCGAGCCTTGCTCACAAATGGTTCAGACGCCTCCAACTTCGGATAGAGTGGTAGACACGCCGTCTAGAGAAGATGTTCCGAGATATTCCGTGTACCACTAGTACCAAGAATGAACTCCGGACGTCTTGGAATAATCCTACCGGTGCTGAGAGAAATACCGCTTGCTTCTAGGCCAACGGTTGTTTTGGGGCCAACGGTTGTTTTGGCGGATCAACCGGTCTTCCCCGAATCAAAGCGATGACTAACGTGTCTGATGAGGATTCACCGTCTCAGCGATGGCCATGCCCGCCATAAGATCAAGGTTATCATCAAGAAATGGACTTGGAAACCCAGGAAGGCGGATCCAAGAGACATGGAAAGATCGACCCGTATCTCACGAGGAAAGTGTGGATCAATCCCTATTTCCTTCCAGAGATACCAGGTCACAGTCTGGGCCCTTCCTTCCCATCAAGCCGTGGCTTGCCCCCACCCGGTCCGTGATGCGTTCCTTCCGAAAAAAAAAAAAAACAGCCAGTAAGCGGAAAGAGGCATGGAAATGGGAGTGTTTGTTTGGCCCGAAGCCGGAGAGCGCTCGCAAACCTCCAAGCTTTCCCTCAAGCATCACATCAATAGCAGCAAGACAAGCTGGCCCTGCCAATTTTGTCTCCCAGTCATCCAGTACAGCTCATTGTCACTCTACCGTCGGCCGCCCACAGCTCATTCACACGGCCAAAGATGGCCGGCGGCCTGTCGCGCACGAAGAAATGGTTCAAATTCCACGACCGGACCCTGGGCCGCGGGCTCGTTGGGCCGCGCCTTTATACCGTCGCGGACACGCACCCACCAGGACAGGAGATCACCCACCCTGCTAATACAGACGAACCCACAACCACCATCTCTGCCAACCCCGCCCTCGGCCCCGTCGCCGACGAGATCGGAGACGCGAGAAAATGCAGCTGGAGCCGCCGTGGCTGCTTTTTCCGGCTCACATTTGTTTCGCCTTGGACGGCACACGTCATGAGACCCCAGGACAACTTCAACGACCCTAGAGAAGCCTGGATCGATGTTGTCATGACACAGGCATGTTTGATGTCCCCAACGTGCCCAGTCACTCGATGCATTGAAGACTGACCCGTGTCTTGCTTCCCGCTACGCAGGAGATTGTGCCCGTCCGGGCCGCAGTCCCGACCAAACACGTGCAAGAAGATGAGGACGGGGCGGTGCGTCCAATGGTCAACGGGAACGGAGCACATTTGTTGAACGGGGTAGGGGCAGAGGGACACGACGTTCGCGTGGTCACCGACATCGAGGTCTATACCGACGTGCGATCTGTTTGCTTCGTGACGGGCCTCTTTATGGTCTTCAACGTCTTGCTCATTTTTATGATGCTCGTTGTAGTGCTTTTTTCGGTGGCCAAAGTCTATTTGAGGTGGATTACGGGGAGGCCGCTGCTGCGTCTTCTGCGGTAATTACAAGTTGATTCGAGTTTTAGTTGCACACAGCGGTAGTAGATGGCTATTTCACCAGCACTTTGTCTTCTAGTTGTATCGTTGACGTGCGCGCACTACTGATCGCCGCCAGACGGGGACACTGTGTGGGATGGAGGCTCGAAACATGACATGTCGCGCGCGGTGCTTCGCGCAGGCAGGAAAAACCCCAGCATCAATACGGTAGGTAGTAGGTAGGCAAGTAGAGCGGCTAAGCAGTGAGCCGAAAACATGGTGACATGAGACGCGAAATCCTGCACTGTCCCGTAACGTCGGTCCACTCTAAAATATACCCGCCAAACAAGCACGGGCCGCGCAAAAGAGGAAAAGAGACAACAAGACACAAAATCAGGAAACGTCATCGACCCAAAATCTTTCTTCCCGTGCCCAGCCCATGCCAGTAAAAAAGCAAAAGAGAAATATCCAAACATCCGAGATCCGTCGTCTCGGAGCCGAACGTGGCGTGATCGGAAAGCTGATTGACGAAAAAAAAACACCCGCCCGCCGGCCTCGTCCGCAACTGCCCGCAACGAGAAAGAATTAAATAAACCCCCGCTGCACCTCGTTCCTGCCTGCCTTTCCCCTTCCTTCCCGTCCCCTTCCCTAGTTGTACAGAGCCCACGACGATTCGGTTCGTGAACGCCACCCCAGACAGAATTAAAATAAGAAACAGAAACAGTGGTCTGCAGCAGCAACCAACCAAGAAACCAAGCACCAGATATCTAGAATACACACACTCACACACACCCACACACACACACACACGCACCCACACACACACGCACCCACACACACGCACAGACCCGGCACCGTGGCAGGCAGGCACCAGTTTTCTTTCCCGCTCGCATCATAATCGTCATAAAGGAGGTAGGTTCTCTCTCAAAGGTTCGCGAAAAGAACAGAGCAGCAGAGAGCGTAGATGGGGGAGCGGAAATAGCCGAACCGAAACAAACGAAACGAAACGAAAGAACCTCACGAGCTGCCGAAAAACACATCGTCGACATTCGTAAACATGCTGACGGCGGCGTCGTAGTCCTCGTCATTGACGAACTTGGCACCGCTACCACTTCCCACGCCCACGCCCACGCCCACACCCACACCCACACCCACACCAGCACCTGCACCTGTGTTAGCGGCACCGTTGCCGAGCAACATCCCGCCGACGCCGACGCCCACACCCAAGCTGTGGTGCTGCATCTGCATCTGCATCTGCATCTGCAGCGACATTTGCATCTGCATCTGCAGATGGGAGTGCGACAGCTGTGAGTGCGGCTGGGGGTGGTCGATATCGCTCGCGAACTGCAGGAGCAAACTACTGTCCCCGTCCTCGTCATCGTCCGCGGCGTGCGCCGCCGCCGTCGTGCCCAGCCCGATGCTCGTGTCCGAGATGCCGCTGGCGTCGGCGTCGGCGTCGGCGTCGTCGAAGAACGTGTCTCCAGTGGTTGTTGTGGTGGCAGAGGAGGGAGGGTCTCGCGTTGGTGGTGGCGGCGAACTGCTGCTGGCCGACAGCCCCGGCGGCGTGCCCGGCAGGTGCGTGTAGTGGCTGGCGACGCTCTTGGCGGGGGAGGCTGGGTTGGTTGCGGTGGCAGTGGGCGCGATGGTTGTGGGGTGGGTGTACATGCTCGGAAGGTCGTAGTAGTCCGCATCCGAGGTGCTGTTTCGGGCGCGGGGTGCAGCGGAGGCGTGGGACGTGTGGCTGTAGCTGCTCATGGCGGACGGCGAGGCGGCGTACACCTCGGCCGACGAGGCAGAGCGCAGCACGCTGGCGAGGATATCGTCGTCGACGTCGTCGGATGTGCTGGTGGCAGCGGCGCTCGGCATCGGCGCCGTCGACACGTTGCCGGCCAGCCCCAGGCTGCTCGGATCCAGCGTCGGCGACGCCGTGGTGATGCTCGTCGCCGCCGTCGGCAGGTCGGCCATGGCCACGTCCATCATGTCCATGTCGGGGAAGGCGTCGTCGTCCATGAGCCCGTCAAAGTTGTGGTCGAGGTCTGCGTGGTGCGCCGCCGGCGAGTTGGCCGCCGAGCTGTCCGAGTAGCCCGACTGGCTGCTGACGGAGCTCGTCGACGCGTGGTGCTTGCTGTTGCTGCTCGCGGGGGCGGCATTGTTCTTGCGGCGCGTGCGCTCGCTCTTCTCGCGGCGCTCGTCGAGGGCCGGGCGCAGCTTGCGCGGCCGCCCGCGCTTGACGACTTTCCGCACGATGCCGTCGAAGGCGCCGATGCACATGCCGCGCTGGCGGTGGCGGGTCAGGGCGTCGTGGCGGGCGAAGCTGTTGCCGCACTCGCACGGGTACGGCTTGACGCCCGTGTGGATCTTGGCGTGGCGCTTGAGGTCGTGCTGGCGCACGAAGCACTTGTTGCACGTCGGGCACTGGTACTGGCGGTCGTTGAGGTGCGTCTGCACGTGGCTCTTGATGTTCTCCTTGCGCCCGAACCGCTTGAGGCACCCCTCGTATACGCACACCCACTTGCCGTCGCCCGCGTCCGGGCCCTCGATGTATAGCGCGATGTCGTCGCTCGTCACCCCAGTGTCCGTCTTGGTCTCGTCGATGTTGATGCTCGCGATGCTGGCCGCGCTGGCGATGGACGCCAGCGAGTCCGTCCGCCGGTGCGGCGACCCCCGCCGCGACGGCGACGACGGCAGCCCGTGGTGCGAGGGCGAATATGCCCCGTGCGGGTGCGGCATCACTGTGTCCTGCGAGTCGAGGTCTGGGAACGGCTGCAGGTCGGGCTTGTTGCCGAACGCGTCGTGGTTCCCCGGCTGCAGCTCCTGCGACAGGTCCAGCCGCACCCCCGGGAACCCGTCAAAGGCGTTCTCGATCTTGACGAACTCGTCGTTGAGGTTCGACATGTTCATGAAGTCGGGCGTGCGCAGACCATGCCCGGCAAACGCCATGGGCATCGTGTTGGCGCGCTGCGGCGTGTGCGTGTGCGCCAGCGCCTCGGCCTGCTGGCGCAGGTCCTGGAAGATGCCCGAGTTGCGGTTGCTCGACCGGCTCCCGCGCATCGGCTTGATCGTCTCCTCCATCGACTCGTCGTAGTCGTCCGAGAACCGGCTCGGGCGCTGCTGCTGCTGCTGCTGCTGCGGCGTGGCGTTGCTGTGCTTGGCCATCCTGTCGTGGGGTGTTTCTGTGGGTGTTGGGGGAAAGCAACCTGTGGTCGATGTTAGCATTGCGTTGTCTCGTTCAGGTAATGTGCATGACCGACCTGTGTCATTCTGTGTTGGCGGTGTGGCTGGTCTCTGCGCAGACATGTCCAGACCAGTCCCCATGGCCTCGAACTTGGCCACCTTGTCGAGGATGCCGTTGCTTATCCTCCTCGACGTGCGGCGCGTGTGCGTGCTCGCCGTCTCGCCCTCCGAGATCCAGCCGTGTCCTGCCGACCCGGTCGGGCTGGCCTCGGGAAACGTCATGAACGTGGGCGTCGACAGCGCGCTGTCGGGCCCGAAGAAGTCAAAGTCGTTGGCCGAGCTCATGCCGTCGTTGGCCACGAAACTCGCCTGGTTCTTCTTCATGATGGCGTTCATGGGCCCCATGTAAGCGTCGAACGGCACGCTGGACATGTCGGTCATCTGGCCCTGGGCCGCGAGAGCGTCGACAAAGTGCTGGTGTTGCGGTGTGCCATGAGGAGACAGGAGATAGCCATCGTTTGGGTTCTGTTGTTGTTGTTGTTGTTGTTGCTGCTGCTGTTGTTGCTGTTGCTGTTGCTGTTGCTGCTGCTGCTGATGTTGCTGCTGCAGCTGCTGGAGTTGGTGTTGTGCGGCTGCAAGGCCGCCAAAGGCGGGCTGGCCAGAGCCCGGGCGGGCGATGCGTTGCTGCTGCGATTCTCGCAGTCCATGCTGTGGTGTCGTTGCTAATCCTGGGTTAGTTGTCGAAGTACTTACCGTTGCGTAGTCCTGCCGGAATGTCGGGGAGAGCTGCGGGTGCCGCCGCGTGTCGAGGCTGAGGCGGCGGCGGTGCCCCATGTGTGGTCGTTGCTGGAAGGGGGGCAGGGGGGCGATCTTGACGGCTTCGAAGGCCGACGGCGTCGAGTTTTGTCGTCGATGTTGCCGTTGGCGCGAGTGCAGCGCACTCGCCTGGGGCGGCGGATTGGACAGCATTAGGAGATGCAAGTCGAGTTCGGAAGAGGGTGTCGTTGTCGTCGATGGTCGAGATTGCCGCGCTCTGCTACAGTGTGCCGTACAGAGTGCTGGTCGATGTGGTTCCGAGACTGCGGGCGCGCCAGTTAGCCGTTGTCCATCGGCAAGGTTTCCATCCCTTCTTTGTCAGTTCCATCCCATCCTCTGCAGCCCCAGCTGTGAGCCCATCGGAGGACACAAGGTAAATGGAGGCAACTAACCTCACGCAGCGCAAGCCTGGCGGCCGGGCGATTGGAGTCGCGTGGTTGTGCTCAGTCGGTGCCGACCTTGCGGTTGTCTTGATCTGGAGTTTACTGCCTATGCAGGCAGGCTGGCAGGGCGAGTGCAGCAGCCCCGGGCTGGCAAGCTGAAGTTCTGTTCTCAAACAGACGAGTAGGTCTGGTCTGTCTTGCTCAGGTAGGTATTTTGATGTGTTTGACGGTTCTGATGCTCAATTAATTGGCAGAGAGGTTTTGCAGGCCAGGCAGTTCGCGAGACTTGTTGGGAAATGGGTAGCAGCAGGAGATGCACGAGAAGTATGGGGAATGCGCCCCCATGATGGTTGCGCTGATTTTTGTTTTCTTGCGCCGGCGACCGCGGTTGTCAGGACAACCAAGGCAGTTTTCTTGGTTCTTCAGCCCACGCTCGGTCAGCGCCCGCTCGCCATTGGCGCTTGCCGCCCAACAAGTGGGGGCAGTGCCCACCAGTCGTTAGCTGCCGCCCACCGGGCCCACGCCCACTGAAACCCGAGTGCTGGGACTCGCTAAACGTCAGCCAGCAGAAGCCGCCCGCCGACTCGACTCCTAGGGCCCTGGTAGATTAGCCTGAGCGCCGTGCATTGCCCCAAAAGCTTGCTGGGAGGTCCTTGCTGCCAGCGGTTTGCGGCCATGGCTCGACTTTCTGGCCAGTTTCTGGGCCAAAACCCGCAGTCGTCGTGCAACTGCATTCACCATTCTATTGTTTTGGGCCCTTGGTTGGGGCTTATTCGAGGTGTTAAGACGGACGGTTATATTAGCCGCCTCCCATGGTCTCGCCCAAGGCAGCTTTGTTGTTTTGTCGCTGTTGTCGGCGGGCAAGCGATTCGACAAGATTTGCCGTGCGACGGCGGCGGCTGCCCAGCGCGGGCGCGCGAGCCATTGCAGCGCACCCATATCCCATAGCACACCTAACTCTCCCAGCGCACCTACCTCCCACAGCGCACCTACCTCCCACAGGCTTCCATCCATCCTGCGCTCCCGTCCTTCAGTTCGGACCCGTTCTGGACGGATTGTTGTCTCTCAATTGAGTTTGACCCAGCCGATCGCCATCAACACCAACACACATCCATGGCAACCGGCCTGAAGGAGGGCTCTTGTCTGCATTAATGGCGTGTACTTAATTCTCAATTGTCTAGGCACTTTGCAGTTCTGCACCTCTTGCTATTTTTTTTTTAATTTTTTTCGCTTTTCCCTTTGATGGCGCCATCTCATGGACGGCGGGTGTTTATTCTCTGGTTGCTGCGCGGTTGCCCCCCTCCCCCCAGGCCCCTCCCTCCTTCAGCAGCCCCCACCCCTTTGGTCAAGCCTTAATAGGCCATGATATCGCCATTCCACCTCACGTAGCCCCCGTGGGGAATCGCCGCGCCGTCGGCAGTGCCGAATCGCACAATGACATCGGCCAGCGCCGCCATGCACTCGTCCATGTCGTCCTTCCCAAAGTACCCCGTCATCTTGGTCGCCACGAAGCCCGGGTGCACGGCCAGCGCCAGCACCTTGGACCCCAGCTTGGCCAGGTCGACGGCCATGGTCTTGGTCAGCTGGTTGACGCCCGCCTTGGACACGCGGTAGCAGGCGTTGCCGCCCGTGTTGTCTGCGCCATCAGTCTTCAACTCTGCATTGGAGCGGGGACTGTTTATTTACCGGCGATGCTCGCCATGTCCGACGACACGTTGACGATCTTGCCCTGGCCCGCCCTCTCGAGCGCTGGGAGGAAGGCCTTGGATGCAAGAAACGGGCCCTGGATGCTTGCACCGCACCGTGCTGCCCGTCAGGTCTCGATTCCTCGCCCAATGGGGATGGGGCGGGGGGAAAGGGTTGGTCACGCACCACGACGTTGACCTTGAAGTGGACCATCAAATCCTCCGCGGACAGTTCCGTGAACGCCTTGTCATCCCACTGGTGGTAGACGCCTTTTCCCGCGAGTTAGCTGGCATCCAAGTCTCGGGAAGCAACGCAAGAAGGGTCGCATCGATGCACAAGAGGGAGGAGGCGCGCGGTCCGCCCATGCGGAAGGTGGTTGCTTACCTGCACAGTTGACCAGGATGCCGAGCGGCCTGTTGCCGTACTCTTGCGCTGCGGCATTGATGGAAGCCTCGTCGGTAAAGTCGAGCTCTATCGTATGCACCCCGCTTCCTTTGAGCTGGCCTTGCGTCAGCACGCCGTGTGCCTCCGACCTCGCCGTGCGCGAGAGATGGGAGCGCCGCTCACGTCCGACACTGAGCTATCGCCCCGCGTCTGGGGCCGGTATGTGCCCCAGACATTGTACCCCTTCTTGACGAATCGGGTCGCCAGTTCGAAGCCGATTCCCCGATTTGCGCCTGCCTACCGTCAGTGTCTGCTGCAGCTACGATGCGGTCACGATGGCCTGCCTCGCTGAGCTTATCGCGTCTGCTTGAGAATCGGCTCCAGATCAGGAAAGGACTCACCGACGATAAGGACATTCTCTGGGCCAGACATGATGAAGCAATCGCAGTTTGGTTACCCCGCTGTGTGACTGCGATCCGCTCGTTGCTGGATGTGGCTCGAGGTCCGAGACAAAGCCCTGCTTCTTATAGACCACACACTGGTCCGGGTTGCCCTATTCAGCAGACGGACTACATATACATAATGCTAAGCAAGTCGACGTGCAGATAGACTTGGGAGCATGTGTGACATCGCCAAATTCCAGGTTTTGAGTGCATGTCCGGAGCAGAATGCGGCACAGAACCGTATTGCCCTTCTGATAGGGCCAAGTTCGTGATCCCCACTGGTTGGTTTCATCCCATGGTCCGAGGGTCTCGGACTTGGCCGCTCGCTAGCTGTGCCCCATTGGTCCGCGGGCTTGACGCGAGCGAGCCTGTCAACGGGCCTCTGTTGAGACGACACCTATACGGAAATAGGGTGTATTTTTGGATCAACATGGCGTCCCAAGATGGCCGCCACGGGCTCGAGGCCGTTGCGGCCCTGGGGGCCACTGTGACGTTAAAAACTCCAGACAGCCAGCTCCCTCGATTCCCAGGTGTTTCGCCCAGAGAGAGACTTGACGAACGCATCAAAGGTGAGACCTGACGAACGCATCAAAGGTGAACACAGAGAAATATACCCAAAATGCCCGGCAAGACCGATGTCGCCAGCGCGCCTGTAGCTAGTCAAGCAGACGAGCCTAAGAAGGCCGAGAAGATCACGTACGATGTCAATATCCCGTACAAGCTATCGGACGCCGCGGTCCAGGGCACTAGATACCTAGACTACCTGCCGACGTGGGACGAGATGTGGTTTGAGCCGCTGGCGCCGTTCGCGTTCTCCGACCCCGGGCTGCGTGTGACAGACAGGACGCTGCCGAACCTGCTCGGGTGGCCCGGCGTGACCGTGACCGACATCCAGCCGGGCTTCGCGTCTGTCGTCGAGGGGCTGCAGCTCAGCGCGCTGGACGCGGCGGGGCGCGACGAGCTTGCGTACCTCATATCCCAGCGCAAGGTGCTCGCGTTCCCGGCCCAGGACCTCATCGACGCCGGGCCCGCGGCGCAACGCGAGTTCATGCGCCACTTTGGCAAGCTCAACTACCAGCCCGTCTCGGGCTGCGTCAAGGGCGAGCCCGCGTTCCACGTCATCCATCGTCATGGAAATAAGGAGGAGATTGCGAGCTTTCTCGAGCACCAGCCGACTACTACCCTCTGGCACCAGGATGTTAGCTATGAGATCCAGCCCCCCGGCTACGTGCTGCTGGGCATGCTCGAGGGCCCGGCCGTCGGCGGCGACACGGTCTTTGCCGCCGCCGACGAGGGGTACAAGTGAGTCTCTCCCACCCCCGAACACCCTCTCAGTCCGACATGCGACTGACACCCGCCCCACCAGCCGCCTCTCGCCCGCCATGCAGACCTTTATCGACACGCTAACCGCCGTGCACACGTCGGCCAAGATGATCGGCCACGCCAAGGCCGCCGGCCGGCCGTTCCGCAAGGACCCCGTCGAGACGCGCCACCCGATCGTGCGCGTGCACCCCGTCACGGGCCGCCGCTGCCTGTTCGTGAACAACGAGTTCCTCACCCGCATCGAAGGGCTCAAGGCCCCCGAGTCGCGCCTCATCAATGACTTTCTGGTGAACCATCTTGTGACCGGCCACGACTTCCAGGCCCGCGTCAAGTGGCAGCCGGGGACTGTTGTCATGTTTGATAATCGCAGCTTGATTCGTACGTCTCTCTCATTTGTGTGTGTGTGTGTGTTGTGTGTGTGTGTTGTGTGTGTGTGTGTTGTGTGGGTGTTGTGTGTGTGTGTGTTGTGTGGTGTTTAGCGGTGGTCTGGCTTGTTTTTTTCACGGTCTCTCTGTTTCTTACGTTGTCCTTTCATTAGATTTGGAAAGAATTCACACCCCTCGTGAATCAACCACCAGAGACAAGAAGCTGACAGGTATTACCAGACACCGCCTCGGTCGACTATCTCGACGACGACGGCAACGCCCGCCCGCGCCACATGTTCCGCTTGTGCGCCATGGCCGAGAAGCCCATCCCCGTGTCGCCGTCGGCCGAGTAAGTAGGTAATTAGTCAACGGGGTGTGGGAGCGGAGATACCATGGCAGCGGGCACCGCTTGACGTCTTCACCAAAGGCAGAGGCTGGTCTGGATTCCGTCTTGTCAGACAAGTAGGCAGGCAGGGAGGTATGATATTGTCATGATTTTTTGAATGTTATTTTATTGAAATATTGCCACCTTTTCGCGAACTACCTCTTGGTGTTTGTTAGTGTTTTGGTGTCGCGCACTAGAGCCCGAACCGGGCCGGCAGACGTCAGAACCAGTTGGCTGGACTGTTGCTGCAGCAGTCAGGGCAGGGCAGAAACGCGGCTCGGGTGCATTCGCCGACGGTCTCTGCGTGTTGTGTCCCGAGCGCGTGGCACCGGCAGAGAGGCCGAGATGGGGGAGTGCGAGTGTGGGTGTTGGTGTGCATGGTAAGCCAGGCACGGGAGCGGCTCGAGTAGAGAGGCCGGCGGATTTGGTTACTGCCTTTTCTGGGCTTTGCTTGGAGCTCGCGCGTCTTGAGGGGATGAGGGTTGTGTTTGCCTGGCATGGACAGGGTTAGAGACGGCTGCGAGTCAATGTAGCTTGCTTGCTGCGTTCTCGTTGGCGCAATCGCTGGACTCTGCATTGATTAGTGCCCGGTTTTGGTCGTGCATGAATCTGTTTTTGCCTCCTCTGCCTGCTCGTGGTCCTTGCATCCGTCGGTCCATCCATCTAACCAATAACCCCCGGAACTCCATCCAACCAACAACCCCCGGCACTCAATCTAACCAACAACCCCAGACACGACTCCGACGCGACGCAGCGCAACGAAATAAAATGGAGGAGCTGAGCTCGGTGTTGGTCGGCTCGCCATTTCCTCCCTTTTCTTTTTTCTCGCGTCTCTCGCTCTTCGCGACTTGGCATCCCAAAAACTGCCCACGCAGGCCAGGGACGCACGCTGCACAGAATGTGCCTCCGCCGGACTTGGGTTCGGGGACATGCCGGCCTGGCCTTTGTGTCCGGCCCTTCCCCGCCCCACTCCGAAATGGTAGACAGGACAGTACACCCCCCAGCGCTCGAGTAAGGTACGGCAAGCTCGAAAGCTGAAGGACGTCCGGAGTACCGTCATGGTGTAACTCCGTCCTGCTCTAATTCGAAGCCCGGGTTTGAGGAAAGCGAGGGACCCAAACGGGCGGGAGATTTACCCACATCCCCCCCTGGAACTGGCAGGTTACGCGGCTATTATTGCTCAAATAAAAAGAATCCCTCCGCGCTCTCCGCCTCCTGTGGTCTGGCTCTTCCCTTTCCCGCGCTTTTTTCCCGCGCTTTTCTTGTTCTCTGATACCCAGCATCGCACCGCATCGCATCGAATCGTATCGTCGCCGCATCGCATCGAATCGAATCGCATCGCATCGCATCGCATCGCCAGCCTCGACCACCGCCTTCTTGCAACCACACCCGCACCTGACACAATGGTGATCGCCGTGCCCACCGCCAGCCTCGAAGGCAAGGTCGCGCTCATAACGGGGGCGGGCCGTGGCATCGGGCGGGGAGTGGCGCTGGAGCTGGCGCGGCGCGGGGCGTCGGTCGTGGTCAACTACGTGTCGTCGGCGGGGCCGGCGCAGGAGGTGGTGGACGAGATCGCGTCGTATAAGAACGGGGCGCGCGGCGTGGCGATCCAGGCCGACGTCAGCAAGGTGCCCGAGATTGCGCGCCTGTTCGAGGCGGCCAAGAAGGAGTTTGGCCGCCTCGACATCGTCATGTCCAACAGCGGCACCGAGTCGTGGGACAAGACGGAAGAGGTGACTGAGGAGAAGTATGACCACGTCTTCAACCTCAACGCCCGTGCACAGTTCTTCGTCGGCCAGGCCGCCTTTAAGCATCTCGAGCGTGATGGCCGCCTGGTCCTCATGACGAGCATCGCCGCCGGCCTCATGGGCGTCAAGGACCACGCCCTGTACAACGCCTCTAAAATGGCCGTCATCGGCATGGTCAAGGCTTTTGCGACCGACTTTGGCGTCAAGGGCATCACCGTCAACGGCGTCGCCCCCGGCGGTATCAAGTCCGACATGTTCACCCAGAACGCCTGGCACTACATCCCCGGTGCCGGCCCCGACTTCCCCGGCGACAAGATCGAGAAGCTCATGGCCGACCACTGCCCGCTCGGCCGCTGCGCCGTGCCTGAGGATGTCGCCCGCGTCGTTGCCTTCCTGGCCAGCGGGGACGGCGGCTGGGTCAATGGTGAGCCTTCTTCCTGTGAACTTGGTCAATGAACATTGCTGACAGTTTGTGGCGGTCTAGGCCAAATCATTACCATTTCCGGCGGCTCATCGCAGTAATGTGTTGTTGATATCGCACGGGCGGGGCGTCGAGAGAAGGGGGACAGAGCATACAAACGTGTAGTGCAAATAGTGCGTCTGCGGAGGATGGGGAGAAGGGATGAAAATACCAGGGCAGTTATTTTGGGGATGGTCGGGGCGAATGGCAGCCGTAGGAGACATGGATATAAACGAAAGAAGTCTCAACGGCCAGAACACGATGGCCATGTGTGCGGGTGCGTTTTAATATGCCGTTAGGTAGATGCCGGGAAATTTTGAAATATGATTATGGCGTCTCTCCCGTCTCGCATTGGGCCGCTGTTGCATAGGTAGATTAAGGTGAATTAGGAATTAGGAATTCTTCAGGGCACACACTCCATCGTTACGTACATCGTCCAATCTACAATGGTGGCTGTCCTGGTTGGGGGCCATGTTTTGAGCGGTAAAGCCGGTGCTTTGAAATGCAGCTTCCCAAGCGTAGATTTCCAACCATAACAACAGAATCCTATGCGTGATCGTGTGCGTATTTGCAAGCAAGGCTGATCAAGTGGAGTGGTGATGTTATTGATGGTGTCGTGATGTTGAGTTTAGGTCCAGTGACTGCTTTGTTGGCTCGCTCCGTTGACTTGCCTAGGAATCCCCCCATTCAGTTAATTACAGATTTACAGATACCTAGAGAGCTGAGGTAAGTACGTGCACATATAGAAGGCTTCATTACAAAGCACTGATTTAACCACCAAAAGGCCGACAGTCGACGACAGCCGCCATGGTGGACTTTCTATAGGTACCTTAATTGCGTGGGTGGCTGTGGTGATAGGGTGGGTGCCCCAACTGCATGCGCCTCTTCCGAAAGTGCGGCATTCTCTATGTCTACCTAGGTATTTATTTATATTCAGAGCCCCTAAACCGCCTTTCAGTGTTGATCTCCAGGATGTCTGCCTCTTCCCCGACAACTAGGTCGGTACTATTTGAGTGCCCCTCACCCTGCTGCAATGCAACGAAGGTAGTCACGCTGTTTTGATTTGCGCTGCGCGCTTAAACTACGGTAGGAATTGTTTCGGCGATCCTTTGTTTTATCTGTCAAGCCGAAGCTGTGTTGGAAACTAATCACACCACCCCTTCGCAGACGTCCGAGGCAGCTTCCTCGCCCAAGCCCGGGAATGAGTGGCTGGGCACACTTGCCGACCCCGTCTTCGAGGTACCCCTATTCACGTTTAGCATCAAATCTGGTCACGATAATGAGCGCTCCGCTGACAACTTGGACAACTCTGTTTGCAGATGGAAGTCTCTCTCTCTTCAAAGACGCACCATTTACGCATTCATGGCGACCTTTGCGGCTCTAGTCATTTCGGTCGAGGGTCTCTTCATCGCCTCTGAAAAATGCCAGGGTCTCGCAACCGTCTTTCCCGGTGCCAACTTGGATTACACTTGGACTTACGGACCGACGGCTGTCGTGAGCCTGGCTGCTGCTCTCTGGTCATGTGTCGATTATTCGGTCAAGGTCTCTGCTCCCTGGATCCGCCTCCGAAATGCCAAAAGTAATGCCGGCGGGAGAGCGCCTTGCTCTTGGATTACATCCCATTCCCATTTCTGGTTCCCTTCCAGACAATCAAAAACAGGGATGTTTCAGTCACTACTACGGCGATTTTATCCCACTTCCTCACCGTCATGACTATCTTCTCGTCGTCCATGGTCCGAGTCGTGCCGGTGGACGTCACTCCCCCAGTCCAACTCCGGTCCAAGTTTGTCGATTCTTATCCTTCACGTCTCGATGACCGTGGGCTGCTGCCGATTTATGCGCGGATAGCGGAGGGACTGAGGGAAGAATACGAAGGAGAGCCCCAGATTGGGATACGTGTCGTCGACATGCTGCAACAAGATACACCCTAGCCCCTGAGCGTTCGTTCGCGTGGTACTACCAGGCACTCACAACAAGGATAATAACGAATTGATTTGTGAGTAAAGTCGAGCAAAAGAAACCTCGGGGTATCGCGGTTTTGGTACACATTACCAAGATGAAAAAAGTCTTAGATACTGCCATAGAAGTTCTAGAGAACCAAACCAACAAACGTTTAGGGGCTGGGATGTATGTAAACCCCTGAGAAATCCATGGGTCTTTAGCGATGATCTTAGGGTTTTAGTGCACTCGCGCCTTCGGGATTCCGTAAGCCCGGCGATAGAGTTTGTTGAAGAATGCGGGTCGATCATGGGACGATCGGGCCTATCACTATGGTCAAGCCAGATGGATGTAAATCGTGCAGCGATGTACAGAAATTACGGAGCCCCTTTTACCATGTTCTCAGCGCAATCCTGCAATTTTTGGCGTGTAATTATTGCCCGCCTTGGACACATGTAGAATTCGAATAGCGAGCAAGGGGGTGATCCTCCTATCCTCCGACTCAAATCACTAGGTATCGGTACTGGAAGCAATAGGGCATAACGGCACGCCGAAAACTGGTGGTTTAAGTGATGATTGTTGATGTATCTGTAGATAGAAGAAAGAGTTGGCCCTGCGCCTTTACCGCCACCCATGTGGCTAATGTATGCGCCTTCACCGCCACCTCTCTGTGGCTGACTAGCGCGTTATTCCAGCATTCCAACACAATACCTCCCTTTCAAGTGACCCCGCCCCCGCAACTCAATCTCACCCATCTACCCATCGACACCCGACGCTGTCCACACACACACACACACACACACACACACACACACACACACACACACACACACACACACACACACACACACCACACACACACACACACACACACACACACACACACACACACACACACACACACACACACACACACACACACAAACACAAACTGTTGGAACAACGCGCTAGTCAGCCACACAGAGGTGGCGGTGGAGGCGCAGGGCCACGGATTCTATATAAGTGGCCTACGGCCACCTCTTTCTTCTAGATACACATATACGTCTACAATTATTACTTGAACTACCAGTTTTCGGCGCGCAGTTACGCACTGTTGCTTCCAGTACCGGAACCTGGTGATTCCAACACACACACACACACACACACACACACACACACACACAAGGACCAAAACATCACCAGCATGCCGCCCGTCACCGCCTTCGACGTCAGCATCGACCTCGATCTCCGCGGCCTCCGCACGCTCAAAGCCCTTCTCACCAAAGCATGCTCCCACGCCGCCGCCGCAACCCTCCCGTCAGCCAAATCCCCCAACGACTCGGCGTCGCTGGCCTTCCACGTGCAATCTTGCACCAACCTCGCCGTCAGTGGGCTGGGACTCCTGACCGGCACCCCGCAGGAGCCCCCAGAATGGACTACAGAAGGGGTAACCCTGGAGCAGCTCATCTCACTCGTCGACAAGACCATCGCCCAGCTCGAGGGCGGCGCCACCAAGCCCGCTGACCTCCTAGACGGCGTCGAAGACAGGGAGCTTCAGGTCACGTACGGCAACGGACAGACGGCTGCGTGGGGCGGCAGGGAGTATGTTCTTGGGTACGGCATCCCAAACTTCATGTTCCACTTGTGCATGGCGTTCTCGGCCCTGCGCAGCCAGGGCGTGGATGCCGGCAAGATGGACTTTTTGGGGCCTTTTATGGTTGGCTTGGCCCCTGGATTTTGAGACTCTTGAGGTCGACGTCTTCCTTTCATCTCTAGGCACGTTCGGATGGAAGACGAACCCAGTTTATCTAGTTTCAGCTGGCACGTGCTGTGCGCTTTTTCCCGACGAGAAGATTTCGCCCACACATTTATATAGTCGTGAGCCTTACTCCCCCACCAGCTCAGCACTTAATCAGTGCACACATTGTGATATTATCCACCTCCACATTGTACAAAGCTACCTACCTACCTATTCACAAGCCAGCAAGCCATTCAAGAGCGCATCGTCAAATTTAACCACTCAGCTCATTGACAGCGTTCCACCCGCACCCTAAAGCCGCGATCAAGCGATTACCTCGCGCGCACCCCAAATTTTGACGGCATTCCGACCATCGAAATCCCGGATTTTCAGCGAGCGCCGAGTCCACTGAACGCCAGCCGCTGCAGCCTCGAGATCAAGGTTCTCACCCTGCTTGGCCTTTCGAACCTACGATGCTGGGAGAACTCTCTCTGCTGCGCCCTAGAAGCAATGGGACTGTCACGGTTGATAGGACTTTGAAAGGACAATTGCCAATAGTGTGCCGTATTCATTTAGTGGAAAACTAAGCTAAAGAAAAAAAAGAAAGAAAGATCGCAGGAGCTGCGATCGGTGAAAAAAGGTTGTGGGCGAAGTTTGCACGTGACCCACATGCTAACCTAATTGGGCTCTTTCCATGAAAGAAGGTTTGCGGGCGAAGGTTACACGTGACCCGCAAGCTAAGCCTAATTGGGTTTCTTGGAAGATGACGTAACACGGCTAGCTACAGTGAACTCACTATGCGCTGTGCCGTGACAGGGACTAGAGGAGTATATCGAGGACATGGTCGGCGAGCCTGCTGACGAGCCTGCCGACGAGCCTCCTGACGATGATGCCGAGAAGAAACAATGGCGCGGCGATTGTGCCCTCGTGCTCTCGTCAAGGCCGTAATCTACCAGAGCACTTCTCAGCCGGTCCAGGAGAAGCTGGCGGCTTACCGCTGGGACCCGAGACATAAGGTGGTTGCTAAGATAAGCTTTCGGGATTTGGGGAGCCAGGGCCGGGCCTCATATGCTTTCCCCTTTCCTTTCCTTTCCTTTCCTTTTCCTATTTCCCATCTTCCATTTCCATCCAATCCCGTCAACCAGATCGAGCCAAGACCCCTCAACTCAACCTCCGTCTCCAATTCCAAATACCGTAAGTCAATCTCTATCTCCAGCTCTCTTCAATCGAGCAGCGACCCTGACACCCAGTCTTGCCACCTAGTCATATCAACCAGATCGGGCAAGACACCTCAAGCAAATCTCCATTTTCCGTTCCAAATACCCTAGGTCAATCTCCATTCTCCATTTCTCTTCATTCGAGTAGCGACCTTCCTAACACCCAATCAGCCACCGCTACAAGATAGTGGCCCACTACAGAAGCTGCTGGTCGCCCAGCAGGAGACTATCATCGCCCAGCAGCGCCTCCTCATCGCCCAGTAGTAGATGGTCGCCGATTAGTATCGCAAGATCGACCTCCTGACTATCTATTACAAACCACTCGACTGTTAGGGTCGTCTGTCTGTAAGGGAGTACGGGCTCCACAGGGTGCTGGGTTGGTAATTATGAAGATAGAACAAAGGGCAAGCTCCTATCGCACGGGTAATACAGTCAAATCGGAATGCCACTCAAAGTATATGAGTGCAGTGAATGTGTATTGTTTGCTTAAAGAACCAAGCAAGAACTATCTAAGACCGTGGGTACGGTCATTGTTGCACGCGATCGAAGTTGACAGCGCATTGAATTGTCTGCTCAATAGGTCTAAAAGTACAGAAAAGAACGCTTCCTTATACTCGTGGAGAGAAGGCAAGGGAGGCGTTGTAATCAGGCCGAAAGAGGGCATTCCGAATGAAATGAGGACATTCCGAGTTAAGAATGAAGGAAATAACAAAGAATGAAGGAAGCTCAAAGGCATGTCAACCAGGGCCTGTCCAATTCCATGAAAAGTGGGTCAATTCCAGACGACAGTCATCGTATATATCTAACTGTGTAACCAATAACAACTGGCCCGTGGTCCCGAGACTTGCGGTCTCGGGACGCCGGGCGCGCGGGACACTGTCCCGCGTCCCCGACCTTAAGTGGTCCCGAACCTCGAGACCCAGGGACACTCCTAATTAGTTCTTTCCATGAGACGCTCCTGATTGGTCCACACCAAACTGAGCGTCCCCCACTATTGCGCATTTCGACAAGGATTCGTAACACTATCTAGTCCGATGGCCTGGAGAGGGAGATAGAGACGGCGATATTAATAGCGATAACGATAGCTAGATATAATATCTAGCTACGGCCTAGGAAGCTATACGCTATGCTCAACGGTACGCGGCTATAGTACCGGACGTCGCTTAACTATTACAAACCACTCGACTGTTAGGGTCGTCTGTCTGTAAGGGAGCACGGGCTCCACAGAATGCTGGGGTTGGTAATTATGAAGATAGAACAAAGGGCAAGCTCCTATCGCACGGGTAATAGAGTCAAATCGGAATGCCACTCAAAATGTATGAGTGCAGCGAATGTGTATTGCTTGCTTGAAGAACCAAGCAAGAATTATCTAAGACCGTGGACACGGTCATCGTATTTATTTAATTATGGCGGGCCAGTAAGAGCGCAGCTCTTACTTGCCCGGCAGGAAGGAGCTGCCTGGCGCCGGGCACTGCTAGCGTGCCGGGCCATTTGCCTGGTGCCAAGACCCTTCTTGGCACCGGGCCACCTCTGATTGGCCGTCCTTCCGTTTGCCTGGTGCCAAGAGCCCTCTTGGCACCGGGCACCGTCTGATTGGCTCTCGACGAGCGGGGCCCCGGTCTTGCCTGAGGCGCCTGCCTTCTGCAGCTGGTCCAGTACGAACCAGGTTCGTCACATTACGATCCCAGTCTAGGGTACAGGAGGCGCTGTAATGCCTCCCTTGGATTGGGTAAATGCACCTAGGAAGGCGGGGCCTTCCTTCGGTCGGTGCAGCCAATCCGAAAGCGCTTAGTGCGCTTAGTCTGCTAAGAGAGCTGAGCGCACTGAGCAGGGCGCTTAGTGCGGCTTTGAGTGCTCAGTGGGACTGAGCACTAAGTGGAGCACTGAGCATCTAAGGGAAGGACTCTGATTGGTTATTCATAGTTCTATATAGGAAGCTGGAGGAATACTCTCTGGGAGTTGGTTCCTCAGCTATCAATGCATATGGTTTATCATTTATTGCTTGACTGATTGAGAGTGAGACTCTCGCAATCTGTGCACTATTGTTTGCTCCTTACAGTTCGCATTACCTGTGTGGTTCGCCGCCCAACAGCTCACTCACCCCCACCCTCACAGTCCTAGACCGCGTCTAGCTCCGTGGAACTCTCGGTGTTCCAGATTGTAACAGCGATATATACGTAGCCGAATACACCTGCCGTCTTTTTTTCCCTCCTTTTTATTTTTATTAGTAGAGAAGTCGTAGAATAACATAGAGATAAAGCCAGGAGAAGGAGGGTGGGGCTTCATATCTTCCACAAAATAAAGCCGAGGAGGAAATGCGCGTGCACATAGCTCAGATATATACTGAATAATCGTGTGATCCTCTAGATCTGTGCGTTTTCGCGAATCGGCTGGAATATCGCGTGGTGAAGGCCGACCGGCGCGTCGATAGCGGAGTGTTGTTTCTGGAAGATTGTATAGATTGGCTGTGGAAAGAATATTGGGTTTTTTACTATTTTGGATTGATTTGAGAGCTAAGATTACCCTAGCTTCTTTTGAAGGGGTAGCCATAGCTTGTTGTGGTAGAATTAGGATCAAAGATGAAGGGTCGCGTCGCGGGGAAAATTCGCCGCTCGCTTATAAAATACGTTACAAATTAGAACGAGTGCGAGCTGAGGTCAGCGCGGGTGGTTGTCGGGTCGATGTTGGTTGCATTTTGTCGCGTCGGTTGGTGCGTGTGTTCGAGTGCGATGCATGCTTATGCCAAGATACAACGTAGGTGAGAATCTACGCAAGTTTGATAGGTCGGGTAAGGCTGTTAGCTGTAGCTTCATGCCCATGGCGGTTCGGGACTTTCGGGACTTCCAGACGCGGCATTTGCAAAGCATAGTTGTGTGTTTTACCTTGGTTGTATGTTAATCTTGGTTGGTAGTCTGTGTAACACAGATGTTTGCTCTTGCGAGACTAGACTTTTTCTTATACCGTGGAATAATCCTTGTTAAAATAATAATGTTCGTGGACACGACTGCCAAGTTATGGCGTGACTTAATGACCCATGTGTAGAAATCCATATGAATAACATCTCTTATGTGGCTTGACGCGGTACGACTTCGTTGCTCGAATGATGAAAACAAGTAAGCTGCTCAAGGATGGACTTGCGCCGTAGCCAAGACGGGGGAAACAAGTGAGAGTCTTACAATGGAGGTTGAAGTCGTAGGGGTAGGGTCCTGTGAACTTGGCAACGGCTTTGACTACAACTCAACTAAGAGGCACGGAAATGGGCACATCGCTTTCTATTTCCGAGTCTCACGTTCCGCGTCAAGTGTTAGCCACTCTCCAAGGAAGAGAGGGCTCACGGGCATCACAACAGTGTCTAGAATTACCTATATAAACACCGCTTCCTCCGGTCTGATATCTGTCTTCCTTCTATCTCCATCGCATTCGACTCTCGTCTCGACGGCTCTTCTCAAGATAGATCCAACACCCAAACGCATATTCACCCTCTTATCGTGAACAAACATACAAACTTCAAAATGCGCGCTACTACCGCCCTCGGCTTTTTCTGCCTCCTCGCCCCCTTGGTCTCGGTCTCGGGCCTCCGCATCTCAGACAACGAGACCGAGGACGCCATTTACCGTGCCTACATTGACGACTTGGGCAACGAAGTCCACGAGCTCTTGGGACCCGCCGCCATCAGCGCCAATACTCGCGTGGCCCTAGCAGCAGCAGATCCGCAACCACGGCGTAATCATCAAGGTGCCCGTCGGCCAGGCCTGCTTCACCATCCGCGGTTCCGTCGTGGCCTTTGTGTGCACCCCCGGCAGCGACCGCGCCATCACCCTAGTTTCGGTCACCACCTTTATCAACCTGCTGGCCTACGTCGCCGAACGCTGCGGCTGACAGCAGTTTCAACATGCCGAAGAGTGCCGTCCACCTATAACGCTTTCTCAGCCAAATTCCCTTCGCTCTTTTCCCTCGTGGCACAATAATAATCGACCTTTACCCTCCTAAACCTAGCGTGGCCGACGCCGACATAGCCACAGACATAGCGCTTTCCCATCTTGCTCACCAGCGCATCCCTCTCCCACAGCGGCACCGCCGCCAGGCCCTCAAAGTCGCCCACCATGTCCGACTCGCAGAGGTAGTACATGCACCCGAGGAGAGTGTCCGCCCGCACCGGCATGTGCACGCCGCCAGCCGTCCTGGCGCACCGCTTGACCCACAGCGCCGCCAGCAACACGGCCACCATGTAGCCCAGCACGCCGACGGCCAGCCACGTGCACGTCTCGTGCATCTTCCAGGTCACCGTGTTGCGGAACGGGATGTTGGAGAGCAGCGTCGGCATGAATTTGGCGAGCAGCGCTGCCACGGCCGTGGCGAGGTACAGCGCGTCCTGTCGGGTGCGGATCCCGCTGACGCCCTGATGCCACAGCCCGACGAACACGTCTGAGGGGGGAGACAGCAGGATCGAGGTTCGCGCGGGCTGTGCGGTGTTGTTGTTGTTACTGGCTGCCAGGCGGCGGTGTATTTGGAGCTCCGAGACGACTTTGTTTGTGCGGGTGTCAGCCCCTTGCGTTTTGGTGTCCAAGCTTTGTCTCTCTTTTTCTCTCGCCAGCCTTGATAGAACATATCACCATCTTCACCATCTGTTGCGACGAGGGAGGATGAGTGGGAGGAGGATGAGGGGAGGAGGATGAGGGGGAGGAGGATGAGGGGGAGGAGGATGAGGGGGAGGAGGAAGAGGGGGAGGAGGAAAAGGAGGAGGAAAAGGAGGAACACGAGAACAAAACCCACGGCCGAAATAGTAGTCCCAGAACGCGCTCACGGCCGTTCCAAACGCAGTGAACAGGATGCGTACGCCAAACGACTGGCCGTTCATGAACGCCTGGAATGCCGTTTCGAGTGTCGCGTTCTCGTAGTACAGCACCAATACGGGTAGGCCGGCCAGCAGCATGAGCGCGAGCACCTGAGGCACGTGCTCCATCTCTGCCCCTAGTACAACACGCCCCAACATCTCGGTCAGTCGAGGCGAATCTCGAGCTGTGGACCGGATCGACTCCGTGTCGTCCGCTGCCGTCGCCACGGCATCTCCATCAACCACAATGATGCCGTGCCCTTGGTGCAGCCGTTCGTCATCGGCATTCGCCGCTATTTCATCTGCAGGCAAGGAAAAGAACCCCAGCCGGAACCTGCGCCCCTCCCGGACGACGTCCCTCTCCACCTCCGCCACATCTCGCACATGGTATTGGTCACCGTCATCAGCCCCTCCGTCGTGATCCCGCGGCGCTATCGATCGCACAATTCTGCTCAAGTGCCCGCCGCCGTTACGATCATGGGCGACCAGGGCGGCAATGTTCGCGATGCTCCAGGGCTCGGCCTCGACGCTCGTCCGCCAGCGCGCGAGTAGCACGCCGACGGTGACGACCAGCGCGGCCAGCAGACCCAGCAGGCCCTCGGCGGCGCGCATCGCGGCGCCGGATTCCGGCAGGGGCGCGCGGGACCGGCGTGGCTACAGTGTCGTCGCAGTCGGTGGTGGGTTCCAGGCGGATGACTTCGCTAGACAGCGGCACCAGGGCCGTCGACACGGCGGTGAGGAGGAAGGCGAACAGCGGCAGCGGGTCGCGGAGCTGGTGGAGGAAGCGGGCGCTGGTGGAGGAAGCGGGCGCTGGTGAGCGGTAGTGTCAAGAGGCAGCTGCTGCGGCTGAGGAAGAGGGAGATTTCGGCGGTGGCGCCGCGCCCGTGGCTGAGTGCGCGGAACGGCAGCATGGCGTTGAGACGGCTGACAAAGACTTGCACGGCGATGGAGAGCAGGGTTTTCAGCAGCACGGGCCCGAGCACGGCCAGCAGGTAGTCGCTCTCGGTGCGTAGGTTGAGGGAGCGTGCTTCTGGCTCTGGTGGGACTGGGCCCGGGAGGACGATGCTGGGTCCCGTGGATCCGTTAGTTTCGGCTGGAGTTGGCTGGGATAATGGCCGGGCCACTGCTGTTGGAAGCAGAGTAGATGACTTATGACTCGTGTTGTCGAGCGGTGACACGTCTGAGACCTGATATTTGGTTATGACAGTGGCAGGAGAACTCTGGAAATCTCGGTTTGTCATGGCTTCTTCGGCGGAGGTTATTTGGATTAAGTCTTTGACTGTAGATAGAGAAGGCGACGAACTGGGTTTCTTTACAACAGTTACAGCAGTTAGCTGTGAGTCAGACACAAAATCCACCGTCGCATAGCCGCGTGTGTCAACGATAATCAACTCGGTGGGGTTAGAATTAGTCCACGGTAGAGTATCAGTGTCACTGGGTACTAAAATTTCTAGACTGTCGAAAATAGACGTATGGTCCGCTGCCGAATCAGCAGTGGAGGTTCCGGGAGGTAGCGGATAAGGATTAGTCGTCAAGGGAGGCAGTGGCATGGGTGATGGTGTTGGTATTTGCGTGTCCCGGTCTAGCAACAGGTTGGCAGGCGAGCTGGAGATTGTTGTCTTGGCGGCAACAGGAAGGCTTGGGACCGTTAACGGGCTGGGAGGGGTGTTGAATGCCTTCAATGCCTCGGTTGTAGTGGATGCCGACGGAAACTGGTGGCCAGTGATGGACATCTCAGCCTCCAAACCCACCGGCAGGTTGATTTGAAGGACGGCGAAGTGCTGCGGGGGGAGGTTATGTATTTCGTATTCGAGAAATGCAAAGATGCCTGCAATAAAGACGAACATAAAGGCCTGGTATGGCCATCGAAGAGGGAGCGACTTGTATTCTGGTTTGCGTTGTGGGTCTTGGATTTCTGGTGAAATCCCGGTGACGGCGTCGCGAGTGTCTCCCAGATACGGGGACGTCAAATCCTGCAGCCCAACGCCACTCTTGAGCGCTCCCCAAAAGGTCCAACTGTCAGAACCAGAACCGACCTGAGTCTTGGCAGACGACCTGGGAGGGCCAGCTCTGTTGTCCTTGCCTTGTGCCAACACAAGTTGAACTACGACTGGCTCAAGATCGGGAGAGTCCGTTCGAAGATTGAAATTTGACAAGTTGCCTGTGGTGATTGTGGCCAAGGACGCAACGGATTCGGAACCTGTCAGAGTATCGTATGGGGCCAAGAGGTGGTCGGTGCTCTGTGTCGACGTAACTTGAGGGAGGCCTAGAGAGGTGACATCCTCCTCCGCTACCATGTCGCTCGCTGGAATGCCGGGCATTCTGACGTGTGGCGATTGGCTGTGAGAATGGACCAAGTGGTGGACCCCTTGAGGTTGGTTACTCGAGAGAGCAAACAGAGATACTAGAGAGCGAGCGGGCTAGCTTGGTAATTATAATCTATCCTTAATTGGACCTTTGGGCTTAATCCCCACCGGCCTGCGAGGTCAGCAGCGGTTTTCCGTACAACCGTCTACCTAGTGATTGCAATCGCCTTTCTCGTTGATGATGGTATCTATATATGACGCCTTTACTGAAGGACGCCAAATCACCCGGGTTGGGGGCCCCTGGATAATTGATCTCTTTAGGTGCATGCTTACCTCCCCTGTACGGAAATACAGTTCGCCATGCACGTCTTTCGCGACGTAATCTATACTATGCGCTGGTGGATGTGGTATTTGGTTAGGTGGACACCCTTTTGCCGCTTTCGCCATTGTGCTGGTTTGAGAGTTGAGATGCTGGTCAGCCGGTAAGGCAGATTTGGGAATTGGGGCGGCCGGTGATTTGGAGACGTTGGTATTGACCAGCTCGATGTACCGAAAGAAACTCGCGTGGTAGGTTTATCCGGCCCTTCATGAGGGGCCCGGTAATTACGCACCTGGGTCTTTAAATCGATTGCGCAATTTCGTGGTCGAGAAAGCGGTACAATACACTGAAACACCGAAACCGGCCCCAGGCCTGTAATTACCTTACCTACCTAGGCAAGCGGTTGCCAAAATAAAAGGCACACACTACCTGCGAGTACCTACTACCACCCAGTCATCCGACCCTCACCTACTAACACATCCTGTAGACCCTCACCTAACACATCCTGTAGGCCCTCACCTACTAACACATCCTGTAGACCCTCACCTACTAACAAATCCTGCATTCGCACTACCATAGAATCAACCCATTTGTTTATCGTCTCCTGACCAGTTTTCTTCCAACCCTCCAGGGCTAGCTGTTGCAAATCTGAGCCAAGGCGACAATTGGCACGAATATGCTGCTTCACAGCACGCCAGTAGTTTTCGATTGGCGATAAATCTGGTGAACCAGGTGTGTTGAAGTAATGCTTCAATCTGTGCTGCTCCTTCCATTCTTCACAATATTGGATTTGCGTGTGTTTCCTCCAGGTCCCGAATCGCCGTCCTCTTCTCATATAAAAGTATCCCTCTCGAAAGCCAAATAGCAATAACCTTCTCTAGAATCCCATCGCGATACACTTGCAAGCTCATTTTGCCCTTCGTATTCGTCGGGACCTCGTAAAAATGAAGTTCAGATTTAAAATCCCATCCAATTACTACCCAAGCATGAAAGCGCCGGATCTTGTGCCTATATATTCAGTCGTCTAGGTAGGTAGGGCGTTGCGTTTTCCCTTAAGTCAGGTGGGGGACTTTTGGAACACCCCTGCCTATGGAACAGCCCCTGAATCGGACCCCGCACAACACCACAAACTTCAATTGCCAACAACTTTGTCAATTAATTAGCTACAATGATGAAGTCTTCAGTATCGGATTCTCCTGATTCTTCTCTTTCAGAATAATCAAGGTCCTCTCTGCCAGCCTCTCTCTGTGAGGCACGAACCTCCTCAATTCCAGCGAACTGCGTATTAGGGTCGACTTGGACCTTCCTTCTCTTTTGGCCTCTTGTGCGTTCTAGGCTTTTTTCTGCAGCCTCCAATTGATGCGCCGTATTGGCTAGTTGGAAAACCACGTAATCGAAGGCTTTTGCGGCCTTGCGTATGAAAAGTCGGTCGTTGGCAGTCCGTTTCTGGCCGGCTAGAAAAACCTGCTCCTGAATACGGAAATCCTTCGGCTTTTTAGGGGTAAACCATATAGGCCGGACCTCCGAATTCTTATTTAGAATGGGGTTATGGACCTCTTGAAGGTCTATAGAAACCGTAGAGGTCAGTTGACCAACGTCGCCGTTAGAATTCTTAATAACAAGGCCGTTGCTTAGGGGCTTCCTGAGGCTGACCGGCCAGAGGCCTGTAGCTTTCCAGCCGGCTTTGATATTAGATTCAGTCATTCCATAGACCCTGGCTTGCCGGTAGCATTCTAGGAAGGCCCTCTTTTCAGCAACAGTGCCTTCGTCGAAGCCGGAAACAACCTCGTTATGCTTGGCTCTGTACCGGGCTTTTAGAGGGCCGAAAACCGATAAATCCAGGGGCTGGAGAACGTGGGAGGTGTGGGCTGGTAGAAATAACAATTGTACGTTATTAGAAAAGGCTAGCCACATGAATTCTTCGGTGTTATGACTACCGTGGCCATCTAAAATAAGGAGGCGCTTCTCCGAGGGGGTAGCTGGCCGAGTCTCTGGAAGAAAGATATTGCGGAGCCATGCGACGGCAGTATCATCGTCAGACCAGCCGTTTTCAGTGGGTTTCCACTTCCAGCCCTTAAATGGCTGTAAATCGCGTGGATACCATTGTTGTTGAAGGCTTCCACCTTTGAAAATGACGACTAGGTTCAAATACCGGCCGTCAGCGGAAATACATTCGATAATCGAGGTCCAAATTCGGTCTCCTTTCTTCTTTTTCTGGAATTTCTTTCTTTCCTTAGATCCAACAACCAGGCCGTTATCTCCAATGCCAGAAGCAATGCCAGTTTCATCCATATTATACCTATGCTTGGCTGGAATAGCCTCCACGCCTGGAGGCTTCAAATAGTCAAACCAAGGCCGGATAACGGCCTCACAGGCTCGATCAGCACGGTTTGCATGGATTCTCCGAGGCCTAATTGTAGAAATAGATGGATTTCTAGCCAAAAACCGGCTAGTCCAGCGTTTTCCGAGGGTCTCGTTATCTTCGAGCATTTTTCTAGCTAGTTTCCGAATTTGGGCGTGGGTTGGAGGGTGACTGAGCGACCCTTGGAATAGAATCCATTCGGTTAAGCGTTCTTCCATAGCCGGAGAAAGCTTTTGATTAAGAATTTGGGCGTGGGTTGGAGGGTGACCGAGCGACCCTTGGAATAGAATCCATTCGGTTAAGCGTTCTTCCATAGCCGGAGAAAGCTTTTGATTAAGAATTTGGGCCTTGGAGGCTGGCTCGGAACCACGAACCCGATTAAAGAGAGTAGTAGGGGGGATGCCGTGATTTTCAGCAGAGCTACGGAGTAAGCCAGTTTCTGCATACTCTGCCAGCGCATTCTGCAAATTCAACTGAGTATATCGCTTCATCTTTCATTTCTCAATTGAATGGAGAAAAGAAGATAAGTATTGAAGCAGAATTGGTCGAGTTGCAAGCGATTGAAATAGGTGAGTTGGGTGGCGAGCGGCAAGTCCTTGATGACAAACCTTGTTCCAAATCCAGGGGTGTTCCATAAGCAGACCACCTGACTTATCTCCACGTCTTCCTTCCCTATCTGTTTTCAGGGCTACAAAAACTCGGTCAAAACCTGACAAGCCCTGTCTCCCTCAGCCCATCTCTCATATCGCGTCACCCTCGCTCTCGTCCTTTTTTTCACGTTATGCATATTGTTACGGTGAGCCGTTACGCCAGCAGACAACAGATACCTGTTACCTGGTACTCTGGGCAACAGCAACTCCAACCAACCCCACAACACACACATATTGAATCACTGAACGGAAGAGTGGGGTAGGGCGTCAGTGGGATAGGGCGTCAGTGGGATAGGGAGTCAGTGGGATAGGGCGTCAGTGGGATAGGGCGTCAATGGCCAGGTCGCCTCACGGTACTAAATTCGACTGGTGGAAGTCGCTCCTCAAAAGAGTTGCCAAATAAATAAATCTTTCACGGCGCCGTCGCCATCAAATCTCGAATTCCGTGACAACTATGTGACTTCTAGCCTCCTGGCAGGCGGATCAATAGATGGCCGGGGTCTGGCCTTTGTTGTTAGTCGCTGTTGCCTGATCTTGGCTACCTCGCGCCCTGCGAACGACTGACCGTTGGCTTGCAGCATGCTATTGGCGGCGTCATTGGCCGAGTGACTCCCCTCATTTCAAATCACGTGCCTGAAACGCAGCGTGAGGCTGAACTGTTGGCTCCAACTTCGATATATATCCCCGCCGACTGGACTTTCAGGCTGCTTTCCAGTAGCTGAACAAGCTGGTTTCTCCCACCCACCCCTTCAGCGTCTTCCCCCTGCTTGTCGCAGCTTTCACCATGGCGTCGAGTTCGGACGCCGAGGTCTATGACCTGCTCTTGCTGGTCGACGCCACGGCATCCATGGGCGAGTACCTCAAGGCGCTGAACAAGTCGCTGCAGGACCTGATCCGCATCTCGACGCTGACGTCGTGCTTTTTGCGCATCGGCGTGCTGGCCTACCGCGACTACTACGGCGGTCCGCACGTCAAGGTCACCGAGTGGTCGGGGTGGTACAGCCGCGAGGACAGCGGCTCGGACATCACCCAAGACGCCCTGCTGGCCTTTGCCTCGCAGCTCAGCTGCGAGAACGGCGGCGACTGGCCCGAGGCCGCCAAGTCGGGCCTCGCCCACTGCTACGACGTCATGAGGTCGGGCCCTGCCGCCTCGACCGTCATTGTCCTCTTCGCCGACGCCCCTCCCCACACCGACATGACGGGCGGCGAGCAGCACGTGAGCGAGCAGGAGATGCTGAGCAGCGGCGCGTCCCACACGGCCGCTCTGTTCCTGGACTGGGCTTCGGCCGCCCACGCGCTGCGCCACGGCGAGAAACGGGCCCAGGTGTTCAGCATCATCGAGTCGGGCAGCTACCTGCAGAACATGGCGTCTTACAGCTTTCTGTCAGCCAAGACGGGTGGCGTCTGCGTCGACTTTCTCTCGCGGCCGTCGTCGGCTGAGATCACCACGCTGACCATTGGACTGCTGCTGGCGTGGATGGGCGCCGAGAAGCCCGGCGCGGCACTGAGCTCCCGCCAGCTGGCCAGAGTCATCGGGTACAAAGACGGCACCAAAATCGACCACGTCACTTCGGAGAAGGCCGAGGTTGCCTCCCAATATCTTCTCGTGTCTAGGAACCCCGGCGAAGTCGTGTCTGTGCAGCGGAATCTGACGTATACGCCGCTGAGCCTGGCGAGTATGGCCGAGCTGATCCCGCGCCGCGCGCACCCCGTGACGAGCTTTTCCGCCCGCTACAGCGCCGACGCCGCCTACCGCGAGGTGGTGGTCGCGCAGCTGGACGGGATCATCTGGTCCGACGTGACGGCCATGGCGCACAACCCCGTGTTCGGCACGCTGTGGCGCGCCGTGTGCAGCGACAGGCACAGCCCGGCGCGCGACACGCTGATGACGAGCTTCAGCCAGCGCGTCGACCGCCTCCCCGGCGGTCACCTCGGCCCCCGACAGCACATGCGCGCCTGGCTCGACGAGTCGTACGACCGCAGCGGAGAGATCGGCGACATCATCAGCTCCGTGCCGGCCGCCTCGCGCTTCCCCTGCGTCTTTGTCGACCCGACGCTGGTGTATGGGGATGTGGTCGACGACGACGACGACGACCAAGACAAGGACGAAGCCAGCTCCGGCGCCGAAGAGGAAGACGGCGCCGCGGCACGGCCAAGCCGTCGTCTCCAGCGCCGCGACCTGCTGGAAATCGGGCGGTCGTGCCGTCCGCGCGTGCTGCGCCTGCTCGGCAGGCTCCTGACGCGCATGACGCACGTCGAGTCCGAAGCCACCCTGCCGCAGCACATACGGGACGTCCCTGAACACCAGGTGGCGCGGATCCCTCTCGCACTGGCGCAGCTGCAGCACGGGCGGCAGTTCTGGCGCGTCCTGCTGCACGCCGTGATCCCGGGGACCATGCTGACGGCGCGGCCGGCGGCGCTGCTGGCGGCACTCAGCCTGCGCATGGGCATCCGGCGGCTCGAGGACGCCGCGTACGCCGAGCTGCGCGCGTGGAGCGGCCGGTGGAACGACCCGGCGTCGCCCGAGACGTTCAACATGCACTGCCTCACCCTGCTCCTCGACGCCGACCAGCAGCACCGCGACGGCAACACCACCAGTGACCAGCAAGGCACCAGTGACCAGCAAGGCATCCTGCAGGCCGACCAGCAGCACCGCGACGGCACCGCCACCAGTGACCAGCAAGGCATCCTGCAGGCCGACCAGCAGCACCGCGACGGCACCGCCACCAGTGACCAGCAAGGCATCCTGCAGGCCGGCGAGCGCGCGCTGTTTCAGGCCCTCGTCAACTACAAGCTGCTCGAGCTCAACCTCGACACGGCGCTCACGGCGACCGTCGGCTGGACGCCGGACCGAACCAGACTGCCGCCCGGGCCGACGGTGCAGTGCGCGCGCTGCCACCTCCCGCGCTCCGTGACCGTCATGGCCGACGGCGGCGTTTGCGGGCTGTGCGCGTTCGGTTTCGCCGCGGAATCCAGCGACGTCGTGGCCTGGGTCGAGTGCAGCGCCGCGCACTGCCGCGCACAATACACCCTCTACCTGCCGGCGCGCCTGCGCGTGCGCCCCAAGTGCCACTACTGCCGGGCCAACGGCCGGCTCACGCCCGCCGCCCGCACCCCGGCGCCCTGCGTGACGTGCGCGGCCTGCCGCAGCCGCATCATCTGGCCGCCCGCGTACCGGCCGCCCGGCTTCGACGAGCAGCAGTTCCGGTGCGTCGGGTGCGCCAGCAGCCAGCACACTACGACCGTCGACATCGAGACGACGGCGCGCGCGCTGCTGGCCGAGAACGGCGCGGCCGGCTGGCTGCTGCGCAACGACGGCGGCAAGATCCCGCGCCCGTTCGAACACAACACGACCCTGTTCCAGCTGTTACAGAGTGCAAGAGGCGGCGTGCAGGGGCTTGCGGAGAGCGTCGCGCCGCTGCCGCCGCTGTCGGAGTGTCCAGGGCTCACGCTCACGCTGAACTACCGGCCGCTGCTCAACGCGCCCGCACTGATCGACACGCTGCGCGCGCGCGTCGACGCGCGCACCGTCCAGCACGCCGAGACGTGCTCGCTGTGCTTCCGCACGACCCCCGCATCACTACCAAGCTGGCAGATCCTCCGGCTAGCATGCGGCGGCCGCGCCGGCTGCCGCAGCCGCATCTGCGCTGCATGCATGAGCGCGTGGTACGGCAGCGGCAAGAACGCGCGCGGGCGCCTGCTTCACATCCCCGCGCTGCTGTGTCCGTTCTGCCGGCGCGCGCCCGTCGCTGCTCGCATGCCGGCGCCGCTGTTCCGCGAGCTGCGGCACCTCGGCGGCCTGCGCGCGGCTGTCGCCGAGAGCGTCACTGCGGGCCGCTGGCGCTATGCGTGGTGTGCGCGCTGCGGGTTTGCGAAGCGTTTTGCAGAGCGCGTGTGTTGGCCTGCTGGTGATGAGGAGGAGGAGGTGAGTGGGTGGCAGTGCGATGATTGTGTGGCGTGGCGGGAGGAGGATGACGGGGTCGGGGCTGGGACGGTTAGGGCGTGTCCCAAGTGCCTGACGCCGACGGAGCGGATGGGCGGCTGTCACCATATTGCGTGCACTATCCCGGGGTGTGGTGCGGACTGGTGTTTCGAGTGTGGACTGCAGTTTGCTGTGGAGGATATCTACAGGCACATGGGAGAGGAGCACGGCGGGTGGTATGGCTTTGACGAGGACGGGGGCGGGGACGGGATCGGGGGCGGGGACGGGAACGGGGACGGCGGCGAGTGGGACGGTTGATGGCGGATTGTGGTAATGAACAGGACTGTTTTGGGTGGCTTTGGTTGTTCTTTGATGCGAAGGCGGGGCTATATGGTGTGTGAACAGGCTCGATAGATGGAATTAGGGGGTTTCGGCTTTGATTTGCGGTGGCATGGAACTGTAGATACTGTTCCGGTATTGATTATGAAGTGGATGGCACACCTGGAGACAGATGTCAGTGTTTTAGATTCCCGGGTATCCTCTGAAAACATCGTTGCCCACTGTAGAAGGCGAACAGAGGCGCTCCGGCGCTCCGGCGAACCAGATGCTGCACCGCTGCTCCAAGGTCTTGCCAGGAGCAGTGGTTCACATCGTCCGGAACAGAGCAGTAACCTGCAATATATTTGACGTATTCCGCCGTCTTCTGACTGTCCATCCCCGTATTGCTCGTCCCGCACGCATTGAACATGACACCTACGAAGTGAGACATGCTCCCCAGACCCAGGCCAGCCAGAGTACCCGCCGACCCGGCGAGTACGAGAACAGTTCTGATACCACCCTACGCTCGCATGAAGTCTCAATCGCCGTGGCATCTATACGGGGCGTTGCGTTCGTTACGCATACGTGTGATGTATCGTGACTGGAAATACACGTACCGTCTTCCGTTACGACGGACAGTGGCTTGGTTCCTGCTCGAATCCTGCCTGTGCTCGGCGGGCTGAGCAAACACACAAAAATGCACGCACGTTTGCTTCCCGTTCCTAAGCAAAGACCGCAGAATTATCGACTTTTTGACGCAGACCTCCTGGATCTTGCTTGGGCACATGGCGTACCTACTGCTCTGCCATTCTGCCTCTATACCTGATCCCGAAGTTTTCACGCCTTCGGAAGAACACTGCCGACAACACCTACCTCCCCACCAAATCAAGCCACAATTGGCGGCGTGCCGTCAGTTCCGACAGATCTTAACCGGACGGTCGAGGTCATCGCCGCAGGCTACGCGCGCACCGGGACCGTGTCCATGGGGCTGGCCCTCGAGAAGCTGCTGGGCGGGCCCGTCTGCCACAGCAGCACCCAACTCCTCGGCCGCGAGGACAGTAACTACACACTCCTCCCCCTAACACACACACACACACACACACACACACACACACACACACACATACACACATACACACACACACACACAAAATACACATATATACATATCCCAAGCCAGCCTCCATCCCCATTGCTAAACACCCCCGTAAACAGCCTACCCCCGCAACTGGTTCACCGTCTACACCGCGCAACCCCAGAACAACCGCACCACCCTTCTCCCCGCCCTTCGCGAGGCGACGGCCGGGTTCGTGGCCGTGCCGACACGCCGTGCACGCAGTTTATAGACGAACTGTGCGAGCTGTAGCCCTCCGCGGCGGCCGTGTGCTGGCGCCGCGACCCGGACCGCTGGTGGGCTCGCGTGTGGGCCGTGATTGGCAAGACCATGCCCCCCTGGCTAAACTGGTTCCTTGCGCCCGTGCCGGGGTGGCAGTGGTTCCCTGGTGTTATGGCGCAGATGAGCAGGCGGTTCGCTCTTTCATCTGTCTTGAGTTGGTGAGGTTTGTGTGTATATATCAGGTGGAGTGAAGCTGACGGTGTCGTCGTGTGGGTGGGTGTGAGCAGCGGCCGCGAGATGCTCGTCGAGAGTGGGTACGAAAAAGGGCCCGGGCCGGGTGCGTGCTTCCTCTGTCCATCTATACCACATTTGAAACCGAGCTGACCATGATACAATTTCCAGACATCCTCAAGTGCCACTACGACTACGTCAAGCGAGTCGTCCCCCCGAACGGCTGCACTGGGTCGAGCTGGCCAGCGGATGGGCGCCGCTGCGCGCGGTGCTCAATAAGCCGGTCCCAGATGTGTCGTTTCCCAGGGCGAACGACGCCGCGGCCGTTGAGGCCACTGCGCGCGACATCTTCAGGAAGACGGCCATGGTGTGGGCGGTTATCGTGGCTGTGACGACGGTCTTGTTGGGTGGCTTGGGTCGCTGGACTGGGGCGGTGGGCGTGTTGGTAAAGTGGTGAAAAGTGGTCCATTAGCAGGGGTGTCAAAAAGGGGTGCTGTGGGTTGCAAATGCCATTAGATACACAGACGAAATTCAAGCTCACCAAAATTTGTTTTCGGACATTGGGCTGAGCTTCCTTCATTCTTTGTTATTTCCTTCATTCTTGACTCGGCATGTCCTCATTTCATTCGGAATGCCCTCTTTCGGGCTGATTACAACGCCTCCCTTGCCCTCTCTCCCTGAGTATAAGGAAGCGTTCTTTTCTGTACTTTTAGACTTATTGAGCAGACAATTCAATGCGCTGTCAACTTTGATCGCGTGCAACACATTAGATACACAGACGAAACTCAAGCTCACCAAAATCCGTTTTCGGACATTGGGCTGAGCTCTCGCCGCTCGGCGGCTGAGCTCGAGCTGAGCTGCCTAGAGAGGTCCACTTTCGGGACCATATATACTTACAAAGGGTTTCTGTTCTTGGGTCTTGGTCCCGTTTCTGGTCCTTGTCTAGAGTTTCCTTATATCCGACGTCTTTTGGCCCTAGATTGAGGTTGGGTGTCATGGCATGGCGCATTGCGGGTTCTTTATCGGGTCCCTTATCGCTAGCTGTGTGACATCAATTCTAGACTAAGCCCGAATAAGCTTAGTTCCCCGCGCCACGTGCACCGAACCTCGCGCCCACAAACCCTCAATCGCAGCCTTCGCGATTCTTTCCCTTTTGTTGGATTGGCTATTGTCAGATGGACAAGGGTTGCATGTGGAATAGAGCTCATCCCAGCTGAGCTCTGGTGTGGTCATCCGAGGTGAAAAGAGGCTCAGGGGAGCTGAAATGAAGTGGCCAGTTCAGCTGGTGTGGCTACTTTTGCCACCACCATTGCCACCATTTACAACTATAATAGAGGCCCTCTGGCAGGACCAAAAAGAACAAGGAGGAGAGAGAATGAAAAAAGTTGAAGGGCTGAATCCAACACCTTTTTCCTTTCCCTTCTTCTTCTTTAGCTTAGTTTTACACTTAATCAATACGGTATTTTGTTGGCATAGTCCTTCATTTCCTATTACCCGTGACATATAGAGATATTCAAAGGGTTTATAATAGTATTTACCGTTTACTAATATTTACAATTTCTTATGATTTTCCTCTCGTATCAGGAAAATCTCTTTCAAGGAAGGATAATTGGTTAATGATCGATATCATTATGTTCCAAGCTATATTTTATAAGTGAATAGTCTTATCAGGTGCCTATATTACGTGAGGAAGTGAGGACGAGGGTGTACTGAAGGTGGTGGTTCATAGGAGATTCGGACTGAGGTCGTCGCGCAGGAACTCGGGCGTGATTGAAACTGATCTCTGCCTCCCTCTTCCAAAGAGGTCGGCCATCGCTCTAGATATACCACGCTGAGAATTGGCCCCTTGTCGTCTTTGGCCTTTGATCCGTCCATCTGTCCTCATGACCTCGCTGTGAGTTTGTGGGCTGCATCCTGCGCCCGCGAGGTGCGCCACCGCCGAAAATGAGTTGTGCCCGGCGCCGGCGTCGTCATCGTTCCTGCACCCAAAACCTTGGCCCCCAGCCCCGCTGCCGGCCCTAGGTATCCCCCTCCACCGTGTGCACCCGTCCCGGTGTGGGTTCCACCACACTACTACCCTGCCTTCAGGATGTCAAGTCCGGGCACCTGACAAGTCTCGTTACAGAACTGGTTTGTCTTTTCTTAAAAGACTCTCACGATTTTCGGGTTAACCAATAGGATTATTATTTATTTATTTATTTAATCCTACACTACTATTGCCCTACAAGAGCCTGTAGACCCTCTGCGTTTTACTTCCGTAAGGTAAAACCCTCGAAGGTGACAAACCCTTACGCAATGATGACGTAACAAAGGAAAGGCTCAGCGAATGCTAACGTCCGGCTCTCACCAGCCGGGCTAGTAATCTCTATTGGTGCCTGCTGCACCACGGCAGTCTTCCTGACCGCCCTGAATGTTACGATCCTGGCTCGCTGTGCAGAAGGCGCCTCGGAGCTGGGACTGGATTGGTCGGGCGTGACAGGGAGGGGCGATCCACCCTGTAGCCGGGCAGCTAATCTAGTCGCCGCTCAGCTCGTCTAACAGCTAGGGCCACTGAGCAGGGATGCGGCTAATCAGGCAGCGCTCAGTGCGCTCAGCCGCCAAGACAGACTGAGCACACTGAGCAGGTGCTCAGGTTCCACCGGGCGCTCAGTGGGACTGAGCGCGGGAGGAGCACTGAGCACTCGGAGGAGGGAATGTGATTGGTCACGCATAGTTCTATATAGAGGCTGGCAGTACGCTCTCTGGGAGAACGGTTCTGCAGCTATCAATGCATCTGGTTAAGCATACATTGGTTGTGTGTTGAAAGCCTGTCTTTCGCAATCTGTGCACGATACTCCTTGTCTCCTGTCATCTCCTACCTGCCGTCCAGACCCCCACAATCCTAGGCCGGGCCTAGCTCCGTGGACCTGTTGTCCAGATTGTAACACTGACTCTCCTGTCTTGTCCGCCCACTGTTCTGATCGCCCTGTTCGTCCCGGCTGACTCGGCCGTTGCAGCCGGGCTCAGAGCCGGGCCCGGGCCCCGTCGAAGTCCGGGCACCAGAAGATCACGTGAGCGGCTGTCTCCCGGCCGCTGCCGCAGCAACAGACTGGCTTTGGCACGGTCGGGACCTGTGACGGCCTGCCTTACGCAGTAGGGATGTTAATGGTTGAAGGCAGCAACGAATGTGGATTTAAAGCTAAGGAAGAGAAAGGAATCTATCGCGGGGTCCGCGCAGGGCGCGGAGAAATAGGTAGTGGTGCTCAGTGCGCACAGGCCACACCCTAAGCACAATGCAGCCAATAGAATCAATCCTGTCACATGAGCCTGTGGCGACCGTGACAGGACCTCTTTCGAACAGGAAGGCTCGGAGCCCGATCCTTCCCTTACGGACCTGGGTGAGCAGCGAGCTCTCGTGCTTGCGAAGGTCCTTGTGTTTCCTCAGGACGGCCGCTGCCGAAAACCGGGCCCGATCAGCCGGGACCCTTCGGCCTGGCCCGGCCCGGCCGGCTGTTGATTCGAACCGGGCTCTCCAGTCCCGGGTGACGGCTGCTGCTGTTGAGTCGGGTCCGGTCCAGCTGCCGGCCCACCGGCTTGCAGCTGTTCCGGGGGTGTCAGAGGCCCGGGCCCGGGCCCGGGGCCGGCCCCGGCCTCGGGCTCTGTTGCGGAGCCGTTGAGCCACGGCTGTGCATGCGCTGTTGGTGACGTCTTTCATGCCTGAGGCCTCGAGCCTTTGTTCGAAGTCGGCAAGCCTCTTGCTGAGATATAGGTCGAGGGGAGGGATCGATGCCTCAGTTTCCAGGCTGCGTGTGGGGGTGGCTTTATACGCTCCCGTGACCGTACGAAGACATTGGTTCTGGATCTTCTTCAGGGCCCTGGCCGGGCCCTGACCTTGACCCTGTTCCGGGCCCGTGCCTTGGTGGTACGCCGATGCCTTGTATGCTATAGAGCTTCGGATGACTTGTGTGTAAATCAGCCGTGCGTTATGTAGGCTACAGCCCCAAACTGAGGCAGCGATCTTCGTAAGGGCGAAGCGTTGAGTCGAACATCTGGTCCTGACTTTCTTCACGTGGGCCTCCCAACGTAGCTTCCGGTCGAGCCAGACGCCGAGGAATCGGGCTGATTCGACCGGCTGAACTGTAGCCGTTCCAAGCCTGATGCCGGCTTGAGGGCTTCGGTGGGCCCGTGTGAAATGTATAAGCTCGCTTTTGCTTGCAGCGAACTGTATACCTCGTGTAAGTGCCTAAGCCTCGCACGTGACCCAGGCCCGTTCTAATTGCTGGCAGTTTCCTTAGACCGAACAGCTGAACGCCATGAAGTTTGTGTCATCTGCGAAGCCTACTGTGAGGGCCTGGTCCTCCAGGCCTCCCAGACGCTCTGACTAATCAGACGCCAGTTGGGTGGATCCACCCGACCAGCCAGAGCCCCACCTTGAGACGCCCTGGAAGAATCTCGCGAGGGGAGGCTTTTGAGCTTCTTTTCCCTTTTCCCTTTAGTTTAGAATCTTCGTCTATAGCGCCCAATAGAGGAGTTCCGCCCTCATTCCAAGCCGGCCGTGACACCTACTAGCAGCAGGCTTGGCTGGCTTGCCCGGAGGGCTTCGTAAAGCGTGTTGATGTATAAAATGAAGAGGATTGGGGATATCCTTTACTGTTTTACTCCTTATTATTGGCTTTCCTTCCTTAATAGGCATATTCGAATAAACTGTTTCGTTTCCAGATCTTAGTTACAGTCCGTCTGCTAGCGTTACCGACAGCTACTTTTGGGAAAGGGGTCTATGTATAGCCAAGATACCGGTAAACATAACCTATAGAAATGTAACCATATTCTGTAACTGAACTATCAAACTATTGACTTCGTTAAAATACGTTTCGATGACGGTCGTATTAAAGTCAAACCCTATCGAGAAAAGCACATGTCCGGTCGATCGATACATGCCGAATTTTTGGACCTGGGCAAGGAATGTTTCGGCAGATCTTAGAAACGTTTGATATGTATCAAGGGAATTTTGTTTAGGGTCGTCACCGATACCGTCCTCCCAGTCAAGCATCTCGAGGTCGTTCTTTGCGTTATCGGTCTTGGTGAGGGGCTGGGGAGATCGTGCCTTCCGTTATAAGCGTTGATTCTGGCGATTACATGTTAGAAGCCATTTCCTTACAGTGTCGGGCGTCTGTCGGAGGTCATCCTTTTCGATGATCACAGATATGATAATCGAGAGGAGCTGGGTTTCGGCTGACTGGCGATGGGTAAAGGACATAAGGCGGGGAAGAAATCGCTCTGTCTGTATCGCGTTGTCTCGTTTGGCAGGAATACGTGTCGGTCACGCGCATTTGTTCGGGAGGCAGTATTGTAATTAAGCGATCCCTTCAGTAGTATTGACAGGCAGGTATGCACGAATGCGAGGAAACGCGGAGGAGAAAAACATTTTTGGTTCGAGTGGGAGGGGGAGAACATCATATCACTCCTGTTCGAAGCCTGGATGTTTGGGTTCTTGGCTTTCATAATGCACGGGATCGGCGATACCAAGTTGCTGTCGGCGCCTAAGGTACGCTATCGTCGGTATGCTTCCGCAACCTTGACGCTGCACTGCCGTGAAAGAATGAAAGGCATCGGTTTGCTGACGCGGGGACAGGCTCTGGGTCAAATCATCAATACGGCAGCAACTTCGACTTTGCTGATATACGGGGTCAACTGCATTGCCTACCTCAGATTCTTCAAGGAGTGAGTTCCCATAAAGCGTAAATGCTCAGTACCAGATACTGAATGCTGAGTTTAGCGTCTGACAGATGATAAAGCCTCGAGGTAGTAATTGCAGTTTGTATAATCCAACCATAGTATTTCAGAATTTCTACTTAGAGACGGTGAACTTCTAGGGTGGACCTTTAGAGTGCGTGACGACGTCCTCTGGCCCCAGGCTGAAGCATAGAGACATCTAAAGGGCTTGCAGTGGCATTTGTCGTTTACCAATATTTGCAGTTTCTCGTAACTTTCGTCTCGTACCAGAGAAATCTCTTCAAGAGAGGACAATTGGTTGATGGTCGATATTGTCACGTTCCAAGTCACATTTCATAGGTGAATGTTCTCGCTGCAGAACCGGCTTGCCTTCCCTCAGAAGGCTCTCACGATTTTCAGCCCTACCAGCAGGACCATTGACATGGCAAAAGAGTCGTGGCCGGGGCTTCGTAAACTTGGGCTGTCGAACTCTTGGCCCATGGTCATCCCAACAGTTTTGCTCTCCTGTCGTCTATGCCACTCGTGAGCTGCCTGCTGCCTGCTGCCTGACAGCAACGTGCGTTACCGCTGGCACTTCCCGTCCCGTCCTTCCGTACGCTTCCAAGCTTGCCAGGCAGGAATAGAGGCTTTTAACGCTCGGTTATGCCGAGGCTCCGATCCAAGTCCCCGGTTTTCCGAGGCGATGAATGACATGGCAGGACTACAGACCTCGGCTGCGTCTTGTGAGTTAGCAGAACCAGCAGGACCAGACATTCGTTGACCCCCGCGCCAACGTGTCGGACCGGGTCTTTGTGTCCGTTGGTCCTATGCCGGCACACAGCTCGTAGGCACACAGCTCGTAGGCACGATAGGGGCGAGGCAGAGTTGAACATGTGCGACGCGAGGACAAAGAATCTCCTCGCCCAGGCGGCTAGCGGTTGAACCGCCAACGAAGACGCCTTAGCCGGTCAAAATGTCGCTCGGGAGGTTAGACGGCATGCTATCCAGCGGAATGCTATCCAGCGGACACCTCAAGTGTCCTACCCTTCGTCGAGAACCATATGCTTGTGGTGTGTTTTAGAGGCCATAGGGAGGTGGGCGGGATGATCGGGTGGGATGGGGTGCTAGATCCGCCAACCCCCACCCTACCGGATGGGCGGTGTGCCTAACAGATGCCCCACAAGTTCCTCGGCTTGGCGGGGATTGCTGCCTCAACTTGCCACTAGCCTAGCGCTCAACTCCCGCATCGTCTACATAAACCAGACACCATCTCCTTCCCTCGGCGCGATCACCATACCTAACACGCGCGCACAGGCTCGACTGCGCTCTACGCGACAAGGTATTTCCTGACCTGACGGGACTGACGCATGAAGGCTTCGCTGACGGCTGACGGCCGACAGAAGTGTGCGCGAGAAGTCGGCCCGACCGACGCTTTTGCCAGATGATACCCGACACGACCGATCACGACCTCGTCTCGAGCCCCAAGCAACCGAGTCCGGCGAACACAATGTCCGCCAGAGAAGAGATTGCTCAGCTCCGGTGCCAGCTGGAGGCAGCCAAGGCACGAGAGGCGCAAGAGCGACACGAGAAAGAGCTGGCCAAGGCACGAGAGGAGGCAGCCAAGGCACGAGAGGAGGCAGCTAAGGCACGAGAGGAGGCAGCCAAGGCACGAGAGGAGGCAGCCAAGGCACGAGAGGAGCAAGAGCGACGAGAGAAGGAGTGGCTTCGCCTGGAGACCCGAGAGACCACCTTTCTCGAATACTTGCGCAATTGCCACAGTCACCTCTACAACAGCCTACAACTTGCCGACGCATCCATGTCATCAACGGGCTCCACGAAGGTCTTGGGCAAGTTTTATCCCAAGCGACTTCTTCTTTGGACCCAGTTCGTCGACGTCCTCCGCCCGCGCTATTTCGATCTTGTGCGGAAGATCTGTGGCGAGAGCCAACTCTTCGAACCAGCCAACACAACCAAGAACCTTGGGGCGACAATCTCGGACGATCTAGCGGGCAACGAGAAAGCGATCGACCGTTTCGAGGTAGATGCAGTCGAGCGACCAGTGCGGAGGATCCTCAAGGTTCTTGCAACGCACGAGGAGGCGGGCAGAGAGTATCGATGTGCGGAGCTTCGATTCAGCAGCAACCTCCTCGAGCTCACACAAGCGAGTGATAGTAATGGGGTCGCAGACGACGAGACCAGCGAGGAGAGTCCGGAGCGACGACGGCGAGCCGGGCCGAACAGGCGCCTCGCGTCCGAGTGGAGGCACAAACACCCAAAAACAAAGCCTGACGGAATCGGCTTACGAACGCGACCCGGCGGAGGCGAGAGCCTGGCCTTGGTGTACGACTACAAGGCGGCCCACAAAATCGCCGTCGAGCATCTTCGGTCAGCCGTGGCAAAGGAGCAGCTGTTCCTCGAGGTCGTCGCACGGGTCAACGGAGCTACGTTCAGCAGCAACACCGAAGTGAAACACCGGGAGAATGCCGAGACATCCGTCGCCATGGCACTGACGCAAGTCTTCGACTACATGATCACCTATGGGGTATCATATGGTTATGTTGCTGCGGGCCGGTCGTTATTACTCCTCTTCGTCGACAGAAACGACCTGCAAACGCTGTACTGCCATCCGTGCATACCGGGCGATGACGTAGAGGAGCCGACCGGCGACTGGGCCGACCGGCTGTCCCGCACCGCGGTCGCTCAACTGGTCAGCTTTTGCCTGTTGAGTTTGCAGTTCGATGCTCTTGAGGGATTGTCCCTCGAAGCGGCATTGTCTAGGGCTAAGACGACACTGCAGAAATGGCCGGAGCCATATGGGGATGCGGCCTCTTTCGGGTTTGAGCCTGCGGAGTCATCGTCTGCGTCCTCGTCGCAGGCTACCGACGGCTCAGAGTTTGTGTCCAACGCGGAACCGACCGGTCCAAGAACGGGCTTGCGGTCTCAGTCGTCCTGTAAGTCAGCGGGGGTGCTCCTCCAAGGCGACGAGGATGCCGAAGAGGACAAAGAGGGCCATTCGGCACGCGACGCATCTCGATCGTCGAACAAGCGGAAGCGCGGTCCGTCGAGTGGCAGCGAGGGCGAGGATGTCGCCATGGCCGACTCGGTGCCCACCAGGCAATACTGCACACAAGCATGCCTGCTAGGTCTCAAGAGAGGGGGGGACCTGGACGAGAACTGCCCTAACGTTTCGTTGCATCGCTCCGATGGCTTTTCTCGTCATCCCATAGATGCCGACCAGTTTACCGACCTGGTGAATCGGCAGCTTCTCCGGGATCCCTACCAGAAATGCCGGACGGTAGACGTCTGGAGCAAAAGAGGAGCGATAGGCTGGCTTTTCAAGCTGGAGCTAAGTCCGCACGGCTACACCTTTGTCGGCAAAGGAACGCTGGAGGGCCGCCTCGATCGCCTGGAGCACGAAGGCCAGGTTTACGCACGACTCGACCATCTCCAGGGCGAGGTGGTACCGGTGCACCTCGGCCTGGTGCGCCTCGATCCTGGCTACATAATACCGGGGGCAAGGTTCGTCGTTCACATGATGCTCATGTCGTGGGCCGGCGAGAAGCCAGGCGTCAGCGTGGGCGACGCCGAGACGTTGAAGATGGAGTCGTTGACGGCCATCCGGAGGCACGGCGTTGATCATGGCGATGACTGCAGTGCCAATTATCTTTGGAACGCCGAGCGCCGTCGCATCATGATCATCGACTTCGACCGAGCCCACCTCCTCCCGCTCCCCGAGCCTCAAGCGATTTCCACGCTAAAGAAGCGGCGTGACCGTTCCGTGCTAAAGAGGAAGCGGCGTGACCGTTCCGTGGCAGACGCTCGGAAGCCTAGGGCCCTAGATTCGGGCCCCTCCAGGCACCCAGTTTGCATTTGACGGAAGTACTGTTCCGGGCTGCCGAACGAGACACGTCTTCGTGCGGATTGGCAAGAGTCCGAGGGCAAGTTCACGTGGATGATGATGATCTGACGGAACGGTATCTCTAGCTGCGCATAGCCACTAGCCTTGCCACTAGCCTTAGCAATGTGGTTGTGCTGTACATGCTGCATCACAATTTGTCGAATCCCAATCTCATCCTATGCCCAACCTTATCCATCCCAATCTCGCCGTGTCCCAGTTTCGTTCCACGTCCTTACCTCATCCCGTGTCCCAGATGTCGACCCGGCAATGCGGCACGCAAGCCTGCCTGCAAAAAGGGTGGGCATCTCGACCATGCGTGCCCCAAAATATCGGCGCATCGCACTGTCGGGCATTACGAGAACGTGGTGTGGTGGTGCTCGGCGATGGCGAGAATGAGAGCACCACCGACGGCGAGTCGACGGTGCGGTTTGTCTGGGAATGAGCGTGCGGCCGTTGGTGGTACCGTCTCCTGACCGTGAATTTCTGCAAAGAAGGCCTATAGCCGCGTTATGCGAAGTCACTCTGCGAACCGGCGTCACACAGAGGGTCGGGCCTCGCACTGGCGGCTAGGTGTGGTCTAGAGGGAGTCATCCTCATGCGACCGGTGGCTTGCGCCGAGTAACTACAGCCCTTGGCCGTCCGGAGTCAACGTAGACCTGTCCTGCTACCTAGGTATCTACAACGCCAACTACCGGACCACCAGCCCCGACTCTCCGTCTCCGGGTGGCCTCTACGGACCCTGGCCAAAGTGCCGTCGGATGGCGGTTGCCACGATGTCGACGCACCGTGAGACGGTCGGTATCTGAACCCGCGAGCGGAACTGCTCCCGGAGAGTTGCATGGAGCCAGCCCATGTCCCACGCGCCTGCGCACACCCCGTCCATCCCGATGAAAAGGAGTCCCGCGTACAAACGTCCCTCGAGCGCCCACTAGATCTGCTCGCGGCCGAGTCTGACAAGACCGTCCTCGCCGCCAAGTGGACGGTCGTATTCGTCCGTTACTTCAATTGCGTCAGACTGTATCACTGCGACGAGCCTATCCAGGTCCAATGGACCGAGTTGCGTGAAGAGCTTGTAGTTAGAAGACGACGCGAGAAAGCTCTAGAGCCTCTTAGTGAAGAGCTCGGTGAACTGGTTGTTAAGGGGATCGATAGAACTCGAACAGGCTTCTACGAATCGATCGGCGGTGTAGGTACGATTGTTGGCATCCCAAGCTGGGAAGCTCGATCAGTATGAACATCGGAGACTTGATGCGGAGGCCGGTAGGGAACGTACCGACCGCGGCCGCGATGCTGTCGACGGCGTATTCCACATCTGCGGGTGACGGGGGCATCCTGTCTGTGACCGTAGTCGGTATTGAGTTCTGAAGGAAGTGAGAGAAGGCAAGCTTACTTGTGGCGAACGATGGGAAGGTCGGGGTGCTGTCACCTGGCGGCGTTGCAAAACGGAAGCTCGCTGCGTCATCACGCGACATCAGCAGACCGTAGAGGCTCGGCGAGGGCTTTACCTAATGAGGCCATCATGTCCCAACTGAGGTAGGGGATAGAGCGCTGCACGCGGTGACGAATGGGGGCTCGAATGCGAAAAGATATGGTAGTTGATAGGGAAGGTTACTGTGATTGTTTTCGGTGGCGAGTGGATTCTCGCGGGTTGATCAGTACCACCAGGCAGCCACACCGACTTTCAGGCTGTGGCGGGGTTCCGGGTATCGGTCCTGACGTGTAGATGCGTGCGTCGCGTCGGCTCCGTAACGACCCCACGAAGCGATGAGGCCAAAACCGCTTGTCGCGCACCGTAGCCCGCAGTTTCACAGACCAGGGCCGAGGAAATCAGGCCAAGCACTTTTCAGAGGCTGCTGACCACCACTTCGACTACCGTTGCGCAGTGTCACAAACTCCAACGCTGCTGGAGTTGACGTCCCAGACGCCAATGCTCCGGATGTCAACGTTGCTAGAATTGAAGTCCCGAACGTTGAACTACCGGAGGCCGCAGTTCCAGTCGTTAACGACGCCGATACTGTTGGGGTCGAAGTTCCAGCTGTCGATGCCGCCGGGGACGAACCAGCCGCGCCGCTTCACGACTCGCCAGCCCCTCTGGTTCCTGATGTGGCTGCGCCTCTGGCATCAGTTGACCAGTGGCTGCCCCGCGCACACTGCCTGCTGATATTCCTGCCGTCGAGCCCGCCGATCCCGCCGATCAGCCCGCCGACCTTGTAGACTCGTCCATACGCTCTACCGAAGGCGTCCTGCAGGTGAAACTATAACTCCAGGACTAAGTCAAAGTTGCCAGGACAGTGGGTATATTAACGCGGATAGCGTACAGGCGTGCCTCCGTCCTTCAGCTTTCCGATATATCCTTGAATATGGTCTAGCCAGGTCCAACGATTTTTGAACTAATATATTCGCATCGCTGCCGACTGGCATTTGTCCTCGAGACAGAATGGGCAATATCCCGCCGTAGCAAGAACCCCACCATAGATTATCGGGTCGCACCAGATCGGAAGGTTATCTAGATAATTCAAATGTTATTGGCATTAGCCTTCCCAGGCGTCAGTCCCATAGACCCACTCGTTATACAGAAAGCATAGCTCCGCAAGACTATAAAAGCTTTCAAGGGCCTCCTTATAGTATGCGTATATATGTCGCCAATTATAGGAAGAGCCGTCGCCACCCTCGCCAAAGCCGGAAACCGAGCTATTGTCGTCTTTCTTACAATAGCACTTATCTAGCTCCAACCCAAGTCGATATCTCACGACGGAGCTCTATTAATAAAGTGAAATTATGTCGCGTAGTACCTCGAGACCCACAGAGCTCCGCATCGTATCGATATCGAAAAGGTTTTCGGCAAGACGGCGTCTTTCTGATATCATAAAACTGACTCGGTCGAATATAGCCCGATAGTATCCCGGAAGGTCATTATACTTAATTAGTTAACTCTTTTGCCACTCTCGGAGCTCGCTATTGAGTAGTTTTCTCCTTTCGTTATAGAGATTCTTTCGCTCGAGTAACCATTCCGTGCCAGTTATGCCCCGTCGTATAGCGAGTTTCTTATTAATCTCGATCAACTCCGGCTTGTTATCGAATTCGAATCGCGTCTTTGTAGGTGGGCACTACAACAGATTCGGATTTCGATGTATTATCAATCCACGGAATAGATCGAGAATAAGGGCCCGCCGTTTCTGGTCGTGGTAGGCCGCCTGGCCGTCTGCGCCGTTTCGAGACATATAATGCCTGGAAAGTATGTTCGGATCCGTATAACCAGCATACACCATCCGCGTAGCTTCGGACTCAAAGAGGTCTTTAATACAAAGCAAGTCAGCGAGGAAGAGGCATTTCAGAAAGTAATATATACGTACTCATTAGATAGAGGCCCTCAGCTCGGATATTATATTATCTTGGAGGGACCGCATATCCTGCTCGTAGACCCAGCAGTTGTTGGCGGTTACCGAAGGCATTAGCGGTCTCGATGCTAATGCTATCCTTCGATTGGCTCTTAAAAAGTGGAGCCTCGAGAACTTCGTCCTTCTATTCTATCACTATCATTTCATCTTCCTTTGGCACGATGCCTAAGAGGTCGTCGATCGTATAATATCTATTGGATGATCTGAGTTAGCACGCTGAAAAGCAGCTGTGAAGTTATTCCAGGTCTTTCGTAAAGTCTCCGAATAAGGGATATCTGTCACGGCCGGCTTGGAATGAGGGCGGAACTCCTCTATTGGGCGCTATAGACGAAGATTCTAAACTAAAGGGAAAAGGGAAAAGAAGCTCAAAAGCCTCCCCTCGCGAGATTCTTCCAGGACGTCTCAAGGTGGGGCTCTGGCTGGTCGGGTGGATCCACCCAACTGGCGTCTGATTAGTCAGAGCGTCTGGGAGGCCTGGAGGACCAGGCCCTCACAATATCGATACTATCCATACCATCCATTCCATAGGCCACGTCCCTTATAAAGTCTTTCAGGGCCTTTATTTCATATGGTGAGGCCCCTTGCTTCTGTTTTTGGTACCTGCCCACTACTATTAGCAAACGGCTCTGGGAGACGAAGGGCGTAGATGTACTCAAACCATTGGTCCATCATCTTCGCATAGTTTCGTTCTACCGTAGGCTGGAGCTTCTTAAAAATGACCTCATCGTTTACAATATTGCTATCTTTCTTAGAGCTTCTTGCAAAGCCGATACGCATAGACTCGGCGGCGCTCTCGCCCCTTCCCATTTTGGGCGAGTCGATGAAAATAAGGAGGAAAGGAGATGAGAAGTTTCAGAGACAATGAATTTGATTGTGAGTCTGAATACTAGGTAGAGAATCTGAAGGATGGGAAAGTTTGGGAAGCACCGAGTTTGATTCTGAGTCTGAATACCAGGCAGAGGATCTGAGGATGGGGAAGTTTGAAAGGCGATGAGCTTGATTCTGAGTCTGAATACCAGGTAGGGGGTTCTGGAGAATGGAGAGCGAAGAGATTATATATACAAAGGCTCCCCAAGGCAAAGGAAAAGGACGCGCGTCAGAGCCGGGGACTGTTAGAACCTAGGACAAGACACATTACTCCATATATGGCTTCTATTAGGGCTTGGGTTCGGAACCCGTTTCCTGAGGGCCGAACCTGGGATCTATGCCTAAGGGGACAAGATTTGGGACCTTGTCCTAGAAGGAGGTCCCAAGGCGGCCTCTCGGTTAAAGGTTCCATGATTGATGAGGTACAGAGAGAAGTCGTCAAGGAGTAACCGGAGTGCGGAGCGTCCCAGAATTGGGACCAGGAGGGAATCGAGGGCTGCTCAGCCAAAGGGTGAGCATAAAGCTGAGCCAGGCTGATGAAGACTGATGCTAGGCTGAGCCGAGGTTGAGCCGGGAGGGAAGGGTCCCAAAAGGTGGCCAAACGTGCTAACCAAAATGTCGCTTGAGTTTCGTCTGTGGATAGCAACACATTCTTGTTTTCGCGCTAAGGGGGCCAGATTCGCATTCAAGACACAAAATAGCATCTAAATAATCTAACATATTATGGTTTTTGGCCGCTCTCTACCTCAAAGGCTATCGTACGTAATCATAAAGTAATACAAAAGAATACCTTGAATCCGGTGCCCAGCACGTAAGCTATAACTACCCGGCATAGGAAGTTACATCGCCACTATCCGGCTATAACAGGACACGCCGGATTAAGGGCATTCTTTTATATTACTTTACGACAACGTACGACGATTTTTGAGGTAGAGAGCGGCCAAAAATAACGAAATGCTTAATCGGTTTTCACATCGTCGGTTTTCACATCGTTGTGTGCGGATGTGGCCTCTCTAGCGCGAAAAAGGAGATTGGAGTGTGTACTGGCGTTTGCAAGGCACAGTATTTTCTTGGCATCGTCTCCCCAGGGCCTGCCAGGAGCCAGAGATTCCATACCGTATCCACTCGTTCAATGGATATTCAACCAATGCACGACATCAGGGAGATGCTGCAGTTAATTGTCACGGCACAGCGCATTGTGAATTCATTGTCGCTGGCCGTCATCTTCCAAAAGCCCAATTAGGCTAAGTTTGTGGGTGACGTTTAAACTTCGCCCGCAAATCTTCTTTCGTGGAAAAAGCCTAATTAGGTTAGCGTGTGGGTCACGTGCAAACTTCGCCCATAAACCTTTTTCCACTGATCGCAGCTCCTGCGGTCCTTCTTTCTTTTTCTTCTCTAGCTTAGTTTAACACCAAATCAATACGGTATCTTATTGGCATTGACCTTTAAGTCCTATTAACCGTGACATTAATTGCCTGATCCGCCGCTTGTGCTGCCGATACGCGAACTTCACCTGGTTTGATCCTCACAGAATCTGGCGAATGAAAGGTTGCAAACGTGCATTAGTTGAGTATCCGTTGAACGAGTGGATACAGTAGTTTTAAAGACAGATAACGCAATTAACAACCGTTGCAACAATTTGGCTCAAAGTGCTAGACTCTGACAAATTGGCGGTACTCTGAATTATGAACATGAAGAGAACTCAAGGCAATCACCACCCACCACCGCTCACCACCCCCCTCGAAAATGAACAACACCACCCACGAGATCCGCATCGTCAACGACTCCAACAGCCCCAAGACGTACGGCATCTACACGGGCCCTACCAAAGTCACCAGCGGGGGCTTCCAACGCGCGAGCTCCATCCTCTGGCACAAGACCGACGAGCTACAGCCCGGAGACGAAACCACGTTTGAGTACTCGCCCGAAATCCATGGCTTCGTCGGCACCAGCAACACGGTGAGCTCGGACATCGAGAAGCGCGCGGCGCCTCGGTGTCCATCAGGCGGGCACAGCCCGTAGTGCTCGGCGACGAGCTGAACCAGGGCACGCGGTTCCTCGTCGAAGACAGGCGCGACATGTCGGGCAGCAACATGGCGTCGACGCCGCGGGATACGTTCACGATGGCGACCGTCACGGGGTTTCCATCCCCGAACAGGTTCGTCGTGGGCGTCGCGCGCAAGGACATGCTGTCGCCGGACGGCAGGGTCTCGCCCGTGGCTGCCGTGGAGCTGGTGTCGGGCCTGGCGGCCCTGATCACGCCCAGCCACAAGATCATTGTCAGCGCGCTGTCGGAGCCGCGGGAGAGGCCTGGCTGGGTGCACCGGGGCCCGTTTGCGAGGAACACATATGCTAGCGTCGACTTTGCTGGGATGCAAAGCAGGGCTGATGTGGTCGAGGCGAACAATGGTTCATTCAAGGTGGAATGCTTTTGAGGGCTGTTAGCATATCATGCGTGGAAGCAATCACGAGTCCTGTCTGCTCAAGGACCCAAGGCGGCCCGAGGGGGCATTGTGTGCTTGATGAAACGGGCGCGAGAGCGGTGGTGGGTGGTGAGCGGTGGTGGGTGGTGAGCGGTGGTGGTGACAGGGAGGATACCCTATAGGGTTGAGACTGTTGAGTGCGCTGTGGGGAGGAGGTTGAAGGTCTGAAAGGACGGGAAGCCAGTGCGATGAATTTACATTTGGCTCTGTGGGTTATATCCTTGAGATCCTCGGGTCTTGTCCTGTCTCCAACTGAAGCTTCTTGGTCGTCCTGTTTCGTTCCGCCCGACCGTGGGGAGGTCTTTGGGCTTCAATCGCCGCGGAGTTGCAACGTTTAGATTGCAGAAGATGTGGGTGCGCACTATCCAGTGATATCATTTTTTGGGCCAATCCCGTACAGCAAAGGGCTCACACTATGGTGAAATTTGTCGATGTGTTGATGTTCTGCGTGCCAAGCAACCCCCCCGTTGCGCCCTAAGACCCGACAGAAGGCCCAAGTGGCAGTTGGAGGTAGGGATTTCCTCCTGGTTGGATGTGTCTTGAAGGATGTATGGGGACATGATTGGCATGAAACCCCCAAGTGTTCACGGTTGGGTGTCAAATCAGTTGCTGAGGCGTTCAGAGCCTTCGCTGGGCACTGACGAGGCAAGCAGCGCTTCGCGCGGAGACCGATGGTCGGGGAGGGAAAGAGTGCTACTTCGTCGCCAGCTGGCCGAGTCAAGGTCACCAACTTCACCGGCCCAACATTCCTTGCACTCCTAATAACCTAGGAAGGTGCTTCCGTTCCCACGATCCTTGTTCCGTTCCCACAATCCTTGCTCCGTCTCCAACCCCCTTCATGCTACTCGAACTTTCTTGTCGGCGCTGGATTTCCCCGCTGCCATTTTGACTCGCATCATGTCCAGCTCGACTTACGCGGTCGAGATTTCTAATAACTGGCGCGACGGCGCAGAAGACAGGCGGTACTGCGTCTTTCCGGAAGCTGCGAAGATTACTGGTGCTGGGGGCCAAGCAAGCACCGTCCGTCGGTTCGTCTGCTACGTTACCGACGGGGTCCCGTTCAACGCACGTTAAGAGTTCAACTGCGCCAGAACATTCCACGCCTTTATCGGCCGGGTTCAATCGGAATGGGTTGCAGTTGGCCCGGGACACTTCTATGTGCTGCCGGGGAAGAAACTCTACGTCTCTTATGTTCGATCTGAGATGGATGTGCCGGTCAAGCTCGGCAGCGATATGAGGAATGGCTCTTGCCTCGACGCAGAAATCTCCGAGCTGAACGGCCGCAAGCTAAAGCATCGCACAATGGAGGCCCAAGAGGGAAGCTTTGAAATACGGTGCACGGAAATTAAGCCCCCTGCTACCGCTGAAGGTGTGTGGGTTGGGCTTGCGCAGACCATCAATAACATCCCCGTTGCTGTCTGCGGAGTCCCGTTCGTCCCTCGCGCGACATACACTATCACGCCTGTCGCGGATTCGATTAGAGTTGCCCTAGCGCCCGAATTCATGAAGCTTGTAGGCACCATCATTGAAAGAAAAACCTTTCCACCAGAGACCGAGGATTGCCCGTCCTCTGTGAGAGACGCATGACAGTATGGCCGCAGCCGTACAGACGCTGGCCGTGCACTGTCTGCTTCTCCACCGGCGCCTCGGAGATCTCCTGTCGCGCATCCTACTTGTCCTACGCCTCGGCCACGTCGAATTCGCGGCACAAGAGCGCGGCCACCAGCCTGATCTCGACTAGTGCCAGCTCTATGCCGACGCAGTTGTGCGGGGCTTATTGGGGTGTTAGTTTGCGTCGGGTGAGTTAAATAGGGGTGCGTGTGCGTAGGAATCTCCCCTGAGAAACCCTCCACGCACAGAGGAGAAGGTAGGGGTTGTATATAGGACTGCTTCCAAAGAAACCCTCCACACGCAGGCGGAAGAAAAAGGGGCCAAGTAAACACCAGCACCTACCACACCCTGGGATCTCTCTGTATAACAGCCGCAACATCATGCACAGCCGTGCCCTCAGTCGGGTATCCGCTACCATAGCCACTCTCCCCTCCCTGCGGGAACAGCATGAGCCTGGGTGAACTGGGAGGCGAGAGCGTGGTCGAAGACGAGAAGCATGGGATCGGGAAAGATGGGCCAGAAGTCGAGGTACAGCGCGGGCCGGGGTCCGTTAGGGCACTTTGGCAGCCAGTGAGTGCAGTTGGTGGCGAGCCAGGTCGTCAGGGTGTTGAAGTGTGCGTCGGCTGGGTGCAGACTGCGGAACCGCAGCAGCAGTGGGATGTGGCCGGACAGCAGCGAGTGTGGCAGCGTGGGGATGCCCTGCGCCTGCAGACGCCGCATCTTTGTCCTGACTTGGTATCCGCGGTGCAGGAATCGGACAATGGCCACGGTTGCCAGGACGCCGAGGACGCGCAGCAGCGCACCCCAGGGCCAGGTCGCCTTGCGCAAGGCGGTCTCATGGCCCGACGGCGGTCCCGTCCCATTCCTGGTGTGTCGCATCTCTAAATTTGTGCATCTGGCTAGTGTCCAAGCCCTCGATAAGGCTTCGCAATGCCTGGCGGTCCGTCTTGTGCGATGCCATCAAGGGAATAAAGGTGACGGGGACATAGAGGGGCGGAACTATGGGCGCGGGTAGGACCTTTTCAAGGCTTGCTCGTATCGCTGGCATTTTCTCCAACGTTGTCTCGACCTGTTCCCAGCAGATGGCGATGGCGTGTAGAATGCTCGAGGTCCGGCGGGCAACACGCGGGACGGAACGTAGGCGTCGAAGCTGTTTCGGCCTAGGTAGCCACGTGAAATGATGTAACAGAGCTTGTCGAGCTGTTCGTGCGTGAAATAGTCATGGTGCGACACGATTGCCGGTGCATTGGGCCAATCAATGACTTGTTCAGCGAAGACACGGTGAACAAGATGGCGTTCCGGTGGGGGAAGCGGTGTTATGGATACCTGCGCGGCCATAGTCGTAACTCGCAGGTCGAATCTTGCAGCTCGGGCAGCTTGAACAGTCTGCGTCTCCGTTCAGTGTCAGAGCGTGACTTCCTCGCGTGGTCTTTGGAGTGGGACCTAATTGATAAAGGGCAGCGACGTGATTACCTACCTCCCAGATTTGGTGGGTGACTAGTTCAGCGGAGACTCCGGGTGCGTCGTCCAGGTTTCTGGGGGAAGAACGATCTGTTGTCGGCGAAGGACTAGCACTTGCGTAGGAGCAAAGACCAGCCCAGCCTGGAAAACAAGGCAAGGTCCTGAGGTACCTTTAGAAAAAGGAAGTAGCACACTAGGGATCAGATGGTCGGTTGGTCCGCGTTGAGCTGGACGGCATGTGTGGCCTGCAAAATCTGCAGTTGAAGGCAACAGCGACCGTCCTGGCTTCCATTTGAGCCAAAGCAATGCACGGCCACTGTGTGGTGGGGCGTTTGGTGCAACCCGACGGCATTCTTGCTGCGAGAGACGGAACTGCATTCATCTACATAAGGTACCTACCTAATCACTGTATCTTTCAGTTTCCAGCCGCGTGTCGGCATCTGCATGCACAGCGTCCATTTAGGTCCCGACCACACACCAATACTAAATGTTTAACTAGGTAATCATCCATCTTTCGATGGTTGCTGCATATTGTGGCTAAGGAATTCAAAGCCAGGATGTGCGATGAACGAAAATCCAGCGAGGAGGATCCAGGATGGAGGGGACGCGGTATGGTTTTGTTCCACCGGTTACAATACCCACGTTAGACAGAGGCTCGGCACTGACAGCTTTGCTGCTCAAAATTAACAGGCTCTCAGTGACCGCCGTGTGAAACCTGTAACAGTGTGCAAACCCAGGATCGTGTATCGCCTTCTTGTACGGCGCCAGATCCCGACACCCCGCCGTACCATCCAAAAGCCGGCGCATAGGTATGCCCAATTTTCCTTATCAGAGTCACGCTAGAAAAACCTGTTCCGCAAAGCAAGTCTTCCCTGACGACTCAGACGGTAAGATACCTACGATAGCCCCGAACACTGATAGAACTGGGCAGATAGAGAGGCTTAGCGCCGATTCCGTCAGTGCTTTGATTTTCTTTCACTCGTTGCCTGGTCTTTCCACCCAAAATCCCTTTTTATCAGTTTGCATCAGACACAGCCATCTGAAATTCCGGGCACCCAAGGGTTGCTGTCCCACACATAATTTAATCATTAGGGCTGTACTCCCTTCGCTGATAAAAATCTCCCGTTCCATCCACCACCGTCTCCTAGCACAAACTCAAGTCATTACTCCGTTCACAGACAAGCTAGTTACACCTTCGTGCTACCTGCATCGCGCAAAAGACGTCACCCTCGCACACAGCATGGCTGTCACTGTTTCTTCCGCCCTGGCTGCTTGCCCTGGCTTTTGGGCTCGGTGGTGTCTACTACGTGGAGTACCGCCTCTTCTCGTACCAAGGTCTCCCGAAGAGTCTTGCCTTCGCCGGCTCGGATGGCTCGTTCTTTTCACGCGGCCGTGCCACCCTGTGGTCTGTCCTGAGCCTTGACACTCTCCTCTAGGCCGGTCATCAAGACGTAAGATGCACACCCATTTTTCGTGTAACCGCGCTCTTTAACAACTCAGCTCCAGTTTTCGAGAAAGGGGCGCCCCTACATCCTCCCGAACATCTTCACTGGCCACCAAGTCATCCACCCGCACACCAGTCTCCCCTGGCTGCTGAGACAGCCACCCAGCGTGCTGAGCCAGCGCGAGAGCAACAACGAGTTCCTAGCCGCTAAGCATACCTTTCTCAACTGTTTCGCCGCTGAAGACAGCGAGTGGATCCATGTCGCCATCAGGGATATCACCAGAGTGCTCAAAAAAAAGTCCAACGGCGTGGTCGACGAGATCCAGGCAACCCTAGGCGACCTCTTTAGGAAGGACACGCGGAACTGGAAGGAGGTCGAGCTGCTCGACGTGTGCCTGGCGCTGATAAGCCGCGTCGTCAGCCGCGTCTACGTCGGGCTGCCGCTGTGCCGCTGCCCCGCCTACCTCGGCAGCTTGGCGCGCTTCGCCAAGATCATCCTGGTCGAAGCGCTGCTGGCCCAGCTCACGCCCAAGCCGCTGCGCCGCCTCCTCGCGCCGCTGCTGGCCCGCTACGACTGGAAGCAGTTCAGCAAGATGGACCGCTGCGTCAGCCCCGAGAAGAACCTGAAAGTTGAGGGAGATGGAGGAGCGAAGAGAACTGATATTCCGGCGACGGTGGGGATCCCCGCGGGCGACAAATTCGCCGCCACGAGCGAGACGTACCTGGCTTTCAGCCACGGGAGAAACGCTTGGTACGTGAAACTTACGAATACAGCCCTCTTTGTCCCACCTCAACAAAGTGACAAGGCCGTTGTTCTGGTGTGCTCAAACCTGTTCTTTGATCTAGTGCCGGCCGGTTCTTCGCCAACCACCTCAAGCTGCTCATGGCGTAAATTGTGCTCCGCTACGACATTAAGCCTGACCTAGTCCCGCGTCCTCAGAATCTGGCAAGTTTCAAACTTTCTTCTAGCTATTACCATTGTACTTTGGCAGATTAGCTAACGCCAGTCTTCGTGTATTTAGTGGTTCAGCTATGTCTCGTCGCCTCTTCCCGGATACAAATTGTCGATCAAGCGACAGAAGTGGATGCATACGCATTACCTACCGTGATCTCTGGGCAGGAGCAGGTAGATGCATAGCGGGAATGGATCAGAGAGGCTCCTAGCAGTCCGGTCTATAAGGAGATAGAGCTACTCAGGAACCAAGTAGCAATTCTAGAGAAATAAATCCCCACTTTCTACAGCCTCCTGTCTAAGAAAGTCTGTTCATAAAACGCGTTGTTCCTCAAGCTTGTATTCCGGCTTGCCTCGATGGAGTTACCTACCTGCTCCAAAGGCCACTAAGCTACTGCCCTTGAGCGGGCCTCGTTTAGTCAGCCATAATGCATGCTGAATAACAAGGAATTAATCTTGCAAGGGGCCGAGTCTTAATCTGGAAACGTGTTCCTCTCATGCGGCAGCGTAGTGAGAGCGCTGGCACGGAAACAAGGGTTTCTGATCTAATGAATCCAGATTTAGAGCAAAATAGCCTCGTGTGTTTCTTTGGAAACTCGGGAACTTCCCTGCTTTCAAGTCCTAGTATGTGTGGTCCTGCTTAGACTTTTGGTTATTATACTTATTACGCCCAGAATTTTCGACAAGATCTACCCTAACTTCCCAGTGCTCCCCCAAGAGCAGATCAACAACATCTTAGCCAATAAACATGTCCATTCCCAGCGAGCCTCAAGCCCAGATCTGTGTACACCGCCTTTCGTCAAGATTTCTAAGCAGCTTCTGCTCTCACTATAATTATACGAGGTCGATATTTCCATTTCATGTCGTAACTTGCGCCTGATCTTTTGCCAAATCTACTAATCTTTGTCAAATCTACTGCCCTTGAGGCGCGTCGTGTTTCTCAAAAGGTTGAGGTTGCCAAAGATGCTGGTAATGTTTTCTCCTTCTCGCTGTTGCCTCTGCTGTCCTCGAGATCCACGCTGACAGGAAGATTGGCATGTGTATGAAGTAGATTTGGCGAGCCGCTCGTTCTCGACGGGCTAAGTGTTATGGTACAGAAGATCAAATCCTTTTGCGGCGGGCCTTGATTTCTCAAAGAATGTCATCGCAATGTGGAATATGTCATGGTTGGACAGGGCTCCTATCAAATCCGGCGCATTAGCTTTTTTCAGTGATACCGACAAGATGGAAGTTCTATTGAGAGATGAAGCAGTGCAAACCGTAGAGGCAAGAAATTTTTCTGGAAAGAGGTCGAGATTGAGCGAAACTGTTGGATTCACCAGGGTACCGGTACTGGACTCAACAGGGCGTGGCTGCACGCCGAAAACTGGTGGTTCAAGTGATGGATTGTAGATGTCTGTTCTTCTCTCTAGCTTTCTGGCAGTGCCAGAAAGCCCGTTCTTATACTACTATTGTGGTGGCGAAGTTGGTGGCAAAGTCTCTATCTAGAACCTTCGAGGCCCTTCTGCTTGACAAATTCCAACAGAAACAGTATCGCAACCGCAGAAAGCTAGATGTGAGCTGGTATCCTATTAGCAGGCTCTGCTAGTTAACTTGTAGTATGATCGGGGCTCGCTTTAGTCGTCTATATTTCAAGCGGATGTGAGTTCTTGTCACGATTTTGCATTCTCAGACCACTGTTCGTCCCTGGAGGAGAAATGCTGAAGCCAGAAGGCGAGGTGAGGGAATAGCCGAATGTGAAGAAGGTGTTTATCTGCTTGTCAGTAACATAAAAACAAGAACATAGCTAGAATGCCAGATCTTGAAAGGCTCGAAAAGGCTGGAGGGGCAGAATGAATGCAGACTAGGCGCCGGTGTCCTCGTCTCCAAGCCACCCCGCCAGAACGTCAGCCCAGGTCCAAAGACAAACACACCAGGCAGCCACTGTGGGCCCTCCAGAGCAACTCGGGGAGGGAGATGCGGAGCCTGCCAAATTTGTAGCCGTGCAAGGGCCACCTGTTTTTACATAAATAGGTCGTCCTCCTCCCGCCTCTTCCTTCTTGTTTTTTTTTCCCCTCATACTTACCCAAGCTGGGGGCAGGGAGCTCAAGATTCCCCTACCCCATGGCAGTCAGCCTGCATTGCACTCCGCGGTTGCTGGCTGCCAGATCATGACCTTCGGGGCATGTTTGGCTATAATTTTTGATAACCCACCCATCTCTTCTTTCTTTTTCGCTGTGAACGCCGCTTTTGTAGTGTCATGGAGAAGAAGCTTTTCTTGCACATTCTAGTCTTGGTGTGCGTGCATTTGTGTGTGTGTGCCTCTGCTTCTGCTTGTCCTTGTGCTCCTGTTATGTCTGACCTATCTGGTGAAAGATTTGAAGAAAAGAGAAGGCCTTGTTGTTTTGAGTTGCGGCGCGTCCAGTATCGCGTTTTCGGACGATTCTGGGACCGCCACGGCCTCTCTGGTTTGTGGAGTGGTGGTTTTTGGCGATTTCTCGGAGGACTGGAGTGGTTTCCGTGGAGATGGCTTTGGCAAAGGTGGGAGATAGGCTTTTGCGCAGCTGGCATCATCTTGAGCGTGCCATTGACTACTTCTAGAGCATGTACTGAAATTGCAAGATTGAATCAATAGAATTACAACTAGGCACGCGCTTTGCGTGTCTGTGAGGGTGACCATTCTATTTTAGGCCCAAATGGAGTGTGCTCTAAATGAAGCGTGAATTTCAAATAGCTAGCTTTGACGGCGGAGGCAGGAAACTGGAATCACTCGATTGCGTTTGATTCGAGCTCGATTTGATTCGAGCTCAATAGCTACAAGAAAGAGCAGGATATCAACGAATATTAGGATTGCGTATGAGCCTATCTTTAAAAATGAAGGCGATCTCGAGGAATCGCGTCTCGCCGTTCTTCCGTCTGGATTAGCGATTCGCAGCAGTTCGCAGCCAGTGCCTCAATCTATTGCCTCATCGCAGCCGAGGAGCAGACGAATGCCTAATGCTTCTACGCAGCACTACCACCAAAAACACACGGACAAATCTAGGCGTACGAAACTCGACGAGCCTGTTAATGCGGGCGAGCACGCGTGCTTTCTTGCTCGGCTACTGCGACCGAGAACTCCGATCCTGGTGAGAACCGCGGGGCTGATAAGGCCTGGACGATATGGAGGAGGATGGCAGACGAAAACAAAGATGGCTGTGGTGATATGCAACAGAACTTAGGGTTCGAAGAGAAAAAGTCTTTTACGGTCACGTAGTCTAGATTGTGCGGCGGTGGCAGAGAGTTCGTGACACGAATTGTGATGTTTCAAGGCTGGGTCGATCGCGACGTAGCCTGTGGTGTTTCTACGAAAATTCTGCTCGAGTGGCATTGCTACAAGTGGCATTGCTACGATTACTAGATCTAAATAGCAGCAAGAATGTCACATACGAAGACTGGCAACGGTAAAACGACGCAACGCGGCGAGGTGTCGTGAAAGGCCTCATCGAGTATATCTTCAAGTTCCTAGCCTCGCAGACTGTGTCCATAGTCTGCTGGACTGTATGCGAGACGTAAGGGCCTGCCCTAAATCGGCCCCCGCCGCTGCCAACGGCTTCCGGCCAGGGTGCGAGATCGCGAGTCAGAGTTCGCTCCCCCGACACGTGCCCAGACCATCTGAAGAAACCCGACGCCCAGCACCAGTGGGAACACGCCCAAGTGGTCCCCGCACCGAGAGAAGAATTTTTGGCGAGTCAGCAGCCTCGATTACAAGCTATACAACAGGTCGGGACAAACACAAATACATACACAGATATACACACACACACACACACACACATAAATACATACATACATATACACACACACACACACATGCACATACATACACACATACATACATACATACATACATACATATACACACATATAATGATGTGAGAAAGGAAATAGAGCTGGAGGAATTGAACGGCTGGGGTTTTGTTCCGGCTGGGACGGATCTTGACGGAATTTTGGGAGGTCGGGTCTTGGGGCATATGGCCTGTGACGGGCTCTCCGGGTATCTGGAGTTTTGCTGTTGTGGCGTTTGGGTTGGCGCTTCTTTTTAATTCACAGCAAATTTATTATAACTGTGCTGGTTATGATCAATGATTAATGCAACAGAATCCTCGTGTTCCAATTGTTTTCCACACTTCATTTTCCCTGCTTGCTCGCCTCGACATCCAGGGATTGGCACCGCCGCTCCTAGGAAGGCGAATCAACATATTGGAATTTCAGACGGGTTCCCCGTACCGGAAAAAAATAACAACGAGGCCCCCGATATTTTTTCCACGCAATTCGAGATCGCACAGTCGCCAAGCGACACCCTTCCGGTGTCACGGCGGACAAACCAAACCAGCCCTTGAGCGCAGGCCAATGACAGTCCTCTGCAGTTGCGTTTTTATAACAAGATTTCCTGTGTCATCACAAGTGTTACTAGTTTGGCATGGATTTCATATCCTCTAGTAGGAACCTCGCGGAGTGGGGTCTACTAGGCGCTTTGTTCTTCCTTCTTGGTGGCCACCGCTATATCATTTCGCGGGGGAAAGAAGACCTCATCCTCCCCAGTGCAGTCGTTTGAGGGAGCGGGAACAGCTGGGGTATTACGCGTGCGAAAGAAGACACCACCCTCGTCAGCGAAGTCGTTCGAGGGAGCGGGACTGGCTTGTACACGTTCTAGTCTTTCGTCATCCGTCATCTGGTGCATGAGTGCCTGTTTGCTGAGCTGTTGGTCCACCAGACTCTTCAAGTTCGCAAGGAGATTCAGCCTACCATAAACCTAGTCATTAGATGACGCACCGAGGATTACACAAGGCCGAGATTTTCTTTCCTGCCGGTGAAATGGAAGGAACACGGTTGCAGGAATCGTGCTGATATTGAACGGCGTGTCGACTGCAGCCGATGTCAAGCGGATTATTTACTGATTTGGAGTTATGTGCCTACGAGTATCACGAAGGCAGTATAGAATGCGATAATACGAACAATCTTCAATACAAGCGATGGACATCTATGATCTGCCTCTCTTACTTCCAAGGGTGCTGCTCTTCTCCAACATGTAGTGAAGTAGGCTTGATGTACCAACACGTAGTGAAGTGGGCTTGATGGGGGTGTCATTAAGATCGGCCTTCTCCCCAACCAACCCAGAGAGGAGGGCTGCAGGCATCACCGCCACAGCGAAAAGACATGGGCCACCGACCGTACTGCAGCAGCCGTGGTGTACTGCAGCAGCTGTAGCGTCCCTGTAAAGCGTGGCTGACCTCTCTCTCGCCGCTCCCCTTTCTGAGCGCGGCCCACAAATGACCCCACTCATAAATTTGCAGTCGTGCACGGACCAACTACATTGCATATAAAACCAATCTTTCTCTCCTTCCTTTCCTCTTCCTTTTCCTTTTTTTCCCCATCCTAGTGCATGGGTTTTACGTGTATTGATGAGGATTCGTCTGAGATCACGTTTTTGCTAGTTGAAAACTATAACCATGACCGCTCCTGGCTGGCTTCGGCCGGCCAGGGAATTTTTGGCACACCATTCTTTCTTCCTTTTTCGTTGCCAACGCCTCCTCTGGAGCCGTGGTGAAGAAGGACAACTCGGGTTCACATAGTCGAGTAGATGCCAGTGTTGTAAAGAGGTGCTCGGTTCATATTGCTTCCAGTCGTAATCAGGTACACTAGATGGCGCTCAAGAGATGATTAGTGCTTGTGTGCTCGCCCAGGCCGTGGCCGCCTCTTCCTGCCGGTGAGATTACGAGATTCTGAAATGCAGCCAGCGACCGCAAATGAGTGGCCAGGAGAACATCCGGTCTGTCTGTAGAGGTCTCGAGATGGGCCGCCGAATGCAGATCAAGAAGTGCGATGCTTGGCTATGAAACGCACGCTTACCAGAGCTGCTCCACGCGCAACGCAACGCTGCGAGGTTGAGGCTCGATGGCATTTGATCTCAGCTAGCTAGCCAACCGCCTCAGCTACAGAATCCCAGCCACCGAATCACAGCCACCGGGCAGCACTGCCTCCCGTAATCGAAGTGAAGGAGCTCATCCAATGCACGGCTGCAAGCCACCCGTCGTACAATCAATCCGTGGCTGGTCACTGTCTGGGAGAGGGCTTGTGTCCGTCGACCGGCGACAGCTGGGCCCAGGCGAGAAAGAGCGTATGCGGCTCTGGGCCAATCGAGCTGTGGTCGTTTGCTCGAAACACGGCTAGTGCGACAGGCAAGGCGCTCGGGGAATTTTGGTTGGGCGCGGTGCAATGCAACACTAGCGGGCCAAGTGGGGACGTGGCCTGGCATGCCAGGGCGCCGTTGGACGCCATTTCCAGCCGCGGTGAGGGCTGCGCGTCCCGATTGGCAGGCCCAGCGCCTACTGACTCCCGCCCTGTGTCTCGTCGAAAAATACCAGCGCGGCTCCGATTGCAGGGCCCTGCAACAGTGCAATCACGTCGTCGTTCCCAGGGTGCAGTGAGGGCGCCAAGCAAGCCAAGCTTCCCGGGTGCGCTTGTTTTGGGCCCACGACAGGGCATAGCGCTGCAGTGAAACGTCCCCAGTTAACTTGGAGATGGGCAGGGTCTTTGATCTCGACCTCTTTCTTGGGTACTTAAGACTGGAAGGCATCCTCGACTGCAGCTTTTGTTTTGGGGTCCTGCTAAGCAACGCAACTTCCTCCAGATCACGGTTTCCTTGGGGTTTTTCCTTGGTCGTCTCTTTTCTCTTTTTCCCTTGTTTCCTTGTCTCTTGGGTCTTCTCGGGTTTCGATAACTTGGGTCTGTCTGTCATCAAAACGGATTCTCCGGGCTGGGTCATTTTCTCGACGAATTTCCTTGCCAACTACTCGGACCACGACTTCCTCGTTTTTCTTTTGCCACCACCAAACTTGTCTCCATCCTCTCTCGGCAGTTGATCTGTTCCGAAGGCTTCTGTTCCGAAGGCTTCGACTCCATTTTCCTTCGGTTCCCTCTACCTGTTGCCCATCATTGCTGCCATCTTCCCGTTCCCGAAGCCGCACTTCCCGCTCCAGACGGCAACCAAGGAGCGGCCCTTTCTCCAGCTCAAGACTGAATTCGCCACGCAGGACGCAACCATGCGCTTCCAGTCGCCGCAGCTCGGCGCCTTGGGCGTCACGTACACGGCGATGAGAGCTTGCCAGTTCGTGTCGCTCATCGCCGTCATTGGAATGTCTGCCAACTTCATCAGCCATATTGCCACGGCCGAGCGCAACCCCCCTTCAGAGCTCATCGGCACTCTCACAGTGGTACGTCGTCTTGCCGCCGCCGGCTCCTTTGTCAGTCCAACGAAGCTAACCAAGTTCTAGGCAGTCACGGCGGTCATCTACGTGATCATCAGCTACATCCTTTACTACGACAATATGCTTCCGCTGCTCATTGCCGCAGTCTTTGATGGGCTCCTCCTGATCGCCTCCATCGTTGTTGCCTCGCTGATTGGCAAGCCTCTCTCGTCGCTCAACTGCGCGGCGATCCCCGCAAATCTCGATGATCAGTCCACAGCCTTTTGGTCGTCTGTCGTCTACTCCGTCCCCGCTATATCCATTACGAAGACAGTGTCGTATCCTATATTCGTTGGTGCTGACCAAGCAACCTGCTACGAGATCAAGGCTGTCTGGGGTCTCTCCATCGCTTTGTGCGTGCTGTTTGCCTTCACCTGCCTCGTCTGTGTCGGCCTGTGGAACCGCGTCCGTCGTGAGGGCGGCAGCGCCACAAACAGCATCAAGAGCAAGGATATTGAGGGCTAGGGGCGCGCGGGCGCCTTTGGGGTTGGGGGTGGCATCGAAAAGAAACTGCCGTGGGAGTCAGACGTGTCTCTGGGCACCAAGAGCATCATGAATGCTGGCAATTCTCCCCCGCGCTTTCCACCACCTCCCCTTCTGGCGCCCATCCGTACCCGAGGGGTCCAAGATCCCCTTGAAGACATCCCCATTCCTGATATACGCCCTCGATCCGGCCGCCCGCGCAACAGGAGCATCACACCATCGTCGAGATTTAGCAGTGACGGCTCGGACACTTCTTCGATCAGCGAGTTTGGCACTCCGCCCCAGTCGCGGGGCGGTGGCCTTCGCCCGCCTCCTCTGCGCATGAAGGCGGCTATGCCTCCCATTCCTGGCTCGCCCATTGACGGCCCTGACGGCATTACTGACAACATCTCGCCTATCTTGTCACGCGGTCCGCCACCCACAACCAGTGCTGACAACAACTTGGCTGTCCCGCCGCGGGCTATCGTGGCCGCTGCTGAGTCTCCCTCGTCACCCAGCGACGACGTGATCCCAGAAGAGCACAAGCGAGTGCCTGGCCTGATCCCGCGTTCGCCCCTGTCTCCTCTTCGAGGATTCATGTCGAGGCGCGGCAGGAAGCCCGCCCCGCATCCCATCGTGACCCAGCCATATCTGGCCAGCCAAGGTGGCAAGGCGGCCGTGACACCCGGCATGGTGAGCGTGGGCATCCAAAGCCCAGCCGCTGCTCTGGCGCAGGCAAAGCCCAAGCGCAGGACCGCCTGGGGAATCATTGACGGATGGTGGGACCTGGGGCTGCTTGAGAGAATGAATACAGTCAAGAGACGGAAGTGAAGTTAAATTGAAGAGGCAAAATACAGGGGCGTAGAGAACTAGATGCTGGTACTTTGGACATCGTTTGGCTTGCACACGCACGAGCCGGTAATTTTGGGAAATATCTCGGATAGATTGGCTTGCTTGACAAGTTTCTTTTTTGGGCATGGCAGTTAGGGGCTGCCGATAGATGATCTGACTGGGAACTTGTTCTGGTAATGAGTAATAAACATAAATGAAAAATGGTACCTTTCTTGTTAGCCGTTGCTTGAGCCCTTTGAGTCTAACTGTACATGTGTTTGTGGAAGCGTGGAAACGATTTTCATATTTCTGCGGAGAGGCAGGGAGGGAGAGATCATGGAAAACTCGCCAAATATGCCCCTAAGTTGTTCTATTCTTCATGGATTATAGACCGTCTTTGTCTTCTCTCCCCCGCCCGGATTATCAGGATCCTTTTCTAGCTCATTTTATATAGATAGAAAATAGCCTCCTCTGAACACTTTTCGAAGCACCAAGTGTGGGAATTACCGGGTTATGCGGCTCAACCAAGGCCGTGCGACTACAGAGCTGTGATTGGCCAAACCTGCAAAACAATGGGGAACCAGGTTAGCGCACGGGCCACACATGCCCTGCACGTGACCGCGGGGCATCACCAAAACCGCCCTCTTCTTATCACCGTAGTTCGTGATCCATTTAGCAAGACAGAGATGGCAGAATACAACCACCACAACCCCCATCCTTTCGCAGGGGTTACTATAGTGACTAGTACGGATGACCTTGTCACTCCAACACCAAGTTTAGATGTTTAGTCACAGAATCTTACATCCATATTAATCGACGATATATTCAACACGTCCATTGCCTCTCCCTTCTATAACTTACGGCATATTCGGCACCTGCATGGGTCGTATTACCTTCTGTAAAATTCTACTTGTCGGATATGAAACTAAAGCGAAATCTGCAGTGCCCTCCCTTCCGTCCCAAAAGTACAGGTGCTGGTGCTGTAGTTACCTAAGTACCTCAATAGTCACCCCCGATAAGGGTTTTGGGCCAAATCCGTATTAGGCTTGGAACCTGAGCAAAAGCCGAGGCGCACTGAGCATCACCTTGAGCCGAGGACATCACCCATCCCTTTGACGCCATATCCTATGCATGGGGATCTAGGGATAACCTTCATTGTATCCAAGTCAATGACTTTGAATGTGAAGTCGGAGAAATCTTCACGCGCTAAGATTTCACCTCCGAGATCGCTTCTTCGAACGGGTTATCTGGGTAGATGCCATTTTTATCAACCAGGAAGATATAACCGAGAAGGGGTCCCAAGTCCAGTCCATGGCCAAGATCTATGCCAAAGCGAGCCGCGTACTTGTCTGGCTCGGAGCGGCGACAGCCACCAGCAAGCAAGCTCTCGATCACATACGTAGAGCATGCCGGCAACGTGAAGCAACAGAAGCAAGCACGCAAGCAACTAAACAAGGCACACAAGCAAGCGAGCAAGCAGTCATCAACCTCCTCGAGCGCCCATAGTTCCAGCGTATCTGGGTATGTATAACAGGTTGAAAGTAATAATCCCAAGGATCTCAAGACTATTTGCTAATACAATCGGGCTAGGTTCTTCAAGAGGTTGCTGCAGCTCGACATGTTCTTATCATGTGTGGCCCCACGGTGATTGACGGGTATGCGTTCTGTGCAGGCCTCAACGCATTAAGTTAGGTGGGGGAGTAAGCGAACGCCACTGATCCAGAACATTCTAGATAAGCGAGGAACACAACCAACCCTCTTATATAAAAAGCCCATAACTCAACCAATTCTTTTCCAATTCTCTTCATCTTCAATTCGTTTTATTCTTCTCTTGACAGTGGTTTCATATACAGAAGAAGACCTCCGCAAGGCTTACGAGGAAGCCGTCAGAATACATCGATTACGCAAAGTCGCGCGAAAATGGAACGTTCCACCCTCCACCCTTTATGGCCGTCTACATGGCTCCCTACCTCGAAATGTTGCTCATCAAGATGAGCAAAGGCTTACACAGACCCAAGAGGATCGTTTAGTCGAATGGATTCTTCTTCAACAAGATTTAGGATTGCCCCCTACACATGCACAGATCAGGGAGCTTGCACGCCGTATTCTAGCTGAAAGGGGGGACTCCTTACCACTTGGAAAGGGGTGGCGCCGTGCCTTTCTTAACCGCAATCGAATTTTGAAGACTCAGAGGGCCAAGAGAGTCGATTCGGTCCGCGTCAACTGCGCTACAGAGTCAACAATTCGACCTTGGTTCAACCATTTCCAAACACCAGCTATCAAGGCGATTAAGCCAGAGAATCGCTGGAACAAGGACGAATCTGGTATTATGGAAGGCAGAGGAACCAACGGCCTTGTCATTGGAAGCCGTGCCTTTAAGGCGCTTCAAAAAAAACAGCCTGGAACCCGCACTTGGACCACTTTTGTCGAATGCATCTCAGCAGCTGGCCGTTGCCTTCCTCCTTTGGTCATTTTTAAGGGGAAAAGCGTTCAACAACAATGGTTTCCTTTGGATATGAAGCCATTTCAGGATTTGTTTTTTACAGCAACTGAGAAAGGATGGACTACCGATGAGACAAGCCTCAAATGGTTAAAAAATGTGTTCATTCCTCTCACCAAGCCAGCAAACTCCTCTGAGAAACGACTCCTTATTATTGATGGCCATGGCAGCCACACAACTGCCGATTATATGTGGGAGGCATTCACAAACAATATTCACATTATTTATCTGCCTCCCGATACTTCCCATGTCCTCCAACCCCTAGATTTGGCCATATTTGGCCCCCTAAAACGACTTTATCGCAGACGGCTTGAGGACCTTCTTGCTAACGCCTTTGACGACTCTTCTGTAGCCGGAGAACGTGTGTTTCTGGAATGCTACCAGATTTCACGCACAGAGGCAATTACTAAGAGTAATGCTAAGTCAGGATGGAAGGCATCAGGCCTTTGGCCCTTGAATGTCAACAAACCGCTAAGAAGCCCACTCCTCCTCAAGAATTCTAATACTTCACGCCCCTTAAGAACTACTATAATTACCCCAGAGGTTCGCACACTCCGTATGCCAATCCTGGAGGATTATGGAGACGATCGGGTGCAGTGGAGGACTCCTAGAAAGGCACGTGATTACGTTGAGCAGGCAAAGAAGTTCGCACGCATCATCAAAGCAATGCCAGCGGATAAGCTCTTCCTCAGAAAGATTGGTAAGGCTTTGGATGAACAGGCCTTTGAACTGGCTATTAGGAAGCGAAAGATTGAAGGTCTAGAACACACTCTCGAATCAATAAGAGCCAGAAAGAAGAAGAAGGTTGAAGAAGATCCAAATACCACCTTTGCGAATATTCAGACTATTCGTGAGGCCCAGAGAGCTGTAGGGCGTGCAGCAGAGGTTTTAGAAGATGCGGAAGAAGCGGATGATTCAGAGGATATCAAAGATTGTATTGAAGTTTTGTAAATAAAAAGATCACCCTTTCTTTTGTTGGAGGGTTAGTTGGGACTCCTGCTTATACAGAATGTTCTAAATCAGTAGTGTTCGCTTACCCCCCACCTAACTTACTGATTAGGCCTTACCCAGGGCCTAGCCGGGAAAAAAGAACGGAAAATATCCATGACACCAATACCCAGTACGTAGACGCCATACACTGCACCTCAACGCACGAGCAGGCCTGGGGCCCTGTAACGCGGAGACCTGGTGTGATGGCATGTGGGAAAGCGCGGGTAGGCAGTTTCCCGGCGGCTCGGTTCAGAACATGACCGGGCTAGTACGCGACTGGACAATGTGTGTCGGTCCGGGGCAGGCACCTCGCAGACCGGTTTAGCTACACACGCTGTGGCCAGGCGTGCAGGGTTTTATTACCTTGGAGTATGCGGGGGGCAGAAGGAATGACGTCGAGGCGACACACATCCGCTAAAAGTGCATTGGTCCATTTACATCTGCAGTCGAGCGGTGCCCGCTTCTCCATCACTTGAGCTGCCTTGAGAAGACCCGACCGCGACCTAACCGTGCCCCAACTCGCTTCGGCGTCATAATGCGAAGAAGGCCCCTCACACCCTCCCAATCTTCCACGGACGTTGGAGTCTTCCTGCCGCTACTGCTGCGCGGTTCTGCACGACATTGCAGCATCTTCCAATGTGTTCGTGCAGCCGGCTCAAGAAGCAGATGTTGCACCGTAATTGGTCCAAGGCGGGAAGGGACTCGTGTGGGGGGGCAGTCTCGAGCGGCACATTGCACCGCTCCAGCATGTTGAGAACTTGTGCCCACGAAACAGGCGCAGCCGAGATGACGCCGTGCATGTCCAGAGCTGTTCTTGGCAAATGCAGCCTGGTGTTCAATAAACATTCAAGGTGATGAAGTTGGCAACGCAAGGGGGCGCAGGAAATGGGGGACTTGATTATATAGCACTTCCCATTGTTTACTGCTAGCACGAACTTTGGAATAGCCTTGTTCATAGGTGTGGCCGAACCTATCCCATCACGATCCGACAAAGTCCTCTCTTTAAAATCCCTGCTTCGCAACCTGCGCCTTGGCAGCCGCAATCGTCTTCGCCGCGTTCGGATCAACAAAGCCACACCCTTGCTTATCGTTCTGGAACTCAGCGCCGATGCCCGAGCAGATGCCCACGTCCAAGCTGTTGTTGGCACAGCATCCCTCCTGGCAATCGGCGTTGTTGACACATCCGCCCGTGGTGAACTGCTTGCCCTGGCCGTTTCCGACGTCGCGAGCACCAGAGGCGTTAGGGGTGGCGATGGCGGAGATGGAGACGGCGACTGTTTGTGATGGCAAGTTAGTTAGCACTCCTATTGTGATGATTATGGGAGAAATGGCAGATTATGGGACAAATGGCAGAGTGGAGCGACGTACAAGCCAAGAGGGCAGCGAATGTGATGCGGACCATTTTTGATGATGAAAGTGAACGACGCCGGGCCGGTTTGATTATTAAATTATATGATTGGAGTAGTAGAGACAGTGACGATCGCAGATCGTGTTTGGGTAAGAATTGAAGAGACGGAAATTCGTAAAACGAGCGAAGGCTAGAGAAAAAGAAAGATAAAATTCCAACTCGGACGGAGAGGGACTGTTATTTTATGCATCTCATCCACGCCTGGGCCACCGAAGCCAAGCACAGCCAATATCCGGGCCATCAACCGATCGCCGGCTGATCTGATCCGCGAGGTTCAGAAACCTGCCTGCATTCCCTAGCGGGCAACATCAGACGTAACAAGTCGCATTCATGGATCAATTATCGGGATTTGCGTGGTCGCGAGGGCACGTGCCGTGTATCTGGCGCGGCCAGATTACCGAGAAACAGGAGGGCGGCTTGGGGGCTTGGCAAACGGCAAGCAATAGCGAGTTTGACGGTTTGACCCATTTTTTTGGCGGCGGCCCGGTGTGATCGACACCGTCTCAAGTTGACAACCTGTTGGAAAGCTGGCCCCAAAGTAGGCCAAAATCGGTCTAATGTAACAGTCTTATTGTGTGTAAAGTCTTGGGGCAAGTTTGGGGGCCTGCCAGCTGGGGGCCCGCCACATTTTACCCTGAAAAAGAGGGGTTTTCCTGGGCTAGGCCCAGAAGGTTGCCCTGCATGCGCCTCCAGGTCAGACCGCCGGCCCCCAGGTCAGACTGCCGGCGATTTCCGGGCTTAGTCAGGGCCTCGAAAATCCAACACAACCCCCCTCCCCCGCAGTGCGAGTTCATGCCGTCCCAACTTGGGGAAGTACCAACTCTTGTTAGATATGGCCCTTGCAAAGCGAAAAATGTCAAAGTTGTCTAGTGAGACGAATAAGATCTACTGTGAGATGTAGTTCGTAAAAGGGATGACCGCACCATCACTTCGTACAGAGCCCATCGTAGATCGCTCGACTCCCCACCCAAGAACAACCATAGTCAGAGGTGCGGATTCCATTGTTAACCAAACCGAAAGCTTGGGTTGTGATATTGTAGGTAAGGTAGGTAGCATTGGGGGCATGGGAGCCGCGCCGCGCTCCGTCGGTTTGCTGCCGTAGATCATGGCTTGCAACCTGGGGAATTTCCGGGATATGAGCCGACGACGACATGACCGAAACGAATGGCATCATCCGCAACGTACTAATGAACATTCATGTAGCGCCACAGGAAGCCACGACCTGTAGTCTGTCATCAGGAGCGAAAATAGCGCAACGCGTCGAACTTCTTAGGCCTTGATTAATTGGCATTATACTTGCAGCAATTGACCCAAAGCCGACAGCACATCCAGCACGCCGTATACCAGTCGCTGCATAGACAATTGCTGCCATCTGTCGTATGTGGTATTCAGGCCATCTAGCGTAATTAGACCGCAGGCAGCTAGTAATTATGGTCCATGCCGATGGCCTCCTCCGGCATAACCGCCACCGCTACCACTCTCGGCCTTGGGGTTCAAGATGCCGTCAAACACGGCCGGCCAGTCCACCGCCGTCACGTCCTTGATCAGCCGCAGGATGTCGGTCAGCCCGTCGCGCCGCATGACTCGCCAGTTATAGAAGGACCCAACCGACGCGATCCAGCTGGTCGGGCTGAGGGTGTCTTGATCAGCACATGTCTGTCGTCTGAAAATAAAAAGGAGAGGGAAAAAAAAAGGAAAAAAGGAAAAAAAAAAAAAGGAAAAAAAAAGGAAGAAAAAAAGAAAACTTAACTCGGCCACAAGGGGACGGGCAAGAAATCTGCAACAAGTCGAGAAATTCGTCTTCACACTCACATTGTACGACGCGTAGAGTGCGTCCTTGGCCTTTCCCTGCACCTAACTCAACGAGTTCTGCGACGACGACGACGACGCCGCCGCCGACAGTCCGCCCGTGATCCCGCCGATCCCGCCAGAATGCAGTAGGACGTCAGCACCAGACTGCCATGTCGGGCCAGGCCTGCAGATAGCCGACCGATCAGGAATTCACGCAGCAGCCTCGACGCTTCGCGACGAAAAGGCGTTGGTGGCCATAGACATTTGCAGCTCCTACTTGATCTCGCTGATGGTGACCGACGAGTCGTCCGTCACCTGAAACTGCGGGATGCAGAAGAGCAGCGGCGGCTCCGTCTTGCCGTCGGCGGCGGTACCCTCGCTCCCCCCGATAGGCTTCCCGTACGGGTCCGGATACGAGCGCTTCAGTTTGAAGGCTTGCAGAATAACATGTCAGTTTCCTAGTTAAATGGAAGAGTGGAAAGCGAAAGCAATGCCTTACCAGCCTCCCGCGCCGTCGTCAGCAGGCCCGTTGCCCCGAGGATGTGGAAGCCTTGCAGAAGCGAGTTGGTGACCATGACGATGTGCCACTGCGACTCGGTCATGGTTGCCACGTGGCTGTGCGGGCGCGTCAGCTTCGTGATCAACTACGTTTACACGATATTGGAGGCAGGCAGCCTGCCCCGCCCGACATTTACACATGGGCACATACGTCGAGACAGTCTCAGAGCCGGCGGCAACCATGCCCGTCGTATCAACGTGCTGAATAGTGGGCCGGGTACCGTCAGCCACCGTTCCGTCCCCGCCGGATGCACCACCACCCGTGGTGTCGTCCGAGCCGTCGCCGCCGGCACTAGGCGGCGAGGGCGGCGCTAAGACTGAGCCAGACTCTGGGGGCCTATGCTTGGACACGAAGCTGATCTTGACCATGGCGGGAACCTGGCCGTCACTAGCACGCATGGCCGCGGCATTCTAAGTAGCCATTGTCAGTTTCGTCTCAAGATGTAAATGGGGTTCGGGAGAGCCCTCATGGCGTCCAGTCAATTACCCACCTCTTTGGTCAGAGAGATGTAGTATCCAAGCGTGGTCGTGTCTGCGACCGTGTTCTAGTTGTCGACGCAAAACAGGAGCTTCTTGGGCCTTGAACACAGCACGAGACTCGGTATCATGACAACGGACTGGGAACTTGTTGATTTTACATACAGCTTTGCCTGCTGCCTACTCGAAGACAGAGGCTCATCATAGACCAGCTTTGTTTTGCTCGTGGCGTTTGAGGCGATGTCAGCCGAAGACAATGACGTTTTCTAAACACCGGGGCTCCTCCCGTCAAAGAGGACGTGGAACGGAGTGGTGTCAATGATCTGCCTCAAAGATTTTGCCTCCTTGGAGTCCGTCTTTTTATTGCCTGTACGTTTCAATGTCAAGCTTATATTAGCCATGGTGTCTAATTAAGCGGGGGTAGGTCAAGTAAGTACGAAAAAAACCGACCTGAGTCGTTTGAAGCCATGGCTGCTGTGGGTACACCGTAGTATACAACTGTTTCCAAAACAACTTGAGCGTGAGACATGCCACAGTTTGGTCTTGTTGGTGAGGCAGATGCGCGAAGAACCTACGGTAATTTATGCCCTTGGCCCGCTTGGTCTGTGACAGGGTCCGGGTCCTGCAGCAACCAAGTCGCCAAAAATGCCGTCGTAAGTCGTCTAATCCAAGACTACTGAACACTGAGCAGTCAAGTCAATAAAAAATCTTCTATATGCCGACGTAGCAATATTGAGGAGCTGCTACTTGAAAAGCTGTTACATGAGGGGGGCCGACTACCAGGCAGGTTTAACACAGCTACATGTTTTGGTAAGAGTCGATGATTCAATGCTGCAGTTTACCTCGGAGCATGAACAGGCGCATCAATGCTGAGGAGAAAGGAGCCAAACTGGGATTTCATCGAGGAGCAAGCCCATTTACCTTGCCAGGTACAACGTCACGTTTGAGGAGCAAATACATGAGGAGCAAGGCTTCGGAACCTCGGGAGATGGTGTCTGCCCAATGTTCACGAAATGAGGTGAACCATTTACCATCCATCGGGTTTTCATCAACCTGTCCGTTGTCACCATTTGGAATGACTTGACGGGGAAAATATCTTTGGTTCTTGAAAGGAGACGGAATACAAGGCGCCTCCACATCATTATAGATAATTATTTGCCCCCAAGGGCACAATATCCCGCCTAGCTGTCAATGCGTGATACAGCATACACTTATGCCTTTGGAAAACCAACCAGCATGGGGTATCTTGTTGTCTATTCGCTCAATACGATTTTCGCCTCATTTTTCTTTTCGCCTCATTTTTCTTCTCGCCTCACTTTTCTTCTCGTCTCATTTTTCTTTGCTTCCCCACGACCACGATCGCGAAATTTGGCGGTCTTTTAATCCTTGGCCCTGCTAGTTCGGTTTCCAAACGAATGAGAGTATGCGGTATTACCTGAGCCACATGGACAGTTCAGAGAGGCACAATACATGGCTGTCCGGTTGCGTTTTCCTTGGCACACCCAAAAATATTATCTCGATTCTCGGCTTCATCTCAGCTGCTCTTTTCTCCATACCCACTGTGCGGAAAGCAGTCATATGGAACGTAGCCGCCCAAGGTCGGCAGCTCGACACAGTTCTCGCAGGGAGCCCTCCACAGGGTATCGCCAAACGAGCTGCGCTCAAACTTTGTCTTCGCCGCCACATCCCCAACCACCAATGCCATGCCCCGAACTTTACCTTGAAACACGCGGGGTGTGCCGGACCTGCAGCAATTTGAAGGTTATTCAACTCTGATTCACAGTTGACAGGAGCAGCAGGAATCAGAGAGACAAGGAACTTACAACTTCTGGTTGCAAATATACGGGTACGTCTCGGCACAATGGCCGTAGCTCTGAATCTTAGCTCGCTTCGTGATGTCGGTATTGGCGTACGCCGTCTTGAGCTGATCGAAGCGGAACGTCTGGAGAGTGGTCTTGTTGGTGACGCGGATGGTGGCGCCGAACATGAGCGCCACGGTCCCGCCGTTGGACGGGGGCACACCGGCGACCACGCACGCCATGTACGGAGGCTTCTGCATGCCGCTGATGTCCTTGTCGACGAGGAGCGACATGAACTTGCAGTAGATGGCTAGAAGCGGCAGATACGTGTCTTCGGGCGTCGCGCTAGACGGGAGCGGGCAGGCTGAGAAGACGTACCCGAGCGCGGCGTCAACGTCGCGCATGTTTAGTGTTGCGCCGCAGTAGCTGACCGACACGGCGGTGTCGACGGACGCCTTTAGGCCACTGTAACGAATTCTGTTAGCAGCGTTGAGTGCCGGTGGAAAAGCAGAGCCAAGTAGGTAGGTATCTACTTATGAGCGTAGAGGGTCGCCTACTTACTCTTTGAAGAAGCTGTTCCACACAGACGTGACGCCTTTCTGGTGCTTTTCACCTGTGATGCCGTAGTCTCCTGGCTTTGCTGCAAGCTCCTTCAGAAAGGCCGTGGCCTGGGTTGTGGTAAGCTCATTCATCCTATGTCAATCAAAAGACTGAAGGCGCTTGAAACACATACAGAGTCCTTGGTATAGGATGTGAAGACGTCCTTGCCCTTCAGCTTGGAGTTGAAGGTTTTGAAGTTGTCCCAGCTCATGGTCAAAGCTTTGGTCTTGATGTCTCGTAGGCTTGGGCTAACGTGGGAGGCTTGACGTGGTAAGGATTTGGATTGTGGCCCCTACGTAAGCAAAAGAAAATAAGAATCAATAGTGGGAGCAGGTCTGTCTCTTATGCCCTGTTCTGATGTTGTCGGGGCCGTGTGTTATTCTGTAACGTGGGGTGGGCTTTTGGGGTACCTTGGCCTCGTGCGGTTGTGACAGGAGGAGTGTGCAGTGTGCGGTGCTTACAAACGGGTATCTCTAAGGCCAAGTGAGGCCCAGTGAGCCCCATCGAGGAGCAACGCTGCATATTATTATCGACATGCCATCCACATGCCATCGACATGCCATCGAAATGATTCGATTTTTAGTCCTCGTCGATTATGCCTCACCTCTCGCAAACGCGATCTAATATATTAGAGCTGCAATGTAACCTCGCCCACTCTCGTCCTCTTCCACCTCTCTTCCACTCCTGAATTACAAATCCACAACGATATGATAGGGGCCCATCAGCCGTCAATAGATGCACCAATGCTCCTAGCTTAAAACTCCAGCAGCACTTTTTTGTATTCACCCCAAAGTTTCCATAGCCACAACCGCGCATCATCATTACCACCATGGCTTCCACGCATGATGTGAGTCCTCCCTTGTCCTATCTCACGTCCCAACGCCACCAACCCTGACTAATAAATAGCACGGCTAGCTAGCCGACCAGCCCAACCCTCAGCACGGCCAGAAATCCGACGAGTTCGACGCGAACTCGTATGTCGAGCTGCGGACTCACCAGGTGCCGCACGGCTGGTCCAACCACCCGGACCGCCTCGGGGCCAACACACACTTCCACATCGACAACGGCGAGGTCAAGGCGGCGCTGCAGGCAGATTTCGGCCTGCCCGTGGCCAGGCCGGTCCTGACCGACGGCAAGGCGCTGTACCTGCTCGAGGGCGGCGACGGCCGGTACTACCTATGGAGCGGCATCTCGGACGAGGTCGCCCGCCTCGACGAGACGTCGCTGGACAAGATCCTGGACGTGCTCAGCAAGGGGCCGGCGCAGAATCTGGGCCGGAGTGTGGTTGCGCGCGTCGGCGAGGGGATGGCGGAGGTAGTTTAATTGAGATGCAGAGATAATGCAATGCAGAGATAATGCGATGCAGAGATAATGAGATGCAGAGATAATGGGATGCATAGATAATGAGATGCAGAGATAATAAGATGCTCAGATGCTCGGATTTTTTCATGTCCACTGTAGTGCATCACGTAAACCGGTCATGAAGCATTACTGACTGCCATAGATGGCCACTAGAGAGGTCAAGGGGGGGTATTGGGCAAATGTGTCGTGGGGCTCACAACAAGAGCTTTGATCTACGCACCCTACTAAAAAATCACCGCACCCTAGGGGGGGTAGTTGGCAGCTGCTGGCAACTGAGATACTCAGAGCCTAATTTAGGCCGGTAAAATCCTGAAATACGATCCAACCGCCCATGCGCCTGCCATGCAGCCCGACGGCCCGGGTCAACGGCGTTGAGGCCGTCAAAACCTTCAAAAGCCCCCAAAACGCGTTTGCAGTGGTGTTTTCCATTTTGACGATTTCTTCGTTACTGAGTCAGCCCCAGAATAAAGGCAACTTGCAAATGGCAACTCTGAGGCCCGGATTTGTACGTAAAATAGCCAAAAATTATGGTAGTCACCCAACTATCTGGATATCTGTTGACATAGTGGATTTGTTGATATGGTGATGCAATTCCTTGGTGTTGAGTCTATCAATCTAGCAACCTAGTAAACATAGTCCGGGTCATCGTCGTCATCGCCCTCTTCTTCGTCCCTTTTCTTACGAGGAAAAGGGTCATCTTCATCCCCGGAATCGAAGTCCTCATTCTCTTCTTTAGTATGAGCTGTATTCTCCCAAGCTTTCTCCCAAGCTTGACGGCGTTGAACCCTGCGGGCCCGCCACTCCGCTACATCCATAATGTGAGGATCAGGGCCCGGGGTCTTGGCCTGGCTCCTCGATGTATGTTGTTGACATTGTTAAGACTGTCTGTCAGGTCGGCGTTGTTCATTTTGACCATGTGTAGCGTGCAGGTTTGCAGTAAAAATGCTCACAAAGGACTGGAAAGGCCAGTTGGCCTTTCCAAGACTTGAAACACCAGCCGCGCGGCACAACGGTATGCATGTGATGTGTGAATAGTGGCATTTTAACTTTACCGGGCTTCAGTAAGCTTCCTTAGTGCCCGGTAAGCCGTTAGATAGCTGCCAGGAAATACGGCATTTTACCATACAAAAAGCGGTCCCTGCATTGGCAATTGCCAGGGACCCCACCTAGGGTGCGGTGATTTTTTGGTAGGGTGCGTAGATCAAAGCTCCACAACAATGAGCTCTCCCCGCTGCGCAAGGGTTCTCCAGCCTCTAGCAGATGCCCTCGCGAGGACGCGATTGCGGCTGCCCGGGGCTGTCTTTGTCGAGCTGGTTTCGAATTGCAAAACTCTTTGATGGTTGAAGGGGAGGCCGAGACACCGAATCACCCAGACCGGGCCCAGGCTGCGAGGGTGTCCCATAGATAAGTGCAGGAACCTGAGATTAGTTTTACTCCAAGGAACACATTTTTACCAAAGTATGGGTGTGAGGGTTCGCGGCATAAGGTGCAGGTCCGCTTGCGTCTGCATGGTAGGGTCGGCTGCGGTCCGGTGGCCCTAGGCGGGAAGGTACACGAGCATGGAAGTTGACGCGAGGAAGCTGTGTCTGCATCTCTCCCGTGACAACGGAAGATAATTAGATCGAGGATGGGGCAAGCGAGTGTCCAGATCTACGCGTACGGACGGTTTCATTCAATGGGCTCAATTCTTGTGGCCTAACAATTCTTGTGGCCTAACAATTCTTCTGACCTAACAATTCTTCTGGCCTAACATCAAAACTGCCGTAATCATTGTTCTCAGGGCTACTGTGTTCTGTAGCTGAGCCATCCAGCCACTCGACGACAGATTTCCCCGGCAGAGGACCATTGAAATATATATCTGAGGTATCACCAAGAAAGCCTGCGTAAATGCCTACGATAAATACGTTACATGCAGGAGAATTTAGCCTATGTGGCTGATACTGCCACTCTCAATCTGAAAATCCTAAGCCAAACCTAGCTGCACAGCCAGCCCACCTTGCTCCTAGTGTTTAGGTTTTGGACTTGAGCGGGGCAGCCCCATCGCTTCTGTTCCATACGCTTCTGTCCCGTCTTGGTCTCGCAGACTCGACCTTTCAACTTCCAACTGTCTTCATTCAGAGAACCCCGGCCTCGCTCTGCAGGGGCTAAAGCGCCATATATGCAATGGACCCATTTAGCATTGCTACTGTTGCTGTGCGACTCCTTCGCGCCTTCTATATCTCTCGTCACCTATTTGGCCCGTCATAACTAACATTTCCCCGCGGAAACGGCAGGCCGGGGCAACAAGCCAAGCCATCTCCATCTCGAAAGCTCTCTACGACGCCCACAGACGATACAAGAACGCACCCTTGGCTATAGTCACCATCGCCACCAAGTCCCAGCTGATTGCCGCCTCTCTAGAGAAACTGCAGTCTTTTCTGCTCCGTCGCGACGATCTTTCCGATGCCTCGGGCAATGCACCTCTCGACCTCGTATCTGTCCTCGACACCGCCCTGCAGGGCTGCGTCGTTGTTTTCAGCTGCTTGGAAGTCGACCTCATTCAAAAGCTGGCTCTAAAGGCCGAGTCCGGGAATGTATCGTGGACAGACAGGCTCGGCCTGGCGTGTGACAAAGAAAGGTTCAAGGAACTGCTCGATAACCTCCGCGACCTTCAATCAATTATCAATGGGGTACTCGGCATGTAGCAAATGTTGGTCGCGTTCTTTTCCATGACAGCTTCAGCTCGTCCAGGTTGGCCTGCAACTGACACCAGTCATCGGATTGACCAGAAACACATTGCTTGAGCTCAAACAGCTTCTTAACAAGGAACGTGCAAATAACGACAACAGGGCGTTGAGAACCGAATCACTGCGCGCGAAATATCCAAACATGCGGGCGCCACCATCCTTATTTGAGACTCTACCGCTGTCCACCGGCAGATCTTCAGGCTCCGGAAACACCGACATGTCATTCCAGTTTGACCACCAGATCATCAACACCGCAGTCTACCGCAGGTTTATTTCTCAAAGACGAGTCTCGAGGGCCAAGCCGGCAGCCCACAGTAGCCCGGGAGACTTGCCGCCAGCCGGACTCACGAGCAGGTCTGTTACAGACGACAGCGAGATGCAACAGATTCCAGGAAGCAACTATTGCCTAGGGGACCCGCCTCCTCTCGCCCTCTTTACCCGCCGGAAAGAACCGGCAGCCTCCGTCTCTAACGCGCTGCCCGGCCTCAAGGAACCGCAAGCAAACACCAAGCCAGAGCTAAGGCCTAGGTTGATAGCAGATCCACCGCTGCTGATCTATGATAATATGGGGTGGGGAAAGATTGTTCAGTTGAGATGATGATATTTTAAGGATAAAGAAGCGCCTCATGCACAAGACCAAGTATAAAATCCAGCTACCACGCAAAGGATAGAATGACGGCTGGAACAGAGCTAGGTTCCTGTTCTGTTCATCGGAAGAGGATAAGAGACTCGAGCGCTATCCAAACAGCCCTGGCGAGATGGTAGCAGAGACACGCCCACGGTCCACAGATGTCGCAAGACGTCACCTTTACCTAATCATTGGAGACAATAGGTCAAGTCAACACACCTCGGCGGAATTCGACAGTGTTAGCCCCTGACGGGAGAAGTAGGATGTCATCTCCGAGAACTAAGTAGGCCGCTCCTCTGCCCATCTGTACTATCTGCACTATTTGCGTGGTTTAAAGCGTCCGTAAAATCTAACCGAGAACGCAGATCGCCCTAGGCGACAGCTGGTAACCAACAACAAGGGGGAAGAGAGACCAAGACCAACAACAAGGGGGGAGAGAGACCAAGAGAGCCGCAGCTGAGAATATCCAAAATCCACGACCGATCAAAAGGACGACCGCAGTAAAGCTAGACCATACCGCCAACGGTGATACGTTCGAAGAAGAAAGCTTCCAGCCCGAGAAGGAGCACATATCGAATATAAAACACGGAGAAAGGTGCGCTGAGAAGACGAACTGCGATACCAAGATCCCGTTTCAAGACAGATCTGCTCTCTCTCTCCTGACATCGGCACAGCGACAAGGACCAGAGGGCCGTACAATGTTTGAGCTGAAAAAGACGAGGAAGACAGTGGAACCACTTCACCACACCCGGCGAGATACGAGCAAGCAAGCAACCAACCAACAAACCAGCAGCGCGGGCAGCTGGCTCGGAACTTCCAGAATCCAGAGTGACATCGGCAACGGGGCGGCCGCCGCCGCACAACCAGGGGACGGAGAAGACGGCAAGGCAAGGAAGGACGGATCTTCAAGGAGCCGCGTGGCCATCCGCGGAGGCCGAGGGACATAAGCATGCCGCTGGAGATCCGAGGCCGAGGCTCCGGCGCTGGAGCCAAGTGACCGACCGGGATGGGAATAGACATGGATACTCAGTCTCGACCAATCACGTGCGGCTAATAAGTGCCGGTAGGGGTTCGGTGTTGATTGGGATGCTCAGAGGATTTCTCACGGCGTATTGGTCGTTGCGTTGGTGTTTACGTTGGTGTTTGAAACGCCGGCTGCACCGCAGGTCGACCACAGTTTAGAGCCCGCAACACTCACCCGGTCTCCCACTCAGCTATTGTGTAAGTTCCGGTCCTGTAAGTCAACTTCGATAGGCCGAAATCGAAGCTCTAGATTCGAATAGGGTTGGCTGGTTTAGCATTCGTGTCTGCTTTTCACGTTTTAAAGCCGAATCACGTCAAGCAGGTCCAGAGAAGCTGGGGATCATCCCCGCTAGAAACCGGGAACAAACTAGAAAGTGTCTTTGGCCCCAACAGCTCTTCTGTTGAAGATCGGCATCCTGAGTTCTATAAGGATGTCGTCCAGGTTTACGTGCCGAGGTAGTCGCTTAATTAGGAACAAAAATGACCAAATAGAATACACGAGCAGCTTGGTGTGGGTGTTCTTTAGTGCATTTGTCATAATAAAGGACTTCGATACCTCTATTTACTTGTCTTTTCATCACTAATTCACGACTTTGTCAGCAAGAATAGGATAATCCGAGGCCACGCGAACATTCAACAAATGGATCACGGCTTTCTCGTGGAAAGAAAACGGCCTGACTTCTCGCCGCAAGCCCAATGCTAAAAAATCCGGAAAAAAGTTCCCAACTCGGGGTCTGGACCAGCTGATTGGGTAGAAGAAGGGCCCCAAAGTGGTGCCAAAGTTACCAGGATCGGGGTTTGGACGGGCTCATTGGTCCGACAGAGCCTGGGTGGGGCGTGGGCAATGCAATTGGGTCTGTTTTGGGACAGCGTGCTAAAATCCTTTCTTTGGGAAGGTGGGATCGTTTCTTAGGTTGCCGGGCGCGGCGTCGGGGGGATTTGGGCATTTGGGGCAGCCGCCTGATTTGACCCGCCCTGGCGCATCACGCCGAGACGGCGGAGGCACCCCCCTCCAAAATAACCCTGGGCAATAACCCCAAAAACACCCCCAAAGCCCTGGCCAGCGTCGCAGTCGCTGCGTGGAGGGCTGAACAGATAGAGGGACGGCGCGAAGTTGGAGGGCAGATTAGGACCACACGCGGATCAGTTGAGGAACCCACCGACGAACGACGTGCCGTTTTCAGTCACTCTGGAAAAGAAAATAGACGTTTCCTTTGCTCTGCATCTCCTCGATTTTTCTCGATAGATCCCTCAAATTGTCCCGCGTCCGTGTCGGTTGGCTCCCTATCCCAGTGTTTTAAAGTTTTTAGTCTTCCCGCGCCGTTCAAATCTCACAGTGGAGGCACAACAATACAAAACGTCACTCCGCGCCGGGAGCTAATTGCACCCGCCGATGCGGGGAGGGAACTTTATGGCCCGTCCTGATTGGCCGGCTCGGCTGGCGTTGCACGACCATTGCCTAGAATTTGCCCGACCCCGACTTGGCTGGTGCTAGCTGCGCGTGCACACTGCAGACCACGCGTAGTCTAGAACGAGGCAGGCGCCAGGGCTGCTTATCGAAAGATTTTTTATTATTTTTTTTTATTTTTTTTTTTGGTATTTTGCCGGCTTTCGTCGGGTTTTGAGTCTGCAGTGCTTGCATCTCGCGTGAGATGGCTTTTCCTCAGCTAATGCTGCAAAAATGGCTGGCAGGAGGTCTCAATTGCTCACCTTTGGCGGGGTCCTCGCGATTTTCTCCCCATTTTGGCCAGCGAGAATTGGCGGACTTCCCTCCCGCGTCAGCGGCTCCAGGCTCTTATCCCATTTGACTTGTGAGCTCCCGCTGCAGCAGCACAGTATGTCACTGTGTCACAGGGTACGACGACTACATGCATTCATTACACGTCACGAACCACCCACAGGCTGGTGAAAGTGGAAATAAAGTGAAAGGATTCGCCGCGTTTTGCCAATTAAAAATGGATCACTGGGCCCTGACTGGGCCCCTTCCTTGGTTGCTTGGGATAGAGCGAAAACCGCGGGCCGCGGGTTCCGCTTTCTGCAGCACTTTTTGTTCGCTGTTGATTGGTGTTGATTGGGGTCGACTGCCGTTTTGTTCGCCCGTCGACCCAACCGGGACGGGGTTGGCCCGAGCACCGCAATCCTTCCCACGCCCCCTGGCCGCCTTTGCAATGGCACCCTGCTGCCGTGGCTCACTTCGGGCTGGCTGCCACCCCCGGCCGTCTTTAAATAAGACGCGCAGCACGCGCTCCTCCCGACCATGTTTCCGTTTTGACGACCACCGCCCTCGCCTCACCTCACCTCACAGGCCCACTCCCGAGTCTCGACAGTCTCGACAGCCTCGACAGCCAGCCAGGATCCCAGCAAGAGAGTCACAATGGCGGCCGACAGCGAGACGGCAAGCAAGAAGGACCTGGGCGCCGAAACCACAGCCAACAACTCGGATTTCGAAACCGGAGACTCCAAGCCCATCCAAGATGAGAAGCTCACGGGAGCGGCCGGCGCAGAGACCGACCCCGTCGCCGACGAGAAGGCCGCCGCCGCCGCCGATGCAGCTGCAGCCGCAGCCTCGGACGAATACCCCCATGGTTTCAGGCTGGTGGTGCTTGTTGCCGCCGTCATGATCACCGTCTTTTTGACCTCTCTCGACCAGGTAAGCACCGACTGCTAAGCCATGTTAACTGGTAGGGTGGGAGACGAGGTAGACACTGACACACCCCCAGACCATCGTCGGCACCGCAATCCCTAAGATCACGGACGAGTTCCACGGCCTCAGCCAGGTGTCGTGGTACGGCTCGGCCTACTTCATGTGCCTGGGCGGCTTCCAGCCCGCTTGGGGCAAGGCCTTCAAGATGTTCCCGCTCAAGACCACCTTCATCATATCCATCTGCATCTTCGAGCTGGGCAGCCTGATCTGCGGCGTGGCCCCGACGTCCGAGGCCTTCATCGTCGGGCGGGCCATCGCCGGCGTCGGCGGCGCCGGCACCGCCATCGGCGGCACCGTCATCTCGGCCTTTTGCGCGCCTCCGGAAAAGCGCCCCACCCTGATGGGCTTCATCGGCTTCGCCTACACCATCGCGGCCATCTTCGGGCCGCTGCTCGGCGGCGCCTTCGCCGACCGCGTCACCTGGCGCTGGTGCTTCTACATCAACCTGCCCATCGGCGGCGTCGCGCTCGCGCTCATCATCGTCTTCTTCCAGACACCCGAGATCGCGAAGGTCGACCACGGCATCCACGGCTGGAGGCAGAAGTTCCTGCACATGGACCCGCTCGGCATCGCGCTGGCCATGGGCGGCATTATCAGCTTCATCCTCGCGCTGCAGTACGGCGGCGTCGAGCACGCCTGGGGCAGCAGCACCGTCGTCGGCCTGCTCGTCGGGTCCATCGTCATCCTGGCCGTCCTCTTCGCCTGGGAGCTGACGCTGGCCGGCGACTACGCCATGCTGCCGTGGCAAGTGCTCGGGCGGCGCGCCATCTGGGCCCCGTCCGCCTTCCAGGCCTTCTTCGCCGGCTGCTACTTCTTGCTGCTGTACTACCTGCCCATCTACTTCCAGAGCATCAAGGGCGTCGACGCCGTGCAGTCGGGCGTCGACAACCTGGCGCTCGTCATCGCCGGCTGCCTGGCCATTGTCGCCGGCGGCATCGCTGTCACTACCAGCCGCCACGCCACGCCGTTCATGATCGTCGGCGCCGCCGTCACGGCCGTCGGCTGCGGCCTGCTGTACACGCTCGACGTCGACACGAGCGCCGGCAAGTGGATCGGCTTCCAGATCCTGCTGGGTGTCTCGGTGGCGTTCCCCTTCCAGAACGCCCTCAACATCATGCAGGCCCACACCAACCCCGACGACATGTCCGTCGCCACCTCCATCCTGTACTGTACGTGTCCCCCCTCTTCCTACTTCTCATTTATGACCCCGACTAACTCCTCGACTCTAGTCTTCCAAATCCTCGGCGGCGCCTTCAGCGTGTCGGCGGCGCAGTCAGCGTTCGTCAACCGGCTGATCGCGACGCTGGCCGAGACGGCGCCCAACGTGCCCCCGCTGCTGGTCGTGGCGACGGGCGCGTCGCAGCTGCGCGGCGTGTTCACGGGCGACAACCTGACCGGCGTCGTGCTCGCCTACATGCACGGCATCCGCGCCGCCTTCGCCGTCGCCATCGGCATGGCCGGCTTCGCCTTTCTCCTCGCCTTCCTCCTGCCCTTCAAGCGCCTGCCCAAGGGCAGCCCCGGCGACGCCGTCGTGATGGCGTGATTTATTTTTTCCCTGCTGGTTTGGGTCGTGTGTTTATGCATAGCGGAATCCCCGCGGGTTGTATGTTTTGTGGGGGGATATACCTTTGAAGAAGAAAAAACAGGATACTATACCATACAATAATAATACGTGAGAGGTGAGGGGGGGGGGAGGGCGGCTTAGAGGGCTTGCTCGGTCGGTGTACACTCGGTCTGGGCCTTGGATATGAACATATACATAATTAGACAGGAATGTCGGCGAATATATCTCTTCTCATTTGTTGCTAGCTTATTTCGGCTGCAACTCTCTATTGCAACACCGGATTGCAGGCTCAACTTCTCGAGCGGTCCTTTCAAAGTGAAGCCGGTCTTTGTTCCACTCCAGCTTGTTCTGTAGGAGACTTGTCCCAGGTCCTCGGTCTTTGTAGTTACCTACATATCTTTGAACAACACCACACAGTCTCTCACCGGCTGGAGGACCGGCCGGGAGTCTCCATCCTGTCAGCCGTAGCCTCAATCCGGAGCTGTTCCACTCGGGGAGAAGTGAACACTGCATATAGGCCCGTTTTGGGCCCGTTTTTCCTTCTGGCTGCTCTACTACTGGTCGTTTGTTCTATTGTGCCGGATTTTGCGCCCCAGTCAGTAGCATTCAAGAATTTAGAAAGCTAGGTACAGAGGGATATCGACAACCTCTAGTTAATTTCAAGCCTCCATTGATGTGCTGGGCACCCGAGAGCGCCTGAGGAATTACCATCTATGGATCCATTGCTTCGCCCCTCAATCTTCTTTTAGCCAAAACTTTTCTTCTCTTTCTAGAGCTCTATCTGTTGGGCCATGTGCCCCATTACATGCGGATCAAAGGGACAAGATTCACCATTCATTGAAAAACTTGATCAAAATGAATAATTATACCAATCTGTATTAACTAATGGCACAAAATAAGATACAAATACGAATACAATACATCCGCCAATTATAGCCCCTCTAAACTAAACTTGCTCTTCGACGAACCCCATTTGTTCAAACACCACTAGCCCATGGGCGCTACCTACGGGCAGGAAGGGGTGCAGGTTTGAGTTCAACCGCCTGACGACAGGAGGGAACTCCCGACCACTCAACGCCGTTGCCCCGTCTGCCTGTTGACGTATCGGTTCATGTTCTGCGCTTTGCTGATGTTGGCCACGGCCACCGGCCTGCTTGCCTGCTTACCTGCTTGCCTGCTTGCCTGCTTGCATGATCTCGACAATTTGCTGATGCTGTTCCTTGGTCAGAGGACCTTGAACTTGCATCACCGCCTCAAACAGATCCTCGCGGATCTCCTCCCGCGGGCGATATGCCCAAAGACAGTTCAGGCAGTTGACCTCTCCCCGCAGGCAGGTAGAGAACACTGCATGATCTCCACGATTTGTTGATGCTGTTCTTTGGTCAAAGGACCTTGGACCTGCACTGCGGTGGGAGGAGATCGTCGCGGACCTCCTCCCACTTAGCCATCGTGAGATTGAGATACAATGAGCAGGCGATATGCCCGTTTTTAGGCTCAGACGGTTGAACTCTCCCTACAGGCAGGTAGCGAACACCGACAATCTCCACAATTTGCTGATGTTTTTCTTTGGTCAACGGACCTTGAACTTGTATTGCGGTGGGAGGAGATCCGAGAGGAGATGGATCTCCTCCCACTTGACCATCGTGAGATTGAGGGGCCAGGCGGCTAAACTCAACCTGTAGCCAGGCAGGAAACATGCGGCGGGCGCTCGGGTGACGTGTTGTTGTCTATCTATTGACGTATCGGTTTATGCTCTGGTATTGCGCACCGCCGTCACCGCTGCGTATACCTTCATAGTCCCTTATGAGCTTGTGGTGCTTGCACGAACCAGTGTCTGGCCCCAGGCGGGCGGTCGTGCTCCTGCTGCCGGTCCTGGTCGCAGCCAGCGGGTCGAGAAAGCCGCATGGGTCCGGCTGGGCGTGATAGGGGTACGTGCGACGGCCTTGCCCTTTCCCCTTTTCTTGACGGGTGTTGCCTTGGCGGCGGCCTTGGCCTTTCCCTTGCCCTTCGTTGGCGGCCGTGTGCTTAAAGAATCCCTTCTTTGGCGTAGCCTTGGCTTTGCACTTGCCTTTCTTTCCTGCGGCGCCGTCGGTAGAGTCGTCGCCGTCACCACCATCGTCGTCATTGCCGTCGTCACCTTTGTTGTTCGGGTGGACCAGGTGGTCCAGACAATAATAGTGGCGGTTTTCCCAGACTTCTCCCGGCTGGCCCTTGGGCCGAACGTCGAAGGCTCTCTTGACCTTGCTAATAGTTGCGCGTGCTTCGTCGCTGCGCAAGATCTTTGCGGCGCCCCCGGATGGCCAGTCACGGGTGCCTAAGAGGAGGCGCCAAATGCCCTCTTTTTTCTTTCTTTCTTTTTTTTAAACCCAGCAGCGCCAGCCGTCGTTCTACCTTCGTAGGCAGCTTGTCTCCGCTAAAAAGAAGCTCATTACCACCATCAGGTGGTTGTTCGCCCCGTGGGATCTGACTTTGGTGAAGGGCCTTGGCTGGCTGGCGCTTTACATCTTAGGTCGAGGCGACGTCGCCGGTGATTATGCTATGGCTGTCTAAGGCAGGGACTGCTTCTTCTTTTTCTTGAGGATTCACAGACTAAGACAAGGTCGCGCTTGTTGGCTGGCCGTTGGCTGGCCGTTGGATCGATCTCTTCATTGCGACCACATGCTGGGAACAAGCAGTGCAAGGTGTTGAGCGCCGTGTTGCTCCCCTTGCGAAGTGATTAGATAAGTTCGCTTTGCTCATCATAGTGTATCCAAATTGCGTGGTTGACCAAGTCAATTCATACCTTGTGCCATGTCCTTCAGTGCCGTGGGGGTCCGGCTAAAATCACCGCCGGCGGCGAGGCTTGTAGAATCGACATAATGAATGGTCGTGAAAAGCGGTGGAAATGGCTGTCGATGCTTCCCTGCTGCAAATGAAGGCATGTTGTTGAGCTTGGTCTGGACTCTTGAAGTGAGGTTTTCTTTTGAACGACGAAGTGCCCGGGGTTGGTAGGCGGAAAGAGTCGAGCGGGAGAAAAATACGCAGAGGTGAAGAATGAGTTTGATATTCAAAGTGTGGGCCCAGCAAGGGTAGGAAAGTCGAATATTTTTCAGCAAGGTGTGTGTCAGGGTACAAACCCCCTGCCGCACAGGCAAACAACGGGACCGTTTCTTTCCAGTGGCACCCTTATTTCTGAAGGAGGTACCTCAAGCACTTGCTTACCTTGCCTAGAAGTACCTACTTCAATTTTGCTATGGGCTAGCGGCTAGAACACTGCAGCAGGGTCCAGAACGGCAGGGATATCTCCTTCCTTTTGAATGCCATTGCCCAACGTCCAGGCAGAACTGGATATATAGATAACTCCCAGCGGATGTGGGGCTGGATTTGGAGATTATTACAAAACAAGCAGTGCAGAAGTCGAGTATCCCTAGCACAGTATTACACAAATTTAGTAGGGGAGTTGGGTTTACCGATGAACTCCTGCGAAGACAGCTTTCAGACTCCCAGGACTCGTGGTTGCCGTACACGGTTATCTAGATAAGGGCACGGTCGATAGTCACCCAGGTATGAAGGCGGTGAGCTTAGCCCAGCTCGATCGCGTGAAGTTGACGGGGGCGTCGTCTAAACTACCTTATTCAAGACGCGTCGTGGTCCGAAGCCAGCATTCGTTATCTCACATATAGCTTGTAATTTTCCTGCCCTTTGCCGCCTTCCACTTCAACTTTGATATACGTGCCTATCCGTCTGCCCCAGGAACGCCCCATGTCTTATCGTATCCTTACCTGGGACTTATCGGCGTTATCCTCTCGGTTTTGCTGTAGGCGCCCTCTCCCTTCCCCACTTTTCCCGGTACTTATCCTTCCCCACGATTCCTTGTTCATCCCTCGCCTTCTTTCTTCAATCACATCCTCTCACTCTTTCTTCAATCACATTCTCTCACTCTTTCTTCAATCACATTCTCTCACTCTTTCTTCAATCACATCCTCTCACTCTCATCGCGGGTGCCCTTCCATCCCGCAGACCCTCACGCTCGTCTTCGCGCTTCATTATGTTGTACGTGCCCTGCACTTGATTCACATTTGCCCAAGTCTATGTCCTCTACCTCGTGCTCGCCCTCTCTTCGCACTTTAACTTTGAGTCTTGGCGCCTCCAAGCTAACATGACATGTAGACAGACACGACAAATGATAGCCCCCAAGGCCATGGAACCCAAATTCGTGTGGGCCGCGGAAGGCGGCGATCTACGACTCAATATCGGCGAGCAAGAGAAGCCATTCCTTGTAAATGCGCGGGTCATGGCCTCGAACTCGAAATTCTTGAAGTACAAGATTTTCAACCACTGGGCTAGAAACTGCAACAAGAATGAAGAGGGGCTATGGGTAAGAATCACGAATACAACCAAACCACGATCATCGACTCAGTAGAGTCTAGCTCAATATCTAGATCTACCAACCAATACTGACCAGCTCATCCAGGAAGTGTCTCTGCCCGACGATGTCCCTGCCGTCTGGGAGTTTCTCGCTCCGCTCATGCATGACGACAAGCTCACAATGGCCATCAACCACGAGTTCTCGGCCGGCACGCTCCTCCACCTTTGCTACGCTGTCAACCGCTACAAGCTCAAAGAAGTCGAGGCCGTGCGCACCTGGCTCGCCATGCAGCCGAAGAAGAAGGCCTGCGGCAACTTCCCCCCCGCGGGCTGGGACGGCCTCGCCATCGAGCAGCAGATTCTCGCCGCCTGGGTCTTTGGCTGGGACATAGTGCGCCACCAGGCCGAGTGGACCATCGCCCACACGTGCACGATCGACGAGCGCGGCGTCCCCATCAGCCCGACTACGGGCAAGCCGCTGGACTCGGAGCACTTTTACCCGCGCTTCGATACGCTCACTAGCACCGTCGGTATGTTTACCCCTTTTCCCTCTTCTTTTCATCTTTCCAAACACGCCTCAACCAAACCCTCCCTCCGTGACAACCAACAAGCTAACCCCAACATCAACAACAGCACGAATCCAGTCCCTCCGCCAGCGCATGTTCGCCGCGTACTACCGACAAGTGTTCGCCAAGATGGAGGCGACGCACCAGCGGCCGCACGAGCTGGAGCCGGCGTGCTGGTACGGCAGCTACATGCAGCCGACGCGGTGCTCGAAGCGGCTGGTGCGGTTCGTCATGGGGCAGGCGCGCTCCCACGGCGTGTACCCGCGCGACGGCACCGCCCTCTCCCCGGCGGCACCGCCGCACCAGCGCCCCGCCCTGACCGTCGCCGCGTACGAGGCCGCCATGAATCGCTGGGTCGGCGCTCTGTGCGGCGGCCTGTACGTTGCGGAGAATGACTACAACTACAACACCCTCTGCGACTGCACATGGTCGTCCGAAGTCTACCCCAACGCCGTTGCCACGCGCGTCCGCAATGTCGCCAAGCAGATCCAGACGCTGAAGGATCGTCCTCTTGCGCTTTGAGCTTGTGCTTTTGTCTTTGTTTTAGTTCACCTAGGTAGTACCAGAGAGTGATTGACTAGTGCCAGAGAGTGATTGACTAGTGCCAGAGAGTGATTGACTAGTGTCAGAGAGTAATTTACTAGTGCCAGAGAGTAATTAACAAAACACCAACTAAGTTCTATTTACGGTATAATCCAATCACCGAATGTTGTTTGTTAGTAGGTGACTTTCGAAGATCTGAAGGGCCCAGCACTTCTCGGCTCGACCTTGATGTTTTTCACTTGAATGTAAAAACTATTAGAGCGCCTATTCTAGAATCCTCGAGGCCTCTCTCTTTTACAAATGTACCTATCAAAGGCCGTTTAAACCGGGTAGTTTACAACAATCTTCTCCTTGTCCCCAGGTACCAGGCCAAGAAACATTTAAAGATTGGAGGTTATTCTAGCTAGTGCCGTATATACTGAAGTTATCTTCGCCATCATTGCAGCAGTTGGGAAGTATTTCGTAATTTTCTGATTAAATCAGTGGAAGCTCAGTCTTCCACAAAACAACTAGAACAAACACTAGGCGAGATACAAATCTGGAAAGAAGAGCCACGACCCCCACTAGATTAGGGAATGCAGGCCAGCCACCTTACATAAAGAGGTTGGCAAAGGGGGAAAAATGGAACACTACATTAGAATACCAGGTTAGGACAATGTCATCCTTCCCTGGGCCCCTTATTCCCTCGTGACTATCGACTTCTAAGTTTCCAACCTGTCGAACTTCTTTAGCCGAGACTAGATCACGCCGGAATCTTCCACATCCGGCCCTTCCCTGATAGGAAGGATGTTTAAGCCTGTATCGGTTGCGATGGGCACCTGCAAGGCGGAGTGGTTTAGTATGACACCCCTCTTCCCCTGAGTTACACATCACATCTTCAGTACTACCTCGCTTGATCCGATATTTTCTTTTTACAACGCTCACTTGTTCTTTGTATTACAGATGCCGAAGACATATGTGTTTCTACAGTATTGGAAAGGAGGCATTCTCCTAATAGAATAATACACTACAAATGTAATGGAAGATTTATAACCTGAGGCACTATAAGTGAGGTTCCTAGAATGGTACGTACGTCTTAACCCCCAGTCGAAAGAGAATACTCATAAACAAGCCTACTTCTAAAGTCAAGCATCCAAGATCTAACACGTAATTGTTCGTTATTAATGAATCGCCGCTCTAGAGCTCTAGGTTTAACTTGAGTGTTACTATGCCCGATACCACCACGGGGTCATGGAGAAAAATTAACTAGGTAGAGAACGAGACAAGAACAGTCAGTCCTCGAACAAGATGGTATTAATTATAGTAAGCAAGGCTAGAGCAGTATATGCTGTGGGGGTTGCGACCATGTAGCTGCTGTTGCCCAGATAACTAGGCAATAAGTATCTGTTTTGCGCCTGCTGGTGTAATTAACGGCTCACCGTTACAGGCTATGAGCTCCTTTTGCTTCCACAGCTGAAGCTATTCGCATCATTTGTACATCATTTTGGTCACCTTCAATCGCGCAATCATTCTTTTCCTTTCGCGCATCGTTACCTTCGTCGATCAACTGCCTGTTCGCTACCGAGCGACACACCAACCCGTCAATCTAGCAACCGTCAAACCGCCCACCGATATGTTAGCCAACGCGAGAGAGCTAGTCTCGCGAATCCTGCAGTTGAAAGGCTCGGAGAACCTAGAAACTTGAACAACGCCACCGCTCCGACTTCCTTTACGAAGAACCCAGAGCAGGCTTTCAGACCATCCGGGATCGGGTTACAGTCAAGACTCCCGACAAGGTATAGGTCTGCATGACGAAGAGAAGGAGAAAGGCCGTCTTCGAGCAACTTTGTGCGGGCTCCAGCACCCTTCCCCGAGAGTCGGATTCCGTTGATGAGAGCGAGGTACTCTCCGTGCTCATTTGGGCTGGCCTTCGGCTCTTTTTCCAGCAAAACTGGCGACAGATTTTGCCAATGAATGCCGATGGGTGGCTTTAGCAGGTATTTTCTTTACCTGATATCGATAACCGGTTTTGTATGCAATTTCGAGTGCCCCAGCCAGTGAGACCCCCAATGGGCGGCAGTGCCCAAGGCGCGGGCGCGGAAGCCGACACAGCCCTCGTCGACTTCGCAAATGTCACCCATCCTGGTTTACAGGACCGCAGCGGCGTACAGGACTACCGAGCACGAGATCCCCGGGAATCACCATCACCCTGCTCAACCGCGGATCCTTCGTCGGACGAGGCAATCCGGAGGACGGACGAAACCATGAACCATCGCTGCCAGCGGGGTTGCCAGCGGGGTTGCCAGCGGGGTTGCCAGAAAAACTAGAAGAGAGATGACCATCACCGACATCACATTCTAAGCCTGCCGGCCACGTTGTCATAGCCTACGAGGAGAACTCCATCTGTCCCCGCTGTGGCATTCGTTCCTCGGCCGGGGTCTTATTATAATGCGGGTTCATGGCCGTTATGCGGAATCGCGTTAAATGGGCGATAAGTGAATTATGAGACGGGGGATCTGTATAGATCGTGGCGCCAGCAGCACAAGTCAACCGCAACAGCCAGTTCATAAATTGCATGTCAGCTTTAGATAGCCTCCGTTTTCTTACGTTTGTTCGATATTACGTGCAGGCTTGAACGCGCATCGCCAATGCCACTACGGAATCTGGGCCTCTTTCGTTTTGAACCTGGAGAAGACCAAGTCCGACACACCATGTCCCTGACCACAACCATGGCTCACGAGAGAGACAAGAGCGAGACTCACTGTACGGCCAGCGAAAACCGGCCAACCCATTTTAATGGGACTGTAGCGTCCTTGTGCCGCGGCTTTTATGCACTCCGTGCCTGATGGGCTTACATGCATACAATACTTGGCTCATGGGACTCGGAACATGGGAGTGATGTAATCCGCTGCAAGATTGCTTAGCTGTCAGCAAAAGTTTAATTTACATGTTCCCCCTTTTGCCTGGCTCTTCTACCTTCTCCCGTCTTGGTATGCAGCTCCTCCCACGGCTGCCTGTCCGCTACGAGAGCACTAAGGCCGTCTTTACCCTCGCGATCGATCGCCTATGTCTATATCTAGATACAATGCTGGGGTAGGCAAAACTAGCGTGTTCTTGTGATGTGTCGCGAGGGGCGGGACCTTGAACAAAGGAAAAGAAAGGGGAGGCGGAAGTGTAATAATGTGGACGGGGCCGAGGGAAAGGGGCGGAACAGAAGGAATAACTCCGAGATCAGGAAAACAAAGAAAATGCAGCATAAATAATTGCGCCTGTTCGCTTTTTGCCCATCCATATTCGCCATGCATCCCTCATGTTTCTAAGTCTCTCCCTCTCCCCCCCTCCTCCCCCGCCATGGAGGGGAGGGGGAGCTTACGGGAACTATCCCGCGCGTTCCCGCTCTTTTCTGATCCTTCCTTCCTTCCCCAGGCTTCTTGGCTGCAGAGTCAAGGTTCGAAACCCACTCGTGGCTTGTTTTCTCCATGCAGCCAAGCTGGAAGATGCATACGCCAAGTCCAAAAAAGCGCCGGCACACACACAAAGGCCGCGTGCGGGCGAAACGGGGGTGTGTGGGCACAGCAAAAAAGGTAGCGCTGCTTGTAATCTGCCTAAACTCAGAACAAACTCTCCCTAGTGTACTGTGTGTGCCCTCTCTCGGGTGGGAAATGCAGTGATGTGCTGGCAGGCAAGGACGTGAAGTCTTGGATCGTAGAGATCCCATCTCCGATTGACCGAGTAGCCCGTCTTGGCTCGACGCCCTGGTTTTGAATGAAACGTCGCGCGTGCGCAGCGTATAGTTGCTCGTATGGATGCTTTCGACAGATGGGCTATTGATTGCCGCCGCTGTGTGCCGCTCCGCTGTGGGTGTCGCTTAGGAAGGCCGCTCAAATCGATTCCGACGCGGGCGGTGCTGTTTCCAGGTTATTGTGATGGCGGCAGGAGAAAGCTGGGGAAATCTGATGTGATTGTGTGGGGAGCGGGCGTGCATGGCGGCTGGATGTTGGACGCCGAGTGTGTCTGTGTCTGTGTCACGACGGTGTGATGCTGCCTCGATGACGGCGGCTTTCTCCGAGATGTCGATGTGGTCACCAAGCCGTCGCCGGTCTTCCTTGGGGTATGGAGTCGGTGTTCGGTAGCGGACTGGGTGGTGGTCTGGGTCCGACTGCCTCCATCTTGATGGCGGAACGAGCCAGTTTGGCTGTCTCTCGAGAATCTTCTCGTCTAGCCCGCTGAACCTGGAGCCTGGCCGTGCATGCCTCGACGAGCATCTGGAGAGTGTCATGCCCATTGTGTGTTGTGTGCGAGTGTCCGACGTGAAGTTGAGGTAGCAAATGTGGCCGTTCAGGTAGTTAGATGTGGTGATGTGGTGATGCGGTGATGTAATGATGCGGTGATGTGGTGATGTGGTGATGCGGTGATGTGGTGATGCGGTGGTGTAATGATGTGGTGATGTTGTTGTGGTTTGGTCGAGAGATGTCCGAGTTGGGTGTAAAGAAATGATGCTGTTTGGTATTTCCTGTCAATCAAGCAGATAGTAATGGCTTATTCGAGTAAGATTGAGATGAAGAGGGAGAGAAGTTGTTCAGGGCTGACTATCTCGTGCAGGATCGGGAAAAAAGGCGTTCGGATATATATACGCAGCAGAGTTCAGGTAAGACAGCGTCGCACTAACTGGTCTCTCTCCTGTCCCGAGTGTCGCCTTGGCGGGAAACCCTCAAGGTTACAAGGTCGGTACCTCCTCTCAACCCCAGGGACGAAGCACCAGGTGGGGATGGGGAGGGCACTAGACTCTCCGCCTGCGGTGATGTAGGCCGCAGATCATATTGGCTTACTGGTTTACCCCAATTTGCGAGTCAAGGACAGGTGGACGCTGTTGCTGTAAGGGAATGGAGAATGCCTGCGCGCGTGCCTCAACCTGGAAATACTCGCACTAGGCCAGAGTCTGGGGCTCAGGGATCTCCCAGGCTCCGTGGCACACCCGGGCAACAGCGCCTGAATACTGCTATTTTGGCGCCACGACAGAACACTGGGGGCGGGATGATGGGACAAAAAAAAACTGAGGTGCCGTCGATGGGAAAGAGCATCCCTCCCACCAATGACCTCACTGGAAACTGGAACCTTAGCCCCCTCCCCACCTGCCTTAGCTATCTCCATGGACCTAATAACCTGGAAATGGAAGCTACCTAAGGTGCAGGACGAATATTTCTCGCCGAAATACGGGACAGACCCCCACAGCCTACCTGTTTGCTTGCTCCCCAGCGCAGCTGCTCCAACTTCATCTTCTGAATCAGACGAGGCCAAATTTGCCAAATTCTGAGACCCGATTTGCTTTCGGCTGGCCTAGAGCCAGGCTTGGCCATGTGCCAAGGCGTCGATCCTCTCGGCCCCAAGACGACGGCCCGATTCGGCAAGTGCGCCACGAATAAGGTACAGAACAGTACATTCAGGGACTAGCCCTTGCCTGATCTTCCAACCTTGCGCACAGGAAAGGACGGGCCAAGCGTTGAGCGCTCCCGTCCTTGCCTTGTCTGGCGTGGTGCGCGACAGAAAAAGTCAGAAGCCCTCTGAGCCTCTGGGCTTGCAGCCTCTGTGCAGCCTCTGGGCTTGCGAAACGCAGCATCCTCTAGACCCCGCCCGACCACCTTGTGTCTGCTCAGCATAGCAGCAGCAGCAGTGCTGGTCCAATGCCAATGCACCGAATACAGCGCCGTGGCCAAGACGCGACAGGGGGGCGGAGTGCAGCACGATCGCGGTGCTTCGTTGGAGAATCTGTCGCACTTTCCGCTCGTCGTCGCGCCGGAGTCACCAAACGGGGTCGGCCACAAAGCTTGGCTGTGCACCTCTTCGCTCGCTGCACACACCGACGCTGGCGTGGCACTCGTTTCTTGGCGAGATTCACAATGACAGAATTGCGACGCTCAACTCTCACCACTCTTCCTGCCAAGACGCAAAAACACGCACGACCAAATTATGGTTCGGATCAGTGCCTCACTCGGCCGCCAAGACTCTGTGCACATGCCCAAGGTACGGGCCCGCCGTACGGGGGTACGGGACATGGGACACGGGACACGGGACACGGGACACGGGACACGGGACACGGGATACGGGATACGGGATACGGATACGGGTACTCAACAAGTCGGCGAGGTCAGCCATCCTTGCCGTCTGTCCTCGGGCGAGCTGCCTTGCCTTCTTCTGGGTCAATTGGATGGCGCCGCAGAGCAATAGCCCCGTTCTCTCTACCGACTCGCCGAACGAGCCCACAGGCGGCAGCACGGGCAGCGGCCAGACGTCAGTATTAACAACGACGCCCGTTTCCAAGACATGGCTGTGGTACCGCATCACGGATGCCCATTTATCGACAACATGTTTCCCCGATAGGTCCGTCAAACGTTTCGGATCAGGAGCCCCTCGCAGCGCCCTGGTGGTTTCGTAATGACGGCCATTTCCTCTCCTCTCCGCCGGGCTGAGCCGGAACAGACTGCAGATTTGTCAGGGCGCACGATCGTGATGGCTGTTGCCAAGCCTTCCTGCTATCGAACTCACCGAGTGTTGCGGCAGTCCATTTCGCCAAGCCGTTACATTTGCTGATCAACTCTTGGCATCCCGGAGCAACCGCCACGACTGACGTGGATGTCTCAACTTTCCCTCTGCCACCAAAAGATAAGGCCCTGTCGCAGTGCCGCAGCAGTCGACCGCAGTCTGCCATCCTCCAACGGAAGGTGCTGGAGGATGGTCAGGCGAGCATTTACCACGACCCTTAACAATTTGGCCTAACCCCGCGGATTTTGTGACATGGGAGTCGTGTTCGACATAACACAGAACCTCGACGAGACCACAGCAATCAGCAGCAAGGGTTGAGAGCTGACCGGAGGAATGGAACATCTTGCTCGCCCCTGGCAGTGCGGAGGCGGGAGGAGGCAGAGATCCCGCCCGGATAACTGCCGCCACTTGTAGTCCCCATGGTGGCAGCTTTGCCGCCGCCCGCGAGTCCCGTGGATGTCGTTCAATACTCAATACCCAACCGTCTGTGGGGAGTTTTATTCAATCTCTGTGCGACGGTCATAGGCGCTGCTGACTACCCCAGTGGGAGCAAAAGCACGCCGTTCTTAGGGGGGGGGGGGGGGGGGCAGCGCTGATTGCGTCTCACAACTCAGAGTCTAGATGCAAACCGCGGTTTTTTTGCGGAGAGCAACGTCTCCCGCTGGATTGTACACAGCGTACCGCTCCATCTAGCACAGGTACTCGGTCGTCCCTTGCGCAAAGGTGGTTGAGTTTGGGCCAATCGATTGGCAGCCCCGTTGTGGAACCGAATCGAGGCGCCTTGCCACCGAAGAAAGGGTCTTGAGGGGAATATGCGATGTACAGCACGTGGAGTCGGACATGCCTAGGTCGAGTGTCTTGCTTGTCATACACTCGAGCAGTATTCACGTGATCCTAGTCGGGCTCAAAGAGAACTGGCTGGTCGAGTCTGTTTTGCCACGGCGGACCAACGACGATCACAGAGACGCGTCAATGACGATGGAGTGAACAACAAGCCACTCTTGATCGAAGAATGGGATAAGCGCTAATGGCGTCGGCCCGTTCAGACTCCAGAATAGGAAAGACCGATTTCGGCTCCTAAGAAAGCCTTGCCAGACGAGCTAGGCCTTCCGGGGAGAGCGTAAGCTCCTGTCTGAATCGACCTGTCTCAACAAATTGATCGTCAAAGTTTCCCCGAGTTGGTCGATACCATCGGGAAGTATTTCCCTTGGTTTTTTCACGCCCTCTAGCACACTTGGACGATGCTCGGCGTATTCCACCAATCCGCTGGTATTTCATTCGCATCGACTGCCCTCCATTGCACCCAGCAAGAGGCAGCCTTAAACTAGATCAGCGATGGATGCAGGTTCCTCAGCCTTTCCAAGCATTGAACGCAACAGCACTCATGATCCATGATGTGGCCACTCCTTTCCACATACGACCATAGGCACTGGAAAACTCGGGATCCCGTCCGCTCTCCCCTAGATAACCCAGCGACCGCCAGACTAGTAGTTGGGTGGGTGACCACCAGCGAATCCCTGGTGTTGTATGTTTTTTCTCTTTTGCCACTTTACTTTTGCAGCCAGGGACACAATTTGTATCAACGCTTCTAAAGATCAGATTCTCGCTCTGTATTGACAAATTATGGGGTAAGAATGCCGGCGCTTACCTCGGTATTGATTGCTAATAACCATCGCACTTCAGGCTGTTTAGGACTGGGTGATTTAGAGATCTGGCTGTCCTTCGGACTCTAGTTCTTAAATGGCGGAGGATTGCCCCCACATCTCTGCCAGCAGTTTGGGCCAAGAACGCACTGCATCCTGCTTGGCCCAGTGTTTCCCTTCCCAATTAGCACGATGACAGACGCCCAGGAACCAAGAGAATACGGCGTCTACGGACCGGGAACCTACGCAGATCAAACATTCACGACGGTGCCTGATGACACCGAACGCATCTTTCGGCTTCTCGCGTCTCAGACACCAGGCTTCACGCAGGACGAGGCGCTCTTGTCCAAAGTCCGGTTTGTGGGAGAGGAGTATCCCGTCCTCCCAGGCCCAATCAAAGCCGTGTCGGTTGCTGCAGCGGTGCATGCCATGGCTGGCGTCATCGCGGATGAAATACTTGCCATGCGAGGTCTGGAGAACAAGGCCCGCGAGGTAACGATCAGCACAACGCATGCAGCGTTTTGGCTAGGCACAGCGGCAGTTTTATATCTGGACGGACAGAGCTTGGCATCTCTTGGCCAGCAGAAGAAGCTCAAGTCGTTGCTGCCGGACTGGGAGCGAGGTTGGCACTCAACTCCTCTCAAGCTGCGCGCAACGGGCATCTACCCAACCCGCACGCCGGATGTCTGGTATTGCCTGCACGGGTCTATGAACGTGCCGCCAATGCTGCGGTCGCTCGGCATTGACCCGGGCGAGCCGGGCATCGACACCAACGACAAGGCGGCTGCGCACATTGCGGCCGTCGCGGCGCAGCACAGTGCCGAGGAGCTCGAAATGCGCAACTTGCTCGGCGGCTTTTGTGGAAGCATATGCTTCACGCCCCAGGGTTGGGCTGATAGCCCCATGGGCAAGGCGCTGGCTGCGCATCCTCTCGTCAATGTCAGGCCGCAGACGCACTCGCAACACACCGCCCCGGTTCCATTTCCCCCTCTTCCGCGGCCGACGGAAGGCGGTGATGGCATAGCGGAGGACAACCGACCACTGGCTGGGATCAAAGTGGTAGAGTTGACGCGGGTCATCGCAGGTCCACAGATTGGTGCCATGCTCGCGGCGTTTGGCGCCGACGTGATACGCGTTAGCGCCCCGCATCTACCAGACCTCAACACGCTGCAACTCACGCTCAACGCCGGCAAGCAGACTGTAGGGCTGGATCTGCGAGACGCCGGCGACCGGGCACGTCTGCAGACACTTGTCGAACAGGCCGACGTGTTCGTGCAGGGCTTCCGGCCGGGCCGACTCGCCGCGGCACCGTACAACCTCGGGATAGAGGACCTACTCGGCATGGCGGCACGCCGTGATCGCGGCATCGTCTATGTCAGCGAGAGCTGCTACGGGCCTGACGGCTACTACGCAGAGCGGCCCGGGTGGCAGCAGGTCGCAGACTGCGCTGCCGGCGCCGCCCACGTCACGGGCCGTGCGCTCGGCTTGTCCGGCAGCGAGTGCGTCCTGCCGCCGCTACCCATCAGCGACATGACAGCCGGCGCTGTCGGCGCGGTCGGCGCCATGCTGGCACTGCGGGACCGCGCGCGCCACGGCGGCAGCTACGCTGTGCACTCGGCGCTCGTTGCCGCGAACACGTATGCCCTGAGCCGAGAGGTCGGCCTGTACGCCCCGGAGACTGTCCGCGTGTGCCAGCAGCGCTTCCGGTGGCCGGAGATGCGCGCGCACCACCATGTCTTGGACCTCCTACAGATGGTATGGCACGGGTGGACGGCCACGGAGCCCCTGACGAGCTATCTTCGGGAGGACAGCGGGTGGTTCCAGACTTTTGATGAAAGCGCGTTCACGGCCGGGGACGGGAAGAGGCTGCGCCTGAGCATCCTGCGGCCTGTCGTCAGGTTTGTTGTGGACGGCGAGGAGGAGGCCGGCGTCGAGCCCCGCTGGTTGTCGCCGAGCGTGCTGCATGCGCACCAGAGCAAAGACCTAGTCGGGTTCAAGTAGGATTTCATTGCCCGAGACGACATGGGAAGATGCGTGCATCCATGCTTCGTGTCGCTTCTCAGAACTGAAAGAGTTTCAGTCCGAGTGTCCCGGCACTTTCAAGATTGTTAGGGCAACAATTTGCAGTGTTGGTCCAATATTCCCTCGCCATCCACAAGCAACTGAATTTTCCCTCGCCGTCCACAAGCAACTGAATTAAGAGTCTCATTCAAGTCCAAGTCCCTAGGTGAATACTTGTTTTCGCATTGCCGATTATGAGAACCTCTCAGGGCCAAGGGCCAACAACGGTTGTGGTACACGCCAAGAGGCAACGTCATGCGAAATCCTACGCGTAATCATTGGTTGGCGCCAACAGCCTGGGTCATCGGTAGCTGGCCGGGCGGCGGGATCGTCTTCTTTCCCGCTCCAATCCGCAAAATGCTTCGTCGTAGCCACACAAAGTCACGAAAAGGCTGCGCGCAATGGTAAGCAGCTGCCGCTGGAAGCTCTCCGGCTTACCTGATCGAGGTTTGGCGATTACTGACTCGCCGCAGCAAGCAACGCCATGTCAAGGTAATCATCAATGCCCCTTTGAAGGTTCTAGGGTGTCCTACTCATGTTCATGAGCTTCGACTGACCTCGACCTGCACCGTCACACCAGTGCGACGAGGGCCGCCCTCTGTGCCGTTTATGCACTCTGTCGCAGCGCGAGTGCAGCTTTGAGACCGAGGCCGCCGGGCCCGAGTACCTGTCCGTGTCCGGTGCCTCGTCGCACGAGCCGTCCATCAGCCCCGGCGGCGGCAGCAGCCCCGATGGCCTCGGTCAGAGCAGTGGCCTCGGTCAGAGTAGTGGCCTCGGTCAGAGTAGTGGCCTCGGTCAGAGCAGTGGCCTCGGTCAGAGCAGCGGCCCCGTCCTGTCTGACGCCTTTCCTGCCGCGGCCGACATGGCCAGCACCGCATCGCCGCCGGCTGCGCAGTCCCCAGACCTCACGGGCACCACGGGCATCCTACAAGCAGCGGATGCAGCCCAGGCCACGCTCGGCGAGGCGCTCAACCTCGACCACATGGAGCTGCTCATCCACGCCGTCTGCAACAACAAGGACATGTTCAACCTCGGCGACGGCAGCGGCGGCCACACCAACGCGGACCTCGCAAACCTGCATCTCAGCCTGCACGCCGGCCTCGACGCGCCCTACCTGCTGCACGCCATGCTCGCATTCTCAGCGCGACACCTGGCCTTTCTGCACCCCGAGCGCGCGCCCACGTACCTGCACCGCGCGGTGGCGCTGCAGACGCGCGCCGTGTCGCTCTGCAACGCCAGCTGGGCCGGCAGCGGCAGCGCGGCCGTGGACGAGTCCAACTGCGTCCCCGTGCTGCTCTTCGCGACCGTGCTGGGCCACCACGTGCTGGCCGACACGTTGGCGCAGGCACAGACCAGCACCGTCACCACCACCACCACCACCACCACCACCACCACCACCGCACAAGACAGCGTTAGCAGCCGGCTCGACGGGTTCGTAGCGCACTACGCACGCTGCGTCGACGTGCACCGCGGTATCTACGCCGTGGCGCTGGCCGCCTGGCCGCTGCTTCTGCGGTCGGGGCTGGGCGCCGCGCTGGCGTGGTCGTCGGGGTTCACGTCGCGGCCACCACGCGGCCGGCACACAGCGCGCGCAACTGAGCTCGTCGACGCGGCCGCCGACCTCTCAGACGCGGAGAAGGCCGCCTGCCGCGCGGCTATCCAGTACCTGCAGGTCGGCTTCGACGCCATGCTTGCCGGAGAGGACGCTAATGGTAGCGATGGTGACGATGAGCAGGGCGCAGAGGAGCGGCAGCGCGCGCGCTACCAGATGCTCTTCCTCTGGACCATGCTCGTGCCGCACGAATTTACGGGCCTGCTACTCGCTAAGCAGCCCGAGGCCCTCGTCGTCCTAGCATACTACGCCCTGCTGCTGCACTACGGCCGCGCTATGTGGCAGGTCGGCGGCGCCGGCGCTGCCATCGTGGCCATGGTCGCCGAGTTCCTCGGCCCGGACTGGGAGTACTGGCTGGCGTATCCGTGCGAGATGGTCGCTGCGTGCGGATAGAGGGTTCTGGGTCGGGGGGCGCATGTTTGTGTAGAATACTTGCAGCCTGGTTAGCTCATATACCTGACATCTCTCGACGCGCGCCTTGTTCTGCTTGACGGCGCGGTGTTTAGGGCTTTGTGTCAACATGTTACCCGCTTTTCCTGTCTTCTACCCCTTGCTACATGCTTGTACTGTAATAAGTCACTGCATTTACTCTACTCTGATTTGAACATCGGGGTATATCCAACCAGGATGTAGGTATCCAACCAGTATGTCCAACCAAAAGATCCGCTCGGCCCATCGGGACAACGGCGTCATGCCTTCCTGGCCGCTCGGCCTGGCGTCTTGCGGATGACGTAGCCGTAGTTATCAAGCGACCCCGCGACGCTGAGAACCTGGGGCTCGACGTACCACTGCAACCCCTCGGGGCTCAGCAGCGACTCCATGAAGCGTGGCTGCCAGCACGTCACATACAGAAACCGGCCGCTGTCCTTTAGCACCCTGTAGACCTGTGACGATGGCTGTCAGGACATTTGCGCCAACTCGGAGCCCTAACCATCCGACACTCAAAAAAGGAGAACACATGAAAAGACCGACTGAGCTGCAGAGGGGCCATAGCAAGTAAGTACACACCTCACGCAGGTAAGCCGCCGTATTGTCACGCACGTCTTGCAGGGGACTCCACAGGCTGCCGTGAATCATGGCGTCGAGGGTGCCCTTGTCGAAGGCGACGTCGACGGAGGCGTCATCGACGCCCTACATGTCGCGCACGTCCATCAGGCGCCACTCGATGCCGGGCGTGGCGGCGTGCGTGCGCGTTATGAGCTCGACGACGGCCGACGAGAAGTCGACACACAGCTGTCGCCGGTACCCGCGCGCCGCCAGCTCGGCCGGGACGGTCTGCCTTGGGTGCGGAGGTTAGCGATTCGTTCCCTCAGGAAAAGGAGGGAAGCGAGGACAGACACTGTCGCCGGACCCCAGGTGCAGAATCAGCAGGTCGTCGGGCGGCCCGAGCCCCGGCACGCCGAACAGGTGGGCGCCGAAAAAGGCCTCGAGCGCCGGAAAGGTCAGGTACCATTCGTGCGTCGGCGCCGACCCGTCGGATTCGGAGTACCGCTCGTCCCAGAACGAGGCCTGGCTCAGGACCTGGTCGTTGTTTGGCGCTGCTGCCATCGTCGAGTGAAAGAACAGCTTTCGTCGCTTTGATGCGCTCAGAATACTTCAGCGGTAGATAATCCAGCGGTAGATAATCCAACTGTTGGCCGGCTAGCCGCCAAGAATGTGATTCCGTTGCGGGGCGCTTGTCGCTAGCTGGCGAGTCTTTCAGGAGGTATTAAAGTCTGAGGGCGCCTTTGGTTGGGCATGTAAGCTTGGTTACGTTAACCGTTTGCCGTCCCTCTTAGCTTGGGCGTGGATTTATCACCAGTAGGCGCACTGGCCAAGCAGAGAGTGTGACCGTCAAGAGCTTCTAACTGGGGATTTTCTTTGGTTCAAGCCGGTAAGGTAGGTAGGTAGGCAGGTAGGTAGGTGAAAAGCATGTGATAAAAGTCCATGGCGTTGAGACCCGGGACTAGCCCCGGCCCGCCCGAACTAATGCCTTTCCTTTCTTCGAGTCCTTGGACTTCTCTCCCTCCTTCTTTCCTTCTTCAATATGGTTCTTCTTACGATCCTTTCGTCGTCGCCGTCGTATTCATCGTCGCCGTCGCCGTCGTCGGTCGTTACCAGAGTCCCTACAGCCCCTGTGGCCCCTGTGGTCCATGTGGTCCTTTTTGCCTTACAGTGGCATGGCCCTTTTGGTGCGGTTCTTACAGCGGTGTGGCCTTTGTGGTAGTGCAGTCGCCGTAGCTTGTATAGCCCTAAAAATGAAGACTAGTACGTCCTTGCCGTGGCTAATGGAGTTCATTTCGCATTAGGCCGATAAGCGGAAGCATGGGATTTTGTTAGCGAAAGTTAGTTATGTGGGTCTATTTTCTTAATGTAGGTTAACGGGGGTGAAAATAGGACTTAATTCCAACGGAGGTTGCCTCGAGGTTGCCAAAGGGATACCGATAAGGCGGTCAGGAAGGCTCCTTGACCTAGCTTACAGGTCGAACCAAAGGCGCCCTGAAGACGTACGGTTCTAGAATTCCCTCGCTCTATCGCTCTACTGACAGACTGCAAGACAAACGCCGTCTACACCCCCATCCACTGTGTTCGTTAATTGTCGTCCTCGCCCGCGACTGCCAACGCCTTCGGCCACTCACTCGAGCACATGCATGCCGTAGATCTCGAGAAAGTCCTGCTCGCGCCACTCGCCGCCAATGAACAGCGGCTTGCCCGGAGCCGTCCACTCCCACGTGCCCTTGTGCGTCATGATCTTGTCCAGGACACGTGCGCTGGGCCGGTTTCTCCCATTGACAATGGCCCTAACGTAAACTCTTTCCCACGGCGCCCAGAACGACTTTGCCCGGCCGTACGCAGCCAGCGCCGCGCGCACCGACTCGGTCGCGTAACCCTTGCCCCACGCGCCCGGCAGGTACATGTACGAGATCTCGGCCAGCAGCGTCGTGGCCGCCTCGGCCGCGGGGATCATCAACTCTTCCGGCATCGGCAGCACGAAGCCCACGTTGAGCGACCGCAGCGACACCATGCCGATTAACTCTGACAGCTGGTCCCGAGGTTGGCTAGTGCCGTCGCCGGGGGTCCATGGCTCGAGCAGCGCGTGCACGGCGTAGACTACCCGGTACGACTTTTCTTCGCCCGCCTGCGGCGTCGGGAACGTGCTGGCGATGAGCTTTTCCGTCTCCTCGGTGGACTTGGACCGGCCATTGAAGCTTTGCGTGGGAATGGTGAGTAATAGAACAATCAGAATAGGGGTTGGCGGGCGCATCTTACCTCCAGAACGAGGCCTTCTCGTCGCTCCACAAAATATGAAGCCATTCGTACTCTGGGCTTCCCCTCTCAGCCTTTGTGACCAGTGTCAATTTCAGGCGCGGTGTGTAGACAACTGGTTCCATCTGGTTTTGGTGTTAGCTCGAATTAACGGTATTCTTTATTGCCGAGAGGATTTAGCTAGCGTGGTTGTAACTGGGTTCGGAGTGAGGGTTCAAGAGCGCAACTTTGACTTCATTTGGGCGCCCACGGGTCTCGTATGGACCCCACCTTATATACACAGGTTAATCCTACGATTCCGTGGCGAGCTTGGATTCGCCAATGTCACCACGAGCTGTGGGGCGCGCCCTTCAGGAGACATTTGAAACGGCGAGTTTCGGGACGGCCCTTCGCGTTGTTGAGGAAATCAGTTCTGACTACTGATAACATGCTGTTGGGACTTGGAAGCTATTGTTGATTACTGGTGCTATTCACGCAGTCCGGCATTCTGTACGGCAGTTTCATTTTCGAGCTTTCGAGCCCAGGGTTAGGGTTCATGTTTCGCCCGTTCCCGACAATGGAAACGGGCTAGCTCTCAGCTCGTGTAGCGGCACCCCCCCCCTGTTGACGGCCTGTCGCGAGGGTCTGGGCCGCCAAAAATATTTCTCGATTCCCGCGTCGAGTGTGGGGTAATTTCCTCGTGGCACAATCTGCCTGCCTGCAAGCTGGGAAGATTTTCGTCTCCCCAACTCTGCTGGGGCTGACCTTGCAATTCCGTCGGACTCGACCCAACGCAACCGCGCCCGCGCCCGCGCAGCTGCAGCGATCTGGGGCGAAGGCCGTCGCGACTTCGCATGCTAGGTCGTATAGCGGCTCTCGACCCGCGTCGAGCGCTGCCTTACGTCAAGGCCTGGCCGCGAGCTGGCATTCTCTTCGCCTTCGCCATCCCCTCCATCCTGACCTTCCTTTACCTCTACCTCCACCTCCGAGTCGCGACGCCCCTCTCCCCGCTGTCGCGCGTCCCCGTCTTTTCGCTCGTCGGCATCTCGCGGGAGAAAGCCTGCGACGGCATCCAGAACGCAGCCGCGATTGACAGCCCAAATGCGACGACGCTCAGCAGCAGCAGCAGCAGCAGCAGCAATCCAGTCGAGGGCGAGATCCCAAATATCGTCCACTACGTCTGGCTCCTGCGAGACCCCCACGTCTTCCGCCTCAGCTTCAAGGTTTTTGTCTCGGCCTACTCGTCCCACTACTACTTCGGCCCCGAGCGCATCTACATCCACACCGACGCCAGCCCCGACGTATTCGAGCGCGCCAGGACGTCCGACGATGTCTGGACCCGGCGCGTCTTGTCGCTCCCGGGCGTCACGTACCGCCACGCCGTGGCCCCGGTCGTCACCTCCAAGGGCGTCAACATCATAAATATGGAGCACAAGGCCGACTTTGTGCGCATCGAGGCTCTGCGCGAGTTCGGCGGCATCTACATGGACACGGACGCGATCCCGCTGCGCGACGTGGCGCCGCTGCGGCGCACCGGGTTCGCCAACGTCGTCGGCGGCGGCGTGGTGCTGACCGTTGAGCACACGGGCTTTGTCAATAACGGCGTCATGCTAGCCCGGCCCCACAGCATCCTGATGGGCATCTGGCTCGAGGCGGCCCACCAGGTGTTCACGGGCCAGTGGGAGACGGCGAGCATCCACCTGCTGTCGGACCTGGCGTTCCGGCTCAACGCGGTGCCGGCCGAGGTGCTCGTGCTGAACCCGCGCGCCTTCTCGCCTGTGAGCTGGGAGTACGAGGGCGTGCGGGAGCTGTTCCAGCCGCACCCGCGCAGGCAGCTGCGGTCCGCTGCCGTAGGAGACCCCGCACTGCTACCAAACGGCACCGCCGCAGCCGCGCACGACGGCCAGCTACGCGCAAGCGCCGCCACCACGTGCCTCGACGCCATCGCCTACGTGCGCGAGCGCGACGCGCCCGGCGCCCACGAGCCCTGGGAGACGGACTTCTCCAGCACCTACATCCTGCACGCCTTCGACGACGAGGTGCCCCACATCCCCAACTGGGACCACGTCGTCGACCTCAAGTACGTCCTCCGCCGTCGCAGCAACTACGCCCGCGCCGTGTACCCGGCCATCTGGCATGCCGTCGAGCACGGCGTCATCCCCGCGAAGGAGGCGCGGTAGTGCCACGTGTTTTTTGGTCTCGGATTTATAATGTGTATTATCTATTTACCTTTTCTTGTGTTTATTGCCCCGTCCCTCCTGTTTTTTTTATCTGTCATCTATTTTCTTTTTCCTTTTCCTCTGAAAAACATCAGCTTTGGCACCGAAAACGAGGACTTCCAGGCGCCAAGAAGAGCGCTTCTTCCTCACACGTTTGCTTTTTTTGCATAATTAACGTCATGCTGTCGGACATAAAAGGAGCGAGGGCGTTTTCTAGGTCAATTTTTGTTTGTTCCCCGACAACCTCCCATTCCCGCTCCTGTAGATATGTATCTGTACCTACCCCATGCTACCTGCTGACTGCTATCAATGGACATTTTTCACGTTACCACTTGTGTCCCCGCAGGTGCCATGATTGCCTGGCTTCCCTAATCCCTTCCGCTGAAGTGGCTCGCTGCAGTGCCAGACCGGGCATTGATTTATGGTTGTTTCTAGCTTCTGACCGTCGAAACCTTGTGAGGTCGCACGGGATTGTTAGATAAGGTAGGATGGCGTATGAATAGTGACCGAGTTCGATAACGTGTACTAAGGGTGGGCTAATAGTTGCTTTCAGCTAAAAGAGACCGGTTTGTGCTGAGGCCAAGACTTGAAGCACCAACTAGTCGAGGCACTATGATGTTTTGGGGAGGATGTGTTGCACACAACACCCGTACTATACACTGGGGGTTTGTTATAAGCAAGCTACAAGTGTCGACTACTGTCTAATAGTTTCGAGTGGTGAGAGAGAGAGGGAGAAAGAGATTATGTGTGTGTGTGTGAGAGAGAGAGAGAAGGAGAGAGAGAGAGAGAGGGAGAGAGAGAGAGAGAGGGACGGAGAGAGAGAGAGAGAGAGAGAGAGAGAGAGAGAGAGAGAGAGAGAGAGATCGTGTGTGTGTGCATGTGTGTGTTGCACACGGATATACAAAGTCTGTTTCTCGTGCTCGCTGGCAAATAGTCTATCGAATATACTGGTCACCCAATCGAAATTTGGGTGCTTTTGTCGTAGGTATGTGGATACTTTCGAATACTTACCGAGTACACCTGTTCTGTATGCCATAGAAGAGGCTAGAACATTGGTAACCATTCATTGCCTGCCTCGGACCATTGGTTCTCAGTGCCCTTCCCCAAGTCTGCTGCCTGCCGGCTTGACTTGACCGCTGCCGCCGGCTAGACTTGGGTAAATGTCAGGTGCAGACAGCTTGTGCCGTGTTGTATGCATATCAGCTTATGGCCTCTCGAGTTTATCTCTGCGAGCTGACTTGAATAGGATGTCGGAATTGACTATCCTTATTGGTTCCTCTGTTTCCATTCTGTGGTTACACTCGAACTTGCATAGGTGGCAACCAAATTCCTCGTATACTACGGCATCATGGCATCACTTGGCGTAAGACATACATGAGTAGTTCAAAGTCTGATTTTAGTCAGGCCGCAGATGCGTACATGTGTAGTGCGTCTAGACGGAGGCAAGAGGATAAGCTGACTTGGCTTAGTTCCGCTTGCGAGATATTTGACTTTCAGCCTCCATTGTCTTCTGCCAGTTCCCGAGTTTCCGGGTTTCCGGTGCAAGTTGTCAGTTGACGTGTTTTGGGACAAGATGCGCCGGCCAAGGCAACATTCCCGGATATTCCAAGATCATACTTAGTCCACGTGGTGAACACGGCTTCGCATGCCGACTCGGACTCTATCCTCCCCAAAACAGGCTGGTCTAACCGCATGTGTTGATGTTCCCGAGAGGGTAACGTTAGCACCGAGGAAACTCGCATACACAGTAGGTACGGTAGACGTGAGCCTGTGAGAGACATGCAGTTACGTTTGGACGCAATAAATTACACTATTGGACGGCTCACCGACAAGACGCCGAACAGGGGGACGTGCTGGGTAAGTATGCCACGTCAGGGATTACAGCACGCTAGAAGAAAGCTGGAAAGCTTCTCGTGCATGGCCGTGTGCGGAAAAAGACCGAATGCTGGACAGCAAAAGTGATGTCTGTGCGGCCCGATGCGCGCACCTCCTCGCCCAGCAACACCAATAGAACTGCAGGCGAGGGGGGGTAAACCGTAAGGGCGACTATTCCGAGCCAACAGCAGCCTCGGCCATGTCCAAATCCGATAGTCGATCCAATACTCGACGCCACGGACCATCAAATCGGGGGCGCTTACCTTGCCTTGCGTCTGTCGGTCGGTCGTTGCGTCTGTCGGTCAGTCGTAGCGCTGTGCTCGGCCGGCGCACACGTGGCAAAGGCGCCTGAGGTGGTCACGGTGTTGCAGTTTGGGCTGCTACCTGCCCGTTGAGCAACGTGCTGGGAGTCTGAGGTGGTGGTGCTGTCTCGGTGCGGTACATCCGGCGGTGGGTGGGTGCGCATACGAGCAGACAAGACATATCTTTTGAGGACCTCCAAAATTTCGTCTCTATCCTTGCGCCTTGCAGGGCCTTGTTCTCCCTAAAGGGTTACATTTTAGATAATTTTATCTGGGTGAGCAGCGCCTGTCCCACACACCTGGGACCACAATTGGCTTGGCACTGGGTGCTGGGTTGGAGCGCTGGGTGCTGAGGTGGAGCGCTGGGAAAGGACCTATCTTCGCTGCAGAAACGCGCACATATGCCTGAGACTCGCAACCCAGCCATGCACGCTCATGGGCTGCGTTGCATTGCGATTTTTTTCCCAAGCAGGGAAAGCAGAGAAACAATGCGCGTTCATAATGGCAAGTCGTGCGGATAACACGGAACTCACGGATGCTTTCCACGTGGGCTTTGGGCTCAGCGTCGAGAAACACGGCTCGGGGCTTGTTCTCTCGGGAGAAATAAGCACTCTACTGGCACGCCCACAGTCCGCTGCAGCGGGTGGACGGGTGGGCGGGCGGAAGCAGCAAAGACGGCCGGCGTTTCGGATCCCAGAGCCGGGTTTGCCTTCTAGAACCCACAGCTAATAGACTAGAGAGTAAATGGCGCAGCGGGCACAGTGGAGCTGCCAATATATGATGTTTGATGTTATGAGCACAGCAATTTGGAGCTCGTGAGCCTCACTGACCTCATTTGGGTCGGAGCACCATCTTCTTGGTGCTTGTGGGCAAGACGAGCGAAGGATCGTTTGCGGCCGCATTCGGCTCCCCACCCAGGGCTTGCAAAGCGCCCCAACGACAGCTAATAATATCGAGGAAATTCCATCCAGGGAGCACCTTCCCTGGCCAAGTATCTGCAGCATGCACGCTTTGACGAAACTGAGTTGCACTTTCCCGTTCAACGCGGTTGTCGTGTCCACGCTCAGCAGAGTCAGCAAAGGGTTACGGTAGAGGGCAGGTACTTGGCAATTTCCTCGCCGCATCCCTGCTGCTCCCCCGCAAACCGACGCACAAAATGCAATGGCGCCGCCCTCCCGCATGTCGTTTCCTATGCGAATCTTGGTCACCTCGTCAAAACATGCCTAGCGCGAGGGGAGAGGAAAGCCTGCTCCAACTTCCCCGTAATCGAATCAACCCGCACGCTTCGATAACCCTGCCCTGCGCTGCACTGGAGGCCACTCACGGAGATGTGGGAGGTTAGTGGGCGCCTAGGAGGAGAGAATGTTTGGGATTATTATGGAGGGAGCATCCAGCTGCCAGGTAACTCTGCATGCAACACTCCATGGATGTTGATGCCACGGGCTAGGCGAGCTGAGCGTGTCTTGGCTGGGTGGGCGGCCCAGAAAAAGTTCAGAGGCTGGCAGCATGGCACAGCGCATGCGTCGCGACGCACCCAAGCATCTCGCTGAGTGGCCCGCCCAAAGGCCAAAATCAAGCAGAGTTGCCGGTGGCAGGAAATCGCAGCAAATAGGAGGAAAGCAGCTCGGAGAATAGCTGCTCTCCCAGTTGAGTTGCCTGCCCAAGTGCCGATGCCGCTGGGAGGCGACGACGCGGACGACGCAAGACCACCACCTCCCACTTCCGTCCCGTTCGCCGTCGGCGCTGTTCGGGACAACATCATTCGCCAACCAAGAAAAGGCTAGTTTTACCACACCTCAGTCCACGACCAAAATGGAACCGTGGCGTCGGCCATCCTGTCTTGAGCGGCCTACCACTGGCCAACAGCGGCTGGCGAGGGCCTGCTATAGTTGGTGAGCCCTGCGCTCCGTCCCTCCACGAGACGGCACGGCTTGACTTCCCGCCTGGTCGTGCCCGCATGCGAGCCGGTGATCCCTGCCACTCCGCACGAATTTCAGTCCTGCAACGCGCCCTGTTCCCATGCTCGTACTGTCCCCCTGAATCTTGACCGTGCGCGGATTTAGGGAGCATAGGCGGATCTAAAGGGGGGGCGACCATCACCAAGGTCGACCGAACAAAGAGCTGGACTATCTTCAACACTCTTATTTCAACCTCGCTGGCCCGCGCTCTTGCCTATTGAGGACGTGCATGGCAGAGTTGCAGCCAATGCAGCGTTTCCAAATGCCTGCCCAGGACTCCATCAGGCCAGCCAATGTTTCCGCCCTGATCCCTCCCTCTGCCCTGGGACAACATGCTTGACCCATAACCGCCCACAACACGGAAATGCCTCCCTAGTCCAGCCCCTCGGTGCTAGGCCAAGACTTTAGGTCGCACTGGACCAGCCTGCTCGTCAAGCATTCCAATGTCTATAATAACTCCGACGGTCCGCATGGAGGCCGCTCCCCGGTGCCAGTAACCTCGACCCACGGGCTCGGGAGAAAGGTTGATCATCCATCATGATGCTTCTCAAACCCATCCTCTGTCTTACGGCAGCCCTCTCCGCCTCGGCCACCATCCTCCCGTCCTGGGATCAACTTGCCGTCGACTCGGGACTGGCTCTGGCCGGCCTTAATGGCATTGCTCTACTAAGTGCTCTCGGGAATTTCGGAGGAGGATGCACGCCGGCGAATGTCAAGATTAGACAAGAATGGTACGCTCTTTGTCCTCTTGTCCTCTTGTCCTCTTGTCCCCAAGGACCGCTGCCCGAGAGCAACCACGTTCTAACTGGACAACAGGCGGACTCTGGCTCCGACGCAACGCAAGAACTATATCTCGGCAGCCAAGTGCATAATCGCGTCCGGGAGTCTGTTCACGGCTGGCCAAGTGCCGGGCTCATTCTCCTTGTTTGATGATTTTGTCTGGGTACACCTGAACCAGACACTTAACATCCACCTGACGGTGCGTATCCAGGTCCCGAAAATCCATCGAGTGAGTAGGCAATAAATACTGACAACCTCGCAGGGAACCTTCCTCACATGGCACCGCTACTATATCCATGTCTATGAGCAGAAGCTCAAGGCCTGCGGCTACACAGGTTTGTCCGAAATGATCCTCGATCTTTCATGGCCAAACTGACAGACGGCCAGGCAACCTTCCTTACTGGGAGTGGGGATTGGATGTCAACTCGCCGCGTGACTCGCCCATCTTTGACGGGTCTGACACGTCTCTGGGCAGCGACGGCGCAGCCGTCTCACACCCGGGCCTGCAGCTGCAGCTACCGGCGGCAACCAGCGTCCTGCCACTTCCGCCCGGCACGGGCGGCGGGTGCGTGTACAAGGGGCCGTTCAAGGACATCACACTGCATCTAGGCCCGGTTGCGCTGCCCATCTACGGCTCGCTCAACTTCACCTCCGCCGCCAACCCCAGCCTGAACAACCCGCGCTGCCTGAAGCGCGACCTGAACCCCTACGTGCTCAAGCGGTACAGCTCGTTCCGCAACACGACGGACCTAATCACCGGCTATAACACGGTCGAGCTGTTCCAGGCTATCATGGTATGTGTCCCGCGGCGAATTTCCCTGCTGCAAGACCGTGGAAACTGACAGAGTTTCTTTCTTGCCTCTTGTGCAGCAAGGCGATGGGCGCTATCTCACCTACCCGAGCCTCGGCGTGCACGGCGGCGGCCACTTCACCATGGGCGGCGACCCGGGCGCAGACCCCTTCATCTCACCCAACGATCCCGCCTTCTTCCTGCACCATGGCCAGATCGATCGCGTCTTTTGGATCTGGCAGATGCTCGACTTTGCCAACCGCCAGGTAATGATAAGTTCCCTCCCACTGCATCGTAGAGAAAACGACTAACACAGCTCGCAGGGCGTCTCCGGGACAAACACGTTCCTCAACTTCCCGCCCAGCGCCAACACCACCGTGAACGATTTGATTGATATTGCGCCGCTGTCAACAGACAAGCCGCAGATCAAGAGCTTAATGAACACGGTCGGCGGGACGCCGTTTTGCTATGTATATATCTAATCCCGAGATTGAGATGCAGACCGTGCCGAGTGTATATAGCTGTGGCTGAACTGGTGGTTTTTGGGTTTAGTGGTTTAGTATAGCAATTTGAATACATTGACTCCATATATAACAGAATGATAGATCACGTCTATGCTGGGGCTTGTGAAAATTAAACAAGGCCGTGAATGGTGGTTTGGTGAAGAGCGGAGGAAATGAAAATGCTGTTCTTCCGACCCATCACCTGCCTAGCTCTAGCGATGCACAATGGGATTAAATAAAAAAAATGAAAGTTCGGATGAAATTACGAGGGGTAAAAGTTCTAGAACGCTGGTGAAAAATGCAAAAGGTTAAGGTCTTGCCCGGAATCGAACCGGGGTTGCCGGAAAGAGCTGAGTAAATCAGAATCCGGAGTGATAACCGCTACACTACAAAACCGACTGGAGACTTTGATCGGCTTTGATAAACGGAAGCGCGTTTCGGCTGCATATGAGGTCTAGGCCCTATGGTGGGGTAATCTGCAAATCCGGACGGTGGTGGAATCCGCGCTAACAATTCTTTTCTTGAACTGTATTTCAGGTTTGCCCCACTACGCCCCACCAGACCTCTCTCGGAATTCTTTCCAGCGGTTGGGATGGAGTGGTTCATCACATTTTGGCAACTTTGACAACTTTGACAACTTCAGTTCTGAAGCGGTTGTTCTCCTCGCCGCTCCTACAATACCAATTGCCAGATGCACTAGATATTCAATTAATGTCATCTCTATTTTTCTTCCTGGATCTCTCGGTTGGCTTGTCTCCTAGCACCCCCGTGGACGTTCCTCGCCGCAGCAATGCAGTCCGAACTCCAGCGAACAGCAGCAAAAAGTGTCGTCCGATTGTGTCGGCATCGCCGCCAAAAGTCTTTGTTTCTCTATATGTTCTTTCCTCCCCGTTCCTGATTAAATATCCCATATAATTCCATACCAATTTCCTAAATGTACAAACTTATCCCCTTGTCATCCGGGCAATTCTCAAACAGCAATGCTCTGAACCATCTCGAACTCAACGCGGCGGTGACCGTTGAAGGGCCGCGTGCTGCGCGCTAGCCCCGCGATGCCGTCTTTGTCGACGCCGTACCGCACCTCGAGCGCGCCGAGCTCGTGCGGCAGATACGTCTTGGCCGCGTCGGTACCCGCCTGCCCGCGCAACCAGCCCGTCTGCGCGCTCTTGAGCAGCTCGCCCGGTCCCGCCAGCCGCATCACGGGGATCTGGTTCCGCGCGTGCGTCGCCGCCGTCCACCACGCCACCGCCGCCCCGAGCGCTACCACGAGCCCCGGCAGCAGGATCAGTAGCATTGCGCGCGACGGGTCCAGCTTCTTTGTGGGTATCGCTGACTTGAGTGTTGTTGTGGCTGGGGGTGAGGACGAGGACGAGGACGCACGAGTGCGCGATGTCGCCTGCGCCAGCGCGCCCACCGCCATGCGTATAAACGTGTCGATCCCCTCAGCTGTCCATGTGTTGCGCTCCGCGCCAGAGGTTGTGTAGGCCACGGGTAGGTTTGTGGCCGTCGAGTTGAAGAACATGGGCTGCGTGCCGTCAACGCTGCTACCGGCGAGCAGCGGTGCGGCGGTGAACCACAGGAGCATCTCGTTGATGCGTGTTTCGGCGGCCGCGTCGCTGAGCTCGAGGTTGTCGGCGGATGACAGGACTGCGAGATCGTCGGCGTTCGAGTTGTCCGAGGCCGCATTCGTCGTGAGAAAGGCGCCATCGATCGCCTCAATGTCCACCTCGCATGCTACGGCCGATGCGCCTCCTATCCCGCTTCCCAGTACCACGGGTGTCCAGCTGCCTCCGTCAATGGAGCCGTTCAGTGCGGCAAACACCAGCGTCGTCTTGGTGCGCCGAGCCGAGACGAACTCGAAGCCGTCTGCCCACAGTGCAAGCTGCGGCACTGGCCGAACCCAGACCTCGGCGCTGTTGTTCTTGTTGCTCGTGCGCGTCATGTTCGTCTCGAAGGCGTTCCACCACACTCCGTCGCGGTTGACCTGCTGCACCTGCCGCGAGCTGCACGAGACGGACGTCTGCAGCCGAAGCGCCCGAGCCGAGAAGCTGCCTCGCTCGCCCAGCGTCTCTCTGTCGACATACCACTCCCGGTACGCCGGCAGTGGCTCCGACGGCGGGTCCGCCGCCCAGGAATTGTATTCGGCCAGCACACCGACTATGACGGACGTGGGCGGGTCTGTCTGCGCGTACAGCTCGCGGATACCGCCTCCGGGGGTGTAGCTGCTCTCGAGCTCCACAGACTGCAAGGTTGGCGTGTATGCGTAGCCGATCAGAGGAGCAGCGACGAGTGGGATTAGTGTGACTGCTACGGCAGCCGCGAGCACACAGCCGGTCGCGGGGTCCTTGGCCGACACGAGGGCCACGGGGGCCGCTATTATTGATCCGCGCGTTGTTGACAGGTATGCCTCGAGCCCCCTAATAGTAAAGAGATGCTCGGACAGCAGGGGCCAGGCGGCCGCCTCGCAAAATGTCAGTGCGACATAGGCCAAGGCGGCCATGCCTATGGAGAACACCAAAGTAATGATGCCCTGGATGGTGCCGAGATGGTCGATCGTCCAGTCATCGGCCTTGTTGCAGTTGACGGCCCATGCCGGACACTCGAGGAGCTGCCTGCTTGTCGCACTCGTATAGACTATGGCGACGACGACGAAGATGGCCCCCGCGCAGAGAGCGGCTGGGAGCGAGAGATGGGTCGCCACGAACGCCCACCACCCCAGGCGCCGGGGCGCAGGCTGGGCGTCGAGGACAAAGTCATGGTCCGATGCAAGCCGTCTCACCTCTCGCGGAGTAGGAGAACCGGGAGAGCGCATGTCGTCCAGCAGCTCGGAGCTTCCCCGCTGGGCTGCCGAGGAGTCGAATTGGAACTGCTCCGTGAAGATGGACTTGTGCGATCGGCTTCGGTTCAGAGATTTGGCCTGGAACATGAAATTGACATTTGCCGACGATTAAAGGTCTGGTGGGACGGTTTGGGATTTATGCGCCGACATTCACTGGAGAGCAGAATCGAGACGTAAGATTTGAAGCAGGATCGCACGGCGGTGAAATAGCAGCGTCCATTTGCACTATTAATTACGACTTTTTATCGCTTTTGAGTCGGACGTCCACACTACACACGTGGCGGGGAAGCATTCCAATCACTGGGCCGAATGACTCCCGTCGTGTTTACGACAGGTGGCTCATTTTGCACACACAGCTCACCAACCCTGTCTGTGCGTCGCTGTGCGTGCTTGTGGCCCAATTCGCAGTCTCGAAGATTGGGTTGGGCACGAAATGATTCAGGACCCGAGCCAAGCTGTTTTTGGCTCTGCCAGCACGCACACACGCATCCCAGGCAGCAAGGCCTCTCTGTTGCCCGAAGCTTTTGTCTTCAGGGCGGAATGCAAAGTGCACAGTCCCGCGCGTAGCGTGTCACCCTCATCGCCAGTGATTTGCATCTGCGGGTGCCGCTGTTGCAGGGTTGGGAGCTTTGGCGATGCCCAATGAGAGTCGAGTCTTGTTCTCCAGGCCTCTCCAGGTCCCGCCCTGCCGCTATTGGCGCCGGGACGGCCCGGGTGTGCTCAGGTTAATCGTGATTCAAAATCGTTGTCAGATGCAGTTGCTGATTTCCTTTGGTCCAGACGATGTTAGCTTTCGGTTGAAGCTCTCGATATTCTCACGTTTCGACTCGGAAATAAGGCAATCGAACTTGGCCGTGGGGGCTGGAATTTCCCCCCTCATTTTCGGTTCTCGCCTTTTACTGGCTTGATCGGTCGTCTCCCGTAATGGTCTCGCCGCCCAGATCTTCTCGCCGAGATACAATCAAGCAGACGAGAACCGAGGGAAAAGATGTATTTCCCTGCCAGAGCAACTGGAGTCTGGCAGCACCATGCGTGCCCGATTCGCGTCGCTTTCGGGGCCTTAGAGAGCTGTTTGCGTCGGCGTTCTGGGGTGTGAGCCAGCGTGCAGCTGCAGAGGATTCAAGCCTCCCACGTGATGAAGTCCAGACTTGGGCATCTTATCATGTGCGGGGTTTTGGTTTTCAGCCCAGCCGTTATGTCGAGTTCCGATCACCACCAATCAACACTCTGCTCCCTGTCCTCTCGGCCATCTCGGCATTTCCTTCTTCCTTGTCACCGAACGTCCTGTACTCCCCGGCAAGCTTCATCTAAACTTCTGAAGATGAGGCTTATCAACTCAAGCACATGCAAGCTCGAGGAGTTCTTCGAGCCTACTATTCCTCCCTATGCCATCCTATCTCACACGTGGGAAGCCGACGAAATCACACTCCAAGAGTTTACACTAGCCCCTGGGAATCAAAACATTCTATCCAAGCGCGGATACGTCAAGGTCGCTGCTTCCTGTAGGGTCGCTGCCCTTCAGGGCTTTGCCTACATTTGGGTGGACACGTGCTGCATCGACAAGGCAAATCCTGCCGACCTCTCGGAATGCATTAACTCCATGTTCAAGTGGTACCAAGGCTCTGCTATATGCTATGCGTACCTGTCCGACATTGACTGGCAGCGTTCTGGGGGGCAGCAGTACGATAACGAAGAACAAGCGTTCTCAATGTGCAGGTGGTTCAAGCGCGGTTGGACCCTCCAGGAACTCATTGCTCCCTCCAGTCTCCACTTCTACGATGTGAATTGGAACCGGATCGGGTCCAAACGATTACTGCGGTACTCGATCTCTAAAGTCACCCGGATTGACGAGGGCGTGCTCAATAATTCGGGTTTGCTCCACACTGTCCCCGCGGCCAGACGCTTGTCCTGGGCAGCTACCAGGAGCACTCAACGGATCGAGGACCGAGCTTACTCGCTGCTCGGCATCTTCGACGTCAACATGCCAATGCTGTACGGGGAGGGGGACAGGGCTTTTCTCCGGCTGCAGCACGAGATTTTCGCACAGAACCCCGACCTTTCCATTTTGTGCTGGGATGCGAGCAACATCTCCGACCAGTACCTTAGCATGTTCTCGCCGTCTCTCGACTTATTCCTTGAATGCCACAATATTCGCCGGAAGGGCAACATCTTGGGATCCACTTTTTTGTCATCGGCAGCCATTAATTTCAACAAGGCCACGATCGATTTGGGCGAGCTGACTCTGAACGTCTGGAGCACTACTACCGGGGTGCATTGTTACTCGGTGCGTCTGCCTTATCAAAGTGGAGATGGCGAAGCCGAGTCAAACTTTTTCCTTCGAAAGATTGGACCAGGTCTCTTTGTCCGAATACCCCCGCTTGGCGCTGTACGAACTGTCGAAGCCTCTGAATACCGAATACTGTCAACACCAGACAATAATAGTACAATCAATAGATACCGGGTGGCCAAAACCCCTTCACCCGGAGATCTCCGAATTGTGGAAAGAGTTCAAGTGATGCCGACTCCTCATCGGACCAATTTCGCACGTCTCAACATCAGCCACCTCTACAGCGTGCACGTACAAACGGAGCAATCGATAATAGCGCATGCCGAACCATCTGAGGCTTGGTGCCCAGCAAACTCATGCTTTCTGCTGCACGGCCAACCCGAGTTTACGGGTTGTTTACGGGTAATGGCTGTAGACGACAAATCATCGAGCGGAAAGATGCTAGGTCACGCATTTCACGCGACCTTTGGAGTGGAAATGAGACAGAGCCAGGGTAAGACGAAAATAATTCCGCGTCTTGCGTTCGGGAAACCCGATGCGTCGCTACTTACCTACCCCCGGCATGCTATTCTAGGCGAGGGCATCAATCTTGACTGGGCCACAACTCTGGGACCGCTACAGATTGTTTCAGTCAAGACGTATTTGGGCTATTCGTGGGATATTAATGTTAGATATGAGATAAGTCTCCAGGTTTCGATGAGGTGGGAACAGAGATTCTGGTGTGGTTCAAGTGTCTTTTGGGTTACAATTTCTGCTGAGTTTTCGAAGGATCCTAAGCATTAAGATATTAGTCAATTTTATATTATATTTCGTGTGCTTCAATAGGGATTGCTCAGGGAGGGACTTCCACAGAAGATATTCGTCCATTAATCATCTTTGGTTCCAAATTTATTGAGCTTGCATAGCGGAGTTTAAAGAGAATTAGTTAGCAAGACAATGGATGCATGTCATTGCCTGTGGGAAGGACACTGACGGCTTGATTGCTTGTACGGAAGAAGTCTAGCTATCTGGGCCGCGGCGGAATATACGTGAGGATGAAGGCCTTAGACTACTAGAATATTAGGCCCCATAGATCCACATATGCCTCGGCTCTGACGCCATGAATCTCGGCGTATCGGGCGTCGTTGGCAAAGAGGTTCATGAACTCTCGGATCGAGAGATGGCGGTGACGAATGAAACCAGCCATCTGCGTCATAGCCAACGGCAAGCCGTCAAGGTGGTTCGCCCTGTACTCGTCGTCGTTTGTGGTGCCGCTTCCCTGGTTGGCATGGTGCGTCTGCGTTGTGACGAGTTTGCGAAGAAGACTCGCTGAGTTGGCTGCCGACAATGGTTCAACGTCGGCTCCCGATCCGTTGGAGAGGAAGTGCTCCTTTGCGTATGAATCACGGTTCATCACCGACACTGAGCCGTTTCCGTGGTACGGCACGTAGTTGGTGATGGCATCTAAATTGTCGGCGTTGTCGAAGATGAGCAGCCAGTTGCCGCCGTTTTTGCCACCATCATCTTGGCTGTTCTTTGGTTTCGTCAGCCAAGCCTTGGCCAACTAACTCTACGCTTGAATCGAGGCTATCGGCCTCCTCGGCGGACTGCAGCCCTAGCACGGTCGCGATGCGGCCAAAGTCTGACGCGAGTTGTGAGACGCCTCCGGCTTCGAGCCAGAAGATGGCGTCAAAGTTGCCTCTCCGTGAATGAGCGTATTCAACCGCTAGGTCTGCCTTCCAGATGTCGCCCATGCCGCACAGCGCGAAAAGCCGTGTGCTCTGTACCTTCCCTGCATCAACCGCAGCCACTCTCGGAAGGAGATTTTGGTCCATTAGCTTCAGGAGGTCGTCTCGGCCCACAAAGTCCAGATTCCGAGACTGGGAAAGCATGAAGCAGGGAAGGTTACTTGTTCTCGCTTCCAAGAGATTTCTCGTCTCTAGGTCCGAAGGCAGACAGAGATTCTCGCAAAGTGGTGCATTTCACCTGAGCAACACCACACCGAAGCACCGCACACATCCGAGGCCGGAAGACGGGAGTCCCAGAACGTACATTCCCAACCACACTAGCACCCACCTACCTGCCTTGATTTCGAGACGCCAAGCACCGTGCCCAAGGCCAGGAGGACCGCAAGGTAGACAAGACATCCACAACATACCTATATCAAGGACGCTGTTCAATGAAGATCGCCTTGTCTGGGTCTGTTCTCACAAGGCGTCGGACTCTATCTACCAATACTTCGATCGGGACCGACCCGTTTACTGGGCTAGACATGTCTACCGATGTCGAAATTGCCGTTGGGGATGCCCGATATGTGCTGATCCCCAACTCTGAGGCATGTCTCGAGCCCCTGGAATGTGTCGAGTTCACAGCTCCCTCCAATCATCGGGCCGATGGATACCAAGTTCCCTCTGGAAGCAGCCACGCCAGCGCCGCTGGGATCAGTTCGTACGACTGGCTTGATTTCTCTGTGGGATCTGACAGTAGGCGATGCCCTTGAACAAGTTATTGCCGAGTAAATGAAACTGCCAATGCGCCATGGCTAGCCAATGGAAGTGGTCGTAAGCCAGCTTCTTACAACGGATGCTTCTCGATTTTTCCATCAACAGGCATTCTGAACCGGAATGGAGTCGTTGGCTATTTCCGTACATACCACCATGCGTCCGTCCCTTGGAGACTGGAAAAGAGAGTTTTACTAACCTTGTGCATGTTTGTGTCAGCGAGTTCGACATGCCCGTATTCTTCGGTAGAGACGTCTCCAGGTTCTCCGAGTTCATCTTGGTGTGGTACGGTGATGCGCCCATGCTTCGCGCTCCTTCTGAGGTTCGATCCACCCAGACACCCCCAGATCAAGCATCCCTATGTGCTCATTGTTTCTCATAGCCGCGGCCCGTCGAAGTCCTATACCCAGCGGATTACCTCCCCACGGGAAGTCCAGCTCAGACTGCTCTGATCGACAAATTTGTTGCTGGCCTCGAGTCAGCTCTGCACGTCAAGAAAACCGGCGTTTCTCTTGCCAATTGTGGAAGCAAGACCTCCCTGATGGCGCTGGGAATGCTAATATTGGAACATATCTTGAAACTGTATGTTGCAGACCCCATTAGTCGTCTAAGTGATATTCAGTTTGTATGCATGTATGCTGACTTGCCACACGCAGGCTGGCATCTACCCCTTCTATCATGACCAGTATTATCCTGTCCGGAGGACAATATTCCTGCGAAACTCTAAAAAAATTACTATGTGAAATTGATAAGATGCCTTATCGCCTTTCCGGATTGGCTAACCTATGTGGAAAAGTGGACCCGATTTCTCAGTCACATCAATATGGGCAGCCCCTATCACGTGCCTATCTGCCATTCGGTCAGCACACTTTCCAAAATTGATATAACCGGTATCATTATGTGTATAACTCTACGGAAATTTTGAATCTGAAGCCCGATTCGTATTATAATAGAAATTGGCTGAGATATAAGCGTTTAAATGCTTTCTGGCGTGGTGGGGCGTGCGTAAAGGTGGGCTTGCGTACGTGACTACGCGAATTGCCCTTCAACCCCGCGTCGAATTTCCTCGCCCACCCCACAATTGCTTTTCTTTTTCCAATAATTATTCGTACCGTAGTACCTTCGACGAACCTTACAATCTACCCGCTCTTCGTAGCTAACCTCCTTTTCTCTATAGTACCGTTTTGCCTGTTATGGCCAGGTTATTCGGTATCTATAGCGGACGCGGCGGAGGCGGCTGCCCGCAAAGTTTGCCACACCTACGGCGTTGAGAAGGACATCGACTGTCACGACCAGGGCAAGGCATTGAGGTGAACTCAGTCCATTGGGTGCTATCGACGAAGATTCTAAACTGAGGAAGGAAAGAAGGAAAAGTCCAACGACGCGTCGCGTGCTCGCGAATAAGTTTTCATCTATCAGTGGGGTAGGTGGGGCCTCGAGGCGGCTTCTGATAGGCCCGGGGTTCTGGGCGGCTCTGGCTGCTTGAGGGCCAGTTTGGTGGACGGGTCCTCACATCGACCAATTCCGGTCGTTCTGGGGCCCTCGATGGATCGTCCTTAATTACGCGGATTGCCGTAATCGCGGCAGGTAGCAGGTAAGTCTATTAGACCTATCTTCCTTGGTTTCCTTGCTAACTTCATTCCCAGAGAGCCGCGTCGAACGCAAGAGTTTCTGCAGCTGCTGCCGTAACCCGCGGACAAAGTCTCGCCCTTGCGCCTCGCCAGAATCTCACCTTTCGTTTGATAAGTCGGTATTCTTAACCACAGTCCAACGGCAATAGGGTAAAGACCAGGCTCTATTCCAGCAAGCCCTGAAAGAATTACGGCAGGCCAAAGTATCTATTTCGTTATGGGAGCTTCTTACGTCGAGATATACGATCAAACTGCCTCCGGCTCAGGTCCAGGCTTTCAACACACAACCAATGTATGCTTAACCAGATGCATTGATAGCTGCAGAACCGTTCTCCCAGAGAGAGCGTGCTGCCAGCTCCTATATAGAACTATGAGCAACCAATCAGAGTTCCTGCCTTACATGCTCAGTCGTGCTCAGTCCTAGACGCACTGATCCCCACTGAGCTCCCTGCTCAGTGCGCTCAGTGGGTCTCGGCACTGATCCCTGAGCTCAGCCATGCTCAGTGCACCTTGGCACTGGCCCCACTGAGCACTCCCTAATTGGATGCACCTTCTCTTGGCGAGAGCCCCACCCTAAGTGCCGTTCCAGCCAATCTGCAGCGGGCGGGCAACACCCAGAAGAGCTTCGTGATAGGGCTAGGCTGGTGGTTCCTATCCTTAGGGTTCGGCAGGAGTTTGTTCTTGGGGCTGGTACTGGCTACCGGGAGCAGTTTCCACTGCTTATTTGCTACGCAATCACAGTACACAAGTCACAGGGCGTCACTCTCGACAAGGTGGTTTATGATATCTCCGCGCTAGAGTTCGCGTTCGGCCTATCGTACGTGGTAGTTTCCAGGGTCAAGACCTTAGATGGCCTAATGTTTGAGTCGCCGTTTGATCGGAGCAGGATATACCGCGAAGTGCCGGTATAGAGCATGTAACTGAAGATAGCGGATTACGAGGTAAGGAAGTTACAGCTATTAGATCCATAGGAAGAGGAGGTTGACTCGAGCGATATGAGCGGGTATATAACTGATAGCTCTGTTGTATAAGTCAGGTGGGGGACTTTTGGAACACCCCTGCCTATGGAACAGCCCTTGAATCGGACCCCGCACAACACCACAAACTTCAATTGCCAACAACTTTGTCAATTAATTAGCTACAATGATGAAGTCTTCAGTATCGGATTCTCCTGATTCTTCTCTTTCAGAATAACTAAGGTCCTCTCTGCCAGCCTCTCTCTGTGAGGCACGAACCTCCTCAATTCCAGCGAACTGCGTATTAGGGTCGACTTGGACCTTCCTTCTCTTTCGGCCTCTTGTGCGTTCTAGGCTTTTTTCTGCAGCCTCCAATTGATGCGCCGTATTGGCTAGTTGGAAAACCACGTAATCGAAGGCTTTTGCGGCCTTGCGTATGAAAAGTCGGTCGTTGGAAGTCCGTTTCTGGCCGGCTAGAAAAACCTGCCCCTGAATACGGAAATCCTTCGGCTTTTTAGGGGTAAACCATATAGGCCGGCCCTCCGAATTCTTATTTAGAATGGGGTTATGGACCTCTTGAAGGTCTATAGAAACCGTAGAGGTCAGTTGACCAACGTCGCCGTTAGAATTCTTAATAACAAGGCCGTTGCTTAGGGGCTTCCTGAGGCTGACCGGCCAGAGGCCTGTAGCTTTCCAGCCGGCTTTGGTATTAGATTCAGTCATTCCATAGACCCTGGCTTGGCGGTAGCATTCTAGGAAGGCTCTCTTTTCAGCAACAGTGCCTTCGTCGAAGCCGGAAACAACCTCGTTATGCTTGGCTCTATACCGGGCTTTTAGAGGGCCGAAAACCGATAAATCCAGGGGCTGGAGAACGTGGGAGGTGTGGGCTGGTAGAAATAACAATTGTACGTTATTAGAAAAGGCTAGCCACATGAATTCTTCGGTGGTATGACTACCGTGGCCATCTAAAATAAGGAGGCGCTTCTCCGAGGGGGTAGCTGGCCGAGTCTCTGGAAGAAAGATATTGCGGAGCCATGCGACGGCAGTATCATCGTCAGACCAGCCGTTTTCAATGGGTTTCCACTTCCAGCCCTTAAATGGCTGTAAATCGCGTGGATACCATTGTTGTTGAAGGCTTCCACCTTTGAAAATGACGACTGGGTTCAAATACCGGCCGCCAGCGGAAATACATTCGATAATCGAGGTCCAAATTCGGTCTCCTTTCTTCTTTTTCTGGAATTTCTTTCTTTCCTTAGATCCAACAACCAGGCCGTTATCTCCAATGCCAGAAGCAATGCCAGTTTCATCCATATTATACCTATGCTTGGCTGGAATAGCCTCCACGCCTGGAGGCTTCAAATAGTCAAACCAAGGCCGGATAACGGCCTCACAGGCTCGATCAGCACGGTTTGCATGGATTCTCCGAGGCCTAATTGTAGAAATAGATGGATTTCTAGCCAAAAACCGGCTAGTCCAGCGTTTTCCGAGGGTCTCGTTATCTTCGAGCATTCTTCTAGCTAGTTTCCAAATTTGGGCGTGGGTTGGAGGGTGACCGAGCGACCCTTGGAATAGAATCCATTCGGTTAAGCGTTCTTCCATAGCCGGAGAAAGCTTTTGATTAAGAATTTGGGCCTTGGAGGCTGGCTTGGAACCACGAACCCGATTAAAGAGAGTAGTAGGGGGGATGCCGTGATTTTCAGCAGAGCTACGGAGTAAGCCAGTTTCTGCATACTCTGCCAGCGCATTCTGCAAATCCAACTGAGTATATCGCTTCATCTTTCATTTCTCAATTGAATGGAGAAAAGAAGATAAGTATTGAAGCAGAATTGGTCGAGTTGCAAGCGATTGAAATAGGTGAGTTGGGTGGCGAGCGGCAAGTCCTTGATGACAAACCTTGTTCCAAATCCAGGGGTGTTCCATAAGCAGACCACCTGACTTAGATGTAAGGTTTAGTTGTGTAGGTTTAGCCATTGTTGTAAGAAAAGATCTCTAGAGCATCGGAGTTGTTGGCCTCCGGATAGGATATTGTCGCTTCGCTTGCTCTCTACGTCATCTAAATAAGTCAACTGTCGCGCTCTAAATTGCCAGGAGCGAGTGAGAGGAAGGAAGCGTCCCGTAGCGCAGCGAAGGGTCACGCGACTGACGAACGAAGCGACGCCAGCAATTTTAGCTTCGGCAATTTCCGTAAGGAATAAGAGGAGAAATACGGGAAACCCCCTTCATCCACCGAGATTTGCGCTCTCGCAATGGTGAGCTGAGCCGTCCTTACACTCAGATAGTAGGTACTGTGCTGCCTTGAATACTGATTACTAATACGCGAGGAGGGAAGGGAGGTGGGCAAGGCGATCTCACAGGAGGAACGGGATGAATGCTGGTGTTACTGCACAGTCAACTAGATGAGGCAAGGCTGCATTAAGGTCGCTGTATTCGTAGAATCTAAAGCTAAGGAAAAGAAAAAGGAAAAGAGGTTCTAAATTCTGTGCGGGGCTTGAAGAAGTAGGGTTGGTCTGTGGGTCACGTGTTGGGGCGCTGCACAGGCTACTTGGTTTCGTACCCGACCCTGCACCCTAGTTGGGATTTCTTACCAGGACCTTTCAGCCAGCTGCCATGGCACTTGCCGTGACAGCTGGCGCCGTTCCGAGGTTTACCGGCACTGGGTTGTTGACAAAGTCTTTGTTGCGGGAGACAAGGATGTCGTCAGAATCATGGTTCTCCTCCCTATCGAGGTTGGCAAGCCAAACTCCCGTGATGCCAAACTCCCGTAGGTTTTTTTGCCCCTCCTGCAGCACGATTGCTAGTGCTGACGGATTTTTCACAGGCCATATTCCTTACTGAGCGGCTACGCTGCTCTTAACATGTCACCGCTCCAGGTCCGTGGTTGCTTTTTTTTCACTTGTTCTATTTTTGTTTTCTTTTGTCAAAATGCAAATTGACGAGAGGCTTACTGATGGGTTTCAAATTACAGTCGGTGATATTCCTTACCTCTCCACCGTTATCGAGAGAGAAGAGCCGCTTCCTATCGTAGTCTCGGTCATCGGAGCTTCAGGTAACTAGTCCCGAAATGAGAAGCTTCATAATAATGCCACCCTGCTAATAAATTATGGCATCAGGGACCGACCTCATTCTCGTTGATTTGGTAGAAAAACGCATGAAAGGTGCAGGCCTGCCGGTCACGGTGAAGACGGGACGCTCGATGTACTGAAGATGCCTAGGCATGCCTCTCATCAAAGTTGTTACGTGATCCTTTGTTCCTGGTGGAATAGGAGATATGTGTGTGTGGGCCATCATGAGGGCATCGATGGCCTGCAGGGGCGGCAGCGGGGACAAGGCGATCTCGAACTGGTTCTTGATCTCGGTGTGGAAGTGATGTACCTAGACGCCCGACACGCTCCCACACGATTTCCTCGAGGATGGACAGGCCGGTTGCCATGGAGTAGGCATTTGTGTGCTCGAGCGCAGAGAGCGTCGCAATGTCAAACGATGAATCCACCAAGACAAACTCGATCTCGAAACCCATCAGCAACCCGGGACGATGGCCATCTGGCTTGGCGGCCTGGTTTTGCTGCTGCTGCTGCTGCCGCCGACTGAAATCATCAAGGAAGTCAGAGAGTAATTTCTGCGGGTATCGTGCAAGGGGATCCTCAAGGGCTAGCTGCGCGACGAAGCATATGACAGAAGCGTTGCGATGGTGCTTGAGATAACAGTGTTAACAATTCGTTGGACGTAGATGTTTCCTCGAGCTTGGTACGACGTGACTTTTCTGACTCGACCTCGTCCATTTTATCGACATAAACAGGAGGATTCCCTTGAGTAAGGCTTAAACCTGCCTGCTTGCTCCTAGGGATGGGCGTTAATAACAGTGCCAAATCGTTAAGCTTGAATTGATAGGTAGGCACTCATTACAAGACGATCAAGACGATCAGTGGCTGTGCCGTGGATTCAAGCGGTTATCAGTGACTAGCAAAGCAAGCAGGAGGAGAAATATATATGTTGGAATTTGTCAAGCAGAAGGGCCTCGAAGGTTCTAGATAGAGACTTTGCCACCAACTTCGCCACCACAATAGTAGTATAAGAACGGGCTTTCTGGCACTGCCAGAAAGCTAGAGAGAGGAACAGACATCTACAATCCATCACTTGAACCACCAGTTTTCGGCGTGCAGCCACGCCCTGTTGAGTCCAGTACCGGTACCCTGGTGAATCCAACAATATAAAACCAGAGATTCGAACAATCCTTCCTCTTTCGGACAATATAGTACTAATAGTGCTGCTGTTATTCCCCGCCAGATAGCTCCAGTTTTCATGGCCTGTACCTGGTAGAAGTTATTTGATGAGATCCCGGAAGAAGGGTAGCACTTGCGTACCCTTAGGCAAGCCCTTCTCGAGGAGAATGAGGAGAAAAAGAGTGGCTAATACGAGCGGGAGAGTGATTTCAAAGTACAAGGCTATATACGAAATGCTGTTATTGGAATCACTGAACATAGTAGAACTGAAAAGAGACTATATATGTTAGCCGCTTATCTGTTTCGCAGGCAGGGATCCCCTTACAGCTATGAGAGATGCTGGAAGAAATAGAGTTGCAACCTGGCCGAGTATTTTGATTTTGGTAGCATCTTGATGTCCCTGCTTACTAACTTGCAGCAAATGGCTCATATCTAGACATGTCTGACCGAGCTGCCCTTGGATTTTTGTGGTGTCCGTCCGAATGGTAGCCATGGTAGCTCGCAGATGGTCGTTCGCCCGGGTTTGCAGTATAGCAGAAAGCTCCTCAAGATTAGCTACAAGCTCCACTCAATACTGTATGTGTAGGCCTACCAAAATTGTGGTCCTCGAAGTCGCCCGTTCCAAAATCGTCATAGCTTCGTGGTGATGTTGGAGCTTAGCCTTCAGCATCTCCAGTGTACTCACGATGTCACAATTGTGACACCCTGACTTTCTCTTATTCGACCTCGCGTGTAGGTTGCTGTACTCCGAAAACGCACGTCTTTGCCCTTTTATAACAGTGAGTGCTAACGTAATCGTCTCATTTAGTGAGATTATTTCCTGGACGTCGGAGAATAAAAGTTTGTAATCATCTAAGTAGGTTTCGTTAAAACGGGATGAATATGCTTTCTCATCCTATCTTGGTAGGTTAAAATATAACTCTAAATAGTGGAAAGGTATTGTATTACTTACAAATATCATGGATTTTTGACGCAGATTCTCGATGTATAGATCCCAGTTCCTAGTCGCAGCCGAAAAGATGAAAAGGTGAGGCAACAGCTGTGAAACTTTGCAGGATTCATGGATCCACCTGTTTTGTTGCCCAAATGCTGCTAATATGCGGTCTGCAATATAGTTCGAAGAGTCAAGGAGAAGCCATGCGGATTGCCTATTAGCCAGGCACTTTTGATAGACGCCGGTTTGTCGGAGCGACCATGGATTGCCCCGTCCTCGTTTGTTTAACTCGAAGTAGCGAATATTGTAGCAGAACTCTGCCGGTCGGCATATTAATATAAGTATGCTAATCAAGAACACTGGATATGGAACGAACCGTATGCCGAAGATAGCACCCGACAGAAAGCCAAATCTCTCGCTCGTTGCTTGTCGTTCGTTTTCGTCCCAAAAGCATGGACTACCTGGAGGAAGGGGGTGAAGACTCGCAAAGTAGACAGCAAAGTACGAAATGCGAGCTCTGTAATACACAACTGACTCCACGAAAAGGTCGGCCGGACAACGCTATTCGAAGTAAGCACTACCGATGCTGTACCACGCTCTTCTTGACAGTCAAATCTTACAAGATCAAATGCTGCCATGAGTCCCCTCGTAGGTGCTGTACTCTTCATATCAGTGCTACGGTTCGCCGAAGCACAACCCAGCCAGCTCATACCTCAAGGATTCCATGTTCTTCAATCTCTTTGCTGGTGAGATAGCTTCGCTGACATTGCGTCTGTGGTAGCGCTATTGTGTATATTAGAGCCTGCGTTCTGGAAATTGAATTGAGTCTTACCTTCGTTTTGTCGTAAGACATCGATACCGCCTCCAGATATCTGGAAGAGCTTTAATGATTCCTCGCTCAACTTCCGGTCGCACAAACTGAGATCCTCTCCAATTGGCGCATAGCAGTTGATATCCACCGGATACCTGTCTCCCGGACCAGTCTGTTCGTTAAACATAAAAGTATACATTGCCAATGTGGGATAAGGTACAGATTTAGTTACAATTACAACTTGCGAGATGGTAATTGTAAATGAGGGTGAAAGATTTGAATCTGCCTTAACAATAGGTGGTGGGCAAAGCTTTCAAATGGAATGAGAACACCTTCCCTATCGTGGTGATGCAAAGAGCCAGAAGCGAGCTTGTGCTGCTTGTAATGATTGGCTTCTGGCACTGCCCATGTAAAGTGAGGCGAGCGACATCAATTCCATGGAGCATACGGCTTCGCCCAGTGGCGCGAGCAGAAACATGTTCAGTTGCGCTGACGTGGAGTACGTTGATTGGCGCCGGGGGGTGCCCGACCAGGCAGCAAGGATGCTGCCTGCAGCTCTTCACATGCAAGACGAGCCCAAAAGATGCCTCACCGGAGCGAAAAAAAGGTTGGCTGCCTGGCCGTGGATCACGTTCGCTAGTAGCGATTGGCGAAGAGCTTGCCCGGCTTTGCACCGTCCCACTGCTAAAGTGGTGTCGCAGCCAAGCCATACACCCAAATAAGCACCCAGGCGAAATGACTTCCCAGTCTTCTCCAATTTCAACTCACCTCATCTCACCACTTTGGACCCCAAAATGGAGCGCCAATCGATCTCAAACCGCTACATCAAGCTAGAAGACCTTCGCAATCTTCTTATTTCCAAATTCAGAGCCGGCAACTTCAAAATACAGGTAGGTCGGGAACCGCTACATTATTGGCGACGGATTTTGGCGCTATTTGACTAAGGAGAGAGACGAAAGCTACGAGATCAACATCCCAAAGCTACTTACGGAGGTTGGTACTCGAAAATTCTGGCACCCGAGGTAACGCTTATTTGCCTAACATTATGTCAGGATGAGATTAAGTCAATCCAACGCATATAAGCAGACTTGCGGAACTACAAGCAGGCCCTCACGTCGCACCTAATCGGTCCCGCCAATCTAATCGCCACGCATTCCCTGCTGAATTACCCTCCCTCCTGTCGGATCGTCAGACCTGCACAGTTGGGAATATGAACGAGCTACGGGAGAACCTGGAAAGTGTTCGCTTCGCGAATACTAACTGGGAAGCGCGCCACTTCATTCCTGATGACGAATTGTTCAACGTTATTTCTGAATCTGCTATCAAGCTTGCTTTAAGAAGCTCTAAGGTCCCACTCCACGAGATCATAGACTTGACATACGGCATTCTGCGAGGCGCTCGGAGATGTTTCGCAATCTTAGTCTTCATAGGTCATGGCGAGGCTATTTCTAGCTTCTTCAGACACGACTCGCTGCGATCTCATCCCGACGATCGTTTGCCTTACACTTCAGAAGTACTACAGCGAATATTCGAGAAAAATGCGGCAAGCTCTGTGGTCAGGAATTTCCTCGAGAAGCAATGGGAATTCTTTGTCCCTATTATGCACCAACATAACATTGACCGGATACTTGACACGAACACTATACTGCCTTTTCTACAAGAGGAGGCTGTTGGTGAAGGGGCAATGGGCGTGGTTTCAAAAGTCAAGCTCCATCCCCAGTGCCATCGACTGCCGTTGCAAAAACATGAGGTTAGTGTCCGTTCTGTGGCCCGCCGACCACATTGAGCTACAATCCTTTCTGACCCCATATCGTACACCTCTTCAGGCTATCAGGAAGCAAATCAAATACAGAGAGAAGCATAACCTTGATTTTCAAAAAGAGTTGAAAAGCTTAGCTCTCCTTACACATTTGAAGCACCCGAACATCGTCCAACTATACTGCGCCTACGAATACCGACAAGTGTACAACTTCATATTTGCCCTTGCCGATAGTGGCTCACTTGCCAACCTTCTCAACGGGGAGCGGGTGACGAATGGGCAAGAGGAGCTGCAACTTCCACTCGCCCTTGCGGGACTGGCCGATGCATTGGACGCCATGCATAACTTCACGTCAAAAGCGCTTGATACTAACCTATCTGGTTGCCACCATGACCTTGCGCCTCGAAATGTTTTGATCCATGGAAAGTCTTTCTTACTGGCTGATTTGGGACTCTCGAGTTTCCAAAACACGGAAGACGACTCTTCGACCACCTTTAAAGGGGTTGATGGCTCCTATGCCGCCCCCGAATTTCAAACCTTCCGCGACGGTCACGTTCATGTCCGCCGCGCGAGCGATATATGGTCCTTCGGATGTATCATTGCAGAGGTGTTGACTTACATGGTGGAGGGTTCGGCTGGAGTCAAGAGATTTCGGGATAAGAGGGATTTTGAGTGGGCTCCTGGCACCTGGTGGATTCGCTTCCATCGAGGACCTGAGACGCCGAGTCCTGAAGTCACAACCTGGTTGAATAACTTAAAGGCAGACAGGGAACCATATCGGGTACGGATGGTTGGCCTGATTCAGAAGATGCTCTTATTGGATCCGAAGAAACGACCTCGCTCCGCGGAAGTGAAGAAGTTTCTTCGTGGAATATCTATCTTATTTGCGGCAAAGCCTATAAGCCAGGGCCTGGACGGTGCATACAACGTTGATAAGTGCATCGACCTTCTACTAGGCAACAAGCGCTTCCAAAGCTGGCTCTTTGCCTTCAGTCGATTACTCGACGCAATGGACCAAACCGAACCGAGTGACCTCGATTTTGACTTCCCCAAGACTGTTCAGGCGCTGGAAGATATGCAACGCATCTTAGAGGGCAGTGGGGAGAGGGCCAATAACACCAAATACCTGAAGTACTCCCTTCTCCGATATGAGCACGCGAGGCTGGTGGAGGCGCTTCCGCTATCCTATCGCTCTATCGCGAAGGAGCATTTGGTAAATGAGGTTCTGAAAGAGGATGATGAGGAGCAATTAAACAAGTTATCGACGGCGATCACTGATATAGACGACAAAGACATCGGCACTTTACTGGCTGTCAAGCATCTCACAGCCCTTGCTGAGACTGGCCGTTTAATCGAGCAGACGGAGCTGGTTCTCAACCAAAGAGATGTTACCCTAATGGATCCCGTCGACATCCATCACCTCGCTTCTCTGGCACCAGAATCTGAGCATGTTCTTGTGGAGTGGCTGAGATACAGGGAACCGTGGGCAGATAATGCCATCGGGGCGGAGCTTCGACGTCGGCTAACGAGTGTGGCTAGCCTACTCCATGACGACAGCACCACACAGATTCCCGGCAGCTTACGCTGTAGAGGTATATTCCATGATGAGTGCCAACCGGCCTTAGGCTTTGTCTACGATATCCCGCCCGGAACGCATGCGGTTACTCTATACGGGCTTCTCGATGCAGAAGAAGCCTCTTAATCTGTGCTTGAATATCGATTTCGACTGGCTTTCGACATCTGCCGATGCATCTACACGTTTCACAAAGTTGGATGGCTGCACCGTAACTTCCACTCGATGAACGTACTTTTCTTCCCACCGGAGGGGGCCAAGAAAGCCGAATGGGCCAAAGAACCACGAATTTTAGGTTTCGCTGGCAGTCGGGAAAACCAGCTCGATTTGCACACCCATGGACCAGATGTTGACAGCGAGCTCCAGAGCTATCAGCATCCAGAGTACTTGACACATAATTCACGCTACCGAGAGGAGTTTGACTACTACTCGGTCGGCATAATCCTTTTGGAGATTGGGCTGTGGAAAACTTTGTCCGGGATTACAAAGGCGAAGCGCTTCAAAGGCATATCAGACGAAGAGTTCAGGAGAGAGATCCTGAGAAGTAAGGTTCCGCAAATTGGTATCATCATGGGAACACGTTATATGGAGGCAACCCGTATATGTCTAGAGGGAGACTTCGTGGGAACGTCGGCTGATGCAGATGGGGGAGACAATTGTTCTATGGCATTCAAGAATTTGGTCATGGATCGGATTCCACTCATGGAATAGGGTTACGGAACGCATGTTTAATGAATTATGATCAACTTGCGCAATTTGTAGCGAGCCTTTTGTATCCTAGGTAGGTAGGTTGAAGTACGTCTAAAGAGCTGTGCTAGCGGTGAGTTGTGGACGCAAAGCTGAGCCATGGATCTTCACGGCGCTGGATGCATTTAGACATGGGGACCAGATATATTGATTATTAAATATCCCTTGGATCTTCAAGCCAGATATCGATCCAAAGAGCGCGCTGGCCTTAGCTGCTGGCAATTCCACTAGGAATCATTCTCACTTGTTGACGCCCCAGCTGTCTTCTGTCAGATGGAAAGGGGTGCTGTCAGATGGCAAGGAATGCATGCAGTTGAATGGAGCTCAGCGGGGCTGAGCTCCAGTGTGGCCAAGCAAGGGCTTAGCTAGGCTGAGCACTTGCGTGGTCATCTGGGATGAAAAAGGGGCTCAGGTGGGTTGAGCTAGCTGCGCTAGCTCTAGTATGGCCACTTTTCCCACCACCATTGCCATTACTTATCACTATAATAGAGGCCCTCTAGCAGGGCCAGAGAGAAAGACAGAACACACAATCAAGACTTTCAACTTTCACCAAATCCAAGGAGTCCAACGTGCAGTGTGTTATCTGACATCTTCACAGGTTCAGCGCACGTTCTCCCATATCCGGCCCCCAACCCCCACAGTGTCATCCTCGTAGGGTTGTGGCACACAGTCTTATCACGTGCATCGTTGCCCAACCGGAACTCACCGCCATTCCAACAACTTTTCTGTGGAAGCGAGATGTTGATTCACCTCAAAATCTTACGTCGCAGTACTATACCATAAAGTCACTAGACGTGGCGACCCAACAAAGAAATCGCCCCACAACGAAATTGGCCCACGCCATGCCCACACCCACTCCACGGGCGCAAATTATCCATTTCTACACAAAATAACTAGCAAAAAAATACTCAATCCTCTTCTTCGGCCTGTCTATATTGTTCGAGCCCACGGGCGATTATTTCCCGGGCTTCTTCGACTGCATGTGGCTGGCTTTCTGCCCGAGCCGTTTTTTTCCGCTTTGGGGGTATTTGACTAGCTTTTTGTGCCTTGGCGATGTCCTCTATACGTGCAAATCGCTCATTTCCATCTTCATATACCCTCTTACGCGTGCGAGGCTTTGAAGCCTCTAATTCGGTTGTGAGATGCGTAATTTGTGCCTTCAAAGACGCGATCTCTGTATTCTTCAGATCCAGGGACCTCCCGACCTTAGTAAACAAGGCCCGCACACGCCGCTGAGCCGGACTGAGGGCATTCCGAATACTGTCCTGGTACTTCTTGATGTCCTGACTGCCGTGCGGTGTTTTGAAGAGCCTGTCATCGTCGTTCGGGGCCGTCGGCGGCGGTGTTGAAGGCCGGGCCGGGAGTGCCTCATTGTCCTTGACCGCCTCAGGGTCATCAAGTAAACAAGCCGGGTTGAAGGGCCAAATCCCGGTTTTACTGAAGCCCGACATGATGTTACGGGCACTCATGCCTTTACCCGAGGCATCTCTGTAGCAGTAAAGGAACCGAACCTTGTTGACAGGAGCTGACGATGTGAAGCTCGCGAGGGCCTTGGTATTTTCCCTAAAATAGGTCTTTAAAGGTGAAAAGACCGAGCGATCGAGAGGCTGAGACTTGTGCGATGTATGAGAAGGTAAATAGACGAACTGGACCTTATTTTGGAAGGCCGCTAACATGAATTTTTCGTTCATATGGCTCGAATGTTCGTCAAGGATCAGTATACGCCATTCGCCCGGCCTTTGGGGCTTTGTTTGGATCAGGTAGACCTCTTTGAGCCATTTCAGCGCAATACTGGCGTTGCTCCAGCCTGTAATTGAGTAATCGTACTTCCATTCCCGGAATTCCTTCGTCAGGTTGAAGTTATCAGGAAAGTGTTGTCCTTGAAGACTGGCCCCGGTAAATATGATCACGGGCTTCAAACGAACGCCCTCAGCAGTGCCGCATTCGATAACTGAAACCCAGGTTGTTGCATCAGAGCTTTTCACGTAGGTTCGGTTCGTCAGGGAGCTTCCTATGACCTTTCCGGCCCGGGTCTCGAGCTCCTGCATGCCGTGCTCATCCATGTTAGCGATGTTGGCCGGGATGACCTTTTTATCCTTGATTTGGAAGGCCAGGCGCTTGAAGAAAGCTTCATAAGCTTCACGAGTAGATCCGCAGACTCGAGAGGATTCCAACAAGGTTGAATTCTTCATCTTTACCGCCGGGTTGCGGCGTAGGAAGCGGTCCACATATCGCTCCCCAATGGTCTTTTTCGTGCCGGCCTCATTGAGTATAGCTTGAGCGAATCTCTGCACCTGACGACGGCTAGGAGCCCTGCCTGCAGCCTCCTCATTGAGGCACCAGTCGGCTAGGAAGCTTTCCTGCGCATTGGAGAGGTTTCTTTCGGCTTGTTTACTTTGTGCTCGATTTTCTGCCCCGTGGATGCGTTTGCAGAGGGTAGAAGGAGGGATCCCGAAGTCATGCGCGGCCTGCTTCTGCGATGCGCCCTGTTCAACTGCAAGTATTGCAGATTGAATTAGCTGCTCTCGACGGTTCGACATGATGTATTTTGAAGCTATTCGAGCCTGAATTGATGAAGTTGTGTTGTGTTGAAGTTGAAGGGCGGGAAATTAGATGACAGGGGCAGAGATTTCGTTGTGGGGCGATTTCTTTGTTGGGTCGCCACGTCTAAGCCGATTCATATCACCTATTACCATTATGACAACCTCTGGCTGTTATTCTTCCGTCTCCTGGCCCCCTTTGCGATCCTCTTCAAGCGCAGAGGTGCAGGGAACGGAGCCTGAGCCTGACAGATTCAACTTCCTGTCCTTCCTCGCTACGGTTCAAGCCCTGCAAATCGAAATTCTACCTCTCGTCTGGGATATAACGCACGATGATGACAAAGGCTTCGGTGGGACTTCGGTCATCTACCAGGCTCTAGTCAACTTAGATACGAGCTTTGCCTTCAAGACTTACCGCAAGCAACAAAAGACCGAAGAGCAGGTCTTCCAAATTCTTATTAATGAAATCACTGTATTGAGCGAACCCTCGGTTCGCGAACATACGAATATCGCCCAGCTACAAGGAATCTGCTGGGAAATCTCTCCTAGCGACGACAAGCCATGGCCAGTCCTAGTGTTTGAGAAATCTCATCACGGAGACTTAGATCATTTCGCAAGGCATGGAGGACGAGGCATGATGACCAACGACCGACTTAGGCTTTGTCTGGATGTTGGGAGAGCAGTCATAGACATGCACAGCAACCGTAAGCAGACCGCCCTTTCAGATAGAACGATGACTAACAAAGCTACGGAAATCGTTCATGGGGATATCAAACCAAAAAATGTCCTAGTCTTCCAAGACATATCCGGGGAATATCGCGCAAAAGTTATAGACTTCGGGTACTCCTCACGATACATCCGCCATGATCAACGACTTCGACTGCCTAGATCGGAACCATGGCATGCGCCAGAAATACCGCCATGGAACGACCGCCGCAGATGTGAGTGGGCTCCCTCAGATGCAACGAAAACCGACCTATTCTCCTTCGGTATGCTATGTCTCTGGCTCTCGTTTGAGCCCTCCTTATCGGGAATAAATCCTCCACCACAAGGGATTGATGTGGTAGACGTCGAGTCTCCTACACAAGCAGAAGACAGGCTACGCACGAAGAAGGAAAAACTCCAGGCGTATGCGCAGCAGCTCTTAGCATCGGACACAACATTGGAGGGCGATACGAAGATGGCTCTAAGAGAATTCTTCGATTCAAGCTTGAGTCAAGATCCTGATGATCGGGAACTGAGTCTCTCAACATTGTTGAGAAGGCTAGATCCACAAAGGTGAGCGGATTCTTTTGGGGAAAATCGCGAAGCTAACAGACAAGAAGGACACCGCTTCGGGAGACTCTAGTAACAGCGACAAGTATTAGGCCTGATATACGAAAGGTTGATTTCAAGGTAATATTACTTCAAAAATTTATGAAATATTCTTTTTATATTTCGTTAACATTAATTAGATCGAGACTACAATTCGAGACTTCTATCGCAGCGATTACCGAGTTCGGTCCTACCTTGCTCGCTGTCTCCTAAGAGATCATTCCCAGTCGCCATTTCTTGCTATTCAAGCAGCCTCTTGCTACTACCTAGGCTTTGGTGTTGCAAGAGATCAAGCTAAAGCCGAGAGTATTCTCAGCCGAGGCAATCTGAATATCCAAGTCGTCAAAGACATAGTTTCTAACCTACATATAAAGAGTAGTGGCTTCCGGGCTTCTACCATTTCTGAATTGGCGGTCATGGGACACACCCGTTGGTCGGATTTTTCCTATTCCTACCTTGAACAGAATAGGCTAGATGAGGCAGAGGTGCAACTGATACGAGAAACCGATGATTTAATTTTCGTATTTGGTCAAGATCATTTCCTTACAAACCTATCCAGGGAGATGCTTGCAGCTATTTATAGCATCCAGGGCAGATCAGAGGAGGCCGAGAAGCTGTTTGTGCAGGTGATGGAGACGAGCAAGACCAAGCTCGGGGCCGACCACCCTTCTACACTGACGAGCATGGCCAACTTAGCATCGACATTTTGGAACCAAGGGAGGTGGGAGGAGGCCGAGAAGCTGGAAGTGCAGGTGATGGAGACGAGCAAGACCAAGCTCGGGGCCGACCACCCTTCTACACTGACGAGCATGGCCAACCTAGCATCGACATACAGCAACCAAGGGAGGTGGGAGAAGGCCGAGAAGCTGTTTGTGCAGGTGATGGAGACGAGCAAGACCAAGCTCGGGGCCGACCACCCTTCTACACTGACGAGCATGGCCAACCTAGCATCGACATTTTGGAACCAAGGGAGGTGGGAGGAGGCCGAGAAGCTGGAAGTGCAGGTGATGGAGACGAGCAAGACCAAGCTCGGGGCCGACCACCCTTCTACACTGACGAGCATGAACAATCTCGCTTTTACTTGGAAATATCAAGGTCTACACATAGAAGCCTTAGCCTTAATGGAAGGCTGTGCCTGGGCTCGGCAGCGAGCCCTTGGTCCGAGGCATCCAGATACACTATCGTCTTTGGCTACTATATACCAATGGAGTAGCTAAGGCGCTTCTAATTCTTAGTCTTGTTTAAATGCATAATATATGAGCCTGTAAGCAGCAGGATCCAATCCAAGACCTATAGTACCACTAAGCAATTCGTCTGTCACTATTGTGACGGCGACCTCAATTGACGTGCAAACCAACCGCGCCACCTTTCCAAAAGGAATGCCAGATTTCTAAGGCTGGCCTTAGAACTCTAGATTGCACGTTATATGCACGGCTGCACTTGCTAAGTGCCCGCGCTACGATACCACGAGCCGTGACGGCAGTGATACAGAAGAGTCTGAAAAACTGGTAAAGAAAGTACTGGTGAAGGAGCCGCATGTTCGTGAGTCCCATAAGCGAGTTTATAATACACTAGCAATAGAAAGAAGAAGAAAGCAACGAGGAGGAAACATTTAGCAAAGAGGACAGAAGAAAAATGAAATATTTTATCACGATTATTTTGGTAATCTGAAGATAAATATAACAGGGTAAGCGCCCCAAGCACGGGTAATACAAGAGATTGCTCCGGCAGTAGGCCAGTCAATGAACTGTATTGCTTACTTGGGTAGGCTAAGTTCTATCTGAATAAGTGTAATTATCTAAGGTTTATAAAATACACGCAATTCACATAATGCTTCATGAATAATTTGTCATTGTTTATGGAAGAATGAGCAAAGTACTCCAATCAGCGAAGATCGAAGGGACCAATCTTTGAGAGGGATAAAGTTTATTTGTCGCGTAAAAAAATTCGGACAAACTGACTAAGCGACAAGCTCGACTACAAGAAGCTGGGACTATTCAAGATTCTAGGGAGAATTTCGACGTCTAACTACAAGATTAACCTCCCCAGCATGCAGGAAAGGCAGGAGGAGGTTCCCGCCGAGGCCGCTGCCGGTTTCTCCACTCACGTAGACCGGCCTCTTCCTCACCCCACCCCCTGCTCCCCGAGTTGACCTCTTCTGTTGCGGAGCGGCACTTAACGCTACTTCCTTGAGGGTGGTTCAATGAACGTGTTTTCCGTCCTGCGTCCTCAGCAGCCCATACACAGGTTGCTGGCGCAGAGGTAGCGCGTGTCACGAAGGAGAGGATTCGACTGGCATAACACGCAGTATAAACGTGACCTGTATTGTGGAATCTAAAGCTAAAGAAGGAAAAGGAAGATGTTGCGGGGAGCGGGCAAGGCGCGGGGTTCTAGGTATGGTGCGGACCACGTGATATGTACGCACAGACCACACTCCAGCACTACGTCATTGACACTACCACGGCACCCGCCGTGACAGCGCGCTCTGCGGCTTTTCTGCGGTAAAGGTGACCGTCTTGCCAGAGGTGCCAGAGAGGTCACAGGTTCGAGTCCTATGCAACCCCTTTCCTTTTGTCTTCTGGTGATTCCCTTGAATCCAAAATGTCTGCCACTTCGAACTCTTCCCCATCGGTTTTTGCTTTCGCTGCATTATTGAGAGGTGCGTTCCTTGGTGCTAGTTCTAACAACAAGATGTGGAATACTTTGCTTTTGAGTTTTATTAAGCTGACATCGAGCCCCTTCAGTTGCCGCGCTGTCTCAACATCGGGGGCCGTTGCAGTTCCGCAAAGCAGGGCCAACCGCTAGGTATCCCGTCGACCTAGCATATAGTAGGAATATGACCGCCGATTAGCGGTACAGAAGGCAGCGTAGGTCTTTGTGAAAACCAGCCACAGGTGATGCCAGTTGTGTCTAATTTGCGCATGCGCTTCATGCGAGGTGCGTGGTCGTCGGGCTTGCTACTGCCGAGGCAGCGCCGGGCTCATGAAGTGCTTGCGCGGAACGGGCACGGCATGAGCGTTACTTTGTCGGCACTACGCTGGAAAAACGGTCTCGATGAGGGAAATCTGTTGGTTGGCCCTCAGCTGGTTGAGGACGACCGATGCCGTTGATTAGCTGGTCTGGGGTTACTCCGCGGAGTCGGACGGAATTCACGAAGGGCAATGTCGGGAAGGTCTATCCCGTATCACGGCTGCTTCACCCTTGCCGGCTCGTCGCGCCTTTCTAGTTGGTAGGATGGCGGTGCCCGTCTGATGAGCACGATCTCGTCGACAGCCCACATCCTTCTCCACTGACAGGACGTGTCGTATGTCTCGCGCGGACCTGATCCGCCTTGTGCTTAAACTAGACGGCAGCGTGCGAGACGGCAACCGCGACAGAAATCCATAGCGCTACTTTGTATCTGTCTCGCAATTGGCCAGGAGTGCGATGTTGCTCAAGGGAACTAGAGCGGCGCAAGAGGCGGCGCCGCACGCAGTATCAGTTCGGACCGAAGGGGCGCTCTTGTCGTGTGGCCACCAGTGATGCCGGTGGTGGCGTCGGATTTGCGGCGTGCTCGCTTTAGTGGTGGCCGGATGGCTGTTGGCTTCAGACCGAGACATACTCTAGTTGTGCTTCGATGGGCATGGGTGACGACTTCGACGCGGTAGACCGTAGGCGGTGCTGCTGTCGGGTAGCTATGGCGATATCTTCGTCAGCCAAATGCCGCGTGGCTGTGCGGAGCCGGGGAGACGCTCCGCCTCGGCGGCGAAAATAGCACATCACGCTAGAAGAAGATCGTGCATTACTCGCTGTCTGATGGTAGAGGTCAGTGTTAGGTTAGGCCAAAACCAGACTACACGGCCCGATAACTGCTGTTCCGAGCCGCTTGGCCTAGATCACAATTACGACCAAGGTTACGGATACTATAAGGTACAGATATCACCGCACAGTCAACTAATTGAGGCAAGGCTGCAATATGGTCGCTGTATTCGTAGAATCTAAAGCTAAGGAAGAAAAAGAAGGAAGTAAGCAACCGAGCCCCGCACTAGGTGCGAGAAGTAGGTTGAGTGTGGGTCACGTGCCCAGGCTGTGCACGGACCACTGCCTAAAACAGGTGACAGGTGCGGCCTGCTGGACCCCACTGGACCTTGCTGTGACAAGGCTGCGGGAAGAGCAATTCCCGGGAGTATTTAGTATGTAAGCTGGGCCATCTTCGCACTTCTGGGACGGGACAACGAGAGAAACATATCTGCGTGCGCGAAAATTGGAGATTGACCACAGAACTAGGAAGGAGCCGGACCCAGCCTCCAACTTCCTGTCCGCTTTGCCAATCCAAACGGCATGGCTCGTGAGGAACGTGCTCAGTCGTGGAATCGCCTCGTCCCCATGCGCTTTGGAGGGCACGAGACATCGATTCACCGGTCTCTCGTACCTCTGCCAATCACGTAAATGCCGAGGCAGAAGGGAGACGGCCGGAGAAGGGAACCCTGGAAGGATATCGTATCGCCACGAATCACGACCTTGACCTAATGCCGCATGATCTAAGGCGTTGCCGGAGGTCGCCCAGGTCGGCCGCTGTGATGCAGGCGCATCATCTCCCTTTCCCTCACCCCTCTGTATGGGCTTGTGCGTCCACCTCCGTATTTACCTCGCCGTCAATCCCAAGAAGGCAAGGATCCGCCTGTCACGTGCCGGGAGTCCTTGTCAGCGGCTCAGAGGCCACGTCACCTTGGGGCCCGCCTCGTCCCCTTGTCTGTTTCACTAACTGTCCTTGATGCGCCAGGGCCGCCTTCCTCTTGCTCTGAAACTGGTCTCTATTGGGCCCAGTCGCCAAGGGGCCGTCGTCAGCTCGGTGTTCCTATCCCCGTCCGCTGCAGGCTGAATCACGGCGTGTGATCCAGAAATAGATTGCAGTCGAATCAGGACGCGGATGTGCCGTTCTTATGACCACTCTCACGCAGGCCCCGCCGAAGCTGCGCCAACTTCGGTCCGAATATGCCCAACGGGATTATCTGAGCTGCAGACGGAGACGTCCCCAATGCGCCAAGCGACGAGGAGGCCTCCTGTTGTCCAATATTGGACGAGGTGGATAACTGCGGCATTTTCGTGAGTGGTTAGAAGCTGCGTGCATTGCAGATTGCACAGGGGACTTACTAGGCAGACACGGAGTCATCCCACGGACGAAGGGAGGCACCCTGGCAGGTGGAGCAAGGGGATGGACGAGGTGAGATGCCAGGCGGAACTTGATCGCTCAGTGTCGACGAAGCGCAAATTCGAGCTGGAGTTGCAGTATGAGTTGAGTGAAAGTCGTGGTCGGAATGAGCCGGAAGGCGAGACGGCCTCAATCGGCAAGCATCAAGGAGTAGGGCTCGGAGAGAGATGTGCGGGTTTTGTCAGGGCGCTGGAAGGAGGGGATGACAAGGGGTAGGTAGGACACGTCCAGCTTACGAGATGAGGATGAGAGAGGTGCGGGCGATGAATGCAATGGGGGGAAGAGAAGAGGCAGGGGCCCGAGTGAAGCAAAGAGGGAGTTGAGAAGTCGAGAGTACGGATCCGTACAAGAAAGGGACGTCGAGGAGGAGGGGCTCTATTTATGCTGCGGGCGCAGCTGGGCCGTGCGAGCACGCGGGTCTGGGGCGGCGCTATACTCGATCGGGAGGGGCGCCTTTCCCGGCGGGTGCAACAGCGTGTTCTGCATTACAAGACAAAAGAAAAACCTTAATTATCAGCTGATCAATCAGGCCAAGCTCCGATTATGCAGCTCCTGCAGCGCCTGCGCATCGTAGTAGCTGGCCTTGGGGCACTCGTGCGGCACGACCGCGTGCTGCTGCTGCTGCTGCTGCTGCTGCTGCTGCTGCTGCTGCTGACCGTACTGTTGGCTCTGATACTGCTGCTGCTGGGGGTACGCCGTGGGCTCGTAGTGCGAGAAGCCGGCCTGCTGCGGCGGCTGTGGCTGGCGGTGCTGCTCGAGCGGATCGGTCGGGTAGCCCGGGGCGTAGCCCGTATTGGTGTTGTTGGCGTGGATGTTGTGCATATTGTGCAGCTCCGGGTTAAGCGCGGCCGCGTAGGCGGGGACGATCTTGCCCTTGCGGAAGCGGTGGAAGACGACCGAGGCGTAGATGAGCACGCCGAGGAAGGAGAGGCTGGTGTGTCGTTGGTGGTTAGTCAGGGTCGCTAGACGGAAGGAATTTGGGAGGGAGACCCACAGGATGACAACATTCAGGAGCAGCGCCAACGGCCCTGGCGAGCCGACCATGGACAGGATGAACAGCACGACCCAGACGGTGGACTGGGCGACGTTGATGATGAGGAACAGGCGCGGGCTGAGGGTGCGGCGCGCGCGCATGACGATGCACACAATGTCGAGCACCAGACACGCGAGGATGATGACGAGGATGACGGACGCGATGGCGATGACCCGCGCCACGTTGACGTTGTACTCGTCCGGGTGCGCGCGCTCGTAGCTGCTCAGGTTCTCCCGGTAGTGCGCGACCACCCCGATGCTCAGCGCGTACACGCCGATCTCGAACAGCATCAGCAAGATGCGTGCCACCCAGAACGGCACCAGCACCCGCTTCATGAACGGCGACGGCTCGCCCACATTGTAGCCTCCTGCCGCCATTCTGGCTGGGCTGGGCGAGGATTCTCGAGCCTGGTCCTGGCTTGGTGGGCGCGCAGTGTGGCTATTGCTTATTATCTTTTCGCTGTGGTCGGAATAGTTGCAGATGGCGTCGCGGAATGTCGAACTGGAGGAACGCCGGGGAAAAGAAAAAGCACCCTATCGGCAGGCAATTGTCCCATTCAATCTGGGGGCTATCCTAGGTAAGCAAAGGGGGGGCGAAATTCAGGAAATCTCAAATCTCTGGAGCTAATCTAGACTGCCGAGACGATGTCGCGGAGGCCTGCTGGTGGCCAATTGACTCCTGAGCGTCTCCACAGAAACGCGGGCCTGACAGCGTATCGCCTACTACTTTGGGCCGCTCGATCCCACCTTTACAGGGGCGCGGTGGCCAAGACTTGATGCGCCAGCCGTCTTTGGAGCCCGAGAAGAGGTTTTACGGGCCGAAACGTCAGCCAAGCTTTGTCGTTTGGCCAAAGGGGGCTTGGGTGGAGCAAACCGGTATTTAACACAAGCAGTCAAGCACAAATCTGGAGAACTGCTATTGAGAACTGCTATAAGGGAGCAATGAAATTGGTGTTTTTTCTGTTCAGAATTCATTTTAGGGCTGAATACTTCCGTAAAGGATATTTCCATCCACCATTCGAGGGTATTCGAGGGCAACACAAGCATCGAAAGGAGACGCCAAACAAGCAAACCACGGCAACCGCCAGACGCTCAAACAGTGCGCACAACGCCGACCTGGGTCCAGGCGTCGCGCACCACCTTGGCAGCATCAGCATCATAGAGCTCGGCGGCGGCGTCGACGGTGGCGTCGGCGAACTGCACAAAGGTGCAGTTCTTGCCGATGCGCCGCTCCGTGACCACCTTCCACCAGACCTGGCCCGCGCGCTCCCACGAGTAGCCGCCGAACGCGGTGGCGGCCAGCACGAAGGCGCGGTTCGGGATGCCCGAGAAGATGTGCACGCCGCCGTAGTCGCGGTTGCGGATAAAGTCCCCGTACTTGGCCATGACGGCCGGCACCTCGGCCACGCTGGCCGGCTGCAGGTCGGCGCCCTGTTGACGTTGCGTCGGTTAGAATCAAGTTCTTGGCGATGTTCGGAGTGGGATGGGTTGCAGGCAGGCAGGCTTGGCAAATAAAGACTCACAAAGCGAGGGTCGTTGTACGCGGTGCCCGGGTTCTTCATGTTGCGCAGCGACACGCCCTTGACGCCCGGCAGCAGGCAGCCTTCGCCGATCAGCCAGTCGGCGTTCTCGGCCGTCTCGTCCTCGACCATCTGCTTCACCATAATGCCGAACACGTCCGACAGGTGTTCGTTCAGCGCGCCAGACTCGTCCTTGTATTCGAGCGCGCTGTTGTACTGCGTGACGGCGTGCTGATTCCCGCGCGAGTTGGTTAGTCACGTGACCCCCCCTGACAGAGACTAGACACGTACCGTCATCTCGTGGCCGATGACGTCGATGCAGCCGGTGAAGTTGTGGATGAAGGTGTTGCCGTCGCCATAAACCATCTGCTCGCTAGAGCTGAGCCAGAAGGCGTTGCCCAGCGACTGGCCAAAGTGCACCGAGCTCTTGACGGGCATGTGGTTGTTGTCGAGCGAGTCGTAGTTGAAGTGCTTCTTGTAGAACTGGAGAACGTTGAGCGCGTTGTCGTAGGCTTCGTTGACGGCCTTGTCCTTGCTCGGGGCCTGCCCCTCGAGACGGACGGCATGGCCGGGGAGCAGGCTGAACGTCCACGGCTTGTTCGCGTCGCCCTTGTTCTTCATGTCGTAGACGCCGCGCCAGAAGCCCGTCTCGGTGCCTTCAGGGCCGGCCTCGGCAGCGAGGCTAGATACGGTGACGGCGGCGTCTGAAGTCGCCACGGCCACGGCCACGGCAGCACGGTCGTCGCGGACCTCTTGGGACAGCTGGAGGCTCTTCTGAGCGGCTTCCTTGGTGTCGTCGTCGACTTGGTCCGATGTGGACACTGCCTCGAGCAGAGCACCTGGGACGATGCCCTGGGGAGCTGAGCCATGGCCGTGGTGGCCATGGCCGCCGTGCTGGTGGCCTAGCGAGGCACATTTGGCGGCGAACAGGTCGTGGCGATGCTTGTGAAGAGTCTCCTGTAGAGCAAAGGTTGAATGGGCACTCTCGCGGACCTCGTCATCTTCACAGTTGCACAGGCTCTCCAGGAGATAGGGCGGGATAATGGAGCACATGTAGCCGTGGGAAGCCATGGTGAGAGAGTGAGTGGGAGCGACGTTTCCGGAGCGCAGATATGAGAAGTGTCACGTAATGCTTTTCTTTCAAAGATATCAGCGGTCGAGCTTGGCAGAATTTGTAACAGAAAGAGGGCAACGGGGATGTCTAGACCATACTAACCTCAAATCTGGCAGCGGCAACGCGCACACATATTTATGCCCTAGCCCCTGGGCTCTACCACTCGTGCAATATGCCAAGCTGCTAGCTGTCTGGGCATCTGTGACTAGTTGCTTTATTCTCCGCGTGCTGGAGAGGGTGGTGGTCGACATGCACCTAATTACCTGATTGGCTGGACTTGCACCAACCCAATCCGTCGCACATGCAGTTTCAGCCAGCCACATTCGCCTCTAGCTGCCTCTGATAAGACTTGGCGGAGAGCCTTGTGTGCTTTGGGGTTTGGCGTTCCCAGAACGGCCGGCCCTGCCCCGCCTTCGAGATAGTCCGTAGGGCTGAGCCGATCTATTGCCCGCCACAGGCTGGGCACGCGACATATCGCCGCCGTCGGATTGGCCATGCCATCTCGGTTGAGCTCACCGGCCTACTTCTGCGCTGCGGACCTCGAGTGTCAAGAGCGGGGTATTCTGCTTGGCTCAGCCTCCATTTGCAATCGCGCGCGTGCGTTGAATGGGTCGCATTAAAATCGGTGACAGCGACCAAGTGTGGGCACGCTGGCCTTCGATTGGCTGTGGGTCTGGAGCTCCACCGCACACATTGCATTGCCGGGCAGCCTAGCCCTACGACCTCGCCTGCGAGACAGGACAATTTCTTCCGGCGCGACTCTCATTGGACGATAGGGTGGGCATTCCAGGAATCTCGGACGTAGGGCTGAACGGAGATTGCGTTGGGGATACGTCGCTGTTATCGCCCTCCGCGAAACTGCTGCAACTGGAATACACTGCCGTGGTCGGGACTGCCGAATTCTACACTAACTGCTCAGCATTCCCTGCTGGATCCACCGAAGCTGGCCAATCAGATTCCGCGCTCAGGCCACCGTCTTGTACCTCGACCAACAAGCCTAAGCACCAGCCACTTCACTGTTAAAGTCACCATGTCTTGATACATACACTGCATCCTCTGTTAGAAGCACTACACTCTTGGAACTGATGGAATTGCAACTGTGCGATTGTATTCCTTCTCCTGGCTCTCTAGCTTCGCCAGAGAGCCTCTATTATAGTTGTGGATGGTGACAAGCCATTGCGCGTCAGTATACACGGCTGTGGCTACTTATTACAAATCCACAGTTCTAGTGGTTTCCAGACCTTTCTTTCTGGCTGTAGCTACTTCGGTAGCCTAGCGGTCCTCTATAGCTTGTAGGCTTCTGGTGCGCCTAGCTTTCGGTGCTCTGGGCGGTCGTTGGTCTTCTAGGGTGCTCTGAAGGCGCCGTGGTTGGTCCATTGTGGTGGTGGTTATAGTGGTTGTGATTGGTCGTTGATTTTGTTGAGGGGCTTCGAGGTAGTCACGTGCTTAAAAAATTTCGTGTCGATGGTCGCGTCGGGTGCCGCGATTACCCTCCTACTTCAACCACTCACCACGCACGCGCAATTAGCTGCACATGATGATAATTAATATTAATAGATAGGATTTTGCAAGTGCTTTCGAACGCAGTTGGTTGCAGTTACTTTAGTGTCATAGCGGTGGTACTGTGTTGTTGCGCACAAAGCAGTCAAAATAGATGTATTCGATTGATCAAAATTGTAGGAGGAAAGCAGTGCGCAGGGCCTTCTTCCCGTGGAAAAAATGCTCCTTGTCAACCTGTACGCACTAGGCCTTTGTAGGCGTAGATCCTCGCTTGGAAAACATGCAGCCCAATTGGGCCTAGTCACATGACAGTTGTCGTCTTTCCCCTGAATATGTCATATCGTGTATTTATGTGCTTAGGCACTGCCCCGAAACGATCAAGAAGCCCGCAGCGCGCAGAGAGTTCGAAGGACCACGAGCGATTGTAGAGAGATCGGGCGCCGCATGAGTTAAAGCTACCTACTTTCCTATTTTCAAAGGTATTAAACTAACCTTTTACTCTCTAAGCTCGGGTACGACTAGCATGTCTGATTCACGAGGTCCTCGTCTCCTACTCTATAAATAGATCCCAAGACAAAATAAGCTAAGCAAGGTAACTTATCTCTGTGCATGTTCGAGACAACGTCGGAAGTCAGTTCCTTTGTAATGTCGAATCCGACAGCTTAGGCAATAACCGAGTTTATAACGGCCGCTGCAAATTTTTGGCAAGGTTAGCAGCTGCTAGGAAGAGGTTCCGGCGACCTAGGGGAGAGAGTGAGAAATATACGTTTAGTTATCATAGGCCGGGCAAAAAGGTTGGTGTAGCCCCGATCTATGCACTTGTCTCGGAATTCGGAAATGGTTTCACTGCCGGAAATGAGCAGGGCTCCGCCCGTCGTGGCATCGATATTGGCATGGCAAATGTCCACGACGTGCTCGGAGGTGGCCCGAGCTGGACGAAAGAGGCAGTAACAATGACGATTAAAGTAGGTCCGGAGAGGATCAAGCGGGGCTACCGTGGGCTGCGCGTCGATGTTTATATTCATGTGCTGGACCCGGTGCTGCCAGAAAGGGTTGTTGCACCTATGGGCCATGGTACCCTCCCATCCAAATAGGGGCCCCATATGGATATAACCCCACGGCTCGTCAGTAGTCAGCCTCAGCCCTCTGACGACGTTAACCTGCGACAAGTGTAGTTAGTTGAAGCTGCACGTCCTCGTTGAGAGGGGGGGCCAAAAGAAACAGTCGAGGAGCTCACAGGATGAGGGTTTCCGGGTCTTTTGCCCAGGGACTGGAGAGTTACCATAGCCAGGGCGGCAAGGTCGAAGCAGTTAACGCAACGCTGTCTCTTCAGAAAGATGGACTCGAGGTTGAGCGAACCGTGGCGGAGGTGCTTGGATACGCCTCCTTTGGCCCAGCGGGAATCGTAATACAATGGCCGGTCGCTGGTGTAGCCGCTGCCAAGATTCCATAGCCCTTTAACGACACCGAAGATGATGTCTTCCTCGAGGGCAGCCCACGTCTTGCCAGCTATAGACTCGTACGGAGGAAATGAGATGCGGACCAGCTCCAGGAAGAAAACGCCGGGGTGTCCGTAGGCGGTGGCATCGTCGCCAAGCGAAAAGTAAAGCTCAAGGGGAATCTTGCCAGCGTTGGGAGATATATTAGTAGTCCTAGCGTCATCCAACACGGTCCATAACCAATCTCCCTGGACTTTAAACGGGGAGTCAATGGTCGCGCCCATGTGTGAAAAGCCGGTGGCGGTGAATTCGAGGGCGGACCCAGTTCCCTTGATGGAGATCGAGGAGCTGTAGATGCTAAAGGACCCTAGGGAACCCCTGAGGCGATAGTTCGTCTTGTCTTGAGTGATCGGGAAGGCAAACTCCCCCGTGACTGTGAGCGGTATATCGTTCTTGTTCCAGAGGAAGATGGCGGGATAATTTTTTTCCCGCCTGCCGGACCAAATGGTCTGGTCCTCAGGGAGCGTCCATCTCTGATCTCTACCAAAGCGCTCACGCAAGTCCAAATCATGCTCGGAATTGACCCGTCTGATCCGAGTAATAACCGGGAAAGACATGGCTTTGGTTGGTAAAAAAGTGAGATAGATTAGGGTGGCAAAGACAGCAATAGAATGATAGAATAATGAAATCGTAAATTAGGGAGGGAGGTGGGGGGGGGAGGTTCCGGGGGACTTCAGGGCTGAGGCTTGGGTCTGGGGTTTCGTTTGGGTTTGAACAGATAGCTTGGGGAGTTGGTGTAGGGGTTGAGTTACATATATATATATATGTATCTTAGCTAGGTCGGCTTGCTCGCGGGCGCCAGGCACTAACAATCTCATTGAACGAATTCGGCTCGGAATGGATAATTATGTGGCATAGCGCTTAGCCCCGCCGTTGGCCGGGCTAGCCCTCACTCAGCCTTGGGTTCAGAAGTGCTTCTTGCTCTTCGACGTAACTTCGACCCCAAGGGAAATAAAATGGTTCAGAAACCTTGCCGATACAGAGGATTGCATTCTGAGGGAGGCGTCTAGACGTGTAGGGTAGGATACGAAATTGGTTCTCATCGCCATCCGTTTTAGCGTCATCGCGCCTTACCGTGCGCCATTCCTCTCCATCCTGCTCGCATTGTCCTCGTCTTCCTTTATCTAACGTGATCGCGCCTTACCGCACGCCATTCCTTCCCATCCTCCTCGCATTTTTCTCGTCTTCATTTATCTAACGTGATCGCGCCTTACCACACGCCATTCCTTCCCATCCTCCTCGCATTTTCCTCGTGTAGCGTCGTGCCCCGCGCGACCAACCACGCCACTCTACGGCCGAATAGTCTACGCGCCGCTCATGAATATCTGCCTGAAACATCCAGCTGAGGCGTTTTAGGCAGCCTTTCAACTCTGTTGGGTCTCTGCGACACATCTCCACCAACGCGATCCGAAGCCTTTGACGAGTCAGAGCAGCGACAATATCAAGTCCACCATTTTGGTACATTAAAAACGTATGTCTCGGCATATATATTGTAATACACATCCCCGGATCGGAGCCACGACCATACCTCGGCCAGCCATCATCAGCAACCTCGCCTTCAAACTACCACAAACTACCACCAGCCTCGAAACAGGAAAGATTTCCCTCCTTTGGCCTTCACCGCGCAAGGACAAGAAGTAGACCCAGACCAGGCCTGCGCACCAGCCAATCATGCCGCACAGTGAGCCCTCCAACCAAAATGCGCAGCCGAAGGAGACGACTCTGCCTACGCGGCAAAAATCGGTAGAGGAGGCGCCAACACCAGCCACGCTGGAAGAGGTCTTAGCCAAGGCTAAGACGGGTCATGCCTCGAACGGAAAGAAGAGCACGGCGAGTCTAGACGCCGACACCATGATATCTCTGGCCCAGGGTACCATTACCGAGGCATCAAAAAAGCCGACGCTGGAGACAACTCACAGTGGTTTTCTGACGCCTACCGGCATGTCTGTGTCGTACATGATCTGTGGTGGGGAGAGCGACGTCGCTGTTGACATTCTGCACGCCACGACCAAAGAGGTTGCCGAAGCCGCCTTTCGCACAGCATTAGAAACTTTCCAGGGCGACCTGTCTCAGTGGACCAAACCAACCACGGATCTCGGCCAGCTCGCGCTCCAAAAGGCAGGTACCATCATGTGGCATCACAACTCCATCATGGTCACGGTCCACGCCCAGCCTACGTCGTCGCAGGTGCCCAAGCGTAAGCAGTACTCCGTGCCATCTGACCCATGGATGCTTTAAGCTAACATTTGGTGTCCACATTTGGTCTTTCCCAATACCTAGTTGCCCAAGAGAGTAGAGATCAGCCAAAACCCAAGCCGCAAAATGCCAACCACGTTCTCGCGAAGCCTGATACTTCCGAGATCTCCGCGGGCAACAACACCAACCGGGGAGTGCCCACGGTCTCTGCTACCCATCCAACGGCTAGAGAATACCTCGTGAATTTCGCCAACAAACTCGAGGACCACCTTGTCAAGTACGACGCAGCGTCGCATAGCATCGCGCCCAAGCCGGCACTGAAAAGGCCCGGGCCCATCAAGTGCAAAGCTTTGACCGAGCCGTTCCCCGAGGTCGAGCTCGTGCCAAATGACACGCTGCATGAGGTCGTCTTCATCAAGTACATCACCGGCCAAGATGTGCTGAAGCAGATGAACGATACATTGGTAAACGGCAAGCTCAGATTCAAGCCCCTCAAGGCTGGCAACGCCGAGCTCCAGATCTACGTGGCGGATAAGTCGACTCTCATCATCGGCTCCGTCACCGTCGCCTTCACAATCGAGTCCAAGCCCTGAGGACCGGGTTATTTGCGGTCTGGGACAGCTGGTCCATTGTGTCGGTTACAACCGGATGCAGGATTTCAGTCATTCCAATGCCTGTAGGTAAGGCAGGGTGGGCGGCGATATATTCGACACCCCTGTACGAATATTTGGCGAATATGATACGCTAAAATCGACATAAGTTCTAGTGTGGTAAACGCTAAAAATTAGTGAGATGAATACTGTAACCTATTAGGCTGGCGCTAAGCTACAGCGGGTATTTTCCCTTTACGTTTTGCTGCCAGCTTCGCCCCCTATGGTGCCCGCAATAGCAGTCCTCATCTCGCTAAGTTTTAGTGCATCATATTCGCCGAATATTTGTATAGGATTTCGGTCATTCTAATGCCTGTAGGTACGGAAGGAATGGATAAACAATGGGCTGCCATGTCGGTGTTCATGGTGTAGGTGCTGATGGCAGATGGACGTTCTCTTCGTGCGCACGGTGTTAGAGCTACAACGGTTTTGGTGGTGGCGATATCAACAATAGGATATCTACACTTGGCTCTTGGCGGCTTGGTCAGCCGCTTAGTGATGCATTAGCGCCAAATATCGACCGTGCCCTCAGCGCTAGTCACCAACGAACAATATTCGCCCAATCGTATGCCGGCAGGCTAGCATTTTTTTTTGTAGGTGTTTTACACATTCACAACTCTGTAAAAAGGATCATTTTAGAGAAGATGGGCTTGTAATGTCTGTCAAAATGCAGCAAATAGTCCAGAATTAGAGCCCTTGAACTTCCTTCCTCTACGGCCTCCTCTTCTTCTTGGTGTCACGGCGGGTGCCGTGGTGGTGTCAATGACGTAGTGCTGGAGTGTGGTCTGTGCGTACCTATCACGTGGTCCGCACCATACCTAGAACCCCGCGCCTTGCCCGCTCCCGGCAACACCTTCCTTTTCCTTCCTTAGCTTTAGATTCCACAATACAAGTTACGGTTATACTGCGTGTTATGCCAGTCGAATCCTCTCCTTCGTGACAATTGTGGTAGTGAGGCCCCCATCACAAGGGCAGCTCGCTATTCACTACGCATCGGTAATCTCAGTCTATTTGGGTTACCGAGTTCGAACGGATACCACCTGTAAGGAAAGAGCACCCCAAACGCCCGGCCCGGCCCAGGCGCCACCAACTGGCCCCAAACACCCGGTTCAGGCACCCGCCAGATTGAGCCACCCAACTATGTATATAAATAGTTGCCCTCGCCCACCTTCCTTTGCGAGGGCCAGGTTGAAGTCTTTTACCAATGCCAGTCATTGCTCGCCCTCTTGTTCCCTCCATCGTGACCACCTTGATCAGGCGTACCTGCCTTCTCTTACACCACCAAACTAGACTTTTGAGGCCGCCAAACTTAATGAATGAGCCCGCAGGGGTCGGTAAAGTCTGGGTCTTTACGGGCAAGGGCAGCTCGCTATTCACTACGTATCGGTAATCTTAGTCTGCTTGGGTCACCGAGTTCGAACGCTCCATCTTTGCCGGTAATTGTAATTCGCTAGTCGGGCGGGCCGTACTTTGGCTCGTTGTCGAAGTGTAAGGAAAGGACAACCCAAACACCAGCCGCGCGCACAGGGTGCGCGCTCACCACCTGTTACCAACTGGCCGGAACACTGCCAGTTGGCACAAGCCACTACGCCACGCCATGGCGCCCCGGGCCTGAGCCCCTGAGCACGTATATAAACAGTGGCCCTCGCCCACCTTCCTTTGCGAGGGCCAGGTTGAAGTCTCACACCAATACTACTCGTTGCTCGCCCACCTTCTTACCTGCATTGTGACCACCTTGATCCGGCGTACCTGCCTTTATTACAAACCACTCGACTGTTAGGGTCGTCTGTCTGTAAGGGAGCACGGGCTCCACAGGATGCTGGGGTTGGTAATTATGAAGATAGAACAAAGGGCAAGCTCCTATCGCACGGGTAATGTGAGGGCCTGGTCCTCCAGGCCTCCCAGACGCTCTGACTAATCAGACGCCAGTTGGGTGGATCCACCCGACCAGCCAGAGCCCCACCTTGAGAAGCCCTGGAAGAATCTCGCGAGGGGAGGCTTTTGAGCTTCTTTTCCCTTTTCCCTTTAGTTTAGAATCTTCGTCTATAGCGCCCAATAGAGGAGTTCCGCCCTCATTTCAAGCCGGCCGTGACAATGCCCACCTTTCTGAACCTTCCGAATACAACACTTTTTGCCCTCAATTAATGCAGCGTTGTATGTGACAGCAATCTGTTTAGGCGCCTTGGAGAAACAGAATAGCTGGACCTCTTTGTGTGAAAGAAATTGCATCTGTAACTGACGGGCCGACTTTTTCCCTAGCCCGCGGTCCCCACCCGACGCGCCCCTTTGCACTTGCCCAAGCCGCCGCCGATCCCCCACCACCTACGTCATCAACTCTGGAAGATCCCTTTGCTCTCCCCACCATCTTGACATCCCTACCACATTACGTTCTTAACAACAACCGCAGGAATCTGAGTTTAACAAACGGCCATTCTCAATATTGACCATTCTCAATATTGACCATCCTCGTCTGATTCGCCCTCTAAAACAACAAAGAAAACCAACAGAAACATGGCCGAAGTTGCAGCGGCCGCCATCGCCGTCGAGCAGGTCGTAGCCACGGGCGTCGAAGTGGCTGTCGCCGCGGCCGTAGCATCGCCGACACAACCGCCTAAAGTGACCCTGACGCAGCTGTCCAAGCCGCAGGGCAGCGAGCCGTAAGTTAAACAACCGACCTCCCTCCCCCATTACAGGGCCACAATCACAACTCACACACCCCCCGTTCCTCAACGACACTAGGCCGGACCTCGCCCGCTCGCACCTCGTCCGCTCGCACCACAGCGTAACCGTGCTCGGCGACACGGCATACATCTTCGGCGGCGAGAGCCGCGACGGCACGCTCTGCTCGGCCGACATGGTGTCGGTCTCGCTGCCAGACAGCAAGTTCGCGGCACCGGAGACACAGTACCAGCTGATCCAAGCACTCCCCACGAAAGACACCAGCACGGACGCCCTAGAGCCGCTGCAGCCGGCGGCGCGGCGGCAGCACGCGGCGTGCGCGCAGGGCGGGTATTTCGTGATTGTGCACGGCGGCCGCGGTGCCAGCAATAGCGACAGCACAGCCATCGACGCGGACAACTGCCTGTGGCGCTGGGACAGCGCGACGCCGGGGTGGAGCAAGCTGCGCGGCACGACGCAGCTGGGCGCGCGCATGGCGCCGCGGTTCGGGCACTGGCTGTTCGCAGACGATGCGCAGGGGTTGCTGGTGCTGCACGGGGGGCGGGCGGCTGCGGCGAGCGAGGCGAGCGTGCTTGACCGCGTGGCGGCACCGGAGGCCCAGGGGATCTCGGCCTTGCGCGACACACAGACCGAGACGTGGCTGTATGATCTCGAGGCCGGGGCGTGGACAACGCTGCCGGGGGCCCCGGGCGCGCCGCTGGCTGCGGCGTATGTTGGCGGCAAGGACGCCACGCTGTACACGGTAGGCGCGGGCGAGGGGGGCAGCGGCGTCAGCGGCAGCGTGCACTTTCTGCGGTTGCTGGGGTCGGCGACGGAGCGGGCGCGGCCCGGGGCGCTGGTCTGGCAGACGGTGGATTTTCCAACGAACGCGTTGACACCCGGACCGCGGCCGCGCGGCGGCGGCGCGCTAGTGCCGCTTTCGACGGGCATGGGCCGCAACTACCTGGTGTACATGTTTGGGTGCGACGACGTGGACTCGGACGACGCGGCCGCCAGGGGCCACGACAAGTACTACGCGGACATGTGGGCGCTGCAGCTGCCGACGCACGGGTTCAACGCCGCGGCGGCCAAGGACGCCATCCGATCCCGCGTCCCGGGCATGCAGTCGGGCGAGCTGGCGTGGTCGGCCGTCGAGCTGGTCGCCACGGAGCAGATGGGCGCGTCCGGGGGCAAGGTGCACCCCGGCCCGCGCGGCCTGTTCGGCGTCGACTCGTGTCTCAGCGGCAAGGGCGTCGTGCTCTGGGGCGGCGTGAATCCCAAGGGCGAGAAGGAGGCTGACGGCTGGATCCTGCGGCTCGCGTATGGGTATGCGGACAATGATCGGCGGGAGTGAGAGTCGGCTGCTATTCTTCTCTGTTTTCGTATCCTTTTCAGCTCTCATGTTATCTTTGCAAGGACTCTAGTAGGTGTCTTTGTGCGATAATTAGCACGTTAGAGATCGCATAGGGAATGTGGCCCCAACGAATAAATCGGCGGGGATCCCAAGGACTACTAATTATCATGGTAAAATGAGTGGCGGAAGATGGGCAACGGGCAGCAAAATGTATACAAAATGTAGTAGTAACTCCTATAAGAAATGTCACCGACTAACAAAGTGGTATCTGCGACTTTTCCCATCCAAACCCTCCCATTACACAAGATCGGGTTACTAGAAGCCAACTCCTTATTACAGCAACCTCTTCATGCGCACCCCCATCCCCAGCGTGCCTTGTGCACATGGCACGGGGATCAAACCACCACGCCCTTGACCTGCTTGAAATCCTTGACCTTGACGTCGCGCCAGAGCAGGACGCACACGACCGAGACGGCCTGGACGGCCGTCGCGGCAATCAGCATGTACTTCTGCGAGTCGCCGTACGCTTGGTTGATAGCGTGGCGCGTGTCGGAGCCGAAGGGGTACGACATCTGCACCGTGATGGAGCCGTAGATGGCGGCGTAGTCGTCCTTGGACTCGGCCGGCAGGTACTCGTATAGGCGCTTGGGAAAGACGCCCTGCCAGATGGCGCCGGCAATGGTGGAGCCGATGGCACCGCCGATGCTGGCGAACATGGCCTCGATGGCTAGCACCACCGCGATGTACTGGTGCGAAGTGACGGCCATGACGGCCATCTGCTCGCAGATGACGAGAGCGCCGCCCGACAGAGCAATGAAGATCTGGCACATGATGACGTAGCCTATGTTGACGTCGGGCTGGCGGAAGTTAATCATCAGGCCGACGCCGAGGATCGTCACGGGCACGCCAAAGTAGACGGCGATCCACTTGAAGCGGCCCGTGTAGCGGATCAGCGCGCCGACTACCAGCGACCAGAAGCACGAGCCGATGCTGTAGATGTTGACAATGTAGCTCGAGTGTGTCACGCTGAGGCCGTAGACGACCTGCAAGAGCGAGTAGAAATAGCTGTCCCAGATGTAGAAGGACACGAACAGGGCCGCTGAGAGGATGCACGCGCTCAGGACGGTGCGGTCCATCAACAGCTCGTACGGGATGAAGGTCACGGGAGCGACGTATTTCTCATAGAAGACAAAGGCGATCATCAGGAGTCCACCAAAGATCAAGAAGCAGATGATGAGCGGGGCCTTCCACAGCAGGGTCTGGTAGGTGTAGATGTTGAACGACAGGAGGAACAGGGCCAGGCCGCCAGCGATGAGGAGCATGCCGAACAGGTCGAACTGGATAATGTAGTACCACGTCGTCTGCCAGAAGTTTCCTCTGCTCACCCGCTCAGGAATGAGGCCCGCCTCGTGTGCCTTCTTGTAGTTGATGTAGAAAAGCGACAGGAGCGGGGTGCAGATGACGGGGGTGATGATGGCGAACGCGCCGAATCCCCACCGGAAGCCGGGGCCTTCCAGGAAGGCCGTGGCAAGCGGACCGGTGACCCAGACCGTGATGATGTAGGGCGACGAGGCAAAGGCAAACATCAGTGCTCGGTTCTTGAGCGCAGACGTGTCGGCGATGAAGACGGAGATGGAGTAGCTGATGCCGTTGTACCCGACCCAGTAGAAGACCTGGGCGGCGGCGTACGTCTGCACGTTCTGGCAAGCGGCCATCATGATGAGGCCGAGCGTGAGGCAGGCCACCATGAGGATGAAACCCTGAGGGCGGCCCCAAATGTCGAGCACCTTAGCAAGGGGCAGCTTGATGAGGCCGCCAATCAAGTAGGCTATGATGCCCGTCGTCGCCGTGAGCGAGTGGAGGGCGAACTCGCTGGTGACATAGGGGGTCAAAGCAGTGGCCATACCCTGCTGCATGGCATCGACGAAGAAGATGAGCCAGATACTGAGCGAGCGGCAAGCGTTAGCAATGGGGTCGATGGCAGAGCAGAGCGAAGAGATAGACCTACGTTAGATATGCGATGGCGACATGCTTCTTGGTCCAGACCATGGTCATGGCTTCGACCCGCTGCACGCCCTCCTGTGCCGTGGCCGAGATGGCGTCCGAATCGCTCTCATGGCGACGGTCGGTGCCGTCGCCGTCCTGGCTGGAATGAACATGGCCCTCGAGGGCTCCGGCCTCCTTGTCGATGGCTTTCTTCTCGTCGACATCGGCGACCACGACGGGCGCCGCGGGGGTCCGGTACTGGACGAAGGGGTTCTTCATGACGAAGAAGAGTCAGGCGGGACGAGACTCTCAACCGGTCCGGGGAGACAAGACGCTAGCTCGGGTCACTCCTGCAGCGGGAGCGAGATTGGAACGCGTGCGCGGCAGAAGGAAAGATTAGATTAGAAGACAGCCTGGGCAAATCCAACGTCACAAGACATTCGAGGGGCGGAAGGAGCTCAACTTTAAATAAGGGAGCTTGCGGCAGTTGCGGTAGCCGAATTCTGGTCACCGACAGGACGCGGAGTGGGGTCCCCGTAAGGGATTAGCTTTAATCACCTCATGCAATGGATGTGCCTGCCAGCGAGGGAAGGAACGCTGTTCGGAAGAGAGCGTGACAATCGGAATCCCACCGCCTCGGCCGCCGTCCTGCCCCAAACGAGAAGGCGCAACCCGGCGAATCGCAGCGAGCTGTACTTCCGGCATGCTGTCCCACATCAGAGCGGAGAGCTCCTGGCAGGGATGTAGCCCCCCAAGCGGAGCGCTTGGCTCGAGAGCCCCAAGCTTTTCTAAGCTCGCGGTCAAGCCGACAGACACCCCGGCATTCCCTCGCTCATCCGACCAACCAAGGTTCTTGGCGACCCGCCACTGACGAAACGTTACAAGGATCAAGTCCGTGAAAATTTTTATCAGATCATCTTATCAATCCATCTGATAATAATTATGAAAGAGTCCGCCGATCCCCCCACCTGCCGTGTGGATTAAGGAAAAGCCGTTGTTTTCCTCCCAGTTCGGCCACGACACTGCGATATCGGCGGCCGTCCCTCAGCATTTCCTCTGCTATACCCGGAATTCACCAGACGCAGAACCACCTGCACCCCGTCTGCTTTCCCGTCTTGGACTCTTCTTTTTCAGGGACCGAGCCATCAAGCGGCAAGCCAACAGGGCCCCCGCTGCCAAACGCTACAGAACCCGCTGCCGCGGTTGATGTCCTGTCGGGTTCCGATTTGGCCCTTAGTTATTGTGGAATCCCTATAACAGCCATTCACGAGTTTCGTTGCAAGTTGTAAGACAGCAGGTGATCTATTACTCCCCGAAGAGGACGGTCTAAATGGACACAAAATACGAGCAAAATGAAAAACGCAAAAAAAAAAACACAAAAAAAAGGAACACAAAAAAAGGAACAGAAAAAAAACCTCCTCAAGGCAAGTCCGTATTCACATTGTGGCTCGATTGAACTGCAGCCTACCCACTCGGCGCGCACGTCCGAGTATTCCCGTGCGCGTACATGGCATGCGCTGCTGCTGCATCCCCACCGGAATACACGTTGCCAGTGGGGTCGCCGAGCGTCTGGGCCGGAGCTACCATGCCATTGTGGACCATGGTAGTTGCGCAGAGCTAGGATTAGGTGACTGGACCATATTCTATTTTTTCTTCTTCTTTTTTCAGGATGATGCCAAAAATTTTTCTGCCTTTTGCAGCGCGTCAGAAAAAAAGTCCAGCTCCGCTCCCGAGCCGGGCCCCACAGACTTTGCCTCCTTGGCCCTCGCTTTGTTCCGCTCTCGTGGAAATCCCAGAACCTGACTAAATCTGCCAAATCTGCTTGGATGTGGTTGTTCGGAGTGATCCTCTGGCTGTTCATGTTCAAGACAGTCTTCCGTTTCCCTCACAAGCTGCACTTCTTCAACCACCTTAACACCAAAGTGCAGTTGAACTTCATAGATAATTCTCTTGTTGCTTTCCCGCTGAATAGGACGCGGCGGTAAGAGGATGACATGCCCACGAATGCCGCGCGAAAATTCCCGGTAACAATCGGGGACTTTTGGTTTCTCACCGTCGATCGCAAACTCCAGTTCTTGGGCAAATTTGTCGATCTTGCAGACATGGAACCCGGTGCACGTAGAAGGTGCCGAGTACTTACTTTTCTTGGCTCATGGTGGCGCGTATGAGACCGTTGTGAATCTGCGACTGAATTTGTGCAGGTTTTGGCTGTTCGTTTGCGTCACACACTAGGGCAACAGCGTTGGCGTCAAGGGAAACGACTGATCGCCTAATTAGAGGGTGGGCATACCTTCTCGAATAAGTGTCGTTGCCTCAGAGAACGCCTTCCAGATGAAGTAAATCGAGCGCTCGTCGGCGACGGGGCCCTGGACTGACAATCCCAGTATCAAGCCACCAGAAACCAGCGACGCCTGCAACGTGAAAACAGGAAGAAACTCCTTCCCATCGTGCTCTGGCGTTAAAAATAAATCCAAGTCTGGAATCGCGAGGACATCTTGGTCGACGAAGTGATTGTAAAAGTACTTGGACATCAGATCGGCCACCTGGTAGATATCCTCGTGGGGTAGGTCTGGGGTTGTGTAGAGCGAGATGGCCTTGAATCTAGCTAGATAGGCCAATGCGGCACATCGGGAACAGGAAGCGCTCTAGGACAGCCTCCAAGCCCACAGACAGACGCAACAGAGAGGGAGACTTGCATGGCAGGAAGCAGGCTCGTCGGACGTAGCTAGTGCGCGAGCTTTGACCGAGGGCGGAGAGTTGGTGGGTGTCGGCGGGCCAGCCGGTGTAAGGAATGAACATGTGGGGGGATTTGGAGGGGTGTTGGAGATCGAAACACTATGTGGTCGGCTGGCCAGGAAAGCCCGGAACCATCACGTCTTACTCAAAAACGCTCGAAACATCGGAGGTTACCCGCCAAGCCAAATTGAGATGGACGGAATCAGTTCGCTTGCTGACTTGACTAACAGTTACACAAACAAACCCATCTGCGTTTCGTAGGCAAAGCATGCGCATATTGGTAGGCCTATATTTGATACCAATAACGTTATACCTACTACCTTGAGCCAACCCCCATGCCTAGGTACCTACTTTCGCATCTTCCAAAACACTTTGATCCTGCCTCGCCAGGCCGTGCGGTGGCTGGTAGTTCTTCCTCCTGTCAAACACATAGGCCGACACAAAGAAGAGCACGATGGCAGCAGTGACGAGGGCGGCGTAATTTATGCTCTCGCCAGTGACGGGTTGGGTCAGGGGGAAGCAGAGGAAGACGCTGGTGAAGCAGATCCAGAGGATGGACACGAAATGCAGGGTGCTGCTGCCGCCGAGGCGCGCGGGCAGCAGGGGTAGCAGCCGATCTGACGTGGCAGGGCGTTATGGAGGACATGTGAATCGCCATGCTCCTGACATAATTCTTTGGTAAATGGGGAGGAACATGACAGCGATCGATGCAAAAAATGAAATCGACCCACCCAGGTCTCGAACCTGGAACCTCCTGATGCTTTGGAATCGTAGTCAGACGCTCTACCATTGAGCCAGCGGGCCGGATAGGAAGCGGAGCATGAGCGGAGATGCTCCGCTCTTGGATGATGGGGTCGAGCAGAGTTTTTGCCTATGTGGCACGCAACAGAGTGGAGCTGGAACTAAACTATCTTGTTGTTTGTTTACATACATCCAACTTTCAGCTCCATGGAACGCGTAATAGACAGGTAAGATAGATAATGAAGGCTTTGTCTGCGGCGGCGGTGTGAGAATCCGTAAAAGATTGTGAGCGTAAAAGGCCGTTTAAAAAAGCATGTAGACTCAATTCTCCAACCTTTCCAAATCCTTGCCTATCCCAACCCCTTTTCGTGCCGTAGTGCAGTCTCATCGCGGCAATCATTGGCATTGTCCAAGATGCAACCAAAACCCTCAAATCTTGACCCGGTACCTAGATTTATATATCTCACTCACATAGCTAGTTCTTCCACTACTTTAAGGCCTAGCTCCGTGTAAAACTTGTCGTGTTTTTGCCGACCCTCGGGGTTTGGCTATGACTACTTTCATTTTTGGTACCGGCTTCCCTGCGTTCAACTAATTTGTCGACTTTAGGGGGCACGGTTAACACCCTATTGGGTGGTTTTGCCAAGGGCCGAGCAGACAACTAATCTGGGAGCCTGGGTAGCTTGGGGAGCCTCTTGCGAGGCGGACAAGTCGCGGCATTTGGGGCACGGAAAGGCTGGTTCGAGCCACGGCCGGCACTACTAGTCGGTGTTGGAAGGGGCAGCCTACCTGACGGATGAGGTGTGGCACTTGGGGGATGGAAAGGCCTAGCCGAGCTGCGGCCGGCGCTACTAAGCGGTGTCGGCGGGAGCGACTTGCTGGGCGGGCCGGAAATGGTGCTTAACTGTCTGCGACTTCGGGTAAAGTTCCTACCAACGGAGCTGTCGGGCGTTGGCGGGAGGGACTTGCTGCCCGGACGAGCGGCGATGCTTGGACCATTGAAACCACGAGTCCCGTCGCTGCGAGCAAAAGTAACCGGTGTTGGTGGAGGATGATATTGGGTAATCGGCTGGGCTGATGATCTCGCCGACTTGTTAGCAACATGAGGAGTGTGAACAGGTTGTCGATGAAGTTCAGCAGCTCCATAGACCATGGAACTGCGGAAGTTGTCTGGGTTGACGGCCCCCCATTTGTCAATATTTTTCTCGTCCTGCGCAAGAGCCAGGAACCACTTAATTCCGTCAACCTCCTGTTGCGGAAGGCACAGCTGAACTTCGTGAATATAGTTTGCGGCACCACCTCTACCAAATCGGATAGGCAGAAGAACAACATCCCCACGCTCGCCATGGTACGGATACCTGCAATACCTTGGTCTCTCAGGCATTGGACCCTTGTGCATCCCAAAGTCAAGGCTCAGCTCGTGACCCTAGACTGATCGAACGTGAAATCTGGTGTCGGGAGACTCTTCCATGTTTGCTGAGCCCTGGTCGCGCTTTCTGAAATTCCTCTTGGTATACTTGGAACTAGCAGTGTTGGCTTCGCACACCACATTGAAGGCTTGCATGACACGGTTCAAGATGGAGCCGGTTGTCAGGTTGATTAGTGGTTTTGATACGCGGTGCGAAAAACGAAAGTTGCTAAAGTACTCGCCCGGGGACGTCGTTAGTAAGTCTCAAATATCGTAATGCCTTGTGAAGGGTGCCATCGATGACCCCGTCCCACCACCTTGTGTGCGGGCATCTAGGGCGGCTGCGTACATGAAGGCGGTGATGCAGTCGATGTTACGGATCTGGTTAACAGATGATTTGTCCACCTTCCAACGTCGCCGATCTGACCTCGACGAACGCGATAGGATATAGCGAATCGTGTGAGACAGGTAGGACACAAAGCTACTTGTGAGCTCTATAATATGGTAAGGGTGGGGCTGGTGTGTTGGAAAATGCGACTTGGTAATGGCGTTGGCCCGAAATGTTCCCTGCGGTGTCGGTGGCACCAAATCATGCAAAAGCCTCCAAATCCGATACGTGTCATGGTATAGTTCTGCAGCCAGGAAATCAGCACGCGCAAGCCAGTAGTTGTTGGAAGCGTCAAGAGTAATTAATGGGCACATTAGCATTGGCTCCCAAGCATAGGAACAGGGGGGTCGCGGGGATTACTAAGAGGTGTTTCAAATTTGTTTAATGAGTGGAACTGAGAAAAGGGGGCATGTACCTTGTGGGATGCCCCTGCTTCCTTCGGCAATGGCCTTCCAAATCAAGTAGACAGAAGCTTCGTCGGAAACAGAGCCATGGACGGCTATACATAGTATTATACCGCGGCGATGGTAGTTTGCCTGCATTGTAAATATGGAATGCCGGCTGTTTATATCCGGAGGTGGCGTACAGAACAAGCTGTCAGGTGCTGTAAAGCGGTCGGCCATGGAGAGTTCGTAGTCTGATGCCAAATATAGCTCTTGATACATGTTTGCTACTGTTAAGTTGGCGGGGCTGTGCAAGTCAAGCACGCTTGGGTTATTTTGCGAGGGCCCTATGACGCAGCTTAAAAACGGAAACCGACAAAGGACAGCATCAAAAGCTGTCCTACCGTTGTAGGAGTCCGTGCTGCAGACGAAGAAGCAGGCACTCTGGAGATAGCAGGGTCGTGCTTTCTGGTCAAAAAAGTAAAGGAGAGCGTGGCTCGCTGTGCGGGCATCCATGGTCGATGGAACCGACAAGTGTCAAAAGGAGAATGAGTTTTTTGTCGTAAGTGAAAACACAAAGAGCAGAGGGACCAGATCGAATTCGTGTCGAATGGCTGCCACCGAAAAGAGTGCTGGTGTCTGGATCGCGATTGACTCGAAGGGCCAGGGTAGTATGGTTGGCAGTTGGACTTGTCTGAGAAAGGCGAGTCAACGTGTAAAACCCCAGGTCTAGAAATATAAATAAGCCTAGAGTCCCCCCCTGGGCCGACCCACGTGGTGGGAACCATCGTGACAGGCGCCACATGTCGATGATTCGCGTCGAAGAAAGCAGATGTGCAGCGCCTCGCGTTTCACAGGCAAGCCATGTGTGCGGTCTTCACAAGAGCTGCTGTAGGCGGAGTGGAATTTCGCGTTTAGGACTGAATGTTCAAATAGCAGCCACGGCCACGACCGCTGCTCTTCTCTGCCAGGAAAGAGGAGGAAAAAAAATCAGAAAAAGAAAGTGATGTTGGGAAACAGACCCCGCTTGATTCTTTACGTAAATTCGGCCCTCAGAATATGACGCCCATATTATTTTTTTCCCTTCTTCCTTTGACTCCAGCCCTTCCTTTGACTCCAGCCATTACATTCGCAGCTAACAACCAAAGCACGCTGCCCTACCCCCACCCCGGCCATCTGCCCGTGGTCGGATCAGAACCCGGCCGCACACCTGCCTCTCCAACCACTAACTGCTGCGCTGTTGCGATACGTCTCGAAATGTTCAGACTAATCTTCCCACCCTCCCCCATGTGCAACGACTGCTCACCCGCACGACACTGACCCCGCCACTCTAAAACGCAGCCAGCGGCAACGCAGTCAAGGCGACGTACAGCCAGTAGCGGACGACCTCGGGCCACTCGAGGATCTCCCAGCGGAGGAGGCCGGTGCTGTCCGTCTCGAGCATATCCGTGATCCAGAAGTGGGAGAAGCCGACGGTGGACAGGCCCGTCATGGTGACGAAGACGGAGGTGACAAACAGCACGGCGCTCAGCCAGCTCGTTGGCGTGGTCTGCTTGCGGCGCTCGACGACAAGCGGCGGGACGGCGCGCAGCGCGGTCAGGACGGCGCCGACGGTGACCATGAGGATCAGCATGTTGCGCGAGCTCGCGGTCAGCCACCAACCCTCTATGGCCCACAGCCCCGCGAGTAGCATGCCCACGCACGGCGCGCCGGCCCCGATGATCAGCGCGTACTTCCAGTTCGGGGTGGGCGTCGGGGTCTCTGTGCGGGCCGCGGCGGCTTGCTCGTCGGGGCGCAGGGCGACCGTGGACAGGGCGACCGTGGACAGGGCGTCGAGGCTCTGGCGCTGGTCTTCGAGCTCGATCTCGATCTCCTTGGCACCCACGGCAGGAGCAGCAGCAGCGGACGAAGATTGGGATTTGGGTGCGTTGGGGGAATTGCCGCGGCCGAGCTGGCCCACGCGGCCAAAGACCAGGTGCATGACGTCGGCGGGGAGAAGCCACAGGAGGCGTACGCCCAAGAGGCCGGCGCTGACGGCGATCAGGGGCGGGTTGTAGTGGCATCTATACATGTTGGCGATGGTGAGAGCCAGGATGCCGAAGCCCCAGAGGCAGGTAGCGACGGTCGACCAGACGCGGAAGCGGATCTGGCGCTTGGGATACAGCGGCGTGCGGCCGTGGCTCAGCGTGAAGGCGATGTAGAAGCTGAGTAGGTCGGCGGCGAGGCCGATGACGCCAAACGGGAGCATGTAGTAGGTCGTGAGCTCGTCCCAGAGAGACGTAGGGCTGCCAGGCTCTCCGAGGGTGGAGAGTGGAGTATTGTTCCTGGCAAGGGGGCCATCGTAGAGATGTTTGGGAACCGCAGGGGCGGGGAACTCGAAATGGGGCACAGGGAGCCGCGTGTCGAGCGACATGCTGACGGGTTAAAGAGCGCGGGCGGCAAGAGGTGTGCTGGGATAGCTTAAACGAGTGTATGGTTTGTGGGAGAATCAAGGAGCCAAAGAGGCGAGTAGGCATGGGGTATATATCAACATCGAGACCCTGTTGCAAGATCGCCGAGGTGTGAGCAGCTGGTTGAGTTTTGGCTTGGCAAGTGCCCGAGATGGACGAGTTGTTGACATCACAGAGTTGGATGGGGCTAATCTGTTTACCGTCAGATGCTGGGGATAACAGTGCTGCTGATGCCTGGCATCTGACATGAGCTTCAGTCCTAGAAGAGAAAGCCACCTCGGATATCTGAAGCTAAATCAGCAACGTGCGGTTTTGGGCAACTGGAAGACGTGGATTTATACTTGAAAAACGACGGCATCATAGAGTGTTGAGATGAAGGCAGATCGGCCGCAGTAAACTTTAACATACTCACGCACCCGCCACTGCGTAAACACTAGCTCCGCTCCGGGATTCCGGGCGTTAAATGGAGCATGTCTAGCTCGGATTGCTGGAAAGCCTCCCGAGAAGATTTGCAAAGCCCGTTGACGACCTCAATCGCAAGTGTGAACGAATACATGGAACGGCTTCGACTTGCTCACCAGGCCAGTGCACAACGCCTAAGGCTAGCTCAAGTGTTTGTTCGGGTTAATTAATTACACAGCCTTGTAGCCAGTGCAACGGCGTTTTTCGCTATGATCTCTCCTGGTAAACGACGAAGAACTTGCCAGCGGTGGCTCTAATAGGTAGGTTGGATATAAATCAGCACCGATGGGATGGGCCGAAACAGTTAACGACAACGCTAATTATGTGCTTCCGATTGAGATTCAACTTACACGCTGTTGCGGCAACAAAAAATTCCCATACGCATAGCATAGAACAAGACCGACATCATTCGTTGATGCTCTCCGGTGAATGGCTAAATGCCGTCTGTGTTGATGCCACGCTGCTGGGTCCAAAGGAATCCGAGTAGTGATTGATTGGGTACTTTGTTGGCAATTGTGTGGTACGGAAGTGGCTGGGCAGTCTTGGCGAAACCCGAACAAGTCTAGCCTGCCTTCAGGGCAGCGGGAACCGTTTCCAGGTTTATCTGCAGAAGGCAGGTGCGTGCTCCACGGTTGGAAGCCTAGCCGCTCGCTCCTTCTCTCCGTGCAGCACGCGCGGTGGGCCGACGAGTTGCTGAGCCACTGACCTGCCCCCTTCCATTGCGCGACGACGCCCAAACCACAAGTCCGAGCCTCCCGAGCACCCGCACCGCACCGCACCCCCGACACGCAACCACCTCCTAACCCGTCTAACCCCGATTCCTCGCCATCAGAAGCAGAAACCTGCCAGGCTCTGCTGGAGTTCACACTATTCCACCAGACTTCAATGTATCAACTAAGTCAGCTTTCGTGAAGAGCATCCTTTCGTTCAAACCCATATTCCGTCCCGAATCCCTGGTAGAACCTGTAGAAAACAGTCATGGAGTCGGGGTCGCAGTCGTCGCGGCCTCAGTCGCGAGCCCAGTCGCAGTCGCGTGCCCAGTCGCAATCCCAACCGTGCCCGTCTGAGCAGCAACAGCAACAACAGCAACAACAGCAGCAACAGCAACAACAGCAAGAGCAGTCACGACTGGGCCGACCGTCGACGGTGCGCCGCAACCCCAGCTCGCGAAGCGTCCCGGCGCGACGCTTCTCGCGGCGGCCGACGTCGGCGACGCTCGCGAGCCGCGTCAGCATCTCGACGGACCCGTTCCCGCCGCCGCCCGTCCCCGACCGCTCGCGCAAGGGCATCCTGCTGCGCAACTGGGACCGCGTACTCGACTGGGTCGAGATGGGGCTGCTTGTCGCGGGCGGCGCGCTCTTTGTCGCCGCCCTCATACCCTCCAGCGGCCGCACCCAGTACTTCGACCACGACGCCGGCAGCGACCCGATTGCGCTCCTTCTCTATGCCATGCCGCTCGTGAGTATTCCTTTGTGTGTCTCCCGCACGTCAAGTTCTGCCCGCCGTCGTCCCTTTCCTCCCAAAGTCGGATGGAACGAGACACGAACCTCTCTTGCCGTGATACTGACACGACCGCCACGTATACCAGGGCGTCCTGACATTCCTGACGATGGGCTTCCAAGAGTTCGTCAACGTGGGCGAGAGCGACCCGATAGCAGACAAGGTGGCCGGACGGCGCAACCGCATGGATAAGCCGCAGCTCAAGCAGGTGCTGGCGCTGCGCGGCTTTATGCTGGCCTACGCGGCCGCGTGCCCGCTGCTGCTGATACTCGGCCCCTACGGCTTGACGAGCAAGGCCCCCGGCTACACCCACTACACGGCCGAGGCCGTCGTCCTGGCTCTTGTTGCGCTCGTCATCATCCTGCTGCTGTTCATGATTGCCGACGGCGTCGGCCGCCTGCGCTCGACTGTGCGCGACGAGCGGCGGAGGGACATCGAGAGCCAGGCTGGGGCCGGTCGTTGAAGGCGTATTCTGCTCTGCTGTGGCTTGGTTCCTGGTCGTCGATAAAGATGAGATGGAACGAGGAAACGGGACGACAGTCGGACTGCCGCAGCCCAGAGCCTTTCCACGGTTCGGGGAAACAAAGGGGACCGAACGCCGTGGCGGTAAGGTGGCTGACCTCACCACATTATATCAAAAGCCCAGTAACATGCCCCAAAAGCCCAGTAAAATGCCCCTGAAAAAACCCTCTGGCGTCATTGGTGGACACAAGGGGTCTGTCATGAACTTCGACGGGTGTGCCGGGACTAGGGTTTTGGTCATCAGCTGGATACTTTTCGGGCCCCGGTAAGTGGGAGCTTCACGCAGCCTCGTTTCGAGTTGGGTCCATTGGCAGCTGCTAACTTACAGAAATCTAGCATGTGCCTATCAGCCGCATTGGATTGTCCAAGTTACTTGCGTGGAAACACTCTTTGGGCGCGGACTTGGACAAACTGCGATGCGCGGGAGCAGCGCCACTGTCGGGCAATCGCTGACGGTGGCGTCGAAGGAAACTGTAAATAACTGGTCTGGAAGTAGTGTTTGGTAATATTGCTTTTAAACATGCTTTGTCGAACCGTGGTTGTCCAAAAGTATCAAGTGTGGCCGCCGTAAAGAGGAATTTGGCTGGGACATTGGGCTGCGTGCCCGTGACAGGCCTGTGTACAATCCCGGCAGTGATCTTGCGCTACGGCAAACGCAGCAGGCAAACGCAGCAGGCAATTGACAAGCTGTTGAGTGGCTTTCGACACGACTGCAACTCCACACAAGTTTTAGTGGTTCAATCGGGGGGTAGAGTCCTAATCTCCTGATAAGTGGATACCCGGCGTTGTGTGCGGGGCTGGTCCAAACCGCCAAAAGCTTGCTTGGCAGAATACGGTGCCGTGGACGGGAAATAAATCAAGAGCCAAAACTTTACGTGGTAGTACCGGGCAAGGTATCCAGGGCGTCTCAGAAGCGCACACAAATCTCGAAAAACCTTAATCTACCTTACCTACGAGACGCTGCAGGTACAGGCGCGAAGGTTCAACAGATCAAGCTCGACCCTGAATGGAGGGGTTGTAGGGCTGAAACGCCCCGCAGCCAGGGCGCTCTGCTCTAGGCTGTTTCCTACCCCGCCCTCCTGCAGCGCCACGGAAGCGCGAACGGTGGTGTCCCGGTCGCAACTCGTCCCGTCGCAGCTCATCACGACGTCACCTCTTCCTCTTAGCCTTGCCAGCGCTCATCGGGGATGCCAACCCACTACCAGACAAGATGTACGGCCAGCCGCCCACCTACCCCATGCCTGCACCCATACCTAGACCTAGCAACTGACGCAGCAGGCGCAAAAACCTAGGATCGACGCTTCGATCCGGCTGCGGCGGGCGATCCACGCCAACGACGCGCTGCTGGCGAAACGTGTCCTCAAGTCGCACCCTGAGCTGCTGCACAACCCGGACCACTCGCCCGCCGGCAACGCCAACTCGAACCTGCACCTGGCGGCGTCGCTCGGCCACCTAGCCATCTGCAAGCTGCTGCTCGAGCTGGGGCACGAAGGGGGCGGCAATAAAATTAGCAGCGGCAACGACGACGACGGCACCAGCACCACGCCGGCGCTCAACGACGACCACCGGACGGCGCTCATGCTGGCCGCAGCGGCAGGCCACACGGAGGTCGTGCACTGCCTGTGCGAGCGGTCGCCGGCGAGCATCTTACGGCGCGACGTGCGCGGCCGCGACGCGCTGATGGAGGCGGCGCTGCACGGCCACGACACGGCGGTGCAGATCCTACTGACGTGGGCCCCCGGCGGCACCGAGGCCGCGCTGGCCCAGGCTGACCTCGAGGGCAACACGGCGCTGCACTTTGCCAGCAGTAATGGGAATTTGCTCGTGCTGCGCACGCTGCTCGCTGCCGGCGCCGACGCGTCCCGCAAGAACATCTGGAACTGGACCGCCGAGGCGTATAGTGCCACGGTGCAGGCTGAGGTTTATCTCAAGGGTTTGATCGCCGAGGTCGAGCGCCGCAAGATGGTCCGCAGGGGCGCCGAGGAGGCCAAGAAGGGCGGGGCTGTCAGGTTGGTGGAGCCGGACGCTGATGCGGGGGACTAGGCATGGCTGGTTGATGAATGAATGGATGGGGTGGGCGTTGAGGTTTTGGCGTTTTGTGTTGGCAAAACGGTTACTTCGTATTAGTTTCGGGACAAGGCGAGGCGTTGCATTTTGGATGTGGTCCTTCTCCACTGGCCGAGCGGGTTGAGTCCTAGAGCGTGCTTTGCTGGGGAGCGTTTAAAGTCGCTTGTGTTGGGCGGGACTCGGGTTACCATTTTTTAGCCGCTGGTTTGCACTTTTATTCTTCAACTTGGTCCGCGAGTCGACAGCACCGTGATCAATTACAGACATCGTTGGGTGGTTGCTTTGGTATTGATACTTACCATGTTCCTATTGGCCCCTGGATTCCTGTTAAGAGACGAATCAGCCACACGAACAATGACACAGCATATTTGGGCAGCCGTTGGCTTTGCACTGCTGTCACTTAGTGCAATAATGCAATAATGCGGTGCGAGACCTTGGATTTGCGAACAATAGCCCACATGCCGGCAGTGCAAGATTGATCCGCAACAAGTAATTAGATTTCAAAATCGAGTATGCAAGTAAGTAGGAAAATAAGGAGTGCTAATAAGTTCCAGGTTGCATTGTCAATTACTCTCTCTGCCCAGCGTTACTTCCAAAAGCTGTGATCTGGCGGGAGTGGCAAAGACTACAGCTCCTTCCAGCTTGCCCTCGCGCTGAGCAGCAGTGTGAATGGCTGCGGTCGTTGGAGAGCGTAGTGACCTGCAAACAGGGTATTGGATGAGGCGGGATGCTTCCAGCCCCGAAAACTCAAGGAATTCACTTGCGTATGGGACATGATCTGGTGCGCCGGGAAGAACTGTCACTCGGAAGCAGTTGCCTGACAAATTGCTATGCCGATAAGCACAGCCGATCGTGGTGGCCCTGCCTTCTTGATCCCATTTCCAAGCAAACACGGCACGGTGCTCGCAATGTCTGGCAACATTTCTCCCCCATGGCACCACGGTGCAGATGAAGGAAAGGAGCAGCACAGGCAGGTGCTGTGGCATGATGTATGCAAAATGTACAGGTGGCCGAATGGGGCGGCGGTGAGTGGCAAACTTGGCCATGGCGGCAGCGTGTGGCATCATGATAGCCTGCCTGCCTGACTCCTCTTGGGAAGACGAGAAGACACCAAAACAGCAAACAGCAAACGTGGCCCATCTATTGCTCCCTATTGGTCCCCTCAGCACTTTGAGGTGGTTCAGTCCTATGTCAGTGGGTCCTGAGCCGTGAACAGCTTCCCAGCTTCCTTTTCGTTCTTTCGTCCCTTGAAATTACTGCTTGATACCTTGGGCATCTGTCCTCCTCCTGGCACGGGAGCGGTGTGTATCTTGGGCAGTTGCCGTTCCCACTCGCGTAGACCTGTCCCTGCCCAACTCGCCCCCCCTCAACTAAGGTACGTGGGTACTTGGTACCTGGGGGCCCCAAGAAACATCCTTCCTACGCCCACACCTCCTAACTAAGGCAAAACAAGAACACTCGGGGTCACGGGTGACAGGACAATCTTGTAGGATAGGCCGCGATCTAAATTCCTTCCCAAAAACCCACCAGCAACTCGCAATCGCCAGTCGGCCAGCCGGTCACCGGCCAATATCGTTTCGATAGGATCCATTTCTTTGAGAATTCTGGAGGACGATTCGCTGGACAGCCTAGCCTAGTACTCTCGATGGCCATCTGGATATTGGCAATGGCTAGGGTTTTGGGGAAGGAAAGGTGATCGGGCCGGGAAAGAAACGGTACGTCGTTCTTGTTTACTCGCGCGCCGTTGAAAATATTTCGATTATCTCAGGGGCACGCGTTTCGTTTTGTCAACTCCCCACAGCTTTCCCTTACCCGTGCCTTCATTTCTTCCCCCCCGGGCCCCGCATTTCCTATTCCAAGCCTCTCGATCTCTATTTCTGGGTCTAGGTACTTCTCTATCCCACGTCTGATTCGGGTTGCACCAACCTTTACCCCATACTCGCTGGGCTTCTTTCCAGACGCGGTTTGCCTCCTGTCACACCTTCCTCCCACGCCACTCTGTGCTTCTTTCTTGGACCCACTCCTTCTAATGACCCGACTTTCCCTCAGACCACCAACCATTCATTTCCGGTTCTCTTTTTCCCGCAACACTCCCCCGAGGTCACCATGGGCTTTCTCTACCCAAGACAATCTGGGCAACTTGCTTTTGTTTAGCCCCTCTTCTGATGTGTCGTTGGAGTTTCCACCACATAGTTTGATTTAAACGCTAGACTTTGCAGTGATTACCACCTCTGTTTCTTCTGACTCTAGAGCTGTTGGCACTGCAGGTTGAAGAGCCCTTGACCTCCTCTGATTGACGCAAGTTGGCTGACTCTATCCCTCGAAACCAGATTATTGATTAAACATACTATCGACATCTTTACCAACAATATCCTTAGAAACGCCCACGCCAACCATCCTTAACCACTCGGGAAAATGGAGACGTTCCTGTGTGGATCGAACCCCCATTTCGGGCGGGACCCTGGCCCGGCACCGACAAGACACGGCAATCCGCCGGTGCCGCCAACCTTCTACACAGCCCCGATCCAACCGCCCTTCCCTCCGGCGTCGGCCCCTCCAATCCCGCCTCTGTTCGCGGCGCCGCACATGCCACCCGCGGCGCCGCACATGCCACCGGTGACGCCGTACACGGCACCAGGCGGCCAGGTGCCCCTGGCACCCGGCCAGTTCTACATCGGAACAGGGATGGTGGCGCCGGGCGTCGGCCAGGTCCCCGGCGCCAGGTTCACAACGGCACACCAAGGGCCAGTGCAGTACGTAGCAAACCAAAAGGGCAGCGGGCGGGTGCCTGTGCCAGCACCAGTGCAAGACCCAAGCTTCACGGCGGGCAACCTGGTCAACCACACGGGGGGCATAGGGCTGGAGCCGGGGTACGACTACTTCTTCCACCGCAAGCACACCAAGATTATCGTGCTCAAGCTGCCCGGCGTCAAGGCGCCGTGGGAGCTGACGCCCGGCACCGACCGCATGGAGATACCCTTCCGCGCCACCTTCGTCCCCACCAATACCACCATGGCCGAGCTGCTCGAGGGCTTCGGCGCAACCAACCCCGACAAGGCGAGGAACAGGCTCACCGAGGTCCACGAGAATGGCAACGGCCGGTGGCACCGCGGCATCGCCGTGTGCGGCGACGACCCCTACCGCACCGGCCTGACCTGTCGTGAGATGGGCTGGGACAAGACGCGCACTGGCCTACCCGGCGGGAAGCCCGCCGTCTACTTGTACATTACCAAGGGGTAGTATGCGAGGCACGGCGATGTATGAAAGGTGATGAATTGCTTGGGGAAGCTAAAATCTATCGGCCCGCAGGCGGGAAATCTATGTGGCATGGAGTGGACCACCACCGCTGGATAGGGTGGATTCGCAGGGGCCATTTGGTGGACTCGGCTGGGTTAGGCTTGGCCTGTGCCCAGCATAGGCAGCCTGTAAGGGGTGGATCTTGCGAGGATCGGAGAGGAGTTTCTGAAGCAAGTGTGTTGATTGGCAGGGTGTTTATTCCCAGGCTTGTGTCCTGGTTGACTTGGCGTCGGGGGGTGGCTTGCTACTTCCTTTCTTCCGGTGGTCCTTTTTCCTTTGTTTTCGCGGTTGGTTCTCTCTCTTGATTTACTTGTCGAAATAGACCCGAGGGACTGGTCGATCGGATGAACTTCGGACAGGTTGAGCCGTGAAATGCCGCTTTGCTGTGTCGTGGTTGTGTCAGGAAGGAGCAATTTCCCAATTGGTAGATATAACGCGTAAGCTGCATGAAGGAAGGCGCCGCAGGCACAGCGCCGCAGGCCAAGAGCGCCGCAGGCACTGGGAGCCCTAGGGGGTTGCCCCCTAGAAATCCAACAATTAGACCATGAACATCGAAACATAGAATTACTGAGTATCATGAGAATTTGTTCTGGTATTGAGAAGCTAGAATAGCTGTAAATCTGTTATCCCGAAGTTCAGCCGGGCAGAGTCCTTGTGGAACTTCCAGAGCGGTAATACGGCCTGCTCTCGCCGCTAGTTCTCCGTTACTATTGCGTACGCCATCACGGCTCACAAGTCACAGGGAGCTACGCTTGACAGGACTGTGCTTGATATCTCTGAGCGGGATTTCTCTTCAGGGCCTACTTATGTGGCTGTCTCGCGCGTTGCTAGTCTGCAGGGCTTGATGTTTGACGTTCCTTTTGCCCTGGACCAAATGCAGGTCAAGAATGACGTTACAGGTGCCTGCGTGCGGCGGATTACCAGGGCCATGTTGACGCCGGCGAGGTGTTGGTTCCGGGTGTAGCCTAGATAGGAGTCGACTTTTTCTGCCTCAATACCATGCTGTTTACGTTGTGATGACTCTCCTGTGTTTTTTACTTTTGACACAGTTGACACAGTTGAGTCAACTTTTGGTTACGAGTTATGGCACAAAGCGGGGTTGTCCTTACTAATTTCTTAGTAAAATGGCCCAGCCACCCATTCCCTCGAGCGGAGCGAGGACAGCCCGCGGCAGGCGCCGCCAGAGGCTGAAAAGAACGGTATGGAATGGGTTGTTCTCTCTAAAAACCACAGGCCGAAGGCCGCCAGCTATGAAGCGCGATTCCAGGTGTGATGTAAACCCTAACCCTGAGGATAATCTTGTGGTGGGGCTTTCAAGGCATCCGTTCAGCTGACCCCTTCCTGACTGGTCAGGTGCTTATTTTATTTTACCGATGATTGAGCAAGTTGGGTTGGCGCTTTGGCATGGGTCGGGTTTCCTTTTTTCGTTGAATTACGACCTCTAGGTCTGAATCTCCGATTTCATTGCAACCTACAATCACCGCATTGCGTACCACATCCGCCTCCTTCCAGAGGCCTATCTAGTCCACGATCCCGTCGGTACCTGGGCCATTACTGCCATTGGTACCTGGGCCATTACTGCCATTCCTCCCCATTAAACCCAGCCGGTCTCGCAAAAACATCAGTGCACGCTGCTGCATCTCGGCTAGCTCAGCACCCACCTTGTCGCCGCCACGCCTTACCAACACTGGCCCAGCACTTGGAGCCTCCTCGGCTGAGGCACGCACTAGAAACACGGCTAGTGGCACGTCCGGCTCGTCGGCCTGCACGACGACAAAGGACATGGCGCTGAACACGTACCGGCGCTTGAACTCGGGCAGACCCAGTCCCGGCTCGGCTACCTCGTGGAGCCCAACGACAGCGTCGAAGAGGGGCTCGTGATGCGGCCTTAGCCGACGCAGACGCAAATCCTTGACACCGCCGCTGACGCTGTCCCAGAACCGGTCCCCGAGCAAGAAATCCTCCAGTCCGCCCTCGCCGGTGAAAACGGCATCGACACGCACCAGCTCGGCCACAAACGCATCGACGGCGCCAGCCGTGATGTGCGGCATGGTGATGTAATGCACCATATCTCGCTCAGGAGCCAGGTGCGCGCGTGCGGCCACCCAGGGTGGCACGCCCGCCCGCTCGATCATGGTGATGAGGCTATCGCCACCGTGGTAGTAGCGCGCGTGTATGCCCGCCGCCGCGAGCCCGGCCCGCAGCCGCTCCGAGTTGCCCACGCAGTACGTGTGCAGCTCGCGCAGGTTGGCTTCACCGTATAGCTGCTGGAACAGCCACGTCTCCATCACGATGCGCGGCCCGACGGCTGGCGGTCGCACCGATGACGCTCTGGCGGCGGCGATGGCGGCTTGGGGGTCGTGGTCGGGAAAGGGCACCGTGTGCACAACGACTTCGCCTGACTGCATGACGCCGTGCACGAAGTGGCTCAGCGTGATACCCTGAACCACGGGGCGGCCATCGATGTCGTGCACCAGCTTCGAGGCGACGCCCAGGGCGACGGGGTCGGGCTTGAAACCGAGGTCGAGCGCGCCGTCGACGTGAGTATACGACACGCGGATACCGCAGTCAAACAGCGCCTGCCGCAGCCCGGCCACGTCGTCGCAGCCGCCGGCGAACGTGGTGCCGAGGTTGAGAAACAAAATCACGGGCGCCTCTTTGTCCGCGGCCTGGTCCTTCAGCGCCTGGGCCACGAGCTCGCCAGCCACCATGCGCCCGACGTCGTCGGCGGGGATCTCGCGAAAGTGCGCGGCCATGTCGCGGCACGCCGTCTTGACGCTGTGGTGCGTCGCCGATGAGTAGTACACAAACGCTGTCGGGAACTGCGCCAGCGCCGTGTGTATGCCCACGCGGTTGCCCATGGTGCCGCCCGACGTGAAGTAGGCCGGGAACAGCGCGCTGTCGGGCGCGTCCGCCGGCATGCCGAAGCTGGCCTTGCGCTCCGCCAGGATCTCGGCCGCCTGCGCGGCTGCCCACGCGCCGTCGAGCGCCACGGGCAGGAACTCGGCCACCATGGCCCCCAGCGCCGAGTACGGCGCCTGGTTGACCGGGTAGCCCGCCGACTGCGCCCGGTCGCGGATCCCGCGCTCGCTCTTGGCCGCGAGCGCCCGCGTCAGCTCTGCCCGCCTCGCGCCGTCGCTGGCTGGTGCCACCAAAGCCTCCCAGCCGCTCGAGTCCCAGGCAGCAGGCCCCGCCAGCGCGGCCACGAGGCCCTCGGCGTCGGTGGCCGTGGCGCTGGGCTGCACGGTCAGAAGCGCAAACCCATCTCTCTCGGGGATGCTCCGCAGGCCCCACGTCGTCTGCCAGTACGAGCCCGGCTTTTTTGTGCGAGAGGCCGCATAGAAGACGATGAGGTCCAGCGAGTACGGGGGCGCTTCGATCTGCACGCCTCGCGCGGCTAGCACGTCGTGCAGCAGCCGCCGGTTGCGAGCGCAGCACGCAAATATCGCGCGCAGGGCCGGAGCGTCGAACCGCAGCTCCTGCAGGCTGACCAGCAGCGGGCCGACGCCGTCGCGCGACCCCGACAGCGTCTTATCGGTGCTGCGGATGTACTCGACCTGGACCTCGGCCGAAGGTGTCCCGCCGAAGCTGCCCGGCTTGAGCACCGCGGCCAGGTGCGGCGAGTCCGAGTTGGTCCCGCCGGCCACGATCGTTGCCGCGGCAATGACGTCGTCGTCGTCGTCGTCGTCGTCATCGTCATCCTCCTCCTCCTCGCCGTCTTGGGTTACAACATCAGGCTGGAAAGGGTCACGCAGCACCAGCCGCGGGATGCCGAGCTGCTTGCGCGTCGCGGGCGCCAGCGTGGTCACGTAGTCGAACGTGCGCGAGGCATCGACGTGCAGGAACACCCTCAACCCCGGGGCCTGCACCAGCCGGCGCACGGCCGCAAGGTCGTCGTACTGGCCGCGCGAGTTGCCCAGCGTGACGCACAAGATGACGGGCTGGCGACCGCCGCTCGACCTCTGGAGCAGCGTGTCGAGCGCGGCAGGGTCGGCGAACCCCCCTGCAAACCGCACCGCGTCAAGCCCGCCAAACATGATGGCGGCCGTTTCCACGACGTCGTGCTCGAGAAAGCCCGCGGCGAGCAGCGGCTGGCTGGCAGGCTCGTGGTGGCGCAGCAGCTCCTGCTGGACGGCGCGGATGCCGTACTGGTTGGCCTCGACCCAGTGACAGATGTAGCCCGCGGCGGTGTCGTGGGATGCGCGTTCGCCCTTGGCCTGGATCGCCTGCCGCTCGTACTCCTTGAAGTGGAACGGCCAGCTGCGGTCGATGTCAGCCGGCAGGTTGAGGTTGTTGCTCACCCACGCCAGCCCCGTGTCGCGCACCACCGTCGCCGTCGCCCGCCACAGCGCGTCAGAGCCCGGCGAGAACGCCCCCGGCGGCCGCCCCGCGCAGTGCTCATATAGCGCGTCGACCTGCTCGAAAACGGCGCGGATGCTGTCTGGGTCACGCTTCCACTTGTTGATTATGGGCTCGTCGAGCCACAGATGGCGTGCGTCCCGGAAGGCTTGCTCCACGCGGCCTGGTCGCTTCTCGGCACTACTACGAAACGGCATTGTGTTAGTAACCTAGGTTCAAAGTTTCCAAATGATTACTGTCTAGGAAGAAATCCTGATTCAGGAGATCACCGTCACGAACCTAATCCACGACGATTAGCATGCTGCTGTCAACACAACAAGCCAGCTCTCCTCTCTTCGGCTCATACCTTGTTTTAGATCCCAATCCCACATCTGCGGCGATGCCGTTTTTGTGGATCCCGTTGATCGTCGTCTTCTCGAACCCCTGGGCCTGGGGTGGTGCACTCTCCCCTACATCAGCGCCAATGTCGTTGCGGTCGTTGCGCGGGAGTTGGCTAGGTGCGGTGCTGGCCATGATGGATCAGTTCTGCTATTGCTCTAATTAGGAGCTTGGATTTTGTTCCGAGTACACGAGGACACCACACAGTTGCCAAGAGAGGGAAACTTGAACAAATCGCCAGGCTGGCTCACCGCGGCAGGCTTTATGAAGTCAATATTTATCCCCCACCCCCCTTCCGCTCAACCCGAATCCTGGCACATGATCTCTACAGAGACTACAGGGTCCTATGTCTTGGCTGACAATCCTTCACCCACCAGTTGCGTGAAACAGAAAATAGCGCAGATGAGACGAGACGTGGTATAATAATCAACTGGCAACTCCGGCCCGCGCGACGCCGCAGAGTTTGCTCGATGGCGCAACAGCGGAGTCAGACCAGCAAGGCGATATTTACTCGGCTCGTGACGGAGAAGCTGGCTTGCAGAGACAAAGATACAGCATGACGGCGGAAGCCGATTATAGCCCCAGGTCAGCCATTACACAAGGCCACGGCAGAGGGCCATGTCGCAACCCGGCACGGTTATCATGTACGAGTCTAGAGGAGGACGAGCAGGTGTTACACAAGCTTATCATGCCGCGTGATGCAACTCTCGCATCTAGATAAGCACGTGCAGGTGCTTGTTGGCACCATAGCGTGGCTGTCTTATTCCAACCGCCTGTGCAGGACTGTTCAATAGTATAGCAGCGGCTGACCCTTTGCTGTTCAGAGCACTACTCTTGTTGTGGCTGTGAACATTATCCAGTTAATTGTTGCTCTCTAGACTCGCTCCCACGTGAGGAAAACAATAAACAAGACAAAATAGTCTGCCGGCCATCCTCGACTAACCCTTGAAAGAGGCGCTGCTGATCCTCGGTACTTTTGCTCGTGCCTCTCCGCGTCACGCAATTCCACCATTTCATGCCCACACCGTCAATCCAGTAACCACAAAATGACGCCCACCGGCCAACCCCTCTGGACACCATCACTGTCTGTGCCATGGACATGCACAACATGACAATAGCCAGCATCCATCCATCCATCCACACATCCCCCCACATGCGTCCGCTCTATTCGCCAACTAGGAAGATGCGTCCTGTACCTTGCCGCACTCCTTCTGCTTGGGCAGCTGCATGGTACGTATCCGTTGACTAATGCGCTACAGCCAGGGTTGCCGCCCCAGGATGGTGTTTAAGTTTTATCTTGACTCTGTCGCAGTTAATTCACAGCCCTAGAAGTTCCTCTTGGTTACGAGATACTGGTGGTTAACGTTCGAAACAGCCCGCCTGTTCCATCCTGTCTACCTTTGGGACTCTGGCTCGTCCCGAAGTAGAAGCAGAAGACAAAGGAGCTGGGGTTAATCATGTGGCGACTTCTATGTTTTGCCACGTGTTTCATGCTCGCCGGTCTCCATGCTCGCCAGTCTCCATGCTCGCCGGTCTCCATGTACCTCTCGAAGAATCTATTTTGCTACCAAACGCTATTGTCTTTTTCTTTCCAGTCTCTAGGTAGTTCCCCCAGAGCCATAATGGTATATCTATATCTTGGTATCCAACCCTATCCCATATCCTTTCTCAGATCGTATCCTTTTAACTGTATTAGCATCGAGCAAGTCGCTGGCCGCTTGCACCCGATGCATACCCCTCCGCCCCAACCATTAGACCTATACTATCGCCAACTGGTAGCTGTTGTTTGGTGTCGAGTTGATTGTTGACACGATTGAGCCAGCTCGGTCGACCTCGGGACAGCAGAAGATACCCATCCGCCCCCCTTGGCGCCCCCGAGCCCATACGAGAGCAAAACATTCTACAGCGGCGTCGAGGGGAGGTTGCTTGCGCGTACCAGCACCTACGCCTATCCCCAATCCCGCATTGAGGACGGAATCGACTACAAAGCCTTTGCTACGATTGGCAAAGACCGCAAGATTCTGTCGGCGTGGTCTATCAAACTCATTAATTATCTGAAGAACGCGTTAGAGAGTCCAGAGTGGCAATGCATGTACTCTATCCAGATTGGCATCCCTCGGGGCGGCCCGACTCCCACTCCCCGCTGCGAGAGCTAGTGTTCATGGTTGACACTGCTCCGGAAGCAGCATTTGCTGGGAGCACGCTCGTGATGCGGCGCTCGTGTGCTGCTTCATCCTTCGCAAGGCTGGCGTTCTTGACATGGAGGTCGAGGTCAGGGAGGTTGACCCTGCCTTCTCGGCCTACGATGGAGGCCTTGGATACATCATCAACCCGGCGCACGGGAGAGGTCCGGCGCACTGGAGAGGTTGCCAGGCGTCATTTGTCACGGACCCAACCACCGCGAGTCAGCGTGAAAGACAACACGCCTACTACTCTGGCATCACACTACTCAGGCATCACACTACACACTAACAGCGGCCTCAGCGTTCGCCTGGGTTGCCGCCGGCAAGACAGCGGCGTCAACAAGATGGCTTCGCAGTAGCTGCTCAACCACGACATGCAGACGGACAACAACCCCGGAAGCCCCCAACAGGCAACACACATGCATGCACATCCGCAACGTGCCCGCACGCAAAATGCTCAAAAGAATCGCGGCTTACATCAACTCGTCTACCCGGCTGCGTGACGACTACCCGGCTGCGTGACGACATCAACCTGGTCGCCGGTGGCTATTCGATCAGAGCAATGTCGTCGCGTGCCTGAACCAGGACTTTGATTGTGCCCAGGTGGTTTGCGACTACCTTGTTGAGGACGAGTCAGATTTGCTGAGTGTGCCGGATTGTTCACATGAGCCCTGTTGCTTGGTGTGGCGGGAGGAACGAGAGGGTTTCGTGGCTCTGACTGTGGAAGTTGGTTTGTTGAGGGAGGATATGACAACAAGGCAGCTTGCTAGTTAAAGCAAAGTACTTTGGATAACTACTTAGATATAGTCAACCCTCCCATTGGCTATGTCCTCCCAGAATACTCAGAATACTCACATAAATATCATTGAGAGAGCCTGCCACCTCCTTGCCCGCAACGCCGCTCAGATTCTCCGAACATTAAATCACTCTGCTAGTAAAATCTAGACTACAGAGGCTGACCTTAACAGATCAAGCTCTGGACTACAGCATCAGTCTGCAGATGTCACCTCCGTAATGATATGACGTTCTTCTTGGCAGGTTGTATATACTTCGCAGACGTATTTGGCTGCGCCGCAAGCAATTAATTCACCTCCAACCCTCTCGGTTTCACTTTCGGCCCCCGACAACCTCGAATGCGGGCCCCTGCAGCAATTAAAGAAACAACAACCTGTACGGCACTGCAAATGTTAACACTGGAAGCAGGTACACAGCAGGACGGGCTGGAATATTATGGCCCCCGTCCCCCTTTGCCAACGCGCATGTGCGAATAGGCAACGGCCAATTTACTTCAAGGTAGTGCACGGTGTTCCCTATATCCTTTGCCCGAGTCTGCTCAACATCCATCGATCCATCGCCATCTCGAATTTTGAGCGGTTGCTTGGCCCCATCGCCATGAAACCGAAAAGACATGCCGCCTTTACAGCGCTCATATTGTCACTTCATCGTCTCGCATTGTCAGAGGGGATACCAACCTGCGCAGTATGTTTCTGCCTCAAGAAGCTCCAATGAATCCTGCGTCCCTCGCAGTTCGTTTGTCCCTGCGTTTGCTGACACGAACCCGACCAACTGACACAGGTCTCCTGCTTGAAGGCCACGCCTACCTACAACTCACTCGTACAGGGTGAATCTAGCAGCCGGTGTACGAACAACGACTCTTTGGTGGCCGTCATCTGCTGTGTCAACGGCGCCTGCTTGGGTTCCGACCTTGCAGCGACCCTTAACTACCTCGAGGAAATTTGCCACGCCGTGGGCGTAGCCCTTCCCGCCACCGTCGTCTGCGACGGCGTCACAACCGCCCCCTCCGTCCCGGCGTTGGCCAGACGGGATGTCCGCCGCAGAAACATTGATCCAGCTATAGAGCCCGGGGATACGCAGCAGACATCGGATGGCACGCCGGCTGACGCCCCCAGCCCTAGCGACCCACCAACCCCCTCGCCGCGAGAACCGAAAGGTACGCCGTCTACCACCACTACCGTCACTGCCCGGCACCATCAGAGTTCCCGGCACCAAAAAACCTCGCAGAACTCGCGCTTACCTTCTGTTTCCATTTCCATTTCCATTTCCATTTCTATTTCCACTCCCTTCCCCCTTCCAATTTCCACTTCCACTCTCTTCCCCCTTCCCACTTCCACTCTCGATCTCTTCTGCCTTCCCGTTTCCACTCTCGATCTCTTCCCTCTTCCCATTTCCACTCTCGATCTCTTCCCTCTTCCCCCCTGTTCCTCGACAAGCACGACCACGACCGGCCCCCCGACCTCTGAAACAACGTCGGCCACGACAAAAACGATATTCCAGACCATCCGGCAGACACCGACCCTGCCCGTGGAACAGGCCAGCAACAAAAGCAATGGAAGCGGCGGGCTCAGCACGGGCGCAAAGGCGAGCATCGGCGCGGGCGCCGCAGTGGGCGGGCTGGCGGTGCTCGCGGCAGCATTCGTGGTGATGCAGAGGAGGAGGAAGCGGGCTGCTGCGAGGAGGAAGCGGGCTGCTGCAGCGGCAGAGGGCGGGAGGACGGAGCTCGCAGACGATGACTGGGCGGAGCTCCCAGGCGATGGGCCGCAGCGGTTCGAGTTGGATGGCACTGGGGCTGCCCGGAAGCGCGGCGAGGCTGCCGCCGCCGCTGCTGCTCTCAAGTGGAAGGATATGTAGGGGGGCTCGTCCCTATATGCCCCTAGGCCGGTTCCACCGGCAAAGGGTGAATACCCTTATTACGAGGGACCATGATATATTCAAGGTTTTATGATTGGGGGAGGGCATGATCTTGGAAAGCAAGACGAGTGGTTCAGCCTCAGATGAAGCCGAGGATTTTATTGAAGCTGAGGATTTTATTGAAGCCGAGGCTTTTATAAGCAGCCTTTGACGTTTGAAATTTGATTGGGAGAAGTGTCGACTGGGTGATGCGGACCTGGGCATGGTTGGAGAAGTGTAGTTGCTGGCTCAACGGTGGCCAGGCCTGCAGCGGCTCCTGCTATGATATATGTGAAGATGGAGTCTTGCAACACGCATAGAAAAGCAAATTTAGGTTACCAGCTGCGTCGACGCTAAGTGCTGTGTGATGATTACAGCCGGCTGCAGCCTTGGCATCCATGCATGTTGCCACTGCGGGGCTTGGGTTTTGAGCTCGGGCTTTGACCACCCCTAGCCTGTGTCCCCCCACCATAGATTTCCTGCCTGCGGGCAGATAGCTTAAACTCTACGAGCAATCCACTAACGTTCATGATATGCGAGTTAGCCATGATAAGCGAGTTGGCCACCTTAACGAGATTTGGTGGGGCACAAGCAAAAAGATGTTAGTAAATTGTTAGTGATCTTATCAATTTCTTATCGCATTTGGCTGCGCACGCTACCCGGTCTCGTTAAGGTGGCCAACTTGCTTATCATGGCTAACTCGCTTATCAAATACGTTAAGTTTTCCTGCATTTGCGCTCCTCACACAGCAGAGGAGCAGCTGCGAGCCGCGAACCTCGAGATTGGCCGCTTGCTGAGAATGAAACCACCATATGAGCTCTGATGGACACGGTTCTCGTCGCAACCTCTATTACGACCAAAACACATCTACCATGCTCGACTAGGGACGGCCGGACCGGGACCAGCGAATGGAACTCAACGACAATGTCGTCGACTCGCCCGAATCTCTCAATCAGGCCCTGGTCAGAGGCAGAGGCAAATCCTCCAAGGCCAAGCTCAAGAGTATTCGCAGCCTTCGCCGGCGCCTCGTCGACGAGTTGTCGCGCCCGCTGCTGCGGAACCTGTACCCTTCTCGACCTTCCGAACGAGATCCTCTTCGACATCTTCAAGCGCGTTGAGCAAAACGACGGATCTTGTTTCGAGCTAGCTTCAGGCTTCCGCCGCCCCCATGCCGCCTGGAAACCTTCACAGGGTATCAAGGCCCTCCGCCTCGCTTGCAGACAAACTTGCGACATTAGCTCTCAGCTCCTCGTTCGCATGGTCATCTAAACTTCAGCCAGAAATCGCTGACGCGCCTGATTGAAATCTCTCGCCACGCCACCATTTCGAAGGGGGTGCGCGCTGTCAAAGTCCTCCTCCATTTTTACAAATCTTCGTCGATCAACAAGGGAAATTTCATCTACTACTATGCCAAAGATGCCAATATGCAAATCAACATGTAAGTCAGGTGGGGGACTTTTGGAACACCCCTGCCTATGGAACAGCCCCTGAATCGGACCCCGCACAACACCACAAACTTCAATTGCCAACAACTTTGTCAATTAATTAGCTACAATGATGAAGTCTTCAGTATCGGATTCTCCTGATTCTTCTCTTTCAGAATGACTAAGGTCCTCTCTGCCAGCCTCTCTCTGTGAGGCACGAACCTCCTCAATTCCAGCGAACTGCGTATTAGGGTCGACTTGGACCTTCCTTCTCTTTCGGCCTCTTGTGCGTTCTAGGCTTTTTTCTGTAGCCTCCAATTGATGCGCCGTATTGGCTAGTTGGAAAACCACGTAATCGAAGGCTTTTGCGGCCTTGCGTATGAAAAGTCGGTCGTTGGCAGTCCGTTTCTGGCCGGCTAGAAAAACCTGCCCCTGAATACGGAAATCCTTCGGCTTTTTAGGGGTAAACCATATAGGCCGGCCCTCCGAATTCTTATTTAGAATGGGGTTATGGACCTCTTGAAGGTCTATAGAAACCGTAGAGGTCAGTTGACCAACGTCGCCGTTAGAATTCTTAATAACAAGGCCGTTGCTTAGGGGCTTCCTGAGGCTGACCGGCTAGAGGCCTGTAGCTTTCCAGCCGGCTTTGATATTAGATTCAGTCATTCCATAGACCCTGGCTTGCCGGTAGCATTCTAGGAAGGCCCTCTTTTCAGCAACAGTGCCTTCGTCGAAGCCGGAAACAACCTCAGTATGCTTGGCTCTGTACCGGGCTTTTAGAGGGCCGAAAACCGATAAATCCAGGGGCTGGAGAACGTGGGAGGTGTGGGCTGGTAGAAATAACAATTGTACGTTATTAGAAAAGGCTAGCCACATGAATTCTTCGGTGGTATGACTACCGTGGCCATCTAAAATAAGGAGGCGCTTCTCCGAGGGGGTAGCTGGCCGAGTCTCTGGAAGAAAGATATTGCGGAGCCATGCGACGGCAGTATCATCGTCAGACCAGCCGTTTTCAGTGGGTTTCCACTTCCAGCCCTTAAATGGCTGTAAATCGCGTGGATACCATTGTTGTTGAAGGCTTCCACCTTTGAAAATGACGACTGGGTTCAAATACCGGCCGTCAGCGGAAATACATTCGATAATCGAGGTCCAAATTCGGTCTCCTTTCTTCTTTTTCTGGAATTTCTTTCTTTCCTTAGATCCAACAACCAGGCCGTTATCTCCAATGCCAGAAGCAATGCCAGTTTCATCCATATTATACCTATGCTTGGCTGGAATAGCCTCCACGCCTGGAGGCTTCAAATAGTCAAACCAAGACCGAATAACGGCCTCAGAGGCTCGATCAGCACGGTTTGCATGGATTCTCCGAGGCCTAATTGTAGAAATAGATGGATTTCTAGCCAAAAACCGGCTAGTCCAGCGTTTTCCGAGGGTCTCGTTATCTTCGAGCATTCTTCTAGCTAGTTTCCGAATTTGGGCGTGGGTTGGAGGGTGACCGAGCGACCCTTGGAATAGAATCCATTCGGTTAAGCGTTCTTCCATAGCCGGAGAAAGCTTTTGATCAAGAATTTGGGCCTTGGAGGCTGGCTCGGAACCACGAACCCGATTAAAGAGAGTAGTAGGGGGGATGCCGTGATTTTCAGCAGAGCTACGGAGTAAGCCGGTTTCTGCATACTCTGCCAGCGCATTCTGCAAATCCAACTGAGTATATCGCTTCATCTTTCATTTCTCAATTGAATGGAGAAAAGAAGATAAGTATTGAAGCAGAATTGGTCGAGTTGCAAGCGATTGAAATAGGTGAGTTGAGTGGCGAGCGGCAAGTCCTTGATGACAAACCTTGTTCCAAATCCAGGGGTGTTCCATAAGCAGACCACCTGACTTACGAGAAGCGCAGGGGCGCCAAACCGGAAATGGTCGCGGCGGGGAGGGAATTGGTGGCAAAGCTGTGCCGCTTTGGTGGGGGCAAGCCCAAGAGGACCATCAATGCCTGGCGCATGTCGAAGGAGTCTACGATCGGCACCGAGAGCTCTTCGAAAAACAAGACTCGCTTCTGCGCAGCGGCAGCTTCTACCGAGCCGTTGGATCTGCAATTGCAAGGATGCTATGCGCCAGGACCTCGATATTTGACGATTCCTGTTTCCCCACGGGCAGACCAAACCTACCGATGATGTCGGGAGTTGACATGTGGGAGAGGGTTGCTACATACATGCTCCAGCCTCTGGGCGCCCGAGACGCGATCGTTGGCTATCTCGAGATGCCCGATTACCGATGCGTCATCCCTCTGATCGACTCTGTCCGCCAAGCAGGCGCGTTCGTGGTCAATCTCACCTTGACTTTGGACTACTTGGGAAAAACCCTTGAACCTGGTGCCTGGTCCGGGCCTGGTCCGGATCTGCAACCTTTTTTCTCGTTCGGGATGCAGCAACTGAGGTCATTCACATTGGAACTTGGGTGTTTTCGCATCAACAATGACGAAGACGAGAGTGCCACACTTCACGGATTCCTCTCCGCCTGTTCGGATACGTCCAGCTTGCGAATGCTTGCCTTGGTTGGACAAACGTCCAGGCATTCCCCTGCGGCTCGGGCAGATCTTCAGCCAGAATCAAAAGGAGATGGATTTCGTCTCTCTCGCCGAGTGCGCTCTAGACGGCGCTGATCTAGCCGCATTCGTGGGACGTCTACCGAAGGCCATGCCCTCTATTTTCCTGCGTTACGTACGCTTACTCTCTGGCTCGTGGAAGGCATCGCTGGATGCGTTCAGGGCCAAGCAACCTCGCAACGCAAGCCTCGTGGGCCTGTATGGCGCTGGTGTGACGAGATGAGGCAGAAAGAGTACGACGGTATCTCCAATAGAAGTGTCGAGATCAACAGTGAGGCTGCCAGGTATATACTGTCATCAGGAGAGGAGGACCAAAACCCCATTCAGAAGTTTGAGGATGGCGAGTTTGACTCTGACTCTGATAATGAGTAAGACCTAGCTTAACTCGTGCCCCGTAGAAGGGTAGGGATATGAAGGGAAGGTTTGGCCAGACTGGGACGGGTGGTCTAGGGATATGAATGGAAAGCTTGGCGAGACTGGGAAGGATGCTCCAGGGACATGAAGGGACATCCATGTATACACCATTACCTAATATTGTAATCTAGTTGATCCCCTTCTTCTTTCTCGGCCAGCCAATATTCAGATAGGCTGGCCCGCCCCTTCACAGAAACCACCTTACCTAGGAGCTTTGATGCACGCACCCACCAGCTTTTCCCTCGCACCTACCTGGGGGCCGTTGGCAGCTGGCAACGCAGGGACCGCTTTTTGTATGGTAAAATGCCGTATTGCATGGCAGCCACCCAACGGCCTACCAGGCATTAAGGAAGCATACCGGGCACTCAGGAAGCCCGGCAAAGTCAAAATGACACTATTTACACTTCCACATGCCGGCATTTGTGTGCGCAGTTGGTGCTTTAAGATCTGCAGCAGCCAGGTGGCCTTTGCAGGCTTTTCCTTTGCCAAACAACCCTTGAACACATCGTCAACCTACCTTTCCGCTCACAGTCTTCGTAATGCCTTTTATCGAGATTTCCTGACGATTCAAGCTCCCTCGACCTCGCTGTCTCCGGCTCCCTCGACCTCGCTGTCCCCGGCTCCCTCGCGCTGGCTGTCGCTGTCCCGTGAAGATGACCCTTATCCTCGTAGGAAGGGCGGCGAGGGTGACCAGGTTGACATAGACTAGGTTACTAGATTGATAGAGTCGACACCAAGGAATTGCATCACTGTGTCAACAAATCAGGATTGAACAGATAGATCATTTAGGCAACTGGGCGCCTACCATGAAATTTGGCAAATTTACGTACAAATCCGGGCCTCAGAGTTGCCATTTGCAAGTTACCTTTATTCCGAGGCCGACTGGCAACGAAGAAATCGTCAAAATGGAAAACACCACGGTAAACGCGTTTTCAGGGCTTTTGAAGGTTTTGATGGCTTCAACGTTGTTGACCCGGACGGCCGGGCGGCTGGGTTGGCACATGGGAAGCGCATGGGAAGCGCATGGGCGGGAAGATGGTATTTCACGATTTTACCGGCCTAAAATAGGCTCTGCGTATCTCAACTGCCAACAGCTGCCAAGGTCCCCACGCAGGTGCTAGGAAAAAGTAGTAGGTGCGTGGATCAAAGCCCTTACCTAGTTAACGGTAATTAACACATTCGTCATCTAAGACCCAATATTGATAACCCAGTAGGCTAGCAGCAGGATCAAGCGCCCCCGAGCATCAACGCTACAGGTTCCGCCGCAGCCAGTCCAGCGGCTTGCTCCGTCTCGGTCAAGCGGCTTGCTTCCGTCTCGGTACTTGTGGCGATGGCCCGGAATTATCGAAGATAGAGCCCGGAAGTATCCAAGATCGAGCCCGGTTGGAGCGTCGATTTTGTGGTGCACTGGTATTTGCAGCGTTGCGGTAGCTCTCGGGGAAGAGAGACTCTGTTGGGGAATCAACGTCTTTGACCAAGATGCCGCCTCCTTACTCGTGATACCGATCAGCCTATGAGCTCCATTCCTTTGTTGGTTTTCCGGTATTCTTTCTTAAAAAAAAAAAAAAAAGATCCGTGTAGAGGGTGTCGAACGTAATTAGGCCAAATATCGTCAATCAGCTCTGAATCTGATAGCAATCCGGTCACTTTAGAAAATCGAAATGGGACATCATCTCTTCCAGGTCCCATCTACACAATAATATCTGCGCCATAGGCCACGACTTTGCAACCCTCTCACAGGCATTCAGCCCCGCGGGCCTCAAATGCATCTTCCTGCAGTAATTCGATAGTTGACAAGCTGGAATGCACTGCGGATGCAACACTTTGATACGGCAGAAAAGGGCGCGCTAGACAGATGTGGCTGACCCCCCTAGTCGGTCGTGGCCAATGGCGATTTGCGAATAACGCCATGTCCATAGCCTCGCCAGGAATCCATGGCCAGTCGAGAGATAGCAAACGCCGCCCCCTCTCCCCTCTTTTGCAGGTCTGGCTAATATCTACCCATTACCTAAATCGCCGCGTAAGTGCCTAGCGCTCGCTTGCTTGCTTGCCTGCCCGCCCGCCGCCGCCATGAGGCCGACGAGACGCGCCGCCTTTGCGGCGCTCGCATTGTCATCATGTCGTCTCGCAGCATCGCAGTGGCCGAGCCTGCCAACATGCGCGGTACGTGCTCCCTGCCCCCAGAAAAGTTCAATAAAATAGCGCGTCTCTGCGTTTGTTGACACGCAGGCAACGAACCTAGGAGTCCTGCGTCGTGTCCTCCATCACGTCGACCAACTGCGACACCGTCGCCACGGGCGACGCGTGCCTGTGCACGAGCAACGCCTTCGTGGTGGGCGTGGCGTGCTGCGCCAAGGCCGCCTGCTCGAGCGCCGACCTGGCCGCCACCGTCGAGTTCTTCAGCTCGTTCTGCGCTAGCGAGGGCATCGCCCTGCCCGCCACCCTCGTCTGCGACGGCGTCGCTGTCACGACCCCCTCGGCCACGCCGCCCCTTTCGCCATCCCCTTCCACCCCTATCAGCTCCTCGCAGCAGCAGCAGCAGCCATCGCAGAGCACGGCCGACGCCCCCTCCCCTCCTTCCTCTCCGTCACCGTCGGCGAGCGCGGCCGGCACCCCCCCCCTCTCCTCCTCTGTCACACTGCAGAGCTCGACCACCCTCCCCAGCTCGCAGACCACGCCAGCCACGACCAAGACGATATTACAGACCATCTTGTCGACACCGACTACGCCTGTGGAACAAGCCGGCAGCGGCAGCGGTGATGACAGCGGTGGCGGGCTCAGCACGGGCGCGAAGGCAGGGATCGGCGCGGGCGCCGCAGTAGGCGGGCTGGCGGTGTTCGCGGCAGTGGCAGCATTTCTCGTCATGCAGAAGAGGAAGCGGGCCGGTGCTGCGGCGGCAGGCGGCGGAAGGGCGGAGCTTGCAGCCGACGGGCAGCAGCCGCAGGAGTGGTTCGAGAAGGACGGCGTCGAGGCCCAGCAGGGCCACGAGGCCACTGCGAAGGAGTGGAAGGCCGACCAGGGCGGCCTGAACGGGCTCGCGCTGCTCGAGCCGCATGAGATGCCCCTGGCGCAGCGGGCGCAGGCGCACGAGCTGCCTTAGGCTATAGCCAAGTTTAGGAAGACCCGAATAGTAATATAATAACAAAGTATTCAAGCTATATTTCTACGCTAAGAGCGGCGCCTTCAACGACACGGCCGTAGCCGCCTGCTGCTGACGGAACCCGGGATGTACGACGATCAAGAGAACCGCTTTAACGCAACGGGGATCTCCAAAACTGGCACACACAAGACGTCAGAGCGCCATGAACTATTCGGCGATAGGAGGCCTTTAAGTGTCGAGGTTTTGCCCTCCTAGAGAATAGCAGCAGTAAAAGGTCGCCGTCAGCTTCAACGACGTGCCGTGCCGTCCTGAAGGCGTCCACCGCCGACCAGGGGTAGTCCACTGGCAGAGCCGCAGTCGCCATGGCCAAATCGTCGGAATGGCCTTTCTCCCCCTCTGACCTTTTGGCGGCTGGGCCGAGGAGGAAGTCGCAAAGATTCCTGCCGACCAGGGTCTCGGTGCCGTTTAGCAGGATGAACGTCGGTCTCGGCTCGGCCGGGAGGTGTTGTCCTCCGTCGACGCCCCGGGGTCTCCCCACGTGTATGACAGTGCACCATAAATCGGGTTGACTTTGCTATCGAGGGACACAAATACCAGGCCGCCCGTCAAGACACCGTCGCCCCGGAGGGAGAGGTTGTGACAAGTCTGATGTCCTTCGGGCTTGTCAAACGAACGGCCTCGTAGATTGATTTCATATCCCGAATGCTCCTGTTGGAAAGTCTCGAAGAGGGGACCGAAAAGGTCGTCCTATGGGACTGTGTGATCGACCAGTTCGCCAAAGTTCAACCCGTCCGCCGCATCTCAAATTAGGCGGCCGAACAAAAAGCAACGGTCTCATTACGCAGCCCTCGTAGATGATCGGCAAGCACGGGTGGATCAGGCTGGGCCTTGTAGCTTTGCCGGGTGGCGGAGCTGTTGGTGAGGCTTTTACGGTCGTCCGCGATGGGGCTATGAGTCTAATAGCCGCCTTATGCTCAGCCACCCCCCGGAGGGTCATAGAATCGGACTAGCTTATGCACGTGGACTTCAGGAACGCCACGACAGGGGTGTACGTTCCAGCAGAGCTTTGGGAGTCGATTACATGGTAGATATTATCTCAGTTCCTTAGGCCCTTCTGCTTCGTTTGGTTGGATTTTGGGATACATCTTTGGCCTCACCTCCGCCTTGCTACAAAAGCAGCTAATTAGAACACTCCAAAATCCAACTGTAGAAGGGTTATGTGTGTGGCCGACACCCAATGACATTATGACCTCACTATCAGTGCTCGGTCCTGGATCGATTCGCCCAGGGACCGACGCCCATCACCTTTCCTGTCAGGCAAACTGGTGCGCCCCCCCCAAATGCCCCCGTATCATGTCCCAGTGCGGTCGGACGCGCCGGCTCCTCTCAGCCTCGAACTCGTCGTAGATGGCCTGCGCCGGCCCAACGGCAATGATTTCGTCGCCAGCCGCGAGGCCCGCCACGACGGCGTCGACGAACGGCACCACGGGCATGCCCGGGTTAAAGTCGGGCGCCCAGCCGGGCTGGCCCGCGTGCAGGTCGGCTGCGTCAGGAGCGGTTAGCCGGCTACAAAGGACCCTTTGCTTTCTGCTGTGGATGAGGGAAGGGGAAAGGGGGGACGCACTCTGCACCAGCGGTGTGATGATCTCGACCAGCTTAACCGAGGTCGGGCTGGCCTCGGTGACGCGCCGCTTGAGCTGCTCGCGCACGCTGAGCACAAACGAGCGCAGCGCCGCCTTTGACGCGCAGTAGTTGATGGCGGGCGGGTATGGCACGGCGATGAGCGACGTGCTTGTGCTGTTTTCGTCGCCATGTCAGTTGCGAACCCCAAAGAGGAGCTTGGAGTAGCTAGGCAGGAAACAACATACTACACTATGGTCGCTGTCTCCCCCTGCGCGGCTTTGGCCTGGAAGAATGGCAGGAAGCCGTGCGTCAGCGCCACCATGCTGACGTAGTTGACCGTGACCTCGCGCTGGATCTTGGCTAGGTCGACCGTGTGCGGCCGGCTAAAGTCCATGATGTTCTGCACGCCTGCGTTGAAGACGGCGCAGTCGAGGTCGGGGTGCGTCTCTATGATGCTGAATCAGGCGTTAATCAGCGTCGATTATTCAGGGGAACAGGGGGAGGGGGGGGAGGTTTTGCAGAGAACGGTGGATTTACCTCTGCACAAACGAGGGGAGGCTGTTGATGTCGGTGAGGTCAAGGACCTCCCCAAAGGCTTTGCCCGCGCCGTGCTTAGACACAAAGGCTTCGAGGCGGTCCCGTCGCCGGCCCGCCGCGATCACCACCGCGCCGTCTTTGACGAGGTGCTCGGCCAGCTCGAGCCCGATGCCACTCGTGGCGCCGATGATGAGGACTTTCTTGTACGGGAAGGTCATTTTCGTGTCGGCTCTGGTTAAAGGGGTTGTTGTTGGTTGTGGCGTGTTGACTAACGCGATGAAGCGTAAAGCTGAGTGAGATTGCTGCAGCTTAGCACAATAGTACGAGGTTGAAGTGTAGCGTTTAATATGCGGCTATCCTTCTTCAAACGCTGCATTTGGCGGCGAGGTGAATGGAAGACAAATCCCACGGAGATAAGTGGCGTCGCGACACGAATACGCACTGCCTTAGCAAGACGAAGTTAATGATAAGGGAAGGAAGGCTTCAGTTACTGCATTTGGCCGTCTCTCAGATCTTGGTTCGTTGGCCACGAACTGCAACCGCGCTCGGAATTTAGCAGCTCCAAATCGCGAACTCCGGCCTTAGGCGTTAGCCAGTGTGCGGAACTCCGCCTGCGAGATCTGCTCGATTGAGCTGCGTAGCACGCAACGTAGGATAAATAATTCGGCGTTGCTTCATGCGCTGGCAAGTGGCCAACGGGCAGACTGGCAAATGGTGGTCGGTCCTTGATTTGTTTTCACTACATATACAAAGCTTAATACCCAGGTCCCGCAGTCCGCTTGTAGGTAGGCTAGCTATGCTACTCGGGTCCTGCAGCCAACTTTGAACCTACAAATTAAATGCGAGTTACCCGGGCCCTGCAGCCGAATGTTAGCTGCAAGCCAGTTACCCGGGTCCCGCAGATAACCTATGCGCAGGCACCCGAACACTTCACGTTTGGAGATGGTGAATATGCTGCATTCTTCTTGGTTTGACATTAATATACAATAGCTTGCTACGCCTCAATCTCCTTCCATCATGTGATTAAAACAATACTCCTTCCTTCTTTTCTATCCCCCGCAAAGACTCGAACCCTCTAGGCCCCAATCCGCCAGTGGCAAGCCGACTTGGGCTGGGAAATAGGCTGAGTGACACGCTGGTTGAGAGTCCCGACCCAAGCTGGCCTACCACCCGCCGGAGGCTCTCTGTCTGACCTTGAACGGAATACCCCAAGCCCAGTTTGGCAGACATTTTATCTGTCGGGGATTCCGCCCAAGGCCAGACAGAGGCCGTCCGGCGACGGGCTCGACTTGTACGCAGGCCAGTTGCCCGGACCAGTCGCCCGGGCCAGTCAGTCTACTGGGGCTGCATCAGCACTGCGTCAAGTCATATTGCCAAGCTCGTGTCCATGGTGCAGGTAACCAAGCCGACAGATTTTTTTCTTTTTTTCTTTTTTTCTGTAGGAATCACCAGGGTACCGGCACTGGAAACAGCATGGCGCGCTGCGCGCCGTAAGGTGGTGGTTCAAGTGATGGATTCGTTTGTGTCTGTCTGTCCTCTTCTCTATCTAAACAGGTGGGCGTAGGCCAATATATATGCATCTGTCAGGCCCGCTCCTCCACAGATGTTGCTGTGGCCAGGAATGCGGAGCCGCATTCCTTGGATCAGCGCGTCATTCCAGTATGTTATTCCAACATTTTCTTTTTCTTTTTCTTTTTCTTTTTCTTTTTCTTTTTCTTTTTCTTTTTCTTTTTCTTTTTCTTTTTCTTTTTCTTTTTCTTTTTCTTTTTTGGCCGTTGATCTTTTGTCCCCACCTAGAGAATGAAAGTTGTTCTCCGCTGACAATCGAACGGCACACTTTGACAACAATGGTTGAGCGCGGCTAGCCGTCTGGTAGATAACGGGGCCCAGCCCATGTAATGCATCTTCTCCCGGACAAGGAAACTTTTGAACTGAATTTGTAGTCGAAACGACCAAGATTTCTGGCGATTTGGTGTTCTGACGACTTACAGTATCGTGTGCAGTCTCAATGCTCAGTGTGCTGTTTTGAACGCCGAAAGCCGAACGACAGGGTGTAGAAAATGAGGCAACCACTGTTTCCGCTTTCCGTGAGTGATATGTGAAGGATTGGCTTAGGCGAGACTTGCTTTTAAATCGGCCTGGATAGGGTCTTGTGGTTCATATTGGTAGCAGCTTGTCAGAGACGTCGAGACAATCACGCAAACATTGCTCATCTTGGTCAGGGCCGTGTTGACAGAAGAGAGACGAGACGACACGGTCGCATGTCTTGTGGTATGCTTGACTTGGGCAGGCTTCGCTATTGGTGACTTTGTGGTGACTTTGCGAGCTGAAGAAATGAGAAGGCAAACTTGCGGGCGGCTGCGAGGAGCATTGCCTGCTGAGAGCGGCTCTGCTGAAATCCGACGCTAATTGCCTCGATGTCTTGGGCACTCTTCATTCAAGACCCTTCTTGATTGAGGGCGGAGGCTGGATATGTGAAAAGCCTGAATGGCCATTGAAGGAAAGCGGCAGGGGCTTGATACTCTATCTGCTGGAGAACATTGAGAAATGAAGGGCCTTTTTTGTGTTGCGGTGAGTCTTGGCCAGCTAGACGTTGTCGGCTCCATGGACCGTTCTTCAACGGTAGTCTGGTGTGGTGTTGTGACTTTGCGAACCTTTTTGTGACTTCGCGAGCCTTTGTTGTTGGCCTCCGTCCATTCGCCAAGAAGTGAGAGGATCCAGGTCGACAATCTTAGCTTTAGCAAAGTCAAATCGTGCTGTCTCTGCTTGGCAGCGAGAACTGCAGACAATTATCGAAACCACTAGACTTCAAACAAAATGGAAACGGCGGAAAGTAGCAGGCGAAGCGAGCATACTTGCTGTTATTCTGACGCCTAGAGCGAGGTAAACTCTCTCGAAAGGTCGTGCTCGCAAGCTCCAGGCTCTGGTGCAGCCGTGGTGATGTCGTCTTGTGGCAAGCCCCGGGGAACGCTATGGCAGCTCTTTCTCGAGAATGTGATAGGTGGTTTAACGGTTCCACGGTGCCGGAAGAGCAGAGAGGCAGGAACGTGTCGGCAAGGCTACGCACGACGAGAGCAGGAGATCTAGTGGAAGGAAGCTTGCTGCTGTCAGCTGGAAGTGCCTTTGCGGAAGGAGGAAATGGGGATGCTAGCAGTGTAGAAGAAGCGAAGCACAGATATAGGGAATGTTCTTGCCGCCGCAAGCATAGGCATGCTGGTGGCGAGAGGATAATTTTTCTAGATCTAGGCCGAAGAACTGATTCTTAACGCGTGCAGCGATCAATAGTGCGGCGCGGCCTGGGGAGGCAGATTACGAAGCCGAAGAAAGAGGTGCGATATGAGTGGTGATCTGCTTTGACTGTGGAGAAGAGCGGAAAATAGATGTGGCTACGAAAAGAGTAGAAGTGTGTTGAAAAGTTTTCTTCTGGGTGGTAGCAGATTGTGTGCTTTGGAAAAATGGAAGTCGGGTGGAAGGGGCTGCGAGGAAGGCATTCTACTTTCGCCGGTAAGCGTTTACGTTATTTCACGGCTCTGGAAATTTCTTGGCCACAGTCTTTAAATTTCCAGATGAAGGCCCACCATACCTGGCCTACCAGAGGCAGCGCAACGCTGGGACCCCAGCCTTTGGCAACGCAGGCTGGTGCTCTACCTTGCCTGGAACGTTCATTGAAAATCTCGCCACTGGTCCTGCGGCAAACGGCCAGGACTCGTTCTCTTGCAGCAGCTGAAAATGGGCCTTCTAAATCTTCCACAGCCCCAGCTGGAAAGGTCCGTGAAATGCCCTCATTTTGAAGAGGTACTGCTCTGTACCGTCAACTGGAACGATGATTCTGTATCATGTATCGAGCCCAGCCCCCCCACGTAGCAAGCCAATACACGATCAAGAATCAGAGGTCCTGATTGGCCCCAAGGACGGCAGAAGCTGGATTTTTCGAGTCAAGTCCACGATTCCATGGCTTCAAAGTTCCTCCTGCCTGCTGCTGAAAAATACGCGCAAGCCCAACGTTCGTCTAGCGGCATTGTCAGTGCTCCCTGCGCCCATGAACCAGAGGGTCCTTCGGGCATGTAGACCAAGCACGCCGCGGTCGGACTTCAAAAACTTGGCTGCTACTCAGTACTGACCAACTTTCCGGCCAGTTCGGATTCGGTTATACGAATACGACCATGTGAACATCTTAATTACAGTATCAAAGAATTGCACAGCGAGCACAAGATGATTAATTGCGACAACAAGATGATTAATTGCAACAGCAAGATGATTAATTGTGTTTTTTTCGGAATATTTTCCGCAATCTATTCACGTCCGGCCGGTGTTTGTGACGTGCACATGCCGGTGAGGGCCAAGATCGCCGACACGGCGGAGCAAGCGCCTGGAACGCAGCAGCCTTGGCGCAAGAGGGGTGGCACGTCGGCGCCGTCTGCTGCCGTGCCGACCTCTATGATTCCACGTCCAACTCCGCCCAGCCGCCAGCATTTGTAATGCCCCAGAGAGCAGGCCACTCGGCAGCGGGGGCGGGACCGAGCAGCCCTCCTCCCGCGGGCTGTACCGCCGCTTGTGTCGATGAGGTCGCCACGACGCACAACCCCCTTTTCCCGCCTGGCCTGACTGGCCCGCTCGGTCAGTCTCAATACGCCATACGCATTATCAGGCTGTCCAATGCCTCCGCCGAGCTGTTCGGCGGTTCCAGTCCCGATGCACCGACGAGGGCACGTCCACTTGCGATCAAAGCTTGCCGCCTTGCGGACTAACGATACACGATGTGTACACAGGGACGGCACCCCCTAATTGACAGCCCACCGAAGAATCACGACCTTGGCCGCACAGCTATAAGAAACTCTCCACGCTGGTGGGTTTGGCTACATTCTCCTCTTCCTATTATGTCCTCATCAACACCATATCTCACACTCATCTTCCAACCGGCCACCACGCTCCCACAAAACACCCACGCTCCCACAAAACACTCACGCTCCCACAAAACACCCACCCTCCAGCCACCATGTCCCGCACCGACCTCGAGCCGATCCACATCTGGGGCAAAGGGGGCCCGAACCCGCCCAAGGTAGCCATGATCCTAGGCGAGCTCGATCTGCCGCACGAGCTGCAGTTCGTCGACTTCTCCGAGGTCAAGCAGCCGGCGTACCTAGCGATCAATCCCAACGGGCGGATCCCGGCGATGCACGACCCCAACACGGGCGTCACGCTCTGGGAGTCGGCCGCCATCGTTCTGTATCTCGTCGAAACCTACGACAAATCCCAAAGGATCAGCTTCGCGCCGGGTACGCCCGAGCACCACCACGCGCACCAGTGGCTGCTCTTCCAGGCGTCGGGCCAGGCGCCGTACTACGGCCAGGCGACGTGGTTCCATAAGTTCCACGCCGAGCGGCTGCCCAGCGCCGTCGCGCGCTACGTCGCCGAGATGCGCCGCGTGACCGGCGTGCTCGAGACGTGGCTGACCAAGCAGAAGGCAGAGAATGAGGGCAAGGGCGGCGACGGCCCGTGGCTCGTCGGCAACAGGGCTTCGTACGCCGACATCGCGTTCGTCTCGTGGCAGCTCATCGGCCCCGGAACTGTCGAGGGCCAGGGCTTTGATGCCGACGAGTTCCCCGTGGTCAAGGACTGGCTCGCGCGCCTCACTGCGCGTCCTGGCGTCGCCTACGGCTGGTCGACCAAGCAGGTGCCGGGCCACTGATTGGATGGGTCGATAGCTGGCGTCGTGGGTAGGGGACTCGGACTTGGAGCGTTCGGAAGGCAGTTCGCCAGGGAATTAGTAAACGCTGCCGTTGCTCGAGTGCGTCTGTTCCACGTTCTTCAGGATAGCCGGTCTGGAATAGTCAGGCTGTGAATTATCTGTAGCCTTGATAGCCTGGCGCTCTCGGAATAAAAACCCTAAACGACAAAGCGCTGCCTTTCCCCGTTCTTCCCTCGCGTGTGCGTGCTACTTTCTCTCCCGCCCCCAAATCATCCCGAGCCAGGTACGTGTTAATTCCATGATGAGAAGTTACATGATGAATGCAGAGGGATATATTTTGTCGACCCCTCACGGCCGTGTCCAATATTTTCTCCCATAGAAGCGTTGTGGAATATCATCCAATAGCATCTCCTCTCGCTCCTTCCGCCCATACAATGCAAACCTGTCTCGTCGGTAGTGAACTGGAGGAGCGACGCCGCCGTCAGCCGAATGTCGCCGACGAGAACCGGCCAGGCATAGCTGTACCAGTGCCTCGACACTGTGAGACGGCCCAGGTCCTGTCGGAAGGACTTGGCGCCAACGGGGCCAAATACTTGCAGGAGAAGCTCTGGGGGCAGGCTCATTAACTCTATTTGTGGCATTTCGAGCCGATATTCTATAACTAATCAAGAGCAAAATTCATATGCACTTTCAGAGCCGTCACTCAACTGAACAGCGCCACAAGCAGTGGCCCAGCTCGGGAACACTTTCGTGAGAGGAGGGGTTGAGATTGATTGATTATTGGCGCGGAGAAACGAACATCCGATGTCAGCAAGGCAACCAGTTAGGCGACTCTCCCGTCAGACATCCGCTCCTGTGCCTGTGGCGAAATCAGACCTAGCGTGTTTTCTAGAACTGGGAGCAGACACCTTACTATTAAAGACCTAGGGCCTATGTTAATAGACTCTATATTGTAAGAGTAATTACGGTACGTACTCATATCTAGGCACATATATAAGGTGATGAGGGCAAATCTTTGCTCCCGTGGCATCCCCGGCACCATATCCGCCGCCTCCTGGAATATGAGGCCCCCAGCTCCGGAAGTTGAACCTCGGTCTCAATATAGTCGGGTGTGTTGAAGGTTGTCGTGAACAGCGGGTGCGCAATCTCGCTGAAGCTGTTGAGCACCGTCCAGCACTGGAAACGTAAAATGAAGTAGTCAAAATGAATCTCTACCGTCTCGTCGCCCAGCTCAAATGCTAGGGCCTCGATCAGCTTCGCTGGCGATAGTGCGTGGTAGTCCCAAAGTCCTTGCGCCCGGCGGCTCTTGATAAAGTCCTTGATTGGGACCTCGTAGCGCGGTGGTATGTTTCGCGCGGCTGTCGGGTCAGCTGGAGCCGCGCCTGGGCGAGACCCAGACCAGCCATGCTGTATTGCCAGTAGCTGCTTGTCAGCTGCGCTTGGGCTACCATTTTTTGTCGCAATAGGAGCAGCAGCTTGAACTGTGGCCGAATTGTGGTTTGCGGATGGTTTGCGGATGGTTTGCGGATCGGTGCCAGAGGTGTTGCGCGTCAACGAGGGCTATCAAATGCAAATAGAAGAGAGGTTTGGCCATGAATTGCACCGTCAAATGGCCATAATTTGAATTGCCCAATCATTTTTAAAGTGTCTGACGTGATTGTGCTGGGACGTTACCAGAAAACGAGAGGAAAATGTCGACTGTAATTTTCGGCCTCACATAACGTATTTTATATGCGAGCGGCGAATATAAGTGTTGGAATTTGTCAAGCAGAAGGGCCTCAAAGGTTCTAGATAGAGACTTCGCCACCAACTTCGCCACCACAATAGTAGTATAAGAACGGGCTTTCTGGCACTGCCAGAAAGCTAGAGAGAAGAACAGACATCTACAATCCATCACTTGAACCACCAGTTTTCGGCGTACAGCCACGCCCTGTTGAGTCCAGTACCGGTACCCTGGTGAATCCAACAATAAGCGAGCGGCGAATTTCTAACCAGCCTACCACAACTATCCTCAATTAAACCACCACAACACTAGGTGTTCGTGGTATTCTAACCACGCAGAGGTGCCTGCAGGTCGAAGGTGTGGTAGTACTATCGGTAGGAAAAATGGATCCCCACGGTGGTTTCCTACGTAGTAAAGTGGTCTAGTCATACTACCTCGTCTGAATATGTTATTTGATGGAATCGTGCGGTAGATCCCTACACTGCTAATTCTAATAGCGTGCTCGCTTGATCGTAGCCACTCCGTGCCTGCCGTGCCGGTCCGTCCGATAAATTAGTTGCCTGCTAGTGCCGATCCAGGCCTCCGTACTACCAAGAGTTCGTATTCGTAGAGCGTACGAAAGGAGCAGGAGTCCCGGAAGGTACGTCCTTTCAGGCCATCCACCTAGGTATAAATAAGTACCTTTCCCTTCCTGTCCTCTTCTTCTTCGTGCCGCGCCGCTCGCTCGCTCTCTCCGCGCGCGCGGTTTCCTGCCCTCTTCCAGCCGCTCTCTCTCTCTCTATGCGCGCGCGGTTCCCTGCCCTCTTCTCAGCAGAATGGCTCTCGTCCCTGTTGGCGACTCTGGCGGTGCCGTGCCTATCCTCAATGGAGGTACGGTGTCGACTGTCCTCTTCGGCTCTGTCCCATATCGTACCGAGGCGGATGGGTCCATCTGGATCCTCATTCCCACTACCTATAATAGTAATCGTCGTCTCCTTCTCGCTTTCTCTATTAATATAAGTTCTACCCTCGAGAGTCTCTCTTTTTGTTATACGATTAGTTAATAGTAGCTAGGATAATAAGCGTCGCCTAATTTCGATATCCGCGGTTAATACCGAGGTACGCGTATCCGAGGCCGACTTCGCCAACTTGGATATCTTTACTAAGATTATCTAGCGGGAGTCGTACTTCCGGGCCCTGCTTATCCAGTCGCACGGATAGCGCGCTCGCCGTTACCCGCAGAAGTGCGGCAACCTAGAGGCGTTCCCTAAGTTCCGGTATTACGTACGTAGGCCTAGTTAATAGGACGGCGCCTAGACTGAGTATGTCTAGTAATCGCGCGGGTCTTAATGCTCGTACTACTACGGGCTCAGTATCCGGTACCGATTCGCCCTCGAGCGGCGGCGATAGCTCGTACGACAGCTCTCCTCGCTCTAGTCCTAACTAGCGTGTCACGGCAGGTGCAGACAGCTGACCAGATTTGGGTAGTGGTCCGTGCACACCATAGCCACGTGACCCACATCACAACCCACTTCCCCTGCGCCCCGCCTAGGCCTTGGAAGCTTTCTTTCCTTTTTCCTTCTTTAGCTTTAGATTCTACGAATACAGCACCACATTGCAGCCCTGCCTCTCTACAGTTGACTGTGCGGTGACATAGCGGGCTATTACTAGATAACGGGCCCTTCCTTACTCTAGTTCAGGTTCGCGCTTGAACCCTCTTATACTTACGGAATAAATCTATCTCCTTCCCTAGTTTAGGTTCGCGCCTAGTCTTTTCGTACGATCGCGGGAGATTTCTTTATATTTCTTATACGAGGCACGGCGATGTATGAAAGGTGATGAATTGTTTGAGAAAGCCAAAATTTATCGGCACGCAGGCGGGAAATCTATATGGCATAGATAGGGTGGACCCGGCTGGGCCATGTTTGGCCTGTGCCCAGTACATTTCTTAGGTTAGGCTAGTTTCCTAGGGTAGTATAGGGGGTAATTCGTATGCTCCTCTAGATCTGTGAGTTTTCGCGAATTGGCTGGAATATCGCGTCGTGAAGGCCGACCGGCGCGTTGATAGCGAAGTGTTGTTTTGGAACCTTGTACAGATTGGCTGTGGAAAGAATATTGGGGTTCTTACTATTTTGGATTGATTTGGGAGCTAAGATTACCCTAGCTTCTTTTGAAGGGGTAGCCATAGCTTGTTGTGGTAGAATTGAGGATCAAAGATGCGTCGCGTCGCGGGGAAAATTCGCCGTTCGCTTATATTCGCCGCTCGCTTATAAAATACGTTACGCCAATCAACACCTTTTTCCAACCTTCCAAATCCTCAACGCAGCATTCCACAACAGCGCATTAATGGGAGCGGCTACAAATTAGTGGTCTGAATGAAGCCATTTTGACCTATGCGAATTCGAGGAGTGTATTTTACTATCGATAAAATGTGTAGAGTGTATTTTACTGTCGATAAAATGTGTAAGGGTTTAAGACGGTATTATTTTCACCAAGCTGTATTCGTATCGGAGCTAAGGGAATGTTAAAAGGGAAACGGGACAGGAATTTTTGGCCTAAGAAGAGGGTCTTGGCGTTGACATAAATTTGAGTCGGAAGAGAAAAGGATTTTATCAGATAACTTGACGCGTTTAGCCCATAGGAAGATGACCTCTTTGAATTTTAATACATCACCAATTTGCAGCTGCGCGTATATATACATGGTCGGAAGGCTAGTTGACGATTTGGAAGGTTTGGTAAAACCTGCAAATTGAGTGTAAACAACGTCCGTCTTCCTCTCTCATTTTCCCATGCATGCCACAAGTGGCACAAGGAGTTTCCCTCCACGCGAGCCAAGTTGGCACAGAAGAGGAAAAGGCAGTGCCGTAGGGGGCCGATCTAAGGGAGCCTGGTGGCCTTTGCTCAGGCCTCTCCGAGTCGTTACCTCCGATAACGGCTGAATAAACCCATTACACCTTAGTACGTATCCTTTTTCGAAGATGAATCTTAACTTGTCATCCCGTCTCCAAAATCTCCCAAAAACAAAAAAAGAAATGGACATCGATACAACTTCAAGTGCCCCTAGCTCTCTCTCACCACGCCACTAGCAGCTTCTGGATGCCCACGTCCTTTGTCAGCGGTGTGTATTCCAGCCTGTCGATGTCCGTCGGCAGCTCGAGGTCTGGCAGCTGCTTGAACAGCGTGGCTGTTCCGAGACAATTAATCAGCGGCACCCTTTCCCAATATTTCACCTCAAAGACTCACAAAACACAGCGATTAGCTCCGCCTTAGCCAGCGTCTCGGCGATGCAGCGGTGGGCGCCAAACCCAAAACCAAGCGCGCCCTCGCCGTCGCGCCACGTGCGGTGCATGTCGAAGACGTCGGGGTCGTCGAACACAAACTCGTCGCGGTCCGCCGACTGGTTCGACGCGATGATGCCCTCGCCCGCCCGCACCGTCCTGCCGCCGATTTCGACGTCCTCCTTGGCCGCCCGCCGGATCGCAGCTGCGCCGGGTGCTGCAGCAGCGTCACCACGCCCTGGTTTGTGGATGGTCAGTTTCACACTGTCTAGGGGTTTGAATTGGCGGGACAACAAGCAGTAAAGCCTCACCAGCGCAATCATGTTGACCATAGTGGCGTTGCCCGCGACGAGCAACAGAAACGCTATCTGCACGGCCTCGGCCTTGTCGAGGTGGCCCGACTTGGCCTGCTTCTCGACCAGGCTGGTGATCAGGTCGTTCTTGGGCTGCTGCGATCGCTTGTCAACGAGGCGTGCCAGTAGTCGAGGAGGGTTCTGGCAGGCGAGAAATAAGCACTTGTAGCGCGCAGTGGAAACACAACAACAATGGGGCTGGCTCAGAGAGAAAGAAAACTCACTGGTTCGCCGACGACGCCTCGACGAGATCGACCGGCCGCTCCCCATCAGCCACCATCTGCTCCAACAACCCATCCACCGTGCGCTGGATATACGGTTTCAGCGCCTCCACCGCCTCCAACGCCTCCCTCGAGAAGAACCCTTCAACCATACTGCGCTGGCGCGCGTGCGCGGCGCCGTCCATGTCGACAAACGTGGGCCGGTTGCTGCGCGCGGCTTGCTTGCCGCCAGCCCCGAGCTCGGGGAAGCCGGGCCGCGCGTGCGCTCCTTGGACAGCCGGTCGTCGGTTGCCGCCGCGCACACGTCGCGGTACTTGGACGACGACGCACTCTGAGAATGAGGTTCGTGGCTGGAACTAGATGCAGCTGGGTGACTCTGATTCACAGCCGCTGCGTGCCTTTCAGAAGATCCCCGTAAGTTGGGCTTCTGGGAACGGTCGACCGATGTGTCCCCACACTCAATATTCGGTGCTGGAATATGTCGAGACGAAGTTTTCTTCCGAGGGGGGGGGGGGGGTGGGGAATAATATTTTGTTGTAGCATTGGAGCCGGGTTACGCCGTCAGTCGTCAACATGCCGTCAGCTAGATCTACGCATTTGAGTTGGAGTCCTCATCTTACTGTCGAGAAATAACGTCGAGGACGTGTCAACTAGGTTTCTTTGATGAGATACAGCTCTGGGGCCGGGTCGTATACACATGTCCAATAACTTTTACGGCCCTACCAAGCTTCTAGATCACCGCCCAGAGCTATAGGCTTCGGGAAAATGAGAGAAGCCTGCTTATTTGTACTTTATTACCGAAGCATAGTCCCCGATTCTAAGATCCAACCTACCAGGTCCCTCAAATCAACTGGCCGCCAGACACAGTTTCTTCACGCTACTCCTTCTCAGTCGAGACAGAGTCACGGCTATCGACTTCCCAAGTCGGGGTCGAGCCAGCATGCGCCGCGCGACGTCTCATGTAGCCCTTACACGCGTCTGTCACAGCATTCCGATCAGCCACAGCATTCCAGTCAGCCACGGCGAGCATTTGCGCAGGAAGCGAACGACTTACCCCACCAGAGGTCGGCGTTTGCGATCAGGGGCGAGATCAAGAGGGTGAGGGCGACAACCTGGCCGAAGCCAAACTCGTCCTCTTTCCCAGCGTCCTCGGGGGCCTGGCAGCTCCTGCCAATGTCGCGCCAGTGGAACGCGTACCACGTCTGGTAGACGAACCAGAACATGTTGGCCAAGTGGGCCGTGGCAGGGAAGAACAGGTACAGGTACAGCATGGATACGAACAGCCAGACGGGCGTCCACACGAGCAGCTGGAGAAGCAGCGACGCCACGCCGCCAACCGCAGCAACCCAAGCCCGCTTGCGCAGCGCTTCCGCGGTGCCCTCGCACGTCCTCCCGATGGGCGGCGCCGCCCAGCCGACAAACAGCTCAACGTAGTAATACATCAGAACCGCACAGTGGGGGAACAGCGACGCGGTGTCGATGACGGCGCCGACGAGCGACAGCGCAAATAGCACGACGGACGCGCGCGAGTCGGCCTCGGTCAAGTCCCAGAACGGGCCCGGGCCGGCGTAAACCTGCTCGGCAAAATATAGACGGTCGTCGCGGCGGACCTCGATGAACGAGACGAGCGCCACGAGCGCCCACATGACGGCCAGGCGCACGGCGCGCTTGACGGGCCCGTTGCCGGCGTCCAGCAGCGCGGTACGCGCCGTCAGCATGCCGGCCGTCGACGTCAGCCACGCCAGCCACGCCATCTCGTCCGCCACGAGGTAGTGCGCCTGCGTGATGTCCTTCTTGACTATCGCTGCCACGCACACGGCGATGCCCGTCGCGAACTGCGTGTCGGCGAGCGAGAAGAGCGTCGCCTGGAGCGCGGATGGCGGCGGAAGCTGGGGGGCTGCAGCGGCGTGGCTGCCTTTGGGTCCCCACGGGGCTGGGTCGCCATCTTCATCTGCACCGCCCTGCGGCGGCCGCGGTGTTGGTTCGCCGTCCCTGCCGTCGAGGTATTTCCTGGCGTCCTCGAGCGTGGGCCACTTCCGCTGTGGTTCTGCGGCAGCAGCTGGTGTCGCAGCAGCTGGTGGCGGAGGGATAAGCGGATCAGGGCAGGGCACCAGCATGCGCGCAAAGGCAAAGTCGCCGTCGAGCCAGTTGCGGTGCAGTTGGACGGTGGCGAGCACCATGACCAGCGTGCCCGTGACGAGGAACGACGCCAGCACGCCGATGCCCGCGATGTCCGGGTCCGGCTCGATATAGCCGACCGCGTCCGAGAGCCCGCAGAGCTCGGGCGCATCCATCCATCCGAGAAACGACGTCGCCATCTGTGGCGGAACAAGGGAAACAGGGGATCGCGGCTGATGGAGAGAGAATGAATGATGTTGGGGACGGCACCGCAATCGGCGGCTCAAAAGAGGATCCGGCGATGGGCGGGTTCCGCAACAGCGCGTTACGGCGACGGGACTAGCCCATTCTCGAATCCGACGCGGTTATCGCCACCACTGCCGCTCGTGCATAAGATAATAGGGTGTGTTGCGAGTGCTGTCCCCATTGGATTTGGAGCTGTTCTGTCTCACACCTATCACAGGCCGCGCTGCAAATGACACCACCAGCTGATGATCATTGCTCAATCCAGGACTGCTCAATCCAGGATTGCTCAATCCAGGGCGCAGGCAGGTCTGCTCGATGATTCAGTTTGCTTGATTATCCTGGTAAAACATTTCCCTGTGACTTTGGATTGTTCAGCTAACTTGTGGATTTATTTTCTTTTGTTTCCTCTCGGAGCGCCTTGCACAGTTGAATCTACCGTGTGTTGTCAAACTGGGTGCGCTGGTAGTGCTGCCTTGGCCAGGCGACCCGAACATCGACCTTTTTACCTTCTTTTTACTTCAACTATTCCGACCTTCGTACAGACTGACCTCCTTTTTTTTCCTCGATCGATCTTCCTACTACGAAGCCAGCCGATCTTTTTGATCTTTCGGATCCTTCCGACCGTCAAGATGGACCCCGCAACGACCCAAATAAGGTCACGATAGCTGAAGACAAGCTTCAAGGCCTGAAGCAGGAGAATGACTTCTTGGCTTCCTACCTGGCCCGGTTTGAGCGCCTTATGTCGTCTGGAATTGACCCACTTTTCATGGAATTGGACAGGCCCTGGTTGACATGCCTCTGAGCTTCCTTCATTCTTGACTCGGAATGTCCTCATTTCATTCGGAATGCCCTCTTTCGGGCTGCGCCTCCCTTGTCCTCTCTTCATGAGTATAAGGAAGCGTTCTTTTCTGTACTTTTAGACCTATTGAGCAGACAATTCAATGCGCTGTCAACTTCGATCGCGTGCAACACCTTATGTATAAATCAAAGGCTAACAAGTGGTCTGATCAAGCGAAGATCGCTATGTTGCGTAAGGGACTCAACTCAAGCACGCGCGACCGCCTCAACGCCTAGGTTATCATGCCTATAGACTATAACAGCTTCGTCAAGATGCTCCAGAAGCTGGGAAACCCTGGCGGTGGTCATACCGGTCCACCCAGCCTACTTACAAAGGACCGCTCAGATAAGATGGACATTGGCCACAACACTGTTGACGACGTGGAATACATCACGGACTCGAACGAAGAGCCCCAAGGCCGCGAGTATATCAAGAAGCATGCCCTGCATGCCCTACAGGCTGAGAAGGACTGGATGGATCAACAATTTTAAGATGACCTGTCTGACTGACTGGTCTGCCACTCTCTGTACAACAACAATTCCCTGAACACCTGTACACTACTCATTACACCTGCCCTGCAGCTGCGAACGACTGTCAATAGCTCGACTGACAGTTCCTGACGGTCCGTTGACAACAACTTCGACTTCAAATGCGGAAACCCCAGATTTGAACGATTCAGGCCTACGGCTTGACCTGACGGTTTTCCAAGGATGGATTTGAACGCCTCGGGGCGAGGCTTTTTCGTGGGGGGGATGATGTCACGGTCGCCACAGGGCTCATGTGACAGGATTGATTCTATTGGCTGCATTGTGCTTAGAGTGTGGCCTGTGCGCACTGAGCACCACAACCTATTTCCCCGCGCCCTGCGCGGACCCCGCGATAGATTCCTTTCTCTTCCTTAGCTTTAAATCCACATTCGTTACTGCCTTCAACCATTGACATCCCTACTGCGTAAGGCGGGCCGTCACAAGTAGAGACTGTTATGTTGGGCCTGGTGCCTCCCTTTCTTCCATTCGGTAATTCTCCCGAAAACCCCAGTCCAACTTGAACCAATGGACGAGAAGGCGGGCTCTCATCCCACAATGGGTAGTCGGAAGCAAGCAGTCGGAAGCAAGTAGTCGGAAGCAAGGCAGACACTGGAACTGACTCAGGATGAAAGGGTGAGAGAAGAGAGCGAGAACAGATAACCCGAGAAGGTGGGGGTTCGAAAAAGGCGGCGGATAGCAGCGCGGAATGAGGACTGGCCGACTGGAGAAGATTTTGGAGAAAGAGAAAATCGGTGACAGACTTACAATCCATTGGGTGAGTCGTGCGCTGGGTTAGTTTTCAGGTGACTGCAGAGGAGCAGCGCTCGCTGCAGAGGCAGCATTGTGAGGGGAGGGGCGGCACCAACTGCCAATGGACGAGCATCAGAGCAGCGCATTACATCAAGCAAACATACAACCTGGCACCTCTTTCATTCGCCGTCCTCGGCTGTATGCACGCAGCGAGAGCGCACTTTCTGCGGACCCAGAAGATTCGATGCCTGCCTAAGGTAGACGTGCATGGTGCGAGGCGTACAGCACGGCAGACTATGAGAACTTCCCTGTGGTCGTGGACTGATATGTTTATCTGACCGAATAACATCGCACTACCTCCTTACTTGACTACGTTCCCACCTGACAACTCTACCTAACCACAATCTCCCTGAGCTTTCTCTGTGCCTGACTACACAGGGGCTCGGACGACAGTCATCCACCCCCCCCCGCTCACACAGTTCGTCACTCGCAAATGGATCCCTTCTCCATCGGTGTGGGCTGTCTTGCGCTGCTCGGGGCCGTGAAAGAAGTAACGGCACACTTGTCAGCATTCACCAAGGCCTTTCACGAAGCACGACCCGAGATGCTCGCCGTCAGTAGACACGTGCAGGAGCTGGAAAACATTTTGCAGCTGCTGGAACACGACAGCAGCAGCAGCAGCAGCAGCAGCAGCAGCAGCACATGCAGCAGACTGCAAGCGTCGTTGGAGATAATCCAGACGCTGATCAACAACTGCTTCGACGTTGTGGAGGAGCTCAATAGATTTATCCAGGGATTCCAGACCAGCACACGATACGGCAGGCTGGCGTGGTCTACGAGCGGCAAAGCGGCTGTCGAGAGGATGGACAAGGCCCTACAGACCCGCATCGACCATCTCAAGCTGGCCCTCGACATCCAGTCCAAGTGGGTTCTTTGTCGCCGACATTCTTGTAGTCGAATAAACCTTTTTCTCAGAAATGCTAATTGGCTTGCTTGCTCTGCACAGTACTGTCACGCTGGACATCAAAAAGGACACGGCCGCCATCCTCGACTCCCAAAGCGTCCTCCAAGTGCACATGTCCATAATCTCTGAGCACTTGGGCCTGCGTACGAGTAAATCGTCCATGCAGCAGTTTGATGCGTCTGATCTCCCCGCTTCTTCGTACGACTACCATCCGACCAGAGAGTCGGCACTGCCCCTAGGCCACTTCCGAGGTGCTCCGATCGACACTGGCAGTGGATGGAGCCCCTCGAGGTACATCCATACCTCCCTTCCCAAGTCTAGTCAAGCCGTGATAGAGCGCATGGGCCCGATTAGCTAACACAGGCATCGCAGCAGCTCCAACTTCGATTCCGATGCCTTTACAAACACGGCAGAACCGAATTCGCCCTTGACGCCCACTGAGGACGTCCAGTGGAGTGATTCGGCCATTGGCCTGGACGAGCATTTCGAGGCGGACCACGCCGGCGGCTCACCTGGCAGCTTTGCCGGACAAGCGTCATCTCCCGTCGACAATTGCCAGCCTGGCGGCTACGATCAGCATACAGCATGCTACAGGATGCCACTGGCAAAAGAAACGCTGCCCCGTCACTCGGACGAGTCCATCGCGCCGATTTCAGTCTTCAACCCGAGCTGTCTTCCTCCATGCTACGGAACGGAGAGAGGGGCCGAATTCTCCCGAGCCCCAGAGCCAGAGATAGCATCCGCCACGACTAGACCCGCAACATCGGAGGCGCATAGAGTCCGAGAGGCGTTCCGCCGCGAAGTGGAACAACGCGCAGCCTTGAACGCCCCCGCGAAGCCCAAAGAGAGGCAGCAGAAGCCGCCTCCCGTGACTACACCGGCAGCAACAACACCGGCAGCAACAACACCAACCGGAGACCCAAGGGCTGGCCAGATCCGGGAGCAGTTCAGGCGCTCGGTGGCTGAAGTGGCTGCCACCACCCCTGCTTCCAGACGTTCCAGTAACAACACGAATGGTGGTGGGTATAATGATCCACAGAGTCACAGCACCCACACGGCAGCAGCCCCACGAGAGGAGAACCACGCATTGCTTAGAAGCAGAGACATTATCAAACAGTTCAAGGACATGGTCTGGAAGAAAAAGAAGATGGCGGGAATCGGGACGTAGCTGCTCTGGCTAGAATTTATAGTTATATGGCAAGCGGGATATGAAAATGGCATCCAAGAAAAGCGGGGTTGACTTGCCTGGACGTGGGACTTGTGAGGGAGGCTGCCTGGTAATTAATGAACGATTTCACAACAAGTATAACTTTTACTTTGGTGGAGCTCTCGCCCTACGCCTGCCACGACTGGAAGGGTGTTCTGGGCCTAGGTCTCTGGCATACCAGGGCAATCAGGTCCTAGATCGATGACGATTGAGGGCGAAAAAATGAGGGCATTCCGAAACCTTGCATCTAGGGTTCCGGGGCTCGGCGAAGGCAGTCGGCTGGCGACAGAACAACTTCGCGATGTCGAACCGCTCCTAGGAGGAGGGAATGTTTAAGTGACGCGCGCAAGCGCTAGAAAAGAAGATAAGATCTACACCTCTGTCAGGTCGTAGAAATGAGCTTTAAATGATGTGACGGCCCGCCTTACGCAGTAGGGATGTCAATGGTTGAAGGCAGTAACGAATGTGAATTTAAAGCTAAGGAAGAGAAAGGAATCTATCGCGGGGTCCGCGCAGGGCGCGGGGAAATAGGTGTGGTGCTCAGTGCGCACAGGCCACACTCTAAACACAATGCAGCCAATAGAATCAATCCTGTCACATGAGCCCTGTAGCGACCGTGACACTACTGCCCTGTCACTCTTTCGAAAACCAATGAGTAAAATTGGTGTATACCCCAACCCTGGCAAGAATTAGACTGCAGACTGCATTACGAAGTCATTCAATTCCAGGCCCACCCGCCCGTGGTCTGCAACTAGCTACCAGCCAATATTCTCCTCGCCCCCCTTTTCCTTGCCACTTCAGTCTATCCTCGTCACCGCCTGCTCGGCAGCCCAAAATGCAAAGCTGTCAACAACCCCACCCTCAGCTCCTCGGCAGGCAATCATACGCCCACTTCGTCGTCGCCGTCGCGACCACAACTTCAGACGCCAGCGGCTCAAGGCTCGAAAACGACCGCGCGCACGTGTGGCGCATATCGCCGCCGCGCACATACTGGCAGCCGTCGCAGGCGAACGCGACCGTCGACGTGACGGTAGCGGCGTACGACGTGGGGTGCAGGCGGGCTGCCGAGCACGACGCCGACACGGCCGCGAACAGGTCCTCGCGGCTGCCGCCGTCGGCGGGCATCAGGTCGAGGCTGACGTAGCACGTGCCGTCGGCGCGGTGCAGCGCGGCGAGCGCCACGGGCGTTTCCGTCGGGTGCTGGTCTGCGCGAACCGTTGGGACCGGGAGGGTGCGTGTGAGGTCGGCGAGCTGGTACGAAGACTGCGAGGCGGGCGCGGGTGTGGGTGCGCAGGTGAAGCCCCAGCGCGTCCGCGGTGTCGCGGTGACCGTGTCAACGGTGGCGGGCGGGCCCGCGCGGCCGAGCGGGCAGCGCGCGTGGTAGACGGACACGGAGAGGGCTGCGGCGCCGCGGCAGTCGACGGGCAGGTCGACGGTGGTGGTGGAAGCGAAGTCGGTGCCGCCGCCGCAGGGGTTCCTGGAGAGCAGCGAGAGCACGGCCGTCGTCTGCTGGTCGTCGCCGCCGACCGTCAGGCTGAACTGCGGGCCCGTGTACGGGTACGGGATCGCCATGTCCAGGCTGGTCCAGGTCGTCGTCGTGCTGACCGCGGCCGTCGCGAGCGTCGTGGGCACCGCGTCGGTTGTCGAGTCCGCCTTCGCCGCTGTGGTCGCCCCCAGCGCCATCAAGCCCACGGCGAGGTGCACGTTTCTGCGAAACATTGTGGCCATGATTGCGGATCTGTTCGAACTCGGCGGGCAGAACTTGTGTGCCAGGTGATCGCGAGATAGTGTGCTGAAATGAAGACTTTGTACTCCCTAATTAAGAACGAAGTTGGGATGACAAGGCAGGACTCCTCACCAGAGTTGGCCACATTCTGCATTTGGACCGCGGGAGGTGACGTCCAGGCTATATATATTGCTGCTGCAGACGGGCCGCCCTATTTTTGTCCGCCGCGCACCCCCACAGGCTGACCCGGTTCCTGGCAAGCCGCCCTCTCGCTTTGGGTGAAGTCCCGGCTAAGTTCGAGTACGAGAACAACGAAACGTTACCTACCAACACGCTGAAGGATTGTTCCAACGTGCAGCCTCAATCTCAGAACACCCGACACGAGAAAGCGTGTTCCATCCGGGAGATGCCCGCCCGCGAGGGGTGGTAATGGCGTGTGAGGGTTAATATAAGACAGCCAAAGTAAACACCACTATTCGAATCCTCAGTTCAGATGCAACGAAGCTGAGCTACAGCTTCTACGTAAATGTTTCAGTTGGAAGGTTACCAAACACTTGCTACCGGCGGAAACAAACCAACAAGCAACAAAATGCCAAGTGATCTGGCGAGGGCTGCAAATCAAGATACGTGACGGCAAGAATTCGGGGAAACAAAACCAGGAAGACGAGGCCAAGTGGCACAGCATAAGATATGAAGAAAAAGAGAGTGGCTCTGTTCATGCTTATGAAATGTATCACGGCACTGGCAGCAATTCACTGGCCCTCTTGTGGTAGGCTGAACTTTCTTGGCATAACTATTGGTATCTTGGTGCCTGGACAGTTCAATACCCGGGCATCTGTACAGGGATAAACAGCACGGAGACAAAACAGCACGCAGACAAAACAGTACGGAGACAAAACAGCTTGTTGCTCCATCTATTAATACAGCATTCTAGCTGCGAATCTTGGGCAGAACGTCGCAGATGATTCTCTCGGAAAGCCTGCACAGTCCGGCTCCCACGTCTTCAACCCTGAATAGCGATTTAGAACCCCCTCGCGTGTAAGTCGTTGCGGCTGAATGAAAGCCAGCCAGGCAAGGGCACAGTTGGGCCGCTGTTTTGGCTCAGGACGGACCATCCGATGTTTCCGCCCCGCCTCCGCCCTCGCCCACTGTTGCCTCACCATCTCCCTCTGCCACTGGCGGCGGCGTTGGCGCAAGCATCACAAGGATCCGCGATGATGATGTAGTTGATGGTCGTACGTGCGGGTGGGAAGACACAAAATGTAGGCTCCGGTGTGCCTGGGATAGTCCGGAGCCTGGGATAGTCCGGCGGCCGCATATGTGTTTCACCTCGAGGGCGACATGGCCACATCGGGAGAAGATATAGTAAAATCCACAGTTACAGCGTGAGCGGCTGGCCGCGAGCCTACGATCCAGTTCCTGATAGGCTAGGAGGCGAGGGAGAACGCGAGGCGTCTAGGCTGACATATTAGGCTGTGGAGAAGAGATTTGTTTTAGGCGAGGTTTCGCTGACGATTTTTGCAGCAGAGAATTGGCTTTGGGAGATAGGATGGCAACCGGGAGAAGCGTTTTGAGGAGCAGCCGGTAATGAAAGTCGGAGTATGGTTGGATGACGACAGTGAGCAGTGAGGTTGGTGATGAGGACTTGATGATGATAGAATGGTCGCTATGGGCGAGCTTTTATGCCCGCCACGGTATCCCTCTCTATGAATCGGCAACTGCGCCTCTTGCCCGAGCTTCCACGCGGGCTGAAACACACAAAGCCATGTCATCAAAACGATGACACGTCCAGCAGGCGGCTTCGGGCCCGAGAGGGGCGCCATGTTCACCGCCTCCCTGGCTTTGCAGGCTCTAATAGTCCCTGCGCACCGATTGATCACAAATCTGGGTCGGCGGATCTCGCCATGGCGATTAACCTGGCCCCTGAGGTGCGCGTATGGGGGAACAACCACTTTCGATTTTGTGGGTAAGCGACAAAGATACCTGAACCAGCCAGCCGCTTCGTTTTATGCAAAGTCATCTGTTACCTGTTATGTTGATTGACTTGATAGACGAGACGAAACATCGCCGGCTGGGGAGCGCGGCGGCGTGGGGTCCACCGCTCTCTTTGTTGTTTGACTCCGGGGGCGACTTGCGCCGGAAGAGGTAACGGCTGAATCGCACTGCGCGGCGCGGCTCTTTCATTCTCTTTGACATGCAAGAAAGCACCCACGAGGGTCTCCCGTCTTCCCTCTGCCGCCCGAGTTTCTCAACTGCCTCACGTCTTGAGACGGAAACACAGCATGGAGCAAGCCGAATTTCGCTTTTTTGGATTCAAGGAAAAAGATCGGCGGCACTATCCTGTCGATCTCGAGAGACGCCGGCGGCGATGCCAGACCCTACGTGCACTTCGCAAGCGCCGACAGCTATGGGCTGTCCTTAGACATGGAGACGGTGGCGCGTGACCAGCTAGTTGAGCTGGGCCGCCTCGCTCCCTGGGTCGACATGGTCACGACGCCGCCGTCGACTCGCTCGGAGAAGCTAGTCTTCAAGTACTACTCTGACACGGACGGCATTCCGAGGGTGTGGTTAGAGGTGCAGTGGCTGGTCCGGCTGTCGGGGCACCCGCACGTTGTGCCCATCCGGCACCTGGTCGTCGAAGAGGGCCCAGGACGCGGCGTTGTGGGCTTCACCGTGCCCTTCCTCCCCGGTGGATCGCTCGAGGCGAGCAGGACTACACGGCCCTTCAAGCTCAAGTGGGCCAAGCAGCTCATGCAGGTTGTCAACGACCTCAATCTGCAGCACGGCATAGCGCACACTGACGTACGCCTCCGAAACATAATGGTCGACCCCGCTACCGACAACCTCGTTCTCATCGACTTTGGCACAGCCGCCAGGTGTGGAAATATTTCTCAGCGAGGCATGTACATTCCGCCCAATTTTGAGTATAAATACGACCTGGCCCTTGATGAGGCGGCGTTCACGAGGATAGACGGATCACCTCCTGCCGAGTGGAGGCCAGGCCAGGCCCTCGCAGCAGCGCTAGAGAGAGAAGAGGAAGAAGAAGAAGAAGAAGAGCCAAACGATCTGGCCATGCAGGGCAACCATGATGTCGCTTCCGTCATCGTGCTCGTTGAGGAGTTGGTGACACGCAGCCCGACCGGCACGGAGTGGGTCACCACCGACCTCCATTGCGACCACTTGAACGGCCAGGGAACCGAGGGGCTCCTGCAGCGGAGGTCGTGGATCGCGGATCCCGACGCGCTCCTCGACCACCCGGCCGAAGACTACCGCGTGGCGCTCGTCGAGTGGCTGGCCCGCCGCCGCGCCGACCCGAGACACTACCACGGCCACGCCGACGCCGCCCCGCAGGCCTTTGACTTTCCCGACCACATGCCCATGCCCACCGCCGAAGAGGTGCGAGACCTCGTCAACAAACAGGAGATGCCGTGCTGGAATTTTCTGCGCGGCGACGCTGTCCGTACCGGCCGTGCCGTCGTCGACTGGGTGCGCCCGGCCGCTGTCGCTCTAGACCGCTCGCGCACGCTCCTGGCCACGGGCGAGTACTTGGACGACGACACGGCCAAGGAGAAGTAGGGCCCGGAACAGGAGGCAAGGAGAGCGGCCAAGGGAGAGAAGGTGGCGAATAATCAGCGCCGCGTGCGGAAGCGGCGGTCCCCAAGGGTGGCAGCATTGTTGAAGAAAGGGGCCAGAAGTGAATTTTCTGTCTTTTATTACACCGTAGCTAGTTATCTAGATTGAAAATGAGAATTGCCTCACCGTATCCTTGGAGCTACCTTCCTTGGAGCGGCCTTGTTCCTACCGGGCTAGGTATGGCTGGGTGATCCTAGTATTGGAACGCAGGTAGCCCAGAACTGCTGCCTCGCGAAAAGTTGCCATTTGATGCTTCCACGCTTTGTGCTTTCCCTGATCATGCCCTGAGCAGCGCCTGAGCAAGGTTCGGTGAAGGTGACTGGGGACTGGTGAGGGCAACTTTAGAACAGGGTAAAGCAACAGCCTTTGTATAGAACGTGACTCTCGGGACCTATCCAACCAATATTCCAAGGGAAGCAGCGGAAAGAGATAGAAATCTAACATTTTCCCATCACAAAAATTTTCAGCCGAGTCACACCCAATCGTGACTGCCCATTGTCCCCCCCATGGCGCCGCCCATGGTGCCGCCCATGGTGCCGCCCAAGGTGTAGTCGAAAAGGGCGTAGTTCCCGGCCGACGTCGTCGGGAGAAACGACTCTTCGACAAACCCAGAATCCTCGTTCTGCGGAACCTCAAGCTGCTGGGCATCAAACAGGCCGTTCATGTCCTGGGGAATCCAGTTATAGTTCGCGGTTGCCTCGGCTGGCATGGCCTCGTATATGGGCTGTCTGGGGATGTAGGCGTTTGGCCCGAGCGGCATCTCGCGCCTGACTTCTGGGGACAGAATCGAGGTCTCGCTGAAAGACATGCTTGAGCCGGCTCGACGCGGCACGTCGCTTCCGGTATCCTCCCAGGCCTTGAACGCTCTTTGGAGGGACTCTTCAATGATGTTCGGGATGCTGTCCATGCTCAGCGTCTCGTGCGACTGGATGAATCGTCCGGCGTGCTCCTCGGCCGTCCGGCGGAAGAGTTGGGGCAGCTGGGTCAGCAAAAAGTGCTGCAGCCCGAGGTTGTTCTTGGACTCGGACGATATGGGCCCCAAATCCTCGGTAAATTCAGGATCTGGCCTCATATCAGCGATCTAGTCCCGCATTAGGCGATTTCATCATACTTATGAGCTTACTCACAAGGCGAGGGCACGGTGTCCACGTGCGGGAAGAGGAGCCGGTAGATTTCTGCCCACTTTTCCTCGTCGCTCTGCCGCCGAGCTGTGTGTTTTCTAGACTTGAGCTGTTTCTCCTGGAATGCCGTGATGTCTCCAGGCGGCTGCACGTCGAGAACCTCGCAGCCCTCGAGCTGCATCTCGTGCGCAGCCAAACCCCTCGCGTCATTGAACGTTTCTTTGCACCTCGGGCAATGGACTTTGTGATGTCTCCGGTAGAGGTGTTCTCTGGTAACACAGTCAGCTCTGCCAAGCGTGGCAAATGTGCGCAAAAACTTACTTCAGCCTCGAAATCGTTGGCCATGCCTTCACCGCACAGACCTCGTGGTCTGAGAGGTTGTACACCCGCGGGTTGTGCTTGCGGTAGGGGCACGCAAACCTTTTGGGCGTGGCCAAACTGTACTTGGACAAGGAGGAATTCGGGCGATGTCGATCCATCTCGTCATCGTCATCCTCGTCGTCCTCGATCGGGGGGCGGGCAGGTGGCCGAAGGCCTCTTCCAGTGGCTTGCCGCGAGTAAGACGTCTTCCGAATTCGGCCTGCAGATTCCCCGCTCGCGGGCGAGTTTCCGTTCGAACCGCCTGCACAAGATTTGATCATCGCATCCCAGTCGCGGTTGTACTGAACCCATATCCTCTTCATTTCTCTGTCGATGTTCTGCTGGAACGTCCGGGTCCAAGACTTTAGGGCCACCGACCTCCCATCAAACCCTAGCCAGCAGTCTGGCTCAGACAGGCTATCGTCCGACATGAGTTCGCTCGCACTATCGTCGAGACCGTGGGAGCCATCAGCTGTGGCCGTCGACGTTATGCTCGATCCTGAGTGGGATCTGGCCGAGGACGATTCGCTCGGCTTAGCGACTACGAGCCAATCTTCGCGCGCATTGGTGCTGGCTAGAGTCGAGTGGGAAAGAGCCGACGAGAGGGGCCGCAGATTGAATTCTCGCTCCGCGGCCTCTTTACGTGTGATCAACGGGGTTTCGTGGGAGCGAATCGCCAACGAAGTCCGGGGTCTCGCAATCTCCGGCTTATCATTCGCCCCCCAGCCAGTTTCCGAGCTCGAGATAGAAAGATGACGGTCGCTGTCGACCCGGCGAAGTGAATTACCCTTTGCCGAGCGCCACGGTCCATCGGCTAAAGCGCCACCTCCCTGACCAGGATCCGTAGAACCATGCGATGACGCCTGTGGTTTCTGCTCTGATTCTTTGACTCTCACCAAGACCTTGGAGACAGACCCGCCGGGCCGGGGGTGTCCACCAGCGGCGAGAGACGAAAACGATGGCGAAGAGGATCGGTGAGGGAAGGATAAACGCGGGGTCGACTGTTGGAGGTCGCTCAGTGTTGGCTCGGCCACTTCGGACGGCAAAACCGGTATTGGCGAGGTAGTCTGATTTTCAGACATGGCCTGAGCCGACTCTGGTCTTGGGCTGGGAGTTGGACGCGGGGTTGATGTACGTGTGGTGTCAAATGGGCACGAAGACAGAGCTTCAGTCATGTCGGTTGCAGGTTCGTTCCTACTGACTTGAGCCATATTGTAGGCCTTGGTTGCTACTACGTTTGAATCCCTGCCGGAATTTGGGAAGAACTCCAACAAGTCCTGCAAGCATGAAGGGCCGTCATCGTCCAGGAGAGTCCGTGATCGTCCAGTGCCCTCTGCATCCCAAGTAAAAGATAACCTTGCTTGTTGCCCGGCTTCTGCCTTTTGAACGAGGAGGATCCACGCATCCCTGATCCTTGGCTGACTTAGTAACCCTTGGATAACATAGGTATGCTGCCATTGGCTCATATCATCTCCTTCGTCGTAGTGCCGGCCCACGTGGTCAATGTAATCCATCCGCGACTGCACATATTCACCACAGAATCCGCAGCCCCATGCCTGGCGCATGGCGGAGTTGTGGACGACGCCTCTCAGATCAGGAGGAGTTTCAAGACCATGTTTGTCTTGGCGGTGGGATGTCAGCAGAACCACCCGCGAGAAGACCAGAGTACAGTCGCTGCAGGCATATCTTTCCGGCTTGTCGTGGGAATCCAGTTCGTGGATCTTCCACTCAGCCTTGGACTCGAAAGAAGCATCGCAGAATGTGCAAAAGTAACGACGTGCATTTCCTGAGCTGTCTTTGCGCTTCGTCATCGGGCTCAGAGGAGTGATGGGCGAGACGGTATCCGAGTCGGCCGAGGACTGGCGGACCACCGAGAAACGCGACAAGGCGGTCGAGGCAGTCGAGGTCGGCCGCTGCCCGGTCGAGGAGAAGATGCTGGATGCCACCGACGCCCTGCTCCAAGACGACGCGAACGAAGCCTGTGAGTCGCGGATGGGGGACACAGTCGGGTTTGACCTCTCCCGAGCAATGGCACCCACCCCCTTGAAGTTGAGAGGCTGGAGGCCTTCCGAGTCTAGCGGATGGCCGAGGGTCGAGACGCTCTCACTACCAACATTCTCAGGCTCAGCAGAGATAGTGCCGACACTGCTGACAGAGGAGTCGGATGAGGCGCCATGAGGACCCGGCCGGGCATCTTGGCGATCCATCGCGGCGGCACCCGAAACTGGAACGGGTCAGTAGAATGGTCTTCGGGCTCTGGATGGATGGCATGAAACTTTGACGGACGAGGTTACCGGGGCGGACGAAATGCGGTTGTTCTACCTTGGTACTAATAGCAATTAATAGCTGGTGCCTGTGCCGTAAGGCAAGGTAGTCCGTGCCTGGTGGATATTGGATGGCAGCCAAGAGAACTGCCCCGGCACGAGGACAGGTGCGGAGGTTGGACCCGTCGTCGTCGGTTGGATGCAAAACCCCACCAGCAGCGCCCTTGCAGCGTTTAAAAAAGACGGTGAGTTAGTTGGGACAGGCAAGGCAATGCTGAAGGCAACTTGAGACACTGGGTGGCTGTGGGAAACTGGCGTGGAGCGCTGGGCTGCAGACGAGAGGGAGAATGGCGCCGCGTCATAAGCCCCAATGCAGATGCAGTCTTTTTACGCCATCGCAGGCAGTGAATTTTATGGCGTTGGGGAAGATGGTGTCCTTGAGAAGGCTGTCAATCGGCGAACCAGCCCCCGCCCCGTCTGCGTCCACCACCCCCGTCGCAGCTGCGCACAACTCGAAAGGGGCTAATGGGCTTACTGTCCACGGCACATTTATTTCTCGACCCCACCGATGAATGCGGAAAGCCGTCACAGGACTGGAAGATTGGGTGACCTAAGAGCCACCATACCCGTTTCCGATTGGCCAGTCGTGTGGTTTCAAGCCGCTGGGAAGCGCCCTGACAATTCCAAGAGGATGGGTCCGCACAGCCTTTCCGGTGGGACGGCGACGGACCACGGCCGTCCTCGCCCTCGCACCTGGAACGGACCTGAAGATGGGGGGCAATTAGCCCCCAACCAAGGAAATGGGCGAGTTGGTCCATTTGTGCCGAACGGCGTGGTCTCTTGCCCGTATTTGGGCATCGCCCGATCCCAAGCTGCCATTGCGCGCCATCAGCTGAACGGCACGGCGTGAGCAAGAGCGACCTCAGGGGCCGAGTCGCACAGGTAGCGCGCACTTGCGCCGCGTGCCTGCTGCCCGTTGGGGTCTCTGTAGGAGTGGGGGAGAGTCGCTTCACCAGGTCTCCCGTCGGCTGGAAGACTGACCGGCTTCAACGTCTTTGAGTTGCTAGACTGCAATCTATTTACGCGGGAAAACGGAACATCTCGGTCATGATGCTGCTGATTGGGCACCGGCATGGAGATTATGCCTCGATTCGGATAGTATGCGAGCCACTCTTGGGGCAGAAAGGGCGGTGGGAAACGACCCCCAAATGCGAGATCCGTAGGGCTGAGGGAGTTCCCGGTCGTGCTTACCTTACCTACGTAGGTGGTACAGCTTCTGCCTGCACGTTACGAATCTCCGCGTATGGACTGATAGGCTCTCGCGTCGAGGCCGGGAATGGCGGCATGGCTGGATATTCAGTGCCAGGCCAGGTCCAGGTCTAGTATTACCTTCCTAGGAAGGTAATACCTTACGAACCGAGCTAACCCATTTTCAAGCCATGCAAAAATCTGCTGTTCAGCCAGGAATGGATGGCACGTAATTAACACGGAACTCCATCAAGGCTGTGAAGCAATAAGGGAGAATAAGTTCCGAAGCGGCCTGCAAAAATGTGTAGATGAAAAGCCTGAGTGCAATCTTGACAATTTCGTTTTGCTTTGGTACCTACGAGCTTGAAAGTCTCTTCACAGTTCGAGGTGGCAGTGCGAACGGAGAACCTTCGTACTCCGTACTTGCGGGGGAATCAGGACTTGGAAGGTGCGGGGACTGCGCCAGGGTATTTGTTGCCTGACACGCCAGGCTTCAAATTCTAACAGGCCACTCCTGCCTGTCCGCCAGAGAGCCCCAGCCACAAAGCCCCAATACAATGCCCCAGCCACAAACCCCAAGACCCGCACCAAACCCCACCTTGGCATGGTCCGTGCCCAAGCTCTGGGCGAAAATTTCGAACTTTGGTGGCCAGAGAGGAAGAAAAAATTACCAAGCTCGAACTTGACGTTGACGATCGAGGCATTCGACGCGCAAGGTACACACCCCGCCAGCGCATTGTGAGAATTACTTATTTCCCCCACATTGCTGTCGACTACACGCCAGCAAGATGACGACAATCAATTTCCTCCTCTACGAAAGCGCGGTGGGCTTCTCCCTCTTCGAGGTCGTCCACCAGGCCGACACGGTCGGCTTGGAATTGCCCGAGGTCAAGGATGCCATGAAGACCCTGGACAAGTTTGGCAAGATGGTGCAATTGCGCAGTTTCAACCCGTGGAGGTAGGTGTTTGGCAGCTGGGATGTGACTCTCTCCCTGCTCAATTGAAGCGTACTGACCGCCCTAGCTCTGCGGCGCACGGCCTTGAATCTATCAACATGATTTCCGAAGGCATCATGCCCGAGCACCTGAAGCAGACTCTGGAACTCAACCTCCCTAAGACGAGCGGCAAGAAGAGCAAGATTGTTCTCGGAGTCGTCGACAAGAGACTGGCAGGCGAGATCAGCTCGACATTCCCCGGAGTTCACTGCGAGGCCGCCGACACGTCCGAAGTTGTCGCCGCTCTCCTCCGCGGCATCCGCGCTCACGCCAGCAAGTTGCTCAAGGGCCTACAAGACGGCGATATTAACCGTGCTCAGCTTGGCCTCGGTCACGCCTACTCCCGAGCGAAGGTGAAGTTCAGCGTCCACAAGAACGACAACCACATCATCCAGGGCATCGCGACCCTCGACGCGCTCGACAAGGGCATCAACCAGGGCGCCATGCGTGTCCGGGAGTGGTACGGCTGGCACTTCCCCGAACTTATTCGTATTGTGTCGGACAACGGGACCTACGCCAAGATGGTCATCGCTGTTGGCGACAAGAAGACGCTCACGGATGCGAGCGTCGATGACCTCGCCAACATTCTCGGTCAGGACCAGGAGAAAGCCGAGGCTGTTGTACAGGCTGCCAAGGTGTCTATGGGGCAGGATATTGCCGACGCCGATTTGCACATGGTGATGGACTTGGCCCGTAACGTCTCTAAGATGGCCGATTACAGGCGCATCCTCTCGGGATCCCTCGACAAGAAGATGAGCGATGTCGCTCCCAACCTCCAGGTCATTCTCGGCACATCCGTCGCGGCCAGATTGATCTCACACGCGGGGTCCCTGACCAACCTTGCCAAGTACCCGGCCTCGACCGTCCAGATCCTGGGCGCCGAGAAGGCGCTCTTCCGCGCTCTCAAGACAAAAGGTGCCACCCCCAAGTATGGCCTTCTCTACCAGAGCACGTTCATTGGCCGTGCCGGGCCCAAGGTCAAGGGCCGCATTTCGCGCTATCTGGCCAACAAGTGTTCGATCGCGAGTCGTATCGACAACTTTTCCGAACACCCGACCAAGCATTTCGGCGAGGTTATGCGCGAGCAGCTGGAGCAACGACTCGAGTGGCACGCCAAGGGCACCAAGCCCATGAAGAACTCGGATGCCATGGAGAAGGCCATCAAGAATGTTCTGCGCGACGAGGGCGACCTCGACATCGACATGGAGCAGATTGAGCACCACGCCCCGGTGTCGTCGACACTAGGCAAGAAAGAGAAGAAGGACAAGGACAAGAAGGACAAGAAGGACAAGAAGCGCAAGAGTCTTGCCGCGGAGGAGGTCACAGAAGAGGCGGAGGAGAAGAGCGACAAGGAGAAGAAGGACAAGAAGGACAAGAAGGACAAGAAGGACAAGAAGGACAAGAAGGACAAGAAGGACAAGAAGCGGAAGAGCCTTGGCGGCGAGGATGTCGAGATGGTGGACGTCAAAGCTGACGGGGAGAAGGAGAAAAAGAAGAGGAAGTCTATGTAACCGAGCATGGATTTTTACATGTTCTTCTTCTTTGTTCCTTTGGCCGGTCTTCATCTTCTGGGCGTTTATTTCTGGGTAGGGTCTGGTAAAATGGAGTTTGGGGATATGGCTGAGAGATGCCTGCTTGTCCAAGTTTCTTTGGACTGTATCATACCATTGCCCGCAAAGCCAGGGCAGTGGAGATGGAAAAGAAGCTTCGAATATAAAATCCAGTCCCAAAGAAATTTCATTTTCGGGGTGGTGCGTTCTTGCCATTTCCCACGAGCCACGTCGATGTGGCATCTTCTGGTGCTGGTAATGGGCCTGGAGAGACGTGAAAACGGTGAGGATTCACATAATGTAACTGGACACCATGCGGCAATTGGCCTCTGCTTATCATTTCTCTCTGGGTATCTCGACTTCCAAGCATTGCACTAGATACATAACTGTTTAACGCTAGATTCCGTAATAGTATGACATGGCCAGATTATCCGTCACTTTGAACGCTACATAGGTGGGATAACTACTACCGTGGTTGTTGGGGACGGTTTTTGAGAGAGTTCTAATTACAAAACGCCACGCGCCAGCTCCGGAGAGAGAAAAAGAGAATTCACTTTCCCGTCCCGGAAACCAATGTCCTCCCGCCTCGTCCAGATTACAAGTCGGCCGGCCCATGTGGGTGGATATAGAGAAAAGTACATCAAGTCTGCCATATAATCTGTGTTTACGGCACGGGGCATACCTAGCCGCAGGTCGTATTTGTTGAGGGAAACATGCCCGGCTGATTTGGGGGTTTCCAGTTATAAAACTTGGCCCTTGGAAATACTCCTGCTCCGTAGGAAATGGGGGGACAGGTTATGCGCCCTCGCTACCAAACTCGTGGGTCCATTCCTCGTTGCGCTTGAGATCGACATCCGACACGGTCGGCCGGCTCGACTTGATGGCCTTGATGAAGTCCTTCCTCTCCACGTACGGCTCGAGCAGCTCCTCCGATGGCACGCTCTCCCACCCCATCTCAATCGCGTCCGGGTCGCCCGGTGAGCACGGTGTTAACATCTCCTTGTCTTCGTGGGTCACCTGTGCCGAGAATGGGTCAGTGATCTGCCTCTAACGGTCGGTAATAACCGGATAGAGAAAGGAGCCGGCGGGTAGAGGAGGGGGTTGAAAAGCATTACCTTCTTGAAATGCGTCGCCTGCTGGATCTTGCGCACGGGCTGCATCAGCGCATCCTGCACCACAATGGCAATATCCGAGCCAGAGTAGCCTTCGGCTTGTACGGCCAGCTCGCGGAAGTCTTCGGGCTGGAGGGCCGTTTTTGTGTCGCCCACGGCCAGCTTGAACATGGTTGTCCGCGCTGCCAGATCGGGCAGGCTGATGTGCACTCTCCTCTGGAACCGGCGCCTGATGGCGGCGTCCAGCTGCCAGGGAATGTTTGTCGCGCCGAGGATCAGCACGCCCTTGCTGTCCTTGCCCACGCCGTCCATCTGCACTAGCATTTCCGTCTTTATCCTCCGCGACGCCTCGGACTCGCCCTCGCCTCGGGGGCCGCACAGCGCGTCGATCTCGTCGATGAAGATGATGGACGGCTTGTTTTCTCGCGCCATGGCAAAGAGCTGCTTAACTAACCTGTAGACATGAAGCAGTTGTCAGTGCACCGTTTGAGAGCGTAGGAGAAACAGTAAAGACCATAGACGCCGTAGACATACCGTTCACTCTCTCCCATCCACTTGCTTACCAGATCCGAACTGCTCACGCTAAAGAATGTGCTCTTGGCCTCCGTCGCGACGGCCTTAGCGAGGTAACTCTTTCCGGTTCCCGGCGGGCCGTACAGCAGGATGCCCTTCCAAGGCTGCCGCTTGCCGTGGAACAGATGTGGGAACTTGATGGGGAGCAGGACGGCCTCCTTGAGCGCCTCCTTGGCGCCCTCGAGGCCGGCCACGTCATCCCACTTGATGTTGGGGCGGTCCTGCAGGATGGCGCCGGCCAGCGCGTTGCGAAGCTTCTTACTGTCCTCGTCGAGCGTCTCGCCGCCGGCCGCCGCGCCCTCGTCGCCGTCCTTGCCCTTGCCCGTCCCGCCCGTCGACGTGCCGTTGGCGCCCAGCATGCCGGGCTTCTTGCGCTTGCCGTCCGCGTCCGCCAGGTGCGACTTGAGCTTCTCCGCCCGGTCCATGTACTCGCCCGTCTTGGCCCGGATCATCTCCTTGGACTTGGGGTTCTTCTCCCACTTGAGCGCCAGCATGAACAACTCGAGCGACTGGTAGTACATCTGGTACGCCTTCTCGTACTGGGCCGCGTTGTCGGCCTCGATGGCCTTACGCACCTGCTCGATCGCGCGGCCGAGGAAGTCGGTGTTCGACATGGTTGCGGTGGCGGCGGCAGTGGCAGTGGCACTAGGTGCAGGGGTTTCAGTTCGCAAGCCGCCGACGCCGTTGTGTCTGGTCGATTCGGTCTGCCGTGCGACGGGAACCGCCCGCCGTGTCGAGGCTGCTGTTTATCGGTTTGCCGTCGGCGATCGGAAGGGCAAGTTCTAATAAAAGCTTTGGCCGGGCCGCAATATTTTCGTCTTAATACCAGGCACGGAGCTTGGTTGAAATCCGGACAATTTTCTCAAGATTGTCATCACCGGCACAGTTGGTGAGGGCAGAAGACAGACAGAAACTTGGCAACTGAAGAATACGCCGCCTGTCTGTTCGTTCGTGTTGACCTGGAAGCGCTGGCGCGGGGTCGTCCTTCCCGTCCTTGTTGACGCCACAGCGGCCGGCCTGGTGGGGTGGGGTTCTGTAAGTTGTTAGTGTTTTGTATGTATCACCCGCTATTCTACTAACATTTGGGCTCCACGCAATTCGGGCGTGAGCGTCACTGCGCAAATGCCTGCCTAGCGGCTAGCCTCCTAGCTTGCCCGACTGGAGGCCGAGATAGCTACACCGTTTTCGAGTTTTCTTACACAGATCCGAACGTCCTGCCCAGACGTCTTCCGCCAGTATTTCTGATCATCCCAAGAGAGCTTCCACCACTCTCCTAACTTTCCATGGCCGAAGTTCAGGCACGGCTGCAAAGCCTGTCTGAAGACTTCACAAAGCTGCAAAAAGGTATTTTGAGTCTTATTCCATGCATCTTCGCGCTTGGCCACTGACACGTACCGTAGACCTACAGGAATCCGTGCTGTCCAGGCAAAAGTTAGAAGCCCAGAAGCAGGAGAATCTTGGAGTGCAAAGGGTTTGTTACCCCCTCCCCCCCCTTCTGCAACATTGCGTGAGCCCTCTGCCAAAGGAACCCGTGCAATTTTTACTAAACCGTCGCCCTGACAGGAGTTTGTAAAGCTGAAAGACGATGAGACGATATACAAGCTCATCGGCCCCATTCTGCTTAAACAAGACAAAGCGGATGCCGAGAGCACGGTCAATGGACGGCTAGAGTTCATCGGCAAGGAAATGTAGGTCCACGCCCGTCACATAAGCATCCACGGGCAAGCAGTTGGCAAACTAACTGCTCCCCTCCTTCAAAGACAGCGGCTGGAGACACAGATCAAGGAAACCCAAGTCAAGATCGAGAAGAAGAAGGGCGAGATTATCCAGCTCCAGACGAGTGCGCAAGCCGCTAGCGGGCAACAGCAGCAGGCAGTGGCAGCATGATGCGTTAATTCCTAGGATACGTAATGTCGTTTGCCCCCCAAAACAAGAAGTAATCTCTTGGAAAATGTTCCAAGAAAGATTTGGTCGTGGAGATGTGTCATTAAAATGCGGATAACCTATATTGCTAACAATGAAAATATACCCCCAAACGCCGCGCTCTACGCCCAGAATGGAGATTATAATGATATTGTACAGTTATGACCCTCGATTCGTGGCATCCCTTCCTCAGTTGATGGCCATGATGGTGAATCCCCACGGCAGCCCCATATTTTTGCATGGCCGTTCCGAGGCAACATTGTCGCTGAGGAAGTCCTCGGTGACGAAGTTCGCCGACGGAACCTCGTTGTGGGCAGTCTCCCGCTCCTCGACCACGGCCGCCAGAAAGTCCACCATGACACTCCTGGTATAGCATGAGCTAAACAAGGAGGTGCCCCCAACCTGCTCCAGCATACTTCGTCGCTGCTCGCTCTCGGCAAACAGCTGGAGTTCTCTCGAGAATAACCTGGGCGTCAGGTCTGCCGATGCCGAAGCAAGTCGCCGGAAGACCAAGGCCATGCCGGCTACAGCCTGAACAAGCAAGCAGGCCTTGTCGTGGTCGTCGAGTCCGGCCAGGATGCGTAGGGACTTGTCCGTGACAAAGGCACGGGAATCGGTATCGAAGATGGAGTTTAAAATCCGCTCCAGACCAGACGGGCCTGAGAGAACTCCCTGCCTGTCGTCGATAGCGAACGTGTCGTTGAACTTGGCAAGGCACTGGCTCAGAAGACCAAACAAGCTGGCCTCTTGTGGAACATACAGCCGGCCTAACTCAGAGACCATGTAGTCCATACACGCCTCAATGCTTGCTATGTCGTAACTTCGGATCAGTATTCTGTGCCCCACGGATGTTATTCGGGCCTGCTTTTTTTTTACCTTGACATTTCTGGTTTATGGAGGTGTCCTGTGAACTAACAGAAGAAGGCATATTTGCGGTGGAGGCGTTTGAGCTAGGATGGATATCCGGGTTTTAAAAACAGCGTACATCAAAGATAGCAGGTAATTCCAGAGGTGCTGGGAAAAAAAGTGACACAGAACAGAAAAGACACAGAACAGAAAAGACCCAAGATATCTTGGTGCGCCAGCAGGCGCATTTAATAGCTGAAATTTTGGCTCGCCCATTGTTCGCCCCATGGCTCGCTTTCCAGCCTTGTCTTGCCTTTTTGCCCAATTACACGGCCGAACGCAAGCCAGGGCTGGAGGCTGGGAAGGCTTCACGGCTAGGCCAATAGGGGCACGGTTCAAGAGACATTTTCCACCCCAACTAAATGTTCCGGAAATTCCCGATGAAATCGAAAATGGGACCCAAGAGAAAATTCGGAACGGCCTTCCGAGTGGTCGACGGGAAAAGAAGCGAGAATTTAAATAACCGCTGCTCGAGAAGTATGTACGGAAAAAGACGCAATCCGAAAGCTTAAAGATATTGAGAAGAGAAGCCCGAGGTGAGCCACTGAGGAGAAAAAATAGTGGTCGATTTTTATACTTGCGCCCACAGTTGCCCAAACGAAAATGGAAATCGACGCCGTTTTCGTGTCCCTCAAGACAGCCGATAGAAGCCACCAAGAAGCGGTCAAACTTGCTGGTGCAACCTCAATATGACGCTGTCAGCGTTCCATCAGCTGTCCATGCCCCCATAACGTTGCTGCGAACGTTTTTCACGGGCTTTCCTTTTTGGGGGTCCAAGCCTCTCGCACACAGCGGGTATTCGGTTCACCTTGGCAGCGTTCAGGGCGTCTTGGGCGTCGTCGGTGGACCTGGTCTGTGCTCTACACCACCTGATCTGCGGCGCAAGCTGAGTTGCCCCGCCATAGGCAACCTCAATCAGTGGTGGGGGTGTGGGGAATGCTGCAGCATCGTCGACGCGGCCTTCCAACTCTCTGGTCCCGCCGCCGCCTTTGACGCAGAGCTCAGAGAGCAAACCAAACCTTGTGCGATTCCATCCGACCCTTCGAAGGCGCCAGGCTCCGAGACTGCCCAAGCCAGCTATGGTTGCAAAGAACATCGCCTCAGTCTCCCGGTAGCATTCCCCGGCGCTCCGGTCTTTGGTGTCGGTCGATTTCGCTCCGCAGCGTCCTACGCGATTGGCGCCTTGTGTACAGTCAAGATGGACTACGCATTCCCGGACGAGGTTCGGCCCATGAGTGTTAGGGAACTAACTGAAAAGGCGAAGGAATATGAATGGAATCCTAGGATCGGCTTCAAATTCTGGGCACGTGCTGCCGAGACAATCCATCACGAGGTTCGCATCTTCGCCAACTTCCATCAACGAGACTGCGGGCTAACGCGCGGGTACTAATTTCAGGGTCAAGTCTATCTACACGAGGGCAATCTCGCCCAAGCATACCTAGTCCTTCTCCGATACTCCATCCTCGTTCTCGAACACCTAGGCAGCCACCCCGAGGCGAAAGCTCCCGATTCACGCAAGGCCCTCAAGCCCCTACAAAGGCGAATCCCCGCCATCATCGAGATTCTCGAGACTTTACGGCCGCAGTTAGACGAATCTTACGACCAGTACCTGAAGCTCATCGCGGCCCGCCAGGCCCGCAGGGATGTTGCAAGGGAGTCCCAACGGATATCTTCATCCCCTACCTCCAGGCACGCGGCCAACGACGCTGCACTATCGTGGAACCACGCATCACAGGCTCGAATTCTGGACGTGAGGGACCACCAAGATCTCGCGGTAGATCTGGCGAAGAAAGAACTATACCGACGTCGACGCCACGCAGAGGGGGCCGAGGGCGATGAATACAAACGCCGGGACGCGGGCTTCTGGGAAGGTTGGAATCGCAATGCCCTGAAACCCGATCCTGAGACTAGGCCCATTGATGACGATGACCTCCAAAGACAAATGGAAGCAACCAGGCGTCATCTGGACCACTCCGATGATCTACGGGCCTCTGAATCTCAAGATGGAGCTCTCGAAAGCACGCCCTCCGCTTCATACTCCTACCCTTCTATCAACAAATCCATCTCATTCAGATACGTTTCCCCATCTCCGCCTTCGCGCACGGAGGAGTACAGCGTACAACCACCGCGGCCGCCAAAGGAGTTTATCGATTTCCCCGAAAACGAGCCTCTCCGGCCCCGGCCTCCGCCGCCCCGTCCAGACAAGGACCCCTTAGCATATAGCTCGCCGTTCGAGGCAAGCAGTCCCAGAACAGAGGTCGGCCCCGCCTTGCCCCCCAAACTTTCCCAGACCACGAAGCAGGAGCGAGTCACCTTCAGGCCTGCTGCGTACCTCGAAAACGGCGAACCCATCCGGCCAGTCTTCCTCCCTAGCACGCTCCGCGACGCATTCATGAAAGTTGCCGCCGACAACACGCACAAAGGCTTGGAGATGTGCGGCATTCTATGCGGCACGCCCGTTAACAACGCGCTCTTCATTTCGTGTCTGCTCATCCCCGAACAAAAGTGCACGTCGGACACGTGCGAAACGGAGAACGAGAACGCAATTATCGAGTATTGCATGAGCAGGGATCTTATTGTCATCGGCTGGATCCACACTCACCCCACGCAGACCTGTTTCATGAGCTCGCGAGACTTGCACACCCAAGCTGGATACCAGGTCATGATGGCGGAAAGCATTGCCATTGTCTGCGCGCCGCGGCACACACCTTCGTCGGTCCCCCTCCTCCCCTCCTCCCCTCCCAGCCTGGGACACCGTGAAGACTAACACCTGTTGTAGATGGGGAATTTTCCGACTTACGAAGCCCCCTGGTCTCCCGCATATCCTGCAATGCACGCACAATGACACTTTTCACCAGCACTCGATTGACAACATCTACACGGACGCAGGTCACCCCGGTGGCCATGTATACGAGTCCTCCAATCTGGATTTCGAGTTGCATGACCTACGGCCGACGAAGCACTAGCGTCGCTTCCCAATCGTCGTGACCACGACCTCATTGGTTCCGGCGCTGGCACATGGTCTTTGCCACCTCGGGTTGGCCAGTTCCGGAGCGCCCGAGACGCAGATTACTACGAGATGCATGTCTATTGTTTCCCTTTTGCTGGGTCTTTTGCTTGGTCTTGTTTTAGTTCAGCTGGGTATGACGATGGGAAATGAAGTCAACGACGCGAGGACTGCATGAAATCCACAGAAGCCACGACTTTGGGGAGCAGGTGATGGCAACTCATACAATGGCTGCATAGCGATGGCGTCTGGTCTGTTTTTGGGAGTTTTCTTTCCCGTGCTCTTGCTCTTGTACAAGATCACACTGTCAATTGCACACTGGTCACAGACTGTAACTCTTTGTCCTTCCAGGAATATCGTAACAATTAGGTTGTTGACAGTGAGGCATTAGACAATAATTTCTCGTTTAATTGATACAGTCGCGGGCCCAGGCCCATGTTGCTTGTATGCCCATGCTCGCATTCTACGGCCTTATCGTGATTTGTGTTTGAGACTCTTGGAGTATTTATTGGTCACTTCGTCGGATATGCTTGTCGACGTTTTAGGATGGGCATAGGCGTGCCGTGGGTAGCTCGAGATGTTTTGGGGTGGGAGTAGACGTGTCACCGAGGTCTTATAACACTTTGAGAAGACTCTAACTGGTTGGCGAGGGTTTAGATGTATCTTAGGGGACTTGGAATTGTCAGAGGGGCTTGAGATATATTGAGATCAAGAAAATAGGGGTTCTTCTCCATACTTTCCCTTGCCTTTATTTTGGTCCTTTCCTTCTTCGCTCTTTTTCTTATTCGTGATGGGCGAAGAAAATGGAAAATAGCATGCATAAGCTAGTCCCCTGCGCTGCTAAGTTTCCTATTAGGAGTGCACAGCCTCATCCAGCATTGTCTCCGCCAATGAGGCCCCCATTTCGGAGGCCAGTCACGTTTTCCAACGAGGGCTGCATTTCGGAGGAGCCCCGGAAACCGTCGAGCGGCTGAACGCGTGTCTGCCTGACCACACAACACCTCCAGATTCCGCGTCCGGCTACTTGACCAGATAGCCTCTAGATTCTACGTCCGGCTACGTCAAACACGCGAAGCCGGTCGACGACGCGCCATCATGGACCCCGTTTCCATTACCACTACAGGATTGCCACCAGCTGCGTCTCGGCCACGAAGCACCTCAGCGAACTGCAGAAGAAATTCACCCATGCTACGCTCACAATCTGCACCGAGTTGTCTGTCATCAACGCCAGCTTGAGTCAACTCCAAGACCTCTTCCTCACCCGCCAGGATGAGGTGTTCGGCAGGTTTCAGGGGCGGCCAGAGCTGGCTCCGGCCTGCGAAACTTCTCTGACCGGCTGCATGCTCTTGTATTCCTGTCTCCACGAGGAAGTCGAGACCCTACACCGCGCCGTCACCGACCGCGGCGACTTATCCACGACACAAAAAATCTTGGCTTTGTGGAAGGAGAGTGAGATGAAAGAGCTGCTCCTCCAAATTCGTGGTCAGACGACGGCCCTGAGTTTGCTGCTGCAATGTTTCCAAACGTGAGACAACTCAGTTTGCCTATGGACAACTTGCTACGGCAGAATGGGAGGATCGTTTTCTTACCTCACATGTGCTAACATCTACAGTCAATCGGCCATTGCCACCCGGCAGCTCTTGGAAGGCCAAGGCGACGCCATCAACCATATTCGTAGAGACATTCGCGTCTTGCGCGCTGCCTACCCAAGATCTGAGAACCGGGTGCCCAAGTCCGTCCTCGGCGAACTGCCGAGAGCATCTTTGTAGACAACGCCTCCGCATTGGACACGACCGAGTTCTCGTTTGACCACCAGGTCGTCAATGCCCGGGTCCAAACCAATCCCACCTTTGCGGCTTACCTCGAGCGACAGCTCCAGCATCCGGGAGTTAAGAGACTTGACTGGATTACATACCTGAAAAGCCCCATCTCACAGTTTCAACGGTCCTCTTTGCAATTGCACACCATGGTTCGAGCTCTTGAACGGAGAAGTGAACAAGTCCCGGTAGATGAGGAGAGTTCGGCCTCTTTGCAACAGCTTTGAGACGTAACTGAACACATGGATCAGATGATTCGTTCATGCGACGAAATCGTAGGGGCAGCCGAGAACAAGGTCTAAATCGAAAGGCTCCGAGTGTTGTTTGAAGCTTACCGCCAAAAGATGCCAACAAGTAGATCTATACGTTCCTTAGAAGCGCTACAGCTGGACAACCAAGCCCGACAGATCATTGAGCAATGCACTTTGTTATATCGGTTGTGGCCCTATAGCCCCTTCTTTCTCTGCCTGAAGCTGGTGCCGCGTCATCTTACTGGACCATGCGATGGTTTTTGCGGAGATTTTTGCAAAAAAGCGACCACGACTGCAAGTGAAGAAACAGGGTGGCTAGGATCAATATATCATGTGTCCGATCCTGGTAAGAGATCAAGTTCCTGACACCAATCATCCCCGCCATTAGCCGAGCTCTAAGAGACTTGTTTAGGTTTTCTCAACCCGATTGGATTACCCTTCTCTTAATCGCGACTCTTACAATTTGCTTCATTTTACTTTTCTTTTCCTCCAAGGTTGGTGACTAGAGCTTCAAACTTTCAACCCTGGCGGGTGGAATTATTGAGTCACACTCAAGCAAAAAAAACCCCTGGGGAGTTTCCGTTTACGGGTTATTCAGTGGTCAAGGCAATGTTTCGCTCGCTTCCGCTTGTTAAACTGATCAAGGCTCGGCGAGGATGGCGTGGTGATCTTAAGAATATTACATGGAAATATGAATCGGCAACGACAAACGGCCAAACTCACATTGAATTACTACATAGATAAATTGGCTAGGTAGGCACCTGCACTGTTACTGTTACTACACCAACATGTGCTGGAGACCACGGGGGGGCGTGGAATGTTTGTTCAGGTGTCTGATAGGAGCTCCCACACAAAGACACGCCATTGGACGCCAAGGCATAATGACAGGGGGCCAATGGGCTGACTGGGATGAAATCTGCTGCACATTATCATACATGATCGTGTAAATTTCAGACCAGGCTCCGACGCGTACGAACCAACCAGAACGTTGCTGGCCATATATTCAGCTTCTGCTCCACACTCTGTCGTGTTGCAGCTTCCAGTTCCAGAGCTGAACCGACTCATCAACGGAGGCATCTTCTTCTCAAGCACCGATAGTAACAGCGAATATGGAGCCGTTCCCCGCCACCGCGATCTCAACCCTCTGCGTAACTAGCGGGAAGATCCTCCTCGGCTTTTACGAGTACATCAACGACGTGGCTGACGTACCCCGCTACGTCGAGGAGCTGACTGCCGAGCTGAGCTCGCTGAACGCTGCGCTCTTGGCGCTGAAAGCGCTACTCGTCGCCCAGAAGGACAGCGGGGCAGACGCCGGCTCGCACGCGCTCCCTCTTGACAGCTGCCGGGAGCTGTTCGCCACATGCGCCGCACCCTCAAGCAGATCGAGGACTGCGTCAACAAGTCCAAGATCAAGACGAACAAGTCCGCCAAGGGCCAGCTACTCACCTGCATCAGCTGGCTGTGGAACAAGGAGGTCGTGCTCCTCAGGCAGGCGCTGGCGAAGGAGCGCGAGACGATATCCTTCATGCTGCAGGTCTCGACTTGGTACGGTCGCTTTTATTTCTTGCCACTAGCGGATCCAGTGCTCGCACTGGCCTGCCTGCCTGGATTCCCTCGCTGACAAGGGTCGGGTCCGCAGCCAAAGCCAAGACGACTTAGCCAAACTGCTGAAACAAGTCGACGAGAAAGTCACCGCCCTCCAAGAATCGCGGAAGCACGTCAAGGAGGCGCTCGTCGTCATAGACAGAGACCACCCACGGTTTGAGGAGGCCGAGTTCACCATCCACATGCAGCCAGCTACGCGACCAGATGAGCAGCCAGCGCCGGCCGAAGCTCCCAGCCCATTCCGGCCCCTTAACCGGAAGCTCGTTGACACCATCGAGGCGAAGGCATGGACCGCGGCGAAGGTCATATGCGACGAAAAATGGACTAGTGTGCCTCAGCTCTCCGAGGTCGAGCTCAGGATCAAGATCATATCAGGCAGGAGTGCCATGCTAGCACTCAGGCTATCCTCCGACGATGATTTGGCTTTACCTAGACGTTAGACGGCTCGGAGGATCAATATTCCAAACTACCTCGAACTCCGGAATCATAATCACGAGGCTGGGTCTATTATGCATTCCACGACCTGGTGAGGCCAGCCCCAGAGCGAATCTCCATCCATCCCTTAGAGAAAGCCAACTCAACCTTCAGGCAGGTGTCTAAAGGTAGTCTAGAGCTGATATTTTCGGACTCGACCATCGCCGAGGAAGTTTTTGGGCTTTTGCACGCCGTTAAGATGGAGGCTGAGTTCTCTTAGATGCTGACAGCACGATGTTTTGCTAACATCGACCCCAGAATAGACGTTAATGTGGGGGAAACGTTGCTCGGAGTGGCAATTGAGGACGAGTCTTACTACCGTCCATCAATGTTTTAGCATGGAAGCTAATATAAGTTGGCTTCAATGCTTTGTTACTAGGCAGATACGTAATGGGAATGTGTGTTAGGTGTCCAACAAATATAATAATACACTTGCCCAGCGTCTCACAAGTTCTCGTTAGGAATCATCTTCAAAAGCCAGCCAAAACCCTACCAACTTCATCGCCAATGAGTGCACAAGTATTTCTAGCAATGACCGATTCCAATGTATTGCTATAGCAGAAACGGAACAGGGACCTTACTATTACGGAATATTTCTCGCTCAATATACAAGTAGGAATCCTAGCACCGCTGTCACCGCGGACTTGAAAATGAATGTAAAATAAAGAGATATCTTGGTATACTTCGTAAGGGCGGTGTGTAAGACGATGGGTGTAGTCAGTTTCTCGCTCACCATGCGACCTAGAATGGAGTGGAGGCTCTCAGCGACCGACCTACTAAAGATTTAGCGCGTTGGATGCCAGACGTCAGTGGAGCTTCAGAAGTTCAGGGGCGCAGCTGCCTGGCAACGGCGCACCAGTAGCGCGTGGCGCTCCCTAAGAGCGGTTAAGAGGCGAAATTTTCAGCGCTTCGCAACGACGGAATGGCCGAGAGGTTAAGGCGGTTGACTTAAGAAAAGCACGCTTACTTCAACTTCTCGAAAGAGAGCGTGGGTTCGAACCCCACTTTCGTCACGATTTTCTTTTTGCCTCCTTTTTGCTCCATTGCTCGGCTATCGGCATGATGGGGAATCCAGGTCGACGAGGCAGTAATTTCACGGGTTCGGGGGAGCCGGTCCCATGTCGCAAGGCTCGTTTCCGCAATTGCTGGTGCACGCCAAGCGCCCTCATTTAAGGCGCGACAGACACATTACCTAATCGCTCGCCTTATCTTATCGCGGTCCCTATTTTGGCGCGGCAGACCCCTTTTGGCCTTACTTCCACTGCGTCTTGCTTGCCATTGACCTGAGGGAGGGTTACTCGCCCACACCTAGCCCAAGAGCTTGCGACTAGGTCAGAGGCATTTTGGTAGCCCCGACGAGTGGGCTATCTGGAGGCTTTTTGGGACGCGGTTTAATTATCCGGACTTTTAGGCCGCAAACTTTGAGGGACCTGTCAATCGGAGCAGATGGTCGCATAACCTGATTTTTCTTATCTCGAAGTAGACCACAGTCTACAGCGCCTTCTGTACTAAACATAGGTACTAAACATAGGTACGGATACACACAAGTACTGTACAGGACATATAACAAGCACCTCAACGAATACCGTAGCTGGAGGTCTCATCATTTATGCCAACATGCGCGAAGGGTGTATCGTAGCTCGAGTACGGGGTAGTGTAGTTATTTCTAGATTCCTTAATAAAATAGAACGCGACTCAGCAACTCCTTTTTAGAAGATGACCTGAATATGCGACTGTCTACCCCAAAACTCGCCGATTACTTTCACTTTCTGAAACAGGAAAAGAAAGAAAAAGAAAAAGAAAAAGAAGAAAGCCCTCAAGAGTAACAGCTCTCATGCACTACCATCAGCCATCTCTTTCCTAATCACTAGTCCAACCTGGGGCTGTCGGGCCCCTCCTGGTTCCCACGCAGCTGCTCCTGGACCTGCTCGGCGTGCATCTGCTCCCGCATCTCGTCTATGATGCCCCAGATCTGGGCCGAGATGGCCTTGGCAACCTCTGTGAGCCGGACGAGCTCCTGGCCCATTAGGCAGAGGACGTCGCGCGCGGTGTAGTAGTCGTCGGGCGGGACGGAGGGGTCAGTAGCGCCCATCCACTTCTTGATCTCGGCCTCGGCTGCCTCCCACGCGTCCTCGTCGCCCGCCATGCGTCTGGCCACGTCCCCCAGCTCTTCCCGCGACTTGTGGTGCACCATCACCTGGAAGCAGATCTCCTGCACCGTGTCGCGCATCGTCTCCGTCCACGTCTCGGGGTCGCCCGAGAGCGTGTCGGCGAGCCGCTCGAGCTCCGAGTTGGTGGCTATCAGGCAGGCGAGATTGGTAACGAACACTGCCGTTATGGTGTGGTTACTGCAATGCTTAATAGCTTCGTGAAGAGAGATTGAGAGATACTTGAGCTCGCGAGAGCCAGGCTCTTATACTACTACCTGGTTGCAACTATAACCACTGCCTGCTGAAGGAGTGTTGGTTTTTGACACATAAGTAAACGGAAACTGTTCATGACATCAGTCGACAGCACTGGTGAATTTGAGATGGCTCATATAGTCTCACGATAGCCTAGACAGTAAACTAATTCTCGTATAAGATGGAAACCTGGATGTGAAGGCCCATTATGAGATAGACATGTTATATTTCGTCTGCTTCAAAAAGACTTGTCTGAAGGAGGGACATCCACAATTAGGGTTATTACAGGACTGAAATTCCTCATACCAATTACCACGTGCACATTAAACTTTAACACGGGCATTTACCGCGGTATAGTAAAAAGTCAAAATAATTAAACGGCACCGATAGAGTTATACCGGCTGACTTACGAACCTTGCCACCGCCATTCATGATCAAAATTTTCGCCCCGGGCACATAAAGCGCACCAAATGTATGAGATAGACATATTACGATATAAGAAAAATGTGAAGTAATGACGAATAAACATAAATTCTGTCCGTCTAGGAAGATGAATGACGCCACCGGGCCGAAAGTGCTCTCCATTACCAACGCATCAACCAACCGAGCCAGCCAGTAAGACCATTCGATAACTCAGGTCATAGACCTGCTTAACGCGAGGCTACTAAGGGGAAGTGCTCTATACTACTGAAACATAACCCAAGAAACTCGAGAGATCATTCGATAAACCATGTGGTAGACCTGCTTCACCACTGCACATTCACAACCCAATGATTCGTCCTCTGCAAAAGAAACAGCCAAACACTCCCATCTCAGATTTGAGATTGCTTCCTCGAATGTGTCGGATCCACGGCCTTTGCCCACCTCTTCAAAGACCAAACCCAACCTTCCTTGCGTCGATAAAGAACAGCCTGCCCAGCAAGGCTTGCACCGGGCAGTTCCGCAAGTGCATCTGATTGTGCCGCTTTCAAGGCACTATCCAGGTCCTGCACTCGGCCCCTTAGGCGAGTGACTTCAGTCTCGAGCATGGATGCGTCCGACTGTGAGCTGGCGAGCTTGGCCTGTTCCCGCTGAAGCTCGGCCTCCTTTTGTCGGATTTCAGACTCCGCCTGTTGGGTCTGGCGCCGAGCGTCGTCGAGAAGGCGCTTGCTCTTGCTCCCCAAAGCCTGCATCTTCGTGTCCTTGTTTGTGATGTCCGTGGCGTGTTGCGCGCGCTCAGCAGCCAGCTGCTCTCTGAGGCTCTCAATCTCCATGTCTTTCATGCCAATCCTGCGTTCCTCCCTCAATCCCGCTTCATGTAGCTCGGCCTTCTTGTCTTGCACCACAGCAGCCATTTTCTGGTTCCTTATTACGCACACCGACAGCTCTTTCCTAATAGCCTCCAGCTCCTTGTCCTTGTCCTTCAGACCAGCCTCTGCGTCGGCCACGCGGCCCTTCAGCGCCCGCAGCTGGGAATCCCTCTCAGCCAGGACCTTGCCCCCCACCGCCACCGACTCGGCAAGGCGCTGCTGCAGCGTCTCCGACCTAGCGGCGTTGTCCGAGACAGGCAGCTCCAAGCCCTCGTCTCCGCGGCCACGTAGTACTCCGCTCGGCACAGGCGCCCTCACGACCTCCTTGGACGGGGACGGTGACAAAGACGACGGTAGCGACCCGTACCCGGAATCAGTCTCATGCTCCTCCTCCGGCGGACCGACCTCCCTAGCCGGCGTCGGGCTCTCCAAGGCCGCCAGCGCCGCCTCCCACTCCGCTACGATGGTGTCGCTCTGCCGCATGTGCCAGCCCCTGCAGAGACACAGCGGGGCGAGCGCGCGCAGGTCCGCGGCAGTGACGGCGGACGGCGGCCTGCGCGCCAGCGTCTCGAGGCGGGCCAACGCGTCGCGGGCGTCCTGGGCTTCGTCGGCACGTCCGTGCTTGATCCACCCGCACCGGTTGCCGCTGCTGTTCTGGCCGCGGCACTGGATGCCGCCTGACCATGCTTGGCCGGTCACGTCGAGGACGCGGTCGGGGTTCCAGTGTCTTTGCATTTTGAGAGCGAGGTTTTGGGGAGGTTGTTGAGTCTGGTGTTTGGTTGGGTTTGACTTGCTTGGGCGGTTGATGTTGTTTAGCTAAGGGAGTATCGAGTGCGGGTTTCCATTGCCTTTATAAGATAATCAGGACCTCAGTTACTTTATCTGATCAAGTACGTAGCTCAGGTTAGACGATTACCCACACGAAGTGGCTGTGCTGTGGTTTAATTACCTAAGGATGGATTCGGGCGCTGCGCCTGGAGTTGAGGGGGGATCGGGTTTCAGGTCGCAGAATTAAGCGCCGTCGCCTGCGCGCCTGTAGGCGACATTTTCTGGGCAGTATTCATTGGCGCGATAAGTGGCCAGGATGCTTCACTCGGGCCTGTCTTGACCTATCAGTCTTTTTCCGATACTGATGTGGACCGACAAGGCTCTCCGAAGTTAGGCAATGAGGCTCAGGGAATCTGCCTTGGCGAGAATGCGGGCCGCGAGGCTCCCCGCGTAGAGTGGAAAATAAGCGCTTTCGCACTTGTAGAATAGCTTGGTGGGTGTGTTCGTGTATGCACATTCTAATAAAGAACGAGCCCGAAGGAGTCTCAGATGGGGTCATTTTACGGTGACCCGTTTTCTTGAGTCTATTGAGTGGAAATTAGACCGTATTCTAAGGGACAGAGGGAATGATGGTTGGCTCACAGTCGTTGATTGAACCATTCTCAGCAACTTGGCGACCTTGGCAACGTAGGTATGATCCGGAAATGCGTCCCCTGAAGAAGTGGTGGTAGAAAACGAGATAACACATGCGGTTGATAGGGGAAATAGAGGGCTTAGAAATGACATGAGCGGCAGAAAAAGTGAAGTTGACGGCTGTAAAATAGAGGTACTCACGAAAGTAACAACTCTGCATTACAAGACTGCAGAGTACAAATATTCTTTAACCAGGTTCGATCAATCCATATCACGTGCAACACTAAATCAGCACCCCTCAACTACTCCAGCCTTGCTACAAGACGCTCACTCGACACACTTCTCCATTTTATCCATGAGCTCCACGAGCTCCTTCCTGGACTCGGCAAGGGGGCCGTCCGCGTCAACATGTTCCAAGAAGTCCCGAACGTTGACGGTTCTCGCTCTGGCGGCCTTTTTTATGATTTCGTCTATCTCACAAACCTCGAGCAGGTCTATCATGGTTTCTATGGCCTTAAGCGCGGCCTTCATCTTCGCTTCCGCGTCTGTGTCCCCAATATACTTCATTTCTTGGTACGCGTTGTCTGAAGCCTTGGCCAGTCTCTCGAGTGTCTCGTCGTCAACCATTGTGGGCAGCGAGCAAGGTCGCGTAAATGGGTTGTAGGGGTGGGGTGGGATAGTGGTGGTTGTGGTTCAAGGCACGAAGCAGGAGGAGTTGTTATCGACGTGGAGACCAGTTTTATACTCCTTCGCAAGTCGCTAGTTGGACTTGATTATAATAATGACTCTGGAGTGCGAGTGAGCATCAAGCAATGTAATTTGAGTCCTATCCCAAACAAATCCTGTGCGCCACTGTTTGCGCCGAATGTTTGTCGTAAAACGAACACGTGTTCAGCGGTAGGATGTGGTGTTGAAAATCCCCCCAAAATTAAGGGGTATCTGAGATGATCAGGTCTGACATCATTTTGGCTTGTCACATAATCAGAAGAGGTGGGGAGGGGGAGGTAGGAATGATGCAGGCAGAGCTGAAGAAGGGCTAACAGAATGGAGGAAGACGGGAAGGAAAAGGCGGATTGGCCGTGTTTCAGGCGATCTGCCCCGTGGCTCCCAAAATGGTGCCGTCATTTAGCTGGGCGAGTTGTTGTACTACGTGAAAGTCGCACTGGAAAGTCGTCGCTAATTAGCAAACAGCTCTCAGCCCACGACACTGGTGCGTACGACTTTTCGGACAGATTTATTTCGCACCACTCCGTGCAGATTCCAGTCGTCAGATGGACTTCCAAACTGGGTTGTACCTAGCACATTTCCCTCGCCCATCTCCCGAGCAAACGGAAATTCCTCCTCACACCACTCCCCGACCACAGTCATACTGAGGTACCCATTTCAGCCACCACGTCCAGCCAAAAAAAAATCTAGGCTTAAGTACTGACATAGTTGCCAATTGTTCCACGGTCAGGATTGTCCCGATTGCTAGCGCAAAATGTGCACATCCAAGCTAATCAAGACACAGCCTCTTGCACAATGGCCTAGGAAGACATCAATCTAGCGTCTAATCAAGGTTCAGATAGACGGGTTTACCTGGGCTAATTTACCTGGGCTAAGGAACCTTTCGGAACTGATGGAGACAGAACACTCACCGATATAGAGAACCTCATCAAGTTGGTGAGAGAACCGCTCTCGTGGTACGATCGGCCTTATACGGCTGAGACGCGGAAAGCATCCCATGAGATAATCCTTGACGTTATCAAGTGCAGAAAGAAAACTAGGGGTATCGAGTGCAGAAAGAAAACTAGGGTTATGAGCTATCGGCCTAGAAAAACGCAACTATGGCTTACTACGTGGTAGAATGCCTTTCGGTAATCGATATGGGGTATTTTTTATGAGGCTGAGAGTAGATGCCTTAGTATTGAACGAGTGGATACGGCAACACGCGTCCACGCCCCATCAACCAGCACGCACAGGAGCAGGAGCGGTAGCGGGAGCCGAAGCAGCAGGAGAAGGAGTAGTAGCAGACGGCAAAGCAGAAGGGGTAGTAGCAGACGGCGAAGCAGAAGCAACCACGCTCTCAAAAACGCCCACGGTAAACTCCCAGACCCTCTCGGGCCAGCCCTCAGCCCGGTACCGCGCCAGAACAGGCGTGCCGTGGACGATCTCGCTCTTGTCATCGACCAGCACGACGCGGCCCAGCTGCCGCTCGCCGCCACCAACCGGCAGGCCAGTAAGGTGGTACGCCTGGCGCTCGCCCGCAGTCTCGGCCGTAGTCCCAACCAGCCACAGGAACGACCCAAACAGGCCCCGCAGCACGGCCGCCCGCGCGCGGCCCAGCCAGCCGGCGCTTTCCGGCGCGGCCATGGCGGCGGCGATGCCGGTGCGCACGAGCCCCGGGTACGCGTGCAGGAACGTGATGTTGGTGTGTTTCGCCGAGAGCAGGTCGAGGGCCAGCGTCGACAGTGTCGTCGTGTGTGCGATCGACGCGCCCGCGGACCACGCGCCCGGCTTGGCCAGCGCCAGGTCGTCCTCGGCGAGCGCTTCCTCGTGGCCGCCGTTGAGCACGCAGAGTACGCGCGGCTGCGGGGCGCGCTGCAGCAGCGGCAGCAGCGCCGACGTGAGGCGCATGCGCGAGAAGTACGACAGCGCAAAGGCCGCTTCGAGGGCCTCGGACGTGTCTTTTGTTCCAGGTCTGTCAGCTGTGGTCTTTACGCCTATCTGGAGCAGAAGGTGTCACTTGCAGTGGGCGCCAGCGAACGGCAGCTTGCCCTGGCTCATGAAGAGGTAGTCGACCTTTGACTCGGCGGCGACGACGGCGCGGGCGAAGGCGTCGACGCCGGCGAGCAGCGAGACGTCGCACTCGAAGAACTTGACGGCCAGCTTCGGGTTGAGGTCCTCGAGCCGCGCGCGCCGGCTGGCGAAGCGGGATGCAGAGCGGCCGGCGACGTGGAATGTCGCGGACCGCACCATGGCCGCCAGCTTCTCGAGCGTCGCCGCGCCGATGCCGCCCGTCGCGCCGGCGAACACAAACACCAGGCCTTCGCGCCCATCCTCGGCGAAGGCGGCGTTGGCTTGGCTGACCTCGGTGATTTTGTTGACCATGATGGCTGATTTTCGCGGAATAGTTGGTTGGGGGACAGTTGGGGGACAGTTGGATGAGTGCGGCTCGGAGTGGCAGGCCATCTCCAAGACCCAAACAACACTCACCCCGCATAACACGCCATGCCCAGCCCGCTGGGCGTAGCTCTAAAGCCCGTTTGCAGAACTGGGGTCCGCGACCCAGCCCGTCAAAGAACCCTGAGTGTGGTTACACGACATTGCCCAAATTTTAACTTCACAGACAGCCTTTCTGATGCAATATGAAAGCTTAACTTGCTGCTAAAGGCGAATAGACGCATCATACTTTGAGTTCATACTTTGAGTTCCGTGTACCTAAATCCCACCATGCTCCCCAGGCTCTATAGGCCTCTAGTAATCCATTCCAGTTCTACGCTGCCGGCAGTGGCTCGCCATTCTTGTCGTTACTAGTCCGCTGAACACGTGAGTCGAAGCCTGGGTCTCTTCTTGGCCGCCATCCAAAGTAGCGAATCATGGTCCTCCGCTGTAATGATAAGACACGCGTTTGTCAGCTTCATGTCTCGATCTGTGTTCGTGTCCAAGTCTCCTCGACACTACCTCGTTCGTCGCTCATCATGAGACCACTAGATCCATGATTGATCCGCTAGATCCGCGATTATAGGCCACTTGATGAAAAGTCTCTCACCAGGGCGGAGGAGTAGCGCATCGACTCGGGGAGGACGATAGTCTTGCCGTAGCCACTAAAGATGACGTCGACAATCGACTGGCTTGCAGTCTCAAGGTGCAGTTGAGGACTGAAGAAGTTCGCTATTCTCGACTTGTCCTTAACAAGCGGTGATCGCAAAAGATTGAACGTGGCGTTGGTGAGGCGCACCTTTGGCGCGTCGTGAGAGGTGAGTTCCATACGGAGAATCTAATGGCGGTGAGTAATCAAACAAGATCAGAGTAGAATTAGTTGGCGGGACTCACCTCGTGAAGTTCTGAGATGCCGACCCTAGCGGCAGAGTAGCCAGCGAAGCCTACCTCGCGAGTGTGGTCGCCCATGGAGACGGTGATGATGTGGCCGCGGTTGTTCCGGGTCATCTCGGGGACGAACTCGTTCGCCAGGAGAAACGTGGAGGTCAGGTTGGTTGCGATAGTGCGAATTATGTCGTCGTAGCTGCTCTCCATGATGGCGAAGCTATGCGCAAGGCAGGCATTGCTAATCAGGACGGTCGGGTGGCCAACCTCTCTCTTCACACGGTCGTAGGCGAACTGGGTGTCGGACGAGTTGCCGAGGTCGACTTGGTAGTAGTGGAGCGGCTTTTTGCTTACCTTGATCCGTGCTTCAGTCTGCGTTGACCAGATTTGGCAGCAAGCAGTGCCGTGGTTCAGATTGAATGTTCGGTTCGCGGAAAGAGCGGGCGAGGGGACGCGTTCTCTCTTTTCTCCCCTGACAAAGTAGCGCCCCTACGCCAATTTGGCACTTGATGAAAAGTACCTGTACGGCAGTGTTGAGGCAGAGCCCAGGACTCTATGTTGGAAGATATAGGTAAAGTACCCGAAGGATTTTTATTGAAGTTATACTACTCCGAAGAGAGATTGTGGGCCCCACAGGTGTTGTAGGCCTAAGCCAATGATACTAGGGAAAAGAAGAGATCAAGACGGTCAGAATGGTATGTGGAAAGTAGTATTTGAAGTTATGTGCAAGGAAGAAGAGAAGTGTGTGAAAAAGGTGGAAGCTCCTATATGTACTGTCACGGTCGCCACAGGGCTCATGTGACAGGATTGATTCTGTTGGCTACATTGTATATAGGGTGTGGCCTATGCGCCTCGCCACCCACGTGCTCAGCACCACCACCTACTTCCCCGCGCCCTGCGCGGGCCCTGCGATAGATCTGTTCCTTCCTTAGCTTTAAATCCACATTCGTTACTGCATTTAACCTCTGACTTCCTAAACCTCCTAGGCAGGCCGTCACATGTACATAAAGTCCACACATATCTAAAGGTTTCCATACGCTTCTAAAAACAAGCCCTGAAGGCTATGTGGCCTGATTACCTTCGGTTATTGGAAAAAGCATATTATTAGCTTTTTCTATAGCCGAGTTACTAGGTTACCTCGGCCTGGTAGTAGCATATAGTTCTGCTCATCTGCGTGTTGTAGCCAGGCGGAGCGGAAGCGGTAGCGTAGGCCGGGAGCCAAGTGCAGTGTAGATCGTAGGGAACTATGCCCTACGGTCCAGTACAACAGTACCCTGTGTAGGGCACTGAGGGGCACTGAGGGAAGCAGATTGACTGCTACAGGTTTGTAGAACTCTGCTACAGACCAGTATTACAAACCACTCGACTGTTAGGGTCGTCTGTCTGTAAGGGAGCACGGGCTCCACAGGATGCTGGGGTTGGTAATTATGAAGATAGAACAAAGGGCAAGCTCCTATCGCACGGGTAATACAGTCAAATCGGAATGCCACTCAAAGTGTATGAGTGCAGTGAATGTGTATTGCTTGCTTGAGGAACCAAGCAAGAACTATCTAAGGCCGTGGGTACGGTCATCGTATTTATCTAATTGAACAACCAATCAGAGTTCTCCCTCGCAGTGCTCAGTGCCTCCGGGGCGCTCAGTCTTCAAGGACGACTGAGCTCTCAATGGTAACTGAGCACTTCCTTAATTGGCTGTTCTTCCTGCTCAGTGGGTCTTCCCAATCTTGGCGGCCGAACGCACTGAGCGCCGCCTGATTGGCCGCACCGAGCTCACGTGGGGCCCGTCCTGCCCGCCAGTGCTGCCCAATCAGCAGTCGGCTTCCAGCGCCTCCTGCAGACTTGAGCCAGGATCGTAACAACCAGCCACTCAGACTGTAAGGACTCTGCTCAGCAGTCTACCTCGTAGGCTACAGGGAACTCTGCCCTGTAGTCAGGGTCTTCGGGGGGCAACAGAAGTGCTGAAGAAGACTGAGAGGAGTTGAATTATAGAAGGATTATGGTACAAGAGTGGTGAGTGCAATGCTTGCTTGAAAGGAAATCTATCTAAGGGAAAGGATAGGTCTGTGAGAGAAGGCAGGTACGCCGGATCAAGGTGGTCACAATGAAGATAACAAGAATGTTACGATCCCGGTCTAAGAGTGCAGGAGGCGCTGAAGTGCCTCCCTCGGATTGGATGAATGCACCCAGGAAGGCGGGACCTTCCCTCGGTTGGTGCAGCCAATTAGGAAGCGCTCAGGGCGCTCAGTCTGCCAAGACCGAGCTGAGCGCACTGAGCAGAGCGCTCAGTGTGGCTTTGAGTGCTCAGTCCCGACTGAGCACCAAGTGGAGCACTGAGCACCTAAGGGAAGGACTCTGATTGGTTATTCATAGTTCTATATAGGGAGCTGGAGGAACACTCTCTGGGAGTTGGTTCCTCAGCTATCAATGCATAAGGTTTATCATTCATTGCTTGACCGATTGAGAGCGAGATTCTCGTAATCTGTGCGCTATTGTTTGCTCCTTACACTTCGCATTACCTGTGGTTCGAGAAGGTACTGTGGGGCCTGGCTAGCAATTTGGGTATAGCGCCCACAACACCAACCACACCAACACAACCACTATAGTGCCCTGCACTTCAGGGCCCTATAGCTGTAGTAGCTAGCCATACTTTAACAAGTTCACTATCACCGCACAGTCAACTGCATGAGACAAGGCTGCAATATGGTCGCTGTATTCGTAGAATCTAAAGCTAAGGAAAGAAAGAAGAAAGGAAGTTTCTAAAGCTTGGGCAGGGCGCAGGGAAATAGGACGTGGGGTGCACGGGCCATCTAGTCTAGTGGGGTCCGGGTCGGACCCACTATTCCAGAGTTGTCTGCACTTGCCGTGACATTCACTTGAGCTTTTTATTATAGCCGAGTTGCCTCGGCTAAGCGGTACGTATATAGCCGGTATTTATATTATTACAAGGGTGTAACGTTAGATTTATTAAGGTTTATAAATAATGTTAAGGTTTTGTTCTTTTATTCTTAGCCTCGCCTTTTCTTTATTTCTTTTAGTACCCCTGTCCCAAATCGGCATCCTTCGCCCTACTGTTACGATCCTGGTTCAGGGTGCATGAGGCGCCCTGCTTCCGCCCCGTGATTGGGTGACGTGGTGGAGACGGACAGACCCCACCCCGTGTGGGTGCGGCCAACCAGGAAGCGCTCTGCCTGATTAGCTGCCAAGACCAGCAGAGCGGACGGAGCGGGCGCTCTGTGGGGCCCCTGCGCTCTGCGAGCAGAGCGCCCTGGACCCACGGAGCGCAGACACCAAGGACTCTGATTGGTCCGCCTTAGATAGATATATACGACGACCGTAGCCACGGTCTTAGATAGTTCTTGCTTGGTTCTTCAAGCAAGCAATACACATTCACTGCACTCATACACTTTGAGTGGCATTCCGATTTGACTGTATTACCCGTGCGATAGGAGCTTGCCCTTTGTTCTATCTTCATAATTACCAACCCAGCATTCTGTGGAGCCCGTGCTCCCTTACAGACAGACGACCCTGACAGTCGAGTGGTTTGTAATACCTACTTGCCTGCTCGGCATCCCCTGCTCTATCCTAGTACGAAAATGCTCCAAAGATGGACGGTGGCCTGAGGCGAAGAGCTTCCATTCTTAGGCCACGCCATGTGCTTTTTGGCATAGCTGTTCACCCGGTGCCGAGGTATATTATATCTAGAGGGACGCTGTATATGAGCTATTTATCTACCCGGAATTTGCTCTGCATCAAAGAAAAGCCGTTTTCCCCGCATTCCCAGATAATCTCATCGTTTCCGCTGTTCCACATCTCGCACCAGCCGGGCTTTTGGTGCTGTGATTTTACCTTGCCAGTCACTTACTTCTTGTGCTCCACCATTACAGATACAACGGTCCACTCTACCATCGCCGCATCCAACGGCTTTGAAGCTCAGTTGACCAATGGTAAGATGGCGTAGATCGTCTTCCTTCCCGCCTGCCAATGCCACATTGGCGAATACGCACCTTGGAGGTATTAACAGACAACAACAGGCATCCACCACGAACCCGCCCTTTTCGGGATGGGAAAAAGCCGGCCTGGCGCTGCAGCTAACCCTCGCCGCGCCAGTGCAGCTGCTGTACAACTTCGGCCTCGTCGTGTCCCGGGCGGCCTGGCGGGGGTTGCCGCTAGGCGACTATGCGCACTGCGGCTTCATCAGGTTCGTGCTGTGCAACGCGTCGGCGCGGCAGGTGCAGTACCTGTCGCCGCCGACGGCGGCCATGTACGAGCTGTGGATCAACGGCCGGCGCAACGGTAAAATCGAAACGGGCGACCAAGTCACGCCCGACGATGCCGCGTGCCTCGCTGCTGCCGGCCGCCTGCAGCACGACGTCGAGCCGCTGCCCGACGGCGCCTCGTCGCTGCTCTGGCTCGGCAACCGCCGCCGCGCCACAAAGTTCGTCTACTTCCTCCACGGCGGCGGCTACACGCTGCCGATCCAGCCAGGCCACCTGGAGTGGTGTCTTCGTGCATACATCCTGGCTGCGGCTGGTCGGGCGCGTCAGAAGAACGGTAGCCCAGAAGGGGAAGATCAACAGCAAAGGGAGGATCAACAGCAAAGGGAGGAACAAGTCGCCGTGGCCGTGCTGCAGTACACGCTCTGCCCCGGCGCGCAGTACCCGACGCAGCTGTGCCAGGCAGCGGCGGGGCTCGCGCACCTGCTGGCGTCGGGCATCGCGCCGGGCAATATCGTCGTCGGGGGCGACTCGGCCGGCGCTAACCTGACGGCCCAGCTTGTTAGCCACCTGCTGCACCCGCACGCGACTGCGCCACGCATCAAGCTCGCAGCACCGCTGGCCGGCGTGTTCCTCGTATCGCCGTGGGTCAGCGCGCGCGTTGACACGCCGTCGTTCGCCGAGAACGACGGCGTCGACATGCTGTCGGCGTGCTACGTGCGGTCGGCCAACAACCACATCGTGGGCGGCGCGGCCAGGGCAGTCTTCGACGCAGAGGTCTCCCGTGGCGAGGGTTGGGCCATGCCCGCCGACGTCGACGCCAGCTGGTGGGACAGGCTGCGCGACGTCACGCCCGCGCTGTACGTCACGGTAGGCAAGCACGAGGTGCTGAGGGATCAGGGGGTTGTGTTTACCGAGGCGGTCAGGCGGCGCAATGCCGCGGTCGATGTCCGCCTCGAGGTCATGGACAGCGAGGCGCACGACTTCATCCTGCTGGATGGCCAGGCGAAGCGGGACGGCGATCCGACCAAGCGGATGAGGGCTTGGGCGTCGTCGGCGCTCTGGCCGTAGTTCCATGCCCGTGCTTTGAGACACCCCCCTTTTGATATAGTTCACGACCAAAAGAAGCCCCTAAAAATGATGGGATTGGAAGTCACACTTCCGTTCTTCTGGATGCAACCGGGATTAAACCAGGGACCTTTCACAGGGCATTCGTATGAAACTATGCGAAGCGAAAATCATACTACTAGACCATGCACCCGGTGGATCAGATTGTGTTTCTAACTTTGTTGTGGAGATGTGGCAGTTGCGATGCTCTATGGAGGCCGACTCTTCCGAGATGACGACTCCACTACTCCAAAGGTTCCTGGGTCTTTGGCCAAGTGACAAAGCGGTGCTCCCTGGATGACGCACTAGGTTTCTGACGGGGATGCTGCTCTCTAATTATGTCCTCCGGCAGAAATGACATAGGAGTATGGCTTCGTCTACATTGAGGAGTGGTGATGAACCGTCTTGAAAACTGAACGCAGAATTACCAAGCCTTCGGAGCCTGTCTCTTCCATATATCTTAATCATCTGAACCACTGTCCAGGACAGCTATTGACCCAAAGGAGATTGTGTTGAGGTGCAACGCTTGTCGTTATAGCTATCACGGAGTAACGAGTGGCAAAGATTAATATCTCGAAAAGAACATGAGAGATAATACGTGCTAGTTCTGTGGGATGGTAAGACACCAAGAAGGGAAATGCAGTCGCATTATCTGACTTGTATAAGCCCGACTTTTCTCAGAGTCTTGACGCCGTTGCCTTCGCGTCCACCTTTTTCAACCTTCAGTAAGTATTTCAGCAGCTCCGTATGCACCCATCTACGGATCTTCTGGCGTTTTCTTAAGCTTATCCAACATATCCTTAATACGTTGGAGCCTGAACTTCAGCTCCCTCGCCTCCTCTTTTATCTCTTCCGTCTCCTTCGTCTTCTCTTGGTTGCCCTCTATACTCCCGATGTGCTTCTTGATCTTCGCATGCCTAGACAGGGCTTCCTCCACGCACCAGGGGAGGTATTGTAGGCTGTCATACTGTAGTGTCCCGTCGAAAGTGCTCACAAGCTTTTTCGGATTCTTCAACTTGTGCTTTGGGTCCTTTATGGGCGAACCCAATAGTGTTTGGATTTTCTTCTCAATGCGCCTTTCCTTTTTTTCGTATGCGTCAAAAGACATTGTGCACTTACTATCTGTTGGTGAGAATGTATTACAGTCAGCTGAGCTGCGTCTTCTTCATGACCGTGGGCAATGTGAAAGTACGGAGAGGGTAAGCTCTTTGCTTTCTTGGTTGCAACGATGTTTTGCCGGTAATAACGAATCAATCGTGGTCGCGCAGTATAAGGCTCCGCGGATAAGGTTTCTCAAGAAATTTTGAACTGGATAAGCGATTTGAGAGCAGGTGTGGTGGTGGTTGTGGCAGCGTGGCTGTGGTTGCGGCTCTGGGGCTGGGTGGACGTGGACTGGTGAAGGAACTTTGTCAAACAGATACCGAAGTACCTCTTTGGGCAGTATCAAGTGCAAGTTCAAGAAGGGGGTGCAATTGGTCGTTTGAGGAGGTCATGTTCAGCTTGTCAATCACGTGTCAAGTATTCCGTAATAAGACACCCTCCCTGCTTGACCTGTGTCCTGGGCGGCCCGCAGAATCCATTTCTGATGGAAACAACCCGCCCGGACCTACAGAAAGCAGCACATGCCCGGAACGTCAAACAAACAAGCAAAAATTTCAAGAGAGCGTAACCCTCCACTATTAAGCCGTCTCCATGTACTGTAAGATTCTGCGGCTCGATAATTTACCACTTTTTACCACAACGCAACCTCTGTAGTCTGTACGTTCAACAGCGTAAATGGAGCCATTAGCAGTCCCGTCGCCGATGCAATTGTGCTGCCAGCGCTTGGAGCGATGCAACCAGCGAAGGTGGTAATTTTGGCTGTAAAAAGCAGTATTTTCCTAGACGGCGAGCTGTAACAATTGGTTGGTGGCTGATGCAACTCTAGTGCCCGAGTGCACGGAGACAATTCCACGGTAGAGCGTTACGTTCTCAAGAATAACCTGCGCTCACTGAGCTAGAATGTGCGTCTGCTCTGCCGTCGTCCCTGCAAATCACACATGTGGCTACGAGGAGCAAGTTTTAATTATATAGCTGTGAGCTTAGCGCTGTTCTCGGTTTCCTTCTGTTCGAGTCTATACCCTGTGGTCAGGATGGATTCGCGAGGTTTCTTTGTCTTTGGCGTACCTAGGTAGCTATCTTAATGGACTATTTGGAGTACAGCTTCTTTAATCAAACCGAGCCCTATAGCTAGGAAACATACGCAGTTAGGACTCTGAGTTTGTTATGAAGGTTGGTAGTCAAGGGCACGCAGGCACCGAAGCAGATGAATTCACAGACCAGCTCCTCCAAAACGTGGTTGACTTGCCTTTTCCTTGATGGCCTACTCTTGACGGCGGAGGAAGGCCACCAACGACCTTGAATGTGGCCACGCACGCGCCCTGCCATTCTCACTGGTCAGGAGGCTTGCTACGTGTAAGCAGTGAGGTCATGACCAGGTGCAGCTGCCAACTTGAGCTTGTGCTTCGTCGAAGTGCAACGTGGCTTTTGGCTGCGTGTGGACCCTCCCTTCAGACTCTCACCTGAACTTGAGAGAAGGTAGGCCGGCAGGCCCTGACCAAGTGACGTGGCCTGCAACAGGTACGTACCCGGAGAGGGAAAGGACAAACACCGGGCAGGGACGGACCCACATGCTGCGTTTGAGGGACCCACACCAATTTTTGCAGCCGTGCACGGACCAACTAGGATCTTTATAAAAGAGCCTGCCACCCCTTCTCTCTCTTCCTCTTCCTTTCTCTTTTTTTTCCTTCTTCATACTTACCTTGGTTCGGGGCAGGGAGATCAAGAATTCCTTGCTCTATAGTGGATGGCCTGCATTGCACACCGCGGTTGCACTCTACTATTGATTACCTTTCGGGGTTGTCGGGACCGTAATTTTTGATAACCCACCCATCTTTGTCTTTTTTCACTGTGGTCGCCGCTCACGAGTGGTGCCATGGAGAAGAAAATCATCCACTTTGCCTTGCCGAGCCTGCCTACCTACCTGTCGTGGTGATTGTGTGTGCTGCTGTGGCGTGGTGCTGCCTGTTTGCCAGCAGTCTTCGACGCCGAATTTTGAAATTCCGGCTTGACCCCGATTGAGGCAGGCGGCCTGCTCTCTCCATGTTGCAGGGCGTCCCCGAGGAAGGCAGGCGCGGCCGCAAGAATGGTGCTCGATCGCGAGCCCCACCGTGGTGTCGGCACACAGCCCTCCTAGCACATTCACGCAGTAGCCTGCCAGTTAGGTAGCTAGAAAAACTCTCGACATAATTCTCGATCATGAGGCAAGCGCACAAGTTCCAACCCCATTACGAAAACGCTAGCCGTGGGCGCGAGGCCAGCAGCGCGATGGTCAGCACTGCTCCAGCGCCGCGGCAAAAAAACCGGACCTGCCAGAGGATGGAACTTCCTTCCCAGGCTTACCGAAGCGCTGAAGCGAAGACGTGCATGTTTTGAAATCTACGTAATTTCCAATAACAAAGATGCTACATGCAGTTACGTCTGCACAGCACTGGCGAGCGCTCTACCATGATTTTCCGTCCCCACGTTTCCCAAGGGAGCGGTGCCGGGCAAACTCCTACAGCCAGGATACTTCCGTGTAGATGTTACATCTCAAGCTAGCTCGTGCAGGGGCAAAGCAAAAAAATATTATCGACATCATCTGCAAAAATTGGAACTGTGGCGGGGTTGCACCAGACGTGATGAATCACATGGGCATTAGCCTTGGAGATTTCGCCCACACATTTTATAGGGAGATTTCCTCCTCCTAGAATTAGCTAGCCAATGCACACATTGTCCACTCCAACAGGAACCATCACAGGGCTAATCTAGCATCGAGCTCAACTGATGTCTTCGCATAACTACAGCATCATGAGACATGCTGCTCCTCAAAATGCCGTTTAAGCAGGTATTATTAGAACCGACTCTCCCACTTCCAGCCTGCTGAGAATTTCTCCCTCACGCCTCCTCCTCCTGGCTCCCGACGACAACTAGTGTCAACCACGATCACGCCCAGCACCATAATACCGCTTGAACTCGGGCGCCGGCCTATTCCACCGCGGTACTCCAGATTCTCTGCCAAGGCCATTCAATCACCAGCAAGAGGCCTTGCAGCCAAACAGGTAATTGGTCGAAGTGCGCAATAGACGAAGGGCCAGCCCGGCCAATGAACCATAATATGCAGCATCCGTAACAATGGTCAGGATTGACAGGCTTCGGAGATACGTGGGGGATATTGGCGGATATGATCAGCAGAAGAGAAAGGTACTGGCTATTCTAGATGGGCTTGGTAGGGATCTAAAGAAGAGGGAGAAGGAGAGAAAGCAGGAGAAGGAGAGAAAGCAGGAGAAGGAGAGAAAGCAGGAGGAGAAGGAGGGAAGCAGGAGAAGGGGCGGGACGAGGAGAAAAAGCGAAACAAGAAGCAGCTATGCCAAATACGAATCATCATCTTGCTGCTATTACATTTTGGGCTATATACTATATACTGGCAACTGGCATCACATCTTCAAACCCTTGAATCCATTGATTTTTTTTTGAACAGCGGTAAACCAAATCCCACTCCCCAATCACGACACCCGCGCCTCACAGCCTCGAACTCGGCCCCGCCGCCGCGTCAGCCGCGAGGTCCTCGCACACGCCCCGGGCGATCCAGTCGGCGACCGCCATGACGGTGACCATGGGGTTGACGCCGCTGGCGCTGGGGAAGACGCTGGCGTCGGCCACGTACAGCCCCTGGGTGCCCCAGACGCGGCCGCGCGGGTCGACGACGCCGTCGCGCTCGCGCGCGCTCATGCGGCACGAGCCCATCTGGTGCGCCGACGCAAACGGCGTGACGGGCGGCTTGTTGCCGAACTCTTCGAACGCGCGGAGCCACGCGGCGAACGCTGCGTCGTCACTCTCGGTATCGTCGTCGGCGGTCTCGTGCGCTGTAGAGGTGGCCGCGGCGGCTTTGTCGGCGTCGGCGTTGGCGGCGTCGACGGCGTCGTCACTGTGGGTGCGGTTTATTATGCTACGAATGAAAGGCGGGAAGCCCGGGACGCATGGGTGGATCTCTCTCGCTCCCTGCGCGCGCAGGATCTTGGCGAGAGACACCATCCCCGCGAGGTTGTGGGCGCGGTCAAAATCTGACGGGCTGTACGCGATCCGCGGCACGCCGGCCTCAGGGTCCCGATATACGTGGCCTGTGTCGCGGTCTCGGCAGATGGCGATGAACACGTTCATGTGCCGGTACTTGGACGCAAGGAGCTTGTATTCGGGCCCTGAGGCCCACGGGAGGAAGGGCATGCAGAAGCTTGGCTGGTTGGAGAAGACAAGGGGTTAGTCGAGGAGTGTTGTGTGGAGAAGGGGTGTTACCATCATCGACATGGCTTCGAGCTTGACGCCGTGGCCTTTGCCGTCCAGGTTCTCAAAGCTGCCCACCACGGAGGTGAGGCTGCCGCCTATCGTGACGGACTGGTAAGCGCAGTTCGTGGTTCCTTTTTCCAATTTCTCGCAGACAATCTGAACACACCTTCCCACGGTTTGACTTCCTCGTCAAAGACCGCCGCCACGAAGTTTGTAGGGTGGAGGTACAGGTTCTTTCCGATGTGTGGGTTCTGTTTGTTTCAATCATGTCAGCTCCGAGCTGTAGTAGATGCCTGCCCGTTCCAGTGTCAACATCCTTGATTGGAGGTTCGCGGCTTACCTTTAGCCCACTGTTCATGAGCACGATTGGGCTCCAGAGAGATCCGCCACTGACGATGACCTTCTTCGCCTTGACGACAACCCTAATCTTCTCGCTGCTGCCCTTTGCCGTCCACATGCCAGTGACTCCTTTTGCGACCTTTTTGCCGCGGACCTGTTCAAACAGAACCCTGTCCACCGTCATGCCCTCGGCAAACTTGACCCCGTTCTTGGCCGCCTCGGGGAACCAGCCGTTGACCGGGCCCTTCTTCTCGCCGTGCCAGCAGCCGAGCGTGCAGTGTCCGTCGTGGTGCTCCGTATTGCCGCAGTTCTGGGGGACGATCTTGGCCCGGTATCCCAGCTTGGCCGCGCCGTCGAGCAGTGTGTGGTTGCCGTGGTTCGGCTTCAGGTTGTCGGCCAACACGCCCATCGACTCGCATACCATGTCCAGGCTGGCCTGGAACTCGGGGCTCTCGAAGAAGGGCAGGTTCCGCTCTTTGGCCCACTCGCTGCGCACAAAGTCCTGTGTCTGTAGACCGGCGCTCCAGTTGACGGTGCCGCCGCCGCCAAAGCAGCTGCCCGCCGTTACCGTCATGGATCCGTCGTCGCTCTCGATGACACCGCCGGCCTCGTAGAGATTCGATAGGGCATACTTTTGTGACATGGGAAAGCAAGAGGCGTCAAAGTGGTGCCCTTTCTCGAGGACCAGCACCCGCACTGAAGGCCCCGCAGACTTGGCTAACCTCCACGCGCACACGCCTGCGCCGCACCCAGAGCCGACAATGGCAACGTCTGTGTCGATCTCCACGACGCCCCCCTTGCGGCTGGGAGACGTGGGTGGCTGGAACTGCAAGAACTCGTAGGGGTAGGACGGGGTGGCTTTCCAGGACGGCGGGACAGAGGGAAACCCTGTCACTCGGTCGAAGGTGGCACTTGTGCGCATGAATACCAGCTTGCCCAGCGTCGTCATTGTTTTGAACAAACTTCTCACGGCCCAGAGCGAACTCGTCCGCCAACGATGGAGGATCTTGATCCTGTCAGCGGCGGGAAGCTGGGTGATGGGCGACTTGTAGCCGGTGAGGATGAGGCTGCCTGCGCATGTTCTATAGCCCAGAGTTGTTCTTGAATCAGTAAAACTACTCTTCCAGGCGTTTTTCACCCGGAGCCAAATCCTAGGCCGAGGGAGGATTGTGCTCCAGATTGAAATAGAGAGGAGGACTCACGACAAGATAGAAAGAAGCAGCTGGAGCTGTTTCCTCTTTGCCTGTGGGACCTGGGATAGTACGGCCCTCAACACCTCGGCGAAGGCTTCGCTGTCTGCCGGTCTCTCGGCCAGGTATGCCTCGAGCACTTCGGGTGACACGTGTGGCAAAGCGGTGACGGCGAGCTGGGATACTGTTCTAGAATACTCGTCTTCCGACAAAGCAACAACCGAGAGACTTGCAGGTTCTGTTAGGAGATTCTGGAATTGAATAGCAGGGATAACCGTGTTCATGAAGGCCATGAGGATCTTCCACTGCCGTTCGCTGAAACCATCGGACGTCGGGGACTGCGACAGCCCCACGGGCCTGGGCGCCGTGAGCAGCGACACGTCGAGCTCTGCTGCCATTTTTGTCGTGTTTTACTCTCCGTGATTTGCGGTCTTTATTTTGTTTTCTTTCGTCGTCGAAGGGGCGGCGGGTATATGACGTGGGACAGAGAGGTGGTGTGGGAATTGGTACCGTGCCACTGCAGCTTCCCCGGGAATCGAATTGGGATGCATCGCAAGCCAGGTCCAAAAACGGCATTCCTGCCCCAGTCTGGCTACTGGGAGACTTGCTGAATGGCTGGGGCCAAGACGGGACGGAGAGGAGCTAACTTGACCGAGAATGGTGGCAGCGGTTTCGATGCGGGGTCAAGGTGGACATTCCGAGGTCATCGCAACATCCATGTGACGGGGAGTTGGGGTAAGATGGGGTATCACTTGCAGGGCATTCCCAGGTCGCCACTGCCTCCGCGAGTCCGACCCCCCCACCCCCCCCAGGCCACACTCCCACTCCAAACCGGAGACGAAGGTACCGTACCGGACCCCGCTAGTTCCCATCTTCCCGTCCTTTGTCAGTGGCATGCCAAAGGGGCCGGCCCTTTTATAACTTGATAAGGTAAGCGGCGGTTTTGGCGGATGCTATCAAGTTTTAACACATTTTCATAATACACATGACGACCTGTTCGATCTCATATCCATCTATTTGGCTGGCTTCTGCGAGCTGCCAACGAGACTATTACGCACTCGGCCATTTTTGCCCCTCTGGAGCAAGTCGCGTCAGACTTGCACGGAACACACCCAATTGCCTTCTACGCTGCTTCCATCGCGGCTCTGATTTTCCCGATAGTCCTCATCCTGTTGGAATACTTCAAGCCGGTTGGCAAGCGACGGTTGAAGAATGGACAGAAGCCGAAACTGCCCCCAGGGCCGTGGGGCGTGCCGCTGTTTGGGAACCTGCTGAAGCTGAAGGGTGCCCGGAGCGACCCAGATCAGAAATGGGTAGGTCCAATTAATCAATTATCAATCTTGTATATACAACAACTACCTGACACTGATCCCCGGCACAGCTTCGAGGTCTAGTCCGACATGGCGAGATGGCCACGGCGCACGTCGGCTCCAAGACGATCGTGTTCCTCAACAGCAAGCGCGTCGTGTCCGAGATCATCGCCAAGCGCGGGGGCGCCACGAACACACAGTCGCCCATGCCCATGGCCAGCGGCGTCGTCAGCCACGGCCACCGCCGGTCGCTGCTCATGACGCAAGAGAAATGGGCCGAGCCGCTGCCCGTCATGCACACGCTGCTAAGCGGCACCGCCCTGAAGCAGTACGGCGAGTGGTAGGAGACGGAGAGCGCGTAAATGCTCGCCGAGTGCCTGCTCAAGCCGGCCCTCTGGTACAGGCATCACTACCGCTACGCCAACTCGGTTGTGCACCGCATCGCCCTCGGCGAGCGCCTCGCCAAGTCCACCAAGGACCTCGAGGACCTGCAGAACCTCGTCACCATCTTCGTCACCATCTTCGTCACCACCACTGGCAGCAGCGTCGTCGACTAGTTCCCGGCGCTGGCGTGCCTGCCGCGCTGTCTGCAGCCGTGGCGGGCGCACTGGGAGAAGCTGGACCGCTGGAACTACGACGTGTACCCCTCGTGGTGGGCGCCTGTTCTCGAGCAGATCCGCCGCGGCACGGCGCCGCCGTCGTTCGCGCGCGACACACTACTCCACGGCGACACCAAGTACACGGGCAGCGACGACGACGCCATGTACGTGGCCATGCAGCTGATCGAGGCCGGCAGCGACACGACGCGCGAGGCGCTGCACATCATGGCCGACGTCGACGGCGTGTGCAGCGTCGGCGCCGACGCCCGCCTGCCCACGCTCGCCGACATGGACGCCCTGCGTTATGTTTGTGCCACGGCCAAGGAGCTGCTGCGCTGGCGGCCCATCTTCGTCATCACGCCCGACCACGTCGCGTCGCAGGACATCGAGTTCGAGGGCTACCACTTCCCTGCCGGCACCGGCTTCGTTATTAACGCGGTTGTGGTCGGCGACGAGTGCGACAGCCCCGAGACCTTCGACCCGGACCGCTGGATGGACGGCCACGAGACCGACATCGCCCACGGCCTGTGGCAGTTTGGCGGCGGGCGCCGCATCTGCGTCGGCTACCGCCTGGCGCAGAGGAGCATGTTTATCAGCATTGCCCGCCTGGTGCAGTGCTTGACTTCAAGCCTGTAGGTTTATTTCCTCTGTCTTTCCCTTGCGTTTTGATTTCGTGGACTGCCGTGTGCTGACAGCAAAATCTGTTGCAGAACAGCCGGTACAACTCGCGGATCCTGAATCTCGAGGCCACCGAAGAGCCGTTCCTGGTCAAGGTCTATGTTCGTGGCTAGGCTTACGCCGAGCTTATCTGCGCCGAGGCCGAGCGCCTAAGGGTCTTAGAAGACGCCAAGATTTCTCGAGATGAGATTTGATTTACTACGGCGGTTCTTGCAGGACAAGTTGGACGATAGAATAGAGCACTGGACGATACATAATGCGGCTGGTTTCGGAGACTAGACAGACAGTAGAATAGGGCGGTTAGACGTAGAAGGCGTGGCTTATTCTTGCCATAAAACCTAATTTCTTTTTGAGCGTCTCTATTTCCCTTTGATCCTGAAGACAGTTGGTGCAGCTTGGTTATTCATCCTCCAACTACGAATCCCTCGTGCCTATACAATGAGAGGGATTTCCAACCTCCTGTCTCTCCATAATATTGTATGTCTTAAAATGGAGGCCGTCTCGGCCATCGCATTTCTTTAAACGTCCAAGCAACAAGATGGCGAAGGTTCAACAGCCAAGCTTGCATTCCAAGTGTCCAAGGTATCTAAGGCGTCCAAAAGCCTACTCGTGTTATTCCAAGGACATTTTGAAATCGGTTTCACCGCCGAGGTGCTTTGTTGTTCTTGGCAAGCACAAGCAATGTTTCCCATCACGCAAGGTCAAGTGAAGGACCCTAGTGTGATATGTTTCGTGATGTTACTCTGGTCTAAATTTCAATTTGTGTTGTTTTTCCTCTGTCAGAGACAAACAAGGTGAGGCTCGCTATCGGGCGGGGGAAGAGTTGGGCGTGGGCGCTTTCAGGCATCGCCGTATTGAACTGCGAAAAGCGGGGATATGTCAGGTCACCGTCGACTCGCTGGATTCGGACGGTAGCCGACGTGTAGCTGTGGTGTTGGAATTGGCCACAATGGCATCGCCTCGTTCATCTCTAAAGATCAGGTCGGCTTTAGCTCGATAAACTGGAGTGAATAAACAGCGCTGTCACAGGAAACGGAGAGTGAAGACAAGCTATAGAGCCATCGCTGGACGCTGTTTGCCGCAGGTCAGATAGCGGGGAGTTAGATCGGCGGAAAGAAACCTGTAATGATGGACCAACATCGCGGAGCATCGTCGCCGACGCTGGGCACAAAGCCGCCTCAAGGCTGCCGAGCAAGTTTGAAAAGGCGCTGACCGAGTGTTTCTCTCTCATGCGCCCTGATTATAGCTGTGTCAAGGGCGAATCTGGAAACGTCGTGGTCGGAGTGGTAGGTAGAGAAATATCGTATGGCAAAGCGAACACGCCCCACGGCAAGGGCGCGTGATTTGGATGGCCAGCCACAGAAATCAGGGTGCTAGAGAAATCTCAGGAATGCAGCTACCTATGCTAAATGACGGGGAGAATCACAACTTGCCGAACAACAAGTAACCAAAGGTAGGCGAAGCCGTAGTGCCAAGGCATAGGCACCAGGAGCAGCTGAATGTACGCTGTTGTTGTCCTTTCCATTTCCGGCGCTTCCTCTGGCAGGAAAAGCGCGTCGGCGGACTGAAGGCGCCTGGCTTCTTTCGCCATCGGCCACGCTGGACGGACGGTTACCAGGGAATCGCAAGAGGAAAGGGAAGACGCGACGGCAGAGGAGACCACACGCCCTCCAAACAAGCGAGCAGGAACGTCGAGTACCACACGAGGGCATTTCGACATGATTTCTCACTCCATGACTGGCCAAACGAATGATGCTTATTGCTTTCTTCTCCATACCATGACTCGGAAGCCACAATTACAGTGAAAAAAAAATCCAAATTCTCTCTTTGATAGCGTGTCATCCTTAGTGCAGGGGCCATGCTAATCTTCTCTGTATTGTTTTAATGTGACCAGATGCCCGAAGGCTGAAGAGAAAAGAAAAAAGAGAAGGAAGGCCCGAGGGGAAAGTTTCTTTTATAAACATTCAGTATGGTCCGTGCACGACTACAAAATTTAGCCTGTAGGCTCTACCCAGAAGAACCCCCTGACCAACGCAGGCAGACCCACCCAAACAATGGAAGCAGCGAGGCTCAGGCAGCTTCGGTTTTGGGAAACGTGACTTACTGTAGGTTTGTTTATCGTAAATTTTTTGGTTATCTAGGAAATAGGGCCCAGCCTCGTCGAGGTGTCGTTGTCATTGCCATTGTTCTCAGAAGCCAAATAGCATGCAAAACAGTCAAGAAGGAGGGTATTCGCAGTGTGTGTGTTAATTGATGTGTCTAGAAGAAATGTCTGCCCTGCAGGTCGGGGTCCCGTGTTGACCTCGTGGAAAAGGGGTTTAATTACGGATTTCAGTGGCCTGTGCAGGCCCTGCCCTGCACCATACCCGATTTAGGTAGGTCGTTCTGACAATTATCATTATCATTGTCATTCTTGGGGACTACCTGCTAGTACTTCCGTTGAGTGAGAGTAAGGTACCTTGGTAATCAAATTACTAGTAGAACAACTCCGGGATTCGACAACTTGCGACAGATAGAAGGAAACAGCACCGCGAGTAACAGCACCGCGAGTTACGAGGGAACTCGAACCTCGAAGCGCGAGTCGCTGAACTGAAATTTCTGTGAATATATGCTACTTGTGTGCCGTGTCACCATTTGAAGGCTGAAAGCGTGGCTGCATGACTGTAGTTCTTCGGGGCCGGACAAATGGTCGCAAAAGATGAACAGAAAACAATAGTAGTAATGAGTTACTCACCAGCTGAGCTATGGATGCCAACCATTGTACTGTCATGCGAAAAGTCCAAGTGCGAATCTTACCAAATCTATTGCTTTTCGCCGTTTGGTTTTCATTCCCAGACCTCACTGGTTACCCTCCGCCCAAGTCTGTGAAAAACAGCCACTTTTCACACTGCCCAGCCCAGCTCCTGCACAGAAACTACCCTGCGTTCCATCTCAGCCCATCTTCAGATAATTCTTCGACCATAGCACCGTGCCTAGAACCATCCGACAACGGAGGGTAATGAATGTCGCCTTTCCCGCTCACCTTGCAGGACTAGCACCTTGAAGTAGATAAAATCGTACTTCGGGCTTTGTTTACCTATTTGCGTCATCCTAACAGCTCGAGTATCCCACTCTCACGCACTTCAGCCATGGACAAAGTTTCTGTATCAAATAATTTATCATTATTCAACAAGCCGCTAACTACTCATCCGACAGGATGGCTACATCCCCCCCTCCTCCCAGAGAGCCACGCCCCCAGGCCAGCCGAAGAGCGTCCCAAGAATACCGCAGCCAGCAAGAGTCTGACCGCGCCTCGACCACCTCCCAGCTCCACGATGACGACTCGCCCTGCAGCACGCCCCTGCGCTCGCGCATCTGGTCAGGGTTAAAACGCTGGCTCTTCTGGAACCCGGCGCGCGGCGAGACGCAGAAAAGAGAAACATGCAAGGGGAAGGCAGCAGGAAGGAGAACAAGGCAAGGCGCAGGATAACAAAAGAGAGGCGGGACAGGAAGTAGACAAGTAGGAGGAGCCCGAAGCCACGAGAAACGCGTGCAGCGAACAGAGACGACGAGCTCAGCGTAGCCACAGCCTGCCGGCTTTCGTACGTGAACCCCCTCCAAAATACTCCGAGATGCGTCTAGACACCCCCACAAGCCGCGAGACGGCCTCTCAGTGCATAAAAGTCCCGCTAACCAGACCACGGCGCGCTGCAGGCTGCTCCCTCCGCACGCCGCCAAAACTCTTGCCAGGTCCGGCTGCGGACCAGTCAGCGGGTTTCCTCCTAAATCCGCAGGCTATAGCGCGCCGCCGCCCGCGCTAACCGTGTCAGTGCCGTCGCCGCGCCTCGCGCCGGGGCCCTGGGGGGCAGTGGAGAGGCGCGACGAGGAAGACAAGAGTAGCGTGGTCGTCGAGCTCGACGGCGCGAGAGCCTGGGACCGGCGGCGGACGGCGTAGACGCGGGGCTAGCGAGCGCGTTCCGCCGATGTACCGTGCTCTTCTGGGATCTAGAATCTGGCGCCTAGGTTCGTGTGGTCTAGGTTCATGTGGTCTGGTAGCCGCTTGCTGTGAGGAGTTGACGTTATGCTACGACCAAACCACCGTGAACTAGGTGATACCCACGCCCACACCACGTTCAGGCTGATGGCTGTGGGAACTAAGAAGACTTTGCAACTAGTCGTTACAAGGGAGAGGGAGGCGGAAGCTAACCGTGACTTTCCTCCCCGGAATAAAATCTTAAATTAAGGGGTTCCTAAGATTGATGGCTGGGAGGTGCTAGCGGGTAGAGACCTACGGGGCACGAACAAAGTAGTAGTCACTGTACAAGAATCTGCAACGTATCGATAGTCATCTGTGTCTGTCTATACCCTTGCCATATTTCAACGCCGTTTAAACAAGGTTTTGAACACTTGGTTGTCCAAACGTTACAGCGCGCAAGCCCGCCCTCCTAACTCAGAGTCAGAGCTTAACAAACGCGTATAAGGTTTGTGGAGCCTAAAGACGATCCCAATAAGGACCAGGCGATAATTTGATTTGAGGATATTGACTAGGTCTAAGGGTAGACGAGATTTCATTTGGGAGGGCTGTATGGTAGAGGATACGTAGCGAACGAGTAGTAACGTAAAACTCATTTTAAATTCCTCACAAATCTAACTTACGGAAGCCACTGCTCTGCCAGAATACTTGTGGGAAACAATGAATATTCGATATATAGATTAAAGCTGGTCACGAAAAAAAGCCATACCCGGCGGAAGCACGAAGCACAAGTCCAACACGAAAGGTTCTCGGATTCGGCAACAACCGGCGCATCACATGCCAGCCGCTCCGCTCCACACACCCGAACTTTGAACGGCCTGGAAAACAATGAATATATGGGTGTCATAGTCTCATTAGCTTTGGGGCCTTCAGTTTTGGTCACATCTATCACCTCGGCTCCTGCTAATCTGTACAACCCTTCGGCTTAGCGGGCCCCCATTGTGCCTCGTCCTCCCTCGCCGCACTCTCTTCAGTTTGAACTTCATCTTCCAGATCAGGTGCCTAAAAACCTTACTCATTTCTGACCTGCCCAAAAGAAGCAACCCCGCCTTCTTCCTGCCCGCCAGTCTTCTTCTACCTACCTCGTCTTTCTGCATCTTTCCCACGGCTTCGCCCCGTACCTCTTTCTTCTTCCAACCCCCCTTCTTCCAACCCCCCTTCTTCCAACCCCCCTTCTTCCAACCCCCCTTCTTCCAACCCCCTGCTACCAAAGCTATCCCCTCCCCATCTTTTGCACATGCCAAATAATCAGGCTACACCAGACGCTGCCAATATGGATGTGCAGGCCGCCATAAAGGCGTTAAACACCCGGCTTGACAAGATTGAGGCGGCCCGGGTCGACGACTTGCAGGACGCCATCGCTAAGCTGAATCACCGGCTTCTCAATGCCGAGACAGACATTCACCTGCTTGACAAGCGCACTCTTAGTCTTGAAGGCGTTTTTGACGGCGGTCACATGGCTCCCGTCTACGGGGAATCATCCTCCCAGGGACGTATGCCCACCGCACACACGTCCGGGTACTACAGCCACCTGCATACCTTTCCATCTATCTACTCACGCAACTCTTCTTATTCGCCACCCAATGCGACGGGCCCTGGGCACAACGGCAACGCACCATTTGGGAACCAAGGAGCCGGAAATCATCAGAAACCAGGCATTGCCGCGAGAGGCGGAGGCGGGCTGGAGGCAGCCAACATGCGTTTGCTGATGCCAGTCATCTCCGCCACCGTGGAGCCATACCAAACCGGCTTTCAACATCTAGCCGCCAAAGCCGCCCTGCAGAAGAGGAAAGCCGAAACTGAGATCGACAACGAAGAGGGCGCGGAAGAGCCACACAGGATGCGCGCCCAGAACCTACGATTCTGGAGGGAGATGAGTGTCCCCGTCAATTCTCACATCGAGCCCTCGGAGGAGAACCTGCGCAAGCTTGAGGACCTGAACAAAAAGTTCCAACACCCGCACGAGAACGTGCCACAGATGCTGGAGGACATAAAAAAGAAGTCCAAGCTGGCACGTGACCAGGACGCGCTCAACGCTCAGAGAGAGAAGGCTCAGGAAGAGAACGACGCCACCCCCTTCAGTGTTATGGGAGCCCACCATAGAGTCTTGCTAGCGGAAAGTGAGATCAAACGCCAACGCCGAGAAGATCCGGAGCAGCCTAGGCGCAAGCGGGAGGCCCCTCGTCCCAGCGAGGTCTATTCCGAGCCGAATGACGCAGCCTGGAATCACGACTTCTTCGCATTCAGCAAGGAGAACGACGCCCGCAGCACCGATGCCGAGATTGAGCGACGCCATCTCGAGCTCTGCAAGAGGCGCGATATCCTCCACGACCTCTCGCTCGGCGATCTCCCCGAAAACGACTCTGACATGGAAGAGTACCTGTGGCTCTGCCACTACCGCGACCGCCGCGAAGACCTCTTGCTGGCTGGTGCTCTCAAGTTCGATGACGGCCATCTCACCTGGGCCAACGACAGCGACAGCGACAGCGTCAGTCTCACGCGCGCAAACCCCGGCCCCTATGACAGCAAATACACGTGGGTCAGCGAAAACGGCAGCGTTGCTCCCAAGCCGCGCGGACAGCCCAACCAAGATTTCAGCTACTACGGCAAGGTCAGTGATAACGGCAGCGTCCATGTCCGCAATGACACGAACCCCGTGATCGCCGACGCAGAGCTCGACGACGACCGCTCGATAACCATAGACGCCGAGAGCACCCGCTACAACACCTTCCGCGTCACCGAGTCAGAGCGCATACAGCGACGTCCAGATGGCAGACCATGCTGATGATGAAGACGAGGGCGGTGAGGGCGATTCTGACGAGCACTTAGCCAACCCTATAACCGAGTCTAGCTTGACAATGGGTCTGTTTTCTATTATGGGGTTCTTCCATTTTCCTTTTCAGTCGTTCTTCGCGTATTTCGCACTCCTTCGGTAGCCGGTTAATCGACTACTGGGTCTTACGGCTAGAACACTCGATCTCGCTATAATCTAGGGGTGGACTGCTTTGACTGCATCGGAGGGCGTCCACATGGTCTTTTCACTTCTCTCAATGCTCTACGACTACTACTCTAGAGAACTTGCGGTTACATTTCCAGGGACATCCGGGGAATGATTAGGAACCGAGCTAGCTTTATTCTACTGAGGGAGATGGCTGCCCACCTGAGTTATCCTACTAGCTAGTAAATCACGATGGTCTGCCATATTCTGTCCCACTATGGTGATTACCATGCCATGATCTCTGGCAAAGTACGCTGGCGACTACCTGTTAACGACGAAACAAGTGTTCCGGATATTCGTAAACCCTATAGATATGACACCACCTCAATACAGGTGCTACATTCTGTACAGCACAACTCACGTATTCACACAGGCAGTGACCCTGCTCCTATCTCTTTCAAGGGCATCTCCGGGGTCAGGAACATGGGACGCCTCGCTTGATTCTACTGCAACCCCCAGGCAACCGCCACTCCACAACCCCCAGGCAATCTCCACCCCACAACCCCAATCACATTGCAAAGAACTCCAAGCCACTGCCATCGACCCTGAAGACACTGTAGCCTCACATCCACAGCCGAGGCCAAACACCTCTACGGTCTCGGAACCGCCCTCAAAGCCCTTGCACCCACCTCTAACCTTTCTCGAGACCATCGCCAAGGCCTTAAAGCAGTGCCGCATAAGCCAGCCGTATGACTGGAGCAGACTATCCAACACCCTTCAGCCGCTCTCTGCTCGAAGCAGAGAGGCGTCGTCTTTGGCGCAAGCACCGCAAACCGAGTTTTCTGGGAGAGGAACCACACAGTCTGCAAGGTGATCACAGACAAGTTCCCAACCACCACTTACTATCCTATAAGTACAGCCCTGAAAGTAAGACAACAGGTGAGCCGAATCCACAGGACGTGTTCCAGCGTCAGGGGAAGAAAACAGCACAGTGCAAGCAAACTGCTAAGCTCTAGGTTGAGAAAGCTAATGATTTACGACAGAAGTGACACGTCTTACAATGGTATACCAACCCAGCACTTGCTGCAAGAAGCGCGTCTAAAGTGACTGCTTGCCAATTAGCAAATTTGTCATGCATAGAAAAGACCAACACTTTACAGTTTGCACACAAAATCACCAGCTCAGCTCACAGCAGCACGTCACATCACGCTTCGTCCGAATAACAGGTATTGGAGCTTGATCCAGGTCCTAGACTAAATCCAGAGATGCTACTGTACAAGTGCAACCAGTACTGTCAGGCAAGGCGGCCCGATGAACAGAAAAGCCCAAGAGAGAAAAAAACCGAAAGAAAAAAAACCGAAAGAAAAAAGAAACTCCAATCAAACAGCATGCGCTGGTAATTGCTCCCTGTATTCAACCTCGATGCCGTTCTTCAGCGACCCGGACCCACTCGTGCCTGACGACTTGGGGATGGAGTGGCTCCTGTGGATCTCGGGCATGTCGAGGCACTCCTCGTCGTCGTCGAGCATGTCGTCCTTGGTGCCGCGGCCGAAGCGGGACGAGCTTCCCATGGGCAATCCATCGCCACTCTTGGTGCGGCTGTGGGCGGTACCGCGAACGGCGCCCGAGACGCCGCTCATGCCACCGGCCGAGCGGTTGTTCTCGAGGTAGTAACCCTGGCCACGGGAGCGCGAGTCGGTGAGAGACACGCCGACGCGACCCAGGCAGCGCTGGAGGATGCCCTTGAGGGCGGGCACGCAGGCGGCGAGCACGCCCAGCAGCTGCTCGAGCGACGTGTAAGTGCAGATGCTGACGCCCATGGCCCACCAGTCGTCGGTCGTGAGCGGATCGCCCCACCTCTGGATGAGAGCCGTTTTGAGGACCGACGATATGGTGGCCACGAGGCCCATGCCCATGAGCACGCAAACGAAGATGCGCTCGCGCAGCGGGCGGTTCAGCTTGCGCAGAAAGGTGGCCGGTGCCAGCGACAGCAGCACGTCGGTGGTAATGTTGATGCCCGAGCCTACGTTGGAGACGGTTTGCATGACCTTTACCGACACGCATGTGCCATTGGGGATGGTAATGTCCCAGGCCGCCGCGAGAGGGTGGCACGCGATGCCAAGATCGAAGATGGTATTGCCGACCCCGTAGATGGCCTGCACGGCGATGATGGTGAACAGAAAGATGCGCCAGGTTCGCTCCTTTTCTTGGATACGCAGCAGCGTCAGAGCAATCGATATCTTGATGCACGTCATGGCCAATCCCCAAATAGGTATGGCAAGCCAGCTGTTCTTGCCCGCCAACATGGCGCGGTCAAGCGAGATGTACCCGGCCTCCGGAACCATCATTGGAAGCAGCATAGCCCAGTCGGCAACAGCGAGAGCCTGGAAAGTACCAGGAGTCTTGGTTAGCATACCGAATGTCCCGAGTGTCCCAAGCCGGTAGCTGGCAACACTGAAGTAAAGAAGGCTCTTACGAATCCGACCATGATGAACCAGTCATCGAGTCCCACCTTCCACACCGGCCTCACCCGCTGGTAAATGCGTGTGCAAAATGTGAGGATGCATAGGGCGAGGAGCACTGATGTCAACCCAATGTACACCTGAGAGAGATATGCGGCGTGGTCCGTGATGGGGATGCCCAGGAACGGCGGCGGTGGGGGCGGTGCGGTTCCATCAACGGGACCTGTGCCGTTGACCGACGGCGGTGGCGGCGGCACGGACGAATCGGACATGGCAATCCTCTGGAAACGTCGTTTGGATGAACCACCGAGAGATGACTGTCGTCTGTCGTGGATGGTGACAAGACACGACGAGGTCCAGTCAACAGCGTCCAGGCAATAGCGAGATGTTATAGCAGGGAGTTGGTTGTCGGCGAGGGATCGACAGCAGCACAGCAGCACAGCAGCACAGCAGCACAGCAGCAAGCGAGGGATCACCGTCAGGCGTCGCAGGTCATAAGCGACGGACACCGCCAGAAATTAAAACCGGGAGAGGGATCATGGCCCAAGGGTGTTCCTCGACGCTCGACGGGAGGGAAACGGTGCCCCTTTTGAATCTGTCTCGTGTGGTCGGTATCGAGAAGATCCAGGCTCACGGGTCGGGAGCTTGAGGAGGGTTTGTTTTGTCGGAATTCTGCGTGCTGGCTCCCCGTTCGTCAACAAAAGAGATAGCTGCCCATGTTCCCTTGCCTATGTCGAGGTGGAGCCAGCAGAGGGCTGCTGCTCTGCTGCACACCATTGACCCGCAGTACCGGAATATTTGGCTCGGGTGCAGGATGCAGGCGCACGAGCTTCAGCGGGTCCAAGTTTTCAATGCGTCGACCTAAACGGGTGCTAGATGCCCTCGGGCGGCAGGCAAGCAAGCAGCTGCGGGTTGGACTCTAGCGGGGGTCAGGTCAGAGGTCGGTGGACTGCACTCGGCCTGCTTGCTTGACACTGACAGCACCTTGACCTGGGGTAGGTAGCATTCCCGGTTTATCCTGGAAAAGGTGGTGCAGTCAAAAAACACACACCTAACAAGAGTGGCTCAGCTGGCTGCGAGGGGTCAATGTGTTCGGTGCGCCTCTGTGCCGTCGACTGTTCCATTCGCGGTGCGCTTGGATTATTTGGTGCCTTGTTTCCCGTCTCGCCGAGATGGGGAAGCGGGAAAGCCGTTCCCCCTGCCAGCACGCCAGCCAGTCGCGTCGGCCAGAGCGTGGCAGCTGGCCAGGAATGGGTGTGGGGAAGGCCAGCCACAGACTAGCACTTTCCGCGTTGGTTTGCCGGCAGTTCTTGCTCTTGCTGCCTTTGCACGAACCCAAGTAAGGTAACCACGGAGCAACCTGCAAAGACGACCAGTCAGGCCCGTCACTCTCTAGGAGACGGGAAATGAGGGGTGTTGCAAACCCAGCCCAGAGCATGAAGACGTTTATTCAAAAAGCGGACGCAGGCTGCCCGCAGGACCTAGTGAGGCTGACGTGACGACCGAGATGCGAGCGATGCTGGATTGCCAGCCAGGATAATTACCCAGATTCCCAACCATCAGTTCTACTAGCTCACGTCATGTCGCACTAGCCGTCTCATCCTGGAACTGTCAGACTGCTAGCTTCCCCGCAAAACAACCTCAGATATGGTTCGTCTGGACTGTCGATGGCTAAGTGGCCGAGAGCACAGGCCCAGGCACGGGCAAGGAGCGGAAGATCGCCCGGCGACTGGGGGCAGGCCCGGACTCTCAGGCAGTTGCTTCTTGACTCTTCGGACGTTATCCGTAACTAGTTGCGGAACGTATGTGTCCGTGCGCAAGGCAGCCCAGCAAATCGGGACTTTCAAGTTTACGTACGGAATATTCCGCAGCCGTGTGATAACTGCACGAATTCGTTGAGACATAATCCCATTGTCAATGCTTGAACGTTCACAGTGTATGTCGACGAAGCAAAAGGCGACGCTCTTTCTCGTCTTTTTCTTTGTTCTCGCACCGACAATCGACTTCACCGAAGGAATTTTCAGAGGGCTCGAGCACCACGACGAAGCTAATGCGCTGCACTGACTGGCCAAGAGCTCTAACCAAGCATTCTGATTGGTCTTTTTTCACCTGCAGCCCACTCCGGGCCGCCTACAAGTCTCGCCGGACCAGCCCCTCCAGAAAAGACGCTACTTCCACACGGATTTCCAGCTTGCTGTTGCTCGGACTTTTTGACATCCGCTAGCTCTGGCAATCCGCTCTAGCGGACGCTCTAGCGAAGACGAGACGAGAGAGAGAGTGACAATTACGTGACGGGAGTTGTATGTTGATTAGTAGCTAGAAGGTAAGCGGGGAGACCAGCGAAAGCTTATTTCGTTTCCACTGAAAAGAAAAAATGGGAGGAGAAAAAGCAACGGCCGCGATCCCACCCTCACATCGCTTCCCTAGACTGCACTGACTTAATAACACCTAGTTTTAACTCGCCGTTAATCAATCGATCTCTGACTACTACGATGCGTATAGCACTATGCGCATGACACTGTCTGGTGTCTCTGTCTCAGTTCTCTAATTTACCTGCACATGCATCCGCGGCAATTAGCAATTTAGAGGTCTTCCCACAGTCCCGGTTGACGGGTATGATGAGACCAACACAGCAAGCAAGCGTTCCATCTCTTGTCTACTCTTCCATAACGACGAGTACGGAGACTTCCGGATTGCTGAGGAGCAAAAGAGTCTGAGCACCGTACGAAAATCGCGCACTGCCTGGCCCGCACAGCGTCAAAGAAAAGCAGCAGCCGCTCAAAGCGCAAAGCCCATCTTATTCATAGCAGCGAGCGCAGCGGCGAGAGGCACGCACGCCCGTGTGGTGGCAGAAAGTTCCTTGCAACTCAGCTAACAAAGTTTGCGGGGAGAATACGCGTGTGTGCGTGTGTGTGTGAGGTAGCTGCCTTCCAAAAAGGGCGGTCTGGCCGTGGCCGTGGCCGTGTGCTTGGCCGGTGGCGGACGCGGAAGGCGGGAAGCGGCAAAAAGGGTCCGAGAGCCCGTCTTTCCTTCTGTGTCTGCCTCTCATTGCGTCGATCGATTCTGCCCGCCCGCCCACACACACCAACACACACCAACACACACCAACACACACCAACACACACCAACACACACTAACACACACCTGCTGTCCACCAAGACCTGCAACTTACGAGCAGCCGTTGCACGGATCCCCTTTTTGCACCTTTCCCCTCAACGCCACAGCTGCGCCCATGGGCACTCTGCCTGCCTGCCTGCCGCCCCTCGCAAGCCACATTGTTGACTTGCAGACTTGGCATGGAGTAACCAAGGAAAAGACGACGCGTGCGAAATGACGAGGTCGAGACCCCTGGACCCCGACGCTCTTCAGACCAACTCGAAAAGTCAGCAGCAGGAGGAGCAGGATTCCTGCCAGCGACGGCCGTGCTCGTCAGCACTAGTTCATTTGTTGGCGAAAGAGGCGTCGGTTTCGACAAGGCAGCCCTGGCTTCTAAACGTCGCTGGAAATGGAAAGGAAAGAGCTTGACCGGTCTGTCAGCTGCGGTGTGATGAGATGCATCGGAGGGGCCAAAAGGTCCGACAAGAGGCGGGATAGAAATGGCCCAGCACCTAGGGTCCGAGCCCGAAGAGGCTAGAGAAGTGTTTGTAAACATCTCAATCCAATAACCAACAAGAAAGGATTGCTTAGCTCTGCAACTTGCGAAGAAGTCGGTCTGTACACTCCAATGCCTAAACGTGTTTGAATGAAGGAGAACTTGCTAAGACGTGAAATGTCTGTTCGCCTTACAGCTCGCCCTGGAGGCTTTTTTTTCTCCTTGGAAAGCAGTACCTGCCTGGGTATCCAGCTCTTACAGTCCCTTGATATCAAATCTCAGAGCCTTAGCTTCTTGCTAGTCACAGATGAACCAGTCAAGGATTTCCCTCTTAATTTTACTCATCAGAATCCAAACTATCTGTCTGCCCCCTAGTTAGACCTAGAAGGCGAACTAACCTACCTTATATAGTTTAGAGAGGTTGGCTGGGAAAGAAGGAAAACGAGAGCACTAAAATACAATACGCTAATTCTGTGTCCCCCTTGTGGCTACCCATGTATAAACACACACCTCATACCCCTAGGTCACTTATCCCCTCGTCAAGAGATCTCCACCCAACAACCATTCGGTGACAAGACTCCAAACCCTGAATGCTTATTATCCTCATCTCTTCTGCTTTAATTCCTCTCGACGCGCCACAATAACGTGCCACAATAACATCCACGCCTCACCCAGTCCCACTAACCCTCACACATTTGCAATTAGTAGCGAATGGGGTTCCATTTGTAGTCGGGCCGGTCGATTCGGTTTGGCTCCACGGCACGGCGTGAGTCTTCTCGGTAAACGTGCCACCGGGTAGCAAAGAAACGGTTGTGCCGAACCTTGACGCCTCCGGGCAGTTCAAAGTCTGGGTGTGTGGAGAGGTTGGCCGCAGGTCTTGGATTCTCTGCCGCAGAATCCCATAAGCCATCTCCCTACGTCGAGTGCTCGGCAAACGCTTGTCTGGGCTGGTTGCTGACAAGAATCATGGATTGGCTCGTAAAGGCATCGCATAGAATTGCGCTCATGATTATGCTGCATAGACCTAAGACATTATCGAATGTTCCCCATGATACAGCAAACGCTCGGAATAAATGGCAATCGCCGCTGTGTGCCCAACCCCCCAGCAACTTCTTGCGGATGCGATCCGGTATCTGGTCATCCCGATCCCCCAAATATTATCAAACCCCCCAAGGCCTTTGCACTTGAACGTACTGGCCGGGATCTAGGCTGTCGAGCAGAGAAACGTCGAAATAGTGCCTCAGGTCAGCGTCCCAGGAGTTGAACAAATCCTCGTCCATGAAATTCAGTGATGGATCTTCGTTTATCGTGGCGAGATCCCTGTCGTGGGTCGCGACCTCAGAGGTTTGGGCCAAAGGCAGCGGTTGAGAACCGATTGGTTGCAGGCTGTCCTCGCCGTTGGCGACCGCTGGCGCTGCGTTATCAAGATCATGTGTAGGCCCCTGGAAACGCGTGTCAGTGCTTACGAAAGGTTCATCGACATTGACAGCGCCACTCACAGTTGTGGATGACAACGGATCTGGCAATACCGGGGGGGGATCCTGAGACTTTTCCGCTTCTGATTCTTGGCCAAGTGGGATATCAGACACATGCCCTGCCGCCTGCCTCATCTTTTGTTCAGCCCTGCAGACATTTGTGATAACTGCATCTCCGAGCCCGCTGACGATACGGGCGCCGGCCCAAGTCTCGCTCAGTCCGTGGAGATGGGTGAGAATCTTCTTGAACTTAGCCCGGCCTCTAACCCGGAACATCGGAGTGCGACTGAATCTCCACTTGCGGTACTCGACACTAAGACTCAGAGACAGTGCATAGGGAACCCAGGGCATCTGACAGAGCTTCCGGCGCTCGGCAAAGGCGTCAAAAATCCGATCAGCCGAGTGCGACCTCCGAGCATTAAGGGTGTCGGGAGGGAGGTGGTCATAGCTCACAGCCTCGGAGGAATCGGAATTCGGGTCGGGGGGCGCTGTGAAGCAAGCTGAGCGCATGCGAACGCTAAGGACGCAGATGGCGTGGTAGAGAAGCTCAAGGGTGGCAAGTATGTCGTCAGGCTCGTCTTGCGCTCCGTGGTCAAGGACTAGCCTTTCAAACCCCATAACCTCGATATCAACAGATTTGACGGTTGGAGCAGGCCGATACAGGTCAATGACCAGATCAAGCAACTTGACGAGGGCCATGAAGACCTTGAAGGTGGGTGGATCGCCCTTGTCGGCGTGCGGCCTCCCGACCATGTCGCAATTGTGAAACATGACTGGCCGGCCTAGAAAGGCCGCGGTGAGCCGGTCTAGGGCATAGATGCAAGCAAATAGGCGGGCCCTCGGACTTGAACCAGGAGTAGTGTCTGGTGCCTGATCCGATTTCGTAGCACTATCCTTCGACGAGTCCCCGTTGACAAGCTGATGCATACCGTGAGACTGAGCCAGGACTACGAGCTTCGAGAACAGCTCCAGTTGCTCAAGGCGGTCCGGACTTCCTGGCTGCCAGAATAGGCATGTAACAGCCATGATTTGCATTCTCTCGTCGATGTAGGTATTGCGTATGCCCGCTGCGAGATGCTCGACCCCGAGGGTAATGAAGTTGGTGACTACTGCAGTGTAAGTTGAAAATGGCACTTCCTCCGCGTATTGTTCAAGGCCTTTCCCCGACCACGCGTTTAAGTGCAGAGCCCCTTGCAGCTCTGTGGCGCACGCGGCGGCGAGACAAACGGAAGCCCTGACCAGCTCGATGACCAACTCGCCATCCCGTGGGCCGATTTGCTGGAGTTGGCATTTATCAAAGATGGGGAACATGGGTTGAATTTTCGTAAAATATGTCTCTCTGAGCCGATTCCAGTCATCGGGTATAGGCCTCACGACATCCGAGAGTCTACCGATCAAAGTCGCTCGTGACATGTGGCGAAAGTTGGAAACGTCTTGGGCGGAGTGTTGAAGGCGGCCTGTGTTAGTTGGGAGAGAAAGGTAGCCGAAATAGCAGTCCTTTGACAATTCAAGGGGGGCCGTTTCGGGTTTGTCGCTGGGGGGTCCATACTTGGGCCCGGTTTGCGAGCCCGGATACCAAACGCCAGGCCTCCGGTCCCCTCTTTTATACGCGCCGGGCTTCGACAGAACACTCATGTTTGCCTCGACCAAGATGCTTTCGGGGTTTAAATCGCCAACGAACTGGGGTGCGGTGTCCGAAGTGTCGGAGGCAGGGTCATTAGGGTCTGGGTTTGGGTTTGGGTTTGGGTCGAGGTCGAGGTCGAGGTCGAGGTCGAGGTCGAGGGCGAGTTCAAGGCTCGGCGTGTCGGACTGACGCTGGCGTGCGCGCGTGCATGAGCGTATGCGTGTGGGTGTGCGAGGTTGACCGTCACCGTGGGGAGCAGGAACTGGAGGCGAGATTTGATTTCGGCCGTGGTCGCGCTCGGGCTTGGGCTTCCGGGCGGGAAGGGGCTGGCTGTCAGGTACATGATGGCAGCGCTTCTGCAGACGGGAAGCCGCAGCGATGAGCGGGATGATTGTCAGCCCAGGCACAACGGAACTTGAACCCAGTCTAGCAACAGCAACCCTAGTGCGCGAATGCGATGAGATGTGTGACTGTAAGTGTAAAGAACTGACTGCACTGCACCTTCCTCTTTTTGCACGTGCTGCAGGCGTGGTGGACCTGCTTGCGTTTGACGGGCAAGCCCGAAGCGTCGTGGCCAACAAACTTGACAACTGGTGTACTCATTGGATCCATTGAAGACTAGTAAAGCACCCAAGCAATTACCGGGCGTGCAACTTCACGGTGAAGTAACTTGGAACGTTCCAAGCGGGAAGAGCTTTTTGTCATCTGTCAAGATGGGGTTTCGTCACAAGGACCCATCATGTCGGCGGATCCTGCTTGGGGCGGCCTTGCCGTTTTAGGATACCCCGCCCGCTCATGCCTCATTGATGTGGATGTGTGGGTGTTGGCCGGGACTTTCCGACTTTAGGTGCTGTCGGGGATGAAAAGCCTTCCAGGTTTCTCTCGGACGGAGGTAGTAGCTCCTAGAGCCCCAAGTATGGAACTTTTGAGGCCTAATAATTCTCTCTCCTCGAGGAAAAGGAGTAGTCTGCTTCTCTTGTAGCTATGCCTGGTGGAGACTTTGCCTGGTGGAGACTTTGCCTGGTGGAGACTTGCCTGGTGGAGACTTTGCCTGGTGGAGACTTGCCTGGTGGAGACTTGCCTGGTGGAGACTTTGCCTGATGGAGACTTTTCCTTGTCGGTTTACTTGCAATGCCCGCCGCCGCCACCTCCCGGATACATTTTTCTCTACGCCCATTGCTACTTATTACCGCGGTAATTTGTGCTTAGGACGCATGATACAGACCCAAGGTATTTGGACGCTCTCCCGCTCACAAACATCTTGGGATACTAGACTGTAAAACAGCATGGATCTTATTCCATTAATTGCTAGCGTGGTACCTGCCGAGATGTGCCTAGGGTTGGGGTTAGAAGAGATAACAGTCCTGCGCCAGTCTCAAAGCAGCACTTCCGCCTCCCCACAGCACCTAACAGCGACCCCAACATCGCCACCGGCCACTGCCGGCCATCATCCGCCCGTCTTATGGCAACCCTCGGTGTCGGCAACTTTGAACGATAGATAAAAGGAGGGAGATGGGCGACTCCAAGATGTGCGGGTTTGACTCGCCATGCTGATCTCTACCCATTTGCCTGCCAGGTAAATATCCAAGTGCAAGTCCAGTCCAAGAACCCGCCAACCCACTCCTCCGTAAACCCAAGCAGCCTCGACAAAGCAGGGCGCAATGGCCTTCTCTCAAACGGTTCGGCAGCGAGCGGCGGTTGCCGCTACGACGCTGCAAACCCCACGGCCACACCAAGCGCGGCGGCTCCTCGGCTCCACGGCCGCCATGAATTATTCCACGGATCTCTCTCCGCGACAGCAACAGCACCAGAGCAAGCGGGAGGGCGACATCTCCGACACCTTTGCATCGCTGCTGGGCAAGGAGGCCGAGCCCCTGCCCGACCGCTTCCGCGAGCTCAAGCTGCAGCTGGTACGCGGCCACGAAGAAGCCGTTATGGCTAGCTGGCGCCGTCTCCTCCCGATCCTCCGGCGCGAGAACGACATTGTCGCGCGCCGCGGGTCGGCCGTCATACCCGACGTGCAGTTCAGCCCCGACCTGCACCGTAACCTGCGAGGCCCAGTTGGGGACGAGATCAGGAAGCGCGGCGCCGCTGTCATCAGGGGCGTGGTTCCCGAGGACGAGGCCCGCGCGTACAAGTTCGAGATCGAGGACTACGTCAGGCGCAATCCGCAGACAAGAGGTCGGTGGCCTGCCCAACCATGCTTCTCCCAACCATGCTTCTCCCCCTTTGTTTGTAATGGAGGCGGATGTGGTAAGTGGTTAGTTGCTGATGCTGACGCTCAGGATTTCCCGCGGACAACCCCCAGGTCATCGAGCTGTACTGGTCGGCACCGCAGCTACGCGCTAGATCACACCCGGCAGTCCTGGAGACGCAGCGAGCGCTCATGGCCGCCCTGTGGAACACCTCGGATCCGGACGCGCCCGTCTCGCTGCACACGCCGCTGTCGTACGCGGACCGCCTTCGCATCCGCCAGCCAGGCGACGCCAAGTTCGCGCTCGGTCCCCACCAAGACGGCGGCAGTGTCGAGCGGTGGGGGACTGACGGATATGGCCGTGGCGGGGCCTACGACGCCGTGTTCCGCGGTGAGTGGGAGTCGTACGATCCCTTCGATGCCCGGGGCCGCGTGACAGCCGTGACCGATCTGCACAACGGCCTAGGCGCCTGTAGTATGTTCCGCATGTTCCAGGGGTGGCTAGCCATGAGCCGCTCCGGCCCCGGGCAGGGCACCCTGCAGGTGAATCCGCTGGTGCGCGAGAACACGGTCTACTCGCTGCTGCGTCCCTTCTTCCGTCCGCTGAAGTCGCTCGGAGAGCTGGGCAGCAGAGACCGCTTACTCGATGCGGACAACTGGGAGTTCACGGCCGGCGAGAGCATGCAGAGTGATCTCCAGGGCGCAACCCCCGGCCACGCCCAGGAGTTTCCCGAAGGCTTGCATCCGCATCTGGAGCTAGAGAGGACCATGGTGAACATTCCTGACGTACGGCCCGGGGACTACGTGGTGTGGCATTGCGACAGTGAGCACTCCTGCTTTGTCTACCCACCCATTACTTGGTACTCATAGGTTTCCGTTCGCGATTCTAATCTGTTTCTGCATCTAAAGCTATCCACGCTGTCGACAAGACGCACAGCGGCACCTCGGACTCGAGCGTCCTTTACATTCCCGTCTGCCCCACAACCGAGGCGAGCGCGCAATACGTGGCGCGTCAGCGGGACGCCTTTCTCAACGGCACGCCCGCTCCAGACTTTCCTGGCGGTAAGGGCGAGTCGGAGCATGTCGGGAGGCCGACGGCGGAATATCTTTCGACCTGCTCTGGCTCAGCTGGCCTGCAGTCAGTCGGGCTCGAACAGCTTGCTGCTGCGGAGGATGACACTCGAGGCGGCAAGGAGGCAGTCAGGCTCGCTAACGCGGTGCTTGGATTTTGATTTCATGTCGGTGACGAGGCCGAAAGTCCACGGCCATTGTTTACCACTTGAATGCGATAATTATTCAACTTGGAAGGGACTGGATACCTTATTTTGGCATGGATTGTTCATGAGCAAGCAAGAAACAACAAGCACCATTTTCTTGTTCTTTTCATTGACGGCCTTTCACAGATGCTCTGATTTCTCGAATTACGGCATCCAAGCTAATTACGGTCCAAGGTTCAACCTTATTTTAGTTCTAGCAACATGAACGAGTATACTCACCCAAGTCATTGCTGCTTTCCAAGCGCAGCCTCCACGCTATCACTCAGCCTCAACAGTTACATTTTGCCGCACGGTCCCAGGAGGATCACTGATTCAGCTTAGCAGCGGCCTCAGCCTCAGCCTCAACAGTTACGTTGCTTTAGGGTGGCGGGTGACTGTCTTGCCGCTACGTCAGCAGTCGCCAAGACGCAACAGCGAGCGAATACGCTCGACTCGGTGTTGAGCGCGTATCATGCCTATCTCATGGCTCCGGTTCGGAAGTAACCCAAGAAGACAGCAATTCGGATCAATGATGACCAAGTATTTGTCAAACACAAAAAATAGAGCAGCGTGATTGGCGGGTTGCCCGAACCCGAACACGGGGCTAATAGAACACCGAAATGTCAACACTGCTCCTGGTAAGCGGTGTCCGGAAGTAAGCGACTATACGCATGCTATACGCCATAAAGAATAGTGTCCGTTTTCAAATTTGATTTGCGGCTATTTCAGCTGCATTGGCGGGACAATTTGGAACTCAACTGGCCTCGACAACCAAGTACTTAAACTCGACCCTCTCTCCTTTCTTGTCTGCCTCCGTTTGAATCCGGCTCTGTTCCCCAGTCCACAGGAACACGGCACAGACATGAACAAGCTACTCTTACTTTCTCTTCTCTGGCAGGCAGTTCAGCCTACATTTGCGGTTGTCTTCAATAGCACGAGCTGCACCGCACAATGCCAGGCCCTAGGTAACCTCGCGAGCTCGTACGAGGCGTCGCAGCGTGCAGACGCCAGCCTGACGCCCTCCTTCTACAACGTGCCCTCCAACTTCTCCCGGAGGCTGGCTCCGGGATCTCTCCTCAAGATCGAATACGTCACGGACCCGACCAACTACACAGTCCCCTACAGCCTGAGCATGTCCCGCATTCTGTACACGACGACAGACCTCAACGGAACCATCCAGCCCGCCTCCGCCTACATCCTGTGGCCATACACAGCCGCCAAGTACCCCAACAGCAAGGGCTTCCAGTTTCCCATGGTCGCCTGGGCCCACGGCACGTCCGGCAGCTTTGGCGCGTGCGGCCCGTCCAACTACAAGGCGCTGCAGTACCACTTCATGGTCCCGTACGCCATCGCCGAGCAGGGCATCGCCGTCGTGGCGCCCGACTACGCCGGCCTCGGCGTCAGCGCCCTGCCCGACGGCACGCCCGTCCTCCACCCGTACACCGGCGCGCCCGCGCAAGCCAACGACCTGGCCAACGCCGTCGTCGCCGCGCGCACCGCCTTCCCGGCCAGCCTGCCGAAATCCAACCCCTTCGTCGTCGCCGGCCACTCGCAGGGCGGCGGCGTGGCCTGGGCGTTCGCCGAGCGCCAGGCCAGCAAGCCCGTGGCGGGCTACCGCGGGACGGTCGCGTTCGCGCCCGCGCTGCGCTCCGTCGAGTGGGTCACGCAGATCCTCAAGGACCCGGCGCAGGCCAATAGCCCCGCGGGCGGCGTCGGCATCAACATCGTCGCCGGCGTCACCGCCGCGTACCCGGCGTACAACTACCGCGGGCTGTCCGCCGTCGGCTACGACCGCTGGCACAACGTGCTCGCGCCGGTGCAGGGCTGCCTGACGACGCAGAGCCTCGCCCTGGCCGACGTCGCGCCTGCCAACCTGACGCGCGTCGGCTGGTACGACGATGCCACGGTGCGCGAGTTCGTCAGCCGCACGCGCGTCGGTGGCAAGGCCTTTGCCGGCCCGCTGCTGGTCATCGAGGGCGAGCTTGATTCGGCCGTCCCGCTGGCCCTGCTCGCGCCCGTCGTCAACGAGACGTGCGCGTTTCTAGCCAAGACGCACAGCGCCGAGCAGCTCGACTTTGTCGTGTATGGCAAGATGAACCACTTCCCTACCATCCAAGCCAGCCAGGCGCAGTGGATGGGCTGGGTCAAGGAGCGTCTATTAGCGGCGCCCTCAAAGGGGAGTAGGGACAGCAAGAAGACGCAGTGCACGACGGCCAGGGTCGACGGGTTCAGGCCCGAGAGCGCCGTCACGGCGCTACCCGATGCTATCCTGCCCAACTGGATCGTCTCGCAGGCCGCGCCCACCGAGCATTGGAAGTATTCGCTCTAATCAAAGCATGAGGAGGCGGCTGGTTTCCGGTGGATGGAGGAGGGTCTGATCAAGAATCCGGTGCCATCATTGTTGCGGAAGGAAAATTGTAAGTCTGGGGGGAAGTTGTGGTGGGTTTTTCTTTTCCTTAATATGTGCAGGGACTTTGAGCGAATCAGCTTGGCATGTGATAGAGAGATTCTGATCCTCCTGCTGCTTTGCAATCCCCTTCCTTATTGTCTGAACTCTCAACCCAATGTCACAATCCTCCTTTCCTTTTCTTTCCATCTCTCCATTCTCAGGCTTCTCGTTCTCAGCCGCGCCCTTGAATTCGTCTTGATGTTCCGGGAAATGGCAAGAAGCCGACACGTGGAGAGAAGAGAAAGTCGGTTTCCCAGGGCTCTAAAATCCATGGATGTACTTTTTAGGGAGGCTTAGACGTGGGTGCGGGGCCGCGAAGCTTTTTCCCAACGCTTCAGCGTTCTTGATACCGTCAGTCCCATACAGTGCGTGCCGTCTCAGCTCGGTGTAATGCTTCAATGTGAAGCGGTCTCTTTCGTCGACGAATCTATCGACAGCTTTTCGGTGGCGACGCTCGGCCCGGGACATAAACTAGGGGTTGTCGGGCCTCTTGAATAGCTCCTACTTCCTTCGCCGGTCTGGGTTACGCGACCGGCGAACTCGAGCTTCTACTAACGCGTCTCGCTAGATGATGTAGTCGTCCCTCACGAGGCCAAATGCCTCCATGCTGAAGCGGGCATAGGTCTCGGTTTCGCCTGCATCTCGGCCAGCATTGTGTCGAGGACGCGCAATTCTTCCTCGCTGGATTCGGGGGGGGTGCCGCCAAACTCTTAGGAACTCTTGTGGGCCTTCTTCGTATTTTGGCAAGTCGTCTTTTTCAGCCTCACCGCCAGAGATCAGAGGCTTGGTGCCATCGTCTCCAAATTGAGTGTTGGAACCGGCACAACTCGGTGGCAGCGGATCAAGTTGAGAAGCCGCCATCGATGAAAGACTGTCGTACGCGCTGGAGTAATGTAGTTTGGTCACTCGGAGTAATGTAGTTTGGTCACTCGAGGGTGGGAGTTCGTGGTTATAGGTTGATCTTGATTAATACGAACATGATTTAGGCGCCCCGAGGTTGACAATTAGGTTTTTTGCCGCCCAAGCCGAGCCTTTAATACTCTCTGGCGGCGTCTGGGGCAACGAGCTCGACCGCGGCGATCTAATGCTCGCAGAACACATCCGCGTCGAGCCGGCATAACGTCGCTCCGGGCTGGGCAGGCGGCAAGACCACAACCTGCCGACCGCCCCTGCACCAGCACCACCGCCACCATCACCAGCCATGCTCTTCCACCACATAGCTAACGAGGCCAACACGCCAGACCAAACCCTAGCCACCATCCTCCAGCAGACCCTCCCCGCGAACCTAGGTTACCCGCTCTGGACCGCCACCGACGCCGACGGCAACACACTCCTCTACAGCGCCGCCCGCTTCATCCGCCCGTAGGCAGCGCGCTACCTGCTCTCGCGCAAGACCGACCTCGCCCACTCCCGCAAGACCGATCTCGCCCACTCCCGCAACACCCGCGGCCACACGCCTGCAGAGGCCCTCGCACGCCGCGTCGACCTCGCGCGCACGCGGCAGCCCCGAGGCGCGCGCGCGCTACGGCATGTTCGCCGTGTGTCTGCTGGGGGGGCATGTTCGCCGTGTGTTTGCTGGCGGGCGACGAGCAGCCGCCGGCCGTTGCTGTGGTGGTGCCGGCGGTCGGGAACGTGGGGCAGTGTGCTGGGATTGCCGGGGGGATTCCTGTGCTACCTGCGCTGCTGCATCTCCCGGTGCTCATGTCGAGCGGCCGCCGTGTTGTAAGGGCTACGCGTGATGCAGATGAGTGGGCCGGTGATGGGAGTCTGGTTGCCCTGCTGGAGTGTAGGGCGAGGTTGGCGGCGCTGCGCGAGTGCAGGAATGATGGCGCCGCACGAGTGCAGGAATGATCACGAGTCTGCGGTTGTTAATGCGCTGTGTGGGTATGGGCCGCTGTGATGGGTTTCGGCGAGAGAAAAGAAAGGGGGTGGGTGGTGGAGATGCTTGCTGTGGTGCGAGTCTGGAGATGGATAGGAAGCCAACTATTGTTGCTTACTGGAGAAGGTAGACAGGAAGCCAAACCCAGGTATCCATCGTACAAAGCAGCGGCCGCCGCCGGAGCTCTACCGCGAGGGAAAGCGTCCGAGCGAGGTCAACGTGGAATACTTCCACCTCCTTGGCTGGCCGAGTCCTCGAATCTTTAAAGGGCAGTTATAGTAAATCTAATTAAATGCACACTAGAGAGTCTTCACGGTCTTGATAATAATTCCCGAGGCATATTAATCAGTACTGGAGGGCACACTAGTTCGGCTGCATGGCGAGCTGGAAGCGCTCGCTGCCTCTGTCTGAATAGTCAGAAAGTGGGAATATGTTTGTAATGTTTGACCTAGACGATGCGCAGGCTAGAACGAACCTGACAAAGCTGTCGGAAATGGGCGCCAGAAGCGACAGGATAGGCTGTGAAAGCCTCTCGTACTTTCACCCGTATAGCTCACAGGAAGCTGGGAATATTGGGTGGATTTATAGTGAGTAATCCCAAGTTATATAACCAATCATTCTTGCAATGTGAAGACGGGGAAATGACATGATCACTCGCAAAACACACTCGCAAACACAGGCACAATATCCACATCACGTCAAACAAACACCAATCAATGCTCCCGCTTCATGGGTATCAAAAAGCGGTCAAATATAAACCAGCACAAATAAAACGTTCATGCATGGTCCAACATGTCATACCACACGTGTCCATCGTTTCAAAACATTCCACGGACCCCAAATATATGTCCAAGATCCATAGCTCCGATATCCGGCCACCAAGCCCACATCTATCGTCTTCAATTATCCACAGATCCTGTAACAACAACCACAACTCCGCCCCGATCCCTTGTATCCTAATCGCCAAGTTCCCATAAATAAACATATTGATCCCTCTCCTGAACGCCTTTCCACCACTGTAGAAGAGCTCCAACTAGGGCACCATCCTGCGAATATTTATCTTCTAGCTGTCATCTTAGCCACATGGGGAAATCTTCGTATAACTTGTTTTGCCCACATGCCCACGTAAGCTATCCAAAAACCCACTTCGAGTTATGACTGTAGTTCGGCAATCGTGCCGCTCCTTATCCCCATTTGCATGTTGACCGAGCTCGGGTCAAGAAGCTCGTAGGTCCCTCCGACCTCCCTGACTTGGTAGACCCCAACAGCACCAGCCGCATCACCGACGACAAGCATCTGGCCGTTTGGAGAGAACTCAAATACCGAAATTTTGCTGAGACTTTCAAACTGGGCAAACGATTCTCCAGGCTTCTGGGGTGCCCCTTTTGCTGAGTCGGGCCAGCGCCACACGTCCTCCATGTTTGCCACGTCAACCACGACAAACTGCCCAGCATTGACGTCACAGTAAGCCACGAGCCTGCAGTCTGGGGAGACACAAGCTTGGACGTTGGGGATGGCGAACACCTTCGTGGTGTTAGATGGGAGGTCCCAGATAACAACGTAGCGCTCGGGGGCGGCTACCGGCTTGTGCATAAACTTCCCGCCGGGCATGGGGACGTCGGTGTGGTTGGCCGGGATCCAGATAGACACGACAATTTTTCCATGTGCGGCGAGACAGGCGGGAACCGAGGTCTGCAGGGCTGGGTACTCGGGCACGGTGAAGCGGTAGGGTTTATGGCGTTCGTCGGCTTCGCTCGAGCCATCCGAGCGGATCGTGTTGACCGGGCTGCGGGCTTGTAGCTTCTCGTCCGATACGGGCGTCAGTTCCCACGCTATCAGAATTGTGGCTTGAACGCGAGGGGGATCGCCGGGCCTTGGCCCAGCCGCTGCTACCAAGTAAGGGGAGTTTGCGCTATACGCAAGCTCTGGGAACTTGGGCACGAAGGGGAGACCCGCACGGAGCAGCTCGATGGAGTTGTTGGCGTCCTCCCACAACGGCTTCTTGGCCCCCGGGTTCCGAACGACAAAGAATCGGTCTAACCGGTCGCCCTTGGGGCGGTATACGACGAGTGGCGCGTAGTCGGTCTTGAAAGCGTCCAGCTGGCTGGCAGCCCAGCGGTGCGCCTCGTCAATGACTTGCACTTTTTTGCCGCTCCCCTTGGCAAAGTTGTAGATCTCCAGGGTGAGGCCGAAGTGCGTTGTGACGCAGACAAGGGTGGCACTCTCGGACAAGATAGCGTGGCTGCGGATATAATACTCGCGTGAACGGACCTGCGGCTGGACGTAGGACGTAATTTTGATGGATGCGTGCAGGGCATTCTTGGCGACGGACCATATCTTGACGAGCTTGGCGGCATGTTTTGTCACAACGTAGCTTGCTGTGGGAGAACAGTCAATGTGGAGGACCTCGGTGGATTTTCCCTTGTCCTTGAAGTGCCAGGCTGGTGTTACTTCAACACGGGTATGGTGTGGGTTGTAGCCTGTCGGCCGAGATATAGGCTCAGGCGGAGGCAGCTCGGGTATACTGGAGACGAACGACCACTGGGTTGGGGACTTGGGTGTTTGGATCCGTTGGAAGCTTGGCGCCGGCGATAAAGATCCCGAAGGCGGGACACCTCGGCCCGAAGAATCTGGGCGGAACCCGGAGACCTGGCTGATGCTTGACGGAAACCTCGGGGTTGACACAGAGCCAAGAGGGCTGTCGCTGCGTCCAACCCGGAGCATCGAGGCCGAAGCGATCGATGGGTTGTACGAGTGACTGTTCCCTTGGTTGTAGCCTTGAGCCAGCTCCTGGCGATACCCTTGCCCCTGGTTATGTAGTGGCTCGGACCAGCGGTCTGAGCGGAGAATTGGAGATCCCATCTGTCCTGGGTGCTGTGCTTGGCTGAAGGGCTCTGACCTTGTTGACGGAGATGCAGGGGTGTCGTGGGACCAAGTTCTCTGGCTAGGGAGGGCATGTTGCTCACTATGAGCTGGAAACGAGTTGGATGGTCGTCGCACTTGTGGGCGGTGCACAGGCTGTTGGCTGGGCAGAACATATTGTTCACTATATGACGGGACCGGACTCGATTGTTGTTGCATTTGCGGACGCTGGTAACTGTGGGGGATATTTTGCTGTTCTCTCTGGAGCTGGGCCGAACTCGATGGTGGTGACGCTTGAGGGCGATGTATGGTCTGGGGTTGGAGTTGCCCTAGAATTGGGGATTCGCGCAAAGGCCGTAGTGGTGGCGGCGTGAGGCTATGCTCCATAGGTCCCATTTGTTGGATTGACTTGATCGGCTCCGGTTTTGGGTTTGGGGGTGGTGGCTGGATCTTGCCAGGATACCAAGGGCCAGCGGTTTCGAACTGCTGGCCAAATTCCGGCCCATCTCTCGGCTTTGGTTCGCTTTGCTCGATTGACGATTCATACGAGTCGCCCCCGATTTCTTGCTCCAGGTTCAGGAAACTGAATCCTTGTTCGATACTCGCCTCTTCGTGGCTCCCTCCTTGTGGGCTTCTTGGGCTATGAGGACTTGATGGCTGGGTTCTAAGATTGTATTAGCTATTACTAATCTGACGCAAAACAAGACGGTGCTGCCGTACTGAGGGTGAGGGTGTGTTGTATGTTCCGACCTCCGGTCATCACCCTGAGACATCTGCACACATCCGAGCAGGGTGCTGAGGTACGGCTCGAGAGCTTGTCCGAGGCCTTCATCGCCGCGCCCGTTCGGTGCTGCTTCGCGGCGTATCCGGTCGACTTCGGCAACGATATGGGCGCCGATGGCTCGTGCATCGGGGCTATTGGTCTGCGAAGCGCTCCTATAGAGTTTGGGGTTCACGTCAGCAAACGAACTGGCACGGGAAGGCGGCCCGCGTGGGCCGTCTGTCTGCATGAGGTAAATAATATGCATGGGTAGAGTTGACCCACAAATTGACTATTTCCAGGGCCAGAGCCAACGCGGCCCGTAAGGAATCGAGACTGGCCCGATGTCTCGCAATCTCGCTCTTGCCCGTCGACACCCACTGCGACGTATCCCGACAATATTCCAGCACCGAGTCGATGCGGACCAGGACAGTGCCGCAGCTCTCGAGCAGGACCAGCACCTCGGCTTGCAGCAAGAGGGGGATGCCGGGCTCGTCGCGGAGCAGCTCCAGCAGCAAGCGCATGTCGGAGAGCTCGCGGGTGACGCCAGCCAGGTCGGCATGTGCGGCGCGCACGGAGCGGATGAACCGCGTGATGATGGCCGACGTGGTCGAGATGCTCGAGAGGGTGTACTCGATTGGGCGGGCGGCCCTCATGGCCAGGCCCGGCTCCATGGTTCAGGGCAACGTTGCAGTCTCGGGATCGGCTCCGGGACGGGTCCAGCTAGAGTCGCAGCGAAGCCAAATGAAGGATTGAAGTCCGAAATGCCAACCGCAGGAGACACCGACCAAAACGCTCCGAGTCCCGAGGTCGCACCAGGCCCAAGGCCCCCACAGTCCGCGCTGCCGCTTGTCTTCTGCCGATTGGCGGTCGCGGCGCTCGTCTCGAGCCCGAGATGCTGCCGCTCAAGTCTCTCGGCGTGCGGTGTCGGGTATGCGTTATACGTCCGTGCAAGGAGCTGGCTGCAGCGCGTGGTCCGTCCGATCAGCCTTTTGTCGCGGGTCGCCGAGTCGGGGTCGTTGTCGGATGGAGGAGGTGGCGAGGACGGCAGCGACAACGGCAGCGGCAGCGGCAGCGGCGACGATGAAATTGAGCCAGGGCTGGCGGCACTGGCGCTGGCAGCTCGAGGGAGGGGTTCTCGACGGGTGAGGCAGGGGGTCGCCGTCTGTGCTGCATTCTTTATCGCGCTCCTAACGCCCACCCTTGACTGCCACTGCAACTGGCGGACAAAGGCCCAACACCCTCCCCGCGTGTTGGTGCGGGCTGGTATGGGCAGCTAAGCTGAAATGGGCTGAGCCCAGACGGACGTGGCGTTCTCTCGCAGCCCACAACAGCCATGTTGGGCGTCGGCGTGGGCAGCACAGGCAGCAAAATTGGCAGGGACTAGGTGGCTGACATGCGTTAGCAGCACACAATTGCCAATGCCCAGCTGTGGGTGGCCGCTTCCTTTTGGGGGCTGAACCTCCGAATTGCGCACAATAGGGGGCGGAAGGGGCAGAAACGGAAGCGACGACCCCTCTTTGGCCAATATTGAGCTGCCTCTGCCACTGCTCATTACCTGCGCCGGGCTAGCTCTAGATCGAATCTGCCCTGTCTGCCGGCGGTGTCCGTCTTGCCGTGCCCGTTTTACAAAGCAGACCGATAGACAAACCGGGTTCAGATTGTTGCCTGGCACGCCAATGCAGGCGCTTGCAGGCGCTTGCTCGGTCACATAGCGTCAGCATCGCATACCTTACCAACCATCGACGGGGTCTATTGGTCAAGACTAATAATCCGCCGACCGCCCATGGATATGACGTTGGATCAAGGCACGGTTTGCTGTCAGTTCAGATTAGGCCAAACCCCAATTCCAACCTCGATTCCGTACAGTAAGAATAATATTCATATGAATAGCTTCACCACTGCTAAACTAATCATGTGACCTTGCAACATTCCTATATGAACCATCATATGTAATTGCGGGACATCGGAGGATTAGCAAGCGATTGTGCTAGCTTCGGCTGTACAGGTGGTAAATTCCGGAGACGATCATATCGATAACCTAGGTGCTTTTTACTTCTCACAGACAGGCTCGGCGACAGCAACTGAGAGGCATGCACACACATACACACAAACACAAACACACACACCACACACACACACAAACACACACACACACACACACACTTGCCATTATTTACCACTCCTATCTTCGCCTGCGCTTTCATCTAGTCTGCTCTCCGCCTTGAGCTCCTCCGCGGCCATCGCAAAGGCAATCGCAGCGGCCTGTCCCGCGCTCAATGGCTGGTTTGGTGCGTCTACCATCACGCCAGGCCCGGAATCCCGGTTCTCATCATCGACGTCTGCTAATATTGGCTCCCCGTTGACGGTAACATCGGCGCCTGCTATCACTTGCACCGTGGCGCCCCCGATATCGACTATCCGCACCTCGCCACCAGCCTGCTCGATCCCTTGGCCGTTGTTCGGGATGACGACCACGCCGTGGCCTCCGATAACAGTCCTACCGCCCGTCCTCGCTTCGAGCTGTTGCCGAGCATTGCCTGCCAAAACGCTCTGCTGCAAGGTCAGTGTGTGTTCGCCGAGCGACTGATGTTTCCCTTATCAGGCGCCACCATTCGATCGGTGCACTTACGTCCGCGGCAGCTAGGGCTGCACGGCACAGCACAGCGAAAAGCGCAATTCCTATTGCCAGCTGTCGGAGGTAATGCATTGCTGGGAGCTTTCTTTGACGGCTTTCGTGGTGTGGAGAACTTGAAAGTTGCACTTCATTCGCGCCCAGAACGAGAAACTAATCAAGCTTCGAGCTGCCTGCGGCCCGGGCCAGCACAAAGAAGTTGTCAGGGTTCAGTGGGCTCAGTGGCTTACGACATCCCGAAATGGTTATGGACAAAGGTACACTCGAAAGTTTCGAGAACAAGTAGACTGGTGAACGCGAAAACTGGAGTGGAAACGAGCAGGGAAGTTGGCTTCCACTATTCGCTAAAATCAAGGCCGTGAGAGACTCGAGAATAGCGTAAGGAGAACAGAGAAATTTAAAACTGGGCTACCTAATTGTTCAGCTGTCTGATAGCCGTTCAAGCGAGAAAATTAGCTTGTGGCAAGTTTGGACAATTCATCCGTGCGGCCAAATTCTCCCATCAAGATGTGGTCGGCCCCGTTTCGTTGGCTTGGCGTCTGGGGACTCAAACACAACCAAAACACTGCGCGTCCGAGCGAAGCCTAATTATTCCGAACAATTTTAAATATTTTTACGAAGCGAGCCCGCCCCAAGCAGGTCTGCCATCGTCATTCAAAATAGGCACTGAACGGCGAAAAAGAAAAGAAAAAAAATGTAGGGTTAGGGTTAAGTTTGTCCAACCATGAGTTCAGGGGGCTGACCAGAAAACGTGGTTAAACAAAACCGTGGTTAGTCTTGATCGCCCCAGTCAAAAATAATAAACAATGTTATGACCAAAACCTGGGCTTGAACCGGACACCTTCAGTGTGTTAGGCTGACGTGATAACCAACTGCACCTTTCGACCTTGCTTGTTTCTCTGTTGTGGTAGGACCCCGGCAGGGATCCAGCTTACAAGTAACTAGGAGTATCCTTGATGAAAAGGTGTCCTGCCAGATGTGTCGAGATTGCCAGTGAATTGATGGTGCAGCTAGACAAGGTCAAGGCCGCTACGCCGCCGCCCACCGTCAAAGACAAGGACAAGAAGGACAAGAAATCAGGCAACGAGCATGCTGAGGACAAGGTATTATCCGTAAAAAGGGCACCGCAGATTGCACTGTCAACAAGTGGACCGGCAGCCAGCAAGACGCGATGTGAGCTTCTCAACTTTCCATTGGGTCTCGCACACGGCCGCTTTCAACAGTACCCTCGGCCTTGTTAGGCATTTCGAGGCACCTTGACAAACGGAAGATGCCGAGATTTCTGACGCAGAGATGAGCTGAAAAGACGGGCAAATCCAAGAGGAGCTCCATCTGCTGATGATCGAGAACGGGATCTTGGAGAGCCTTTCCTTCGCCTCGTCCACGGACCGCCAGCAAAGCGTGGAACTGCCGTACCTAGGCACGTTTGGATGGATGGACCAGATATCAGCCGCTACGTGCATGACCGCCTCAGTGGCGGCAGGACTAGGCTGTCCGGCCGATAGTCATGCTCGACAACGTCACTGACCAATCTTACCACGAGCAAGCGTCACAGATCTCTCAGATTGTGCAAGCTGTCCGGCGGACGTCGGCGGACGGAATCGCTCTCTTGAGGCTTTGCCCTAGGCCGAAGACGAGGATTTTGACTTGGCCAAAAGCGCCCCGATTCGGCCCATCACCCGCGACCACATCCTCGGAGATGCGAGGTCATAGACGCCCGTCTCAAGAGCATCTGTGCTGGCTTGCTGGAATCGGTCAACCCGCAGTACTCGGAAATCGCACCCGATGCCAAGGTCGTGTTCCTCCACCGGACAGTCTACGACTGGATCTCGAAGCCGCGCGTGTGGGAGGGCATCATACGGCACACTGCGGGGTCAGGCTTCAGTCCCAACCTCTGCATGCTCAGGTCGTGCGTCTTACAGCTGAAAACATTCGACTCGAGCGGGAACCCACGGGAAATGACTGTGGTCGCCGACGCTCTGGCGTACGCCCGCGCAGCCGAGGCAGATCTAAATTGTGGATTTCCAAAGCTCCTCGATCAGCTCCATGTCGTAGTTTCATATCACTGGCGGGCAAGCAACGCAAATGCTCAACACCGGCAGAGCTAGGCAAACCTGAGCAACGAGTTGAGCTTCTTCAAGGACGCGGACTTGGATGGCGATGAAGAAGATGACATGGTCGGTCGCACAAAACGGATCAAAGGGGGGTTGGAGGCCGTGGTCTATGAGAACCGTCTCCAGCATTGGTCTTGCGGGGTCGAGGTACCCGACATCAAGACGAGTGGCGGGTCTCGCACATTCTTCGACCTCGTAAGAGGACTGTGAGCTTCCCAGGAGACGTAACAGGAACCACACCTAGCAGCGCTGGGTACCGTTAACTCCAGAGAAGAGTTGAATAAGGCTAGGGTGGCGTCTGCGGTTGGTTGGCTGGGGTGGGTTGTTTCTTGGCTCCCTGGGCGATGATGTGGTCTCAGGGTCTGTGAGTCTGCTCTGCACATTTTTGGCGTCTCGACCGGCCGCGGTGTGAAGGGGGTTATTCTTATAGGAGTGCTATAGGCAAATATCCCCTCCTGCGAGCCTCGTCAAAGGGACATGTCACAAATCAGTTGAGACCAGCTCACAGTCTCACACCAAGACCGCAGACTGTCCTTTTAGAAGGTATATCTCAGGAGTAGTAGGTCCCAATGCCCCGCTATCACAAGCTACCTAACGCGCGTCTTCCTGCCAGCCTTGAGGCCAGCGAGCTCTCGCGTAGGGCATAAGAGATTAATATTAACAGCTAGAAGGGCTCACCACTATGTCTTAGGACTGATGGATCCGGGAGCGGGCAGTTTAAGAAGAGGCCTACAAGATTATCGAGCTACCGTTAGAAGGTAGATGTCCAGGTAGCAGAGTATAAATGCTGATTCTTACTAAGGATATGGCCCTTTCTCCCAGGCGTGATTAAACCACTAGTTACTCGTCTAACGCCATAATTTTCAATTCGAGTAGTGGTATAATAATGACTAGAATAATACCGGGATCAAATTCGCTTAACAACCACCTAGTCTCGCTCCATCTCCCTCTTCCAGGTAGACTGAATTTGAATATTTAGTATTTCATCATAGCACAGTGGCGCAAACGCTGTGCTAGGTAAATTACTCGACACTTTCGTAATTCCCTCTCTGCTACGGCCGCGGGAGACACTGAGTAATACACTATACAGTTACCTACGAGCATTATGGCGTGCTTAACGGTGTAACTAGCGGTCGGAAGAGGAAGGATTACGTGGTTTAGCGTACGATACGGTATTCGATGGCTTTTTCTACTCTTTGGGCGCACTTGATCTGTTCAATAATTAAAGCCGCCACTCGTCGCCCCAGTTTCTAGTCTAGGTCTTTTTTCCCAAAAAAGACAGCCCACAATTCTTTTGCGAGCAGCACACCTGAACAAAACCAAACAAAAACGCACACGTCCATTTCCCATGCTAGTGCACAAAACTTACACAAGAAACGTCAGCATGGAGCAGGGAGAACTCGAAGCCATGCAGTCGCATTACAGAGACGCCATCGCCCTCGCTTTCGGCCAGGTGTTCATGTACCTCGCGGACGTCGAGAAAGAGGGCTTCGGCCCCAAATAGGCGGCTAGGAGGTCTGAGGAGCGCGGCGCCGGAGAGGACGTCCGAGACGAGCTGAGTGAGCTCGTCCAAAGCATCAAGGCCTGGTATATTTTGATCTCAAATTCCACCCAACTTTGCAAGACATTTGATTCCCCCCCCCCCCCCCCAAAAAAAAAAAAGTCCAACATCTACACCTGATCACGTCTGTCATGTACCTGTCAACCTCCTCAGAGGTTCCTTTTCGATTGGCTACCGTTGCTAACCCTGACACCCAACTAACCAGGGTCGAGGAGTATGCAATCGCCGTCGAAGACTGCCGAAACTTAGCAAGGGAACAGCAGGAGTCTAGAGTGGGCAAGGAGTACGCTTGGTTTGCGCCGGTCACAGGATGTATATGAAAATGGTCGTGGAATTATGGATAAACTTTGCAATCTGTTCTCATAAATAGAACTGAAACTTCCTTCTGCCTCGCCTCGCAAAATGGCCCGCTATGCTTTACAGGCCTTCCCCTACCCCACCTAAAGATTGGGGTGCACTCGACCTCATGAGAGAAAATGGAAACTAGAGTAAGAACAAAGAAGAAGCAAAGATTGGCGTTGCCAATTACCCGTGGAGCCCACTGAGTCCTCGTTCTCCGACTTCATAACCTTAGGTATGTCCCGTAGCGGGGGATCGGTCAGTCAGTCTGAGCGCTTCCCAAAGATGGCTGCTTGATTTTGCCATTCCTAATCATTAATCTTTAGGAGGGGCACCGAGTCCAGAAATTTTACACACCGCCCAATCAGCGACTTGCTACAGGCAGAGCGATGACGTCTAAAGCCCCAGAGAGCCCGTCCTCAAACCTACCAGGCCAGCAGCGAGACATTGTGGAGATGGCCCGTAACGTAGAAGCATAAAGTAGAAGCATGGATCCGAAATCACAACGAGAGGGTCCAGTGTGCTTTACCGCCCAGATCCAATGCATCCTTGGTCAGGCAAGTCCTCGCCCCGACCGGTGAGTCATCCTTTGATTTGGGGGGCGGGGCCGGCAGCTGCGCTTGTCTGTCGCACGGGGAAACGAAACGGAACACGACCCAGAATGCCAGGGAGATTTCAGCAGCAAAATCAGGTAATCCCTTTCGATGCTCCACGTAGAATCCAAATCTCCGCCAGCGCGTTCATTACTATCTTGTGGTCATACTACAGGTAGCCTAAAAGCCACGCGTGCTTTCCTTCTTCGGCGTGGTCTTATCGAGACTCGCCGCCCTTGCCCATGTGGGACGTATTCCAGTAACGGCTAGGAAAAGATCGATGGAATTATCGTCGAGTATTTACGCCTGCCTGCTTGATGTTCGCGGCGGAGCTGTGGTTGTCTGCACTTTTCACTCGATCGGCTGGCCCTTTGCGGCAAAAAAAGCTGGCCGTCTAGATTCAGCATCAGCCCAGCGAGCAGGAACACGCGTGAAGGTGATCAGCACTGAACGAAAGCAGCAGAGCATGTTGGCAGGAGCGTGGAATTTGGAATCACCGAGTCACTGTTCAGCTACGAGTGCGCATACGAGGCTGCAAGAGTTCACTGTTTCTAGACCACGGATCACCATTCACAGCAATCAACTCAAATTTACGTAACTATTTGGCTATGGCTTCTTCTCCATGGCACCACTCTTGAGCAGCGATCACAGCGAAAAAGAATCAGAAGAATGAAAGGGGGGGTTATCAAAAATTACAGCCACAACGCCCCGAGGGACAGCTAGCAATTGTTTGCGCCGCGGAGTGCAATGCAGGCCACCAACTGCAGAGCAGGAGAATCTTGAGCTCCCTGCCCTTGACTTGGGTACGTATGAAGAAGAAAAGAAGAAAGGAAGAGGAAGAGGGCAGGTGGAAAGATTTGTTTATACACAACCAAGTTGATCCGTGCACGGCTGTAAATTTTGGTGTGGGGTCCTACGCGTAGGAGAGTCCCACTTATCCTCGATTGGGAGCTGTGCGTGTGCAAACGAGTGGGAGGCGCTCTGCACTGTGCACTCGCACTTCCTCCCGTCAGGGACAGTTTTGTTCTTCCAACTTTGGTCAGCCCCGAAAGTGGGGTACTAGGCCGTTGCTGGGCGTTTCAAGCTCAATAGCTCCGCAGAAACGACGGCCATCGGTCCCAGGCCAGCATGGCTACGATTAGTCTCCCTCACTTTTTTTTCTTTTTTTCAGTTGTTGGTCTCTCTGCTGACTTTGGGACTTCAGATCTTGTGACGATCTATTCCATGGCATGCTGAGTGTATTGGTCTGGGGATGGGCATTCTGGTAACGAACAAGTATGGTATATTCGCCAGCCGAAGTAGATGCCATAATAAAGACAGAATCTTAAGAGGGAAGAAAATAACAAATGAGCCAGCCAGGAAAGGTATTTAGTGGGTATTTCTAGAGAAGGGGCCGGCCTCTAGGATTCTAAGAACAGGGATTCAAATAGCTATTACCTCCCCCCGCGAAAAGCCTTTATGGCTAGTCGTGAGATCCTAAGACCATTCAGATCTCGGAAAGTACCACACCAACAAAAATTCTGGGATTGGATTGTACTCCAGGCACGCCTGACAGGCTGCGGGCTACCGTGACACCCCCTGAAACGTCGTTGGCAGCTGGCACTGACTTACCTAGGCAGCCCAGTTCAAAAGCTGACAGGAAAAAAGATCGGTTGAAAAGGCTTGCGTGCAGCCATCCCCTACTTATGACTAATGCAAACTGGCTACCTGATTCCCGCTACCTGGGGTCTCGAGAAATAATTTGCATATACAAACTGGGAGAATTCTTCTCATTTCAAAAACCTTTACTCCGAGCACCCTTAGTCTCACAACACCGACCAAACCAATCCATCAGCACGATTCTTCCTCTTGCAGTCTAATTAGCGTCTCGAGCAATACATACGCCGAGTGTGAATATTTCTAATTTCAAATCTTTTTCAAAAACCTTTGCTCCGAACAACCTAAGTCTGACAATACCGACTAAAGCAATCCATCAGCCCGCTTCCGCCTCCTACTCCCTGAGACCCCGAGCAATACATACCCCGACTGCGAGTATTTCTAAAAATTATTAATCCAAGATGTCACTGGCGCCGTGGTCAATAGAATGGCCAGAAATGCAACGAGAAAAGCTTTCTTTATGAGCCTTGTACCACGCACCGCACCAGCCCAATCTTCGCCAGCTATCCCTACCGTGCCTGGGCAACCTGCCGTGCCAACGTCGTCCAACCCGGGTCGAACACATCGAGTCCCGAGAGAGGCTCGTGCAGAGTCTACGGCCTTTACGACGAGAGTATGCTGGGGCAACACCAGTGAGCGTTTCCGCCCCCTCAGCCTCCGACGTCTCTACGCAGCAAGAAAGGGGTAGTCTACATTGACCACTATTTTCACCAAACCAAAACAATCCAAAACATATCGCCGCCGAAAAGCACAGCACCGCAATCACGAACATATCATCTCAGAAACAGAGCCCCTAAACGCAAACAAGGGGTTAGAGGCACCGAAAGCCACCAGCCACAATGAGCGAGGTCCAAAATCGAAGGAGAACAAGCAATATCCATTGTCCTAACTATGTCCAGAAGACTTTCAGCCTACCACGGTACGGTCCACGCAGGTCCCAAAATCTCGGTAGCTACTAGCCAGGTAGATGCCCAGCTATGGCAAGAATGGCAAGAACCTCGCCGAGAATAGAGGACCTAGGCCTCCTAGGGTTCTAGGCCTCCCAGGGTTAGAAGACTGTCAAATCTATCTGATGATTCTCCCCGAAAAAAAAAAGTTTTTGTTTTTCTGTATGTGTTTTGTCATCGAACCTCCCGCCCACAAGGGACAACTTTGCTTGGTCGCCTCCGGGTCATCGACCCAGCCCAGAGGGCTGCGAGAAATGACGAGCCAAAGATTTGATCCAAGTTTGGGAGTCATGATTTTTTTTTTGTTTGCCGGTTCTGCCTCAAAGCACACATGTGTTCCAGGCTTCAAAATGCTTGCGAGTTGCGCCGCCCAGACACCGCCAGCCGGACAAAGGCATAAACGGCCGGCACGGCAGCTTCCGCCCAACATGAATTCGTCATCCATAACCGGCAGAGAGTCGTTGACTCAAGCCAGGAAGGATATCAAGACCAAGGTCGTGAACTGAGCTGCTCTGGTCGCATGACCGCCGAGTCTCCTGGCAATCCGTGCAACAAGCCAACTCCAATTCAAAACCCTCCACCTCGAAATCGTTCATCCACCACCAGCCATCCCACGATGGCACCAACGCAGTCAGCCCACAATAAATGCCATCCATAACCATTTTGAAGCATGACCGATATCATACTCCGTCCACAAAATTGGACAGTGGCAGCACAGAGCATCCAGCCGGGCAAGAGCCGACACTCCGAGTCGTACTGCTTATCACTTTCGTGACAAGTTTTCCCTTCCCGAAACGGAAGAGATAAAAGTAAAAAGAAAAAGGAGAGAAGAAACGCCCGCAATATCAGCGTTCCTCTCTCCTGCCCATACGCCAGACCCCTTGGCCTGTGGGTACGGAAACGCCCCAGAAGAAAAACGCCGTTTATGTGGTCTCGTCCAAGACCAGACCGATTCCCCCTTTAAAGTCAGGGAAGACCCTGACCGTGTTGTGTCGTTCCATGCTTTTAAACCCTGAGCCTCCGGTTGTCGTAAGGGTGCAAGTAGATAAGGTAAGGAGTTGAAGCCGACCCGAAGCAAGTAGAATTTGGGTGTCGTATGCCACTGAGCGAGACGGTTGGCGAATCATCATGTTAGTATTTAGCTGGAAATTCGTGGGCCGGCGTGGTTAAAGCGAGGACAGTAACCCGCCGCCAGACTTCGAAACCTCCTTTATGCCGTAAAAATTCGGGAGGTGGGTCGGTTGTATCGGAGAATCCGAAGCGCAAATAGGGCGAGCAGTCAGAAAGATTAGGGGTATGATACAACTGACAATGCCGAGAGATTGCATGCCGGTGGCTTATGCAGAGAAGAAAAGCCATCAGGTAGCCCGCCGAGGATTCTAGGCCGTGAGGCGTGACGTCGCCGAGTGGCAGAAACGAAGGGCTCAAGAAGCTCGATCGCCACCGCATCGCCAAGAAGGAAAGGTGGTCGGGTAGAGGGTTGGGTTGAATATGTACAATCCAAACGTGAAACAAAGGAAAATAGAAAGGAAACCGCAAAGTCATAGTCATGCATCATCCGCCACACCGCATTATGACACGTGGGAGATGTCAAGCTTGCTAAATGGGCGGTTGAGCCTGCGCTTGGCCTTGGCCCTGACCCTGACCCTGACCTTGGCGGCCGCGCCCGGCGCCGTACTGTGGCTGTCGACCTTGGCCTTGATAGCCACGACCGCGACCTCCACGGCGGTTGGGATTGGGGGGGCCTCGGTTGCCTTGACCTTGATATCCGCCCCAGACCTGGTTGGCGTTCGGGGCGCCAGACCCGTTTTGCCGATCACTCGCTGTCTGCCAGTTTTCTTGTTTCGGGAAGGCTGTGGTTACTTGTGGGTTGGGCGATTGCTCCTGATCTGCCGGTGGAGATTTGGGCGACGGCTGCGGCAACGTCTGCTGCGGTTTCTGGATCTGTTGGGACGCTTGTGGGAAGTTTGTGATGGGCCGAGGAACCGTCTCCGGGTTCTCATAGGCATAGAGACTCTTGTCAATAAAGTCAGGAATAGGCTTGATCTCGGTGTCGAGGTCGCGCTCAATGTTATACAGGTTGAACCGATCGTCCCAGCTGATGAGGTTGATAGCCAAACCAAGATGGCCAAAGCGGCCTGACCGACCGATCCTGTGAAGATAGGTTTCGGCGTTCTTGGGAAAGTCAAAATTGATGACAACATTTACAGCCTGGATATCGATACCACGGGTCAGCAAGTCGGAGCAAACCAGGTTGCGGCAAACGCCATTGCGGAAGTCGTGGAAGACCCTGTTCCGAGCGTGCTGTGCCATCTTGGCGTGGCTGTAGAAACAAGAGTAGCCAAGTTCGGTGATCTTCTTGGCGAGGAGCTCGACACGGTTTGTCGAATTGCAGAATATAATGGACTGGTTAATTTGGAGCTTTGAGAACAGCGTGTTGAGGCAGTGGACCTTCTGCTTCTCCTCGACATATGCGTAGTATTGGGTGACACCGCGCAGAGTGAGTTCGTCCATCAGGTTGATCTCGTAGGGCGAGTTCATGTTCCGGTCCTTGAAATCCTTGACCGAGATGGGAAATGTAGCGGAAAAGAGCATGACCTGTCGGTCCTTGGGGTGGAACTGAAGCACCTGCTCAATCACGGGGGTGAATTCGGCCGAAAGAAGCTTGTCTGCCTCGTCCATGATGAACATGGGGCACTCGCTCAGGTCGGCTACTTGCTTGCTTGCCAAGTCAAGAATTCTGCCCGGCGTTCCAACGACAATGTGCACGGGGTCCTGGAGCCGCACAATGTCGTCCCGCAATCCTGTTCCACCTGTGGTAACCATGACATTGATATCGAGGTATGCGCCTAGGGTTTTGCAGACCTGGGATGTCTGCATTGCGAGTTCTCTGGTCGGGACTAGGATGAGGCATTGGATCTTGGAGACTTTTGGGTTGATTCGTTGGAGAGCGGGAATGACGAAGGCGGCCGTCTTGCCCGTCCCGTTCTTGGCACGCGCAAGGATGTCTTTGCCAACCAGAGCAGCGGGGATAGCTTCTTCTTGAATGGGGGAAGGCTGCTCAAAGCCAGCTCCAAAAATCCCCATCAGCAATTCCCGGCGGAGTTCCATATCTTCGAAGCTGAGTCCTTTTTGGTTTTTTACGTCCTAGGAAGAGAGGGCAACGTCAGTGTGCCAGTCGAGTGCAAATGGAAAGAAGTGCCGCATCTCACCTCGGTCTGAGGCCTTGTGTCCCTGGCAGGAACACTGAGAGATTGCTTCCAAGACTCCATGTCGGCGCCATCACTTGTCTCCCGTTAGCTGGGCCGGACGCGAGCGGGGGCGGGGGAGGGGAAGGAGACAAACTTCAACGACGCAGCAGCGAAGTCCCCTACGAGACTGTCTGTCATCTTGGCAGTAAGAGGCGCGATCTGCCGGTCCTGTGGAAATTGTAATGGGAGTATTCGATAGGCGAAGCTGCGGTCGCTTCGTCCTTGGGATGAGACGACGGAGTGTTGCGGAAGGGTGGGGAAGTTGCGAATTCGTGACTTGGTTGGTGCGCTATAACCGTCGAGTCATAACGCGGCTAGAAGCCGTGCAAAGGTAATTCTTCGTGGAGGAGTAGGGCGCAAATGGAGCTGCCACGGGATCCGTGGAGGGAGGAAGGAGAACTTTATGGCGAGGCTGTAGAGAGAGGTCGCAGCTGGTGGCAGCAGCAGCGGGTCGTCGATGGCCGATTGTCGAAGATGCGTTGACAAGGCCCGAGGGGAATTGACGCGCGTTGTGATGGAAGGGTGTTTTCCCGTCGGGGGGAGAGGTTCGTAGTAATTGTCGCGAGTCAAAGAATTCCTTGTACGGCGAGAATGTTCGTCGGAAGCGGGGCAGAGGGAGAGGGCGGCAGGGCTCGTTCGAGATTTGCGAAGTTGTCAAAAAGCTTAAGTGAAGATGTGTTTGCGTCACGTGAGCTCGATTGTCCCGGCTCCACAGTCCACAGTGGCTGTGCCCTGCCCGCTTTTGGCCCTCCCAGGATGCCACTGCCCTGGCGCTGGGCCTCACGCGACGCACGTTCCACCAACGCCCCGCTACCCCACTGCCTTACTCCGAGGTACCCACCAAAATAGGGATGTAGCTTTGCAGCCGCCAGCGCAGACATGAGGGGGGATTCCAGGTGCTTTTGAGTTCGCGTAACGCTCTAGCCAAAGTCTGTCCGCGATTCGTCCGCCACTCCTCCAAGTCAAGCCCGGGCATCGGGAACGTCATGGTTCTTCTCTGCCGACAGAGCCTTGCAACCATGAGCGTCTCTTGTCCGTCATAATGGTCCTCAAAAAATCAACGGCCGCGCTCTGCTCCCACGCCGGCGTCTTCTCCTCGTTCCGCCCTTTGCCGTTGACAGCGTCCCCGGTGTCGTCCCATGTACTACGGGGTCCTGCTGCAGGCTCGCACATCTCGAGCCAGAACCATCTCCGCCACGCCCGCCGATATGCGTCTGTCCAAGACGAGAGTCATCGACCAGATGTGAAGGACGCCGACACCCCGCATTGGCCGGCCTCTCCCTCTCCCACCCCCTACGAGATCTTCGCGCAGGCCAGCAAAAGCCCCTACGACAAGGGCCGCTTCTACCAGCTGGTCATGCTCTACCATCCCGATCGACATTGCCACAGCTCCCACGACGGCATTCCCTCCGTCACGAAGCTCGATCGCTACCGGCTTGTCATTGCAGCCAACGACATCCTCAGCAACTCCGACAAGCGCCGGCTGTACGACCTCTACGGCACCGGATGGAAGCAACCGAAAACACAGAATGACCAATCTGAGTCCGACGTGCGGAGCACCTGGCGTGATGTAGACAAGGCGTGGAGACAGAGACCTGGCAATGCCAGCGCGAATGCCACATGGGAGGACTGGGAGCGCTGGTACCAGGAGCGAGATGGGAAGAAGCAGGAGCCGCGGTTCATGTCCAACGGCGGCTTCGCGAGCGTCATCGCCCTCTTCGTACTGGTCGGCACTTGGGGGCAGGCCACACGGGCGGAAATGAACTCTGCGACTCTGCTGGAAACGCGAGACCAGCGGCACAGCTCCATCCACCATGATTTCCAGCACCACCAGAGCCAGATTTCGGGCCTGGGCAAGGAGGACAGGGTTGACGCCTTCTTGCGGCAGCGAAACGCCTGGGAATACGCGTCACCTGGACACTTGCAGCAGGGAAATGTCAGATCCCTTCGCCGGTAGGAAAAGTGCTAGCTTAACCCCTTGTTTTTGCGTTTAAATATCGAAGACTGCCAATGCGCGGGCGTTAGGTTCGACTGCCATTGCAACCTTTTACTCTACCATAATTATTATATATATTTCCGCCAGATAATAAACACGAGTTTATGCCCTGGCGGCGGCGCAAGGCTGTCTTAGACGCCATACTATGAGGCCACCAGACCAGCCTTGTCCTCTGAGTTGATGTCCAGGCTATGTCCTCTTTGGCATCGTTATTTGTTCGCCTGTGGAACAGAGAGCCGGGTGCTGTCTGACAGACAAAGAAAAGACCAACAAGTTCAAGTTGTAGGTGTGGTACACGTCTTAAATGAACAGCCTACTCGTCGCAAGGCGCCAAGGGGTTGCGGTTTCCACTTTCACGTTTAAGAAGCAAATGGCGTAGCCAGATTACATCGGGGGAGTCTCGGATACTGACAGGAAGGGCCCTAAATGTTTGTTGGCGTAGTACTTGGGCTTGAAAGGAAGGGAAAGATTATTACAAATAACCCTACTATAAAAGACCCTGTGACGGCGTTTAGCAACACCCACTACCGCTGCACCACACCTTCCAAAAGGATGCCAGAATTACAAGCCGTCAGGCTGCAATTCTATAGTGGGTTATAGTATGGTCACGCACCCGTAGGGCCTCAGCGCCTACCGCCGTGCCGTGACAAGTGACAATTAGATGGAAGATGGCGTGCTGGAAGCCAGGAAGTAAGCTGAAGGATATGGAATTTAAGCAGCTGAGTACCTACTCGCCTCTTGAAACTGTGTATCTGTCCGCAACCAACCCAAGTTCAATGACATCATAGTAATCATTGGAGTGTTTGATCGCCATTAATACAGAAAAACGTTGTGTACTTGAGCGTCGATGTAAATGAACCATTTATCTTTGTGAACCGCCTCTTCCTCAGGGGTGACGGAAGCAGGCCGCCAATACAAATACCAAGAGGAACGAAAGGAGAAGTACTAATATCCAATAAGACCGCTTACGACATACTCGAATGGCAAAAATGCCGGCCTGTATAAGGGTCGTCTCAAAAAGCATATAAATTTCAGTAGAGGGTAGCCGTTTTCTTCGCCTAAGCCCTATACCTCAGCTCTAAATTAACGGTCACTGCAGTCTAGCCGCAGAGATATATTCTCATTGTAATGTCCTAACCTTTATTCTCTACGCCGGTTTATAGAAGCAAGGAGGGGCCGGTATACGATACTGTACTTGTAGATAGGTAGCCGCTCGGTAGATTACAGGGGTGAGTAGATACGACGACCCCCGGTAAGCTCGCTGCACTACCCCTACTTTACTGGAGGTATGCCCGTACCTCGATCCTTCTTGACCCTAATTAGCGGGGAGTAGTGGACAAGTAGGTTTTCTCGGCACCTCGAGTGAGTTGCCATTTGCGCCCGACCATGTTTCCATTGCAAGAGCACCAGGGCTGGAAACGAGCGTCCCTGTTGCCGAAAGACGCCCGAGGAGCACGATGAACCGGGAGAGTTCCAGGAGCCAGGCGCCAAGAGCCAGGAGACAGACGCCAGCACCAGTCACCGCACCTTCGCCGCCCTCTCAGAAACGAACAAACGAGAGTGCACTGGTGCAGCATATCACCTTCAAATAAAAATGCTCGCTAACTATCTTCAATATGAGTCTCGTATCGGTGGTAGATGTAAGGAGATAATATAACTAAATTACAACCGCAAGGCTCGAACCTCCTGCTATTTATTTGACTTCGAATTATGCATTCTTTGTGAGAGTATTTAGTCGGACCATCGCTACGGTCTATTTTGACCCCAAGCGCACTGGCGAAGAGAACTTATCAAGTAAAATTTCGATTTTAATATTAGAAAGCATTTCCTACGACTAGGGTAGCTAATGTACTTGTGTAAGTAAAATGTATTTTCCATTCTAAACCACCAGAAACCCACTTGCTGTTATTGTAATTTTGTTCTAAATATTATCAGTCGTGTGTAAGGGCTAATATTTAATCGTGCTGGGGACTTGGACTTGGTCACTGATTGTTCCAATGACAATGGGAGCAAACCAAACTACGTACGATATTGCCGATATGAGACGGATCAAACAGCCCCCTTGTACCCTCCGAGCAGACACCCAGTTTCACAGAAGCGGGCAAATAAAAAGGGTGGCATCGAGACAGAAAGAAGAAGATAAATGTGAGGTGAAAGCGCTGAGATAGGGTTGGAGAGTACGGAGTAACAACAAAAAAGATGAGGCTGCTAAGAAGGCATATGCAGTAGATTGGGCTGCGTGTCACGGTGGAGTGGGTTCTACAGTCTAATCTCAAAATAATTGTTAGCGGGTGGCTCTCCTAAGATCTGAAGGGCCCTAGTATTACGACTCGACCTAAATATTTTTCGCCGAGGAAGACAATAGCTATTAGAATCTATATTTTAAAATTCTAGAGGCCTATCTCCTTTCTGAAATCACCTATGAAGGGTCTGTCACGGCACGGCGGTAGGCGCTGAGGCCCTACGGGTGCGTGACCATACTATAACCCACTATAGAATTGCAGCCTGACGGCTTGTAATTCTGGCATCCTTTTGGAAGGTGTGGTGCAGCGGTAGTGGGTGTTGCTAAACGCCGTCACAATTACAAGCCGCCCTACGGCTGCGGGTTCGAGCCCTGCAGTTGCAAATGAGTCCTTTTGTGAATAAAGGTAGTTTGGGGATCCCTATAGTATGCCCTAGCCCGCGTAGAGCTCCCGAACCGTAGTGCTCGAGGTTCCGGGGTAGTCAGACCTCTACGCGCCCCGCGGGGCCGAGGGGGGGGGGTGATGTCACGGCACGGCGGTAGGCGCTGAGGCCCTACGGGTGCGTGACCATACTATAACCCACTATAGAATTGCAGCCTGACGGCTTGTAATTCTGGCATCCTTTTGGAAGGTGTGGTGCAGCGGTAGTGGGTGTTGCTAAACGCCGTCACATCACTCTCGTCTCAGACTCGGCTTTCTCGCTCCTGCCTCTTATCTTTTCACTCTCTAGCCTTTACTCGGGTCGCTCCTCCTTCCTCTTTTCTTCCTTGCGTTTTCCCACTCTCACTCTCACTCTCACTCTCACTCTCACTCTTACCTTCACCTTCACCAGTTCCTGCCCTGAACTGCTCTTCCTTTTGGTCTTGGTCTTGGTCTTGCCCCTGGTCTTGGTCTTGGTCTTGGTCTTGCTCGTGCTTGTGCCCTCTTCCTGCTTCCGCTCCTGCTTTTGCTCTTCGTCCCGCTCCTGCTCACCAAGCACACACCTCACACATACACACACACACACACACACACACACACACACACACACACGCACACACACAAAGTCCCCCTCAACACGCAAGGACAAGATGTCAGGCCCTGCCGCTGGTGCAAACCAGGGCGGGGCTGAAGCAACAGGCTTCAGAAGCATGCCGGCCGAGATCCAACAGCGGATCTTCACCGAGGCTCTACGAAAGCCTCAGGTTCACTTCATCAAGGCGTTGCGAAGGGATTCGATCACGACGAACACGTGGAGCCTGCTGTTTCGGTCCTTCCCGCGGCGCACCGACCCGTCTGGATTCCGCTTGCTAGAGAGCCTGGCCGTGACGTCGGCCAACGCGGCGGCGGCGATGCGCCTGGCCACGCCCGACAGGGCCTGGCTCCCCTTTCCTAACCTGCCGGCGCGCTACTCCCCCTCGGCCGATGTGGTGTGCATCGAGTTCGACCGGACCCAGCACGGATTCCGGTTTGAGTTCTTCAACCGCTGCAACTGGCTCGTGGGCGACCCGTTTGCTGGCGACCACATGGCCAACAACTTTCCCTCCCTCCGCCGCGTCGCCTTTACCTACAATTACCGTGGAGCAGACTGCATGAGCGGCCGCAACGCGTTCCGTTGCCTTAGCGAGATGGGCCGCCATCGCCGCCTCAAGATTTGCCCAGAGGAGCTCGTGGGCTTAATTGATTGCCTCCCGAGCCTTGAGGAAGTCTATATCATCCTGAAGCCCACTTCCAGCATGCGGTCCAGAATGCAGGTTCTCGCGTATACCAGGTCCTTTTTCAACTGTAAGTGCCTAATCTTTTCCATTCGTCAAATCTACCTCTCCGCTATTTGTGCTTTTTATCTCCCATAACCCCACGACATGTTTGCTCTCTCCTCCCCCGCTCTGACCTCTCATCCGCCTCCAAGCTTCTCTCAATCTCATGAACGAATACATCAACCCCCTAAAAACTCAACCCCCTAAAAACCCAACCCCCTAAAAACCCAATCAATGCAGACGCTAACCACAATCCTCCCCTGCAGTGACCCCCGCCGAGCGCCATACCCGCAACCTGGTGACCTTCTACGACGCAACCAAGACGTTCATCGAGGTTGTGCCGGAGCTGATGACGGATAATGCGACGCTGCGCCCCTTCAATATAGACATGACCAAGGACGTGTTCCTGCTGCTGGCCGACGCCCGCTACCGCCTGCTGCTCGACAGCCGCCGTCGCACCGCCGTCTACGGCCACGCCCTGCCCGGCACCGGCAACGTCACCGGCAGCCGCGCCCACGGCTACGGCTGCGCCCCGCCCGCTAACAGCAACAACCCCCGCGAGCAGCCTGGCTCGTACAACCTCTCTCGTGCGCGGCGCGCGGCCGTCCGCTTCAGAGTGCTCTTACCTACTACCTAGAACTATGGCGTGAACTGAGTCTGCTGCCCCCCTGGCTTTGTCCTTCGTTTGGGCTTGCGGAGCTGGCACAGGACTTGCCAGCATTTGATTTCCTTTTTCTCCTTTTTCTCCCTTGGGCTGTCTGGTCTCCTCTCGCTACCTCTTCACATACTTTTCTACAAGAGAAAGAAGAGCCGAGCTTTTATTACTTGGTCATATCTTGAGAGGATCATCCACAACATAGCTGTTCCTCAGTAGTCTACACGGCATCGTTTAGCATAGCATCATCTCGCGGGAACTTGATCGATGGGGCTCTCTCAACGTTCATACTCCCTCTGCTTTATCCTTGGCGTCTGGGCTAGGTTAGGGTTTCTTTATGCCTTTCCTTTACCTTACTTCTTTTCCTTATCTAACTTCTTTTCCTTACCTTACTTCTTTTCCTTACCTTACTTCTTTTCCTTATCTAACTTCTTTTCCTTACCTTACTTCTTTTCCTTACCTTACTTCTTTTCCTTAATTCCCTCTTTCAGGAGAGGAGAGATCGACTGCCACGATAGGGGTTTACCTTCTGTCATTCACTACCTACCTAACGTCGCCACATTCTCTCGATAATGATCGATATGAGCTTTAGGTTCTTGTGAAAGGATATTTGGGGGGTTTTGGGCGGGATTGGCAGATGGACAGGTAGGTAGGTTGGACGGGATTAGACGGGATGGACATACATGATAACCTTTCTAGCCTCTTGGTACCTTTTTTCTTTTTCTTTACTTTTAGTCTTTTTTCTGTCTTCCTGCGTAGCTTTGGAAGGGAATTGGAATTGGACTCCGCGGCGTTGCCGCTTTTTTCCGACTGCTTTAATCCGCTCGTTGTTTTAAGCTGTGACCCGTGATCGCTTTTTTGCGGTCTATTTCTATCCGCTTGTTCTTTCAAGCTGTCGCAGTCTTTTACAAGAGGATGTCTATTCGGACCGTCAAAAACGCCATTTCAAACCGTAGTACATCGCGTACTGGGACCCACCTACTAAAAATCCACTTCTTGCACTAAAAAAGGCACTAATTCCTGGGACGAAGCCAACGCATTCTAACTTCAGATCAATTAGCCACGTACAGTCGCACCACAATTACACCACAATTGACACTATTCGCATGCAGGGCAGGCCGCGCAGGCTGCAGGCCAAATCGTTCATTTCTACACTAAAAGCCGATGCTTACGTAACATGCCCAAAAATGCAATAAAAACCTGCCCTGTCTAGGCACCCTCAAGATCACTACTTTGTTGCGCTTCAAAAGCTGTAGCCAAATCTCGCGCAGTACGACGAGTTGTTGCACCACGTGTATACGCCTTTGTAATGCCTCCCCGGGACCCGCGCGCCTTGGGCGCTGAAGCCTGCACGCCAGATGAAGCCCGAGACGTAGGTGCCCCTGACGATGCCCATGGTGTTGATGTTGCCTTTGTAACACGGCCGCCCCGGCTGCCCGGGCCTCCCTTCGTTGCCCGGGTTCCCTGCGCCTTACCGCCGCGGCCGCCACGAGCAGGCAGGGGGGCTGTGAGGCCATTCACAGTTCGTTGTCCCTGTGTTTTCCTGGTCCCTGTTGTCTTCCTGCTTTACGCCAACACCCTCCCACTGTGAGAGTTGACGGCGAATGAAAGGATTGAGGCCCGAAGCCCGGCCCAGGCTTGAAGATCCTGCGTTAACTCATCGAGGGGGTCGTATTTGTGGTTGAGGACCTTGTGGTCCAGTGGAGGGTACGGCGCGCGGTCCTGATCAGCCTCACGGTTGCTGAGTTCGAAGGGATCGTCGGAACCGGACAAATCGACGTACGCGGCTATTTTCTATCGCTAGTTAGTGCTATAGATTGAAAATGAAGCGGCGCACCTACTTGCGTAACGATAAAATCGCGAGGTTGTTCTTGTGGCTTAATTGACGGTATTGTGGTTGAAAGTGGAAGGTTTTGGTGGATTCGGTGGATTTGGCGATGGCCTCAATTACGAGAAAATTTTAGCTAGGTAAGGTCCAGACGCAGGTCCCAGGTCCGGGCGCCGGGCGCAGTTGAACCTGCATTGTACATACCTACCATCTGAAGGCAATCTATTCTTTTTTGCGGGCAAAACAGGGTTTTGGCTGGGATAGTGGCTTGGTGGGGGTTTGAACGTACATTTGTATGGACTACAGTCTAGAATAGGCAGACGTTTTTGCGGTCCGAACAGACATCCTCCTTTTACGAACCAAAAACCTCTAACTTCTAGTAAAGCCTAGCCGAAGATGCCTGCGTGCTTAAGAAGCTGAGCTGGCGGTTTAATCCACAGTGGCTTCGTGTAAGGCAAAGGTTCACAGATCCTATGTTTTTAAAAGTAACACAACCTTTCTAACATGGATACTTATCCTCAGACATCACACGGATGAAGAACGAGCATAACTACCTACCTTGTTGCACCGGTTTGGCGGCCCCAAGACAGCTAGCGAGGGGCTTTCTTTACCTTCAAGCTTTCAAACTTGCCTGAGCTTGATTCCTGCTGTCAACCCTCTTGTTTTCTCGTCCAATATTTCTTTACCTCGTTCTGGACACTGGTTTCTCGTCAAGAACTGATCATCGCTCACTCTCGGGCAGTCACATTTCTTTTTCTAATTGCTCTCTCAGACCCCGAGCCTGCTTTATTTCTCCCCGGCACTCTTTCTCTTCGTATGCTATGATGTCAATGTGGTTGTCCAAAGTTCCGAATAACGATGATAGGAATATTTCGTAGAGTCCACTCAATTGGCATAACAGGCTCGATATTTCGAACGCCTGTTTGCCAGCTGATCTAAGAGAAGAAAACGGGCGGCATTCACAACATGAGTTTCAGGTCGGGTTCCCTCCCTCTCCAGACTCACTCACCCATCGTGATTTTTCGTTAAGTATTGCGCTTACTGTCGTAGTGAGAGCAGCTCAAAGCTACCACTTCTGCTGCAATAAATTGATAAAACATGTGGTCTGGGTACGGGCGGCGTATGTGAACAGAACAGACTCGTGGCCTGAATATCAATCAGTGAAGAAATGTCGTTACCTAAAATAGATGGATTTAGTTGGCTCCAATTTCTGCGGGGATTTTCTGCTTACTTAGTGCCTCCGCACCGCACCGCTCCCCTACCAACAAGTCAACAATGTTGACTCCGAATAAATTCGGATTTCATCCAACCTCAGCATCGAGGAGCGCATATTTCGCTCCAGCGCATTCCAATCCTCCCTTGAGTCAAGGCCATACCTTACTCAAAATATTGCGCTTTGGTGGGGTTTTAGCCAGTCTTTCTATCCCAATTCCCCATTACCCAGTAAATGTCCCAGCGAGAAACAGGGCGAGATCCCGGCCTCCATCATCTTTTGCCAGCATGCTAACATGAACAGAAATGGGATTCCCAGGGGCAAAATTGCCTGACCTTTATCTTTCCATTTCAACCACCCCGTCGAATTACGGACCGCAAAGCACCTCCAATATACGCTCGACCGGCCGCTGATGCCCCCGGTTCACCCCCCGCCGAGCCAGCCTTCTCCTCACACGAGCTAGAGCTTCTCGCACAAACAAGTAGTGCTTCTGCCGTACCTGGATGGCATTACTGAGAGTATCTGGGCGCCTGTCTCTATCTACCGCTTCCTTAGCTAGAGGTAGCGACGTCTTCGTCTTGGTCTCCGACTCTCCTATGCCAAGATCGTGGCTCTCATCCTACCAAGTTCCAGTACCGAGCCGCATCACCGTCATACTCGTGCCAATGGCTTCCCCAGCGCCCCAGTCAGCCTTCCCTGCTGTTCACTGTGCCCTCGATACCAAGGAAGACTGGACACAACCAATGTTCAGGGCCAAGACTTGGTGCAGAGAGTTGACTTGCTTTTGAATACGTCTCCCAGTTTTGATCGAAGAGGCTGTCCCTCCCCTGGCCAAGACAGAAGGCTGGTGTTCATCTCGCCCTCCCTGACTTTCGAGTTTCGCTCTGGCTATCTCGGTCGAGGAGGATTTAGTTAGAGGACCACTGTTGTGTTGTTCTTTAATCTTTCGAGTGTAACGTTACACGGCGGTGGGTGGTACCGCGGATGGAGATCACAGATTGTGAGTGTTTGTTTTGATCAGTTTGCTCGATAGCGCCCAAGGATTCAAACACACGAGTACGATAAGCTAACGAGTGTTGCTGGCTACTCAGGAAGCAAACTTGATGACATGGATCGCTCCTCTGGACAACACCATCTCCAGACGGCCCCGATTTACAACTCCTCGAGTCCCCAAGATAACGGGAAGTGTCGAAAGTCAAAGCGAGTCAGAACAGGGGAATACTGTACACATTACAGCCCGCTCTGCCGTCCAGATCGAGCGGACTACACAGCCTATAAGGACACAACTATCTGGTGTTACAGGAGGCGTCCAGTCACCAGCAATCATCACGTCGCTACTCCTCCGGTCCTATACACAAACTTCAGCGCCATCCGCTTTGCATGAGTCTCTGCAGGATCCACCAGGATCTTGTCCCGCTAATCATACTTGAGCCGAGGTGGAACCTAAATTGTATTATTATCAGTTGGCAACAACCCCCTTTACAGCTTGAACACCATTCTAACCCTTGGTTCACAAGACCCATTATAGGACAAGAACAAAAAGAGATAGCCAAGCCCACATATGTGGTCCTACCACGTGGCTCTCGGCTTTCGGCACTATAGGTGGCGCGACATCCACAGGTCCAGTCCTGACCTATATTTAGAACCTTTTCGTTCTCTACTGTCTTCTAGTTCTGTGGAGACAATACAACATTGTCCTACTGCCCATATGAGAATAGGGAGAGGAAGAATAAGCACAAGCGCAAGCACAAGCGCAAGCTCAAGCGCAAGCTCAAGCGCAAGCTCAAGCGCAAGCTCAAGCACAAGCTCAAGCACAAGGAGGGGGGGAGAAGAAGAAGAACAAGAAGGAGGAGGTGGAGGAGGAGAAAAGAAAGAGGGAAATAAGAAGGTGGGGAAAGCAGGAGAAATTGGAAGCGATAGGGAGAGGGAAAGTCCTAACCCTGCTAAAAGAGATGCAAACAAAAGCAGCTTTTCAATGACAAGTAGACAGGGTGACCCACCTTTGCAATCGCCCCACTTTGCAATTTTCCCCCACACCGCCAACTTCCTACTCTCTACCTTCCACCACCAACAACTTCCTCAATACTGGTCGGAATAGGCTCAAAATACGATGGTTCGACGCGTACGAGAGCGGCTAATAGCCGAGGCTATTGAGGCTGTTGATCAGGGCGCTCAGCAGAAGGAAGTAGCGCGCCTATATAGGATCCCTGAATCCACCCTCAGCAGACGACGCCGTGGACAACAGGATCCACGACAAGCCCAAAAAAACACCCAGAAGTTAACTGACGACCAGGAAGCCTTCGTCGCCGAGTGGGCTCTTGAGAAGGAAGCTGCAGGGCGTGCCCCAAGTCGTGCACGGCTAAGACGATTCGCACAAGCGATCCTGAACGAAGCCGGGCTCCCTGGGCGAGTTGGTGAGCGCTGGGTAGATCGGTTTTTTACCCGCAACCCCAGGGTAAAGGCCAAGTTAGGTACCTTATTAGAACGGTCTCGAGTCAAAGGATCTACCCGTGAGAGATTCCAGCATTTTTTTGATCGTTTGGAAGCTGTAATTAAGGACAAGAAGCTGGTACCTGCGAATATCGCCAATATAGACGAACATGGCATGCAAGAGACGGAAACTACGGTTGGGAAGGTGATTGGCGATGCCCTCACATCTCGGGCAGTCCTGACTGGCCCTGATCCAACGACCTGGGTCAGTGTTATCGAGTGTGGTACCGCTGAGGGCAAGCGATTGACGCCCGTAGTGATCTTTACGGGTGAAAATCTACAAGGCCAACACTTCCCGGATAACTTCAAGGAACTACCAGTCCTCAAGACCTGGAAGTACGACTGTACGCCTATAGGCTGGAGCAATAGCAAAATAGCTCTTATGTGGCTCAAGGAAGTATATCTTCCTCAAACAAAGCCCCAAAGGAAGGACGATTGGCGCCTACTAATCCTCGACGAACACGCTACTCATATCGACGAAGACTTCATGCTTCTAGCTAAAAGAAACCGCGTACACCTACTATACTTGCCTTCACACACTTCTCACAAGACCCAGCCACTCGACCGGTCTGTCTTTTCGGCTTTGAAGTCCTATTTTCGCCAAAGAACCCTCGAATTGGCTTCCTTCACAGCCTCAGCACCTATCAACAAGCAACGCTTCCTTTTTTGCTACCGGGACGCCTCAGCGCAGGGTATGTCAGCCCGGAATATCATATCCGGCTTCCGGAAGACTGGAATCTGGCCTTTCCAACCCGCTCGTATACTTGACGACCCCGAGGCGGTCCGGGACGAAGCTGCAAAACCAGTCCCCCCATCCACACCACCCCGGAAGACCCGGGCAACCCGGAACGACCTCTTCAATACACCTCAAGGTAGTCACGACGTCCGCAGGCAACAGGGCTTAGCCAAGACGGCCACTAGTCCCCGAGGTAGGGTCGTCAGGACTATGTTGACGAAGGTAGGGAGGGCACTTGATCAGAAGAATACGGAAATCGCTGCTTTGAAGGCAAAAAACGACTTCTTAGCCAACGAGTTGGAATCCAAAAAACCCTATTCACGTAAAAGGGTCAAAATAGACGCCAACGACAGATTTGCTACTATTGACGAAATTGACGAGGCTCAAAAAGCTAGTCAAAAGCCTCCCAAGAAGAGATCCAAGAAGACCAAGTCCAGGCCTGCACACTTGGTCCAGGAAGCTGAAGAAATTATCGCCCGTGGGCTTGAGCAATATAGAGCGATTGACGAGGACTAGAATGTACTTTTTTCTATAGAATTTGGCCTACAATTGAGTATTTTGACGATTCTTGTGGTGGGCGGTGATGGTGGTGGGCGATTGCAAAGGGGGGCGATTGCATAAGTGGGTCGCCCTGTCTATAAGTTTCAAATTTGAAAAGAGGACGACCACCTATTATTAGTATCTTAATTACCTTAGCTCACGTTCAGTCTCCTGGATGGAGGAGTAGAGCAGATCCAGACCTAATAAAGAAGACAATTTCAGCTCCTTGTTCATCATAATGAGCAGCATGACCATTCTGGTTCACAATACGGAAATTCAGTAGTACAGGATGTTCTTGGGTAAATGGAAGTGAGAGAAACGAGGTCTCTCAACTAAAATACATGCTACGGTAACATTGGGATCATCTTGGATTGGATGTCTTACAATACGTGGGCATGCGAGAGTTTCCGAGGTCGGAAGGATTGTTCTATGATACAATCATGACAAATAGGCGCGTATTTCAGTTGTTGGTAAATGGGAAGTCCCGCATTACAGGATTCTTCCCGGAGTCAAGCCCACAAGTCCTAGTGATGCCTGTTGGCCCGTCGTCTTCTACACTGCTAGTATTTGATTCTATGTCAAGGTGCCTAGGTGATCATTGGGCTTCCTGCAGATGCGAGCAGCAAACCGGGATGCCTAGACACTTCCTAATAATCGAATTCCAGACCTCTATCGTGCTATCTCAGCCCCGTGAGTTCAAGTAGCCAAATCTATTGGAAGGCAGACAACCTAATCAAGTAGGCCCTGGTCTTTTTATCCACTCTGATGCACCTACTCGACGGCCAGCTCCCTTCTTTCGTGTCGGGCGTTATGTAAGGCGGCCGTACTAAACGCCAACTCAAGGTCTAGAAAACGTTCGTCTGAACATAGAAGGCACTTTCGGCGCACAAGAAGCCGGCCAGGTCCTGCCAGGATTAGGGCACAAAGTCCCCACACCTCTTCAGAAAATTTCCACTAGCCTGCCGAACTGCAGCTGTTTTTCAAACTAGGGCGCCTTCTTAGGTATGCACATCTCATTGGTATTTTCCACATTGAAGTCGTCAAAACACACCAGAACTCCAGCGTCTCGCCCAGCCCCAGAAGCAAGCCCTAGCCCTCGCCGATCGCGCAGCGGAGGATGACGTTCTCGTCGATTTTGTGGAGGCCAGCGGCTCCAGAGTCCTGGACAAGAGGTGCGGCCCACTAACCCTTTGCGTCCTTGCGACCTTTGGAGCTAACTATGCGTAAGGCAAGCACTCCGCAGATCTAACAGTACACGAGGCGTCTGCTATGGTGTGCACAAAAAGTCTAACTGAGGAATAGAGGACACCCATCAGTGTCCTCAAGAGCAAAGACGACAAAGAAGAGAGTAAAGCCGCGAGCTCGACCCCGTCCGACAGCGCCAGCGAGAGCGATGACGCCAGTTGCGACGCGTTGAGTTCGTCATAGTTTGAGCCATATTTGTCGCTGAGCGACACTAGGCGAGAGTCTGGAGGAAAAAGTCTTGCGTGCTTACGAACTCTCACCACCGACATCACCCCCGCAATGGCGTCGACGAGAGACGACATGAAGGCTGCAAATTTTTTTTTCAACTATTGGCACATTACTCTGGGAGCCGAAGAGGAACAAGAAGAAAAGGAAAAGGAAAAGGAAAAGAAGAAAAGAAACAAGGAGGATTTCCGCTGCCTTGTCTTGGCACAACACCTCCCTTGCACTTCCGTGCGGGCTATCCTGCACTCCCACACGACCTACCCTGCTAGGCTTGCCATCACATTAGCGACAATGTGGCCGCCCACAATCCATTTCGTCAGCCAGATCAGCCTTCCCGGCGTGAGCGCAGTTGACGGCGAGGCCAGTCTAAATTGTCATGGTGAGACCGGCACACACCCGTCTCCAGCTTCCACTGTTAATCTCCGTCTCGGATTCAGTCACCGATGCATGCTCAAAGCAGTTTTCCCCGGCTTGGACAGCCCACCAGCATCCTTGATTAGCACCTCAACCTTCATTGCAGCGCCTACCGGCACATGGATTTTAAGTTGCAGCGCTGCCCTCTCGGCATCGGCGTCCTTGGCTTTACCGGCTCTCTCAAATTGACACCAAAAGCTCCATTCTCCAGCCTCCAGCCTAGAATAGCTGCCGCGCTTTTCTTTTCTTCTTTTCATTTTCTTCGTTCCTTTTCACTCCATCGATACGAAACTCTGGTCACAGCCGTTTTGGTTTTCCCGCACGATCAACCGCCTCGTCAAAAGCGGAACCGTGGCTGCCGATCTCGGCCTCGTGATGCTCGACCGTTCCGAGAAAGCGATGGCCAAGATCTCATCTCGACACATTACAGCAAAGAACCTTCTCACAGAAGCCGGATACGTGCACAAGACAAACGAGATAAGCTTCAGGGTTTCGGACTCCCGCCGCAAGGATCGCCGACCAAGAAACTTGACTTTGGCGGAATCGCTCGTGTGTCCACGACTTGGCGACAGCGAATTCCCGCAGAGATCTTCAGCAGGAGCAATTAGTGTCACACTTTAGATACGGTATTCATTCCCAGAGGCCAGCCAGGAAAGACTTAATCATATCAAACAGTTGAACTAACAAATGGTCCAGGGTTGAGACAAGGAAGAAGACACACCAATATCTGCGGTTATCGCGGCTTGCCCAGTCGCAGTTGACAACCACACTGCCGGCTGGAGGGAAGCGACGCAACCAACCCGGCGAACGCTGTCCAGCTCCCCCCCCCCGATCTTGCTGGGCCGAAGCCCCCACACTCAGCAACTCGGTTGCTTCGCAAGATGAGCCGGCCGGGTCGGTTTCCCTCTGGTCAGGGGGGGCAGCTTGGCTTCCTTCTGGTAAGGGGGGGGCCAGCCCACAAGAGCTAGACCCTGAGCGACTAGGCCATGACATACACGGACCTGCCAAACCAGCTTGTGCCCGTGCAAGTTGGCGACAAGGACTTGTTCAAGACGACAGACGCGGAGCGCCCCCTGTCGCACCCCCTGGGCGCGCAGAATGAGATTGACAGCGAGGTGAAGAAGAAAATTGAAGAACCAAAAAAAAAAAAAAAAAAAAAAAAAACAGAAAAAGACAAGGACAAAAAAAGACAAGGCCTTCGGGCCGACTCCCTCCAACATGACATCGGGCATCACGATTGAAATTGCTGGCAGGGGCAATTCATGCTGTCGAAGTTGAATGCAGGTCACTGTTGAAGAAGGCGGCAACCGGCGCCAAACCGTATCGACCGGTGTCGAGCTGGGGCTCGTCATCTTCGACGGGCCGGTCTCGATACCGGTCGTTATGATTTGGCCCAGGCCCTCGCCTTCCTCAACAGCGGCCTGCATCCAACTTGACAGCCTGACATGCCCTGCCGCTTCGGGTCTCGGAGCGGTACCTGGCCGGGAGGATGACCGGATGGACGAGGCCTTCCTCACCCCGACATAACTGGTGTGACACAGAAAATAGAGCTGGGGAACTGCATTGAGCAAAGGATGTTGATTGAATGTAGTACAGAGGAAAGAGTCTAGGCTATATATATGCAAAAGAGAGAGCACAGGGGAGTGCCCTGTGTAGGGTAAACGTGGGCACGGTAGTGTTGTTGTGAGCACAGGGGTATGTGGCTGAGGTGCTCGGGAGCCATACTACTGCGCCTTGGCAGGGGTATTTACCGTGTCACAAATGGCGATGTCAACGAGGAACCAAGAGGGTTGCCGTTAGTCCATGACTATCTGAACACACTAGTCTACCAGGCTAAAATTAGCACATATATTAGGAGAGGTGTTAAGAGGTTTATAGATTATCTATATTGTCCATTATAATTACACCGTCTTTAGTGAGCTTGTTCAAGGTAGATATGTGAGCGTTGTTGTGATCGTTGCTGTGATCTTTGGCACTAAAACTTTCGAACGCATGCAGGCACAATGACATGAGCCGTGCTAGTTCTGGAGACAGCAGTGTACCACATCAATTCCCGGGGATTTTTGTACGCCAGGCCTCCCTCAAACTCCAAGATAACCACAATCTACACCGTCAAACGGGTGCCCTTCACTACTCTAGCTTTTTGCAGCTAATTATCTTCCTGCAACTAGCCACGAGAACGGAATCCAAGAGTGAAAAAATATCGGGTCGGCTCGGCCACAGAGCAGTCGAAATTAATGACGGGGTCATAACCTGCACCCCAATCCCGGAACATCCAGCCATTTGAGTCACCTTTCACTAGCGTTGGGGTGGCAGGGAACGGAGGTTTTGCAAAAGTGCCATCTGGGAAAATTGATTGGCTGCGGTGGCCCGAATGTTGTTTTTCAGGGTCAGGGGAGGCCGCGCCGGGGCTCGGGTGAGGGGGGTTTGGCACCCCCACTTGCCCGAAAGGGGAATAAATAAACAACAAGATGCCGGCAGCGAGCGGGGATGGCAACACACCCACCCCCCCTCTAGGCTGCACGAGGACATTCCCGCTATTATGGGTCGCGCTGACCGGGGCTTGCTTTAAATTTGCCTGTTCTTCTCTTCAAATTGTAGATTTTCCTCCTTTCCCGCCCGGAAGACATCCAGTCGGGTTGCAGCTGTGATTCCCAGACGGTATAGACAAAAGCGTGCCGTGAGCCATCGCCATGTCGGACGGCCATCAGCTTCCTCTTGCGCTGCGGCGCTCGCGGCGGAGCAGCCTCGGGCCTCTGAGGCTGGCGCAAACTGCGGCGGAAAAGTCGCTGCCTACGCCCGAGTCCTCTGCCGCGTCGACGCCGAACAAGAAGACCGGCAGGCCAAAGAAGCGCGTGCGGTTCTCTGACCCCGGCCCGCTGCTCGCGGGCAACGAAGACGAGCTTTCCACCGGCCTCACCCCGATGATCCGACGTGCCACTCTCTCCGCTAAGCCCTTTCGGCGACACTCTACCCCGTCGCGGCTCTCGCACAGCGGCGGCGGGCTGTTTAGCGGCAGCGGCGCGGACCACCAGCCTAGCTCGCCGCTGCCGGTGAGCGGCGAGGTGCACCTGCTTCCGCTGCGGCAGGTGCTGGACGGGCGGATCAAGCGGCGCATCCGCCGCAACGGGCTCAGCGAGGAGATGAACTCCATCTACGCGGAGCGCAAGAGGAAGGCGCAGGACACGCAGGCCGAGATAGGCCGGCTGCGCGCCGAGCTAGCGGCCAGGGACGACGAGATCCACCGCCTGCACGACGAGACCATCGAGGTTGACACGGAGCGCGTGTGGGACCTCGAGCGCCAGGTCGAGGACCTGAAGCGCCAGCTAGCCGCCCAGTCCAGCATGGCAGCAGCTGCCGCCGCTGCAGCAATGGTCCCGAGCAGCCCGGCCTTTGAGTGGACGGTGGCCGCGCGGGATCCCTTCTCGGATGACTTTATGGACGTCGATGCAACAGAGCCACAAGATTATGACGACGACGACGACGACGACGACGACGACGACGACGAGTTCGGCGCAACGACAATCGCCGACCTGGCATGCAGCACGCCGACGCGCCGCAGCAGCAACAAAACACGCAACACCTCATTCCCGACGCCGCCCACGACCAGCCCGGCAGCAGCAACAACAGCAGCACAGACGATCCCTGACACGCCGTGCTCGTCGCGCCGCCGCCTAATAGACCTGGCCGGCAGCACACCGTGCAGCAGCATCAGCACGACGGGCGTGCAGGCGACGCTTCCGGACCTGGAGAAGCAGCAGCTCGAGGACGAGCTGGCGGGACTGCAGCTCGAGATGTGCAAGCTCACGACGGCGCTCGAGGCGTACGCGGCGCTGACGGCCGGCCTGGCGGACAAGTTGGCGCCGTTCTCCGCCGCGCAGCAGACGGCATCGTCTTCTCTAGGTCTTGCCGACGGCAATGTCGATAACACCACCACCAATAACAGCAGTAACACAACAGACAGCAGTAACACAACAAATAGCAACACAACAAACAGTAACGCCGCCCACTCCGGCCTCGACGCGCGGCTGACCAGCGTCCTACAGACCCTGGCCGACCGCACCGCCGCGCTGTCAGAAGTCAACAGCTCGCTGCACAGCCTGGGGTTCGCCGGCAGCGACGCCCTCGAAATCATATCCTCCATCGCCTCGTCCCTGCGCTCTGCACGGCTCGAGCTGGAATACGCCACGCCGGGCGAGGTCGCTCTCCCGCTGACCTCTGCCGGCGCAGCAGTGCTGGACCTACTGCTGGCCCGGCTGCGCGAGCTGGCCCGCCGCGCGCGCGAGGCCGACGACTCCATCGACGAGTACCACGCGCTGGAGCAGTCGCTGCGGCAGCAGCTGGGCGCGCGCGTAGACGCCATGGACAGCCTGTCGGCGCGGCTAGGCGCGGCTGAGGCGGCGGCGGCCGGCAAAGACGTACGGCTCGCCGAGCTCGAGGTCGGCATCGACCGGCTGCGCGGCGCCGTGGGCCGGTACGAGCGGGACGTGGCCGAGCTGGAGGCGCTCGTGCAGCGCATGGACGGCGAGCTGGCGGCGGCGAAGCAGGGCGGAGAGGGGCTGAGGAAGGACAAGGCCGAGGCGGTCGAGGAGCTCGAGGTGCAGCTCGTGGCCGCCCGCAGGCAGACGGCGGCCGTGCGCGGCGAGCTGGCGGGCGCGAACAAAGCCCACGGCGCCGGGCTGGCGCTGCGCGACGCGCGCGTGGCCGAACTGCGCGTCGAGCTGGATCGGGTCAATGCTTCGCTGCGGGCGGCGCACGATACTGTCGCGCAGCTGCGTGTCGAGGTCGCGCAGCTGGGGAATGTGAATGCCGCGTTGGTGGGCGAGAACAAAGAGCTCGCCGCCCGTGTGGAAGGGGACCGCCGCAGGGCGAGGGGCGTCATTGATTCCATGAAGGCCGAGATCGAGCGCGTTGCGAGGACGAGCGAGGGGCTGCTGGCCACGCCGAAGAGTAGTGGAAGCAAGCAAAATGCTGGGCGGCTGCTGCTGCTGCCGTCGGCGGCGTCTTCGTCGGGAGGGCGGGACAGTGGTGTCGGTGCGGAGGAGCAAGAGGACAGGGTCGGCCTGGTCGGGTCTGTGACGACGCCGGCGGGTGTGAAGGTTGGCGGAGGGGTTGGGCTGTTCTCGGGCGAGTTAGCCAAGAAGGCGACCAAGAGCAGGAAGCGGAGGCGCTATGACAGCGGCTTGGGGTTTCTGGACGAGGAGGAGATGGAGGGCGACGTGTCGATGGTGTGAGGCATGTATGCGGTGTGAGGCATATCTGCGGTGTGAGGTATGTCTGCAGTGTGAGGCATGTCTGCTGTTGCTTTTTGTTTCGTATGTGGGCTGTTTTGGTAGCTGTAGTCTGTCGAATTAGTGGGGAGTTTTTGTTGAGATGGCGTTTTGGGGCTGGCTGGGCCTGGAGGCAACGGGCGGGATACAAGGTCAATCATTTGGGCATCTGGCGTGCTGGAATTTCCTTCGTCAGAGCAATCTGTTCTACCAACTGTACTTGATCAGCCTTAATTCGCCATATCCAACCTGGAACCGACTCAATATTCTGTTTGTGTGAGACAACTGGTTGCCTCCCTGTGCATTTGCAAACCGGGCCTCAAGTAAATTTCGTCAATCTAGCAACTAACTACCTTTTCCTTTTCTTTTTCCCTTTCTTTTCCCTTTCTTTTCCCTTTCTTTTCCCTTTCTTTTCCCTTTCTTTTCCCTTTCTTTTCCCTTTCTTTTCCTTTTCTTTTTCCCTTTCTTTTCCCTTTCTTTTTCCCTTTCTTTTCACTTTTCCCTTTCTTTTCACTTTTCCCTTTCTTTTCCCTTTTCCCTTCCTTTTCCCTTTCTTTTGCCTTTCTTTTCCCTTTCTTTTCCCTTTTCGCTCCCTTTCCCTACTTTGTCACCCTCTTCTTCTTGGACTCTTCGGGTTCCATATTACATAGGATGGACTAGCCTACAGTCTTCACCCATCACATTGTTCAATACAGTGCCTTGGTACTCGATTACGCTAGAGACTTGGCCTTTGTCTCTTAGTTCCGTAGGGTTAGGGTCCCACATATATGTCAAACCCCTGGAGCAAAATTCCAGAGGCTCGACCTCCAAGCTAAGAGAGCGGTCCAAAATAAACCAAAACGCATGCTACAGCTAGTAGAGCAGCTTGAAGCATGGCATAACGTCTCTCGAAGCTTGGGTTCGCGCCAAGCTTCCGTCGTAGGTTTAGAGTTGTCGTTGTCTGCGTTGCACTGGGTTATTGTGTTCATCCCAAGATTAACCCCTTCAAATTGGTATCTAGTCTAATAACATCCACGGATAAGCAAGGATTTGACAGGAACAGAGCACAATTCCGATCATCGGGGCAGTCTTTCTCGGCCAGCCCGCGTACGTCAAGGCACCTGCACTCGTTAAACCCAGACCCAAGCCCCTTCCCCCTCCCCTGTAGAGCGGTGACTGTCTTTCGCCTTTGACACCCGTACCTTATTGGCCAGGAACGGTATGCACCTGGGTAGCTGCTGCTGTGGTCACACCCCTTACCCTTACCCAGGGGCGCTGCTGCCAAGTACGGAGTAAGCTTTCAGCTTTTTGGCTTGCAGCTTAACAGGTACCTGTAGAACTTACACCTTTCAAGCTCCGACCTTAAACTTCCATCCGCGTTCTACCTTACCGCGCTTCACGTTTCAGAAAACTCGAATCCATCACTGCAAGCTATGATTCATCAAATGTTCCATCAATAATATACTTTCCGGGGTCTTACCGTCCTGCTCACAGGCTTTCGAGCCTGTCACTGACGTGCTCCTCGCCTTGCAGCCGCTCCCAGTCGTTGTTCCCGCGATCGCGGGCAGCTCTGTCCAGTCCAGTCATCCAGCAGCCTCACGGGCAGTGCAGGCAGTGCCATCTGTGCGGGCTGCTGCCGCTCGTTTCTCTCTCTTTCACTCCCTGTTCTCTGTAAATTCCTCCAACCAGGTTGTCTTCCATCTTCCCGCAGTCGTGTCAAACTGCCTGCCCGGCACTGCCCTTCTTTCTGCCAGCACTCGGCCATCATCCCGCAATTGGTTTTGACTTGACTTCGTCCCTGCCTTCTACTCTCAACAGTTTCTTCCCTGGTCTCTACCCTCAACGGTTTCCTCCCTGGTCTCTACCCTCAACGGTTTCTTCCCCTTGTCTCTGTTCTCCCATCGGCAACATGTCGTCTCCAAGACAGTTCTCCGTCGACGGAGACTGGGACCCGCACTGGGAAAGAGACTGGGAGGACCTCCAAGATTACGACATGTCGGTTGTCTCTCTGGCTACCTCGGACAATGGTAGCCAGTCGAGAGGCCTTACAAGCAACCTCTTTCAACAAGGCTCAGAGCCTTCAGAGTCTGTAAGCGTCAAGCTTGGTTTCTGTCAACCCTTCTCCAAAGTGCCGCACCCTGTCAGACTAACCGCCGGGTCACACGACAGGTTGATCCCGCGGACTACCGCCTGACTTCGCTGCAGGAACTTGGTTTCTCTGAACTTCGTGTCAGTAATAATAATATCTCTTGTCGCAAACCCTACGAGTCGGAAGACTCTCCCTCAGACGAGGAAGAAGAAGCCAAGAAACGGGAACAACTCGCGGAGGGGGTTCTCGCGTGGAGAGGCTCGGTCAAAGAAGCCTCGCAACCCCAAGCCACGTTCTATAACATGACAGCTCCGAATGCTAGGGCCATTCGGGGCATGCTTCATGTCCTGGGGACAAGGATCGACAATGCAATCTACTGTTCCGGGAATCTCCCAGTTCCATTCATCAAGCTCTCCGGGGCTTCTGTCAAAGCACTTCGTGCTCCCAGGAACCAGCTCCCTGAGCTGAACCCGATGATTGAAGGGTACATCCAGGCCTGGCGCAACCCAATTTCGCCGTCAATCTTCCCTCCGTATCCTCATCCGAGCGTTTACACCTGGATCGCCGGCATGTTGCGGAGCGTCTCGTCCCTTCAGGGCCTGACCTTCAAGATGCGGAATCCGGAGCTCATCCCAGACTTCAAGGAGGCAGAACGTTCTCAGGAGGTTATGAGATGGGCCGAGAGCACGTACACCGGGTTTGCGTCAGTTTGGGCGGACTTGGGTGACCTAGAGGACTACATGGCCAAGTCTCTCCCTCAACTGTTCAGGTAAGTACTGTCTGCCTTTCCACCTCCCTCACCTCTAAAGACAACCCTTGGTAGAATGTAACTACCCTTGGTAGAATGTAACTAACTCTTGGCGTACCAGCGAGTATGAGAACTTGGCTCTAGACTATAAGCTGCCATTCTTGAAGGCATCATCGAGTTTACAACATGACTCATCCGTTGGTACCGATCGGCAACGCCAGGAGAGTGTAACTGTCAATTTCTACTCTAAAGTTGACATTTCCTCGCTCAGCCTCGTCGACCAGTCGTGGCTGTTAGGGTGGGAGTTGGCGAATTTACGCCATCTCACTCAACAAGCAATGGCTCGTATCCGTGAGCAGATGCTTAAGTGCAAGCGGAAGTCAAAGAAGAGCGGAGTCGGTCGTGGCTCCAACAACAACAACAACAACAACAACACAGTCGCCATGCGTGAAGTGTGGCACATGTACGACGATCTAGACAGGACGCTCGGATATCTAATCACTTCTGCCCAAGACATGAACGACGAGGCGGCCGTTCACATCATCATGAATCTCAGGGCCGAGGAGATTGGCAAGTTTTCCCGGGAGCTGAAAAGCACCCTCATTGCCAGCGGCTACGCTAGCGGCATCGGTACTGGATGCGCATATTCACGGTATAGAAAGGCACCAAGATTTGGCCAGCACGTGTATTACCGGAACAATGTTCGGCGGGATTGGAGTCACGACAGCTGCAGCGACACCGACAGCGGCGATAGCAGTGCAAGCAGCCAGCACACAACCCCAGACTGGACGCAATCTCTGCTGGGCGTGGGCATGGTTCCAGCCCGCAACAACGGAATCCTCGCATTGAAGAAGCTTCCCGAGGTTCCGCCTTTCGACAACACGAAGCCATTCCCTGCGGCGTTGGCCAGGCGCTGGGGATACGACCTCGATGAGGTCAATCAAACCATGGTCAGGACGACGGGTGCGTCAGCTCCGACACGATTGGCATCGGCGGAGAACCGCGCCACGAGCAGTACTCCAGCCAAGGACTTCGGCTCAATCTCGTCGGCACTGGCGCTCAAGTTTGGCGTCAACAGTTCTGCCGGGAATTCGGGCCCCGTGTTCGTAAGCAAGGCCGTCGAGTGGCTTTCCCCTTCGGAGAGTCAATCCCGGTTTGCCGAATGCGGCTCCAGCCGCAACCCCGATCATTCGGCTCCCATCAAGGAGCCTGAGCAGCTTACATTCCCTAAGCTCAAGCCGCCCTACAGAAGGTCCCATCGGATGCGCAGCCTTCTATCATTCAACTGGGCTGGTAGAAAGGTTGCCACGGCAGACGCCAGCACCAGTGTCGCCACCAGGTCGGCTCGAGGTTTGGAGGCCCTGTCAATGAGCTGGGCTAGTACCCAGGTCGCCACGCCAGAGGCGAGCACCAGCTATACTGCCACCTCTGCACGGGGCTCAGAGGTTATGTCCATGAGCGAGGACTGTGAAGGCTCTATCTCATCCTTGGGTGGCAAGGGCAAGGAGACCCCCCTCAAGTCTCCTTGCAGCAGCTTCGTTGGGAATGTCCAACGTGCTGCCCTGAAGGCGAAAGAAGTGCCACCGCTTCAAAACCTTAGAGAAATTGGTCGGATTATGACCAGCGCCCTGACACCCACGGGGCCTCCCCCGGGCCAAGTTTCGCGGCAGCATCGGGACTGATGGAGGTCGGGGTACTACTTCTGCGGCGTCTCGCATCCCCTAGCGTGGTTAATGGTAGGCGACATCACGGGGCGTTTCTCTTGTCTTCTGCTTGTTCAACGAACGACAACAAGAAAGCTTGGGCGGCGCGAATCGGAGCGGCTGCTTTTCGCTTTGCATTCGGGCATCACTAGCATATTGGCGAAGTTGCTTTTGGCGTGCATACATGAGCTTCGCTTTTTCTTTCTTTATCCTTTTCTCTGTCAACGGCATTCCTCCATTTTACTTTCGCCGAGTCTGGGCTTCGATCATCTGGAAGCCGGTCGCATTCTCATGGGTATACCACGTTACCAATCGGTGCCGATGGTTGTTTTTAGCGGACAAAAGGCCGGGTCTGGTCGGGGAAAAGACAGACGGATACACGAACGGACACACGACGAAAAGACGTCACGAATCGAAACGAACCATGAACGGCCAAAGAAGAAGGTAGCAGGACAACAAAATGGGTTTTCTTTTTGCGCTTAGCCTGCTTCATCTTCTTTTCTGGAGTCTGGGCATCATCATCTGCGGTCTAGTCTCATGGCAGACCGGCATGCGTGTGTATACCAACGCATGCATGTATATAACACCAACGGCGCGGGGGACGTTATATTGGGCAAAAGACCTAGTCAGGTCATAGGGAAAGGACGGATGAACGGGCATACGCGGGGGATGCTAAAAAGCATTCTGCTGCCTGTATATTTCTACACTTGCTTTCGTACTCCGGGCGGGAGGAGGATCGGCTGGGCGATCGACTTGGTACCTAGAGAGTCTGGTGTTTGCTTCCCGCATCACTTATGTCGCATGGGAAGCTATATAGCCTTATACTAGCTTGGCCGGCATGAATGGAAATTGCACACCATGCTTCACAGGTTCCGTGGCGCTGGTCACGTCTTTTCTGTGCCATGTGATTTTCCCTGGGATGAAACGTACCAGAGCACTTGTTTGGAGTATAACATAAACAGATGTTCCGTTTCTTGCAGTCCAACCCTCGGGTGCGTGTAGTGGGGACTTCCCGGGATGCAATGGACTCGATTCCTTGCAGCTCGCCAAGCGGCAATATGTATTGGTATCGTCCAAGCCTGCAGAATATTCTCTTGCAAATATACTAGCCAAGGCGTTTCCAAGCCTATGGGATTTTCCGACATTCCTACCGTATTGTCCGCCTCAAGTGCGGTGAGGGCTACGGCCATATAATTAGCTGTTGTTGCCCAGACTGTCAGGCAACGGGTGTCTGTTTCGTCTGCTGGTGTCGCGGTAGGCTACGACATAAAGCGCTGTACCGCGCCAGCAATCGTCTGAGGGTTGAACTGTACACTAAGAGTGAGGGAACTGGGCGTGGACAAGGATGCAGTCAAAACTGGCTCCTAGGGTCTCTTTTGCTGTGACTCGGCAGCTGTATCGCCTCTGAGTCGAAGGGTTCCTGAACGTCGCCGACGTGTAACCATCAAGGAATGAACATACGTGGAAGGTATGAACATACGTGCAAGGTATGAACATACGTGCAAGGTATGAACATACGTGCAAGGTATGAACATACGTGCAAGGTATGAACATACGTGCAAGATATTTGGGAAGTGTAAATGTGCCCGCAGAGTAGTTAGTCACATAGTCATGACTCTTCAGCACTGGTTGTCTAAATAGGTGTACTAGGGAATGGAAAACGATGAGAGTGTAAACATGTAGACGGCGAGCCCCTGTTCCAGGGATGTTCCACGTTTTGCAAAGCCGCCGACCCGACTTCAGGTTCACTTTTTCGTGGCAGCAGACGTGCTTTTGCGAAGTGAAAATAGAAGGCGTTTGAGATGGATGCCGTTTCTCTCACTACCAAGGTAAGTCACTACCAGGTAAGTAAGGACTTTTGCTTCAAGATGCCCCAACCGCCTTGCCCTGAGCTGGCCCGGAAGCTTGAAAGGCGAAGCTAGGGAGCCCCCAAAATGACGTTCAGCGGATAGCCCACTGAACAAGTGGGGCCCCGCTTCTTTTTACTTTTCCTCCAAGCCAGCATCAAGTCCCTTGTTAATCACGTGCCTTCGTCAGAGACCCAAGCTTGCCAAGTACCTTTCCACGCTATCCGTAAGCACCTTAGCTTTACGCTAGGACCAGCCAAGCTCCCCGCTTTCCTCTTCTAGAACGGAGCGCTTTCTGAATTCTGAAATCGCATCACCACGCTTCCTACCACTGCACACTGCACAACACACTGCACAACACACTGCGCACCGCACCTCCTCAAGCCTCCTCGTGCCCGCAGAAGCTTTCCACACCACTCGCAGTCTACCCGCACCTAAAAAGCCGCACCTAAAAAGAATTCATCGCACCGCCGGGTTTCCTCGCGCAAGCGTTCTCGCAACCAAATCCCGATCCCTCCATCCTCCTCAATCATCCGCTTCGGCAGAGAAGCGCGCTCTCCGCACATTCTCTAATCGACAGAGTCAATATCCACCGCCCGCAAAGTTTTCGAGCAAAAAAAATCGTCAACATGCCCGGCAAGAAGCGTGCCCATGTTCCGGATGTCCAGGAGCTCCTGGAGAAGCCATGGTGCTACTACTGTCAGTTCCTCCAATTCCGCACATGCCCGTACCTCCTGCCACGAGCTTCCATTATAGCTAATAGAGTGATTCCACCGCACAGGCGAGCGAGAATTCGAGGATCTTAAAATGCTTATTAGTCATCAAAAGGCCAAACATTTCAAGTGCTCGCGGTGCAACAAGCGCCTGAATACGGCCGGCGGTAAGTTTCCTTCCCTTCGCTATTCTGTCAGACGCGGCCGCCGGCCGGGCTGTTACTAAACCAATTACGCTATCCAGGTCTGGCTGTCCACATGACGCAGGTCCACAAGGAGACTCTCGAGATGGTCGAGAACACAATCCAGGGCCGCGAGGGCCTCGAGGTCGAAATCTTTGGCATGGAGGGCGTCCCCGCCGACATCCTGCACGAACACCAGCGTGCTATTGTTCTCGAGTACAACGCGAAGCAGATGGAGCGTCGCATTGCTACCGGAAACCCTCCGCCCGGTCAAGGTGGGCATGTCTCAACCAAGAGACTAAAGACTGAGACTTCCGAGGAGTTGAAGGCACGCCTTGCAGAATTCAAGGCAAAGAACGCAGCCGCCAAAGCTGCCAAAGCCGCCGCTGCAAATGGAGGAATTTCGGCCGAGGCCAACGCAGGCAGCCCCGGCCAGTCTGTGAGTACCAGCCCTCTGACCCGTGTTTCCTCCCCTGACATCTACTATTATGCTGGGGCTTCTCCCTCCTCCACCTACGCATGCCCCTGGTATGGACTGACATCTCCCCACCCACACACTCAGTACCCATATTCCCAAACCGCATACCCACCCACGACAATGTTCCCGCCTACCTACCCGCCGAGCATCTCGCCTCCTCCCGGCGCTCAGAGCGCCTTCAACCTCCCAGCACGTCCAACTGTGAACGCCCTCGCGCCAACCGTCCTCCCAGCCCGTCCTCCGTATCATTATAACGCGTCTGTCCCTTCGGCCACGGCTAGCGCTATCAGCGACGACATTGACGAAATGATCCGGATGGCGGAGGCTGGTATCAAGCCACCACAGCAGCAAAGCCCAGCCCCAGAGGCGAGCACGGAAAAGAAAGGCAAGAAGGAAAAGCACGTTCGTATGGTTTACGGAACCTCGGATGCGAGCCCGGAGGAGAGAATTTCCACTCTCACTGCCTACAACTTCGTCAGTGTTGGCGCCTAAGTCATGGGCGAATGTCTCTTCTCGGGAGGAGAAGCTATGTCTGAATCTGGAGAAAATTCTGTTTGAGTAATAGCATTGCCGTGGCGGGACTAAATTCTGGGCGAACTTCCAACCTCCCCACTGGAAGGCGAATCCGGGTGTTCCTAGATCTAAGAGGAGGGAATCTGTTTGAGTAATTAACACTGACTGGTGTCGGCGGCTGGTTCACTGGAGGAGTATGGTTGGGAAACTTGGCCATTCCATTTAGGGCCCTGCAAGATGGGAGCGCAGATTTGGCCGGGGTGCTTCCCCACGGCAAAGGCGGAAATGCGGGGAACGTCCAACGGCTTTTCTTCCTTTCTACGTACCCCTGTGGACACCTAAACGTCCACTACGCTGCAGTGGACAGAAACAGCTACCTTGCCTTGGGTTGCCGTGCCTAGCCTCCGGGAACAACGGGCAAACGTTCCTTGCCAGCAGGCCGCCCGGCCCCGCAGACTAGAATGCAAACCCGTCGTCTTCGTTTACCTCCATACCTAGGTAGGCAGCTAAGGTACCTTATTTACTTCAAAGTCGTGGAACCTCCGCCCGCCATGCCATGCCATGCCACGCCATGGCACCCTTTTTATCCGTTCGCCCGGCCGCCCTCTCCGCCCACTAGCCACTGGCCACTATGGCTCACGAATCTCCAGCTAGGGAGGTGCTGTACCGTGTTCTTGGCCGTCTGGAATTGGCCATCCACACGCAGTGTACCCTCCCCCTTGTGTTGAGGGCCGCGGCCGGGCGAGTGTCCGTCGCAGTCGCAGCATGGTGGGAGGAATAGGCAAGCGAGAAAATAAAGTGGCTACCCGCTTATTACCTACCCTCCGCAATGCCAAATGCGACATGGGCCATGGTCCAATTGTGGTATACTGGGGGGGAGTGGGTTAATCTATTTACCCAGGAAAAGAAAAACCGGTAATGAGCTCTGGACACGGAGAGAGAGACAGCCCCTCTCGCTACTCCCCTCCATCTCTATCACCATCTCCAGATTGCATGCCCGCTCCACTGCGGTACGCCGCGGATGCATCCCCGATGGATAGCGGACACCCGTCTGCGTGCGTGCCTTGTGCCTTGCATATCCAGAGGGCTGGGAGGGAGGAGGGATGCTATATAAGTATTATCTCGCTCATGTACGCTGAACATCTGGGAGCTGGATAGTATAGTAGTTGGCCTTCCCCCCTGAGGCTGTTTTTTGCTGTTCCTGCATCCTGCGTCTTGCGCGGCCCGTCTTTGTTGTTTATTGGAGAGAGAGAGAAATGCTCGCCGCGGCGAGTGTCAGGGCGGCGGCGGCCGTGTGGCTGGGTCTCGCGACGGTGGCGGCGGCGCTGGGCCAGCAGCCCATCATCACGTTCAACAGCTCGGCGGCGTCTGCGCTCCAGATCGCCGGCGGCAGCGTCGCCAGGGGCCAGATCCTCGTGTCGGGGAACGACTACTGGGGCGTCATCCGCGCCGCGGGCGACCTCGCCGTCGACTTTGGCAGGGTCACGGGCACAAACTACTCGCTCAGCAACGGCAACAGCAGCGCCAGGCCAGCAGAGTACGAGTACAACCCCATCAATAATATGAATAACACGTTTGTGAGTCCCCCTTGCGCCTGCGTGTGCGTGGCTGTCACTAATACGTGCGGCGGCTACAGTACTCAACGACAGGAAATGCCAGCTTTGCGGGCCCCGCATACTCCGACCCGTCGCCGGCTGACATTGTCGTCATTGCCGGGACGATCGGGCACTCGGCCGTCATCGACGAGCTCGTCTCGTCCAAGGCGATGGACGTGTCGGCCGTCGAGGGCAAGTGGGAGTCGTTTGTCAGCCAGGTGGTCAAGAACCCGGTGCCGGGGTGCGCGGCGGCGCTCGTCATCGCCGGCAGCGACCCGCGCGGCACCATCTACGGCATTTACGACGTCAGCGAGCAGATCGGCGTCAGCCCGTGGTACTTTTGGGCCGACTCGCCCGTGCGGCAGGCCGAGGACATCTTTGTGCTGCCGACCAAGAAGGTGCAGGGCCCGCCGTCGGTCAAGTACCGCGGCATCTTCATCAACGACGAGCAGCCGGCGCTGTCCAACTGGGTGTCGGACCACTGGGCCGACACCCCGTACGGCGCAGGCTACGGCCCGGCCTTCTACGGGCTCGTCTTCGAGGTGCTGCTGCGGCTGCGCGCCAACTACCTGTGGCCGGCGCTGTGGGCGACCATGTTCGAGGTCGACGACCCGGGCAACCAGCCGCTTGCTGATGCCTTTGAGATTGTGCTGGGCACGTCGCACACGGAGCCCATGATGCGGGCGCAGAACGAGTTCGGCAAGTTCTACTCCGGGGCGTGGGCGTACAACGTCAACAACGGCACCATCGACGACTACTTCCGCTACGGCGTGCAGCGGGCCAAGCCGTACGCGCGCAACAGCCTGTGGACGGTGGGCATGCGCGGCACGGGCGACACGGCCATCGAGGGGCTCGGGGTCGACCACATCGTCGCCATGCTGGAGACGCTCGTGGCCAACCAGCGGCGCATCGTGGCCGAGGGGCTCGGCGCCGACGTCGGCGACGTGCCGCAGATGTGGTGCCTGTACAAGGAGGTCATGTCGTACCTGCTCGCGGGCTTGCGCGTGCCCGACGACGTGACGCTGCTGTGGGCCGACGACAACTGGGGCAACGTGCGGCGGCTGCCGCTGCTCGACGAGACGGCGAGGTCGGGCGGCGCCGGCGTCTACTACCACTTCGACTACGTCGGCGACCCGCGCGACTACAAGTGGATCAACACCATCCAGCTGTCCAAGACGGCCGAGCAGATGCACATGGCCCACGCGCGCGGCGCCGACCGCATCTGGATCGTCAACGTCGGCGACATGAAGGCGCTCGAGATCCCCATCAGCCACTTCCTCGACCTCGCCTACGACGCCGGCCGCTGGGACGTCGACAGCACGGGCGCCTGGGCCGCGGCCTGGGCCGCGCGCGAGTTCGGGTCTGCCCACGCCGCCGCCATCGGCACCCTCGTGGAGCGCTACGGCATGTACGCGGCGCGCCGCAAGTTCGAGCTCGTCGAGCAGGGCACGTACTCGGTCGTCAACTACGGCGAGGCCGACGCCGTGCTGGCCCAGTGGGACGCGCTCGTGGCGGGTGCCCAGGCCGTCCACGACGTCCTCGACGCCGCCGCCCAGCCCGCCTTCTTCGAGACGGTCCTGCATCCGGCCCTCGCCGGCCGCATCGTCCACAAGGTCTACATCGGCGGCGCCAAGAACAGCCTCTTCGCCGCCCAGAAGCGCAACGCCGCCAACGACATGATCAGCTACGTGCTCGACGCCTCGGCCGAGGACGCCAACCTCACCAGCCGCTGGGACAGCCTGCTGGGCGGCAAGTGGAAGCACTTTATGGACCGTATGTTGGAACCCTTCCCACGCGTGTGTGTTTGACAGAGGAGGGCGTCTAACTCCCTATCGAAAATAGAAACGCACCTGGGCTACGACGGCTACTGGCAGCAGCCGATGCGCAACAGCTTGCCGGCCATGACGTACGTGCAGACGGCGTTCGCGTCGGTGGCGGGCCACGTGGGCGTGGGCGTCGAGGGCTCCAACGCGACGGTGCAGGGCGACGACAAGTACCACACCAACAGCGGCAACAACCTGGCCGTGCCGCCGCTGGACCCGTACGGGCCCGCCACGCGCTACTTTGACGTCTTCACGCGCGGCACGCAGGACTGCGCCTGGACGGCGTCCCCGTGGGCCCCCTGGGTCAAGCTGTCGCAGTACACGGGCGTCGTCGGGCCGGGCGCGGGCTCGTCGGACACGCGCGTTTTCGTAAGTGTCGACTGGGCCGCCGCGCCCAAGGCCCCGTTCGCCGACACGGTCAACATCAACATCACCACGCCGTGCCGCGGCAAGGACCGCTACGGCTTCAAGGCGCCCATGGTGCAGGTGCCGGTCACCGCGCGGACTGTGCCGGCCGATTTTGCCCGAGGCTTCGTCGAGTCCGACGGCCACGTCGCCATCTCCGGCGCGCACTACCAGTCCATCATCCCCGCGGCGACAAACTCGTCCGCCAACGCCAACGTCTCGTACCACACGTTCGCGCGCTACGGCCGCACCGGCAGCGGCGTCGGCCTGCTACCCCTCAGCACCGAGAAGCTGGCCGTCGCCACGGCGCCCGCGCTCGGATACGAGCTGTACCTGTTCACCAACACGACCGCCGCCAACGTCACCGTCTTCATCTCGCCCGCCCTCAACTACCTCGGCGACGGCACGCCGCTCGAGTACGCCGTCGCGCTGTACCCCAAGTCGTCCCCCGCAAACCCGACGCTCGTCCGCCCCGTCGGCCCCACCGCCGGCGCCAACATGCCCAGCGGCTGGGGGTCCGCCGTCGCCGACGCCGTGTGGGGGCGGATTGGGAACTACTCGACGTCGAGCTTCGCGGTCTCGAAACCGGGCCCCTATACGCTGCGCTTCTGGGCGCTCATGCCCGGCGTCGTCGTGCAGAAGATTGTTGTTGATCTGGGCGGTGTCAGGCCGAGCTATCTCGGCCCGCCGGAGAGTTTTCTTGTTGGCCGTGATGTGGTCGGGGGGTATAAGCAGGGTAGTTTTTTGGATGAGGTTGATACTTTTTGAAGTGTTGAGTATTGAATAGGGGTTGGATTGGAGTCTTAATGTATATTTATATTTATTGTGTGCCAACGCTCAAAGGGAAAAGTGTTTCGTAATTACGCGTTGATTATATAGCTATATACATAGCACCAAAAAAAAGTTGCATGCAAGTGCTATAGTAGCAAAAGTTGTAATATGAATAGGTGAGATGTTAGAGGAAAAAAAGAAAACAATGACACGTTGTGCAGCAGGTGCAGTCTGGCCTTTCCTGGCTTGAGCTCAAATCTTATGTTTCTTACTTTATTTTCCTCAACAGACGTCATTTTGAACTTTGGGTTTTTCCAAGTCAGACAATAAGAGGTAGTATATTTCTTTAGACTATGGGTGGTAAATAATGACGGCCAAGCTGGTATGGTAGAAGGGGCAACGAAATGCTAAATTAATATCTTCATTTTCCCCAACCCTACTTAATTAGAGCATGCTTGTCTAGAGGTCTATTCAGTCTTCTTATTGTTTAGCATGCGAATGCTCGATGTCGCAGTAGACTTGCGAGCGCCATGCCTGTTTACGCCATGCCTGTTTACGGGCTTTGCGTGCTGGTGTCTGTGTTTTGTTGTCATGGAGCATAAACCTGGAACCGGCCAGGGCGGCTCTTCCACTCGGATAACATGGAACTCCTGGCACCAGGCAAAGGAGGCGGAGAACAAATAGGAGGCAAAAAAGGCATCCAGAAAATGGCGACATGGAATATAAGTTTACCCTTAAGCGAAAAAGAGGAGAAAAAGCAAAAGGAAATCGTATGTGGATGTTGAAGATGGCTTCTTATTTCTGTGCATTTCCTTGGCAACCCTGGAAAAACAACTTTCTTCCTTCAGCCCTGTTACATGATTGCACAAAGATTAAGGATCTTCTAATAACTTTGTCCTGCATTGTTGATTCAAGGCATTGTTGATTCAAGGCATTGTTGATTTAAGGCATTGTTGATTTAAGGCAATCATTACCTAGATTTCTTAGTCTAGAAAACCAGCTGTGCCGATGCCGAGGGTTGCTTCGGATTGCACCTCACGGATTCCAGTGTTTGCCAGTGCTTTGCTTCAGCGCGCGCATTCCGCCTAGGAACTGCCAGCAACGGGCCCAGATCTGCACCGGCGCTGCAGTGGGGCAAATTTTCAGGAGACGTGGTGGGGCCGCTAGCCGTCGCTGCGGAGACGGACAGGCAGGCGCGACCAAAACAGCCTGAGCGCCAATCCCAGCGCCAGAACGGGAAAGCGCCAAAGAAATCACAGCCCAGGCTCAGGCTACCCGCAACGTCATTCCCTCCTGTGCTCCTTCCGCTCTGCTTTCCGGCAACCAGAGATAGACACGCTCGCCGCACTCGACGCTCTTTACGATTGCGACATTTATTATTCGGAACTTCTCCAGGCGCCTTGCTCGGCGTGGAACCGCTGCGACAGTAAACAAGCGAACGAACGAACGACAGCTACGGCGGTTTTGTTGACTCGACCATCGCCCGCCGCCGCTCCAAGGTGGACGAGCAACCTGCCCCGAATTCGCGGATTGGATGTTCGACAACCCCAACTGAACCTCGAGATGGCGCCCCTAGACCCGGGCGCTGCTTCAATCTCGGTCGCAGGTGCGCACTCTCCCCCCTCCGGCGTCGCCGCCTATGCGGTTTGCTGACCTCTTGACCAGTCCGAGTGCGACCGTTCACAGTTAGAGAAGCCGCCCAAATGTAAGGAAAGCTCCCTCGAAAACTTGCGCCCGGCCACCCGCTAACCAGTTCGCGCAACAGAGTCAAGCATGACGACGGCACAATGTTTCTCGGCGACGGGTCGCTCGCTGGCGCACCGCCAAAGCTGCATCAGCGCGGGATCCGATCGGTAATCAAGGTGGTGGACGACAGATGCCTGTAGGTGACCCGGGCACGGTGGCGAGCAGACAATATGGGAGGTAGAAGCTGACAACCTTCGCAGCGTGTTCGACCCCCCCGAAGACAACCCGATGCAGAAGTTCTCCAGGTCGGTCGTGCCGATGGGGAAAAAGGTCAAGGATCAGATCTTTGCCTTCGATCGCATATTCGACGACAACGCTTCCCAGGTCGACGTCTACGAGGGCACGACAAAAAACCTCCTTGACAGCGTCCTCGACGGCTACAATGCCACCGTCTTCGCCTACGGCGCTACAGGGTGCGGCAAGACGCACACCATCACGGGCACGTCGCAGCAGCCCGGCATCATCTTTCTGACCATGCAGGAGCTGTTTGAGAAGATCAACGAGCGCAGCAGCGAGAAGACCACAGAGGTTACCCTGTCGTACCTCGAAATCTACAACGAGACGATCCGCGATCTGCTCGTGCCTGGCGGCAGCAAGCAGGGGCTCATGCTACGCGAGGATACGAACCAAGCCGTCACGGTCGCCGGCCTCACCAGCCACCACCCCAGAGACGTCCAGGAGGTCATGGATATGATAGTACAGGGCAACGAGTACCGCACAGTGTCGCCCACCGCGGCAAACGCCGTCTCGTCACGCTCCCATGCCGTCTTGCAGATCAACATTGCGCAAAAAGATCGCAACGCAGACATCAACGAGCCGCACACTATGGCCACGCTGAGCATCATCGACTTGGCGGGAAGCGAGCGCGCAAGCGCCACCAAGAACCGAGGGGAGCGGCTGCTCGAGGGCGCCAACATCAACAAGTCGCTGCTGGCTCTGGGCAGCTGCATCAACGCGCTGTGCGACCCACGAAAGAAGAACCACGTGCCCTACCGGAACAGCAAGCTCACCCGCCTGCTGAAATTCTCCCTGGGTGGCAACTGCAAGACGGTCATGATTGTCTGCGTCAGTCCGTCGAGCGAACACTTTGACGAGACCCAAAACACTCTCCGCTACGCCAACCGCGCCAAGAACATCCAGACCAAGGTCACGCGCAACGTCTTCAATGTGAACCGCCACGTCAAGGACTTCCTGGTCAAGATTGACGAGCAGATGGCCATGATAAACGAGCTCAAGGCGCAGCAGAAAGACGCCGAGAGCATATTCTTCGCCAAGTTCCGCAAGCTGACGGAAAAGCGCGACGGCGTGGTGCGCGACGGCATCATGAGACTACGCGCAGCCTACGAAAATGCCGCCGCAGAGCGCCAAGACAAGATCAACTCGATGAAAAAGTTGAGGACAATCGAGCGGCGGATCGGGCTGCTCTCGGCCTGGACTGCCGCGTTCGACACAGTTTGCGATAGCCGCGAAAGCGAGGACGCAATGGCGCCTAGCCTGGCCGCCATTCGCAAAACGGCGCAGGGCATTCTGGTTGAGCTGGAGGCAAGCAGGCAGCACATCCACCAGAAGCTCGACCGGTCGAACTGGGAACGAGCCCTCGACTCGGCCTTGCACCACAGCATCTCCCAGCTACCGTCGGGAGATGGAACTTCGGATGGCTCAGAGCAAGACACGTTGTTGCGCGAAGCCGAGATGCTCAAGGCAGGCTTTATGAGAGACGCCTATCGGGAGGTGCTCGAGCACGACAAGGCTGGTGATGCAGCGGTCCTGCAAGTCCTTCTCGCGGCCCAGTTCGACATTCTGTCATCGCTCTCGGAGCTGCTCACCATGAGCGAGGAGGAAGCCGTCTCCCACGCGAAATCCACCATCAAGCGCCTTCTCGAGACGGGATTCTCGGCGGCGTCGCACGTCGTAAAACCCGACGGCGCAATGATGCCCGTCGAGCTGTTCCCGCCAACAAAGCGCGGCACTCCCAAGCGCAAGAAGGCTGCCCCTGTCAACGTCCGGCCTGTTGCCGCTCCTGGTTTGGCGGCAATATCTGCCGCGCAGCAGCAGGCCCTTGTTTCTCCGGTGAAGGCATCTCCTCGGCGTCGTAAGTTTGGCGCGGTGCGGAAGGGCGTGTCCTTTACCCCGGTTAAGAAGAAGCCGACTGTCCGGTGGCGCGATGACGAGACAGAACAAGGAACCATAGCCGACTTTGAGAAGACGCCGCAAGCTTTCACGTCGCCCGATGAGGCCGCGATCGAGCCACCAGTCCCCGTTCGGCCTCCGGTGCCCTCATACCTCAACCACATGAACTCTCCCCAAGAGTCCAGCCCCTCCCTCGCCCTTCCCGACGTATCATCGCTCCAGGTCGGTAAACCAAACAGGTTCCAAGCGGGCTTCTTGTCGAAGGGCCGGCTGTCAAGCCAAGGGTCCGGAAACGGCTCCCCGACGCCTCCGACAATGACGCTGAACTTGACGTCCTCACCGGACAACGAAGACCGCCCGACGCCCTTGCGCAGCATTCCCGTGAGCCGAGCATCTAATGTCTACTCGTCTCCGAGGAACGGCAGCCCAAAGGTCCCCACCATGTTGTCAACACTGGACGAGAATGATCCACCCCGGCAATTATTGTCGATACCTGTTCCCGCTGCATCTGGCTCGGATTCCGAGACGTCTACTATCGATCCGTTCAAGCTGCGGTCGGCACTCCACTCCAGCAAACGGCGCGACCGGCTTTCCTCGGCGTCGAGCCATGCTTCAACTTCAAAACGCCTGTCCTCGGCCGGCTCGGGGTCCGGGCACCACCGTGCCTCGGCCAGCTATTCCGGCCCGCTGTCGAGCTCCACAAACGGCATCTCCCGCCACCGACGCGGAAGCGCCGAGCGCCGCCGGTCTCCGCCCATCACGTGCTCTCCGCCGTCGCTGGGCAACGACTCGCTGGTGGCCGCAAGGTCTCTGACGCCCGGGCAGGCCCGCCGCATGAACCTGGGCGGCAGCGTGCGCCTCGACGGCATCAGCCCCCAGCGCGAGCGCATCGATGGCAAGGCTAGGAGAATTACCATTGGAAGCGCGGGCATGGCGGCCGCGAACCACAATGCCGGCCCGGCGAGGCCGCAGAGGTCAAGTGTGATTTGGCGGTAACCAGAGAGAGAGAAACAAGGCGGGGTTTGTTTGGGTTTGGAGCGAACTTGGGTTTTTTTACCCCTGTCTGGATGTCTGCATGGATTCATGGATGAATAAATATGATATCAACAACAACACACACCCTTTGCATACCATGCCACTTCCTGGCTCGGAACTGTGGTCGGATTCGGGGTTTAATTTTTATTCTTTGAGAGAGCAGCCTGTTGTTTAGGTAGTTTAACTGGGATCCGTGTTTGTTGTCTGTCTGGGCCGGCGTTTTTTTTCTCCCTCTGGGGGGTGGGTATCTTTGTATTTGTATTCTGTCTTATTGCGCACACATGCATGCAACATGTGGGCCTGGGTTTTGTTTATTGTTGTTGTTGTTATTCATTCTGAAATCAAGGGAGCTGTTGCTGCTTCACGTCTAGTGCATCTCCTGGTGAATTAATTGTAGGTGGTGGTGTCTATTGTTATTTTCTCGCTTGGTCCGCAACATAGGTCAATGCGAGTTTTGGCTGAGGCTGCAGCCCCTCAGGTCTCCATTGACTACGCACTGAGCGGGGAGGCCTATGCTGGATAACTGAGTTCTAGAACTACCCACGTGCCTAGGTAAAAGAAAACTAGATAAAAAAAATTCAGATGGACTCCGTATGTGAAGCACAGGGTGGGGGAAGGCGTTGTTAGTAAGAAGCTAAAATCAATTTTGTGCAAGATAATTCACGGAGTACTTGCATCAAGCACTCCTACTTAGACTACCAGCCAAAGGAATTTTTACGTCTTTCTTAGCTCCTAGTCTCGTTGTCTGTCTGTCTGTCTGGCTGGCTGGCTGGCTGGCTGGGTTAATATCCTGGCCAGGCATGATATTTCACACAAGTGATATACCACGAGCTCGTACACCCAAGCGCAAGAAAGATTTGACACCAAGTCGAGCCACGCCCACCACGCTTGTTTGTCCGCAGATATCCAAGGTCCTCGCAAACCAACCCACTCTTTCACCACCATTCACCGCTCCCCATTCGTCACACACACACTCGGTACCTTCGATACAAAAGAAAAAAGGCAAAGAGTTCATCGTCGACAGCCTCGGCATGTGCTGGCACAGAGGCGGCTCAGGCGCCCTCGCTGTGCTCGCCGTTGCCGTTCCTCTCCTTCTCGGACACGACGGCCGCCTGCTCGCCGCGGCTCTCGCTTTGCAGGAGCTGTTTGAGGCCGATCTCGGCGTTGATCTCCTCCATGCGCTCAAAGTCGGCCTGGGCGGTACCCTCAGAGCCGAAGATGACGTCCTGTGTGTGACAAATATCAGCGACTGGTCTGGGATCTATACTCGACTGTAAAGCTGGAGGCCTCGCATCCACGTGCAAGAATTCATTCTCGATAGGGGGGAGGGGAAACTCACCATCTCCTCCAGTGTGAGGCGCTTGGTCTCGGGCACAAAGAACCACACAAACGCGGCGCCGAGGTACGTCAGCAGGCCGAAGAGGATGTAGGTGCCGTAGGTGATGCTCTTGAGCATGTCGGGGGTGACTTGGCCGACAATGAAGTTGTTCATCCAGTTGCTCGAGGCGCCGAGGGCGACGCCGTAGGGGCGGGTGCTGAGGGGCCAGATCTCGGCGACGATGATCCAGGCACACGGGCCCCACGAGTAGCCAAAGTGGATGACGAAGAGCCAGACCATGCACACGGCGGCCCAGCCGGCGGCCGGGTGCTCGTCCCACGAGTCGATGTTCTTGCCAACGATGACGGCGATGATGATATGGCACGTGGCCATGCCAATCGCGCCTACCGTCAGCACCGGCTTGCGCCCGACGCGGTCGATCCACAGCACCGACGGGATCGTCGCTAGGAACATGACGATGCCCACCACCCCCGTCGCCAGCAGCGACGTGGTGTTGTCGCTGAGCCCGAGCTGCTTGAAGATTGTCGGCGCGTAGTACAGAACGGCGTTGATCCCGGTCCACTGCGCGTGTGCACATTAGCCGAGCTCATGGTCCGGACAAAACAGACAAGCCTGTGCTAGTAGTGACGGAGGCTGACGTAGATAGCAAAACATTGATATCAAGTAGGACAGCGACGCCACGGAGAAATGAGAGAGGCTCCTCAGGGGGCATCTTTTCATCGGATCTTACCTGCTGAAAGAACATGGTCACAGAAGCAACAATGACGCGCTTGAACATGGCGCGACTCTGAAACAGCCGCTTGATGGCGACAAACTGCAGCTTGAACGTGTTCCAGGCCGTCTGTTCGCGGAGCTCGGGGAACATCTCGGCTATGGTGCGCTTCTCGAAGAGCGACTGCGCCTTGATCTCGAGGAACTCGAGCTCGACCAGCTCGTGGTCAGCCGAGAGGCCGCGGAGGCTGGACAGGACCTTGCGGGCCTCTTCCTCGCGCCCGTGGTGGACGAGCCAACGGGGTGAGAAGGGCATGAAGATCATGCCGATAAACAAGATCATGGCGGGAGCCAGCTGGAGGCAGATGGGCGTCAGCCAGGACGCATCCGTCTGCGTGTCGATGGACGTGCCGCCGATGAAGTTGGTGCCGCTGTTCAGTCGCTGTAAGCCAAGCTCACCAAGCGGCGGCTGCTTGAGGAAAGGGGTCGGGCGCCGAGCCATGACTTACTAGTCAATCCAGAAGCTGATCATGATGCCGAAGCAAATGGCCAGCTGCTGCGTGGCCACAAGAGCTCCACGAACTTCAGGGGGCGCGACCTCAGAGTTGTAGATGGGAATGATCATGGCCAAGCTTCCAACCCCCATTCCGCTGCACAACAACGCGTCAACACAGCCGATTCTATCATCTCGGGGGGCTAGAGCCTAATAGTAATGCGCTGAAATTCAGGGGCCAGGCGTGGGACGGTCCTTACGTGATGAATCGACCAGCCAGGATCGCGTCATGTCCCGCCGTGACCGACGTAGCCTGGACGATGACACCCAGCATGAAGACGGCACAAGCCACCAGCACGCCGTACTTTCTCGAGAGAGTCTCAGCCAGAAACCCAGACAGCAGGGTGCCGATCCAGGCGCCCAGCTCGAGAATCGACGTCAGCCAGCCCTTCTTGGTCTGGTCGGCGTTCGGGTCCAGTGGGTCGTAGTCCCCCATATCTCCAGACGTCAAGCAGCGTCAGCACCGCAGTCACGGCGTGTAAGAGGAGGTTAGATCCTAGTACTCACGCTTCTGGAAAGACGGCATGGCGAGCACACCCGAGAACATGCCCTGGTTGTAGCCGTACAGGACTCCGCCGATGCAGGCGAAGGCGGCAATGCTGAAGACCCTGAAGTTCTCGACCAGAGCTCCTGGGCCGCTCTTGCCCATGAGGGCCTGGCGTCTGTTCAGTGCGGCATCGTAGATGAAGCCTGCGCCTGTGCTGGCTCCGCCCATCTTGGCCCTGGGGGTATATATATCTTTGCTCTTTTGTGGCTGGAAGGTGTCGAATCCAAGACGAACTCGAGGCTACGGGCTCAGCTGAGGCACTGCTCGGTGGTGACAGAGAAAAGGCCAGAGAACGACAGGCTGGGCGGTGGAGTGGAGATATGGCATGTCTCGAGGAGCCAGAATCGCTCGAGCCTTGGGGAATCCATCATCCACTGGGATGAAGGGAAGGACCCCGAGCAATCAATACAACCTTGTAGGCCCGGCTCATCATCCAATTGCCCGGGAACCGAGCCTCGAGGAGAGACTGGGGGCAACATTGGGGTTTATGCAATGCACCATGCCGGATAGAGAGCAGCGGCGACGAGATTGGCCCACGGCCAAGCTGTAGCGTAGCTCAAGAGCAACAGGAGAGCTCCCGCGCGAATCACATCAACAGCAACCTCGCAGCCCCCCCGGTAGTGTCGCTGTCACCCCATGCCGAAGCGTCCCGCATCGTCAACAAACCCGCAGCCGGGGGAATGAGGGGTAAATTGAGCTTGATAGCAGCAGCTCGAGCCCATTTCATCTCGCCCTGCGTCCCGGATGAATGGTAGTTGGAATTCTGCAACTACTACTGCTCCGAGCGTGCTTCTATTGGGTCGAGGACCAATAGGCAAGGTACCTACCGCCGGCTTCCTTCCTTACATCCTCCTCCGTGGTCCTGGAAAACTTCCTGGAAGACGCAACCAGAGTGTGCAACGACGGCGCAACCCACCGTTAAAGCCCAGACCGGGAATAACTTCTAGACTTCTGGAGATGCTGTCGAGATGCCGAGTTTCTTTCTCCCCCGCGAACATGTAGCTCGACGGTTGAACCAAGCATTGGCTTGTGCCAAGCTATCCATGCAGATCTCGCCGTGAACGGCTTGCTGCCCGTCCCGTAGGTGTGACTACCGGCCATAACGGGTGACAGAAACGATGGAAAAGAGTGCCATGAGGCCCGCAGGGGTACATCGAGGCATGGCCGCATTTAGCCTGAATACCACCACTCTCCTTCCGTCCATTGCCCATTGGAACAAACGAGGGAACAAGTCCGATCGCTCGCAAAAACAAGCAATTGCGGGAGAGCAGCCACATAGTTCGACTCATCGGGCCTTTTTTCGGTTATCGTATCGTGGCTCACGGCAGACAGCCCGCTCCCAAGGGATCTGTGGGGTGGCTTTGTGGCTTGGAGGCGCTTAAAACAGCCGTTGGCCTTACTTATTGTTTCCTCATTGCAAATAATGTCCCGGGCCAATAGATGCCGAGTCGCGTGCAACCTCAATGAAGAAATCGGTTGTGGCGCGACATTCTGGGTGGGAGGGGCTTACATCGTCGCTCGGCGAGCCAACTTCTCGGCCTTGCCATGTCGCAGCACAGCCCTGCTGAGTATGTGCCAGCTGCCAGTTTCCTGTGACAACTTGCGCGCGTGGACAGGTTGACTTGACTTGGGCTGAACGATTCGCCTGAAACAGCTGGATCGAGGGAGCTCGTCACGACATCTTATGGCTGCCTGCTCCACTCCGAGTGCGGTATTCCAAATCCCGAAGCATCGCGGTCTCAACAGATGGCCAACATAATCAGGAGTATGGCGAACACACATAGGCCTTGCTGGGACGGTGAAACTCAGCGGGAATCTGTTTCGACAAGAGTTCAACAGACAAACAATTCTTGCTGCTGCCGTGATTGATGTCCGGCATCACCGGTGCTGTTTTCCGAGGCCATGGACTTCCTTTAATACCCGCACGGGAGCGGGTTAACTGGGGAGATAGTGCACAGGCGGGAGGACGGCTGGGAAACCTGCTCGCCCTCTGGGCGGCTGGGCCTGATCACCGCGTCTGGACACCGCCCGGACGCCCACCGAGGCTGCCGGCCTGTGCGGACCCGGGTTGATCTCGGGCGTCTTACCCGCCCGCGGCAGATCAGCAGCCACATCTGCGAGCCGCGGGGAAATGGTGTGCGGGGTGTGCACATACATGCATGCACTCGGTGCTAGGTGTGCAGGGAGATAGGCCGACGAGACTTGGGATGAGGGCAAAGACAGAAACAAGCATCAACGCCCCAGACTCACCATCGCGCAACCAAATAAGGATAAATCACGCGCCCAAGGCTTCCGTAGATCATCCATTTTCCAGCGTTGCAATTAGAGTGTTTTAGGAGTTTGTTGGTTTCGGAGACATCAGCAACGCGCCATACGTCATCTGCCGACTTGAACCGATGTGAGATCTTTCAAAGTACACCAACCTTAACAAAAGTAAAACAACTCTAAATCGCGCAGTGCCGGGAAGCGGGCCCAACAGCGCGGCACGATCGCCAACAGGATGAGAAATGCGGGGGGGAGGAGCAGGGTGTGTCCACCCGACGTGGCGGTGTTTATCGCATTCGCAACTTCGCAAGCAAACAGGTGGATAATGGTAAGCATAGTTCCGCAGCAATGTGGTGCTGATGAGCGGATCGAAGCCGCCTCTAGCGTCGAGGGGGTATTACGATGGACAAGTTTCGCAGCGAGCTTTCGTCAAGTGAAACGGCCCGCGGGAGTAGCGAGATGCAGAAACAACAAGACCAGTCGACCGGGCAGGGCAGGACAAGGCGAGCCCGGGCCTGGATCGGGGCTGTCGGTACATACCTACAGTAGAGTAAGTAAAGTACAGTAAGATACTAAATGTCTGGGAGGTGGAGGTACCAAAGGGAGGCATCCATACGGGCCAGGACAAGCCACAATGTCAATCACGGAAAACAATTGCCGACGGGCGGTTGACCCGAATACTTAGCAGCTGGCTCTGTCTGGCTGGCATCCATCGGGTGTAACTTGCACGAACCACAGAGATGGCCCGAAGGACAAGCCTCGGCCGGCCGGCGGCAGGCTGGGACCGGTCGACGCAGGCCTGAAATGCATGTTTCGAAACGGCTTCTTGGCGTGGGCACATACCAATTAGAAGCCGGCGTGTCCCAAGGTTCAGGTGGTTTATGCTTGAAAGTTGGGCAATGTAGGTATGGGGCGGGCAGCGCGAATCCTTGAAGCTGAAGCCTAAACACGGGGAACACGACATGAGAGGCTGAGGTAGTGGTGGATTAGATGTGGCTGTTGTATGGATGGTTCAAGCCTGGACGGCATCGTCCCTAGACTACCCCGTGCTAGTAGTCGAGCGAGTGCCTCCTCCTGGCAAACACGCGCCTCTCGCGAGAGAAGAAGTGACAACTCGGAATGGTTTATGACGAGAATGTTTACGACAACTGCTGCCTACATTCGCTTGAGCGGGCTGCAGCAGGAAACATAGTGCACATACGTCTCTGGCCGAGATGGAGGTTGAGTATCTGTACGCGGGCGGGCAAAAGGCAAGCCATGCGGAGTACGGATACGTACTGTACTTGACCTCTGGTCCGACTGCCCTGGACTGGGACCAAATTGGAAGCCAAAGGACGGAACGGGTGGGTGGATGAAAGGCAGTTGGTCGAGAAATGGAGGGAATAATGTCCAGACGGAAGGAGAAAGATGGCTCCAAGTTGCGCGCCGAATTCGTAGGTTATCGCATTGACTTCCGCCGCGACAAAGATAGGAACTTGGCGCAAGTGTCGTCGTCGTTGACCTCGCTGTCTTTTTGTTAGGGTGACAGCAGGACGCCAAGGATGGACGCCCCCAATTTAGGGAAAGCGCGGTAGTGAGCTCCAAAAACGGTGGGGCGTCAAGAGATCTGCTTTGCATCTGGTGCCTGGCATAAACTCCAACTCTAGCAGCAAATGGCAGGCGCGTTGGAGCGAGCGACAGACAGGCAGGTGGAAACGAAGGGAGAAACAAACTGGGCAGGGTCGGTGCCGTGCAGGTACAAGGCGGCCAGTCAAAGCCTCGCAGCAGCACGGAAGACGGGCCAATGAGAGGAGGCGGATGAGCGAGGGGCACGTGCGTTTCTCCAAAATTAGTTTGTCGCGCGCGTCTGCATCTGCCACCGCAGTGTTTCGATCGGATCCCCAGATCTCCCGGCAGCTTCAGCCAATCCAGCAGCGCCTTTTGTTTCGAGCAGGTCCGTTTCATCTTATTTGGGTGCACTGGTGCAGCCAGTGTCGCGCTGTCATTTGTCTCTGCGCCTAGGGTCGTCGTGGACTGTACTGTACAGCTGCCACAACGGGTAAAAAAAATCGGCGATAACACGCGAGGCAGCTGCGAGTCAGGACTCAGCCGAGCCTGCGACAGGGCAGTCCCGATCGAATGTGGGAGTCGGAGGGTCTGACAGCAGCCCACTTCAGCCCAGAAGCAGCTTAAACCTCGGGGGCCGGTTTGAGATTGGCGCTGGCGGGCGCTTCTAATCGCTGCACCCGCGGCTACCAGGTTCCGGTTGCCCTGGCTTCCCGACTCCTGAACCTCTGGGCATTGCTTTGTCGGGCGTTGGCTGTCTTGGCCATTGCACTTCCCCCCTCGAGATTGCCCGCTCTCCATGTGCAGACTGCAAGACGCCGGACAGACAAACATCAGACAATGCACCTCAATCCTCTCCCTGTAGCCCCGTGCATCGGCTCCTTTTTGCCTCAAGTTCAATTCGTCTGCTGCTGCCCCCCGACTGCGACGCTGATCCCAAGGAATGCAGCGTGCAGTCCTTGATAATCTTTGTTGACGCTCATCTGCGTTCCGAAGCGAGTAGCGATACGCTCCTTCGGCCTTTGTCGCGCGCCAGCACAGGACAACAGCACAGGACAGCACAGCGTATGCATCGCGGCTGCGTCTCTTGAGATTCAACGCTGTCGAGTCCCGTTCTGTCGGGTCCCAGGGGGCTCGCCCAGGGCCAGGTCAGGTCAAGTCAGGTCAAGCAGGTCGGGTCGGGTCGGGTCTTTGCTAGGTCACGTCTTCCGGTTTTTGTCCTCCCTCGCCTGTTGGCCCTGCTCGCCGGGCTGCGGCCAGTCAGAGGTTTGGCCAGCTCTGAATTGTCCACCGACCCAAGGCCCCAGGATCTGGCTCTGTCGTCGTTTTATCGTGTTTTGGGGCTCTGCCAGCGCTGCTTCTCACTGTCTGCAGTGCACTCACTGTTAGACCACCGCGTTTGGCAAGTCTGCTGTTGGTTGGAGCGCCTGTTTCCGTTTCCGCTCTCCACTGCTATAGCGGGGAGCAGAGTAATAGCAGCCAGCACAGTGCCACGGCAGCTCAGCAGCCATTCTTACTCGTCCGCTTCAGCCGTTGCAGGGCATGGATGCAGGCACGGATGAGCTAGGTGCGGCAGGACGAGGCTTGGGCTCTGGCGAGGCTAGCGGCGCCAAACTGGTCTTGCAAGTTGCAGTTCCACTGCCAGCCGCTCTCTCTCGTTGCTAAGGTTGGGGTTAAGCTATTTCTGGCATCCTCAATCGTTCGGCCACCTGCAGCTTTCCCGCTCCCGCACCGCACCTCAACTTACCTCAGGTTGTACTGGGCTGTCTGTACCTTACCTCCTTAGGTGGAAGCGAGTACACACACAACCTCCATCAGCTATGCTCACACTCTGGCTCGGAGCCGTCTGACTCCCAGTTCCACGCACTCCACTGTGCTGTGCAGAGATGGTGCTCCATTCTTGCGTGCCTTACTGGCCGCCGTCCTGAGGTGACAAACTGCTGTTAACCTTACCTTACCAATGTTTCCATGGGCGACCGGTACCTGCATTTGGCGGCACTCTTGCTCCAACACTAGGTCACGGCACAGGATTGCATCAGATCGTCAAGCGACGCAGCTGGGCCCTTTTCTTGATGGGGCTCTCACGCCGTTGGAACATTTCACATCCGTATGGCATGGCATGGAATCTCTCCTCTCCCCGCGCAGACCAATCTCTTTTTCTCATCTCATCATCCTTGGTTCTGTTGCCGCCTGTCTGTCCGTTCTTCTTTTTGCCGGCGGACCTTCTCTCATCTGTCTGTATCCATCACTACACACACGTCCACTGCCCTGTCGCTCGAATTCCCCCCCCCCCCAACCCAACCCAACCCAACATAACCTACCCCTGCCCCCCTCCCCCCAAGGCTACATTAAATGCTAGCCGCCCTCGAGTAGGGCCATCTCTGGTCAACCCTCGTCTCCACTCGAGCAGGCCGAGTTCGTAGCCGCCCGCCTTTCAGACAGACGCCTTCCGAAACTCTTCAGCCATTAGCAGAGGCCGCTGGTCGCTCCACGAGGTCTTTCACATACGGTGCTTAGTTTCAAAGCTCCAAGCTTGCTGGTAGTATATCCTTGTTTCAGATCACCAACCCCGGCCTCGCCCACCTTGCCCGCGGACCACAAATGGTGTAGACGGCCGATTAGTCGCCTGGGTTTGTTTTCTACTTGGTCTCCTTTCACAATACCCAGTATAAGTCGACCGCTTCTCCTTCTCCGTCCGACCGACCTTGAGCCTTTCTTTCTGTCCCTCGAGCCCTCCGACCCGCCACGCCGCGACCCAGTGTCCTCTGGCAACCCCTCGTTTGTTTTCTGTCAAGTTTCCTACTGCTGTCTCTATTCGGTTCACATCTCCTTGTGTTGCTGGTCAGCATTTCGTTTGACACGAAACATCTTTGCACCGACCTCGCCTGCCCTGCCCGTCGCCTCCCAGCTGGACCACGCTATACAACCAGGCTCGCCGGCGACCTTCGACCATACCGTTGCATTCTCTAATAGGTAATCGCCCTGTAATCCGACCCGGACATCGCCCGCCCCGAAACATCGCCCGCCACGAGCCCGAGTCCGTCTCCGCCTCCTTCCGGCGCCGATAGACAGCTCACCATCCGAGCATTGAAGAGGGAGAGAGGAGAGAAGGAGAGAGATAGGGAGAGGGAACGACCCAGCATCGAGGCTAGGCACGCCTCATATCATGCCCAAGTTGACTCGGCCGCCGAGTCACCACCAGTATCAACAACAACCACAACAACAACAACACTTCACCCCTTCGATCGCACCCACAGCTACCATGTCATACTACCCTCCTCCCCGGCAAGTGGGCGGCTACTATGGAGATCTCACCTCGGCCGGCGCAGGCCAGATGCACATGCAATCCTACGACGCATATGCCGTGAACCCAGTACCCCCGCTGCAGATCCCGACTCAAGGGACAGCAATGGGCGGCCCAGTAGGCGGGCCTCTGCCCACACAGCACCGCGCTTCGTCAGGCGCGTGGAACCAGGACGACGACCGGACGCTGCTGGCACTACGTGCGATGGGCAAGAACTGGAACCAAATACAGCGCGAGGCCTTCCCGGGCAAGACGGGCAACGCGTGTCGGAAGCGGCACGAGAGGCTTATGGAGCGCCGCACCCAGGATTTTGACAACCGCAAGCTGGAGAAGCTCTGCAAGGAGTACATGAACCTGCGCAAAGAGACATGGCAACCGCTGGCCGCGCGCTGCGGCGAGAAGTGGAATGTTGTCGAGACCTTGGTGCGTAGCCGGGCCTCCTTTCCCCTCTCTACCTTACCGACTCCACAGACAGTTCAGAAGCTAACACTGCATCCTTGAAGCTCATGTCAAACGGCTTGAAGAACATCCAGTCTCATGCGCGTGCCCACTCACGGAGGGAACGTCTAGAGTCGGGTCAGCCCATGTCTTACGACGACGACAGCGGCATCTCTGGGCTGACGCCCATTGACGACGTGGCTGAGCAGTCCTACAGCAGCCCCGAGACGACGGGGTCGACGGGCGCGCACTCCACTCCCGGCGGCAGCTCCGGCAGCGGCAGTGGCAGCACGGCCTCGCACCCGGCTTTCACAAACATGCAAGCCTACCAAAACTACTCCAACTACCAGCCGCACCATGGTTACAGCAATAGTGTGTCCAGCACGGGCACCGGATACGGACAGCCGCAGCCCACATCCAGCCAAGGGACCAGCCCATACATGGGCCACGGCAACCGGCTACCCAGCGTCGGGGACATGGGCATCGACGCCATAATAAATCGCGGCCCGCAAAGTAATACGAACGGAGTATGACACCTCTCTCTGCATCACTCGCTTGACATTCGTCCATCACTGTCACTTCTTTCTTTCCTTTATCATAATACTTTTTTTTCTTTCTCTTTTCTTTCTTTTTCTGGCTTTATCGGTGTTTATACTAGGGAAACTTACAGTGGGTCGGAATCTCGGGCGGGCATTTTCATCATTTTTCCCCCTGCCTTCTCCACGATATCATGGTCATCATCGCTCTATCACTGCCATCAACAACAAAAAAACCACACCATTATCACGTCGAGCAGCACAAAATACCATCATGGCACTTTCACGGAATTACCCCTTCGGGATTAGGCAGGTTGGGCTTTTTAGGGTTGGTCTGTTTCCTTGATACGATACAGTACGGCGTTGCGGTGGGGGGTTGGGCCAGGTTGGTTACGTGTTATTGGGTGTTGGTGGTGAGGCGGCGGACTAATTGTGCCTCACTCTCATTACATGGCGTTGGTCAGAGACTTGGAGTTCAAACAAGGGCAAAGCGAGGCGCAACAAAAAGAAAAAGTGGGACACCTTTTTTAAACAGCGCACTGCACTGTGCACGACACAACACACGCACATGCACCGCACAGAGATACCCCGAGGGGTGCTGTTTATCATCATTTGCTTTTATTTTCCTTTTTGTCACCTGTTATTTATCTTACGAATTTCCTTTATTCTTTCTTCTCTTTGTCTCACCGTCTCATTTTTTCGCCCGCACCCCTTACCATATCATGACGAGGAATAAACAGGACTCTGAAAAGCACCTCTTCGTTCCACATCTGTCCAGTTGCCTTTGTCTTGGAACCTACCATTGGTAAAGATCTTGGTGACAAGCATACACTCTTGGGCCCTATTCCTGTATGCTACGTACTAGCGAAACACACTAGACAGGGAGAACTAAGGTTTTCTTTTAGATGCCCCCGCTTCCAAGTTTCTGTCTTGGTCATTTTGGTGATGTTGGCTTTCAGGGTTGCGTTCCCACGCCCCCCTCGCCCCTGGCCCCCGCCTGCCCCTCCATCTCCTTCCATCAGCTTACATCCATCGATCGCCGAGCCTCAGTGGGCCCCCACCCGCTTGCCCCTCCATCTTCGCATGCACAACATATTGCGGCTCAGCACAGAAGGTCCACTCACTGCTTAGGAATTGGAAGTGTGGATTCGTGCTGAGCTAATACATTCACGATGAGTCGGCTGCCTACCATGCTGTCTGCCGACGCCTGGCTTGTAAATGCCATGGTATACAGATAAAAATGCCAATTCTATCCAACCGTATCAAGACCGTACAGTACCTAGAATTGTGCATCGCCTTTTTCGTTGCATGTCGGGGCTTGTTTCGGAGATTTTATCAAGCTGAAGGAAGTTCGAGGCGGCCGCCCCAGCCCAGCCACCAACAGCGGGGTTCGTGCTACAGCAAGGGTGTGGGTGTGCAGACGGAAATAAAGCACATGGGCAGAAAGCGAGTGCATGCTGCCTTCAGGTGGTAGCATCGGGTCAATTAGGCCCGCTGACCCCAAATTTCGGAGAGGGGCACAGGAAAGCCCAGGCCCATCGTCTAGAACATTTCGTTCTTCATCTAACTAACTGCCTGTTGCTACTGCTACCTCGTGGCCGGGCGCGTCGTCGAGAACGTTTGATGCAACATTGCTTTGCCAGCTGGGCAGCCTCTTGGGTAGGTTGTTGTTTATCTGTAGTGCATACGCCGGGGGCGTGGTGATGATTACCGACGGAATCGCCGTTGGATGTTTAAACATGTAGTGGGGTCTAAAGTGCAAACCATCCACCTAGTGGAAAGGAAAGTGGCCCGGGGCTAGCAACCAGCTAGAAGCTTCCATGAGAACATGTTGCGAATTCAATATAAGGGAAATGGGCTAGGGGTAGGTTATTTGTAAAGACGGCAAATAACCCAAGGAGAAATCGTTCCCAAGCCAGACTAGACGAGGTGCAAGCCCCCCCAGGCAGCCACGAATCGGCATGGAAGTTACACAAAGCTGCTAGTAGGCTAACGTCTCCGTACCTTATTCCCTCCTCTCTCCGCCTCACTCGGGGATTGTCGGGGTGCATGCTGCGTAATAAGTGCCTTCCTCAGATATGGTAAGGTGGAATAGATATATGGGATGCCACAGTCGAGCGAGCTTCTTTCCGCTCCTTTCTTCCGCGCCACCGCCGCCCTTCCGTCAAAAACGGCAAAATGCCATGGAATATTTGGATCGGAGAAAAACACCGCCAAGAAACCCACCGCCCAGAAACCCACTCGCAGGCCTGGGCACCACACCTAACCCAAACCAAAGTCGGCCTAGAACCCAGGCTGGACTAAAACGAGCTAAAGAAAAAGAGGCTCGAGAAAGCAATTGACGGACGGGAATAACGACACAACTTAATCCTCCCCCTGAAGAAATGTGTGTCCCATAAGGTAGGTAGGTAGAATGTCTCCATCAGCCGAATCTAGGTCGGAAAAAAAGAGTTTTATCAGCAGCCCGCCCGCCTCGTGTGCGCGTCGGAGGACCCGCCCCTGCCGCCGCCGCCAGCAGCACAGCAAATATCCGTCTGACCAACAAACAACCCTCACACACACACACCACACCCGAACGTAACACATAGGTAATAAATAACGATCACTAAAAAACTGCCCGACCGGTGTCGGACCTATAGGTAGAGTTTCATATGCGCGTAAACACTAATAATTAACGCGGAAGGACAGCGCCTTGCGGAAAGGGGGAGAGTGGAGAGAGTGAGAGATATGTTGGGCTGGACTTCCATTGATTTGGTTCCATTTTGCCTCCCACAGTTCCAGGTTGTAATTATATAGCTTCCAAGAAAAGAAAGAAATGCGGGCTGAAGAAAATAGATGAAAGTCCCCACGACTTCAACTGGGAAGTGAAAAGACAGGGACCCAATATCTATTCACCTAGCTATATACCATTACCGGTGGTGTCAAGTCGAGAATTTGGGATGTATTATACAGAACCCCCCGGGATCGGCAATGGCGATAACAAGACACTCTCACAACTCACAAGGCCTCCTTTCCCTAATAAGATATCCAAGAAGATTATGAGAGCTGTATCCCGATCTCCATCTTCCGTCCGAGCAGCCTCGTATACCCGTACCGACAGGCCACGGCAGCCTAAGACAGATCGTGTGCACACATGGCCTGGCATGGGATTCAGGCTTCAATCCCAAGTACTCCGTACGAACCTCGGGAATCACTGTAAATAAGTGAACTGTACGTGACGTCGGCGCCACTTATTTTGATACGCGTGCGGTAATGAATGTGACGATGTGCTCGATGCTATATACATACATACATACCTAGGTATACACACCGTGAGAACCAAAATAGAACAAGAGAAATAAAATAAAAATAAAAGAATCGACATTTTTTTCATGTTCCTATTACATACACCAGACAGCTGCAGCAGTTGTAGCAGCAGAAGCCACACCCAAACCACCCCCCCCCCCCCCCCCAAAAAAAAAAAAGCCTTGCGAGTGACACTCGTGTTACCTCTGCCTACACAATCTTGCTACAGGCCTTTCCCACGGCCCACGGGCGGAGCGACGGCAGGGCCATCATCGTCCTCCCACTCGCCGTCCTCGTCACCATCCTCTTCGAGGGGCTGGCCGGCCACGCTCCTCCAGACGCGGGCCCACATGCCCTTCTTCTGGGCGAGGGCGAGGACCATGACGACGGGCAGGTGCCAGACGCTGGCCCAGAAGAGGCTGCGGGCGCTGCCGGCGAGGCCCTCGAGGCGCCAGAAGCGGACGGCCTCGCGGACGAGCCACAGGTTGACGGGCAGGCTGGTGGCGGCGAAGGACCACTCGGTGATGCCGGCGGCGCAGAGGGCGGCGCAGAGCGGGACGAACACCAGGCTGTAGCGCAGGGCGACGCGGCCGTTGCGCGCGGGGTTGGTCCAGGCCAGCATGCGCAGGCCGGCGGCCTTGTACTCGTCCCGGATGCCCCACGACAGCGGCATGAAGTGGGGGAACTGCCAGGCGAACAGCACGGCAGCGAACAGCCAGCCACCGGTGCTGGACCCGTCGGCGGCGAACAGCAGCTCGCGCCACGTGCCGTCGGCCACGGCGCTCTCGCCGGCCGCCGCCGCCCAGCCCATCAGCGGCGGGATGCCGCCGACCACGGCGCCGACCCACGTGTTGGCGGCCGACACGCGCTTGAGCGGCGTGTACACGCCCGCGTACAGCGCGATGTTGAGCGCGCCCAGGAATGCCACAGTCGGGTTGACGCCCAGGAACAGCGCCGCCGTGCCGGCGAGCCCGCAGCCGATGGAGAACAGCACGGCGGCGCGCGTCGTCAGCAGCTTGCGCACCAGCGGCCGCGCGCGCGTGCGGCTCATCTTAGAGTCGGTGTCGGGCTCGTAGAGCATATTGAGCGCGTTGGCCGCGGCGGAGCAGAGCGTGGTGCCCGTCGTGAGGAACAGCAGCGTCAGCGGCGAGAGAGACGGCGCGTCGAGGGCCGAGGGCGAGAGGAAGGCCGGGACTGGGTAGAGAGCGTAGGGCACCATGGCCGACAGGACGACGAGGACGGTGAGGCGCGGCTTGGAGAGCGAGAGCAGGGCCGAGAGGTGCCGCCGGAAGGAGTGGGCAGGGTGTCGAGCGGCGACGCTAGCGAGGATGGAGGAGGCATCGGGGGGGAGGGAGGCCGTTGAGTCGCTGGGGAGTGTTGTTGTCGGCCCCACGCTGCTCGTTATTGTAGGCTCTAGATTGGCGGCATTTTGTCTTGCAGCCTGCCGCCGGCGGTGCGGAAGGATGTCCACGGCTTCGGCGGTGGCGGCGGCGGCCGATACTGGGGCAGCTGAAGTAGCACCGGTGTGCTGCTGCTCGACACTGGTAGTTGGTGGCCGGCCTAGGCTGTTAGGGGTTGGCCTGGCATCCCGGGTGCCATTGGCACGCGTGAGGAGACTGTTTGAGAGAAAGTAGCCGGCGCTGAACTGCTTCCGGGGGAACGAGGCTGGTATGGAGGTCGAGGTCGAGGCTACGGCTGAGGCTGAGGCGCTGGGGAGCGAGGGCTGGGAGAAGAGCCGTCTTGCAGTTGTAACAGTCGTAGACGGCGCAGACAGCGACAGTCGCGGCCGCGTAGTCGTTCGTGGTGCAGATTGCCGCAGAACCCGTCGCGTGCATTGCCAGCACACATTGTCTAGAAGACTGGGTCGAAGCCCTGGTATAGGCGGCCGCATCGTCGTTCACGCACCGGATCGATCCGCCATCGCCGCTCTTCCAGTCAATTGGCTTCGAAGCTCGCCAGGCAGGCTCAGCGGTGGCTCCATCAAAAAACGGCTGCCAGCCCACCCGTGCTTGTCGAGCTTGTTGCGCGCTAAAAATTAGAGCTCCTGAGTCAGCCTCTTGTGGCTGCACACATGTGGCTCTCCGCTCTCCCACGCTAACGGAAGCTGGAACCATCCATCCACTCCACAATTTCACTTACAGGGGCATTACGCGCTACTGGGGTCACACAACCGTCATCCCTGCGGCAGCCTTGGATCAGTCCGATCAGAAACAAGCACCACTCACTACTGGACCGCTCTCTGAAGAAATTCACAATCGACATTGAGGAACGTTCCGAGATGCAGGTACGCACCGTTCCCTTCGTCGAAGTTAGGTAATTCCCAGGACTGCATGTCGCCATTCGTGCGATTTCGGGCTGCAAGCGCGGATGGGCTCCCCTGAACGCCCTCCCGCACCTGTTTTCTCCTCTCTGGGCAAAGCGTCTAAGCTGCCAATGACATCGCCCGCGCACCGCCAACAGTTCGTCCTGTAGCAGCACCAGCCACTCAGAGGGAAACGGCGAGCGTAGGCGCGCCCCTACATATCCTCGTCAGCATCCTCCGTGATGCCTCGTGCAGACGCAGACGAGCAGCACAAGCGGTCCGAGGTCGGTTCCAGATCGTCGGAAACGACTCCGAACTTATTACGTCAGAAGGTACTTTATTGCATCATCCAGAGAAAGCAACCCGGAAACCTCCTTTTCAGCTCTGGCAGACACCGCCCCCACCATGCACTCAGTTCCTTCGCCTGCCTACGTACCTACTTTGTACTCCGTACAGGATCCGTACACGGCTGAATCAGCCTCGGCTTGGTAGGCTATTCCACCATCCCAACGCTGGCCGGCATGAGTATCCGTGGCGCCTCTGGGCGGCTATTGTGTACGACGAAAAGCCTGCCAATCGCCGCCGTGGCAAGGACCAACGCAGATCCGGTGTGAAACGCCCGCCCCCAGGCCCCGTGAGCCTTCTTTCAGAACAGACTGCAGGCCGATGCGCTGAAGTAAATGCCCAGATTTTGCAAACCTAGCTTCCTTCGCAGCCGGCGGAAGAACGATGTCCAAGTTCGTCACTCATGGCAGCCGTGCAGGCAATGCCTCCTCCTTCTTTGTGCGTCCAGGACAGAAAGAGGATACGCTGTTGGGCAGACGGCTAAAACACCACGACAGCCCCTCAGCGGCTAGACGTGCTGTACATTTACTTGTACATACATGTATTGCTGCATTGCCACACACATCTGCAGGTACATACAAAGGTACGTTTGCAGGTTTGAAACAAGCAAATATGAACATTTACAGTCTTCACAGCCCTTTCCGCGTCAGGAAGCAGATCCGAACAGCCGTCCGACATATGGCGGACCTCCTCGGGTGCGACCCGGCCGTCTATCAGGGGACACTGCGCACGAAACGCACTGCCAGTAATCAGACTCCGTTCGGGCGTCTCGAGAGGGCCGGATCGCAATGGCGATTCGAGAGGGCCGGATTGCAATAGCGATATTGCGGGGATTATTTCTGGTTCGGGAAATATTCCTCCCCCCTGGCCCCTGGTCCTCTGCACTCCGCATGCTGGTCCTCTGGGATGCCGCCGGCCAGAGACCGGACGGCCGGACTTTTGGGCCGGCTGGCTGGCTGGCCTCGGCAGGATGGGCCACACATCCCCAGGTTTATGGGGTTACATCGCTGTCGATCGGAAAATCCAGTCTCTGATGTCGAGGTTTCCCCGTGCAAACTCGGCTTTCTGCTAAAAGTCGACATCGTGAAACAGTCGACTTCTGCGTCGAACTGACTGTTGACCGTGTTCCAAACTGGAGCGCGATTTAGTTCGCGTCGAGGCACGGCCGACGTCGAGAACAACAGCATCAGCCGCAGTGGCGGTAACACGTTACAACATATTCGTTGCCACCAACAATGTTTCGTCGAAGCACAGCCCGTGAAGGTAGGCCCGGTTCTTTGCTCTCGTGATCGGCCGCTTCTTTGCTCTGTTTGACGCGCCACGTGCAGAAAGCAGCCCGAAGAGAAACCCGGAAGGCTGACTACCTGCGCTCCAAACGAGAGGAAGTTACAGGTCTGGCCCTGGATCTGTTGGCTTGAGTGGCCTAGCTTGTAGCTAGAGGGTCAAACTGTGGTCGTTTACTGCGCTGCTCGGTCGAAGAAACGATCAGTCACCTGGAGACCATAACGCGGGCCTGGCGCAACCAACACTGGCACTGGAAACATGACGAGCGGAGCACACAGCTATCCGTCGGATTTACTTGTGTTTAGTTCACATAATCTCGAGGAACACGCATCCACTTTCCTCAAACGACTCATCTCAGAGTCAGCCACCGGCCGCATTCGCACAAATATCCCGCCCACCTGGGAAGGATATAGTATTACCACCGTGTTTTTGAGACGAAAGGAGCAACGACTGCGACGCTGACAGTCCGCGCCATACCGTGTGCCCAGAGTGGATCAGGCGGCACTTGCAGCGAACGCAGAGAACATGTGTGTTTTCTTGGTGAGCGAAACAGCACTTGCGTATGCTACCAAATCGACTGCGTCCGCGTCTGTGTCTGTGGAGTTTCGGCGGGCCACGGCCCAGTATATGTCCGACAGTTGCTGAGGGGCGCGCCTGAGGCGGTCGGTTTGTTCGAGGGCGGCACAGCGCCAACAGCTCTCTTCCTTTGCATCTGTGCCGCCGCGGCAAACCATATTTTCCGCCCTGTGCTGACTTGCGCTGAGGCACGCGACACATGTGATAGATGCACACGCGCGCGCACACACGCACTTCGTGCCCCTTATCTGTCTGTCGCGCACATGTGCGCTAGATAAAACCAGCCAAGATCGCGTCACCTGCCCGGTCCCGAAAAGCGCCAAGCTGCCAAGCACGGCACGCCGGCTGTTGGGACACTATAGTCCGTCGGAAACCCGGCGCCGGGGTTTAGCGCTTGTCCCTTGCGGCGCGGCGCGGCGCTGGGAAACCCCAAACGGAGAGAACTCCCCGGAGCCGTTTCTTGAGTAGGATGCAACCGCGGGCTGACAGTCCTGAGGTGTCTGGATAGTGAGAAAGACTGGCCATCAACTTCGGTGTGTAGATCTGGGGACGTGGATTGTATCGTGCAAAGACCGCGAGAGAGAATGTGACTTGTAGACTGTGAGTTACACCCTCAGCAATGTCCCCTTACCATATCCTGCGCACTTGGCACCAAAAAGGAGGGATAGTATATCGCCACCTCGTAATTGTGGGCATACCCTGGTTTAGCAGCGCATCTCTGTAGGCTCTCTGTAGGCCTGGGTAGGTAGGCAGGTATATATCTGTCTAACTCCCAAGGGATTAGGAACTGGTTCTTGACTCTCTTGAGCTTCAATGCTCACAACCGTCAGTAGAATGAATCAAAAAACAAAAATGAAAATTAATCACGTCGGTGTCGGCTTGGCATCACTTTTCCAGTGCTTTTGCAGTGTTGGAGTGCAAGGGTGCCCAAAAGTAGACAGGATCGAGGATCGAAAGAGGGCAGGAGTTACGGAAAGCTGTACACTGCGCTGCTGTTAAACGATTGAGGAAAGAACGACACACTCCTGGTGCTCGATCCATCACAGAAACCCCAAATCCGGAGATCTGGCAAATTGTTTAATGGACTTAGCAAGCAAACAAACCAAGGCACCTACACAATCCGATTCTCCGTGCTCTAGAATGAACCGCTGAACAAATGATTTACTTCTCTCGGACAAACACCATCCATAAAGCTCAAGGATGCATCAGTCTCCCAGGGCAATAAGCCAGCTCTCTCTCCGTTTCTTTGGAAACCGCCATGCCAGAACATTGCATTGAATGCGTTGTATTCCATTGCCGGCGAGAACACCTTGAAAGGGATGCCGGATTTCTTTCATTGTTGGCGCGCAGCTCCTCTGGCCTCAAGGGCAGAATCGGTTACTTTTTCCGGAGGACAATCCAGACCCTTTCTTTGGCCATTAACGGCGTAAAGTCCCAGTCAGGAACTCATTTTCATTGTTCCCGTGGACTGATGCTATTACGCATGCAGGTAGGGAAGCTTCGTATCTTCATTCCTCGGGAATCCCGCCCAGAATCGGCGACAAAGACAGGCAGCACACGGCCCGCAAATTGGTGTAGCGCAGCTTCGCTCGGCTGGCATGCTGGCCAGACACATGGTCCTCGAGAAAAATCTGAACGCAATCTGCAGTTTGCACTAACCGCCCCGAGGCTGTTCTGTCATCACCAGCAGCCGGCGACTCCTTTTTCTTTCTTTGTTACCTTGTTTCTTGAAATGTTGTCTACCCCCTCTCATCCCCGCGTGCCGCCGCGAGTCGCTTCCTTTCCACTCTTTCTTTCTTCCAGCTTTTTACCCAGTTCAAGGTACACGGCCCCATTACATTGCGGACAGCGACTGCACCCGCCACTGGATAAACCCCTTTAGCTTCGCCCATCATGCCGTCCCTCTGGAACTTTTCGCTGTGGCCGAGTTCCAGCCGGTCGAATGGCGACCAGGATCCGCCACCTAACAATGCCCCGGATGGCGGAGGTTTGAGGCCCTTTGGTTTTGGAACGATGAGGACGAACCGGCGGTCAGTCGGCTATCCGGGTGGGCGGTTCGTGGGGAGTGATGACGAGAGCCCGGCGTCTGGAAGTAGTACGTCGGGTGGCTACCGCCGCGGCCGGCCTAGGGTGAGAACGACTAGTTCGCGGTCAGCTACGAGCTCGGAAGCGCAGAGGAGACGCGAGGTGCATGATGAGCAAAAGCGGCAGAGGAGACTAGAGAAGCAGCGGCGCAGAGCTCTGCTCGAGAGTTTCAAGAGAGACAGAAAGCTGGCCCAGGAGATGAAGCACCGCTGGTGCCCCGAGATCCTGCCTACCGACCCGAGATTCACCAAGATGATACGCGAGTTTGGCGAGCTGCTCAGGGAGCCGTCGACAACCATCAACGACATCCTCGAGACAAAGTTTGCGCCGCCCGAGCGCGAGCTGCTTATCCCGATGGACCGGCGCGGCAATCCGGCCTTGGCCAGCATCCAGCAGCAGAACAGGAGGAGATATCGAGACCTCCTGAGATCGGCCAGGTTCAAAGACTGGGCCCCGCGCGCCGACCTCGCCTTCAAGTTTACCCTCGCCTACTTTGGCCTGCCCATCGAGCCTATGACGCTCGACTTCCCCCAGCGCGCGACGGGATGGGACCGAGACGACCGGCACTCTGATGACGACTTCGACGAGCCGTTGCTGGCGGACCGCGCAAACCCCGACATTGGAAATCTTCGCTTCCTGAACGGCTACAACGTGCGAGCCTTTGAGAAAGATAGCTTGCGGAGTAGGTAGCGCCTTTTTTTTCCCAACAAATATTGGGCAGTCATACTGACTGATGGTTTGGTCGCAGCTCCGGATAAGCAGCTCGAGGCGTACTATGCGTTTGAGAGCATGCGAGCCGGGCCCAGGGGGTGCCGAGACTCGGAGGAATTTCTTGGCCTCCGTGGTGGCGAAATCGTCACCGACGAGGACGAGGATGAGGACGACCAGGAGACCGAGCCGTTGGTAGAGTTGGATTCGGGGCTCGACTCGGACTTTGACTCTCCGGGCTCCGTCGAAAGACTCCCTCCTAGGGGCACTGCCAAGGCCGTCCAGACCAGGTCTGGCAGGCAGCCTGCTCCGGCTGGTCGACCCACTACGGCGCGTGGTCATGGTGGGGCCGTTCGCCCTGATCCGGTCTTTCGCGCTCCGGCGATTGGTGATACGGCCGTTCGCCCTAAACAAGAGGCTCGTATGGTTTGGGTCACCAAACCCAGCGCGCAGGGCTTTCAGACCCCCCTTCAAGGTGAAAGTGGTGGTGCCGACGGGCGGTGGATCCCTCTGTACGGCTTCCAGGGTGTTGTTTGGTTTCAAGTCGATGCGCTCTACACCTTTGTCGACGCTGTCGACAGGCTGCTTTGCCTGGACACGCGCGCCGGCGTCACTTACAAGCTCTACCTTTTGGACAAGAAGATAGACTACTCGAAGCCAGGAGAGAGGAAGAAAGCCGACAGGAATCGCAACCAGACCATCACTGTTTGGTGCAAAGGGGTTGGCGACTACGGCAACGACCGTGTCGCGTGGGAGTGGGTTCTCGACAAATACGGCAATGACTTGTTGAGGAAATCGGAAAGCCCCAAGGTCCTTTTCCTTGGCTGCCCTGGGGATCCGTTTCCCATTGAATGGATGCCAAATGACTCGCATGGTGTTTTAGAACTCGCTCTCGCCTGGGACAATGACAAGACCTTGAACCGACCAGACGTGGCGTACCTCCGCATGCCCATGAACCACCGAGACGTGCTCTGCACCAACCAGTTTGGGCCCTGGATATCACAGGCCTCCCGCGTGCTGGCCGCCGGCCGGCTCCCCGATCGCCCAGGACGACCTCCAATACCCGACGCCTTTATCACGCTCAAGAGTCTGAGAAACTCGCTCGGCTCGTATGGCGGTCTGACATTTCCTCCCCAGCTTTGGCATTATATTGTCGCCTCTTGGGAGGCCCAGAACAAGACGAAGGGGGGAAGCAAGCGAGTCGAGCTGCTGGCCAAGTCGCCTCAGGTTAAAAGGGGAAGAAGCGACGCATTCCTCGTCTTCCTCCCGGGGCAAAGTCTGTACAGCGACGCCAGGGTTCAGTATATCGAACACGACGAGTTTAGGGATGTTGTGTCGGTGCGTAACACGATTTTGAACCTAGTCATTGAGTCGTTGGGTGAAAAAAACCATGACTTGTTCCATTCGGTCGAGGTGCACCTCCCGGGGGAATCCTTCTTCGTGCCATTCGTCCCGCAAAAGGATAGTGCAGCTATTGTCATTCCCATAGAGGCCTTATTCGCCAACAGGGGCGATACGGAGGCCTTCAAGCCATTGGTAGCCCGCCTGGTTCAGTGGAAGCTGTGGCTCGAGAAGAAGGCTCCCGGGGGCAAGTTTGGGGACGGGCTGAGCGTGTTTCCCCAGTTCATCGCCATTCGTCCCGTCTTTCACGAGTACACGGTTACGAACGGGGCCAAGTCTTTGGAGTGGAAGAAGAATTTGACCTCTCTCTCTCAGTTTAGGCTCCTGGCACGGAGTCTCTGGCCCAAGGGGGCGCTTGGCGAGGGCGATTTCAACTTTGTCATGACCCAGGGGCGCCAAATCAAGAAAATTGACGCTGAAATAGACAGGACCACCGAAAAGAACGACGACAGCTCGGTCTCGAGCAAGCCCCTGTTTTTCGTGACAGCGGAGACGCAAGAGGCCGAGTGGGAGATTATCCGCAAGCTCATAGTCCATCCTAAGATCTACATCTATCACCTGGCGGATCGAGATCTCGAACCTAGTAAGACGATTACGAAGCTGACTGGCTAGAATTTATCCATGCTGACCTGCTACAGTATTCACTCCGGACCAGGTCTTTGGCTATCGCGACATTTACAGAACCCGGAATCAGTCTCTGGTATACGGGCAACCGGGACTGAGTGAGGACATGTACCCCCCCTTTACTCACTATCACGACTGGCAATTGTGGGGCGAGAACATCAACGAGCACTACCAGACACTACAGCCGTGGGACGAGCAAGGTAACGCAGACGCCGAAATCGAGGCGCTACGAGTTGAAAGCAGAATTATTGGCAAGGAAAGAGGACCCAGGATGCCCGTCTTCTCACCGAACCCTCCGCCGGAGAGGTTGGGAACCGCTAACTTGCCGGAGAAATCGGCGAGGCGGCCAAAGCAACGCCCGCTGGGCGACATGGAGAAGGCGCAGCGCTTGCGAGAGCTGAGCTACGCCCATCCGCTTAACGTACAGATGAACCAATCCATACCCATCAACGCGCCGCCCGTGGATTCGCTGCTTCATCTGGGCCAGGACAGCCTGCCCGTCGTGTCGCTGGCCGTGTTGACGCCGACGGAGATCCGCCGGCTCCAGAAGGACTATTTTGAGTTGCGCAGCATCCTTCTCGGGCGCAGCCAGCGGTGTCCATACGCGGGCTGCGGGGCCATGTTCTCCGTCAACAGGCCGGCCGAGATGCAACGGCACCTGCGGAACAGGCACACGGCTGAGAAGTGCAACTTTTGCGACGAGGCGCTCTACGAGCACTGGCCCCTCGAGCAACGCTACGAGCACTTTGTGCTAGAGCATGAAGAGATCTTGGGCTACCTCAGGGTCGGAATCCCAGACCAGCAGGTCGACCTGCGTGTTCCGAAGCTTGCCCCCGGCCACGAGCGCCACTGGAACTACTGCGCGCGCTGCGGGCGCGACCACCACACCCTCAAGGCCCGGGGAGACCGCGCCTACCACGACTCCGTCTGCCACCCCGGAGTCGGTGACCAGCCCAACTGGAAGCTATGCCACGACTGTGGCAAGCACATCACAGTGGGCCGCGAAGCAGACCACGAGCACCTCGCGCCGCTCCAGGGCTCGCCGTACTGCGACAAGTGCGGCCTGCCCCTCGGCCTGTTCTCGGAGGGCTACCAGATGAAGCACCGCGCCTTCTGCCGGGGCTACGGCGCCAACGACGCCGGCCACTGCCCGTGGTGCGCCATCGAGCTCGAGGGCGGCATCCTGGAGCGTGGCGAGCACATCGAGGACTGCTCGTCGCGGCCAAACGACGATTTCGTCGGGCCTATCGATCTCGAGACACTGACCTACTTCCGGCAGAGGAAGGCTCGGAAACGACACGAGGCCGAGGCGGAGGAAGAGGCGAAGGAAGAGGATGAGGAAGAGGATGAGGAAGAGGATGAGGAAGAGGATGAGGAAGAGGAAGCGGTTGAGGAAGCGATCGAGGAAGAGATCGAGGAAGAGCGCCAGGCACGGGGGAAGCGACGGCAGGGGCCGGCCAAGGCCGCCGAGGATGCGCCGCTGCCACGGAAACGGCGGAAAGCGGTGCCTTCGGTCTCGCCTGAAGAGTCTGACAGAGCCCTGACACACGAAGAGAGGTGAGCGAGTTTTCCGACCCATTTATTCACACACAAGTCTCCTAACCCGTGTTGCAAAAAAACAGAGTGGCGAGGCGAAGACGCCGCCGCATCCTGGACCCCAACTACCGGTACCGTCCCGAAGAAGACGTGGACGACTCGGAGGGCTCGGTCAGCGAGGAGGGCATCCTCGGCCCGCGCAGGAACGTGGCCCAGGCTCAAGCTCAGGCTCAGGTTCAGGTTCAGGCTCAGGCTCAGGCGGCTCAGGGTCAGGGTCTGGAGCAGGCTCAGGCTCATGCTCATGCTCTGGCTCTGGCTCAGGCTCGAAATCAAGCAGCGGAACCCTCGCCCGACGCCGTGCTGGCCGTGCCTCCCCCGACGCCCGCAACCGCCGGCCTTCCTGCCAAGACGGCCAAGCGCAGACGCGTCGCCAAGGAGCCTCCTTCTCCTCCTACTCCCGGACCAAAGCCGGGCGCGACTGTGCGGGCGCCCGCTCCCCGTGCTAGGCGGGGCGTTGCTAGGAAGTGATTTTTTTATTAAATTTGTTGTTGTTGTTGTTGCTGTTACTGTTTAGCCTGGCTTTTTTTTTATTGCCTCGGTTGGCTGGGCTGGGTGGGCTGGGTGGGCTGGTTGGATGGGGTGGTGTTTTGGAGATGTATGGAGTGTGTTTGTTCTTATTCTTGTTGTTTGGACTGATACATACGTAGCATAATATGATATAAGTCCCTACCTTACTTCTGGAGTGCCTCGGAGTGCGAGTAATAAATAGACTGTGAAAGGGTAGATTGTGGCGATGCTGGTGGGGGAGTATAAATACTCGGTTAGGCATGACTATCTTACCCAAGGCATGTCGATGTCGACTTAGGAAGGTACCGTAAATTACAAGCATTCGCACTCTCATAGCCTGGATGGAGTGTTACTCGCATGTTTGGACATGGCTAATAAGCTGGCCCCTTTTTTTGCTGTGGGTGTTGGGTGTTGGGTGTTGGCGTGGATGGTTGGCGTGTTTGGGCATGGCTCACCCCTTTTTTGCTGTCGGTTGTCGGGAGACGCGTTACTGTAGCTGCTGCGGACGGGATCGGTACTCGTCAAGGTTACGGGGAGGAGGAGAAAAAAGACGGCGGCTGGATACCTACTTGGCCAAAGTACGAATAACCTCGAGGCAGAGGATATTCTCGGGTTTACCTACCAAGACGTCCTTAGCCAGATTCATAATCCTGCGCATCCATACGAATTGTCTTGTTTGTATAGTTATAGGATTTCGTCTGCTTAAGGAGCCCACTGGACCACTTAATGGTCCATGCACCACCAGCCTACCCCCCACCATAGATTTTCGCCTGCGGGCAGATAGCTGAGATTCTTCAAGCAATCCACCACGTTTTCCAGTAAACTGTGCACCTCGCATAGTATTTCGTCTTGTTAAGGAGCCTAGGCCATGCTCAAGGAGGGACGTCTACAGTTAGATCACAAAGTGAGTGAGACGGCTTATACCCATCACCACGCATTCACTAAAATAAACACAGCGAAGCATTTGCCGCGGTGCAGTAAAAAGTCAAACGATTGGACGGCATAAGGAATGTATTTGCGAATACCCCGTACAGGATGGATACCATCGGATGGTGGCGCCGTCGGCAGCGCCCTAACGGTCTAACCACCTACATAGTAAGCAGACAATTTAGGGGCTGCATCAGCTGGCCAATCGCGGACTGTCCCAGCTAATGAGAGCCCTTCCGGCTTCCGACCGGCATGCGAATGACAGGGGGGAGCTCCGTCGCGTGACACGGCCTGACGTAAAGCCAAGTCACCCACAGTGCAGTGCAGTGCAGTCAGTGTCCTTTTTGCGATCCGGCTTGCCCTGCCAATTGCTTTTCTTTTTCCCCTTCTAGTTCGCATGGGCGGTGAAGGCAGCTCGTCCGAGCAATTCTGTTTCTGCTCATTGCCACTGCCACTGCCAATTCTGTTTTTGCTCTTGCCACTGCCATTGCCATTGCCACTGCCATTGCCATTGCCACTGCCATTGCCATTGCCATCGTTATTGTTATTGGTATTTGTATTTGTATTGGTATTGGTATTTTCCAGAAATCAGGGAAGGTACTCCGCCCTGTACTACATACATACACATAGGTACACGGTGCCCTGGTTAGGATCCGAACAGGGAAGCCCCAACCTCGACCGAGCCTGTCTGACCGTGACTCCTACTCCCGTCTGCCAGGGCAGAATTAATCCGCCAACGGCTCCGACTCCCGACCTCACACACAGCCTGTGCCCTTGCCCTCGCCTCGCCGCTGCCGACCCATGCCCCAATGTCTCACCGCCGTCATGCCGTCCACCGCCAGGTCGGCCTGTTCTTGTTTGCCTGCGACCTTGACCGTCTGACACGGCGAGCCAACCTCGGGCTCGACAAGCGAGAGCATTGCTTGCCTGCTTCACACTATGAAATGAAACTATAGATTACGTGTGTCCCCCTTGCTGCCCGGCCCTCTACTGCTCGCGCGCGCTCCGTCCTGACATGCCACAAGACAACAGCAACCATGGCTGCAACCCGCGCCCCGACGCGCGCCGCAGTCGACCTCCTGAATACGATGCGCTCACGGCACGGCCCTGTGGCGGCGCAGTTCCGCAGTCTTCGATGCTGCCCCAAGCTCCCTGCCCGCTCCCTGCACAGCACAGCCGCCTGCCGAGCTATCGCCGACCAGAAGAAGCCAGAGCCAGCAGGCACGGAGGACCACGCCCGCCCTAGGAATGCGCGGACGGCGCCTCTCGGTCTGCTTGTAGGCAGCGGCTTGGTCAGCGGCTTGCTGGCGTCGTTCTTTGCCCTGTCCCAGCCCGCTGCCGAGGCCAACGGCGACGCGGCACCGCCCCAGACCCACACGACCCCGGCACCGACAGCCGGCGACAGCCGCGACCCGTCGCTCCCGCGCTTCCGCCTCGCCGACGTCCGCAAGCACGGCGCCGCCTCGGCCCAGCCGTGGGTCACGTACGAGGACAAGGTCTACGATATCACCGAGTGGGTCGGCGCGCACCCTGGCGGCGACGTGATCCTGCGCGCCGCCGGCGGCAGCATCGAGCCCTACTGGAACATCTTCTCTATCCACAAGGCCCCGCACGTCCGCGAGATCCTCGACCAGTACCTGATCGGCTACATCGACGCGGCCGACCTGCTGCGGCGCGAGCACGAGGCCATCGAGGACCCCTTCGTGGCCGACCCCGAGCGCGACGCCCGCCTCGTCAGCCACACGGCTCGGCCGCGCAACGCCGAGCCACCCACCGACGAGCTGACGCGCGCCTTCCACACGCCCAACTCCCTCTTCTACGTCCGCAACCACATGTGGGTGCCCGTGGTCGGCGAGGGCGCCGAGGGAGACGAGCACGCCGTGACGGTCGAGCTGCCCGACGGCGAGACGCGCCGCTACACGCTGGGCGAGCTCAAGGCGCGCTTCCCCACGCACCGCATCACGGCCGCGCTCCAGTGCAGCGGCAACCGCCGCAGCGACATGACGAAGCAGGCCACGAAGACTAACGGCCTGCAGTGGGGCGTCGGCGCCATCAGCAACGCCGAGTGGGAGGGCGTGCGGCTGGCCGACGTGCTCGCCGACGCCGGGCTCAGGGTGGCCGACGCCCAAGCCGCGACTGCCGTGGCCAAGCCGCCGCCGCCGCCGCCGCCGCCGCCGGACGACGACTACGACGACGACGACGACGCCCCCCCGCCCGCAAGCTCGCTGCACGTGCAGTTCTCGGGCCTCGAGGCGTACGGGGCGTCCATCCCGCTGGAGACGGCGCTGGACCCGCGCGGCGACGTGCTGCTGGCCTTTGGCATGAACGGCGCGCCGCTGCCGCGCGACCACGGCTTCCCGCTGCGCGCCATCGTGCCCGGCCACGTGGCCGCGCGCTCCGTCAAGTGGCTGAGCAAGATCGCCGTCGCCGACGAGGAGAGCCACAGCCAGTGGCAGCGCCGCGACTACAAGGGCTTCGGGCCCAACGAGGGCGCCTCGCCCGACTGGGACCGCGCCAAGGCCATCCAGGAGATGCCCGTCACCAGCGCCATCACGGGCGTGTGGGTGGGCCGGGGGGCGGACAAGGCAGCGCCAGGCCCTTCGTCCCCTACTGGAAGCAACGGCGGGGCCGGAGCCCAACCCGTCACCCTAGAGGGCTACGCCTACTCCGGCGGCGGGCGCGCCATCGCCCGCGTCGACGTGAGTCTAGACGGCGGCAAGTCGTGGGACCAGGCCGCGCTCGTCGACGACTGCGCCAGCGGCAAGTGCCCGGGGAACCGCGCCTGGGCGTGGACGCGCTGGCGGTACAGTGGACGGCTGCCGCCGGCAGAAGCCGTCACTACTACTACGGAACCCGACACTAACGCGGGCGGCAACAAAGCGTGCACGACTCTCGTCGTCAAAGCCACCGACGACGCCTACAACGCCCAGCCTGAGACTCACGCCTCCGTCTACAACGTCCGCGGCAACCTCGCCACGGCCTGGCACCGCGTCAGGCTGTGTCGGCTGTCTGCCGGCGCTGTCGAGTGGGAGACGGACGGCTGTGGGTTTGTGAATGGGTCGCGGAAGAGGGGAGCAGAGGGACAGGAAAAGGAAAAGGGGTCGAAATGAAAGAGGGGAGCAGAGGGACAGGAAAAGGAAAAGGGCTGAAATGAAAAAGAAAGGAAGAAGAGCTGGGAGACCCAGTGCGGCGCGGTGCTCAGTCTACTCTTGCAGTTTTGGGCTAGGGCAGGCAGGGTATCTATCTATCTAGCTAACTAGCCAGCTAGCTAGCTAGCAGTGACGTCTGTACTGATGTGTGTGTGCTAACAAGGTGTGATAATTGAGGGGGCTCAAGTTTGGGGACTGTATTATTATTGTACTCTAGTGTGCGAGCATTCATTCCCTTCCGAACTACCTGCTGTAATACTGGCAGGGTGGGAGTCAGCGGGTTGGATACCTAGGTGCCTTAACTAGGCTGCGAAAGGCTTGTCTTGTCTTGTTTTCTTTCGTTTGTCTTTTGGGCTTCTGTTGTTTGGCGAATAGACATTGGCGAATAGAGAGCGGGAAATGGAAAATAGGACAGATAATTGATTATAGATGACAGGAAATGTCGTCAACGTCCTGAATTTTGCCCCAGCTCCTCTCCATCACCCATCTATGTACATCGCGGGTTAAAAGGGATTTCGCTTCGCTTGGTTCTGGTAAGGTCGGGACGGCCTTGTGTCCATCCCCCTTTGGTCAGTCGTCCAGTCGTCCAGTTGTCCAGTCGTCCAGTTGCCCAGTCGTCCAGTTCTCCAGGGCTGTCTGTGAGGGAGTTTTCTACCCTCCCTCCCTCTTATCAAATTAATTAATTAGTTTCGTGTTTATATTGCATTGGGTTGGATTCAATTGGTATGGCCAGTGGATAGAGCGGCAGGCTTTGTTTATACTACGGTCTCTGTCAAGAGGCAATAGTAAAGTAGGTACCAAAGTAAAGGTAAGTCTGTAAATAACGATGTATAGAGATGTGAATTGACGTGCTCGTGTGGTGGCACATGTACGTACCGTGTCGATACAGCGACAGAGTGTATACCTAAACACATCCTAGCCCCTGAACGGTTGTCATTAGTCTGAGTTCTTCCGTGCTTGGTGCCTAGTTAGTATCCAAGACCTTCTTCCTGACGCCAACTTGGACCAGAGACAGCCACAATGCCCTGAGGCTTTTCTTCTTGACTTTACAGCAAATCGATTTGTTATAATCCTTGTTACTCATCGAGCGAGGCCGGGTGGCGTTGAGACAAACGTTCACGGGCTGGGATGTACGTGCGTGTGTATATGTGTGTGTGTGCGTGTGTCATCAACATCAGCATTGCTTCCCTCGCGAGGGGCCGGCTCGTCTTGGGCGGGGACGTAAAAGGTGGGCCTAGCGAGGCGCAGGCTGACGGCTGGAGCATGTCTACGGGTGGTGGCGAAGCCCTTCTCAGGAGGCAAGGCGTAGCGTCCGGGGGTTTGGTTGGTGGCTACGACCTGGTAGCCGTCGAAGGAGCCACGGTTTCCGTTGTAACAGGCCAGCACCCGACGGGCCGCCACAGGGGAATCTGAAAATCCAAAGCTTGAACTTTGGTAGGAACCAGTGGGGGTAGTGGGCCATGAACAGCTCATGGGAACGTGTGCAGGGGGGCTGGCGAGGTGACGCGGATGCCGGGGACGTTGGCTTGGAAATGGCGCTACTAGAGGCTGTCACCGAGACTGAGCTCGCGCAGGTGCTTGCAGGTGGCCGAGACGGGCAAAAGCTCCAAGGGGTCGAGGTTGGCGAGAAGGTAGATAGTCAGCTCGGCCGGGAGCCGGACCAGACGGCTCGAGCCTGGATCGGCACAGGCATAGGGTTGACCCTGGTCTTGGTCCTCTACTAGGCCGTGGTTAGCAGCCAGGCCAGAAACAGGTGGACAATAAAGAAAATAGAACACGGTCGGGAATCTTTTCAGTGTCAGTGTCAGTGTCAATGTCAGTGTACTTGCCCTTTGCCTTGTCGACCCGAGGGCGCGGCGACTGACTCGGCTTCGGCCGAGGATTCGTGCATGCTTAGCTCCTCCATCTTGGCTGCCCTGGATCCGAAGCTTGCTACTTGCGAGCCGAGCGGTCCCGAGAGTGAGTCTGGAGGTAAGGTAGTCTAAGAGGGAGGACATGGTGGGGTAGCTCGGGAAATTTAGAGCTCGGGAAATTTAGAGCTCGAAGCTCGGTAGAGGGGTACTGTACCTAAGGCAGTCAACCTAGCTAAGGTAAGGTACCTGTAGAAGGTTACCAGGGGTGCTCACACGCCAACGGCAACGGCCCGGGTGATGTGCAGCAAAGTACGTACCTACTACCTAGGGCAGAGACTTGAAGGGACGAAATCACAATAGGCGTATATTGTAGGTATGTACGTGTACCTAAGTTCCTGCGCAGGTTATATTTAGTCTCTTTCCACAGATCCTCTGATTTCGGGTGGGTCAAGAACGGTACTTGCACAATAAATACTGTGCACAGCCAAGGTACCTTTACCCCGCCATCTCCCATGCCATGATTGGATTGGACTATAAGCTGCCACTCCTGCATCAGGTAAGAGTACAGGACAGTACATGCCTTACCGACATTGCAAGCACTCGATAACCTGCTCGACATATCGTTAGGCTGCGACAGTGTTCGATGTGATCTTGATCAGTCCCCCAAGGTTTACTCATCCCCGTCTACCAACTCCTTCACACGACAACACAACACACCCTTCCGCCTCGACCCAGAAACAGAGTAACTTCCTGCCAAGCCAGTCCCAGCGCACACACACATCAATCACATGCAGATATCGGCTAGGATGGCGTCTCTGCTGCCGCTGTTCCAGGACATCTGGCCCATGATCATGCCGTCGTCCATCTCCGTAACCAAGGCCGACGACATACTCCCGCCAGCCGCACCACTGCCGCCACCGGGGGAAGACGACAGCGCCGCTGCTGAGGGGCCGCGGGTCCTCAGCCGGGATGCAGTCGTCAACAAGACGGACAAGATGTGCGCTACCGGTACGATTAGACTCTCCTTCCAGCGCTAGCCGGCAGCAAGCTACACAACTGACCGCGACTGAAAATGCAGTGCTGCTCGTGAAGCCCATGTCCAGTACTACCGTGCGGCACCACGGCGAGCAGGGTTCGTAAACGCCTTACCCCTCTAGCTCTCCGCTACTCCATACCACATACCAACCCTTACCCACTCGACCCCTATCCCCCCCCCCCCCAAAAAAAATAACTCACAACCCCCACTGACACATGGAAACTAGAAGCAATAATCTACGCCGCCTCCGGGCACGGGGGTGTGCTCCTTTCGCAGCCACCCGACGAAGCGCTCGACGCAGGGCGCGACGAGCCGGAGCGGCACGCGCTCGATCCGGGCGATTTCGCGTTCGTGCCGGCGTGGACAGAGCACCGGGTGGTCAACGAGTCGGCGACGTCGGACGTGGTGTGGGTGGTGACGCGGGCCGGCGGGGGGGTGCCGGTCGAAGTGCAGCTTGTGGGTTGGGGTGGGGCGCAGGTACAGGTACAGGCTGCTGCGAGGGGGGGAGTGGGATTGGGACTGGGGCGGGGGCTGGGAAGGGGACCGGGATTGGGATTGGAAAGGGGATTGGAAAGGTGATTGGGATGGGGGCTGGGACTGGGAAGAAGGATGGGCGTGGGAATGGGAATGGGCGTGGGAAGGGGACCAGTGATGGGGTTGGGAAGGGGACCAGTGGTGAGGTTGGGAAGTGGACTAGTGATGGGGTTGGGAAGGAGAAGGAGAAGGAGAAGGAGAAGGAGAAGGAGAAGGAGAAGGAGAAGGAGAAGGAGAATGGGATTGGGATTGGGAAGGGGGGCGAGGGAGAGGGTGTGGTTTAGGGGCTTGACTTCCGATTGGCAGGCCACTGTTTGAGCTCAGATGATTTACTGTCCTTTTTTGTTTCTTGCAGCACCTTGTTTTTCAGCTAGGAGGCTTCAGCCATGTCGAGCAAGCGGGTGGCGGTCTAACACTGCGGCGGCACGCCTACGTTACCCGGAACTGCAAATATGTACATGTACGATCAGACACAGACAATATATACACCAGACACCACTCTCGCTGTCTACATACCAACTCCAATCTAACATCTACGCAACAACATCGTCTATCCGTGCGCCTCCCAGCAGAACCTCCTCACCACCTCGACAACACGACTCCTGTCCTGGCGCTCGTCAAACACCTGCGCGTGGTCCAGCTGTCCGAACCACAGAATCTCCATCTCCGACGGCGCCGTGTGGTGCTTGAACGTGCCGTCCCTGTCCCCCGGGTTCCCGCTCACAAAGTCCCGGCTCAGCTTCTCCTCGGGCACCTTGGCAAAGTCGCCCTCGCTGGCCAGGTACATGGCGATGGTGCGGGTGTCGACGATCAGGTCTCGGCCCGACAGGCAGACGGCCACCTTTCTCTTCTCGCCGGCCTCTGTGGCGAGCTTCTTGGTGCTCTGGCTGCCGCTGCCGCTGCCGCTGTCGCTGTCGCCACTACTGCTGCTGCCCTGCGTCTCTGCGCGGAGACGGCGGCGGCTCAGGCTGTTGCCGCCGGCTTCTCTCTTCTCCTCGCCACCGCCCTCGCTGCTCCCACCACCCTTGAGCTCCAGCAGCTCCTCCCGCCAGATGATGTTCTCGCGCCAGAAGAAGTGGCGCGCCAGCGTCTCGGCGACGCCGAGGTCCATGCTCGCAAAGTACCACAGCTGCCACTCGTTGGCGGTGCGCGGGGCGCGGCGGGTGAAGTTGTAGGCGACGTCGGGCAGGTGCAGCAGCAGGGTGACAGGGTCGACGAGCACGGCGGCGCGCACGCGGGGGCCGAGGTCAGGCGACCGCAGCATGTGCGTCGTGAGCACGGAGCCGTAGCTGTGCGACACGAGCACGAAGCTCATCCACTCGGGGCCGTGCTGGGCCAGGATCCGCGACATGTCCCTGACAAACTCGTGCTGCGTCAGGGGCCGCGACGTCAGCCGCGTCGAGATGGGCAGCACCTCGAGAGCGATGACGCCGACCTGCTTGTCGTCGCCGTCGTCGCCACCGCGGCTGATCTCGTCCAGGAACCGCGTGTACGGCCACAGCCCGACGCCGATGCCGTGCATGAAGACGACGGGCAGCCGCGTGCGCGACCGGTGCAGCCGGTACCAGTAGCCTACCTCGGACGAGGGCGAGGACCGCAGCGCGCGCTTCTCAAGGCCGCCGCTGCCGGCAGCACCGACGCCGACATCACCGCTCGCAAACCGAGACAGAGACGAAGACGGATGCATGGCAGCGGCAACGGCTCCGCGCAGCAGGCCGGTGGGTGGGAAGACGGCGGCGGCCCGGCGCCACAGGCCGGGCGGGGCGTAGTAGGCGAAGCCGTTGAGGGCCATGGAGGCGTGGGTGATGAGGTCGACGGCAGCCACGACGAAGCCGTACCAGATGACGCTACGGTAGCGAGTATCGACAGCATCGAGCGTGAGGCGGAAGGCGCGGGCGGGCCCACGGCCAGGGGCAAAGGGGCGGCCGAGGAAGCCCTCGATCTGGCGCACGAAGCCGTCGATCTCATCCTCGCCATCCTCGCCATCTTCGCCATCCCCGCCATCCTCGCCGTCGAGATGCGCGCCCACGAGCGAGACGTCCCCGTCGAAAAAGGCCCACAGCACAAAGTCGCGCATGTTGTCGCGGCGGATGTGCTCCGAGGGCGCCTCCATGAACCATACGCGCAGGTACCGGTCCCAGTCGCGCACGTTGGCCGCGCACCGCGCGAACAGGTCCGCCCGCGACGCGCGCGACAGCCCCTCGGGGTGCGCCGCCTCCTCCTGCAGCCGCCGGTGGTGCGGCAGGTACAGCGCCACGGCGTAGACGGCCTCGGCAGCGAGCAGGGCCGTCACCGCCGCGATGGCTGCGGTGAGGCCGGTGCTACTGCTGCCACGGGAGGCATCGTGGATGTGGCCATGGCCGTGGTTGTGGCCGTGGTGTTGTTCGTGTGTAGGGAGGAAGAATATCTTGGCATAGAGCAGGGCGCCAAGAACCAGCGCTTCGATTGCCGGAGTGTATTGCAGTAGTATGATGGCCCCGCGGATGAGCACCAGGTTGAAAACCGACTGGTCCAGCATGCTTAGGTAGGTGGTACCTTATTCCTGCTTTTCCGAGACCGAGTTTGAGTTGGTGCTGGGTTGAGCCTGAGTTTGTCGGGATCGGGCTCTACGTACCTTATTCCAGATCGTAGCAACCTGGAAGCCTGTCACTGAATGAATCGTCGTGCGGTAGCACGGTGGCACGGTACGGTCTAGTGCCTGGGTCGCTCATGTCATGCGCCGAGTGGAATGCGCCTGTCCATAAGATAACCCAGGTAGGTACTATTCCATGTCGAGCTCGCTCGCTGTAAGTTGTGGCCCGACCTGACTGTCAAGTGCCAACAAATGCGTCGGGTGCATGTCAAAAGTGTTGGGTTGGGACGCTGCAGGCAGCCGCTAACCGTCCCTCCCGCGCTGTGGGTGCATGAACTTCAACCTTACCTAAGGTAATGCTGAGCTGAGCTGAGCGCTGAGGGTGCCCGTGCTGCGGCAGTAGTGGGTCGGTGGGGTTCAGTTAGCTGCGCGAGCTTGCTGTGAAGGTGGGTGATGTGATGACGTATGCGCCTCCATTTCGCTGGGGATTCTATTGGCCGACTGTGTTTCAGCTCTTCAACAATTTCTCCTCATGATTACCATAACTACTGCATAGGTCAGCACGTATTGGCCGATGCAAATTTGCTATTTATTTATTTGCGACCAAAACACTTCCTTAGACCAAATATTTCCACCTCTAATTCTAGCTATCCATGACGAATTAAATAGAGGAATATGTGCCAATGTTCGTCCAAGAGGGCCCTGTACCTCACATCCCCCCTCTTCAGCTTTTCAAAAAGTTAACCAACCAGATGACTACCTTATTGGGTACAGACCACGTTTTTCTTACCAGCGCTTTGAGTTGTGGCGAATACTAGACAGAATTCGAGATGCAGACAAAATTAAGCACGGAATACCCGAACCTGGATCGCCGAAAGCAAACCGAAACTCAAGCCGAGGCTCATGCTAATTATTAATTAATTAACCTGCTTGCCAAATCTTCGGAAAACTTGCATTCACTGTCATCCGTGATCCTCATCCATGGCCCTTGATATCGGCTTCGCGGCTCGGGTTGCCGATAAAAGAAAGTTGTACCGCAACAACCGGCAACGGGTCGAAACGACTCGGTTGCTGTTCATCTGCCAAAAACATCCGGCTCTGGGAACGTTGTGGCGTAAACTGTCAATAGTGCCGGATCCGAGGCTTAAGGTTTGCTTCCCCAAGTTGTGTATGTGAAAAGGTTGTCCGCAGCGTGAATCACAGTCCACGGGCAGAGTTCGAATCCTATCTTGACCGACCCACGACCACCAGAGTCTGAGTCTGAGACGGCTGGGTTAGACACCTGAAAGCCCTTTTGATCCCACCGTCTTGCCACACTTTATATCTCCATCTCGGGCTCCCCGTTTGAATTCGCCTCCTGTGCTGCCCTCTCACTTCCTCCTCCCCGGGAAGAATAACTGGTACCCGAGCCCACGCGATTCTCTTCGTCCACATCCCTTTGTCTGTAGCCCTGGCCTGTCCGCCGCTTGTCCATCATCATCCTCTTGGCTCTGAGTTCTTGAAAACCTTGTCCTCTCGGTGCCCTAGCCCCAGGCCCATCACACAGAATCTTGCTCAGTGAGCGTCCGTTCCCTACAAATACCTGCTGCCCCTTTTGCGTCTTTCCCCAGGACCCAACTAGCTTCTCTATTTCGAGTCTCGTTTCTGTCACAAACCAAAGCAAACCATAAGCACCACATCATGCCCGCAATCATGCGAGGGCGTCGGGCGGCGGCCAAGGAGGTTGAGAGCGTCAAAGTGGCCGAGAGCGTCAAGGTGCCGCACGACGAGAGCGTCAAGGTGGCCGGGAGCGTCAAGGTGCCGCACGACGAGCCGTACCTCATGCAGATCCTCCACATGCTGGGAGAAGCCGAAGCCAAGATCAGCACCGGCGTCACCGATCTGTCCCTGCCGTTCGGCCACCAACCGGCCGCTCTCGCCACAAACAAGACCAACCCCTTCCAAGACTACAATTCCGTCCTGCCGGAGGGACTGTCGCGCGACCACCCGTGGGCGATGCCGCACATGGACAACGGCGAAACGTTTGCCTCGTGGTTCCTCGTTGGCGCGGTGCCGTTGTTCCTGCTCGGCATATTCCTCTATGACTTTGTGCTGAAGTGGCAGAGCGGCGAGACGCAGCAGCAGGCGCGGGAGATGCGCGACATGTTTATTTTGCTCGGCAAGCTAATCTACAAGGCCATTTTCGTGAAAGAGGAACAGCCCGGCGAGTCCAACAGCCCCCCTTTTAGCGGAGGAGGCGGCGGTGGCGGCGGCAACCTCTCCGGAGGCGAGAAAGCAGCAGGGGCTGGCAACAGCCAGGACGGCGGCCCGAACCCAAACAACCTGAACCAGCAGATGCAGCAGCAGCATCCGTGGCCCAATCTGCCCGGCAGCAGCAGCGGCGAGAGCGGCGGCAGCAGCAACACCAAAGTAGCCCCCGCCGCCCTCGCTGCCGCGGGATCCTCGTCGCTCAACGAAAACAGCCTCGCAACGCCATCAGCGCCGCCACCCACCGCCTCGACGTCCGCCGCAGCCTCTCTATCGCCCTCCTCGTCTTACGCCACCAAAAGCCGCAGAAATTCGAACCCGGCCGCCGCGCCCACCATCTGCTCATCCACGCCGCGCACCGTCCTCGTCCCCGCGTCCCTCCTCGCGCGCCCCAACACGGCAGACCCCGTCCTCGCCACCACCAGCGCCATGCTGCTAAACCCCGGGCTGCTCGACATCACCAGCAAGCCCGCGCCGCCTCCCACACTCGACACCAAGACCTTCATCGCCTCCACCGCGCCGCAGCTGCTGCCCAGCCCCGTCACCACCGACGACCACGACCGTTCGGACTCGGAGCCCGATTACAGCTTTTTCACCGGCCTCAACAGCAGCGCCAAGGACCAGGGCAAGAGAACAGGCAAAGACAAGGCCGCGGGCCACGGCCACGCGCCGTCCGCGTCAGAGTCTGCTGCCGCCGCGCCGGCGGGTCAGAAACCCGTCCGCGCCAGCTGGCTGAGCGAGTACCCTGCTGCAGTCGCCGCGGCGTCGGCGCCTGGGTCGCTGCGCGCGAGTTTGGTGATGGCTAGTGGGGGTGGGAGTGAGAGTGGCGGTGTGAATGGTAGTGGAGGCGGTGGCAATAGGGTGGATGCCAAGTCGGGCGCTGTGGCTGTTGGCGGCGGCAAGCGGGCTAGCGAGCTGTGATGGGTGGGTGGGTGTGTTTTGGTCGATTGATTTGGTCGATTGATTTGGCTTCGAGGTTAGTGATAGGGTGGACGGTGTGGCTTTCTGCGGCGGTAGACTAGTCACTGGTCACTGTCAGTGGCGGGATCGAATGGATTGTGATGGACGGGACATGGTGCAACGGCTGATCCAGACCCAGGTACCTGATTCAAGTTGGGCTGGACCGACGGCTTGCCGAGAGGCTTTCTTGTATTTGTTTCTTAGTTGGGCTTGCGGATGGTCGATGCCAATGCACAATTTGTATGTGGTCATGTCCATCCCGGCCCCCCTACTCAGCGGGAAGGATTTTGCGCGCTTCAACAGACACATGCGGCCTAAATAGTATCGAGGTCTCGATAATGTCAGTGATACTAGGTTCATACCAAATACTCGTGTCCGTTTACTGCCTGGGGCTGTCCATCCCTCCTGATAAGTATTCATGTATGGTCCAACCAAGTAAAGCTGGTGTTGCTCTTCTCGGCAGTCACAAAATCGTGAAATTCAGATTTAGGGCCATCCCGGTAGGACGTGTCTTTTCCTCCCAATGTTAAAAAAACCGACTCGTATTAAATCACCAATTTTGGGACACTTTTGGCTGGAATGGATTGTGTTTGCACACAATGTGATTTCCCTTGACCCCATCGCCTGGGAAACGGCGCCGCACTGTGTGCCCAAGCACTCTGCTTGCCCCACAAATGCAGCCCTTCTCACCTATACAGCTTGTATGGTCCTTGGGTATAACAGGCTTGAAGTTTATCTAAATAGCAATCCCTGAGGAAGGCATACAATTTACTGATGCCTGGTTAGAACAAGATGCTTACCAGGATTCCGCTAACAGCCCTTTAGGAATGAACAGAGATTGAGGAGGCGCCAAGCGAGCCACGGCCGCTAGAAAAGGTCTAGCGCAAACCTAAATCCAGGCCGCCTGTTTTGGCCACCGCCAACAGAAGTGGTCACCACCAACAGAAGTGGTCACAAGAGGGTCACTCAAGTTCAGCTCACCCAAAACGCAACGCTCCCCGACCCCCTCTTTCCTCCCGGTACGACCGGGCTTCGAAGTCAGAATGTCAATGCTCATTATGCTCGCTGGGTTTGATTTCAAGGTGCAGCGCGAACAAGTAGACTTCAATTAAGCTGGGGCTTCGGCGTTTTTGAGTAGCAGATTCGCCAACGAAGCTGCGCAGCAAGTCTTTAGCAGCTACACAACCAGGGAGGTCAAGTATGGAAACAACATTGCCGTTCTTTTCCTCGGTCTCTACCACTGCCGCCAATACGACGACCACCCAGCATTCTGGCGGGCAATTGCGAGGGGCATGGGTACAAGCTTGGAGTTGATGCGAAAAACTACCCATACGCTCTCAGACGCCCGCAGATTCCTCCTAGATACCGGCAGACCTGGTAGCACGAGATCCGATATTGTTGTGCGCGCTGCCGATGCCTGGATCGACTTTCTTTCTGCCGACCCCGCCGCGCGCCTGCGAATTTCAACTTCGACCGACGATTGCCAAGTAATCAAGTTTTCCGAAATCTATTTCAAGAGCTTGGAGCACACCATGGTGAACGCCTCATCCGTCCCCACCAAAGGTCACCCTCAACTGCTCCCCATCCGTGATTCCACTCTCCCGGGTACCGAGTACGACCGTGACGCTTCCAGACCAGTCCCAAAACCCCAGGTCGACTCGCCAAAGCCTGCTCGCCACATCATGTCGCCGCCTAAGCTGTCCACCGAGACGGAGGCTCTCGCCAGCAATGCCGACAAAATTTCAAATGACGGAAACCAGCGCATCGACGCCCAAGCATCGCGTAAGCGACCACCTCCCCCCTCGATGCAAGCTAGGAGCCCGCCCCAAACCGAGTTCCGCATGCTCAACTTTCTGGAGACACGCCCGCTAAGGCTCCTCAGCCCACCGAAGCTCCCCCCGCGGCACCTGTCCCTGAGAAGCAACTCCAAAACCATTCTGAGCAGAAGCCTACACTTGCTTCGGCAAAGCAGGCTTCGCCGTAGAGCGGCATGAGCAGCATGAACAGTAATCGGATTGCCGAGAATTCTCTAGTGTCGCTCATGGCCCGATGCGCCGAGCCGGGTAACCGGCTTGCCGTTGTGGGAATGAAGTTGACCGAGAGCCAGGACCAGCTGAAGGCTGGCTCCCTGAAGAATATTGAGAGCAAAGTGAGCGAGCTCCAAGCCGAGACGAAGAAGGGCTTGGTGACGACCATAGACTCGATGCACGCCGTTACCGAAGCAATGGCCAACATGAGAGAGGATATATCTGGCCCCGATTCGAGCATCATCAGCACCGTAAATGCCATCAAAGATGACATACCCAACGCCCATTCGAGCATCATCGAAGCCATGAATTCTTTGAAAAAAGACGTGTCTGGCTCTCATTTGGGCATTATCGAAGCCGTAAATGCTATCAAAGGGGAGGTATCCCGCCCTCATCAGAGCATGGTTGACGCCTTGAATACCTTCAATGAAGAGATGTCTGGCTCTGATTCGCGCGTTGTCAAGGCGCTGTTGCAGCCTATTCAGACCATGACAGAAACCTACAACTCGTTGCGCCACGAGGTTGCAGAGTTGAAATCCCAGCAATCCCAGGCCGGCGCCCAGTCTCCTGCGTCCCAGATTCAATCTCAGATGGCAGAACTGCTTCAGGAGCAGAGTTTCCAGCTTAAGAAGCTAGGTTTGTAGATGGAGCGCGTGCAGGCGAAGCTGGCCTCTTCAGCGCACGCTGATCCCGCTAATCAAACGCCCATCAAGGCGGCGGCGCCTCCTATCCCAGCAGCCACTGATGTAGCATTCGCCAAATCAGCACATGCTACCGCTGGCTTGGAGGACACGAAGCCGAAGCTTGTCGCTTCGCCGCCCGTTCAATCTATGAGATTAACTTTCACTTACCCGGCATCTGCTCCTTCGCCGCTGGCTAATCCCGCCGTTGCGAAGCCGGCGCTCAGCAGATCAGTCCCCAAGAATCTGCTGCAGGCAATGAAAGCAGCCGAGACAGACCTTAAACACCACGTGAAGAGTATCCAGAAGTTCTACTACCAACTCGACAGCTCTCTACCCAACCGGCGTGCGGCGGAGAAGGCGGCGGATCTTCTCCTCGCCCTCGAGCGGGCTCTAAAGCATGCTGAGGTCAGACAAAGGCAGCTTCAAGGCTAAACAGAAGAGGTTATTCTCCGGTATCTCGAGTGTCGGAGAAAACCCCCCAATCGACCCATTATGGGTCTGTTAGCGTATAATTTGATTCGCCTCTGGGCGTGCCTAGTCACCAGGCGGTGACTACAAGAAGGAGATCTAATGCCGCGCCACTTAAGTCAGGTGGTCTGCTTATGGAACACCCCTGGATTTGGAACAAGGTTTGTCATCAAGGACTTGCCGCTCGCCACCCAACTCACCTATTTCAATCGCTTGCAACTCGACCAATTCTGCTTCAATACTTATCTTCTTTTCTCCATTCAATTGAGAAATGAAAGATGAAGCGATATACTCAGTTGGATTTGCAGAATGCGCTGGCAGAGTATTCAGAAACCGGCTTACTCCGTAGCTCTGCTGAAAATCACGGCATCCCCCCTACTACTCTCTTTAATCGGGTTCGTGGTTCCGAGCCAGCCTCCAAGGCCCAAATTCTTAATCAAAAGCTTTCTCCGGCTATGGAAGAACGCTTAACCGAATGGATTCTATTCCAAGGGTCGCTCGGTCACCCTCCAACCCACGCCCAAATTCGGAAACTAGCTAGAAGAATGCTCGAAGATAACGAGACCCTCGGAAAACGCTGGACTAGCCGGTTTTTGGCTAGAAATCCATCTATTTCTACAATTAGGCCTCGGAGAAGCCATGCAAACCGTGCTGATCGAGCCTGTGAGGCCGTTATCCGGCCTTGGTTTGACTATTTGAAGCCTCCAGGCGTGGAGGCTATTCCAGCCAAGCATAGGTATAATATGGATGAAACTGGCATTGCTTCTGGCATTGGAGATAACGGCCTGGTTGTTGGATCTAAGGAAAGAAAGAAATTCCAGAAAAAGAAGAAAGGAGACCGAATTTGGACCTCGATTATCGAATGTATTTCCGCTGACGGCCGGTATTTGAACCCAGTCGTCATTTTCAAAGGTGGAAGCCTTCAACAACAATGGTATCCACGCGATTTACAGCCATTTAAGGGCTGGAAGTGGAAACCCACTGAAAACGGCTGGTCTGACGATGATACTGCCGTCGCATGGCTCCGCAATATCTTTCTTCCAGAGACTCGGCCAGCTACCCCCTCGGAGAAGCGCCTCCTTATTTTAGATGGCCACGGTAGTCATACCACCGAAGAATTCATGTGGCTAGCCTTTTCTAATAATGTACAATTGTTATTTCTACCAGCCCACACCTCCCACGTTCTCCAGCCCCTGGATTTATCGGTTTTCGGCCCTCTAAAAGCCCGGTACAGAGCCAAGCATAACGAGGTTGTTTCCGGCTTCGACGAAGGCACTGTTGCTGAAAAGAGGGCCTTCCTAGAATGCTACCGGCAAGCCAGGGTCTATGGAATGATTGAATCTAATATCAAAGCCGGCTGGAAAGCTACAGGCCTCTGGCCGGTCAGCCTCAGGAAGCCCCTAAGCAACGGCCTTGTTATTAAGAATTCTAACGGCGACGTTGGTCAACTGACCTCTACGGTTTCTATAGACCTTCAAGAGGTCCATAACCCCATTCTAAATAAGAATTCGGAGGGCCGGCCTATATGGTTTAACCCTAAAAGCCGAAGGATTTCCGTATTCAGGGGCAGGTTTTTCTAGCCGGCCAGAAACGGACTGCCAACGACCGACTTTTCATACGCAAGGCCGCAAAAGCCTTCGATTACGTGGTTTTCCAACTAGCCAATACGGCGCATCAATTGGAGGCTGCAGAAAAAAGCCTAGAACGCACAAGAGGCCGAAAGAGAAGGAAGGTCCAAGTCGACCCTAATACGCAGTTCGCTGGAATTGAGGAGGTTCGTGCCTCACAGAGAGAGGCTGGCAGAGAGGACCTTGGTTATTCTGAAAGAGAAGAATCAGGAGAATCCGATACTGAAGACTTCATCATTGTAGCTAATTAATTGACAAAGTTGTTGGCAATTGAAGTTTGTGGTGTTGTGCGGGGTCCGATTCAGGGGCTGTTCCATAGGCAGGGGTGTTCCAAAAGTCCCCCACCTGACTTATAATAAGCATTACCGGGATGGGCTCTTGCGTTTCTAATTATCACAGGCTTGATTTCAATATCTAATGGCAGAAATCAGTGGCTGGGTTTACACGTTATAACCTCGTCATAAGTCGTTTGTATAGAGCTGGCATAGGGTCCGTTGGGCCAAGGTGCTGCCTGATATTTCGGCCGAGCACCTTAATATCCACACACAACGGACATCGTATAATAGCCGCAATGCACACGCCGTTTACATAGTACTTTGAGTTCGCCACTTCCCGCTTCTATTTGCCAGTGACGTTTCTACTTTGCACGCTGATCAACTATGCCCTTACTTAGTTGTGGCGACGGTCTTGGTTTGAGTTCCATAGTGGCTTCTATTATCCTGCTTGCCTTTGTTTCAAGCCACGCGCCTGCTTTGATAGTAATTACCTAGATACACAGGTACATATCTAATTAGCTAGGTAAGTGAAGAGAGAATCATAAGGACACTACAGCGCGCCCGCCTTCTTGAGCCAGCTCTCGACGGTCGCCCGTAGGTCCTCGTACGGCAGCCCGACGAGCTCGTTAGCACTATCAGCAGGCGCAAGCGCGTTGCCAGCACCGTCGGCGAAGTTGTGCACGTGCAGGAAGTCGATGAACGCGCGGAAGTCGCCCTGCGCGAGCTTCTCCTCGCCCTTCTTCTGGATGTCGGCCGACGCGACCCGCGTCACGGCCAGTTTCGTGCCCGCCAGCTCCTCCACCAGCGCGATCAGCTCGTTCTGCGACAGGTTGAACGATGCGGATCCTAGGTACTGGTTCGCTGTTGCGTCCGGGTGGGACAGGATCCCCGCCACCGCCTGCCCGATCTGCGGCAGGTTGCTCGCCTGCCACTTCTCGTTGCCCGAGTCGACTACTATCGCCGTCTTGTCCTTGACGCTGAAGCCTAGTGTTCCGCGCTCGAGGGCCTACGTAGCTCGTGCGTCAGTATCAATTCATTCAGGGTCCCTATGTGTCTAGCTACCCTACCCAGTCGAAGAACAGGCCCGTCGACAGGCCGGTCCACGAGAAGGCCGGGTGCGCAGCCGCCTGCTCTTTTAGGTAGTCGACAATGGCGATCTTGCCAGCGAGGATGGCGCCGATGGGCGTGCCGCCGACGCGGCGCGTGTTGATGCCGAACTCGGACGGCACGAAGCGCCGCACGCCAGCGGCCACCGCCGCGTCAACGGCGACCTTCTGCGCCGCGATCCCCGCCGTCGCCACCACAGACACCACGGCGTCCTGTCCCGCGAACGCTGCTGTCAGGTCCGCGACCGACTCGTAGTCGACGCTCTTGATCGCGAGCCCATCGGGAAACTTGGGCGTCGAGTTGGTCGACCCGGCGCGCGTCACGCCTGTTACGGTGAAGCCGGCCGCGACGAGCTCCTGCACGATGAACGGGCCTAGGTTGCCCGTGCCCTGTCCGAGAGGTTAGCGTTTGCTGTCGCGAGACGTGTTGTGTAATTAGGTGTGGTGAAGCGAGAAGCGGCAGAGTGCAGCTCCTGAGGAGAAATGGAGGCATAGTTACCCCTAGCACGGCGACGGTCTTGATGGACACCATGGCGACTGGTGTGGTTTTTTCTTAACGGTTAGATGCTTGAAGGTTGAATTACCAATAGGAGAGAAAAAGCCAAGGGTTGAGGTGTGTGTTGTGTGAGTAAAATGGAAAGTAGGTAGGTTGTCCAGCAAAGCGACCACACCCGCCCCCTACATTATATATATACCTAGCAAGGTAGCACCTAATAACACTACAGCATTCCGCGTTGGGGTCCGGCTATGTTGCGCAAGACGGGCGTGCTATTACAAGATTCCGTGCTATTGCAAGATTCCGTGCTATTGCAAGATTCCGTGCTAATGGTACCTGATTGCATGAGGAGAGAGAATTGGAGAAGGGGAGGGGCCGTCATCCATGGATATTCCGAGCGGTTCCGAGAGAGAGGAGGCGGGGAGCCCCAAATATGGATGGGGGCGGGTAACGGGTTCACGGCTAGACCAGTCTAAGGTAGTTGGCAAGTGCAGCGTTCTCGGCAGATGGACGCGGCCGGCCTCCTTGGTGCAGGTCCAGCCCGTAGTCCTCCTCGCGGACTATTGATTGACCCTTGCGGCTTAGTCTAGTCCATGGTAAAGCTAGCAGAGTCGATGAAATGGGGTACGTAGTTTAGTTTATCATGCTGTGCTTTTTTCTTGAGAGAAATTTCAAACTCTTCCTGTTCGTCTCACCGAGAGAGTGTGTCGTGCCTTGCCCTGTCCTGAGCCGCGTCCAGAGATCTCCGGCTGAATGCGGAAATCAAGAACGTCCTGAACCGCGGCCTGCGCGGTTGATAGGCTGTTTTTTTCTACTTCGCCGGTAATAGCCCAAACATGCGAATCTGCTTGTGGCTGATGCTACAAACTTTAGTCGTCTTGGTTGCGATTTATGTCGCATGAGCGAGTCATGAGGTGCGGGCTGGGATGCATGATATCATGCCAGTCAAGGTTAGACAGAAATGTGCTTCTTGGATATATCGAAGCATGCCTAGGAATAATTTCACTTGTAGCTCTAGGAAGGGGGGTTTCTCAAAAGCGTCAAGCTTACTTTCCCCCGGAATTGCGAGAGAATTAAAATGCGGATAAGAAATTATAAAAGCAATGCCTCGATATCACGAACTGTTGATTGGAAGTGGTGATGCAACTGAAACCCCATTTTCAAGGGATATGGCGAACTAATTCTAGTGCATGGGAGCATGAGCAATCTTAATCTGAATTATAGCGAAAGCCCGTAGGAAAGAAAGTGTTGAAATCAGAATGTTCAAGGAAAAAACCAACTCTCCACATCCTAATCTCTACATGCGATATATAGGTTCAAGTTGGTCACGAAAAAAAAGCCAATACCCGGTGAAAGCACGAAGCAACAAGTCCAACACGAAAGGTTCTCGGATCCGGCTACAACTAGCGCATTATATGCCGGCCGCTCCGCTCCACGCACCCGAACTTTGAACGGCCCGGAGCCGTCAAGGTTCGGTACAACCATGGATTTGCCCATGACACGTACACCGAGAAGACTCACGCCGTGCCGTGGTGTCAAACTCGATCGGCCGGCCCGAGTACAAATAGAACAAGAATGCTGCAATTGACGAAAGGGTCTTGCACACGCCTTCCAGCCCTCACCCAAATCCATCAGATCAACCAAATCCATCAAATCAACCACAGCCATATACTTGAATAACCTCTACATAAAACTAGACACTAGACACGTACCGGCTACTTCTGTTCCTAATCTATCAGCTTCACCGTATCCTAACAGCGGGCGTGGCCAGCGTTGCCACTCACCAAACTCAATAAAGATAATACAGCGCTAATGAGCTAGAATCGGCGGCGGAAAACTACCTACCCAAGGACTCTACACGAGTGAGCTACGATAACTTCATCTTATTCCATAGGTAGGTACCTTGAGTTTGGAAATTATAGCATTTTCCCTTTTTTTAAACCTAGACCACAACCCTCAGATCACGCCTCAAGTTCACGCCCTCAAAACCCCCCAAAAAGACGAAGAAAGCAAGCAGAGAAAAAAGGGAAAAAAAAGTCTTTTTTACCCTCTTATTACTCACTATTGGATATGGTATCTAGAAGGAAACAGTACAAAACGACGACAAAAGTTCAAAAACCAAATAGAAAAAACAAACGACCAGCAACTCAAACTAACCGCGAGGCAACGGGAAATAAATAAAGGATGACGAGACGGCGTCCTCGACCGAGATTGGGAAGAAGAGATGCGAAAATGAAGGGGAAAAAAGGAAGATGATGACCGCGATGACCCAGTATTAGTAGTGAAGAGTAATTTGGTACATGGAGGAGTGGTAGTGGTGGTGATGCTGGTGGTTGCTGGGACATTGCAGAGGCTTCTTTTCGCCTTCCTTTTCGGCCTGCAAGCTTAAACCCGCGCAGACACACCAAAGTCGAGTCCAGCAGCCAAAGTCGAGTCCAGCAGAGGGAAAATGAGAGCCAAAAAACAAACCCCAACCGGAACCTTTTCCCTCCCCCCGGAGCGCTCGCATACCCGGCAAGCTTTTTTGTCCGATAAAGTGGCCCCGAAAGTTACCCAACCGGTTTGTCCAAACCTTTTCCTTCACCCAGACATGCCGAAATCCTTGGCCTTGCGGGTCAGGACCCGGATGTTGTTGAGCAGCCCCTCCACCAGCTCGACGTACTGGTGTGGCTGGTTGTCCATGGCCGCGCGGCCTTGGTTGATTAGCACCTGGGGCGCCACCTCGATCTCGAGCTCGTGCTCCTTGTCCTGGCGTTGGGTATTCTGGGTGTTTGGTTAGCATGAATGCCTGTATAAGTAACTTCACGCAGGAACATGGTGATGCTAACATTGGCCCCCGGTACCATCTGCGTCACTTGGGTGAGGTCCACTTGATAGTGGCTGTGGGTGTAGCTGAGCCTGTCCTTATTGCGGTGAGGTATGGGGGCGCGGCCGTCATTCTCGAGCTTGTCGATGGGGCCGTCCCAATCCATTTCCAAATTGATGCTGATGCGGCAATCCAGAGGGGAGTCGGGAAAGTGTATGCTGATGTCGGCAACGCGCGCCTTGATGATCTTGGCCAGCACCTCGTTTGTCTTTTGGTCGTATGTGATGCGGACCTTGGCTGCGTGCTGTCGCGCAGCAACGAGGTTTGCGACGCAGGCGGGCAGCATCTGATCGCGGACCTGTGAAGGAAGCTCGAAGAACTTGTCCACCTCGCGACGGTGCTTGTACATGATAGGGACGCGCCGTCGAGAGCGGCCGGCATTGACTTCCTTGTTGTCTGGATGGGTGAGGACGACCATTTGGTTTAGAAACTCGTTGAAGAGCTTGTGCTGGCGCTGATAGAGGGGGAGGCGTTAGCAAACGCACAAGCACAGAAAGAGGGACAGGAGTGAAGTGAATAGGCGACCCACCTCCGTCATACTACTCCGAAAATTGAGCCAGTTGCCGGAATCATTGAGCACACAGTCCGAAAGGACGGGCAGGTTCACTCGTTGGCTTGTGCTCCTGTCGATCAGGGTGCCCAGCTTTGCCTCTATTTCGAACTGGACTCCGCGGCTCTGTATCTCGTTCATGTCCTCGTTTAGGACGACATGTTTGAACAGGAAATCCGCGATGACCTTGGTCATTGCTTCTTGCGGTATGGCATTTGTGATGCTGGCCTCCCACTCCCCTAGAGGGCCGAGGGCCGGCGCGGGTTCGGGCAGGGCCTGCGCTGGGGGCTGTGCTGGGGGCGGGGCAGAAGGAGCGACCTGGGTCGGCGGTATGGCGCGCTTATCCTCTGGCGAGGTGTGCCGGCTGGGAAGTCGGCTGTCGGGCTTGCCGTTGACTTGGGTGCTGTGGCTGTGGACGACTGGTCGGTAGATTACGCGGTTAGGGTTGGCTAGGATGCGACCTTTTTGTGCCGTCTGAGCCCAGATGGGAGGCGTCTGGTAGACCTTGAGGTTCTTCTCTCCTTTCTTGGGCATGGCGTGGAAAGGCGCGGGAGGGGCCGCGTCGCCGTGGCGGCCGTTAACACCCTCAAACGGCGGTGGGCGTACGTCGCGCTTCTCGAGCTCGTCGGGGCGCAGTTCGCGGTCGTCGAGCTTGCGCTTTCCTGGCGTGACACCGCGCTCGCGGTCTCGGTCGGGCTCGACGGCCGAAGGCATGGCAGGGGCGGGCTGGATTGGGTGGTAACGGGATTCTGAGTCGGGAAGTGAGGTGCTGGGGCGGCCAGAGCTGCTGGGCAGACTTGGAATCTGCGTTTTTGGACTGACACTGAGACTTCGATCCCTTTCACTGTGTGACTGGGATCTGCGGAGCGAGTCTTGACTGTGTGGGTCGTAAAGACTTTGACTGCTGGGATGCCTTGGTAGCGCAGGTGGGGGGGGCGGTGGCGGCGACGACTGCGAGGGAGGAACATGGTATGTTGGAGCAGAGGGCAAACGTTGTTGGTACGGGCTCGAAGGTTGTCCGTAACCTAATGTTTGCGACGGGCGAGGGCCAGACAAAGGACCCGCGATTGGAGTGGGGGGTTGAGACGATTGGCGCTGTTGAGGATCCATTTGAGGGAGGGGATGCGCCGGCGCCCCAGGGCTCCCCTGGGCGAACGGAGCTCCATACTGCACTGGCTGGCCCTGCGCCGACGTCGACGTCGGCGTCGAGTGCGCTGACTGCGACCGTTGTAGATAGGGCTGGGGACCGGCTGGAGTTCCGACCGGAGGCGTCTGGGGCATTTGCTGCCCCTGCATATACGAGGCAGCAACGGGCGGGCCTGTCATACCGCCGTGGCCCGACGGCTGGGGATAGCTTTCTCGGTGGTAGGCGCTCGTGGGCGGCGGGTATTGGTGTCGTTGCACAGGGCTAGTCGGCGTCTGCTGTTGCGGCGGGAAGGGATAGCCGCTGCCGCTGGCCGCGCTGATTGACGACGTAGGCGTCTGCCGATACGGCGACGCGACGGGGCCAGACGTCATGATGGGCGAGCGGAGATCGTTGGGCAATATCTGCTGCAGCGGCGGCGGAGGTGGCGGCGGCGGTCGGCTGGGGTAGGGGCCGGCAACGCCCGGGTACGGGGGCGGAGGTGATGTAAAGGCGGCACCTGGCACCACATGTTGGGCGCTGTAGTCCTGCGAAAACTGCCGGCTCGGGGAGGGCTGCGTCTGGCTGTAGTCGCGGAACGACTGCTGCGAGATGGTCTGTACCGGCGTCGATGGGAGGGCGGGCTGCGGTTGGAGCGGCGGCGGTTGGAGCTGCTGCTGCTGCTGCTGCTGTTGCGGGAGCAGTGGTGGCGGCTGGGGCGGTTTGCTCGGCGCTGCCCCGGCAGGCCCGTTGTCGTTCAGCATCCCCCTCAGATCCATCTTGCAAGCGGTCCCTGTTCGGTCCTAAAGCTGTGCTGCGCTGTCGAGCTGAGCTGGTAGGTTGCTGTCGTCGGGCCTCGTAGCAGCTCCAATGTGGCCCCGGCAGTCAACGGGCTCGGCTCTCTCGTCTCGGTTTACGTCGCGCTCCTCGTCCCGCAGATCATCGAAACGGGGCTCGCGCAGCGCAGTACTGTGACGTGTCACAATGGCAACGGTCGCGGTCGGTTCGGTTCGTTCGCTTCGGTTTGGTTCGTTATGGCAAGGCCCGCAGGTTATGGTCGTGGTCATGGACGTGCTGTGTGGGCGTCGTCGTGGTCGTCGTGGATGCGTGGTCTAGCTGCGCGGCAAACGGCGTCACATCGTTCGTGCATGTGGCTGGGATGGAAGACGCTCGTTGATCGCAGACGAGCTAGAGGCCCAAGGCTTCGATCCCATGCCACGGCTCGGACCACAGTCAAGCCGCCGAACAGTTCTGACTTCTGGGTGTGCGACTACTAGTATTGGTACTGCACGCGCGACGACATCGTCGTTGACCGGGTTGCGAGCGCACGAAGATACGGTATGGAGGGCCAAAAATGGAGAGCGACGTGTGCGCCAAAATGTGGATTCGCAAAAGCAATGGGATGGGTATGGGCATGGGCCGCGCATTTGCCTGCTAAACAGCACCTCGCTGCGCTGTTGGAGGCGAGGAGCGATAGCCCCGCCGCTCTCTCTGTGAGGGACCGCCTAACATTAAACTAGCATGCCACTTGGGGAATCTGCTACTAGCTCAGGGCTCAGGGCTGCGGCTGCCTGCTTTACTACCGGCCCTGTAGTAGAAAGCATTTCTATTTGATAGGATCCAGCTACAACTTCGTCTATCTGGTTGGGCGACGCTTGACACAAGCCAAGTGTTACCGAGTACAAGGACGAGGGAGGCTCAAGGGAGCTTCAGAGCTCTGAAAGGCTAGAGACCACTTGTTCGGACGCTGTGTCTGGACAAATTTGGGGTGTGCTCGAAATTTCCCGCCCTTGCTGTGCCCCAGCTCAATTGTAAACGAGGGCCGAGCCCAAATCAGACTAGCCGACTTTGTGCCTGCCAGACTCTCTCCAACTGGCACGCATCCTGGACCTTGACCAATGAAAGTGCTTCACGGCGGGCAGGCAGTTGACGGATTATTAAGAGCTTCAAAGCTCCCGACCTTACACGTGATCAAAGGCTTCAAAGCAAGACCCTGAATACAATAGGGGGCCTGACTTTCCCTGAAATCGCCCGCCGTATAGGCCATATAGTCCGGCAGGTGCAAACCGTATGCACTGCAGGGCCAGTAACTCCCCAAAAGAGCCGGGTTGGGTGCAAAGGTGTAAGGAAAGAGCCCCAACCCACACCCACGACCAACTCACACACCTGCCTTCACTTACACGAAGCCAATAAGTGTGTACGGGTATTATAGTACCAGAATTAGCTACAGTTACGGCCAAATCCTGAAGATTGGGAGAGGGTATTTGGTCTGACGAAACCTGGGCTCTCAACGGCCTAATGTGGAAGAAATGGGCGCTTCTTTATGAACGATGATATACGGGATTGGGCACTGAAAAAGAGGAAGCCGAAGGGCTGGATGTTTTGGGGATCCTTTGCTGGGCGGAGAAAAGGGCCATCTTTTATTTGGGAAAAGGAATACGGCGGCATCGACGCAACCAACTATATCCGGCATGTTGTACCCCTTATAATCGACTTCCACCACCGTAACGGCAGAAATCTGATCTTTCAACAAGATAATGCGCCGTCACATAGGGCCCGAAGGACAAAAGACACACTAACAATAGCGGGGTAGAGATTCTTAAGTGGCCTGCTTATTCCCCTGACCTTTCACCAATCGAGAATGTGTGGCCCTGGTTTAAGGGCTGGATGGAGCTGCAAGTGCCTGATATTCAAGATCTTGAGCTGCCAGCCTTACGTATACTTATGGATGCGTGGCGCGCAGTACCGGAAGCCTGGCTGCAGAGGTTGGCTTACAGTATGCCCCAGCGGCTGCAGTTGTGTATTGCGGAGGGCTGTACAATAAACTACTAATTTTTTTGCCTAAAAGACCCTTGTTTATTGTAACGGGCTTAGCGCTTGTAAGTGGCAAATATGGTCTTGGCAGGTAGCGAAATAACAATATCCACCCCGGCATAGGAGTAATGTCCAATCTACAAGCTCATTCGCCAGTAAGTCCCTAGGGCTTGGCAACAGGCCCACTCCCCAGGCTGCAGGCAGGAGCTTCCTGACGTGGATTGCTGAGTCGTGTCTGAAGCTCAGGCGTTCAGCTCCTGCAACTTCGCTTCGTCCTCCAACACGCATCTTGTCTTCATCAGCCCAACGCGCCGAATTCGAGCCGCAAAACCGTCTTCCATCAAATTCCCGCTTTTGGGCCTGGCATCTATATCTGACTCCGCCTGTTTCCGAAAAGCTATCTCTCAATTAATTAATCCCCTCCTCCATCGTATACCGCCGTCACCATGCCAGGCCTCGTTACGGCAACCGGCGTCTTAGCTTTCCTCGCCGACGAGGAGACAGAGCTCAAGGTCTTCGCCCTCAAGACGCTCAATGATGACATCGACACCGTCTGGTTCGAGGTTGCAGGCGCACTGAGCGACATGTAGGTGGCATTATGTGATTATGTTGAGATGTTGGTCTAACGCTTTGATGAACAGCGAGGCCCTCTACGAAGACGAGAGCTTCCCCGAGCGCCAGCTTGCTGCGCTCGTCCTGGCCAAGGTCTACTTCCACCTGCAGGCCTACAACGAGAGCATGACCTTTGCTCTGGCTGCTGGGCCCCTCTTTTCGATTGATGCCCCCGGCGAGTTCGAGGAAACTATCATCTCTAAGTGTATCGATCAGTACATCGCTATCTCTTCGACGCATCACGCTCCCTCGAAGCAATCCAAAAACGACTTGTCTCTGCCCGCAATTGCGACGACCTTTGGTAGCGGCGCCCTCGATGGATCTTCCTTGATCTCGCCCACCACTCCGTTCTCGCAGTCCACCCTCCCGTCCAAGTCTCTGCTCTCGCGTGCTTCGACCGACAATACCATTCTCGACCCCACCTTCCAGCCGACCAAGGAAGGTCGCTCGGCCTCTATTGCCCAGGTTACGGATGCTTCCACTCAGCTCGCCTTGCAGGGCATCGTCGAACGGCTCTTTGAGAGTTGCCTGAAGGAGGCCAAGTACCGGCAGGTGGTTGGAATTGCCGTGGAAGCCAAGAATCTCGACGTGCTTCGGCGGGTCATTCAGCGAGCCAGCGAAGATGGCAAGCTTTCCAAAGCAAAGGTGCAGGAGGGTAGCCAAGGTCTGGCGGAGGAGTTGATGGACTATTCCCTCGACATCTGCATGGATGTGGTGCAGGAGCGAAGTCTGCGCACCGAAATTCTGCGCCTGGTCCTCGACCTCCTCAACGATATACCAAATCCCGACTATTTCGTAATCGCGAAGTGTGTCGTCTATCTCGACTCGGACGAGGAGGCGTCAACTTTGCTCAGACAGCTCGTCTCGAAAAAGGATCGGAATGCGCTTGCCATCGCGTACCAGATCGCGTTTGATCTTTACGACAACGGCACACAGGAATTCCTGGGCAAAGTGATCAAGTCCCTGCCTTCTGGCGAACCGGCCAAGAAGCCCGAGCAGCAGGAGGCTGAGGGTGCGGCCGAGAGCGAGCCTCTTCTGCAAAACCAAGAGGACCCAGCCGAGGAGCCTTTGTCCGAGGAAGTATCCAAAGCTTACCAGAACATTCGATCTATTCTCGATGGAAGCAAGGCCATCAAACTCAACCTCGAATTCCTCTATCGCAACAACCACACCGACGCGAGCATTCTCAACAAGGTCAGAGACAGTTTGGAGGGCCGCAATTCCATCTTCCATACGGCAGTTACCTTTTGCAATGCGTTCATGAACGCGGGAACAACCCATGACAAATTCTTCAGAGATAATCTAGAATGGCTCGGAAAGGCAGTCAACTGGTCCAAGTTCACGGCCACTGCTGCTCTCGGCGTTATCCACCGTGGAAACCTGACGCAGTCGCGGAAGCTTCTCGAGCCCTACCTCCCTCGCCAAGTCGGCGTCAGCAGCGGCTCCATCTTTAGCCAAGGCGGCGCTCTTTACGCCTATGGTCTGATCCATGCGAACCATGGTGCAAACGCCCTGGAGTACCTCCGAAGCATGTTTATTGCTGCGGATGAAGAAGTCATCCAGCACGGCGGTGCATTGGGCCTAGGTATTGCCGGGATGGCGACTGGAAACGAGCAGGTTTTTGATGATCTTACGAAGGTGCTCTTTGCCGACTCTGCTCTGAACGGCGAGGCCGTCGGCTTGTCAATGGGATTGATCATGCTGGGAACAGGCAACGCTAAGGCCCTTGAGACCATGTTCACCTATGCGCATGAGACGAACCACGAAAAGATTGTCCGCGGCTGCGCCATTGGCATGGCTCTCATCATGTTCGGACAGCAGGAGGGCGCCGATGTCATGATAGAGGGTCTCCTCGTCGACCCTGATCCGACTCTGCGCTACGGCGGTATCCTTACCGTGGCTATGGCATACTGCGGTACCGGGAGCAACAAGGCAATCCGCAAGCTCCTTCACATTGCAGTCAGCGACGTCAGCGACGACGTGCGCCGAATTGCCGTCATGAGTCTTGGATTCATCCTGTTCCGGAAGCCCGGCAGTGTTCCTCGCATGGTCGAGCTCCTTGCCGAGTCCTACAACCCTCACGTGCGGTACGGCTCGGCCATGGCTCTGGGAATTTCATGTGCCGGAACAGGCCTCGACGAGGCCATTGACTTGCTGGAGCCCATGATGAAGGACCCGACAGACTTTGTGCGCCAGGGTGCTCTGATTGCTCTGTCAATGATCATGGTCCAGCAGAACGAGGTCATGAACCCCAAGGTCGCCGCCATCCGCAAGACTCTCAAGAAGGTCGTCGGCGACCGCCACGAGGATGCCATGACCAAGTTCGGTGCGTCTATCGCTCTCGGCATAATTGACGCAGGCGGCCGGAACTGCTCCATTGGCCTCCAGACCCAAACCGGCAATCTCAACATGGCTGGCATTGTCGGCATGGCTGTCTTCACTCAGTACTGGTACTGGTTCCCTTTCACCCACTTCCTGTCGCTCAGCTTCGTACCCACTTCCATGATTGGCCTTGATCACGATCTTGAGATTCCGAGGTTCAAGTTTCACTGTGCGACGCGCCCTAGCCTCTTTGACTACCCACCGGAGCAGGAGGTCAAGGCCGAGGAGGGCCCGGCTCCTGTCACCACGGCGATTCTGTCGACCACGGCCCAGGCCAAGCGTCGGGCACAGAAGAAGGAGCGGGCTCAGCGCCGCGAGAGCATGGACATTGACTCGACTCCCGTGGCGAAGGCTTCCTCGCAGCCGGCGGCCGACAAGATGGACGTCGACGACGACAAAAAGTCCAAGGCTGAAGAAGCCAAGGAGAAGAAGGATGGCGACTCGGGCAACGAGAAGGAAGGTTCCGCTTCTCCCGAAGCCAAGAAGAAGGCAGAGAAGGAGAAGGTCGGCTACGAGATGGAGAACATGTCCCGTGTCCTTCTCAGCCAGCTCAAATACATCAGCTTTCCGGCTGGACGGTACAAGCCGGTGAAGAAGGTAAGCACCCGTCCCATCCCTGGACCTCTATGGCTCCAAGTTACTGACCGTCTGACAGCCCACCGGTGGACCTCTTCTCCTCCATGACACAGAGCCCGAGGAAGCCAAGTCGCTCCTTGAAGAGAAACTCAAGAAGGTGGCAACGGAGAGGGCCCCTGTGGGTGGTGCCAGCTCGGGGTCTGGTGCAACTCCTCGACAGTCGACACAGTCTCTACTTTCCCAGGTGCAGCGGGGAGTACCCGCCGGCACTAGTATGCGCGATCTGAACGAGCTCTTCAGGTTGACGAGCGGGGATAACCAGGCCCTCGAGCGTCTCGGCTTAAGCGGACCCGCAGACAGTGGCAGCGGAGCTGCGGCCGCTGCCGGTGTGCTGACTGCGGTGGATGAGGACGGTGACGGAGACCAAGAATCAAGCGTGCCGAAGGACTTCGACTACTTCACCGATGCGGAAGACGAGTAGGAGGATCTCACCAACATGGACGAAGGAGTAAACCAGCTGAATGGTTTCGTTAAATTCGTGATAGTTTTATCACTAGATTTGTACAGGCTTCTTTAGGAAGGATTCAGAGCAAGAGACCCAAGTCTACAGGGGGTTTGTACGTTATGTTTCGTTGGTATGACTGCGGGCTCCAGTAAGCTGTCCTGGCGCACCTGCATGTATAAATACGATACTTTGACAAACGCGCCGTTGGACCTTCTCCGCCTCACTGATAGGGGAGGCAGACGCATCCCGCTCTGGCGTCGCAAACCAGGATCAGGTTGGTCGTGGAAGTTTTCGAGATGCTTTATTGTAATACACTCTAGTGTGGAGGAGTTTTATTTCAGGCGGGAACACGCAGATGTAGGAGTGATAACTTTCACCCTAGAATTATCCCTCAAGGATGATGATGGCGAGATCCACATACGTCCGAAAACTACCCGCAATCATGACAATGACGACGCAAGGGTGCCGGAAGACTTCAACTACTTCCCCGACGCGGAAGCCAACAATAAAAACTCAGGCGGAGACCAAGTCGAAAGCGGGCAGAGGCACGTTTTGGGACGCACCATCAACCTCTATGAAACCCCTCGTGGAAACCCGGGAGTACGACACTTGGCCTTGAAAACGGCATCCCGACCTCGATACAGGGAGTGCGTACCATGCTAGACAAGAATGTGATAAGCGGGCTGAGGGAAAAGATGAGAAGCGGACGGCGTATGGGCCTCTTTTTGAGATGCGTCGTCCAACGTGACCCAAGCACGGGGCACGGGGCACGAGGCCCCCGGAATAATCGACCTCTTTGGGGACGATGGCAGGAATCTCGATCGATGGCTGGCTTTACGTCGCCGGAGATCTGGTATGAGCATAAGCGATGAGAGCGAGTGGCCCGAGACGGAGCCGGAGGATTCTTGATGCTGGGAGCCGAGGTAGGCTGGCGTGTTATATTATGATATCCATTTGTTGCATCCTCGTACTGTACTTTTGCATTGCGAACAGCGAGTACTACTAGGTTAGTAGATGGAGCGGGCAGCGCATGGCGTGGCATGGGGAATTAGAAGCGCGTCTACGGGTATTGCAATTTTGCCCAGATGCCTTTCGAAGTTGAATGCAAAAAGTGGATGAGTGCTTCCCCTGTCCAACAAGAATCCCTAGGGTTGGGGTTAGAGCATTGAGAACCCATTACAGCAGACAGTGCGCAAATACAGCGATGACCCCCGGAATCACATGCAGGTCGAGAATCACGACGTCATCAACAGTCAGTGTGCCGCGACAGCAGCTTAGTTTACGACAATGCTTAATGACGGCGACAATAGCTAGAGCTGGCAGTTCAGATCAAGCAAACTGCCCTACCATTTCTGCCTTGTTTGCAGCTGCCCAGCGACTCTGCTTTCGAGAATTCTCGTATTGTTGTCTGAGCGTCTTTTTGGTGGTCGGGTCTGCCGTTTTCTGACCGTGCGTGCGTGCGTCCGTCCGTCCGTCTTTCCTAACTCACCGCCAAACTCGATGTCCAGTGGCATTGCGCCTGCCCACCTTGTTTACATACAACTACAATCAAGGCTACTAGTTAAACAATTTGCGACTTTTTAACGAGGCGTTGAGCAAGTTCCCGAGTAATCACACCCCCACCTGCTGGCCTCTTTTCGCATCTCGCGCCGTTTCGCTTTGCGTGTGAGATGAAGAAAATGGCAGACAAGTACATCATCCGCGTGACGGCGGGATCGGGGTACGACGTCGGCGAGCACGTGGTGGTGCCGGTCAACACGGCCGAGCCGGTGCGCATCTCGAGCGCGCTGGCCGACGTCGAGCTCAACGTGCGCGTGCAGAACTACCGCGGCCTGCCGCGCAACTCGCCCGCCTCGTCGCCCTACTTCGACCAGGAGCCCCACGAGTACAACGGCGACCAGTACAGCATCGCCTTTCGCTTCACGCCCAAGAAGCCTGCCAAGGCGGTGGCAGACGGGGACAGTGGAGAGAAGGATGACGATGAAGAGGAAGAAGCTGAGGGCATCTCAGCCACGGACCTGCAGTTCGGCAACGACTTCGATCACCCGATCCGCGACCGGCTGCCGCCCGGCTTCGGGACGGCCATGAACATCGTGCGGTGGTGGATCGACCCGGGCCTGGAGGGCGACGCGTACGCCGACGAGCCGTACCTGTACGGGCCGGCACTGAGCTCTTTCAACGCGGTGCACTGGGGCGCGGGCGAGGTGGACGCTGCCAAGGGCGGGCTGTGGTTCGGCGAGGGCGGCAGCGAGTCCGGGTTGGCGGCGCGTCGTGATACGGGCGCCCCCGACGACGCCAAGGCCCGCATGAAGTGGGCCCTCAAGCCCGACAGCAAGCGCCGCTGGGTCTGGCGCTACGGCGACACGTACGCCCTCGACTTCTTCAACCCTTATGTCGATTTTAACGAGTTCGCGCTGCGCCTGCCGGGGTTCCATCTGCCCATCATCCGCTACTGGGACGGCCAGAGCCTGAGGTCAGTTTTTACTTTTTTTACTCTTTTCTCCCCCCCCCTTCCCACCCATGTGCTTCTTTCTATTATCCCAAACTCCAAACAGACATCCTTCCCACAGCCAAACTTTCCCCTTCAACCCCCTCAAGCCGAACACCACCAGTCACACTGACACCCCAGCCCCTCCTGCCACATCACAAACAAACCCCTCAACACTAGTTAGCCAGTCCATGCATGAAACCAAGAGTCTCGTCTCACACCTCCTCGCGGCTGTTCCCGCCCCGGCTGGGTTGCATTATAGGTCCCAGCCCAAACGCTCACACCAGCTCAGATACGTTCTGCGCAACCGCTCCACGGGCGCCGTGTACCTGGCCGTGCTGTTCACGCTGTACCTGAAAGAAGACGTCAACGAGGACGGCTCGCTCAAGCCGGCAGCCCTACAAAACAAGGGCGGACATGAGAAGAAGGAGGGCGGTGTAGATGATGATGATGAGGAGGGAAATGGGCACGACGAGGACTTTGACGAGGAAAAGGCCCTGGCCGAGGCGAGGCGCAAGCTGTCGGGCGTGGACCTAGATGCGGGGCCCGAGACTAACGAGGACGACGTGGACTGATCTTGTGTGCGCGGGGTTTTGTTTTGTTTTGTTTTGTTGTGCGCGTAGATAGATAGGGGACAGACGAAATATGCTTTACAAAAAGCTAGGTGGCGTGCGTGCGGCAATCAACTTCGCAAGCAGAAAGAAGGGGTAGCCCCAGGAAAGGGGTAGGAATAAATAGAATAAACAGGACATGGAGAGCGAGACCGCTTAAAATAAATGCATTCCAGATAAAAAAGCAGAATCTATCTAGGTCTATGGCATCATATAACCTGCCTGTCATGCATGGTATCAACTCTATGCCGAAATATATCCCATCCGTCCCCGGTAGTAACCCAGAGCCTGCCTCCGCCCGTGGGCCCAAGTCGTGAATCGTAGATGCGTTAGAGATCGTGTGCCTCAAATCTATAGGAGACAGAGATAGAGCGGCGTTCTCCAGAACCGCCGTCTCGTGATTACGGCTTTTGTAGTTCCTGTGCGGCGCAAGTTGAAGAAATCGTTGTCAGCAGGCTTCTCCGAGGTTGGACAGGGGCTGGAATCAAAAGCAAGACAAAGGAAGGAACTCAAAGGAAGGACTCACACAAGCAAACGGGCTGCGCGCCCTGATCCTCTCGCCAAAGAAGACCAGCACCCACGGCACGGCCGTCAGCGCCGTGGCAATGGCGCCCAGCAAGCCGCCGGCGCGCGCCTCGCCCAGGTTGCGGAAGAGCACGCCGGTGACCAGCGGGAACACGCCCCCAAGGATATTGCGGCAAAAGGACTGGGCGGCAAGCGCCGACGAGGCGAACTTGCCGTACGTGTCGGCAAAGTAGTTGAAGACGGCGAGGTAGATGCTGAGGATGCCCATGGTGGCCAGAGCGATGCCGATGGACGGGGCGATCCAGTGCGTGTCCGGGCGCGCGGTGAAGCCGAACACGAACAGCCCCGCGGGCAGAAACGTGCTCGTGACGAGCGTGAAGTAGAGGCGCGACTCGGGCGCGTCGGCGGGGAAGCGCTGGCGGATGAAGTGCCAAAAGGGGCCGCCGCGTGCCTCTTCGTCAGTGCCGCTGCGAGGATGTTTGAAGCCGGCGGGAGGAGGCGCCTCGCCGTCAGAGCTATCCGAAGTGGTGGCGGCGGACGTCGCACCCGTGCCACCGAGGTCAGAGACGGAAGACGGCGGCTGCGCGGCCCAATAGGGGTGATGCAGAATTTTTTCTTGCCAGATTCCAATGACTGTCGCGAGGACAGCGCCAACCATCATGGCAGTGAACACATAGCCTGCTTGCTCGATGCTCCAGTTGTACTGGCGCTGGAATGTGATGGGAATCGACGCAAACGTCAAGTACAGCACGCCCCAGGCAAAGGCCACCCACAGGGAGAAGAAGAAAATGACCGACTCGGTGCACAGAAGCAGGAAGGGCCGGTAGACCGAGATAGTGATCATCTTGGTGACCGAGGAGCGTTCCTCGTCTTCCTTGACAAGCCAGCGGATACGGCGGAGCGGCCATGTCGCAGGTGCTACCTCCAAGACCACTTGAGAAAGAGAAGGGGAGCTGGTTTCAGAGCCCGGCTCCTGATGGGCCGTCAACCCCTTTTCCTCGTCGGCGGGATTTTCTCGACGCTCGGCATAAAAGTCGCCACTGCTTGACGACACGGCCTGTTCCGTGAGAGCTGTCAACGATTCACCAGGCTCCGGCTTCAGCCAGATGCCATAGAATCCCTCAGCCTCCAGCTGCTCGTACCACTTGTTCAAGGCCCTCGCCTTCCTCGACAAGAGGACAGACCCGCGGCTCTCGCGGAACAGGACGACGAGCGCCAGCATAACCACGGCGCCGGCGATGACCTGGTGCCAAAACACCCACTTCCAGGGGGTGGCATTGCCCAGGTGTTCGCCGGCATGGCGGCCTTCGCCCAGTCGGTGTGCCATAACGGCGGCCACAAGGGGCCCCGCGCCAGTGCCGACCAGGACGGAGCCGCTAAAAAGGGCCATGGGAGTGTTGCGGCCTTCCTTGTCCCACATGTCGGCGATGACGCCACCCACCATGGTACTGAAGACGGAGGCGCCCACGCCAACGAGGAACCGAGCCACCAGCATGCCGGCCAGGGTACGCACGACGCCGCACACGGCCTGAAATATGACGTACACGGTCCCCGCCGCCACAAACAGCGGGTACCTCCCGTTCATCTCGGACAGGGGCGCCAGCACCATGGGGGCAAAGGCGAAGCCGGCACAGAATGTCGTAATCCCCGCCAAGACTGCAACATCCGAGGTCACGCCCAGGTCTGTCTCCATCAGGTGCAGCGGCGGCGAGTATGAGCCCGACGTGTAGGCGGTCAGGAAGGTGGCGATACACGACAAGAAGAGCATCAGGTACTTGCGCGAGCCGGGCCAGCCCATTGGGTTTTCGTACGGCGAGAGATCTGGCGGGGCGTGTGCCTGTGCTTCTTTGCCTCGCGCTACATCCGCCGTAGTGGAATGGTGTAAGATGGTGGTATTTGCTTGCGGCAAAGTCCGCTCGAACGTAAGGTAGAGGTAAGCGATGTCCTCGCCATTGTTGAGCGGGTTGGTGGGCTCGCCGGCTTTCACGGTCATCTCCATGGCTAGCGACTGCGCTGTGTTGATTGAGTCATCTGCCTTCTGTCTGGAACTTGGCTTTGGGGGTAGAGCCTCTACGGGAGAGCCGTGCGGCTCAGTCATGAATGGAAGAGTGCCTGGGTCTCGGCAGCCAAGGCCGGCGCCGACGATCGATTCAGGTCCTGGTCACAATGAACGCGACTTCGGGTTCGGCTACCGTGCAGTGGGTCGAAGCAGCAGCAAAATCATCCGGACGGCACGTTCGGGTCGGAAATAACTGCCTAAGTCGGGGCAATGGTGAGAAACGGAATATCCTCGCCGGCCGTGGGGGTGGAGACAAGCAACGCGCTCGACAAGGGGCACACACGAAAGCACGAGACGGTTATCTTTGAACGAACACCGTTAAACAGTAAATTCGGACAACACTCTGTCGTGCAACTAGCGGGGTGGCAAGGTTGGTGATGCGATGAAAGCCGCTAGGGAGGGTTTGTTATTTATCAGACGGTAATACCACATAGGGTAGGGAGCAACCCCTTCGTGGGGCCCCTTTCCCGGCATTAAACCCGGGTATTACTTGGCGAGCGAGCTTGGTCTGCTGCTCCGTGGAGCCAGCATCAAAATGCCAAGGGGCAGACGAGAAGGTAGGTTTGGGAGCGGGAGCCGCACTCGGGCAGATCTATGGTCGGGTAAGGCTAGCCATTCCCTCGCTGTGGCAGCGCTGGCCCAAACCTTCTCGATGTCCGCCAAGCCGGCTGACTTTTGCCGTTGCCTGTAAACTAAACTCGGCCGAGGGAATGGTAGCAGTAAGGTAGATGCCGTAAAAAGCTTTCATGGTTGCTTTTGTCATTTACGCCTCTTCCACCAGAGTCCAAAGTGGCGGCTCAGGCGATAAGCGTGTCGCAGAGATAGATGCCTTCGTCTCGTCCGTGGATTTAGTGGCCAGCCTCTTAGATTTCGACATCCGTCTCTTCTTTTCTCGTCCGGTGTCGCATCACCGTGCATGATGCTGTGTCGGAATGAATGCGGCGCCTTGCAGGCAGATGGGTCAGGATGGACACTGTATAACGGGGAAGAGAGAGGCAAAGCCAGTCAAGCCGTCGAGATGTGCGTGCGGTTTGTTGGTGCCATGGGCTAGACTCGGGTCGCAAGTCTTGGCATGCCCTTGCGAGTTGCAGTCCCTCCCGTCCGTAGTCCTCTAGCGACTCGACTCCGACATGGCAGGAGCTGGAGAGCTACTGGCTCCTGCCGCCGCCGCGGCTGTCACTGCCGTATCGGGACAACAGCAGCTCGCACGTCATCCATCCTGACAGGTTTAGAGGGGCTCGGATAAGCCATCAGAGATTCATCCAATGATGGGCTCTCGAAGATGCGAGAACACGCGGGCTGGTGGCGTTAGAAGCGCTGGCTTGTTCGCTTCTCAGACGGGAGAGAAGTCGTTGGCTTTGCTCTGATAGATGTGCAGCTGCCTCTTAAACCCGATTATTCCCTTGGCCAATGGAAGCTTGTGACGCCCCCAAAGCCCCGCTTTGACCCCGGGGTGTTGCTCCTCCAGGTTCTTGTCCCCGAAGTCTAAGCCCAACCCAAGCGGTTCTCAGCTGAGAGGGGCCCTCAGGGGCCTAACTTTTAGCATCAGCTCACACTAATTAAAAGAGACAATTATAACCGCCCATGCTTATTTATTAAGATCTGGAAGATTTCAAGAGTTTTCACACTCATGTCTAGAAAGGCTTTCATTTTTGCACTTTTCTGGGTCTCTCCTATCTGCTGGTTACAGGATACGCTTCCCGGTTCACAAACCTGTCCTTTAATTCCCGGCAGAAACCCCACGCCATGCACGCAGCCAGGCCCCACCCCCTGAAATCCCGAGGGAGTGCAGAAAAAAAGGGCGAGACGGGAATACGTGAGAGGATGCTACGCCCGGTGACAACCGGGCTCTTGGCAGAAAAAAAGAGAGATCAATAATTATCGAGAAAGAAACTCGTGTGGATATTTATGAGTAATCCTCTAGCTCATTCGTGTCCATCCTCGGTAAGGTATTCGCTTAAGCGTCTAACACAGATCAGACGTGGTGATTGAGCTTAATGAAATGTTTTCTACAGCTGGGGGAGTTCCATGTGTAAGTGTCTGGAGCACCGAGAACTGAGTTCATATTGCTAACCGGTAGGAGACAATTAGAATCTAGAGGGTCCAGGAAAACGTTTGAAAATACGAAACGACTAGGTAAACATGAGGCACAAGATGTTGGGAATCGGATGTATTTTTGGATCTGCCTGCAGCAATTCTAATTGCGCATCAACAACGCCTCGATCACGAAGGAACCGGCACACTCTCATGGTAGTCCACTTCTCTAAACTCGGCCATGCCCCGCAGCTCGTCCTCGGTTCCAAACAAAACACTCACAAAGACCCGGTCCCCGCCGCTGAGGTCGGGCTCCGAGTGCACCGGCGAGTCGTCCTGGCCCCAGGTGAAGCGGATGACCTGCCCCGGCTCGAAGCCGACCTGCTCGCCGCAGCCGGCCAGCTGCCGGGCCAGATCGGCGCGTATGCGGTCCTCGTCGACCTCTGGCAAAAGCCAAGCCCAGGCCCGCCCCGCCACTACCTCCTTCTGCATCGCCGCCTCTGCCGCCACTCGTACGGCCGCGTCGGAGGCTGTTATGGCCTTGTTAACCTGCGGGCTGGGCGCCATGACGCGCGTGCCCGGGCCGAGCAGCGAGACGGCGTACTTGGCGTGCGGAACTGCTGCCGCTGACGGGCCCGCGGTGCAGGTGCAGGTGCAGGTGCAGGTGAACATGCAGCCGTCGCGGTGCCAGAGCGGGACAATGCTGCGCAGATGGCTGCGTGTTAGTTCCAATCCTTCTCTCTGGCAGACAACTCCTGTTGCCCCCGTGGCTGGTGTATTATCAATACCAGCCTTAGCTACTTACAAGTCGTCAGTGGGCTTAGACATGCGCACCGTGAGCCAGCATGCCGCCGTTGCCATTGCCGCTGCCTGGTCCGAGCCGGCGGGCCGTAGCAACAGCGCCGACGCCGCTGCGGCGCTGTCTTCTCGCGCAAGAGCGAGGAACCGGCGAAAATACGCGCCCAGTAGGCCGGCGTCGCCGTTCGAGTTCTCGGCGACAAACGCAGCTGCCGCGTCCGCCAGTGCCGCCTCCGAGTTCAAACGGCCGTAGTAGTCATAGGTTGACCAGGCTTTCACCTGCGACAGCAGCAGAGTCGATGGGTGACCTAGTGCCCCTGTGGCGACGATGGCGTCCCAGGGGAAGACGGCGAGGGGTTTGTTCGTGTCCATGTTGGGCGACGTGATTTGGTTCCGGAGAAAATATTTGACGGCTAGAAAGGTGTACTAGGAATTCAATGGCGCTGCTTTTGGTTAATCAATCACCGTCGATCACAAATGGGACAACTGAAGGTGGTTAGGCAGGAGCGCTCCAAATCCCCTGAATGTTTGGCCGACAAACATCTTCAGAGCTGCCATCTGTCACTTCGTGACTCACACGGCGAGACAAACAAACTCAATTGCCTAACGATGTTTCTGCTGGTAAGAATTAAAGATGATTGGCTACTATTGATCAGGGGTTGGCTAAGTGAAATCGGAACAGGTTGGTGTTTTGAAGTATACCGGTCAATCTTGTCTTCATGAGAAATGTTTGAAATTCATGAAGGACTGGAAGCTGCTAATCCGAAGTTAAGCTTACCCCGAGCAATAATGGCTTGCGTTGCAGAAACCCTAACCCTTCAGCCCCTCCCCCCCACAGCTCGAATTTGAGAATGAGCACAATATACGCGGCCTCGTAGCAGAGCAATTACTTACACACTATTCTTATTGAGATTACCAAAATAAATCGCGATAGTCAATCAAGCAAGTGCACGAGGATTGCAACGTCTCCGAGTGAAATGGATCGAGTCTTGGCACGGCGCTTGGCGGAGATTCTAGAAATGGCAGAAACGCCCTTTCAGGCGCGTCGTAAAGGCACGTCTTTTGAAGCGGACGCCCGCCCGCACCATGCGGCCGCACCGCCCGCACCGCCCGCATTGCCCGCATTGCCCGCATCGTCCGCATTGGCCAGCGAGCCGGATCTCGCTGCGGCCGTGCTTTTGCTAGCACCTGCTGTTACTCAGCGGGCTGTCAAGCGGGCCCCATCCCGCGTGCGTGTTGCACATACGAGGGCCGAAACCAGTGTTGCCAAGCACTCACACGCCCCGTGCTTCTCCGCCATTGTTTCTCTGGCAAGCCGCATCCCCGCAACCACGCATTCTCGCCAACTTCGCACAGCAGCGTCGGAGTCTTGAAGCTGTCCAAGTCCCCGAACCGGCCTTTGATCGAGAGCAAAACGACGAGCAAGATGGAGAGCGCAGTGGGCTATATAAGCTGTGCTGAATCGTCTCCTGTCAGCCTTTCCTGTCGCCACCATCATCACCACTATCATCAACACCAACCGCCACCATCATCACCACACATCAACACCAACCCTAGTCACCGCCACCCAAAATAGCAACAACCCCCTTTCCAGCTTCAACCTTTGAACTAACCCCATAACCACCCCAATCTCTCATCTCACCTTCAACCCAAACTCCAACCCATAATCAACAAACATGGCCCCTCTCGTGTGGCTCGTGACCGGCACGACTTCTGGCATCGGCCGGGCGCTGATCGAGCACATCGTAGCGCGCGGCGACAAGGTGATCGCGTCTGGGCGGCGGGTCGAGGAGAAGCTGGGCGCGCTGAAATCGGAGTCGCTCGCACTCCTAGAACTCGACATCACGGCGGGGCGCGCGGCCATCGCCGCCAAGATGGCCGAGGCGTGGGCCGTGTTCGGCCACATCGATGTCTTGCTCAACAACGCCGGCGCGTCGGCCATGTGCAGCGCCGAGGAGGCGACGTGAGTTTGCTTTTTCTCTTCTCTCATCGGATACCTAGATGGAACAGGGCTGACGTGGTATAAGTGATGAGTACATCGACAAGCTGTTCGCAGTCAACCTGTTCGGGCCGATGCACGTGACGCAGGCGCTGCTGCCGTATCTGCGCGAGCGCGCGGCCAGCGTGCCGACCTCGTCGCCGCGCATCGGCTTCACGTCGTCCTCCACAGCGTGGACATCGCTGCCGTTCCTGTCACACTACGCGGCGTCCAAGGCGGCGCTCAGCGCGTACGTGGAGGCGCTGGACAAGGAGGTGTCCTCCCTCGGGATCCGGTGCGCGGCGTTCGAGTGCGGCGGGTTCCCGACGCACCTGGGGCAGCCGCGGGCGGACGGCGACGCGGCGTTCGGCGGGCAGGGCGGCACGGCGCTGCCGGCGGTGTACGGGCCGGGCCTGGCGGCGCTGGGCGGCATGTTCATGTCGGACCCGATGGCGTTCATGCCTGGCGCGCTCGAGAAAGTGGCGCCGCTGATCGTCGACGTGCTCAAGCGCGACGGCGCCGAGTTGGTCGCTGGCAAGCCGTGGGCCGTGCGCGTGTGGTTCGGGTCCGACGCCTACGCGTCCGTCAAGCAGAAGTGCGACGAGGTCTTGGTCTTGCTTGACGAGTTCAAGGACGTCGCCTACGCCACGGACAGAGACGGCTACGACCATGTCACGCGCCCCGAGTACCTCAAGGCTACGTCGATCCTCGAGAAGTAGTGACGGGTTTGCACGCTCTAAGGGGGCATTGGCTTCAGTGCTGGGATGGATGCATATCGCGAGCGGTTTTATTTTTCTACCTCATTTATAGCTTGGATCGACCAGGTTCGGGTCAGTAATAAAGGCAGCGCATAATTAATAGAGGTGGACGAGAGACGCATTGGGACGGAAAAAGGCGATTCTATCATATTTACAAAATCAATGCACCAGTTACCGACTTGTTCTCTAATGGTATATTCGTTTCCATACGTCACATGTCTACTCTACACTAATCTACTCGAGCGACCCCTATTCCGCCCTGACTTTCAACACACCCAGACTCTGCCTATCCCTAGCACTGCCAAAAGACACCCAAACCAACAGCCATTGGCGCCTGTGCATGTACACTTTTATACAAACCATCCCCATTTTCAATTCCAGAGCCGCCCAGAAGACACACCGTACGCGCCGCCCACCAGGATCCGCCTTGCCCAACATCCAACACCTGCCCACCAGCCGTAGCGCCATAACCAAGAAAAGAAAAGGGGAGAAAAGGATGAATGTCCGCCACCCAAAAAGCCGGTCAAAAAGAGGAAAGGGACAGAAAAAAGCAAGCAAACAGACCCGCCACAACCCTTTTAGCCGTTATTTCTCTTTTCCCTATTTTCTAGAAAAAGGCAGGCTCCTGCTCATAACCTCTCTGCTGGCTTTTCTGACAATCTTTCCGATTCGCCGGACGTTGGTGGTCTCTGGTTCTAGCGTGGTGGGTGTTATGGGTGTATTGGGTGTATTTGGAGTCGTGGGGGTTGTCGAGGGTTCGCTGCCGCCGCCGCCGCCGCCGCCGCCGCCGCTGCCACCATTAAAAACACCCAATGCATTAAACGAGGTCAGCGAGACTAGCGGCACCAGAGGCAGCGGGGGCGGCTTGCTGCGGCCGAGGCCAGGCGTCTTCCATACTCCACCCCCCTCATCTTTGGACATGCTGAACCGCCGTTTGAAGATGGGTATACGCGAGGGGGACGGTTTTTGAGACGGCGAGGATGCTCGTAGCAGGCCATCCGCGCCAAATTCAGCCTCCGCAGACGTCTCTTCGTTCTCTTCTTCCCGTGCTTCTCGTCTAATAACTGCCTGGCCCGACGACCCCGAGCGCAATACGGGCCGTATGACTAACGGCTGCAGCAGTCTCGCGGCAGCAGAAGAGGCGGGTGCTCCAACAGTCAGCTTGTAGTAAGGCGGAGCCGGGTGCTCGCGCGTAATTTTGGTCACGGTCACATTTGGGCTCAGCGCGCAGCCGTATAGGCCCCGCCACTCGCGCGGGTCCTGTGCATGGCGGACTATGGTGACGCCGTGCGAGGGGCCGTAGTCGACGGCCGAGCTCTGGCCCGGCGTGAAGGGATACACACAGGACGGTGTGCGGTAGTGGCAGTACTTGACAATGTCTCGCCGGCTGGGCGGCCGATCCTTACCCCACAGGGCCAGAACCACTTGGTTGGCGTACACCTTGTTGGTCCCTACAATACATATGCTGTCGACGATGCCTTCCAGTTTCCTGAGGGAGTCAAGCACGGACAGGTGGATATCGGCGCAGTAGGGAATTCGCGTCGGCGCTGCAGTGCGGCCGCCGTGTCAGCATATGCCGGCCTCGGTCAACTCTGCTGACGTCAAATATTGACACGTCTAGCAACCAAACCCACCTTCCTCGCGCAATTTGAGCACAACACCGCCCTCCCCATCGCCAGAGCTTGCACCACCTTTTTTATTCTCATTGCTCATTTTTTCGAGGTCCACGCTCGTCACCGCCTGCTCGACTGGGCGGTAGCCATAGTAGCGGCGGACCAAGACGACCAAGCTTTGTATTGTTGTCCCGCCATGGCGCGTCAACTGGCGGTCGGTAAACCGGTCGACCAGCTTCCGTATTCGACATAAGCTTTTGGACATGTCCATGTTAATGGCTGACGAGTGCCAGTGGCCGCCCAGACGCGACAGGTCAACTTCCACCGTGATCCACTTCATGAGAGGGCCGAAGCGATCCATGAAGTGCACTGCGGCGGGCTGTGTCACCTCGGTCACAAACGGTGAGTAGACAACGTGGAAGCGCCGCGTAAGGAAGAGCGTTGTGAGCATGTCGACGCGCATGTCGAAGCAGACAGACACGTACCCGCGCAGGAGCACCAGAACCTTCCCAAGGCTATCAAAGTAATCCGTCGACCAGTACCGCTCGCCCTCGGCGCCACTGTTGACCGGCCAGACGGGGTGGAAGAACAAAGGGCTGTTCAAGCGGATGGCCTTGCCGCTGTCATGGCTTGCGACAACGTACTTGGCGATCATGAACCGAACCCGGTCGGGCAGCCGAAAGTAGCGACAGTCGTGTTTCTTCGACACGTCCCTTCTTCGACCTGTCCCGTCGGAACCGGGCACGGCGCTCTCCCCAGCCAGCCGCACGCAGTTCTCCTGAAAGGCAAGTTCGTCATCCCACACCTTGTTATCCAGAGTGGAATTCCGCCTTGTCCAGAACACATCAACGCTCCGGTCCCACGGAGGCGACTCGTCTGGGACGGCGCCGGTGGCCGAGGAGCGGTGGCTCGACGACACGGTCTCGGGCGTGCTCTTGGTGGACGCGAAAGAGCCCCGATCAGTGGGCGGGGTGAGGTTGCGTCCGGGGCCGAGGGGGGTCTCCTGGGATCCACTCCGTAGCCCAAAGGCCCTGGGGACGCTTGTAGGAGCTGCGACATCTGGCGCCGTTGATGGTGGCGCGTTAGCGGGCTGTTCACGGGGCAGCCGGTACTTTTTTAACATCCTGTTGCTCGAATGGAACATGGCCCAGGTATCGGTGGTGCAAAAGAAAGAAAGGCAAAAATAACAATGCAGTGCTGGTAATAAAGCCGGGTTGCTAATTAATGCAGACGAGCGACAGTTTCAGTCACTTTCGAGGCCAGTCTAGTTGATGCGGTGGGCGTTTGGCAATGGTGTCGTAGTTCGGTGTTCAAGACGTGCGACGACAGAAGGAGCGTCTTGAGGTTTTCCGCTGCCGTGTCGAGAAATAAGCAGAGGTAGAGCTTGGAGTCGCACCTAAAGCCGAACTGGAAGTGCTAGTGGTTGTTTGCAACTACCACAGGCAACATGGACAGCAGCGGGGACAGGTTGAGGTCGAGCCTCCCTCCCCGGCGGCTGAGCGAGATGCCAGCCCGCCCGAGGTGGAAGGCAAAACCAAAAGCAAACTCGACGACGGCTGGCCGTAACAGGTGGGGTGAAGAACAAACCGAAACAAGCGGTGTCCGGCCCCGGCCTCGCAGCGGTCAGAGGACAGAGGACAAACTTTAGTCGAGGCGGTCGACAACTTGGCACCTCACAGGGCCCAGGGCAGCATCAAGGTTCGGGTCGGCTGTCTGAAGGCATTTCCAATGCCCCTCCCGGCGCAACTCAGCAGCGAGGCGAGGTGGGTATTATTACGGGAGCAGCAGCAGATGCCAGATGTCAACCAGCATGTAGCCAAGGTCGGTAAGTCCGTCCACAGTGGATACAAACAATGGATGTCAGCCTGCAGACGTGCAGACCCAAAGCAAAGCAAAGAGGCCGAGAACCGATGCCCCCGTGTAATGCCCCCGTGTAATGGGTAATAAGAAAAGGCGTTTAAGCCCCGAGACGAAGAGGCAAGGCCATCTTGGACTTGTCGACGAGACGAACAGGATGAGCCAAACCGAGCCATTGACACCTGACAATGCTGGAACAGCAGTAAGGCAAACATTCCAAAATAGATTGCGACCAACTGGCCTGTCGCGGCTGCATGGTTGACCCTTGTGCCAAGAAGCTGCCGACACGAAAACCGAATGAGGCCTCGACAACCAAACAGAAAGGCAAGAAAACCATGCGGAGTGGAGTTCATGAATTGGAGAGTGGAAATCTGGAACCTTTCTGCCACCTTCACAGCCTCAATTGAGTTTTCGGTTCGGGTTCGGGTTCAGCCCGGGCCGGAGCCAACCTATCAGGCACTGTACCGATTAGATAAGCGATGACCCACATCCAGCCAGGCCTGCTACTCGGCCCAACCAGGAGGGCAAGGGTTGGGTCAGGCCGTGGGGCTGCTGTGAAGAACCCCGCTGGAGCCAGGTTTGCGGTTTGCCCCGCCATCGTCATCCTTTTAAAAGCTACCCCCAACAACGCTGGACGACCACACGCTGCTGCTAGTACGGAGTAACGGCCGCCAAAAGACGACAACCCAGTCGCTCATCACGCGCCCGCCCTTTCAGAGTACACCAGAAGCCGCCACCATGTCTGTCGCGGCTCGTTCCACGTTCAACGCCGAAGAGGCGGACAATCTCGCGGATGTACGAAGCTCGCCCCAAATGCCATGGCGCTGCGCGCGGTTCTTCCTTGTCGTGGCCTTTGCTAACATTGACCCTTGTCGCGCAGATCGAGAAGCAGTTCGCCGTCAAAGCCGTGCAGCACATGCAGACGTACTGGACCATTCTAGAGCGAGTTAGGGGTTCGACGCTGCGCCTGACAAAGATGGACGACGAAATCTACGAGCACCTCAAGAAGGACTTTCCCGAGTTCGACCCCGCCGCCACCATCGACGAGGACGAGATGAAGAGCGAGAAGGGCAAAGTGAGGTGGCGCGACTTCATGATGGCCTACGAGAAGAAGGTCGACAGTTACAACTTCGGCACCATGCTGCGCATCAACCCCACGTTCGAGTATGGCGACCCGGAGACCATCTTTGGTGCGTGTCTATTCTGAGATTGCCTCGCCCCCTCGCCCCCTCGCCCCAGCCGCTGCGCTGCCGACAGGCTAACACAGGTCTCAACAGTTCCGCGGATGCAGTTCTACGCTGTCGAAATCGCTAGGTAATTTTTGCTTTGCCTCTACCAGGGTCAGGCCATGTGGTGTGCTGACAAAGTTTTAAAAAATTAGAAACAAGGCCGGCTTGAACGACTGGATATACGAACAGGCGCAAAAAGAGAAGGAAGAGGCTTCCAAAAAAGCTTCCGAGCCATAAGCTCCCAGTATACCAGTCCACAATTTTCCGAGGCTGATGTCCTGCGTCGAGCGAGATTACGCCAGTGACGCTGCTTCGTCGCCTCGGTTGCGCCTACATTCGGTGAAGAGCCTATTTTGCGCCGGGTCACATTGCTCTCGTAAAGCAACCATTTCACGGAGAACGAGCACTACAATGCTGGAAATGAATTCATGGAGGCTTCGGGCGACGGTGGCCCTGCCTCTTGTGACCTGTGACATGCTCACCTGGTTGTCAAGGTAATAGATGTTGAGACAAGGACTCCGAGGCAAGTTTGGTCTGATGTCGACTCCAAGGCGAGTCTGGTCTGATGCCTATTTGCTATCATCGAAAAATGTACCCTGCAAAATGTACCCCGAAATCTGATTAGCTGGATGCCCATTTCATTCCAAGTCCCTCCCAAAACCTGGCTTTGTCTTCTCCTTAGTATTGTTCCCCCGCCGCCCCCTAATACGGCCCAGGGGCGGGGGACAATACTAAGCACCAAACAAAGGCGCTCGCTCCCAACACCGGAGTTTCGATTGACTCCAGAAGCCCGAATCGGTGAGACGGTGCCCGGTATTGAAGCGTTTGTTTCTTCGCATTCTTCTACGAATTACTGGCAATTTTTATTTCCTTCTGTGCAAGCCAATTCCCATCGCCTGCGCTTCTCTCCATCTAACAGTGACCGACCTCGCCTTTGACGTCGCCGTGGTGATGCGCTCATTCTAACAGCACAGCAAGCTCGCAGCAATCGACACAGCTTCTTTCGTGGCCAGCCTCGGACGTTCCTGAACTTACACCGCCAATATGGAGCTTTCGGCGATGAGGCAGTCCAAGTTCATTGGATCTGTCAGTCACACAACCTTCAACCGACCTGCCCGGAGCGCCCTGGATTTGGTAGACGACATGGCAGCCGTCAACATTGCAGAACCGCTATCAGTGAAAACCGAACTGGCCATTCCGCCCGGGCAGAAATCGTCCTTCAAGGACCTCTTCTCCTTCACGCGCCGCAGCCACGTGCCCATCATCGGCTGCGCCTTCGCCACGGCGGCCCTGGTTGCCGTGGCGAGGACGGCCTACGCGATCGTGCTGGGCCGCATCTTCGAGTGCGTGTCCGAGTGGGGCGCCGGCGGGCTCGACAACGGCGACTTCCAGTCGCAGATCTCGCGCTGGTCCGTCTACATGACCCTACTGGGCCTCGCCATTTGGCTGTTCTCGGGCCTCGACATCGCCGTCTGGGTCGTCACCGGCGAGCTGCGCGCCCGCACCGCCCGCAACATCATCTTCTCCTCGCTGCTGCGCAAGACGGCCGAGTGGTACGACTCGCGCGCCGACGGCATGTCCAGCCTGATGATTGGGATACAGACGTAAGTCGTTTTAGCCGCTCCCCGTTTCTTTGCCGCTTGGCTGTGCTGACCGTAGATGTGAGAAATGAACAGGCAGACGCGCGAGCTGCAGATGGCCACGTCGCAGACGCTGGGGTTCCTGGTGTGCGACGTGTTCGTGTTCACGGCGTGCCTGATCGTGGCCTTTTACTACTCGTACCGGCTCACGCTGGTGATGCTGGCGACGGGCGTGCCGTCGGCGCTGATCCTGTGGCTCGTCAGTCGGTTCCTCGACCCGGCCATCGAGGCGCAGAAGCGCGAGCTGGCGCAGGCCACCAAGCACGCGGCGGCCGCCACCACCGCCATCGACCTGGTCAAGGTGTACAACGGCGCCGACCACGAGGCGTTCCGCTTCATGGCCGCCATCCGCCGCTCCGCCCGCTACTACGCCCGCCAGGTCCTGTGCAACTGCGCCCAGATGGCCTACGTCAAGCTGTGGATGATCATGCTGTTTGTCGTGGGGTTTTACTTTGCCGTCGTGCTCGTCAGCTGGCACCAGATCACCCCCGGCGACGCCCTCACCACCTTCTACGCCGCGCTGATTGCCTTTCAGTCCATCGAGGCCCTCGGCCCCCAGTGGCTGGTCCTGGCCAAGGGCATGGCCGCCGGCATGCTGCTCGAGACTCTGGTGTCCGAACTCCAGGGCGGCCAGCAGGTGGATAAGATCACCGGGCTGCGCCGACCCGCGACGTGTTTTGGGGACGTCCAGATGGAAAATGTGAGCCTCCCCTTTCTGTCACCTTTACCTTTTTTGCGGTTTTTACTCTCTACTTGGTCTCGTGAGCCTTTCTGACTTTCGTGTCTGCAGGTCAGCTTTGCGTACCCGACAAACCCAACCAAGACGGTGCTGGCGCCGTCAAACTTCCGCTTTCCCGCCAGCCAGATCACGTTTGTCGTGGGGCGGAGCGGCTCCGGCAAGAGCACGCTCGCCAACTTGCTGCTGCGCTTCTACGAGCCTCTGACGGGCCGGATTACGGTCGACGGCCACTCCGTCACGGAGCTGGACCTCGACTGGCTGCGGCGCAACATCACGCTGATCCAACAGTCGAGCGTGCTCTTCAACGACACATTCTTCCGCAACGTGGCGTTTGGCGCGCCCGAACCCGACCGCGTGACAGTCGACGAAGTCAGGGCCGCGTGCAACATGGCGCTCCTGCAGTCGACCATTGCCGGGCTGCCCGAGGGGCTCGACACGCAGATCGGCCCCGGCGGCTATAGTCTTAGCGGCGGGCAGCGGCAGAGACTCGCGCTCGCCCGCGCAAAGCTGCGCGACTCGCCCGTGCTCATCCTCGACGAGCTGACCAGCGGCCTGGACCCCGTCAGCCGCAGCCTGATCATGGAGGCCATCCGCGTGTGGAGGAAGGGCAAGACGACCGTCATCATCACCCACGAGGTCGGCCACATCGACGGCGACGAGTACGTTTACGTCGTCGAGGACGGGAACCTCGTCCAGGAGGGCCTCGGCAAGGCGCTGTCGGCGGACCCCGACGGCCTGTTCGCGTCGCTACTAGCCTCGGCCGACGACGACGGCGAGCCGCGGCCCGAGTCCGAGCTGCTGGACGAAGGCGAGGATGACGACACCGACGTGGAGTCGCATGTCTCTGGCGACGAGGAGGGAGAGCCCGCCCCCGAGCCCCGCTACGACAAGTTCCTCCACGCCCTGAGCCTCGACAGGAAGCAGCCGCCCAGCGGCCTGTTCCACCGCCTGTCGTGGCAGGCGGAGACGGACGGCTACCAGTCTGACGACTCTCGGCGAAGCAGCAAGGCTGAGAGCATGAACCTGGTGGCAGAGATGGGGCGCGAAACACAGAACAGAAGGCGGAAGTCGAACATCAGGCAGGCTCGGCTCGAGAAGAGCGCGGCGCCAGGAGGCACTGCCGGCCTGGACTCGCTCGACCGCTTCTTCCTCGAGCGCGTGGCCAGGCCCAAGAAGGGGGAAGAGAGGGAAGAAAGGACGGCGACACCGCACCGGCTGCCGTCTCTCGCGTCCATCCTGCGGACGGTGTGGCCGACGCTGGACGCGCGGGGCAAGGGCGAGCTGCTGCTCGGGCTGATGCTCTGCCTCGTGATGGCGGCGTGCAACCCCCTGTTCTCGTACATCTTCGCGCACCTGCTGGCGGCGTTCTGGCTGCCGGACGGGCAGCAGGCGGCCGAGGGGTCGCGGTGGGCGCGGTTCCTGGCCATCGTGGCCGTGGCGGACGCGGCGGCGACCTTTTTCGGGTATTTCTTCATGGAGCGCGCGGCGCAGATATGGGTCGACACGCTGCGCGCCGAGGCCATCAAGCGCATCCTCGCGCAGCCTAAGGCGTGGTTCGACGAAGGGGGCCACTCGCCGTCCCACGTGACGCACTGCCTGGAGCGCAACGCCGAGGAGATGCGCAAGCTCGTCGGCATGTTCGTGCCCATCCTGCTGACGGTGATGTGCATGATCTCGACGTCGCTGGTGTGGGCGCTGGTGATCCGCTGGGACCTGACGCTGGTGACGCTGGCGGGCCTGCCCGTGGCCATCGGCGCCGCGCGCGCCAACTCGGTCGCCAGCGACAAGTGGGAGGCGCTGTGTGACGGCGCCGCCGCGCTGACTGACGCCGTGTTCAGCGAGACGTTTGCCAACATCAAGGTGGTGCGCGCGCTGACGCTCGAGGCGTGGTGGGCGCGCAAGCACGCCGCGTCGGTGGCGGCTACGTACCGCGTTGGTGTCAGGCGCGCGGCCTACGTCGGCGTCTTCTACGGCTTCTACCAGTCGCTGACGTTTTTTCTGACGGCGCTGGTCTTCTTCTACGGCGCCAAGATCCTGGCCGCCGGCCTGACCACGGCCACGGACGTGCTGCGCATCGTCAATCTGCTGCTCTTCTCGCTCGGCACCTCGGTCGCCATGCTCGCCAACCTGCCGCAGATCGCCGCCGCAAAGGTCACCGCCGTGCAGGTGCTGTACTACGCCAACCTCGACCACGCCGTCAGCCACGAGGCCCGCGGCGCCCTCCGCCTGACCGCCGCCCAGGGGTGGCCTCTGCCCGTCCGCATGGCCAACCTGCGCTTCGCCTACCCCGGCGCCCCCGCCACGCTGGTCCTACGCAACGTCAACCTCGCCATCCGCCCCGGCACCTGCACCGCCATCGTCGGCGCCTCGGGCTGCGGCAAGTCGACCATCGCCGCCCTGCTGCTGCGCCTGTACGAGCCGCTGCCGCCCGAGGACGAGGCCGCAGGCAGTAACGCTACCGAACAGCTGCCGAGCGTCGTCATCTCGCCTCCGTCGCCCGTGGCCCGCCGCGGCGGCGAGCAGCCGCCATCCTCACAGCGCCGCCCACCGCCACCACCACCACCCGGCGCCGCGACCCTGACGTTCGCCGACTGCCCCGCCAGCGCCCTGCACACAGCGTCGCTGCGGGGCGCCATCGGCTACGTGCCGCAGCACCCATTCCTCTTCCCCGGGACGGTGCGCGAGAACATTCTGTACGGGCTGCCGGATGATTTCTTTTCGTCGGCGTCGGCACAGGCACAGGCACAGGCTGATGCTGAGACGTCGCGCGGGATCCTCTTTTCTTCGTCGTCGTCGTCGGCTGCTGGCGCTGGCGGCGGTGGTGCTGTTGGGTCTACATCTATCCTGGGCTGGAAATGCGGCAGCCGCCGTGGACTCCATCCCAGCAGCAGCAGCGGCAACGATATCAACAACAACAATAACAGCAGTGAAGACAACGACGCCCAAGGCTACGCCGCCGCCGCGCACGCCGCGCGCCAGGCCGGCATCCACGACTTCATCGCGTCGCTGCCGGCGGGCTACGACACGGCTGTGGGCGAGGGCGGGCAAGCTGTCTCGGGCGGCCAGGCGCAGCGGCTCAGCATCGCGCGGGCCCTCGCGCGGCGCCCGCGCCTGCTGGTGCTAGACGAGCCGACGAGCGCGCTCGACGCGGCCGCCGCCGAGGGCGTGCGGCGCGTCGTCCGCGATCTTGTTTCTGAGTCGGTTCGTGGTGGTGATGGGAGTGGTATGGCGGTCGTCGTCATCACGCACAGCAAGGAGATGATGCGCGTTGCGGACACGATTGCCATGGTCGACCAGGGCACGGTGGTCGAGACGGGTATGCAGGGGTATGACGAGCTGCTAGCAAGAGGCGGCAGGTTTGCGCAGCTTGTTGGAGGCGGCGTGTGGATTGGCGGTGGCAATGGTGCCAGTGGAAGCGGGTTAGAAAGGCAGCAGCAGCAGCGGCGCCGGCGCAGGGAGAGGACTCGGAGCGCGCGCAGGAATCGGCGGAGGGGAGGAAGTGTGAGTACCAGCAGGAGCAGAAGCAGGAGCAGGAGCAGGGACGCGGACGCGGTGTCTAGGCTGCACCGCTCCAGGGAGGAAGCGCTGCGCAGGCTCGAGGGCAGGGATCGCGGTCGGGAAAGGGGTAGCTACGGATGGGGGTGGTGATCTGTGAGGCAAGGTGCAGGTCTAGGTTTGCGGTGGCTTCTGTGAATCGACATTCGCGAAGCTAAAGCTACCTAAAGCTTGGTCGAGCGTGACGCTCAGGTGCGAGTTGCTAGTCAGACAGGGGGCGGGAAATTGGGTGTATATTTATTTATTTTCCCTCTGACCGGCTGTACACTGCCCGGCAGTACCTCTCTCGCGTTGCCATTGTGCTTTGTAAGTGGACAGGTCATTCTTGATTTAGGTACGGCACACGGTGAGCAGAACGGCGTTTCTCTCTGACCAACTGCCATCGCTTCTACCCCATCCCATCCAGCTCAGCAGCCAAGGCAGTACTTGTCCATGACCGAGCTGTATGCTGCAACATTAGCCAACGCACGCTCTCATTTCAAGGTTGGCATTACGAAACTCACGCAAAAAAGGGGGCTGCTTACCCGTTCCATACCGGGCCTCCTGGGATGATATACGTCTGCGCAGTTGAATCCTCGTCAGTATTCTATACTTTTCAGATTCCTTAGTCGGCTATGCGCTGAACAAACTCACCGTGGCGTTTGACGCGTAGATGTCGATTTTGATGGACGGATCTGTTTTTTTTATTACAGAATATCAGCACCACACACACACACACACACACACACACACACAAAGGATACCGAGAAAGTAACCGCACCATTGGCATCATACGCGCCGGGGAACTTCTTCAGCATATCCCTCGGCGGGAACGCGGCACCCGTGCCGGTGACGTTGAGGTAGCCGCACTCGGGGTAGAACTGCGGCTTGTCCTCGATGTGAATGCTGAGAATCTCGTGACGGATCATGTACAGGCCCGGTCTCAAGCTCGCGGGGATGGTCACGGGCCACAGGTCGGGCGAGCCGTCCCAGTTCTGGAACTGTTTCTGGTACCACATGGCCTCGGCCAGGTTGGGTATGTCGTCCCCAATTAATCCGGCCTCCCAGATCTTGAACCACTCGGCCTCGTTGACGTCGACGGCGCTGCACAGGTCTTGAGTGGTGTCGCTGCCGCCGCACTGCGCCAGCCACACCGTCATGGGCCCGACCGGGTGCAGCCAGTACCAGTACACGGCCGTGATGTCCTCGCCGGCGCGAATCGGCATGTAGGCGACGGCGGGCGTGCCGGGCTTGTTGCACGCTAGGAACTTGTCGTCGACGCTGAAGATGGGGTCGATGGACGCCCACGGCCGCTGCACCAGCCACGGCCGGCCCAGCTGCTCGCCCGCTGGCGTGTCGGGGTCGTATCTGTGGAGGGGCGTTTATTAGCCGTCCGCGTCCGTCTGTCTGTCTGTCCGTCTGTCTGTCTGTCCGTCTGTCTGTCCGTCTGTCTGTCCGTCTGTCTGTCTGTCCGTCTGTCCGTCCGCCCGGCCATGCAGACTACAAGCCCGTGCCATGCCATGCCATTCTGAGTGTTTCGTAACTACACCTACCCTCTGTACCAAGTGTCGCCCACCGTGTAGTTGGCCAGCCCGCCGTGGGCCAGCGCCGGGCCGGAGAGAGCCAAGACTGCCAAGAGCAGCGGCACTATTACGGCCATCGCGGTTGTGGGTGGAGGGGGGGTGGGAAACTGCGACGACGACACGGCTGCGAGGTGGGATTTTCTGAGGAGACGAGACGCTACGCTGGGTATATCATGTGCGAGACGCGTCACAGGGCCCGGGAGACACTCTGGCAGTACAGTACCGTGCATATATCCACCGCAGCTCAAGCTTGGTTTTTTCTCTCACACGAGCAGCACCGAGCGAGAGAATGTTTCTTCCTCGCCCCGTTAGCAGGGAGAGCGGCTAGCTTGTCTGCTCATTGGCACAGGATGGCACGCAGCTAGTCAGCTAGCTAGCTAGCTCTCTCTCTCTCCCTGGGACCGAGACAGGAGTGGGATAGGTACACGAACCATAGGGGCCACGGCGCGGCGTGCATGTTCCCCGCATATCAATCTAGATATAGGCGCGCTGGGGGGTCCTCTATATGGGCGGGTATATGGAGGCTCGAGTGCCGTGCACTGCGCCAGCCACGGCTCCTCGGCACGGGGAAGACGGGGGAAGGGGAGGCAACAAGTCGTCTCCGCGCCCGTGCCAAGATCGATGCACGTTTGCTTGGCTCTGAGAGAGAGAAGTGTCTAGTTCAGAGACAAATCGGAGAGTGACAGGAACTGATCGCGACAAGCATGCAGCTGCCATGTGGGCGGTGCAGCGAGACGATGGGTGGTCTGAAGGGCCCGCCGCCGTGCGACGCCAGAAGAAGGACCCTGCCAGCCGGTATTCCTCTTTCCGGCACTGGCAGGTTTCAGCGATTGGTGGATAAATACCCGACTTTGCAGCTTGTATAGCTGTGGGCGTGAGGCGGAAACGACTTTTGCCGCTAGGCCCAGGCCCTAGTCGTCCGTTTTCGACGGCTAACGCCAACGTCATCGTGGGGTGGAGTTGAGATCCAGAGGCGAGCAATTTGCTACGTATTTAAATGTCTTGGGTGGAGGACTCGGGAGTTGCAAGGAAATCCCAGAGTCTCGACGTTGCGGTTGCCTAGAGCAAGCAACGGATGGATTCAGGGGCTAGTAAAAGCATCGCCCAGTCGCCTCTGCTATTCTCAACAAATCCTACCCATACCGTTTCAGGGGCGGATTTAACTTACATAGCCAAGCGGGGAGAAGAACAGCACACGAAAAAGAAGAAATAAAGTATAAACGCCAATGGACAGGCGCCAGTGGACAGGCAATTAAAAGTTAAAATGCAAACTTAAAATGCAAACTTGGCCGTTGCCGTGTGTTGACCGTGGGCATCCGACTTAGCCGTTGCCCCTTGGCCTTGCCACGCTCCGAGCAGCAGCGTGATAGGGATAGGGGGCCAGGCAAATAGACAGCACTAAGGAATGGGAAATGGGAAAGGGGCAAAGTCGACAAGAAAACAAAAGGAAGAAAAGAAGAAAGCATGCAGACAGATTGCGGCGCACTTGGCAGCTCCGCATCCCCGCAATCTCACCCCATACTCAACCCCCCCCCCCCCTTTTTTCTCCACGATCGAATCGGGGCCGCGAGACGCCGTTGCTGCATTCGGCAGAGTCCCGCCCCAGGCCGTCGCGAATCGGCATCTGTACTGGGGCCCGAGTACTTAGGTACCATGTTTGATCAGCGCTGCGTTGGGGGGCCCAAATACCCATATTACCCCAATCTTTCCCCCAATCTTCCCCCAATCCCGACCGAGGAATCACAGCCGCTGGACGGGCCTGCCCACGCCCTCTCATCCAAAGTGCCAAGGCCCAGTTGCCCCAGAGCCGACTTCTGCCGTCCTGGGCGAGTTGAGCTCAGTCGGGTCGAGCGTCCGACTGACTCTGCAACCCCCATCTTGTCCAGTGCTGCAGATCTGCCTCCGTCTTCCCGGGTCGCGCAGCAAATGTCGACATGTGGGGAGGCTTTCGCTCCGCCACTATATCCTTGAGACGGTCTCTGCGCTCGGCCGGCTGGGTGGGGGCAGGGACGGGGCGGACAGGGACAGAACCAACCTGACAGGCGCGCTGCTGGTGACGACGCCATATGAAGTGCAATCCATGGTTAATTAGGCCCGGCAAAGAAGCGCAGCCGGAGATATTGCTCGCCCAGGCACGCGGCAGCATCCCCCTCAGTCCCTCCCAGCCAACCGGGATACGGGCGACCTGGGGCTCTGGGGGGGGAGGGGCTATTATATAAGAAGAGGGCGTCGAGAGCATCAAGCCCCTGGAGAGACCCGCCGCCTGTCGGAACCAGCGTTACCTACCGTACCTGACTCGGCCTCAGCCTCAGCTTCAGCACAAGATAAGACAAGACAGAAAATGGTCCATCTCGCGTCAGCCCTGCTGGTCGCCGGCGCGGCGTTTGCCGTTGCGCGGCCGGCCACGGAGATCTTTGAGCGGCAGGCGACGTGCTCGACAGCGGCCAGCTACCCAGCGGTAAACTACGCCAAGCTGCCGGACCCGTTCACGACGTCGGGCGGGGCCAAGGTGGCGACCAAGGCCGACTTCGAGTGCCGGCGGACCGAAATCAACAAGATCCTGCAGCAGTACGAGCTGGGCACGTACCCGCCGCCGCCCGACAAGGTCGACGGGTCGCTCAGCGGCAACACGCTGACGGTCAAGGTGACGGTGGGCAGCAAGAGCATCTCGTACACGGCGTCCATCAAGAAGCCGTCGGGCAGCGGGCCGCAGCCGGCCATCATCACCATTGGCGGCTCGTCGCTGCCCATCCCGGGCACCGTGGGCACCATCGGCTTCGGCAACGACGACTTCGCGTCGCAGGCGTCGAGCGGGTCGCGCGGCAAGGGCAAGTTCTATGACCTGTTCGGCAGCGGGCACTCGGCGGGCGCGCTGACGGCGTGGGCGTGGGGCGTGGACCGGCTGATCGACGCGCTCGAGCAGCTGGGGCCCGACAAGACGGGCATCGACACCAAGCGGCTCGGCGTCACGGGCTGCAGCCGCAACGGCAAGGGCGCCTTCATCACGGGCGCCCTCGTCAGCCGCATCGCCCTGACCCTCCCCCAAGAGTCCGGGTCGGGCGGCGCCGCGTGCTGGCGCATCAGCGACTCGCAGAAGAGCGCCGGCAAGAACATCCAGACGGCCGGCGAGATCATTGGCGAGAACGTGTGGTTCTCCAAGAACTTCGACCCCTACGTCAAGGCCACGTCCACCATCCCCGCCGACCACCATCTGCTGGCCGCCCTGACGGTCCCGCGCGGCCTGCTGGCCTTTGAGAACGACATTGACTGGCTCGGCCCCGTGTCGACGACGGGCTGCATGAAGGCCGGCCGCCTCATCTACAAGGCCTACGGCGTGCCGAACAACATGGGCTTCTCGCTCGTCGGCGGCCACAGCCATTGCCAGTTCCCCAGCTCGTCGCAGCCCGAGCTGACCGCCTACATCAACTACTTCCTGCTCAACAACCCCACCGCCCCGTCGTCCATCGAGAGAAGCAGCGTCACCCTCGACGCCACCCTCTGGGCTCCGTGGGACGTTCCGAGCCTGACGTAGAGTCTTGCAGATATGTGGCCGTGTAGATTGCCTTATCGAGCAGTGGAGGAGGGGGGGTGAAGCAGCGAGGCGAGGCCGGGAGACGCTTCCGGAGCGAGATAATGAACTGGACGAACACGCTTGTTAGCCAACTTGGTTTGTAAATAGTTATTGCACGGAATGAAGCAGCAGCTGGAACCGAAGACTGGAACCGAAGAAGAATGTCTCGATGTGCAGCGAGTGACAATGCAACGTGCCGTGGCGAGTTCCAATAGAAAGGGGGCGGAGAGAGAATGACGGCCAGACACCGTGCCAGACGTGTATTAAGAAGAACCTGACATACCTCTGCACGCCCAACAGGGCGGCCGAGTATCCTAGTGCTGCTGCTGGCGCGTCACCTACTAAGCAGCCCAACCACTTCTCATTTCGCGGCCAGATATAGCAACGGCCGTCAATGCCGTCAATGCCGTCAATCAATCGCGTTTTATTCCCTGGCTGAGCTTGCTCGTGACACGAAAAGGAACTCGGAGCCGACCCAAATTGTCAACTCCTCGCCCCGCTCTGCCTCTACTATCATCTCAGTCTGAAGCGTCAAGGCGTCAAAAGGAAGGTCTCTAGTATCCCTAACACCATCCATCCCTGTTCTTCTCGTGGCTCTCACATCTCGATTGATAAGACGCCCTGCTATTACACGTCTCTTGAGGTTGCGTATATAAAGCAGCACATTCATCCTTCCCTCTTGGTCGACGCTCCGTAAGCCCTCGGCGCTCCAATGGGCAGACGTCACAACCCCGACAACCACCGGGGCCATAGTGAAGATCGTCAGAATCTGGCCCAGGTTCCAATTTTCGCCCGCTTGAGTCCACTGAACTCCGGCGTTTCGCCACTGGCTGTAGGATATCAAAGTATACAGCGAAGCGGCAGAAATTCCAACCATCTCGCCGTACCCTAAATGCCAGACGTGCGCGCTTATTCGGGGATCGAGATGGAGAATATGTGTGACGGGATCAAGCTCCTTGTCGTCCAGCCGCCCTGGCCCCATGTGATTAACACTGAGGACGGTATCGTGAAGCGCCTCAGCGGATTCCCTCGACTTTCCCCAGGGCAGGAACTGCTCCACAGTTAAGCGGATTGCCAGGTCATCCCATAGCAAGCGTGCTGCTGCGTACGTTAAAATAGAAGTGGCCAGCTGAGTGATGACATAAAGTCGTTGGTGTTAACACGCCCTTCTGTCTCCACATAGATGCACACCCCCGCGGTGCCCAGAGTCCACTACCTGCTGGAGTTGGCGGCATGTAATGCAGGTTGTCGAGGCTGCGATCTTGCAGGCTACTCTACATCGCTTCCGAGTCAGAGCACGAGTATAGGCTGCCCGTGTTGCAGTAGTCGTGCTTAGCAAGGCCGTTGCTGCTGGCGTCCTCATTCGGCTTCCCAGGGGCGGGGGAGCGTCTCGAGACAACTGTAGTGCCGTATGCCTGACGAGAGAATGGGTAGATCTGCGCTCGGTGATTCGACGGGCGAGGTAGATGTGAACAGCGGTGCGAAGGTTGCGAGGCCGGCGATAAGGGCGGTTGCGTAAATGTTTGAGACTGGTGGTTGAGACTGCTGGTGGCGTCTGCAAGAAAGGCAGATGCTGAAGTCTTGTAAGTACCTTGGTTTCGCTACTGAGTAATGTTGGAATTTTAAAGTCTACTGACACTGAAGAAGGTAGCTACTAGAAAAAGAACTTGGAATTTTTAAAGTTCTGAGGAAGGTACTAGGAAAGAATTTTTAAGTTGATACTAAGGAAGGTACTAGGAAAAGAATTTTTAAGTTTATTGATACTAAGGAAGGTACTGAGGAAGGTACTGGAAAAAGATTTTTTTCCTAATACCATAAATAACTGTAGGAATCACCAGGGTACCGGTACTGGAAACAGCATGGCGCGCTGCGCGCCGTAAGGTGGTGGTTCAAGTGATGGATTCGTTTTTGTCTTTCTGTCTTTTTATCTATCTGAACAGGTGGGCGTAGGCCAATATATATGCATCTGTCAGGCCCGCTCCTCCACAGACGTTGCTGTGGCCAGGAATGCGGAGCCGCATTCCTTGGATCAGCGCGTCATTCCAGTATGTTATTCCAACAATAACCACCCCAGATTCCTGATTATCGCGCTTCTTCTTCCCTTCAATATTCCCCAATACTCAAGATTGACCAGCCGCGATATTTGCCACATACGACACTGCATTGATTGAAGGCAAAAGAGTGCTTGCATTCCGAAGAACTGAATGAAGGAAGAAAGGGCAGGTGCCCTTCTATATAAGGAAAAAGAAGTCTTTGTTCGTTGAGTGGCCGGAAATGGTCAGCCAGATTACGTGACGCGGCTTCTTCCGACAATAATGAGTTCCTCTGCCCCTCCCTTTTCCGCACCTGAGCGACGTCGCCTCAATACGGCAGAAGAATCTATCATGTCCGATGGCCTACAGCAGGACGTCATTGCCAATAATCGCCTCCTCGAAGCGCTCGAGTCTCCAGAGGCTCTCTTATTCTAACTCCTCTCCCTCCAATCAGTCACTAGCACGGCCTCATTCGCTGTATTTCACCAAGCCCAGCAAGATGTTGAGGCAGCATACCAGAAAATTGGATTTGGACAATGGGGCTTGATCTTTGCCAAGCCAGGACGCGGATTTGTCGTCAAGGTTGCCCGTCCCTTCTTCTCCGATGGGCTTTGGGAAGATTTCTTGTCGCACCTGCGACTTTTCAAGGCTCTATCCGCCCACAGCGAGTCCGAGTGCCGCATTCCACGAGTCTTCTCGTATGTCAGCAAGGAAAACGCAGGATGGTGGGATATGAACAAGCTATCTCTCCCGCCAAGCTCGGAATTCCCTCTTCCCTCGGTGGCATTGATCACGGGACGTATTCTTCCCCTCCCCAAGGCCATTCGTCATGCTCTGATCGATAAGTTTTGCCCGGAGGGATTGCGGGAGGCCGCCAAATCCTCACAGATGAACAAAGACTGTGTCGCTCGTATATACCTCGGCTGCCGTCGCCGCTCGGATGCTCTGCTCTCGCCTAATTTCTCTCTACGGAATTTCAATTTCTGTCTGGATCAAATGCTCGATCTCGGCCTCCCTGTCAAACATTATGCGAGGGCAATGGCCGAGTGCCTCGCTATTTTCCACTGGGAAGCTCATATAGATGGGTATGATATCGAGTTTGTCCTGGGAAGTGAGGTCGAGATTTCATACACGACCCACGTCACGCAATCGCTCGGCTTGGACGTTGAGGAGCTAGAGAAATTACCCAAACAATCGGATATAGAAGTTTTGCGGCGTATCGACTTCCAGAGACGTGCAACCCGTCTGTGGGTTCTGGACTTCAATCTCTGTAACCGGTTTCCCAAAGATGCCACCTTTCTCCTTGAGAATGACCCCTATTATCCTTTGCCCCTTATGGAGCTAGATATTGACAAACAACTCTAGTCTATTTTCAGACAAGAGTATGAGAAGAAGGCGGGAGAGATTCTCAGTAAATCGGGTGGTCTGCAACATCTTCCTGTAAAGTTCCTAGATGCCTGCGTGAAGAGGGAGCAGGGAAACTGGAGCAGGGCCTAGGTCATGGACATAGGGATTTGAAGGGATAAGATTCTCAGCCTCCGCTCTGTAGTATTAGATGAAGGAATCCATTAGTAGTGACCAGCCGATTATGCCCAACTCTATACAATTATCAACATCTAAGCCCATTCGACTGAGCGTAGCTCCTGAGTTGAGAGTAGTTGATGTGCCTCACCTCAACACGCCCAGGCTTGATTCACAGAACGGTAGGGGCTCGAGCGGGGGTTCCAGCGCACTAAAGCTACCAAGTGACCGAGCGAAATCGGTGCGTAGAGCGAACTCCCAGTCGAGTACTTGGCCGTAGCTTGGCACATCTCGGAGCTCGGGGGGAGGGCATTGCGAAAGTAAGCTTCGGTTGCGATTGGCATCGATCGAGTTGGCGACAAAAAAGGAGGACTCCCTGCTGCTAAAAAGGAGGTCATAGACTGCGTATTTGTCTCCGCTCGGGCCGAGTTGGAGGAGCCCCCGAAACCAGCTCGAGTAGGATCCGTTGATGAGGCCACGGTTGCTGGTGAAGTCAAGTTTTTCAATTGGAGGTGGGGCCCAGTCCGCAACTTAAAAGACGCCCGTCGAGGTCACATTTGTCGGTATTGACATCCTCGCTTTTGATGAAGTGAAATAGCTACAATAAGGTGTGCGCCAGTCTTCGCCGAAGTTGATATTATGTTCAAGATGATTTCAGGATGATTTCAAGATGATTTCGAGGTGATTTCAAGTTGATTTCAAGTTGAAGGAACGACCAAGAAGCGGGCCGCAGCGGCCATGATACGGGAGGGAGTCTGTTCAATAGTATGTGGTGGAAGCGTCGTAAGAAGAGTGATGTATTTGGTAAGTGTGGTGCGCCCGGCCGTGGTGCTCTTGAGGAGTGCCTCGCGGCAGCATTGTTCACTGCCCTGCCTACCTAATCTAAGCCAACTATACCAAAAGCGGAACACCCTCGTACCGGAACATGCCGGTGGCGCTTTTTTTAGCCCGTGTAAGCCAGAGATAGTCGACATTCAAATTACTACCGTTCAATGAAGCTATTCGTAAATGTTGAACTGCGTGCCTGACAGGCCTGTAAGAGGGCACCTGTGCATGATGCTGCAGTGGGCTCGGTACTGTAGCTGGCGGAGCGGAAGCGGTAGCGAAGGCGGGAGCCAAGTGCGAGGGTGCCTGCTGATAATGTCTGGGCTCACGAGGACATGATATTTGTCGTCTGGAATTGACCCACTTTTCATGGAATTGGACAGGCCCTGGTTGACATGCCTCTGAGCTTCCTTCATTCTTTGTTATTTCCTTCATTCTTGACTCGACATGTCCTCATTTCATTCGGAATGCCCTCTTTCGGGCTGATTACAACGCCTCCCTTGCCCTCTCTCCCTGAGTATAAGGAAGCGTTCTTTTCTGTACTTTTAGACCTATTGAGAAGGCAATTCAATGCGCTGTCAACCTCGATCGCGTGCAACAATATTCTTATAATCACGTCGTGCAAGCCACACTTAATTACAACTTAGAACTTAGCTTAGGGACAATAAGAGTCAAGATTCATGAGAAAAGGATAGTGATTGCATAATCCATGAGATAGCTCTATCAAGCGCTAAAAGATCTAACCCTGGAACATGAAAAACAAAACTAAACGCTAAACACCTCAAAAACCCATGCGACGCCCCTTTTCCCTCAACGCCATTCTTTCCACATGCCTGCCTACCTATAGTCTATAGACAACCAACACATACAACAGCCCCAGAGATTCACAGCCCCAGAGATTCACAGCCTCAGATAGTCGAGCTCGTGGTTCCGCGGCGGCGGCCCGGGCACGGCGTGCCTATCCCTCTTTGCGCCGGCGGCCTTCTGGGCGTTCTGGATGAGGTCGTCGAGGGTCATGGGCGTGATGGTGTCCATCATGGCCATGGGGTCGGCCGACTTGATCATCCACTCGAGGGCGCTGGCGGTGGTGGTGGTGCCGCCTGTGCCGTCATCGTCGTCGCCGTCCAAGATCATCTGGTTGCTGTCGCCCAGACTGTCGGCGGCGTCGACGAAATCGAAGCCGCAGTCGCTGGTCAGGTCGACAATCAGCCTCGAGATGGAGTTGCCAGCCCCGTCGCCGAGGTGCTGCTGCTGCTGCTGCTGGTGTTTTTGTGGGTCGCCAAAGTCTGTCGATGCAGCTGCTAGCGAGTCTGCTGGCCTGGCGGGCCCTGGGCTGTGGCGGGCAGAGGAGGCGGGGGTAAGAGCGGGCGGCTCGGTAAGCCATTCCTCAATGGTTACGTCGGGTGTGGATTCGGAGTCGGCCCGCCGATTCAAGCTGCTGGTGCTCTCGAGATCGGCGGGGTTCGCGGTGAGCGGAGGGTCGGCGGTGATGCAATCGTCAGCGACACTGGCGCCGGCTGTCTTATCTTGCTTCTCGTTTATAAGGTTTGCAAATTCGGCATGGAAGAAGTCTAGATCAAAGTCCTGAGGCGCCTCGGACACCTCAAAGTACGGCTCTGCTTGCGGGATGGACTTGGAGCTTGTGTTGCTCGACTTGTCAAGTGCTCGAGGGCCGACCGCGTACGGGTAGGTGCTAGGTATCGGGCGCGCCACTGCCGGCGTGCTTCGGCTGGACAGTCGACGTCGCTTCTTGGCGGCCTCAACGCCAGAGACGTCGCCTCCGTTGCTCCGGACATTGGAACCCGAGTAAATCCCTTCATTGCTCGGGCTCCAGTGACCAGCATCAAACATGAAGCTGCTCTTTTGTTGCTGCAACCGACCGAGCATCACGCCCGAGTTGGCCATGTCCTTGCGTATGTCCACAAGCATGTGTTTGAGCAAATGGTACATGCGCGCGGCGGGCTGGTAGGTGTGGCTCATGTCGTAAATCGCCGTGGAGATCACTTGGAGATATCTCAGGTTACTGTGGTGGTCAAGCTCGGCGCTCTGGTGGGCCAGCGCCGCCATGAGCGCGAGAGCCGCCGTTCCCGCATGCTGGATGGCGCCGATGCAGATCTTACGCCCGTTGAAGCGCTGGCGATGCTGCCAAAAGATGCGCGCTACTCGGACGCCGTGCTGGGTGCACATGCTGCGGGACAATGATGCCCTGTTGTCGTCGCCGATGGGCCGAGGCCTGTCCAGGCCCGGCACAAAGCTGCCGGAGGCTGGGGAGGCCGTGCTAGCATAGAGGCCGGTGCCCATGCTGTCAAAGGCAGTGGGGCCGTATTTGGCCCAAGGCCGGTGAAGTAGTATCACGCAGACGTGGTATTGCTGGTGGAGGATGAAGAAGCTGAAGGGCGCAGACTTGATGTTCGCGGGCGACCACACCAACGACTCGGGAAGCCCGCGATACCAGTTTTGCAAGTGCCGGTCAAGCATTATGACATGCCGATACGAGCTATCGTTGGGCGCGTTCAACGCCGATCTGTTGGTAATATTGCGCGTCGTGTTCTGCGCGTCGGCGATCATGCCGGCCAGCTCCATCAGCCCCAACAAGTGCTGATGGATGGCGTTCTCAATCGACTCAGAGGCTGTTGGGCCAGGGTCGGACAGCTGCATTGTGAACGTCTCGGGAGACAGGGCCGAATAGCTCGTTGGCCTCAAGTCCAGGCTGATGTCCTGAAACTTGATGCTGGTGGGACGGCCTAGCAGGAGCGCCCATCGGCGATCTACGAAGAGGCAGGCCATCATGACTTGGCGCCTCACCCGCTTCCCCGTTTCGGACACGCCAGCTTGGCCACAGCTGACATGAAGCCCAATGTCAAATGCAAGACGGTTTGCCATCCCTTCACACACGAGACGCGGTCAGCATAACTCCGAACTCTGAACAAGCGAAGAGGAAGCAACATACCCGAGTACATCCAGCCAGTGCTGTCCCGGCCGACGCCGCACTCCAAGTCGGCGAGAATGAGAAGCGCCTGGACGCTGGGGATGGCTCCAGGCCTTTCGAGCTCGGCATCCAGCATGCACTTTGCTTCTCTGTGGAATGTGCTCTCCCAGTTCCTGAGTGCGTTTCTCTTCACATCCTCTCGATCCCGGTCGGCAAACCGGTAGCCGGCCGCCAGCATTGTTATGTGCAGAAACGGCGAGTAGAAGCTCGGGTTTTGCACGTCCCTATCGGCTTCAAACACGGCTTGGTCAATAACCTTGGTGACCGAGTTATAGTGGCTCCAGAAGCACGTCATGAGATGATCGCGGGTGGAAGGCCCGAGCGAGCGGATGATGCGGTCTGCTCGGCGAGCCTGCTCGTGGACCGCGCTGGAGTCGTGGAGAAATGCAGACTCGGCATAGACATGGCTGTTAGCAGTCGGGCCGAAGAACCGGAGCCGGCCCGACGACTGATCAACGGCCATGGTACCTTCGGAGCACAGAAGTCGCCGCAAGTGGCCATCCTTCTTGAGCTCCGTCCGAGACAGGACAGGGTCGATATTCCAGGGCAGGGAGGCCGAGAGACTGTCAGCTGCTTCGGCTTCGATCTTGGCGGCATCCTCATCCCCAGAAGGAATAGGCGTCGATGCTTCTCCATCCAGGGAATATGGCGGGTTTTCGTCGGAACCTTGAGAAAAGCTCCGTCTCTGGCCTTTTGGTTGGTCTTGGCGCGGTTTTGTTTGGGCTTCCTGTCTCGTCTTTGGCGGGTGGGTGGCGGGAGGGGGGTTCACGCCGCGTTCATGGAGCATTCCCTCTAGCAAGACGATGCGGCTGGCTAGGGAAGACATGTACGCCTTCGAGATGGGTCTGTGTATTTGCTTGTTAGGAAAACGAAGCGCGTGACGGGGGGCTGGGCACATGCCGTCGTCTTTCGTCGTCGTTTTTTATGACGCACTCGCCGGACGACCTCTTGCACTGAATACACTCGGATTCTCCCTCGGGGACAACACAGCGTATCCTCCTCTCGCGGCACGCGGCGCAGGCAACCGAGGCCCGGTGTCTTGTCTGCTGCTTGCTCGACTGTTGCGACGTGCGGGCTGTATTGGAATTGGATGGGCACTCTCCGCCAGAACTATCGCCTGCTCCCTCGGACGGCGATCTGCGCTTTCGGGACGAAGTTGAGGAAGAGGGCATTGTCGAGACTTGGGCAGACAAAACTTTTAAGAGCAGGGGTATCAGGTGGCGACTGTAAGTGGCATCTGCCGTTTCTTTCGCCTGGCTAGACACGTCTGGCTGGGCACGAGAGATATGGAGAAGAGCCAAAGGGCCAGAAATGGACATGCCCACGCGGATCCATGCTCTATTATTAAGTCGTCACCCTGGCCATGCCCGTCGACAGCAGCCGTGAGAAGTCTCCGCACTGGAAGCTGGAGAAGACTCACTGTGGAGCTGGCCGAGAGACTACACTAGGTGAAGACTAGGTACCTGGCCGGCCTAGTTGTAGTAGCGTGGACGGCGTGGTTGGACAGCCAGGTTTGCGAGCTGGAGGCTTCTGGGGGCGAGCAGGCAATTGAAGCCCATTGACCCACTCGGACAGACCTGGACTACTGCGCCAGCGTGCCTTGGGTTCCCAATGCCTGTTCTAATTAGACGCTGGGAGCAATCCGTAGATTTGCACGACACAAGTTCACAACAGCCGCGTGGAACTACCCCATCCCGAGTCCACCTCGCTCGCCGCGGGTGGTGGGCGGCGGGGACTGGGGAAATAGTGGCATGGGGATGCGGAGAATCCACATTTTCCGTGTGGCCCCCTGACCCGTGGACCTGCACGTCGCCCACAATGGGATCTCAATGGGACCTTGAGTCCCCGCCCGTCGGACGCGTGGAGCATGGGTCGAGGGAGCTCTCGGGTTTCGGGGATAGCTCTCGATTCGCGGCATATGAGGTCTGCAGCGTGAAGTCGGCCTGAGCAGCGCAGCGACAAGTCGGCGTCAGTGGCTGTAGTGGTACCAGGCAGGCCAGAAAGCCCAGGTGGGAAGACGCACCTCGGCAACCCATGCAACATGGACATCCAATCCAATCCAATCCAATCCAATCCAATCCAATCCAATCCAATCCAATCCAATCCAATCCAATCCAATCCAATCCAATCCAATCCAGTCCAGTCCAGTCCAGTCCAGTAGACCGGTGGGCCGGTGGATGTTGCAGGTTCTGGATGGCTCCAAGCTCCCAATATCAGAGCGATCCGGCGACTCGGCACCCCGCAGTTCCCACTGCCTCATCACGGCTCCAGTCTGTGTGTGGGTACCACGTTTGAACCCCGGAAATCACCCCAAGTGCCCAGCAATAGTTCCAATCGTGCAAGTGTCTAAGCCAAAGTAGCTCTAGCGGCTTTGGACGAGGCCCCGGCAGACAAGCAGATGCCTACTAAAGCCATTGGCATCCTCGTGGCGTTGGACAGACCGCGAACAGTACGTACACAGATACGGAAGCCGTTCAGGGTGCTGCCGTGCCGCGTTGGCTGTGTCTTGCAGACCGGTGCCGTCCTGAGGTGTCATCCCAAGTAACGGCTCGGCCTAAGGTAAGGCAAGGTAAGCTGGATAAGCTGGATAAGATGCACACGCCCATGTTGTTGCACTTCGATTGGCATGTGCGGCGCCTCGGCCGAGTCGCCAAGACGGTGTGGCAGCGGCGCAGAGATGCAGCGAGACACAGCGGCCGACACAAGTCGAACGCCGTCAGCCGCCATTGCGAACTCACCCCTCGGCAAGAGCCTTGAATGGCTGCGAGAAGCCAAAGCCAAAGCCAAGCCGTCTCGGCTCCACTCCACCAGCCTACCAGCCCCAGCCGTTGTCGTGTCCATTCCATGCCCATTGTCCAAGCTGATCGATGTGGGGAAAGCTAACGAGCAGGTTGCAAAAGTCAATGCCTACCCCGCACGCGAGAAAGGCTGGGCGTCGACTTTGGGACGGCGCCAGTGCTAGTCTCGCTGTCCTGTCGGGTTTTTGGAGGAAGGGGCAAAATCTGGCGAGAAAGGGGCCCGGCCTGTCTCTCAGGGCACGTCACCAGATTCAGACGCCATGTGCTACCTACCCATCACCGTCGGAGTCCAGTATTGTTGCCGAGGCTTGAGCACTCCTCAAGCCACCTGTGATTCGTGTGATTATAGCTAGCTTGCACGGCCAGCCAATAGGCGGCAAGAGTATATGTACCGACAAACTTGTGCGGGGAGTGCTCTCGAGCTAGGCAAGCGTCGGCCAAACATGGAAGCCAGAGTAAGCCAGGCAAGCCCGGGACTTCGGGAGGACTGCACTGCTCGGGCAGGTTGGATATTGATAGTATCTAGCGTCATGTGGCGAGAGGTTGCTTGGCACAGGCGATGGAGTTGTCTTTAAGTCCGGTTTCACCAACCAACCCAGTTCCATTGTCATGGTCTAACCGTTTGGGCACCCCTGGATTTTCCGGGGGAAAAAATGCGAAGAGAAGCATGACCCACGACCCTAGCCAACGTGGTTGAACGTTCTGTTCTCGGATCAGGAGCAATCACAGTACGGCGCAAAAGATAACCGCAGCACAGAGTGATGAGTAGGGAATTTGCATTGCATTCGGTGGGATTTCTCCCGTCTCCAGCTCACTACTGCGGCTGCTCTGAACTCTGGCCTATCGTCGGCTTTGGTCGGAGAGCTGCCAAATCGGAGGGTTGGTTTCCAAGAACAACTAGGTCCAAACTGTTAGCCAGGACTTCGAACCGCAATCTCTGGGGCAGCGAAGAACTCACGCCTGTCATAGAGGTAATATGACGTGACAAACAGGATCGGCAAGGCTACCATCAACGCTGTGTATTTCCTTGACGCCTTCTTATATTCCGGACTCGAAGTGTCCACGGGCTGCGGGCCCTCGGGAGCCACCTCGGACTTGACAGACTTGACAAACCTGACCGCCGGCTTGAGGGGCTCGGGGGCTCGCAGTGTTGGGGGTATCTTCTCCGCTGCGCCCACATCCATCCCTTGGGTAACCGACGGTGTCGATGCCGCTGTTATCTCGGCTGGACTTGCGGGACTTGCGGGAGCAGGCGCATCCTTCTTCTTTGTGGCGGCGCTGGTCTTGGTTGAAGCAGCACGCGTCTTGGGCACTTTTACTACACCTTCGGCACCGGGGACTTCAAGCACCGGGGCTTCGGCCTTCTTCTTCCTTGGCGACTTGGGGGCTGTTGCCGTTGTCGAGCTTTTGGTGCTCAGAGTCTTCTTCCCCACGGCGGCAGCATCGTCGACGGGCGAGACTGGCGGCTTCTTGGCTCTAGGCTTCGAGACAGTTGTCGCGTATCTAAGGGGCTGTCGGACGGGAACGCCAGCTCTTGCAGCAACAGCAATTGAGCTGCAGCGAAGAGCTCTGCTGCAGCCGCCCAGCGCTCGTGGGCCCAGTCCCAGAAAAGACATGGTTCCGGAACAATCGTCTCAGGGGAAGGGGTTCGTTTGTCGCGGTCTCGCGAGAGGCTTTCGAAGACGACTTAGGGTCGGGGCCGAATTGTCGAGGCTCGAGGCGGAGAAGAACACTGTAGGATAGGGAGGCAAGGCGCCCTGAATAACGCGTCTTCAGCAAATATCGCTTGGGCCCGGCAATTCCTGCCAAGAATGCCATCCCGTCCAGATTCAAGTATAAGTACCTGCAGCGGAAGATTCGATGCGTGTTCGATGCGTGTTCGATGCTGGGACAGCAGCCAGTCAAGCGAAGCCGTGTTCGCGTCGCGTTCGTGGAAAAAAGAGATTAAACTTTCATGCACGCCCGCAACGCCACTACCAGACTGCAGCTCGGGGGTGGGGTGGGGCGAGCTACAGCTTGGTGCCGACTCAGGGTTGGCAACGAGACGTGAATTAGGTATTTCCAACGCCTGAAATAAGTACATACAAAAGCTACACTGAAAATAGCGGCGAGCTCAGGCCAGCATCTGATGTAGTGGCAAATTAAGGGTTCATCAAAGAATAGCAAATAGTGCCAGCCCGATTATTCGTGCAACATAAGGGGTCAACCCCAACCCCGAAGATCACCAAGTCCAGGTTTCCTGCCCTAACCCTCCGATGATTGCCAACGAAGCAAACCTCGACCCGGCTTCAACCCTCGACTCGGCTTCAACCCTCGACCCGGCTTCAACCCTCGACCCGGCTTCAACCCTCGACACAGCGCTCTCACCGGCAGTGGCCAATGACGCTTTTCTGATTCAGATCCTTGCAGCAGTCCTTGAAGTCCTGGCGGTTGTCCCTGTCCACGCCGCATATCTGCGGCTTTCCAAATCTCCAAAGTCAGCCACGCGAGCTCCGTTGTTAAGAGGGAGTTCACGCCCATCGTCTATCCACTTACGCTCTGTGCCGTCTTGTAGCCGGTCGACCTGCAGCAGCGAAAGGTCTGCGTCACGAGCAGAGCCCCGTTGGTGCTGTTCATGCAGATGCAGTCGTCGGGCCCCAGGTACCAGTCCGTCTGGCACGCAGACTGCGCAAGCACTCCTCCGGCGCGCAGCCCGAGGCCGACGAGCAGCGCCGTCGTCAGGCGCATTGTGGTTTTTCGAGAGCTGGCCGTGGTAACCAGACAGGAAGACCGAGAGAGAGAGAGAGAGGCAGAGGAGCGAGAAGGCCGCGGGCGAGGCCGTCCGATGGCTGTTGTTGTCTTCCTCCCGGGGAAACCCATCTCTTCTTATAAGCGCAGCCCTGTAGGCTCACATGGCCAGCGATTTGATTATCGTGGTGCTCTCTAGGTATCCAACGCGCCAGCGCGCGCCACTTTATCCGTAATTTGGCCCCCTCGCATCCGATGATACAAAGTACAGCACGCCGTAATTACAAGGGCGCCATTTCGGTTTTCAAACGAGGCAAGCAAATCGTCGGGTACCTGGGTAAGCGGCCCTGAGGGCCCCCTCCCTGCCTCGAACCGAAGCCCTTAAAGTTGCACGCAGCAGAGACGAGCAGGATGAGACGAGCAGGATGAGACGCCCGTCGAGCCAGGGCCCTAATTTAAGGCCTCGCCACTCCCCCATCCCTGCCCGCCTCCCTTTTTCTACATGCGTTCGACACTTTCGCCAGACGGTCCAGGATCGAGATGCGACTGTCCGTGCCAGTGTGGGGAAACAAAACCCACTCATTCCCGTCCATAAAGCCCGGCGCCGGTTCAGCCTAATGTCGCCTCGGGTGGCCGGCTGGGTGGCCCTGACCCCCCAATCCAGTTTCCCGGGAATAGCCTCTCGTCTTTTACCTCGCGCATGTGGAGAAGAATATGTACGAGCAAGGTTTGGGTCTCCACAGTGAACAGCAGCTCGGTTCCCGGGTTTTTCGTCTTGTTTCGTGCGAAGTTCATGTGCCGAGTCCTAGTCCAAGTCTAGGGCCTAATTATTATTAGGGGCGACGAAATCGTGCGGGATCGTTTTGATCTCTCGAACGGAAAACTCCCAAACCTGGGGCAGAAGTGGGAGGCGGCTCACCATCCAACGTTTCTTCGAGGAAGAAGTCGGAACAGACAGACGGCTCGGGCGGTAGTATCCGAGGGAGTGATACCTTGTGGCGTTCCATTCCTCAGAAGCCCTGGTTACATTGACTCGAAAAGTTCCAGATGAAATACAAGCGGGTATCTGCCGAAGCCACGTCCCGATCCGCACCTACGCTCCTTTTCTCTCCTCCCCTACGCGGTATTCTCCCACACCCCTTTCCTAGGACTAGGGGTTAGCAATCTGCTGTAAACAAGCTCAAGGCTGCTGGTTTCGGGGGTTACAAGAGGAGTAGGGGGGGTTCTAGTCAAGGCAGAGAAGACGTCTCTGAAGGATCTAGGAGATTATTCTATTTTCGTTGTATAGCCGCTCTAGTGGTGAACTAGTAGTTTTTGAGAGGGCCATGACTCTCGTCCACTGGTTCGGGCAGAGGGATGATCTAGGCTAGATTCCAAGAGTTTAGAACTAATGAATTGTATTATTACGAGACCTACCTTAAACTAAATAATGGGGGGGACCGTCCTACTAACCCTCTTACCACAAGACTTGATTACCTACCTTAGCTTACCTTTATCCCTTAATTATGCTTTGCACGCCGTCCTGCAGTCAGATAGCAGGCCGAACCTTAGCTAAATGCCAAGTGTTAGACCTAGACGTGACGCGGATAGCAAGTATGGGCACGCCGGGGCCCTATTGCTTTTCATCTCTTTTTGAATGTGCCAGCAACTTAAGCATTCTCAGCACCGCATGAAATAAATCACATGTTTCAGGCTCTGTAGAAGACTGTTTAAGGGGCTAGCAACAAGTTTAGCGGGAGCATACCAATGTTTGTCTAGGTATACGAGGCCACGGGGTCTCAGGCCAATCGAGCACCCGATATTGAGCTCAAAAGGAGCAGCAACAAGGCGGAGATAAAAGGGGGGGGGGGGGGGGGGTGGGGGGTTGACACCAGAGAGAGAGATAGCAGAGTTCAATATGATCTGTCCTTAATTCTCACTCGCAAGCAGCTCATATCGTGTTTTCATAGTAGCTCGCCCCCTTCACTCTACGGGCCTTGGTGAAGGTAGGCATATATAAGAGATAGGCCACGACGAAGCTGACCTTGCGGAGAACCGCCGCCAAGCACCTAGAGCAGTTAACTCTGGTCCTACTAATACCACGTAAGAGTGGGAACGCTCACAGCTGGATCCATGGCGAATCCATAACGACAAGCACGCGCTTCTTCAGGTTGTTGTACTCCACGACCAAAAGTTGTATGCGGGCGCGTCCGATGTGTCCAAGTACGTACATAGTCGGGGTTCCGGTTCAGGACTTGCTATCGCTGCTTGGCCAAGGCCCAGCACCGAAATTTATGGAAAACTTCCTCCTCTCTTCTACATAACCAACCGCACAACACCTCTTCCCAAAATCTCCAACCGTTATCAATTCTCACAAGCAATCCGGTAATAACCCCCACGCGTGCACACGAGAGATTTATGGCTAATTCGTTACGGGTTGTCTATCGGTCTGTCGCCATGCCGCCGAAACGGAAGGCTGACGATTGCGCGCCTCTGCCGATCGAGTCAAAGTTCCTCTACAATCGCTCCATCTACTGGGTGCCTCATCCGCTTGCAGATTTGCCCGGTGCCGGACCCTCGACACCTACCCATATGCCCTCGCATGACTCCCCTGAGTCGAGCTCGCAGCCGTCAGAATCACACTTTCCAACAACGGATGAAGAGTTTACCTACCGACTGGGACGATATGCTCAAAGACGCTCTCGAGCTTGGCATCTTGAACGAGAGGACAGAAGCGATTTGGAGAAAATCCCTTCTCGAGATGGCGTATTTTGAAGCTGTACGGAAAGTTCAGTTTCCTAAGCGATTGCAAAGAGAGCTAGGCGAGAGCGATTCCGATCTGGAGGCCTCAGGAGAGGAGTGCGTGGATACCTCAGGAGAGGAGTGCGAGGACGACTAGAAGTCATGCTCCAACACCAGACTCCCAGCGCTGTGTATAGATAGTGTTCAGGTTAGCCAACATACCAAGACGGGCAGCGGGATTAGTATTCTCAAGGAGGAGGAGAAGGATGAACGTCTACCAATACAGCAGAGCAAGCATGATGATGGCCACAATAGCCACGAGGAGAAGAAGGAGAAGGAACGTCTACTGATAGAGCAGAGCAAGCATGACGACGGCTACGAGGAGCAGAAGGAGAAGGAATATCTACTAATAGAGCAGGGCAAGTATGACGATGGCTACGAGGAGCAGAAGGGGATGCCGGAGGGAAGAGAGAAGGGAAAGCAGAAGATGAGTATTAGTACGGACAGGGATAAGGGCACTGATAATAGCGAGGGGGAGACGCTTACGCTCACGCCCAAGCTCTCCAAGCTGAGCCTCAAGGGAAGATACCGCAAGCTCAAGGAGGTACCGGGCAAGCTCAAGCGGTCTCGAGTTGTGTCGTTATTCCAACATCTAAGGGACGAGGGGCGGGCCGGACAAGAGGAGTACTAGGAGGTATTCATAGTTATCTAGTCTATGAACTACACCGAAGGCAAGAGAGACGGTCCGGCGGTCCTTCACACTCTTCTCTCAAAGCTGTACGACTCACTTCATAAAGCACGCGGGGTACTGGCGCGAAACTACTTCAGTCCCGCGGCCAGATGTGACATGACATGATGGAAAAGCATTTGCCGTGTTTTAATGCCTCAAGCCCGCTCGCCTGCGACTAGGTCCCCGAGATGACGGCGGCCATTTGCCCGACACTCCCCGCCCCAGCATCGTCTCCCAGCCGCCAGCCGCCAGCCTTTCAACCTCGTACCCGGCCTTTTTTCCCTCGCCCTCGATGCAGGAGCAGTCTTTCCGGGCATCCCAGGCCTTCCTAGCCCTCTTGGCTGGGCTAGCCACCGATCATCTCTCGTGCGGATCGACCGCGTACGGAGCCCACGGGATTCTCGGCGAGTCGTAGCTGCCAGACATGTCAAGCATCACCTGGATGCTGGCCGACGCGGCTGAGATGCCACCTGCTCCCCGCGACGCATCACGCCCTGTCAGGCATCAACGCAGGACCCGAGACGGTAGCGGACTCGCTCGAGCTCGAATAGAGGGGGCAAAGTCGCACTCTCTGGCGGCAGCGGGAGGCATCGGCGCTCTCCTGAGCCCCCAAGATACATGGTGAGTTACTTCTCCCGAGCCACGTCCAAGACAGCCGAGGCCGACGCTACCGCGGTTGCTAAGCGTAAGGCACGCGGCGGGAGCGGACAGGACGAATTCTCGGTAGCCTTGTTCGGAACCGGTCTCACCCTCCAGTCTCTGGAACGGCTCCGTAGAGGCCGGTGGCTCAACCACTAGCTCCTCCTGACGCTCATCACCCTCCTGGAAAAACCGCCGTGGGTCAAGGTTGGGCGAAGCATTGAGACGAAGGCTGGTGGCAAGCTTGCCACCAAGCCTTTCGCCGAATGGAGGAAGGAAGTTGACGAGTTTCGGAAAGCCAAACGTTCTGTCGTGTATTTCTGCATCGTCAACCACGACAGCAAGACAGCAAGCACTTCTCGCTACTGGAAATCGACGAGAGAGTTGGAGAAACCACTAGCTAGCAGCGAGGAGCTGGAGGCAAGTTGGGGACTGTGCATGGTAATTTCCGGACGGGAAAGTAAGTCCTGCCGCACGACCTTTGGTGCTCTGCTTGTTGATACCAGCCTGGAGGGCAACCTAGGAGCACCTACACCGGGGAACAGACTCACGCCCCCATGGCAGCCGACCAGTTGCCATCCGCCGTCACGTGCATTGACTTAGTACGGAGCCTGTCATCCTTCTCGAGCTGCTAGCGGACCTTGAGCAAGAAGCTATCAATGCGCAAGCTGTAGGGTCTTGCGTCCTTGAAGCATATCGGGCATCGCCACTTGTCGGGATGCGACGGCTCGAGGGCCGGTGGACAATCGCACCCTACCTGAGAGTGCGGGCACTTGGTCGGCGGTTCAGACGGCCTCGTGTTCAACCGAGTTTCCAAGTCAAAGCACTCCATATAGGTGCATGTAACACCTCTTGCCGGTGTCTTGAAGACGACGGCGCCGAAGGGGTCCGCAAGATGGATTGACAAATCCGGCAGCAGCTTCGATGGGAGAGGATTATCCTGATGAACATATCTTGTGTCGCCTCGTACCAGAAGCAGCCGGATTTGACGGCAAGAATGGCTAGTTCGTGGTCGAGGTCGAGGGCACAGAGTTGGTGTCCCTTAACCAAGACGAGGTGGCAAAGAAGAAGCAAAGACGGTTGGCGGCGGCACTCGAGGGAGCAAGGCTGGTGTACCATGACGAATACAAGACAGCAGAAGAGGAGAAACGTCTGTTGGAATCGAGGCTCGAGGCAGGAGAGTGCGCGTTCCTGGGCGAAGACGAGACAGCAGAGGAGACCAGTCAGCTGGAGGCGACGGCCAGAGAACTAAAGCGGGTATGCATTGGCATGGACGATGTACCGAGGGAGAATGCGGGAGTGTCGCTGAGCACGTTGTGGAAATTACTTCAAGCGTCTAAGTTGGTTGTGTGACTTTGCGCAACTTGAAGCTAACTCGTCGCGCATTCAAAAGTGCGAAACGTTTTTAGATATACCGCCATCCGCGTGCAATCGTGATGATGCTTGACTTTGCTGGTTTGGCTCCTGCTAACTCGTCGCCAAAGAAGCGCACGAGAAAGTCCTCTTCGATGCGGATCAGATGGCATCGCCAACCCTCGTGATCGAAGAGTCAGTGCCCGAGCCACGGCCCAACCAATCGGTCAGCGTATGTTCCTAGCACAAGTTCACGCAACAAATCCCCCTCACCCGTGCCGTGTATGCCGCGTAGTACTGACTGGCTAGTGACGATGGAGTAGCTACTCATAACTCCACGAGGCTGTCGCCGGTGTTACACCGGCCTTACCATGGCCAAGTATCAGGCATGCTGCCGTCAAGCCACGGAGTGCATCACATTACCCAGAAATCACATTGCCCAGACTGCGTTGCAGCCGTGGCTGCTTGGTGAGGTTCCATCCGACGACTTCACACGCGTGTCATCTCTCCAAGAGAGCGTCGCAAGTAAATTGCACACTGCAAGCCAGTGCCCAGCTCCGATTACAATCTTGCACCACTGGCAGGCGACGACATCACCACCGTGCATTGTCAGAAACGACTGAACAGAGTTACAACTTGAAACTGGAAGAGGAAAAGCAAAAAAGGAAAAACACAAGGAAAAACAAGAGGAGAAACAAGAGGCAGTCTATTGGGACAGTAACAACGGTCTTTCCGGACACGCGCGCTGAGTTTCGAAGCGATAGCCAAAGCCATGGCAGGGCGACGGGTTCCCGTACCGCGTGTAGAAGCCTTTGCAATGCCTCCTCGTGCCCTGCGCGCCGTAGGCGTTGAAGACCGCGCCCAGGACGAAGCCCTAGAAGTAGGGATATAGACGGTAATATAGTTGAAGTTGAGAGGTTTTGGTGGATTTGGCGATAGTATCAATTACGGACTCAGTGCAGGGCAGACCGTCTGAAGAAGCGTGCCATGTATTAGAATTGGACTTTTTGGGGGTAAAAATCCGATTTTGGCTGGGCTTTGTGGCTTGGCGCTTTGGCTGCAAAGTCACTCTTCGTCCGAAAAGACGGTTGCCAGTAGGGGGTTCCCAGCCCAGGAAAAAAAATGGATTTTCTGGGCGAAAACCCTGCATTTGCCTGGCAGCCTTTGAACAACTTTCTGAACACTACCATACTTGCGAAAACCCGCATTTCTACGCTACCGCAGCTGAAGCCATTCCGACCTGTCGACACGATGACGAGCCCTCCCGGAAGTCCCTTTTCCATTTCCGACAGTCCTCCCGACTCCCCCGGCTCGAATTCGGCCCAAGGCTCCTTTCTGACCCAATCCGTCGAAAGCTTCCCCCCTAGCACTACCTCCATCGCGAGCCGCATCGAAGCCCTGCGCGCGGTAGAGAGGTGCATGTGTGTTGTGTGTGCGTGTGGGTGTGCATGTGTGTTGTGTGCGTGTGCGTGTGGGTGTGCATGTGTGTTGTGTGTGCGTGTGGGTGTGCATGTGTGCAACAAGGCATAATTCCACTTTCCCGTCGTGGCCTCCCGCGAAGCCATGGTTCGCCGCTCACAACAATGAGTTCGAGGCGTCCAAAAGAAGGCAACCAGATGGCACCGGCTGACCAAGAGGCGGCGGCGAATGGAACACCAGGCCCGTTCCGATAGCCAATTAGAGCTGCATTGCTTCTCCTCCATCAAAAAGTGCATGGCTGATACTCTTAGACTATCGAGAACGCCCAAGCGAGAGCGAGCAATGCGTGGCTTCACTATTGTAAGTGCGTTGGTCCTTGGGCCAATCCCTGCGGCTAGTTGATCATCAGTTTGGATCCGGAACTAATCACTCTCGAGGAAATATTGACGGGCGGCTTTGTGTTTCTTTTTCAAGCTGCCAAGAGATCAATGAGGCCGGCCGACCCTGGGACGGCCCCGGCAGTGGCCGTCCGTCCGTCTCCATCCTGAGGCAGAGGCCCCCCCTGTGCCCCAAACTGCGACTGCAATAATTACCGGATTGGGAAATCAAAACGCGTGTTATAAGCGCACTCTGACCACAGTCAGGCCAACCCAGTGCTCACCTCCTGAGGCCGACTGCTCATCTTCCATTCCAGAATGCTGCCATTGAAATTCACAGCTCCAACTTGTACTGTTCGCTAGACACCTGCAAAATCATCGGCTTCCTCCATGACACGGCGCTGTGCAGTTTTGTCTGCGGCACGCCGCCTCCCTGCATGCACAGCTCTGAAGCTTCTCGCCTCGTCACACAGAGCCAAGTGAAACCCAAGGTTGCTTAGCTTCGGTAACGATGCCGAGGAGAATCCCTCACGGACTCGGACTTGAACTCCCTCGGGTACATAGGTGTGCTTTCGGGGCCCAAATTGCCATGTGCGCATTCACAAGTGTTTGTGCCATCTTTGGATGAACTACTGGAGCCGTTCTGAAATTCGAAGCGGGATTCGGAATAAATTGTGTCAAGACCCCATACTATGTGCCCCGTGGACGTAAGAAAACTCAGACGCAGGGTGCTGAGATGAACAAGCACCCGAAAGGATGTGCATTTGGCCTTCCAGAGACCCCCCCAAGGCTGTGATTGTGCTCTACAGTTCGTCGCCTGAACCTCGAGGTGTGGTTTGCCCCAGTCTCGTTTCGCCTCACCTTGAGTCCGTGTGGGTTTCTGGCCCAACTCTGGTCACTCGTCGCCCAAACACGACCTCCTTCACAACCACCGCCCCTTACCCCATCTACCACACCGCCTCGATGATGGCTGGCTATATTAGAGAGGGTATCGGTCAACTTGATCTCGCCTCTTGTTCCAGTCGTCAAGTAACAACTTCAGCTATCACTACCCGCAAATCAACATTACAAGCCCAGTCATCCTTCTTCAGCAGCTCAACTTGCTCCTCTACCAACAACATCCTCACACAGCCACCATGTTCTCCTCCAAGACTACCCTCATCACCGCCCTCCTCTCGGTCCTGCAACTCGCGGCCGCAGCCCCCGCGTCGAGTGAGGGCGCCTCGTCTCTCACGGCGCGCTCCAACTCGGGTGAATTCACCTTCTACAGCCCGGGCCTGGGGGCGTGCGGCATCACCAGCTCCGACTCGGACCTCGTCGTGGCTCTCGCCAAGGGCATGTTCGATGCACAGACTCCCAACGGCAACCCCAACAACAACCCGCTGTGCGGCAAGAAGATCAATGCCAGCTTCCAGGGCAAGTCGGTCACCGTCACCATCGTTGACAGTTGCCCCGGGTGCGCCGGCGCCGGCCTCGACCTCAGCCCCACGGCATTCAGCCAGCTCGCTGACCAGGCGCTGGGTCACGTCTCGGGCACCTGGGACTTTGCCTGAGCGCTCTACCAAAGGGCTGTCACGTGGGACGCGTCACCGGGGACGGGCAATGGCATGATTTGGGCCACGCTTTTGGCATAACCCCGGTATTTCTGCTGCTGGTGGTGAAGTGATGGAGGTCGGACGACCACGGGGGCGCGCAAGGTGGGACCGAGGACATTAGACGACGAAGGTCACAGGATCATGGCCATGGCCCCACGACAAAACAGGTCAGCGGAGGAAGGGACACACGCTCGTTTCTTTCTGGGAATCTCTTCTTCCTGTATGTAGCGTCACCATCACACTGGCACACGCCACCACCCAAAGCGCGCTCGCTTTTGACGTAGAAATACCACGGCATTTCACACAGCTGCAACTGGAACTTTAACTTGAATATGTGCCAGGTATCACGTCCAGGTGGCCATGAATGTCAGCCGCCTACACCAAGTGTTAGTTCATTGGTAAGCTCGCAATCATCAAGCTCGCAGTCATCAAGCTCGCGTACATCTTTTTGGCCTCGCTCCAAGGCAAGTCCCACCCTTGGATCCATAAACGCGCACGGCAAAAACGGCACCGCAAGGGCCGCTCCACGGGACCGACGTGGAGGATGCTCCATACGGCCGTCTGCGAGGCGGCCGCTTGTTTCTTCTGCCTTTTTGATGCTTATCAGCAGCGGCGTCAGCACACGTCAGGGGCCGGGAATAATAAATTTAATTCTTGCCATGTCGATTGCCGCGGCGAGACCCGGATTTGTAGCATTGCAAAATGCAAAAGGAGAATCAAACCGAAGTCGATGGCTGCGGAAGACGTATGTGGTCGGGTTCTCGGTCAGTGCGCTGAATCGTCGCCCATCTCACACGGCGATCGTGAGACCTCGGACACCTCCAAGGCGGGTGTCTTTGTCGATATCCAGGGGCTGGCGTTGCTCCAGGGAATATTATGTGTGTTTCCAGGTCGTCTCGCTTGACGAATGGGAGAATCAAACTTCCGTTTTGGCCGCGCTTTGGCCCGGGTCTCCGACCACACACGGGCCGGGCCAGCCAGCCGGCTAGCCGGATCTCGGTGTGTGGGCCGCCCCCCTGAATGTTTCCTTTGTCCCGTTTTAGCTCGATTGCCGAGGCCCACTGCGGAGGGCTGCCGGCGCATAGATGGTTTGGTCGCCTCACTGACGTACGTCCGTTTTGCATTCGTCCGAGGCTGCCAAGCTGGTCGGGTCCCCGCTGTCATGGCCCGGAGCCAGGCACACTGATTGAAGTGGCCGTTTCCGGGCCCGTATCCCGGCATGATGATCTGGAGGAGAATCTCGACTGCTGGAGTTGCTCATCCATCGTGTTCTCATCGTGTTATCCCCCTGTGCTCGGTATTGTGGCGGATGAAACGCTGCATTGATCTCACACGATCAGCCTGCTTGGGTAGTTAATAGTCAACATCGCGACAGCCCCCACAGAAAATCAAAAAGCACTGGATAATAATACATCCAAATTTGTCGCCAGTGACATCTTTGACAGGGTTGCGAGTCAGTTTCGATCATTCACGCGCGTCACGGATAGGATTCAAGCCACATCGTTCAATTTCACGGCCTTTCTTCTGCACAAATAAAGGGCACTAGGTGGCTTCCACGCAAGCCTCAGCTAATTAGACAAAAAGCAATCTTGTTTATTCTGTCTATATTCTAACAATAATAGTAATGCCGGACTTACTTACTTGTGTAATTTCTGTGGTGGAAGTCACCACAGTAATTATCTGGCCTACCTATCGAGACATCCCGTGTCAAATAGAGACCTACCTTTTTTTTTTTTTTTTTTTTTTTTTTTTTAATCAGGGAGTAGGGGTTTGATCATCATCTAAAAAGAAGGAGAACGAGAAGAAGCACAACACACGTACTGTATGGGGGGAAGGACACTTACGAGTGCGACATGCACGCAAACATATGGTCCTTGGACGCGCCGGCGTCGGCCACGAGCTGGAAGTCGGGGCAGTCCATGCCCTTGATCGAGGCGTAGGCGCACCGCGTCAGCGTCCCGTCAATCACCTTCTTGCAGCCGCAAGAGAAGTAGTTGTAGCCGAGGGTGCACATGGTGGCGGTGGGGTTGGGCGAGGGTGGTGTGTGGTTTTTGGAGACGAGAAGAGAAAGAATATCCGTTCTAGCGCGGCCGGGGCTTTATCCACACCAGTGATTGGTTGCTGCCTTTTGTCTCGGGTACCGATATATATCTATATCTAGGTGGGTAGGAGACAGAGGAGGCAGCGGGTGTGAAGGAGCTGGGCTGTGCTAGATTGGAGAGGGGAGTGGATGGTGATGGTGATGATGATGGTGAGAAGAGAAGGTCCTGAAAACAGCGAGGGATGGGCTGTTATATACACAGGCTTGCTCTTGTGGGAACAATAAATTCAGGCGGGAGATGAATGCCATTGTTTCTTCTTTGGACGGATCTAGCCCGTCAATGGGCCTTGTGATGGACAAAGGGCAAATGGTGGAGCCTGGCGTGAGATAAAGAAATCATCGCCAGCGAGTGGAGCTTGCTGGCCAAACCAAGGTGGCTTGTCATTTGTCAGTGAACTGGAGAAGTTAAAACGAGAGCAAAGTCTCGCCTTTTTAATTCAAGCTATCGAAACTAGAAAAACATGTCTTGAAGGAAAGAAAGCAAAAGAAAGGAACACTGAATACATCGACCTACTCAACTCTGGAACTGTAATCCAGATGTAATAACATTTACTTAAGTATAATTCAGCCCTATAATCTTACACATACCGAAGCAAACCAGGTTACATGACCCTGACAGCCAAAGTTATTCTCCAATTCCTTTTACCTACCTCGTGCGGGGAGCGCATTGGAAAAGTAAAATCCCAACTTTATTCCTGCCGAGTGGGTCATCGTGTTATGTGAGTGGCGTTTTCAGCAGGAGTCATGCTAATGTTTAGAGTAAATGAGTATTGATATCAAAAGTGTCTATTGAAGGATAAGCAAATCATGTCAATATGATAAGCAAATCATGTCAATGGCTAGCTATCGTTATAATTCATCAACAAGGGTATGCTACTAGAGTCCAGACCTATGGACATCCGTCCCTGCCCCCCAGCTCTTCCAATGCTCATCCCACCACTTCAAACGCAACCCTCACACATCAACCACTCAACATGTCTCGGCCGCGGGGCCGGGCGGGGTGTACGACTTGGGCACGGGGTAATAAATGTTAATAAGAATGCCGGGGTCTGACGCGGCATAGGCGCCGGGGAACGAGACGAGGCTCTTGGGGCTGTAGGTGCCGGAGCCGCCGGTGACGCTGAGCTGGGCGCACGAGATGTAGAACTGGGCCCCACCGGAGCTGCCGGCGCTGTGCAGACCGATGTGCTCTGCGCGCAGCAGGTACTCGCCGTTGGCGAGGCACTTGGGGATGGTGACGGAGACGGATTTGGCGCCTGAAGAGCACACAACTGTCAGTTTTGAAAAGAAAACAACGCCAAATCAAGAACGGTGGGTACTACGAACCCTGAGACGGCCAGCTCATGCCGGCGGCGATGCTGGGGTGGTCCTGGTAGATCTTGGACCAGACCTTGCCCTTGCCGTCCCACGTGGCGGCCGTCTGGCCCTCGGGCACCTTGGCGATGTAGAAGCTCATGGGCCCGGGGTGCGAGATGGACGCCTTGGCGTTGTACGCGATGGTCTGTCCGGCCGTGACGGTCAGGATGTTGGGCGCGCCCGTCCCCGGGTTGCGCTCGTAGCACCGTATGTCCTCCGACTGCACGTTGGTCACGGGCCCGTTGCTCTGGAAGTTGGCCGTCGTCCGCACATACTGCCAGTCGCCCGTCGTGGCAACGCTGGGGAATGTGTCTAGACAGGTGAAGCCTGATTAGCTGCTGCACGTGATGCCAGGAAAACGATTCACTGACAGTGCGCCTCGGCAACCGCCGTTGCGAGTACTGCGAGAGCTATGCTGAGCTTCATGTTGATGCTGTGGAAGATGACACTTGAAGATGTCTTTCTGTGTACTGACGGCAAATATCTCGAGGTCTGGGTGCGGAGAAAGTGGCCCAGAGGCTCGCTACTTTAAAGAGAGAGCCAAGACTTTTGACCAGAGGCAGACCCTGGTTATCTCGCACGACCTCCACTATCCTTTATACCATGTCCAAAGCATCTTGGTCGGCGTGTGCGGCAACTCGGATTGAGCGCCGTCCGCTGCAAGCTAGAACTAGATAAAAATCAACGCTCACGTCCCGTGTTTTCGGAATGGCGTTGGACGTCTTCGTCATTGCCAAGGAGGCACTGCTGCCGAGGACGGGTAAAGGGGGCGGCGGATAAAGACGGCGCTGGACAAAGCAGCCACTTGGGTTTGTTCCCATATATTGGGAATGGATCCCCAGCAAATAAACGCCCGCCACCATTTGCGTACATTGTTCTCCCGCACCTGATCTGGGGTAGCATACGGGGCCGCAGTCCCATTTCTGGCTCGGAAAACCTGGGGTGCATCCCCCTTTGGACGGCTTCTTCGGCAGCGGCGAGCATATTGCATGATGGCTGTCTTTCTGAGGAAATGCGACTTCAAGGAAACAGTTGGCGGCCGCGTCGTGGGCAGGATGCGAGGAGCGTTTGCTCAACAAACCGGGTCATGATCCACGCAAACACCTTGTGTGCTACGCGGCCGTCATATTGTGGGTGGGCACGATCAAGGCATTCTGACTACTATGTGGAGACCGCTCCTGCGAGCAGGGGGGAGGAGCTAGTGAAATTAATATGCCCTCGGGTCGTGACCATGTGTTGGAAACCTACATACAAGATGGGTGAACGGGTCGGCATTTGAAGCACCCGTCGTTCCCGAGCCTCGCATGCTGGGAGCGTGCCGAGATGAAGGAGAGAAAGAAGAAAAGAAAACCGGGGATGCTGCTCGTCCCCAACACTTGGCAGGGGTGGTCTCTGTTCCCCGTGCCCTGTAAATCGAGGTACGTATGCGACAAAAAAAGAGTAGGAGCTCAAAGAAACGTAGAATAAAGCCGCAGGCCCATATACGCTAGACAACAGTCGGCGAACAATGCCTATGTGGGCGAGACCCCCCTTACGTAGGTATAAGAAGCACAGGTTTACCCCGACCTGCCCGCCAGCGACAAAAGCCACCAAGGTAAAGACTAAAGAGTCTCCCTCCCACAAGACTATGTGCCGAACACGAGAGATCCACTTCTCAGTCCACGACGTGTGCGGCCGGATGGCGACGGAACTGTTCTCGGCTGACGGGGTGGGCGACTTCACGGACCCGACGCGGCCTCTCTCGTGCCGGTGCGACATATTCGCCGTGTTTCTAATCTGGCAGACGCGCCGATCTCTGGCGGAAATAACGGGGTGCGACGATGGGATCAGCTGGTGCGCGAGGCACACGTGCTGCGTGCGGTTCCTGTGCGTGACGCACTGTTTCGACGTGCTGGCCCAGATTACCAGCAGCGGCCTCGAAATGTGGGAACAGGCCGCCGAGGAACTGGTTTGGGACTGCCCCATCGGCCTAACAACACATGCGTACCAGCCGCTATCGATGGTGACCGACACGATCGACCTAGACCTTCCCGGGGTCGACGACTAGGATATAGCAGAGCCCACGTTCCCCGCCGACATCTTCTACGCGCGCAAACTGCCCGCTGGCGACGGCGCAGATGATGCAGACTCGAATCTCAGAGGTGACTGGGGAGACTTCTTCACGTTCAGCTACTATTTGGCGGAAGCCAAGTCTAAACTCGAGTACACGATCGAGCTCGCTGATGATACTATAAGCAGGCTGGAGTCTGATGTCTCAGAAGGTACGTTGGGCGGCATCAACGCAGTCGAGGGTCTCGGGTAGTTGGATGATGCTGCGGCTCAGTTGAGCGTGGTCGAGTTCCATGAACGAGACGCGGCTACCATGTTCAGGCATCTAGTAGAGTGCGAGCGTGTTATTCTCCGCCGCTTGGGCAGACTTCCGGTAGCCGGTAGACCCACGACGGCTTCAGAAGACACAGACGGCTCCTTTTACTCTATCTCCAAGGAGCGACTCGACTTGGCAGATCTTGACAGCAACGACATTATTGCCAAGTGTGAGGGGCCACTGAAGCAGTCGGACAACTTGAGGCAGCGTATCGACCGGCTGAGAGAATTCATGAAGGGAGCTGAGCCCGTCCCCAGAGTCTCCCTAAAGCGTCCATTGAACTCTACCGAAGACGGCGACTCTCGAAAGAAGCGGGCTAAACTCGAGACTTGAAGCCAGTCAATTTGGAATTGTTACTTACACAGCTTAGACTAAGGTGATTGTTCTCATGTACTGCAATTGCAGCATCTCAATCCGGATTTGATTACAAACTTTTGAAATGTTTTGTCCTTTTTGAATGCTTTGAATTCTTCGTAGTGACTGGCTGGTGTAGATCTGAATAGTATGCACCCACGTTCTAAGTGAATAGATGTTGCTCGTATCGTAAAGACGCAAACTAGGCTCAACTTTCAAGATGGGCGAGTCTGTTCTCTTGGTAATCATTGAAAGGATTAGCACAGAGCAGGTGGATTGCCTACGGTTCAATGCAACCCGCCCCTGCATGACTCCGGGTTGGCCCTGCAAATTAGGCCAAGCTGGGCGATATCCCGCTCCGTAGATGACGGAACCAAGCTGAGCTCGCCGTCCGCTCGGGAAGAGAGACGGAAGAATTACAGCCAAAAGTAACGCCGTCTTGGTATCCCATCGGGTGGATAAAACACCGAGAAGCTCAACCGCGAATTGGGGCAGAGAGACAAACTGGGCCCCCTTCAAAGTAAATGGCTTCAGCAAACCACTCGGTGCCCTGTGACAGCTTGCGTATTTGCCACTTGAACACAGGCAGGTTCGCGACATGGCTAGAGCAACAGTATTTCTGGCCCTGTGCTTCGCAGCAGCGCAGTCTGCCGGAGCAGTGACGTTTGCTGTCCCGAGTAAGGCGGGTACTGGCGGCTACGCGTACGCGCCCCTCGACCCAGCCCCAATTGGCATCTCGTTCGAGTTTTTCGCCTTTCCGTCCTACGTGGCCAACGTGACAGGGACAAACCAATGCCTCGCAAACTGGAAAGACCTGACAGGGGTATGGCCACCAATCCGTATCGGCGGGACGACGCAGGACCGGGCCGCCTATGATGCGACGACTCCGGCTTACGTCGTATACTCGGTTGCAAAAGCGGCGGATGCGCCCGCGACATTGACCTTTGGGCCAAAGTTCATGACGCTGGCAGGAACATATGCCGGAACCGTTGTGGTTGGACTCAACCGGGGCAAGAACAACATCGAAAACACGATCGCCGCAGCTAAGGTGGCTGTGGCAGAGATTCCCAATCTGTTGGCAATCGAACTGGGGAACGAGCCTGAATGTAAGACACTGGAAAGCAGCCAGAATAGACGGCATGTACCGGTGCTAACACGGCGCTCAGACTGGGTCAAAGACAAGCAGCCCATCGCGTCGGGGACGTGGAATCCAGCGACAGACGCGGCCTCGCAGAACGACTGGAATATCCGAGTTGGCAACGCCGTGGGCAAAATGAACATCATCCAGGCTGGGAACTGGAACGATGCTCCTCCGGCTTGGGGGGCCGCACAGCTGATTGCGACAGAGAACACGACTGTGAAGCAATATGTCCGCCACTTTGCCCATCACAACTACCCGGGCGGCAGTGTACAGAAGCTCATGACGCATCCGACGACGGTGAAGAGCATCCAGGTGTTTGACGCAGACATCGCGGCAGTAAGGAGGACGGGGAGAGAATACGTCTTTGGCGAGACGAACTCGGGTGAGTGTGCATGTCTAGGGACGTATGACAACCCCCGGCCAAGACTTGCTAACGCCGAGATGTAAGTGTCGGGCGGAGGAGCAGCTGGAGTGTCGCCAACGTTTGGGGCCGCGCTTTGGACCATGGACTACTCGCTACGAGCGGCGTTCAACAACATGTCGCGCACATATTTCCACCACGGCACTGTGGGCAACTGTCAGTACTGCTTCTGGGGGCGTCGCACCATGGGGGCGCCCTACTATGGAGCACATGCCGCCGTGGCCCTGATGGCTGGGGCGAGCTACCTCACGGCGCTAGACACGGGCAAGACCAACTATGCCGGGTATGCCAGCTTTGATGCGAGTGGCACACCACTGCGCGTGCTGCTGTACAACTCGGACTACTTCAGCGGCAGCGGGAGCCGGACGAGCCAGTCCTTCACTTTGACGGGCCTGACGCCGACGGCGACGGCGCTGAGGGCCAAGCGGTTGACAGCAGCGAGCGCATCGTCGAGGGCGGATCAGGGTAACGACATCTCGTTTGGCGGCCAGTACTTCCGCAACGTGACGTGCGCTGCTGGCGGAACCGAGACTTACGAAACGGCGGCCGTCGCAGGTGGACAGGCGACATTTTCGCTGCAGGCGACCGAGGCGCTGTTAGTATATCTGCAATAACGGCTGGGAAAGGGACAAAAGGGGGATAAAGGGTAAAGCAGTAGCAAAAAAAGGCAATTGCGAAGCACCAAAATCCAAAACTTGTCGAGTCGACAATTGACGGCTTCACTTAAGCGCCGTTTCTTGCAAGTGGTGGGCACTCAGTCACGGTTGCTTGAAGCACCCAAGATCAAAGAGTTGTGGGTGGGTGACGAGGGATCGTCAGTGGGGCTACAGTTCATTTGGCAACAGCTAGCGAGGCGGGAGCAACCGAGCGAGCAGCCAAGGCTCCCAACAACAGCCCCTGCGCTGATCCTAGGATGGCAAGCACGGCCGGGTGGGCATTCCCACTTGGGGAAGAGCTTCGAAAGTTCTACGTGTAATGGTTCGATCATTTGCGATGGGCTCACTTAGCGGCGCACGCTTGTATACCTAGTTAATACAGTAACATACGGAATGCAATACAGATGGCAAGTAAGTTCAAAAATTAAACGTTAAAAATGTCTTGCCGTCTTTTTTCTAGCGATTTAACCTCAGTAATCATTCACCGGATCGGCCTTTATTCCCTCTGTTTAGACGGCAGCCTGCTGCCAGATGAGAGCCTGTTGCCAGATGAGAGCCCAAGCAGGATACCGCCGCCTCGCGGAGGTGGCCATCCAAGGGTGCTGACTTGAGGATGGGGAGCGATTCGCTGGCGACGTTTCCTGTCACGACAAGCGGGTCAGCCGGACAGCCACGGCCCCAGGTGATTTGCCATCAACCGCATGCCAAGAGCATCTCGCCAAGGTCCAAGTCCTGGTCGCCCTGCAGCTGCAGCTCAAGCCCTGTTCCCCAGAGATAAGCAACAGCAGACGCAAATGGCTGGGCTGGGGTCAAGCTGGGCCGGACCCGGGCTGGCTGGCTTGCCTCAGTTATCTCGTCGCACGCTGCACCCGCTGCTAGCCTTCAACTTTCAGCAAAACACGCAACGCCAAAACTAGCCACCGAGCTCAGTTACAACTCTTGTTCACGCCGCTATCCCGTGTCCCCCCGATTGCTGCCCAACGACAGAAGATGGAGCTGGCCAGAGTGGACGCCTTGGTCGACGGCTTAGCCGAGGCCTTTGAGGCGGGGCTCGACTTTTACATGAGGTGGAAGAAGAGGGTCGACAGCCAGAACCACTACCGCCGTCCCGAGAAGGCCTCGCCGGCCGCTACCAGCAAGTGCGCCGTCAGCACCTCGCTGGACATGTCCAGCCACCGTATCAGAGCCACGTATCAGGTCGGCTTCGCCCTTATCGGCCCCGAATTCTCGGCCGGAGATGGTTCGTCGTCGTCGTCCTCGCGCTGCCTCTCGACGCTCGTTCCAGCCTACTAACCGTGTCTTTGCTGCAGACGAGTGTCGCCAGTGCCTGTCGGCCTATCTTGCCCAGCTCAGGGAGCGTGTCGAGGGTCTCCGCAGGGCTCTCGAGTCCAAGCAGAGACAGTTCATCAACTTGAACGACATGTTTCTGGTGTCCGAGGCCATCCGAATAAAAGGCGTCGCGGCTCTTGCCGACCAATACCGGCGCTTGGCAGTCGGCCGTGCCGTACCCAAAGAGCTGCCGATCCCCAGGGCGAGGCCCAGATCCCTGCTCCAGCCAGAACAACAGTCCCCGGCCCCGGCCCCAGCCCCGGCCCCGGCCCCTGCCCCGGCCCCGGTCAGGGTGTTCCCAGCCCGTGACGAGTTTGATCGGCAAACCGCCGTCTGGTCCACCACCTCGGATATGCCCGTCTTCCAGTCAGAGCCTCCCTCGCCTCCGCTCACTCCCAAGGTGCCTACCGACGACACAGAAAGCTGCTTCGGCCTGCCGTCAGAAGTGGGCCACGCGACAGGGCGACAAGCGCTGCGCCCAAAGAATAGCGTCTTCAGCATCTTCTGCCCCGAGGCCATGGCGCTGCAGGTGGACCCGAATCGGCCCATCCCCGCCTCGTCCAAGGGCAAGTGCAGCTGCGGATACAGATGGAAGGTCCCCGAACTGTCCGAGGCCACCAACTACATGCCTCTCAAGGACGGCTTCCGCGTGACACGCCGCTTTCTCGCCAAGTCGCACTGCGACCAGAGCCCCGACGAAGGCGTGGCCATCGGCAGCTCGACCGAGCAGCCCAGCCCCGGCTATGGATGTGTGCTGTGCACCTCGACCGGGCGCACCGAGACCTTTGAGACGGCCGAGAACCTCCAAACCCACATCAACGCGACGCACGATAAGTGGCAGATGCTACACGACAAGGACATGATATCGCCCGCCGTTAACGGCCTCGCTCGCTGATCTGATTGACTTGGTGCCGTTTGCTGGAGGAAGCGGGCAACAACACGTACGGCTCACGAGCGCGGCAGGAGGATTCCGAGATTGGACTATGGCCTCGCGGCTGGCTGTCTTTTTGGGAATATGCCTTGGATATCTGCCCCATATCTGTGCACTACTTTTGTTTGGGAGTTAGCCTTGCTCGCCGACAGTCATTTCACACCAGCCCAGGCAAGGGCAGGCTGATACACTGACATGTGACCCGGGTTCTACATAGTTGCCTGATTTCTCTACTATCATTCCCCCTTTCCTTGTGTAATCCCCTCACGATACCCCTCACGGCATGGCATAGCGATCAAGTTAATATAAGTACCTACCCTACCTGAGCGACCAATATATCACGCCACGACCAGTCTGTGCCAGCCACGGTACTGCGTCTGGGCGTTCATCCGTCGGGTCCCGTGTTCGCCTGTCTATGGAAAACAGGAAACATGTTTCATGCGACCAGACATTCGGCGCTTTATGCAGTATATTGTGCGAGGGTGAACCCCAGATACCACTACCAGCCTCGCTCCTGCCCACGCTTGGCATTATCAGGGTGGCCACAGAGAGCTTGCGCTTTGACCCTATCTGTGCACTCCATACGTCGACGGAGTATATCCGAAGGCACTGACTGCTGTTATAGAGTGAAATCCCAAACGCCCTCGCTTGCCGCCGTGGACGCCACCCCCGTGACTCACCAACTCAATATCCCGAGCGAGTTACCACCTTGAGGCACCCGGCACCCGCTGGCCACCCGGGGCCTCACGCAGCGCTCTTGCTTAGAGCTCATCGGTTATGCCTCCAGTTGAAGATGATTCCTCGCGAACGCGGAGAAGCGCATACCCATATTGCACCTGCATCGGTGTGGAAAGCACATGACGCCTCGGTGTCTCTAGGGGTATACATGATTGAGCAGACACGTATCTAATCCGATGAGGTATTACCTTGTGAGGCATGGCATGGCAAGCGGAAGAGTCGCGATATGGTCATGTTATGTGATGTTTCCCCGCATAACAGCTCGGGATAACAGAGGTGTGGCGGAGGCAATCATATGCCAGCCGTTCCCCAGCCCCAGCAGTACGGGGTGCATCTTTCTGCTTGTTTATCTATCTATGTAGGTAGTATATAAGACCCCGGTAAATAAATAGTTCGCGTCTGCTATTGCGCCCCTCCCTCCTGGCTCTGGTGTCACTGTCTGGATGCTCGGCCGAGGTCAGAGAAGTTACAGTGGGCTTCGGAAGGGCTTGTTTGGAGTTCTGGCTTGTTGTGGGATGCTCAGATGATGCATTCCAAAGTGCCTTGGGGTTATCCTCATGGGCGCCTGCTTTTACTTTGTAAAGTTCTTCTAAGCCTCGTGGGCAGTTTCCCGTAGGGTTGTTAAACTCTCTCGTAATTAAACACATACTCTGTAGGGCTTTAGTGGTGACGTCCTTCGCGATGCTTGAGGCCTAATTACCAGGCGTTCTTTATATCACTGGTGACGAGTTAAATCAGAGCTGTGATTTCTAGGCTTAGCGAGCCAGCACGAAGAACCTACAGGTAGTCAGAACGGCCGAGCGTCCGACCGGCCGAGCGGCCAAATATGTGGCGAACTCAAAGTCCTCTCTGTCAATTTCCTGATAATCTCAAGTCGATATTCCTGTGGTCGCCTCTCGTTCGCCAGATCAGGCGCCTGAACGGCAGCAGCAGAATCAACAACAACAACATCACTACCAGCAACCTAGCAGCAATCAGACAAGAAGACAAGATGGCTTTCGATGGTCCCGACATACGGCCCTTGTGGTCTGGCTTCCCTTTCACCCCCTCGCGCCCAATTTGGGTGAACCAGAGATTACGGCCCCGCGCTGTCCCCCGAGCCGAAGGCAAACAGATTTTTCTTCCCCGCCATAACGCGGCGCACAACACACCCTGCCGTCTTTCCGGAACCCCCGAACGGTCACTGGCCAGGGTCTCAACAATTCACACGCAGATAGCCGCAACCTCACCCGCGCAAACACTGTCCTGCTCCCCTATTCCCATGTCGTCGTTCCGGGACGGAGCAGTGATGGCGCGTTGATAGCGTGCGCATATTTCACGACGTCATAGTGCATTCGTGAACCTGAGCAAGAGAAAAGGAACGAAAAATCGAATTTTTCTTTTGGCCTTTACCGGCCCCTCCCAAAAAAAAAACTAAGCCAAACGGGAAAAGAGAACGCCCGCAATATGTTCTGAAGGGTTCTATCAGCATCCTATAAGTCGAGTTTGTAGTATGCGAAGTGAACTAGCCTTCCCGCACAGCTTATGGTGGTGGTGGTGGTGTGGCCACCGCCACAGAGATAGAACTAGTAGGTCTGTGAAGTTGGTTAGCTGTCTGTTTGATATATCCATTGCAATGAGAGGTTCATAAGTGAAACGGCAATGGTCCGGCAAGGGGTAGAGTGGGGTTTTTCCGCCTTGCAGGAGGAAATGATGCTGCATCTGAAGCTGCTATTGCTGATGTATTGATGTACCATGGACGCCACACTCGCAGAGCAATTACGCAGAACCATCGCGCGCCTGGAAGGCAAAGTCCGCGATGCCGACACTGCTCTCGAGGACGCTGAAGAGGAGAGACACGGGCTTCGGGAGACCATTCTACAGCTGCAGACCATGGGCTACAACAAGAACCAAGTGATTGATCAGCAGCAGCAAGATCTTGTTGCTGATGTAGCAGATGCTGCTGCTGATCTTGTTGTTGCTTCGGCTGTCTATTCTCGAATTTCCACGGCGCTATCGAGCCGAAAGACGGGTGTTGGCGGACGGCGAGGTTTTCAAGTACCCGTCCCAAGCTACTTTGAGCTGGCTCATTGCAACAGACAGACAGACGGACGGAACGAATACAGTAAAATTCTTGTCTGTCATGTCATGCCGCGGGCAAAGGGAGGCAGCGACTGCCGCACAAGCCGCAAAGCTCCCTCTGCTTCCCTTCCCGACGATACCAGCGAATGTGTAGGCGAGTGATTGACTTGAGAGAGAGCGACACAACCCCGACACAAAAAGAAGAGAGAAAAGCCAACCCCAGCCCAATACAAACCAGCAGAGAAAAAGAAAAGAAAGAAAGAAAAAGACCTACTGCAACCCCGTACTCATCCATCCATCCATCCATCTCACCATAAACACACACGCCTGACCCCCAGCCCAGCCGTATTCGAGACGCAGCCTAGAACTGCCCGTAGCACGGGCACCCGACGCACGCGCACGGGTACTTGTTCGTGATGACGCCGACGTCGGTCACGGTGCGGCACTCGACGCTGCCGCACTGCTCGACCAGCTCCGTGATCTTGTGGCTGCAGCGGTGGTGGATGAAGATCTTACGCTGGCACATCTTGGCTTCTTCAGTCTTAGCAAGTTGGTAGGTAATTAGGTAATTAGTTAGGTAGGTCGGCTGGTATGTATGTACCTAGGTAAGGTATGTAGGTCCTAGGTAAGGTATGTAGGTATGGCCGAGAGCGGCGGCGATGTACGTGTGTGTATGCGTGTATGTACGTGTTTGTGTGCCCGCCGATGCTAGATTCGTTTCTGTGGTGTGCGTGTATGCTCGCGTGAGGTATGTGTGCGAATATGTGTGCGAATATGTGTGCGAATATGTGTGCGTGTATGTGTGTGAGGTATGTGTGTCGTTCGCGGATGGCTGCAAGATTCTTTTATTCGTGCGGGAGAAAGACAGAGAGAGGTATGGAAGGGAGGGGTGACTGTGTGCAGATGACGGGATGAAATAGTCGTTGCTGTAGGAGCAGGGAGGAAGCAGGCCGAGTGCGAAGGAAGAAACTCGGTTTTTGTAGTCCTTCGTCTTCTTCTTCGCCTCGACATGAACAATAGAAGACCGGCGACTATTCTTCTTCTGCAATAGACCAGAAGTGGGTCTGCGATTCTCGTGGTTTCCGGTCTGCTCTAATAGCACTTCTCGAATAAAAGCGGCAAGGTGAGAACAATGTAAATGCACATGGCTCCCTTCTTTCTCCACTCCGAGGTTGCTGCCTCTACCTGCCCAGATACTGGGTAAGGTAGGTAGGCAGTTACTAGATAGGAAATCAGGAAGAGACCAACACTGAGTTCTCGTTTTCCTCTGCGGGGAGAGGCTCCTCCTCCATTCCTTGGCGCCTGTACCTAGGATGGGATGCGCCTGGGCGGTTGACTTGGCTGTTGTCAGGGACGGACGCGGTATCGTGTATTTGCAGTCTCTTGCTGTGCATCCTTAGTCCTTTTTCAAACAGGCAGACCGCGGCGGCTATTTCTGTTCAAGCTGTCTTTTGGCCAGGCAGGAGGGCGGCGTCCGCCAAAACAGACTCCAAGAGTAAACAAGCAGACCTAAACAGCTCTCTGGCCGTCATCGTGCGTACTCCGGGGCCCGGGGGCAATGGGAGGCAGCTCAGCACGTCACGTCCGCACGACGTCCGTCATGAACTTGTGGCGGAGAGAGGAGAGAGGGCGGGGTGCTTGACATATAGGAACAAATAATGTACCCACAGAAAAGTAAAAGAAAACGAGAGGGAGAAGGACGAGAAGATGGGAGAGATAGCCCGCGTGTGGCATCACCGGCGCGTGATATGTCGCGTGTGCGCGCGGTAGATAAACACCTCCCTAATTACCTACCTGCCTGCCTACAGGTACTGTACTGTACTAGCACTACAGGCCCAACCAACGATGCTCTATCGCAGTCGAATAGCAGCACCAGCTATGCCATGCCATGTCATGCCTCCTCCACCTCGACCCTTGGTCCCTCGGTCCCTCGGTTCGGCCCCTCTTGGCAGCAGCAGCAGAACGCAGCAGCAGCACACGCAGCTTGCGCGTCCCCGAGCTTCATCTGGCACTGGTGGCTGGCAGGAAGGGGGCGGGGCTAGCACGATAATATTTGGCTGATGTCGGGGAAGGGAGCCTGGTGTGAGTGCGAACAAGGCCGTGTGAGTGTGTGTGAGTGTGTGTGAGTGTGTGTGTGGTGGCCGGCGACGAGGTCCTTCGAGCATCCATCCATCTGCTTGCTTACTTCGCCCGCGCGCGCGCGACCCCCTCCCAGGAAAACCTGCTCGGGGGAGGGGAGGGGGGAGGAGGGCGCACTCACACACAGACGGACAGACAGACAGACGGACAGACAGACAGGCGGACAGACAGACAGGCGGACAGACAGGCGGACAGGCAGACAGACGGACAGGCAGACAGGCAGACAGACAGACAGACCACACTTGGAACTAGTGGGGTTTTCTTAACAAACCCATCGTATAACCCCATCGTGAAGAGGAGAAGAGGGGAGGGGGGCTGACCAAGCCATCAGGAAGCTCTTTCTCGTCTGGATTCCCCCGCCTCCAAGGACCAAGCTCTAGGGACACACGGCGGAGACAGGGGCGAGGTGGGAGAAGTGGAACTGAACATCCCACCAGTTCTAGACAGTCAGTCTCGGTTTGCTTAGTTGAGATCAGCCGCAGACCCGCGATCCCCCATGGCCCTTGTCGTGGGCCCATCACTTGTCCATGACGAACTTACCCCAGGCCAGCCCAGGCCATGCGCGCGCCCGCAAGAGGGCTGGGCTCGGGCGCCGGAGGCTTCCGGAGGAGGCTCGCATCTTGCGGCAATCAAGTTTAGATAAGGCGCGGATTTCCTGGGCAGAAACCCCACCTCGCGCACTCGGAAACTGGTCAACTGACTGAGTTTTGATTTCGGCGGGCCAATATCCCTTTACGGCTTTTTGATTTATCGCTGGTCCCTGATTTGCCTCTGTCTTGGGGGAGCAGCCTATACCGTTCGCACTGATATCAATGCCTGTCCCGGCCGGCTGGTGTAAATCTGATACGCCGACCTGATCCGCGAACCTCGTGCCGCTTTGGGCGATCTCATGCCATGCCCATGCCCATTCCGTGCCACGCCCTGTCCTGCCACGCCCTGCCCGCCGTACCTTCTCCGACAAGCATATCCCTGCCTCGACATAGTAAATCAAATATCCCGCCTGGCGTTCCTCCCCCACAACCAATTATCAGACGAACCCCACACCACGGATGTCCAGAGGCCGACGCCGGATGGTATAACAGCAGCCAGTCAGGCATGACGAAGCTGTCGACAGCCACGGTCAGCATGGCGTCCGCCATATTGGTGCCGTCGTGGCCCGCTGGATGGTGTCTTCTGGATAGGAGGGGGCGGTCCAGTTTCGGGGCTCTCGTAAAGGACTCCGGGAACTCCAGTCAAATCAAACGCTGCTGCGCGACACATACGAATACAACAACTCCTGGTGTGCGGGAATCAAGCCCCATTCGACACCTTTTGGGATGGCCTAAAATGGTGAGCTGATTGGATGTAGCACTGGAAATGCGTCCTGTCCAAGATGGAATGATATTGTGGTAGCGACCCCTTTCTTGCCTTTGCCGCCACCACCACACAAACACCAAACTAGGCAGGTAGCTACCCTAGGTAGCTAGCTTAGCTAGCTCGTGTGCGGGAGCGGCTGCTCGGTTCACCAGTCCGACCACCTCTCTTGGTGCCCTACGGCACACAGGACGCCAAAGCGGGATGTAACCCATAGTATGGCGACGTGCAACGCCAGCAAGGTGCAGCTTCGCCGCCAGCCCACGAGCCAGCGGCTCGCGCCGGCCGCGTCTTGGTGTCCAGCAGACCCCCCGACCCCCACATTGAGGGCATCTCTAAGCCTGTTGCCGCTGCCGCCAGAAGACCCTCGGCTCCCAGGGTTCCAGAGATCCAACACGGCAAGGGCGAGGATGGACGCCAGGACGCCAAGGTTGGAGCTGTACGGCCAGCAGAACCAGGACACGGAGAAGAGCTTGACACCTAAAAACAGCAGCTGCAAGAATGAGCCGGAGAGGGCGGCATGATACTGCAGCCAATGCGCGCATCGATACTGCCACAGGACGGCATAATGTCTAATCTGCTCGACCCGTGTAGTCGGCGGCGGCATGAGGAGCGGGGTGGTCACGGTTGCGGGGCTGGGTCCTGGACTGCTGATGGTTGTGTTCCGAGCACTGCCGCGCCTCCCTAGGCCGCGCTCCGGCGAGGTTGACCCGCCACGGGAGTAGCCGTCAAGCCCGCGTGGTGAGAGAGCCATGCTCTGTGGCTGGCTAAGCCGACGCTGCCGCGGCGCCATAGGCGGCGGGATGGGGTGTGTGTGCTTCTGCAGGATGTTCTGTGTCGTGGGCTGCGGCGAGTCGCCATGGAAGGACGGCAGGTCTTCGTCTGACACTCTGGCATGTTTTGTGGGATCTAGGCAGGGCGGTAGTGTAAGTAGTGTAAGCGAACTGCATCTGGGTAAAGCTATGGGCAGGCACCAAGAGAGATGGGGGGGGCCGCGAAGAGGTGTCAGGAACTAACCTGGGATAGGTGTGCCCGAGGGCATAGGCGAGTCCAGATTCTGGATGCGATGTCCACTCAGGCCGACGGACGGGCTAGCGCCTATAGATCCCCTCATGACTCCGTCCATGCTCGACTCGCTCTTCATGGCGAGCAGCACTTCGCTAGCGCTCGGACGCTCGCTGGGTTTGACAGATAGTAGCTTCTTGAGTAGTTGGTACAGCTTTGACGGGAGATCCGGCCGCTCTTTTCTCTCGTCTTGGAAGCCTTGCCAGTCCTTGATCTCGGCACGCAGCTTGTCGATATCTTCCAGCTCCTCGTGGATGGCATTGGCACTCCGGTAAGGCAGCCGCCCGAAGCACATGAAGTACAGTATCATCCCCAACGAGAAGACATCCGACTTCGTCGTGAAGTTGCCGAACCTGCCGCTTGCGTCCTTCTTGAGAACCTCGGGGGCGCAGTAGGAGATGGTGCCCGTGGAGCCGGTCGACTTACGAGCCACGTTCTCGGCCTGTACCTCGCCAAAGTCGCTGATGAGACAGGCCAGCTGGTTGCCCTCGCGGTGGAGGAGACAGTTGCTCGGCTTCAGGTCCCGATGGATGTAGTTGGAAGCATGCAGGTAGGCCAGGCCTGACGTGATGTCCTGGAACAGAGAGTATATCTCCCTGAAGGACAGGTGTCTCTGGTTGTTGCCGAAGAGGCCCTGGGGCGGCTCCAGCTGGCCCTTGGACCGGCGGCGCATCTGGGCCTTAAGCTCCTCCTTGGTGGTGGCCTTGGGTATGTCGCCAACGACGTAGTGCAGCAGGTCGCCTCCATTGCAGTACTGCTGGAGGATGAAGGCGCAGGCAACGCTGGGGCCGAAGCGGTTGAGCTTGACGTCCTCGAGCCAGACGTGGCGGTACGAGACGAGGTTGGGGTGCGACAGCTTGGCAAGCAGCTCGACCTCGACCAAGACCTTCTCCAGCCAAGCATGGTCGTCGCCGACGGGGACGCGCTTGCAGGCAAAGTGGCCCAGGTGGCAGCCGTCGATCTCGTGCCTGACGAGCATTACGACGCCCTTGCCTCCCCTGCCGAGCTCGCGCTCCTCGACGAAGAAGGTGTTGAAGTAGTTGGGGCTGAAAGCCTCGCGGCGGATGCGGCTGCCCTCCTGGGGAGCCGGCGAGCTGCTCACAAACTCTGCGCCCTCTGCCACGGCGTCGTCGTCCTGGGCGGCATCGGGCTGCGCGGGCTCGACCATGCGGCGGATGGGGCTCGAGGGCGGGCGTGGGGTCTCGGGGACGGCGTGGCCCTGGCGCAGCATGCGGAAGTAGCCGGGGTCGACATAGCTCTCGCGGTGGTCGGGGCCGTCGAAGTGTCTCTCGGGAGGTGACGAGGAGCGCCACGGCTGGTGGCAGGTGGGACATTCGCTGATCTGGAGGCCGCGGATCTCGAGGCGCTGTGACGCAGGATCGCGCACGACGATGGCATTGTGATGACGCCTGCAGCAAGGGCGGGCGAAGAGCAATTGTCAGCCCAGGCGCCGGGGGGGGGGTTCTTCTCTCTCGCAAAGAGTCTCCTCTCTCGCAAAGATCTTCTCTCTCCGTGTAAAGGATAACAAGAGGGGCCAAAACAATCGAGACGGCAGCGAGGGGGTGGTGCAGCAGGGGCGGGGAGGTGGAAGGGGAAACATACAAGACGATTTCGCGGCCCTCGCGCGGATGGTAGGGAATGAGCGACATGGCGGCGGGCCAGAAAGTTGAACTGCCGCCCTCAGAGTCTGCGTCGGCGTCTGCGTCGGCGTGGGCAACTGCCCATACTGGTCGGTTCCGTCTGTTCAGATAGCTGCAGCTTGCCGTACAACTGCGTGGTTATAGCGGTGGCTGTTCCTGTACAGGATCGTCTCGGTAGCTCGGGTCTGTTCTTCTTTGTTGGTTGAGTTGTTGGTGGCGGCGATGATGTCGCTGCAGTGGGTCGAGTTTAGCTCCGGGTAGCTCCCCCACCTGGGGAGCCAAGTTATGTACCTTGGCTGCTAGACCTGGTGTTCCGGTACTTGTCTCGGTAAGGTGACCAAGGGACCACAAGACCAAATTAGTCGCTGCAGGCCTACGGAATGATCAGACCACTCGCTCACGGAATGAACGTGCCAACGTTGCGCTGTTTACCTCGAGTACCCCATATCACGACTGGAAAAGCTAAACCCAATTAATCGTTTTGTTTTTGAACCGTCTTGCCGTCTACTAGTGACGTGACGGGCTCTCACAAGTCACAACAGCCCGCTCAACGGGGCAGCCCACCAACGGGGCAGCCCACCAACGGGGCAGCCCACCAACGGGGACGTTAGGCTCGACCAAGCCCCCCTGGCAACGTTGAGCTCGCTGACTGGAACAGCCGTTGTGGCGATGACGAGTGATGCGTCAGGCAGGTATCCGCATGTATGTACTCCGTCGTTTCGGGAGACATGCAAGAGCAAGCAGTTGCCAGCGAATTGACCAATCGCCGAATTACCTTCGGCTCTTTTGCATCCCCGTCCTTGATGCTATTGGGTGCCACGTCGATCCCAAGATCTCATTTTCGTACTTGTTCCGACCATTGATTGCATTTGCCTGCACCCGAGCATCACAACAGACTGTGCAAACATAGAGGCTTCCACTTTAAACCCAACCCCCGTTTTGACAGGATAACCAGGTTACAGAGAGCGAGGACGGAGGCTTCATATAGAGAGCTGAAGGCGGTTTTCATATACCTAGGTATATATACGCGTGTATTAGATGACCCAAATGGATCATGGACTTGTCTCGTAATCCCCTATGCCAAGAAAAGGATCGAGTTCTCCACCTGGTATACCAAACGTGCGAAAGACGATAAGATGATAAGATCCTCACGGTCCGCCGTCTATATATCTTCCTTATTACTTCTACTTACTATGACCGATAGTCGCTCCACCCCAAACCCATAACGGCAATAGCCTCCACCAACCAGTACAGCTCGGGATGCCACCTTACAAAACCTTGCGGAAGCGGTTGACTTTCTGCGACGCCCTTCGCGCCGACGTTGTGGTGCCCATATTATCCCCAGGACCAAAGTCGGGAGTGCCACCGAGACTGCCAAAGATGTCGCCGATATAGTTGGTTGCGTTGATGCCGAAAGCGAATGTGTCGTTCCACTGGCCAACGATCCCGTTAACGATCTCGATAACGATAGCAAAAAGGTTCCGGATTATAAGCGGGAACCCGTTCTGGTCGACGGCAAACAGGTGGTTATATGCGGTAATACCCGGAGGAGGCCGATCAAAGTCGGAGCTTGGCAATTGGCATCCGTATTAGCAAGACATCTTCTTCGCCAGAAGTCAAGGCAGCCAACAGCCCGCTAGGCGGAGAGGAGGGAGGGCGCGATAAAAGTTACCATGTCGTACTATAATAATACGCCTAAAATCAACCAGGCCAGCCATGGCCATACGCAGAAGGACTTCTAGAGTGGCGTTATCTCCTTGCGCTGTTTTATAGTAGACTCCGCTACCGTTTGTCCAGCTGGTGGTGATGTTCTCGAATGCACCGCTGAGCAGATTACCAGAAAGTAGACGTCGTTCGTAGTAGTGTTACACCTAACGATAGAAGGAGGATAGATGGCAGTAAGCTCGACGTTACTCCCAGTCTTGTACTTTGCCCGGTATGCGGTGGCTTCGAGGTTGTTATACAGGTTTACGTTGAGGGCGAACTGGAAAGCGCAGTTACGTAACGCCTCGTTGACCTTAAAGACCTCGGTACCATAGTAAATGGTGGGAGGCTGGTCTGGTGTAGTTGTTCCGAAGGGGACGTAGCCGGTTGGATAGTTGCTAGGAATCTCTCGGCTATTAAACTCGTACTGGAGCGCAACTTGAATAGTATACTTGACCAAAGCAATACCACCCAGTATGGACTACTGGAGGTTTACGCCGGTAATACCGCTAATTAAGAAGTATATCGACTTCAGGTTGAATTTGCCAGATAGTACAAGAGCGGTGATAGTTATAGCCGCGTTGATTTCTGATTCTCCGTAGTAACTTGACAAATCCGATGATCGACCACGTAGTAGACCTTCGGATAGACCATAGACAATCCAGGCACAGTAATATTGAGGGCTTACATCTATCCGAAGTTAGTCTTTAGTATTTTATCACACCTATACTTGCGCCTCTGGAAAGAACTGCAACAATACGGGTTAGTCGTTTGGGAAAAATTAATTATACGAGGTGCTAATATAGGCAGGTCTATTCTGCTGAGCGTCGAGTGGAAGAGGGCAATATGCTTACCATATTAATAATAAACACCATGGGTGCAACCTTGAGGTTCGGGCGCTGGAAATTCACGCCTTGGTTAGGCGTAGGCGTATCATACGAGATAGTAACCCATACCAGCAGAGCAGTGATTACCTATAGAGTAGGAAGGAGGCGCATAATGTACACGACTACGAGTAGCTGATCGTCAATCAAAGAAGAAACAAGGTGCAACAGACGCGGAGGTGATATGGGGAAGCCTACTTCGGAGTCCAGACGCAGTCAAGGACGGATAGTCGGTGCTACACAAGCGCTTCCGGGGCGGGACGATGGAGTAGGATAGTCGAGTTGAAGAGAGCTCAGGGCATCTAGTAAGTCGTAAGTTGGTATGAGGCTCTCTAGTTTGGAAGTTTTAGTTTTAGAAACAAAAATTGGAAGGGTTGAGAAAGTATAGGTGCAGACTACAGTTGTTAAATCTGAACAGTGCTAATTCCCACTGTCCCAAAACAAGCCGGGCAGGCCGGGGAGGGCAGGAGACAGCGGGGAGCCCTTGCAGGATATCTGCAGACAACCGGACGAATGAGGACCGGGCAACCGGGCAGGGAATCCCATTTTCATCCCAACTTGGACCCCGTAGGCCATGTCCTGGAACCATGTCCTGGAACCGAAAGAAGTTTTCAGGCCCCCTCGTGTCCCCAGCCAGGGCGTCGACTCGGGGTTCGGTCTACTCTCCCACTTCCCTCTGAGGACGGGCTCCCGATTTAAAATTGCCAAGTACAAACGCCGGTACCCAGCGAGGTCCCCTGATCACCCTCAGTCATGAGTTGAATACCACTGACGTCAGTCTCCTCTAGTAATCACCTACGTCGGACTTGCTGGCTTGGCTTGGTTGAGATCTACTAGTATGGAGGCTGTTCAGTCGTCGGGTTGAATAGGAAAGCAGTCTCTCTCCAGAGTCGGTTTCTCTTCGACTCCAGGTAGATAGTTTGGCAAAATTACTATGTAGACACAGTCTCAGCCTCGTTTTGACCGTCACAGTAGCTGTGACGCGTCTGCCAGAATCGTGATTAGAGTCTCGAGGCTGCCTCCTAGAATGTCAGGCAGGCTAGCCAATACAATACATGTTTAATTCCTGCCTGAAAAGTCAAAATTTTGGATCTGTATCCGCTACCACGCGCGCTGAACGCGACTTCCACAACTCGGCTGCCACCTGGCTGCATAGCACAGAGAACACAGAATTTTAAAAACTTTGTTCCGCCTGCAGAAACATTCCTGTATTTTTCCAACACCTTCCACGAGATACCCAGGGCAGGTACTAAGGTAGGTACTCCTGCTAGTAGCACAAACTTGATGATTAATCAGGTGAAAATAAATAAAGCGGGCCGTTTAATCCGATAACCAGGACTCGAGCCCGCCCTTGTCGGCCCCATGGGACCGAAACACGGCCCGGAGACAGGCGGATGCCCCCCTGCTCGACCAATGCGCGGACCGGCCCAATGCGTAAGAAACGCGTGTGGATGAGGTGATAATTAATCAACAGCCCTGGCCGGCGGCCACGCGGGCTATCCCCAATCCGTCAGAGAGTCAGGCAGCCAGGCAGCCGCCTAGCCTCTCGCGCGGGCTGCGTCAGTCTGTGTTTGATCCGGTTGGTGGCTGATTCTGAATAGTTTCAACTTTCTCTCCGTCTGTGCACGAGCACATTTCGTGTCGAGGTATTTGCGGTGAAGTGGAGGCGCTCAATGGATAATGTGCGACAGAGAAGTTTTTTCGTAGCGTCCAGGTTTCACCGCTGTCGGGGCAACATAGGTAACGACCGCAAGAGCCGTGAAGAAAGTCGTTGTTCGTCACCCCCAGCGAGAAAGATGCAGACAGAATAGACTGGTACGCAGCCTTGGAAGTTTGCTGGATGTCAATCAAATACACCCACGTGCTCTAGCTAATTAAATCGCCGGGGGAGATGTTTGTCTTCCAAAAATGGAAGGAACGGCGAGGCTTAAGTGAATGAAAGAAAGGTTAATTAGTGCTGGGCAAGCATTGACTCAACTCAAAGCACTTTCACCTTAATTTTCACCATGACAAACCCATATCCCCCCGCCACGTACTTGATCTCAGGCACAAATCCGCAAGATCAAATCAACTCAGACCCCCACACAAGATGGAGACAGCAGCAGAGCCCTCGGAGCTCACCACCTCACCATCCACCACGCCGCTCAAGCGCATCGGCTTCGGGTCCTGAGGCAGCGTGTGGGCCTCCCCCTCCGCCAATATCGACTCGCGCGCGTCAGCCGTCGTACTGAAGCACGGCGACGGCCTGCCGGAGCGGTCGCTGGCGCACGAAGCGCAGATGCACCGGCACATCCTCGCCACACTCACCTCTACCACACTCACCTCTCCAACCACCTCCCTATTCAACATCCCACAGCACATCGCATTCCTCCAGCCATCGTTGCCATCGCCCTCGTGGCCACACATCCTCTCACGGCTGCCCCACGGACCCGCTCCCTGCGACGCGCTCGTCAGCGAGCGGATCATGCCGCTCCCGGACTGGCGGTGCGACGCGGACAGGCGCGTCTGGGAGGGGGTTTCGGGGCCGCTTTCTCGCGATGAGCCGGTCGATCCTGCGGGTCGAGGACGAGGCCGTGCAGAAGCTGCCCGAGCAGCTCGTTGCGAAGATCGTCGAGACCGTCGGGGGGTATGCCAAGGGAGTTCCGGTTCCCCGTTGAGCGAGACTTATATGGAGTGGTTGACTGCTCTTCATGACTCGGTCCCAGCCATTTGAAGTGTAAATTGTTTGTTTATATATAAGGTATATATATCTAAATTTTAGTAGTTTTTGTAAGGCTCGCGTGAAGCTCAACATCATCGCGACGATGGTCCCCAAGTATGCAGGTACAGGCATCTAAACCGTGCACCTCCAGAAAGGATTAAATAACAGTATAGAGTTCATAAAGATTCCCCTACTCCACCCCAGCCGTTTACCTTTTCAAAAGAAAATATTTTCAAGACGTCCCCAACCATGTTATAATCTCACCTCGTGTAACCCCCATCCAGCTCGGCGGGCGGCCCCGAGCCCGAGTAGTACCGCGGGGGCGGTGCGCTGCCAGCGAGCTCGCTGCCCCCTCTCCTGTGCCCTCCGTTCTGCGCCTCCTTGACCGGCTCACTGTACTGCTGGGGAGTAGAGAGGGGGAGCTCGTGGTGGTCGATGTCCTGCAGCTCGTGCGGCTGCATACCGCCCTGAGGCAGCATGATCTTGGACTCGGGCGAGAACTGCTGGCCGCCGGCCTCGTACGGCCGCTCTATCGCGGCTGCGCCCAGTTCCCTCCGGCGCCGTCGTCTCATGATGAGCCACGCTGCGAGGCCGACGAGCGCTATAGCGGCCACTCCTCCGACGACGCCTCCTGCTATCGCCCCGACATTCGTCGATGAGCCAGAAGACGTGGCCTCGGGCGACGATGTAGGTGGGGGCGATGCTATGTTGTTGTTCCGTCAGCGAGCCGTTGCTTCTCTGGCTGACAGGGAGAGAGTGACACTTACTGCTATTAGACGTGCTCGTTGCGAACAACTTTTTGACATCGTCCGACGACCACTGGACCTTTGAGAGTACCCTGGGCGAGGAATAGAGTTAGCCACGCGCCTTGGGTGTACATGGGTTACGAAGATGACACCTACCCAGCCGAATACAAGTCCTGGATCGCCTTGGGGGACTCGTAGGCGGGGGCGCTGGCGTTATACGAGTGGCTCCACTTCTGGTCCACCATGTCGAACAAGAGTAGGCCCTGGGGCGCCGGATCCACGTCATTGTACCCCTTCCCGAAGCCGTCGACGCCACCGATGCTGAGGACCTGCCGGTTGCCGACGACGACGCATGCCTGCGTGGTCCGTACGCCATCCGGAGAGTCGGGAAGCTTGGTCCAGACGAACCCGGGCAGACTCAACACGTAGCTGTCGTTGTACGCGAACTTGTCCCGTCTGTTGGTCCCTCCAAACATGAAGCTGGCTGGTGTTAGCTGATACATCCACCGTCACGCCTGCACCATGAGGACCTCTGACCCCGGTCACCGCCAATCATAGCATGAAACGCGGGGAATATGGCAGGGGTGTAGAGGTGGAGGGTTGACTGGGACTCACATTTCGTGGCGGCCGCTGGGATCTGAGAAGCCGGCGGTGCAGAACTCGGACCGAGGATAGGGCGGGACGTCACCGGTCGTGACCTGCGAGTATGTCTTCTTGGTCTGCGGGTCGAAAAAGGTCAAGTTTTGCAAGTCAAAGTTTGGAGACGTTCCAAAATCGGGGTTCGGGTCGTCGGCAGGCGGGGCGAAGCCGCCAAAGGCGAATATGAGGCCGTTGGGGCCGAACGAGGGAACAAACTCGGCCGAGGCGCCGGCGATTCTGTCAAAGGGGCTAAAGTTTGTGGTGCCGTTTTGCCACACCCTCGTCGACAGGTTGTACGTGGCCATTCCGGGCAGCGTTTGCGTGATGGCGCGGAACTGCTCGGTCCAGCCCGACGCGACGCCACCCATGACGAAGGCCGAGTCGCTTGTGGCAGCCACGGCGGCGAATTCTCCCGGGTGGAGTGTATTGAGGAGGCTTGGGTTTGCGGCTGGTGCAACAGACCAGGTACCGCCGCCGCTCCCGTCGGCGGCGAACTTCCAGAGCGTCGTCTCGGTCATGTTGAAGCCCCTTATCCACTTGCCTCCCCACGAGTAAAAGACGTTTGCCGACCTGTCGGCCCAGGCCTGCATATTGGTCTTGAGCGGGCCCTGTTTTTTTATAGTTCGCATAGCAACGCTATCGCTAGTCCAGGACTTGGACATGTCGATGGACACGGTCGAGTTGACTGGAAAAAGTGTGAGCTCGTGAACGTGTTTCGTACGCCAACGTCAACACGGGTAGGCGTCTATCTCACCTTGTACCGAGAAGATAACACTCCCATCGCGATCCTTGAAGGTGGCAACCTTTCCATCCACCTTCTGAGACATCTCGCCGCCGTCAACGTAGACGAAATCGCCGAGGACGACGGCATTGGCTGTTGCCTTCCTCATGAAGTTGGCCACCGACGGGACGTCTGGCAAGGCAGCTGCTATGGCCGCCCAGAAGGCGAGCCCCAGCACAACGAGCCATGTCGACGCCATCCAACGCGAGGCGAGTCTAGTTCTTCCAAGTTGGTGATTCTGACCCGTGGCTCAGGCGGACGCGGACGCGACGGGGACAGGACGGGGTTCGCGATGCTCGGCGGTCCTACGGAATACCGTCCGGAGTTTGTTGTGTGGAGGGAAAAAAGAAAGGAACATGCGCCTGACGTCGAGGTCTCAGTTCCAGGTCTCCCCATTCCCATTCACGTTTTCCTCCTAGTCCAGTCCTACCCTCTGGAGTCTGCACCCCTACCTACCTAGCCGCCAAGCGCTCGGATGACACCCTGTATTCCCGGGCAGTGCCGACGACAGGCGGGCGACAAAAGGTCAAGGCATTGAAGGATTTGGCCCCTGCGCCACATACGACACAGCTTCCGACAGAGGGGGGCGACAGGGGGCTCTAGCGGCTTGCCTTGTCAACGGCGGCCGCAACCCCCCTCAGCCAGAATTGTATGGGTGCGATGCGATGCGATAATGCGATGCAGTGATCGCAGTGCATCCACCGATCGAGTGCGGCCACTGTCACTGATGGTCCAGTGCAGCCAGCCAGTGAGTGCCGTGCATCTGACAGGATGGAGCTCTGTCCGTTTCCAGAAAACAGTCTTTTATTTAGTAGCCACCTCATCACCTGGGTCCCCCCCAACCCAAGGCCCGGCAGCCAGAGGTCAAGCCTGGAGGATCGCCTGTAAGCAAAGGGTCGCAGAAACACTGCAGACCGAATACCAATAAGCTAGGCTAGGGTGGCCTCAGCCCTCATGCGCGGTTCTCGTGGCATGGCACAAATAGAACCACCCACCTCTCAGCTGCGTCGCTGGTGGAGGGTTTGACAGTCTTGTCTTGGAAGATCGGGTGGGCAATTTAAAGGTGAGGAGTTGAAATTGTTTTCCCGGGCTAAATTAAGGCAGTCGCGTACCCTGCGGCTGGAGGCGTATAGAGTTTGTGCTGTACTGTACACGTATCCTCTGGGGTCTGGTAACCTTCATTCAGGGAAAAGGCATCTGTCGTCTCCGGTCGTCCAGACTCTCTGGTGAATAACCCTGCCGTATTTGGGCGCCAATTTGTCAAGGGATCGCCCGCTCAGCATGAGGTAGATGAACCAAAGAGCGAGCTGCCCTATCGGCACGCAGCGCTAAGGGCTGAAGGATTCTGCCCGGACGTAGCGCAACGAGAAAGCTTGAGCCGACCCACCCCGATCCAGCCAACCGCAGGCCGCAACTTCCTCTCTCGTCGTCTGCACAATTGCGCAAGGCCGGAAACCCGAGACACGAGAAGCGAGGCAAAAAAAGGCAGACTGGCAGCGCTTGGCTTGGCTTGGCGCGAAATGCGTATTCGTCTGCGAACTCTACGCGAGGAAGGAAGGCTCGAGCTGAAATCTCGCACTCTTTTTTGCTGATCAATCCGCATTTGACAGCCTAGGTTTTTGGCAAGCGTAAATGCTCCGAACGGAGTATTCGTGTTCCGAGTTGCGAATATTATTGGGCACGAACTTTGGCGTCTCTTTCCACACAGACGCAGACACAGACACGAAGCAACGGATCCAACGCCAGACTGAAGCTCAAGATGACATCATGTTCTAGGAATTCCACAGCACACACGGCGGTGAGGTGAGGCTACGTGCGGCACGAATACCTATCCACAGCACAATCCAAATAACGGCTTATCCGTACTTTTTCGATTCGTTTTTTATATACACTACAGTCATGTTCCGTTCCCAGGTGGTTCCTCGCGTATTCCTACGTCACAGTCATACATCCACAGGCACCTAAGATACGGGCAGCGTCTAGCCCGCCTTTTGCGCGTCGGCAATAATGTCTTCGGCGGCCTTGGTGCTGATCATCATGGTGGGCAGGCTGGGGAAGGCGCCGGGGACGACGGGGAAGGAGCTGGCGTCGACGACGCGCAGGCCGACAACGCCGCGGACGCGGAACTTTGAGTCGAGCACGGCCATGGGGTCCTTGTCGCCGCCGATGGCGCACGTCGACGTGGCGTGGTGCGAGTAGGCCTGCGTCTTGTACGACTCGGCCTGCGCGGCGTCGGAGCAGTTGGCGCCGGCCGCCGTCCCCGGGCACGGATGCAGCTCGTTGAAGGGCAGGGTCGGCGCGCCGGCCGCCTGCCACGCCTCGCGCAGCAGCTTGCCGCCCTCGACCAGCTCGTGCAGGTCGACGTCGCCGTTGTGCTCGTAGAAGCGGAAGTTGATGTCGGGCACGTCCTGCGGGTCCGCCGACAGCAGCCGCACCGACCCGGCCTGCGACTTGGGCCCGATGTGCACCATGGCGCACTCGTACTCGTGCGGCCCGTAGTCGGTCGGGAACCCCGGCCAGAAGCCCTCGAAGGACAGCACCCCGCACCACGTGAAGATGTTGCGCTTCTTGGTCGGCGCCGACGGCGTGCGGAACATCATGGTGATGAGGCCCGCGCCCTGTATGGGCTCCGTCGCGAGCCCCAGCAGCGACCCCTCGTAGTTGTCGGCCAGCTTCTCGCCCACCCCTAGCAGGTCCTTGATCACGGGGATGCCGAACTTCTGCAGCTCCGCCGCCGGCCCGATGCCGCTGAGCTTGAGCAGCTGCGGCGAGTTGAAGGCGCCGCCAGACACGATGACCTCGCGGCTGGCCAGGATCTGCGTCGTGTTGCCCTTGGTGCCCGGCACGTGCTTGGGGTCCGCCCGGTACAGCGACGCGCCCTCCATGACCTCGACGCCGATGGCCCTGGGCAGCCCGCCCGCCGCCGTGGCGTTGGCGAAGAGCACCTTGGTCGCCAGCGTGTGCAGCTTGAGCGTCAGCGGGTACTTCTTGGGGTCGGCCAACGTCGCCCGCACGTAGTTGTTGGGGCTCGACCGCTTGCCGTTCTTGTCGGCGTGCTGCACCATGTTGTAGAAGGACGTGATGTCGTCCTTGTTGTCGTACGCCCCCAGGATGTCGCTGTTGGCCAGGCTGGCCACGTCGGCCGGGTTCTGTCCCGTCAGCTCGGCCATCTTTTTCAGTATTTTGGTCGCCGGGAGGCTGTCGTTCTTGGCCCACGACGCGTCGCCGGTCGATGTCGACAGCCAGCCTGGTTCGAGTCGCCCGTCAGTGGAATCCTTGTTAACACGACGGACGATATGAAACTCACCCGTGTATCCGTGGGCCGCGTTGCCCGACGGCAGGTAGTCGTTCTTCTCAATCTTCTTGAGGTACTGGCGCATCTTGCTGGCCTCCCAGCTCGTGTCGCCCGTGGCGTTGACGATCAGGTTCCAGTCCTCGTCTTGCGGCAGCGAGCACACGCCGCCGTTGTGCATGGCGCAGCCTCCGAGCACGGCCGCGCGCGGATACTGGATCCCCAGCTGCTTCGCTCCCGCCGGCGGGTTCAAGCCGACATAGAAGGTGCCGTCGCCCGTGTCCCAGGTCATGTGCTTGAACTCGAGCTCCCGTTTCGGGTCGTCCGAGTGCTTGACCCAAAAGTCCCTGTTCGCAACATCGTGTCAGCTGCCTGCCTTGGATGGCAGAGGGGGTCGGGTCAGGGGTCTAGAGGTAAGTACCAGCGCGTCGCCTCATCGTTGGCCGCCTCGAGGAAGTTGCCCAGCTCCGAGTACGTCGGGTTGTCTCCCTCGTCGCCTCCGGCCTCGATCAAGAGAGTCTTGTAACCGGCTCTCGCCAGGTCACAGGCCAGGGGGCCTCCGCCAGGGCCGCTTCCGACGACGACGTATTCGTACGTCTCGGTAGCAGTCTCGACGGCGGCGACAGTAGCCGCAGCCACGAGGGTCGACAGCAGACGATAGCGCATTGTCACGGATACCGCAGGACACAATTCCTAGTCTACAACTAGGAGCTAAGAGGGACAAATGGCAGCTTCGACGCTCTCTCCACCGCTGCGACGGACGTCTTCCCCCGCCCTTTTATATACTAGACCCTTCTCGCTGCCTGCCGGCGAACTCTCCCAGGGCCCGTCAGCCAGGGTCGGCAAAGGCGAGACGACGAACACCCCAATATACGGCGGCAATATGTAAGACTATATGTCGAGTCTTTGAGAGGGGCGAATAAGCAGCATTTCATCAACAATTCCGACTGTTGCGGGGTTTGCTCCTGGATGCCCCCTTTTTTTTCTCCAACTCGCACTTAACTTTCTCCACCAGACCGAGCCTTTTGTCTAGGCAATTGCAGCAAGGCCAGCGTCCCATGATGAATGCCGGGATCCAGATTGGGCCCGTCCCTCGGGGGCCCCATGGCTAAAACGTGCCGTTTTTTTGCTGTGCGGAGAAAGGCTAATGATGTCTGGGACAATGGCAAGCTCTCGACTTTATAAAGCGCCCCATTGGACCTAGAACCATGGGAAAAAGGCTTGGGATACATGGACCCTGCGTTGCCTCGTTCCCTCGTTCCCTCGTTAATTAAGCGGCCGGTAATTGTCTTGGCGATTTCCCGACCAGCTCGCCTTTTGGGGGCTGCCAAGTGACGGCGGCGGCCGTCTAGAACAATACCCGAGCAGCTTTTACCGTTTTCAAAGTTGATTGCCCACGCACCTTTGCGAATTCAAGCGGACTAGGAGAAAAACGGCCGAGCCCAGAGGCGTGACTACTCGCGTCCGACCCAGACTTGAATAATTAATTTGATTTGTCAAAGCAAAGCAACGTCGTCCACGGTCCACCAGTTCAGAAGTGGCCAGCTCGGAGGGGCTGCTCGATTTCGTATACGCTGCAAAGTCATGTCACACCCGCCACACCCTGGATGATAATCACGATCTCCGGTAGATGTGTCGGGATTATAGGGCTCTCTCTCTATATTGCCTCGGCGGATGCGCTTTTTCCACTTTCACTCAACAGCGAACGAGACCCGGCGTGGTGGAGCTGCGTTACACGAAGGATTGGGTTGGGTGACCGTGGCAAATGACTGACCGACGAGGTGGATGTCATGTCCCAAGGCCGTCTAATTATGTGCGGGCTTGTTTAATATCTACACCGCGGTGGGGTTGGTTTTATTACAGAGCTGTCAAGAATACCGCGTCTCTCTATTCAGGCACCGCAGCCGCCCTGCCTCCTCGGTCAGCAAGACTATGTACTGCTCGTTGCCGGACGCCCCCGGCAGCGACCCGCACCAGACGCGCCTGCCGCGGATGCTCTGGACGATGCGAGTTGATGAGCCGTCGCCCATGCCGTGGCCGCGTGTCAGCCGGCCCAGGTCCTCGAGCGTGTGCTCGGCCATCTCGAGGTGCGGGTCCATGTCCGAGGCGAAGCTGCCGCCACGGCCCGACTGCGTGTGCAGGGTGCTGCTGCTCTTGGACGTGATGTCGATCTCGGGGAAGACAGAGATGTTGGGGCTGTACGGCCCGGCGACGCTCATCCACGCCAGCAGTGCCACGCAGTACGTGACGGTCGGGAACGCCAGCCAGGCAAACACCCACACGGTCCAGCCGTCGATGAGTGCGCGGTACGCCGACTGCGAGAGCGTGGCCGTGACGGAGTTGGCGGCCGGCATGAGGTTGACGTGGCCGTACTGCCGCATGGCCGTGGCGAACTGAAACGGCACGGCCACCAGACTGCGCAGCAGGTACACGCCACCGTCACGGTACGTCGAGTAGTCGGACGTGTACAGCCGCAGCAGGAACGAGATGCCGTACGTGAATCCGAAGCGTGCCGCCGAGTAGCCGTAGGTGGAGTTGTCGGCCGTCCAGTTGAGCGCTGGGGTGATGGGCTGCAAGATCACGTTCATGTACAGCGCGGCCACAGCGCCGTCGATTTTCGTCGGTTGCGCGTCCGACACACGCTCCACGCTCAGGATCGACATGTTGTTGCGGTCGTATGCCACCGTCGCCTGCCGGCTGAACAGCGACACGGTCGTGTTCCACGCTACCGCGTCGGTCCACCCGCGGCTCGTCTGGCACGTCTTGGCCGCGACGCCCTCGTCGGGGCAGATGGCCCACCCTAATTACGTTGTTGCCGTTGGTAAACATGGCACCCCCTAGGACTTCAGACGAAAACATACCAAAGTACATGCCGTCTCCCACCTCGCGCTGGCAGACATAGACGCCCTCGCCGATGTCGCCGCCGTACATGGTGCAGTCGCCGCCGGGGTCGGTGCGGTTCCACTGAAAATCGGGCCCGATGGCGCTGTACTCGATGTGGTAGGCCGGGGCGTCGTTGATGACGATGGAGTCGTAGTCGCCGGTGAAGTTGCCGCTGTAGAGCGACTGCGACGCCGAGTCGCCCGACGGGTTCTCGTACGTGCGCACCACCTCCATGCCGCCTGGCATCAGCAGCGACACGCAGTTGGGGTCCGACGCGCTGCACCCGACGGGCGCCACCTTAGTGACGTACCGCGGGTCCGTGATGAAGCCGATCGAGTAGGCCGACGCCAGCAGCGGGATCAGCGCGATGTCGACGTCGGCCAGCCCCGACGTGTCCAGCGGAGCCAGCCCGCCGACGACCGAGCGCGTGGCGCTGCTGTCGCTGCTGAACGGCGTGTAGACCACCTTGAACGTGACGTTGGCTGCAGCAGAGACATGGCAGTTCCGGACAAGGTCAGTTTTGGTCTTGTAGTTTGAAAGGGGTCAGTGAATTATGTGGTAGTAATTCACAGAGCGGAGCGGGCAAATTTTGGGAGTCAAGTCCACAGCCACTCACCAATCAAGACGAGACTGAGCGCCGCTGTTATGATGTAGGAGAGGATCCTGCCACGGCTCCTCGTTAGCGCCAACCTGGCCGCCTGCCTCTGCATAAGACGGAGGAATATCACCCAGCACTCAGCACACATCTATACTCACCTCTGCAGGGCCCACAGCTGGTGCCAGCCGCGGACTCGGCACAGGTACAGCATGCCGCCGACGGGGGTGGCGCGGCTCATGGCCAGGAAGGACGTGAGCAGGACGCCTTCAGGCCTGCACGCAAACGCCCACCGCACCTGCTCCAGCACGTCGCCGCACAGCGAGAAGACCAGGAACGCCACAATGTGCGACAGAACGTTGACCGCCAGCACCGTCAGACCCGGGCTGAGCCGCAGCGAGGCGGGCAGCTCCGTCCGGTCCACCATCACCCGCTGCGAGTACCACACCGTCACGGCCGTCGTGCCCAGCGCCAGCAGCGCCACCGCCCACGCCGGCGCCAGCCGCGTGCGCTTCCTCTGGAGGGCCCACGGCTGCGGGGACGGTGGCGGTGGCGCCTGCGCGCTACCGCAGTTAGCTAGCCGGGATGTGTCGCGCGACGTGGCGCGCCTGTCGTTGATGCTGGTTCGGGTGCTGGCCGCCTTTTGCTGCTGCTGCTCGAGATCTGCGCCTAGGTATCCGTACGACCCATTGGACGACGTCTCCATGCCGCTGTTCCCCCCCGCCAGCGCGGGCAGCAGCTGCGGTGGCGGTGGCGGTGGCGCCGCGCTCCTGAGCTCGAGCATTTCTGAACGATGACTGACCCGACACAATGCAGACAGGGGCGCAGCCACTATCAAGCCTATACTCCGTAGCCGAGCTCTCCTGTCCACAAACCTTGTTTGTTTGTATATTTGTTATTCTCTAGAGCAGGCCGCGATCACTGCTGGTTACCTTGGAGGATCTGGATAGCGGTTCACTGTCAGTACAATGCAACCTGCTCCTCTGATCAAGCAGCCATTGTTTACCTACCTGGATCGCCACTCTTTTGTGTAAACGCCAACGACAATATTGAAAAATCCCTACACAGCGGACGAGACAGGGGAGGAATCAAAACGCCACGACACGACTAGCCAAGCGCAAAGCAAGGGGCAAATGTGCCAACCGGATAGTAATTATACGGGGTAAATAATACTACTACAGCACCAGCGAGCGAGCTGCGTCCTCCTCTGCCTCTCAGCCCGATCGATTCGTTTCATCCGCTGCTACCACACACCCCTAGTCCCTAGTCCCCGCCTCGGTGAGCGCACATGGCTTCTCCCTCCCCTGCTGCTGCTTGCTGCGCCGTTAGAGCGGGGATGGACTCGGCAGGGGAGGTGGGTTGGGTAGTATTTCCCCCATAAGATAGCGTTTTTTTCACTGTTATTCTAAACACGAGCTGAACTGCAACTGCAACTGCAACTGCAACAGTTTAATAAATCCCAGTGTCACCCTGCGGGGAGAGGGGAGACCTTTGGTAGGTAATAATGTAATAATAAGCTCCTGGGCCCCCCGCACCTCGCAACCGCGCCTGACTGGTGCGAGCCGGGCCTGATTTATCCCGCGTGCGGCACGCGATTGATTACCTTGCCTACCTGGCCTGCTTGCTTTCTATTTCCTGGGTCCTGGGGGAATAGATAAGCTCGGGAGTTTTCGCTGGCGGGACTGGGAAGATTCCCGGTGCGCGGGGACTGGGACCGGGCACGCACGTATGTGTATGTGTGTGTGTGTGCGTGTGTCTAGGTATTGCCGAACGGTGAACGTGGCTCTCTTTCTCCTTCTAGTTGTGAATGGTGCTAAGAGGGGAGAGCCTCGGGCTACCTGGTCGTGTTCTGTAAGAGTCCTTTATCGATTTTATTTCTTTTCCTTTCCTTTTCGCTGCCTGGCTGAAAGCCTCGAGACATTGCTCTGACGCGAGCCGGCAACGGAAAACAGCTGATTTCCTGACAAGAGATGTGCCAGTTTCCTATACATACATGCATACGTACCTAATAGGTAAGCAGGTTATACAATGGATTTGAGGTGACATAAAGACGCCACATGCTTTCTCACAGCTTTCCAGGTGCTAATTACTTTGTGAGATTATGAGCAGGGACCAGCAATAGTCAGTTTAAGGTGAAATCTCGAAATTATCCTAAACAAAAACATGAAATAAAATCTCCCGACCATATCTACCGAAGATTAATCACAGAATTAAACATGCGAGACAGATGAGTCTGAGCCCTTATCCCAATAGTTATAATCCATACTACCTGGTCTTCCCTCTTTGAAACCAAAACCTTGGCCCACAGCCTGACTCGGACTGAACTCTGAAGTGAATGATGTTTATGAACGGATTGTGATTGTTAGTGGTACTCTATTATCTAACAGACAGATTTAGCACACGCAACTCGGACGGCTCCCGGTCCGCGTATTGCATTGCATTACTAAGTCTATCTCCCGAATAGCAAAGGGAAAGAAGATTCCATGACTTCCTGTATGCCTATCTGGAATCTGCTTCATTATTAGCATTCGCATGAAGGCAAATGAGAAATCCAAAACGGGAATAAAGGGGTGTTAATGACAAGTCAATGAGTTGAGCGAATAACATGGATGATCCATCTCACGAGCAACGTAGCACATGATATTTTTCAAGTGGATATAGTAGAATCAGAAAGGCATCTGCTGTAGAGACATGACACTGAAGCATTCGCCGACCATTGAGATACCTTCTCTGGATACCGGCCTGAGAGAGGTTCAAACGTGTTATTAGCTGTTGATTACGAGCGGTCTCAGACCTTGGCCGAAGCAATTGTTCCCACTCTACCCACCTATAGTTGGCTAGTCGGTGGCCTCGAATGGAAGCTGAGTTAGGTAGATCGCGGAGGTCATCAGGCAATGGAACGCGGAGGAAGAAGTTGGCACTCTTTGCATCGACTCCGACGTGCGCTTCTAATACAGCCGTTATGTGCTTTTATCTACCCATCGTCGCACGCTGCTGCTATCGCAATCCACGCGCTATCAGGTCACGGCTGTATCAAGTCGGCCACATTCGTGGGCTGCTGTTTCAATTGGACTCTGCCTCGTACGAAAATGTGGCAGCAGGCTGCGGGCTTTTTTTCTGGTGAGGCTTTGGGTTGCACAGTTGTGTGCTGGTCCATGATTCCCCTTTTTCTTTTTTTCTTATGCCTCGTTCTCGTATTTGTTTTTCTTTTTTCCTTTTTTTTTTTTTTCTTCTGCTCGGACGTTTCTTCTCTTGTCTGTGCACACCTGTTCACCGCGTCTCCGAGGTGCAGACTGCATGCTTGGAGCCTGATGATGTAAGTAGGCCGATCGGTGATGGTTATCTGCTGCCTAGCCCCCACACTGTCGGCCAGGCTGAAAAAAGGTTTGGCGGGCAGGTATTTAACTACTACGTATCTCTCGGTTCAGTCCCGCCCTTTGCGGCCGCCATCTCGGCCTAATACTAAGATCGGCGGGTGTGAAGCAGGGGAAATCGAGCTGAGCGGGCGGCGGGGGTCAGCGCTAGGCCAAACGAACCCGCACACCCTGCGTGCCATTGGCCTGCTCCAGGGGGGGGCAGCTGCTGACTACACCCTGTGCCTTATGGCATGTTCTCACGCACGACGACGCCACAGGGGCAATCATGGTCGGGCACTTGAAACTGAAGATGATTGCCTGGTGAGATTATAGACTAGGCAAATACGATGGGCTCTCCCCAAACCCCGATCTGCCCAGATCGTATTTAGGTAACGAGATGCCACAAGCTGACAATGATTACCCCCTTCTTTCTCACCTATTCTAATCTTTCCTCTCGACAAGTAGGCAGCAGGAAGCCAAGCTGCAGGCAGCGCAAACTCGCCCATGGGATGCTAGAGATGCTGGCAGCTGGCAGCTGGCAAACCACTTCGGCATCTTCCGGACCTCAACAGCCGGCGACGTCTGACCTGCAATGCGGCGTCGGGTCGGCTCAGCCTGCCCCCAACTCCTCCTTCTCGTCCTCGTCCTCGTTGGCCAGAGTCAAGCTTTCCGCCCATGGCCTCGCAGCTGGGCATGGTCCGGCCATGGGGCCAAGCGGCCCGGCCCGCACATCGATCCGCGCATCGAGAAGCGCATCGAGGGAGAGCATGTGGTGCTGGCTGACTGTGTCCGCGACGGCGTGGCCTTTTCCGAGATGGCGTATTACAGCACGCCCAACGGGACCAAGCCGATCGATGTGGCCACTGTGAACATGACAACAGGCGAGACGGCCGACTGGGTCGGTCACACCACGTCGGCCTTGTTCACCAGCACCACCACCACCTTCAAGGCCGTGCTTGGCTCGCCTGAAGGCGAGGGCCAGTATGCGGGATCCGGCGACAATGGCTATCCCGGGCCCTTCTACTGTTATGTGCGACGGGTCGCCAATCGCTATGTCGACAAAGGCGCCGTCTGCTCGCAGCTCTATGACTGCACGCACGATGCTCCGCCAGGTATGTTCCCCCCTTCCCCTTTCTAGCTCAGGGGGACATCCCGGAACGGAGACAGAAGCTCACCGCATTGCGCACAACAGGCTCCACAACGGACACCCAGATTCCCGGCGGCAGTAGTGCGTCGCCTTCGGCGTCCTCCGTAGCATCCGAGTCCGCGCCGTCCATAGCATCCGATTCCGCGTCCCCGTCTACTTCCACATCCGCGCCCACGTCCGCTTCGACGTCCAAATCCACACCCACCATTCAGGCAGCATCGGCCGACGCGCAGTCGCCTGATACGGGGCTGTCGCAAGGGGCTCTGATTGGCATTGTGGTCGGGGCTGTCGGGACGCTTCTAGCGGCGGCCTTGGGAGGAGGCATCTACTGGCTCTGTCGGCGGTCGCGGAGAAGAAATGGGGCGGGAAACAACAAACATGGGACGAGGGGCTGCTGCGGGTGTCTCTTCAGGCGACCCGCCGCGCCGCCGGCCGAGCTGCACGGGGACGGAATGCCCGTTGCCGCGCCATCACCATTCAAGGCGTGGACGCCCAAGACGCCGCTCACGCCCGCGCCTATGTGCGAGATGGACGGACGGTGGTATCGCGTCGAGATGCCAATCGGAAACGACAAGTACGAGATGGACGGCCAGGGGAGGGTGATGGTCGAGATGGACGGGCGGTGGTATCGCGTCGAGATGCCAGTCGGAAACGACAAGCACGAGATGGACGGCCAGGGGAGGATGATAGTCGAGATGGACGGCCAGGAGAGGCTGGTCGAGATGGATAGCCAGGGGAGGATGATGGATGGCCAGGGGAGGATGGTGGCCGAGCTCGACGCGACTGGGGTGCGGCAGCACTGGCGGGGGCAGACACCCCAGCCCCGCTATGCTTCCCCCGCCACAACGCAGCTCTCTCCTTTCCAGCTCGAGTCCCCGATAGTCTATGATACCTGGGAGGCATACCAGAGAGCAAATCGAAGATGATTAATCGTATACAAATTGCCACACCGTGAGCGCTCGAGCAATGCAGTCCGTCGTAGTGCACTGCAAGGCTAAAAGCCCCTAGGCTCTAGGTGGGTTCAATTGGTAGGGTTCCCGTCAGATGGGGTCCCTTCGCGGCAGGGGCCCCTCAGTAATTAACCCCGCCATCCGTTCTTGTAGGGCCATCACTGGCGTGCATCTTCCGTCTGCCGACTGCAAACGCCCATCGCTTCCACCATCCATCGCTCCACCATCCACCGTCTCACGGCAAATGCCATGGATCGTCTTTGAGGCTAGAACTGTGGCTCCCTAGCCCGGCACGACACGAGCCGACACATGGCGGATCAACAGCCTCCCGCAGACACCGCCATTGCGGGAGAGTCGCGTGAGGATGGGCGCGTGCGGGCTCGCCGTGGCAGCGTAAAGACTGCTACCGCTGCCGCCCTGAGCCTGGCCCCACGCCGCACCATCCGGCCCGTTCTCGTCCTCCTAGCCTCGGTCAATCTTGCCTGGAGCCTGTACCAGTACCCGCTCAACCGCCTGCTCGAGAGCCGGCTGTGCCGCGACCACTACGCTGCAAACGACCCGTCCGTCCTGCCTCCCCATGGCAGGGTGCCCGAAGAGCTCTGCAAGCTCGACGAGGTCCAGCAGGCTCTCGGCCGTCTCCAGCGCACCATGGAGACGGCCTGGGTCGTCGGCGGTTGGTCATAGACCGACCCCCTTTGAGCGGCTGCCGTGGTGCTAACTGGCGGCAGACTTCGTCATGACCATCCCGCTTGTTTCCCTGGCAGAACTCTACGGCCGCCGCCATGTCCTGTGGCTCAATATTGCCGCACGCGTCGCCCTGCTGCTCTGCGCCCTGGCCGTGGGCTACTTCGACCGCGTGCTGCCAGTCGCTGCCATTGTCGTGGGCCCCATGTTCTCTGTTCTTGGGGGAGACTGCGTCTTCAACTCGATCATGTATTCTCTTGTCTCGAGCTTGACCGATGACCACGTCCTCAGGTGAGTTTACAAAGTCTCTTACTGCTAGGTAGGCTGTTCCAAGTTGACGATTTCTAGGGCGACATTCTTCGGCTACACAAACGCCGTGTCGTCCATTTTTGCGTCCCAGCTCGGCCCTGCACTTGCGTCTGGTACCATGAGCATTGCCCTAGAGCTCCCGCTGTGGATTGGTGTCGCTCTCTTGCTCCTAGCCATTTTTGTTGTTCCAATGCTGCCCTCTGAGCCTTCGTATTTGAGACGCGGGCATGACCACGTAGACGACAATGATGTAGCGCCGCTGTTGCCGGCGTCCTCTTCAAGTCGCGGGATGCAAAAGAAGGGAGTGGTAGCGCTGGCCGCTGACCGCTTCCGCGCCATCCTCGACATCTTGACGTATCCGTCGCGGAACTTCAGCCTCTTGCTGTGCTGTTTCTTCTGCACGTCCCTGGCCAGCTCCGACACCAAGTTCCTCCCCCAATACATATCCAAGCGGTATGGGTGGACGTTTGCCTCGGTTGGCTATCTGCTGTCGAGCAAGGCGGTGCTGAACTTTGTCGTGCTCACATTCGTCATCCCCCTCGTGCTCCGCCTGAGGCAGCCCACCTTCGAGGCTACCGCCTCGCCGCCCCAGCGCCAGGAAGCCGCCGACAGGGCAAACATCAGCTATGCCCATGTCTGCCTTGCCTTCTCGGCGCTGGGTGCCGCCGCCATCGCGCTGTCGCCGACCATCTGGCTCCTCGTGCCGTCGCTCCTGGTCTACGGCCTGGGCATTGCCCTGCCCATGTTCACGTACTCGCTGCTCAAATCGCCAGCCCTCGGCCCAAGACGGGACAGCAGAGACACCCCTGGGGCTGGCCATTCGGAAACGCAGATCTTTTCCATTGTCATGCTCGTGAAAACGGTCGGTGCCCTGCTAGGTGCGTTAATGATGCCGAGCCTGTGGATCGTAGGCATCAGACTGAAGGGGACCCTGTTTGGACTTGCGTTCCTTGTCAGTGGCCTGTGGTACGTGTTTGGCAGCGTAACGTTGTACAAGATTAGAACTAGATAGAGGGATACAGAGCTCGTATACTTGGGAAGGGCGGAATCTATGCCTGACAGCTTTTTGACCGGTCCGATATTGGGTGATGAGAACGTACGTCGGTATCCATGCGCCAATTTGCCAATACTGCTCACACATTAACAGTACAAACACGCCTTGTCACGCATCCATTGTCGTCGACATACTCTTTCATCCATGCGCTTTCTTCCGGTGCACAGACAACAAACGACTCCCCGCCTCAACCTCTAGTCCCCCCCACAGCCAGGATCTCATAACGCCCCAGGCACCCGTCTCTCCGTGCACCGATCTATCCTGCGGCGGCGGTGGCGGCGGCGGGCCAGTCAGGGGGGTTAAAGCTCAGCCGGTGACGAGGGGCCGAGGGCACAACCTCTCTGGGGCGTGGAGCTGGCCGAAACAGACACAGCAACGCCGCCGCCGCCGCCGCTCCCCCCTTCTCTGCCGCGAGCGTGCTCTCGCGCTGCCGTGCTTTCGTTGTGTATGACGGCTGCCCCAGTTTCTTGTACGCGTGCACAGTCATAGATGTCGGCAGCGGCTCGGCATGCGTCGCCAGTCCTCGACAGAGACGCGGCCCCCGCGTGACTTGCCACGCGACTGACGCTCCGAGCGCGGCTGCTGACACGTCGGGTTTTTCGTTCTGAAAGGACGACGTGTCCAAGAGCGAGTATTGGCCCAAGATCCGAGGAAAGGGAAATGGGGAGGGGGCAGATTATTGCACGAGTTCGAGTCTTGGAGATTTACACTGCTGTCCGCATGAAGCATGTGAGTAGGTAGGTGTAATTCGTTGAAGGAAGGGCTCTTGTCTCTCTATTACTGTGCTCTTATAGGGCGTGACAGAGGATCGGTGTGGAAGTATCCTCGTGATCAAGTCAGGCTATCCAGATTTTATGTATGGACAGCCACGTCCATCGCTGTCTCCTGCTTTAATATTATAAATTAACTACGCCAGCCAGCCAACCGGCTGTATTAGTTCTAGTAAATACAACAGCGTGCCCAACTCATACAATCAAACCACTTCTCCCTCCATCTCAGAACCGCCCAAAATCAGCCTCGATCGAGTCGCAGATACCATTAACAAACTCCTCCTCGTCCTCTTCGGGAATCCCCAGCGCGCTGCCCTCGGGCCAGGTAACCGTGTACATAAGACTGCCGCCCTTGAGAGTAACAGTATTGAACGCAAGCGGGGGCCCGGTGACGTGGCCCGGCTGCGCAAAGACGGGATGCGTAATCCCGACTTTTTTCGCCCCCTTCTTCTTCTCATCGTCATCATGAAAGACACCGACGTTGCTCAGCTCGAACGACACGTCGCGCGGCTTGCCGAGCTTGCCAGCCATCCACCCGCGGATGCTGGGCAGGTAGCGCAGCAGCGCAAACGGCTGGTCGCGCAGCCGCGACGACACGTCAGCAAAAGCCAGCGTCGACTTCCTAGCGGCCGCCCACTCGTCAGTCGACAGCGGATCCGCGGCGCACACGTCGCCGTCGACGCGCGGCAGCTTCACGTACGTGCCCGAGTAGAACTGGCCCATCTCGTCCAGCGGCACGCCGGCGGCCGCGCGCAGGTTGGCCGGGACGCCCGAGACGAAGTTTGTGGCGGCAGCCCCAGGGTTACCGGCAGCGAGCAGCGCCTTGCTGAGCGCGCGCGCGATGAGCTGGAGCATGGTACCCGTGAGGCGGGCGCCGTTGGCGCGCGACGCGCGCAGGGCGCTCTCGACGAGCGGCGCGCTGATCTCGCGCACCACGGCGCGGGTACGCGTCGTGGCCGCGTCGAAGAAGGCCGGCGCGCCCGTCCACGTGCCGCCATCGACGGCCGGCGCGAACCCGAGCAAGCCTGCCAGCCACCGCGGCAGCAGCTCCGTGGCCAGCGCGCTGACGAGGTACGACCACGAGAGCGGCAGCCGGCCGGGCGCGTCGAGCGTCGCAGGGAGCGGCCTCTCGCGCGTTTCGATGACACTGACAGTGGTGCCCATGGGAGCCTGTGCGTCGTCGTCTGCGATGGTCCTGAGGCCCACGAGGAACATCTTGTGGAAGGCGACCCCCGACGGCCCGTCGAGGATCTGGTGCGAGTAGACAAAGGCGATGAAGCACGAGCTAGACGTAGGAGAGTCTGAGTGCTGCAGCGGCAGGACGACGATGCGCCAGGGAGGGATGTCCTGGCGGAAAGGCGCGTTGAGGCTCGTCTGCACGACGGCCTCGATGGCGTCCCAGCGGCTGCTGCTGCCGCCGCTGCCGGCCGGGACGCGGTCGAGGACGGCGACGTGGTCGGCGAGATTGATTTGAGGTGCGCGCTGGAAGTAGGCCTTGTCCGTGTGCCGATCGGCCACGGTCACGCCCAGGTAGACCTGCTCGTCGACGCAGTGTTTGAGCGGCGCAAAGAAGGACTGCGGCGAGCCGACATCAAAGCTGCTCTCGAACTCGTAGATGGCGCCGACGACGATGCCATGGTAGAAGCCGAGGTCCTCGCGGCTGATGCACCGCTGCTCGTTCAGGCCTGGCCCAGCTGGTTAGACCTGGTTCTAATAGCGATTTCTCGTTGACCTTCTTGAGTCGCTGCTCAATCAAGAATCGAATAGCGAGTGTAGGTGAGAATAGACTTACTTGCGTACCTCAGGAACAGGTTCTTGTCCGGCATGGCTCGTCAGAATATTGAGTTTAGTTGGCAGCTAGATTGATTGATCAAGGGTTGCCCTTGGATATTGAAACACGACTGATTGAAGGATTGACGTGTTAACGGTCGTGTGGAAGGTCGCACCCGCAGGACCCGAAGATTTCTGTCAAAAGCCGAAGGAGCCCTAAACAGGGGTGTGACCGGAATCTAGACGCCTAGTCCGTCCGTCGCGCTCGGAAAATGGCTAAGATTTTATTCAAGGCGTTCACCGAGTACGTCTGGGAATTGCCGGCGCAACTGCGATTTAATCCAAAATACTCAGAATTGATGGTAATGACTATCTTCGTGGCGAACTTTGCATGAAATCGTCGCACGGTCCCAGAATTCGAATGTCACTCCTTGAGTCCTCTGGGAAGAAAAAAACTCGTACCTTGTGTTGACCGACTCACCAAGCTCATAAAATCCTGAGCTAAACAGGCTGCGAGATGCAATCCATTCTCAGATGTTCATGAAGGCTATAGACCACTGAAGTAAGTTGTAGTTATCGCTTAGCTAAACGCTACAGCGATGACGCGTTGAGTCCTGGATACTATTCTAATTAGATCGTGGCCCAGGCACAATTTGAACTGACTTTCATTCAGAAGTGGAATTGTTAGCTTACTGCTTAAAAGTTCTGAATATGATCTCAGATGGATTACCTGGGTGATATGATGCCCTCGCGTTTTCTTCCTTTTTTATCTCCTTTGTGCCAAGTATAACCATGTAACTGGTTGTCTGCTGTCCCTCATCGACACGATGTTGAATGAAGAGAAGGGTCTGAAACTACTTCTAATCCGAAGATGCAGCATGATGTCAAACCAGGTAGTTAAGCTGTGTTGCGAATAAGCTTCTGTCAGATGATGCAAATTGTCTAATGTTTGAGTGAGTGGTCCAAGAGAACCAGAAATTGTGAGACTTGTATCTTATTCCCGGTTCATCTCCAGACTCACGAGCTCGAAAGTTTAAAAGCTCAAGGCGGGCTCATGACTTTCCATTATGCTCGCCGCCATTCCAATTCCTTGCAAATTATCGACAGGTAGTCAAGACGGCGCTTTTGCCGCCGTGACAAGTAATACTGAACCTAGATAAGATACTCCGGCTTGGCAACGCCCAACGGCGGCGCCGCAGTACATACCAAAATGGCTTATCAACAACTTCACGATCGCTACCTTAGGTACTGCGTACTTTTCAGCGGAGTGGATCCCCGATCCCTGGCCCCAAACACGCCAGTGACACAGCATGCATATTGCATATAGACGGTTCCGAGCCCTAGCCAGTCTCTGCCTCGGAAGCACTGAGCCTTGCATGGCATCGCGAAGCTTCAGACACGGGCTAGAAGTCAATAGTCCCAGTGCCAAGAAAACATGTCACTCAATGAATGCGACCCTCCATTTCCCTTTCTGGCAGGGACGCCGCGGTGAGGCTCTGCTAAGATGTACTCTCAGTAGGGACTTAAAATACCAGACGGCGGTGGGCACTTGGAAGAGATGCTCCCTTTTTTTCGTTTGCATCCGCGATTCCACGAGGCACGAGTGAACCGCCTCCCTGTGGTTGTTTTTACCTTTGAAACCGTCATAGAGAGACAGCGGGCCGAGAAATGCGGAGATTCCTTAGCAACATCGGCCAAGAGCTTCAGGGGGGGGTTGGACAGCAAGGAGGCGGCGGCTACGGGGGCTACCCGCAGCAGCCCGGCGGCGGGGGCTTCGGCGGCTTCGGCGGCTTCGGCGGCGGGGGTTTCAACCAGGCCATGTACGGGACCCCTCCCGTCGGACAGGCGACGACACCGTGCCCGCGAAAGCAGGCCCAGGTCGGGCTGCAAGACTGGATCGGGCTCGGCAACCCTCAGTTCAGCGCCTTCAACATGTGCCCGACATGCTACAACACGCATGTGCGCTCGACGCCGTATGCGAGCGCCTTTGTCACAAAGGCGGGCGCCATCGCCGTGCCGCCGCACGTGGCCGTGCGCTGCGACATGGGCCGGTTTTGGGTCCGCACCGCAGGCATGGTGCTCTTGACCATGAACCAAGACGGCCGGCACGACATCACCCTGCTGGCTCGCGCCGCCGCGGTCCGCGCTCAGGACGGGGAGTGCCCAAACGCGCAGCTTGCGTCAGAACAGCAGCCGCTCGTCGTCGCGAGGCGGGCCACCTGGTACACCATCCAAGACCCGCAAACTGGAACGCAGCCGCTGCCGGGATGGACCGTGTGCGCATCCTGTGCCTTCAGCATCCAGACATGCTGCCCAGCCATTGCCGCCGGGCTCGCGCCGGTCCAGCCAGCAGGTTCGCCGAGGGACTCGTCGTGCGCCCTCGTCCCGTCCGACTACTATGACGACACCCGCACCGCACAGATCCTCCAGCAGGTCGGCGGCTGTGCTGTCACGGCGGCCATGACCCGGCGTCCAGACCTCTCACAGCTGGTGAACTGGCTCCGCGCGAATCTACCACCACTGCGAGGTGGTAATCCGGTTTCGACAGGTGTTGGCGGCCCGCAGCAACCCGATGGCCTTTGCCCGAGAAACTATCCCTCTACGACTCTCAAGTGCCATACGATGCAGGGCCTCTTCGACTTTACCGTGTGCGAGCAGTGCTATGGCGATGTCATCAAACCGGATGCAGATAATGGAATCGACCTGGCGCGCCGGTTCGACATGACCGCTTCATCCGTTCCGGGGCCTGGATTCACATGCCAGCTATATTCTGACCGAATGCGCCGGGTCTGGCGGGACGCTGCGTCGACGGGGGACATGGAGCATCTTCGACAAAAGGTAGGACCTCCAAGCACGCGCCTTTAACACAGAGATAGAAGAAAAGAGGCGACTATGGCTTGAAGGCCGTAAACGAGAACAGGAACAAGCCGCAGAATATCGACTAACGAACCGACAACCGCAGGTCAGTGAGAGACGGGCTAAAGAGCGCGAGCTGCAGATGAAGACAGCACAGCTACAGCAGCAGGCTGCGCAGCTTCGGATCCAGGCTTCGACACAAGAGCACCTGGCGATCAATGCCATGAGAGTCGCGACCAGCGCCGCCAGCAACAACATTATGCTTTCGGGCGTTGGTGCCGGGTACCGGGTGGAGGGCGGTTACGTGTATAAGCCTAGCGGAGTCGTAAGTGTTTTCCCGTGATGCACTCCGTAACTCGACGCTGGTGAAGGCTTCCGATCCAGGTTGCCAGCTCTCGTATTTTGTTAGGTTTCTAACGTGGAAACAACCTCTCTGCAGGCCGACTTCAGCCAGACAACGCAGCTCAACAACCAGGCTGCTATGCTCAAAGTCCAAGCCGGCCAGGCCGAGGACCAGATCCGGATGGCCGTGGATGAGTGGAAACGGTTTTGGGAATAACGGGCCCGAGAGCAGTTACCTGGCAAGCCATCTGGGGATGAAATGACATGTTTACGGAATAGAAGGGGTGTCCGGAGAAGACGTCAAGCCGTGAAAGAAAGATGCACAGAAGTTGTTGCGAGGCAGTGTTCTCTAGCCGAAATGACAACCCAAGTTCCAATGCTCAAGCTCCCCACTGAGCGAGCTGGCATAGCCTGTCCGTCCAGAAAAGAAAGCGTGCTGCGAGATAAACATTGTCCGATAATGCATGGGCAGGCAAAGACTGCTATTGCAATGGCTTTACATTATGCCGGAGTGGCGGAGTGAAGGGGCGGCGCGAGGACCCTCCCACGGACTACCCGATGGCACGCTTGGCCGTGAAGGATCGGGAGCCTTTCAGCTGAGCTCTGTTCGAGCTCTGCTAAGCTGGGTATAACTTTGGGATAAAAGCCTAGACCTCGGGCCGGCTCGAGACCGGTATGGAAACTCGGGCGGCCCAGCTCCTAAGACGTTTGCTTATACCGAGCAATACTATCCACCCGCCTCTCCACAGGGTGTGCACATGCTTGCGGGGTGGGAAGAGCCTATTGCATGGCTAGACGCGGCGACGAGACATGGACCATGGACTAGCGAATGGGCTCGAGGGTGGCGTGAGGCGAAAGAGGAAGGATGCAATCTATCTCTTGCCGTGGTGTTTCCGGCAGCAGGTTCCGATGCGAGCGCGGGAAGGGATGGGACGAATTTGTGACGTCGCCGGCGAGCTAAGCGGTTACGTTTCGGCCTCGACGGGCCCCAAGCGAGCAAGCAGCCCCGAGACGCAGGTACAGTACGGACGGACGGCTGGCGGCAGGATAAGGGATGGCGCGGTGCCTGCCCACCACCTTGACAGGCACTCTGCAGAGTTTGCGCAGAGTCCAGCAGATAAAAGTGCGGCTGCAGGCCTCGGGCCTTGAGTCGACATCCAAGCGTCTCATTTCGTACCACGGATATCCGTAGCTGTAGATGATAAGCCAGCTCTGGTTTCTCTGCAAAAGCAAATGGGATAACTCATCCTGCGTGACCTGGACTCTGGGCTGACATGATTGGCGGCTTTGCATTTGTGCCACAGACTGAAACTGGTGAGACCGGTAGAGAGGGATGGACAAGTGCAGCAATAATTACCTTAGCTAATGAGGGAACCCAAGACAGCCTGTAGAATCACCCAAAAGAGCTCCTGTGCTTGTAGGTACGGCGGTGCATTAAAAATTAGTGCCGATTGATATTGCTCTTCTTGTCCCTTGAATCACTACTGCGTATCCAAGAGGCGGTATTGGAAGCGATCGAAAGAAGGGCATATCCGGCCAGTTCATGCAACGACATGAGGCGAGGCGCGGCGTTCTGTGCGGATGGGATGGAACAGCTTCAGTGCTGTGGGGCACAGCGGTTGTTCGGCATACGCTGACAATTGCGCCCGTACTGTATCCGTATGGACTGGCGCTGCGTACGTACACAGGGCAGTACTCGGTTATGAATGCCTATGTAGGTTGTCCTCGTCCCATAAAAATTAACTAGCGGGCTTCTCGAACACACGACGCGTCAACAGCAATCGGCTTGGGAACCACAAAGAATGAAATGTTCCATTGCCCTCGGACGCGAGTCCAGGTAGCCCCTGAAACGACCGAGACCGAGAGCTCAGGACGGCACAGGGCACGCAAGTAACAAAGGTCGAGAACGGCGCAATTTTGTCACTTTTTAGCTTTTGTGTGCGCCAAGTCTCAATGTCTTACTCAGTCTGGTTCTACAGTATAAAAACGGCCCAGAAGAGCTTGCTTGGTAAGTAAAATCAGGACGCAGTGCAAAAGGCGTGCTCCCTCGGGTGGATTTCCTTTCTTCCCCAGGCTTCCCCTCAGGCCAGGCGCGCGGAGGATTGAAGACGAGTCCACAGTGCGGCCTCGTCGTTTCATGACCTCAGCCTCTCCTTCGGAGAAGGCTCGATGCTCGTGTTCAGGTGGGCGCTCATCTAGGTCAGCAGCGCAGCACCTCAGGAGTTTACCCGCAGTGAGCTTTTCACCAGTGCTCGAGGAGGCGGCGTGGTCGCATCAGACCGAAACACCTGATCCAATCAGCGCCACCAGCGAGCGGTCTTGCTTCTTGGTAGCAGTGCCCAATTAATTGTTAACGAGGTACCAGCCTCTCCAGTTCTGGTCCAGGTAAACCGCTCATTGTGTGCCGAATCAGGAACTGCCGGCGTGAGCTTGCCCGAGTTTTGCCACTTCTCTTTCAGGCCTCTAAGTATCTGTACCTCGCGGCAGTTTGAATTTTCATCATCTTTTTAAATCTTACAAGGTAGTGTCTCTCTCCAAAAATATGTCGTCGCCGGTCGGGCAAGTATTAGGAAGAGGCCATTGTAGCTTTGTGGTAACCCTTCAGTCGTTATGTCAATTGAGCGGGAGCCGGGATCAGATGGAGAACGGAACAAGCCGTCAGGTATTTTGTTAGCTGCACAGCGCATCCTCTCTCCCTTGTGTCTCAAACCCAGCCACGCCCTGGCCTTGTTAAATTTACCCCACACAAGCCCACTTCGCTCCCGCACCACGCTTTGAGTTTGGAAGGGCAGCCCTCGTTGGCAGGAGCCAACCACCACACCACCAGCGACGGAGCGAGCGTCCAATTGCTTCCATTCTTATCCTCGCATCTTTCCGCATCCCGTTTCCCAACACATGGCCTCTTTTCTCTCTGCCGTCACTCCTGCATCAAATCCAACCCCGACGCACCATCAGCATCGGGCGGCGGTTTTCGTGTAGTAGACTTCATTATTAGGCTGGCTTCCCAAACTTAACATTTTATCGTCATTGATCCAAGTTAGCTGCACGTCGGCACCCTAAACCTTAGGGCCTCCCCCACCCCCAATAACGCACAACACCCGGCGCCCGGGCATCCCGGCCCTCTTTGATGTGATCCCCTGACTCGACTCTCCAACGTGCGCGTTGTTGTCCCCGAGATGTTGCGACGGCCGCCTGGCCACGTCGCTCAGCAGCGCAAGTTCCTGTTGGCACTCGCCTTTATCCTCCTGCCATGGCTCCCGCTCGCCGATGCTCAGCAGCAGCACCAGCAGCGCCAACCCGCGCAGAATCACCAGCCGAGATTCCCACCCGAGGGTAGCCAACACGCTCTCCAGAATCCCGTTGCAACGCCCCTGACGGGCCATCTGGTGGTCGAGACGCCTCACGCCCACAACAGACGAAAGACTACCGTCACTAGCGACGTCGATGATGACGACACCCGGCTCAACCCCTACTCCCGCTCCCACGCCATCAATATTGACGATGCGCGCGCCCTCGCTTTGGCTCCGGACTTGTCCGTTCGAGCACCACATCCTCCGGCATACAAAACCAGCTCCATTGGGGTTGGTCTCTCGCAGCACGATGCGCGGAATCTGGAGGATTGGGAAGTGGAAGACTTTGTTCTTCTGGCGACCGTCGATGGAAACCTTTATGCCAGCGACAGAAAGACTGGACAAGAGCGTTGGCACTACAAGGCCGACCGCCCCATGGTCGAGACAAGACACTTTCGTGCCAACCGATCTGAAGTCGACGAAGACTACGACCCCATCGACGATTATATCTGGGTCGTCGAGCCCACTCGCGATGGAGAGCTCTATATATGGCGGCCCAGTGGCGGCAAAGTGAGCGTGTCCAAGATGGACTGGACCATGAAGACGGTCGTTGAGAATATGTCCAACCGATACGACAAACGTAATGGACTCGTATACACCGGCAATAAAATGACAACCATGGTCACTTTCAATGCAGCCACGGGTGCTGTGATCAAGGAGTTCGGCCCGTCGAGCTCCTACGTGAATAAGGTGGAGTCGGAGAGCTGCTCCAAGCCTAACGCGCTAGCCGACGGAGACAGCGAAGAGTGCAGCAACAGCGGTACCATAACGCTCGGGCGCACCGAATATACTGTTGGTATCCATCGTGCCGACGGTAGTCCGCTTGCCTCGCTGAAGTACTCGGAATGGGGACCTAACAATCAGGACAACGATCTCATTCAGCAGAATCTCAACACGAAGGACCACCGCTACATCGCGGGCCAACACGATGGCAAAGTATACGGCTTTGATTTTGCGCGTTCCAGGATGGACCGCCCATCTTTTACCAAGATGCTCTCGTCGCCAGTCGCTCGCGTTTTTGATGTCTTTCATCGTTGGGGGACTGCCCCAGGCGAGGATCCCGACCTTATTGTTCTACCACAGCCGCCGCTCCCTGCCAGTGACGAGAATGACTCGCGCCTTCGCAGCGAGCAGGTATTTATAAACCAGACCGAGGCCGGAAGCTGGTATGCTCTTTCGGGCAGCCGATATCCCATGATTCTTGAGGCCGGCCCAGCCCTTATTCACAAGATGGACTGGTTGCAAGTCAAAGACTCGTGGGAGTCGGACGAGGAACAAAAATCCAAAGTGCTGATCGGGACATACCCATTGTCAGTTGGGTCTGGTGGGACCAACAACGGCCAACGATCGCTTCAACTAATAGATGGGTCGGTTGACACTGACACGCGCAACTCCGACCCAGCGCTCCCGCCATCAGCGCCAACGTCCTTGCCAATACCACTGGCAGAATCGAGCCCAATACTAGACCCGAGGAAGATCTCGGAATTTGCCGCTGTCAGTCTCGTTGACTTGGTCAGCAACCCTGCTGCAATCGTCATCTTCTTCATCCTCATGTATTATTTGTACAAAGACAAATTTTGGCGGTCCAGCTGGAAGACTTGGAACAAGAGCAATTTCGAGCAGCATATCGAAGTCAGCTCTACGGCCGCGAGTGCCGAGCTGGATTCCAAGGAGCCAGTCGATGCCAAAGCGGATAATAGCGAAACCGACGATAAAGTCGGGGTCGATACGACCTCTGACGTCTCGGTTGATAAATCTAATTCCGGGGCAGCTGTTACAATGAAGCAAGTGTCACCCGCCGTCTCTTTTTCTGAGCCCGCCGACCTCGCCGACAAGCCGGCCCTCGATAGCAATGACGGCACCTCCGTCTTTGACAGCGCCAAAAAGAAAAAGGCGCACAGGGGCCGCCGCGGGGGCCTCAAGCATAAAAAAGGCAGTATCAAAGACAAGAGCGAACACTCGCAGTCGCGCGACGACGAACCCCCGGAGGCAACTGTCGAAGAGGTGGTCAACAAAGCAAAGCAACTCGGCGCGGAGCCAAAGCTCGAGCCTGACATTCTGACTATCCCCACTGGCGTTGACGAAGTTTCGGGCCCCATTCTAAAGATGGGTCTCCTGGAAGTTAATGAGGAACAGCAGCTTGGGACGGGAAGCAACGGCACTGTCGTCTTTGCAGGGAAATGGGATGGCCGCGATGTTGCAGTGAAGCGCATGCTTGTGCAATTCACAGAAATTGCCAGTCAGGAGACGAAATTGTTAAGAGAAAGTGACGACCACCCGAATGGTAAGTTTCCCATCTTCGGCGCCACGAACGATGAGACTCTAACAGAAGCCTAGTTATTCGATACTTCGCCCAACAACAGCGCGCGGCGTTCCTCTATATTGCCCTCGAGCTTTGCCAGGCCTCGCTCGCAGATGTCGTCCAGAAGCCACAAATGTTTCGCGACCTGGCCCAGGCGGGCGAAAATGACATGCCCAGTGTCCTGTATCAGGTTGCCAACGGCCTGAGCCATCTGCATAGCTTGCGCATTGTCCATCGCGACCTCAAGCCTCAAAACATTCTTGTCAATATGGGCAAGGATGGCAGGCCACGTCTGCTTGTGTCTGACTTTGGCCTTTGCAAGAAGCTGGAGGGCGGCCAGTCTTCCTTTGGGGCTACTACCGCGCATGCAGCTGGAACGTCTGGCTGGCGCGCCCCTGAACTCCTCATTGATGACGACGGGCCTGGATCTACATCGATGACTCTTACTGATCCAGGTTCGAGTCTTCACAGCGGGTCAGGCGAGCTGCTTGGTCCCAATAGCCGTCGTGTTACAAGAGCTATCGATATTTTCTCGCTCGGCTTGGTCTTCTTTTACGTCCTAACAAAAGGTAGTCACCCGTTCGACTGCGGTGATCGGTACATGCGCGAGGTGAACATTCGCAAGGGCAAATACAGTCTGCAACTTCTCGACTCGTTAGGCGACTTCTCGTTTGAGGCTAATGACCTCATTGCGAGCATGCTCAATGCCAACCCCAAACTCCGGCCGTCTGCCCGCGAAGTCATGGCACATCCATTTTTCTGGAGCGCTAAGAAACGGCTTTCATTCCTATGCGATGTGTCGGATCACTTCGAGAAGGAGCAGCGCGACCCTCCGTCGGAGGCTCTCTCTGAGTTGGAGCGCTTTGCTCCAAGCGTTGTTAAGGGTGACTTCCTCAAGAATCTCCCCAAGGACTTTGTCGATAGTCTTGGCAAGCAACGCAAGTACACGGGCACGCGGATGCTGGATCTACTGCGCGCACTTCGCAACAAGCGCAACCACTACGAGGACATGCCCGAGACGCTCAAGAAGTCGGTTGGCCCTCTTCCGGAGGGCTACCTGGGCTTCTGGACGCGTCGGTTCCCAAATCTGCTCATCACTTGCTGGAATGTCGTGTACAATGTCCAATGGGAGGAGACGGATCGCTTCAGGGAGTATTACGAACCTGCTGGGCTGGGGTTGTAGCAGTTTTTCTTACATTGAGAAAAGGTTGGGGTTACGAGCGGAAATAATTTGTGAATCTGGCACTTCAGGGGATGGTCTAAAGTTTATGCAGCTATGTCAATATTGTCGCATTTCGGTACATGATCCAGGCTATATTGGTCCCTTTCTTACCCAAGTGTGTGCTAGTTGGCAAATTTCTCAGCAATTCTACGGTAGGCAGGTACTTGGGCAGCTAGTCAACAACAACAACAACAACAAGCTCTCGATACTGTGTATTATTTCGTCTACTTCAATGAGGCTTGCTTCAGGGGGGAATCCCACGTCTCGATACTGAATGCCTTCACAGCCCACCTTGGCTCCCAAGAGTCAGCTATCCACCCTCAAGAAAGCCTAGGGAACATCGCCATGGTGAAGGCAGAAATATGTTGTGTGTATAAAACTCTGCACAGCACACAACGCAAACAGCCTCGATACTACTAGCTACAACCTCCGCACGCCCCTAGCACACTATCTTGTTTTGTCAACATAATTAGACCAACAGTTCCCTTCTGCTTCGTGCTCAGCAATAAATACCATACAAAACAAGTCTGCAAGCGGCGCGCGCGTGCGTTGAGGAGTTTAGATCTAGCCCCACTGCACCAGCACCTGCTTCTTGTTCTTCTTTTTACCCTTGGCGCCCCCGGGAGCCGGTGCAGCCTCTTCGGCATCCTCTGTGGGAGGCGGCTCCTGTGCCGTTCCCCAGTTGAAGGTACCACGCGACTGGCCGAAATCGCGGCGCACAACACCTGAGCCGTAGCCAAAGATGGTCGTGGTGGGTTTCGGCGCCGCCGGCAGGGCGGGGAAAGCGTCCTCACCATCACCATTGACGCCGGTTCTCCTCCCGCCACCAACACCACCAGCACCAGCACCACCGCCACCCCCGCCATATGACGGCTGCGAGAACCCAACTACCGCAGGTCTTAGCGGCGGCCTTGTGATAGCTGGCCCAGCCCCGCCAATCCAGGTGGGCTGTGTTGAGTTTGAAGTGGCGGCGCCGGGGAGTGCGGGGAAAGCCGAGCGAGACGGGATGATGTCGTTGTTATTGCTATTACTGCTGTTATTGTTGCCGCGACTCGTTATCCTGTCGGATGACGACGCTGTCGATGAACTGGGGCTGAGTCCCGGAATGGACACCCCAGACCCTGCACTTCCCCGCCTGGTGCTGTTCTTGAGCTTGAGAACTCTCGTTGTCTGCCTCGCCTGTGCAGCTGGTGTGTTGCTGGTCGAAATTCCTCGCACAATGGTCGGGCCTGAGGCGGCAGCGGCAGCCCAGGCGCTGGATGTTGCCGCCGAGCTCTGCGCCCCTCCGAGACCAGGGAGGGACGGATAGTCCTCTGTGGCAGCAGCACGCCAGTTGTGCCAGGCTTTGCGCAGAGCCTCCCCTTTCTTCTTGTCGTCGAATAGCTCAGCAGCTTCGCGGACCAGAGTCCCGAGGGCGTGAGACGAGGTCTCGGAGAATAGAGAAAAGAACTCGTCGACCAACAGCTCCGCTGTCATCGACCCCCTATTGTAGTTGGAGATGAGCGAGCGGAACATTTCTAGCTTTGTGGAGTTGTTCCCGAGAAGATTTGCGGCTCGCCCAATGACGGCACCGTGCCGCGTAAGGCTAGCACGCTGGTCGTGAGTAAGAGAGTAGAGGTCAGCAATGCTGAGGTTCTGCAGGTCGTCAATTGTTGTCTGGGAAGACTGTGGCGGCTGGGACAGAGGAGGGAAAGATGACTGGGCTGAAGTGTTGGCGTTTGGCCTAGACGACGGCCCCGCGCTTGACTGTGTAGACTGTGCAGACTGCGCGGACTGGATAGAGCTGATGGCCATCTGGCGCTGGAAAGCAAGCTCGTCTCTCCTGAGCTGCTGGGCAGAGCTGACAGGTAGCGCTTCAGCGTTGGGATCGGGGCCACGCCTCCGATTCTGATCCCTCCCGCTGGCGCCACCTCCGCGTCTCTCCTGTTGGTAGCTCTGCCGGAAGTCAAAGCTTGACATGTCGACTCTCCTGACATCTTTGGAGAATGACCCCCCATGCTCGCTGAGCTGGTGGGCTTTGAGATCCATCTCTGATGCAAACACTACGAACTTTTTCTCCTGGCACTCGTTGTCGGGGCAGATGAAATGGTCCTTTTTGAAGTGCTCCTCGAGAGCATTGTAATCTTGATAGTAGTGTGGCTTTCTTGAGTCCCTCCGATCGCAGAGAAAGCACCGCTCGTGCTTGTTGCGGCAATGCTCGTAGAGTTTGTCATCATCGTAGAAGCGCGCGCCGCAGAAGCCGCAGAGCGGATGGCCCTTGAAGCCAGTCTGGTCGGATGCCCCGGGCTTGTCATCGCCATGCCGCATATGGTCCGTCAGTTCCTGGTCTGCGAACATGTCATGCTCGTGTGTGAAGACCATTTTGTGTCGAGTGCAGAGATCGCACAGCTTCTTGTGGTGGACGGAACGGACATGGCGGTGCAGGTCAGGCCAGCCAAAGCCAGCAAAATCGCAGTCTCCGTCAGGGCAATTGTACCTAAGAAGAAGGATCGTATCGTCCCTGATATCCTCGCTGGTATATTTGACGCCAATGTTCTCGTCACTGACGCTGACTTCTTCACTTGTATATTCCTCGAACCTCTTGGTGGCGTCATCGGTGAAGATGACAAACGGAGCTGAAGTCTAACAGCGGCCAACGTGTCAGTTACACACTGGAAAGTCTCGAACCAAGGGGTAGCTACTCACCCGACAATGTGGACAGTCCTTGCTCTTGTAGAGAGCCCTCAGCCTTAATGCGCAGATGTGGCAAGTTGCGTGATTGCAAGGCGCGAGAGAGCGGTGAACAATTGTGTTCGCGCAGATGAAACAGACTTCAGCATCCTCGTCGTCGGCGTCGTCCTGCAGCACCTCATTGGCGGTCTTGAAGTTGAGCGACTTGCCCGGCTGGGGAGCTGTGCCCTTTTCACTTGGCGGCTCAAAACCTTGTTCGGCTGATGGCTCGATAGCAGGGTCGGATGATGTGTGGTTGGCATGCCGTCCTCCTCTTGGTGCTCTTCCGCCTCTGCCCCTTCCGCGCCCGGCTTGGACGTTCCCAGCCGGGGCGTTCCCACCTGGGGCGTGCGGTCCGTCCCCCCTGCCCCGGCCCCTGCCTCCACGTCCTCTGCCTCTACCTCTATGACCGTCGGCACCTGGATACGTGTGTGGTGCTTGCGAGTCATCGCCTCCGCCACCTGTTGTCGCAGATACGTCTGTCGAAGCCATGGGGTTCGTGAAAGATGATGTGGCAGTCCAGGCTATTGCCACTGTCACTGTCGAGAATTGATTTCTCGTCGGGCCGTTCGGGCCGGATCCTGATTCTCCCTGTAGAAAACACGCGAGTGCAGCAGGCACGACAAGCAATCGGAGAGGGTGTGTACGTGATGTTGTAGATCGAAGGTTGTTTGCTGGCCGTCTTTCGTGTCTGACGTGGATGGTGGGGCAGCTTTATCAGCGCCGTGGAAGTTGCGGCATTGGCAGCTTTTTTCGTTACGCCCCGCTATTGTGAGTGGGCTGTGCGGGGAATTCGATTTTCGGGGAGCCAGCAGAGGCCTCGGTGGGCAAGGTGCAGGGGTGTCCATGTCATTGGGGCGCCACCAGAGAGGGTCAGCCAATGAAGGGTCTCCGGCACTCTGCAGAAATGGAAGCCTGGTCATGACTCCCATCCGTTTGCTTGTCCCTGCCTGGCTTAAGTGTACCTATGTACCTTAGGCGTGCATGGTAGGTACCTTACTTACCTCCCTAGGTAGGTGGTAGGTACCTGTAGTTGGTACTTATAGGTCTGCAATCGCTAAACCCATGGAACTTAAGGTTGATGTTGCCTAGCGGCAATAGAGAGAGGAGAGTCACGCCGTCTTCAAAGTAGCCTTTTCTTAGAGCTTGGCTCAAGCAAGGCTGACACCTAGTACAGTTCAACCCCTCCACTATTTAAATATTCCCGCGGTACAGACGGGGAGGGTCTCCACGATGGAGGTACCGAAGGACGAGGAACCGAAAAGTGAGGCCGTGTTTTAACAAGGACGACGAGCACGATGAAATAAATTTGTGGTTCATAGACTAGATAACTATGAATACCTCCTACTACTCCTGTTCTCCGACGCGCTCCTCTTCCTTCGGCTTGTGGTATAACGACGCAACTCGAGACCGCTTGAACTTGCCCGGCACCTCCTTGAGCCTGCGGTAGCTTCCCTTGAGGCTCAGCTTGGAGAGCTGGCGCGTGAGCGTAAGCGTCTCCCCCTCGCCATAGTCAGTGCCCTTGTCTTTGTCCGTACTGATACTTATCTTCTGCTTTCCCTTCTCTCTTCCCTCCGGTATCCCCTTCTGCTCCTCGTAGCCATCGTCATGCTTGCTCTACTCCATTAGCAGACGTTCCTTCTCCTTCTGCTCCTCGTGGTCATCGTTATGCTTGCTCGGCTCTATTAGTAGACGTTCCTCCTTCTCCTCCTTGAGACTACCAATCCCGCTGCCCGTCTTGGTATGTTGGCTGACCTGAACACTATCTGTACGCAGCGCTGGGAGTATGGTGTTAGAGCATGACTTCTAGTCGTCCTCGCACTCCTCTCCTGAGGTCTCCAGATCGGAATCGCTCTCGCTTAGCAATACCTTATGTAACCGAGCTTCCTGTAAAGCTTCATAGTACGCCATCTCGAGAAGGGATTTTCTCCAAATCGCTTCTATCCTCTCGCTTAAGATGCCGAGCTCGAGAGCGTCTCTGAGCATGTCGTCCCAATGGGCAGGCAAAAATGCCTCGTTTCGAGCCGAACCTAGTATGTCATCGTCCGGGGGGTCGCCGCCAAAGATAGCTTGAAGGGCTCCGGCGGCTTTCATACTGGCAAATATCTACTACATGGCATATCGCATCTAGAAGAAGCGGATATCTGGTAGCGGGCGTTTCTCCGAGTCAGACGTGCTTAACTCATAGATATCGCCGTGTACGACATATCTGGCGCTAGCCCCAATCGAGTCCTGTATCGTCCGCTTACGATCCACCAAGTTAGTCTCCTTGCTGTGACCCTGGCCGCTACTAGTAAGGCCGCTACTAGTAAGACCTATCTCGGCATGCCGTTCTTTAAACCAGACGACGTGGAGGTATATATTATGCTCTGGATTGGTTGGGTGCTGGATAGGACGGAGGGCAAATTTATGCCGGTCCCAGAGCCGACGGGCGGTAGGCCAGAACATCCGAAGTACCCTCCAAAAGTCAATAGGCGTGTCCATGGAATCTATTACTTAGACATCGATAATATTTACGGCGTCAACTACCTCAATACCAGTTAAGGAGCAGCAGTTCTGGTACCAAGGTGGTACCGTCTGCTGGGCTGTTTTATCCTCTTTGCTACGGTCTTCCGCTTTGCCTTTACCTTTACCTTTGGTCGATATCTGCTCCCCTCCCTCTTCCTTAAGCATCGTAACCAAGGTCTCGATAGGCTAGTTGACCTAGATGCCGGTAATCATTTTGACTAGTGTAATCAACACCAACAATTGACCCCGGAAGAACTCGTCGAGTGACTCAGACTCCTTAATATTCCCCAGACATAAATGAGTCAACATCGAGGACGGATCGAGGGCTATCCAGGAGTAAGGAAAGCCACAACGAAATGACGAGCAAAGCAAATATTATACCGAGAAGGAGGTAAAATATTCTAACTCTTACAGTAATCTTTTCGAATCCGATTTTTTTATTAGATTCTATTGTTGCGTTGTTGAGAAAATATAACAGATAAATCCGAAGGCTTGGCAGCACCGCGGGAACAACTAAACAGGGATCGGAGTGACATACCTACAAAACCTAGATCACGTATCACATGAATCATAATGAATCACAGTAGCTTGAGTTAGCTTCCTCGCATAGAAACAACCATGTGATATTCGCCATGTTATTCGGAATCATCAAGAATCACCAGGACGAATAAGGAGTTTCTTTTCAACCACTCAAAGCCGCTTGCTCATTTGCGTATAACTACCTACCCCAAGGCATTATCACTACAGTGCCTCCATCGTCTTCTCGTACCCCTATATGTAAATGTTTGATAGTTAATAAAGTATTTGCCGCTATTTATACACCATACCAATGCTGTGCTGTGACCAATGACGACGGCAAGCATGTCGTTTGTTCGTCTCTCCGTTGCTTCAACCAAAATAATATGCGTGAGCGTTATCTCCAAGTCCATAGAAAACCCCCCCGCCCAACCCTTCAGTCTGGCCGCTTGTCATACTAGACATAGACTGGCCAAGGAGAACCGCCTGGGCAATAACGAACACCAAGATATTGAAGATGATGATTGGGGCGTGTTCGAAACACGTCTCCCAGGACCTGCGCCAATTTAAAGAATAAAATAAGGGATTATCCAGAGAAATGCAAAATCGCTTAGATGGGAAGTCCTAGCCAAAAAAAAAACCAAGGTACCCACCTTTGGCTGTGCTCTGCTAGCCAGGTTGATAATCCCAGAGTCAAGAAACAATGTCCCAAGACGCCATGCACGCCTAGCCTGCTTTAAATCCAAACCAACGATATCAGTCTTCGATGGGATAGAGCTGATTGCCGAGAAGTTTATTCATCTGAAACATGTCGACTCGGCTCCGTTCAAACACGGCTTGCATCTTGTCGTCACATCGTATCTGCCGCTTGTCATTGGGATCCTGGAGCTCGTTGGCTTTGATGTGTTCCCAAAGCCGTTTAACCACCTGCGGGCGTGATAGCTGTTCTTGTTAGTAAATGGCCCCAAACTTCAAAGACACGTACGGGGGCCTCGTAAACAAACCTGGCTCTCTCCGCATATTTCCGCTAGCGGATAGCTGAGGTTGAAAGGTTTCTGAAAGCCACCCCCTGCTTTCCGTTTCTGTTTTTCTTCTGCCGAGTCCTCGTCGCTGTCATCGTTACCCGAGCGCACTCGTTTCTCGCTCTTTTTCTTTGCTGCCTTTGCTTTTGGTTTTGCCTTGACCTTCTTGGTGACTTTGGTTGCGCCGGCGCCGCGCGTGAGTGGGCCACGCGACCGTCTGTTCTCTTGCGCCTGGAGTTCGGCGGCAAGACGCGCATCGGCATCCTCGCTCGAGCTCTCGCGTTTTTGTTTTTTCTTTGCTGGTGGTAGCGAAACCTCTATTTCACCGTCGTCGTCGTCGGCGGCGGCAACATCTGCGTCTTCGTCCCCCTCGGGCTTGACCTCGGGGGAATGGCCGTTAGTTTCAGGTCGCGGTGAAAGCTCGGCGGCGGCGCCGGAGTGGGGCGTCGGTATTGCCTGCGTCGAGTCGGCAGATATAGCGTCGAACCGTTCTTCAGTTAAGTTTTTGATGGCATTCTAGTTGGCGGCAGGTGTATTAGGTGCCACAGTTCAGGAGGAAGAGTTGGCAGGGGCCGCGAGGTAGCAGGATTGCACGTACCTTTTGGCCGCTGAGATCCTTCTGGATGGCTTCTTGGAGGCCTTCTCGGATCTTCTTGCGAGTGACCGTTTCCAGGTCGGCAGCCGCTAAGATGCCGTCGATAATGCGGGTGTACTCGAGCTTCTCATCCGAAGATACTATACAAGGTCAGCGATGCCGACAACACAAGGGCACCATAGTCCAAGGTGGCTCAGAGGAGTCCTACATGGGGCAGACATTGCGGACAGCGAGAGAGGCGCATCAATGGGCGCAGGGCCAGGAGCGTAATCGGGCTGCAATGTGTGGTCGAGCACCGCGTGGCGTGCTCGCAGGCCGAGCGGGGATACCCGCCGGAAGAGCGATCGTGAGCGTTGGGCTAGGCGGTGGTTGTAGGCAATTGCGGCTTAAGCCGGACTAAGGGCGCGTTTCTTCACGTGTGCGTAGGAGGGGTGATGTCGCGCAAGTTGGAGCGAAAGGACGGAAGCGTGGAGAAGATCCGCTTTCTGGGTGAACCCAAGCCAACAGCGTTTAGTAACTGGCTGGGTAAGGTACCTTAGGTACCTCCCAGGTAGTCAGTCTATGTTGGCAACAAGCAGAAAAGGCCCCCCCGGCAAACACTCGACAAGATGCGCGACGATTATTAGGAGGAACGCGCTCGCAGTTCGGCGACGCTTCTGAAGCCTGAGGCGGTTGGTGTGCAGCGGACGTGGGAGCTTACAGGCCAGACAAATTAGTGACTTTGTTGTGCGAGTCGATGGGTGGAGCGACGATGCGGATGGGATGGAGGGAGAGTGGGGAGCGGGCTTCTGGCTCTTTAATCCCTGTCCAATCAATTCTCCGAATTGCAACGGCAGCTGCTCCCCCATTTGTTTTCTCCAAGTGCCATGCGCTGGAATTGGGGGTCTGCACGTGATTTCCGTGCCCAGAGAATGAGGCCACGGGGGTTCCAAAGTGCAACAAACGGTGACGGAGGCTGATCTTTCCCAAGATCACCTAGCTTGACTTAAAGCCACCCGCATTTGCTGCAGGAGCCCAAAGACGAAGAGACAGGAGCTATTCTAAATTAACCGCGGTCAAGGGTCCAGTTCAACCTTTTTTCATTATTGTATTGGGCAATTCCCGCAGTGCTTTGTTCTTCCTTTTCCTCCTGGCCTAGGGCACGGAACATGAGTCACCACACGACTCCGAACAGATATCCAGGGAAGTGAATGACCACCACTCCACATTCCACATTCCACATCCACACCCACAATAACAAAGCTAGCTCGCAAAATACTACCCAAGTCTGCGGCCATTGAATCAAGTCTTAGCAGCTTTGTTGCTCGATACTGACGGATATAGTTATCCAGATGGTTTCCAGAGTCCTGGCAACTCTTCCCTTCCTTCTATTCTAGACCAGCGCTGTTAATGTATTTTCGAGCCTGAAACATCCACTGAGAGCCAAGCTCTCTTCCAAACCCGGCCCGCCCTGGAGGTTGCACTCGGATGAATCAGCCTGCCTGATGACATGGTGGAAACTACCCGTTCCTCAAACTTCATTAGCCTCTCGGACAAGCAGAGAATTTCACGGCCTTTTTCTTTATTTTTCTTCCTTTTGTGGTCCATGTTCCTAAAGAGGCTAGAACTCGGCTGTCATCATCCGAAAGGACCTGATAGTCGGCTCATGGTTTCAGCGCTCAACCACCGGCTCACGTGCAGCTGCCACGTTCCGCCGTGTTCAATGCATCATGTAAGTGATGCTATGGCTCCGAGGTAAAGTAACTAACCGCATGAACAATGGATCACCCTTGGAATGGCCCAATTCGAATCCGTACCTTGTGTTCGCCAAGTGCCCCAGGGTGGGTAGTGGATGGGTGTGATATCCCAAGCCGGCAGCCACTGTCCAGTCGAGAGGGTCTTGGATCTCTTTCCCCGGGAAATCTGGAACCGCCAAACTCTCAACTGCAAGCCAAGCCAGACGATGCTCTCTAACTTCACGGCTGTTGCACGGCAGTCTGCGTAACAACATAAGCTGTGAGGACGACTCGCAATCTCTCAACCCCTCAAATGCCAAGGGGCTGTAGTTGATAATATATCTTCGAGTTTTAGACCAATAGTGACCTCCTGTGCTGACCTTTCTAGGAGATGCCACCGCCATTCTGTCTCGCGAACCCTCTCTCCTGTTCATTGCTGGCACATGCCTCAACTGCAACAGCTCCCATGCTATCATGGACAGGGCACAGAGTTCCGGCGCCAACCGTGTCTGGTAGCACAAGCCAGCGAGGCGGCTAGTTGATGGGGGTGGTTCACCCAGGGAAAGGGGTCATGCGGGGTATCAAGGTCTCCTCGCTGCCGGCAATTGCCCGCCCAATAACACAACCTCCAACATGCAGAACGGCACGTCTACCAACATTGCCTCGATCCTGCGGGCTTACTTCACAGCACACGCACTCTATCCCGCGGCTAGTACACCCACCTCGTCTTGTCTACGTAGGTATATAAGGAAGGCATGGCTTCTTCTGGCATCCAGCCACCGCTGTCCTGGGCATCCGGCTCATACATACCGCATAGCCATCATATGCCAACGAGACTCCCGTCCTAAGACGTCATTCCTGTCGCCGCTTCCCAGCAGGTATACTCACCATGGCCGAGTTTCCCAGGCTGCCCCATTCGGGCATCCGCGTCGTCATTGTTGGCGCGGGCTTTGCCGGGCTTACGGCTGCCATTGAGTGTGACCGGAAAGGGCATGAGGTCATCTTGTTCGAAAAGTCCCCGGAGCTCGCTCCGCTCGGCGATATTATCAGCTTCGGCCAGAACTCGTCCCGCTTCTTCTCCAAATGGCCGGGCGTGTGGGAGGCCCTCGAACCCATCATCCATAAGAGCGAGGAGGTCAAATTCTACGACTGGCTGGGCAGGTATGCCACAACTCAGTCGTTTGCCAAAGAACACCGCGAGTGGGGGCCTAGGGTCAACGGTCACCGGGGTGAGATCCACCAAATCCTCTACCGCCATGCGCTGGCCAGGGGGGTTGACGTCCGGCTCGGGCACAATATTGTCAACTACTTTGAGACAGAGGATGCGGCCGGTGTCGAGACGGCTGATGGCCAGCGGTTCACGGCCGACGTGGTGCTCGCCGCCGAGGGGGTGCGCTCCCGTGGCAGGAAGCTCGTCCTTGGATTCGAGGATAAGCCGCAACCCTCGGGGTACGCCGTGTTTCGCACGTGGTACCCCTCCGACAAGCTGTTGGAGAGCGACAAGACACGGCACCTGGTGGCCAACGGCGATTCGCATGTCGCTTGGATTGGGCAGGACGTGCACTTTCTGGCCGCCGCCATCAAGGACGGCCGCGAGATGAGCTGGGTGTGTACGCACAAGGACGAGGGCGACATCGAGGAGAACTGGCAGTTCCCCGCCAAACTCGAAGACGTGCTGCGTGTCGTCGACGGCTGGGACCCAGTGGTGCTGGAACTAGTGAGAGCTACACCGCCCGACCGGCTGTTCGACTACAAGCTCGTCTTCCGCGACCCCCTCCCAACCTTCATCTCACCCAAGGCACGCACCGCGCTGATCGGCGACGCCGCCCACCCGTTCCTCCCCACGTCGATCCAGGGCGCCTCCCAGGCTATGGAGGACGGCGTGGTCATGGCTGCCTGTCTCGACCGAGCCGGCAAAGGCAAGGTTCAGGAGGCTGTCCGGGTCTGGGAACACATTCGCTACGAGCGAGTGCACAAAATCCAGGCCACGGGCATCTCGACGCGCGAGCAGTGGCACAAAGCCGACTGGGACGCCATATGGCGTGACACGGACTCGCTGCATCTGAAGCGGGAGGCCTGGGTCCTTGACTTTGACTCGGAGGCAGACACGTATGCATCGTATGATGGTATCCGAGATCAGCTGTTCTCAGGCGAGACAGCGAGCTGATATTGCAGCTTCATCTCCCAAATATTGTGGCCCTGACGTGGATATGCAGCCAATACACTAGAGCTAGTAGCTAGAATCGGCCAAGGGCTTCTGCCCGACCCTCTTCATTGTTTGCCTTTCATTTCGTCCTGTCCTCCCTGGATTCTTTCGGGTTTGTTTGTACCTGCACTCCTTTGGACAAGGCGAAAGGCTAATGTGCAATGAAGCTGGTAAGCTCATCACACCGGGGTGCTCAGTTCCAAGTCTTGGCTGAACGTGTTGCCGGATCTTGAAACCAAACGGAAAAACGCACCCAACGGGTGCCTCGAAAAATGGCTCATGAAGATTGACGCCGCTGAGCATTCAGATCATGTGTCGCCGAAGAGGGCCATCCATCCCAAGTATGGTACGATTAACGATTATGTTGGAGACTCACATTCAGATGTGGAACGGATGAGGCTCTCTGAGAGTCTCGAGCACCTCCCTTACTACACCTTACCCACTTGGACTAGTCTCAGCATGGCTACAACTGGCGAATGGCTCGCGTAATTAACAGATCCAAATGGTCGGGACCGAGCACCATCAGACGAGATTAGTGGCCGCCACTGAAAGACTTGAACACGATCCCGGAGCTGGCAAAGCGCCGACGTCCCGACGTCGCCGAGCAAAAGAGGGGACGGGGGTGGGTGACGTCTGGCTTTTCATAGGCTATATACCACAGCTTGCCAGGCATCCGGCCAGCCTCACACAGCCGACCGCCGGCATTGACGCCGGAATTGAACCCATACACCCGCTGTCTTTTCATCTTCTCGGGCCACAGAAACACATCGGAGTCCGGCGGTTGCGACAGGTGCGGCAGGTCTCGGATTACCCCACAAAATGCAGCTTCGTTCAGCTCGGGGGACGGGGCGATTACTATTGCGTATTATTGCGGCCGCTCTGGCACCCCTTGCCTCCTCCGCCTCCTCTTCAGAAATGAGATGAATATTAGCACATGGTCTAATAGCCCCCACTGGCCTATTCTTGTCCTTCAGGCCGCCGCCGCCGAAACCTGGACCCAGAACATGCTCAGCCAGTAGAAACACGCTGCGGTTGATCGGACGAGGGAGGATGGAGATGTGCGGTCGAATCATGATCGGCGGCGAACAGCAGCCCTGGCATGGTCGTTCATGCACCGGACCTACTTAGTTGGCTTCCTTTTGCTGTCTACGCTGAGTGGCGGGTCCCTTTGCCCCTCTCGCGCGTTTCTATAAGATGGCGAGGAGGAGACCGGCAAGCCCTCTCTGCATAAACCTGCCTTTCCATCAACCGCACTAGACTCCCTCCTCACACACAGTTTAAAGGATTCTTGGCCAGGTCGACCTTGACCTTTTGAAATAATTACTTGCATCAAGCTCGGGCTCAGACACACAATTACAACATGGCTGCTCCGATCCCCGTCGCCAGCTTCGGCAACAACTCTAAGGTTGCGCAGGACATCCGCGCCAGGCTTCTCCCTGAATACGACCGTACGTCTTTGCACTGGTCTGTGATAATCCAGGTGGCACTTGCTAACTAGTGCCATGTCCCAGTCGCGCACATCTGCCTCGACCTCGAGACGGCGCAGGCTGAGCTGCCGCTGATCTGCGCGGGCAACCTCGAGACGGAGCCGTCGTCGGGGCTGGGCAGCAATGCGGGCGTGCCGGCGACGGAGCGCAAGGTGCCGCGGGCCATCATCTTCGGCGGCGGCATCCCCACAGACGAGATCCAGCGCGTCCACGACGCCGTGCAGGCCAAGGCCCCCGAAGTCAAGCAAATCCACCTCACGCGCCAGGACATCCTCGACGCCGGCGCCACCGGCCCCGACCCCGAGGTCATCGGCCGCCTGCTACGCCAGAAGCTCGCCGAGCTGGTCGACCAGTCCGACTCAGATAGCTGAGTTGTTATTATTGGGGGGGGTGTTTGTTATATAATTTTAGGTGAAAATCAGGGGCGAGGGGGAGGGTCGTGCCGCGAGTCGAGCCGAGTCTGGAAGGGAAGAAAATAGTAGTGTTTTTTTTTGCTTGGTAGGGCTGCGAGGCAGCAGCGAGAATATTAAAGAGGTTCTGGTACATTGCCGCACACTCTCAGCCGTGGTTGATTGCGACTTGTTGAAAGTTGTGGGTGTAAGGCCGTCCGGGCCGACCGTATCGTTGACTGCCTTGACAGCTAGTTGCAATGAAGCTTCCGGGCTTGCTTCGGGGTCCTCGGTCCTGAGGATGGTATATGCCTGGCGTAGCGGTGCGTGGTACCGTTCAACCTTGCCAATACTGTTGTGGGCTTCAACGGGTATCTCTTTGATCAAGATCCCCATTTCCTTAGCCGACTGCCGGAACTCGGTAATCGGAACGATGTGCCGGCGTCGGTAACTAGCCAGTCGGGGGGCCTTGGTATACGTTGATCCAACATAGGCAGAGGGCTTCCCACACGGCCTTTGACGATATATCCTTCAGGAAGTGGGCCGCTGAGAAGGCCGTAGCCGCATCGACGGCGTGGAGGACAGGGCGGCCGTCGATATACAGTATATCGACGGCGACTTCGTAGTTGAACTCGCAATCGTCGTGCAGGGTGAATTTGAACCGGGCCGGGCGGCCCGCGTTCATCTGGCACTGGTGGCAGACTCGGCTCAGGAACTCAAGGGCTCCGATTTCCACCGGGTGCCCAGCCGTCTTCAGGACCTTATGCAGGCGGGGGACCGACGGGTGGCCGAATCGGCGGTGGAGCCGGCGTAGCCCCGTGTCGGTGAGGTAGTTGTAGGCGAGGGTCTTTTCTTTCGTTAGCTGGAGCCAGGGGTGCCCCCATTTCCGTACGACGGGGACGGTGAGGTTGCCCTGCCGTAGCTGGTTCCGTAGGTTGTCGAACTTCAGGCCCAAGCGGTCCATATCCTGAAGGCACAGCAGGAACGGTGTGTCCGCGGGGACTACGTGGAAGTTAACCAGGCCGAAGGGGGTAGGTACGGTGGTGGTGCCTAGGGGGGTGAGGGTGCCGCCTTGGCCGAATTTGATCGCGGCTTCCGTATTTGGCGGTCCGAGCCGTACTGACGGTAGCTCCCTTTGTAGGGCACGGAACTGTAGGTGCCCGGCTGTTAAAAAGCCGGAAGCTCCTATGTCGGGCATGATGCCGTGGAACTCCGTAGCTAAGTAACGGCCTTCGAGGGTGAAGATCGAAGCGGGGTCTTGGTCCTGCCTTTCGGCCTGGAGGAAGGGGTCTTCCTTTGTTAGGCCGTGGTAGAGGGCGGTATTACTAGTCCGCATAAAAAGTAATATCCGACAAATCTTAAGCTATTGATGCACGAAAAGTGTAGATAGCTTCATTTCGTAAAGCGCTGGTGGGAGTCCCACTAATGGCGTTTGGCGCTAGCCGGACGCATCGGGCTAGACTCGCGCTGGCGCACGGGCCATGTTGGCACGTGACACTAGCGGGGTCTAGGGTTTCCAACTTTTGGGAAATGCCCCGCGCCCACCAAGCTTAGAAGAATCATCACCTTTTACACTGTAAGGAAAGGACACCCCAAACACCAGCCGCGCGCACAGGGTGCGCGCTCACCACCTGTTACCAATTGGCCAGAACACTGCCAGTTGGCACAAGCCATTACGCCACGCCATGGCGCCCCGGGCCTGAGCCCCTGAGCATGTATATAAACGTGGCCCTCGCCCACCTTCCTTTGCGAGGGCCAGGTTGAAGTCTCACACCAATACTACTCGTTGCTCGCCCACCTTCTTACCTGCATTGTGACCACCTTGATCCGGCGTACCTGCCTTCTCTTACATACACCTTTTTTGCATCCCTAACAGTTTTACCGCTTCAGCTATAGTCGGACTTCCTAAAATAATAAAGAGTTATCTTTAGTATACTCCTCGCTATATTCCCTACTAAGTACCGCGTTTTCGAGAGCTGAAGCTTCCTAGCTAGCTTAGGGAACCGGATCTCTTAGCGATCGATAATTGTTACGAATCCTTGTTGAAATGCGCAATAGTGGGGCACGCTCAGTTTGGTGTGGACCAATCAGGAGCGTCCCATGGAAGGAACCAATTAGGAGTGTCCCTGGGTCCCGAGGTTCGGGACTACTCAAGGTCGGGGACGCGGGACAGTGTCCCGCGCGCCCGGCGTCCCGAGACCGCAAGGTCTCGGGACCACGGGCTAGTGGGACCATTGTTATTGGTTACACAGTTAGATATATACGATGACCGTACCTACGGTCATAGATAGCTCTTGCTTGGTTCTTCAAGCAAGCAATACACATTCACTGCACTCATACACTTTGAGTGGCATTCCAATTTGACTGTATTACCCGTGGGATAGGAGCTTGCCCATTGTTCTATCTTCATAATTACCAACCCCAGCATCCTATCGAGCCCGTGCTCCTTACAGACAGACGACCCTAACAGTCGAGTGGTTTATAATACTTATCAATTTCACATAGTAATTTTTTCAGAGTTTCGCAGTAATATTGTCCTCCAGACAGGATAAAAACTGGCTAACTAAGGCTGTAAGGCATCCTCAGTGAAAGGCTATGTCGGCAGGATTCCAGGTCGCAGTCCTCTACGAATTTTTTGCGGGTGGAAATGTATGGCTGAATGACCGATTTTCAGTGAAAATTTGACTTGGCCAAGCATGGTGCCCATGTGTGCCAATTACCTGAAATGCAACGTTAGTGTTAAGATCACCAGGTACCGGTACTGAAAGCAACAGGGCGTAGCTGTACGCCGAAAACTGGTGGTTCAAGTGTTGATTGTTGATGTCTATGTAGATCTAAGAAGGAAGGTGGAAGTGGCCGTAGGCCACTTATTTACGTTCGGTGGCCCTGCGCCCCTGCGCCTCCACTGCCACATCTGTGGCTGACTAGCGCGTTATTCCAACAAAAGTATTGTCATGCGTGGTGTGTCAGCTGCCAGCGTCGTTGGTGCCGAATCACCAACTCTGTGTTGGCTCCCATAAGCACCTTCATGGTCGAAATCAAACTTGGGGGCATCTCAACAATCAATTCTCATGGCAATGTCACATGTCATGTCAGACGTGGTACTGTCCCATCCCAAGATGCCTGCTTCTAGAACTAACTCGTTTGGTCCATCATGCAGACAGCTTAAAGCCCCTGTCACTCAGTTCAGCCGCACTCTGGATCTGGCCGAGCGTCGAGTAATTAATTATCAGACCTCATAGAGCCTCGCCATTCACCTCAATTTCACCACCCGTCATGAAAAAAATGAAGCAACATCCTAACCATAACCACAACTGGGCGCCTACATTACCAGCACACACAGCCCCGCCGGCCTGCCAGGCCCAGCCATGGCCATCGACTTCGGGCAGGCGCGCAACAGCACGGCGTGGCACGCCGAACCCAGCCGCCGCGGCACGTACGGGCTGCTGTCGTCGTGCCTCGTGACAATGGCGCTGTGCGTGTGGACTGCCGTGCACCTCAACCTGCCCGAGCACGGTAAGTCACAGGCGGCGCAGACGCGCCGCAAGCTGTGGTGGCTGCTGCTCGGGCTGCTGGCGCCCGAGTTCGTCGCGTGGACGGCGTTCGAGCAGCACCGCGAGGCGCGCGCGTTCCACGGCGATATTAAGGTGGTGCTTGGAGAGGAGGTGGAGAGAAGGTCTTTGTTTGGGTGGGCGAGGCGTGTCTTGCCGGGGAAGAGGCAAGGGCCAGCTGGCGAGGTGCGGGATGTCGAGATGGCTACGGCGCCGGCTCCGGTTCCGGCTTCGTCCGTGTCCACGTCCACGTCCACGTCCACGTCCACGCACCAAGTACGGTCTATGTCTACGTCCCAGTCCAGGTCGCGGTCACCGTCCAGGTCGCGGTCACCGTCCCCGTCCCCGTCCCCGTCTCTATCGCGCTCCCCACCACAGCGCGCATCCACTTCCACAGCCTCGACATGCACATCGCCAGCCCTGGAACCACAGCCCAGAAGCCAGCCGCGGCGTCGACACTCGTGGACGATGGCACACAGCCACTTCGCCATCATGGGCGGGTTCGCCTTCGACTCCGACGTCGCGTCCAGCGGCGGCGACTTTTTCCCAGCAAACCGCAAGCGCGCAGCCCTAACCGCGCTCGGCCTGCTGCGGCTCGCACACGTCACGCCACACTTGGTGCCAGACGTATCCACGACGCAGATCACCGACCGCAGCAAGGCGAACTGGCTAGCCAAGACGGTCGTCGCGCTGCAGGCGCTGTGGTTCGCCGCGCAGGTCGTGTCGCGGCTCGCGGCCGGGCTGACCGTCAGCCTGCTCGAGCTCAACACGTTCGCCCACGCCGCGTGCACGCTCGTCGCCTATGCGCTGTGGTGGCACAAGCCGCTCGACGTCGCCGAGCCCGTGCTCGTGCGCGGCCGCGATGTTGCCCTCGCTGCCGCTGGGATGTGTATGCGCAGCCCCATGGGCGCCTGCACGGCTGCCGCGAGCCACTTCCAAGGCGAGACCATGCTCGCGCGGCTGTGGCGCGACGGCGACGGCGCGCTTGCGCCTCATTATGCGGACGACGATGACGACGTCGGCGAGGTCACGCCCGTCGAGCGCGGCCTACTCGAGGCGCTCACCGCGCCAGGCCAGCGCGGCCTGGGCTTGGTATACGTCGCCGCCGACCCACCACCGTCGCCGTCGCGCGCCACGGGCGACGGCGTCTGCCGCCTGTACATGGGCCAGAGCCTGTTCGGGTTCGGGTTCCGGCGCGGGCGGTACAACGACTTCAGCCGGCGCGTGGTTGTTGGCCCGCGGTTCGTGTTCACGCGCGCGCTGCCGTCGGCGGCCGACGTGGTAGCGCGGCGCGGGCTCGCCGCCCTGCAGCGCCCGTACGTGACGCTCGCGCCGGCCGACGTGCGCCGCCTGCGGCTCGCGCGCGACTGCTACAGGAAGTACCCCGGCTTTCTCGCTCGCGCCAGGGATGGCGGCGACGGCGTGGGCGCTGCTAACTACCTCGACAACCCCGGCGAGGCGCACCGCGCGTGGCTCGGCGAGTACGTGTGCGCGCGCGCGCGCAACTTTCCGCAGCAGAGCAGTCTGGGGCCGGCCATGCTCAGCCTGCTAGTCGCTGGCGTGGCGTACGGCGGGCTGCATCTGCTGGCGTGGAACCCGCCGGTGGCGAGCGCCGCCGAGGTGCTGCTGTGGCGCGTCTCGGGGGTCATCGTCGCCGTGTACGGGTCGGTGCCGTACATGATACAGTCGCTGAAGGAGCTCCTGTCCAGCGCCTTCTTGAAGCCCTCGGCGGTAGAGGACGTGGCCAGGTGGGTTGCAAAGCATGTCCCGAGATGGGTTTTTGGTGTCGGCGCGGTCGTGGCGGTCCTTGTGGCCCTGGGCGTGCTGGTGGTCGCCGTCGTAGGCGGCCTGCTGTATGTTGCCGCCCGCGTGTATCTACTTGTTGAGGCGCTCATGAGCGTCCCGTGGCTGCCCGACTCGGCCTTTGAGACCATTGCGTGGGCAAAGTACTTGCCACATTTCACCTAGTCGAGGCTGAAGAAGAATTCAATACCCTCTTCGTCGCCAACTAAGATATCCCGAGAATCAAACGTCTTTCAGCATTGCACTTTGGTATGATACTTCAAAGTGCTTTCTTATTTTCGGCACCGACTTGAACTTGACCTGGAAGGTATCCCGGCGGTACCTCGACATGACTGGCACCATATCGACATTTACATCTTCACCATGCTTGCCAGCGTGTCCAAAACTTCAACATATCCGCGGACCAAATGATGCTTAATCTAGATAAGTATCTCTTTCCATTCGGCTACCGACGACCTATGCGAGTTCCATGTCATCATGTGAATCGTGACAAGCTGACATCCCAGCACACATTCAACGCCGCGATATTCAACCACGCTGCCGCGAGAAAACGGCATCCTCCATGCCTTCTACGCCGCTGGGGCCTCAGTGAGGGCGAGCGAGGCCGTGATCTCGGCGAACATCTTCTTGATGGCCTCGCCGTGGTCCTTAGTCCAGGCCTCGCGCGAGGCGTCGCCGAGGACGCCGCCGGCGGCAGCATGGGTGTCGGGCGGCGCGCCCTCGGGGGAGGCGAAGGCGAGCTGGGGCCGGGTGGGGGCGACCTGCATCTTGAGGGGCACGCCGAGGATCTTGGCGGCCTGCTCCGAGGAGCTGGCGCCGCCTAGCACGCCGTAGCTGACGATGCCAATGGGCTTTCCCTTGATCTCGTGCGACAGGTAGTCGATGGCGTTCTTGGTGCCGCCCGGCAGGCCGTAGTTGTACTCGGCCGTGACGAGCACATATGCGGCGTGGCGCTTCATCTCGGCGCTCCAGGCCAGGCTGTGCGCGTGCGACAGCGACGCGTGCTCCGGCACCATGCCGGGGAGCACCAATTCGTCATATATGGGCAGCTTGAACGACGCTATGTCCACGTCCACGAGCTCGACGCCGGCGCCGGCGGCTGCCGAGGGGCCGATTATCTCTTTGACCAGCGCTGCTACAGCCGGCCCAACGCGCACAGCCCGTACGCTCCCCGTTATGATAGCGATCGTCTTCTTGGTGGCCGCCATGGTATGCAGAGAGTATGTATTTTGGGAGGGAGAATGGGTTTGATTTTTGATTTCGATCTTCGTTTGAGATGTCTATCTGGTCTCGTGCTGAAAATCGAAGGACCAAGAACCAAGAACCAAGGAGCGTAGATACAGGCCAGGTACTTATACCACCAGACCTCAGCACCCGCCTAGGTAGTTAGAACGGATTCTACTCCCATCTTCTGTGGACGGGGCCAAGACTCAGGAGCCGCCGACGTGGCCAATGCACGCTCTATGCGTCCATCAGCAGCCGGCGGCGTCTCCAGAGGGTCAGGGAGGCCTATGCGGATCCATCGCACAATAACAGCACTTGGATTTGCCATTCCCCATCGCGGCGCAGCCTCTTCACCGCCCGTTCGGCCAAAAAAGGGGGCGTATATTCGTCAGATACGGTCCATACAGACGAAGGCGGCCTATCGGATACGGGAGATAGGGATACATTACCATGGGCGTCATCGGGGGTCCAACCACGAAACAAAGCAGCTGTGGACCTTGATAGGCGACAAGACACCTTGCCAGCCACGAGAAGGGATCTCAAGTCGACGGCCCAGCTACGTATTCAGGTCCCAGGGGGACAACTGCCCGACGCGATTCGAGTTTGAACCAAACTTAGAGGATACTTTATCAAAGGGGCCAGCTGCTGCTTAAGACCTGGGTACCCAGCTCGTACCTTCTTACGACACGCTCCCTCGCAAAATCCATAGAAATAATCACAAGCCTGGCGGTCCGAGACTAGAAACTGCCCCCACTAGAAACTGCCCCCCTAACAAGATGAGCGGCTGCGGACGTGTGGTACCTACTCCGCACATCTCATCGCAATACACACGGCGTTTTTGGGGGAGACCGCGCGGCAGTATGGAGCGCGCGCGTCAAGGTGACCGAGTACCGGCGGCCGTGGTGTTTGGGATCAGGCTGAGGTAGAGCGAGCGGGTTATTGGGGGTTCGGAGAGATCTAGACTCTGAGGGAGTGAAACTCGGCTCAGCTTCCGCTCTTTGCAGTTGGTCAGTTTTCTGGACTGTCAGGCAGCCGGCTCGGTCTAGTCCCACAATCCCTTGCTGGCTCATACATGCCAACAGGAAAGGCGGAGGTATGGCGTTGTTTGGGGAGTGGGCTCCCGCGCGGCAACCGTAAAGGGAAAGGCGTAACGAGCCAAGGTGGTATGGCAACGAGAGGCGCAATAGCCAATTAGTCACCCCCAGTTGCCATCGTTACCTGATGGTACGTACCAGTCAGACAGAAATAGGGAATTGCATACATGAAAGCAATTGCAGGAGAGAAATGGTCTGAAGCTGGGAACTTCTGGAATAGCAGCCAAAAACTGGAGCGGGTGGGGCGGTGATGTAGCACCTCCTTACCTTGGAAATCGAGATGGCATATGTTGCTGACCATCAAAGGCTCGAGTCCAAACTGCGTCACAATTTTCTTGATACATGTCGAGGGAAACAATTCGGACAGGCTCGAGAGGAGACAAGTTTTATATTAAGCCCCCGTCCCTACTCGTCTCGAGAATACACAGTCCAGCGCTTCGTTATCGCCCGTTATCAAGCTCAGTTCCGCTCCCGTCTCCTAGGTGCCGCTCTTATTATGTCGTCCACGCGCAACAGCAGCTGTGGGCTTGTTAGTATTCCGGCTAGCTCGCTTGGGAGAGGAATGGGGCAATCTTACCTCAGCAGCCTCACTAGCCGAAGAAACCACGGCCTTCTTGAGTTTGTAGCTCTCAATCACTCCAAACTCTCTCATGTCTGCGATCCCACCTCCCGGGGTCATCAGATCCAGACCATATGTCGTCAGTCCATCATAGATGGCCTTGCGGAGGCGGGCAACTAGATCTCCCGAATCGAGACCCGCGTTGTCCGCAAGGATAGTGGGAAGCTGTCGTAGCGCCGTCGCAAAGGCAGCAACCGCCGTTTGCCGCTTGCCCTCGACCCGAGTGGCAGCACCGTCGACAGCCTTCGCCATCACCATTTCAGCACAGCCGCCACCTAATGTTGTCCGCGGCTCCTTGATCGTCTGTGAGAGAACGGCAAGCGCGTCGTGCAGACTCCGCTCCGCCTCGTCCAGGAGCTGCTCTGATGCTCCGCGGAGCACAATCGTGCAAGCCTCTCCGGCGGCCACGCCAGAGAACTTGATCAGGGTGTCCTCTCCAATGATGACCTCTTCGATTATGTCGCAGTGGCCGAGCTTGACCTGGTCCGGGTGGTCAAATGTCGAAGTGATCTCACCGCCGGTCACGAGCGCCAGTCTCTCGATGCCGTCAAAGTCGGCGTGCTCGATCGACATGATGCCTGCGTCTGTGAATAGCTGCTCTGGCCAGTTGTAGATGAGCTGCCGGTTGATGAAGCAGTTGATGCCGTGTGCCTTGATCTTCTCCACCTTGGCCTTCATCTTCTCTCTCTCGGCCTTTTCGAGGTCTGCCAGCTTGCTCGTCGAGGTAACCTTGAGCCGTGCCCCAAAGATCTTTACCTTGTCGGTATCCATTGACGTGTTGGCGATGAGGATCTTGGCCTTCTCCAGACGCTTGGGCTGGTTGACACCAATCTTCTTGTCAAGAATAAAGCCCTCGTCCAAGTAAGACTCGCTCAGCTTGCCGCCAGCCTTCTTGATGATCTGAATGTGGCTCAGGTCTGACGACGTCTTCAATCTTAACACGGCATCGCAAGCAAGCTTGGCAAAGTGGTCCCGGTCCTGGGCGAGGACCTTGGAGCTGAGTGTCGTGCGTGCGATGGCGAGGAGGTCCTGCTTGAACGCCTCGGGGTTGTTGCTATGGTCCACCGCGGATGCCTCGAGGGCCTTCAGCGCTGCCTGGCTCGCTATCCGATAGCCTTCGATAATTGTCTGAGGGTGGATCTTCTTGTCGACGAGGCGCTCCGCCTCGCGCAGCAGCTCGGCGGCAAGCACGGTCACAGATGTGGTCCCGTCACCCACTTCATCGTCTTGAACCTTTGAGATGTTGACAAGGACCTTTGCCGCAGCGTTGTCGAGGGCGATGGCCTTGAGAATCGTGGCGCCGTCGTTTGTTACCATGATTTCCATGGTAGAACTAACACGAGGGGTCCCATGTCAGCCCCCGGGTGTTCCTCGAAGACACGGCCTGGAAGGAAGAACATACGCAGACTGGAGAATCTTATCCATGCCCTTCGGGCCGAGGGTGCTCTTTACCAAGTCGCCAACTGCGATGGCGCCGACAAAGGCGCTGAGGCGAGCATTCTCACCCTTTTCCTCTGTGGTCCCCTCCTCGAAGATCTGCGTGGGGCTAAACGACGACTGCACAACAGTAACAGTTAGCGGGCAGCCGGCAAAACATGGCGTCTCGGACGGGTGCGACTTGCCATGGCACCGAGTGATTTTGGTTTCTGGGAGGTATATAAATTGCGGGTTGCGGATGGCACCAGAATGTGGGGAGACGAGCAGCTTTGCAATCAGGCACCTTGGTCAACAGCGAAAGCTCCCACGGACATTTTGCGATGGCCCTGGCAAAAAAAACTGCCTGGAACTAGGAGCTCAGCGTCACCGCCCAGCGGCAGCTGTCCGCCAGCTGAGTGCCATCTGATACCCCACCTACGTTCTTGAGGGAAGCCCCACATATGCCGCCTCTGCCATGGACCACTGGAGTTATCAAGCACCTTACGTACGGAGTACTGTGCAGGCTACAATGCCATCGCTGCTCGCGTCTCAGCTCAAGGTTTTTCTTTTGGTGAAATATGGTCGGGTACCTTGTTAACACGACTTATCACAAAGCTTTCCAAACGGTCAAACCCGGGAATAGTTTGCATGCAAAGCCGCAACTCTGTACTTGCTCATAACGTAGATTTTCTGGAGCCATATTTTCTTGCCCAAACGCCCATTAGTAACTCATTGTTGACAATTCTCTAACTACGCAGGCCCATGACCCAGCCAGCCCGTCTCGACGTTGGTAAGATAATTCAAGGCTCAGCAAGTACCCGCAGCGGCTCCGACGAACTAAAGTCAGAGTGGGTGAGGTGGGGCATATTTTTACCTGCACCCCCGGTCGAATTTCTTGCGGCGAACCCCACCACAGACTGCACGCTGCGCACAAAATCTTCAATACCTAAACCGAGCGACAAGAGCAGCTTTCGCGGTAGCGCTACAGAGTCCAATCGCTTCCCTCTGCTACCCGAAGATAAACTGCCCAGCATGGCGCCGTCATTTGATCACCTACGCGATGAGGACCTCGACGAGGATGATTTCGACCAAGATGAGGTGGATATTTCCGACCTTCAAGAAAAATACGAAGTTTCGCTCGAGCAGGGCTACGACACGTTTGTCGTCGTCGACAACCTGCCCCAAGTCGACGAGGGAAAGAAGCCAAGTCTGATCAAATTCTTGCTCAAGAAGTTGAACACAGTTGGGAAAACACGGGAGGATCTAATTTTCATGCCCATGGGAGAGGATGGCCAGTCGCTCAGGTACGTCAATCGGCGACTCCATCCGGCAATCTGCCCTCCGCTCGACTCTCCGTTTCGGACGAGCGCGCTGATGCGAACACCTACAGATTTGCCTTTGTCGAGTACTCGTCGGCAGCCGAGGCGGCGGCGGCTGTGCGCCAGCTCGACCTTGTCCCCCTCGACAAGAGGAACATTATGCGCGTCAACAAGCTCACCGACATCGACCGCTATGGACGCGAAGGCCGTATCGACGAGAACTACACTCCGCCAAAGATCGAAGAGTTCCACGAACAGGAACACCTGCGGTCTTTCATGGCAGACCCCACCGGCCGCGGCAGAGACCAGTTTGTCATGTACAGAGGAGATTCCGTCGGCGTCTTCTGGAACAACGAGAAGGACCAGCCTGAGAACATTGTCGACAGGCCGCACTGGACCGAGACGTTTGTGCAGTGGTCGCCTCTGGGAACATATATGACGTCGGTACATGCGCAGGGTGTCCAGCTCTGGGGCGGCCCGTCGTGGACGAGGCAGAAGCGGTTCCCCCATCCTTTTGTCAACCTTGTCGCCTTTTCCCCCGGCGAGAAGTATCTGGTCACCTGGTCCAACCGCCCCATCGCCATCCCCGACGAGGGCCACCCTATCCTCACGCTGGATGACGACGGCAAGAACTATATTATCTGGGATATCGAGACCTCCAAGCCCATCCGCTCCTTTGCGCAGCTCGACATATTGGGACCCCCCGACGAGAATGGCGTCAAGAAGCCGCTAAAGGCTCCCTGGCCCGCCTTCAAGTGGTCCGCCGACGACAAGTACGTTGCGCGCTTGACGCCAGGCGCCTCCATATCTGTCTACGAGCTGCCTAGAATGAACCTGCTCGAAAAGACGGCCATTAAGATCGAGGGAGTGGTTGACTTTGAGTGGGCGCCGGCGTCGCCGCAGCGAGACGGGATCAAGACGTACGAGCAGCTCTTCTGCTTCTGGACCCCAGAAATCGGAAGCAACCCCGCTCGTGTCGCTATGATGAGCATTCCCTCCAAGGAGGTTGTTCGGTCGTTGAACCTGTTTAGCGTAACGGACGCCAAGCTCCACTGGCAGTCAGATGCCGCCTATCTCTGCGTCAAGGTCGATCGGCATTCCAAGTCCAAGAAGTCCCAAGCAACGACTCTGGAAATCTTCCGCGTAAAGGAGAAGGGCGTTCCGGTTGAGGTCGTTGACACAATCAAGGATACGGTCATCAACTTCGCTTGGGAGCCGAAGGGAGACAGGTTCGTCATCATCACCACCACAGAGCCAGTCGCCGCCACCGCCGTACCCCCAAAGACGTCAGTGACCTTCTTCTGCCCAGAGAAGATGAAGGGGTCAGCTATTGGAAACTTCAAGCATCTGCGCACACTCGACAAAAAGAACAACAACGCTATCTACTGGTCTCCTAAGGGCAGATTTGTTGTCGTTGCCACTGTCCACAACCAGCAGTCTTCGGATCTCGACTTTTTTGACCTCGACTTTGAGGGCGAGAAGCTCGAGTCTGACAAGGACATGACCGCCAACTTGCAGTTGATGAACACGGCCGATCACTACGGCGTGACCGATGTCGAGTGGGACCCCTCTGGTCGGTTTGTCGCCACGTGGGCGTCGGCCTGGAAGCACTCGGTATGTTTTCTTAGTCTGTACGGGTTTCATCAGATGATCTTGCTAACTTGTCCCCAATATAGATGGAGAATGGATATCACATCTACGACTTCAAGGGTGAGGTATTGCGCGAGGAGCCTATTGAGAAGTTCAAGCAGTTCCAGTGGCGGCCGCGCCCTGCAACGCTCCTCAGCAAGGAGGAGCAGAAGACGATCCGCAAGAACCTCCGCGAGTACTCGAGAATATTCGAGGTCGAGGATACCGAGCGCATCAACAGCGCGGATGTGGCTGTTGTCCAGGAGAGACGCCGTCTGCTCGAGGAGTGGCTTGCTTGGCGCAAGTCGATGGAGGAGGAGGCTGCCGAGGAGCGTGCGGCTCTAGGGCTGCCTGCCGACCCGGTTGCCGACCTTCTCAAGGCCAAGACCGCCGAGCTTGCTGCCGGAGAGGAGGAGAAGATCATCGAGGAGATTATGGAAGAAGTACTCGAGGAGACGGAGGAGATCGTCGCGTAAATTGGCCATCTCTTGGGCACGGGCGGCTAGAGCGAGAAGCACCTCACCTCTTGCTGTCGTGTGTATTTCTGATTTTTCTTCCACGGTTCTTCACAGGCATGCGTGCACCTGCGTATCTATGCGCAGGTGTGGTTTTCGCACACCATCGACCGGGCAGAGTCCGCAGCTGGGCGATATCAAAACTCGGGTCAAGTTGGAAGGGGAGCTTTATTCTGTTCGCCATGGTTTTAAATCGGCAGGTCTTTTATGTCGGTGCCACACTTATGGTGTTTTTCAAGCGAGAAAGAAGATAAAAGATTATTCCCGGACCTAGTTTTTACTCTGTTGTTGTTGGGCTCAAGATGCTGATACGGGTGGCCCTGAAAGATGTAGGTATGATACCATGCCTATTATATTTGCCGTTTCACGGAAAGAGAATTTGGAGAAAATGTTCCAGCTTCTCAGAGTTCACCAAAATATATCTCTAACTATGACCATCTAACCTTACAACACCAGCGGCAGGGCTGTTGATCACATTGTTTCCATCGTCAGTCTCCCTTCATCTCGTCATCATCTCAGCCGTGGTCATGGAGCTGTTATTGTATGTTACAAAGTCGACGGATCGATCACGGCTCGAGAAGACGTAACGACCAACGCTTCTGGGTTCAGCTCGCAGGCTCATTAGAGGCTCGTCGGTGTTGTATACATCTGTATTTCCTATCCCCCTTTGTCGTTTGTGCTCGTGAGACTTGTCAAAATGGAGGCAAAATGGTTGCTACCTACTAAGGACTCAACTCCGGCAACAGTAAAACTTCCTAGACAGGCCAAAGTTGGCCAACCGAAGATATCTTCGAGCTTGTCCCTCACTAACAATTCTTATCATAATAGCAGGCAACTCGTCGTTAAAACGTCTTGAACTACAAGGGAGTTATACCGATGCTGAAGCTGGGTCCCTAGGAGATGGATGTGAGGAGGCAGTACTAAGTTGAAAAGACTGCGAATGGGTTTTGGGTTACGAATAATTGACATGAATTTGGCCGACGAAACAGGCCCAACCAGACCCAAGACTAACCGAAGTACGGATGCGAACAGCCAACACGAACAGAGTATTTATAATTCCCCAGAGATTTCTCCTCAAGCCGGCGTTCAAGGGACAAGACAGATCTCTGACAGATGATCAATGGGACAAAAAACGGCACGACAAGCAACAAGAAACGAACTCCGTTGAGAAAACAATACAACACAACATAATTTACCAGGCAGTGAAGGGCAGAAGGAGTCATGATTCTATAAACAGCTAGCGAACAGTTTGTCCGTAAGGCCCCGCATACAGATGGATTGGGGATCGAACCCATGTCTCGGTCCTGCAGTTTTTAATCCCGAGTGCAGAGCCATTTGCGAGCCGCTGGAGGAGGGTCTCGCGCAAATGGATGTGACTGGTGATCTAAAGATAGCGGACTGCCACTGTAGACAGCCGAAGCCAGAAACACAATGGTTGACGAAAACGACGCCACCATGAGTTGGGGTACTATGTTTTAAACCCTCAACATGGCAGACACCAACGGTCCACTAAAAACAATGCTAATGTGGCAACCGGTTCTACAACGCCAATGAGGCTAACGATCCCACTACACATTGAAGTGCTATTCTCTAACTTTACCTTCGCTGCCGAGACCAGGTAAAGTATTGCAGTTGCCCTCTGCTGTTGCTGTTACCTGTCCTCGGCAGTGTCCAGCTCCACGATTCCACAGTTGACTTCCCCCTAGAGTCACAGGCACTTTTCTCGTTAGGTTTCATAATGGCTATCCCAAACTAGGGTATTCTACAGAGGTTCAAGAACTCAAATGGTAAAAACCGCACAAGTTGTTGCATCTGCGCTGGCCCTGATCAGACGGGATCGAAACACAATTAAGTGGGCGACCCGCGTCTTTGAGATGCAGGTTTCCCAGGCGGCTCCGCGAGGGGGTGCAGAGTCCGACTTCGCCGCCCACAGACAAACAATGTTCGCGTGGTCGAAAACAAGCCACGATGTTGAAAGGTGAAGGTTGTGATGATGATGAGAGGGGAGAAAAATAAAACAGCCAGAACGAGAAAAAGAGACGGTGTTTATACTTTTTTTGGAGAGGGGATGATCGAGCGCAATCACTCTCAGGATCAAGCCACTGAAGCCAGCGTGAAGGCCGAAAAGGCAATTATTTCTCTTCCGGAGCTGGAAAATGGGAAAACAGTTGTCTCGAAGTCAGACGCGTCACGCCTAGCATTACGGACTCGGATTTGCTGAGCGTGACCTGATCCCTGATTCCCGGGAGATTGGCCTCTTTCCACCAAGCTCCACTCTCCGTATCTCCAGAAACCAATTGGACGCCCGTCTAATGGTTCGTTCCTTCGTTGAGAGCTGGGGAGTCGAGACCTTCGTTAACGACTGTCGGATTTTATCGAGTCGACCAGTTCTTTTGGTCAAGCGCTCCTCTTACAAGGAACTTCTCAGAGAGACAGTCTCACAGTCTCAGCCGCTACCTGCCTGGTCGCGTACATATCTGGGGACTATCACCGAACTTTGTGAAGCCGCAAACAGTTTTCATCCGATAAGAAGAATAAAAAAGCCGGTGTAGTGTCTGGTTCTTTTTCTGGAATAGTTGCGGAATGGCTGCCCAGCGGTTGCTCAAGCTTGGGATTCACAAGCGACATTCCCGAATTACGGCAGTGAGGCTTGATGCCGCTTTGGCAACCATCAAATTACGCGAGGTGGGTCCCGGGCCCGGTAGCCGAACGACGGCGCCGACGCCACGGACTCGGGGCGAAACCGTGAAGCACAACAGCTGCGAGCTTCCGACGGAGAAACTTCAGCAAAAGTTCGGGAATCAGGAATGCTATTCACCGGATCAGCTTCGTGTGCTGTAACAAATATGTGACGGGAGCTCGGTTCATCCGGGAATCTGAATGTTGACACTTGACAGGCAAGGATGCCAGAGTTTGCCGAAACTATCCAGCCACCAGCCAACGTCTGGGCCTCTTTCTTATCTTTTCTTTTTCCATACGTTGTCTGGGAACCAAAGAAGTCAAGTGGGCCCACAAACGTCCTGATTCTGGCGAAGACTGCCTGAACGACAGGGTAGGTAGCTCTCCATGGGAATTTGCGCACTATTGACCGAGTGATCTGTCTCGCCATTAAGACCATACCAGTCCCTCCCAGTAGCGTTACCAGGGCAAATCCAGTAGACACCTTGATGCGACGCGTGTTGTCCAGACACCACAAATCGGTGATAATTCCCCTCTCGCTAGTGTCCGTGTGTCCGTGTGTCCTCACCCTCAACTTTGCAGGCCCCTTTCTTAGGCTCGGATATTCCACAGATATTCAAGCCCAAGTTCTTTCTTTTTGGTGTGCATCAGCATCGCCCTCGAAGCCGGCCGGCTCTGGGAGATCGTCGCGATGCTTCCTACTCTCGAGCAAGAGTATGAACTCAGAAAATGCAACAGGCGCATCCCTCTGCAGGACTGTTATCTTCAGATCCAGCAGGAGGCTGCCGGGCTTCTCGCTTCCATGACTATGCAATTCAACAACCAATCCGGAACCTCGACAAGCAAGCCCTCCGCCCTGATGTGTCGGGAATTCTCAGTCGACGAATCCGAGTATGCCCCTCAGAGACGGAACCACTTTGAAACATTCCAAAGGCTCTGGAACGAAGAGCAAGCGGACCTTGCGGCGTATGCTCGCCGTCACCAAGAGTCAACTCTTGAAAGGGTAGGCCGAGTTCTAGTGGTCGCCGACGGCATGCCAAATTGACGATGAGTTAGTTATCCAAGTCCGTGGCCCGTCCAATTTGGTTGGAGAAGTTCAACTCTTCGGTCCCTCTAAGCCCTGCTCGGCAAGTTCAACAGCCAACGGTCACCTCGCCGGAACACCGCCAATCCCAGCCCCAACAGTCGAGAGAACCAAACGCGGGTGCTAGAACGCACACCACTGAGCCTTCAAGCAGTCGTTGTAGGCCAGAGTATCCGTCTCGAAGTGCCTCCATCAGACGCGACGCAGGCAGACACTGCGATATCTATACGTTATGCGACGCAATCTTGAAGGAGGCCCCGGACACTGCCAGACGGCGAGACGTATACCCAGATCGTGAACCAAGTGCTTCAGAGAGCCAGATCAGGGGGTTCGCGGCTTGGGAGACATTGGGGAAGGGGCCGCAATCACCAACCGGTAGCAGAGAGCTCCCGAGACTCAGAGGGCACGGGCTGCCGTTAGAGAACGCCGACTCGAACCAAGAAGTCATCTGGGGCTTGCTCGAGACAATGCGGGAGCGGCTCGACGAGGGAGACGGAGACTCCCTTGCCGTGCTATATCGTCTTATCCTGGAGCTGCTTGACAGGATGAACGCACAAGCCGTCGGGCTCACGGATGGGTTGAACGAGTTGAGGCTGAGACAAGATGAGGCTGCTAGGGTTGTCAGAGTCGCGGCCCATGTCCCTCTTGAGCAGCAAAAAGGGAAATTACGTGATGTGCTGTTGCACAGCATAGAGAGAGAGGAGGAGGAAAACGACAATGACGCGAACGAGGTTGACCAAGGAGACGACGATGACGACGATGACGACAACGTATTGAGCCGTTTAAAGGTTGAATTCGACAAGTCCATCGACGGACCAGAGGAGTCTCACATCAAGGCTGGCATCAAGGGAAAAGGAGGTCCTAGGTATACGCAGACTCGATTCACAGTGGAATCTTCTGTAGTCAATGCTCGTCAGGCGGTTGCTGCCCAGGTGGTGACTCCCCAAGTGGTGGTTCCCCAGGTAGTGAAATCTAAGCAAGGGGCGGCATCAACGGTTGCAGAGAACACAACCGCAGCGGGCGACAAGCGGCGGGCCGATGGAGAGCTAGGAGGAAGTCCGGGCAAAAAGCCGGCACCGCCTTGGGTGCGCGTTGTGAGTATCATTCCTAATCCGCATTTGGAACGGCAAGCCAAAGAGCTTGCCAGGGCACGCAAGGCCGGTTGCAAGCGTAACCCAATGACGATAGAGTAAATAAATTGATGCAGAACGCATTCCGTACTCTGGTCAGCTATGCCTGGTTTGATGCTCCGTATGCCGTGATAGTCTTCTGTAGGTAAGCCTTTCCAGTCTTGTGGTTGAGTTTTGCTCTGGAGTGTCATAGCTCGAGGTTGAACGGAACCAAAGGTCACGATGAGAACTAGCTCCAAATCGAGAAAAGTTACAAATACGTAACTGCCTAGAATTCTATTCGACTCTTGCTCAAAGTTGTCTCGGATCTTGCTAAACAAAATATCGTCGATCTGATCGAAGCGGGGAACCGATTGGGTGCGGGCGTGGTCAGCCGCCACACGGGAACTCTCCGGAAGCCCGCCCAGGTTGCAGGGTGCCTGTGGATCGGATCTGGGCTAACTCGGGTCTGAGGTCCCGAAAAGCTGAAGTGCGTCCTGGCCGTGGGGGGTGCTTCACGAAAGGAGCTAAGCAGCCAAGCAACAGCCAAGGCGGGCTGGTTCCACACTGTCTGGGGGTTACCGCAACATGGAAATGCCGGGGTCTGCGTCTGCATCTTACTAAATTTTCTTTTTTACAGCGCGTTTTTCTCTTTCTGCAGGACTCCCAGCAAGCGCTCAGGGCTCCCGCGCTCAACAAAATCCTTTTAGCTCCCCCAACAGAAACATCCACTCCACTTTTACCAGGCGAAGGTGGCAGTTGCTGAATGCAGGAGAGGCTGGTTGGACGCCACCTAATTCTGGTCCCCCATTCTAGGAGGTAGAAAATAAAGTTGGCTTCGAAGAACGGGGGATGCTATCGATATTTTAACTCGATATCGGAATTATCCTACAAATCCAGACTCGAGAAACTTAGGCAAACTTATTGTACCCATTAAACACATCCAGCGTGGTGACCCCGCCCCCGCAATTCAGACCCTCCGTCTGCTAAATCTCAACATGACGCACCCTGGGACGCCGTAACAGCGAAGGGAAGGGTCCACTTCCCTTTTCGCCGCACAGGGGAGAGCGACAACGACCGTGCTTTAAGTCGCCAGTCGGACGAGACCGTTGCTCGAGTCAACCCATGCATTTCTCGCCTTCACCGGCTCCGCTAGTTGCTCCAAAGAGCATTTCGAAGAAAGCCGTGGCTATCCTGTTGCCATGTGCAATTCATCATGAGGAGATTCTCCCTGCGTGGTCTGGTCTGGCCTGGCCTCGTCTGTTCTGATCTTATGTCTCCTTCCTCCTGCATAGCCTCTTGTTGGTTCCTATCCTATAGTACTTAAATATCCGTGCCCGAAAGACCCTGTCATCCGTAACCACACTCGATGCTGGCAGACCAGATGATAGGGATCCTTTGCGTTATCGCTGCAGCCGCCATCACCAAGCCCAGCACGACAACTAGCTGCGTTGATCGTGAAAGACGGAGTGACATGCAGAAGTCTGAATGCAGGCCAGCGGCGATCTTCAGTAGACTGTAAGCTAAGACGATTTTGGTCAGCCAGCACGCCTCTGGTCAGTTTCTCTCCTCATCCGCTCCTGTCAGGCCAATCCTAAACGTGCTGGGCCTCGGCAAAACGTATTTTTGCCTGTTAGCCTGGAGGTCTCGCCATATTCAGCTGCGTCGCTGCAAGCCATGGCCTCCACTGTCTCAATGCTCACTGTCCAGCAGCAACATCACCTGCTGGCTGACTGGCATGTGAAGTCTCTCTCCCACGGGTCCACCATGTACAGTACCGCACTGTACATACACAGGGCACCAGAGGCGGTGAATTCCTCTTCGTGCAATCTTGGCGGCACGCCTGAAGGGCGGCGGCACTTTGGGACTCGCTCGGTTTGGGGCGAGACCTCCAGGTTATTCATACAGCCACTGATCCGACGCCAGGGCAGGGAGAATCGAGGTTCGTAAGACAAGGTGGGCGCTTCGAACTGAATAAAGTCCTCCTCTTGTCCGCCTTAAACAACCAGTCGCCCTTCGTGTCCAGCCAATTGCACTTGCACACCATCCCAAGGTCGTCTAAAAGATCCAATTACTTCTACTTTATGTGTGCGGGCTGTGGTTCCGGCGAAAAATAGTAGGACGTGTACCCCAGTGCCTCCTAGCTTTTAATTATTACCCCGTCGCAGCAGGGGCCCCAACAAATCCACCTCCCAAGGAAATCCGGCCCACGCAAAGCAAAAGAAAACCCAAGGCAGTTTGCTGTAAGCCAAAAGATACTTTTCCTCTTCTGCAAGAGAGCGAGCCAACGAGCCAGCCACCCAGCCGGTTTCGCGCCTCTTGTCCGGAATAGTACGGTATTCCTTGCGTTTGAGGTGTGTAGCATACGGGAGCGCAGCATTTGCATTCCGCCACCAACACCGTTCGTTGGCTCAGCGCTACTTGCAGCCAGTTCTCCCCATCCTCCCGTCCTCTTATCACCTCGTCCTTCCACTTCGCGCCTACGCATCGCCTCTACCGTCTCGCATCTTCCCGTCAACCGTTGTATCTCTGTTCTTCGAGAAAGTCGTTCCATATAGAGCGCGATAATGGCTTCCGCGACCGCATCCAGCCTTCCGGCTGCCAAGGCCCCCGTCTTTAGAAGGACGACAACCTCACACACCATCGATTCAGTATCTTCGCCTTCGACCGGCAACGTCTCGCCCACGGATGAGGGGTCACCGTTCGGATCCCCCCGCGCTTCGGCCTCGTCGACGTCTCTGTCTTCAATGGGCTCGGACGATAAGGAGACGAGCACCAAGGACTCGTATGGCAAGCTGATTGACACATATGGAAACGAGTTCCAGGTTCCCGACTTCACTATCAAGGACATCCGAGATGCCATTCCCAAGCACTGCTTCGAGCGATCGACGCTGCGAAGCCTGTCGTACGTTCTCCGTGACATAGTCTACCTCGCCACGACCTTTTATCTTTTCCACAACTTCAACACGCCCGAGTACGTCCCGGTCAAGGCCGCGCGTGTCGTGCTGTGGGGAATCTATTCGTTCATGCAGGGGCTCTTCGCCACTGGCCTCTGGGTGCTCGCCCACGAGTGCGGCCACGGTGCCTTCTCGGCATCCAAGACAGTCAACAACTGGGTTGGCTGGATCCTACACTCGTCCCTGCTCGTCCCCTACTTCAGCTGGCAGATGAGCCATAGCAAGCACCACAAGGCCACCGGAAACATGGAGCGCGACATGGTCTTTGTGCCGCGAACCCGCGAGCAGTTTGCCAACCGCATCGGCCGCTTCATCCACGAGCTCGATGAGCTGACCGAGGAGACCCCCATCGCTACTCTGATCCACTTGATCGGACAGCAGGTTATCGGCTGGCCCAACTACCTCTTGACGAACGTGACGGGACACAACTTCCACGAGAAGCAGAGAGAGGGGCGCGGCAAGGGAAAGTACAACGGCTTCGGCGGCGGTGTGAATCACTTTGATCCCAGAAGCCCCATTTATGACCACAATGAGGCTTTCCGTGTCGTGCTGAGCGACGTTGGTTTGGCACTTGCCATCACCGCACTGGTGTGCCTCGGCCAGAAGTTTGGCTGGAACAATATGGCTGTTTGGTACTTTTTGCCGTACCTGTGGGTGAACCACTGGCTTGGTAAGTGACATCCCCCAGCCCTTCAAAATCCGAGAAGAAAATAGCAAGACAAGTGGCTAACCGGGACATTTCCAGTCGCCATTACCTTCCTGCAGCACACCGACCCGTCTCTGCCTCACTATACTCCTAGCGAGTGGAACTTTGTCCGCGGCTGTGCTGCAACCATCGATCGCGAGTTCGGCTTTATCGGCCGCCACCTGCTCCACGGCATCATCGAGACGCACGTACTGCACCACTATGTCAGCACCATCCCCTTCTATAATGCCGACGAGGCGACCGAGGCCATCAAGCCCATCATGGGCAGACACTACCGCTCCGATACCAGCGATGGCCCCATTGGCTTCATCAAGGCCATGTGGAAGAGCGCCAGGTGGTGCCAGTGGGTCGAGCCCACTGAGGGTGCTGAGGGCCCTAGTCAGGGTGTCTTGTTCTTCCGCAACAAGAACGGCTTGGGTACCAAGCCCGCGACGGTCAAGCCTGCTCAGTGAAGCGTGATCGTTGGCGAAGACGTATACATCAAGGCGCGCGATCCACGACCCTGATCATACCACAAGGGCACGAATAATTGAGGCGTCAGCTTATTCTTCACTCTTTCCCCCCTCCACCGAAGTCGAATTCTAGTGCTACTGCTCCTAACGCGAATTTCTGGCGGGATATTAGCGTCCATCGCATCTTCCCTGAGCTCACAGTCGTTACCGGTTTGTCTTTCGATTGGAGTTGGCATGTTTCAGCCATTTATAGCAGGGTTTGGATCTAGAAGTCGGTCAATCATTTCGGAGTCGGAGTCATGAAAAGCGGGCTTTCGTTTCCTCTTTGCGTCACGGGCAAGAGGCCAGCAATGCAGCGAGGAAAGGGGTTGATATTTCGAGGAAGAAGATTTAGAGAGGTGCATAGATGATGCTAAGCAGACATAGAAAGTCTATTTTTTGCGGGTTTGGTGTCTGGTTTGTCGTGAAGGAGCTGACCCATAGTAGTGAGTGTAATAAGCAGGGAGGGAGTTGATATCTAGACATCTAGATTGGTGTTGTTATGAGCAGAAGATAACAAGATGCATCTGAGACTGGATTTTGATGGGCAAAGCGAGAAAGAGGGCAGGACTTAGTTCGTCAGCATGATTATTACGACAATGACAAAAGCAAAAGAAGTCCCGGTTTCCGCCTGTCCTTACGTGTGTATATATATGGTCGTTCCTCGGCCTCATGACCCCTCCATGAACCCCGGTTCCCCTCACTGGCACAGCTCAGTTGGTACCGCAGGTAAGGTAGGTTACGGGGCCGTGATGATGATTGGTGACTTGGCAGAAAGCCGCCTGTAAAAAAAAGTGCGGGGAGGCATAGACATGTCATCCATCTACGGTCTGCGGGCCAATTCCTCCTCACTCACCCTCTCGCCTTTCGCTTCCATGGACGAACAGATGTCGCCAACCCAAAACAAGGATCCTCCGCGTCTTCCGGGGCTGAGTGCACCACGACCACCACACATTGGCGGGAATCTGTCTGCCGGCGCTCTCTATTTCCTGTCCTGAGTGCCGAACAGCGAACCACCACACCACCACTACAGGATGTCAGTCCCGCTTGCTGATTTGCCGGTTCGCTGTTACAGGGAGCGTGGGTGGAGGGAAGGCAGACTGCAGCACTGTCTGCTGCCTGTGCAACAAAACTACGTGTGCGTGTATCGGTCGGTGGGTTGTCGAGAGTTTCCCGGCTTGATTCTGGTTCTTCTTATTATTTTGTTCTTGGTCTTCTCATGGCCCGAGGCGCTGAGCTGGGCCTACCTATGTTTGCCCTGTCCTGCCCTGTCCTGCCCTGCCCTGCCTTGCCCTGCCTTGCCCTGCCCTTTGACACACGCGTGGTTGCGCTGTCATGCCATGTCCATGTCCCGTCCGTCTCGGTCAGAAACCACTCCCTAGGTACCGATCCAGCGCGACGGCAACCTACAGTACGTACTCCGGAAAGACGATTGACATGACATGGCCTGCAAGGCGCTTTGGTCTCGAATGCCAGCGAGCGAGGTAGGTCTAGCCTTCCTAAGGATCTCAGGGCTTGTGGCTGTAGTGAAGTTCGCCTGTGCCGCCATTGCTTATTATTTTCCTCACGCGTTTGAACTTCCCGAAGGCGGTTGGTTGGTCGGTCGGGGTTCCTCCTCATTTCCGGCACCATGGCCGCCGCAGCGGATACGCTCGGAAGGAGCAGAAGCGAAACTCGAAAAGAAAACAAAAGGACTAGGAGAAGCAAAGAACCAAAACGCTGCACATCACTCGGGTGACACCGAGTTCGACAAAGGTTGAGCGGCGAATGGGACCAACAGCTTTAAATCGACACCTCATTTGGGATAGCGCAGTATCCGTACTTGTGAGACGCGTGTGTTCGAGAACGCCACATCCGCAAACCGAAGCTTCCCCCCCACAGCACGTTTCGTGCTTCTGGCAACTTGAAGCTTCTGCAGCCACGCCGTTCCTTCAGTGCCGGGAATGTGTTTCAAACTTTGTTTTCCCGCCAAGCTATTTTCAAAATGCTTCTCCCGGCAGTGCAGAAGACCCCCGGATAAGGTGGTGTCTTGTTAGGCTACCATGCTTGAACCGACGGTTTCACACCCTAGAAAGCGATAAAATTACAAGCGTGGGAAAAGTCGTAGCCCCCAGGACAAATGGTTACACCGACACAGAACCTAAACCCTAGAGTGCTGATAAGGCAACACACAACTCAATTCGGGTTCCGTAAGCATCATGGTGAAGTGGTGGGGAATCCTTAGCTAGAAACTACAAGACGTCAAGCTTGTCAAAGACAGACGGCTATGCATTAACTAACTTCTTGCCTTGGCCGAGTTTGCATCGGCCGGTCACGTCAAGTGACGGATGTTTGTTGGATGTTACAGTTCAATCCCTGAATATTTGTTAGCGCAGTACTTAGATACTGAGAAGAATAAAGAGTAAATACACGGGCTATGGGAAGCCTTTGATGTAGGATAATATAGACCGGGAGGCATGACTAAGAGAGAGAAAGGCCTCTTAGATTCTATAATAGGGGTTCTCTAAGCTTCACCTCCCTCAGTGAAAAACCTCTAGGCGAGCCATAAGAAATTGAGGCCTTCCGAATCTTGGAAAGTCCCCCGCTAACAAACGTTCAGAGATTAGATTGTACAAACTTGTACCTCTGTGCCGCCAACAACACCCGCGCCCCGCTTGTACTACCTTGTGCAGACAGGAGAGGGAGGCCCGGAGAGTACCGCCGAGGGAGGGTTAAAGTCTACCGATTCGTGATAGCGCCGATCAGTGCGGCCTGTCTGGTGGTTCAATCTGACAATGACAGGAAATAACTTGGAAAGTGTAGGCTCAAATGCGAGAAGGAGCCAAGGACAGGAAAACAGCGACGCCACGCCTGTTTTGGCGGGCCGGTAGCCTGCACAGTCAGAGCATGTGCTGGTTGGCGACGGATTAATCACTTGGAAACATCCATGGATGGACCGTGATGGAGGGTGGCCTCGCGGGCAAATGTCCGTAAAATGAGATGAATGATCCAATCCAGCCGGCGGGCAGCCCCAATCATTGCGTTATCTCTCTGCACACGGCAGGGAAATCCATCTTTGCCAACAGCCGACAGCTCACCGTTGCAGCGTCCCTTGCCCTGATTTTTGGGAAGCTTGCTTTCTAGGGTTACACTTGCTTTCGCAGCGGCAACTTCCAGGCTTTGCCAGGTTACAGTCGCCGATCCACCCGGCACAATCTGCATTCTGTACTGCTGCCCGCAGCTACGCAGCTCCCTTTCCCCTTCTTTTCCCCCTTCGCAGCGCGCTAGCTAACCGGTTAGCGCCTTCCGTCACTTCCTCGTTCTTGACTCTTTTCTTTCCTTCTCCCGATAAGCTGTCGCAAAAATACACTTCGTCCCTCGCTCGTTTTCTTTACACATCAGTCAGTCGTCGTCCGTCGACCAGTCGCTCACTCGCACTTTCCGCTACCGACCCCCTAAGGGAAAAAAATACAAGGGGGGAAAACCTACATTCGCTACATTTGCTCCGTTCCCTATCTCGGCCGCCGTCAATCGCTACCCGCATAACAACGGCCGATCTTCTTTCTGCAAACGCAACAATTATTGTTTTCCTTCAACTGTATCTCATTATAATACGCCGCTCGCATTTACTTGTTTTTGCTCTTCTCTTTGTTCCTAATTTTGCCGCCGTGTTGGCACCAGGGCGCATATTTTCTGCCGTCGAAGCGCTCCAGCGGCTGTCGCTAAACCCCAAAAGGAGCGACACCTTGAGACATTTGGGCAGCGTATCAGGGGTACCACCCTCGGACTCCCGCGAGATCACCCTTGGCCCAACGATTTCCGCCCGACTTTGCGCGACTGGAACAACGTTTCCTGCCACGCATAAGTTCGCGTACCCGCTGTAGCCACGACCCGGAACTCTAGGGATTCAAGCGGAACCTAGCCCCAACTCCCAACAGGCTGTCGGAGCCGCTGAACCACAAAAAAGAGGGAGGCAGGCTCCTCTCTTCGAACATCGCGCGAATCAATAAAAAGACTCCCGTCTAGTTCAGAACAACAATATGCAAATATGTTGATCTACGAGCGCGCCATTCACGACCCCGTCTCGCCCGGCCCGGGCTCTCCGCCAGGCATGACGACGTCCAAATCCTCCAAATCTTCATCGTTCAGCTCGCTCGACTCGGACGACGGCAGCGTTCTTGCTGATGTGAATCATTTTGAGGACATTGGGCTCCACGACAACACGCTACAAGATCCCCGAAACCTCTCAGACCAGTTCTTCAAATCACCGCCCAATCCCTATAGCCCGTCATTCTCGTCAGACTTCCGAGCCACTTCGAAGAAGCCTGCATCGGCTTCCACCCCCCGATTGCAATACTCGCGCGATTCATCGAGGTCCCGTCCGAAACGGGAATTCACCCCTGCCCCAAAATCACGGCCAACCTTCCCAAGTTTGCAGAACCAAATACGAAGTGTCAATGGACGCGTGGCGAGCCTCGGGCTTCTGCCCGACCCACATGCGAGCCCGCTCCCTATCCGCAGCCTGGGAGTCCGACACGCTCAAACATTTGCAGGACGGCACCGGAGTCCAAGCCCGAGTTTCTCCCTCTCTCCTCGAGACCCTAACCTCCAGATGAAGCCGCGGAGGAGCAGCTGGCAGTCGAATCGGGAGCGGAAAACTGCCATGGAACTGGAACTTGAATGCGACGAGGAGGATGGGGACGACATTCCAGAAGGACTCGTGTTAGATAACGTCCCAATATCGCCCCGACCACCCATGGAACGATCCAAGAGCCAGCCCTCTTCCAAGGCCCCCTCCCCGGAGCGGCCGGTAAAGGACAGGATACGGAGCGTGGGAAATGGGACACCGCCTGTAGCTATAGCCCATGGGTCACTCCGGTCACCAACCTGGAAGTCCGATTCAGCAATCAACTCGGCCGCCTCGAGCCGCGCAACCAGCCCGGTCATGTCGAGGGCTAAGAGCTGGAACGCCGCACTTTCAGAGTTGAACGCCGAGGCGAAGGCTTTGACGGAGAAGCTGGAAGAGCATGCCGACGAGGTGGATCACAAATCCCAACGCTCAAGCACTGGCTCCATGCCCACAGTGAGGAGGTCATCGGATTACTACGACACCAAACCCCGCGTCAAGTCGGCTATTGCCGAGCTGCCCCCTCTGCGCCGGACCAACATCATGATTGACCCATTGCCCATCTCCAAGGAAAAAGAGGCTGTTTTATCGCGAACCCGTCCTTCCTGGCTCCCGCCCAAGAATCCTGCTGAAGAACGCCGCCATTTGAAGGAATACCAGAAAATGATGGCGCAGAGTGCTGAGGCCGAGCGCCGTCGCGAAACGGCAAAGCGCGTTCGATCAGAATGCCGGGATACTGCTGCGGACAGCTTAATGCAAATCTGGGAGCAAGATATCCTCCCACGATGGAACGACGCTATTCGGGAGCGCAGGACGCGGGATCTCTGGTGGCGGGGCGTCGCGCCGCGCAGTCGAGGAGCTGTGTGGAACCGTGCCGTAGGAAACGAGCTTGGCCTCACCAAGACGTCATTCACGGCCGCTCTCGGCCGAGCTCGTGATATCCAGGCCAAGGCCAAAACGGGGCACGAGAGTGTCGAAGACTCGCGCGCCACTGCTTGGTTTGAGGCGATCGTGAAAGACGTCGGGAAGAACACATGGCCGGACCTGCGGATATTCCAGTCTGGAGGCCCGCTTCACCAAGGCTTAGTCGACATTCTCAGCGCATACGCCATGTACCGGAGCGATATTGGATATGTGCCAGGCTGCAATGTGAGTTTGGCTAGTTCCGGTGTTACTTTATCGAACTTCTAGTGCGCAGGATGACTAACACGCTGTCTCAGACCATCGCAGCGCTTCTTCTAATTAACTTGCCAACCCCAACTGATGCTTTCATCGCGCTCGCCAACATCCTGAACCGTTCCTTGCCTCTCAGCTTCTTCGCTTCTGATGCCGGGGCCAAGTCCACAGCCTATAATCTACTCCTGCAGACGTTGAGTCGCAAATACCCCAGCCTGCACGATCACCTGGTGCAACTGCCCGACCACGACCCAGAACTGTACCTGGGCGACATTTTTTCCAGCCTCTTCACCAACTATCTTGCTTTGGACCAAGCTGCCAGGCTCTGGGACGTCTATGTCTTTGAGGGCGACAACGTGTTGATTCGGGCTTGCGTTGCACTGCTCGCACAAAAAGAGATGTCCCTTATGGGGACGAAAACCATTGAAGACGTCAACACAATTCTTCGCCACAGTACCGAAGGTGCCAAGGGTCCCCAGGTGACCGAAGGACACGGCGAAGAAGATCGCTGGATGCGCGCTGTCAAGGAAGCGGGAAAAGCCTGACGGGCATATAGAGCTGGTCGTCGTTTATTTTCTTTGGCTTCAACAGACACAAAGTACACACACTCAACATACACTGGGAGGAATATTCACACCAACGCGTCACGAACACACACACTCACGGTACATATACACTTACAAGCAGGCGACACAGACACAGCCGGCGTTTTCCGACCTGCAGCATTACTTGGGGAATGGGTTATGATGAACATTGGGTGGTTTTCATTTTTTTTTCGCTTTAATATTCTTTCTGCGCATTGCGCAGCGTTAGTTTTGCATCGGCTACTGTGTATACTTAATATTCGATATCGCCACCGAGCGTGGCTCTTAAAGACAAAGGGGTTGAAGAACTTTTCTTCTAGATTTGGGGGCGACGAGGGACAGGGACTAGGATAGGATGACGTCTGCCTTTTTTCAGGCTCTGCTGCTATCTCACCTTTCGCAGCCGTTTGGATGGCCGTTCAATCTAACTACCTATCTACCTGGCACATGCTTGACTACCTCACCTGTGCTTTGCCGCGGTACAACAAAAAGTCAAACAATTAAACGGCACCGACAGAGTACTAGAGTCTAATCCTGTATTCGTACTGATATTGCGTTAGTTCGGGTACCTGTCGACTACATTACACGCCGTGGGAGAGACCCAGATGTCGGCAGGCCGAGATATGAATATGTGCAAAAATGTCTATACATTATCTCCCGAGCACTTACCTGTCCGTCATCCCTTTCTACTTTCTTGAGACGCTTCACGTGTTGGCAGGGTGACTGGCGCAACTGACATGCGATATCAAATGAATTCAGCTGGTGTACCTGTGCTCCGCACGTAAATGACAGATAATCTACCTAGCAAATCCGATTCTATGAGTCTGCCATTCTCCTGGAAACCCTATCTGGTCTTTTCGTTACCTTTTTGTAGCCAACCAACAGCTTTTGAGGGAGGAAACGAGAGAAAAAAAAAGCAATCATGACATCGTAACCACCAACAATAACAACCTCTCTCTCACTCACATATTCGTTCTTTTGTAGTCCGTTTATTTCCCAAAATGAAACATGGCTTAGATGTCCCACAGCAGCTCAACCACCTCGTCCATGGCCGGCTCTTTGCTAGTCTCGACCCCTGCCGCTCCGTCGTAGCCGCCCTCTGCCTCCTCATCCTCTTCGTCGGCAAGCATGCTGTCGCTCCCCCTGTACACATAGACCTGTCTAAAGGCGCGGCGGTTGTGTTCCCCGCTCGCGCCTTCCGTGACGACGACTGACACGTCGACCAGGTGATAGCTCTTCTTCTGGCGGTGGGTGAGGCGGGGCCGCAGCGGGCCGTAGCTGAAGTCGTAGTCGTGACTGTCGGGGGATTCCCAGGTGCCCTCGATGCGGGCAAAGTCGAGCGTGTCGGCGAGCCCGTCGCCGTACTGGGCGATGCTGTAGCCGTTGGCGAGCAGCGTGTCGCCGCCGAAGCGCCACCGCTGCAGGAAGCAGTCGCCACACACGCCCGTCACGGCCGCCATCTGCGGCAGCGGCGCGCGGTACCACGACTTCCAGTGGTGCACGCTCAGCGGCCGCGCGCCGCTCTCGTAGAAGCCCGACGCGTCGCCCCGCAGGTCGTGCTGGTGTAGCCCATGCACGAGCGAGAGCTTAGTGCGCGTGTTAGCGTAGATGCAGTCGCGCAGGATGCCGTCGCCCGTTGCTGGCGCCAGGGCCTCGCGGATGCTGTAGAAACAGAAACTATATAAGCTGGTGACTACTGCACAACGCGGGTTTGATGCAACCCTTCATTCTCTGGGGTATCTCATACCATTGCTCCGAGAGCGGCTCGATCTCGCGTGCGAGCGGCAGACTAAGAAACGCCCCTGCTCCGCCAAAGGCCATGATTCCCCAGACACGGATGCTGCTGAAGTCGTCCGACATGGCACCGAGCCAGGCCGGGCGCGTGTGGTCGTGCTGCGCCAGCTCTGCGTCGAGTGTGTAGAGCGACGGAAAGAAGGTGTCGTCGTCCATAACGCCGAGCCACCTAGTTTCGGGAGACGCCACGGCCACCATTTCTCGTACCAGCAGGAAGTGGTACTGCTCTATCGACTTCCGCTGGCTGCCATTCTCGCCCCCGCCCCCGCCCCCTTTGTCACCCCCGTGCAGTGACTCGGTATGTCTGAGCATACTGGGAGCTAGGAGCGTGGCGTTCACTTCCCATCGCCGATATTCCTCTTCCAGCGCCGTCAGATTGTAGTTTGCACCCAAGTGGTCGCCGTCCATGACAATGGCGACCAGTTGCGCCCCGGTTCCTGATAGCCAATGCGCAAGTGCCGGGAGCGACTCTCTTACGCGGTCGTACGTGGATGCTACGCCGAAGATGAGGTGCCTATACTGTCTCTCTGGGTAGGGCGGTGGGACCTGTAGGGAGATATAGTCGCAAGGACCGAGGTCAAGCCTGGGGCAGGCAGCCAGGTTGATGGTTGCCTTGTTGGTGAGAAGCGGAAGTGTGATGTTTGTGACGGCGTCTCGGTCGGAACTGTCTCGCAATGGCTTAATGCACCGACGCGTGTAGACAATACTGTCGGTGAGTCCCAGTTGCGGATGGCGAAGATGCCGGAGCTCAGGCCTCTCACACTTGCCAAGCTCTGAGGTTTCTTGACCTGCGACAGGTGTGCTCGCTTCTTTCGAGGAGGGTAGGCTGTCCTGAAGCTTAACAACATCAAGAGCCTTGGGCAAAGGTCGTTCTCCTCCAATGTTGAGGATTGACTTCGGTATTGGTATGCCATTATGGAGCCTGGAGGCGGTCAGGAGGAAGATAACCAAGACGAAGGCCGCTAGGACGGGGAAGCATTTCGAGAACCGCTGAGGGACGAGCATCATCTGCATCACATATCATCTCGACAGCTTCTAAATCAGTACCATATGCTGAAAACGCCAGGAGGAGCAGCGGACAGGCCGAGAGGTAGAAGATGATAATGTCAAGAGGTGTAGACCGAAGACAGCTGCGACTCCGGGTCGATTCGTCGAGGTTCGACAAGTACAGCGTTGAACAGCGACTGGAAGCGGAAGGAAACAACACACCTTATGCAAGTATCCTTCCGGCTTGTTGGAGCGACAATGGAAAACGTCTTGGTAAGTCTTCTACCGGTCCTCTGCCGCTCTCCGTGAGCAGTCATGCTCCACAACGATTTTCACCTCTGCATCTACTAATACAAACCCTGGTCGAGTACACGAAACTGAAGCCGCGTGTGCATGTAGCCCGTCCGGGCATAGCTGGGCTTATATGGCTATTAATGCCAGTGAGCAAGCAGACCGTTAATCGGAAGAGCCAACGTGATTCAAGCCATTTCAAGACCATTTCAATAGGATAGACGAGTCCCGGGGCTCATCTAGATCTAACATATTCTCCCGGATTGGGAAACGGCGGAAGTCACTGCACGGCTTGTACTAACTTGCAGCCACATAGAGGAGTCTGGATGAGCCGTGTTGCTGGGCCACGAGCGTAGAGGGGGATCACGACGACCAGAAATCCTTGGATCTCGCTAATGCAAAGACGATCGCCAAGAGATCCAAGCCGGGGCAGATCAGGCTACCCAATGTGACAGACAACAGTTATGACAGGTGATAACTATGCCTCAATGAGTGTGTGGTATATCCACATGCAAGGGGCTGTTTGCCATCCTCGAGCCCAGCTTCTTCCAATCACCACCCGCCTCCAATGCTCTAGCATTACCCAGATGCAAGTTTTTGCTGTCATACGGGGTCGGTGGGACGATTCGTCAGAAACGATGCATCGTTGCGCTGTGTTGTGCTTAGGTCGTTGATGCTTGGCTAGTGTCGCCGGACACGGGAAGGAGCAGAGGCCCAATAACGATTGCGTGGCAATGGCCCAATTTGCCGGCAGAATACGGTATTAATTTGCCTCTGACAACGACTAAAGAAGATGCGGGGTTTTTTCCCCGTCTGCCGCCTGAATGTGTTGACTTGCGGCTCTGACGCCCCAGAAATGCAAGCCAGTTTCGGGTTCGTGATTCTCATCCCAGAAACTGAAGTGCGGGGGCGGAACGGATATATGACAGCAAAACGATGTTCAGATATAGGTATGTTATTGCTTCGGGCCGTTCGTCTCCAAGCCGTTCCGTAGCAGTTTCGAGCTATTCTCTAGGTGAAGACGCGATGTGAGTGTTAGAAGTAGTTAGCCAAGTCGATATGGCCGTCGGTTTCGAGGAGCGGGAAGAGATTCAGTGCCCCGAAACTCTGTTCTTGGTCTTCGGTAGAGCCTCCCAAGATCGAGAAGTCTGATACTCCGGCCAGAGAGGTACCGAAACCCACAAAGTTTGACTCGAAATCGAAGCCAAGTTGCATTCTGTACGGCTCGTCAGGCCAATTTCCAGTAGAGCCGCCAACGGGGCTTGATGCATGAGACGAAGCAGAAGAAAACCCGTTTATATGGTCGGTTTGACGCGTCTGGTGGACCTGGCGAGGTGTCGGAGGAACGAGCCCAAAGATCTGCGATGAGCTTTCGGTCCTTTTTGATCTTTCCTCGATCTCTGCCCTCTCAAGATGTTCCAGGGCCGTGGAAAGGAGCGACTTGGCAATGAGAGAATATTGTACTGCATGGGCATCTGCGTCTGCAAAGTATTCGAGCGCAGTGATGGAGGCTCGGCAATGGGTCTCGATGAAGCGGCCAAACCCGCCCAGAAGTCCAAGACCGAGCACGAGTGATGATGCAAAGAGCCAGGAACTAAGACATGTATAAGTCAGCAGGCACAACGGGGGTCAGAAAGCGCTGCCGGTAAGACCTACACGACCACGGGAGCACGGCGCGTCATTATCTTACGTTCTACCAGTTCCTGGACCAGTTCAACCATGAGGATTGCAGCATCGATGCAAGCATGGGCCAGCTTGGACTTCCCGGATGCCAGGCTATCTCTGCCAAATGCCGATCCCGAAGCGCTTCCCTCCGACAGCCTGCGGTGTAATTCGACCATAAGGAATGGCCGCGAGACGAGGATCACAGCATAAAAGTAAGATGAGAGTACTTGGCAAGCCCCGTTAGCCATTTCAGGCCCGTCCTCGCCTGTATCACCTCCGACGAGGCCTTTTAAAGTCTGAAGCCACCTTGCAGACCATTCTCGGAGTTCACGCGAGATGCCTTCAGTCAGGGGTGGTGATATCTTTCGTCGCGAGTAAACCTCGACAACTATTGCCTCAATAATGAGGAAGATTTGCACAGATGCGTTGAGAATGTCGAACGTTTCCAAACCGTCCTCTCCAGTTGCCCGGTAGGGAACTGTGCAGTCCACGTCTGATGTGGCAGGTGGACGCCCCATCGAAGTGCTCAGAAATAGGTCGACGACGCGCAGGCTCTTCCACAGACGATCCCTCTGGCGGTGAGTCTCTGGACCGAACCTCGAGTTGACATCTGTCCTGTGAAGCCCGATCGAGAAGGCGGCTCGTACCGCGATGCCAAAGAAAAGGAAAGCGCCGTTGATCTGGCAAGCGCCGAGCATATAGAAGGTGACAAGGATGAAAACCTGGACACTGGCCACACCAAGGTTGCCGGTAAGGCTTGCGAAGGCGAGATCACGAGCATACTCAAAGTAGACGAGAGCAGCACCCTCGTCGGATTTCTGGCAGCCGATGGCAAGCACCAGGTAGTTGACCGCCGAGGATACATCGGCAGCACTGTCGTCCCTTGCGCGGGCCTGGCTTGTCCAGCTAGTGATATCATGGAGCAGTGATGTATTGTCAAAAAGATCGATGAGCCCTGCCGTCACCTCTAAATAGGCCGAGACAGCCTGCTCGACCCGTGTCTTGATGGGCGGAGGCTCAGCCCCGTAGCCGGCAGACACGGAGGGCCGAGAGTAAGCATTTTCGAGAATGGAATAACCACTGGTCTCGGGCGCAAAGGCGTGCGCATCCACTCGTGAGGTAACGAGGCGGCGGACTGTCTGGAAAAACGACAGAGGCGCACAGTCGCCGATGAAGATGAGCTTCCCTTGGATGTCGCACAGCAAACGCGCCTCGCGGGGAACTTCAGTCTCTTCATGCTCCTCGGTGGCAGCGAAGACGTCGCCGCTGCCTGGCAGCTGCGTGGCCCTGTTAGGATCGGTAGGTGCGGGTTGGGGGGTGGCCGCTTGAGGCGGCGGTGTCTGTATCAGAGATGCGGCTGTGGTCGCGGAATGGCCGTGGTTGGTGGCAGCGGGGTTGACGGAGGACCCGGACGCTGGGGAGGAGGCGCTAGCGGTTGGCCGCCGCCGCTGTTGCTGCGCGCTGTAGCGGCAGTTCTGGGGCTGCTGGCGTCTTGCACAATACCCGCAAGGCGTCGTTCCGGTGCATTTGACCCTCCGTATCTTGCACACGTCGCAGGCCACTTGAACGCGAATGCGCTGTGGTCTTGTTTCCATGGCTTCCATCCCAGATGCGCATGCGGGTTGGCGTTTTGGATATTAAAATAATGGAACCCTCCATGCAAGGTAAGGAACGGACTGGTTCTGTACCGTCCGTTCCATGAACACTTTAGACTAACCTAATTTGAGAGCAAAGCCGGCGGATCCATTCTCGACACAACCTGCACTGCGGAAGACTGATAGGGAAGGCGCTACGGGGTTTAGAGGGGAATCGACGGAAACCAACGGCTTGACGGCGGAAAGCTGGAACTAGCTCTATTTTGCTTATTTAATGGTGTGTCGTAACTTGAACTCTTACCTCAGCACAACGATCCTCCATTTTGGTAAGGCCCATAGCCTTGACCATGTAGCTCCATGGAGCCGGCGCAAGTAATAATAGGGAGTGCTCATGGCGAATACATGGTCAAAAGTCATGGACGTATCTTAGTTCAGCCTACCTATTTACGCAGACACTGTCATTTTCGCAAAGAGCGCAGCCACAACTCTGTCAGATACCAGCTCGAATTTTGTTCAATTGCCATTCTCGAAGGTTAGGATATCTATCACGAGCCGTGATTAACTCCGTCGAGAATGCAAGTGCTGTAATGGTACACGGATGCCCTAAACAAGTAGGAAAAGCCGCGCATGCAAGTTTTCCGCCTGTGCTGAATCGAAGCCACCCAATACTCCCCAGCTCTTTTTCCATGAGCAATTATGGCAAACCGCCGAGTAAGAAAAAAAAGGGAGAGCGTTCGTCTTTCTCTTCTGCGAAATCACCAAGAAGGGGTATCGGCTGGAGACGGGGACAGGAGGATAAGGAAAGGAAGAAAAAAAGCAAGATAGAAGAGAACCCCGTTGAAAAGTCCATACCAGTCTCCAACGTCATGAGTTTGCCGGTGTTTTGTTTAACCCCGATGCAAAATCCCAATGATAACGCGGTTGAAGCACAACTCTAGCAAAGTAACAGCGGAGCCTACTCCATCATCTTCAAGAGATCCTCAGCGTACTGGATGCAGAGCTCCCCCTTGCTGCAGAGACTATCAGCGGTAGCTGCATCGTTCATCTGCTTCATAAACAGGCGGAGGCACTGCTCCATGGCTCTCTTAGAATCCTTCTTCCGGTTTCCCGTCTTGGGGCTCACCCAGCCCTTGTCGACGGGCTTTGGAGTGCCGGCACTGGCTCCCTTCTTGTTGGCCTTGGGGGTATCGACCGCCGGGATATCCGGGTCAAGGTTGATGACAATCTCGTCATATCCCTCCTCCTTCGTCTGCTTTCGTGCTATGGACTGTTGCTGCTTGATCTGATTGACGTCCTGGGAAACCTTCTTGATCGAATTGAAGAGAATCTCGTGGCGGAATATGGCCCGGGCTTTCTCGTACTGCTGGTTCGCCTCCACCGTCGCCAAGCTCTTCTTGACCGACTCCAGCTCCTCTGCTACGTTGATAGGCTGAACGCTGAGGCTCTTTTCAATTTTCTTGAGACGCTTTTCGATTTTCTTGAGACCGTTGCTGTCCGTCTCGTTTTCGTCGTCCATCGTCTCAATTTCGAACTTGGCCGCATTGTGAGTTACTGGGAATGAGGGTTCGGTCTCCTGGGCGTTTTCCGGAGACTCTTTTGGCTTTTGGACAAGAGGGATATCGGGCAAGATGCGTTTGCAGAGGCTCGATCCGAGCTTGATGGAGCGGGCCAAGTCTGGTTCCATCTTGAAGCGAATTATCTTTTTCTTCTTTCCTTCAATGCCATGCTTGACGCGCTTTGCTCGCTGCTCGGCGGGCAGGTCGGGGCTGCGGTCGGCGGCAGCTGGCTTCTCTCCAGACTCACTGGGCGGCGAAAGGTCCTCGCGACCTCGTTTCAGATGGCTCATTTTTGCTTCTTTTCGTCGGCAAATTCCTCGCAGGCCTAGATTAGATGACAAGAATCAGAATGTGGGCTTGGTACGGGTGAGAAGGTGGTGACTCACGGATTTCTGCGAGGAAAAGGTCTCGACCCAAAAGCAGGGCTCAGATGTGCGGAAGGTAGGTGAGAGAAACTTTGCAGCCCCGGGATTGAATGTGAGTCACGACTTGAAATGAGGACGCGAACGAATTGCCCGTGTGCGAAAGTGAATGAAAGGTTGAACGAGAGGTTGACTTTCCGAGCGAAAATTCCTGGTTGATGAGGGGACGGAAGAAGCAGTACTGATGAGCAGGGAGAGCACAGGAGGATAGCGCTAGGTTGCGCTTCGCCGGGCCCTGTTTTGGAAAGTTAGTCTGCACCACAGGCTTTTGGTGAATTTTAGGCCCAAATCAAAATGCTCGCAGTGAATAAGGCAGGAAATCCCGTTTCCTGGGTGACCTGTTGTTCAGACCTTAAAATCTCATAGTGCAAGTGTCCACTCTCACGGCTAGAGACACCGTTCTGAGAAAAGAGTAAAGTGCTAAATCCAAGTGAGATGAAGTACACACCAAGGAATGGCTGATACATTCATTCATCTTCTGATATGATCATGTCAGTCGACATCTGGAGCCAAACAAACTGAAAGTGATAAATTACTCTCTGTCCGAGATCTCTTCCAAAACTGAATGAGAGGCATCCTCAAGCCCCCTCGCCTTCAATAGGCGTATCCATATCCATAATACACTCTCAGAAATAGCCATGACGGTCAAATGGTCTCGGTCAACATAACCGGGGCATGATTCGGCGGCTGTGGATGGTTTCTATACTTACTGAACTTATTCTGATACTGATAATCGGACAGGGTTAAATATATTCGTGGAAGAAAGAGGTGGTCTGATACCGCCGAGCATGCACAAGTAATTATATCAGCCATCAAACCAGATGCATAACGTCGGCAACATTGATATCTAGAAGCCAGGGCAGGCAAATGTTGTTTGAATATTAAATTTTCTTCCGATCACCTTGAGTGGGGTGTCGTGTGTCGTCTGGCGAGTTGCTGTTCGTCCGAATCCGGCTCTGACAGACACAGGCAACCATCCATGAGATGAAATTTGTCACACTTGCCAAGTTGCCCTGGAGTGAAACTCGGCATCCCTTGCACCAAACAGTCTTTCCTAATTAATGGCCTAACTGTGTCCCTGCGGACGGAAATGAGATACGAGGACTGCGTACCGCGGACAGACATGTCTGACAACTTTTCATCCGCGTATTACTTTGACGCCCCAAAACGGCAACTCTGCTGACGCCGAGTGTCGCTTGCCCCTCCCCGTTTGTCTTGGCCAACGAGCTAGCGGCCGGCGCGCCAACTTAATTGGCTGTGCCCCCTTGGGGGAAGTCGCATTGGGAAAACGGTTCCCGACACTGGGGAGCTCCTGCCAAAAGGCGAGTGGCACGGCCTGATAGCGCCGAAAGACAAAAGATCAGCCCTGGCCCAGACTGACAGTGGAGTTGATACCTGGGAATTTGGCAGGTTAATAATCCGATTGCGCTGACAGAGCCACCCAGGCTGTGCCCTCTGCACCCCTGCCTCAGCATCTCAGCCCTTGCCCAAAACGTCATCAGGCCAGGCCTTGGAGCTGGGTCGGTCTGCTCACAAGACACCGGCCTGTGTTGCGTGTCAGATCTGGGCCAACAAGGCCGAATGAACATGCAATTTTTTTCCACTTGTTCAATGGCATCGTGTTACCTGTGCCATCCGTGCCATCGGGACCGGAACGGGCGGCCCTAACCTCGCCTCACGTCAGTTGCTCCGACTGAACAAGAGCCGACGTTGCCTCTTTTCCCATGCCAGTGCCTCTTTGACATCAGGCACTTCTTTACCTGCGTCGCCTCATCCGGACGTAGCCGACACCCCGAGTCGAAATCCCCTCACCTCGGGCTTTCTTTCCCCTGCGCGATTATTGCAGCAGTATTATATGTTGCCTTTGGACGGACGAAGACAGCGAGCTTTTCAATACCCCGCATTAGACGATAGAAGACGCCCGTGAGGTCTGCTTGATCGATTTTTGACGGCCAATGCCAGCCGTCATCCAAGATGGGAAGAATACTGGCGATCGTCGCTGCGCTGCTGCTCGTCGCCGCCCGCTATGCGAGAGCGCAGTCGGCGCTGAGTGTCGATCTTAAATCCCCAAGTGAGTTCCATTATCACCTGCTCTACACCTGCCATAGCGGCCAGCATCGACCCCGACCCCGGCTATGTTGTGTCTATATCGACTCTTTCCCAAGTTGTCAACCACATGACCTCACTGCTACATACCCGAAGCCGACTCGCTGACCGCTAGGCAGGCTCTATCAAGGCGGCTTCCAAGATAGTTGCGAAAAATCTCATGGCGTACTACCACGGCGACGAATACGGACAAACCATTGGGATTCTGCCCGGCCCTCCGCCAGTGGGGCCGTACTACTGGTGGGAGGCCGGCGCAATGTGGGGTACGATGGTGGATTACTGGTTTTACACGGGGGATGATCAGTTTAACAATGTGACGACGGAGGCTCTGCTCTTCCAGGCCGCTGCTCCGCAGAACAGCTACCAGCCCATCAATTGGACCGCGTCGCTCGGGAATGACGACCAGGCCTTCTGGGGTATGGCGGCCATGCTCGCCGCCGAGGTCAACTTCCCCAACCCGCCAAAGGACCAGCCGCAGTGGTTGGCGTTAGCCCAGGCCGTCTTCAACACACAGGCCCCGCGCTGGGAGTTGGAGGATTGCAACGGCGGCCTACGCTGGCAGATTCCCAGATCCAACGGTGGCTTCAACTATAAAAACTCCATCGCCAATGTCTGCTTCCTCAATATTGCTGCCCGTCTCGCCCGATATACCAACAATGAGACGTATGCGCAATGGGTCGAGACGACGTGGGACTGGATGGAAGGCGTCAAGTATATTGATAAGGCGTACAACGTCTTCGATGGTGGCCATGTCGAGCACAACTGTACCGACATCAACCCTGTGCAGTTCTCCGCCAACGCTGCCGTGCTCATTCATGGCGCCGCCATCATGTACAATCACGTACGTTGTCTCTTGCTCTTCCTCTAAAATTACTTTCTGAGCAATCTCGAGTCGAGACAAACTAACTGGCCCCTAGACAAACTCCCAAAAGTGGCGGACTCGGGTGAGTGGCCTGCTGAACCGGACAATTGAACATTTCTTCCCCAACGGTATCATGGTGGAGAGGGCGTGCGAGCTGGACGACCGAGTCCAGTGCAACGTCGACCAGCACTCGTTCAAGGGCTATATGCACCGCGCGCTGGCCACGGTAGCCCTGGTTGCGCCCTTCACGCATGAGAACATCACCAATGTGTTGAGGACATCGACCCAGGGTGCCATCAAGAGCTGCCTCTCGGACGGGACCTGCGGCTTCCGCTGGACCACAGGTAACTACGACGGCGACGTCGGGATGGGCCCTGCTGGTCAGGAGATGAGCGCGTTGGCAGCATTGATGACGCAGTTGGTGGACCAGCAGCCGGTCGCCGGCCCGCTAACGAACACGACGGGCGGCACCAGCGTAGGTGACCCCAACGCGGGCTCCATCCCGAATACGCTGCCAACCCTGGCGCCAATCACACAGGCAGACCGGGGTGGCGCTGGTTTCTTGACTGCCTTTGTCTTGACGTCCTTGCTGGGCTGTCTTATATGGATAAGTAGCGAATGGGCCGAAGGCAAGTGAGGTAAATAGTCATTTCGGGGGCTTGTATCTGGATCTTGGTGTTTTTTTGGCGGTTTTTTTTTGTTTTTAGCATTTCAACGGGCGATATTCGGGTTCTTCTTTTTGAAATTTGAGGGAAAAGGCTGGCTCGCGTCCAAACGGTGCGGGAATGGGCGGGGAATCATAGTATAAAAGGCAACTAGAGTTGGAAGCACACACCGCAGTTGGAAATTAGCGGTCCCTTTTGGGGGCATGTCGTTGGATATGGTCCATCATCTGGCGTTCCAAGATAAGGATCCTTTGGATAGTGGCTGTTTTATAGGGGAAAAGGGCGACGGTGCAACAGCATCTCCTCATTGTCCCGCGACTTCATATTCGTCGTAAATATAGTCTGCAATTATTCTACCTTTATTGTGATTTGCTCGCATCTCTTACTCCGTGTTTTTACTCTGCTTTCGGGACCTCATGATGTGCTGCATGTCCGGCAAACAGAGTGCGACTTTGTCTTCGGACTTTGGCCCGAAACCTCGGAAAGCTTGAAGGACATTTCACTCAGGAGGACGCCGAGCAAGATTCTTTTCGATGAACTAGGGGTCCATACTAATTGCCTATGCATATCTGACTCCTGAGAAGCCCGTCTAAATGCCCGCATTGAGCGCAGTCTAAGTCTATGAGTGTGATAGTTCTCTGCAATGTTCTTTGGTGCTAATTATTTAGTGTATTTCCGCGGAGTCTCCTGCCGCTGGCGGAGAAAACTACCATACCGTAACCTACCTACCCCCAAGTTCCGTCCCGACTCCCATTTTCTCGGTGCGCACTTGCCGATGCGCAACCACGGCGTCGAGGTTACGCTTGGGAAAGGAATCGTGGGATGGGTGCCGGACCCGGCTTGGTCTAGGCCCTTTCAGTGTAGTGGTGGTGAGAAAGCAGGACTGCAAGTCCGGGGTGAAAAGGGACGGGGAAGGGAAAGGGGCCTGCCGCCGCGCGCCCGCGCCCGCGCCAGCGCCAGCGCAGGGGGAGGGGGGGTGTGTCCTGAACTAGCGAATTACTAACTGCCCTAGTTACTGAGGCGGTGATGGACTCACCGAGGAATTTTTTTTAATGCATCCATGCAGTGCCGCCGTCCGTGCATGGATCTTGTTCCTCTGCACCACGCGGGGGGACGCTCCTTCCCTGTCTGTGATTACCGTACTGCTCCTCCCGCGTTCTTCAATGTTAACGATCCTGCGCGCTAGCGCTGCGCAGGGCATATCACCCCTTTCTTTTTTTCCACGTCTTTTCAGGATCGTGCGTATGGATTGTATTGGCGTATTACAGCACTAATGGTAAAGTTCCTTTAACTTTTTCCCTGCTAAGATCAATACGCGGAATAACAGGCAGCCGCGCTTGCTTCCCCTTTCCCCTATCCCCTTTCCTTTCCGGTTTAGGTTTCCTAATCCCTGATTCCTAGCATGCTCTTGGCGCTTGTTTACCCCTTTTTTCCGTCTCCTTTATTGTGCCTCCTTTGAGGGACAGTAACGAATGTCGACTTATGAGTGCACTATGACAGTTTGGCCACGAGTTGTTCTGCAGATGACTTATCATTGCGGAGACCTCAAGTAGCTCTGCCGATTCTCTCCATTTCAAGACCATGGATCGTTTTTTTGTGAAGATCGGGAAGTTGGGAAGGTCTTGGCATAGGAGTATCGAGGTTGTGACTATCTCACTTCATGCACAGTTAGAGAGAGCATTTAGAATACGGGGAATTAAAGTCTAATAGATGGTTGAATTAAACTGTCTGCACTACTTAGACCGCGTAATGCAGTGCAGCAATGATCAGGTGATTAAGTACCGCAGTGACTGGGTGATTGAATGAATGAATGAATGAGACGATGTGGACTACTGGGATGTTCCAGGTTCCTATGGGGCCAAGGACCCCCAAAAAGGCAAAGGCAGAAACTTTGCCCTGGTTATACCGTCGGCGAAGATCGTCAACAGTTCCAAACGATGGCGATCGGGGGAGTGGTTTTGATGGGCTAGGTTGCATTGAGTCTAAGAGGGCTTCTTCGGTCTAGAGAGTTTCCGTTTCATATACTGTCCCATTTCAATCAAATCAACTCGGAGTTTCTTGGTTGTTTCCTCCTGTCTCGCAATCAACTCTCCTTGCTCTTCCTTTTGATATACTTCTAGACGTGTTTTTTGGGCAGAAGTATCTTTGTCAAGGGCCTTCAGACGGGTAAATGACTGCTGCAGACCGTTGGCGAGGAGTTGCTCTAGGTCTTTCCAGACGGTCTTAACCTCCTTTCGAATGTACAAGTGCCGGCCGTTAAGACGGCGTTGGAGCTCCTCGAGAATTTCCTGAATTGCTTTGATGTCCTCGCTTCGTTGAGAACTGTTTGGCTGGTTTGTTGCTACCAGTCTGACCCGAACCTTAATCCCCTCGAGTTCCATCTTCAGGCCGGCGAGGAGTTCTTCTTGAGCTCCAATTCGCAAGTCTTGGGTCGTGATCCATTCGTGATGCTCGGCCAACCGGCTTTCATAATCCAAGAAACGGCCGTCTGTGAGTTTCTTGAACTTGCCCAGTAATTCCTTCTTCTTCTTCTTTGGGGGTACCTCTTCATTTGAAAACTCCGCTCCCTTGACAAACAGCCCCTCATTTGAGCTATTGGGTTCCTCCGTTGATTCCGAGTCAAGTGCCTGTGGGAGGGTTGTCACTTAGCGCTTGGCAGTTCGAGAATCACGTACATCACCTGCACACGTCTTTCTTTTCCTTGTATCCCCTGAATGCGAGCCGAAAGTCGCAGTAGAAGGGTAAGCAGTGTCGCGATTGGGAGAGACCACCTCGCTGTTTTTCAACTTGATGACTTTTCTTGACTTTCGAGGAGAGGGTTGAAATACTCGTTGTGTGTCGGGCGAATGTGAAGAGGCCAAGACAATGACTTCATGATTTCCCCCCTGCTTCGCAATAGTCTGGGTCTCAGTTTTCTGCTGCTGACCAAGGTCGATCAAGAGACCGCCTTTTTCATCTGAGCCCAGGATATTCGCAAATCAGTCAAAATCGTATCTGTGTCGGATAATGGACCGAGTGGGTGTACCAGCTGAGTTCTCAAAAGTCCATCCATTCATCCACCAATCTTGCGGGTTCACTCAAAGGCACTATGTGTTGTCCCCGTAGAGACACCAGGCACGACTTTCTGGCATCAATAAGTACTTCAGAAAGTTTCTTGCAGTATCCCCGTTTCCCTTCAAGGGAATCTGCTCGGACAGTGTCCCAGAAATGTCATCGCGGTTGTAGAATCTCTAGTAGTGCAGCATAGCTCGAAATAGAACAGCAATGTTGTTTCGGAGCCGAAATTTTCTGAACAAAGAGTTGGGATGTTTGCCATTGGCAGATTGTGATTAAAAATCCGGCCTCAGTAGATTGTATTTCCGGAGTTCTCCGTTACCACTAGGCGGACCAACGAAGTTAAAACCGCCAATGGCCCAGAGATACGGCATTTTGGGAGTTCCCGGGAAAGGGTGTGACGAGATGAGATAGTAACAGGTGAAAACCGCAAGATCGACGCGAAGGAGCAGGGTGGTTTGGACGGCCGAGGCTTTCGAGCCACGTAAATTTCTCGCTGAAGTGCCTGCCCGAGGTTGTCGCCTTGGACAAGGCCCTTTTAGATCAGGTATTAGCGGAGTACGGGTAGGAAGGAAGGTAGCCGGAGACGCGATGCGGTGGAAGAAAAAGAAGGCACGAAAGGTTCAAAGTGCGAAATGCGAACGTTCTGTCAGGTCATAAGAAAGGCACCTCCGGGTCAGTTGATACCCACCTGTTGCTTATTGATAACTTTAAACGTGTCACGAATGGGCTGTCGACTTGTTTTAGGACGGAGACCTGAGGACGAGGTAGTTAGCCACGTCTAGTTACCCTAGCGATGACTTGGTTGTCACGTATGGGGCAGGCAAGGCCATTGACGTCACTGACGACCCGGAGAAGCAGATCCACGGCCAATACAAGCCACTCCATTCTCACAAGATTCTCACAACATATTAACAGTGTGCGTAAACGACCCTCCTGAACTTGATCACAGTTTGGTCACCTGCCCTGAGGGTTGGTGCTTGGAAGGAGGCTAGAAGCTGGACTGCGGGCTCGAGGCTGCTTACTTTGATTTACTTCCCCAGCCCCCGGCATATGATATCGGTAACGAGGGCTCGGGGAATAAAATGAACGTCAAGAAACTAGCCCCGGAAACCTCATCGTTTTGCGGATGAGATAGTGCCACCGGCAACAAAAATTGCGAGACAGACTGCCAGGATAACAACACAGACTTTTGCTATGTACTCTGATCACGGCACCCTATGAAATCTTACACGCACCCTCATATGAATACAGGCATCTTCTCGTAGGCGTGACTCTTTTAGCACAAACTTGCGATCAACAACGTCCGTGACAGCTCAGGATGCATACAGAAAGTCCAAAATCCATAGAACGGCGAACGCAAAAAACCAAGCGGTAACCAAATCAACATTCTCCGCTATCTCACCAGGTCTGGACTATTGCGCTAGAATAAATGCATTCATTATGCTCTTACCCAGGACCTGATCGATATCATTCACTACCGCATCGTCTTAAACATTTTTTTTTTTTACAGAAACTCAATACGTGGCGTATGGTAGTCACAGAACCATTGCACTCTTTGGTGGCTTACGACTCACTTCAAAGCATTATCATTTACACGTGAATCTCCTCTCATTATTGGATCCGAACTGAAGTCATAACAAAATGACCTCTCTCACTCAACGCAGGCTTCTGGGGGGTTGGCACCCCAGCCAACCCCCCAGCCCATCGTAGATTGGGGGCCGTAACCATCGCGCGCTCCTGGCACTGTATGGATGGAATTTCTGTACGTATTTTCGAAGCATGAAAACGGAATACCATACACAGCAAGGCCAGGGTGTGCCGGTTGCCGGTTGCGGTTGCGCGAGGTCGGGGCCTGGGGAGGTCGGGGCAACTCCACTCAGCAGAAAGCACATCATCCGAGTCACGGGCGATTGGGCGCGCGAAGAGGGGCGGCTGCGACAGGAGCCGGCTGGGCCTTCCTGAGCCCCTCCCGCGCCATTCACTAAAACTGCAGACGTGTGCGAGTTGAGAAGCTATTCAAGGCATTCCTTCGCGCGTGCATGTGCGTGAGAATATAACGTTACAATTGCGCGAATGTTGTATGGAGCCGCGGAGCGAGTTCTAAATGTCGAGAAAATTCGTCATCGAGCCAAAAACGAATAAAAGATAAGCACCGCCTCATTTCAGTGGGAAGCAAGCACACATGGATGCTTTGGAATTTCTTGGCAAGAATCAACGAGGGGCTGTGTGAGTAAGCGAATTTCGCGAATTTCTGGTGCACTTTGGGGGCAATCCTTCTGGAAAATCTTGCTTGGCATCTTCCAATTGCCCGGATTTTGCAAGCCCTGGCCCAGCCTCTGATTCGAAAGCCTTGTGGCCCGTCCGTGTAGGTTTGCCTATTCTGATTTTGCACACCTACCCGCGGGTAGGGAAAGTCGTCGACATCCGCCTCGGTCGTGCCGGATCGCAACGTTGGTTCGCATGCATTATTCCGTGATGGAAAACACGAGGAAGTCGCGGACTTGCCCTCTTGTCGGCAATCCATCTGATCGTTCCAACGCGAACCATCTGATAGGATCCTCCGTGATTCTTAAATCCTCCAGCAACCGGTCCGTCCTCGACTCGTAAGGACCAGGCCGGGGTGTTGGGTCGTGCAAAATTCCGCGCCCCCCAATCGGCCCCTCCTTTTCGATTTCGTCCCGCGCTTCCAGGCTCGAGCGGCTAGGGAGGATTGAGCTCAATCAAAGCTTGCTGCCAAGCTCACCAAGAAGTGTTGATGGCCCCCCAACCCCACTGTCCCATTTCACGTTCCATTTGGGCGCTCCCCATTGACTGACTGGCCAGTTGACTGATTACGCTATGCTATTTTAGAACACGGCAGGGCGTGACTCCACCAAAACGTCCGATTGACGGCAGGCCCAACGACCGCTTCGCCCGCCTCAAGCCAAGCAAACTGGCAAGGTTACCTCAGCGGTCCAGGATGCAGGGTGTTGATGCCGACCTGGAACAAACGGACAGGGACTCGGACGCTACCTTGGCTGTCCATCGCATTGCTTTCCATTCTCATCTGCCCAGGCCCCAAAAGCCCCCCAAGGACCCAGGGCAAGAGTACCGCAGCACCCGTGCTTCAAGCTGCCGATCGCGCTCGAGTTTCGACCGCCCGTACGGATATTCAGTACGGCATACGGAGTATCTCCGACGTATTTTCACTTGATTCTGATGGAAATGTCCACGTGCGTTGGCTGCTTCATACATATTGGATAACTAAACTTGGGCATCATTATAGGCTTCGACTTTGGGCCTCGTGTCCGGGAATTCGGCCAGTGCCGCCCCTCGGCCCTGTTATGGGGCAATCGTCCAGTTGTTCGTGTTGAGCCTTCCCCAAACAGCGTGGTCAGACGTGGTGCATAAGCCAGAAGCAGATAATCTGTGCGTTTTGCGTATACCCCTCCCCCCAAGAAATGCTCGAATACATAATTGTCCCCTGCCAAAGGCCCCCACAGCATCTTTCAGCCTCAGGAAGACTTGCTTGACGACATGTGTCGTGCGCTATCTTGGACCAATTGCCACTGCGCGTCCACCTGCACCAACGGTCGCGGTCTTACTCAGTTAAGTTACTCCTGTTTCGCCGAATGAATTTTCCTGGCTCCGCTGCGGTTCCCAACTAGAGGGCCACTGAGGAGCCGTCAAAGGAATATCCACTCTATATCGTCACATTGGATTCCGAGTATGTATCATATGCGTTGGCTGCGTCGCGCTTGGCAAGAATATTCGTGTTCATACAGAAGAGAAACTGTTCCAGCATGAATTCACACTTACAGGGACGCCACACTACCTGAGTGAGACCAAAGAGATGGACGAAAGGTGTCCCGCTCTGCCCTAGCGTCGTTTGGTTTGATCCCGATTTTACGGAATAGCGATTGAGGACTCCCCTTCAGGAGCTTATGCGCGTGCAGGCAGAAAGCTGGGCATGTTCTGGCAGTGCAAGCCAGACCTGCATTGCTGCAGCTGTCTGCCCGCCCCTCTCCCCCCCTTTTGGGCAGACAGAATTTTTTTTATTGTTTCCTTTTGCTCCCCTCGCTAATTTCTGTCTGGTCTGTGCCTCCGGGGTTTGGCGCCATCGGGCTAAGTGGCGCCCAGCGTGGTACCTCAGTGGTGGGAATCCCGCATCACACCCCGAGGCTGAGCTTTGGAGCACTGTGATGGTGTTTTTGTGGTAGGGATCGACGACATGGGGTTCGGGGTGGGCGTGAGGCTCGACCGGGAGCCCTCCACGGCCGTCAGACGCAGCCCTCTCATTTCTCCCTTGCAGCCCTTGGCTGACCCCTGACAACTAAGAGGGACTACCCATCACTGGTTCGTCGACTTAGCAGACCTTCGCTGCAGTTACTGGACTCGCTACGGACACCTCATGCATGCCACTATTGTATCCTGTGCTGTGATGTAGTGTAAGGAGTACTGTATGTACGTGTGTATGGACAGTACCTGCTCTGTACGGGGAACGTTTCGTCCCAGCCCCAGATGGCTGGCTGCCCGCCTGGGTACCCTATGCGAGCCGGGTGTCGTCCAGTGGTCGGCTGTCAACGCTGTGCAGGAGGGTCCACCGTGACCGACAAGAGCTCCTGGGATTGCCTCCGCGGGCGATAACGATTCCCGCCCCCTCGTATTCTCTCCGCATGGTGCCACCACTGCTTTTGGGATTTCCCATTCTAATCTCAGATCTCTCTCTTGCCAATCTGCAACTTGCGTTCGTTCTCCGGTCGACGCCTCGATTTCTTCGCCCACATTCGCTTTTTGGCATTGTCTCAGCAGCGCCGTCCTTCGTTTTGGTATAGCCGCCAGTCGTTTGTTGCATTTGTTGTTGTTGTTTATCTTTTGGGGCTTTTTTTTTCTGCTTCCCCGGCCGATATGCTTTCGTTCTCTCAGTGACGATGTCAGCACTTTTATCACTTATCTTATCCTTGGGTCTCGGAGCCAGACTCGCAACCTCCCTTCGATGGGACCCCGAATACTCCGACTGGAACCTGAACAGGAATCAGACAGCTGAGGATCCCCTCCATTATAATGGCACCTGGGACGGTCACACATATAACAAATCGCCGGATAACTGGAGATTTCCATTCTACACCCTCTTCCTGGATCGCTTCGTCAACGGTAACCCGACCAACGACAACGCCAACGGAACGGTATTTGAGCAGGATATCACCAGCACACAGCTGCGCTATGGCGGAGATGTTCAGGGCGTCATCGACAGCCTGGATTACATCCATGGCATGGGCGTGAAGGTCAGGACAACATATGATCTTCAACCTCGACGAGAACATGGTTACTGACAGGTTGGCAGGGACTCTACATCGCTGGATCGCCGTTTATCAATCTACCATGGCAATCCGACTCATATTCGGTGTGTTTTGCTGTTCTCTACCCAATGAGAGGACACCGAAGTAGACTAATGCTGGGTAGCCCGTTGATCTTACACTCCTGGATGCGCATTTTGGAAACATTGACGAATGGCGTCGTCTCATAACGGCGATACACGACCGGGACATGTTTGTGCTGCTCGACAACACCGTGGCAACGTAAGTACAACGGCTGTTCTCCGACCGAGGTTGGTCGCAGATGCTAAAGACGGTCAATAGTATGAGCGATCTCTTAGGTTTTGATGGATACCTGAACGAATCCACGCCATTTGATCCAGAAGAGCACAAGGTCGTGTACAAATCAGAAAGACGGTACTTGGATTTTGACTTCACCGACACCTACAATGAAACCTGCAAGTTCCCGCGCTTCTGGAACGAAACTGGGTACCCAATCGACCAGATATATGTCGACCAATTCAAGGGATGCTATGACAGTGATTTTGACCAGGTAAGCAACATTTACGCCCCAAAAACCTCTCATAGCAGCCAGCTTCCGTTGGACCGATGGGGTTGTGCGATCTGAAGTCTAATATCGCAACGCGGTACAACAGTTTGGGGACACGGAGGCTTTTGGAGTCTTCCCCGATTACCGCCGCCAGATTACAAAGTTCGCGTCCGTCCAAGATCGACTCCGAGAATGGTTGCCATCGGTCCAACAGAAGTTGATCAATTTCTCTTGCATGACAATTCGCATGCTCGACATTGATGGTTTCCGGTACGACAAAGCAATCCAGGTGACGGCCGATGCCTCGGCCGAATTCTCATCGGCACTTCGACAATGCGCTCGGGCGGTGGGAAAGACGAACTTCTTCATGCCTGGCGAAATTACTGGTGGAAATGATATTGGCTCCATCTATCTTGGGCGTGGTCGTCAGCCAGACCAGAGAGACGGACTGGACAAGGACCCCAGCCTTGCTCTCAACCTCACCTTGGCGTCTGACCCGAAGAACTTCTTGCGCGAGCCTGGAAAGACTGCGCTCGATGCCTCGGCGTTTTCCTACTCGGTATATCGCTTCCTGACCAGATTTTTGGGCATGGACGGTAATTTGGAGGCCGGCTACGATCTTCCCACGAACTGGGTGCAAATGTGGAACCAGATGCTTACGACCAACGACTTTGTGAATGCGAACCCGGAACACAGCTACTTCGATCCCCGCCACATGATCGGAGTGACGAACCAGGACGTCTTCAGATGGCCGGGTATCGAGCAAGGCGTTGACCGTATGCTGCTCGGCATGTTCATAACTTATCTCCTGTTGCCCGGAATCCCTCTCGTTCTGTGGGGAGAAGAGCAGGCATTCTACGTCTTGGACAACACGGCAGACAATTATATTTTCGGTCGTCAATCTATGGCCGCATCGCCCGCGTGGTACCTCCACGGCTGCTACGCAGGAGGTAGTACCCAGTATTTCAACATGCCTTTGCAATCGGCGAGACAGGGATGCCAGGACATCAAGAACTCGTGGGATCATAGAGACCCGTCTCATCCTGTCCGGAACATTATCAAAACCCTGTTCCATATCCGAGACCAGTTTCCGTCTGTCAAGGAAGGCGTCTATCTCGAGCAGCTGTCTTCCAAAACCACAATGACACAGTTGCCCGGTTCCGGGAAGACGCAGACTGAGGTGGGCATCTGGAGTGTGTTGAAGAAGGGATGGCCCGGTATCCAGGATCTCGGAAATACAACAGACGTGTGGCTGGTCTATCACAATTCGAACGACACTCATCGGTACGAATTCGACTGCTCGTCACCAACGGACGGATTCATTTCGCCATTCAAGGTTGGGACCACAGTCCAGAATCTCCTATTCCCTCACGGCACTCTTACCCTCGACAACAACTCAACAGTCGAGGGCAAGGGTTGCCCCCCGCCAATCGTGCTCGCCCCATTCGAGTTTCGCGTCTACGTTCCCATCATCTCATTTGCACCGCCACCTCCGATGATCACCAAGTTTACCCCTGGACATGACACGCCGGTCCAGTCGGCTGCCGACGTAAGCACGGTGGATATCGCGTTCTACTTCAATGTAGAAATGAGCTGCGATGGAGTGACTTCGGTTATCCAGTTCAACTCGTCCACGGAGAAGGGCATTTCCCCCACAATAGACAAGAATTCGGTGAAGTGTGTGAATGTGACCGGAGACGAAAGTCTACCGGCTTCATTTGTTGGTTCCCTAGCATCTGGCTGGAAGTGGTCCGCGACGTTGACCAATGTCGCTGATGGTGTCCATCTCATCACCGTGGCCAACGCTACAACGAAGAGGGCGGGAAGTTTTACCAACGCGCGGGATGGGTTTCTTCTCAGGGTTGGCAAGCAAGACAATCCGATTGTCAACCCCATGGTGGCCAATTATTCTAGCTCGCTCTTGTCTTGGGATTCCAATGGCAACCTTTCGGTGACGCACAGCGCTCCCGGAGCAGACCAGTGGCGGTATTCTACAAACTGGGGCTCGTCGTGGAGCCTGTGGCAGTCTTACAAGGCTGGAAGCACCGCGATAAGCCAACTCGACTGGAAAGGCTCCAAGGCCCAGGAGTGGCAGGGCCAGCATGTCATTGTGCAGTATCACAGTCGTATCCTTGGGAGCTCTGCCTTTGTTCAGCATGGCGACACTGGCTTTTCGAGCCAACGCCGATTCCCTCATCTCTGGGTCAACGGGAAGTTCAATCAGTACGGCTTTGACGGCGGCGCCAAGAACGCCTTGGCCCTTACCGCCGATGCCCGATGGGAGTGGCATTACATGGACGAATGGCCGGGCGACTTGCAGTTGAATGTTTGGGGCATGAACCCCGACGGCCACCCCGACCAGTCATTTATTTACGGCGATATCGACAACGACACCGTTCTCGACCGCATGCCCCCTTCTGCCATGGTGCCCACCGTTATCAACGTCACTCAAGGCCCAGTTTACCCTTTTCTCTCGTACCGGCTTGTGCTCCAAGACTCCACCATGAGCTACCAATTGGTACCGCAGGGCGACAGGAGATACCAGATAGCATTTTTCATCCTCTTGTGGATTGTACCCATCCTCACCGGCCTGGCTGCTGTGTTTGTGTTCATTGGGACATTTTACAAGGTCAAGGTTGTTGAGAAGGGAATTAAGAAGCCGGCAATCACCCTGTCGGGCGTCCTCCACCAGACGAATGCCAAAGTCAAGTCCAAGGTGTCAGCCATTAAGTCACGCAGCCGAAGGGGGTCCGTTTCGAGCGCCTCCGACTTTGGGGATGGCGCAGTCGGACTCGCCGACCTTCCTCCCAAGCGTAGAATGGTTTTAATCGCTACCGTCGAGTACAATATCGATGACTGGAACATCAAAGTCAAGATCGGAGGCCTCGGTGTCATGGCTCAGCTCATGGGTAAAGCTCTCGGCCATCAAGATCTGATTTGGGTTGTTCCTTGCGTCGGCGATATCACATATCCGGACGTTCCCGAGGAGCAGGCCGAGCCCATGACAGTGGAGATTCTCAATGCCCCTTACCAAGTCATGGTCAAGTATCATCAAGTCGAAAACATTACCTACGTACTCCTCGATGCACCCGTCTTCCGGCAGCAAACCAAAGCTGAGCCGTACCCGCCCAGAATGGACAATATCGATTCGGCCATCTACTACTCGGCATGGAACCAGTGTATCGCGCAGACCATTACGCGATTCCCAGTCGACATTTACCACATCAACGATTACCACGGCGGTGTTGCCCCGCTCTACCTCCTGCCAGAAATCACCATTCCCTGCTGCCTGTCGCTTCACAATGCCGAGTTCCAGGGCCTTTGGCCGCTCCGGACCCCCGAGGAGCGGAAGGAAGTCTGTGGTGTCTTCAACCTGTCCAATGACGTTGTCCAGCAATATGTGCAGTTCGGCTCCGTCTTCAATCTTCTTCACGCCGCGGTCAGTTACCTTCGGGTCCACCAGTCTGGATTTGGTGCCGTGGGTGTCTCGAAGAAGTACGGAGACAGATCGTTCGCTAGATATCCGAGTAAGAGCCCCCCGCTCTCCTGTGAAGCATGGTATGGCGCACGGTGCATGAACTGACAAATTCTAGTTTTCTGGGGTCTGTCGCAAATTGGGCAGCTTCCTAACCCGGACCCGAGCGATATGGAGCAATGGGATGCCCACGCCAAGCACGAAAAAGACGTCAAGATTGATCAGGACTTTGAGAGGTCAAGAAGCGACCTTCGAAGACAGGCACAGGAATGGGCCGGCCTTGAAGTCAACCCTAACGCGGAACTCTTCGTCTTTGTCGGCCGTTGGAGTCAACAGAAGGGTGTAGATCTGATCGCTGATCTGTTCCCTTCTATCCTGGACGAATACCCGAATACGCAGCTTATTTGTGTTGGTCCCTGCATTGACTTGTACGGCAAGTTCGCTGCTCTCAAACTTTCCAAGTTGATGGAGATCTACCCTACCCGCGTCTTCAGCAAGCCCGAGTTCACATCTCTACCGCCCTACATCTTCAGCGGAGCCGAGTTTGCCTTGATTCCTTCCAGAGACGAGCCCTTTGGTCTGGTGGCCGTCGAATTTGGTCGTAAAGGAGCTCTCGGAGTTGGCGCCAAGGTCGGAGGTTTGGGACAAATGCCAGGATGGTGGTATACCATTGAATCAGCCAGCACATCTCATTTGCGTAAGTCGAATTTATCTCCCCGTGCGATTCAGTTCCATATCGCTGACCGCAGCAAAACATTACAGTGAGTCAATTCAAGCAGGCCGTTGTAGCGGCACTGGACTCCAAGACAGATGTTCGCGCAAAGATGAGAGCGTGGTCGGCAAAGCAGCGTTTCCCTGTTGCGCAATGGCTGGAAGGACTCGAGAAGCTCCAGGGCCGTTCCATTAAGCTGCACAACAAGATGAAGTTCAAGTCGAAGCGGAAGCTCAATATCAGCTCGTCGAGGGATCGTGGCGCGTCAAGAGAACGCGATGTTTCTAGAGATCGAAACCTAACGCCGCTAACACCGACCACGGGATCCATGTTCCTTCCATCACGCCCCGAATCGCCTTCAGGCTGGCCATTACCGCCTAGCCGAGGTGGCGGCGGAAGCGGATCTCGCCCTGGGACACCCGACTTTGCTGGACCCGGCTTCCCGAGCTCTGGTCTCCACAGCCCTGCATTCCCGGATATGCGCGGCCGGCAGCACGACAGCGATGCCGACTCGGTCTACTCGGATACCAGCACGCTTGCTCCTCCACGGTTCCTGGGAGAGGCTGAGTGGAGCCCCAATCCTCGGCGCAACCTCCGACATGCTCACGGCCTGTCCACGGCAAGCTTTGCAAGTGTGGTGTCTGTCGACTCAATTGTAGGAGGCCGGACGGATTTCAAACTGCAGCAAGTCGATCCCTTCTTCACCGACTCCGACGGAAAGTTCATCACGGCCTTTGAGAAGAAGCTCGAGAAGCTCAACAGCAAGAACACCATCTCTCAGCTGTGTATCGAGGAGTACTTGGTCGACAGTGAGAGAGAATTCTTCGACGGGATGCGCGACGCCAAGCTCGGTACCGGCCACTCACGTTTTAATTCGACGGTCAACTTGGTTGGAGCCGGCGGCAGCGGCGGCCCCTCGTCGAGACGGAACTCTGAGGATTACGGCATGGCATACCAGAACGCCAAAGAGGATTTCGAGAAGTCGAAGCGAGAGGAGTACGGGCTCAGGGACGACTATGCCCCCCCTACTGGCATCAAGAAATTCGTGCAGCGGCGTGTTGGCGAATGGCCCGTGTACTCTATCTTCCTCGCCTTCGGCCAGATCGTCGCCTCCAACTCGTACCAGATCACCCTCCTCACCGGAGAACTTGGTCAGTCGGCCGAGCGTCTTTACATTGTTGCCTCCATCTACCTCGCTACATCTATCTGCTGGGGCGTCCTTTCGCGGACTACCAGGTCCATCTACTCGCTTTCGCTTCCGTGGATCTTCTACGGCGCCGCCTTCGCCTTGATCGGCGCTGCACCCTTCTTCAAGAACTTGGACACGCGGTCTTGGGTGCAGAACGTGGCAACGGGCTTGTACGCGACTGGATCGTCCAGCGGTGCTCTGTTCTTCGCCTTCAATTTTGGTGACGAGGGTGGCGCTCCCGTCTCGACCTGGATCTGGCGAGCCTGTATCATCCAGGGCGTCCAGCAAGCGTACACGGTCATGCTTTGGTTCTGGGGCAATCTCATCTCGTCGTCGGGCGCTCAGGGCAATGTCGGGCCCATCTCGGCTCTGCCTGTCCTGTTCCCCGTTACCATGGTAATCGCCGTCATCCTCTGGACGTGCGGTATCATGCTCTACATCGGCCTGCCCGACTACTATCGCCAGGAGCCCGACGAGGTGCCGTCGCTGTACACTTCCATCTTCCGCCGCAAGACGACCGTCTGGTTCTTCGTGGCCGTCATCCTGCAAAACTACTTCCTGTCCTCGCCGTACGGTCGCAACTGGTTCTACCTGTTTAGCAGCCAGCACGTGCCAATCTGGGGCACGCTCCTCCTGACGGCCTTCTTCTACATTGGCGTGTGGATCGGTTTCCTGGCCTTCTTCGCCTTTGTTAGCAAGCGTCATCCGTGGTGGTTGCCCCTGTTCGCTCTCGGGCTCGGCGCTCCTCGCTGGGCGCAGATGCTTTGGGGCACCAGCGGGTTTGGCCTCTACCTTCCCTGGGCAGGCACACCATTCTGGTCGGCGATTCTCGGACGGTCGCTCTGGCTCTGGCTCGGCCTGCTTGACACGGTGCAGAACGCGGGTATCGGTATGATTCTCATGTTGACGCTCACGCGTATCCACGTGTGCGTGGCCATGCTTGTCGCCCAGGTCATCGGCTCTATCGCCACCATCGTGGCTAGAGCCAGTGCACCTAATAATGTCGGCCCCGGCGACGTCTTCCCCGACTTCTCCGAAGGCATCGCCGCCGGCCTCGCGAAGCCGTGGTTCTGGGTCGCCCTCATCCTGCAGCTCGTCATTTGCGTCGGCTTCTTCAAGTTCTTCCGCAAGGAGCAGATCAGCAAGCCGTAAGAGCAGACAAGCAAATGGCTCAGCTAGACGGTTGGGGAATCTATATCTATATATATCTTTTCCCTTTGCAGCCTTCCATTTTGTTTTGTTACTATCATCAACAGCATTGGAAAAAAATCATCATTGAAACCCCGTCGTCATGGTGGCCAAGTCGGTATGATCAAAGTTTTTACGGCGGGCATGCTTTCTGCGTTCTTTTAGCGATTTATGTTATGACGCGAGGGGGCCTCGGGAAGGAGGGAAACGAAATATTCACGGGGATGATATATATTCGGGGGGGACGATGGTTTCGAGTCCTTTTTCTGTTTTCCCACGGCGCAGGTTGTGTTGTTTTCCGTTACGGCGGTGAAATTTTTTATTTTCTCTCGATTGATATCCCCTCCCCCGGCCTTGCCTGCCTGCCCGCCCTCTGGGGCTCATTATTTACGGACATCAAAGCGGTGATGGATGGGACACACGCTGGCAAACTTTGCTATTTATTTGGCTCTTGTTGCCTTTGTGGGTGTGTGGTATGGAAACCGTTGAAGATTGGAAAAAAAAAGGAGGGATGAAGCTCGATTTTCATTTTCTCCTTTTTCTTTGGATGCGCTATTACTTGCATGTCTCTTTTTTTATTTGCATTCTTGAACATAGATGTATTTTTTTAGAAACTGGATGGCATTATATGGGAGGACACTTAAACGTAAATTATAGTTTGCTTCTGACTCACTGACTCCTGCCACCTCTGTCGACCCAGAACATCCTCGGCGATGCCAGCGGCCCAGAAGCGCGCCAGGTCCGCGGCCTGTGCGACGCCCTTGGGGATCAGCTTGGCGTCGGCCCAGGTCACGACGCCGTCGCCCTCCAGGCGACCCCAATGGCTTTGCGGCGGCGGTTAGTTTTTCCATTGCTGTCTGGGCCGAGACGAGGATGAGGACGGGATCAGAGGTAAGGGCGCACGTCCCAGGCGGCGGTGCCGATGCGGGCCTTGGTGGCGTTATAGATGCCTATGCCGTAATGGGTCGAGTAGAGGACTTTGTACGAGATAGTGCCGGTGGGGTTGCGGGCGTTAAGCGCGTCGACGTAGGTCGCAAAGCGCTCCCACGGCTTAGTCTGGCCGGCCGCCGCCGCGACGGCGTTGGTCTTGTACGGACGTCGAGGAGGCCGAGCCCGGGCTGCGATACGGGGGACGAGTGCAGGTGCGGATGCGGGCCGGTGAGTGTGAGGCCTGTCTCGGCTTTGAGGATTGGTGGTGGAGGCGCAGGTCGAGGTCGATTGGCTCCGCAGGGTAGTGGCCGACCCACGTCTGGACGTCTGCATCTCCGATTCGCCGATTGCCAACCTTTGCGGTCGGGCGACTCCCGCGTTTGTAGGCGTGGTTGAGAGCCGCGTTTGGAGGAGATTTCTTGCGCTGTTCTCGCGTATAACGTTGGAGAAAAGTGCGCCCATTGGAACCCATGCACTCGGTATTATATAACGTCGGACAGCAAATGGCAAGGTAATCCTTATATCGACCCTCCCTAAAAAAATCTTATGAAACAGATTTTAAATTTTATGCTTGGGTTACGTCTACTCCCAAAACTGGCTGTTAAATACGCACCAAACTGCCCCGAGCCCGGGCCTCGGCAACCTGACTTTCCCCAGGTAATAAGAGAGTCTTGACGTCAATCTTGATTAGTAATCAAACTCTTTTGCAGGCTAAATATATAAGTGCTTCTTCCCCTTCTGTCACCAGCTCCTCTAAACTCAAAAACAGTAGAAGCATTCTTCACACCACTACCACCGCCACCGCGACTACGGGATACAACAACTACAATCAAGATTACGTTCAACGAACGTATCCAACATGTCGACGGAACGTAAGTTCGATCAACGGTGGCCGAACAGTCCCAATATACCCTTTTCCCCCACTTTTGCCGACTTCCGTAGATACCCTCGGCCGAAGCCCATCGGTCTGGCCCCAGAAGCCAGAATTCCGTGGCTCGTTGCGGCCGAGAATGGGGTGCAAGCTGTTGAGGTATACGAGGCTATCCTCCGCCTCGTTCTTCGCCGGGATATTTGCCTCAAGGTGTATATTTGTAAGGTAGGCGTGCTACAATGGTTCCGCGCAACAGAGGAGATTGAAAGTGTCCCTATTTACCATTTAACTCTCTTTGGGCAATTGGTAATGGCCTTTGTGGAGTCGCCCTTTGCTCAGCAGATACGAGAGGCTGCCTTAATAGAACTAGGATTACTAGGACAGAAGTTTTCGCGGAGCCTTCTGGCTCCCGGCGCCAAGCCTGTGCCGTTATCTCTCCATGATATGGGCAGAGGAATTCCCGGTCCTGATTCGCCCGACATTCGTTGCCAGGATATCGAGGATCGAGAGCGGACCGAGTGGACAAGCGAGGCGTTCTACAACGGGCAATAAGTTGGGGAAGAGGAGGGGGAAGGGGTATCGGGTAGCCGGGGAAGAAACACAGCGGCTCGCTTTACCACCAAAAGCAGCACTACAAATGCAAATGGGAGGACCAGTTCTGGGCGCGGCAGTACCAATACAAGGCCGCTCGATCGGGGTTGCAGTAGAGACGTTCGTGGACCAGCTAGCCCGGGTCGACGCCAGCGGTACCTCGGCCGAAATAAATGTCTCTAGACGAAGCAGCTGTACCGGAGCTAGTTCTACCATATCGAGAAATCGCAGCGGCTAGGAATGGAAACTTCCATATATAGTAGAGCTAAGACGACGGCCAAGGCGTATCACTGGATGTTGCCGTTAGCACAAATGGAAAAATAATATCAACGGGTAAATAAACCCGCGTCATAGATGCCCATTCTAGCACTAAGAGCCCGGAGACGTGGGATCGTCGATAATCAAAACTGCACGTAGACCGGACGTCGAGCATAGTTAGAGTCGGGAAGCATAAGATGCTCAATCCAAATCACCAGCCTCGATCTCGACGTCGGCATCTTCGCGACATAGGTTTCGGGATGCGGCGATAATAAACGGACGTAAAATCCTGGCGCGTAGGACCGCCGAGGGGCGACGGGGCTAGCTCCCTACGGAGGTATTCGAAATCTGCCCTGAGAAAGACCTCGACTGCAGACAGTGCCAGGACGGACCATCGGACAGCATCATCCGGACTCGTACAAGGCGGGCCTTGACGCCATTCCACCGTACCGAGCCGATGTATCGAGAGGAAGTTCCACGCGACGTACTTCCAGTCCCAGATGGCGTCTAGATCCTGCGTAGGCGCAGCGGTTGGCATCATAGTGTCGATCAGTTCTGTCATATCATCAAGCTGATCGACGTGATTGAGGAGTGAGTCGGGCAACGAAGCTGGCCTCGAGTATACGTCGGCCTCGTGAGGAGGCGGGAGAATAAAGGAGATTGCGTCTTGGAAGAGCAAGACGCCACGAGCAACTTGTCTTAGCTGAGGATTAGAAAACCCACCGACCGGGCTTATATGAACATGCGTAGCGCAATGATGTTCGGCCCGGGTTATAATATCGAAATGCTTCCGAATAAGCTGGAACACCTGTATTAGGCTCGAGATCCAGACCTGGCATTGGGTTTCGACGAAGATTGGCGACGCAAGCTCCATACCGTATTCGAATCCTTACTCCCGAATGGTTGGATCTTCGCCGATCGTCCACTTATCGTGGTCGATGTCATCGTCTCGGTTGACCGGAACCTCATACTGATCAAAGTAAGTACGCAGAAAATCGCAGATGATGTCCCGGTTAGCCCCTCGTGCGCCCCCCAGTACGTCCGACGCGTACGCTTCGTCGGAGTGCTTAAATTCGAAAGTCTGGAGCAGTTGAAGGCCCTGCTCGGTGGGCCGAAGGGTCAACTCCAACTCGATGCCGAACTGGAGGGTATGGGCGGCGCTGCGGTCTGCCATCGTGCTAAGAACTCTGCGATCGTTTGACGGTCACGTGACCAGGATCGAGTGATTTTACAGGGCGCCACTCTCGCCGCCTAGAATACACAGAGTGGACCACGTTTCCTGCCATCCTGAGCCCAGCAGACCCGTCGAGGGCACCGTCGGGAAGGTCCTTATTTAGAGTAGCTGCATACGCTCCCCTGGGAACAGCGTCTTTTGTGGGGTTCGAACGATGTCTGTCACCCAGGCGGCACCGTGAGATCCCGAACAAGATCCCGGTTCGACATACGTGCAGGGAGGTGTCCGTTTGCGCAACAGTTACGATTAGATGGAGGACTCGGCCAACCGGCCAGACCGTCAAGTGGGCCCGTCGCAACTATACCGGTCAAAGTGGGGATCCGAACATGCCCAACCAAACCTTCGTAGCCTCCCTAGATCCAAGATCCGATTCCCTGGGCACTGTCCTGTTCTTTCCTAACAGTAGGAGAAGCGGGTGGCCCGTGCGTCAAACTTTCTCTCCATCTGGCGCGTCGCGACAGCAGAGCCAGGTATCCGTAGCGATTCCTAGGATTTCGCCGACAGAGAGAGGCCACGCCGGCCCGCCTATGAACCGAGACCCCGAAAAAATCGACGGCCATGGCTTCAACGGAGGCGACGACTTCTGCGGTGGCAGCGACAGCGACAGCTGCAGGTAGCAGCAGCGGTGGCGGCAGCGGTGCTGGCACGGCCGAGGAGCCGTGGACAGACGAGGTCAAGACCAAGTTCGAGACGTGAGTCGAGGGGTTGTTCCGTTTTGTCCGCCAGCTTGACCACCTACCTGCCTGTCCCTCCTTCCCTGCGCCGCGCCTGCTTTCCCTATATAACGTGCCATTCATATCAATTTGTATTGCGACGTTGACTCGACCCCCGACCACAGCAAGAGCAGGAGCGCGTTCCTCGACCCGTGCCAGGAGGCGGCCGAGAAAAGCATCAGGTGTATCCACCGCAACGGCGGCGACCGCACCATGTGCAGCGACTACTTCCAGTCAGTGCCCCCAACCGATTGCCCAGCTCCGACCAGACTCCTCTCGACCACGCGCAGGAGCGCTTGGGAATAGGTGGAACAGAGAGGACGGATACTGCTCATTTGGCTGGATGTGTGCTGACGCCTGCTTGGCCGGCACTGAACAGGGCGTACCGCGACTGCAAGAAGAGCTGGGTATGTTCACGGGCGTGCTACGGTCCGAGGACGACCAGCCGGGAGACGTCTTCTGTTGTTCACCTCCTCCATCCCCCAAAGCGCGGGCACCTATGGGCTGGCTAACCTTTTACTTTTGACGGGCGGCTAGACTGAGAAGCGGCGAGGCAAGCTGTTCTAACTGAAGGCTATAATCGTGGACGCGGCCGACTGCTTCGAACCATGTTGAGCGCGGGAATCCCCTGGGAGGGTATATTGGGATAGCATCAGGTGGTTTGCTATATGATATAGAATACCCTATCTACCTTGCCTAAGGTACTTGCCTAGGTATCCTAACTAGACAACTTAGGTTGGCAGAAGAGGTTCTGGTTAGGCGTCCACGGGCGCTTCTCTAACAACGGGACCCTAAGGAAGCAACGGTCAAGGCTGAAATCCAAGCGCTCAGCATAGCCGTGGCACATGGAGGAGATGCTTAGGATGACTGGGCGAGGTGCTTAAAGCGCTGTATATATATGTGTAACACTACTTTCTCATCTAACTCTAGGGTTATATCATGCATTTGTTTAGTGCACGACGTGGGCAGTATGTCACTGAGAAAAGAGGGCCGTTAGGGGCGTGTTCTTGCCTGGCAACTGACAAGCTTCAAGGCTTTAGTGGGGTGATGCTGCTGATAGGGTGCACGTGCCACCCCCACTAGAAAAGTCGTCTGAACTATCAAGGTCTTGTAGGTGCAGCTAATCACAGCGTGCGCGCAAATGTGGACTAAAAGAGCTCCGGCTCGAAGACTGTCCATGCAAGGGCAGTAGAAGCAGTCGATCAGTTTTCTTCATGCAGTAAGCGGCTCAAGAGCTGCAACTGAGATAGTAGCCAGAACCAGGGCTTTTAAATCCGTTCATTGCATACCTGTACTTGTCGCGTGGGCCTTGATCCAAGTTGCACGGGAAGCAAAGTAAAAGCGTTGCATGCCTGAGCAGTTGGACCCCTCCTCTCCACAATCAATTGGCACTACGGAATACCGTTACCTTACCTAGCTGCCTTGCTGACCACGGGCACCTTGGGTACGATACGGATACCGACGGATTGTTTGGCCCGCAACACCATCCATCCATCCACTCCTGGGCTGCCCAGACCCCAAGGCGCCCTACAGAAACAGACAGCTGCAAGTGCTCACGCAGAGAAAAAAAAAGAAGCAAAAAAAAAAGATCAAGGCCCCGCCGCCATGTCTTCGTATTATTCGAGGTATGGCAGGCCGGCGCTGAAGAACTCGGTCGACATGCAGCTGCAGACGGCCTTCAGCGACGGCAACTGGAACACCGTCGCCCGCCTGGCGGACAAGCGCGCCAAGGCCCTCAAGGACCCTTACTACGAGGTATGCGCCCATGCGAAGGGCTCTCGTCATGTTGAGAACAAAAAGGGCTCACTCACTATTTGCGACAGGCCATCAAAATCACAGCCGAGTCTCAACTCGACGGTGGTGCTGAAAAGTGTGCCGTCGTGCTCATCGCCATCGACGACCTCGTCAGGCAGAAGGCCGTCCCAGATCTCGACACCCTCGAGCTCTACGAGTGGGCGTCTCATGACTTCCTCTCCCAGGATCTCGACTACGCCGAGGCTCTCGGGCCCCTGAGGGCTCGCTGGGTCAAGGCAAACCCGAAGAGCCCCCTGGCCCAGCAGTGTCTTCAGACATGCCTGGAGCACTGGGATCTCGTGAGCGCTCAGCAGGTGAGCTTGGATGCTTTCCCGCCTCTCCTGAGAACGGGCATCGTGCTGACCCTGACTATTAGATTGCCGCGACTTTGGATAAGGCCAACGTCGGCTCAAACGACCGCCGCTATATGTTCTGGGGTATCACCCTGACTTACCTCCTTTCAGTGTGTTATATCTCCCTTCTGACCCCATTCTGACCCTGACAGGGCTGACATTCACAGGTCAGCCACCAGTGCACCGAGGCTAGCCGTAGGGTATACAGCCTGCTGGTCCTCAAGCAGCTCGAGAGAGCAGCCGACCTCACGGAAAACGCAAGTCAACTACCCCTATCAACATTTGGAGCTGGTTTGGGCCAAACTAACACATTCCCCAGGCCTCAGCAACCGAGTCTACGGACCGCCGGCTCGCGACCGAAGAGGAGATATGTCTCTACTACCGCGTGCTGCTAGCCTATGGCACCAAAGCAGATTTCATCTCCCGCATTCAGAGCAGCCAGCTGGGTGCCATCGCCGAGCTCAAAAAGGGGCACAAGCTCCTTCTCTGGGAGTCGCTAACTGCTCTCGAGTCCTGGGGAGAGTGGGACCTTGTTTTTACCCTCTGCCGCGATGCCTTGAATATAGGTATCGAAGGTCTTACGCCTCCGTTTCTTGTCTGCGATTTACTAGTCTGGGGGCGATTCTCCGTGGCCGCCAGCAAAGCCAAAGATCCAGAAGCGTAAGTTGATTCGATTCCGACAGAGACACCGCGGGCTTGTGCTTACATGCTGTGTGCAGCGCGTTTGGCGAGGTGCAGGCTATTCTAAACAAGTTTATTTCCTTGACGGCGTCGGCGAGCGAGATGTATAAGAAGAACATCAGTGTGGCACTTCTTGAGACAACCTTCCGAACACCTACACTGCTTCTTAGCCCCGATCCAGGCCACAAAGGCTTGACACCGCGGGTTATACAGATTGGCCTGTTTCTTGACAATTATTTCGACAAGCTATCCGCGTTTGACGACGTTAAATACTACGTGGCTCAACTTAGCTTCGAGGAAGCAAGGGCGTTTATGGAAGATATTTTTCCCAAAATTCTTGACGAGGTGCGTTGCTCTCTCCCCTCCTCTTCTTGTATAGCAAGAATTTTTGTATCAGGCAGCTGACCTGTTCCACCATATCCAAAGCAACTCGACGAGCTGAAAAAAGTCATATTGAAGACGCTTGAATGCAGGCTGCGCTATCTTCTCACTACATGCCCACAGACGTTGTCACACTACCCATCTGTTGTAGATGGCCAAGAACAAGAAAAGCCATACCGGTGCCGCTTCTGCTCGCAACTGGCAGACCTCCCCTGCGAGCACTGTCTAAGGAAGACGGTAGTCACAGCAACGGCCACCTACAAGCAATTATCTGCCGACTCGGCACTTGCTGAAGCAATTCCTCGACTGGACAAGGACCCCCGCGCAGACCTGGCTCTTGTCATGGGACTTTCGCTTTTGAAGCTGGCCGGGCTGCGGGCGAAAGGAAACACTGAACCGGCCCGGCAGCCTTTGCGAGACATACGGCTTGACCTTTGGCTCCAAGCGCTCTTGCTCCTAGACACGCAGCTCAAATTGACTCCCTCAGACGTAGGGCTACGCCTTCTCCTCGTTCAGCTATATTTGCAGGCTGGGTGCGCTTCGTATGCGCTCCAGCTCTGGAAGCCCATGGACGTGAAGAGGACCATCCAGGATGCGCTGAGCCCCCTATTCTTTGACCGAATATCCAGCTTGTCGCCAGGGCTGTTCCAGGGAGGCCGTCCCCTAATGGAACCGCTGCGTTCATATTATGCTAGCAGCTTGCGGGACAAGTGTCCGGTGCGGGTCTGGGAGGCTTTCTCTTCCGGGAGCTACACTAGCATTATTGATATGAGCATTTACGACTCCAAGCTGCGCAAGAGCTGCACGCTGGTAATGACGCTGGTTGAGGAGAGGCGCGCCATGAGGTATTTTGCGTGGAAGACCGAGCCCGACATTGATGATCAGTCCCTCGCAGGTAAGCAGTCGCCTGATACACTGGTGTATCTTGAGATTTGAAGCGCATCGCTAACGCTTATGAATCGCAGAGGGAATCACGGATGAGACTGTCCTCGTCAACAAGACCGACTATGGTTCATTCCCAAACCTGGAGAGCCTCCACGGACCTCCAATTCAGGACTTCCTCAGACTTGGCCCTGGGCTTTCGGTATGTCCAGTTGCTCTTTCCGTTGGTTAGAGATTGCTGACCGCAGTGGCAGAACGAGCGACTCCAGCTGGGATTTCTCTCGGAGCAGTACTACGACGTCCTCGCGTTTAAGCCGCCCAAGGACTACAAGCCCGCCAAGCCAAACGACGTAGCCATCCGGGACCGCAACTACGTCGCCGAGCGCGTGGCTGACCTCAGCAACTCACTGACAGACTTCCTGCACCGTACCGCGACCCCGTCTCTCCTGACCAGCGCCGAGCTGGTCTACTACACGGTGGTATCGCTCCTGTCGGCCAGCGTGGTCACGAGTCTCTACATCCCGCGCGCCGATCCAGCGCCGCCCAAGACACTGTCTATGACGACGTCGTCGGTGCGCACGGCGCTGGCAGGCCTGCGCAGCGAGCTGACATCGCCGCGTGTGAACCCGACCACGTCGCAGACATGCAAGGCTCTGACCAACATGCACAACGTGGCGTACGTGCGCGAGACGGCCGTGGCCGTCAAGCACACGGCCGCCTTCGTGCTGGCGTTCTACGACAATGAGATGGCGCGCGACCGCACGGGTAAGTCGGCCCTGCACAAGGACGTGGTGGCTGAGATGAAGGCGCTCGAGGCCGTCGCCACCAAGACGCTGGCCGAGACCAAGGCTCACGTCCAGAAACTCAAGGAGCAGCTCGGAGAGGCCGGCTGGCTGGACCGCATGCTCGAGTGGGCCTACAGCGACGAGAGCAGCAGCAGCAGTAGCCAGGACGATGAGGCTCTCCAGGCGGTGAAGAGCGTGGTGTCGGACAGCGCGCACGCCGAGGAGTGGGGGGGCAAGCTGCTGGAGAGCTGGCGCGAGGGCGTCAAGGGGTGGGGGATGGTCCGGATGGAGTGAGCAGGCTGTCTTGAGCCGTGTACTCGAGGACTGTGTTAAGGTCAGGCAGCTTTGCGAGCACATGCATGGGCCATATAGAACAGAGAGGAAAGGAAAAGAGATGGAGAGGTAAAAAAAAAGGGGTATCATTCAAATTCACAACCTAAACCTAATTGCCTGGCACGTCTCCCCCATCCTATATCGCAGCTTTCTCCATGCTTTCTCCATCCCAACAGAAGTCTCAAGACAACCTCCGCAAGAGACGAAATGTGGCCAACTTTGAAAAATAGATGGCCGTTATGGGATGAGCCATTCCCACGACTTCCCTAAACAGCAAACAAACAGACACCCGCCCGGCTACGTACAGCCACACATACTGTACCGTACATGCATGTCATTCTCCTCAAACCCGCGCGATACTGCCTTGTCCGTCACTCCTCGCTATGCACACAACCAACCCACAACCAACCCACAACCGAAATAGAGATAGAGGATGTGGGAGAAAAGGACGAGAGGAGAAACATCAGAGAAGAGAAAAGACGGAAAAGACAAAAGCCCTCGATGGATGGACATGAGAGAGAAATGCCAAAGCTGAAAAAAAAACAAGATAGATACAGAAAAGAAAAGAAAGGCGCTCATCATATTTTCTCGTGAGACATGACAATCTCTTCTCCCCTTGTATCCCCATCTAAGCTTTCCGCACCATGCAAAGTAAAAAGGGGTTCACTACCGCCGGCAAAACAAAACTACTGCAACAAATGCCATTTTTCCAATTTTTTTTTCCATTTTTTTCTTCTTTTACGTCTGGTATTTCCCGTACTCAATAGTCGTGGCTGCTCCTCCGGCGGGCAGCCTTGCGGGCGCGCACGGCGGCCTCGCGGTTCTCCTCCTGCAGCGTGACCCAGACCCAGAACCAGCTGACGGTCTCGACGAACATGAAGGCGAAGAAGAGGCGGTTCTTGAGCGCGTCGCCGCCCCAGCCCGAGGGCGCGTAGCCGCCGGGGGCGGATGAGCCGCCTAGAGAGGAGGGGTCGGCTGATGAGGATGGTGGCGGTGCGGACAGGAGGTCGGCGTAGAACGGCGACGAGGCGCTGAAGAAGAAGGTGTACAGCACGATGGCGAAGGAGAAGGTGAAGCGGAGGGGTGCTGCGTTTGGGAAAGTGAGAGTTAGTGAGCGGCACGCGGACGGGGAGAGGGGAGAGGGGACGAGATAGGAGGACGGAACAAACCTTGTAGCCCCCAGTGGTGTACCATGCTGAACTCGTCGGGCAGGCTGAGCGTGACCATGTCCGAGATGCCCAGCATGCCGAGAACCACGGCGAGGAAGGCGAGCGCGGGCGACCGCGACTCGAAGTTGCGCGAGTGTGGCTGGCGAGAGAGGGTAAGAGGGTAGGGTTAGATGTGCGCGCCTGGCTGGCAGACAGCAATGAAATGTGAAAGGAGGGCGCGGCTTACCAGTCCCATCGCCTCGCCCAGGAGGTAGACCAGCGCCTGGTCGGCCACGGACCCAGGGCTCGTCAGGAAGAAGAAGCCCAGCGTGATGTGGAAGAGGCACAGGGACGTGATGATTGTCTTTGCCGATATGAGCGCCATGGCTGCGGTGGGGGTTTGGACGCCGTTGGTCTTTCGCAAAAGTGTAGCTACCTAGGTAGGTAAGGTAGTTGATGCGGCGACTCGAGTCAACTTCATCGGCCTGGTGTTTTTCTTTCTTCGCCTCGTGTTCCTTGTCGTCGCACGGCGCCAGGCCGGTTTGGAAGGCCTGCTCCCTGTCAGGTATTTGTACTTGTAAAGCTGCTAGGCAGGTGCTGATTTAGGGCGAGGCTTCAGGTCTGGGCCGTGGTGGTGCGCTAGCTCAGGTCAGGCCCCAGGGAGTTGAAGCGGAGAAGTATCTTTGGTGCCTGGCAGTGATCAAATGAGGTACCTGGGACGGTGGCATCACGCGGCTTGCTGTCCTCGTGAAAGCCTTGGGACAAGTATTACACGAGCTTGTGCTTGCTGTCTCATGGCGGGACGCAAGCGTCGTCGGGCCCTTTTTTTGTTCGCCGTTTCGTCACCCTTCAGGGGTGGCTTATCGGCCACGTCGCCGCGATAAGACACTGGACTCGCTGATCGGGATGGGTTGGAGGCCTGCGAATGATGCCCCGCAAGCTTCCCAGCCACAGCATGCGGGGAACACGTCTGTGGCTGGAGCTTAAAGCCCCAAGCGACCTCAAGCTTTCACAGTCAGCACAGCACCTCTGGGCGACGGCGACGGCGGTGATAACGGGGCGAGTGGGTGACACTGATGGCTCAAATGACAAGCGCTTCCTACCCATCAAACGCCTTGCACCAAGAAACTGGCTGATTTCAAATAGTTTTGATGAGCAGATCTGAACTGCATCTAATTCTATTGTCTGTAGCCCGCCTTCAGCTCATACACAAAATAAGCATCTGATTGTCAGCCATTGCCCGCAACGGAGCACCGAGAAGTCTGGAGTACATGGCTTGACCGCAAATAGACACAAATACCTACCACAGAGTCCCTACACCTCCCTAACTGCTGGCCACTCTCGGACGCTACTCGTACGCATATAAAGACGGCCGGCAGCATGGCTGACGCGGAGCCGTCGCTCGACGTGGTGCGGCACCTGAAGTACTGGAAGATGTGTCTCCAGTACCCGCTTCCCGACCTCTATCTCTCCAACGAGACCAACCGCATGGCACTGGCCTACTTCATCGTGAGCTCCGTGACCCTGCTCACCCCGTCAGGCCCGGCCAGCGGGTGGTCACCTAAGCCGTTGATCCCGCCCGAGCACCGCAGGCGCCTGCGCGAGTGGGTTCTCTCGCACCAGCACTCGGCCGGCGGCTTCTGCGGCACGTCGTCGCTGGTGCCCCCGTTTGGCGACTACGACGAGTGGGACTTTGACCAGGGCACGCGCACGGCCGAGCACACGGGTCTGGCCAACCTCGCCGCCTTGCTGTTTGCCCTGCAGCTGCTCGCCCTGCTGGCCGACGACGACGACCCCGAAGGCGCCTTCAGGGGCATCGACCGCGTGCAGACGCTGCGCTGGCTGCGGCAGCTGCAGCGCGACGACGGCAGCTTTGGCGAGTCGCGCCTGCAACTGCCTGGCCGCGGCTGGTTCATCGGCGGCGGCTACGACATGCGTTACTGCTATATCGCGACGTGCATCCGCTGGATTCTTCGGGGTGATGTGCAGGAGGGTGATGCTGCGTGGGTTGAGGATTTCAACACGGAAAAGCTCGTCCAGTATATTCTCAACAGCCAGGTACACACTACATGATTGGTCCCAAAAGACTTTCTGGCACTTGCTTACACCCCTAGACCTACGATGGTGGCTTTGCCGGGAGCTCTGAAGAGGAACCCCATGGTATGAATCCAAAGACCCTTCAACCGCATCCGAGTACTTCCCCGCTGACCTCTAGAACCACAGCGGGCTACGCATACTGCGCAATCGGCGCGCTGACGCTGCTCGACCGGCCGTGGGAGGGCAGCACGGCGGGGCACGCCAGCTGGCTGCACCAAGGCATCCGCGACAAGCCCGGGCTGGTGCATTGGCTGGCGTCGCGGCAGTTTGTGTACCTCTTGCCGCTGGGGGACGGGGACGGGGACGGGGGTGGGGCGGCGGCCGAGAGCTTCGACCGGGACGAAGACCCGGTCAACTTCGTGCTGCCGGCGGCGCTGGGCGACCTGGCGCTGGACGAGAACACGCGGCACGTGGGCTTCAACGGGCGGTGCAACAAGATCGCCGACACGTGCTACTGCTGGTGGGTCGGCGCCGCGCTCGCCAACCTCGGCCGCGTCGACGTCGTGCAGCGCGCCGCCTCGCGCCGCTTCCTGCTCGAGCGCCTGCAGCACCGCGTCGGCGGCTTCGGCAAGTATCCCGGCAGCCCGCCCGACGTGTACCACGCCTTTTTTGGCCTCGCCACCCTGGGCGTTATGGGTGAGCCCGGTGTTAAGCCGTGCGATAGCTCCCTGGCCGTGCCCGTTGAGACGGTGCGCACTATTGAGAAGGCGCGGCGGGGGCTGCTGAAGACGGCTGGTCGGGGCGGCGCGGCCGGGTCGCTGGCGCAAGGACTCGTGGATATGGGCTTGGCTGTGCGCGGAACGAAGCCCGGCTGGTTGGCGGCCGTCGGGGGGTGAAGCTCTGTTGTCCCCAGGGCAGTCACTGGGGCAGCCACTGCTTGAAAAGGGGCAGATTCGGCAGAGACACGAACCGAGGCCCTTCGCTCGCAAAATCACCGATGGCCAGGGAGGGTCTTTACTTATGTTTATTTATACGGATAGACCTTCCTCTGACAATCAAAACTAATAGACTAATAATTCAATTGGTTCCAACTCTAGTGAGGTAGTTAATATAGATTATGGGTATATATATCCAAAGCCGCTCGCTACTGAATCAAGACATGCATCGCGTTGTCTTGAAAACATGTCTAAACACTTTTCTTCTCCTTTTTGACCAAAACTCCCAAACCATAGGCTATGGAATCAGTCGCGCAGTATGTGCAGAATTAGCTTCTTGTAACCCTCGACAGCCTCCTCAAGATCCCGCACTCGGAGGCCCTCGTTGTCGCCGTGCGCAACCAGGATCGAGCCGGGCCCGTAGAGGTAGTTGACGTTGTTGCCGACGAGGTTCGGAACATCGGTCCCGTAGTTGGCCACAAACGTCTCGAAGCCTGTCTGCTTAGTCAGTTACACGTGCCCCAGGTAAAAACGAAACCTGGCCTAGGCAGGAACGGAGCGAAAGAAAGACTTGCCTTCGACATCACAGTCGCACCTTATGGGCCCGTACCCCTCGGACCAGTCGAGCGTGAAGGCGTCGGGGTCCGTGTCGCGCAAGATCTGCTCGACCCGCTTCCTCACAATCCCGGATCCGGTGGTCTGGTTGCCGACAGCAACACGGATGGCGAGGCGCGCGCTGGCGTGGGCGGGGATGACGTTGGCCGCAACGCCGCCCTCGAGCGTGCCGATGTTGACCGTGGTGTTGCCGTAGCGCTCGCTGCTGCCGAGGTCGGCGTCGACGATGCGCACGAGCGCGCGCACTAGCAGCTCTGTCGCGCTCTTGCCTAGCTCCGGATACCCCGAGTGCCCGGCCTTCCCGCGCGCCCGCACCGTCCCGCCGCCGCTGCCCTTGTGCCCGCACGCCAGCTTGTTCTCCGTCGGCTCGCCGAACACGGCTGCCTCGAACCGGCCGCCCACGTCCGTCGACCGCGAAAAGTGCTTCATCCCGTCGCCGCGCGTCTCCTCGCCCACGACGTACAGCAGGACCATGTCGTGGCTGCGCACGGCGCCGCTCGCGATGAGTTCCTCTACGGCCACGACCTGCGCCGCCACGCTGCCCTTGGCGTCGACGGAGCCGCGCCCGCGGATGAGCGTGTCCGAGCTAACGTCGTGCGCGCTGCTGCTGTCGATCGAGTAGGGGATGTACGGCGGCACGACGTCGATGTGCGACGTCACGAGCACGCGCGGGAGGTGCGGGTATTCCAAGTGCGGCCACGCGATGACATTGTAACGCTTGGTTGCTGCATCGGGCGTGCTGGTGTTGTTCGGGTCGAGGGGCGGGACCTCCTGCAGGCGGACCTGGTAGCCCTGCTTCTCGAGGTAGCCAGCGAGGAACTCGGCCGCGTCGGTCTCGGCGCCGCTGATAGAGGGGATGTCGACCAGGCTCTTGTGCAGCGACAGGAGCTTCTCGCGGTACGCCGGAGCGGATCTTGATGTGGTCGTCGACGCGCCTCCTTCGGCGCCGCTGAATATTGGTTGCTGCTGCTGCTGCTGGCTTCGTAGCTGGAGGGGGCCAGGGACGGACGCTGCCGCACTGTTGACGCACCAGCCGAGCAGAAAGTGGGTTAATGGCTTCATTTTTGGGTCTGCCTCTCTTAGGTTTCTGATTTACCCGAAGAGGTGCAATTTGGGGGTTTCAATCGCTAGAAAAGTGCTAAATTTGTTCAGGAGATGTTGGGCGCCCCATCCCATCTACAGCACCCCAAAAAGAGGCACAATGAGGTCATCCCGCTAGACTACCCCAACTACTAATCCAAAATCCGATGTTGCTGCGGGGTGCCTCGGACACTGGAGTTCAGGGGAAATACGTGAAATTACCAGCATGCCCGAATAATTACGGAAACAACCAAATCGTTGAAAAGCAGTCTTTCTACTCCGTATGGTAATTGACTCTAAATTTTGGGATATCAACGTCAGAACGGAGAAGCTCAAAACACCATGAATCTCTCCGCCGTGCTAGCCATAAATCTGCTGCATATCGCCCAAGTCGGCGAACCCCAAGTATCACTCATGCCTTTCCAACAAGAGCAGCCCATCGCTCGGGCATCACGCCGCTGAAGTCGAACTTGCCGTCGGCCCCCTTCACGACGGTCCCCTTCTCCGTCACAATCGCATCGATCAGCGCGTTTGGCGTCACGTCAAACGCCGGGTTCCATACGTTGATGGTCTGATCAGCAATAGCAACCCGCGCGGTGCGGCTAGTATCAACGCTGCCGTCAGCGTTGACGACGGGGCCGCTGATCTGCGTCAGCTCCTCGCGCTTGCGCTCCTCAATCTCTATGCCCGCACCCGTCTCTGTCACCAGATCGATGCTCGTCGTGGGAGCCGCAACCACGAACTTGATGCCGTGGTGCCGAGCCAGAACCGCCAGCGAGTACGTGCCGATCTTGTTGGCCGTGTCGCCGTTGCGCACGACGCGGTCCGCGCCCACGATGACGGCCCCAATGTTCATGGCCGCGCCCTGCACCGCAAACAGCGATCCCGCCATGCTGTCCGTGATCAGAGTCGCCGGGATCCCCTCGAACACGAGCTCAAACGACGTTAGCCGGCTGCCCTGGTTGTACGGCCGCGTCTCGGTACAGTAGGCGTGCTGGAGCAGCCCCCGGGAATGCAGCGTGCGTATGACGCCTAGCGCCGTCCCGTGGCCCGATGTGGCCAGCGACCCCGTATTGCAGTGGGTAAGGACCGAGATCTTGCGGTCTGGCGAGGAATTGTGCTGCTGCTGCAACCAGCCAGCGCCAAACGCGCCGATGGCCGTGTTGTTCTCGAGGTCTCTCGCAAGGATATCCTCGGCGGTCTCGATGTACGCGTTCAGGATCGCCTCTTTGGCTTCGGGGTGCTCTAACCCGTCGATCTCGGCGGCTCTGACGGCCACTTTGAGAAGTGAAATGGCGTTGGAGAGGTCCACGGCGGTTGGCCGGCTCTGCTTGAGGTAGTCTAGCCGCGAGTCGATGTGCGCGATGGTCTCTTCTGGCGTGTTTGTGGCTTTTGCGGTACAGTGACATGTCAGGGCATGCGCTGCTTGCTAGCGCCCTGGAACGACGGTACGGACCAGCTTCGAATTCACTTACTGCAGCTCCCATTGTGCAACTCCGCGGCATGGGCCAGGGCGGCGACGATAGCAATCGCGGGTGCCCCTCTCACCCTCATAGACCTGATGCAGTCAAACGCCTCTTCGCTAGTTGTTATCTCGTCGTAGTGGTGCTCGTGGGGAAGCCTGAGCTGGTCTAGCACCTGCAGCTTGCCCCGCGAATACTTGATGGCCTGAAGAGTCGCCATGGCGTGTTTGTCTCGGCGAAACTATCACCTGAAAAATTTATATGTCAAATGGAAGAAGAATGAATCAAGTTCAGCAACGACCAGGAAATCACGACTCCTTGCAGGTAGGGAATCTTGGGAGTCGCAACTTGGAAGTATCTGTCTCAAGCTTCCAGCATCCAAAGTCGCTCTGTAAAAAGCTGTTGGACAATGCCCCGCGGCACGGCGGGGTGGGGCACTCAAAACAGCCGCTAGTAAAGATTGGGTGAAGAGGGGATCTGCGCTGGGGCACAGCCTAAAAACCCCGAGCTGAGGTGCGACAGGGGCCGGACCTAGGTGGGAAAGCGGTGAGGGCTGGAATAGATGCCGGCCTGGATACCACTTAACAACCACCAGCTTAACATTCAGGTATTATGGATTGATTGTGTCTTGGTGCCAATTGAAGCCAAGTAACCGGCCAGCAACATTTTCATATGCGATTTTGAGCGAGGGTCATGCTATAAACCTGCCCAGTGCTGTCTAGCATGGAACAGCCCTCGTCGTCGTCCAAGGTCACAGGTAGTGCTCTCTCTCTCCTGTTCTCCAGCCGTTGTCTAATTCGCCGTTGCGCGTGCAGTCGAGTACTTCGATCCCCACGATGTCTACAAGCTGTTGGCCCCCGGGCTGATCCCGCGACTTCCCCTCCGCGACCTCAACTGGCAGTCCCACGCAGGGCCGGTGCGCTCCATCCACACCCTCCATGTCGAGATCGTGCCCACGGGTACCGACTACTCGCAGCTCCTCTCACCCCTAACACCGAACCACCCCCAACTCGCGCCGCCTTCCGTAACCGTAGCTACAACTGCGGCCGGAACCCCAAACCCAACTGCCCCCGCCGAGAGCCTAGCCATTCGCGATGATGGCTTCCAGAACACTCCGGTCGGCGGCCGTTCAGCCTCCATCGAACAGACCGAGACAATGGGTCCCACACTCCGTCCTCCGGGAGCTGCCGTCCCCAAAGAGCGCCGTCACCAGATTCCTGGGCTTCGCCGCACCCCGTATCTCAAGATTCTGCTCGTAAGATGCGACGACAATGACGCGTACAAGTCGACCACGCGGGCAGAGGTACGCGAGTGGCTCAAGGAAAACACACCAGTCTCGCAGGGCAAGCTGGTCAACAATGCCGAGAACCACGATGCCTTCGAGTGGATGATCATCCACGTGGTGCTCCCAAACACGGTCGCAGCCACGCAGCCTCGAATGACAGGCGGTAAAGCGCCGGACTCGAGCTCAGATATCACAAAGACGGCAGCATCCCGGTGGCGGGGCGGCTCGAACACCCTGCTCGAGAAGATGCGGAGTGATTTCAACAGCTCCAGCAAGAACGCCGTTGACAGGGTCAGGCAGATCCGCATCGGCATCAATGACGTGCCGTACGACCTCTTGCCACGCGTGGTGCCTGCCGTTCCTACCGGATACCAAGAGACTGAGCAGGACAGCGAAAACGCGTGGGCAGATCTGATTGGGAAGATTAAGGAGCTCATACTATCTAGCTTTGATACACGCGTGACCCAGTACGAGGAAGACATCAAAGAGAGGGATGGTCAGAGAAGCCTTCCCGGCTGGAACTTTTGCACATTTTTCATCCTGAAGGAGGGCTTGGCCCGCGGCTTCGAGAGCGTCGGTCTCGTCGAGGACGCCCTGGTTGTCTATGACGAGCTCAGCGTAGGCCTGGACGCTATCATCCAGGCGCAAGCCATCGCGGGCTCCGCTGAAGCCCACGGCGGTGCCCTCTTGTCCTACACAGAGGAGCTCAAAAAGGCAGCCCAGAGGGCAATGCGCCAGATTTCCCGAGGGAACATGGAATTTGACGAAGAGGAGGCCGTGGACCTGCAGTCGAGCGAGAAGGGGCGCGCCGACTTGTTCGATAGGATTCCCATCAGCGCGACGAGAAAACAGTATCGTGAGCTGATTCTGGCAAATAACGTCTCACTGTTCGATTTTCGGTGCTATATTTTTGCCCGCCAAATGTCCCTTCTCCTCCGTCTCGGAAACGCGTCGTCCACCAGAGAGGAGCTGTTGGCCAAGCTCAGGGAACTGCAAGAACTGGTGCCGCGAGGCGTCGCCCCTCGAGCCCCGCCGCCAAAGGTGACGGACGAGTCTGAGAATCTCCTGCACTTGGCCGAGATCTGTAGGAGGACGCTCGAGTTTGTTCCTGCTGTTTCGCAGGTGAGCAGGAGGGATCTCATGTCCGCATTGACATCGGCAAAACGGGGGGAAGGGGCCGGGGACGCCGAGCCGGCCGTTGTTGACCCGATACTGTCCGAGGTTGTCGATAACATAGTCGCGTCCTTTGCATTCTCAATTGCGCAGCAAATATTGGCCCAGACATCTACCAAGGCGCTGCCTATTCCGCCGTCTACCTTTCCAGAGCCCGGCGGACAGGAGCCAAAGGCCTCCATACCAGAGCCCAAGACAATGATCCACCCGGCGAGGAGCACCTCTCTTTACATACGTGCTGGACAGAATCCTCCGCTCAGTCCCATCGGATTTCCTGGCCCGGGCCGGAGGTCAAGCCTGCCCGAAGGCGACGCGGCTACCCCATATCTCAAGGCTGGCCTCGAAGAACTGGCTGCGCGGAGAGCTGAGCTATACGCGCTGTCTCGAAACATTCTCGAAGAGTGTGGCAAGAAGAGAGGTTGGTCTGATGGTTGGTCCTCGGTGCCTGTGGTCGGGGAGAGCGGCGTCGCCGATATGGAGGACATCAGCCTTGACGACGGAGAAGACAAGAAAGAGCCAACCCCAGAGAGTAACGTGCGGTCACCGGCATCGATAGCCGGCCTGGATAATGAGCTTCTCCGCACAGCTCTTGACAACAAGGATGACTTCTACCGACTCTACGAAACTCTGACTGACAAGTCGCTCCGCCATTACACGGTAGCGAGCCACGACCACTCTGTTCAGGCCAACATGGCCGATCTTGCCGTTCTAAAGTTTCATCTTGGCGAATTCGGAGAGGCGGCTTTCTACTTTTACCGAGTTATTCCTTTCTTCGGAGAGGGTGGCTGGAGCCTTCTAGAGCTCTCCATGCTCGTCATGTATGCGCGATGCCTGAAGAAGCTCCAGAGAATGGACGACTACGTCAATAAAGCCCTTCGCCAGCTTCTCTCAAAGGCTGCCGCCGCCGAACTGGAGAGGCTGCAGCAAAAGTCTCGATTCCGTGTCGCAGAAAGAGCCAAGAAACAGTTCCCTGAAGCGTCGGCAATTTCTGGTTTTCTCACGGATTTGCTAACCGTCTCGGCAACGCTTGAGCAAGAAGTCACCATCCCCTTGGTGAGCTTCTTCGGCAACGTGGAACTTGACGGGCCCCCAGTTTATGACGACAACCAGGATAGCTTCTCGCTGTTCTTGAAGCTCCACAGTCTTGTTGTGGACGAGTTTGAGGCAGACACGATCAGTTTGCGGATTACGAGTCCCTCAGCCGGAGGAAACAGGGAGATCTGGCTTCAAGCTAAAGGCCCAGTGACCATTAAGCCCGGACGGAACAAGGTGGAACTGCAAAGCACGGCCATGATAGCAGGCAGCTACGAGGTGGATGAGATCCGCCTGTCAAGCAGTAATATGCGCTTGCATTATGAACGGACTGTCGGGGAACCTGTGGGCAAGCTTTCGACCGTCCTGAGGAGTCCGCGTGTCACCCTCCACCAGCGCACAAGCACGCTCGACGCGCGTCTTACCGCCACAAAAGATATCCAGTTGGACAAGAACAACTCGCTGGATCTCGAGGTGCTGACTGGCTGGAACACAGTCACGAGCTGCGAAGTCAAGATCAAGGCTGCGACTGGCGGGTTGCGACTCTTGATCGCCGAGACGGTAGCTCTCGGCCCGCTTCAACTTTTGAAGCGATCCGAGGGCGGGTCCTTCACGTTCGGAGCCGTGCCGGCCAATGAATCCGTCAGGCTCAGGTTCCCATTCACTGTTGAGCATGAGCTGCTCACGGTGGCCATTAAAGTGGAGGTGGACTATTCGACCGACAGAGGAAGCTTCACCTTTTCCCGGACCTTGTCTGTTCCCATTGCTCTTGAGCTAGCTGTCAACGTCCAAGACGTTTTTAAGCATGATGCCCTCTTCTCGAGATTTACCGTCTCGACAGCCAGTGCGAGCCCCCTGAGGGTGTTCATGAGCGAGCTTGTAGGGTCTGAGATTTTTGAATCCCATTTTGGGATGCCGCCGAGCCACCCCATCGTCGTCTTCCCAAAACAGCCCGCGAGCTTGCTATACAAAATCACGAGAAAGCCAGGTTCGAAACTTGCCCCCAAGACTAAGCGGACGCTATATCTACGGATTTACTACAGCGTATTGAGCCAAGAGATTGAAGCACTGTTTGAGAGGACGCTCAACGAAGATCTTGGCAAGACGCCTTTACGAGAGTACTCAAAGCTGGTTGTGGCTCAAGTTCTCTCCTGGGTCAAGACAGGGCTGTCACCGTACGAACTTGAGAAAGCAGCTCTTCTCGGCGAACTACAAACAAGTATGCTTGGAGATGTCAAGTGGGACAAGCAATTCCCGGGGTTCGAGTCTACGCTTGGACCGCAGGGGGAAAGCCTTCCGACAGAGCTGGCAAGTTTCGTGCTGGACTGGCTAAAAACCCACCCCAAGCTTCTTTTGCCGCACCCGGAGCCGGCAAGCGTGCAGCCAAACTCGATTATAATTCCCGTTGACGTACCTCCGATTACCATTGTGCATACTGCCGATATAGACACCACCCCCAAACATGTCGACCAGAGTGCCAATAGCCAGGTCCAAGATCCGATTGGGTCCCTGACAAACAATGAAGGACATCCGACCGTTTGCATCAACCAGCTCCTGCCAGCCACACTACACCTCCGGTGGACGCGCAGATGGGACACATCAGGTGCCGAGTCTGTGCAAGGAAAGACGGCGCCCATTGCAAGGTCTCGGGATCTTGAGTTTGGGTATGAGATCACGGCGCCTGCAGACACCTGGCTTCTCGGAGGGCGGAGAAAGGGCCACTTTGTCATACCGGCAATGTCAGACCTGGAAAATGACGCGGACCTGACGTCGACTCCCGAAACTGAAGCGGATATTCCGTTGCTCTTGGTGCCGTTGCGTGAAGGGTGGTTGCCTTATCCCAGCGTGGAGATTCGCGAGGTCAGAGGCAGCATAGGGGGGGAGGAAGACGGTCTAGGTCTCAGCATTGGACATGGTCATTGCGAGACGGACTACCGCAATCTTGGAGAGACCATCAATGTTATTTCTGACCGTTCCAGGGTCACGCTCAGCCTCGACGCCAGCGGTCTTGGCGGAGGACCTCTGGTGCTGGAGAGCGAGCGCTCCGGATTGGGAGGCGGGAGGGCGGTCGTCTAATGGCAGTATCACTGGACGACTATTGCATAAAGTCATGGAAAGATAAAAGAAAGGCCGGGGAAGATGACGTCTCGGTTTGCGCAGCAGGCTGTGACCTGATGGGTGACCCTTGTCTAGCACCAAAGCCAACATGAAGAATAATATGAAGTTTTGTTTCGAGGCGGATCTCGCAGCCGTGTCTGCACGAGCAATGCCCCGGGCGAGCCTTCGACATGCAAAACAAGTCATGTCGGCACTGGATCCAAAATTGCCCGGTCTTTGACCGCCTCTTACAGTCCCCCAAGCCGGTGTTTGCGGTTTGATGGAGGTGGGAGACGAGGGATGGCAGAAGGCGGTGACCCAGTTGCTGGACACGAGGTGACGAAAGTAACGTGACGCAGGAGAACAAGCCTTCGATTCGTCTCTAGGCCTTTCTTTACACGCCGTCGGCCATAAATCAGGACTTGATTCAGCACAAAAGTAGCAAGCCGGCAAACCGGTGCTTACGCCGGCCAAAACAGAGCCTCGGATCTCTTATCGAGACCCACTTACATCGGGGACGGCCCGGAGCGTTGCGACTAGTACCTTTCTCGAGGGTGTGTTGAGGTAGCATGACAGCCCGACACTGCTGCAGGCTTGGTGTTACCACCAACCCGGGGACGGCGACCCGAGGCAAGCCCTACCGGGGCCCACATTTAGCGCCAAGGTGTGGGTTAATTGGCCGGAGACCGGCGCTGGTCCCGACGTTCCCAAGCTCTGGCATCTGCAATTCCAAGTCGTGGCTACCATGGTCCCCGCGATACTCGCTGCTTTGGTGGGAAGCCAGCTTAGCCGTTGCCGTTGCCGATGCCTTACAAATTCCGGCATTAGTGAGGCTTGAGAGAGGCTAAACGCATTGTGCGATGATGGCGAGCCTCCGCCTTGGAGCCGCGGGTTGCGGGCTGCGCCGAGCCCCTGTCTGACTTGGGGGGCTTGCTTGACAATAAGGCAGGCCCAACCACATGCAGGCGTTGGTTGGTTGTTTCGCATGTTTCTGGGAGGAGCGCGGCGAAATCGTTGGAACGACGGGGGTTCGGAGGGTTGAACACTCCAGCATCAACACCTCGCTCCTCACCTGCGCGCTACATCCTTGGGGTAGCACACACAGAGACTCGGGGATGGATGAACTTACCGTCACAGAAGCCGGTCGTTAGACAGTGAGTCAGCGCCAGGCAGCTGTGGGCTCGTTGTTTTTGTTGCCTTTGCCGGTCTTCAAGATCGCCCCCGTCCGATGGACGGATGCCAAGGGGGCCTATGTCATCTGGAACGATAGTGGCCACAATGGCGAGCCCGCGGAGAAGATGGCATGGTGTCATGGCCGAGTCGAATTACCGCCATATAAGGAAGGACCCTGGTCTGCCCTGGAGGCTTCGGCTTCTCGGCGAGTCTGGACAGATTCTCACCTGGCCAGAGTATATATCGTATCGTGTCTAGTCAATATCAACACTCGTCTCGTTAGTTACCCTGTTCGGAAGCAGCCAGCAGCCAGCAGCCAGCAGCCAGCGCTGTTGGCGTGCGTCTCGGACGAGGACCTGGATCGAAAGCAGCCCTTGCCAAAGCCTCCTTATTATCTAGAACCCCCGCCGGGGCGCCTTACTGACCCATCGCAGCATGGCCTCGGAAAACCAGCGCGGTCGTAAGCGCCGTGCGCACAAGAGGAGCCGCAACGGCTGCTCGACGTGCAAGCAACGTCATATCAGATGTGACGAGGTGAAGCCAGTCTGGTAAGCCCCTGCCAGCAACCAAACCCGTCGTGCCCACGATATCCCCGGGCCACCCGAGCAGGCAGCCCTTGCATGCGGCAGAACAAGCTTAGTTGGCATTCCTACATGCACCACTTGCACCATTCACCCTCCCAAAACCCCCCTTTGCCCACAAGTCGTCCAAAATATGGCAAGATCAAGTGGAAGATTATGTGATCAGTTCCTCAGAAGAAGCGTACAACGCAGGCGGAGGGCGCGTCAAAAGACGGCGGCGGCTGCTGCCAGCTGCCATGTTATGACGAGATAACCCGTGTTGCGATATCATGGAGCTGACAATGGATTCTCTCTGGGCAGCACAAACTGTCTCACCCGCGGCGGCGACTGCGGCTACCCAGACACGGAGGCTACTTGGGTGGCATCCGGGTCTGGGACCAGAACCCCGACGACGAGCGAGCAAGGCCAGCAGCAGCAGCAACAGCAGCTTCAGCCCCGACCGCTTGTACCCGGGTCCTCGTCCATAGATCCCTTCAACTCGCTGCCGGTGAAGATGCGGCACAGGTCCGTGGAGCTGTTCCAGCACTGTGAGCAGCACCTAAACGAACAAGACACGAGAGCAACATGCTAATCGTCTGCCCTGTTTTCCCTCCCTTCTCCAGTCGCTCACTACCGAATCTTCAGCTACACGGCGGCGAAGCAAAGCCCCAACAGTCGATTGTGCGTTTCTGTTTGTTTTCTTTCACTGCCCATCGCACCACACCGCATCACATCGCACACAAGGCTGACGGACCCCTCACAGCGTGGCCATGGCCCTGACATGCCCGGAGACGTTCCGTGCCTTCCTGCTCATGACGGCTCTCAACTACTCGCGGCTGCGCGGGTCGCTGCAGGCCACCGACATGGAAGAGACGTATCTGCACCACAAGCTCGAGGCCATGCGCCAGGTCAACGGCCTGATCGCGGACCCCGTCCAGTCCACCAGCGACGGGTGTCTGGTTCTAATTACCGCCCTGGCGCTCACTGAGGTACTTCTTTTCTTCTATTGTTTGTTGTTGTCGTGTTTTTGATCACGGAGCGGAGAGAGTGGCTGGTTCTGATTTCTCGCATAGAGCGGCATGGGCGACATCGAGGCAGCAGAGGCGCATCTCAACGGGCTATTCACCCTGGTGGACAAAGACCGCCCGGAGGAGTGGCACCACCGCTTCTTCGGCATCCTGCAGAGAATTATCCTCATGTATGCCCCCCACCCTCCCCGATCCCTCTTGTTTACTTCCAGTTGTCTGACAGTGCGTGCTGTCCACAGGGCCGGCAGTTTCATAGCCGCGGCTCAGCGGCTCGAGAGCGACGAGGTCCAGCGGATCGTGGCCGAGGACTCGGAGCTCGCGACGCACAAGCGGCCGCACTACACCAAGCCGCCCGGGCCGCTGTTTTCGACGGCGCCGTTCGCCACCCAGCTGTCGCCGTTCTACCTGGCGACAACCCCAGACATTGAGGCGTGGAAGTCGGACGCCGAGGCCGAGGTTCTAGCCATAGCACTACGCCACCTCACCTTGCTATGCGCGCCGCTCGACGGGCGCCGATCCGTGTCGGCCGCCCCCTTTGCCAGCACGGCCCCCAGCCCGTACCGTCCGGATCTCTCGGGCAGCCCGTCGAGGGGAAACAGCCCGCTGCTGCCGCCCCGGCCCGGCGGCGTGCCAGCCGCGTTCAACATGCCACCAGACGGCCGCCACCTCGTCAAGGATGCCGTGAGCATCCTGCTAGCCGACACAGAGTCGTACATCGTCAGCCGGCTCTTCTACCCGCCGCCCGACCGCCACGCCAGACCCCAGCCAGACCCGCACTCTTTCCAGTCTCCCACACTAGAGACCATCGTGGTGGCTACTAGCGGAGTAGGGGGGAACGGGGCGTCGACAGCGTCCCACCGAGCGAGATCCCGCCTCTCGCAGCACCAGCACGAAGTAGCAGCCCTGCCGCGGCAGCAATACCCCTACGAGCGGCTGCCCGCCACCGTGTTCCCCTTCACCGGCCGCGCCTGGGCCACGGCAGGCTATCTCTACCTGCACGTGGTGCTGGCGCCGCTGTGGGACGACGACGAGGGCGAGCACAGCAGCGACGCGGCGGCAGAGCCAAAGCCAGCCATCGACCCGCACCTGCTGCGGCTGCTTCTCGACACGCTGCGCGTTGATATCAATCATACCGAGGCCGCCATGCGCCAGGGCGCCCACAGCAGCGAGCTGTGGCTATGGCAGGTCGCCGTGGGGGCTCTGACAATGGCAGCGGCTGTGCGGCGGCCAGACGACGTGTTCACCTGCGGGCAGCCGCCGCCGCCTGAAGGAGCTGACGCCAGCGACAACGACACGGGCGCGGACGAGCCGTATTCGCGCCGCCGCCGCCGCACGCGCAGCAGCAGTGACAGCAGAGCAGCAGTAGCCAGAAACGCCGCCTCTGTCTCACAGACACAGCCACCGCAGCACCCGCGCCCGCCACGGTTCACCTCAGCGGGATTCACAAACAGCTCAAACCAGCTATGGCCGAACCAACTGGCATCGTCGTCAGACTCCTCGGACGAGTCTGCCGCCGACTCAGACTCATCCAGTGACGAAGACGCCAACAGCAGTGGCAGCGGCGGGTTCCTCGCCCAAGAGACACACCCGCGATTACAGTCACAATCACAGTCGCAGTCGCAGTCGCAGTCGCAGCCCCAATACCAAGCCCGGGAAGAAGAGGATAATGAAGAGACCTCCTACGTCCCGTCCATGCGCGCCTGGTTCGCCGAGCGTTTGCGTGTGTGGAGCCGCGCCGCAGGCGTCGCTGACTGGCCTACGGCCCGTACTATGCTGGCGCGCGTCGCCTGGCCTGAGCAAGGTACTACTGCAGATGAGATTGCTGAGCGCTTGTGGTGCGATGCCTTGGGCGTGGCGTCTCCTGGTGGTATTAATGGCTGATGGTTGATGTGCATTGTGCATTGTGCATTGTGCACTGTGCGTTGTGCGCTGTGAGTTGTGTGGCGGTTCAGGTGGGCTTGCCGTTGCAGGATTTTAAAGGGGGATCTGTTTTGGGTTCTGTTTTTGTTTTGTCCGGCGCAGCAACAGTTTGGGCTACCTAGGTGAATCGGTTTAAGCATGTCGAGTAGGCGCAAGCGGCGTTGTTGTTGTTGTTGTTATCGGTTTACTCTAAGCTGTCAACAGTGGATGAGAGCTCTTGCTTCGGTCCGAGATGTGCCTGGCCGTCACCAGGACTAGAGGACAAGAGGTAGCTTGCTGTTGAAAAGTTCTTGGTCACTGTCAGAAAGCGCTTCTTCTTGATCAAAACCATGGCACCCAGACGAAAAAAACAATTTAGTTTCACATAGCCTTTAGAGAGTTATGACAGGCCCGTGAACGCTGGTGTCGTGTGGAATAATTGTCTCACTAGCAAAAGACTTCCAATCTGAACAAATCGTGCATGTTTATTCTCATCTCGGCTCTGGCTTGCTTAAACACACGTTGCCGAGTGAGTGCGCAAAAACTGCAAGCTAATGTCAATCTAAACATACCATTTTCCGTTTCCATCCGTGACGCTACAGCATTTTGAACGAAGCATCAGAAATCTATACGACTTTGAATCGAGCACATCCCACCCAAACGCTGCCGACCCAAGAAACACCAATGCCCCCAGACCCCACCAAACGGTCAAAAATACACATGTAATTACTCGCTTTTCTGCGAGTTCTTGGCCTTCAACTCAAACAGGGCCTTCATGGCCGTCGGCGCATCGTAGCGGTCCATGACTATGTCGACGCACTGCCAGAAAGACATTAGTTAACAGGTCAGTTTTACTGAAATACCTGGGAGAAGAATGGTCAGACGTACCTGGGGATAGGTGGCCGAGTTGAACTCGTCGTCGGCGAGCAGGGCGTCGAGCTCGGCGGCGGTCGTGGTCTTGAACCTTTTGACGTTAGGCACATCAGTCGCGAGCGCCTTGAAGATGGCCGAGTAGTCCCAGGGGTAGACATCATTATACGCAGCGTCCCAGCCGCAGAAGAAGCGCTGAAAGTCGACAATGAACGACTGGTCGGCAATCTCGGTGAAGAACCCGCTGGGCATGGCACGCGTTATCAGCAACAGGGGATCCAGGTCCTGCCCTGAGAGGTAATAGACCGGAAGCTTACGTATTAAAGTCGGAGGGGTATTTCCCGAGTCACAGAACGGCGTCGGCCTGTTCGACAGCAGCCCTGACAGTCGGGGGATTAGAGCCGGCGCCGCCGTAGTAGCCCTTGTAGTACCTCGTTGACGACGCCCTTGCCCATGACGGTGACGAAGACGGGGATCTTGAGGGCGTCGACCAGCGGGTGAAGGCTGGAGGTGTACCGTTCAGGACCCGGTCGATTTCGGCCACGGCTGTAGTTGGGTCTTTCAAGGTTGTAGTAGCGCATGAGAGCTCCCAGAGATCTTGACATAGTGACTAGACGAGCAGGTCTGTTAGCACGCCAGCGGTGGCACGAGATTCAAAGGGGAAAAAAAGGGGCTGCCCACTCGTAGCTACCGTCTCCCAAAGTGTGGTGGAGAATCTTGCCGCTCTTTTGGGCGGGGATGGTTGGGTAGCCGACGATGTGGACGACGGGCACGTTTTCGTAGTAGGCGCCGCCGATTCCACACAGGGCGCTCAGCTCCCCGGGCCCAAAGGTGGTGACCAGGGCGGCGGCGCCCTTGACTCGCGCGTAGCCGTCGGCCGCATATGCGCCGACGAGCTCGTCGGGGGTGCAATCCACTGGAGGCCGTTGTGCGGGACGAGGTCGACCAGGGCCAGCTCAAAGTCTGGCCAATGTTAGAGTTTGAGGAGCTTGAAATAGTTTCAGTCTCAATTCAGTTTTACCTCCTGGAACACCAAACACGGTGTCGATGCCAATCTCCTTGAGACGGTGGAAGAGTAGTCGCCGATGAGAATCTCGGGCATGGTGGGGACTTGGTTTGGTTGGAGTTGAAGTGAGAATGGAGTCAATGTGTCTGATCAAGCACAAGGTTGAGTGAGAGACGAGATTGAATCAGAAATCAAGAGTTATCTAGTGGACTGCAGGAATATAGTGAGATGAGAATGTAATGAGGCTATGGAACTAGACAAAGGGGAATCCGGAAACGGCGAGAGAGGGCCATACTATACAAATTAGTGGAGGTCCATGTCTGAGGAGTTATTACGGGTGACGCCGGTGTTGCGTCGACGATGCCGAAGTACCAGGCGTTGCCAAGCCATCTTCATAGTATTGCAGCATCGCGATGTGGGATACCTCGGCCACGGCTTGGGTCGCGAGGCACGGAATTTCCGACCAGCTAGTCAGAAGCCGACCCGCCGCTCCAGCCGGATTGGACCGAGGGTCAAGGACTTCAGCACTTATGGCCATTGCAGAGGCCTGCATATAGCCGTCTGCGGAGCCTGGCGCAAGTCAGCAACCCACTGCTAAAAATGACCTGCCGCCAAGGCCGAGTCTCGCCGTCTTCGCAGACTCCAAACGGTTGCCGAATCCCGACGTTTCATTGCCATGCAATCAATCAGTACATCGACCTTACTCAATCCTTACTCACCTGAGTTGAACACTGCTCAACCTAGGTTCGCCAATCTCGCCAATCTATTTACTATTCTGCGTGCGCCGAAATAAGCGTTTTCCATTTTTTGGCCAATACCTGACTGAATCATGTCTCAATCGACAGCTCTGGTTACTATCGGTATTGCTACTGAGATGTCAAATTCTTCACCAGGCCTTCGGATTGCCCATACTGTAAAGCTGTGAATGGGTTCGAGAAAGTCGCAAACATCGCTTTCTGAAGGGATGAGATGCCGGTGAAATATTCAAACGAACCGAAAATATTGGCAAGGACGTCTCTCAGGACTCGGGGCTGGCATCTTAAGAGGCGTGGGCTGCGAGGTACCTAGTGCCTCTCCAAGCGCCGCTAATTAGAGGGATCTAACCCGGGGTTGGACCTGGCTGAGCTCTTCTGTAACAGGCAACTGGATATTCCGACATGCTTCTTTCGATCTTCAAATCGTGCAAACGGAATTTGTGCTTAAGAAACGCTTTTTTTAGGTTGCCGTTGAACCAAGCATTGTGTCCAGCCCAGCCCAGCGACCCCACCCTGCTGGTCAAGTTACTAGGGTAGCGCTTGGAAAGCGGAGACACTGGCCCGCTGCTGGTCCCTGCCAAGGCCAAGAACCCGACAATTAGATTGAAGCCAATGACGTCACAAGCTTCCCGCGGTGTTGGGAGGAGTCTTCCCCAACCCTCGGGGACAAGCGCCCAATGAGTTCCAGCAATCTTAGGCAAGCTGCATTGATCGGGCCTCCACCTCCACCTCCACCGTCCACTGGTTTTTTTTTCCTTTAGTCGCGGCTGCCCATTATCTACTTGTAGCATCGTTTCGAACTGCTGTGTGCTTCCAGTAGGCGTTCCTCTGTGCTCTGCCCCCTGTGCGATAGGCTCGTACCGACACTGACTTCCTAGCGTCGATTGCAGGCGCTTTTGCTCCGCTGCCTGGCCAAAAGATCGACTTTGCATCTCCCGTTCTTCGCGACGAATCGCCTTTATTCACGCCTGACAAGGCGCGTCTTGGCAACGCCACGACCCCCGGACCCCCCTACCCGCTTCTCCGCCTCCCCCTCGTCATGTCTACCTTCCCCGAACAAAATGCTGAGCGGCTCCAAGACGGCGCCCACGGGCCGCGCTCGGCTGCCACCAGCGACCTGAAGAAAAAGGTTGCCGAACGAAAGAAAAAGCTCCAGGACAAGAAGAAGCCCCCGGGCGGCTTCGACCAGACGCCCCTGCCCGACGCCCCGCCTGGCTACACTGTCAAGTTCACGTTCCACAAGGCAGAGAATCTCCCCATCGCAGACCTTCGAACCAGCGCTGCCGACCCCTTTATACACGCCACCCTGACAACGGATACACCGACAAGACACCAGGAAGACCCCCCTCTGACCCGCCGAACCCACACTCTCAGGGCCACCACCGAGCCTGTGTGGGACGAGGAATGGATTGTCGCTAACGTCCCCTCCTCGGGATTTACCCTCAAGTGCCGGCTCTACGACGAAGACTGGCCCGACCACGACGACCGCCTCGGCAATGTTACCATCACGGAGCGCCATGTCGACGAATACTGGGGGGGCTTCAGCGAACGTGTCTTTGACGTAAAGAAACGCTCTGGGAGCAAGCGAGCCTACCTCCTTAGCGGCGTGTCCAGCGCCCTCTGCCGCAATGTCTCCATGACCCCGAGGCTCTATCTTAGCATCGAGGTCCTGGGCAGGTCCGATCCGCCTCACGGCCAAATGTACACGGTGGGGCCGACAGTCTGGATCCGGCACTTTAGTCCCATGATTGGTCGTTTGACCGGGGTCAAAGTCAACAAGGACGAGGAAAAAGACGCAGAAAAGGGTGCGCCTACCGCTGGTGACAAGAATGACGGCGGGACCAAAAAATACGAGTACGTACATGGCTCACCCCTGGCCCGACGACTACGAGAAATGCTGACACCTTAACTACTACAGCTTCCAGGCAAACGAGATCCAGCTGTCCGGCCCCGTGCCGCCCAAGCTCTACCATCGCTATGTCGAGTTCCGCCCTGTGATTGGCATGATGTTCTCCTCGCACGGCCTTAGAGGCCGTATCCTGAATAAAGCCCTCCACAAGCAGCATAGTCGTGTGTACAACTATGATTCAAGCACCGAGTATGGCTCGTTTAAGCCTTGCAGCGAGGAGGCGTCTTTGCAGTTCCTCAAGATGGTGCACTTTGACGAGGGCGGCCGCGTGTTTACATACGTCATCACGCTCGACGGCATGATGCGCTTCACCGAGACCGGAAAGGAGTTTGGCATCGACCTCTTGAGCAAGCACACCATGCACTCGGATGTGGCAACATACATTGCTTGCTCGGGCGAGTTCTTTATCCGACGTCTTGCCCACCCCGACGCGAGCGAGAGCCCGCAGCCGAGCGAACCAACGCATCCGGGCGACGATAATCTGCCGGGTGGACCTCCTAAAGACCCTCCACCAAAAGACCCGCGCCACTACCAGCTCATCATTGACAACGACAGCGGCACTTACCGCCCGGACAAGTCCGTGTTGCCGGACCTCAAGGGGTTTCTCGAGCGCAATCTTCCCGGCATCGGTGTTGTGGCCATGAACTGCTCCGACGACAAGCTCGTGGAAATGAAGAAGGCCCAGCTCGAGGCCAAGAAGCGTGAGGGCCCGCGCGTCAAGATGGTCCTCAACCGCAGCCCGACTGGCAGCAGCTTCAGCTCCGACGATGAAAGTCGCCTTGGCGATCTGGAACATGGTCACGACGACGATGTGCCAGTCCGGACCAAGAAGGAGCGTGCTTTCGATGTACTGCAAAATCCGACCCAGTTGAAGGGGTATTTCGGTCGCGAGGGCGAGGGGAGCAAGACAGCTACGGCTGCTCCTGCCAGTTAACGAAGAGTTATGCCTCGCTGTGGTGAATGGATTGCACTGATAAAATAATAATACTCCGGATACGAGGATCGACGGCGGACCAGGCGGCGCAGGTGGCACTTTCTATTACTTTGTCGTGAGTTAGGGAGTGGGTTCGTGGTCTGTTCCCCTTTACCCCTTTTCGTTTTGCGCGTTTGGGATATTCACGATTGTATTCCGTTTCTTGGCAAGACTTTTTTCTTCTATGTTAAACGCCTCGCGGCAGAGGGTCCATCGTTCACCGGTCTATATTTCCTTTTCCTACCTTTGGTTTATATGTGTCATCAACGGTCAGATGTCGAGGCGGAGAACTTAAGGATGAGTGTCGTTAATTCTAGCATTGGCTCGACTCCGGGTTGCTAGGCCGTTTTGCTGCGTCTTTCAAGCACCGTGTCCACGATAAGATAGTCACTGGGAAATGGACTTTTGCTGTCTACTAGTCAAGAAAATCAAACAATTGACGTTCTGGGAAACTTATTCATTCTTAATCTTCTCCCCCTTCCCCTTTTCCCCCTTTCCGCTAGTGGGTGCCCTGGTTACGTCAGCAGTATGTGGTTTTGTCTATTTATCGCGTAGAGCCTTGCGGAGATTGGGCCCCGACGTTAAGGGCTAATTAGGCGATCCCCAAGCAGTGCCAAATATCTAGGGGCCGTTTTACTGTGTATCGTGGCCATAAGACAAGCCGACCCTTCCAATTCTCTAATTGAGTCTCTACAATTCGCCGAATATTGTAAGGCGACTAATTAATCCTTCCAGTCTGTTTTACCTTCATTAAACTTTGAGTGCTTAGAAGGACCAGGAGGAGGGGGTAGTTGACTGAGGACGGGACCTGGTCATTACCTACCTTCGGTAGCCATGCGAGACATGGGACGCCACAATATGACGAGCTGCTAGAACTGGAATTCAAACAGCTGAATAATCGGGTCTCGCTGGGGCGGAGTGTCCAGCACACCTGGTGATGTCTGTTGCGTCTGAGTGTAGTCGAGATGTGAGCACATTGCGGTCTACCTAGGTGGGCATGCGAATGAGACATGACGGCATCGGTCTCGTAATTAAGGGTCTCTCGAAAGCCCACAAAAGCTCGCAGAACTGTACATAAGTACGTAGTCTAGGTACTTTAGTCTGGATCAAGGGTGAATAAAGACCTAATGCTTAAATCTATCTATTTGGTAGTGCGCCGCATCCTGTGCAGCGTCCAAAGTCGAAGCAGCTCTCCAATGTCTGAGCTCTACAGGAACCGGAAGACACATCTCCAAATCCAGCCCCGTCGTGTCTGTCTGCGTGTGTCTACCTACCAGAGGTAATAACCGTGCCCTGGCAAAAAGAGCACGCTCTAATTACGTATCATATATCCCGCGATCCTTCATCCACGGTTGCGGTTCATGCAGGCCATTCTGTCGGGCGTGTGAGAACGGGCTTGTAGAGGGTGGTTGCTGCCGTGGCTGAGGAAGTCATCGTCAGATTGGCTGATCAACGAAGAAAAGAAGGAAGAAGGAAGGTTTGAAAGGTGTTGAGAGGGGTCTGTTGACTGGGAACACAAGCTTGGAGATGAGGTGCCGAAATGTTGTTGCGGAAGCGATTTGTGGTGGTTAGACCGGGCTCATAACTGTTGCACGCGATCGTAGTTGACAGCGCATTGAATTGTCTGCCCAATAGGTCTAAGAGTACAGAAAAGAACGCTTCCTTATACTCATGGAGAGAGGGCAAGGGAGGCGTTGTAATCAGCCCGAAAGGGGGTATTCCGAATGAAATGAGGGCATTCCGAGTCAAGAATGAAGGAAATAACAAAGAATGAAGGAAGTTCAGAGGCATGTCAACCAGGGCCTGTCCAATTCCATGAAAAGTGGGTCAATTCCAGACGACACACCCTTAGTGCAGTTGGGTATTTGGGTGAATTTGGTGCATTTGGCGCATGTGGTACATTTAGTGCATTTGGTACGAATTGGCTTGCCGAGGTTATCAGAGTCTTTTGGGGTAAAAGTGCTTTGGGGTAAAGTAATTATGAATTTTCATACGTAATGTATTCTTGCGCCTAAATCTTCCGTGCTGTACATGAGTCTCATCCAAAACTAACATGCATCGAGATCTCTCAGTTCCCGGCTCTCATCCACTCCCTCCCCCTGCCCCACATAAAGTGCAGTCAGTACCTTCTGGGGTTCTGCCACCCTTGTACTTGTTTGGATACGCCGCGCATAAAGTATAGCCTTCTGGGGTTTTGCCACCTTTGCACTTGTTTGGGCACTCAGAGTCTGGCATTATGCTAGCCTGTAGGAGGTCAGTCATTCGTCTCGGAGAAGGGTTGGAGATATACTTTAGCTCAGTGCAGGATTTCGTTGGCGACTTTAGAGAGCTGGGAGAGTGGGTAGGCACGAACTCTTATCTTAATTTATAGACAGCCGAAACTCACCCAATTGAACTTCTCTTTAAAAGCGTGCCGTAGTAAGCGATATAAGGCCGCGATATGAGTATGGTGAGGGGTAGAAAACTTTGGAATGACGTCGAAATAACTACAAGCTCGCTATACATACGGCACTTGCCGGGCGCCTCTAGGTTTCATTGGGCCAGTGGCCGCCAATGCCAATGCTGGAAGTGGCTTGAAAGCCGGGGGCCGACAGGCCAATGTCGTCAATGCTATGGGCTCTAGATTTAATGATAAGGCCTTGCCCGGCGGGCTTGGTCTAGATATAAGCGGTTAGCTACTAACGCTCGAGGCCCGATAACTGCCTACGGCGTTGCTATCAATTGCTGGTCATCGCCGCCGGTGGACCTCTTATCCGTATATCCATCCTCGGCCGAATCTCGCGCCCGGCTTCGCTTCACCACCTCGGTAACACCAGTCCCGACCGGGATAGACCTCATATCGCCTTATCAAGTTGTTATATTTTTCTTAGATTAAAGAGTCTTTGCTTATTCGTAAAATCTTTGTATTGTTTCCGCCGTAGTCTAAAATCGGTCGGCCTGTCCGAGATCAGAACTGTCTGGGGTGTTGGAGTTGAGATCCATTATACGCCAAAGGCCCTGTCTCCGTCAAAGGCCCTGTCGCTGTCTATTGTCCAACCATATCTACGCCGAGCCAGACTCTCACTCTCCTAAGCGCCAAGCCCTACGCTTTCCAGTTTCCACTTGCCACCACCGCTCTGATTATTATTGACATCCAGAGGGACTTTATCGACCCCGGCAGCTTCGGCTCCGTCCAGTGCGGCAACGATGAAATCTTTTCCAGGGCCCGCGCTATTGTCCCCACCGTCCGGAAAGTCCTCGATATTTTTCGCCCCGTTGGGGGCTATGTGATATACACCCGCGAAGGATACCAACCAGATCTCGCAGACCTGCCGGCCGCAAAGAGGCTCCGCCAGATCTCGTCTCCCTATGGCCACCATACCATGGGCATCGGTGACTAAGGCCCTATGGGCCGGCTCCTGGTCAGGGGCGAGTATAGCCACGATATCATTGATGAGCTAACGCCGTGGCCCGGCGAGACGGTGATTGACAAGCCTAGAAAGGGGAGCTTTTAGGGAACTGATATATACCGGGTCTTGCTTGCTCGGGGCGTTACTCACCTATTATTTGCCGGAGTTACTACCGAGTTTGTCTTATAGCCTAGATTGCAACTCCGTCCGTAGCTAACTCGGCTTTAGTTAGATGTTATATTACCACAATATTACGAGAGTGGAGTAATCGCGGCTACCCAGTACTGCGTGCTCGATGACTGCACCCAGGGCTTTGATGCCTAGTAGGTGGCCACGTCGCTGAGAAAGATATGTGAGATAACGAAAGGTCAAGATTGATTGGCGAGAGTGAGTTGGCTGTTACGAAGACTTGAATCGCTGCGACGATATTAATCGGAAATAGATCGAAGCTCTGAGTCATGCATCGGTAGCGATTTCTAGACTATTCGAGTCCAGCGACGCGGCTAAGGGACGAGGCGTAGGAATAGTACTGTTGTAATGTGGGCCTTAAAAGGGTTAGGCAAAGGATTAGGCAGAGGATTTGCAGCCTACTTCGCGACCTCCTTCGCAGCCTAATCGCGACCTACTTCGCGGCCTACTTCGCGGCCTACTTCACCACCTATTTCGCCACCACAATAGTAGTATAAGAAGGGGGCTTTCTGGCACTGCCAGAAAAGGAAGAGAGAGGAGATACATATACGAATCCATCACTTGAACCACCAGTTTTCGGCGTGTAGATACGCCCTGCTGCTTCTAGTACCGGTACCTGGTGATACCAACAAGTACGCTCGGTAAATTATCGAGTGGGTTGCTATATACCGAACAGCTTTATGAATATACGTACGGATCAGGAATTCGCTTCTGCGATCAAAGGCTGTTGTGAGTTGGTAAGGAGGCAGCCAGTGGATGGGTTGACGGGGTCGAAGAGGTTGAGGATGATATGAGAAAATAAGCGCCGCGGAGAAATTACACCGTACCAGCATAAGTCATATTAACACCCCACGTAACGGTTGGTAGGAGCAGGAGAACCGAAATTATGAGGCAACGTAGGATGAAAAGTCGCCGTACCGGATACTAATACTGAAGTATTCTAGTTCTAAGTAAAGCTGGAGTGTTCAAACTTGTGACGGCCCGCCTTACGAAGGTAGGGAAGTCAAAGGTTGAAGGCAGTAACGAATGTGGATTCAAAGCTAAGGAAGAGAAAGGAATCTATCCCAGCCGGGGCCTCAAAGGGGTCGCTCATCATTTCAAAGCCGTTGTTCACGGGTTGGGAGCTCGCGTTACGGCCTCCAGAGATGACAGAAGTCTGGGTACCGACCAAACAATAGCGCATCGTGGGCTCGGCAGCCTTGCCGTGTGGGGCAACTGGAACCCCGGCCCCAAAGTTGTATGTGGCTGTGACCTTGAGAGGAACAATCGGATTAGTTGCGTCATAGCTGAAGATTGCCGGCGTGATGATAGGCCTCGTTCTCGAAGGCACCGCCGAAGACCCCGAAGTCGCTTTGAGAGTCGGAGGGTGGATAATGTTGTCGATGCTAATAGTTTGACTATGGCGGCCCGGAACAAACCCGTCTAAGAGGTCCAACTGGAGCACATTACTCGACTTGGCAATCTGGGTAATGGTTAAGAATGAGCCGGCCATTGCTCCAAAGCTAGCTGTCAAGTCTCGCCTCGCAACACGATGAGGGCAAACAAGGCGGGATAGGTAGGTAGGTAGGGCTGGAGAAACTTGAAGGTGTTTGGCGGGAGGAGAGTTGTCGATATCGCAGTAGAAAACTTGTCTCCTTTCCGCGGCGGCAACATGTTTCTCTATATACCCGGCTTGTTTTGTCTCTCATGCTCCTCCGCTTCTGGCAAGCTTCAGGTCTGAGGATGGCTTTGGACCGGTTCTTGAAACAAGCCGGCCCAACCAGGCGTGCTCCATGACTAGACCGCTTACCTCTGAGGGCTTTGCCGTATAGGTATTATTAGGTACCTTGAGCTGGTGTCCTCAGTCTGACTCCGGTTTCGTCTTTCAACCACACATCATGGCGAGAATATTCAACAGGCAAAAGTGGCAAGGAGAATTGTAGCGTCTGGTGCCGCCAACGTCCAGCACCCCTCTCGAACAGCTTATCTCAGATAGGTAGCCAAGGTAACGCTAAGGTATCTAAGTATCATGGCTAGTCTGGACCTGAGCTCTTACGAGGTATAGGCTGACTTCAGCCGCACCCCGTTTGTCGTTTTCTATTTTTGACTTCTGCCACGACGGTGCCGCGTTCGGTGCCGCAAACATCTACCACCCGTCTAACGGAAGGCTGTTAGTCAGCTCGTCCTCTCGAACGGCTTATCCACTATAGATCAGGCGCTCTTCTCCTGAGTCCGGCTCCCGGCGTGCTATCATGGGAACAAGACCTACTCCCAGGCGGTCCAGCGGCGGCACGGCAACGCCTCCAAGTGTGCAGCGGCGCCGAGGTGCAAAGCTCCGCCGATTTACGACCCTGATTACCTCAAGGTTGATCTCAGAGCCCAAAATAGAGCAAAAATCAAACCAACAACAAAGACCCGCGCCTCATACTCTCCCAAAACATAGGTAAGCAGAGGAGGCCGCGTGGCACCAACCTCAGTCTTGTCGAGACGGTTTCAGAAGGAAACACATGGCATACCCACCGGCATCCATGGATGTGTGCTTGCTTGCTTGCTGAGGTGGAACTAGTCAAGGATTTGATAATTCGTCCGTCCATTGATTAGTGGGGGTGTGCCAAAGTCCTGTGAACCTGCGGGCAGGAACAGTCTTAGGATATATACCCCAGATGTCCCCGTTCATGGACCGATTGATTTTCTGCACTGTAGTCACCCACAACAGTCCCAACGAAACAACCACCACTCTCTAGCTGTCTCCTTCAGCCAATCATCCTTCCTTTCTGCTTTCCGTGTTCTTTTCCTGCTTGCAGCCATGTCGCCGTCAGAGATGAAATCCTCAATCGCATGCTCAATGAAGCCACAATCAACCAATCAAAACTCAGCGGCGCCACTGACAAGACCCATGCTGATCTGGAGGAGGCTGTCATCGCACGAGTAGTTAAAAGCGCCCCAGGCTTGGCTAACGCAACCGTAACCAGGGCAGAAGGTAGTCCTGCCTTTAGTCACACTATCGAGGCTACGACGGTCGAAGCCACCTTCAACATCAATCTGTAGACCGCCCCGAACAGGGACCCCGTGCGGCTCAAGCTCAAAATAATGAGCTACGAGGATGCTATAAAAGCCCGGGAAGCCCAGCAAGCCCAACTCGGGATGCAAATGATCGATCTGGAGTCGGCCTTCATGGTCCTGAAGCCGCAGCCGGCGTCGCTTGCATTCGGCGAGAGGGCGCTACAATCTAAAACGGGCTCCAAAATCTTGTCCGTCTACAAGCAGCTGTTCACCCGGCTCATACTAGATGACAGAGCTCTTAGAGATGGCAGCAATGATCTCGCGAGTCAGACACCCCCCCCCCCCCCAAAAAAATGATGCCTTTTGCGCTGAACTGACGGCGTTTTTGTTTTCTACACAGACATTGACAAATCCGTGGCCACCAAGACCGGCCCTCCCCCGGCGGCGACTGTACTTGCGGAATTCGAAACCATCATGAAGCCCCTGTACTTGAAGATCCAGGAACACTTTGCTGCCACGCAGCCGGCCGCCGCCGCCCCCACAGCAACGGGCAAAGTTGACGTCGCCAACAAGGCGCACTTCGTCGTGCAGGTCGCTCAGGGCGGCGCCAAGTTGCTTAGCGCCAAGTTCGCTTCGCTGGACACAGCGGCCAAGACGGCGCTGAAGCCCAGGCCACTGGAGCAGCCAACCCACGACGAGAACAAGTTTGTACTCCAGAGACTGCCGGGCGGCAAGTGTACCAACGGCACCATCACCATTTATGTGGCTGAAGAAAAAACGCTCTCCATACATCAGATCAAGGTCCAGGTCCCCCTCCCAAAGTATGAGGCGTCGTCTTCGTAGAGGGTTGCCGGACAACCCTTTGGGCGGGACTACCAAAGCATGGAAATGGTATCCCGACCCCATGCTAGATGGGAGGGTTGGTGAGGCGGTAAAATGTTCGCTGGCTTGATAATGGCGGCCGAAGAGGTCTGAGGCCTGACTAGGAACGGTGGAGCCCCCCGGGAGACCTGATAGATTGGGAAAAGGCCTAATTATCGCGTGTTGCGCGGAATTAACAGCAAACGACACCGAGATGTAATTAGTAGGCTATTCAGACGAGTAAGGGTGGAGGGACCAGAACTGGTTGTTTCTGGCCATGCTGGACATGGGGGCCTGCACCCTTAATCATGGGCTGCTAGGACTGGAATCCAAACAACTGAATAGAGTCTTTTTCGCGGCAGAATGTCTACATGGGAGCTCATCATGGTCTGCCTGAGCGAGCATGCAATTGAAACATGACGGTGTTGGTCTCACCTAGTCCCGAGGTGGGAACATCCGATCTCTAAAATTCCCTCATGAGCTCGCAAAACAGTGCAGGCATATGCTTCCATGGCTCGATTCCTTTCAGTAACGGTTGTTTAAGGTCCCAGTTCCAAACAAATAGCATTTTAAATCGGACGCCCAACCGTTCGAAACGCCCTTCTGTGCGTCAAGGCCGTCAACAGTTGTTCCCACAAACTAGTTCACAAGAGCTAATTAATGCACTCCAAACAGTTTGCGATATGTGACTCTGTCGGTTCTGCCCAAGTGCAAGCTAGGGTTAGGGTTATTGCTGGGTTGACTGCCAGGCCCAAGCGACTAGCCTACGAATAGCTTCATTTGCAGGTTGACTGCAAGACCTAGGCGACTGGTTGCGAGTGGCTTTATTTGCAGGTTCGGGTGTAGGCAAACTTTTGGCGTTCTAACCTCAATTCTGGGGCATCCGGACAGTCCTCGATCTGAGCCTTGTTTTGACTTTGTTCTAGAGTTATGCAGGGTTGTCCCAGACCACCCAGATCAAACAGCGGATCCGGGGCGGAGACGGACGGGAATGCTGCGAGGGGCCAGGGGTGGGCTGCTAGAGCGAGCGAACTCCCTGAGTGAATGCCCTGCGGGTTCTGGAAGAATGAATCCATGGGTGGATGCCGGTACCAGATCCATGGAGAGCGCTCACAGGATGTAGTTTTATAGCATACATCCACGCAGGTGGCTTGTTGCTCAGTATTTACGGGTCTTGTGGGCTATCCGTGTTGTTTTTTCCAGGATTTCCTTTCCGAGCTGAAGACTGTCTCCATGGCCAAAATATTTTGGTTCGATAACGAAAAACCCGATACGGATATTCTCTAGCTCACACCCCCACTGCACTGCATGGAAGTGGGCCGCTCGGCTGTGGGCTGTAATTGTCTTGAAATTTATCAGTACCTACACGACCTCTCTGCGACCAAAGCCTGACCCACATTGCGCCGCAGCTTTCCTCAGCCAGCGTCGTCGCTGTCGTCGCCGCCGCCGCCGCCCTCGGACTGCGCAACCTCTCAGACTTCCATCTGAGCAGAAGACTGAAACTAAACCGTTTCCTTCTGGCGTGCATCGACTTGCCAGCTGAGCCGAGCTCAAAGTCCGACATCCCTGAGCTGGCGCCAGTCGCGGTCCCGATCCCCTATCGACAGTCGGGAGCGGCTTTGCGCACGATATCCCCAAACCTGCCGCGCCAACAACCTGCCTCTTGCTGCTCGCCGCAACCTCTGCCATCTTGTCTGATGCTGTGGTTACATTGGCCACCGGCTTGTCTTTGATAGCGAAACGTATTCGATCCAGCGCGACACCATCTCACCCGAGGTCCCGACCCGAAAGACGCGAGGCTGCTTGGCCGGCCGACGAGGACCGGGACTTGTCCCAACGGTGCCGAGGGATGCAGACAGCAAAGGGAAAGGCCGAGGCGCTTGGAAGAAGGGCCAAGGTGTGTTTGCATGCGCATTGCCCTGCCCAGACCTCCGGCCAACCTGCTAACAAAAGCTCGCTTTGTAGCTCGCCCTGTCTTATCAAGAACTTCTCGAGTAATACAAGCCCGCCAAACTCCGCGTCGCCCCCTTCTTTGGCTTGCACTGTGCCAGCTGGCTGACAATTCTCTCTACTGCAGCGAGTTTTCACGCAAAGACCTCAAGTCTGTCGGCAATTACACGCTGGGCCGTCTTATTGGCAAGGGGTCGTTCGGGAAGGTCTATCTGGCAACGCACAAGCTCACAAATGGCTCCAAGGTGAGTCTGTTCTTGATGGCTCTGCCGGTTGCTTCAAGATTTGCGGCCCAGTTCTCTGACGCCCGGCATTCTCTAGGTCGTCCTCAAGTCGGCCAACAAGGACGATTCGAACCTCGCGCGAGAGATACACCACCACCGCCAATTCGTCCACCCCCACATTGCTCGTCTGTACGAAGTTATAGTGACAGAGACCTTGGTGTGGCTGGTTTTGGAATATTGCCCTGGTACGTCCAAGACACTTCTTTCCCAAACCGCTGGCCACCCACTGACGTTGCGATAGGTGACGAGCTGTACAACTACCTCCTCAAACATGGCAAACTACCGGTGGATAAGGTCCAAAAGACATTTACCCAACTGGTTGGTGCAGTGTGCTACGTACACCAACAGTCCTGCGTCCACCGCGACCTAAAGCTCGAAAACATCCTCCTAGACAAGCACGAGAATGTCAAGCTGTGCGATTTCGGCTTCACGCGCGAGTACGAAGGCAAATCCAACTACCTGCAAACATTCTGCGGGACCGTGTGCTACTCAGCACCCGAGATGCTCAAGGGCGAGAAGTATGCGGGCGAAAAAGTAGACGTGTGGAGCCTGGGGGTCATCCTATACGCACTGCTATGCGGAGAGCTGCCATTCGACGACGACGACGATGCCGTGACGCGGTCCAAGATTCTCACACAAGAGCCGGCGTACCCCGACCACATCCCTCCAGACGCGCTGTCTCTTCTGAAGATGTTGCTCTCGAAGCGCCCTCTTCTCCGGCCGACGCTGCCCGACATACTGGCGCATCCGTTCCTCGCCGAGCATGCGACGCAACAGCAAGATATCCTAAAGTTCGAGCAATCGCCCCCGTTTTCGACCCCTTTGGAGAAAGAGACGCTGCAACGGATGCGCAGCGCGGGAGTTGACATTGACGCAGTGATCGAGAGTGTCTTGGCTCAGAAGTGCGACGTGCTCGCAGGGTGGTGGACCCTTTTGATCGAAAAAGAGGGACGGAAAGCGTTGAGAAAGGAGCGGAAACGCAGGGAAAAGGAGGCGGACCATCGGAACTCGAGACGGTTCTCCCAAGCGTCGAGTCGGATGAACGCGCTAGCAACGGTTGAGGAGGCCCAATTCGTCAAACTGTCGGATCCGCCACTGCCTAGAACGCGAGGCCGGACCGAAAGGAGGAGCGGCCACTACCCTAGCTTGATGATTCCCGACATTCCATCGTTCGCCGATTTGGCCAGGACTGCTAACGGGAACCTGAGTCCGGACGGCGAGATCCCCCCTCCCCCCATAGACAAGGATTCGATCAGGTCTGTGAGCTCCTCGAGGCACCGGAAACCAATACCGCCGCCGAAGGAGGGCGTTTTGCGGAGCGCGCGCTCTCGGGGGTCTACGCTGCATCTGGTCACGACAAGCGACGCATTGACTATGAACGGAGGCTCTCAGCCGGATAGCCAGCAGAAGGTGAAGAAACGGCCATCACAAGCCATCCTAGCCCACTGGAAAAATTGGACGCACTGGCTCTTCGAGAACACGCGACGGCATCGGACATCCAACAAGCGTGGCAGCCAGTCGACCCCTAATCTGATAGACAAGCCCCCGACGAAGGATGGCAAGTCCAAAGACAGCAGCCCGCGTCCGCAGACAAGCAAGTATCCCACGTCCAATTCGGGCGCTGCTACACAGACGGCCAGCCTCCCTAAGGGAGTGGTTGCCAATGGGTATGCTGGCAGAGGGACGTCGTCGCTCGCAGGGAGCCAGTTCCACAGCCCCATCTCGCCTAACCTTACCGCCCCCCACCCTCCGCAACTTCCACGTGTCCAGACGACGGGTTCTTACAAGCGACAGTCGCTGTCTCCGTCGCCGCTGACACCCCGGTCCACGGTGAGGCGCGCTTCTGGTGCGACCGGCCTGCGGGGGAGAAAGTCAACGTCTTCGTCCGTGTCGTCTATCCGCTCTCTGCACCACGCGCACCATCACAGCCACAGTAAAGCCAGTTCGACATCATCAAACGGCTCGGTATCAACATCCGTGTCCAAGACGCCGCTGCATGCGCGTAGTCCGCACCACTCCGTCAAGGTGCTACCTGCGACTCCAACTAGTGGAAGCTTCCCCAGCAACATACGTCTCGTGCGCGACCGGTCTGGGCCCCCTATAGGAATTGGCATGTTTAGCGAGGGCATGCCAAGCTACAACGAGCGCATGAACTCGACTTCGGCGTCTGCGATGCAACCGCCGCGGAGTCCGAACCCGTTTGGCTCGGGCTTCAACTCGCCTGGAGGAGCAAGCGGAGGCGGGCCGGCTGTGCTGTTCGCCAAGAGGAAGCGGAGCATCTTCAAAGGCCCCATGCTGAGTCTGGGCGGTTCTGGGAGAGAGACGGGCAGGAGCTCTAGCACGGGGTCGGCGGGCCACTCTCGCAGCGCCAGTGCCACCGGCCTAGGACGGCGCAGCGGCGAGATCACGATCCAAGAAGTGGACGAAGATGCGGAGGAGGACGACGACGACGACGACGTGGAAGAAGTGGACGCGTTCAGCCCCATCGTCAAGGGTCCTGGCGAGGTCATTGAGGAAAAGATTTACGAGGACGGAGAGGACCAGGGCCAGGACCAGGACCAGAACCACGGCGTCGGCGTCGGCCAGAAGCCGCCGAAGCTGAAGCTGAACTTTGATGCGGGAACAGCGACAACATAGGCGGGCGGGCGAGCGGTAAATAAAACTTTTATTCTTTCCCGGTTTCCTGTTTCGTTTCTTTTGTTTTCTCAAATCTAGATATAGCAGGGCCTGGAGAATCAAGACGAGGACAAGGACAGGTCAAAGACAGTGTCAGGAGCCACGTATGTATAAAGCTGCATACAGCGAGCGATTGGGGTTAATTTCCACTGGTTCTCCTCTTGGCTACTTTTTTTTCTCTTCTCTCTTTCTCTTTTGCTCTTTTTGCTTCTTAATTAGCACAAGCATGGTTTGTCGGTTTGTTAGTTTGCTGGGGCCGAGGAGGTGCCGCATAGATGGGTGCCCCTTTTTCGGGTGCGATGTCAACGTATTATTAGGTGTTATTTGTTGAAAATACGCATGTAGTGGACTGTGGGAGGAATCCGAGTGTCCTGTCTGATTCTCGCTGTCTAAATTCTGGAGTATCCTGATTCGTCTTGTGACTGTGACTTGTATGCGTGATTGCTTGATATCCAGAGTCGTCCTCGGAATTGAGATGTGGTCTTTGGTCTGCGGTCATCGCATGCCGCATGGCGCTTAATTAGAGATGTTTTGATCATGGCTGAGCTCGTACTTCGGGGAGATCTTGTACGGGTCGTATAAGAAAAGGGAGCCGGCCCAGATTTTTATTTCAAGCAGACTCGGTCTCGCATTGTACTCTACCCAGGTTTTCTCTAGTCTTGGTACGGTAGCTACATCATCATTTGCTGGCCCTGGCAAGCGTTTCTGGTTTTCATAAACGTACATGTTATCTCGGTCTAGCTAAACTTGAATCTCTGTGATGATCAGTGCTCAATCGGTCATGTTATGTCACGGCATGGCTTTTCTTTGCACACGAGCTGGTCCTCCCAATCAGTCATGGCACGGCTTTTCTTCCCACGCGAGCTGATCCCACCCGGCTCTCCGTCTTGGGAAGCCAAGGCCTCTCTCTCAGATCTCTCTCTGATTCTCGGCGAAACATGAACCCCCGATGCCCGAGACGATGCGCTAGCTGCCACACCTACACCGTGTGTGTGTTTGAATACGTACATGGCTAGCGATGGTCTCCTATTATTATTGATTATGGTTGAATATTATTCGCCTCGCCTCGAGACTATAAGCTAGGCGGGCTCGGCAATCAGCCACATTGTTAACCGAGGCGTGCTTGGGATTAGATGCATGACTAGCTCTACTCTGTCTCCTGAGGAGGTCTCCGTGTCAGGTAGGTCTAGCATCGGTGAGGCACCTCGCTTCCTCGCTCGCCGGGCCTGCGTTCCGGGGTGGGTGAGGAGGTGGCGTGGCACGAGGCTGGGCCGGATGGCTGAGGACTGGAGTGGTTTTTTTGAAGAGGCATACAAGAATAGAATCGCCTGACAGTCAGTGGATTGGGGCAGCGTTGGTCGAGGGCGGAATAACGGGAGGACGGCAACCCAGCTGTCGTCGGGGTGGTGTGGTGTGTAAAACCGCCCAGGATGCGTTTGCTCGTTCGAAGTTGCACTTTTGGGGTTGCTATAGCTGCCCTGTTCTGCTATTCTTAGGTGTCCATGACCTCCTGCCAAGTTTGCGGATGGTGCGTGTCGGTGCTACCCGAGGCAACCTGGGAAGGCGCAAGGACGCGCGGGCGGGCTCTTGCTCGTCTGGCCTCTGCCGCTTTCTGCGCTTGTGCCTTCCATTTTCTGCAGAAAACGACCTTAGCTACGGCCCACTTCTCTCTGCCGCTGCTGCTGCCGCTGCCGCTTGGACAGTGGAGGCATGCACAAGCTGTTTGCTTCTGCAGCTCCAACTCGCCCCCGCCGTCTCGTCTCGGTCGCACACTACTCTGCCGCTCGCCAGTTTCTCCAAACCAGGCAGGCCGCTCGCAGATGGTGGGGTCTGCGCCGATGCCGACTGTACCTCCTGCCTCTTGGTCTTTTTGAGATGATCAGATCAGATCCGACGACGTGCAGCGAACGAATTTGCTGTGTGCGTCCCTCTCTATTTCCTTCCGCCTCTTAACTTGTTTCTTCTCTCTCTGTTGGACGACTATTTGCGAGAGCCCCTAAGCGAGCGACCGCTCAACATCTTGGCGCCTAGGCGAGAGCTGGCTCCCGCATCCTCCTTCGCGCGAGGAAGCTCCCGCCGGGACCCTTAATATTTGCAAATTGCTGTCATACCGGTAGGGCAGCGAAGCAGCAATCAAAGGATTCCCCGTTCCCGGGTCTTGTTTGTCTCTATCTATGTCGACAGTGGCTCGTCGACCACGATGCAGTCTGCATCACCGCGCGTGTCATATAGGAGCGCCCTCTTACATATATATACTGGACAGCCCGCTATAGCCCCCATCTCCTGCCCAGCCTCCAGTTCCGCCTCGTGTCTCTCTGCTGCCACCCTCTCCACCATTTTGAACCTTGCACGCGTCGGGAAGTGGTCTGCTGACTGATCCGGGGAAGGTGTAGAGCTGGGGGGTAGGTAGCATGTCTGCAAGTTTCCGGCCAGACGAAGACAACGACGACAACTCAGGGACGCGGCACGCCGTGACCTGGGTACAGACCGAATCCCGCGACCCGTCTCAGGCAAAACTTTCTTGGCACATGTCCCCGAAGACGGAACGAGCGGGAAGGGCAATAGAAGAAGCAAAGAGACAAGCTGCAAACCCCTCTCCTAGGCCAGCTTTTCGTCCTGTGTTGCTTAATACACGCACTTATTCCCAAGCTCCCGGCCCCCTACCAGAACAAACCCAGCTGTGCACACACAGCTGGCTAGTGGAGTGCTCGCGGGGAATAGGTGGGTTTCTGATCCCTTCCAATTGCTCCACTGTCCTTGGCAGGTGCCGTAGTCCGTCGCTGCCCAGTGTTGCTGCGAGCTCAGTCACGGCCGTGTCCCCGAGACCAGACGTCCTCGGTCCCGGGCAGTGCAGCCACAGCACAGCACAACACTGCACTTGCCGTTTCCAAGTCCCCAAAGAAGAACGCTAGCGTTCCATTGCATCGTCCGGGGGCCCTATCGCCAGTCGTCGTCAAGAGACGACAGGGCCAAGGGTCCGCCGTGGCTTTTTCGGTCTTTGTCTCCAAACCGAGCGAGGCAGGGCTCCTCGAGCCTGTTCTGTTCCAGGTCCTTGGCTGCCGCCGGCGGTCGGTAGCAAGCCCTGGCCTGTGTGACGGGGCCACATGGCGAGAAGTTAGAACGTCACACATTGCATGCGCCGGCCCGTGTCTTGTCTCTGTGAGAATAAATAAAACCGAAATGTGTCGAAAGGACCTCTATATCAAGCCCCGGCCAGACTTGTTGTCTTAGGCGCTTCCCTTTGGTTCTCACCGCCATTACCTTAGTCGGTGATATCCGCTTGCTTCTTTTGCACCTCGTCTTCTAACTTAAGACACAGACGTCTCCTCTGCGTTGCCGCATGCCAGTGGGAGTAGTAGCAGCAGTGTCACTACCCTAACATCCCTCCCACCCTCTCCGTCCCGCACACGAACCGTCGACATGGCCATCACTGTCAATAGTCTGCTGTCCTGTAGTCTCGTGTGGGGTCTTATTCAGAGCTGCTATGCTCTGGTCACCCACTCGTCTCCACAGGAACTGGACCTACAGCCTAGACAGGCCACATGTAATACTGCAACCAACAGACAATGTTGGACGAGCACCTTCAACATCAACACCGACTACGAGACGTCGTGGCCCAACACGGGTGTAACCAGAACCGTACGGTGTTCTCTCCTTGTGTTGTGCAGGCTACATATCCGCTTCAGCCCCCAACGATGAACAAAAATCCTAACCAAGACGCGTGCATAGTATACCCTGACCCTCACAGAGATCGACAACTGGGTTGCAGGCGATGGCAGCACTAAAGTGAAAGCTATGCTTGTCAATGGTAAGCAACTTGACGCCGGGCACCGTAGCATGACTCGGTCAAAATCAAAGTGCTGTGCTGACAGTTTGAAATCCTCCAGGCCAATTTCCCGGTAAGTGGGTGGTTCACCCGTCGTCCAGCTGTCTACTATTTGGAGATAAATTCTGACTCGCGCCGTTGTCAAAGGCCCCACCCTTACCGCAAGTATGTTAGCTACCCTCTTGACTTTCCTACGATGAAGCTGTCTAACATCGTTTGTACAGACTGGGGAGACCAAATCAATATAACAGTTGTCAACAATCTCCGAACGAACGGGTAAGCACCAAACAACTTGTCTCATTTTCTTGCCATGCTCCCCACGTGAACATACATGTACTGACTGTGTCCAGCACTTCGATTCACTACCACGGCATTCGCCAGCTCAACACAAACACTCAAGATGGATCCAGCGGCATCACAGAGTGCCCAGTACCCCCGGGCGCGTCGAGGAAGTACTCCTTTATTGCCACCCAGTACGGCACGGCGTGGTATCACAGCCATTATTCGGCGCAATACGGCAATGGTGTTGTCGGGCCCATCGTCATCAGCGGCCCAGCATCTTCCAATTACGATATCGACTTGGGATCCTTGATGGTCACGGACTGGTACAATGGCGCAGTAAATCAAATCGCGGCCAGAGTCAACAACCCCAACAACCCCTATATACCAGGCTTCCCCGGTTCCCCTCCCAACAGTGACAATGTGCTATTCAATGGCAAAAACCGCAACCCCGCGACCGGCGGAGGCAGCTACGCCAAGTTCACTCTGACGCCAGGGAGCAAACACCTTGTTCGCCTCATCAACCCGTCAGTCCACAACTCGTTCACGCTGACGCTGGTTGGGCACTCCTTTACCATCGTGGCGACCGATCTCGTGCCGGTGCAGCCCGTGACGGTAACGAGTCTCTATATTGGAATCGGACAGAGATATGACGTTATCATCGCGGCGAACCAGCCAGTGGCCAACTACTGGTTCAACGCTTCATTTTCTGCCGGGCCGTGTGGTATTTCGAACAACCCTCGTCCCGCGGCCATTTTCTCGTACTCGGGCGCACCGAACGCAAACCCAACTGCTGCCGGTACCGTGCCGCCCGACAGTCTCTGCGCTGACAAGCTCACCTACGTTCCCGTCGTGACCCGCACCGCACCCGCGTCCTCGTACACCCCCGCTACTGGCAATACGCTCAACACGAATATCCAGATCAACAATGCGCTCGTGCGCGTCTTCTGGCCCGTCAACAACTCGCCCATGAGTGTGTCGTGGAATGATCCGACACTGGAGTACGTCAAGAATGGCAACACAGGAGCGATGCCCGCGGCGCGCAACGTCGTCTCGGTGCCCTCGGCCAACGTGTGGGCTTTCTTTCTAATCCAGAACAATTCGAGCATTCCCCACCCGGTCCACCTGCACGGCCACGACATCCTCATCGCCGGAGCCTCCCCTCCCCTTGCCAACCCCATCAACCCGGCCAACCGATTGCGTGCCTACAACCCGGCCACGGACGGTCCGAACCTCAAGGGCAACAACCCCACGCGCCGCGACACGACCATGCTTCCAGCCTGGGGCTGGCTCGTCGTCGCCTTTCGCACCAACAATCCCGGTGCTTGGCTGTTTCACTGCCACATTGCCTGGCATGTCAGCCAAGGCTTCAGCGTGCAGTTCCTCGAGCAGCTGACTGCCATCCCCACCACCATGAGCCTCAACGACATCACGCCCAACTGTGCCGCCTGGGATGCTTACTACCCCGCGAACGACCCCTTTACGCAGGATGACTCAGGAATCTGATTTGGACGGCTAGCCCTGGAAAGAATATCCTTGTCAAGTTCCGTTAACAGCTGAGTTGTGACGCTCTAGGGAAGTAGTTGGATATAAACAAAGTAGGTCGGGGTTTTCATGCATTGTAAGGGAGAAGGTGTGGTAATTCTTTATCTTCTTACTTTTTTGGCGGGAGGTATAGTGGTGAATACCGTCTCATTTACCGAGCAGCTCGATCGGCGGGAAGATTGACCCTAATTTTTTTGAGGGGGTCACTAGAAGATACCTGGCTGGCTGGCAAGGAGAGATCGAATCGTCAAATGCATTTCAATACTGTCGGTTGACTGCAGGAGACTTGAAAAGGCCTGAGAGGAACATTGGGGGTAATAGGTGATTAAAACAGAAATAAAAACATCGAGGGTTTCTTGGTAGTTGGTTGGCGGCACATCCTATTCCATTCGCAAATGACTGATAGCTATAGGCATCCTAAAATGCGCCCGTATCTATGAATTAGATTGGGCTGTTGAATATTTTGAGATCTATATTGACTCACTTTGTTTGTGTTACTGAAGCTTCGACTTGCTTTTTATTTACATTTCTTTTATCTCCATATCCATCTCCTAGATTGCAACAAGTCTGCCGGCCCGCCTAGTGATGGATAATTGGCCATCCGGCTGCATCTTCAAGTCCACGGGGCATGTTCATGAAACTGAAGAGAGCAATGCAATTGTACCTTTTGGCGGAATATGGGTCTCTCAAATTTCGGACCTCCGGGCGCAAGCGGCGGGCCGAGGCGAAGATACTATTGTGCTAAGATAGAAGAAAATGCTCTATCATTCCGCGAAATCTAACTAACTACCCGTCTTCCCATCCCGAGCTATTTCAATACCGAGGTAGGAAGCAAAACGTCGGCTATGCCTAGCGTTAGTGCAGCAGTTTCACTTCTCGGGGAGGTTAAGATTCGCAAAGTGAAAAAAATGTTTTTGATCCGGCGGCCACCCATTGGCTGGAATACGGGGGCCCGGTGTAACACAGACCCGAATGCACCACAGTATCGGGTCTTCATTTGCACCTTTTAACAACAATTGCTCCGTACATTACCTGCCGATCTGGGAAGAATACGCGCGGCCGCCGTGAAAGTGAAGTGAAGCTTTCACGTGCCAGTGATCTAGTAATTAGTCGGGTCAGACGTCATGGGCTCGAAATTTTATGGAACGTTGGGCATCGGGTGCGCCCTATTTCACCGTCCTCGGGATATAAGTACCTAGGGATGTGCGGAGTCCGCGTCGTCATTTTCAACTTCACCACATTCACCAACATAATTACCGACCGAGGTTGATCAATCATTCAGGCATTCAGGCGCAATCGCCCAAAACAGGTACCCGGATCGACAGCCTTTCTACAACCAACCTGAATTTGGAAGCGCAAGCAGGGGAAACAGCCGGACAACAGAATGCCTCACGCCGAATCCGCCACCACGAAGCCAGCGCCGCAAGGCGACTCTGACAAAACCATCCCGTCCCTCGCCGGCCAGGTGATCCTGATCACGGGCGGCACGGGCGGGCTGGGCGCGGCGTCGGCAGTACAGCTGGCGCGGGGCGGGCCGGCGCGCATCTACGTGTCGGGGCGGCGGGAATCAGCAGCAGCAACAGTGATAGACACGATGCGCGCAGCGCTGCCTACATCATCAACATCAACAACTGACGTGCGGTTCCTGCGCTGCGACCTGGCGGACTTAGCATCAGTATGCGCGGCCGCCGACGAGGTGCTCGCGCGCGATGCGCGTCTCGACGTGCTGCTGGCGAATGCCGGCGTGGCCGCGGTGCCGCCTGCACGTACGAGTGATGGGTACGAGGTGCATTTCGGCACGAACCACGTCGGCCACGCGCTGCTTGTGCGCAAGCTGCTGCCCCTGCTGCAGGCAGCGAGCGGCCGCGTCGTGTTTGTCACGAGTTTTGGGTATCGTGGCGCGTGGGGCATTCCGTTTGCTAGTATCAAGCCGCAGGAAGGCGCGGCGGCGACGGAGGGAAAGCAGCAGCAGCAGCAGAAGTCGCAAGAATGGACGGTGCCGGTGGTGTCGCGGTGGACGCGGTATGCTGAGAGCAAGCTGGCCAACATTCTCTACGCACGCGAGCTGGCAGAGCGATACCCCGAGGTGGCTAGCGTCAGCGTGACGCCCGGGTTTGTGGCGACGGGCATGACGGAGGGCATGGGGCTGTGGGACCGCGCCATGGTCCGCGCCGGGTCGCATCTGTTCTCGGGGCGCAGGGGCATAGTGTCGGCCGAGGACGGCGCGCGGAACCAGGTGTGGGCTGCGACGGTGGACCGCGGCGCGCTGGCGACGGGCGGCTTGTATGATCCGGTTGGAGTGCTCGCCGCCGAGAAGAGCCTGATGGGCCCTGCGAGGGACCGCGAGCTCGGCCGCAGGCTGTGGGATTGGACCGAGGGCGAGCTGAAAGGCTGGCTGTAATGTAATGTGGTAGCTGACTGGTTCGCTTTTAATCGGGTTCTTCTTTTTATTTTGGCCGAGTTGGTTTGGTTTGTTGGCTTTGTTGTTCGGTAGAGGGAGGACCTTCCTTGCCTTACCTTTGGTATGCCTCCCAAACCCTAACCCCGCTCGGTTTAACGGGAACGACCTTTCCCCTCTGTCGTCTGCCGTCTGTCTCCTGCAATTCCCCAACCTCGCTCACTCGTCGCGTCTCCAATCGCGATCTCAGCCCGTCCGATGCAAGCAGCAGCCAGCAAATCGAGAGGAGCAAAACAGACGATACGGTTTAGTTTGCCTGGGAGGACAGCACGGGATGATGGGGGTGCCGACAGTTTCGGTGTCGGTGTCGGTGTCGAGGTCGGTGTCGATGCCCGTGTCGTTGGCGCGCCGTTGCACTTGCCCCAGATGGCGACTGGCAAGGACAGGAGCAGGAGCGCCGCAGTCTTTGGCGGCCCGCCACCAATCGCGCTCCTTCGCCGTTACGTCGGCCTCAATGCACGAGGCATACTGGCGCCTCCACCCCGAGATGGAGCGTCCGCTATTTCCGTACAGAGGCGGCAAGCACTTTCCGCTTCGGCCCTACAATCCGCCTTTTTTCCCCCGGCGCATCCCTTACGACCGGAACGAGGTCCACGCAATGCATCCCGTAGACCGATGCGTCAAGTACCCGCCCGACGGCTTTATTAGCGGTGTCCCCTTTTCCGTCCGGTTCACCGACCAAATCAGAAGCGACAGCTCACACAACAACGCCATCTTCGGCGTCACCCTCCACGGCCCGCCGCTCCCAGGTATAGACCCGGCGCTGGTCGCGGCGTCAGAGGCCGGCTGTCTCGCCCTCAAGGTCTACGACCCCGTCTGGTATTACAGCGCCTCGACTGCCGACCCCATGTCGTCGTGCGATCTCGCCTTCAACACAGAGGTAGCCGTATACCAAGACCTCCGGAAGCTCTGGGGAACCGTCGTGCCTCGCTTTTTCGGCACCTACGTGATCGGCATCCCCATCGAAAAACGTGGTAACGCGTCGTACGACAAGGTCCGCAATGTACGGGCCGTTTTAATGGAGCACGTCCGTGGCATCCGCGTCGGCAACATGCCGCTCATCAGTCAAACCTACTCGCAGGAAATCCGGAAAAGAATAGTGGGCGCCTATCTCGACGCCACCAGCGCCCTATGGCGGATGGGCATCGCCCAGGTCAAGCTGCAGCCAGAGAGCCTCATTCTCGTCCCCGGGGCCTTCGAGCGTGGCGGCGGCGGTCCCGGTATCCAGATGCGCATGGTCGGCTTCACCGAGACCCCCCATAGACGACACCCGGATGATAAGCCCGATTACAAGTCTAGGGAGCGTATGGAATCGCGATGGGACATCGCCCACAGGTTTTTGAACCATTCTCGGGGCCCCAAAAGATGGTATAACGACTTGGTTTACCTCAGTGGCCCTAATCGCCTGATTGACTGGGACATTGAACATTGGCTCAGAAACGAGTACGGACTTAGTACAAGGGAATATCTAGCCGGAGAAGCCCTTGAGAAAGAAGTGTTTGGGGTCAGTGACAACTTTTTGAATAACGCCAATAAGGTTTATTTCCGACCGACGTTAAACCAAGCTAAGTAATTACTCCGTAGTTTGTAATTAGGTCTTTGGGTCTGAAATGTCTACTCAAGGGTCATGGCAGACCCGGGGGTTCTTGCAGTGGCAGACGAAGCGAGCTTTGGAGTAAAAACGATACAATTCTCTACCAACTCCTCCCATGTCATAGCTCATCTCGCATCTCACTCACTCTCATTCTCGCCACTATGCACACATGTGGCTGCTTCATTTACTTGCCCATGTTGCTCATGCCGGACCCCATTCCAGGCATCTCGGCGACCCAGCCGTCAATGTTCTCGTTGACCTGCGACTTCTTGGTGCACTTGTTGCCGGCGGCAATGGTCTGCGTCTTGAGCTGCGGGCAGTTGATGTTGCAGTTGGTGTCCATGGCCTTTTGCAGCGCGTCGTCCTTCCACCCGAACACGTAGTCGCCGTGGTTGCCGTAGCCCGTCGGGTCGTCCTGCGACCACACAAACGGCTGCGACCCGTCCGCCGGCCACAGGCTCTTGTCGTTGAACTTGGCCGTGTCCCAGATCACCTCGTAGAACAGCTGCGGGATCTTGACCGGGTGCGTCGCCGGGCACGGCCCGCCGTTCTCGAACGTTCCGGAGGATGGGTACGAGATGTGGTCCATGTGGTTCGGCGAGTCGAGGTTCTTGCCGTCCCAGCACGTCGGGAACCGCAGGTTCGCCATGATGCCCGCCGCGCACGGCTTGGTCGGGAAGTCGAGCGTCTCGCCCGTGCGCGTCATGATGTTGGCGAGGCAAGTGTACGTCAGCTGCCGGAACTGCTGCGCCTCCGCCTTGGTGCGGTACTGCTGCTGCCCCGTCAGCATGCGGAACCCGGGCTTGAAGGCTGTCACCACGCCCTTGGCGCTGCCGCTGCCCGCCGTCGGCAGGTAGTAGATGGTCATGCCGCCGACGGCCTGCTCGAACCCCGAGTTGGGCTTGAGGGGCACCCGGTGGTAGCTGCCGTTGCGCGCCTTGAAGTACAGCACGGCCGTCCAGTAGTTGGAGAAGTCGTCGGCAAACGTGCACGTCGTGCACGTCGACTGCGTCGGCGGCGGCGACTTGGGGTCCATGGTGATGTTGAATGAATTCTGCAAGTGCCCCGTGTTAGTTATTGGTCTTTGATCAGATGACTGATTGATTGTCGATATGGTGTGTAGAGCGGAGACTCGGGAGACAAAACTCACCCCCCCGACAATCTGGTGAAGATGAGGCGACGGCGCCATTCCTGGGTTGACCAGCGGGTCCAACCGTTCCACGACCAGGGACGAGCACGAAAAGCGTAGCAGTGCATTCCCGGCCGTCACGGTAAGCGCCAAGACGGCGGCAACTTGTTTCAAGTGCATCTTGCTTGTGCGAACCCGGTAGCGGGTGCTGTGCTTATTGTTGTTGCTTCCGTTTAGTGTGGAGTGGGTGGTGGGTGCCTGTGTTGACACGACGACACCATGCGAGGAAGTGTAAAAATAGGGGGTAAAGGGTGGCAGGACCGATGTAGGCGCGCAGACCGTTGGAACATTCTTAAATGCCCGCAAGCCTCCCTTTCCAGGTGTGGGCTTCATGTAGGCCATGCTATGGAAATTAGAACACCATATCCAGCTTGGCCGAGATTGGTGGGATGTCCGCGTTGAGCGTGGCCTCGTGGGCGCCCATCTCCATCGCCACACGTCCCCAGACTCGCGGCAGTTACACTGCCGGTTTGTGGAGAGCTATGCAACATACAGGAAGTGGTTGATCCGGTGGATAAATGAGCTTGAATATGAGTAGGTGCTCTTATTTACCCCTGTCGTGTCGATATGCTGCTCCACGACTGCCAAAACGGGATTATCCGGCGCCGTCATTTTGTAAATTAAACACAATGACAGGTATTCAAGTTTGTGGGGAATGCACTGCTTGCCGTGGGCGGTTACCCCGGACCCTATATCGGATCAATGCTCGGTATATGTTGCGACTCGTTTAGAAACGAACATGCCTTTTCTTACTACAACACTCTTAGGTAACTTCGAGGCAGAAACCTCTGCCATATTTTCCAATGCATTCGACTCGGAATAAGCCGTGGTGCAAAGCTGTCTTTGTAGAGTTTCATGATCGTCAAAACGGCGTGCCACAAACCCCAAGCCATACGGCTTGCCATGCTGGTACTTCCCCAGAGGCACCGTGGCGGTGGGTGCTTCTACATCATGATTAACATTTGCTTCCCAGAGGAACTCCTTGTTAGAGATCAAGATTGGTTTGAAAACTGTAGGTAACTCACGGGCCCAAGCCGCATAGATGGTCATTTCCGTCCATGCCGGCAGGACCAGCACGTCCAAAGTTGTACTTATCCAAAGCTTCGACAATACCCTCATCAACGGCAATCTTTGTTACTTCCAGAAGTGCCGCGTTGTACTCCTCGTCAGTGAGATTTTGATTGAGCGCCGGCTCGAGGTATCCTTGAGCGAGTTTTCCTGACAGTCACATTGTGAGCTGACGGCGGAGATGTTGGAAGTCAAAAAGGAGTCCCGGTTACCTTTGCTGTATGGCAGCTCCGGGTGTTCACGATTGAACTTGATCAGTTGCTTGAGAGACTTGACTGCGACGCCATCTAGGCTTGCTGCATGCATCGCAAAACCCCGCCCCATTTCGTGACCTGGCTCGTCCGCTTTCTTAGTCCACGCCAGATTGACAGGGGAGAAATAATTAAACAGGGAAGATTTTCCCCATAAGTTCTGGGACCCGGCCCACAGAGAGGGGCGCGCTCTTCTGATCTTTGCGTCCTGGACAAAAGTGACCCCCCTCTTGCCCATTTCCGCGACGGCATCCAGGCCAAGCGAGAACATCTGCAAGAACTGTCAGCCCACGCTGTACAGGAAGACGAAAATGAAAAAAAAAATTTAAATAAATAAATAAAAATAACGTGTGTGATAAGCGAGATGAACAGACAAGCGAGTTGAACAATTTCCACAACCTCACCACAACTACCCTCAATTACACAACCACAACACTAGGAAATAACAATAACTGAATCGGAAACAGATGAATCAGACGATTCTGCAGCCTCCTTGCACGTACGTGCATTATGGCCAGGCTTGCCGCATACGCCACAGCATCGAATCTTCGTACGAGACCCCCCTGCACCACCACCATTTTGTCGTGTTTCCTGGACCAACTGCCCACCCACAGCCTTCTGATCCAGTAGATCCTGTGCCTCTTGTACAGTAAGTGATCCTCCAAGCCGAACACGTGTTTTCTTGGCTCTCCGTCGCTTACTAAGCCCCTCATTGGCCTTCCGAAGTGCTGAGACCTCTGTACGCAAAAGAGCCACCTCGTGCATCATAGCCATCGTACCTTTAGCTAATCGATCCACAGCAGTCAGCATTGGTGTTGGAGAGCTGCCCTGATGGTTGGAAATTCGAGTTTTGATGAACGCTGACTGTGAGGCAGCCTCTCTCGGGTTTTGTGGCGTTTGGGAGACCCAAGGTAGCGATGTAGTTGGGCTTGTAGCTGGGGGTGTTGGAGTCCGAATACGCACATCCAGCTTGGATATCACCCTCTCTGGATCGTACGGCACAAGGCCGGCTCCAGCAAACCCCCCCTGGATATTCCTTTCCGTAACCGAAGCAAAAAACGCCTCTCTAAACCCACAAAGAAACTCCAGCTTGCTAATATGTGTGATGTTCATCCGCATCAGCTGCTCAATCTGACAGCCGTACGCCTTCTTCAACGGCCCAAAGCAACCAACATCCAATGGCTGAAGTAGGTGTGAAGAGTGCGGAGGCATACAGAGTGTGATGATGTTGTGCTCCCGGCAGTAAGTCTCGAATTCTTCGGAGTGGTGGCTATCGTGGCCGTCGAGAATTAACAGTCGGTATATTCCCTTCGTACGAGATGCTGTGTGGAAATCGAAGTGCCGAATCCAATCCATGCCTTTCTCATTAGTAGTCCAGCCATTGTCGGTTGTTGCGATACGCCAGGTACCCGGAAGGTTGCACTCTTGATACCAGTTAGCAAGGTGATATTGCCCAGCTAAGATAATGAATGGTGGGATAGTCCAGCCTAGAGCATTCACTCCTTGGATGACTGTAGCCCACTCTCGATTACCAGGCTGGGCTTGCTTAGCCCTACCACGGCCATCAGAGGTAGTAACTACCATAGCGGGGATGATAATGCCCATCATAAAGCCGGTCTCGTCGAAATTGTACAAATCTTCGTCAAGGATACCGTACTTGGCCTTCGTGTTGTGCACAAGCGCAAACCACTCGCGAATAACTTTTGGATCTTCGCATTTGGCCCTCTGGTAGTCGTATTTACGCGTAAAACGCGTCCGAAGTTCTGGCTGGCGCTTGACGAAGTTGTGAGCCCAGCGTGTACCGACAGAGGGCGCGTCGCGTTCGCGTAGCAATCGATTGGCCATATCTTCTACGTACGAAAGCCGGGGATGAAATGCGCGCGCACATAGCTCAATGATGTACTGAACAATCGTTTTCTCTTCCAAATCCGTAAGCTTACGCGAATTGGCTGGAGTATCACGTCGTGCAGGTTTGCCGTCGCGTCGGTTGCGTATAGTATTTACCGTGACTTGATATGTTGTTGCTGCAGCTCGAATACTGAGTTTTGGGTCGTTTTGAATAGCCCTGAGGGCCAAATTCACCCTAGCTTCGTATGAAGGAAGAGACATTTGAGTTTGTTGAGGAATTTGGTGTTTTGTAGAGAGGAGGCGCGTCGCGTCAAAAGTGTTCAACTCGCTTGTCTGTTCATCTCGCTTATCACACACGTTACCTGTTCCCCATCATCAATGTCGGCCTGGTCGCCGACGAACCCAGGGAGAATGGACCAGAACCATTGTCGGCCACGCCGACCCTGAAGTCGTTCCAGCTAGCGTCGAGAGAAGCAGTAAAGTTTTTGGCGTGCGGTTTCGAATCGGCCGTTACTGGATCTTCCGGGTCATAACCACTGGTCTCAGTCGGCAGAGCGGCAATATCCCATGCCGACTTTGCAAAAATGCCTGGCGAGTCGAAAGTGGTCGAAGATGCAAGGATTCCACTCCGCGAGAGCAGACATGTGGAGACTTTGAGCCCGTACAAAGCCATGAACGATGCAGGGCAGTTAATAGAATCTTGGGTCTCCGTCCCGAAAGCAAAAGGAGAAAACCCGGCTGCTACGGCAGCAGCCGGTCCAGCCGACGACCCGCATGGGTCCGCAGACCGTAGAGTGAAAGCGTTTCGCTGCCAAGCTGGGACCAGCCCGGGCTAAGGTTGTTGTCCCTGGGAACACCCGGTCAGTCAAAATGCTAGGTTCGTAACCTCTTTTTCTTCTTCTACTTCAGGGTGATATACTTGAAGCCATTAAGTTCCTACTATGAGTTAAATCAATCCATAATTGGACTTGGGGAGCACATACCCCGAGATTAGCTTTTCCAATAACAATCGTACCAGATTTCCTTGCCTTCTCCACAATGAATACATCACGGCTAGCTATGGCATTCTGTAAGGCGTATGCTCCCGAGGTTGTCTTCATGCCCAGGGATCCGTCGGTTGACATGTTGCCCTGCCAAGTGTGTCAGTGGCACTGAGCAAGTGCATGTCTCCACATCTAGCGTTAACCTTTATGATAAGTAGAATTCCGTGCAGCGGACTGCGTAGTATCCCTTTCCGCCGCTCGAGGTCCCTCTCATTCGCGATGCCAAGAACAATGTCTATCGGCGTGAGCTCGAGCATGGCGTGGAGCTGGAGGCCAGACTTGTCGCCAAGCGCAATCCTTCTCGGATACTCTTTAGTCAGCCGGAGCGACGTTAAGGTTCGGTTGCTAAAGAAGCTGCGCAACATCTTAGGCGGTGAGGGTCAGAAGGTCAAAAGAAGCGGGAATGCATTAAGGCGTGTGGGCATCGCTAATCAGCCATGTCGAAATAACAGCTAGAGCCAGTGGAAACAACAGCCAGTAGAATCGTGAAGCCGTGATGGTGTGTCGCACCTTCCTCGGGGATTTGGACTTGTCTGCCCGATCATTTACTTTTGAGGAGGTTTTTTTGGAGACCTCGCGTCGACTCAGAAACGCTTCAAGTTGTTTCACGTGCGAGAGCAAAAGTACCTAGATGATCAGAATCTTTGACTCGAAGCGAGCTGCCCCTGTCTTTGGGTTAGGGCCGCGGATAACGATAGTAAGGGTATTCCGACTATGATATTTAAGGATATTATTAGAGGCTTCCTAATGATAAGATCGCGACTGTAGTTTCTAAGAATACCAGTCAAATCATAATTTTATTGAAGACCGTTTCCTTATTCGCAGTAATAAAACTTGGGAACATTAGAAAGACCAAAGTCGTAGGACATATCGAGGACTGGAGGCACAGAAAGACCAGATTAATTGATTATGTGGTATAGAATGCTTACCTAGTTTTACTTATTGTCACCAGCTATACAATGATCGCTGCAAGTTCTTCTAATTCTGGGATTCTAATGTTTGGACTCGGGCGGCCCCAAGGGTCCTCGGAAAGTGCAAAGGGTAGATCAGAAAACTCAAGGGCTTCTCGTATTAGGCAATAATTACGTTCGAAGTCTCATTACATCCTGGGATCGACATTCTTTGGCGCAGTTTTCAGTAACCAGAACAATACCGGACCGCCGTTGCCATCCATTGAATTTGAATGAGTGAGGTTCAGGCCATTGCCTTCCCATACTAGACTATCAGTAGTGATTCCTGACTCATACCGACCGACTTACAAACCTTACCGCCGCCATTCGAGATATGAGTCTTCACGCAGGGTAGATAAAGCAGGCCAAATATCTGGCCGCATGAGATTCACTCTTTCGCCCAGACCATTCCTCACCAACAAGCGCCGCTAACAGTCAATCCGCGCTTCAGCTAGCGCGACAACATCGGCTAACGCGCCAATTAACCGTCTAGGTGAGCTAGGGGCCGTCTGGGTCAAGAGCCGTCTGTTGCTAACCGCTGTTCTCGGACCAAAACGTCGCCAAGCAATGCACGGCACTTGCTCTTCTGAAAGAACCGTACATTTGCGCAATGGCGATAGGTAGAGCGGTGGGTGGTGAATGGTTGCGCACTCGGCCACCCAACAAGAAACAGGCCAATTATTTTCATGTCGTCGGTGTTCTGCGGGTTTGCAGTTGATTATCAAATTGCGGCGCGACTGCCCGGGGGGTGGGGGGCCGCCGGGTTAATAAAGGACACATCAATCGAGGTGTGCGTAGGTAGCTAACTCCGTATTCAGATTTCCGTCACGCGCGTACCTTAATCTTGACCCCTGAAAGCTGTGACGACCCAGGTTTCCGATCAGAATTCGTGTGGTAAGTGGTTCCTCGGCTGAGTGCTGTGCCATTTTCTGAAAATCCTTCAGAGATTACATAGTAGTTTCCTGCGGGGCCGAATTGCAAAGCTGATTGGAGCTTTGCGAGACAGAATCCTTCGGCTCTTCCTCAGGCGACTTATTAAGCGCTGTGATCCCCTGATTCCCTCTTAGTGTCTGGTAAAATGGCTGTGCGGATACTCCGTGCCGATTGGACTTTGCCCCCTCCAACCATCGTGATTCGCTTACGAGAATAGCACCACCTTACCGAGCTAGCAGCAATTCCAGTTCGCGTGGGCGCGGGGCTGCGACCTGAAGAATGTTTTGGCCCAATCGACGCCCGAGGGTGGTATTTTCTTCTCTCCCGTTTTGCACTTGTTGGTTGTAGGCATAACACGCACAGATGGGTACCACCAACAGCTGGGGATGGTGACCGGCTCCGACCTGGGTACTCCGTCCAGCCAGACAGAGAGTCAGAGGCAGCCCAGAACGGCTGTCCATTCAAGGCGTATTGTACTTACTCAGTTCACGTACAGCAAGTAGTAATATACAGTACACCTAGTCCACTATCGGCTGCGCTACCCACCAGGTAGGCTAGCACGCACGCCGCAAGGTACCTGACTCCAGGACTACACTACCTGCTGGCCGTCCCGTCCCAACCGACCGTGCCATCGTGCAGGGATAATAGTGGAGGATGAGAGCCTTCTCTCCGCAACGGTCGACAATGCTGAATCCTGGCTCCCATGCTCTCTCGGACAAAAGCGCCGGCGGCCCTCCTCTCGCCAGCTTCTCCTTCCACCCCCGTGACCGTCACCTCGCCAGCATCAGCAACTGTGTACCACCTGCGGCAGCGCCGTCGAAACTCGCGACGTCGACGACATGGCAGGAAAGCCTTTGTACCCCCAGGCACATCAGCAGGGCGGTCAGCAGGGCGGCTATTCTGATGGCCTCATACCGACCGAGAACAGCTACCCCGAGGTGGTCACGTACCAGACAGAACCGAAGCCGGCAGGCCAGCAAATCCACTCCCTTGCGCCGTCCTCTCCGCCGGGATGGAGCCGCCACCATCAGGTCAACGTGCCGCCGTACCAGTCGCAATTCGCGCCAAGCGAGCCCATGACAGACCCCCCCGGAAACTACCGGCCTTGGTGGAAGCGCAAAATCACGTGGTTTGCCATCGTCGGGGTCCTTGTAATCGCGGTGCTTGCCGGGATATTGGGGGCAGTGGCGTCGGGGAGCATCAAGACATCGGGCAACTCGAGGTACGGACTGCCGCTCTTTGTTCTCTTTCTCGTGCGCGCCAGAGACTGACGGGGGTTGCAACGGTTTAGCGCGCAAGCGGCGGTTGCCAGTCCGCAGGCAACTGGAACAGGAGCGACGACGGCGTCCCTCCCGAGCACGACGTCGAGTTCGGCGACGGCAGCAGCGACGGCGAGTACGGGGACTTCCTCGACAGGGACGGCAACGAGCAGCACGAAGGCGGCGACAACGGTGCCGTCGCCCGCGACGACGACAATAGAGTCGGACCTGGGCGACGTGACGCTCGAGTGCCCGGGCGCCGAGGGGCTCAACTTCACCACCTCGACGGCGGTGCGCGGGACGCTGACCTTTGCGCGGTACTGCGACGTCAACTACGCGTTCGGCGACCAGACGGCGCCGTTCGGCAAGACCAACGAGACCATCTTCAACATGCCCGACTGCATCAAGGCCTGCGCGAACCTCGACGGCTGCGTCGCCGTCGCCTTCAACCCCGGCCCGCAGTGCTGGCTGAAGCAGTTCCTGGGCAGCAAGTCGTCGTCGAAGGGCACCGAGATGGCCATCCTCTTCCAGTGAGCAGCCTGCGCGAGATGCATGTGCTGTCAAGAGTAGGGATGCGGAGTACTACGGTGCTACAGTGTTTGTCTACGGTCGGTGCGGGGCAATATTTTGTCATTCGTCCACCCCTTTTATCTCGGTCTGGGTGTTGGGGAAATCGCCTGGGCACAGGCAGGCCGGAGAATTTTTTGGGCTTCCATTCAGTCCGACACGTCGCTGGGCACGGCAGGAAGTTATTTTCAGCGTATACTAAAGGATACTAGAGGTTCGAAGATAATTTCTTTGTAATGTGTACAAAACCTACATATTTTCTCTGTTCGACTTGCTGTTGCCGAGTCTTCATGGCTCCGTGTTCTCCCAGTGTGCATTGGGAAACCGTTCTTTCTCGGTGCTAATCCGAACATCCCGGCATTCGGGTCTGACAAGCATTTAGCATGACGGCGCCACAATGTGACGATGGCACACAGCGGCAACGAAAGGCGCAAATGGGGGCGCCGAGAGGCACAGCTTCCCACATCCTCAATGCCACCGCCACAGGAGCTTATTCCATTGGAAGCCTTGCACCATTCCACGGTAAATAATCAACCGACAGTACCTCGAAAACCCTGTAATGTTCCCAATCTGTGACCTCCTCTTGCGATCTACGCTAGGGATTGAGACGGTTATTACAAGGTATTTTTAATGCTTTGACAGATTATTTCAAGGGCCAAAAAAATACCGGGGGCCTTGAAAAGTCACGAACTGGGGCCCCAGTAAGTCGTGCCGGTTTATTCTTTACCGCCGTAATGGTGTACTATGTAAGTATTCAAGGCATTACCCGTTCCAAGTCGGCGAACTACTGCCACACCACCACGTATTCACTGCCCCGCTTCTTGCGGTTTCAGATCTGCGATCCACCGCTGTCATCGTGGCCTGTGCCTGCTTTACGCCTGCGATACGAACAGAGAGCCATGGATCTTGGGAGGGCGGCGAGCCGACACCCCAAAAGAACGCCCATTCGGCAATTTCTGCGGCGTCTATTCTCCATCGGCGCATACCGCTTCACCGGTTCAACGGCAGCTTGTCGTTACATTCAATTGATCTGTTGGCTGTCCAGGCCTTTCGCAATGATCCGTGTCCCAGTGGTCCGGGTGTGCTCAGCAGGAACGACCCGCCACGGGTCGCCAGGAACAACCCAGGTGCCAGGCCAACGGCTATTATACAGGGCTGCAGGCGGTGAATGCACCGCCAAAAACAGGCGGGGAAGAAGCCCTGCACTGGTAAGAACAGCCCACCTTAATTTGTTGACGTTTCCCAACTCAAGGTGGCTCTAGTGACAAGGTCCTGTCAAATTTGAGAGTTTCACCATTATTGTAACCAAAAGAGTAAGCATTTGAAGTAAGAGCAACGACAATTAGATGACCTGGAGGCATTAATTCAGATCATGCGCCCTTGTCTCGGAAATATCAGATGAAGGGTGAGAAAGGGCCTGTTACAGTGCACAGTATCCGTATCGCGCTAACAACTAAAACCGCAGATGGGCAGATGGGTGGTGGGGCAACCGATAACGATAACGGGCCGAAATCCGTCTCCACAAACTTTCCTCAAGCCCATCACGCATCCGTCGCCCGGTTGCCGTCTCGACAAGAAACTCAATCTCGACCACGTGTGCTGAGCTTCCATTTCGCAGCCAACGCAAGACACAATGAGCGACCCAGAGACCAAACCCGCCGCCGAGGCCGCAACTGCTGCGCCCGACGCGGTGCCGGCTGAAAAGCTCAAGGACCTGGAGACTCCAGTAGTCGCAGACGCCGTGTCAGCGCCTGCAGCTCCAGCTGTGTCAGCAGCTCCAGCGGCCCCTCCAGCTGCCTCAGCTGCCCCAGCTGCCCCAGTCGCCGCAGCGGACACCACGGCCCCGGAAACCGACAAGGTAACTACGGAGCTAACGCCAATTGCCCAGCTGTGGACCGTCGCCAAATCTATCGTCGCATCCGCCGGCCACGGCGAGATTTGGGGCGTTACTCTCAGCGACCCAGAGACTCATATCCCAACTCAGATTGTCCTCCAAAAGTACCTCAACGCCAACGATGGCGACCTGGCCAAAGCCACGGATCAGCTCACCAAGACGCTGGAGTGGCGGGCCAAGACGAAACCACTCGAGCTGTTGAAGAAGGCCCATGACTCGGTCAAGTTTGAGGGCCTAGGGTTCGTGACGGCGTACGGCGGAGATGAGCCCGACAGCAAGGAAGTCTTCACGTGGAACATCTACGGCGCCACCAAGTCGGTCGACGAGACCTTTGGCAAGCTAGAAGAGTACGTTTTGATATTTTCTCTGCCGGCATGGTGGCTTATCTCAGCAAATCGAGCTAACAAGCACGTTATTATTAGATTCATCGAGTGGCGAGTGGCGCTTATGGAACTCGCTCTGCAGGAGCTGTCCCTCTCGTCTGCAGTCAAGCCCATTACGGCTGAGAATGACCCGTACAAGATCACGCAGGTGCACGACTACAAGTCAATCAGCTTTCTCCGCCAGTCGCCGCACGTCAAGTCGGCCAGCTCCGAGACCATCAAGGTCTTTGCGCAGAACTACCCGGAGCTCCTCAAGGAGAAGTTCTTCGTCAACGTCCCAGCCATCATGGGCTTTTTGTATTCCTTCATTAAGCTCTTTGTGGCGCCCAAGACGGCCAAAAAGTTCCACCCCATGTCCAACGGCGGAAACCTGGCCAACGAGTTTGCTGACAGCGAGGTCAAGGGTCTGGGGGAGCAGTTGCCGGCCGAGTATGGTGGGAAGGCGGCGGAGCTCAAGGGTTCTGCCAAGGGACCGCTGCTCACGTAGACGGACTGCGGTCAGCAGAGTTGTAGACCGGACCCTTGAAGATGACTCACGTTATAGTTGTTAGTAGGGAACTTAGTTGCAGCTTTGTGCCTCCATGCTGAACCAACTATACTACCTAATTATTACCGTGTTATCCCAGTGCTGGACAACATGCCGGGCTGTCGTCGATAGAGGCCCATCGTCACGATAAATGGTTCTCCAATGGCGTCACCAGGGTGTGTCAGGGTTCCATAAGCGACCCCGCATACCGCTGGCAACCCCCACCCGGAGTCCTTGTGCCGACAGACCGGCACCGGAGCGCGGGTTAGCTGCGGGTGCCCATCCGCACACCTCAGGCCTCGCCCTGCGCTTCAGAAGGAAACGAGTCGACCGACCTAGTTAATACAGGAAAACCAGCATATTAACCTCACCATGATCACCGGTCTCCACCACGTCCGTGTTATTTATTCTTCCCCTCACCCTCACTGAGCATGCCCGGCAGATGTATCAGCCAGACCGCTGACACGCAAGAGCGAGAGCAGGTGAACATCATCGTGCCGCCCGGCACTTTGCCGGCCGCGCAAGAGTTCTACGGCTCGACGCTGGGCCTCGCGGCGCGCCCCGTGCCCGCCGCCCAGCGCGACAGCCTGGCCTGGTTCGACATCGCCGCCTCGGGCCAGCAGCTGCACGTCGCCTTTGGCCGCCCCGACGACGACTTCACGCCCGCTGCACGCGCCGCCCGCAACCACCCCTGCTTCCGCGTCGAGAGCCCAGAGCTGCTTGCCCAGCTCCAGCAGCGCGTCTGGGACCATTTTAGTAAAGGCGGCGAGGCCGCGCCGTCGGAGTGTGATCGCCCGGGGGGTGAGAGTTCGGGTCAGTAATGTCTGCTGTCTAGCTCGGGGCTTGTGTGTCTCCTTGGGCCGAACGTGTGTGTCATGCTGACCACTGGTGTACTGGGCTGGACAGGTTCCAAGGGCGTCGAGTACCCGACCAGGTTCTTTGCCCGAGACTTTGCGGGCAACAGGCTGGAGTTTAGTCTGTAATAGCTTGGGAAAGCTGGAGCAAGATGGACTGGGCTGCCCGCGTTCGTTTCTTGGTCATGCTGTAACAGTCTCACAGATTCGCAGAGCGTGGGATTCATTCTTCTCAGTACTAGTCTATAATCCCCAAAACCACGAAAGATCGGCGCCTCAACTACTGCTCCTCGGTCCTCTCCCGCTCAAACTGGCGCCACAGCATGTCGAGGTGGCCCGGCGTGACGCTGTCGATGTACCCCTGGCGCGCCAGCACGTCGAGCGAGAGGCGCGCGTTCTCCTCGGCGCGTTCCATATCCTGCAGCACCCAGTAGATGCGCGCTATATTCTCGTACTGCTCGCTGTACAGCGGGAACAGCTCTTCGGCCGGCAGCAGCCCCAGTACTTGTCGCGTTAGCCGCAGCGCCTCGTACGGCTTCCCTCGCTGGAACGCCTCGACGGCTTGCCCGCGCAGCGCGTCCACCTGCCGCCGCCGCGCGTCCGACGCCGCGACAACGTCCGCCCCCGCCGTGCACAGAGCACACGTGCAGTTGAACCCCCACTGCTGCAGCGCCTTGTGCCTCTCGGCGGATGTCTGCCCCAGCGTGATGTCTAGGGTGCTGTTGGTCACTGGGTTGAGGGTGGGTGAGAGGGTGGAGTGGATGAAACTCACAGCTGATGGTGATCTCCTCCCCGGCCTCAATGTCCCGCGCCGCGCCCACGCTGACCTGGATGCTCTGCGGGATGAAGCGCGTGTAGGCGCTGATACGGCAGTCATAAGATATGGTCAGAGCCGTTTAATGGCGTAAAGTAGGTAATAGGGAGTGGGTGCTTAGTGAGAAGAAGGGGGGGGGGAGGGAAAGACAGAACGGACTTTGGTTTGCACGCGTGGTTTATCCGCTGATTGTTCACAGACACGATGTCAGCAAATCTTTCTAACTGAGAGTGTTCCGAGCTAATGTTAGGAGCGCAAAAGACAGAACCTTACCGAAACAAGCGGATACAGAGCCATGTGCGGCTGCCCGCCGAGGCTCGTGTGGAAGGCATTAGTGCGCAGCACGTTCTCGAGCGGGTCGGCCGCCTGGCCGCTGCTCTGGCCGAGGCCGAGCACGCTGGCCGGGTCCGCGAGCTGCGCCGCGGCAGTGTGCAGCACGCGGTACCCTGTCCACGCCGGCACGTCGGTGGCAAACGCCATGTGGACTAGCAGCGCCGCGTAGTCGAGCATGACCTCGTCGTGCTGCGCGATGCGCCGCGCCGCCACCACGCCCTTGCCTTTGCCCGGCACGTCGACGATGCGGAACGCCGCCTGCCGCTGCCGCCCCGTGGTGCTGCTATTGTCCGCCAGGGGCTCCGTGGTGCCCACGTGCTGGTCGAGCATGCCGAGCACGTCGGCCGCCGTCTCGGGCGTCGTCACGATGCTCACGCCCCGCGCGCCGTGCCGTGAGTTGCTGAAGGCGCAGTACTTGGTTCCAGCGCCGCTGCGCCCGTAGATACAGTCCGGCCGGTGCGTCCACGGCGACCAGCTCAGCGGCAGCGGCCCCGCTTCGTCGTCCACGGGCAACCTGCACGCCCCCTCGGCGCTCGCGGCGTCCTGTCTCAGCGCCACGGGAGTCGAGGACGGGCATTTTTGGTGTTGTGCTGGTGCAGCGGCGTGCGCCTGCGCCTGCGCCAAAAGAGCGAATATGACGGCATATCTGAGAGCTGCGGGGGCTGGGATAAACATTTTTTTCTTCTATATATTCGGTCGCATTTGAATCCTCGCTCTCTTTGACAAGCGAGAAAAGCATATAAATGCGGGGCGAGAGACACAGCCCGCCGGTATCTCCGCGGGTCGACCGCAATTATGGACACGGTTGACTGTTTCGGATATCCCGCCTCTGCCGCGTGGATAAGAGCCTTGTTAATTAATGCCAATGTTGGTCAAGACATGACATGAGGCAAAAAGACACAGCAATGTTTGTAATCAAGGCAGCGCGCGCCGGCCAAGAGAATTGGCCCGAGAAGTTGTGGGTTCCCGGGTTAAATCCAAGACTTGGACACGGCCCTGATATGAAACCGCCGACAGGCGGCCCACTTCTCTAAGTGAGCGAGCGAGTGGAGTGAAGGTATAGAGACAATAGCTGGGTATTATCCGGTGCCAGCGTTCGGCCATTTTCATGATAAGTACTCTCACAGCTCAAGCTGGTTGAGTACCGGTCAACTCAGCAGCGTCTTCCCTCGACCGACTCACCGTAATGTGATATTAGCCTCACATGGATGCTTGTCTCTGGTTGATCTTCTAAAAGACATGTTTAACAGATCTAAATTCCCATGAATAATCTCCTCCCCCTTTGGTTGAACTTCTGGACTGAGTGTTTGTGGTGGTTAGCTACCTAGGCCCTAGTTCCGATTAGGTCTAATTAGATCTAGGATTCATTCATACGTGGAACTCATACGCGGACCTGATGCCTCTCATTGGGCGCCGCGGATAGGGTACCCGAGCCAGCTATCTCATCCCGGCCGCCTTGAAAATGAAAAACCCAAACACGATATTCCAAATCCGGATGCTAATAACTAACTTCAGATCACCCCTTTACCACTATTTTTGACATGGTTGGTTTGGGTTAAGACCAGGTCAAAGACATGGCCAACGCCATGGACGATGACGATCGTCTGGCGCAGCACTCGCGGCTGTGGGGGGGCGACGCCGTCGACTTCGACACTGAAGCCGACAGCAGCCGCATGCTACCGCCGGGCGTGATCGTCCGGCTGTGCTCCGGGAAGTGACAAACCAGCAAGCGCTCGGGCTGGGTGAGCTCGAGAAAGACGGCGGCGGCGCGCAGCTGACGTGCCAGCTCGTGTTCCTGGACATGCTCCGATCTGTCTCTGATGCGTGGGACAGCTTCCTGCAGCGCATCGCGCGGCGCGTGGTGGACGAGTACTAGTTTATCACGACGGTGAGGTCGCTGCGGCTGTTCGAGGAGGACCTGGAGACGACGACGCAGTGGTCGCTGGCGGTGCGCAACCTGGACGCGTGCCCGGCGTTCCTGCTGTCGTCGGTCGAGGCCGCGCTCAAGGACCTGTCGGTGTCGCAGCAGCGCAGCAAGGAGTCGCAGCAGCGCGTCAGCCACTGGCACCGCTTCAGCGTGGCCAGCACGAGCCTGGCGGCCGAGATGCGCAGCCAGGCCGACGACCTGGTGCAGCGCTCGAACCGTGAGATGGCCTTCTTCGTGGCCAATATCAACGAGAAGCAGGCCAGCGGCGGCGGGCGGCTGACCATGATCGCCGCCGTGTTCCTACCCCTCAGCCTGTCATCGTCGTTGCTGGCCATGACGACGCCGGCCGCCGACGCCGGGGCGCTGCGGTATGACTGGGCCGGGTTGTGCGTGGTTATGGGAGTCTTGGTGCTGGCCATCTACTCGTCGTGGAAGGTGTTGCAAAAAGCGAAGCGGTGGCGGCCCAAGCGGGTCCAAAATTATCTCTGCCTTTTTTCGGGGGCTGTCAAGGCCCTGACTGCACCTCCTGCTGGCCGTCACGACAGCCTCGTTTCTCGCCGGCATGTTCTCGACGCGTGGCATAGGCCTGGACGTGCTGAAATACGGCATCGCCGCCATTGCTGCGGGACTTCCTGCCTGGATCATTGTGAAGAACCCGGTCTGGGTCTATAAGGCGATAAAGGGGCTGCTTACCTGCATCTTCGTCATCGCCACCATGTTCTGGGCAATGAAGAGGAAGGGTAAGAGGACAAACGATGCTTCTTCTGTATGATACTACATAGCACAGCTATAGAAGATAAGTATATAGAGTCCATAGCCTGAAAGGAAAAAGAAGAGAAGAAATAAAACCGCCCTAAACTGTAAACCACCTAGGGCAGCGATCCGATCACGCACAAAGCGAGGCGAGGAAGCAAGTTTTTGTTCTTTTTTTTTTTTTTTCCAAACAAAGTTCAAGAGTGCAACGCCCTCTCGCGTCATGTTCTCTACCATAACACCACACCACATCCATCACAGCCTGCCCGCCTGCGTTCCCTGACAGCCAGCCGCCGCCGAGGGTTTGTTGGGGTTTCCCCATTCCCATTCCCATAGCCGTTGCCACGGACGGCAGCTGAGATCGGGCAGAGAGCATGATGGCGTCGGCAGGCAGGCCCCAAAACCGTTGGGAGTGTGCGATGTTGAGTATGACTCGGATTTGCGAGAGGAGCCCCCGACTCGACTGAATCTATCCGGGTATCATAAAGAAGCCGAAGAAGATGAGAATAAGAAGAGAAACAAGAAAGAGTCCAAAAACTAAAAAAAAAAAAAAAAACATCCACAAGATTTATCCATCCTTATCATCTATTCGTCCCGTTGTTGGCCGCCCGCCGTGCAAAGGACGCAGAAAGAAACCCCGACACAGCTACGTACGCCATGTGTAAGAAACCCCCACTCCATTTCGCTCATCCCCGAGCATCCGCTATGGCACAGCCCAGACCCCAAATGACGCAAGTATAATACGGGCCTATTTTCGACAAGGAAGCAGCCAAAAAACGCAGACGATTCCCTGCGGTCATGACGGGCACGAACATACGCTCCCAAGAACCCTGTAAATATATGCCTTGTCTAAATCCCTATTTGCCCCGTTCCTACCCCGCGCCCTGCCCTGCACGCTCAATCCATGCCCGTGACCGGCCTAGACCTCTGCGACACAACTTCGCGTGCATAGAACTCAACAAGCATTGTAGCGTACGCCTCGAGATCCTCGACAGGTACGGCCAGGCGGAAGTCGTTCAGTATGAGGAACTGGAGCTCTAGGTGGTTGAGTTCTGCAAGAGGTAGACCGCCGACCTGGACAGGAAAGCGTGTTAGCAACGAACATGATGGTTACGCGGGAAAAGAGACGGAGGGTGGGCAAAAAGGGCTGACGAACCTTTGCGTAGCGCGAGTTTGTGTAAAACACGTCGGAGAAGAACTTGCTGGCACAGGTAACGCCGGCAATAATAAGTCGGTGGATATTGAAGCTGTCGACAACAAAATAAGTTCCCTGGCCAGAGGCCGCATTGATGTTTGCGTTGAGGACTGGGGCTCCCTCGATCGTTCCGGCGCCGCCACTCCCCGTTCTCCCGGATCGTTGGCTCACGGGCGACTCGTCGACTTCGTCATCGTCGTCGTCGTCGTCGGCCAAGTCAGAATCTGTCTCATCGCTCTCCTGGCTATCGTCGTCATGCATAACCGTGTCCGTATCCGTAGCCCGGGGAGCCGAGATCCTGGCGCCACTGCTCCTCGACTGTCCATATTGCGCCTGCAAGGGCTGGCTCTGGGCAGCCTCAAGCTGCAACCGCCGAGCCTCTTCGCTCTTCATCACCATGTCATTAACCCGCTCCGTCATCCGGTCAAAATACACGAGAAGACTTAGGAATACTTCGTAAGTAGTCGGACAGTACTTATGGATCCGACTGAGGTAGCTCAGAATCGTAATAGCAGGCACATTCTTTCCGTGGAAAGCTAGAACACTACTGCTCTGCGGGCTCATGCCGTCTCCGCCCCCGTCCTCGTTTCTTGCCTGGGCCTGGGCCTGGGCCTGGGCCTGCCTGACATGGGCGGCGTTCCTATTAAGAGCGTCGTGCTGCAGGTCGTTGGTCGTGGTAATCTTGGTGAGTAGCGCGGCGACCATCTCAATGATATCGCCAATAGGCATCGCACTAATCTCATATTTCATTTGCTGTAGTGGCGGGTCATTGAGGATCCCGGGACCGGCGGCCGTAAGCAGGTCTTCTCGAGCGAGACTCCGAATGTGGGCGAGGTCGCGGACTCGGATCGTAGTCTGGGTTTGGATGGGAGAGCTCGGGTCGTTGTCAAGAGGCAACGACGCCGGCACAACGAGAGCAGGCTGTGCGTCGGCGGCCGAGTTCCAGGTCGGGCTGGTATCGGAATCAGGAGATGGTATGGGCTTCGTGTGGGCGGCTATCACGGTCGTTGCGGTGCTCGCAGACGAGGCGCTCGAGACGCTCGATGTAACCGACGACGACCCCGACATGACGTCGTGAATCACCGCAGGCGCGCATCCTGGTGTGGCGTGCGGGGGGCGTGCATCTGCAGATGCTGTTTCTGACGGCGAGGATGATGAGGGCGGAGAGGGGAAGCGCGACGCACCGCCGCCTCCCAAATGATGCTGCGTCGTCGGTATTTCCTTCGCACTTGCCCCTGTTGTTGCTCCCGGCGCAGTGTCGTCCCAGTCCCGCCGGCTGTGCGAGGGGTAGTGGGTGCTGGCCGTAGTGCCGGAGCCTTGCCTTCGAGGACTAGTCGCGGGCCGCGAGGGGTGGGGGTGTACCTCTCTGTCGCGAGATCGACTCGTGGATCGGCTCTGGAAATGGGTATCGCGAGAATGCTGATGCTGCACACTCGGCCCCCCAATCATAGTGTGTAATCGCGAGGAGTCGGTGAAGACGTCGCCGATCACAGTGGCCATGATGGCATTGTTGTCGTGGTTTCCAGGAGCACGATGCTAACGGGAACGGAGGACGGCCCCTCAAAGGCTATCGGATTAAAAGTGGCTGTGTCGGGCAGATAGCGGAGTATTAGCACGAGTTTTCTACCCCAGTTGCCTGTCGGCAGGATTTGGAGCAACACAGGACACTGCGATAAAGAGCCGGGCCGGCAACAAATGCACTGGGGGGCACACAACACGAGGACGAGACCTCCGACCACGAGATAGCAAATAAAGAGGGAAAAAGAAAAGAAGAAAAGCGATAAAACAAAATAAACAAGAGCCAGCAGCGGACGAAAGCGAGGATCGCAAACGGCAGGCTCCTTTTTGACCGCAAACGGAAGGGTGCAGCAACCTAGATGCTTGTTGCTTGCCTGTGCGACAGTGCAAGATGGGTTCAACCTAGAAGCCAGGCAAGCCCCCGTAGCGTCCAAAATGGTTGGGCCGTAGGCGGCCGGCACGATCACAGCCCAGGCATGTGCTGCGGTTGGCCGCTGCGCAGTGGCTAGGGAGGAAAGGCTCTGTGTTGTAAACGCGGAGCGGGCGCCTGGAATGAACCGTTGATCTAGGGGACGGGATGATGCTTCGAGCGGTTCCTCGCCCGCTCAAGATGTGCCCCCACCCGCTCTTGAACGATATAAGCAGCAGCAGCAAGCCAGCTATTTTGGGCACCGAGGTCTGGCCGCCGTTGATTGAGAGAGTTTGGCCCGGTGCGAGAGGGATGACTCTGGAGTCAGATGAGTCTCTAGCAACTCGCAACGCAAGCGCTGTTTGGCTTCGTCGCACTCGCCGTCATCTGACGACCCGACACGTACAAGGCAGCCCAACGACGTCACTTTTAGACTTTCACCACCGGCACGCATACAAATACAAAGACATACATATGCTAGTAAGATGTTGAGAGGGAACACAAGCTGCAAAACATGTCGGGATGGAAGCCAACGAACGAGGAAAGAAGCCAATACTTGGTCACTCACCCGTATGCGGAGTAGCAAGTGCTCTTCTGCAAGGCTCGCTTGGTCCGCCAGCAGGCGTCTTCGTCGTCGTGAAAGGATGCCTTCGCCTATTTTCTAGGCAGTGCAAACAGGCTGTGAGGGGGGGAATTCGTCGGGCTGGTTTCGAGACGGAGGCGAGTGGGAGGATGTTAATGGCAGCGGTGAAGCGGTGTAGATTGGCAGGTGTTGACTGAATGGCGTGCAAGGCGGGTGCAATGACGAGACGACGAATCTAATAATATACAGTTCTCGTAGGGCCGACGAGACACGAAGATATGACGGGCCAACCTGACCGCTGCGTGTGTAATTCAACGCGTGGCAACCTGGACGGCGAGCGAGACTCGGCGGGCACAAGAGAGAAGCAAGGTTTAGAATTCGAGTCTAGAAGATTATCGCATTGCGGAGCTGATGAAGCAATGCCAAGACACGGCAGGGCAGCTCGACTGCCAGTTGACAGGCTGGGCCGGAAGCTAGGTGGGTATTCAGCAGTAAATCGGCGATGGACTTGAAAGGTTCTCGGCAGCGGAGAGCTAGGTCCAAGCCGTTTTCAGTCGGGGCGGAAGGAACAATGTCAGATCTCCCTCGTGGCGAAAGGCTATTGTTTGACAGAGCGGGAGAATCGCAATTATTAGCCAAGCAACCAGGGGCGACGGCGCGCTAGCGAGTCTCGATATTGTGATACATGCAGTCGAGCGATCCAGAGATGACGATGGCTTGGGTCACCACGTGTAGGTCCGGAGGATATAATAGGGAGGCACACCCGCAGCCCTTTTTACTGCGTTCAGTGAAGCCTGACAGGGATCACGGAGGGTGGCACGGATGGTGTCGAGTTAAGTAACGGTGGCACTGTGGCGCGGAGGATTGCGAAACAGCCTGTTGGCGTTGGTGAGGGTGACAGTCCTAGGTTTCCCCGTTATTCTCTTCTTACACAGTAGACCAACTTGAAATGCGCGGGCAAGAGGCGGTATCAACGCCAGGGCGGGCGGGCAGCGATAGTTGGCAAGCGTCACTGATAAGAGAAAGTTGTTGCGTGCCGATCGGCGATATGGAACTCTCCACTGTTCAAAGACCCCAGCGCTGAAATCGCGAAATGTGGATACCCTAGTGGGGACTGCTGGTGGAGCGTGGTGCGGGAGGATGACGCAGGGGACGGTCCCTGGCCTTTTTCCCACTCGATCATTCTGGATAGCAGCTGGGTTGACAGATGAACAAATAAACTCGTCGGTATTTTGCCTACGAAGAAAAAGCCAAATGAGGGCCATCTCTATCCAAGGCGACTAAGCGCGCGTTAGGTTATCATTGGCGGACTTCCGCACCTCAATGTTGGCCCAGCTCCTTAGGCTACACGTGTACATAGTACACTTCTTGGTGTCACCGCGAACTGTTGATGCTTTCTTTACTTATTTACCGCCGGCCCGCCGCCGGGTTCTTGAGAGCGCACGGCGCGGACTGCGCAGCACTTCCACAGAATCCCACCCTCCAACAAAATGGCCTTGGTTTCGATTTATGAGGCTGGCTGGTTTCTGCCAAGTTGGTTGCTTCCTCGCTCCGCATGTTCGTGTCCTCGGCCGCCTCGGATGCACGACCAGATGGAACCCCCTTTGTCGATCCCGTCTTGATGCCACCATTTCGACAAATTCGGCCAAGCGAGTTCGGCCCGGTCGCCCGGGCCTGGCCGCTGTCTGTCGCCCCGCAGTGTTTGCTTTCTCTCTTGCTGCTTGCTTGCTTCTGCAGTAGATCTGTACGACAGGCAGCTCTACCTAGCTAGGCAGCTGCCTAAGGAGAGCAGCCAGCCCGCGAGAGCGAAAAAGGCTGATTCATAATAGTCTCTCGGGATTCTGCAAGCGTATGGCGGTCAAGCACCTAGAACGCTAGAATACTTCCACTAGATCCTAAGGTCGGGGCCCTCGGCTGCTCCTCATCCCGCCGAATAACGTGAATATTACATATAAAAATCCTGAGGGTGCATCCCCAGACTTCAGCCACAAGATGCATGGCAGCCAAGAAGTACCGTGCGGGCGTGGGGGGACTCGGGGGGTTCCCAGAGAATTGGTACACGCCGTCCAAGTTGTATGAGAAAGGTCGGTGAAGAACCGACCCCCTGGGTCACTAGGCCCCGTGATAGCTTCGCGCCTTCAGATTGGTTGCGCGTATAGGTCCTCCTCGCTTGGTCACTCGTGGGGTTTAGGGAACGGCCACAGCTGGATTCCCATGGTAGGGGTAGCCCGGCCAAAAATGCTATCGAGTGAGACCCGAGTCGAGTAGTTCAGTCTCCTTTTGCGGTGGCCTCCGATTCGCTAGGCAGATGTCCATAAGCAGACTGGTCGCTATGGGCATTGCTGTTTCTTCACCGCCTTATTTGTTAGATTTTCCATCATTGCCTCCACCAGCCGGCAGGCTGTGTGGGGGTAAGTCAAATCCAAAGTCATCGCTGGGCTACTGTATACGGTGACAAGGAGAAAATTTATCAGCCATCTCTGTCTATTCGTGACCGAGATTTAGTAGTACTGTACAGCGCCTAGGCTCTCCATTGAGACCCTTGGCTCAGCTCTGTCGCCCATCCGCTACCAGCCCATGACCGCCGAACTAAGCTCACTCGTGTCGGACCTGGTATTCTGTATCGGGCAGATACAGGTGTCTGTCTGCGCCTTTCTCTGTCAGGACAACCATGCGGATCACGCCGCCAGAGCTTCCATCCCACTTGATCGCCTCCTTCAAGGCCTCTTTCACGAAGTTGACCGCGTCCTCCTCCTCCATACCCTCTTTCCAGTTCGCATCGCAGAAGCCGTAGATGTAGGTCGAGCCCGAACCGCCGATCGCATACGACTGCTTGTGTAGTGAGCCGCCGAGGGGGATGCTGTAGACCTGGCCGCCGTGCCGCTCGTCCCAGCCGGCGACAATTAGACCAGCCCTAAACCAAAGCGAGTCAGCCTGCGCTCATTACCTTGCGCATAACTGTCAAGTGGGATTGTACATACGACAGCCTGTCTTTGTTCGCATAGCATATGTCTTGGAAAATGGACACCGCCGTCTGTGTTGTTGGGGGCTTGCCGTTCATCATGGCGAACAGGCCAAGCTGGTATTGCACGATGTCGGCAACGGCTTGTGTGTCGGCGGCGGACCCTGATCGGCAGCACCAGATGGTATCATTTACACGCGTGAGTTTGTCGGTGACTCGGTTCGCAATGTATGCGCCTGTCGTTGTACGAGAATCGGCTCCTGATAGACGGATCAATGGTTAGCTGCAAGTTTGCGACCCGGGCACGGAGTGGTGTCGCAGCGGAACGACTAACCCAATATGACACCGTCCTTAAATGTTACCGCCATGCTATCGCCAATGTTAGGAACTATCCCGGCGGAGCGCTAGGAGGGTTATATGGTCGGGCTCACATCGATGTACCCAGGCTAAGGCGGAGGAGGCACAGTCAGCAACCATTCCACGCAAACGAAGATGGCCAGAATAGCACTTACTTCACCTCGCCCTTCTTCAACCGGTCCATATCCACATGGATACCATCTACGACAGGTTCGAATCAGCATATAATGGCTTGGCGATCGGGGCGGACGGCGGATTTGGGGCGCGCGCCATGAGGTGCACTCACCCTCGCTCAGGCAGCCCGAATTGCCAAACTCCATTGTCGCAGGTGGGGGGGATCGCTTCCGGTCGGGGTAGGTCGTAAAAGAGGTCGACGACACGAGATGCAGATCGTGGAGAGTAGAAACAACGGGTGAGCGAGCGGGACGTTGTTGGTGGTTTGCATGTGGTGAGCTTGGAGCTCCAAAGCTCAAGGCAGCTCCAGGCACACGCGTGCGGCCTGCGTTGGCTGAGTGGGGTCACGTGACGTCGTGCACTGTTCCCTGGAAACCCCCCGTCCGTCATTCATCAAATCACGCTAGCAGATCTCCCACCTCTTAACCATGCATATCCATATAGAGCCTATATACTAATCTATTACAGCGATAACCATACTCAGTAAGTGAATCCGGCCAAGATCGGGGGCACTTGTCTTGGACGTGGTGCCTTTATCGTGTTGGTTTCTTGGGTAATTAGTTCCCACAAATGAATAACGTTGAATGGCTAAGTGGTTGGGTGATTTACGAAAACATCACACTCATCGGAGGCAATTTCGTAGTACAATACATAGAGCCCACGAGTTTCAAGAGTTGCATGAACACACTCATTCTAACATCTTCCTTCATTAAGTACAGGTATTTGTGCCTTGCCACTAAAGTCAAAAGCCATGCCACTTCACAAGAGCATTGCAGCTAGCCGTTGTCTGTACTCTTAATTGCGAGATCAACGGCTTCGGTCGCTCTGAGGGCGGGTGCCGGGTCCTGTCACCAGCCCCGGGCATGCGTCCCGTCTCTACAGCTCTGGATCCTGGGATTGAACTGTATTTCTATATTAATCTTGAAGAACTATATGTACACTGTTAAATATGTACAGAGCCGGCTTCAAACTCCAAGGGAGAGAGCCGAGATGCCGAGCTGTCATGTGCGGCCCATGGATACCACGAGACAAACCCACCCAAAAGCCGCAGGCACCTGCAAGCCTTCTTGTAAGCCAAAAATTCCTAGACTCCCTGCCGAAACTTTGTCCTCGGGCCACACACAATCACCCTCCCCGAGTTAGCCCCTCCTCTCTCACCAGACTGATATCTGCCCTCTTGTGCGACTTGTGCCCTGCCTCGTCCTCTGCCTTGCCACCAGCCGTCCCCTTTCCCTCCTTGTCCTCGTCACCGCACCCGCAGTCGTAGAAATCGCCGATGTTGTTGCAGTCAAACTCGGGCTTCTTCAGCCGCTTGTTGACCTTGTTGTGCACCATGCAGGCCCACCCGACCGCGTTGTTGCGGCTGCCCGTCTGGGGCGGGAACTTCTTGAGGAGCTTCTGGAAGTGCGAAGCGCAGTCACCGCAGGGATAGAGGCGGGCGAAGAGCTGGATGTACGTTTTCAGCGCTAGGCTGTCGTCGTCGGACGGCTTCTCGGGGAAGCGCGCCATCATGGTGTGGAAGAGCTTCCAGGAGGCGCGGCCGAGCTCGGCTCTGCAGGACGAAGAGAATCAGCGGTTAGCAACGGGTTGAATAGCACAGGCCAGACAAGCGCGACTACAGCATCCTCTCTGCGCGCGTGTGGGTGTATGCATGTGGCTTGCTTACTTTGCCGTTGCGTTCTCCAGCTTCGATGCGATGGACCCGCCTGTGAGGATGGAGTTGGGCACGCCGGAATCGTGCTTGGACCCGCCGTGGGCGTCGCTATGGCTCCAAGACTTATCGGCGCCTGTGCCGGACATGGCAAAGGGACTCTGGTCGCTCGAGCTGCTGGCGGACATGAGGTATGTTAAACCCAGGAACAGCATGACGCCGACGAGCAGCATCGAGAAGTGCTGCCGCCGCGCCATTTTCAACGGTGGCCACCGTTTCCGCGGAAAATCCAGATCTCGGCGGGCGTGGGGGAGGGAGAGCGCGGCAGCGGGCGCTGCTGCAAGCCACGAGGTAAATGCTGCTAGAGAAAGTTTAAAGATAATGGATATCGACAAAACGTTGATACAAAGGAAAAGATCAAACATTGAAGATCAGCTAAACCTCAGGCGTTACTGAATGGCTGCAGCGTGGAGGACCCAAGACGGTTAGCGCTGCGCCCGCTTCCCCGCCACGCAGTTGGGGCCCCTGGGCTTAGGACGCCAAGCGAGGCCGCGGCAGGCAGAAGTCCCCACCAGGCTGGGCCGACATGGCCCGTGACCACAGGCATCAACCCCTGCGACAAACCCCCCACAGCTCACTGAGACACGGAAACGACAGGTAAGCCTAGGGATGAGCTTGCCTCAGGTCGGACTACCACGTACTATAGCATAACAACTTCAACGACCTCAGCAACGCCAAGAAGGCATCCAGGATGCGCAATATCTAGGGATCTGGTAGTAATTGGGCTCAAACCCAACACCGTATGTAGGTGCGGGTTGTCTCCATGGTACTTCACACAGAGAACCGGAGACAAATGGAATCAAGATGGCCGGGTTCTCGACGCCCAAACAACACAAGGAATACAAGGAGTAAACTACGAAAATTATTGGCCTAGAAGAAAACCAAAAGGAAAATCACAGAAAAGACACAGAAGCAACCCAGAAGCAACCCAAAAACCCAGAAACCCGGAAACCCGGAAACCCAGAAAAGCCACAACGCTCAGAAACACAAAGAACTATAGGTGCCACCCCGCGATCCCTTCAAACTCACACCCTCCAATCTCGATTGGGATGTGGGGGCATGGCGGTGTTATTTTGTTGCCAAATTGGCAACCCACGTCATCCATCGTCCTTGGGCGGTCAGGTCTCGGACCTGCCTAAGGTTACCGACCAGGCCGTTTTTGGTCAGGCTTTTGCGAAACACGTGCTGACGTCCTTGAATATCCAACTGTCCGTCGTTTGTCAAGGTGTTGAGCTCTTAAGCAGGAAGGCGACAAGAATTTGAACTTGAAGTTCGCGTGTGTGAATCGTGCCTTCTTGAGAGAGCCGTGCTGGTCTTTTAAGTGACATGAGATGACGTGGCGACGGAGTGCACCTTCCACAATCGTAGAATCTTGAAATCGTGTAAACCTCCCTCGGATTACTTTTCCGATGCCCTTTAAGTTCTCTCCTCTCCACGCTTCTACGGTCTCCCATCGGCGGCATTAGCGACATGACCGGAGCATATTTGAATTGTCATTTCTGTGTAACTGAGAGCAGCTTGGTTGCCGTGGGATTTCGTTCAGAAAGCAAAGACAAGCCTTGGTCAGTCCTGGGCGCCACGACGAAAAGCTCCGATGTTGGTGATTATCGCTAAAGCAGACCCGACATTTGTTCTATCGATCCCCTCTTGTTTTCCTCCAAGGTGACAATGGAGATTTGATCCCAACAGGCTAATCGGTCTAGAACACGCGTGTGTCTCTCCGTCTGCTCGTTGGCATGCCAACCCATCACAGTCGGCCCAGCTATCTAGAGCAGCTTTTGTGGCAGTCGACTGCCGGAAGTACCCGTGTCTTATATCAGAGGTTACTTGGGAGGTTACTTGTCTTATTTCCACGAGACGAGATACGGCCGCTGTCTGTGCACATATTCTCGTATCACAACGCCAATGAACATGTGGATATATCCGCCCGCGTGGGCCAATATCATGGCCGCTGGGAGAAGAATTGAACTCTCCTCCCTCAGGCACCACTGGCTTTTATGTTATTTCCATATGAACTCGACTTCACCTGCTAGACAGATCAGAGTTGGCCGAGGTCTGGCACCTGAAGCGAACGCAAGGCAGGTCGTTCTATCCTATCTATACCCCTTTCCTAGTAAACAGGAAAATGCTTACCTCGTTCAGGCACCTGACCTATCCAATTTTCTTCTTCCAGCACCCCGCTCGCTTGCGCTACCCTTGACAACAACTCTCTCTCTCTCTCAACTGTGGTCGTCGACTTTCCTACCCTGCCTCGTCTCCCTCTCTCTTTCTCCTGTTACCGTCTCCGCAAATACCTACCTTACCTGCTACAGAGCTCAAGACACAAACTCGGGCAGCCTCACATTCGCTTTGCAAAAATGCGTTCCTACCTGCTCGCCATTACTCTGGCCCTTAGAGGTGCCTTCGCGGCTTCCATGAAGCCAGGCACATTCTGCCACTTTTCCGAGTCGTGCGACAACATCAAGATCGTCGACAACTTTTTCCTCTCTGCCACCTGCAGGGACGAGACGCTTTCCTACAAGCACGCCAACACGCTCGACTTGAACCTGTGCATCGGTATCAACCAGACCACCGCTAATCTGCTGTGGGAGCCCTAGTAAGCAGCCAAAACTGTTCTCCCAGCTCCGTCCCGTCCGGCTCGCAACCCCGTTTCTCCGTGACCAAGAAGCTAGAACTCTCTCGCAGCGGCAAAATCGCCAACTACTGCACGGACTGTGCCTTGGTCGAGGGCTCTAGCATTGCCTGCCAGTGCTCGCCGCTGGTTAGTGCCGAGAACAACGCACCCACCCAGTCGTATCTCGACCTCGGTACGTATCCCCGGAAACGTTGATATTGTGTGGCACATCTTGAGAAAAACCCCACCCCCCCGTCCGAGTTTGGGCAGACTGCTGACCGACGTCGTGGGGTCGGTTGACTAGATACTGGAATCGGAAACGACAATGGCACCCTAACGTGCTCGGGAGGTATTGGTTCCTTCAACTGAGCAGGGACCAGAGCCCTGTGAAGCAGCAACGGGGGGAGGGGGGCAGATCGAGCATCACTGGAAGTCTAAGGAGAGACGGGCTTGATGCGGCACACACTCTCGGCATGGAAATGGAGGATTTTCTTGTGCGTAGTTGTAGAAGAGGTGCCGGAGAGTGATATTGGCCTCAAGAAAATAGACCAACGCCTTTTCATCCCAAACTCATGTCGCAGTACTTCGTGAAGACGGAAAAGAATCATCGAGTCAAAGGTGTGGTCTGGTACTATCGCACTAACAATTGTACCAGGGCTGGAGCGTGTGGAAGCAAGAGGGCCACTTTTCCCCTATCCAGCTTTGGGAAACAACGGGCTACAAAAGCTCTGGAGAATGAAAATCAAGAAGCTCAAGGGGGAAAAGGAGCTCTTCACATATGGATATCTGACCACCTAGATGTAATGCTAATATATCGGCCTGACGTTGAGAGTTGAAACTTATCCCTCGACGCAGAGACTAGACGAGGGACATTGGCTGACAGAAGGAAAGCAAACCCGAAACGAAAAGACGGGGTTGGAGATGGGGCAGGCGGGTAATAACCACGAGCATCATATCTCCGTACGAGCATCACAACTCCGTTCCGCTTCCGCAACTGACCCTCCTAACCGCCCAAGCGGCTCAGTACGTCCCCGGATAAAGAGTCAAGTCCCAGCGGCCATTGGTGGTGGCGATGACGGGCTTGTAGGCCTGCACGATGAAGGCGTCGGTGGTCGGGTCAAGCAGGCCGAGCTCGTACTGTGTCGCCGCAAAATTGGCGCCGTAGCCGACCGTCTTGTCGAGCACAACGCCACCGTCCGTCTTGCTAGCCAGGGCCGCGTACGGCGCGCCCGTGAGGATGTTGGCGCTGAAGCCCGTCGCCACGCCGCTGCCGTCCGTCGCCGCCAGCATCGCCGCCCCGTCGCACCCCTCTAGCAGCGACACGTCGCCCCACGACGTCCGCGTCGGCGGCCCGTCCCACGCCACCTCCACCCACGTCCCCAGGTTGTGCGCCACCGTGCCGTCGAGGTTCTCCGCCGGGCTGCCGCGCACGATGCGCCCGGCAAACGTCGCGCACACCGAGATGAACACCTCGACGCCGGGGTTGAGCTGTGCGCGAGGCGCCATGCACCGTGTAAGCAGAAGTTGCTGGGGTGATAGACACCAACTTACCAGAGTGTACTTCCATGGGCGGTCGTCGCGGTTATTCTCGTAAAAGAAGTAGTAGTGCCCCTGCCCCCGGTTGGTGTAGTCTAAGTCGCGCATCACGAGGCCTGGGCCGCCGTCGTCATAGTCGCCAGCTAGCATAACAGTCGGTCAGCTAATGCCAGGTCGTCAAGCAACAGCACGTTGCTAACGGGGGCTTGGGATGGGCCCTCACTGGTGAACACGGCTTGCGAGGAGCCATTGCCGCAGTAATGCTGGGCTGTACGGCCTTGCAGTTCCCTGAAGTGCTCAGGCTCGCTCTTGGAGTAGGCCGAGACGTGCCCGCTCTTGGAGTAGGCCGAACCGTTATCGCAGGACCCGGCGCTGGTGTCGTTCCAGCTGCGGCGGCGTGGGAAGGGACTAGGAGAGGGCCTAGCGTTGCCGACGGCAGCAGTAACGACGAGAGCTGCCAAGACGTACAGGACACGGCCAAAGCCCATTATTTATCCAAACCGCGTCTGAAGCGGTAGATGGCTTCAGTCTAGCGCGAGCTGACCTAGATAGTCGAAGAGGGCTTGGATGGCTCGGGTTCGATGTTGAAGAGATTTGAATGAAGTTGCTATTTAGGTCTGTCTGTTTGAAATCGTCCTCGACGTGTGTTTCGACGAGGAAATGATGCACGATCTGGGTTCGAGATGGGAAAAGATTGACGACGAAAAGATTGACGACGAAAAGATTGACGACGAAAAGATTGACGACGAAAAGATTGACGACGAAAAGAGATTTAGGTGATGGGTGTCAAATTTTCTCGAAGAAAATGTCGACAGGCACCAAGGCCGTGGGTCTGGGTCTGTGTTCAGGGCGTAGCTGCCGGTAGCGTTCATGAAGCAATGCCATAGTGGCAACTGGGAAAGAGCGGGTGGATGGCAAAGCAAGCGTGGCCGGGAGTGCCTTTTCTTTGCTCGCCTTCGCTCAGAGTACTGGGTGCAGGTGGTGTTCTATGTGGAAGGTGCGACACTAGAGAGCAGCTCCATATCACCGACAATGGGGGTCTTGATGGCAACGTGACACGAATTGAAAGTGATTCAGAAGGTAAGGCACCTGTTTATTCTTCAACCAATTTTCCGTGTCTTCTGAACAATAAGATGGCCTTATTTGATTAAGCCTATATGGTCCATCTTCTAAACGGCTTCATCTTCAAACTGACGGAAGCGGGCCGTAAAGAACAAGTTTCGAATATCCGTATGGATCAATCCCTCCCGCAATCGAAACCCCCTCCCCCCTTCGACATATGGATTTATAGTGGCTTGATATACCCCCTTTTGATAGGCTCGCGGCCATCCTTGACGTCTAAAACCGGGAAGTTGTGGCTGGGGAGGGCCCATGACGTAAACCCCACCCCCACATCATCCACTGCAGAACTTGGATCCTTTTCGTGGGTAGCTAGGGATAAAAAGGCCGACAGAGCGACAGCCAGATAGGTATTGACCTTCGTCTCGATTTTAATTGCCTCTCTTCTGCAGCAAGAATTCCAGCGAGCGCATCGCCTTACAAAGACTATAAATTGGCATGATTTTGTGAGAAGCGAGGAAAAAGAATAAACTTGTATCATGTACGTGCTCGCCACTCACATGCCCCATCATGATATAGCCAATCCCACAGTCTCTATACAGCCTTAATAGGCTTATGCCTCTTCCTATCGTCATGACTGACCCGGTGGGCCTTGTTTAAAGCTTTCAGCTAACGGCAAGGCATTAGCGAGACAAAATGGAGGCCGCCAAGAATCAATACAACAAGCAGTACGAGAAGTGGGTGCCTTGGCTCGAGGACCTGTACCTGCGGTACTTTACCAAGGACAACAAGGCCAGCTACACCGCCCGCGGTACGTTTTATCCCTTCCCAGTCCCCTTTTCGCCAATCGGCCAACTGACAACCGTGAGGCAGAAAACCTTGACAAGACCAAAGTCACGGGCGTGAAGCAGGTCGACACGCTCCAGGACGGCGTGAACGATCTCGTGAGCGGGCAGATCGGTCAGGGCGGACTCGGACAGTCCGTCGGCGACCTCGCGTCGCGCGAGGGCATGAGCCGCGCCGAGCGCAGCGGCAAGGACAACAAGGGCGAGTACATCTCCACCGACGGCACTGCGGCCGTGGTTCCCGGCGGCTCTACGGTTGCCGGGGCTGGCAATGCTGTCGCTGGCGGGGCCGCGTCGGGCGCCCAGCAGGCTGCTGCCGGCGTGCAGAGCGGCGTCAAGAGTGTTGGCGGCTTGATGGGCTTTCAGAGGCAGCAGAAGCCGTAGTGATGCGGTGGATGGCGAATACGGTTGGTTAATTGTGGCGATGTGATATTTCGAGGATACCTACTGGCTGCTGCAGGCGTTGGACCGAATAAGGGCAATAAATACGATGTGGGCCCGGGGAGGTTGGTGTTTTACTTATCTCGGCTTTCTTTGACAATAGGTACTGCGTATTTGTTTTGCAACATATTCCATTGCTGTTATGATACCGAAGCAGTTATTGATTTGGCATCTTGCCCGTCATTTTAATTAGAACCCCACGTTTTGGACCAGGCCATGCTGTGAGATGTCGGGTTGATCGAGGCCACCTTCCCCTACTATTGGCCAAGAGCTGGAGCACTATTCATTAGTCTTTCTACCTATTCTTGTCAGAACTTGTCTCTCAGTCGTCGACCCTTCCTGCAGCGCACCCAAAATACCCACCCAAAAATGCTCTGTTTGCCACAAGGCCAACCAACCACCCGGTTCTGCCTAGCGTTGTCGGCCTCAGTGCATAATGCAGATTGCCTGACGCTGTGTGACCAAACAAAACCCGCCCGTGCTGCGCTGGCGCCAGTCCCTGTAAGGCTCTCGTCGCTGTCAGGCCCCCGTCCGCAAACGATCTGTCTATCTCTCGGAGGCTTGAGAAAACCTTTCGACTTCATCTCAGCTCAACCTTTGAGATCTTAATTTAATTCCAGCCGATACATACCAGATCTTGATTTAATTCCAGCCGATACATACCGAAGTCTAGACAAACTAGACCTGTAGTTGGGCTTTTCTGAAACAATGGTCGCCATCCAACACGTTTTCGCAGACCGCCTCCCCGTCTTGGCCGCCCTCGCCGGTGGTGCCAGCTCCGACCCAGGCGGGCAGCTTGAAGATGTCTGGGCGTGGCTCGTCCAGCACTGGGGCGAGTTCGCCCTGTGGGCTTCGCAGCGTCGTGGGTTTTCAGTTTTCTTCTTTATCCCAATATCAGCCGGCGTCTTGCGTGGGACTGGGAGAGATGCTAACGTGGCGCGAATAGACGTCGTTATCGCCTTCCTCGCCTGGGTTATCACTTTCACCGTCGTCTGCATTATCGGTCTCGGTTTGGGTTTCGGGCCTGCCGGCGTTGGCGCTGGTAATTATCCCCTCCTCCCCTCTCAATCTATCAATTTGTCAATTTTTAGCCCAAGTGTATGATGAGCTGATAGATAAACTACAACAGGTTCTGCCGCTGCTGTCTTTCAGTCATGGGCCTACGGCGCCTGGACACCCGCCGGAGGCATCTTTGCTACGCTCACGAGCATGGCCATGATCGGCACCTTGGCGCCTGCCATCTTTATCGCTGCCGCAACCGTGGCTACCCTCGTCACGGCTATCGTGTGGCTGGGCGGTGCAGGACGGGACGGCTCGGTGCTGGCGCTGGGCTTTGGAGGCTAGCAAGGCAAATATAATGGTCGCTCCCGAAGGTGTCTCAGGCTTGGAATTGAAATTCGATTCATCGTTGGGGCTTCGCTGGGGAATTCGTGACGGAACGGCGAAATTCTGGTATGGCTTTCTGGCCATTATTTTCTGGTATGTCTTTCTGGTCATTATTATCAAAAACATATCTCTCAGTCGTCGGCCCTTCCGATAGCGTAGTTGTCCGTGTATCTTGGGTAGGGACCTATCCGAGACACTGAGAGATTCAAGCCCGATCTCGGCTTCTGCGTAACGTAAGCATTGTTCAAGGTATCTCTATTAGTGCAGTAGCGGACATTCTCGCCGAATTAGCACTGTACAATTGGCTCCATAGCATCTTCTTGTTCCAATTATGATACATCTACTTCCAAGCCTCGTGATTGAAGCGGGACCAGCTGAACCAACCCCCCCGCGGGGAAGCAGCGGCATTTTACACACTCTTGGAATCATCACACCTAGAGCCTGATTCGCACCTACAACCACAGAGCAAACCCTAGACTAATTAATGACAGACTGTCGCCAACATGGGTTTCTGCGAATACTGCGCCAAGATCCCCTCTAAGCTATTCAGCTTCCGCCGCGATGAGCAGTGCACGTACGACCACCAGCCCTCGCTCAGCGCGCTGCAAGACTCGGCCACGGCAGGCTGCAACGGGTGCCGCCTCGTTCTCCATGCCATCGCGAGCAGCGGCTCCGAGCACGCCGGCAAGTACGTGCTGGCGAGGACGTGGAGCCCCGACGAGCAGGTGCGCCTGAGCAGCACCAAGTTTGGCTGGCAGGTGGTGCGCGTCGGCTGGAAGGAGGCGGGCCACTTCCGCACCTTTGCCGTCCCAGCTGAGTGGAGTACGTGCATCGCCCTGCCCTGGATCGCAACCGAATGATGTGGCTGTCTTAGACAGACTAGGTAATTAACTGACCTGTGGCGGTGCAGATAGCGAAGAAGCAGCATCTGGCCCGGGGGCGGGAGACCAAGACAGCGCCGCCCACCTGCTTCACGAGTCCCGGCTGATTCGGCGTTGGTCGGAGCTCTGCCTAGCACACCACACGGACTGCGGCACAGCAACACCGTTCCTGCCGACGCGGCTCATCGACGTGGGAACGGCCGCCAGGCCCGAGCTGCGGCTGGTTCTGGGCGCCGACATGGCAGACAAAAACGCCCGCTACCTCGCGCTGAGCCACTGCTGGGGCCGGACGATGCCGGCCGCCGGGCGGACGACGGCGCAGACGCTGGCGCGCCACCGCGCGGCCATCGCGCCGGGCACGCTGCCGCGCACCTTTCGCGACTTTGTGGCCATCGCGCGCCGCGTCGCCGCGCGCTACGTGTGGATCGACTCGCTGTGCATCGTGCAGGACTCGCGAGAGGACTGGGAGCGCGAGGCCACGCAGATGGCCGCCGTCTACTCGCACGCGCACTTCACCGTCTCGGCGTCTGGGTCCGCCGACGGCCGCGGAGGCTGTCGTGTGGTAGATGATGTGCGGTCCTTCGGGCCTGTTGATTTGCTGTGCCGTGTCGATGGGGAGGGCGCAGTCGCGGAAAAGACGTTTCGCCTGTGGAGCAGAGACACGTTCCCCGTCGGGCAGGTGCTGTCGTCGGACCCGCTGACGGCGCGCGGGTGGTGTCTGCAGGAGCGGGAGCTCTCGCCGCGCGTTGTGCACTTCTCCAAGGACACGGTGCGCTGGGAGTGCCGCGGGCTGCGGGCGAGCCTCGAGTTCCCGTGGGGCGACGCGGCGTCGTTCGACGTGGGCCGGCTGCTGGACGGCGGGTCGGCGGCGCGGCCGACGGCGCTGGGCATGCCCATCAACGACTCGACGCCGCTGGACGACGCCACGCGGCAGCGGCTGGCGTGGTTCGAGCTCGTCGACCGTTACACCAGCCGCGCGCTGACCCACCAGGTCGACATCCTGCCGGCCTTCTCGGGCATCGCCCGGACCATCGCCAACAGCACGGCCGACGAGTACTGTGCGGGGCTGTGGCGGTCCTACTTTGCCCACTGCCTGCTGTGGGCGAGCAACTGGCACGTCGGCCGCGGGCTCGCCCAGCACAGCCGCCCGCCCACCTACCTGGCGCCGACCTGGTCCTGGGCGTCGGTCAAAGGCCCCGTCCACTACCTGTCGTGGGTCAACGGCTACTACCACACTTTCAACGCGCAGCCCGACCCCGCGTACGTGCCGCGGCTGGTCGACGTGGCTTTGCAGACCTCGGCGGACCGCTACGGCGTGCTGCTGCCGACCGGCTCCGCCACGCTCGCGGGCAAGGTCCGGATGGCCTATACGCGGCAGGAGCTGTACGCGGTGCCGCAGGACGCCTCAAACACCATCTTCTCGCCCGGGGCGCAGGACCGGCTCACGCTGTACGGGCCGACAGCTACGGGGCGGTCCGGCAAGGTCGGCGAGATCCGGTATGACGTCCCGCTGTGTACCGACTGTGCGCCCGTGGGGACAATCCGCGTTGTTTGGCTGTTGTGCTGCATGAACAGCAAGCCGTCGCCGGATGGGAGCGTGCGCACGTTCGCCATCGCGCTGCAGGGCGAGAGGACGGGCGCCGGCGCAGGGCTGCAGGAGCAGTTCCCTACGCACGTCCCGGCGCGTTTCCAGAGAGTCGGCGTGGCCTGGGGCATCGACTCGGCGTTTTGGCAGGGGGCTTTTATAATACCGGTCACGATTATCTGAGGGGTGGGATCGTGGGATTTCAAAAGTGGTTGACTGCGTATGTGTGTGCGTGTATGTGTGTGTGCGTGTATGTGTGTGCGCGTGGATTTGTGTGTTATGGACCCCTGATTCCACATCATTCTAGAACTAGTTACCACCAAACAAGAAGTGCCTACACATGCGTCGGAACGCGCCGCAGACTTTTGAAAGGACTCGAAAATGACAGGTATATATATAAATATGTAGTAAACAATATAGGCTAAACCGGGACAGCCCCAAGCCGGGCGCGCCCTGACAGAATAGTAGCAGCAAATCCCAACATCACCATGACAGTCCGTACCGAGTCTCTCTTAAACACGCCTGGGCTTTCTCTCTCGCCCAGCTTCGAGTCTAGCGTGTCCAGCCAGTGACCGTTCTACGCCATCTGGCCCGGCAGCGCGGTGACCCAGCCGTCGGTGTTCTCGTTGACCATGTCCTTGACGGTGCACTGGTTGGCGACGTTCATGGTCTGCTTCTTGATGGTGCCACAGCCATCATAGAAACAACCGTCCTTGTCCATGGCGCGCTGCAGCGAGTCGCCCTTCCACCCGAACATGTAGTCGGCGTGCGTGCCGTACCCGCTGCTGCCCTCGAAGCTCCACACGTACGGGTTCGGCGTGCCCGACGGCCACAGGCTGTTGAACTTGGTCGTGTCCCACACCGTCTCGTACGTCACCTGCGGCATGCGCACCGGGTGCGACGCCGGGCAGGCCGGCGCGTTGGTGAACCCGTCGCGCGTGATGGTGTTGTACATGTGCGACTGGTGGTCCGGGCTGTCGAGGTTCTTGCCGTCCCAGCATCTGTATCACAAGGGTGTGGTTAGCATGGGCTGCTTGTTCTCGTGCTCTGCTCTGACTACTCACGCGGGGAAGTGGTGGACGGTGAAGATGCCGGCCGGGCAGGGCTTGTCGGGAAAGTCGGCCATCTCCGCGCCCCGGTTGATGAGGGTCTGGAGGCAGTTGTAGCGCAAGCCAATGTGGCCCTTGGCCGCGGCCAGAGTGCTGGTGGTCGGGCTGCCGACTGTCATTCTGAAGCCCTGGAAGAAGAGTTTGCATTAGTAATTGGACGTGACGCTTGGTGATGGCATATGGTGCGGGAGACTCACTGGCTTGAAGGCTGTGATGGGTTGCTTCTTGAGGTTGTCCGAGGAGAAGTCATCTAACCCTGAATCAGTACATCATCGAACCCTCCAAAGATTTCAGAGAGTCGCTTACAAGGAGTGTAGTCTTTGATCGTGAGCACTAGGTTAGCTTTTCTTCCGTTTTTTTTTTGTGTCTTGAACGATCAGGCACTGACAGATTGTCATTCCTCCCCTGGTGCCCGAGGCGAGGGCAGCATTGTTGGTGACTGGCACGCGGTGGTACGAGCCGTTGGTCGGGTGCTTGAAGTACAGCACGGCGGTCCAGTAGTTGGAAAAGTCCTCGGCCATCTCACAGGTGGTGCAGGTGCCTCGCGAGCCAACATCGCCCGTCATGGTCACGTTGAAGGCATTTCCGCCGACAATGTGATGAAGATGGGCCGAAGGGGCTCGGCCGGGCTCGACCACAGGATCGAGACGAGTAACAATCAAGCTGCTACATCCGAAGCGAAGACCTGCGTGGACCGGAGAGGCGATGAGCGCCAGGGCGGCCACCGAGAAAGACTTCATCTTGGCTAGCTGACAGGAGGCTGATTCGTCACGGCGGAGGAGATGTGCAGTTGCAGAACCAAGCAAACAAAGAGACGCAGAGGCTACAGCCAAGCAAGTGCAGGCTGGGCTCTTTTAATTACCAGCGCGTTCCTAGCCTCCATGCCTGCCGGCTCCCATCGCCACAGACGGAGCCTCGGAATTCCACGTATAATCGTGACTATATGCCGATGCCGACGTGATTACCGACCGTGTATTGTCCGCATATAAAATAGAGTGGAGCGAAGCTTAACCTTGAGAGGGAGCCAAGGTGACCGCCAATCTGTGCAATGGTTGGACAAGCTCTCTCTGCATTACCCGGCAGCATAGCGATTTTAATCAGGCCCGGGATTAGCCAAGATGGCAGATGTCCCGAGGAGCTGCTGGGGCGCCGGCAAGTATTTTACCCACACGCCCCTTAACCGCTGCCTTTCCGCATTGGCCCTTTCACGGGCCACAAGCTCGATCAGCTTATTACTCGGGACCTAAGAGGTACCTAGCTGCACCCAAGTATAGCACAGCATGAAACGGCAGTTTATCGCCAGCTTCGGCCGGCACTCGCCACCGCCCACATCGTTGACTCTTCGGCTTCCAGAAGCTCCAATCGTGTGAGCCGATTGGCGCCCGCCCTTTGCCACCCCGGACTTGCGCAATTTCTTGCCCCTGTTCCCTGTCACGTTCCCCAGACCAGCGACTATCCGCACGAGTAGAGGGCTGCTGCCTCCCGCCTTTTTGTTATTGTTTGATATTGGGCAAACACATTTGATTGACTGGTGAGAGGCTACTTTAAGTCCCGACGTATCAGGCCGACATTTATTTCCTGATCACGAGTTGGGGCACAAACGGCCGGAGCCTGCACGTTGACATAATTCGGAGTAAGTTTTGGAAAGAAAATACCCGATATTAGAGAGCACTCGTAGATATGGCACTGACGTATTTGCTGAAAAGGGTCGCGTGGTTGTCGAGTCGAGTCGAGTCGAGTCGAGTCGAGCTGTCCATACGCCACAACGGGACCAGCCGCCTTCTAGTGCAAAAATCGGCAGTGACAGCCCCTGCCAAGAAGTCACCAAGAGAAACCGTTGAGCCGTGCAGAAGCCCGGGGAGTTTCCCTGGTGATGGGCTGCAAAACGCGTCACACTTGCTGCGCCAAAATTTGGCGAGACGTTGGTGCCAAGATGGGGACCGTCTTGGCTGTTCACTGCTCACTGCTCACTGCTGACTGCTCAGCTGCTGCCCTGACTTGACCAAGCTGGCAAACAAGGCTGACTTAGCTCGTCAGTAAAAGGGGTTCTGGAAGAAGGCGGATAATAAGCTCGATGGACGTTCTCGCACTAGCGGAGTTTTACCCACAGGCGTTGTGGAGATGACAAAACAGATTATTTTTAGTTCGGCATCCTGCACACATGTGCCAAGGTGCCATCTTGGTAAGGTTGCCCCCTTAGGTAAGGTAACTATCGGCCACTTTTGAGCCACATTGTCAAGCCACATGCCTGCATATCCCTCCAAACACTGCATATTGTCACGTAGTTATGCACCCCTGACCGAACTTTGCCACCAACTAGGCTACCAACGCTGATCGGGCCCTATATAGGCCTTGATGCCTACATTGACTCTGATCGGCCCCTATGTAGGCCTTGATGCCTATATTGTTGACTAATCCCGGTCTTTTGGTCGAAGCATAAAAGGCCTTCTTTCCTGTATTACTAGATTGGATTTAAGCAGACAATTCAATGCGCTGTCAACTTCGATCGCGTGCAACAGTAACTAACAGTCACTGAGCTAAAGGAAATGAAGGATTATGTGTTTATTCAGCCAACTGCCAAGATCTCTTGGCTTGGCTTACTTCGTTGATGGTACGGATCCGTAGGGTTGGGCGGATTCGTCGATAAAGGGATACCAGAGAAACACTGAACAAGTTGTAGTGATAGAAGCCTTCATTCTTATAAAGCATCTCAGAGTTACCTTGTTCACCCGCCTGATTTATTGACATGCATTATCAAGTAAGAACAAAACGATGGAAACGAGAAACACGTCTATGTAGGTAGAATACTGCCAAGATAAAAGTTTGGTAATCACTTGCGAGTGTACCTGTTATTGTTCCATCAAGCCGGGCCGCCAACTCAACCACTGAGTGCTAACAAACAAACTTCTCAGGCTTTCCGCGGAAAGGCTCATACCCCACCCGGCCCGATCACGTTGGAGTGAGATTAGGGCAGAGTAGCGTCGACCGAGGGTAGCATTGGGTCCACAACATCTGACAGATGCCTCTTGGCTGCCGTGTAATTGGCCAGCAGCTGCCAAGACAAAAGAAGGGTACGGACTCCGAACGCTGCTAAACCCTTGGCAACGCGATGACGAAAAAGACGAGAAGACAAACAGCACGGCCAACCGAGAAGCGCGGCAACCGAGCTGAGTGAGACGTCGTCCCCACAGGAAATGTCAGGCTGCAGGCACAGTCAGGCAGCCACAACACTAGAACACATATTCGCAAGCAGCTCGCCCGCAGAAGCACCACGAGGCCAGCCCGCCATTGGCCTCGCGTGATCCCACCCTGGTCCGTTTGTTTACTGCAGGGGAGATCAAGAACCCGCTAGGCTTGGAAGAGCATAGCCCATCTGCGGCTTACGGCGCCAACAACGCCCTCCCTTGCCACGCTCCGCCGAGGCAGTCCAATCATGGCCAGGCTGCTAACAGGTGAAAGGGAGATCGAGCAGGCCCGAGGTAATTAGATAAACCGGCTGGGCCCGCCGACAAATCTTACCGGCGCTCAGCAGCGTCTTTTCGTTCTTGTTCAGACTGTAATTCAGTCCTGTTTAACTTCTGTTTAAGTGCTGTTCAGTCCCAGGTTATTACCGCTGGCCCAGGGAGTGAGTGCGCTGCATGTTGATGGCATAGTTATCTCGGCCGTCCACACCCCCCACTCCAGCTCCGAGCTTAATTTCCCCCGGTTCCCCCGGTTCCCCCGGTTCCCCCGGTCCCCACGCGGCGCATCTATCGGCGACATGTATGTGGACCCGAGCGCCATCGGCCTCATGGCCCGCGACGGCGCCGCCGCCGCCGCCGCCGCCATCGACTGCCGCAGCAACTTCGCGACCGACTACTACGGGCTCGGCGTGCGGCTGGGCGTCTACTTTGCCTGGGGCGCCTCCTGGATCGCCAACACGATCGTGCCGAGCGAGTTCCGGCCGGCGGCCGACACCAGCACCATCTTCCTGTTGGCGCTGCTCATCGCCATGGCTAATGACAGCATGACGCGCGCGCTCAGCAACCTCGACGGCCTGATCTTGATGCACCTGTGCGGCGGCACCGTGTTCGGCGTGCTCAGCCTCTGGGGCTACCGGACCCGGCTGTACCTCAACCAGGGCCCGCGCGCCGTGCGCGCCTTTGGCGGCTTCGGCACGCACATCCGCCTCGTGCTGAGCCTCGGCGTAAGCATCTTTGGTCTGTGGTTCTGGCTGTACGGCGTCAACGGCACCCTGAGCTCGCTGAGCCCCGACGACGGCTCCGAGCCGCCCAACTCCCCCGAGTGCGAGGTCCTCTACACCTTCTTCTTCGCCAAGGTCCGCGCCGCTGGGGGTATTCGCATCTACTACATCATCGTCTGCGTGTCATGCACCGTGTGGTTCGGCATCATGTTCCTCGTCTCGAGTCTGGCCGGCCTGGCCAGCTTCAGCAACATCCGCGAGCTCGTCCAGTTCAACCGCTGGGCCAACTTGAACAGGGCGAAATACGCCACGGGCTTCAACCACAAGGAGTATGTTTTTTTTTCTCACTCGGTTACTCTTCTTGCAAATGCTGACGTTGCGTCTCTGTCCAGGCTCAAGCTCATGTTCAACTCGCTGCGGGTGCTCAATCTGTTTTGGCTGCTCTTCTCGGCCATCACAGTCGAGATCACGCTCAACTTCAACCACGTGCACAACGTGCTTGGCGGCGGTGACAACGGCGCCGGCGGGCTCAACCTGCCCTCCCAGCTGCTGCCGTTCCTGACGGGCTTGTTCAGCTTCATCCGCATTTGCTACGCGCTTTTCAAAGAGAATTGGGGCGGCGAGAAGGAGACGACGGCAGCGACGACGACGACACCGCCAAGCGACAGCCTAGACAACAAAGAGGCGCGGGGGATCCTGGCGCACCCGGGCGGCGGCGCGACGGGGGCATCGGACGAGGTGGTCGAGGCCGTGGTGCTCGTGTCGCCGCGGTCCGTGTCGTTCCCGCAGAGTCAGATGGCCTCGCCGCTGTCGCCGGGCTTCGGCGGCAACGTCCCCGGCCTGCCGCGCGCCGATAGCTACCACATCATTGCGCGCTCGCTGCTGGTGCGCTACCTCGTCGGCTTCCTGCCCTGGCTCGGCATCGTCGTCCACCCCCACACCACCAAGTCGTCCGTCATCTCCCATGTTGTGAGTCGCGGTACGGGGCTGAGCGGCGTCCACAACGCCACCATCGACGAGACGATTATCATGCCGGTCAAGCGCGATGCCGAGAGCTGAGGGGGCGTGGCATGGTTGGTCTCGCCACAGCACTATTCGATTCGCCCCTGGCTGAAAATGGCAGCTGCGGGCAGTCTGCAGAAAGAAAATGAAAAATAGAAAACCTTGCTATTGGAGGGGAACGATTACTTGCTTCCTTTGCCCATCTAGCCTCAGACTGGGATGCCGTCAAAGCTGCTCGAGAGATGGATCAGTCGGGAATTTGCCCCCTCCCCCTGTCAGGCAGATAGTCACTCTCGCCACACCCGTACATAATAGTAATCAATATTCATAATCAGCCAACCCTCGGCGTTGCAAGCAAGCTGCTCTTGACCGGAGGCCCTAGACCTGGATGTGAGTGGTGGGGGGCAGTTGACATGGTGAAAGCGTTATTTATGTCGTGATGGCGCTGAAGACTCTAGACCCTTGTCTTGACGCTGGGCTTGAAGGGTTCGTCCCTTCAGGGGTTCGTCCCTTCAGGGGATGCATGAAAGCACCCCCGCCCGTGATCACAACTTGCAGTCCATAACAGCTGCTTATTTCTTTTTCTTTTTCTTCTTCTTCTTCTTCTTCTTCTTCTTCTTCTTCTTCTTCTTCTTCTTCTTCTTCTTCTTCTTCTTCTTCTTCTTCTTCCTCTTACGGCCTCATTACTTAGATCCTTTTGTGGTTGTTGCAATTGCTACTGGAACAATGCTGGGTGTGGTTAATTCGGCGGGAAGAGGCGGCGTGGAAGGAAGCGAGTGAGGCTGCTGTGGCTGGTACCTGTGGGAGTCGAACATGGATTGACACCATTCCACCTTGATTGGTAAGACATGGGGGGTACCTAGGTACCTAATCATCTGCGGAGCTAGCCCGGCATGGATGGCTTGTGCCGCAGCGGCCTAGACCCGGGGCAGTAATTAGTTGCGCCAACTAGATAGTAATTAGCGCATTATTTTGAAGGCGACTCTTCTTTGCGTGACGAGCTTCAAGTTTTTTTCAATTTGAACAACTGGAGTCGCCAGCTAAGTTGTGGTTGTGTCAGGAAGGAGCAATTTCCCAATTAGTAGATTAGCGCGTAAGCTGTATGAAGGAAAGCGCCGCAGGCCAAGAGCGCCGCAGGTACCAGGGGTCCTAGGTGGCTTGCCCCCTAGAAATCCAACAATTAGACCATGAACATCAAAACATCGAATTATCATGAGAATTTGTTCTGGTATTGAGGGGCTAGAATAGCTGTAAATCCGTTGTCCCGAAGTTCAGCTGGGCAGAGGTCCTTACTTCCGAAGTTTATGATGTCGCTTGGGCTGCCGACGTGGAAGACCCTCGCCGCGAGGCTCCCTTTGTCCTGCTTGTCAAAATTGACAAGTATGACTGCCCGGCTTACTTCCCTAACGATGAAGCTATTCCGAGAAATTCGGTGCCGATCTTCCAGTCCTTGCGTAGCGGGACTTCCAGAGCGGTAATGCGGCCTGCTCTCGCCGTCAGTTCCATGTTACAAGTGCCTTGCGTGCGGCGGATTATCAGCGCCGTGTTGACGCCGGCGAGGTGCTGGTTCCGGGTGTAGCCTAGATAGGAGAATCAACTTTTCTGCCTCAACACCATGCTGTTTACGTTGTGATGACTCTCCTGTGTTTTTTACTTTTAACACAGTTGACACAGTTGACACAGTTGACACAGTTGACACAGTTGACACAGTTGACACAGTTGACACAGTTGATACAGTTGACACAGTCGACACAGTTGAGTCAACCTTTGGCCACGAGCTATGGCACAAAGCGGGGTTGTCCTTGATAATTTCTTAGTAAAATGGCCCAGCCACCCATTCCCTCGAGCGAAGCGAGGACAGGCCGCGGTAGGCGCCGCCGGAGGGATCCGTTCAGCTGGCCCCTTCCTGACTGGTCAGGTAGCTTATTTTAATTTACACGGAAAGAATGAACGCCCCATCGACCCACAATGGCCCAGGCTTTCCCCCATCAATTTCCCAAGGAGCGGACGCCAACTCAGGGGCATGGCAGCATACTGGGCGAAGTTTGCCCGGCACACGCAAATTGCAGTTTTGTCTGACATGCCATTGAGACAAATGTCTGAATATAAACTGGACTTTCTCAGCAAAGTGAAAAAGAGCCAACTGCGAATTAACCAATCAATTATTACAACCAGAAACCATTCCATTGGCATGCATTCTCTCTCTGGTTGCAAAGTCTTCAGCCTGCAACAATCCCTCATCGCCGTCATGTGTGCACAGACCGTCATAAGTCGGCCTTGCTGCTCCGTCCGGTCCGGAACGATGCACAATGTGCCGTTGCCATCGAGGCTGGAGTGGATTTCTGCGAGAGAGAGCAAGATAAGCGCCTCGGTTCCTGCAGCAGTTTGGACTGCGACCAGTGTTCAACCTAGGTGGACCCATGAGGAAACAAACATTCATCCCTCCCTCGACACCTGTTTGGTTTGCCTCAAAACACTGTCTGTTCCATCATACGGTCATACCACCCTGTTTTGCACAAACATATCCCCCTTAGCAGGTTGTGGCGAGGGCATCCGACTAGTTCTACTTGCTCGATGGGAACCACAGAGCTATAAATATCCTCGTTCCTCCCACCATCAGCGTCCACTACACACAGCTTCACATCAAGAACCTACAGCCACAAGTCAGGTAATTCTGCCCCAACCCCCCGACAAGACCAATTCATACCCAGCCACATCTACACTCCAGCATCATGTGCACCATGGCCAAAATAGTTTGGCCCTGCGGCTGTAGCAGGAAGACCTACCCAATCCCCCCTGTGACCAGGCAGTCAAGGCTGATAAAGAATATTGCGATGAGTCAATTGAGGATAAGGAGGGGGAGTGCGAATTCGAAGAGTGCCCCGTCTGCTACCCATTTGAACTTGATTCAGAACCTGAACCCGAGCCTGAGCCTGAGCCTGAGCCTGAGCGATCCTCGTAAACACCGTTCGGCCATATCTGCACTCCTTTAGATGTGCTATCGGAGGGTGATATTTTGGAGCGGCTGCGGCGGTGTTACCGAAACATATACAAGCCCGTGTTCTGAGGCAAGCAGCGCCAATATTTCCTGGTGCTTCATCTACTGCTGGGAACAGGGAGGAAATTGCAACCAGTGCCCATATTGCACCTGCCAGTACGAACAGTGAAGGCACTACCTACAGATACCCTCACCCTAGGTGTCCCCAGGCAGTCAGTGCCAATAGTCACTGGTGCGAAGACGCTTACGGGCGGCGGGCAGGGAATTGCAACCAGTGCCCTTCTTGCGCCCGTCAGTACGAGCAGTGAAATAAAAACCGCCACCGGAAGCAACAAACCAGCCGCGACTTTCTCGAAATGTGCACCCTCACAGAAGAAACCTTCGCCTGCGGTCACGTCACCGAATCGTATCCAGAAGCCTGTGACAAGGCAATTAGAAACGACAAGCCCTACCGCAAGACCAGACAAAAAACGAGAATTGCAAGGGAAAATTCAAAGACTGCCCGGGGTGCTCGCCCCGTTGTTCGTGAGGGATATTTAACTAGCCACATCACATCAACTTTGCCAACAACATCAACTTCGTCAACACCAACAGCAACAGGAACATCAACCAGCATCATCAGCAACACACCTCCCATTGGGTCTTTTCTTTTCTTGGGTCTTTTCTTTTCTGGGGTCTTTTCTTTTCTGGGGTCTTTTCTTTTTGGGAACGGGAGATTTGGAGGCTTATTTTTTTTTGGAGCGAGCCAGCACACCTCGAGCTGGCAGGCAGGAGGGCCAAGAGATGTTCTATGATGGCACGGGAGGATATTACTCGTGTTCGCTTTTCTTGCACGGGCTTCTCAGCTTCCCGTTGACTGGTCTTGCTGTGATTGCCAGCAGTGGCAGCCTGGGTGGGCTCTTGGCTTCCTTGGCAACAGGCTGGCTTGGGGCGTATGTAATTAAACGCAGGTATCATACCTACCTAGCAACGTGATCATTTGGGCAACCGAGTAAACACACCCACCGATTGATTTTGTCTCCGAGACATATTGTAAGGCGTGTTGATGCCTATTGTAACTGTCTCTGATCAACCGGCTAGTGTCACTCTGTTTTGAGCAGAATTGCAGAGGAATTGAGAGAACAGGCCAACAGATTATGAGAGTTCATCACCTTTCAGCAAGGCGTGAGGCTTGGGCGACGATTATTAATAAGCCCTCCTGGCGCTTCACCCAGATTAAAGTAATCTGTTTCATTGTTTCTCTGCTGTGCCCCCGGACAGCCCCCAAATGAAACGGATCGTGGCTGCTGACTTGCATCCCATCAACAGACTCACAGAGGGCAGGCCGGGCCACCCCAAGGGCAAGATGCATCCATCTCAGCTGTCCATCATCCCACCACCCCACATCCGCAAGCACAGAGTCTGTTCAGCTCACATAAGATTCCAAAGACTCCGCTAATTCGGCTGCGGGCTTGGCCGCCCCCCCAAGAAGTTCGCACCATTGTGCCACACGGTCAGCACCTTGAGTGGTGGTCAGCCCTGCGAGGCAGCAGCCGCGGACCCGGTATTCTCGGTCGCCGAGTTTGCGATTGCTGACGCTGAAACCTGCGGCGCGCATTCGGTCGTGTCTTGTCTTGGCCTTGTTTCACATTGACACTTTGTGGTAACTCTGAAAAAACAGAATTGATGGAGCATCGCCGGATAAGAATAATCATCGCAATGTTAATTACCAGCAGTGCCTGCCATAGCCGAGGGAAGGGCAGACTGCAATGCATATTAAAGAGGGCCGTCGATCCCGTCTCTGGTGGCCTTTCCTAGTGTTACTAGTCAATTACTGGTCAATCAATCCGAACTATCAATCACACTTGGCTAGCTCAGAGTCTGACCACCTCTCGTCGTGCCATCACAAACCAACCCCCTTTTTATTTTGCATTACTCTAGCAACCATGGGCCTAACAAAGCTGCTGTTCAGTTGCCTCCGCCCCCGTTTCATCCTCGTGCTCGCCTCGTCGCTGAGCCTGGCCGCCGCGCTCAACCCGGCGTGCGCGCCCGGCGGCAACTTCGACCTGAGCAAGTTCACGCTGCAGCTGCCCAGCGGCTCGCCGGGGAAGCCAGACACGATCACAGGCGCCAAGCTGTCGGGATGCTCCGGCTTCCAGAACAAGGACTTCTTCTTCACCGGCCCCGACGGATCGCTGCAGATGAAGGTCCCCGGCGACACGAGCACCGGCTGCGTCACCACGCCCAACAGCAAGCACTGCCGGACGGAGCTGCGCGAGCAGGACCCCGTCAGCTGGTACGCAACCTCCTCGAGTTATTTCCTTTTCTTTCTTCTTTGAATCCATTTCTCTTCTTTGAATCCATTTCTCTTCTTTGAATCCATTTCTCTTCTTTTCGTCGAACTCTCCGACTTACTCCAGACACCGATCCACAGGGACCCGAACGGGGCGACCAACGTGCTCAGCGCGAACCTGACGGTGGTGAGCGCGGGCGGCTCGACGTGCATCGGGCAGATCCACATCGACGACACCGTCTCGCACAAGCCGGTCGCCGAGCTGTTCATCGACGACGGCGGCAAGCTGACGGTGGGCATGGAGCAGACGCGCGCCGGCGGCAACGAGAAGTCGTTTGACATTGGCAGCGTTACTCTCGGCCAGCCCTTTTCGTACGAGATCCACTACGAGAAGAACGTTTTCTCTGTTGTGCTCAACGGCGCCAAGCCGGTCGTCGTCACCACCTTCAGCCTCAACGCTCCCAAGAGCTACTTCAAGGTCGGCAACTACCTGCAGGCGAGTAAGCCGTCGGTCGTCAATTTTTTCAGTATCGATATTCAGCATGCGTGATGGGTCGGGTGGGACTTGTGTTGTGTTTTTTGAACCGGGGTTGCGGGGTTGCGAAATGCGCCGGCGTGTATCTGGACAAGGTGATGGTCAATTTGATAGGTAATTATAGTTGTATCCTTTGTAGTCGCTCATGTGCTGTTATAATGATAAAAGAAAGGGTCTCTTCGATTTGTCAATGCCCCTGTGACAAATGCCCCTGTGTTCTACAACAATCACTGGTCACCCTCCTCTTTCTCTTTAGTCTCTTTAGTTCAAAGCTGCAGTCAAACAAGCCACATGGCATGTGGAACACAGAATTCGACAGTCGAATTTAGAGATTGTGCAGGCTAACACTAGGCTACGGCCAAGACGTTGAAGTTTGTACTGCAGGCCAGGTTGCACCAGACAAACGAAACCATCTCATTCTCACTTCCACCCATTGTTCGACCATTCGACCCCCAGATACTCGTTCACTCGTGCAGCTAAGTAGGGTCACTCAAAAGCTGGTGGCGAGCTGCGACGCTTGATTCTCAACGAGCAAGCAGCTGGAGCCAGGTTCACTTCAAGGCGGCATGTCCAGGTAGACATCCAATCCCTTGCAAGTGCTTCCCAAGAAGGCACTTAGGGAAGAGCGTAGTAGACGCTGCGGCAGGCGTTGCCGTTACCATCAAAGAACATGGTGTGTAGGTTGTCCTTGCGGATGGTGAAGCTGGTGAAGCCGTTGGAGCCGCTGCCGACGACGGAGAAGTTGGGCTTCGACTGAGCCGAGCTCTCGATGTTCCAAGAAAAGGTCACGCCCGTGTCGAATCTGCAGCTGCCGCTCGACTCCCAAAACTGGACGCCACCGCTCGGCGGTGTGACGCACTCGTTGCCGGGCCCCGGGAACGAGTTGCACGCTGCGCTGCCGTCGTTGGGGCAAAACTGATTTTTTTTTTGGGGTTTGGTAAGCTTTGTTGTCTAAAGACGAACGAAATGGGACACGGCTTACCACCACCATGGAATAGACGTCTGGATCGCCGCAGTTGACCAGGTGGACGCCCTGCACGCGCTTGCCGAGCTCGCCGCGGACTTCGACGGCCTTCGCGCCGGGGCTCGGCAGTGGGTTGGGATTGGGGCTGGCGACGGGGCTGGCGAGAGCGGCGGCCAGGAAAGAGGCGAGGGCGAAAAGCTTGGCGGAAACCATTTTGGTTGTTGAGCGGGTGGGCTTGACGGGACTTGAGTGAGTGTTGCTTGGGAGTCTGTGAAGTGGGCTAGCTTGTCCGAGTGGAAGTGGAAAGTGGGAAACTAGCCGGAAACCAGGAGGGTATTTATATCCATCGACGCACGGCTCTGGTTGCCTTCGGGTTGTAGCTTTAGGCAACTAGCTCTCTTCCCCCCGTTGGGATAGATTCTTCCTTCAACATGTCCCCGCTGACTGCCTTGACTTCTGTTGATGCATCCGGGACTGTCGGTGGTAGCGATGCAACGGTCGCGGTATTGCCCCGAGTTCCGTGCTTTCAAAAGACAAGGGACAAATAAGTCCGTTACAGCTCTGGCACCCTAATGGGAGAGGCTCGCTTCGTGCTCGCGTAGGTCGTATAACATGAACATTTGTGTAATGTAATCAAGGTGAGGTTGGTTCAGTGTTGTTTCTGCAAAAATGTGCACGGGCAAGTAGGCAAGGTAGGGAAGGTACGTTTAGTCTCCGACTGTAGCTGATACACGGGCACATACACGGGCACATACACGGGCACACATCTTTTCGATTGCCTGATGAAGAGCCGAGATTTCCGGCTGACCGCTTGTGCTCCTGCTCTGAGACTAAAGTACGCGACTTCACAAGAGTGCTTACGAAGCTAGGCGAGGTATTTAACCCGGCCATAGAGTTTCTGTTCAGCCCTTGTTTTGGCGGGCTCAAGGGTCCAAAGGATAGGGATCTCAACACACATAACGGCTTATCTAGCACAACTCTCATGATTAAAGGTAGTTAGGCATCGATCAACCAATCAACCTGGCCGGAAATAATCGAGAGCGGTTACGCCGAGAGCCTTACGGTTTCGCTCACACGTGAGAGTCCTGCAACTGCTGAGAGAGGCGGACCTGATTTGTCGTTGGATGCCATTACAAACAATAGAGATGCGCCGAAGGCCAGCCCCACAGCCTTACCAATCTGTGCAACGTCGCAGCTGCGACGCAACCTCGTCCTGTCTTGGCCTGGGGTTGTTTGGGTTTGGTACCTAGGTGATTAATCACATCGCCTTTAGGGGTATTGAATCTCACTCTTGCTGCAACCCTCGTGTATGCAGTCAGAAAAGCTTTCAGCAATCTATTGGGCTTTAAATGCTACCTTGGACTTCTATAACTACGACCATGACTGATTCATGCCACCGTCTCACTTCGCCAGCGCCCGCTATTATTGCCGCTCAGAACTCAAGTCAACAGGTACAACCCCGCACTCGCCGCGCCACTAGGGGACCCGAGTCTCGAGAGATCTCAGGGTAGGTTTGTGACGTCTGACACCTGTGGTGGTCTGAGTAATATTATTTGCCCGGGCCCCCAATCAGCGAGCTCATCGGACCCGGGCCGCATATGCCCGATTCCGACTTTCAGCACCCTCGCGGCACAGACCTCGGGATGGCGTTCACTATGCCCTGGACAGAGGCCCTGGACAGAGGCTTTCTGCAGTTTCCAGAGCTTGCGTTGAATTTGTTCGCAAGCTCAAAGCACAACCAGGAAGGACTCTGACCATCCAGCCCAGGCCGGGTATTCGGCAACTCAAGCGACCAGAAGACACGAACTGTTGGTTTGAACATGCAGAGCCGTGGTTGTTGCTGTTGTTGCTGACAACCTAACCAACCATAGAACTAGGTGTTTGAAGGAAGGGGGTGAGTAGGAAATTGGAGCGGCCCTCGGCACTTGTCTGGTAGGTAATCAGATGATTCGTATTCTCCTATCTGTTTACCTACTTACCAGGCAATACCGGCTGGAAGCGCAAATGATTTAGAGAAGCAGGAGTGGAACTGGCGTCTGGTCATGTCTCACATCCCGTTCAAGCCCAACATGGGAATCAAGCAGCCTGGATACTCTGGTCTCCATCTCTGACTACCTACCGAAGCAAGTAACCCCAGTCAACGCCGAGTATGCAATCCGGGTCGAATGGCGAAAACAGCACAATGGCTTGCCCATCTCGGTACTGCTTGCCGACGCTCGCTTACGCCAAGAAGCGAGATGCAAGAAATCGAAATCGCCAAGTGTCTGAGGCGTCCGCTCCTGGACGGGGAGCGGCAGCTTATTTTCTGGGCACTTGGCATGGAAACGAGGGCCTGAAGCTTATTGTCGTACTATTGTCACCTGATTTGTGGTTCTGCTGCGGCCAGCCACTGACTAATGTAATCCCAATAGATGCGAGTGGTCTTTTAACGCTGTCCTTCTTTGTTTCTCTTGCCCCTACATCTGCGTTCTTTTGTTTCTATTGTTTCTCTATTCCCCCGCCTCTTCTCCAGTTCGCACACAGTCAAGGTTCACATACATGTTGGAGAGCTACTATGCTTCCCGTTCTCAATTTCGCACACAATTAGAGTCTAATTACAGTCACTTAGCAAACAGATGGGACTCAGGTTCTTAAAAATTCTCAATTCCCAATTTTTAACTCTATCCGGAAACATTCTAGGAAATAGTTTAAGAAATATCCACACCACCAGTCCACCCAATCGGCCACTCACTTGAGGGCGAGAGTTCTTAAACAGACTGGTTTGACTCGGTCTGCTGGTGGCGAGCAACTAGACTAGCGTCACCATCATCCTTGTTAGCAGCGTCGTTGCTGACGAGGTAAGCATCAAGACCGTCGGCGTTGCGGCCCTCGTACTTGGCAAGAATCAAGCGCTCGGCAGGGTTCCACTTGGCAGTCAGCAACTGCAGCTTGGTGGACTGCTTCTGACCAACACGGTGGATGCGGAAGTAGGCCTGCTGGATCTCGCGCTTGGTCCAAGCCGGGCTGGTGACAGTCAGGTACTTGGCCCTCTGCAGGTTGAGTCCCGTGCCGGCGAGGTCAGTAGTAGCAACCAGGATGTTGGGCGGGGCGTTGCCGAGCTGTAGGAAGTCGTCGAGCGTCTTTTGGCGCTCCGCCTGCGTCATGCCGCTGTGGATCCATGCCGGGCGGATGTTCTTGTCCTGGGCCTTCTTGAGCAGCAGGTAGCCGTACAGCAGAGTGGCCTCGGCGTCGAGCGGCGAGATGAGGCAGAGCTTCTTGTTGACTGTCACCTCGCCGTCGATCTTGGTCTTGTCGCTGAGCATCTCCTGGACCGTCTTGTTGATCGTGGCCAGCTTGGCGCTGCCGGCAGCCCACTCGGGGATGTGCTTGTAGTACTTGGTCTTGCTCACGTTACCCCCTGCGGCTCGGATCTCCTGGCTCACCTCCTCGGCTGTAAAGTTGAAGTTGTCAGCGGACGAGTCGGCAATGCCGGGGAAGATCGAAGCAAGGCGGAGCTTGAGCATGAGGGCCTTACCGCCCTGGCTGCGAAGCAGCTGGCCGACGTTGAGACCATCATTTCCAGCCTGCTCCTTAGCAAGATCCCAAGTGTGGTTTGCCAAAGCCTGGAGGGCCTCAGTGAGCGCAGCCGGAACGTGGTGGTCCATGATATTGACGCGGAGCGGGCCGACGTTTGTGAGCTTCCGACCCCTGAACTCATCCGTGCCGAGGCGCCGCACCATCATCTTCTGAAGAATGTGGTTGAGGGAGCGGCGGAACTCGAGAACGTCGTCTGGTGAAACCAGCTCGCCGTTGCTCTGCGACGTGGAGAGGGAATTGTAACGAGCAGCGAGGCTGTCGAACGACTCTAGAGTAGCGCAGTTCAAGACATGAGCCGGGTCGTTCCAGGTCTCCTTCTCAAGGAGGGAGATGGCAGGGCGCAGGTCCGAGATCGTGTTGTCACCGAATGGGGTGCCAGACACAAAGTAGACCAGCGGCGACCGGTTGCTGGTGGCACCGGCCTTGACATCCATGAGCCAAGAAACAACGGGGGTGTGCTCAGAGTCGGAGTCGCCGCTGGATTGAATGTACTCGTGGAACTCGTCAAGCATCACAATCCCCGGGAAGAAGCCTGGCTTCGTTGCGTTAGCTCCAAAGATGGTCTTTGCCAACCGAGTAGCAGAGTCGAAGGGGCAGACGATAATGAAGTCGCTCAGCACAGGCTTGTTGGCACGAATGCTCTGCATCTCGCCAGGCGTCAGAATGTCGGCCGGCTCGGCGCTCCCGTGGAAGAACCGAATTTTGAAGGTCTTTGTGTCGAGCTTGGACTTAGCCTCGCGGACAACCTGAGCGCAGCTCTTCAGAGGGGCCATGATGATGTTAGGTCCCTCAGGGAGACGGTCAGCAAGCTGCTTGGTGAGGTCGTTGTAGCAGTAGCACTTGAAGCCAAACTTGTCGTCCGAGGAGCAAGTCCGAGCATCGCTATCAGCCGAGTTGTGCAGCTTCTTCTGGCCAGGGTTTCTGAGCTCAGCCTTCACCTCAGTCTTGTTTCGTCTGAGGTTGTGAGCAAGGGTCAGCAGACCGAGAATCTGCTGGCTCTTGCCCAGGCCCTGCTCGTCGCACAGGAAGCCGCCTGGAACATCGTTGAGAACGAACTTCAACAGGTTGAGAATACCAATGAGCTGGTAGTCAAAGTACCCAACGCTGACTCCAGGCCACTTCTTCATTGGCACACGCTTGCGCTCAGACGCCTTGGTCGCCTCTTGCCGGGCGTACTGCTCGGGGTTAATCTTGAAGAATTCAAGGCACTCCCCCCAGCTCTTGTCGTCGTCACCCGTGTTGTAGCTGCCGATGTAAGTATCAACAACTCTGAGGTCCGCCGCTCCGTAGTCGTCATCATCGCTGTTCTCGACCTCGTAGTCGTCCTCGGGAATATCAACCAGTTCCAAGACTGGCTCCGGCTCCGGCGCAGCTGATGCAGGTGCCCTACGTGTAGGAGCGCCAGGCTTGCTGATTGGGGTCTGAGGCTTTGCGCGGAGTGACAGTCGTGTAGATCTCTCAGGTTGAGACTGCTCAGGTTGAGTCTCTGGGGCTTTTCCGCGACGGGACTTTGTCAGAGGCGGGCTTGGTGGAGGGACCACAATACGAGGCCGGTCTACAGTTGTGGTTGAGGCGACCTGAGTGGACGCGGATGTAAGTGAAGAGCCTGGGGGTGAGTTGGACGGGGAGTTGGGGCGGGACACATACCCTTCAGTGGGAGCATATCCTTCATCCTCAGACGTCGAGTAGACAGTGAACTCAGACGACGAACTGCTGGATGCCCGTGAGCGGTTTGGACGAGGCTCGTCAGAGCTGTGGCCGTCCTCCTCGTCTACAGCAGTAGTGTCTCTAATAGTGCTATAACCAGTCAAAAGGGTCTCATCACCAGTAGGCGAGAGCAGCACTCTCTTCCAGTACTCCTCCTCAGAGTCGTCAGAAGGGCTGAGTAGCAGAATGTCGCGTGTCTCCTCGAAAATCGTGCCGTCCTCAAGAACCTCGACCTCGGCAGGCTCGTAGTCACTGTCGGAAAGGTAGACAGTCTTGCGGGTCTTTGTTGGCTTTGTTGGTGGCGTCTCCACCTTCCGAGTTCGAAGATAGAAGTACAGGTAGCGGTTGCTAGGGTAGAAAGGGTCGGTGGCGACCTTGTTGATAAGACTGTGCCACTCCTCGATGGTGTTCACTGTCTCCCATTCCGGCTCATTCATGGCTATAAGCGGCCCGAGGAAGATGTCGTGAATGGCAGGGTCGTAGCGGAGCTCGTCCCGGAGCCACTGTGTGAATGCATCCCACGAATAGTCTGTGGGCGAGTTTCCCGTAACCCCCTCTGTCTTGTCCTTGAAGGCGGTCAAGTTCAGCCGCCTTCGGCCGATGTCATAGTTCACAGCGGCCACAGCCATGGTTGCCGAATGTGTTATGTGTGTGTGATATGTGTATGTGAAAGTTAGATCCCAAGCGAGTGCCTAGGTAAGTATCTATGGGATGGGATGAGATTGGATGAGATGGGATGGGATGAGATGAGATGGGATGAGTGAGATGAGATGAGATGGGATGAGTGAGATGAGATGAGATGAGATGTCGAACTTGGTGATTTAAACCGCAAATTCGTTTCATATTTATACCTGGAATGTATGCTAAAAACAAAGCTGATGCGGATGGAGTGTGTTGGAATAGTGCGTTTCAGACGTTGAGGGTGTCTTTTGAACATGCTCTGAGCCGCACAAACCAGAAGCCTAAAGGCAAAAGAACAAGTGGGAAATAAAGGCACACACAGAACGCGCGGCCAGGCTGTAGTGCTGCTGTTTCCAACTTCTTTTTGCGATCCGGGGGGTGTAATTGTTTCTTTGTCGGCCACGTGAGGCGGCAATGGACTCTATTGGCCAACGGTTCTATTCTCTTCTATTGAACCTTCCTTGACTGCTAGGAGTTGGAGTAAGCCATGGGCCGGGCAGGCACGTGTTAGTCATCAACCACTTGATTTCAATGCTTCTGTCCCATCTCCATGCAAGTAGAACTGATTAAAAAATGGGAACAAAGAGCAAACCTAAAGTATGACTCTCTAGGTACGTAGCCTGGGGGAGTTGACTATCCCCTTTGTTGTTGACGCGATGCTACCTTAGCGGGCTGTCATGGACGCCCTGAATACGGAGTAATGGCAGGTAACGGCGTCTGAAACCTCCAAGCTTGCCGCTGAGGCAGCATCGAGCAAGTCTTGGTCTTGGCGATAGCTTGGCGGCAATTTACCCGACGTGCTGATGCAGATGCGGCAAAACGGCAAGAACCCATCTCAAATTTGCTGCCGAGGACAATTGGCCTTTCCCAACTTGTGCCTGCTGCGACTGGCACGGACGGTCCTTCCTCCTCACGTCATCACGCCTCGTATCATCTCGACGGCGCGGGCAGGCACATCCCGTCGAACTTGCCCCCCCCTTGGGCTTGGACCCTTTTTCGCAAACTTTTGGCAAAAGTTTCACACGCCAGGTGGCAGGAACAGCCAAGACCCAAGGTCCCTCAACGGCAAGCACTCTAGGAATGAGCCAAAAACAGCGTCGGTCTCAATGACAGGATCCGACTCAATCGCCCTCATTTGGTTGAAACAAGTCGGCCGGCCAGGCGACGTAACGTGACGTGAGCTAACGACGCGACGTAACGCCCGCCGCGTGCCACGTGGCGGTTGAGAAGTCAAGGACTCGAGATGATGGCACAGATGCGCGGACGGAAAAGGTCGCTTCTCGGTTTTGCCGTCTTCGCCACGCTGTTCTACTACTACTGCCTGCCCTTCACTTCGTGGAGCAGCAGCGGCGGCGGCCAGGGCGGCGAGCTCGAGTCGGCGCGGCTGGAGCGGCTCATGAACAGCGACGCCGAAAAGACGTCGTCGCTCAGATCCAACAGCAGCTTTGACTGGAGCAAAGTGCGCTTCAAATATCTCCCAGGCGGCCAGCTGAGGCGGCCGCCCACGGGCCGCCCCGTCTCCCTGCCGCAGGTCCAGCACCCCTTCCCGCCCGAGTCGCCCGCCGCAACCAAGATCCGCAACGCCCGGCGGCAGCAGGTCCGAGACCTGTTCTGCAAGAATTGGAAAAGCTACCGCAAGTACGCCTGGCGGAAAGATGCCCTCCAGCCGCTCTCGGCCGAGTACAAGGACCAGTTCAGCGGCTGGGCCGCCACCTTGGTCGACTCGCTGGACACGCTCTGGATCATGGGGCTGCGGGCCGAATTCGATGAGGCCGTGGCCGCCGTCGCCGACATCGACTTCGGAACGTCCAGCAGCGTCAGCGTGAACATGTTCGAGGTCAACATCCGCTACCTCGGCGGGCTGCTAGCCGCGTTCGACCTCAGCGGGCGCGACCTGCTCCTGAGGAAAGCCGTCGAGCTCGGCGACTTGCTCTACGCCGGGTACAACACCAAGGACCGCATGCCCGTCGACTTCATCAGCTTCGAGGCGGCCAAGACGGGCGAGGGCCTGATGGTCGAGGGGTCCGTCGTGTCTGCATCGCCTGGGACGCTGTCTCTGGAGATGACGCACCTGTCGCAGGTCACCGGAGACCCAAAGTACTACGATGCCGTGTCCCGGCTGATGGACGTGTTTGAAAAGGGGCAGGCCTGGACCAAGATCCCCGGGCTGTGGCCCATCTACGTGTCCATGCAGACCCAGGACGTGGTGAACGGGTCGTACTTCAGCATAGGTGGCGGGGCCGACTCCTTATACGAGTACCTGCCCAAGATGTACGCTCTTCTGGGCGGACTCGAGCCGCGCTACGGCGCCATGTCCAAGGACTTCATCGACGCCGCCAACCGCACCTTTTTCTTCCGGCCCATGCTCCCGGCCGAGGAAGATGTGCTCATGATCGGGCCCGCGCGGGTCGAGGACGACGGCACGGTCCTGCTGGACCCCGAGAGCGAGCACCTCGGGTGCTTCGTCGGCGGCATCTACGGGCTCGCCGGCCGGCTGTTCCGGCGGCGCGACTGGGTCGACGACCTCGGCTCCAAGCTAACTCACGGCTGCATCTACGCGTACCGGGCCATGCCGACAGGCATCATGCCCGAGCGCTACAACATGGCGGCGTGCCGCTCGCGCGGCCGCTGCCCATGGGACAGCGCGCGCTTCGACGCCGAGGCCGCGAAGCAGCAGGGCCTGTGGTCGAGCCACCTGCCGCTGGGCTTCACGACGGCGCGCGACCCGCGCTACCTGCTGCGGCCCGAGGCCATCGAGAGCGTGTTCGTCATGTACCGCATCACGGGCCGCCGCGAGTTCCAGGACGCCGCGTGGGACATGTTCGCCAGCGTCAGCAAGGGCACCGCCACCAAGTACGCCAATGCGGCCGTGCTGGATGTCACGCGCGCCGAGTATCCCCTTCCCCAGGAAGACTACATGGAGGTGAGCTTTCATCTCTGCTCACGAGAACATGACTTTTTACTGATAAAACTTCCCTTGATAGAGCTTTTGGCTGGCCGAGACGCTCAAGTATTTCTATCTCGTCTTCTCGCCGCCCGATCTCATCAGTTTGGATGACTACGTTTTAAATACCGAGGCGCATCCTTTCAGGCGGCCGAAGGGTTTGAAGAGATCCCGTCCATTGTGATTTGTTAGTGTGGGGGTTGTGTATTGCGTGGGCTATAGAGGATGGAGATTTAAGAGGAAATAATTAAATGAACGTATTTTAGCCTGCTCTCGCCATCTCCACGCCAATTACATCCGCTGCCAAACATTAATTCTCGCGCCTTTCTAATTATATCCAATTTCCCTTCTCACTGTTCTCAGAGTTCCGCGTCAAACATTTCATCGTCACCAGACTGCTCCTCCTCAGACTCGTTCTCGTTGCTTTCCTGTGCGCGCTTGTTCTCGCCCTCCTTCTCAAACAACGCCAGCACGGCCGCGTTCCCGCACGCCGCAGCCACGTCCAAACAAGTCATCTGCTTGTCGTCCTGGCTTATCGGGCCTAGTCCCTTGCGCAGCAGCGCCTGGAACCCTGTTACCCATTTGTTCTTCTTGGCCGCCACGTGCAACAGGCCTCGTCCCCGGCTGTCCTTGGCGGTGAAATCTGCTCCAGCGCTCTCGAAGAGCTCCCAGATGTCCTTTTCACTACCCTCGTGCACACGGTAAGACCGCTCGGTCTTGGGGTTCACCACTGCCTTTTTCGCGTAGTCAAACAGCGGAGTCTCGCCATTGGCATTGCGCGCGTTGATGTCGAGCCCTAGCTCCAGAAAGCGCGAGAAGAGATTCCGAACCTTGGTCTTACGCCCCAGGCGCCGAGCTAAAAAGTGAAGCGAACTGTTGCCCTCGCCGTCAACTAGTGTCGGATCCGCGCCCGCCTCGAGCAGCATGTCAATTTCCTTGCCGACCTCGAGATCACCTTTTCCGACAGCAACTAGACAGGGCGACCCACTTATGCAATCGCCCCCCTTTGCAATCGCCCACCACCATCACCACCCACCACAAGAATCGTCAAAATACTCAATTGTAGGCCAAATTCTATAGAAAAAAGTACATTCTAGTCCTCATCAATCGCCCTATATTGCTCAAGCCCACGGGCGATAATTTCTTCAGCTTCCTGGACCAAGTGTGCAGGCCTGGACTTGGTCTTCTTGGATCTCTTCTTGGGAGGCTTTTGACTAGCTTTTTGAGCCTCGTCAATTTCGTCAATAGTAGCAAATCTGTCGTTGGCGTCTATTTTGACCCTTTTACGTGAATAGGGTTTTTTGGATTCCAACTCGTTGGCTAAGAAGTCGTTTTTTGCCTTCAAAGCAGCGATTTCCGTATTCTTCTGATCAAGTGCCCTCCCTACCTTCGTCAACATAGTCCTGACGACCCTACCTCGGGGACTAGTGGCCGTCTTGGCTAAGCCCTGTTGCCTGCGGACGTCGTGACTACCTTGAGGTGTATTGAAGAGGTCGTTCCGGGTTGCCCGGGTCTTCCGGGGTGGTGTGGATGGGGGGACTGGTTTTGCAGCTTCGTCCCGGACCGCCTCGGGGTCGTCAAGTATACGAGCGGGTTGGAAAGGCCAGATTCCAGTCTTCCGGAAGCCGGATATGATATTCCGGGCTGACATACCCTGCGCTGAGGCGTCCCGGTAGCAAAAAAGGAAGCGTTGCTTGTTGATAGGTGCTGAGGCTGTGAAGGAAGCCAATTCGAGGGTTCTTTGGCGAAAATAGGACTTCAAAGCCGAAAAGACAGACCGGTCGAGTGGCTGGGTCTTGTGAGAAGTGTGTGAAGGCAAGTATAGTAGGTGTACGCGGTTTCTTTTAGCTAGAAGCATGAAGTCTTCGTCGATATGAGTAGCGTGTTCGTCGAGGATTAATAGGCGCCAATCGTCCTTCCTTTGGGGCTTTGTTTGAGGAAGATATACTTCCTTGAGCCACATAAGAGCTATTTTGCTATTGCTCCAGCCTATAGGCGTACAGTCGTACTTCCAGGTCTTGAGGACTGGTAGTTCCTTGAAGTTATCCGGGAAGTGTTGGCCTTGTAGATTTTCACCCGTAAAGATCACTACGGGCGTCAATCGCTTGCCCTCAGCGGTACCACACTCGATAACACTGACCCAGGTCGTTGGATCAGGGCCAGTCAGGACTGCCCGAGATGTGAGGGCATCGCCAATCACCTTCCCAACCGTAGTTTCCGTCTCTTGCATGCCATGTTCGTCTATATTGGCGATATTCGCAGGTACCAGCTTCTTGTCCTTAATTACAGCTTCCAAACGATCAAAAAATCCTGGAATCTCTCACGGGTAGATCCTTTGACTCGAGACCGTTCTAATAAGGTACCTAACTTGGCCTTTACCCTGGGGTTGCGGGTAAAAAACCGATCTACCCAGCGCTCACCAACTCGCCCAGGGAGCCCGGCTTCGTTCAGGATCGCTTGTGCGAATCGTCTTAGCCGTGCACGACTTGGGGCACGCCCTGCAGCTTCCTCCTCAAGAGCCCACTCGGCGACGAAGGCTTCCTGGTCGTCAGTTAACTTCTGGGTGTTTTTTTGGGCTTGTCGTGGATCCTGTTGTCCACGGCGTCGTCTGCTGAGGGTGGATTCAGGGATCCTATATAGGCGCGCTACTTCCTTCTGCTGAGCGCCCTGATCAATAGCCTCAATAGCCTCGGCTATTAGCCGCTCTCGTACGCGTCGAACCATCGTATTTTGAGCCTATTCCGACCAGTATTGAGGAAGTTGTTGGTGGTGGAAGGTAGAGAGTAGGAAGTTGGCGGTGTGGGGGAAAAATTGCAAAGTGGGGCGATTGCAAAGGTGGGTCACCCTGTCTCCCTGTCTAGGGCGTAGTGCAATGGCGTCTTGCCCTCTACAGCGTCGACTTGATTTACGAGCGCCGGGCTTGCGCTGATCAGAAGCTGTAACAAATCTTCGAATTCGCCTTCCTTAAATGGCGGCGATGCTTCTGCTTCTCTGACCGAGTTGAACAAGGTATGCAGGGCGTTCCGACCGTCGTTGTCCCGAGCGGTGCCGTCGGCGCCGCGCTGTAGGAGAACATCAATGATCATTTGCTCCTTGTCACTGTTGTCGAGCCTAATCTTTCTGTTTGAGGTCTTCGGGTTGGTAAATGCGGCAAGCAAAACAGTACGGCCTCGGCCGTCGCGATGTTCGAGGTCAACAGCAGGCAAGCACTCGAGCAAGGGTTCCACGATACCGTTACACGCTAGGATGTCGTGGAAGATTGTACATTTCTCGTGCTGGGCATTTTTGGGCTCTTGGTCTTCGGCGTCATCCTCGGACTCGACTTGGGGTGCCCCTTTTGGGTCTGGCTTAACTGGCCGCAAAAAGAGTGCCAGCGGATCCGCCCCGTGGGCGAGGAGTACCCTCGCCAGATCGATCAGTACCTTACCAGACTCACTATAGTACTGGCCACCCTGGGAAGACTTTAGTGCAGCGCGATATAGCGGGTAATCTTCGTGCTCTTGGAATTCACCCCATATGAAGTCTTTAAGCGGGACTCCCCACGGCGTACTTTCTCTGAAAATCGGTGACCGCTTCTTCGGCGCCTCAGGGTCATGGCGCATATTCGCGTTGGCCCCGGTAGCAAGGAGCAACTCCAATACGTCAGGCCGTTTGTTGTCGATGGCCGCGAATAATGCAACAGCCGTGACCCTAGCACCGCTCTCGACCAGAAGGCGGGTAAGCTCGGCGTCGTAGGATGCAACCGCAAGGCAGCTTCTGCCGTTGTTAGTCACGGCGTTGACATCAGCCCCGGCTTGGATCAATATTCGCGCTGCGTGCTTGTGGAAGATGCCTAGTCCGTACTCCGCGTCGGCTAGAGCTTTGTGCAGAGGCGTTTCGCCTTCGTGGTTGCGGATCTCGAGGTCCGGCTTGCGCGACAAAAGATATGGCAGCGCCTGGTTGGCCTGCCACCAGTGCCTTCCTCGAGCTAGAAAGTGCAAAGGCGAGTCGCCTGTAACGTAAATAGACTCGTTTTTATCTGCTTGGTATTTATATTCCAACTGGCTGACATTGACGGTCCCCTTGAGTTGCTCGACCAGGAAGCGCAGCACCTCCATATTTGGGAGCTCGCGCTGACAGGCCGTCGCAATGAGCGGCCATATCGAGCCTTGAGGGTAAGCTCTGTTGCCAAGTGTGTTCTTCTCCTGCTCCTTTCGCATGCGCCACTCTACGTTGTCAAACTTTTTGACATCGTCTTCGGTGGCAAGCTTTGACAGCAGGTTGGCGTATCCAAAGGCTGCGAACGTGTGCAGAGCTGTTCGCCCGTTGCCGTTTAGACGATTAGGCAGCAGTGGGCCCCGCAATGAGGCTTCGACAAGTTCGAACTCTCGTTTCGTGAGAAGAAGGCAAATCTGTGCGTCTTGCTCCCGAGAATGATCCCTTGAGTTTGTTGTCGGCACGGCGTTGCTTTCCCGGAGCGCCTGCGCGGCCGACCCTCGGCGTAAGCTCGCCCAACGCGTGGTGAAACGTGCATTGCATGCCAAGAAGGGGGGCAACTGAGGAGGCTCGCTACTTTCTTTGGCGACTTGAAGCTTCATCAAGCAAGCCGCTGCATAGTCAGAATCAAGGCTAATGGCTTGGTTGATGGCGTTATGCGCATAGATTACTCCGGTATTGAACTTGGAGTCGCCTGGGGCTGGGATGGGAAGACCGTGGTCGGCCAGCATCTGGAGGATCTCCTCCAAGCGGGCAGTATTACGTTCCGAAAGAAATGAGCTATTGTGTCCATAGCCGTATACGGCATTTATTCCGCGCTTGATGTGCACATTGGTCGCGAGGACCCGTTGTACGCTGCCGGATTCAGTGTCCTCATCCAGGGGTATCCATCGTTTGTCATTCGGGGGTATCCATCGTTTGTCCTCTACCTCAAATTCCGAACAGGCCTCAAGAAGAGTTAACGCAAAGTCTTTGACCTTCGCACCAGCCTCCAGGAGCAAGGTAACACTCTCTGGTCGCCCGGACAGACAGGCATAGTAAAGCGGGGTAATTGCGCCGCCTGATCTGCTCTTAGAAAATGCCGTGGCGTTGATGATGGTCTCGGGGTCTCCATAGTTCCCCGTTGAAATGGCAGCCAGCAGCAAGCCCACAGTGTTGCTTTCCCGTGCCCAAGCGGCAACGTGCAGGGGAGTGAGTCCCTCCTTTGTGGCAGCAGAGACGTCGGCGCCAGCATCGATCAATTGCGCCACAATGCTCTCGGACACAGTCGCACCGAAGTGTATGGGCCGGTTGCCTTCGTGGTCCATGGCGTCAATCTCCTTACAAGCTGGCAGAGCATGGCTGAGGAGACGATTTTCGGGTCTGTGGCCGTTGTGGTCAGGGATCTTGCTGCAGAGGACATGCAGCATCGTTTGACCAAAGTTATTGGCAGCGTCTGGGTCAACACCAAGCCTGACCAACTGTTTGAACCTCTCCTCGTGGCTGCCATTGTTCGCAATAAAAGCAAGCTCATGAAGCAATGTGTTTCCAGAGTAGTCGACCGATTTCGGGTCCAGACCAAGGTCAACGAGATGCTGCAGCAAAGGCGAAGCTTGATTCCGCTTACTAGGGAGGCTCAGATGTTGACGGACAACCTCGTGGAGAAGGGTACGGCCTCTGAAGTCTCGGGTGTCGATCTTCGCGCCAAGACTGAGAACAAAGTCGATTTCCTGAATCCCATCTTTTATTCCGAGGACGCGAAAACGAGGGGTTCGCATCAACGGGGTTGCACCGGCGTAATCTCGCGCCTCGAGGTCGGCGCCCAATTCTACGAGTTGTTCAACAACCGCCGGCTCTTTGGCTACGTGTATTGGCAATAGGCCTGTGGGGGTACGTTGGTCGAGTCTTGCGTCATTCTCAACGAGTCTGACTATAACCTCGCACTGTCCTTCGCCAAAGAACCGCTCCCTTGCCGCAGCGTGAAGCGGGCCGGTGCCTGTGTTGTCCACGATTGTGCAGTCGGGCCAAAATTCTTCCAAGAAACGGATGGTGTTCTCACGTCGCGTATTCTGCTTGGATGTGAGGTAAAACATGAGAGGCGTTTGCCCATCACTTTTCCGACGTTTATTAACATCTACCTTCCCATGCACTACGAGCGACTTGAGAATTTCCCAGACCTCCTCATTTTGAACCGGGGTGTGTAAGAGCGTGCTGCCGTCGCTTGTCTCGGTATTGGGATCTGCTCCTGTAAGCAGAAGCAGACGCATCAGCACAGGATTGCCCAGGGCGTGATGAAGAGGCGTTTTGAGACTAGAGTCGCGGCGGTTTACATCGAGACCGGCTTGCAGGAGTATATCAAGGCCATCTTTGAGCTCCTTGGGGCTCGGTTTTGTTTTCGTATAGTCTCGTCCCCGCCCGTCAAAGCAAAACACGTCCAAAGTGGAGATATTGTGGTTGGAACCGGAGCCATACAGCCCGCCATAGTTGCCAGCGCCGGGGAATTCCGCCTGGCTGGACAGACTACAAAGAACGGTGGCATCAGCACCTGCCGCAAGGAGCGCTTCCATTGCCTCAATATCTCTTCGAAAGCAGGCGAGGAAGAACGGCGTGTCGCCCCGAACCTTCGCATTCACATCGATACCAGGAACCCGAATGAGACGCTTGACGAGCTTCGTCTGGCCAGACTTAGCAGCCCAGTTTAGAGCGCGATGTACCGTATTAATTTCCTTCAGAGACGGCAAGAATGCTTCCACAGCCTCGACGTGGCCGGACTGGCAGGCATACATCAAAGGAGTTTCGCCCTTTGATCTCGATGCATTTCCACACCGTCTTCCCGAGGTTTCCCGCGTCTTCGCGGTCAACGGGTCAACACCAGCAGCGAGGAGAACGCTGATGACACTGGCGTGGTTGAGGGCTGCAGCTCTATGCAGCGGCTTGAGCCCAACACTGTCATCCTGGTCGGGGTTCGCCCCAACATTGATCAGGATCTTGACTGCTTCTGCGTGTCCATTTCCGGCAGCGTGGAAGAGTGGCGTCTTTCCAGTGGCATCTTTACAGTTAACTTCCACGGAACTGCGGCCTGATATATGCTCGAGATACTGCGTCAGGCCATACCTGGCCGCAATGTGGCACGGCGTGACGTCCTTGGTCGCACACGGACGCCACTCAATGTCGAGCCACATATCAAGTCTCTGGCCTGGCACAAAGAAGGCATCCAGGAATGGTGGTAATATGGTGGATATCCAACCAGCATGAGCCGATTTCAAGACGTGGGTTGGCCAATTCTTTGCTGCGTAGTCTAGAAACGGAAATTGAAGCCGCAAGGCAACGTGCTGGGGGTCCAGCTTGACGGGTAAGTGGGAGTACCTCTCCTCGTCCCGTGCCGACTTTGAAACCTTGTGGCCGTCCAAGCATCCAGATTGCAGATACCGAAGACAGCAAAGAGCCAGCCATTGGTGAGTGGGCCCAGGCAGCAGTACCGGAAATGCTTGCGAGTCGTCGTGGGGTGACGCTGCCGCTCGTGTGGATCCCATCAGAAACTCGGTGAGGGAGTGATGAATGACAGAAACCGTCTCGTCGGGGTGTATCTCGAGCAGCGGGCCACATGCAGCTCTCACGACATCCTTGGCCGCTTTCAAACTGCAATCCACGTATAAATTTGATGAAGTATTCACCATCTCGGCCACCTCGATTAGACGGAGGGGGCGGGTGGCATGCGTGACCCAGGACAAAATCAGAAGCTGAATGTCGTGGTGAGTACCAGACCTCCGAGCATGCTCGCGCAGCAAGTCGGTATACATGGCGTCGAGATCCGCGGGGAGCGTCCTCAGGACCTCCCGCACGTCGGCGTCTGGTTCAAGAAATGCGTCCATGGCAAGCTTGGCATAGAGAAACAGCCCGTTGACTCGGCCAGGCACTACCTCCCTAATCAAGACTCTATCTTGGGCCGGTATGGAAGAACCGTCGATGCCATGTTGGACGTAGATGGCAATGTCCATGTCAACAAGCCTCTCCTCGAGTCGGATCTGAAGCGCCGGGAACTCGCGAAGGGGCGCCTCGACGGTAGTGACGGGCCTGCTGGTAATGAGAACTTTGACTCTTTCCGGCTTCCACGAGCCCAGCTTTGCCAGGGCCTTCAAGAAGCCGTCGTTGCCCTTGTCCATCTCGTCCAGCGCGTCTGCGACCAGATAGACGCGGGGCAAATGGGCAAGTGCCGTCTTCAGATGATTCCACAGGGCATCCATGCCGAGGCTGTCAAGAGAGCGATTCCTGCCGCCTCGTTCGTCGACATAGTCCTTCAGCTCAATCTGGAGAGGGGGGCTGTACTCGAGTACCTGGTCCAGCCAGTCTCGCAGCAGGTTAACGGGCGTGTGGTTCGCATTGATGATCTGGCGGAAGAAAAAAAAGAGCACGGGGTGGCCCTCCTTGGCAAGTTCGTCGGCGATGGTAGCGGCATAGACGCTTTTGCCTGAGCCCGGGATACCCTTGACCCAGAGCAGGCCATGATCTGCGTGGCCACCGCCCTGGGCGGCACGGTGCCACTTTTTGAAGTTTGGAGTGGCCGAGAGCCACTGGCCGGTCCCCTCGAGATGGGCGGCGAGATGCCTGCGATACTCGCCACTTTCGTACAGGTACGAAGTTGGCTCGAGCCACTTGCGGATTTTGTCTATGACTTCGGCAGGCTCGGGCAGGATGTTGGCTTCGTTGTAGTTGCTCACGTCGTCGCGGCCTATAACAGCAACGTCCTCGTCGCTGCCGACGACGTCGACGTCCGAGTCGGAATCGTATTCCATGGTGGAGTGGGTGTGTCGGTGTTTCGCTGAGTTGGTGAGTTGGTGAGTTGGTGATCTATCTCAGCGCAGGCAAGGCTGCGATGAAACAACTGACAACTCTCAAGACAAAGTCAATCGATGGCCAAGTCTGTTGCTGCAAGTCGCAAACACTTGTAACCAACACGCTGTGCACCGGCCGTAGTTGAGATGGCGGACGGATGATGCGGGGGTGAGATCGAGGGGGTTGTCTGGAGTTTATAAAACAGACGGACGTGTGCGGATATGTGCGGACGGCAAAGCTCGAACCCATGAACCATTTCGATAGTGAGATTCTTGCAATACAGGGGTTTAATGGTGGTAATAATTGAGTCTTGGTGGTACCTCCCTAACTAACAGCCCATTTAGGAATACTATGTATTGGAAGAACCAGACGAGTCACGGCGGTCCACATCCGCCACTGCCGTGCCAGGCAGCAGCTGAGCCAAATTATGACTTGGAGTTGTACGGAAATACTACCGTGCTAAACAAGGGAGGATTCGGAAATAGCGACCTACCCAGCTATTTCAACAAGGAAAGATCGGCCAAGGATTATCCGTGACTCCGTAATTATAAGCTTTTAACTCTGCGGCGTTAGTCAAGAACCACGCATGTTACACCGTCCTTATCAGACGCATGATACACCGCCCTTATCAGAAAAGAGAGAATGTCGTTGTCCGCTTTGAGCACTTGAGCTTAACAAAGCCGTCGGTCTTCTTTTTACGATCTCGGTAATCCGTCGTTGTCTCCTAAATCCTTCCCGCCTCAAATTTCCCTGTCCACCACTTCTAGCTCTGGCTGGCCCACGTCGCACAATTCGCAGAAAGGGTTCTTGCGGCCCAGGTATTTCAAGCTCCCACATCCGCTCTGCACGTAGCTCCCCTGGCCCGGCAGCGCGTAGATGTCGCCGTAGTACTCGATCGGCACCGCGCCACAACTCCCGTTCGTGTCCGCCCCTGGAGAGTTGTAGTAGTACAGCCGGCAGGCGCCGCTCCAGCTCACCGTCCACTCGCTGGCAGCGCAGTGTTTGTTGTCGAGACACAGCTGGCAGCACGCGCTTGCACTGTTTCAGGAAAGAGCAAGACGTCAGCCAAACACTCCCATCAACCCATCTAATCAGATAGGTCATAGGACAGGGGGGTCAGGTTGGGCTTACTCCATGCCGGGGATCCCAATCACGACGCCGGGAAAGCCGATGGGAAATGTCCAGTCGTCCGGCAGCAAGCGGACGGCAACGCCGCGGCCGTCACGCTCTGCGATGAGATTTGTCGGCGCGCATTGCGCCGCCCGCGCCGCTGTTGCCACTGTACCCCCACACGCCGCTCCGACCGTCCTCGTGGCGTATGCGAGAAGGTAGTCGCCCCGCGTCTTTATCACGGTGCTGAGATACTTGGTGCGTGTGTTGTAGCGCCCACCGCCGCCGACGCCCACGCCCACGGTCTGGGTGCCCGCGGTGGTGGTGGAGAGATACGCAGTTCCGGTGACGGTGGACGTGAAGGTCACGGTGCTGCCGACATACGTGTAGACGCGGTACGATGCCGTCACGGAAGCATATGTTGTTAGGGCCGTAGGGAATCTGGTACGCACCGTCGTGACTTGGCCCTGGACCGGGGCGTAGCCGCCCGTATAAACGGTGGTGGTGCTGGTAGGCGAGGCCGTCGCGCCATCGCTGCAGGTGGTCTGTGCGAAAGTGACGGTGGCGGCAATGGCACTGGTGTAGACTGTCTCGGTAGTGGTGCTGTTCAGTGTCACGGTGGGCGGCTGCAGCGTGGTCGTGACGAGGACTGCCGGCTGGGTTGTGAGCGGCACCGTGACGAGAACCGTCTCCCACGTAGTCTGGTTGATGTTGCGGTTGGCGATTGGCTCGTCAATGTAGGATGTCACGATCACTATGGGGGCTGTCGATGTCGGGACGGGAGTGACCGGTGTACTGCCGTACTGGATCGTGCTGGAGGAGGCGTAGGCTTCACTGATGAAGACAGTGGAAAACCACGTCATTCGGGACTTTTCTTTTGCGTATGCCGCTGAGAAGGCGACAACCGCCGCGAACACAGCGAGTTTCATGTTTAAAAACGACTTTGTTCGGAGTTGGACAATCTGCTAGCAATCAGAACCGGTAGAGGCCGGCCGCGTTCATATAAACAGTGGGCTAATTATATCCATCAACAAAGTGGACACTCAGTGCTGTTGCCAAGACTGGACTCCAATACTCACATGTTGCAACCCGGTGGGCCAGCGTCACCAATCATGTGGAGATGCAAGCATACAGCGTCCCCTCGGATAATTGAACCGCGAACGCGCGCCTCTGGGCCGGGATTTTGTACACAATCGCCAGATTTAGATTAGCCGCGGAACGTTACATGCTATTTGATGGACGATTACATGTCAAAGGGAATTGAAGTATAATGCTAGGCCTTGAGGCACATGATCTCGATCACAGCTCTGGGGGTCAACCGTACGCGCGTCGAGTCCACTAATGATGGCATTTGACATGGTTGTAGAAAACAGCTCAATATCACAGAGGCCGCTCTAAGATGTGCTAACATGTTGAACAGGGGAACAGTAATTGAGATTTATGGCAGCATCTTTGCCGTCTGTCATGTCTCAAAGCTTAACAATAGGTGAACAGACGAAAGATTATTATTCATAAAAGGCACTTTTAACCATGTCAGACAAAAGTGCATCTGCTTAGCACTGTCATTTTGTATTAGTGGGCAACAATTCAAGCTCAAACGATACGGCGACCCTAGGTTGGTTCAAGACTTCTGACCTTGTGTTTAAATGTCCCTTTCAATTTCATTACTTCAGCGCTATAATCAGAGCAAACCGCTGTGCACGTAAAAAGCACAAAGAGCAAATCACAGACCCAGTGCAAGTACCGACGTTAAACATGATCATGACCATACTCCAAAACAACGCCGGGTATCCGAATAAAACGAGCAATAGGGGTTTTTACCACCCAATTAATGCATGCAGTTCTCCAACCACTGCCCTCCCCAATCAAGTGCGCAATCGGGACCAAAATATTACTCATATCGCCTTTCCAATGTTAGTCCATTTTGTTGGCTCGTACTCGACCACCACCTCCTCTGTCTGGAGAATCTTGCCGGGAGGCAAATCCGACACATCGCTGCGGCTCACTGCGTGCCGCGAGCCCGAGTTGTTGGCAAAGCCCGCAAATCCCATACTGAGTCCGCTGAGGCGGCTGAGGCGGCTGAGGCGCTTCAGCGGGCCCACTGCTTCAAGATCCTTACTCCAGCGTGGTACACTGCGGTTTCCCGAGCTGATGACCGTGCTACTCCGCCCCGTTCCTTGGGAGTTTGTTGTTCCTGTATACATGTCACCGTCCATGTGATAGAACTGCGCCGGGCCGGGCGGTGGCCCGCTGTCGCGCAAAAGCGCTCTCAAGATTGGTATTGAGGCCGCCATGATGGTTATGGCACATTCAGCACCGGCAAGAATCACAAGCTGGGTGGTTGACTCTGTGAAGGTCGAGTTCGAGATGGAGGGAAGTTGAGTGATCTTGACGATTGAGGTCACCCCGGCGCTATGAAAGGTGTTAGTAATCATGAGGTTGTCAAACCGAGGGTGCCGGGGAGGTAAAGGGTGATCATCTCACAAGACGCCCATGCTCATAGCCACCAATACTCCACCTTTTTCTTTTTTGTTCATGGTAAGAGTCCAGATAATTTGCCACGGAACGAAAGCGAGGACAATGTCCATGGCGCCGGAATATACTATTTCAGGGGACCATTGGTCAGCAAATCACATTGCCAACACCGGCTTCCCGCGGCCAACCTACTGGCGGTGAAGATGTTGTATCGAATCTGGATCATCTTGGGCCAGCAGCTCCCCGGCAAGCGGGGCTGCCATGTTTTGGCAATGGGCGTGCACTGGCACCACGTGAGGGCGATGGCGCCGCCGAGTGAGATATTGACCGTGATAATGATGAACCAGACGAGGATCTTGGTCCAGCCCGACGAGATGCGCAGCACCGTGATGGCAAAAGACGTCTTGCTCCACAAAGCAGATAAAATGGAAAAAGTCCCCGCCATATTGGTGAGGAGGAGGAATATATCTAGATTCCTAAAGTCGAATTGCGTGAGCGGTCGTCCAAAGCCCATGTTGACGGAAACGGAAATGAAAATGCTGGAGACGACGAGAGAAAACTGTAGAGGGGATTAGAAAATTTGTGGCCGGCCAAGATTTTGTCTACCATGTGAGCCCTGATGGAATGGCTCACCCATGATCCTATCAGCACATGGTCGTCCCACCAAAGGCCACGATGCCTCAGAAATTTGCAGTAGACGCGAAGAGCGAGAAAGGCAGCCGAGAGGGCCGTAAGAAGCCAGATACTGAAGTTTATCTGGGGGCCATAGTCCTCCATCTGCCTGACTTTGAATGGCGACACCTTTGCCGTCATATTGGTCCTGGAAAACCGCGGTATGCTTCCTTGGTAACCCTTCCCATTGTGTGGTGCTGAAGAGGAGCCGAAAGCCGACGAGGAGAAGTTGAACTTGGGCAATCCGGCTGCAGCAGCGGTTATATCGAGGCTCGAGTCCGACATGGGAGGCAGGCAGAGGCACGCCGAGCAGATTCGATCTTCCTGGACGACGGCAACAACAACCCGACGGAGGCGCTTAGGCTTGGCGACGATGTCATTTGTGGTGGGGAGTATTCGCAAGGCGGGACTGGAAAGAGGGTCGAGAAGAAATGTCGGTCCAGGAACGCAGGAGACGGGAGCGCTGGCGAGATATTGAACAAGACCCAACTCGAATCATGTCATGGGTTCCCCGGACTTGCTTAGCGTGCCAGCTTGGATAAAGAGCTGAAAGGGCGAGAAACGAGACGACTGATGGCGATCCCGCTGTAGGAACCAGACAATCTGCATGTGCACGCCATGTCCTGGCGTGGTCCCAGGGGAAAGCGTGGCTCCGTGCGTCGAGTGCCGGGCAGCAGCAGGCCCGCGCCTCTTGCTGCTCTGGGATGGTTGACGAGAAGCTGGTGGCATTTTTGGGGGCGGCAAGCAGCTCTCTCTGGTGGCACATCTGATCTGGTGGCGGCCCTGGTGGTGGGAGCTGGTGAGTGCCATGATGTCGGGCACGGGGCGCCCTCTGCCGTGTCGGAGCTTTGGACATTGTCGTCTCACAATGCCCACAGCTCCTTGAATCCCCACCCCGCATCGCCGATCAATCGCTAGCTACCACGCTCGCCAACCACAGCTTTAATGCGACGGCTATGACAGGCTGCGAAATGCCTTGACAACCGAGCGAACATCGTTTGCATGCAGTGTCCATTCTTGGATCGAATGCGGGTTTGCAGCGCGGAGGGGCGGACACAACCGGTCAGGGCTCGGAGAACGGCCGTGCACTTTCTACACTTGGCTTGCCTAGCATCGCCTTGGTGGGGCTTGGCGTTCCGGCTTGTCGCCCTCCGCAAGTGGTGCGTGTTGCAGTCTTGAATGTCTAGGGCTGGCTCCATGGGGACCGGCACCATCCGATCTTTGTCACGGCCCACAGTGCTACCTAAGGTATGGAGGTAGCCAGTATTAATGAGACCACAAGGCGATTTTTCTTTGGACAGCACGTGGTGTGGATGAAGGACACCCGCTCCATCCTCGTCGGGGGGCTGTCTGCTTCCAGGGGCCGGCGCATCGGGCTCGTAAATCAGAAGCAGTTGTTGTGCTTGAATGGGGAAAGCCGCCGCCAAAACTTGCAGGTTTTGAAATTGACAGGAAACACCCGACACTCTTCAGCGCAGAGCTTCAGTGCAGAGCTTCAGCGCCGTTTTCCATTTGACGGGAAGTCGGTGAAGTGATGGAATAAACGCCCAACAAGGACGGGAGCGGCGTTGGAGGCATGGAAGCGCGTCAGAGGCAGGCACGGCCCACTGGTAGCGGGCACAGCAACTGTGAGGCACCCCTGGCTCCCTCCCCCACATTCCCGATTTTAGGGCACCTACCTACTATAGGCAGGTTGGGGTGGTATTCGTCGCAACAGGGCGGCGGCGGCGGCGGCGGCGGGCGCCCTGCCTTCCAGATTTGTTCCATTATGCGCTTCTGTCGTCCAAACAAGGGGTTTCCACGCTTGGTCCTCCCCCGCTCCGACGCACCCCACATCTTCATGGCCAGCTGGCTATGGGGACTACCTAGACTGTTGCGGAGAGTTTCCTCAACCAAGACTCTGAGTTTCTGGACAGCTCGGGTTCTAGGTTCCCGGCTGCTTGTTACCAAAATCGATTGACTCGGGCTGCCAAGACGCCAATGGGAACAGAGGCTGGATTTCGATTTTCGTCTTCAAACAAACCTATCCTTGGGTTGTTGTCAACTGCCAACGAGGCTCAAGCCCTCAATGTCACGGTAACCACCAGGTATCGAATATACCTGGGCAGGTATAGGCAGGTAGGTAATCATCAGCTACCTGCATGGACTCGGGACATACCCGGGACACGGCTTCATCAAGAATGTCCGAAGTGGAAAGGAGGTAAAGGCTATGACGCTCCAACTAAAGTACCTATAGATGCCGTGCTGCCCCTTCTCAACCTGTCAGAGACAATCTGGCTATCCCACGTCCTGCAGTGTTTGCATTATGCCCGATAATATCCAACAAGATCAAATAAATCATGACACCAGGAATGCGCCCATCGTGGACAGTGAAAGACTAAAGGGCTACAAACTGTTAGTGAGAGCAATAACCATAATCGGACCGGATACCCGAGTAATTGATGGGGTTGTAATGAGATCAAATACATACCCACAAAAGAAACAGAGCGAAACCCCCGGAAACAGTGCCGCAGAAAGAGAGACAGCGACAAAACAAGTCCATGTTCAACTCAGACAGAAAACCTCAAACGTAGATGCTGACGCGGCGGTGACGGAGGTACGGCCAGTCGTAAAAGACGCGCCGGCGCCGGTGGATGCTGCGGACGTCCAAGTCGTACTGGCTGCAGCGCCGCGTGCACCTGTCTCGGCGCGAGGGCCGGTAGTAGCGCGCGTACACGGGGACGTAGCGCCCGCAGGCGTGGCAGTATTTGTACCAGGGCATGGCTTGCTGGCAAGATAGCGCAAGTGGGAAATGAGTGAAGACACCAATGAGTAAAGATACTAATGAAGACACCAATGAGTGAAGACACCAATGAGTGAAGACACCTCAGGGGAGGTAAATGAGTGTATGGTAGGTGAAATATGAAATGAGAGTAGCAAGCCTCGAGGTAACAGAAGACACGTGAAACAGTAAGAGAATGGCTTGTGTGGCAGGTCGGTTGGAGACAATGTTATCTCGAAATGATTGGAATGTGTGTTTGTTGTCAACGAGTGCGGTCGAGGATGGTGAAAGAGAGAAAGAGAGACTGGGACAAGGGCAGCTGTATCACGATATATATTGACGTCAATGTAATATCCGAGACATCATGCGCGCGCAGTTGGGTTTCTGACGCCCGCGGCGCAGAGTGCACTGCTGACACGGATGTCTCGCACCGAACCCATACTAATTGCCGTAGTGCGATCACTGATCACCTCTGGTTGGAATTTGACCTCTTGGTCTTGATCCATGGAGAGGCTTGGGTCTGGACCTGTGAACAATAACCTGCGTGTATGTGTGCAGCCAGCCAAGATACTCGGGTTGATGTAGAGGGTTGGTGGGCCAAACAGGGAGGCAGCGAGTGAAATTAAAGCGTGATAGGTAAATAAAGGCGTTGTTAATCTTTTTTTTGGAGGGATGCCATGAAACAACCACCATCAGGGCGGTGGAATAATCGCTCAAGCAGAAGGGTGCGCGGAAATGTTTGTAACTGAGGTGGAACAGTCACGAGGACAATAGCGGCATCATTTGGAGAAGACCAGCTTGGCTGAAGGGCATGCGGCTGCGATCAAGCGACTAATCGCGACTTGTGTGCCTATCATCTGATCTCACACCCCACCCAGCCTCCGTCGCCTCGGTTACTAACTAGTTCCAAAAGAAATCATAGGTAAAAATATATAACTTTAATTACTTCGGCAAGGCTCAACTCTACACTATCTAAGTTTTTGTTATTCTTGGTGGTGGTAAAAAGCTAGACACAGTGCAGTTCCCTTTCCGTAACCCTTTCATGAGAGTTCTCCTCGAAGAAGGCTTCAGCCTTCAAAGTTACAACGCCTCATATTTTCTGACACTGATTAATTCTTCGCCCGAGACACACTCTCAATTTCTAATTGCTTCAGTGTTTTCTGTGGTTGTTGTAATATCGGCCAGCTTAGATTCAGTTCTAGTTTAGTTTGGGCGACGTAGACCGTGGTCCCAAGTTTTTCTTCGAGCAGCTCGGATTCTGTCAGGTTTGAGAAAGGGGGCTCGTAGAACTGATACAACGGTTGGGGGGTTATGGCTTGGTCAACCAGTTTGTACTTGCAAAAACAGTTCAATGTCCACGATGACCCACCAGCCTCGCCGTTGGCCTACATTTACGGAACTGAATCACAACTCTATCATCCCGTGTATCAGCCTGCTGGTTGCCCTGCTGCAAGCTGTTGCTGTTTTTGCGATGTCATGAAATCCACTTGACATGCTCATGTAGGAATCTTTTCAAGATAAGCTTAAAGTGAACCAGCGGTGGTTCAAACTCTCGATAAGGTTGTTGAAGTTCCTCTTTTTCTCCACACCTAGTGAGCCCACTGAGCTGATTTTTCACTCATTTAATTCCAATTCTTCCCTGCAAGTATCGATCTGGTCATCATAAATCTCAACACGCCGTGCCGACCCAAATCGAGTCCCTGAGAATGGTAGCTTCAAAACCCCCTGCCATCGCGCTGCTGGGGGCGTGCTGGACTGTGATAGTGTCTGCCCTCCCGGCCAAGGGAGCGTCTCTCGTCACTCCTGTTGGCCCTCTCCTCATGCACACAGCCGATCTGAATGGCACGGCGTACGACGACTATGGGAACCTCGAAGCCAATGCCGTCACATTTCATCCAGAGGGCGCTTCGAGGGGGTTCCAGTGCCGTTACCCGTTTCTCGACGCGCAAACTTGGGAGGCCTGCAACACCAACAACAGTCGCTCGTGCTGGCTGCAATATAAACAGGCCGAACAGGACGGCAGCCGCTATGGCTATGACATCTTCACTGACTGTGAGTGCGCCGATCTTATCATGGTCTCCTCGTGCCAAGCGAGTCTGGGCTTCTTGCTAACACAGGTTGTCGTTGACGTCAGATGAGAATGCCGCCCCTGTTGGTATAACGCGCTACGTATGTCAAATTTCTTTTCTGATTATTTCTCACTCATCGCGTTCTGACCATCGCAGTATACCTTCGACGTCGCCAACAAGGTCATATACCCAGACGGGGTTGCCAAGAACGCCATTCTCTTCAATTCTCAGTATCCAGGACCGATGGTCGAGGCCTGCTGGGGCGACGAACTGGTCATCACCGTCACTAACCTGCTTCCTACCATGGGCACCCAAGTCCACTGGCATGGCGTCCGACAGCTCCACACCAACGACATGGATGGAGTGCCCGTCACCCAGTGTCCGGTGGCCAGGAACGACAGCTTCACCTACCGGTTCATGGCGCTACAGTATGGCACCACATGGTACCACAGCCACTACAGGCTGCAGGTTCGTCCACACGCGTCTTTCCATTCACATCTACCTATAATTCGTTGATGATGGCAACATCTGGGCTGACTAGGTGTAAACTCTGCAACCAGTACGCCGAAGGCCTCGAGGGTCCCATAGTAATCCACGGCCCAGCCAGCGGCGACTACGACCTCGCCACCCCCGAGCCGCTTTTCATGGCCGACTGGGTCTACAGGAGCGCCTTCGAGGAGTTCGACGCCGACGAAACGAGTCTCAATGTGCACGGCGGCCTGTCCGACACTATCCTGCTCAACGGCAAGGCGGGCAAGAACTCACACGGGGGACAGGGGTTCTCGCCAGACGACATGCGCGCCTATAAGATAGTCGACGCGGTCCCTGGTAAACGGCAGCAGCTGCGCATCATCAACGGTTCAGCTGGCACGGCGTTTGTTTTCTCCATCGACGGACACAACCTGACTATTATTGCCAACGACCTCGTGCCGGTTGAGCCGTACACGACAGGCTCTATTGTTGTTGCAATTGGTGGGTTTCCCAACCTCTTTCTTCTTTTCCTGCCGTTTAAATATGTTCCCATGTTCACGGCTCAGCTGGAGCTGACCTCAACCCCGTACAGGCCAGCGCTACGACGTCATAATCGACGGCCTCGACGACCCGGTGCCCTCAGGAAACTACTGGATCCGGACGCAGCCCGCCGACGGCTGCAACCATTTCCGCACGGGGGTGTTTGACAGCCGGGTCCCGGAGGCGGCGCCGTTCGACACGCGGACAGGAGTACTACACTACGACACGCCGCTGACGACGTATAGCACGCTACCCTCAACATTATCGGCCACGACCAACTTCGCGTGCTTCGACGCGGCAGCGCAGCTGGCGCTCAGGCCCGTCGTGCCGTGGACCGTCGACAACGAGCCGCTGAACGAGGTCGCGCGGTCGACCTTCTACAACGCGCACCAGACCGCTAACGACCAGACTCTCGGCCGGGCCGGCAACTACTCGCACTGGCTACTTCAAGTAGACCCACTCGTCGAGCAGAGGACGGGCAGCTCGATGCACAGCCCATTTTGGATCGACTTTACGAATCCCACGCTGCTCAACCTCACGGGCGCCGGGAGCGATCCGCATTACAATATAATTCGCTGTAAGCTGCCCGCCTGTACTCCTTTTGACCTTGCTCTCGTCTCCCACAAACCACGGAGCAGCCAACTAACGCTCCATCCCCAGACCCGTACCGCGCGCAAGACGGCTTCATCTACATGATCATCGACGGGGCGCTGCTACCCGGCACTTCACAGCGGGACCTGCACGGCAACATAATCCCGCCGACGGCGCACCCGATGCACTGGCACGGGACGGACGTGGTGATACTCGGGCAGGACACGGCGGCGTTCGACCCGGCGCGGAGCCCGCAGACGTGGGAGCACGCGAACCCGCCGCGGCGCGACACTGTGACAGCCCCGGCGGGCGGCTACGTGGCGGTGGCGTTCCGGCCCAACAACCCGGGCGTCTGGCTGGTGCACTGCCACATCGCGTGGCACGCGAGTGGTGGCCTGGCGTTGCAGATGGTCGTCGAGGACGAGGCCGACCCCGGGCAGCACATCTACCGCGCCATTGGCCGGGCCGCCGTCCGCACGCTCTCCGACGGCTGCGCCGCGTACCGGCGGGACCTAGCCAGGCCCGACCTTCCGCCCATGCGCGAGAAAGATGACTCTGGTATTTGAGACGTTCTGGACGGCGAGACCTCGTCGTTGGAAGGGGAAGGTGGCGGACTCTGGGCAAAGAGACACTATGCAGGCTACTAACCGGAACAAGTAGTTCTACAAGACAAACTTAGATGCGTCTATCGTTAATCTGAGAATATACGCCTAATGAGAACCTCTTAAATGTCTTGCTGGTGCCATCTAAGTTTTGATGAATCATGATCAAAAGGGTCTTGAGATAGTTATTTGGCTTCAATCACGGCGGCTCTTGCCAGCGCCGTCCACGACCACGTGCCTGCGGTCAAAGCCATGATGGTAATGTTTTCCCTGTGATCCTGTCAAGAGCACAGCACCGCATCGTGTCAGGGGCTCTAGCAACAGACTTGTTTCTGTCATAGGGGGCGGGAAGGGAACCTGAAAACTCGTGGCGAGATAGAATATAAGGGGATGATCACGAATGTGCACGGGTTAAAAAATAGTATAGGAAGGTACCTGTACATAAGGTATGTGAATAGCACCTTGTCCTAGACCAAGGTTCCTGCCTGGTACTCGCGTACCACCCAATTAGGTAAGGCATGAGGAACCTAAGGTACCTTACCAACCTACGGGTAAGGTCACATCTGAGCGTGCCGTAATCGTCACCATGCTTGTCTTCCGGCAGTGTCTTCAAGATACGACGCAAAACTGCAGCGTGTTCAATGACGGGATCAAGCTGCAACGCTTCTGCTTGCTTAGTGGCTGTTTGGAGCAGACATAGACGTGAATTGTGGGTTGCTGGAACGCGTTTTGGCAGTGGTCGCTTCATGAGCCACATGGCAGCGAGCCCAGCCTCCCCCTTATTTGGGAAATTACGGAAGTACCATCCGTGAAATTTCTTGCAATGCCATGCGTAGACTGTGTGGCGCGAACAAGAACACCAACCACGTACGACGCCCCATCCCGCAGGATGCTACTTCCTCGTGACCCACAAGGAGTTCGTCCTGGTAACATAGTACTTACTTACTTGGCTTGCTCCGGTCTTTATTTCGGCGGACACTTGGGAGAAGGATAATGGCTTTATTCTGGCACGTGCCTGTATCGTTCCCCAGACCGTGTTATTAGGCGGCACGGCATGCCATAGGCTTAACAAGTGCGGACCGACTTTATTCGTTGCCTGGCTAATAAAGGTAAGCGTCCTTTAAGTATGGTTTCGGTAGCGATAGGGAGAGTAAACATTAATGGTAGAGTGGAAGGTCAAGACCCTCGTCATAGTATGCCAGATCGTCGCTAGTACCAGCTTATCGGCAGCCTCGGTGGTTGCGATGGTTGCGTTGTTGGTCTGAACGGAGAATCTCCGTCGGTTAGGGGTTTTCTGTCAACGGCCAGAGAGCGTTGAGGGTTTAAGCAGGTGGCGGCTCGGATGAAGACGAGGGGATGACGCAACTGGTAGTTTCGGTCGGTCACTTTACGTGTCCTTTACTCGGCGGCTCTGTACTGGTGACAATTCAACAAACAGATAGACTATGTACCTGTATATATAGGTACGTGTTTGAGGCTCGAAACAAATACGCTTAGGGTACTACCTAACTAGGTAGTCATGTCCCCTTGCTGTTGCACACTCTGCCCTTCAGTATGTCGGGCGCGGCCCGAAGTCCGCAGCAAGCCGGTCTACATCGTGGAGAATACACGATCAGGAAGAAAGAATAGAAACAAGGGAAGAGCAAGTAGAAGCCGAAAAGATACAAAGGAAATAAAAAGCGGAGCCGACGCAAGAAATGGAGGATGAGAAAGAGGGGTCGAAATTGGATAAAAACGCCGTTTAAAGAAAGTTCTGGTTTCTGGATCATCATCATATCGTCATCAATCATCGCAATCGCCAACGTGCGGTTTGCAGCCAATTGGAAACGGGCAAAGCAAGAGAGTCGCATTAAAAGCGGCGGGCCGGAACAGGGGAGGGTGGAAGTCTTCAATAACCCCAAAAACAGCAAGAGAGAAGAGACAAGAAATAAGACTGAACCCGAGAGAGGGCCCACGAAGAACGAAACCTGGAAGATCGTATCTCTCGAGACTACGGCTCTGCGGCAGCCTCCCTGGCAGACTTGGCTGCATCATCAACAATTTGGTGTGCGGTGTAGCTCAGGTAGTCACGGATCAGCGTGCAGCCGCAGTCGACGTGCCTGAACAGTTGCTCCTTCAGATGGTATACCTCTTCCTTGAGCTCGGTAACAGTGCCCTTTAGCTTTTCGTGCGCGACGCGGACGTCCCGGCTCTGGACCTCGAGGAGGGCGGCAGCAGCCTTGCTTTTGGCGCGACACTTGTTGGCCGCCAGCCGATTCTGGATGCGGGATTTGGAACGCGGCAGCGTGGCAGGGTGGGTGAGCTGCGCTGCTAGCGACGGTGAAGTTGCCGGCAACGAGATGCCGGCTTGTTTGGTCGCGCCTGCAAAAGGAGACGGAAGACTCGGGCCGGTCGTAAAATCATTGTCGTCTACGTCACCATCGGCGTCACCATAGCCGCCGCCGCCGTCATCAACCTCGTTTTCATCGTGGTTGTAGCCACCTACGTCATCAGCGTCGTCTTCGTCGAGGAAATCGTTGCCATTCGCGTCATCCCCGCTGACATCTACTAGGGTACCATCGACGACGACAGCGGAAGCGGGGCTTGGTTTGGCTTGCACGGGTAGGACGTCGAGAATCGTGGCGCCGGGGAGCGGCTTAGCCCTGCGCGCTTTCTTCGAAGTCGCCGAAGGAGTGCGTAGAGAGCCACTCGGGGACGTTCCGTGCTTCGACGTGGTCGCCTGCAACAAGTTGTAGTGTTTGTTAATTGGCCCGCCGCATCAGCACCGACGGGAATTCATGAGGTTGAGGGCAGAGACAGGTTCGACACGGACCTCTGGGGCTTCGCCTTCCCCGGCTTCTCCAACAGTCAAGGGGCGCCATGGGCCATGGGCAGCAGCGATAGGAGGGGTAGCCGCAAACGTGGCGACGGGGGTAGACGGCACTCCAGTTGCTCTACCATGTTTCCCGCGGCCGCGAGCCTTCTGCGAAGTGTGACTGTGAGCAGCTGCAGGGGCTTGGCGCCGTCGCATATGGCTTTTGTCGTTGAGTGGGCTTGTTGTTTGGATCTTTGCAGTGTCCAGACGAGCGGTGCTTTTGGTCTCGGTTGTGTCGGGCCACTGAGTCCAGTGTCGTTGGGTATACGAGTATGCAAAGCCCTGCTGCGGGTCAATGCTGAAGCTCGAGGCCAAGCTCGGGCTCGTCGTAACGGCCAATTGGTTATCGTTGTATGCAGTCACCGGGGCAGGACTAAGCGTGGGATCTGTGTGGAGGAACTGTTGTTGGGGAGGACAAGGGGACGGAAATATGTTGTCGAGCGTTCCGAAGATGTCGAGCGGCTGGGTGGTTGCGTAGTACGGGGTTGTTGGTGTGTAGCCGCCACAGTAATCATCGGGAAGGAAGGGGCCTGTCCAGGCCGGCGGCGAGAGGGGGTCGAGGGCATCCTCCAGACCGAAGAGAGGCAGGTCCCGCTCGGCCAGAGCCGCTCCCCTTTGCTGGTCCATCCTACTAGTACTGCGTACTGTACTATCACTACGCACGGCTTCTAGATTTGGCCGGGCTCGGGCCTCGATGGGCGGCCGGGGAAGGATGAGCAAGCTGGGGGGTGCCTGTGTGGCTCCGGGGCCCGCTAGCTACAACCTCCAGGAGAATGTGGGGTGTGGCTGTACTAACCAAGGCAACTCAAGGTAGTGAAATCGTTGGCTTGGATGGATGGCCACACAGCTGGTGACTGAGCTGCTGCGCGCCCTGCTGGTACAGCAGGCAAACCCCTTTTGGAATACCGCGACGAGCCGGAAGACATGGCTGCCCCCTCGGGGCGAGGATCAATGGAGGCCAGCTGAGCACGGAGATACCTAGTGTATGTATGCACGTACAGAGTCGAGTCGGCAGCAGTGCCCGTCGAGCGACTCTTGTTTAGCGAGTCCAGGGATACGGAGTAGGTGTGCGTATTGCCCAGTTACCTTGGGGAGATAGGTTGTGCTCTTGGAAGCAAGCTATTTTATATTGCACGCAAGCCTCTACCGACATGTGGACCATCAAACTGCGCTGCGCAGTGCGCACATCCAATTCGCTTCGCCCGCGACATGGTATGTGAAGTTGTTGCCACGGATTCCCGCACGCGATTGCCCATGTCGACATACATAGTTGCTAGACTCGGCGTGTGCCGCGAGGGGGACGGGACCGGGGGGGCTTGGAGGACCTCGCAAGCACAGACCTACTGTCTTTGGCTGTTCCCCCCCTGCGAATGGGCAGGCAATGGAAAGGGCAGTCTCGCGGAAACAAAGCTACCGCGGGTTGCGATCTCGCCCGGGGCAGCCGCCGTTCCAGTCCATTCCCATGACGCCTGTCCGGTATGCAATTATCCTGGAGCGCGTTGTGGTCCGGCATACTGAGATCCGATGATGCGCCGACCGTTGGCGAGAGAGGCCGGTAGTGGAGGTCAGCGGCTCCAGTGCGCCCCAAAGCCCTAGAACATCCCCTTCCAAGTTGGCGGTGCGGGCACGGCTTGAAAGGCGTCGGCACGCCCTGGGCTGCTCGGGGCTTGCAAAGGCACAGCAAACCGATCAAAGGAGGCCTGATGGGTTGGATAAGTTCGTGGACAATTTGAAGGCACCGTGGAAATTTCCGAAAAGCCTATACAAAGGTATTGTTTTTGATGTGAATTGACCAATAACGGTGGGCAGTGGATTGTGGATAGATAAGGAACTCGGAACAGCTTAGGACATCAAAGGGCCAAGGTAAGGTAGGGAGGTGGTAGGTCTTGGGTCGGAGCATTAAATGGAATTTAAAGATAGCTGCTGTGTCTAATGTACGGGATGAGACAGGCACCTTACCTACCGTAGCTGATGGCACAGGTCGGGGGACGATGCAAGGAAGGCAAGTGCGTACGGATATTACCTTTACGTAAGGTGAGAGGTGAGGTAACATGGGAGGCAGGTAACGAAATATTCAGCAACCTGGAAACCTCACCCTCCCCACCCTCACCACTGGTACCAATTAGCGATTGCTTTCCAGCACTGAAGGTTCCCGCCACCAGCACCAGCACCGGGCTTCATGCCCGACGGCCTCGACAAACTCCATCACGATGTGTCTCAGATGGCAATGGCATTTCACCATTATACCCAGCACTCCTTTTAGTGCACATGGGCAGGGTTGTTTGAATGTGGCGGGGGACGTTTCCGTCGGCCGGACTACGCGGTCAAGTAATTAAGGTAAGGTCGGGTACCTTGATAATTCTCATTATCAGTATATGACCCAGGAAACCGACGAACCACGTGAAAGCCCCAAAACCCCTACGATGATAATGCACGTAGCTAGCTAGTGAGAACGTTCCGATCTATTAGATTTCGTGATTCGTCTCGGTCGGCTCGGCCGCTCGCAATCTGGTCAGAATATTTAAGCGTTCCTGACCAAAGGATCTCGTTCTATGCTCCGTGAGCGTGGGGTTGGGCGGGAATATGCCACCTCGCGACCGTAGAATCCCTAATTCTCCTGCGCAAGTTCTCGTCCAATTCTTCTGCTGGTTGATGTGGGCGACGCGAACCAAGACCTCCATGCTACGGAGAACAGCCCACTGCTCAACTGACACTTCCTCGACGTCGCTCGGCACCCAGCCCCAGAAGAATGCAGGAGCTTGCAGAAATAAATTCGTATCCTGGGGCTAACTAACATTCTTTTGGTCGAGAATCACTGGTTTCCAAGCTTGCCTCTTGGGGGGCATGCCGTTGAAACGGCACCACGGGCCCTTGATGAAATACACCGAGTATCCTAGGCCACCTCCCGAAGAACCAAGATGCAGGGCTAGGGTCTTGTAGCCACTAGGCTGTTTCGAGAACTGATTGCGAAGACCTTTTAAAACCGAAAAGGTAAATAGTGGGCCATGAAGCATTTGCCCGCCCCCACTTCTCAATCTCCCTGCCTGAGGCGCCACCCAAAGATAGCGTGGTCCAAAAACGCTCGGGGACGCTGGTTTCGGGTTCTCGACAGCTCCAGAGCTCAAAGCTTCGCCATAGCTTGAGCTTCTGCTGGTTTCCGTTGATCTATCTGCCGTCCGTCACAACACACACTGTCGCCACCGACTGGCCATGGCACGTATTTCCGCGGCAGTGCTCAGCAAATATCTCCTTTCCGGGGAACTTAGTTGCCGAGGGTGCCTGGGTGCTCGTCGCGTCTCCTTTTCGTCGGAGTCGGCCAGCTATTCCGCGAGACAAACACGCCACTTCACTGCTCGTGCGACTCCAATCACCGGCCCGGCTCCTGTCCCTGCTCTGGCCTTTCAATCCTCTAATCCCTCACCCGTTCCACTCCGACAGCAGCTCAAGGCTCAAGCGAGGGCTCTCAAGTCGTCGGGCGAGAAGCGCAAGAAGAACGCCGACAACCAGACGGTGCCGGGCTGGGAGCTGACAGTTGGCATCGAGATTCACGCCCAGTTGAACACGGCCCGCAAGCTCTTCTCCCCCGCCGCCGCCTCGTTCAACGACGCCCCCAATACCCATGTTGCCCTCTTCGACGTCGCTCTGCCAGGCTCCCAGCCCTCCTTCCAGTCCGACGCTCTGATCCCCGCCGTGCGAGCCGCCCTTGCCCTCGACTGCACCGTCCAGCCGGTCAGCCGCTTCGACCGCAAACACTACTTCCACTGGGACCAGCCCGCCGGTTACCAGATAACACAGTACTACGAACCTTTTGCCACCGACGGCCGGATCGTGTTATACCCGAGAGATGGCATTGCGCCCCAGGATGGCGAGGCCATTGAGGTTGGCATCAAACAAGTTCAGATGGAACAGGACACAGCCAAGACGACGGCCCAGCCCGGTGGCGTGCAGTGGCTCGACTTCAATCGCGTCGGCATGCCTCTGATTGAAGTCATCACCCTGCCGCAGATACACTACCCAGCGACAGCGGCTGCGCTCGTGCGCAAGGTGCAGATGCTGCTAAACTCGGTTGACGCGTGCGTCTCTGGCATGGAGGCTGGCGGCCTACGTGCCGATATCAATGTCTCGGTCCGGAGAAGCGACGATACCACGGGGCCCCTGGGCACACGCACCGAGATCAAGAACCTGAGCAGCTTCAAGGCGGTCGAGGATGCAATCATTGCCGAGCGGGATCGCCAGATAGCGCTTCTCGAGTCTGGTGGTGTTGTGGTGGGCGAGACTCGTGGGTGGTCGCTGGGAGGCACCGAGACCCGGCGTCTTCGCGGCAAGGAGGGGGAAGTTGACTACCGCTACATGCCAGACCCGGATCTCGGCCCCGTCGTCATTGACGATCAACTTGTTCGCCACTTGAAAGACTGGATGGGCGTTTTGCCAGATGCCGAGATTGACCAGCTGATTGGGGACTACGGGTTGAGCTCCAAGGACGCCTTATCGCTAATTCTGCTGGACGATGGCGCCCGTGTCCAGTACTTTTACAACGTTCTAGATGCCATAGAGGCGCGTCTCGGCTCCAATGCAGATCATGAGTCACTCGCCACGTCGTCTGGGCGCAGCCATGCGCTGCTCGTCGCCAATTGGTGTCTGCACGAGCTCGGGAAACTCACTGAGGTCTCGGCGGACCTTGGCATGACTCCGGAAGGCGAGTGCCGTGTTCCCTCGACTGACCTTGCAGCGATCCTCTACCACCTACACTCTAGGACTATTACGGCCAAGGTTGCCAAGGAGTTGCTTTGGAGCGTCTTCCGCGGAGAAATCGCCACCGGCGCGGTCACAGCGGTGGTTGAGGCGAATGGCCTATGGTTCAAAGAGTTGCCTGACGAGGAATATGCCGCCCTCGCCGACCAGGTCATCGAGGGCGAGGAAAAGGTCTTGGGAGAGTTTCTGCGCTTCCAGGATGGCAAGAGTAAGGCCTACCCGCATGGCAAGCTCATGTTCTTGGTCGGCAGAATGCTGCGGTCTGGTCCAGAGCAAATGATGGACCCAGTTTCTGCAGAAAGAGTGATGCGGGCCAGGATAGCTGAGGTCTATATTCCTGCGCTGCAGGCCAAGAAATAAAGCGGCTGCGAGTGCTGGCGGTTTTGCCACTCGAACTGAACATGGGATGTTAAATTTGCAGAGGGATGACATCCCGAGTCTCGATGACACTGGACCTTCATCCCATCCTGTGCCATAAAGCATGCCTATCCTATGACGCCGGGGCGCGCAAGCGAATGTTCAGAGACTTACGGAGTAACTACCATTGATTGATACCAGTTACGCCTCGAGCCTCGGCGATCGTGGATGTGATATGAAGTTTGAACTACATGTGGGCCTGTGACCACATCTCTTACACCAAAAAGCCCACGCGCCAGGTTTCATGGACCGATCCTGAGCTAAACGCGATTTTGCTTTCCAATCCACCTTCATAACATCATACATCATATCCCTAACTATTTAATAAAACAGATCAATAGAATCCCCTTTAGATCCCTCCACTCCTCGGGCCTAGGGGGGAATGGTTTGCTCAATAGGTACCCCATCCCCCTAGCTACCACACCACTCCCTTTCAACGCCTCACATCACAGCCGCCACTGTTGCCATGACAACCCCATACATCGCGCCGACAGTCAGCGTGTCGGCGCCGTGGAGATCCTGCTCGCCCCCAACGTCCGCAAGCCTGCGCTGCAGCGCCGTGACAGCCAGCCCCGCCACCAGAACCAGAGCCATGCGGCCCAGGAAGTCAGTGACGACGGGAAAACCTATCGTGGAAAGGACCATGGCTACGGCAGCGAGGCAGGCGGACTGCCCCAGGCTGATGGTTCGGTCGACAGGCTGGGGCGGCGGCCTGGCATTTCGAGGGGGTCTGGCGGGCGGCACGGATAGGCCTGATTTGATGCAAGGTAAGTAAGGGAAGAGAAGAGAAAAAAAGGGAAAAAGGGGTGCCTACCGAAACTCATCTTGCGCGGCATCGGGGTCAGCGCGTCGTCTGAAATGGCGGGCGACATGGCCGACGAGGAAGAATCCGAGATCGAGGCCGGCGGCCGGTCTGGCGCGAGGCACACGAGGTCCTCGGCTGGATCGAGGAAGCGCGTCTCGATCTCGGCGATGGGGTTCTGCGTCGCCAGGTACGTGCGGTAGTCCTCCACGTCGGCCATGGCCGCGCGCGACAGGTGCTGCGTCTCGGCGAACGAGGTGAGCACGTGGTCTGCTTGCGTCGTCAGCGGCTGTCACCTGGATAGGTAGGTAGATGCCTACAGGCGCGTCTTGGGGGCAGGTAGAGCGGGCTGTTCTTACTGTACTGTCCTAGCTTGAACCCTATCTTGCCGAGCAGGTCCGTCTTGTGCCACTGCAGCTCGCCCCCGGACATGTACTCCGCCCGCCTCGAGGCCGGGAGGATGAGCTCTGGGTTCTGCAGCCGGCGGGTCTGCGTGTCGGCCGTGTCGAGGCGGTGGAGCTGCTCTTCCAGCTCGCTAAGCTCGTCCTGCAGGTGGAGCAACAGCCGGTGGTTGAGGGCCTCGAAGCGGCGATAGATGGGCTTGATGCTCGGCTCCCCCTTGGCGGTCGGCATCTCCTTTGCTCCGCCCGATCGCCGCCGTGACCGGCCACGCGTGTTGGAGAGCTTGGCCGACAGCAGCTCGTAGCCGGACATTGGGAGCTTTTCTGCCCTGGGCAAATGCTTCGTGTGACCTTGCCCACGGCCCGGCAGTCTCGGCTGGAGCTCGTTGGGTGGGAAGTGGGGGTGTTTTGCTGATCCCCGGGGCATCTCGGGGGTCCCGTAGCGGGATTCGGCATCTATCCCGGAGGGAAAACGCCGCTGTCGTGTGTGCGCGGGCCGTGTTTGCTCGGGTTTCCGGGTGTCATCATGACCATCCTCGGATGACGGAGGCGACCTCTGCCGGAAGGTCGTAGAGAGTATTTCACCATCGAGGCTCGGCTCAGGGGTCGTGGCATATGTATCGGCCGCACTTGCTTGACCGTTGCTATCGACGCTCGATGGCGACCAAGCGCTGCGTGGTGACCAGTTGTTGGCGGCTTCGGCGATTGTGCGCCGGATCTGCTCCTCGGTCACGACTGGGGAATCCGATTCCAAGAAGCTGAGGGCGTCGGGCTTGTGAGGACTTTCCGTCTCTGCGGGTTCCGTGGTCTCCGCTTCCCCATGATGGTCAACGGCGGTTTGCATCAAAAGGGGTGGGCTGCTACCGCCCGGTTGCCCCACAGTACTAGTATGAGAGATCTCAGGGGTCAAAGCTACAGGGTTGGCGCGAGTGCAAAAGGGTGCGACGCTGTCGGCGTCATCCGAATTGAAGTCGACAGCTCGGGTCGAGCGGTCTTCATCATTATCGGCGGCGACAACTAGCTCAGAACCCCGGGAGGAGTAGCGGCGAATGGCAGGCGTGTCCCCCTTCGGCAGCGACATGGCAGTTCTCTGCCCAGCATTGTTGCGCTTTGAGCTTCTGAATCGCGATGCGTCCTTGCAGTTGTAACCGTCTTGGTGCTGTTCACTGGGCTGCCACTCTCGGTATCTCTCCTTGCCCGTTCGTCCAGAGGACGTGAGAGTATCGGCGGAACTATCCGAGTCCGAGGCAAGCATTTGTTGCCCCCTCTCAGCAGGCCCTCCTGCCTCAGCCAGGGGCAAAGCCTTGGTTGCCAAGTTAGCAGCATCTTCTTCGTTTGCTGCCGGTGCGAGACATAGTGGCGACATATCCTCGGGGGATCAACGCCAAGCCTGGCAAAGAGCTGCCACGAAAAGTGGTCAATAAAATGCAAGCAACGCACACCAAGATGGCAATCCCTTGGCAAGAACCACAGAAACCGCAAGCCAAAACGGTAAGAGTGCACACGACTGAGAAGGGAGAAAAGAAAATGGGCGGGCGCTCCCCTCCTACCTGCGAAAGAACCTTGCTTTGGACGGCCACAGAAAGCCGGACGGATCAGATTGTGTGGGGCGAGGTGGTGGCACAAGGGATGATGTGGTCAGGTTGGTCGGCGACACAGTCCGCATCAACAATCGTCAAGTCAAGAATCTCGTAGAGCATCAGCGACGACAGCACGACCCCGGCAATTCCAGTGACAGAGACGAGCATTTTGAAGACGGAGAGCTAGGACGCGGATGGAATGCCGGTGTCGGTGGACAGGAGCGAGTCTCGAGCAGCTACACGCACAGCAATTGTGGCCTGATAATTCTGTCATTGATGTTTTATATCCCACTCGGTTGCCAGCAAGGGGGGGGAGGGGGGGGGAGATGCCCAGAGCAGAGCAGAGCGCGACAGGTGGAGGGAGGAAAGCGGGTGCCGTTGTTTGCTAGCGGTGGCTGATCGTTCGCCCGCTTCCGCGGGACAAAGCCAAGCAAGCGTGCGACCCAGGAGTTCCTTTGGCTTGCACTAGAGATGGGAGCTACCTACCCAAGGTAAAGTCTCGTGGGTGCGCCCAGCAGTGGTGAATGAGCGATTGTTCCGATCGTCGTGCGCGTGCCAGTCTGTTGTCTCACACCACACATACACATGTTTCAGGATCACAGGCAAAAGCCACGGGATAGGGGACCAGGGGCTTGGGGGCTTATTGGGGGATTTAGGATTGGGGATTGGTGAGCATGGATGTTTGAGTGTGGGTGCAGCGGCGTTTTCCGGGCCCTCTTTGGGGCAACGCGACGACGCGTTACGGACCGTGCGGCAAGCACAACTAACATCCCGGGCGTTTCCGATAGCGGGCATTGCCCGCCGAGGCCCTCTTCTGAAACTTTTTGATCTTACTTCGGTTTAGGTACCTAAGTAGACATCGGGAAGCGATCTTTAGGCTCGGATATGACTACCATGATCTAAAATAGGGTAAAAGTGAGTTGCGGACCCAATTTTGGGACGCTAGTCCGCCGCCAAATACTAACGTTTTTTTTCTTATCAAGAAACCACTGTACACTAACCCACTGAAACTACCGTTGGTTCCCAGAGCGTGAGTTTAATTTACCCGAGTTGAATTTTGCTTCTCTAGTAAACAGCCTACTGAAGAAGCCTGAACTAATGAAAGCGGTGGAAGTCTGATCTAATCTTACTACCTGACCATGTAGCCAGATTTGCATTGGCGTGGTAATGACCATGCTCATGACGTTTTGATGCTCAAATTTATAAACTTGAAACCATTTTCCCTTTCGGACTCACGTCTCTACGTCAACCCCTTTTCACGCACCACGCCATCCCTTCCATTAACTGTTAGTATGGACAGCCTCTACCGCAGACTTGCAACTCCTAATATGACGCTGCTATCTATCCTTCCGGTTATATGTCCTACCCGGAGTCTTACAACCCGGATTCGGGCAAGTGAACTCCTCACTTAGGGTGGCATTTGCATCATCGCGGTGCTTGGCCGTCGGTGTCGCCACAGATCGGCGCTTAGGGCGGATGCGGTATCGCAAACGTCGCATTTGTAGCGTTTCTCATGCCTTCGGGTGATGTGTTTGCTGGGTGTTTGGGATAGTATACCAAGGGCCCCTCCTTCGCCCCGCTTGTCCAGCTCCCGCTGCATGGCGATATCGAAGCGGCTCCTCATCTCGCCTGCCGTTTCAACCTGTACTTTCCACATCGTCCCAACTACTGCATTCGGCCCTGCACAAAGAAACGCCGTCGCCATACCCAATGGCTCGTCACCCTTGCCGTGCGCCTCTCTCACTAACTAGCACGCCGTGAGCATGACCAGCGACGCAGCCACATAGGAGTTAAATATGTCGGCCACCGTGAATAGTGATGATGAGTAGTTCGGGCCGGCGTTGACCAGAAGTTTCGCGATTTCCGGCTGCCCCAAGTGAATGGCTGGTTGAATTGGTCTGAGCCCTACGACGGAGTCTTCAGAATTAATAGAGCTCGCTTTCTAGGAGTTGCGTAGTAAAAAACTCGCAACCCTTACATTTCCCTATTCAAGGCCGCGGAAATTGCAGGCCGACCGCTTGGCTGCTCATAGAGATGCATAACGCAGATACTCTGAGCGGGGAATTCTCTTCGGGGAACTGGGATATCCGGCCCGTCTTGACCCCGGAGTCGTAACCAACACGTACGAGAGAGTCAAGCCCGGGGGACGCTGCCAACAGTTGGATGCCTCAATACACGAGCCTGTCCCGAGCTATCCCCACGTGAATCTGGGAGTAGTGCCATGTATAAGCCTCGTCCACGGCTACCACCAGCCGATCCGATACCCATTATTGTAGGCTCATCGCCTATCCGCGTGACGATACGGAGCTTCAGTCGGATTCCCCTGTTGTCAATGGGTATCGCCATGGCGGTCCCGCGGGTGTGGGATGACTTTATCGCTGATGCGCTTGTTAACAGAAAGACCGAGAAAGAAGCTTGATAAACAGCATAGGTGGGGAGCATTCCCATTCTGGATGTCGAGGTTCAATAGTATTAATCCTAATTTTTCATATGGCCAGATATGGGCCACGGGATAGACTAGCACATTCCCGTAGGATGGTAGATAACATCCCAGCGCGGTTTTGAGGATGGTACATAATATACTGGTATATGAATTTAACATGGTACACAATATACCAGCACACATAGAATTACACTACTACATGATATATCAGTTCATGACATATGTGAAGGCAGGCATAAACGAGAGTCAAGGCTGCAAGTAAGAAATGACTGAATTCGTAAATAACTAAACTAAAGAAGGGAAAAGGAAAGGAAGAAGCCTGCGGTTCCTGCAGGCCGTGGTTTTGTGGTTGGCAGGGGCGATTAGGCTAGTCCTAATCGGGAAGGGTGGGGCGACGGGGTAGAACCTGCAGCCAGGGCATAGTTGCGGCACCACAGACCATAGTTCGGCCGTACCGTGACAACATACTAGCCCAAATATACTAGTACGTAGCAGTGACCTAGAACAGGGCTCGCACCAAGCCGCACGGCAAGGGTAGGGCGGATTGAACTACTTCTTGATTTAGCTGGCGCCTAGGAAAGAATAGTCGTGCGGTAGGCAGGAGGACGGATGGAGCCGCCATTATGCAGTAGGCGCAGAACCGCCAAACGGAGCGTGAATACACTGGCTACGGAGTCTATTTCTTAGGGCCCCCGTTATTTTTTTCCCGTTGGGGGGGCCAGAAATGGGCCAGCAAATTGCAAACTCCAGCTACCTTAACTTTGTGGGTGCACGCCTCAACAAGTTGACTGAAACGCCGTTGAAGAGAGAGAGGAGATGGGTCAGGCACTGACACACAGATACACGCAGCGCCTCACACATGATTTTACTGACCGTCCCGGGCTGGGGCGACGTCGATAAATCTCCACGATGTTGTGTTATGGCAGGTTTCCAAAGTCCAGAGACGACCACGCTTGCCTAGAACCCGGTCGACAGGGCAACCAACCAGACGCCGAGCGCTTGCTTGCTCCTATCAATCTCTAGCAAAGTGAGGAAATAGGCGGCAAATTGCTGAGCACAATCTCGTTCGGCAGTTTCGTTGTCCCAGCACCAGGCGTCCCTGCAGCTCCTCGCATCTCGGCGGTCTGCTTGACTTCGATCAAGGGCACTGTGAAGGCCCAGGAAGCGAGCAGGCAACGGACGATGATAGCGACATCGGGCACTTCGAGGGCGCCGTTCTCCCTGAACCTATTTTTCACGTCTTGTACAGATTCAAGGTTCCCAACACCTGGCTCTGCCGAACCCGCAACCGCGGCTTCTCCAGTCTTCCTGGCTACCGCTGCTCTGTATGACTTCTCCAACTCCCGCCCCGCAGCCTCGACAATATCACCCTCCTGAACCAGCCTCCCGCAAGAAGCTGGTAATCCCCGTGTCTGAGGTGGCGCTTGCGATGTGTCCGTTTGTTCGCCGGGCATCGGCCGCCCGACAACCATAGCGATGGCCCTCTCCAAAAGATTCGAGTACCGCGCAAAGATGGCCACTGCGTCTGGCGCGTTGCTGTGCTCCGAAGGGAACGTGTAGTTGACCCAAGAGTGTCCCTCAGCCGCGCACCGACCCGAAACGTTGTCGCCAAACAGATGGTCGTCCTCTTGGCTGCCGTGCAGCATGTCGACCAGGCTCTCTAGTGCCACGACGCACTCGCCCATGTCTTCCTCTGAGCCAGTGGCCGTGAATCGCACGGCCTCGACGACATTGGGATTCGCTTGTGGCACAAGGCCGCCGAACGCGATCTGCGCGACGGCGTGCGGCCACTTACCGAGCTCCGTTTCGCGGTCGGCATGGAGGATTGCCCCGAAGCTCGGGCCGGGAGACTTTTGCACGTCTGCGCCTCCGTATACTCCGTACAAGGCATCAATGAGCTTATCGCCGGGGAGTCGGCGGAGGAACTCGAGAGAGTCGCCGCCGAACGCACGCTTGTCGATTATATTGCCTCCCTCCTGGATAGCCGTGAGGACCTCGTCGGTGACGTATACAGAGATAACCCAGTCCCTGTTCTGCGCGAACGGGATGCTGCCGCACGCTAAGTGCTTGGCCATCAGAGTCGTGTAGCCGGCACCCAGCGAAGGTGCGTGCCGCGGCAGCCGCGGCCCCTGAACCAGCGCCGCCGACCACGACGCCTCGGCATGGCTGACGTCAAGCGAAAGACCAAAGCCGCCAAAGCCAGACAGATAAAGAGATCGGTCTTGACGCGTAAAGACCATGCCAGTAATTATGGCCAGCGCAGCGAGCTCTTCTCGTGTCACTCGTATGCACGCCCGGCCGCGGACGATCCAGGTCGATGTGAGTCGGCAGAGGCCCGTTTTGGTTTTTCTTTTTTTACTCCTGGCGACAGTGGCATTCGGTAACTGGTCTTGTTGCCGCGGGCGCGGCGGTTTTTGAAGTTCCCGACATGTAGACACCAACTTCTTCGTCTCGTGCGCGTCTAGGTATCGAGCGAACGACTCCGGCTTTATGACATGGTTATCGTGCTCAGCAGAGCCGACTCGACGGAGAAAGCGGCAAACGTATTTGTCGGCTCTCCAGTCCTCTGGCCACTGGTCTGAAGGAGCGCGGGAGGCGATGAAGCTCAGGATAGATTCGTATAGCGTCACCCACGTATGGTCCGAATGGCTCTCAAAGGCGAGGTCGAGAGAACTGCTCGTCCACCTGGCCCGATCGCCTTCCTCAATAAGGCCCGAGATGGTCGGCACCTTGAGCTCGGCAGTTTGGCGACCGAAAAGGGCAGGGATCCAATGCACTTGTTTGGTGTGGAAGCAACCGACGGCTGCTGGGGTGGACGTAAAGCGCCGCTCGTCGTGTTCGCGAACGCGCCGCGCTCGCTCAATCAAAAGGGCGGCCACGGCAAGACCAATTGCAAACAGACCCAGGAAAGTCCCGATTGTTTGGGCTACCACCCAAGGATCCTCCTCGGGCGCAGCTGTCGCCTCGATAAGCTGTCTTGTATACATGATGACACAGATATAAACAAGCAAGAGGGTCTGTGGTGTTTATTCTTTGCTCGGGTCTCGATAAGGCTCCCGTGTCGCTACGCGACCTCTTGTGGCTGAGGCTGAGTCGCATTAATCAGCCAAATGAATCCAAAAGCGGCTCTCCGGCGGCTAGAAGAACAACCAGCCCAAGGCTTCTAATAGGCTCTCGCACAACACACAACACACACTTCAACAGACTCAACCAGGGCAATTGACAACCATCACGAGTGCCGTAATCTAACAAGAAACAGTCCCTGTTGCAAGTTCGCAGATTACTCGCAGTCCCACAGCACACGCTGCAATAGAGATCGAATTACGACTCCTAATTAAATTAATACCACTCCGTGCTCGCCAAACCGGACGGCCCCGTGTCCATGGTCCTCGGATCGGATTCGACACAGCTAGAGCAGAGGCCTGTTGGGGCCGAAGAAATGCTCGTCGGTACTCTCCGACTTCCCACCAATGATTGCCAACTCCGCAAAGCTGCAATAGTATTCCAGCGCTAGGTTTCCGGGTTCCAACCTTACCCTCGGCTAAAGTGTTTCGGAAGGCGTGGACGGGAATAGGAATGGCTCGGCCGCCAAGCCAGCGGCATGTGCGCTCCAAATTAATTCATCTACTACCGACATCCAAAGCTACGCCTACAACGCGCACCCCGTAGATGCAAGCCGATGATGACAACCGAGTCAATATACCGAGTCCAGGATGGTAGCCGCGTCCTGATACCGAGATGGCCAGCAATAAAGGGGTCACTTGGAAGTTTGCCATCAAGAGCAAAACGCACAAGTAGGAATAAGTAGGGGAGGCAGGCTGTGGTGGTTTGGACGGACCAAACCTCGCTCGCTCGCTCCCTACGAGATAGCGCCACTATCAACCAAGGCGGTTCTAGTCAGGTTCTCAACATGGTGTCCAAGGCCCTTAGCACAGCGCTCGTTCTCCTCGGAGCCGCGCGGCCCATCTTCGGCGCGAAGCCATCCCCGGGCTGCGGTAAGGCTCCCAAGCTGGTAACGCCGGTCGCCGCCACCACACCCGGTTTGAGCATCACTTCGGGCGGCACAGCACGCCAGTACTTTGTCAAGCTCCCCGCCAACTACGACTACAACCACCCATACCGCCTAATCTTCACCATGCACGCCGTGGGAGGCAGCGGCCAGCAGATCTCGAGCGGCGCCAACGCCTACTATAGCCTCCCGTCCCTAATCAACGACACCACCGGGGTCATCTACGTAGCACCCACGGGCACCAGTGGCAGTCTCGGCCTCGGCTAGTGGAACAACGGCGGTTCCGACGTCGCCTTCGTCAAGGACATCATCAAAGCCGTCGAAGACGACCTCTGCATCGACCAAAACCTCCGTTTCTCGACAGGCTTCAGCCACGGCGCCGCCATGTCCTTCATCCTCGCGTGCGCCCTCGGCAAGGACCTCCGCGCTGTGGCCGTGCTGTCGGGGAGTCCGCAAATCAGCGGCGGCACCGAGCCTGTGGCCTGGTATTCGCAGCACGGCACCCGCGATCAGGTGCTTCCCATTGCCGGTGGCCGCCAGATGCGCGACAGGTTCGTGCGGTTTGGGTTGGCTAAATTGGGTCTTACCCCTGACAGTGACCATACGCCCAGTCCAAAGGACCCTGGTGCGGCACGGACGTTCTCAGATGTCTATACTTGGGAATTCTTCTCGCAGTTCAAGTAGGAAATGACACAAGGAAATAGGGACTGACGAGGCTGGCTTTTTATCTTGAGTTTATAATGCGGCTCTTGAAAGTCCCCTAACGGGCTCCGGACCAATTGCTTGAACTTACAAGAGATAAATAAGCATTCTCCTCCTCTCTGTTGAAAATTTGCCGTACGCTTGTTTCTACTTCCTGAAACACCAAAATCCTGCCCCCTTCTGAGTACAACACTTCCTCCCATAATAACCTCAAATCATTGATGGCCAGAACATTTTTCCTGTCTAAACGGCGTCTGATAAATTCGTCTGGCAGCATTGCCGAATAAAGTAAGGAAAGGCCCCAAATCAGACAGTAGCGTTTATATTCGAAGGAGTGTGTAGCTTCGAGTCCAAGTGCACTTACGAGTCCGAAAACTATTCTAATTAACAAGGTCATACATCGAGAGATGAAGCCCGTCCCCAGCTAGTGAACTCTCCACTCGTAGCAAGAGCAGCACCAAGATTATGAGCTTATGGCAACGTGGCTCAAAGGGCGCAGTTGTTCGAGGTGTCTGCTGCATTGAGAAATTTGGGCACTTAGGAAGGGGTGTTTACCGTAGCCGCCTAACGCAACAATCAATCGTTTATTTGGTGCAATGGTTATCACGGTGCGCCCTGACTAGTGTTGGATAGCATTAAGAAAGAAGCCGTGAATCGAGCTGCGTAGGGAAGGCAGAGTTTCCTGGCCTACAGAGTGCCGGAGACTGGGATTACAGGCTTGCTAAGAGCGCTAGGAAGCCAGGGACCCTGCTGCCCAGGACGAAACTATGCCAAACGAGCTGGAAAGAGGATGGCACAAGATACGTTGGTTCTATGCGATGTAACCGTAGAGGGATTGCGAAGCGCCCGTTGTGGCGGAAGATGTTGGAATAAATGGACGATGAGAGTAGGAGGGAGGTAGGAATGACGGATATAAGCCATGTGGTTTTCACAGGACTGAGACATGTTACGGACACAAGAGACTTAATATATCAGGTTCTACACGAAAGGGGGGTCGGGAGTCAACAAAAAAACAAAGAAGTTGCCTAATGAAATAACGTTCATGATATGCGAGTTAGCCATGATAAGCGAGTTGGCCACCTTAACGAAATTTGGTGGGGCACAAGCAAAAAGATGTTAGTAAATTGTTAGTGATCTTATCAATTTCTTATCGCATTTGGCTGCGCACGCTACCCGGTCTCGTTAAGGTGGCTAACTTGCTTATCATGGCTAACTCGCTTATCAAATACGTTAACACAAACCAATATTAAGAATGTTAGCCTTTTCTCGGTCGTCATAAGAGTCTCCCCGTGATCGCTCCAGAGCCCAGGATGGCGTCGAATGAGCACCTGGAAGTTACTGTGATTAAGATGACTGTGGCGCTGGAAAAACATGTATGCGAGGTGCACTTGTTACTAGGAAAACGGTGTTGATTGCTTGAGGAATTTAAACTATCTGCCCGCAGGCGAAAAGTCTATGTGGGAGATAGTCAGGTGGTGCATGGACCATTAGGTGGTCCAAGCTAGGCCAGGCTTGGCCTGTGCCTAGCACACACCCCTCCAGCCTAGACAGCCAAATGAAGCTATCTACAGTGCTCTTTTTGTACAAATCTATTTGTCTCTTGGTGGTTTGACTGTGATTACTGCGATGCACAAATTATGCAAACAGCTTTAGTTGTGGAAGCAAAAGGAGCCCATAACCTATGCGAAGTGCACTGTTACTAGGAAAACGTTGTTGATTGGTGTTGATTGCTTGAGGAATCTAAACCATGTATGTGCACGCAGGCGAAAGGTCTATGGTGGGGGGGTAGGCTGGTGGTGCGTGGACCATTAGGTGCAGGCTTGGCCTGTGCCTAGCACAACATGTTCGTGCGAAGGGATTGGGTGCGAATGGCTCGAGTAGCGAGAAACCTATCCCGGTCCCCAATTAGGATTCGAAGGTGGAATTAGCTATGTGTCACAATATTAAGATTAGTGAGCAAGAAAGATCTAGAAGCTGCTATGTGATTCTTCGCCACCAGCTTTTGCCACTATTCATAACTATAAAAGAGAGACTTTTGGCCCTGCCAAAGGAAACAAGAGATTAGACCTTTTCAGACAATTCAAGCCTTACCTCCCTGCATCAAATGCTTCATTACCGTTGCCTTGTGAATGCGCGTAACACTATAATTACTAAGGTGATCTCGACGTTGGCTCGTCAAACTAAAAGTCGCCCTCAACTAGTACCACGGTGGTCATGGGTATGTTTTTTGAAAGGTGTTTTTTACAGGCCACTGGAGGGATTGAGGGAGGTATGAAATCCTGCTATTGTTGAGTCGAGTTCATAAGTCACGAGATGTTTGGCTGATTAAATGGATAATAGTAGTCTTGTAGTTATAAGGCACGATGTCCAAAATCTCTACGTATGTTTCAAACTTACCCTTGAGAAGATGAGGTACTGCGTCATATCCTATAAAAAGTTCAATTCACTAGATTCTAGTTCATCTCTACTGCGACACTATACTAAATTAGCCAGGAAACGGAAGCGGCGTGCTGGGAACTCACAAGCTCCCGGTAGCACAACCGGAGACCGGAGTGACACAATTTGAGCCCCGTTGTAGTTTTGTGACCCTGCCTTGGCATTGGGCGTCGCAGAAGACGAGGACCCCGTAGCGGGTTCCAGAGAAACTCTCGTCAAGCTCGACACGCTGCCAGTCAGTGCCCGTGGGACCGCTGTAGCAACCGCCCAATTTGCCGTTGAGCCTGACCAACGTTAGAATACGCTCTAGCAGGTCTCGTTGGCGTTTGGGGGGAAAGTGCTTACGGGTCTTGGTTGATTCTCGGCCATGTGCTTATGGCTGGATTGTCGTGGCTGCAGTTCGGGGACAAGTCTTTGGGGAGTCAGCACATTGATTCTCCAGAGACTAAAGGGGACACATACAAAAACGGTAGCGGAAAGGGATGTCTGCATATGCTACTCCTAGCAACGCAGCATTGAAAAGGGAGAGTAGCGTAAGATTCATCGTCTTGGTATGTCTTGTGACGTCTTGTGCCTACACTGGTTAGGGAACTGTTCGACTGCAACTTGAGACTAATTTTCGATGCATTTCCCGCCTCTTATACCTACTACTTGTGCGACAAAGTTCCTTCTCCAAGATATATGCCTTCAAGAAAAGGCTGAATTATCTGCATATCAAATCACGCGGCCAAGATATTTTGCTCTTCCTACAAATTTATATAATTTACACTTTCAGCGCCGAGTGCAAGGGAATGGGGACAAGTAACCCCGCCGGATCCTTCAGTCTTTATATTAATGAAGCCTATTTCGTTACCTGAAGCGAGCATTGGATTATTGATGAGTCCCGCTTCCTTGGCTAGCTCGTCAATTCTACGTGTCGCGACTTTCGGGTAATAAATGCCGTGTTGCCCGCCGTGTGCTGTTGCCCAGCTTTAAAGTACTTGTCACCTTAGCCAAAGTACGAATACCCGCGCTCGTGCCAAATGACGGTCCGTCGTCAATCCTTCGGACTTGATCTCCCCCGCCTGCGGCCTCCATCTGGCGCTAACCCCTCTATACTGCATGACCAAGACTAAAAATAAAGTAAACTAGGAGGATCGAGATTGGGACCCGTAGAGTCGTGTTGGGAGGCTAAATAATCCGAGGCTCGCTCTTGTGGCCTGTTTGGTTTCCTTTGCTGTGCCTTGAACCTGGACTGGGTAATTAAGCTGTAACCGGAGATGCGCTGACCTTCGGGCTTGACGAGTTTACCTCATGAGGCAACCCTTCTATAAGCGGGAAGGGGGGGCGGAGGTGAGAATGAGCTGCGGGAACCCCTTGATGGTACGATGTAGGTAGCCCACAGGAATTTTGGCAACGAACTGTGCTTGATAACGGGGGGTCAAGGCCAGCAAAAAGACATCGGATTCGGAGCTAACACGTTACCTACACATGGAAATGACGAGATACAGAGGGGTTTCGAATGTCAACATGCCGCTCAAATGGGGGTTATTAACCATAGGCGCTGCTCAGATCGTTCTTTGCTCCCCCAGACCCATGATCATAGGTAGGTACCCATACCCGCAACAACAACCCGCCTCTACTCATCCAATTTGTATTTGACGTAGAGGTGGCTAGAATCTTGGCCCATTTTTGATCGCTTTGCTCTGTTTCACTGCCCCAGCCAATCTCGCCCCAGCCAATCTCGCCCCCGCCGCTCGCTTATTAGATAGAATCTTTCGAGCCATTTGATCCCGATTGCCGGGAATAGTCAGGCCAATAGAAAAAAGAAATACAAGAGAAAAGGTGGGATTCTGACCGCACGCCCCAGTTCAAAAGCTAACTTGAGTGAGTAATAGAAGCGATATGTCGCAAGCTCCTCGGTTTTGGATCTCGACCTTGGTCAGCTCAGTTGATTCGCAGAAACCAAAGGACGTAATTATAGGTACTTTTACGGGGTTTGAGACTACATTCGCATAACTTCTCAAATGAGCAAGCTTCACACGGTCTACTTTCGTGCTTAAATATGGCGCGGCGGTAGCACTAGATTGTTAAATTTATCCCCTACAGCCATCAGCGTTTTTGTAGCCCTGTCTCGTAGCCCAAGTCTCGGGTGTCTCTCGTGGCAATAAGAAATGTTCTTGTTTGGTCTCTACCGCGCCACCTCCGTTGTCGGCGTGAGAGGGGAAAAAGTCAGCATGCCCACGTCAGTCACCTGGCGAGGTCGGCTGAAAATGTAATCCACGACCATGTTGAGAATCGGAACGGGCTACTGAAGCCTGAATTCGTCGAGATATGAGTAAGATGGCTTTTCGTCGCCGTTGCTTATTCCATGGCTTGAAACAGCAGCGACGAGCCCCTGTCATCATCAATAGGCCCTGATGTCAGCACCAAAAATAGCAAGCCGCCAAACACTCGCCAACCAAACCGGCGCGCGGCACCAGGCACAGTCTCTGGAGACCTGAGCCTTTAACAGATTACAGCGGCAACAACCGGCGCAACTTACTCGCGGCCCAGGCCTGTTCCCCGCCGGACCCAGGCGGTTCTTGGATCAGCCCCAACCGACTTGGACAACATTTCATAGACAGACAGGGGGACGAACCGTAATGGTCTGTTGAAAGTCGAAATATAAAAGGTCGTGTTTAGTTCGTCTAGCAGCTCCTTCGTCATCATCATCATCCTCATCTCATCCTGATCCTCATCCTCATCCTCATCCGGCCGCTCTTTTACAGCCACGGCATTATCGAGCATCGCTCATTTCAGCCGACTTCCTCTTATATCCAGCCTCACTCTCGCGCTACCGCAATATCCAATCCCCCCAAGCCACATTTTGCCGACGCGGCCAGTTCTTCGGCTTCATCGAGCAGGTCGAGTTCGCTCTCAACCGGCAAACTTAGCAATACATCGACGAGCAGGCCCAATTCAACGTTAGCCTCGACAGATAAATCCAATGCGTCCTCCGCGGCCGAGCCTAGCTCAACCTCGGCATCGTCATCGGGCGAATCTAGTGCGGCCGGCGCCAAGGCCCCCGTTCCGGTTTTCCTCCATGTTCTGGATGTTGGGAGATCCGACACGGCCCTGCTTGACAAGCTGAATAATATGGGAATGGGCTCCTGGAACGGGCATAATCCCTGGGCGCCAGCGCCACCCTCATACCCTAGCTGCCCTTCTCAGCCAGGAGGTTCTCAGCAACCAGCAGCAGCAGCAGGAGGAGGAGGAGGGGGTTCTGGACATAACCATCCCTGGTACAATCCGAGCCCGATGGGCGTGTCCAACACCAACCCGGACGACGGGCAAAACAACTGCGTCTGGGTGTCGCTGGCCCGCTTTCAGAACCGCAGAACCGTCAATCAGTTATGGGAGGCGCATTTCCGAGGCAGTCTGCCCGACAGAGAAATCACGCCACACGGCGCGCTCGGTATTACGACGCGACTGAATTTGGCATACACCCAGAAGGTGTATGACTCCAATAGTCAGGCGTCTGCTTATCAGCAAATGTTGGCGGGATAGAATCCCGTTTTGGCGGCGCGGCAAGGTCAATGGTTTGATTGGATACTGGAACTCTCAAAACGTTGGGCACCTGGTCAATTTTTCTGCGTTCACCTTCCCAAGCGGGAGCGTGAGGTGGGCTTTCCTGGACTACCAGCACGCCGCAGCGCTGGCACCAATCCAAATAAATGCCAAATCAATCAAATAAGGAAAACCGTATTTGCAGGCAAATAAGCCATTTTGGAGGTCAAATTCAGGCCAAATTGAGGGCCAGGTTAATTGGCATATTTGTAAATATTTCCCATTGGTTGAGCCATTTTCGGGCCCAATTTTCCGAGTTTTCCTAGAACCAGGGCAGTCCCTAACTAAGGCCAACCCTGCATTTTCTGGTCCCGGGAAAATCCTCGAATGCCCTGAATTCGAGTGCCGCCGTGCCGCTACAATGCAACTATCGCCGACCGCTATAAACAAACTACCGAATCCTACCTTCCTGCAGCGATTTCCCTGCTTCCTTAGCTCCCGAGTCCTCGACAACATGCCTGCCTCCACCGTTGATGTCACGACCCTCTCGACAAGCCGCCCTACCGCCGAAAATCGTCCTCGGGCGAGTAAATCAGGATCCTAAAGGTCAGGGGCTTTTTTCCGTGCCATTCGGGGCTCAATTTCCTTGTTTTTTGGTGGAGCGGCAAATTCCGTCAATTAAGTCAAATAAAACCCACCCAATCAGAGAGAGCTTCTTACACAGATAAATACACCATTTTGGGCCTCAAATACAGTCAAATAAGGCTTTATATTTGGCCTGATTGAATTGATGCCAGCGTTGCCGTCAATTAGTTATGGGGGGCCCATTTCCGAAGCAGTCTGCCCGACAGAGGAATCACGCCACACGGCGCGCACGGTGTTCTGACGCAACTGAATTTGGCATACACCTAGAAGGTGTATGACTCCAATAGTCAGGCGTCTGCTTATCAACAAATATTGGCGGGATGGAATCCCGTTTTGGCGGCGCGGTAAGGTAAGGTTAATGGTTTGATTGGATACTGGAACTCTCAAAACGTCGGTCACATGGCCAATTTTTCTGCGTTCACGTTCGTAGGGGGGAGTGTGAGGTGGGCTTTCCTGGACTACCAGCACGCCGAGGGCGGTGACCGTACTCTTTACGTAGAGAACGCCACCATGATATTCATCACCAGTCCTTACAATGACAGAGAGAGGGCAAACGGGTTGTGGAGTGCCGTGGTTTCAAGAGGGGCGCGCCCTTGCCTGGTGCATGGAGCGACGAAAGATGACGGAAAGAGCAGCTTTGTTTGTAGGTAATTAGTACAAACAAGACCGGCTGCGCGGGCACAACGGTTCGGATCGGCGACATTGAGCACAGGAGCTGGAACTTTTGGCTGGATGGGTCTTTCTTGGTCTCTCACCTCGGAACTGGCCTCGGAGGCGTGTACCTAATTCCTACAGCATTACCTGTTGTGCGCGACGAACCTGGGCACACAAAATTTCCTTTTCCGTATCTCGACCACGTGACGTTGCTCACCCCGGCTCAGGTCCGGCTCAGGATTGGCTCGGGGTTTGCTGAGGGTTTGCTCAGGCTTGCTCAGCTTAAGAACCATTTCCGGAAGGCTGCGCCGCAGCATGCACAATTACTTCAACTCTAGCCGAGCGAGCCTAGAATTGGTCTTAGATTTGGACGATTATCCAGGGGCTGTGACTTGCAAATGCTTCTGAGTCTTATATTTTGGATGATGCAAAGTTATCTCTCCCTCTGAAAGTTAAAGTAAACCAAACGTACCTTCCGCCCGCAAACTAAAATCTCGTCTTTTCCCTGGGTATAAATTCCACCTTCCTCCCGAAATTTCCTCCCTGTCTTTCCGATGAAGACTTTCTTCAGATAACTACAATCACCATGGCCTCATCCCAAAATGAGCTCCAGAGGCGTCGCCTCTACGTTTCGTCGGAGTTCATCGCACACCCCACGTCTCCGACCCTCGACCAAGACCTGGAGCCGAATTACGACTCCTCAGCCTCCTCGATCAGTCAACGGACCAATCTCCCTCACCCGCCAGCGCTAGCGAGACGCTGGCTGCCCGAACAGACTTGGACAAGGAGCTCCACCGAATGCTCTCCCTCAGGGGCCAAATCTCGACGTCCTCCTCCGCCGCTGAGCGGCACGCCAAGACCCGAGCTGAAGGCCAGACAGCTTTTCGCAAGATTGGAGCCGGCGCCTGTGGCTCAGTCTTCGCCCAAGACGGAAAGTCGCTCGCCATCAAGCTCGCCAAGCCCCTCGACCATACCGAGCTCTGGAACGACTACCAGATGCATGAAGAGATCGCCCGCGGATTCCATCGGTACATCATCGACGAAGTCAGAGTTCCCGGGTGTTATTTCTTTGTCCCGAGTGACAGAGAGTCATTTTGGGACAAGCATCCGGAGCTGCTTGATGCAGCGAGAGACGTGTGCAACCTCCCCACAACAGCCCTCCTTACCGAGTGAATCATGCCACTCCCCTCTGCGACACGCGAGCTTTTGATTGAAAAGCACTGCGCACCGAGAATCAAGGACAAGGTGCGTGCAGATTTTGCCAACAGAGACTGTCTTGTCCGGGTATACCTGGGATCGACGCAAGGCAAGATTGGCGGAATGTTTTTCTCTCTTCGAAACTTCAAGCTGCACCTCAACCACATGATGGACCTTGAACTGGACACCGAGGCACTGGCTCGTAGAATGTGAAGTGCACTGGCTGTGTTGCACTGGGGAGCAAAGACGGACGCACGGGATGTGGAGTTTGTGCTGGGTAGCTCGACGAGGAAGACGACCGCGGCGAAACCCATCTCTGCCAAGGACCTCAAGCCCTACACCTATACCGGACCCCCAACGGATGAGATCGAGGACTTCTTCTGTCGCGTTACAGAGCTGTTTGTGCTGGACTTCAACCAGGTCAGGACGATCACTATGGATGGTGAGGGGGTGGCAATGGCAGTGGAGGCATGGCGACTCAATGACCCCTATTATCCCAAGCCCCTTCCCCAGACCCCAGCGGAGCGACATGTGTGGAAGGCCTTCGTCATCAGCTATCTAACTGCATCGCATGAGGTGATGGGCCTGGAGGGATGCCAAGGAATGGTTCTGGCCCTGCCTCGGAAGTTCATCTTGGGGATCACAGAGGTGGAACGGGTGGAGACGCTATCGCGGAAGGCACAGGGTACTATGTTGGAATGTATTTCTTAGTCAACCATGGCAACTAAGGTGAGATATTGATAGGGAGAACAGAGTTGCAAGTCCGCGGGCAGATAGCAACCAATGAAAAACCCATTGGGGTTGATCCTCAAAGGCAGAACCAGTCCCACTCCACTGTTCAGTCCCACTCCACTGTTCAGTGTCATCGCATCGTGGCTTTTGCGTAAGGTACTGGAACATCAACGTCACACCTTGGCTGTCAATCAAGGTAGGTGCCTAGGGGAAACGAAACTCCACATCAATCGGCACTCCCTAGCAAATAGTCGAAACCGCCATTATCACGGGTTCTGGAACATCCAGAAATTGGTGGGACCGGGAAGTGTGAGACATGTTACCAGGCAGGCTCCTCGACACGAGAGTGAACTCGCCTGACCTCGCCTGACCTCGCCTGACCTGGTCGTATCGTGAATCACGGGGCAGGCATCACGATCAGCCAAACTTTATCTACACATCTTATGCCAATTACTCGTCCAATCTACCGTACATACCTTACCTAGACAGGAAAGCCCACGCGCCGGCTAGCCACCCGCACTCACAACGCCCGAGCCCCCCAGCCGAGCTTGCCACCCACAACCAACTCACAAGTGCGGCAGGAAATTTGTCCACAGCGGCGTGTCGTACACCTCGACGGGCGCGTCGCGCAGGCTGATAAACGCCTCGGCGACGAGAAACACGCGGGCGAGGGCGAAGACGCCCACAACCACATACACAGCAGCGGCCTTGGCGCGGATGACGGCGCGCTTCTCGGCGCGGACGCGGGCGATGTGGATGCCCGGCGTGGCGCCCGACACGGCGCGATCAAAGGCCGGCCACAGCTGGCGGGCCGCGAAGAACGCCCACAGCAGCCCCCCCGACGCGGCGATGGTCAGCGCTGACGCCAGCCACAGCGCGCGCTCGGCCGCCGTTGGGAACAGTCGCGCGTGCGCGTGCGCGTGCGCCGCCGAACCCCCCCAGCCCGCACAGTGCAGCGCGCCGTACGCCGCTGCCGCCAGCGCCAGCACCGACCGCAGCCGGTCGCGGTGGATGGCCACCTGGCCCAGCCCCAGGTTGTGCAGCGAGGGAAAGTTGCCCGCGTGCGCCACCACGTAGTCGGTCTCGCCGAGGAAGTGGCCCATCTCGCGCACGAACGTGAAGTAGTACTTTGCGTATGCGGGACGTGCCGCGCACTCAGCGCGCAGCGCGTCCGCGGCGCGCGACGCCCCCTGCAACATGGCCGGTGGGAGTGGCTTTCGCGGCTTGGCGGCGTCGGCGAACACGAGACGGCAGTACTTGCTGTGCCGCAGCGAGGGTTGGCGCGGCGGCCCGTAGGCGGCCGAGTAGTAGATGAGGCACTCGGGCGCGATGGCCGGCGCGGCGAGGTTGAACGTGTACCGGAAGGCCCTGTTGCCCGCCACTGGGCGCTCGGCGGGGATGGGTGCGTCTTGACGGGTGTTGCTGCTGCGGGCGGTAGGCGCTGGCTTGGACTCGGACCACAGGTCGGAGAAGCCGAGGAACTGCGAGGGGTTTCGCGAGCCCGGCGAGCCCACGGACAGGTAGGTGGTGATCTGGGACGGTGCCTCGCCCGCGTCTGGTGTCGCGGGCATGTGGTCTGCGTCGGACGCACTGGGCAGCCTCCACAGCCTCTCGTCTTCTTCGTTGGCGACGTGCACGAAGCAGCGGATGTTGGTGATGCCGTTGACGGCGCTGGTGGCCGAGCACAGGTGCATGAGGGCCAGGAGGTCCTCGTCGGCGTCGGTCAGCACGATGGGGGTCTGGACGTCGAGCGGCTTACTCCACCATAGCAGGTAGATGACAAGGGCGCATGCCACATGGCCGCACGTGTTGAGCTCGAGCAGCGACACGGGCAGGTTCTGCAGGGCTCTGCCCACGACCTGCACCACCATCCAACCTGCCTGCGCGCAGACGATGCTCTTGGCCAGCCAGTCGGCCTTGCTCTTGTCTTCGATTTGCGACGCGTGCAGCTCCGGTAGCCGGCCGAGGAGCGAGAGCAGGCGGACGCCCTCGGCGGTGACGGTGACGCGCCGGCACGTGTCGTCGTCGTCGTCGTCGATGCCCGACACGTCGGCAGCGAAGCCGCCCATGACGGCGTAGAAGCATTGCGCCGTGGTCCAACTACGGGAGGAGAGGTGCTTTGAGTCGGAGCCCGAGCCCGTGTCCAGCGCGCGAGCCTTGGCGTCGGCCTCGATCTCGCGCTTGAGCCAGCGGGCGACGATGAACTGGGCGGCAGCCGTGGCGACGACCAGCTCCGGGGCGAAGATGCCGTACAGGACCCATTTGGCCTTGTCGAGGACGCGGCGCCGCAGGCTCCTGTCCCTGGGCGGCACGTTGAGGTGCAGCGCCGACCAGACGCACAGAGTCAGGGTCACGATGCATGACAAGACGAGCGAGAAGGTGCCCCGGCCATCAGGCTCTGCGCGCCACCCGGTCGTCGCTCGGTCTGGCTGGCCCAGCGCCGAGTGCGACAGAGCGAGGCAGAGCAGGTACGGCGTTGCAAACTGCCTCATGTGTCGGCGTTGCAGACTGCCTCATGTGTCTTTACTGGGCCTCTTGGTAAGTTCGTGATGTGACGGTTATGTGTCGCCCGCTGTCGTGAATCATGATCCGTCGGCGTCGACGTGGCGGCTATAAGAGGGGAATGGGCTCCGCAGCAGCCGGCTCGGGAACTACTGCGGCCAAGACACGATGGCGCTCAGCCCACCTTATACCACCCATGCACGTGTAAGCAGCGTTGCTTCGACTTCAGGCCATGCTGGCTCAGCCCGCTCGCTAACCTGATACGGTCGGAAACATGGCCCGATGAATATTGAAGTCAGCCTACACAAGACCATTACTTCTCGACAGTCACTACAAGGCAGATTCAGTAATAAAATGAAATATCCCTATTGCTAGGTACTCGTGGAAGTACGGATCCGTACAGGCAATGCACTCAACTACGGTTTCCACGTCCAGAATTTGTGACATGTCTTTGTAAGACACTCTCCAAAATTCTAACTACGAGTTGTAAACAGCGAATGTTAGTAAAATGTGGGACTTTGCTTCCTTTCAAATGAGGTAGTGGTGCATAATAAATGTCGGATTTCTATCTAATAGCCAAGGTGCCAAGGTGCCAAGGTAGGCTACCGGCCACCTTCCCCAGGTGCTTATTTGTTTTCCTCTAGACTCATTCTGTTGGATTCACCAGGGTACTGGTACTGGAAACAACAGGGCGTAACTGTACGCCGAAAACTGGTGGTTCAAGTGATGGATTATTCTGTATATCTTCTTCCTCTCCCTTTCTGGCAGTGCCAGAAAGGCCCCTTTTTATACTGCTATTGTGGTGGCGAAATAGGTGGCGAAGTAGGCCGCGAAGTAGGTCGCGATTTAGGCTGCAAATCCTCTGTTGGCTCCTTCGAGGCCCACATTCCAACACATTCCTTACTTTCTTCTCTTGCTCACTCGTCTAGCACTGATCGGTTCCAATGCGGACTTGGTTGTCTTCGCCCTTCCCTTTCCCTTTTCCTTTTCCTTTCCCTTTTCCTTTCCCTTTCCATTTCCAACTCTGGCTTGAGAGACGGGTCTCGAAACGGGCTCTTCAGAAGATTCTTTGCCCGCTGGTCCCGACCCTCTTCCCCCTTCGCTTTTATGAGTTCCGGACATGTCGACATCCCCGTCCGAATCGGGGGCTTGCTCTGAACTCAGCGCGGTCTGTTCCAGGAGACGCATCTGCTCTCTCAACGGGATGCCCTTATCTCTTCGCTCCTTTTTCAACGTACTGATACGTCGCTCGAGCGAGTTCTGGGTTCGGTTGATACCGGTGAAGTACTCGACATGCATCTGCTTGTATGTGATTCTGGGTTTGTGCCGTTTCAGAAGCAGCAGCAGCGCGTCTTCCACCTCCTTCCAGTTCTGCGACTCGCGGCCGTTGCCCTTCTCTCTGGCTGGTAGTATGGCACGGAGGGCGGCGGCGCGGGCTTCAAAGTTTTCGTCCCCCTCGCCGTCCTCGGGTTCTGGCGGGACTGGGACATTGGCGCTGCACCTGCCACGAGCAGCGCTGCCGGCTGCGGTCTTGGCACCCCGAGGCGCCTCGTCGAGATCTTCGGTTGCCTCGCTGCCGATGCTTGGCGATCTAGTCTTCTGGGCGCGACTGCCAGAAGCACGGTTCAACAATACCTGTTCCCCGGCGCTCAGCTCCAGGGTGTTTACCGACTGGTAATAGCGGGCCTCGACTTCGAGGCTCTCGGATTCCTCTTCCTCTTGCATGCTGTACGAGCAGTTCCCGTCCGGGCAAAAGTAAGTCGCGAGATACTTGCGGTGCAGAGGTCTCTGAAGATGTCGTTGCTCGTTTGGTTCGCAATTGGGGAAGAGGGGGCAACGGTAGGTATCATTGACTATTGGGATCTTCTGGCAATCTGGGTTTCGGCAGGTGTACCCAACGTGGAGACACATGGCTACGGTCCGAGGAAAAAGGCTTTGTAGAAGAAATAGTGGAAGCCGATGGTGGGAAGCCGATGGTGGGAAGCCGATGATGGGAAGTCTAGGATGGGCAGATTGGCCTAAATATGAGATCCGTGTTGACTGTAACAACTAATTCTGTTGCCATGATTTGGCGAGCTTGAAGACAGGTCTGAAATTTGACAGACCAAATCACCCGGGCTCGGTCTTTGTTAAGTGAATAGACCGACGAGTATCCATTAATGTGCTTAGTACACCGGATCCGGAGTTGGTTTGAACAGGCTGCTTTGTTGGCTATCGGCAGCTTGCTAGCCCTATACATTGGGACTGTTCAACATCCGATGGCGTTATTCTAAAATGTACCTGCACGAATACTGGGGCAAAAAGAAAGGGCCACACTTCACAACGGCCAAGTTTTGAACTCCCACAGTATAAACAGCTTGCTAGGTGTTGGCCAAGGCCTTGAAAATCGCTAAACTCACTGGGATAGCCCTGAAAACCTTTATCTTCTTACACTGTGAAAGATTAGCTTGTTGGCCAAGTAATTGGCGTGCGAGGCTTAACTAATTCTAGAACGTGGCGTCCTGAGCCGGCCCTGGGGAGGGTGACCCTTTCTTTCTTTTTGCCCCAGCCTTCGTACTTACCGATAGTAAGAGGTAGCTAGCGCAGATAGACTGCTTTTTTGTATTTGGACGTTTGCAGGATTTAGCAGAATTTATGACATGATTCTTTCAACTTCACCAAGTCTTTCGATATACTATTTGGGGACTCATCGGGGCACCCACCCTAACACTGCATACATACAACCACTAGAATAATCTACTGTGGTAGCTATCATAGTAGGTGACGGTTTTTAGCGGTAAAATCGGTACTTTTCGACGTAGCCTCCTATATATAGATGGGGATAGTATCTTAGCCATAGGAAAACATGTTTCAATATCCAAAATTGGAGCTTAGGTACTTAGCAACCCTATTTACATGCGCGATTGTTCCATCCCGCCCAGTAATTGTGGCCTTGGTACAAATTGCACTAGCGTGCGATAATAACTGTCTCTGACTTTTAGAACTCAATGTAGATACTCGCTTAGTCTATGCACTCATCAAGATTCTAGGAGCTTAAAACGGATAGGCTTAAAAGCAGGAATTAATTATTCGGCACCCGGTCCCTCATGCAACCCCCGACTCCAGAATGGCAAACCGGTCCTTGCTAGAATCCAGCTCAGCCAGGGCATCAAACGGCAACGTGACCATGGGCGTGGTGTGGCCAATGTCGATATTGAACAGGATGGGGAACGGGTTTTTGGCAGCCAGGCGGCCCTCGCAGAGCAGGCCCGTGATGACGCCCGCATACTTGGCGAGAGCCGCTTCCGCACGGTAGCCAAACGGGCGACCCACAACTAAGCCTGCCGCCTCTTCGAAGACGCCCTGCGCGATCAGATCGGCAAAGCCGGCCTGGACGCGCGGCAGCGGGTTGCCCGAGTCGTCGTCGCCCGCCGCCGTCTCGAGGAACACGATCCGGCTGCGCCAGTCGGGCACGATGGCCTGCACGCCCGCCAGCCGCGCTACCACGGTCAGACAGCCGCCAAAAAGGCGCCCCTGCGCCTTGCCGCCGCGCAGCCACGTCCAGGCCGGGGAGGGCAGCAGGTCCGGAGGCGTGAGGGATGCCGGGTCGTTGTAGCATGCGTCCACCTTTGGCGCGTACGTCAGCGAGCGCTCGACGTCGCCGATGGGCTCGCGCGAGGCGGTAGCGGCGAAGAGGTTGCGGACACAAAAGGCAAGGGCGGAGGAGGGTTCGTCGGACGAGCTGGCCTCGCCCAGCTCGCAGATGGGGCCGGGCCCGTAGAAGGTGCGTAGGCCGGCAACGGCGTACAGGAACCAGTGCAGGCCCGAGATATCCGAGTAGCCGACCACGATCTTGGGGTTGGCGCGGATGGCCTCGTGGAGTTCCGTGTCGGCCAAAAGGGCGGGTAGCAGCTCGGTGAAGGTCGAGCCGCCGATGGTGCAGAAGACGGCCGAGATTGTCGGGTCCATGAAGGCGGTGCGGATCTCCGAGAGCCGGTTCGCTATGCACGACTGGATCCCTGTGTCGCGCGTAAACAGCTCCCGCACCTTGTACCCCCGGCTCGTCAGCACGTTGGTTGCGCGCGAGACCGTGGCGGACATCACATCATTCAGCCGTAGTGAGGGAGAAATAAAGGCGATGGTAGCGCCAGGCTCGAGCGCCTTGGCAAGAATGGGAGAAGCCCGAGGCATTGTGCAACGACAAGAGCTCTGTGCGGGCGAGTTGAGGTATTGAAGAAATGGTTATCTGATTATCTAGACAATGTTGAAGGGGAAACATAAGGGGCAAGTAGTAGCCAGATGCAGGATTTGAAGTCATCTAGACTCATTATATACCTTCCTAGATAGGAAAAGGATGGCATATCCGAGGTCCGCATGTGGTTAGACTGGGCCCGAATGGTGATTTCAAAGCACTCTTGCAGCGCTAGTTCTCATGACTCAGTCATACTCCGTAGTCCGAGGATCCTTCGGCGGGGGCATCTGCAAGTTGCTCACAATGGATCTTGAAGAATTACTAACAAACTACCTTGAACAAGTATCCATGAATTGCCCGTGTTTTATGCTCTCTGACCTCTGGCGAGACTAGGAAGGAATCACGCAACGAAATCCGACTCAGAGATCCTAGGTAGATCGTGTTCCTCGCGAGGATCCCCACTTCGTACCGTGCTTGACACAATTGGCAATAACCTCTATTGTCGCAATTGACAGTAATTCCAACTCAGCACACATCGGGAAAGCAAGGCAGTTTTAGATCAAACCCCCCAGACGTGCCACTTCTCCTTTCGTGTGGTATTATTGGGCGTTATTTCTTCTCAAAGTCGACCCAAAATTGACCCATGAAGTTGTCTCTATTAGGCTGTCGCTTCCCTGTTAACATGCTAAAATACTGGCTATTTAGTTAGGTGTAGATGAAAGTAATCACTTCCACCGGAATGACTTTAGCCCTTGCCTCTCTTGACCACCCCCCTGAGCAGGATCACCGTGGCGAATATAAGCAAACACCTGTCCCCGAAATAGGAGCAGAGCCGCTTCCAGCTCTTTTTGCAGATATTACCTTTGAGTGTCAGGGTGGTTAGAAATTAAGGTTCAAGTCAGAAACAATTTTGATCGTTCAATTAGATGAACTCCATGTACGCACCCCGGGACGAGACGGCGTTGTTTCTCAGCCAGCCAGCCTTAACTACACATTATTGTCTCCTCAGACACAAGGTCCCGATTTTGTATAACATAATTTTGATACATCAGCAATTACGAATGTCTCTGACAGACAAACTCTTTTTAGTTTGGCCGTGGCTGCGAGGATACGACCGGTTTTACAGCAATCGAGGCAGTGCAGCAGATTATGATGCCTGCATTCGAGATATGAAGTCAGTTAATTGCGTAATGCTCCAGAGGGAGGAAACATTACAAACATCAACATTTTAGACTCCCGTTACTGGGCAACCCGAGGAGTTGGTAATTCCCCGATGCCGCCATTCGATCCGGATACGCGTACGGATATATGCACCTAGCTAGCGCCACGCCGTTGGCTTGGCCTTTGCCAACTTCCGAGGAATTAAAATTGCCAGCCCCGCTGGCGAACCTGGCGTTGGCTGTAAGGCGCATGGGTTAGGTTTGTAGGCGCACATTCGTATATTAATGGTCTCGCTTCCTCGAGAAGAGCCAGGCTGCTTTCACCAAACCACCCCAAGGCCAAGAACAGATTGACATTGGAAATATCCGCGCTCAACATGGCACAACTGCTGCCACAAGATGACGGGCTGCTCCCGTACTTCCTCCTCATGGTACGTTAAATTTCATTCGACCGACTACGACCCTCGTCAACAATTGCAAGGTGCTTAGTAGCAACCTGCTCAGACTAGTTCGCTCGCCATCGCCCACACGGTTGTCTGCTACATCTCGTCGCCAGTCGTCTCGACGGCGCAATTCCAAGGGCCCTTGGCCCCGGCACCCTCCGGCCTGTTTGCCCGCGTCTATGGAGTTAAGAACTTCTACACGGCGATGATTCGCGGCTACGCGGCCTACCGAATTTCCAACAGCGAGGTTTATACGTTGGCAATGCTCACATACGTCGGCGTCTTTTTCCTTTACAGCACCGAGCTGTTGGTGTACCGCACCTCTCGGCCTCGCGAGGTCTTGACATCGCTCATGATGTCTTCGGTGGGCCTGGCTTGGATGTATACGCAACGGGACTTTTACGCGCACTAGAACAGGCTCTTTGTCTCGCACAGACTCGCAAAGTCAGCAACGATGCAAAGAAAAGGAGCAGTAGATGGGGGAAGCAGGAATCGAGTGGTGCTGTTTGAGGATAAAAGCTACGAGGACGAATATCTAGGTTGTTCCGTCGATGTGGTAACGGCATGTCGATATCAGAACCAGAATTGAAACTATTGGGCAGCTTTAGGACCACCAACACCCACCCCCAATTAGCCAGATACCTGGCACAACATCTCTGACATCAAAATCAAGGTCTAGGTGGTATGCAGGTGCTTGACAAACGCTTGACCCCTTCAGCTCATGTGCCAAGACCAGTGCTCGCAGCTTGAGTCTTCTCCAGCAGGTAAGGCTGCCAGACGTCACCCAATTCCGGCTATCACGGAATATGGAGATTGGAAACATGAGTCAATTGATGAACCTCAAAAGTGAGACGTGAAAATGACCTTTGTGGATGCACGCCGTAATTAGGTACAAGAACAATTGGGTACGGCATTCGATATCTGCGTGGCCTGTAACGTTTACTCGTGCCCCAATGCCCGTTACATCTGCCTCGAATAGAAATCTCAGTGCAGGCCAAGGCCAATATTCATCATCTTGATGTGGGTGTCGCACTGTCGGCAGAACCCTGAATCAGGCGTCATCCGTGCATTCACCCCCATCATTCCGAGAATACTGACGTCGCAATTGCAGAGAGCTGCAGAAAGTTCAGAGCAACTCCACCTCCGTATCTTAGATAAGCTCGACTGCGAACTGCTCGTGGGGGAAGGCGCTGACGCCATTACGACGCCGACGTGAAGTGCCGAATCGGCTCCCGTCTCAATTTGCAACTGCTACAGCAGGTGACTTGCCGGGCGCAACACCTTACAAACTTATTAGCGAGCTCCGAGTTGGATTCCCATTGGCAACTTAAGCTGCAGGCGGACCCCCCTAGGCGACAGACACGCCAGAGTGCTCACCGGCCCGAAATAAGACCAGCCATTAAGAATCTGGGGTCTCGATTGGGGCACAGTCTGGTGATGCTACCCGGCTCCCTGTCTTCGTTGGCTCCTGTCAGTGCAGTGCAATGTTGCTCCTCGCACCTTCCCTGCAAGCGTCCTGTCAAGCTGTTGGCTCCACCTAGAGTCCAACATAAAGGCGATTGCATTCCAAGATTTCCACCTGGGGGAAGGAGCGGGGGAAGACGGACGGAATGGCCAATGGTCTCGACGTCGACAGGGGTGGCAATGGAACTTCCCGTTTTTCTTGGTTTAATTAATATCCCGGAAGCCTTACGTCTTTCCAAGTCGCTACCCTAAGGCTCCCTCCATGTCTCAGACCGTCTGGTGTCACCGCTCCAACGGGCAGGTCGCTTATTTGGGACAGCCGTCATGAGACCTACTATGGGAGATACAGGGTAGCTTTTGACAGCTCCTCCTTCCCTAGACAGACAGCTCCCACTCCCAGCCCCCGCATCGACATGTCACCGGCCCTTTCGCCATGCTCGGCTCCCACTTCCGATGACAGGCGGCCGGCGAGATGGAGCATCTGCAGTGCTGATCCTGGGCCTTGAATACCCAGGTCTTCGCTAACCTTGGTCCAATTTTTCTTCTACTCCAAATTTGTCGGCCAACTCAAAATCGCCGTTAAAATTCAAAATTCTGCGTGGCTCTCCTCTAGAGCACGCTTGGTTTTCTCTCGTCGGCCTATGACCATCGGGCTTCGGTGCACTGTGCGCGACTGTTGCAATGGCCGCAGACTCGATCAATGAGATGGAGCCGGAGAAACTAGAGCAGCTAGGGGATGTCGAGTCCGGCAAAAATGATGTAAGAGCCCCAACAGCGTTTCGGAGGTCGGGTGCTATGCTGCCCAATTGAAACGAGGGAGACATTGACGTGCAATCCCCTAGCTCGTGCCCACAATCAACTACACAAAGGACGAGGAGCGCGCCGTCGTGTGGAAGCAAGACCGTCTCATCATCCCATTGACGGCCTCCATCTACTTCCTGTGCTACCTGGACCGCTCCAACATCGGCAACGCGCGCATCCTCAACTCGGCAGCCCACAATGACATGCAGACGGAGATCGGGGCGACGCCCTATCAGTTCAACATTGCTCTCATGATCTTCTTGGTCGCCTATGCCATCTTCGAGGTCCCGTCCAACATCCTGCTCAAGAAATTGCGCCCCTCGCGCTGGCTGGCGTTCCTCATGTTTTCGTGGGGCGCCATCACCATCGGTCTCGGCGGCGTCCAGACTTTCTCGGCCACGGCTGGCGTCCGTTTCTTACTTGGGGCGTCCGAGGCCGGCTTGTTCCCCGGCCTCGTGTACTATCTCACTTTCTGGTACAAGACCGACGAGAGAAGCGTCCGCGTCGCCTTCATTCTCGCCAGCGCCACGTTGGCAGGAGCCTTTGGCGGCGCAATCGCCTATGGTATCGGACATATGAACGGCGCACATGGCCTGTCGGCCTGGCGCTGGCTCTTCATTATCGAGGGTGTTCCTTCCTGTCTATCGGCCTTCTTGGTCTACTTCTTCCTGCCAGACTACCCAGAAGAATTCCACAAAGGCAAGGGTCGCGAAATCTCACTGGCGCGCCTGCACATCGAGGGGAGTAAGAGCCACCACAGCAGTATGACGTGGCAGGATGCCAAGTCGACACTTACTGACTGGCGCCTGTATGGCCATTATCTCATCTACTTTGGCGTTTCGGTGCCATTCAGCTCGCTTTCACTGTTTACGCCTTCCATCACGGCTGGTTTGGGCTACGTTGATCTCAAAGCCCAGCTGATGACGGTTCCACCCTATGCCGTGGCCTATGGTGAGTTCTAAGGCGGCACAATCCTCGCTTTGATAGCTGGTCTGGATCTTGTGGCTAACGACATCGATGTGCAGTGGTCCAACTTTTTGTGTCCTATTCTGCTGATCGCTTCAACTCCCGCGGATTACATAGTGCTGTTGTGGCCTTTATCGGCGCCGTCGGCTTCATGACATCGGCTCTTTTGGACCCCAAGGCCTACCTGCAGAGATACGGGTGCCTGATCCTGGCTTCGGCTGGTGCGTTTTCGTGCATTCCGCCCTTGCTGGGCTGGCTAACGTCCAACGTGTACTCGACGGCGTCTGTGGGGCTTGCCGTGGCGCTCAACGTTGGCTTTGGCGCCGGCATGGGACAGATTCCTGGTGTGTGGATCTACAAGAGTGACGAGGCACTGAGGGGGTATCCAACGGGCCATTGGGTCAATGCCGGCATGCTGTTCTTTGTCGCGGTTGGATCAGTGGCCCTGCGGCTCCTTTACGGCTACAAGAACCGAAAGCTCCGAGAGGGTGGCCCGGATGTCCGCCTGTTTAAGCTTTGAGGGGGCATTTTACTGTTGCTCTTTTTGATTTGAAAGGGGTAGTTTGGGATATTTTACACGTTGAATGCTAATGGGACAGGTCAGGGGACCTAGAAGGGAATTTTTCGGCGATGTACAGCCGTGAGTGAGGAGATGTTTCCTGTAGACACCTTTAGAACTATTTCATGTCGGACCAGAATGGAACATGCCAGCAAATTTGACGATTTCAAGGCAACGACAGTGAAAGACTTCTAGAGTTCAAATAACTCAGCTACTTACACCTGCCTTACGTAAGGACACAGTATCTCGAATTGATGTTTTTATCCTCACTATGTGCGGTTTTCGCGAATATCTGTGGAAGTCCCTCCTTGAGCAGAGCCTCCTTAAGCAGACAAATATTATATGGAGGTGCTAGGAACTATACCCACTAGCTGTTAGCGACGGGAGATAAGAACATGTTGGAACAACGCGCATTCCAGCCACATAGAGGTGGCTGTAGCAACGCATTCATCAGCCAGACAGGCGGCGGTGGAGGCGTAGGGGTCCCAGATTCCATATAAGTGGCCTACGGCCACCTCTTTCTTCTAGATAGACATAGACAACAATGACCATCACTTGAACCACCAGCTTTCGGCGTGCAGCACGCCCTGTTGTTTCCAGTACCGGTACCTGGTGATTCCAACAGAACTAAAGTATAGCAGTGAGCAACTTAAGCTTCACCGGACACCATTCAATACACTCTCATTACGTAAGGGAAGTGACCCACTATTTTGACTCCAGGCTCCGTCGCTTATCTCTCAAGCATAACCCTCTAGGTGGGGATCGAAGGCCGCGGGGAAATACGGGGTAGAGCGGGGCACATAGAGCGAGAAGAGACCATTCTGTTAATTAAATGTGAAAGCACAAAACAATTAAGCCCAGATCCTAGAGACACGTCCTCTCGTTAATGAAGCCCAATTTTCTCCTCAGTTTTAGAGTTCGAGCCCCCTGCTCTTCGCCTAGGCCTTGAGTCCTTTCTTCATTGACCTGTCTCGTACGATGGTTTGCGACCCAAACTTGGGTAAATTATAATCCTTATGGTATTCGAGGACGAGACATCGGGCCAAAAGGTCGTCTATTAGCTCCTGGAGGTGAGCGAAAGACCCACTCTCGACGCTCAGTTGTAACGGCTCTTTTGGTTGCTGGGCTATATAATCGTCCGTAATTGTCATATCGTGGGTTTAGCGTAAGAACTTCTTGATATCTGATTCCTCCTTCGAGAAGTAATTAATCAACTCGCGGGCTTTTTCGGCTGCAATAGCGGTATTTTCCTCCTTGCCCAGCCTTACGAGTGAGTTTCGTGGAACAAAACCATAAGCGATAATGTCGGTATCTAGTAACATGGACGGTTTGGCGGCGGCGAGTTGCTGCAATGTAGGCGTGGTACCGGCAAACTGCTCGAAGGGATAGTGCATCGCGGCGACATCTTCCGGGGTGGGAGTGATGCCGGCGTGTATCCCTTTGGGACCCCGTTTTCGGAACGCGGCGATCTGCTCGGGGGAGAGAGTGGTGCCAGAGGACTGCTCAAGGGTATTAGGGGCAGACATGGCGAGTGGAATAGATCAGAGTATAGAATTTGGGTGCCCTGTATTAGAGAAGAAAGGTGTAGTGTAATATGGAAAGGTGCAGTTCCAGTTCCGCAAAGAAACGTTATGGGATAGTGGGAAGCCTCGGGTCAATACACGAGAAAAGACAAGGTACAGCCGCCTGCCTACTGCTGTGTGATAGCTCGCCCAGTGCCCACCCTGCCCAGAGACAAACTGCATCATAGAGCAGACTGCAGGTGAACACAACCAATCAACCCCAGCCGAGCCACTCGGCAGCAGAGTGACTGGTGCCAACAACCCAGTTGTTCAATCCTTCAGTAAATGGCAAATAGGCTTTGTAAATATTTCCCCTTATGTTCGTGTGAAGTGCGTATCGTCCGTCACCCAATCATTTCTTCTATCTTCATTCATCTAAAATGCAATCCGCGAACTGTGCTCCATTTCTTCTCCCTTTATGTAGGTAATCCGCATACTCCGTGCTGTGCCCCCCAAACGCCGACGCAGTGGTGTTGGTTCCAACACACCCAACCCCGACGGTATCTTAAAAAAAAAGCGCGCGTTGTAATTGGGTGCAGTCTATATAATAAGGGTTTTAATGTGGGGCCGCAACAAACATCAAAGGGAAGCTACTACGGGGGCCTTCGGGCCGCGGGGAAATGCGGGGGTCCTAGATTGGGGCACGAAGAGTGATGAATCTGGAGGAGCACGAGAAGAGACCACTCTATTGATTGAATATAAAGCAGTAGACTAGATTTCTAAGCACAAAGCAGTTGAGTCTGGATCCTGCCTGGAGACATATCCTCTCCTTAGTTTCCATGTTCAAGCCCCGTTCTCTCCTCAGTTCCCGAGATCGAGCCCCCTACTCTTCGCGTATGCTTCGAGGCCTCTCGTCATCGACCTGTCTCGCACGACGATTTTCGCCCCAAACTTGGCTAAATCAGAATCTTGGTGGAATCGAAGGACGAGACATTGGGCCAAAAGATCGTCTGTCAGCTGCTGGAGGTCAGCGAAAGACCCACTCTCGGCGCTCAGCTGGCCAGGCGCTTTCGGCTCCTGGGCTATATGATCGTCCGTGACTATTACACCGCGAGTTGTGCGCAAGTAGTTTTTGATGCTTGATTCTTCGTCCGAGAAGTGCTTAATCAACTCTCGGGCTTTTTCGGCCGCAAGAACGGCGTCTTCCTCCTTGCCCAGCCTCACGAGTGCGTTCCGTGGAACAAAGCCGCGGGTGACCATGTCGGTGTCCAGTGACATGGACGGCTGGGCGGCGGCGAGCTGCTCCAACGAGGGAGTGGTCCCGGCGAACTGCTCAAAGGAGTTGTCGAGCGCGGCGAGCTGCTCCACGGGGGGTGTGGTACCGGAGAGGACAGACATGGCGAGTGGAATGTATTGAAGTGTGGAATTTGGGTGTGCTAAGAAGTGTGTAGTGGGATGTGATTAGGTGCAATTCTACAAAGAAAAGTTGTGGGAAGCCTCGGGTTAATAATACGTGAGGAAAGACGATGTGCAGCCACCTGCCTCCAGCTGGTGTGATGGCTTGCCTAGTGCTTGCTCACTTGCCCCAGAGCAAACTGCATGGATGTGAAGGGACGCAAACTGCAGGTGAATGCAGCCAATCAACCCCAGCTGAGCCACTTGACAGCAGAGTGCCAACCACCCGATTATTCAATCCTTCGGTAAGTGACAAATAGGAAGTCCGACGCGACTACGCAAACATTTCCCCTCGTGTTCGTGTGAAGCGGTATCATCCGTCAACCAATCATTTCTTCTACCTTCAATTTGTAATGCAATCCGTGTACTGTGCCCCATTTCTTGATTTTTCTACCTTCATTCGGAATGCAATACGCCTACTGTGCCCCCCAAACCCTGATGCAGGGTGGGTGATGTTGGTTCCAACACGCCCACACCCGAACCTCGATATCGGGCACCTTATAGTGCTATATGTTACCTGTGCCCCGTCCCACTTGCCAAGTATAGATCTAGCTCACAAGGGCGTGACACGGGCACACCATTCTTGTTTTTTTGTTGGTGTGTTTTAATAATTTGACCCCCGGGTGCACCGTTAAAGCCACGCGTTGCAATTGCCCGGGTCTTACATCAGCCTGTTAATTTCAAGGCAGTCACCCGGGCCAAGTCAGTTAACCTATCGGTTGCAAGCCTGTTGCGATGGTCTTTCAGTGAACCTTCACGCGGGGCAGTTATCTAGGTCTCGTGCTGGGGGTTGTTATCACAGAACAGGGAGCACTCCCTGTTCACTCGTTCAATCGGCCAAAGGCTAATGCACAACATTTTGGCCAAATGCACGTAATTGGCTTTGCCATGAAAGCGGATCCACAATTGTAGCAATCGGCCAATAATCTACTCGATCGCGGTAGGTCTAGGTCGCGGGCACAGCACTAGGCCACAGCACAAGGTCGCAGCATTAAATTAGGTAGGGATTTACAGGGCCCGGGCGCAGTATCCATAACCTAACCTTGACTTCACCACGGCTCCCCAGGGTCGACAAAAAGGTTCGTCCCGGAGCATTAAATCCATCAATCAACCCAGAAGTTCAGAGCCTTTAGTTGAGCACAGTCGGCATCGCTCAAATCTTCAAATCCGAGCTTAAAGGTGTTACCGACGGCCCGCCAGGAGCAGTGTGACAGGTGGCCAGGGCTGTTAGGAATTGTCAGGCTTGCAGGGTCGGTAATTAGCGCTAATGTGCGTTGCACAGAAAATGCCGGTCTGCCGTTACACTAAAAGACAAAACAGACGTCTGTTGCCTCGATCTGGGCAACAGTGTCTATCAGGGCGGGCGTGCAGAGGCTTGACAGGCTGTTGTCGGAAATGCCCTGTGAAAGCAGGAGGACTGCTCAGGGCAGTTGTCGGTCGCCAGCTGCAGGGCATGGAGGTCCGAATGCGAGGTAATCACCAGGCCCCAAGGCAGGTCAGCAAGGTCTGAGTGCCAGGCTCTGGTGTTGAGGGGTCTGACTGTCAGGATAGGGCCTGTCATGAAGGTCGGGATGCTTGAGGGCCTCTTGCAGGGCAGGCTGACTACCGGGCATACGAAACATGTGGTGTTTCCGACTGGCCGTAGTCCAACTGGTCGAATCTCAAAGGTCTGTTCGGCCGGCAAGCCATGGTGTCAAGCGAGGGCATCACCAGGGTGACGGGTCCTGCGATGAAGCGAACGAGGTCGATCTGGGTGGCGGCGTATGGGCATTCCGGTCAGGTTATCGCCGTCTGGTGGCAGGCTCGCCGTAACAGCAGGCCTAATTCGTGCGACAAGCTGGAGTTCTCCCTCGACGAGAATGAAAGAGTGAGCACGAGGAGTTGCCTGGATCTTTCATGGCCATTGTGCTTCATGGCCATTGCGTCACAGGAAAAACAGAGACGGGGAAATTCATTGAGAAAGGCACGAATAATTGGAGCTAGGCTACAAGGAAAGAATCTAGTCACATATATAAAAGTAGAGAGCGCGCTTCACAGAGCTGCAGGGTAAACACGAGCACGGCACTGTAGGCAAGTAATTATGAGCACGGCAGGGCAGGGTAGGTCACGGCAGGGCAGCTGGGAGTGCAGGGTATGTGTGGTGGGAGCCACAAAACGGACTGCGCCGTGAGAGGGATCCCATATTTCTTGGGACAGACTTTCTGAACTGCGTATTATGGCGCACCCAGGCATCGGAGAATTCGCGCCACATGGTCGAAACATGCCGGCGGCGAAAAAATGCACCTTCGCCCGTGGTTGGTGATTGTGCCACTCCAGATTGCTCGCCCAAAACCTTTGAAATTGGAAAAGTGAAGAAACCATCACATGACACCAGAAGGCAGCAGTCGTGTATCGAGAAACCAACAACCCCTCGACCAGCAGTTGTGCCGCGAAAGACCCAACAGCCGCGCAACCACCTCGGAAGTTGTGCCGCGAAATAGCCAAGTGCCGCGCGACCAACAATCGTTTGATTTGTTTCGTACAAGCGCACGGCCACCCCATATTAGCCAAGGTCTTAGCTTTGTCCTACCAAGTCCGCGGCACATGTCTAGTCAAGCTATGTCAAAAGGGGCGGCCGACACATAGGTTTGTCAACATAGCGCTGCCGTCACGACCAAATCGCCAGGAAACTAAAGGATCGACAAGGATCGACAAGGATCGAATGGTAGGCCACATCATGGCGCGCCGCGATGTTGACCACGCGCCACATCCATAATTATCACAGACCCAGTGTCGGACGGTCTCAGGTGAGATGAAGATGAAACACAGGCCCGCTGTGCCCATCATTCATCGTGAGAAGCATAGTCTGTTGGTTGCGGACCGCTGGTCGCGGACTGTTGGTTGCGGACTGTTGGTTGAGGACTTGTGGTTGAGGGCTTGCGGTGCCCTAGCAAACCGCCAGCCTCTGAGACCATCAAGTTTCTATAAGATGAGCTGGATAACTCGAGCTAAACATCTCAGTCTTGCTCATCACAACACTACAGCTCACATCACCACAGCCACCAACATCTACACTCTCTTCTATTCCAACTCCAAAAACTACTGCATCTCGCCTCTCTCCTTCCGCCAGTCGGTATCACCAAACAACTACTTTCTTCAAGATGTGCAAACAAGTCGTCGAATATTACGCCGTGTGCAAGTGCCACTATTTCACGCACGGAGTTGACAAATGTCCCAATGTTGGCCAGAAGGGCCACCCAAGTCCTGTAATCCAGAAGACATATGTTGGCACCAACTGCCCAACCCATTCCACATAGGGCTGATAGCACCTCATAGTTTGGTATGTCAGTCCTGTGCCTTTCCCCTAGAAACCTGCTCGACATGACTCGCAGCAGCAACCAACTAACTCTCGTTTAATAGCCAACAATCCTTTCTCCTCCAAATCCAAGCTGGAATTGGATCCGGAGGTGAGGTTTTCTCTGAATCCAAGCTGGGCTTGTATCCGGAGATGAGATGGCAACACTTGTGGTGGAACCTGGGATAGGACATAGGGAGTTGGGGCTTAGGGACTCGGCATTCAGTTGAACTGGACCAGAGGACTCCCGGCAGTTATGAAGAGTTGTTTTCTTTTTTTTGTAAAGGCCAAGGCAGGCCGAGGCCGTCCACAAGATAGAAGCTTCCTCTTCTTCTAGCGCTGGCGCTAGATCAATAATTGCAAATTAGACAAATCAAAGTGTCCTTTTTGGTCAAGCAAATTGGACATTTATGAGATCAAATTGAGTCAAGTCGAGTGCTCAAAATAGGCAATTGGGTGGTTTGCAGGTAGGTTCCATTAGACAAGCCAACTTTTGGGGTTATTTTCTGAGCTTTGTTCTGGCAAGAATGTCAAAGGAAGCTCTTCCAGTCTGTTGCTCCCTGCAGGGCAGCCGCAAGGGCCTTCTGCAAGGAAGAGATTCGCATTCAACAGACTGTCTCCAACGTCGTGGACGAAGTCGTCAGTGCCCCTGTCGACTGCCTCCTCAATCCCACTGTCAACTGCCAAGTCAGTCAGTAAGTCAACGAGCCTGCCTGTTGACTGGCCTGCCCGCCGCATCAACCGCACAGTCAGGACCGCCGTGTCAATTTGATCAGTCAAGTACAGGGACTGGTCCATCAATTGGTTGCCATCTTACTTTGAGGCTCGGACCCTTGGAACAGTCCCATGGGACGGGACGTCGAGGATGGCGTCGGCTTAATTACTGAAGACAGCAAGATCTCTGTGTTGTCTGACATTTTGATGCACGGAAAATAAATATTGGCCTGGAAGGGCCGGATTGACTAGGTAGGTACCTATGTACCCGTCAGAGTTAATTACCAACGCACTGACCAAAGAGCTTGGGGCTCGGTCCAGTTTTGACCTGCAAAGCAAACAAAGCGCCCAGTCGCAAAGGACTTGCCCCCCTCACTAAATTTAACTAGAAAGTCAATCTACCCCTCCTTTTCCTTGGCATAAATAATTGATCCCAACCGGCGGCCGAGCAGCTCGCGACTTGTTGGTCAGGGCCATTTTGTCCTTCGTGGCTGACGAGTACACGCCGCCCCCTACACTAGCTTGTGCGCCCATAGGTATAGATCAGATAACTAGGGCGGTGAGAAATAATTCTGCCGCTGGGCCCGCCTTGCACCCCTGCCCGATGGAGAGGAGACGGAATTCCTACGCCCGCCGCATTAGCAATCACACACCCCCCCCGAAAACGATAATCAGCGAAATCCCCACCATTCATTAGGATTTTACGCGGAACCAGAGTCCGGGGCCCCCAGCAGAATCGCGGAAACCCCACAGCGCAGTGTTGCAAGGCACGCTGCCGCAGAGACGGGATTCGGGGAGCCCGGAAGACAGTTGAGAAACCTGTCATGGATCGGACTTGCAAACACCCGAGCGCAAACCCGCTTACCACAGACCAACAGCATCATCCTCTCCATCACTGCCTCCGCCGCCCGGTCTGACCGCAACACCATCCTCAACCCTGCCTCCCTCTCGAGTAGGTCAATACCCACTCGCTTTCGCATTGAAGTGGCAAGGCAATATGATAGGGGCACACCCTGGGCCTAGAGACCGGAGACCAGACGGCCGGCCTCGCGTCATCTGCCAGGCGCCGCAGCGGCACAGCTCGGCCATGCCCCCCTCCCTCGATGCCATCTCATCCTAACCCATCCCGTCCCACGCCAGATTGCTTTCGCGCACGAGCCGTCTTAACTCGGAAGGTGCGCCAACAGTCTTCGCCCAGCCTGGAGTTACCCTGCCAATCTGGCGTAGCAGCAAAGCTTCCCCCCCCCTCCAGTCCCCCCGCCGTGTCCCCCCGCCGTGTCCCCCCGCCGTGCCATTGTCGAGTGTTCGGCCGTGCAAGCTAGGAGCTAGGATCCAACCCCCGGAGCTCTTTGTGCAGCACGCGCAAGGCAAGGAAGGACCCCAGGGCCAGCTCGCCAGGTGAGGCCGGCGAGGTCGCGGCGTCTCCACTGGGGAGACGAGCTCACAACTGCTGCTACCACCTACCATCTTGCGTAGTGTGTGCCCTTGGCCGCGCTTGGTTCCTCTGTGGGACCGCGTTCGCCTGTCCGTCTGCCTGCCTGCCTGCCTTGATCTCTCCCGTTGCGTTCACTTTCATCCTACCTGCCTCCCCGACTCGGCCAGATCGATTAGCGCGCGCGCTGCATCGCTTCCCCAGGATGCGACCCCCCGGCAGCACAACGGTCGATTCGATCTCGGCTGGAAAGGACGACGTGAAAGAGCAGGAGCTCGTTGGCCCAGGCGGCACGCTCCCTACAAGCTCGGCTCGGAGCCTTGCAGCCAGTAAGTAAGGAACATTGCCTAGGTACCTCGCCGCCGAAACTCTGCTCGGCGTGTTGTGTTGTGTCGTATCTACACTTCCCTACGGTATGTATCACTGTCATGTGCGTGTGAGCGCGTGAGCGTGTGAGCGCGTGTGCGTGTAGCGTCCGAGAGTCTTGGGGCGGCGAGTCTGTGTGTAATGTGATATATATGGCATATTAATCCCAGACTGCCGAGAGCGGTTGAACCAAGAACCTGGTTCTCGTCCGGCCTTTTAATCGATCCCCATATAAAATAATATTAATCAAATCCTTGGCGTGTGTGTGTGTGTGTGTGTGTATGCTAATCTAGCCATGGCGAGGTTCACAGTCGCCGTCGCCAGCGCCGCCGTTGCCTTGGCTCTCTGGGCCACTGCCTCGCCGGCCTCGGCCCCGGCCCCGGCCCCGGCGCCCGCATCAAATCAGCTCAAGTGCGACACGGCGTCGTTTTCCGCGGCCCTCCCCGCCGGCGCCACGCTCGAGAAGGTCGCCTCTATTCCCGAAGGCGGCAGCTTCGGCGAGGGCGCCGCCGACATCCCCTATCCCGTCAACCCGACGGGCCTTCCCGAGCTGTGCGCCGTGACGGTGCGCGTGGCGAGCTCGGCTTCGAGCAGCTACCGCTTCGGCCTGTTCCTGCCCACAGCATGGCAGGGCAAGTTCCTAGCCGTGGGCAACGGGGGCTTCGCGGGCGGCATCAACTGGCTAGACATGTACGTGCTGCGCTGGTGACGTGCTGCGCTGGTGACGTGCTGCGCTGGTGCAGCCATCATCCATCCGACAATCCTGGATCAAGATGTCTCTAACACAATGCAGGGCGCCAGGGCCGCACTACGGCATGGCCACCGTGTCGACGGATCTGGGGCACAACTCGTCCGTCATCGACCTGAACTGGGCGCTCAACCAGCCCGAGAAACGGACGGATTTCGGGTGGCGCGCGCTCCACGGCACCATCGTGCTCGGCAAGACGCTCACGCAGGCCTACTACGGCAGCAATCAGAAGATAGCCTACTCGTACTACAACGGGTGCTCGACGGGCGGCCGCCAGGGCCTGCGGGAGATCCAGGAGTTCCCCGACAGCTTTGACGGGGCCCTCATCGGCGCACCCGCGTGGTGGTATGTTGAGCACTCCAAAATCAAACCCCCACGGCGAACTCGTTGTCTCTGGGCAGTGACACGAGGATGCTGATTGACTTGATCAGGACCTCGCACCTCAACAACTACGTCACCAAGCTGGGCATTTACAACCTGCCCGTGAGCGACCCCAAGCACATCCCCACGGCACTCTTCTCCGTCATTGGCGACGAGGTGGTGCGCCAATGCGACTCGGCAGACGGCGTCAAAGACGGCATCGTCACCAGCCCGGAGCTGTGCGCCTTCGACTACAGCAAGCTGCTGTGCCGGGGCGGCGGCAACTCGTCGACGTGCCTGACGAGCGCGCAGATCGAGACGGCCAAGAAGGTGTACAGCGACGCGTACTCGTCGGTCGACGGCTCGCTTGTGTACCCGGGCCTCACGCTCAGCTCCGAGGACCAGTGGTACATCCTGCTGGGCGGGACCGAGCCTTCGCCGTTCGGCGTCGGCTACCAGCGCGACTTTTTGCTCGACGACGCCGCGTGGGACTGGCGCAACTACAACGACAGCCTGGTCAAGCTGGCCGAGCGCACCGACCCGGGCGGTGCGCAGGCCGTCAAGTTCGACACGAGCGCGTTCAAGCGGCGCGGCGGCAAGATGCTGCTGTACCACGGCGTGGCCGACGGGCTGGTGCCGACCAAGGGGTCCGAGTACTACTACAACAAGACGGTCGAGGCATTTGGCGGCGACGCCGGCGCCGTGACCGACTTCCTGCGCTTCTTTCTCATCCCGGGCATGCAGCACTGCTGGTCGACGCCCGTCGGGGCGCCCTACAACATTGCCGGCGCGTTCCAGCCGGGCGCCATGGGCAGCGGCCAGTGGTCGGTGCCGGGGTTCAAGGACAAGGACCACGACGCCGTGCTGGCCCTCGTCGACTGGGTCGAGCACGGCCGGGCCGTCGACTCCATCATCGCGACCACGTGGAACAGCCCCCTCGACCCGTCGTCGGGCCTGCTCGCCCAGCGGCCCCTGTGTCCGTGGCCGCAAAAGGCCGTCTATGACAAGACGGGCGATGTCGCAGCGGCCAGCAGCTGGTCGTGTCCGCCGCTGACTGTCAAGGGCAGGAACCCCTGGTGGTGGTGGTGGCGGTGGTGGTGATGATTAAGGGGTTGAGTGGCTGCTCGGTTGGAGCGGAGCGCACACGATGTGTATTTGTGCGCATGAGTCTTGTCTTGAAGCCGCATAGTCAATTGATACGTTGACGCAAGGCGATAGCAAATATTTCTCCTCATTGTGAATCTGTTTACCATGTGATGACGAAGATAGTTGAAGGGGGTCAGTTCGAAGTACGCACATGCATGTTTGCGGAATACCTACCACCTTCAGGCCCGAGCCTAGAATCGGTAGAGTCTACCCTCTTTATCCAAGCTGAGGAATTATTGTAGGTGCTAGTACTATTGTAGGAGCTGGTACTATTGTAGGAGCTGGTTCTCCTCGTTGGGGAGCTCGTCCGTCATAACCTGCCATTGCCAAGCTCACGTCAGTTCGACCTGCACGTTAGTGCTTCTCCAACATGCTCCAACAATGCCCAAAACGAAGCTGATCGACACAGCACCACACCTCCACCGCCAGGATCAACGACGTCATCTTGTACCGCCATCAATTAACTCGCCGCGATGCCTTCACAGTATCCGCTCCTGGCATCGGCATTCGTGCCACCCATCCCCATCCCCGGCGGCAATGCACAGCACGATAATACCAGTCTCGCTCGAACAAGACTCCAAAACCGTCGCCCAGTCCCGTAGCTGAAAACACCGACAGAAACAAACACCGACAGAAACACACGCCGCACGCCACACACAGCGATGGGCGACGCCAACATCTTTGTCAGTAATGGCACGTGCTACTCGGCGGCTGGGCAGAAGCTCGACAACAGCTTCATCCCATGCGGCAACGACGCCTTCGGCCACCAGACGTGCTGCGGCGCCGGCGACAACTGCCTCGTCGACAATGCCTGCTGGGGCCTGCACGGCACCGGCTACGGCAGCTCCCTGACGTACATGGCCGGCTGCACCGACCCGGAGTACAAGGACGCGAGCTGTCCGCAGAAGTTCTTTGGTGAGACTGTCTCGCCGAGTGATCAATTGGCCAAAAGACCAGCGAAGCTAACCAGTAAGCACCCAACCACAGACCAGCCGTGGGTCGCGCTCACGCACTGCGACAACAACGACGGTTCGTGGGCGGCGTGCTCGCAGTCGGCCGGCCCGTCGACGCTGCAGCCGGGCTCGTTCTGCACCTGCACCGACGCCGCCAAGACGACCGTCGCCTTCAAAGACACCAACACGCTCAGCAGCCGCGCGTCGCTGCCCCAGAGCGCAGGCGACAGCATCCAGTTCTTCGTCGGCTACGTGCCCACCTCGCCGTCCTCGTCATCACACACGCAGACGCAGCTGGGGTCTCAGTCTTTGCCGTCGCCGTCGCCGTCGCCGTCTGGCAGCCCGACTTCTCCCGCGTCCACGCCCGCAACCCAAACCAGCGGCTCCTCTGGCTCCACGGGCACGGGGGCGCCAGGATCGTCAAACACCGGCACCGCATCGCAAACGGCACCAGCATCTTCCAGCAGCGACAACAGCAGCAGCGATGGCAGTAGCAGCAGCGATGGCAGTGGCAGCAGCGATGGTCTCAGCTCCAGCGCCAAAGCAGGCATCATCGGAGGTGTGGTGGGCGGGGCGGTGCTACTCGCAGCGCTGGCCGTGCTATTTTTTCTGCGCAGGAGGCGGCAGCGCGGGTCGGCAGGCGTCGAGAGCGGCAAGAAGCAGCACTACCACAGCGAAAACAAGAACGACAAGGTGCCGTCGACGGCCGCGGCGTCCGAGGCCGACGGGGTGCCCGTTTCTGAGGCCGATGGGCGCGCGGCGCGGCCGTGGAGCATGCGCAGCGAGCTCGAGGGCAGCCAGCCGGCGACGTCGATGGCGCCGTCCAGCCTGGCTGAGCGCGTCTCGGGCGAAGGAACTGCTGGTATTGGGACAGGGGCAGCTGGTGACGGGCTTCATCATCATGACGCAGGCGGCGAGCTGAGCCCTGTTGCCGAGCTACCGGGGAGCGAGAGCTGGAGCAACAGGTAGCGCGGTGGTGTAGACGCTGGTGTAGACGCTGGTGTAGACGCTGGTGTAGACGCTGGTAATGAGTGGCCACGACACAGTAAGCGCTTGGATGATACACGGAACGAACCCCTTGCGTAATTAAGGGCGGACAAACACGGAGAAGATGGCTTGTAATGAACTAAGCTGCGGAGCGATCTAATACCCCTAATATTCTTGTTTCATATATAGAACAATACCAAAACTGTCAACCCCCAAGTTTAGCGGTCGTCTAGCCCCTTGGGTGACGTTCAACTTGCCCTCGCAGATACCAAGTCCACTCCTAACCCGACTTGAGGCATACAAAAATCCAGCTCCTGTTAATCTGCAATTCTTCATTCGACTATCGTGAAAGTAGTAGCGTTTCTCCCCAAAATCTAGGAAAAGGAGAAAAAGAAAGCTAGATTACAGGCCACCCCTATATCAACAACCAACATTTTCCCCCGGACCCCTTATCCCCCTCGCCAGGACTCGCCTACAAGTCATTTGCCAGGCAAAACAGCCCACCCAAAGCTCTGCATTAACTCCGCCACCTCGGGGGTCAGCGGCCGCTTGTAAAGCCTAACAATCACCTTCTTCTTCCACGAGCCAATAGCCCTAAACTCGGCATCCACCTCGGCCAACACCTGCTCTACGTGCCGCGACATCCCCCCTCCTGGCCCGCCGCCGCCGCGACGAGACCCCGCGAGTTCTCACTGTGCACATACATCTCCACCGTTGTCAAGCCGCGGCACCTGTCTCGGATGAGCCTCAGCCCGCGCAACTCGTCCTCGCAGAGCATACTCGGCCCCATCCTGTCTCCCGTCGTTCGCTGCTCGCCTGTGACGTCGACGGCGACGGCGGGGAAGTTGATGCAGATGTGGCGCAGACACGCCGCGTTGGCGGGCCTGATCAAGCGCAGGAAGGACTGCAGGAGAGCGGCCTGGCCGCTGCGCGCCGTGTCGGCCAGCACGAACTGGTGCGACCCGTACAGTGTTTCGACGGCTTGGTCGTGGATCGCGCGGCTGGTGTAGAGCAGCGCTAGCTACCGCGGTGGCTAGTCTGGTGCGAAGAGCTCGACTTTGTGGGAGGTGCCCTGTGTGTAGAGGTAGAGCGGATGGGGCACGACGAGGACTCGGCGGTAGATGTCGTCGCGGACGTCGCGAGGTAGCCGGGAGAGGCGGGGCCCCGTTTCGTTGGAGCAAGACTTGGACTCCATCGCGACGGTCGTCCGTTTTGGGTTGTGGTTATTGGGAGTGGACTGGGAGGAGACGGAGGATCAACGCAAGAAATTAAATCACGGTTGTCGGGGAGCGAGTGTAAGGAGGTTCAGCCCAAGAGCCCCGAGCCCCCTGCATGGGAAATAGGTAGTAGCAGTGTATTTTGGAATGACTCCCTTGTGTCGTTGAGCGAGACCCGCCAGGGGGCAATTTTCAACCCTGGATCGTCAGCCGACGACCCAAGAAAGATCACGGGCCCGTCTAGACGCCTCTGGTGCAGTGAGGTTGGTGCATCTGCTTCGTGCGCTGGGTTGGGCGGCTGGTCGATGCGATGCTCCGGGTGTGTTGGACATGGGATCCGGGAGAAGACATTTAGCGATTGCCCAAGATAAAGAAGGTAACACACAGTACACCAAAGCAGGGTTGTTTCTTTGTTCGAATCTCTACGGAGGATCGAGGAGCAAACTTCCACGGTCTTAATTCCACGTTTCACAGTGTTGTTCTGAATTTCGCGGTCATAGTCACAGAACCAACGACAGAGTCACACCGGCCGACTCACTAACTCGCTTAAGACACATAAGACACACACATACGTTGCCTTCTCTATGGCAATATCCTATTTCCAAAACAAACCCCGTCCTATGTCTCGGCTTACTACATGCTAGCGCCTTGGGATTACATCAGTCCTACGACGCGTCGCCTTGCAAATACCTAGACTGGGTCTTAATTACAGTTGACCTGTCAATTATTACCAGTCAGCTGTCCGAACCGGCCAACCAACCTGTCAGTCAATTGTAGGGCAATTGCCTAGACCAGTCCGTTGACCTGTCATTTGAAGGGCGGTTGCCAGGGCCAGTCAGTCAGCCTGTCAGTTGTGAAGCAGTTGCCTGGGCCACCACCAAGACAACGAGGATGTCGCTATCGAAAGATCGGATATCGATATTTTGATCACGAATCCAGTGTCCCACCAGATCTTTGGAGCGTGGCATACCGTGAGGCGGTAGACAGTCTTGGGAATAACATAGACGATGCCATTTTATAGATGGAGAATGTTGCCGAGCTATTCACTACTCAGGAATGCAGATTCCTGCGGGGGGTGAAATACTTACACTTGCAGCAGATGCAAGCTGATATAGCCTGTGAGTCCTTACTCGCGGACGCCAAGTTCATCCAGTGGTACAACGTTAAGCTGGTGATTGTTGGTGAAACGGGCTCCGGAAAGTCCGTTGCCATGTCTTTTCTCATAAGACGAGCTGCGCAAGCGAAACAAGCGCCGGCTTCCCCGACCCAAAGTATGCTACCACTATTGCCAGAGCGACGTGGGCAGTCAGGCGATCCACGTATTCTGCGCCCTCATTCTGTCGCTCCTTGAGCAACCCCCCGGCCTCAAGAGGACCTTTTCCGAATGATACAAGTGCGCAATGGCTTCTGGGATAGAGCCGGCAACGAACTTCAAAAAACTGAGGGGTGGCTGCGGAGCACTCTGAAAACACTCGATCGCCCGCTCATCTTCGCCATTGACGGCCTGGAGTGCGACAGACAATCTCGGGGGCGTCTGCTCACTTCGCTGAAAGCCGTCTCGGGCAAGACTTCGATTCTCAAAATTCTGCTTTCCACCCGACCCGAAGAGAGGATCTTGGAGCAACTGAACGGAATGGGTAAGATTCAAATGGAATGCAGTGCCACGCGGGACCGCCTGGTCGTGGAGAAGACAGCTGCGACCCCGCTTTCCTACTTGCCCGACCAGGTGAAAGTGCTCGTTATGGAAGCGCTATCCTGCTCAGCACGGGGCAGCGGGATATGGACGAGGATGATAGTCGAGCTCATCGAAACCTGCGCCATCAGGGCACTGGGTCCAATGCGTGCATTTCTAGACGAGATGCCACAGGCCAGCCAGCTCCGGGAGCTGTATGCGAGCCTGTATTCGCGCTACACAGCCGATGACCCTGAGAATCAAATCCCTGCGACCACGGCCTTGGAAATCCTCGCAGTCGCTAGATGGCCTCTGAGCATGCTAGAACTTGGCTGGGCTGTGGCCCTCGGCGCCGCTGACGAAACGGTCCGGAACGTGGACGCGCTTGCCCAGCGGGTAGACTACCAAAGGTTCATGAGCTTGATTCAGCCATTCGTGGCTCATGTCGACTTTGTTGAAGTGGCGAAACACCAGGTCAAACTTGTGCATCAGTCAGTGAAGGAGTTTGTCATCAACTTCATCAGCCTTGCATCGGATGAGCCCAGCAAGCCTATCAGGGCCTATGCAACACTAGCACCACCGCTTCCGGCGCCTATGCGGCGGCAGCGCATGGAGCAGCTAGAGGCAGGCATCCTAGCCATCTCCGTCAGGTATCTTCTCCTCCACGAAATTGGCGAGAATAACCTGCTTGCCGAAGAGCGCTTGGTGCTCGAGGAGCTGCCACAAGATCCCGACCTGTTCGACGATGACCATGTACCGACCGAAGTCAGTCTCTACTGCTCGTAGGAGGCGTGGGAAAAGGACATAGTTCACTACGAGCCAACCGAGTGCGGCTTCGGTGAGCTGTTTGTCTATGCTTCGTGCCACTGGACCGAGCACTTTAGAGCCGTCTCAGCTGCGTCTCTCCTCCCAAGCGTCGCCGACATAGAGGTTTTGTGCCGGGCTGGCTCGACGCGGTTGCACAGCTGGATCGTGCAGAACTGTCGCCCAGATTGTGCGACCAGGCCCAGGCTCGCATTCGACAGCAGCCTGTATGGCGCGCTCAACATCACTTCTCTCTACGGCTCGGAGGCCATGCTCCAGCGTGTGCTTAACGAGTCGGATTTGGACGGTCCGGGGGATGCATTCCTCCCCAGACCGGTCATGAAAGCTGCAGACCAGATCCTCCAGTGGAGTAATAACTTGGAGAGACTAAGAATTCTCTGGGAGAGTAAAGCCGGCCAACAAATCCACAACTGCGAGTTTTTCTGGCTTGTTTTGGGTCAATGGTCGAAATTGCTATCAGAGAAGCATCGCGTGGGCTGGGACGGGGTATTCGGACTCCCTGACCATGTATATGACACTATAGTTGAAGGGCGATGGGGCAGCGCTCTCTTGAGCAAGGCCGTCAGAGTGGTGTGCCTGCCCATGGCTCGGGGACGGTTCGGCGCGGCTCAGCACCGGATCCGGCTCAGCACCGAATTGCTGGACATTTCCCAGTCCGAGAGCAGCTTAATTGGAACGGCCGTCTGTGGCAACCACGTCAACGTTATGGGATACTTGCTGGTGCAGCAAGGCATTGAGGCGCACGTCCTGCACCGCAACGTCCGCGGCGAGAATGTGCTGCACTTGGCATCGCGGTACTGCAATCCCGCCGTTTTTCGGCAGCTGGTGCCCCGTCTCAAACATGATGTGTACCAGAGGGATGCAGGGCGACACGGTCTTGACTCGGATTATTCTCAGCAGTAGCGCGACGCCACGGGATAGGTATGAGGCGGCGTGTATCCTGCTAGCCGAAGTCAGTCATCGGCGTGGACGCTTCTCGGATGAGCAACAAGAAGCCTTGACCGCAGCCAAGATGATTGGCGATTCGGGATTGTGCCGGCTCATCGACAGTGTGTGTGGGCGAGGTGAATTGGTATTAATTAGAACGGGCGAGAGCAAGAGCGACAATATCCCGTATGCTGGCTACCATTGATGCCTTTCAATTCACTGGCAGCAGTCCGAAATTTCGTCGAGAAGGGTGACAAATCTTTCAGATCAGCAAAATTAAAAATAAGATTGAAGAGACCACATTGGCAGGGTAATTATGAGGGAGCGTTTGGTTGGGAAGGTTGACAGTGACCAGTGACTTACAAGCCCAAGCGTCGAAAATCATTTAGCGCCTACCTGAACTGGGGAAACCCCCTAAATTGACTTTAATGTTGTTTCTTGGTCGCATTTGCCCCTTGAGCTCTACTGAGGATACTGCCACTTCGATATTAGGGAGCGACACGGCGATATTAGGGAGCGACACGGAGACAGTTCAGGGGTTTCCGCGTATAGGTATTGTCTAGAAAGCGGACCTAACTACTGTAAGAGATATCCAAGGACCGGTGAGCAAAGTAATACAAACCGGCAAACCAGATTTAACTTCAAAATTAGGTAAGGAAAACAATATATCGCGGTGACTGCAGAGTAATAGTCAGGGAACCCCTCTCAATGGAACTAAAAGAGTCGAAAACGTGGTCTGAAATTCGAGTTCAGAGGCTTCGTCGAATATGGCCCCGTTAGTATTACGTATAGAATATACAAAATATCAGTAAGGCTGTGCCTCTCGCCGACTCCGTAAGCACCCTGAAGGAAGGTGGCTGTGTTTGAAGTGAAATGTAACTAGATCCACACTCTAGGAGTGTGGGTTGCAGTGGAGTATGAACTAAGCTTAAATACCAACATGCTTGTCAAAAGCTTACTTCAGCCACTATCACAGGAATCCGGGGTAGTCGGTAATCTGGGGTAATTAGGGGGTGGATTTGCTAGCATCGCATCCGAAGAGCCAAATTCGACGTTCCGAAGGGAGTGGGTACCTTGGTACTTAGGTAATACGTATTCATATTATTTTCAGTTCCACCTGGTTTTCCAGTTCCACCTGGTTATCCAGTTCCTAACGGTGCGTTTGACAGGGTACGACCATGGATATAGTCGGTGCGACAACTCGTGATCTTGGGGACGGCGTGAACCCAATGTGAAAACTACAACCTAAAGCTAAACGTGCGGATTCTTATGGGCCAAAGGCTTTGCGGTATGTGGCCAAAAAACCCCAGTGGCCCGCTTCGGGAATACGCTCACTTCCACCACCCTCGATGAGGTCATCAACATACTTGGGCGACATACTTGGGAGGGTAGATTGCAGTGAAATCATGGCCACAGGCAAGAATTAAGAATTAAGAGAGATGCTATCCCACATACAGTACATTGACGGAGTGGCGGAATATAACACAAACCCCCTGAAACACCTCATGCAACCATTTCTACCTTCTTTCCTTTTACACTCTTCCATTCCATGAACGAAGCGCCGATAATGCTAATGGCTGCCATTGCCGCAAACACAACAAAGGTCTTGGTCAAGGCGTCATTGTACGCCTGCGTGACACCGGGTAGATACTCAGCCGGAATGGCATGCTGTATGTTTGTGGCGCCGACGGCAAAGACGATGGAGGGATCGGGGAGTGAAGGCTCGTATTCGGCCACGTACTGGACCAGGTGGTTGGAGAAGACGTTTTGCGCAATCGACACAAAGAGCGCGCCGCCCAGCGTCTGCACAAAGATGATGACCGAAGTGCCAATGGGAACGTCTTCGATGCTCAGAACCGTCTGGACAGCAATCAGGGGCTGCTGCATGCCGAACCCGATGCCCGCGCCGGCAATAATCTGGTACCCAATCCACTTGGCACTGCCCGTGTCCGGCTGCAGGGTGGTCAGGAGGCCGAACCCGATGGAAATCAGGACACTGCACACTATCATGAAAGGGGTGTAGTACCCAAACATGGTGACAGTAGCGCCGGCCAGAATGGAGAAGATGGTAGTCGCGATCAGCATGGGCAGATTCATAATGCCCGAATCGATAGCGCTGGCCCCTTTCACGGCCTGGAACCAGATGGGTAAGTAATAGACGGAGCCCAGGAACGACGCGCCAACGCAGAAGCTGAAGAGACAGGCCGACATAACGCTGCGCTTGAAGAAGATACGCGGCGGAACCGTGGCCAGGTCCTGCTGCTTGTACTGGTCGAAGAGAAAGAGGCTAATAAGCACCCCGAACATGACGAAGAGGAATATGATGCGCCAGCTGTTCCATGCGTACGTAGGGCCGCCCCACTGCAGGGCGAGAAGAAGGCAGATAATGGCAGGCATAAACACAACAGTTCCCCAGGGGTCGAACCGCTTGATGCGCTCGGCCCACGTATCACCATTCTTGATCTCGCGGTGGGGGTCCGGAAACAGGACAGCGATGACAACAAGGGTGATGCCGCCGATGGGGAGGTTGATGAAGAAGCACCAGCGCCATGAAACCCTGTCGGTAAAAGCTCCGCCGAGAAGCGGGCCGGCAACGGATGAGATGCCGAACATGGCACCAACGAGTCCACTATAGAGAGGTCGCTTTTCCAGGGGAACTGAGTATGCGAGGATGATAAGCGCGCCAGAGAAAATGGCGGCGGCTCCGACTCCGGCAATGGCTCGTCCGATAATGAGCGTGACACTGTTGTTGGCAACCCCACAGATCAGGCTGCCGACTTCGAAGAGGAAGATGGCGATTAGATAGACCCATTTTATGCTGAAGAAAGTATAGAACCTCCCAAAGAGCAATTGGAGAGCGGCCGTCGTGAGGAGATATGCTGCAAAGCATTAGCATGTCGGAGATGGTGAGAATATGTGGACAGGGGAGGGTGCGCACCACTTCCGTACCAACCCACATCGGGAAGGCTCTGGAACTGGTCTGTGATCTTGGGTATAGCGGTCGCAATGATGGAATTATCTAGGGCTTCAAGTTAGCTCGCCGCATGGTTGGCAAGGGTACGAGGTATAGGATATTGCGGCTCACCAAGCGCCACCAGGAACACGCTCAGACATAACGCGAGAAAGATGAGGGTAAACTTCATGCCGGAGGGGTACTCGGTTCCATCCTCGCGCGTGGGCGTCGTCTTGAGCGCATGGCCTGTGTTAGATGTGGCCGTTGCCTGTCGTGTGATCTCGTCCGTCTTCTCTGTCTCACTTGTAACTAGCTCTTTGGATTTTGAGGCGTCTCCGGTCGGGACCGATGCCGCTACCTTAAAGTCTGAAGCGTCGTCTATGTCATCTGCTTTCTCATCCTCTGTCGTGCTGGGCGCAATTGTGGGCGCTTGCGACTCTGACATGGCTGGCATTATGGGTAGTCTCGGCTCTGGTGGTTCACCCCTCGGCCATTTTGTGGCGGGCTTGTCGCCCATGCTTCCCGTGGATAGCGTCGAGACTACTGGCAAAGCGGGCTTGCAGTGGAAAAGGCGTCGCGCGAGTACACGACACCACGTGCCGCACACTACTTGGGAGACGTGAGCGAGTGCAAGGCAGAGCGACACACAAAGTCCTTGCCGTCGGGTCTATGCCCTCTATCGGATTACGCTGGGTGGTGATGGTGGTGGTGGTGGTGGTGGTGGCTTGCTGTTTAAGGAACGGGGAGGAAACGAGCGTTGAGAAAAAAAGCGACGGAGCTACCTCTCTCGCGCTCTCAAAGGCTGCACGTGGATGGGACGAAGGGGACTTTTGGCTACCAGGAGAGGCAGTCTTTGCGGTCGCGGGTCGGGCTATACTAGTAGTCCGTCATAAATCTCCGCAACAAGCCAAGAGTTCCTACCTATTGTTGGGTGTGGGGGGGCGGGTGTTGTTCTTCGGCGGCGACCTTGTGTAAGTGCGTACCGTACATTACATACCTGCAGTCGTCTGCACTAGCCCATCCTAATGCGTGCGTTATGTGCATGGCAAGGTATACTAGGTGCCCGTGATTGCTGCTCCATATCGTCTCTAGATCAGGCAGCGCGGACCCCGAGACAAGACCGTTTGTTGCATTCTTCAGCGGTCTTGTGTGCTGTTTAGGTAGCTTTGGCCCGTCGAAGCCCCTTTCGACACAGTGTGCGGCTGATAATGGCGCGCTTGACACGGAACAGTGCCAATTATGGACGTGCCGGGGGCGGCTCGCTAAGCCGTTCAGGCCCCAGGCCCAGGGCAGGGCGCGCGCCGCCATTGACATCAAAATTTTGACTGGGTGACGTGTCGGCAAGTAAATTGCGTGACCCATCGTCTTGGTTTTTCCGACACCCTTTCCCGGACCTCAAGGAGGCCGCACCCGGGCCAGAAGCAACTCAGTCACTGAGCGAGCCACCTTCGAATTGCTGCCATCGGTAACAGTTATTAGCCCCGAAGCTAGCATGATTGGCAACAACTTTAAATCCAAGTCCTTGGTTCCATGATCCATACAGTCGATCACAACCCAACTGACTCTGTCAGCAGACTGGTAAAATATCTGTGGGGGAAGAAATGGCCTGTTTCCCGAATTGGTTCCCGAACCATACATTGCCGGGAAATGTCCAAAATATTAACTTGCAGGTTCGGAGACGCAATACTCTGTACACTAATACTGTGAGGAATCTAGAACCGAATCGCCACTCGAAAAAAGGAAGCTCAGGATGACTTTTCTTTTCTCTGACTTAAAATAACTTAAGATGTACGGAGCACCGGGGTGACTCAAACAAGCTTCGCTTTGCCGAATGCATACTTCTATATCTGGCTATCGTATTTGGTAGCTGCCTTGCATATATTGCACACAGTATATGTGAATGAGGTGTTGAAAACGGGACGCGGACTGTGTGCAGGAGCCTGTCGTTTGTTCGTGGGGCTAGAACCGAAGAACGGCGCTCGATGCTAGCCAAAATACAGATTTGATGGCAAATGTCTCACGCACTTGATCTCGGGGTTTTGATCGACCCCGAGCGAGCGGGAAGGCACGTTCGAGATGGTGGTGCCAAAAGACCCATGGAGGGGTGGTGGTCCAAGCTTTGTTAGCTCCCACTCATCGGCAAATGCAGATGAATTGAAATATACAACATAACTGTCGGGTATCGGTATATATTACGAAATAACAGGTTGAGTATGGTAGTCGAGGGTTTCCAAACCCAGGAAACCGTAAAGATGTGAAACCGCAAAGCTTGACGCGACGCAACCTTTGATTGTCGACCAGCCCTGAACCTTCCATGTTAAGCTCAGCCAAGGTTCAATCAAGCTCCAGGTTCCATCTGGTTTGGAGCGCAGGAGAAGCAGAAAATAGTGTCCAGCCCCACAAGTGCAGCGCTGCCGACGGCCTCATGTAATTCACTCTGATCGTACGCGTACGACTGTCTGTTTGTTTGCTTGCCTTTCCCACATCTTGACTTGCATGGGCTCGTTGCTGACCACGTGCTGAACCGCTGATCGTCCCGATAGACCACCACAAACGCAGGGCCATGTGTAAGCTGCCCGTGTTAACCATGTGGAATTCGTGTTATAGCTCAGCCTAGCCCACCTTCCAGGCTTCGGACACCGGGCTACCACCTCACCAAACCGTTTAGGCGGGCTTTAGTGTTTGCGCTCAAGAATCTCTCAAAGTCCGTCGGGTCATCCTTAAACCAACCAACAGGTCCCATTCGGATCGCAAGGTAACAGCGGAGGCGGACCCTGAAGCTTGCATACGCCAGCACGGCTAGGTACCCCACAATTGGGGGATTCACTCCCGTACTAGGCGCTACTACTTCAACGACAAACCGCAACGGTTTCCACAAGGAGGAAATGGAAAATAACTAACTTTGTATTCCGCAATGTGCCCATGCGGTCGCCCCATGCGGCGCAGAGTCGGACGCGCAACGGCGTGACGAGTTGTCTCGGGCACTGTCGTCGTCACCTCGTTAAGCTGCTGAGGCAAATCCACTCGAACTTTGCTCTCAGGTCCTGCACGTGCCCGACACCTATTTCTTTGTCGTTTCTCAGATCATGGGGCGCAAAGCCAAAGCCGCCTACCTGGGAAAATGGCGCTACCCTGTCACACGTTGCCCGCTACCTACGTATCAACTTGTACGTGGAAGTGGCAAGGTCGACGGCCTAACCTGATTGTGGGTTGTCTCGGGGCCCTCCTGACGCTCTCCTGAGTTCTGGCTCAATGTCAACAAATAGTGTCTCGCAAGTATGTTTGGGACAATTTGAAGATCGATCGCCAGCGAACTGAGCAGAAGGGAAAATGTCGCGCGCGCAAACCATTAGGTCATTTGGTCCCCAGTGCCCAAAGTCAGACCCCTAACACCCGACGTGGTTCATCCGGGCAGCTGCCAATGGTGAGACAGTTGCTCCTGTTTGCTTTCCGGCGCCCATCAATTTCGCAATTCGATTTGGAACGTGCTTGTTTAGAGCCTGTACGGTGTAGCCCCAGCTCCTGATACCATACATTTGCTAGCCTGATCCTGTATCTCTCATTTGTGAGCCCTTAAACCGCTAGACAATCAGAGACAGGTTCCAAAGTCTCTTGGTATCCTCTCAGAAAGCGACACCTGCTCGGAGTCTGCTTGACACAGGTCTCAACATCTTCGAAACTTCTACCAAATTGATCAACACGTTTATGTTACGGCCGGGAACTTGCTATGAGTAGAGACATACTTACCAAGCAAGGACCCGGCCGATGCTTCATTGTCTTGTAACGCTCTCCGCCCTTCAAAGGAATCCGATCCGAGAAAGGCGCGTCCGGCTTGCTATACACACGCTTACGCGTTCTGCTCCTGTTGGATGGACTGGAAAAATGGCGCCTGTTTGCAACTGCCTCGCCGGCTTGTTATTGACATGCACCTTGCTGGCTACGAGTGCCAAAGGTTGCGGTAATGCAATTCCAGCCTTGGATGCCTCCTAGTTGAGCTGATTATACATACTAACTGGGCTCGATTACCACGAGTTCATATGAACTGCTTCTCATATGTAATACATCTCCAAGCCTGCGACCCCTGGAAGAGTCCAAGCAAGCATTGCAGTTGAATACGCGCTAGAGATGCCACCAAAACCAGACGACCCAAATAATGATCGTCTCAACTAGTTAAATAACAATGCATTAGACATTTCGAAAGCCTGCGTTCCTTACTCTCAAGTATCGTGGGCATCATCCACGCCAAACCCCGCAATACGCACGTGAGGACTGGCTCGGCGCGGTTCATCCTCTTCGTCAATCACCTTTGCGGAAATGGGCGTGAAGTTTCGCGTCCGCTTCATACCCGAATTGCTATTGCCGACTCCCATGTTCGGTACTCCAACAGAAGCATCTCCATGGTTCGCCGAGACCATACTAAAATTCGTGATGCTGGATCCAAACTCGACAGCCGAGACGTTGCGAGATCCGCCAGAGGCAAAGACAGACTGCATATTCGAAGGACTAGCGCCGTCCATGTTCTCTGGGCCAGAGGGCATTGGGGAATCTGAATCTCGGGGCCCAAGACTAAATTCGGGCTGCGTGAACTTGCGAACCTCGACGTGCTCTGCATGGGGCGTTGAGTGCGTCGAGGAAGTGTTGGAGTCTCCAACTGCCAAATGACGACTCTCCTTCCGAGACTTGACTTCGGAAGACGGGAGCGACGTGTTTTGAGGCTGAGCTGGAAGCGGAAACGGTTGATTGAGCAGTGAGTGGGTCAGGGATGTCGCGAGATCGGGGGTAAGTGCCGATGTATGCGAGCAAAACGAGTATTGGGGGTGTGGATTCTCTTCGCCGAGCCGAGCGGTGGGTGTGTTGGTTGGAACCTTCAGGCTCATCGGATCGTCCTCGAGGCTGCCACCTGAGATCTGCATTGGATCATGATTCCGAACAGGGACATAGTCAGGCATGTTTGTGTCACTGCTAGATCGCCTGTCCGAGCGAATATTGGTTGGCCAATAAGCCTTCCTTTCGAGGTCGATGTTGGGTAGACTGGTCGTTGCATTGACCCAGTCCAGATAGGCCGCAGACTCGGTGAATGGGTCCGGGTATGACAGCGCCGACCCAGATCCAGTTGTAGTTCGTGGCAAATATGACGCATTCACGGCTGGATTTCCGACGAAACCGGGGGCTGATGGGGGCAGGAACATGCCTCCCGTTACAAATGGAGCCGTAAACCCCTGACTCTTGCTGTTCCTTAGGAGCATCGACTTTCTTCGAGGCGAATGTGCATGCGACTCTGCTCCTTCTTCTGGATGATATGTAGGAACTGGCACCGTCGGGGCAAAGGGCGCGCGCCGCCACATCGAAGGGTTCGGCCATGCGATTCCATTGGTCTCCAAAATCTCTTGAACCGCCTGTTAGCTGACTGACGGACTGGTTGAGGACGCTCGGAGGTAGAATAACTCACCCAATGGAGCATGCTGGAAGGAGAAGGCCACGATATTTTTTACTCGTTCTATCGGAACCGAAAGTGAGTCGCGCGGGAACCCTTCGCTAATTATTATCTTGATCCGACCGAGGTCGTCACCAGGGCTCCAGTGGTTCTGGAACAGCAGCTCACGTCGGAAGTGGGGAAACTTAAGTCGCTCGAGCTCGCCTGTCTTTGTGAACTCTGCCATGGAGTTAGCGACAACAAACATCAAACATACACAGCAGCCAGCAACAGACCAAATGTGCTGGTGATCAAGTGTGGCCCGTGAATTTTGCGGTCAAAGGCCGTGGACCTAGAAACAGTCAGTCCGTCTCAAATTGGTTATCATCAGGACAAGGAAGTAACGCACGCTACCATTCGTCCATCAAGCGAAATGCGCGCCTCAAACTTGACCAGATCTGTATGTTTGCTGTAGGCTCGCGTAAACTGGCTGATATCCGGGTTCCGCCAGGAATGGATCGAGATCTGGAAGGGGGTTCCGGCTGGAAGACTCGGCACGAAACACGTCATGACGGGCATGCCCGCGGCCCCATGGATGTGAGCAAGCTCGAGATCGGGCACAACATGGCACGCGATCTTGAACTCTTTGAAAGGGACTTTAGAATCTCTGCCGGCTGGGAAAATGATAACGTCCCAATCTTCGTACCGCATATTTTCGAAGCTTGGGTGCCGCGCGACGTCTGAAAGCTAGACAAATGGGTTAAGAGGTGTTGGATGAAGTTTGGAGAATGAGGCAAAAAAGAGAAGCAAACGGAGCAGAAGCAAAGAAGCAAATGTGGTCGGCCAAATCAGCTGATGGTTGGCGGGGAGGTTAAGAGAGGGCTGGCTCGTGGCCTCTACAGAAAAGACGGCTCGTCTCTCGTGAACTGATCGGCGGGCGTCTCGGTACCGAGAGACACGCCTACGTGCTGGATGTTCCTTCCTTGGTAGCCCTCGAGCGACTCCCGGACGTCTGAGGCAGGCGATTTGGGAGAGATCTGGGTCCCATTAGAACCAGGAACGGTCGTCAGCGCCTTTTCAGCATTGGCTGCCTAAATTGGCTGTACCGAGTTAAGGTAGAACGATGCAGCAAATTCAGGGGCCAATGCCAGATTGGGAAGCTATGACTGGAGGTAGAAGCTTAGTGGCAATTTGGCGCCCACCCGAGACTCTAGAAAGCCAACATAGAGCCCGAGCCGCACGGAGGCGGATGCTGAAGAAAAAAACGGAGAACGGAGAACGGAGAACAGTTAACTCGGTACTGGAACCAGGCAGGTCGGCAACCTGGGGTACTGAACCTGAAGCCAAGTTATCTACCTACCTGCTCAGGGCCAATTAGGCCAAGTAAGGTGGTCACGATGTGTTTGTGGGCTGAGACGGAAATCCATGTAAAGCACGCACGCCTACTACCAATCCGCATAGAGACCGGGAAAGAGGGGAATGTAAATGGATCAGTCAAAGCGTCCCACGGAACACCCTGACAGCAGCCATAAATTCGGCGTGTCTGGAAGCGGCATCAGGAGCTGCTTGAATGGAAACCTACGCGGGACAAACGAGAGCCAAACACCTCTGTGATGCGAATAGAAAGCGGTTTAAATCTTGTATTGCTCACATACCACCCTTGTTGGAATTCACACGCTGCTAGCCGAACCTCATCCTTTATGGGTCAGCATCGCCTGCTGCTCGTGCCTGGTAGTTGACGTTAGTTGGCAATTCGTGTTCGAAATCTGTCCATGTCGCGCGTAGCAGGCAGCCATAAACTTACTCGCACAGCACCAGCCCCACCCAGCTCTTTCACCAGGCCGCCCTCGAACTCTCGTGGATACGAGGGCTTGTCCGGGTACACCTGCTTTACGGCCAAGCATAGACTGAGAACGACGGCAACGAAGGCACCAATCTGTGCCAAGCCCTTACCAGGCGTCACCCAGGTGTACTCGTACGGGGTAAACATTCCCATCATATCGTGGTCCTCGTGCACCGGCTCGCCGTAGTTCCTCCGCTCCTGCTTGTCCCACCAGTCGCCGTGAGGGTCGCGGAACTGACGCTTGATTCGAGGAGGATTGACATAGCCGCCGTTCTGCGCGAAACGGTCAGCATCGCGTCTTGCCCGAGCTGCCCGACCCATCCAAACATACCATATCCGGGTCCTCTTCTGCAGTGAGGCCCTTGTAGTCCGAGTCGGGATATTTCTGGCCGATGACGCCTCCTTGGCCCGTCATGGAGTCGGGCATGAAAGTTCGACGTTGAATGACGGGAAGTCGCTGAGCCGGGAGCGCGGTCGCGAGCCGAAGGGGCGACGCCCTCGCGATCGGGCGTAAAAACATCTGGTATCTGTTAACCGTGAATCGCTCGTGTCACATCGGGATCAATTGGCAGGCACCTTGGCTAGGTGGCGCCGCAATGGCATGCGGTTGCTGGGAGGATCTGGAGCGATTGGCAATGATGGAACGATTCGGGAGCAGCTCCCTCTACAGCTGAGGCTTGGCTTGTGGTGGCGCTGATTGGCCGGAGCCTTTCGTCCGGAGAATTGCCGGCAAAGTCCCAGAAAGCTGTTCCCTGCCCGCCTGAGGCAGCAACACTCGGCCGCTTGGCCGTCATCAGGCTGGCAATGGGCCTGGAATTTTTTTGTCGGCCATCAAAGTTTTGCTGACGACGGTGATTTTCCGCACAAAGCACGCTGCAGCCAGCCTTACCGACGGCTGATCATGTCGAAACTCTGACAGGGAAATCTTCGCAGCCCTGCGGTTCTTGTGACGTTATTTTCATCGTGCCAAATGCCAGTTTCGTCGAGATCTCGGTCCTCTCGCGCCGTTCCCTGTCCCCAGTGACTATGACGGAGATCGCGCCGCCCGTCCAAACACACGCGGACCTGGCTGCTGCCCATAACGGCGAAAATGGCGACAATAACCACCACCGTCCCCCATCTTCACACGACTCCGAACTCTCCGAGCCCGACGAGACGCAGTTTCTGTCCTATGAGAATTCCCCCATTCGAGGTCGTGATGGCCGTGAAGGTTTTGAAGTCTCCACAGACCATCAAAGCCCAGCCGAGGGGCGTTCCCGCGTCAATGGTAGCGGCAACCGCACGCACGATTCCGAAGTCACGGATGCAGAGCGGCCTGCTAAACGCCGCCGCGTCCGCGGCACGACGCCCGACAACTCGGCGCGCCGCCCGAAACCCGAGTCGCCACCGTGGAAGAAGGTGGAGGCCGAAGGCCCCTCATCCTTTATGGCAGGTGACGGCCGCCGCAAGTCGGGACGCATTAATACTGTTCCCTTGGAGCTACAACGTGGCGACAAGAGGATAACAAGGAGATCTTTGCATGGCGCCCAGGCCAGCCCTCCAAAGAACCGGTATGCATCCACCAACGGCCACAGTCCCGCCACGAACCAGACCCCATCTTCCGTCCCATCAAAGCGTCCGCTATCCTCAAGTAAACACGTCCCGACGAAAGCGCCTTCCACCAAGCTTCCCACACCTAAGCCAGCGACGCCAGAAAAGAAGTCCAATGCACGAACCCGTCGACGATCACTCTCCCCAAGACGCCCTGCCACCCCCACAAGGCCATCGGCCGGTACGCGTCGCTCAATGCGCCACGCTCGTGACAATAACGAGAACAATGGCGACAACACCTCTCCTGGTGCCTTACGCAGCACCCCCCGTTCAAAGTCTCGACCTAGGCCCCCACTGACAACCATTCCCCTCGTCCATCGCGACCAAGCGAACATACGTCCCAAGCTCGGGCCTACATTTGAACAATACATAGAACGGGCGCTAAGTATCCCCGTCGAGGAGGGCGGTCTCTTGCTGCCTTCTGAAGATGGCCCGCGCTATACAGATGACATGGCTAGGCAGGATGCTGTAGTTCTGCTACGAGTCGAAAAGGAGGTCGAGCCGGGCGGCATTCTGGCCTCGAACAAGTGCTCTGTGTTTGAGCCGGAGGCTGCTGAAGAGCCGCCAAGGCAGTGGACGCACACCGACCATCTCACAAAAGCCATGACCAACTTCCGGAAGCTGCTGGTTATCGAACAGCAGCGGCATCGCGCCTCCGCGAAGCGCCTTGCCCTTGCCTGCGAGGCGGAGTGGAGGCGTCGAAATCCCCAGCCCAAAACGGCAGAAGAGGTGGAACTGGAGCAGATAGAGAGGTCCAGGACACGGTGGCGCCAAGTCACCAGAGCCGTTGCGGGCACGTGGGATAATGTCAAGGTTGAGATCAATCGCAGGAGGTTGGTTGAATGGGAGGCCAAGGAGCAGCGTCGGGTGAAGGATGCACTCAACCAGGCTGTCAACATTTCTGAACAGAAACTTCAGCAGAGACAAGCGCGGCTCGGCACCGAAGACCCAACCGAATATTCAGAGGACAATGACGATATGATCTCGGGTATGGAGGACGAGGATGAGGGCGATTTTGACGATGATGCCGATGAAGAGTCTAGATCCCGGTCAGGAGCTGATGAGAGTAATATGTCCAGCTCATCTGACGATGAAGATAAGGACTCCGTCTTGTCGGATGAGGGCCTCAGCCAAGCCCAACTTCAAGCCAAGTACGCCAACTTGCCTGCATTGGAAACGAACGGTGACGAAGGCGAAACGTTGCCTGCCAACCTGGATTCTGTCAACAAGCTCGCCAACGGCAAAATAGACGACGGTGACGACGACGACGGCGACGACGATACAAGCGACGAGTCCATAGACATGGACGATGACCTTGGTTCCACTGATGATGAATCAGAGGAGGGAGGCGACGAGGGTGGTCCCAGTTCAGGTAGTGAAGGTGAAGATTCAGAGGATGAGCCAACCGGCCTGCTCGGGCTCTTCTTCAAAAAATCGGAGCTGAAGAAGCTGCAAGATGTCACCCCGAGCGAGACCGGCGATGTAGAGGACATTGACATGGCTGACGCCGATATACCCACCGAGTCCCCTCGGGAACCGGGCGGTCATTTGAACGAAGCCGACGTATCCGGTGATCGTTGCGCACCAATGCCCGGAAGTGTGGGTGAGAGGTCAACAAAAGGCGACGACGAAGAGGGTGTGTACCAGACCCCTGCTCTAATAAACAGGGATAACCAAACGCGGACCGAACATCCTTCTGAGGCGGACGACCTACACCAGAGCTCGCCTGGCCTGCTCTCTACGCCCTCTAGAGCATGTCTACCTTCTGCAGCCCAGTCTTCAGCCCAGTGGAATGCGGAGCAGAGTGCTCTGGGCGCTGCAGAGGACATTTCGATGACCGATGCGCCCGCCCTAGTTGAGCCGTCTCGCGGAGAAGTTCCAGATGTCGAGATCACAGAGGCACCCCCTAACGGGCAAGATCGAAGCCCGAATACTGACGCTACGACTAATCCGCATAGCCCATCGCGAAGCCAATCGCCGCGGGCCTCGGATGACACCAAACCCACCGATACTGAAACATCCGCGTCGGCCTCACTCCTGAATGTACCCAAGACGGACAGCAGGTCAACTTCACCTCAACCGACAGTGCCGAAGACCGAGATTCCCTCGCTTCTGCGCGGAACCCTGCGCGAATATCAACACCATGGGCTAGATTGGCTTGCAGCATTGTATGCCAACAAGACCAACGGCATTCTCGCCGACGAGATGGGCCTTGGTAAAACAATACAAACCATCGCCCTCCTGGCGCATCTCGCCTGCCACCATGAGGTCTGGGGCCCTCATCTCGTGATTGTGCCGACAAGCGTCATGCTCAATTGGGAAATGGAGTTCAAGAAGTGGTGCCCCGGCTTCAAAATCCTGACCTATTATGGCAACCAGGAGGAGCGAAAGAGAAAGCGACAGGGGTGGAACAACGACGATATCTGGAACGTGTGCATCACCTCTTACCAGATGGTACTTCAGGACCAGCAGGTGTTCAGACGGAGGCGCTGGCATTACATGATCCTCGACGAAGCTCACAACATCAAGAACTTCAAGTCCCAAAGGTGGCAGACACTGCTAGGGTTCAACACGCAGGCTCGATTGCTTCTCACCGGCACACCTCTCCAAAACAACCTGACGGAGCTTTGGTCACTGTTGTACTTTTTGGCTCCCCCAGAGAACGGCGAAGGCGGGTTCGTCGACCTCAGGGAATTCCACAACTGGTTTGCCAGGCCCGAGTCCCAGATCCTCGAGAACGGGCGAGAGCAACTGGACGACGAAGCGCGCGCAATCATCGCCAAGCTCCACAAAGTCCTTCGACCCTACCTCCTTCGTCGGTTGAAGGCAGACGTCGAGAAGCAAATGCCTGGCAAATACGAGCATGTCGAGTTCTGCCGCCTGTCCAAACGCCAGCGAGAACTGTACGATGGGTTTCTCTCTCGCAACGACACCCGCGCGACACTAGAATCCGGCAACTATATGTCCATCATCAACTGTCTGATGCAGCTGAGGAAAGTGTGCAACCACCCTGACCTGTTTGTCGATCGCCCTATCATGACGTCCTTCCGCATGCAACGATCGGTGCCTGTCGCATTCGAGGTCAAGGAGCACATCATCAGAAATAAGCTGCTGGCTGTGAAACCTATGAGTCTTGTCAGCCTCGACTTCCTCAACATGATACCGACCAGAAACGAGGGTTTGTCGGACTTGCACACGGACCGCATTGCTCAACTGAGCTCACATCGCATCCTACTCAACCTTAGGGAAGCACAGAAGATACGAGCCAAGAATGGGTCTACCGTCTTGGACCCTGCGACGGTCAAGTCAAATTCTGTATTTTTGGAAAGCGCGGCAAGGTGGGGCCGCTTCGAGGAGCTGCAACACTGCGTCTACGTCAACGCATTGCGCCGCCATAAGCATCCAATATATGGCAAGCGCCTCATCGATCTGTTGACGCTCGACACCCAAAGGCGGCCGTACAAGCAGCGACCCAAGGTGCCCCAGAAGATCATGAGTTGGTTCGAAGAGGACTTGTTTCTGCTGCATAACGCCATTCCGACCCTCCAACAACGTGCAGCGTCGATGGAGATGACAATCACAAAGTTTGCATGCGTCACTCCTGCCGTCGTGACTGGCGACCTAAATAAGTTCTTACTGGGGGCAAAAGGGATCGAGGCCTTCCAGGACGAGGATCTGAGGTTGTCGGCGCCTGTAAAGTACGCGCCGTACATGCCGAAGGAGGCGCCGGTTGACCCGTGGCACGAAGCTCGTATGCGGCTAACCATACAATTTCCGGACAAGAGGCTCCTGCAATACGACTGTGGCAAACTTCAGGCCCTTGACAGGCTTCTGCGCAAGCTTCAAGCTGGTGGCCACCGAGCCTTGATCTTCACCCAGATGACCAAGGTCCTCGACATCCTTGAGCAGTTTCTCAACATCCATGGACACAAGTATCTCCGTCTCGATGGCTCGACAAAGGTGGAGCAGCGGCAAATCCTAACTGACCGCTTCAATCACGACCAGCGCATCCTCTGTTTCATTCTATCCACGCGGTCGGGTGGCCTTGGCATTAACCTCACGGGTGCTGACACGGTCATCTTCTACGACCAGGATTGGAATCCCGCCATGGACAAGCAATGCCAAGACCGATGCCACCGCATCGGGCAGACGCGTGACGTGCACATCTACCGGTTGGTTAGCGAGCACACAATCGAGGCCAACATTCTCCGCAAAGCCAGTCAGAAGCAGATGCTCGACGACGTCGTCATCCAAGAGGGCGAGTTTACAACCGACTACTTCAACAAGATATCGGTGCGCGACGTGGTCAACAGCACGGGCGAGGTATCAGCCAATGAGAACGACATCGCGGCCAATGCTGCGATGGACAAGGTCCTCGGCGGCGTGCAGAGCAGCAACCCGCGACAAGTCGGGCGTGCTCTTGAACAAGCCGAGGATACAGAGGACGTGGCCGCGGCACGTTTGGCGGAGAAGGAGATACAGCAAGACGATGCCGACTTCCTCGAGCAGCAACCGACGCCCGGTGGCAGCGCATCGGGTGTATCGAGTGTTCGTCAAGGGACACCAAGTACAGGCATCATTGCGGAGCCGGGCCGGTCTGGTCTCGGTCTCTTTGTTATGTCCGCCCAGGAGGTGCCGCAGGACGACGTCGCTATTACGGATGGCCCGATAGAGGTCGAGTACAGTGCCTTTGGCAAGCCCGTGTGCACCATCGACGACCACATGCTCAGTTTCATGGCAGAGGCGCTGAAAGATGTGCCGCTGGACCTGCCCAAGGACAAGAAGAAGAGCAAGAAAAGGGGCAAAGACATCAGGAAGCGTTGATTTGTATTTCATAGCGCCAAAAAGTTGTGGCTGTTATTAGACAGATGGCCGTATTGGTTACAGTGGTAATATTGTATTGTACTACTATTTTGAGGGAGCATCGAGCACGCCTTTCATGCTTGTTGGAAGTTTAGGTGGAGATACATGGTTATCATGGTTTTGGGATATTATTGCTGTCTGCGAGCGGCTTGTTCGAGCACAACAAACGTACGATAAGAATAGACGAGAAAACGTTTCTCAGGCTCTGCTAGCATGCACGGCAAGTACCAACTACCAACCTAGAGTAGAAGAGTATTAGTTCGTACCTTAGTTATCACTCGCTGGCATATCAATGTTTGGTGTGGAGCAAGCAATGTTTTTATCATATGCTGGCCGTTGCCTCCATCATCGGCATGACGATTCTATGAACTTGGCCGCAGTGAGGCGGTTTGCATGGGGCTGGTGGAGAAGACAGTAATTCGATGGCCCAGGGGGGGTTTCAGCTCACTGAGAGCTGCCCCGCTAGTCCTATTTGAAAGGCGCGCCGCCAAACATTGAACTCCCCAGCCCGATTCCAGGCCTAGGCGCTCTGGATAGCGGCCGGCTAGTCCTCATCAGGTCCGACTAGCAAATGCAAGTGGGATAGAGCTGAGGGCGACACCCTTGTCGCCGTAAGTCCAGACTCTAGACCTTTGGTCTTCGCCCCCCCCAGCTTTGGCTCCAATAGGTGCTAACCATGCGGTTTACTTGATTATTGTGCTAATTGGATCGAATTATTGGGGTTTCTTCTGAGAACGGCCCGTGGGGTGCATTGGACCGCAAGCCTCGGCGTCGGTTCTGTTTCCAAAGGCAGACTACGGCCCTTCAACGTGCATATTTTTGTACTTGCTTGTGCCTCACATTGAAGCCGCTACCCGTGAGAGAGAGTCGGCCAAAAGGTACAAGAGCACCTCACATCCCTCTTCAGTCCTGCCGGTGGTGACCTGACCCGGCCTGACACCTGATTATAAGGGAGCTCTGCTAGCCCTTCGTTCATGCTTTAACCCTCATTTCGTTCCGTTTTCTTGGGATTTGTTGTCTCGTGTGAATCTTTCTTGCCCCGTAGACTCTCACATGCTTGCCCACCATGTCGTTCGAGACACAACGGTCCCTCCTCAATGGCAGCTCCTCGCCGGGCAAGAGCAACAAGGCTGCTGAAATGGAGGCACTGACTAAGGCGCTCGAGAATAAGCAGTCTAAAGTTGTTGCCCGTTTCCACGGAGATGCCCTCATTGGAGTATATTCTCCTCCCCCCTTCCCCTTCCCCTCCTTCGATCTTTTTTCTGGCTGGTTGCTGATCGAATCATCACAGAACAAGCATGTTCCAAAGCTTGGATGGGTCAAGGACATGGAAAAGATCTTGGCCTTCAAGAACGTCCCAAATATCGCCACAGTGGTCAAGGGTCTGGTTGCTGGCAAGGGCCTGGACAAGCTGGCCGCCGCCCCCCTCATCGGTTCACTCCTGAACGACAGTGAGCTCCGGGCCAATTTCATCGAGAAAGAGGTCAAGGCCAAGTACGAGCGCATGCTCCACCCGCCCTTGTCATATCTCGGCGGTGCCTTCAAGTACCGGACGGCCGATGGCAGGTTCAACAGTGTCCTGCACCCCCAGCTGGGCCAAGCCGGAGCCCCCTACGCCAAGACGGTCCCAGCCCAGACGGCATCCCTGGGAGCTCTTCCGGATCCTGGCGACCTCTTTGATCGCCTGATGGCCAGAGAGGGGGACAGGCCAAGTAAGTCGGGCCTGTCCAGCATGCTCATCTACCATGCCACCATCATCATCCACGACATCTTCAGGACCAACGAAAAGGACAAGGCCATCAGCGACGCGTCCTCCTACCTCGACCTTTCCCCGCTGTACGGCTTCACGGAAGAGATGCAGCGCAAGGTCCGGGACGACACATACAAGCTCGGCTTGCTCAAGCCCGATACCTTTGCCGAGGACAGACTGCTGAGACAGCCGCCGGGAGTGTGCATCATGCTCGTGCTCTACAATCGCTACCACAACTATGCGGCAACGCAGCTCCGCCGCATCAACGAGAATGGCCGCTTTTCCATCCCCGAGAAGTTTACCAAGCCCAAGCCCCTGGCCGCCGCGAACCTTTTCGTCAAGAACAAGGCCACGAAAGAATACCAGCGTGCCGAGGATGCCTTCAAGGCTGTCAACGAGATGTTTGAGAAGACGGGGCGAAAAGAGACCTCGGAGTACACGGCAGCGGCTGAGGCGCTCAAAAAGCTCGCGTACGCCGACGAGCCGGAACCTGGCAAGGTTGACGAGTTCTACGCGCAGTACGATGCCGCCTGGGATAAGCTTGATGACGACTTGTTCAACACTGCACGCCTCATCACGTGCGGCATGTACATCCAGGTCTCGATCCACGACTACCTCCGAGCGCTGATGGGCTTCCACCAGTACAACACCAACTTCACTCTCGATCCGCGCGTCCATGAGACGGCCTCCAAGACGGTTTCGCGCGGCATCGGAAACCAGGTGACGGTCGAGTTCAACCTGCTCTACCGGTTCCACTGCGCCATCTCGGCCAAGGATGAGGTCTACACCGAGGCTTTGATGCGGGAGATGTTCAAAAAAGACGCCAGCTGGAACCCAAAGGAAACCAGCCTGCCCCAGTTCCTCCAGCTGATGCACCAGGTCAGAGAAGATCAGCAGAAGGGCAAGCCTGTGGAGCCCTGTGAGCAGGTGTTTGGGCTGCACAACGACCCAACCGGAAAGCGCTCCTTCAAGCGGAACAAGGTGACTGGTCTCTTCGACGACCAGGACATGGTCAATGAGCTGACGGCGGCCATGGACGACCCCATTTCCAACTTTGGTCCCAAGAATGTGCCCAAGTCTCTCAAGGCGGTTGAGATTATGGGCATCCTCCAGGCTCGCAAGTGGGAAATAGGGACGCTCAACGACTTCCGCGAGTTCTTTGGCCTCAAGCGCCACCAGACCTTTGAGGACATCTCGAAACACGACGACATCCAGAACGCGCTGCGCGATCTCTACGAGCATCCAGACAAGGTGGAGCTGTACCCGGGCGTCTTCTGCGAGTCGGACGGGGATATGAGCGCCGATCCTGGCCCGAGCGACCTCGACTCGGCGCTCTGGGCGGCCATCTTCTCGGATGCCATCACGCTGGTCCGGTCGGACCGCTTCTACACGGTAGACTGGAACACCAACTCGCTCACTTCGTGGGGCATGAAGGAGGTGACCCCCGACAACGACGTGCTCAAGAGCTCCGTCTTCCACCGGCTGCTGCAGCGGGGCTTCCCAGGGTGGTTTCCGTCCGACTCGATTCGTTTCTTCCATCCGTTCTACACATCGCAGACCAATGCCAACTTCGCCAAGGAGCAGGGCTACGAGGCCGGATTCCAGATGAAGCTCGCCAAGGCTGCGAAGACAGACTGGCTGGGCCGCAAGACGGAGAAGGACGTCTTCGACATCACAGACTCGGAGCCGAAGAAGCCGGCCAAGCCCTTGTATCTGAAGACGTTTCCCGAGATCAGGGCCCTGCTCCAGGACATGTCGGGCGCCATCGTCCACCCAGCCCTGCTGCATCTCGCGGAGCTGCCCAAGCCGGTCCAGAAAGTTCTCGAGCCCCCGCCGGCAGGCCAGCAGCAGCAGCAGCTCCCGGCGGTCGATATTGACCAGAAGCACTCGGACTTGGTCGATTACCTGCTCAGCCGGATGCGGAGCATAATCCTGCGGGAATACATCACCATCGACCCCAGTCCCGAGCGGAAGATCTACCAGATCGACATCATCAAGGACTTTGCCATCCCCGTCGTCACGCAGTTTGTCGCCGACTTCCTGGGCTTTGGGCACCTGCTCCGGGACAGGGACAACCTGTCGGCGCCGTTCTCGGAGGACGAGATCTACCAGCACATCACCAACTGCCAGATCTACCTGTCGTACAACGCCAACAAGACGAAGGTGCTCAAGCGGCGCAAGGCTTTCAGCGAGTCCATGACGTTCCTGTACAACCTGACGCTCGCCAAAGGCCACATCGCCTCGGCCAACAGGTCGTGGCCGACGCGCCACGTGCTGTCGCTCGGTAGGTGGCTCTTCGCGGGCGGCGGCAGCGGCCGGAACCACATGGAGGAGCTGGGGTTCAAGATCGCGGCGCAGATCCTCAAGACGGAAGGCGACGCGGAGCGGGCGGCCGCCATCTTCCTGCTCGTCGGCCTCGACAACGCCTATAATACCGTGGTCGCCTTCACGTCGGTGCTCGACATGTTCCTCGGCAGCTTGTACAAGCAGGCAGCCGACAAGGACACGGCGCGCAAGAAGGCTGGCGCGGCGGCTAACGGGAGTGCGTCATCGTCATCGTCGGCCGAGACCAAGCCTGAGTGCGACTGGATGCGGATCCAGCGGCTCGTGTTTGCGGAGCCGTCGGCCGAGACGAGCCAGCAGAGGATCGACGACGATATCAAGAAGCTCGTGCTAGAGGCGCAGCGCAAGAGCTCCAAGACGCCCGTGGTGCGCGTGGCAACCAAGACGCACGACGTGGTCGACAAGAACCGCCCCGAGACGGTTCTGTTTACCGTGCAGCAGGGCCAGACCATTGTCTGCGATACCGTGAGTTTGCCCTTCTTCTTCCACTCCATCCCCTGACGGCATGTGACGACCGACTGACTGAAACCTCGCAGAACCCGGAACCCGAACCCGACTCCGCTGCCACCACAACCAACCCCAGCAGTAGCGGCAGCGGCAGCAGCGGCAGCAGCGGCAGCAGCGGCAGCAGCAGCAAGCAAAATGGGTCGGCCGCCACCAAACCCTGGGACAACGAGTTCCTCGCGCACCGGTCGAGCTTCACCGAGAAATACGCCGCGTACCACCCGCAGCACCTCACTGTTCTCACGATCACGACCATGGTGAAAGCGCTCGCGGAGCTCAAGAACCTGCGGCGGGGCCACGACACGCAGGGCCGGCTGAAGCGGGTGCGGATCGGGTCCGCCGCTGAGACGTACGGCAACTACATGGCGCCGCAGCGGGTCAAGGCGATCGCGCACACCGTAGAGACGTTGATTGCGGAAGCGAAAACAGACGCCGACGTGGCGAAGTGGCGCGACGTGTTCAGCGACGGCGTGCTGAGCCCGGCGGCGGACACGTACCTGACGGCGGCGTGGGACGAGATGGTGCCGTTTCCGACGACGTGGAAGCTGCGGTTCGAAGGGTTCGGCGCGTCCGACTACGGCGGCCTCGACACGCTGGCCATGCTGAGCCCGCAGCCCAGCCCGCTCGAGTATATGATCCCGCCCTTTTACGAGTTGCCCGGCGGTGCCAGCCGCACGGGAGGCTCGTTTGCTGCGCCTGCTGAGTGCGTCTGTCTCAAGGCGGGCAAGGCCGTGTGTTTCTGTACAGACCCGAAGAGGGTAGGGGAGGCGAAGAAGGAGGCGGAAAAAAAACCGAAAAATGGTGACACGAGCCCTTCGGTTGGAGGCATACCGCTGACGGCTGGATGCGGGTTGGGATACTAGTTGTAGTGGTCTCTGTTATCGTCCAATGAGTGTATTGATTATGGGAGCTCCCATTGAGGGTAGGCCGATATGATTATTGTAATGATTGCCTAATTATAATTTGTTTATTATTTACGTCATCAGCATCATATTTAATAAAAATACAAGAAGCTTTTTTTTTCAAACGTCATCTATACTCTCCCGGTCTGTCAGACCAGGGACAAGCGATCCACTTGTATCCGTACTCGCTCTAGCCAGATATGCTCTCGCCTTAGGCGTTCGAGCTCCTCGGCCTCGTCGGCTGATCCCTGCTTGCGCATGAGCTCCTCGAGGTGTATAGACCAGAGGACGTACTGCTCGTTGGTGGCAAGCGTGAGGCCTTTCCTCCCCCACTCAAACACTTTGGGCCAGTCTTGCATCGTCTCATAGTAGTCGTTGAGGCAGCCGATGTAGAGGCACTCCATCATCTTGGAGAACATGACGGGGATCTCGCCGGCAGCCACCTTTTCCTTGACGTGCTCCAGGTAGGCCTCGCAGCGCGGAGCAAAGTCGTCTGCAAAGTTCTTGTGTAGCCACTGCTTTGTGAGGGCCTCGCTCTCGGGGTCTTGCATGATGAGGTTCTGGGCCCAGTAGACAGACTGCGACTCGAGGCGGATCATTGGATGCTTGTGTAGGTTGCGCGTGGCAGTGCCGGCGCCTTTAGTCTGTAGGCATGCGAGATAGAGATTGCGGGCCCACACCTGGTTTCGCTCCAGCATATCCTGGAGTCCGCAGATGGTGTCCGAGTTGATTTGCGAGAGCACGAGGATGTAATGCATGATATCCTCGGGCTGGTCGAGCAGGTCGGAAAACGAAGCAGCTATGTCGGTAAGAGGATGGCTGCCAAACTTGAGTTTGGCAAGCCGGGTCAGGTAGCGTAGGTAGGCCGTTAGTATATCGTTCCGGCCCGACTCGAGGAGCAGGTGCGGCACGAGGAGGCACAGATCGGCAAAGGACTTCATCGAGGGGGCCGCTATCTTGCGCTCGATCTGCAGAAAGGCAAGGCGCAGGACGCGCCCGCCTTCGACGTTCTCGCGGAGGTCGAACATATCCATGGCAACCTTGAAGTATCTATAGATGGGGTCGTCAAACCCAGCAACCTCCTCGCTCTTGAGGTGGGCGGCATCGAGGTCGATGAATCCGTGGAGGAAATGGCGAACTGCCGCCAGGCCTGCCTGCATGACGCGTGACCTGTCGTTCCCATGCAGCATTGGCGTGATGACCTCGTCAATGGCCTTGTGGTGTCTCACTATGAGCCTCCCGCCGTGGGCCTTTTCGGCAAGAGAGGCTCGATGCGCCCTGGCCCTAGGGCGCGTCTTGACGGCGTATTTGAAAAACCCCCACCTGGCGAACTGGTTCTTGTACATCTTGGGCCTTTATGAAGACGAGGTTTAGGAACGAATGCACCACGGACGTCTGATAATTGTGTGCAGGGGGAGGTGAAAGGCCGGGGGGGGGGGGGGGGGGCTGTAATGTGAATGTACTCACGTTGCCTTCAAGTTGTAGTTTGTCTCCATGAACATGATGATATCTCGGAGGATGCGGTTTTGGGTGATATAGAGTTCGTGCAACACGGATTTCCACGGCTCCCAGTCTTCAGCCCTACGTGGGACTAAAGGTATTACCTGAGACGACAGGGAGTCGCGGCCCTCGTCCCGGGTCGGCGATTGGTCGGAGGGAGTCGAGTGTGTTGGCGGACTCGAGGAGGCGGAAGGATCTGCAGACGAGAACCTAGACGGCTGTCGGCGGCTAAGCGACGTGAGCTGATTGTCAGCTTCGGGCGACGGGCTGGACTCGTCCTCGTCCTCGTCTAGCGCGAAGACGGCGCCATGGTCGTCGAGGCCGTCCGTGTCAAAGCTTGAAGTTTCGCGAGCCGTGACGAATGCCATCGATGCGCTGCCGTGCGGCGATGAACTCTTGGTCATGATGCGAAGATGCCTAATCGCTATCTCGCCAAGAGTACGAGTACGGGTCACGACGCGCGGGCCCCGGCTGTCTGGGAAATGCCACGGGCGGTGGCTTACTGCGAAGGGGACTCTATGGCATACGCGTGGGGGCTGCAGCTGTAGTGCAGTGTGTAATGGCAGTATAGGCTGGTGCAACAACAGTTATCGCCGTAGCCGGGTCCGTATCCGTATTGAGCCCGGAGCCACGGGGCCGGGAAGCGGCCCCTAAGGTTCAGTGGTGGAGTTTGTGAGTTGCAGCGACGCGTGCGTTGCGGCGATTGCGACAACAAGGCTGGACGTTGGAACCGTGGCAGGGACGACGATCTCAGCGGCTTTAGCAACACCACCCCAGCTTGCAGCGGCATTGTCCGGCCGCTGCCACAGAGAAACCGACGCGCTTAGCTGGCTGGCACGTCGAGCCTAGGTGACGGCCTGGTCCACTCCACAGCGTCGCGCCCGCGTTGGTTGGTAGGTTGTTGGCGGATTGTTGGCTTCGTTCGGACTTCGTTCGTGCCCTATGCGGCCTGCTCGGCACGGCAATCTGAGAATCTGGGGATCAACCCAAGAAGGGGAGCCGGGCCGTAATTAGGTTGCGCGACAGATGTCCGGGTCCTGGTCCTGGTCCTGGTCCTGGTCCTGGTCCTGGTCTTAGTCCTGCCGCAATACGCAGTCGACACTTCAGAGTTCAAAGGTTGAGTCTGGACGACGGCGGCGGGATGGCCGGAAGACATGAAGTGTCCAGACGCCAACCAAGGGTGGTCCCGTCGGCCATTTCTGACCCGCTCTGCCCTGGGCGCTGCCTTTCGATGGCGGACGGGACGGTGAGTTGGAATTCCCCGACGCGCCAGAGTCTGGTGTACAGAGACCAACGGCTCCCAAAACCCAGAGCCCAGAGCGACGGGCCATGGGGCCCGCGCCACCCCCAAACTGCACTGCACCCCTCCATTCCCGGCAAGTAGCGCTGCCTGGCCTATCCAATCCCCCAAGTGGGGGACGCTTCGTCGCATCTTCCAATGGAAGGGACCTCGCATGCTGACACCTCCCCGACGCACCTGCCACACCCGCCCAAGTGCCAGTAAACTCGCTGTGATTTGTCGTGTACTAGTGCATGTCTTCGTCCACACGGAGGGGTCTGATACTGAGAAGGTTGCTGCAGTGCCCTGACACAGTGGCCACTTCTTTTTGCTCCTTCCGTTTCCGCCCACGCTTGCGAACGCGAGGTGGTGGCTGAAGTCCCGAGGGAAAGGGTTTCTGTTACACGAGCCGACAGCAGCTTTAAGGTTATCCGTCGGGGCAATCGTTCCTGTGCCTTTCCGGGCAGCACATTGTGCGCACACCACACCACTGACCCACACACCACGCAGCACGCAGCTCGCAGCTCGCAGCACGCAGCACGCACTGGATGCCAGCTTCAAATTCCGTCCCCCGGTTTGCCCAGTCGCGATGCAGAGACGTGCTGCGCCGCCCGAGATCAACGGCTTAACTAGCCCGATCCGGCCAGTGGTGCCCTGGCCTAGATTACCTCATTAGATGGTAATCAACGCGCCGCCGCCCACACTTTTGTACTGTACTGCCTGGCAACCAACCTGGCATGCCTGGTAAGGCGCTGATTGCAGTGATCCACGCTCACATCCTACACGCAGTAGCACTGCAGGCGGGAAGAGATGGATTAATAAGGCGCCGGTCTTCTGAAGATGATGTAATAATTGGTCGGAAATAACTGACGGGAGCCCGGAGGAGAGAGCTCCCCCCCACTGTCACTGGTGCAGGACCCAATGGAACCACCAACAAGCTCAAAGCCAACCCCAACTCCAAAGGCGGCTTCGAAAAAAGAATCCGCGCAAAAACATGTTTCAACTGACACTCCGTCGCATTTCCAGCAGCCTGGCCCTCCAAACGGCTTTAATTTTACTCGAGGGCTTACCTACCTCCGCCCTCTGGCCATGTTCCCCACTCTGCTGCCTCGTGACCCTAGCGTAACGATAAATTGTGCTACGGATGCTCGTCCTTCCGGGCAGCGTCTGCCACAGCCACAACGTCGTCAGCCGCCGTAGCAGCCCCGTCCGTCTCATCAGGCCCGTCCTCGTCACCATGCATGGATATTTTGTTGTAGCCCAGAGAGCACAGAGCAAAGAGAGCGAGAGAGAGCCCGAGACTAACAAGATACGCCACGCTGACCTGGCAGTTGAGTTCCAACGTCAGTCCTCTGCTCAAGGGCTCCGGTAGGGGTAACTGGCAATGGCAATGAAGGCGGGGCAGAGAAAAGGGGCTCACATAGGTGTCGGTATTTCCCCATTCTTCGGTCAGCAGCGGCGTGCACGCGACAACGGTCAACCCAACTATGTAAAACAAGGTCGAGTAGGCAATAAACATCATGGGACACTGCCAGTTGAAGATGAGGCGCCAGTTCAGCACCCAGCTGTCGGTATAAGACAAGTCTTGGCCCGCCGCCTCGCCGTCTCCGGTTGCGGCGCCGGCGCCCTTCCTTTTCTTCCGCCCCAGGACTTGGCCGAGGTGGCGCGTCATCACGCGGGCTGAGGTCGCCGCGTGGTCCTCGGGTAGCTCACCCATCAGACTAAGCAGCGACAGCTGCTGCGCCGCAAGGAATATCCCGAAGACGGACGTGGTCAGGGCGGCATACCAGAACGCCGGGCCGACCCAATGCGAAGTAGCGACATTACCCCAGGAAAATGAGGCAGTGTCGATAGCCGTCATTACGGTAGCCTGTTAACACAGAGTCAGCATTGCAGCATTCCCATCTGATGATTTGATGACAAAGGAGGACTCTGAAGGCGAGCTAGGTCGGCACCTACCGCGACTGCCACGAACCCGAGTTCGTCCTTTTTCCGTGTGCGCCACCCCACGAGGACGGCGTGGAGTTCGCGCCTGTCAGGCGAGTCCGGCTGCACTCCGGTGGAGGCATGTCTCAAAACTTCCTGTATCGGCCGAAGCGTGTTGTACGTGAAGAAGCGGTGGTAAGGCAGAGTAATAAGCTGCACTAAACCACCAAATAGAAGCTCGCTGAAATTATATCGGCCCAGCACACCCATGGTGTGGATAGTATTCTGTTGGTCTTGCAAGGTTCACTGGTACGTGGAGGTATCTTTGGAACGTCAGGCAGGTTTCCGAGTTCTTAGAGAAGACGGGCGTTCAAACGAACGAAGAAGAGAAAAGGCCACATCAGGCCATGCACGCAGTCTCTGATCTCTATATCGGCGGCTGGCGCTCCTTCGTCACCCATCCGCCAGTCTGGCATCTGCACATTTACGATATTTCCATGCTGATGGCTTGCCTGAGCGTGCTGCACAGCAGAGGTTGTGGAGACTGTCTGAGAGATAACGACCACTCAGGCGCCGAGCACGGGCGCGGTCGGGCTCGCGTGTCGCTCTCGATTGGGCGGGGGAGGACGGCCGCACCAAACATTGCGAGCCACGAAGGGGTTCAGCCGTCCATTGACTTGTGTGGCTTGCCGATCCCTGCTGCTTGTCGTCCAGTGGCCGCCCTGCAACCACCCATGCAAAAAGAATGAGAAAATTTGATGTCAAACACCTTGAAATTCGCAGTGGCACAACCCTACACAGTAATAAATAACATGCCAGAAAGAACGGGCCCGTCGTCAAGAGCACATCTCCAATCATGACTTCCAACGTTCCAATGTTCACCAACACCCAAAGCGGAAGGAACCAGAATAGTATAAACCCCCCCTCGGATTCAAATTTCCTCCCTTTCCTCTCGCTTGAACCGACATTGTGGCTTCCTCTTGTCCAGAGGGCTGCAATTAGGGCAAAATCAAAGTCAAGCGCTCTTCACAGGATGACAAGACTAATACGAACAGGACAGTCAAACTTACTACTCAACTTGGGCTACGTGCGCTCGCATATATTTGGGACAATGACACGTGCACCTTTTCCATGTGCCTGTTCTATTGATGCACAAAATACTCGTGCTCATATTGATTCATCAGTAAACCGATCGGAAGACATAACATCCCAAGTCCACACCAATCTCCTTTTGCTACCAACACCAGCCAGAACTTACTGAATCCGCCATCGCGTCAAGTCCCTAATCCAGGTGTCAAGCCCAAGGCCCCATTCTTCACTTGTGACTTCAGGCGTCGACGGCAAGACGCTTCCTCCCGAGCATCTTGCGCATGCTCTCGGCAAGCTTCCAAGGTCCGCCAATGACGCGGCTGCTCTGAAATGCCTGCTCAATCTCATCGAGGCTCTTGCCCCGCGTCTCGGGCATGAACAGCCAGCAGACGACGACGGCCAGGAAGGTGCAGATGCTGAACAGAAAGTAGGCGCCGTAGCTCGTCTTGGCCAGCAGCAGCGGGGTAACGAGAGCAACGAGAAAGTTGGTCACCCAGTTGCTGCCGTGGGCGATGTTGGTGGCGCTGGCGCGGGTGCGCTGCGGCTGGATCTCGGCCGCGTAGATCTTGATTCCCACGCCCCACGACACGCAGTACAGCACGGCGAAGACATAGATCCCCACCACGACGACCCACCGCCCGGCCCCCGTGCTCGCGTGCACTGCGTCGCCCGCGTACAGGCTGCCCATGATGAGCATGGTGGCCGCCATGCCGAGGCCGCCGAGCATCGTGCTGAGCCGCCGGCCCCATCGGTCCGCCCAGATGGTGGCCGGGATCGTCACGGCGAAGATGACGATGGCCGACACGCCAGACGCCAGAAAGGTCGACTGGACCGAGTCCAGGCCGGCTTGCTGGAAGAGCAGTGGGGCGTACTGTGGCGATGCCAGTCTGGTTAGTCCCCATGTCCCCTTTTACACTTGGCCAATGGGTGGGTGGCTCAGCTCACATAAAGAACGCCGTCGATGCCGCTTAGCTGCTGCATTCCCATGAGAAAAACGGCGAGAAAAGTGCGCGAGCGAGCGTCAGGAGAGAAAACGTCGAGCATCTTGTTTGGCTTGTCAGAGGCGGGGGGCTGCCTCCTTGAAGAAACGCCCGCATCGGTGCCGGTCGCCATGGCGCGGTCAGGGCTGGTCTCATCGCCGACGTCGGGACTGGGAGGCTCGAGCACCGAGGTCTCGAGCTGCTCCAAGATCTTCTCCCGGTCTGCAGCCGGGACGCCGAGCTTCTCCCAGGCGGCAGCAGCTTGGTCGGCTTTTCCGTGGAGGTTAAGCCACCGCGGAGATGGGGGAAGCCAGACGAGAGTGGCGGCAGAAAAGGCATAGGCGTAGCCCGCCAGCAGAGCAAAGGGCAGGCGCCAAGACATGGACGACTCGATGTTGGCGGTGCCGTAGCACGTGAAAAAGCCGGCCACCAGGCCCAGCGTGATGAGAAGCTGCGGCCCCGTGGTGAGAGCGCCGCGGTGTTTTGGAGGCGCAATCTCACAAATGTAGCTGTGCGCAGCAAGTTAGCCACTAGTGCAAGCAAATTCATGTCATCCGGGTCATTTTGCCAACCAAAGCAAAGCACTTACACGACCAGAGTGCCGAGATACAATCCCTCGCCGACACCCTCGACGACGCGGCCGACAATGAACATGGCAATGTGGACCGAGGAGGCCTCGAGGGTAGCGCCGACGGCGAAGATGAGAGAGCCGATGGCGATGCCAGTGCGGCGGCCCAGGGCGTCCGCGAGACGGCCAGCAAAGAAGGACGAGATGGCGGCGGGGATGAGGATGGAGGAGACGATCAGGCCGTGCACGATAGGCGAGGTGTTACCGACGTAATTCTTAAACTCGTCCATGACGGTCGCGGGTCCGATAATGCCTGTATCGACGCCGAAGAGAAAGCCGCCGAGCGAGCAGAGCACGCTAGCGGCGACATAGCCCGGCGGCTTGCGCATGAGGCTTTTGGCGAGCTGCATCTTACCATCCGGACGTTTTACTCAGTCGCGTGGTCCCCAAGTCGAAGTATCGCCGATTCTCAATCAGTAAGTCAATTATCGCCGTGAACCGAAGTTGTCTCCTGTCATTATCAATTCATTATCGCAACTGGTTATTGGGGAGTCTTGCTTAATACCTCGCAGAACCACATATCCCGCCCTAGAATATGGCGCACGCCGTGGACTCTGATTTGTAATAAAAGACCCCAGCCAAAATGGACGTTGTGGCGGTTAGTTGCGGGAGCAATACGAACGAGTTAGATCGGGGAACCAACAGCTACAAGTGCCACTCAGAAATAAGACCGACAGCTGCCAAGTGCAGCCGGCACTAAAGTCAATTCGGAGCATCATCGGCGTCGCCTGAGTCACACAGTTTTATTCCACATCTATTATCCGAAAACCCGAATCCGACTCTTTCGGCTTTCCGACAGATCTTGGCCAAATCCAACAAAGCGCCATTAGTAATTTGTCCCGACAAAAAGCCTCGAGTCGATAATTATCCGGAAAACGCCGCCCTTCTTCCCTATCAACATCCTGCGATATTCTGCAAGATGCCCGGCTGCAGCTCCTCCAGTTTCTTGCAGAGAAGGTCCCAGACGTAGCTGGCTCTCTTGTCGTCCTAGGCAATGGGGGCGTACTTCTGCACGGCGCCGGCCCGCAGGTAATTAGAGCCCGTGTGTGTTGCGGCCGCGGCTCCTCAGCAACGCGGGCGGCGACGGGCTCAAAAAACTCATAAGAAAACCTTGGCGCCGCCGGTCAGCTCGCCCGACAGCCCCGTCTTGCAAAAGCAGGGGTTGTCCGAGTTGATGGCGATGGGGTTCTAGTAGGCCGTCGTCGTGCCGTCGTGTCGTTGTTGGTCGGCCTAACCATGGCGCACAGCTTGATGGCCGTGTACAGCTGCAGTAGCTTGTCGAGGTGGAATCTTTTTTTAGGCAATCTTGTCAACAAAGGGACGCTCTTTGTTTCTTTGTGCTGGTCCTTGCACTGACTGCACTTTTGTGACTACCTTGATTACGTGCCGCGGGCGGGCGGGAGAGAAGGAGAGAGGAGAGAGACGCGGCCTACTGGTTCATACCACCGACGTGCGACTCGTCGGCGAACTAGGCAAACAAGTCGACGTCGCCGTGTTTCGGGTACTCGGCCACATCGTACAGAGCCGAGGCGACCGTGGTCATGCGTGGCGTGGCTCGGTGCACTCGCGCCGTCTGCTCAAGCTTGGGTATCAGCTACAAGGCGAGCAGAAAGGTCCCGGTGTTCACAGCAAGCGTGCGGTCGGTGCCGTAGACGGCCTTGAGGTTGACGGATCAGATGCCCGTGTTGTTGGTTATGACGACGAGCCGGGGCAGCATGCTGGCGCGGTTGACAAGGGCTTTGATTGATTAGATGACTCGAAATCCAGCTCCCACACCTCGATGATATCAGAGCCGCATTTCAAGAGCTCTTCAATCTTGCGCTTGGCTGCGGTGCCACGGGAATGGCTACGGCAGGCGAAGATGACTTTGCTGGCACCGAGGGAGATAAGGTGTTTGACAATCTCCTTGCCCAAGCCTGCGTTAGCCCCCGTGATAATGACGGCTTGTGAGGCAAACGAGGCTGAGGGCTGGGCAGGGGGATCTTGGGAGTGGGTTGGGCGTGCACAAAGTCGCCAAGAGAAGGCATGGCTGGCAGGTTGGTGAGTCGTCACTTGTTAAGCCGGCAAGTTGATCAGGGTTTTAATGCTTGTGCTGATTATTGTTTTCATACTCATGATGAATTTTCTTTCTTATTTTACATTTTACGAACAACTCTTGCCAAGTCTACAAGCACAGAGCAGAGCAATTGTCATAATCCCATTCCCATTCCCATTCCCATTGCCGCCCAATCAATCCCTACTCTGCTCATCGCTTCTCGATTAGGGAGCCAAGTCGCAGCCAAGTCGGAACAGGATTAAATCCGTGACTTGGCACGGAATGGGAAGGAGTGAGGTGCGACGCTGAGTGCAACCGCGGACTTATCAGTCACGTGGCGAGGTTGCTCCCTTGTCTCCGCGGCCTTTGGGTCGATATCCGCCCCCTCTCCAGCAGCCCCACGTCCTAAGTCGACCACACGCACAGCAAAACCCCCGACCGACCGGCCACGTCCCTTTACCCAGGCGGCCACCCACCGGCGATTCGGCACGCCATGTCGCAGCAGCAGCAGCAAGCTTCGGCTTCTTCAGGATACAGACCTCACCGGCGTGTTCGCATTCCGCTATCATGTGATCCTTGCCGTATCCGAAAGTGCGTACTACTACTACTACTACTACTACTACCACCTGGTGCCCCATAGGCCCTCATCTGCACTGCATCAGATCATGCATCCCTCTGCGTCGCGTCGCGTATCCGTGTCCGAATCCGTACCTACCTGTTGTCTGTCTGTCTGTCTGTTCATGTCTGGCCCCCCGCATCTAACCGAGCTGAGCACAGACTGAAATGCAACCGGGAGTCGCCCTGCCAGAACTGTAAGGCCCGTGGCGGAGATGAGGCTTGCAAGTTTCACGGCCCCAAACCCAACAAAGGCGGCTCCGCCGCCGCCGCCCGCGCCGATGCAAACGGCCAGGAAATGCTCGCGCGAATCCACGACCTCGAGGATCTGGTCAAGAGCCTGATCGAAAAGCACCAGGCCTTCTCTACAGACTCACCTCCCGTCGCTCACGAGCACAGCCCGACGCAGCCAGCGACAGTGCTGCCAGACACTCCTGACAGCCCCCCGCAGGCTCAAGCTCAGGCTCAAGCCCAGGCCCAGGATGCGGCCGAGGAGAGCGGGGCCGGCAAGACGGTCATGGACGGCATTCACTCCGTCTACCGCGGCGTGCACGACTGGCAGGTCGTGCTCCAAGAGGTAACTAATTTTTTTAAAGAAAATTTAATTTGTTGCCATTAGGTAACTGGCCCCGGTGTCGCTGCTGATCCCCCGGGCTGACCTGCATGCACCCCTGATTGTGACACCTTAGATCAATGACCTCAGAAGCACCTGGACCAACCAAGATTACGGCTATGAGACAGACTACAGCAATCTTCCCATACCCTCGCATACCGTCGACGGATCCAGTCTGCTCTTCAACCAAGCCAAGCCGATCGAACGAATCGAGATCATCTCGACTCTGCCACCCAAACCCGAAGTCGACCGCATGATTGCCTTCTTCTTTAATCGGTCCGCCTTCCCCATCGCCGTCCCGCGTAAGTCCCTTGGTGCGAATGCCACCAGTGCCTTGCCGTTCTGTCTATCTAACCCTTGCTACTTTTTTTCTTGCTCGCATCAGCCATCCTCCACGAGCCAACCTTTATCCGCGAGGTAAGACTCTTTTTAGAACTCTCTTTGTCTGACAGTTAAACAGGCCATGAAACACCATGCCACCCCACCCCACCACTTGGCTGATCTCTAGTCCTATCTAGTACAACGAGCACTGGAAGAACCCGTCGCAAACAAACCTGATATGGCTGGGCCTACTCTTCTCCATCCTCGGAATAACGATGCTAGCCTATCACCAGTACGGTGAACCACCCCAGTACGAAGGCATCGCCGAGTCGCTCTTCTCCGTCTACCGTACGCGTACGGCGCAGTGCCTACTCGCTGGCGATATGGCCAAGTGCCTGCCATATACGGTGGAGACGCTGCGCTTCAACGCTACGGCCGAGCTAAACCGCAGGGACGATAACCGCCGCGGGCTGTGGATCATGACGGGCGTCGTAGTGCGTACCGCCATCAATATGGGCTACCACCGTGACCCCTCACAGTTCCCGGATATCTCCCCTATGCAGGCCGAATACCGGCGCCGTGTATGGATCTCGGTTGTGAGCATGGACGATATGGCCTCTTTCCTCGGCGGCTTCCCACGTATGGTGTCGGGCTCGTTTGCCGACGCCGCCGAGTGTCGGAACCTGCATGACTGGGAGCTGTCGGCGGAAACCACGGTCCTGCCCCTGTCCCGGCCGCTCACGGAGGCCACCCCGGTAACGTATCTGATTGTAAAGGGCCGCCTCTTCCGCGCTCTGGGTCGCGTCGCCGATTTCAACAGCGCGCCGAATACAGGCGCGTATGACGCCGTTCTCGACATTGACCGCGCCGTGTACGAATCCTACCAGAGCTTTCCCCCGCACATGAGAATTCCCCCTGTTGGGGCTAGTAGCGGCGGCAGCAGTAAAAGAGGCGGCGGTGATGGTCCAAGAGGCAATATGGTCCAGATGCTGGCCACCTTCTCCAACCTGAGCCTGTTCGGCATGTACCACAAGGGCATGTGCACGCTGCACCGCAAGTTCCTGGCCAAGGGGCGAACCGACAGCCGGTACAAGTTCTCGCACGACCGGTGCATCTCGTCGGCGCTGGCCCTGGTCGAGAGCCAGCAGCTCCTGATCCCGTCCCTGTACCGCATGGCACAGACGCGGCAGATCATGACCCTGGCCTCCATGGTCCTGATACTGGAGCTGGAGCTGCGGCGCAAAGCCCCGAGCGCTGAGGCCGCCGAGCCGCCGTCGCCCGACAGCGGCGTGCTTCTGCAGGCGCTGGACAAGTCGTGCGCCCTCTGGGCCGACGCGAGGAACGTATGTGAAGAGGCCTGGCGGTCTCACCAGCTGCTCGAGGGCATGCTCTCGAGCTTCCGCGTTGACGCCAGTCCGGGCACAGCGTCGTCGTCTCTGCAGACACCGCCCGATAATATAACCCCCTTTGAGATTCTCGGGCTAGACCCGCAGTTCGACGCCATGTTACCCGCGGGGAACTTCTCTTTTTATCAAGAATGGGCCAATGTCGACCTTGACTGGGTTTGTCACCCTCTCTTCCTAAGCAGTGACTTGCCCGCTAAATTAATGCACTCTACTAACAATTTTAGGCCGCGTACGACACGTTCATTGAAGAGAGCGGACAGGGAAGCGGTCCCATATATAAATGATTTATGTAACGATACGAGTAGGCGAGGAAGCCATGCCGCTGTTACATCATTATATTGCATCACTGAAGGTAGAATCTGATGCAGTCGGTCGAGCAATTGCACCGTAACCTTCGTTATGATTATTCAGCCCACGGTGTCGTGACTTGTCCTGGTACCAAATGCCAGTTATGATTCTAGTTATAGATAAAACTGATCAGATGCGTGGTTGCGATATTACTAGTCCTAGCACACAGATAATCGTTAATTCAAGTTGACCGGCATCACGGGGAGGAGCAGGGGATCGTCAAGTAGCCGCTGCATGTCCTCCTCGCCCAGCGCTATCGAGATGTCGACACCGCTGTCAGTCCACGCCGGCTTTGCGCCAGATAGCGCGCCATGCTTTGCAGCGGGCGCAGGCGGCGCCTCCTTAATGAGGACGCACCCGTCCATGTCTGGCACGATGCCGTCGGCATAGCGGAGGACAGAGCCGAAGCCAAAGTCCACCTCGTAGATGCCAGCGCGGGCCCACGTGGTCACGAGCAGGTGGCGCCGGCCCAGAAAGGCCTGCCAGATGCGCTGGGGCGACTTCTCGAACGCCACGCCGTGCAGGTGGGCGGCCAGGCCGTCGCGGCTGCCGCCGAGCGCGATCGTGTCTCGGATGCGCCGGGTCGTGGCCCCGACGTCGCCGCAGACCTGTGCGCCCGCCATCTCGATGTTGGCCATCACGACGGGCGACCCGAGGAATGTGTCGCCGAGCTGCAGGGGCGGCCGAAGACCGAGCACGAGGTCGCAGTGCACGGGGCTGGTGTCGTCGCCCTCGAGATCCCTAGCGCGCACGACGCACGACCAGAGATGGGCGAGAACGGCGTCGTGCTTGCTGATCCTCACGCCCGCCGGCTGGGCTTGAGTAGCACGGCCCCAGAGAAAGTCGACTTGCTCTCGGCTGAGGTGAACAATGTAGCTCGAGACGGGGGCGTGGACGTCCCACTCGGCCCACGGCATCGCCGAGCCGGCCGGCGGCAGGTCGCGGCCCTGGAAGGCACTTGGCACGGTGCTCGGCCACGGACAGCCCTCCGACGGCGCCCACCAATCGAAGCGGTTCATGGGCAGCTTCATGGCGCGGTCGATGATGTCCGGGTCCGGCTGCTCGGCGTTGATGTCGCCGGCGGCCAAAGCGTCGACACGCGCGGGGTCGAAGACGGGACGCAGCACCGGGACGGCCTTGCCCACCAGCCTCGCCCGGCTAACGCTAGCCCAGTCCTTGACGAAGCACACCAGGGCCGCGATGTCTACCATGGGGTGCGCGCACTTGATTGACAGGACAAGCCCCCGGCACGCCAGCTCCGTGATCTGGATCGCGAGCAGCGGCTTGCGGGCGCCATCTGCGTCGGGCTCGTTCGGCTGGAGCGCGTGAGCGATGGTTGTGGCGGGCGAGAAGGCCTTGAGCGGGCCTTTGCTGCGCTCCCACAGAGCCAGCCGCTTTGCCCGGTCGGCGGGGTGGAGATGGTCGACGGTAGCCGAGCTGGCCGCCGTGATCAGCTTGACGCCAGGGTCCTGGTCTGTTCCGAAATGGGCGTAGACGCGGCCGAATCGCCGGGCGTGCGGCGCCAGCCTGCTCGCAATCTTATCGTCGCCCGCCGGACCCAGGCCGTCGACGCTGCTAAATGCCCTGCACTGGCCGCATAGTTGCGGATATGATGAGAGGGTGGTGCGGAGCGACTGGTGAAGGAGCGGCAGAAGTTGCGAAAGCTCGACAGTGGGGCTCTCGAAAATCCAAGTGGCACTCGTGAGGGCGAAATTCGCCGTCGTCGCGTCGAGGAGCGATAAGGGAACGACAGCCTCTGAACTAGCTGGCGTCGCCGGGAACACTCTCTGAGTCTGGGTGGTTGAGACTGTAGGGAGCATGGTCATAGCTGCCGTTGAAGAGGATCGGAAAGGGTTGGGGACGTGAGAGAAGGACATGAGAAAATGAAGAAAATCACGAAAAAATTGCATTTCAACACATCATTGAAGTGGAACGCTAAATTGAAAAAGGAAGGTAAGGCAGGTAAAGCGGCCTAGTTCGCCGTCTTGTCTCAGGCTCCTCGAGTCTTGAGTTGGTTGACTGTGAGTGGTGACAATTTGGAACACTTGATCAGAAACCCAAAAGCTTGCCTATGTCGACAAAAACAAAACCGGATTTCAATAGAGAAATAGAAAAGAATGAGACTATTTGGTCGGCAGGACCTGCCGTTAATGCCAGGGTAAATGGGAACCATGGTTATGAGAGATCAGCTGATTAAAGTAAGAAAATGGGTGAAAATAGGGGTTGGAGGCCGTTTATAAAATCATTATCATATAGACGGCCGTTGGGCTAGGCATTTAGCTCTTGCTCCACGAGATTTAGGAGGTACTGCACATCGGTACCAGGTCGTATTAATTGTTGGAAAAGATTGACACACTCCTACGGAGTACCTGCCTTACCTTAGCTAGGAGTGGGCAGGTAAGCTAAGGCGATCTCCACTGTTATCGCCCCTCCCGCACCCTCATTCGCCCAATCCGGATAAGGCCCCTCTTTTTCTTTGACGCGGTTCCTTTCTTTTCTTCCCTTTCTTTCTCGTTTTCTTTTTTCTTTCTTTCCCCCTCCCCGCCTGCTCACCACACCACAAGCCCCGCCCTTGTCTCTCTCATCATGCCAGGCAAACGACAAGCGCATGCGTCGGGAGGCCATTCCGGCCAACAACGACCCGTAAGTTCCTTTTTTTGTCCTTTTTTCATTATTTTCGCCCTCAGTCTCGCAGTTATACTCCGTCACTGTCCTGATTTCAATCCACCTGCCTTCTTTTTCAATACGTCAGTCGATCTGCAACCTGCGATCGCTACTCCCCCCACCCTCAAAACATTCCGCCCAAACGCGACCCTTCACTTCCAACCTCTCCCCCCCCCCACATCGCTCCCATTTAAAGATAATCAATTAGTTGGCCTTCAACTAACAATACATGGAGCAGCTTCAGCCAAACATGGTGTCAACGTCTCGCAATAGTATCACGGTTGCCAGCGGCCAAGGCAGCAGCGATGCGAGCTCACGGGGTAGCAGCCCTGTCGCTGCCGCTGCCGTCGCTGCCGCTGCAGAGAAGGGAGCCGTTGAGGTTGTCCGCCCTGCAAGCCCGCTGCCGAATAACGGCAATGCGGTTGCCGTCGTTCCTGTCACTCAGACGACTTCCAACTTGAGTTACGAGAACTCAAACCTGGATGAAATCATGCTCCGCCAGCTGAGTGAAGACATCATGGCGTACAACCACGATGTCGATTTCTGCAAGGCGCAACTGGAGGATCCTGACCTGACCCCCCAGGAGGCGCGGACCCTGCAGCTCCGGACCCTCGACCTGGGCCACCAGATCCGCCACTGCCAGCACCGCATCGAGACGCTTCAGGTGCAGCTGCACAAGCAGGGAACTCGCTTCCGCCATCAAAACTACGGTACGACGATGATGATAACCGCGGGCAACGGAGCCCACATCAGCAGCAACGGCAAGCCTCGAGCCAGCACTGGTGGCGGCGGAACCGGACTGACTGTGAAGCACGCCGCCATCTCGACTCCCATTTTAGGAAAACGCGCGGCACCAGCAGTTCCGGCAGCACAAGGGGAGGACGACGACGATGACGGCGCCGTGAAGCGGCCAAAGATCTCGTCCTCGCCCGATTACGAGGGAGTCCCCGACGCGGACGGCGCTGCCAACACCACGCTGCAGCGCCTCGGCATGTGGAGATGCCGGCTGTGCTCGGCTCCCAAATATCTGCTCGCTGGCAGCGGCCGCTCCCCTGCGGCGCCGTGTAAGTGGCCTCTGAAGGATATTTCAAAGATGATCACGCACTTTACCGAGATGCACACCGAGCACACCCCGGCGGAGCGGTGCACCGAGCTTGGGACCGCTCTATCGCTAAACCGTAAGTGTCCATGTCCATCCCAATACCTGCAAATTCCAAAACTAACGTCCGCTGTAATCAGGGGGTCCATTTGAGTATTGGCTGCGACGCACCCGTGCGCAGAACGTGGGAGATGGCTCCATCATCAACGACTGCATCAACAGCCTGCTTAGCGGCCAGATGCCCGGTCAACTTCGACGCCTCAGCAGGGCCGCGGCGGGAATGCCCTCTTAAGCATTCTCCATACAGTGCGTGCCTGGCTATTCCTTGTGGAGCTTCAAACTCGGCTTCCACGGTTTTTAGGCTCTAGCTCCACACCGCCGTCTCCCTCTGGGGGTCGGAGGATATGGATGACAAAAGGAATGGGATAGACGACATTGGCATGGGCTGGGGTAGACATCTATCATCCAGCTTGTCGCTTTAGGAGATCAAGAGCGTTCCCTTCTGACTGTTCTCAAAAGGCATGCAAAGGTGACTGAAATTGCTTGCATGCTTCTTTTCCTTCTTCTTAATGAGCAATGTTGTAAAGTAGCACTAGACGAGTGAGGGTCGTATTGTTGTTTCGTTCACCTTCTTCTGCGTGGTGCGGCGCATTCGACACTTGGACCACGTCAAGGAACGCGTTTGAGTTGGAATCGCGCCATGTCAGAAGAACAAGAGAATGCCTCTTGGTCGCTTGGCACCTGGCCGGTATTTATTAGAGCTGGACATTCTGTGGGTACATGTACATCCCTATAAAAAAAATCACATGTCCCTGAACCTTGCGCGACGATATTGATAGGTGGTCTGTGTTACTGTCGCCGCAGGAAATGCACGGGGACAGCATATGCCCATGCCGAGGTCTGGATAAATGGATGGCAGCCCCCGGGAGACGGCAGCCGACAAGTGCTACAGGGGCTTTGTTTTGGATCATCAAACGCGGATTCTTCTGCTCCTCTTTATATTGCTCGGGTCTCGCGCCTAATTAGTTAATTTCTGTGCAGTCGCGGAGAGGCAACACTGCGCACATTAGACCATTAATAAGGTACCTGGGCAGTGTGCATGCTTGATTATAGTAGTACTTGAGGGCATGCGCTCAAATAAAGGCTGTGACACGTACCGACCCCCTACTTAGTCTTGCACATCGACTCTTGGCGGCTTTGTATCTGTCTGAGCAGTAAGCAGAGAGACTCAAAAGCCGGCAGTCAAGGTTTGCTAATAATTTCATTTGTTACCGCGCCCATCACCGCCATGAGGAATCTCTGGCCCGCGGAAACGATTCTCTTTGGCACTCTATGTGAGTTGGCTGCTCGAATCTATTATAGCCAGTCTGTGTGGTGGTTGTGCTAAACAGGCGAGTCAAGTGATGATATCAACGTGCCTTGGCCAGAGCGCGGACATGACTGAGGGAGTCTACACGGATTTGAAAACCGGTATCAGCTTTACCACGTGGACAAGCCAGGACGGCTTTACCACTGGCCTGGTCCTGCCCCCAAATGCCGCCGGCCAGGATGCTGTCGACTATATAGGCTTGCTGGTATGTCTCCAGCCTCGTGTCGGTGTTTACGGTTGACTGGGTCACGGCTCTAAGACTTCATTTGCAGAGATGTGAAAGCGATACGGCAAATGCGACGGGGTGGTGCGGCTTGGCCCACCACGGAGACATGCTTGCAGACTTGCTCCTTATCGCCTGGTGCGTACTTTCCGAGTGCTTCGGGCCCGGTTTCCAATTCCACCTTTCGCCCCTTCAATGTGAAGTCTCATCAATGAGAAGAATGATTATCAGTGGCAATCCAAAAGCTAACAATCCTGACATTTCCAAGGCAATACCAAGGCTCAGTCGTGACGTCGTTTCGCTGGGCGACTGACTACTTCATGCCGCCTGCCTATGTCGGGCAAGACGTGAGCCTGACGCAAATCAGCTCATGGGCCAACTCGACGGGATACGAAGTCATCTACCGGTGCCGCAACTGCCTCCCGCCCAAGACACAACCCGCTGCCATCGCCAAGTCCGCCAAGGCGTCCAAAACCTCGCTTCCCCTCGGGTACGCCCAGGGCTTCGACTCGCCGCTGAACCCGGGATGCCCCGGCAATGTCACATTTACTTTCCACGACAAGGGATACGGGGAGTGGGAGGCGTCGCTGGTAAACACGGAAGCCACTTTGTACGACCAATGGGCGCTCTTGGCGACGAAAGTTCAAAATGACACATGCTAGATAAGATCTCCGGCATGTTAATCAGTTAATTACCACAGAACTTGTCATTAATTACAGGAAGCAACACTATCCCGGCAATCATACGACACAAAAACATAAACTCAAGTTGAAGGCGCGCAAAAAGAAAAAGCATAGTCTATCTGTCTATAAACAATGATGTATAAGTACATATATACTTGGCAATTCGGGGGGGCTATGTGCTGGGGAAAGGGATGAAGCTATATGCAGTGGCAGAAACGTAAATATAGAAGTAAACAAGAATATAAACAAAAAAATATGGTCAAAGGTAGAGAGAATGAAGGGGGCTCCGTGTGAGGCTTCCAGACAACATGAACAAGCTTGCCCGACATGTGACCCGACATGTGACGAGTCCCAAAGCTTGTTTACTGTTCAGGCCGTGAAAGCAATGGCGCGGCGGGCCTCGAGGGCGGGGAGCTCACGCTTGTTGTTGAAGAACTCGGTGGGCTCGCACAGGTCGAGCCACATGTCGCCCGTGTTCAGGGGGCACCAGCGGGTGCGGACGTCGTCGGGGTGGTTGTAGGCGTCGACGCAGAGCTGGTTTGCCGGGCAGCGGATTTTTTGGCTGTCACGGACGGATCTGGTTAGCTAATGGCTAATCCTGGGTGTGTTTATGTTGTTCTGAAAATAGTCAGAGAAGAGGGGAAAACATACCAGGTGCCTTGGCCGGCGCCGGCGTCGGTAGGCGTGGCCTTGACATTGTCATGGTAGAAGGGCGTGCCAGCGCGGCCAGCGCCGGCCCCGTCAATGTTGGAGACGTCCCAGTACAGGCCGTCTCCGCTAGCGTACGTGTACTCGAACTGCAGGATCCCGCTGTTGAAGCCCGGATCGTTCTTGGAGATTTTGACGCTGGTGCCGCAGTTGTTGCGGATCCAGTCGAGCCGGAGGATGCTGCCGCCGTTGCCGGCCCCGATGACGTAGGGCGACTGGTTGCAGGCGCCGTTGGAGCCCTTGTCGCAGCTGCCGCAGTTGGACTGGTAGACGTAGACAGGCACGTTGCACCAGTTGTTGATGTTCAGCGTGGCAGACACGGTGGAAGCCAAGGCGGCGAGGGCAAGAACGGTGGTTGCGGCGTACATGTTGACGAAGTGTTTGTTTTGAAGCGGATGAATCAAAGACAGAACTCGTGGAGGCAGCTACACAAGACGAGCGAGGAAAGAAAGAAAGTGTTGAGGTTGTATAATGTTTCAAATTGAGAGTCAGGTTACTGAATGAGTTCTGCTGAGTGTTGATGAGTGCTGATGAGTGCTGGCGAGTGATGAGAAGCAAGACACCAGCTGGGGAGTGTTTCTGGCCGTATATATACTGGAATGTGACGAGTGGAATCAGCAAGAGCCATCACTAAGCTGCCTATGGACGCGTCTTAGAAGGGCTTGGGCATGATGGGCCAGGGCCGGGATAACGACATGCCACTTCGAGCCATCATCAACTCTGTCCACAACTATCTTGCATCGCCGTCTTCAAGATGATAAGATGCAGAAGCTAGCAACAGTGCCACCGGGGCTCGTCCAGGGTAAAGGGGCACAATCTCAGGATCGTGCCCTGGACCGCATGATAGCTGTCGATAAGAAGAAGTTGAAGCAAGCCCTGTAACCCCAGGTACGCGGAACAAGGCACAAACTACTAGTCTAAGCCCCAAGAACCGGGGCAACGCATTTTTGTCAGGAAATCACCCCGCCCTGCATAGCAGCTGGCGTCAGTTCAAGCGAGGAATGTGAGGCGGCCAGGAGTCAGGGGGGTCGAGACATGTGGAGGCCGGCCGGCCGGCCGGGGTACGTAGCTTCATTTCGATAACGATAAAATGGCCGGTGCAGGAAGAGGTACGCTCAAAGGACAAGGCGTTGGGATTGCAACATGCTCGAAATCCGCGGGGAAGCTCTGGGGTGCGTGGCCGAATTGGGTGTGAAACAGCACGGTTCGCATTCCGTCGACATCTTTGCGAATTATGCATACGCACCTTTACGCCGTGTGGGCGGGCGGGAACCCTTGAGGTGGCATTGGCTGGGCGCTAAAGTGAATGCGGCGGCGGCCATATCCGTGGCTTAATTGCGATCTATGACCCATGGTCTCGGAATAGGAACACTGAGCCAAGGACGCTGAACCAGGAACGGTGAAGCAGGAACGCTGAGCCAGGAACATCGAACCGGGGTCACTAGAAACACCTACCCCAGGAACCAGATCTGGCCAGGAACACGCGTGGAAGGTGGTTGCATGGCATGGTGGGATCTCGGGCCCCTGTCCCGTGCCCAAAAGCGGCGCAGTCGATAGGCATTCCAGCTCTAGCTGCCTCTTTGGATTCCTTCCATAAACTTGGTGAAGAGGAAGTGAACAGATCGCTGGAGACTGCACGGGTAACTACAAACGGGAAGCCGAAGCACAGCCATTGGAACCGACGCGTATTAATTATCTATCGTGTGCATATATACGAAAGCCAAGTGCGGTCAGTAATTCCAAACAAACTAGTATTATCAAACGCCCCGGACGCCATTGTGCTGCCTTTATGGCCAAATGCTCCCGTGAACCAAATAGTTCCATGCTTACTCGTACCTTCCATTACCGGATATGCTCCTTTTCCTTTGCTGAAGCTAACTCAAGCCGCTAACCGAGGCTACCTCTAAGACTCTGGCATGAACTTGCTGTGTGTATGCTGATGGTTTAGTGGTGGATACCATAAAAATGACGGTTTGGCCAGGTCGTTGTTTTCCAACCCCTGGATTGTACCCCAAGACTGCAGGTTCTGGGTGATAAGCTGACTGAGGGGCTGGGTTTAGTTAGGATGGCCGCTTGAAGGGATGCGCTTCTGTGTTGAGAACCCATTCATCAAGAGAGATGGTGTCGGGAGTTGCAAAGAGCAAGTAGAAATACTTGAGTGTCTCGGCTAGCCAGAAGCTCTCCATGCTATCGGCCTTGGCGGCCGCCGCCTCCGTAGATGCCACACCATTGACGGCACTGTGGCCCACGTCGGTCTGCGTGAGCTTGATGATGGCCTCAAACATGCGCCAGCCTATCTCTTGCCAAGACGGATCGCCAGTGATGCGGTACATGTACCAGACCGACTCAATGGCTTCGGGCCTATCGTGTTGTTAGCTATGTCTGCACCTAATACGCGATCTAAACACTCGGGCATCCATACCGGAGAATATACCGCTCGTCCTTCAGGGCAATAAACCCTGGCGGCAAGTGGTGGGCCTCGATCAGCTCAGCGACATATTCTTCGTGCGTCTGTGGTTTGACAGGCTCTTGCGGAAGGTTGAGGTCTATGACGGGCTTTTGGTCATCCTCACTGCCACTGTCAGATAATGGCTGTTGGGCTGCATTGGTTTTTTTCGTGGCGGCTCCTTCTGAAATGTTGGAAATGTCGTCAACCTTGCTCTCCGTTGACAAATCTCGCTTGTGCGCTGGCGTCGACGGGCCATCCCCCCCCTTCAGACCAGTGCCGGCGCCTTCGCCTTCGGCTTCGTCCGACGCCTTTCTCTTGGCTTCCTGCTGTCGCTCCTGTTTTTCTGCGGCTAGACGGGCAGCCTCCTGTTTATCCGAGGCTTGTCGGGCAGCATCTTGGGTCTTGATATCTTGCACCTTTTTTTCCCACTCACTCTTCTGTTCCAAGTACACTGACATCTGCTCGGTTCGATACTCTGACTGGCTGTCAAGGTGCGTATACCATGTCGTTTTGTTCCAGTGGCAGTCCTTAATGTCTGCGCAGGGCAGAACCATCGAGTACTCCGGCATTACGCCTGTGGGCATGCTATCGTATGCCCAGACGCAGCCGGCCGCGAGTTTTTTGCCAATCTCGATATCCTCAGGATTCCCGAAAATCTTGCCCCCAAGACCAAACATACCCCCGAGGAAGCAGGATAGGTGGGTAACCTCGTACTCGAAAGTCAATTTTTTGTCAGTCCCGTCTGAAGAGAATGCCTTCGCAGCAAAAAGGACATCGGGGTCGCCTTCGGCCATGGGGCGGAAGAGGAGATATTTCTTCACCGCATCGACGTTCTTTTTGTACATTGCCTGATACTTGGGCTCTAGGCCGCCCAAGAGGACGTACTGTTTCGGAAAATATTCGTAAGTAGAGTCTTGGCTGCCGCCCATGCTGTAAGATTCCCAACCATTGCCCGCCGCAGTCAGGTTCTGTGGTACACACTCCCAGTCCACTGGCAGACCCTGGGCGGAGATTGGTGCTGGATTCTCTCGTAGTTTTTCGTGTTGCTTTTGTAAGGCTTGTTGGGCAGCATTCCGTTCCAAATTCCCACTCACGCCATCTCCGGCCCTCTTTCCAAGTTCGTGGGCCACAGGAATCGCAGAGCCATCAGCTTGGCTGCCTGGCGAGACCTGAAATTCGAGGTCGGCGGCAATATCCATGCCAGAGCTAGTACCGGACGTGTTAGTGCGTGCAGACGACGGCTTATATCCCGTTGGGGGATCTAATAGATCGCTCGCACTGTCCGCTTGCTTCTGAGCAGCTGTGCTGCTTGTGTCCAGCGTTAACATGGCTGTGGCGGTCTTATTGCAACCAGACGCGTCAAGGTTCTCCGGGAATATACCCGGGAGGGCCGTCGCGCCTTCTCGGTTCTGTAATTCGTCTAGGGCATTTGTGATGCGTGCAACGGCGTCATAATATTTGCTTTCGCCGGTCAGCTGGGCCAGACGGGTGAACTCCATGCACAGAGAACCCATCTCAGCTACGCCGGAATGGGTGGGTGCGCGCTTAGGGCTTGTGTGATAGGCAGGGCTCCAATGGTAGTACAGGATTGGCATGCGGTTTGGCGTGTCAAAGACGCCCATGAGGATTTCGGCAAGCTCGACGGCCTTGTCCAATAGCACATTATACCCGCCTTTACGGCCACCACTCACGTCGTAGGCACCAAGCAGGCCGCCGAGATAGCGAATGACGGTTTCGAAAACGGGGATATCATCTCGAGGGGAAGTGGTAAAGTCAATGGCCTTGACAGCCTCAACAGCCGCGTCGAACTCATCCTTTAAGCCCATGATCCAAAGCGTATCCAAAGAGTCCACGAGGGTGGCGGCCCAGCCGCAAAATGGATCTTTCGCCCCCTTGCTAACAGGCATGAGCTCGTCGTGAGTCCAGGCGAACTTCTTGTAGCCGGACCAGGCACGTGTTGCCTCGGACTTGACCTTTGCCAGGCGTAACTCGCGCTTTTCTCTGGCGGCAGGCAGTTCTTTCGTGAAGGCAAACTGCACAGAGTGGATGGCCTTGGGGCTCCCGGTGGGGAGCAAGATGAGTTCCGACACGGGGAACCACTCAGTCGGCTTCTGCCAGTGAATCGTCGTACTGGACGCGGGCACCACGTCGTCCTCGTGAACTTTTGTGTCTCCTTTGTTGTACGTGTCATGCGACTTTTCCAGCTTTCCGTCCGGCAGTTGGGCGGTAGCCGTCGTTGCTGTTCCAGCAGCGGCGTCTGTAGATGTGGCGTGCTGAGCCGCATTGAGACCTGTGGGTGCGGATGTTGGCAGTCCGTAGCCTCCCTTGATCTCGTTGCTCGTTTTTAACTGGGGAATCTTGATCGTCTGCTCTTTTTTCGGCGTGGGCTGAGCGACCGTGCCACCGTGCCCAGCAACCGGGCTTTGGGGCTCGTGTGCTTCATTTGTGTGGCCATGCTTGGGCTTGGGCTTGGGCTTGGGCTGGTTGTTCGGGTCTCCTTGGTCGAAGGGAACAGGTTGCGGGCGCTCCCACTGCGAGTTTTGGGCGACGTGGTATAGCAAGAAGGTGACGACAAAGGCGCACACGACGAAGACGCGGTATCTCCTGAAACGGAACATGACAGCGCGAACGGCGGGCCGTGGCGGCCAGGGAGCGCGTCGGGAGTTTGAGCGTTGGTGGATCGGTCACGATGGCGACGTCTGCATAGACTGTTATTACTGCGCGCGAGATGACATACTGATGAGGAGAGACCCGAGGGATGGGAGGGAGGACTTGGACGGAAGAGTGCAGCAGCACAGGAACACGTGGAACAGGAGCAAGAGGAGCAATGGCAGAAGTCAGGGCACATGCGGCAAGGGGCGCAGTGCAGTGCAGTGCAGATATCTCGAGGGCGAACGGACGGCATAGGCGCTATTCCATACCTGAAGCAGTTACACGCTGCAAGTGCAACACCCGCGGTTCAACATCTGGAGGAGGGCTGCCGCCGTCGTTGGCGAATTGGCGCCAGACGGAAAAGAGCAACAGATCCAGGAGCACGATGCGTCGCTGGTACAGATAGCAAGACTGCGAATAATTCATACATCGTAAAACCAACAGACCAGGGGAAAGGGAGGGTGGTGCCAGGGCGGCACAGACGAGGCGGTAACGACCCAACGGGCTTAGGTGGTCAATTGGATGTCTACTCTTGGCTCTTGGCATGTCCCATGGGGGACGGGACAGCAAGGAGAAGGCGCGAGACTCCGAACGGAATACGGGCTGCCCCCGCTGGAGTTTCAATTTAACCGCGCCAGTGTCATTCTTCCTCAGGTAGGTACGATTTTCCCGTCGTCGGAAGTTTCTTGTTTTCTTTTTGATTTTGAAGCAGGCAACAGATCTGCGCATGACATGTACTCCGCAATCACGTACATAAAGGTATTACATGTGCACCTGCAGAACAATCCTCCGGGTGATGTTTGTGGTTTTTGCAGTGTTATTTTCCATCAGTAAGAGAGGTACAGCACAAAATTGGCGTTGTCCCTTCAGGCGCAGCGCGGTCAGAGCAAAATGCAAAACGCTCAGAACATACTCCGTACAAGGCTCAAGTAACTTTACATCGCACTCTATCCGCTCTCAGGAAACCATGTTAATTTCCAAAAAAAAAAAAAAAAAAAAAAAAAAATCCTCTTCTCCCAAATGCGCGTCTAACGTCACCGTGACAACTGTTCCGTGGCCCCGAAAGGACCAAAGAAACTGCTCAACGACCAATGAGAGAGAAGCGTGTGCAGTCCGAGCGCACTTCCTCCTTAGTTTAATAGGTACCCCTGATCTTAGCATACAGATCAGTGTCTAGGAAGCTGTAGTTGGGGTCAAGTTCGCAGAATGGATGTTGAGACAGTAGCACATCGGCCGTTGGACGCTCGGATGGGTTTCTATAGAGAGACAAAGGTCAGTATGGTCAGAGAGTGCCTCGGGGGGTAGATGCACGTACACGGTGAAACAGTCGAGCATGAATGCAATGGCGATGGGACTAATCTCCTCCCGAATGTCATCCGGAATCGGCGGTGTCTCTCCGTTTGCAATTTTGTAGATGGCCCCGACGGCCTCCTCTTTGCTCCAGGGCCGGCGGCCGGCAAACATCTCGAGAACTACACAGCCCAGCGACCAGATATCAACCTTGGCGCTGTAGCCCTGCCCCTCGGAGCGGATCACCTCGGGCGCCATCCAGAAGACGGAACCCTGCATCGAGTTCGTCTTGTCGTTGCCATATATGTTGTCTGTCTTCTTGCTGATGCCGAAGTCGCTTATCTTGCAAGTGCCGTCCAGATCCAGAAGGATGTTGTCGGCCTTGAGGTCACGGTGCAGAATGCCCTCGCGGTGCAGGTAAGCCAGGCCAGATATCGTCTGCCGTGTAAGCGACGCCACCACCGGTTCTTCGAACTTCCCGTGCTTGCGCAGGCAGGAGCCAATCGATCCACCTGAAATGTACTCTAGAAAGATGGAGATGCTGGTCTCCTTGCGCTCGCACCCAAGGTACTGCACAATGTTGACGTGGTCCAGATGCTGCATGGTGTCAATCTCCTGGTCGAGGGCTGCGACAAGTTCTTGCATCTTCTTCTTATCGCCCTGAGCGGCCTTGGGGTTGACCTCCACCTCCTTGACAGCCAGAAACTCGCCCGTCGTGGCGTTCATGCCGAGGTACACGCGACCAAACGTGCCTTTGCCAATTAGCTGGCCCTTGAACCAACGGAACGTGGTCTGGCGCTTAGGAATGCTGTCACGCTTGTCCTGTTGGGGCAGGCTGTCCTGTGCTATGGCGCTGAGGGCGAGTCCGGCCATGTTCAGGGAGCCGCGCTCCGGCCGGATCTGCACGATATTGGCATTGAACATCTTGGTGCTCTTGCGGCGCATCAGATTGGTTTGGTTGCTGACCCCAGCTGGAGTCGCTTGTGCACTCAGCTGGGCTGATGTCTGCGTATAACGCTTGTTGGCCTCGTGTGCTCCGCGGGCAACCTCTCTAATCGATTTCATGCGGCCTAATCCTCCCGAGCGCCGAACACTGCGGTGCGCTAGCGACTGCATGGAGACGGGGCGCGACTCAAGGGCCTTCAGAGTAGACTCGTCCGAGCCAAGCGTGTCCGTCTCGTTGTAGATGGAAGAGATTCTGTTGGATGAAAGGCCGGACGGCAAGGTTGGCAACAGAGGGGGTCTGCTACTATCGCCATTTGATCCCACGTTCCCGGTTTGCCCTTCGTCTGCCTCGGCAATGGGAGAAGGGGGCATCTCTTGCTCGCCCTCCTCGAGGACTGGCTGATCAACATCTAGGTTTGGGAAAAAGTCTTCGAGGTTGTTAATAAGAGCGTCCGTCGGTGGCCGGTTAGCCCATACGTCTTTCTCGATGAATGATTTGCGCCTGCTCAGTTTCATGTCGCGATCCTCGGACTCCCAGCCTTCGGAGCGCGGTGTGCCTGGCGTGCGCCTCTGTGAGGACTTGGCACTCCGAGCGCTCGCTCCTTCCCCATCGTCGTCGTCGGCCGGCGTCTTGGCTCCAACGCTCGACTGCGGCGATGTGAAGGCTACAGAGAGGCTCTTCTTGGAGCGGTCCGTGTTAAGTCTTAAACTAGGGCGCTTGCCGCTACGATCCAAGTCCCCGTTCCTATTTTCGAATTTGGTGGCCGTTGGGGTCTTGTCCTTGTTGAGGGTAGAGACTCGCGCCGAGATGGGAATAGCAAAAAGGCCGTCGTCTGAATCGTCATCGTCCGAATTATCGGCGGCAGATACTTGACCGGTTAGGGTAGAGCTCTGCGAGAAACTGACCTCGTTCTCCTGGAAGTCGGCATCCGGGCCGTGCGACTTGCGCTTGCTGCTGTGTTGGCCTCCAAACGAGTCACTTGGCCTTCTGCGGGAGCTGGGGCTGATGCTTCCGGGAGACGGAACACGTGCTACTTGGCGCATCTTAGCGACTGTTCCATGATGGGGTCTGTTCGGGCCGGAGATTTCTCCGTCGAACTTGTCATCGTCAATGCTCCGGAGCAACAGGGGAGTCCCGCCTGGCGAGTAGTCCGGCACGAGGAACGGCACGTTCTTCAGGCTCCAAGTAGTAGAGCCTGGCGATCCGGGCACGCCTCCCGTCCTCGGACTGCTTGCGCCAGAACCAGACCTCCCGCGCTGCCCAAAGTCAACGGTCGACATGGCTCCCTTACCTCGCTCGCCCAACTCGCCATTTGTCACGGGTGCGGAAGCGACCCGGTTCGGCGACAGGCCCCTGGAGTCGCCAGCTGACGGATGTCCAATGCCGCCCATGCGTCCTGCCATTCCAACCAATAGTCCGTGAATACTTCCGGCGGGAGATGGCGCGGGAGCTCGTCGTCTTTGCTTCTCAAACATTGCCTCTTCGCGTAAATCGGACGACGTTCGCTTCTGATGTCCCCCTTCCATGCTACCTTGAGACAGTCGCAAACCTTGGCCTGTCTTCTTGCTCAGCGAATTCGCCTTTATTAGCGTGGCTGATGGATCTCCAGGCGGCGCAGGCGCCTTGCGTTGCGGAAGCAGATTATCCAGCTTCTTGTCCTCAAACGGCGAGTGACGCGGTTGGTCGAAATCGACATTCCTGCCCACAATGCCGTAGGACGCGTCTACTGATGGACTGGTTTCCTTGGATAGCTGCTTCCGCTTTGCAAGATACTCCTGTTGTTTCTTGAGCTGCTCCGCCCTATACTCGTGCGCTTCAGTCGTCAGCATTTTCTCGTCCCGGTCTTTCAACGATATAGTATTCTGTCTCGAAGCCGGGGGCGATGAACTTGAGCGCTGCCGTTGTCCATTGAGCCGAGCGTATGCCTCTTCGTCCATGGCCATGCCGAGATGCATCGGTGAAGACGTCTGGTCGCCCTGGGCTCTCGACTGGAGTGCCGACTGCTGGGATCCGCCGGGACGCACAAATAGTTTCAGTGAACCAATGGCGTCTGCTTTCTCCTTCTTGTTGACCACAAGCCTCTGGTCGTCTAACGGCACCTCATGCTCAAACTTTCCCAGTTCAGTTGGGTATATCTGGGCGTGCTCGTCATCTGGCAGCCCGAGGTTGAGACAAATCAAGTGTCGTAAATCTGCAGCAGCCTCTGCATCTGTCACGTCAACCATACGGTAGTTCCAACAGTCAGTCGTAGCCAGGATGAAGCACCGAGCCGCCCCGGCCCGTCTCGGGCGGAGCGAAGCTGCGTAAGCGTAGTCCTGCGCCGAGAAGCTGGAAAGAGGCCGTTCTAACGAGGTCTCACTCGCATTACCCCCACGACCCCCCAGTGAGTGTAGCTTAAAATTGATTGCTGGGCTGGTCGGAGACTCCTGGTCCTCAGGAGAGCCAAGGGTTCCGTCTTCCTTCCTCTTTTTACGAGACAAGAACGACAGAAACGACGCGGAACCCTTCGCACTGCCAGGGGGGTCTGTCCCAGCACTCCTGTCACCCGAGTCCTGGGGCGAGGGCCGACCACCATCTTGACCATACCGCCGACTATTCGCATCTGAATTGCGGGTCGCGTTGATCATTTCAGCAATGTTCATGCCGCTTTTCAGCATCGCGGCTGCGTCAGCCGGGACCCCGGACCCATAGATAGCTGCATTCGAAGATACCGAGTCAGTACTGTTCCGCGAGCGGTGCCCGAATCTGCTGCTGTGTGGCGATGCCGATAGGTTGCCCATGGTTGAGGACGGGAAGAGCGCAGACGAGGGGTTAGGGCTTCCACCAGGACTGTCCCTGCCCAGAGGTGCCGAGCCGTGAAATGTGCCTGTCTCTCCAGACTCGCTAGCGCTTGGGCTGTGCCGCCGGCTGTTATCAATCTCAAGATTTTTCATAATGGTAGTCCTGTGGTTTGACTCTGAGCTCAGGGCCTTGCCAAGCGTCGGCATCGTCGTCGACCGCGACTGCGATAGCCTGCGCCCACCGAATCCAGGGCCAGGAGCCTTGATAGGGGTCTGTGGTTTAGGTGACGCGGCAGTCAGTTTCAGCGCCCAGACTAGTTGGTGATGGGGTGAACTTACATTCGGCGAGTCGGCAGAATCTGGCCCGGCACTCGATGAAATGCTCGCAATAGTAGACTCCTTGCGTGAATGACCCACTGAGGCCCTAGATGAATCAATTGGCCGCCCTGTCACAATGCCGCGAATCAGTCGTCGCATCCTTTTTCCCTCCTCCCTCTCCTTGGGCTGGTCCCAGCCGGCCCCGCTCTTGGAGCATTGCTCTGCAAGCTCAGGGTACACTTGCTGGTGCATCATGCCAAAGTTTCCGCGGCCGCCATGGCCGCTACCAAGCTCCAGGAACTGCGCTCCGTGGAGGTTCAGCGTCTTAAATGTCACCTGCCAGTCCCGGGAGAATTGATTTGCTTGGAGCCAGAGTTGGACCTTGTCCATGGGCCATTGGACTGCTAACTCGGGCGGAATTGCGGACGCGGTCGCAGAGTTGCTCGTGGTTGACGACACCCTATTGGTCATTGAAGTAATGTATAGTCTGTCGCGGCCCGGTGTATCGTCCAAGGGGGTACCCATTCCCAGGTCCATCTGGCCGCCTGCGCTCCAGCCGCCTAGGCCGCCATCGTCAGCTAAACCGAGTCCCGGAATGCCAACACCTTCACCATAAGTATCCCCCTGAGGTATATAGGTCGCGCTCATCTGCTCGCTCGGCGGCGGAGGCGGGGGGATCGACAGCGTGGTGCCCGGCGAGGGAGCTGCGGCGGCTGCGGCCGCCGCCGCAATTGCTTGCGCGTGAAGCTTGGGATTGTATGCCTGCAAGCCCCCCACACCGCCCGGGGGAGGCGGCGGGATATTGAACGTCGTCCGGCCATCGTAGGCGCGTCCCCAGGCACCGTGCCATGGGGCGGAGCCTAGGGCGCTGGGGGGTGGTAAAGCGCTCGATGGAAATGAGTTGTTAGGGGGCGGTCCTGGAGGAGGAGGTAGCATAACGCCGCCGCCTGCTCCTGGTGCACCCGGGTATCGTGGTGGGGGAGGAGGAAGGTTCATAATGTTATTCATCCCGACGGCGGGCGGCGGGGACATGGGCGGCGGCGGAGGGGGCACCTGAAAGGGACGCGTTGCGTCCCTTTGGCCATTTTGATACATGTTCGCGGAGCACTCGGCGGCGTTGATAGAGACGGGTGAGATAGAAGGCAGAGATGTGGTTATCGGCGCGGCTCAATGGATGAGCAAAAGGACCGGCAGGCCACGGAGGCGCAGAGAGACTGGACGAAGATTGAAGGGGCTGTTCAAAACCACACCCTATACAGGCGCAAGATCGAAAGCGAGTTCCTCCAGCAGGAACCGCGCAAGGGTCTACAGCGTAAGCAGTGAGGCTGTTGATGGAGAGAACAAAGGTGAGTGCGAGGACGAGGTAGGCCGTCGGAACGCGCTCGTGCTATTTGCGAGCACAGGAGACAGCGATTAAATGACGAGTTACATTATGGGAGCAGGTCGCAGAAAGTCAAGGCCACCGGAAAGGCGTCGAAGATATCGAGCGCCTTTCGCTCTCGCCGGGCTGGAGTCTCGAGTCCCCCAATAAGTTTGAAGCGGTCTTTGTCGCTGTCTCTCTCTAGGCGACAACACCTTCCTTCCAGGTTGCCCCCCAAAGGTGGGTGAGGGCTGGCGAATGGGGCTGAGGCGTGAGCGGGGCGGGGCAGCCAGGTAAACCTTGCCGTCCCTGCCCAACCACAACGGGAGCCGAAGCGCTAGAACGAGCCTATCAGAGGAAGAATTTCGGCTTCGAATGACACCCTTCGACAGGGTTCGTACCTCCCGACCGACCTAACTTTCTCCGTAGAACTATCCAGGACTCCGTGGAACAATAATAACAGGATATACGCAGTTTCGCCAATATTTCCGGCACCCATATACATGTCGGAGATCGGCATGCGGAGTGTTCAAGCTCTTACCTATAAGTTTCTCAAAATCCTGCCACATACAAAGTAAGGATTTAATCCATAATTGCCCCAGTGTATGCGCTAGCTCGTAAAACATAACCCAATGTTTGTCGGCCTGTCAAAAGCAGCTGCCACGCCCTGACGATGCTGGAAAATGATACATACGATACCGCCGTCGTCGACTGATCTCTCCACCTCCACAATGTTTACATGATTGTACAGCTGCTCCACGTCCCTCGGTTGCATTGTTCGTAGTACCCAGGGTCGTCGGAAGCCTGGCTGCCATTGTATTTTCGGACCAGTCCCGTGATCTTGATCGTCTGCTCACCCTCTCCATGCCACCAACGCAGACGCTGGATTAGGGCAGTTTCTTCCTCGTCGCTACTTATTTCCCACTTGCCAGAGCTCGCCTCTACCGAGCATGCATCCTTAGTGAAGTGGTAGTCTGGAAGGAATATGACTGTTGGACTTTCCGTCGCCGCTACTTTGGGTGCTTGGATTGTCATGGAAAACTGGCATCGGGTGAGGTCAAAGACGTAGTTCTTTATGAGCCCTGCTGCGGCGATGGGAGCGGCTCGCACATATGCCTCTGCAGCGCGGTACCCTGGAGAGGCAGTCAGTTCAGGCTGGCGTGAAGCGGCCTCGGATGAGATCGAGGGATTGGTAAGAGTGCGCTTGATATTAACTGGCGTGACATTTCCATCATTATCAAGCTCTTTCTTCTGGCTAGATGAGGCAGTGGCCGGAGGTCTAAGCAAGCTGGAGGTCGACTGGTTGAGATCCGGCGTGCTGGGTATTGGAGAGACCGGAAGAAGCTTGTCATCAATGGAGAAGATGGAGAGGTCTTCGCCGTTCCATTGGTCGCCTCTGTCGTGATCGTTCTAAAAGAAAAGATTGGTCAACGCATGATTCAATACAGCCTTGCAGCCCGGCCTCAAACATACCTTTGCCATATACAACCACAACGTGTAACCTTCGAGTCCAGCGCTCTCAACTCCGTAGTGGTTGGCATCCATGGCGGCCGACTGGCTTGTGTAGTCGCCAGTCTTATATGCGTGCTGGTCGTCCATGTCGTATGGAATTCCAAACTCGGTCATCACGCACGGGTGATTACCCAAGTATTCGAGTCCTTCCTTCCTCATGGCCGCGTGTTGGTCTCTAAAGCAGTTTCTGATGGCCGTCTCTCCAATTCTTATGGCAAGGCTGGGGTGCCAGTATCTCCCTCTGAGCACTCCCAAAACGTCCACGTTAAAAGTGCGGTTCCACTTTTTGGTCATGAGCGTGATGCCATCGTACCAATGCGGCGCATACACAAGCAGGGGGTCGTCGCCATCTGGCGTCCCTTTAATATCTGGCGGCAGCTCCATTGTAGGGCCCTGGAGAAGGATAATGGCGTCTTTGTGGTGTGTACGAACCGTATCCCGGTATTTGCGGAAAAAGTCCATGAAATATTTGTCGGCGAAGTAGGTGTAGTTGATCACGTCTCCCGTAACCGGATGCTTTCCGAAGTAGTCCTTTTTCAACAAGGTATCGCTGGATGGATCCCATACTCCATGTTGAGCCCATATGCACTCACCTAGCTTCCACCCGGGGTCCCTCACGTAGCTATACCTGGACTCGTCATAGCCAGCTGGCAACCATGCGATCTCCCCATGAGGGTCGATCAGCGACCGCCCAACCTTGTATGGACCGAGCCCGCCCATGTCCCACGTGTCAACCTCGACAGCTCGCCCTGACCCGGTGAGGATGGTCTGCCATATGGTCGGACATGATCCCTTTTTCAAGGCCTGCTCTTTCGGGATGACACTGATGTCGTGGTAGCCAACCATGCCCTTGTTTGGCTCGTTTAGACTCTCCCAACCAAATACGGCCTCGTCCTCGATACCGCCAGCATCGTGTATACGCCTAGCAAGGTGGGCACAAGCGTTGAAAAAATGATCTTGAAGATAATCCTGTATATTCACCTGATCGATGATGCACTTTGGCGCAAAGACCCGACCGGCAAAGAAGAGGGTGAACATGGTGGCAGCAGCGAGCCGGAAGTAGTTGGTAGACCAGATCATCTTGGGGAAGCCGTCAGGCTCAGGGTAAGTGTTGTGGACAATGGCAGCCTCGGTGGCTGCAAAGCTCTGCGGGTTGAGGCCGGCTGCGTAAAGCGTCCACATCGGCGCCCCAGAGCCACCCGAGAATCGGGACCACTGCAACATGCGGCGTTAGTTTAGCACTGCGCGGCGACCTTGAGACAAGTGGGATGAGACTACGCACGACATCTTGATGGGGATCCATGAAAACATAGAAGCCGTATTCCTTGGCCGCGCGGAGCACGTCGATCGTGTGTTGGATCCATTCTTCGTCGTAGATGCCGGGTCCCGCAGCCTCGATGGCTTCCCATGTGAAGACGTAGCGGATCGTGTTGTAGCCACACCGTTTCAGACGCGAGAAGTGCAGGTGAGCCTCGTCCTTGGGGAAAGGCTTGCCGGTGAATTTCACATTGTCGCCGTCAAAGAAGTTGTCGGGAATATGTGATGGCTGGTCGGGTTGGTTGGGGTATTTGGCATCGCCTGCGACGTTGATGCCTCTGAGGATCACCTGCCGACCGTGAGCGTCGCGGAACTTGCCGTCCTCAATGGTAAGCCGGAACCCAGCCATCACCTCTTGCTGCAAGTGCCCTTCAAAGTTGGAGCCTCGATGAGGTTGAACGATGCGTTGTTTGCTTGCTGGCTAGAATCTCGGGCAGTGGATGTTCTGGGCTGTGACCCTAGGTACCTCGTCCCAACCCTTCTTCTAGCGGCCGCAGGTCCAATGACGTTATTGGATGATAAAAGCTCAGGCCAAGCAAGGCAAGGTTCCGAGCCCCTGGACTTTGGACTTGAATGTTGCCTGAGGCGGGGCAGGGTGTTAGTGTTGGTAAGGCACCTTAAGGAACGAAGTACGAATACGGAGTACCGTACCGTACCGATGTATACAGAATTGCGGTAATGTTATGTACGGTCTGTACCACCACCCAGGCATTTCAAGGCGGGGCCGACATTTGTCGCGTGGGCTGGTGATTTACGTGTGTCGCGTTTGAAGGAACCACACCGTCGCGTCCTCAATGGATATCATCACCTGTTCCCCGCGGTCTCATGAAAACGTGCCCATGATCATCTGAAATCGACCTCTAACCACCAAACATGTCTCACCCTGCGTCGCCAACATCGGAGACGTTGCCCTCATCTACTACACCAATGGAGGGTGTGGAGGTAGCCAAGACAACAAACGGCACCAGCAGCCAACTTTCTAATGACGAGGACGTTGATATGGCCAATGCGCCACCAACAACTATCCTAGATGAGGGTGTCGCTTCGGACGAGCCCGTGGGTTCCCCAGAGATAAAAGTTAAGGAAGTTTCGGAGGTGAAGCTTGAGGATATCTTCGCCGGCGTGGATTCTGACGAAGACGACGATGAAGAATTCCCTGGTCGCCCCGAGCGGGTAGACAGGGACCAGTCCAACTCCCCAGGCTCCCCACGGTATGCTCATCACGCAAGTATGCATCGCCTTACCATGATGCATGTACTTACTGGTGTTCAGTGAAGTCGGTTCGTCTGTAAAAGCCTCCGACCCCGCGCTGATGCGCAGCTTCTACCAGCGCCTATTCCCGTGGCGCTACTTGTTCCAGTGGCTCAACCATAGCCCAACGCCGACGGACGACTTCAAGCACCGCGAGTTCGCTTTTACCCTGCGTAACGATGCCTATCTGCGATATCAGGCGTTTGCCTCTTCCGATCTGTTGGTCTGCCTTTTCCCGCGCCAGCTTCATTCGCTGACACAGTGCCCAGACTCCGAAAGGATGTCCTCAGGCTCATGCCATCTCGCTTCGAAATTGGCCCCGTGTACTCGGCTAATCCCCGCGATCGAAAGATGTTTCAAGGCTCTGCGGCATTCCGGCCCCTATCCAAAGAACTGTGTTTCGATATCGATCTGACTGACTACGACGATGTCCGGACATGCTGTGGCAAGGCCAACATCTGCAATAAGTGCTGGCAGTTCATTACCATGGCCATCAAAGTTGTCGATGTTGCACTACGAGACGATTTCGGCTTCAAACACATTCTATGGGTCTATTCGGGTCGAAGAGGTGCCCACGCCTGGGTCTGCGACAAGAAGGCAAGGACCATGGATGATTTAAAGAGGAGGGTAATTGCAGGCTATCTTGAGGTCGTGCGCGGCGGCGCCCAGAGTGGCAAGAAGGTGAATCTCCGGCGGCCGCTTCATCCTCACCTGACGTAAGTTGTTGTCAGCCACATTACCGCCTACCAGCCATTCTAATGGAAAGCTACAGGCGCAGTCTTGATATTCTCAAAGCCCACTTCCAAGACGATGTTCTTGAGGCGCAGGATCCTTGGAGGTCACCTGAGCAGTCTGAAAAGCTGCTGCAGCTCCTACCTGACAAGGAGTTGATCGAGTCTCTGCGTAAGAAGTGGGACTCGTCACCGGAGCGCGCCTCAACATCAAAGTGGGCCGACATCGACGCAGTTGCAAAGGCTAGCACCAGCAAGAACTTTGATTCGAAGGCCTTGCTTGACGCCAAGCAGGATATCGTCCTGGAGTATACATACCCAAGGCTTGATATCGAAGTCAGCAAGAAGCTTAACCATCTGCTGAAGAGTCCGTTTGTTGTCCACCCGGGTACCGGCCGAGTCTGCGTACCCATCGACACCCGTTCACTTGAAGACTTCGACCCTCTTGGGGTTCCCACTGTCCAAAGCTTGATCCGAGAGATAGATGCGTGGACTGAGGATTCAGACAAACAAAGCCAACAGGATTGGGAGAAGACCAGTTTGAAACCATACATTGACTGTTTTAGATCATTTGTCATGACGCTCATGAAAGACGAGCGAGATGTCAGGGTCAAACGAGAACATGACGAGGACCAGCCTGATTCGCTAGAATTTTGAGGGTATGTTGTCGGTCCGCTCGTATGTAGACTACGGCGAAGGACACGGGGTTAGACATATACTACGTCGTCTTCTTTACAGCGCCCTCCATCGCGTCTCAAGGTGGGTATAGAAATGAATTCTAGGGGAGCCTAGCAAAAGATGACCGACACGACATTCTAGGTAAAATTGTTTCCTACCATCTAGCAGCGGACACCACCCACCTGGTTCCGATAGTTTTACGTTGGTTCTTTTACGTTCGTTACGCGAGACATTGTGGTGGACAAGGATACTAACTAGGTCAGCGATCGAGAATCAGCAGAACCCGTGTGCCCCAGCCAAGGCTGCGAGACACCTGATTCCCAAGTCAATATCCCACCCAGGCGCACCCCAAGACTGCCGCTTTCGCCTTTCTTGTGAGACGTGACGAGTAGTTAGTCTTCAAGACATGGCTAAACCACATAAAACCGTGTTAAGAACCAAATACCAAACTTTATCTAGCAGAGCTGAGCTTGGCTTGATATATTGAATATAACAACCAAATTCGGTTGGGGTCAAAATTAGCTTGTTTTGTGTCATAACGAAGCTTCAGGTTCAACGAGTAAGCCCTCGTCCAAAGGAGGAGGCGAGCTGCCATCGCCGTCCTCCATGTCGCCATTCGCACTATCCAGGTCCGCCACTGAGCCGTGACTTTTGAGCGTGCCGCCCTTTCGTTTTGGTATCACACTGATGAAGGCCTCGCCCCAGTCGCCGCATTCAAGCCACTTCGCCATGATTTCAACCACCTGGTTTGTGGTAAGCACATAGCGGCTCTGCATTGCCATGAACTGTCCGATTGGCAGTTTAGCAGTTCGGACTTTGGTCTGCCTGGCTCGCTTATAGCATAGGCCTTTCTCTCGGTTTCTATCCACCAAGCCACCGATGACGTAGCTGGTATTGGCCTCCAGCCTCTCAAGGGTGTAAGGAGACTCTGACGAGAGATAGACGATAGATGGGTCAACATCTTCAGACTCGAGTTCGACGTCGGGCAAAGAAGAGTCGGGTTCGTAACCGCGGCTGGGGTCCGGGTCGTTCTCCTCCTTTCCTCTTGGACGGAGGAGGTCAATGGCGTCGCGTTCATCGCCTGCCGCCATCAATTCGCTCGCCTTTTTTGCAGCCTCGCAGAAGTTTCCCTCAACCATGTGAACACCCTTCCAATGCTCATGTGAGCTCTTGAGAACAGTCTCGAAGCGTGTCTTCAGCTTGCCCTTCCAAGAGCTGACAAGCAGGTGGGCCTGGTACTTTGCCCGGCGGTTCTGCGAGTATGATCGTACAATCTGGCTTGCCAGAGAGACAATTTCGGGGTCGCGCATGTACTCTTCGAAATCGCAGTCGATAATGAAGGCGACGGGTACTAGGTGTGGTCTCCAAGGTTCCGATGTTGGCAGCAGGGCAGTCTTTGGGTCGAGGCCAGCAGCCTCTGCTGCTGCGATCTTCGCCTCCCGTTCGGCGCGTTTGCGGGCCTGGCGCTCGTGCCGCTTATCTTTGCGCTTTGCCTTGCGCTTCTCTTTGTACTCTTCGTAGATTTCCTGCCGCTTAAGACGCTTTAGCTGGTTCTTGGATACCGGCTGGCCTTCGTCTTCATTGTGCTCGTCGACTGCCGTGTCAGATCCGATTTGTTGTGAATTCGCGAGCGCCAGGTATTCGTCCACCCTCTCAAGCTCGGATTCGGCCTTCCGCTTGCCATTGGCAGGGGGTTTCTGGTAGACGGGCGCCTCCGGTTCTACCATATTGCTCAGCTCGGTCTGGGGATCGTGGTTCGCCATTATTGTGTTCAGGAGCGCAAAGTGGCTATACAACTATCAAGTAATTTTCTTAGTGGCTTTCAGGGCGGGGTTGTAACGTTCGGCTCTGAGCTTTCAAAGCCTGTACTGACTTCATACATACCCTGGTTCCCTGTAATATTCGCCCCTTGTACCCAAGGATCGTAATTTTGCAAGGGTTTGACCGTGGAATACAGACAGTACATCACACTGCAGGGCACTGTCCAAAAGTCCAGCAACACGCGCCGAGACGCGTCAAAAATTAATTGGAGGCGTGTTTCCTTGCACGTCGCACATCGAGCGAAGGACATTCATTCATACCACCGCACTCCGTCTCCCATCGTCACCTTGCGCAAAGGCTCTACGAAATAGCTGTGCATTTTCAGTCTCGCTGGCAACATTAATATCTCCCCAGGATGTCCTCGAGGCCAGAGTTGAAGGTACAGCTTTGCCCTCTTCCGTCTGCCTCTCGTTTTCGAGGCCTACGCTGACAGCTTAATGAATAGGTGGACGACGAACATGGGTTCATTCGCTTCTTCAAATCCCTTTCCAACGACGGCAATGACACGGTGCGCATCTTTGACCGTGGCGACTGGTATACGGCACATGGCGAGGATGCCAACTTCATTGCGAGAACGGTTTGTGTCAATGCGCTCTAGCCTGGATACACCACTAATACACTACGCAGGTTTACAAGACAACCTCGGTAGTCCGACAGTTAGGTAAAAGCGACCACACTGGCCTGCCTTCGGTCACCATGACCGTGACCGTTTTCCGCCAGTTCCTCCGGGAAGCGTTGTTCAAGCTGGGCAAGCGAGTCGAGATCTGGGTAAGCCCCAACGGTCGGATGAACTGGAAAATTGCCAAGCAGGCCTCGCCAGGGAACCTCCAAGATGTCGAAGACGATCTCGGTGGCCAGCTTGAGGCTGCCCCCGTTATCTTGGCCGTCAAAATCTCGGCCAAGGCTACTGAAGCCAGGACAGTGGGCGTGTGCTTCGCAGATGCCACCGTCCGGGAGCTCGGTGTCAGCGAATTCCTCGACAACGATCTATATTCCAACCTTGAAGCCCTACTTATCCAGCTCGGGGTCAGGGAATGTTTGATTCAACTGGATAAGGCTGAAAAGGATAAGGATCCAGAGCTTACAAAGCTGAGGCAAATCATGGACAATTGCGGCGTCGCCATTTCAGAGAGACCAGCCGTCGATTTCGGCACCAAGGATATTGAGCAGGACCTTACAAGGCTTCTCAAGGACGACCGTGCTACTTCAATGCTTCCGCAGACTGACTTGAAGCTCGCGATGGGTTCTGCCGCTGCCCTCATCAAGTACCTGGGTGTGCTCCATGACCCTTCCAACTTTGGACAATACCAGTTGTACCAGCACGAACTATCCCAGTTCATGAAGCTCGATGCGGCCGCTCTGAAGGCTCTCAATCTAATGCCCAGCGCTAGAGACGGCTCCAAGACCATGAGCTTATATGGGCTATTGAATCACTGCAAGACCCCTGTTGGAAGCAGGCTGCTTTCGCAATGGCTGAAGCAGCCCTTGATGGATCGGGAAGAGATTGACAAACGCCAACAACTCGTCGAGGCGTTTATCAACGACACTGAGCTTCGACAAACGATGCAAGAAGAGCATCTCAGATCTATTCCCGACTTATACCGCCTAGCTAAGCGGTTTCAGCGGAACAAGGCCAACCTTGAGGACGTTGTGAGGGCCTACCAAGTCATCATCCGTTTGCCGGGTTTTCTTGGAACACTCGAGGGAGTGATGGACGAGGCATATCGGGATCCTCTCGACACGGTATATACTAACAAGCTCCGCGAGCTGTTCGACAGCCTCGTCAAACTGCAAGAAATGGTGGAAACGACTGTCGACCTTGACGCTTTGGATAACCACGAATTCATCATCAAGCCCGAGTTTGACGACAGTCTACGAATTATACGGAAAAAGCTCGATAGGCTACGGTCTGACATGAATGGCGAGTTTGCCGATGCCGCGAGCGACTTGGGCCAGGAACGAGACAAGAAAATCTTTCTCGAGAACCACAAGGTGCACGGCTGGTGCATGCGCCTAACGAGGACCGAAGCGGGCTGCATCCGAAACAATTCCCGGTACCAGGAGTGTTCGACACAGAAGAACGGCGTCTATTTCACGACAAAGAACCTCCAGAGCTTCCGCCGCGAGTTTGACCAGCTGTCCCAGAATTATAATAGAACTCAGAGCAGCTTGGTCGCCGAGGTTGTTGGAGTTGCAGCCTCGTACAGCCCCGTGCTCGAGAAGCTTGCTGGCGTTCTTGCTCACCTTGACGTGATCGTATCATTCGCACACTGCTCAGTACATGCGCCCATCTCCTATGTTCGGCCAAAGATTCACCCTCGCGGAGAGGGCAAGACGGTTCTCACCGAGGCACGACATCCCTGTATGGAAATGCAGGATGATGTTCAATTCATCACCAACGACGTTGAGCTCACCCGCGACAAGTCATCTTTCCTAATAATCACAGGCCCCAATATGGGCGGCAAGTCGACCTATATCCGACAGATCGGCGTAGTTGCGTTGATGGCTCAGATTGGCTGTTTTGTTCCCTGCAGCTCGGCCGAGCTGACCATCTTCGACAGCATCCTGGCACGCGTCGGTGCCAGCGATAGTCAGCTGAAGGGCGTGTCGACCTTTATGGCCGAGATGCTTGAAACAGCCAACATCCTCAAGTCCGCCACAGCAGAGAGCCTCATTATCATCGACGAACTCGGCCGAGGCACGTCAACCTACGACGGGTTTGGGCTTGCGTGGGCTATCTCCGAGTACATCATCAAGGAGATTGGGTGTTTTGCCTTGTTTGCCACCCACTTCCACGAGCTAACGGCCCTCGCCGATCAGTATCCCCAGGTCCGCAACCTCCACGTAACGGCGCACATCAGCGGGACCGGCCAGCACGCGAACGAGAAGAGCCCTGAGAAACCCGAGGTTACCCTCTTGTACAAGGTCGAGGAAGGCATCTGCGACCAAAGCTTTGGCATCCACGTGGCTGAACTCGTCCGTTTCCCGGACAAGGTAGTTCGCATGGCCAAACGTAAGGCGGACGAGCTGGAGGATTTTACCAGCAAGCACGATGCTGGTGGCCTGGGCGTTGAGTACAGCAAAAAGGACGTCGAGGAAGGTAGCGCCCTACTAAAGGAGGTGTTGATACGCTGGAAAGACGAGGTCAGAAACGGTCAGATGAGCAAGGAGGAGATGATTGCAAGGATGCGGGCCCTTGTTTCCGAAGACGAGAAACTTGCGGCCAATCCGTTCTTCCAGAGTGTCAAGGCATTGTAGATGTCGGCGTATAGCAGGGATTTTTTTGATGGGGCTTTACGGAGCGTATCTTGGAGTTTTCCTTTTCCTTTTCCTACTTGTGGCCTTGTTGGGTTTGTAACATAAGACACATGGCTGTCCCCGGATATGGATCTCGGCACGAAGTAGTAACTCGACTTCATGTAGTACGTCCCTATGTACATGCCTACCTACAGGCGGTAATAAAAATGGCAACAGTGAGCAACTTAGCTCAGAGGCCACGTTTTGACGGAACTTGAACCATTCCATGTGCAATGCGTGGGCCTTGATGTTAGTATATTCACAATCGATACGGATATTGGTACTAGTTTGGTCATTTTGCGCCGATTACGAAAGATTCCGTCTGCTCTCACTCGTAATTCCTGAAAACGAAGTGCTGTCTTTGCCTCGCCAGATTGGAAGGAGCCTTGCTCGTTTGCCTGCGAAATTACATACAGCGGTCTGAAGTGCGGGTACCTTACGCACTTCGATATCCGTTTAGTATCTCTTGAGTCCCGCATTTCTCAAACCGTGGAATTCCAATGCTATCTCAGGAAGCTCAGTCTACTACAACTATGCTTAAGTTAAGAAGGTAACTCCATGCCAGGCCTGTAGTACCCACTTCTGTCACCGCACAGTCAACTAATTGAGGTAGGGCTGCAATATGGTCGCTGTATTCGTAGAATCTAAAGCTAAGGAAAGAAAAAAGAAAGAAAGTTCCAATGCTTGTGCGGGGCGCGAGGAAATAAGGTAGGTTGTGGATCACGTGTCAGAGCTACGCACAGACCACATCCCAAGCCGCTGGAGCTAGTCGGCACGTGCTTCCCAGCTCCTATCTTAACGCCTGCCGTGGCAACTTCCCATCTTAGGTCGTTCCACAGTTAATCAATCAAAACAGGGTTAGGGTTATAGAGCACTTTTTAGGGGGGCCCCGCCGATGCACATTTCGAATTACAGGGGTAAGCTAGGCTCACAGGTCTGTGCGCTTACATAGGCCTAAAGTTCGCTTAGTTACATAATTCTAAAAGTGCATCTAACGCAGCATTTACCCCGCGCAAAAAAAAAAGAGCTCTCAACACCAACGCCTGTACATTACTATGGCGACCTTCGCGGCCGACTGCCTCCCCCGAGGGCTTTTACGAGTCTCGCCAAGCTTTATACGAATCAATTAACTCGTATGCAAAGCCAAGAGGCTATGCCTTTATCACGCAGCGATCTGTCCGAGAGAAGAACGGTTTTTTGACGAATTTTTTCGCATGCGATCGAAGCCGCCGACCCCCTTCGTCACCAGAACGCAATCGCCAGAGAAAAACAACTACCCGTATGACGAATTGCTCCTTTTCGGTCCTTGCTAAAGAGTCTAGCGAAGGCTGGACTCTAAAGCATCGTCAAGATCGTCGCTTCGCAACCCATAACCACGAGCCGAGCCTACACCCGTCTGCACACCCTGTCCAACGACAGCTCTCCAACGGTATATCACAATTACCAGTACTTTCAAATGCTGGCCTTGCGCCAAAGGAGATCCAGACAGTTGTACGGCAAAGTGGTTCTCTAGCAATACGTCAAGACATCTACAACCGTATCGCTGAAGTCCGCCGGGACTCTCGTCAAGGCCGGAGCCCAATCCACGCACTTTCAAATCAGCTTGAGGAAGAAGGCTTTTGGAGCCGTGTACAATATGGGCCAGATAGGCATTTAACGGCAGTTCTTTTCGCGCATCCCGACTCTCTTGTCTACCTTCGAGCGTATCCTGAAGTCCTCCTTCTCGACTGCACATACAAAACAAATAAATACGGTGTGCCACTTCTCGATATGATTGGCGTTGATGCAACTGGGCGCTCCTTCTGTATTGCCTTTGCATTTTTGAGCGGCGAGACTGAAGAAGACTATATATGGTCCCTTGAGCGGTTGAAGACCTTATACGAGCAGTGTGGTAGAGTCTTCCCATCAGTCATTTTGACAGACTGGTGCTAGGCAGTTATCAACGCAGCTTCAACTCTCTTTCCGTCAATAACATCTCTCTGTACCTGGCATGCAAATAAGGCAGTTCTTGCGCGGTGCCAACCAGCATTTCCAGAAGCTGAGAATTGGAAGGAGTTTTACGCTTTTTGGTTCTCTATCCTTAACTCGCCAACTGAAGAGATCTACGAGGAGCGTTTAAAAGAGTTCGAAAACAAGTACGGCTTGACGAACCTTGCACAGATTGGCTATATTAAGGAGACATGGCTTTTACCGTTCAAAGAAAAGCTTGTCTCTGCGTGGATCGACTAACAAGCTCATTTTGGAAATACGGCTACGTCTCGTGTTGAAGGGATCCATGCACTTCTTAAGTCGTACCTCCAGAGGTCAACATTTAACCTTTTTGAAGCATGGAAGGCAATTCGGCTTGCATTGATCAACCAACTCTCTGAATTACGGTCTAACCAAGCCAAACAACAAATCCGTATACCCCTCGAGCTCGATAAAGCTCTATATAAAGCTGTACAGGGCTGGGTCTCATACGAAGCACTACGGAAGGTCGAGAAGCAGCGGCAACTACAGTGGAAAGACCCTCCTCCACCACTCACTTGTACAGGTACTTTTACACGTATCTACGGGCTTCCATGTGTTCATGTGCTTACTGGACGCCAAGAGCCTCTTCTTCTTGAAGACTTCCATTCGCACTGGCGCTTAATACGTGACGGGCTCTACTTCAGCTTTTAGAGCCCCATCGTATAGAGCCAAAATCTACGACTAGTAAGCTCCCAGCGTCAAGTACGAAGCGAGAGCCCAGTGAATTCGAGGTCGTCGAGGCAACACAGGCAACACGGGCTAAGCGGCCAAGCCACTGTACGGCTTGCGATGAAATTGGCCATATACGGACCTCTCGGATATGTCCGAAGCGTTATTCAGATATTGTACGGATTGATTGAATGGCTGGCTGGTTGCAGTGTTGGCGATACGTTGGCTATAGTGGGGGAAAAGGCGGCGCAAAAATGGGCTCCGTTAGATGCATTTTTAGAATTATGTAACTAAGCGAATTTCAGGCTTATGTAAGCGCACAGACCCGTGCGCCTAGTGGGAGCCGGCAAGCTAACCAGGATTACCCAATCAAACCGCCCTGAAGCATACCCCTCAATGTCACTCAACTCTCGCAAACGCGAATGAAAAAGCCGCGTCGTCGGCGCCTCACTTCATGACCAGCTAGCGCGTTCTTTCCACCTCAAGCTCCCCGCATCGCGAGGCCCGGTAGTCTTTTTGTGTGCCTGCCACCCGAATCTCACTGACGACAGACACGATGAGCGCCGGATTTAGGAGCGATTCGGAAGCCCCAGGCAGGAGCGTGGGTTCTCTCTCGCCTCTTCCTCGGTATGACCACCCGATGAATATCGAAGAAGACGAGGATGGCCTGCCGCGTTTTTCATCCACCATGCCCGTTCTGGGAGACCGTGGTACGCAAAATGCGACCGACATGTTTGAATCATCAACCCAGCCTCCCAAATCGTTGGGCAAGCAATCTCGCCCTCTCACCCAGCCTGATCTCCTTAGCCATAAGAAGATATGGTCCGTAAAGCTTCACAACTCAACCAACAAGACCGGAAATGCCGACGATATCGGTTTCCCATACGGCCCGTTGGATCCGCCGGAGACGTCGGGAAAGAAGAAGGGGAAGAAAAAGAGGGTTCTTCTCCTTCCCAACAGTATCGCCACACGTTCACCCAGTATCGCCGCACGTTCACCCAGTGTCGCCGCTCGTTCACCCAGTATCACCGCTCATTCACCTTTAATCCCACCTGATTCACCCTTAATTACGGACTCTGTAGGACGTAAGAAGAGAAAAAGGAGCATGAAGGGCAAGGAGCTGGCTGTTGACTCAGCCGATGAGCCAATCTATGACGCCCAACAATTTTTGGGTCCTCCAACGAAGAAAAGAAAGAGTCTCCTCCAGGGCTATGAAGTGGCTCTGAACTCCGCGGGCGATCAAACTCATGACTCCGACCAGACTCCGGGCCATCCCAGATCATTGGGAAAGAAAAACCGAGCAGAGAAAAACCCCAGCTCTCGCAAGAAACGAAGAGCATCGCCACCGTTGCATGATGTTGGAAACTTCTCGGGACCCGAATCTCCTGGGGGTTCTCATGAATCCCCACTTACTATACGACATCAACGACGGAGGCAGGACTTGCCCGAACAGCCTATTGAGACCGCGTCAAACAGCTTACGGGCAGCGCCCTTGAAGTCTGTGCCGTCAGTTGTCGAAGAGGAAGAGCAGATAAAGAGTGAGCTGGCCGAAACTGAGTCTCGTGTTTCGAAGTCAGATGCAGGCAGGAGTGTTGACTTGAACGACGTCGATGATGACGGCGATCATCCTCTTCCCATGGAGGCATCTCCGGAGCTTGCGACCACAGAAGCTTCCCAGTTACTAACCTCGGCAAATGACGATTCGGACTCGGGGGATGAAGCGCAGTCCAATACACCTACTGTTACTATTCCTTTATTTTCTGCGGCAACTTCTGCACCAAGTCACGAAGATGACCAAGAGATTCCTACGTCATCGGCCAAGACTCCGGGATCTCGGCGAAAAACTAAGCGAAAGCGCAAAACTCCATTCTTTTGTCGTGATGATAGTGATGATGATAAAGAGAACTCGAACGCGTCGGCAGAGCTTCCTCCGGACGAAGCGATTGTCAAGCCTGTGAAGTCGCGAGCGAAAAAACCTCGAATTCATCTTACCGTCGATACCCCCCCGCGAAAACCCCAGACTCGATCTGAGCGAAAACCCCAGACTCAGTCTGAGCAAAAATCTCAGACTCGGTCTGGAGCTCTATCGCCAGCGGAGGCGGCACGGGTTACTACCGCTGTGGAGGCTGTGCGTGACATTAATGGTCTGACACAGGTAGCGATGAATGACATCATCCACTCAAATATCAAATCAACCACAAGCAATAAACCGGTGCATCAACAATTGTGGGAATGTGTCATGGGAGCCTGTCCTTCACTGCCACGGAGGAAGTTGATCAAATGGTGCAGGCAACAATTCCACAATTTTGTTGCACGAGCTACTTGGACACCGGACCAAGACGAAGAGCTGCTGGGGCTTATAAAGATTCACGGGACAAAGTGGACTAAACTTGGATCCATGATCAACCGCTACCCGTTGGATATCAGGGACCGGTACAGGAACTATCTTGTCTGTCATGGCTTCGCCAGGACAGATTTCTGGTCTGAGCAAGAAGAAGAGCGATTGGAAGATGCAGTCTATGAAGCAATCAGACAAATCCAGAAAGATCTGGCTGACAACCCTACGACGCCGAATGATCCGGTTAGCTTGGTCAACTGGCAGAAGATTAGCGAGGCGATGGGTCGAACAAGGACCCGGCTGCAATGCCGAGAGAAGTGGAAACGACTGCGCGCAAACAATGGAAACAACATCACAGGATTTGAGTCTGGGACCAACTGGCGAAGCGGAAAGGCTCGTAGAGATCTTAAGAAGATCACTCGCCGTCAAAAGCTGGACCTTTTCCATGCCATCCGCGACTCAGGGGTTGTCAAGGACTCCAAGATTCCGTGGAAGGAGATTGTCGATGAGACATTCAGAGGCGAGTTTGAGCGCCAGGCCCTCCTTGTAGCATGGGGACGGCTGCGACAAGCGGTGCCTGAGTCGGGGTCGAAAACAACTTTTGAGTGTGCGACACACCTTAGCGCCCTGTACGAAAGCGGCGGGGGTTTGGATGGCGATAAGGCTGGATCCTCTGGCCCACTAGAAACTCCTGTAAAGGGCAAGGCGAAGAAGGGCGAAAAGACTGCTTGGTCTCCAGCAAAAGCATCAACTCGGCCACAGGCCAAGCCACCGGCTGAGACTCGTCGGAATGCCAAACGGGGCCGGGATGTCCGATCCTCGCCCCCTGCCTCGGAGATCGAGGAGAGTGCGAATGAAGAAGACGTCGAAATGAGGGACGACGCCAGCCCCCAATCGGTGTCCAACTTATTTAACGACGCCGCCCAGGATGGCGAGTCTAAGAACCAGTTTGAGAGGGAAGTGAGCATCGATCTTGGCACCGATCCTCAGCCAATAAAAAGAAGAACGAAGGCGGCCAAAATAACATACGGCAAGCGCAACGGGGAGGTTGTGTTAGGCAAGAGACGCCGCGGCGAATCCCCTTATGATAGCGACACGGGCGGCGGAGCAAAGAAGCGGAAGGCTCAGGCGATCACAGAGGCTAGTGGTGGTGGAGAGGACGAAGGGGACAACGTCGTTGAGTCATCGAGTATCGTCAGCAGTGATGTCAGTGACATGCACGACATCATTCCATCGAGACTTTTCGTTGCTGGTGATGCTAACACGAAGAAGGGGCAACGACGAGCAACGCGGTCGAGTGCGAGGAGACTCTAGTTTTCCTCTAGCTCATAGCATTCATAAGCTCTCAGTACATGCCGTTTTTAACAGGTAACCTACCTCATTACATAGCTTGCCTCGTTCTTTTACGCATAGCTTGCTTAGGCACTTATCGGCCATGGATTCATTGGCCGGCATCAAATCAAATCAGAATTTAAAGAAAGTCAGTCGCGAGTCCCCGCCGCCCCTATTTCTACTTAGCATCGCCTTCCAAACCTCGGGCCCCCAAAGCTCCATAAAATCGCAGATGAAAAAGGAGAGTACAAGTACAGCCAGCAAAAAGAGCAGGCAAAGCGCATGCACGCCTCAAGCCCAGAAACATAACTGTAAAAACCGCCCAGTCCCTTCCCGGTTTCCTTACCGCCTTCCGTGACCTCCCTCCCAGTTGTGAAACTAGACCATCCATGATAGCAATGACAATGCGCCACGATAACGGGCCGAGAAAAGAAAACGAAAAAGAGAGAAAGAGGAAATGTTTGGCCAAAAAATGAACAGAGCCAACTTTCATCGCTTAGCGTTCCTCGAAATAGAAGCGCGCCAAAGATTCTGTCCCTTTTGGACTTCCCAGGGCCGTTCTGCCCACGCGGGCCTCTCCCTCGTCTAGTCGCTCGCGAACGATGCGCTCCGCAGCTTCGCGGAGGGAATTTGACGTATACGTTGCGTCTGTCGTCGTCGCGGTCGTCGCGATCGTCGCTGCCGCTGCCGCTGTTGCCACCGCCGCTGACAGATACTGCGCTTGGGAGATTTGTTGGTGAGAGTTTGGCTGCTGGGTCTCCCGGATTGCGCTAATAGCTGGCTGGACAGGAACAGGGCCTCTCGTCGTGGTGTCGACAAAGACATCATCGTCACCAATGCCGTTCACCTCGCGGGCGACCGTTCTCCCTGCCCCGTCAAGCGCTACGCCGTCGACCATGCGAGCCTCTTGTCTCTCTGCCACGGCGGACTGGCTAACTGGGGTCTCGACGCCTCCGGCCACCTCCCGCTCTGACCCCGTGTCCTTCCGCGCTGCCGCAGCGGCACCGCTGTCACTCAGCCCCGAGCTACTTCGCTCCAAGGCCCCGATCCCGGCGCTCCAGATACCAGCCATGGCACCAGCCGAGCTTTGCTGTCCCAGGGGCAGCGGCCGGCGGTGGTAAATGGGACCGCTGACCGTACTGCCGGCGCCTTCGCCGAAACCGACCAGGCTTACACTCCCGTCGTCCGACATGCGGTCTTCGAAGCCACCGACGGAGCTGCGGGTACCGAGGTTCTCCAGATCCTCGTCCATGACGTCGGCATCGGCGCCATCACCCGTACCGCCCGTATAGCCGCTGGTGCTGGCCGAATCCATCCCCCTCTCCTCGGCCGTCTCGCCATCTTCGTCGTCGTTGGTATCCATGCTTAGCATGTCTTCGTCACGTTCCCCCAGGGTATCGTAGCGGTCATCTCCAGCCGTCTCGGTAGCTGACGTGCGCCCACCGACGCTTTCGGTGGCGCTCGCGGTGCCCACGGTGCTCATCTTGGTGGCGGCGACTGGTTGGCCGGTCGCATCGAAGAAGGCAGGCGTGAGCCCTCCCGGGGCGGCTGTGTGGTTCATGACGGGGAAGCCGGTCGAGGTGGGGGTCGTCTGTGGCGAGTCGGCATTGTGGTTACCGGTTACGCCGCCGGCAGGGGGCCCGCGAACGCCAGACACGGTAGAGAGACCGGCGAGCCGGCTGATGCGGTCGGCGCGCTCGGCCTCGAGGCTGTTGGCGGAGACGCTGTGGTGATGGCCACGGCCACCCATAGCGTGGGCGTAGCCGCGGTGGCCATCCTTGATAGCGGTCGTGGAGAGAGCGGACAGGGAGGTAGTGGTGCTCGTAGGGGTGCCGCTAATCCCACGCAGCCACGCAGAAGGACAAGAAATTAGTCAAGTCCGAAAAATACCCCAAGGGCCGACAAAGACTGTAGTTGACGAGAATTAAGGCCCACGAAAGGAATAAAATGCTCGGGGTGGGCTTGAAGCAAGACGGAGCAAGTGTCGAGGTCAAATCTATTGATGGACTCACGGCATCTCAGACGGCGTGTCTGGATTGGAGGGTGGCGGGAGGTTGATCAGGGTGGGTTGCGACATGCTCACTAGGTGGGCAGCTGAGCGGACGAGATTCGCGAGGCTCGCAATCGCGGCCGACAAGGCTCGTTGCGCGAACCGAGGACGCTTCTGCCTCGGGCAGGTATGTATGTCTATACCTTGCTTGTTTGCGCGGCACCTCAAGCTCAGCACGGCTGTAGTTCAAGAGAGAGGAGGGCAGGGCAAAGGTGGTGCCACGGCTTAGGTTGCTTGTTCAATTCAGACCAACAAACAGTGCTGTCAAGCACGGGAGCATGTTTCATGGAAGTTTGTAGGCTGACGCTTGCTTGGTTGCTTTCTTTGTGCGAGTTAACTAAGGTACGGGTAATGCGTCGAGTCTCGGTCTGCGCGTTTGACTTAATTGAAGGTGTCTTGGTTGCCTGGCGCTCGTGACTTGGCCATAGGCGTGCCTTCCAGGTTAGGTACAGTACTTTAGGTGGGGGGGATTCAGGAAGGCATGACGTCGGGTGTACCCCATGTTGTGTAGGGCTGGCCAGGCCAATCGGACGGGACGGTTCAAGGAGGTGGGGCGCCTGTGACCCATTTCCCGTGGTTGGTTGAGCATTACCCCTAGCTCACCACTTAGGGGGTTTACGGGCTTACGAAATACAGTGTCTGAATTACACTACAAGGTTGAACAAACGAACCTTCACCAGCCGCCTACAACGCAGTATCATCACATCATCTCTACTAATTAGCTTATTGCTTGATATTTGATCAGCTGGGAAACCCGTTATCGCGCTACTACACACTGAATCCGTTGTACCACGGGTATTGTTGTTTTTGCGTCTGGTCCCATGGGATGGCATTTGTTACTGGAGTTGCTCCGCAATCTGCTCCGTACATGCCTTCTCGGTCCCATGCAATGTGTACCACAAGATACAGCAGCCATCAACCAAAGCTCATTCCCTAGACATTCTACAGTCAAGGGTTAGATACACCGCAGCAGTCACCAGTCTTTTTAGATTCCGCGTTCGGGTTCAATCCGCCCAGCTCGGATTCCACACTCCCATTCAGGGCGACACTGCAATTCACGCCCTGTGTGCTAGGTGCCACGTCGATGGCCGGGTTCTTGTCAAAGAAGTTGACAGGCCTCAACATGACGCGGAGGACTTCGGCCGGCATGACGGGAAAGTCTTCGACGCGGGGTATATGGTTTATGCCGAACTGAACCCAGAGCACCGGGTCCCCGCCTTTGAGGCTCTCCTTGCGGTCGGCCCAGCTGCGCACGCCGGTGCCGCCCCGGCTCTGGTTGGTGTACAGGCCACCAGAGTACAGTTCGTCATCCGCGTAGCGAGTAGCGTAGATGCTGTGGTCGCCAAACTCGGCCCGCTTGTTGTGGAAGCTGTCGACATCGGCCAGAATCGGCTGCATCGGCGGCGCCATGACCTTATAGCCTACGGCAGCACCGTTGACCGTGTTGTGCACGGCCGGGTTGATGATCTTGAAGACGCGGTTCTTAGCAGGCTCGAGATCGTACCCGCCAGTTGTGTCGATCTCCGTCTTCCGTACCATGTATCCCACCCCGAACGGGTTGAGCTTGGGGTCGCGCGGGATTGCCTCGGCCTCGTCGTACATGATGGTGTTGCCGTGTCCTGCCACCATGGGATCGATGCGCAGAGAGAACAGGTGCTGGTGATATACAGCCAAAACGCCTGGGTGTACGACAGTGCCAAAGGGATGGGGCACTTGGGATAGTTCGAGATCGACGGGCTGCGTCGAAAGGATTCCCGTTGCCCGCGCCTCGTAGGTAAAGTCACCAGCAGTGTTGAAGACGAACGCCAAACTAGTGCCGAAAAATATTAGACAAGCACCCGTCAAAAGATGCGTTGCTGTTGGCCTCCTTCAAAGCCTGATAACACAAAGTGTGTTTGAAATAAAGAGGTTGTGATGGAAGAGAGATGGAGAAGGGCAGACTGACTGCACAGAATAAACAGAAAATGAGGTGGAGGCGTCTTACATGTACTCGTAGTTGCTCACCGTAAGGATGGTCTGCACGACAAGCTCTCGGTTCCTGACCACGACGGCACGGTTGGTACGATAATTCGTGTGCTTCCACAAGATTCCCGCGTCTTGCTCGTGGACGCAAATGACATTGGGCATATCCATGGCCTTGCCTTCGGCGTCACTCAGCACGCCGCCGATGTAGTAGATGCTGCCCAGGCAGTCGCAGCCGAGTTGGAGATTGTTGGCCATGATACCGGCACCTGCATCGCCGAGATCGAAGGCCGCCTTTCGATGGAACGGGGCCCGAGGGTCGGCATAGGGGATCGACATGTCGGAAAGACTGACTCGGTAGAAAAGCGGCTTGTTGTTGTAGTGGACGTCGTATAGTACCATGCCCTCCCGCTGGTTGAAGCCTACCTTGAAGTCCCATTTCTGCCACTTAATGAGACGTCCAAGGTCCGAAAAGCTGTCAACGGTGAACGAGGCGCCCTCAGGTTGGTCGACATGGAGCGGCTTCAGGTCAGTGCGGAGGGCTTGAGCCTCGGGTATGTACTCGTTGGCTGCAACGGGTTTCCACGGAGCAAGGGGTTTAACCGTTTCGTCGTGACCGGTAGGCAAGATATCGATGCGCACCAGCTTCATCGTCGCCGGGTCAATGACGGGTGAGATGGGTAGAGGAAACGAGTAGTGGCAACTGTCAGGCTCAGACGAGTTCTGAGGGTCCCGCATATACATGAAGCACTGCATCACACGCTTGTCGTCGTAGAATTTCCCGTCCTTGACACCATCCGAACCTGCGCTCGCGGTATCAATAACACGGTTCGAAACGTAGCCAGTCTAGTCGGACCAGGGGCACAAGGTCCTACCGTAGATCCAGGGGTCGATTACAATCTGAGTGCCCTCGGGGAGCTGAAGCTTTGCGATCTCGGCCTGGACGTCGGGGTGTGCCAGTGCGGCCTTCTCGACGGCGATGATCTCTTCGCCATTTGCGCTGGGGTGGTTGAAATCCCCGAGCCTGACATTGCGCTCCACAGCACTGGTGGTCAGGTTTACCACAGCCTCGTGGAGGGCGTCCTTGCGGGCGGGAAGGAGAGAATTCTCAGCATACGGCCTCAAGCAGATGCGGCAGCGACCGTTGGGTCGCCGATGGGGGGGACGAGACGGCTTACCGAAGAGCCAACATAGTAGACAACAAAGACGCGGCGGTCGATGGCTGGGACACTCTCCCCGGCCCTCTCGGCTGCGAGATAAGGGATGAGCTCGGCCTTGGCCGGCTCGTAGAGGGTGATGGCCCGGAACTGGCACACGGAGCCCTCGGGCCAGCATGCGCGGATCAAGGCGGCGCTCTGGGTGATCTCGCCCGGGGTGACGGGGCCGAGGGGGTGGGACAGGCGAGGTGGGGCGGCGGCGCCGTCGACGATGGTAGTGGCATCGGCAACGGGCGCCGTCTTGTTCACAGCGGGGTCGGCGGCGGGCGTCTTACACACAGGGACTGCCGAGGCCCCAGACGTGGCCAAGCCGGTGTCTTTGGCGGTCATGATACTTCAACTGAAAGTGGATCGGGTACCTGGCGGTTATGGAACTGTGATATGGTACCCTAAGGCAAGGTAGGTTAGGTATTTAGGGAACCTATATAAGTGCGGCAGGTGGGTATTACACAAGGGAGAACCGTTGTGCTTTACAGATTTACGGTCTTCGTTCTTTATCCCTGATCCAGGGTCAGGTATCTTAACAATTACCTATAAAGATAGGCCTGGATAATCCTCGCCCAGATAACACAACCCCTCAATACGCGCAGAACAATAAAAATGGACAACTCCCATGCCGGGTGGGGGGGTGTGGGGTGTTCTAGTTATGTGCCTGTTTGAGTGTCTGGGGCGTGACAGCATATTACGCGTTAGGACTCTAAGATGTGCATTGTTTTGAACGGTAATTTCACCAGAATACGCAATTCGCGGTTAAATACAATATCGCTAGAACATAAAGAAAACTAAAAATGGTCGTCGTCGTTCAACGTGAACTCAACCGAATATGTTCAACCGAATATAGTTCTGACTACCAAAAAGGTCATTGAAAAGGAAGGCGCTCCCTTTCTTAGCCCCGTACTGGAATTACAACCAGTCCGTGGCGTAGGACTTGGAGTGCCTTCCTTTTTCGAAAAGAATTCACATAAAAGACTTGACACAAATGCGAATTGAGCTCACGACCTCAAGGCATTATATACAATCCACGAAGCATTACAATTCACGGACAAACCACAATAACATTCGCAATTACGGGCGCGCGCGACCGACGGGGAAAAAAGTGAAGCTATATAGGCCAGGGCAGGAGCGTGGGCTTGGCGCGGGCAGGGCGTGGGCAGCGTAGGCGCGAGCCTGGCGAACATGAACCAACATTGTATGCGCACAGCCAACATACTGTTGACTGGGCCATTTTGCTGTTGAGCGAAGACATGGCCGGCCAATATGGTGTTGACAGGCCAATACGGTATTTTGTCTGGAATATGGTCCTTTGAGAAAATACAATATTAATAAAAAAACCGTATTCTAGACTGTAAAGCCGTATTCAAGAAAGGAACGAACATCGTTCAAATTGACGAAGCTGTCAAAATACAGGATGTGCCCGAAAAATGGTCAAGTTACAGTTTTTTCGCCCAGAATACCATTATCTCTCTGTAACACTCTTACCGTACGGGAACACACTAACTGCCGCATGTTGAACACTCCCCCCCCCTTCTCTACATGGTCACACCGGCCCTTTTTATCATCGATTCCAAGGAAGGCAGGCACCTTGTCCTTGTACCTTTATTACTGGCACCCCATTCCATTTTTAGTTAACTCTTCGCATCGCAATGCCCAAACAGGCCTAAAATCCCCGCAGTAGGAAAACCCAGCGGCTCCCCCTCAATGTAGCCCACCATCAGCACGGATACGCTCTGCCGATCGTACCCGCGGGGAGCTCGTCAGCAGCGGGGTGCGGATACCGGAACGATTAAAGACTTCTAGGTTACGTAGATGGAAGACCATACAATGATGGGCAGCGACTTTTGCTTGCAGGAATTGAAACCCAATTATACGCAACGGCGTAGTGAATGTTTTGTAATGTGAATAAGCCTACCGAGACCCTGGTTCCTTCTGTATACAATAACACGGCGGAAGCAACAAATATCAACACGTGGGAAACACAGCACCAGAGAAATAAAAATTGAGCTAAAATACAAGACTGGCAAATATTTACAGCTTTTGTTATCAAAAGACGCTGGACAAGCCGCTGCGCGTGACTTTCCACACAAGCAGCCTTTTAATCATCAAAAGACGCTGTTGCGCGTCACTCTCCATGACCCTGAAGCCATCCAGAGTCGCGTGTACCATCGATGGCACAGTTCCATCCAGCCAGGCATTGGGCCCTGGATCCCTTCGATTTTGCGAGCGCTGGTAAAGAAGCAGCTCTTGAGCCCCAGGACCACCTCGGCACGTGCCTCGTCGACTTCGGCGCTGATGACGAACAGTCCGTCCGAGTCGCGCGGGCTCCGGTTCCGAGGGCTGTCCCCGCAGCGGACGACAATCTCGGTCGGCGTCCTTTCCACGACCTCAAAGTGGTCGATGAGCTGCGTTCCCGGTGTGTATGTCGACCGTGATAGCTGTTCGACGGTCCAAAGCTGCCCACTCGTTGTCGGTCCCTGGTATTTGCGGGCGAGATATGCTCGCTGGAACCGATTGCCTGTAGAGCAACGACATGGGAGGGCATCCCACGTCTTCTTGTCAGCCCGCTGAGCATCTTTGCCCCTCGAATTGGCCCTTGGCTCCGTTCCTCGCGCCACACGAATTGATGCGCGCGGCCATTGGTCGCTTGCAAGGTTGCGAACGCCTTCGGGAACGGCCAAACGTGTGTATTACATAGAACTGAACTTACCTAATCCACTCCAGACCCCGCGGCAGAACTCCAGAACCAGGTCTCCCTCGTTTTCGAGTAGATCGGGCCGTATCTTGTTGAGCGGTATCCGCTTGACGCAGATGTCTTGGGTTGACGGATTTCGGTGCACGTTGTACTTTGCAAAGGTCGCTGACCTGGGAAGGGCATCGTCCCTCGGCAGTGGGCTGATGATGGTCGTCGTAGCTCCCAGGTATGCGAGGAAGCTGGCACCCGTCAGGACACCCGTGTAAAACGTTTTTTTGATCACGCCCATATTGATAATTGTCGCGTTTCGGGTTTTCCTTCAATTCTGCGCCGTAGTAAACCCTCCCAAAACCCCCAGAAACAAATAAATGGTGTTGTTGGAGAGAGAAGCGAGGAATGGCGACCGTTCGGCAAAAGCGTCTGGTGGGGACGACGGGTATTACCTCCGACGAGTGGGCATTACCTTCCTTTGGGAAGGTGCCGTGGTGTATTTAGGTATGCTCGTACATCGCACCCTCCCGCAATACACGACTTTAGAGTGTAGCCGTTCCTCCTGCTTGGTTATGTTACAGTAATTTTACGCTGCACCCCAACCACCATGTGTATGAAAACTGCATCAACCCATGTAACATCTACCTCGGTGATAATGGGTAACGAGGAAGAAATGTTTGGTCACAAATATATTCAAGCTTCTTCATGTTCTTGATATTTGAAAACGAACGGATAGAAACCGGGAGAGACCTTCTGTGCTGTCTGCAAATAGGAGTAAGAGGAGCGGTAACAAGGGGAAAGTGCAGCACTTCAGTAAACAGTTGTTGTTAACCCTCGATAGTATGGCTGAACTGCCAATTTGTCTCGGCGACATGGAGAAATATCTCCTTAATCTACGGGGTACTCAGCTAGGCTCACATGCCAGTAGGCACTCCTTTCCCTTGTGGCCTAGAAATATCCCTTTAATGATGTGAAAGTACTCTAAACCACCGCTCTCTTCAATTCGCTAATATTCGTCCCTCTCCTCGTAATTGCCGTCTTCGTAGTTTTCCTTATTCTTTTTCTTCAAAGATAGGAGTGCCATTGACACCTTCCGCTGTACATGTGCTCTACTGGGTGATGACGGTCCTGTCGTTTCATCAGAAGCTTCTTCTGCTGTTCTTTGGTCTGCAACATGGTCTCTGAGTGCTGATAAGTCAACTGGAGAAATCACCGCAACTGATGTTACTAATCCCTTCTCTGAGTCGGAACGCTCTCGGAGACGGGCTCTTGACTTCTTTGGTTGGAGTTTTGCTATATTGAGCGCTTTCATGACCTTAGTTCCAATGCCACCACGCTCAGGCGAACTCTCGGGGCTCGGGCTCCATCGAGACATTAAAGGTGGGCTACATCGAGCTGGAGGAGTTGTTGGTCTGCGTGGGTTAGATGGCGTATCCATTCCCGTCCCCCACGTATAATTGGGGAAAGGAGATAGTCCAGGCCGAGAAGGCGTTACTGGGGGTCTGATAGTTGGTCCGACAAGTGATGTGGTTGAGTTTCGAACGCTCTCATTTAGGTATTCAGCCCTGTTTGGGACTGCAAGTGATTCTGACGGCGATACAAATCCCCTAGTGCGTGGTGTGAACGAAAATGATCTCTTGCTCGAACGTGACTCGGAGGAGTTGCGTGACGATCCGGCTGGTGCATTTCCAATAGATCTGCCTCTCTCTCGATGACCTCTGATCCCCTTTCTCAAGGCCTTCGAGAAAGCCCGAACGTTATGGAAGCTGGTCGTTTTCGATACTGGGGTTTGCTCTAGAGACGCCGAATACAGATCTGTGCTTTTCGAATGAGGCATGCGCGTGCTCTCTGAAATCTGGCCCATCTCAGTTGAAAGATCGTAGTTTGACGCTTCCCAAAATAGTGAACTAGGGCCATCCAATATCCACGAATCATCTCCGGGCACGGGTGAATGTGGTGGAGGGTAGTTGTTGTTGTTGGCGTTATTGGCTTGCGTGTCCATGGCTATCGATCTGGGAGGCGTATTCTGGCCAGGGGTAACCGCTAGCTGGCCAGCAGTTGGCTCTATTCCCAGTCTCTCGTGTGTCATGAGAGACGGTAGCAGGAATACTACCGTCTCGTCCTTGCCGCTCACCCCGGAGCCACGGGGTAATACAACCATGTTCACGCAGACTTCCTCGTCGGCTGCCTCAGTCTTATATATCTCCGGCAACCCAGTCCTTCCATCCAGCGCTCTTGGATCGGAAGTCGGAGGACGAGACCGGCTCGCAAGCGACTGGCCAGAGGATATCTGTGAGTTCTTGCCGAACCCAAAGGAAGATCTCAAAGACTGTCTGAGTCCACGGTCGGGAGAGACGTCGCTGATTGTTTCTAGTGTTGGTGTGTATTTCGCAGAGCTTGAACGACTTCTCCGCTTCGTCTCTTCTCCAGGATCTGGAGGCAAGGGCTTACTAGTAAACCCCGAGAGAGACCTTGGAGGGGATAGATCAGCTATTGACCCCGGTGATGCGGATTTGCATCCTAATAGGGCCGGCATTGTTCGTCCTCGTCTCGCCGGCTGCGGGAATTCGGGAACTGAGGGGCGTTGTTCTGGTAAAGGGGACTTCGGTCGGTCTGGTATTCGCAAGTCTGCGGGTCCTACAGCTGGCCGGTTCCCATTTGGCGGTTGCGATGGTTTAACAAGGAACTTCAGGCCATCCAAAGGAGCCGGCAAATGTTCTAGCTGTGAATATTCTTCTTCTGTTGCTTGCCCTCCTTCGTCAATGCCAGTGCTCGTGCTGGTTTGAGTCGCCCCGTCTTTCTCTTCGCCAGCGGCTGACCGGGACTCTTCAATCATCCTCTCAAGCACAGAGGAAAGGGATTCTAGAGATAGAGTATTGACGGAGGACACTCCTAGGTCGAAGTCATAGTCCGCTTCGCAGAGGCTGGTATTTTCCTGGCTGTCGTCAGCGCCTGGGATCGTTGGAGAGTCCAGGCTAGATATGCTGGTCTCTATCGTAGAGCCTTGCCCACCGGTCGGAGGACCGGATGACGGCCGCAGCAAACTGTGGCTTGGACATTTTTTCAGAAGTTGGTCTTCTTGTCTTGATAGCGTCCGAGAGACGCCTGTCAGAGTCGGTGCCTGAGGAGTCGCGGTCGCTGGGGTGTCGTGGTGGAGCGCGTCGGACAGCTCAAGGTCATGATCATTCGAGCGAGAGATCTTTAAAGTCGAGGAAGACGCATCGGACGTGTCCGGTGCAAATATGTCGTATTCTGCGTCCAGCTGGGTATTCTGGGGGCTCGTGGCGACATTGCGATCTGAGCATGGCGACGGTGGCCGTTGAAAATCCCGGGAGGATGCGCCAGACCGCTGACGAGGGTCAGGAATCTCATGTTTGACTCCAAAGAGATGGGACACCTGCCAAAGTTGCATATGCCGGCCGTTAATAATAACAGGTGTGCAGGGATCTGCAAGCTGGCCCAACGTCAGGCGAGGCAAATCGGGGCCGGACGACTCCATACCGGCCACTGGGCTATCGCCTTCGGTGCTTTTTGCCATTAGCTCTGGCACAGTACAGTCGCCAATCAATGCAATAGCGCTCGTGTCTTCTCCCTGCATTTGAAATCGTGGGTCAGTGGTGATATTGATAGAGGAATATCAGATAACCAGGTAGTGATATTGGTAAAATGCGTGGGCGGACGCTGTAATGGCAAATCGAAAACGAACAATAGCGGAAGTCGCTGTACAAATGACACGGGAGGCGCTTTAGAATGTCGTCTGCGCCTCAACAAGGGCAGGTGGTATGTTCATATCGTCCGAAAGAGGAAGGGACGAGAGTCTGATACTGTATTAGAGTACATCCATGACTACGTAAGATACTGTAGAAAATGGAAGGCACGTCGTCGGCTGCTTACAGTTTAAGTTGGCCCAGGTGTGAGTTTTGGTGAAAAAAACTCGCGGGATAAGCGAGTTCCGGAGCCCTCGACGAAAGAAACAACAGGCGGTACGTCGTCTGCCGTTTGTTGGTTGTCGGGTCCCGGTCCTCTATACACAGCCGAATAGGGTGGGCTGTATTCGCAAGTGCAATACAGAGGTTCAGTGCCTAGATGTTAAAAAAGGAAGGTGTGTGGTGTGCAGAAGCTTCGAAAAAATTTCTGGAGTCGGCTGGCAGAAATACAAGCAAAATATAGAATGATAAACACTCGTGTGATGAAATATTACACGTAAACGCGAGGTGAAGAGTACACAGTACACCCCTCACTTGGCCCTCAAGTTCTTCTCAGCACCTAGCAGACTTCAAGGATTAAAATCTACCCTACCTATTTACCTTCCCATATTTAAAACTAAGGTGCCATAGACAACTCAAGCTATCACGAAGCTATCAAGCCACACGTAGACTGTCTTGCAGGTCGGCTTCCCCAACAAGAGATTTGGCTTGCTACGGGGGGGATACAGCTGCCATGAAAAAACTGTCGTGTGCCGAGATAAAGACGACGATACAAACTTAGGAGGGTGTTGTTTTATCCTAAACTATGTTCCTTTTTGAGTGTGGCATATGTTGAAGGGGAGAAGCATATCTGTATCGCGGCTCTAAGGATGCGGGAACCAGCCTATATGGAAAATATGAAAGATGTTATTTCCATGTATAAGATCCGGAGACATGGTCGCGTGTCGTCGTGGTGGTTCAAACTTCCAAAGGCAAACATGGTTCAAGAGTCCGAGTGTCCTTCTCACCGTCTGTGCTTGGGAAAGTGGTCCGAATGTGTCCCATGCGCATCCATCAAACCACACTGTGAATTTTCGAAGGGCGGCAAAATATTAAAAAAAAAAAAAAAAAAGGCTGGTGGTGTCTGCAACTACCTTGTATTTCTGTGCTGTTGTGTTAACGTTCTGCAGGTCGTCGAGAAGAGTGGAAGCAAAAGAAATCAGGGGTTGGAATGCCAGTTGGCAGCCAGCTGACAATTTCCGCTGGCCGAGCTATGTGACCAGCTGTCTTGTGTATGAAGTACCGTTTACGAACACGGGCCCCAAAGCCAAGACAACGAAGCGGGCAAGGGTGGCAACTCAAGGGGGATGAAATGAAGGAGTCGTTGTTGTTTGTAGTTTTGCGCCTTCCATTCTTGAAACAACGCAAAACTGTCCACTGTTTCCATATTACCGTCTTGGTAAAGCCCAAGACGTCCTCTCGCTGAATGATTTTCTTCTCGCGCTCGTTCTCGGAGGACCTAGACACGTAAGGTACCTAGTAGGTACCTTCTTAGGTAAGGTAAGGTGTTAAGTTTTGGGCTGGAACAGAGGACATACCTACCTGCACCTGCGCATTTGGTAACCAAAAGAGGACAAAGGGGTCTAGGGCCCAGCAATAATGGGGTTGATGATGAGGAGGGCGGCTGCGATCGCACGCCACAAAATAATCGGCTGCGCCGGAACGCGATTACCACCCCCAAGATGGGTGAGGCAGCTTGCTACAGAGTCTACTACTAGTAGTAGAAATAGCAGTAGTGAGAATCCCCAGCCGCGACTGGGCACATCTCGTGGGTGCTTTTCTCGATTTGCAAGTCATTTCCATCAGGTCTACTCCAGACTGACATTCATGATTAAACCCGCCCGCAACAGTGCAAGAAACAAGTGGTCAAGATTCCAGGACATCGCCGCCGCCTCCCAGAAATGATGGCGATGCTGGCCCATCCCTTGCCGCAAAGATGGCCGAGGCGGCCGCCACCTCCTTTGCCTCTATTGTGATTCTTGGCGCTGGCTTTGGCATTGCGGCATACGTCTATCATCAAAGCTACAAGTACTTCGTTCTCAAGAAGATGGCCAACGCATTCGAGCCTGGTGATCCCGTCCTTGATCTCGCCGCCATGGGGAAGAACTTCCCTGTCTCCAAAACGGCCGCCGCTGCCGCTACGCACTGGATAGCGCGTCCGGAGCAGCATCTCGTCGACGAAATCATAGCTGGCCGCGAGGTTGGGCATTACCACTTATTCATCGGTGACAAGGGCGCGGGCAAGAGCAGCATGCTTCTGGAGGCCATGCGCAAGATCGATGGCGACGGCGTGGCCATGTTTGAGGCACATCCTGACCTGGAAATCTTCCGAATTCGCCTCGGAAAAGCCCTGGATTACGAGTTCCACGAAGATTACATAGGCGCCTACTTCAGCGAGCGCGGGCCCAGAGACACGACTGCGCTTCTCGATATCGAGCGTGCTCTAAACAAGCTAGAAAAAGTGGCGCTGCGGAGAAGATCAAAGGTTGGCAGGCCTCTTGTTCTCATTGTCAACCAGATGCATCTCATCAGAGACGACGAAGACGGCAAGGACCTCATTGAGCTACTCCAGCAGCGAGCAGAACAATGGGCGGCTTCTGGTCTTGTCACCATGGTATTTAACAGCGACGACTACTGGATTTATGAGAAGCTGAAGCAGCTGGCCGCCCGGCTAGAAGTCCTCACAGTCGTGGACCTGCCTAAGGCCCAGGCAACGGCAGCCTTAAAGAATTACCGCCAGCGACACTGTGGAGAGACTCTATCGCAAGATGTGCTCGAGCAGATCTACGACCGGGTCGGTGGCCGCCTAAACTTTCTAAATCGGGTTGCCAAAAGCAGTGATATGCTAGCAACTTGTGATAAGATCCTAGAGGTTGAGAAGACATGGTTCTTGAACCAATGCTGGATTCTCGGGGCTGAAATGGATGACGATGTCATGGATCAGCAAAAATGGGCGGTGAGTAACCGCCGCTAGCCTCGTCTCCTAGAAATCTCTCTTCGTGCAGAAAACTTCAGCACAACTGCGCCATAGGGAATCTACTAACCGCTTACCCGCCACAGGCGGCTGCCGTCGTGCTCGCTACTGCCCTCGTTGACAAAGAATCCGAGATGGACAGCACGTACGATCCCGAACTGGGCCACGTTCTGCCATCCTTTGCTCTGCACAAAGCCCAGCAAATCATGACGCGGTCGGATTTTGTGCGGGCCCTGGACCGTCTCAATCTTTTCAGCATCACTAGCGACGCCCAAGTTCGAGCCAGCTCCGTGCCAATGCACCTTGCCTTTAAGCAAATTGTTTCAGAGCCGGGTTTCCGTCAGCACCTACAGGCGACTATCGACCGCATCGCCGCAATCGAGAGCCTCGGTCGTACAAGAGAGCTGGTTGCCAAAGACTTGACCCTTGGCGGAACGTATGAGATACGGAGGGCCAAAGGGGGTGTCGATGTGGCTCTGAGAGAACAGAGAGATGAAGCTGGGGATGGTGTTTAAGATCGGCACATGGGTTGTCGTGACTTTGCCAGATCCAAGAAAGGAATATATCGACTTCCGTTCATGGACGAACCACCGAAAACAGTAAAATTAAATTAAATGCGCACACAAACTCCTGCATGTTGATGCATGTCCGCTAATGGCTCCCCCTTGTAAACCCAGTGTGTTACGACCAACACGTGTTCTCTTGCAGACCCGTGGAAACGAAACCCAGTTAACAAGTCCAGAAACCAATACCATAGTTAAAACCCCTTGCAGACATGTAAAGAAACTCCATCCAAATACATCGAAGAATAGCGCCGTATAGTCTGGCCTAACCTGTCTCCTGCAAGCGCCCAAGATTTTGGCCTTTTGCCGATTTGTTTTTCTTTCAATCCGTCAACAAACAAGCCCTTTTAAACTCCCATCGCAAAAGAATGTTCAGCAAAAAAAGAGAAAAGAAGAATGAAAAGATTCGTAAAAGATACAAAGAGATAGAGGAAACCAGAAACCGAACCCCAATCCCCGCTCGCCCTACTGCTTCATATCCCAAACAAATTAACAAATAATATATTTTCACGCTTACCTGCACCCGTGCGTCTCTTAAGCCGGAATGAAATCCAGACCTAAAGAGCGTGCGACTCCGGGCCAATCCCAGACGGCTGCCCATTCCCCGGAGTCCATGTGTTGCCATACGCGTTCGAGGACATCCATGACGCGGTCCGTGTTACGGAGGCCCGTATAGCCCCTGGCTGTCCTGACGGCGGCGCGTACGCGGTCCTGTTGACCAGGGGCAAAGCATGAGGTACCGATCACAAAACAGGGGAGGAGGAGCAGAGTCTGGCTAGGGTCACTGGGTTTGAACTTTTCGATAATCGCCAGTGACTCGTCAACCGCGAGGCTGACTCGGGGGTCGTGTTGGGGCGGCTGTCGAATAGGCGGCGGAGATGTCCGGTTCTCGGTAAGATGAGTGTCCGTGGCCGTTGCAGTGTCTATGCCGATAGGTCTCTGCTTGGCCAGGCCGAGGTCTTGATTGGGCAGACAACTCGCGGAAACAGAGCAAGTGGCAGAAAGCCTCGGGGAGGAGGCACAGCTCGTCGACGTTGACTGTGGGGGTGTATTCACGACAGAGGACGTTGGTCGGCCACGAGATGGTGTGCTATGTACCACTGGGAGAGATATAGCAGATGAAGCCATTGAGGACGATGGCGCAGAGGATGATGGTGGGTATATCGTTCGGACAAGATAAATCCACATCATGTTTTTGTAAAGGACCCCTACGTGGTCACGGCTGTCTCCGAGGGGCCAATGAGGAGTCCAATCCCTGATAGCAGCGTCGATTTCGGCCGCGCGGTATAGACTCACATAGTCGACGACGGGATCAGTTTGATCAAGCATGTTGCTTCGTATCGTGTTTCTGATGGCTGTTATCTGCGACAGGTAGTGGAGAAGACCGTCTGCAACGCCCAGTAACCGCGGCGGGTGCACCGGGGGAACCAGCTGCGATTCCTTGGGAGCTGGGTAGGAACCCGGACCATTGACAGAGTGGAGGAGCTCGTCCGCAAAGATGTGGTATTGGAAGAACTCGGCGATAAATGAAAAGAAAGCGGGATCATCTGGAGGGGAGCTCGATATCAGGTTTTGATATGCCGAGAGGTGAAGGCGATGCTCACCCCGAGGGTTGCCTTCGGCCAACGCCTCGAGAAGAAAGCAGAGCATCTGGCCATAGCGTGCCGAGACGAGAATCTTGAAATCCGGGTTCGGCTTGTCGTTGCTGAACTCGACATCATCGTAGAACTTTAGCCGAGCCTGGTCGTGATGGTAAAGCGAGCGCTCTTGCAGTGCCGCTGCGGTCGTGGTGGGATTGTTTTTCAGAATATTAATGCCATATGGGGTATCAAAATCAATATGCTTGCTGGCGAGCGAAAGAATCGAATGCATTAGGCCTTGGTGTTTCACTGCGATCGGCACCATCATGTCTTTGAAGGCATTCTTGTGCTCTCCCTCGACAGTTAGTACAGTGCTGAGATGTTCGTTGTAGTGCTTCCAGAATATCATGTCTTCCACTGTCTCCAGGCCGTGGAAAATGGGTTGTATTGAGATTGGCGGTAGACTGCGAGACTTCAGACGTTCTAGCAGCGTGTTAGAGAACAGGGACGGGACGGCCAGGTACAAATACGGGGTCATTCACCTTCTTCGGCCCTCTCTTTCCCACTTTTCCATATCTGTTTCTCTGGATACCCTTCACAAACGACGGCATTTTTCTCGCAGTTCATGCCTGGAAAGGCGTTAGAAAACGTTGCTCGGGATGGTATTAGTCGGCCACTTACACCGTGGTTTCGCCTCGTCGCACTTCTTCTTCCGCTTCCTACAGGTAAGGCATCCCGTCTTGGACCGTCCCTTCGTTATCTTGCTCGAGGAAACACTGGATGTGAGTGGGTGCTTCCGCGGCCGGCCTCTTGGCCTTTTCAGCTTTGGCTGATCTGTTGCAGGAGCACTCCCTGCACCGGCAAGTGGCGTCGACGGTGCCTCTTTAAGATCTTCCATACAAAAGTCGTCATCGTCGATAGGCTCTAGTTTCGGAACCGCCATGGCATCGCTGGAGTCCCAGTCGATCTCATCACGGCCGTCCGGATCATGGGGCATTTCGAGGGCTTCGTCCGCGCTCATGTATCCCCCCATCGCCCAGGTATCGGTGCTAGCCGATGATGATGCCGAGTGGGCCATAGCCGGTGCATTGGGCGACCCCGATGCGGACGAGTCGCTGGCCGAGTTCTCGGACATGGCACAAGGTATATCCATACCATTGCTGATGGGCGAGAGCTGGCCCGTGTGAACGAAACTCATAGTCGACGGCACGGACCCAGAAGCGGATCCAGTCGAGAGTGATTCTAGCCAAGGAGACTGGGGAAGATGGAGGGATTGGATATCGTCCGAGTCCATGCTGTGGCTATCGGACCAAAGATCCGCATCGTCGGTGGCCATGGGAAGAGAACGGTTCATTATTCGTCAATAACGAGACCATGCCAACATGGGCGGCGACGACAACGAAGCGAAGATGTCCCCAGACTCGGCTCGAACGGAACGTAGGAGCCGCGTATAGAAGGGTGAGGAGAGGACTCGATCACATATCCATGCCGGCCATAATGAGACAGCTGTGCAGTGAGACAAGCTGAAAAGCACAGACGGCCTCAAGGACGCTTCTTTTGCCTTGGCTTGTGGGAGAGATCTCTGGGCGTAGCAATTGTTGTTGTAGTTGTCTTGGTTGCTTCTGATGGTGGAACGAGTGGCGGGACTTGAGGGTGGGATATGGAAGCAGCTTGGAAGTCGACAACACCCGCAACCCTTATTGACCCATGATTGGTACTGTTCCAGGTGGGAGGGTAGGTACATATGCCTGCCTGCTGGAGGGGTGGATGATGCATTTCGGCTGGCTTCTCCACACTCCTTTCACTTGAACTGGGGAGGCAGGGGGATGCAGCACGCGGGGGGGAGGGGGGAGGGGGAACCTGGAAACTCGGGAGGACGTTTTGCAACACAGCTACCGCACCTAAGGTAGGGAAGGTAGGTAAGGTAGCCAACCAGCAGCACGAGAAATTGACTTTCGATGAGGAGGTACTGTGACCATGAAAAAAGAACGGTAGGGATCCTCTGATGGTCGGGTGATTGATGATGATTAATACGTGAGTGAAGGAACTAAGCTCTGCAATTGCGATTCTTCCAATTTCATATCCCGCCTCTTTCTTTTTTGCTCATTCCCCCATCCCAGCGCCCATTGCAACGAGTGGCAGGTATCAATCGTAGGTCGATAGTCTTGATAGTCACAGGAAGGGTGAAGGAGAGCGTTCGGTGCTGAGCTTAGTGTAGTGTGGGAGAAGGATTTTGGCCTGCGGGGGAGGCGGGCTCGAGGCAAAGCTCGAGAGCGGGCTGCCCGCATGCTGCAGGCGACGGGCAATAATGCAGTGGCCTTGGCCCCACTCAGAACTTGCTTTTGTTCTCCGAATGTCTCTTGCCGAGGCGTCCATCTTGATCTGTACCTGCAAGAGACCTGCAAGTACTCGCTGCATGAGACATGGACAGTCGGTCCCTTCCTGCTGTAGCGTCTCCGTGTGATTCGCTGATTTCGCAGTCGTTGATTTCTCTGATCTTTTTGACGGGGATGTCCCGCAGTGAAGCACGGACCATACTCATGCATGCGGCGGCTACGAGCGAGATCAGAACGCCAGCAGGCCCCACTTCTCTGCACATTCGAAAAGCAGAAAACGGATGAGAGAAATCCTGGAACATCCCGAACGGGTAAACGGGCTGCCATCAATCACGTTGGCCTGTTCTGTCTCTCTGGACATTAGCGGGCAATGGCCAAAGCTGAAGGGTGTCGCCGTTTTTCGCTAGACTTGAAGGATGCGAGGCTGGCTGTTTATAAGCTTTGGACGGCGCGGCCTTCCTGGTCTGCCTGCTGAGCCCTGGGTGGAAGAGCACACACATATGAAGTTAATGTTGCGCGGCCAGGCTGCTGCTAAGTCTAGTTATAAACTCTGGAACAGCCATCGCGTTTATCTTAATCCTGGGCATGGATTGTCCGCGACCGGCGCTCATCTGTGACAGAGTTACGTCGATTCTCAAACCATTGCAACCATTGTGACCAGTTGCAAACAAGTCAGCGACAGAGGAGAGGTGAAGGTCGTGGCCGAAAGATGAGAGCTGGCAACGATTGAAGTTTCCGGCAGTTGCTGGCAGGTTGTGTGCCAGCAATGCGCAAGCCCGTGAGCGAAGGGAGCGAGCCTTTCCGTCGGGTTGCGCGCCTGTCAAGATGATTGCCGGCGCAGATGCCCCTATGTAAGATAGGTAGGTAGGAGGTAGGTATCCAAGGTATGTACCATGATATCATGGTTTGGTTGTGGTATACCTTGCATCTCTTTATCTTGGCTCGGCGGGCCTCGCAATTACCAGGCGAGATGCGTCTTCACTTTCAGGGCATACTCTTCTGCATATGCTGGTAGCTCAAAAAGAGCAGTTCCAACCTTGACGACGTGGTTCACGAACATGGGCTGGAGGCAGCTGGTGACCTCCCCTACAACCTCTTTATATGGCAAAACCCCGGAAGCTACCAGTTCGGGGCCTGCAGCGTCGCTTCGCGACATTTCTCGACTTGTGAGGTGGCGCACCCACACAACAGCCGACCGCCTTTCGGAAGGTCGTGTTGCTGGAGGTGAGGCGCCCTGCCGTGTCACCCTCTCTCTGCTCGGTTCCTCCTTGTTGACGGACAATTTACGAGCCTGGAGCCCTTCTACGGCTGTTGGGCAGATACACATGCGATCATCTTTCGTTGGCTATCGTCGAACCGGCGGCCCTGGCCCCATTGCGACCCGATCCACTTGAAGCTGAGACGTTGCTTGCCCGTGGAGCGAATCGTTGCGAATATCTGAAGTGAGGTGGGGTTATGCCCAACGCCCCGCGCATATTTGTTAAAAAAAAACCGCTTCTCCGCACGTAGATGGCGGCACATACACGAGAGTGCATACTGTACGTATGAGCATTAGGTTCATGTATCAATGTGTGGAAAAGAAGCTGAGCCACGAATGCCAATAAAGTTTTATCCGTGCTAACCTACCTATATTTCTTACTTGATCCAACCGACAAAGCTTCATGGAGGAAATAGGCTGGGTTCTTGTCTGGTAAGGTCGTTAGTCCAGTTTAGGTAAGGAAGGTACGTACATATGACAGAGTATCGGAAACCGTCGATCCCTGAAATTTCCGCCCACCTCAAAATGGCGGGGAGGAGGGTGTGGGGAGAGGGGCGGGGCTCCAGCCAAAGACAGGTCGCAAGCTCCTCACGATCCCCAGCTCAGAATGGGGCATTACCCGCGCCGGCCCTCCCGTCCTGGCGGTCACTAGGTGCTCCTAGAGTGCAAATGGAAGGCAGACAAGACCATTAGAGACAACTTGAAGTCAGAAGAGAAGGCTAGATTTGCAGATCTGCAGGCAGCTGATCTGTGGATATCCGAGGGGCCTTGAGTTGTTTAGGTACCTTAGGGAGGTAAGGTACGTACAATAAATACATGTAGTACCCGGCCTTAAACTCGAGGTTTTGGCTTCCCGAGCTCGACCCGGAATCCAAAGCGCCAAACAGAATCTCGACATACTTCCGCTCGAGTTGCTCCGTAAGAAGGTCACGGTCACTAGTGCAGGCTGGACAGCTGGAAAGATGCAGCTGACCCAGATCGGCATCCGTCTTCAATAATGAGCGCCACCAACTTCCGCAATCTCAGTCCTATCGCAACAGGTAACGACTCCGGAGCTACCTTGTCAAGGACTCGAGTTCTTCAGAAATATAATAATAAGAGCCTGAGGCTTACTGCCTCCCTGTCCGTCTATCTACTAAGTACGTACATGATTCACAACAGATATGGAGGTACCTGGCCTACTAGACTAGAAGCCCTTGAAGTCGACAAGGCTGTAATTACAGCAAACCACCTCAATCAACCCGACCTCATCCATCTCGAGTCTCGAGGCTGTAACGTGTGTTGTGTCAAGCAAAGGATGCAGACACGCACGCGATATACCTATTTTACATGGTTCTCAAAAAGACACCACGGTATGATGGGTCGCAACCATAGTACTAAGTACTCCCCGTAGGTAATTTCGGCAATCTCAGCCAACAACGTGAAGCCTAGGGTTGTCAAGGTAGTATTGACGGAGGTATTACTTTCAAAGGCGTCCGCGCAAATGTCAACCCCCCACGCAACATTCACTGCTAATAACGCGTCAACATTTGAGCACACTAGCAGTATATTAGTCTTTTTCAAATACCGTTGTAAAGCGCTTTAAAATGAGCATTCTGCACATTCGCCGTCATTCGAAAGTGCCCGTCCAGCAGACATGCAAAATGACCTGTCACAAAACTACCACAATCTCGTCGTGCACACCGCAGCAATGTCAAACGCGGCATTAAGCCAAACCTCATCCAACCATATCCAATCGCTCAAGTAAGGTAGTCGTAACTTACTGGACCAGGCACCTTCAGCGTAAGTCAGGTAGCCTGTACTCGGTATGGCAGGTAAGGCAAGTACCATGGGCCCGTGGGCATGTTACGCCGAGTCGCGTTCTCTTACCCCACACTTGGAAACGGCAAGAAACGGGTGGCCCCCGGTCTTGCCACTTCAACCCGGACTTTCAATAAATCAGCTAGACCTGGCACCCCGATGCGACACCACCACACCATCCTGTCGGACCTCTCTGTCTCGAAGACTCATCTTGAGAGCAGCCAGCGCCTGGCCTCGAACGATCTGTCAACGGGCTTAAAGTAAACGGGGAAGCAGTTGTGGTAACACCCGCGGGGAAATTGGGGAGCAGGCAAATCCCCGACCTGGTGGTTCGGTTTGCCAAATTAGGGAACCTTCTCTAATCTCAGAACGGCCTTGGCTTTGCGAAGCGTGTCGTTTTGCCCCTCATGATCACGCGTATATTCTACCAGTAAGATATCTACAACTACAGACTTTGGAGGGCTCAAGCAAACTCATGCGTCACAGGTCCAGAGACAACGCAGTGTGTAGTCATGTTCGGACATGTGCGGAAGAGGGGTGACAACAACAGCGGTATAAATCTTCGTCCCAAGTTGGCGGCCGCCCAGCCACTTTTGAGCATTCCGACTTGAGATGTCTTTCTTGGAAAAAGTGTGGCTTTTGGGCTGATCCTGTCGCTGTGGGGTCTCGGGCGATTTCGGTACCCTTCGGGATGCTTTCCAGTCTCCCTACCAATTGATACCCAGCAGTCATGTATGTGCAGCATCGTAGTCACGGCCCAGAATGAGCGTAGCTGTCCGGCAATCTAGTGCCGTAGCCTGCCTCTCAACAGGCCCTCTACATTGAAGGCATGGCTAGGTAGCAGGGCACTAAGAGGCCTTAGAGTTCGCCGCCAACCTCCGGTGCCGCTCCTTTTACGTCAAATGCTGCTTGAAACCAAGGGCTGGCACCTTCAAGTACGACTAGGTAGTCATTGAGGCAGGCGAGTGGCTTCTTAGCTTTGATGGCGCGGTTTAGTTTGTTTGGGTCTTTCTCCTCACGGCACGGGACGCATGGCGTTGACCTTGGCAGGTTTATCAGTTTCAAACTGGTAAAATAAAATGGAACTCCCAATGAAATGACAAGACGTATCTGACAATGTTGGCATGCACATACAATCATCTGCAGCTTTCTACTACCTGGTGCGATGACATATCCAAAGATACCTTGTATCGCACGGCTGTCTCTCTTCATAGGGCATTGAACGGACTCATCGGTTTGACCACTTCGCTTGGCGAAGGCCGACTGTCTGTGGAGATATTATACTATCATTCCTGCAGGGAGAACTGTTCGTCCCATCAGCCTCCTGAACACGAGACGGCGGCGTTGCCACGGCTGCTATGACCTCAAGCAATTATAAAAAGACCACTCCTGTCTGTCTCACCGAACGACCAATGAAGACATGCTATCACACAGATCAGCCAATGGCGTCAGGTTATCTTGTTGCCCTTCTGAATGGATGCCTGAATGTCTCCAGGCCTAGCCCGAAAAGCAGCAAGCCATGTTCTGGAACTCGGGGCCGAAATACCCTCCTCGCCCAGTCTTGCCCCAAGGAGGAGCTCTCTTTCATGAGAGAGACTGGCTGCGTCTCGCCCGCCCACCTTTTCTTTGCACCGCAGTCCTCTCCGCCTCGGGAAGCATGGTCTCATCAGCAGCGGCCAGACAACTCGTACGAGATGCCCCCCAGTTCGGAGACATTACACTAAAGGGAACCATGACGCACATTTGAGAAAACAGTTGTCGAACCCTGTCTAGCTAGCATTCTGGGAGCTCAGCAATTACAAATTCAGTCTGCTTGAGAGCGATTGGCCCCTCTCCCTCCCATTTCGCCAGCCCAAACAACCACCGTGGGCCAGTGATGCGACCGCTGAGGCCTGTCACACCGGTCTCTGTTCCTCGTCCGCGGCGTTTATTCATGCGCAACCATGAACACAAGGCAGAACCTCCCTTCTCAATCTGTCTTCGTTTGCATGTCACGTCACCTTTGAACTGCCAATGAACGTAGGTCTCAGAAAGTAACGGTTGTTCTTTCGGGGAGATTTCATGATCTGTCACAATCATCAAAAGCCCGTGGTAGCATATGGTGGGTGCCTTGAGCGAAAGATTATGTTCTAGTTGCTTAATTGATTTGCGGTCCGGTGAAGGGCTGACATCTATGGCTTGGCCCTGGTAGTTAATATGTCAGTACACCGAACAAACAGGTGGGTGTGCAGAAACCTGAGCCCAAGACGGTAGAGGCTTACTTGGAGACCTGGAGACGGCCGAGAATGTTATGATCATTATGCTGAAAACCCAACTTGGCCATCTTTTCCCTGCTACGAAGGGATGTACTGTTCGACGGGGGGTAGTCAGTGGTGGCACGCGGCCACCGATGCCATGCCATGATTTAGTCATGACTTTCTACAAGACTGGAGCATCTACCCTGTATAGCTAGGGGTAAGGGGTCCGCCTTATCACAATCCCAAGGAGTTTGGGGTTCGTCGTTCGTCGTTTCGGCGGACTAGGCGTCATCGGACAAGGTGAGGTTCTCCGAATGTATGAGTTTTGAACAGCCCACTGCATGTCACCGAGACAACTACGATCTACCGCGGCTCCGGGCGTGGGCAGCGTGTCGTGTTTTGTGCTCTTTCCTATCCTTTTCATTCAAAGGGTTGTATAGAATACCGCAGTCCTTACAAACCGTGAACCCCGGGTCAGGGTTTACGGAGAGGCTCAGAGTTGTTTGCACCATGTCTTTGGCACAACGCTTTCGCGATCGATCTGTGATTCCCAGCGGACGTTTTGTCATCATCCCCGACATTGCGACCTGGCCAGCAACAGTTGCGGTCAGCTCGTCCAACACACGTGAACCTTGGCCGCAAGAATCCTGCGTCTCCTGCGGGGTATTTTTGTTGATGGGCAGCGTGTCGTCATCGCTGTGCTCGTTTATGCCAGTTTGGTAGCTCCGTTCATTGCTGCAATCCACAGCTGTCCCACAACCGGTATCCATCTTGCCGCGATCCTCCGCACCAAACTGGGGTCGAGTAGTCAGCCTTCTTCGTTTCCTCGGCTCTCGAATAGGTAAGGGATGCGGTAGTGATGGTAGCGTCGATGCTGATTCAATGCCATCTGGAATCGTGGCTGTGGTTATGTCGTTCGGTCTCGGGGGGACGACGGGCTTGAAATACGATAAGATCGATCCGCGTTTGCGCGTCTCGGGCTCGGGAATTTTGGCAGATGGTTCCAAGAGCGCATCACCAGGGTCTGGCACAGTCACATCTTCCTTTTGCCCGCTCGTGATGGGCTGATGGAGAGCCCGTCCTGAAGCAAGACGGCGGCTATAGGTTCGCAAAGGTCGTTTAAGCTCGTGTGAAGGGATCGACTCCAGCCGCAGAGTAGTTTCGGCCAGACAGTTGCCTGCACCGCCAGGTGGACTCGGGCAGACTGCAGGTAATGATGTCGGTCTTGTTGCAGCCGACTGGTCTGTCGGCATCTTTCGCCCTCTCACGGGCGGGCCGCTGCCAGGCGAGAGAGTGATGGACGTATTTCCAGATCAAGGCGAATTCGGCCAAGAAGAAGCCTTGGCGTGCCCAAACAACCGAGATGTTAAGGCTTGATGATGTCGAAGTTCCTAGCAAGTCTTACTTAGGAAGAAGCTGAAGTCGATTGAGGTCGATTTGTCGAGTCGGCATGTAGAAGCCGCCTTTGCGGGGCTCAAATCCCTGCTCGAAAAGTCGTGTTGTGGACTAGGCGACGCGACGCGACGCGAAATTGGAGAAGATCCAAGTGTGTTCAATGAGTTGCGGTGGTTGTACCGCGCTGCGGGGTAGTTCCCGCGATTCAAACATGCCCGCCGCCTGTACCTCTTCATATCCCTGCAACCGCAGTATCAAAAACAACGGAGGATACGGATGAAGCAAAATAAGGATAAGAATAAAAAAAAGAGAGAGCCCTCACATGAATTTCGTACAAATACCATCAATCGTGCACGTGAGTTCTCTCCTTTCGTCTCCGCAAGTTTAACTCCTCTGACGGGACCTTCTCCTTCGCAATGGCAAACTCGCTCTCGCCATCCTTCTCGGTGCCGACAACCCATGTTTGCACTACCTCCTTGACTTCACGTAAGGTCTTGTCCTTCTTTTTAGCCTCACCGAGATTCCATATGTATCCTGAGTACACAACAACCTCGGCGATCCCAACCAATATGCTTCCACCTATCGTTAAAAAGAGCCTAGCCGGCGTGCTCCACCACCTGGCTAAAATCCAGAGCGTGGCGGCAACCCCCAGGATGCTCACTATAAAGTTGAGCATGAGCATCAGCTGGCGGTGCACATCATTAAACGTGACGTCGTCATCGCCAATGTCTGCCTCCTGGCCTGGTCGGTTGACCTCGGCAAAGGCGTGTATCATGCCAGCGCCGCCGGACCCGCGCTGAGAAAAAGATTCCAGCGGCGACGCTGTATTCATCATGCGTCCGTAGATGCGCTGTTCCTCATCGCGGCGGAGACGAGCCATCAAAGCTTTGTATTCGTTCGACTTTGTAACGTCAGCCCCTGAAAAAAGGTGGCACGTAGTTGGTGTGAACTTACTGGCTCGGGTTTCGGCGGCGGCGGAGGATCGTAGACTTTGGCGCCATTTAATAACCTTTCAAGGCTGTATTCGTTGCTTCCAGCATCTCTGAGGGATGCCCATAGATCGACGATTTGGCTGTGTGAAATGGGATTGCCAATGCTGGAGCCGTCGAGTGAAGGCTCATTCTCGCGCTGCAACAACTTTTCTTTATGTGTAGAAGCCAACTGACTCCACACAGACAGGCCTTCCACAATGGAAGAAGTCATTGTGAGAAGCACCATGTTGCAAGAACAAGTATCGAAAAGGCTCAGTGACAAAGTCTCCGGGAGTAAAGGGAAGTTGCAGACGGCAGTGCGATGGTTCATAGGAGCTAAAATACCACAAGGACCCGAGTTAGAACGGAGTACGTACTTGGTTGGGTCATCAATGGAGAACTTCCCGGGCTAAGTGCAGTGCTTTGGTCCGAGAGCAAGGATCAGCTAGGGAGCCTGGGAGCTTTCTTCCCGCCGTAGTGTAACAGCGCCAAGGAATATAACATCAGCTAAGTATCCGTATTAGGCTAGCTCAATTCTGCCGGTCTGGCGCGAACGCCCCATGGAGGAAAGATATCCGTATTTCCGTCCCATATAATCGAGAAAGGAAGTTTTCGGGATTTCTAAATCACTGTTGCACGGTTCAACCGCCAGCACCCGACCCGATCGACGTCGGCAGGTCCAGTCTCTCAAAACCTTCTCAGATGCCCCGAAAGACCTCAACCTGACCCCTGGCAGTCAATTGGCCATTTTTTTTCAATAGACGGACGAAAACATGCAGCTCCAGACGGGAGCTTCAACGGTCGTGCGCCACGCAGCAGCAGCTAGACGAGCTCCTCGGCTCAGTTCGTTGTCCAGATGCTCACCCTCAGAACCCCCCAGAACAACGTATCTCATCCCCGGCGTCAGCATCCCCCACCGAAAAACACTCCACCATTCGGCGAGGAGGAGATCGTCGGCCTGGGCTGCCGCTGTCTCTGTAGCGGGAAATGTAGTGACCAACGCAATATCCCGCGCTACCAAGGGCGACTTGCCCTCGGTCGACCCGCTCCGCATCGTGGCCAAGGAGATGAAGTTTCTGACGGGCAACATCAGGAAGCTTCTCGGCTCTGGCCACCCTTCCCTTGATCGCGCAGCAAAGTATTACACGCAGGCAGAGGGAAAACACGTCCGACCGTTAATAGTCCTTCTCATGTCGCAAGCCACGTCGCTCTGCCCCAAAACGCCTCAACGGCAGCACTCAACAACCCTGCAAGCCACGGCCGCTATCGACTCGTCGATTTCTCCCCTTTCAATACTGTCCGACTTCAACCCATCTGCGGGCGCCGATAATGAGCCCGCCTCGACCGACCGCGATATCCTGCCCTCCCAGCGGCGACTTGCTGAGATCACAGAGCTGATCCACACGGCCTCTCTGTTGCACGACGATGTCATAGATCACTCCGTGTCACGCCGTGGGTCGCCGTCGGCGAATCTCGAGTTTGGGAACAAAATGGCGGTTCTGGCAGGTGATTTCCTGCTTGGTCGAGCGTCCGTCGCCCTCGCTCGCTTGCGTCATGCTGAGGTTGTCGAACTCTTGGCTACCGTTATCGCCAACCTTGTCGAGGGCGAGTTTATGCAGCTGAAGAACACGGCACGCGACGAGGCAAACCCGCGGTGGTCCGAAGACGCACTCACATATTACCTCCAGAAGACGTACCTGAAAACGGCGTCACTCATTAGCAAGAGTTGCCGTGCCGCGGCGTTACTGGGCGGTTCAGATGCCCAGACAGTTGATGCGGCATACAGTTATGGTAAGAACCTTGGGCTCGCTTTTCAGCTTGTGGACGACATGCTCGACTACACTAGGAGCGAGCGGGAGCTAGGCAAGCCTGCCGGGGCTGATTTGGAGCTCGGGTTGGCAACAGCGCCGCTTCTTTTTGCGTGGAAGACAATGCCGGAGCTTGGCGCTCTAGTTGGGAGGAAGTTTGCGAAGGATGGCGACGTCACCAGGGTGATTCTCTGCACTGTCTTTAATATCGTTGGTAATACTGCTAACAGAAATCGCCAGGCCCGAGACCTGGTCATGCAAAGCGACGGCATTAAGCAGACAAGGGCCCTTGCCGAAGACTATGCAGAGCAGGCGATTGCTGCCATTCGCCCATTCCCAGACAGCGAGGCCAAGAACGGCTTAATAGAGATGGCTGTCAAGACATTAAAACGGCAAAAATAAAGAGTATGCTCCAGTCTAAATAGAGCATCTGTACTAACAAGAGAGACATCCAAATTTTAACGAGCCTGTTGCATACGGGAAAATAAAACATAGACGGACAGCCTTGCGGCTGATGTACAAAAAGAGAAGGACCCGGCATACCCAGATGTATATTTTTTTCTTTGTCTTGTTTTGCTTGTTGGGTACGTTCCATATGCACATCCGGTGCAACGAGGGCAACGACGCAATGTCACGGCCAAAACTCAGCTCAATGAACTGATTGCCAGTGGGAGTCGCGTGAACGCAAATCACATCTCGCCATACACCAAACGTCAGACTGCGGATGATGTGGAAATGCTACGCCGGCCGAGCGCCCGTCGCTGAATTTCTATGTTGTGCTGGCAACTCGATAGGCGTACAGCAATATAGCCATATAACATCGAGGTGCGCTCCTATAACCGCCAGTTTCGAGTTCATAACTCGGATCTCTAGGTGGCTCGGTCTGGCTACTTTCCCGGATAAATAGACAGAGATTTGTCCGTGCTGGACAGGACCGGAGCAGTAACCCCCCTCTCTACGGAGGATGGCCGCTTGTCCTCGTTTCCATTTCCCCTCCTGCCTTGTCTTTTTGCTAATGGCCTGTGTTCTGGCCTGGTTGTGATATCGGCGATGAGGGTGTGCTACCTGACTTTGTTGGCGACATGAAATTTCAAGGCTTGTTTCTCTGTGCTTCGGCGTTTACGGAGGGGATTATCGGCGCCTCGCCGTCTCTGGCAACCTCGAAAGCCGCGGCGGCGTCCCTGGCAACGAAGACAAGAATATGGTCAACGACAGAGAGCTCCGTTACGTACTACCAGTTCATCAATCCTCGCAAGATTACGCTTATTACCACCAAGACAGTCACATCATACGAACCGCCTGTCGCCACATTGCCCACGACGGTCACCGAAATGGTTGTCTCTCACGTTACTTGGGAGGACCGCATATCGTACTCCGACGGCGAGAGAAGCACGTCCATCACGTCCTTTGTGGCTACAGTCCCCGAGACTTGGGCCATTGCCAAGCCACAGCCCACCGACCTGCCTTCCGGCACCGGCGCTGGTGCAGCAGAACTCCAATGCAGCGAGGAGCTCAATCCAGGCAGGCCAGAAGCAGCAGCAGACTCGCTATGTACAGCGCATGGGCTCAAAACAGGATGTCAGGGACAATGTGCACTGCGTGACAACAGCTGGTGGTGTTTTGAGATGCACGAAAGGGACTACACAAACGCTGCCTTGCGTATGGGCCGCGCATGCTGGGGCGGCAACCTCGAGTTCCGACAGCTAAACAAACCCTGCGTCGTTGGTGATGTCGGGATGGCCTGCGTGCCTGGCCAGGGGCTCAACACGTCTTGGGGGGCAGTTAACTGGGAAGGCCCAGAGGCCGCTGGGTGACACGGCGAGGTTTAACAACACGTATCTGTAGTACCTGACGATGTTTCCATTCAATACATGATGCAACCAATGCAAGCGGGGTTGCTTCTTGAGTGGGGTTTTCACTTCCCTTCCCCCCCCCCCCCCCTCCTTCCAAGGTGCTCCAATGGAGCTCTACCGGAACTACTACAGTCGTAAGAGTAGAACACCGCAGTGAGGACACCAACACCATATATCACGACGATTAATTACCATGGCCCGCCAGTCTCTCCAGATTGAGCTCGCAGAGCGCCCCAAGGGCAGCATCGTCCCCGGCCAGACCTTTCGGCAGAGGACGGTAGCCGCACCAACGGAAGCAGACCTGAAGGATGGCCAGCTGCTTCTCGAGAGCCTCTACCTGTCTCTCGATCCGGCAATGCGTGGTTGGCTAAACGACCGCCGCTCCTACGTGCCCCCCGTGGGCATCGGAGAGGTAATGCGTGGCAATGCCATCTCCCGAGTCATTGCCTCCAAGTCGGCAAAAGCCCGAGCCGGCGACATCGTCGTGGCCACCATTGGCTTTCGGGAAGTGGCCATCTTGCCCGAAACCCTTGTTGAGCCCCCGTTTCCATTACCACCCAACGGCAAGCTCACGGATCTGCTGGGCGTGCTGGGCCCTACCGGCCTGACGGCTTATTTCGGTATGACCCGGATCGGACAGCCCAAGCCCGGGGATTCGGTTGTTGTTTCGGCCGCCGCGGGCGCTACAGGCAGTGTCGCCGCCCAGATCGCCAAGATCTCGGGTGCCCGCGTCGTGGGCACGGTAGGCAGCGACGAGAAGGTCCGGTGGTTGAAGGAGGAGCTAGGGCTCGACGAGGCTCTAAACTACAAGGACCCCGACTTCAAGACCAAGTTCAAGGAGGCCACCCCGGGATATATCGATGTTTTCTTCGACAACGGCAGGTTCCCCTGCCATATTCAAGCCCCTATGTCATCTGCGTTGTTAATCTGATGCCAAGGGTGGCTTTGACATTGTAGTGGGCGGCGAGCAGCTGGATATGGCCCTTGGCCGCGCTAAGAAGAACGCTCGCTTCGTCATGTGCGGTGGCATCAGTGGGTACAATGCAGAATCGCCATATGGTCTCAAGGCGAGTTATTCGCAAATTGTCCAGTATATCTGAGCGGGCACGTTAGCTAACAGTGAGCGACCAACCGCGACAGAACATCTCCTCCATCATCGCTCAAAGGATCAGGTGCGTAACGAGCTCGGCAACTTCTCCCCCCAGCTCTTGCCCCCCAAGGGTGAGCACCATATTAGTCTAACACAGAAACTACAGAATGGAAGGCTTCATTGTGTTTGACTACATTCCCGAATACCCAGCCGCACGGCAGCAGCTTGCGCAGTGGTTAGGGGAGGGTAAGATTCAGAGGAAGGGAACCGTCGTCCCGGGCGGCCTAGCTGTCGCCGAAGGTGCTCTATCTCGTCTATTCCAAGGCGCCAACACAGGCAAGTGCTCCGAACTAGTTAGAAGAGGAACGGAGCCATCTAACTTTGGCCCAGGGAAGCTCCTCGTCGAAGTCAAAAGTCCGGACGAGGTCTCGAAACTGTAGCCGTTATGTTCTAGCCTTTTCCCCTCGTCCGCCATGAACAAGGCGTCTACTATTAAGCTAGGCAGATGTCCAGCCGAGACGAAGAGACAGATGCCGAGAATAGGGGCTGTGTGTTGGCTGAGACGGCAAGCTCTGGGATTACACGCTCGAAACTCACAAAGTGATTGTAAATGACAGCAAGAGAAGCACCACGACACCATCAGGGTTGTAAATAGATGTGAACCATTTTCGTCTTTTTTTCCTAACTTCCTAGCTAAAGGAAATTGGGAGTAACTGTCAAAATAGAAACCGATGCGAGCATCTGCTTCGGCTCCCATCTTCTCTTCGGTAAAAATAAGAGTGTAGACCTAGTCTACTACTCGAGATAAAAAAGAAAAAGGCTAAACTAAACCCTAGCCTGTAGAAATGATAGAGTTGAGTAGTGCGTAGGGTTGACTAATAATGAATAGGTGGATGTCTTGTATAGATACCCTGCCCCCCAAACATAGGAAACAACTGTGTAAAAAAGGGGACGCTAGGTAACGGAAATGAAGAAAGGAGTCTTTCTACGACAAGGGCGAGGCGTCGAGAAAAGAAAGCGGAGAAAACGAAACGAAAAAAAGGCCGGCGGGGGTGGTCGACTCGACTGAGTCGACTCGGCTGCCGTCAAACGCGACGGGAGCAGGCTCGGCAGGAAAAAAGGGGGTTGGTTAAAGAAAAAAAAAACCTCGCCCGGATTAAATCTGGGCCGGCTTCTCGTCCTCGGGGTTCGCAAAGGTCGCGCTCGAGACCTTGGGCTTCTTCCATGCTGGGATCTTCCGGCGCGTCGTCTTCATTCCCTGACGCCGCTTGCGCGTCGGGCTGTCGTCGAAGTTCGATGGGTACGGGACCCAGGTGCTCGGCACCGGTTGTGCTGGCATCGACAGCGCGAAGGTGCCCGCCACTCGCGGGCTGCCAGAGGGGGAGAACCCCGAGTGCGACGCCGGCCTGGCGCTTACTACCAGCGAGGGGGAGGAGGCGGGGGCGCTCGTGGGCTCCGTCTGGTTGTTGCTGTTGCTGTTGCTGTTGCTATTGCTGTTGCTGTTGTTGCTGCTGCTGCTGCTGCAGCTCTGATTGGCAGCTAGCGGCGATCTCTGGTGCTCACCGGCGCTCTTCCGGCCGCCCTGGGCCTCGTGCCCTGGCGCGGCGCCGATGGTGTGGCCCCACCCTGGGGTGTCCGAGCCGACCTGCTGCTGGGCCGAGACCTGGAATTTGGGGTTGTGCTGCTCGTGGACGAGCTCGCAGCGGACCTCGGTGCCGTCCTTGACCAGCGAGTAGGCCGAGGCGTCGACCTCGACCTTGACGACGGTGCCCGAGGCAAGGCGGTACTCCATACACGGGTGGAATTTGATGCCCGCGTCGATGTCGTAGATTTGGCGAGCCTGAGTGAGGAGCTCGCCGTACGTGTCGGGCCGCGCAATAACGCGGCGGCGAGCGCCGAAGGCCAGGACGATGCAGTCCATCTTAAGCTCAATTATATCTCTTTAGCGTTTATGTGTTCTGAGGCGTCGTATACTTTTGCGTCTAGCCTCAGGCGGGCGGTATCCCGATTCAGAAGAGTATTGAGAGGGGAGATAAGTGGGAGATCATGCCGGGGTCGGTTGTGAGGGAATGATGAAATTGCGTGCGGAATTTGTGGGTAGAAATCCACGGCAGATAGTCAGTCAGGATGAGTTCAGGGTTGGCGGTCGGGGCTGCTCATGTGTAAGGTAGTGTTTAAAAGCCTCCAAGGCTGTGGCGTTTGTGAGGCGCAGGAAGATATTCAAGTTGAGATGCGACGATGACTTATATCCTTACTTCGTTGATGGGCGCTAGGGTGGTTTGCTTTGTGAAGTTGTCAGTGGTCAAGCTTCTGAGATAGTCCTGAACAGGCGAAACGCCGCTTCGTCCGGAGGAAAGAGTGGCGTATCGGATGGAAAGAAACATACTATTCCTGGAAAATGATGGGCCTCCGACGGCCAGTTCGTCTCTTCGAGATGTGTTCTTGTGCTGGAGAAGTGAGCCGGTGATGTTCGTGGATAAAAGTTTAGGTTAAAGAGCAGAACTGAGATGTAGAAATAGGAAAGAGGGTTTTATGCTCAGTCTGAACGATAGTCAGGTAGGAACCTAGACTTATATTTGCGAGCTGGCCGGAATAATGTGGAATTGAGAAAAATGGGAGGTAAGTCTACCAAAATGTGAATGCCTTGATAAGTCAAGACGGCCTTTGAAGAGGAATAGCGAACATATTATGTTGAAGACACATCCATGTCAGGCTCATGCTGGCCGTATCAAACATCGATAGGAGGTTTAAAGACCTTCATCAGACATGGATTTCCTAGATGTTTTGTTGGTAAGGGCGTATTAACCAAGAGACGAGCGGATCCTCTCCTTGATTACCCGAATGAACTGGGTGACTCTTTTTCTCCTTTTCAGCTGCCTTAGATACCTCTTTCTCTTTCTCCTCGGCTTTCATATCCTCGACTCTCTTCAAATCTGCGGCTTGTTTCTCCTCGAGCTTACGCTTCTCTGCTAGTGCCATAGATTGCTCCTTGGCAAGCTGCTCATTGGTCTTCTTCAAACATGCGGCAATCTTCCTCTCATGCGCCTCGATATTGCGCGCTATGGCCTTCTCTTCGTGATTGAGGACGTGTTTCTTGAATTGGGTGATATCGTACTCCTTGATCCAGGTCACCCTCAGCTTGCGAGCATTACGGAGTTGTTTCTTCTGGTCTTGCATAGGCAAGCCTATTATCTAGAACTGTGCCTAGTATCTGTAAAACTGGCGGTCCGGGTCGCAAATCTGATCCCTGTCGCCTACCATCGCCTGGCAGCACGACTATTCTACTATGTTCGAATCTTCAGACTCCTCTCCTGGCCCATGGGAGCCCCGCTGGAAGTGTCTGCTCCTCGGGACTGAGGTCAATAACGGTTGTGGTAGCTCTATTCCTTGGAGTAAAAGTCTTTTATGTGCCCATTCATTTTAGTGTGTGTGTTGTATCTAATTGTGGAAGTCGCTCCTCGAGTAAACAAAAGCAAACAAAAGTTTTGTATCGGTGCTTGCGCAGCAAGTCTAGAAAAAAGTTCATCTCAGCTAGGTGGCGAGTGATAGTGTGCGGCGACTAAGGAGCTGACCAGCGGCCCGTTGATCAAAACAACTTGGAACCTTAGGAAGTATCCAACTCAGGAGACAGACATTCCTCATCTGAACCCAGGTAGGTACCCCGGACAGGAATCCCAGGTACCTTGGCTAGAAAATTCACTTCGACAGCCAAGTGTAGAGGCACATGTCATACGTTGACCGATTACGGCGAGAACCGTGCCGACGCTGGGTGGGCGTGGCTGAGTCCCTGCTATTTGCCGGCCCTGTGAAGGGCGAGCCGACAATATATTGCGTAACGAGGCTCGGCCTAGCTTGCTCGATGGACGGTGAGCCGATTTTTACTCGATAATTACTCGATGGTTACTCGATAGAAACTCGAGTAGTAAAGCAACACACAATCAAGCAACCACCGAAAGCGGATGCGCCGAGCTAGGATGGACGATCTAATTGGAAGCTCTGCGCTTGTTGGCTAGGTCATCCCCAGTGGGCTTGCCTAAAAAAGAAAAGTACAGGGGCCCTGGCCACTATGAGGCTCGTGCTTGCACCGGACTAAAAACGACGCATCGATCTGCCTCGATCCCACCTCCTGCGTACTGCATAGCGTGAACAGACGGAAACAGATAAACTTTAAAATACAGCCAATCAGCCAATCTCGATAAGACTTGCTCGGGAGCGCAGGGTCTTCCTCGCTCTCGTGTCGGCTGTCATTCCTTGGGTCTTGGCATTCATCCGATAACCAGGACCGTAGGCGACAGACTCTGACGCAGAAGTGTGAATCTCCTCTGCCACCCAATTGCCTGGACGGACAGATTAGAACCAGTGCGCACACCTCCACGCATGCCGGGGGACATGACAAGGTGTCTGGGGTAATGGTAGCGTGGGAGCAAGCCCGTGAGGCGTGCAACGGCCGCATCAGCCAACTTTCTGTCCCATTCCGGACTTCCAGGCCCTCCCTCGCTCATACGAGAAGCGAACGGAGGTAAGGTTCACCATGTTTTGGTAGGGAGGTAGGCTTTTGAGTAAGCAGCCGCGGCTACTATACTACTGTGTATTTTACTTGTTTATAACCTAGGTTCATTGCACTTTCTCTTCCCTTCTGCTGTATCCATTTCTCTTGTCCCGGGAGGTCGCGTCTTTGTTGGCCGTTCAAACACACGACCTGAGTTTCGTCCCACCGCATTCCCGGCCTTATCAGAGCCCCGGCCCGCACACCCCGCGACTTGCGATAAGCCCCCATCTCTTTATATCTGCTCGTAAGCGGGTTTCGAGGACCTGGCCGAGACTCATCCCGCGAACACCCGGCCGGCCCTGAAGCTGTCCGTACTTTAAGCCACCGCTGCCCTGCTCACCTGCTCACCTGCTGTTCTGTGCACTCTGTGTTCTTGCCCGGCCGTACATACCATTCCTGCTTGACCTGCCCCTGGCTCTCTCGCGTCTTACCGCCGCTGGCTCTTGGTCTCCATCTCTTTTCATATCGTCAAAGACATGGCCGCATCCACACTGCTTCCCGCCTCCAGCGCTGGGCCCCTCGTGGTCCTGGTCTCGACGAGGGCCATTATCACACTCCCAGACGACTCGCTGCTCCTGACGCCGGCTACCATCTCCGTGTCGCCCATCACGGGCAAGATAGTGTCGGTAGTTCCCAGCGTATTACCCCGGACCTTTTTTCCGCCTTCGACCACATACGTAGACCACTCCCCGAAGCTACTGCTCCCTGGCCTGGTTGATGCCCACGTCCATCTCAACGAGCCGGGCCGCACGGAATGGGAAGGCTTCAATACCGGAACCAGGGCCGCTGCCTCGGGCGGCGTCACTACCGTCGTCGACATGCCGCTGAACGCCATCCCCCCCACAACCACGGTCGACGGCTTCAGAGCCAAGCTTGCCGCGAGCCAAGGCCAGTGCTGGGTAGATGTCGGCTTCTATGGGGGCGTAATCCCCGGAAATGCCCATGAACTGCTGCCCCTTGTCGAGGCCGGAGTCCGCGGCTTCAAAGGCTTCCTCATAGATTCGGGGGTGAGTGTCGCGCGGTGTGTCCTTGGCTACCGCTCTGACAGTCGGCTAACATCCCGCCCCAAGGTTGACGAGTTTCCTGCCGTGTCCTCAACGGACATCTCGCTGGCAATGACGACTCTCAAGGATACGCCCACAACATTAATGTTCCACGCCGAGATGATCCCCCCAATCTCCGACTCTGTTGGCGACTCGGTCCAAAGCTCCTTTCCTCCTCTGGCACCCCACGGTGAGCTGGCCAGCTACAACACCTTCTTGGAGTCGCGTCCGCCAGCATTTGAGACATATGCCGTCGAGGAGATCCTGGCGCTTGCGGTGCTCGCGCCTCAGCTCCATCTCCATATTGTCCATCTGTCTGCCATAGAGTGTCTGCCGATCCTGCGGAAAGCTCGAGAGAGAGGCATCAATATCACGGCCGAGACATGCTTCCACTACCTGGGCTTCGCCTCCGATAGCATTGAGGATGGCGATACGCGACACAAGTGCTGCCCGCCAATCCGGTCACAGACAAACCAGGACCGACTGTGGGAAGAACTAGTCGCCGACGACAGTTGCATTAGAACTATTGTCTCGGATCACTCGCCGTGTACGCCCGAACTCAAGCTATTGCCGGCTCACCTCGAGCAAGTGCAGCACGTGGACGAGCACCGGACGGCCATGCGCCATTCCGACTCCGGCATTGACATGACCTTGCCCAGGGACGACGCCACAAATGCTTTGCCGGCTTTCACGAGCAAGGGTCGAGGCGACTTCTTTGCGGCGTGGGGTGGCGTGTCTTCAGTCGGCCTCGGGCTGCCCATCTTGTACACTACCGCTGCTGAACGCTCAGGCCAGGGTGACAAGGTGCCATCCATTGTCGACATAGTCCGCATGTGCTCCCAGGCCACGGCAAAGCAGGTGGGACTGTCGCATAGCAAGGGTGCACTCAGAGTGGGCATGGACGCTGATATTTGCGTGTTTGACGACGCCGATGAGTGGACGTTGCGTGCGCACGACATGCGCTGGAAGAACAGGTGCTCGCCTTGGGAGGGGCATACCTTCAGAGGGAGAGTCCACGAGACGTGGCTGAGGGGCCAGAACGTTTTCCGGTTGGGCGGCGCAAACGATGGCTTCATCGGCGGGAAACCGGTAGGCAGAGCCATTGTGGAAAAGAGGGCAGGGTAAAGCGTATCGGAATACCTCTTACCCTCTCGCCTTTATGGGCAGAAATATGGTTCCTACCTTTGGGAAGGTGGGCGGCTGATCCACACCAGATGACGAATAAGTCTAGATGTGGCAGCATAAGTATGACCGCCCCATTATTACCAGGCATGTGCGGATCATTTCGGGGAACCTCGTCAGTCGGGGGGAAATCTCCTACCAGCCTTTCTGACGGCACCTGTGGTATCTACCTACCTTGGGTCCCTGGGTAGCTTGGCGTTGCTGGGCGGAAAAGGGGCGAGTATGTATTCCTGCGAGAGAAGAAAAAAGTGAGGGGTTGCGGCTCCCTGCCTGGTTTTGGAGTATGGCACAAGACTGGGAACTCGAGACTAGGGAATCGGGAAAGAAACTGAAGATGACTAAAATTCTCCAGAAATGTATTTTGCAGCATAGGAACGATATTGCCTAGAGATTACCTTCAGGGAACCTACCTGACCGCACTTTCTTGCGTAAGGCAAGTTAGTCGGCGGCTAAGGTAGGTCCCTAGTAGGCAGCTCTAGAGCAGAGAAATGAAGTTAGTGAAGAGCATTCCGTTTAAGAGCTGGAAAGTCGAACCTCGTACATCCATCCATCCATGTAGCACATAAATCAAGGCAGAGTGCCCGCCTTCTAATTCCTCTTTGACGTGGCACGTGCACATCTGGTCTTTGGACCTCCGTGGATGGACGTTGGCTTCCGATTGAAGGTAACCAAAGGTAGCAAGAATCTCCGCGAACACCCCTGAATTTTGGCGGCCTCTTCGGGCGGCCAACCTCAACTCTAATTGCCTTGACTGAGCCCAATGCAAATTCCGACTTGGGTGTCTCCTCTCTTGTGATGGTAGCCAACATTCACTCACATCCTAGGTGTCCTGCCAGGACGGGCTGATATATTGATGATGCGACGATGCGATGCATCTCTGCTCAGTTAAGCACCTCTTGTCGCAGTTACGGATACTCCGTACCCTGGTACAATACCATATGCATACCTTGGCTGAGGGCTGGGGCTGCGGCACAAGTACATGCACATGTACGGTACGGAGTACAGACTCAAAATACGGTGTGGATACACCAACCTGGGAAGTTGCGGTTGGTTCCAGATTCCCGTTCGGAGTACCCTACATGAGCTTTCAAGTACATCAAAACTGGAAGGCAACGTCGATATCTAGTTGGGAATGGAGGATCCAAATAGAAAGTCGCCCATCCGTTGACTCCCTGGTGTCTGCTCACCCTAGGCTATTAATTACAGTGCTGCCCTCAAAATCTTAGATGGGATGAAGCTGACATACCCGGCTGGAGGTTATGGGCCTTTAGAGGCCTGTAACGGGTTCTTAGGGGACCCGTTTCCCGGGCTGTGCTTCAATCAGGGTAGCGGGGTCGCTGTCCAGGACGGGCTCCAGGACGGGCTCCAGGACTCCAGGACAACAGGCCCGACAGCTCAGCGCTGTAGGCCTGAAATCTTAGGTTGCTCTCTACCGCACCCAGCCTAGCCCCAGCTCCGTTGTCACTGCCTTCCCATCAACACGAATCTCGGGAAATCTGGGAAACGCTCCGCGTCCGTCCTTCGCCAGCCCACCGCAAGACCCTTCATCCCATCGACCGCATATTGCCATCGCGGTGTTTCCCGCTGCAGATTATCTCTGCGGAGCGATGCCGACACCAATTTGCCCTTCCAATTGTTCGCTAGCTCGCGTCTGCTGAATGCCATTGGGTGTTCCCGCCAAGCGCTCGTTGTCGGATCGAGCAAAAGGAGTAGAGCAAGGAGATCTCGCGCAAACCACAACGACCGCAATTAGAGCTACGCTGCTTTCCCCCCCCCCGTCCACAGCGGACAAGGACATCGAACCGATTCCCCCTATTCCAGTATGTGCGCCGCTGTCAGCCGCCTATAACCACGAACATCGCTCATTGAGTAGCCTTTGCCCAAACTCTAGGTGTATTTGATCCCCGAGATGCCCTCTTTCCTGACCGACGAAAATTCGGCAATCTACTCGCAAACCTCGGGCGTCGTGCACTTGGACCCAGCGAGCCGCTACGGCCTCTCCCACGGAAAAGTCAATGGACACATCCCACGCCAGCCACACTCACACACGTCAAGTGAGAGCTTTGACGAGGCCTCGACAAACTCGACTCACACCTCTGACGTGTCTGACACACGGCCGCAGGCAAATGAGGACTGGTCGCAGCCGTTAAGCATGAATACGCTGCAGAATGGAAGTCCAGCCGGAGGCGTGAACGGCGTAAACAGGAAGGCGCTGCCAAACGCCATCTCTACAACCTTGGCAGATCTGACGGTCCCGTTGCCGGTCTCGGCACAAAAGGTGAACGGAGATGGGTCGCCCGCACCGAGCTCTAGGGATGCAGGTCTACGTACCTCCCTTATTTCTAGCCCAGGGGCTTCCATGCCGCACTCGCCGGTCGATATGGACCTGCAGTCGGGAAATAAGGGGGATGCTCGCCCCACTGAGAACGGTGTTCCTCCTTCGTCGGCATCTCCCTCACAGGGGGTTTTTATGGGACTTCCGGCTGTCAGTTCGTCTTCATTGGCTACTGGAACAGTCCCAGACTCGGGTCAGAAGGCCCAGCACGCACCGCACCGATATTCCTCCCCCCCGGTGTTCAACCCTGCCGGGACAAATCCCACTTCTTCTGGTGCCTTGCTACCGCCAGGCGGCGGGCTCAAACATCGTCACACGCTAGAGGTGCCCAAGGCTGCCTCAACTCGTGGCTCGCGCGAGGGCGCAGACACTGGCTTTTCGAGTGGCCGGTTCTCGCCTACCTCCGCTGTTGGGGGTGGACGGAGGCCTTCGCTTAGTTTGGCTAGAAGAAACACGCGATCGATTCATTCGGATATGCCACGCGACGAGGTTGTGCCAGACGAAGATGCCCTGCGGTGGGCAGAGGCGTACAGGCAAAAAAGGGCCAGCAAGCGAAGGAGGAGAGAGATCGAGGATGACGACAGAGTCCTGGTTGGGACGAAGGTGGACGAGACACATGCGAACTGGGTGACTGCCTACAATATGCTCACCGGTATTCGTGTTGCCGTGTCAAGAACCAATGCGAAACTCGATCGCCCGTTGACTGACGTGGATTTTCAAGTCAAGCAGAAGTCCACTTTCGATATGTAAGTCTTTACACACGGCCCTCATTTGTGCGATTCGTACTAACACTCACAAAGTGCTGGAAACGAGCTGGTTCCATCAGCCAAGTATGACTTCAAGTTTAAGGACTACGCTCCCTGGGTCTTCCGCCATCTGCGCGCTCTCTTTCGACTGGATCCGGCAGACTATCTCATGTCACTGACTGGCAAGTATATTCTGTCGGAACTTGGATCTCCGGGAAAGAGCGGAAGCTTTTTCTACTTCTCCCGTGATTACAAGTACATCATCAAGACAATCCACCACGCCGAGCACAAGTTTCTCCGCAAGATATTGAAGAATTATTACCAGCACGTCACTGAAAATCCCAACACTCTTCTCTCCCAGTTCTATGGGCTTCATCGAGTCAAAATGCCTTATGGGAAAAAGATTCACTTTGTTGTCATGAACAACCTATTCCCTCCGCACAGGGACATCCACCAGACGTTCGACCTGAAGGGCTCGACCATTGGCCGAGACTTCAAAGAAGACGACCTAGAGAAGAACCCCAGAGCCACATTGAAAGACTTGAACTGGTTACGGCGGAACCAGCATCTTGAGCTTGGCATCCAGAAGAAGCAACTCTTCCTCAGCCAACTATACCGGGACGTTTCTTTGTTGCAAAAATTGCAGATCATGGATTACTCCCTTTTAATAGGTATTCACGACCTTGAGAGGGGTAACGAAGAGAACCTGCGAGGCAAGACTCTCCGCGTTTTTAATCCAGGGGGGGACGTGCCTGATGATTCAGATCCTCATTCGGTCCTCATGCGAACCCCATCAAAACTGGAAAGCCAACGCAAAGCGAGAGAGTTGCGGCAAATGATCAAGGCTGAGAGACCAGTTCCAATGGGCGAGACAAGTAGCCGGATGCCCGATGAGCTCGGAGAAGGACATAACCGGCCTGGGTTCGTTTTCAACCAAGACGATGGTGGATTCCGAGCTACCCACGAAGACAATCACCCGGGAGACGAAATTTACTACCTGGGAGTAATTGACTGCCTTACTCACGTAAGTCTGTTCGCTAATCGATTCATCATTTACGTTCTAACTGACGGTGTTTGTAGTATGGAATTATCAAGAAATTAGAGCATTTTTGGAAGGGTCTCTCCAGCGATAGTCATCAAATATCTGCTCTCCCACCACACGAATACGGCGAAAGGTTCCTGAACTTCATTTCTGGTATTACTATGTCCCCGGAGGAAGCAACTAGAGCGGCCCAGGAAAAGGATGCGGCGGCAGCGGCAGCGGCAGCAGAAGCAGAGGCGGCGGCGGCGGCGGCGGCGGCGGCGGCGGCGACGTTGGACGACCCACAACCAGCAGGTGGCTGGAGCAATAGTACTCGCCACCGCTCGTCAAACGCTATTCCTCCCGTTCCAAACTACCGGCCTCCTTCGCCTCCTTCACCCCTGTCAGCAAGGATAGCGGTGCCAGACTTGGGAACCGCAGCGGAACGGGCCGAACACGAGACCCGAAAAACGGAGGCTCGTACGACAGAGGACGATATGCCTGAAAGGACACTAAGGACTTTGGCCATTAGTCCTCCGGTCGGCGGCTCAGGATCTTCCAAGCATGGCCACCTTTCCGCTGCCTCGGCAGCTGAACGGAGAGAGTCGGCTCTTGCGAGTCAAGCTACTATTCTGCCAGTCTTGGAGGAGGCTGCAGAAGGTGGCTCGACTGGAGATCGTAGTCGGAATAGCCATGCCAGCAGCGGAGATGACATCAGGCCATTGACACCAGTTAAGGATGGGGTGGAAATAGAGCCAGGATTTGGTCACCCCGTACTCGGAGGACATGTCAACGGTAACAAAGGGCGTCCGCCACCCACTCCGCCCAAGACGGGACATGGGTACAATATACTTCTGAAGCCAGAAAGCGCTGACAGCGGGTACGGGGTCGGCAACGCTGCAGGAAATGGCGCGGGCCTGAGGAGCGCTTCTGGGTCTCAGAAGTCGCTCAATGTTCGATCACAGCTCAGTCGAGACAGTCTGGACAAGGCTCTACCTCCGCTCCCCAATGCCGACCTCGCGTCGTCCCAAAACGTGTCGTAGGGCGATGACACTGTGGCGACGCTTGACGATCCTGGAGCTACCTTGCCGAGGGAAAGTGCAAGACATTCTGAGGAAGAATTGGCACAGAAACGGTGGGAGTTGGTTCGTCTTCGGTTTTTAGAGACAATACCATCCACCTTTCGTCCAGGTGACAACACCGACTACAATCAAGGCAGCCTTGACTAGAGACGAGTTTGAAGACCGACGCGTGGACGGGGAAAGAAGAAAGCTGAGAGGCAGGCAAGGTGGGACGCCTGCTGTTTTGCCTCTGCAGTTAATTACTTGGAAGTCATGTTACCAATCGACGGCATAACCTGGTTTCCTTTTTTCGTTCGTCGCATTCTCTGTTACATATCCCCGCGTCTTTTGTCCTTTCATTTTCCGGTTTGGATTTTCCTCATTTTCATTGCCTCTCATGGCCGGCGAATTTATTAAACAAACGACCACTATCGACCATGGTAAACCATTGACAAGGTGGTTTGATGCCCAATGGGAAGGAATGGACCTGTTGGCCCTAATGCGGACTCATCGAGACCTGCCTCACGTTTCCTCGTTCAAATCTCCTCGTCGTTGCTTCTTTTAGTTCAATTTCGAGTTTATTGTCCACCAGGACTTGCTTGCACACGTGTACTAGATAGAACTAGTGGGTGGAAACAGCGCTGAGGAAGACCGGGCAGGAGCACCTCAGAGCACCTCATCATAGCCCTGTAGATTAACAGAGCGCGGCGCATGTATATAGCTACTGAGATACCTGATAGATTCATCGCTCAATAGACCTATACGTAGTCTACGTCACGTATTGCGAGTCGAACCAAGTAATCAATGTCGCCCAAGGCTCGCAAGTAGACGTTAACCATCTGTTATATTAGCGTAGCTACAGCAATGACAAGAAGAGCCTGGGAAGTTGGAGATAGGTTCTTGATATCCCTACGATTCGCACAAAGGTCGCAACGCATCCTACCACATCTATTCACACCTATTATGACACATGGTTGTTGTACACCCTGTAAGTCTTCACGATGCCGCTTCTTAGAGCATGAGAGCTAAAGGAGAGAGAAACCCCGTCCGGCATTCACTTGCGGGCCGTAAAGTCGGTCGCGACGTCGAGCTTATTTGCCCCTTGAGCCTCTAGCTCCTTTAAACGTGCCTTTTTCTGTATGTCTTGCACCCTCCACTTCTTGAAGTATGTGACCTATCAGATGTTCAATCAGCCTTTCGTCCCACATGAGCAACCAGCTTTCTCTCCAGGATTTTGCGCCTCTTTCCATGCCTACAAGGAAGAAGGGCTTGGAGACGGGAGGCGAGGCGAGACGCGAGAGAAAAGAGCTCAGAGCGCTACCCACCCATTGGGTTGCGCAGTCGCGCTCAAATTGCGTCGACTCGTGTGCGCAGGCCTTGGCAGCCTTCTTCTCGTCCTTGAGGGGGTCCACGATGCCGCTCGCGTCCAAGCAGGCAAAGTAGTCGTCCCGCGCCTCCCAGCATCTCTTCCGCTCAGCGCGAGTCGGCACGACGGCGCCCGCCCTTATCTCTGACGCCCGCTTGTCGGACTCGCTCTGGAACAGGCCGAGGATGCCCATCTTGGGGAACCGGGGGTTTCGGGTCGTCGACTTTGGTTCGGGTTGTTGCGGCGGCTGCTGTGCGCTGACTCGGAGCTCGAATGCTTTTGACGCCGAGAGGTGGGTTGTGTTGTACTTGCCTGGCCTGCGCCAAATTGTACCATGGATTTGGTAGGTAATTGATATGGCCTGAAGGTCTGGTACGGGTAGCTCATAGAGCAGGGAACTGATATGATGGTAATGCGCGTATCACGTACTGAAACTTAATCCAGCAATTTCAAGAATGGATACCCAAATTTTAGCTACTCGCAAAGCCGTTTGTATTGTGAAGCATGCAATATATATGATCTACTTCCTGAGCTAAATACATTCGCTGCTGCTGCTCTATAGAATGCTGTAGTGATAGTTCAAGGACTTGGACTGAAATTTCTTCATGGCGTATGGAGTTGTCATCTTCGTATGACAATTACCATTACATAATACAAGTGGCGCAAGATTTAACGTTACGGTATTTTCCATACTTGTCTTAGCATGCGGGCGGGAGTGCATTTCTCGGCATTCTTGACAGATCGGTAATTGTAAATTAAGGCCAACATAGTCCCACCGTCGCGCCTTCATAACTCGTCAGGTACCTTATCAAATTAACCTCCCCTGTTCAACACCTCTCGGTCCTCCATTTATCGTCTCTAACGTCAACGAGTTTCCAGCAGCCCGGCGCAACTCTTGTCAGCCTTTGGGACTCTCTCCCTTTTTGCCACCCGACGAGCTTCAACTCCTCCACGACACCTCGAGCTGCTTCTTTAGTCCGGCCCCAGGAGGCACGGCGGACTGGCAACAAGCAAACCGTTTATCGAGAGGCCATGATTCCAAGATAGCAGCGACCGCTACAAAGCCGCAAGAACGCTTCTCTCTCCGCCCTTAGCGCGACAGCCAAGGCTCGCGACAACATCAGCCCATAGCCAGCGATGGCTCGCCGACGACGGCCCCCCCGCTCGGGGGCCCTCACAGAACTCCCGCCGCTGAAGATACTTAGCCAGATCGCAGCCCTGCAAGGCCTTTACTACGCAGCCGCGATGGTCCTAATGTTCTTTAATACTCTGGTCGCTGGGACGCGGTTCAGTGCTGACCTGGTCTTTGGATGGGCGGCCGTACGCGGCGATTCAGCCCAAGGCTGGCTGATGGGGTTTATTTGGATTTTAAACGGTGGGCTGCTAATGTACGTGTTTCCATTTTATCCACCTCAGTTCGCGCGCGCAAAGCCTCATTGGGCTCCATGTTCCTGACGGGTAGTGAAATCTCACTGACCCTTCCTTCTCTCTGCGGCAGGGCAATCGCTATCGTTCTCCTCGTCGGGCGCTCCAAACTTGTGCTAGATTTTGCTCTGTCGCTACATGCGGTGCACCTTGTCATTGTGACTCTGTACACGGGGCAACTACCGCGCCATACGGCATGGTGGCTGGCAATGATAGCCGCGAGCGCCGTTTCTATTGGTCTTGCCACGTGGGGTTGCCGGCATCGGGAGTTGAAGCCAATATCGTTTGGTGGGAACAGCTCGAATGCTGCCGCTGGCGGGAGCAATGAGGGGGGCTTAGGGGTAGGAGATGACAATGCTGGGGACGAGGAGCAAGGATTTTCACGGGGGAGGGGACGCGGCCGAGGAAGAGACGGGGCCGGCGACTATGAGATGGCCGATTTGGCCAATAACACCGGCGGATAGATCAAGGTTGTATGTATAGTGTATGTCCCTTGGCAGGGTCATTTATATGTTTTGCGTGGCGTTTAGGTTGTACGAGTAAACAACGTCCTATTTACGGCTGACGATACCCTATGTTACGAATCATGCTACCCATGTTCTCGATCCCACCAGTGTCTTGCGGACAGATCTCATGCGACCAACCAGCTCTATTAACCCTCGCTTCTCCGAGGTTGGCCCCTGGTGACAGACACTCGTCCCAGCTGCGAATTGTGCTGTGAGATGGGATGACTGGCACACAGGCACTCGCACGAGCGGGTTTTCTTGAACTTAAGTGCATTGTCATGAGCCGGGCTGGGGTTGAGAATTCACTGGAGTGTTGGAGGGCGCGAAAGGGACGAATACGTTGATGACTAGGTCCGGAGATGCAGAAAACTCGCTCCGCGTCCCGTCCTGGGTATTGTGTGTACACGGCGGCATATCTGTCATGGAGTTACTTCTATGTCTAAGGTGCTGCCGGCCCAAGATTCTGGACCTGTCCAGATTGTCAGCCTTGGAAGTTAGCCGATCAAGCTCGGCGGTTGCTATCATCATGCCAGCAAGAGCGATCGTGCCTGGTCTTGACTGCGGAGAGTGAAACGGTGAAATATAACCAGCAGGCTCGGAGAAAGCCTCGTAGAAATCTCGGCTCCGGCGGCGGCGCTCCCTTCCGTCTCGACTCAAATGTCCAGGCACGTGTGTGCTCACGGAGCCGGATTTCGAGCGCTGGAATATCCGACCAAAGGAACGCATAGAACGAGCCGCACGTTGGACGTGACTGGGTTGGTTCCCTCGAATAGTTCTCTGGGATAGATCAGCAACCCAACGTGGTTTTCCACACGAGAAAGTGCAGCTATACCCAATCTTCACCTCCGCCATCGCTCTCCTGGCTTCTCCTCCCGAATTCTGGACAAGAGGCCAAGTCGAGCGAAAAGTTGCCTCTCCGCGCCTGGCACTGGTCCAAAGGGGGATATGGGCTTCCCTCTCCAGCACCGGGAAGGATGCTGCTCTGGTGCCGAGCTGTGCTTTCATATGTTGCCCGAGTCATTGCCCTTTGGAAATGGGGTGGGTGAGTCCAACGACACCGGTTCACGACAAACTGGAAGTTCTAGACAGGGACTAGCGGGTCGGGTAAACCGGATATATGCTGTGCTTAGTCGTTGATCGCGGATTTACAGAATATCATTTTGTTCTGTTCAAAATAAGGAAGAAGGGGTGTATCTAGGAATATTGACACAAAGAGGGATACGATCGAACGATCTGAAAAATAGACTAGAAAAGACAGCAAGATAACCTTGGGCGAATTCCAGGTGTTTACCTACTAGGTACGATACCTAGCAAAGGTAGGTAGGAAGGACTTTTATCATGCAGTGGACTCATCTTACCCAAGGTACGAAGCCGGAGTGCCAGCCCCCCATGAGTTAAAATTCCATGTTCTTGAATCTTCAGGTAAGTGCCTCCATCTTCCTCTGCGAGAAACAGCTACCCCCCCTACCTTAGGTCTAGCATATACCTTAAGTACATAGGTACCTCAGTGGAACATCTGCCTGGTAAGAGCTCGGTTCAACTTTCCTCCATAATACCAGTAGGTCAGGGGAGTCCGTTTAGAAGCATTGTCATGATAGGGCACATGGACAGTTCCAGTAATGAGCACATTGTGTGTGCCTCGCACTTCCGCAGGGTTGCTCCTGGAACTTCTGAAGAGGCAATGCTTTTCGTAGCTTATAAGGGTTAGGGTTGCTGTTTTGCGCTTGACTCAAAGAGGAAGGATCAACTCGCTAGCAACTCGCGTTTAACTTAACGGAGAACACCGGAATCGCAGCTGGCGCTCGGCTAGCGGCGGGGAATTAGCTGTGGTGGAAACCTCGATGGTGGTTGAACGACAATGGCTTCTCGTAACTCGATCTGGTAGCTGCAGAACAGTCTCGATTGACAATGTCGCGCCTTCTTTACATGCGACATCTACGCGTAGATCGCCTTCGGGCCCTGTCTACGCGTAATGTGCGTGGCTTCGCGTCTTCGTCCGCTGGCCTACAGTTCGAGTGGGAGGACCCTCTTGCGTCCAAGAGCCTCCTGACAAGCGACGAGTTGGTCATCTCCGAGACAGCAGAGCGTTACTGCCAAGAACGACTCCTGCCACGCGTGTTGCGTATGGTCAACATACCCACAGCTCTCGTCACTCTTGGCATTCTAACGAAGATGTAGAGGCGTACCGCGACGAGCACTATGATCCCAGTATCCTCCGCGAGATGGGCGAGCTAGGCCTTCTTGGTGCCACTATTAGCGGTTACGACTGTGCTGGTGTCTCGACCGTTGCAGGAGGACTGATTACCCGCGCGGTTGAGCGCGTCGACAGCGGGTACCGGAGTGGAATGTCGGTGCAGTCGTCGCTCGTCATGGGCGGCATCAACGACTTTGGTACAGCCGAGTTGAAGGAGCGCTACCTCCCGGATATGGCCAAGGGAAAGCTACTTGGTGCCTTTGGGCTTACCGAGCCAGACCATGGCAGCGATCCCGGGTCGATGGAGACAACTGCACGGCCGCACCCCCGAAAGCAAGGCTCCTTTCTTCTTAGCGGAGCGAAGACCTGGATCACCAACTCTCCCATTGCGGACGTGCTGCTTGTATGGGCCAAGCTTCAAGAGACTGGCAAGATACGCGGGTTCTTGGTAGACCGGAGAGACTGCCCACCTGGCACGTTAGAAACGCCTGCGATCAAGAACAAGAACGGCTTGAGGGCCTCGATTACAGGCATGATCCAGCTGGATGACTGTCCGGTTCGACAGGAGAATGTGTTTCCGGACGTGGAAGGCCTTCGTGGTCCCTTCACATGCCTGAATAGCGCAAGGTATGGCATTGCTTTTGGCACCATGGGCGCCCTCGAGGACTGCATTTCGAGGGCAAGAACATACGCGCTCGAACGGAAGCAGTTTCATGGCAACCCGATCGCCAAGTATCAGCTGGTCCAGAAGAAACTGGCCGACGCCGCCACAGACGCGGCGTATGGTACTATCGCCGCAATCCAGGTTGGCCGCCTCAAGGATCAAGGCAAGGCAACCCCCGAAATTATTAGCATGATAAAGCGTCAGAACTGCGATAAAGCCCTCCAAAATGCCCGCCTCTTGCAGGAGATATTTGGAGGAAACGCAGTGAGCGACGAGTACGGGATCGGTCGGCATGTGGCAAATCTCTTTGTCACCCAGACTTATGAGGGGCAAAGTGACATTCACAGTGAGTTTGATTCTGCTGCTGGGTGATGAAGCAATCTAACTCAAAATAGGCCTTATAATCGGAAGGGCAATCACTGGTTTGCAAGCTTTTGTGTAATATTTGGTGATAGAAGCGGTCGTGAATGCCAACTATCGTGAGTTAGAGAGACTTTTTTGCTCTTGATTATTAGGTATTGAGTAATTGAAGTAAAGCAGGAGTCATGAAGTCAGCTTCCATAAGGTGCTTGCAAAGGATGACTCTCACGTTTCCGGTTGGTGGGTGGCCAAAAAACCTACACCCCGAAAGGCTAGTTAGGTTGCCAAAGCAAACATCCGATGATCAGGAGCGTAATCACTAGTAGAAAACCTTTGATTATGTAATGGGTGGCGTTTCCTGCGTTTCCTGCGTGGGTTAGGCGCCAAAATCCGGCCCAGAAGCGACCGCAGCCGCCTGGAAAATCCTAGCACTCCTATCGCCCCAGGCCTCTCAGCTTTTGTCCTAAGGCCGGTTGGGGCGCCTAAAATCCACCTTTCCTGGTCCGCCCATTTCCCCCCTCCCACTCCTCTTACAACCTAACCTTCGCCAACTTGGAATCAATCCTCATCTCCAGCGATCTTCACCGGTGCTCGGGCGCAACTAAAAATCTTCTTTCTCCTCCTAGTAAGATCCATATTCCCGGGATTCCTTATAATTCCCTCCTTGCGTCGACTGTTTTTGCTTGCAAACCGCTGTCTGACGCACCGGTTCATTCGGATTCTCTGCATTTCCACCACAGCCCTTGCTGACCCAGCCTTGTTCCAGCAGGCCTCCAACCCCTCGACCCGACGCTCAACTCCAGAAACAAAGCGCGCAACACATATCCATAGCCGAAGATGGCTCTGAAGCGAATTAACAAGGAACTCACTGACCTCGGCCGGTATGTCGCATCATTAAGACCCTTACAACACTCTCTTTCGCATTTCCATCGTCATCAGTCTCCCACCCGCTCCTTTGGTGGAGTCGGGACCGCGGGCGGGGTTGTTATCGCATTCGCGAGGCCAACACCGGCTGGGTTCCAAGCGTTCCAGACAAGCCTCAACGAATACTGAACAATAATCTTCGCGATGCTAACATTCTGTCTCGTAGCGATCCTCCCTCATCATGCTCGGCCGGGCCGATAGGCGAAGACCTGGTACGAAATACACACACCGCCTCTTATAAGCCGAGACATGCTGGCGCATATGGCACGAGCGGGCGGCCTGTACGTCTCGAACTGTCCTCGAGACTCTGCTAATATATATTTGCACCTAGTTCCACTGGCAAGCCACGATTATGGGCCCGGTAAGACGTCCCGCTATTGTTTTCGGTTCCTTGCGCTGCCCGTTTGTGTCGGAAATCAAAGCCATCGTTCCTGGACTTCCTAGTATCTGTGCACTAACCGCTTCGTTGTAGAGTGATTCACCATACTCCTCTGGCGTATTTTTCCTTGCCATCACATTCCCAACCGACTACCCGTTCAAGCCACCCAAGATCAACTTCACCACCCGTATCTACCACCCCAACATCAATGCCAACGGCAGCATCTGCCTGGACATTTTGCGAGACCAGTGGAGCCCAGCATTGACCATCTCCAAGGGTAAATCACGACCCCAGTCCTTATTTCGTATTGTATTCTAATCGAGATGTAGTGCTGCTCTCCATCTGCTCGATGCTGACGGACCCGAACCCGGATGACCCTCTCGTGCCTGAGATTGCCCATGTGTACAAGACAGACCGCGCAAAGTACGAGGCGACAGCGCGCGAGTGGACCCGGAAGTATGCTATTTAGCGTTTTGGCAAGGAGGGCGTTATGGGCCTACGGCGGGAGATGATTCTCCTTTTCACACATATTTTGTCGGTCAGCAATCATAGTCTTGCCGTTGTGCGAAGCTCCGTCGTTTGGTAGGCTATCCTCGTTTGACACAATCTGGATGTGTCTGTGGAAGGGGATACAGGAGTAAGAACCGAGAACCAAGATTTTTCCTTGTTGGGCGACAGACTGAGGTGGATGGTGGTGCCCCGTGCACATTACTGCACATTACATTGAGCAACTCAGGAACTATAGCTGTTTCCATAGCCTGCACTCATATTTGGTTGCCTTAGCCCATGGAACAGCGTCTTACGTTCTTTAATCTGGCGGGTCTGGCAGTGGCTGCCTAGCAAGTTTTGAGTCCCAGTTGTTCAAGTCTCGAGGGCTATTTTGGTTTGTGGTGACGATGGCAGCACTTTCTCAGAATGGTGACTGTCATAATTGGAGGCCACACATTCACCCTTATACGGCCAAGGAAAAGGGGGAAGATGGAAGTGGCTTAAGCACCGGTTCACTAGGTCCACTTGATATGAACAAATAGGTTCTTATATACCATGTGAGTTCTAGTCTGGTTCGCCATTAATTATGGGAACGCTGGCTTGTTCTTCTCCTTTAGCTAGTTGTGGTGTCCGATAGGTTCGCTTCATTCTTCTCTCGCCAGCGATCGATCCTCTTCTGCCTCTGTCCTCCATACTAGCTGTGCGTCGCCAGGAAATAGAGTTGGTCGAATCGTGTCAGAAATGATCGCACCTTGATATGCTATAGCAGGTCTTGGTATTGTCAAGAGCTGGACATGATATTCTCTCTATTTTTCCCTGCCCGGTCCCTATGGTAACCTGATTTCCTAAAGTGTCTTCAAGAAACTTACATGAAGTAGTGACGTCCTGTTAGCCAGCTAGTTAGGTGAAATGTTGCGAGTAGATCAGCCCAATGATTGCGGATCTTGCCTCGGACTTGGACGGAAGTACATCACTTGTTTCTATATTTGCTGTCATTTGGTGATAGATGAAAGTCGCTCTTAGAGTAGACGAAAGCAAATATATCTGCTATGGTACTTCGTACCACGTATACAGGACGAATAGAAAGTGACCCTCAATAGCCAACTAAAATCAAGGTAGGTTGGCAGGACTCACTTGGGCCTCAAAACGCTACCTGGCTAGGATGGAGCACATCTTGTTTTTAAGGGCACCTTATCTTGGCCGTTCGTGAAGACCGGGGGGGGGGGGGGGGAATAAAAAGGACTGGCCTTTTTATATACCAGATGTGATGGGTCGACCCCAGCCATGGCGGTCGTTTCGAAATGCCTCGCCGTAAATAATAGGCTACGAGCAGCCGCCCGCAATGTCACAGACATCCACTTGCTAGATGGATACAGGTTCAGATTGAACCGAAGCTCATGGGTTACGAGTACACCATTCCGTAGTAAATACCTAGTTTACCTGAGCTCGTCGTGAAACCCAGAAAACCCGAACAGTGACGTCCTATAGGCTTAGCTTAGGCTCTAGGTAGATGGTTATAAGGTACCGGTTTACAGGCGTATCATCATTCGTCAAGGCTGGCCGAGGGGTTTTAAAAGTGGTGAACAGTATCCCATTGCACTTTTTTGTATTAGACAATTTTCTCTATGTGGTGAAAATGGTGTGGGTAAGTAGGTGCCTTGGTAGTGAAGATTCGATAATAAGAAACCTGAAGGTATTTGGCCATTCAATCATTTGTCGGTCGGCTGCCGGTCAACGACGAATGCGATCCTTGTGCCTAGCGAATCGCTGGTATCAGAATTCCCCGGCAGTATCGCCGCGAGGACGCGCTTCAACGGCTTTTGACATGGGGACCCGCCGAGCTAATAAGATGAGGCGTCACAAAAAGCATTAGGCATTGCTAACGTGCAACGATGCCAAACCCAATCCCAGCCCGTGTATCAGAATGCCCCAGCCGAAACAGCAAGCGCAACACGGGCGTAGCCGACCGAACTGCCAAGACCGTCCCTCGACCAATTATTGGCCCTCTTGGTCGAGTTTGCTCCTTCTGAGGCACTCCTTGGCGGCCCCTGCAACAGCCTAAGATAAGATACCTTGCTCCGTCCTAGTGTACAGAATATCACAGCGTTTCCTCCGCCATGCGATTAACTCACTAGGCCGCGAAGCAAGCATGGAATAACCTCGCACTCGGCTCTAATAACCCTTCAGAAGGAATGTTGATATCCTCGAAGTGGTGTCATTCTCCACTTCATACCCTGTCTGGGCTGACGATCAGTCCCACCAAAACGCCATCTACCAACAGGGCGCCAAGCCTAGCTATAATCGGTCACACCAGCGCCTGAGGTGGATGTTGGTAAATTCTCGCTCCAGACTTGCCAGACTTGTGTCAATGACTCGTGGCCACCTAAGAGGTGTTTTTTGGTGGGACCAATTCTTGTATGACGAAGTTCGAAGTACATGCAGTCCACATCTTTCCTCATCCTGAGTGACGGGAACTGCCGATGCCGTCGACCTTTGGTCTTTAATGCATCTTGGCTCTGTAGAGGAATGGTAGCGGATTATGACACCTGTAGGGACTAGTTTAAGGTAAGGTAAGCCGAGAAAGCCGGTGGAACCGTCGAATATTTAGCACCTAATATTCGGCCTCTTTTGTTTCGATGGGCAACATGGGGAGGGGTGCGGCCCACGTTCCAGCCTCGAACTAGCCCGTTGGTCGGGTGGTGGTACCTGCCCAAGATGCAGGTGGTTCGACTCTCCTGCTCTATTTCCTCTGTGCACTACTGCACCGGCAATCCTCCCACCTGGTCCCGGCCGGTCGGTGGGGGAGGAGCAATGGAAGTGAAGGGCGGTTTCCACAGGTACCTTGCATACCCCGGCCCCGTTGGCACCCTGGAGGCTCAAAACATCAAAGCCTCAAACCGCCCTTGCCGTCGTCTATCCCCACACACCCCCCCTGAAATGGTTCCAGGTCTGCGTCTGGTCCTACCGTCCCACGACTTCCCCGTGGCCGCCGACTCGCTGTTCATCGTCCCGAGTCAGTTGCCAAGAGCCTCCCTCCTCACCGACACGCTCTGTCGGCTTTCCTTTCGCCTGCCTCCCCCTGATAGGGTGAACTCTAGGATCGCAGCCGCCTGTATGCAGGCATTTGCGGACAGGTATGATCTACGGAAATCGCCTCACGTTTCCAAGTGCCCTGTCTCTTGGCACCTCTCATATCCAAACCCTCTTCCCACGGGTGCTTCGTCCTCCCCTTCTCTCCTTTACTTCCTCGCTGCGTGCATGTACCCAGCTGCCCATTGCTGACCGTTCACCTGCATCGCGGCATCATCAGGCTTCAATATTCACTCATTTCCCAGACCGTGTTACGTCGCGCCTGGGTGCGCCCTTCTCTTCTTCGACTGCCGCTTAGATGGGTCTGTCCAAACAGTTCAGCAGGCTCTGAATACGAACGTCTTTCTCCATTCTGTCGCCCGGCGCATAATCTGGAAATATAGAAAGAGGCGGGCACCACGCTTTCCCTTGTGGAGGTGCTAGTGAAGAGGAACTCGGAAAAGGGGGACGGCGACCCGACTCGCCGGTGCTCTCTGGACGGCTTACAGAAGGAAGTGTCAGACACCTCGACAACGCGACGACAAACAACTCGTCCTCATGGCCGGATACGGCGGATACGATAATAGGAGTAGCATAGGGTCGCTGAAGCAACAGTCTGAGCGAGCAAGATGGACGCCGCTCACGCGCATGTTGCTTTCGGGCGAGATGACCCAGGAGAAGCAAAAAGACCTCACTCCAAGGGAAAAGTTTGATCGTTGGATGGTGAACGAGGGGTATCGCCGAATGTAGGTCAAGAAAACCCGGCCACAAGTCAGCTCCAAACGAAGAGAAGTGTGGGCTGACCGTCATAGTTTTGTTTTTATCTTCATCATCCTCCACGCAATCGTCTTCGCGTTTGGATTTGTCAACTTTGCGGTCAAGGACAACCTCCAAGTCGCGAGGGATACGTTTGGGCCGACATACATGATTGCCCGATCCTCGGCGCTTGTTCTCCACGTCGATGTCGCCTTGGTTCTCTTTCCGGTTTGCCGCACGCTGATCTCGCTCGCCCGTCAAACACCTCTAAATGGAATCATCCAATTCGACAAGAACATCACATTTCACATTACGACCGCTTGGTCTATCTTCTTCTTCTCGTGGGTCCACACGATTGCCCACTGGAACAACTTCGCCCAAATAGCAGCCAAAAATAACCTTGGCTTCTACGGCTGGCTCCTGGCAAACTTTGTGACTGGTCCGGGTTGGTCAGGTTATGTGATGCTGATTGCACTCACTGGCATGGTGATAACTTCCATCGAGAAAACGCGGCGGGCCAACTATGAACGATTCTGGTACACTCACCACATGTTCATCATATTCTTTTTGTTTTGGTCCTTCCATGGAGCCTTCTGCATGATCCAGCCCGACTTTGCGCCCTTCTGCGTTTCGATCGGCACCCAGGCAATTGGTGTCTTCTGGCAGTACTGGATGTACGGCGGCTTTGCCTACCTTGCTGAGCGGGTTGCTCGCGAGATCCGCGGTCGGCATAGGACCTACATCTCCAAGGTCATCCAGCACCCGAGCAATGTGTGCGAGATCCAAATCAAGAAGGAGCACACAAAGACAAGGGCCGGACAGTACATCTTCTTCTGTTGCCCTGCCGTGTCACTCTGGCAGTATCACCCTTTCACCCTGACCAGTGCGCCAGAGGAGGACTACATCTCCATCCATGTACGCGTGGTGGGCGACTTTACTAGGGCGGTTGCTGAGGCTTTGGGTTGCGAATTCGACAAGAAGAAGGGGGACTCGTCCAAGGTTGTCGGTGTGAACCAGGACAACGACGAGGTCGATCCTGCACTCCGAAGGGTTCTGCCACGCGTCTATATTGATGGCCCGTTTGGCTCCGCTTCCGAGGACGTGTTCAAGTATGAGGTTTCGGTGCTGTGCGGGGCTGGTATTGGTGTCACGCCTTTTGCGTCCATCCTCAAGTCGATCTGGTACCGGATGAACTACCCACAGAAGAAGACGAGGCTGAGTAAAGTCTACTTCTTCTGGATCTGCCGCGACTTTGGGTCGTTCGAATGGTTTCGATCACTTCTTCTCGCCATTGAGGCCCAGGACGTGGACAACCGCATCGAGATTCATACTTACCTGACGGCAAAGATCAAGGCTGACGACGCCACAAATATCATGATCAATGACGCCAACGCCGATAAAGATACAATTACCGGCCTCCGGTCACCGACCAACTTCGGGCGGCCTAACTGGGATATGATTTTCAGAGGCATAAGGAAACTCCACACACCATCCGAAGCCGGAGTCTTCTTCTGCGGCCCCAAGGGCCTGGGTAGCACGCTGCATATATTCTGCAACAAATACAGCGAGCCTGGGTAAGGCCCAATGGTTTCCATTCTGCAAAGTACATGTGCTAATTCGAATATAGGTTTAACTTTGTTTGGGGAAAAGAGAATTTCTAGATCAATCTCATTCCAGTTCTCATATTCCGGATTGGTTTCGGCGCCAGCGCTTTGGAGAGATATTGAATTCCAAATTTCTTCTTCCCAGCAAATGCGCGGGTCGCAGAGAGCTGATTCCGCAGGCCTACTCGTCTCGATACCAACAGATGTTATCACAAAATATCAGTCCTGCAAAAGAAGCAGGATAGAAGCAGTCACACTTGGGTAGCAAGGCTTCTTAGTACAACGACGTCACACATACCAGTTCAACGTCCGACACGCATCCATTTCAGGTGGCGGGTCATCTAGACTATGGGGGATGTTAGATAGCGTATCGAACGCATATCGAATGCCGACTTGGGTGGGCCATAGCTGTGTTCTGTATATTTTTGCATCGTCGTCGTCCTCGGACCTACTCCCGGGTCAGGCGCCCAAGTTTTCGGAAGCGCATTTGGATAGGGGATTGACTATATATATTTGGTTAGGGAGTAGGGTGTTGCTGTTGGGTACATATGTGGTCTTTTATTCTTGTATCTACGTAGAGGGTGATAGGGTTACGATTTGGAATAGTATACCAAGTAAAAATAAATGACACACAGCATCCATGCAAAGCATGACACTCCACAGAAAATAGGGGATCCGGATAGTTATGATAGTCCACGTCGACTACCAAGGTAAGGTAATAATAACCTATGTTCATATAAGAGGTGAGAAAGATTATTCCGTGCCGAGTAGACAATACGGTATAGTGTTAAGTGTAACGGTAAATTACTGTGTGCAGGGGGTTTAATTACCCCACCACTCTCATGCCGGCCGCGCCACGAGCCGCGCCACGACTTGGAGCGCGTTCCTCACGCGTCCAAAAGCTGAGCTCATTGGCATGTCGAGTCCGCCAGAACTCCCAAAACCTCTCGACCTCTAACACTGCCCAAGCGAAATTCATCTCTGCAACCAAACTGCGGTGAAGAAATCGGTTTGAAGATGGGTATCAAACAGCTATTTTCCATCATCAAGGACGAGGCTCCAGATGCAGTCAAGGAAGGCGAAATAAAAAACCAGTTTGGCCGGAAAGTTGCTATTGTAGGCTCGCACCATTCTTTTGTCTTCTATTCTTCTCATTGACAGCCTATAGGACGCGTACGAATCTTTGAAGTAACCTGGTTGTTTGGTTGTTCTCTTTCTGACTCTCTGCAGGTCAATGAGCATATACAGCTTCCTGATCGCGGTTCGATCCGATGGCCAGCAGCTAACAAACGAGAGCGGCGAAACGACGTCTCATTTGATGGGAATGTTCTATCGCACACTGCGTATCGTCGAGAATGGTATCAAGCCACTCTACGTCTTCGACGGCGCTCCGCCCAAGCTGAAGTCGGGCGAACTGGCAAAACGGTTCCAGAGAAAGCAGGAGGCGAACGAGGGGCTCGAGGAAGCCAAAGAGACCGGTACCGCCGAGGAGGTCGAGAAGTTCTCGCGTAGAACTGTTCGTGTCACCAGGGAACACAACGCAGAGTGCCAACGACTTCTCAAGCTCATGGGCATCCCTTACATTATCGCGCCGACCGAAGCTGAGGCACAGTGTGCGGTTCTCGCACGGGCCGGAAAGGTATACGCAGCGGCAAGCGAGGACATGGACACTCTCTGCTTCAACACGCCTATCCTTTTGCGCCACCTGACCTTCAGCGAGCAGCGAAAGGAGCCCATCCAGGAGATCCACCTAGACAAAGTTCTGGAGGGCTTGAACATGCAGAGAGACCAGGTATGTGCAGCATGGATATTACAAGCGTTGCTTTTGTCACATGTTTTCTCACCGGTTTGCTTGTCTAGTTTGTCGATCTCTGCATTCTCCTAGGATGCGACTACCTAGATCCAATCCCAAAGGTTGGTCCAACCACGGCGCTAAAGCTTATTCGCGACCATGGGACACTGGAGAAGGTAGTCGAATTCATGAAGAATGATCCGAAATCCAAGTACACGATTCCGGAAGACTGGCCATTCGAGGACGCTCGTGAGCTTTTCTTCTCGCCCGAAGTCCGACAGGCCGACGATCCGCTGTGCGATTTCAAGTGGGAGAAGCCAGATATGGACGGGCTTGTGCAATTTCTAGTTCACGAGAAAGGTTTCTCGGAGGACCGGGTGCGAGCCGGCGGGGCGCGATTGGAAAAGAATATGAAGAGCTCCCAACAGTCCAGAATCGAAGGCTTCTTCAAGGCAATCCCCAAGACAGAGGAGGAGAAGAAGTCGCACAAGCGGAAGCTCGAGGAGCAAAATGAGGCCAAAAAGAAGAAGCTTAAGGAGGATAAGAAAGAGAAGGCGAAGGCGAAGGCGAAACCCCGTGGCACAGCCTAACTGGACGGCGCCTCACTCAGCCGTTGAAATTCGGGCTTGGAGCTAGGTAGTTAGGCCGCTGCCTAGACGTGTATGGACTACGGATGGGTACGGATACATGTGATAATTTCGGCACGGGGAGTATTGGATGGATCGGTAATATTGCTACGATAGCTCTGTCGGGATAGCACTATACGTATTAACATTGATCATTTTGGTAGTGTTCTTTCATGTCTAGTCTACCTGGCGCCTGTGAGGACTTCAAGGTGGCCACCGCACTTCGAGCACTGAACGCCGAACCGTACTGGCGGCCAAGGTGCCTGTGTTAGAGTGTACCTGGTGATCACCTCAGTCCTCCGAACTGCATGCGATATACGAGGAGATGCCTTACGTATCTATCCTGCGCACTCCGTCGAGGCACCAGTCCTCCCTGTTGGGCGAGTTCATATAGTGTGGGGAAATACTGCGTCCATCAAGCACAAAAGGACAGCAAGGGCGGTACTACGGTGGAAACACCCCCCTTGATCTTGTACCCCAGCCAATTGCAGCGCACCAGTCGCCGGAGCCAAAACTTCAGTAGAACCTGGAAACCGTGGAAGTTGCCTCGGCATAGAAAGTGGTAATCCGGGACGCGGCGATTGGTTCATTATTGAAGGTCGCAGCCCGAAGGCTGCCGAACGCGTTCGGCCTGTTTTGGGAGCACATGATCTCTCCGCAGTGGGGGGGGAGCTTTCCCCAGAGACAAGGGGCTGAAGCCCACTTTTCTCATCGCTCTCTTGCACTCATTTGACAAAGCGCTGTTCTAGGCGTACGCTTACCCCCCGCGTAACCCATGCCCGGGAATGACGGTCCTCGCTAGTGGGGTACCATGGCTCCAAATGGCACAGAATCCGCGGGCGGTCTTCGCAACTCTGACGCAGTTCGGTCATTGCATGTGATTGCATGTCTCGCGTTTCGCCGGCCGCTTTAAACCGGCGCAGCCATTTTCGAGAGGAGCGCAGCCCTTTATTGAACAGTCCCTTTCCTCTTCAGCAGGACTTTCCCTTCCCGCACAGTTACCTCACTTCTCAGTTTGACAATTCCACATTGCATTCCACCATTATACCCCACCGGCAACATGTCCAAAACCTTCAGCCAGGCCGAGGTGTCATCCCACAGCAAGTCCGACTCGCTGTGGATCGTCGTCGACGGAGACGTTTATGATCTCACAAAGTTCCAGGACGACCACCCAGGTATGCATCGCCCATTTGTGGGTCAGCCTACAATGCTGCTAAAGTATAATTTTCTAATGTGAATCGTGAACAGGCGGCAAGAAGATCCTCCAGCGGGTTGCCGGGAAAGATGCGTCCAAGCAGTTCTGGAAGTACCATAACGAGGGAATCCTCAAAAAGTACCAGAAGCAACTGCAGATCGGCTCGCTAGACAGCAAGCCTAAGCCCGCCACCGAGGCGCCAAAGCCCGTGCAAAAGCCCAAAGCCGCGCTCGCGGCTGCGGCCCCGACTACCGCCCCGGCCGAGGATGCCGAAGCCTTAGAGCCCTTTGGTCAACAGATTCCCTTCGCCGACCCTAGCTGGTATCAAAGCGTAAGCCGAGGACTTATATCCAGCTATGCGAACATGCTTCTAACGTTAAACGTTTGTAGCATCACTCCCCCTATTTCAATGAGACCCACGCCGCTCTCCGCGCCGAGGTTCGTGAGTGGGTCGAAACCGAGATTGAGCCCCATGTCACCGAGTGGGACGAGAAGAAGACGGTTCCTGCGGAAATCTACAAGGAGATGGGTCGGCGCGGCTATCTGGCGGGACTTCTCGGAATTCACTACCAGAAGGATTATGTCAACAACCCAATTCAGTCGGTGCCTGTTGAGAAATGGGACCTGTTCCACGAGATGCTGCTGACGGACGAGCTGAGCCGTACCGGCTCTGGTGGCTTTGTGTGGAACCTGATTGGCGGCTTTGGTATCGGGTGCCCACCCCTCGTCAAGTTTGGCAAGAAGTCTGTCGTTGACCGCGTCCTTCCTGGAATCCTCAACGGCGACAAGCGTATCTGCCTGGCCATCACCGAGCCCGACGCTGGAAGCGATGTAGCCAATCTTTCCTGCGAGGCTAAGCTCACCGATGATGGGAAACACTACATCGTGAACGGCGAGAAGAAGTGGATCACCAATGGCATCTGGTGCGACTATTTCACTACGGCAGTGCGTACCGGGGGCCCAGGCATGAACGGCGTCAGTCTTCTGCTCATCGAGCGTGACTTTGGTGGCGTCTCCACACGCCGCATGGATTGCCAGGGCGTTTGGTCTAGCGGCACCACATACATCACTTTCGAAGATGTCAAGGTCCCCGTAGAGAACCTGATCGGCAAGGAGCATCAGGGATTCAAGGTTATTATGACCAACTTCAACCACGAGCGCATCGGCATCATCATCCAGTGCCTTCGATTCTCTCGTGTGTGTTATGAGGAGTCGGTCAAGTATGCGAACAAGCGCAAGACGTTCGGCAAGAAGCTTATCGACCATCCTGTCATCCGCCTCAAGCTGGCACACATGGCGCGCCAGATCGAAGCCAGCTACAACTGGCTTGAGAACGTCATCTACCAGTGCGAGAAGATGGGCGAGACCGAGGCTATGCTTCGCCTGGGCGGCCCTATTGCTAGTCTCAAGGCTCAGGCAACTGTGACGTTTGAGTTCTGCGCCCGTGAGGCTTCTCAGATATTTGGCGGGTTGTCCTACTCACGTGGTGGACAGGGTGGCAAGGTTGAGCGCCTGTACCGTGATGTCCGGGCTTACGCAATTCCCGGCGGAAGCGAAGAGATCATGCTCGACTTGAGCATACGCCAGAGTATGAAGGTGGCAAAAATGCTGGGCATGAAGCTCTAGGGGGCAGTGGATCGGTGGGGACAGAAAAGGAGCATGTACATTGGAGTACTGTGATTGTATTACTGCTATTTCTCTTTCTTTTGTCGCATTTCTACACGTCACTTCAGCGAGAGCCTAGAGAATAATTACATACTGGATATAAATCAATTATGAACACTTTGTCATATCTTTCTTACAATGCTAGCTTCGATGAGTTGGTAAAAAGGAGGCACTCAATCCTGAGTTGCCCCGACACCAAAAGTTTCACCACTTGTAGGGGGGTTTGCTACGCCCGGCAGAGATTTCAGACATGAAGTCTAGTTGAAATACACTAGTGAGATTCAGTTCATCGCAATGTTAGAGGTGTTGCATCACGTTCCCTTTATAATTGCCCTGTCAGCATCCCCGCTTCAAGTTTGCAAGAAAAAAGTGAACAAGGAGCAGAGTCCTATCTGATACAGACGTAGTAAAATAGCCGGATGGGACCAACGAAAACCTAGCAATACAGTCCGATTAACACCGCGACCAACATCAACAAGCCACATAATTCATTGGACATCTTGCTACTGAGAAAGGAAAACCAAGTGTCATGCGCAATAATTAGGTTGCGAGGAAACAGGGAAACAACCGACGGTATATACTAAGGGTCAGATTCCAGGGGCACTGCAGGTGGTTTGTGGTGGAAATGCAACAAGGCCGAACCTGTGTTTATTTGAGGAGTTTAGACAGGGGAAACTGTACCATCAAGCGTATTTCGAGAAGAGTAAATCCCAAAACACACCGAGAAGTTAGGCACAGGCTCATGAACAACAGCAGCCAAAGTCACAAAAAAATGCTGGCACTTTGCTCCCGAAGTCTGTCGACTCAAAGACTTCGGGCACTGGGAACTGAAACAATCCATCATACACGGCAATTTTGGTGATATCATTTATTAATTTTAAGCTTGCTCTGGCGAAGGATAGACACGCTGAATATAGATATGTTAGCCTCAATAACCTATACAGAGCAGACGAGACGTGTTGAAAGTTGGGTAGTTATCAGAGAAAGAACAATGTAGGTGATTTGGTTATAATCATTAAAAAATTCATAAACAGCCTCTTTAAGCGAATCTATCATCATGTCATGGGATGGGTGATGGGTAGAGAAGGAAGAAATACGTACGCAGCATAAATAATCCCGAGACGGCCGCAAAATAATCGGCGTAACGAGCAGCAGGAAAGGCGCTTCGCATTGGTACAACTTTCCAATTCTCTCTAGGTAGCCACCTCGTCTACGCTACGTAGTACTGTTGTGGATGCTCTTCACACATTAGCGTCCGCCGAGACAGTGTGAATGTCGATTCCGTATGTCTCCTTAAGCCTCTGGCGTCTCCGTTCCTCGTAACCGGGTGGGCGAATAGCTGATAGACGGTTAAAATTAGCATTCTGTGGCAAACACCAAAAGTGACAAAACGAAATAACTCACACCGGCCCTCGCCAACCTCGGCTAAAGTCTCCTTAATCGGACGCCTCCTGCTCTGGCGCAGCATTTCTTTCCGCTCATACTCGTCCACGTTTGGGTCTTTGGCGAAACCCTTCAGGCTGCCACCAGTATATTCGTAAACGGAGAGTATCACGGCGGTCAACGCTCCCCAGCCAAGCACACCGGGTATTCTGCCAGCTAGACAGTCTGTCAGCGCGATGGACACACGGCCAAGTTCACACGGGTTTGCGAGCTAGGGTACCAGCGTACATCGAACGCCCAGAATTGAACCGGCAAGAAAGCCACCAATGGCGTTGTTGTAGTGATCATCCTTTGCCCGGAGGTTGGCAGCAGCGCGGTGCGAAAATTCGTAGACACCACCGACAGCAGCTTTGAGAATTGTTAGCACAGGTTGGAACCAATGTGGCGCGAAAGACGAAGAAGCCAGACATACTAAAGGTTGCAATGGTAGCACCACCGCGGGTGAAGATACCCCAGGCTCCAACGTTGCGTTTCTGCAGCGAGTTCTGGATAGCGGCTGCGAAGAGACCAGCTCCGCCCGTCACGAGGGCGCCATTCACGCCAGCTGCAATGGCATCTTTGGGACGATAGTGGTCGTCGTCCCCGGTCGGCGCCATTTTTCGCGCTGCTCGTGTGGACGAGGAAATGTTGTAGGATGTGGTGGGAAAGGAAGGTAGTTATGGACGTGAAGAGAACCGGGTCGCTAGGCAATTGGTGAGGGAGCGGAGACAAAATGACGAGGGTTTATTCCAAGCCCCACTAGTACGGGACGGTCTAATTGGCTCGAATGAGATGTTTTGGTGGAGAGGCGGGGTCTAATTTTACAGATTACGTAAATGACGGTGGGACAACCTGAGTAATTCAAACGGATACGCATGTTGGTAATGATACGACGGAAGAGCTGGGTGGCGACGGCCTCTTCAGGTGTACTTTAGCTTCCCGTTCTACGGTACGATCCGCTTCGTGGAGATGGAGTGTAGATTTCCTCGGAGAATTCATCCTACGTCCGTTTCTCTCAAACTTCTATGCTCTCATTTTAGATTGGAAGCGAGGACGGAGTTTCAGAGCTGGATGGGAAGGCCAAATAGTCCGTAATCTAAGCGGATCACCTCAAAGACCTAGGAGTAAAGACCTTGCTTCACGATAGCGGATCGGTAGGATCTTAGGCTACGATAGGACTAGGATGCGAGAATTGCGTAAGTAACGTCGTGCACAGTATGAAGGCTGAGGCGTAACAAGCGTCGCTAACAAAGCACACCCTCAATCAAACCTTACATACGGAGTATGTACGGAATACATGGGGCCCGCCTTTGGTAGGTTAGGTAGCCCAAGCTTGTCAGCCACGAGGCTGCGTCAGGTCCTCCACACTTGTTAACCAACATCCCACTCTTTGACACTGAATCAAAGTCAAGACGGCGTACAGCACTGTTGTCTTGTCTTTCTGCCAGACTTTTTTACTCCACGAGTTGCGACACTGATTATTCGCCTAGGCAGCAAGTTCGTCTGCTGGGCGCCATCCAGGCTAGCGGTTGGAAGGAGCTAGGTAGCTTCCTTACCAGAGCTCCTACCTTGCCTTCAGGTAGGCACGGAAGGTACTCCAAACCTGACTGCGGTACCTCAAGCACATAAGGTATCTATCTCACCCACCTCAGGTACCTTACCTTCCTTGCAAGTTAGCTCTACCGCTTTGCAGCTGCCGACCACCAACCACCATAGCAGCAAACAAGAGGTGGCCAATCTATCGGTGCCGCGCGAACATCTTATGTGGGCAGCCTCAAAGCCATATCCCTAAGGTATCTAGGCCGTCAACGACCGACACGACTTCAAAAGTAGGTAACACGTCGGGATTTTGACACGCACGGTGTCGTCGTCTGTTGCCACTGCAATCCGTGTCCCTCGCCCCCCTCCAACATGGCCAGCGATTCTTCATCTACGCACGTCGCTGGGTGGATTTACTGGCAGTGCAACACGTTCGCGCAGTATGGCTAATATGTCCTCAACAGTGCGTGTTGAAGAGCCTGAAGTCCCAAATACACGTGAGATACACCCTTCTCCCCCTTCTCCTGATTATGGAAGTTGACAACACCCTCTAGCTGGGCGGCTCGCTACCCGGCTCATCAAGGACTGGTTTGCTGGGCGTTTACTAAACGACGGGGAGAATGAGGGCGTGTATAACTTTGCATGTCCCGCCCTGCGGGATCCTTTCGGCCGGGTCCCCGATGCAGATTCGGATCACGAGCTCGCAATCACCCAGTCCCAGAGTTATGACCAAGATCACGACCCCGAGGGCAAAGGCGGCACCTTGCTGTCGTGCATGTGCAGGTTCTGCCGCCACCACTTCGTCTTCAGAATCTCCCAGGGCCTCTGTCGAAGCACTTCGGCAAACATGATGCACCATTTTCTCCCAGCTGGAATGCAGTGGTTCGACAATGTGACAGTTGAAAACCGCCTCATTTCCCCGCTGTTTCCGCTCAGATGCAAAATTGCGTACAAGTGCTCAGATTGTGGGCAAGATGTGTTGCTCGAGATCACGGTGCCGCGGCTTGCCCCAGAATGGATCAAGATGATTACCGACGAGCAGAGGATCAGAGAGTCGCTGAGAGTTGCCAGAGAGGAAGACCCCGAACGATATCATGACGTTAGCCCAGCACGGGAGGATTTCTATGCGATGACCTCGCTCTCTACTCTCAATCAGTATTTGAAAAATGTGCTTGACGATGGTGGATCAGGAGCCCGCAAGAGAATCTCGTTTCGAAATAAGACTTTTTCGGTGCAATTCGGGCCTGCTTGCAAGCATATATTTGAATACCTTGGCTTCGAGGTAGAATTCGATGAGGAGACGGGCGACCATTACTGGCTGCCCCCGCAGTTGCTCCCTCAGGAGGGGAAAACGCCTCTAGGGTCCAGGAGAGCATTCTACGAAGACGTGAGGAGTGAGGTCCAAAGCCTCTTGGACGAAACCCCGCCTTCAAACCAGCCGGTCGTGAGGCCTATATCGGCCAAGGACCCCTTGGAGAGAGCCCTTGGCTGCGACAATGTCAATCAACGACGGAGCAGGCTTCCCATCGACAATGATGATGCGGCCGACTTCCAGACTCTCGGCGCAACAACGGACTCTGACGAATCCATGCTGAAATATGCCTACAGCCACCAAATCCGGACTGACCCAGCACACAAGAATGTCTATCTTGAAGCCCTAGGCCGGTTGGCTGGCCGTAGGGACATGGACTTCCAGCTGTTTGTTTTCAAGCAACAAGAAGATATACAAACACAGTTTGCCAAGCGAAATCCCGCGCCTCCTGGCAGCGACGACATAACGGATAAAGCCTATGCTCACTTCGGCCTCAGTAAAGACAGCTCCGGGGATGCGGTATATTTCATCAACGTGTACAAGACATATCGTGAACAATCCCCAGCACAGAAATCTCAACACCGGCTCAACCTGCTCCGGATCGGCGAGCATCGTAAAAGCCAGGCTATTCTGGACGAGGTGTACAAGACAGAGATGGAGCCTACTGAGGCCTATTCGTATCTTGCTGCTGAGCCGACTTGGCCCATGGAGAGTATTGCCGTTCTGGCACAAAGTTCGGTCATGGTTAGTCCATGCCTCTATTTCTGGTCAGCCGACAAAGCTAATACTTTACAGGACACTGACCTACAGCTTGCCATCATGGCCCTTGATGCGATCTCCCGAGACCGCCCAGTCGATGACCCGACTAGACCCGCTTTTGAGACCATATGCGCTGACCTGCGTTCACAACTCCCGCAGCCAAATGCTTCGCTCACTGACAAGACCGAGCTACCTGGGCCCGGTTCAACTGACATGGGAATTCCTGTCGGCCTCGGCAACCTTCGGAACACTTGCTACCTTAATAGCATCCTGCAGTACTTCTACTCTGTGAATGCTGTTAGGGATCTCGCCTTGAGTTCGGACCAACCTGCACTTGAACCCAGTGAGCAGGGTGTGCGGACTCTTCTGGGAAACATTGATGCGTCTGACTTGGAACCCGGCAGGGCCTTTGTAGGCCATGAGTGTGAGTTATCTTCTGAACACGAAACCTTGGCCTTCGGCTAGTATACTGACGCTTGTGCTCGTATGAACAGTCTCTCGCGAGCTATCTGTGTTGTTTAGGACTCTAGAGGGATCCAGGGAGAGTTCCATAACGCCCAAACAACGCCTTGCCAATGCTGCCTTGCTGCGACCTGAGAAACTCCGTACACAGTCAGCGAACGCGGCGGGCACGTCGGATACTGCTGCTGCAGATGCGCCGCCGTTGCCACCTCGCGCGGGAGAGAACAGCGAACCAAAGATTTCAGTCGATCCTGCGCTTCCGAGTTCCGAGACCGCTAGCGATGTTAGCTCGCAAACATTGGTAAACCAGCCTGACGATGAATCTTCCTATGTCGTGGTCGGCCATGCCACCCAGAAGCCCAATTCTATAGCCGCAGATGCGGATATGATTGGCGAACTGTCTGCTTCCGACCTCGTTGGTTCTGCGGGCGATGCCGTTCCGGACAATTCCAAACTGGCCATCGAAGAGCTCGCTGCTGAACTTGACAAGCCCAATGTTGGATCCGATCAAATGGATGTCGACGAGGTAATGGGAAATGCTATAGACCACCTCCGGGCTGCATTCAAGGTCACCCGCATCGGGGCTTCCGACAATGTTCCGGATCCTATTGAGCAGGCCTTCTTCTCAACCTTTATTGACAACAGGAAGAAGGTTGGCGAGGCCGCTTGGAACCACTCCACACGGTCGGATCGCTGGGTGACGGCATTCCCCGCCAAGTCAGGATCGCGCGACCTCTATGACGCTCTAGCTAATTCGTTTGACCTGGAACCACTGGCCCCCGACCTTTTGTCTTTCACCACCATTGAACGGCCTGCACCAAATTTTCACATTTGTATCCAGCGCTCTGACGGGGTCGGAAAGAACGCAAACCCCATCATCATACCCGAGACTCTATACCTCGACCGTTTTATGCACACCGGTGAGGGCGACTCTAGGCTTTTTAGGGCCAAGAAGCGAGCCTGGGACGTCAAGACAAGACTCAATGAGGTGTTGCAACCCGTGAATGACGATGCGCCAAAGGAGACAAGTGTGAATGGCACGACACCAACTTCCAAGCTCAACGTTGAGGACATGCCCAACAAGGACGATGTTGACGAATATCTGAGGGTGGGGGTGTCTGATGTCCTAGCACTCAGGCCGGTAGCCGCTAGTGAGGCGGACGCAGAATGGAGTATTATCAATTCTGCCATTAAAGAGATTCTCACCAAACACCCAACCACGACATCCGAGACTTCCCCCATGGATATTAGCGAACCGGACTCGAATGTTGAGAGGAGTTCTGCAATACCCTCATCAGAGCTCGAGGGTTTTTGGGACGAATTCAACAAACGGCAGACAAGTGAGAAGGAGATGCTCATGCTCGAGCGTGCAGCCATCTTCGATAGCATGCACAGAGTCCCCTACCGCCTGCATGCCGTAGTCTGCCATGCCGGATCTACCGCTTCCGCTGGCCACTACTGGGTATGGATACACGACTTCGAACAAGACATTTGGCGCAAATACAACGACACCAGGGTCTCTGTCCACAGCGAAGAATCTGTGTTTGAAGAGTTGAACACAAAAGGCGAACCGTACTACCTTGCATATGTTCTAGCCAAGGATGCTCACCAACTTGTCAGCATCCCACGGCGTCGGCAGCCAACGCCAGAATCTCAACCGCAGGGGCTCCAGCCACCTGATGGTGATTCTGAGATGACCGATGTTCGGTATAAAAAGACCGCAGCCGAGCACGTTGAGGACATTGGGATGGATTCCCTACCCTACGTTGCCTAGATACTTTCCGAAGCCCGGGCTCGTTACTTTAGTAGTTTTTCTAGTTCACCGAGGCATGCGACCTGTACATGATTATCAGACCCTGCATGATTTCTTCTTGCCTTGTCATTTCTACTCCGAAATTGGAAGGGTGAAGGATCCGGGGTCGTGAGGCAATTCTTTATGACTTGATGTATTGTAGAAAAATGTACTCTGTAGCTAAGGTGCTATAGCAGCAAGCAATCACCCTTGCAAACTCAATCATCACATTTCTGTAATATGTTGGGCAATATCTTAGAGTAGTCCGTGTTGTGGCTCGCAAGCCTCGAAAGGCGCTTGTCGTTTGAACTTGCACTTTGTTACTTGGTACCAACCGTGGGGATGCCTCTGATTGCTTTGTCTAGAGGCGGAAGTTTACCTACGGCTTTACAATATTGTTCAGATCGAACATGGCAATACTTCTTGCCTTTGAGAAGCGTCCACAAAATAATTTCTCGAAAATCCTGCTGATATGATGGATATGCACAGTGAACATGTCTTCCCCTACTCGTGCCAAAATAGCAGTAGAATCTTTTCCGCCCAATGTGACCCTGATTACCATATATACCCCGTCTCGTTGCTGTGCCGGTTTTCCGTACCCTCGTCGCCGCATGTCTGCCTCCCTAGGGCCGACACCATACGTCGTGGTAGCCAAATAGAAGAATAATATCGTAATCAAAGCCTCCCAAGTTCCCGCTACCTATACCGTCTCTCCTCGCTCTCCGTCTCGAAGTCAACAAACTCTCTCTCCTCTTCACTCTCTCAGTCCATGATCTGCCGCAACACGCGTATACTTAATATCATGACCAAGAGGCCGATGGTGACGACGATCAGCAGCGTGAAGCTGAACCAGCCCATGACCATGGCCGAGGTTCCGACGCCTGCCAGCACACTCCCGTTGCCAAAGTCCTGTGCTATGATGCTCGCGGCCACTGACGCCGTGTGCTGCCACAGGACAGAAACCAGGACGAAGATGGATGCGATGAATATGATGGCCAGCGCAACCTGGCTCACGGGCCGGCTGGGGAACGGCTTGACTTCGCGCTCTGAGCCTTCGCTGTCCTCTTCCTCGTGCCACCCCGGAAACGTCGCCAGCAGCAGGAGGCAGATGAAGGCGAGGATAATAGCAATGATACTAAAGGAGGGGTGGGAAAATCGACATGTTAGAGCGAGAGCATTGGGAGATAGGACGTCGAGGGAGGAGAGGCTCACAGAAGATAAGGGAACACGATGCTGTCCTTGAACTCGCTCGCGAGCCAAATGAGATTCAGAGGGTCCTGGTCTACCGATATCTCGTTGGCCAGCGTCGTCGCGTTGTTGCTGCACAGCCAAGAGCCGCCTTCAGGGTTCACGCAGATGCCGAAGTAGCCCACGCGCGCTTGAAGCCGTGCTCCGCCAACAATGTTGCTGATGGCTGTATTGACATTGTAGTCGACCTGCGCTGTGTCGGGCACGGCCGTGTAATGTTGGTAGTAGAGGGAGAGAAGGAAAATGTCGGGAATAAGAGGTGAGGATGATGAACAGCCGGCAAGCAGGAGGGCTGTAGAGCGCAGAGAAAGGAAAGAAAAACAGCGTCAGCGACTAGAGGGATTGTGCGGCCACGAGCCCGGGGAATCTAGCCTTCAAGGGGGGGGAGGATCGTACATAGTAATATGATTGCCACTGCTATCAAGATCATCAACACGTGGTGATATCCCAGGAATGGCACCCACCCTGTAACGTTCCTGTTAGCAAAAGCACATCGTGCCCGAGGAATGAGGGTTACCTACGGTACCATCCCAGCTGAAACCTCTCGGTAGCCATCTTTAGTCGGCTACTGTGGCGTTTTCTCGAACGTCTTGTCTCTGATGCCGCTTGCGGAGCCCACACCTGCCCTCCGCAGTGCCGGAGTGACGGGTCGGGTCGGGCAGCGCCTCCAGCACTCTTCTGTCAAGGCTGAGGAATGTCCTTTTGATGATTGTATGTACTGCTAGCCTTAGAATGTGGGTGGCGCCCGTCTGACTCTTAGCGCCTACTCGAGCCTCGTCTCGGTTCGTCTTGTCTTGGAAACTCGCTTGTGGTGCGTGTGTCTGGCAGCGCCCGTCAGGAATGCGACGGGGGGTGATGGGCTGGAACGAGAAACGTGATTCTAGAACAAGAGCAAAAGGTTAAAAGGGAGAGGGGACTCCTCAATCTGATGGTGTCTTATCGGGGCTCAGCAACTTCAAGCCTTGGTCGCAAAGCGAGAGCGCAAGAGTCCGGGTGCGTTGTCTGGCAGCGCCCTTCAGGAATGCGCCGGGGGGTGATGGGCTGGAACGAGAAACGTGATTCTAGAACAAGAGCAAAAGGTTAAAATGGGGTGAGGGGACTTCTCAATCTGGTGGTTTCGTATCGGGACTCAGCAATTTCAAGCCTTGGTCGCAAAGCGAGAGCGCAAAAGAGAGTCCGCGACCAAGATGTTTAGAATTGAGGCGGCGTTTGAACACAAAACACAATCGGCTGCCTTGCTTGCTGCTACGGCCAGGGGAATGCGTCAGAGGACACAGAGACAGATGGGGATGGCTGTTGTTGGAATGCGCAGAGGGTCTGCGGCAATGTGCAGGCAGAGGAGATGACCACACCTCCGGTAATAACAAACAATAATTCAGGAGACTTACGGAAAGAGAGCGACAAGCTTGATCGAGAGAGCAAGAAGCGATTCGATAAGTCGAAGTTTGCGCAAGATGCAAGAGGTTGGTTGCTTATTGGGAGTGCTAAAAACCCGAAGATTGCGTATGGATGTGATGTGTGTGGTATGCAAAAGTAAAGATCTCCCAGTCGAGTTTACTGCTGTGATGCTCTGGCTGCAGCTGGGAGTGGAGCTGTTGTCCTACCACCAAGTACTATTTACCTTGGCTCGTTGTCCGGGCACTGGCCGAACAGCTGCACCTAATCCGTCTAGGGGCTTGACAGCTGAGGTGGGCCGCTGCGTCAGCCCCTTGGCAGGGCCCCGCCTTGCCGACCACCACCGTTACCGTTGCCCCCCCAAAATTTCGTGGCAGGCTAGTGTCCGTACCTTGTCTTACCGTACCTTCCTTCGTACGGAGTTGGAGGAAGGTAACCGCAATCGCTCACCTGTGACCTTGAGTCCTGATCGATGTCAGTTCAAATTACAGGAACCTCCATATGCAGTACTAAGCAGTCTACTCCGTCTCATTGGAACTTCTATCATGCGAGTGGGTATATGAGCTTTATTGCCTATTTTGACTGGCACCTAGGGGGATAGGCGGTAGAACTTAAAAGACAACAAATGTTATGAACACCAATTTCAATCAAGGCTTGACTAATCTTCGTACATTTCGGAATCTTTTTTTTCGGATATCATTCACAGGTCATTATACATTCAATCGAACCAGTGGCAGGATGAAATGCCGGTTTCGAAGGCGCTGGATGAAATGCCACAGGTTTGATTCCTGACACAAACACGATTTGTCAGCGCTCGCGATTGGAAAGTCTCCGGCTCAGGCATATGAGGGGCTCCTATATCATGTCACTTGCTCGGCCCGCGAACAACTCCAAGGCAGATGTAATGTCTCGCAAACTTCGCCTACCCCCCCTATCAGACTTACACGTGCACGTAAAGCCTCGCCTTTCAACCCGCTTGCTCCGGCCGCCCTTCACATCATATAAAGCCATGACAAATTTCAACATCGACGTCGTTTCCGACGCCATATGTCCATGGGTGGGTTTTCTAATCTCGGTCTCCTCCCCCCGGCCCCGAGCAGCAACTTATAACGTCTGGCTCTCCATCGTAGTGCTACCTCGGCAAGAAAAGACTGGAACGCGCCATTGAGACATATAAGAATGACATAGCTGGCGGGGCCAATGATACCTTCACCATTGCCTGGCACCCCTTCTACCTCGACCCAACTCTGCCCAACGCTGGCATCAGCGCCAAAGTCCACCTGGCCAACAAATTAGGACCAGAGCGCATGGCTATGGCCCAAGCACGTCTTACAGCGCTTGGCGAGGCCGAGGACATCCACTTCACATTCAACGGCAAGATTGGAAACACGCGCGATTCTCATCGACTCGTCCAGCTGGCTAAGACCAAATCCAACGAAATTGAAAACAAGCTCGTTGCCGAGCTCTTCAAGTCGCAGTTTGAAGAAGATGGTGATATCACATCTCATGACATGTTAATTGCTGCCGGTGAGAAGGCCGGATTGGAAAACTCTGAGATCAAGGATTGGCTGGAAAATGGGAAGGGCGGCAATGCTGTTGACCGTGAGGTTGAGAAGGCGTACAGAGCCGGCGTCAGTGGCGTTCCGAACTTCACCATCAACGGGAAGTACGAGATATCGGGCGCTCAAGATGTGGAGACATTTATTGAGGGTTTTGTGCGTGCCAAGAAGTTCTTTCCGGATGTTAGCGGAGCATCATCGGAAGGATTGACCTGCTAAGACAACGCAGGTGCCGGGACAGGGTGCCGGAACCGGAAGGGAGACTCCGATTTTTAGACACTGCTTTCATCTCCGTACCGGAATTCGAGTTGAACACTGTGCTTTGCCAACAAGTTGAACTCCCGTGCTTACATGTTGAGCAGGCCGCCCAGATCAGCCTCGATAGCACGTAGTCTTTGCTGTAGCTCACGCTTTTTCTTGTCGAGTTCTCGAACCTCGTCCTCTTCCCGCTTTAGATCCGCGTCTGTGAGAATATCCGCCGGATCACCAGCTCGCTCCTTGATATCGTCGTCCTCGTCGTCAACCCACCGTTCCATGTTTATTCTTTCGAGCGCCTCTTGCTGTTCTGCCACCTTGGCCTCGTAGTAGTCAAGCGTGCCGCTCTGCTGTGCGTACTTTTGGCGCTGGGAGGGTATCCTCTCGAGTGCCCCGGGCAGCGGATACACGGTGCAGAGCTTCTCGGCGCCGTGCAGCAGCACCTCGATGTCGACATCGCCTCGGCCATCAACAGGAGCCCCATGCCCGCCGGGTCGCACGATTTGAGCGTGCAGGTCGCCGCCAAGTACCGCTGCCACGGCCGTGTTACGGCGTGCCGGCCCGCTGCGCGCCGAGTTGGGCGGCGGCCCAGTAGTTACTTCGCCCGCTGCAACATTGAATACGGTCTGCCGCCTCGAGGAGGGCTTGGGCGGATCGGGGTTCTGGCTCGTGGCAGTCAGGTGTGGTGGCGGAACGGAGAAAAGAGCGCGCTCATGGGCTTCAGTGTCTCGGATTAACGAGGTAATGTCATGGCTGGAGAGCAAGGCGTTTGTAAAGATCTTGGGGGGCGGAAACCTGGCAACGAATTTCGCGATCTCTGTTTCAGCAACTGGGCGAGTGTTGCTGACACTGTCTGGCAGATTTGCACTCACGGAAGACTGTCAATGCCCTGACATGACATGGAGATTTGCTCCAGGTGAGCCGAGAGAAGCGACATGGCGAACCATGTTTATTGTGGCAGTTGCGAATTGCTGGGATCGCTGCTCCAAACGCGCGGCGAAGGTAGGTAGGTAAACGTGGACACCAGCCAGACCCCGCCAATCACGTGCTACGAATCCCCCACCTTTAGTGCTGAGAACGTGTAAGTTCCGTTTCCGTACTCCGTACTGTGTACGTATAACAGTGGCCGAGCCGGTTCTGGAGTCAGCTGGCTGGTTCTCACTTCCCTTCTCACTATCGCTCTCACTATCGCTCTCCTTCTCACTTCACTAACACGCGCGACTCAAATACACGAGCAAGTCACAATGTGCGAGTGAGCAAGGAGGAAATATTAAAAAAAAAAAAAAGAATCATCTCTTCTTTTCTCTTCTCCGCTCATGTCATGTCTCGCTATCCATCAACCACACCGCCACACACGGCCTCTCATTTTAACAAGACCCAAGCAACAACAAGAAACTAAGACAAGACCAGCCCCCCTACCACGCAACACGTCAGTCCTATGCAATGCTAAACTCTGGAATCTCGCCCGTCTCCATCTTGACTTCGGTGCCGACCTTGTACGAGGCGCGCCAGCGGAGCTTGATGGCCTCGACCTTTTTGGACCTGTCGCCGGCGTGCCAGACGTGGTTGGCCTGGGTGACGCCGCGGCTCTGCTTGGGGGCCAGCGACCTGCCGGACTGGAGGCTCACCAGCTGCAGCTCGTAGCCCTGTATTTTTTCTCGCGTGTCAGCCACCACATATATCAAATAATCGGTAAGAAAGCGAACGCACCTTTGTCACGGCAAGCTGGAAATGCAGGTCCGTCACGGGCTGGGCCGTGTTATTGGTGAACATAAACAATAGGCTGATGGCAGCGGCGGCGTCGAGGGACCGGTTGGCTACGAGCTCAATCTTAAGGTTGGTGTTGCTGGCCACGACACGTTGCTCCTTGGGGTGCTGCGGTTGGGGCGGCGGAGCCTCGGGGGGCAGTGCCGACGAAAAGGACCACTCGTCGTCGTCATTAGCTGCCGCTGGCGCCGGCGCCGGGATAGGCGTGGAAGAGTAGGAAGAGCGCGACCCTAGCGCGGTGAAGGGGTCCGCTCCCGCCAGGGGAGCATTCGAAGGGGGGGGTGGGGAAAAGGCGGACATCATGGATAGCGGTGGCTGCGGCGTGGTGGGCTGGGATCCTTGAGCTTGAGCTGATACATACGAGTTGAAATTCGAAAAGGGGGATGCGGGCGGGGGAGATGTATTTGATCCGGGCGGGCCTTTTGCCCTGTTACTTTGCGTCACTGACGACAACAGTGCAGGGCCAGGGATATCTGCATCATGTTAGAACCCGACAGACAATACTGTGATAGGGGGAAGCGACAGCACATACTCGTGTTGGCCCCAAACCCTAGAGCTATACCTCCCGCCTGGCCGTAGCTGGGGGGCCCGCCTAAAGATAACCCAAGGAGGTCGTTCTCGAGACCGGCGGTCTGGGAGGCAAACTGGGAGGCGGTGCCGTTTGTGTCGTCGAGGTCTATCAGTGACAGCTCATTCGCTGCGCCTTTTTTGCTTGCGCTGCTTGCCGGGATGGGGGCGCCCATGGCTATTTGCTTGGCCGCTTCAATGTCGCCCTTTTTAAGCAGCTTGTAGCGCTCAACAGTCCGGTGTATGCTGTCGTTGATCTCGAGCAGCTTGGCCACGGCCTCGTGGTCGTCTGACTCCTCTTCGCACATCTTTTGGATCTTGGGCTGGGCGCTCGACAGGGCGGCGGCGAGCTCGGAAAAGACGTCGCCATCGGCCATCTTGTCGCCGGGCTTGAATTCTTGTAACCTCTCCTCGAGCAGGCGGGCCTTTTGCTGAATCTTGCCCACATCCTCGGCGGCCTTGGCGCGGTAGTCAACCTTGGTGCGCGTGTCGTAGCCGGCCATGACCTTCATGAGCTGGTTAGCCTCGCGCAGGTCCTCGGGTGTGCCCCTCCGGATGAGCTCCTGCAGCTTAGCAGACTGGGCCTCACGCTCCTCCTCCTCCATCTCCTCGGCCGACTTGAGGTTGTCACTGGGGTTCAGCACGGCAGCATCCTCGCGCCTGACCTCGGGGAAGGTGTAGCCCTTGTAGCTCAGCAGGCGGTGCATGTCACGGATGAAACCCAGGTCCTCCTTGTAGCGGCTCGTCTCGCAGATGGTGCCGCGCCATTCTTCTATCGCCTCGAGTATCTTGAGCTGGACACGGGTGGGACGGATAGGGGGCCGTTCGGGAAAGCGGCGCACAAGCTCGTTGAGGAACTCCTTGGTGCTGATCTGCAGGTGGAAGGGGTAACCGCAGTTCTTGACGCAGATGTCAAGCAGGTTGAGGGCGAGCAGCGAGACGTTGGGGTTGCGGTGGTTGACGAGGTTGACGATGGCGACGGCGGCCTCGCGCGGGGTGGAGCCCTTCTTGGCGTTGATGAGGTCGGAGATCTCGAGGTTGAGGGCGAGGTTGGGCTCGTAGTTCTCGGCACTGCAGGCCGCCTGGATGAAGCGGTGCAGCTGCGACGGCGGCGGATAGCCTGTCTCGCCCCAGCGGTCTCTGGCGGCGTAGCGTGCCGAAGCTGCCTCCATGGTCGGGAGAGGGCTGGAGGTGTTGCTGCCGAGATCAAGCAAGGTCGGGTCCGTTCGGGGTCGGGGTTGGGTTAGCCGTCGGCGGCGATGCGATGACGATACCTTAGCAGCAGCAGCAACTGTTGTCTGCTGTTCACTCCACTGCAGCTTGTCCACTTGGTAGAGGCGACTGTGTGGGAGTGCCGACTGCGCAGCTTGGCGCAGCTTTAAGGGGCAATGTCTAGTGACGAATTACCAGGCAGATTAGGTGAATGGCTTCAATTTCAGGCCACCGTCAATTGATAGGCGCCACATCCGTCCATCAGTAGCAGGCAACCTTGCGGCGTAGGTAAGGGGTGTATTGTATCACGCATTTACTGTATTTACAGTATAACTTTGAGGGTAAGGTGTGTGTAGTGTAAATACGGAGTACAGACAACACGGCATCATAAGCTACAGTCCATAGTAGTGTCCGTACCCGTATCGGAGCCTCGGGACTAGCACAGAGCTTGGGCTAAATTACCCCTTGATACGGGTAACCCACCTGCCTCTCATCGACCGCCTCAGCGCATAAGGTATCCTTTAGATTGGGCTTGAATCATAGTTGCGCCGCTGTGTAGTGGGGGGTTGTCTATCTCGAAACAAAAACGGTAATTTGGCAGAGCGGGGGAGGGGCGTTATCAACTGCTAGACAAGCTGCAGTTACCCCACCAAAGTTGAAATCACAAGATCCATGGATCGTTCATCCCACCTTGCGGCTTCACCATTTCATCGTATATCTCAGTAATACTTGGACGCTATAAAATGCTTGTTGATATGCCCTAGGTCCAGAAAACACAGACTAGGTACATATCTCTCGTCTCCCAACACCGGTGTTCCCTCCTGTTACAGATACTCGCGCTCGAAATGGTGCGCCACAAGAAGGACAACTTTTCATCGCGGGGCAAGCACATCCATCGAGGACCGCCGCGGGGCTCTGCTCGACGACTCGAGGCTGCCGACGGCAGCGACAACCACCACAACGACGGCGATGAGGGCCAGCCCCAAAATTTCGCGCGGCCCGTCTTCAAGGCAGCCTGCTGGGACTTGGGCCACTGCGACCCTAAGCGCTGCTCGGGCAAGAAGCTGATGAAGCTGGGACTGATGCGCGAGCTGCACCTCGGCCAGCGCCACTCGGGCGTCATCATCACTCCCAATGGCAAGACGGTCGTGTCGCCCGCAGACCGGCCCCTGCTCGAGCAGTTCGGCGCCGCCGTTGTCGAGTGCTCGTGGGCCCGCACCAAGGAGGTCCAGTGGGGTAAGGTCGGCGGCAAGTGCGAGCGCCTGCTGCCCTACCTCGTCGCCGCCAACTCGGTCAACTACGGCAAGCCCTTCCGCCTAAACTGCGTCGAGGCCCTGGCTGCTGCCTTCGCCATCTGCGGCCACCTCGACTGGGCCCGCGACGTGCTAGCTCCCTTCTCGTACGGCTCCGCCTTTCTCGAGATCAACTCGACGCTGCTGAGAAAATACGCCGCCTGCGAGGACGCAGCCGCCGTCAAGAGGGCCGAGACGGATTGGATGGAGCGCCTGGAGAAGGAATATGCCGATAGCCGAGACGATGGCGGTGATCCGTCAGCTGATCTCTGGGAGGGCGGCAACGTCAATCACCGACGGGTGATGGACTCCGACGATGACGAAGACGACGAAGATGACGACAAAGATTCGCAAGACGGCAGCGATGGTGAGGACGGCAGCGTAGACCGAATCTATCTCGGGAGCAAGCCGCCGCCGCTCCAACCGGGCCTAAAAGACAAAGACCCCTTCGCGATATCGGACGACGACGACGAAGAAGAGGACGACGCGGCAGAAATGGAGGCGATCCGCCGTAAAATCCTCGCGTCGAAGCCGTTCGCAAGAGACCCTGGGGACGAGGCCGACGGGAAGAAGACGATCAAAGCGCCCGAGGCCATCCCGCGCCTTGCACCACCACCGCCGTACCACCAGCAACAGCAGCAGCAGTTCAAGCCCGACTCGGACGCCGAGCCCGACTCGGACAACGGCTCGGACAACGACGGGATTGGCGACGACGAGTTCGACAACATCATCAACGCGACGCCCGTCACGGACAGGATAGGGCTCGCCAAGCTCGAGAAGGAGCGCGCACTGCACACCACGACCACCCGCACGTTTTCGTCGGCCACGATATCTGCGCCGAAGAGGCGGTGATGTGTGACTGGTTCTAGATAGCTTTAGTATCTATCAACTATCAACCCCAGAGCCATCCTTCATAAGTTCCGAACCCGCTTCGTATATATGACACATATATATTTTGCTGGCCTTCTTGTAACTATGTTCCGCATACAAAAAGAGGTACTTCCCGTTGTCGTCCCTCTTGGTATCAGACTTGGATTCTCTATTATATTTCGGTTACAACCAAGTCTGAATTGAAGAGATACCTATATATACAAGTATAACTAAGGTAGGTATAGATACATTTCGCTACCTTGCGAGGTCGTAGAATGTTTGTTATTGGTGTTAAAACACAAATAGAAATCTTTAATCTACAGCATAAATAATACAACACGGATGGGACCAACCCCAGCCCTCTACTATATCTATCATGCAAGATTTGTACAAGATTATTCTTACAGCCACCTCTTCTCCTTGATCTCCTCGACCACTTGGATGTTGTCGCCAACGCGTAGCTCGTCCCATTCCTCAAGCGAGATACCGCACTCAGATCCCTTTCGCATCTCGGCCATGTCCTTCTTGCCGTTCTTCAAAGTATCAATCGACCCTAATTAACATGATATTAGCAAGATTTAAACGATGACGCCGAAGACACATCGGCGAGGTGATATAAAGTAAATATATTTGGGAAAAGAAATACCTTTGAAGACCTCCTCACCGTCGCGTATGACGCGACATGTCGAGTTCCTGGTGATCTGGCCGTTCCTCACCCGGCAACCGGCAATATTTTTGAACACGCGGCCCTTGAGGTTGATGGGGAAGAGCTTGAGAACCTCAGCCTCGCCCACGACCTTGATCGTGACTAGTGGTTCGAGCATTTCCGACAGCTTGCCCCGAATCTCTTCGACCAAATGGTAGATGATGTTGTGGTCGAGAATCTTGACGCCAGCGTCGTCAGCCATGCGCCTGATGTGGGCCGGGACCGTGTTGTTGAAATTGATAATGGAGCTTTCCGACGTCGCAGCGTGCTCGACATCAGATTCGGTGATCTGCCCTGTCCCAGACTGCAAGATGCGCGGGCGGACCTCGTTGCTACCGACTTCTAGGACCGAGGCGCACACGGCTTCGACAGACCCGTGTACGTCGCCCTTGACCACGAAGTTGACCATCTTAATCTTGGGCTCCTCGACCTCGGCGTCGGCCGGCGCTGGCGCTGGCACCGGCGCACCCCTGCCCCTTCTGTCTCGGCCTTCAGCAATCGCCTTCTCGCGTTTCTCCTGTTCACGATCCCGCCTTTCTTGCCCTTGCTGCGTCATCTGTGACACGGCCTCTTCTCTCTCCTTCTGCTCGATGCGGTAGCGGGCGGCGCGTTTGGCCCTGTTCTCGTTGGGTGCTTGAAGGACCAGGTCGCCCGCGTTGGGAGGCTCTTTCCACCCGAGAATCTCGACTGCCGTGCCAGGGGGGGCCTCACCGATCTCGTGGCCGGCTTCGTTCCGCAACGTGCGAATTCTTGCGGCGACGTCGCCCGCCACGACAAAGTCTCCGGGCCTGAGGGTCCCCCGCTTCACCAAGACCGTGGCCACCCGGCCGATGGGCTTGATACTTGACTCGAGAACCCACCCCTCGGCCATGCCGTCTGTCTCGGCACGTATATCCAACATCTCCGAGAGGAGGAGGATATTCTCCTCGAAGTCGGCCATTCCTAGGCCAGTCTTGCCGCTGACGCAAACCACCTGCACGTCACCGCCATAGTCCTCGATCTCTACACCTTGCGCTGCCAGGTCTGACTTCACGCGTTCGACGTTGGCATCGTCCTTGTCAATTTTGTTGATGGCGACAATTATGGGCACCTTGGCGGCACGCGCGTGTTTCAAGGCCTCGATGGTCTGCGGCTTTACGCTGTCGTCGGCAGCGACAACCAGGACAACAATGTCGGTCACTTGCGCGCCTCGCTGCCGCATTGTCAAGAAGGCCGCGTGGCCCGGCGTATCGAGGAAGGTAATCGGTTTGCCCGTCGACATGGTCACCGAGAAAGCGCCAATGTGTTGGGTAATGCCGCCGTGTTCCTGGCTCACGATGGAAGACTTGCGCAGCCAATCCAGCAGCGTTGTCTTGCCGTGGTCGACGTGGCCCATAATTGTGACGACGGGCGGGCGCAGCGGCAGTGAAGCAGGGTCTTCGGGCGGGGGGCGGAGCTTGAGGTCATCCTCCTCGCCCTCGTCCACCGTCGGCTCAAACCCGTATTCCTGGGCCACGAGGCCGGCCGTTTCGCCTGTCAAGATATGTTCCCGGCTGACGTCTTGGAACCCAAGCTCCCCCAGCTGTTCAAGAAACAAGTCGACCTTAACCCCGAGGGCAGCCGCCAGATTCGCCACGCTGATGAACTGCGGCAACATGATTGGAATCGGTCCAGCTTGCTCTAGTTCTAACTGCTTTTGCCTCTCCTTTTCTGCTTTCTTCTCTGCCTTGAGACGCCGCCGTTCTCTGTACGCCTCGTCGTCAAAATCCTCATCCTCTTCCCCGCCCTGGCTTCTGTATTGAGGTCTTGCCTTTTTGGTGGTTCTCTCGAGGCTTGCGACACGATCATTGCGGTCTCGTCGCCGACGCACAGAATCATCCTCACGATGAAAAGAGTGGCTCGGGATTACGAAGCTCCCAATGGCACTGCGATGTTGGGGCTTTACTTCGTCGGCATGTTTATCCACCCAGTCCCAGGAACTTGGCCCTGACGAACCAATCTCTGGTTTGTCAGAATTGGATGTTAGGCGCACAAGATCTTCCCACTTAGAGCCTTGACCCATAGCCACAGGCTGTCCTGGTGGCTTGGTGGACAGTCCCCGATCCGTTGCCGGTGGAAGTTTCTCCATACCGCTGCCAGATACTTGGCGCTCGATTTCATCCCAGCTGGAGGGTGGTCGTTTTGGAAGAAGGGACGGGACATCTCGTAGCTCAGTATCTTCCCAGCTTAGTGCTGGCTTCGCCTTTAGGTGTCCTGGTGGATGAATGGATGGTCCCAGGTCCGGCGCTGGTGAAAGTCTCTTCACAACGCGGCCAGACCCTTGGCGGTCGGCTTTACTCCAGCTGATGGGTGGTCTTATCGGGCCACGGGACAGGCTACCTCGTGGCTCCCAAGTTGGTTTTGCCCTAAGCCGTCCTGGTCGCTCGATGGATAGTCCCCAGTCCGGTGCCGGTGGAAGTCTCTTCGTAGCACTGGCAGACACTTGGCGCTCGATTTCATCCCAGGTGGAGGGCGGTCTTGCTGGGGCACGGGACAGGTTATCTCTTTGTACATTTCCTTGAAATGCGCCCAAATTTGGTGCTAGTGCCAGTTTCGATTGTAACGTAGCGCTACCATGTGGTTTGCGCTCAATATCTTCCCAGCTAGGCGGTGGTCCTGGTGACTTATTTCGGTTGGCTACTTCGTGCCAAGGTGCTTGTGGCGGGTACTTGCCAGTCAGGCCCCTCGTGATCGGTGGTCTCCTCTTCGGTAGAGCAGGAGCTGTCTGTGGTGGCTGATATATTGTAGAAAATATGCTACTCTCCACGTCGTCCCAGGTCAGCTGCTCCGTATCCGGTTGCCGTCCCGTCAGCTCTCGGGTTTTCGTAGAAGCCGGCACATTGGGACCAGCACCTTTAAGAACACCCCCTAATGGAGATTCCAATTTCTGGAGCACGTCGGCGGGCGGTACCTGGTGCTTGTCTCTGGAATAAGCCAAATATCTATCGCGGTCTTTCTGTCTGTAATGTGCCATTTCCGCTGTTTCTGTCGGGTCTCGGGGATCACGCCGTGGCCTCGAAATAAAAATACGACGGCCAATAGGGGTTGATTCCGGAGGTGAGGACGGATGACGTTTCTCTTCCGGTATGTTTGTTGGAGCCGGCTCCGGCTCCGGCTCCGGCGCCGGCGTAGTGTGTTGCGATGCGCCCCATGTCGGCCTCGAATCTTGAGGCTGGGTCGGGGATGGCGAGCTCAGGCCCCAGCTCGCAGTACCCGACGACGAGCTAGAGTATTGCTGAGACGCAGCGGAACGGAGAGTTGCAAGGCTCAGTCTGTAGCGGCAGAGCAAACACGCAGACGGATGCTTTGCAATCTGCACCCGAAGCGAGATATTAGTACCACCATCGCCATTTGATCGCGGGGGGGAACGAGTAGCGCTAGGGATCGAGACGAGTAACAAAGGCCAATGCAGTCGATGGCTTACCTCTAATAGCCTGCCCCTCATCATGTTGGTATCTTCTGGGGCATAGCTTTGCAGAAGGCGTGGAATTTGGGGACAGGCGAATCGATGGGTTTGGCCGCGTCGCCGTAAAAAATTAATTGGCAGATTGATCGCCAATCGCCGGCGTCGGCTTTCCACACAACAGGGCTTAAAGGCCACTCACCTTAGCAGGAGCTTGGGCGTTGCTTTTGGAGAGGGTTAGGGTTGAATGCTACAGCATCGAGGTCCTAAACATCAGAACAAGCAAAGCACCCACCTACCTTACGTAGAATTGCATACCTATTGGATCGGACACCCAGGTTCAGTTTGCCCATTTCCCCCAACTACCCGCATTGCATCGCGTCTTTATTCCGTATAATTCCGCTTACTTATTATTGTCTCGTTCCGAGTCTTTTCATTCTGCGCTTCCAAAGGGTCAGCCTAGTCTCCCATTCATATTAAAAAGAAACCTCCCCGCCCACCACCCGCCATGGCGCCACCAAGGAAGCCCAAGCAGTCGGCGATCAAGAGCAAAGCCTCCAGCTCTTCTTCTTCGGAGCTCCCAGCGCCGTTCAAGCTAGCCCCAGAAAAGCTGAAGCCGCTCTACTCCAACCTCTCCAAGAAGCACGTCTACGTGGCGCACGTCGACTCACGGCCACGCGACTTCAAGCGCAAGATCTTCGTGGTGCCGGTGCTGATGAACGTGGCGGTGGCGCTGCTCTTCGCGCTGCGCATGTGGTACGTGGCGCCGTGGTACCTGCGCGTGGTGACGTCGACGCTGGGGTACGCCAACGAGACGACGGTGCGGGCGGCGGACCTGAGCTGGCGCGCCGGGGCGCTTCTCGTGCTGCGGCGCTGCTTCACCTTCATTCTCGACTTCAGCCTAGCCGTGTTCGTGTGGCCGTGGCCCATCGAGTTTGTGTTCGGCCCCATCATGGCCAAGGACGCGCGTGGCACCGGCAGCCCCGTCGGGTGGCGGTGGGTCATCGGGTTCCGGGACCAGGAGATCTACGTGCGCCGCAGCCGATCGTGGGACCAGGCGCTCGGCGACGTGACGGCCGACGCGGCCGAGGGGGCCGAGGGCCGGGAGCGGAACGTGCTGTGGGCCCACGTGCGCGAGGCCATGTCGCCGCTGCTGCTGCAGCAAAAAACGGGCTACCTCACCATGAATGCCGATTGGGATCTGGACTGGAGCGCCATGGTGCACGCCACGACGCTTGTCGACACCGAGATCGTCCCCCTAGACACGTTCCGCTCGCTGGTGCTGCTGCATCACAAGCAGCACGGCTGGCTCATCTTGGAGCTGGCGACGAGCGAGACGCCCAAGGAAGAGGAGCGGCGTCGGCAGGTGTTTGCCTTCCGGGACGCGCTGCAGGCGCTCGGCAAGGAGGACCTCTTTTACAGGTGGATCGAGATTATCCAGTACGAGACTTCGCAGCCCGGCGGATTTTCCACCGAGAGGCAGGCCGAGGTTGCCCAAAAAGTCAGGGACCTGTTCAAAGCCAGCGGTATTGACTTTGACAAGTTCTGGAAAGAGAGTGTCGGCACTGATACTATCGATGGGTTGTGATTAGAAAGCGCATCTACAAAGTTCAGGAAGTTGAGCAGAGCCTCCACCCCTAGATCACATAAGTATTCATGTTTATTGTGAGGTTAGTCCGCAACCTTTGTACTGTACAAAACATGGTCGCCTTGTATTAGACACATGTAAGATAATTCGCGGGACGCCAGGCGATAATTTCGAAGGCAGCACGTAGATAAGGATCCTAAAAATAAACGATTCATGAATAATAAAGCTAAGACAGGTCGCTGCAGCAAATGCTGAAGAAATGTCATCGCTTCAACCTGCATGGATCTACATGGAAACAATAATAAAAGGCCTCTGACAGCGGCTTCATTTCCTGTGCTTCGCGCCCTTTTTGCTCGGCCCCATGGCTGCTTCACGCTTCTTCTCTTCCTTCAACTTTCTGAGTCGCTCCTCCTCTTTCATATTTGCCTCGCGGTCTTCTTTTTCAGCCTTAACAATGGGTCAGCACTTGTTCAGCAGACATAGAGTCTCGTATTAGTTAGTAGGTCAAAAGGCTGTCGCAGCACATACCTGCTTCAAAGCCGCTCTAGCCTCTCGCTCCTCTCGGATGAGCCTCAGGCGGGCCAAGTCCGCCTGGGCCTCGTCTGTCTTACCCGCCTCGTGCAGCTTTCGGTATCTCTCTTTGGCCTCTTGGGCCTGGGCAGATTCGCGCTCACGCCTGTTCGGCGTTCCCGCGCTCACGGCGAGCTTCTGTACACCCTCGGTTGCTTCGTCCACTGGGGTTTTGGGTGGGGCCTTGGTTTGGTTACGGGATGCGCGCGAGTGATTGGGGTTGGCGGGCATATCCTCAGCATCGCTGTCGTCCGAGTCGTCAGAATCGCTCGGGGGGAGGTCGCCAACCTGAACGGTTTGGCCCCTGGCCCTTGCAACGGCTGCTTCCTTGCGCGCCTTCTTCTCCTTCTTGCGAGCCTCGCGGTTCAACTCGGCCGCGGGCGTCTTAGAGGGCCCGGCATCGTCGGAGGACTCTTCCTCGGAGGACTCTTCTTCGCTATCCTCGTCGTCGTCATCATCGTCGGAGCCATCTTTTTTTTTCCCATCCATGCTCCAAATGCTGATTTCGTTACCGTCGGCGTCGAGGGGCTTGAGATCGCGCGAAAAGTGCTTGCCGCCTAGAGCGCATTTCAGTCAGCCTGGGACCTGGAATCGCAAACAGTGAACACGCAGGTTTAGGGCTATCCATACCTCCTCGAGTGAATTTTCTAAACTTGCCGCCCCGACCACGCGAGTTAGCACCAGGAGCACCTGCGCCGCCTGCCATTTTGAGATAGAATTCTGCTTGTGAAAGCGGTGATTTCGGCGAAGGAGGGGCTGAAACGCAGGGTATGGCCTCGACAAAAATTTATGGTTCAAGGGACAGAGAGCCTGTACGATAGCGAGCGGGTGGTTTTAGTTGCCGATTGTTCAGTTATCCTGGATAGATGATGCCTTGTAGAGGGAAAGACGGCGAGATTAGTGCGGGCACGGGCGAAAATGATAGAGAAGACGTCGCACGGGAGGGAGGAGGGGTTGGCGCGAGCAGCGGAAAGAAAGACTCACCCCACCACTCACAGATTGAGTGCTTGATCGCATTGGAAAAGCCACCAAAGCCTTACCCCACTTTGGTAGCGGACCCGCCGCCACAGCACTGCTGACTCAACTTGGCGGCGCCTGATTTAGGCTGCTCTTGATTGGCTAGTCTGGCCCCACCCGGAAAGGTTTGAAGGCCTTTAAAAAGCTTTTCGACGCATGCCGCATGTTTCTTTTTCTTCTTCTCTTCATCATAAAACTGTCTTCCTCCCTATTCACTCTGGCTTGAGTCTTCACTATGGCATTCTAGAGGGGAAATGGGAGGATAGAAAAATATTCTTGTCCATGCTCGTTCTTGGCCGCGCAATTGCTTCCCGCCGCGCAGTTGGGGACGGTGAATTATTTCAGCATGCCAGACACATACTCAACCTCTGCACTTTCTTTCGTCTTGACTCGCAATCTGTAGGCGCTGGCGCGTGACCAGTCAGCCCTGAGGAAGAGGGCTTATTTGCTTGGGTTGCTACGCCTCATTGCGAGTTATTGACTGTTCAAGTGTAGTGCACCTCGCGTAAGGCAGATTGCCTTTGCTTAGACACTTCTGCGGCTGATGCCTATCCTGCAGTAGCTGCAATGGCAAATCGCAAAGCTTTTACAATTGTTTTCTCCGAGGCTTGTTCAATATGCATGTGTTGTGTCGCTTCACATCACAAACTCTGGGTAGGCGGCCTCGGCTTCAGTCGTTGTCCCGTGCATCGCATCAAGTGATGTATCTGAGTCAGTTTCCGCCCAAAGTCTTTGATAAAGCCATAATCCCTTTGTGAAACAACTTGTCTTTGACAGTCTTCTGTCTCGAGTTTTTCCCACAAGGACAGAACCAAAACGTCTCACTTCAGATTTCTTTGTTGGGCTCTTGCATAACAGCATAATTCGGCCCTAGCTTAATGATGCCTCACCCCTGTTTCTTACAACCACGACCGATTCTGAGCCGAAGCACTTTCATAGCACCGGGACGGACAAGCATATACGAATAACACCATGGCTCCGCGGAGCACAACAAAGCCAACGTTGGGGCACTGCGCCCGTGACCCTAAGCACAAGATGCTATTGCCGCCACCGCTCGAAGTCTTCTTCATGAGCGGATCGGACGTCGTGCCTGACCAGGAAGTCGACAGGGACCGGCCTCGCTGCCCGACGTGCGATTTCGAGAAGGCCACGAAAGGGGAGAAGGCGGCATGGGAGCGATACTCGTCAGGAGACATTGACGACTGGGTCTCGACTCAGACGAGCAGGCTCAGGCGTGGAGACATATCGTCGTCTGAGTACAAGGCTCTGATGGCCAACTGTGACGACTTAAAGGCTCGGACGCTCAAGTACCGGCAGGGTGCCGTTTTTCTCGCTTGGATGGCCTACTGGGCCATCTGGACAAAACCTTCTGAGCACAACAAATACCCCCTCTGGCCTGAGTAGACCTGACTGTCGGCCAACACCATGTCGCCGGCTTTTGAAGGACTCCCAGAATACCAAGTCGTTCGTAACTTGGCAGTCGGCCCAGTAACACAGCTGAGAACCGCAAACATGGGGTCACTTGTACCGGATGATTACATGAACTGACAGCAGAAGGTGCTATCCTGTTTCCTAAGTACAGACACCCAGACCCGGTTCGGTTTGTTGCGAGAGCCCGGATCCAAAAATCGCCAAATTGCACAAGTTAATGGCTTGGAGATAATAAAAGCAACTATTTCCCCTATAATAAGAAGACCTGTGAAGTTTTGACAATGCCTTTTATCGACACAATGCAAATTCGAAAACCTCATAAGAGCTTGCAATGTTGCCCTAACCAAGAATCCAGGCCACCTTGGTAGACCATCATGTTGTCATACGTAAGGTACTTGGCTACAGAGTGCAGACCATGGCCTGTTGTCAAACACATTGGACGACAGGTATGGGGGACTCTTCGCAGAGCCGTGGGGGCTTCTGGTAGATCATTTGGCCCCTATTCTGCCCTGCCGGCCTGTTCTGATAACCCGAGCTTCCACGGCCACAACAAGCAGCCAGTTGCGGTGAGATTTCAGCAATTCCAGCTGCAACGCCGCCGTGTTTCATAATAATCTGTGGGCAAACCACCGGCCGAGGCGGCCAAAACACGGCCGCCGGCCAACACACCCACCCGCTTCCCCGGCTACTTGGGGGCCACGTATATAAAGTGAAGTGGCCGGGTCCTGTGGAACCGTGGGTCCCCAAGTTAATTATATCAGGCTGATCAACGCTCCTTTCTTTACCTATCACCTTATTTGCGTGTCTTTTTACTTTCACTTGCCTGGCACAAGACAAAGGATCATGGGCGGAAAGAAGAAACAGCAGATCCAAAAACAAGTTAAACAACACCACCACCAGCAGCACGATGTCGAATACAACAGCTGCTGGCACGCGACGACATCGACCAAGCTCCCGCCAACGATCAAGGAGGTGATGGACCAGTTCCCCGACGTGGTGCCGGACCTGCGCGTCGACCGCAGCCAGGTGCGCTGCGTCGAGTGCGACCAGAACGCCGCCTTCGCGGAAGAGGGCGTGCTGTGGAAGCAGTTCAACGTCATCCCCGGCGCCGAGCACCTGGCCGACTTCAAGGACCTCGAGCGCGAGCTGGCGCGCGACGGCACGCTGGTCGGCGATGACCTCGCCCTCGTCAAGGACAAGGACAATGCCGCCCGCCTGCTGCAGCTGTCGGCCAGGAACAAGCAGGCCGCCTCGTACCTCGCCTACAGCAAGCTGTGGGGGATATGGGGCAAGGTCGCGAAGCCAAAGCTCAATCTGCCCATGCCCAAGAGGCATGCGCATCCCGCCGCTGCCCCTGAGACGGCATGACGGCAGTTTTAGAATGGGGGGCGGGTTTTTAAACCCGGTAATCAAACCATTGGCATCTTTCATGTTTTCTTTCTTTCCTCTTGTCTTTCCCTCTCCCCCTTTATCAAATGCTCTCAAGCCATTCCTCATATGTCGGATACCCCCAGATTATGAATGTCAGGTGTAGAGAGGTTCACAATTTAACAAAAGAAACTCAGATTTAAATAACGTGCCTGACTGACTGTCCCAGTAGACCTGATGATGGCATATATGTTATGTACCTTGTAGAGCCTGAATGGCCTTTTGAAAAACAAAACAAAACAAAAACAGTGCTGGTCGCACAGGTCCAATGATCTCCCTCTCCAAGAGTGAAATAGAAACCCACATCAAACTTCGAACGCAGACCTTTGGATGAGCTCCTCCGGCTTGTGGATCTGCACAAACAGATCGCCATCGCCAAAGGCGAACTTGTCGCCCTGCACCTTGTCGCCCTGCGTGCACTGGTCTATGACGAATCCCGCGCCTCGCGCGACGTCGTTGATATGCAGAAACCACAGTCAGTCAGTTATGGCCTATTAAGTGTACCAAGGTGTTTCTTTCTTTTCTTTTTCTTTTTGTCCATTTTTGGAAAAAATGAAAAGAGTAAAAGGAAGCTAGATCCAGTCCTTTATCTCTTCCCATTTTCAAGAGAAACAAAACATAGAAAAATAAACTGTGTGTGTGTGTGACAGACTTACCAAAAAGACGCCGACCCGCCCAGCTGGTTCTTGATATCGAGGCCCGTGATGACGGCATTGCCGAGCTGGCAGAACGTGGCGACGTCGACGGCGCGGCACTTCTGCGTGCCCTTGCGCGCGAGCTCCTGGATGCACGCGACGGCGTCGGGCACGGCGGCGTCGGCGCCGGGGATGGCGCTGCACTGGGCGATGGGCTTCGAGACGGGGCCTCGCCGGCGTGCGGCTGTTGTTGTGATGAATTTTTTCCCTCTCTGGTCAGTTTACGATGTGCTTCCGCGGCTAACAGAGGGGAGGGAGTATGTGACGTACAGTCGGCGCTGCGGGTGGCTTTGTAGAAGGCTGTCACGGCTTCGTCGGTGGAGAGGTGCTCGCCGTGAGGGTCGGCGCTGATGGCTTCGGCTCAGGTCTGGAAGGAGAAAGAGGAGGGCTGCCCGGCAGAAACAGCTGCCGTTGGGGCTGCTGCCGCAGCTTGGTCCATGGCCAGGAGGGCGACGGTAGCAGGGATAATAGACTTGACCATGGTGAATGTAGGGGGTATGGGTACTGGGAGGCAGTTGCAGGCGTTATGTATTAGAAATAGGTATTTGTAGTGATTATCTGTCTCAACAGCAACTTCTAGACAAAGGTATCGTGACTTCTTATAAATGCTACAATGCACACACTATATACCCGAGGTAGGAGACTAGCGGTAGATATCCGTGCGTAGTAGATAGTGCTATGATAGAAATAGATCGCCGGCTATGGCATCCTCGCGAAACTATCGTCACCCATGTCTTCGCCCAACAACGGCAGGACTATCACTGCCAGGCCGTGGTATCTGCCCCATAATCTCCAGAGTCCTTCCTACTTGCGCCTTACCAATAAAGCTTGAGTTTGTGTTAGGGTTCCTGACCGCGCCTTGCAATTGTAAGCGCGGTTGCTTTCATACCCCCGCGTATGAGGGCGCTACTTGCAAGGCGCGGGCGACCTCCAACTTGCAAGGGCTTGGGAAGCCTAGATGCAAGCTGTTCGGTAAAGTCCAAGCCTGAGGGAGGGAACTCCAAAAGAACAACAATGACAATAGAGTACATAGAGGAGAAGCGACGGCGTCAATGGGCGCATGCTTCTGGCTTTGCGTGGCTCAAGGAGCGAGTAGGACGTGCTCGACGGACCGAGCGCCACGTAACGATGCGACTACGGCAGGCGCTCCAACACTCCTCTCCTGTCTGTCGCTTGAACCTTGGTACCCTTCATACTATGGAGACACCTTCTGGGCTGTACTCTCTGGACTGGATATGGTAGAGCAAGAGGTCACATCACATCCCGAATCCTGCAAAGACATCCGCTATCTTTTGGCGTTTGCGAGATTTGAGGCCGGTCCCACGGCGATCGTTGTCTCTCTTTGGCTGCGGCGGCTGCTGCTCCTCGCGAGTAGCTCCTACACTGGCGCTTGAAATTTCTGGCCGTAGCTGGCGGTAGAAAAGACCACCGTAACCATCTTCAGGCGGTGACAGTTTCGGCTCGCCAAGAAAGAGCGAGGCTACCGGCCTCGAAGGCAGACGGACGCCCCGTGCCGAAGCCTTGATGTGTTGGTCTTCCAAGGGCTGGGCATCAGCCGTGTTTGGAGAAGGCCAGCTCTTATCTATAATTGAAAGGGCCCAAAATGCCCAGGTCTCGGCATGGCTCTTATCCTTCTGGTCAACCATTGCCGCGCTAGAATAACACAGCTCCTTTGCGTAGAGCCCACCGTCACGAAGTACTGTTGCCAACGCATTTGACTCCTTCAAGAGGCCAATGTGATGTTTTTGTGGACTGATGGCTGAGCTCGTGCGGCTCGCTAGGTCCACCTTCACACGATTGTCGTTGAGGAGGACGTGAAGACTCGTCTGAAGCTGCGGGCCCCACGGACGAGGCTCGGGAGCATTCCCACCGTATCCATCCGGAATTTGACTATGTACAGAGTCTACAGTACATTCTTGATGAAGAATATTCATGTAACTTGTGAAACGTTGAATGGGAGAATAGTAACTGCACGCCAAGGTCCACCCTTGGGCACGGGCGAGATCGCGGTCGACTTCGGACCTGCTAGAGCGCCAATTCTGGACGTCGTAGAAAGCCAGTGCAGGGAATTTGGAGACGTATTGTAGCGAATGGAAGGACAAAGCAGGGGCGTCGTGTACCTTGAGGATACACAGGGACGGGAAGGCATTCGGCATATCGCTCCACCCTCGGACGAGGCTGTCTGTAACCCGAGGGTCACTGGTGGCGTTGTCCGAGCCGATGTCGAATATCTCCAGGACGGCAAGGTTTGGTAAGGCGGCAAGCGGCAGAAGCTCGTTGGCCTGAATATAATCAACGTCGGCGATGTTCAGATAGACGAGGAAGTCCACGCTCGGCGACAATAGAGGCGCCGTGTAGACGCTAAGGTCGCTCCGTGGGGTTTTAATGTAGTATCTTATGTGATACAATGACAAAGGGATGGTCACTGTGCCCTCTGTCTCAATGTCATTTTTGCTGTCGGCCAGTACCAGCTTTGAGAATTTCTTCCACGAATCGAACGTGACACGACTAAGTTTGAGCATGTTAGCTTTTAATTAACATGCAGACTGACTGGGAATGGACGGCGAGTAAAATCTAAGCCGGGCTCACCAACCTTTTCCGATACTCGTACCAGACACGCCACAAGAGCTTTGGTGGAAGGGCGGCTAGGGCATCGGCCGACGCAGCCGCCATGTTGTCAATGAGCACATCAAGAGCCATTTCCAACAGCGGGCGAGGCCCCCGTCTGCCTTTCGTCTCTTCGCTTGAGCGATAGCGGGTGGGGACAGATGCCAATATCTTGTCCAGTTCAAAGACAAGGCTCATGTTGGTGAGCGGCCACCTTGCATCGTATATTCCGCCATCGTATTCGGCGGTTTTGTACAGGTTGCGAACCTCGTCGTCAAAGAAGCTGTCCCCGTCAGGCCACATGTCTGTGGAGCCTCACCCTTGATCCATGCATTCGTTGCCTGAATCCTTCTCCTGCTCACTTGCGACAGAGACAGTTGTAGGGTAGAATATGGAACAAGGGACGCAAAAACGCGATGCAGCATACAAGCCGTTGAGTGGTGAACGACGGACGTTGCTTCCCAGTTTGTGGAAGGAACAAGGGTTAGGGTTTTATGTTTGGTATTCGACATCCCTCAACTCTTAGGTGTATAGTAGTAACATTGATTTCCTTTCAAAGTCATCAGAAGCCAACACGGGGCTTCCGAACCTAAATTCCGCTTTTCTTGTATGGTTTTACACAGTAATACGTTATGGGCGCAACCTTCCGTACAGCCACTACAGACCAGACCACCACAAATCCAATACAACAGGATAGGTATATCCCAAGAAATAAAACATTGCATGAAGCCTGCTTAACGCCAAAGCCCAAACAAAATAGCCATTTTCATCCCCTCAACCTTGCAAGAGACAGCACACAACAAATATCCCCCAAAGCTACCGGTAATACCCCGGGCCCTGGCTCCAAGTAGCGTTCACAAACCACGTGCCTGCCTGCGAGTAGTCGAGCGCCCCGCCGCCGCGCATGTACGCAAAGCGGAAGTACTCTGGGGTATGAACGGCCGCGGGATCGCGGGTCCACGTGAAGATCTGTTCGGCGAGGGGCTCGCCGGCGAAGAAGCGGCGGTAGCGCTCGACGTCGTTGACGAGGACGCTGAGGCCGTCGAAGCTGGCTGCCGTGTCGACCGGCAGCCACTTGAACGAGATGCGCTGCGGCGAGTCGTCGGCGTAGATGAGCGGCGCCACGGCCTCGGGCACGAGCGACTCCCAGAGGGCGTCGCCGCGGAGGGCGGCGGCCGTCTGCAGCAGCGAGTCGAAGCCCCAGCGGGCGACGCCGTTGGCGAAGAGACCCAGGAGCAGGCCCTGGTAGAGCAGCGACGGCCGCGTCTGCATGCTGGTGCCGGGCAGCAGGATCAGCGCAAGGATGTAGTGGTGGATGCGCAGCTCGAGGCCCGGCAGCGCGAGGCACGCCAGCAGCCCCGCCACGAACAGCCCGTACAGCGCCAGGTGCGGGAACAGCCGGGCCTCGCGCCAGAACGAGTACGCCTGCTGAGCGACGACGAGGGCCACGACCAGCACGATCGCCGCGAGCGCCGCCTTGGCGCCGGGCTGCTGCGCGAGGTCGTGGGCGCTGAGCCGCGACAAGGGAATCCAGCCGAAGGTGTGGTTTGACAGTGCGCCGACCCAGAACCCGCCGACCCAGAGAACCGTCTTTTCGACCTGCGCGCCAGCGGGAAGGTCCCGAAGCGCGCGGCGGGCGCATGCGTAGTACATGATGGCGACGCAGAACAGAGCGGGCAACAGGCGACCAACGAACTGCGAGACGAGGGCAGGCAGGATGGTGTCGGACGGGCCCGAGAAGTTGGGAGGGTCCGACACCAGCGCCACATGGGCGAAGATGCCGACGAAGCTGACAAAGTACAGGACCGACGGGGACGTCGTGAAGAGGGACAGGGCCGCGGTGAACGACACCGACACGGCGAGCAGCAGCTGGCGCGGGTCTTTCTGACTGCCGCACTTGACGCGGACCGCGTCTTGGGCCACGGAGAAGGACAGGGGGAAGTGCGAGTCAAAGCCGATAGACTCAATGCCGTGCTGGTCTGACGCAAAGTACCTGTAGTACGCTCCGGTCAGGGTGGCGACGCCGCAGCCGCCCGATGCGTCGTCGATGACGCCCGCGTGTATGGCGGAGCCGCAGACAAACGAGTCGCCGCGGTAGACGGGCCCGCCTATCACAAGGGGCCGGTAGTTGACGTCGACGGGGCCGACGTGGCGGGGGTTGAGGACGCGCACGCCGGCACAGTCGGCTGGACAGCGAAAGGCAAACGAAGCGTTGGAGAAGGGCTGGCAGTCGATGCCGTCAAGGCCGCACTCGTTGTTCCGGCGCCAGAGCGTGTCGACACAGTCCAGATGGCGGACGACATGTCCCGAGGCGTCTCTGAGTGTCCCTTTGCTGTTCACCAGCGGAACCGCCAGGGAAAACGCCCAGGCGGCGAGAAACAAAACGAGTACTACGGTCTTCTGCCACGCGTGAGGCAATACCTTGGCCAGCCACCGGACGGGCCGCTTCTGGACCGAAGGGAGAAAGGGGCGGATGACATTGGGCTCGGGCTGCTGGGGTCCGCGGAGGCGAGCAATGAATCTCGCCTGCGTCGACAACCTCGCCGCGCGTGCTGATGACTGGCGACTCCCCACCTTTTTGCCGCGTGGTCCCGAAGAGGTCAGCAGAGGCTGGCTAGTGACATCGTCCAGCTCGTACTGCTCGTATGTTCCAAAGTCCTCATCGTCTAAGAGGAACTGGGCCTCCGCATCCCCGTTTTGGTCGTCGTCATCCTGGGACCGATGTAAGTCGTCACTGTGGTGGCGATCGCCATCCTGGGCGGGCCCTCTGCCTTCTCCGATCATGGAGCAACTCTGATGCTATGGGTCAAAGGTGCTGCCACTGTCTCGATGCGCCCCATAAACACCCAGAAGAAACTTTTACTATACGGATGAGCGTTGGCTTGGTGCAAGTCGTGTGAGACCGGTGGGGCCAAGAAGTTAAAACAAAAAAAAAGTCGACCCAACCAAGACTGAAGAAATGAGAGAGCTGACAGTCCAGTATAAATACATCCAATGAGAATTGCAAAGCGAGTGTGGAACAACCAGCGTTGAAACGCTGGGAAGGCTGTAAGTCGACCCAGACAGCGGACGAAGTATGGATATTCCGCGTGGAGGAAGAGGCGGGCGGGTGTAACCCGGTGAATGGCCGGGTTCAGAAACGGGATGAAGGATCGTCCGCTCGAACCCACGAATATGAGATGAACGCGACGTCGAGCCCACGAGCGAGCGACAAATTCCCGTGATGAACAGGATTGAACGAACGAACACGTTATCAAAATCGAGCTTAAGATTTTGAAAACGAATTGTTCAGCTGAAGGGGGGCAGTAAGCGACTCTGAAGGTGGCCAACAGGCGATTCAGCCCATCCAGGGATTGCCAATGACTAAGCCAATGGCGCTTCGAGATGCGCCTTGGCTCGACAAAAAGATGGTGTTCAGGCAGAAAAAAGGGGTCATTTACATACGTAACACATACAATCGTTGTTAGAAACGCGGAATTGACACGCGCAATAGTGCGCAAAGATATAAGGCCATAGGTAATTTTCGGATAGCTTCGCTTGCATCCTTCCTTCCCAAGATGACTACCGCGCCTCTCCCAGGTAGAATGGACTGCTACCTCCAACTATCGTACAGGTTTGTGTCAAGTAGAGTGGGAAGAGAGAAAGAAATTACAAGATATACACAAGGATTATCAAATACACAGACCCTTCCCCGTCAGAGACACCCCTTTTCCAGGCCGCAGCCGTCGTCACTACATCATCCGCCGTTTAGGCATCGATGAACCCCTTGAGGTTCTTGAGCCACTGGCCGTACTCCTTCTGCTCCTTCACGCCAATATAGTCGAGCGCGAAGAGGGCGAGCGGCTGCGAGATGCCGCGGTCCTCGAGGTAGCGCTCCATCAGCACTTGCAGGTCCTCGTCCAGGCTGTTGAATGGCGGACCGGGGTAAACATCCTGAGCCTTGTGGACGGCATCGGGGCTGCCGGCGTGCGCCAGCGCAGCGTCCTTGTAGTAGTAGAGGTTCTCCACGACCACGACACCGTCCTGCGCCGCCGCCTCGACCTGGAGCGCACCCTTGCCGGGCTTCTCCACCACTACGTTCAACCGGCACCGGATTGGCGGCTCGTTGTCTTCGCCGTCAAAGCCCTCGCCATCCTCGCCCTCCTTGCGCCCCTCGCCATCCTCCATCTCGTCGGCAAGTGCCGGGTCCTCATCAAACGCATCCTGGTCGAAGTTGTGGATATCGCTGATCGAGAAAGTGACTGTGATCCTACAGAGAAGAGCATTGTTAGTTTTCTCATAGGCTCAGAAAATAACGACAAAAGTTGCCAAAAACGTACTTCTCGTCACCGAATGTGCGGGTCAGCACGACCTCCTCGGCGCCGGCCGTGTCCTTGAGCTCGAACGGGCCGTTCTCTATGTAGTCCTTGACATTGGAAGGGATCGACGCCGTGTCGTCGAGCTCGTTCTCGAACTCGATCTCGCCGGCCAGCTTGGCCGAGAGCTCCTCGTCTGTCTCACTCAGGGGGCTCCTCCGCAGGAGCGACGTCGAGAAAGCTGAGAGTTGTTGAGGGCGCAGGAAAGCGCTCTTGAGGCTACTACCGGCGACACGGGCCGACGCCTGGGTCCGGCCCATCATGGAGGAAACCACTGTCGACGACGCGCGGGTGAGAGCCGTGGCCCGGGGCGCAGAGCGCGCGACAGCCCGAAGAGACATCATCTTGGCGGTTCTTTCTATATGACGGAGGAATGGGCGGAGTGGAGGTGTTAGAAAGGAAGATGGTGTCGCTTTCGTGATGGAGGGGATGGACGTTTTGGGGAGAATGGGGCGTTGAGAGAATGTCGAAGAAAATTTTTAGATTCCTTTTTTTTTAAGGTTTCGATAATGATATTAAAACTCCCCTGCGCGTCTTGCTTCAGCTGGGAGTACCAAGTGCCTTAAGCTGGCGCGCACAGACCATGCCGACATCATTTTAACCAATCACTGTAGCAGTTCAGATAGGGGGGCCAAGCTTTTGGCCATCAAAGGAGTGACAGGGTCGAATTCACTTTTGGAAGAATCCAATGGAAAATGCTGAATGGAAAAAGCCTACGATTCTACTTTGTCAAAGAAACTTAATGATGATTGGCGTGTTATTCTATTAAAATTCATGTTTCGATTGCACGCTCGTAGCCCCTAGGCTCTTTAAGACTTCTATAGAAGTGAGCCTTGTCTGCAATTTCTTCTGGTGAGCTGATGCTTCCCATCCTAACACCATCTCACCAGCTCGTCATCAAGCAATTACGTGCATGGCACTCGTGATATGAGAGCCATTTCGTGCCGAGACGAAATCCATTCCGCCTCCCACAATATCCCGTTTGCACAAATGCAATTGGCTGGTCCAGCCAGAGAGAGCTGCAAAAAGATAAAGCCAGAAAAACACACCGGAAGCGGAAATCAGCACCTCCTCCCGTGCAGCAGGAGACTGACCCGCCTACCGTCTGCTCCCTTCCTTCTTGCCCGAGGCGCGACACTGCCCATATCCTTGCACTTCCAGCACTGGTATATTGTTAGATCTCGCTGGCTGAGCACGCCGTCGAGGCAGCTGCCAAATATTCCACTAGCCCTGGCCAGCGGGCAAAGCTGCTCTGAGATGAGCACCGTATCCTCGCCGCTGCATATGCTGCAGAGTCTGACGTGGGTCACGTAGATGCACATGTTTCTATGCCTGCTACCCCTGCTATGTGTCAGTCTTTTTGGGATGTCAAGCTCCCAATGTCACGGACCCATACCGAATAACACGCAAGCGACCCGAGGCCTCTTCTCTTTGTTTTATATCCTTCTATACCCCGAGTATCTTGGAAGGGGATGACAGGTCTCCTCTGCCCGGAGAAAAGTATTGATATTGGGTGAGATGAGAATGTGGAAACAATGTGTGAGGATCGGAAGCCGGGGGGGATGAGGAGGGCGCAGAGAAGCCGGGGGGGATGAGGAGGGCGCAGAAAAGCCGGGGGGGATGAAGAAGGCGCGGAGAGGATGGGCTGGAGGCTGGACGGCATATGGGACTGTCCCATTCTAATAGGGGCCTTCGAGTATCGGATTTTGGTTTACAGCACAGGCAATACATCGTTTGACTCGCCCACGATCCGATGCCACGGTCACCCACATGCTTGGATCAGCTTATGGATGGGGTGCCCTCATCCGAGCTTCTCCCCTTAAAGTTTCAGCCTTCAACTTTGAAGGCCCCGGCTCGGCTGAACCGAAATTCGCAACAGCCCATGAGAGAATGCCTCGGGACTCACATATACGATATCACAAGGTGAGATTTTGGCTGGGGGAAATGGCGCCATCGTGAGGAAGGACAAGGTTGAGGGTGCATGTAGCCGTGCGGAGTTGAGAGGAGGAAGACGGGAAGAGACATGAATCGGTTGTGCGATGGGCGGTTATCTTTCTGGGAGACAGCAAACAAGGTTTGTTGTTGTGCTATAAGACTAGGCTAGGGGGTAGCAGGCTCTCAGACAAGAGTGCAGCGAAGCTCGAAAAAGAGGCATCCAATAACCCGGGCTTAGAGACATGTAGTCCGGCCCGTGGCCGGAGAGCCGGCTACCCGCTGCTCTGCATCAGCCCTCCCACGCACCATTGGCGCAACAAAATGCTCGAGTCGCCATGATTGCATGAATTTCGGTGGCATTAGGTGCGGTTGTACAGCAGTGAGTGGCAGCTCTAGACGGCGAGGGGCGGGTGCTCTGCTACGTGCGGAACGTTAACCACTCATGGCCCTCGAAGGCCATCCATCGCCTGGGGAAGCTGCAGCCTTGCACCAAGTGCCTGTTTCGAGGAAAGAGCTGTGGGAACACGGCCGCGTTACCCGAGATGCTCGCCGGTTCTCGAGGAGTGCTGGAAGCTCGGTGTAACAGAAGGATTTGTCCAGAGCCACGTTGCCATATTTCAAACGTTGCACCAAGTCCCAGGCCGGGTAAGAAAATGGCCGCACTCTGGACCAGACGTGAGAAGCCCCTGTGGCTGCCTGGGCTGAATTCCGAGAGGCGTGTGCATTGATTTGGGGTGTTAAAATAGTAGCAGTTCTCTGGAGAGAATGAGAATACGGGAAGGTCCAGCCGACTTTTCATGGGCTGTATGGATATCGAATAGGTGATGCGGTCGCCCAGCCGCTGGTCTTCCGTCAATCATAGAGATTTCAGTTACTCTGGGGCGGAAACAAGGTAGGCTTCACAATCCCCGTGGTTGTAATTTTGACCCAGGCAAGATTCGCCAAGTAGGTCCAGGACTTGTCCCATCGGTCTAGTACCTGGAGGTTGTTCTCATTTGTAAGATCTGGGAGGTCTGCGCAGCTATTAGTTTGCGCTAGCCAAGGCCAGGAATCAAGGCGGCACCAACAGTAGCCATTTTGATACTCCTTCTGGAGAGTTGCGATTCTTAATTTGAGCATGTCTTCCTTGGGCCCTGGAGCCCGTCCCGCACGACGAGCTTTCTTCATAGTCTCGTACTCCTGGTCGAATTGGTGCACGAATCTAACTAGTAGTCAGCAAACAAAGCCCATGAAAAGTGTTCCTCTACGCCTAGCCAAATCGAGAACGGTGATGTCCACATTGTAGCTTGTTGGACGCAAGGGCAACCGCAACTAGTCACTCACTCGCTGATTTTGGCCTGGATGGCCTCCAAAGTCAAGGGCTTGTTGTCGTTCTGGCGGACAGCCTCCTGGAAATATGTAACACGCGCAACTGCGCTGGTGTTAGTTGCATTGCCCCCGGCGCGGAGACTTCGCCGCATCGAGGAAGGGGGTCACCAACTAATAGGCTTGTCCCTTCTCCGCCTTGATCTTGCAATCGCCTCGAGACGCTCATCGCGGCCTTGGGCTGTGTGAAGGCGCTGCGAGTCCCGACTGTTCTGATGCAGGCCGTCAAGGACACCGCCCCGCTTTCGCAGGATCTTCTTGCGCGTCTTTTCTAGTGTGTTCGGCATTCTGGAATTTCGTATCTTTGTGTTCGTTTCTTGGGCTTAGCTCGTTCGATGTTGTTTCTCAATTCTTTTTTTTCTCCTTGCGTTTGCCGTGAACAAACTTTTGGTGGGGCACCGTTAGATAAGCCCTTATCATGCTGACCACCACCTCAGCGGCTGCTGTCAGCGGAATCGGACACTCCTGATTTAACGTTTTGTATGTATCCGTATGTAAGGTACATACATGTATCCGTACCGTTGTAGGACCCACAAAACGACAGTTACAGTTACCAACAGTTGCAGTGTCGAAACTCAACCAATTGGTAACCACATTCTAAGAGTATAGAGGCACTGGGCCTTCACCATTAACTTTAAGTTCACTCTATTTTACCATGAAGTCAGACGCTTGGCAAGGAGAACCGCGTGCTAATAAGTACCTACCTCGCCATATGTACCGAGTAGGTACAAATGATTCTCGGTACGTACGGTGGCCACCCCCGCACTAAACCCCAACTGGCTGCTGGGCGGCTGGTTAGCCCGTCGCGGGGGTAACGACGCGGTCGCGCTTCCCCGAGTAACTGCTAAGAAATGGTTGCCTACCGTCTAATGTCTTTTCTTGGTGTCCCGCGTCCTGTCCTGTCTGTCCATGTCCAAGCCCTGGGCAGTATTCCTCAAGCATTGCTCAGCCAAGATCAATTGTTTGTATCTTGCCACTTTGAACCATTTACTTGTCTCCTTTGCTATTTCGGCGCTGCATTTGTCCTCAGTTGTGCTTGTAAAAGCAGTTTTGCACGTACACACGCGTCGTTTTCCGGAAAATAGCGTGTCACGACGTGATCGCGTCTCGACAATTGCAGCCCACCGGGCCCTCCCATCTCCGTCTCCCATCTCCCAACTCAGGTAGATAGTCAGCTCTCACCACTTCCACCACCACCACCACAGGCAACTCCGATTGAGTGCGGACCCATGGCCCGGTCGTCCACCTGAAGGCTGCTTCTACCGTCGACATAGCTAAGCAGAGTGCCTGACGATGGGCATCTCAGGTAGACCCGCTACCCATGCGCACAGAATGCATAGCCGTAATCTAACTAGTTACAGGCCTTCTTCCGTTGCTAAAGTCTATTCACCGCCCGACCGAGCTTAGGAAATATGCAGGCGAGACTTTCGGTATCGACGGCTATGGCTGGCTGCATCGGGGCGCCATCGCCTGCGCCTTGGAACTGGCCCAGGATAAACCGACCCGGAAGTAAGTCCGGATCACTCTTCTACCCTGTATCCGACCGTCTAACCCACTATCAGATATGTCGACTTTGCTATGCACCGTGTCAGAATGTTCAAGCACTTTGGTGTGACCCCGTACCTTGTCTTCGACGGTGACTACCTTCCGAGCAAGGCCAAGACTGAGGAGTCCCGCGAGTCACGCCGGGAGTCAAGCAGGGCCATCGGCTTGGGACTCTTAAAGGCCGGGAAATCAGCACAAGCACACCTTGAGCTGCAAAAGGCCATCGATGTTACGCCAGAAATGACCCGCCAACTAATCGAGGAACTGAAGAAAGCCTCAATCCCATACGTGGTTGCGCCGTACGAGGCAGATGCTCAACTGGTCTACCTCGAACGCCACGGTCATATCAGTGGCATTGTATCCGAAGACTCGGATCTTCTCGTTTTTGGCGCCAAGAGACTCCTGACAAAACTGGACCAGCACGGTCAGTGCATCGAGATCAACCGAAGGGATTTTTTGTTAGTTCGCGAAATATCTCTCACTGGGTGGACCGAACACGAGTTTCGACATATGGCCATTCTCAGCGGTTGCGACTACCTGGCAGGAATCAACAATATGGGGCTCAAAACGGCATATCGGATGATTCGCAAATACAAAACCCCTGAGCGAGTGATCAAAATGATACAGTTCGACAGCAAACACCGCATTCCTGAAAACTACCTTGCAGATTTCAAGCACGCGGAGTTTACGTTCCTGTATCAACGCGTCTTTTGCCCCCAGAAAAGGGATATAGTGTGCTTGACTGAGCCCGAACCTTCGGTGGATGTCACCAAGATGCCTTTTATCGGGGCTCCGGTCGAGACAGAGCTGGCGCGAGCAATAGCCGTGGGGGATGTCAATCCTATAACCAAAAAGCGCATCTTGGTTCCAACTTCGCCATCAAAGAGGAGGATCAGCCAGACTTTCCCTTCTGCTGCCGACACAAGTAGCAGACGTTTAGGGAAGCCTATTAACGAATACTTTGTGGGAGGTCGCCGAATTCCTCTTGGGGAGATGGATCCGAACTGCTTTTCGAATGAACCTCCACGAAATAATGGCGTACTTGAAGCCGTGCCCCGGCCTCTGGTGTTTCCCCTACCAAGGCCGTATGTGGACAGCACAGAACCGATGATGAGCACTGCTCGTCGATACAATTCTGCTTCATCGCGACGGAAAACGGAACCTGTATCAAAGTTTCTTGGCCTTGACAGTGATCTCCTCCCATCAAACCGTCGGCGAACAGCTGGGCCTGTGGTTGAGGTGTTTCAGGATGCCAGCTCTTCTACGCGACCGCCAAAGAAAGCGAGATTGTGTGAAGACTTGTCAACGGCTAGCATTGCGGACCAAACTGCAGAGAGAAGCAAATTCTTCGCTGCTGGCAAAAAGAAGGCAACTCGCGAAAAGAAGACGCCTGCAAACGAAAAAACAGATCAGATCCTCATGTCTGACGACTCCATCACCGAGGCTTTGTGGAGCCTACCGGATTTGAATTGCCTGGACTCTCAAGGAAAGGCCCCTCGGGGCACTAACGAGGCTCAGCTGTTTGAAGAAGGGCTCGCCCAAAAATGCACAGGGAACATTACCAACGTGGAGGGCGAAGTTGATGGCAAGGCTGATATCGAAGATGTCGAAGTCCCCGCATCATCTCCCCGAGGACGGTTCAGCGAAGAGGGCGCTCATTGCGAATCCATTTCCGACACGCCTCCTCAAGGACGGTTGCAGCAATTTTGTTACAGCTCAGTGCGTCCAAACACCCGAATCGTTCATGGGTTACCGACGCCTTCGTCGAGCACACAGACGACGGCGAGTCCGATGAGCACCCCTCCAAAGCATACAGTAACCTCATTTCTGACGCCATTACAACGTATTGGAGCCCAGGCACTTCAGCGGGGCAAGCCTCGGTCGATGTCATCGGCGTCTCGGAAAATGAAATCCCCCAAGGCCCGGGAGTCGTTCGATTCATTGCCAGTGAATCCAGCATTCATTCCGCTGCCGAAAGTAGATATCGAAGAAGTCAAGGCACTTAACCGGCCTTTGGGGAGTGAGGACCAGATTATCCCTGATAGTGACGAGGAGAATGATCCAGACGCCTGCGAGGACGTGGCCGGTGACAGGCTAGCCTCTAACAAGCGATTGAATCTTTCGCGGTTTTTGTACGCCTGATGCGAAGTCTGTTGACGTTATTGGAAGAGAAGCTGTAAGGAGTTCATATGCTGTAGTGCATAGCGCTTGTTGGTTTTGTGCATCGATTTTTCTGGGATGCTCACTTAGGGTTTATATTTTCTTGGGGTCGGAAATGCGGGTATAGTTTCTGGGCTGGTCGGGTAGGTGTTTGGTCAAGGTCTATAAGGCGTTTTTGTGTTCCGGAGTCATAATAAAAGCATCGGAGTTTACAACGCATTCGAATTAATACGATACGAGATATGTAATACCTACGGAGAGAATTGTCATGCAAAGATCATACAACCTGGGCAGTTTCTGGAATGAGGTGCCGCATGCCACCATATTTTCTGCGAGCTCCTGTCACATTTATTAGCGACATATGTGCTGTCAACAAAACGCGGCAACACAACATAAGGCAGTGAGGTGTGCTCTTTCTATTTCTATTGCCGTCCGTCTTTTGTCACATGGGAATTATTGCTCCTATTGTTATAGGTAGCTGGTTCTCATGTACAATGAGCTTCCTCAGCCTGCCGTCCGATTGATAAGGCCTATCGCGGTCAGAAAATCTTCACCGCCTCAGGCAGTATTTTAATGCGGAAGCTGGGTGGGGGGGGGAAACTTGATTCTCCACAATAGCCAAATATTCACTGGAGAGAAAATTCCAGCCCGCCTCTCTTCTTTTCTCTTGATGTGGCCCCCGACTTACGACCGTTTCACCGCACGGCCCGTAATCGTTAACTAGTTGGATTGTGGTTCCCTTGTCTTCTGTCGGCCTGATTATCAATTCGCATTTTCGCATATCACGGGCAGGAGTCAGTCCCGCGCAGCGCCCAAAATGGCCGACACCTCATTGCAGGTGAGAATTACTGCATCTGCAGTATCATGCACGGCATAGCGCAAAGTCATTGTGCTGATCCATCATATCACAACCACAGGACCGCCTCCGCGAGCACGCCATGGCCTTTGACGGCTTGCTGTCACTGATTCCCGCAAAAATGTACTACGGAGAAGACACAAGCGTATGTGATTTCCGCTCTTGGTCGTGCGAGCATTAGAGGTCGCCTGCCAGCCACCCCGCGTGGCTGCTGAAATGACTGGCAATACTATTCGCATCGAAGAGGGAATCCATACTGACGCCCAAGTTCTCCCTCAACAGGACCAGTGGAAGAAGAAGAAGCAATCAAAGGAGGAGGCCAAAGCCGCCAAGAGAGGGAAGCTCGATCCCGACAGCGAGCTCAACCGCAATGCGAAAGAGGTGCTGGACGAGCGGGCCCGAAACAAGCGCAAGCTCCGGGAGCTTGAGGCGGACGAAGAGTCAAGCGTCGCAGATGAGGACGAGGATGACGTTGACATCCCTGGCGTCGAGAGGGAGAAGCCCGGCGAGGGGCTGAAGAGGAGGGACATCGCCTCCGAAGTAGAATCAGCACCCAAGAAGCAGAAGCTGGTCAAAGATGCGACGCAGGAGCCTTCCGCCAACAAGACACCAAAAAAGTCGAAGTCAGCCGAAAATGCGGCCGAGGGGCTCGTTGAGATTAAAACCCAAAGTAAGGAAGAGAAGAAGCTTGCAAAGAAGCTACTCAACGAGGAAAAGAGGAAGGCAAAGGCCGAGAAGTCTGCAAGCAAATCGACCGTGGTTGGCGATACGGAGAGCGGGGTAGCGGTTAAGGATCTCACACGGAAGCCGCGCCCGGTCCAGCCATCAACAGGGGTTGAAGATCTTGATGTCGATGATATGGCGCCAATTGACGTATCTGGGCTCGTCGCAAACGAATACGAGGGCGCTTCGGTAGAGTCAGTAACAGGGTCAACGCCGCAATCCCCTATCTTCGATAGTAATCCCGACAACACTAATGCCTACGTCGAGGTAGCCAGCACCACAACATCCATCTCCTCCACCATAACTCCTTCCGAAAAGCTAAAGTATCTTAAACTCCCAGCCGACATATCCGGGCTCCGGGCTCGTTTGGACGCCAAGATCGAAGCTTTACGCGCGGCGCGCAAGGCCACCGATGCGGATGGCACACCAATCCGAACTAGAGAAGAACTGATTGAATCCCGGCGCAGAAAGCAAGCACAACGCCGGGAGCACAAGCAGGAATTGCGACGGGCAGCGAAGGAGGAGGAAGACAGAAAGCGGGAGGAAGCGCTGACGAGCTCGCGCAACTCGCCTAACAGCATGCTCAGCCCGCTGTTTGAGCAAGACGACAAGGCCAGCGCAAACCACTTCGCGTTTGGGCGGCTCGCGTTTGCCGACGGGACCCAGCTGTCCCACGACCTGAGTTACGAGAAGCCGGCCGGCACCGGCGCCAAGAAGAAGGGCCCGTCGGACCCCAAAACGGCGCTCCTCAAGTTTGAGGCGCAGAAGAAGCGCATCGAGGCTCTCGACGATGACAAGCGCAAGGAGGTGCTCGAGAAGGAGACATGGCTGGCGGCACGGCGTCGCGCAGAAGGCGAAAAGGTGCACGACGACGAGGGTCTTCTCAAGAAGGCGCTCAAGCGCAAGGAGACGGCCAAGAGAAAGAGCGAGCGCGAGTGGTCGGAGCGCGCAAAGGGGGTTGAGGATGCTATCAAGAACAAGCAACACAAGCGCGAGCAAAATATCCGCAAACGTAGAGAGGACAAGATGTCCTCGGGCAAGGGCAAGAAGAAGGGCGTTGCGACGAAGAAGAAGAGCCGGCCGGGGTTTGAAGGCAGCTTTGGGGGGAAGAAGAAATGAGCAACAGAGACGGGCATGTAAAAATGGGCTGGACTGCGGTTTGCGGCATGGGGTAGTCGGCGTTTTTGGGAGTTTCTTCTTTTTAGGTATTCTAGGCTATTACACTATCTCTGGACAACAAAATGCTATTTTACCTCGACAGCTCTGCCTTCTCCCGTGTCCTATCGTTTGTGTGCATGGTTCAGACCTTTGACATTCAGACCTTTGACATTCAGACCTTTGACAATAGGCCTCGATAGGGTAGGTAGTTATATCAGCCTGTTATCCAACTTAAAGTAATGCCCTCGCATTCTGCACCATGTGCTCATCTCACTCGCGTGGTTGCTTCCGTTGGGCTCTCTGGAATGTCGTGACGGCGTGGTGCACACGAGTTGTTATTGGCGACTACTCCTCGCTTGATGATTATTATAACAACAACTACCTTATTCTATCAGTTAATCCAGTCTGTAACCTCACCTACCTTGGGTTCCTCCCCGATAGCAGCCTAGGGAAGTATCAGGGGCAACCGACTGCCTAGAGTCCCGGCAAATGCAATAGCAAGAATAATGGAGATAAGAGTAAATAAATACTTTCATGCAAACAGTTGAAACCACCACAAAAAGATAAAGTAAGAGGCCATATAACCATCTAACTACCTTCCTTACCTTGCATGTTTTCCCTTTATCTCATCCCAATCCATCCAATCGCCCTGTGGAGGCAGCCGCCTTCTCAAACGTCGAACCAGAAACGAAACCGCAAAAAGGGGAAAAAGCCAAGATTTTCGTTTCTAACGAGCGCACAAGCTCTGTTGCCTAGTTGCTCACTCACTCACTCGCTCGCCCGTACATAACATAGACAGCTAGCATGCTTCCTGAGGGACGAAGACGCAAACAAAGATATTGGGACGGCGAGGAAAAAAGTATAAATGATTAAGAGATATAAAAAAACGTGTTTAACAACAACAGCAACGGCAACAGCAGACGAAAACAGACGACATTAACAACCAACAAAAAAACCCAACTAAGAAGAGAGCCTGATTAATTTTGCTTTTCCTTTTTGAGCGGGGGGAGGGGGGGGGTGGTTTGGCACTCTCCTCCCAGCCCCTTTCTCCCCTCATCCTTCCCAAACCCACCGAACCAGTCAGTCAGCCCAGACAGTCTTTCTCTTTTTCTGCGGACAAAGCTTCCCTTACCCAGCCAGCCCACAAGCAGCCCCCACCCCCTTTTCCACCTAGATTTTGCTTTGCCTGTGTGTGTGTGCGTGCGCGGAGCGCCCCCAAGACCGACCAAGATGTTTTTTGTATCGATTTCATAGCGACTTCTTTCCTTTCCTTTCCTCTCCCCCACCCTCCCCTCCATGGTCATTCACCAACTGGATACGGTGGCCCGTGTTTTGCTCCGTCACTGTTTGTTGATTTGATATAAAATGGAATCCGTCCGTCATCCGCCAGCCAACCAATCAACTGGGAATAACACACTCTCTTTTGTCTCTTTTGCTCACTTCTGCCGTCGCCAGGTTGGCGGGCGTCCTGTAGATTTTCCGAAAAGCAGAAGGCTAATGCTAAACAACCAGCAGGTGCTACAGGGTAATGCAGCGATCGCAGTAACACACACAGACAGGCGCATAGAGGGCGAGGTAGAATCCAGATCAGTCAACCAGGTACTAAAATTCGTAATAGGACCCGCTGAAGAAAGAAGGAAAAAACAGAGGAATGGACGCCAATAGGACAGCCCCCTTGCCATTCCGGAGTTCGTAATACGTGGGAGAAGCAACACAGAGAAATAGAGGTGATGGCAGTGTGGCGGCGGACGCGTTTATAGATAGCACCCATGATATTGTTAGCTACGACCCCGAGCCCTTAGAGCAGGGAGTCGACGCGGGTAAAGACACTCAGGCAGGCAGCGACAACCTCGAGCTGGAGCTCTTTTTCGCCCGATTTGCTTATTTCCTATGACAAAAGAAAAGCGTATATTAGCGAAATGCACAATGCAGGCTACCAGCGGGGGTCAAGGGGTGTCTCTCACCTCAGCAATAATCTGAGGTACGTTCTCGCCAATATTGTTGGCGGTGGACCTCTTGCCAAACGGGTATTGGCTATAGTCGGCTAGCAGGTCGTCGGTCTGGGTGAAGGCCTTTTCCCTTGCGTCGTGGCCTAGCGTCGAGAGCGCGTTCTCGAGGACGTTAGCCGCGTAGGCCGCGCACACCATGGCGATGGTTCGCAGGTAACGGTACTCGACGTTCTCTGGTAGGAACTGCGAGCCGTTGATGACGACGGTACGCTGCGTCAGCATGTTGCGCACGCGGCGCCGGATCTCCTCCTTGGCGCCCCCGTCCACCACGGGATGTGTCGCCATGTCGAAGAGCAGGAAGTTGCGCTTCTCGGTGCGCAGGATGCCCTTGTCCACCAGCCCCTTTGCCAGGCGCTCGCGCACCTGCTTCAGTTGGTATCCGATCTTCAAGAGGTTCCAGGTCTCGCCTGCACAATATGATTAGCAACAGATGGCCCCTTCGGAGGGTGCCCCCCCCTGCTCTTCTGCGGGCGAGGAATCATTGAGCATATAATGGAGGGATGTGGTTTGCTAAGGAAGATCCTTACCGCTCAGGAGATCAATCCACGAGTTGACGCTCATCTTCTCACTCGTATCCATCATTTTGAGAGCCTCGTCCAGTAGCACCTCGCCCGTCAGCGTGCTGTCGATGACTTCGATGACGCGGTCGGGGAGGGGAAAGCGTCGTCTCGAGTTGTCCTTTTGCATGCTAATGCGGCCGCGCAGGGCGAGCTCGAGGACGATGCAGCCGCGCAAGGCGTACGAGATGTTGTCGTTCCAGAACGAGAGGTAGCCCTAAAGGAGGTTGCATCGTCAGCCTCGGGGGCTCGCGTAGGAGACGAATGGCGAGACAAAAAGAAACGGAAAAGAAAAACACCGCACCTGTTTGTCCTTGAGTCCTAGCAGCAACACTTCCTCCATCAAGGTGAGCTTGGGCTGCTTGCTCCGCTCCTCGCTCTCGCTGATGTCGCGCGGGTCGAATGCGATCTTGTGGCCGTTCTCGCCGGCCTCGTAGCTCGTCTCGGGGGGCCCGTCGCGGATGTTGTTGAATGAGGGAGAGCGGATGACAGGGCTGTCCTCCTCGCTGTTTCCGGCGCCGCCTCCTCCTCCGGCTCCCCTCCGCCGTGTCAAGCCTGATGTGGTTGTCGAGGCCATAGTGGCAGACGCGTTTCCGCTTGGCGACGAGGCAATTGATGTGTCGTGTGCCTGGGCGTGCGCAGGTGCAGGTGTGGGTGCAGGCGACGTCGAGGGTAAGAGTGTGGGTTGTTTGTTTGCGGGCGTGCGGTTATGATGGGTGCTGCGCAACTGCACTGTTGAGCGATGGAGAGTTTTGAAGGCAGCGGTCAGCGAAACTCTAGAGTCGCCAATCTCCAATCTCCAGTCTCTGTTCGGGGTCGGGTTGGGTCCCGATCAGTCGGGTACGTTAATGTCGCTCAGCCGCGTCGCAAAATAGAAGTGCAATTGTTGTCGCCGAGTAATTTTCCGGCCGTCGGATGCAGTTGGTAATACGTCTTTGTTTCCGGGGTTCGTTGTCTACGTGGTCCCTTCAGCGAATAAATCGAGGTTGCCTACTCCCTTTTTTCCTTTCTGTCTAGGTCTTCGTCCTTTTAGGTTATTTAGCGCGTTAGGTTGTTAGAAAAGTCCCCTGTTGCGCGTAACGTTAGGTACTGCAAATACAGATTTGTTAGTTGTGCTTGTAAGCCAAGCCGTCCTTCAGGGGCCCGATAACGATAATTTAGCGCACTTTCTAGTCGTGGTCCCCTTTTCAATACATAGTATTCGTCCTTACCTTACCGGCCATCCACAGATGTTCCGTTCTTCATGGCAGTGCCGCCCAAACCGACGCGCCAAGCAACTCCAGCTTCCAGTTTGCGCCAGCCTGCTGCTGCTTCAGGGGTACAAGAGGAGGATTCGGCTGTTGGCTGTCGCCAAGACTTTTGAGGTTGCAAAACTTGGTTCACATTGGCTCGAGGGTTTTGGGTCAGGACGGAGTAACGGGCCTCGAAGGTATGCATTCCTCGTATTCATGCATCTGGAGAATCGCTCGAGATTTCTAGGATATAAAAATGCGATATCTATTTTTCTAAGTCCACTATTTAAACGTATTATTCTTCTTTAACAAGCTTTGTTCTTTGGAGATGTGTTGACATAAATTCCAGCCACATCAAACGCTCAAATGTGGCTTTACTTACAGATGTGGCTTACTCGAAGCCTCCTCATAGCCCCTTAAAGGGCAGAAGGGGGGAACCCCGTTGCCATTGCAACATCGGCCAAGAATCACAAACAAGTTGAGCCGCCTGTGTTTTATTGCTGAGCTGTGGTGGATTGTCTTGACATATGTTTCTAGCTCTATCCGTACATCTGACGTCTCCTTCAGATCGTGTATTGTATGACATAGCGAAAATGACTCTCTGCCATTATGCGTCTCTGGGCATGTGAAAAAGCGTCACCGGACGGCATGCCTCAAATAAGTAAGAACCCCAAATTCCGTGTCCCGGTCCCATATAGGGTGCTATGCAAATCAGCGAGTGAATTCCAGTGAAAAATACCAAACCGATCTCTATGCCAAAGGTTGAGGCAAAATAATAAGAAACGAGTCCCCGCTTAGGGCGCAAGATTACAGAGAAGATTGGCCGCCGTCCACGCTTGATGATTCATTGGCCAGCTACCGTGGAAATCCAACTGTGTCGCCATCAAGGGAGCACGCCGTCCAAGTCCCACTCGCCGTTTTGCGCCCGCTTGAGCACCTCCCGGCCCTTTTCTGTCAACTCCGGTTTACCACCCTTGTCCGTAACTTGTTCGAAGAACACTGGCTTCCACGTCTCTCCGCTGTTCTCACGCTCACGGGCTTTCTCCCTCTGCGCCTCCTCGAGCTCCTGCTTGACGGTTGTGGCGCGCGAGAACTGCTTGGACAAGATAGCCTTGGTGACATCGCCCCACATTCGCAGAGATTCGTTGGGAAGCTGTTGCTCAACTGGTGGCAGCACCTTAGGCGCCACGGTGAGCGGCGCAATGTCGATTATAGTCGCCTGTTCCTCCACAGGATGCGAATTCTGTCGCGTGTCAGCCAAACCGGACCCCTATTTGAGACCCGATTCCCACTGCGGCGTATACTTACAATCGGCTTCGGGCCTATTGTGAAGACAATTTTATCCTTCCACGGGCCCCCAAGTCGCACCAAAATGTCCTCGTCAGGGACGTCTCTAATTCTCTGCTTGTCGTCGTTTTCCGGGTCGTATCGGAAGATTATGCCCTCCACCTTGTTAACAGACCGGGTAAGCCAGCCCTCATCATAGTAGTGGAGAATGGCCTTGAGTTTGGTCTCGGGGCAAGTGATGTAAGCCATGTCACCGACAGTCACGCTAAGGGCCCCTCGGAGGAAGCCACCCAAGTGCGCGGCAGGGTGAGTCAGCTGATATGTTTCATGGTCGCGTTGCTCGACCGTGATGAAGATGCCCAAGTTGTGCTCGCCCGGCATCACTTTGATGGACGTTCCAGTGAACTTTGCAGTTATTTGGTCAAATCCGCGAGCGCGGAGTCCTTTCTCGGGACAGCTAATGTAGAAAGCGCTGACTGGGGGGTGATGCGATGTCTGCTCAGTCAAGTAGGAGATCCGAATCGGTTTCGTTGGGTTCACTGCTGGTTGCGATACTGATAGGTTGGATGCCGCACGCGAACCGCTCGAACCAAGACCATCTGGGATCGCCAATTTGGCTGACTTGATGCTCGACGCAGCACTACCAGGCGCGCTGACATTTCCCCTGAGCGCCTTGGTGTTGATCCTCGGCGCATCGTCCTCGGTATCCCAGTTACACTGTTAGAAGGAACAGCTTGGTTAGTAACCCGCAAGTCCTTTCGAGACTTCCAGCACCAACTTACCCGGAAGAATTCACCGAGACAGGAGTTGTACGGTTTGCAAGGCTTTCCTTTCGCGTACTTCAGATCTTTCGTAAACCAGAATCGCAACACCTCTAGCATGCGATCTACTGGATCATCGGCAGTTCCAATTGCAATGAATGCATTGGGAGCGTCGAGATAGTTCCAGTACTCGAGGTTCGGGGTAGGTTCGAGGAGCTGGGAGGGGAGTGAGAATCGCACAGAGGCGAGATCGGCGACGCCGATGAACCTTGACAAAGGATTAGCAAAAGAAAATTTGATTGTATTTTCCGCGGTGGCAGAATACGCTAGGTCAGATGAACCATTTGGCGTAGAGGCCAACTATCACAATTGAGGGGTTGTCCGCCAAGGGAAACATGGTTCCGAGTGACTGGTCGGCCATGTGAATCCTACAGGTTTCCAGGTCCAGAAACCCCAGGTCAAACAGTCATACAGCAAGCAAGAAAATGAGATATACTCACTTTCGTAGGATAGAGATGAATGTCCTAAGCTTCGAGCCGTCGCTCGTATTCTCCTCCGCGACGGGGACATCCGAGGCAGTAGCCGGGGTGGTTGCCGTCGAAGGCGTGGAAGGGGCGGTTGGTGACATGGTGTTTCGGCACTTTCGAGTCTCCTCGGCACAGGAAGCAATCTTGAAAGATGACGAGGCGGGCGATATATAGAAAGGGCGCTTCGCTTCTACCGAACCAAGCAGAAGGGACGGGTTTCCTCTGGGAATGGATGAAATCCAAGGAAAAGGCGGTGCCTAAGATTAGGATCAGAGACCGAAACAGAGGCCGGAATTCGGGGCCAGGATATCAGCGTTGGAGCGGGTCTGTCTGGAGGTGCGCGTTAGTGGCCTTGCGGGAAGGCGGCCAGCCAGCCAATGCGCCGAAACGCCACTGTGCGATAGGCTCGATGGGCTTGAAAGGCGGGGCAGGCGATAGGACGGCGCTGAAGCCTGGGTGCCGCAACCGCCACGCGGCTATGGGCTAAAAGAAAAAGGCTTCTTCTTGCTTCGGTTGCTTTATTACTGAGGTTCAAGGTTTGGTTTTTGATGCACTTGCAAACGCCCGGGAAACACTGTTCCTCGAGGATGGCATCATCACGGGGTTCTTCCAAGAAGTGACTCGAAGATGAGAGACTAGTGCTACGGAGTAAAAGAGGCGGACTAACCGATTATTCCTTCCTTAATAAGTCCCGTTCGATTTGCAGTCCAAGACTCCAGACGACCCTTCGTCCCTTTCCCAAACTCGTCCAGGTGACAATCCTCCAATGCGGCTTCCGTTCCACGAATCAGAAAACAGCTTTTTGCCCACGAGTTGGATTGGATCGATATGGCCAGCCCATCCATCTACGCCTGCCAAGTACAAGGCTGCTTGATATGTGCCGCGCTCTGGGTAGGTTCCAAGACAAAGAATTCGGCTGTCCGCTGGGGTGGGCGAATGATCAAGCCGGGAGCAAGTCACAATGAAGATTTCTGCCACGGGTTGGATTGCGTAAGCGGGATGCTTACTCCGTACTTACTTTGCCTTCGGCATCAGGTATGACAAGACGCCTTACTAAGGAAGGTTTTGGCGGGATCCGTATCCGTTGTTCCATTTCTAGCCTAGAAATGGCAGAACGTCAACGAGTGTGAAAATATCGTGTCTGCCTAGGGTGCATGGCACTGCATGTTCACGAGCTCTTTGTCTCAGGTAAATAGTGTCCTCCCTTATTGTTTTTTCTGCCTTATGTTACAAGCTTGGTTCGTTTAGGGAACGCACCCCTGAGGCTACAAATATATGCAGGAACTATCATTGTTTCTGCTTTTAAAGGGGGTAGTCAGCGGGAGGTGCTTAGCTGAGACATTGCACTTTGTTTTCTAACGTTTCTAATCGTTACTAAATCACAATCAACCATGGAATTTACGAGAGATGCCTTCGGTGTCTAGGTTGTCAAGGCCATCTGCTTTGGCCGACTTGGCTTTGGCAAAACGACGAGGTCCGATAGAGCGACGACGAGCCCGGCACCCGGCTCATGGTTCACGGCTCCCGGGGTTCTAATAATAAACGGCAACCTCCTGGCCGGACCTTGCCAGCGTCGTGTCGCCCTCCTGATCGTCATAGTGATTGTCCGGTACGCTTACTGACGATCGTCAACATTGCAACGCCGTGCAGGCCCCGTGAGTAATGGGGTGATGTGCTGAGAGCACCCGACGTGCCCTTACATTTGACACCTCAATACCCACATGCATCCCGGGTGATCACAACACACAGTTGAAACCCACCCCTCCCGGCTCCGGGGGAGGGGATTGCCGTCCGGTCGGGGGAAGAGGCGACGGGCTAGGGCGGGCCGACTGAATACGAGGTACGTCGTGGGCTAGGATGAAGATCGGTGGCAACCGAGGCCCGGCCACGCGCCTGAAATGGAACACAATAGTACGACTACGACTACCTGCCACCCGGCACCTCGGTCGTTGCAACACTCAGGGACGAGGGGTCCGGTGCCGATCCCCCAAAAATAGATATTGTAACGCTTGCCCATAGCTTCTTCAAAGGGCTGTCATGTTAACGTCAAAGGCTCTGTATGTATGTATGTACATGCACGGTTACCGATCTAGCCTGCCAACCTGCCAGCCAAACACCCCGGTCTACTTTTGATGTTTGGTAGGTTGCACACTATCGAGTCTCTGAAAGCACACTAGGGGTAAGGAAATCACCGATCTGATGCCTGTCAACTGGGTGGCAGTGCAATGGTGATGTGGCGAGTGGTCCTTGGCAATCTTCTAGTCATACAGTACGTACTTACGCCATTCCAAGCCACACTGAAGACCTAAATGGGGCTGAAGTATTGCTAATCTGTAGTATTAGATTACGCGTACAGATCAAGTTCAGCTCTGCTGGGGTCTTATCTCATCCTAGGAAGCTGTGAGGTGAGAAAGAGTGGCGAGAAGTCGACGAGAGGCCTCTAGTACAGGAATTGGGCAACAGTTGTATGCGAGAGTTTATCTAGGAGCCGTGTTTTGTACGAAAGGGTTCTTATCTCAATCAAATTATGATACACGTAATATAGCACTGTTGTAGAGAAATCCTGAGAAATCTTTAAGAAATAGCTCTGAAATCTTTAATCTCCTTCTGATATCCTTGACCTCTGTTTGATCCCGGGAGGATATGTACCAGAGAAACAGGACATGAAAAGCGGCATAGAATACATAGTTAAGTGAGTGGTCAATCAACACGAATTATCTGTTCCAACATACACTTTTGGATTCCTTCATGAACAGCTTCATGGCTCAAAAGGTGGCCGCAAGTCGTATAAGGCTTCACTAGACCTCTAAGGCTAGCCTCGAGCTCTATCAGAGGCATTGTAATATATGTAACCGAGGTACCCATAGTCTTCCCAAGGCAAAACTGGCATATGAAGGTACCTACAGTGTAATGGTAACGTTGTCAGCATGGTTACTTGCCTTACCCAACACATGTAGTGTCTCTGTGAGGCCATTGTTGAGTGTCGTACACTAGTTGCTTGAATCATTTGAGCCACATTAAAATAGATGAGGAAACATCACGCACTAAATGCCAAGAGTTACCGAGTTGGTGGTTCCGGGTTGATGGGATACACGTCCAACAATGAGAAAAGGCCCGTCACCGAGCCCTTGGACACGGCAACGAATTATGGTGCAAGGGAGTTGTCTCAGATCTAAGGGCTGATCACAGGGCTGTTCATCATGAATCTCGGGGCTTTGGGTCCCCATCCCAACCCCACTGAGATATAAAACAGTAAAGAGTGGGCCAATTTGAAGAAGGGAAGAAAGCAAAATCCCATCGTAAAAACTGGCCCCATTCTCATGCCATCCGAAAATTGGGGTGACTGAGAGAGGGCAGGCGATGGTGGGGCGGCGCAGCAACCAGGCGCCGAGGTGACGTCATCGAGGGCTGCAGGACCACTTGGAACCCCACACCCTCAGCAACAAATACCCAAGGAGGCCACTGCGAGGGGGAATAGAAGAAAACGAACCCTTGTCAGCCCGCTCTTCTTCATCCGCTGAGTTTGTATAATCAGTACGGCAAATGGAGGACCTAATTTTCGTCCGGATTGGATTCCCCAATGAATCGCATGCGACATCTGTCGGCGGTGACGTAGCGAGCGTTCTGGTGACTTTGGGGAACGAATAGAGCCATCTTCCCCCCACCCCAGCAGCCGTGATCAGATGATAGGGTTGTGCCGTTTCAGCATCCAATACTGTCTATCTGGCTAAAGGCGAGCGGGATTTGGTTCTGGCTGTGGGGGGAGAGCGGTGAGGTTTTGGGCGCGAAAACATCTGGGAGTGTCGCAACTGTTCCTGAGGTTGGTGGACGGCTTATGCGGCAGTTTCAAGTTGCTTGGCCCCAGTGCCAACGCCATGCAATGCATGGCATGCATGCCGTGATGCCCTCTGCCTGCGCGCATTTGTGGATGGGAATATGGATACGTATGCCACGTAGCGGACAACTCTTTTGAACGCTTGCCGCTCTCCATCCATCCCCGGAATGGCAATCATATCCGCGATGCGTTCTGGCGTTGGGGTCCAATTAGAATCGCTGAGGTGTAGTGAACTCGGGCAGAGGCCCTCGGCGGGTGGGGGGTGTCCGAGGATAATGACATCATCAACCTGTGGGAAGGCTGGGGATAGCCTCGCAACCCGTCCCCTCTTACTAAGAAAGGGTACCTACACGGCCGTTCTATTGTTATTACCGACAGGGAGGCGCCGTTAGATCCCGCTGGGAGCTACCTCGTACTCCGTACTGGCATAGTATTTAGTATATGAGGTCCCTTGCATTTCGAGAACGAGGGGACCCCAGAACCCTTCATGCAGCGTGATGGGCTGACATCCATTGCTAAGGACAGTGCGTACCTACTCAGACTTGCTAATGTTTGGTGGTAGTGTAGGAGCGGTGTGCTGAATGCAGTATATTTATTTATCTTGTTTAATCGGACCAGCGAGGGAACTCAGCAACATGGATAGAACGGAATTCCTAGTAGACTAGGTAGTTGTCTCATTGCCATTTTCCGCATCCTTTTGTGTGTTGTAGCCTGATATACGGAATATCTGTATACTGTATGCTGAACGGGCCAAGCCGAACGTGAAATGCTGCCCTATGTTGTGTCGAAGCGTTCTGCCTGTAATCGAGAAGCCGGCTCAACTGCCCGTCAGAAGCTTGCGGCCTAATTTCGTTCCCCGGAAGCCGAGCTAGGCTATTCCTGGGCGTCTTCCCAGCGGAAGTTCAACTACGACAAGTCAGCTGTAATCAGCCTTATCTACACATTAACTAGATTGCATGCCGGGAATATTTGATCTAAAAACCGAAGAAAATATCGGTTGGCGTTCCATTTTCACCGCCGGCTGGTCCTTAGCACAGCCTGGGTAAAATACCATTACACGCATGTATGCGGGCACGGAGTAAATCATACATACAATGGATCTCTAAACCACCGTGCAAACCCTTCCAGAATATTTCTAAGCTTCGGAGCTGGAACTCTTGAAGAAGGATCAACGATAATCTCTCCAAATCGTCCTAAACCCTTCTTCTGTCCGCACTATAAGGGTCGTGCATTCAAGTGTATCGCACCTTCTCCAGAACAGTTAGTCTGACAGTATACCAGGCGTTAGCGCTATTCGCACCAATCTCGTTTCTTCAGTTTGGTGAGCACCCTTGGAGAGACTGTACGTCGAACGCAGTTGGAGGTTGAAGCAGAATCAGCGATACGTCAGTGCTGTGCCATTTGCAGGGAGGCGCTAGAAATATTGTGGAAAGCCGCATGGGCCATGCGGGGATAGGTAAAGTGACGTCAGAAGATCTGTTTTTCGCAAAGGGGACGCAGATCCCTGCAGGCGAGGTACCCTCAATAGACGTCGCTTGGAGACGGAGCATCCGAAAAATATTGTTCACAACTGAAGATGATTTGCTTATTATTTCAATGTTCCCCCACATGAATTAAACTAAGAAAGTGCCGTAAGATCCGAAAAAAAAACCTCCCCACATTTGAGACCCTTGCCTATATTATGTATCTTGCGCAGTGTTCTTCAAAAGAAAACTCCAAAATGGCGCCGCAGGAAAAAAAAATTATTAGTAAGGGGCGTCGGGCCTTATCAGTTAGGTCTACCTCGTTAAGCGTAAGAGACCTCGGCACGCGGCTCAGGCTTGTATGGAGCCGACTTATTACACGTGGAGTGGGGAGAAGTAAAAAGGAAAAAAGGTATTGTTTTTACTCTTTGATACTGTTTTCCGTGCTAAACACCAACCCTCCCACGTGTAAGCGGGAGTGGATAGCAACGACGCTGTCGGAAATGTGGCGGCCAATCGAATACGGCGCAAGGATCAACGGAGACCCGATTTGCAAGCAAGAGAGCAACATGCTATTGTGAATTTGCCATGGGGGAAAACTCCCCGTAGTAATAATACCGGTGCGGGAGTTGAGGATGCAAGTCCAGGCCGAGCACAGCCACACCTTGCTGCAACGGGCGTCGCGGCCCACGGTAAAGTACAAGTACTTTATCCGATACCTCATATTATTGCTGCTATCGTCCTTAGTCCTGGTCTTATACCGATTCGATTTCACCGACACGTTTGGCCGTTCCAGATTGGGAAACTAACAGAGGACTGAAATTAGTTGCAGGCCGGGATGTGGACGACTTTGCCATCTATATGCAGAATCTAACTTTCCTTACCAAGCACTCCGATCCGTTTTCTTTCCCACAGAATTCACCAACCTACACACACTTGGTCATGGAATCTTGGGCATTGGAGGTTTGAGAAGCCACAAGTGAAAGAAGTGGGAAGAGCCACCTAGATTTCTCTCTTTCCCTCTATTTGCGTCATCTAAATCATCCTCTTCCCATCTGCTGTCACCCGCGATGGCAATGTGCGTAGCAATGTGCAAGCTGTCGGAGATCGCAGTCAGGGAGCTTAGCGAATAGCCATGGCGCCACAGCTCAATTTACTAACAGGGCGGACTTAAGGCTTCCTTCACAATCTCATTTGATGGACTAGAAAGAGTAGTAAGGTAATGTCTCCACGACGCCACATGCCTGGCCAGAATCGAAGCAGTGATGGCTGTGCTATGACCAACGGTTTTTACTTACGTACCTTACTAACCTTATAACGAGCCCTCGTTCTGCGCATACCTTGAACTATGAATATCATCTATTGACAACGCAACGCGGCAAGTAGAGGAAATGGCCCTACTGCCAGAGATAGCGCGCCGCGTGGGAGGCCCAGAGAACTGGTCAGCCATAGAAGGTGGAGGTGGGAAATGGGGTCGAAAGGTGTGAGGTGAAAGGAAAGACCGCCGAGAGCCAAGCCCCGCACCTCGCTCTCTTGAAGAATGGGGGACCCTTAATTGAAGGCACCCAGCCGAATAAGGTCCATCTTTAGCTGACGCCCAGTGTGCCCATGTTCAAAGCGTTGGGAGGGTCCCCTATCCCTTCGAAAGGGAAGGCGGGACTTGCTAGACACTTGCCAGAACTACAAGAAGGCACGCGCAGTACGCCACGTCCGCGTACCTTCCTTCCCCCCCATTTCTTTCCTGGGCGGATTATCTTGGGGGGGTTTTTTTTGACGGCTGGCGCCAGCACTTGTGGCAACAAACTCGGCGTGCCATTTCCTCCCAACTCGACCGTTCAGGCACCCCGTGTGGAGAATTTCGACCCACAAACCATTCCGCACGTCACGCCATCCCCTCCCGGTGCTAGACGGCGTAAGTAACTATACATTCAAAAGTACATTGGCGGTGCACGTCCCCGTGGGAAGTATCCCGGCCTCGCTAGCCACACCCCACCGTGTATAACGGCTTGCCTTAGGTGGTGTGAACCACGCTAGCTAGCCTAGGCCAGCCACACCTTTCCCTCCCCTCCCTCTCCATCCATGTCTTTTCTCTTTTCGCTTTGCGAAGGTACTTGGCCATTTAAATCGTCTCTGCGACTCGCTGCCTCCTCTCTTCTAGTCGGGCTGTCCCCTGTATTTCCCTTTTCACTCCGCATATACATATATACATGTCGCGTTCAGTTGACGGCGGGCATCTGCAACAGCTTTTCCTCGTGCGCGTTGGTATTTACAAGGCCATCACACATCACTCATATTTTTTTGCGACTGACTCCTGACAACTTTGCGCCGTCGATTTGACCCCGCAGCCGTTCTCTCTCTTGTCATTCCACTCTTACCGCCCTTCGTTTCAATATATTCCCCCGCCGATCGCTAGCCCCGATTGTCTGGCTCAGAATCTTATAAAAACATTTTTGTTAGCTTTCTAATTCAGCTGCAGTGCATCAGACGAGCTGGCGGCTAGAGTTTGCCCGTCGCTAGTGACCTGATACTCCAAAGTCCGATTCAGCTTCGCTCTCCGCCGCCGACAAGAGACTCGCCTCCAACCCTCGATTTTCCACGCAGCTTTTCCTCGTTCTCCTTCCGAGTTGTACGCCATCACTCGAGGCTCAGCTCTCAGAGGCTGCCACTTTAGCAGCTCTCCGGCCTAATGTTTCGTCAAAGGTAAGAAACAACCTTCGAGGTGATTCTAGGCTGGAGGTCACGCAACAGCGAAAGGCGCGCACACTGCTCTGCCAGCGCAATATGGACACTCGCTGCCCTTGGCCCTTCGGTTGACTATCACTAACTCCAAATTCTTATAGGACGAGCTCGCAAAAGCCCGGAGATGATTTGTTGGCCAATTTCAGACAGCAGTTTCCTGAAGTGGCCACTGCAGCCACCACGGCCTCCTCAGCAACATCCCCACCCCAGACCATAACTGCAGGTCACACCGAAGTTTCTGTAACTTCTCAGGAAAGGTTCGTCATCTCGCCTTTGTTGCCCTGGTGGACTCGTTGTATCGGGTTCCGACTGTGGATGTGACTCGAAAAGGAAAAGCGAAAAACCCCCCTCCACAAGATGGAGCAGGGTTTTGCGAACATGAGGTACCAGAAACCTCGGCGCTTGTAGCTACTCTCGATAATTTATATCGGGTCTTGGCGCAGCCGTTGGAAGAAACTGGCGAAACTAACAGTAGGCTCATGCAGGGCCCAAAGTCTAAGCCATGAAGCGTTTCGCGACCAGGACCCTACTCCTCGCGCATCGAACGAGCCATGGAGATTCACGCCGTCTCTGCTGGATCCGGGGTCATTCTCCTTCGCCAGCTTCGCCAACCAGCCCCCCGGATACTATACTCCTACGCCAGGCGGGACAAACACACTGTATCATCCCCAGGCTGGCGACCTTCACACTCCGACCCTCAGTTTAGGCATGGGCCTGGGAACTCCATTGTCGATGCCGACTTCAGGAGGCGCGATGCATGCTGGAACAACGTCAATGGAGATCCCGGGGTTCCACCCTGGCGGTTACCATCCGCAGCATTTTCACAATTTTAACCCGTTTATTCAGGCCCCGCCGCCACAGCCGTCCTTCGCTCCTTCTTCGTTTGTTCACCAAGATACGGGATACGAAACCATGGACCAGGAAGGGTCTCCAATGGACTCGGACCCTACAGACGACAGAATTAGATCAATCGATGGCAGTTTCCACGGACAGTCCCCCCCAATGATGTCGTTTCAAGCGAGACAATTCGGTATGCCAATGTCAGTGCCTCTCCCGGCGTCGGCGGAAAAGTTTCGGTTCCATACAGCCTTGAATGCCCCGACGGCGATGATCAGGCATGCGGATGAGATACCGGTGACATACCTGAACAAGGGTCAAGCCTATTCACTATCGGTTGTCGATACAAGTCCTTCTCTGCCAATTGCCGCCGGTACAAAATTCCGCACATTCGTGCGCGTCTCGTTCGAAGACGAACAGCAACGTCTGAGGCCTGGGGTATGCTGGAGTTTGTGGAAGGAAGGCCGTGGCACAAATGAGGCCCACCAACGAGGAGGAAAGCTGCAAGCAGTCGAATATGTCGAGGCTGGCCAACCCGCGGAGGGTGACGACAAGAGAACACGTATTGAACTGGAAACGTCGTCGTTTGATGGCTTCTCGGTCATATGGTCGCCCGGTGTCAATGGTGCGGTAGAGTGCAACATTGCCGTGCGCTTCAACTTTCTTTCGACCGACTTCAGTCACTCGAAAGGGGTTAAAGGAATACCTGTCCGACTCTGCGCAAAAACCCATCTTCTTTCGACCGACTCTTCGTATCTCTCCCCGCCGGATGAGCCTCCCAAGATTTGCTACTGCAAGGTCAAGCTGTTCCGAGACCACGGCGCTGAGCGCAAACTGTCAAACGACGTAGCACACATTCGGAAAACTATTGACAAACTGAAGCAGCAGATCAGCCAGGCCGAAAGCGGAGTGAAGGACTTTGGGAAGAGAAAGAGAAGCGGGCTGTCGCAGATGAAGTCGTCGCAACTGCAGAGACCTGGTAAAGTCCAAAAACACAAGCGGACCTGGTCCATGTCGTCTGCCAGCTCTGCCGGAGGGGGCGCCAGACTGCCGCTTGAGGAGGACATTCATTTCAAGCTTCAAACTCTCCAGGACATGTTCACCAGCACGCGCCTTGTGAGCGTCCTATATCTGCGTGGCGACGACTTGGACGACCCTGACCTGCATCCAGTCGTGCTCCCCGGCGAGTCTCTTGATCTAGCCAAGGTTGAGTCGAGGGAGAGCAATATATGGCGAAGCGAACGAAGCTCAGTTGCTGGGTCATCGCTCGTCTCGCCATCGCCCAGCTCGCTGTCGCTCCATTCGCAAGTCTCTATTCCCGGGTCGAAAGCGAAATGGCAAGACCTCCAGCGAGTGGGTTCCGGCGAAACATCATCTTCTCGACAAGGGTCTGATCAGCCAACCAAGATCAGGCAGACCGATGAGGCTGGGAATTTAACGGGTTGGATCGAAGCGTTAGGCGTGGACTCGGCATATCGACCTCCCCCAGAAGCGGCGCCTAAACCTATTGCCTGCTTTTACGTCGCACGCCGTGATACCCCTGACGCATCCCCTCGCGGAGTTCACCGGGCTATCTACCTCATGAAGCGAAATCTTCGAGAGTTTATTACTCGAATCGCAGCTAAATGGAACTTTGACGCAAACAATGTTGTTCGGACAGTGCGAATCCTACCGCGCGGGATCGAGGTGGAAATGGACGACGACGTCATCCAAGCACTCCCCGAAGGTCAAGACATGACGCTCCAGGTCGCTGAACTCAGCACAGCCTCACCCGCTACGAAGCGGGAATGGGAAATGGCTATCGATGCTCCCGGCGAACCAGAGTCTCCTCCGCCAGCTACGGCACAAAGCGGATACGAATTAAGATTCACATTTTGATAGGCATGAACACGAATTAGGAGGGTGTAATTCCTAGGCGAAAGTCATCAGCTACAACGGCGGGCAATCTAGACGGGTGCTCCTTTTTTTCGGGTCGATCTCTCGCCGGGTCGAGACGAAAAACTTGCGTAAAAGTACACGCGGTTAGATTTCTAGGTACTTTGGATTTGTGATGGTTTAGCTTCTTGAGATACCAAGTCCCCTTGGCGGGCAGAGTTTTTTTTTTATTGTTTTTTTAGAGGGATTTTTTATGGCCGAAGTATCTTCGCGCTTGCTTGGTGTTACCTTTCCCTTCAATGATGGACTCGGAGATTTCCTTTCTACAATATGACCAGGCTGGCCACTTTCCTCGAAATCTAGGCTCGAGAGTCGGCCGGATTCCGGTGCTTTACTTCGCTACATACGTGGCAGTCTTCTGTCTTTTGGATTTTGATTGCTGGATTAACTTTCGCCTCTCTTGTGGCTTGGATGAAAGGGGATAAGGGAGTGTAAATAGCGGTAATGACAACTCACGAGTGACGGGGCTTGACACGATGGGCGGCTAGTTTGTTTGGTGTCACAGGCTATGTACGGAATGCCTATTACCATCTACATACGCGGGCGCCAGCTAATAAAACGGTCACGGCCGACTGCCCAACGGGTGGCTGTCTCCCGAATGCTACCGTCTGCTATTCACTCGCTCCCGTATAAGGCGACATCGCGTCGTAGCTACTTCGATGAGGGCCAGAATCCGGTACGTGGGCCCCTGAAAACGCGGCTCTCATCAAACTTGTCAGCCTCAAAAGCCAGAACTCGAGAGAACGAGTGGCTGGCGGCCTAGGCCCAGGCCCAAACAGGCGTCCATTCTCCACAACCCCTGATCCATGCCCCATTGTTGTACATACCAAGAAGCTTCATGTCGCGTCTCGCATGTTTTCCTTTCGACGGGGTTTTATCCGCGCGCCCTCAGGCGTCCGTCCCCGTCGGGCCTTCATCTTACGCTATCTTAGTTTGCATGAGTCCGCAATCACAATGGCTAGCCTCCCGTGCCGCCTGGCAGTCAGCCGGAGCTTTGTCCCCGCACCCATGCATTATTGAAATGAGGCCGGCCCCGGGCTCTCTCCGCGTCTTCCGCGTCTCGACGTGGGAGCTTCCAGTCGCTGTGTGGGGCTTGATTGGCTCAGGATCACGCTCCTGTGTGCAGTGGTAAAAAAGGAGGTGGTAACCGGGGAGGGCAATAAAATAACATTCGATAGGAGTCTCGACTCTCGAAGGCTACGCTTTATCGAGCTGCTTTGTAAGGTTTAGTCGATTGTGTCCCTTCTCTGTCAAGAATTGATGCACGTCCTGTTGATTATCTTGCAGATAATCACCCCAATTTTCTGTCACTCTTGTCCTTGCTCCCTCCCCCCGAAAACCCGATAAGACAGTATGTTTATACGATCAAGATCGAGGCATCCGTCAGCAACACACGAATGGACTAGCCACGCTGCCAAAGGGTTGACAATAGCTTGCAGCTTTTCAAATCCGAATCCCCCATGAGCGAAGCCCTTGGCTTGATCGAAATGCCACCAGCATGGCTGCGGCTGTGCTGTGGTTCTTGAGGAGTGGCACGCCTCCTCAAGATCTGGACCGTCCTGTCTTGGGGGCTGTAACAGGGCATCACCGCACCCAGCAAACGGCAACTGCCTCACCTGAAGGCAGAACGGTCAATCTACCTGTCTCGTTGCTCAACCCCGTTTGCGTATTGGCAACGCTTTAAAAAGGACTGCAGTGGGTGTTCCCGTCAACGTTTGACGCTCGACCTCTGGCCTCCCACATACCCCCTTCCCAGCTTCTCTTTCGGACGATCCTGATGGAGAACTGGCCATTGTGGCAAGGGGTTCACGAACTCTCCAAAGTTGCGCTCCCGTGTCCACGGTTAGCTACTCGCCCCGCCTCTTATCTTCGACTACAACTGGAGAGAAGAGTCTGGCCCGGGGAAAGGGCAACAGACGTTCCCTCAAGTGAGAGATAGCGATTTACACGCACAGTGGCACAACCACACATACCTCCACGATCCAGCACGCAAACAAGCCAATTGCATGCCATGTCCCGTAGGCTTCCTCTTGCTAGACCCCTTTTCATTGCCGCGACTACCTCGTTTATCTTTTTCCTTTCTCCTCACCTGCATCGACAGAAATGACTGGTAGCCAGTCATTAACCACCCCCAAAAACATGTCTGTTCATAATACATTGCAAAATATTATTTTTAGCAGATTAATGGCCAACATGTCACGGAAATGGAAAATCCCACGCCGTGGCTGGACGTGTGTGGCGAAACAAGACCGCGATCAGCCTCAACCGGCCTGCTATCGACAGGTCCAGGAAATGATCAACCCCTGTGGTCTTCTATTATTCTCTTGCTTTTTTTTACTGCCTATCTGTCCTGCATTGAATGCCACACATATAAATCCCCCAAATGCAAGTCAATGGTCCATATTAGGTCTTTTTTGTCATAGCATCCTGCGACGCGAGCGGGTTTTGGTTTGATATCCAGGTATAAGCCAGCCCAGGGCGCACATGACCAGTCGGAAATGTCGCGATGGATAATACCACGGGTGAGAACGTTACAATAACTAATAAAGGTTAATTTATCTTTCTTCGATGGGCTGCAGGAGCAGTATGCCCCGAGCATGTGCGCAGCATGTCGTGCATGTCTCCTCATGCACAGACGAGCCAGGTGCTCACCTTAAAGATTTGTATGTACCTGAGTATGTACCAGTACCTTCTCCTGTCTCCGGGACCAAATCTCTTGGCTTTCACTCGCCACAGTTGGGACAGGGAGAAGAGCCATCCTCCAGCCTCAGGGGGTGGGAAACGGGGTGGGGTGCACCGTTCGACACAGGACCAACGGCGCAGTTACCCGCCCCGGAGAGGCATTCTTCCGCCTACCTACGGATACTTCACCAGTGAGAAAAGAAAGGGATTTACCCCAACTCGCTTCCGTGGCCGTGGGTGCCGCTGAAGACACGCCCCTCAGCCTTCCGGATCCGGATATGCGGACGCCGATCACTGTGGCGGCGGATAGTTTTTCTACTGCCGCCAGCTCGGCACTGTGAACACCCGGCCGGCTTTCTGCTTTCTGCCTCTCGCCGTGAGCAAAACAGCAGCCTTTCCAAGCCACGCGTTCTTGAGATACAATCTGTCCAATAGCACGTTGCCGGCGAGGACCAGATCCATCAGTTGTCTGTCTTTTCAGCTGTGCAGGGCACGAGGCAGAACTGATGCATATGCATCTTTCTCTCGATGAGACAACTATGGAGACAAGGCTACCAATATCGACAGGCCCTTTATGCCGAGCGTATGGCACACAGGAGGAACAAACTCTCGCCCGCCCAGGGGCTGGCTCTACTTACGACGGAGAATATAGAGTAGAAAAGGGGACAAACGGTTATGGTGCCATTCAAGTCCAAACGAGCCTATACAGCACCGAGATGGCCAGCAGAGAGGTGAGCTCTGAGCCAGTAGATCACGTATCATCCAAAGAGGACAAGAACACAACGCCAATTGAGCCATGCCATTTGCCGTTCGGATCACTCCGAACTGCACTCTATCCTCGATCAACCGGCATACCTATTGCAGGTGCTCTTGGATCACTAGCCACAGTTGAACACGTACGCAGCAGTTGCGGCTGTGGCGAAGGCGAGATAAAACAAAGATATATTCGCCACAGATGGAAGCCACTGTCGCCTCATTTGGGTTGCTCATCTTGAGGCTTTCTCTCTCGCCCAACCACAACCCCTAGCCACAGGCTAGGCAAGCGGGCCGTGCGACACATATTATCCCTTGAGGGTCAAAGACAGCGGGGGGCCAATGGCGGCTTGCCTGATAAGGCAGTTGTGGCAGGGCAAAACGTCGAATCCTGGGGATGAGACACCTTTTCGCCACCTTAATCGAGCGTTGGCCGCGGTCTGGATTGGAGGCTTAGACGTGGAGACGAGCGCCCGTTCCATCGTGGCGTGGGGGGCGGAAAAAGGGAAAAAGAAAGCCACACATGCCTGTAGGGGGGAGAGAGGAGGGCAAAGCCCAATCTCCTCTGGCCCGGGGCTTTCGAGCTCACTAGCCACCTTCTCGAGCCTGGAGGGAGGGCGTCGACCGAGTGAAGGTGGCGAGTATTGTATTTTACCCCCAAAGGGTTCCAACAGCCACTAGACTTGCATGGTATGTGCAAACACACAAGTACATAGTAGGCCAACACCCATCGGACCTAGCTGGGCCACCTGCATGCTTCGTACCTCAGATTGGCGAAAGGAAGGGAGCCAAGTCCCCAAGTCACCCAACACGCCCTTATGCCGCCGTCTCCCTTCACCTCCACCATCCACACGGAGCAAAGATCGGCGGAGGGGTCGTTGCTGCTCCGCGCAAAGGAGAAAAGGGTGTTGACGGGATCCCTCCTCGCTTCTTTTACTTCCCGTACACCAGGGTAAGGGGAAGATGATAGAAGGGGACTTCAATCTATATATAGAGACGAGACTTAACACTTTGTGAAAAAAGTGGTCCAAGAGGCGAGATGAGGGAAGCTGCATATGTCACGAATGGCCCACCATTTTTTTTTTTTTTGGTTCCTGGATCGACAGAGGGCTGTAAAGCGTGGGACTGAGATATTGCCACTGCTCGTCTGCGAGAAGCTGAGCAACTGTTGCCGATATCCCGTTGTTTACAAATTGCCTCGATGCGCGAGTCGCATACAATCATACCGGGAATTTTGGTGCAAGACTCACGTAGATCTCAGTAAACATCTTGTTGACAAAAAATCAAGCCTGTCCAGGGCCAATTGGTTCTTCAAAACTCTCAACCGAAACTTTCGCACTTATCAGCCCAAAGGAAAGGAACGGACCAAATTTTGACTCGTAAACACAAATTCTGGCTCTAGGAAAAATAAACAACTAAAAGATAGACAACTAGACAACGTCAATTGATTTCCGCAGAGGACCGAAAGGCCCATTTTACTAAGATGAAATTGGAGGGGAAAAAGCCAGTGACGGGAACAAAAGTACCACCGACGTCATCCCCCCTATGACGTCATTCTCAACCCCCACCAAAACACCAAAGAGAGTTTTTAACCCTAACCCTAACTCCTGAAAGAAGGTGCATGAGGTTTGTTTACCTTTCGCATTTCACTCCTCTTCACTCTTCAACACGAATGCTATCCAGCGGCGATGTTATTGCTACCAAATATCCTTTTTAGGTCATGAGTCCTCGGTAATGTTGCCCGCTGCGTGTCTAGTTTCAGACCAGTGGCTTGACTTTAGACCATTTTACGTTATGGTACCAAGTTGGCACAATACTTCTTTTTGAGAGGCTCCTACTGCCGTCAAAGATGTTTTTCTAGTTCTTGATGAAGAGGTATCTAGAGACCTTCCTTTTCACTACACACTTCAAGTATTGGAGAGAGTTGATGAGAATGTTTTGAAGAAAAAAAATGGATTAGCCTGGACAGGTCTCCAACGGCCTAACTGACAATTAACATCACATGACTAGGTCTGCTTGGCCGTTGCCTTTCTCTCTCTTCGCAGCCATGCTAGCGAGCTCGTGTCTAGTGCCGTGCATATCCCCAGCGGCAGCAAACTTTCCATGAGAGCAGGCGAAGCCGCCGCTGTGGTTGAGGCATGGCCTCCTTTCCTTCGAGGCTGCTATGCCATGCCTTATTTCCGCGTCGAGGTCGTCAAAACTCGGAATTTATTGTGAGCCCCTTTTCTGGATATGAGGCAGGCTAAACCGCACAGAGAGGTTGCTTCAGTCTGGACCTCTGCGCGATACACTTTAGCAGAGACGGCCCGCTATTGATTGCTATGTGCGGGTGCTTGCTCGGTGGGTGAGAGGATGCCAAGGCCTTGTAGGGTTTTGGAGCATAGTGAGGCCGAGTTTTTTTTTGGTCTACTACGGGAAATGCTTAAGTATGTTCATTTTAGTGTATGCGGTGATAGATCTAACTGTGAAAGTCCCTCCCTGAGCAGACGAAATAAAAATTATAGAGGCTGAGGCTCGCCACTGAGCAGGGTGACTCGTGAACCTTTGAGTCCATGGGGCTTGCGGCCTTTAGCTTTCTAGGTTGTTGGTCGTAAACTTGGTCCCGTCTCCTTATCTAGTTGTGCTTTTGGTCTGGGGTTATTGAGCGGGTCGTGTCTGTATAGAGCCTAGAATCCTGCTACCCCGAATACAACAGCTAGACTGAATTAGTGCACAGCCGGGTTTGCGGGAGGGTGTGGCTAGTCACCGCCAGTTTATGATACGTGTTGCCACGACTGGGAAAGTAAACAAAGGGGGAACCTCCGTGTTCTCTATTTTTTCCCCTTACCTTTGTGACGCTGTGGTTTCTCAAGGCCCCGGTATCTGGCTGGTGGTTGCAGTATCAGGCAAAATAAACTGAGGCCCTCCTAGTAACTCTATCCTTTCCCCTCTGTCTTGCGGCTGAGTAGACTTCTTCTGCGTTGTTTGACTCTCGAGAGGATTATCCATTGCTAACCTTTAAGATTGTTCTTGTTCTTTGTAGCCTGGACTATGGCTTCCCATCTCTGTTTCTTGAGCGCCTTTGCCGCTTTCTGAAACATAAATTTCCTTTCAATGATGCTGGCCGGATATGTGGATCTCGAGAGGATGTATATCTGTGTCTGGACAGAAAGTCGGATGTTGTGTTCAGTTAGGTGTAGCTAAACTCGAGGAAAAGCAATGCATTCGTAACGACAACGACAAATATTACCTCTTCTCCTTACATCGACTTCTTGTCTACTTCTCTGGCAACTCAGGAAGACATGTTAAAGCCAATGTAGACCTGCAATTCGGTTATACTGGTATCTACTTCTAGGGAGCATCGCTCTCAGACGGCGGACGTATCCGTCGCGTTGTTTCCGACTCTTTCTAACCTAATGCATTTTATTGGAGGTGATTCTCGGCGGCATTTTTGTTCGTTTTAGAGGTAAATGCGTCCGAAAACAAGACAGCTAGCTCTTATAACCACTTGAGAGGAAAGGGTGTAGAGAAGTCTCGATGATCTATCTGGAACATACATAGTTGACCAGTGCTAAGTACCTATGCAATTGTAGCATGAAAGAGAGTCTACAGAGACTCTTCATAAAGGTTTAGGTTTCCAGAGCCAACTCTACCAAAATTATCATTTCTCCAAGCCCTCGACCGCATCATTCCGAGCCTTGGCCATAGTTTTTCTAGAGACTTCTAGTGGTAGTGGCTTGGTCAGTACATCTGCCAGATTGTCCTTGGAGTTGACTCTTGAGGTCTATACTAGCACTCACGACCCCTACATACCAGTCCAGTTGGACCGTGTCTTGACCAATACCAAGCGAGGCAATGTATTGCTTCAACCATTACTCAATCGACTGATGCCATGGGTCAATTGAGCTAGTTCTAGGCCTGGTGCCCAGGGCACTCTTCCGGGCGACCCAGCAATCCCACCAAGTGAAATTTATTTAATATTCAAATGATTTTGCCCGTCAATTATCCGCGTCTGCAGCCACAAAATTGCTGAAGTCATCCTATTGCAGTCCTCGCAAGCTCCGTTTATTGCTTCGAGCTTGAGATATCCACCACCTCGCCGACATACAGATACAGTCTATTGTTGGCGTACGGTATTGTAAGGTAATGTAAGGTATGTATGTACGGAACAAGGATGGATGTTAGCGCGGGCTTGGGGCGTGGGGTGGACGGCCGGCCGGCCGTCTGGGGAACGAACGCCATGCCGAGCGCGGGGCCGGCTCGTTCGGTGACCCGTGCACAACACGGCCTGTTGCCGGGCGTCTTGTGCAGGGGCATGGATGGCTTCCCGTCTCTTTCTCGGGGCAGGAGCCTCAAGTTGCACAGCATATCACTTAGCAAGAACTAGTTTGACAACTCGCTCCACACTACACACAACTATGATCTCCAGCAGCCTCTAGGTCCTCCGTAAACGGGAATGAACTACCTATTTTTCTTTGGGTATCTGACCCGCATCATAGTAAAAGCACACTACAACGCCGTCAATCGCATGACTCTTTATCTTTCTTTGATCTTTCAGGGACATGACGTTTCGACAAAAAAAGCAAGAAAGAAAAAAGGACTGAAGGGAGGGACCAATACAATGCAACACAGGAGCACAAAGAGAGCCAAAGAAACTCTAAATACAACAATTCCAGGTTACGCTTGAAGCTTATCGTGGGAGTCTGCTACCAAACACGGGTGACCACCTAGGGCTAGATAGTTAGAATGCCGTTGGCTGTCAATGTCAGCATGATAAAGATCTTGTCCAACCAATTAATTGTCGGGGCACCAGAATTCGCTGTCCTGATTTGGCGTGTCCTTCGGGTACCGAGGAATAAGCTGAGCGAGCGTCTTGTGTTTCTGTTTCAGTCACCGCCTTTTCAACACTGCCATTCTCCCGCAGTCGACGTGGACAAAGTCGGTACGGATTAGCCGAGCAAATAGTAGACCATAAGAAAATCGCCCAGTTGGGGGAGGGGGACCCTTCTCTACACTCCGATCCATTGTAGAAAGCCCTGGGCTGCTTTCACTGTGCTTTCCATAGTTCTCCCCCTACATAGTTCTCCCCCTAGTCCGCATCATAACATGACTCCAGGCTGGCACAATCGGACAAAGAAAAGAGTCAGAAATATCGTGAACAGCATTTGAAGAAAACCCCAGCTGGATACAGGGCCAACGGCTTGCCAGGCTCCTCAAGCAACGGGACGGCTCGAGGATAGAGTCTGGGTGGCTGTTAGGCTTGTTCGTTGTAGCTTGGCGGTGGAGTGCTGGCCGTGCTGCCGTGGGTCCAGATTCTCAGAGTCTGACTGGGCCCAAAGTGGGGGCTGCGGCATGCTGAGCAGCGAGGTGGGGTCGTTGCGAACTTTAGGTGCGGTTCTGTGCCCACTGGCACTGGCCACTGGCCCCCCCAAACCCCGCTGCGGCGGCTACGCCTGAATCAGCATGAAGAAAAGATAAAAAATAAAATCACGATATTGTGGGACCTGACACGACTGCATCTCTTCTTTTCTTTCTCGCCCTCTCTCTCCCCCCGTCCCCCTCGCAGCCCGCTCGGTCACCACACGCACCGCCTTGCCAATCTTTCCTTCAGGGTGCTTCTCTTCTTTTTATCGTTTCCGTTCCTGTTGGTCGGTTTTATTCGTCGCATCCCAGCCACGGCCTCTTTGTCACTCGACGCACGTCAAAGCCCCGCCGAGTTGCCTCTCTCCATTGTCGCTCCGTTTACGTGACCAGGTTACTTCCCTCAGAGCCGCAACGAACGACCTTGGAAGAAAATTCGTTTGCGCCCGTCTCGGTCTTGTCGAGTCCCGGTTACCAACCTTCCGTCTGACACGCGAAGCCGCTTTTCCCCATTCAAGGCCCTTCCGTTGGTGCTACCCGAAGCCCTTGTCTACGACGACACTTCGAAAGCCCGCGTCCCCAAAGTCAGACCGCACCCGAGCACGCTCCGGCTTACCACCGTGCTATTGGCCAAGAACCAACTATCCTCAGCCTAAGCAGATCGCGACGAGCTCACGCTTCTGCGACAATCTTTAGGATCCAAAAGGAGACAAGCGACTCGCTCGACCCCGCGGCGAGAACATTTAGGAAACAAGAAAAAACAAAAGAAACTTCGATACACTCTGTTATCGCGATCATCTGTGACTTTGACTAGTCATGGCCAGTCCGTTGCAGTTTGCCTACCGAACCCAGAAGGCCATCGGCGTCTTCGATGCCGCGCCTGTCTACGAAGACCTCCCTGGGTTCGACAAGCCTGAAGGGAACCTCCGGTGCTGTGTCTACTCGCCATGCGGCCGATACTTTGCCTACGCCTCTAACGAGGGCGTGTCCATTGTCGACGCCTCGGTTGGTCATGTGCTGACCTCGCTACTGATCCCGACCGTTTACGATCTCAGCTTCTCGCCCCGTGGCTCGTACTTGAGCACCTGGGAGCGCCCTGCCAAGGACGAGAACGGGGACGCCACCAAGAACCTCAAGATCTGGCGTGTCATTGAAGATGTCGAGGAGGGTGCCGAAAAGCAACCCCTTGGCAAATTCGTCCAAAAGTCCATGACCAACTGGAATCTGCAGTACACGGCCGACGAGCAGTTCTGCGCCCGTCTCGTGACCAATGAAGTCCAGTTCTACCAAAGCGACGACCTGACTACCGTCTGGAACAAGCTGCGCGCCGAGGGCGTGACCGACTTTGCTATTGCCCCCGGAATGAACCAGAATGTTGCTGTTTTCGTGCCCGAGCGCAAAGTAAGACTCGCACAATTTCTTGTTCTATTACTGTAAACTAACGCTCTTGTTCTGCAGGGCCAACCCGCCGGAGTGAAGGTCTTCAATGTGCCGCAATTCGCCACCCCGATTTCCCAGAAGACATTCTTCAAGGGCGACAAAGTCCAGCTCAAGTGGAACGCGCTTGGCACAAACCTCATTGTGCTTGCCCAGACAGAGGTGGACAAGTCCAACAAGAGCTACTATGGCGAGACGAATATGTACTTGCTGAGCGCCAATGGCTCCTTCGATGCCCGCGTAACACTGGACAAGGAGGGCCCCATCCACGATGTTGCTTGGTCTCCGAACTCGAAAGAATTCGCCGTGACTTACGGGTTTACACCCGCTAAGACAACGCTCTTCAACCACCGCGCCGTGGTTACGCATTCTTTCCCCCTCGCCCCCCGCAATACTCTGATCTTCTCGCCTACTGGCCGGTTCGTCCTTGTCGCTGGCTTTGGCAACTTGGCTGGTCAGATCGATGTCTATGATCTCGAGAAGGACTACCGCAAGGTGACGACAATCGAGAGCGGGAACCCCAGCGTGTGCACCTGGAGTCCGGACAGCCGTTACATCCTGACAGCCACCACTTCTCCACGCCTTCGTGTCGACAATGGCGTGAAGCTCTGGCATGTGACTGGCGGCATCATGTACAACGAAGAGATGGTCGAGTTGTACAACGTCATGTGGCGGCCCGCGCCGCTCGAAAGTCTGCCGAGCGGAGATGCTCTGCATCCCGTGCCAGCTCCCCATGCTTCGGCCCTGGCGTACTTGGGCACGGTCAAGACACCGTCCAAGCCGGCGGGTGCCTACCGGCCCCCTGGCGCACGGGGTACCGTAACACCGCTGCACTTCAAGCGTGAGGACGAGGGTGGTGCGGCCCACATCGTCGGCAACGGCACTCCATCGGTTGGACCTAACGGATTTGGACGTCCGCGCCGTCAAATTCCAGGAGCCGAGTTCACCGACGCTCCTGCGGGCGTTCCTGGCGCCGTGCTAGCCGAGGGAGCCGCGATGGAGGGAGAAGAGGGCTTATCCAAGACTGCGCTCAAGAACAAGAAGAAGCGCAACAAGAAGGCAAAGGAAGGGGCTGCGGCTCCTCAGGGTGCTGAAGGTGGCCTAGCCCCGCCTCCTCGTGAGTTCGGAAGCGGGTCCGGTAACGAGGGACGCAGCCCCGAGCGACGGGGCCAGTTCCAGAACCAGAATCCCTATGCGCACCAGAACCAGCATATGCGCAACCAGTCGCGCAACCTCCCACGCGACCGTGCCCGCTCGCACAGCAGGCCTGGGCCGCAAAATGGACAGACGCCCAACGAAGCGCCGCCGCAGTCGAGCCCACTAAAAGAACAGGGCAGTGCTCCTGTTACTCCTGTTGCACCGGTTTCGCCTGTTGTTGAAGTGGTTGACCCTGCTGTGGCGGCCAACCAGAGTGCCAATGCCAAGAAGATTAGGAGCCTTCAGAAGAAGATCCGCGCGATCGAAGATTTGGAAATGCGTTATGCGGGCGGCGAGAAGCTCGAGGACACGCAAATGAAGAAGATCAAGACCAAGGTGGACGTGATGAAGGAGCTTGATGTGCTGGCCAAGGAGTTGGCCTAAGCATCCAGCCGCATTGTGAGAGAGACAAGGAGAGGACTTCGTTCCCACGCAGGAATACTACCTCCGCTCTCTTTGTCTCTTGGAGCTTTTGGGACTTGAACAGCCTACCCTACTCTTGTCAAAGTTGGACACGTGAAAACTGACATTTTGGTCAACGACGAGAAGTAGGCGATCAGATATTGAGCTCGAGGAGCAACCACGGGTGAAGTCTAGTCGTTCTATAGTTTAGTTGTCATGACAACAGCTTGCAATTGTAGTTCATTAGCAACCCTCGCGTTGGACTGGACTGAACAGTAGGCAGTTGGTAGTGGTGGAGAAGAGAAAGGCAGTCTCAGAAAGCGGATAGAAAAAAAATCTCAGGTCCAGCGGGCCAATACTTTGTTGTTATTGTATTATGTTGCTTTTCTTTTTGTAGAAAAAGAAAACAAAACGACCACTGTGAATCGCGATTCCATCTCGATCAGGGCTCAACGTTCGGGACGGGGGTAGGTTATTTGTGGACACTGGGGAGGCCAAAATTAAAGATCGATCTTCCCCACACTCCCCAACCTGGGGTAAAACGGTGTGCGACACAGATTCCACGTGATTGTTAGGCCATTGTGGGGGCATGTATCCATATCCGTACAGCGAAATGATGTGCTGTTCACGTGATATAGGCAGGGACAGACCTGACCAGCAAATTCAAGTGCTCGGCCAAGTTGGAGCCAGCCATCTTCTCCACATGACAACAACGCTTCAGCCTTATCAGCCAGTCGGCCAGGGGGACACGTGAATTACCTCGGTCTAGTCAGCCAGACACCCAACAACCAAATTCAGCATATAACACTCCCTCAAGGCGCTAGCGCAACCGAGATCTGGCCTCGCCGGCATTTAACCAGGATGGACAATCTGAAAACAGACTCACAGCTAAGGACGCTCGTCACAAAACGCACAGCTTCGGAAGACCAGAATGCCGCCTCTAATGCCAAAAGAATCAAACTCCTTCACGACGGGCTGACAGAACTGGATGCTCAGCCCCCACTGACGACCGTCAGGGTTCCTTTCCCAGAGAAGGTAAGTATGCCGGTGCCTGCTGTTGTCACGGGAAATGTTCCAACTGTTTCAAAGCCTGCAGTAATAGAAGAACGAAACGGCGAGATCCAATTCCGCGTTGTCAACAATGACGGCGCCAGAGAGAGTATGATTATTCTGACAGGTCTCAAATGCCTCTTTCAAAAACAACTGCCAAAAATGCCCAAGGATTACATTGCACGCCTCGTCTACGACCGTACTCACACATCTATCGCCATTGTCAAAATGCCCCTCGAGGTCATTGGGGGAATATCATTCAGGGAGTTCCGCCCTGGCAAGTTTGCCGAAATCGTTTTCTGCGCCGTCTCGTCCGACCAGCAGGTGAAGGGATACGGCGCGCATCTCATGGCCCATTTGAAGGACTACGTAAAAGCCACGTCCCCAGTTATGCATTTTCTGACTTATGCCGATAACTATGCTACTGGATATTTCCAAAAACAAGGCTTCACGAAGGAAATTACGCTTGAGAAGTCGGCCTGGATGGGGTACATCAAGGACTACGAAGGCGGGACGCTCATGCAATGCTCGATGCTGCCGCGAATACGCTATCTCGAATCCGGGCGTATGCTCCTCAAGCAGAAGGAAACCGTGCAAGCCAAAATCCGCGCCCTAAGCAAAAGCCACATCATTCATCAGCCGCTTGGTGTCGTCGCCACTCCTATCGACCCGCTCTCCATCCCTGCCATCCGGGCGACTGGCTGGTCTCCAGATATGGACGAACTGGCCCGCGAGCCGCGGCACGGGCCGCACTTTAATGAACTCCGGCGGTTCCTGTATCAGATGCAGAACCACAAGCAAGCGTGGCCCTTCCTTAACCCCGTAAACAGAGATGAAGTACCAGACTACTACAACACGATTAAGTCGCCGATGGACCTGTCGACGGTCGAAGAGAGGCTGGAGCGCGATTTCTACACAGCCCCGAAAGACCTCGTCGCCGATCTCAAGCTAATCTATGCCAACTGTCGCCAGTACAACGATTCGACGACGGTATATTCAAAGTGCGCTGCAGGGCTCGAGAAGTACATGTGGACTCTGATTAAGGAGATCCCCGAGTGGTATGAGCTGCTTGACGACTGATGCGGCTGACTGTTTTTTTTTTTTTTTTTTTTTTTTTTTTGAATATTTCCTTTCTTCCTTTCTTTCTTTCATTACTTCCCTTATTCCTTATTCTTTAGAGCGGCTACGTCGCTCAGACAGAGCATGACATGAGGTGAGTTGCACAGGACTCTGGGAAAAGGTGATGAAAGCGTTGCTAATTTTCTTTCTTTTCTTTTTTTTTCTTTTCTTCATATTTGACGGGTTATGACTCTTCGAGAAGTAAATGGGTGGTTGCATTAAGGAAAGACGCGGTTTTGGCGCTTGAAAACGATCCGCTTGTGACAGTTGCAATTGTGAGGCCGGGTTTGCGGTACAGTAAACGGGCAGAGAGACACGGGTGGGTGCGCGACTTGACCCGGTTGTGCTCTCTGCGCGGGCCTCTCTTCTTTACTTGACCTTGCAAGTTGCGGCGAGAAGTAATCGGTGGCTTCTCAACCCATTCGGTCGTGCTATCTTGGCTTTCGTTCCCAACCAATTCACAGTCGATCCATATCCCCGAGGGAGAAAAAACGCGGCTGGCGTGGGTATCTGCATGCAACTCACTCCTCTTTCCTTCCCTGCCAGCATGTTGGGTACAGCTGATAATTATATGGATTTTTTTTTAAACATATTAAACAAGGGATGCAGTGGGAACGCCCCCCTGCGGTCACTCCTCGCCCGCTGTCTCTCTATTTTCTTCTACGGTATGCGATATGCTCGCACTTACATCTGCCGGAGAACAACCCCGGCGGGTGCCGTTCAGCAAACCACACGTCTGGCACCACGCAGATATTCACCCGGCCGCATCTAGCTATCAAGGTACATACAATAATCCCCCTGCTCGGGCCCCTATTATTATTATGAGATCGACCAAGACATTCTACTGCTAGACTCTCAACCACTCTCGCCCCCAGACACGCCCAACTATCCTCCCTTACACGCACGCGTGTTCTCAACAGAAGGTGCTAGGCCGACTTGCTGGTGATCGCGACGAGCCTTCGGCTTCACTACCCTGGCATTGAGTCTGTCTGGTTTTGGTAAACCTCCAGCTAAAGGGGGTCTCGGAAAACAACAAAACACATTTTCTTGATCCCAGGAAACAAAGCAAAACAACCAACAAAATGGGGCTATGGAGAAGGAAGATCACCACCAGTGACGACACTGCCACCAACGCAGCCCACTTGACGCTCAGGGCGTCCATGGTCTCGAACCTGCTCGGTATGCCACTCGACACATGTCGGAGACAGAATCGAGACCCTCTGACTGGGCTTTTTGTTGCTTGCTAGTGACCATCCTGTTCTTCCTTTGGGCATTTTCCTATGGCCTTCTCGATGGTGAGGAGAGATTGACACCTGCCACGCGCTCCCTATCCGCTTTGTCGCGGCTGGAATAGCACTTACAGACGAGGCGGCGCCACACTCACAGTCCTCAACTCGCACCTCCAGAAAGAGATGGGAATCACGGCCTGGCCACGCTCGAGACCGCCGCCGACCCCTTCCTCGCCATCTGCGGCCCGCCGCGTTAGATGCTCGGAGATCCGCCTCAACCTCAACCTCGCCCAGGCCGTGCAGGGCGTTGGCTCCTTCGTCGCGCCCCTCCTCGCCTCCCGCGTCTTCTTGGCCAACACGGTCGGCACGGACGACGGCCTACAGAAAGTTCAATGGGCCTATCTGGGCGTCGGCGGTTTCGATGCTCTCCTTATTGCATTGTTCTTCCTCGCGCCCATGCCTGAGATTACCGATGCGGATATGCATCTGCAAGAGACCGAGGTCAGAGGCTACGACCCCGGCCCGTTGATGAAGCAGACAAACTTGTTTCTGGCCGTTTGATCGCAGCTCTGCTAGGTCGGTGCCCAGGTTGCCGTCGCGGTGCGTTTTCTAATGCTGTCTACAATTCCCAGCATTTTGGGCTGTGTGAAGCTGACAATCTCTCCGTCTAGAACTACTTTATCAACTTTTGTAAAGATGCTGGCCGCGACACTGCCGCTTCCTGTGGGTGGCCTCTGCAGCTAGAAAGATGGGGCATGCTCTCCGAGAAAATAAACTGACGTGCCGTGCTACCCACCCAGCGGAGCTGCTCGCTGTCGGCTAGGGCCTGTACGCCTTCAACCGCTCCGTCACCGGCCGGCTGCTGACGATCCCGGCCTTCAAGCCCCGGTACTAGCGGCCATCGAGCTGCTCATGCTAGTGATGTGCTTGGAGTCGCTGTGCTTCGCCACCATCTACACCAAGCTCGGCGGCACCCTCCTCGTCTCTGCCATCTCGGGCGGCATGGTCTTCCCCCCCATGACCGGCGCTGTTGTTGATGCCAGGGACGCCCACACCGCCATGGCCATCCCCATGATGGGATACATCCTGGCGCTGATGTGAGCTATTCTTCTCATATTGCCTTGAGCGCTGTGTGGCGATGCTGACGAGACGGAGATCGAGCTACCCCATCTACGTCGACGTCTGGAAGCGCGACGTCATGGACGCCCACCGCGACACAGACGTCGGCCTCGAGCCCGCCGCGCCATACGACGCCGACAAGGCCTTGCAGCTCGAGGCCTAGACGTCGAAGGTCGAGAACGAGCATGCTGAGGAGCCTGTAGCGCATGTCACGGAGGTCAAGAGCTGAGCTGGCGTCGGGGCGTTGTTTTGTTTTGTTTTGTTTGGAGCGTTGTAGATGGGGTCGAGTGGGTTAGTTGCTTGTGGTATTTTTTTGGGGCGGCTCTATGGGGACCAGCTTTTAGTTGTGTTTTCCCCCCCTTTTGGATTTAGTGGGATTGCTACGTAGTCGTGGATGTGGTGTTGTTGTTTGATACCTAGGTGTGTTTTCAGGGGCTGGCGGTAGGCAGTTGCCCGAGAAAGCGGTCAGAGGGCTTTGGAAGCGCGGTGGAAGATGAAAATATCCGTATAATTCGTAGTCTGGGTATTGCGATATCAGTGTCGAGGGTGCGAGATACTAGAAGAGGCATAGAAATTTAGATGTGGCCCCTGACTCCGCATTGTGACTTGCACTGTGTTTGGCTCTTCCGATGGTACGACTGCGCTGCGACTATGAAGCACGCTTGTGGGCGGAATGGAATGAGAGGCTCGTTGTTCAACTTGAACTATCTGTCACTTTGTCTAGCACTTACAATTGGCATGTTGTTCTCAGTCGTAAAACCTCAGCTCAGCTACTAGACTAGTGAAACAAGAACCCGCAGGTTCGACAAATGTCTGATGGCACGATCAATTGAGAAAAAGTCCCGGCTTACTTTGTGTTGTTTACCCTGGGAAGGGCATCTCGTACTTCGGTGCAAAGAGACACTTGAACTCGCTATTAATATTGCAGAACTGGATGGCTCTCGTTTATGGGCTAGATAGAGCATCCTGGATGACAGAAAGCCTTCCCAAACCGGAAAGGGGTCGGTCAGTCAGCCAGCCAACCGCAACCATAAGGTACAGTACAGACTCTCTCGTCAGCTGCTTGACGCGCCCGACCCATGCATCAATAGACTAGCCAAAATAGGAATATGATAGACCCAAAAAGAAATCGGCTAGGAATGTCAGTTTTGAATTCTGATTCCATTCCGTTTCTTTTTCGGGAGTTTCCTGTTCCAGTCGCGGAATCTGAGTGTTACACAGCAGTGTGTGATAGACAGAAGCTAGATAGAGGGCATCGAAATGAAAAAAAAAAAAAAGGAAAGGAAAGGGCTGACGTTGGATTTGGCTTGCCAAGCCGCAGTTCGGGTAGGTAGTGACACTGATCTGTGGGTGTGGTGTTTTTCACACACACAAATCCCCTACAGGCTACCGCACCCGCGTGTAATACGGCACGTACGTAAGAATAACTAACCCACATACAAGCAGGCATATGAATACCTACCGGTCCTCTCTCTCTCTTTCTGTCTCTTTGAGCAGACGAAACCGAAACTGCTACCTGCAGCCTACGCCACGCCACGACAGACGATCGTCTGCCTGTGTGCCTCTGACAGTCCGTTTTGGCAATGATGACCATCTGAAAGGTGGGCAACTGCCTTCCCTCCCTATATCTTGGCTCTAGGCACGCAACGTGCTGTACATACAAAAGTTGCCTTACCGAAGCTGCTTTCGTCTTTGGGCTCTGGATTATTATTATCTGCTGTCCATGAGGTAGGTGTCTTTTCAACCCGCCTCGCAACCTGCGCCGCCCCGGACTCGTAAATGTTTCTTTTTTTCTCTCTTTCCAAGTTTCTCTTTCTTTTACCACACGCATTTCCAACACCAGATTCTCATACTAGGCTCCCATGACGAAGCGTTGAGTCTGTGAGCAGTGCTAGTGCTGCCTGCCTGCCTACCTGACTGCCTCGGTAGTGGCTGTGGTATGCTGGATGCCAATATTTTCTCTCCTGTCCGTTAGGATTTGTGTCAGCGTTGTTATGTCGGGTGAGTGTGGTTGCTGAATAATTACGACTAGGAAATAGCTTCACCTCTACTTTACTGACTCTAGGTAGATAGCATGCCTTGCCTTGCACGGCAGTGCGGAGCGACGGTGCTGAGTAATGCCCCGTGAGACGAGTTAGTCCAGACTTTCCGGTTTGGGTACCTCTTTCGTGGCATCTTCGGTCATGTTTTTTTGTTTGTTTGGTTGATTGTTTGGCTGTTTGGTTGTTTTTACTGAACTGGAATTTGCGCTTGCACGGCGTCTGTATGTACCCAACTTGGCTCTGAACCAGCTGCCAAAGGTTTCAAACACCAACCTGTCTCATGTTCGGGATACATGCGTCGGCAGTCTGCATGGTTGGAACTTAAATACCTACCTACATTTGGGATGAATCATCTGGCGAGAGAGGGCCTTTCGAAGAAGGTTTCCGTGGAGTCAACCTTGAAAAGCAGCAATAAAGAGGAGTGACCTGCAGTGGAGAGAAACCTCGCCGTTCTCATCTTGATCTACATGTACATCTTTTTCCAGCGATTCGTAACTGTCGCCACGTCACCCAATTAGTTCTTTTACTTGCCCACGACCCTACCATCACTTAACAACACCTACAATTACCATGGTTTACTGGCCAGAGGATACGCCGAAGGGCGCGACTCGAAAAAACCCTCTGGATTTGGCGGACCGCCGATGAGGTCGACCATCGCACCACGGCATGGCAGAACGCCGGCCAGCTCATTTAAGAGCCGTCGATCAAGGTTGCAGATGCAGACACGGCAACAGCCCCGAGGCTTAATGTCCGCGACTTCAAGGACGTCTGCAACAAGTCAGTCCCCCTTTACGTCCTAACTGATGGTCGGTGGAAGCTTCTCGCCATCACCCTACACACTACATCTACCGCCGCTGGTTTCGTCCCTACCGGAGCGAACTCGAGCACTACCAGTTCATCTGTAAGTTCATCGCACTCTATGAAGAAAACCTAGGCGCGGAACCCATCTTGGCATCTGTTCTACCCTTCAACGAGCGTCTTTCAGAGCATGTCGAAGCCTGTCGCCCGGTATACGACGCTGCCGAGCCAAGGACTATGGATCCTGCGGGTGCTGGACTCTATCTCCCAAAGACCACCAGGACTACCAGATCCGGCCGCTGTCTCGGGCCCTCCTTATCATCATCGACTCCAATGATTATCACCTCGAAGACTCCAAGACGATCAGCGATGCAAGGAACATTTACGGACTCAGAGGAAGCGCCGGTTAAGGAGTATGACTAGGAACCGCATGGGTTCGCCCGCGTAGACGACCTCGGTAGGATCGTGAGCAGGATTTCCCCCTATCTTCTTCCTGTATTACCATGGAAACACCAAATGGGGTGAATGGCCGCATATGGCGCGACCGCTAGGATCTATGGCTCGCCCTGTACGTCTTTCGCCGAGGGAGGTAACCACTATTTGAACTCCTATTCTAGAATTCTAGATATCTCTTCTCCCAAAGCACCTATTAAAGGCTTTTTCTGGAGGTTTATTTGCGATAATCTTCTCCTTGTTCCCAGATACCAGGCCAACAAACATTCGCGGATTGGAGTGTATGTTTTTTTTGGTTCTCGTTTTGCGTCTGTCTCCATCTTTTGCCCTGTCTGCTTTTGTCTCGGCCCTCGTTGCGTCAGAATTACGGATACCCCTGGCCCTGTTGTCGGACCTTGTTCAGCCTCCACTGCACGGAGAAACAAAACAAGAAACGTAAAGGGGTAATACCGGGGTAGCGGCATTTACTTTTTCTTTTCTAATGTTATCATGTGTGCTCACAGTCTCGTCTGTCCGTCTGTCTCTCCAACCACGTTCCACAACATGACATGGCATGAGATGACCCGTCCCCAACTCACCGCGTCCCCAACTCACCGCGTCCCCAACTCACCGCGTCTCCAACGGTCGAGGCTAGATGCAGTGGCTGGTTTTGGGGGGCAAAAGACGTCGTTGAGGCTCTGCGTCTTGGCGGTATGTTGGTGCGCGATTGCATGTGCAGGCGCAGGCGCAGGCGTAGGCGTAGTCGCAGATGCATGCGGCGTACGTGTGAGTTGTGTGTGTGTGTGTGTGTGTGAGAGAGAGAGAGAGAGGTGAGTGTGAGAGGACGTGTGAGGGTGACTGTGTATGCACTGCACACCGTATTTTCTCGGTGTGATTTGAACTGCGTGCTTACCTCCCACATGAGTCTTTCACATGCCCGCCCAGCACCTATTCTTGGTCGTAAATTCGAGTGCTTCACAGCTGTGAATGGGTGGATTACCGGCTACCATTCCCGGTCTATGTGCATATCCGTGCTCTCATGTTGCTGCAGTATGCGGGTGATTGCTGACTCGGGGCTAGCCAAGTCCAGCAGTTGCGCTGGGGAGATATAGTTGATGATAATAAGCATAAGGTAAGCCGCCTGGCCTGCGTGTATCTGGCCTGGCCCAAGATCTCTGCCCAATGAGACAGCCAGCTGCCCCGGCCAGCCCGCCAACCTCTCTCCCCTTATCTTCCGGGGACGCGCCAGGCTTCATTAGTAAACACATCGGCAGGGGCCGAGGCACCGCTTCCGACGCGACATATCAAGATCAAGCATGCCCCGTGCCCCTTTTCTGGTTCGGCCGAGAATCCGGATCCGGTGCGGTGATCAGGGAGGGGGAGGGGGGCCTAGCAGGAAAGGCCTCGAGGAAGGAAGTTTTGGTGTGATAGGGCCGGGTCTCGTAACCAGCTTCACCATGTGCGGGGCTAAGTACCTACCTATGCATATGTGTGCCGCAGACGGGCGTCAAAACAAGGCTGGGGCCAGGCCGATCACGCAAGGCGGAGAAAAAGAAGGAGAAGAATAATCGAAGCGTGGCCCAATGACTGGGGGGGGAACCCAAAACGAGGTAGAGGCCGGTAAGCAGGCACACCGCAGGCGGCCGGCAGATGACACAGCACGAGTCCGGGCCTACTGTTGCGGGTGGAGATCGGCTCTGGGCCGTGAACGAGCGGGGCATGCCTTGCCATGCCATGGTTTAGTAAGTGGAGACATGGCGCGTCCTGCTGGCCAAGGTAGCTGCTGGCTGCGTGAGAGAGTTGTATGAAAGAAAAGAGACAAAACACTCGATCATCACCGTCCGTCCGTCTGCAGGTAGTGGCAGAGCCCGTCCAGGCTAGGTATGGCCATGGGAATTGGCTGCCACCTGGCTGCCACCAGGAACAGTTTCGTCCGTCGGCAGCCTGCTGTCTTGATTTGTGATTTGGAACGACAGCATCTACAAATCGTATACTCGTGCGAACCGTGCCGTGCCGTGCCGTGCCGCACCCGGCCCTGTCCAGCCGGGCACTTGGCTCTAAGTAATCAAGGCTTAGGGGCGACCGCAGCCTAGGATAAGAAGAGTAAGTGTTTCGCAGAGCGGACACTTGGACTAGAAATCCGAAAAGTTAACTGATTAGAAGAAAAAACGGTGCGGCCCGGGTCGCAGGCTGGGGAGTGGAAAGGAGGGGGGGCCGGAGGAAACTCTTCTGAGCGGGCGCCGGAGGAAACTCTTCTGGGGGGGAGCCGTTGAAGCTAGGCCGCGGCCGACGGGATCGACGACAGGCATCCAGCCCACTTCATTGGCAGCAGGCCGTGGAGCAGTGCCGCGTCTCCAGGCGCTTGGGTCGTCCGTAAGGCAGGCCAAGAGCCCAGTGGCAGGGGGGGGCTGGAGTAGGAGGTGAGAAGTAAGAAGTGAGAAGGAGAAGTGAGAAGTGAGAAGTGGAATGGGGCGGATGCTTCCGAGCGGCAGCGTCAGCCGCCTCGCCAGAAAATAAGTGTGGGATAGCCGCGAGACGACGTGGCGAGCGCCCAATGTCTGCTCGTGGCTCGTGTGTCCATCTGTCTTGGCGGTGGTTAACATCAACAACACTCGGCTTCTCCAGGAAACATGGAGAATCAAGTCTATTGTATGTACATGCAGATAAGACAAGCTCTCCGCGGTGCCTATCTATCTGTCCGTCAACCGACTCTGGATGCCGCAGCAAGGGCAAATGCCTGTTTATGTAATAGCAATAATCGTTGCGGTCAATATACCGAGTGCTACGGGGTGGGTATAAGCGAGCGAGCCATTCGGCATGGCCGCGGCAGTCGAGGGGAAGGGCGTTGGGGTGGTCGATCCCACCCCCATTCTTACCCCACCGTAGTTTTACCTTTGAAGTGTAGGGCTGGCGGCCGGTCATCCAAATCCCCACCGAGCTGCCGGGTATTGGGGACCATAGCTTGCAGAGATGAGATGCAGAGGCGTCCTCTCTCTCTGTGCCCTTTCCTACCTTGGCCATGCAGCCCTCCCGAAAAAGGACATTGCTAGGTGCGTCGTGATTGCATAAGCCAACGACACCCTCCTCAGACTGTCCCGGAGCGGGGGGGGGACGCCCCGCCAGTCAGGTTACAGCCGTAGCGAGAAGCCAATGTTGATTACTGATGCTCGGGGGGCGGCCGTGGTAAACCATAGAACTGGGTCGACGTAACACGCCAAGCATAGTCAAAACAAGAATATATTTTGCTAGATTACGTATACCACAGTGAAAGGTGGAAATTGCAAGGAAATAGCGCCGTGAGGTAGAAGAGGTATTACTTAACGCGTGCTAAGGGGTTGGATGTTGGAAGAAGATGCTTATACTCTGTGCTGTGGTCCGAGCGACCTCTCTTCTCAGCTCTGTAAAAATGCTCGTCGCGGGGAAACAAAAGTATATATAGGCGGGCTTTATTGGAACAAGTGGGCGTTTTCTCCTGCATGTGTGCCTGAGGCCGGCTGACTAAGACCCAACCAACTATGTCCCTGTCAGGCACATCCGTAGACGGCTCAGGAATCATTCAACCTACTAGTTCCCATGTGCCTCATGGTTGCCGATGGCTTACATCAGCCAATCTAGTCCAGAGAAACCATAGACAACATTGTCAAGAACGACAGGCCTCCTATGCTTGCGAAATGGTTCACAGGCCCATGGGAGCGCCTGCACAGTCGCGACTCAATTGGCTGCTAACCGAGAAATTCTATACGATGCTCTGCATTGTTATCTCTCTCTCTCTATATATGTGTGTGTGTTTAGGGTGTTTGTGAAGTGAAGTGACAGCATTCCAAAACAGGGGTAGAGGCTTTTGTGACAACCTCGTCCTGCCCAGCAGGACCCATTCTAGTAGGCAGGTAATTAGATAGGTATCAGATCATGTTGGAAAAGGGATCAATCAAAGCCTGATGTTGAGCGTAACCTCTCTGTCGTCGCCCATTCCAATCCATCTCTCCCATTCCGATACCAACTTCCAAGCAGCTTGGATATGCAGCTTCCCCCCAATGCCAGAAGCTTTCCCCAGTTCCCACAGGCTCCTAAGAGCCCTCAAAAGGTGCCTATTTGTGCGGGCTTCCTGAGAGAAGCATTGGCGGCGAAAGTCGGCGAACATGGATTCCCAGTCGCCGTCTTCCTGAGGCATTTCTACAGAGAGAAGGAGGCCCGAATTGATGACGGGTCTCAGTTGAGTAATATAGGTGAGTAGAATAAGGAGCCAGACCCCGCGAATAAGGATTAGTCTATCGTTTTCGTTGTCGTAGTTTGGAGCTTGAAGAATGACCCGGATGCTGTTTACCCATGTTGGGAGATGAGCGAGATAAAAGTCGAACGCAGGCACGCCAGGTTTGTGCGTCGCGCAGAGCAGAAGCGCTGACAGAGCTGAGAGTTGCTCTACGAGAAGCTTTTCGTTGCGGCAATCGAGTCGATGGACATATTCCAGGATCGCGTGCTTGACGTTCTGGCTCGAGAAGATTTGGCCAACACCGTGAAATCCTGGGCCAGACCTCATAACCCCGCTGAATCTTCCATCATAGGCGACTCGGCCCAGGATATCCTCGGGAGACAATAACTCGTCAGTCGGCGTCGTGAGTAGCGGATGTGTTAGGAGCCCGTAAATGGGCTCCGTCCAATCTACGGCAGACAAAACAAGAGACTGCACAACCAAGAGAGCGCTTCGCAGCTCAATGCCGTCGCTTAGGAACACCAACGGCCGGCCGAGGCCTGAGAATAGACCATAGATCAAAGGCCGACTCCCGGAAAACATGTGATTGAGGGTGAGAGTTTTGACGTTTCCGCCAAACCTGCCGTTTTCCATGCTAAAGAATGTCATGTACGATCGCTGAAAGCTTTAGTCGAAATTAGTGAATAGCTGGAGTTTAGCATGTTTGGGGCTCGAGTCATACCGGACATCGCCGAGGAACCGCGTCTTGCCTTCCTCATCTGTTATGCTCCCCGGTGCTGGGTTCCAAGGCCTGAGGCCCGCTGTCTCCGAATCGTAAGCGTCCTGGAGTTGATCAGGAGTGGCTCCGAGATAGAATAGCGTGGCGAGAGCCTGTCGAAGTCAGTTGTTGTACATATGTAGCCGCAGGAAGCAGGGTAAGGTATCCCGACTAAGAAACCCAACCTACCGTTGGGGTATCGTTGTGGCGGCCATCTGGCTGCAGCAAGGCATGTTGGACATGTGTTTTAACGAGGAGACTGTCAAAGGCAGCACGAGACTGGTGTTGGCCCATAGCGAGGGTGATTATATTTGCCCTTCCAGCAGCAGTAGAACAGAGGCGTCGAGCCGTGGTATTTGCGATCTGGGCTGTCTTAACGCGAGACAAATACCTAGCTGTGTCCATCCTGGACCGTGGGTTTGGAAGCCGACCTTATATGGCGATCAGAGACGGTAGGTAGGCAATGTCGCCGTCACTTGAATCAGCAGGACTCGAGGCTATGTAATTGGAATTAGAAAGCTTGAGGAGATTCTAGTTCCTTGTGGATACGTGTAGACGAAATGCTACCCCTATACGTCGACATACGGGAACCAAGACCGAGATAGAGAAGGGCCTAGACAGGAGGCCATGTCTTCAGGAGGGGGGAAGCGGCGGTATCATGAAAAGAGCCGTTGCTAGATCATGCCAGGCCGTCGCGACGCTGCAGGTGGTCCCGGGGGGGGGTTGCGGCCATCCAGAGGTGTTGTGGCCGCTGAGGCTTGGTAGGACGTCAAGACTGATGCGAGGGACAGCCACCCAAAGGTAGTTGGCCACAGCAGAAAAGACGAGTAGTCGGTTGACAGGCTGGCAGCAGAAAGCAGCCCAAGGCAACTAAGGTAGGTTAGGTAGATAGATATCGACCAGGGGTACCACGCGTCGCGAGGCGGAGCTTCAATGTGATGTGATGGGTTGGGAAGTGGATCGGGGATGGAAAGGAGTTAAGGTTGTTTAGGTAGGCAAGATAGATGGCTGAGACAAGACGGGCATCCATCCATCCATCCATCCATCCCGCCATCACTGCAGCTGCGTTCCATTGCGAGCACCGGGAGAACTGACAGTATCCAGAGCAGATAGGCTGGAGAAAGGAGACATGCCAAGCCTCGTGGGGGCCCTCGTCGCTCGACAGGGAGACATGGTCGACGACTGCAAGCGAGGGACGCCGACATAGCACGGGTGCAAGGCGATGCGCACCTCATGCCTCATAACTCATACCTCCACACCGCACACCCGACAGCTTTGGTGGAGAGGGGGGGACGTCTGGGACGGGAGTTTAGGACGGGAATTTAGGACGGGATCATCATCCAACCTGAAATGGAAGATTGAAGGCGGGTACATTGGAGCCGGCTGCTGTCAGAACACAACGATTGGTGAGAGTTTGGTATTGCAGATGCGCGATGCCTCAACCCCCTGTCGCGTCCATGGCGAAGCATTGTCAGGGGCTAAGCCATGACACCTTTTCTCTTTGCAATTGCAAGCAAGGCCCGTGGCGGCGAACACAGTCACCACAGGGTCACCCGTGGTCCTCAGCAGAAACCGCTCGTCGAGGGAGGTGGCGAGTCTATTCAGGGACAAGAGCCCGGATACTCGGGAGCAGATGCATGGCCGAGCGTCGAGGGTTCCATTGATACTCGGAACGCTGGAAGAGAGAAGCAGCGGGTAGGGCAGAGCAGCAAAAGCGCCAAACTCGTCATCAAACCAATGAATCTAGGAATTGGAGGCTGCCAAGTCAGGTGAGTAAAGAAGGCATCCACATGGACAGGAATGCAGCCGTCCTGCTCTCGAGTCTGAATTTGTGATAGTCCGTAGTGCGTGAAAAGGTATCATTGCAGACGACTAAGAGCACGCCAAGTCTGCTGACACCTCAGGCAAGGTAGATTAAGTACTACGGTACTTCGTATGCTATTTGAGTTTGAACTACCTGACGTTGGGGACTTAAGGTACGTAGTAGGTGGGTTGGAACGGCTTGGGGGCGGGTCCCACCCACATCAACGAACCACATCATCCAAGGACCTCCGTCGTACCTTCCTGGTTCCGTTTCGTTTGCTGCGATGCGCGCACCCCTAAAAGCCGGCCAGAGGAGGCACGACGGTGAGGTGAATGAGATTCCGCTGCAGTGGTGTGGGCCTGGCTGTCGCCAAACACCCGTCGACCTCGAGCCGCTGGTGTACCCTTAGAAGTAGAAGATGCATGGATCTAAGGTAAGGTATATAAATGTTAAATGTATTATGTACGCACACATTACATTATACACTTTGCCTAAGGTGTTATAGGTTGACAATAAATGGTCAGGGAGGCGCTGCAGCCGCGGGAACTACGATCGCTGATAAGTTAAAAAGTAAGGCAGGTAACTACCAAGAGGTAACTTCCCCATCCCGACTATCCAGCACTTGGCGAGCCAAGGCATGCGGTATGGTACCGTAATACAGACCTATGCTTAGGAAGAAATGAAAAAAAGTGGCGTTGGATGGGAATTCCGAATTTGGTGCGAATTACCTGACGTTTCCGAGGATGCCATGCTCGGCACCCGCCTTTCACCCCTTGTCTAGCCCGCACGTCATTTTCCGCTTCTCCGTCAGGCCGGTGAGGAGGTGGGTCCTAGGGCTGAGAGGCCGCAGGGCTGTCAGCCAGTTAGCACCCGCGCTGAGCTCATTCCCTTAAAATTGACCACTCACGGGGCGAGCCCTACTTGAAACCGACTACCACGGCCACGAGAAGAGCGGCCTCGCCTATAGGGGAGCCGGGCTCGTAAAGTGCCTCCGCGATTATCCATGGGCGTTCGCGATCTGGGTAATAGACCCGAGCTTTCAAAGACGGAAATTACCGTCACCAGTAAAAATCAAGTTACAATAACCACCTACTATCCCGTAAGTAGTAAGGGAGATTTTAAAGGAGTTCTTATGTTCATATACTCCGAGGACTGCTGACACCATTCCGGTATGAGGAATCAACCATGACTTATTCTTCGCTCATGCTTAGTTAAGGTAGTTTTACGAAGCGTGCTTTGCGGTTCGTTATTGGGCCCCTCCAAGTTTTCCAGGCCGTTCCTCCCTAGAAAGTCCCCGAAGGAACGGGAATTGCTAGTGCAGCCGCTAAGACTCAGCGGTCCCAGCGAACTCACCACTGCAGGGTGCAGGCCGAAATGCAACCTAACCTACTTTACACCCGGGCATCCGATTGACTTTTCAGCGCTCAGTGACAAAACATCATATATAGGTGGTTGATCACACTGAAGAGTTGTCTTATCGCCGAGCCAGGCTCAGGATCCCGGGTTCGGGTTAAGGGTGGAGTTTTTTTTTTACGATAGGCCATTCGCTCGCTGCCTTGATTAGCCTTTCGTAATAACTTACTCCTAGGTTAATAATAGAAAAATAACCCGGGACGCCGGGTCCGTCCGTATCTGTAGGGACGTAATTGTGCGGATCGAACGGATTCTGGACGCAGCGGCGAAAAACCTATAAGGAATGATGGAGTGGCACTAGCAGCCGGGTGTACGGAATTACTGCTTGCGTGACCTGCATTATACGGTACATACATTACGCATGAGGAGAGAGGCCCCCAATGGGAGCGCTCACCGCGGCTTCCCCTTCGGTTCGGCGATCGCCCCGACCGTGGCCGCGGTCGCACTTGCCGTCGACTTAAAGCTAGCTCACATCTAGTTGGCCGGGCCTTCCGGACAGGCAACTTGCCCCGGGGCCGCGCACTAACTCCTTCCTCGTCGTCGAGCTGTAGAACCTCGAAGTTCTAGTCTAAACTCGGTGGCTTTCCCCCCCCCCCCCCCCCCCAGCTCGCACAGGTTCGAGATATTCGTGTTTCTTGCCACTCACCACCTTCCCTTCTTACTCTCCTTCGGCTCGCGTGTCTCTAGCTTGATTACGCGTTTTAAAAATCCACCGGCGCTGGCTCGGCTCTGCACTGCACAACGCCGTGCGAGATCCGTCGCCGGGCAGCGAACGCCCTGATCTGGCGCCGCATTGGGACTTGAGAGACAAACCATTGGCGATATGTCTTGCACCGCAATCTCTCGGGTGGCCAAAGTTGAAAGGGGAATCGCGATTGCTTCAGCGCGGCAGCTCCCAGGCCCACTCAGACAAATCACCTCATGCGGTGCGTCGTCACCAATTCAGGTACTGTACCTGTACCGCCCCCGGGGCTGTGATGTCTCACCTGCGGTGTCATCCGTGGTCCCCACGTTCAGCTTCCCCGTATAATCCGTCTCGCAATTCCCATCCCATCCCATCCATCCCATCCGACCGTCCCGTCCCTCCCCCTCTGCAGATCCTCCCGATGGCCGGGGTCAACACCTGCCAAGACCGTGTTAGTGGCTGGGATGGGGTTCGTTGGGACCCAGGGAAGGGAGCTGTTGCAGCTGGCCGGGCTTGGATCGCACTGTTATTTCAGCTCACCTCTCCACGAGTTTCTCATGGAACTTGGATTGCCGAGCCAACCAGCGTGTTGCTGTGCGCTCTCGACGGGAAACTCCCAGGTACCTCATGTATGGTTCACAAAACTGACAGACTGACAATCTACCATACGAGAGGTAAATTGAACAAGTCAGAGAATACGTACTGTTGCCTTGGCAGCTGTGCTGCTCGGGGCGGGGCTTGTATCACGGTCGAAAATACAGGGACTGTGCTTGTTGGTAGCGAGAAGCTAGCAACTAGGTGTCCAAGATCGCGCAGTGCTGCATTTCCGCGAGACTCAAATCTCATAGTATAGGTTGTTTCGCGACACCAGCTCGACCTTGGCGCTAGAAGACGAGACGGTCTCGGAATCACTGTCGTCAAGATGGGCCGAAACCTCACTGTCTGTCTGCAGCGACCCGGATTTTCGACGTCACATTGGCTTCTTCATGTTGAGTAGCTTGTGTCTCTTTTATCTGGTTGAAATAGCCACTCATGCCTCCCCCTTTTTGACTACGCAAATTCCTTTTTGCAGTACGTGTCCGTCATTCGCTCAGCAGCGTCCCATATCTGTCTCTCGTTATTCTATTTTGGTTGCCTATAGAGAAGCCCTCGTTTAGCGTATTGTACACGCACTCCCTTGAAGTCGCTCTTTTTTATCTTGTTTTTGCCCCTGAAGCCCCTATGCGTACCGGTCGATATGCACCCCTGGCAGCACTTGCCACTCTGGCAAGCCTCAGCCTTGCTGAGGACTTGCTGTTCCCCCATATGCATGGGCTAAAATACGCCGAGTACGACCAGGCAGTGAAGCTGGGGCTGACGGGTATGTGACAGACCTAGCCTATGGCATGCCAATGGCGTGTGGTGTATGTGAGCAACAAGGCTGACAGCTGCCGACAGCCCATATTTGCAAGGACGAGGACGAATGGTACGGAATGACGACGGCCGACTTTGCCAAATACAAGGCAATCATTGTTCCGGACTGCCTCTGCAACACCAGTCTTAGCACCATCAAGTTCCTAGACGACACCAAGGGGGTCTGGTCTCCAGCTGTCACGGGTAACATGGTCCTCATAGGAACAGATCCCTCGTTTCACGCAAAGTATTACCATCTCCCGGGCGCTTTGGCCATGATGCAGGATTCCATCAGCCTCGTTACCGCGGGCAAGAACGGCACAGGCATGTACTTTTCGCTCTCGTGCTACTACCAGAGCAATGCTGCGCCCATGTCCATCAGTGCTCTTTCCGAGATAGGCAACTTTCAGGTCCGCGGCAATCTCAGCCATCCGTGTCTCAACAACGCACATATTGTAGCCAAGTCCAATGTCATGACCACTCTCAGCGACGAGAATGCAAGCAACTGGAACTGCAGCGTTCACGAAGTCTTCTCCGAGTATCCCAGAGATGGATCTGGCGGCTTTGAGGCACTGGCAATTGCTTTGAACGCAACTGGTCTGGGACAGCGGTCGTTTGCAGACAAGACGTCGGGCATCCCATACATCATCGCCCGCGGAGCCACCCCTCTTGGGTGCGGCAACAGCATAACGGAGCCAACTTACAACGAGGAGTGTGATAATGGGTCCACCAACGGCGCCCCAGGCGACCTGTGCTCGTCTTCTTGCAAATGCCTGTATGGGATGATCACCCCTGGCGTCTGCCGGTCGAATGTGACATCCAGTTCCTCTCCTTCGTCACAGAGCAGCACCCATTTCACAAATTCCAGGTGAGCTTGGACCCTTTTCTAACATTGATCATATATGCTCAACTGCCGACCAGTACTGCCGCTCTGAGTACCTCGCTACTAGCAAATTCGTCGTCGAGCGCGCCCCTGTCAACGCCAACATTGCCGCCAAACAGTTCGACCATTGGCTCCATACCATCCAACTTTTCAAGTTTCCGCTCCAGCTCTCGGTTTGGGACGGCACCCGTCACCCTTACGGTAACCCCCCCTGGCCCGCCACCGAAGCCGTCTGGTACCAACGCGACTTCACAGCTCGGATCAGGGCCGTCTAGTTTATTGTCGAGCACCTTGACCCACAACAATGTATCAGTTTCGCCGCCGCCTTCTCAAGTGACTGTTACCGCCATACCATCGATTTCACCGAAGAGCAGTGCGCTCTACAGTAATGGATCAGTTCCGCCACCGCATCCTCCAGTGACTGTTACTGCCAGCCCATCCAACCTTCCAGGGTCACTGCCGGGAACTGTCACTGTTTTCCCTCCAAGTCTCACAGAGCCTCCAGTTGAGACAGTCACGGCTAACCCTCCAGGGCAGCCAAGTTCGACAGAGACGTCAAAGCAAGTTATACCGTCCGGTAATAGTACTCTTACGCCTTCGAGCCAACCGGGGCTATTTCCTCCTCCGCCAGAGACCGTTACTGTAGGATCGTCGGGACCATTGGGAAATCCTCCAGAAACAATCACAGTCGACCCCTCTGGACAACTTGGTATATCTCATGGATCGAACTCGAGTATTCCTCAAGTGACCGTGACTGCCAGTCACCCCAGCCAGATAACTTCGCCATCTGTAACAGGTACAGAATTCTCATCCGGGATTGTGACGGGTTTACCAGTGGGAACGTCTGTATCGGTGGCCAAGTCATTGACAAACAGGCCAACTCAAGTTACCGACACAACTCAGTCTTTTACCCCGCCCGCCATATCCTCGGATCAGCTGAGGTCCTCTTCTGGCTCGCTGACAATAAGTCACTCCTCGCCGGCTGGGGAAACGACAGGCGTGGCTTCAGATGTGCCGCCAGAGACTGTCACGGTGTTACCTCCTGACGTATCTTCCTCTTTGAGAACCTCCGAACATTCAACTCTCGGCGAAACGAGAACACTTGGCTACTCTAGCCACGGCTCCGGATATCCAAACACACAGACCCCCTTATTGACAACAAATTCCCCGTCGTCTTCGAGATCGGAACTCCCTGGGTCCTCTGGCGATTACTATACGCTTTCAGGCGCCCCTTTCTGGACAACGCACAGAAGTCAGTTTGGATCTGTGACTACAAAACCGACAGCCGACGTCTCTGGCTCTCCTTCGGATATTGCTACCGCTGACCCCATAGGCAAAAGCTCGGCTTCTCTTTCTCAGACAGCTGGCACCGAACTTCTAGGTTCTCTTTCGCGGCCGATCGTGTCCTCAAACCCCCCTGCGAAGGCCACGGTCGGTCCTATTGCGAGCTCCCCCCTTGGCGGCCCTGCCAGCTATTCCAGTGTGCCAATGGCTACGGTGTCAAGCAATCACACAACTGGATACAAGAGTTTCTCTTCTAACTCTGTGTCACGGACATCAACCGGAGTTTCTGGGGAGGTGACCAGCGATCCCGCTAGATCTCCGAGCACCCCCGACAGCTCGGGTTCAACCATATCTTCTAGGAGCCTTGGGACACAAGGAGCCTCATCTCCCGGGGTAGAATCGGGAACTTTCTCCAGTGCAGCCGCGACGGAGACATTGGATTCCACAAGACACCCAAGTTATTCCACCAAGTCGCCGTCTAGTAACGCTAGTGCAGGTATTGATCCTTCAGGCACTCGTCGTGTATCATCACAGCCGAGCCATCGGACGAGCCAGCAGCAGCAAAGTATGTCTCCAACCGGACCCGATTGCCTGATATCTTCAGCGAATACCCTCTCTGCCCAGCCAGCTTTCCCAACCACGCCGACAGAACCTTCTCCGCGGGGCAGCAGTGCAGGTGTCCCAACGCTCTCTAGCGCCATTACAAACACATCACTAGCCGCACCTTCCTCAGGTCAATGCGGGAAATGGATCGGCATCGAAATAATTTACATGGTTGAAATTACTGAAACATGTGCTGAAGGGTCGGCCGGTAAGTTTGCTAGTCACTTCAGTCGTTTTATAGGTACTTGGAAGTTTCCTGACTCGAGCAGTTACGGAAACGGTCACCGAATGCGTCGCCACTCTCACTCGCTCGATTTGTCAGAGTTCAGCATCAAGCTTTCCGTGTTACCCCTGTATCCTAGGAACCGAAGAGTCCCCCAACGACACGGCGACCGTCACAATGGTAAGCTGCCCCCGCCTCAGCATTAATCAGTCATGTGCTGAAAGATGTGTCAAATAGACATCGTGCTCGACGTCGACTGAGTCAACAGTGACTATTACCGCCCAGCACTGCCGCACCTGCACGACGACAACATACGTTGGGACGGTGCCGGGATACACGCCGGGAGGGCCGTGCCATGGCTGCAGCCCTTATTCGGCAAGCACGTCGCTAGATTCTTTGCCACTGGCAAGGCCAACTGCCGCTACTTCCCCTTCCCTGCAGGTCTCTGGATACCCTGGTTATTCAGGCATTCCGACCAGGCCGAACTCTCCCGGACTTCAGCGAACATCGCAAGAGAGTGAGTCAACGATAGATCCCGGGGGTGTCGGGCTACCTGCGACGTCGAGCTCTTCGGGCGGCATAACGAAACTTCCAGATGATGCGACGCCAACTCAGCCACCACCAGTGGCAAGTGCAGTTCCAGGGTATCCTGATAGGCCGGGGTCGCCGTACTTGCCAAACCAGCCAAGTCCGCCGGGAAATCCCGGGGTGCCTCACCTGTTGGGCTCTACAACACTGCCCCCTATGGCCTCACCGGATAGTACGGAGCCAGGACCGACCAATACTCCCTATCGGCCGACCGCTGTGCCGGCGCCCCCGATTGTTACGGCCGGTGGTGTCCGAGCCATGCCCCGGAATGTGGGGCTCGGGCTGACTGGCTGTCTGCTCGGAGCTGCGATCTTGAGAATGTAACCAAGGTAAGTTGTGAACTACTATCTGAGGCAGTAACGAGTTGGGGGTTGTCAGTTGTTCTCCTTTTCGCTTTGGTCCCTTCTTAGCCGGGGCGGATTGCATGCGATTGTATTAAAAGGCCTGACTATGCACATGTATACGATGGGTTTCTTCGGTGTCAATTAGACCGGCTCGGTATAACAGCCATATTGATGTATTCGTGGGATTGGATTTAATAAACTTGGATTGCTGCTTTCAAAGCTAGCTCGCCCTATTACAATTGCTCTATTTTGAGCTCCTGGTGACTTTGAGTCTAGAACCCGTCTATCAGTGACTTGAAGAAGTTTGTAATGGCATCCTAGAGTCCAATACGTTGTGGGAAGTATGTAAAAGCCTAGCTCTTGGTAAAGCCGGGTGTGGCCTTTTCTATGCGCTGTCGCGCGACGAAATGGTTAACCGAGCGATCTGCGCTGCGACGTTGACATGTCTGGGCATGAGTTTGGTTACACCAGTGTCACCTTGGCCGTTGCAATGATGCCTTTCCCCGCTCGCCGAGCGATGCTGGGAAAGCTCCTATCGAGGAGGGGGTTGTCGGATCGCGGGGTGTTCTGCCGGTCTGTCTAAATACGTATGTGTATCGTCGAATGTTGTGAACTGCGTGGAGATAGCTGGCTGGGCCTTTGATAGGCAGGTTACAGGAATGCGGCACCGTGATGTGTAGGTAGGTGGTTAAATACGTTGAGCCCCCTTCCCGGAGCGGCATGTCCTCCCCTTCTCCCCTTTTACTCTTTTTCCCTAGCGTCTCACCTGAGGGAAATACTTTCCAGCCACCAAGTCATCTATCTCCGTCGACGATATCTCTCAGCAAGAACCCAGCTTCTAGCAAGCAAGCAGTGCGCATTGTAATCCCCTTATCCAGATATACGCACTCGTTCCACACTGGTTGGGAATAGCTAACACTGCCATATCGCCGTCCAGTATCCCACCACTCTGGTACATATTGATGCCGCCAAAAGTGGAATCGCGGGAGCCATGGGACCTTTCAATGGTGTCATATCAGACATGTCATCTTCATTGTCTTCAGGTAACTATCTGAACGCATGAGCCGGTGCCAATCTTCTGTGCACACACACATACACACACTCGACAAAGCTTCCCCGTAGAGCTGTGTGTGTGTGTGTGTGCACGGCAGAGCGGCTGAGAACATACGGCCGTGAACTTGATCTGGATAATACCAGCGAAAGGATTCATGCTTCTCCATTCCTCTCTCCTCTCATGCTGAAGAACAGGCCCACCTAACTCTCACAGCTATCACCATCACAAAATGGCACCCTCCGCCATCGCCGCCCCTGACCTGGCGCTGCTGCCCAAGCCAGCCTCCACAAAGGCCCTCACCCTACTAAAGGACGACGGCAACAACGGCAACGGAAACGGCAACGGCACCACAGCCAGTCGCCCCGGAACGCTCAGCAAGCCGCTGGCGGACCTCATGGGCAGCTGGGACGACTTCGCGTTTGCGCCGATCCGCGAGAGCACCGTGTCGCGGGCCATGACGCGGCGGTACTTTGCGGACCTGGACGCGTACGCCGAGTCGGACGTGGTGATCGTCGGCGCGGGGTCGTGCGGGCTGTCGGCGGCGTACACGCTGGCCACGCTGCGGCCCAGCCTGCGCATCGCCGTCGTCGAGGCCGGCGTCGCGCCCGGCGGCGGCGCCTGGCTCGGCGGGCAGCTGTTCAGCGCCATGGTCATGCGCAAGCCGGCCGACGTGTTCTTGGCAGAGGTCGGCGTGCCGTTTGAAGACGAGGGCGACTATGTTGTCGTCCGCCACGCTGCGCTGTTTACGAGTACCGTCCTGGCGCGTGTGCTTGCGCTGCCCAATGTCAAGCTGTTCAATGCTACGGCTGTCGAGGACCTCATCACCCGCCCCGTGGTGGCGGCGGACGGCAGTACCAGCGTGCGTGTCGCTGGCGTCGTCACCAACTGGACCCTGGTTAGCATGCACCACGATGACCAGTCCTGCATGGACCCGAACACCATTAATGCGCCCTTGGTGATCTCGACGACGGGCCACGACGGTGAGACAGATTCCTTGTTGGTGTCGCCATGTGCAATAGTATAACCAGGGAGGCTGCTGACAAGTCCGAACAACACTAGGCCCGTTTGGCGCCTTCTCCGTCAAGCGCCTCGTCAGCATGCGGCAGGTCGAGACGCTGGGCGGCATGCGCGGGCTCGACATGGGGGCGGCCGAGGACGCCATCGTCAAGGGCACGCGCGAGGTCGTGCCGGGCCTGATTGTCGGCGGTATGGAACTGTCTGAGCTGGACGGTGCGAACCGCATGGGTAAGTCTGTCTGTCTGTCTGTCTAACTCCGTGTTTTGTTTTTGGGTGGGGGTTTGTTGTTGCCCCTATCTCAACACCTCCCCTAATGAAGCTGCTCCAACCCCTTTCCTCCAGTATCCACCAAGCCCATGTGTCCTCCCCCGACACAGTCCGAAAACGAGAGACTGACATCGTCCAAACAAACAGGCCCGACCTTTGGCGCAATGGCACTCAGCGGCGTCAAGGCGGCAGAGGAGGCGCTCAAGGTCTTTGATCTCCGGAAGGCGCAGAACGACGAGTGAGCGCGATTGCCTTCCATCGGCAGTCGGGCCGGTCGCTCGCCACTTGAGGCCTGGGGCGGCGGACCGGTCGAATTGGCCAGAACTTATTCCGTATTGCTTTTCTATTTAAATCTTCGGCTGTCGTTGGCCTCGTCAGCACCACCTCTGTCGCTACCTGAGTGGACCAGAAAGAACTATAGCAAACAGTCGACCGCCACACCGCATGCACGACAGGACCGCAAACGGACCGCCTGTCTCTGAAATTTGGAAGGGTCAGTTTTCATTCTTTAGCAGTAGGGTGGTTTTCTCTCTTCGAGTACCCGAGGTTGCCACATACCCCTTTCGTTGCTGTGGGCTCTTGGACGTGCACCAAATCTCCATAGCAACACGTCACTCCCTTGATAGCTGTTACAAATTCAAATTTTGCTTTCTATTCGCTATGCCACCCGCCCGAGTGAGATACAAACCCGCGCCTTCAATTCATGCGGCAATTTCCAGGCCGACAGCCTCGAGAGCCTTGACCAGCCCGTCGACCGTGCTCTTTAGAGTCTGGCAGTTAAGCACGACGCGGAAAAAGCTCCCCATGTCGCCCGGCGCGTAGTCAATCATGAAGCCCCTGCCTATTAGCTTGTGGACCATGTCGCTCGTCCTCCGCGTGTTCTCCTCGGCCGAGCTGCCCAGCTGCCCTCCAGGCGCGTAGTAGAAGCAGACCTGCAGACACGGCGGCGGATTCTCCGACACCATGACAAAGTTGTCGCTCTTGGCCAGGGACTCGGCGAGGTAGGCTGCCACCTCAAACGCCGTGTCGACCTGGCGCTCGAAGCCGGCGGCTCCGTAGTAGATCCAGCTAAGCGCAAGCTTGAGGCTGTCACCCCGTCGGCCACACTGCATGGTCAGATCAGCGAGATCCCAAGCCTCGGCTGGCAGGCCATCCGATGCCGTCTCGCCTGGCGCATGGAAGAGATAGCCGGCGGGTAGGGTGTTAGCCTTGTGAAAGACGCCCATGTCTGGGCCCAGCAGGAACGAGCACGTCACGGGAACGTTCATCATCTTGTGCGGGTTGACGGTCAGCGAGTTGGCGAGATGCGACCCGGCCAGCTTGTGGCGCTGCTTGGCCGAAAAGATTGCCGGGCCGCCCCAGCTGGCATCGATGTGCATCCACAGGCCGTGGTCCTGGCAGACAGTGGCGATCTCCTCAAAGAGGTCGTACGACCCGTGCACTGTCGTCCCGGCCGTGGCGTTGACGTACAGAGGCGTCTTGCCAGCAGCTTTGGCCTGCACGACAGTATCACGCAAGGCGATGGGGTCCATACGGCCACGCTTATCGACGGGGACGGTCCAGACAGCGGCAGAGCCCATGCCGCAGGCTACGGCGGCCTTCTCCACCGAGTAGTGCCCGTGCTCGCTGGTGAACAGGACAAAGGGACCCGAGGCGCAGACATTGCCCTGGGTCTTCGTGTCGGGGTAGAGGGCGTTGCGGGCAATAACGATAGATGTCAGGTTGGCAGCGCTGCCTCCCTGGCACGAAATGCCTCCGGCCCGGGGGCCATTGAAGCCAAAGAGGCCGGCGAATGTCTTGGCCGTCTGCTTCTCTATCACGGTCAAGGCCGGCGATACTTGGTAGACATGCAACTTTGATGCCGCAGCCGTGTCAGCAACTGACGGCTAGACTTTGAACTCGACAGGGGAAGGGGGTGAGTTTGTTTATTTACATTCGTATTCAGAACGGAAAGGAGCAGCTCAGATACGACGCCGACCTGCTTCCAGTTAGATTATGCCACAGCCAAGGATATCGACGGGTGGCGGGCCCACAGCGTTGGTGCTAGCGTAGAGCTTGTCCAGGAAACCCTGGTCCCATGTGTTGACGCTGTGCTCGAGAACGCCTTTGATGGCCTGGAGCAAGCCGTCTTCGCCCCGGCCCTCTCCCTCGGGCAGAGACAGGGAAAGCTGCTTGGCGAGGTCCTCGGGAGTCCGAGACCGGACCAAGACGTTGCGGGTGACGCCCTGCCTGTTGGAAACCAGGTGGCCGGCCGATTTATATTGGGCCGCCTCATCAGCTTCCCGAACGAAGGGAATGATCAAAGCTTTGACGGCGTCAATAAGCTTTGGCGACGGAGCAGCAAAGTCAGTCCTTGAGTCAGAGCCTATTCTTGCAGGGTTTCGGGACTCACATGGTCCACTTCTCCTGCCCTGTCCAGGGGGGGTTGGGGGTGGGTGCCGTTCATGTCGGTTGATGGGGCAAAGGTAAACAAAGATTTTGGGTTTAACGATGGCCGGGAAAGGGGACCGAGGATGGGAAGGCTAATGGGATTAGAGATGAAAGTTGGGAAAAAGGCTTGTAGCTAGTTGTCCGTAATATGAGTCAAGAGACGGGCGCGGAGCCGGGGCCCCACACCAAGGCACGCCTCGCTTCGGCCGCTCCATACTGTACTTCCAGAATCCAGTCCCAGGTTGCCGAGAGGGCGGCAGCCGGAAATCCCGCAAACGGTGGCCCGGGGATGCTAGGACAAGTACGGTAGGTACTGTTACGTATGTACCTAGCATGGAGCCACTGGCACGTAAGCTACACGCATGCTATACACAGTGTACCTGGTGGATCTCACCAATTGGCGCGGCAGCTGAGCTTGCCTCATATCGCCTCATCTGTGGCCAATAACATTTGATACGTCCTCGATTCTTTGGCAGGCTATCAAAACCTTGACCGTTTATTGTTTTTTCTTTATACTCCGTATGCTTTGCCACATGAAGGGCGAGGCGGTTGGGGCGTGTAATGGGACTTTCGCTCTAAAAGGAAAATAAGGTAGTTAGTAACTTCCATGATACACTAAGAGGAACGACCTGATGCAGGAATTGTACAGTACCTTCCGGGTTACCTTACTTCCTTTCCAGCAACAAGCGGCTGTGCCTAGGTGTGCTGTGCCTAGGTATGCGTACAGTACCAAATGCCGAAAATTCGACGTTTCCACATTCCAATTGAGAATTGTTTCGTTCCAGCCCGTTACTGTTCTGACTTTTCTCCATTCCTGGTCCGGTAGCCGTTGCAAGAAACGGCTGGCTGCTGCTGATGATCCCTGCACCGCACGTGGGGTGGAGCACGGAACTGGCGCAAGGATGTCATCTCGACCGCGACCATACTTTCCCTGGGCTCGGAATCGTCCACTCTGGACATCTTCGACCGCTAAGCCATGCTTTTGAGCCTCAAATGTCCGGCACCTGATCGATCTGAACCCTCCCATGGGCATGACGTTTGCCGCCATAGCAGCATGCAAGTGCGCATACAGGTAGGAAAGGAAAGTATTCCGTACCTAGCGTAGCCATCGATTAAATGGCTTGCATCCTGCGCTCTTCACCCCACCCACAGCTGAGTCCTGGCACGCGTGGAGTGGATGAGGGGTCCAACATAGTTGAGAGGGCGGGGCCGGGGAGTGGCAGTCTGACTCTGCAGTTGCAGCTGCACTGGAGAGAAAACGGCCAAGCGGCCAGTGCGCTCAAAGCCCTAGTTTGGGGAAAGCGTCAATCCTCCACCTCCTAAGAACACGAACCTGGAAGGCCATTCCAAATGGAAGGAGTGATGGCTCTTTCAATGCCTGCAATTGAGCTGCACTAAAGGTCAATCCGCAGAATTCGGGTAGCACGACATGGCAATGGAATCGTACGACCCCTTTGCTAGGCTAGGCCTAGAGCACCAACGCGCCTTATGTAACGTTCGAGAGACCGAGATTGAGATAAGCCGACTGCATGCTGTGATATAGGGCACAGGCGGGATATAGTCGGAACAAGGACGTGATGGATGGCGGGGATTTCAACGTTCGTCTTCAGTCTCAGTCTCCTTTCTCCCTTCTATTGACACACTTCACCCTCCCATCACTCATTCCAATCCAGCCAACTCCCGTCCTATTGAGTGGCAATTGCTGGGCTCCATCCTTTGATGCGTCAACGTGTAGTCCCCTCGCAAGCTTCCTCAGGTCAGTTTATCACCTTCCTAGCAATCTTCACATGGCCCGATCCACCGTCGTCGGGTCCTGGGATTGCCAGGGAGGGTCGAGAGAGAGGTTTAGCTTCTTCTTTCCGTCCCATGGCCCCATGCAAGCGCAGAAGACCGTCACATTGCGCACGAGCTTCAAAAATTGGATGCACCTACGATGCCCAGGCAGCCAATCAGCTTACGGCACGGCCCCAAGTAACCTAAACCTCCTACCCGTCCAGAGTTCCTGACGAGGGACAGGGCAGCGAGGAGGAAAAAAAGCAATTGCCAAACTGTGCGCCTGCGCCCTCGGTACTTCTTCACGTCGGTCGTTAAACCAGCAACAACCCTCCACTCGCTTGGCCCTTTTTTCCTTCGCCTTGACTGTTTGTCTGTCTCTGCCGTTTTGACGTGCACTCACGAAAACGTACACATTGCATTGATATTAGCCTCTCCAGCCATAGCAACAACCAAGCTCCTTTTCCCCGAGTTTTGGTCCCGCGCACGCGCCCCCTTTTTATTACATCACACCTGCCGTGTTGTTTGCTTGCCCTGAAAGCAAGCAAGCAAACCCCACCCGAGTCAAACACGACCAAGAGCACCCCAACACGCGCGACGGCGACAATAAGGGGGCTTCCAGGCTGCGAACCCGGTGTAACGACGACTTGGCCAAACCACAGTATATACTGCCGTGCCGCACAATCCAGGCAGGGCTGACCAGCTTCGAGAGTTGGCAGCCTTCGCTCCTTGGTCTGACGCATTGCGAACCCCGCCGCGGGTGCGTGGCAGCGCGCGACGAGTCTCATCTTTGGGGGGTTTCGCCTCACGCAACGCACTCCCTCTGCCGTCGGCGTAAAACCCGTTTATCAGAGGGCGTTGCGCCAGCTGGCCCTTGCGACCGAGCTACCTCTAGTGTAGCACCGCCGCCAAAAAGGAGAAGCATCTCGAAGCTCGAAGCAGAAGCAGCTCGAGTGACCCACGAGTCGAACGTTTGCACAACGAAAAAATCAACATGGCACCACCAAATACGCCCTCGGCGACGGCAGTGGCTTCGCAACCGCCAGTGCCAATTTCCATCACCATCTGCGGCGACGGCGGCTGCGGTAAGTCGTCTATCACGTTGCGGCTCGTGCGCAGCCAGTGGACGAGCGAGTACGATCCGACGATCGAGGACAGCTATAGCATCACGCGGCGCATTGACGGCGTCGTATACCACCTCAGCCTGACGGACACGGCGGGCCAGGAAGAGTACCGGGGGATGTGGGCGTCTTCTAACCTGGGCGCTGACGCTTTCCTGCTCGTCTATGACATCACGTCGCGCGACAGTCTGGACGCGCTGCAGTACTTTAACGACTTGATCGACATGGAAGCTGAGACGCGGCTGGACAACGCCGCGCGCGCGCGCAAGGCGGGGCTGGCGCTGAGCCCGACCACGAGCCACCACCCACATATATCCCACGACGGCAGCGGGGGCGGCGGGACGATGCTCAACGGCGGCGCGGGATCCGGCGCGAAAATGATACCCCCGGTCAAGATTGTGGCCGGCAACAAGTGCGACCTGCAGGAGAGCCGACAGGTGCCTGCGGCCATGGGGCTCGACTGGGCGCGCCGCCGCGGGTGCGGCTTCATGGAGACGAGCGCCCGCCTCGAGGTCAACATCGAGGAAACGTTTGCCCTGATTGTGCGCCGCGTCGTCGAGAGCCGCCGCCTCGCCGAGATGGGCATCACCGACGCCGAAGCCGGCATGAACAGCCGCGGCATGACCAAGCCGCTCACGCCACTACCCTCTACAAGCGAGGATGAAAAAGTCGGTGGCGACGGCAGGGGCCCAGGCACGCGCGGTCCCCATATCCATGGTGATCGTGTGGGGAGGGCCGCCGGTGGGCTCTGGAAGAAGCTCAGATGTTGGTGATGAAGGGGACGAAGACGGAAGGAAAACATAAAGACTATGGAGGGGCAGAACACGCCTTTTTATTGAAGCTTCGAGCGGAGGAAAGAAGTGGCCTGTGTTCATGTGAGGAAGTGTTAACGTAGTGTACATTTTGGGTGTGGCGTTTTTTTTTTCCCTCATCTTTGTCTTCTTTTGCGTTGGTCCCGTGGAGCGAGAGAGAAGTGGTCGGGAAACACCATTTCTCTCTGTTCTGCCGCCCCCTTTTGATTCATTTAGATTCTCAACTATCACTCACCGTGCAACCCTTGGTATTTTGGACAAAAAAGGGGCCCCATTGCACGCATGTCTGGCCTCGAGGAAGATGATATATCTCAGTTCCCGGACCTTTTGCATAAGCTAGGTAGCCTTTGCAGTCACAAGAAAACTTAATTACGAACTTGCGGCCTCGCCGGTCTCGTTTTCTGGTCTATCCAAGGCGACAGGTCATTTAAGTGCCTTGTTCAGTTGCAAAGTATTTGTACCTTGAGAATACCTATATGATCATGACTTGTACTATTGCTGCGTGCAGATTATTCCATGTCTTCGCCCGTCCGCCATCGAATAGGGTCGAGAGATAGAAAGAAGACCAGCAAGATGACGGGGCTCGAAAAGGAAAACCTCGTCCATGAGGTACAAAAAAGTTCATGCAGAGAGGAGGCGTTGTTCAATTGCTCAAATCGTATTATGCTTCGTTTCCAGAGTACATTTCGAACTAAAACTCTCATTTTTCCTCACGTACGGATATAGTGATAAACCACATCTCGTTTAAATTATATGAAGATGCTCTTCAAGGGCAGCACATAAACCCTCTTTAGACAAAGAACTTTACCCCTAATATATCACAAATCACCACCTAGGCTCTTGTGCGACAGAAGTATATAGATAAGGTAGGTAAGTTCGCAGGCTACCGACGAGAGCAAAAGATGAGCCCCTTTGATAAATCCATCCATCTCTCCCGCAGTAAAATGTCAAGATTATGCGGTAGGTAGATCATGTGTAGGAGAAGAGACTTGGCGAGAATCAATCATATGCAAACGCCCGCCCGCCTACCTCTCTCCTCGCAAACCGGCCCAGAAACCACGAGGAATTGTTTGCTCGCGCCTCTGCTTGAAAAGGAGCACGTAACAACCCAGGCGAAAAAAGTTCCACCGCGTCGTGCCTTGATAGATCACTTGCCTACCGTGTGCAGCCCAATCCGGTCCGAGCAGGAACCCGTCTAAAAGAGCAATGGTCTGCGCCATGCTAGGCGTGAGGAAAACAAAGCCATTCCCTTCCAGTAGCGCCCTCTACTATACCCGTGTCTCCGTGGAACCCCACGCTGTTCGCGGTTCGCTCTAGTGAGTCGAAAGAGTGCCATGCATCGCGCTTTACATGCTCATCGTTCTCTGCACTAAACCTCACTTATCCTCCTGCCTCGCCACAACCCAGTCCCTCCAGCGCTTGTACTCTTCGTACTCGAGGCTCTCCTCCCTGCCCTGGTAGCGGACAACCTTGAGGTTGACGTCGCGCCAGCGGTCGCGGCGACCCGTCCAGCCGGCCTTGCGCATGAGGCTAGAAATGGTCTCTTCCTTAGTCCATCCCTGCTCGGGGGCAACATTGGGGAGGTAGGTGGCACCGTGGCGGTAGCCGTGGTATAGGAAGCTGATGCGTAGACCGTGCTTGCCGAGCTCCCAGTCCATGGGATCGGCGGCGTCCTCGAAGTTGGTAAGCAGCGTCACAGCCACCTCGAGCGACGGCAGTTCGCTCAGCGTGATGGGACTAAAGCGCGTGTCTTGCAGTGCCGACGTCAGCGCGTACGACGACAAACCCTCGCCCAGCTCGTGCGGCTCAAATGTGCCGATGCAGCCGCGCAAACTGTGCTCGCCGCCCCGCCCCGAGAGCGTGTTCCACGTCACGAAGAGCGGGGATTCGGCGATCGTCGGTGGGGGCGTCGACGACACCGACGTGGCCGGGGTGGCTACGCCTGATTGCTGCTGGAGAGATGTGGTGCTGGACGAAGACGACGATGAGGCGCTGGCGGCGGTAGAGGATGACGAAGAAGAGGCGGCGAGACGGCGGAGCGCGGGGAGGCGCTTAGCTAACTTACCGCGCCCGTCTTCTTGGACAGATTCTCCGGGCTGCGCGACCTCGTCGGCGTCATCGTCGGCGTCGTTGGCAGCACTGATATACTCGGCCCACGACATCTGGACTTGGTCCAGGGTCATGGGCTTGCGGTCTTCGAGGTGGGCTGCCAGGGCCTCGAGGCAGTAGAGGCAGTGTTCGACGGTGGACATACTGCTAATTATCCTGTAAGGCTCAGAATGTGACCTGGGAAGTAAGCAGAATGTCCGTCTCGTCGGGACAACGAACGGCGTCTTTAGAAAGAAAACGTTTGGCCGCCACCGTCTGGAGGACTGGGGTCAAAGTAGACTGAGTTGGCTTCGGCGGCGACCAGACTTGACACGTCAGGACACGGATTCGGGGAAGCTTGCCCCGGAGATTCCGTGGAGCCCGCGAATGTGGAATGTTTGGAGAGGAAACGACGGGAAGTTCAGGGAGCGCGGCGGATGTGGAGGGGTTTTGAAAGGTGGGGGAAACAAGCACGAGCTTAAGTGGGTCAGCCACCGAGAGGTGGGGTCGCTGGAGCTGTCACCTTCATAGTTGGCGGGGCTTTGCAGTGGAGCCCGATTCACGTTACCGCGAGCGGTTATCGCCAAGGCTCCCGTCGCGTTATCGTCGAGCGAGGGCTCCAATCGGCAAGCTGAAGCCCCATCAGACTGTTCCAGCCCCTGTGGCTGCCGCTTGTGGCCACAGAGGTCAGTTCACTGTGGTGAGAGTGGCCAGCGACAGCTGTTTTTGTGTCATGTTTGCCATCGTCAGTTCACTTAGAAACTTTAAAAGGGAAATCCAAAGAAAGCAGAAAGATATATCCTGTTAATTCTATTAGGCTCGCGCATCATCTTGATGAACCACCTAGAATTCTGCCTTGAGCAGTGATTTAGACGGTACCGTATCCACTGGGAATTGGGCTGGCAAAGTCCGTCACTTGAATTAAGTTTGTTTTAGCTGGACTGAGCCTTGACATGGACATGACAAGCTTAAAATACCAATGGATGGAAAGACGGAAGAAAGAACCTTAGGCTGGTTGGTATAAGCTTATTCCAGCCTGCGACCAGTAACGCCCCGCTTCTGCATTTTAGGCTGTATGTTACAATCCATTTGGTCTTGGAAAAGATTATCACCCGCGACATCGTCGGTCTTCTGTCTTTGTAGACAATAGTCGAAAACGTGTCGAAACTCCATTATTTGACTTTCATACCCCCAGGTGTTATTGCCAGAGATGCTGTCCTTTTGCCTTTTTCCTGTCAGACTCTTCACCTCTTCTTTTACTATTTTGGTCGCCGCATGAAAAGAGAAGGATGCCGAGGTTTCATGGCGATTATTTCCAGTTCGAGTTCAACCAAATGCAGAGGTCGAGGCGACAACGGTCAGGCAGCCGAAAACTGTCAGCTCACCGCTTTGGCCAAAACAAAAATAAAAACTCGACTTGGTTTCACCCTGCTGTCTCTGTTTTTAGGATTGGGAGCCTGTCGTTGAGACGTTGAAGTCAAGTCGGGTTTGACAAGAGGTGGGTTTGAAGCCTGCAACGACGCAAAGCGCTAGCCGGCAAGGATTATAGTAGGCTGAGGTGGTAGTTGGCTGGTATTTCTATTGCCCGCGCCGCCATATCAAACTGGTGCTGTTTTGCACCCGACAAGGGAAGAAGGCTTGGGTCTGCGACACGGAACGTGCCTCCCGTCCCTTTTGTCTTGTCTTGGGGTGTTTGAGGTTCCATCTCGGAGAGGGGGCTTCCGACCGTGCGGCTACCAACTACATGCCGGCTCTGCCCAAGTCCACAACCTCAAGCGGACACAGTGCCGGTTTCACCCCCTTGCTCCCGCAAAGAGCCTCGCCCCGTCCGCGCCAGCTCCCCGCAGTGGCTTTCTCGGCCCAACCATCCGATAGTCAAGCTGCGCTTCTAGGTGTCCATCCCATGGCCTGTCATGTTTAACGTACAAGCTTAAACTGTCTCGTCGCAAGGACCCAGCGCCAAGCAAGCAAGCCCTTGCCATTGTTATGACGTGAACCGGGCGAGCCACCACATTGGGCTCGAGGTCTAGAACCCCGGGTCTCAGGCCCTCGGTGTCCGCGTAGCCCTTGCTGCCATGTCTGTTCGTCTGCGCCCCGAACGTCCTGGGCTTGCTGGACTTGCTGTATGTACAGCACCAAGACGCGGTTATTATTCCCGGGCTGTCTCAAGTGAGAGCCTCTCGGAGAAGGATTGGATGGGAATGGCAGCTCGGTCGAGGCGAGGCGAAACCCGCGCGAGGAGCAGCGGCAGCCGTGCCAGCCTCCCTCGTGCCGTCCTGAGACGCATATCGTCTATCAATCACTGTCGATCCTAGGATCTCCGACCGTTCGCAGAAATGCGTCTACAAATAACCAATATGCCCTCTGGGCCCAGCCGTCTAAATACCCCCATCTCTCTCTTCATCCCATTCTTCTTTCTCTTGGCGTTTCTTCTTCATCTTCCACTACCACTTTCTTGTTTACTCTAGTATCTTCGCTCGTCGCCGGCCGACTCTATTACTTCGTTTCTCGACACCAGTATCATTTTATCTTTTTTGTCTTCTTCAGCAGCACCGGCCCAAGCCACTTCGTAATTAGTCAACATGAAGTTCACCATTGCCACCTTCTTTGCTCTGGCCTCCGTGGCCCTTGCCTTCTCCATCGAGGACCGCAATGGTGCGTCTTGGCAATGAATGAATGAATGAATGGAGGACATGTATCATGAGGAAGATGCTAACTCGATCCTTTGCTGTTTCTCAGCCCGCTATGTCCAGCCTAGACAGGCAGACATCAACTCGGTCGACGCCAGCATCCCGGCCATGTCGGACAGGAACGGCAACGTCCTCCCCTTCAACACGGCGGGTGTCTACAAGGATGCTACCGCCAAGGGCCTCTAAGTTGTCGACCATCAAAGCCGGCAATGCACACCAGGGCAGCGCCGACGGGGTAGGGAGGGAAGGCGAATGAATGCGAATGACAACAAGGTGTATTGTCGGCAGCGGCTCATTGCTTGTTTTGCACCGCCCTCCTTCAAATCACCCAGCGCTACGAAACGAAAACACCTCTTTTAATTTAACAAAAAAGCGAGGAACATGGATGAGAGGGAGGGAGAGAAGAGACAATTCGGTTGATGATAGACTTTTTTTCTTTTCTTTTCGGCAACTCCCCGGTTTTCTCCTTTGACATTTCTCCCGCCGCACAAGGCCCAGACTGTTCTTGTATATCTGGCTACGATGCGGGGGGACTGGGGGATGGGAGAGGAGCAATAGCACGTTTTGCTTGCTCCTCGGGACGGACATATAACATACAGGTATATACTTTTCTCGGTGCCTGCTCGGCACTGGAGATCCAACGACTTTGCCGCAGTGATGGCCTTGGGTTTGCCCGGGTCTCATGTATAAAAGTATCTCACTAGAATACAAACTGGGAAAAAAATAACAACAAGAACTAAGCCCATGTACTTTGCTTCAGGTGTGTCACTCCCAAGTGTCTTGACATGTCGAGGAATCAAAGGTGCACCGGCCTGAGGCGATATTTTCCTGAAAGATATAAGTCCAAGACTTTACCAAAAGTAGTAAAATCTCTAAAATTAAACTAGCGTATTCTGGCATCAAAGACAGTAAAGAAGATGCATGCAACTTTATTTTTTGTATTGTGGTATTGCTGTATTGCCGTATGTTGCAAACAACCACAACAGTTCAAACAACTCCCAGCAATGGAAACAAGCACTCAGGTGCGCCTGTCCCACCAGATCGAAGTCATGTCAGGGGCGGCGGCCGCTCAGGCTGCATTACGACCCTTACCGCAAGTGCCAGCTCAACGCTGACGTCCGTACAACAGTGGAACTGATCAACCAGGCGGTGTTCCAATCGCAGTAGTTTGCAGCTATTCCGGAAATCAACACCTTGTCATTGCTCGTCCTTTTCTTTTCCTCCTTCTCTCCACAGGTGAGTTATGGCATTCTGGCGCTGAAGGTGCGACCGGGCAGTATCCCATTTTCGGCCTGAACGTTTTACCTTGACCTGTTATAGTACCGTACCACTAGTACTGAAAAGTTCTAGTTCTAGTAGTCTAGTAGTCTAGTACTTTCAAGGCGGGAAGGAAGGCAGGGTTTCAATCTCAAATGTTCCTCGCCGGGAAACAGCACACCCGCTTCTCTATCCGTCCGGCTCGACTGCCTCTCTGCTCTCGCATCAGAAGCCGAAAAAAACGTTAGTGAATCGTTGGTCTATCGAGCTGCCTGCACTTGCAGACGGATCTCCAAGGGCTGTCAGCCCCGCGCAATAGCTCCATCGCTGAAGAGCAACTGCCCCACTCGCACCTAGACACGCTGCCAATCGAAGCCGCATGGCGTTCCCGGGCCATGGCTGGTCCGGCGCAGACCAGCAACGCCATGTGCGAAGGGCTGAGAGCTGTCGACTGGGGGCTGCTCTGGGCGAAGCTGATGGGCGGGGGCCAAGAACAGCTTCGATTTCCCATTTGGTTGGGATGAAAGTCGGCGCGCGCCCAACACACTATCAGTTATACACCATCTGGCGCGTTTCGTTTGGCAGCATGCACAACCGTCATTCCGTCTGGCAGCAATATCCTAGGAGACTCCTCTCCTGAGCGGCGCGTCCCGAAGTCCTACCCGGAGTTGGGGAATTAGCGGTCGATGATGCGGACTGCATGAGCCCTGGGGACCTCCTCTGCCGATAACTTATAAGGATCACCCCGCCAAAAAAAAACCAAAAAACCACCACAGTAACAGTCCCGCGAGCTATTTACTAGCGGCGCCTCTGTACAGCGAAGACGACGCCGACGACACAATGTCGTCCGTCAGTCTCGACCAGATCCTCTGTGCGCGAGCCGGTTGGCGCTTGAGGTACTTGATACCATGCTGGATCTTCGTCATCTCGGTCCTGCTCTGCCTCATGGGCATCTTCGCCTACAGGCTGGCCGAAACACTCGAGCACTACAATGACAACAAGGAGCAGGGCCAGGCACCTGTTGTTGAGCTCTTGTACGTCTGCACCGCGTCTAACCTGGGGAACCTCGGTGGGGAGCGCGTCTGTCTCGTCTCTTTTGCTAACCGAGGGCTTGGGCCGGAGCAGATGGGAGGGCACAAATGTTGGCTTCAACCTCATCTCGCTGGTCCTCAATATCATCGAGGTTTCCAGGATGGTGACCGACAGTCTCACGCCTTTCTTCATGCTCTTCAGCCAGGGTATCAAGCTCGCCCTCGCACTCGCCATCCTCGGACTGGACGTGACCGTCTATGTGCAGAGGACAGACGCGAACTATTCCATCATCGCCTTGGCTCTCGACTGCGGTCTCCTGTAGGATTTTGCCCACTTCTCAAGCCCGAGGTCAATGGTCACGCTGACACGGGTTTATCCAGGGTCGCGACGCTCGGAACATTTGTCTACGCCTTTTTGACGTACCGCCGCTTGCTCAAGTACGACGACTATCAGGTAACAGCCGACTCCAAGCAGCCAGAGCACGGCGACGCGGGTTTTGAACTTGGCTACAACGCTGGAAGCAGCCAGCAAGGGGCCGCTGCTTACCGCGACCGCGGCGCCGGCAGCACCGAGTACCCGAGATTTTCAAAGAGCGCCATCGACGGGGCAATGGGGGCTGAGTTCGGGTGGGGCACCACCCGCGGCGACGTGGCTCCATCGGAGATTGTTATTGCGAGCGGCGTCGTGCACAGCAAGAAGGCGGAGCCGGTAAACGATGGCGACTTGCGCAGGATGCGCAGCTATGCCACCGAGCGGGGCGTAGTTGGCGCCCACGGAGAGCTGGACCGCGACGAGGGTGACGATCTGGAGACGGTGCACCTCGACCACGACGGCGCCCGGCAAGGCAGCATTCCGACCGTGGTAGTGCACTACGAGGACGACACGCAGGCGCTCTTGGCTGATCGCGGCGTTGCCACGGGAACAAGACAGCAGTAGCCACGTCATCAAAGTACGGTCAAGAAGTTAGGAGTTGGGAGGGTTTTAGGTCAATGTTTCTAAGGGAATTCCCAGGGGGTCATGTGTTCCATTAGGAGTTCGGGTCGAGACTGGGCGAAGTCTGGTCATTGGGGTAGGTATATAAAGTTTGGTTTGGCCACGGCGTTATATATACCGACTCACTGTCCTCCCTCTGCCATGCCAGAAGAGAAGGGGCGCAAGCGAGCATCTAGTTTCAAACTGCTTTATCATGCGAGAGCCCCCCGCTTTCTCCATCACCAGCATCGTCATCATCACGGCCCTCTCCGCCGCCTCGCCTCCCCCAACCCTTTCCACCGCAGCCTGCCAGCCCACTCGGCAAACGCGGCGACGGCGGGCTGCTCCAGCAGCAGCTCGACCGTGTAGAACCGCCGCGCCAAGTCCTCGTGGCCCGCAAAGCGGTGCACGAACCGGTGGCACGCCCCACACAGCCAGGCCACGTTCTGCAGCTCGTCGGCGCGGTGCCAGCCGCGCTTGACGACTTTGGCGTGCACCATGCGCGGAATCAGGTGGTGGTACGTCAAGTTGATCCAGTCGCGCCCGCACAGCTCGCACCCCGTGACAAGGCCCTTGGTTGCTGATGCCGGCGCCGGCGCAGCTGTCGCCGAGCTGATGTACGCCGTCACCACCGGCGCTAGCAGCTCCGCCATACCCGTCTCCGGCTCCGGCTCCGGCTCCACCCCGCTGGTGTTGGTTGTGACTCCGTACGCTGCCAGCGACTCGCTGATGCTTGCGTCTACGCCGCCGCTGGTGGTGAGTCGTAACATGTCGCCTACGGCGTCGCTGCTCAGCGGCAGGGCGTACCGTTGCTGTAGCGGCGACGACGGTTTGTCTTTTTTGTTGTTGTTGTCGTTGTTGCCACCGGCAGCCCATGCGCCGTAGTCAATCTCCTGCAGCTCCGCGGGCAGCGCCGCGAAGATGGCGCTGGCTATGTACTCGACGAAGTCGGTCAGGTCGTCGTCAACTGCGTCGGCATCGGCGATTGCTTCCGGCGGTCCCGTGCTCTTTTCCCTGGCTGTAGCGAGGAATGAGGGCGACGGGGACCCGGCGGGTTTCTTGGCCCGCTGCCGTTGCCGCTGCCGTTGTTGTCGGCGCGAGCGGCGCGGGCCTGGCTGGGCGAGCTGCTCGATCAATGCCGATGACAGAATGTCTCGAAACTGCTCGTAGTTATCTGCTGCTGTCCCGTGGTAGGACTGGTGGGCCATGGCCGTCAAGTGTGGGCTGCAGATTAGGGGGTGTTGGTGGTGTTAGTGGCGTGGATAAGGGTTGTGGTAAAAGGGGGTTGAGTTGCGGGATGATGTCAGGGGCTCGACGCTGGTTGAACCGTGGATAAATGTTGCTTTACGAGCCCCTATTTGTATTGTCTCTGGACGATCTACCACAAAACATTGGTCTCTTGGACCTTTTAGCGCCATCTGCACATCCGAGCCACTTCATTGGTCTTGTCACAATTAACTTGCTACCTGGGTTTAATCGAGGGATTTACTGCTCTGTCAACGGGCAGGCCCTTTGAACCCCGCACAAGGCGTCAACACGCCGATTGGGTCTGGGTGGCGGCGGCCACTGTATGCACAAGGACATTGGATACATTTCCCAGGAAACTAGAGTGAGTCAACCGGCGACCATTTCAGGTTGTCTTCGCATACGACAAACACCATGGCTAGCAGCAGCAAAAAAAACATCGCCTTCGACCTGTACGGCACGCTTCTGTCGACCGAGTCAATCGCCGTAGAGCTGGCCAAGGTGTTCGGCGATGACGCGGCCAGGTCCATCTCTCCGCTCTGGCGGCGCTATCAGCTCGAGTACACATGGCGCATCAACAGCATGGGTGAGTGAGGTGACACGCAATATGATGTTGTGATTGGAGATGGAGAGTTTGTCTCACGCCGCAAACCACACACCACCTAGGCATCTACCGCCCGTTCAGCGACATTACGCGGGGCGCGCTAGAGCACGCCGTGGCCGAGTCGGGAGCAGCGCTTTCGGCCGGTGACTCGGACCGGCTCGTAGAGGCATACGACGCGCTGCGCGTGTTCCCCGATGTGCCCGCGGCGCTAGACGCGGTGCGGGCCCAGGCGGCCGAGGGCGCCATCGAGGCGTACGTCTTCTCCAACGGCACCGACGCCATGGTGTCGGAGTCCATCGCCACGTCGCCCGACCTACAGGCCTACGCCGACGTCTTCAAGGGCCTCGTCACGGTGCACGACGACGGCGTGCGCGTGTTCAAGCCCGACATGCGCACGTACGACCACCTGGTCCGCGCCGTCGGCAAGGAGGGCCGGCCCGGCGACGTGTGGCTGGTCACGGGGAACCCGTTTGACGTGATCGGAGCCCGCGTCGCTGGTCTCAGTGCCGCGTGGGTCGACAGGGCCGGCAAGGGCTGGGTCGATCGGCTTGGCGATGTCGTCGGCGGGATCAAGCCGACGCTGGTGGTTTCGGGCGTCGATGCAGCTGTTGAGGAGATCGTTCGAAGCGCATCTTCCTAAGTATGGGGGTTTTGTTTTTGAAGTGTTCCATTCTTTTATTCTGTACCTATCGTCATTACCTGTAGGTGGGTAAGGTATCCGTAGATATCCGTAATTACTACTTTCAAGCCTGTTCAGCCCCCATTCTCGTGGGCCGCCCAAATCTCCGCTGTAACCCAGGCGTTATGCCCATTTGTCAGCGACACGGGCCGGTCATCAGGGGTTGGTTGTTCGGCCGAAGTTGAATGGGCAAACAAAGACAATAGAGGAAGGAACCATCTACTATCCGTACTTCGTACAGCAACTTCAAACTCAAACAGTTGGAGTCAATCTAACTTTGAACTCTTGAGTTCCGAGGCAAGCAGTCACGACCCGGGAACGCCGCGGCCGGGCAATGGCGACCATCAACGCGGAAATCACGGACAAGGGCAAGGGCGTCGCCCCAAGCCACGGCCTTGCCCGTTTTGCGGTGAGCGCAGTTCGGCTTTGAGTCTCAGAGGTCGGGGGTTATTATCATCTCCACTACTACCATGTGCATTAGCCTCGAGTTCCGGAACATGTCTGACCACCCCTGGTGCTGCTACAGTGCAACTTTTGCAGGCACAAGAAAATAAAGTGAGCAGCAGTTCACGCCGCCAAATTCATTGTTTCTAAGGTCTCGGTCCGCTAACTCTCCGGAAAACTTGGAGATGTTCCCGAGAGCTGCCCAAATGCGCGGCCTGTGAGTCCACCGAATAAATTCATCCCTGAGCGTTGGGATGTCCTTACTTATAAGCACTGTGTCAGGCAAGCCCTGGCCCGGGATTTGCGAATATTCTCGGCAATTGGCACCGACGAACCGTTCTACTAGTTCTGGACCGACTACTAGTAGTAGTTCTAATAACCTCGAGCTGGAGTGCGTTACTCGAATTGTTCCCTGGTGCTCCTGCTGCCTCTCATGTCTATTCGTTCCGCCTTCAAGTTGCTATCTCTGGTCACGGCTAGCTGACAATAAACAGGCAACGACCGAAACAGCAGGTTGCGCCCGTGCCGCAGCACACCTCCTCCAACTTTGGATTCTCTACCGATCGGCTTGAGAGGGTTGAGGCTGCGCTCGAGACCCTCACTGCATCAGTTAGCCGGATAGTCGCCGCCTCCGAGTTGGGAGGCGTCCGGGATCGGGAATCCCGGCCACCAGTAACTCGCCCGGGCGCTCGGCCCACCGCTCTGTTGACGGAACAGAGCCGTAAAGATGAGGCAACATTCGGGGCCCTCTCGTTTTCTGCCGTTGGCGAGGCACATGACCAGCTTGGTCAGATCATCCCCCTCCTGGCTCCTCAGCCAGAATTCAGAGTCGCCATGGAGAGGGTAAACGACCTGGTCAAGGGACTCACCTCTTTGCGGTCTCCGGTCACCATGTTGAGCCTCAACAGCCCAAGGCAGTACCGCACGCCCGATAGAGAAACCGGTAACTACATGATAAAAAGTATGAACGAGCCTTGGATCACCAGTCCATAATTGCAGAGATGCATGCTAATTGATCGTTTGATAAAAAAACAGAATATAGAGCCATCAACAATATGTGCCGAGTGTTTTTCGACTCTCCATCTGACTCCCTACTACGGCAGGTGATCTTCGAGCCATCAGAGGCGCCACCGGCCTGGGTAATCTTCATCAATTACTCCCTCCTCATCTCAGACCTGGCGCGCCACGGTCTTTCTAGCATGTGGCGGTGGAACACCAAAATGGCTCTGGACAACGCCGCCTTGTTCCTGTCGCCCTCCAGGATGAGCATCCAGGCATTCATTCTACTTTCGTTCCGCGGCGAGGACTTTGCCACACCGAACGTATCGTGGATGCTTACTTCCTACGCTTGCCACCAAGCTCAAGCCATGTCCTTTCACATTCCAGAACCTGATATGGACTGGGGAAGTCAACAATGCCAGCTCTGTCTTTTCTGGGTTCTGTTCACTTACGAAAAGTGGTGTGCCCTGACCTTTGGCCGCCCTGCGCTATTGCCCCTATCGTATTTCCGAGATGTCCGGCTTCCCAGCTTCGACTATCTGGTCAGCTCCAGCTCCCACCCACACGCGATGCCAGCTGACTGCGAGACCTCAACCTCCCCAATCTTTGCCGCTCATGTATTCTTCCAGAACATAAAACTGGCCAAGCTTACTAGTGTTATTCTAGATTCACTCGTCTTGGGCGGGTTGCCGGCTGAACGAGACGCCCTGAAAGGCGAGCTCGAGACTTGGTATCTAGAAACCATCGACGTAAGATTGCTTTTTTTCTTCTTTTTTTCTTTGGTGTTCTTTTAGTCTCGACACAAGCTAACTGCCCCTCAAAGCTGCTTCGCCAAGCTGAACATGATGACCAAGATCTTCTGGAAAACGAGAATCACGAGGAAGCGATGCAAGCTAGAGCGACGGCAAAGTTCCGATACGCTAATACAATGATGGTCCTTATCAAGGATTTGCCTGAATACGACGGACTTCGAATCAGTCTGGCGCGCGAAGCTCTTCAGCTTCTTCCCATTATGCTGGGAAGTCATCAAAATATGTACAATGGTGTAATCTGGTATGACCCCCTCGTCCACTTTTGCGAACGATACCTATCTACCTAGCTAACCCCTTGTGAAACAACTCAAGGCAACTTCTATATTACCCGTTTACTTCGTTTTTCACCCTCCTTGCCCATGTCATCCATCATCCACAAAATCCAGATGTGCAAGCGGATCTTGCCTTACTGTACTCGATAATAAGCTACTTCACCAACCTACGACTGCAGCTGACGCTCTTGACCGAGGTGTCGCTGCGGTTAGAGCACACAGCTGAAGTCTTCTTCCGAATTGCCCAGCGACATGTCCAAGAACAGCAAAGTGCGGCGGGCCGTGTTTACACAGAATTAGAGGTACACGTGCCAAACCTGAGTACAGCGCAGCATAGTTATGGGTTGGCAAGCGATCCCAACCCAGAAGCCGCGGCCGACCCTCTCGCCTACAATTTTGGGGCGGAAGACTTTTCGCTTGACGACGAAGAAATGGACAAGTTTCTCAGTTGGCTTTCTCCATCTTTCGCAGGGGATCTCTCCACTGCTGCTAGGGGTGTTAATAACGCGCAGGAGGCTCCTACGAATCCGTCAATACCTCTGCATGAAGATCAGCACCGGGGGCAGAAGCGTCCGTTTGGGGCGGCTTTTGACTGGTTTTCGTGGGAAAAGTACTATTCAGATACTACTTGATCTAGACGCAGCCCACCAAATTCCTGCCAACCGCCCCTTGTTGGGCTATTATTTCAATTTTTATTTCCGCTTTGTACAGTCCATGTGCAGGGCACGTGGTGTTCTGAGCCCAGGCCAACAGACTTCGTTACCTGTATTCAGTCTGTTAGGACGCTGCCTTTTTCCTTATTACTCTCACGCACCACCACATTGGCTAGGCTGGCCAGTATAGTCTTGACCCATCACACTCCATTCAACCTTGTAATTGCCATTGTCAGAATTCTGGATTCCGCATTCCATATTCCGTATTCCGATACTCGGGACCTGGCAAAGAATGCGCTCGGGACGATCAACTAGGGTTGCCTTGCCGTGCTTACCTGCAGCGAATACAACGTCTTACAGTGCATTTCAGCTTCCCGTCTCAGCCCTACAGAGCGGTTCGTCTGCTAGCGGGAAGCAGGTGCGTTCCGGGACCCGTCATTTAGCCCCCTAGTCCCGTCCTACTGTCACCTTAGACCCCAAACACAGGGGCCAAGCAGGCCAAGGAGTGGAGTGCCGCAAATCAACCAACCAGGACAGCCTGGGGCAGTAAGTGAGGGTGCCAAGCCACTCGCACTCGCTCAGCCCGTGCAGTGCTTGGTTGGCAGGCTGGCACAATGACGCTGGGCTGGCACAATGACGCTGGGCTGGCTTGGCGCAGCTGAGCCTTGAGGGCGTGTGAGTCGGATCATCAAAAGACGCTGCGCCCCAGGTTTCCAGTTCCAGCCTGGCAGTCCAAGACAATTTGAATTAAATGGCAGCTCGTCGGTCTTTCATCTCGCGCGGGTCGGTCAACAGCAACGATCGATAGCACGAGCAATAGCAAGCGATGAGCTCTGTTTTGGCGGTCACAGCTCTCTTGTTCACTATAGCCGGCGGGATGCTGTCCTTCTCGTGGCTCACGTCCTTTTGGCGGAGCGCGCCTAGGCCTCGGGATGAGGCGGCCGGGGACAGACGAGGAAACCCGAGAAACAACGCGGAGTTCCTTGGATCGCAAATCGGCGGCAAGTCGGTCATCAACTACGGCTACACCGACATGCCCTGGAATCTGATGGCGTACGACATCTACTACTTCTTCAAGTTTATGTGGGCACTCCCCTACATCCTGTTTCCCTTGACGCCATCCGATTCTGGCGACCTCGACGAGCTCTCTTTCACGGCCAAGAACGTGTTCTGCATCGTGGTGCACTTTGTGCTCTGTGTCTTGCAGCTCGCCTTCATTCTCGCTTTCCCTGCGCTGGTCTTGCTCCCGGTCTGGATGGCAGCCTTGACCGTGGGACTCTTTCTACTTCTCAACCACAGCCTTTGCATTTTGCTGAACGGCCAAGACGTCGAGTACCGCTCCAGTCCGCAGTATGCCCCCGCGTTGCCAGAGCATGCTCATGAGCAATGGATCTTCATCAACGGTGTCGCTGTCGGGTAAGCTATGTTGCCCGCCGTTATCACACGCCAAACGAACGCGGTTGTGCTGAAGCAAGCTTGATTTTGAACTAGGAGCCACTGGATGCAGAGCAACCTCGACAGGCTTGCTCTCACCTTCAAGAGGCCGATTCTTGGCATTCACAACAAAACGTGAGCGTCTCTTCCAGCAGAATGTGCCGAAGTGGCCGCTAACAAGGATGCTCGCTGCACATAGGGCGGGCATTCTGTTCGATGTCCTCGAGTGCCTTGTTCAGCGAAACTTTGGCTACGCAACGGCGGACGTGCGCGTGTGCTATCGAATCATCAAAGAGATGCTCTACAAGCCACAGTTCTCAAAGGTCGTCTTCATCCTGCACTCGCAGGGAGCCATCGAGGGAAGCATGATCATTGACTGGCTGCTCCAGGAGCTCCCACAAGATCTTTTGTCCAAGCTCGAAGTCTACACGTTTGGTAATGCCGCCAACCACTTCAACAACCCGCACCGGAAGATCGTTTCGCAGGACGAGGCTTTCCGGAACCCGCTTGCAGCGTCGACAGACTCGACCAAGCTGACTGGGCCTGGAAGCGGGACCAGCACTGCCGCACCCGCACCCGCCTCCCAACCCAACGTCCAGCAGCTCCAGTCCTCTGCACCCATCGACACCGGGAGCGGTACTATTCCCGGCAATTCACAGTCTTTCACCACCGCGAACACGCCGACCCCCATCCGGCCTGCGCTGACGTTCGAGACGAGCGCCCTGGCGCCGTCGGCCGTGAGTGGTAGAGCCATAGGGCACATTGAGCACTACGCGCACACGACCGACTTCGTAGCGCTCTGGGGGGTGTTGCATTTCGCGACGACGGCGCCGGGGACGCAGACGGTACCCCGGTTCATTGGGCGCGTGTTTATACGCTCCTCCCCAAGGGGCGGTCACCAACTGGTTCAGCATTATCTCGACGGCCTGTTCCCGCTCTCACGCGACGCCGCAACTGGCGCGCTGGTCGCATGCGCCGAGGACTCCGAGTTCATGGAGAGCGAGGTCGTCGTCGGGGTCGAGGGCGACGAGATGCGGGTCGCGCGCGAGGCTATGGAGCTGAGCTGGCTGGGTGGTAACGGCGACGGCGCGAACGTCAACCTGGACGCGGTGGAAGTGCACGGCGTCAGCCCGGTGGAGAGTCGAAAGGGCCGGCACAGGACTCGTGCGAAAGCTGCGACTGCGACTGCGGCCAAGGTCAAGGTGAAAGAGCTTAGCAGACTGTGGCAGTACAGGAACGGCAGAAGCCCGGACGAGAAGCCGCCTCTGCTAGTGAGGGATGCGGATGGCGTGGTGAGGACGGCGACTATATGAGGGGTTCCTGTCACTTGGTGGTGTCTGAAGTGTGGGACTGTGGAACAAGAAGACAATCAATCATCACGGCTTTTCGGATTAGACTCGGGGGCTTGAACGGGACATGACCGCTTGAAGGTGCTTTGGACCAAATTATGCGAGGCGGTGGTGGTAGCTGTAGTAATGGGGCAGCCATCTTTTGAGACAGTTTTCCACTATGTGGTTTTTTGTTTGCTAATTTGGCCCCTTTCATTTCTTTATTTTTTTTGTTTATTTTTGTTCTTCTCTATCCCACTTTGTGACTTTGTCTTGTTCGTTCGGTTGACGACGCATCAAGTCCGCCGCTTACTACATAGTAGCTGCACTCGGCATACCGGGGTTAGGGTTAAAGAGCGTTGTTACTGTTGCCCGATAAGATAACGCCTTTTGGCCCCGAAATTTTTCTCCAATGCCTCAACGTCGAAACGGGACGCCAAAATCAACCCCGCCAAAACAGCGCTGAGCATCACATCCCCAACCACACCGGTAACGCAAAATGGGCAAGGCTAGGAAGTCAAAACGCCAATTGATCCGTGACGAGAAGAGGGCAAAGAAGAGGAGCAGAGAGGTTGCTAACGAGGAGGATGCGCCAGAGACGAAGCGCCAGCGCCAGGACGACGGCGCCAGCAATGTCGCCGGCCTCGACGACGCCCAACCCTCGGAATATGTTGCCTTCCTAGATGGCCAAGACACGTCCCACCATTCCCGAGGCCCTCTTACCAACGGCTTCGAGCGCGAGTTCTTCGGCATGCTGGCCGACCAGGAGCAGGAATACTTCCGCCACGCCGACGAGCTGCTCGAACTCAACGACTTCCCCACCACCGAGGACCGCGACATGTTCCTCCAGAACGTCTACAAGGAGGCCGAGGGCAAGGAGCTGAAGCTGGCGAGCAGCCAGTCCTGTTCGCGCCTCATGGAGAGGCTGATCCTCCTCTCCAACACAAGACAAAAAAAGCACCTCTACGACACATTCGCCGGCCATTTCATCAGTCTCATCACACATCGCTTCGCAGGCCATTGCTGCGAAAAGCTCTTTTTGCAGTCAGCCCCCGTCGTCACGCAGGAGCTGCAAGGTCTGGTGGAGCCCGAGCCCACGCCCGAACCCGAAACCAAGGCCGACGGTGAGCAAGGGACAGCCCCCATGCCACAGTCGTCGATGGAGGACCTGCTCCTCTTGACCCTCGACGAGCTCGAAGACCATCTCTCCTACCTCCTCTCCGATAGATACGGCTCCCACGCCTTGAGAGCTCTGCTCCTGATTTTGTCTGGGCGGCCTCTCGACCAGATAGCAACGAAGTCTATGCTTCAGAGCAAGAAGAAGGAACACGTCACCTTCGAAGGCGCATCGGTTATGGCCAGCGAGCTCAGCTCCCAGACCCGCGCCGTTCCTTCGTCCTTCACGATAGCAATACAGAAGATCATTGGAGACTCTACGGCGAATATTGACGACACGGCCCTCCGCGTGCTGGCAACCCATCCCACCGGCAACCCGACACTGCAGCTTTTGTTGGAGCTCGAGTTGACGGTGTTTGTCAAAAAGGCGAAAAAAGCCCCCTCTAAAGCGAAGGCGGAGGCCGGCACAGAAGAGCCACCCAAGGAAGAGCCCAAGAAGGGAGAGTCCACGGCCGGTCTGCTGGAAAAGCTGATACCGAACGCGCCCGAATCCTTCAGCGACGAAAAGTCGCAGGCCTCCGAGTTTATCAACTCGATGCTCTACGACCCTATTGGATCGAGGCTGCTCGAGACTCTAATCACCCACTGCTCAGGAAAGATCTTCAAAGGCCTCCAGGCCAAGTTCTTCGGTCCGCGTATTGCTACTTTGCTCCGGAACGACATTGCGTCGTACCCGGCTATCCGGGTTCTCAACCGACTCAGCAAGGAAGATCTCGCCGAGGCCGTAGAGAAGTCGTTGCCGCAGATGCCCGTATTTGTGGAGAAGGGCCGCTTCAACGTGATTAAGACCTTGTTCGAGCGCTGCAACGTGCGGCAGGCCAGCGAGGAGATCAAGTCTCTCCTGCAAGCGCTGACGGCCGCAAACGGCGGCGACTGGAAGTACCTGGTGCCCAAGCTGTGCCAGTTTGACGATGCAGATAATTCTAAAGAGGCACCAAAAAAGGACAAGTTCCAGCCGGATGCCGTCAAGAACAAGGGCGCAATGCTCTCCCACAGCAGACAGCTGATAACCGCCCTCTTTGATATACCCGGCCCCCCGACAAAGGCCATACAGGCATCACTCCTGGCTCTCAAACCGGACCAGCTCCTACGCCTAGCGACGCTCTCGGCCTCGACCTCGGCCATGCTGGTGAAGGCACTGGCCACATCTTCCCAGAACCCCAACTTCCACAAAGTCCTCGTGGCCGGCCTGCTGCCGCACACGTATGAACTCGCGACGTCGATGCACGGCCAGAACGTATTAAACGCCGTCATCGAGGCCCCGTCCAAGGGCGGCGACGGCATTACCGTCCCATTCCACCTCAAGGAGAACATAATGGGGCAGCTAGAGAGCCACGAGCGAGACCTCCGGGAGTCGTGGCTGGGCCGCAACGTCTGGCGCGCCTGGCGCGGAGACCTCTGGAGCCGCCGGCGCCCCGACTGGGTACGCTGGGCCAAGGAGACAGACCCCGAAGCGGACAGGTTGTCGACGGGGCCGAAGCCGAAGCAAGCGGCTGGCGCTGGTGGCGATGGGGGATGAGATTCAAAGCCGAGACCAGCGAAAACTAGCTTTGCCGGCGGTGCAAAGATTGGCAAGGGGGATACGCCGAAGAAGGCGATTGCTGTTTGAGAGAAAGGTGGCTTAGCTGCCACCCACCCCGTGAGTGATAGATACCCTGTAATTAGATCCCCTGAACTGATCGTTGCTGCTGCTCCTTCCGTACTTCCATCCTTTCTTTGAGATGCAAAAAGTGAAAAGGGAGAATCGGGAGGCTGCTGCACATCCCCCACCCCTGCCATTCTCGTCTTTTATGACCTTGGTCGCCATTCTTTTCCCTCCCTCCCCGGCACAAAGCAAGCTGGCTCGGCCAACAGCTTCCGGTGCAACGGCGGCAAGCAACCGTTTATTCTGTTTTATTCTGTTTGTAGGTTGGTTAGGGATGGGATGGGATGGGATGGAACTGTGAGGCTGTTTACACGTGCATGCATGCATGTATGTCCGAACGCGCTCCCTTTTGTCATTCCAAGGCTATCTATCTATCTGCTCACGGCATGTCATTGTCGTGGCATGGCTTCTGGCGCCGGCCGTGGTTCCCCGGCTAGCTATCATGATATCTAATTAGGTAGCCTGTATTGGTGCTTCTGCTCTCTTTGCACTCTGGCGGTATGTTTGGTTGGTTTATCTATCTAGGTAGGTATGGTTGTCACTCGCTGGCTAGGGCAGGTAGTTAGTAGGCTCTGTCCGGGGTATGTATGTATGTACGATCGTGTAGAGATACGTATACAAGGTCCACTTTTGGTGTGTTTCTCTAGCGGGATACTGGCAAGACCCGTTCTGTCGTTGATGGGCCTCATGGCTGGGTCTTTGTGGGAATGTGTCAAGCTGCCAGTGGATAGTCATGTGGACATCCGACAGCCAACAAGAGTCTCATCTGCGTGTGGATCTTGTAGGAGCGTTCTCTTCGGTGGTAGGCAGCTTGCCTCTCTCTGGGGTTTTGGGTATGGAAAGTTGGAGACCAAGGTTGGGCACTCCTGGCTTGTCACCTGGGCAACCAGGGGTGAGAGTGAGGAGGCCGGCTTCCTGAGTGGTAGTTCACCTTCCTCTCATAATCCTCTTAGCCTGGCCTTGCTCTGGTTTCTCGGTCTCCTATTGTCCTTCCCTGCCTGGCCTTGCCCTGCTTCCTTAGTCTCCCATTGTCCTTCCCCCGCCTGGCCTAAGGTTTGAGAGGCCACTCTCGTCGTGCTGCGTATTTAACCTGCGTGCCTCGTCTCCCTCCTCTTTTCTCTTCTCAACCTTACCTTCGTCTTCCATCACCCTCTCTTTTCTCCCTCTACACGGTTGACGATCATCCTCTCTTTTACAGAGCCTGCAGTTTCGAGACCTTCCCGTCTTCAAAGACACTCTAAACAGTCCTTCTCATCCTCCCGTCGTCGGATTCTCTCTCTCGTCGCTCGCGTCTCTCTCCTTCTACCCTCGCGTGCGTACAAGTCGCGACAAGTACGCGTCTCGCAGCACTGCTTACAGCAGTCAGAACGCGTTCTACGCGAGAAACAGACCACTCCCTCCTTCTTTTCTTTGAGCCGCGTCTCGTCACCTTTCTCTCTTTCCGCGCACACGCGCAGTCGGTACGTCTCGAGAAACACTCCATTTTTCAGGTTTCCGCTCTCCATTTTCTACTCTCCGTCCTCGCCTCCGACGCCTAACCGTGCCATATGCGGGAAACAGAAGATACTATTCTCCCTTCGAAAGCTTCGTCTCGTCACCATAACTCCCTTTCGCGCGCTCGCCGCAGCTGGTATGTTTATTGAGCACCATATATTCTCGTTGATTGCAAAAGCTAACGTGCCGTCTATGAAATCAGAATACATCTCCTCCACTTTCAAGAGATTGAACTCGCCAACCTCGCGTCTCATTCGCGGAACTACACCGCAGTCGGTATTTTTTCAGCATCTCCCATAACTTATTTCGCTCCTTGGTTACCACAGCTAACGGGGAACAGAATACCTTCTCTACAAGCTCAGACTCGCCAACCACGACTCTCTCTTCTTTCTCGCAAGCCCGCCGTGCAGCGCTAGTACGTATTCCTTGATAGCTGACTCTTCTTTTCCCGGTTGTGTTATTGTCTTGCAATAGCTAACCGCAAGAAACAGGATACCATCTCGTACTCTCTTCGGTCTCGGCTTCGTCACGCTCAGCTCTACGACTTCGAAAGCATACGGCAGTTGTCGCTTCCTCTTTATAAAGCACAGCTCATCAAGCACAAGTGTCTGTCCCGTCGCCAGCACGGCAGCAGGTATGTCTCACGCAGTTACAGGCTCACTTTAGGTCATTCACAATAGCTAACTGCGCTTCAACAGACAAACGACTCTCTCTTCAAAGTCACCACCTCAAGCCTACCAACCAGCAAATCCCGAGTTAGTATCTCAGCCTCCCACGCCTCATCCTATTTATTCGCCGGGTACAATGGCAACCCCCCCCCCCCCAGTCCGGCACCAGTCCTCTGTTCCCACCCTCCTCCTCTATGGTGCTGGTGGCCGCTGCCTTCTTCTGATGGGTGATCCCGACCAAACTCTCCATGTCCACATACTCTATGGGCTAGGAGAGGCAGATGGACTAGTAGACCAAGATATTTTTCTCGATTTCTTTTCTTTTCTTTCTTTCTTTCTTTCTTCCTTCTTTCGTCTTACGGCTTTACTCCTTCGAACGAAAAACGAAACTCTCCAAAGCCACCCTACAAACTCCAAACAAAAACACCAAAAAAGCATGAAAGAAAAGAAGAAAGTCGGGGAACGAAGAGAGAAAATAAATAAATAATAAACAAGACGAACGAATGTGCTGACCTTGGGGGACATTTTTCTCGCCGCCCGCAGCCATGACTCGAACGGGCTACGACACGACCGGCTTCGGGGGTGCGTCGGGGCACGCCCCCGAAGCCGGTAAGAAAACGGCAAAGAAGGGCGGCGCTAGTGGTGGCGGCGAGGCGGCGGCGACGGCCGGAGCGGCGGGCTCTGGAAACCAGCTGGTAAAACACAAAAATCCCCTTTTATTTCTTTTTTCTTTTCGTTTTCTGGCTCTCGTCGCTAACCAGGCAACCTATCTATCTGCTGAAGGTTTCCAACCCGGCCGAGAAGGCGGCGGCGGCCAAGGGCAAGGGGGCGGGCGGCAAGGCGAAGTAGGGGGCTTGCCAACCCTGAAAAGCCTGGAAAGGGGGGGTGGAGTGTTGCGGGCAGGGGGAGGACGGTTGTTTTCTTTATTTTAATTAATAAATTAGTAGACGCCGTGTCGACGTCTTAACTACCTTTATTCTCCCTCCAATACCTCTATGATGCGTGACGTCCGTCGTTGGGCTCGGAATGAAGGCAGCCCGATCCGTGTTGACGACTTCCACGACGCTGCTCGGGGTGTTTAAGTCCTTATCGAGCTCACATACGACCACAAGAACAACCCATAGTCTCTCCGCGAGGACAAACACGACTACGAGAGCTACCCAAAGTCTCTCCGTGAACGATAGACCGTCTCTCATCAAATCAACCGATGGAAGACCATTTGCTCCTCCGACATGTAGAAATCGGTTTGGTTCGGCCGGAGCCGTCAGAGGTCAAACTCGTCGTCAAGATCCAGGCAAATGGCCAAGTGTAGCCGGGCTAAAGTCTGTCACGACAGTTCCGGGACCCGGATCTCAACGACGACACATACATGCCCTCCGACGCCGAGTACGACGTACAGTAGAGGGACCCGGTCTTCTATTACCACAATGCTGGTTGAACACTGCCTACGTACCTATGGGGCAACTAGAATGCGGGACCAGTAATGAATGACTCGATTCGTGGTCACAGTTCTATATCGCCCGATAATGGGAGACCTTATCGGTACAAACCCCTTTTTCATTATCAGATACACTGGCGAGGAGATAACTAGCCCACTTCTTACCCCTTCTCGCCTTCAAATCGAGAAAGTCCCCTGAAAGACAGACGACTTGGCCAGGGGAGATAGTTTGATCCCATCCTCATCCTCGCCTATAAATACCAAGGAGAATACCAGGAAAGAACTAGTAGGGGGCTCCCCTACTCCTTGGGCTAACTTTGCCGTCCCGACCAGATTCAGATAGATGAGCTATGGGCTGGTGGCGGTGATACAGAGGCTACTAACGTCAACATCGACGTCCAGAAAGTACAAAAACTGTAGACAATCAAATTAGCCAAGGCAGGGTACCTGCCTTGGTAAGTGCTCAACACTTGGGCAAATGGACAATAAAGGCAGGTATTTAGATTCCCGGGTCAAGAAAATATGCCAGCACCAAGTTACCCGTTCTCGTCCCATTGCTTTTAATATCAAGTTGTCAAAAAAGCCAACACGAGAAAACAGCTAGGGGAGTTGCCATTGGTTTCAAAACGGTTACTTTCAATTTTTTTCTCAGTTATTTCATGAGGTTTTCTAAGCTGCAGCTGTCGAAGTAAATCCACAGCCAGCTGTTGAACGAGGTTCACAGCCAGCCGTCGAAGTAAGTCCACAGCCAGCTGTTGAACGAGGTTCACAGCCAGCCGTCGAAGTAAGTCCACAGCCAGCCGTTGAACGAGGTTCACAGCCAGCCGTGAAGTAAGTCCACAGCCAGCCGTTGAACTAGGTCCACAGCCAGTTGAACTAGGTCCGCAGCCAGCCGTTGAACAAGGTCCACAGCCAGCCGTCGAAGTAAGTCCAAAGCTAGCCGTCGGAGTAAGTCCAAAGCCAGCCGTTGAACTAGGTCCGCAGCCAGCCGTCCAAGTAAGCCCAAAGCCAGTCGCAGGTTTCAATGGCGCCGAGTCATGCTCCTCGTCAAGTCATAATATGAGATACACTTGAGTACAGAAACGCCCCCAAGCCATGGCGAAACCCAAGTCCAGTTCCCAATACATGCTCCTCTGATGCCGATGTTCACCAGAAAACGCCAGACGTGAGACGGAAGACAAAAAACGCCCCCAAGATAACAGAAACGCAAAACGCAAGACACAAAATACAGACTCACCAACACCTGGAAATGGTGGCAGCTTCGCTATGCCAGGCTTTCGAGTTTCGCTAGTCTGCAGAACCCCATGGGCGGTGGACTGAGTTCTGCGCAAACAGCAAAATAGCCCGAGTCGAAACTAATTGGCTTCGTTTGCAGCTGGCTCGTACTGCTCATCCGTGTTGATCCACGAGTCCCATGAGTCCCCAATCCCCCCACCTGGCGTGCCGATATTGCCAGCTTCGCCCACAAACCCGACATTCTTGTTGCTGGAATGTGGATGAAGGGTATTGAAGAAATCAGGGACGTCGCCTTGGCTATGCTCATTCCCTATCCCATGTGCGAGGCCTGGAATACTGGTGATGGAGGAGGCCGTATTGTGTTTGTCTTCAAGTGAGATTGAGGGCATCCAATAGTGCGGCTCCGACCCCGCAAGTTCATTTATCGGCCCGGCGAAGAAATATTCCGCCAGCTGATGGTTCATGTCATCTTTTGCCACCGCCTGACCCTCAGGTTGAATATCCAAGTTGAAAGCGTCCATAACATGGCTTGGTGCTATGGAGAGCGAAGGGTCCACGAGATATCCCGCATATGAATGCCGCCGGTCCTCCGATTTGTAGGAAAAAGGAGGTGTAGATCTCGACGGAGGTGTGTCGGTGCTACCCGAGCCCGGTGTCAAGATCGGCGGAGAGGGGTTTGCTTCAAGCGAGGCATGCGGACCAAGAGGAGAAGCGTAATGATAGTGACCTGCTGGGAGTTGGTGTGGGGACATGGGCATGTTCTGTGTAACCGAGTGTGATCTGTCACGCGGATATGCCATTGGCGTGGTTTGGTATGTTTGCGGAAGGGGGAACTGATGCGATGACTGGGCCGAGTGCTCGGGTGGAAGGTTCTGCAGATAAATGGACTGTGTCGGGGCTTGAGTGAGGCGGGCGGCACCAGGAAACTGCTCTTCAAACTGGCGATTAACCTCGGCCTGATGCACCAAGCTGGCCATGGCAACACGGTTAGTGATGTAGGCATTGACGCGGTTGTTCATGTTGCTAGACGGTGTGCTGAAGTAGGCGTGGAGATTTCGATACGAGCGTGGCATATCTTCGTCTTCCTCCTCGTACATCTCCTCCTTCATGACGATCTCCTCAGAGATCTTGAATCCCTTGCCTGTACGTCTCTTGTGAATATCAGAAGCCATTTTTGCCGACTGGACGCGGGCCTCGACGCTACGGTCTGACCTGCGAGAAGCTGCGATATAAGCTCGCTCTTGGTTTTCCTCGTGGGTGCGCTCGGTCTACATGACAGGCCTTAGTTAGCAAACCGAGCAGACTCGAGGCTGGTGACGACAGCCATCCATCAACAGGGAACGCGGTACCTACTCTACGTTGCATGGGAGGAATGCTGGCGGGAGCCGGGGCGGGAGCCGACTCGTCCAGGGAGCGTTTGCGCATCGGAGAGACCGAGGAGGCGAGAGCTTATGGCTGGTTGCCTTTCTGGTTTGCCGCTCTGCTGCTGCTGGTGATGGATGCCACAGGGTTATCGACTCGGTGACAGAGAGCAAGACTACGCCACAGAGCCGAGCTCAAGGCGACCGATAGCTGATGATGACTCGACTATGTCCCGGGGTTGGGAGGAAGCGGAATATATGCGCCAGGGACGGCGTACAGGGCAGCGGGATGTCGATCGCGGCATGCAGCTAGGGCAGGCGCCACAGCAAGACGCCTTGTTGAGCGGGATGCTAACGCCCCCGACCTGAGAAGACCCAAGAAAACCACAAAGTATAATGGCCCCGCGCGGTGGCTGCCTGCGAAGAAGGTTGAGCTAGGGCACTGCAAGCTCTTGCCTAGGTCTAGCGAGCTCCAGCTCCAGCTCCCGGGGTTTTCTGTGGGCTGCCCGAGGTAGGTGATACGGGAACTTGGTGAGACTCCCGCCTCTAAGGCAAGGTATCTAGGACTAGACTCGAAGCTCGAGTGGAGAAGGAGGGGCTAGAGAACCTACACTCTAGTCAGAGCGAGGAAGAAAGAACGGAGGGGAAGAGGCGAAGAGGGTGAAAGACGAGAGAAGTCAGTCGGGAGGAAGGGGCCAAGGGGCGTGCGTGGCATATAGCAAATGGCATATGGCAGATGGGATACGGCACCCACAGCACATCTTGTATTGCTATGTATTTCTGTCGAACATTAACGGAGATCTATGGACTTGAACTACCTTACCTATAGCGAAGCGTGGAGAGAGGGGGCACTGCTCCCTCCCTAGAGCCCACAAAGCCGTGCCATTTGCCTGCCACTTGAGGGGGGCGCCATGTCCGCACTGGATTGGATTGGGAAAGCCAGCAGGAAAAGAGTGTGGTTTGTTAGGCAGGGCAGGTGCGTTGTGGTAGCTGCTGGTGTTTTCGGTCGGATTCTGGTTGGATCCACACAGCGCCCTCGATCCGGGGCAGAACTTGGCTCGGTGGGGAGACGGCGCTGATCGATCGCGATCAAGGAACCTTCGTTTCGTTACATCAAGCTGGGCCATCCAAGTACCTCCACTACCCTACCGTAGGTCAGGTCATTGCGGATGACCCCATGTCCTTTTGCAGTGGCCAACCCGACCCGCTCGCCTGGTCCTTCCTCTTCTCTGGGGCCGAACGCGGTAGACCCACATCGAAACATTGAGGACCCCGCACTCACTCAATCATCAGTCGAAGCCTCTCCCAATTATCCCAAGTACTATCAAGAGGAAACCACTGGAGTACTTTGGGCCCTTCCCTAGAGTCTTGGTCTGGACGCCGTTTGGTCTCACTCAAAACCTCGATTGTTGGAGAACTCCGAAGATTCACTTTACTTGAGAGGAATCTAATTTCAGTGATCTTCTGGCAGAAGCCAATGCGTGGTAATTACATGCCAAGAGGCGCAACACGCCCAAAACTTTAAATACTACCTCAATCACAACTCTACGGGTATAGGCAGGGTCCTGACAGGAGAGCACTGTCACTCGTCTCGCCTCCTTTCAACTGCGGCCGCCGGCAATAGACGGGAATCCCAATTCCAAAAGTGTTGGGCCGGTCTAGCAATGTGCTTGTTTGTCTGAGGCGGCCCGGAGTTGGTTTCCGCCGCCACAGCTTGCTAGTTTCGGCAGGGCACGGTATTATGTCCAGTTAGAAGCAGGTATCGAGGTATTGGACCCGGTATCCTTCCCACAAGGCACCTTAGACACTTGACTGTGAATAGAATCGCCAATATGGGTTGAGAACCAAAGCATTCGCGGCTCATCTGACAATGGGAGGGCATTCGTGAAGTCTTTTGCATAGGCGAAGTTTCTAGAATGGTCCCCTTAAACCAGAGTAGATCTTGTGCCGATTTGAAGATCCAATTGGTGGGCTCCGATGTTGGTTTCCAATGCCCACGCTGTCGGGAAGATCTACATGAAGATTTTTTTCTTCGATTCCGCTCAAAACCGAGAGCGCAGATCGGCAGCCTTTTCACTCATTGTAGTAATAGCTCGGCAATTGCGGCTCCCTTAAAGTTTGAAGACTAGCACACTGATCAATCACCCCACGCACCAAAGGCGACTCTCTCACGCGACGTGACGCGGTGCGGCAACAACTCGCGCTGGTCGTTCATTATCATCCATTGCTCCCTGTGCGAGGTGCCGTGGTGCAAACAAAAGCATTCTGTAGGTAGGCGGATACCTGACATCATTGTGGCGCACAGCCCGATGTCCGGCTCTGGCAGGTTCTGCATTCAGTCCCGACCGCGTTTGTCTTTCATGATACGGGGGGCCACGGGCAGACTGTGGAGGTGCAAGCCCACGCCCAAGACACAGCTTCGCGGAGGGTCTGCTCCGGCTGGGGGGAAGCTTTCGGGCTGGGCTGGGTACTTGGGATCAGCCGAGGTGCTTAACAGTTGAGAAGGAAAGCCCAGCGGGCCAATCAAGCCCCACGTAACCAAGGCGCGAATTCCCTGCTTTTCCGCGCCTGCACATCAGTCCTGTTGTCGAATCACAAGCCTGCAGGCTCACGCCCGGAGACAATCCTCCTGCCCCCCAGCCATTTGGTTTGGCCGCGAAAGAAGACAGCCGACTGGCCGCTTTCAGTGCAACTCCAGAATGGGAAACTTGAAAATCCCATCCCATGTCGCATGGATTTTTTTTTCGTTTGGACCCTTCTCGCCCCCGTCGGGCGTCATCGGGCGGATTTACAACAAATACTACCCAGCTAGACGTGTCTCCGTACTCCGCGCGAGTCACTTTTTTCCTGCTGCACGTCGTCGACCAAGCATGCGGCTTCTGATTCCAAACTGCACACCAGGACGGGAAAGTCTGTCCCGAACCACATGCCATTTTCAAACAAACGCAGCTAGACTAGTCCCGGATCTTGCCGTCGCCAAGCTCAGTTTGTGTGGGGTATCTTGCTAGGGGGCTTGAACCAGTGACGCTGCTTACCGGGACGGAAGGGCGAACGACCCCTGAAAGCTGGATTTCGGACTGCCGAGACAGCTGTCAGCCTGTCTGCCCTACCTAGTGCAGTGCCACCATGAGAAGGGCCGTACAATCCAATCCCTAGAAGCTTGCCCTACGAGGTAGAGGGGGTCAGGAACCAGGGGTTCTTGGGATCCAAAAACGGGCTCCTCTTTCCCTCCGGTTAGTGTGTCCCGGTTTTTTGGTTTTTTTTTTTAAAAAAAAAAAAAAAAAAAAAAAAAAACCGCCGTGCTCACAAACGGAGGAGAATCCCCACTTCTTCTTAGCATGGGCAGCGAACACGCCGACGTGTGCCCGTATTCGCACGCCATATTTGCTAAGCCTTCGGGACCCGCACCAAAGTGGCGGGCCTCCAAAGAATCGGCCTTCGTGTGATATACGGCAGCAGACGAGTCAAGTCTCGCAAAGGGAGTACCTACTCGTATTCTGGGTCACGTCCGCCCCGGTACGGAATGCACTTCAAAGTTGACAAGTACCTCAATTTTGCGAGGTACTTGCATTTTTCCCTCTTCCTTTGAAAGGCCCGTATATTTCTTCTTCGCTTTGAAGTATCTTCACGTTACAAGATACTTACATTTCTCACACCCGACGGAATGCCTTCAGTGTGTGATCTCCAGGGTCTTCGATACAAGTACCTAAGATTTGCAATGTACTTACATTTTCCGCCCAACGCCGCATTTACCACGCCATTTTACCCCGATAATAAGTAACTCAACTCTGTCAAATACATACTCCTTTCTACCCGATAGGTTGGAGAACTCCCCCCATGCCCTGGTGCGCCATTCAAGCGAGATGGGCCCCCTTTAACCAACCGAATGGCTTCGATACTGGAGGACCCCAAACTTCTTTTTCCTTGCTGGAAATACGAGATCTCCGGCTTCATGGAACGTCACGGTTGGTAACATAACCGACTCGGGCCAAACATTAAAAGCTACTATACAAAAGAAAAGGACAATCCAGATCCAGCTCCATTACCTATTTAATCTCACGTCATTGGAAATCCCACTCCCACCACCAGTCATAATATCCACCGAGCATACATTCCTTGTGGTTGATGGCGATACAATTGAAGACCTCAGGTGACATTTTTGCAAGTGGCCATTTCACAAGCTGAAAAGCTTCTTCAGAATATACATGTCGAAAAAAGAACAGATTCCCCGCTGCTTGTATAAGGTACCTTGAGTTCGGAGGCTTAACTAGGCTTTCCAAAGCCTGTTGAGCCAGAGGCTGAGATAGGTTTCGTGAAGCCTAGGTTTGACTTTTGCCAGACCAGCTTTTGAAGATTGCCGGGTCAGATTCTTTTGCGCCGAGAGGGCCATCGACCCAGTATTTGAAGGTACTACACAACTGCGTAATGAGTACGAAGTTAAGAAGAGAATATAAGTATCTTATAAAATGAAGATACTTCAAACTAAACCAAAAATACGTCGCGATTATTAAAGGGTCAGGCAGAAAATGTAAGTACCTTATATGTTAAGGTACTTGAGATAGGGGAAGGAGAAAATGTATAGCGTCTGTAAGTGTGGATAAGGGTGCAATAGGGCGAGCCGACATCTACGGAGCCCGGGGCCAAAAGAGCGGCTCCCACTAGACGCACGCGTGTGCGCGCTTACGTAAGTATGAAATTGCTTATGTAACTCTGAAAATGCATCTAACGCGGCCAATTTCTTTGCACCCTTTTCCACCACAGCCAACCTATCGCCCACACTGCAGCCATGGCCAACACTGTAGCCCTAGCCACCTTTCCAGACGACTGCCTCACTCCTGGGGGCTTTTTTGAGTCTCGACAGGCCTTATTCGAATCAATCAACGCGTACGCAAAGCCTCGGGGCTACGCTTTTACAAACTCCCCATACCTCTGCCGAGAATAACGTTGATGCATATTGTTTGTGAGGGCCAACGGGTCAAGCGCTGTAACGGGTCCCTAGGGAGCTGGAGAAAGTTCTCCTGCGGGTGTTGGTTCAAGGTAGAAGTCGACCGGGTGGGTATATTTGCGTATGCGCTGGGCTGGGAGATCTGGGTCTGTGAGAAACTATTTTTATTCTTTAGCCCTATATAGTCCTCGGCTTATAATCGACTTCCTACCCTCTTCTCTATACCCTTTGACACCATTATTGTGGCTTCGGCTACCTCAGAAAGGTTATCTAATAATAGTCAAGTGTAGTACGGCCGTACGTGAGCTAGGAAACTTGCCCGTACCGAGTTTAAGCCTTTAGCACCTTCAGCTTGTAAAGCCAAAGGCTGATGAACCTGAACCTTCAGCCTTTATCCGACAGCTTAGAGTTCGTTCATTGTAGAATTTTCTAATGATTGACGGGGATCGGTATTTAAATTGTGCCCTTAATAATTAGGGTAGGGCGACACAAAATTTATATAAAACAAGTGCAGCCGTTGGTCCCTTCTGATTCCCTTCTAATCTGGGAATCGTCAAGAACAAAATCTGCACAAAGCACATCCCGCTAGTCCGCACGCTTCTGATAGATAATATCTTTCTGATATATTGTAAGTGCCCCCCCACCACCCTCCTCAACTCGTGCTCCTATACCGCAGCCTACCTACGCGTTCCTCGGGCTTGGCCTGCCTTGCCTTGGCTTGGCTGACTGGAAATAAAAACAGAAAATGGTCATCTTGACCATTCGTTGGCGCAGGGCCCCGTCGCCGGATACAAAGGACGGGAAGCAGGCCCAGACCACCAACAGCAGCAGCGGCAGCAGTGGGGGTTTTGCCCAACCCGGTTCCTCAAAACACGCTCCAGTCACCGCCACCAACAGCCTGCCGGCGCGAAACACCACCGTCTCTTCCTCTTCTAACCTAGGGGGTGGTGGTGGTGACCCTGGACCTGAAGGGTGCCCTGTCGACCCAAAATCCATACGCATATCGCCACGCCGGGTGGGAGATGAGGTGGGGGAGGAGGGCTACTTCGAGGTCCAAGTCAACGTCGACTGGGAGCGGTGCTTGCTGGTCTTGATGGGGGTGCTCGGGCTGGTGGGCGTGCTAAGTGCGTTGTGGAGCCTGTGGCTCCATCTACTGGCGGGAGGGGTAGATAACCAGGGGAGAGGGAGTTGGTATAATTATACCTACCCCGATGGGAGCAGTTACTATTATTATACCTACCCCGATGGGGGGAGTTGGTCTTATTATGCCCTCCCCGATGGCGAGACTCGGTATCGTTGTAGCTCTCCCGGGGTTTGAAAGCTTGTTATAGTGACTTTTTATAGAGCATTCAGCCCAGGGGGTTTAAGAGGGATTGAGGCTTGTTACAAGTCACTATTCCAGTAGCTTCTCCCCAAAATGTTACGGGGTAACTTGATTGTATCTTAAAAGGTCTCTTACCCCATTAGACTCGGGATGTACACGGTAGAGTTTACCCTTCGAGCAACAAGCAGATAAGTCGCACCCCAGGAGCAACACTTCCGCTCTCTCCTTTGGCTGCAGTAACCCTAAAGTAAAGAAAAGTAAAGGGGTTGCCCTCCTAGCTGGCTCAAATTAGAAAATATGGAAAGGACGGACGGGTTAGTGGAGGTATTTCCCTCCTAGCCTGGCATGGCTTCAGTGGCTGGCCGTGTGTGTGGGGTGGGTTGGGGAGCTTCCTTACAGGAACTTATGCAAACAAAGTACATACTCTGCCCGCGTCCACAAGGTTATTATCTCGGATTTCTTAAATAAAAGCTCCGATTCGCGCGCTAAGCCGAATATGTCTGCGAAATCCGACTGAATTCACTAAACGCATTAGCACGGGAAGGCCCTCTTAAGTCGGGACTTCTCCTTACATTACTATGTCAGCTATCGGGCTATCTCTAGAATTGCCATTATCCCACCTCAACTTCAACAGCCCACGTTTGCTAGGGTCCTCGCGCCTCTTTTCCCCAAGGATCGTATTGTCCGCCTCTGTAACCAAGATCCTCTAATGCATTATTACAGTCTTCGTACTAGTAATCGTCTAGATACTCTGGTGTTCGTTGTCCCCATCCCCGAGGGCCGGGCGGGTTATCTAGGATGACTCGACATATCTCGAAAGTACGACTTCATTATAGTCTTTTCGCGTTTCTAGTCGTTGCAAAGACCGAACCAAATCTAGTTAAAGTCCCCGCCCTTATAATTGTCAATGAATCTAATATTTCATCGTTAACGACAGCAAATAATATAACCTACGAGATTACTTACAGCCGCATCATTTGCCATGCGCGAACCCGGTCTTCTTGCAGACGATCACATACTTTCCGCTTGCTATCGACATTGTCATCTACGAGTATTTTATCGTCCTCGTCCGCTTTTCGTCGTCGCTCTTTATGGTCGCGCAACTTGATAGGTTTACTAAGAACAATAACGAGGCGTCGGGTCATTTTGGCGCGACTCGGCTGCTTTTTGAGAAATGTATGCGTCGCGAAATGGAAATGCACGCGTTGGGAAATGTTTGCGACAGCGAGAGCTGCCAACAGGAGGGAGGCCCAACTCCCCTTAAATACGCCGCCGCCGCAACGGTGAAGCTGGCGAAACGGCCATCTTAACAGTGTGCCGCAAATTCAACGGTGTTTGTTGGCGTGGTACTTTCCAAGATCCAAATGGCCTTAGTATCTTACGACTCGCCGTAAAGGTTTTTCGCTAAGGTAATAGCTATTTAAATCCCTGTTTTGGAATCCTAGAGGTCTATTCCTTCTCTCCTATTTAAGACCCTTCCTGGTCGGTTCATTTGTTATTTTTTTTCCTTCGTAAGTACCACGCCAACAAAACATTTAGGGGTAGGTGGATGCACAACCCACGCGCACGAGCTTTGCGTTGGGAATCGCTACGAGCTAGAGCGAGCAGCATGTGAGAGTCCGCGCCCAAGCCAGCCCAATCACCACGACTGGCCTAAAGACTGGCCTAGGGCCTCGCCTCGGATTCGCGTGTGATCAAGAATGTAAACCACCGTAAAGCCCCCCCCCCCTTTTTTTTCTACAGGCATGTCAAGCTCCACTGTTCTGGTCAGGATCTTGTTGAGACAGACAATATCGAAGCTACGCCAGTTTGAAGGGAGCCTGGGGGTCCGAAAGCGCGGCACTTCGCAGAAGCTTCTATACCTAGTTGATGGGAAGGCGTGGATTTGAAGGAGGCTAGAACACCTGTTGAAGAATCGGTAATACCCTACAGCCATGGAGAAGTACGTGTTTCTCTTTTACTTTGTTTTAATTTCTCTTCGGAAGCCGCCGATTTCCGTTACTAGGTCCAACCCTTTACATATGAGAAGAGCAAAAAAAAAGAAAAGAATATAGCAAAAGAAAGAAGAAAAAGAAAAAGTGTTCACGGTTGGTGCTATGAACGACGGGAACTGAGCCCGACATGGGGGTCGAACCCCAACCTTGAGATTAAGAGTCTCACGCTCACGGGATTCTGCTGGGTTGGGACGTTCGGAAGCCATGGTGTGGACTCACTGAGCTAGCCGGGCTTTTCATTGCTGAGTTGAAATCCTGGACAAGTCATCCTGGCTTATACATTCAGCAGCATGTTTTGGTTTGGGTCCACAAGATCATGGCCCACACGATATTGCATGCGTCACAGCTCCATCCCTAGGTGAGGAAGAGAGATCTTGAACATACTCAATAAAGACTATTTCACTGAAAAGGTCTATACACTTGACCAGGTCGGTAGGAAGTAGGAAACCAGCAAGGGCCACTAGTAATGTTCCATTGAATCGGAAAAAAATGTGTTATATGACAAAAAAGTCTACACCAACCTCCCAAACGCCGTGCTTTCTACAACCCACAACGGAATCTATCGTCAACTCGTAAGGTTTTCAATCCTTCCGTCTCTTTCACGACGTCAACTTGGTCACAGTCTGCTTCCACAGTCCAGTGTGGGGCCACTTCCACTGGTTGAGGAACGGGGGGTCAATGCCCGTCTCGAAGGCCTCGTTGCGCGCCTTGATCTGGTCGTTGAGCAGCACCTCGCGGGCCGCAGAGCCGCGGTTGTGAAGATTCGGCATGCGGTCAATGGCATCCATTGCCAAGCTGAAGCGGTCCGTCTGGTTACGGATGGCTAGTTCGAGCGGGGTATCGATGTTGCCCTTCTCTTTGTAGCCGCGTACGTGCAGGTTATGGGAGCCGGGCCGCTTGTAGGTCAAGCGGTGGACCAGCCACGGGTAGCTGTGGAAGTTGAAGATGATGGGCTTGTCGTTTGTGAATATTGATATCCACTCTTCGTCCGTCAGGCCGTGCGAGTGGTCGACGTGTGAAATGAGCTTGAACAGGTCGACCACGTTGACGAAGCGGATCTTGAGCTCCGGGAAGTGTTGGAGCAACAGGTCGACGGCTGCCAGGGCCTCGTGAGTTGGAATGTCTCCGCAGGCGGCCATGACCAAGTCGGGCTCCTCGCCAGCGTCGGTGCAAAACTGCGGCCAGATACCAATGCCCTTGGTGCAGTGGATAACTGCCTCGTCCATGGTCAAATATTGCAGGTGCTCTTGCTTATCTGCAACAATGACGTTGACATAGTTGGTCGAGCGCAGGCAATGGTCCATGCAGCTCAACAAGCAGTTGCCATCGGGCGGCAAGTAGATTCGGACAACGTCGGGGCTCTTGTTTGCAACGACGTCGAGGAAGCCCGGGTCTTGGTGGGTGAAGCCGTTATGGTCTTGTCTCCACACCACGGCAGTCAGAAGGATGTTGAGTGAGGCGACCCTGGCGCGCCATTCGACCTCGAGACACTTCTCGAGCCATTTGCAGTGCTGTGTCGAGTTAGCAAGTTTGGTTCAGCATGTTGAAAGCATGTGTTCAGCACGTACCTGGTTGACCATGGAGTCAATGACGTGGATGAAGGGCTCGTAGCTGTTCAGCAGACCATGACGGCCGCTGAGAATGTAACCCTCCAGCCAACCCTCACAGGTGTGCTCCGACAGGATCTCCATGACGCGGCCTTCCATCGCCAGGTTACCGCCGTCCTCGTCCTCTTCAAAGTACTCGCCCATCCAGGCTTTCTTTCCCGCTCGATACACGTTGGCTAGCTTGTTTGACTCGGTCTCATCGGGGCCAAAGAGGCGGAAGTTGGTAGGGTTCTGTGCCATTATGTCGCGCAAGAAGAGCGCCATGTTGCTCATGCTGGCATCCATGGTCGATGCCGACTTCTCCACGTGGATGGCGTAGTTGCGGAAATCGGGCATCTTGAGCGGCTTCCTGATGATGCCGCCGTTGCCCACCGGGTTGGCGCTCATGCGAGCATTGCCGGTTGGGCAGAGCGCCTTCAGCTCCGGGCCGATCTTGCCGTTGACAAAGAGGCGTTCGGGCTCATAGCTTCGCATCCACTTCTCGAGCAGCTTGAGATGCTCGGGGTTGGTATGGACGTCGGTGATGGGGACTTGGTGGGCGCGCCAGAAGCCCTCGAGATACTTGTCGTCAATCTTCCGGGGGCCGGTCCAGCCCTTGGGGGTGCGGAGAATGACGACTGGCCACATTGGCCTGAATGCTTTCCCAGAGTCTCTGGCTTGTTTCTGGAACTTCCTGATCTCGACGACGCAGTGCTCGAGGGTTGCGGCCATGGCCTGGTGCATCGACTCGACATCATCGCCCTCGACAAAGTACGGCTGGTAGCCGTAGCCAAGGAAGAGGTTCTCGAGCTCCTTGTGGCTGATGCGGGCAAGGACTGTGGGGTTGTTGATCTTGTAACCGTTCAAGTGCAGGACGGGCAAGACGGCTCCGTCGGTGATGGGGTTGAGGAACTTGGTGCTATGCCATGAGGTGGCCAGCGGGCCAGTCTCGGCCTCGCCATCGCCCACCATGGTCAAGGCAATCAAGTTCGGGTGATCAAAGACGGCGCCGAAGGCATGGGAAATCGAGTAGCCGAGCTCGCCGCCCTCATGGATGCTGCCCGGGGTTTCTGGGGTGGCGTGGGAGCCGATGCCGCCAGGGAAGGAAAACTGCTTGAAAAACTTCTGCATGCCCTCCTCGTCCTCCGAGGTTACGGGATAGACCTCGGAGTAGGTTCCCTCGAGATAGGCCTGGGACAGGACGGCTGGGGCACCGTGGCCGGGGCCGGAAATGTAGATGGAGTCGAGGTCATACTTCGTTATCAGACGGTTGAAGTGCATCCACGTGAAGATCTGGCCAGGGGCAGAGCCGAAGTGGCCGAGGAGTCTGGCTTTGAGGTGTTCTTTCTTGAGCGGCACCTTGAGAAGCGGATTTTCGCGGAGGTAAATCATGCCGAGGCTGAGATACAGACTAGCCTTGAAGAAGTCATTGTATTTTTCGATTTGGTCTTTGGAGAGGGGGGCTCCCTTGACGGTCGAGCGAGCAGGCCCGTAGGCGCTGATGCTCTTCGGCTCTTCCTTGGTGTCGCCCATAGTGAAGCCCGCCTGGGGGAAGCAGCGTTTTACCGGGTTGATGTTGTGAGTGGTTCGAAGACAAGACCTTCAGGTGCTTTGGATTGAGACTCAGACGGAAGAGAGCGAGGGAACAAGAGAGGGAGCGGATTCGTCTTTATATTCGGCCACGCGCATACTACCTGACTAATGAAGCACCATTTCGTATCTATCTTGCCTTAGGTACAGCAGCAGCACCTTACCTCCATCCTGGGCGGCTCCGAGCCTAGGCACATATCTGCGGTATAGACGGACCTTACCACGCCCTCAGGAGCGGGCCGGTTTGCGAAGAGTCCATTGTCCAGCGTTCAGCGGCCAACCAGACCCCCGGCAGGGAAACGTGGATGGCCTTTTTGCGGCGTTATCGCCAGTAGCATGTCGCCGAGAAGAAGAGGCCCACCCGGGCTATCAGAGCGTGCGATCCGTTTCAACTTACACGCCCGCATATTCTCGTGAGGAAGTGGGAAGGCCGCACCTGAGAACGGCTGGGACCCACAAAAGGTGGTCTGATGAAGGAGCTTGGGCCCAATGCGCGTTGCTAGCCAGCCAACCACAGCGCAGCGCAGCTTGCTCACTCGTCATCGCTGCGGGGTGCTGTGCACCTTGGGCAGGAACAGACAGGAAGCGATGTTGGAAGAGACGTTACTAGCCGGCCATTTCTCGAGAAGTTGTTGAGAAACCATGGAAGCTGTCCGCATGAAGCATTAAGCGGTAGGCGAGATGACTGTAGTCCGGATTGACCTTGAGTTGAGCTGTCAAACGAGCGAAGTTATCCAACAGTACCTCTTGGTACGTCATCAACAGGTCGGGACTATGGATGATCCCCGTATTACATGGGCAATCGGGTGGCACAATCGAGCGGCATGGCAGCAGAGGGCTGGACCCCGCGTCCCTTGCCAAGAGAACCCTGCCTTCGGGGGCCTGCGTCGGTCAGGCTCGGGCGGGTTACGAAACCGAACCACAGCACCACACCACCTGATTCCCGGCGGTTGGCCCCGGTGAAGCCGTTTGCCCCCGGGCTAGAGCGCTCCACGCTAAATCGTTCCATCGACAAGGTCCCATCGGAGGCACGAAGCTACATACATGCATACAGATAATACGTGTAAGAAATTAGCACGTATGGTTTACCAATTACAGGACGGCCGTTCCCTACGGATTACCTTATCTTGTGTATTCGGAGTACTCAGTATGCATACAATATGGATTACATGCAGGAAGAATCTGTTGCCGAAGGAGGCAGAGTGAAGCACACACGAACTCGAACCGTATGGCAAAGTTACAGGACGGTATGCACGGAGTAACGGAAATACAGAGTCAGGTTGTCGGAGACGACACAGTCCGTCCAGTACCTACAACTCAGCCCCAACAGCCGTGGGGGGCCTGGCAGCTTCGATTCGCCCTTCAGCAGGTTTGGTCTCGACCCCGCTGAAGCATCAATAGGCTGAGATCGGTCAGGCCACAGGCAGGTTGCCTGCGCAGTGTCAGTACGTTGCTGATTGAGAGGCCCGGAAATCGCGGGAATGCCCTAGCCAAGGTATGAAGCGAGTATCTGGTGGCTCATGGCATGACACCTATTGCCAAGGACAGAATTTTCTTCACAACCTGTAAGTATCTGCTCGTCTGTCCCGAATTCCAACCCAGCTGAGCCTAAATCTCGTTCTCGAGACTCGAACCAATCAAAAAATAAGACGGATAAAACAGGCGCCCGAGAAGACCGAGACTTTGCTCTTGAATTATGTCCCTTACTAAGTCACGGGATAAATTAGTGCTCTGGGAGCGACTTCCCGAGCTGGACTTGTCACGAAAGTGAAATGGCTTATTCCCATCACCATACCCACACTAAAATGGACACAATTTTATAGGTAGTTTCATATTTCAGAGTTCACGGCTCTTGGGTCAACCATGCTCCTTTGCCTAAATTGATCCAGACCTTCCTTGCTTTATAAATCCTGCCCTCACCTAGTAGCACGCCGCCCGCTTCTTGAGAAAGAAGATGCCGAGGGAGTAAATAAACCACAAAGCATCAGAATAGTATATAGACTCAGAGGACAGCGAGAGAGATGAGTTGGGACACGACAGATACGGGGAGAGGGGAAAAAAATAAAGATCCTTATGATTGAACATCGCAAGGCGATATTTCTGCCACCCCGACACGCAGTGACATTGTAGAAAACTCGAGCTTGAAAAAAACAAAACAAGACGGAGACTAAAAAGTAGAAAGAGAAAACCGCCGCCCGGACCAGCCGAAGATTCGCACATCCTGCCCCGACACCGTTTTCATTGCCCGACTCAAAACAGAACGGACCTTCCTATCGTACCATACTCATCACCACTACTAACCGCCACCACCACCAGCCTGTAGAGACATAGACACACCTCTACTACTTAGTATACAGTAGTAGTAGATGGGCAGCTCTGTCCCCGTCTTTCTCTTCCACAAATTCCGTCCAAAGGGGAGGAAGGCAAGGTCAAGGCGGGAAGACGAACAGGCACCAAGGCACCCGTCAGTCTCTCGACAAGTCACGAACCCTCATGACTCGTCTATCCACGACCAACCATAAAAAACCCCGACCATATCCTTCCACCAAATCTTGGTCGTCGTGCCGTCGTCTATGAGAGAAAACCATCCACCACCAACCCGCTTCCCTTTGCGAATTGCATTATATTACGATTTGAAAAAGCATGTAAAAAGAAGGTAGAAACGGACAGAGAAAAGGCGAAAAACAAAGACCTATTCCTTGTTCGGAATTTTGAGACTGGCCAACCGAAATATGCCAAAACCCCAACTGCCCGCTCGCACATCTTGGCCGTGCGCCCGTGCGCACAGAAAAAGTAACATGAAAGGCGAAGGAAACCCAACTAGACAATCAAGACAGGAAAATAAACAAGAGACCGTTGGCTGCTGAAACCGACGAGTGGGTATTTTTCCCAGAAGCCGTAGTTACAAAACTGAAACAGGTTCAGCCAACCCTACAAAAAATGACAAAGCGCGCTAGCCTGTGTTTCAGACGGGAGAAACAAGATATTAACATGAAAAATGGACACCAGACAAGAGGGAAGGGGGAAAAAACACCAGGTAGGTTAGAGAGGGGGAGTCGAGACCGCAGAGTTTTCCACTATGCATCTGTTCGACAAAGCTCCAACGGGGTATTTGTCGCAACGGGGTATTTGTCGGTGTCGCGAAACGAGGCAGGAAGAAAGAAGAGCGAGCTAGCGGCTGTTGATGCGCTGCTACGACCCCTAAAATTGCAGGGAACAAAATTATAGCAAGACCGATAGGCATGGGCGAAGGCGGAACCGAATAACAAGCGACGGTGGTATCAAAGCCGGACTGTTGTGCAAAGGAAACTCCGTAACTCCGACTCCAAGAGGCTGCGAACGCCATGTTGTGAAAGCCACAGGAGGTTCGAGACCGTCTCATCATAATGGAAGGCATTGCCATAGCGAGCGATGTGTCTACCACCCCTTCTTCCTGGCGAATCGTTTATTGAGAAGCGCAAGTACCTTGGGGACGTTGAACTGAACGTATTCCAGATCCAAGTCGTCCTGGTTGTCCTTCTGCATCTCAAGGAGGTCGTCAAGCTTGAGATCCAGCTCGAGGAGACCCCGGTTGCGACCTGAAGTATTGTAATTAGTCTTTTTAGCCCCTTCCAACATCCAGGGTTCAATTAATTCACCTTTGTAGTGCAACGAGATGACAAAGGTCCCCGGAAGAGGGCTCGTGAAGTTGAAGTAGATGTTGGCTCTCCGATTATCGGGGACGTTGCTCTTTTGGATGACACCCTCCTTCTCGAGCTGCTGGTGAGTGAACTTGTAGGGCCCCAGCACTTGCTGTTTCTGCTGTTTTCTGCGCGTGCCCTCGCTCTGGCTACGCACGTTGTGCAGGTAGCTCTTGTATGTCTCAAGCTGCCCCACCAGGTATGTGTTGTGATCGCGGATTGTCTTGTACACCTCTTCAAGCTTCTGCGTCTCTACAAGGACACCTTCCTTGAGCGAGCCGAGATGTTGGAGTTCCTGGTCAATTTCATCCCGCAGCAGACTGAATTGGTCGCTCTTATCGACAACCTTGAGGTCCTGCAGCTGACTCAACAGCTCCATCGCCCGGATGCCTTTCCGGACCATGGCGACATCGTTCTTGGACGTTGCAGCTGCGTCAGCAATCCGCTCGAGCCGCAAAGGCCGTTTCGCGACCGACGAGTTGGCAGGTATCGTCCGCAGAATCTGCACAAAGATGGACTTGGCCTCCATAAAGAACACTTCCTCTTGTGTGATATCTAGAGCGGCCGTCAAATCGTCGATTGCAGTCTCCCACCTGCTATACAGCGGTAGATTGATGACTCTGTTCTCCTTGCGCGGAACCTGAGGGACCGCGGGGCCCAGTTCGGACATGATGATGGCCAAATGCGAGTTCTCGTCCTTGTACAGTTCCCCCGAGTGCTTCTCGATCAAGGAATGCATAGCGTAGATTTCGTTTAGCGTGATGGAGAGCTCGATATCCTTCTTCGAAAGTGCAACGTAGTTGTCCATTTCTAGGCTTTCGTAGAAGTCCTGAACCTCGCACAGGTCAAGCATAAACTTGTTGACCCTGTCCTTATTCTGTTGGATGAATGGCTGCAGCTTGGCCATATAGGGCTCCTTTGCATATGACGGCTTGTTGGCTAGGTTTTGCAGCATTTTTGCAATGAGAGTCAGGGTTCGCCTCGGTCGATCCGCCGGTGTTCCGTCGATGAGCATGTAAGACTTTGGCGTGACAATGGCTGGGTTGATAAATCTCAAGAAAAAGAACCCGCCGATCAGAGTGCAGATGACTTGGTCATTGGCATCTGGATACTTCCTCTTGGTGAGACTGCGGATTTGCTTGCAGATCCACCGGATACCATAGGGAGCCTCTTCCAGGCCGTCAATGATGGTCGTCAGAAAGCCGTTCGCAATTTCGGTAAGCATCGTCAGTCGCGGTTCGATAATGGCTTGGACCTGGGGGTTCTCGGCAGCCTGCTCTTGTGTGATGCCCCTGGGCAGCGACGCAGGCAAGCTCCCCGTGTCTTCCTCGATCTGCTCAATCATGCGCTCGTAAACCTTCAGAGGGTTGATCTCCATTTCCAAATCCTTGAGCTCAATCAGGCTGTTAATTCTATCAGCCAGAACTGACTTAAGGAAGCTCTGGCCAGGTCCTCTCCTCGTGTACGTGGTCATCATTCGCGAGACAGGGGTGTTAGCACGAAGGAGCGAAGAGTATTCAGGGGTGTTGTCGAACTGGTATGTCAGGACAGACTTTTAAGCGGAACACGTTAGCAAACATACCGAGTGCTGGGCCGGTAATTTTGACAACAAACCTGAAACATGGTCAATAGGAGGTGCTCCTCGCGACTCTCGTACTGGTTTCCGTATATGGTGAACATGACCGTCTGCAGGAGAGAATCGATTTCAGACATGGAGACGAGTCGGCAGAGGTGAGCGATATGCCTGGGTTCCGATTGGAGAAGAAACAGAAGATTTCCGTATCGCTGCGTCTTATCGTCGTTGGGGAAGACGCCCTCCTGCATTTCGGCGGCATCTTCTAGGTGGCTTGCAACTTCGTTTTGCTGCAGAAAGTTAGAAACATCTGGAGCTAACCACCGAACCAGAGGGCTGATCATGCGCCTAAGCAGATCAGAGTCTGTAAATAGGACCAACCTCTTCAAGAGCCATGCGGTTTTGAATTAGCAGCGCAATGCGCGAGTCTAGATAGCGTACATCCTTTTCGAGAACGAAGTTCTTCTTGGACTGCGACGATATCTTGGCCTTGAGCTCACGTAGAATTTTCTGCGCTGTAGCGACCAGTCAGTATCCCGAACCCGCAAGAAGAACATGGGGTTTACGTACCTTTGGCGAGATCATCTTCGATAATGAGGTCCGATTCATTTGCCGACATTGACATGTACAAGGCCGACATGGAATACCTCTTGGACTGGCGCGCCGAGCGCGATCCATCATAGGAAGACATTGTATTCTGGCGCGAAAGAGGTTGAAAGGATGAGGTCGACGCTGTCGAGGTTCGAGATGGTGTTTGAAGCATGACGGGCATGTCTCTGCGAGACTTCGGCGGCAATTGAAATAATTACTCCGCCGGGCCCGAGGCCTCTAGAATGTAGGGTGGTGAATCTGCGCCAGCAAGCGAGACAGCAGAACCCGATCGGCAGACTTTATTCTCGGAGTAGATTGTCGCGCACGAATGCCGAATCGGCTCGAGAGTTGGGTCCGGCTCGCTAGAGGCCTGGAGCTGAATACCACGTCGTGAGAAACACAGAATGTCGATTAAAAAAAATGGCCGAGCAGCGGAGGGCGACGGTCGACGCGGAATTCGGTCGCGCGAGGCGGTACTTGATGCGGGCGCAAGGGGATTGAGTAGCTTCGCCGAGAAGGGAGGGCAAAGCCGGGCAGCGAACGTTCCACAAAGGAGGGCGTTTTTGAACCCCGAATGCGCTGATGTGAAAGGCCCGTCTTTGGCGACGAGTGTGATGGTGCTCGCGGCGGTCGGGGTCGAGCGGAGTTGACGAAGGTGACGGTCGAAGTTCGAACGAAAGCCTGCGGGGTGTTGTCTCGATTCTGGGTATGTAGTGGGCCTTTATCGCAAATGTTCCGGTCGGGGGGGATTGCACGCAGCAGCAGCTGTAAATTGAGGGTTTGAGCCGCTTTGGACTTGCAACCAGTCAGACCGGGGAAGCGAAGGGTAGTGGAGCGCAAGAGAAACGATCAGATTTTCCCAGACCGCGGGCGGACGAACGGTTGGCGCTGAACAGGTTCAGTGCAGCGAGCGAGCCACGGGGTGGTGACTAGGCAGAGAAGTGGATGAATGGTGCAGGAGGCCAAGCGTCCGTTTGGATTCAAATAGCACTACGCCCACCTAAGGTTCCTGGGCCGCGGGGAAGGGGGGTTTGGAAAAGAAAGAAAAAAATTGATCCAATAATAGCGACACGGAACTCAAGAAAATGTGCGGTTGCGTTGCTGTGCTTCAATCTCGAACGTCTCGTGGTTTTCGCTTGGGCACCGCCGCGCCGTTTCTTCCTTGGCCTGTCGCGCATCAACTTGTGCCCTGGCAGGAAAGGAAGGGGGCCCAGGCGCGCACCGTTTTAGTGAGGTGCACAAGCTTGGGGGGGGAGGGGGGGGTGGAGGGATAGGAGTGCCGTTCAAGTGGGCCGGTCTGTTTGGGCTGCGTGCAACAGGTAACTGCGGCAAGGAAGCCACAGCGGAGGGAAAGAGCGGGATTAATAGTCTATAATATAGAATATACGAATAACAATAGAGACCTAGAGGGGACAACCCGACTTCGGATGGCGGTCTGGCAACACTTTGCGTGGGTCAATCACTGAGATGGTGGGTAGATGGACGAGTCTCTCGTATCTTAGGTTGAGTGCACTTGGAGCGTACCGTCCCATCTTCCTATTCCTAGCTCCTCCAAACTGAGGTGTTGTGTTTCACTACACTGCCTGACCAGCTCCCATTGATGGGGGACGCATGTGTGGTGTACATACATAGTACATGTGCCGTGTCTGACCATCCATCCCAGGCTTCTGTTTCTTTGTCCCCGGCCTTGCTGTCTATCTGGCGATCGACAATTCAGCGGTCATTAGTGGCCTTCATTCAGTACCTAACTTTTATATCTGAGGTAGGTCTACCTGCTTGGGACTCGGGCTTGAGGCATTCCGAATGGCCCTTTTCCCTCCCAGTCTTCCTCTACTCGGCATGCCCGCATGCTCCAGCACATTGATTGAATCACCAGAGTTCATCGTAGGGTCGCCAAGGCCATGTCTCATTCTCGCCCTGCTGCTCCTGCTGACTGTTTTAATCTCCGCCCGGGTCCGTCTGTCGAGCTACGCGCTCGGTAACGGAACACTGTTTGAGTATTCGCTGTAGCGACATTCAGCAACAGCGAGGCGAGGGCACCCAGATGCCCACCTCACCAAGGAATCGTCCTTGGATGTTTCGGGTCCTAGGCGGGGGAGGGGCAAAGCGATCTCATTGCCGCACGGGCGGAGACCAAGCAATGTACACAGGGGATGAAGCCTCCGGATTGGCCCAACAAGACCTTCCACCCCACCCCTTCTGGCTTTGGGCCCAGGGGTACGCCCGAAGGGCGGGGGAATCACAGTGCGAACTACAATGTGCTCTACGCCATGTGTGCGTTGGACCCCTGCCTTGCCGCTGGTCCAGGCACAAGCACTGTGCGCACGGAAATCTGCCCGCTGTCCCTTTTCTCACCCCTGGCCTCTGTCGGGCTGGCTTCCGTTCTGTCGACAAAGACGGGAAACCTTCAGCAACGACACCGATGGCCCCTGTGATAAAACGGCGATCTGATGCTAATTTCTCTTTTACGATTACTCCGTACTCCATACTTATAATTTCCAGCAGCGGTCCAGGCAGTTTTGCTCGATCCCGAATTAATTAGGTGAATTCGCGGCTACTCTGGAGCCGTTATCCAGGAGCCTTCGATTTTGGAAACAAAAAGCAGCCAGGTTCTCCACTAACAAGGCCCGGAGAACCTTTACTCTGAAAGAAGTAGCAGGGTACGGAGCACTGGGAGACTGCAGCCAATTTATCTGCGAAAGAGCCGCAGTCAGCAGCCTCCCGTCATGGCAAAAATCTTATATGTACCCGAGGACGGTATGATATCAGAGGAGCTAATTTCGCTGCCTACTGCACTGGATGCCCAACAATAACACATTCTCACGAGAGCAGACGGCACAGCTGCCACTTGGCCAGATATCAGCGTTGGCGTCGTTGCACCTGTTCCTAAAATTGATGTCTTGCCCCAGCCGACGCTCGGGTTTCTCGGAAGGGGGAACCGTTTCCCTTGATAAAAGGTTCTAGATTTGGCAACGTCATCACGCCGTATACATTACCGCACGTACATGTGCATACAGTTAGTGCAATCCCAGAATGTTTGTTTGCGGGGGACTTGCCAATATGAAAGGCCTCAGCACCTTACGGCTTGCCATAAATGTTCATCACCGAGGGAGCAATGGCTTTTGGAATCACTATTGTAGAACCTCCGAGGCCTATTACCCTCTTGGAAATACCTGGTAAGGGGGTTCCATTCCTAATTATACTACCGCCCAACACACTCAGGGATTGAACTTTATGTACGTGCGCAGCGTTGATGGCGATCATTGCTGATGGAATGATATCCTACACAGTATTATGATATCTACGCCGGACCACTTTCTCCTCCGACGCATGTCTCTCTCTATTTCTCGCTCCTCAGAAGGCTACGTACCTGGGCGACTTCATCCAAGCAACGTCTCTTGGGCATAGGACTGCACACCGGTTTGTTCCACGGGCAGCCTGAAGATCGACAAAGGACGTGAAACATGTCGCATGATGTAGGGCGCGTAAGACGGCATATGCTGCACCACCAACCTCGGAGTCTTGACGGCTCGAAAATAGAAACTTGACAGTCAAATCGCCGCAGCAACTCGTGGGAGGTAGCGAGAAAGATCAAAAGGTATGTAGGTTCCATCGCTTCGAGGGGCCCCCATCGCTTCGAGGGGCACCTCTCTATTAGGCCCGTTTGGAAATTGCCGAGAAGCAATGCACTAGCAAAGCATTGTGATGGGTTTTCTTCTAGGCCGGAAACAGCCAAGCCTAGCAGGCGCATCGAGATGGCTTCTGCTTCGAGACACCTTTCGCCTTCCAACGTGATAAGACATTGATTGGCCTCACCATTGCCCTTCGCGGCGCGGGCATCATGATAGTGAACCGCTCCCAGGCCAATCACGGCTCTTGGCCGCCAGCCCTTCTTTTCCTACCCAGCGGTTTGGTTCGGGTCTAGTGACATGGTCCCGCGGCACCCCAGAGCCGAGGGGACGAGTTTGTGCCGAAGAGGAGGTTCACGATTCTCTTTATTCTGTGCACGCCGCACTGCGCAGTGCAGGTACCTACCATGTTTATACGGTTGTTTTGGGGCGTTCTCGTCACGGCCGTTGATAAACAGCGCCGGCCGCTTCGGGATATCCCAGGGGTGTCCGTTGTGGAAAGGGGTAACAATGGATGTCTGGAAACGGACTGAGCGGGCGGCTGGTTCAGAGTCTTGGCACTGCAGCTGTCAGGACTTCGCACATCCAAGGTAACCAGAGTTTCTCAATTTGATATCGTGCTCTCCGCCCAAGGAAGGTGGAAATAGAAAATGAATAATTGAAACACATGAACATTCCGTATGAAAGAGGAAGATAGTGAGTGCATGATCTTGAGAGACGAGACACACAAGCCTTCATATGACGAATGTAATCGGAGTGCACTTCGTATTGTCCTCAAGCTCCAGAGTTTGCTTTATCCACCCATCCTGCCACCCCAGCTATTTTAGCTCAAGTGTGTGTGGGGGGGTCTAACGGCGGGCGACACGGGTACCTCTGGTAACGAACTCAGGTACCTTGCTGGGTAATACATAGAATACAGATACGCGGTACGGAATACCTAAGGCGCTGTAATTGACGCCAACGAAATCACCCAGCACTCTTTCTTCCATCCATTGGTTCCATTGTTTTCGCGATATTTCCTAGGTTTTTTCTAACCAGCCACGAATAGGGGAGCTTCCAACCTTCAGCATCTTCTCTCACCCAAAGCGCTTCTAGTTTATACTAAGTATATTTATTGCATTCGCATCGCAGCCTTCCTCACCCTCGCAGATGGAGCAACCAGGCAGGCATGAGAGACCCCACCGTCGAGCACAATGGTGGCGTGGTCTTGCAGTCCCGATCGCTTCAAATTCCCGAGACGCGCCGCGTGCCCGCCGCCGCCACCCACGCCACCCACGCTGCCGACTGCCCCTACCCCCACGCACCTTGCTGCAGTCTAATCCGTACATAGTACAGTACATTCACAGTTCAGGTCGCGCCTCGGTAGTGGATGGGTACAGTACCGATACCTCTCTGGACTTGTTTCCGGCACATGCTCGTCAGTCGTGGATATGGTTCTTGGGCCTCCACCCGCCTTGTGCCTCGAAGATCTCACCCACCGCGGCACGCACGCGGACCAGATGACGGTCACGATACCGGGGCGCCACGAGTGAAACACCGACGGGCAGTCCGTCCTCGCCCTGAAATCCCGGCACGTTGACCACTGGGACGTGTAGTGCCCTCCACACGCTGTTGAAGGCAGCGCTGCCCGTGTTCTCGAAGCCCACAGGAGCTTCGTCCGGGACGCTCGGCGTCAAAAGGGCCTCATACCCCTGCAGCACTTGGTCGACCCGCGGCTGCAACGCCGCAATCCCGTCCAGCGCCGCCAGCCGCGCCTTATGCGTGAATCCGCCCTTGTTCTCAACCTGCCCTGCCAGCTGCTCATCCAGCCTGTCCCGGTGCGCGCGGTACTCGGGAGAAACGCTACGCGTCCGTCCGTCGTCATGACGGTTCGGTGCCATGTGGGCATCTGGTCAAAGTCCGGCCACACCGTGTCGTTGTCGATCTCGTCTACCGTGGCGCCGTGCTCGCGCAGAAGCGCCACCGCCTTGGTTATGGCGTGTTGGCTCCCCAGTCCGGGGTCGGGGAAGGCAGCCCTCGGGTTTTTGAGCACTGCAAATCTCATTCCGCTGACACCTTTTGCCTCGCTGTTTCCTGAACTGTCGCCGTCCGTCTCATCGTCAGATAGCCCCAGGACGCCCCCAGCAGCTCGAGATCCGCTGCGCTGCGTGCGTACAGCCCCAGCGTGTCGAGAGTGAGCGAGTATACTTTCAGGCCCTCAGGCGATATGGCGCCCCATGTCGGCTTGAGTGCGTACACGCCGTTGAACGACGCCGGCCGGATCATGCTCCCGCCCGTCTGCGTGCCGAGGGCGATAGGCACCTAAAAGTCGCCCACGGCCGCGCCCGATCCCGCCGACGAGCCGCCTAGCGTGCGGGCTGGGTCGTGTGGGTTGCGCGTTGCCGGGCTCGTGATGGTCGCGGCGAACTCGGTTGTTGTGGTTTTTCCTATCAGGCGCAGAGGCGTCAGACAAATCAGGTCATAAGCTAGGAGGGCGAGGTAAAGTACTGAGTATGAGCGCGCCTGACGAGCGCAGAATGGCCACACAACCTGCGTCCAGAGCGGGCGCGTCGTCCTTGTAGATGGGTGAGTTGTGCTGCGTGGGCATGTCTTGACGTGCGTGTTCATATCATGTCAGTGCATGTTCAATGCCCCCTGTCTTCCTTTCCTTTCCTTTCCTTTCCTTGCAGTGAAACACACCTTTGGTGTAGATGACGTCCTTGACGCCGACAACCACGCCATACAGCGGCCCTCGCTCGCCCGGCGGGATCACGTCCAGCTCCCGCGCACGCCGCAGTACTAGCTCCCGGTCCAGGTAGGCCCATGCCTGGACGGCCTCATCTCGCTGTTCGATGCGCGACAGCAACGACGTCACGTAGGCTGAGACGGTCAGAGTGCCGGCTTGTATTTGCGACACGGCTTGGGTGGCCGTTAGTCTGTATGGCTCCATGTCTGTTGGGGTAGGTCAGGTAGGGTGTGGAACGGCGAGACGCGTGTTGGTTAACAAGCAATGTGTAAGTCTGTCTGTGCCCAAGGTACGTGTATCGCTGAGTTGATACCCAGCAGGAGACGACGCCGTGGTCTTTTAAAAAGAGATACTGTCGAGAGTCGGGAGAGTCGGGAAAGTCGATGCTGGTGGACCGGCATGGCAGCCGGCCCCGCCGCTGCGTTAGTCTGGCATCTAGTGCAGGCGGCCAAGTGGAAACGGCAGCCAGGTCCCGAGAAAGTCCGGAACCGGCGCCTAGTGAGCGACAGAGATAGGGGGCCAGGGCCAGGTGCCGTACCCTTTCTCGGCTTGTTTGGTCCGATATCACGGCCTTTTCGTCTCTTGGGTCTGGAGACATGCATACGGTGCGTATATGGATCATCAAGTCAGGGCTTTCTTTCTTTTATATTTTGCCACCGACTAAAAGCGTTCGGTTACATGCACGGCCGCGGACGTAATCTTGTTACGATGAAATGAATCAAATTCCGTTTTATACAATTCCGTTTTATACAAGCTGATAGAAAACAGAGGATCGTGTGGACGTGAGTAAATAAGTGTCTCTTCAGATTCCAGTTCCCAAAGTGCAACCCAGCCAACGCCGTTAGAATCGAGGTGTCCCGGTTAAGAATCAAGCAAGCATGGATACCGCCCACCCGCCGCCCACCGCAACGACGCCTTCTCGCCCCTGCTCATCACCCCCTGCTCCTGTTTCTGTCTGCTGTTGCTGCTGCTGCAAAAATTCACGATTAAAGGGGTAGTCGACGTATCCCTTAGCCGCCTTGGGCGTATAAAAGGAGGGGCGGTCGTACTTGGTCAGGGGCAGGCCGTTGCGCAGGCGGAAGACGAGGTCCGGGTTGGCTAGGAAGTGCCGCCCAAAGACCACGACCACGTCGTAGTCGCTGTAGGTGCGGTCGACGACGTCGCGCGCCGATGCGGCCGTGAACCCGCCTGCCAGCAGCACCAGGCTGACGTTGTCCCAGATCTTCATCAGCAGCGCGTTCGAGTCCGCCGCCCCGCACTCGTCCGTGTCGCTCTGCCCGCTAATGCGTCCCTCTACCAGGTGCAGGTACGCCAACCCCAGCGGCCGCAGCGCGCCCACCACGTGCCCGAACTGCGGCAGCGGCGCCGCCATCAGCATGCCCTGGTAGTCACTGTACGGGCTAAGACGCACGGCCGTGCGGTGCGCGCCGACGGCCGCTGCTACCGCGCTCGCCACTTCCACCACGAAACGCGACCGCCCCTCAATACTGCCGCCCCAGCCATCGTCCCGCTGGTTGCTCATGTCCTGCAGGAACTGATCCGGCAGATAGCCGTTGGCGCCGTGGACCTCGACGCCGTCGAAGCCGGCGCGCTCGACGGCGTTGCGCGCCGCGGCCGCGTAGTCGGCGATGGTGGTCGCGATGTCGGCCTCGCTCATGGCCTCGGGCACGGCGCGCGTCGCGTCGATGGGGACCGCCGACGGCGCGAGCAACCGGTGGCCGTGCGACGCTAGGATGACCGGGTTGCCGCTGCGGCCTGGGTGCCACAGCTGGCAGAAGATGCGGGCCCCGCGGGCGTGTACGGCGTCGGTCGCGGCGCGCCACGCGGCGATCTGCCCGTCGGTCCAGATCCCCGGCACGTTGTGCCGGTCCGCCGCCGCCAGCGAGATCAGCATCGCCTCGCTGACCAGCAGCGTCCCCGGTGTCGATGCCCGCTGGGCGTAGTACTCGGCGACTATGGGGAGTGGCGCCCAGCCGTCGTCGGCCCGGTAGCGCGTCAGCGGCGCCATGGCGATGCGGTGGCTCAGGTCCAGCGACCCGAGCTTGAGCGGGGCGAAGAGCTTGGACATGATTTGTTTTGTGAGTGTGATGGTTGTTTGTCTAGGAATAGTTGTAAGTGCTTGCGCGGTCTGCGGACTGGGACTTGGCTCTTTGTCGAGTGTTGGCCATCTCGAACCTGTGGTGGGTTTGGCTCCAGGGGCTTTATTTATCTGTTGACTAACGAGCGGAGTGCCTTAGCTTGCACACCGCACCACGCTGCTTGAATGGCCCAATACAATCGATTTCTCATGTGTTGGTAATGGAGCTTGATAAGCTGGTTCGGCGACAGCGGCCGGTCGACGACACATTCATGCGAGGGGAGGTGCTTGTGTTTCCTTTCTTGTTCGTTACTCAGCCCTAAGCTGCAGCGGTTGTTCATTATACCGCTCGAGATGTGTAATGCGTGGTAAGGATGCATCGTCGACGTTCCATTAGTGACATTACTAATATCAGTATAGGTATAGTTAAAATACTATGTAGGGTAGGGGGGCTTGGCGCGGATAACGAACGGGTCGAGTCAAAACGTGCCGAATATTCGGACACAGCAGGCATCCAGCACCACCATCTACAAGTATCCGGTTATCGGGAAGCACCCCGAAACGCTGGCAGGCTGTGTACCGCAGCCATGGATCCAGTTGCTGGGGTTGTCGTTGGGAACGGCAAAAGATGCAAGGGAAAGAAAACCAAAACAGGGCGCCATATCAAAGCCAGCTCCTCTCAAGACGACTTTCTCACATAGCCCATCGAGATCAACACCGACTGCACCATGGCCGACAAGAACTACAACGCCAAGGTCGGGGCTACCTAAGATGCGCCACCCCCTGAAACCCGAGCCTCGGACGACGACGACAGCGACGCGCAGAGCATCGGACACCAGCGGATGCTGCTGCCGCGGGCGGCGCTGCTGATGGCGGTGCCGGCGCTGTCGGTGGCGCTGTTCGTCTCGTTTATCGACCAGACGAAGGTGTCGACGGCGGTGCCGGCCGTGTCGGCGGCGCTGGCCACGGGGTCGGCGACGCCGTGGATCGGCGCGTCGTTCCTCATCGCCAGCACCGCCTTCAAGCTCGTCAACGGCCGGCTGTCCGACATCTTTGGCCGCAAGTAACTCCCTGCTGCTGTGCCTGGGCCTGGTGGCGCTGGGTGATTTGCTCGCCGGCTTTGCCCAGACCAAGGAGCAGCTGTTTGCCTTCCGCGCTGTGGCTGGTGTCGGCGGCGGCGGCGTCAACAGCATTGTCATGATCATCGTCAGCGACATCACGACGCTCGAGAACCGCGGCAAGTATCAGGGTGAGTGGGCACGGATGCAGTGCAACCAGAACAAAACAAAACAAAACAAAACAAAACAAAACAAAACAAAACAAAACAAAACAAAACAAAACAAAACAAAACAAAACAAAACAAAACAACACAACGAAACAAAACAACAAAACAAAACAAAACAGAACAGAACCCCTAGCGCTAACGAACCACCTGCGCAGGCATCCTCGGCGCCGTCATCGCGCTGGCCAACGGCAGCGGCCCGTTCCTAGGCGGCGCGCTCGTCGAGAGCCTCACGTGGCGCTGCATCTTCTGGCCGATCCCCATACTGGCGGTGCCGGCGGCCGTGGCCATTCTGTTCTTCCTGCCCATGTGCCACGAACGCGGCAACTACGTGGCCAAGGTCAAGATGATCGACTACGGGGGCATTGCGCTGAATCTGGCGGCCATGCTGCTGATTCTCGCAAGTTTTTTGTCTTGCTATTTTTTCATGTCTTGTCATGATGACACGGGGGTATGAGCTGACCGTTTGTTTGCTTTGACTACCTAGATACCCCTGTCCGGCGGCGGCGACACGAACGCCTAGTCCTCGGCCCAGTTCATCGCCATGACCGCAGTCGGCGGCCTTCTCGCCGTCGCATTTGTCCTGTACGAGTGGAAGCTGGCGCCAGTGCCCATAATGCTATGTACGTCCCCCTATGATATGTCTCATTGGTGCAATGCACACATGCTGACTGACGGCTCCGCCAGTGCGCCTGTTCCGAGCCCCCCACTGCCCGTACATCTACGTCCAGGCGCTCACGTCCGGGGTCGCCTTTTACGGTAACTTCTTCTACAGTAAGCTCGTGCATTATTGGGTCCTTGATTGCTGGTGCTGTGGTTATGGCCATGGCCAGGCCAGGTGTGCAGTATCACATCGGATAGTGCGTCTTTTGTTTACTTTGCCCCTGAGAAGCTGGGAGACGGCAAGCTGACCCTAGGCTAGCTTAGTACTCGCGCGCTCTATCGTGGGCATGTACGGATCGTACTTCTTCATCGTCATCCGCGCAGTCGTCTACATTCGTATAGTATGGTATTCAGTCCTACTACGGTGCCACCTTTGCTGTCGGTCTACTTCCGCTGCATATTCGGGCACAACTGGACCGACTTCAAGAACACGCTTCCGGCATCCGCAAACGTTGCCGGGCCGATTCTGCTGTGCTTCTTTATCGTGTGGCTAATTGAGCTGCCGTTCGTGAGTTCAAACAATACGCTTGGCTGGTCAACGTGGCGCTGGAACCCGAGTCTTACTGATACTGGAACCAGATGTTTGTCTACCCAACCAAGATAGACTACCTCTTCACGATAAAGGGTTTCATCATGCCCGTCGCCACGTTTGGTTTATTCGGATGGTGCATGGCAAACGGCGCAGGAATCGCAACTATTGATCTCGCCTCTGCAGCGGCGGCAAAAGCGCAGGCGACCACGCCGCTCGTTTAGAGCATCATGACTAGCATCAACGAAATAATAGGCACCCTATCGCCCATGGTGATCAACCAGCCCGGTCTAGCCAGGTATTGCCGTAAGACGCGCGACGCCGGCTGGGTCCAGGGCGCAGCCGTCTTCTTCTCCAAGGTCGTCGTGTACTTCCTCGGCCTCGCAGCTACGGCATCGATGCAGGGCGCATGGGGCAAGGCGTACTGGAACATCTGGGACTTTCTCACCGCAATCTTGGACCACCACTGGACGGGTGCCAGCCGAACGGCCGTGTTCTTGGTGTCGCTGAGCTTCCTCTTCTCGGCCATGAGCGTCAACTTTGGGGGCAACTCGATCCCGTTCGGAGCAGACATGACGGGCTTGTTTCCGAGATATCTCAGTATCCGACGTGGCCAGGTTCTCTGCGCCGTTCTGGGCGCCTGGGTGGTGCCGTGGGAGCTGATTGCCAACGCTGCGTCATTCTTGTCCTTTTTAGGAAGCTACAACATCTTCATAGCTCCCCTGTGCGCTATAATCCTCGTCGACTACGTGTTTGCCCACAACGGCAATATCCACGTCCCGTCGCTCTATGACGGCAGCAAAAGCGGGCTTTACTGGTTTAGCTCGGGCGTAAATTGGCTCAGCGTCTTCGCGTGGTTGGCCGGAGTGTCCATTGGTCTTCCAGGTCTCATGGCGCAGTACCAGCCACAAGCAGTCGGCCTAGTTGGCAAGCGCATGTACACCATGGGCTGGATCCTGACATTTGCCACAGCTGCCGTGGTGTATTTCATCGGCATCAAGGTGTTCCCGCCGCGCATATACCCAGCCGGCTTCGGCATGCCCGCAAACTGGGAGTACCTGGCCAAGGACGGCAGAGAGGGCTTCTTTGACGGCGAGCGAGAAAGGGAAGGTGTTTCTGTTGATGCTACTGCCTCGCCCGCACTCAGGGATAGCGAAGGGGGTTTTTCCGAAGCCAGGGTGCCCAAGTCGGATCTGTGACAGCTTTGGTGGCTGGAAGTACGGAAGTAAATATCTAGGTACCTATGTTAACTATTGGATGATTGAAGCGCATTGCGTGACCAGAAAGGAGATCGCCCTGCAGACGCGTAGATAAGGTATGGTAGGTCCGTAGTGGGAAAACTGCCTCTGTCAACTCAATGTGCGTTGTCTGAGAGGCAGCTTGTGATGATGCCAGTCTGTTGAATCATCCAATCCCGCGTGAGCCAAGGTTCGCATGCGCAGCACTGTACAAGAGACCGAAAACTTGAACGTTAAGCAGGAGTTGAAGGGTTCCCAGGTTGCAGATGAAAACTTAACCAAGGTATCCGCACTCCGTAAAAGTGTGTGGAATTAGCATGCGAGAGGGAAGTGCTCCATTGGGCAACTGCAGAGGCATAGCAAGAGCGGTGATTAACAACCTCGATCAGAACTTTGAAAGGAAGCTACGATGGACGCACAAATACGGAGTCCGTACGGAATAATACAGCCTATCCGTAACTTCCACGAAACCCCACAAAAGTTTCAAGGTGGGGCCTCGGGGCATGCATGGACTTCCGCACATCCTAACAATCGACAGGCATGTGCGCGGGGCAGGATCGAGAAGCACTGCGAAATCCGGAATGTGTCCTGTGCATGGGCAGACAACCCGTCCGAAATAGGAAGTAGAACTGCAGGCACTTAAAACGTTTTCATATGACATCGAGCGGGGCACGAACCATGTCCATGCTTCACCGAGAGTAGCTTGCCAACGTCATGACCCTTCGGTTAGTGTGGGGATGGTGAGGTAATGATTGGCTGGCCGAAGTCGTCGAGCACGAGGATCCAACGTCCGTTCTCGGTTTAGCAATGGTTTCCGGGGCTGAGGAGAGGCAAGACTCAAGGTAACTACTGTACTATACAATTGAAGGTACCTGCCGCCTATTGAAGTGTAAAGGGTGATTAATAAACTCACCCAGTGACGCCGTGGGATGTCGCGTCTCGCGGTTTGCTCGGCGTTCCCCCACTCCTGCAGCTGCTTGCTTGGTTAGACTTAGTAATTGGTGAATAATACGGAATACCGGCGTCCAAGTGCGTGCTACCAGTGTCTGTACCAATCCAATTCCGTCATTGTCACTAAGGTACGGAGCAGGAGCTCGGAGTTTGCGTGCCCACGCACGACCACGAGCCTAAGCTGCTCCTGTTATCTCCGCGCCGCCAAAAGGCCGCTTGATTCTCTTCTGCGACTCCAATAACCACTGACAAACAGAGAGACTAGTAGGCACTAAACCTGGAATCTACCATGCCGGATTGCCGTGGAAATGCTACCTACCACCGTAGCTACGGCACGTGGATATGTACCTTGCATCGCTCGAAGGCCGTAAATGGCAGGCTCGCCGGCCTCGGCCTGACTTGAGATGGCCTACCGCAGGATCCCAGACTGCCGCAAGCGTAGCTAGATTCGGGAAGGAGGAGGGCTGCCAGTGGAGAAGGAGCACAGAGAGCAGACGAGCGTACGGAACGGTATCGGGGCTGGCTAGCTGGCTTTCCGGTCCGTCACGTTTGTAATTCCGCATCGGCCTCCCCTCCCCCCCGACCTTTCCTTTTGTCGCCAGAGACTTGTCGCTCGTTTGCCAGTCCTCCTCGGACGCTGAAGAAAAAAAAAGAAAAGAAGCACGGCGGCATGGCGGCTTCTCTTGACCCGGCACTCTCGCCTGCCAGCTCCGACGACGTGTCGAGCAAGAGAGGAGACAGCTCCTTAGGGCTGCACGAAAAGACGGCCGTAATAGCCAAAGAAACCAGGACGCAGACGCCCAGCCTCTTGGGTGGTAGCGAAGCCGGGTCCGACGACTCGGATCCGCTGGAGCCGCTCGAGCACGGCTTGGCCCGCGACCTCGAGATCGAGGCCGGCTATGCTGCCCGCCGCGAATCGCTCACGTCGTCGCTCGCCCACACCAGGACAAGGACCAGCGTCAATAGCGCCGCCTCGCGGCTCCCCGACTTCGAGGTCGTCTTCGGCCCCGATGACCCCGACAACCCCCGCAACTGGCCTCTGTGGTACAAGGCTTGGGTCATCTTCGGCGTCTCCTTCTCTACCTGGGTCGTTGTGCTCTATAGTACCAGCTACACGGCCACCATCCCCGGCGTCATGGACGAGTTCCACGTCGACAGCCAGGCCGTCGCAACCCTCGGCCTGACTACCTATCTTCTCGGCCTGGCCGCCGGCACCGTCGTTGTCGCCCCCATGAGCGAGCTCTATGGCCGCCGCCCCGTCTACCTCGTCTGCCTGTTCATATTCACGCTCCTGATCATCCCCTGCGGCCTGGCCACATCGCTCTCCGAGCTTATCGTCGTCAGGTTCTTTGGGTGAGCTCGCTGCTGCTGTACTCGACCCACCGCTCCTGCTAACCTGACTTCCCTGCAGCGCCTTGTTTGGGGCCGCCATGGTATCAAACAGCCCGGGCACTGTTGTAGACATAGCCGACCATGAGTACATTGCACTGTGCATGTCGCTGTGGTCCATCGCTCCCCTGAATGGTGCGTATCTCTTGACACCCCCAACTTGCCTTGACTAACCAGCATCTACCAGGTCCTGTGACGGGACCTTTAATAGGGGGCTTTGTTTACCAGTACCTTGGCTGGCGGTGGTATGCATATGTCGCTTTACGTCTAATATTTCACATTTCACTACGCATACCATTCGTCCCGGACCACAAACTCACTTATTCAAGCCCCTATCCACTTACAACAGTCGTGACCAGACACTGACAAGATTGTAGGGCTAACTGGATCGCACTGATTTTGGGCGGTGCGTCTTTTTGCATCATGGTGCTAGCCAAGGAGACCTATGCCCCAGTCATCCTACAGAAACGGGCGGCGAAGAAGCGCAAGGAGGAGAATGACGAGCGCTGGTGGTGTCGCTACGATGAGAAGAGGTCCACCCTCGACCTCCTCAAGGTCAACATGAGCCGCCCCTTTGTGCTCGCCGTGACAGAGCCGATCCTGATATGCTTCAATGTTTGGTCAGTTGTTATTCCAACCTACCTGCCTGCCTGCCTGCCTGCTGGGCCCAAATCATAACTAATCGGCTAACCCTTCCATGCTCCTAGGATAACGGTCATATACTCAATATTGTATCTGTGTTTCGTAGCCTACCCCATCGTTTTCGTAGAGCACCGTGGCTGGGCGCCTGGCATATCCGGGCTCGCCTTCATCGGCATCGGCATCGGCACCATGCTGGCCATTGTGCTCGAACCCGTCTGGCGGCGCATGATCAACTCGAACGAGAAGGATCCCGAGACGGGCAAGGTGTTTCCCGAGGCCATGGGCGCCGTCATGAGCATTGGCGGCATCCTCGTCCCGGTTGGTCAGCTCGTCTTCTCCTGGACATGCCTGCCAACGTCGATACACTGGGCCATCCCAATCGCATTCGGCATCCCCTTCGGCATGGGGAACACGCTCGTCTTTATCTACTCGAGCAACTACCTGGCCGGGTCGTACGGGCTCTACGCGGCCTCTGCCCTCGCCGGCAATACCGTCATGCGCTCCGTCTTCGGCGCCACCATCCCCCTCGCCGGCAAGGCCATGTATGACGCCATGACGCCGCAGTGGGCAGGCACTCTGCTGGGACTACTCGAGGCCATCCTAATCCCAATCCCCTTTATATTCTCACGCTATGGTGCCCGCATCCGCGCCAAGAGCAGGATCATCCAGCAGATGCGGCGCGATCAGGAGCGCAACCAGAGCAAGCGCGCCAGACAGCTGGCCCGCGCCGCGCGGAGGGCCGCCGCCGAGGACCCCGAGGGCGATGGCGATCCCGAGAAGAGCCTGGGCGGGAAGACAGAAGTTGTCGGTTTATAATGTGGCTAAAACTTTAATAGAACCCGGAGCACGTGGGCATATAGGCACATAGCTCTAGGCCTGTTTCCTTTGGGTTGTGGGCGGAAACAGTTCGATGTTCTAATGTTTAAATAGGGATAAGGCCCGTCGGGTTCTTTTCGTATATATTTTTTGCAGTTGCCTTGCAAGCACAAGCACCACGAACAAAGTGTCGAGACATGTGCCCAACACGCCCGTACTCACCAACATCCCCCTCTCGGAAGCCTTTTCCCCCGCAGATTGCCTTTGGCGTTCTCCATATCTCTGGCGGAAAAAAAGAAAGCAGCGTTGTGTCAGGTGACTATCGGGTCTGCCCGGGGGCCATTTTCGCAGTATGGGTTATTATAGGTTTGTTCGCGGTGGATTGAGGGGAAGGAGCGCTGGAACGAGATCTAGGACGAGCCATGCGCTACGAGCAGGTTGGCTCTCAGCACTGGGCACGTTGCAGAGTTGATGCTCTGACTCCTCGCCACTAGACGGACCGCTCATAGAGTCGTCTGCATCCATAGTTTAGTGGATGCGGAACGGCAGAGGCTGAAGCAGAGTGGTGACTCCCTCAAGCCTGACTAAGTTAGACGTCATACGAAAGGGGGAAAACGAGCCCCTGAAATAAAGTAGTACAAGAACGTTATAGTGACCGGCTAGAGCGATAGTAAATAAACTCTTTAGCGTTAACTCGCACAAAAACATGCGTGGCCGCTCTGGGGCCCATGCCAGAAGTACCAGGTTTCGCCACGCTCCATCCTCCGCCCCCATGGCTGTCAGTCAGCGGCTCGAGAAATCGACCAGTACGAAACTCTCTGGTATTGATCGTCGTGGGCCTCGCGCCCACATCCCCAAAATCCAGAGACGCAAGACCATTCCCTTTCTAGCAAAGACATATACAACATACAGAACAGTACCAAACCATTTACCCCAAAAAAGTGAGGTGGGACAGGTGAGGTGTAGGGGACTTGGACAGTTGACCTGCACACTAGGTAATAGTAAATTATTGTAGTGGAGCCTAATCGAAATGAGGGTACATACAAGCACCATATTATAGGGGGTGGCGCGCCTAAGAAACTAGCCTCTATGTTAAACAATGTAGACAGTGTAGACGCCCCCCGTCATATCCCTCTCCTCCACCACTCGTGCCTTCTTGGGCGTGGCATACACGAAAGAGAGGTGAAAATCGATCACCATGATCCCTTCGTTTCGTCATTCCAGGTGAGGTTGGCATTCCTAATGTCGTCATGCTGGACACCGTAGCGATGAAGCGCCTTGACCGCCGCGTCCACCTCAGCCTCCACGTCCACACCAGCCGGCGGCGGGCGGTGGCAGAGCGTCGTGCCGGCCCAGGAGAGGAGCATCATGTGGGTCACGGCGGCGGCGCTGCGGAGCGGGTAGTGGTAGACGAGTTCGATGTTACCCAGGTAGACGGGGATCCGGATCCCCTGGAGGTCCAGGCAGTGCGAGTAAATCCACGCCTCGTCCGTAAGGGTACTGGCATCAGCTCTCTGGACGCCCTTGGCGACAAAGGAATATCCGTACGTCGGGTCGGTTAATTTAAACAAGACACCCGTTGCGCCAAACATGCCGTATTTGTCCAGGCACTCGCAACCGTCGTCGAGATTGCGGGAGAGCCGGCCCCGAACACGCAGGCATAGCTCGGATGCCGAGATGGGGTGGTGCGATAGGTAGCCCTGTTTGCTGCCATGTACAGGTGTGTTTGGGCAGTTGGGATCAAGAGGGCCCTTACGACGGAGCCCGAGCAGACAAGCTTGCGTACAGTATTGCTCAGTATCGGGCCCACCGCGCTGGTGGGAAGATGACTTGCCGCCGCCGCCATTATTGTGGGAAGAAGGCAGCGCTGTGGGTCTTGGTTTCTCTCTCTTTCGCTTCGCCATAGCTGCTGTTGGACGATTGTCGTTGGTATCCTCATCATCATTATCATATTCGTCCCATTTTCCCTTTGTAATGCTGCGACAAGAAGCGGGGGTGTCGTTGGGTAGAGGAGGAGGAAGGAAGGGGGCAGCGTCTCCCGTAATGGCGACACCAGCGCCTGGCTGGTTATCCTTTCTCTCCTTGGGCGACGGCCACCGTGGGAGGGCCTGCTCCGTGTTGAGGATCCACTGAGCAGGGGGGTATCGGCTTTGAGGGCGAGCAGGCTGAGCGTGGCTAGCTGTACAGCGTGTGATTGGCTGAGTGACGGCATGTCGGTAGGAGACTTATCGCAAAGGTGGATAAGTAAGACGTCGGGGGTGTTAAACGGGATAGTGAGAAAGACCACCGACGCAGCGTATCCATACTCTAGACCAGTGACAATCATAGAATAGTAGGCTTGGCACAGAACCTTGGCCACCTTGGTACTCTCGGTACTAAGCCGACTGGCTTCTGGTTCGGCTTCGACCTGCCAAGCGCAATCTTCAAATAACGTCTTGGGAAGAGGGTCGCTACCGAGGACCTGGTGGTAGCTCGCCCCTGGGAGCTTGTGAGCGGCCTTGTACTCACCCACCAGAGCTGTTGTTTCGATGTTGGTTTCTTGGGCGATGCGGACTCCCCATCGGTCGGGAGCTAGGCTAGTTGGGCGGTCCGGAGATCTCTTCTTGTTGGGTGGTGGCAGGCTCTTCCCGTCGCCCTGAACTGGTTTGGGATGAAGGCCGTATGCGTTGTTGCGGAACTGAAGCTTGGTAAGAGGATGTGATACGTTGTGTTGGAATCTTGACTTAGACGTGGTTGCCTGGTATTCCTTGAATTTAATGAAGATGTCTAGAAGACGTCTAGAAGATGTCTAGAAGATGTCTAGAAGATGTCTAAAAGATGTCTGGAAGATGTGTTTTGCGAGATACAATACAGACATGGACCCGCTTTTTGGCATTTGTTTTCTCATCTCTAGAATAGAGCCCTAGTTAGGTAGTACCCCCTTCCCCGGCGCCTCCCCGTCGGAATCTTGCGATGCACAATGCAGAACAACAAAAATCGCGAGGCCCCGTGCCCTCCTTTACAGACGCCTCCCTCCTAACTGATATCTGCTCCCCTTCCTCAAGGGCGATCATGTCCCCCACATGACACTCGAATGAGGATTCTGCTGTGGGAGAAGACTTGAGGGAGCCCCTCGAAAGGGGTTCTTCCGAAACCGTGATCCCAGCTGTGGCTCCCTGGGCGTCTTCAATAGCTCCTCCATCATCCCTCCGTCGAGGCCTTCGGAAAAATATGAGTAGCACAACCCTGTCCGGCTCGCACTTCATGCCACCACCCTGAAGCCAGAGTATGTTGCAACTCAACATGTTCCGTTCAATGGCGAATCCCGTCTCACTGGCCCAATTAAATAACGTTTTCGCCTTCCTCCCGTTAGCCGTTGGGGGGTGGGGGGTGGGAGGTGGGAGGTGTCATTGTCTCGTTTTGGCTTAACAAACCATATTATTATTGTGAACTTCAGTGTTCAGCGGTTGAGCCGAGCGGGCGAGGGCTAGATGCGGCAGCTGGAACAAGTTCGTCCTCCCTTTCGCGCATACCATATCCTCGACATGGCAGACGACCTCCTCGGCCCCGTTTTCGAATTTCCCTCGTAACCCGTGAAGCTAGATTCCGGTAGTTGGCTATTGCCTGCTCGTCTTGTGTGTCGGCGGCCAAGATGTTCGCCATGTCTGTGGCTCGGATGACAGGCATGTTGACCTGACGAGTTTTAAGAATGAATCTAAAGAGGCTGTAAGAAGTACGGTCACAGCGAGAATTCCGCGTCACTTAGATTTATATATGCATGCAGAATTCCATAGCTGGATGGTAGGGGCTGCGATAATGGTGTGCAGTCGCCGCCTAGTGGAAAATGCTTTGTTGGACAGCTTGTCATACGAGGTAGAGGGGGTCAGGAACTAGGGGTTCTTGGGATCAAAAAACGGGACCCTCTTTCCCTCCTGTTAGTGTGTCCCTCATTGGTTTGTCTATGTGGGACCCCGAATTCTCCAATGGGTATGGTCGTATGTGAAGGCTTTGGTGTTGATCATGGAACATGTACTCCCCAGAGGCACCCACTAGGCAGAGTAATTGGTTATAGCACCACAGACACCTTGCTAACACCCCAGATCTTAAGAATTTAGAGAGAATGATAATTAACTACAAGTATCAAGTAGCAAGTAGCAAGTAGCAAGTAGAAAGTTATAAGATCAAGTTTGGCTGCTACTGTATTGTTTGTTGACGACTACTACACATCTCCGCTATTCGTCCCTGCAGCACCAACAACAAATGCCCTTTATTGCCACGAGCAGTGTTCTTGGCAGCGCTGCCATCACCATATACACACCTATTAAAAGGAATAAACACCTGTACCATCCATTCCCACCGTGCCAGAGAGAGCCCCCCACCAAGCCATCCCAAAACAAAAGGATAAAATATACCGACAGCACCATGAGTTATGATACAGGATGGCTGTCGCCGGGGTAAATAATAAATGGGCACCCATGTAAGCCCGCCGGTCTGCTAAAACTCACTCTTTTTCTCTCTCTTTCCCCACAGTTCAGCCTCTCGAGGCAGGTCAAATCCCAAAATGTACAAGGAGCAAGGAGCAAGGAGCAAGGAGCCAAGGCGCAAAGCCCAGATGATGTCCGACTCTGCGCGCCTGTCGATATGTCTGTCTGTTGATGTTGTTGTCGCATGATAAAAAGTACTATTATGACAAAGAAGGGGGCAGGATCCCCGGTCGATAATCGATAATCCACAATATTAAAGGGCGATCGCCGGTGTTGCCGTTGCTGCGGTAGCCGTGCTCGGTCCCGCGGCTAGAGGCATTAGGGCGTACACGCCAGTGCTGGAGGCTGGAGCTCCGGCCTTGGAGGATAGCTGGGCAAGCTTCTCGCGCTCGGCCTTCTCGCGGTCGCGCTGCTCTTTTTCGAGCTTGGTGATGCGGGGTTTCCGCGTGACGCCGCCGCGCGATCCCGGGCCGCCGCCACGACCACGGCTGGTGCCTTCACCTCCGCCTCGGGCGGTACCGCCTCTGCCGCCGCGACTGCCACGGCCGCCGCCGCCACGCCCGCGTTTCGGCGGCCCCGTGGGCACGACCGGCTTCTCAACCTCGGGTATCAAGGGCCCGCTGTAGACAAAGAAGCCGTCGCGGCTGGCGGCCGCCTGCTCTTCCCATAGCATCTCCGAATCGTCGACAAAATCGTCATCCTTGTCGTATTCGTCCTCTTTGAAGTTGCGTTTCTTCCGCGCCGGCTTTACAGGCGCTCCGTCGGGACCGCTTGTCCCGCCGCCGTTCCCATTCGTAGTCGCATTATTATTACCGACGCCGTTGGCGACGCCGCCCATTTCCACATTGCTGACATCGGCATCTGACTGTATATCCTCGTCCATCTCGTCGCCCGACTCCCGCCCGCTCCCGCTCTTTTCCAGCGCGGCACTGGCTGCCGCAATGCGCGCTTTGCGCTCACGATTGGCGGCGAGACGGGGATGGAGTGCGTCCCAGCCATAACGCTCTTCGGCCATGCGCAAGAAGTTGACGTACTTGTTCGTCTCCCCGTTCAACGGAATGTGGAGCATTATGCTCGGCGCATCCGTCTCATCGCCGGGGCTCACCTTACCAAAGTCGAGGATCGATCGCTCGGACCCGGCAGGGATGGTTGGTAATGCATCCTTCAGGCTGTTCACTTTGGGAGACGACGAGCTACTACTCGCCTTCTTGTGAGTTTCACGTTCCTGCTGGACAACTGCTGTGACCTTTTTGCTCTGAATAGGAGCCGGAGCCGCAGCTGTGAGAGCGGCGGCCGCCGAAGCTGGTATAGTTGTCATACTGGTAAACGAGGACGTGGTTTTTCGCACCTGTTCGGGCTTGCTAGCAGGGGCCGGGGCCGGGGGAGGCGGCGGCGGACGCTTGACCTCGACAATGGTGGGTTTGGGTTGTGGCGCAAGCCGCACGGGGTGTGACGGAGATGGCGGCAGCGACGTGGACTCCTGAAACCGCGGCTGGGCTGCCGCGTTGTTGTACGATGTATTAGACGCTATGGGAGACATGATGTTGGCAGGCGAGGGGTCGACTAAGCTAGCAATCGACGGCGACGCGCTCGCGCGGTTCACCTGGCTTGGGGCGCGGGGCGAGCCAAGAGGCCCTGTGCCGTAGGGGTCTCGGGACACCATGGTCTCCCTTATGGGATCATAGTTGCCTCGGATGGGATCGAACATCCGGGCAGGGGCAGCTTGCGCCTTGGCGTTCGGAGGGGGGTCGTCGTTTAGAATGCTCTGCATCGACACCGGGAGGGACTCGCGTTTCGGTGGTGTCGGTGCAAAGGAAGACTCGGCCGGGGCAGGTCGCGGTTCGATAGGGATAGCAGGCCGTATGGGAGTCAGCTCGGTGATCTTGGTTTGGCGGCTGGCGGCAGAGCCCGAGAAGGACCTCTGCTCCATTACTGGAGGAGGGTCCATGCCATCGGTGGCGGCCACCTTCCTCTTGCGCTGGATCGGAGGGAGGTTCGGGTCTCTCGGCTTCCGCGGACGACGCTGCTTGGGCTGGTCGGCGTTGGTCGAGCTCCCGTCGGCGGGGGGCACTTTGGGCTTAAGGGTGCTGCCAGGCTTGCGGCCAGGCTTCTTGCGGGGCAGGCCAGCCGCGGTCAGTGGGACGTCGGGAGGAGGCGCGACCTGCTGCTGCTGGCGCTGCACCTGCATGATGCCAGCGCGGGGGGCGGCTCCCGGGTCGACAATTATCTCGTCCATCTCTATGTTGGCCCTACCGGCATGCAGAAAGCGGGTGGGCGAGCCGGGCTCAGACAGGGCAGACGGGGGCGACGACAGTGAGGGAGACGAGCTGTAGTGTTGCATATCGACGTCCCGCGCTCCATTCGCTGCCATTCGTCGCTGGGCGAGCAAGACGCCTCAGGAGAGACCCCGCCTACAATGACTCCTGGTTCAATCGCGTTTCACTCTAGCTGTGTGCGCCGTGTCTATCGTGTTGCTATTGTTGCAATTGGTGTTTGTTTACCGGTCGGACTAGCTTCCGTCGTGATTGTTATCGGCAGTGTGTCGTCGATAGTGTGGTATTGTCGTTGATTGCGTTGTCGTCGTGTCGTCGTCGTGTCGTCGTCGTTGACGACGTAGTGGGAGTCACTCGCTCGTGCGTAGTGATGCGGATGCGGATCCGGCGGCGGCGGCGGCGGCGGCGGCGTTTGAGGAAGGTGGTGGGACAGTGAAGGCAGCAAAATGCCTTCAGGTCTTGACACAATGTACCATAAAATATCCCGACATGGGCGGTGACAAGCCACCAGATTGCACGTATCTGTTTGTGCCCCGACCCGAAAAAAGGGAAACCCGCTAATTCAACCAAGAATCGCGAATATCGTCAACGAGAGTGAAAGAAAGCTCTTTGGGCCGCTGGAATTGGGTTAATGATTGGCTCCCTGGATTCAGCTGCTACTGCGTGGCTCAGGACGCTGTGGTTGGCTAGTCGGCTCAAATATGTCCGAGCGCTAACGCAACTTGGTTGACCTGGGAGGTTGAGTCGCGGAAGTGGAGCTGCAGTGCAGGCGTGGGAATGCCTTCAGTCGGCTGGTCGGCTGCAAGCTTCGACAGCAGGCAGAGACAAAGTCGATAAAATATCGCCGATCGGCTCCGTAATGCACTAATCAGTGCCAAAAATACAATCCCGCTGGCGACGGCGAGCCAAAATATACAATTTTGGCGATGCACGAGGCACAAAAAGGCGTCGATTGCGATGGATTTCAAGGCCGACAGAAAAATTGGTCGACGTTGGGTGTGGTAGAAAGAGAGAGAGAGGGAGGAGAGGAAAATTTTGGAGATGCAAAGGGGGCGACGAGGGGACGGGGATGGGCTTCGTTTTTTTTAGGGAACGTTTATTATTTCGCAGCAGCTGGGCTGGCCAAAGAAAACCGGGGCCTTGACCACGTCTGGACAGAGCCACGGATGCGGATGGAAATTTTATTCTGGAAACGAATTAAAACACCAGGGCTACCGAGCCGGCAACCTCAACTAGGCTTGGAGACGGGAACCACTCTAGGGGGGGGCCAAGGGACGGCGGATCAAGGGGCACGAGGGTGAGGGCAAGGGCGAGGGCGAGGGCGGCGGGCGACCTCAGCGTTTGGATCGAATGGATGGGGGAAGGGGATGGGGAACCGAACCTCACACGACGACGCGGAACGAACAAACTGGGAATGATGGGGGATGGGTCATTGGGGATGGGGTCATTGGGGATGGGGGCATGGCTCGCAAAGAATGGAGCCCAGGCGGCGACTGAGCAATCTGCAGATACCTCAGGCCCGTCGGCCATCGAATTGGGGATGGACGCTGGCTGGCGGGCTGTGGTATCGCAACCCCATCACTAAACACCACAGGGACTCGCAGCGTTGGCCCAAACGGCTACGGAGATGGGAGCAGAACACAGATGCCTCCACATGACTGGGCCGGGACGGACTGGTGCCCGCAGGTCCTGGACAGGAGGTGCCCTGGACTCGGGGGGTACGAGGTGCGCAGGAAAAGGGAGCTATGAGAATGGGCTCCTTCACAGCGCGCTACCTCGTGGCCAACGAATCGTAATCCTATCAGCCCATCAGCAAGGTGTCTGCACTCTGCAGAGCGTTGTATATCGCCCAGGCCGAGGGTCAAACAAGGCTGCGCGCGCAAACTCTGGATGGTGCAGGCGTGCAAGTGGTTCTTGGCAGCCTCTGCTGAAAATGGCCTTTTCGTCAAGGTGTGACAGGGTCTAGGGTTCCCTTTTTTATCTAGTAAGGGAAGCCGCAACGGGGCGAATGGGTGGGGCCGAGCTTTAAAGGAAAAGTGAACCGAGTGCACGGAAAGATGTGCATGGAGGCTAAAATGCGCACAGTACGAGGTAACTTGAACATTGGGCGGGTCAAAGAGGGGCAGGAAGGGCGGGAGAAGCAAGAGCTTGGGCAGTGGAGGGTGGTCTTTGGCGAATCAGCAGCGAGCAGACCCATGTTTTGACCAAAGGTACTGCCGGGTACGTCCATCCTACGGTGAACCTTGTACCCCACCCCCGTTTCGCATTGAAGCGGGCGCTGCGTGACATTGAAGCCGCGGGAGTGGGCCGAAATAAACGCGCTTGGAAGCGGCAGCCAGAAAAGCTGCGCAGGGGTATGGCATTTTGCACTTTGGCTTGATTGCAGTAAGCGATAGTCCAGCGATATGGAAAAAAGAACTCGGATTTTCTGGATGCACAGTGCAACGACTAATCCAAGAAGTCATATTGTATAGACATAAGAGGTGGAAGTGTAAATGTCAGATTTAGTGAGCAGAAAGGCACTCTTTATCTCGTTTCGAATTGTGTTTTTACATGCATGGAAAATTGGAGATTGCGGAAGCGCCGTGATAATTCACACATCCTATGTTTTGCCATAGGCGGGGACTTTCGACGGAAGGAATTCAACCGCCCGCCCAAATGCGTATTTATTTATTTATCCTTCGCATAAAAACGATATGATAGGACTGAGCAATAATACCAGCAAAAGACCAGTAAAATACCATGCCAGTAATACTACACAGTTCGAAACCGGCGATGATGGTGTTGGCCCAGCACGTCAAAACAGCACGGACCAGGTTTCAAAATGGAATCTTGCCTTGGATCGGCGCTAGCGCATCATGTGGCGCGTTTGCGTTATCCGTCGACTCTCGGCTCCCCGCCTCAGCCTCAACCTGTCTGCCGGGTGGGGCTGAAAGAGATTCTCCAAGAATAGAGTTGTGGCGCAAGCAGGGGAGATGAAAGGGGTGGGTAGATTAGCAAACGTAAGCTTTAAACTTTGATGCCGGGCGTGACAAGTGACCCCGCGCCGCCGCATCTCCCTTTCGCCCTGGGCCTTTGACCTTTAATTTTTTTAATCCTTAGCCCATCAGAAGGATATTTCGTGTTTTATTGGGCACGCACGCGCAAGATGGACGTTTCTCTAGAGATTCACGACGTCAAGGAGCGGGCGGTTGGCGAGATAAAACCGCCCAGCTTCCCCACGCCGCCCGCACCGTCCTCGTCGACGGCCAGCGGCTTCCCAGCTCCCAGAAAGCGCGCTTCTGCCTTTAAACAACAGCGCCAAGCCAACTCGCCCGCAAATGGCACACCAAATGCCGCGTCAAATGTCTCGCCAGCAGCGCCTTCGCATAGCCAGCCGGCGAGAACTTCGCGTCCTGCCGAGGACCCAGAGGCTGCCGAGAGGAGGAGGATATCCGAAGAGAATAGAGCGAGGCTCGAATCCATGTCGCCCGAGGAGATAGCCGAAGCGCAGAGGGAGCTCTATTCCGGGCTCGATCCTCGCCTCCTCGAGATACTCCTTCGGCGCGCAAATATTGACGAAAAGCAAAACAACGACCCCTCCCCGTTCGACTTCCCCTCAGCTGCCGAAGACGCGACAATCACACAAACTCCGGCGTCCCCTACCGATCCGCCCGAAATCAGAGTCCAGGCCGCCTCGGAGGCGGCGAGAAGCGATGCAGGCGACAAGGGCGAAACAGCGGCCGTAGCCCCGAACAGGCAGCCGGACAAGGCCGTTGCTGCAAAAAAGAAAAAGAAGACAGTTACCTTTGATGAAGACACAGCGGCGCCGGCAGCACCCCCTCCCGGCTCCTTTCCCGCCGTGTCTGGCCCTCCACGTAAGACGAAAGTCATGTCCGCCCGAATGGCACCCTATGTCGAGGATGAGGACGAAGAGGCAGACCAAGTCGACGCCGACATAGACAAGAACGAAGCAGTCGCTCCGACAAATACAACCCACTTTCCGCAAGCGCCCAAGCTGCCCGACCTCGACCCTTCGGACCCGGACTTCCTCGAAACGCTACACCGGAAATTCTTCCCCAACCTGTCGGCGGACCCGTCCAAGCTGGCATGGATGGCGCCGCTGCCGACGCCCAATTCGACAGCCGACCGCGAGTCGCCCTACTACCCGGGGCAGGAGTCGCTGCCAGTGTCGGTACTACGTTTCGACTTCCGTGGGCGCCTAATTCCGCCGCGCCACAGCCGCGACATCCCCGTCACCAAGGGGCTGCACCATCACGGCGAGGCCCCCGAGGCCGCCGGCTACACCATCCTCGAGCTGGCGCGGCTCGCCCGCTCCGCCGTGCCCGCCCAGCGCTGCCTCGCCTTCCAGACTCTCGGCCGCATGCTTTTCCGCCTCGGTACCGGCGAGTGGGGTATCGGCGCAGGCGGCCGCGACGGCGACGAGGACGACCTCGCGTTTGCGATTTGGCGCGTCTTCAAGGAGGGCAGGGTCCTCGAGAGCCTCGGCGAGGCTGCCGCCATCGAGGGCGGCCACATGAGCAGCAAGGCTTATGCCACCGAGGCGCTGTGGCTGTTTGAGAAGGGCGGCTGGAAGGAGAAGTGGAGGGGGCTGTAAAGTAATGCGATCTCGCCGGATTTTTAATGTGGGGGAAAAGGCTGATGAAAAGCTAGCGGCGAAGATGGCCACGGCGTAGGTGCCGCCTGACGTATATTAGCGTCGCATTGCTATGAGGCATCACGACGTTTGGAATATGTATATACATTGTTGACGGAGTACGGATACACGGTACTGAGTAAGGTAACCAAAGCAACTCTCTTCTTGAGATCGACTACCTCTATATTTATCATGCGCCGAGGAAAGCAAAAGACAAACGCCAACATCTATTTTAAATCCCAGCGGGCCCCCTCCCTCACGCATGGGTGTCCCCTTTGATCGGCGCCCAGAGACCAGACGACACCAACGCGCCATCCGCATAAACACCGCCAACCGCCGCATACTCCCTCACTTTATTCTTCTCTCGCTCCTTGTCCGCATTCGTCAGCCCCGCCAGCCCATCAATCTTATCGTAATACTTGGCCCTGCAGTCGTGCAGCCACAGCCCCATCTTGCGCTGTGTGTCGACTTGGGGCCGCACCATGAACTGATCATACGCCGCCAGCCAGCCCGGCGCCGTCCCCTGCGGGACAAACGGGGCCAGGTCCCGCAGGCGCGGGCGCGGGCGCAGGGCGCCGCCGAACAGCGCGTCGGCGTCGACATTCGTCAGGATGCCGCGCGCGCGCCAGTGCAGGGCGGCGAACGCGGCGAACACCTCGGGCTTGTTGAGGTACTAGAACGCCAGCGCGGCGTCGACCATCATCTGCTGCATCTCGGCGGCGGACTTGCGGTCAGCGCTGCAGCTAGCCAGCTTGTTGTCGACTGTGTGCTGGAACTAGAGGGGCGAGACTCACTGTCATATACGCTGCCTGCCTTCTTGGCCGCCGGGCCGGCGAGTCTGGGATTGTTGCAGTTGTTGTTCCCGACAGGAGTGTCGTCCCTGTCGTAGAACTTTTGGACTGCCCCGATCTTTTCCGCATCCCCGGAGCTCGGGCAGTCTGGAAGGATGTACGGAAGATCGCAGCCTCCGACCCCGGCAACCTTTTCCGTCCTCCGTGCCGAGATGGCCGGGACTGGCCGGGCCTTGGTCGGGCGGCCGCAGAACGGGACACCACAATTCTGCTTGCACCAATCTGAGGATCCTACGCGGATGTTGACGACGCAGCACTTGTTGTAGCAGGTTTTTCCATTGGCGACAGGCATCAGATAGTTTGTGATGAACTTGCCCTTCTGACCGTAGTATGAGGTCGGGTCGTTGAGCGGACGCAGTCCTGCTCCGTAATACTGGAATACGTGATCGCCATTCCACCAGGGCAAGCCGTTCCACCAGCCCACCTTGGCCTGGGTTTCGACGCACTCGTCGATGATATTTGCGGTGCGATCCCAACACTCTTGCAAGTCGGCTTGAAAATCCGTGTGATTATTAGGCATAGCGTCGCTGATGACGTGGATGTAGCCGTTGACGGTGACCTTGTCTTACCCTAGCGAGTATATATAATGTTAGCTAGTAAATATCATAATCCTTCAGCCGGAGTAGACACGGCTAGGCCGCAAGTCTGGAGTGAGAGCCGCGGCAGTCTGTTTGCTATTTGGCTCGTTGCTTTGGCGTTGCTAGTCCAGTAAGCAACTCGCCGCAAATGCGCCGCTCCCCGGACTCAGGAGAGAGAGTGCCAAGAACTTCATGTTGAAAGAGTGACAGAATTCCATGACAAAAGAGTGGGAGAATTTAGAGCGAGAAAAGAGGAACAAGGAAAAGCAGATGGTGAAGTGGGATAGAGATTGTGGAATACTTGTAGGAGGCTTTATACCAGCTATTCTTTTCAAGTGAGGCTTCTTCACTCGGTATAACCCAATGCTTCGTATTTGCTAGCGAGTAACTTTCCAGGATGTGAAAGGCCTCTCTGCCTTGAGGTTGCCCTGAAGGCCTTCTCAGAGGGGGCAATAGCTGTTTGGAATCCCTAATATAGAATCCCAAAGCCCCGTCTCCCTCTCACACAGTCGTCAATTTTAGCACAATTCCCACTGCACTATCCAAGTACCGCGCCAACAGGCTTTCAGGGGATTGTTGGCGCGTGCAAACTCGGGTGTCTGGCGAGGCTTTCTGTCTGCATCGTGGTTGGGCAGCCTGGTGCGCAGCGCCTACAAGTCTCAGCCCCAGCGCAATCTTGGACAAGGCATTATGCAGGTACGGGACTATACCCATTCCCCCAGGTCGCAAAAAGGGCCATGTTACCGCGTCTACAGACTACACCGAACAAATAAACACAGGCTCTCGTAGACCATTGGAGCCCGCCTCAATGATTCCAGTTTGCAGCTCTCTGATTGAGTGTGTGAGGCAGCGACGGTCTGCTTCCGGACCTGAGCTGGGAGGATTGGTGAGGGGGCGGGTGAGGCCGCAATTAGGGGAAAAGGTGGAAAGGAGGCGAATGTATCCCGTAGGCGTTCGTAAACATACCGTGACACGAGGCACAATGCTCAGAAAGGCCACATCCAGCCAAAACACCGCCACTGAAAAAAGTAGAGGATATCGATTTTCAGCGCTAAACAGAAATAGAACAAAATTCAAAGTATCCATTCCATCATTGACAAGAGGGCAGCCAGGATCAGCCAGCCTATCAGGTCAGTCCCTTTCATATATAAAAACACCCCGATATACACCCACCCGTCCACCCACACCCACCAAGCAACCTGCCTGCCGACCCATCACAGACACACTCATACGGCATTAGTTGCGAGACCTAAAAATCAAGCAAGAAAGAAAAGAGCCCCGAAAAATAGCAACGGTAACCTAGAAAGGCACAACCCCGATCCCCGTTTCTTACTTCACGTCAACCCTGGTCTAGATCATCACCTAATCAGCTGCGTGGAGCCCGCATGCTGCTGCTGCTGCTGCTGCTGTTGTTGTTGTTGTTGCTGTTGTTGTTGTTGTTGTTGTTGTTGTTGTTGTTGTTGTTGTTGTTGTTGTTGTTGCTGCTGCTGCTGCTGCTGCTGCTGCTGCTGGCTGTGATTCTGGTTCCTCCCGCGTACATAGTCCCTGTTCTCGATTGTGACGCTCTTGGTCATGTGGCTGACCTTGTACACGCCGACGAGGCGGGCGGCGAGCTCAAACATGTTGTTGCGCAGCGAGATAACAATGAATTGGGCATTCTTTGTGCGCTCCTTGATATAGTTGGCCACGATCGACACCTGCAGTTTCCTGTTAGCATAATCCCCATGCACAAAACGGCTGTCATGTACGGAAATAAGACCGTCATGTCAAGATCAAGGATGTACTCACGTTCCGGAAATCCAGCGCAGCGTCAATCTCGTCCATGACATAAAGCGGCGTCGGCTTGTAGTGATGCAGCGCAAACACCAGCGCCAGGGAGCTCAGCGTCTTTTCGCCACCGGACAAGTTGCTAATATTCTTCCACGACTTCTTGGGCGGCATGACACTGAAGAGGATGCCCTCGCTGAAGGGGTCAAGCGAGTCGACCAGCTCGAGCTCTGCGTTGCCGCCCATCGTGATCATCTGGTACATCTCCTTGAGCCGGAGCGAGATGGTGCTGAACCCCTCCATAAAACCTTCAAGTCGAAGGCGGCGCAGGTCGTCGCAGCGCTTCTTGGCCGCGTCGCGCTGCTCGACAGCCGATGTCAAGTCGGATGAGCGTGCCGCATGCTCCTCGACGCGACGCCGGTACTCGGCCAGCACGCCGAGATCGACGTTGACGTTTTGCGTCTTCTCCTCGAGCGCCGCAATCTCGCCTTTGAGCGTCTCCTTGCTCATGTCCGCGAGTTCGTCCCTTGTGTAGTGGGGCAGCTCCAGCGGGCTGGATCGGCCAGGACCGTGGATGGTCTGGTTGGCGGAATCCTCCACTTCGGCGTCAGCGTCAGCGTCAGTCTGAACCTGGGTATCGGCATCCTCCATGGTCGTGTCCTCGTCCTCGCTCTTCTTGACCTTGGAGACCCTTGCTGACGTGCTGCCTTTTTCCAAATCGTCGACGTTCTGGAGCACCAACTTGGAAAGCTTGTCATCCCAGTAGCGCAGCCGCTTTTGGTTCTCGCCGAGAACTTTTTGGTTTTCCTCGAGCTTGTTGCGCATCTCAATCTCCACGGCGCGGGTGGTATTAAGCTCGGCCGTCTTCTCGTCTAGCTCCGCCTTCATCTCGGCCAGCTCTTGCCTCTTGGCACCCAGGGCCTCCTGAGCCTCCTCCACCTGCGTCTTCAGGTTTTCGGCCTTGTCACCTTGGTTCTGTATTTCTTCCTCAAGCTTCTCCGAATCCCGGATGGAACCCTCGAGCTCCTTCACGGCTTTTGCGTAGTCTTTTTCAAGCTTGATCTTTTGCTTTTCAGTCTTGACCTTCTTCACCTCGGCCTTTGACATGTCCTCGTTCTGAGACGAGGCCTCCTCTTTGAGCGAGTCCACCTTGGCTCTCTGGGTGCGGAGCTTCTCGCCACCGACCTGCATAATCTTGTCTTGCAGGACCTTAATATCGTCCTCGACGCTGGCGGTCTCGTCGTGAAGTTTCTCGACCTCCCGGTTGAGCTTGGCAATTTCCTTTTCTAGGACAACAACTCGATTGTCGTCGGACTTGGAAGGCTGGTGCTCTTTACCGAGTTCCTTAATTCGGCGCTGGGTATCAGCCAGGTTTCTTGCCGAGCTCTCGACCTCGAGGTTGATTTTCTGCAATTTGGTCTCGAGCTTGGGAATCTGTCCCTGGGCGTCACGGAGGCGGCCCTCCAGTTCTCGCTGGCGCTCCTGGAATTCCTGGAAGTTTTGCTCCAGCATATCCCGATCTGCCTCGAGTTTGGATACTTGCTCCTTGTTTGTATCGGGCACCAGCTTCGAAGACATCAAACCCTTCTTGACGGTGCTGCCACCACCAGACATGGTACCTGATTTGTCGATGAGCTCGCCCGCTTCGGTGACCACCCGCCACCTCTTGGCACCGTAGGCGATGCGGTTCGCCTGGGCGAGATCTTTGGCAACCAGTGTGTCCTGGAGAGCGTGGTAGAAGGCCGGGCGGAATCTATCATCCTTGGCCCTTACCAGATCAAACAGGCGCGGCGCATTCTCGGGCGTGGCGATCGGGGAGATGTCGCGCGTCCTCAACTTGTCGAGACAGATGAAGTTTCCACGGCCCAAATTTGTCTTTCTGAGGTACTCGATACACTGTTGGCCGGCCTCGACCGTGTCGGTAACAAAGTTGTCGAGCGCGCCGCAGGCTGTGGAGATGGCGATGTCGTACTTCTGATCAATCGTACCGAGGTTGCCTAGCCGGCCGTGGAATCCATCGATACGGCCCGACTCTTTCATCCGCATCAAAGCGCTGAGAACATTGCCTTGGTTCTGCGTGGCAGATAGGCTCGAACGGGCCTCGTCGGCTTTCTGCCGGGCGTTGGAGAGCTTCGAACGCAACTTAGGCTCGTCTTGTGCAAGCTTTGAAAGCTCGGCCTCGATCTTCTTGGCCTCCTTTTCGAGGCTCGCCTTTTCAGCCTGGCATTGCTTCGTCTTCTCCGTTTTGGCGGTCTGGCTCTCCTCGATAGCGAAAATCTTGGCTTGCAGCTCCTCCAGAGCAACAGTGCCAGCATTCGCCTTTTCCTTAAGGATAGTCATCTCGCTCTCGGCAACGGCAATTGCAGATTGCTTCTGATTGATCTTCTCGTTCCATGGCTCGAGCGACTTTTGCTTGGCAGCAATCTGGTCGGAAAATTTCTGCGTCTTGCCCTTTAGGCTGTCTCGGATGGTGGCCAGCTCTGCTTCCTCCTCCTTGATTTGTTGTTCAAGCGAGGCAATCTCTTGAGCGCGCCTTTCGACTTCTTCCGTGCACTGCTCAATAGTCTCATCCGCCTCGGCAGCCGAGTTTTCGGAGTTGGCGATGGCCTTCTCCAACTTCTTGCGCTTGTCTGTGAGGAACTTTTTCTTCTCCTCAAACTTGACGCGCTCCTGGTCGAATTTGGTCATCTCCTTGATCAAACTCTGCGTCTCTTTTTCCTGCGCCTCGCACTCTTTGCTGCCCTTGGAGAAGGCTTTCTCGAGGTGCTTGATCAGTTTCTCGCTCCCATTGTGCTTCTCAAGTTCGGCGTCGAGCTGTGTTTGCATCTGGCCAATAGCTTCCTCCGTAACAGCAATGTTGTCGTCGCATTCGCTGATGTACAGCTGATACAGTGCTGACTGCTTCATGGCAAGCTCGTTCTCGTCGCGGACAAATGCAAGAGCCGTGTTTTTCTTGTCCTCGAGGCTGTTCCTCTCCTTCTCGACATGCTGGACGCGACCGCTTTTCTCTTGGCAAATATCATTGAGAGCTTCCACGTCGGCAGCCGACTCCTCGATGGGTGCTTTGTATCTCGAGGTACCGATGATATCTTCGAGATACTCTAGAAGGCCGTCCTCGTGTTCGTTTCCTGCCTTTGGCTTCATCTGGGCAATGGATTCGACTTCGCCCTGCAAGATCAGGAAGCGCTTGTGATCCAGATCGACGCCCCGATCGCGTAGCAAGGTGGTGACAGTTGTGAAGTTGGAGCTCCTACCGTTGATGTAGTACTGGCTAGAACTGTTCTTGAAGGCCTTGCGCGATATGACGAGATTGGAGTCGGGGATAATCTCGTGGCCGGCGCCACCGGGAAGGTCCATGACTTCCTGGAAATGGACAGCTACCTCGCAGTACTCGAGGTCCGGGTACTGGGCCGAGTTGTGGATGAGGGCTGAGATCTTGCCCTGTCTCATCTTGCTGGCGCGGAAACCAAAGACAAAGAGCAGCGAGTCGATGACGTTGGACTTCCCAGAACCGTTGGGGCCAACAACAGAGGAGAAGGAGGCGTGAAAGGGTCCAACCTCCTGCCGACCAGCGTAGCTCTTGAAGTTGGTAAGGATGAGATATGTAATGACGATGCGCGCCTTGGGGCCTGTGTCCTCGATGACTGGAATGGCCATGGTGCGCGACTTGAGCATGATGTCCATGGGCTTCTCAAGGATTGTGTCCATGGCCTTGACAGGCTTGCTGGCTGCCAGAACCGTCTCGTCCGCAGGCCGCAGCTGCAGGTTTATCGTTGTGGCGGTGATATCAGCAAGGGGCGTACTGTGCAGCTCTGACGACTCTGGAGAAGCGGACTGGTGGGGGGTGGGGAGCGGCGGCTGCAGGTCGGGTGTGGCGGCCTTGGACGCGCGCGGCGCAACGCTCTTTCGCTTCCTCGGCGACGACTTCTTTGCCGGCAAGTCGGGCTCGGCCGTCATGGCCGTCTGGTCTGGATCGAATATCTCGCTGGGCTCGAGGCTGACGTCGGGGGGCGGCGCTATGCTGTTCTTCTTGGCACGCGTGCGCGGTTTGGGAGTCGCGGAGGCTTCGGTCATAGTCTTCCTCCTTCCGGCTTGAGTAGAGCGACGCGGGCTGGTGGCCCGGGCGGGCGTAAAGTCGTCTTCGCTGTCGTCGGCGACTTTAATGGTCGCGTCTGCAATTTCGTCATCTGATGAGTCGACGACAGCAGTGCGCCGGGCCGCGGCGCGGCGCGTCGGTCGCGTCGACATGGCGGGCGAACGGCAATTGCGGAGGGAGAAAATAGAAAAAAAGAGAAAGGAATTCGCCAATAAATTAAAGATTGGCAAAACAAAAGGCTGTACCCGTATATGGCGGTTTGAAAAGGTGGGCTAACGGGCGGCGTGTGGTGCGAAATGCAGCCAGCATGGGCAGGAGCGAGTGTGGACTTTGCAAACGGGCAGCACACCGGGCGGGAGATCACCCCGCTGTGATTCTGTGTTGACATTGAGAGTTTGTAAACAAAGCAGCCACAAAACAACGCCACTTCCGTGCACCGCCACGTGCAGTCAAAGTCGCGCGTCACGGTCTCCCGTGACCAAGCGCCTGGTAAGTGAATATTTATGCGCCAATCGGGAATAGATGGAAGCTACTCTGTAGCTCCCGATTTGTCGCGTCCCCTGCACCTCCACAACTAATAACAGTGCCAATTCGAACTTCAGTCCCTAGCTTCACCACGTCGACTGACATGCGCTCCCGAGCGCCGCCCGCCACACAATGATTGACTTTACCATTTTCCAGGCGGCATTCCCCATAGACGGGCCATACCCGTACAATCAAACTGGCGTGCGCTCCATTGAAACCTTTCGCAAGTCATTCGACGGCGTCCTGTTCATCGATCGCGTGCTCAAGGCGCTCGACATTGGCGATGGTAGGCCAACGCCCGACTTGCTATCCAAGCCCCTCCTCCCTCCAGTTCGTCGCTAACAGCTATGTTGTCACAGGGAAAGTATACCCCCCAAAGGGCGAAAATGCTCTGCGCACCCTACATCGCCAGATTTGCGAGAGCAAGGTCTCTTCACACCATAAGCTATCAGTTTTATTCTACTTGCTGCTCGACTTTGACGACGTCCGTGGCGGCCGTTCTCTCCTCGCCGGCGCCCTTGCTGAAGAATCAGGACTGCCCCAGACTTATCAGGTCCTTATGAGAGGGTTGTGGCATATGGATCGCAAGGAGTTCAAGGTGTGTATTGTCCCAGTGTCCATTCACGAAATGGGGAGCTTCGTGCTGACAACATCGCACACCAGTTTGCTCTCGAGCATCTTGCCCATCCTTCGCTACCTCCTTCCGAGTTTGCCGACGACATCATCATCGCCCTGGTTCGCCATGCTGTGGGTCATGACTACAGCCTGCCGTTAGCCTACTACCACACCATTCGGCCTATATTCAAGAAGGCCGAAGCGCTGGATCTCCTCTTCGGCGCACTGGCGCGGACCAATGTCATAGAAGCACTTTATTTCTTGCGCGCGTATCCCGATCACATCCGTCAGCAGTTGTTCGAGAGGCTCGTGTCGTCCGTCCTTGACCACCCCCAAGCCGTCGGCCCCAGGGGCAGGGAGCTTGTAAGTTTGCCGCTCAGTAGCGCCGAGGAGAAATGGCTGCAAGACTATCTCACGGCAGGCGACGGGAAAAAGTCTAAGAACGCAAAACCCGTCACCCAGATGAGACAGATTGTCACGGGCCGGGTTCGTGGGTCCCTCACATTTGGTGAGCCCGGTGGGCAGGTCTACTCTGCCAGGGCACGGTAAGAGAATTTGGTTCATGGTGTCGTTTAGCAGAAAGATCACAGCGACGGCGTTTAGTTGTTATTTAGAGTGCTTGCATACCGGAGACATTCCAGAGTGAGGGTTTCTCCCGCTCATCTTTTGCTTTTCGGGGGCACTGGCCAGCAGTTGCCAAATAAGTTACCGACGGTGGTCTTGTCTAGACCTGGCTTGCTGGACTATTAAGTCGGGATCGGGATAAGCTTCGTCCTTGGTCTGGCCATAACCCAACATGGGCTGTATGTGAAGGTAGAAGTTCGGAATATTACACATGGGGCAGCCTAGCATCCCCCATGGTCGACTTGGCTGTTAGGGGCGTTAGACGGCCCTCTTGTGTTTGGCGGTGACTTGTATGTACAAGGTTCGTATACTCGACAAGTTTTACACCGTCTTTCAGTCGTAAACCATCCCCATAGGGTAGAGCAATTTATGAGGTGAGAACGTGTGAGATAACATAAATAATTTTTGAGTTTATTGCCAAAAACGAAGAAGTGAAATAAAAATCTCAGCAGGTGATATTCTAGGCCTCGTCAATTGTACTACTGACGCGAAAAAACTTAGTATGCTTACTTTAACAATACTAAGGCCTTCACAATGTAGGTTCGTTTACACAACGATCATTCACACGAGACACAAATAACCTACCTCGGTTGTGGTGCAAAATGTAAGTTTATTTTAGATATCCCACAGAATAAATTAGGCAAGTAAGATACCAAACTATATTATTGGACAATTAAGATAACGGCCTATGTGATCTCAGAATAGTTTCCATCAGTGATATTTGCGATAACTTCAAACAAATTGGGTATTTCAAGGTAATATGTCCAATATTCTCATAACTGCTTATCCCAAACACCAACTCGATCAGGCCACCCGAAAACGTTCCATGGCTTTTTCATAGTTACAACCACAAGTTCAGAGATATTTTACCTTGGCTACCTTGATATCCAGGTAGAGCAGGACTTCAAAATGAGAAAGATATATCCCGCTACCCTCTATATACACACCCCTGGAAACCAGACTTGTATAAATTCAGCCAAGTACATGGGGAATTACCCCAGGGTCGTTTACATATATATAGAGTCTAGGTTTCTCATATATCCATCGTCCAAGAAGTGAGAGGGTTAACATGCACCACGATGTCCTTCTTGTACCTTTTCGCCTGCCATATGAGCGCACAAGCCACACCGTCACACACGCGCACACACCCTCACACCCACTAATATGCTCTATTCCCGACAATTCTTCCAACACTGGTTGCCGTGAAGTGCCTACACAACAAGCCTACCACTGCGATTTATCAAATACAATGCCATGATCATTTCTCGCGCTGCTTCCCTCCGCTTCGAATAAACCCAATCCTACCCAACCCAAGTCTATGACAGGCTCGTCAATAAATGCCCAACAGTCGTGGCCACCTACTATACCGTCTCACATTTATTCACATTTTAGAAAACATGCAGACGCAAACGGGAACAGGCAGGCAGGCTCACCCGCATACATCACTGCAAACCTCATTTTACCCCGAGGGAGCCACCTTTTCGTACTCCCCCCTGAGCGCATCGACCTCGCGCTGCAGTGCGGTAAGATCCGCCAAAATATCATTTACAGCCGTCGCATCCTGAACTTCTCGCTGGAGCCCATATTCTTCTCCTCCTTCGAGGCCCGGTTCTTCCGCCAGTGTCTCGCTGAGGATACGCACACTGTCGACGCTTGTCCTCCGGGCGGCCGGCGGCAGTGGAGGCGGCGCCGATACCGTTACATGTGACGAATAGGCTAGCTGTCCATCGACACTGCTGCGGCTGCTGCCACGTGCCCTAGGCGGCGGCGGCGGTGCCATTGTCGACGGCTGCGAAGCAGAACTGCCATCTTTTGCGCGGCCGCCCACCCGCCGAGAGGTCGCATCAAAAGAGGAGACGCTCGACGGTCTTTTGGAGCGGACAGATGCGTTACGCGCGGGTGGTGGAGGTGGGGGGGATAGCTTGCTGATGTGGCTATGGCTAGAAGGAGGTGTCGGTAGGTTGGGAATATCTGAGGAAGAAGCAATGGAAACTACGCTATATACTGGTTGGCCGCCGGCGTTCCCTGCCTCGGTATCCTTGTCCGAAGGCGACGACAGGCTACCGGGCAGCGGCGAGAACTCGGACGTGTCTAAAGGACTCCGATCTTGGGCGCCAGATATGGAGGCCAAAAAACCCGTAGCCGATGGAGAGGCAAAGGAACTTGAGGCGCGAGAGGCGTGCGCTGGCCGCCGGGGCGGTGGTGGCGCCGGTGCATGGACACTAACACGGAGGCTAGAAGAGCGGGACCTGACGGAATCTAGCGAGGACCGCCTCATGGATTGGTCTGTATCGTCTTGTTGAGCTGCTGATATCACTGCCGGAGTACTAGCCGGAGTAGAAATCCTGCTCTCTGGCCGCCCATGGGGTTGCCGTCTTGGTGGCGGCGGAGGCTTCTTAGGCGTTGGTGACGATGCACCAGTAGCGGTCGACGCCCCAAGAGAGGCATTTGGAGGCGTCGGTGGCCGTGGAGGCTGAGAGGCGATTACTTCGGGCTCGACATCCAGTTCGGGAATCTTGCCAGCTGCTTCGCGATCAAATATACTTTCTGCTACGTCGTCGGAGAAAAATATCTCGGGTGCAGGGGGCAGCGGCTTGTTGACATTAGAGGAAGCAGGCTGCTGTAGTCTGGAAGGCGACGCGAGGGGCGAGGTAGCCGATCGGTTCAGCTGGTTTGATAACGAAGACGAGGGCCCAGCAACACCATCTGTGCCCCATGTCTGACTTCGATCCTGGGCCTTGACCTCTGGCTTTATTAGCTTCCCGTGACGAGAGCTCGGAGGCGGAGGCTTTTTTCTTAGTGTTGTCGGAGGTTGCAATTTTGGCCGGGGACCGCCAATCAGGCCGTGCTGGTCATCCTCAATTTCTGGTTCCGATATCTCGTGTGAAGTACGCGGCGTATCCTGGACGGGGGGTGCGGCATCGAAAATCGATTGGCGTGAGACAGAAGAAGTATCGGCCGTGCTTGCCCCATCGCCCGCAAACGTTGTCGACGGCGCCACCTGCAGTATGGGTGCCGGCATCAACCCCGGCGAGGATGCAGCAGCCGGGGATGAACCCGGATTGCCGGCCTGGCCTGTCAACAGCAGGCGTCTAAACGCATCCACGTCCAATGAGCCTTTTATTGCCGGCACTGCGCCCGAGCCGTGCTCCACGTCTCTCTGCCCTAGCTCAAGGTTCTGCAGCGTCTTCTGGAAAGGATTCGGTGGCGGTCCATGTGATTGTGATGATAGTTGGACCCCTTTGGACCACCCGTCGGTAGCGCCGACTGGCGCAACGTAGCCGAAGGGGCCCCGAGACTCATCGTCATCGTCGCTGGAAGTGCTGTCGTCTTGGCTGTCCCTCTCGGCGGGAGGAAGGCCATCGGGCACGCCAGCCGACTCAGGCGATGACGGCGGCGGCGACTGTACCCGGACCTTCTTCACAACCTTTGGTTTCTGAAAGCTCGTTGCCGGCGGGGGCGGGGTTGATTGTTGTCCGAGAGACTGCAGCTGACTTCGGAAAAGGTCACTGGACGGCAGCGAAGGAATTGAGGCGGAAGCCAAAGGTGTCTCGGGGGGGTAACCGTCAACAGCAGGCGAAAGAGTAGGAACTGGGACGGCCGTAACGGAAGCGACGGAAGGGACAATCGCAGCTTTGCGGCGGAAGGGGTTGTTGGAAGCTAAGGACGACGGTTGGGCCATAGCTCGGAACTTTGGACTGGCAGCCCGAGGACGACGACGACAACGACGACGGTAAGACTGAATGGGCGAGCGATTGGATTGACGAGACGGCGAGCACACGGCAATGTGCTTTAGCTAGTAACCCATTCTCGACAGGCGCACGCTTTGTCCCTGCTTCTTCGCATTCGACGCGCTTTTGTTGCCTCGCGCGGGGTCTGTGAGGCGTACGTAAGGCGTGAAGGAGCAGAGCACAGGGGTCCAAGGTACAACCTAAGCCAGGTACGCAAGTGCCCACAATGTAGGGGAAACACGGCTGGTATGCTCCGAGCACGGTCTGCAAGATGACGGGCAGGACGGCCGGCTTACAAGCTAGCCAATCGATAAATGGTTTCGCCCGTCACTAATCACGGTCAAACTCGACAGGAAGATGGCGGCACAGAATATCAATGTCGTCGTTTACTGCGGCGTGCCACGGGCATGGACGGGAACGGTGGATGCCGTTGGGAATTTCGGATCAATCGGCGGGGTTTGGGCAGATACCCGTTCTAGATGCTAGGTCGGGCTAGAACCCCCCCTCCCCCCCACCTCAGCCAATTCAGGACCACCAATCCATCCAACTGGGCAGCAGCTCTTTGTTGCGAGACCCCGAAAATCAACGGGGATGGATCCTATCTCCCCACTTGATCGCGACCGCGGGTACCGAAGCTTCCTACGAACATCCCTAACGGCTGGCAGAATTTATTGACGGGCCTAAGGTTCAAATGGCTTTGGTGGCCACCTAGGTAGGGCTTATCGTTTACCTCGTTGCCCGATACGCACGGGCCAGTTCGAGCTTTGCTGCCTTACCTGCCTTCGAAAGCCTAGGAATAGGGAGGGGGTGGGTTTAGGATGGAATGCTCTGGACAGGGCACTATTAAGGTACCACCTATAGGTCACTTACACGCCTCGCTCTCCAGGAAGGGGTCAGACTGGTTTGTTTTTCACGCAGCGACAAGAGTGAATGGAGATTGAAGCTGCCTGCCTAGCTGCCAAAAATCAATCAGGTATCCTTACCAACAGAGCAGCCTATTTAAGTCACGTTCGCACTGGAAAATTTCTACAGCTTCCAGCGACTCGTGAGAAGTGCGGCATGAGCAGACACCCCCATCAGGAGAACCCGGCGAAACCGGCTCTCGATTCGAATTACGTGTCTGGGAAAAGAACCGGTCATCGTGACACGCAATCAAGGGTGCAAAATGGAGCACATCTGCAGTCGCAATAGCCATCATTACCTATCTAAGCTACGGTAGATATGTCAAACGCTTCAAAGGAACAAGAACGCCAGGTAGGCGGGGAGCAGCCGCCGTGCATGGCCGAAACGGCGGAGGTTGGCAAGCGAATCCGAGGGCCCATCATCGAGCCACACGGGTCAAGATATCGCGACCATAATGTGCATCCCGTAAAAGCTGAAACCAAGGCTCTTGTTTGAAGGTACGAGCACGTGATCCTCTTCTTAAAAAAAGTGAGCACAGAAGGGCGAAAGGGTTGAAGAAAATAGAGAGAGGTGGGAAGAGGAAGAAGAGGGGGGAGACAACGAGGTAGGAAAATTCAGCCAGAGAAAAAAAAAAAGAAATCCGCAAGACAAGAAAAGACGTAAACAAGCCGCAGCCAAAGCGCGCAGCCCTCGCGAACCTGAAAAATCTGCGACACACAAAACGGGCCGAAAAGACACGAAAATGCAAAAACAAAGGATAAAATGGTCAGTCAAATGAAGAAATAATCATAATTCGAACCCGTCATCCATTGGTATAATTACAAATCCCTGTCCCCGGGGTCCCCCCCAATTCTAGGCCGCCTGAATCGACTCGCAGTCGCGCGAAAAAATGCCAACGCCCACCAAGTCCCACCCGCCAGCTCAGCCTCTGGGAAGAATCCGAGGTATCTCAAGTAAACACAAAATGTGAGACGTGAGCAAGTTGCTTCATAGAACGGCCGCAGAGACAGGCGTGCCTGCCAAGTCATATTCCCGCGCACATTCATCACAAAAGATGCCCCCCAACCAAAACCCAAAAGCTAGACAAAGCCTGAAGTGAGAGCGCGCGTGCCCTATGCACCCAGTTCCCCAATGTTCCCAGATACCGTAACGCCATTCGAAGAAGCCATCACATCACATTAGAAGAGAGAAAAAAGACACCAAGAGATGGTCAGCAGAAGGTCGAGCCTCATGCCGCAGCAGCAGGCGCTTCAGCCTTCTCTGCCGCCTTCTTTGGTGTCTTCTCCTTTTTGGGAGCAGCCGCCTTCTTTGGCGCAGCCTTCTTCGCAGGCGCCGCCGGCTTAGCTGTAGACTTTGCGACACGGCCAGACTTGGTCTTGGTCAGGACTGTGGGTTTCTCAACAACAGCAGGAGCCTAGTAAACGTTAGATTGCGTTGCGGCCTTGGGCGGGGTGAGCCACAAACCTTCTTGGGAGCGGCCACTTTCTTCTCCTTCTTGGCAGCAGGGACAGCCTTCTTCTCCTTGGGCTCCTTCTTCGGCGCGGCCTCCTTCTTGGGAGCAGCGGCCTTCTTGGGCGCGGCAGCCTTCTTTTCCTTGGGTTCCTTCTTCTCCTTGGATTCCTTCTTGGGAGCCGCTGCCTTCTTTGGCGCGGCGGGCTTGGCAGCCTTCTTGGCGAGCTTGGTGCCGCCGGAAGCACCTGTTACAGGTTAGCATGCGTGAAAAGCGAGGATAGGTCGCGCAATGCGTGACGTGTCATACCCTTTGGTTGCTCGAAGAGGCCCTTGTCGACACCAGTCTTCAGGGCCTTGTTGAAGAGCGAATCGAACATCTTGTCCGTGACGGTGATGGTGTTGTTGGCGCGGACATACTTCTTCAGAGATTGCCGACTAAAAATATGCGGGTTAGCAGGTGAAATCGTAAGAAACAGTCATCACAGTGTGAAACACCATGAGATGATGAGTGGGGAGCGAAGCATCATGGGAGATACAGTGCTACCCATGGAGGGAGGCGGAATTGCAGTGTCTTACCTAGAGCCGTTACGGTCCTTAAGCTAGTACGCGGGATGAAGAGTTAGTACATTGATTGACATGGACGGAAGGAGGCGGATACAGAGCGGTAGCGAGACACGTTCGCAGACTCAATCACACATGTCTTGCACCGCTGTCTGCGTTTACCGACCGCGTGGGTCTTGAGGCGCAATACGCCGGAAGAAAAGGGACGGGAATAAATACCGCAACAATGGCGTCGGTGATCATGTCCTAATAAATGTTAAACACTGACGGATGATGCAAAAACAAAAACAAAAAAAGAAATCCGGGCGGTTCTGTGTGCATACCTGATACGAGCCATGGGTGCTCGCGGACTTGGCCTTGGGAGCAGTAGCAGCGCCCTCGGTCTTGGTCTCGGTCTTCTTGGGAGGCATCTTGATTGTTTGTTGTTTGGTTATGGGGTGAAGGCTTGATATTGAGTAGAGTTTTTGAGATGAAGTGGATGGGCTTGGGCGGGTAGCTGAATACTATGAATCGTGTTTAATCCGTGGTGAGAGGGAACCGGGAGCAAGAGGGTGGGTGGCCATTCGCGCTCGAAGAGGAGAGCCCGGGTGTTTATATATGGGAGGCGGGGGTGTGGTCCTGCTCCTGGAGTGATTGTGCTGATTTGCGCCCGCGCCTGGCCTTGGCTGCCCGCCCCGGAGCTCCCAGACCTGGGACGAGCTCAGAGCTGGGCTGCAGCACAGCTTTCCGGGGGCTAAGCTCGCGGGCGGGCGGGTGGGCTGGTGGTGGCATGGCCCGTGCTCCCCACTAAAACAGCGCTGAAGTCTGAAAAGCAACCGGGGCTTGCTGTCGTCCACCGCAGGCTCGGGACCTCATTGGAGTGAGTTGGCATCATCCATTCCATAAAAGCATGGCATCAACGCCGCATCACGGAAACCCGCGCGCCATGGACGAGACAACAAGAGGTGTGGCAGCTCAACCTTAGCCCGGCTTTCGGTCTGCCCAACGTTTTGCGTGGCTAACAATGTGCCTCTTCGCCATTTCATTCGTTCACCGACCAGACTGCGAACATCTTGTCCCGTGTGTTTTTCCTCTTGTTTCACGTAGGCAGCTGCCCGACCCGACTCACTCGCCTCTTCCCTTCCCTCATCCCCCTTTCTCCCCACCTCACACGCGCACATTTACCCTCAGTGCTCACGCCTAGCCACCTTCTCACACGCCACGCCGTAACCCGTTGCACCATCCCATCCAATCCCATGTGCCACATAATAAAAATAAAGTCGCGGTGCCTAGGTATAGGTAACTAATTAGCTAGCTAACGGTTATTGCTCGAACGAACCTTATCTCTATAATGAACGGTTTAGGTAAATGCACCAACAGCCTCATCTAATTCGCACTTTAATTGTCCATTTGATTGACTGACGGATTGTGGCTATGACGGCCGTGACGACGATGTTGCTCGCAGCGAGTGAGTGTTCGGGAGGGCGGCGCGCAGTCGTGCCGCGTTGGCTTCGATCACTTGCCGCCCCGATTTCTGCGCTTTCCCCCTTTGGGTGGTTCGTTAAATCGGAAACGACAAAAAAGTCACAACACAACCTTTTTCTAATTGGCCAGTTCAACAACAAGTCATCCACTTTGTACCTGTTGTTCAATCATGCGCACCCCGCCATCGCAGGTGCACGCTGCCCTCGCCCTCTGATCTCGAGCTCTCCCCGTCCCCCATCTGCTCCATGGCCCAACCTACCTCTGCTTCTCTCGTTTCTTGTCGTTTGCGGCCCTCCCACAAAAATCCCGTCGACGGGTGCGTGACCTTTTCTATCCCGATTTTTGCCCAATTTTCTCGTGTCAAGACGGAGCTAAACTTGCTCGGATATTCTGCCGTGGTCGTAACCGTGAGACGCCTTGTCGATGTGGATTTCATGCACGTCGGTTTGCTCATCTCGTCGCGCTCGATTGAAAAGGAGGCCTCGAGGCGCATCTCAGATTTCACGCCCACAACCCCTGCTTCACATGATCAAAGGGCATTATTCGTGATCGGCGCAATTCTAGCCTTCTTTTCGTCTACTTTATTTCGGGATTGGGGCTCTTTTCAGGGTTCTTTTCTGCCCATACGTCCAAAGTCACGTCTGATGTTGTTTTGAATCGTCGCGAAATGTTTTCGTGAAGCTATCCACATCTTAGCCACATTCCCTCTTTTCTCGCACCATCGCACAACGTCAGTCATTTTAGAGTTACTAATGCCGATGAACCATGAAATTGGACCATCAGATACGTTTAATCGTTTTTTGCATGTCTGTTTTCTCGCGAGAGAATGCTGTCCAGTCAGGCCTAGCTGCGTCGCCAAAGTTGATGTCGTGGTCGAACTCCGTCTCCCCGCCCAACCACGACCCGTATCCATGGTCCGCCAGCGAATACTATAAGCATCGGACTATGAAGTGTGAATGATATGCGCACATTTGCACATTAGCGGGACTTCTGTGCTTTCTTTATTGTCCCTTGTTTCTTCACGATACTGTTGCTGCTGATGGTTGTTAACAAGCATCTACCAATTCCCTTTGGTTGGATCTTGGGGCCCTGTCATTTCTCCGCCCGCACTTGCTAATCGTCACTCTGGGCACCAATCATCCCACCAAACACAAAATCCTAGCTGCATTTTTTTGTCAATTCATCATCGAGCCATTTTCTCAGCTTTCTACTTGTTCTTCAGCGTCCATGAATGCCGTGGATGGCGACGCATCTATCGAGCATTGTCCCCCCCACCTAGGTTGTTTCGCGACCGTCCACTGCGCCCCATTTATACGGCCTATTTCACGACCGTGAATTTGCAACATGGTTGGGCCATCTCACCAGCCCAACGTATGTTTGACCCTGGCTACCAAAATAGAACATCGGTGGTTTAACTCGATGATAGTTTGGTTGGATTCGGGGCCACGTGTAATGCAATATTCCGGATAGGGGGTAGTAGAAACACGCTGACAGCCGCAAAAGTTTTGTCATTGATGATTTGACATTTTGCTCAAATAAGTCTTAGCTGCCCAGACGGGTCTTGTCCCATTCCTCGCTGGTTCGGGAGAATCCTGCAATCCCGCCCTTTTTGCCAGCTCCACTCAGACCACAGGTCCGAAGTCTCGTCCCTCCCGACCTTTGGCCTACTAAACCCCGTCCTCTCTTTGCTCTGTGTCAGGATAGCGGGGTATTTTACTTCAGGACCGGCCTTTCCTCCAGCCACCCACAACAGACGAGGACCTTCTCGGCCCAAGGCCACATGCTGACGGCTTCTACAGGCCTGTAACCCCGAAGCTCAGCTGGCTGCTCTCTCGGTTCTCTTGTTGTTCCTTCGCCAGCGTACACTTCACGGTGTATGTGTATCATTAAGCAATGTTTTCCCTGGATCCAAGGTCAAGAGAAGAATGCCTGGCTGGGAGGGCAGCAAATTCTATGTCTCTCTCTCTCCTTGTGTTGGCGGCGATATATAAGCAATTTAAAGACCTGCTTTCTCCTCGACCAAGTAAACCCAAATACTTTCTCAATGTGAAGTTTTCTTCTCTATTCCTAACCATTGTGCTACGAAAGTAAAATAATTGAACTCTTCCGCAAGTTTCCACAATTGTGTGGGGTTCTAGGTGCTGGGGCATCTAATTAATAAGTGCTTTTGTTTCCCCTGCCAGTGTTTTTCCCTCGGCGGGCTATCTTCTTCCTATGTCTACTCTCAGAACACAGCAAGCAGAGAATAATTTCCAGTTATTGTCACTTCTACTTCCTTCCTCAACTCTTTTCGGTTCAAAGACTCTGGTCCTAAGAGGCATTCCTATCTGCGTAAACATGTACCTAGATATTCGGCAGCGAGCCCTCTTCTATTTATTCGCCTCTCACCGCGCAATTATGTCCCTCGCTGGGGAATTCGTGTGAATCGAGGTAAGATAGCTATAAGCATCTATCTAAATACCGTATTCTTGTTTTAGAACTCGGTTCATATGTCAACAACATTTGTGGTATATTTATTTACTTGCTATGTATTTCTTATCCGTGTTTAGTAAGTAGATGGACTACCTGCCAACTTAGAAAGTACAGGTAATCGGCTTCATCACACCAAGGCTCCGTAGGAGCAGGTAATTATCTAATCAACACTAACCAGCAAAATAATGAAGTTGTAAAAGTTTAAACGTAATTATGCTGTAACAGCTAAAATACGTGGTGGATGTGATAATTACAACACCTACGCCTAAATTAATTCGGTAACCAGTTTGACTTCTCTCTTTTAAATAGGTACCAATCACTTTCCTTAAGCCCCTATGTTTACCATTTTATGTGTAATATCAACATACACACTCTATAATTTCCTCCTCGTGTTTTTTCACGCTGAAGACTTTTACCATGGTCTTTTGTGTATTTATCTTCTAGACCTAATTTCTGTCCCAGAGCAACATCCTCATATACGTATATATATATTTCTACGCAAGGAGCGACTTTCACAATTAGATCTATCACCAAATTGAAATAACTTATACCCATCGCCACGGACACACCAAAATAAACACAATTAAGCCTACGGCCCTTCATTTTCCGGGTACACAGCAGCTGAACCAACGGACGCACACAATGTCGCTTGCTGCAAGTTGGAGGTAGGCCGGTTTCTCACTCTAATGTAACAATGGGTAGACAGCCAGTCAACTTCACCAGAGAAGTTTATCACGTCTCATCTTCGGTCGTATTTTATGAATGCTGTTATATTTTTTTCTCAAGAAATTCAGATACACAAATCCGCTCCTTCAGTCTCTAATGTCAACTCTAGATCCCCTGTGGCACGAAAAATAGCCGGGTCAACATATGCCAGACTACGATGGTGTTGTGAATTTTACTCAAATATACGCGCTACTCGGATGCCTGGGTAGGTACACATACTGGGACGAACTAGAAGATAGCAACATAATTCTGGTTTCCTATTTCACCCAGTCCAATACTGAGAGTGAAGTGGCATGTGCTTTACCTCACTCGGTTTGAGCAATGCCTACCAAACCCGTACCAGCTTCCTCACGCCAGATACTTCATAGCACAATCTGTCACACCGCACTGTATGATATCGAATTGATCCTGCCTAGATACCTAATGAGGCGGCAACCCAGCCTGTACATAATATCCCTCATATATTGTATCCCGACCCGCGGAGACACGAAGCTCACAACAACGGAACAAACCTCTACAAATCGAAGACATCAGCGCGTGAAAAATCTACGAGCCCGAGTACATGTCCTTATCGTGGTTCAGCATGCGGACCCAAGCGAGGTTTAATTAAAATGCCAGCATACAAAGAGAACCGCCAGTGCTGGCGAACTTTTTTTGACCCGCGCCCTTCGCCTTCCTAAGAACCTAAGGTAGGTAGGGCGATAAATGGGCATGTATGAAAAAGAGAAAGTAAACCTGTCCCTAGATGAAAATGCGTTAGTCACCTAACACCGCCCCCCGCCCCCTTTCGCTGAAAATAATAATGCTTTACTGCCCCCAAACACCCCCAACATGTGCGCACACCCGTCCATGTCTTGTATGTGTGCACGGATGTGCAGATATGTATGCGGCCCCCTCCCGCGGTTGTAAATGCAAGAATACCTCGCGACAGAGCAGCCTCGACGCACAGGGCCCGGTCCCGGTCTGAACCAGAAAATGGAAAAAAAATACATGCCTTTGCGCCGGATATCTGTGAGGAGAGAAAAGTTCCCATTACAGCCCTCCCTTCTCCTTACAAAGATGTCTCAATTTACGTCTCAGAGGATGCCCGCTTCCCCGGCGGCGTACTTTTCAGTATCATTCTTCCATGGCAGACAGCCAATGGGCCGAGGTGAGAATCTTTCAGTTCCCAACTATTTCCCCCTCTTAGATGCAGAATTTCTTGTCAAGGACTCCAATCGCCCTCGCATCTTCCATCCCCATCCCCATTCGCTTTTGCTGGCCAGCGGCCGTAGCCGATGAGCCATTAGCCGGGGCTCCCGAAGGGGCCCTGGGAGAGCTGTTGGCACTGTTGGTGCCCGGATTCGCGCTGTTTGGCTCAGAGTTGGTGGGGGTCGGGTGAAGAAGCAACGCAGAAAGGCTCGCTTTATTAGTGACAGGTGCCGAACCGTTCGTGCCCGCCGGCTCCACATACGAGCTTCTCGAGGACGGAGACACCGACTGTGTCCGTGGAGGAGGAGTCGTATCCAGTGGTCCATTCTGGGAAGGTTGCTGTCTCGGGGTCGGAAGCGGACCTTGGGAGTTGCGTGAACTATTTGCAGCCAACCTCGGGTCAATCAACACTGCTTCCCTAGCCTGTGCTTGCAATTGCTGTGACCGGGGAGAACCGAGAGGCGACATCCGGGCGGCTTGCGACATATGCGGCGACTGAAGTGCGGCGTGCTGCTGCTGCTGCTGTTGCTGTTGCGGTTGCTGCTGCTGCTGCTGCTGCTGCTGCTGCTGCTGCTGCTGCTGTGGCTGCTGCTGCTGATAGTGTTGCGGAAGCGGTATCCCCCTTGGCTGGGGTGGCTGGTTCGCATTCTGTGGTAGCGGCAACGGCGCTCGTTCGTATTGAGCCTGAGTCGGGGCCGAAGGCGGGTATACCTGGGATTGAACATGGGCGTAAGCGTGTGGTGGTGGCGGAAGGCTTTGCCCCTGCGGGTAGGGCGGCAAGGTAGTCGTGTAGTGGCCGTGACTGTAAGGTGGCGTCGCGACGGGCGAAGGAGGCCATGGATTGTTATATGCTGGCTGAGAATACTGTGAGTGATAGCCTTGGTGAGGATGCCCTGGATGTTGGTGCTGGAGTTGGTGCTGGTGCTGGTGCTGGTGATGGTGCTGATGCTGATGCTGGCCGTAAGGCGGCTGTTGCATAGACGTTCTCGTCATCGTCGGCACCGGGGCGTCATTCATGCTCGACTCGGGATACATGCCCTTCGCTGGCACAATGTTTCGTAGGTTGGGATCGTTACTAGGCTGTAGCAGATCTTGTTGACCTCTGGAGAAATACGAGATCAGATGCAGATGTTGGTTGTTGGACGTGGTGATGCTGAAAGACTGCTTCATCAGGCCATCTGCCTTGTAGCGGTATCCGTCGGGCTCTCCGTCATCTTGGTCCTCGTCGCTACCGCGGCCAGAATCCGGAGTCTTCCCGGCGCCCCTTCTGCTGCCGCCAAAGCCACTCCCCCTCTTTCCCTCCATTTCGCGATACGTTAAAAAGCTTCCAGAAACACGGCTAGCACTCCATGATTTCCCGTCAGTCCATCTCCGCATGCCTGCCTCCCTTTCGTCCCAGACGAATACCGAGCCCGACCTAATGGCCTGCCGCTCCTTTTCGGATAATCTGCGCTGGACGCGAGGGAGGTGGCCAAGCCTGCAGGCCTCAAAGAGCTTGATGGCGTCGGCGGGGCTTCTCACCACGCCATAATATGTTTCCATCATCTTGGGCGGTTGGAGTGCGAGGCACAGCTGCGAAACAGTGCAGGGAGAGCCGAACTTTTAACCAGCGTTCTCTCTTAAACCCTCCTTCTCAGCCTCGGTAGCAGACCCACCATCCAGACAGATTGGGCAGGGATTGAGTTCGAGTTAGTCGGCACAAGGATTCGACTTGGCCGGCGATTGTCAATCCCCACAACACCTTGGGGAAATCCCCGGGCGCAGATCGAACCTTAGTTGTTCAGGAGGGCAGGTATAGACGAGCGAAGAGCGAATTGCCGGACGTTTCGGTGACCTGAGACGTCGCGAAGTGGGGAAGCTCTTAGTCTTGGCGAATGATAAAATGTTAGCTTTGCGGGCTCAACGGGGTTGGAGGTAGCACGCGATGTGACAGAAACTTAATCCAAACAGGCTTGAATGGGCGTGCTCACTGCCTCGCACTGCTTTCAATGTGCTGCAGCCCCCTAGCCCAAGGTCGCTGAACACAAGGGAGGAAGGCCATTAACAGCACCTAAGTTCTGACTGACACCGCGATAGGAATGACGACCCGACCCAGTCCCTGACACGGTCCTAGTACAACGACGTGTCCACACTTGTCCACACACGTGCGTGTTCGACCTTGAGATGCGTCGAAAGCCAAACTTATGCCAACTCTGAGTTCTTCCCTCGAGAGGTTCGGCAAGGTTCGCACAAAGCCGTGCCGAGCCTAGCGTTGAAGAACCACAGGCTTCGCACTTGCTTTTGCCGATGCACTGGTCAACGGCAGAGTGGATGGGAAGACGAGGATAGAGATTGGCAGCCGGGAAGAAGAGAAAGAGAATAGGTGGTTGTTTATTGCCCATGATGTACAGACCTCTCCGGTGACGGCACCTTGGATGCGCCACCTCTGAGGAATGCCTATGGTTGAGCATTTCACCATGTGGCGCCGGCTAACTGTCCACGCGCAGGAATCTTGATAGGACCCGAACGTTTCTGAGGGTAATATTCGAATGTTCTCGCAGGTCTGACATGGACGCCAAGCACAACCCAGAGGAAGTAAGAAGAGAGAAAAAAACTTAAACCAAGGCCACGTCTGACCTGAGATATCCGGGACGATCGGCTGCACGTGGGACGAGCCGGGAGAATTTTAAGACAATTCGGAAAAAAAAAGAACAAATCTCCAACAACAAAAGAATGTCCACATACCAACTCCAATTGGGAACACCTCGGAGATGCTGATGCGTAAGAAGTTTTCTTGAAGGAAGGAAATCAGATCTGAGATCTCAAAACTAAAGGCGTCAAGCGACCGTTATCGTCGTGAAGCAGACGCTAAAAAAGAAGGCGCTGCAGTTCACTTTAAAACCCGTGTTTTGGCGAAACGCGACGACAAAGCTCGAATTTAAGGGCGACCTAGATTCGGGATGTGAGGCGGCTGCGGATTGAATTTTTTTGGAGAGGGACTTTAGGTCTGTGGGATTGGCAGGACTTGACGTAGAATTTTTGCTCCTAGGGAGAGAGAACGAGGACGGGACGAGCGAAGAGAGGACGCCCTATGCGTGGCGTTCGTTGTCTGCTCTCCGCTAATGTAGATGGAGAAAGGTTAGATAGTGGGCGGGTACATTCGTCAGCCTTCTGAGTTTGAAGGTTGAAGCTGTAAACTATTGGGTGTTTATAAGACTTATATCCCGCTGGGTTTTAAGGTGGAATTAAGGTCGTGAGGGACCGCGGTTGGCGGCTGGTGGAGGATCGGCTGCAGGTCGATGACGATGCAGGCCAATTGCGCATGTCTCGGGAAGTGGGAGGTGAGAGAGAGAGGAAGGCGGCCTACCTTGCACGAGAATAGGGTTGGGGCCGGAGGGTCGTGCGCACGGCAGCAGGACCACGGGAGACCTTGGACTTTTTGACCTTGGGTTGCGAATGGGGAGGCGAGACGGAGCGAGGGGAGGCGGCCCAAAAGAGTGGTGGCACACCCCACAGCCTTCTTCTGTGCAGCTCGCTCTTTAAACAATGGACGGAAATGCGATGCCAAGCCAAATGCTGCCCCAAGTTCCAAATCCTGGCACCATCAGCCCAAAAAAAGGTCAACACCACACCTTCCTTTAGTGGGGCCCCAGTGGACTGAGGTTGATCTGATGGGCGGGGTGTGGTGGTGTTATTTTTGATATGCTGTTGTTGCCCTTGGCCTTGCTCTTTGCCGGTGCTGTGCTGCTGCTGGTGCTGCTGCCGGAGCCTCTCGGCTTCGATGGCAAACAAGGAATATGCCTTTCTGGAGTGTTGGGTACTGTAATTTCCTCCGCCCCCCCGGCAAGACTTGCCGCAAAGGTACTTGGAGAAATGGATCGTTCCAAGTGTTCTGAAACCAACCTCAAGGTCGTTGCGAGTGTTGTGTGAGTGCGTGGGCGCGTGCCCCGCCAGATCTTTGCCGCCAGGTTGGGCCCAAACCTTATTAAATAAAGGCCGTCGCTTCCTTTGCTAGGGCTTGTCGGCAGGCACTGCCCGGAAGAAGGGACGCTAACGACCAACGCCGAGGATTTAAACCCTCCTTTGCCAGGCCCACCTGCAAAGCGCCAAGCATTGCCGTGGAGCGCATCTCTCCCCTGGCCCCACCGTGTCGTAAGCTTATCAAAAATTCGGATTCTCCATGCGGCGACAAAATAATGGACCCAATAGTGCACATAGACTTTTGAGCATGGTCAGTCTCCCGTAAGCACTCAGCAGGGTGCAGGGTCCGAAAGATGGGAGGGTGAGCGGGAAGGGTTGATGTCAAATTGATGACGGAGTAATCCGTACTGAATACGGAAATTGAATAGCTTCACGTGTGCTCCGTCCAGAGCAGGTGCCTTAACGTATTACCGACCTCAGTTCCTGCAATTCGCGACCTTTTTTGGGACCTTGGCTACCTTAGTTATCTAACTCAATCGATCTGGATCAAGGTTAATAAGGCGCTTCTTTCGGCCCCGGATTTAGGCAGGCAGGCCAGCCTGCGCGCCCTCTGCAGCTGCCACAGTAGGTAAGGTACTTCGTACTTGCACTTCTATTCACCTGCCTTCATGGACATGGCAAGTCCCGACACCTTCATCCTCTCGGTATAGCAACAGTATCATCCTGACGAGGAGATACTAGCCAACCGGCTAGGCGCATGTCTGCCAAACGCGAGCGTCGCACCGGCCGTCTCTTTCTTCATGTTGCGCCGCCGGCATTGTGAAAAAGTGCAGCGCGGGTGATCGAGGCACCAGCGGCACGGCGTTTTTCTTTTTCTTCAGCGTTGGCTCATGCGCAACGGGGCTTGGTTGGTAATCTTCCATGGCATGGGCAAACCGGTTAGCGCACGTGGATGGTCAACCCAATGGTGTTGGTGGCGCGGGGGGAGCAACCTAACCTAAACGGGCGTCTTGTCTGTCGCTGTTGCATCCGATCTAACGCAATCCGCTAGTTTATTAGACGTTGATGGGGGCCGACCGATGCCACCGAGTCGGTTGGCGCCAAAATGTCTAGGGCAGGGCAAAAAATGTTGCGTTGGGGCTTTTGGCCTGGGACCCGTCGACACTAGCCTTGGCTGTTTCGCAGGTCACCGTGGGATCAACAATTGAGCAAGCCCCTTGCTACGGTACTACGTGCTGCGTAGAGTGCGGATGTTGACCCGTTGTGCAGTCAGTGTCGTGTCATCATGTATGTTTGTACATACCTTACTTACATACGTACTCCGGACCTAGGTAACCATCTCCGGCAGGCAGGCTACACCGCAGGTGTCGACCGTTGGGGGGTGAGAGTGGTGGTTAATAAGTTTCCGAGGCTTAAGTACGTGTACGCCGTTGACGACTTCGGAGCAGGGGGGATGCGGGAGTGCTTGGAATCTGAAATAACTTCAAGGGGCTGGAATGTGAGAAGGCGGATCGTGCTACACGGTATCTGACCTTACCTGAGGTAAGTAAATAATGTGCATGTACAGGACAGTGTGTATACCGACCGCAGGTAGTGTCCATTGCTACCTTGACATTAAGCAAACGGCCGGACAGATCGGGGAGTCTATCTCGAGTCTGATTCCCAAGCTGCTTAGTGCCCAGTCCAAGACGTTGCAACTGGAAGCGGCAAAGTAGCGGCACCTCGCGGCAGGGAATGAAAGGTAGAGGCAGCCCTAAGGGGGCGCTGTGCGGAACGGATTGCATTGCTGCCTCGAAGACTGAAGTGAGGGCGAAGGATACCTTACCTTGGCTTAGGTAAGTAACCTAAGGTCAAAGGAGGGAATCGCAAGGCGAGATACCCGGCAAGCCTGGGCCCGGCTCGTCTGACCCCGCCTGGGCTGGGCTGGGTTGGGCCCTGGAGTGAGAAAGTCACCGCCAGTGGTGCGGTGCGGCGGCGGGGGTGTCAAGATGGTGTGCAGGCGACCTAGACGAACAAATGACCCCTGCAGCCGGCGGACGGGTTTTGACATGGGAGTATATTAGGATTTCAAGCTTATTTCGCGACGCTGGCGTTAGTGCAAGGCCGTGTACATAGTAGCTCGAGTTGGCGATTCCATTGGCGTCCTCGGTCCCCCCCAAGGCTCCTGCCACCCCTCTCGGTTCCATTGAGCTTGGCAGCCTTTCCAGAATGTCCTGCAGAGTGGAACGGCGGGAATAACCTCGCCGGGACCGACCCGTGACAGCATGCATCGTCAACACGAACATTTTGTTTGGGATTAGGCTCCCGGTGTTTGGCTCTCGAAGTTCCATTGTTTATTCTATCAAAGGTATCGTCAACCCCTCGCTACCTACATAGGTATGTCCTCTGACCTGACGTTGACAGACAGACGTGCCTTGGCGGTGAAGTTATGTCAATGCCGAGTTGGTATTCTGCCAAAATCCATTGCCTTTAAGCTTTGAGCTCTGAAGTGGCTTACTAAATGCATACAATACAACATCCAAGTTCCAACATTCGTGTACGACGACCTAGGCTACAGCTGCACACCAACTCACGCCCGTGGCAGGGCACGGGGGGGCAAGCAGGCAAAGCAGGAAGCAGGCAACCAAGCAGCTACGCCCGGCGAGACCATCAGGTGCGTTTTGAATCCGGCGCACAACTCCACGAGGAGTGTCTGTGTCGCTGTCTGGGCTGCCATTTTTGGCTAGTGTGGCCCCGCTATTTTCACCCTGTACCCCTCTAGTGGCTTCCCCCACGCATCTCACGGATCCCATGGCGGCAATTACATCGAGGCCGCCGCCGGCGGTATCTCCATCGGCTGCATCTACATGTACGTCGGTATCGGCTTCATCTGCACCTATTATGCCTACCTCAGTAGAGTCGATGCAATCGTGCGATCCCCCGACCTTCCAATTCACCAATGTGCGAGATCTCTTCGACGCAATTGACGACGCAATTGCTCACACGAATGGGGATTCCCTCACCGTCACAAGTATGGTATTGCCCTTTTGTTTCTATATAGCATACGAATTGTTTAGACTTCTCTCCTAGTCATTTCACAGAAATCGATCGTGCTCGAGAGAAGCAAGGCCGCAAGTTTCGCTTTCGCGATTACGGCAGCAATTCTCGAATCCTTATTATTACAATCCCAACTGACCTTCATGAGGAACTCTACAAACGGCTATATAACGAGTTTATCGGGCAAGTTCGCGATATGGGTTTAAAGGATAGTTAGAGAGATATCGGCAGTGCTACACGTTCAGCACAACAAGGCTATTCTGGACGAAGCAGTAAAGAGGGTGATTCGACTGGTGGCCCAGAGCCTTAACGAGCTGCTAAAGGTGCCTGGCCAACACTTGTTATCGAGGCAGGATTCTCTCAGTCGTTGGGGAAATTGCGTATAGCTATGCAGCGGTGGTTTTCTATGTCGAACCACGAGGTCAAGATTGTTCTCTTGCCAAGTTCAACGGTACCACAATCCTTTTGGAGAAGTGGGAGGAAGAGATGCAAGTTCGCCCTGGAGCTACCACAACACGACACTTTCTTCAACAGCCAGCACCTGTGCTCCGACAAAGCATCACCATTACCCGAAACACTACTACCAACCCGACATCGTACAATGTCACTAGCGGCACATTGGTACTGTCGTTCCGGCTTCTCTTCCTTAGAGATCCGGGCCCTGGGGAGGGAGACTTCGTTTTTAGCGTTCAAGAACTGGAGAAGTACGCCGAAAAGGTCTGGGCTCGAGTGTAGATTAGCAGCCAATCAAATTCGGCATAGCTGACCAGTCAAAAACGGCAGTGTGGCTGTTGTTGACACTAACAACACGGCGAACGGAATTCCTGTCCCGCCCGCCCGCATCGTCGCACTCGTCCAATGACGGCAGCCATGACAGCACAATGTGCTGTGTTCGTGCAGTACTCGCATGATTACACAACGCACACAACGCACACGGAGCTCATACGCCCTCCAAACGCCGTGCCGTGACGCTGAGTGACTGGTCCTCCCGTGTACCTTTCCACTCCTCCCCGCATCCCCGACCTTCTTGTTCGCTCGCAAGATGTAACCCACGCCTTTGTTGGAGGTGCAATCTTGGCTCCTGCTTGGCTCCTGCTAGGCTCCTGCTTGGCTCCGCTTGGCTCTGCTTGGCTCTGCTTGGCAGAAAGAGGTGTCTGTAAGGTATTGCTACTAGCGTACCCGTTACCTTAAGGGACAGTACGAGATAAGGTACTTGTACATACATACGGGAATCGGTGATGCGGCTGCATTACGTATCTGGCGTCGGATTTACTTGTGCCATGTCATACCTTATTCATTTACAAAATTTTGAACCCAGAGGCCCGCAGATGCACTGAGACCCTTCGGCAAGGCACGGAGTACGGAGAACAAGCGCGCAGTCATGTCGACCATGCATGTGCGCTCAAAATTCCGCAGATTACTTTAATTAGTGCTAACGTGCCGCACTCTTTCGGAATACGCGGTTTTACGCCTTTCGCTACATCAAAGTACAGTACAGCCTAGTACAGACGTACCCAATGGAACCAGTGGACACGTTAGCGGCGCGGCGCGGCACCCAGGTTCAGGGTTGCTTGACGACGACGACTTGGCGGTCACTTACGCAGCTTCCGTATTCGCGCCCCGGAGTCGCGCAACTTTGGAACGAGTTGGCTCGCCGGACTTTTAACTTTAAACGTGCTATAATGCGGATAGAGTCAAAGTCATATATGGGGCGGGCGGGGGGGAGGGGGGGCCCCGCGCCGATCCATGCCTCGAACCGAGCGATTTGATGACAGATAAACTGAGAAACCGGTGCCCCGTTTATATCCGTGTGGGAACTGGGAAATAATAAAGCCACCTGACTGCCCCGGGCCCCGGCGTCATCCTTACTCACGACCCGAGGCTTGGCATCCCTTTCCCCTCGCGGATAGTACCCCCCATGTTGGCGACTAAAAGTCGACCGACGATGTCCATCTCCACCGCTTTGGGGGCATGTTGGCTCCGAGGAGGACGACAGCCGTCACAGTGTCCCATCCGCCTTGTCCGCCTGAATGTTGCGGTGAGGATGATGGGAGAGAGCTAGAACCTCCCGACGGACTTTTTGTCTATTTCCTTCTTCTTTTGGTCAGGCGGCGTAAGACTTTGTAAGCTGTGTCCGATGTGACGGCAGGGTCCCGAAGTAATGCCATGCAAGCAATCAGCAGAGAGCAAGCAGCCAGGCCGGACTCGACTCGACACAAGGATAATGGAGGCTACTGGTTAGACTTTCATTTTTTTCTTTGCGGTCTACATAGAAGGCTGACCGGAGTTATCATTTGGCTTGTTAGGATTGCAGTAAGTACATCATCTGCCGTTTACAGCCTGCACACTAGTGCGTATGAACGGCGGCGTATCGTGCGAGATGGTCAGATTATATAGAACCGAAGACAGCTTGCCCGGCTGGGAACTCGGGGACAACGAAAGCTTCGGGGCGACCGGAAGACTGCAGAGGCCAAGCCAAAAACGAAGAAACCCAAGACTCCAAGACAAAGAGTCTGCAGAGGTAAACGGATGATGCAAGAACAGAAATATAGGCGAAGGTACCTTGATGCAGCTCAGGCCAAGGAAGCCAAGGAGACGAGAGCAACACGCAACTTGATCTGAAAGTTAAAATGAGGTTGCGACTCCGACTTTATCGGCACTCAAAATCGCTGACCTGCTATCTTCTGACTCAAAAGCCTTGCCCAGACCCTGGCCAAGGCATGCACAGTAAGGTCAGGTCGGTAGGCGAAAGTGCGCGCGTTTCAATTATCATCGGCGGCTTACTTTGTTGGTCACGTTCGGCTTCTTTGTCTTTTTGAAATCGGCGATAAGATGCCGGCGGCGGACTCCCGCTCCAGCCGTTGCGCCGCTGCCGGGTGTGGGGATGTAATTGTGTATGTACATGTACATATTCGTACATTTAGTACATACGGTACTATACGGATACGCCAACGTAATCTCAAAAAGACATGGCGCTGGCTGACGCAAGGTTTACATGGGCTAAGGTAAGATGGGTACTCCGTATTACCCACTGCCGTTAGGCATGGTTTCAAGCCTCGTGATGCCACAAGGGAGGTAGGTATCGTGTAACTGCTTCTCTGGGTTGCGCCTCATGTTTCTGAAGGTGCAAACGCCGACGGCATGAGTAAGGGCAGTCACAGAGACTTGACAGACATAATTGCCACTCTGCAGGCGAGCACCCGCCATGGCGGGAGCCAATGGAACCTTACCCTTGCTTGGGGAAGCGCTAGTATATATGTACTTAATCTTTTCGTTAATTCGTCGTTAGAGTACGGAGCACCTGCTGTGCGTACATCCATTCTGACAAAAAGAAACATATGATGTGTGGTGTGTGTCGCTCTGTGTTGTGGTTACCTCGCTCCAAAGTCCCAACACAGAAGTGCGAAAGACGCAGGTTGGAGGCTACCACGCCCTCCTTCCCCCGCCCCACTAGGCAGGGGCCTCGGATGCACCTCAGTAAGCCTTGCACGCCTACCGCAGGTTAAGGATTAGTGAGTCGTCTGTTTAAGGTTAACAGCGAGCGGAGAGCCAAAAATACTCACGGGCTGGTCCTTAAGCCAACCGACCAGCGACGGATTTGCCAATTGGATCGGGCTGAGGGAGAAGGCGCCGGGACGTGTTTCAGGATTGCTAAGGAGCATTTTCCAACATTGTTTTGTGAATTGAGGTGGCTGAAGTCGGCGGCGACCAGACATGGAAGCTTTTGGTTTTCGACAGTTACAATTCCCCCCCCCCAAGCGTCGACAACGGGCTCGCACCCCTTCGCTGGCCCTTGCTTTCCCTCCCCCCCAAGATTTCCTTTTTCAACGGCCGGATCTGCCATTGTGCGGTAGCTCAAAGTCAAAGGCCCGCCCGCCTATCGATGATTCTAAGTGCGAGTCAGGGTCGGACCGAGACCAACTGGCCTGCTGTACCACGTCTGTACGTACCAGTACATGCCTACCGTACAATAGCATCCAAATCTTGAGCGATTAGGCGGTTAGCCTACTGATGCAAATGTCACCTGCCGGCATTTGATTGCGAACAAATTTCTCGTCGTACGAACATTTGTACCTACTCTGTCGAGTAATGTATGTACCTACGCCAGGAACCGCGCTCTCTGCTACTTTCGTACTGAGGTGCGCACAACCGCGGCGGGTCGGCGCATCTCGCAACTTGCGGCGAGTGTCTGGCGTCCATCCTGCACGGCGCGCATGAAGCCCTCTCGGGCGTAACGGGTGAATGAAGCTGTCCACAACCTTGCTCGATTCAGAGCATCGTGGCACATCCCTGCAGTTGCTGGTGAACCCGCTTTCCATCTGGTCCAGGCATTTTAGGCGCAACCACGGCGGCGGATCGATGCTGTGCCTTGGGGCAGGGCTAGAGATTGCTTAAACTCGCACGTCCTGCCGTAGGGCGCGCGTTGGCCTGTGCAGCCAGGTTGGAATGCGGCCACCGCTGTTCCTGATGGCTCCTGTAGGCGACAAGCCAAGGCCCCGATGGCTTTTTTTTTTTTGGATAGTTGTTCGTTCATTGACCAAGCAGGGATAGTGAGACCAAGGGATAGCGGGATCCAGCAGGGATAGCGAGCGAGGCCCAGCAGGGATAGCGAGCGAGACCCAGCAGGGATAGCGAGCGAGACCCAGCAGGGATAGCGAATCCGTGCTCGGCACAACAACCAACAACAGCACGCTAGCTTGCGCGCCGCCGGAGACCAACCGATGCGATGCGATGCGACCCCCCAAGAATCTCTGAGGGAAAAAAATACCGAGTCTGACTCGGACTTGAAAGATGAAGAGTAGTAGCGATTGCCTAGTCGAGGGGTAATTTTTTCCCTCGCGGGTTGGTCAACGCATCCAAAGACCGAGGTTTAAAGCGAGTGAATGTCACGGTACTTACGCAAACGCAAACGTCACTGGCTGCAAAACTTGTTCCCCAATGGCGGAAGTCTCCGTTTCTTACACATCTCCCGGCCCTGTTACTGACTGACTCAAGGCGTGGAGGCTGGGGGCGGATATGCGACTGCGGGCTGTTGGACAGACCCGAATGAGCGCCGAGTCAAAAGTTAGAATCTGCCGGCGAACACCCCCTCCCCCCAAACCCCCATATTCAGAAGGTGGCTGGAAAACTCGGATTCTTCTGGTAAGTCCATTCGATAACTGCTAACACGGCCAGCGGTCCTTTAGCTTTCCTCCTGAGCTCTGCCAGATGCAGGATGAGGATGCTGTACTTCTGTGTATTCCGTTGTTGGTACGCCTGAAAGGAGCGCAACCGAATGTGCTGGCTCCGTAAGGTGGATGTGAGATGGAGATGCTGTGCGTTGGTGCGTAGTTTGCGTTGCCGGTCCTTCGTCGGTACTTGCGGGCTTGATTTCGGCTCGTGGCTTCGGGCTCGGCCTTGTCGACGAGGTCTAACCACTGGGGGTTGTCTGACCAAGGAATTTGGTATCTCCGCATCACTCTCGCCGCGTAATGCGGCGCTGGGTGTCCAGGTTGGTTGGGTGGCCTGGCAGGCAGGATACGGATTACATCCTACGAGGTTTCTAGGGCTAAACCTAGTTGGGCAACGACCATTTGCTACGTCGATGGGATTACCCTGAAATGATATTAGATGGTGACGCGCTGACGGATGCCGTGTGTACACGTGTAGGACGTGGTATTCCCATGCGATCTCCCGTCGAGTTCATCTCTCCGACAATTCGCCGGGCAAGGCAAAGTGGGGGGGCCGACAAGGGG